TACTGTGATCTGACCTTGAGAAATACTATCATCATTTTTATAAACGATCGTTTCCTTGTAATCTCTATATCTCTATCAATATCTTTGGTTATGTTCTCAGCATTCTGAATTTTATGATTTTGAGCATTTCAAGGTTCAAGAGTTTTTCAGGAAACCCAGCAGCTGGTCAAGTCACCTTTCTCAGAACTTCAACCTGAAAAGTCAATACTTCTTCCAAGAAGTATTCTATGTTCGTTGTGGTTGATCTGTTCTGACTTGTTTTAAACATAATAGTAGTTTCGATTTGTCAATGCAATCACTTTCAATGCACGCACAAATGAATTGCTCGAAACAAGATAAAAAGCTCGCATATGGTGAACTGAAAACTTTCTCGAATGTATGAATGATATCTTGTAGTTACTTTCGTACTCTCTAAATGTAAGATCACCCTTAGCTTATGGTTATACTTCCTTCTAACGATTGTGGGTGATGTCTCGAGGGGCTGAATTTCTTAACTCAAATTATGATTTACTCAAGTCATGGAGACTTTGAAGCCACTTCCTAGAAGATTTAATCAAATACATTGCTTCTTATAATTGGCATCATTTACTAAAGACACCTTAGTCAGAACTCTCAGCAACATTTTGAATTGTAAGATAATCAGACGAACCCAGTAACCTACACATTCTTGTTTCTCAGCACTGCACATATCTTGCATGCTCCTCCATGAGTAGGTGAGTAGGAAACAATCCACGAAGACACCTATTTTACCTCCAAATTCCGTTCCTTTGCCACTGGTGGGTGGCCGAGGTGCACCTTTTTGGTCATATTGAAGTGAGCTTCCTCGAGTGGACAATTTCGCGAAACATGTAAGAAGATGATTGCCTGTGTCTAAGATATGGCATGGAGGGGACATTGCGTCTAATCAATGGTCCTACAGTAAAAACTACAGAACTATAACGGAACTTAATTACAACCAAATAGTGTATAATTCCAATCCATTTATATATTTCTTCTCCGACTGCGATCTAGAGATAAAAGAAAATGATTTATGGGATGAAGGTAAAAAAGCAAATTTATACAACCATATTGAAAGAATGTAAAAAATATGAAGAAATCTTGAAAAAATAAAAAAATGTAAAAAGTTGTAATTACGAGGTACTAAACAAAAATATTAGAAAAATAGATGTCTATACACTAGTATCAATAGATATTGTGAAATAGAAAAGTATGGGAAATAGTAAACAACTTTGTTTATGTAATATAGTCTGTCTGAAGGATGGACATATAAAAGACTTCTTACTTCTAATGCCCTAGATCCTACTGATTAGGTATGATGACTACATGCGTTATTGTGTCTAACCGGCCGCCCGATTAATCGGCTTCCCGAACCACGAGCATCCTGTTGTCAGCCTGGTTCCTATTGTCGTCGATTAATTATCCAGTTTATTAATTGGCGTTTGTTCAATTTACGTTTCTGACTAAATCCTACTTTTACACTATTGTATTTCATTACAGAGTAGCAAGAATTTATGAAGGATATATGTGAAACTGAACGAGGTTTAGGAGCACAGGAGAATTTGTAGATGATAAAATATATGAAATGAGACCCAAAACTGAAACATACAAATTCTTTATTTATTAAAATTAAGTGAAAACAACTGCTTTAGATATAAATTTTTCAATAGAATTTGAACACTAAGAAAGATGTCAGAAATACATAGAAAGTATTAAAGATTCAGAAAATGAAGAAATAATAAAGCTGTTAAAGCTCAATATTGCTTATCACTAAAATTCAAAAAGGTCTGATGGACTGTACTGGAACTATTCCAACGTCCAAAGAATCTGTGGATAAATAGATTATAAGAATACATAATGTTAATAGTAAATTTGTGTAATTCATGGTGCAATATTGCGTTCTCAAGAAAAATATTACTTTATATCTTCTCTCATTCATTGAAGTCACTCTCTCTTGAATGAGGAGTTTTCCTTACATGCCTCTCATCCCATCTTTGAGAGCTTTTCCCATTAGTTGGAATCAGTATTCGTTTTTGTCGGAACCCATTCACACTGTAGAATATTTGGACACTCATCTAAGACAACCTTGTAGACAAGGTCTTACTGTTCTTTGCTGCTCCAGTACTCAATGCTGCATAGCGTTTCGGCACTACACAACTTCTGCTCTATTTTAACCTATTAACTTCACTTTCCTCTCTTATTCAATTATCTCTATCATACCCAAAAAAGTTTTCATTAGCATCGTAACCCCAATTCGTTCTCAGTACTTTTGCCTCTGTTGGTTTTTAGCGAATTAGTAGGTCGGGTATAATGCTTACCTACGTTTTACCTTGTCGGTTTTTATGAAGTAGTCTGTTCATCGTCAATTTTCCACTAATGTCTTTCTCTATTACTTAGCTGTTGTTCAATTCATTATACGCCTTGTCCACAACAAAACTCAGTTCTTATTTCCAAACTATCCTCTCAGTACTATATCCATGGACGGGAGTATCTTTATCTCATTATTCATTAATCCTCTCTTTTGCATTGAAAATGATGTTACTATGAATTGGTCCAGTCACATTATGAAGGTGAATTTGCCAATTGGACAACATATTTGAACTCTAAGTACCTTTCTTGGAGATTATAAAGTAGATTAAAGTTACCATAAATGAAACATTTCGATGTTTTCTTGAGCTAGTTTCAAAGTTTACTGTTAGCTCGATAACTGGGAGCCTTTTTGCTCAATGAGAGTGTTATCACTCTGAAGAGACCCTACGGTGTGCTGATCTCTCGTTAATTCATAAGACCTTCTAATGTAAATGAGTGCTCCAGGTAAGGTAAAAGCATCGGTGAAGCTATTCTCCCTTAGCGAATATGAAGGTCATTCACCAAATCTGTAATGAAGTCTTTCTATGAAAAATCTTTCTCAAACAATTTCTTTTATCGTATAACTTTTCATCCTTCCGAATATCACATTGGGTATTCTCTCACCTGGTAGGCTCATCTCCTAGTTTGTTCAACAGTTCACCATAGTATTTTGGGTATTCATTTACAGCTGCAAGGTCAATTCTATATCCAAACACAGTTACCCCCATGGTTTCTTAATCGGCATTTACATACTTCTAACACGAATCCCACTCTACCAGTAGCACACATTACGCAAAACCATGCTATTGAAAATATTTACCAAATTTTGGAATTCTTCAATAAAACACTCGATAAGGAAAAAGGATATGTAAATGAGGTCCCTTACGATGAAACCAGGGTGGAGTTAGATTTTCTATTGTCAATTTATACAATGTGATTCTGAATTTGCTGCTGGCAACATAAATTCAAAGTGTAAGAACTTAATCTCAATTGTTTAACTAATTGAAAACTTTGAGTTCGTTAGTTACATGTGGATGTAATTGTACATTTCCCGGGTTTTAATTATCAATATTGTTTTTGTATTTAGATGATCCCCCATGACACTATCTTTAACGATCATGACTTAAGAGATGACTTCCGCTGACTAGGAATAGATAAATACCGTCATCGGGATGATCAGGCAGGCTCATTCTTGATACTGGCCCCAGGTTTTTGTTTGGATTGGTCGACTAAATGTCGATAAATGCTTTGAAATAATTTCATGGTTACAGGAAGATTTGAGATTTCTTATCTGTTCCCAGCGCGGGTTGTGTCACAGACGTTTCTATTGTGGGTTTGCTAGACAGTCCATAACTTCAGAAATACGGTGATTCTAATGTTATCAACCTAAATTTTCAAACTGATGGCATAGATCAATAATTTAAAATATAGCGATTGTATATACATTTAAAGTTATATCTCCTTCTATTTATTTGTATTAAATTTCTTATTATTTATACTCGCAAAGGGAGTTACTTCATAATGTAAAATGTAATCTTGAAAACAACATCACTCACTTTGGAAACAACATAAACAAGTTGAAATCACTGACAGAATGGTGAAGTTGAGTTCTTAGGAGAAGACACACCTCTTGGAGTTTTATTATATAACTGGGATTCCAAGAAATTCCAGTCTTACAAGTCAGAAGCTACATTCAACACATGAACTATGATTTGTGAAAGCAGTAAAAATGATAGTACTATATTCGGAAGATTATTCTGCTTGAAATGTTTTTTTTATTTAAAAAGACTAAGATTCTACTTACATAATCTCATGAGTTTGGTAATCAGACTTGGTTTCGATTGGAAATTCAAAGAAATCATTTTGAAATTCACTTAGAGTTAATAGAACAGAACATATTGACCGTACTATTCAACTGTTACATTGTCTGCCCCAATGAGGTAAAGTATTTCTCACTGTTATAACCCTACTTCTTTTCTCTGATCATTGCTTCTGATGATTCCCATTCAGTTCTTTCCCAAAGAACTCTGGTTAATTCCTGGCAGAGCCTTTCCTGCCTTAAGGATCGTTTACTCTCAGACTGTCAATCATGTTTTGTTCCGTTGTTATCCAAATGAGCGTTTGGTCAAATACTTCTCTGACTCAACCTCAATCTCAATATTACAATCAGTCCTCGAATTTACGAGGATAATCTCAAAGGTGATGAGTTCAATTTCGTACATCATTCCACGTGCATTTAAGAAGCAGCACAGCTTTAGTTGCAGATACTTTGATTTATTTTTTGTTGATATTCAAGATTGAAATATCTCAGAACACATTCTTGGACATCATTTCAGGCTTCCAATGATCTTTCAAAGATTTGAATCAAAATTCCTCCCATTAATGCTTTCACAAAAACAGTTTGAGTATTTACTAGAAAATAAAGATAATAAAATTACATACGAATTTGAAGTTTTGAGAAGGAAGCTTACAAAGTTACTGAAGCGATCTTTTGATAGTTCCAGGGCAAACAAAAGCCTTAAAGAATTATAGAAAAGGCGAAATTGTACACCCATCGTTTCGAAATCCACTAAAAATATATTTAGAATGCAATTAAAGTCCCATATAAACCCATTCAAGAAAAACGGTATAAATTCCAAAGTGTAAATGTATGATTATACCAATGCAAATGCAATAAGACCAATCATTGCACCAAGGCTGAAAGATTTTGAAGAGCCAGCTCCTTCAATAATAGAGTTTTGAGCACTGGAAATACCACCCGAGGCAGATCCAGACGTGTCATTTTCAGTTACACCAGAGGACTTTGGCAATGGAGTCACCGCAACATCGGTGCTTGTTGCCAAATTAGCAACTGTCTCAACTAGTCCGTCAGTACGAGTTGTCATATAAAGTACAACTGTTTCTGCGGCGTCTGTTCTGTTTTCAACAGTGGTTAAAACAATGTTGCCTTCGGCATCGTTCGTAGGCTTCACAACAACAATGTGAGTTTTCACTTCACCATATTCATCATTAGTTGTCAATGCTGTCAACTTACCCTTGTCAGAGAAAAAGGTTGTTGTAAACCACTTTCCAGCCTCGTCCGTCGAAATTATGATTTCAGCGGATACAGTCGTAGCGACGCTTTCAACAAGCGTTGTAGTCCACGCAGTTGCACGAGTGGTGACTCTAAAGTCAAATAATGATGTTGATGTATGCAAAGATCCCTCTTTATCCGTGCTCACTATAACAACTCCAGAGTCAGTTTCAACAGACCCATCGGACTTAGTTGTCACACATGTGGTGACATAGTAGGTAACTATTCCAGCAAACTGAGACGTCGTGGTGTACAAGGACCCAGCTGCATTCGTGGTAACAATCACTACTCCTGACTTAGTCTGAACAGATCCATTTGCATCTGTAGTTGTCCAAGTGGTGGTGTACTCCGAAAGTCCCCCAGCTAAGAACTGGGATGTCGTGGTGTACAAGGACCCAGCTGCATTCGTGGTAACAATCACTACTCCTGACTTAGTCTGAACAGATCCATTTGCATCTGTAGTTGTCCAAGTGGTGGTGTATTCGGTAGCCGCACCTCCAACAAATTGGGACGTCGTGGTGTACAAGGACCCAGCTGCATTCGTGGTAACAATCACTACTCCTGACTTAGTCTGAACAGATCCATTTGCATCTGTAGTTGTCCAAGTGGTGGTGTACTCCGAAAGTCCCCCAGCTAAGAACTGGGATGTCGTGGTGTACAAGGACCCAGCTGCATTCGTGGTAACAATCACTACTCCTGACTTAGTCTGAACAGATCCATTTGCATCTGTAGTTGTCCAAGTGGTGGTGTATTCGGTAGCCGCACCTCCAACAAATTGGGACGTCGTGGTGTACAAGGACCCAGCTGCATTCGTGGTAACAATCACTACTCCTGACTTAGTCTGAACAGATCCATTTGCATCTGTAGTTGTCCAAGTGGTGGTGTACTCCGAAAGTCCCCCAGCTAAGAACTGGGATGTCGTGGTGTACAAGGACCCAGCTGCATTCGTGGTAACAATCACTACTCCTGACTTAGTCTGAACAGATCCATTTGCATCTGTAGTTGTCCAAGTGGTGGTGTATTCGGTAGCCGCACCTCCAACAAATTGGGACGTCGTGGTGTACAAGGATCCAGCTGCATCCGTGGTAACAATCACTATTCCCGAATCAGTCTCAACAGAACCGTACGAATTTGTTGTAGTCCAGGTGGTAAGATAGGAAGTCAATGATACGCAATCTTCTTCATCTCTGCGACAAATGACAAGACCAGTGGTTTCTGCAAACTGAGAAGTCGTGGTATACAAAGATCCTGCGGAGTCGGTACTGACAATAACAACACCAGAATTGGTCTCAACGGAATCGTCCGATTTAGTCGTAACCCACGTAGTGGTGTACACACCTGGACCAAGACTATGAGGAAATGTAGAAGTAGTGGTAAATGCCGACCCCTGAGAATCTGTAGTAACAATCACAACTCCCGAGTCGGTCTCAACAGACCCGTCAGGATTGGTGGTAGTCCAAGTAGTGGTGTACTCAGTAGCATCGTTTGCCTGTGGGAAAATGGAGGTCGTGGTTGTCAAAGAACCTGCAGAATCTGTAGTAACAATCACAACTCCTGAGTCGGTCTCAACAGACCCGTCAGGGTTGGTGGTAGTCCAAGTAGTGGTGTACTCAGTAGCATCGTTTGCCTGTGGGAAAATGGAGGTGGTGGTTGTCAAAAAACCTGCAGAATCTGTAGTAACAATCACAACTCCTGAGTCGGTCTCAACAGACCCATCAGGGTTGGTGGTAGTCCAAGTAGTGGTGTACTCACCGGCTTCAAGGCTACGTGGGAACGATGAAGTAGTAGTTGTCAAAGAACCTGCAGAATCTGTAGTAACAATCACAACTCCTGAGTCGGTCTCAACAGACCCGTCAGGGTTGGTGGTAGTCCAAGTAGTGGTGTACTCAGTAGCATCGTTTGCCTGTGGGAAAATGGAGGTGGTGGTTGTCAAAGAACCTGCAGAATCTGTAGTAACAATCACAACTCCCGAGTCGGTCTCAACAGACCCGTCAGGGTTGGTGGTAGTCCAAGTAGTGGTGTACTCAGTAGCATCGTTTGCCTGTGGGAAAATGGAGGTGGTGGTTGTCAAAGAACCTGCAGAATCTGTAGTAACAATCACAACTCCCGAGTCGGTCTCAACAGACCCGTCAGGATTGGTGGTAGTCCAAGTAGTGGTGTACTCACCGGCTTCAAGGCTACGTGGGAACGATGAAGTAGTAGTTGTCAAAGAACCTGCAGAATCTGTAGTAACAATCACAACTCCCGAGTCGGTCTCAACAGACCCATCAGGGTTGGTGGTAGTCCAAGTAGTGGTGTACTCAGTAGCATCGTTTGCCTGTGGGAAAATGGAGGTCGTGGTTGTCAAAGAACCTGCAGAATCTGTAGTAACAATCACAACTCCTGAGTCGGTCTCAACAGACCCGTCAGGGTTGGTGGTAGTCCAAGTAGTGGTGTACTCAGTAGCATCGTTTGCCTGTGGGAAAATGGAGGTCGTGGTTGTCAAAGAACCTGCAGAATCTGTAGTAACAATCACAACTCCTGAGTCGGTCTCAACAGACCCGTCAGGGTTGGTGGTAGTCCAAGTAGTGGTGTACTCAGTAGCATCGTTTGCCTGTGGGAAAATGGAGGTGGTGGTTGTCAAAGAACCTGCAGAATCTGTAGTAACAATCACAACTCCCGAGTCGGTCTCAACAGACCCGTCAGGGTTGGTGGTAGTCCAAGTAGTGGTGTACTCAGTAGCATCGTTTGCCTGTGGGAAAATGGAGGTGGTGGTTGTCAAAGAACCTGCAGAATCTGTAGTAACAATCACAACTCCCGAGTCGGTCTCAACAGACCCGTCAGGATTGGTGGTAGTCCAAGTAGTGGTGTACTCACCGGCTTCAAGGCTACGTGGGAACGATGAAGTAGTAATTGTCAAAGAACCTGCAGAATCTGTAGTAACAATCACAACTCCCGAGTCGGTCTCAACAGACCCATCAGGGTTGGTGGTAGTCCAAGTAGTGGTGTACTCAGTAGCATCGTTTGCCTGTGGGAAAATGGAGGTGGTGGTTGTCAAAGAACCTGCAGAATCTGTAGTAACAATCACAACTCCCGAGTCGGTCTCAACAGACCCGTCAGGATTGGTGGTAGTCCAAGTAGTGGTGTACTCAGTAGCATCGTTTGCCTGTGGGAAAATGGAGGTGGTGGTTGTCAAAGAACCTGCAGAATCTGTAGTAACAATCACAACTCCCGAGTCGGTCTCAACAGACCCATCAGGATTGGTGGTAGTCCAAGTAGTGGTGTACTCACCGGCTTCAAGGCTACGTGGGAACGATGAAGTAGTAGTTGTCAAAGAACCTGCAGAATCTGTAGTAACAATCACAACTCCCGAGTCGGTCTCAACAGACCCGTCAGGGTTGGTGGTAGTCCAAGTAGTGGTGTACTCAGTAGCATCGTTTGCCTGTGGGAAAATGGAGGTCGTGGTTGTCAAAGAACCTGCAGAATCTGTAGTAACAATCACAACTCCTGAGTCGGTCTCAACAGACCCGTCAGGGTTGGTGGTAGTCCAAGTAGTGGTGTACTCAGTAGCATCGTTTGCCTGTGGGAAAATGGAGGTCGTGGTTGTCAAAGAACCTGCAGAATCTGTAGTAACAATCACAACTCCCGAGTCGGTCTCAACAGACCCGTCAGGATTGGTGGTAGTCCAAGTAGTGGTGTACTCAGTAGCATCGTTTGCCTGTGGGAAAATGGAGGTCGTGGTTGTCAAAGAACCTGCAGAATCTGTAGTAACAATCACAACTCCTGAGTCGGTCTCAACAGACCCGTCAGGATTGGTGGTAGTCCAAGTAGTGGTGTACTCAGTAGCATCGTTTGCCTGTGGGAAAATGGAGGTGGTGGTTGTCAAAGAACCTGCAGAATCTGTAGTAACAATCACAACTCCTGAGTCGGTCTCAACAGACCCGTCAGGGTTGGTGGTAGTCCAAGTAGTGGTGTACTCAGTAGCATCGTTTGCCTGTGGGAAAATGGAGGTCGTGGTTGTCAAAGAACCTGCAGAATCTGTAGTAACAATCACAACTCCCGAGTCGGTCTCAACAGACCCGTCAGGATTGGTGGTAGTCCAAGTAGTGGTGTACTCACCGGCTTCAAGGCTACGTGGGAACGATGAAGTAGTAGTTGTCAAAGAACCTGCAGAATCTGTAGTAACAATCACAACTCCCGAGTCGGTCTCAACAGACCCATCAGGGTTGGTGGTAGTCCAAGTAGTGGTGTACTCAGTAGCATCGTTTGCCTGTGGGAAAATGGAGGTCGTGGTTGTCAAAGAACCTGCAGAATCTGTAGTAACAATCACAACTCCTGAGTCGGTCTCAACAGACCCGTCCGTCAGGGTTGGTGGTAGTCCAAGTAGTGGTGTACTCAGTAGCATCGTTTGCCTGTGGGAAAATGGAGGTGGTGGTTGTCAAAGAACCTGCAGAATCTGTAGTAACAATCACAACTCCTGAGTCGGTCTCAACAGACCCGTCAGGGTTGGTGGTAGTCCAAGTAGTGGTGTACTCAGTAGCATCGTTTGCCTGTGGGAAAATGGAGGTGGTGGTTGTCAAAGAACCTGCAGAATCTGTAGTAACAATCACAACTCCTGAGTCGGTCTCAACAGACCCGTCAGGGTTGGTGGTAGTCCAAGTAGTGGTGTACTCAGTAGCATCGTTTGCCTGTGGGAAAATGGAGGTGGTGGTTGTCAAAGAACCTGCAGAATCTGTAGTAACAATCACAACTCCCGAGTCGGTCTCAACAGACCCGTCAGGGTTGGTGGTAGTCCAAGTAGTGGTGTACTCAGTAGCATCGTTTGCCTGTGGGAAAATGGAGGTCGTGGTTGTCAAAGAACCTGCAGAATCTGTAGTAACAATCACAACTCCTGAGTCGGTCTCAACAGACCCGTCAGGATTGGTGGTAGTCCAAGTAGTGGTGTACTCGGTAAGGACACCATTATGAGAGGCAGATTCTGAAGTTTCACTGGTAGTAGACTCCTCAGTAGCTGTACTAGATTCTTCGGTTGCACTGGACTCGTCGGTAGCACTGGACTCGTCGGTAGTGTCGGTAGAGGATGACTCCTCAGTGGCTGTACTAGATTCTTCGGTTGCGCTGGACTCGTCGGTAGCACTGGACTCTGCGGTAGCACTGGACTCGTCGGTAGCACTGGACTCGTCGGTAGTGTCGGTAGAGGATGACTCCTCAGTGGCTGTACTAGATTCTTCGGTAGCACTGGACTCTGCGGTAGCACTGGACTCGTCGGTAGCACTGGACTCGTCGGTAGTGTCGGTAGAGGATGACTCCTCAGTGGCTGTACTCGATTCTTCGGTTGCACTGGACTCGTCGGTAGCACTGGACTCGTCGGTAGTGTCGGTAGAGGATGACTCCTCAGTGGCTGTACTAGATTCTTCGGTTGCACTGGACTCGTCGGTAGCACTGGACTCGTCGGTAGTGTCGGTAGAGGATGACTCCTCAGTGGCTGTACTCGATTCTTCGGTTGCACTGGACTCGTCGGTAGCACTGGACTCGTCGGTAGTGTCGGTAGAGGATGACTCCTCAGTGGCTGTACTCGATTCTTCGGTAGCACTGGACTCTGCGGTAGCACTGGACTCGTCGGTAGCACTGGACTCGTCGGTAGTGTCGGTAGAGGATGACTCCTCAGTGGCTGTACTAGATTCTTCGGTTGCACTGGACTCGTCGGTAGCACTGGACTCGTCGGTAGTGTCGGTAGAGGATGACTCCTCAGTGGCTGTACTCGATTCTTCGGTTGCACTGGACTCGTCGGTAGCACTGGACTCGTCGGTAGTGTCGGTAGAGGATGACTCCTCAGAACCACTACTGGACTCGTCGGTAGCACTGGACTCTTCGGTGGTCTCGGTAGAAGATGACTCTATAGCTGAAGAACTGAGCTCTTCGACTGGAGGGTCTGGAAATTCTTCACAGAAACAAATGTCGGGTACAGAATTGGATGTTGTTCCAGTATACCAAATTTCATCAGCAGTGACAAGAACCTTATTGGTCTGGAAGAGGTTTGAATTATATCCAGTTCCGATGTTCAAATCAACACTTAATCCGGGAAGGAATGTAAGACTTAATATTCCGGTATCGGCAGTATACTGGAAACTGGAAAAACGAAGATTCACTTTGATGATGTTTCCATTCTCAAATCCAGAAATGAGATACGTTCTGGCGCCATTCAAATTACTAGTAAACCCCGTAAGTGACAAAACTGAGGATGGGGTTGACAAGTAAATTCTTTGAGTTGGTGCGATGCTCCAGACATAACTCAAATCGAAAGTAGAGTGGTCCATAACATTGATGCACCCAGATCCCAGAACATACGTTGTTTGAGTCCAGCCCAAATTGTAAATACAAATAGTTCCATCATTTTGGGCGGTTCCCAAAGGTGTAGTAATGGAAACTGAGGAAGGATTGCCTTGCTCTTGTCTCATGTATATCTTTCCGGTGTTGATGAGCGTCGTTGTAGCTCCTAGAATAATAGGGGTAGCCAAAGAATATCCCGTCATACCAAACCACATATTACCATTGTTTACAAAACTTGCGATGGAAACGATGTTGTATGTTGTGCTAGCGAATGTAGAACGCGTAGAATTGAAAGCAACATCACCGTTGTTGAGAACTGTGCCCGACACCAAGGCAACAGAAGCTGCTAACAGATTAGTAGCAGTTACATAAAAAGCTCCGCCAGTATCAACTTGGAGACTGCCTGCTATTGTACTCATCAAATTGTTGACAATAGAGTAATATACGTCGGGATAAACATGAACATCTCCTAGTTGCAAATTGACTGGGCTCACGACTACTGTATCTTGAGTGATATCAGCAGCGTACGTGAGAACCCAGAGGAAAAGCGGAGCGAACAAGCTTCTCCAATACATTTGCTTTAATGAGGGATGCCTTTGAATTGTGAAGCCATCTCCTAGTATATATAGCGGTTACTTCGAAGGAAGTGGGGGTCTGCGATTAACATGGCTGCAAGTCCGTGTGCGCCATTTGTACAGGGTAAAGTTGCACAAGCACGAAGTTCCATTCAATGTAATTTCAGTTTGAGACCAATTCACTTAAACCTTCTGCAGATATATCAAACGCCGGTTGAACTCTCAAACTTGGGAATCACTTCATTCGCCGAAAATGTGGTTAGAATATTTGTTGACTGCCTAATGGGGCCCAACCGTAACCTGGAAATGGTATACGCATAATGATCTACCTAGGAAATGTGAGATTCTGAATAGGTGCATGTTCAGTACCTGTGCGGTAAGTGGGTCCAATCATTGGGACCATCACTGAAAAAGGACAGTTTTGCACAAAAATAGTATTGCTATTCCGGAATTGGGCTCACATAGATCTCCTCCCCCCCTCCTCTATCCTTGCCATGACAAAGAGATGATCTTTCTGTGAAATTAAGCTATTAAAGTTAGGATTTGCAATTTACCTTTGGAAAAGCTTCAGTGGCAGTTATTCAGGGATTTATGCACGAGGGGTTCAGATGGTTCGGAAATACAACGCAAAATCTGTGCTATGCAGGACGATTACTAAATTCAGCACATCTAAAAAAAACAAAGGTGATCAACTGTTGGCCACTTAGAGGGATCGGAGAGAAGATGAACTAACTGCAAACAACTAGTCACCAGAAATAGTGAATCCTTTGAAATGTATTATTCTTCATTATTAAACATCTGGAAACGTCTTAACAGAGAAAATTACTTGGGGTATAGTTGGATGTTCGAGCCCTGTGAAGGTAAAGGTGAAACGACGATCACAAGTAAGGAGAAGTATTTTAAGATGCTCAAGCTTAGACGTGCAGAATTTCACTCATAATTTTCAATATGGGAGTGTATTTAGCTCACATTTCTAGTGAATTCCTTTGGTTTAGCTTGGGTTGCTTCACTTCTAATTCCATCTCGTGGAGGCTGATACATTTTATGACCTGGGCTTCCGATATAGAAGCCTTAGCCTAGCGAAGACTCTTTACTGTTGCAATTTGATACATTTGTGGTCACCTCAACTTATCTACAAAGCCTTTACTTGCAAAATACGATAAAAACAACGCAAACAAGGATGTAATAATTGATTTCTAAGATTCGATGCATGTTTTCAAATGAGCTGGGCGAAAAGTATATCAATTTGAACCAAAGAAATCTTGTAATCTCCTTGAGAATCTCGTCAAACATATCCTATTTCTATTTCTGAATAATCTGTTTCGTGCTGTTGGGGTACATGGGAAAAGAAATCTTGCTTTCTAAAAATTGAGGGCACTTGACCATGTCATTACAATGTCAATACCAAAATGTGAAATAAATACCATGTAACCTAATCCCCAACTCAGTGGTATGAACCTCTATAAAAGGGTTCGGAATGAAATCCGGTGCCAGTCCATTGTGCGGATTACTCAAGTGGGACCCAGGCTCACTTGGGTTGATGTAGTCCTACGATTTTTTGTCAACTTTTAAACTCAAGCAACTCTTTTGAAATTTGTCTATTGCCAAGATGAATCCTCTACACAAATCGACCTGGGAAAATTGTCCGGAAGACAACCTCTTACATTGTTTCTGCGAGTGTCTATTATTTTATCGCGGATGCACTTGAGATTACAACAGATTCACACATATTCCATAGTGCATGTATATTTTTTTCTTCTAAACTATACAGTGAGTCCGTGCAAATTTTTGATAGTAGGTTTCTCATATGGAGGCAAGCCCATGAAGTGATAAAAGGAACAAGTACGCCTTTACTTTTATCGGTTAAATTCGTGCTTATACTTGCTCGAAGGCTCTTAAAGACTACAATCTTATGCAATTTGCAGAATGAAAGCCACATCTAAACTTGCATGGATGATGTACATAATTTCCTATTTTAACTTCAGAGCACGGGAAAATAACACAAGCATCCTATTGAGTCCGAGGTTAGTGCACGATAACTATTCTACCACTGCGTTCCCGACATTGTACTTTGAAGGAATATTTACATCTACTCATCTCACGTTCTCTGGTTAAAAATATAAGCATTGGCGTTCAGATTAGTGACTATTCTGGCTACTGCTCTTTCAGTCTCATTTTTCTGTATTTATGATCATCTGCTTGTCTACATTCTATTGAATTTCATTCCTGATTATGCAAGATAACTTCTTTCAGATGAGCCTAATGAGCTGAATGCTACTCCATTTTGTCAACCATTTGCATTATCTCCATATATAAATTCCGGTCACCTCTTTTGGATTTGCCCAAAAGCCCCGTATTTATGACCCTAAGTAAATTAATGAAAAATATTAGAATTATTCAAGATTGGCAAGGCGAGCATGGAGCACTTTGATTTTGTGTACGAAAAAGGAACTGAATCCATGAAGCAGCGGAACTTCAAAGAATGTATGCAGCTCAAGAAAATAAACTATTCCCATGCAGCCATATAATCACGTTTGTCGCAGAAATTTTAGTGCTTTCTCAACATTGTTATTAGACTGAGTAATTTCTGCAGTGCAAAACTATTAGCATTTTTCATTAATGTACCATTATATGGCGGGATGTTTTGATTTAAAAATTGCGGGAACGATAGTTCATTTTCTGTGTAGGGTTACACACGAATGATAGAGAGATTCAGTTGAAAGAGGCTCCAGGAATTCGCAACAAATATGCAGAAGAGGCTGTCTGAAGATTTGCGGTACTCTCCTCCCAAGATAAAAGTTGCCATTGTTCAATAGACTTCAAGGAAGATTGCTGATGTTTACGAAACTGCCAGAACAGTCCAAACTCGAAGAGCCCCTAAATGTTGGTTTGTAGTGGGATATTACTTTCCAATCTTTGCAATACCTTTTAATTGAAGGTTTGAGGTTACGCTTGAAAATACATCTTTGGATTGCAATTGGTCCCAACAAAAGGATGATAACTTTGGGGCATGTAAGCGAGTGGCATTTCTTGAAAACTAACTTTCTCACCTGTTGATACTGTCGAAAAGAAACTTGAGACTACAGATAGCCTAAGAATCAATCAAGGAATTTCCACCATTTTTTTAGTTCTTAGTTTTTAACTGTCTTATTAATAAACCATTTCATATACTCAGATAAGGGCACAATTTTCCACTGATCAGTGTCCACAAATACCACGGTACTCAATCGCATTGCTTAACTATGGAGAACATCTCTGATCCTTTTTCTCTAAAGATTCTAAGATAACGGGTTTTACTGATATCAAATTGTATCGCGATAGAAGATAGTCAGGAACTTCGATAAGTATTGTTTCTTCTAGCCAACCTAACAACTGAATCAGGACCATCAAAAGCCGTTCTCATTCTGATGAGAAGTTATTAAGTTCGATCAGTGACACAGCCGGAATACTATTGCTCACGTTTCTCTTCTTTTCATGAAGAGCTTTTCTCTTCGATTCTGAGCTGTTCGATGCTGTTGTCTCCAATGTATAACTGCACTCTGTCAAATTCCTTCCCTGTGAGAGAAATTATCCACCAAACATGAGTATTCAGATTATTAGCCTTCCTGGCTCATTCAAACGGAAACATCGACGAATCAGTTGAAATTCGGGCTTTTTAGTATTACTCCTAAAGAATTGTTAGCAGGAGTGAATTCTATGATTATTAAGTAATTGAACATCACGAATAAAGTAATAAAATCAAAAGGGACTTTTCATGTCTATTATTATTTCATGATTCAAGTGTTTTAAATTTGAACGTTTGTATTTAGAGTTCATCCTTTTCTTAGGTTTGATTGTAATTTGCATTCTCACATACTTTAGGCAAATAACAATCACAATTCTGAAAGCGCACCAAACATAAAAAAGTAAAATGTCTACTTAAAAATCGAGTTCGCGATAAAAACAAAAAAAAAACCAACCCATTTGTATATATAGAGCTTCTTCATGGCCTTGAAATGAAACTCTTGAAAATGATAAGTTCTACCTATGCTTTCTTTGGGTTCAGCTTAGAAGACTTAAATATCCTGCATAAGATAGAATTTCATAGAGCAGGACACTTTAATGAACCATAATCTGAAGGATATACTTCCAGGAAGTGGAGCCAACCTTCTGGTAAAGAGAAAGATCTATAGGGCCGAATGTTTAGTACCAAGCCATGGTTCAGTCTTGACTTTAGGCTCTACGCAGTGAGCTAAGTTTGCGAGAGATTTTGACCATTATGAACACATTCGTAGAGCATGGGAACAGAGAGTGTAAGATAGAAAGAAACGCAAAACAATGCCCGCTTACTTTTTAAATACACACTCATATTATTCTAAGCAACATTTATTATATTCTATGTTAGAGTTCTGAGAGACCAAATTGCAATAGACCTGGAAGGTTGTGAAGAAGTGTATTGGAATGCTATTGTCATCACCAAAGCTCTCGCCATTCGGCCACGCAAGTTGCAATCTCCTGAAAACAACATGTTCAAATGAATTACCCGACAGTTAGCTTTAGCTCAAGTCACTGCAGAGTTTTTTTTTTTAGAACATTTATAATAGAGAATCGAAGGTTATATTTCACTTCTCCTTAATCTAATGGGAGCATTAGACTCAACCACTAAACGAATATGTTAGCGATCGGGTCGAAGATTGCCGGAAGTCAGGAGATATTTGATAATAACTTAAATTGTAGTACTTTAAAGTTTAACTAAGCTTAAGGTAAGAAGATCTCCTGGTTAAGGACAAAGGACCAGACCTCTAATATTTATATCTCAATTCTAAGGAGTCTAGTTCCTTCCAATCTCAAAGATGGTTTGATATTGGTTTAGGATATGTTTCACTAGGCGGGGCCTAGGAACATCTGAAACATGGATCTACATTTCAGATCCTTGACTTGAATCTAAGATGTGCGACATCTTAGTCCCTACTAGATGGTTCTGGACTTATGACGAAGCCTAGACCTTCGTTTACGGCCTCGCCGGCCTCTTCTCTCAGAGGAACTAATGATCGTGAGGATACATTGATTACGTTTCCTAAAAGAATATAAGATCGGGCGTGTGGTCTAGTGGTATGATTCTCGCTTTGGGCGACGGTTCGGCACACTGAACTGAAATCACAAGCATGCGAGAGGCCCTGGGTTCAATTCCCAGCTCGCCCCATCATTTTTGGTGGTTTCTTCCTATTTCCTTCCCTTTTTTTTTTTTCGTTATTGGAAAGTCAGAATCGGTAGGACCACTTTCGAATAAGGCAATGCCCTATTTCCACAACAAGCACTTGAAGTACGGACTATGAGATTCACTCATGGAGATATGGCTAAGGACCAGAGCTTAAGATGACTAATACTACAATTGACGGACATTGAAGCGAAAATTGATTAACGAAAAATGGAGAAATCCTTAGGGTTGTCAGAAAAACTTAAGTTTTCAAAAGAGTGACTGCGAATAAGCGAATCATAGATGTCCTTATTCTGGAAATATCCTCACCATTGAGGGTGTAATGCAGTTATCGAAGGTTTCCGGGGAGAATGCAACCAAGAACGATATGCTGCTTCATACGAAGCTGAATCAAACCATTGCAAGAGCAATAACACTAATAATTATTGTTAAACTGAAACGAGTAGTGGAAGAACCTCCTTCGAAAGTTGAAATATCAGCAGAAACTGACAGAGACTCCTGGTTTGCAACACTTGAGCTGATATAAGTTGAAACTAATGTAGAACCAGCAGCATTTGGTACAGACTCAGTAGCCTGGTAAGTTTCAATGTTAGAGCCCTGTGAGCCAGTTGTGGTAGTGACATATACAACGGTAGTTTCTTCACTTATCTGATTCTGCTCGCCATTACTACTTTCACTGGTAGCTTTCTCTGCAGCAGAACTCTCAGCCACACTGGAAGCTACCACTGTCGTTTGACCTCCGGGTTGCCCACCAGTTGAAGTTTGTTCTTCTGGCTTATGAATATTGTTGTATTCACTGGATTCACAAACAGTGGAAACAGTAGAAACGGTGACTGTGACAACGCTTAGATTGCCAGAGATGTCAGATGACGAGCTCTCAATACCGCAGACAGTTACAGTCAGTCCAATGAAGTCAGTAGTGACAAAAGTCACAGTGTTGCCTTCAGTTGGAGTGGAATGCACCAAGGTGGTGACAGGCCCACCTGCGGAATCAGTCGAAACATGTACCTCGCCACACACTGTAGTCGTCACACCCTTGACAATTGTCGTAGTCCATGTTGAGGAATACTGTGTGCAAATGGGGCAAATAGTCTCGGTGACGACAACCGAATTGGTTTCCACAACAGTTGATGAACTTTTGCCTGAAGTTGACGTCTCAACTATAACCACTTCTTCGCTTGAGGTGGTACCCTCATAGGTCACCACAGACAGAATAGTCTGAGTCAAAGTGTGAGTACCTGTCCATGGAACAGTAACTGAACTGGTATCTACGGAAGTTGGTACAATCTGAGTGCTAGACTCCTCAGTGTTGCCATTCGTTGTTAACGAAGACAGAGAATTAGTCCATGGAAATGAGAGAATTGAAGATGGAGTCTCAATGACAACCAAAGTTTCAGTGACAGTGGTACCCAGTCCAGTAATCACGGTGTCGGTGGTATAAGTCGAAGTGAAAGTTCCTGTCCATGGGATGGTAGTGGTAAGAGTGGACACAGGAGTCTCGATGACAACCAAAGTTTCAGTGACAGTGGTACCCAGTCCAGTAATCACGGTGTCGGTGGTATAAGTCGAAGTGAAAGTTCCCGTCCATGGGATGGTAGTGGTAAGAGTGGACACAGGAGTCTCGATGACAACTAAAGTTTCAGTGACAGTGGTACCCAGTCCAGTAATCACGGTGTCGGTGGTATAAGTCGAAGTGAAAGTTCCCGTCCATGGGATGGTAGTGGTAAGAGTGGACACAGGAGTCTCGATGACAACCAAAGTTTCAGTGACAGTGGTACCCAGTCCAGTAATCACGGTGTCGGTGGTATAAGTCGAAGTGAAAGTTCCCGTCCATGGGATGGTAGTGGTAAGAGTGGACACAGGAGTCTCGATGACAACCAAAGTTTCAGTGACAGTGGTACCCAGTCCAGTAATCACGGTGTCGGTGGTATAAGTCGAAGTGAAAGTTCCCGTCCATGGGATGGTAGTGGTAAGAGTGGACACAGGAGTCTCGATGACAACTAAAGTTTCAGTGACAGTGGTACCCAGTCCAGTAATCACGGTGTCGGTGGTATAAGTCGAAGTGAAAGTTCCCGTCCATGGGATGGTAGTGGTAAGAGTGGACACAGGAGTCTCGATGACAACCAAAGTTTCAGTGACAGTGGTACCCAGTCCAGTAATCACGGTGTCGGTGGTATAAGTCGAAGTGAAAGTTCCCGTCCATGGGATGGTAGTGGTAAGAGTGGACACAGGAGTCTCGATGACAACTAAAGTTTCAGGGAAAGTTCTTGTCAGTTCAGTGACAGTAGTTGCAGTGGTGTAGGTGGAGGTGAAAGTGCCGGTCCAAGGAATTGTGGTTGTTGAGGTGGTTTGAATACACATATTGGAATCAAATGTTACTTGGTAGATGTTCAGACCAATGTCATATGCCGCAGATGATGATGGTGGAATGTAAGTCATGTTGAAAAAACCTTGACTAACTTTGTTGAAGTAAACGATCTTGACAGGGTAATAGTTTCCTCCTACTAATTCAAGCGTTGCCAGGTCATACAGATTGTCTCCCCAATTCGTGTTGCCCTTGGTGTTCTTGAAGGTGCTTGTGGTGTTTACTCCGTTCAAAAGGTCGCAACAAGAAGTACCAGATCCGATCAGGAAAGTGTATCCGTCGTTGACACCTCCGTAAAATTTATAGGAGCCAGACTTGTCAGCGTAGAAGTAACCGTTCATCTCGAGGGTGAAGTTTGAGATGGTCGTGGACACTCCATAGACTTCACCCTGCTGTACAGCACTAATGCTCTCAAGTCCCACTTCGAAAAAGGTTTCCGTGATTCCCGAAACATGGTTGTATTGGGTTGTACGGTAACCTCCTTCAAAGAACCCATCTTGGTAACCGACATTGCTGGACTTCACGTACGTATAGAATGTTACGTCAAATCCTTTCGAGACTTGCGTCCCCGAAGAACAGCCCAGAATGGCGCCAATAGGGGCCGCAAGTAACGAGACAGCCACTAGTAAAGCTCTTTTGAACATCGAGGAATTTATAGGTATCTCATTACGATTAACTTATATCCTTACTTTATATCTCAAAGCTCAGTATACCGACGCGATACGCGGTAGAGAAAATTCTATTGCTGATTCTTTTGTGACTGCAAACCATTTCCAGACGGAACATGTTTCGTAAGTGCATGTCTTTGTGTAAGAGGTGTTGCAAAGTTCGACGTGTCACTCTTGATAATTCATTCAACCGCTAAAACTTCCAGAAGCCCCCATAACATACGAAGGAAAGCTCTACCTTCTAACATCTGTTCTGTCATTAATCATTAATTTGCAAGTGAACAAAGTTGAGTTGATGTGTGTTGTTAGTAAAGAGGCGCTGTGCTTTAACGATTAAGCGTACATGACAACCTTCGCTAAACCTAACTTAAGTATGTGCATGACCACAATGCCTGTCCATGCCTGGAACATCACTATTAATAAACTGAAGAAATGACTCGCATTCGAAACTTGCAACATTTTCATCAACCCGGGATCTATCAGAAACAAAGTTATCACTTGTTCTCTTTTCAAGGAACATAATCTCCGAATATCAGACAAGAAAAGCTGAGCAATCACTCATTTTCACATTGACGGAACAGAAATAAGGTTTGGAAACCGAAATACGCGATCGATGGAAAAGAACACTCTTTGTTTCGCGTACTGATGCACCAAGGGGTAAAAGAACTTTCATGAATTCACTAAAGAACAAAATAGAATGCAGGAGGAAGTTGTCAGGAACGAAAGTGCATTCCCAGCCAGTTTTTACCGTGAATATCCTACTGCCTTAATGGTTCCGTGAATAATCGTGTCGAAGGAGGGTATGTCAATGTACCAATTCACTTAGGCAATTTCGAAACTATGTCTTTGGATTTGGCTTTAGAGTTGCCTGACCTCGACACACTAATTCCAAGATTCTGGTGTATACTTTACTGAACTCTAATTTTCAGAAAACCAATATACCGCCTTAAACTAGTGAATAGCCTCTAGTATAACCGTAAAATTATTATTATCTCTATATCCGTGAAATTGAAAATCAATTCCAAAGTCTTCACTCACAAGATTAACCATGGAAGTGACACGAATAGCATGATCAAAACGTAGAAAACAATGTTTGGACTTACAACTGAAGCTCCTGAGGAAGCGACTTCGACCACGGGGTTGCCACTATTAGCTTGAGAGCCCGAATTAACAGTCTGAGAAGGACCATCATGCACACTTTGAGTAGTAACACCAAATTCTTGAGAGTTCTGTGCATTGTTTGTCGGAGACGAAAAATCAACGTCTGACAGCAATCTTGACTTTGGAATGGTGATTGTCTTGGTTCTGTTTGATTTTGAGGAATTGCCAGCATCAGCTTTATTGGTGTCGCTAGCTTCGCCAACTGAAGGGGTACTTGTAGTACCATTCTGCAAAGCTTCAGTTGCGATCGTAACATCAGACGCGTAAGCCGTTTCTTCCGAATAATCGGTATCAGAGAGACGGATGCTACCACTCAAGCTCAAAAGAAGATGTGTGTCCGACGACGCGGAAATGGCGATATCAAATGACAAACTCGAGGCATGAGTTCTCTCAGTCTTCGTGGCGCTTGGTAATTTGCTATCGCTAGTCAGAGTCTTATTGTGATCTCCGCTCACATTGTGTCCAATTTCTGTATTAGCCCCAGAATTGTCTCCTCCATCGGAATGAACAAGCAACGTGGAAACAGTACTAGCAAGATTCAGAGGAGCAATTATTGTAGCCGAGCTTCGATCGACTTCCGTAGATTCACCAGATCCTGATTTAGTACTTGCAGAAACTGCCAACGTGTTACCAGAGACGGAAGCCGTGGAATGATAGATAGAATCTTCCAGGCTATTCGGAACTCCTGTTCCCGAAATATTCAGGGATTCTATGACGTGCGTTATGTCAACACCTGTGAACTTTGACAGGGAGAAACTCAGGTCAGTTGATGTGTCTGCAACTACAATATTGGAAGCACGTGAATCGATGCCATCGGTTGCAGATGGGAAGGATGAGCTCTCACTAAGCGAACCACTTTCGACAGACGAGCAATGCTCATTGGCACTTTCACTGAAGCTACTCGTTAATTCGCCGAGCGAGGACCTATCGGCATCTAAATTGACTCCAGTAGGAATGCTGTTTCCATTTGTTGTGCTCGCAGCATTTAGGGGGTCTGACGAAACAGAGTCTTCACCAATGAGGGCGGTCTGCCTGATTTCAGTATTTGAGACAACTGACGCAGTAGAATCGTAGGTATCGAATTGGGACAGACGTGGCAAACTGTATGATATATTCCATCCCCCTCTATTGTACACATCCAAAGTCAGTTGTGACAGATGGAAGGCGGTCGGAATACTTAAATCCACTGTTGACAGATCGCCAAGTTGGTTTTCGATTGAGCTCTTTGAGAAAGACGCAATGTAACTCAAGCTAGACGTCAGCTGAGAAGTATCTGAGGCAGAATTTGAAGTGGAGGAAGTTATTGGCCAACCTGAGTACTCACTGACCACAGAGTATGGACCATCCACGGAATGTGGATAATAAATGCTTGTTGATTCAGTTTTCACAGACGAAACAGAATAATCAGGCATACGCGAGCTAGAAACAAAGTCAAATGAGGAATAGCCAGCTATGTCGGAATCAATTTGCACTGAGGTTTTAGATCCTGATACTTGAGAGCCGTACACCGATGAAGTAGTAGGCTCTGAAGGATCAGAATAAGCAGGGGATGAGGAACCTGGAACGAGCAAGTTTGAAGCAGATGTATCAAGCACAGAGGAGTCGGGAAGGGAAGAATCAGACAGAGTTGGATCAGACAGTGTAGGATCAGTCAGCGATGGATCAGTCAGCGATGGATCAGACAGCGTTGGATTAAGTGCGTCACCAGTAGCCAAGTCAGTGAGTATCGAAGTCAAGGACACTATTGGCCAACCTGAGTACTCGCTGACAACGTAATATGGACCGTCCACGGAGTGTGGATAGTAAATGCTTGTAGATTTAGTCTCCGCAGGCGAAACAAGTACAGAGGAGTCGGGAAGGAAAGAATCAGACAGTGTAGGATCAGTCAGCGTTGGATCAGACAGAGCTGGATCAGACAGTGTAGGATCAGACAGAGCTGAATCAGACAGCGTTGGATCAGACAGCGTTGGATCAGACAGAGCTGGATCAGACAGCGTTGGATCAGACAGAGCTGGATCAGACAGCGTTGGATCAGACAGCGTTGGATCAGACAGTGTAGGATCAGACAGAGCTGGATCAGACAGCGTTGGATCAGACAGAGCTGGATCAGACAGTGTAGGATCAGACAGCGTTGGATCAGACAGAGCTGGATCAGACAGAGCTGGATCAGACAGCGTTGGATCAGACAGAGCTGGATCAGACAGCGTTGGATCAGACAGCGTTGGATCAGACAGAGCTGGATCAGACAGTGTAGGATCAGACAGTGTAGGATCAGACAGAGCTGGATCAGACAGCGTTGGATCAGACAGAGCTGGATCAGACAGAGCTGGATCAGACAGTGTAGGATCAGACAGTGTAGGATCAGTCAGCGTTGGATCAGACAGAGCTGGATCAGACAGCGTTGGATCAGACAGAGCTGGATCAGACAGCGTTGGATCAGACAGAGCTGGATCAGACAGAGCTGGATCAGACAGTGTAGGATCAGATAGTGGATCAGACAGCGTTGGATTAGGTGCGTCATCAGTAGCCAAGTCAGTGAGTATCGAAGTCAAGGACACTATTGGCCAACCTGAGTACTCGCTGACAACGTAATATGGACCGTCCACGGAGTGTGGATAGTAGATGCTTATAGATTCAGTCTCTTCAATCGAAACAGAGTATGCAGACAGAAATGAGTCTAAATCAAGATCATGCGAGGGCAGATAACCTGTTTCCTTGGAAACGGTCCCCCCGATGAATGAAGAATCGAGATCTGAACTATATACCAAGGAGTCACTTTGTGGAAAACCAGATAACGTGCATACTAAAGATTCAGAAACCAAAGAATCAGATACTGAAGTGTCAGAAGTCGAGGCTACCGATACTTCAGAACCAGACTCTGAGAAACCAGAAATTGAAGAGTCTGATGGAAGTGATATTGATGGAAGTGAGGGGCGGGACTCCAAAAAAGTGGAGTCAGAGACGAAAGACCCTTGAAATGATGACTCTGAAATAAAGGACTCAGAAATGGCAGAATCAGACGCGGAACTTACCGAATTAGAAATTGAAGAGCTAGAAGTAAAGCTGCCAGATATTAAATAATTGTCAACTGAAGAATGCGATATTGAAGCTTCTGTTACCATGGTATACGAGGACGTGGAGATCTCAGTATCCGAAATGGTGTCGCTAGATATGCCAGATGTTGAATCAGGCAACGCTTCAGAAGTTAGTTGCCAGCCAGGGTAATTACTAACCACAGTTGATGGTCCCATCAACGTTCGCGGAAGTATTGTATCGGTCACTTCTTCATCTGACGCAGTGGACACAGACACTGATGAGCTTGGGGCATGATAACCCCGGGAAAAGTGATCACTAGTTTCAGAATCGCTTGTAACAATTGATGTAAAATCTGATGCTGATAAGTCAGAGGTAACAAATGAAATGTGAAGTGACGATTTTTTCTCGACTGATACCAGTTCGGACAAATTTAGGGAAACAGAAGCTAAATGACCCAGACCCGAGGAAGTCAATTCTGCAGAAAGAGAAGCACTAGAGGAAGCTGTAATGGAAGTTTCTAGCTCTCTTAACACCGAACTTGAAAAAGTCTCATCTTTACTCGATGGAGATTCGACAGAAGAAGCAGTCGACAAGTTGTCCGAGATCGAGAGATCTTGAAAGCTCGAATCAGTAGACCAATTAATTTCATCCGTAGAAGTTGACAGGATAGATGAAACTGCAGTGCCCAAATCAGGGTCGGTCTGAATCAAAGCACTTGAAGTCCACAGTACAGATTCTGACGTAAAGGAGCGCTCGGTCTCGTAGGGGCCAGATATTAGAGAAGACGAATCGACTTCCACAGCAGAGATAGCCTCACTTAATGGCTTAGCGTCAGAAACGTAACCTGATACTAAAGAAACTTCATGGGTAGTAAAGTCAATAGAATCAGAAGAGGCAAAGCTTTGGCTGAAGTGTGACTCAGATTCGAACAAATAGTCACTATGAGGAGCACCAGGATCAGAATTCTCTTCACTAGATGTGACATAAGACTCGAAACTTTCTTGAATAGCAGCAGAAGACAAGGTGGTTGGAGCAACAAATATCGCTGTCTTACTCACAGACAAAACAGACAGTTCGCTTACGTCTGAAGACGCGGAGAATGACTTAACCACTGAGGAGGAGAGAACACCAGAACTCAATTCCGAGGAATGGTTGAAGATCACATCCAGCTCCTCATTTGCTGATGACGAAGGCAGATCAGATGAAGTTATCAATTCTTCTTCAGAAGTGGAGGAACCATAGCTATCAACTGAAGAATCTTCACTGATTGACGAAGCAATGTTCCCGGTAGCAGAAAAATTCTGAGATGCAGTTGCAGAGAAGAATAACTCACTGGAAGAAGACGAGTCTCCATTGACAGATGAAGATAAAGCATCGTTAGTCTCGGCGGTGAATGATGTCTGGCTATTAATAGAATAGTCTCCATCAACTGAATGCAGTGGGGCAGCCGATGAGAATGCCAGTTCCTGCTTCGAGGAATGGGACAATTCTAGATGCGATGATCCATATGCTTCGGATGAAGTCTCGACAATGCCCGAGGAACTGGCTGAAAAAGAAGGACTAGCTGAAGATTCTCGCGAAGAGGATGAAAGACTTTCATCAATTAAAGTAGAAGAAGTTTCAAGTGTGGCTGTGGATGAAGTTTCAGCTGACAATGACAATTCGAATCCGGAAGATTCTGAAATTGCAGAACTCACCTTTTCAGGAGTTGGAACAGGATCTGAGAACAAAGATGAAGTTTCGTCAGGAGCGTCGAAGGTCAGCAACTCTTCCCGTAAACTCTGCTCGCTCGAATATGGAGTAGGGATTGTAACGTATATGATGAGGTCGACTCTTCCGCCTGGCCCCGGCATAGTGGTTGTGAATTCATATGTTTCAGACCAAGTAAGAGTCTCTGTGAATGTTGACCTCGGTACTTCGATGATTACTGTTTGAGTTCCATCTGCACCTGGAATAGTAACAGTTGAAGTGTAGTCTTGATCCCAGGTCAGTTGAAAGGTGGTAGTCGAACTTGGGACTTCCACAATTACTGTTTGAGTTCCATCTGCACCTGGAATAGTAACAGTTGAAGTGTAGTCTTGATCCCAGGTCAGTTGAAAGGTGGTAGTCGAACTTGGGACTTCCACAATTACTGTTTGAGTTCCATCTGCACCTGGAATAGTAACAGTTGAAGTGTAGTCTTGATCCCAGGTCAGTTGAAAGGTGGTAGTCGAACTTGGGACTTCCACAATTACTGTTTGAGTTCCATCTGCACCTGGAATAGTAACAGTTGAAGTGTAGTCTTGATCCCAGGTCAGTTGAAAGGTGGTAGTCGAACTTGGGACTTCCACAATTACTGTTTGAGTTCCATCTGCACCTGGAATAGTAACAGTTGAAGTGTAGTCTTGATCCCAGGTCAGTTGAAAGGTGGTAGTCGAACTTGGGACTTCCACAATTACTGTTTGAGTTCCATCTGTACCTGGAATAGTAATTGTTGTGAGATAATTGCCACTCCAAGTAGTAGTTGTAGAAAAGGTCGAACTTGGAACCTCAACAATTACAGTCCTAGTTCCGTCACTGCCTCCTACCGTTGTTGTAGAAGTTCTGGAGCCACTCCATGTAGTTGTCAAGGTGGTGATAGAACTTGGAACTTCAACAATTACAGTCCTAGTTCCATCACTTCCTCCTACCGTTGTTGTAGAAGTTCTGGAGCCACTCCATGTAGTTGTTAAGGTGGTGGTAGAACTTGGAACTTCAACAATTACAGTCCTAGTTCCATCACTTCCTCCTACCGTTGTTGTAGAAGTTCTGGAGCCACTCCATGTAGTTGTCAAGGTGGTGGTAGAACTTGGCACACCAACCAAGACGGTGTTCATCTGATGATTTGTGATGGTCGTTGTCGAAGAAAAGACGTTGCCCCAAGTGGTGGTGACAGTTGTAAAGCAGGCACCATCGGAGAATGTGGCTTGGTAAACAACATTGGAAAAGGTAGAAACTTGGTTATTGTTTGGATCAATGTAGTATAATTTGAGACCACCATTACCCAGCCAATTAAAGGTGACAATCTTGATAGGATAATAGGTGCCAGCAACCAAAGAGAAGGTAGCAGTATTACTATTTGCATCCACATTACCACCACCACCAGCAGGACCCAAAGTGTCGATACTGAAGTCTCCTGTGATACTACCCAATGGGTCATTACAGCAGGAAGTTCCCGCACCAAATTGCAAAGAGGCACCATTATCTGCATTCAAATAGAAGGTGTAGTCTCCAGAGACCTGAGGCAAAAAAAAACCAGAGAGTTCAATGGTGTAGTTGGAAATGGAAAGGGGTACGCCATAGATGGTTCCACTCACCACCTTGTTGAAAACAGCATCAAACAGGAAGTTGATGTCTGATACGATTGGCAAAGATGCAAATATTCCATTTGCCTTGTATCCAGTTTCGAAGAAACCTTTAGTCCATCCGACTGGGTCGTTCAATCCGTATCTATAGAAGTTGACTTTGAAACCATTTCCAGTCAATGAATCAGGAACACATCCTCCAGTATCGGCGATTACGACAACCGCCAAGAGGTGTAGGCATAGTAGGAAGAGACCGCTCATGTGAGTTTGGATACAACGAAGATGTTCGAATTTTTAGGGGCTTTCCGAGGAATAAAACATCGGCGAAAGGCGGCTATAAGTATATGGAAAGTTAAATGCATAGAAGACTATCTGCAGATGCATAAAAGATCTTCAAACGGTCGTAAAATTACTGTGCATATGACCTGAGAGTTCTTACGATTCGGGGCAAACAAATAGAATGCATATGACAAGGCTGATGAAACACTCGTAGAAGAGTCGGATTTTCCTTCCATGGAAGCACAACTGGTATATCGGCGAACCTTCTCTTCTGACCTGCGTTGCAGATTCATGAGGTGAGAGTGAACAAAGTCACCAGATTTGATAATCTAGATACAAGAAATTATACTTTCCTCTTCTTCTACGCATTCCGCGGAAAAGGATCCCTGCCTTCGCATGTAACCGTACAGAATTTTGTGTGGTGCATGAGAATTTCAACTATCGCATTAGTAAATTAAGGTCTTAGTTATATGCAAATCAAGTGTGCTGACTGGAGTTGTCAGGCCCATGAATAATGGAACCTGGCTCGGGAGCCGCCTTGTGAAACCACGATTTCCGTTGCATGAAAGAGGGCCTCACAATCACAAAGGCAAAGAGAGAAATTTTCGAATGCGGAGATACTTTCTTTGCCATTGAGTTATTGTCTCATAAAATGCATACAGGAATGCATCAGTGCATGGAAAGATGCACCCACCCAAATGTTCTTTGGATATAAGTAATTAGGGACGGCTACTCCGTAAGAACAAAATGATACAAAGGTACATTTCTAGAACTCTAAATGGGAGACAATTTGGTCTTTATTTTTCTGCTGTATTGGTACCCCTTCACGAGAGTGAAAGCGAATAAGCGTTATGCATGCTGTCATGTGCACCCGCCCAAATCTCCCGCCTCACAACAATTCTATATTCAGGGAGAAATCAGGGAAAAGGAATGACAACCGGGCAACATAACATAGAACTGAAGTATTTGTTCCATGCTTAGGCCGGAGAAGCACGGATCTCGCATAAATCGTTCGCCGCAGAAGAGATCTTATCATGTGGCTCGAAAACGTGTTACGGGATGACCAGAGATTTGCAATGTGATCAGCGAGCATGAAGTTAGGCGACTTTTTAACCGCACATATATGCAAACGACCGAAAATTGGACACAGATAAGCACGCATTGATAGAAAAAAAGAGAATTTAGTGAACTGTCCTCGGTCAATGACCTGGGAACCTGGACAATTGAAAAAGAAGAAAAAATCTCCGCTTAGAAAACTATCCCTATTGCAGTATAGTAGAGAACTTAAACAATTTCAGGGTAGACACACGATCAAAATATTTTAGATTGCGTGAATCATCGAAGATTGTACATTAAAATGCATTTACGGAAACAAGCGGAAAACAAAGACGGATCAGTTCCGGATTCAGTAGAAGAGGGTCTTGTTGGCACAATCAACCATCTTGGCTTCCCCTGATGTGGAGGGTTGCACCTTGAATGGGGAGAGACCGAATTCTTGCAATGCTTCATCGCCACCAATGTCTTCCACATCACGAGAAGTCGCTCTACCAACATGGGTTGTCTCACCCGGACCGAAGGGAAACCCCGGAAAATCGGGAGGCGTGAGCCCTTTCAAAAACGTCTCACGTTGAGTTAGCGCATACTTTAAGTTAACATCACATAACGGGGCTGACGGAATGTAAAAAACAGAAGAGTCCAATTTGCCCTGGTGTACCGGGTCCACGGAATGAATCATGTCACAGTGCCAGAACACCATGTCACCAGGCTGCACCTTTGGAACAGGTACCATTAAATCATCGAGGCTTAATCCCGGATGTGTTTGGTTGTTAAATTCTTGGCCCTTTCCGGGAGACGCACCAGGAAATGAGGAGTCTAAATTGAGGTTGTCATTTTCGTCAAAGAATGGCCTTAACATCCAGTAGGCAGTGACAATTTTAATAAGTGGTGCAAAGAGAATGGTTCCTTCTTTGGGAGCAATTTCGGAGACTGCCAACCAACCCTGGAAGGAACGGAAGATGTTACAACTACCAGATGACTCGTAGTACTCCATATTGGTATTGACTCTATGAGTGGAATCATATGGATCAAAATCTTCATATCTGCCTTCAAAAATTGGGGCATAACACAGGCTGTACTCTTTGTCTACCCATCGTTCAAGAGATCCACCGTCTGCATGTGGACCTAAGGAAAACATTGCATCTCCAGGCTGTCTGATCCTCATTCGATCTGCGTACATAATATTTTGGTTAAGTGAGATGCGAGTCTCGGGTGATGCATGCCACAAACTGTTCATGAATGCCAAAGATTGTCTCAATTGTGGATGGGATCTGGCTTTCACTTGTGACTTGGACCAGTATAATTCGTAGACCACCTTGTTTTTGGCAGGAAACCCTCTGGTCTGTGGGTTCGCTTCAATGTAGTCAATCACCTCTTCTTTCCAACCTTCAGCAACGTCTCTAGGAACGACATTCTTGATAACAACACAACCTCTATTAGAGATGTTGAGTTTTTGTTCTGGACTAATCTTTTCAAGCTCAGCAAAGTCGATCTGTGGAATGGCTCCCGACCCTAGGTTCCTGATCTCCGCGATTCCGGCTGCAAGATCTTCTTTCAACCTTAACCATGATTCCTTGACAGCGACAGGGTCCTTAATGAGGGCTTTCTTCACTTGGGCAAACGAATCATCTAAGCCTTTGGCGGATTGTGAAAATGAGTCAAATACTGACGAGATGTCTCCATCCGGTCTCACTTTGGCCTTGGAGAGATCGCATGGACGAAACTGAGTGGTAACAGCAGGCATTTGTGGACAATTTTTTCTTTAATTTTTTTTTGTTTTTTGTTTTGGTGTATTTCTATCCAAATTATAGGAAGTGTAGAACGATAGGAAATAGATCAAGAAGCTTCTCTTATTCTTATATTGCTTGATTACAGAGGATAAAAAGATGGGGTAGCGGGGCCGCTACCTAATTTGGACTTCCGCCCGCACGGGCCCTATTCAGGAAGGCCGCCCGCCCCCATATTTCGTCCGCCAATGTATGTTGCTTTAATTACTACATGAGCTTCACCGTATCAACCTTTGCCCTCAAGAAAAGAAAGGTAAGTTGAAACCATCTGATTACCCCTCAAAATCATGCTAACCGTTTCTGCATTCTGTGGCTGCGTGCCTAAGATGTCGAACTCTCAAGAGAAAATGTGAGATTACAGGTCAAGATTCCGTATGTGATCGCTGTGCCAGAAGCTCGTCCCAATGTGAATGGCAGTCTGCCCCTGAACCTAAGCGAATAAAGCTGGCTGAATGCCGCATCTCAGAGGAACAAGTCTTCGCCAAGATGTTCCGAGATAACGACCAGACAAGACCACAATTTGTGTGTTCAACCCAGCCTTTAGCGCTGCTCTTGAGTCGAGATTCAATCTTGTGTTTCGATGGTGATGCCTACGGTCTTTTCTACCCATGGAGAGGTGGACTGCGTCCTAACGTCGAGAGAGATGAGGATTTGATCCAATTCTTGGATACCAAAGGTGCTTTTAGGCTCCCTCCCATCGCAGAGCAACGATATCTTGTGAGTCTCTTTCTTGATAACTTGTATCCGTTTTACCCCGTGGTCAATCGGAATATCATCGACAATCTCCATGATGTCCCACTCTTACTCCTCAATGCCCTTTTCCTCACTGCGGTCAGACTTGATAAACGGATTTCACTGCACGAAGTACGGCCCCGGCTAGCAGAGTTTTTTCAGCGATGTAAGTGGTTGGAATTGATTGAAAATAATAAGGTGGTGCTCATTCAGCTGTATCTCTTACTCTCGTTGCACGAGGAAGGTATGGAGGGTATGACGTCTTCCAAGCAGTACATCTCGAGAGCCACCAATCTCTGTGGAGAGTTATGCATCACCAACTTAGGAGCAGATTCAGGTGAGAATATTCTCGAAGCTTCAAGCGGTTCTAGTGATCAAAATTATACGAAACCGTTGCTCAGACGGATTTTTTGGACTGCCTTATGTCTTGACAGAATAATTTCAGCCACCAGTGGCCGCGAAATGAGCATCAACAGGAAAGATCTTCTGGTAGACCGCATAATGGAGAGTGACTTCGATGACGGTCCTCAGCAGTGTTCTGACTATACTGTCTTTTCGCTGTGGCTTTCAATTTGCGAGTTTGTCGAGCGAATTCTCTGTGCGTTATACCGTCCACCTCAGAATCGGAGTGTTGATCCCACAATCACTGAAGAGGTCAATGCATGGCGGCCCCCATCCGTAGTTGGTGAATCATATACTGCTTGCATTGCATTTTTAAAAGTTGGTCACTCTTACGCACAACTTCTCGTGCTCGGGAGAGCCATTGACTCGATCTCTTTGATGTTATGTGATGAGGAGAGTCTTCATTCGGCAGAGAGTCTTTTGAGCCAGATCCACAAATGCTCCGAAGAAACATTGCGATTGGTGGATCCACAATACATCAACCATAACGTAATCTTAGTTCATGCGGTGGTACATGTTATTGCCCTTTTGCAACTTGAATGCAAGATCAGTCCCGACGCAGGTAAGCCCGAGTTTGTTGCATACTGCAGCAGTCTCTCCAGAAACTCACTAAGAAGGTTGCAAAGTTTAAGACACTATTGGTGGTATGCGGGGACAGCACAAATTTTGTGTCAAGATTTATTTGACTTGAATAAGAGAGATGCAACTTGACTGGCATGAATGGCACCATCGGACTTGTAGATTACCAGATGCATTCTAAATGCAGTGGCTGTTCAGATCTGCCAAAGAGGATAAAAAAATACAATAAAACCTAACTATGCTACCTCTATCCCAGGTCCTCGCATTGCTGTTTATGGGAATTTAATGATCAATAACCCCTCCTTATCTCGAGAAATACATTTTGCATTAATAATTACCAATATTGCGACGACTCCACCTGCAATGATACGGATAAATAATACGCAATAGTTATACGGGCACCACGACGTCTCCTTCAAGCGTCAATGCAAGTAATGCAAGTGGTGTGTAGATGCTAGTAGCTGGCCCGAAAGCAATCAAAAATGATTGCCCGTTGAAGATCACATCTGGGGGAATGCAACACGGGGCCAGCCGGGGTCCTTCAATTCCCGATCAACAACAGCTACAATTTTCCAGGGATTTCGATTAATTCGGAACTAAAAGAGATACACCAATCTCGTTGGGAGCAGGGAAGGTACCTGGCAACTCACAGCTAGGTAGCAAAGCATATTACAACAAACCATATTAATGCAAGGTTACTATCTGTTCGGAAATTCGGAATTTAAGTCAAAAGAAGACCGTTGGGAATTGGGGGCGGATTGGATCACACACTTCCTCCTAATAGGTGTATGCAAGATGCTAGAAAATAAATTTCATAAACTCAATGTCCAGGAAAGCTGACCACAATCTGTATGTACTTCATCATGTGTGGAAGTGAGCCAGATCCTTGATATTTTCTTAACTCTCCGGCATATACTGTGGCCGTTCGTACTTCTCCGTAATCTCGGTGCATGCTATCGGTTCTACGATTCACGATAGTGATTGCTTTTCTCTAGGGTGAATAAAGATTAAGGATTAAACAATATTCATTCAAAGATTTAGAAGTCCAGGAATTAACCACCGAAAATTAAGAAAAAATTATAGATGCTCTAACTCTTCAGCTTATCGCAGATCTTATACATCTTCACCGACTCTACCACCATGGCTCTCTCCTCAGGATCACTGGGCCACGACAGGTACCAACTACTCACGGAGGACCAGAAAGATGAAGCTGCCGTGTTTTCTTGAGTATTGATCCATGGCTTATTACCCATCTGGTCAGGGAAAAAGCCGTTAGTTCCACCTACAGCAACATTGAGGATCAAGTAGAATTCTTGATCAAAAGGTGCAATGTCCGAGTTGGCACCATTGAGCGGCCAAGGGTTTTCGATAAACGATCCATTCTGGTAAGTGGTCTGGAATTTGCCAACCTGCCAGAATGGTTTGTTGAACTTGTGATAAAACACTTGTTGTAAACGTCTATCAACGTAGGTTTTGATATATTTGTCGCTCCACTCCAATCCAAAGGTATGGTAAGTAGTTCCAAACAGCCCGATCTTTCTCTGGTAGGTCTTGAACGTTTGAAGGTATCCATCCACAGCAGACGAAGGACCCCAATGAAGTGCACTAGAGATCTGGTCGTAGCCTCCTTCAGGGTAGTGAACACCATTTCCTCGGGATTCAGCAATGTCAATCTCTCCACTAGCGGGCCAAGGTCCATAGGTATCATTCACAGGTAAAAGCCAAATAGCAGGCCAAAGCCAATCACCTCTAGGCATTTTAGCTCTCACTTCGATTTTACCATACTTGATGTTTGCAGATATCTTAGTGTTGAGACGAGCACTCTGTACTGGAGGAATAATCACGCTCTTGGTGAGATTAGACGATACCCAACACTGTGACTTACCATGTCCCGTACATGTGCCATCTGCAGTGAGATTGACAGTGTAGCCGTTCATGATGTCTTCGTTGGAAATGGTCTCATTGGTCAAGGTGGGAAGAATGTAAAGTTTCCCGTCCTTAACGTATGAGTTTTTTTCGCTAGAAGTTGTCCAGTCAAAGGCACCATTACCAAACCCACCAACCTGGACTTCACGGGTCCAAATGTCATCTCTGAAGGTCTCGAACTCGTCAATTAGAACTTCACAATAGTCGAAGTTAGTGATTGATCTCCAAGCCATCCACACTTGTACTCCAATCACACACAACCCAGCAAAGATACCAGCACAGAAGATCCAATTGAGATACTTGAGTCTCTTCCGAGTCTTTCCCTCGAGCCATGGCTTTTCAGCAACAGTATCCTTAGGCAAGAAACTCGATCTGGACTGCCTCTTAACAATCACAAGCTCATCCTCGGTACCAGCCAACTTAGTGGTGTAGGTCGTTTTGATAGAGCGATTGTGAAAGTAACCTGAGCGATTCGAGTCTGTACCCACACTACCGACACCACTAACCAGAACGTTTCCACGTCCCAAATCCATGCCCTGAAATCTGTTTGTAGACCCAAGCTGCGGATAGACTGTGCGTGGTTCTGCTGTACCCGAAACTGGGCTTATCTCTGCAACCGAGTCGCGGAAGTCTTCTGAGATTTCCGGGTGGATGTTTGAAGCAGATGACCTTGAAGTAGTCGAGCTAGCATGTCTTGCTGAACCTTCTCTTGAGGAACTTGCTGGAGTGTTGGCAATCTCGAACCCTTCTGGTATTGACATCTCATCTGGAGACTCATTATCAACAACATTACCAGAACTTGCTTTAGAGGTACCAGAGAGTGGAGCTTCGCTATCAGAAGGTTGCATGTTAGAATGATGTTTTTTTAGAAAACAAAAAAGGTAAGCAATCTGGTGAATGGGGCAGAATTTCTAGCTAATAAGAAAATTCAAGTGGAAGCAGGGTATGGCCAAGCCAACACAAAACGCCGTGGCCACATCTGTTAAGCACTGCGGGCGATAAGAGGATCAAACTATGAGTTCGTAAACGAAATGCGCTTGGGGCGTTTCTAATTGAAAGCCTCTTGAACTGTCGTTGTGCTAGATTATTCCGTACAGCCCCAAGTAGCCCCATGCGCGAATATGCAACTCGTAATTGTCATTTAAACTAGGAGCATAATGTATGTCGTTTCGGGGAAGTGCCGACATTATATCCTGCAGATAACTAGATTTTTCGTTCTGCCTGGTCTCATTACTTCATGTATACCATGCTTGAAGTAATCAATACTGACTATTTTGGGCGTCAAAGCAGACCAGGAAGCTTATCGGAACGGCCAGGGCTTCTCAAAACGCCGTATCCACTGTTTCCTCCTCTTTTAGCCACTTTCTGACCACATATATATGCCACACTCCCCGTTAATTAGTGCTTTCGCAGCCATCAATTGCCATGGGAATCACCGACTACTTTGTCTCCAAAGGCGCTACGGAAGCCAAGCAAGGAAAAAATAGTACCGATATCCAGCAAAATGAAATTTTGACGTTTCCTGAAATGTTGGCTGGTCCAACGGGTGCAAGTCCCAGAGCACAATTTACAATAGGTGAAACACACTTGAGCTCAGATATCCGAACGCTACAAGGGCACAATGAAATGATTTCTGCAGGGAAAAGTGATTTCAAGGATCCCCAGTTTATTGTGGTTAACTATCTTCACGACATATGTCTGGGAAATGGGTGGCTCAAGTTGGTTGACCCCCTTGAACCCTGTGTTGTTAAGATGAATAGCAAGAAGGGGAACGAGATTGGCTACAGATACTTGCCTGCCTGTGATGAAATTGCTCCTTACTCTTTTGTTGATTGTGCTGCTCGGTTTCTTCGTTCAGATGTATGTGTTCGAGTTTCTTTCCCAGTGATCCATGCCATCTTAGACATCCTCAGCTCGAAGGGCACCGTGAGTTTGGACGCCGACCACAACATCCAAATAATTGAAACAGTTGCAGACCTTCAGTGGGTTAGAAAGTCACAGAATTGCGCATTTATCAGAAACGAGAAGAGTTTGGTATGTTGGGCAGACTCAGTGCAAGAAGTGACTGGCTTTGTTCGCAATCTTGAAAACAAGATGGTGGACTACGTTTGGAAGAAGGGGAATGCTGTGGATGTGAAAGGTGAGGATTATGTACCTCGTGTCACCTTTGCAAGCGTCTTCCAATCCTCCTCAGAATCTGATGTGGGATCTGAAGGGGCAGTGGAAATCATTGGACAAAATGCCGTCTCCCAAGTTTCTATTTCTGAGAAATCTTCCGACTCCTCAACGCACAGCGATGGTAACTTGAACGAGAAGAAGAATCTGGACTTGGAGCAGCAGAGCTCTGAAAGACCGGTGATTTATATCCATGCCACGGTCTCTGCATTTGCTATCACCTTAGTGCTCGCATGGGCAGGATTGCAATTTGCTCAGGTTACAAAGGAAATAAGAGCCGAAGGAAACTACCTTATTCTTTTGTCTTTGTTAATGGTTCTACCATACTTCCTTTTCACCAGTTTTTTCGCGTCATCTGTTATGTCGACTTTGCTTTACGTTTTTGGGCCAATTTCCCAGATGAACAAGAACTCATATTCCTATTCAGTACACAAGGCTCCCAGGTTAAAGGCTGCCCATGGAAGCTTGCCACACGTTACTATTCAATGTCCAGTTTACAAGGAGAAGCTCGAGTCTGTTATCAAACCTACCATCAAGAGTCTTCAAGCTGCCATTCGCACGTATGAACTTCAAGGTGGGTCTGCCAACATATTCATCAATGACGACGGATTGCAACTCGTTGATCGTAAAGAGGCTTTGGAGAGAATAGAGTATTACGAGGAATGTGGCTTAGGATACGTTGCACGTCCAGGACATGGAGTAAACGGTTTCGTTAGAAAGGGACGGTTTAAGAAAGCCTCCAACATGAACTACTGTCTTCACATTTCAAAATTGGTCGATACCCGTTTTCATGAACGCTTGGAGCTCATTGAAAACCCAACACCAAAAGAAGAGTCTGGATTGTACCTTAAAATTCTCGAGGAAGTGGTCAGAGAAGAGGGAAAATGTTGGGCAGGTGGTGATATCCTCTTGGGAGATATCATCCTCATCATTGACTCTGATACCCGAGTGCCCGAAGACTGCTTTGTTGATTCAGTATCTGAAATGGAGCAGTCTCCAGAAGTTGCCATCATTCAACATGCATCCGGTGTGATGATGGTTGTTGGTAACTATTGGGAAAAAATGATTGCATGGTTTACCAATATGATTTACTTTTCCATATCTTGTGTTTCTGGAAATGGATTGACTATGGCAGCTTTCGTTGGTCACAATGCTTTCCTCAGGTGGTCAGCAATTCAGGAATTGGCATACATTGATGAGGATGATGGAAGAACAAAATATTGGTCGGAATCACATGTTTCAGAGGATTTTGAAATGACCTTGAAATTGGCTTCTTTGGGCTACACTATTCGAATCGCGACTTATCACGATGGCGGGTTCAAAGAAGGTGTGTCTTTGACGGTCTATGACGAAATAACCAGATGGTCCAAGTACGCTTTTGGTTGTGCTGAGATCATGTTCTCTCCATTTAAAGACTGGTGGAAAGGGAAAATTTTTGCCAGGCTTTTCTTTGTTTTTCTCAACTCGCACATTTCCCTTCCTTGCAAGTTCAGTATCTTGGGCTATATGGGAACGTATTATGCGATCGCAACATCATTGATAATGCTTGTGGCAAACTACTTTATTGTGGGATACTATGATTGGGGCTACTCCAGAGTTTATATTGATGCTATGAAGGTGTTTGTTTCCGTGATGGTGGTTTTTGGATGTGCAACACAAGTTGCATATATTATTGGTAGATATCGTATCTACAAGCATTCCATTTATACTATGGTGCTTGAATTCAGATACTCGATTCTTTTTTCGGTTTTTTTGGGAGGTCTTTCGTGGCACATGATAGTTTCGATTGGAAGCTATTTCTTCTCACTCAACTTGCAATGGGGTGCCACTGCCAAAGATATTGACGACTCCAACTTCTTCAAAGAGTTACCCAAAGCAATCAAGAACTATAAGTTCATGTACATTTTGTGTATTTTCTTGATCGCAGGAATGATAGCGCTAGCATTTTTTGTTCCATACGCTTTCCAGATCAGACTCTTAACCTGTGCTTTGCCCCTTGGATGGAGTGTTGCCAGTCACTTCTTGTCGCCCATTGTTCTAAACCCACAGCTTATGACTTTTGCGTGGTAATGTTTTGGATTAATTTTTAAATTTTCTTTCGTCTGGATTTGTCGGTTCGATCATGTATGTAATTGCATTACATCTACAACAAGGTTTTAATAAATACTATCAGTCTATAAAGAACTATATAGCAAACTAATATTCATTGTACAAATAGATCATAGCAAAATAAACCGATAAAATAGTGAAAAGCTGGCCAGAAATTTCGCATTGAAAGAAATACAATTGCTTGTTAGACTTCTACCTCATAAATGCTTGAAACGACTACCAAAAGGCATCCGCAACTCCTACAAACTCGACAAAAAAAGAACTCATGAATTCAAAAAGTTGGGAAACTGGTTTGAACGTATTTCGTTTGACTTCAAAAAAATTCTTGGACAATATTTTTAGACTGGTAACGGGAGAACCACAAGGGATATAAGTAATCTAATGCAAGAACGGGTAAGACTCCCGATACAAAACACAGGACATAAAAGGAGGATTAACTAAAAATATTCAAGAGCGTTTGCCTGATGAGAGGCAGTAATTACGAATTTTAGTCAAGCAACGATGGCTGGAGCTTTGTAGAGATTTGAATATCTGTAAATTTTAACAGGCAACGAATTTAATGGAAGTTTCTCAATAAACCAATGGCTAATGCTCTAGAAAGTTAATTTTAACTTCTAGAATGATATTGATATTTCCTCCATACCTGAATTATAGGCTTCCACACTATCAAGGCTAGAGATAATCACCTTCGGTTAATACGTCACCTACATATAAAGAAGGATACTGTCGATGCAGAACGCACGACATTTTTATGTACAGACAAGGGAGGGAGGGCTCACAGTTTAACAGAGACAGTCCATCTATGACACTTACAGGTTCAAACGTGGAGGATACCATCAGTAGTGCTATCATCTGACATGTATATACCTTCCATATTCGAGCGAAGAAAGAAAGAAAAAAGGTTCCTCGAGCTTGTGATCTACCCCTTATTATAGGTTGCATTACAATAGTCTATGATAAGTCTAATAAGGAAAGTAAATCAATACACGAGTTGTTGACGGGTCCGGACTACATACATAGCTCACTACCAGCCTGATGTGCGCACTTGAGCGATTCTTAGACCTCTCCTAACACTTCTGCCATTGTGCATAGAGCTCGTATTGCCTGCTCCTTCCACTGGTAATGCGTAATGCGCATAATTTGCACAGTTCGGCTAGTTCCTAACTATTCGGCGAGAATTTTATGCACAAGCATCAAACGGAAGCCTCAATAATAATGTGTACCATAGAAACGAAGTGGGGTTGTTTCCGAGTTTCATGATATCCGTCAACAGAGTGCTTTAAAATCGTTATGATTGCTTATGTGGCTTTTTCTTGCCCTTGTTTGGACGACCACCAATGATCTACTTAACTCAAATGGATGTTTACCCAACTTTAAACCCAAACCTTAATTTCCTGATAAGCACTGTCAATCCACGGGCAACATTACGAAACAGGTCTGATATGGGAGAGGCCCGAGAAGCAATGGCTCCCAAAAAATGCCACAACCCATCCTTGCCACCACAAACAAGTCAATGAAATGAAAGTACTCAACGGACGTGACATGATGTTGTCTGGCACCTGGCACCTGAAGAGATACTCAAAACCTATCAGAACTTTAAAGTTGACTAATGCATTTCAAAATACTTATCAGAGTACCTACCAGAACTAACGCACGGCTACTTGGTGTGATATGATCCTACAACCCCTTAAACACAAGATTGAAAATTCCAGACCATTATGAGAATGCTAGATTCACTATGCTCAGTGGAAAGGGTTATTTCGCCCCGAGTCCCCCTTATCTATGCAGACACGAGCACCAGGTTCCATTTCAGGCGCAGAAGTATCCATTTGAAGTGGGCACGTAGGCCCGGAAACTGAGCTGAAACCTATATTTACACTACTATCTGATTACTTACACACAACGTATATCCACAGCGTATATTCAATATAGTCGCCCGCACTGACTAGAGATAAGAGTTCAAGAAAAAGGAATGGTAAACAATACACGAGTTCCTCTTGTGGCTGATCCTCTACCCTATCTTCACACGAGTTTGCTCTTGGTGCAGAAGGAGTAGTTTTCTTTTTTTTTTCAATTGTTAGTAGTTGCAGGCAAATCACAAAACTTCGTCATTGGTTTTGCATTGATCCTCTTCCTGTGGCGTATTGAACATATCGGGAGAGACCTATCAGAATTGGTACTCAAACTCTCGAATCGCCGGCTTACAACAAAAGTGGTTTGAACCTCGGTATTTTTTGAACCTCGGTATTCTCCCAAAGGTTGTCGGCAGAAACCCAAAGCGTGGGCCACATACACACAAAGAATTCCCAAACGGTCGACCACGACGCAAACAAGCCCTCACCTGATTATACTATCAGCACCTAAAATTCATCAAACCAATTAGAGCCAGGCAATTTAAACATGCTACAAATTTTTGGACCCGGTGTTGATACCCATTGTCAAAATAAACTCGAAACTGATACCTCCACCAGCAACTTCATGATCAACTACTGCAAGAAAGAGTCGTTGTAAAACAATTCCATCTCATAATCAGGCTGAAACTCCGTATAGAGCGTCTCAGGGTCTGCCGACATGTGCTCGGTGTACGCAGCCTCTTCATCACCACATACTTTCAACTTCTCTCCGGGTCTCAAGGCTGCATCGGCCAACAACTGACACTCACAACATCTCTCCATTAATGTGAAGAGATATGCAGCCTCATCCACGGTCTGGCCAACCGTCAAAAGGCCGTGGTTCTGCAAAATAACTCCTTTTCCGTTTCCAAGCGATGCAGCGATGGCTTGGCCCTCCTCGGCCTCTAAGGCCACACCTCCAAAGTCACTATACACAGAATGACTCTTGTAGAACGTACATGTGTCCTGACTGATCATGTCCAATGGTCTACCCATAGCACTGAAGGTCTTTCCATACACAGAGTGGGTATGGCAAGCAGCGATGACATCAGGTCTGGCCTTATGTACCGCCGAGTGGATGGCAAATCCGGCAGCGTTAATGGCAGCCTGTGGACCATCTGGAAGCACGTTTCCGTGCTCGTCGCAGTGTACCAAGTCGCTGGCTTTAATCAATCCAAAGTGTTTAGCCAATGGATTGATCCAAAAGGTATCCGGTTCCACAGGGTCTCTTAATGAGATGTGACCAGCGGTACCCTCGGTGTAGCCCTTTCTGGCAAACACTCTGAAGGCTGCAGCCATGTGTTGCTTGGCCCATTTTCTCTCCTCGTGCTTATCGGTGAAGGTTGGCACTGGATACGGATGAGGCATACCTTTAGCGATGTTGTGGGAGCCACGTTCACCAAATTGGTATCCACGGGAGGACGTGGCAGAAATTTCTGAGGGAATATCTGTGGTTGTGATGGTTTGTGAAGAAGGGGCCATTCTATCGTTAAAAAGTGGTTGGAGATGGATGTAACGAGATGGGCCCGATATATATATATATGGGGAATTCCGCTCTCGTCCCGATCAGGAAATAGCCGCAGAGGAATCAGACCAAATATCTGCAGGAATAGTACCATCGAACATAGGTGTAAGCGCTCAAGTGGTCGCTTATTACCAAAAGAACGAACATTAGTGGAGAATTATTTCTGAGATGAATTTACGAGATGATGCTTACAAGAAACATTATGAACGTGAGGAGGTTTTTTTGGAGGGGAAAAGTATGAGGTTTGTAGCCGTTATTCATTCATGGTTTTCGCGGTAAGCAAGACAACTACTGCAAGAGAATCTTTTCGACAATAAATTGGTATGTGATCATTTTGATGGCACTTTACATGATGATCGCTTATTCTTTTATTCAAAAAATCTATCGTTATTGTGTCACTATTCCTATACTAGTCCATCACTACATATTATGTTTTATTCCGCTTTCACTTTGTCTGTGCATCTAGTTTATTGTTTGTCTTCCATACAATTGCACCATGTCGTACTAAGTAACCAACTACACAACAATCTCAATATGTAGTTCAAATTCTTTTTTCTTTTCTCTCTTTTTTTTTTTTCTCTTGTTTCTTGAGCAAGTCTTTATTGATTTGTTCCTTTCTATAGTTTTTTCTTTTCCATCATCCTTATCCAATTCCGCTTTATTTTCAACTTTCGGACCTTCGTCCTCTTTTCCCGTTATCACGTTCTTTTCTCATCGGCTGGTAGGTTAACCGAATTCACCTAATTAAGAAACCTTCTCTGCATACCTATCAAAACGAACACAAATAAATCTTCTAGAAAATCAAAATTTTTGAGAACTTCAACTAGCACGTATTTATTATTTTAATCTTCTCATTTGGCTTACATCCTATAATACCCACAATGTTAACTTCGTACCTACTACTCTTATATCCCGGATTTAACTTGCGAATCATTTTCACATCTACTACATTCATTCTACTCAATGAAGTTTAATGTGCTAGCCTTGCTATTGGCGGCGCCCGTGTTGGCATCGCCCGGAGACAATTTGGACGAATTCTCCGACTGCCTCTACCAGTGTGAGCAGATCGCTTGCTATAGCAATCCATACTATATCATCCAGGAGGAATACCTGGATATTTGGCATGAAAAAGGCTTGGAGTTTCACAACTATAACCCCAATTGGCATTTCGATGCATATTTGCCATGGTACTTGAAGCTTTTGGGATGGAATTGCAGGTCGAATTGTGATTACCAGTGCCAACAGATCGTCACCGAAGAACGCATAAAGAACAACCAGGAAGTGTACCAATTTCACGGAAAGTGGCCCTTTCGTCGTATAGCTGGCATCCAGGAGTTGGCATCGGTGATATTCTCGATCGGAAATTTCTTACCCCACTACTATGGCTTTCAAAAAGTGCGTGCTGTCATGGCTCTGAATCCTCCAGCAAAAGCCATTGTCAACCGCTCTTACTACAACATTTTGTTGATGTCATTTGTGACGATGTGTGCGTGGATATTTTCCACTGTTTTCCACATCAGAGACTTCTTAATTACGGAAAAGTTGGACTACTACTTCGCGGGTCTCACGGTCCTCACGGGTTTCTACAGCATTGCATTCCGATACTTCAAATTGTACTTGCCTCGTCGTCGTATTGCCGGCTGGGTATTAGGTGCTGCCTGTATTGCTGCTTACTGCGCTCACATCTACCGTCTCGAAACAGACTGGCTGTACACTTACAACATGCAAGCTAACATTGTGGTGGCCGTGTTACAGAATGTGCTCTGGTGCGGTACATGCTTTGCACTCTATACGGACTACTACAATAAGGAGGCTGCTGATAGTACGGTGCTCAATTTTGACCATCTTAATTACATTGTACCTGGACGTATTATCATGGGCAGCTTTTATTCAAAATCCGCCAAGCTTTACTCGCTCTACCCACTCATGCTCTGTTTCATTGTGGTGGCTGGTATGTCGCTAGAGATATTTGACTTCCCACCATTTTTTTTCGATTTGGTGGATGCTCACTCGTTGTGGCACTTGGTGACGATTTTCCCTGCGTTCTTGGGATTATATGACTGGATGATCTGGGATGTTAATGAAAATGTCTACGAACACCTTGCGCTGGCGCTTGAAAAGAAGCAGCAGTAAGCAATAAATGATGATGAAAATTGTTTAGCGGGTGATAGACGTAATATGAAAGCACTTATTTATAAATCTACTCGTCGTCGCTCATATCCTCCTCAGGAGCAACGTATGGTGGTGGCTTAAAGTACTCCTGGTCTGCTTCCACCAAAGCCTTAAAACTATCTTTGTTATCCACAAACTGGTACAAGTACTCGAGCTCCAAGTCGTGCACCTGTCTGCCTAACATCACCAAAGAATGTAAGGGTTCACCTGCATCATACTCAGCCAATTCCTTCAAAGAGCCAGCCTTGAACTTCTGGGTAGGCGAACCAAGTCTGGAAACGGCCACACATGGCGTGTCCGGAGTGTAGGCCTTTTCGTTTCTCAACTCTTCTATCTCCAACAACTGCTGGGCAGCAGTGGCAATATCCATGTAGCGAGGAGGTTCGTAGATCAAACGGCCACGGGCCATGTTCTCGATGCTCTGTTCCTTGACTTTTATGTCCAAAAGCAACAAGGTATGCAATCCAATTCTTCTGTTCTCCATGACTTTCTGGTAAAACGAGTCTGGCTTCCAAGAATCAGTGAAAAACACCAAAGAAACAGTTTGACCGAACTGGTACAACTGCAAACCACAGGCACCAACAGCGTTCATCACCGATGCATTGTGAATCAGCTCAAATGGGATGCCCAACTCTCTTGCTCTGATCACCAAGTCTGTGTGGGTGGTAGCACCGAAAACGTCACCAACCACCAAAAAGGCGATGTCATCCTGATCAGCTCCCTCCAAGATCTGGTCAGCACCAGTCTCTACCAACTCTCTGTCGGCCAAAATGATGTCCTTTCCATAGAATTTTTCTAGACTTTCCTTGTCTGCAGCCATCAAGATGGAAGTATAAGCTTCTAAGTACACACGCTTACACTTCCTGACCGTTTCGAGTCCACGCACAGTGATATCGGTCTCATGTGACAACCCAAGCCCAATCAAATACAACATTTTGGAAGTTCTGGTGTAGAGGTGTAGTTGGAGGTTGAAAAGTTGGTGATGATTTTCGATGAGATGACTTTACTAAATGCACAACCATGAAGACTGCAACTCTCCACGAAGATATCCAAAAATATCAGCAAATATTAACCAAATCGGAGGAGTTGGAGAAGGATATCCCACCACGGAGTGTATTTGACTGTCAGAAGCGTGCGAGAGTGACCAAACGGAAGCTGATAAAACTGAAAAATGCCCCAATACCTCGTCCACAGTTTGGAGGTCCTAAGGTGATCAATACCAAGGTAAAGAAAAGCGTTGTTGAGGCTGTCAAAAGTGAAAAAGTCCATCAAAAACGTTCTTCGATCCGAACGCGATCCAGAAGCAAATTGGCAGAACTGGTACTGGAGACCAGTCTGAAATCACAATTGGAAGCTAAGGTTCAAGTCAAGAAGGCTCCAATCAAGCCGTTGAGAGCCAAAGCCATCACTTTCGAGAATAAAGTGATGGCAGGAAATCTGTACAGCGAATTGGTCGAGAAGATCCGCGATGCATCCAACGATATTGATTTCGGCATGCTGTGGAAGCTACTTCCAAAGAATATTGACTTGGAGAAGGAAAAATTCAACGTGGAGAACAAAGAGGCGGACAAGTTGCTCTGGAAGATGCTGACAGCGGCATTTAGTGACGATATCGATCTTTTTTTCAGGAAGATCAGTGGTTGGCCGCTCGACAACGCCCAATCCCTTCCATTAGTGTAATGAGACATGATTATCAGGCATCCACCATGAAGGCATTGGCAAGAGACCGAGGTTCTGCTCTTTATCATCAGCACGGACTCTAGGAACCTCGAAAAACAAGGCTTCGAGAGAAGTTTTTTTACATATTAACGAAGTACGTTTAAATATTCCTGTAACCTATTTGTTGACAACCCAAACTATAATTCAACCCAATTATGCTCTCACCACTTCTCCAAGATGCACAATTATGCCTTTAAGCACCCTAATATCACCATCACTTGCTTCTAAAATGTCCAATGCTTTCTTCACGAACTGCTGCAAGAGTTCATAGGTATAGGCTATAGAACCACTTTCTCTCATGTACTTGATGGCTGCAGCCACCTTACTCGGCAGCTGTCGTCTTTCTTCACTAGTCTTCAAATCTAGCAAAACTTCATGCACAGGTGTATGGTTTTTGGCGTTCACCATCGCATGCAAAATTGGCAATGATAACTTTCCCTCTACCAAGTCCTCACCTGCCATGCCCTTCATTTCCTCATATCTCTCATCTACCAAATTTAAATAGTCATCACGAACTTGGTATATGATGCCTAGAAGATTTGCCAATGGAATCAAGTTGGAAATCTCGAAATTCCTCGAGGAAAAAAGAGCTAGCAACTTTATCGAGAGCCGAAACAAGCCTCCTGTTTTGTTCATCACCATATCCAAATATTCAGCAGTTGTTGGAATTTCATGCTCCCAGATCGTCTGAAGATTATCTCTCCAGTAGATATCCAAACCCTGGCCCACATGGAGATTCAACATTTCGTCTACCAAGATCGTTTGGGCATCATTCTGAAACTTGACGTTGGAAGCCATTCCGTTAAGGCGCAGCCAGAGCTCTGGTAGCGAAGTCACAGCACGTTTCAATGCCATGAAGTACATCAAATTTCCAGCGTTTATCGTCAGTGGAATGCCGTATTTGATGTGAGCACATGGATGACCTCTTCTGACTGTTGAAGAGTCTTCGATATCGTCGATTAGCAAGGACGAATCGTGGAAAATAGCAATCACAGAGCCGATCTCTGCAAGCACCTCTTCGTCTAGGATGTCGAAATACAGTTTGTTGAATGCCACCAAAAACTGGTAGCGCATGTTCTTATTATTGCCTGGAAGATTGTGGAGATAGGTATATGGAGCCAGAATGACAGATGGAATAGACGGAGGGCGCGATGCTCCCACGATGTCATCGATTTTGTGATCCATAATTAAGCTATAGAACTTGAAATTCTTCTAGAAAGATTATTATCTAGGAAATTCTCCCCTGGATCACTGAAGGCAATGTGAGGTTGGCAATTGGTGATGTTCTGTATACTGTTGCAACTTACGCATGCCACCTATACCTTAGAACTACTAAAAGAACTATACACTACAAAATCCACGAATATAAGGCCTATTGTCCGTTTCAAATAAGCTCCTACCGGTATATACAAATCACACACTCAACATGGACAGAGTCATTCAGATGGTCCGTCAAATACCGCCTATTTCTCGCTCATGGCTAGGGTTGGCTATTGTCGTGTCGATTTTGAATAGTAACAATATCTTGCCGACCCTCAAATTTACGTTTTTACCCGGCAGAATCGGTGTAGAGCCGTGGAGAATCCTCGTACTGTTTTGCTACTTCGGCCCACTATCGTTGCTGCTAATTATAAACTTGATCAACATTCGAGATGCAATGTCTGCGTTGGAAAGTGGGTTTGTCAATGACGAGAGCGTGCTTCCCGAATGGATGACCAGGGATCTTGATGAATTGCTGAGAGATCAATTGAATGCACAATTTGAGAGGCATAGAGTACGTGACTTTGCCTACTTTCTCGGCCAGATGGCTACTACCATCACTTTGGAAGTTTATATCATCTACAGGCTTTTTGGCTTCACAGGCCCGTCGCTTGTGTTTTTGGGTCCTATCCTTCACGATTCCATCGTGTATACATGGGGCAAAACATATCCCGAGGCAGAAATGTTTCTTCTCCTCGTTCCTTTACGTGCCAAGTATACTTACTGGATGTTGGAATTCATACACTTCCTCATTTCTCCTGGCTTCTTTGAAGTGGTAAGAGCATACAAAGTTGGCTTTCTCACGGGGCTGTATAAACTTTTCACGTACCCGTCAACAGTAAAAGTGATGGTGGTAGTGCTGGTTGCACACTTCTGGTGGTTTATGCGGTCTTTCATCACAGAAAGCATGTATAACGACACGAAAACGGCATCTCGACGCAATTGGAAGAATGCTTACAATGAAATTGCTCCTGGAATGTCTACACGGAATGTCTATTGCCGAATTGTACAGGTGGTGTTGACACCCCCTTGGTATTGGCTCATCAGCCGGAGTATTCGGAGTCAGCAACGTATTCGTGCAATACTTGCTGCTCGTATGACTGAGCTAGAAGCTGAAGTTAATGTCGAAGCTAACGCTGAAGCTAATGCTGAAGCAATTACTCATGGTGAAGGAGGCACTGGCGATATTGCCGATGACTAGAGAAACCGAAGTAACTGAGGATGCTGGGGTAATCAACAGCAATGACTTGACACCAGTTGCGAATGAAATTGAGGGTATTTCTGGGAACTAAATGATCCGAGTATTCTTAAGCCATTGGAAAGTTTAAGGTGACGGGTAAGGTGAATTGTTATTACTTTGAACTCTTGGATAGTCCAGTTGAAGGCGAGGCATCCCTCTAAAATGGGCACCAGTCATTGAAATTGGCTCTTTGTCGTTACAAAAAATTTGGAAGATGGATTCTCGTGATCATTTGGCTACGCTTCCGGCATTTCCGACTTGAAGGATTCTCGTTTGTATTCTTGAAGGGCGATACGAAGTAAGGAAATGCCTTGGATGTACATCTTCAATTCTTCTGCGAATGCGGAGTTTAAGCTTTCATGATTCTCCACACCTTTCGTTCTTCGTCGTATCCCTATCCACAATTAATGTTATGGTCTATGCGAGGATCGGATATCAGTGCCACTAACGGCTTTGAGAATAAAGTATTCCACATTTCCCCGGAATCGATCATAAAACAGTTACCGCTACTATCAACAGTGTGATATCGCGATCCTGCCACAGAATTTCTGATTCCCGTTACGATTCCTTCTCGTTTATTGTACCTGACGAGAGCCGGCCACCCGAGTTGTCTGCAGTACGCAATTTACCAAGCGGGAAAGTCTGCCACAAAATACATCCCAAGCCACTGCGTGAAAGGTCTCGGGGTTTTCGCTTTCACAAATAACTAGCGATCGTGGTGTTGCACTGCCACCGCAGCTACATAAGGTGTTTTTTCTTCCCACACAGCCCACCCGTGCCTGACAATTCTTGATTGCCTGCAGATAACCAGAGTAAGTCTCATTAACCTGCCAGCGTTATCTCAATCCTACCATATTTCTAACATCTCGTTGCCATGTCGCTTCTTCTCAAAGACATAGTCGGGGAGGTGCATGGAAACACCGCCATGGGTATCCACCCGACAGTGCTGGCGTTGGTTGACGCGTTTCTCAGCTACTTGCGCGAGCCTCGGTACCAGAACCCACTCTCCTTAGCCGAGTTGGCTAACCTCTTCCAAAGCTTTTATGCGGACTTGGACTCGTTGGTCATCAACATATACACGCAGCTGAACACCAACAAACGTCATCTTTTGCAGAAATCAGGGATTTTCAACTCTGATCCGGATACGTTTGATTACTTGGTGGCTATCGCCAATTACTCTCTGTCATCAATCAAACTCGTGAAACGTACGGATCCAGCGGCAATGAAGCAGCTCAGAGTTTTCGCATATTACAAGATGTTGACTATCCTCGATACCGTGGAGAAGGCCCAATATGACTTGTTCTCCTCTGGAAATCCCGGGGATAAGTCCTCGCTATATGACAAAATCTTCCGGTTTGACGAGCGAGACATCAGAGTGCAGCGTTTGTTCTCTGAGAAGATTCGTGTGCTTCGCCACTTGAACTTGAACTTCAGCAGCTTCTGTGATATAACTGATACAGAGGAAAAAGTCAAACTCGACGAGTTCTTCCTTACCTTCCACATTGATCAGAATCCCACATTGGAGAAAATCCAGTCGAGTCTCAGGCTAATGAATCAGGTGCGAACGCCATCTGCGAAGCTTAAGCATATCGTCAAGACCCAAAAGCTCGTGATCATATTGCTATCCGCTTTTTATGACCATGACACCTCTAAGGTGAACAATGATATACTTCTCCCTGCGCTTATTTACATCATCATAAACCACTTGCCTGAAAGTGACTCATCACCGCAAGAGAATCTGCATCTGAAGCTTGAAGCTGAATACGATTTCTACCTCAACTTCACTTTTGTTAAGAACTTTTTGAACTTGATCGATCCTTACAACGTGGACTGTTCCTTGTTTACCCTTAGCTCTTCGCTACTGTCATACAATCCAACTGAAAAGAAACGGTCATTCCCTCGTAGTGAACGGAAGACCTCGAGTAATTTGTATGAATTACTCAACTTAACTGAATCTCCTGCCACGGTAGATACTGAGGAGGTTCCAACACTTCCACTCAGAGAGTTGGAAGATGACCAGAGCTTGATTAGTCACATCCAATCGACCTATTTGAACAACGGGGAGCATCAATATTACCTCACTAATTTCGAGGCTATATTGTATTTCTTGCTGAATACGCCAATCAAGGAGCTAATCCCTGATGACTTCACAATCCCAGAGTCTTACAAAGAGAGCATCCATTTTAATATGAACTTACAAGAGATAATCGAATGCTCTGATAAGAGAAGGGCACAACTGCTGCCGGAGAAACCACTGGATGATGACATCTCTAAGATGATGCAAGAAGAGATGGATGGATCTAGAGCTCGTTCAAGTTCCCTTTTCAATACCATTACCAGTGCAGTGTCACAGTCTGTCAACCGCTCTCGTTCGAATTCTGCTCTCAAATCACCAACAAAGGAAGAAAGCAACGACTTTGAAGCTTCTTTAACTGCTTCCCCGTTTGCTGGAGACCTGGTAGACCATTATGGATTAGCGAAAGTGAGGAACATATTGGGACGTCTTGGGCTGGTATCCACAATACAAATGCGTCCTCCCCCTCTTGATGAAGAAGCAGAAAGCATCATCACGAATACTGATGACCTTGGACCGGAATTTGGAGATGCTCGCGCGAAGCGCTCGCTGTCATTCTTTGATAAGCTCTCACCCAATCATTCTAGAACTAGATCTGGCTCATTGGAGAATGCCGCAGGCATGATGAGCAATAATTCTGCCTTGCGCAGATCCACATTGACGTCAAAGTTTTCCAGTGGAGTTACTGAATTGATGACCAAACTCAGCACAGCAACAACCACCGGGCCCTCTTCTGCCAATTTGATCCCAGCCTCTGCAAATGTTGGACACACATCCAATTTGTCATTACATTCCATTGAAGAGCCTTCTCCTTTTGAAGATCATTCCAAGAGACCATCGTTTAGCAAGCGTTCTGCCAGCCTTCAAACTATGGAACGGTGGTTTAACAATATCCCCGAAGCCACCACAGAAGCAAATCACCAGCCAACCAGCAGCAATGCCAGCAATCAATACACTACGGGTGAGTCTAACTACAACGAAGGCTCAGTTTTCAGTGCTTCTTTCGGAGAGTTAACTAGATATCAGCACATTGATTTTGAGTCGCTTACCATTAATGATTTGAAGACATTGAAAGGGTACTATGATCAGCTTTGCTCTGAGGTCATGTCCACCAAATCAGGATCTAAGACGAGTAACGAGTTCTTACCTGAAGACGATAAAGGGCAAACTAGCTTGTGAAAGCAACAGATAGCATTTCACCCAGAATGAGGGTCAGTACATAGGTTTTAAACATTGCACTTCATAAATTGGTTAAGTTAAGTAATGCATATAGCTTGTCAAGATTCTAGAAAGATCCTAGATAAGATTATAGAAAGAATATATATTCACGAATCACCTCATAGTTTGACTAATTTCTTAATCAATGGTGTTTATATTTACTGATACAGAATCTGCTTTACTATGAACAGCCGAAAACACCTGCTCTCGGAGGACCCGGAGCCACCGATATCAGTCAAGAAGATCAGATTGGAGACTCTACTACAGAATTTAACATTGGAACCCACAAGACCCATAGCTAAGCCAGCCAAGTTCAGTATAAATACGATGTTCAATTCAGAGCAAGATTCTCCGAGACAATCGAGAATTGACTCTTATATCTCTGAGAAGATCATGCAAGAATTCAAAGACAAGTTGTATCAAGACAATGCCCTAATAAAGTGGGTTCCACCCTTTTTGGTGATCACAGCCCATTTCCAGAGATGGGTCAAGCGCCTTTTCAATATGTTTGTTAAGCGTTTCAACGAACATAATCCCCACAGAGCCCCAATACGACGGTTTCCAACATACCTGAAGATCATTCAGTTGGTACGAGATCCAAACGTTGCATTTACACTTGATGATTTGGCCAATATACTAAAGGAGTATAATTTGATTGAGAGCAGGAAATTGGCGTTGAAGAAAGATAAACGGGCCGATTCCAAAAAGGTGGAGGAAATCCACGAAGAGGAGAGGATAGCAAGAGAGACAAAATATGCATATTGGGATCGGTTCAGCAATCTCCGAGAGGACGTGGTTATGGAAGAGGGAATATATGGTCTGGATATGGAGATGGACTCGGATTCGCCGGTGCGGGCAGAGTTCGTGGAGGCTAACTATGGTAACTACTACTAATGTTTAATGAGGTAGGAATGGAGTTAGAGTTTTTATGGTATTCCTTGAGAAGTGATAATGTAGCGTAAATGAGTATCGAAGATGCAAATATGAAGATGTTGTAGTCAAATGTGCCGTCTTCACAGAATCTAGAAGTAGATGCTTTTCAATTAAGGAATACGTAGCTAAGGTGTGGATGACATGTCCTTGGTACCAAACGCCACCATGTAGTTACGTGATCGGTGGAATGATCATTCAGTGTAAATCATGAAACAGAAAATTAATCAGTGTTGAATTCCCAATGGTATACTCCAGCTTTCAGGAATGAGAGCTTTTGATGAGAAAGATGACGTTATGGCTATCTCATGTATCAACAAGATATGGACAAACGTCATAAAAGACAACCGTAGCACTGCTTCATACCAAAAGGGCCACTTTGAAAGTGGCTAAAACGAAAATATGGCTTAGGCCATATAGATCCCACTGTCAGGAATTTCAATTTTTCATTGAACACTCTTAATGGCGATATTCATCTTTGCAACCACTCGATTTTCCAATGAAGCCTTTATTTTCATTTTGAAAATTCGTTTCCAAGTTAAATTTCCGTGTCATTGAGTCATTTCAAAGTTTACATTCTCCTACAAAGACAACATGTTGCGATATACTTCGCTTAAATCGTCGAATCGCACTTCATTCATAGAGTGGTTGGTCTGGCCCACTGGCACAATTTGACAGCTCAAAAAAAAAAAAAAAAATAAAGCGAACCTCCTAGCATAAACAGTATACTTCATTATATAAGTTTTAAACAAATCTTAATTTCCAGCCACTCTCCGCTCACTTTTTTTTTTTTTTGCACTGCTGGAACGGTTGTCCTACAGTAACATCGTTACACCCGTACACCATAGAGATCACCAACGATTTTTCAAAAACACTCACTAACACCCCAACCTCTTACAATCTCTAGGAATCTCCAAATCTCCACACGGCATGTCCAAACCATTTGAAGAGGACGAGATCCGTACTTCACATCAAGATGACGACAATCTGTCAGAAGACGGCGACGATGTCATGGACGACTCTTCGGACGAAGATGATGACGACAACGACGAGGAGGAGATGCGCAAGGTGCGTGAAGGTTTCATTGTGGACGATGACGAGGAGGAGGATGATGTCACGAGGAAGAAGCGCAGCAAAAAACATCGCAGAAAGCGGGAAAGAGAGGCTGTCAAGGAGACGGCCGATGACGCTTTGGACGAAGACGACTTGGAGCTCTTAAGAGAGAATTCCGGCGCTGCTCCAAGACGGGCCGCTAGCAATAAGTTCAAAAGACTCAAAAGAGCGCTGCCTGCTGACGAAGATGAGGAGGAGAGACCTAAGAGCAGAGCAGATGGCTTGACGGACTTCTTCTCAGACAACGACGAGCAGGAAGACGAGGACACGGGCGCTGGACGTGTGGACGACGAAAGAAATGTGTTGGATGAATTTGAAGACTTCATTGAGGAAGATGAATTTTCTGATGAGGAGGAGGCCAGAGCACACAAGGCCCAACAGAAACGGGAAAGAGCCAAGCATACTGGTCCCAAGTTGGACACATCCAAGTTGCTGAGTTTCGACAGGGAGAGTTTGCAACAGCTTTTTGAGGTTTTTGGCAATGGTGCTGAGTACGAATGGGCATTGGAGGCTCAGGAAATCGAAGATGAGGGAAACAATGACCAAGAGCCTACAGCCTTAGATGAGGTGTTTGAGCACGCCGAATTGAAGGACAGAATGCTCACAGAAGAAGATAACTTGATCCGTATCATCGACGTACCCGAACGGTTCCAGAAATACAGAGCTAATTTGAATTATATGGACTTGGATGCCGTGGAGTTGCAGAAAGAGAAGCAGTGGATAAGCAAGATTTTGTTTGCCGAAAAGCAGAATCTCTTCGATGGACCCTTGAAGGGACCATTTGTCGAGGCAGTCGGTAAGGTGGTTGAGTTCATCTCCAAGGAAAATTGGGAGGTGCCATTTATTTGGGCTCACAGGAGAGACTTCTTAATTTACACAGAGGAAGTACCCAACCCAGACGGTACCGTCAGAAATAATGTGCACAAGTTGTTGTTTGAAGACGATTTGTGGAGAATTGTCCAGCTCGACATTGAGTACCACTCTCTCTACGAAAAGAGACTTAATGCGGAGAAACTCGTTTCGCAATTGCTGCTTGATGACGACTTGGTTCGTGATATCGAAACCTTGGACTCCATGGTGTCCATCCAGGACTTACAGGATTACGTGAATTTCACCTACTCGTCCTTGATACGTAAACTAGACGTTGAGAAGGATGAATCTGCCGCAGATGAAGATGAAGAGAAGAGGCTGTCCAAGAAACACTCCAAGTATGCTGTCTTCGAGAGAATTAGAGAGAATGTTTTGTACGACGCCGTCAAGGGCTTCGGTATCTCTGCCAAGGAGTTTGGTGAAAACGTCCAGGACCAGTCCACTAAGAACTACGAAGTTCCTTATAGAATTCATGCTACTGATGATCCTTTCGAGTCGCCTGAGGACATGATTGGACGTTTGGTGGAGGATGACGAAATTCTTTTTAAGGACCCTAAGAACGCTATCAGCGCCATGAGAAAGACATTTGCAGAGGAGATTTTCCATAACCCTAAGATCAGACACGAAGTCAGACAGGTGTTCAAGAACTTTGCTTCTATTGGTGTTACTTTGACCGAAAAGGGTCGAAGCTCCATTGACAACCATAGCCCATACGCTGATATCAAGTATGCCATCAACAGAACCGCCGCAGACTTGGTCAGCAAACCTGATGTGTTTTTGCGTATGTTGGAGGCCGAAGCTAACGGTCTAGTTGTTGTCAAAGTAACAAGTAGCGACTACGATAGTTGGTTCCAGTCGATCTTCAATTGTTTGAAATCCGATGGTACTTCTGAGATTTCTGAGTTATGGAACAAAGAGAGAGAAAGTGCATTGTCTATGGCATTTAAGAGATTGACTGCCATGGTTTCACTTAATACCAAAGAGGACTTACGTCGTGAATGTGAGCGTTTAATCGCATATGAGCTCAGAACTAGATTCTTGTCAAAAATCGACCAGGCCCCATTCACACCTTTTGGCTACGACAAGGGTACCAAGCCTAACGTTTTGGCATTGTCCTTCGGTAAGGGTGACTATGATAGTGCAGTTGTGGGTGTTTTTGTCAGAGACACCGGTAAGATCGATGAATTCTTCAAGTCCGATAATAATCCTTCGAGCAGAGATAGCGAGGAGAAGTTCCTCGGCCAATTAAGGGAATTCTATGACAGAAACCTTCGTTATCACAAGCCAGATGTTATTGTCATTTCTGGTTACAGCGCCAACTCCAAGAGGCTCTTTGATATCGTCAAGAACTTCATCGCCAAGAACAATATAGTGGCCAACACCGAAGACTTGGCAGATGCTGCTACTCCACCATTGGTTCCAGTGATTTGGGGCCAGGATGAAACTGCCAGATTGTACCAAAACTCGGAGAGAGCATTGATTGAGCTTTCTGATAAGCCAACCTTGGTGAAGTACTGTGTGGGATTGGCACGTTATGTTCAAAGCCCATTGTTAGAATATATCTCCTTGCAAGACGACATTATGTCTTTGACCTTTTACGATCATCAGAAGTTGATTTCAAATGACGCTATCAAGGATGTCTATGAAACTGTCTTCGTGGATATTGTGAACATGGTTGGAGTGGAAATCAACGACGCTCTTCGTGATCCATACCATGCTCAGCTCTTACCATATGTGGCAGGTCTTGGACCAAGAAAGGCTTCTGGTTTGCTTAGAAACATCAGCGCTAAGTTGGGCACCTTGGCTACCAGAAGCGACTTGATTGAAAATGAACTTTCCACTGCAAATATCTTCTTCAATTGTTCATCGTTCTTGAATATTCCATATGAGGAAGGTGTTTCTGTCAGAGATAATAACGTTGAGTTGTTGGATGCCACTAGAATTCATCCCGAGGATTACAGTTTGGCTCGTAAAATGGCTGCTGACGCCCTTGATTTGGATGAGGAAGATATGGCCCATGTCGAGGAGCAAGGTGGTATCATTTACCAGTTGATGCAAGAGGGTGTCAGTAAGGTGGATGATTTGAACTTGACCGCCTTTGGAAAGGAGTTGGAGTCTAAGTTCGGCAAGAAGAAGTACGCCACTCTTCAGAGTATCAAGGAGGAACTTGTCAACAACTTCGAGGAGCTTAGACGCTCATACCACTTGCTCGACAGTGCCGAGGTTTTCCGCATGTTGACTGGAGAAACCGTCGAAAGCTTTGCAAGAGGTACAATCGTGCCAGTCACTATCAACAGAGTTGGACGTAACTATCGTGACGAGAACTCAAAGATCAAATTCTTGCGTGTGTCCACTTCCTCGCTCATTTCAGGTACCGTAGAGGAAGGGTACATTTTGCGTGGATCTGATTTTGATCAAGGTGGTGTTGTCCAAGCAGTCGTTCTAGACGTCAACTATGACTCCTTCAGTGCTTCTTTCAGCACGTTACCAGACGACATCAAGAGAAGTTCTGTATCCAAGGTATTTAAAGAGCCAACGAAATGGGATTTCGAAGCTGAAGAAGCTGACAAACAAAAGGAAAGGGCAAAGGAGAACGCAAAGCTTGCCAGAACCAGAAACATTCAGCATCCCTTATTCCACAACTTCAATCACAAGCAGGCCGAAGAATTTTTGGCTCCTCAAAGTGTCGGAGACTGTGTCTTGCGACCATCTTCTAGGGGACCTAACTACTTGACCGTCACTTGGAAGGTTGCCAATAACTTGTTCCAACATCTCAGCATCGAAGAAGTGAACACCAACGCGGGAACCGAGTACATCGTTGACCGTAAGAGATACTCTGATTTAGACCAGATGATTTTCCAGCATGTTCAGGCTATTGCTAAGCATGTGAACGAGATGTGCCGCCATCCAAAGTTCCGTGAAGGTGCACTTGCAGAGGTTAACGATTGGCTCGAGTCTTACACTAGAGCGAACCCGAAGAATAGTGCTTACGTTTTCTGTTACGACCACAAGGCACCTGGATGGTTCTTGCTTTTATTCAAAGTGAATGTGAACACACCGGTCACTACGTGGCACGTGAAGACCGAATGTAACGGCTTTGTCTTGAAGGGCTTCTCGTATCCAAACATGATGCGTTTATGTAATGGATTCAAGCAAACTTTCAAGTCGCTTGTCAACGATAAGTCGCGGTCAACCAGACCAGGTCAGCCATCCAACTACGGTGGATACGGGTACTAACGAGAGAAAATGAAAAGTCTAAAAAAAAACATTTACATGAACCTGTCTTATTATATAATAATAGCTTTACTTTTTGGCACGGTTGAGTGTCCGTAGTTTGGACCGGTATGCGTCTCCATCCACGTAGCATCCCATCAACCATCTGTCTCCCCCGTTCGAATCGGAAAATTCTAATCTGGAGTGGAGCACTCTTCTGTTATCGAACACCACACAGCTGTTCTCTGGCGTTTTCTGAATGTATTGGTTCTTTGGATCATTCACAAAGTCCTCGAACATCACCATTCCTCTCATGAAATCATCGAATAATTGCGGGTCTTCATCATTTACAGTGAGCTCCAATGGACCCTGGAAAGGTGGTGAGTAGTTCACCTCTTTAATATGTGGTGCACCATCCACCTTGTTCATGTAGTTGTCTTCGACAATCAATGGTCGCATGTAATAGTAGTACTCACCATTGTTGTCGTAATGAAACGTGAGTGGAACTTGCTTCAATGCCTCATATGCTTCTCTGTCAGTGTTGTAGACATACTTGGCAGCAGCAAACGAGTCGCTGAACACGTTCTCTCCACCTAAAGTGGAATTTTGGATAAAGTGCAAAAGCTGGAGTCCTGGAGGAGACTCATAGTAGCACAAATCCATATGCAATGGTAAAAACACGTTCGTGTTGGCGATGTTTTTGGCGTTTTTCTCGTTCTTGACATCGAACAACTGACCATAGAAAGTTGGCTTCACATAACCAAATCTGCACGCCATCTTAGCAACAGGCCACTGGGGACTATTATCTGCGGTCAACACCTGAGTTTCTGGATTCTCCAATGGATCCTCAATGTTATTAATGAACGAGATTCCAAACCGGTTAAGATTATTCACCACTTGTTTGAATACTGGTTCTTGAGCAAGATATTGCTGGTAATCCACATGGAGCGAGTCGAGGGAGGCCCCAATCTCCTTTAGGGTCCAGAGCTCCTTTTCATCAAAGAAAAATTTCCCTTTCATGCGGGAGTTCAACGTAGAGCTCTTCTTCAAGAAGCTCTCCAAGTACTTGGATGTACGAGTGGATCCATCGTGATGTTTCCACACCACTTCAAGTGCCTTTTCTCCCTCATCTTCAACCACTTTAGGTTCGCCTACAATACTCAACTGGCGGCCAATATGAGCAGTGGTGAACAGTTTTTGTCTCGTGGAAATGTCCACAGATTCCGGGGAATCGCATGCGTCTCTCAAGAACACATTATTGAAGGTCACCGGCGACTCCAAGTCACTGAGAGCAACCACGATGTTTCTGTTATTGTACGAAACAAGCGACAAGTGACGACGACTGTAGTTGGACCAGGAAAGTCGGAGTTTTTGGTTTGCTCGAGATTTCCACATGGTAGTATGTAGACGGAAAAAATGTGGGGCAGTGGGGCCATAAAATATGGGGCATAGTGCGGAAAGGAAAAAAAAAAGTAGTGACACCCACGAGGTTCGAACTCGTGCCTCCGAAGAGACCAGGAATGTATGGTAAGGTAACCTTACCCTGGCGCCTTAGACCACTCGGCCAGAGTGCCTACTGATTGGTGGATCGTGAAGTAGGTAAAATAAGACAAAATCATTGACATAGTTTGTTCCAAAAAACTCGATTTTCTCTGTTCAACTGCTTCAATATGGCTGTTATCATGCTACTGTAGTATAGGCCCAGAAAAAGTACCAAATTTATTATGATTAAAAACCAATTCTGCTCTGGAGGAAATGATTGTCAAGCAAAATAGGGAAATACTAGGTGATGTTGATATCAACACAACAAACTTATAGGAAAGCTGCTATCTGTATCTATGACTATGCCTTTTGAAAAACAAGTTCAATACACATAGATATATAAATAATTTCAAATGGAACATACCTTGAATGTTCAATCGAATGAAGTTTGCAACCTGAAGAGTATGATAGCTTACATGGCAAGAAGGTTGATGATGGCATCATTTCATAATTGCCAGAAACCCTATGAGCTTACGTCGATATAGTAGAACAAAACGTTATACACGTAGGTCTAATGAGAAGAAAGTGAGTTCCTCAAGTGGATGTTAGCATGCCTACTGGTATTTAGAAGTGAAACATAACCGAAGTACTAGGTGGCTAATTGATGTTTACTGGGTGTGAACTAACGATGTTAGCAGTTGACTGATCTGTCACCAAATGCCAATTGAAGAGGGGGTCTAATAAAGAGTTTCAATTAACAATTTCCCGAATATTTTAGGTAGGCACAAGTAGATCGTTGTACGCAAGGGATGATACTAAGTAGGCAAAGTTGGCTAATGGCTTGTAGGTTGTAAATTTCAAGAAGTGAAGTTTACAAAAACTCCCCTCCAAACTTAAACAATCCGAAGTCTCCTATTATGCTCTTTGATCGAAATATTTTATTAAGCTAATTGATTGGAAATGAGATGGGTGAGTCACATTTCACTTGATTATAAAAGTGGAGAAACTATCTCAGAACTTGGTGACTGCGATCTGAAGATAGTAGAAATGACAAAACATGAAAAAGATAACCCTCTCCCATACAATTTATTTCAGTATTGAATTCTTCGACTATCAGTTGCTTACACTACCTGCCTCAACTTTCTGGAGAGTATGTGCTACTTATACATCATTGTATTCTATCGACTTCTTAAGTAACATACAAAAACCTTCCCCAATCTATGACTGTCGCCATTTACATGGTGAACAACCCAGTTCTTCTCTTTCCAAACGGATACACCACAATGGCAGCCGCAAACAACCCCACACTGATACCAATAGAAACTTCCACCATGGTAGCACCAAAACTCAATGAACTAATATCTGAGGCATCTGTGCTCGCAGAAGAAGAGTTGGTGATTTTATTGGCTGTGTCAACTCCAGCCAACAACGTACTTTTTGAAGCGATACCAGATGGCACTTGCACGAAAATTGCAGGCAACATGGCAGCCACCGCCATACCCCTTCCAAGACGAGAGTACATATTACCCAAAATACCAATAATAAAAGCACCAATAGCAGCGGTGAACTCCGTCACGTTCGAGAAATGCTTACCAGCAAAATATGTTCCAACGTAAGCAATGGAAGAGATTAGAATCATGACAGGCGTCTGGCGCCATCTAGCCTGATTAATCAACCCAAGGCAAAGTGAAAACAATGGAACGAACAAGATTCTCCACTTATCGTCGAGACTGTGATCAGATGAACATGTTGCTGCGTCTGTTGCATTGGAGTCAACCCAACCATAAAGTGCAGCACCCAAAGTAATTCCGAAACCCAAGAACAATGAGTAGATAATAGCATAGAACATTCTAACGGAGCCTGCCACGAGATTCTTCGACTGCAACTCAAGTGACCCGCACAAAATGATATAGCCTGGTAAAATCAACGCAAGTGAACCTTGAGCAATAGCTCCAAAGCAGAAAAGATTGCCTCCTCTGATTGAGCCGATACCTCTAGCGAGGAAAGACACCACGATCGAAGCAGTAACCTCAAACACAGATGAGTACAAATTCGACATGGAAGACATGAAAAATTGCAAGTATCCAATCATAAGTCCGATTCCAAATGCAACTGGGATGTCTAGCCATCCACCACCAAATCCCCAAGTGCACACACAGGCAGAACCTAGCCCATAGAGAAGGACACATTTCCATGGTGAAAAGTTGTTGCTTCTTTTCATGAGCTCTTCCAACTTCAGACTTGCTTCTTCCACACCAATCAAGTCATGAATCACATCCTTGTAAATCTTATGAGTGTCAGACAATTTCGATAAGTTGAGACCTTGAGCACATCTGACCAAGTGAACCTCGGAAGTTCTGGTGGCAGCGTCACCAAATGCAACAATCATGGTACCTGGGAAGTAGACGAACTGGCCATCGATTTCAAGCACACGACTGGTCATCACCATATACTCCTCCAATCTATGCGTGGGCGCTCCATACATCATCAAAGCTCTGCACATTCTGACAATGAAGCGCTGCCTCTGCAAGATATCGGCGATGTGAACTGTAATACGCAACTTCTCGTCACGTTTCTTCAATTTCTTACCCAACTTCTGAGGCATTTTCTTGTCTGATTTCGGTACTTTTGGTTTGGCATTATGGAACGAAGGCAACTGTGCTGCCTCTCCGTCCAAATCATCCTTTTCGTAAGCATCGTCCGAGTCTTGTGGAGACGTTAACGCTTGTGGTGGTGACTTACTGTGTCTAAACTTGCCAGCAAGCTTCTTCGGTCCCAGCTTCAAATGAGACCTGAGTTGAGTGAAGTCGTGAGAGCTGACATTCTTCAGGCTGTATCCGCTGTCGAATCCTCCAAACTGCTCATCGGCCAACGTAGTTCCTTGTGATGCAAATGTTGAGGTAGATTTGGACCCCTGGGTGTTCTGGTACAACTTCAACAAGGATGATAGAACACCGGCGTGCACCTGCTTGGGTGGAGCAACATAACCGTTCTCTTCGAAATAGTCGTCATCTCGAAGATCATCGTCCAAGTCTTCCCTGAGCAAGTCCGGGTTTGGTTGGTAGAAATGTGAGGAGGTGTCGGTGGGAGTACGTGAGTGGGTCTTATCATGGTCACTGGAACTTCCTTCATGAGAGTTGTAAGTTTCATCCAACAATCGGACCGCAGAGTCGCCAGCTGCATCTGCTGATGGTTCCCGAAACTTGACTTGGTTTCTTACCTCTGGAGCATGGGCCAGGATCAAGTTCTGGGCTTCCTCATTCAATTCGGCAAAATTCAAGTTCTTCATCTCCACCAGGTGATCCTCAGGCTGTCCACCGATCTCTTTCTCCTCATCAATGGTATCTTCACCGCTCTTGCTTGCTCCAGGTGCCAAACCTCCACCAGACATACCTCCACCGCCGAAGTTGAGCACGCGACCCAAAAACGTGTCTGATCTGGACGGAGCAGTCGGATCATCTTGCATGGCCTGGTCCACCAAGGACATCTTTCTGAAAATCAGCTTGATTCCTCCTTTCCTGGACTCAGACGACCGGTACAGATGCGATCCAGATTCCGTTCGCTGTATATCGGTGATATCCATTTCATTTCGGTTGGATTTCAGAGACTTCAGCAGTCTTCTGGAATAGTGGGTATCTAGAGGGCCCTCATCTTCTGAAGAGTCCACATCGTAAACATTAGTAGGGTAATTGTGGTGATCGGTATCAGAAGCCTCCGAATCTTCAGATTGGATCGTTTGGTTCTGAAGATGCGGATTGAACCAGAAGTTAGGAAGCGAGCCACCTTCCGGAGTTTGGGCAGTCAAGCTGCCAGGGTCAGATTCGACATCAGAAGACACAGTCGACGACACGTTGGAAGAGTTGCTCACATACGAGCCTCTGTAATTGGTCAGATCGGGAAACTTTATCGCTTTGTTTGTTGAGAACTTCTTTTTGGCCCTGGAGAAATTGGACTGGGACTTGTCCTTCTTGCGATTAGAGGCCAAGTTCACGTTGGGAAGGTTGATTCGTGGGGCGTAGTTCTCCTCGTCGGACGAGGAAAAGCCTTCAGATCTACTCATTTGACGTGTCAAAGAGGAGAGAAATTAGAGCGAAATTCGACGTAGTTAAGTGGTTTGGCAAAACTTTCTGATGGGTTGCACGCTTACATCATACTTTCACTGGGATATGTGTGCCGGCTTTTATCTGTATATAAGTGGTTTGACAACTGGTTGCGAAACTTGCTTTTGGCGACTTGACGATGTTGGGAAGGGAAGTGACAGATGGAAATTTGATGGTTGGAATGAAATTGAAAGGAAAGGTGGATAAAATCATTGGAAAATTGAATTGATGGAAAATATGCTCATCCATCAAATAAATAATCCATACAATTCCTGCATTGCTGTTACTTGGAAGTAGCAAATCATAGCTAGTGCGGCACCCTTGGTTACTAAAAGTTCCAGACATTGTCACGGTTAAAGGGGACGAGATACCTCCTAGCAGGTCCAAGAAATGCTTGCAGTCCAAGAAGTCGGCGGTGCAGATCTAATAATTCCGCTATGTTGCTTGCTCGCGTCCATGGCATGTGCATTCCCCCATCGAACTTCGTGCCTGAAAGTTGCTTTTGTCTATTTATGGGTTGCAATGTGAGCACTATTTTCGGACCGATAGATTCCAGATCCACACTATGAAAAGAGCGATTTGGCCTACTAATTTCAGTTTGTGTTGAGTTGTTGCTGCTGACATAGACAGTTTGTCTGTGAAGGAGATACAACAGAATAACCTTAGTTATTCTTTGGCATGAAACCAGCGAACTGGATGTATATATGCCACATCAACAGATCTTGCTAATGAACCCATTCTCATATGTCAGTTGAAACCTTACACTCTTAAGTCGATTGTAAGATAAACTGAGATGCTAGAGGCATAAGCTGGAATTCTTAATGATTTGCTAAGTTAACTACATTTGTAGCTTTTGAGATCCACCTGGCTGCATCAAGATCAAAATTTTGTCTATCATAGTAATTTGAAAGTCTATGTAGGCTCCCAGTGAATTTAGCGCCATCAAGAATATCATAAACTGGTTAAACAAGGTTCTTATTATAACTTGACGTCTTCATAAATCCTGCATTACCCTCGACAGTGCCTATATTTTAGAAAAGTTGTACGGAAAAATTACATCTACTCCGAATGCCACAATTTGCCCTAAGGAGTTGGTTCGCAAATAAATACCGAATCATTATTCTTGATTTCAAGTACTCAACTCGTCTATGAATTATAGATCTCCAGATTTGATTGCCTGCTTGATTGCCTGCTTCTTAAAATAAGTGATCTTGCTGAGTGTGTGTTCACGGCACTACCAAAGCAATTTCTACAATTTGTAAAGAGCACAAAACCCTAAAATGACTAAAATCACATATCTCAACACCTCAAGAAACTCTCAGCTTAAACGCTCTCCTCCCATTGCACCCCACAATATTCCTGAACATACCCAACATGGTTCTCATCTACCTGTGGAACATAATCCTCGACGTCTGTGGCCACGATAATAGTTCCCCATGACATGCCGTTCAAAATATCGGTAATCGACTTGTTCTTGTGTTCCTCCAAGTCGATGATAGCCTTGGGCATGAGCTGAAGCTCAAATTGGCGATGCGACGAAGGATTGTAAGCTGGATCTGGCAATGTATTAGAGTTGAACGTCTTAGCCACTTCATCACGTCCACTGTATAGAAGTGGCTTGCCTCCCAAGTCGTAACGGAGTACCTGTGAGGAGTTATGGTTGACGACATTGGAGAAATTCTCAAAGTAGGAATCGTTCAACATATTTGAAATCTTCTGGTTTTGCAGGTTCAACACATTAGAGGTACCGCTTCCGGACGAAGTAGACATGCTGCGCTCCTTGGAGGTCTCCTCTGGGTCCATTTTGTCTATCAAGTCTTTATACTTCTCCAACTCTGGTTCGAGGGTCACTTTCTTGAACTTCTCTTGTTCGGTAAACACAAAGAAGCCTGGGTATTCTGGGAGCTTGATGGCTCTCTTTGATGCTGGTGAAGCATTGTTCTTTGGTTTTGTGGCCTCTGCGTAGCTCAATTTCTTGTTTTCCTTTGACTCCTCTTTTGGCTCCTCTTTTGGTTCCTCTTTCGGCTCCTCCTTAGACTCTGATCCAAAAGGATTTGCAAATGGATTGGAAGCTCCAAATGGGTTGCTTGACCCACCAAACGGATTTGAAGATGGCTTGGTTGCATCGAAAAGATCCTTCGTCATCTCGATCTGCAACTTCTTCTTGTCTTCGAGGCGAAGCTTCTCATCGAGGAGCTTTTGTGCCTCTTCAGCCTGCTCCGCTTGGATCTCTGCAATCCTTTCGGGGTTCTTGTCCACGCCTCTAAAAGCTTTCACCGTGCCTTTCTGCTTGGAACATTGCGCAGAGTTTTTGCACCCAAATATGTAAATGACTCGGTCGTATGGCTTGTCGTCAATAGGAGCAAATGCTTGTAGCAAGAGTGCCATTGGCTTATGGCAGTTGTCACATTGGAGCTCTTTGTCCAGAGGACGAGATTCAGGGTGGAGCCAAAGTGGCTGTCCGCCTATGAAAGTATCTTCGATAGTGGGTTCTTCGTCTTCTTCTGCGAAGGGGATATCAGTGAACCCCAAGTACACCTCAGATTTGTTCTCAAACAAGTCCTCCTCATCTGAGGAATATTCGTCGTGGCTAGACATGATGAATAGTTAGATGGTTTCTATTTCGAGATGAAGACTACGGTGCAGTCCAGAGAAGACTAGTTGTAAAGCATTTTGTGAGTATTCAACCTGTCTCCCTAAACCTCTTCTTCATGATTTTTTTTTTTCCTTCCACAGTTTCCTCTTCACTTTCGTAACTGCCTCCCATTCTAAATCTATGTACATATTTACAAGTAGCGAGGAATCTCAATCTCCTCAAATGCCTCCACGACATCACCTTCCTCGAACTTATCCCAATTCTCAAACGCAATTCCACATTCCAAACCCTTGGCTGCTTCGGAAATATCCTGTTTCACATGCTTCAAGGATGAGAGATTTCCACTAAACACTATCTCACCCTTTCTCATCACTCTCACCTTAGATGCTCTCTTCAAGGTTCCACTCATCACTTTGCAACCACCAATCTTGATGGTGGACTTGTTCTTCGTAGTGATCTTGAAAACACTCCGGAGTTCCACTTCCGACAAAACCTTAATCTCGATATGTGGCTTCAACTTGGCCGTGAGCTCCTGCGTAACTTCTTCAATCAATCTGTAGATTATATTGTGTTCATTCATTTGCACTCCCAATTTGTCAGCTTTACTCTGCACTGCCTTAGGAATTTTAGTGTTGAAGCACAAGATTTTGGCTCCAAGAGCTTCAGCCGTATCCAAGTCGGACTCGGTAGGTGCTCCTGCCTCGTGGGAAATCACCACTGCCTTGACCTCTTCGTTACCCAAACCGTCAATACTCTCCTTGATTGCCTCTGCAGATCCAAAGACGTCACTTTTGATGATGTATTTCACAGTCTCCTGCTTGGCGCCGTCTTCATCTGCACCCATCAACTCTGAAGGATCTAAACCGGCCATCTTGAGTTCGTTGATTCTCTCCTGTCTCTGCAATTCCTTCACTTCCTCTTGTCTCTTTTCATTGATTGTCTCAATATCCTTGGCGGCCTGGATCTGCTTTCTGCGGCTCTCTCTGTTTTGAATCACCTTTCTGCATACCTGCTCCGATTTGGCCTCCAAAATCTGATCTCCAGCGTGTGGAAGCTCTTTCCAGCCCCAAATTTGAACTGGAGTCGATGGGCCCGCCTGCTTGACCGGCTTTCCTCTCTCATCCCTCATACCTCTGACTTTGCAGTAGGTTGTTCCTGCAACCAAAAAACTTCCCACCTTGACAGTACCTCTTCTGACCAAAACTGTAGAAACGTTACCCAAACCTTTCATCATTTCAGACTCGATGATCCAGCCTTCAGCAGGAATTCCCACTGCTTCAGCCTTGAACTCACTAAGCTCACTCAAAGTGATGACGGCCTCCTCTAGTTTGTCCATATTCATTCCAGTTTTTCCACTGACTTGCACAGTTTGGGTTTCTCCTCCGTAGTCTTCAACGTCGATCTCATATCTGGCAAGGTCACCGAGAACTTTATCAATCTTGACACCGTGCTTATCACACTTATTAATGGCAACAATAATGGGAACTCCTGACTTCTTCGCGTGCTTGATAGCCTCGATAGTTTGAGGCATCACTGAGTCATCAGCTGCAACAACCAAAATAATGATGTCTGTGACGATTGCGCCTCTTTCTCTCATACTCAAAAATGCTGCATGACCCGGGGTATCCAAAAATGTGATATTCTTTTTGGAAATAGGCGTAACGACAGAAAATGCTCCAATGTGTTGCGTGATGCCTCCAAACTCTCCTTGAACAATGGAAGATTTCCGCAAATAGTCAAGAATGGTGGTTTTTCCGTGATCTACATGGCCCATGATGGTCACAACTGGTGGTCTCGGCTTCAACTTCAGAGCATCCTCGGGAGCTGGGAAAAGATCAAGTCCAGTTTCATCACTCATGGTCACATCAAATCCAAACTCGTCGGCAATAAGCGATGCATTCTCCTTATCCAAAATATAATTGTGAGTCATATCTTCGAATCCAAGTGTCTCCAATTTGCTCAAGAGCGTGTTCAAAGGAACATTCATGATGGTCGATAAATTAGACACTGTGACAAAAGTTGGAATACTGATCTTAATATTCTCCTCTTTGTTAGCCTTCCTTGATACGCCTGTGGACTTATCACTCTTCTGGCCACCAGAAGGCTTTGCTCGCTTCAGCTTTTGTTGCTGTTGCTGTTTACTCTTCTCGTTCAATCTTTGTCTAATTCTAGAATACTCCTCATATTGGACCTCCTTCAGCACTGTTGCCGACTCCAGCTGCACCACAGTGGGGGTTGGCAAGTCATCTTTCATTTGGTTCTGTTTTCTGCCCTGGTGAAGCTTCGACGGCTTGGGATGGTGGCCGGCTTTCTTCAGGTACATATCAGCAAATCTATTTGGCCGTTTCTCTGCCACATCATCTTTCGATCCGGCATTTTTTACCCCACTGCCAACTCGAGGCAAATTTCTTATGCTCAGGGCATACCAACGTCGCCATGCGCAAGTTTGTGCTGGGTTTAAACGGGTGAACATAGGTTGGTAGTAGACTGTAGAAAAATTGGGTTGCAGATTTCGCACCTACTACAATGTACACTTCTGAGTTATATGCTAATTATGATAAACCTGCCTTGAAAATGCGGAAAATGCGTACGGCTTATATGGAATGGGTGCCGGAAAGCATCAATTTTAGCTGGCAAAGCTGAAGTCACCGTTAGACGACACGTAGCCCATGGACTTACTCTCGTTCAATGTAGCAATGAGTTCGTCGATTTCTCTGAAATTCTTATCGTTGCATGCAAAGTTACGGTGGCGGTTGGAAACGATGTGATCGTCGAAATGGTCATACTTGACACGACAGTTCTCACAGTAGCCTGGTTTGTATTCTTTCTCGCGCTCCCTGGCCTCTGGCTTTTGCAACTGCCTCTTCATGAAGATGCGTCTTTTCAAGTTGTTGATGTTCTTAGAAGGCACTTGAGACACTGCAGGTCCCAATCCGTTACCCTGCGCCGCCTGCTGCTGGGCAGTACTGTTCAAAGTCGAATCCATCGAGTATTGCATGGCATTGGATGCACCGTTGTAGCCTGATGCAGCGACATCGTAGAACTTTGAATTTGAGTTGTTGCCCTGCGGGAAGACTGAAGAATTTCTCATTAAGCCCGGTGCCTTAAAGTCGTAAAGCGACAAGATCCTCTTATCGCTGGAAGTCTTCTGCTCGGCAATGGTGTCGTTGGCTCCATCTTCAGAACCTTGTGTTTTGTCTTCATCATGATCCAGAGAATTCGTGCTTGTATTTGTTTCAGTGAGGGCAGACTCTCCGGTCAAGCCATCCTTGGCCATGCTGATTATGTCATATGAGACTTTTTTGAGATGTTCACGGTATTCTTTGGTAGATTCGAACTTCTGCTGACGACGCAATTTCTTCCGCTCCAGATTATCAGAAGTATCTGGAATAAACGGACATTTGCCATCTAGGGTCATGTGAAACGATGGGAATGAGTTACTCAGCCATTCACGCACGGCGATTGGACGAACTGCCTGTGAAAGATCGTACACATACAAGAAATTCTTCTCTAAGTAGTACAAATCGTCGCGTCGAGCATTGGGGTCTCTGTCTGTGGAGCCGAAGATCTTCTCTTCTTTTAACAAGTGCAACAAGTTTCCGCTGCGCTCACTGGTGACCGTTTCTGAAACTCCCAAGTTTTTAAGAAAACGAAACACCTTATCGTAATCCCACACCTTAATTTTAAGATTGACGGCGTCATTGAATATGTCATTGGCCGCATACGTTCTGGCACTATTGAAAGGTCTTCTGCTGACGATGATGCTGACATCTCTGTCATAGAAAGGTACGATATCGCATCCCACCAGTTTCAATGCTCGCTGGGCTCTTTTCTGTTCTTGGTATTGTGCTTGATTACTGGTGTCACAGCCCTGTGTGTCGAAATATACCACGGATTCACGCATAATCTTACGCCATGAAGACTGCCAGCTCTTCAATTCATCGCCCACGAGCCTGGCAGATTTTGTCTTGTCTGACTTTTCTGTTTTTTCTTCTCGATCATCTTCTGGGTCCTGGCGAGCTACACGTTCCTTCTCGCCACCTTCAACGTGGTTCTCCTTGTTTTGATCCTTGTCCAAGCCAGTCGTGATAGCCCTGAGCTTGGGCTTCTTAAGTACTGGCAGCGGCACATTGGCGCTAGTTTCTGTTAAGGGAAGCCTTTTTGCTAGTCTCTTTCTATTGTGCTCCATGATGCATAGTTGAGTTTATTGTTGGGAGCGGTGCTGTGTATGTGCAGACGGTAATTTTGGCCGTGAATTGGGAGAGTGGGTGAGAATTTGCTGGTTGTAGAGGTGTGTTGTTGGAGGAAGAGAATCACGGTGAGGGAGATCTCGCGTTGGGAGTGCATGCATTGCAGTTGTTTGTTATGTGCAGGTAGTGGGTTGCTCTAGTAGGAGAAGTTAGGGTGAGTTGATGAAAATAAAAAGAATTTGAAAATTATGGGATTGGCGGATATAGATTTTGCAAAGATAATGGGGAGTTCTAGGCAACTTTAATTTTGATGGATGTAGTGAATGCTAATATCTGGAAGTCTGAGTGGTTATAGGTCAGTAGTAGAAGTGGTGAGTACTCACTACAAGGAAATCTGGAGAAAACGATAGGCGCTTGGATTTGTCTTGACATGTCTTGACTTTTGCTAATTAAAAAAATAACCATGAACTGACTTCACTCATTTTCAATCTATACTGAAATGACCGTAAATTGCTTTTCCTTGTATTGCTTCTCTCCGATGATTCTCTCACTGTTTTCCTTGACTGGTCGAAGTATTCACTAGGTTTTTCAAGTGTATTTCTCATAATAGTCTTTGATAACCATTCCATTACACTTAAATCCAATACTGACCGCAATTTATTTGATATTTCATTTGAAACATCACTTATTCGGAAGTGAAGCTGTTTATGATTGTAAAGAATTCGCTTCGATGATTTTGGATTTGAGTTAATGGACGACATTTCCAAACCAAATTCTACCATTTGGTCACACCCTAGGCAAGTTAATTTACAGACACTTCACCGACTCTCATGCCTACGAAATATTCCGGTTACATGCATTTCATCGGCGTCTCATAAAAGGGTTTCCCCATCTCTCAGTACATTCGTTTCATTTTTTGATTCATCTGAGTGAACAAACCCATTTAAGCTTATTTTCTTAAGCTTTTTGATTTTTTTGTTCGATGCTCTTGTCTTTGGTATACATGTCTTGGCGGGATCCTTCCTTGCTGTAATACTGCCAGGGTTGGATGTTAGTCAGAAACGTATTTTGAACAAACGCTTCAGGTGATCCTCCTGCGACAAAATACCTTTTCATGTCTCCATCTCAGCTCTTGTGGTGCGGTGAATCTAGATTCACTTTCACAACAGCTGTCGTTCTTCAAAGACATTAACTTAGCAACGGACCTACCCATAATAGTTCTGGACGCCTTACGTTCAAAATACCCCATCTCAAGCTGCCCCAGAATGTCTCTATTTTCGTACACCCAGTGCCTTTACGCCGCCAATCTTTTACTTTAGTGATCCATTCGGGAAACAACTCTGTCTCTGAAATCATTCTTTTTTTGGCTCCACCAGTTTCTTTCGATTTTCATATTCTTTTCTTTGTCAGTAAAATTTCTCACATTTCACCTTATGGCTGCGAAACTCTTTATCTCCAAACAAAAACACTTCTTCATAAAAAATCACAAACCAAGCAAAAAACTCCGAAACTCCACCAGAAAATCATTCACATTCAATGTCATTTATTACTAGAAGCTACAAAAATTTTCATGGTGTTTTCACCTCTTTGATCATGCCTGACATATTGACCTATTTGTAATACATCAACCCACCTATTTCAAACACCAAAGGTAGAAGGTCCATTTGAAAAACAGTATTCAATACAAAACTGAGCATCATCAAAACTTTGCTTTATCCCTACAACGATTCCTTCCTCCATCATCTCCTCCACTTTTCCAGTCACTCCACTACATCTACAGTAGACTGCACCTACCCTATCTGAAGTTATTGCTCAAGGCACCCAATATCTTCATCCCATAAAGCTTCCTTTCCACTCAAATTTCAACTCTCTTTTATCCCCCTACCTACCCCTGTCACATTCATTTCCATGTTGCAATCCAAACAGGTGTCGCAGGTACTCGCACAGGTAGTTGCTGGAGACAATGCATCCACCAAAGGTCCCATCTCCGTTTCACTTCTCTCGGCAAAAGGTCTACCTTTGACAACGGTAACATCTACACATGTTGCGGATACTACACTCACCGCAGATAACTTGCGAGTGTACTCACTTTTGGCAATCAACTCGTTCCATCAACAGGCTAAATGTGGAGACGACGATGTGGACAATTGGGCACTTCTCGACTTGGACGGGAGCCTACGGGCGATGGTCCGCAAGTTTTCCACGTTGGAAAACAATTCAGAAAACTACCATAACGATATGTTTGTTGTTTTATTCTACAGTGGAGACTATTCAGATGCGTTGGCCAAGGTGAGACTTGATCTGTTGACCCTGGCGTTGGCAGAGGGGCTTCGTGGCTACATGTCGCATTAGTTAGAATGCTATTATGCTAAACAATATAAGATATACGAGTGATTGGCACACCCATGCGAGAGATGTCCATGGGACACCTTAGATCTAGGAACAGTTGTCTTGGGCAACAAGTAAATAGGAAGCAAGCAGAAACACACTGGCAAACGTGCGCACAAACAAGAAGGATGTGGCAGTTATTTGAAGGACCGGGTAGGCTATAGCAAGTAGGTAGATGCTGCTCGTTAGGCAAGTTGAGGTAAGACATGAAGCAACGATGAAAATATCATTGAACAGAGGATAGAAACTTAGGAGAATGAACCCTATTTCACCATGTCCACATCGCTTTCCTCTTCCTCCTCAACGTCATCCTCCTCGTCATCGATGTCGTCCATTAAGCTCTCCTCGTCAAAGCTCTCTTCCTCGCTGTCATACCAGAAATCCTCATCAACTGGCTCTTGCTCAAGCTCCTTGTTGCCGGCGTCAGCACCGCCGTAAGCATGCACCTCATTTTCAGGAATTACAAACGATTCCGGGATGTCGGCCTTGGACCGCTGCACCTCCTGCAAAACCTTCTTCTTGTAAGCCTCTGGGTTCTTGCGCAACTCCACCGACGCGTCGATATTGGCGGGCGAGTTGACGTTCGGATCCTCCAAAAGTGACACAATGGAGATCAACACACTTTCCACCGTCTGCGCAGGGGACCATGTCTCGCTGTCGGGCTCGTCCAGTGTGGGGTCTCCGCCTTGGTGGAGAATAGAAATGCACAAGCGGCCGTCACGGTAAACGTTCGGATGGTAGATGGCCGGGGTGAAACGGAAAGTTGGAGGCGAGAAGGGGAAGTCTGCTGGGAAACGCATCTGGCCCTTGAAGAAGCCGCCATGGTACATTGAATCCTCATTAAGCACCATGATGCCAATGTTCCACAAAAAGATGTTATCATCGTCAAGCTCGATATGGAAGCTTGGAATGCCCTTCTTAGGGTCTGTGAGGTCTTTGTACTGCCGCTGCAAGATTGCTGCCGCTGATTTGGAACTCATGTTTAGAAATGTTTTGGAACGATTTGTAATACTCCACAAGGGCGGGAAAGGGGGAACAACGAACTCTGTGGGGCAAGTGTATTAGGTATTGACGAAGCAGAAAAGTTGGGATTAGGTACGGTTTTCACTAAAGATGATGACTCAAAAAAGATGAGTAATGTGCGGTTTGTGTGAATAAAGCCGAATGACCCTGGAGTACGTAAAGGTTGATGATAGTTAGTCAGAGGTAGCCGAGTGTGCGGATTTCTTTTTTCGCATTTCTTTTTGCTATGGGTCAGAGGGAAACACTGGGAAATAGGCAGACAGAAAATGGACAGGGAACGGGAGGTATGGGGGTAAAAGATGGTTTTTTAGGAAGATGAAGGTTGTACTATTTCAGTGTTTAATTTTTTTCTTTTTTTTGTTGGGTTTTGGTAACAAATATATGTTAAAAGATAATCATTGAAATGGACGATGGGCAAACAACGGGCGTGTATCACGTGACCCTATGGTAACCTCAATACGGCATTTGTACAAACATTTATTTAGTGGGGAAGGTATAGCGGTTATTAGGGAGATGACATGAGTAAATGTATTCCTGACCACTTGCCGCTCCTGGTAGTTCCATTCACCAATTGTTCCACGATTTCTCTATGCACAGCTCCACAGTGAAACAGCATACTGTGTAGTGTGTCAGTAGATCAAGAGTGTCCTTATGCTGTTGAGTGAGGCCCCAAAGATTCTCATCACATTGTTGGAATTTTAAATTCTATTTCATGTTGGTTGGGTCATACTGGTTAGTTGTGTCAATGATTGTATTCCTATATTCATTGTTCCACATTTTTGTTTTATTCTTTTTTCCCCATTTTTCATCTCGATCTGCTTGATGGTCTTATCAATTCAAGGTCATTACTATATTAGGCAGTGCGCACTACAGACCGACCCATAGTGGTCCACATGGAAGTTGCTGTCTATATATTCTGATCCAACAGTATCGTTGAGTACCACCTATCCTCATCAACTTCCAGCTATACCATTTGACCTTTCCCCCGTCGTACTTCCTTGCGCCATGCCGGATTCTTATCATCCGGTCTAGATCAGCAGTTGTGACCTGTCCATGCACTCCTGTTTCCAAGTTGCTAACGATGAACGATACTCAATGAGACTCAGAATATCCAGAATAACCAAAATGGCTGCAATTGCCGAAATTTCCATTAAAACCGTCTGTACTACTACTTCTTCTTCAATTTGAAATCCTCGAATTCCATAGAAAAAAACCCACTACCCTTTCACCTCTCTGGTATAACCTGACCGTCTCATGCTCCTATCTCCAATAGCTGACATTCATTCCTGCACACAACCAGAGTGTCCACTACCCCATAACCTATCAAATCCACTGATAATCTCCACCAACTTCTTGCCGCAATGGACTTTGAAGAGCAATTAGAAAAAGCCGAGCGTTTGGAATCTCCATCGCTCGTAGGGTCATCTTTGAGATCCGCAGATGACTCTGCCCACAAGAACTACATTCACCCGGAGAAGTACACTGGCAAGAAATCAAAGCCTGGTAAGCACTCCGTCTTGAATTCGTCGATTGGAGCTTCCTTGGATGATTTGATCAGTGAGGGTGCCCTTTTAGGCTCCGAGGAGGACTTTGACCGCTTTTTGGACGACAAGGGTAACGTCAAGAACGACGCCAAATACTTGGCCAAATCTTCCAGCTCTGAACGTTCTAGTGCAGCTGCCACCACCAAGAATGCAGCTGTATCGTCTCCACTTAGGATTTCAGCTTCGCGGCCAGATGATTCTCCTGGCTCTGCGGTATTTTCTCCTGTGGACGCAGACTTTGCTGCTAATGAGACCGACAATTCGGCCCTGGCCGTCTCGGCTGTGCCCGCTGGCGATTCTCTCTATTCCACAGAGAACTACTCAGCCCCTAACTTGTCTGAATACCAGCTCGACCACCAGATCGCAGATCACTCTGCGTTGTTGGACCTGGTAAAGTCGTACGACTTGAAAAAGTTACCTTCCTCCAACGACAGAGAGAGATCCAAGACCAGCGAGCTCTATGCTGCCAGCGAGCGTGTACCAAAGGGGGTGAAGGTAACTGCAGCAAAGAAAAACCCTGTTTTTGCCGTAGAGAAGCCAGACGATGCCCGTATTAGCAACTCCGACTCGTTACACACTCCGTACTTCCCTCGTGATGAGAGATCACCCAGCAGATCTAGGGCAGGCCGTTTGCCTGTCGATGAATCCAGATCCCGGTCCACGTCGCGCTCCAGATCCGTCAACAAGCCCCACTTGGCTCGTGGCGATTCCTACAAGAGCACTCACGAGGATGCACCTGCTAAGTACGAGCTTCCGGCCAATTTGGCGGTTGAGGAGGAAGAGGAGGATAGTAGAAGATCTAGACAGTCGCGTCCAACCATGGGAGATTCGATTGCTGCTGCCGAGGCCCAAGAAGTGCGTGACTACCACAGTGAGAACATCACCAGAGACCCATCTTTGGTGACTACGGGTGATTACACCAACTTCAACTGTGATGCGCCAAGCCAGAGAATGGAAGACCTCAGTTTGTTCTCCGTACGCTCGCAATCTTCTACCAACTACTTGCGGTCTATCTCGCGTTCTAGGTCTAGACAGCCTCAAAAGAGAGCACCCAGAGACCGGTCGTTGTTGAACGAAAAGAACGACGCTAATCCCGAGGAGTTGGCCAGGGAGGGTGCTCTTGTCTCGGATGATCCTTACGACCAAATGACTGGCTTGGATGCCATGGTCGATAAGGTGTTGAAGGCTCCTAAAGACTTCTCTGAGTCTTCAAAAAAATTAGTCAATGATGTGTCTGCCGAAAAAAAAGTTACTGAGACTAAAGAGCAGTTGATTGCAGAGGAGGCCCCAACCCTTACTGCTGCTGATATTCAGGTGAATGAAGAAGAGGCTGACAAGGCCACCAAATCAAGTGAGTATGTCGAGAAGATTATTGAGGCGGAGATGGAAGAGGAAATCGAAGAGACGCGGGACGTGGTTGATGTTCCTGCTGAGATTAAGGTTGAGGAGGCTCATGAACAACTTGTTGCTGAAGAGGCCCCGCTTGTAACGGCGAAAGATATCAAGTTAGATGAGGTCAGGAAGAGCGAATTTGGCAAAAAAGTTGAGAAACAAGTAGAAAAAGCTGATGATAAAGAAGCTGAAGAAGAAAAAGAAAAGAAAAAAGATGTTGACCCTCCTACTTCTAATCGCCATAACTCGAAGATTCTTGATTCGCTCAAAGCTCTTGAAGCTACTAAAGCTGACTCGGATGTATCCGACGCCCCCAAGGCTATTGAGGAAACTGACGATTCCGTATCTTCAAAGGCAGAAACAAATTTCTTGAAGCTTACCGAACCCGAATCTGTGTCTCAGGCCACCCAAGTGGACGAACATATGACCGAAGACAAGGTTGACTCAGCAAGTGCGAAAGAAATTGACCCTAGTTCAGTCGACGCAAAAAGTGAAGATTTGGAGGAGAATGAGGAAGGCGAAATAGAGGCAAAAGAAGTCACTGATGCAGAGACAGTTGAAGAATTCGAGGTTAAAGCCGAGGAATTAGACGCTGCTACATCCACCTTTGAACTGGAGAAGTCCGTGGAAGTGACAAAGGGAGAACTAGATCTGACTGAAGAAGTTGCAAGTGTAGCTGATCAGGATGAGACTTTACCTCTCAACATCAAATCTCATGCCAATGCCACTTCACCTGCGAAGGCCGAAGAAAAGTCCGAGGATGAGAAGACTCAGGATAGGTCAGCAGAGACTGAATCTGGACCAACTGAAGTACTTGAAGAGGTCGAGACGCTTTCTAAGGAACTCGAACCACGTAAAGAATCCTCGAATGTGAGGGAACCTGAATCTGAAGAATCTACCGGAGCCGAGCCTGCAACCGAAATCGAAACCGAGACTCAGCAGCCAGAATCCAAATCTACAGAGCCAGAAGCCTCAGTCCCTAAACCTGAAGAAGAAGAAGACTTCGAAGTATCGCCAGAGGAGTTGAGAAAGCACCTAGAGAGCTTGCCGATTTACCTCTTCACGTCTCTCGCCGGAGGAATGCAGATCATTCAAAAAACTAACCGTTTAGCAACCATTTTACAAGGTAATGGCATCAAATTTGAGTACAGAGACTTGGGTACAGATGAGGAAGCAAAAAAGCTCTGGAGAAGATTTGCTCAAGGAAAGACATTGCCTGGAGTTGTTAGAGGCGATGATTTCATTGGTAACTGGCAATACATTGATGAGGTGAACGAGGATTACCGGTTACACGAAGTGTTGTACGAGACTCTTTAGCCAATGAATATCGAGATCTATGGTTTCCATTGATATTGTTAACGAAGTTGATTATACCAGGAGATAACAAAGTACCACAGATTGGTTTGACCCTGTGAGGTAAGAAAGAATCGAAGCCCAGAATGACCGAAAATGAAAACCAGAATTCAACATGAGATTGTAACAAAGAAAATGACACTACCGTTACAACACCCGATCTGAATACTTCCAAATTTGAATCCCAATCCTATTCAAGTAAAGCCCTCTTCCGACCTCCTAGCAAACACACAATGTCCAACTGACACTACACCCCGCCATTAGTGCATCTTGACCCACCCAATGATCACGATCTACTCACACTTGCTTAAAAGTCCCCTTGACTCTTGCATACACTAACTCCGCTTACGCTGTGTCTATGCTCAGGTTGGGAACGTGTGACGTGGCTCAAAGACCTATCTGCAGGAATCACAGGCAGTTGGATCAATATTTTCCACACATTCGTGGTGATTTCACTTTTCTACCTCCCAACCTCGCCGCAAGCCTTCTCGTCCCTAAAGGAAGTATCTTGCCCCGCTGTCCCTTTTGAATTTCATTCGACCCCTTCCCTCTGCTTATTTAGCATTGCCCTTTGTCTATCTCCTGTCCCCCACCAATGGCTACTCCTGCTGAAATTATTGCTGCTCGTGTCAACGGGACCTACGTGGAATCCGAGAAAAATGATGAGGCTGTTGCCCCTACCTCCTCTGAACCTTCGGTGACCAATGGTTCTAGCCGTTCCGTGAGTGATGAGTCTGCTTTCCCAGTTTTAGGTGGAGGTTCCAGAGCCTCCACTCCAGCTTCTGGTGCTTCCACCTCTTGGGGCCCCAACGCTAGTGGCGCCGCCTCTGCTACTCCTTCCCTCTCTGCCCCTGTGCCTAAGTCTTCTAGCGCTCCAAAGTTCAAGGGATCCACCATCCAAGAGGCATTCTCCTTGGATGCTGAAGACCAATTGAACGTGGTAAGACCTGAGTTTATTAAGATTTTGACCTCCATTAAGACCTCCACTAAGACGAACATCGAGTGTACTACGTCGCAGCATACGAAGAAGAGAACGTTCTTGATCACTGGAAAGCCTGAGCAGGTCAAGCTCGCCAAGAGACTTGTTATTAAGAAGTTGACCAAGCCAGTGACTTTGACCTTCAACATTCCTGCCAAGGTTAGATCTAGAGTCATTGGCGCCCAGGGCCGTAACTTGAAGCCTATCATTCAGGAAAACGAGGTCAAGATTGACATTGGAAACTTGGAGGGTTCTGAATCTCCAGAGCCTGAAGATGAAGACGATATCTACGCCCTGACTGTGACAGTCACTATCGATGGAGACGCCGAGGGTGCTAAGCATGCTAAGGCACAAATTTTGGCTATCGTCAAGGAAGAGACCAAAAACTTGCTGATCAAAGTTGCTGTCGATGATCTTGTCAAGCCATTTGTCACCAAAGCCATCGAGAAGGTTATCGAAACTTACCCCCAGCTTGATATCTCTGTGCCTCCATACTACTCCTCCTCGAAGTCTGTTATCATTTCTGGTGACAGAGAAACAGCCTTGGAAGTTAGAGACCAAATCAAAGACATCATTGCCCTTTTGGAGTCCAAGCTTGTCATCGAAAGCGTCCCAATTCCAAAGGTTAAGCATCAATTCTTGCCAGTTGACCTTATTTTGGAAGAAGATGACGTTTTGATTAAGTTGCCTGAGGAGGGTGAGACCGATGTCAAGTTCATTGGTGAACCAAAGAAAATCAAGACTGCCCAAGAAAAGGCCAGAAAAACCACTTCTCAGTACAAGGTGGAAGTTTTGGACATGAGCAAGGCCCACAAAGGTAACTTGGAACATGTGAGAGCCATCGCTGCCTTGTTGTCCAAGAACGGCACTTTCTCTACCATTGCCTCCGAGAACGAAGTTGTCATCAACCCACCTTCATTGGAGTTCTTGGCTGACGAGACCCAAACTTCCCTTCCAATTGAGATTGTTGTTAAGAACGATGATTCCGAAAAGGCCAAGGGTGCCAGAAGAAGCATTGTCGCTGCCGTCAATAACATCACACCATCTCAAGCCAAGATTGTGGCTGACATTGACTCGTTCTTCATTGCCAAGGTCCCAGAGACTCTTGATGCTGTGGAGGCTCAATATGTCATTCTCAATGATAAGGTCATCTTGTTTGATGTTGCCGAAAAAGAGGGCGGTGATGACTTTGACGATTTCGAAGATTCGACATCCGACGCCTTGGAGGTTGCCAACAAGGCTCTTGACAACTTGAGAGAGTTGCAGGCCTCCTTGGACACTGTCGTATTGAAGGTCCCATCTGGCGAGCAGACTCACATTTCTGGACCTCATAATACCACTTTGAAGTGCATCTTAGCTAACGTTGAACCAGATTCGGTTGTTGTGGAATTGCACTCTAATGCTTCTGGCACTTCCGACAACGAAGTGTACATTCACGGACTTAAATCTGAGGTTGAAACTGTTGTTAAGGATATCAAGTCTATTTTGGCTGAGGCAGAGGAGTACAAGGCCACCGGTGGCTTTAGTGCTACCTTGGAAGTTCCAACTTTTGTTTTGTCCAGAGTCATTGGTAAGGGTGGTACCAACTTGAACACCATTAGAGATCAATATGGCGTCAAGATTGACATTGCCGGTGAGGCCAGAGATGATGAGGTCACTGACAAGTCTATCAAAACCGAGATTTCTGTTGCAGGTATCAAGAGAAACGCCGAGGCTGCTAAGGAGGCTATCAGCAAGTTGGCCAAGAAGTTTGCTGACGATACCATTGCCAGATTGAGAATCGAGAACCAGTACCACAGAAGAATCGTGGGTCCAAGCTTCTCCTTCATCAACAGATTGCAGGACAAGTACAATGTCAAGATCCGCTTCCCATCTGAGAACAACACTAGCTTTGCTGATGCTCCAAAAAACAAGGATGAAGTTACCATCAGGGGTCCATCCAAGAGCGTCGCTAAAGCCGAGGAGGAATTGAAGGAATTGTACGAGTTTGAGAGGGAGAACGGATTCAAGTCCAGTATCAAGATCCCGGTCAAGGCCATTGCCAGAGTCATTGGTAGAAATGGTGAAACTATCACCGATATTGCTGATGGCACTGGTGTCGAGTACAGATTCAACAGAGACAGAAAGGAAGAAGAAGAGCTTGGATACGTCGAGGTTGAGTTGACTGGATCAAAGTCTGCATTGAAAGAGGCTACTCAGAAGATTAACGAGATTGTTGAAGAAGCAGAGAACTTTGTGACTGTAACCATTAATGTCGCTCCTAAGTACCACCGTGACTTGGTTGGACCTAGCGGTTCTGTCATGAGAAAGATGATTGAAAAGGCAGGCGGTGAGAATTTGTCCAGACAGCAATACGCCAGATTGTTGACCATTCCGAATGAAGGATCTGACTCTGATGAGGTCGTTTGTCAGGGAGACAAGAATATCGTCGACAGCATTGTTTCTCAAATCAACGAGATAGTTGCTGAAAAGGAAGCATCTGTCGAGGACGAGTACGACTTGGCCAAGGAAAAGCACAAGCTCATCGTCGGCCCGGGAGGATCGATTCGTCACGCCTTGCAGGACGAGTTCAATGTCCAGATCAATATTCCAAGACCTGGAGACTCTGCAACCGTGATTAAATTGTTTGGATTGCCAGAGAACATTGAGAAGTTGAAGGCTAAGTTGGACGAGACTACTAAGGACAACTGGAACGAGAGCATTGATATTCCAGCAGCCTACCACTCATTGGTTTCTGACAGAGGAGCTTTTTTCAAGACATTGAGAAGCGAGTACAATGTGGAGGTTGCACACGGTAATCTCACCAGAAAAGCATCCAATTTGTCCAATGCAGCAATTCCTACCCCACCAGAGGAAGCTACAGGCGAATCCGGCACCAAGTTTACTATTATTGAGAACGTCGCCGCTGAGGGTGACGACGCCGTGATTCCATGGAGATTAATTGGTGAGAAGGAAGCCACAGCTAAGGCTGCCGTGCTTATCGGCGAACAATTGGAGCGTGCGAAACTTGCCAACCGTGCTGCATGGTTTTACTCCAACACTCCATCGAACCACTTCCCAAGAATCATTGGACCTCAAGGACGTAAGGTTAACCAAATCAGAAAGAGTACAGGCGCGTTCATTACTGTTCCACGTCTGAACGAAAAGAACAATCAATACATCTACTTAGTGGGTACTGAAGAGAGTTTGAAGAAGGCACAAGAGGCTTTCAACAAGCTCATTTGATCCTGATAAGGCAAAGAAAAAAATACCATGCAAAAATAAAATCCTGGGCAAAGCACATCGGCATGAGCTGCATGGCACTCTAACGCATATAATGTCAATACATAAGGTGAGTGTGGCTCACCCGCAGTTAAAAAAAAAAAAAAAAAAAAAAAAATTGATAGACCAAGACAGTAAAAATCTAATTTGTTCTTGTACCTGAGCCACACGAAATTGCCGTGACAAGTGTTGCTGTCAAGACCAAGTTCCAGTCACGTGCAATGACAGTAACTGGAGAATGCCGTTTTCTCTGCACCCTGTCAAAGGACCTCATCGGAAAATCTTCAACGATCGATGACATAAAACGAAAGGATCGTCATAGAAATGGTAACGAAGTTGGGCGGGCCAGTTATTTCCTGATTTATCATAAACCACAATCACTTACCACGGCACTTAAAACTGTGGATTCAATCAAGAAAATGGATTATGCGTTGCAGCCAAGGCGATCATCTTCAGGATGATTCTGTGCCGCATGCGACATAAAAAAAAAATTCATCCGGAAATTCTCGAGGGCATTATCTACAAGACACACGTGATTTATAAGATACTAAATTATTTAATTCCGAGGGAAATACCGAGGGAGACACAAAGACAAAATCGGAAACGGCATCATTTCTTTTTGGCGTTTTTTGCAACCCCAGTCGACTACTTAAATAGAATTGTAATCGCACTTTCAAATCTTATCCATTATCGATCATGTCTCTGATAGAACAAAAGTCTGCGAACTCAGACTCCGCTACCAAGGAGTTTCAAGAGGCCAATGTCTCCGATAACGAGTCCAATGTCGCCGTTGTCAACATTGACAAGAACAAGAAAGAGATTGGTGTTGTCTCAGCCATTTTCTTGATTACCAACAGAATTATCGGTGCCGGTGTGTTTTCTACTGCCAGTACCATTTTGAACCTTTCTGGCTCAGTAGGAACCTCCATGATTATGTGGGTGATTGGTTCCATCATTGCATTCAGTGGACTTCTTACCTATATGGAATTGGGTTCTGCCATTCCAAGAAACGGTGGAGAGAAGAACTACTTGGAGTACATTTACACCAAGCCTAAGTTCTTTGTTACTGCCATGTACGCATCTTACATTTTCTTTTTGGGTTGGGCTGCCGGTAACTCCATTGTCACTGGTGAGTTCTTGTTGAATGCTGCAGGCAAGGAGATCACCCAATGGAACTCCAGAGGTATTGGTATCGCTGTCATTACCTTTGCTTTCTTGCTTAACGGTCTCCACGTCAAGTCTGGTTTATACTTGGCCAATGCTTTGGGTATTTTCAAGGTTGTTATTGTGCTCTTCATCTCCGTTACCGGATGGGTTGCTCTTGGCGGAGGTATCAAAACCAATAACTTCCAAAAGACCCACAACTTTGACGATGCTTTCAAGGGTACCTCGCCTTCTGGTTACGGTATTGTCAACGCCTTGTACAATGTGATTTGGTCGTATGTCGGATACTCCAACGCCAACTACGCTTTGGGTGAAATTAAGAACCCAGTCAGAGTGTTGAAGATTGCAGCTCCAAGTGCCTTGTTCATCATCACCATTCTTTACATCTTGGTCAATGTCGCCTACTACGCTGTTGTTCCTGCCGAAGAGGTCCGTACATCGGGCAGAATTGTCGTTGCTTCCTTCTTCAAGTATGCCTTCGGTGACCTGGCTGAGAAGGCTGCCTCCGTCTTCGTTGCCTTGTCCACCTTGGGTAACGTTTTGTCTGTGATTTTCTCCCAGGGTAGAATCATTCAGCTGTTGGGTCGTGAGGGCTCCTTGCCATTCTCCAAGTTCTTTGCTACCCAGAGACCTTTCAACTCTCCATTTGTTGGTTTGTTCCAGCACTGGGTTGTCTGTGTGATCACCATTCTCGCTCCTCCACCAGGAGATGCTTACAACTTCATCATGAACTTGATCTCATACCCATTGAATGTGGTGAACACCTTTGTTGGTGTTGGTTTGTTGTACCTCAAGTGGAGATCCTACAAGGGATACCTGCCATGGACCCCACCAATCAAGATCTGGTGGCCTGTGGTTGCTTTCTTCACCCTCTCCTCATTCTACTTGATTGTCGCTCCTTACATTCCTCCTACTGATGGTCAGTCTGTTTACAAGGACTTGCCATACTGGATCCACTGTGTGGTCACTTGGGGAGTGTTTGGTGTTGGAGGAGTTTACTGGGTTTTGTGGTCCATTTTGTTGCCAAGATATGGTAAGTACACCTTGGTTGCCAGAGAAATCTTGGGAAGTGATGGTTTCTGGAGAAACAAGTTCATCAAGGTTCCACACGGTGAAGACATTGACGAGTACACTGAGGGAGTCATTAATGAGGAAGCTCTCAAGGAGGAAATTGTTGTTGGATAATTCAGTTCTTTAATATTTATTAAAATAATGCTTAGGAAGAAGAGATGTAGAGTGATAAAGGAAAAGAAGCGAAGATTGAATGATTATTACAGTTGCACATTTGGAGAAAGATACGGAAAAAAAAAAACAGCAAAGTCGCTGAAATTCCCGATTAGCAAAAGAACCAATCTAAAATTTTTTTTTAATCTCTCAGATTGTTCTTGAATTTTTATTACAGTTGAATGTTCATACCAACACCAAAACTCCCACACAGCCTGCATATAAACCAAAAAACTCACCAAAGAAAAAAAAAGTCACTTTCAACAGAATACTACAACCATGCCTGTTAAAGCTATACCCAAGGTGTCCCTAGCACGTAATGGTGTGGGGTCGTTTGTGAAACCATGTTATAAGGTCACGGTTCAGTACTGCAACTGGGGCGGATCATCTCAGGGAGTCAGAGACTTCTTGACGCATCACAAGAAGAATCTTCAAAAAGTAGCCAACGAGAATAAGGACACCATGTTTGAGGTGATCAAGAGAAATGGCCACCCACAAGTTGTTTTCCACTACAACAACGGCGCGCAGAACGCTGTGGATGTGAGAAACCAGACCGTGGACCAGGTCACCAAGACGGTGTGGGAACACATCCAAAAGAGTGGTAACGCACCTTTCAAGTTCAACCAAAAGGTGATGTCCAACAACGAGTCGGTTAGAGGTATCTGGTCTCCAATGCACGTGAACAAGACCAACAGACACCGTATATAGGGTTCACATTGTACATAGAAATGCATGAAGAAATGGGAGAACAGTAGGGGAATGAAATGGGAGTATGATGGATCAAGAAGGATATGAGACGGAGTTCTTATTTCAGACGGATAATACAAGAAAGAATGTTGAGTAGTTGTGAAGGGAGCAAAACCTAGAGGGAAGCAAACAGCATTTTGAGAGAAGATTAGTATTTATGCCTTCATTGGTACAGATTTTATCGATTGAGCACAATTAATGTTGGGCTCATTCAGTGTTAGTATATCCAGAGCTCCATAGAGCTTGAAATTTAGATATTTCAGGAAATAATTGTCTTACTTGATTCAACTGGCTGATAATTTTATTATCGCATTCATGTGATGAAGATGCATCCTTGAAGTTGGGAATTAAGAAGAGACTTGAGTGAAATTCGAAAGCGCCACTATTTGCAATTGATGGAAGATAAAAGCAGTGTTGAGAATAGAAATGGATAACTCATACTTCTTGTGAGCCTCTGTAGCCGGTATCTTTTTCTGTTTCTTTGATAATTTTGTGTTGTTGTTTGCTTCCAACCAACTTAGAGAACAAGCACATAGCTGTTATCTCCCCAAATCGATACTCCTGGAATTGTCCCCTGAGCTTTAAAACACGCAGAATCCAGAAGTAATCATTTTCAACGACATTGAGAAACTCAAAGTACAATTTTAAATTGACTGTAAGTTCCTGGTTCAAACCGCTCATATTAATTGTTTTCCGTCAGGGTCTACTTATATTTCATACCCTTTAACAATAAACCCCTCGTACGAATCCACTTTCAATAAGTTAACCTGATTTCATTCATCTCAATTTTCCCATGAGCTCTTCGCTATCATCAAAATTAGTCACTTCCAATCATACTTTCCATTTCATACATTCGACTATCCCAACCATGGCAATCTCCATCTCCATTCCAGTCAATACAAGTTGCAACTATAATCTCTTACTTTGCTTACTTTGCTTACATGTAAAAACTGTAATCTACTTTTATTCTATAAACTTTCAAAGTTCCATCCTCTTTTAATCCTTTTAATTACATGTCCATTAAATTTACATATCCGTTCCAATTCCCGGCCACAGTACCAATTCATACTGGAACCAATTTGCACCCAAATGCCACCTCCTTCCTGAAACAGCAACTCGTCTTGCCGGAGCCGCGCTGTCGTGTTCGCCTTCCCTTCCCATATGGCTCCCTCTGAAAACAGCATCTGCGCGCGAAACCAACTGCTGTTTTGGTACAATTTTCGCCCTTGCCTTCCCATAGAGGCGCGGCTAGCTCTCTCACCTGCCTTTGCGGGAATGATGATTCATTTCACCACTTTACTTATATAACCTAAAACATTTAACTGACAAAAATTTTTCTTCAAACTACAACTACTTCATCATGACTGTCATAAATTATAAATCGTACCAACAGGTGCTAGATTTGGCCAGTGAGAGCAAGCGCACCACCAAGGCATCCAAGACCACTGCGGGTGCTCCCAAGAAGAGAACAAAATCCGGTTGTCTCACTTGCAGAAGAAGAAAGAAGAAGTGTGACGAGGAGAAGGTGGGTGGTAAGTGCCAGGCATGTATCAGAAACTTCTTGGACTGTTGCTGGCCCGGCGAGGTTGCAGCCGAGCAGCCCGAGACCGAGACTCTAGAGGCTGAGAGTTGTGTCAAAGTTGAAAAGGTCGAAATCAAGAGCAAAGGTGCCAGCGCTTACCCTTCGCCAGTTTTGTCGCCCCAAGCCGAGGCTGTAGATGACTGCAAGGATATCAAGCCACTCGAGTTGGGAACGACGTTCAAGAACACTTCATCCAAGGTGACTAAGCCTAAAGTGACTAAGCCCAGGAAGGCCAGGAAGGGCCAGGCACAGTTTATTGTCACGTCTTTTGATCACGACAGAGCGTTGTGCCAGGTTAAGGTTTAGGGAAAATTGGGTTTAACAGGTCTAGCGGGTCTAGAATTATGTATTATAATTAATTTTATTGGATAGAGAGCATGTACTGTAGAATTTAATGACAATGGAGTAATTACTCAGCAATATCATACGTGGACCAATACCTGGGCTGACAATTTCGATCCCTTTCATCAATTGATATTATCAATTGATATTAATTTCGATTTGAATTATTTCGACTAGATATATAACAATTTTAAACATCTTTTACCCGCTAAATTATTTTCTCCACCTGACATTTCTGCCACTGTTATTCTCAGTAACTTACATATTTCCTACACATATAATCTACACCCTTCCTCGTTAATGCCATGTGTCAATTCATATCAATTCCATCTCTCGATATCATGAATTCATACATATTGTTAGCCAAAATGTCCAATTCTTTGATCAAACTGTCCAATTCTTTGGTCAAAAAACCTTCTTATTGTTTCAAAAACATCACTGATTGGTCAAAGTCATTTCGGACTTCGCCATCCAAATCTGTAGATTGAAAGTCCTGGAAAATCTTCATTATCCATAAACCATCCAATCACTTCAAAACCCGAAATCTCCATCATATGATCGTTACAATAACCCTAAACATAACATGATTTGCCATCGGATCTTTACCATGCTTACTCCGCTAGGCCAAATTCTTAGGCCAAACTATACAACTTCACGTGACATGAGGTAAATATCTCACATACTGGAAGGCGATGCACGTGACTCACAATGACCGTTGGATTTTCCTTCAACAAAGATTATGGGAACAATTACCATATTAGTCTTAGTTGGCCATTTCCATAGGAATTTGACGATTGTGGCTCCTGTAAATATGCAGGAGAACACAAGCGAATCCTACTTAACTACAGGAAGACACCATTATACTCAGGAAATTGCGCCTAAATACAGGAGAAGTGCAACCGTCCTGTCATTCCGCTCCTCTTATCGCAACTGTGGCACAGATATCCCCAATGTAGGTATAAAAGACCATTGATATTCGGTTCGGATAGAACAGCACTTCAATTTGTCATTCACATATTGCCAATTGTAAAAATCAATTCAAAACTCTCAAAAAAAATGGTTAGACCTACTGGCGATTTCGACACCCACTTCAACAAAGAAACTGATGAGATAACTTCTGATGGAGTACTCACAGTGAGCAAGTTAAACAGAGAACAATCTGCATTCCCAGAGTTCTTGCCTACTTGGGATCCAAGCCAGAAGTACGCGCCATTGAAGTTTTTCGTTCACAATGACCCAGGAAGCAGAGCCGACCCAGGGTTCCCTAACCTTCTTCCACAAGATGGACAACAAAAAGTCAAGAGAGTGACTCCAAAATTGGGAACGGAAATTACCGGAGTTCAATTGTCTCAATTGGATGACAATGGAAAGGATGAGTTGGCTTTGTTGGTTGCACAGAGAGGTGTCGTGATTTTCAGAGATCAGGACTTTGCCAATCAGGGCCCAGCTTTTGCAACCAAGTACGGTGAACATTTTGGAAGATTGCACATCCACCCCACCTCTGGAGCTCCAAAGGGTCACCCAGAATTGCACATTACCTACAGAAGAGCCGATCCATCCGAGTTCAACAGGGTGTTTGCTGAGAGAACGAATGCCATTTCGTGGCATTCAGATGTCTCATACGAGCTTCAGCCTCCAGGAATCACCTTTTTCTCTGTTTTGGAAGGTCCCGATGCCGGTGGAGACACCATCTTCGCTGACACTGTAGAGGCCTACAAGAGATTATCGCCTGAATTTCAGAAGAGATTGGAGGGCTTGCATGTTTTGCACACTTCGGGAGACCAGGCCTCCAACTCGAGATCGCAGGGCGGAATTGAGAGAAGAGAACCTGTGTCCAACATCCATCCTTTAATTAGAACCCACCCAGTGACCAAGGAAAAGATCATTTACTTGAACAAGCCATTTTCGAGAAGAATTGTCGAGTTGAAGCAGGAGGAGTCCGACTACTTGTTGAACTTCTTGTACAACCACATTGAGTCTGCTCTTGATTTGCAATTGAGAGCCAACTGGGAGCCCAAGACGGTGGTTGTGTGGGACAACAGAAGAGTTGTCCACTCTGCCATCATTGATTGGGAGGAGCCTGTTTCCAGACATGCATTCAGAATCACTCCTCAAGCTGAAAGGCCTGTGGAGGATTTGAAGGACTTGAACAAACCAGAGTACGATGTTGGCGATGTTGAAGAGGCGCTTTCCAGATTGGGAAAGTAAAGCAACGATAGGAATGAATAAAAATTGGAATAAAAATGCTTGGAATTGATAAGATTTATTTGGAATGTGTAGGAGATGAGACTCTTGGAAGCGTTATGACTATGACAGATACGAGAGAAAAAGGATAAATGGAAATAAATAGAATAAAGAGATAGATTGATCGACGATCAGAATAGAGAGAGTAATAAAAGAAACAAAAACCAAAAATTTATCAAAAGAAACACATGACAATAAAGCCAGGGTAAGAAAAAAACAAACTCAATGGACAAAAAAAAATAAGTCAAGAAAATCTACGTATTACTCGCATTAGTCAAAATGCGATCAACAATACCTAATCGTAACTCGCTAAAATCTTGACCAATACCAAGAAACAACCCCACTTAATCAGCTCATAAATCCATTATAAAGATTTGCAATTTCATCCACATATTACTGTGGCATTTCCTCTTTGTGTATATATTCTTGATCTGACCCCATCTTTCACTCTCTAATCATGGCTATCGATACGGAAAAGTTCAACACGGTGAAATACTCCGATTACGACATCCACTTCCATGCCGAAACGGATAGTGTAGATGCTGATGGTACCTTTGTCATTAACAAGGAGTCTGCTGCTGCGCTGAACCACCCAGAATACCTTCCTTCATGGGATCCAACCCAAAAGTTTGCCCCATTGAAGTTCTACAAACACGAGGAACCAGGTGCAAGAGCTGACAAGAACCTACCCAACCTCTTCCCCGAGGGCAAGGACTTCCAGTTAAAGAAAATCACGCCAAAGTTGGGTTCCCAGGTGACAGGTATTCAATTGTCTGATTTGACTCCAGAAGGTAAAGACGAACTTGCACTCTTCGTAGCTCAGAGAGGTGTGGTGGTCTTCAGAGACCAAGATTGGGCCCATAAAGGTCCCAAGTATATCACAGACTACACCAGACACTTTGGACGCTTACACATCCACCCAACATCTGGTGCACCCAAGGGGTTCCCAGAACTTCACATCACTTACAGAAGACCAGACCCCCAAGAGTTTGAGCGGACATTTGCTCACAAGAACAATAATGTGGGCTGGCACTCGGACGTTTCTTATGAGCTCCAGCCTCCAGGAACCACCTTTTTTGCTGTCTTGGATGGCCCTGAGGCTGGAGGAGACACCATCTTCGCTGACACTGTAGAGGCCTACAACAGATTGTCACCTGAGTTTCAGAAGAGATTGGAGGGCTTGCATGCGTTGCACTCTTCAGTTAAACAGGCTTCCAACTCGTCTGGTTACGGTGGAATCCAAAGAAGAGACCCGGTAGAGCACATCCATCCATTGATTAGGGTTCATCCAGCAACTGGTCAGAAAGCAATTTATGTGAATAAGCCATTCACCAGAAGAATTGTCGAATTAAAGCAAGAGGAATCTGATTACTTGTTGAACTTCTTGTATAACCACATTGAATCTGCTCAAGACTTGCAATTAAGAGCAAGTTGGGAGAAAGATACCGTGGTGGTCTGGGACAACAGAAGATTGGTGCATTCTGCCATTATCGATTGGGATGCTCCAGTGTCTAGACATGCAGTGAGAGTGACACCTCAGGCTGAGAGACCAGTAGAAAACTTGGAGGACTTAAACAAGCCTGAGGTTAGTCTTGGAGATGTGGCCGACGCTCTTGATAAGCTCGCAACTTGATTTTACATAAAACTGTTAAAGAGAATACAAAACAAAATATTTTACATAGTACTTAGGCGTTATCTAACAAGTAGTTTGTGGCGGCCTCAACATTCCAGTTTTCCTTTTCCAAAGCCTCTACTACTGCTGACTCCGAGAATCCCATGCCAACCAACTCGTCAATGGCAGTAGTCTTGGAGCTATCAATCGGCTGCTGTGCAGTGTTGGCATTACCAAATCCAGCAAATAACTGCTCCCATTCGTCGTTAGCGTCCGGTGCTGATCCACCAACAGAGAAGTCTGGAGCAGAGGAATGTGCAACGAATCCACCATCGACTGCTCCAGTGAAGTGATCGTCCATGGTCACTTCTTGCTCAACAGGGAAGTCCTCACCCTCATCAGCCTCTGCAATCTTCAAGTCATTGAATTCATCTCCAAACAAATCCTCATGTGGAATATCCTTTTCTTGCACTGCTGGCTCGAGGTCATTGAAGTCGTCGTCAAACTCATCTGTCGCAGCTGACTCGCCTGCTGTTGGGCGAGGTGAAATATGATCGACGGCGTCATCAAATTTTTCTTCTGGGATGTCCTCGTCTTCCTCTGAAGAAGAGCTTTCATCGTAATTGAATTCCTGAATTGGAGGAAACTCCTCATCATACTTGTTCTGGGCAGGTTGAACGAAGCTTTGCGCCAATGGATGGGTGGATCCTTCCAACCTGTTAGAGTTCTCCAAGCCTCTCGCTTCGTCAGCGTTCACGATCTCAAACAGCTCAACACCAGAAGAAAGCCTCTCCCCTTCAGAGTCCTCTAGACGTCCCTCACCCTCCTTGATCTCTGTCAGAGAATCTGGATTTGAAGGAGCTGGCAAGTCCTCTAAGGTTTCACGCTCGCTGACATCATCAATGTTGTCATCACGTACAGACAATGATGCGTTATTCTGTACGCTAGAGGTCATGGAGTCAGTTCTTTGTACGCCAACTAAAACACCTGGCATGCCAACCATCCCGCCCACTACACCAGCAGCACCAGCCTGGTATCTGTATTCAGAATTATCTGGCGAAGTAATTGGAGTTTCGATACTTCCAGTCTGTCTGTAAGAATCAGTCACTGCAGAAACGGAGCCAGTTTGGTTGGTTCTGTCGTCGACTGTGTCAATCTCAGGATATCTCTCCTTTAGATCGTCAAGGTCCGCTGAGTTAAATTCCGTAGTGTCAAGTTGTGGTGCTTTATGCTCTGCTTCCTCGAAATCATCCAAACCCGTCATATCCTCAGTCGGCTTATCTTGAACTTCATCTACCAAACCAGCAATAGTTGGTTCAGCGGTACTTTCAACTTCATTTGAGGCATGAAAAGATTCAACTGATTCCTTTCCAAACAGAAGGGCACCGGGAAGTTCAACTTCAGTGACTGACCCCTGCTTTGGTTCTGTCTGTTCAGTTGATTGCTGAACAGGCAAATCGACAGACTTTTGAGTCGACTCGGCCGGAGGTTCAGCTCTTACGGATTCTTCTTGACTTTCTGATGATCCCAAAAAATGGGCACCAGCGAAACCCGCTGCGCCGCCGACAGCAGCAGCTGCAGTAGCTGCAACAGCAGTACCAAGTCCAGAGGACTTAGAGGGCGTCTTCTGAGATGCAACAGTCTTTTTGAGTGCCTCATTGTGAAGCTCCAACTCCTTGGCCCGCTTTTCAGCTGCGATTCTCTCTTCCTCTGCCTTTTTAACTTCTTCCTCGTGCTTTTGGATGTCTAGCTTGTATTTCTCATTTGAAGCCTCGAGATCCAGAATTTCAGATTTGAGGTCATCAACTTTGACAATGGCTACTTGAAGTTGAGACTTTCTGACGCTGACCTCCTTTTCCAATTGAGAATTCTCAAGTTGCTTAGACTCGGCCTGCTTCTGAATCTCTGCAATTTCGGCGTTCAAAATCCCCAACTTTTCTTTCAAAACAGAATTGGTCTTCTGAAGCTCTTCAACAGCTACTTGCTTCTCGTTTAGCTCACCAGAAACGTTATTCAACTTAGCCTCAGTGATAGAAGCTTCGGAACGTAATGCTTCCGTTTCTTCCTTAGCATTGGCTAAAGTGGCTTCCACTTGTTCAACTTGCTTGACCTCGTTAGCGTACGAGGCCCTCAACACCTTGAGTTTATTCTCAATGTCTTCCTTAATTGCCAAGATTCTGGTCAATTCTTGATCAGCCCTCAACTTCTTTTCATGCAAGTTGGAAGTCTGGGTAGTCAATGACTTAACTTGGGTGGAGATATTGGCAATATTTGAAGTTGCTTCAGATAATTGACCGGAAATCTCCGAGTCTGCAAGTAAATCAGAGTTCCCAGATTGGCCAGAGACGTCTCTGTTGGAAACAGAAGGGCTTCCAGAGCCAAAATAAGACAAGTGCAGAGATCCAGATGGCTGCAATTGTTGATTCTGTTCAAATGTTCTGGTTTTTGGTGGAGGAGGGGGAACCGATCTCAAAGCCTCGTAATCCACAGTCTTCTGCTTTGGCTGGTCAAAAACTTCTTGAGTTGGTGCCCTTTGCTGAGAAGCAGAAGAAGGAATTACAGTGGGAGGAGCTGATGTACTAGTACTCTCAGATGGTGGGGTGTGCGTCTGAGATGGCACATCATCACCGATTAAACTTGGACTATCAACAGACTTCTGCAGAGCAAGTAAAGATTGACCAAATGTGGAGGTGGGCTTGAATGAGGAGGTCAACTGAGTTCTAACCTTTGGCAAGTCAGTAGTGTGGGTCAAGTCACTCTTGGTGGAAGTCTTATTCAAGGTCGGGTTTGGAGTGACATGTCCACTGGTGTCAGGCGATGGAGACCCGAAAATATCAGCAAGTTCATCCATGGAAGATTTCACAGCAGGCTTGTTGGATTCGGAAACATTTGGCTGAGAAGTCGGTCTCTGTGGCAGGCCATACTGACGAGTATTCTCCCGAGATGGGGGAATGGAAGGAACGCGATCAGCTTTAAGAGAGGCAATCAAAGAGTCGGGAACCACATTTGGCAAGGAGAGTCCAGCAATTTTTCGATTGACCAAGAACAAGGCGATTGCAAACTCCAATTTGCTGAAGATTCCAGTGTTCTGAATGTCCGACAAATCCCAGATAGCAGCAAGGTCATGCTGGTCCAAGCGAGACGTCATGAGGTAATTAGCGACTTGGTCAGGGTTCAAGGCACCCTTTTTGTCCTTGTCCAAACTATCAAAAATTGAATCCATCTGCTTCTTCTGAGCGGCCAGTACGGACCATTCGGATTCAGCACTTCCACCCGACTCCAGACGAGACTGCTCAGGAACAGAAGCCACCAGAGGCTTTTGCTGCACTGGAGGGTGTCTAACTGTCGACTGCAGCGAGGCAATTGACGAGTAGGAGGCTTGGCGGGCACCCAGAGCAGAGGAATTATGGTTGACGGACTGCCATACATGTTCAGGCAAAAATGGAGGCAATTGCTTAATAGAACCACTCAACAAGCCATGGATCAAGTGCATGGCCATTACAAAGGCAGGTAACTCCAATGAGCCGCGGTTAGACAAGTCAACCAAGCTCCAAATCTGACCCAAAGTCGCAGTAGGCAATCGGGCCTTAAGAAAGATATCTTTTGCAGTGGATCCATCTAAAAGCGCCGTTTCAGAACCAGTAGTTTTAACAAACATCTGTCCAAAGCGCTGGAAGTCCGCAGCAGATACTGGAGAAATGTTTTCCTGGGGAACAGACTGTAGAGTGGCAGTGTTTTGAGGTATCAAGGCACTAGGCTGGGTCTGCAACAACGAGTTGTTTGTTGGCTGTGCAGAGAGCGTGGGCAAAGCCAAGCCCGCAAATTTTGGTAATGGACCCGGTGTTTCAGCCAACGCAGCCGATGGGTAATGGCCGGCTTGAGTGTAGCCAATAAGTCTCATAGCGTAGCAAAAGCCAAACTGGGAAAGGAAACCCAAATTGTTCTGGTCGGCAAGTTGCCAGATCTCACCAAGAACATTGGGCGGCAAGCCAGATTTCTCAAAAGTGGAGCGGGCCTTTTCGCCAGTTACTATACCGCTGGCTTCCGGATCCAATTGCTTGAAAAGCTCAGAGTAGAACTTCTTTTCGTCCTGCGTAAGGCCGACTTTGAAGGTCGGAGGCGCTGGAGGTGTTAGTGGAGTTGGTGAGACGGAGACGATCCAATGGAGTACATACACAGAGAAGAGCTCATGATTGGAGGTGGGAGTGAGGGATGAATGGTGATTTATGGAGGTGGAGGGGTGTGGCAGTGGACACCTGTACACCACTAGATAGGAAAATGGAGAAAGGAGAATGGAATTCGTTAGTTACTGTTTAGTTTACAACTACTGGAAAGAAATAAAAAATGAAAAGGGAGAATGATGAAAGATAAGTTAGGATATAGGAAATGATAGGTAAAACTTTAACGTCAACTGAAATGGTATTAGTTCTTGCTGATAGCACTTTATTGAGTGAGAATCACCATCAGAGCAAAAGAGAGTGAGTAGTATACAGATGTTTTTATCTACGTATACATATATCAATATGCATATATACACAAAAAAAAAATAGAGTTAGAATTATGAAACGAGGAGAGAAGTTCGAGATATTGGAAAGTTTTGAAGAATTTGGAGACCTACAAACCTAAATTTGGTGATTGCAACGGTTAACACTAATGCCGATGTCTAGCTAAAATTGCTCTACATGGAGTGTGAGAAAAACTTAGAGTAAAATATTCTAATTGATGTTTTTGAGTTAATCATTTTTACATAATTCAACTGCTATGGCTAATTCATTGGGTATATACTCAATTTACTTGGGTTATGTTCAACTTACTTGATATACTCATATTATTGATTCACTTAATAACTTCGTCAATGGAGAATCATAACGTTAAGTCGTAAGAAGCAATATATTTATTCAATTCACATTTCTGAAAACCTGGTTTACATCTTTGACCAGAAATCATACTAGGAAAGTTTAAATCAGTACTATTAGAATAGTGAAAGTATTCAACACCATACATACCATACATACCATACATACCATACATACCTTACCATACATACATAGCGTACATTTCACAGGTGAAATCAAATTCCAACCTATACCCCTACTGAACAACATTCCAAATAATTACACCACAATTTCAGTTTAATACGTTGTCCTTTACTTTACCTCCATATCCCATCTACACTGCACTTTTCATGAGCTCTCTTCCCTTACCCTGCCCATACCCAAGGCAGCACACCCGTGCACCAGAAGACATACTCATCGCAGTCAAAAAATTTCAATTTCTAGTACAAAAAAACCAACCACATAAAATGAACAGAGGTAGAGGCGGCTTCAGAGGCGGCTTCAGAGGCGGCCGTGGCGGTTTCGCACAAGTTCCACAAGGTCCTCCAGAGTCTGTGTTGGAGATGGGAAGCTTCATGCATTCTTGTGAGGGTGATATTGTGTGTCGTTCCATTAACGTCAAGATTCCATACTTCAATGCTCCTATCTACTTGGAGAACAAGAAGCAGGTTGGTAAAGTCGATGAGATTTTGGGCCCATTGAACGAAGTTTTCTTCACCATCAAGCCATCCGAGGGTGTGCAAGCCACCTCTTTCAAGGATGGTGATAAGTTCTACATTTCTCCAGATAAATTGCTTCCCTTGGAGAGATTCTTGCCTAAGCCAAAAGATTTTGCTCCTAAGCCTAAGAGAAAGTCTGGTGGTGCTGGTGGTGCCGGTGCTAGAGGCGGCAGAGGCGGATTTGGCGGCAGAGGCGGATTCGGTGGTGCCAGAGGTGGAAGAGGTGGTTTCGGTGCCAGAGGTGGTGCTCGTGGAGGTTTTGGTGGCCGTGGTGGTGCTCGTGGAGGCTTTGGCGCTAGAGGTGGCTCTCGTGGAGGTTTCGGAGGTGGTCGTGGAGGACGCGGCCGTTTCTAGTTTTTGCATGCTGCAAGTCCTTGTACTCTAACATCCTTTCATATTACTAAATACACATTAAGCTTGGGTCTATGTACATGTCCGGTTACTGTCGCTTTCTTTTTATCGATTTCCTTCACTTTATCTATCGTTGTTGTCTTTCACTCGTGGTGATCTAGTCACTCGTTTACGTCGTCCCTTGTTCTCCTCATTGGAAATAGGTGCTTCCACTAACATGGGCTTCCCAGGTCGTTTGATTAACCCACAACTTTCCAACATCGAGAACCGAATGGCTCTGTATCCTTGTCTTCTCTTCAAGTACTTGCCTCCCATTCCATTGTTGAAGAGTAGCCTTGGTAAGGTCGCCAAATCGTTCAACCCAGACTCTTCAATAATATTCTGAAAGTGTGTAATAATCCTACTGTTTCCCTCTTTAACAAGTTTGTATGATGCCATACGTTCCTCCACACTGTCTTTAGCTGGATGGAAATTGAACGCCGGATACGTCTTCTGTGCTAGACTGTCAACCTTAGTAAAAATGATCTCGAACGGTGCTCCGCACTCCACCAAAAACTCAATCAAATGTGCATCCTCCTCTCTTACTCCTTCGTTACTGTCAATGACAATATACGTTCTTCGAAGCTGTTTCCGTTCACGGATATATTGCATTACTAGGTTTCCTTGCTCTCTCTTACCAAACCTTCCATATCCCGGACTATCCACTAATCTTATCTTATTTCCAACATTGAAAAAGTTGAGATATTGAGTGTATCCTGCTTTCTTCGACACACGGGCGTACTTTATCTCTGCCTTGGGAGCCTTTGCATGCTGCCTACTTAGTAGAAGATTGTTGATCAATGTCAGCTTTCCGGCGTTTGTATGTCCGATGAGCAATATCTCCGGAAGTGGTTTGAGCAACGATGCCTGAATACCAAACGACGTCCTTGACAGAGCAAGATTGTCATGATACTCTGACCAATTGGTCAAATCAACTTTATCCAACTTTCTGCGTCTAATTTCCTCTTGCCTGGCAACTTTAAGATCAGGTAGATCATTATAATTAGCACATGTGAATTCGTGTTTGACTCCATTCCCACTAAATAAGGCTTCGGCTTCGTCGATTTGGCCCGACGTAGGTGCTTCGTATTCTGGTGCACGAAAGTACTCGTTGAGGTCATCACAGGTATACAAGAAACGAGAAAAGTCTCCACTCGGTGCAAGATGAGAATCAGAAACCTTTGGTTCTTTCTTTTTGGATATGCTGGGTACTGGGGTGGACCTTGGAATCGATTTGACTAGATAATTCACAGAAGCTAGACTTCTAATATGGACTCGCGAAAACATAGTGAAGAATGAAAGGAAATATGGGGGAAATAAGAAGTTAAGTGACTAAAGCTGAATTTATCAATACGAAAATAAGTTCTTATAGCAACAGCTTGCAAGAAGCTGATCACTTAAGCTCTAGTTGGACCTTCTTGCAAGAAAAGATTCTAATATGGAGGAATTCACTTAAGTAGGTAACGACAAACCATCTACACCTGTCCAAACACACCCAGATTGCTCCAATTTAGCCAGAAAGCCCGGGACAGCACATTTATTTGGCATGAAAATGCCGTTGAACGTCCTTACCATGATTAGAGTGCCTGTTTTAATACGTATGTGAGGGTTCTCCACACTTTTGTCGACTTACTAACAGAACCAGTGTTCTGCGCCACGCTCTTACTTGCGGCGTATTTAGGGTTCTCACTGATTCAATTGAACCATGATAAGGCCATCCACTTCACAACATTTTTCATTTTGACCGCAGAGTTCTTCTTTCTCTGGAAGGTGTTCCGGCCATGGAAGTTCACGTTTGTGGTGATGACATTGGGCGCTAGCATCCTCCTGGAGTACGTGCAGAACTTTATAAACCATAACAGGCGATTTGACTACGTGGACATATTGTATAATGTGCATGGGAGTGGCCTAGCATTGGCGATGTGTTGCTTGGTAGCCAGAAGAAGAACACACATCGAGATCGAACGGGAAAGCTCCCCGGTAACTCCAACAACTTCTGACGGGGAAGATTATGTGGATATTCGCATGGATGATATAGAACGGATGTAATGGAAATCAAGGACATAGAACGGGTGATTGAAAGTAAAGAATGTAGAATTTGATTTAATGTGGGGACAAGATGAAAAGCCTTACTGAATTATTTGTTGATGAAAGAAGTTATGAAGTAAGGGCTTTAAAGCGTCGACAATATTTTGAAAAATCATTAAAATTGTAGTGTGGCAGAAAGCCATTTGATGGATACCTTTGAGAAATGAACATGGAAGGTGTCATTACGCGAGAGAACATGTCAAAACAAGTCATGTCACAATATGTCAGACTAGACAATCCGTAAAATGACTAAGTAGCAAAGAAATATGCATAATTAGCCAATCGGCCAACTTTATTACTTTTCCATTTGTCAAAGAATCCAATTTCTCAGCCGTCCCGTCATTATGTCTTATCTTGACTAATCTTAGTAATAGTCAAGTGCACGACAGCCACACCACTTCCAACTATATATACCCTCAGTGATATCACTTTCCAGAGAATCAGAGAAAAATAAAAAATGGCTCCTTCCATTCAAAGTTACGATTTCCACACCTACTACAATCCCGCCGACGAGGCAGAGAAGAAGTTCACTACCGAATTCAGAGAGAAAGTGCAGAAGGAATTCGCCAAAGAGTTGGAGGCTGGCGACCTTCGTATTCACAAGTTCTGGCAAGAAAGAATTGGCCCACACCCAATCCCAATGTGGGAATTGGATACTGCCGGAAAGCACGACCCTGCACTTTTTGCTCGTGTGTTGGGATTTTATCTGTTGAACCATGGCAACTTGTCAGTATTGATCCATCCAAGAACTGGTGCAGGTGACTTGACTGACCATACGAAATATGCTCTTTGGTTGGGCCATAAGCAGAGACTTATTACGTCATTTTTGAAGGATTAGGGAATTGATTTCCATATATAGTCTGAATGTTAGAATGCATAATTAGGAGGAAAAGTTGTAATCAAATGAGTTTTGTAGTTTGAATATATGCTAAGTTTATCGGAGAGGTTACTTTGTTCTGTAGAATGTATTTCTCAGGAAGTTCGCTTTTTGGTAATTCTGTCCAGAAACTGTACTTAGGTAGGCCAACAAATGAAACGGATTATTCTAACTATTCTATTGTATCAATTTTTATGCCTCAATTGTTTCACCTTATATTTTTATTTCAATAGTTATACCTCAAGTTTCATAGCTCAATTATCATAAACCTCAATTATCATACCCCAATTTTCTCAACTGTGTCCTACACCTTTAGTATTGAAGATCTGCACTCTCCCCACACAGCAACCTCAAGACAGCATTTTTCTCCAGCTATGGCCATCTTCCCAATCTTCTAAATGCCGATATCTTTGTATCTTCAGTGTGTCCACTCTCGCTGCCTCCAGGGCTAAATCATTATCGATTCTCGCACTTGCTTATTTAGGAAGTGATCTCAATGACATGATATGAATCCAGCCAAATTTCACCACCATGAACGATAATAACCAAATTTTGCGCCTAAATTGGTAAATTAATACCTTTCAAGTATCCTCCCAGGAAACTCAACCATACTAATATCCCACCAATCACCCTAATTCTATGGCTCCTATAACCCAGCCGTACCTCTCCGGCACATTCCCACCGTATAGAACACTCGGGCTGTGTGCACCACCGAGTACATTTACTTGCTGTTCCACCTTGTCACTTCTCGTCTAGTCGGCTGTCCTCACCTTCCACTTTTCAGAAATCTCATAATGTCAGATACTAGACAATCACTGGGTAGGCCTCGAATAACCTTATCCACCCACGACGACGATTCCAGCCAGATTGACCCGATAGATGCCGATATTCTCAATACCCATCCACAAACACCCAGTCTGCCTTCAAGAATTCAGCGGCGTAACTCCCGTTTTGGTGGTGACTCTCAAAATATCATAGGTAATGCTTTCAACTTCTTTCTTGGTAAGCCTGACCCGCAAGAACGCCGTTATTCTAGCGACTCTGATGAGCAAGAAGGCGACCAAGATATGCCATACGCGGGCTCAGACGATGCCGTCAACTCTCCTGACTATGATTGCACGCCCGAGACCCCACAGGCTCCAAGGACCAAAACGGACGAGTCTCAGACAACTCTTGCCAACACAGTGTTGAAGTTACCCAATTTCTTTGGACGAAGCAATTCCGAACCCAACTCGGGGCCAAAACAGGCTGAAAGTACACACGACGACAAGTCCAACTCCAAGCCACGAAAGATCTTTACGATTTTTCGCAAGAAGAACAAGGATAAGGAGCTGCGCCAGGAGGCTCCAGAAGATGATGCCGATGAAGCTGCAGTAGAGTTAGATGAGGACAACGAAACGCGTGAAAGAGCTGTTGGACTCATCAATTCCTTGGCCTTGGGAAGTCCTGCCATCAACTTGCTAGCATCGTGCTTGTGCGAGGATGAATATGGCATTGTGCGTGCACCACTCCTTCTTAACCTTCTTGGTATCAAGGTGCTGGATGTTTCGGCTTCACAAGTCACCAAAAATCGTAAATTTCGCATTGATCTCGAGTACGGAGTGCTGCCTCAGCGGCTCAAATGGTCCGTAGAGAAAACTGCTAAGGATTTGTTGTATTTGCACTCCAGATTCAAGTTGCTGGTATTGAGAGGCACTTTCAAGTCTGATGAGCTTCCCCACTACCCTGTCCCTCCGCTGTTGAAAAGAGGCGACCGTAAAAATACCAAAAGATCCATCCGCTCTAAAACTTTCTCAGAAACTCGCCCGGGAACCCTGCTTGGGGAACGATTGGAAGTTGGTGCTTTTTCCAATAGAGATGGAGCTTCGATAGATGAAATATCACTCGGTAGTGGCCATTCTAGAGACCATCATTCTACATTCAGATCACGCTTGAGCAGCATCTCTTCCTTGTCCTCTTTAGATACATCATCACCGGAACAGATGCGCAACCGCGTGTTGAAGAATCAGAAATACCTCAACGAGATCACAAACTACCTCATAGCCTTGATTCAAGCGTGTGCAATGAGACCTCAATCCAACCGTCTTTTTCACTTCTTCGAGATTTCTCCAATCTCTGCATTACTTTCTTACGAAACAGGATATACGGGTAAGCAGGGTTTTGTTCACATTGGAGGAAGTGCTAGATCTCAAGGTTGGCGTGTTGGTCATTTCAAAGCGAATGATTTGAAGGGAATGATTGACAGAAGATCTGAAAAATGGTGTTTGGTCAGAAGTACCTACGTCATGTATGTTTCTGACATCAACTCGACTACTCCTCTTGAAGTGTTTCTCGTTGATCTGGAGTTTAAGATACATTGTAAGGGTGACCAGAGAGTGGACACTAGAGGTTCGGAGACTGATTCGGAGATTGACGAGGAATATGTCGACATCAGGATACAAGATGCCGACAAAGCCATTCTGCACGTTCAAAACAAAGTATTCAAGCATTTGAAAATTACTCTTGAGAATAAAGAGCGACAACTCGTCATCATTCCAAAATCTGAAAAGGATTATAAACTATGGCTTTCTTCCTTGAACCAAATGATCGCTAATAATCCATGGGCAGAGAAGCATCGCTTCAACTCATTTGCTCCAATTAGAAAGAATTGCATGGCTCAGTGGTTTGTCGATGCCCGTGACTACTTTTGGGCGGTTTCCAGTGCTCTTGAAATGGCAAAAGATGTGATTTTTATTCACGATTGGTGGCTCTCACCTGAACTATACTTGCGTCGTCCCGCTAATGGTAACCAGCAATTTCGTATTGACAGAATCTTGCAGAGAAAAGCTCAGGAAGGTGTTAAAGTTTTCGTCATCGTTTACAGAAATGTTGGTAGTACCGTTCCAATCGATTCGTTGTATACGAAACACTCAATCCTTTCTCTTAATCAAGAGAATATACATGTGATCAGATCTCCAAATCAATTATTGCAGAATACTTTCTTTTGGGCTCATCACGAAAAGATCTGCATTGTCGATTATACACTTGCATTTATGGGAGGTATCGATTTGTGCTATGGAAGATATGATACTCCTGATCATGTTCTCACAGACGACTCTCAAGTTGACTTCGACGGCCTTGACACTGATACCCTTACAAAGGACGAATTCACGAAGTTCAGAACTTTTCCAGGAAAGGACTATTCGAACACACGTGTGAAGGATTTCAACAATTTGGACAAGCCATACGATAGCATGTACGACAGAAACGTCATTCCGAGAATGCCATGGCACGATGTGCACATGGTTATGTCTGGAGAGGGTGCTAGAGATCTCTCAAGACACTTCGTACAGAGATGGAACTACTTATTGAGACAAAAGAGACCCAGTCGTTTGACACCCCTTTTAACTCCACCGCCAGACTTGACTCCAGAGGAACTTGGAGGTTTGGGATTGGAGGGAACTTGTGAGATTCAAATTTTGAGGTCAGCAGGAAGCTGGTCACTCGGATTGGAAGACCATGAAGAGAGTATCCACCAGGCATACTTGAAATTGATCGAGGAATCCGAGCACTTTGTTTACATCGAAAATCAATTCTTTGTCACCTCTTGCTTCATTGACGGAACAGAAATCAAGAACAGAATCGGTGACGCCCTTGTGGATCGTATTATTCGTGCACACAAGGAGGGGACCGCCTGGAAAGCAGTGATTTTGATTCCTCTTGTCCCTGGTTTCGAGTCTCAAGTTGATAAGCCAGATGGCTCATCGGTGAGAGTAGTCATGCAATGTGAGTACATGTCTATTTCTCGTGGATCGTCATCTCTCTTTGCCAAGTTGAGAAAATATGGTATCAACCCAGATGACTACATTCAATTTTTCTCTTTGAGAAAATGGGGTGCTATTGGTCCCGACAGATCTCTTGTCACTGAACAACTTTACATTCATGCGAAGACTATGATCGTGGATGATCGTGTCGCTATTATTGGCAGTGCCAACATCAACGAACGTTCTATGAGGGGTGTCAGAGATTCAGAAGTTGCTGCCGTTATTCGTGATTCAGAAATTATCCACTCAACCATGAATGGCGAGCCTTATGATGTGGGAAGATTTCCACATACTCTCCGTATGAGGCTCATGAGAGAGCATCTTGGTGTTTCTGTGGATGTTTTGGACATCGTAGAGAGACTTTTTGATCGCTATGAATCATTTGCTAAAACAGAAGAGGGAATAAGTGCTGCAAGTAATCTTTTTAAGAAGCAGGCTAATCTCGAGTTGTCTGCAGCGGTTGAAATGGCGTCTCGAGACATCCTCAATCAACCACATGGAACTGATCGCTGGAAACGTCACTGTAAGCAGAACGGGTTGTCTGGTGATATATTTAAGGTTCCAAAAGACATCCGCAAACTGACTGCACCGGTTCCAGATTTGAAACCTACCCCGCTATCTTTTAACAATAGAACTGGTCCCCACGAAGCAAACAAGGGAATAAGAGAAAAGAAGAAGCATTCGTTCGATCCCCGTGTTCAGCAAAGCAATGATCATAAGAATGATGTCTATGGCGAAGGTGTTGACAAGTTCAGATCTAATTTAGGACGCAAGGCAAGATTAGACAGTGCCAGGTTCCTCAAAGAATTGTCTCATAAAGTAATGAGAACTCAAGCCAACGAAGTTGTATTACCCGATGTTGAAAGCGTTTTGCAGTTCTTGGAACTGGACGACTACGAATTTCAAGACAACATGGATGAATGGACCGAGGATGTTCTCTACAATAGAAACAAAGAGAGATGGTTACTTCTTAAGAAAATTGCATACTTGCAGAGAATGGCAACCAAGGCAGCTCAACAGAATCAAGACGAAAACGCCAAGAGACTTGCTGCTGGATTACCCGTGGTCAATAATTCTACTTTGTCAAATGGGTCCCCGAAGGGTCCATCAACTAGCACTTCAGTCGAAACGCAACGCAATGAAGGTACTGGAGATGCAGAAAAAATTGTACCTAATGTTGTTGATATTGCTCCTATGTCACCGGGAGAACGCCGGGATCCAAACGATCTCGACCCAGGCGAGGCTGCACCAAAGCCTGAATCAATCGATAGGGAATTCCCGGAAAGAGATGCATCTGAAAGTTTGCACCCAGAAGCCAATACCGAAAGTATCCCCGTTGTATCGTTGGATGAGAAGGAGTTTAAGGATCAAATGCGTCAAGTTGAACTGGTGGGAGTGGAGAACCCCTCAAGGTTCATCGATCCCTATGGATTTGAAGATCCATTGGATCCAGATTTTTATGAAGACATCTGGTTTGAAAATGCTAGAAAGAATACCGATCTCTTCCGTCTTGTGTTCCACTGTCAGCCTGACGATTTTGTACCTAATTGGAAAGAGTATAAACGCTACATGAAATTGGCAGATGCATTCAAGCTTGCGCAGGCCGAAGAAGCGAAGAATAGGAGAGAGAAATACCGGTTTGACAGCGAGAGCAACTTTGACAGCGATACTACGCCAACCGGTCCACCAGGTCCGAGAAGAAACAGCCAGATCATCAACTTGCCAGACTACCATAGTAAGGGAGGTATTCTTGGGGATATACCATCAGGAAACAGCAGTCGGACTTCTCTCAGCAGTAAAAAGGGACGCAAAAAGAAGTTCAAACCACAAGATACGATCGCAGAGGGCGACCAGGATGACACTGAAAGGTTTGAAGAGGAAGCGGAGATCGATGACGATGAAGATGACTTTGCTGATGCTGAAGATGGTGACGAGCTTAATGGCGACGAGACTCCACTGACGTCCCAAAGTGATAGCCCTAATATGGAGAACGGTGCTGAGAGCGAAAAGCCAACGACTCCCAAAGCAAAGAATCTGAAGGCCAGAAGACGCGCAGGAGCGTTCAGCAGAAGGAGAAGAGTCAATAATGGAGACCTGATTTTCGATCGTGAATCGGCACAACGTCTTCTTGAAGAAGTCAACGGCCATCTAGTTCTCTTCCCCGTGGATTGGCTTCTGCGCGAGCTTGAAGGAGGAAACTGGTTTTTCAACACGGACAGAATTCCACCGATTGAAATTTATGATTAGACATGACTAAAATGCATAATCCTTTTAATATAATTTTACTTTATGTTCTAGTGATTCCTTATGCCCAAAGTCCCATCTTCTCGAAAGCGTTGAAGTAGTGCACCTACTGAAAAGCAAGAGTCGTTGAGACTCTACCACGTTAAGTTATCAGGTAATGTTTTTGCAAATCTTAGCATACATTGGAGTGGTGGTGGGATTCCTGTTTCTAGTACTTGCCATTGCTCTGGGGCTCTATTATATTTCGGAAGTAGTGGAGGAACACACCGAGCCCACCAAGAGATTTCTCAAGAGATTGATCTATGCTATCATAACACTTCTCGTCCTTTTGTGGTTATTCGACAACTTCCCATTCAAGCTAACGGTCTTCTCGATAATTTCCTATTTCATTTACTTACAGAACTTGGTCAGGTTCCCATATGTACAGTTGACGTCGCCCATTTTCCTCGCATCATGCGTTTTGGTGATCATTAACCATTTCTTGTGGTTTGACCATTTCCATAACCCTTACATTCCTCCTCTTGAAGAGAGGTTGAAGCCCAATTATCGTCCTCCACGAATCCCGCTGTTCACGGAGGTATGTTCTTTTTTCGGCTTGGTTGTGTGGTTTGTGCCTTTCGCCTTGTTCGTGTCGTTGAGTGCTCATGACAATTTGCTTCCGCATCACATGGAGGTTTCGGATGCCCATAAGAAGAAGAACACTGGTTTGGCGAAGTTGCTTTTTGGTAGGATTCGTGACTATGTCTACACTGCAAGCAGAAGTTTGGGTTACGAGTTGGACCCACATTATGGCACTTTAGCGTAATTGAGCATATGGATTTTAAAATGATATTGGAGTTTGAAATAAATAGGAAATAGAAGAATAGCAAAAACAAAACAAAACATGGAAGACGGAGATAAACTACATAATTATGACCTGATATGATAAACCTCATATGGCCTCATTGGTGACACAGGTGCTACCATGAGTTAAAATGCTACCGTTCATTCATTTCCTAAGCTAAAAACTCCTTCACTGGAGGCCCAATGTGATCCAAACTCAACAAAAACGTATCGTGGCCGTAGTTGCTGATGTCGGTGCCCAACTCAAAGTATTTAATGTTATCCTTTTGGTGGCTTGTGGCCCTCAACACCTCAGCAATCTCTCGCTGTTGCCAAACTGGGAAAAGTATATCGGACTCCACACCCACAATCAACACGTCCTTGTGTGAAATCTTCCTCATCCCCTCTCGCAAGTCTTCCAAAGCCTCTTCAGGTGAGATGGTGGCCTTATCAATCCGCTCCTGATATTTCTCCTTGGGCACATTGCTCTCTGTCTCATTGGCGAAGCTGTTGGACTTGGCAGCCTCCATTCTTTGGCGAGCCGCCTTGCTCCTGTTGCCGACTCCCAAATCAAACATATCCATTGCCTTCAGCACATATAAGAGTGAGTTGGCATCGTATTCCAAGCAGAACTTTTCACCGGCATGGTCCAAGTAAGTTTCCACCAAAAAGTCGGGGCAAAATGCAACGGGCTTGCTCTCGTCAGCCCTATTTCTTCCGAAACGAGACTCCCACTCTGGTCCTGACCGGTAGGTGACCGTGGCGATTTCTCTAGCAAGTTTCATGCCCACATGGGGAGGAATTTTGTCGTAATAGAAACCTCTGTTCCAATTTGGGTCGCTCATCAACACCTGTCTCTGGGTGTGACGCAATGCAATAGAATATGGGTGTGACCTAGCACATCCACTGATGCTCACCACCTTTTCCACCTCATCAGGAAATTCCCACGCGTATGCCAACGATTGCATACCGCCCATTGATGCTCCTACAGACGCATGGATCTTGGAAACACCAAAAACATCTCTAACCAATTCACGTTGTGCACGCACCATGTCATTGACTGTGATGATGGGAAATCGAGTTCCGTAGTAGTCGTTATTAGCTGGGTCTCGGGACGAAGGCCCGGTTGATCCGTAGCATCCTCCCAACACGTTCGTACACACCACAAAATACTTGTCTGTATCGATGTACTTGCCGGATCCAATAAAATCTTCCCACCATCCCAGCTTGGTATTCTTAGGTTGAGATTTGGCATGAGATGAAGCAGAAAGTCCAGTGTGAATCATCACCAAATTATCTTTTTCAGGAGAAAGTTCACCCCAAGTCTCATAGGCGATCTCGAAATCCGGTAAAAACCCGCCGTTGTCGAAGAAAATTGGTTTCTGACTCTTGTAGACCTCGAAACCACTCTGAACAAATGAATAGCTGGGTTCCGGGCCTCCTTCCAAGGAAGACACCTCCGAGGAACAGGACTCGGCCTGCTGACTGGCAGCATTAGCCAATTTCTCTGTTTTCTGTTCCATTTTGTCAAGACATGGGAATTTCAACTGAGGATTCAGGCCTTGTCTCAATGGTAAAGAATTTTTGGTACCAGTAGCAACCGATGGCAGCGGGCGAGCCCGTGCGGCCACGGTTGAGAATCGGACCACTTTGGTTGAGGCAACACGCAACTGGGGACGTAGTTTCCACATTCTGATTGACCTAGAAACGTTCCAATGGTGATTATCAATTACAAATCAAGTCAGTATAGCAAAATTTGTGGTCACGTGAAGTTGCATCAGGCTTATCGTCCTGCATTCAACCATGTGATCTGGGGTAGCCTAAATTGGTTAAGGTTAACCAGGAACCAGGTACGAGGATAGACGACAGATAGAAAATAATATTTAAAAGAACAATCTACATCTTTTAAGGACATTATGTGCATCTTGTGGTTTCGTCGTGGAATTCTTGTACTTTATTGACATTGTTCCATGCAGATCTTGACGTATAGTACGTCAATGCCCAGGTGGATGAGACTATAACAAAGTGCTGACTTAACAGCATATGTAATATCATCTGCATCCTGACACCAATAGATAATTACGCAAGCGATTCCTGCAGTAATATGAATATCTTCTCATCCCGAGAGGCTTTTTCTCGGAGAAATGTGGTGCCATGCTGATCAGCTCATTGTAGCGATGCCGGAGTCTTCATTGTTGAGCAAATCGATATTCGGAGGTGTCTCAAGGCTTGGAAATGCTTATAAATAGTAGAAGGTAACCTACATCAATATTTTGTTGGACTTTCTGCCTTTTCAAGTCTTCACGTTGCGGTTCTACTCAATATCATGGTGAAAGTCATTGTCACTGGCGCTGATGGGTACATCGCAGGGCACACAATCCACCAATTAGTCAATCTGGGACATTCCGTAGTGGGTACCTGTCGATTGCAAAAGAGTGCAAGAATTTGCAAGAAACACTTTGCTAACTTCGACTACGTGGTGATTCCCAGTTTCATCCAGGAAAATGTTTTTGACGACGTGGTAAGGACCAATCCAGATGCAGAAGTGTTCATCCACATTGCGTCTCCAGTTTTTCTGGAATCTGGCAATACAAAACGAGATCTCATCGACCCAATTATATTGGGTACTGAAAATGCCTTGAAAGCTGCCCATAAGTTTGGAACAATAAAGCATTTCGTATATACCTCTTCCATTGCTGCGGTATACAATACCACCAACTTCAATCCAGGAGAGGTGTTCACTGAGCAGCTGTGGAACAATGTAACATTGGAGGAGGCGATGAGATCAAGTACACAAGCATATGGAGGTTCTAAGACGTTTGCTGAAAGAGCAGCATGGAAGTATGTGAAACAAAATAGACCGCAGTTCACATTAACTGTGGTAAATCCAGTTTACGTGTTTGGCCCTCAGAAATTTGATGAGGATGCTCGTGGAAGATTGAAAAATTCTGCTGGAATCATCGAGCACATACTCAGTCTCCGAAAAGGAGACCCAATTGCTGAATTTGAGGGATATGCTGTTGATGTGAGAGATGTAGCGAAGGTCCTCATAGCTGCGTTTGAAAATCCAAAGACATACGGCAAACGATTGATTGCCAGTTCGGAATTTTCCAACGGGCAGGTGATTCTGGACTTGATAAAGAAGAATTTCCCCCATACGGAGGAACTGTTGCCCATTGGAGAGCCTGGGAGCCAGTATTTAGCAGCCACACAATGTGCCGTCGTCGACAATCTGGCAACCACGTCTCTTTTGGGCATCAAATGGATCTCGTTAGAAGATATGGTGGTGGATACGGTTGAGCAGTTATTAAACGAGAATTCAGACTTATGAAGCGATTTATGAAACTAAACGATTTATGCAAGAGAGAAAGTTTTAGCTTTGGATTAGGGATATAGAAAAAAAGCGATTTAAGAAAATTGTATTGAAGTCAATTCCAGCAGTCACAGAAAATCCAATATCGATACTTTAAATTCGAATTTCATGGCAAGCTGAACTCAATTCTTTTCTTCTTGCTGACACCATCGTATTTCTACTTAGATTATCTTGTACTGCAGAGGATGTGATCTAATCTGAACCACCCATATGAATCTACCTAAGAATCCATTGATTGGAGCGTCGCTAATATATGTTGGTATATTCGTCATAACTATACCGATATGGATTTTGGTACTGCCGGAAAAACGTATGATTTCCTCCAATCCATTCTGTGAGGCCGTCAACTCCATATTCGTCCAAGATCTAGGCTATGTGTGGTTCACTCTAGCCTTCACTAGCCACTGCTTTCTCTTTGCAGACACCAATGATGTCATCCCTACGCCTATAGTCGCTAGGCAGCTTCTCAAATACTCCCTTAACACCTTCTGCTGGGTACTGGTCAACCTCTGGTGCTTCGGACCTCTGTTAGTGGAAAAGCTCAACACAGCCACTGGAGGCCATTGTGTGGGCAAAAATCTTCAACTAGTGGACATGTGGATGCGGAAATGTCGCCGCAGTGCTTCAAATATGTGGGTGGACGGATTCGATTTGCTGGGTCACTATTACTTCTTGCTCACACTGAGCCTACTTCTTCTCCACAACCGAAATAACCTACCGGTTTTGTCGGATACAGCTACACGTAGCCTGAGGATCAGCGCTATTCTGATGTTTGTGCGGGCGCTTTCAGCATGGCTCCTAATGGTGTGGTTTCTCGAGTTCTGTGTGACCAGCATGTTTTTCCACACCGTGGGAGAGCGCATGGCCGGTTTAGTAGGGATTCCCGTTGTTTTTATGGTGCTCTATGTAGAGAATAAGGTTTATCCTGAGGATGAGGCGGGTGAGAATTATACTATACTATAGTTTGGTTATAGAGAATCATGTATTATAGGGTCAAATGCTTGCAGGTTAAGTTGACAGCGGGTGATACGTGGAAGGAGTAATATGTACGAGATAATCGACCTTGAACAATTGAATGGCTGAGAAACACAATCAAAGTTTTTTAATGTTCCTTTATACTTCGTTTGAATGTAGTTCGGTTTTATATTGATCTTCAATCTTTTCAGATTTTCGCATTCTTAAGGAAGAAGTTCTTCCAAGCCCATGGAGTGAGACAGTAAGAGAAAGGGAAAAAAGAAACTTAAATGGAATTGACCAGCCAGCTGAAAGAATTCTCTCGAATATGCCTTGCAAGATCTACGACTCTCTGAAATGAATACCTAGAGTTCTGATTACTTGTATTTACTCAGGGGACTACTATATTGCCCCAACCGTTCCCACACCCATTACTTTGGTCTTTAGTTTTTCATAAAGGCAGACGAACTCCTAACCTTCATCGTCCAAAAATCCACTCCATAAATGGCAAATACATATACTTACCCGTGCTATGACTTCAAATCAGCACCTCGTGCTGATGTCCAAGATTTCCTATTGTCTTGAAGACCACTTGCATGATGTCGGACACCAATCACGTATATCTTGAGTCCAAAGTTCAAAACTTGGCGGTTTGAATGTACAATTTTATCAGGAAGTTTTGGGCGATTTTCGAATTTCATAGATCTTTATGGTTGCCCTGAACCAAACTATCTTCAAGAATGTTGTAATTAACATTGCTAAATATAAAGCCGCATTAGCGAGGATACTGTAGTCAGATGATGGATCAGTGTAATATCCCTTTGATGAATACTTGGGATCCTCGATACGAGATATTTCAAGGAAGAAGTGACCACATTTAGTCATTCGTATGTCTATTATATGACAGTGGTTCATGTCCATAGGTGACAGTGTGAGGGGACCCAGCATTGAGGTGCGCATAACCCTGGCACTTGTATCAAACCATATGAACTTATGCATAAGGGCAATATTGAACAACATTACATGTCAAACACACTATAATGGAGGTTACTTCTGTAGTGCAGAAAAGACACAGTTGGAAGTCTGTTGGTAGGTCATTCACAAATCATACCAATGTGGCTGACAAATCTGAACTTTGGATGCGAAATTTGAAACTCAAGAATGAAAAGATCCTACGAATGTCTAATTACCAAGCTGCTCTTTGTTTTTAACCTGAAAGTAGATACAAAACCTTTTTCATCGAAAATCTACAATATCGCCAGCGATATTGCTTCTTGAAAGTAGAAGAGTGTAAAGGCTAGCAGAATAAGTGATTTTACCCATCACTATACAAACTCAACAAAAGTGAACACCAAAAGTCCAAGAATCAATGCAAGCGAATATTCGAAACGTAATGATTTCATGGCCGAGTTTCTGTGGGGTTTGGGGGCGTCCGTTGTTGTCCCGGTATTCATGGACGTTGGGAAGGTAGGGAACAGCGACAGGCTGTACAGAATTGTGCTGTATGAAAATGGAGTATAAGAGAATAAACTTTCCCAATCTTCCGTCGAGTATTCGAAGTCCGAATTGTAAAAATCTGTCCAATTGGAGTCTTCAGTCATTAATGTCCAATTGTATCCAGTCTCTAAACTCACTTCTGAATAATCATCAGACTCCAAATTCCACTCTGAATATTCGTCAGTTTGTGAAATTCCGTTGGAAATATGATCAGTCTGTGAAATTTCGTTGGATACACGATGAGTCTGTGAACTGGAGGCAGTTACTGCTACTGACAAGGGAGCTACTGAGACAGTACCTGAATCAGTAGCGGCAGTGTCATAGGTCAGCTCCGAATAAGAGGGTGCTCGTACTGCCAGTGGGATAGCCAGAGTGACAACCTCGATATCTTCGTCGTCTGAATACTTTACCTGGGCGATCAGAACCTCGTAGTCATCCAAATCATATACAACGTAAGCACTTCGGAGGATGTTATCTCCTAAGACAATAGAGGGCACTTCATCGCCAATAGGATCAGGAACTTCCTCAATATTAAGGTAGCAAACCCCATTCCATCTGACGATGAACTCAGACATCGGAACTTTAATTTGAATGCCGGAAATGTCGAAGAATAGATTCATACTTTCAGTATTGTAGTTGCAGTCAACTTTGTACCATGTTCCCATATCTTCAGCGTTGAAAGTTTGTCGAAACCGGTTGAAAAGCGGCCTTGTGAAAGAACTGACAGGAGAACCAGAATCCAACACTCCCGGAATTGTTACGCTTGTAATAGTTTGATTGAAACTTGCTCCTTCCAATGTTATGCTGTTCAACAAGACCATGAACTCAGAAGGGTGTTCATAAATTTGTGGATACAAGTTGATAAGAGGAAGAGTTTGAAGCGTGCCAGTATACTTTGCGTGGTCTACTGCTCCGAAAAGAACCGTCCCTTTGGCACCCACCTCATTCAAGAACAATGAGTACATATTCTTTTTGGTAATGCCTTCGGCCTTCAAACGCATTGGAAGGTTGGCATACTGGTATCCAAAGTCACGATATGTGAATTCTAAACTAGATAACCCTATACCAAGAACACCTTGAATGCTGTTAGTGGAGTTGACAACGGCAACACTTACGTCAGGAACAGTAAATCCCATTATTTCCACCGTGTCAGTCCCCCATGTTCCATAAGCAAAATTTCCCATGATGTATTCGATGTAGAAGGGGTAAGTGTCATTGTTGTGGAAAGAAGTTGACTCATCAGTTGCAAAACTGCCAAGTGTAGTACACCAGGTTTCTAGTGGTCCATACCAGGATGTCGGAGATGCTTCACCAAAATAGGTGTTACCCTGATCTTCAGCTTGATAAGTTGAAACTCCGGAATGGGTACTCGAGGAGCCACTGACTTGATCCTTTTTGGCTAAGTTCAACTGATTTCTGGCAAATAATGAAAAGTCCCGCTTGAATTTGTAACATTTAACATCGCTGGCCATTACCCAAAAATCAGAGGAACCGGTATCTAAACAAACAGTAATATGTTGCTTGTTTGAGCCCACCTGGAGATCGCAATTGTAATATGCTTGCTCGTACACTTCTAGCAGTCCATAATTACCATCTCTGCCAAGAAGTTTAGTTGTTGAAAGGTTTCGTTTGGAATACTCGATGTTAAAATCTATCTTCATGTACCCATTCGATGCTTTCAGAGCAGCAGAACTGAGCGCTAAAGGTAATAACGTGACAATTGCTAGTAAGATTAACTTCATTACGAGGAGTTGGGGCCAAACCTCAATGACATGTCGACCATTAAATACCGTTTGAACTTCCTCGAACTCACAGGTGACGCATCTAGCACTATACTATTTTAGTGAATAATTCGTATATTCAAAAAAGGGGTATTTGTAGGGCCCCTCCCATCTTGTTCAATTCACCAATATTGCACTAAGCGCAGATTAGGAATCTATACATAGGTCGTAATGCGATCTATGACACTATTGCTGTCACTCTTGCTGTCAACAGTTTTTGGTACAATCCATATTGGACGAAAGAAATCCTCCCAGCATGATTGAACTATTGCTAATTTGAAGCACGGACTAAAAGTATTAACGAAATTGTGGGGAAAGCCACCCAGCATAGGTTTAGAACTCGTTCATTGACAACTTGGATATACGAACTACTGTGCTACTAACTTGTCACAAAAATAAAGATCCATGGGAGCACTACCAGCATTCTACTTCGATGAGATTTTTGACATTCTTTTCCAAATCTTTCATGTTCTCATATCTGACTGGAAATGGCAAATGACAAATCTATCTATCATTCTCTCCTGCTTTTCGCACCTAGACTAACAAAACAAATATCAGATAAAAAGATGAAATGACAATAGGACAAAAAGGGAAAAAGACAGAAAAGCTACAAGACACAGGTAGATAGCACAAATCTCTCATAACTTCGCCACCCTTTCTTAATCTTTGAAAGCTTCTACCCACCCCTTTACCTCCTTGACCTCTATTTCTAATCACCTGCACTCAAGTTGCGGACTTTTTGCGTTGGCCGCAAAATTATCGCACTTACAATATAAACCTCTGATCGAAGGTCTTCTCTCGCTCTTCATCATGACTGTGGAACACCTTCGAATCAACATCAGCAATATCCATTGCCTGGATTGCGAGTTCACAATTAGACAAACCATTGGCCATTTCTTCACATTGGTCGACTTTTCCTCCGATACGCCCTCTGATGTAGAATCATTACCTGCCAATACTATCTACTACAAGCTTCAGAATAGCACGGCTGATCTATACTACAACAACAAATACGAATCCAAGACACTGAGACTCGAACATGCTACTAAATTGATCATAAATGCACTCCACAAGAATAGCTTTATTACACTTTCGTGGGAGCTAACCAGGGATGGTCGGCCAGTGAAAGCTTTCACTCAAGCCAAAGAAAGTGATTCTCATGCAAAGGAGACCGCCATATTGAATGTCTGGAAAAGATACAAGAATCACCAAATCCGTAGACACCATGTTGAAAACTGTACCTTCTGCCAGGAGAAGGAGAAGGAAAAGGAAGCTACAAAGGATTCTACAACAGACGACAACTCTACCGACAGCACCATTCAGGTGGTGGTGGATAAGCCACAACAAGAGTTCAGAACAGTATTTGCCATCAATGGCATGTCGTGCTCTGCGTGCGTGCAATCGGTGTCGGAAGCGTTGGAAACCGTTCTTGGAGAACTGAATATCCATCAGAAGGGAGACGAGCCATTGTATTCTGTCAATTTGCTTCAGCACTCAGCAGTAGTGATCTTGCCAAATAAGCAGCTTGTCAATAAGATTGTTCAGACCATCGAGGACGCTGGATTTTCTGCCAGACTACTCGAGATTTTACCGATTCAGAGAACCATAAACGAGAAGGTCACTGCGGTTATTGGCGGAATCACCTGCGCAGCTTGTGTGAACTCGGTGCTCTCAGCCGTGAATGAATTACCATTCATTCTTGACAGTGGTGTGAATGCCGTGACGAAATCTGGCCAGTTTGTGCTTGAGAATGCTGATGATGGGTCAGATTCAAACATAAACAAGTTAAAGGAGGTGGTCGAGGATTGTGGCTTCGACTTTGACCTCATCAAAAAGGAAAAAATTAATTATACCTCAAGCAAGATTGTGTCCAGAAGCATCAACTTCAGTATTGAGGGAATGTATTGCACCAATTGTCCTGATTTAATCATGGGTTACTTGAAGAGTTTTGGAGATGCTATTGTCATCGAGGATCCTATAACCTTGAACCAGCCATTTGTCAAGTTTACTTATATTCCAAATGTGGAGAACAAGGTGACCATCAGAAGGTTTTTATCTGACTTAAATCACATTCAGCCTCTGGAAGAAGAACCGGGTTACACCATCAACACGGAGAAAGATGGAACCTTCAAGTGTAGTTTGGTTGAGCAAGTTTCTATCGATGAGCATTTGAAGAAATTGGCCAAGCAAGAGACATTCAACATCATTAAGAGACTCGTTTTGGCCACAATTATTGCGATTCCCACATTTGTATTTGGAATCGTTGGCATGTCGCTTGTTCCTTCGCACAATTCGTTCAGAATGTGGCTAGAGCAGCCTCTATGGACGGGAAACGTATCCAGGGTTATGTGGATAGTGTTTTTCTTGAGCTCTCCAGTCTATTTCTTTGCTGCCGACGTCTTCCACGTCAAAGCAATCAAAGAAGTGCGTTCACTTTGGCTTCACAAGAATTCTTTCAAGAAGAGATTCTTTAAATTTGGTTCCATGAGCTTGCTAATGTCCCTTGGTACAACAGTCTCTTACGTTGCCAGTATCATCTTGCTTATTCTTTCGTCTCAACAAGAAGCAAAGTCAGGAATGGGATTTCATACTACCTATTTTGATTCTGTGGTCTTCTTAACCTTTTTCTTACTTATTGGAAGATTACTTGAAAGTATATCCAAGAACAAGACGGCAGAGGCTGTTGCAGGCTTGAGCTCTATGAAAGCTTCTACAGCAACCATTGTCGATCGTACGAAAAATGATGACGGAGCTTTCTCCTACATTAATGATCAGAGCGTCGATGTTCAATTATTGGATTCGGGGGACTACATCAAAATTGCAACCGGCGAGTCTCCAGCTTTGGACTGTGTTCTCATTGAAGGTTCTTCAGAATTTGACGAGTCAGCACTTACTGGTGAAGCAGACCCTGTAAGACATGACCCAGGCCACCAGATCTATTCTGGAACAGTCAACGTCGGAAACAATTCGGTGGTGGCAAAAATATTGAGTGTAGATGGCGATTCACTAATCGATCAAATTGTTAGCACTGTTCGTGATGGACAGATGAGGAAAGCTCCTATTCAAAGACTTGCGGACGTACTCACAGGCTACTTTGTTCCTGTCATTGTTTGCTTGGCTGTTCTTACATGGATAATCTGGCTTGCACTTGCATACTCAGGCTCACTTCCACAGAGCTATCTTGACATTGATGTTGGTGGTTGGACAGTATGGGCACTCGAATTTGCAATTGCAGTCTTTGTTATTGCTTGTCCTTGTGGAATTGGTCTTGCTGCGCCAACAGCTTTATTCGTGGGTTCTGGTTTGGCTGCAAAGTATGGAATTCTTGCAAAAGGAGGAGGTGCTGCTTTCCAAGATGCTGCACAAACCAATTTGGTTTGTTTCGACAAGACTGGCACGTTAACATACGGCCAAATGAAAGTCACGAACTTTGCGTTTGTATTGTCTCTGGTTGATAGCGACAAGAAGGATGCAACGAAACTATTTGGATTGCAGTTAGCCAGAGACTTGGAGTTAGCTTCCAAACATCCAATTGCCACAGCCGTGAAGGAGTTTGTTTCGAGTCACAACTTCAACGATGCTAAATTGACTTTGAGCTCTAACAAGATCCCCAGCATCGAAACTATCCCCGGGAAAGGGCTTAAAGGAGCCATTAAATTCTTGACCCAAGATGAGCAATGGGCTGAATACGAACCGAATGAAGCTTTGCTTGGCAACGAATCTTTGCTCAGAGACAATGACGTTGAGATTTCTCCCGCGCAGAAAGAATTACTTGACTCCTGGAAAAAGGAGAGAAAATCGGTGGTAAACGTTGCCCTCAAATGCAAGAAACTCTACGGTGATGCCAAGTTTCATCTACTTGTAATGTTGGCTTGCAGAGATGAGGTCAGAGCTGAAACTAAACCGGTGATTGAATACTTGACAAAACAAGGAATTGAATGTTGGATGATCACAGGAGACAATGGTCTCACAGCTAGCGCTATTGGAAAAGAAATTGGAATTCCTAGTGACAGGATCATCAGCGAAGTTTTGCCTGACGAAAAACAAGCCATGGTGTTGAAGTTGCAAGAGGAGGCAGGAAGAAGTGTTGCAATGGTAGGCGACGGTATCAATGACGCTCCAGCCTTAGCCAGTGCCAATGTCGGCATCGCTCTTTCAACGGGAGCAGACTTGGCAGTCACATCCAGTGATTTTATTCTACTTAATAAGAGCCACCCTATGGCTACATTATGCACCTTGCTTGATCTTTCTAAGGTTGTGTTTCGGAGAGTCAAGTTCAATTTTGGATGGAGTTTGGTCTACAACATGATTGGAATTCCTATTGCGGCGGGCGTAATTTATCCATATAATAACCTGAGACTCAGTCCCGTTTGGGCCAGTGTGGCCATGGCCGCATCATCACTTAGTGTCGTGACGAGCAGTCTTTTGCTCAAATTGTACCGTCCTAAGATCAAGGCTAAAGATTTGGGCAAGTTTGAACAGTCAAGTGAAGTGGCAGAAATCCACTACTTATAATAGCCATTAATTATCCCTTTGAGGAAACACCTGGGGGTCTAACTTAACCACCATTACTGTAACATTATCGGTAGTAGCCTTTTCAATGGCATACTGGCAGAGTTTCTTCGCAGCATATCCTGGATCCTCTTGCTGCTTCTTCTCTCTCTGTGCTCGGAAGATATCTTGAACAAACTTGCAAGCCAAGTCATCGGTGATTACATCCCAGACTCCGTCGCATGCCAATATTAGAAACTCATCCTCTTTGGTTATTTCGGTAGCTGTAGTAAAGGGTCTTCCAGTTACTAAATTCTTGACATAGGAGTCGCCAAGTGAGCGGGTGATGGCCAATACCCCGTTGACTCTGTTTTTGACCACCAAGCCTCCCGCCTCACGAATTCTTGAAATCTCTTTGGCATCTGAAGCCTTGTGATCGTAAGTTAATCTGTACAGCCTATTTCCACGGCATAAAACTATTCTCAGATCGCCCACATTAGCAGTGTAGAGCATTCGCTTGTGGTTTTCTGACGGCACAAAGTCGAATGGCTTCGAGGCCAGCAGTCCTTTGATAGTGGCTTCTTCGGTTTCCTTCAGGTTACCTTCCCAGCGCAAAACTGCGACAGCAGCGGTGCAACCAGAGGATCCCGAGCCTTCCTGCTCGATCAACTCATCGGCTTTGACAAATACACGATTTAAGGCATCACGCACATCTTTGTTGTCTTCTGAAGGTTGAGAATTAGTCAGAGAGAACAGCTTGGTCAGCGGAGCAGACAGCAACAGCAGAGGCGACAGCAGCGCTTCCATCGCTAGCATCTCTTCTTCTAACAACGTGTGCAAGTTGTTGCCGCACCAGCGGGCGGTCTGCTTGCCAGCATGGCCATCAAAGATAGCAAAGTAACCCCAATCAGGCTTCTCGGCAAAATTGGCCACATACGTGTGAACATCCTCCATTTTGGCTCTGTAGGTCGGGTTTTTGTTCTCAGCCACTCCAACTTGGAACGAAAGCCCATGGAAAGGATCGGTAATTTCCAGTAGACTGGAAGTATCCTGAGTTTCTGACCCCATTTTCGGCGCTAGATGACTTCTGACGTGAATAAAGTGATGAGCGATTGGGGAAATGCAATTGAAGGAAAAATTATGGTGCAAACAGGCAGAGGAAGCGACCAGCCTGGCACAACTGAGCAAGAGAAAAGATGGACGGGGAGATGTTTCAGAAAGTCAATAGAGAAGTGTTGTACATAGGGTCAGTGATCTGAGGCACTGGTGTTTAGCCATGACAACGGTTTGCCGTGGCATTCTGACATGTCCTGTGGTATAAGGCTTAGTACGCGGCCATAAGTTGGTGGCAAAATCTTTTTGGTTCAGTTATTAGTGAATTCTAATTGCAAATCAGTTCTAAATTCCTAGTGGTGTACTCGTCATTGGATGGAGAATGCTGGATCGTGAAATTGGCTGGTTGGCATGCGCGCACACGAGCAACTTCACAGGAGGCTGAGGGTTCAACAGTGGGGATATAGCAGGGATAAATATGTGATTAAATGGAAAAAGAAAAAGCCGGGGAACAGAAAAGAAAAGTTAGGGATCTTTGAACCTTTAATTTTCTTATGATTTTTGGCACATCTGCACCTCTTTATTTATGCTTCAATCGCTGTACGATCCGCACCATGCTGATCTTCATGATTGCAACCTTATCAGGAGTGCGTATTGTTAGGTTGTTCTAATCTTGGTGCACTATGCACTGCTACTCAATGAACACTTTACCATAAAACGACGTCCAATGGAACAACGTCGTATGTCTCGAAGACGACTGTCTGCGTACAGACCACATAATTGGCGATACCCTATCCAGGTGTTGCCAGTACATAATGAAAGATTGTCACTCGAGCAGTTACCTGTGGTGATCCTCGCAGCCATTTTTGACCTTCTCAAGGTGGGTGATTTACTCAATGTTTGTGTTGCCAGTAAGTACTTCTACCTTCCCGCAGTGATGCGCTTATATCAGCGTATAGTTATCACCAACAACTATCTGCGAACTTACGCAGATAAGTATCTCAGCCGTTGGCTGTATAATATAGGGACTTCCGTTCCACCTGGAAATGTGGTCAAGTTGGCAGATGTTGTGACTCGAAACGACAAATTGGCGCTGCTTATGCATACACTCATAGTCACAGAAAAATGTGACATCATGCTGCTTCGCGAGATCTTAACTCTGGCTAGTATTATAGACCTCTACTATGTGGGAGACGATCCTTTACCACAACGACTCCTCCACAACGTCATCAGCCTCACCACGCTGATTCAAGAACCATTTATTGCACCACTGCTTACTGAATTGCACATTTGCAAAACGGGCGACGACCCCCATTCCGACAAATATCGAAGATTAGCCTTATCGATGTTAGACAACGACACCTTTCAGAATCTCCGAACATTAGCATTCGAGAACACGGACGACCGTAATTTGAACACCCTTAATCAGCTTAATGATGACAATGAGCGTCCACTAGCGGGCTGGATTCTGTTTTTTGAGGTATTTGCCCAGCGTCAAACGTTGCTCCAAGTGACTAATCTCATTCTTGAGGGGTTTGTAAGGAGTTCAGGTGCTCAAATTGCCCAATTAATTTCTCAGACAGTCAACATGGACAACTTGAATTCGTTGGCATTACTGTGTACCGAGCTCTCCCATGCCCATGCACTGCATTACGACAACGACACTAGTCTTTTAGAGAATATCACCAAACACACCAAGTATCTTAGGGAGCTCTCAATTTCTCCCACGGACGACTGCTTGACATGTCAAGTCAATGCAATCATAAACACGCTTAAGGTTAATCTTCATGGCCAATTAAGAAATCTTCTGGTTGTGTTTGAATCGCCTAATGCGTCGACTTCTGCCAATGTGAAGTTGGCAATATTGCACAACCAATCCAAGCTTGAATTGCTTAGATACAGAGACAAAACCACTCAGGGTGGACTCAAATCCGAGGTATACAGCTTGCTTTCATCACGAACATCTGAGTTGGAACATGGAACCTTCTATAACTATCGAATCCGAAAGGGCTTCTTTCCCAACAGCTTTACTTACATGGGGGATGTTCCATTTTTGAGTGACCCACTCGTTACGCTCATTGAAACCATGGGCCCACAGATTGCAGAGGTTTTGAACAAAGATGACCTTTTAAGCCACGTCTCGATGATGCCTTCACTAGAATTGTATGAGTTGATGGATTTTCCATTGTGTGTAAAGAGGCAAGGTTTCCTAGTCAATGGAGAAGTGATTCCATACGGGGGACGAGTCTAAGGTGGGGATACTTGCAATTCCAATTTACCCTTTGTTTATGGAGAACTATTGACCCTCCAAAGCAGAATTTGTTATGATTCCTTCGGAAATTATACCTATTTGAGCTCAAATCTCTCGCAGTTTCGCAACCACATAAGAAAATGCCATGGGAATCCACATCATGAGCAGATCCACTTCCATAAGCTATTTTTGGTTGCATATCTCCTCTTTGTTATTGTCTGACAGATTAATATCTTTGCCGACGTCTTCGCCGCAGCGGTCATTTCTAACAAATTGGCCGCCTTCTGTCATTTCGGCATACCGTCGGCATAATCTCACTCCGGTGTATTATATAAACACCTTCATTACCCCAAGTAGAAATTACAACCACAATCACTTCTATTCTATAAAATGCCTGAACCCGTTCCTCTTCCTTATACTCCAATTGGCACTCCCGTCGTGGACAGTGTCAAATATGACAACATCGTCTTCAAGACCGTCACCTGGAAAGTTCCAGAGGGTACAGATTATAAAGGCAAAATCGTCTATGTACATGGATTCTGTGAGCATTCAGACATCTACCTGGAGTTTTTCGACAAGTTAAGCCAGGCAGGCTATGAGGTGTTTTTCTTCGACCAGAGGGGAGCGGGAGAAACTTCCAAGGGCAAGTACATGGGCAAAACAGATGAGTTCCACACTTTTGACGATTTGAACCACATGATTGAGTCACAGCTTAAGATCAGGAAGGATCCAACTGAGAAGTTGTTCTTAATGGGTCACTCGATGGGTGGCGGTATCTCGCTAAACTATGGAATTTCCGGCAAGCATCGCGAGGATATCAGGGGAATCGTGGTTTCTGGACCATTGGTGACAGTGCATCCCAAAACACAACCTAATTTTTTGGTTAGAGCGTTGCAGCCTGTGATCAACGCAACCTTTCCAGGATTGAAGATCGACTCCAAGATAAAGTATGACTACATCACTTCACATGAGGGTTGGAGAAAGTACATCGAGCTGCACGACACCAAGTTGATTGGAACAGTCAGACAGTTCAACGATATGTTCGTGAGGGGCGAGAAATTGTTGGATAAGGAGCACGTTTCACAGTTTAAGGACGATATCCCACTTCTTGTGTTGCACGGCACTAACGACAACATCAACAACTTGGAGAGCACTAAGAAGTTCTACCATCATTTACCCCATAGTGTGGATAAGAAGTTTGTTCCAGTGGAGGGTGCCAGACACTCCCTTTTCTTGGAGAGTCCCGAGTACTTTGAACCGGTTTACGGAGAGGTTTTGGACTTTTTGGGTAAACACTAGGGACAATGAGTAAACTATTGGAAGGCATTCAGAATTGATGAGTGTAGTTAAGGTTGTTGATTTTAAGCGAGTCAAATCAAATCGATATTTGTATGTTTTAATATATGGACCTAATTGAGAATGTTAAATGTGAGGAAACGAGTAAATGGTACGAGAGAATTCATTAAGTTGCTCTTGTGAGTGTCTATTTAAACATACTTCTATGTTCTTACAGTTCAACAGCATGTTCTTTTACAGGAATGAACAAATCTCTCATTAATTCTTTATCATTCCTCCCAACCAGAATTCACACCACCGATTCCTTCTTGTTTCTCTTAATTTCATCCATTTTTTTGAACTTCCTTCCTTCCGTTTCTCTCGCCCCGGCCATTTTCGCACGTCCTCCTCAAGCGCATATTTTCTATGTGCTTACAGGGCCATCCGACTCCACCTAATAACATCCTCAATAAACCTTACCAGAGATCAATTTTTCAGCGCCAAATTCACTCCCACAATATGATCTACGTCACATTCACACTTCCGACCTTCCACATTCTCTTCTCACGCTTCCACCCTGACTACCACACATTTATCTCTTTATTGTGTTATCAGCGAATGCGCTTACACTTCCGGTGGCCCACTCACATACCAGCTCGGCCATCTGGAGAATCCAGCAAAATTATCGTGAAAATGATCCTCAAAAACCCACAAAAAGTTACTTAACAAATTTTTTATCTTCGAATTCATCATCTTTCGAATTTGAATCCCGATTTCATCAACGTAAACCATGAAAATCCGTGTGCTTCCATGTTGGACTCTTGTTGTCCGGACCTGCATACATCCAGCCTTATAACAATCTCCGGTACATGAGTAGGATATCTCCTGATGACTTCTGTCATAATACAGGCATCTGGAGTCACCAGTGCCATCGTGCGGTGTATTTGATCTTGAACTAGCTTTGTGTATGTACCGTTTGCTCGGACCCCATATCTTTGTTTTCACCTTCTCGCAGACTCGAGACTCATAGCTAGGAATGGGGTATAACATCAAACAGAAAATTGAAATCTGCCTAAAGGCAGAGGCTGAACCACACTTGACCCAGATGGATTTGGCCCATTGGGCCATGAAGCAGTATGGATCGTCCAAGCCACCGTCACAGACGACAATCTCGCGAATTTTGAGCTCTAAGAACGATATTATTGGCTCCAAAGAGGCGGACTTCCTGTTAGTACGCCGTAGAAAACAAACCAATCCGCTTCTACGAAAGATCTTGACTGAATGGATTACTCAGGCCCATTGGGAGCAGATCCCCATTACGACGCCAATTATACAACTGACAGCTTATGCCATATGGACCAGACTACCAACTAGAATGAAAGACGGCAACGGCTTGTTCAACCACAAGTGGTGCAATAATTTTGTCAAGAAACTTAACATCAACTTGACGGGGACTCCAGAGACCATCAGAGAGAATTTGGGGTACAAGTTGAATAAAGAATGGAAACTAGACGAGAAACTCGAATTGAAGAACTACATTCGCGACCTAATAGCGAAAGAGAACTATTCTCCGCGCGATATTTTCACCATTGACGAGTTCTCATTGTTCTATCTGCTTCCGCTAGACCAAATCTTCGATATTCTGTCTATTGACAAGGGTCTCAAGCAGTCGAGCTCATCTACGGAGAATATGCTCACTATAATGTTGGGATGCAATGTAGACGGCTCGGAAAAGCTCAATCCACTTGTGGTATCTAAGCATGAGACCTTTGACGTGTCTGATAGCTGCCATGCTAGCCTTAAGGCAAATAACATTGCTCTGCTTACACCTCAGGCACTCATTAATAAGGTGGGCGAGGTCTACCTGATCACATACAAGTCAAACAACAACAAATGGATCACTTCAAGCATGTTTCAGGATTACTTGTTGACGCTTGACCACAAGCTCGAGAATAGCACTCCTAACAGAAATATTCTCATTTTGTTAGACAATAGCTCGTCTCACCGCATGATAAACCTTGAGTTCAAGCACATCAGACTCGTTTATCTCGAAAATACATCCAAGCACAAGAATCCTTTCAATGGTTCAAACAGCGCTAAATTTGATTATTTGCCTATGAGTTTCGGAATTGTTGAGGAATTCAAGATCTTGTACAGATTACAACAATATTTGGAGATGATCAATAAGCAAAGGCGGAACATCGAGCTGGATCAGAGCACGCTGCCAGTCCTGGGCTCTTCGTTAAATCTACCCAAAATAGAGGGCGCAAATAATTCTGAGGTGCTCTCGGAATCTGATTACCAGGTTCCTTTCATAAAAGTCATCGAGTGGATCCGACGCTCTTGGGAGTCCATCCGCCCCCAAATAATATTTCGGGCATGGAAGCAGACATATCTTTTGAGCTTGACGCAACCATGGCCTGCTTCTAATCCGCAAGTGGTTCAACAAGCAAAGCAAAGCTTGAACCCTCTCCTTGAAAGTCTCAAGGTTGATGACAGTCAAAAAAGTTACAAAAAGCTCAATGAAATCATGGACTACTTGAACGTGGTGATTCGCTGGGAAATCGACGACTTGTTAGGACTCGTCAACGAGCGAAGTAAAGTTAGTTTAAGTTACGCATCTATCGAAGAAATCATCGGAAGTTGTGTTCTGGGCCAGGCAGTGGACGAAGACGAGTCGAAGGAAACAAAGACTTTTCCACAACCAGATATGATTCAGGATTCTTGGCTATCGCCAGAAACACCTGGAATTACACTTCCTGAACCGAAATTCAACGCTAATTTCTCATCTCGCATACCTGATCACTCAAGAAAAACATCTACGTCCTCCATGCCTATCTCGTTGGCTCCGATGTCTCCAATCACATATGTTCCTCAGACCCACCCACGCATTCCACCGAATATGCCCTTAAGTCAGATTGGTCTGAATTCGAAGTTTCGAGATGTTCCTTCCAATGAGTATGCTGGAGGCAGTCCGGGTTCCATGAACATGAATGCATTATTGATGGCTACCAGTATGTCTAAACATGACGACAAGCAACAAAGCTTCTCACCACTTGCCCCCATTAAGCAAGATATTCTCCCACCAGTTCTCTCCCGGGTGGAAATGAACGGTGTACAGCTTCCTGAACGCAGGGGCCGCATTGGAGATTTTGATGACTTGCATTCTAGAAAACGGGCTCACTATTATCATCCAAATAATCAGGGTGGTCAGAACTCGCCGGCATACTTCCCAATTAACTCAGTCAACGTGCTGTCTTTATCAAATGAACTCAACACAGACTTCACGAGAAATTTTAATGCAGGGTTCCCAGGCAATCTCGGAAATCTCAGACAGCAGTTGAACGAGCGAGTTTCTAATCCTTCTTCTCTGGATGGAGCCAATGATGCTGAGCTAATCAATGTGCTCAACAGAATCATTGACGCCTCTGACACTGAAGGACTCAAGTTATCGTCTTTTGCATTGGAGGAGCTCAAGTCTAATCTCTCAAAAATCCAGCACAAGTATGGGGCTAACGAGTCACCCTCGGAACTCTAAAACATGTATAATTAATGAACAGTCATGACGCTATTGCCTGTATTCTATTTACAAGTGTCTTTATATTTTTTTCGGACAATAAGTCTTCCCAGTATTACTGGATATACCGACAGCCACTAACTCACAAATTCCTAGCAACCTTAAACTTCCGACAACCGAAAAAATTTCAGCAGCCTAAAAATTTTACCAACCTTAAAACTCCTGGGTTCTCTTCAAACATCATCTTCAGTGATACCAAGTTCAGCAGCTTTAGCTTCCAATCTGGCTCTCTTTTCGGCTCTGGCCCTTCTGATTCTGGCCACTTCAGCCTGGATCTCATGTGGCTCCTTTGGGATTTGATTCAAAGTAGCTGGATCGGGCCAGAACCCTGGCAAATTGAATTTCTGGTCGGTGTCAATACCAACGTAGTACATGACAAGAATTGGAGTCAAGAGGTAGAAGCCAAACTGGGTGTTAGTAGAGGTACAGAAACCTGGAAATGTATAGAATTTGTAAAACGTACCTTGAAGGTCTCAAGCTGAGTCCTTGTTATACCTCCAATAAACTTTCTATAGTAGGAAATCATGGTGACTAAAGAAAGACGTAATCACCTTATTTGATTTTTTGACCACTGTGCACACTAATGTCATCAAAACTATCTACACGAACCACCTCAAGTGTTAACATATAATGTCTCAGTATACTGCGATTGAGCCAGATGAGATCGTTCCCGACGTGGAAGTTGCTCCTTCCAAAAACAATACCTCATCCAATCTGACCAGTGCTCCCGTTTCGGGTATGATGGACTCTGCAACTTATCAGCCTGCTAATCAGGAAAGAACGTGGAGTCAGAGACTCCGGGAATCTTCGCATCCAATAGCGTTATTGTGCTACATATTTTTTCGACTTGCACCAATCTTCATGTATATTTTCGGTACGATTATACTTTCGATATTTACTAGCAAGAGCAGGTTCATTCTCCACTTTATCATTCTCATACTTCTTGTTTCGGCCGATTTCTGGAACTTGAAGAATATCTCAGGTAGATTGTTGGTGGGTTTGAGATGGTGGAATGACACGAACGTGAAAGATGGCTCGCTGCAGTTTGAGAATGTGTGGGTCTTCGAATCGGCCGACCCAAACAGATACATTAATCCTATAGATTCAAAGGTCTTCTGGACACTTTTGTATGTGCAGCCTGCTGCGTGGGCAGTCTTGGCAATCATGGCGGTTTTGAAGTTCGAATTGTTATATCTTGTTTTGGTCGTCATCAGCATTTCCCTTTCCCTCACCAATGCTGTGGCTTTCACTAAGTGTGACAAGTTCGGAAAGGCTAATCTGATAGCCAACGATATCTTCTCAAGGGCAACAGGTGGTTTGTTCTCGAGACTCAATCCTTTTGCCTAGATCACGAAATTTCGCCTCGAAGTTTCTGAACATGCTCAAGTTTATGTTTCAATGTAGTGTACAGCTTCTTGACCACATCATCCTTCAATCTCTCGACCGTGATACCATCACCTTCTGCTTTCCGTAATGCAATGGTTTGAAAGGTGTCGAACTTGACCGTAAGCCCTGCAGCCTTCACATTGACTTCCACTCCTCGAAGTTGGTCAGAATACACTTTTCGGGACATTCTTTGTGATCTCTTGGAAACGATGTTGAATATGATCTGGTTCACGATGACATTCATATCATTATCACGAGTGACAACGGTAACAGAATCTTTCAAGCCTTCAATCTTGAGATCCGAATCCATTTTTTGCAAAATAGTGATAGGATTGTAAAATGCACTGGATTTCTCGTCGGCAGACTCTATTAATGCCTTGATAAACAGTGGTCTGGAGAACGAATGCTCGAGAACGAGGCTCCAAATCTCTTGATCGTTTTGTCTTTTTGCAAAAGCAATGGCTCGCTGAGGGTCTTCTAGCTCTTCCAATATTAATGTGAGAGCTTTCTTATTTTCTCCGACTTGACTCAACAAAAACACCAACTCATCCACTAATGCATTCAATTCACAAATCTCAATAGCCTTAGAGATCTGGTAGTTATGATTCGACGTCAAAAATGGTAGAAGCTTTGGTCTATTGTATTGTGAGTACAATCGGATAATATCATCCTCGAAGCCTTTCACCAATAATTCGTCAATTTCAAGGAGCTCCTCCAAATAGAAGTAATTAACAATATCAAGTGAGTTCTCAAACATTAGTTTCAAAATGCTCTTGGGGGAAATCTCGTGCCTGCTCTCAACCAAAACCTTCGTGATATCCTCAAGCTTCTTTTGGATCTCCGCAATGGGTAATCTCTCAAAGTCATGACGATTTGGAAACCGAAGCATGACAAATTTAGGGAGGTCGGCCATAAATGCAAGTAAAATGTGATTCGAAGCCAAGAATGAGATGATATTTGGGTCCTTGAGCTTTTCCAAATGTGAAACAGCTTTAGAAGGTTCAAATGACCTCTCATAAAGTTTGCACAATTGACGACGCAATCTGTCATTATTGGGTTGTTTTTCAAGAATCTCCTCAATGGTGGAGGTCACTTCTTGCAAATCATACAATTCGAGCTCCCAGGCATTTAGAAGCTCGTAAATTCTCTCAGATTGGTCCTTGCGAAGCCAATACTTAAGAATAGCGCTATATGTGGACTTCGGTAAGTTCCATCTGGGATCCGTCGGGATCACCAGCGTCAACTCTTCCACATGGCCGGTTTTCATGAAAATTGTGCTCCACATGTTCCACTGGGAGCTCACTTCTTTAGCGAGTAGTTCCATATCCCCTTCTTTCAGAACCGAGGAAGTACCGGTTGCAAGCGTGCTCTTAGCATCCCCAGTGGGAAGGAACTGTGTGCCAACATTGAAAAGGGATTTAATCCACTTCGTCGCACTCTCCCAATCATTTCTCTTCACGAGTTCATCCAAGTGCTTCACTCCAAATCCTAAACGCTTTTCTGGCAGAACTATATGCTGACTCATTTCCCATGCCTTATAAAACAAGCCATGTTCCAAGTACCACAGAAGTCTATCGGAGAGCTGAACTTGCTCAGCGATGACTCCAGCTCTGGCACTGAAGATGAAGTATTGATTACCAGTGTTCCCAATGTAGTGGCCCAAATGGTAGTCATTCAAGCCCAAATTTTCGCCTGATTCTAGTCCGATCTCTTCTTCGTATTTCGTTGTTCCATCCATAGAACTGAGAAGCTTAAGGTCGGGATGGGCTGGCGTATATTCTCCCGTTTCTTCGTCTTTTTCAGGTTGGTTGTATGCGAGAACTATCCAGTAGTCGTCCTTGAAACTTGCAATGCCCGATATAAGATAATCCACCTTGAAGACATGTTCGATTTCGACCTTCTTATCCTGGGTTGCACGGAATGAAAGCGACGGGGCTGGAGGAAAGTACCTACTCTTAATTGACGTTCCAGCGCCATTACCTCCGTTGGATGAACCCTTAATAGATACACGCAAAGACCAGATATAGTTTCCCCAGGCAATTAGCACTCTGTCCGTTTCGGGAAACGATACTCGGGGCCAGTAGAGATCACTACGGAACGAATCGGACGGATTAGCGATCACCGTAACAACCTGACGAGACATTATGTGATAGAATGTGATTCCACTGTCATTCATCCAGAAAATAAGATCATCGATAGTGTTGATACCCACGATTGGGCCCTTGTTTCTCTCCAATACGGTGTCAACGCGTTGATCGAGCCAATTGCGTGAACAAAGTGTCACTTCTTCGCTCATTCCTCCGTAAACGAAAGTCTTGCTTTTCAGGTAGTTTTTGTCCAACACAACTGCGTGGATGGGCCTTTTGAAGTCAAACTTGACGATATCCTTTTCATCAACAACAGAACCAATGATGATGGTTCCATCCATTGAACCACTAGCAAAGTACGTCCCATCTGTATAAAGCGAAAGAACAGACGCATTGTGGCCCTTGAATGTTCGGAGCGGCGTCATATCTGGTAAGGCTAAATGTATAAGACCAGTATGGGTTCCAAATAAGAATACTTTCTCATTGAAGGTAGCAGTGGACACTGGATGGTTCGTGAAGAAGTTGGCGGGTAGACCCTTGAGCCGAGTGTATTTGAATGTTGGAGGCTCATCATCTTCCTCATCTTCATCATCATCATCATCATCTTCTTCTTCCACTTCATCATGACCATTATACTTCTTGTCTTCGTCAGCTTCATCTTTGTGACCCTTCTCATCCTTCCCATCTTCAATTCCGTCTGCTGGCTGGCAGGAAGTCCCATTCTCCACCACAGTTTCATCAGCATCTGAGCTATCTGAGTTCATTTCTTTTCCCGGAGTGCTTAAATTTCCGTTCTCACTATCTTTTCCTTGTTTTGCCTCGTTTTCCCCTTCCACTTCACCGGCTACCTCTTTCTTATCTGTTGCTTGGTGCGCTGTGTCATTCACATCGCCAGCATCACTCTCTGTACGTAAATCACCATTCAGCACTTCCGGTTTACCATCTCTATTGAGGGAATTTACCGGCAGAACACTCATTTCATCTACGCAATTGGTGCTGGTATCTGGTGTCTAAGGTCTTGAGTGACTTGTGACTCCATCCTGTACATTCGCATCTTCACCACAACAACTTCTTCATGCCTACTGCTACTAAAGGTGTATTGGTGAAGTGTGACCCATCTATCCGGGCCTTGATCTTACAGATTGATTCGACAAGCCGAGGAATCGTTATTCAGGAGCTCGATAATACCCATTTGATGATCAAACAAGATATGGTACAGTTTGTCAAAGATGAGCTCAACCGGCTTTTGTCGAAGAACATCTACGATCCTATGGACGGTGTTAAGGCTTAGACTATATGCTATGATAAAGGACTGATGGACAGTCTCTGGTCTATTGGATCTGCGGCTGGATCGATATTGGAGTTTTCGGTTGGTGGTACGTCAGCCAATGGACTCACACTGTCTGACAAGTTGGAAGCGACTGACTCTATGGCTTGTTCGCTGGTTTGTTGATAATAAGGTTCATTGGTAGACTTGGGGTCCAAGTTGTCATCCCTCTCTGTTTTTTTGGGGTCTTCTTCTTTAGAAAGATCTGCTCCTTTCACGACTTCATTGTTAGTTGCAGCGAATGGCTCGCCTTGTCCCACCCATTGAACCTCTGGGGCAGGAGAATCAAATTCACGAAGGAGGTCTTCATTGAAGTGGATTGGGTCTGTATCTGGAGCCTGGTCTTTTAGTGATGTTACTGTCTCGCTGAGGAAATTGTAGAAACTATCCGGCTCCATTATATCCTCCATTTCGTCGCCAGAAATGATCTTCTTGGTGATCTTTTCCTCCAATGTCTTGTAGTATGCTTCATAGGTCGACGAGATCAAGTTCGACAACATATCTAATAAATATCTGACAATTTCCTCCTCATCAATGAACAGTTTGATTTGCGTCTGGATTTGAGGCAATTTCATCAATATATTGTCATTCATTTGGATTGCTCGCTCCTTCGTCGTAAGCTTGCTCTCTCCAAGAATTGGCGCACAAATGGAATTAGTACATTCGGTGACAAATTCGTTGACGGAATTACTGAGCTCAAGCTCAATCTCATGCTTAGCATCGATCATGTCATTGACCACTTTTGGCACAGACTTTTTCACTAGTTCAAGTAGCCCTCCCTTTTCATTGAACTTCACGTATAGTTGGCCATTTCTGAAGATCTGAATCAATTCCTGGATTCCACTTGTGAAGTCCAATGTGGTCTCTGTGCGAACAAATTGAATGTCAAAGTTATTAAGCTGATTCTTCAACATCATCAAATTTTTCAAGTAAAAGAGTTTTGCATCCACAGGTCCCAAGTGAGCAACAGCCAACTTCACTGCTCCATTCTTAAGCATGTAGATGCAACTGTGAATGATATAGTGAGCAAGATCATCAAACACCATTGAGTTTACAAGCTCGTAAATGTTTGAAAGAACAGTCAATGCGATGCCCACAGGGACATAGAGCTCGGGAAACAAATTATCGTCGAACTCATTGAGGGCTGAATTCTTCCTACCTTGTCCATCGCCAGTTTTTCTCCTGCTACCCAATTGCAAGTCCTCCGGGTTTGGCTTGTACTTGACAAGCCTGTTGTCGATAAAGTTTTGGATTCTGAAGATCAACCTCGCCTGCGAATCGTTCAACATGGGCTCAAAAAGCTCACCGTACTCGATCTTGTTGTCGTAAGCAGTGACCACGGACACATCTTCTTCAAATTCGTAGTAGCTAGTGAGTAAGTTGGTCAAATGGCATAGTTCAGCAATGTTGACTTCCCGAAGAACCCTATTTCTTACCTCATCATACAAAGGCTCCAAAGCTTGTTTGAAAAACCGGTACAATTCATCGTACACCACCCCTTGTTCCAGTGAGTCGAAGTTTTGCACGGGGAAGAACTTATGGAACAACACATACTCCCTTTCAAGCAATTTCTTGAATGAAGCTATCGATTTCTGACAATACTGCAAGGTGCTAACTTGCTCTTGACCTTGGGAAGCATTCTGCTGCTGCTGGATGTAAAACTGGATCAATTGTAATCTGAGTTTGAAATATTGCTGCAAAACATCAGAAACCAACCCTCTATACTCTTTATGGGAACCGCACTTATCGACGATAGAACCAATTAACACAGAAAATCTGGTATTCTCATCTTGCTTCTCAAGGTCGCCTGTGAACCCACTGTACATGAGAATATCAAATTTCAATGCAGATAGATCTTTATCCTGAAGTTGCTGGGAGATATCTGTCTGTTTGTTCTTCAAATATTCAATGAGAAAGTTCCTCACTAACGTGAGACCTCTGGTCATACACTGACGGTATCTGATGGTGTAGAACTCACTATCCTTGTAGTTGTCATGAACATCCAAGAAGTCCAAACATTCCTGAAGCTTCCGCAAGATAGAGCTGATCTTTCCTGTTCTGATTATATGGTTTCCAGAAGAAATCAACATCTTGCTGATACCTTCCAAAGGCTCGAACATCTGCAAGACGTGATCCGTTTGTTGAGCTTTCTTCTCTAGCTCATCCTGGTCTTTCAAAAGTGCCGACGACTGTGCAGCGAAATCCAGCGTGTCCTTGGTCACTTTGTCGTACTGGATGGTCAAAGTAGTGAGATTGTCCAACACTGCCTTGCTTTCCTTAATCAAATCTCGAAAGTACCCGATATTGAAATCGCAGTCTGCCTTAAACGACAATATCTGGTCATCAAACATCTCATTAATGCTGTCGATGTGGTCGGAATCAAGAACAGAATTGTAGTTCAACGAATCCAAGAAGTTCAGCACCATCTGGTCGCGTTCAGCATCAGTGAATGGATAAGTGAACTCTTTAGCTATGGCCAGTACCTCTACATTGACTTCATTCTTCACAACCACAGAGAATGATGAGGACCGTTGGTGGGCTGTGAAAGTCGTAGGTGCAAGGTCGTGTCGAGAATGCGTTCTATCTATGGTAGGATTGTGGAGATTTTTTGCATCAGTGGCTTCTCCTTCCAATTTAAGTTCATCTTTGGAATACGATGGAACCTCCGATGCAATTCGCTGCACCACAGACTTGCTCCTGTCGCGAGGCATGGTTGCTCTTTATATGGATATGAATCGACACTTGTTAGGTAGTAGTTGGTTTTCGCACCACTAATTGACAGGAAGTTGATATTGGTGAAGACACCATATTAATTATCTGGAGATATACTTGAATGGGAAGGTTTTCTTGAGGGGATTAGGGTCACATACGGAAAAGGTTGACTTTAGTGTTAGAAGACGCGTGTTTGTTTTTGGACTTTCTAACTGTTAAATCTTTGTTCATCTACAGACATCTTGAAGTTCAATACAATGATGATTGATCCACGAGATAAGACAAGCGTGAGTGCCGAAGATGTGCTTACGGAAGATTCTGAGGACGAATTGGCAGATTTGGAAAAGGAGTTCGAAGCGAAGAAGCAAAAGCTTCTCGAAGAAAGGGCAAGGAGACTAGAGAGGAAGAAGAACATCGCGCAGGTGGAGCGTTCGCCGTCCCCACCACGGCAAAAGACGCCACCACGCGTTGGTCAGGTTGTCAACAGTGGAACTGAGAAAGACGGGAAAACAGCAACGGCTAGTTTGGAAAATTTGAAGGAAAGTGATCGTTCTAGATCTCATAATACTATTCATAGAGCCAACAGGCCAGCACCAAGCACAGCGTTCGCAGACCAGCTCTATGCGTCCAAATCGGAGAAAACCGCTTGTTTTAACTTTAATGACCGGTTCTTTGAGTTCGACAACGTACCTGCGATGATCGTTGAGAAGACCACCGAAAGTACAGAAAAAGACGAGGTTTCGGGTGAAATTCTCAGCAGAAGATACTTTAAGACCACCGATATAGAGCGTCTACTCACCAACGTTAAGATTTTGCGTGCTCCGAAACTTCTAGCTAAAATTGTGCCTCCCAAATTTGAGGAACCAACATACACCAACTGGTGTGTGACAGGAATCGTCATGCACAAGAGCGAGCCTAAGACTGCTGTGAACAACAAAAAGTATATGGCACTACGGGTTGGTAATTTCCATCATACGGTGGACGTGATGCTTTTCGGCGAAGCGTTCCAGAAGTATTGGAAAGTGAGGGTTGGAGATGCCATTGTCATACTCAACCCTACCGTCAAGAAGTTTGGAAACAAATTCAACTTGACGATTCAAGATGATTTGGATAGCATTCTCGAACTTGGAACACTGAAGAACTACGGCCATTGCTCAGCAACCACCAACCATGGCCAGCAATGCAAACATGTGGTAGACAAGCTGAAAAATGCGCTATGTAGCTTCCACGAGGAAGCAAAATACAAGCATGGAACACGTATGGAGCTCCAAGGCAGTGTCAAACCCAAGGCGCCAAAAAACATTCGAGGCGAGGCCAGTGAAATGTACTTGGGGGCCAAAAACCTGTTCGTTCAGCATGCGAATACTGGGTTCCTAGAAAGAGATTTGGTGTACTCTGGAGGTGAACAATATGACTCTAGTAAATACGACCGAGCAATAGAGAGCAAAAGTTCCAGATTACGGAAAGAGCGGGCCAACGCAAAACTCGAGGAGCAGCTCCTCACCACTGTTGCTCCCCGGCACTTGAATGATCTAGCCAAGTTGGGCATCCTCAAGCAAAAGCGTGAGATGGCAGATAAGGTTGAATCTGCGCAGAAGATCAGAAAACATGCATTTAACAGCACGTTTATCACAGGCATGGGGTTTGATCCTACAGTTACCAATAATAGGAGCGGTGGCAACGGAAAAGGGAAAAATCAGCTGCAGCAATTAGAAGAATTGCGACTGTTGAGTCAGGGAAAAAAAATTAGCTTGGAGCCATCAATTGAAGACCAGGCAAAGAAGCGGTCACAATGGCAGCAGGCCATAAATGCTGCGAAGAATGGTTGCAGCGGCAAAATAGATGGCGGAGAGAAAAACTCGTTTACACGCAAGAATGCGAAAACCCCACCAAGACCTCCACGCCATATAGTGGTGTCATCACTGGACGAGAGCGATATCGAAATCACATTCACAAATGATGATGACAGACTGCATTATGAAGCTAGTACCCGAAACCAGGTTACAGGGGAATAAATCATAAAGGAGGGGCCGGATGAACTCCGGGTATTGTTGGGACTAATGTTCCTGGATATGGATACCAACCTTTAGGCCACAAAGTATTCCATGTGAAATATAACCGTAGGCAGTGATTGTCTGAGTGAATGGGGAAGTGCTGTCCCCTCCGTGTCCTGCACCCGTTTCGTGCATAGGCAACCTGGCATGCCCCACAAAGAATATTCCATTTAAAGGGGACCTCTTCCAACTATTATATTCCACCAAGCAATTCAAACCAATAGTTAGCTTGACATAACATCATGACTCAACATAGTGAGTACCTCGAGGCTCTCAAGCCATACTTATTCAAATGGTATACAATCGTTTTTGCAACCACTCTTTTGTATGTGATTCATCGTCAAATCAGAATTTATCGCTTCTGCAAGGCTTTTAACTGTAAGAGTCCCACGAAAATTGATACAGGCTTCATGGGTGTTCCAGCTACAATTGAAGCTGTGAAGTCTATGTGGACAGGAAGATTATTGGAGTTTTTTGGTGACCGAGTCTCTAGTACTGAAAATCAGACAGTTTCATTAAAGATTGCTGGAAAGCCCATCATCTTCACCTACGACCCAGAGAATATCAAGGCTATCTTGGCATCTCAGTTTAATGATTTTGTCTTGGGCTCGAGACACGCACACTTTTTACCTTTGCTTGGTGACGGTATCTTCACCTTGGACTCTCATGGCTGGAAGAATTCTCGTGCAATGTTGAGACCACAGTTCTCCAGAGAGCAGATTGCCCATGTGAAGAGTTTGGAACCTCACATGCTAACCTTGGCTAGTCACATCAAGAAGGCTAATGGTGACGTGTTTGATATCCAAGATTTGTTCTTCAAATTTACCGTGGACACCGCTACTGATGTTCTTTTTGGAGAGTCTGTCTATTGCTTGAGAGATGGTACTGTGCCTGAACTTCCACCACATGATGAATTTGAAGGTAGAGCTAAGTTTGGTGAAGCCTTCAACATTGCACAGAAATACTTGGCCACGAGAGCGTACACTCAGAGCTTTTACTTCCTCATCAACACTCCAGAGTTCCGCAGATCGTGCAAAGCTGTCCATGCCTTTGCTAAATACTACGTCGACAAAGCTCTTGAGTTAGACGACGAGACTCTCGAGAAGAAATCGCAGTCTGGCTACACATTTTTATACGAGTTGGCCAAGCAGACCAAGGATGCTAAGGTGTTGCAGGACCAGTTGTTGAACATCATGGTTGCTGGAAGAGATACCACCGCAGGATTGTTGTCGTTCGTATTCTTTGAGTTGGCTAGACACCCTGAGATATATGACAGACTAAAGCAGGAAGTGTTGACACAGTTTGGCGAAGGCTCGCCTCTGGACATTGAGAATATCTCGTTCGAGTCGTTGAAAAAGTGTGACTACTTGAAGTGGGTTCTCAATGAGACCTTAAGACTCTACCCATCTGTCCCAGTGAATTTCAGAGATTCCACCAAGGACACCACCTTGCCTAGAGGCGGTGGCCATGATGGAACCTCGCCCGTTTTTGTTAGCAAGGGTACCACTGTTGCATACGCTGTCTACTTCACTCACAGATTAAAAGAATACTACGGTGAGGACGCCGAAGAATTCAGACCAGAGAGATGGGCCGAGAGCCAGAAACTTGGGTGGGCATATTTGCCATTTAATGGAGGCCCAAGAATCTGTTTGGGTCAACAGTTTGCACTCACAGAGGCTTCGTACGTGATTGTCAGATTGATCCAAATGTTCCCTAACCTTACCTCTGCCTACGATGGCCAATCTGCACCTAAGAAGATGTTACATTTGACATTGTCCATGTTTGATGGTGTTCAAGTCAAAATGACGTAGTTAGCTTTGTTTCCATTAATTATTTAACAATCATCAAACTTATGAAATATTTATTATGTGTATGTGTGACATATGATAATTCGCGAAAGCTTGTGAAAATGTTCACTCAGAAATTTAGAATGACAGAGACACCGAAGGTGCAACACAACCATTAACACGATATTCCTGCCGGTTGAACATCTATCTGTGTAGACCAATTGTCACAGTATTAGATTCTAGTCTCGTATTATTAATGTCCAAAGCAATAACCATAGACTTAACTCCGCTTTATACATACATCATCTCTGCGAAGGTTACGAGCGCGCCCACCACAAAAGGTGTTCCTATTTCTCATTTTTCGTTGCTCATCTCGTCTCCATGTCTGACACCAAAAAGCAGAAACTCGATTCCGCCGCCATGAGAATTTGTACCCATTCCGGCTCATTCCATGCCGACGAGAGTTTGGCCATTTACCTCTTGCGCCTTTTACCCAAGTACAAAAACGCTCAACTCGTCAGATCCAGAAACCCTGCTGACTGGGAATCTTCAGACATCGTGGTGGATGTTGGAGGAAAATACGACGGAGGTGTCAAGTGGTACGACCACCACCAGCGTGAATTCAGCGAGACCTTCTCCTCGAATTATGCTACCAAGCTTTCATCTGCCGGTTTGATCTACAAGCACTTTGGTAAGGACATCATCCAGGAAGTTCTCCAATTGTCCAATGCCAGCGACGTCGACATGCTCTACTTGAAGATGTACAAGGAATTTGTTGAAGCTATTGATGCCAACGACAACGGTATCAACAACTATCCATCGAGTGTGGACAAGAAGTTCAACGATAAGAACTTGGGACTTCCAGCATTGGTTTCTCACTTGAACCCAAGATGGAATTCCGACCCTCAAGATAAGGACTACGACGAGGCATTCCTCAAGGCTAGCGAGTTGATGGGACTGGCATTCTTGAACTTGCTCGAGGGCTACGGTCAATCGTGGTTGCCTGCTAGAGAAATTGTGGAGGCTGCCTTCAAGAGCAGATTCGATGTGCACCCATCTGGCGAAGTTATCGTGTTGGACAAATTCTGCCCCTGGAAGGAGCACTTATATGCCATTGAGAAGGAGAACAACGAGCAGGGATTGATCAAGTTTGTTTTGTTTGCTGACTCCAGCACCAAGTGGAGAATCTCTACTGTTTCCGTCACCTCCACCAGTTTTGAATTCCGTTACGGACTTCCGGAGCCATGGAGAGGTGTAAGAGACGAAGCGTTGTCGCAGTTGACTGGTGTTGACGGGTGTATCTTCGTACATGCTGCTGGATTCATTGGTGGGTGTGAGACCAAGGAGGGAGTGTTGCAACTTGCCAAATTGGCATTGGAGGCTAGAAAATAGGGTATTACTATATTATTCAAGGTTTAAACATTCACAAAAGTATTATTAAAATAACACACATTATCAAGCATCATTCATCAATGGTGCGGTTTCGTTGGTTGTTTCTCTGCTAGTGACACTTCCAGTGACAGCACCAACAACACTACCAATGAACAAGAGGCCAGAAATGACAAAGGCGAAAATCCACTGCAAGGCAAAGGTTTTGGTGAAGAGTTGCCCCAAACCCAAACCAAACATCAACCAGGAGGAACTGATACCAATACCGTAGTCGTTGAAAACAACCAAGAAGAAGCCAGGCACAAGCAAGAACAACCAGATCAAGATGTTGGCAAAGATACGGCCCACAAGCTTGTGTACATGGAACAAGACAGCACCGTTCCAGAAAATGGCGTATAATAACCACGAGAATGGGAAAGCTGCGGTAGGCAAGTGGATCAACAACCAGTTAGAGAAGGGCTTGACTGAATAAGTCTTGTGCTCGAAGTACAACAGAAGAATATTAACGAAGTTCAACACCAACACAACCTCAGACCAGAAGTAATGGTTGTGAACAAACAACAACGTCCACACAAACACACCCAAGTTGAAAGCAGAAAAGTGCCATGCAATCAACTTTGTCACCTCCAATCTATTAGTGATTCCACTGGCATTGTTGACAGTGGGAACAAAAATCTGGGTGACAAATAAAATCTGCAAGAGGAAAAGGAAACCCCAGAAGGTCAAGGTGACCACCACGTTGCTACTGAAAGGTGTCTCCCGAACATTGTAGGGGTTATGATTGTCGAATGGGTTGATACCCACGAAGTACCTGAATGAGGCATAAGCAGCAAGAAGCCACGACACAATGGTGGCAATCTTATGAGAAAGAAGCTCGTCGCTGGAGTGGGCCATGATGGTTATATTAATTGTAATTAAATTCTACAAGTGGCGGTACCCCCGTATTTAAATGCTCCAGCAATCCAATTTGATTGCTTTGCCGTAAAGGAGGGTCATTCTGCAGGGATTAGTGACTGGGAGGAGAGTCGTTAGGCATTACCAGGTGGGGTCATTGAAGGGAGGGTTTTGGGTAATTTTGAAAGATATGGAGGTGGATTATAAGCTGTACATGGTTTTGAAATATAAATTAGGAGATAATTGGTACAGTTTGGAGAAACATTTTGGATATGCATGGCATGGTCCTTTTTTTTGTGGATTGCTGCGATTCAATGAGTGGTCGCATATTACATAGACCACGATGGTTGCGAGACCGACCGAGTCCGGAAATGCTGCCGTGAATGGCCCAAAAAGGATTTCTCGATCTGAGTGGAAATTAAGGATTACTTGCTTCCACATGACTGTTTTAATATTGTGGCTGCTGACGTGTTTATGTGGTAACTAAATTTAAAGATTTTCCGTTAATGGTTTATTCAACCTAACGTGCATAATGGTCAACTTTAACTAAACTCAAACTATTTCCGTTCTTTTGATACCTAGCAAGCTCCACGGTAAGATTTCTTGTGCTTGTGATGTCCCAGTCCAGGCTTATCGTGTTTGTCTATTTGCTCCGCACGGACATCCTCCGTTCCATTGGATGTGATACTAAGCAAAACCTTGTAGATGATGTCCTTCTTTTCCTGAGCAGTAGTGACTTCTTTGGATTGAAGGAGGTCAACAACAGAGTCGTGGGCACGAATAAGGACCTCTGTAGCTTCCACAATGTCATTCATAAGCTTCTCCAAGAGGTTCAAAGTCACCAGGTCTCTGACCACCACTCTCAAAATCTCCTTTTCCAGTTCATCGGGAGGTAAGTGGTAGTTGGGGACAATGAACTGCTTGTTTCTGAGTAACAACGAAACCATCGACTGAGGAAGATCTGGGTATTTCTCTCTAAAATCTTTTGAGAAACGGAATGCCACCACTGGCAAGCCAGGCAAGAAACCCTCATTGTACACCAGCTGTTCACTATGTTGAGTGTCCTCCTCGTGAGGCAAAGTGAAGATCTCCTTCTTCTGGTCATCATTAATTGGCTTATGGATGACAGACAAGCACTCGTAGTAGGTGGTGGCCTCCAAAAATCTCGACAACAAACGAGCATTCTGGATACAACTGTGGAAGATCTTGGTGTAGCCTTCGCGACCCAAACTCAAGAAGTTATAGTACTGGTGTAACACTGTGAAGCCTGGTCTGGAGAAGTTCAAGCCAAAGGTCTCTTCAAGGCCTCCCAAGTAATCCAACTTGAATCTCAACGATTCGGGCATGTACTCCAACTCTCTCCAGATGACCCAACCCAAACCTGCGGTAGTGAGTCCAAACTTATGGCCAGAAGTGTTAATGGACACCACTCTGTCAACAGAGAAGTCCCATTTCAAGTGTGGATAGACGAATGGAGCAACAAAACCTCCGGAAGCGCCGTCCACATGGATCTTGATGTCGTGACCCGTCTCCTTCTGGACTTCATCCAATAACTTGGAGATCTGTGCGACAGGCTCGAATGCTCCTGTGAATGTGGAGCCCATGATGACAAAAATACCAATTGTGTTTTCGTCAATGTTCTCCTTGATCTTTGAGACGTCAATCAAGTGGTGCGAGTCCTCAGTGACCAGAATAAGTCTGTTCTCCACGTCAAAGTAACGGGCGAACTTCTCCAAGGCCACCTGGGCCACTGACGCCATTAAAATGTTGGGGTTGTCGGAAGGCTTGCCGTCAGCCTTTCTCTGTTCCTGCCACTTCTTCTTCATTGCCAAACCTGCCAACATAATGGCCTCAGACGAGCCAGTGGTTGCGCATCCTACAGTGTGGGGAACACCGTCCGAACCCTTTGGGGCATTCCACAAATTAGACAAGATGTTGATGCATCTCTCCTGACACTCGATCAACGAAGGGTACTCGTCATTGTCGGCCAAATTCTTGACGATATTCTCGGAGATCAAACGCAATGGCACATCGTCCACTTCGGTATTCACAAACGAAGCCAAATTGAGCGAGGGAATACCATCAAGACTCAAACCCTCCTTCATGTACTTGTAGACCAATTCTCCATCGGTGGAGTGTTTTGGGATCTCGTACTTGGGCACAGGTTCATTAGAGTAGTAACTGGAAATGTACTGTTCGTGGTGGTTGAGCACGGTCTTCTTTGCTTTCGCAAGAAGCTGCGATTCCAACTTCAGTGAGTCCACATGGTGAGAGAGAGTCATGGTGAGGCGATTGAGATGAATTGAAGTATTTAGTAAAGGACGAACAAGGAATTCTTTTTTTTTGACTTCTTTTTGTACTTTTCAATTCAGGATATCAAATGGTCTGGATTCAAGAAATAATGAACAAATTGGCCGTGCACGGGTCCCTCCTTATATAGGATTGAAGGAAAGTCACACAGCAATCAACAACGCAACATTGCTACAGTATGCTAGTCTGCTGAAGTTTGGGAAATGGTCCATATTTTAAGTAGTGGATAATTTAGTTAATTTAGACAATGTCGGAGGGCCAATTGGCCTAGCGATCGAAGGAAGGTGATCTGCGTTGGAACCATTGAAGGTAGAAATTGATGCCAAGGTTTCTTGAAGCATGGAATCTGCAGTGCGAGATAATTAGTATTTTCCGGGGAAGCCGGCACAGCGCCAACTACAGAGCAAGGAGGACGAGAAAGAGGGTTAGAAGAATAGAGCAATGGAATGGAGGATTCAGGAAGGTTAAGGGATGAAACATGGAAAATAAAGAAATGAAAAAATTGAAAAGAAAAAAAAATTTATAAAAAAGAAGAATAGAAAAAACTTCAAAAAGAAAAGCACGTCAATGAAACCAATACCGTGTGAAAGTGAGGAGCGAAAATGAAAATGGTGCAATGTGAGACGACATTATGAGATGAGAGCACAATGGTAGATCAGCATAGAACATCACAAGGAATTTATGACAAGGGACCAAGAAAAGGAAACATGAAATCGGAAAAGAAGCAATCGACTATAAGAATTGAATTGAAGTTTTGAAATTATGGCTGGTTAACTATCGAATTACAGTTGACTGAAGATCCGTCGAAATTGAAACTCACGCATTTGCGAATGTACCAACTATTTCCTTCCATCTGAACTTTTGCCTGTACCGACGAATCTCAAATTGTCGATCATGAGAATTTCGACAATCCAGAATGGTAATACCGAGAGCTACGTGAATCCTCCAGCCTTGTCCTATTTCAAAATACTTGGCTCCGCCATCAATAAAGACCCGAATTTCATGATTTACCAAATATCAAAACCGTTGCTTTATAAGCCTCATATTCTCCTGAGACATCCTCTACATCGAGGCTACAATTACCATCCAGACTACAACCAATGCCAACATTTATCAATACCAACAAATCTAATAAAAACACTACATCCACCTTTGAAATCACTAAAGAAACCACGAAACTAGTTCAATCAAGCAAGAGAACATGCTCCTGCATTGTCGATGTAGGAAGATCAATTCTTTGGAAATGGCCCAATTAAGCCTTATTTCCAGACTTCTTTCCGAGACCTTTACAATACTCAGAACCCCACTACCCAATCCTAAATCATCATGAACTCTCTTCACGTCTTTAAACACGTCCACAAATGAAGTACAACATTAATTGGCCGCCCTAATCGTGGAAACGGTGCAAAGTCCTGGATTCGGCCAACAAATCCTGGATCTGGACTAAAATGTCCTGAATAATCAGTTGTCCTGGATGGAACTGTGCCAGATGGTAGATAGCTGTGGGTAATTTTTCCGTGCGCGATGAGGCTTTCAATTATCTATCGCTAGTAGAGCCATCCTAAAAGGATAAATGTTCATTTTTCGAAAGCATTTTCAAAGCGTTTGCAAGTGAAAGAAATCTCGTCTATTAATAAAAGTAAATTTCAACCTATATCACCCAACAACGGAATCTTCCACCCCTTTTCGTATCCTTTCAAGCCTCGCGATCGTCCTGTATTCAATATGGTTTTCGCACACCAGAACACGTACATGTACCGCTTCCCAATATTTTGCTTACTGACAACCAACCACCTCTTCTTCCTGCCTTTCACCAGTGCATGGGAATTATTCTGTTCTATCTTATTGGACAAACAATCTACTTGATAAAGAAAAAAATGGAAAAGTCTGGTTATACCGCCGTCGGCGGCGCTTCGTCGTCCATCGCCAACTCGGGCCCAGTGTCTATCTTGTGTTACTGTGCTTCGTCCATCTTGATGACCGTCACTAACAAGTACGTGCTTTCCGGTGACTTCAAGTTGAACTTCTTCCTCTTGGCCGTGCAGGCCACCACCTGTATTGTTGTCATTGGTACCTTGAAGGCCGCCAACGTCATCACCTACAGACAGTTCAACACCGAGGAAGCCAAGAAGTGGTTCCCAATTGCTTTGCTCCTTGTGGCCATGATCTATACTTCCTCCAAGGCTATCGCCTACTTGTCCATCCCTGTCTACACCATCTTCAAGAACTTGACCATCATCTTGATTGCTTACGGTGAAGTGTTGTGGTTTGGTGGTAAGGTCACCACTATGGCCTTGGGTTCCTTCATTTTGATGGTGCTTTCCTCCGTCATTGCTTGTTATGGTGACACCTCTGATTCCAAGACCGCTGCCGACATGCAATCTTTGTACTTTGGCTACATCTGGATGTTCACCAACTGTTTTGCCTCGGCTGCTTTTGTCTTGTTCATGAGAATCAGAATCAAGTTGACCAACTTCAAGGACTTCGACACCATGTACTACAACAACTTGTTGTCCATTCCTGTGTTGTTGTTGTGCTCGTTTATCTTCGAGGACTGGTCTGCTGAGAGCATTGCCCTCAACTTCCCTGAGGACACTAGAAGATCTATCATCATCTCCATGATCGTGTCTGGTGCAACCTCCGTTTGTATCTCCTACTGTTCTGCTTGGTGTGTGAGAGTCACCTCCTCTACGACCTACTCCATGGTTGGTGCTTTGAACAAGTTGCCAATTGCTTTGTCCGGTTTGATTTTCTTCGATGCTGCCGTCAACTTCTGGTCCGTTACATCCATCTTTGTCGGTTTCGTCTCTGGTTTGGTTTACGCCGTTGCCAAGCAGAAGCAGCTGAAGGAGGCTGCTCAGCAGTTACCAACCAAGTAAGTGATTGGTCAGTTAGGTTTCTGCGATCTCATCAACATCTTCAACTGATCTTGGTGCAAAAACTTTGAGCTGTTAAGCAAAGTCAATCCAGTATTTCCCTCCATTTATCTGCTTCTCTTATTATTGCCTATATAGGTTTATAGATTATTAATCGAATCGTGGATGTTATATCATATTTATCCCATTGAATGTTACTTATAGTGCACGACCTGTATGAAGCATCGAGCAAGTAGTTGATGTGGAAAAAATACATACTAATCATACCCTACCCGATCACCAACTTGAAATCCGCTGAAAATGGCTGAAAACTCGTTGGAGTCGATCCCATTGTACTTGAAAGAGTCGCTTGATCCACGAAATGCTAAGCGTGCAGAGGCTCAGTTGAAATCCATCGAGACTCAACCTCATTTCGCCATAAACTTGTTACATGTAGTGGCATCTACAAACGTGGAGCCCTCCGTCAGGCTCGCAGGTGCCTTGTTCTTGAAGAATCTAATCAGACGCAAGTGGGTTAACGAAGACGGCGAGTACTTGCTCTTCCTAGATGACGTGGAATACATTAAAAGAGAGATCTTGAATGTGATGATCAAGTTACCCAACAATTTGCAAGTGCAATTGGGGGAGTGCATTTCCATCATTGCAGAGCTGGACTTCCCTCATAAGTGGGAGAACTTGATTGATGATCTTGTGGCCAAGTTGTCTGCCGACGACTTTGTATTGAACAAAGGTATCTTGTTGGTTGCACACTCCATATTCAAGAAGTGGAGACCGCTCTTCCGCTCCGATGAGCTATTCTTAGAGATTAAGATGGTCTTGGACAAGTTTGCATCTCCATTTTTGTCCATGTTGGCCAAAACTGACGAGCTCATCACAGAAGCTACTGCAAAGAATGACTCGGCATCCCTCGCTATATATATGGAATGCCTATTGCTTGAGGTTCAGATCTATTACGATTTGAACTGTCAGGATATTCCGGAATTCTTCGAGGATAACATGACAACTGGTATGGGAATTATGCACAAGTATTTGAATTATCAGACCAATTTGATTGGCGATGCGGACGATGACGAAGACATTGATGCTCTCATCAAGACCAAAACGGCCATTATTGAATTGATCTCCTTGTACACAACAAGATACGCCGAGGAGTTTGACCCGATGATTCAGGATTTCATTACGTCTGTATGGCAGACCGTGAATTCCTACGTGACTAAGCAACCAAAATTTGACTTGCTTGCAGTGAAAGCATTGTCGTTCTTGACTTCTATCACCAAAGTGGCCAAGTATAAATCCTTTTTCGACAATGAAGCTGCAATCAAAGAGATCATCGAAAAGATCATTTTGCCCAACATAGCATTCAGGGAGGTAGACGAGGAAACATTTGAGGACGAGCCCATTACATTTGTCAGATCTGATTTGGAGGGTTCAGACTTCGACTCGAGACGTAAGTCTTCCACTGACTTCTTGAGAGAGTTGAAGGAAGTTAATACTGAGTTGTTGACCAACACGGTCATGACATATGTTAATCAATTCTTGTCGCATTCTGACTGGAGAAACAGAGACATTGCCATTTACTTGTTTACGTCGTTGGCCGCTAAGGGTTCTGTGACCAATATTGGTGTCACCTCCACCAACATGTTGGTTGATGTGGTTCAGTTTTTTACCAACAATATTGCTTCGTACTTGGTGGAAGATGCATCTCCGATCTTGAAAGCAGATGCAATCAAGTACATCATGACCTTCAGAAACCAGCTCACAAAGGACCAGCTTGTCACCACCATCCCATTACTTATTAACCACTTGAAGATGGAGAATGTTGTGGTGCATACGTTTGCAGCCATTACTCTTGACAAGTTATTTTCGATGACCAGTTTCGCAAACTCTAAGCATTCACGTATCTTCGACAAGCATGACATTCAGCCTTATATTAATGATCTTTTGAATAGTTTATTTGTGCTTATTTTGAAGAACAGTGCCCCTGAGAAGTTGTCCGAAAATGAGTTCTTGATGAAGACTGCCATGATAGTTCTCACAACGGCTGAAGATGCTGTGGATGAAAACTTCAAAATTAAGATTATCGAGCAGTTACTTAACATTTTGGCTATCATCGCCAAGAATCCTTCGAACCCAAGATTCACCCATTACACATTTGAGTGCTTGGGTCTCCTAATAAAATCTGGTTCAGGAAAAGGTACCAAGGATGCAGAAAACATCTCCAAGTACATCAGTGTCATCATGCCTTCGCTATTGCAAATTCTTAGCGAAGACGTTCAGGAGTTTGTTCCCTACACCCTCCAGATCTTAGCATACTTGCTCGAGAACTTGCCAAAGTCCCAACCAATGCCCGAACAATACTCCAGTCTCGTCAAGCCTCTCATGTCTCCAGTTGTGTGGGAGTTCAGAGGAAACATTCCTGGGTTGACGAGACTTCTCATTGCTATAATGACTCATGACCCAGCTCCTTTTGGCACAAGTCCACAGGAGCTCACTCCGTTGTTGGGAGTGTTCCAGAAATTAATTGCATCCCGAGCCAACGATGTATATGGCTTTGACTTGTTGCAAGCCATTTTGTTGAATATCCCACTCACCTTGATGTCAAATTACTTGAACCAGATTGCTGTGTTGTTGTTGACTAGGTTGAAGACCTCGAGAACCGAAAAGTTCATTAAGAAGTTCGTCGTATTTCTCATGTCTTTATGTTGCATTCCTTTGAACGAAGAGCTTTCTTCCAAGTGTGGTGGTCACATCAATGGCGAGTTTGTCATCACATTCATTGATTCCGTTCAGCAAGGGGTTTTCCAACAAATCTTCACCAGTTTTGTTTTACCTACATCGGAGGGTTTTGCCAACTTGCAAGATAAGAAACTCACTGCATTGGGTCTTTCCCAATTGGTCTTGTCTCCGTCGTTCACCGAGGGTAATTACAAGGTTCTTCTTGTGCCAACCATTGAACAATTGGCCAAGAATTTAACCCTTTTGCAGGGTATTTCTAAGGCCACTAGTACCGTGAACAACACCATCACGGGTGACTCCAATACCACCAGTGTAGCTATCAATGAGTTAGACTTGGAAAGTGCGCTGTATGGATCGTCTTTCTCGAGACTTGTGTCGATTCAATTAAGAGCATTTGATCCAGTTCCCCAGGTGAGCAATGAAGATTTCAAGTCCATCAAGTATGGAGCAGTGAGCAGTATCCAGAAGCTTGCACCACTTGGAGTTTTGAACGGGCTCAGTGACGACGCCAAGGGGGTCATTTCTACATAAACTAAATAATGTGTCGTAACCGTCAACTTTTATTGCTTAAATACAAGAAGTCTAGAAGTGAAATACCGTGCCAACCCCAGAAAATGCGCCAGTGTTAAATTTATTATCGCACTAAGTGCAATAAGCCTAACTCCGCTCAGTTAGGTTCATTAATGAGGTTCAGGAACATTTCTGAAGGCTCCTTTGGCACTGCTGAACGGGTTTCCGTGGCAGGCGACTGGTGGCTCGAGTCCGTTGCCGACTGGCTGGCTGTAGGCGATGCCTGTTTATTAATAGACTCGGAACCGTCCTTTGGCTCGTCGTTCTCCATTTCCTTCAATTTATCGAGTCTTTCCTTCTCGGCGATCTCTGCAGCAGTTAAGAAACGACCACCCTGGCCACGTGGTCTTCTCATGGCGTGCTTGTGGCGAGACTCGTGCAAATAAGGCTTCCTGGTCCGGGCAATCTTCAATGTCTCCTCCAACTTGGCTCGAGCGATTCTACGCTTCAAGATCCGGTGATACTGTTTGGCATTAACATAGAATGGCTGCTCTGCGGGCTGCTCCATAGGCGGCTGAGGAGGAAGATGTGGTTGTGCGGGCGTGGCAGTCTCAGGTAACGATTCTTGTTGGTAGTAACCATTGTTGGGGGAGTCGTTTGCTTCATAAGTAGCGCCCGAGGCATCGGAATGGTAGTAGGGCAGTCTGGTGTGCAGTTCTAGCTGGTTGTGGATGATCTGCTGGGGTACCTGGCCATTATAGTAGGTGGCCGGTTGCTCCTGGTAGTAAGTCGAGGGCTCCTGGTGGTGCAAGGACGTCATGGTGGAAATCAGTGGACGGGAGTAGCTTGACTATAGATGTTTTTATGTAACGAAAAAAATGCGACTTGCACGCTATTCTGACTCTTTAACTATGCAAGGTGTGCCGAAACCGGGGCTCCATCTTTCCGATCTCGGTTCTCTAGACAGGCAACGACGATGGGGGTTTGAATTCTGGAGTATTTTCGAATGTTTTATGATGCGTATTTTTTGGTATAATCCGGAGTTTTTTCCTTGTTGATGGGGTGTATATATTTTAGGAGAGTAGTAACTCCGAAGGTTGAATATTCAACGCATTGAAAGAAAAAATGTGACCAAGACTTGAGGAAGATCATTAAGGAGACAAGGTTCATAATTTTACATGAATAGCGAGTGGTTCTTGGGATTACGGCTTTAACTTTGGATTACGTGGTAATTTTTTTTTGTTGTTGTTCATTCCTCCTTCTTTATTTTTCTTTGTTGTGTAGTTCTCTAGTAACTCCCATTGTTTCGTGGGTATCACTCATCAGTCGATTGACTCTCGGAGATAGAAGTTCAGTGACATTTGCTGTGAATCTTCTGACATCAAACTGTATCGAATGAGACATTCAATTTCAAGAATTACACATTCAACAATTCATAATTTTTTTTTGTTTTCCCTCTCATCCTCATCATCTTTTCTTCTTTCTCCTTATTATTACTACGACAACCTGTTTGGTCGATTGCGAAATCTGGATGTTAAATCTATTCTCGGCCTAAATGTCCCGATAAGTGTTCACATCCGGGTCTTGAGCCTTTTTCTTTTTCAACCTCGTGACCTAATCTTGTTTCTTGTGGTGGATAGCTTCTCCGTGTCTCTTATCTCAGAGTGTTTTCCGTCTTTATCTTCAGGACATTTCTACTTATCTACTCATCTTCTCCAACATTCCCTAATCAATACATTCAGCTCCTGGCTCTATGTCCCCGTACCTGCGACATCAAGTTGTTGTGCTATCCTACTCTTGATGTCATTTTTCTTTTCTCCACTTTGTGTGGTCTTCGATGTACTCTCGTCTTCATATCGATCGTCCACGCAATCTTGTTGCATGGCTATTCTCTCCAAAAAGTAGTTTCTTCCTTTCTTTTCCGGCTTGGATATTCGGCCCGCCACAGAATGCCGCCGCCCTGGTGACTGATAATCGTCATCATCTGTGTGAATTACACTGGGATAGCTCTCCATGTATGGCCGTAGAGGTTTGGGCAGTGGTACCATTCTGACCTCCAGCTTTGGAGAAAATGTCTCCACGATCTCTTCCAGCAACTCTGCCTCCTTATGAAGCTCCACTACATGGTCTGGCCATGTACATATTAGCCCGTTGGCTTTGCAGTTCTTGCAATCTGGGTAGAGCGACTCGTCGCACTTCTTTTTCCTCCGTCGACAGGTAAAGCACCCGTTTCGAGAGCGGGTTTTGACTTCCATTCTATAGCTTCGGCTCCCTCTCCACGCTAGCTACGCCCTGATTCTTGATTTTCAAGCAAAGAATAAGTGGGAGGAGAAGTTTTTATGTTTATCCCAATTAGGCAAGTGGGAACCGCGCTTAATTTTACTGGTCCCGATTACTTGCACGCCCGTAGCACGGCACCATCAATTTGCACTTAGGCAATTTCAGTGATGAATTGAATGCCTCTGAATGGGTTCAGGGTATAATCAATACTTTGATGGACTAATTAATTTACTATGGCTGCAATGCTAATTTAACACCCACAATGTGTGCAGGTTGTTCCCAGTAGATATTCATTGAAGTGGATCTTAAGAACGAGAATTTGTCGAGGAGAAGACGCAATAAGTTGATCTTGTAAGTTGGTGCATGTATGTGTTTTTGGTGATTGAATTGTGTCTCAATAAATGAATATTCTCACATTTAAGACCAAATGGTTTCCATCCCGCGAAATGCCATCAGTGGAGTCTTGCGAGGAAAGTAATTAGCAGATGTTGGGAAAGATGAAAAAAAAAACATAAAAGAAGTAGTTGTAACCTATTGATTAATACAACCAATGTAATATTCAGCAAATTAGGTCGAGACAAACCTGAAATGTATTTTACAACCGTTGGTACATGCTTCCATCAATGAAATCGTATAGTTAAACTTCTGACTCCCCAGTTCTCCCCTACAATGTTGATCACTGTTCTCAAACATGGAACGACATTTCAAAAGTCTCCATGCTTTACAAATTACCATCTACTACCAATTTAACATGGATTACTACCGAATTTTCACTTTACAAGGAATTCATGGATGGTTGTCCTACACCGCGAATCGTCCACGTAGACTGCACCTTCACCATCAAGTCAACTTCTTATATCGACATGATTTCATCTCGAAAGAGCATAACGCTGGCACTGAGCTCAAGCTCCTTCGTATCCTTGAACAGTAAGCCTCGCTCGCGACTGGAATCGAAAACCCATGTGGTTGACTTCTCTGTGGACGAAATCTTTGTCCAGTACTCAATTCCGCAGATTCAACGACTTCAACAGGAATATAAAGCCAACTTCGTCAAGTCCAAGGATGACTTGCACCATTTGGTCGGCAGAAAATATCGTGACTTGATCCGAATTGCCGAAGACATCGAAGAATTGAGCACACTGTCCCGCCAGATCGACTCGCAGTTGACAGACTTGTCATATAAGTCTCCCAATTATGTGGAATTCGGAAAGAACAGGTTCAGTAGCTTCAACTCACTCGTTAGAAAGAAGAAAGCATCCACGTCTCGAATCACCTCGCATAAGACCATATTGAACAATGTTATCAACAACAAACTCATAGGCTATGATCTCAGACTCCAAACTGATTCCATTAAGAGAGCCTCCACCTTGGTTGATGTGGCAAAGCTATACTATACTATAGGGACGTCTTTCAAACGCACACTTAAGGAGAACCCCCACGTGAGCGGCAACTTGTACCAATTGAAGAACAATTTCATTCGCTACTTGGAATCTAAAATCTCGTCGTACTCAACACCTTCGATGGACTTCGTCCAGGGAGGACTCAACAAAGACGAATTTTTTGTGGCTAATGTGAAATTTGCGTTGGCTGAAGGTGAAAGCTTTGATCTAATTACGGGCAATTTCGATGACGAAGCCCAGGAAGTATCTGACGAAGAAGACTTCGAAGCTTCCGAAACTGCCTATCGTGGTTCACCCTATCCCATTGTTAATTACTTGATTGCATACATCATTGTCAATCATGATGACCCTAAGCTTGACACTTTGGAGAAGATTACCGCAAAGTTCATAGATTTGAGGTATGACTATCTTGAGTCTTTTGTTTCCCTGGCACTTGAATCTGGCGTTCTTAAGGACAGAGCAATAAACTTTACCATGATCTTTCAGTTTATTGAGGCAACTTGTGGATATTTGCAGAAGTTCTTTTTATCCAGCGATGGTGTTTCCAACGATCTCCAAACTCAACTTCAATACATTGTGACTTGGAACACTTCTGATTTGATTGGTTTCCACAACTGGTTTGAGGAAGAGTCTGTGGCATTTAATAAGTTTTCTTACCAAATGCTTAGCTCGGAGGTGATAGAAAGTATTCAAAGTAGGCTTTCCAAATTTGGAAATTTTGTTTACCAGCTTGGGTCCAAGCTCGTGTCTGAGACAAATCATGGAACAGTTTCCCAAAATGCCACCAATGTTTTGAACCTATTCTACATGTTTGCTTATGAGCTTCGAAAATGTGAAGTGGTTTTCTTATCCAATTCCTCTGTGTGTTATTTAACCAAGCTTCTTTCAGAGGAGAATGTTGTTAGTAAGCTTCTTCATGATGTGGTGTTATCATTTGAATCTAACTTTGCTGCTCACCTCGACTCTTTAACTAAGTCCGAAAATTCAATCATGAGCCACATTGTGACTGAGTTTGGAACACAATCAGCATTATCATCAGCCGCTGAACTCTTCACACCCGATTTTGTCAATATGATTGACGTGGATGTGGATCTTTATTTTGAATCTGTTCTTGAAATTTCCTCAGCTTCAAATCCAGTTTCAGAATTGGAGACGGCTAGAAACTCATTACAAGAGCTCAAACATTGGTTCTACGTGCTTGAGGAATTGCTTGAGGCAACCAAAATGTCAGCTGACAACAATTTGGCAACGATCTCGCGTATATTAAAGAAAGAGTTTAGAGAAGTGGAAGGAGTGACGAAAACATGGGGGCAATTCAGCTCTGATACATTCCAGTCTTCATTTTCCGCCCTACACAAGAAACAAATTGACTCAAGCAGATCTGAAATCGAGTCTCTTATTGAAAAGATTTCCTCTACATTGGACGGTTCCACTCCTGGTGCTGGAAGTTTACAATTCCTTCTCAATTTGCTTATTATTCTTAAGGATAATGTTGTTGCTGTTGGGGAACACCCAGAAGTTGCTACCCTTGACGATCAAATTTCAAAACAAGTTTTGACCATCTACAAGCAGATCTTTTCCGAAATTCTTTCCATAGAACCGGAGGGCAGCCAAGATTCGTTCAGATCACTTCTTCAAGACTCTCTTGCTCTCGTTTCAAATCTAGATTCATCCACAGTACCAGTGAGACCACATTTGGCAGTTCATTCCACTGTGTTTGAGCTTGCTTACAATTTACTTAAGTCTCCGAGATTTCGGCAGCATGAAATGTGCAATATGTACACTGACACTGGAGTCAAAGAATACTTTGTCCTGGTGAAGAACGAATGGATCAAGAGCGATCTCATTGCTACTCTCCTAATCACTTCATCTGAGAAACCTAGCACTCTTGATCAGGATATTACGTCGGCTGAATCTCTCGAGAGTGTAGCAGATGCAGATGTTGAGACGGAGTTTGAATCTCAAGTATCAGTCCAAGGGAAAGGAACAGAGATTGAAGTGCCTGTCCACGAGGAGACCACTGACAATGGGAACATGGACGACGGATGGACACAAGAAGAAGATGGATGGGCACACGGAGAAGATGGATGGGCACAAGAAGATGAATGGCCAGATGAGAAGTCGAATGGTCACACTGAAGAGCAACCGCAGGAAGAGATAGAATCCGAACCTGCTGACACCGAGAGAGCTAGTGAGACGACTACAGAAGCAACAAGTGCTGACAACGAAACCGTGGATGAATGCATTTCAGAGTCCGTCGAGAAGACAACAGAGAAAGTTCCGTCAACTTCCCAAGCATCCAATGAACGTGCCAGACAAGCATTGGCAAATGCCGTTTTCCTTCTTAACTTGACGAGCGACGAGAACATTGATGCCTCGGATGCATGCCTCAAGAACCTCGTCTCATCTCTTGAAAATAACTTCGGAGTCGAGCTTGAACACTCCACGGTTGCAATCATTGTAAGAGGAGTCAATGAGTTCTACAAAGCGAACAAGGAGATGTACTTGCCTTTGCTGGTGAACTAAAATGCATTCTATAATACATAACCCTATGAATTAGTACAAGTAAATTTTTGAGCCAGCCTCAGTCAACTCCTTCAATGTCTCGGTTGTCTCTTTGATGTCCCAGACATTCTGCAACTTCTGGTCCAAGTAAGTATTGTCAATAAGAACGATCTTAATCTCATCCTTCTTCAAGGGCTGCTCTTCGTCCCCAAGTACCTTCAAAAGACGACCAGGAGTGCAGCACAACACTCTTGACCAGGTAGACTTTACCAATTTCAAATCTACATGCAATTTGTTCTTATTGATGAGCTTCAACGATGATCCTGGAATGTCCCGAAGTGCACGGTGAACATCGCATGCTCGAATGGCAGACATAGACAAGATGGCAATAAACTTTCTCTCTTCATTACCTGTTGGCTCCTTAGCCTCTTCGTGCTTCTTTTTCTCCTTTTTCTTCTTGCCTTTGTTGGTATTCTTCTTACCTGGAGTACTTGACGGAAGCATGTTCTTGAATCTTGCCTCGATGAACTTGGAGAAGTTGTCCAAGGTTCTGGGCTCTTCAAACTCTGCCGAAGATCTAAAATCTGTCTTTTTCAAGTATTTGGCAGCCAACTCCAATGCTGAAAGATCTGGGTTCTTCTTTCTAATGTTATCATTCACGAAATCGGCAATGGCCTCTGCAGACGTTTCCTTGGACAAGTTTTTCTTGTGTTCCATATCCATATCCATTCTCAACTTTTTTTTTTCTTTGAGCTTATCGGTCTTCTTTCTCTTCTTTGGGTTTTCTTCATCTTCATGCTCATCTCCACTCAAGTCTGCACCGTTCTGGAATTGGGAATCACTTTCCACATCCACACCTTCATCATTGGAAAGTTCCACGTCATACGCTAAGCCATCATCCAAATCGTCACCTCCGTTCATTGTATATTTCTGTCTGTAGGTGATTTGCACTAGAAGTACTTAAAACTTTCTGCAATGCGCATTGCGATGAGACTAAAATCTTCAGCATATAACCTACATCTACATTACTAAATGTTTGTTCGATCGCAGGGAAGTCGGTGGCTCCGACAAAAACGATCCATTTCCATTAATGCTGAGCTCTCATTAAAGCTTCAAGCTGCTCCTTTTCATCCAGTTATTGTGATCGGTGGTGGCCATGCTGGATGTGAGGCAGCTACTGGATCAGCTAGATCTGGAACTAAGACTACACTCATTACTCCTCATATTGATAAAATTGGAACAGCCTCTTGCAACCCATCTATGGGAGGTGTGGGAAAAGGCACGCTATTGAGAGAGGTCGATGCTTTGGATGGTGTGGCCCCTAAGGTTACTGACAAGGCAGGAATTCACTTCAAGATATTGAACGCCTCGAAAGGAGCTGCCGTGCAAGGCCCTCGAGCACAGATTGATAGGGCAATCTACTTGAAAGAAATGCAGAAGGTAATTCTCAACTATCCATGTTTAGATGTTTTGGAGGCACTGGTGGAAGATATCATTATTGCTCCCACAAATGCCCCAAAAGACTTTGAAGATAGAAATTATGGAGTAGTAAAAGGTGTGATTTTGGGAGATGGTTCGGTGCTTCTGTGTGACAAGGTAGTCATAACAACAGGAACGTTTTTGGGAGGAGAAATTCACATTGGATTGACTGCTTATCCTTCTGGAAGAATTGGAGAGCAGGCAACATTTGGTCTTTCTAAAACGCTCAATGACGCAGGTTTCCGACTTGGGAGGCTTAAAACAGGTACTCCGCCACGTCTTCTGGCCAAGACGATCGATTACAGAAGGTTGCAGCCCCAACCCTCTGATTATCCTCCTCAGCCCATGTCTTACATGAATGAGAATGTGAGCTTACAAGAACAATTGGTTGAATGTCACCAGACTAATACAACAGCTGAATTCCATGACATGATCAGCGCAAATCTCGACAAGTCGATTCACATAAGAGAAACCGTCAAAGGCCCACGTTACTGTCCTTCTATTGAGTCTAAAGTGATAAAATTCCCTCACAAAACCTCACATGTTGTGTGGTTGGAGCCTGAAGGCTTGGACACAGACTATGTTTATCCAAACGGTATTTCGTGTACCATGCCTGAAGAGATTCAGTATCAGCTTGTGAGAATGATGCCTGGTTGCGAGAATGTCACCATGTTGCAACCAGGATATGGAGTGGAATATGATTACGTTGATCCTCGCGAGTTGAAGCGTACGCTTGAAACCAAGCTTGTTGATGGGTTGTATTTGGCTGGACAGATCAATGGAACTACTGGGTATGAAGAGGCTGCTGCCCAAGGATGTATTGCTGGAATTAATGCTGGACTTGCACACTTGAAGAAACCAGCATTCGAGTTCCAGCGGTCTGACGGTTACACTGGTGTTCTCATCGATGATTTGATCACCAAGGGAGTCGAGGAACCTTACAGAATGTTCACTTCGAGATCAGAGTTCCGCTTTTCCATCAGGTCTGACAATGCAGACAAGAGATTGACCGCTAGAGGATATGAGTTAGGTGTTGTTGGAGAAGAGAGATATCAACATTTTCTTAGCGAACTCAACCAGTTCAATGCCATCAAGGAACATTTGAAGTCGATTTCTATGTCCGGTGCAAGATGGGCTCCAACCTTAAAAGGTAGTCACCAGGTGAACAAGACGACTGTTGTAGACGGCTGGAAGTTGCTCTCTTACAAGGACATGTACTTGCGAGACATAGTTCCTCACTTGGAAAAAATTACTGGTGAACCACTTCCTGCCGTGTATTCAGAAATGTCCCGGTGGCTTCAAGAACGTGTGGATGTCGAGACCACTTACGAGCCTTGGCTCAAAAAGGAAGAAGCACATTTGAGAGCCTTCGAAGCAGACGAAAGCTTGTTATTGCCTACCAACTACACTTACTCTAACGAGGGCAAAGTTAAAATATCTTATGAGGTGTGCCACCTTCTCAACACAATTCAGCCGAAGACAATTGGTCAGGCTAGAAGAATTCAAGGAGTGACACCAGCAGCAATTTTCGAATTGTTCAAATTGGTCAAGGACAAACAAGTTCAGATTGCTTCTGAACAGGCTTCAATTTAAGAGAACAAATGTGATCATTTTCTACATCATGTGAAACATGCAAATAGTGTTTAAGGGCTTGTATATATATGCTAATGCAAATCAGGAGAAATTAAGAAGTTACTCCCATTCGTAGTCTGTCTGATTGTCATCCGACTTAAGTGAGTCCGATTCCTGAGGGGCCTCGTTGATGGGGAATGAATAGATCAGCTCGTTGGAATCGCCTTGGGCCGTTTCTCGCTGAATTCGCAAACGTCTATTGGCGGATTCTTGAAGACTATTGTCCAATGAAACGAGCAACTCCAAAGGGAAAACTGACTGTGCGAGTATTGAAATGTTGTCTATCGTACTTCTAGACGGACCGTGTGATCTGATACGATTGAGATAGAGCACGGCGTCTTGAATGTTAATCTGGGAGGAGTTTCTGTGTCCAGCATAGGCCCCTAAGTCCAGCATAACTTGTTGCAAGAATTCATTTGATTTCGAGGTGATGGATTGCATCAATGACGGAGGGATTCTGGTGTTTTTGGGCCTCTTTCTTGGTGGACTCTGGCTGCTGCCAAGGGTAGGAACGTGCAGAGCCACCGAAACTATGCCACGAACTAGAGATTTAGGGAGAGCACCGCTTTCTTGAGTTGGCACTTTCCTCTTAGGAGCCAACGATGGACCCAAAGATGGTTTTGAGATCTCACTGGGATCTCTGCTTTCCTCAGAAAACAGGGGAGGTGTATGCGATTCTTCTTCTTCATTCACGGAGAGGCTGGGAGCAAGATAGAAATCGTGATCCTGAATTTCCTCGTTATCTATAGTGAAATGGCCCAGGATGAGACCATCGGTAGAGCTATCAGAGACCCCAATGTCATCATTGTCTTTGGTTTCGTTATCGAATGGACCTGTGACTAAGTTTGGAGTGACTAATTTTGAAGGTTCAAACAGTACAGACTCCCATCTGGGAATGTCCAGCTGATTGATTTCACCCAGCGGCAAATCAGCGTAGGTATTAGGAGTGACAATAGCATCATCCAAGAATGAGCTTCGTCTTACTGACTGAGCTGGGACAGAGCTAACAGCAGAGCCTCTGTTTTCCTTCTCGCTGGAATCGTTCGAGTCCGAAATGTCACTCAAGTTGCCAAAAGCGACAGGCTCAGCAAGTCGCAAGTCCAGAGTGAGCATATCATACTCACTTGAATATTCTGGAAGTCCTGATAGAGTATTCTCGATGACAAACTTCGATGTGTTGATAACAGCGTTGACTCCGTGGTTTGTCAATTCCCGTGGAGAGTCGCTATCGAACATCGACAGAAGCTGAATTTGATTTCTGTTCTTACTATCGAGGATCCGTTCAAGATATGACTTGAATAAAGGCTTTGCTTCAGGAATGTCATGTTGTGACGCTTCTCGTAGAGTTTCCGTCGGTTGTGAGTTTGGAGTCATCATCACATCATCGGAGGGAAGTGGAAGTGAGTAATCAAACTCGTTTATCAATTCGGCTGGGCTTGTCAGTTGTCGACGGTGCTGCTCATCTAGAGCCTTGTACACCTCCTCCTCAGTAGAGCCTTCCTCGTTTTCCTGAAGCAAAGCACGAGAAAACGCTCTTAGAAAGCCCTTTGTCACAGGACCAACGTATCCAGAGTCATAGTATATGCCTGTGGATGAGCGCTTCCTTCGTCTAATTGTCAAATTGTCGCTCAATCGACGTGGATTGGATCCTTGAATAGTTGGCCGGACTTTTCCATTAGAATTTCTTCTTGAACTCGCTCCGGACCTTCGGCTGGGTGGTCTCTCACGTGTGATACTGCTCCGTCGCAGCGACATCCCGCTTAGCACTTGCAGAAGCTCCTGTGGAGGTAGATGGATGCCAGAGATTCGTGACCTTAATGGAGCCGAGTAGTTGGCCAGGGTGGGGTTGGTAGTAATGATGTTGCGTAGCGGCGTTGACGGCTCGGTTTGCAGCCGTAACATATTCGCCGAAGGAGACGCCGGCAGCATGGTTTGCGAGGTGAATCCACGCCAAACAGTGTTTATATGATGCTTGTTTATGTATTGCGAGTCACGTCCTGTACTAGATGAGGAAGAGATGGGAGGGTAGGTGAGCAACACAGGATGGTGAAATTGTTCGAAATTATGCAAATTTCTGAGTACATTGAGGGTTTAGATTAGGAAGAATTACCGGAGTTTGATGAGTTTTTGATTGATTGAAAATTTTGCAACCTTATATTGATTCTTTATTGTGATGATTTCATGTGCTGAAGTTTTAGTTTCGCACCTTTCATGTGAGACTCCATACATTCGCGAATGTGAACATATCATATGAGCAATCATTGACTATTTAAATATATAAATCTATAGAAAGTAAATGTGAAATGACAGCCTAATATGAAATTCAAGGGTTCAAGATTATGATAAGAATGCATTCAAGAACTTTTCTAGATTCTGTTCTTTGCCATATGAAATGTTCTACACCAATACTTATCTACTAACTAGTCATGTTAAACCCATGCTATGTCCGACTAAGCACACTTTATGTCCGACTCCACAAATATTATATCCGAATACTTCCCACTCCACGGAAAAACAATCTATGGTTCAGAACCCAAAATCCGTACCATACCTAACGTAATTAGCCCCACCATTGATAGTGGCATCATTGCATCTTGCACGTTCACGCTGTAAGCTAGTGCGGGGACATTGTGACGGGTCTCTCTCTCTTGAGTATTGCTAATTGGCAAATTTTGAGGAAGAAGTAGGTGATTGAAACTGAAAAATATACACTCAGTCAATCTTTAGACTAATTTTCAGATGCATATTCTTCTGATCTTGCCATTATTCGCTTCCTGAATCCTTCATGGGAGACTTCCCAACTAGGTAATTATGAGTCCCTGATATTCCTCGGACACCACCATACAGGCCATTGTACAATTGTTGCAAAATGAGCGTGATGATAACATATAAAAGGAGCCATTCCCACCCAGATGGCCATTATAGAATAATTAATTCTTGCTCAAATGTCCACCGTCAAACTCACTAGAGAGTCGCACGTAGATGCTACCAAGTATAGAATCAAACATGCTGATGCTGTCAAGATCTTGGGACCCAATGTCCATTTTCCCATAGACGAGAAGAAACCGGTAATCTCGAGCGCCTCGGAGGTGGCAATCATCGGAGCAGGCTTTGGTGGTGTGACTGCCTCTTTGACATGCAAGCAAAAGATGAAAACTGACGATTTCGTGGTGTTCGAGAAGCACTATAACTGGGGTGGAACATGGTGGGCCAATACCTACCCAGGATGTGCCTCGGACATTCCAGCGTTGTGGTACTCCATCCACAGCGAGCTCAACAAAAACTGGAGTGACTTACGCCCGCCACAGTATGAGATGGAGGAGTATATCTTGGCTGTGACCCAGAAGCACGATTTGGACAAGCATGCAAGGTTTGGAACTGTTGTGTCCAAGATGGTTTGGAATGAAGATGAAGGTGTGTGGATTTTGCATGCCTCAAATGTCAAAACTGGCCAGAGCTTTGAGCACAGGGCCAAGATTCTCCTCAATTGTCAGGGTGGTTTGGTACAGCCTATTCAGTTGAATGCACCCGGTCTATACGATAAGTTCCAAGGTAGCTACATGCATTCAGCGGTGTGGGATCACAGCGTTGATTTTAAAGATAAGAAGGTTATTGTTGTTGGCAATGGTTGTTCGGCAGCACAGGTGATTCCAGCTGTGATGAACGAATTGGATGCCAAATCTGTCACTCAGGTGTTCAGATCCAAGCATTGGATTATGCCTCCACTTCCTCCTTTTGTTTTCAAGTTATACAAGTTGTTGTCAGGAACAAGACTTGGTTTGATCTTAATCAGATGGCTTGTTATCCTTGCAGCTGAATTGAGGTACCCAATGTATCAAGGTTCTGGCCTTTTCGCTCGCCTAGTTCGTTGGGTGGTCACCAGAGAATCCAGAAAATATATTTTGCTGGCTCCTAAAAAATACCATGACTTGTTGATGCCCGACTACAAGATTGGATGCAAGCGTCTTATTTACGACTACAAGTACATTCCTTCTTTATCGAGTCCGAAGTTTGACTTGCACGGCTCGCCTATCAAGGAGGTCTTGGAGAAGGAGGTAATTTTGCAAGATGGTACTCGCCTTGAGGCTGATATCATCGTTGCTTGCACTGGCTACGATGTTTCCAAGTCATTTTACGGCTCCTATACTGTAGTCGGCCAGAACGGCATCTTGCCTCAGGAATTGTGGAAGAAGGAGGGTGTCTCCGCTTATAAGACTTCCATGATTAGGGATTGTCCAAACATGTTCTTCATAGCAGGACCAAACTCTGCCACTGGCCACTTTTCGGTTGTTTCTGCTATTGAGAACTGCTGTGCATTTGCATCTCGCGTGGCTCGCCCCGTTCTTGATGGTAAGGCCAAGAGTGTTATTGTCAAACGCAGTGCCTATTACGACTGGTTCCAAAATACTCAGCTGCAATTGCAAAAAGCCGTTTTCGGAACTAAGTTCGGAGGTTGTGTTTCCTGGTACACCGAGGGCGGCATCAATGCCACAGCATACCCTTATTCGCAATTGTATTACTGGATTACTTCGAGATGGTTTGGATCGAAGGACTTGATTTATCAGCCACTTGATCTGAAGAAGACTGTGTGAGATATTAGGATAAAAGTTGGAGATGTTTTGAAGAATACAGGAGATGATTTGGAAGAGTAATATAGATTTGACTACACTGACAGGAGAATGTAAGAAGTAGAGTTTGCAACCGTGATGGCCCTCGCAGAATGCAATACGCCCTTCATAACTTTGCCACAAAAGTCCATGCTGTAATGATCAAATAAGGAGCCACGTCTACAATTATCTCGTAAAAGTATTTTATGCAAGGTTCTTTTCCTTTGTTCCTGTTTTGTCATGTTTAAGTGCACTGTTGACACCTCTGATTGCTGAGTAGCAATCTTGATGGAAGCACCTCCAAAATCACGGTTCACAATGAATATCGTACTCTCCAAATACATGAAAAATTCACCGGATCAATTACAATTGCCTAAATTAATTCTCTTAATTCTCTCCTTCTTCTTAATTGTCCATGATTATCCGACATAAGCCACATACAACAACTTGTTCCTCCAGAACATCCGCACATCTCTGTAGGAACAACTCTATTCTTTACTACTCCAGCAATGTCAGTCCCAGAGAATGGAGCCAGCCTTTTGACGGCATTGGCCGCAGGATGTTCCGCTTCGGGATTCTCAGCCTTCCTCACCTTCCCCTTGGACTTCTTGAAGACAAACCAGCAGCTCAGCAATAATGCAGGGCTAATGAAGTACCATGTCAATCAGAACATCTCCAGCATAAGTCACATCATGACCGGCTCGAGCGCATTGGTTGCTGGGGCCGTCATCAAGAACTTTGCTCGAATAGTATCTTACGATTGGGCGTCCAACTTCATGGCAATCGACAATCTGCTGGATAAGAAGAAAACCAGTGCTCCAAGAGTGGTGATTGCTGGGGCCATGTCGGGCTTCATGGAGACGATTTGGATAGTTCCCTTTGAGAGAATCAAGACCACCATGATCCAAAATAGACTTTTGGTAGCAGAGATTGCGGGAAATCCTGATAAGAATGTGGATATCACGGGTTCCAAGTTAGAGAAATCCCATAAACCAGTGGTTTTGTCGAAACACTATATTTCGCCTCACGCATATTACACCTCTGAGCTTATCAAACAGTTGAAAGCTGGTAAGGGACCTTCCAAGTTTCAACACCATCACTACCGTCATGCTCATCCTGGAGGTGTTGGAGGAGGCATCGATGCTTTGAAAGTGGAGTTCAACAAGACTCCAGCATTGACGCTTGTCAAGACAGCTCGCCAAATGTATGCCCTTGAAGGTATTCATGCATTTACAGCAGGTACTATGATCACGTTTGCTAGACAAATCGCAACCTCTGCTGCATGGTTTTCTACATACAATGCTACTCGCCAGTTAATTGACCCCCATGGGAAGTCCAAGGAACCCAGGTGGTTCTCACTCAATATCGGAACAATGCAACAAACCTTCTTGTACATCGTTTCAGCAGGTGCTGTCGTTGCATTGACCCAGCCGCTTGATGTGATCAAATCTCATATTCAGCTGAAAAACGGAAAGCTACTCTACAGGGACTCGCTTTCCACGGCATACAACCTTGTGGCCAAACGCGGAGTCATGCTGCTTTTCGCCGGTGCTCTTCCTCGTGGTTTCAAAATTGCGTTCCACGGCTCACTCACCGCGTTGATGTACGGTAATTTCGAGTCAGCCATCAATACGTTGGGTAATAAATCAGTGTTCACCGACTGATATCCCGGTCAACTTTCCAAATAGACAGGAATTAGTATCTCTCCACTTTTATGCTTCACGCCATTGAAGTTCTTGGCTAGAAGTCCTCCAGCATGGCTTGGTTGACTGAATGCAACTTCTTGAGGCTTCAATGGCATGCCAAATACAGAATGCTTAATTACAACTTGTAAAAGGTGGTTTGCGAGACCGTATCGGCGCCACTTGGAGGCTATCCAGATCCTTGAAATTCCAATCCGAATATTCTTGTTCACCTGATTCGGAACAATGTCCTGTGTTCGGTGCACCATCCATCTTCCTTGGATTGAAATATCCTCAATAGGTTCTGTAACTACTAACCCAATGGCTCGGGACTGTGCTAAAATGACAAAAGCTTTTCCCTCTATTACAGAGCTCTCCACTGTAACCATGTTTTTCTCATTTCCAACCTTTGTTGTCGTTCTCACAATCTTCTTCCAGGAATCGTTAGCTGCTGGTGCACTCAATTCGCGATTCACCATCTCAAGCAACTTTTCAACTTTCTTTACCTGGCGTGCCAGTGTCCGGTCTATCCCTAGAATGGAAACTTGAATCGATTTCTGATCCATTTCCATTGTGAATTTTCGTAGAGGCATTCCACTTTCATTTTTCCATGGAAGACCATTGAGAAAGTCATTGTGATATTTTGCATGCACCAATTTGTCATTTTGAACATGCTTATAAAATGTCATTCCACACACCCCGCATGTCGAGGATTGTAACGATCCGAAAGTCGACTGGATTTTCTTTGACGTCATAGCATGATTGTAGGCTCTCCTGGTGATTTGATCACTTGTGGTTCGACATCAACTTGCGAAATAATCATACAATGCGGGGTGCAGGAGTTCAACATATACCCGGAGGTAGAAAAATTCAATCATCCCCACCTACCCCACGAAAAAACCCTGACCATGGCTTCTGAATATGCAAATTTACTCCCCATCAACGGAAGATGGAAGCAACACATTACCGACTACCTCTCGGAGGACGTTCCATCTTTTGACTATGGAGCATTCGTGGTGGGAAGTAAGCAAGAGACTGCTTCGTTGTACATGAAGCAGTCAGGATTGATTTGTGGTGTTCCTTTCGCTGCTGAAGTGTTCAAGCAATGTGAACTTGAGGTTGAGTGGCATTATAAGGAAGGTCAATACATCAGTGCTGAGCAATTGGCTGCCAACAAGGGCAAGATCGTGGTAGCCACTGTCAAGGGCCCAGCGAACAAGATTTTGCTTAGTGAGAGAACTGCGTTGAACTTAATGGCCAGATCGTCAGGTATTGCTACCCAATCACATATTACTAAGAAGTTGGCTGACGAAAGTGGATACACTGGTCTTATTGCAGGAACCAGAAAGACTACCCCGGGTCTTAGACAATTGGAGAAATACTCAATGTTGGTGGGAGGTGTGGACCCTCACAGATACGACTTGAGCTCCATGGTAATGCTCAAAGATAACCACATCACCTCCACTGGAAGCATCACCGAAGCTGTCAAGCTGGCCAGAAGAGTGTGTGGTTTCGCTGTAAAGGTTGAAGTGGAGGTGAGCACCGAGGATGACGCTAAGGAAGCCATCGAGGCGGGTGCAGATGTCATCATGTTGGACAACTTCACTGGTGCCGAGTTGCAGGAGGTAGCCCGTAGCTTGAAGCAGTACTTCAAGGGCTCTAACAAGAGCTTCTTGTTGGAGTGCTCGGGTGGCTTGACTTTGCAGAATTTGAGCTCATACTTGTGCAACGACATCGACATCTACTCCACGTCGTCCATCCATCAGGGTACCGGTATTGTTGACTTCTCTTTAAAGATCAATGCGTAAATAGAATTGATTAGCGGCTATCGAATAGATGAAATGCTCGTTAGATCTATACTGTCGAAACCTGAATTAAATCCGATCACGTCTGTGACATTGGCTAAAATTTTAGCTGTATTTGTATCCTGCTCACATCTTTCCTCATCTTCTTCGTCCTCGTCGAAGCTTCCCTCAAACGAATCCATTCGAATTTTATTGTTACTGAGGTGATTTAACAGAATACCAGAAAGACTCGAATGGGTGCTCGTATCCTTGAGAATGAAGGACTCATGGGGAGTTCCGATAAATGACACGGTAGATTTCTTTCCGAAACACCGAATTGCTCGCACATGCGAGTCCTTTCCATCCTGATGGTTGGCCAAAATGATGATCTTCACAATAAAACACTTGAGAAGTCCATCTCCTCGCACACCTTTAAAGATTATGTGAGACCAGCCAATTGGTTTGTCAAGATTGACTACGCAAACTTCCGTGAGGTCCCAATTTGATCCGCCTGCCATGATCTTGATTTTCAGCGGAGTATACGACTCGTCAAGTTGGTAATTCGTAAAAATGGAGATTCTCTCCAATGATACCTTCTTACTGAATTGGAGGTTCACGCTATGAGGATGGTTGAGTTGATTTCCATCGACATTGGTGCGGTGTTCCATGTTGTTTTCTGTGCTGCCATCGGACTGCCAGTACGTGTTTGGTGAGTCGTTGCGTAGTTGCTGGAGCCCAAAGCCCTGCTTGTGAGATGAAAGTTTCCATGTTGCCAATGGGGAAAGATCGAGCAATTGGAGTGATTCTAGCTCCTCTAACCCCTTTGTATAGTATAAATTCTGTAATTCCTCCAATGATGGTTGGTCTCCGCCTTGAGAATTGTTAGACTGGGAGTTTTCCTGGTATTCTCCATCAAATGGACCCTCTTCTGGCTCTTGGAAATTGGACTCAAAAGCGTTGGTGCCCTCGACGGCCAGCGAGTCGTAAAACGATGCTCCGGGTGCATCTGGCCGACTTGAGAACGGTCCTTCATTATTATTAGGAAAGCTCATTGGGTCCGAAGCTAGGAAGTTGATCTTGCAACTTGATCTATGTTTATGCTTCTGCTACATGCACTCTCCTAACTAAAGAGGCTATTGCAACCTTCCCGAGGCTGCGTTCAATTTCAATTTGAAGTCGTTAGATTTTTTATAGTACGCAATCATTCTACATTAAATTTCAAGCTAGGAGGTCTCCTTGACCTGCTCTTTCACCTCCGGAACATCAGCCACGACTTCTTCAGATTCCTCCTTCGATTCATCTGCCTTCGCTATCTCCTCCGTCTTTTCAGCTTCAGCCACTGGCACATCATCCATGGTGGATGCATCCTCAGTTGCGGGGGCAGATTCAACAACTTCTTCCTCTTTAGGGTCAGCGCTAGCCACCTTCACGGGCTCGACCTTCGATGCATTGATTGATGGGGTGTCGTCAATAAGAGTTTCCTTGAGCAAATCAGCGGTACTCTCGACGTCCACCTTTGGAGGTCTTGGAGAACCCTGAGCTGCGTCAGGACTTGTGGTGCCGGATGGTCTAGGAGAAGCAGTTTTCTTTGGAATTCTCTGAGGAGTGAACGAAGTCTGGAATGCCTCAACATTGGAGATACCGTATCTCTTCAATGCTCTGCGCTTCAACACTTCAATGTAGGTGAGCTTTCCTTGGTTCTCCTTGCCAAACTCGGAGCCTTCCTTATCGAAGAACTGAAGGTCTCCGTTGTCCTCGTCCTCGTCTCCAATTAAATAGTCATCATCTCTTGTAGAATCCAAGAATCCATTATCTTGATAAGACTCTGTGTGGTCAATCTGAAAGTTTCCAAGGTCCAAGTCATTTACATACTCGAACAACAACTCTTGCAAGCTGGAAGCAACCACAATCTTGGTATCAAAGTCACGACCGAATAAAATAATCTGGCCTCGAATACCAGCAGGGCCAGGTGCCAAATCAAGGCCAACCAAATTTCCGTACAAGTCTTTAGCGATTGGAATCCATCCACGGTGGACATAATATGGCTGAACAGCGTCGGCAGGCACCGATTTCTGGTGCATGAGGTAGTTATTCAGAATTCTCTCGCGTGCAGTTTGCGAGGCCGAGCTCGACGAGTCGCCAGTGTTGAGCAATTGCTGCTGGTGTTGCATGGCAAGCTGCTGTCTCTCGACTTTCTCAGCGACTTTTGCCCAGAGAGCGTATTCCTCCATCATGCTCTCGATATCCAAGAGGGTCAAGCCCATAAGAACACCCGTAGGCTTTCCGCCTCGGAACTGACCATCGTGGGTCTTATAGTATTGGCGAACCTCCACTGGGAATGGACCGATAGCCAAGTCCTTCTCCAACTCATTCAAGTCTGCACTGGAAGCTCCCAGATTCAAACTCTCCTCTAACTCTGGGTACTCCTCCTCCCAAAACGTCTCAATGCGCTGCCACAACGACTCCATGGAAGGCAAAGGAGGGCGCCCGTTGGCGCCAAAAGTCTGTAATTCTGTCTGACCAACATTGCTCAAATTCGTGGAGGATGAGCGCATTCCGGGCCTATATCCTGCAATGTTGGTGGTACTGCCGTTTCTCAGACTCATGAGCGAATGGGTCAGTGAGTTGTTAAGCTCGTGAAGTCTGGCGGAGGAAGAGTTGTCACCAATGGAACCTCCTGCAGTAGAATTGGAGTATGGAGACCCGTACAGCGCATAGTGGTCATCAGTGACAACAGAATGCCAGAACGACTTTACGTTATCCATCAAACCCATTTTGAATGAATATTCTCGAAAGTAATTGAAGATAAATGAGTGGTTCAAGGCGTGCCAGACCAAGAACTGACAGCGTGAGGTGACTTCTGCAGGACAAAAAGGTTCTACTGGGGGTTCAGATCGTCGGCCAGAGAGGTAAAAATATACGATGAAATGGTCATCCATTTATTTTATGAAATTAAGCAGTAAGCCATCCTTGACGCCATGGCGACACCAGAGCAGGCTATGACTGCTCTCACAATATTACGCCAGTGCTTACCGCATTCTATCGAGGCAGGGGTCCCTTGCAAAAGCCTTCTATAGCTGACCTGTGTGACGGATGCGTAGCAAACTCACATTTTTTGCGCCTAATGCAGCGACGCAAATTCTCTATCGAGACTTCAAGTAGTCGTAAATGTCCTTCCCATAGTACAGTGTCAACAACTCCGGCTTGGTTGCATCCAAGTTGGTAATGGCCACTGCAGCGTTCACCAAGTCGTAGTTAATCGCGTCACTAACCTTAGAGTCCTTTTTGTAGTCAGGGTGCTTCAATATGAAGTCCCTCAAGAACCGTGCAATGGTTGGGATCCTTCCGCTAGCACGGCCACTAATTAACCTCAAGTAGCTCTGAAGAGTCCATAACTCTTTGGCTGTTGCAATGTTCTTGCAGTGCTTCACGCTGTTGGTTTTGGCCTCGGGAATCAAATCTGTTGCAATGTACTTAATTATCATGCGGACTAATCCTGGGAATTTGTCGGTTCCATTGATAAGTTCGTCAGCGCTCAACTTGACTTCGTTGGGGCCCTCCTCTCCATCGTTCTCGAGGGTGCAACTGCTGCTGCTTCTCTGCGAGTAGCCATTCAAGTAAACACCGTTTTCGTTGAACAAATCATTTCCATCATGAATAAAGCGGTCGAACCAGCTCAAGTCGTAGCCCTTGAAGTCTTCGTTGTTGACGTTCCACCGTGTAGGATTCTTAAACCAGAACCGCTGATGAATTGCGGCATCTACCTTGTGGGCCGTTTCCATGTTCTGGTCAACCTTCAGGATAGGAATGTAAAAATCGGGGTTGTACTTGAGGATTACTTTTCCAATAAGAACGATGAACACCGAGTATGCCGCATTCTCGAAGTCCGACAACTGGATTTCGAGCGGACGGAATTCCACTCTCCATCCTGGCTTCTGAGCCAACTCCTCCGCTGGAGTCTCTGGAGGATACAATGCGGGAGGTTTGAAACGCAACGTTTGCCAATTGGTCAGTTGAATGTTCTCAAAGTGGTCGTTTTCTTGGGTATTATCCTGGTCTACTCTCTCATTGAATATGACAATGGGGTCTCTAATGAAGAGATGTGCAAAGTGGTGAGCCAAGACGTCGTCAAAATGCTGGGTGCTCTTGAGCTTATCGAAAACCTTCTTGTTGATGGGCGAGAAAATATCATTGTAGCTCTTGCTGAAGTATGGGCTTTCATGGTATCCCTCGTCACTCAAATATGTGTCGACTGACTCATATCTAGACTTCGGAATCTTCTGAATAGGCTTGCCGTCTAGGGTGTGGATACCGATATCGCCGAATTCATTGATCACTTTGTCTCCATTCACGCCTCTGCCTCCACCAAGATGCTTGAAGTGAGACTTGGTTCTCTGGTTCACGTCTAATCCTCCGAAATAGTCAGTGCCCTCGTATGGCTCCACATCTCTTTCGATGAACGTTCTGTCATCCACAGCACCACTGATGACATTCCAACGAACATCCTGGTCAACCAAGAAACCCTTAAACACTGGTGCAGCAGCTGAAACTGCTAACATTACCGGAGTAAGTGAAACCAACGAGTCATACAAGTATCTCGCTTGAGCGATGTTGCTAGCTTGCATGGTCACCTGAAGACAAGACAGACCCATTCCAAAACCCATGGAATCCATGTAGACATGACCAGGTTTGGAGGAGCCAAGGAAAGGCTCCTTGTCGGAAGGGAAAAGATCTCTATGAGGAATGGAGTCGTCGATCAACTTGGTGTTCTCGTCGGGATAAATGGGCAAGTTAATAGAGACTTTTGTTCCACGCCTCTTTCGAATATTTGCCGTCAAGGTAGGAAATCTGACATGTCTGTTGATGATTTCATCAGGCAAGAAAAGAGATTGAGATGCTGGGCCAATTGGTTTGGCTGGGGGAGAAGTGAATATTCCACAGCCCATGCGAGGAAATGCAGTCAACGTCAAAGGAATAATGTTGGCAGGTAACTCAGACTGCGACACTTCTCTTCTCTTGACCATATTCTCCTCAACGTAAAGGTAATCGTCGAGGCTCTGGCCATCGTACGGTCTCAATGGGGTGGCCTCGATCATATACCTACCATATTCTGGATGGAACGATATGTTATTGTCAAGAGCTTTGCCCGAGACCTCTGGCTTCTCTGGGTCGTTTAAATCGTCCAAAATGCTATCCTTGTCTATGGCCAATCTGGCGGTTCTCTTGGTATCATCGATGTCGACCAACATGTACTCAACCTCATCGCCCCAATAAAAGTGGTCATTGTTTCTCTTTCCGTGCTGGCGGAATATGTTGATGAGCTGCTCAATGCCGTTTTCCCGAACATGGTCGTTGTACTTCTTCGACTGGTGCCAGTCTAGCGGAGTGCCTAGCGACAACAAGCCCATGGTTTAAAGACGGTTATTGCTAGAAGAAGTAAAACAGAATTAAAAAGAGGAAGAGGAAAGCAGCCTCGAGGTACAGATGCAAGAATCTGCGATAATTTATATTCCAAGGAAGGTCTGTGCAAATCTGCGGGAGTCAAACACCAGGTTTAAAATGTTTAAGATGGGATTGGCGTTTGCGTTCATCCAAAGTCTTCGATTAATAAGCAGGACAAAATTTTTTCGATCGTATCAGGCGGTATAAAGGACATTGGCTGAAAAGGGATGCATGAATGTATGCTACGTCCGAGAAGGGACAAGATTATTGAGTTTTTTAGCTACGATTAATTATGATAGCCTAGCACAACCTCGGCTCTGGCAAATTGAAGGTAAGGAAATATCACCAGGCAGCGCATGGCAATTTGTATGTCATTGCACGTGCCGCGGGATATGGTAGCCATTCTGGGTAATAATGTCGATAACCACAGTACGGTGTGGGACTGTGGAGGGAACAGGCCATTGATGCGGCGATTTAGAGAAGTTCATTATGCGAGAGTTGGTTGATCTATTATATAGATAATTGGATGACTGTGGATATTTGTGTTGGTTTCATTTTTAAAATTTTTTGAATATCTCCATTGTTTCTACTTCCTAGTATTTAGTATTCCATCCTCTCTGTATTTCTGAGTATTCCCTCTTCTCTTGCCATAACCTTTCCATCATCTCATTCTCTTTGCATCGCATTATTCTCTTTGCTCTTTATATTTCGTAAATTATTATACATCCCTAGTAGAGGTCTCCGATGTTGTTGACAACACAACCTGGGGTGTCTCCCTGTCTAGCAACCAACTCTCCAATGACAACCGGGTCCTCGCCAGCCTTCTTAAATTCAGCAATGGCAGCATCGGCCTTGTCAGCCTCAACAATCACCACCATACCAATACCCACGTTGAAAGTCTTCAACAAGTCTGAGTATGGAACATTACCCTGCTTACCAAACCACTTGAAGATCTCAGGAACCTCCCACTTGCTCATGTCCACCTGAGCCTGCAAGTTCTTTGGCAAAGCACGAGGAATATTCTCTACCAATCCACCTCCGGTGATGTGAGCCATACCAAGCAACAATCCTTGCTTGATGGCTGGCAACAACTGCTTAACGTAGATCTTGGTTGGAACTAGAAGCTCCTCTCCAATGGTCTTGCCGGAGTTGGTCCATGGTGCGACCGACTTGTAGTCCAACTCAGATTTCTGGATGATGTGACGAACCAATGAGAATCCGTTGGAGTGGACACCGTCAGATCTCAATCCGATCAAGACGTTGCCAGCCTTCATGTCGGAAATCTTTGGCAAAATGGCATTCTTGGAAACGGCACCGACGGCAGTACCGTTGGTATCGTAATGACCTTCATCGTACATACCTGGCATTTCACTGGTCTCTCCACCAACCAAGGCACAACCAGCAGTGATACACCCATCAGCAACACCACTGACAAACTTGGCAGCGATTTCAACATCAAGCTTACCAGTTGCGAAATAGTCAAGGAAAATCAAGGGCTCGGCACCTTGCACAACCAAGTCGTTGACGTTCATAGCAACCAAGTCGATACCCACAGTGTCGTGGATGTTCATGATCTGGGCAATTCTCAACTTGGTACCAACACCATCGGTGGCTGCAACCAACAAGGTGTCAGCGCCGTCGTAGCCAGCTGCCTTCAAGTCAAACAAGCCACCAAAGCCACCAATGTCAGAATCAGCTCCAGATCTGGAAGTGGACTTGACCTTGGCCTTAATCTGCTCCACCAACAAGTTACCGTTGTCGACAGAAACACCAGCCTCAGCATAGGTAGTTCCAGAGGCAGTGTTCTCGGCATCTCTGAATGCTCTGTGAGCAATGTCCTTTCTGTTGTACTTCTTGTTGAACGAAACGTGGTCAACACCAACGTATGCCTTATCAACCGACTCTCTCAAAGTAGAGGCGGTGGCTGTGGATGCAATGACCCTGCCTCCAGCTGTAACCACCTTTCCGTCCTTCTCAGAAGTACCAGCGTGGAAAATGTATGTGTCTTTTGGTGTCTCAGTAATGGTGATCTCGTCGCCCTTACCGTAAGCCTCTGGGTAGCCACCAGCGGCCATGACGACAGTAGTGGAGAAAGTGTTTGGCTTAGTGGCCACAGTGACAGAATCCAAACGGTGCTCGGCAGCAGCCAACATGACTTCAGCCAAGTCAGTTTCGTCAGTCAACAAAGGCAACACAGTCTGGGTCTCTGGGTCACCAAATCTGACATTGTACTCCAAAACCTTTGGCTCCTTGGTTGGCGACAACATGATACCAGTGAACAACACTCCGCACATTGGGTAGCCATCCTTTCTCATGCCGTCAATGGTTGGCTTGATGATCAATTCATCAATCTTAGCCAAAACAGCAGGAGTAGCAATTGGAGCAGGTGCATAAGCACCCATTCCTCCAGTGTTCAAACCTTGGTCGCCGTCACCAATTCTCTTGTGGTCCTGGGCAGCAGGCAAGTTGAAAAATGAGTATCCATCAGTAATGGTCAAGATGGACAACTCGTCACCCTCCAAAAACTCCTCGATGACAATCTCATCACCAGCAGAACCAAAGTTCTTGGCCACCATGATCTCATCCAAGCCAGCCAAAGCCTCTTCCTTGGTTTGTGGAATCAACACTCCCTTACCAGCAGCGATACCATCGGCCTTCAAGACAATCTTGTAGTCAATCTCCTCGATGTGCTTTCTGGCCTCATCGACGTTGGTGAAGTTCTTGAATCTTGCAGTAGGAATGTTGTGTTTGTCCATGAAGATCTTGGAGAAAGCCTTAGAGCCCTCCATCACAGCAGCCTTAGCACTTGGACCAAACACTGGGATACCAACCTTGGTAAACACAGACGAAATACCATCGACCAAAGGCTGTTCTGGACCAGGAACAACCAAGTCAATTTTCTTTTCAAGAGCAAACTGTTGCAACTTATCAAAATCCTTTGGAGAACCAGACAACTCAGGCACATTAATCACTTTGGAACCAATAGTGGAGGTTCCTCCGTTACCAGGAGCCACGTAGATGTTTTGGACGTTGGAAGATTGAGCCAATCTCCAAGTGATGGCATGCTCTCTGCCACCATTACCAACAACAAGGATGTTTAAAGACATAAGGACAAAATTAGTGTGAAGACTTATGGTACTTAATTTTCCTCTGCCTTATAAAGGTTAGATGAGTGCGATCTTTTTTTTTTTTCGCAATAATTAATCTTGACTCTGATACAGAACAGGAGGATTGTGTACATGACTACTTAAATGACTAGATAAGTTAGAGTAGGTAGATTAGAATAACTGCAGTTATAAAGGTGGGTTGTTGACATCATGAAGTGTTTCTTAAATTGCAAATATTAAGATTGCCGAATTGAGAAAGCAAGTGAGCACATTCCATTGTACCTACGTGTATCTTATAGATAATCATTTTCTGATTAAGATCTAATCAATATTCACCGGACTCCAACATTACTTCCATCACCGGACTTTGACGCTGATTCCATAAGCAAACTATCGGTACTTCACAGTTCACCCTCATTCTAGCAACTACTTACTCCCGTAATGCTCTATGATATTTACAGTATATATACAAGATCAGATCGCAACGTCTCCCAGACCCACAATGCCCTCAAACTTATAGTTGTCCTCGCTAGGAACCTTCACAGCAGTTCCCTGCTCGCCCACCGGTGTGTACAAGTAGTAGGACAACAATGCATTGACCACCGCTCTGGTCTTGGCCTCGTTCAACGAAGATCCCACACCTTCTCCCAACTTGTTCCCTCCAGAAAATGCACCAGCGACGTAGATAGCATGTGCGGACAATCTTCCGGTCTCAGCAATGAGTCTGACTTCGAGTGGATCTTCAAGCTCCAATTTGTCGCATAATCTGGCCAACTCTCTGGTAGGCTTGCTAAACTGGAACATCTCGGTCAATGGCACCTTACGAGATAAGATGTGTGCATCAATGAAGGTTTTAGTACCCTCTTCGCCAACATGTGAGTATAATCCACCGATGATGGCACGCACAGCAGAGGCGTAAGCGTCCTGCTCTCTGGACAAGAATTTGTTGGAGGCATCGACTGTGGATAATTCCTCAGCAGACAACTCTTGGACTCCCGACTCGTTGATCTGCTCTTTGACATCGTCAGAAAGGAATCTTAACTTTCCGTACTGCAAGCTCTCTGGCTCCTGCGAGAGGTGTTTCTGTAATTTGGAGGTGATATCCACCTCAATACCCCAAGCCTTACCAACCTGAGCCAACGTCTCGGGGCCCATGTAGGCATCCACGGCAGCGTTGTGCACAGCCATAGGGAGACGAGGGTACTTCATTAATAAATGCTCAGAAACATAATATGACAACAAGTTCTTACCCAAGGTGTTGAGACCAAAGTTGTTGGCCAAACCAGTGAACTTGTCCAAGTTCAACGCCTGCGACAAGGTGGAATGCGAGTAAGACTCAGGAAGTCTCAATCTTGAGTGCAAGGCAGCCAAAGGAGGCGACTGCTGAGCAGTGGACTCTGGCAATCTGTGGGTGAAAATGCTGTTCTTGTAGCTTCCGTAATCGGAGAGCGAATCGTACTTAGTGCCCAAGGACTTATCCAACTGGGCAACGTGGTATGATGCAGCGAATGTGCGAGAAGTGAACACGGAGGGCAATCTGGCCACCGAGGCCGAACGTCTGGATATGTGCCTCAACATGGTTAGTGAAAGACTTCTGGCTGGTGTAGAGTTGTGTGAGTATACAAAATTTTCAGTTTTTTTGTGGGCTGCACACGACGTGGAGAAGTGGAGTCTAAGGTTCAAAAAGTTGGAGGAATTGAGGGGGGAGCTTGGAGGAGCAAACTATCTCAAGGAATAAGTGGCATACTTGAATGGTTTTTGACTAGGAAGTATTTTTTTTTTGTCGAGATGTGAAGTTGATGGAATGGCTGGAGGGGAAATAGTGTAAGTTTGTAGGACTCAAGTTCAGGAACAGGTCGCAGTTACTGGCTAGGAATTTTGCACCCATGGGAAGTAGTTGGGACTAATCGGTAGAAAACATTGATGGAAGAGAGTTTGGGTTAACAGAGTAAGAATATTAGAGTTTAAGATTTAAGAAAGAGATTGGCATTTTCTGCCTCTTGATTTTTCTTTCTAGTAAAGAATTGATGTATATTCTCATAGACAGAGATAATTCTCTAGATTTCTGGAAACTCGTCAACACAACTTTTTTTTCTACGCTCCTCTTAATTTGTTTGGAAAAAGTCTTAAAAATGTCCCCAGCATACAAACCATGGCCTAAAAATCAAGTTCACAACTAAGAACACCTCTCACGTTTTCATTTTCAATTGCATTAACCTCCAATTTCTGAACAAAATCGAGCAATGTGTCTGCTGCCAAATACATTCCAGATTCAACTTTATGCACATCGAAATCGGGAGTTTGCTCGTGATCCCAGAACCAGAGTTGGCCGGTCATCGGCCCTTTTACACAAAGACAGATGTGGTTTCCTCCAGTAGACCCTCCTATTGGGATCCATTGAGTTCCCAAGTCCTCCTTACATACTTCTATTTCGTGTCTCAAAGACAGTAGTCCATAAAACTCATCAAAGGCGTCATAATAATTACTCGCCCAGCAAGAAGGCTGTAATCCCTTGAAATGGATGAAATTGCCAAAAGTGATATCCTGTCCGTTAGCACTCTTTAGGAGGTCGATATATTGTGATGGTAAAGTTCCAAGATCTGCTTCAAGTTGGTCAATCAGAGCTGAATCTAAGGTGGAATTGCTAACTATGGGCGCAAGATCTGCCATAAGTTCCACGAGTGAACCCATTTAGATTGTTGAATATTGAATTGCCCAACTAAGACAATAAGAATGCTAGATCAGATTAACTTTGCTTGCTTCCAATTCGAAATGCATAACCAATCACCACTACACACAAAAATATCAAACAAAGAAACAAATCAACCAACAAGACAAAATATCAATATTTATATATTTTCTAATCAGTAATTCTACCAATCTAACATATGTGATCTTTCAATACAGGTCACAATACCGTCGCAGTGGACGTGCACCACACAAAAGATTCCACCAACCACATCCTCAAAAATACTCACGGTAATCAAGATTCATCCACTAAAATGGCCCACTCCCCACCATTGAACATCTACGCCATCGGCGCCATGTCGTCCGTGCTTATTGTGTACGCCTGGCTCAAGTCGCCACTTAAGTACAAGTGGGCAGCTGAAAACAGAATCAGTCCAAAGGCTGATTTGGCATGGAGAAACGGAGCCCAAAAATGGCTCGACAGCAAATCTACTTAAACGGCATTATCTTACATTCATACTCTGTACACTTATTTATCAAATACAAACATTGATATTTTATTACTTGGTAGTCTATAAATGCCCTCTCCACTCCTACGTCTTTACATTAGCCAATGGGATGGCATGGACGAGTCCGTCTCTCTCCTGAAGCTTGACCAAGTCGCTCTCGAGCTTGAGGAAACACCATAGCCATCTGCGGAGGATCTCAAGCACCTCCAATACCACAAACCCAAACGAGTAGAAGTCGTAGCCAAACAAGAAACGGCCAACTCGCGACCGAAGCCCCAACTCTACTTCGGTACTCTTGATGACGTAGATCTTGAACACCCAGATGAATCTGAGAACAAAATCAATGAAAATAACGCTGTAATATGCCAATAAGTTGTTGTACACCAACGAGCTGCGTTGGCGCAATGGCAGGTAGTTTCGGTATTGCTGAGTAAAGAGTGGCTCGAGCATGCCAAATCCCCAATCCATGCGGATATCCCAGATGAACGAATAGGTGGAGCTGACAAACGAAATGATGTACCACCACATGTTGAGCGTGTTCAAATTAGAGGATGCAGCAGTGTCATCGGTGAGCTGGCTCATCTGGATCTTGATCAATAAATTTACTAAGATAGGTCCCAACAGACAGCAGTATTTCATCATATTGTAGAAGTGCAGCTTTTGACCTGTCAATTTGAACTCGAACCAACATTGCTTCACTCTAATGAGGCCTGGAAGCGACAAAACCAATGCTTCAACGTACACATTGTAACCCTGACTTGTAGGTAGAAGCGTGATCCACACATACGCCCCAAAGTCATTTATCACTTTCGCATAGGAAGTCAAGCTATCAGAAATCAAGATATCATTTGTTCTCATAGTCGAGGAATTGATATTGCCTTTCAACACTCTCTTCAACGTAGTAAACATTCTTGTCTGGCCCATGGTGGGTCCGGGTCCAAATGTCTTATATAACGTATAGGCCAAAAGCGGTAGAGGTAAGTAATGTTTCGTAACATGAATAAGAAACCCTGTCGGGTTACTTGAGGCTAGCAACGTCCAATAAACGACGATACCAGCGATATTAACAGGCAAGGTTGACTTGAAGGTGCCGTTAGTTCCACGAAGCAAGATCTGGTTTTCTCCCAAATCAGCCGAGGAAGTGGTGGAGTACTCGGCTAAAGCAGAGTCCACGTTGTGGTTGTCGGAAGTGTACTTGTGTGGAGAATAGGCCAAGTTGAGAAGTGCCAATACGTTCATGGAATAGACTTTGTAGCAAATCCACACCATGCGATCCCAAAGAAATATGCCTAACTGCAAGAAGAGCACTATTCGAAAGGATAATGGGAGAATGTCGTTGAAAACATACTCGTGGTCGGCTTCTTCGGCCATTTTTGATGGGAAGAACACTTGGATAGAGTATTGACAATTTTAGTGAGTGCAGTCATACACGTCGCGGTAAGGACATACCTGATGATGTGATATGAAATGGCAAAGAACTCGGACGTACAAGCAAATTATCGGGCATTCATGACAGAATCCTAACTCAAATGTTACTTACATGGGGTTTACTTGTGTGGTAAGTGGTGGTGTAGGATGGTCTGGTGAAATGCGAAACAAGTCTTCGAAGAATCTGTTGACTGTCAATCCAGGAAAGATGAAACGAAATAGAAAAATAGAAAACATTTAAGACAAGGCTTCAGTCACGTAAACGTGTGTAAGTTTTTTAATCATAAGTATTCATGATTAGCATGGAAAACATCATTAGCCAAGGTATCTAGCCTACAGTTTAATAAAGTCGGTAATACTTCAAGCCTAAGCTGTTAGTCGTTGCCCAGAAATTATAAATTATGCATAACGTTCAGAATTTTCAGTGTGTTTGGCTATTTGTCGAAATCGGTCATAGTCCTGAAAAGGATCCTCCGTCTGGGGCGACAGCGAGTCATCACGGTAATGCAGAGATTGAAACATACCATTTGAATTCAACGACAAATAATTGGTGCTATCAAGGACAGCACAAGCTGTTTATCGAAGATTTCAGAAAGAATTGAATATTGTGATGGTGAGAAAGAATAGTAGTGAAATGGAAGTAGATTTGTAGGAAAATTTTAGTGAGTACTTGATGGAAGTTACCCGCACTACGCATTACTAGAGAACTAGGGCAGCTATGTTTTCTTAAGTAAATACATCGATAGAATGTTTAGATTTACAGAAGGAAGAAAAAAAGAAGCCTATGAATGATAAAGTATCAATACAGAAATACGGTTGATATGACGAAAGCCACTCAAATGATCTACCTCAATACTTATATTATTATCGACAGCTAGTGTCATGAGCCATATCTACCAGTGACATGAACGTCCCAAAAGAGCCATCGTAATGCACCCTAGAGAACAACATGGTGATGAGCATCAAATTTTGATAACGACATTCTATTTCCGTATTGTCATCTTCTCGTCACCATCCCATTCACCTTCTCATTCCATCTAGTCCCGTTTTCTGTTCTTCATCTTGTTCAACTTAGCCTTAGCATTGTTGGCATGTCTCTCCGACTTGGTTAAGTATCTGAACTTCTTCTTCTTCTGTGGTTTGGGCTTGGGCTTGCTCACTCCGCAAACAATAGCGTATTTCTTAGCCCTGTTAATCGACTTCTCCAACACCTCCTCCAGCTTCTCCAAACTGACATTGTTGGCCTTAGCTGCTGCCTCCAAACTTCGCTGTGCTAAACTGGCACTATATGGATTCTCCAATGACTCCACAACAACGGTGGTTTCCTCGTCCACGACAGCATCACCCAACACTTGTGGGTCTTCGATCTTATACACTTGTTTTCTCAGAAGAATGCCCTTCAACTCCTCCTCATCTTGACTAGCATCGAGATTCTCGGCATCATCAACTACTTTCCCCTCTTCAGTCTCGCCAAATCCGGTCCATTCATTGTCGCTGTCGTCCTTATCACTTTCACCTGCGACATCCAAAGCCAAACCCTTGGCTGCCTTCATCTGTGAGAGCTGCTCCTCAAAGTTACGTTGTCTCTCATCTCTGTCCTGCTTTCTCTCTTCAATTTTGGCCAATCTTTCCTGTTCCTTATGGAATTCTTGTGCTTTCTTCTTTCTCTCCAACTTACGCTTGTGAAATCCAGTCAAGTACTCCTGTCTGGAGCTTTTGTCAAACACAACCTCATCCACGCCGAATTTCTTGGATTGCCTCTGGTGGTACTTCTTACCTCCCGTAAGAATCTCCCTATTTGTCCTTGGTCCCATGGTGCCAACAGTAGATAGTGGAAAAGTTGTGCGATGAGATGCGAAAACTGTAGATGCGAAAACTCCATCATAGTAGATCACTAACCACCAAGTTTTTTTTTCTGCCTTTCTCCAAATCTTTGCATAATGGACACAGAAAACATCCACGGCTTTGTGGAGTCTCTTAATTCTAGCATCGCCGATTTGAAGGCTGAGATTGAGCCTGTTTTGAGCACACTGCTTGAGGACAAGATTTCACACTGTGAACTGGTACTGGACCAAATCAAGATCTACAATTCTCATCTATACTGTGTCATTTCTATTCTTTACTGTTACATTAAAGTGCTAGGAGTCAACACCGATGAGCACCCTATAATGAAAGAACTTACGAGGATAAAGCAGGTGATGAAGTCTGTGAAAGAGGTGGAAGAGTCGCTCAAAAACAAGGACGAAAAGGACTTAAAGTCTCAGGAACAGGCCAAGGAGTTCCTTCAGCGGACTTTAGGAACGAAGGTTGGTGCTGCTGTCACTGAAAACATGAAGAGCCCAGCCATTAGTTCTGCTAATTTCAAGGGTACTCACACGAAGTTTAAGGATGAAGAATGGGAGACCTCGGAAAAACCAAAGCCATATATCGCTGCCAGTGGCTCCAAGTCGGGAAACGCATCAAGGTCCAAGGCCACTAAGGCAACTACAAAGAGCAATAGCAAACCTTCAGGCAAGGTTACCAAACCTAAAAATGGAAGAAGATAGCTCATAAAAAACGTTTAATGGATATATAGGAATGCAAGTTAGAGAACAAGTCATCAGTAATACTCTTGAAACAAGTGTTCATCCTTGAGGTTGTCCCTCACAATGTAGTAAATTTCCATCAATAGTCTTGGAAACTTACTATTGAAGTACCCGTAGAATCCATGTGGCAATGGACTCATCTGTGATTGAAGATCCGAGGGCATGTCGTTGTAGTGATGATATTTGTTACGCAATGCTCTCAAAAGGTCCATCACCTTGTCTGTGTGGTACTTTCTGTACTTTCCTAAGTTGTCGGTGAAAACACTATCAAACTTGGAAAGCCAGTCTTTGTTGTGAACCTTCTTTCCAACCAGCTCGAGACAGAGCAAAAGGTCACTGGGAGGATCTCTCCTCTCAATTTCAAAACGGTCGCTGACCTTTAATAAAAACTCCAACTTCTTGCTGTAAGTCCAGAAGTATGGATGCTTGAGAATGTGCGCAGTATCTGGACGATCATTCGGGTTGAAGCTAATCATCGATTCGATCAAATCTGTAGCCTCAACATAATCATGCGGACAATACTCCATGAGTGGTCTCAAATTGTAGTCTCCCCGGATAATGTTACCTTCCCTCAAATATCTGTCTCCAAATGGATGGCCACCACCCGAGAGAATGTAGTAATACACACATCCCAACGAGAAAATATCGATGGCTTTAGTAAGCCTCTTACCTTGTCCATTGCTTTGAGAACCATCTTTGATGGAGTGACGTGATGTCGAACCAATTGAAGAAATTGTATCAGGAGATATCTCTGAAAGATCATGATGCAAGAGCAATTCGGGAGCCCTCCATCCAGAAGTTCCGGAGGCAGCGTGTTGAGTGGTTGCACGGAAAGAAGACTGATCTGCATCAAGCTTCTTACATAATCCAAAATCAGAAATCAACAATCTAATGGTGGTCAGTGTTGTTTTAAGTTTCAGATTTCTGTGGGTCACTTCACCAACCAATATATTCTGTGGTTTCAAATCACGATGCACAATCTTGAGTGAATGAAGGTAATTCAAACCACTAGCCAACTGAAGCAAAACTTCGTTATATGTGGATATGTCTATCCGCAAAGTCTTCGGATACGATCTCAGCTTTTCAATGATATCCTCAAGAGAACAAACACACAATTCTAGAGCAATGTACAAGAACTTTTCTGACTCGCTGGACTGAGAACAGAAGTACCGAACCACGTTCGGGTGATCATCCGACTCTTGCAAGAGTCTCACCTCGTGGTTTGCGATATCATAGAAGTCAAGAAGCATTCTCTTGACAGCAACAGGTCTGTTTTCGAAAGAACCCTCGTAAACCACCGTACCATGAGAACCATACCCAAGAATTTTATCTGAAATGACCAAATTGTTATCTATCTGAAGTTTCTTCAATTGTGTCGATGGCCTAATCATGTTCTTAACAAGAGATTTTGTTTGAATTGGTTCGACGGGCTCGTCTGCGTCGTCGTCTTCATCATTTAGATCACTTCTGTCGCTTTTCTCATCCACTTCCTTGTTGGCGTCTTGCATATCGAGCTTATAATCGTCTTCATCTTTGGTAGAAGACTTCTTTCCTTTGCCGCCTCTCCTTCCACCGCGACTACCTCTCTTTCTTTTCTTCTTGGTAGTGAGTAGATCGTTATCCTCATCATCGGGTATCTTTTCGGAAATTTCGAGGTCACCAACTATCGTTTCAGTCTCTTCAAGTAGAGTATCCAGTGTGTCCCCAGGAGCCACGATTGTGACCTTTTTGTGTGAAGTCTGTTTCTCGGTCAAAGTATCTTCCGACGAGTCTTCCTTAGCTTCTCCTGAAATATCCCGGCTGACATCTTGAGAAGCATCGCTTTTCAAATTATCCGGCATTTGTTTCTCAGAAGGCATATTCTTATTCTTGAGAATTTGGTTTATCTTTCCAAATGCTAGTAGGAACAATAACAAGGTACACATCACCAACAAGTCTTCAGCAATGCGGCGAAATACAGACAACTTTTGCTGAGGAATCTTGTCAAAAATACGATCCTCTGACACTAATCTTGATGGAACCCTTGATCTAGAGTAAGTGTCTTCATATAGATTATTACCATCTCTATCAAGAGTGGATACATCGACACGAACCTGATCCGGAGTGTTAGGAAAAAGAATACCATCCATCAAGCTTGGAATTTGCTGCAGTTTCCCACCAGTGGGCACAGGAGGTTCAGCATCCTGTGATTCAGAGCCATCGCCAATTTGGGGAGTTATCTTGTGAAACTTAGACACGGGCTGGTACATATTCTCCGGTCCTAGGTGGTTGACTTTATGGACTCCATTTATGAATTGTTCTGCATCCTCGAGAGAAACATTGAAGTCACTCAAATGGTGTACACTGGAGTCATCTAAGAGACCATTTTCGTACCTATAGAGGGCCATTTGATATTGAGAAACAGGCGCAGATTTGAGCAAAGTGGGGTAGTTAGGAAAGCTCATGGCAAACCATTCCTTGCCGTTGGCAGTCTTATTGACGAAGCATAAGTCATTATTACCATAATCCGAATTTCCGCTGCTATGCACCTGCAAGTCGTTCAAGACTTTGGATGGATGAGGCAATACAACGTATTCTCCATCTCGACTAAAAACATCGAAAACATCCACAGCCAACGAGGGAAGCTTGCTGATCCATGAAGGAGTTCCAATGTTTCTGTTGATAGCAAGTAACGACTTGTCGTGGAAAGGAGTAAAGTAAAGGTTGTCAATGGATTGCACATGTTGGGCAATCAAATCGTTGTCGATGTTGTTGGGACCCCACTGAGAGTATGTGACGTTCCACACAAGATTAGCATCTAGCTTGGAGTGAATAACCAATTCATACGTGGTCTTTCCTATCATAATGATATTGCTGTCTCCACCTGAAGCGAAACGAGGTGTTCCATACACGTTAGGAACTGGACATTCATCCTCTTCTGACGCACCAAAGTGGCTCTTGATCTGGCCAGTATTAAGGTTGATTGTGTACAACGAAGTTTTCCTAGCCCCTGTGTATATCTTATTGTCTCCACTGAGAGAGAAAGGAGACTCCATCACCAAGTCTTTGATGGACGTAGGAAGTTTGTTCAAGCCGTACAGAGGCGAAAAGTAGTAGAGAGAGCCGTCACGGGCTGGTTCGACGAACCATAGTAAATTAGACTCCGTGTTGTCCTCGCCGATTTTAGACTCGCTCTTCAGAATCTGAACTAGTGGCTCATCAATAGGCAACGACCATAAGAAAGCACCGGTGTTTCTTTCTACACCGTGTAAGTTACCATCGATATCACTGACTAGTAGCAAATCAGACAATTTCCAGTCACTAAGCAAGCGCAAATCTAGCGGTAGAATCTTCTGATTCGCATCGTTGAAGGTTTGCTTCTCCTCTATCAAATCGTTATCTAGCCTTTCTAGTCGCGGAGAAGCAAACACCACCACAGCTAGAAGAAAAGGTAGTAGGATGCTCAAAAAGCGGTGAAATTCCCGCATGGTTTCTGAAAGTGTGGAGTTGAAATTGGAAATGAAAGGTACAAGCCGTTGGAAAAAGTATAATGAGGTCAAGAAATAAATGAAAAAAAATAAAATAAAAGCGGTATCAAAACACCCAGCAATCTATTCAAGAATTATGCCCTGAGCGAAAGGAGTGATGTTACCAATAATGATGTTAGCGGAAATAACTAATTGGTGGGATAGGATGGGTCGGGTGGTTTTTTTTCTTTTGAGATTTCTCCAAGTGCAGTAGGAAACAACTCCGCATAGTGAGAAATCATTAGATATTTTGTCCTACATTGAATCCAGAACTACTGAAATGCCAGTATGAGCCTTGCCGCCCCACTGTTGTTTTCGTCATTGATTTATTTCGTTTTCTATTGGAATCATCAGTCAAAACGTAGTTCTGTATTCGAAATGCATATGCTTTAAATGGAAAATCCTACTTGGTTCGACCAAGTTAGGAGTCAAGCTGACGGTAGAGCTGGTCAATGCGTTGCTTGGCAAGCTTGACAACCTCGTCGAATTCTTGTCCAGCAAACTCATTGTACGGAGTCGCTCCATAATCCATAGGTTGCTCACCCTTTAATTTTCCTCCAGATCGATCGTTGATCCATTTCCACATGACTCCTTCATTGACCTTGCGGTTCATCTCATTACCCAAGTAAGTCTCTGAAGTGGGGAAAACGTAGTAGCTCTTATCGTTAAGTCTGATAATTTTCGTAAACGAATCCTGTCCTGTTACCAGAAGGTTTACGCCCCGTCCTCTACCTCCGATCATCTTGACGATACAGAAAGTGTAGAGTAACGAAGCAAATGCAAGAATAAGAATTCCTGTGATGCTTGCACTGACCATTGGAATCTGCACCGGGCTAGATTCGCCAATGGTTTCGATGAGCTTTTCGATCTGCTCAATGAGGGTAAGTTGCTTGGTTGGCTCCTCCGCAGCCGCTGGCGCTGGAGGGGGTGTTGACACCGATTTAGCTTTCTTTCTCTTCTTGGGGGTGGAGCCGTTTCCTTTGCTGCTGAGAGTGTCATTCAAGGTATCAACTAACGCTTTCATGGAATCTTTCTGACCATCAATACTACCCTTCTCAATCGCACCTTTGATCCAAGACTTTGCTGACCATTCAATGTTACTAACAACGTTCATTATAGTCTTGTTGGAAGGACCCCAAGTCAAGAAGATTCTTGTTTTAACTTTGAATGAATTGCCCGAGGGTACATCTGGGGTAGCAGTGACCTGCTCAATCTCAACATACTTTGAGAAATCACAAAACTTCACGGTATCTGTGATTAAACATTTGGTTTGTTTAGGACCAATGGATCCTCCAAGTCGCTTGGTGTAGGAGTATTCCCTCTGCTTGTTGGAATTAGAAATGCCCACAATCTTACTTTGCTGAATGTCGAAGTTCTTCAGACCTTCCAAGATTTTGATGTAGGTGCTGTTGTCATCTCCAAACAAGAGATCATAAATGACACCAACGGGTGCATTAAAAGTAGCCTCTGTGATTTCCACATCATTGGAGTCTTTCGTATAATTGCTCTTAGTAGGCGCATGCGATTTGGGACCAGGATTCTTGAAACCGTTGAATGATTCTCCATCCTTGTCACCACTCGAAGGTGAAGCATCCTTAGTAGTACTTTCTGTTGCAGACACTAACAGTTCCAAATCATCACTGCTCTCCTCTCCTAAGTTATCATTTTTCTTCGACTTTGCTTTAAATGACAGCCTTCTGGAGGGACCGTCCAACTTCTCATTGATTGATGCTGGAGAGGAGAAATCTACTGGGTCCAGCGTCACATCGTGGTCACTGAAGTCGGAATTTCCGGCTGAGGTGAGATCATGATCCAAAGTATTCGATCTTCCTCGTCCCGCTTTTCTGGTTCTCGCTTTGCGGCTAGTGTCATCATTGACTTTCTCCAGCAATGCCTCTTGCCAGACCTTGGTGATGATGTTGAAGGTTGAGTCTCTGGAGAGGAAAGTTGCGAAGACATAACGTTGATGCAATGTCCTGATGACCATTCCGTTGGGGAAAACTACTGCGGTAGATTTCTTCTCTATCTGGATGACTTCACGGAGAGGGATAGTGATGTTGGTGACCCATCCCAATATGTTGGAATTGAAGCAAATATAATGTTTGGAAAGATACATTTTTCCCTGGACCAAAATGTCTTTCGACAAGGCACACGAAAAGTCATCGATGAGCCATTCGGAATGAGGAATCTTACGAAATGCATGGTGAAACTCCCGATTCTTCTTCTTGCTTGCCGGGGCTATGGTGGCGGAGTCTAAGATCTGATCCAATTCCTGATTAGAACCCGACTCATTTGTAACTGTGGACAAATTATCATCGTGATCGGAGTTTGCGTCGAGATCAACCGGGTCCATAATTGAGCCGTTCGAAACAGATTTTCTTCTCACCACCTTGTTATCATTGGCTCCGGATACCAGGAGACGACTGGAACCATCAGCAGACGCGGTGGAAGCTGGGATAGCCAATTTGGATGCATCGTCAGGCAAGCTGTTACGTTTCGCCTTCTTTTTGTCGAAATGCAGAAGATGTAAGTTACCGTTCCCCATAGTCGAAACAAGCGACTCATGAATGGGCTCAAAGTGTACATTGGAAGCCAAATTTCCCGATCCAATATTTGGGCCGACTACCGTGGGGGTCATCGGGCTCGTCTGCTCACTGTTGGAGGAGAAATTGCTGATATCTGTTCCTCCAGCAATTGACGTGTTCACATTAATGTTGCTACCTGTGTTTTCAGCCAGCTGATCAGAAAAACCGCTGTTCTTTTCATCCTTACTCATAGACTCAATCATATGCGCAGCGTTGTGGGCAGCCGAAAGAATTGACAGAAGAAACCCGTTGGATGCGTCCTTGGTTAATCCACCATTCTCAGGGTTTGACGATGTGGGTTCAACAGCGGGCATAACGAGAAAAGAACGTTATTAATGGCAATGAATGGGCCAGCCAAGAGCAATCGCTTTTCAAATTTACGGGTTTGCCAGTGTGGAGAAGAGAGCAAGCGAACACTAGAATTTAGAATTGGGTTCCAATGCAGGCCCTTGGTAGTGCATTGGTGGGGCCGATATGGCCCATTCCGATATCTTAGATAACGATAATGAAAATGGACACTTTTGCTGGGGAAAGAATGGGAGATGAATCGGATCCACATCAGGAGTGGGATATTGGGATGGTTTTTCCATTTTGTTCTATGTATGACAATTGTGGTAGGCCTATGTTCCGTGATTGGGTGGTCTACTGAAACAGTGCTCACCATATTGTGAGCCCGTGATGCCATTGACAACTCCACGGAAACTGGGGCCAAATGTCCAAATAAATGTGGAGGAATGTCTAGACTCACGCAAGGATAGCTCCATGGAACCCGAGATCGGATGCTATAGTGGGTGATATAATAACGTTATTTGTCTAGTTTGGACAGGGCACCTGGCCCACATGACTACGGATCGACCTGGATGGGTCGGATAGCCAGGAAACAGACACAATGACTTTAGACGACCACACAAGCGGTACCTGAGTGGTTCGATGGTCACACATCCACCCGGACATTCCGTGAGAACGTGTCTGTGTCCCTGGAGGTGTTTTTAGTCAATGACCTTACTATTGAAAATAAGTGGTGAGACATGTACCTGTATGGTTCTAGAGCTTCCATAGTAGCTCCTGGGGCCACCATAGTCCCGGCTATTGAGGATAAGTTGGTGAGGTGGTCACGGATAGAGCCCATTATATAAGGAGCAAGACCTACCCCTATTTTTGCTCCGCCTCATCAATCTGCAGCGGTTTCATTCCAACGCATATTAGCTAATCAAAGCAATTTTATTTTACACTATCTCAATTATACGCAAACTCAACTGAATTTGTTTTTTCGCAGCCATGGATTTACTCAAAAGAAATAATGTGCTCCACATCAACCCTGTAACGGAGGGCATTGGAATTCACATTACTGAACAGGGATCAGACTGGTTATGGGCAGCATTTGCTATTTTCACCGTGTTCTTCTTGACTCATGGTTTCCTTTATGCATCGCCCACTTTCAAACATGATGTTGTGAAGAAGAACTTATTACTTGTTCCTTTCTTCACCAATCTTGTTCTTGCTATTGCTTACTACACTTATGCCGCTAACTTGGGTTATGCCAGCCAGGAGGCTGAGTTCAAGCATGTTACTACCGGCGATGGCAACTTTGTCAGACAAATCTTCTATACCAAGTACATTGGTTGGTTTGTAGCTTGGCCTGCTGCCATGATGGCCATCTCCATTGCTACAAGTACTTTGTCTGAGACATTGACAAACGAAGCTCATCAAAACTTTGCAGGTGTTGTTTCTGCATTCTCGAGCTTCGTGGTAAAGGTTGGTGCTGCTTGGGTGTTCGTATTGGGTCTTCTCATTGGTTCGTTGATTCACTCCTCTTATAAGTGGGGTTACTTCGTATTCTCTGCTGTGGCCCAACTCTTTGGTATTTTCTTGGTATTGAAGAATCTTGCTGCATCAGCAAGAGCTTCTCAATACTCAAAGATTGCTGCTGTCTTCATTGTTTTCCAAGTTGTTGTGTGGTTGTTGTATCCAATTTGTTGGGCTTTAAGTGAAGGTGGTAATGTCGTACAGCCAGATTCTGAAGCCGTATTCTACGGTATCTTAGATCTTTGTACCTTCTCATTTGTTCCTACTGTCTTGACATGGATCAATATCTCCATTATGGATGACGAGTTTTTCCAGAAACTCATTCCATTCTCCCATGGTCATTTGGCCGAGAAGTTGGCACACAGCCCAAGACACTCCGGAGACACCGCCGTTCCACTTCTGGAACCCTTGTCATCAGGCCAGGAGCAAGTCTAGATTTACTTCTGATTTGAAATCTTGATAGACTGGAGCCCCTTAATTTTAAATTTCTTTGCTCTAATCCAGTCTATACATTGTTTAGTGAAATGAATGTTTAACGACAGTTTTCGGTAGATTTGAATAATGGTTGCTATTTTTAAGGCCACTTAAAAGTTGGCCAGCCTAAGTTTTTTAACCGTTGTAGTATCTAGAACATCTGGTGGGAACGACGGGCAGATCTGAAAGGTGTTTCCGTTTTCGGACATCCTGTCCAATGGTTGCAAAATGCGCTAAAAGACAAAAATCTTATATTGTAGAAACAAAACACGTTGAAGAAGGTAAAAATTTTAGAGGGTTCTATCCATTTAGAGGAGTTCCCAGGGTATTAGACTTAAGCAAAGATACCGGTCAAAGCCTTCTCAACAGTCTGAGACTGCTGGTAAGAGGCATCGTAGTCGATGGAGAAAACGGACACGGAACTCTTACAAGTCTTCTTAGTCAAGATAGTGGACTCAGATGGCAAGTCACAGTCACCAAAAATACAGACTTGAGTACCCTCAAAGGTACCGTAAGCCCATTCAAACAATCCACTAGTAGCGTTGTACTTCATGTTTGGAGACAAAGAGTTTGGACCAGACAAACGAGTGAAGACCCACTCTGGGTCAGTGCAGTCATCGTTAATTGGAGGGAAATTCACATTGACACCAGAAGTAAGAGGCAACAAGTGTGGGTAGTCCTTCTGGGAAGAGAACAATTTCTCGACAAACTCGGTCACCTTCTTACCATACACGTTTGGTGCGAAGTTGGTGTCGTTCTCCTTTCCTTCATCATCCTTGAAGAAAGAGTTGTTGCCATTGGATCCAGAAAAGGCAATTGCTGGGAGACCTCTGCCGACGGCAGTGTAGGTGGCACCGATGGTACCAGACAAAGTGTACATACCTGGAGACAAGTTGGTACCCTCGTTAGGACCGGCGACAACCAAGTCAATAGTCTTGTTATCGAAGAAGTTTGGAAGAACATAGTCTAAGCCGAAAGCAACACACGAAGCTGGAGTACCATTGAAGTACCAAACATTGAGGTCATCCTCCTCGTGGCCCCAAGATGGAGCACCTTTAGCTGGGTAGCTGAACTCAGCATTGGTGGTCAAGTTAGCAGTCGGTGGGATACCGAATTGACCTCCGAAACCAGATCTCTGCGATGCTGGGGCAACCAATACGACCTCGTATCCAGCAGCCTTCAACTCTCTGTAGGTTGCACGGATGTTAGTTGCGGCCCAACCATCGTCGTTGGTAAGTAAGATAGTTTTGTTGGTAGACGACTCAGAGGAAGAGTTGTCTCTCTTAAAGAGAGTTGGGAAGGCAGAAACAGAGGCCACAGCAGCAAGGCCAGAAACAATAGAGGAGAGCTTCATAGAGGAGAGAAAAATTGGTGGAAGAAAGGATTCGGTGGTGGGAATCAGCATCCTTTATATCGTTAAAGTCAGTGGGATCAACCGACTACAATTTTGCATCCTAACTTGGATGGTTGCAATCTGCATGGATAAATGACAGAATGCATGGTAGAAGTGATTGTGCATTACAAAATAAGAAACGTGGGGAACTAAAGCCGGTAGGCTTCGCTCAAGTAAGCCTCTTTGGGAATGGGAATAAACATTGACACACTAACCCAATGCACGCACACTAGCCAAATATACTCTAGTGTTTTTTATTTGTGGACAATTGCTTGCCTTCTCTTTTCATGGGACCGCATTGCTAGAGAATAAATTGGTGTCATATGTGCCAAGTCGCACTTTTGACATTCTTTTTACCACATGGTTGCAATTACACAGGACGCAATTAATTAGTCCAATTTCGTCCACATACCTAGTGCTGTACGTCGGAATGAATTAGCTTGAAACGGAATATAGGGGCTCGAGCCATGCATTTAATTTGGCCCGTGGGCATGGCTCTATAGCATGGCTCTATAGTGGTTGGTTGCAGGACTTCGGTAATCGAGAAGCAATGATGTTATATGGCAGCAGATGGCATTGTGCCAGTACGAAAGGGAGTGGAGGGGCATTGAAGTGGAGAGTACTCCTTTGAAGGAGTTACTGTTGGAATCTCTCCAATGAAGTGGATATTAAGCAATTGAATTCTCTAAATTACGATTCGAGTACTCGTAGATCTACGATGGGAAACCAGACTCAAATCTCTGTCGGGAGAAGACATTGTTGTGAGTGGGTGAAATTAAAGTTGCATTCTTTCCTACCAAAGCAATCGGAAACCCAAGGACGATCATTTCGGCTGTATGCGGGAATTCATATCCGTAAAATTTATTCTTGAATGTGCAATCAGGATATGATTCGGAGTTTTCGCAATCAGTTATGAAATTCCGAACAACTATGCAAGCCAAAAAGACCTAAATTAAAAAAGATTTGCAGAGGATAAAATGAGAAAGGTATGAATGGTTATCAGACTTTTATTAGATGAGCATTTGAATTCTCAATAAAGAAAATAAAAATAAAAAGATCAATGAACAAAAAAAATAGAAAAAGAAGTTTCAAATGCTGTCTGATATCTATGGTTGGAAAGATGTCAAATAAGTTGACACAATCCGAATTCCTCATATCATATCTAAGAACACAATTGGAGTATCCACACTCATATGTTTATTTCTCTTCAACCTTGGAAAGTCATCACCAAATATAACACAAGCAATTCATATCTTTCACAGAATCTCCATCTCCTGCACTCGCACCCCCATATGAACCTCCCCATTCGTGCACATGACAGAACCCTCGGTCCTAGCGCGACCTCCACATCTACTAGTCGCCTCCACAAACTTCAACTTCATCTAATGTCAGTGTTGCTGTCGGTAGCCTCGTTCTTTCGTCGCCACAAGAAGAAGTTGATCGTTACCGCTTCCGTGTCGGTGTCGCTCTACATTGTTTTTTACCAGCTTGTGATCAAGAAGTTCCGCAACTTTCAAAATGCATTGAAGCAAGAGCTCTTTGTCAAGGAACAGATCAAGCGTCGATTTATACAGACCCAGACCGACTGCTACTTAACTATCTTGGCGTTATTGCCTGTGTTGTGCCTGCCTGTGTTGACTTACTTGCCCACAGAGTCTATCACCCAGGCCCTCAAGAGGAAAAAGAACACATCTAGAGAAATGTCTGACTCGCTCACCACAGAGAACTTGATGGCACATTCAGAGGACCAGCCGCCGGTCTCTTCGGAGTTGTCGGTATTTCTTGCTAAGTCCAAGCTCGAATTGTGGCACGATTTGAAGGTGAAGTCCATTGCTCGTATGCTTGCCCTCATCTACTCTGCTTCTGGCTTGCTCTTGCTTACTAGGTTGCAGTTGAACATTTTGGCGCGTAAAGCATACCTTGAGCTGGCTATTGCCATGGCAGGAGGCTCTGTTTCACCTAAAAACCATGATTCATACGACTATTTCATCGAGCAGAGCTATTTGTCGTTAAGTTGGTGGCTTCTTAACCACGGCTGGATGCGCATGGCCAACGGGCTCGAGGCTTTGGTAGAGACAAAGTTCAAGGAAATAACGCCTAAGACGGAATTGACCGTGGGCACATTCACTGAGCTTTTGAAGGAAATCAGTGTGGAGTCCTTGGACAACGGAGGTTCATTGGTCACTCACTCGTTGTTTCCTGTCGAGTACGACAACTTGATTGAGACGCTCATGAACACTAACCCGGAGTTGGTCAATGAGCTCGAGAATAAGGACCTGAACCTTGTCAAACTCATCAACGAGACCAACTTCGTCTTTGCCAACGACTTCACGTTGCGAGTGTATGCGGCGCTCGTCAACAACGCTATCGACACTTTGGGCGACAATATATTGCTTGCACTTGACCCCAACGGTGTGAGTAATCGTGTGCACAAACTTGCTACATTTTTAGCACAATTATCGGTTCAATCCAATGTCATTACCGACCCACAGAACCATAGCGACAGCGAGATTACTGGAAACATCTACATCAACAATCTCAACGACTTAGAAGAACTCGACGAGTTCAGTGCTAGCATCTATTCGAACTTTGAGTAACGCACTAAAGTAATGCTAATTCATGACTCATGTATTCTACGACTCCAATACAGCTAGTGAACACTTGAATGTTAAAATATTTGTAAAATGAAGTACTTAAGACTAGTTAGTTCTTTGCAATTGCCAGTTCATAAATTGTATTATTATTATGCTACTTGTCCGTTATTAGATTTTTAAATGATTTTTTACAAACCATCAATTGTCGCAATATTCAGTCGTCTCGTCCCATTTACGGGTTTCTGCATCTTGGACTTCTCAACTCCCAAGTCAAGTACTGTACCATACTGAGGTGTTTCATTATACCACACTAAAATGACAAAGGTTGTGATTGTTTCCTCAGATGAAGAGAAGTTCCCCGTCGATGTTGACGTGGCCAGCAAGTCTGTGTTGATCAAGAACATTATCTCGGATTTGAAGCCAGACTTGGATGATGACGATGACGAGGACTTTGAGATTCCTTTGCCGAACGTGAGGGCAAATGTTCTCAGCAAAGTGTTGGAATGGTGTGAACATCACAAAAGTACGGTGTTTCCTGATGACGATGATGAAGATGCCAGAAAGTCTGCGCCCGTTCCATCTTGGGATAGAAACTTCTTGAAGGTTGACCAGGAGATGTTGTATGAGATCATCTTGGCCGCCAACTACTTGAACATCCGTCCATTGTTGGACGCTGGTTGTAAGATCATTGCTGAGATGATCAAGCACAAATCTCCTGAAGAATTGAGAAGAATTTTCAATATTGTCAACGACTTCAGCCCAGAAGAAGAGGCTGCCATTAGAAAGGAGAATGAATGGGCTGAGGACAGATAATTTTGTTTATGATTTTGATTGAATGTTAGTATTATGAAAAATGTAGATATGCATAGTTAGATGATTGAGTACGGAATGTGAAGTGAAGAACCTAATTGATAAAAATACATTGAAGAAAACTGTTGTTTTGGGAAAGGTGTTGGTGTTGACTGCAAATATAATAACTGGAATCTAAAAATCAAATTTTTGCAGAACTTCTTAGGTTATACGCTTTCTTTGTAGTACCAGAAGATAACATCCATAGGGCAGATTTCTTACCACTCTTAGAGTGAAATGGTTTCAGACCTGTGAAAGCCATACATATTTTGATCATCTACTATTTAATTTACGAGTTTTAAAATTGATAAGCATTTAAGAATATGACTTTCTTGATACTTTTGAGAACATGACTTTCTTGAATTCTGTCATCAACTTGAGAATGGTGAAACTCTCCCATTAGAGTCATCACCTCAAACATTTTAATAAAGTACTTCAAACCTGAAAAATTTCCCAGTATCATTAAGATACGTCTTACATGTCCCGGTTTTCTCATTTTTTTTTTTCCTGGTTTTCTCCATTCTTGAATGAACCTATTGAAATTTTGAAGTGGAACTCTCTTTCATGTCATCATCTTCTTATTTGAACGAGAAAAAACAAGCAAGAACTTTGAAATGTTCAGACTTCTGAATTCCTCAAGTATTCTCTAGTACTCTTCTAATACAAAACTCTTTTCTTACAAAACTTTCAAAACCCAAAACTTTGGAAGTTCATTTTCTAACTTCACTTCTCTCATCTTTAGGTATCTGGGAGTCCTGTGCACGTTACCAATTTACTATCAAGTCGCAATTATTTCGCAGACTATTCAACCACACCATGGCACTGGAAAACGAAACCAACCTAGAGTCCGAAAATGAAATGAATGTTCAACCTCCAGAAATTCATGTTGAAGATATAAATGCCTTGCTGGCTTCTAATCCATCGGAGCCTTTCGATCCAGAACTACTATCAAAACTTCCTGCCATGACTTCAGACCAACTCTCTCAGTTGGAAGAGGTTCTCTCCAGCGAGTTTACTTCGCTATCCAAAAAATTCTTAGTTGCTCGACAAGTGAGAGTCGAAAATATGCTTGCCGCTATTGATCAGCAAATAAAGCTGTGCCAAGCTAACGACGAGCAGTGGACCCAGAAATACAACCATGAGATCGGAGTAATCGAAAGACTAGCCAACAACACAGAGGACCATGTGATTGCTGGCACGAAAGGTTCGGGTCCCCAAAAGCTGTACATCTCGCCTGAAAATTTTGATTCTAATGTTTCCAACTTGATGTCGAATCTAGTTCTGCCCATGGACTTGGATGACATCTTCAACGAAAGAGGTGACGAACTTCCATTTTCTCCCCAATTTAAAAAAATCATCCAGCAGTTCAGAGACCAGCTAGATGCTCTGAAAAATCAGAAAAGCTACCAGGAAGATTTGGTGGACGCAAACACAGAAAAGAATAGAGGAATTCTCTGGAAACAGTATAAGCGAGATGCCCAGGAACGACGCCAACAGCTTATTGACCAGACTTACCTGGAACTCAATGAGCTATATAAGGAGTATTATGGAGTGGCGGACAACAAAATGGCTAATTTGGAAGCATCTCAATACTATAGATCGGTGGTTAGCGTTGATGACATGAAAAATGGGCATGAAGGACAAGTTGGCCGATTTGCGCCTGGAAACATCGACTCATACTACGACGTCGATGCCCCCTACTATAAGAATAATCGTATTGAGGCAACAGATGCCAGAGTAGTGGCACTCTATCGTCTCCACCAATTTGAAGCCGAGCAGAGGAAATACACCATTCCACAATTAGACGAAGCCAATGTCAAACTCAGTGGTTTGCAAGGATTGACTCAGGAAGAAACAGACTTGGATCTTCTAGTTTTGCGAGCAAATATTCAAGCATGTGACCCTGGTCCAAAGAATAACTCTTCCGTGAATGATACATTCAACTCAGAGTTTCAGACGGTCCTAGATACGGATCGGCTCCCATCTCAAGTGGAGATGGAGCCAATACAGCTAGATACTGCGGCCAACGCTGAAAAATAAATCCTCGAATTGGAAAGTAACAAATTCTACATGTGCTTACCAAAATTCAGCATTCTCATTCCTTTTCTAATAATATACTGGCATTCTTCAATCCTGCTTCACCAATAGTCATATCAACCATATCAAGTAGCTTGCTTTTACCCATGCTAGACATAGTAAACCGGTCTCCAGTACCGATGCCATATGTAGCCTCCTCTGTTTCCAGGAGTACAAATTTGAGCCACTGGTATATCTGGCCCACGGTATCATTCTCAAAATCGAACTTGTGAATGAGTCTCTTACCGCTAGGAAAACGAAACTGGATCCTGGTCACTGAGCCGACAGAAGGCTCATCATGATCCTTTGCGGAGATCTTGTCAAATGCATCACCCTCTTCCTGTTCAGGCTCAGACACAGCTGCCTGAGATACGTTATTGGCAACTTCATCGTCATCGTCATCCAAAGCGATGGCATCATTGATGCTGTTGCCACTAGCCCCCACGGATTGCCTCATAGCAAACTCTATTTGTTGTTCCTCGGTCATGGAGTCAGGATCAAACTTGACTTCATGCTTCACAAGTGGATTGCTTGCAGAGGGTTGAAGTGAAAACTTCTCCATGAACAATTCAACGTCAGCCAACCATTCTTCGACGTCAGGTACCTTTCCATCGGTCCACTTGAATACTCGCTCGCCTGTCATGGGATCAAGAATGGAAATGTGAGGGAATTGATCCACATGGTAGAAATTCACGAAGCTTTCTCCGTTAACTGAATCGTGTTGGTATTGCAAGAAAATAAAGTCTTCCTTAACTTTCTGCTTGATTTGTTTGTTGGCCCAGAAGTCTCGGTTGAGAACCTGGCACTGGAATTCTGCCTGGTTCTGAATATTTATGAGGATCCATTTTTTATCCTTCCGACCCATCATCTTTGCGGTATCCAAGTTCACTCGCTCAATGAGATCGAACGGTGGCTTGAAAAGCTCCGCTAATCTTCTCTGTGTAGATGAAAGCTCTCCCATAGGATTTCTCTCTAAGCGAACTCTTCTTGTAGGTTGTCTGACCCGCTCGCCAACTTCATCAACCTGCATTAATTCATCAGAGTCTTCATCCGATTCCACAATCTGCGGCGCATCTTCATAGTCTTCGTCATCGTCGTATTCGAGGTGCTCATGAGGCATATCAAATCGCTGGTTGAAGATTCCTACTCGTCCTCCACCGAACATGTCCAGTTCTCTGGGCATGGACATTTCTCCATAAGTGGGGAATGAGTCCAATAATGTTTCATGACGGTGAACGTTTGTGTCTGCTTCACGTACGTTATCCTGGTATGCTTCCTGTTGTAACTTCTGAGCTATTTCTTCATCTTGGTGAGCTGTAGTGGAGCTGTGGTTTCCAGATTCCATGAACAATTGCACGGCATATTCAACGTTGTTGCCTGAGATCTCCAAGAATTTTTTGGCGGCAGCAGCATCATCTGTTCCAGTGAACGCCAAAAAGGTGGCAATATCGTCGTCCATATTGATGAAAAGGAAGGTCAAGTAGGAAATCAATCAAGAGGTGGATGCGTACTGCATCTGTCATTATTGATGGGATGGCAACTGAGAAGGAACATTAATGGGGAGCAACTATGGGAAGGTAGAATATGAAGTGTATAAATGTAAAGGGTTACTAAAATATAGGAGATATGATAGATTGACTTTCTCATGTTCTAGTGCTTCCATTTTTAGTAATGGAACTATTACTTGATGAACTATTCAGGTGTTTCATAAAGTGGTACCTAGTACCAGATTATGAACGAGAACGGTTAAGGATACTCAACAGAAGTAGTCGGATATAACACAGAAGGGAAGTTTATTATGTTCGTTCTCCGATTCTGACCGTATTACCTCTAGAGATCAATTCGACCTAACAGCACTAGACTGCATGTCGTTGGCCATCCAATATAAGCAATTGATGATGGGTAAGGAGCCAGCGATTAGCTATTCTTCAGTCAAATGATACAGATCAAATTACTGAAAGCTTGCTGATACGAAAAAGTAGTTCATTCGGAAATTTATGGTATATTTGTGAGTGCCTCTGACTTAGTCCCTGCTTGTAGTTGCTATCATACTAAGGGTTTGTGCTTATTATTGTCTGCATGCTCACTTACCATGTGTCCATGGCAACTATTACAAGACTCAAACATGTTGTCACATGTGATTCACAGTCGAGAATCCCTGTGATTCGAACATTGCCTCGACATTGGATGTGGAACTCACCTCCTCCTGGGAGCCCTATTTCATATCTGGACACCTTCTACGTCATAACTTCTAGACAGGTTCATTGTTCAATTGCAACCAATCCACGTTGGGTAACAGCCCCAAGCCGTACGCTACTCGGAATATCTCGATATAAACGTTTCGCTTGTTATTCACTGGCTATTTTCTCACTTTAAAAAAATTTCCTTTCAAGCTGAGCATCGACTTATGGACAATGTAGACTTATAACTTTTCGCACCATTCTTCCTAACCACTGGCCCATGGAACCTCCCAGAAAACACCACGTCAAATTATACCCCTAGAACCTTAAAATTAATCGACCAAAATACTCACCGAGGAAATTCACACACTTTTTAACTTAATCTCAACAGTTTCCAACTCTCAGTCTTCCACACAGCAAAGAAAACGCCTTCCCCACTTTTCTTTTTTGGTCAGCTGGACAACTTCAAAAGCCTTTCAGATCCACACCCGTGCCTCTCATCCACACCATCTACTGTCAACGTACTTGGTGCACCTAACTGACTCAGACCCGACAATCTCAGACCCAAGCAGCTGCCTAAGACTTTCCCGAAAGGCTACATCTTCGGCTAACAAGTATCTCCCTACTTGCTTCTGCTTTGCTTCCTCCGTTCAGGCACTCGCTGAGCACCAGTCGAGATCTCCTTTCGATCTGGACCTACCTATATCTCATTCACATCATCATCGCAGACGTTTCATTTATTCTCGTCTTAACATTCCGATTTCTGCATCTTTGTTTGTTTTAAGAGTTGTTTCTTGATTCCAATAATCCTCATAATCTGCCTTCTTGGCCCTCACTGCATCCACAGCATCGCTTGCTTTTCTGGCTAGGTCATCATGGAAGCATACGAACGCTATAATCGAGGTCAGCTTTTGAACGACCGCTACCTCAAGGTCGAAGACATTTCTGAAGGGTCTTATGGACTTGTTTCTTTGGCGAAAGATACCAAGAACGAAAACACATTAGTCGCTGTCAAGTACATATATCCAGTGGACTACAAGAGGGCTCAGCACTATAAAGAGCTTTCTAAAAAGACTGGGCGGGCCACTTCATCGCCAGCCAAACTCAGATCCAATGTTGAAAATGTTGTTTCCGATAAGAGCGGCGCCTTGAGTGGCATGTGTGATGATTCCAGTCGGGAAATCCGAATTCATAAAATTCTTGGTATTCACCCCAATATCACCAACTTGGTGGACTATTTTGGCTCGTGTCTTGTTCTCGAATACTGTCCACGAGGCGATTTATATGAGGCAATTCAAAGTGACTTTGGGCCATCTACTTCTCAAGATATCAAGGACGTTTTCCTTCAGATCTTGAACGCCCTTACCTACTGTCATCTGAAGCTGGTCTTTCATCGCGATTTAAAGCCAGAGAATATTCTCATCGCTGATGATTGGCTGATCAAAGTGTGTGATTGGGGTTTGGCCACCACTCAACAGAAGGTCACTAACCGTAGTGAGTTTGACATCGGATCCGAGCGTTACATGGCGCCAGAATTATTTGACGACGACTTAACATACTATGATGCCTCCAAGGTTGACCTCTGGTCTGTTGGAATCATACTCTTAACGTTGGTTTTCCGAAAGAATCCATTTCAGGTCGCAAACTACACTGATAAGCGATTCTTGCAATTCTCCGCTAACAGAGAAGCACTTTTTGACTTCTTCAGCGCAATGAGCGGTGAACTCTTTAGTGCGTTGCGGTACTCGTTGAACATCGACCCGTCCAACAGAGACTTGGCCAGCTTGCAGCATGAAATCGAGAAGTTGCGGTTTTTCACCATGGACGAAGAGTATTGGGCTGAACACAGCGATAATGGCGAAGAGGAAGATTTGGGCTACGAGGCTGAAGAAGAAGAAGAGGACAGAGGACGTGTCAACAAGAAGGACGTGGATTCTGAGGACGAAATGTTCAAATTCGATAAGGAAAAAGAAGCAGATGCACCTCAGGACACTCCAGCTACTGAAACTGAGCACCCACCTAGTGTTCTTAGCGTTCAGTCCAAAAAAGCGCTACAATTTGCCAAGCATATCAACATTGATGTCACTGACAGTGATGCAACTACCGCAGCTTCGGCCAGGGATGACGATAAGGAAGATATGCCTTACAACCGTAGAGCAGATGCGTTGCTCTCGCCCATTACGGGTGCCCGTCCAATTCCAATCAGTGGAAACAACCGGATTCGGAACACCAGAAAGCCGTTTGGAGTTGCGTCGTACAATAAGAATCTTGGACGCAGTAACCAGAACGTTGGCGGCAGCTTTGGAGCTCGGTTCCGCAGAGAAGATTTCTTCACTCCTCGCAGCGTGGTTGGTCATTACATGGACAAGTATGGTGAACAGCGTGAACAAAAGGAACAACGCACCGAGAAGCGGCGGAAATGGAACCGTGGACGCAAGCGTCAATCGTGGAAAAAGAAAGGCGGTGACAATCCCGGCGTTCGCCAATCTAGCATTTATGCTAGTGGTCATGGAAATGGCAGTGTCTATTCGCAATCCCAATCGTCCCAAATGTCCCAGTCGCAGAATTCGCAGCCATCGCACTATCGAAAGCAGAGAAACCGTCGTTCACGCATAGACGGTGTTCCAACAAGCAGCAGCAATTATCAACATCCCAACTCGTATCAGGGATCGCTCCATGCGAGCTCCAGCTCGTATCACCAGTCAGCTTCAAACCACGCGAGCCTGAATGTCTACAGCCCTGTCCAGACACCATACAGCCTGGTCCTGACTTTGCCCGTTATAACATCGCCCAAACTTGCCTCCTCCATCTCAACCAGTGTCGGTCGTAACTTGCACCGTCACATGCGATCACCTTATAAATCTCCTCAGAATGGAGCAGTAGGAGTTCTTACGGAGGAGATTGATCACTTGGCACTCAACGATGATGGTGTGTTCCACTTGGAAGACGACTTCGGCGTGGTGGAGTCAGACCCACAACCTAGCTACTCCTCACCCTACAGAAGTTACGAAGCAAGATCTATCTTTGGCAATTCACATGGTTCGTATGCTAACACAAGCAGCTCCATACCTGGTTCTCAGACCCAGAACTTGAATAATGCACATAGCAGCCATAATGGACAAGGGTCCAATTTCCACAATTACCAGGGTTTCAACGTCTACAATTCGAACCAAGCCAACAATGGCAGCCATCTGGGCAGTCGCCATGGAAGTCAGCAGGGAAGTCACCACGGACTTTTCGTAAGCACTTATGGAGGTAGTAATGGTGCCCTGGCATTCGTATCAGGAAGACCTACGAGACGGCACCTGGTGGACCGAGAAGCTAAGTATGTGCCTCCAAATCGGCGGGGTTCGCAAAGCACCACTGCCCGCGAAAAGCGACGTTCGTTTCAGCCCGGCGCGCATCACTCTATCCACCAGACCCTTGAAGAAGCTGCTCATAGCGTTCCTAACGAGCAATGGCTTCTCCGTAAAGAATGGAAGTAGGCGGGAATGCATTGGCCACGAGGTTGGAGCATGTAACCGTGTTTTTTCTGCCATTATTTATGGTTAGCATAGCCATAATGGTGGTTTGTTGATATTTAGCCTCCTTCCCCAGTATGGACGGCTCGTAACCTCAATATTATGGGCAATTCTCGTTTCATCAGCCGTGCTGTCTTGTGCACGCCGATCACTAAGAATTTGGGGAGAATTGGACCAACGTAAATCTGAGGGGTGCGGATTACGAGAAGTTATACAGAGGTCACAATTCGAAAGGACTAATGGACGAGGAGGTTGAGTTATGATTATTTGCATGACATTTTATTTTACTTGCGATACTCGTCAGAATAATCATTCCACTCAGCCCTAGTATTTTCGGCAGTGCGAAAAAAAATCATCAGTGAAACCATTGGCTCGCGCGATGACCTAATGTAGCCTTTGTTAGATGCCGGAAAGCACAGCCTTCCGCTACTTTGACACTATTGTTTCGCATCTCACACTTGGAAAGTTGCAACTTCGAGATTTACAAAATCGCCACCATATGACTTACCACTTCACGATCTTTGAATCACGATGGCCAAGAAGCACGATCACTTGGCTTCACTCGCGACGCCCCACTAACTACGAGAATCTTTAGCATTTCTTGTCCTCTTAGCCGGAATGCGCGAGTATAATTAGCAATGTCTGCGCCTGACCTGCAGCACCAGGACACTGTTAAGAGCAATGCACAAGAATTTCTTGACACACTTCCTTGTCTTTCCCCTGTTTAAACAACTTGGGTCTTTTATCAAGACATCTGTCCTTTTAGTCACAATTCTACCTTACTTTTTTTGGTTTTGTGGTCGCACTCTCCTAATATCCCGCGAATTCGTGTTTCATCCCGTTTGGCTACCAAGCCTTGGCAAAACATACAAATTCTTCAACCATAAGGATACAACGAGTCACTAGTGTGGTGCCAGGATACATGTGCATCACCAAGTTCTACCAGCGCCGGTTGGTGTTGGTCTTCTTCATGTTGGTACTCGCGTTATTACTGTTCGTCCGCTCCTTGTGTCAGAACATCCCCGACAGCCGACTCGATGCTAACACTCTTGCCATGCACAGGGCGTCATCTTTCAACCCCAGATCGCTAGTCTTTTGCATCTACTCTTACATCAACTCAGTCTCGAACCTTGAATCGCACCATGCTTCTAACGTGGTCAACGTGGCCCACTTGGGAAATCGTGACGGAGTTTACTTCCACTGGGATGATTGGGTAGATTTGTCTCCGGCCAACAAGCACTTGGACCATTCACGTACCTTGTACCCGGATGGCAAATGCGACGCCTCATTGAAGGAATTTTCTTCTGTCAATCCATACTTCATGGAATCCTACAACACAAAAGTGCTCCGCGGAATGGTCAACTTGTATTGCGTCAAGGACATTCCCAAGCGTATCCTCGCTGCTACAGATTCGGGCTTTGTTGAAGTCCCGGTGTTGGGCAGAAAGCGCATTGGTCAAGGTGGCATGCCACGAAAAATCTCGAAAGAGTCGGTGGTTAAGAAGATGGAGGATTCGGAACTGGCCCTCTCTTACTCGGATCAAGCGGAATCGGTCCTCAGATTCCATCCTTACAAGCGCTTCCAAAGAGAGATTGACATCGAGCCTCAAGATTTCATTTTCGACCCTGAGCAGCAGATTTTCGCGTTAAAGGACGCACTCAATAAGAACACCATACTGGGTGATGATCTTCAGTACCTCCAGTTCTTGGAAACATCGAATGCTGAGGTTGATAGCGCCGACCGCTTTTTCAAATACCCATGGATATATACTGATGTGATCGCTGGCCGCTCTCACCATACGTCTTTCCCATTTTTCAAACGTTACATCTCTAATAGAGAGCGTCAGTCAGTGCTACATCACTTAGTGCGGGTGTGGTTCAAGTTCGCCGAAAGCCAGAATGTGAACTCTTGGGTCAATTACGGTTCTCTTCTTGGATGGGTTTACAATGGTGTTAACATGCCATGGGACACAGATATTGACGTCCAGCTACCAATAGCCCAATTGGACAGGCTCTCGCGCAAGTTCAACTCCACCATAATCATTGAGAATCCACGTGACGGAAATGCCAAATACTTGTTTGAAGTTTCGCCCACGTATATCCGCCAGGGTAATGGACGCAATTTCATCGATGCCAGATTCATTGACATTAACTCAGGCCTCTACATTGATCTCAGTGCTCTTTCACACACTACACATCAACCACCACCAGCATTCTACAAATCACATGAATCGCAAAGCGATATGTCCAGATTGAAGAGTATGCCAGTCCATTGCAAGAATTGGAACTGGCACTCCTTGGACGAGCTATTGCCCATTCGTCACACGTTTTTTGAGGGAGCCTCAGTCTACATTCCTCGGAACGTTCTGACAATTCTTGATCGCAAATATGGTGCTGACTCTTACACAACTAAGCTCACGTTCAACAATCACAGGTACAGACTGGATCTCCGGCTTTGGGTACCTGAGAACGAATGTACGCGTGCATGTGGAGCAGCACTGACATTGTTTGGATCAGCCAAATGGCTGTCCAAGTGTCGAAGTCAGTGGCTCGAGGATGAAATGAAGATTGTGGCGCAATCTGCAGAACGACACACTCAGCTCAATCTTGGGCCAGACGCCCCAGCCGACTACTCGATATCATCGTACGAAGATCTTCCTATTGCCCGGAAAGATGCGTGGGACTATTACAATGACATCAACAATAAGGCAGTATCGAATTCGAATTGGTACATTGCATCTTGAAAGTCTACTGGGGCATAATTCCCCTGAATCATATGAAAACGGATACGTCCGATCTTGCATTCCACTCATTTGCATAAGTCAGAGTCATTGGACCTAATGACTTGTCTAGTAACGCCATACTACATACTACGGAAAATACTCACGATCCCTGATGTCACCATCGATAAGTTCAGTAATTTTTATCCTTTGTAACTTCAATTTTCAATTATTCTATGCATAGGAATTCTAAACTTTAGGAGTTCCAAATTACAGGGACCTAAAACCCTCTGTAACCCTAATGATCAATAGCACCCCATAATTATCAGTAACACCCCTTGATTATCAGCAACACCTCCACTAACCGTCAAGTATATTCGTAAATTATCATTCTATCATCAACCACATACGTTAATATATTTCCAACCTCATTTGTATCAAAATACAAACTGTCATCCTGAAGTTGTGGGGTTCTATTCCCATCGATACATCCAATCGATACCCAATCTTTAGGACATCCACCCAATGATGATCCAATCGAACTTTCCATTACATCTTTGATGAATCATTATTATCAGATGGAAAAACTGACTCCTTCGTTTTTCCCTTTATCGTAGTCATCCTACATGGGCAACCCTCTTATCAGTGGGGGAAACTACCCCAAGGTCCAAAATGGATGACTACCGGAAAATCTCGGAACGTGCACATTGCGGTTAATTAGAAATTATTCCGATAATCTCTGGGGTCGCCCCGGAGAAGCGTGGGGCAGATCAACTATTCTGTATTTTCTACCCATGAAAGCCCGGCGACACATTTCTTGCGTCATCCGACCTACCGAAAGATGTGTAGAATTCTCCATGTTGCCGTGAGTGGCCGACCTCCCCACATTAGGTCCTTTATGAGAGCCGGAATTACTCTCACAAATTTTCCCTGGCAGGAGCATCACGTGCTCATGCGCGGGCCTAATCCGGGTCAGAGTCAGCGAAATGTGCACTTTCAAATGTTACAATTGACAGAATGCGGGGGGTAAACTTTCCGAATTCAACACCAAAGAAAGTAGTAAACAAACAAGAATCATTTGGAAATATAAAAAAAAAACACCATAACGTCATCAAACCTGATTTCTATCCATGAACAATTATCTCTTGTCATTATAGTCATTTCACTTGGTTCACTTTACCCCCAAGAATCCTCTTAAGAGGTACGGGTGTCTCCTCTAGTAGCCGTTTTTCCAAATTGTCACCATGTTTTCTCACCATAGCAACACTTTGTAACCCCCATCGACTCCATCCACCTCACCTCCATCCTTCACCCTTATCGCACTAGACATTCTTTGACTGTGTGCATCATCCACAATTTGCTGTTGCTAATTTCAAGCGCAAATTCTCCCTGCTTCAACTGGTGTATTTGGAGAAGCTCTCCAGTCTGCCTACATTCGCTTCGTGAAGGTGACTCTGCCTCACGCTGCTAGAAGCTCGACTTTCTGAGACTGTTGGTGCTTTCTAACTGCCAACCACTGTTTGTGCCGTGAATCCTGGTTGCTGGCTTTCGCCACTGTCCAAGCTATCTGCTGGTTTCACATCCCCAGACTTTAGTCGGCACCTTCCATTATCTTTCATCACCACCCCCGTGGGCAGCACCACTAACTAGTGACCCAATGTCTCAGAATAACACCGGAGAGGTGTTCCAAGGCGGCGCCACCACATCGCAACACGTAGACGCTGAGGATGACGACCATTTTGAGAATACCACCTTCAAATTGAAACGGACCCGGTCTCTTGGCCTCTTGGACGAATTCATCGATCCTGAGAAACAGGAACAAAGAATCGAGAATCACAACGCCGAAATGGAGAAACTGGCCCCTTTGGTGGCTCCGTCTTCTTCAACTACGGTCACTGTACCCGACTCTACTATTTCAGACGTTCCAGGCTCCAGCTCGGAAGAACCACCTTCTCAGTCCTCCGTCACCACACCAACGCCGCCATTCGTCCGCAGCCCGGAGATGATTCCCCACGATGACTCAGACTTGGTGGCCGAACCTTCCCGCCATGTTGACTACTTGTCGCATCAGTGGGATGTGGAGGATATATCGAAGTCGTGGAGATATGTGATTCTGCGTCGGAAAAACGTGGCTAATGCCGCCCGATTGGAAAATGCATCATGGCGGACATGGGCCCAGCGTAGATCGCACCTCAAGACCATTAGTCCGGAAGAAGTCAACTGGCTGAAGGAGAGTGACGTCACTTGGCTTTACGGCCCCATTGTAGACGATGACGACCATGACCATGACCACGACCAAGACCATCCATCCAACGCCTCCCAGACATGCAATACTGCCAGCAGTGTTGTGGCTGGAGACATATCCATTGCACGCAAAAACCACGGGCCCAAGCCTATCTTAAAGAAACGTACTGTCGAAGACATGATGATCAGTCACCTGAACCTATTAAAGCTCGAGGTGGCTACGGCGAGAGCCGAACAGGAACAGAGACGCAGAGAGGATGCGGAAGCTCAAAGACGCCGAGAAGCACAGCAAAAGAGTGGTGTTTCTGAGAGACCTCCGGAGTATTTTGACTACGATGTCATCTCTGCAAAGCTCAACTCTCAATATAAGAACTTTTCACAGCAAAGTTCTGCAAACAACAGTGCTATTAATTTGGCTGCAAAAAATCATTCGGCTGTTGCGCCAGCAGACTTGTCATCCAAGTTGGAGAAGGTAGCATCTGATCAGAATGAAGCTGAGGAGCCGGAGCCTGTGTTGACTCTGCTGATTCTCCAGCATAGTCTGTCTGGGCTGACGTCTTCCATCTCAAAGGAGAAGCGCCGTATCCATTTTAACGACGAAGTGCAACAATGTATTGCAGTCGACGAATATTCGAGTGATGAGGATGAATATGATGATTATGATGAAGATGATGACGACACTGAGTACGACTACGGTGAAAGTGAAAGTTATATTTATGAAAATCAACAGAGCGGAGAAAGTCGATCAGATTATGATGAACCGGCGGACATTGAAGATGATGAAGATGAAGATGACGACGATGACGAAGGCGGATTTTTCTTACGTGTTAGGTCCCCTTCATCCGCATCCATGGCTGGCTTCGCGCTTCCAGGTTTGTCTTCATCCAGCAAAGATTCGCCTAAAGAGAATGAAAACAGCGAAGACACCGAGTCGATATCTACCAATAACTCTAAAGTCTACAAAACCATTCACTTGTTGCCTCCAACAACCTTGAACTATGGCTCTTCCGACGAAGAAAGTGATGAATCTAATCCATACACATCTAGTTTGTCTCACAATGTGGACAACAGTGTTAGAGGCTATGACTACTATTATGACTATAATAGTGTTTATCAGGTCGATCCAAACCACGCTATCTACGGAGCAAAGAAGGCCCCTGACGTTGTTGATGTCCCTGAAAACATTACCTTGGGATCCAACTTCGACTATGAGATCATCGAGAACGAAAATGCTGACAACTTTGACTATGCTCCATTGGAGATTGTGGGTCACTCACATGCAAACACTACTGACAGCACGGCTGCTTCTGGCGCTACTATAAATCTGAGCGACAAGGAGCGCTTGCCTATTTCATCATTGGATGATTCAGCTGTATATCCTGTGAGACCAGTCCCATTGTCAATGGATGCGTCAGATTCGTCCTCAGAAGATGAAGAGGAAGGTTTGTCCATACACACGAAGAATTCAAGCCAGTCGTTAGCTCAGCTGGTTTTTGGTGGACAAGGAATGACGGCAGCAATTTCTAAGCAAGAAACGGACCACTTTCCAAAAGATTTCATCAAGGAGAGAGAGCCTGAAGCAAGACACATCTCCGAAATTAACCCTAGGTATTCGTCCACAGAGCTTTCCAAGCAGCCACATTCTTCCAGTTCGCTCTCAGACCAATTTTTCTCTACTGGAATGACACCAGCAAAAAACAGCGCATTAGCCGATCTGTTTTTTAACACACAAGACCTGCCAGAAAGCACGAGTTCTCCGTTGTCGCCCTCATACAGCGGGACACAGTCACCTCCAGTGCAGCCCAAGTCGTCGCCGTTGCCCCCACACACTACATCAGCTAACGCATTCCTGGGACGCAGCACACCACCACTCAGCAAAAAGGAAAGCAAAAAATCGTTTATCTTCGACTCAGACAGCGAATCGGAAGACGAGTTTATTGAGAACGTGAACCCTCCTTCATCCACTGCCAGCAATGACAGCACAACGTACGCATCCTTATACGCAGTTGCTGACCGCAACGGCATCCCAGTGTCTCCTCCAGATTCTGAAGAGAACCAAAGACAAAAGAAGGGTCTGGCCATGGCCAACTTCTTAGGAGGTTGGAACAAAGGCAGTTGATAACATGGCGATGTGCTGCGCATACTCTACACGAGGCTCCAAACATAGCATTTTTGAGGCGACTACTGCAAGCTGTATTTACTTCATTTCTATTCAAAAAAAAATAAGAGATTTTCTGTGTCAAATACGAAATTTCCAAGATGGAGAACAACATGTAGGTCTTCTGTCAAGATTGCCAACATTTGTCTATCGTAGTGCAGGTTGGTCATCATCAGTGACGATCATTAACTTTAGGCATCCGTACATTTCAGTAGTTCCCCATATACTTTGCCTACCGATTACCAGCAACATCTAGCATAATTTACGTTCTTTTCTTTCTGGCTCAAACTATGGCTTCTAATCTTTGGCACCATGTGCTTGCTACGATTTCTATCGCGTACTTGGTGAAATTCACGTCAGCACCTTCTAAAAGTGACGATGAGGGAAAGTGTGAATTAGTAGGAACCTTTTCACTACTAACGCAAGCATTTTTGGGGCTCTTGTGCTTACTGTCACTTATAGTGAAGCGATTTTATGAGTATCCAGTTCGCCGAACATGGCCCGTGTGGTTTTTTGACGTGTCTAAACAAGTTATTGGAGCTCTAGGTGTGCACGTTTTCAATGTGTTGCTATCTATACTCAAGGCGCTGCCTAACGACGCCGTGCCTTATGGCGATAGCCTTCCGGACCCTTGTGAAGGAGATGATGACTGTGGGGCAGATCCCTGCGATTGGTACTTTCTCAGTATCGTTCTAGATTGCACGATTGGTGTATATGTGCTTTATGTGGTGTTGATGGGAGTCAGTCGGGTTTGTAAGCGGGTATTCCATATCACTCAGCTCGAGAGCGGTGAATACGGACCAAATCCACATAAACCGTCGGTCACCGCGTACTTTAAGCAATTGGCCGTCTATTTTGGCTCGCTTATGATCACAAAGTTTGTGCTTTATGGGTTTGTTGAGTGCTTTGAGACTCAGCTTCTATGGATCACCAGCCACATTTTGTTGGCGTGGCTCGACGAGTATCCGAACGAGGTCGAGATATTTATTGTGATGTTCGTGGTGCCGGTGTTCATGAACTGTCTTCAGTTGATTCTAGTGGACAACTTCATTCAGAACCAATTTGTCCTTGAGACAAATAGCAAGCTCAACCGTGAGCACATGCAGCATGTAGACGACGAACAACTTGAACGTGATTTAGAGCGAGAATTTGAACGGCTAGTCAAGTCCCATTCCCCTGAGAGAAGCTACAGTTCTGTGGATAACTGAGTGGATTGTTCATATTGGCTATTTACAAGATGCCCTGCAACAATGAGAATTTGAAAGGTTTTCTTTTTGGTTTCGATATGGTGTATGCCGAGACTGTGTTGCAGTGTCTATTTTTCGACGACTAAGTTTGCCTCTGCGGCAGAGTTGGTGGCAATAGCTGGCTCACTTTGTCTCGAAGCCAAACCCTTTCATACATACTCTGTACTTCTGGATCAACTCGTCGCATTTGCCACCTTCCTGGCCGTTGAACAAGAGACACTCATCACGAGTCTTTTTCTCGTCCAAGCATACACAGCATGGCTTGGGTTTGTCTGTTGGGGCTGGGGTGGACATGATAGATGGTGGTTCGATTTCATTAGTAATTTCTCAGCTTTATACTGATGGAGGCGTATGCACACCGGCATGCCCTCCACAGTTTGTATGGCCCTACTATTGTTAAGAAGTACAGCGATCAGAGAGTAAATTGGATCAATTTTAGAAGATGGAATCTTGTAATTCGATCAGTTTTTTGTAAACCGAATCCACTTAATAGAAAAAAGGAATCTTGAATTTTTAGTATTTTGGTACCTTGTGGCTATATTCTGGCGGAATTAACGTCTTCCCATCAATTTCCCAAAAGCTTGACAAAAATTATTGAAGGTAGAGAGTTGTACAAAAAGCAGAACGAAAAAAAAGGAATGAAGAAAGCAATACAAACAAGCAAGTTTTCATTTAATCGATTTAAATCAGAAACGCAAATTGTAAACAATTCATCGTCTTCCAATTTTCCCCATTTACTCAATTGTTTGTCTATATCTCACCTGCACATATTCCAACACATACTTGCGATTGTAGACTCTAAATAGCCAAATCATTAAAGTATGTCCGTCGAAGACGACCCCATGCAGAGCCTGGTGGCGCTCTCCACTGACGCCTCGGCTAACATCAATGAGGACATTACTTGGGTGTCCGAATACCTGGAAGGATCACCAAAAAGGGCGCTGGAATCGGTGTTTTCCAACTTCAGAGGGTCCACCGATGGAGGATCCACCATCATGAATGCCTTTAACATCTTGAAACAAGGTACTGCCGATGACGATGAAAGAGCAGCCACAGCTTTCTCGCCGTTGGGTCCCAACTCGATATTTGAGTTAACAGTTGCGTCGGATGCCGCACGAATCAGACTGAATCGACGTCTCAAGGACCACGTCACACTCAACGGCGGGGCAACCACCATTTACAGCTTGACCAAACCTACAAATAAGGATATTCCCCAGATCCAACTCCATTCGCTCAAAAACAAGGTTGCCAACGCACAATTGACCTCCGATTTGATCTCCAATGTCCAATCTGACTATAAAGGATTTGAGCTGAGCTACAAGACCTTGACAGAGGAAGTACTACAGAAGTTCTCCGAGCAGCAGGACCATTCTCGGGACAGCGACTCGGAGTTTGCTGATGTTTCGGATGATGAAGCGCCCCTGATTCCAAGCGTATTTCAGGATTCCGAATTTCGCCTAGACGATCCGAGAACGTTCCGTCAGGTCATGGAGAACTCCAAGGTTCTTCCAGACCCAGAGTCTAGTGACTCAACGCATATAATTCACAACACTGAAGTCCAAGACAAAATTTCTAAATACTTGGATGCAGTGGAGATCCAACTTATCCACGAGATCTCAAAGACATCAGACTCATTTTTCAGCACATTAGGAGATATACAGACCATAAAGGCACAATCATCGGATTGCTTAGACCAATTTCATGGCATTATGGAGAAAATGAATGAACTTGAAGAGGGACAAGCTCAAAAGGGATTGAACATTTTGGATTTACTAGATGAGCGCAGAAGTGTCAATCATCTTGAAAGTTCTGTGCTACAGATCAAGTCAGTCATTTCGAATTTTGGAAGAGCCAGCGATTTATTCAAAGAGGGAAAGAATAGCGACTGTCTTAATCAGATCGTGGTAATAGAAAACCTCATACAAGGTGTTGATCGTGAAATCTACTCCGATCCGGAAACATTTGCAATTTACCCAAAATTTGACTATCCTTTAGTCCCCCTTGCAAGTTTGCCTGCCCTCAGAGGAGTGATCCGTGATTTGCAACGACTCAAGCAGTCTTGTAGCCAAGGATACATCAAGAACTTTGTCGACTTGCTTCTTGAGAATCTCAGATCTCATTACACATCCACTTCAGCGAGGGATACCATGAATCGCATTTATGTCTCTATTGACAGAACCCGAAAGTACAACTCCAATCCAGTTTCGAGGCTGTATAACGAAATCGACCCTGACGTCAAAAGAAACTTACAAGAGTTCATTAATAACTTGTCAAAGTCCGGACAACTTGTTCAAGCCTTTGAGGAGTACCAGGATAAAATTATTGCAGAGGTCAAGTCTATCATTAGAAACGGTTTGCCTGACAGCAACAAAGAGTCGGTGTTGGAAATCAACTCCAACGATTCCTCAAGAGCATCATCTTACCCACCTGGAGCGGCGCCAAATGAATCGACTCCAATGGCAGGAAGCAACGGGGTTACATTGTCCTCTAACATCAAAAGCTTGACTGCCAGAGAATTCAACGAAATGATGAAGAACATCTACGCGAACTTATCGGAATGTTTAAGAAGATTGACCATACATCAGAAGGTTCTTTTGGACTTGTCTCTTACGTCTCTCTCTCCTGAATCCTCGCAAGAGATGGATGTGATGGCACTAGACATCACCAATGCCATCAACAAGGCCATCGAAATCACACAAGTGAGGTTAGTCAAAGTATTAAACGTTCGTCTGGAACAGCTAGGAGATGCACTGGTTGAGGAGTATTTGTACTTGTACCTGATTTCATCTGCATACTTACTGGAGTGTGAGTTTATCAACCCAGTATTCGTCGCAACAGGGCCTGGAAGCTCTCTCACTGAATGGGTAAAGAATCATATTGCATACTTCTTGCACAAATTCCACTCGAATTCCATTAAAAGATTCGCAAGTTTTTGCGACAAAGAAACTTGGAGGGAATGCACTTCACAGGAGAATATCCAATCAACTCAAGGTATTGTGGATGAATTGATTGGCTACTCACAATATTTTGCAAGTGGGGGCAAAGAGGGTATTGATGGAAGCAAGTGGTTGGAGTTGCTTGACTTCTACGACGATGGAAGCTCTAAGGATTCCAGAGAGAAGATTCCTTCTTTGCCAGACATTACTGAGATTCCAAAGCTAAGGGTGAAAGATTCAAGCTTCTTGATACCTCCTTTGGTGATTAAAGTTGTCCAGAATACTAGAGATTACATTATCGCATCTAAAATATTTGCGTTCCGGGCGGGTCAGATTGAGTCAAATTTGCTAACCTACTTTAAAGTTGTGAATTCCAGAATCTCTCAATCAATTTTGAATGCTGGTGCAACTAGAACAGCTGGATTAAAGCATATTACCACTAAACATTTGGCATTATGCATTCAGACTATAGAGTTCTTCATTTCATTCTTGGAGCAGATCCAATTTGCGTTCAAAAACCAAACGGTTGATCCCAACCAGAATCCTGGAGGAGAAGAACAGTCTTTTATGGGAACCATTAGTCATTACAGAGATCACGAAAAAGAATTGTTCTCGAAATTGGTTTCGATTATGCACGATCGAACTTTGAACCATTGCACGGCGGTAAAGCAACTTGACCTCTCAAAGCCACTAAAGCACCCACAACAATGTCATCCATACATGGAGACTTTGGTCAAAGAAACAATCACTGTCGCCAAAGTGCTTGGGAAGTATTTACACGAGAGAGAATGCTCAGCGATTCTTCTGCAAATTTTTGACAACTATAAGAAATTGTTAGTTAACTGCTTTTGCACTGAGCTTCCACAACTCAAAGATTTCAATGAGAAGCATTCCATATTGAAGGATATTGACTACTTCAGAGTCAAACTCTCTGAAATTCCTGGGTATGGCAACACTGGTCAAGTTATCTGGGAAAATGTGAACTCACTCCCCACGATTGAGGATTCAAGAATGGAGCAGATAATGAGGAATAATATCGAAGGAGAGAGAGCGGCAGCAGCAGTCAATGAAGTCCCACCTGAAAAGAAGAGTGCATCACCAGAAATCAAAACCCCAACTGCACCCGAGGAGAACACAGAAGGAGAAGTGTTGTTCAAGCAAGAGGAGGAGACAGAGAATTCTAAGCAGGGACCCGAAGTCTCCGAGACAGAAATAACAACAGATGTGCCATTGACAGAAAATCAGGAATCCGAAACTTCAGCAGAAGAAGGTAAAGGACTAGAGCTTGGCGAACCTCCAGTCGATTATAACGAGAAAACCAAAGGTGAGGTAGTATCTGGATCTTCACAACAAGATAATTTAGTGGAGTCAGTTTCAACCTCGAATGATAAGAGAGAGTCATTCTCAAACGAAGTCGAAAAAAAATCGACATTCGAGGGCGAGACAGAGGATAGGAACGAAGACAAATGATGATTCCAGCGACTCGACCTAACGGAAAACCCAAAAACCGGACGCAGTTTAACCTAATTTTAACACGTCTATTAGCATATATTAATCAAAGCTCAAATTTGCCTTGCACCTTCTCAATTGGACGATCCTCAGTAACAATACAGTCAATCAATTCATGAGGAGCAACATCAAATGCCGGGTTCCACACTTGAATACCAGGAGTAGCAATTCCCACCGTCACCTTTTCTCCAATTGCACCTTCTGCGTCTAGAAGCGGCCCTTTGAGTGTAGTTAACTCGTTGGCAGGTCTTTCTTCGATGACAATATCATCACCAGTTTCAGTTGCATAATCAATAGTGGTTTTTGGAGCAGCAACAATAAACTTGATGAGTTCTTCCTTCGTAGAAGATTTCGAGTTGAAACTGTCAGCAATGGCAGCCAATTGATAAGTTCCGATCTTGTTGGCAGAGTCTCCGTTCTTGACAACTCTGTCTGCACCCACGATGATGAACTTCACAGGTGCTGCACTGTCCTTGATAGGCTTGCCCTTTTTCAAAGTCGAAATCAACGACGTAGCCATATTGTCACAAATAAGAGTGAATGGAATCTGTTCGTATTGTAATTCATATGTTGTCAACTTTGCACCCTGGTTGTATGGCCGAGTCTCCAAAGGATAGGCATGTTCGAACCAGAAATTTTCAGCAGAAACGGATTTCGACAATTTCTCATGAACAGAACGAATGATACCCAAAGCAGTTCCGTGGCCAGAAGTAGCCAAAGAACCTGTATTACAAATGGTTACAATAGAGAAGGGGCCCTTGAAGTTTTGGCTTTTCAAGGTCTCGGTGATGTACTTCAAGCCGTTTTCTCCAATTTTGTAGTTGTTGGCCAAGTCGTCTTCATGCAATGCCACCGAATAATCAAAAAGGACCTTGAATACCTCATCATCCACCAAGTGGGACTCGTCAAATTTCTCCTTCAACAAGTGCTTGATCTCAGTGCAAGCATTGGAGAGATTCACTGCTGTTGGTCTGGAGGTCACTAAGTAGTCGATGGAAGCAAGCAAGTTGGCCACGGTTTTGTCAGAATCATTGGCACCAGACTTCAAATAGTTCTTGGTATCGACGGCAATAGCAAATGCTCCAACAATAGCAATAGCTGGAGCTCCACGTACTTGCATCAACTTGATGGCAGAGAAGGCATCTTCAATAGATTGAATGTGGAGGTATGTGGTCGAATATGGGAGTACGAGCTGATCCAAGATATCCAATGAGACGGTATCCTTGTCAAAGACAATTGCTTTCAAAGTTTTAGCAGACATGATCAGATTTGATGGAAACCACGTGGAGTTGGAGGATTGAAAAGTGTGGAGCCTGCGTAAAAAGTGATCTAGAGACCTACTTAGTGAGGAATATTAAGAATTTACCAACACTGAAATTAAAAAAAATTCCAAATTTGCGACGAAAATCTTTATATTCTGTATTGTTATTAAAATATAAGTCTCCGTACTCCTTCGACATCAAATTCTTGGGTGATTGAATTCCATTTGCACCCAAGAAGTTTCCTACCTGTGATTGGACACCTTCCACCTTTGGAGATGTCGTAAGAAGAGCCAGACTCAGGCTTTTCCGTCTTGGAGACTTTCTCCTTTTTCTCCTCTTCCACATCGTCTTCACTCTCTTCGTCCGTCACATCTTCATCGCTACTCTCTTCTTTCTTGGATGCTTTGACCAACTTATGCGAATCACGAAGATAGTTATAGATGCATGTGTAACAAAAAACGTACCCCGTCTCAATGATCGCAGGGTTCAGGATCTCTTCCTTGCACAAAGGACATGTGGAACCCGATTTGTAGATCTTCTTTGGCTTCTTCTCCACTCTTTTTAAACCAGTAAGCTTGGATGGCGGAGGGATTATGGAGTTCAACGCATCGGCTTGGGACTTGGCCACTGTCTTTGCGAAGTCCGAGTTATTCCACCATTCCAAGAATTTCAAAGTGAAAATAGCCAATGGAAATGATGTCCCGAGAATAAAACGGATCGAGCTCCAAGTGGGTTTGGTAAAATATCTGGTCAAAAATCTTACAAGCTTTTCAACATTGGAAGGTGGAGACACTCTGTTAGGCAAATCGTTTCTAATCCTCTTCAAAGGAGGCTCGTTTTTCGAATAGTCGTACTGATTGAGCCGCGAGTAGTTGATCTTAAACAAGAACGTAAGTAAGGACGGCGACTTACTAGTCCCACTCAAGTACATAAGAGTGGTGACGATATTTGACCATCTCCATACAGATTGGAAGTAAGGAAACAACTCCACATATTTTCGCTGCAACCACACTTTCTTTCTCTCGCGTGGATTTTCAATCACCTTCTCGTCAAGCTGGTTGGTAATATACTTTGAGAATAACAATTCATACTGATACGTGAACTTTTCCAGCAAGTATGACACGCCAGTAATTTCAAAAATGGACACAAAGGTCTGCAATGAAGAGAGTTTTCTTCTCTCTTCGATCATAGACGGAACGAGCTGCGTCAACTTACTCAGGTTGTATTTGGAATCGGAAAGTGGAGTTTGGCTGACTCTCTTGAGTCCATAGAAGTTCTCGGTAAAACTGCCTTGCCAGTACTTAAAGAAATACCATTCGATAAATGTCCGCAAAAATAAGTTGATTTCATCGAATTTGTTGGTCACCCGTAGCAAATACTGGGGATATCTCTGAGCATAGTGTACCAAGACATATCTAAGAGATGGCGATAGAAGCGACTCAAGCTGATTGGCAGAGATGAGTTCAAAAAGAGTTGGAGTCTCGGAGTCAAGCTGAGAAGCATCAAGTGACGAGTAGTACTCCATATTTGATGTGTATAGCTAGATTTTAACGGTATCTTGTGTTACTTTCACTTGATAACCCCACACAACCGAGGTATCTTAGTCGTGCAAAGCACACACCATCAACCTTACTACTACCATACTACCATGGAGAACTTAGAGGGGTTAAACACGATAATGGACGAGTTTCATATCAAAAAGAACACTGCAGTCATTTTTGGTATATCTGGATTGCTTAATAGCGGCCAACTGTATGTAAATGTACCTCAACCACCTACTCATCTCGAATCGGGCTATTTACCCGACATAATCTACGATCAGGACGAAAACGACAACTTTTGTTCCATCTTTAGCGAGCTGCTTGAAAGAACCCAAATAACTCAAGTATTCCACGTACAAGATTCTACTTTTGAAAAACTCCATTCTGAAAACGGCATCCTAAGCAGTGATTTCGACTACGACCCTCAGGTGCCTATTTTAACTAGTGAGATGTGGTAAACGTGCAATGCTTTAAACACTGATATCAAAATGTCGTAAAAGGAACAAAGTCAGAACAAACTCTTAGCCGGTCCGCTCTTGCTCAACCGAGGGTCAAACTGAAATCTATGCTTGACATAAATCTCCCACAGAGACAAGTCAAACACTCTAAAGTCTCCCGTCTCAGGCGTCTCAGAAGTACCCAAAGGAAAGAACCAATACTGGTATTGTGACAGAGCTTCCGAGCTCAATACATCATCCAAGCCATAGGGCGCCCATCCTAACTTATGGAGTAGGAACTCGGCAATTATATTTTCCAATGGCATGTGCCCGCAGTAATACCCATAGAAGAGAACCATCGTCAACTCATTCACCATGGCTGCGCTCTCAGAGGTCTTTTGATGTTCTAAAAGTTCCACTTCCTTGACGAGCTGATTGAACAGGTTGCCTGCTCTTATGCGGTTCCAGTAATTCTGGAGCTTTGACATAAACATAGGTGGTTTGATTTGACTCGAGCCGAACCCAACCTGGTAGTTCTGTGGAAGATAAGTCTTGCGCATGTAAGGAGAAGCCAGCAAGTTCTTTTGAGGAGGCACAAGCAATTTACACTCGGCAGTGGCCCTGTTGGTAGCAGTGTACGCCACAGCAAATTCCTGAATGCCTGGAGGTGTACGCAACAAGTTGAAGTCACTAAAGAGCTCAAGTTCACAGGGAGATAGCGACGAGTTTTTCAACACTTCAAGATATGGCGAGTACTCATCATTCTTTGTGAGAAGTGAGAGTAGCTCCGAAGAAGCATGCTCTTCAGTACGATGCTCTTTCTTGTTATTTAGCGTCTTTTTCTCAACTTCTGCTGGCTCTGTTTGCTCTGCTTGCTTGACTTCTGGATTCTCTGTGGCATTATGACCATTACTTCCTTCTGCTTTAGGTGCTGCACCACCCGCAGCAATAGACCACTTCAAAGCTCCCACGGGTTTGGCGGGGGCAGCTGCTGGCTTCAATGTGGTAACAAATCCAGGTGTAGAGTTGTCGGAGAGATCGTTTCTTCCCGCTGACTGCTTGCTCTTTGCTGTAACGTTTGTGATAGGCTTCGACGGTATCTCCGCTGGTGCTGTGGGTTCTGGGTTAGGAGCAGGTGACGCGGATGCGGTTCCCTTTCGTTTGACAACCAGTTCAGCCGATGCAATGGGTGCTGGATCGGTTTCCTCCAGTCCATTTATGCTCAAGTCAAAGGTCTCATCCGGGTGTCCATTGGAGACAACAATATTGTTTTCGCTGTTCTGCTTTGCCTCCTTGAAGATTTCATCGTATAACGTATCGTCATCCACGAAATCCGGCTCTTGGTTGGACTCAACGTAAAAGTTCAAATCGTCTTGGATCGTCCACACAGACTCTACTGACACCTTGCCCGACTTAAGGAATCGCATCACCGCCTCAATCTTCTCAAGATGAAACTCATTCTTGAGTTTGAAACCCTCAAGTTCTTGTTTGCGCTCCTCAATCTGCAGCATGTTGTTCTTCCTGACTTTCTTCTGTGAGATCTTCTCATACTCTTCTTCTAGAGATTCATTCTGCTCATTCAATTCTTCCTCCACTCCACTGAGAAATTCGAGGGCATCTTCTACTTCCGGTGTGATAATCAGGTCTCCACTGTCCTTAGCCGCTAACATGATTGACTGATTTGAGAATGACTTCATCTTAGAATTCTTCTCAACTTCCTTGTAACATTCCATGGCTTCTTCCACTAATCTTCTGTGCTCTTGTAGCTTCAGTGGGGCAATCGTGGCCTCTAATGAGTCGTTTCCTTGCCATGTTTTAATCTGATCTCGGAACTTTTGGAGCTTTTTAATCTCTTTCTTAAGGTCACTTTCAAGCTTTTCTCGTTGAGAGTCATTGCTTGATGCTTCGTGACGGGTGAAATAGTAGTTGAAGAGATCTAGCCCTTCGTGAATCTTCTTAAAGATGGTCTCCACCTCTCTGAAAAACTGTTAGTAACTGCTGGTCGATACAAGGTTCAAGCATCTTCGGTGAGCCTCTTCAATGAGGATGTTTGACACACGAGGGATTCAGTTGAAAAAAAAAAACATACTTTTGTAATTTCCTATTCGACATTCTTGATTAGCAATAATTGTTGTGAGGTCGAAGGTTCATAGCATGTAATCCTGCTCTTATGGAAAGTTTTTTTCTCTGACCGGTATTGGATTAGAGGTTTTATGAGAGCAGAATTTTATGCACGTGACATCGAACCCCGCCAAATTTACTTTAAATGTTGGCAGCTAGGAAGGCTTATTTTCTTAATTTCCCAAAGTTAGAAGAGATAAAAGTGTATGTGGTTTACTGGATCTTTCTCATCAATCGATAGTTAGTCCAAAAATAGCCTCGTGCTGATGAGGCTAGGATGACATATCCTGTACGAGAACAGGGCCGCGGTAATACTAGCTTGAGTTAAGATAAGACTATTAAATATATGGCATTTTAAGTATGAACTACCACTAACTTACAATTCATCGTGGTCAAATTCGTCGTCGGAGTCGTCGTCACCAAACTGGGCATCGCCGTAGTCACCGGCGTCACCAGTTCCGCTGTAAATCTTCTCAGAGATCTTCAGACTGATCTTAATCAACTTCTGTTTCTGCTCATCAAACTCCTCAGAAGTGGCAGTGTCGTAGTTCTCCTCCAAGAATTCGGAAATCTCAGCAATAGCATCGGTCAATTCCTCCTTGTCATCGTCATCCATCTTGGCAACGTACTCGTCATTGTCATCGAGCTTCTGCTTCAAGTTGTGAACAAGGTTCTCAAGAGAGTTTCTAGATTCAATCTTGGCCTTTATTTCGGCATCCTGAGCAGCAAACTTCTCTGCTTCCTCCACCATTCTGTCAATCTCCTCCTTAGACAATCTACTCTTGTCGTTGGTGATGGTGATAGACTTAGACTTTCCAGTACCCTTGTCCATAGCCTCAACCTTCAAGATTCCGTTAGCGTCCAAAGAGAATGTGACCTCAATTTGAGGAACACCTCTTGGTGCTGGAGGAATACCAGTCAATTCGAACTTACCCAAGTTGTTGTTGTCCTTAACCAATGCTCTCTCACCCTCAAACACCTGAATCAACACAGTTGGCTGGTTGTCGGCAGCGGTAGAGAAAATCTGGGACTTCTTGGTTGGGATAGCGGTGTTTCTGTTGATCAAGGTTGTCATAACACCACCAGTGGTCTCGATACCCAAGGTCAATGGGTTGACATCCAACAAAACAATGTCATCAACACCCTCCTCACCGGAAAGAACACCGGCCTGGACAGCAGCACCGTAAGCAACAGCTTCATCTGGGTGGATACCCTTAGAAGGCTTCTTACCGTCAAAATAGTTCTCAATCAATTCCTGAATCTTTGGAATTCTGGTGGAACCACCAACCAAGACGATATCATCCACCTCGGACTTCTTGACACCAGCATCCTGCAAGACTCTCTCGACAGGCTTCAAGGTCTTCTTGAAGGAATCGATGTTCAATTCCTCGAACTTAGCTCTCGAAATAGGCTCAGAGAAGTCAATGCCATCAACGAAAGAGTCGATTTCAACTCTGGTGGAGATTTGGGACGACAAGGTTCTCTTAGCCTTCTCTGCCTCTCTCTTCAACTTAGCAATGGCCTTAGGGTTGGAAGTGATGTCAATGCCATGCTTCTTCTTGAAAGCCTTAGCCAAGTGTCTAACAAGCTTGAAGTCGAAATCCTCACCACCCAAGTGAGTGTCACCTGCAGTGGCCAAAACTTCGAAAACACCGCCCTCAATGGACAACAAGGACACATCGAAGGTTCCTCCACCCAAGTCGTAAACAATGATCTGCTTCTCTCCATCAGTTTTGTCCAAACCGTAGGCAATGGCAGCGGCGGTAGGCTCGTTGACGATTCTCAACACGTTCAAACCAGCAATGATACCAGCGTTCTTGGTAGCCTGTCTCTGAGCATCGTTGAAGTAAGCTGGCACAGTGACAACGGCATGGGTGACCTTCTTGCCCAAGTACTCCTCGGCAATAGACTTCATCTTACCCAAGATCATACCGGAAATTTCCTCTGGAGTGAAAGATTTCTGCTCACCGTTGAGTTCGACCTCAACAACAGGCATCTTACCCTTCTTGCCGATCTTGTATGGCAAGTGCTTGATCTCCTTCTGGACGGTCTTGTCCAGGTACTCCAAACCGATCAATCTCTTAATGTCGAAGATGGTGTTGTTAACGTTGGAAGGAGCCTGGTTCTTGGCGGCATCTCCGATTAATCTCTCCTCGTCAGTGAAGGCGACATACGAAGGGGTGATTCTGTTACCTTGGTCATTGGCCAAGATTTCGACCTTTCCGTTCTTCATGACACCCACACACGAATAGGTGGTACCCAAGTCGATACCAATGACGGTTCCATAACTCTCCTCGGCATCTTCATCGGAAGCCAAAACCAATCCGCTGTTGGCGGAGAAGAAAGGCATCACGACGCAGAGCAACACAAGGAATAGTGAAAGCCCGGACATCCAGAGCTTGTTGTTTGATCTGGACATTGTGAATATCTGGTGTTGAAGATTCAGGTGCAGAAGCGAGAATATTTATAGTGGAGGAAATTAGCGCGTATGGAAATTTAAAGAACGTCGACGTGGTGGTGTCTTTGTATTGTATACAGGAATACTTACTTAGTGACGTGGCAATTGGTAAAGTCAAGCACGTGATTGAAGGTGGTTAATGAAGAAAGGAAAGGAAGATGAGATTATTAGAAGAATATGAAATGATTGTGGAAAGTGAAGATCAAATGTGGAAACTATATATTTTATAGGAATATATAGACTTTTGTTTTTTTTTAATTTTTCCTTTGATCTGTCAGATCTGCGAAAGGCTGGTATAGTGAACTGGCCAAGTAGCTGCGAAATAAGATTGACGTGGCTGAATAGTGAACATGACCCAATGTGGCAAATGAAGGAAGCAGTATAACGGAGAAGAGAATTGTGGCAATGTGGAAAACTGCACAGCAAAACACACCCAGTAAACAATTTGGTGCGAATGTTCAGCCTTTCGCAATAGAAGATAAACTTTAGTGGAATCATCATGGTGAATAATCCATGTCAATCCTGGTACTTGACAAAAGTTAGAAAACTTATGGCATGATAGCAATTGTGGCACCGGGATGAGATAATATGAGTGTTCTATTGTAAGTTTATCATTGAATGAAAATAGAAGGACTAAATTACTAACCAAGACTGACAGTCACTGTCAAGAGCCAATAACGGTAGACAATTTGATCTTTAGTTTTTTGTTAATATTGGAGGTCAAGGAAGTGAGGTTGGAAATAATGCGGGGTTTTAAAATATGTAAATTTTTTGACACATTCCCTATTGTTTTTTCTCTTTCCTTTCTGTTCTCTCCATTCTGTTCTCTCCTTTCTTTCTTTTCCTGTCTTTCAAAAACTGGCATCTTGGAACGGCTCGACCAGTGCAGACTAACCATTAACGGCCCTGAAGAAAGTCAAACCTTAATCGATGCAAACTAAGCATATCAAGTCGACGAACCGAACAAATTCAGCAAAAAAAATCTTCAATTTTGTCAACATCAAGAAATCTGGACATTCCACGTTTACATCGTTTTTCATTCGACCAACCTATCAAGATCAGATAAGGTTGAAAAGAATCGGCCTGCACAGCTACTCCACCACCGAGTGACTCTTACCATCATCGAAAAGAGAAGAAACTCAGCCATTTATCAAACACATCACATTACTCATATCACAAATTGAAAGATTATTCTCGTTTCAACCCCCAAGTCCTAAAATTTTTCCCGTTACACCTCTCCCTATTTCACCTTTTGCTCCACTCTCCTCCAGTTCCCGCACCCGTGCCTCCCTATTCCGCGATACATTCAATCTCCACCGACATCCCTATTTCCCCAACTTCAACGAAGCAACTTCACAAACCCATCCCATCCAATCCACTCTACACATCCGCGTGATTGGTGACCTGGCTGTGAATCTTGCTATATCTGCTTTTCTCCCACTTTGTGTCTCCCGCACTCCCCAATCTCTGTCTTTATTTACCCCTGTGTTCAGACTTTGACCATAACCAAAATCCCGCTGCCATGTCGTTCGTCACTGATGAATTGAACCAGTTACAGAAAGAGATTCTCGCCAAGAATCCTTTGGACGTGTTGCAGTTCTGCGCAAACTACTTCAACACAAAGTTGGCCTTGCAGAGAGCTCACTTATGGCAGGTCCAAGGCAAGGCCAAAGCCGCCGGCATTGAGTTGTTCCCGGGACTCGACTCCGTGGCTTTCGACAACAAGGGCCTGGGTGTAATTCCTTCCACTCGTCAGCCCTCGTTCAAGTCGCCTTTTGGTGATAACGACCCCCACTCAGACCACTCCAATGATCCCCATGCTCCACTGCAACCTTCTGTTGCTCCTGTTGGGCTTTTCAAGGGAGGATTTGATGTTGGCCGCAAACCAACTTCTAATCCCGCTCCGGATGTGGACCCTAACGATCACGATGGTTCACCAGTGCCAGCTCCTCGTGCTGTACCAAAACTCCCAGTGGCTTTCAATGCAAACAGAAGAGTATCGGTTTCTGCTGAGGCCATGAACCCGGACAAGTTCAAATCGGACTCATGGAAGCCTCCTGTGAATGATTTGACTCCTGAGCAAAGAGCAGAGTTGGCCAAAACCTTGTCGCGTAATTTCTTGTTCCAGCAGTTGGACGTCAACAGTAAAAAGACCGTGGTGGCAGCCTTGATGAAGAAGGAGTTTCCAAAGGGCACTGAAATTATCACCCAGGGTGACGTTGGTGATTACTTCTATATAATCGAGTCAGGTACTGTGGACTTTTATGTCAACGGAACGAAGGTCAACACCTCCAGCGATGGCTCCTCCTTCGGAGAATTGGCATTGATGTACAATTCTCCAAGAGCAGCAACTGCAGCTGCAGCATGTGATGTGACTTGTTGGGCATTGGACAGAGCAACCTTCCGTCGTATCTTGTTGGAGGGCACATTCAACCGTAGAATCATGTACGAGGATTTCTTGAAGGATGTCAAGGTCTTGTCCGGCTTGACACACCAGGAAAGATCCAAGTTGGCTGATGCATTGAGCACCGAGATGTACCATGCTGGCCAGAACATTGTCACTGAAGGAGAAACCGGTGACAAGTTCTACCTCATTGAAAGTGGAACCTGTGAAATCTCCAAACACGATGCGGGTGTTATTGGCAACATCGGTAAGGGTAAATATTTTGGAGAGGTCGCCTTGTTAAATGATTTGCCCAGACAGGCTACAGTGAAGGCATTAGATAATGTCATTGTGGCCACCTTGGGCAAGTCCGGTTTCACGAGATTGTTGGGGCCAGCGCTTGACGTGTTGAGAAAACAGGATCCTACTGCCCACTAAGATGACAATATCTATCAGCCTAGTTGTTTCTACTGATGAGCGTACGGCTTGTACCTGTAGCGGTGCAAGTCTTGCGGTCTCGGGTTGGTTTCTTCGGCACTGTTATACGAGTCTATAGTAATGCGCACTGTCGCACTCAATCTATCCAAACTGAATTCTCCTGTAAATCACGAACAATAATGCTTCCATTTGTTCACTTGCTTCCTGCTACCACACCCAACGGGGGCTTCTTGCCCCACTGGCTCCTTTTCATCTCGGTGGTTTCGGTTTTCAATTCCTTGCAGACATATTTGGTCAAAGACCTTAGTCTTACCAGAAAAGTATACTCGGCTGCTCCTCAATCTGAGATCACCAACTTGAGTGCCCGTACGTTTGGAACCTGGACGCTTTTGACGTCAATTGTCAGATTCTATGGTGCATACAACTTGGTGGGAAACTCCACCATGTATGACCTCTGTATTTGGACGTTTGTTGTTGCTGCTGTTCACTTCAACACCGAGTGGTTGTGGTTCAAGAACTGCAAGCTCGACAAGGGATTGGCCGGTCCTTTGGTTGTTTCCACTGTGAGTTTGATCTGGATGTTCAAGCAGAAATCGTTTTATGTTGGAGCTTAAGTGTATACGAGTCAAAGTAAGAAGATGAGCCTAGTTGATATCTTTTACTATTCACATTTCCTTGTAAATTCTACTTCTCGGGATACTATCATTTTCCTGATATTGTTGATTTCCCATCGTCTGCCTCTTCATATTCTTTTTCTTTGCTGTTCGTTGTTGTTCTTTCCTACTAATCTCATCCACTCTATCCATTCTAGGTATGCGAAACCGATCGAAGTCGCCAAAACTTCCCATCCAGCGCAAATAGCCATACCCAAGATTCTTTAAACCTCCTAAATAATTTAAAGTTCCACCAATCATCTCCTTAGGTTACTGCCCGGACTCTCACACCCCTCCTCTCTGATGACTCTGGTGGCAGACTCTAACCCAAGTGCAGAGTCAAATTTTCCATTCGCATCAAGCCAATTCCGCATCTTGAAACTTTTTCTCTTCTCCCAAACCATGACCGTAGAACTCGAAGAACCTCCTTTGACTCAAGATCAGACTCAGGTGCTTAAAGACCTCTTTGGTGGAACTATGGGTGGTATTGCCCAAGTGTTGGTGGGTCAGCCGTTTGATACTGTCAAGGTGAGATTACAATCTGCTCCAGAAGGTACATACAGTGGAGCCGGAGATGTTATCAAGAAGTTGGTTGCTAATGAGGGTTTGAGCGGCTTTTACAAAGGTACTTTGACGCCGTTGGTAGGTGTGGGTGCGTGTGTTTCAGTGCAATTCTCCGTCAATGAGTACATGAAGAGATACTACGATGCCAAGTTGCACGGCCAACCTTTGTCTCTCTTGCAATTCTTCAACTGTGGAGCAGTTGCAGGTTTTGCCAACGGTTTCTTGGCCTCTCCTATTGAACATATCCGTATCAGATTGCAAACCCAAACTGGTTCGTCGAACTCGTTCTCAGGTCCTGTTGATTGCTTCAAGAAGGTTTACCAGAAAGGTGGTTTGTTCTCAGGAATCTATAAGGGATTGGCTCCCACCTTGTTCAGAGAGAGTGTGGGCTTAGGTGTCTACTTTGCAACCTACGAGGCATTGATTGCTAGAGAGTTAAGCAACAAGGTATACCCTACCAGAGGTGACGTTCCTGGCTGGAAACTTTGTATGTTTGGAGGTTTGTCCGGATATGCTCTTTGGATTGTCATCTACCCTGTGGACGTTTTGAAGTCAAAGTTGCAGACTGACTCCTTATCAAAGCCAGTTTATAGAGGTTCAGTGGATGTTGCTCGTGATGTGTTCAAGAAGGCAGGTATCAAGGGCTTCTACAAGGGTTTCGTGCCTACCATATTGAGAGCTGCTCCTGCCAACGGTGCCACTTTTGCCGTTTTCGAATTGACCATGAGACTTCTCGGTTAGTCGCTGCTGAAACGTTTGTCAATTAGTTTTTTGGCTGAGAATACTCTTCGTGGTATTGAGCCTGTAATATTAATAAATTATTTAATTCTGGTCATTAATTTTAGCACTTACTGAACTGGTGCCCCCCGTTTCCGTATAACTTGAAAGTCTTCAAACTCTATTGTGCGAGGTAGTGATTCGTTTCTTGATAGGGTTTCCGTTGCTGTGTCTGAGTAGTCCTCTGGGTTGATCACTGTGATGAACTCCATGAAATCCATGGAATATTCTCCGTTGAATTCATACCAGTCAGAACCTCGGAGTTCCGCCATCTCTAAGCTCATATCGTATTGCTTGTCTTGTTCGAGTTCATCGTTGTGGTGAGAAGCCCGAAGGTTATTTCTGGCTCTCATATTAAATTCAATATCGATCCTCACATGAAATCCCGGAATTAAGTCGATGACATACAAGAAGAAGAGACTCATCACGAAAACATAAACGCATGTGACCGCAGATCCAAGAAGCTGGTATCCAAACTGAACCCAATGCCCAGCTACCCAACCACCTTCGGAATCGTACGACGAATCGGCAAAGATACCAACGAGCAAAGATCCAACAATACCACAGATTCCATGAATGGCAAAGATATCGAGTGAGTCATCAATTTTCAAATAGTATTTCAATCCTGTCGCCAAGTTTCCCGTAGCACCTCCAATTATTCCAAAGACTACACTTTTCCAGAAACTCTTGTCTGAGCTGATATATCCTCCACCTGGTGTGAATACAACAAGGCCACAAATCACACCCGAACTGAAAGAGATCATGGACAAGGTCCTTCTTTGTCTTGGCTCCTTTTGCTTTGTAGTGTTCAATGACCTATTAGTGGACATAGTTATGTTTTCCGGTTCTAAGGTTTCAAGCTCAATATCCTGGTTCATCTCTTCACCCTCAAGTGGAGTTGCAGAGTTGTAATAGTCAATAGCACACCAGACGACACCTGCGGAGGCAGCACTCAAAAGAGTATTCGTCATAATGTAGAAGGTGATTGTAGAAAACTTGTAGTCACAGCCTGTTATGAATCCGCACCAGCCATAGACGATGAAACACATACCTATGATCATGTTGCTGTTGTTGGAGCTGCGATAATTGTGAAGAAGTTTGGTATTTCTAGGGCCCAAGTAATATGAATATGCAAGCGCAGTGAAGCCACTGACAACATGGATACAGTTTCCACCAGCAAAATCAAGCACTGGTAAGGAGTCTAACTGCGGAGAGAGCCATCCGCTTCTGTTCCAGAACCAATAGGTAACTGGATTGTAGACTAGGGCCGACCAGAAGAAGACAAAGACAAACATTGGCATGACTCGGCCTCTTTCGGCAATGCATGCTGGAAAAGTAAGAACGGCACAGATTACCTTCATCAATGCATTGAATAAGAAGTGAATTATGGATAGAATCTCACCTCTTGGTGTGGAATAGATCAAGTTAGTCTCATCCTTGAGTTGACGCAAAACAACAAATTTGAGGCTTCCGATGAACCTATTGGATGCGCTGGCATAGCATAGCGAGTATCCCCATATGAACCAGTCTAAAAACACAAAAGCTGTGAGCAATAGCGGGATGGCTAACATTGTGAATGATGATCTTCGTTGGATTAGTCCTGAGTAGAAGATCGACACCCCTAGAATGATCAGAAACAATAATAGCGTACAGAACATCATGAATAGCGAGTCGATCGCTGTATCAAGCGACATCGATTCCACCATCTTCTGGCTGATGTGGACTTTTAGTTCTGCTGATAGTGTCTAGATGATGTCGGCACATAATCAAGAAAAATTCTGGGGAATCCTGCGCAAATGGTACTTTGGCAGTTAACGGTAACAGTACTTACTGAAGCAGTCCAGACAGTAAGCTGGTAACGAGTAATTTAGACGGTCTGAAGATCTTTTTACAATTGCACATGCAACACATGAAAGGTACTCAGTGCTGTTCCCACCAGTTGCAACATTATAGCCATTGTTCACCATTCCTACCACTTCCAGTTGATTATAAGTGGCCTTAAATGTGGACATATTTGATAGGAACGAATAATCGTGATTGGCAGTGTAAATAATAAGAGGAGGAAGATAATTTGGGGAAGTTTCGAACTGCCTGATGGAAGTTGTCGAGATAAACTCTGACTTTGGAACGTTTGGGTAGTCTCGGGAAATTTCGCAGCCAAGGAAGATAGGTTTTGATTTCATGTTTTTTGAAACGAATTCCTTTTCAGAGGGCGTTTTGGGGAAAATGCGCTTGTAGACATCTTTAAATTGGAAAAGTGGGATTGAAAGATCCGATTTTGTTGATTGGTACCTTTTGGCAGTTCTCCTCAAAGATGTTCCATTAGGGAAGTTGAGGAGATCTGAAGTTGAGTCTACAGCGAATATGACATCGACTTTACGATGAGGTATCAAAAGTGGCTGAAAAGGGATATTCTGTCCATCATCGCCACCATCAGCCAAGTAAAGCACTTGTGCTTTCGACAAAGATCTTCCTTTCCCTTTGACTTCTAACCCAAAGAATGGATTCGGAGAAACAGTCGAGTATTCGGGATGAATAATACGCTTCGATTCAGGCATTAATGAAATTCCAAATATTTTGAAAATCAGAGAGATCACGTTGGTTGGCTCGGAATCCATGGTCATCAATAACTTATGCACATACTCAACTAAGGTGTTGAACAAACTTGACGATGTTCCAGTTACAAACGCGACGTTGTCGTATCCTTTGACACACACAGAGGTGATTTTATTGCTGGAATTTCGGTGAGGCTTCCCATTTTTCATTTTGGTACCAAGATACTCCAAATCGACAAAATGGCGAAGAAAGCTATCCCATGACCCGAATTCGTATGGATTGAACTCAAAGATGTGGGAGCTTCGGAAGTCTTCTGATGTATCAGGATCCCTTTCCACACTACACACGATAGGAAATGGTTGTGTTGGAGACTTAACTCTCGTTGATGAAAAAGTAAGCGCCTCATGCTTCTTGAAGTTCGGTACAATCTTCCTTATAAGAGCACGGCCCCAATAGTCAACAAAAGATATGGAGAATTTGGCCAACCGTTTCGCACGAACTTCGGTGGTCAACTCTTTGTAAAACTGTAATATCTTGTTGAGATCAACTGTATCGTTACTTTTGCGATTTGACTCATCGTTTGCCAAAAAGAAGCCTCTCAACAATGATGAAGTCAATGACGAGGTGGCTTTGGCTGTTGCATTCCAAGAGATAGGTCTTTGTCTAGTTAAAACTGGTGCACCTGTTTTTGAACGAGTGTCCACTGAGTCTAACTTTGTTCTTAACCCTGAAACATCCATATCAGAAATACCTTGTAAAACGGGCACATTGAAACTTTCCAATTGTTGGGAAATGGTGTTTAAAACCAGCTGGTGACCATTCAAGTAATTGGCCATAACAGCCCACAGCCCTCCCGAAATTCCAGCGATGTAAGTACTCGCTTGAAGTAGACCTCCCATATGTGATTGGGATCCAGGAGTATTTTCATCAAAGGCACTTAAAACTCCTATTCCTGTGAACATTGCACGGTATCCACCGCCAGATATTGCCAACCCGATGGTTATATCATTTCCCAATCCATTGGAAATGTTCCACCTGTTCAAGTACTCTTTAATATGACTTTGAGTACAGCTTTTTCTGTGGTCAATGTAATATAATTCTCCACTAGAGAGCTTGTTATCAGTATTTAAAATTGTAAATTAAGTCTTGAGATTCCTAACATACATTGTTTCCTTTTCTTAATAGTGGTGTTTGCGGACAAACTGTAGTATATGGTGCATAACTGGAACCAATAGCGAACTTTATTCCAGAAGGGAGCCCACCATTTAACATATGAGAAACAGGTCCCCTAGCAGCTGCTACTACTAACCACAAGAGTCTTACCAATACTAGGAGAAGCATTGGGAGTCACCAAAAGTTTAAGATTTTACAATCGCGCAAAACTTGATAACAATCTATAATATTAACATATAGAAATAAATTAATACTAAACAAACAGCGAAGTGCCAAAAACAAAGATGAAATGACGAGGTATGATTTGCTTAGAACTCCTCATCGGAGGAAACGTAAGCGTCACCCAACTCCTTCTTCTTCTTCATTCTCTCCTTCTTCTTCTTTCTCAACTCGGCAGAAGACAACTTCTTCTTCTTCTTAGCACCGGCAATCTTGTTACCCATGGCATCGAACTTGTCCTCCTCATCGTCGTCCTTAGACGAGAGTCTTGGACCAGCACCCTGACCCTGGACCCAGTTGTGACCAGATGGAGTCATCTTACCGTCCAAGACAGCCCAGACTTCCTCAGTCAAGTCCTTGGTGAACTCGGCGGAGTGAGTAATGATGACGATACCACCCTCGAAAGACTTCAAGGCCTTAGACAAAGCTCCCAAAGAGTCTCTGTCCAAGTAGTTGGTTGGCTCATCCAACACAATCAAGTGAGGTCTCTGCCAAGTACAAGCAGCCAAGACCAACTTGACCTTCTGACCACCAGACAAACCTCTGATTCTGGAGTGGGAAACCAACTCGGTGTCCAAACCCAACATAGAACAGTGGTCCTCGATCTCCTTTCTGGTCAATGGTCTGAACTGACCGGAAGCCAAAGCTTCCTTCATGTCAACCTCAGCAACCAACTTGGAGTGAGTCTCAATCAACTCACCTCTTGGCAACCAAGCGTTGTCAACGGACATCATTGGAACCCATCTCTCGTTCTTCATACCAATGTTCTCACCCAAGGTGAAAGAACACTCGTACTCGTAAGAGTTCTTGAACTTTCTTCTAGCGTGAATACCAGCAATTCTTCTTGGGGTACCCTCAATCTTGAAGATCTTGTTCATGGCGTTCTCATCGTCCTCGTTAATCTGTCTGTTAGCTCTGTCCATGGTCTCTCTGTCCTCACCGGTCTGGAATCTCCACTGAATGTACTCAGATGGAGTCTTGTCCAAGTGGTTATCAATGTGGGCAAAAGCGTGCTGCTTAATGTAAGCAATACGACAGTTCTCGTGGACGTAGACCTCACCCTCAGTTGGCAACAACTCACCAGTCAAGACGTTAATCAAGGTAGACTTACCGGCACCGTTAGGACCAATGACGGCAATTCTAGAAGACAACGAACACTGGAAGTTAATGTTCTGAATTTGAGGCTTGGAAGTACCTGGGTACTGGAAGGTCATGTTAGAGACCTTAACAATAGCCTTCTGCTTGGTCTTAACACCCTCCAAGAAACCTGGCTCTGGGAACTTGAACTCCATCTCGGAGGCACCCAACTCGTAGTAAGACTGAGCGGATGGGCACTTCTTGACGAACTCAGACAAGTTACCCTTGTACTTTCTCAACTTGAAACCTTCGTAGTGGATAACGTACTCAACAACGTTGTCCAAGAAACCGGAGTCGTGGGAAACGATGATAGAGGTGATACCACAGGTCTTCAAGTAGTTGACCAACCAAGCAACGTTGACGGTATCCAAATGGTTAGTTGGCTCATCCAACAACAAGATATCAGCGTTCTTCAACACAGCTCTGGCCAAAGCCAACTTCATCTTCCAACCACCAGAAAGGGAGTGGATAGACATGTTGATCATCTCATCGGTGAAAGCGAACTCTCTCAACTTCTCCTCAACAGCCTCCTTGGTCAAACCAACCATACCGTCGGCAATGACGAAGTCAACAACGGAGGTCTCAGCCTCAGTACCGTCAATGTCGTGCTCGACGTAGACAGTTCTACACTCCTCCTGGGATGGGAAACCCTCGACCTGACCGTTAGCAATGGCTCTCATCAAGGTGGACTTACCAGCACCGTTAGGACCACAAAGACCGTATCTTCTGTTTCTCTTCAATCTGAACTGGGTCTTGTTCAACAAGATCTTGGCACCGTAAGCCAAAGAGAACTCACAGTTACACAAGTCCTCTCCGTCATCCTCCTCATCCTCAAAAGCTGGAGGAGCTGGGATGTTGTCAATGGCTCTCTTTCTGAACTCCTCAATGATGTCCTTAGCCTCCTTCTCGTGCAAGAAGATGGTGGCGAAAGGCAAGAGGTTGGTGGTCCAAGAACCTGGGTGGATGTCTCTCTCGTCGATCAAGTCACCGGCAATAGCGGCAATGTAGTTCTCGGCAACACCGAATCTAGCACCAATCTTTTGGTCAGCAACCAAGTCCTTGAAAACACCCAAGGTGACAGCAATGTCACCAGCGGTGGAGACCTCTGGGATGACATCGTCCTCGCTGACAGCACCAACTCTCTTCAAGGTGGTCAAAGCTCTCTGGGTAACACCACGAGCCTCAGGGTCAGCAATGGTGGAGAAGTTAGCCTTCAAAGCTGGCAACAAAGTGGACAAGAAAGGAGCAACAACCTGAGGGTCATCGACCAACTTACACATGTTGTCAACAATGACAGCAGCCTTTCTCTTGATGGCAGTGTCACGCTCAGCCAAACCTCTGGACAACAATGGAGCCATGATAGACAAAGTAGCCATGGTGACCTCGGAAACGAAGGTGGTGGCACCCAAAAGGTGGACGGTTTCTGGAACCTCAGTTGGCTTAGCAATACACTCAATCAACTTTGGAATAAACTTCTCGATATCCTTGTTGTCGATGGTCTCGGTGGACTTGGTCATGGTGGCATGAGCAGCCTCCTTGACCTCCTTCTTAGTGTCCCACATAGCCTCGGACAAAGATGGAATCAACTCAGGCATTCTCAAGGCGATCTGGGCCTTGGCGGTGTCAACCAACTGGGAGACAGCCTTCAAGATAGAAACCTTCTCGGTCCACTTGTTGGTGGTGGACAAGTTCTCCATCAACTGAGGCAACAAAGCCTTGATGGCAGTTGGAGTGATAGCGGTGGCAATGGCGAGCAAAGCAGCATCGGCAGCAGCAGCAACCTCCTTGGACTTGTCACCAGACTTGCTAGCAACATCACCAGCCAAGGCAACAACGTATGGCTCGACAGATGGAGACAAGTCGTTGGCAGAGGCAATGTGAGCGTAGGCAGTCAAAGCAGCCTCAGCAACAGAAGCCTTCTTGTCGTTGATTTGCTTCTTCAAGTCATCAAAGAACTCGACTGGAACATCGTGCTCGATGATGGAAGAGTTCAAAAACGACGAAACGTTTGCAGCAGCCTCATCCTTGTCGTTGGCAACTTGCAACTTGCTCAACAACTCGGAAAGGACCTCAGCGGAGTATTTAGATTCACTGGCGGCAGACATCTTTCCAATGCTTAAGAAAAAAAAAAAGAAGCAGGAGGGACACTTTTAAATGGATTAGGAAGACATACAAAAAAAAATTTTCAGGCGGGTTGTCTGCAGGCCTACTATTTCTTTTTTTGTATAACCCTTGCGTAAAATTGAGCATGCCGTTGAGATATGCTCAGCTGACTCGCCTTCCTGGGTATGTTTTGTAATCACGTGAGTGGCTTGATATCAATTGAATATGGTTTCTAAGTTTGGAAATAATATTTTCCTTCTGATTAAATCTTATCTGGCTTGAATTTACCATGACTATGTTGCTGCCAACGTGGGAGGCACTGGTCTGAACGTTACCCAACCTCATCGCGATGGTTACCCGGCGTGTCTTCAGAAGGAACCCAATGATAACGTGAACATGAAAGGGGTTTTTTGCATAAAGATCTTGATGAAATACATCAATTGATCCTGTAGGACAGCATTTTCTACTTTCCTATCCTTTTCACAAGTTATCAGTTACTGATTATTCGACGTCCATCTCGTTGGTTCCGAATTAAATGCAGGTCTGATATCGCACCTGATTAGATGGTGGGTATTCCCGATATGGTGACCAGGTGGGTCAAAATTAGTAGAGTGGAAAAGATGACAGCAGCCCTATATAGGTATCTATTAATATATTTGAGTAAATTGTGATTTCTAGGTCACTGAGGTTTCAGAAACGACATATTTGTCAATTGTTAACAATGGCTTATGACGTTGCTCTTAGTGGACAGAGCAATATTGGGCCAGGCACGAGATAGCATTTGTGACCCGTAGGTTTGGAATAAATTGACGGTGATGGAATATTGGTTTCTCTTTTTCTTTTTCTTGTGATTTATAGGAATAGTTTCTCGCTACGAGTCAATTGAAATAGGACACTATAGTGGTTATCTGATAGTTCGCAGCTGTATCGAACAGCTTGAAGATGGAGGAATGGTGATTGGAACTTGGGGATGGTGCTCGAAATCTCTCTAACTGGTTGATTTGTTATTCGTCATATCAATTCGTGTTATTAAGTTTATTATAGAATTTTAATTTTCTTTTTTTCCATGTAACCCCTCCTTTCATTTTGTTCATTCTCGTATCTTTTTGCAGATTCTTCACAATTACGTAAGGATTTTTCTTTATTTACAAGTTTAAGGAAACTTCCAAAATTATCAAAATCACACAACGAAGTTATTTTAAGTTCAAGAATATTGGATTGTCTATTACAATTGCCAGAGACAATTATGTCTAATTGTATTAACTTACGTTTCACTTGGTAATATCTCGACCTGTCTACAATTTTTAGTCAGATGCTGCGTTGCTTTTCAGATCCATAGAAGCTTCGGCTTCTCTACAGTGATTAAATGAATAGAAGAATTGAATGCACATACAACTTAAAAAGACAAAACTGTTCAAAACCGGTTTGTTTCAAAAGACTGCCTGAGCAGATCCTACTTGACCATTTCTCAAAATGTACTTTTTTTTTGTACTTTCTTGTTGACTACCAATAAAAAAGAAATTTTTGCCTCATATCCATCGAACCTGCGCCTGAGCAATATCAATTGGTCTTATAGTGTAGTGGTATCACCTCAGATTCTGATTCTGGTAACCTGGGTTCGAACCCCAGTAGGACCTTCTTTTTTTGCTGATTTCATAGATTTCAAACAACGTGAACCTCCTAGATTGGCATCACTCACTAATCTTAGACTACTCCATTTAAAATTGAATAAAATATCGTATATTCGTGGTAAGTTGCCAGCGACAACCTAATATTATGAAATATCGAAAAGTTCTGGATTGAACGGTGAAATCCTTTATATTTCCCTTATTGGGCCGCATCATCTTCATCGTCGAGGTCCTTCTTAACTGCGTCCTGTTTCAGTCCTTTCTTCACCACAGCATCGATCTCGTCTTCATTGAAAGGAATTTCTTTCTTCAGAGGAACCACGTCCTTGGCCAGCTTCTTTACTATTTCATCTTGGTTGCCATCTGCGATATTCTTCTTAGGCTTATCATCAGCATTTTTCTTAGACTCTTCATCAACATTGGAGTCATCAGTTGTTTTCCTCTTCTTAGGTTCACCTCCAACATCTTTCTTCTCAGCGTCGTCATCTATCTTGCCCTTGGCGTCCACCTTCTTGTGCATTCTATCCTCCACAACGCCGTTGATGTTTGCATCCCCAAGCTTTGGGTTGGAATCTTCCAGGTCCGCACCTTTGATTGCCACATTGTTCAAATTGTGGTTTTTCTCATTGAGCTTGCGCAAATCCGGGTTCTGCGGGTCAGCCGCCTTCTTGTCGCCTTCTCGCGTGGCCTTTACGCCGTTGCCCTGAACCACAGGTGCACCTGGGGCAGCTGCGTCGTTAGCAACCAACACTTCGACTCCAGAAGACTTCTTTTTAGTCTTTCCATCTACGACCAAGCCTTCGTCTGCACCAACGACCGGTCCCTCGTTGACCATGCCACCCTTGGGAGCCTCCATGACACCGTGGCCGTACTCGCCACGCGAATTCTGCGCTTTATTGTTGGCAACTTGCGGTTGCTCAAAGTTCTTGTCCTTCTTGTCAGACACCACCAAGTTGCCCACATCGCCATTATTTTTAGGCTCCTTGACCTCCTGCGGATCCATGATCTCGTACAGCACGTCGGGCCTGGGCTTGAGCTCCTGGGCAACCATGAACATACAAAGGCCAAACAATGCGAGCATCACCAAGTAGCCCAGCAACTTGCGGGAGTTGGTTAGGAAGAGCAGGCGCGACGCGCTATCGTATGCTGACCCTCGCTTGTTAGGTTTCATGTAGTAGGGCCTAGGAAGGCCGTTGTTCTTGTAAGAACCTTGCATTTGTGAGAAGTGTCGATTAGTTGGATATGACACCGTGGAAGTGGAAAGATAGGGCGTGTTATGGGGCGTGTTTTGCAAATGTGCAAGAGGCACGTGATTCCAGAGTCACAGCTAGTAGTGATTTATATTTGCACTTGAGGCAAAACTGGCTTTATAGCTATATTGGAAGGAAAAGAGTTATCGATACTTCACCCGAATGTTGATGGTTGCCGGATTTTCCTCCTGGCGAGCTGGTTTGGAGCGCGAGGACTGTAGCTTTTGATCAATCAACGACGAATGAGCAGTGAGCGTGTTGAGGTCGTGACAATAAGAAAAGGAAAAAAACGTACATACAGAGAGAAATAGGAAAAGAAGAATGGATATGTAATTTTCAATTTAATTTATGTGTATTACCAGGAGAATGTTTGGTTCATGAATGTTGGTGTTGAGATCTACACAGGCAGCCCCGGAATATTGAAAGACATCGAACAATATAAAGACGCTTATAGGCGAGTCATCCAAACATGGGTATGTAGATCGTTTTCAGGATGAATACGTGGCTTTGTCAATAGGCGACCATACATAATTGCAATAATCCAAAAATAGGGCAAAAAGTCATTATGCTTGCGGGGAATTCATTGTGTGTCTTGGTGAGAAACTATTGGGTTAGGATATGAGATGGTTGCGTGGCTACAAACTGGACTTACGAAATCATCTATGCAAAATGTAAATGTTTTGGGGGCCCTTCCAGGGTATTCTTGATAATTGAATATGATTTAAGACAAATGACATTTTTTTATAGACATTTTTGAGATAACATTTGTATATTTACATCTGTGAATTGACATCTTTCAATAGACTCATTTGTCTTCCCAACTTCCAGTTAACTTGTGCGCGTTTCTTACTTGTCCACCTTCACGATGCTCGACTGGGTCATCATCTTAATTACCACGCTTTATGTGGTTTCAGTAGCAGCTACACCGCCGGCATGCTTTCTCTCGTGCATCAATGAAGCAGCCCGTAACTGTCCACGAAAGCACTCAGATTTGAGGTGTCTTTGTAGATCTCAGGATATACTTATAGGCTGCTTTGTGGATATTTGCCCATATGGCAACTTTGAAAGTGCCCGGGACCATTTCTTGGGCACATGTATGGAACACCAAGTTCCCAAAGATGCTACAACAATCCAGTCGTCAACAATGCCTTCTGTGATAGTTCCGTCTGTGTCTGTAAATCTTGATCTACTAGACCAACCAGAGAACTTCAGAAAATTAATCTTGGTTGACTCGTCAAGTGATCCACCAGCGTCTATTACTCCGGAGTTGTTCAACCCAATTTCGTCTCCAATGTCTTCCAACCGAGATTTTCCACCCTTTGCGACCTCGTCATCATTGACAACTTCACCGAAGCTCGCCGAGCCCAAACCACGCAGAAAAGGTAAAAAAGAACTCATGTAAGATCAAACAGTCACCTGCTTCTTGTCTTGCATCACGGAGATAATCCTGTCCCGAGGAACACTCACTAGTCCCAACTCTCGTTCCCGAAGTTTCGACGTATTGAGCCTGTCTTGAGAGGTTTCTTTCACATTGGAAAGTAGCAAATTGCCAAAGGGATCGATCACTGTGAGCACGCCATCAAGCAGTCTTCCATCAACGGTTTTGATGCGCAAACTGGAGCCGATGTAGTTCTGTGGGTCCATGAAGAAAAGAGTGCACTTAGTTTGGATAGTAGGTGTAGAAGCCAGCTTGTTGCACCAACTGATAAAAATAAGATATATAACTTGGAAATTTTTATCCATTCTCCATATTCAAACTATATCGTGTTTATTGTATACCTTTATGTGCTATTATGTTCCATAAGCATTAATTTCGTATCCTTCATTCCTCCTAAGTAGTCAGTTATCTCCACTTTCACTACCATGGTCACTATTAACCAATTTAAAACAAAAAGAAAGTAATGGTCCAGCCAATACTCAAGAAACCAAAACCTACTACTAAGTCACCAATCATACCATCCCTGAATTCTATAATTCCAATTCCACCTACTCCTACCCATCCCAATCTTCCCGTTACCCGCACATAAGAAATGCTATATAAGCAGCGGTCGCCCCAGTTTTTATTCCACAACATCAATCGCAGCTCCGAGCTCCACAAAGCTCGCCACGGCCTTCAATGCTGTGTCGAGTGGGGTAGGTATCGGGCAAAAGCGTAGAATGAATGCACGTTGCTGGGCGCCTGGCGTTGACTACTATATGGAATGTTGGGAATCAGTTGTGGCAATATTTGTAACTCTCAAGTTAGGCATGAATCTTTACATTTGTCCTGCTTACACTATTTACTTGAAACACTTCTCACTGTCATCATGATGCCCTCTAGTGGGCAATATGTCCCTTTTTTTCTTCTTTTTTTTTCGTTCTAGATACCCATGAAACTCAGAATAACTATTTGGTATTTTTCAGATTTTCTGAGCATTCCCGCTATATCCACCACTGGGTAGATTTCACAAGTGTTAACTTCCATCTTACTATATTCAATCATGGACACAGATCACGAACTCACTGTCATTGCATCTGAATACGAATCGTATTTCCCCGATTGTGTCCTTATGCTACAGACAACCACCCCTCACAAGACTCAATCCTCTACTGATGCTCCACAGAACTCCAGAAGTGCACCCAGCCATATTAGAATCACCACCCAAGAGGGTCGCCAGCTCAAGGTTACTGTTGCTGTAGCAGGCTGGTACGTCTGTGGGAAAGATGTGTACTATCATAACTTTGAAGCTCTCATGAATAATGAGTCACCTGCTTTCGCCAGAACATTTGCTAATACGCTAACAGGAAAGCTCCAGGCACTCGCCAAACAACTACCCGAACACGAATAGAACTTCACCTGGGATAATTTGCTAAAATTGATATTTATTGTTTCGACTATATACAAGGTCACTTGATGTTTTTCTTCTTCTCCTTTCTCAAGAACATTTCCACATCTCCCACATCGTACTTGGAGTTTCTGATGTAGAAATGCTTCTTTCTAGGCATGTACTTCTTGGGCTGGTGGAGGAGTTCAATGTTTCTGATGTTGGGGTTGTACAATGGGATTCTCATCTCACATCCGAGCTTATTGATTTTGTTTCTGAGTAAGATGTTTGTACCCACGTTGTTCTGGCCCCTCTTGATTGCAATCACCTGGCCAGTGACATTGGTACGATCAAGGTATGTCACTTTGATGATGTCACCAGATCTCAAGCCTGATGAAGTGTCCACCAATGCTCTTCTTTTACCCGTAGGGTCATATTTCTGGAGAAGTTGTTTGTGCAAGAACGAAATGGCTCCTTGGCCATTTCTCTTCTTTGGGAGCGGCTCAAAAACCGGTTTTGATGCAGAAACTATGGTTCTGACGCTGCAGAAAACACCACGTGCGGTCACTGGAGCAGTCAGCTTGACGAAGTTGACGAGTCCGAACATGGTTGGAGAGTCAAAAAATTGGTTTGGTTGAATTTTTTACATAGGTGCGTACTATGTACAGGAATCAGATATTATGGAATATTCAGAGATTGATTTCTTGACCTTATAATGACTAAAGATTCATTTTTTTTATATGAAGATAACTAATATTTCATCCTCTCCCTTTCCTAATTCTTTTTCTCTTTCCATTTCTCTAATTCTCTACATCTCACTCTTAATGCAGTGTATTGTCTATGATACATGGAGCCATCAGCACAAAATCCTGTTGTGTCTCCAAATTTGTCCAGCCTTCTCCTTCCACTTTCCTCCAAACTATTAGTCTCCTAGAAACGTGGTCTTCTCTGTCTGGCCGTGAACTTCGAGTCGTGAGCAACCTTGCGGCCCCTACGTCTCATTGTCTCCTTCTTTCTGTTGATGTAGTCTTTTCTCGACTCCATCTTCTTCTTTTGCTTGCTACTCAACTTCTTGTTTGTCTCTGGTGCATCCATCTGTGCCCCCACCAAGTTCAAATTTCTGTCCGATTGACCTGCCGTAAGAACAAGGTAAAACTTCTTGTTTCTTTTCGATTCAGGGTCGTCGATGATCAAACCTCCCGCAAATCCGGCCACTTTGGCAGCACCCAAGATCGCCTGTGTTTGATCATCATTCATAGGATAGAACTGTGCAACAAACTTGCCTCCTCTCTTCATGGAAGCATATAGACTGTTGAAGAACCTCATAAGTCTCTTCTTGGGGTCCACACCAGCCGAATCAGCGTTACACAACCACTGGATCACCGAAATGGAAATAGCTGCGTCAAAAGTACCTGCTCTGAAGGGGATTCCATTACCAATATCTCCCAAGAACAAGTCTCCTTCTACCTCTCTGTCCAATGCAGATGCCAACATACTAGGTGCAATATCCATACCGATCCAGTTGTAGCCTTCTTCCGTCAAGATCTCTCCAGAGAGTCCAGAACCGCATCCCACATCAAGAAGGAAGTGAGGTTCATCCTTCTCGAGGTTCAAGAGTTCCAAAGCTCGAAGGGTCATTTTGGCCTGGATATGCTGCACACGTGTCGAGGAAGTATATTTGAACGATTCTGAATCGTTGTAGAACACCTCAGGGGGTGCGATCTCCTCTGGTCTGGACATTTTGTGGTAGGTTTAGTGATGAGATGGGGATCTAAAAAAAATCAATAAGTATTGTGTATGCAGGACCACCACTATCGACAAATTGATAAAGGCCTTCAAAAAAGTGTCTATTTCTGCCATTATTTAATTTTTTTTGTTCTATTTGATTCATTAAAACCCAACTATAACTTTCAGTACACTAAGTACAATGTGCAAATGATGGCTGGTCCAGATACAAATCCAAACCAACAGATAACATTCCCCAATACCTTCTTGTCTCGCATGAACCGGCTGCGACTCAACAAAACCAATGGGATCTGGCCCATTTGGAAGTAAAACAAATAACCTCTCAACCTACCGAAAATCGTGTACATCACCAACTCATGAACAATACTAGAGATCGTAAATGTGAGGAGTGTAGCCCACAACTTCGACACATTCAAGGCACTGATGGAAGAGTGATAGACATGTCTGAGCAAAAACCGATGCACAGGTTTGTTCCAGAGACGAGAATATTCTGACCAATCAGTGCAAGACCACCATGGTCCGTAGAAGTCACGGTCGGCAAATTGACTGACTTCTGCCACGGCATTCAAGATTGTGTCCCAGATCAAGTGGAAAACAAAGAGGTACTCCATCATGAAAGGGGGAATCATGTCAAAAAGCGTAAGCAAGAAGAAGACGGCCTTGTCGTAGGAGGAGAGATTTTTCGTTCTCATATCGTTGCATTTCTGAACCAATGGATAGATGGAGTGCTCTGCGACCACGAGCATCAAGAAGATCACTCCAAAAAGAGCGCACAACTTTTCGAAGAAATACATCCATCTAATTTTCTTGGTTCGTGGGTAAACAAGTTCATACACCGTCGTAGGATACATTGTGTAATCGAAAAAGTTCTTGATGTTGACATTGCCAGGAAACTTGACCAATTCTCCACACAAGACATAAGAATCCTTTTCTAAAACATCCTTTTCTTTGGCCTGCTCAAGCAGACCAGATTGGTGAAGCAACTCAAACTTGGAAAATGCGATGCTACTCAACAACAACTTGCGCGTATACTCCACTGAGTAACCATCGGGTAATTCGGCCTCTCTGTTCTGTAATCTAGTCAAATACTTCTCGGAAAATTGCAATTCTCTGAGAATACTCCATAGATAGCCATTATAAAATGCGTAAGAATGCATTTTCATAAGAAGAACAAATAGGTGTAACACCAAGAACACCCTCCCGATCCATTGATCCTTCATCACTGAATTAGAGACAAATAAGATCCAAAACACTGTATAGAAACCCTCATACACGGACTGTAGAATCCAGCCACTAGTGTACCACTGGATCCATCCTTGTGAACACAAGTATTGAATGAAGTATGCAAAATAAATGGTCAAGTACATCATTAAGTCAGTGAAGGCAATCTTGATAAGTCCAGTGGAGAAAATTGCAAATACTGGGCCACTGAAGATGGTTGTTCCAGCCTCGAAGTAGTTGTGGAGGATATCTTGGAGAAAAAGAAATCCAGTACCTAACCAGAACAAGATATAGAACCCGTAGAATTCGGAATTCTTGAAGTAAGGAGCATCAAAAATCGAATGTACAACTGGTTTGGACGTGATGTCGGCAAAATTGGACTTGAAATTACCTTCGGCCCGTTTAGCACGTTGCTCACGAACATTGTTCTTGACTAAGATCGAGGCAAAGATCTTTTCTAACTGAAGATTATCCAACTGCTTCAATCCATTATCAACAACACCATTGGGTCTGCTTCGTAATTTTGACGGCACAGAGGTCAGGATCTTGATCTTCGTTAATTCTTCATCCAGGCTGACTTCAGAAGCAGTTTCAAGCTGATCCTCGTAGTCATTATCGGCTAGAGGTTTTCTCGGATGGACATCTGTAATGTGAGAGATTCGATCAAGGTTGGATAGTGTGTCGCTGCGATTCGGCATGGCATTTACAAGTTTGGATGGCGATACTAGGCGGATTAATTGAAATATATATCCAAATTGCGGAACGGCAGATAACGTTATCGCCGAACGGACCGAACAGAATCATTGTTGCCTGACTCACGGGCCGGAAATATGAGAAATGTTTCAGGCTCGAACGGGCCCTTAAAACTTCTTTCACCTTTACTCGTCAACTGTTGGCTTTTCGTTCAGGTATAAGTGGTCGATCCCCCCGTATATTATTTCAATTGACGCACTCGCACCTCAATATGAGAGTTTCAGTAATTTCAGGTTTTTTTTTCATTGAATGGTTTATACCTTTGATTTCTGCATCTATCCCTTACTCCTCATGACCATTTCGACTTCTTGATTTGCCTTTTTTTCTTTTTTCTTGTCAATGTGTCGTTGTCATTCCCCGTCTGCAGTTTCTTGACGAAAAATCGTTGTGTCGATCATTTCGCAGCCATTGTTGACTTACGGAACTTTCGGAACTTCCTCTCAACTTAATAATCAAGATGGGAATCATTTGTTGTGTGTGAATTTTCGATCTTCCGAAGCGTAAGGAAATGCGGACAACACGAAGAACTTCAATGATGAATGAGTGTAGCAATCATGAAGTGTCATGTCGTCCAATTCTGAATGAACGCCTATTCGCTAGGTATTAGCAGCTTTCTTGTGTTTGCCAGTGAGTTGTTTCAGCTCTGTCATTTCTTTTTCTTTTTCTTTTTCCAAAATTCGACTGCAACTGCTTGTAATCCACTGCCAATCGAATTTCTTTATATAATCATTGTAAGGCTCTTTTCATGGTCAGAAGCCAATCGATAAAAAATCTCTTTTAAATATCTCTTGATATCGCTCTACATCACTAGTAATCGATTGAGCCAACAATCGAGAGTAAGAGTTGAGTTTGCTACAAATGATACTGGGAACTGGGCACGTTCGAACTGCAGATTCATTAAGTAGCAGAGAAGATTGAAAAAAAAGAGCCAAGACACGAACTTCGTAGGAAAAGACCGTTTGATTTTCTTGCTTACTTCAACGTCAATAATTGAAGTTAATCAACCTGATACTTGATCTTTAAATCAATCTGTGTAAGGAAATACAGTTGAAAGTTGTTGCAATGAATGAGGACTCAACTACTAGCAATCACACGAAACGAGATGCGAGAGAATGGATTTAGAGAGGCAAGCGACCGACCAAATTTACCCAAGGCAATACTTAGCTGATGGAAACAACTTAATTATTTTATGCGCATCTCAATTTGAAGGAGAATAGCATTCATCAATCCATTATTGAAATATCAAGCGGACACCAACTCAAGTCAAAGGAAGTCATGAAAACCAAAGTATCTGGAGAGAATCGAAGATATCTCTTTCGACTTTATTTAGATGTACTGTTCGATTATATACCAATGGCTCAAAAAGTCGGTCTTCCACCTCAACCCTCTCTTAAACTACTATTTTCAGTTCAGTGTCAGTCCTTCTGATTTGCTTACATTTTGAACACTTATTTTAATATTGAAATTACCCATCAACTTACATATACCTAAGCCCAAATCTCCAAGGCTTCATAGAAATCGACTCTCTTGTTGGTTTTCTCAATCGAGCGTACAACCACATATCTGACTTCATCAACCATGGCTGGGTGTCCACATGTCACGAATGCGGTACTGTTAGCAGCTTCGCCAATTTCAGTAGCAATCATACCTTCAAGGTTAGGACGACCTTCCAAAAACTTAACATGCTGCAAGTCACGAGCCACTTGATCAAGGATTTCACTGGATACCACCTTCTCAGACTTCTCCTGAGAATCCGAGTCTGAAGTTGCAGAGATCAAAGCACCAAGTTCTTCTATTCCATTAACATCTTCTGGCCGGGTAATGTAGATAGTCGTTTCCACGTTAGTGTTCTTCAATGCCTGTAACTCACTGTAGAACCAGGCTAAACTCTTGATTTCTCTGATAATCCACACAAGTTTTAATACTTGCTTGGAATGTGGATTCTTGTCAGCTAAGTCCTTCAACTCACTGTAAAGACCTGGGATTCCGCTTCCACCAGCAACAAAGACAGCACTGGAGTGGTGCTTAATAGGATGGCTCTCACCATATGGTCCCTCAACACCAACTCTGACAGACAATTTCTTACCTGGAACCTTGATCAATTTCTTGTACAAGGACTTGGTCACACCACCTTTGACTTTGCAATAGAATTTTATAGCTCCGTCCTCTTCAATCAAGGTAAAAGGGTGAGCCTGCCAGAACATGATTCCTCCGAAATAGAGCCATGCGTGGCCACCTGGAATTGAAGACCAGTAGCTGGGCTTGGGTACTACCACCTTAATGGTCTCATCTGAGATCAATGATATTTCAGCCTTTGGGAAACCAAAGGCCAAGAGTCTAATAATTCTCACCAATCTCTCAAATCCCCACACAACAAATGCAGCATACATAATTTGACCGTAACCCAATTCCCAGACGTGATACCATGTGCCTACGAGGAAGAAAATAGCCAAGAGAATGTGCAACACCAAGAATGTCTCATACCATCTTCTTCTCAAAAACAACAAAGCCTGGAAACAGATAAGAGCACCACAGGCAGTACCGACGGTTCCCCAGATCAAGTAGTTTTCGGCCATGTCTTCAGCATAGTATCCTTCGATAATGAAAATACGAGTGTATGCAACGGAATGAATGAAGGCCATGAGTACAACCAATCTTGCAATCCATCTATGGTAAGCCATAACGGTGGTGAACTTCCATCTAGTAAGGTATTGCAAGAAACTGTTTCTTCCTCCCAAGAGTACCAACAATGGAATGAGAATAGTACAAATGATTCCTGTTCTGTCTCCCACATAACGGTTGATAGCAAGGGTTCTGCTTTCTTCGAAAATTGGGTCATTCTTGACATAATAAATGCCAACGGCATTCAAAATGAATACCAACCAGAAGAAGACAAAAATCACCAATGACTCGACACGAGAAGGAATAAGAAAATCAAAAATAAACAAGAATCTCTGTGACGTAGACTTCTTCTTCTTCACCAAAGCGGGCATGAGAACATACTTTCTAGACAACTTGGAGAAGAAGCCATTAAAGAAGTTGCGCAGGTTTGGGAAAAGTATGGCACTCCAATTTACTACCATTGAGATGAGTGCAACGAGGAACCAATATCCAACACACCCAATACCATACCAGAAGGAATCATCGTAGTTTCCTAAGAAGACCTTGTATGAGTCTTTGAACAAGTCAACTCTTGTCTCGTTAACTTTAATAGGAACAGTAACGGGAATCGAATAGTTGAAGTTCTCGACACTCTCAAGTGGTACTGCGTGTTCGTAATAATAAGCCAAAGCATCTGTCAAGTTCTTTTCAGTGACAGTCGTCTCGTAGTACTTTCCGCAGTAGTTGATGATGAAGTCAAAAATGTCTGAAGTATTTCTACCTTCATATGCAATACATCCCATAAGGGAGGCCATACCATTGATATTGTTACAGTAAGGCAAGTAAACACCGGTTCCAAAAATCACCTCTTGGTAAAGACCGTAGGCACATGAGTACATGGCCTGTGATTTCTCACCATAGAATTCGAAGTTCTCAACCTCAGCACTAACAAGTGCCAAAAAGGCAAAAAAAGGAACAAAAAATCTCATAATTTTAGTTGGAGACCCCAGTATACCTTGCGTGGATCCTATTTATATAGTCAGCGAATGGCAGGGGCCGGACATGCCAGGATAGCACAACCGGATGCTATGTAATTGGATAGAACAAGCAGAAAATGTACATGCATAATCCTAGAGCCAGTTTGCGCCAAGATTTTTTCAAGTTGGGGCCGCCCACATTGACACTTTTCTGACATTTGAAGACACTAGGGCGCCCTTCTTGGCAACTTTGACAGGTTGAAAATGGCCCAGTGAGGACCAGACAAAGTGCCAGAGATGATTGGGCTAACAACATCCAGAGTTTGAAAGGCTGCAAAATTGTCCTTAACACTTTGCAGCCCATGCGGGGTCCTTGGAATTCCCCATACGAGAACGTGATTCAAGGTGATGGAAATGAATGTTAGGGTCTATGCCGGTCGATCGACATAAAACAGGAGTTAGTGCATGAAACGTGCATTGATCCAATCAGATAACTTTTGATTCTCTGAGAAAAATTATATCGGCAAATCGCGGCATTTATATGAAAATTAGAACCTACATGACAAAAGTATCTGAAAGAAGAGACTCCAAATGATTTCCTGAATCTCTCAGAATCTATCGAACCTGAATTGCAAACATCAAGAGCAAAACTTAGAGGTCTGATTACATCAGAAATTAGGGTTTCGAAGGAGCGGCTTGATCACACGCTGTGTGGACATTCTTTCCTCTTTCATCTGCGAGTCATAATAGGCTGGTCTAAGGATCCACACTCGACAGGTCATTTATTTTTGTCCTTTTTCTGTCGCGACAAGAGGATTTGCGTTTTATAAATATTTGCATATGGTCCCATTTGAACATTATGACTGACCGAAAGTCACTCTGTCTGTACCGACGGCTCATCAGGGCCCACTATCTGCTATTTTTGTCCATACTGACTGTGTCCTTGGCTCTGAGCTATAACTCCAACAATTCTCAACTTCCTGTCGTAATTTGTCTGCACGAATGCGCTGATCCTACGTCAAAATCCTATATGCCCAATTAGCAAATCCGATAATCTGCCGGTTATCCATCAGCATGATGCTTGCACATACCGAATGGTTGCCGACTTTTGCCCGATGAAAGATCCAATCACTTTTCATAAAAATAATTAATTACGGACATTGGCCCCGGGTACGGGGATTTAGTACTTTAAATTTCTGCAGCCGCACAGTGCGAATTCCACAAAATCATACAAACCGTTCCGGTAGTGGTAGCTGGACAGACCGAAATGCGGGAATTTACCGGCTGGAAATAACCGGCAATTATGTATTTTTCATACTAAACAATCAAATTATCATTCACAAAAGCTACAAGTGAACTGCCTGGGTATGATGAGTCACTTTGTCATTAAATATCAGAGTTTGAGTCTGACGCTGCGTTAAGAGTCGGTTAGTAACCGTAACCCTGGTTACATTTCTGCGATTTAGGTAATTGAATTTCAATGACATTATTAAAATGATTTCTGATTGGATGCCTGCAACTGGTTAAAGAAAAGCATAAATGGACATTGTTCAGCGATGCTAAAAGATAATTGAATGTTCATTGAAGTGTTATCAATAAACAAGTCAATTTGTAGGCCCTAGGTAGAAAGACGAGCTTGTTGGTAAGGAAAGATCCAGTTGGACACATATCCAGAAATGAGAGAGCTTCAGATTCTAGAACTACTCGAAGTAGGTTAACGGTGATGGAAGAGTATTAATTGAAGTTCTCTATGTGTATCCCGCTATAGCTTTTGATTTCAAGAGTTTTTCAGGTGATCAACAGCTTCCAAACACTAACTCCTCGAGAAATTGTATTCAATGTTGTTTTCTTCCATCTTCCATACATATTTGTGTATCTATGGTAACGCTTTGTGGTCAAGAATCTTTTCTTAGGAATCATCCTGTTCCTTTCGTTATTGACACATCTTGAAAGAAGTTAGACATATGAACCCGGTTATCATCATCTGAATTGAAATGAAGTTGAATTAAATCTGATGGAAATTCTTGGGAATAAAATTATTTGACCTTTTCGTCAGCTTGATGCCACTGTCATTCACTAAATGAATCAGCTACTAACGAATATCAAGTAAAACAGCATGACTAATTTCTCCTATTTTCCTCTCAAATACCATTTCACGTACTCATTTCCTCAGCGTAACAAGATTATGTATTTGGAAGAGCCTTATTGCTTGATGTATCCAGCAACATGAGTGGGATAAAATCTTTCAGAAAACAACGAAAATACCTTAAGTTTCACTCTCAGATTGTTCAGGAATCTCAGGGCGTTACTTAGAATTCTGAGTTCCATCTTATGCACATATTTTGTGGACATCTATTGTGTGGACATCGAAAGAATCTTGGCATGGTTTGATTTGACGTATAGGAGGCCCGATAATTCTCGAAGTAATAGGGGAGAAACTGGAGATGAAAATTGAGGTAAGCTGTTTCAAATATTAAGGAATCTGCGTTAAATCCCTCATTCTTTCTTAATCTTCGACTTTATCACGTTTTGAACCCTGTTGGTAGAAGTTTTCGTAATGTATTGGATGAAAACGCATCTACAAGGGGAATTGTCAAATTGCCACAAGAATCCAACAAAATTACAAACTTGGCAAAATGGGCGTAAGGAATTATCTGAAGAAATTAAGCCAGTTGGAAAGCCAATTGGGTCAAAAAGGTCATAACCCACTAGAACCTGTCAATCAATAAACTTGTCTCAGCTTAAGCTATTCGTTCTTTGAGATACTTGCTGAAATCTCTTTCACCTTGAGGTCAAATCAAAAGAGAACGCATGAGATAAAACTCACATGAGAATAAACGTCACATTGAAGTTCATTTTTCATCTTGTCGAGTCAGAATTGCTGCCTTACTATGGTGTGAGAAACTGATTTTCAAATTGGCAAGAGCAAAAAGATAAGCGGAGGCTCTCGGGTGAGAAGGGGATATTGAGAATTGGAAGTAATCTTTTGATCCTTCTACTGTGAGAAAAGTTCTTCTAACTTTAAGCAAAAAACATACTATACTTCGAATCTTAGCGCCCATGAAGTCAGAGGGGATTCATTTGGGGACTGTGGTCTTAGTGTGGTGTGTCCAGATATGTGCAGAAATAGTATTCGTAATATGTCATCTCTATATTCATGAAGAGAATAATTCATTAAGTCGCCGGTTTTCGATTGTTGATGATTCTTCAAATACTCGTAATTATCAGTTAATCATCGAGGATGTCAATCGGAAACAGCATAAAATCTAAGTACAATAGGACCTTATGCGTCTTTGGGTACCTTTATTCATCCCTATTACTTTAAACAGACACAAGCTTAAGTTCTCCTTGACCATTTCCTCTTTAGAATTCTAGTCTTTAGGATTCAATAAAACTTCGCCACTCGATCGTAAACAACAACCTCTACATATTTATCTGTTGTTAATGCTTTAACAGCTCTATGTACATTGTCTAACGGTAAACCCTCTCGAAAGGTCTAGTGTCATTGAAACAAGATTTCCACACGGTATCCACCACCTGTGCAGCGACCTCAGGAGATTCACATTTGGGATTCGCAGAAACAGAAATCACAGCTCTCCGACGAATACAATCTTGAAACTTTTTACCGAAGTTACCTAGACCGGTTTTACGGATTTCGTTCATGATACGGCATTCTCCACTCAACATGGAAGCCCGGATTTCTGTACATGCATGGTGCCTCAAGTTGGTGAGATCAATGTCGAACTTCAAGTAGTCATAGGCATGAACGAGCTCGTGGGTCAAAATATCTTCAAGCTGCCACTTGTCACGGATCCAGTTGGAGCACAACAAAATCCCCAAATCTGGATGGAATCCTCCACCTTTCAAGTCGTCACACATATCACAAGTAATGTTGTTCGTAGACAAGTTTCCGCCTAATTTCTTGACATGGCCCATCATAAACGTCACTGATGGAGAGTATCGAAGCATCCAGTCTCTGTACTCTTCACATTTGTCACAGTTGTCGGGGAAGTTCTTAACTCTGTAGTCGTGCTCAAACTGAGCCTTCTCCGCCTCGGAAATACCAAGTCCCGTACGGTAGGCTAGCGACCTTCTCCACCATTCAAATCCATGAAGCTTCTCCGATGGCGACGTCTTGAGAGTGTCTTTGGTATCCTTCGGGGTATCTGCCATAGTTGAAGTTGTAGTGAAGATTTGTCGTGCAGGTTGCAAGAGGTTAAAGTGGAGGTTTAAAGCCAGAAATGAAAGTGAAGAAACACTGAAAAGAAAAGTCAAAATTGACTCCGAAAGCTTGAGACTACTTAAATTATATGAAAAAAATCTTTACAGACTTACATTTCTAGTTGTTATTGTAAGATCAAGAGATGAAGGAATTGAGAGAAGAAAAATTGTAAAGCAAATACTTGAATCAATAAATCTGAATGGGAAAGTTAAAGAATTACAGATAAAAAACCTGATCAACATTAAAAATGGATATGAAAATTGAAAAAATAAAAAAAACAAATAAACTTATGTCCCATGATATATTCTATCATAGCTCTTCCTTCATCGCAGTAACATTCATCTCCTCTTATACACTCCATCAACCTCATCGATTTTAAATCACTAATGGTTGCTAATATTTGGGTTGCCGCCGCAGACAATCAGGTAGACGTCGTAAAGTCGTACCTTGACTCGGGAAAATTTTCTGCCAACTCTAAAGATCCCAACGGATACACTGCCATCCATGCCGCAGCATCTTACGGTCACATCGACTTGTTGAAGCTATTGATTCTGAGCGGTGGAGACATCAACATCCAGGATAACGAAGGTGACACGCCATTGCATCACGTCGAAGACTTGGCCACCGCCACGGTGATGGTGGAGGAGCTTGGAGCTGACTACAAGAAGAAAAATACTGAGGGACAAACACCTGCTGAGTACATCGAGGAAGATGGAGACTTTCCCGAACTAGCGCAGTATTTGCGTTCGTTGATGCATGACCAGCCCCAATCATCTGTTCTTGGAGACTTGCCATCACCAGGTAACGTAGAAGGTCACCAGATCAGATACATAATGGAGGAAGACCAGGAAGAAATGAGTGAAGAGAGAAGAAAGCAGCTTGAAGAGATTGCCAATAGTGATAATCCAGAAGAGGCACTTCGGAGATTGGTGACGTCTGCAGTGAGAGAAGGATTGGCCAATTACAAGGCGGCCAGTGACGAGCCTGAAGCTAAGAGGGCAAGAGAGTAAAAATGGTGTAACTACTTAGATGCGGAAGTGTGGGACCAGTGCATATAGAATGCGGAATTGACACCATAGTTTAGACAAATCAGTTAGAAGTGTGTACTTCGAATAATATCGACAAATTATATTTGATTATCAGAAATTGCAACTAATTATACTTTTTTTGACTAGCCGCCAACATTCTTATATTGTATGATTTGTAAAATTTAATAAAATACATCAGCTTTCATTTACTTTAACTCAAGCTTATCCAACTATTGAGTGGGGCAGTCCTGTGCACAACCGCTCGTCCACTTGCAAAATGGACGAATCTGAATATCTACCTTAGTAACCACCATGTTTGAAGCACTCGTGGACTTTATCAACTACGTGCCAACCAATGCCGATGGCTCAGCCAAGTATGTATCTCCAAGCACTCTACATCAATTTCAACACTAACATTTAGAAAATTGTTCCACCACTATTCTGTGGAGGAGTTAACTGCTATGTCTCTCTGGCAACGTTTGAAGACCAATGACTGGAGATTGGAGTATTTCACCATCCTCTTCACCATTGCCTTCGTGTTTGTGTACAAGCTCGGTGACTGGTACAACCAGTCCAGAGTCACTTCCTTCCTTAACGGTGTAAAGGGGGTGTTTGAGAAGAACTTCTACCAGTTTGGTGTTGGAGACGGCAAGTTATACGAGAAGGACAGCGCCGAGAGCTACGCCTCGTACGCCACTGGACGTAAGAATATCTCCAAGGTCAACCTTGTGTTCCGTTTGGCTCCAAGACAGAATGTGTTTGTGTGGTTGATGGAGATTGCCTTCTCGTATTTCACTGAGTCTGTTCTCTACCCTAGTGACAGAGTTGAGATTGTGGTGAGCCCTTCTGCCGACTACGATAACTTCATCACTGCTGTTGTTTCCAAGCTTGGTATGAGTGAGTACAGAAAGTTCAACTACTATTTGGCATTGACCAGAACCTCCGACTCTGACTTGTTGCCTCAGTCTTTTGTTTTCATGAGCGAGGTCAACGAGTACCAAGAGAAGACCTTCACTGCCAAGTTGGCCGACTCCTTCAAAGCTAACATGGCCAGCTTCGTGAGATATGTGGCCTTCACTGATCAACCATCTGAAAAGCCTGTCGCTATCCGTGACTTGCTTCCACACCGTAGAGTGGTAATTTCGCTTAACTTGGTTACTGGTAAGAGCGAATTGGCTCAGATTTCCGAGCTTCTCGACTCTGTTTTCGACGTGATCGACAAGATCGCTGAAAATGAGATCACTTTCAGACCCGAGGCTGCAAGAAAGGTTGTCAAGGCCAGAGAGGTGGAGATCGCTAAGATCAAGAAGATCGAGGAAACTGCCAGACAGGAGGAATTGGCAGAAGAGATGGCCAAAGTCAGAAAGGAGGAGAGACAGAAGGTGAGAAATTTGTCTAGAGAGGAACAATTGAAGGCCGAGAAGAAGGCTCAGGAGAAGAAGGCAAGAAAGGCCCAGAAGAAGATGAAGGTCAGAATGTGAGTTGATTAAAAAAAGAAAACTATTCCCAGGCTCCACATGTGGCTATGCAACATATGGACCCTCAATTAATACACTTCTATGTCCTTAAAGTTTTCCCGTAAGCCTCCAACAACGTCCCACTGGCGTGTTGAATGCTTCCACCACCCCTGCACCTCTAGCATCAGCTAGAACCCATAGTAAATCGTAGCCATAGAACGGCTTGCGAAAGTTGGCCAAATTCTTGCCTTCCCACTTCTCAAATAGCACATCCTCGAGAAGTTCATCGTACTTGGACTTTCCAAGCGTCTTTACTAACCATGTTCTACCAGCATTAATGATTTTGAGGAAAGTTCCGCACTTAGGAAACGAAATGGAATACTGATGCACATCGATTTCGTTGTGATGGTTTGATGTTAATGTGAGGAAGCCTAAATTAACCAATAGTGATAGCTGTGGAGCAGAAAAATCCTCATTAGTTACGAAAAGCGACTCAGGATTGTTCTCCACATAGGTTCTAAACTTCGTCAACGTCCCATCATCTCCATCTTTACTCTCTTCAATCAACGAGATATACTGATCTGTTTTCACCACTACGTCGGTATTCTCGTAGCCATAAGTAACCTTAGGGTTGAAACCGATCTGTCCATTTCTCAGAATCACTGGCAGGGCGTTTGTGATAACGAACTTCTTGATAAGTCCTTCTCGAATACACATCTCAAGACTTCTATCCACGAAGGTATTTCCCATGTGATCAAACATAGTGTATAGTTGGTTCACAGTCAAGATACCACTGGGAAGTTGCTGGCTCCGATACTTAAGTATCTCCGCTTTAACTTCCATGGATAGTCCACGCAACAGGAATAGTAGATCTGATGGTGAATTTGAAGCATTCTGCTTTGCTTCTTGACTGTAATGTCGATCATGATACATATTCTGTTCAGACCATTGGTTAAGAACTAGTTGGTCAATAGCATCTAACATGCTTGACTGACCTGATAGTTCATATTGGAGATGGACATTGTGATCGAGTATCGTAAGTTTCGAATGGTCATCATCATTTGATTTGGAGGCTGCACGTTTAGGCTGTTTTGGCTTAGGTTTTAGTGGTGAAAGAGGAGACTTTTTCGAAGGGCCAGACTTTCGGATTCGAGACAGGCTTGCCGCTGTTGATCGTAGACTCATGAAAAGAAAGTGGGTGCAAACTTAGTAATGCACAGGAAACATGATTTGACAGTTATGCATAGAACCTGCCTAGAACTAAAGTGTATTCAATCATATTGTCATCCCATTACAGTGTTATGGAAAAGAAAGAATTATTTCTATTATCCCCATGAGCTCTTATTCAAACATCCATTCTCATTTCTTGTACTGGTGTGTACGTACTACTGTAGGTTACCATGCGATAAATTAAAGTTATAAGAGTTACCGAATACAAAAAAAACAACACAGATAGCCGATAACAACAGGATAAAATCAACATTACTTGTATTGAATGACAAATGTTATCTATGGGGGAGCTTTAGTGAAAACGAGAAATCCAATTCTGATAGCCGACAAAAAACCCTGGTAGACATCCTACTAATTCTATCCGTAGTCCTATATTCTATGTACATGCACCTACTGAACTCTAAGCTTCTTCTTCAAAATGTTGGCATCTCCGGCAGCCAGGAACGACCACGAGTACACTCCAGACTCGACAATTTCCTCCACAGCCGTGCCATTTTCGCCGACAACCTTGATAACAGAAGATGGAACTTCGATTCCGGTAGAGTTAAAGACACTCTGTGCAAGTTGTTCCCTCGTAATTGGGTATTTCTTTCCACTCAATGTGAAAGTATCTGGAAGAGACTCCCCAAGCTCAGCCAAAGAGTATGCAGCAACATCGCCAGCAGAAGTATCGGTCTGGAAACCCACTACAGAACTCTTCTTAGTCTTGCTGGATCTCATGGTGGTGAACAAACTGGACAACTCATCCAAGGACAAAGCTGGAGCACTCTCCTTCTTGGCTTGTGGCTCCTGAGCCAAAACCGAGTCTGGGGTCTTTTTCTTTGGCTTATCTGAAACAACATCTCTTTTTCTCTGAACTACGGGGATTTTAGGGCCATCCACCATATAACATGCCTTGTTTCCCACATGCAAAAAGTTTCTCATGAAGGCTGGCTTCACTCTCACAACTTCACCAGCAACACCAAGGGGCTGGTAGTCTTGCAATAACTGCACAGAAATCTTTTCGGCCTTAGAGGCATATCTGACAAACTGCCTGGCGACGCTTGTTCTGGACAACATTTGTCGTGTGGTTAGGTATGGACTACTGAGCCGAAAAATTTCAATTGGGGTTTACTTGGATCATGGTGTACGGGTGTATATTTCACAACCTGATGTTCCACTTGAGAAGTGCTTGTGAAGGGTGAAAATGGAGATCGGGAGGACTAAGATGGATAGAAACACAAGAAGTTGCCTATACTTCTTCAGATTTGTGGCTATGAAAAGTTGTTTTGGCTCGTTATGCAGCTTTATCAGGTAAGATGGTTCAAATGGTCTATAGAATGCAAAAGCTAGATCGGAAAAACAAGAGCTTTTCTTCATATCAGTAATCGCCACGAATTATGTACGTCCAATTTACTTCTTTAATTTCCCGAAACTCTAGGTCCAAGGAAACCCAATAGCACGCTTATTATACACAAGGATGTACGGGTTTCCATCACTAACATAATCAATCTCATCCTCATCTCCACATTACAAATCAAGAAGAAACAAATGTCCACAGAACCATGCTCTATATGCATGGAAAACGAAGCCAAGTACACTTGTCCAGCATGTAACACAAAGACATGTCTGGTTGAATGTGTGAAAAGACACAAGCTTCGGCTGGAATGCAGTGGAGAAGTCGATCCTACTAAGTTCGTCCCTAATAAGGTATTGAGCTCTAGCCAGGCACTTGTCAACCGAGACTATAATTATCTTCTAAATTTTGAAAGGAAGGTTTTGTTAGGAAAATCAGATATCAAAGCAAATGCTCGGAATGTGTTCAAAAGAAACTTCAATGCCTCCAACATTACCAAAAGACAAAAGCCCAACCCCGACAATACAGATCCAAGAACAGAGCAAGTCAACAAAGTGTTTCCAAACTTTCCACAAACATCAATTAGGCGAGAGAATACCATGGTCATCCACCTCCCATCAGGAATGTCAAGAAGCATACAGAACAAATCGGGCTTCGATAAGAAGGCCGGATCGTATATCTGGACTGTGGAATGGGTCCCTGTAGACTCCAATGGAGTCGCTAAAAAGAGCTTCATTAGTTTTCGCTTGAAAGAAGGCACTATTTTGCGAGATTCGGTCCCACTCAATGTGTTGCAGAATGCGGTTCCAGAGGAAGGTTTTGTAAAAGAAAAACTCCATTTTTACCTTGAAAATTGCATCAAATCGTCCTCGAAAACTCGCTCAATAATAAAATTGAACCCTGATGAGACTATTGCCTCTGCTCTTGCAGACAAGGTAGTGCTTGAGTATCCTAAGATATTTATAATCTGCGATGAAACTACCTGGGAGGAATTTAATCAAGACAAGGATGAGGCTTACAACATTAAAAAGGAAGAGCTGGACCCGAGCAGCAGTGATGACTCGTCAGATTCGGATTCAGATTCAGATTCGGACTCAGACTCAGGTGACAATGACAGCGACAGTGACAGCGACAGTGACGAGGCTCCAGAGGAAGTGTCATCTAAAATGGTTCTAAAAGATGACGAAATTATAACCTTCGACTCTGGAATATCCAGTAGGAATGTCCCTGAAGCTTCTCATGCTATTACAATCACAGAAGGTACGCTGACTACCACAGACATGGGCAATATCCTGGACGTTCTGGCTTAATCACACTGTCACATTCAAGATAAACCGACAACAAAATCACAACATTAATCAGCATCAATGGGAGGTAGACTCCCTATTTAATAGAAATAGCATTTCACATCTTACTTACTGTGTCTAATACTAGTCCTTCTCACCTGCATGAAGTTCCGAAGACCATCATCTACAAATACTAAAGATATTCAACATCAAAACCGATGAACGTCTTCCGGAAACCACTGGAGAACGAGAGAAACCTAAACGCATCACTTTACGTTGGAAATCTAGATCCACAGGTCACGGAGCCTCTACTATACGAGCTCTTCATTCAAGTTGGACCTGTCCGACTGTTAAATCTACCCAAAGATAGGATTCTGAGGACCCACCAGGGGTTTGGATTTGTCGAGTTCAACAATTCAGATGATGCCAGCTATGCTGTAAATGTTCTCAATGGCGTTCGACTCTTTGGCAAAACTTTGAAGATGAAGAAAACCGACCATTCAGGTAGTCAAGATCTGAAGTCGGTCATGAGTGTGGGGGCCAGGCTTTTCATCAAGAACTTGAGTCCGTTGGTTGACGAAAAGTACTTGAAAGAAACATTCTCTAGATTTGGAAATCTTATAGAGTCACCTTCGATTGTGAAGGATGAGAATGGAATCTCAAAGGGCCGTGGGTTTATAGAGTACGAAGACTTTGAGAGCAGCGATATGGCCATAGCTAAAATGGATGGAACCTTGTTAATGAACAATCGTATATCGTTGGCATATGCATATAAGGAGGGACTCGAGCACCAAAAAATTCAACACGGAGATGAAGTGGACAGAAAATTGGCCCAACAAGGGAAAGAGAATCTACGAACAGAAAAGAAGGTCCAAAAAGGCAAGAGAAGAAGAAACTAAAAGAAGTTTATATTGATTACCTACCCATTTTAAACATCCATTTTGTGAAGAAACGGCGAGTTCTCCATGCTTATTGGGATCTTAAACCACTCAAGCAAGTTTGTGAAATCCGTTTTGTTGTTTGGAGACAACTCTTCACCATTTTTCTTGTACTGGTCAATCTTCTTCGACAACGACACATCCAAACTGTATGCGTTGAATCTCATGTCTGCGAACATGCGTGCACTCTTGGAGTGATGTGTACGTTTGTTGGTATCTTCACTGTCATTGGTTTCGCTTTCGTCAACATCATGCAAGCTGTTAGATCCTGCTAACAAACTAAGACCTTTGGCTCTATTTTCAATCTCTTCACTCTTGAGAAAACTCAAAATGTCGCTGTATCTAGTAGCACTTTCCCACAGAGTTCCTGTAATAGACAAAGCCGAGACCAACTGATCAAATTCTGGTTTGAAATCCTCGCCTGAGCGAAGCGCGTCAACAAATAGAAGACGAGCGGCGACCCAAAGAGCAAAAGCAAAGAATGGTCCACACAACAGATAAATGTCACCGTTTAAGTGATCTAAGTAGAGAGGCAATTTTGAGGAAAAGCTGGCAAGGAAATTTGCTGATTGTATACATTTTTCCTTTGCGGTGCTGGAAAGTATGAAGAAATTGGAATCAAAATTTTGGTAGGCCACTGAGGAATTTAACCTAATGACAGTCATATGATAAATCGAAAAGAATAACACATCTTTGACAGTTAACTTCTGTGTGAAGGCGGTTGACTGGTCATCTAGAAATTGCTGGTACTCGTAGGGAATGGACTCTTTCCATTTTATTAGTTCGCTGTCAATTTCCGACAACTGCATTTGCCATGCAAGAACCTCCTTAAAGTTGTTGATATCGAAGGGTTCTCGTAAGAAGGTATGAATCTTCCGAAGTTTACGAACAACTTCAACCAAATAAGACGACGAATCGAGAGTTTGATCCTCTGAAAATGTGCTTACAGATTTCGAAAATGCACTTCCAGGTGTACCCCAAACGTCCAGTCTTACAGGTACCAAGCGGTTGATATCATTTTCGATGATTTTGCATGGCAATGAGTTTGAGACACTTGAGAGGCAATCCAAAAGGAAAATCTCCCAAAACAAGTTTCGACGACACTCCTCATCAAAAGATGTGGACGGAGCCTTCAAGTTGGCCACACTTTGCGGACTGATGATCTTAGCCTTTTTTGTCCGCATGGCATTGGGCTGACCTCTAAATTCTACCCTTTCAACAGGCTCCTTGGCGAGATTCAAATGAATAACTGCGTTAGAAATGAGTGAAATATAACTCCAGGTGACTGGATTGTTCGATCTGCCATACGAATCGTATGCCAAGAGAGCCATAGCTTGCAATTGCTCTATCAGAGCGAAGCCAATGCATTGAGAGAGGATGGTAGTTCGACAGAAGGCCAGCAACTTATCAACTTCGTCATGTAACAAAAGGTCGTCCGCAAATCGTAGAGAACACAAAATCACACCTAGTATTTGCGGAGGCACGTCTGTTGGATCCGATAGCTCGTGAATACGATCCACAGCCTCGAAAATCTCCTTGCGAGAAGTCGGATGAAGAACACGGAATCCAGGATAGATCATTTCGAAGTAAATATCTACTAACTGGCGAATGATATTAGCTTGCGGAAGTGGCCATCGAGGCTTTTCCTTATGATGCATAGACCCATTCCCATTGAATACCGTGTGATCAGTATATGAGCCATTGCTCGAACCATGAATCATGGCGGGGTCATCTGTGGACCCATTGGTAAGATTTTCTATGCTGAGCAATTGCCGATGAGAGTCTTCACCACGAGTCATCATCCCCAGCACCTTTGAGTCAATCTGCTTTAAGAAGTCGTAAATGCCATGAAGCTCAGCAATCGAGGAATCATGATTATCCTGGATGTTATTTTCCATTGAATCGAGCTTATCCAACATAGCCGAACCATATCCCGTACGAAGTCCAGGTTTCTTCAACGTTCGAAACTCGCAAGGTAGGCCATGGCGTTCACAGTAACCACACTTCGGCGTAGCACGGTCACATCGGCGTTTTTTTTCTTTGCATGAATTACATGCCTTGGAATATTTCCTCTCCTCCGCTCTGGCGTCTTCGTTGGTGTCAGACATGATCAGCAAGAAGATCTAATAGTTCGCAGGAATGTTGGAGTCACTGGGGTCCTTCACAGAAGTTTATGTGGGGGATAAAGATGGTCCGGAAAGGTCTCGACATTAGTTGCAAAGCTAAAATTGGACAACCTTAATATCCGGAAAGTGCTAATAAATGCTTTTTTGGGCTCATCAGAAGTGGGGATTAGTGTTCCATGCTTTTTCGTAATGCTGAATGTTTATGACAATACCACATAATTACAATGCTCCAAGAACACTTACGCGGGAAGAAAAAGATGGAGATGTGAGAAAAAAGATGGAGATGGAGGGAGAAAAGTTGTACTGAATATTAAAAATAGAACAATTTTAAAAAGAAGGAATGTCATAAATAGTAAGAATGTGGAAAAGAAGGCGCTTTATCGTCTTTAAATGCTCTTCGAAAGTTCGTTACTGTCGTTTATTACATGGTGCATGAATTAAGATCCGGCATCTCCCTTCCATTTAAGTGCTCTTCAGATCTAAACTATCAACATGAGATACCTGTGGCTTATTTTCCAGTTCAGCAGCTATAGCAGTCTCTCCTGCTACGTAACCCCTAGTAACATCCTCGCCAAAAACTTGAGCAACCTCCTCCAAGCCCAAACCTCTGGTCTCAGGGAAGATGAAATACACAATGCCCATCTGAACAACCAACCAGATACACCAAACAATGTAGTACTTCCACTTGATCTTTTCCATAGCAATGGGGTTGACGTAATTGTTGAAGAATCCAATGACATTTCCGCAGAGTTGGTAGAGAGTAGCTCCTTGAGCTCGTAATTGGTATGGACAAACCTCCATGACGTATGTTGACGATACAGGCGAAACAATGTGGTAAAATCCAGAGAAAAGGTAGATCATGGCAACCACACCTCTGCCCAAACCTTTGTCCTTGAAGCCCCTCTGCTGGTTGACGGCAGAAAGCGCAGTCCAAACGACATACGTGACGCACATACAGATGTAGCCCATAATGAACATGTATCTCCTTGGGAATCTGTTGACCTGTAAGCCGACACCCACTGACCAAACAAGTCCGTAAACTGTCATTCCGAGATTAAGCTTGAGCTGACTGTTAGGGTTGGTGATGCCTATGTTCTTCAACACAATAGCCAAGTAGTAAGAGATAAGGGCATTTCCACAGAGTTGGGCCATCATGGGCACAGCACATACAATAAACAACCTTCTAAGTCGTTGTTTGGTTCCAAACCATTCGGAAAATTTTCCCAGCAGCTGTATCTTTTCTTGTTCAATCACTGCTTTGATCTCAGCCATTTCGAACGCAACAAGTGCAGAGTTCTCGTCTCCACCAGCATGATATTTAACAAAGAACTTTCTAGCCTCCTCATGTCTTCCTTTGTTGATTAACCATCTAGGAGACTCGGGTCCAAAGGAAGCAATGATCAACTGAATAGCTGGATAGAAGCATTGAAGCAAACTCGGAAGTCTCCAAGACCAATTATCTTTTCTCATGGATGAATGGTAGGGTCCCCAGGTAACCAATGCGGCAGTGAATGAGCCAAAGGGCCATGATGCAAGCAATAATGCAGTCACAGTGGCTCTATGAGGTGGGTATGATGTCTCAGCTAATAATGGAGAGGCAGAGGCAGAGGCAAGACAAGACCCCACACCTAACAAAATTCTCCCACCAGTAAACATTCCGAAGTTGCGAGCACAACCTTGAATGATGGCACCGACAATAATAACAGAGCATCCCAACATGATAGTCCTTCTTCTTCCAAAGTGATCACAGAGCCACCAGGTGAAAGGAATAGAAATTAATGTTCCAATGGATATACCATTACTCATCGTTCCCAAAATCGTTCCGGTTGGGTGATGGAAGTATTTCTGCCAGCTAGGCAAGGATTGCAAGGAATTCATCATTGAGCCATCGTAACCAGACGTGACTTGAGCGAGGATTCCTCCCAAGAGAAAAATATTCAATTGCAACAACCATCTATAGCGATACCATGGCTTTTCCAACTTTGGCACTACATCTTCCAATCTCATCAAAGATCTACTTGGAGAAGATTCGATATCTGTTAACGATTCTGAAGTTGTCTTGACTGGTATTGATTTCGACATTATTAATGATATATAGTGATAAGCTGCTCAATTTGTTTTTCATCTCTTTATATAGTTGAGAAGACAGTGGACTTCTTATGCATTTGAGGCACTGCGTTGTGGGGAAGATGGTGGGGGACATTTTGAGATGCAGATTTACGATAGCTAAACATGAAGTATGACAGAACAGTGATCCTTTCGGATATAATGACATTTTTAGAGAATTGTGAGTATGGTGGGGTAGAAAGTGTGACGAAGGTTGGGAATGGTGGAGGAGGGCCACATGTATTTTTCGCAGCCAATGGTGAAAAACGATCAAGTTAAGGATCTGAAAGAATGATTGGAGAATTGGTAGTAGAAAAGTACCCAGGTGGGAAAAATCGTCATATTTTGTGAAGATTGACTTTTAAATGTTTCTGCTACAGCTATCTACATCCTTTTCAAATATCAAAGAGACTTATCTGTGGAGACCTTCAAATCAGGATTTGACAGCAGATGTCTGACATGGGACATGCGGTGACAAATATCTATTGTCTATGATTGTTAAAAGTAGAATTCATTAATCTTTTTCTCTGAATGCAGTGTGTAAATTTCTATTGTTGTTTCTTTGTGTCCATCTAACAAATTCAAACCGCAGTTCTCAAGACTATCCCAAATGAATAACTTCGACAACAGGAACCCCTGGTAGCAAGTCTTCTTCTGCCATAAAAACCAGGAGAGGGGAAAATGGTGGCCAAAGATGGGGGAATCGACACTATCTACTGGTGGGGTAATTTTTCTTCACATAGTGGAAAGAAAACTAGTCCAATCTTATTTCCGATAGTCCGAGATTGACTTATTCAGCGTGTAGCACAGCATTAAGTTACAAAGTTATAGCCTAGCGTCACATTAAGTGCATTGCGGATCTTTGGTGAACAATGGCGTAATCAGGTGTAACAATGAACTGGTAACAATACAGGCTGTATTCACTAACTAAGACTTGCTAATTAAACCAAGCTCCAACAACTTGTTGCCAATACACAAAAAGTAGTAGTCGCCATATACTAAGCCATGATCGACCAACCTTTCGTATGTATCTGGATTATTGTTGATTGTGGCATGCTTCAAGATGGCATCAACCTCACCTAAATCCACTTTTCCATCGTCAGAAATTTTGGCGTCTCCGTCGTAGGCATAAGCAATAGTGTCCTTTAGAAGCTTTAAACCACTGTTCAAGTGCTCTTTCTCACCTGTATGCTCGAAAATCTTGATAAGACCCAATACCGTTATCATAGCAGCTGAGGTATCTTTAATGTCGGGATCTGGAGCATCAAAGTCCCACGCCGGAACCCCATCGTCACCAATGCGAGACAAAAAGTATTGTGCTGCTCCTACCGCAGCTTCCAAAAACACTTTTTGTTTAGTCCAACCGTAAGTTTCAGCAAATCCCAAAACTGCCCAAGCCTGACCTCTTGCCCAAGTGGTCTCGTCATCGTAGCCTTGATTTGTAAACTTCGCCTTGGTTAGTCCGTTCACCGGATTATAATTTACTACATGGTAAGTGGACCATTCTGGAAGTCTGAAGTGGTTCTTCACCGTACTCAATGCGTGCGTGGTTGCAATGGTGGACAATCTCACATCTCCAGTGATACTGGCCACATAATACAACATATCAAGGTTGCACATATTATCAATAATAACAATAAAGTCACTCTCCTTATCATTAAAGGAGTACCGCTTATTGACCGCGGTGTCCCAACTACGAATCACTCCAACACGTTCATCAAATCGGGAAGCCAAAGCGTAGGCTGCTGTTTTCAAGCATTCAAATGCCTTTTCAGATTTGCACCGTTTATATTCCCGTTCGAACGCTGGCTGAATAATGAAACTCAAATCGTGAGTGTCAGTACGAGGAGCCTGGTCAATCAAACTCTCAGACCACCATCTAGCTGCGTACTCCAACTTGATAGGATGCACTTTAGGTGTGAAATATTCTGGGTAATTTTCTCTTCTTTCCAATAACGCAGCAACTGATCCAGGAAAAAACCCTGCAGTCCAATGGTCAATATCTCTAAAATGGTACTTTCCGTGAGAGTACTCGGGCATTTTAGTAGGAGGTTCCATTTGGTCTAGTTTAGACTTCGCGATACCCCAGATTTTGGCAACGGTAGACTCGGAGTACAACTGTACCTCAACGGACTCAAGCAAGCTTTCAACACTCATAGTTTCAATGATTATTATTTTTTCAATAAAAAAGGTGTAATTTTAAGGATTCAAGGAACCCCGTCAATATATAATACGTGGGTCATCGATAAAAACCGTAGGAGCAAGTCCCCCACCTTTTTTCAATCATAGGCTATATTGCGCGATGTGGATGGGCGGGGATGGGGAAAATACTTCAAGCCTAACAGACTAGTTCTTCTTAGTATAAAGGGCCAAAATGTCAGCATAATCCGATATGACATTTTCATCAATTCCTAAGCTTTCAATCTATTGAACAATTTCAATTATCGTGTCATGGTCTCAATCGCTACTACGACCTTAGCAGTGGATCCCAATGGGTGGAGAATCAACACCTGCTCGTTTCAACAGGATGCCATTATGTCTTATGGAGAGTACCAATATGTAGTGTTGTATCGGACCCTTGAAGACTCAGATCCTCTGGGTCCCCGTGTGACATCAATTGGCCGCAAACGGCTTTCCATTGCCAATCTGACTTGGGATTTCATAATTTTTCATGACTATGTCCAGACCAAAGATGATGGTCACAATGTTATCAGTATGGGCATCAGTCTGGATGGCATTATCCATATGGCTTGGGATATGCATGGAGATAGCATCCATTATAGGAAATCTGTGCTCGGACTTGCCACCACCAAGGGAGAGTCTCGTTTGACTTGGCTGGCTGCCTCCTTTGGTCCAGTGCAAGGTCAATTGGATTGTGAAGATAAGCTATTTAATTTTGATGAGATCACGTATCCCAGATTTCAAACCTTGGACAACGGAAACTTACTTTTGGAGTTTCGGTCAGGAAGATCCGGCCTTGGAGACTGTTATATCTATCAATTCAGTAAATTCACTCATAAGTGGAGTCAAGTGGGCATGTATATCCATGGCGTGGAAAATAATGCTTACATTCATGGTTTCGACTATTGTGGAGGTAAGCTCCATGTATCATGGACATATAGGGATTTTGTCGAAGATCGAACCATTGCAACATCTACTTCTACCCTGCAAGCTGGACCAAACGGGCCAGAGAACAATCATGACCTTCACTATATGTATTCCCCCGATTATGGATTGACCTGGTACAATTCCAAAAATGTAAAATTGGATGCTCCTGTTGATATCTACCAGGACACTTTGGCAGTAGAAATTGGGAAGTATTCTGGCATCATGAATCAGGAGGGTCAATGTGTTGGTGATAATGGAAGCGTACATGTGCTTGGACGAGAGTATGGGAAATATTTCCATTACTGGAAAACATCCAATGAGTGGAGAAAAGAGCAAATAGGAGATTATGAGGCTCCTCTTTTCGGCGCTAGAGGCAAAGTTTTGGTTAGAAACAACCAGTTGCTTGCTTTGTTACCTCTCAATGGACATGAATTTGTCATTGTCCAAAAATTTGGAGATAAGTGGAACCTTCTTCATCAATTTCATGGTCTTGACGGTGAACCTTTGGTGGATAGATACTCGAGTGGTATATATATTCTACAGAGAGAAGGCGATCCAGAAAACAAAGAAATTGGGGGCCGTGCCACTGGAATCAGACGAAGAAACATAGTAATAATAGAGATTCTGTAATTAGTATCGTATACTTAATGACATTCCGGAATTTTTTTAAATTTGCGGCTGTAAGTATCTAGATGCATTATCGTACTATTGCATAACATGCCCATTGTTGGCTCTCTCTCTTCCCCTCCCCCACCAAATGTATTACTTGGTAGTACTTAAATAGAATGGGGCCACTGTTTAATTAGGTATCAAAATAATTCAATGCCATTCAGAATTTGGAGAAATAACCCTCTTTCTTCAAGAAGGGACCTCTTTTTTGCCTTTGATGAACTCTTCGAGCCTTTACTACCCACATTTCTGGAAGGTGGGGCAAGAGTAAGAATCAGCGAGACTGGATCAGCTTGTCTGGAAGCAGCTGCTGAGTTCGAAGGGTACCTGAGACCTTTATGGGGAATAGTACCCTACCAGTTTGGTGGTGGAGACTTCAAATATTGGGAATTGTATCGACGAGGTTTGGTCAATGGCACTGATCCACAAAGTGATGAGTATTGGGGAGATCCAAAAGATTACGATCAATTGCTTGTAGACTTAGCTGCCATTGGCTATGCGTTATGTTTTTTGCCCCAGCATATGTGGGAACCACTTCTGGATACAGACAAGTCTAAGGTAGCTGATTACCTTGTCCGGGCTAGAGCAAAGTCGTACTGCTTTAACAACTGGATGTTCTTCAGAGTAATTCTAGATTTGGGTTTAACTAATGTTGGAGTGAAGTATGACGAAGAAGGTACTATGACATATCTCGACAGCTTGGACAGTTTATACTTAGCAGATGGATGGTATGGCGATGGGAAACCCCATAGAATTGATAACTATAATGCTTTAGCATTCCATTTCTACAGTCTTATTTATGTTTTGCTTATGAAAGAAAAAGAACCAGAAAGGTGCAAGCTTTACGTGGACCGTGCTACTCTCTTCGCTCAGCAATACATTCATTGGTTCGATGATACGGGCAGTGTACTTCCATTTGGAAGATCTTTAATTTACCGATTTGCAACTGCTGGCTTCTGGGGATTATTCCCATTAGTTTTAGATTGCAGTGAAAAACCTCCAATTTCTTGGAGTGTGATGAAAACCGTCTTTCTCAAGAATCTTCAATGGTGGTCCACTCAGCCATTGAACGAATATGGAAGTGGATTCCTTTCGCTAGGGTACTCGTATCCAAATTTCTACATGATGGAGAGATACAACTCGCCCCAATCACCATATTGGGCATTCAAGGCTTTCAGTGGTCTAATGATTCCCGATGAACATCCGTTCTGGCAAGCCGAGTTTACTGATCTTACCAAATACTACGCCCCCCTCAAACTAAAACGATTGGGTGTCACGGGGATTGTGATAGACCACCAACCAGAGAATACCATTGCGCTTATCAATGGACCTTGGAACGATGAATATCAGGCTGAAAAGTACTCGAAGTTTGCCTATTCCACCAGATTTGGATTTGGGGTGATAAGTAACTCTCGTACCTTCGAAAAAGCACATTTGGATAACTCCTTAGGTTTTAGTTTCAACAAAGAAGAGTTTTTTGTCAGGCAGAAGTACAAAGCATATGAAGTTTCCGACTACTTATTGTCTACATGGGAGCCAACAAAAGATATCAAGGTTGAATCATGGACAATTCCAAAAGATGGTTACCACTTACGTCTCCACTTCGTTGACAACCAGACATCCCAATTAGTTTATACCCGAGAAGGTGGATTTGCAATTCCAATTAGCAAAAAAAAAGTGTCAAATCAAATTCAGATGAATGTTGCTATGGTGTCTACAGATACAGATCACAGTGAGGTAATAGGTTTAGAAGGGAAAAGAGACGTAGACATTTGTGATCCCGAACCAAACACCAACGTTCTCTTTTCTAAGGTTAAACTTCCTGTTCTATGTGGGACTATACAGCCAAAGTCTCGAGTCAGGTACGCTTGTTTGGCGTTTGCCCAGTCTGGAAAGTTTAAAAAGCCTGATTTCGACTTAACAGCGCCCCTGACTAAAGAGTTGGAAGAGTTGAGGTATACAGCCAACAGAGTTGTTTGTAATAGGTCTAAATGGTAAGTATTTACAATTGAACATCAATACTTCATTAAAAATCAATTACATTTGTCGAGACAGTCCTCCGTACAGAATTGAATGATCCAGTAGAAGCACTTTAAGAAAAACTTAAGCTTGTTGATCTCCCCATACTGCGACCAGCACAATTGCCAAGAAGACCAACATATTCTCTACAGACTTCGGATGTGCAATGACTGAAGCCATCCAGGAACTGCATCATCAAGCCGACAAGATTGTTAGTTCTTGGAATCGTTGGAAGAATCGAGCAATACTCGGGTATGTTCTTAGTGACAAGAGTTGAGTCTCCAGAATCTATTAATAATGCTCCACATACTCGTCTCATATAACTGTAGCCATTCTCGGTAGCAGACCAATTGTGCTCTTCAGAAGCTCTCACTTCAGGACCAAAAAGACAGTAATTGTAGGCCCATACAACAAACAAAGCAGAGGCAACAGCATTCGGACGGTAGAACACAGGATCCAAGCTTGGATTGTAAATTTTCTCCATTTCCTTGTCGAACATGAGCTCCCACAAAAAGATGTAGCTTTGCAAGACAGAAACAGCACCCTTGGGAGAGTTTGCCCATGCCTCAATTCTCTCCTTTACTACTTTGTAGTCACGTTCAGTAGTTTTCACACTCATACGATTTGTTGCACCGGCGTAGATTATAATGTCATACTGCTTGATACCCATAAATGTCTGACCGATATGATACGCCGGAAATTTGCACCGGCGCTCCATGATGTCGAAAGGCTCAGGGGTGGAGCTTTCATAATTAGGAATTAGATAGAACGCATTTCTCGAGTCACAACAGTCTCCATGACAGATATTCGTTTGCCACACATCTATTGCGTGGTACAAAGTTTCTTTCCAAGAGTCCTTGATGAAACGCCAGTTCAAAAAATGTACTTGTAGATCTTTGAGTTCCATTTGGAACTTGATGCTAAGCAAGCCTGCAAGAAGGACCTTCTTTCCTAAGGGTCCTACTTCTAAGCTTTCCAGATGAAGTAATTTCATTAAAGCCGAGATAAATTTGGGGGGTCTGGTTTGTGGAGGCAAGTTATTCTTGTCAATAGTGGCCATTTCCCATAACATGTCATCGCAGGGCATCAGAAGTTTAATTTGATGGGCAAAAAGAACAATTTGGTGACCAAAGATAGTTGCATTGATGGTATCCAAGTAGAAAGCAACCAATGCGACTCTATTAAACGACTCCACTTCGATCCAACGTTTCCAAGCGTCCGGTTCTGATGTGATTTCGTTGTCGTCATTGGTTTTACTCAGCGGATCACCTCCAAGAAGTGGACTTCTCCGTAATAGTTGCATCTTTACTCCATGATTTAAGTAAGCTCTCTCGTGGAGTTCTCTGTTAGCGAGAAGAATCTCGTAGGTTTCGAGAATGATCAAGGACTGTAGTATGTATGAGCGAGGAGGGGATCTAAATTCATTAGACGAGCTAATGAGCCAACGAAGCGGATATGCTATAGTTTCAGCCAAAAGCCCGGAATCTCCCATGAGTGGCGTTTCGTCTCTGTCGGTGCAAGGAGAAAGCGCAGCTCCCATCAACACCATACTGAGTAGAAGAAAAGGGTTTGCTTGAGACGTATTGAAAGAAGGCCTGTGCAAAATGGGGAACTGGACATGAAAGTAGCCCCAGTAAATTTCAAGAGCTCTCTCAGCTTGTAACTGTCCGAATTGCAAGTTGGCAAGTGCTGGAATGGTGTCACACATTCTGGCCAAGTCAGTGTCGCTCACAGAAGTCTGGAAGTTTGGGTGGGGGAAATCTGGCGACACGAGAACCGCATCTTCAAGAACATGGTCGGTATTAATGTTGGAGATGGCATTGAAGCCATACGGACTGACCTTGTCCCCCTCTAAGTAAAGAGCCTCATCGCTAAAAAGCCATTGGGCAATATCTGGAGGCATCAAGCGAGTATCGGGCAAAGAAGCCAGAAGAGGATCTCTAATATCAAAATTGAGAATATCCACTGGGTCAGCAACGATTCCTCTTAGAGAATCTTCTTTGATGGCTGTAACAGTGGAACTTCTTACAGTTTCAGGATCCGAATGGCTCTCGCTTCCGTCAATTCGGTGAGTCCCTTTGTAATCACCCCGATCACGCTTACTGATTTTCCTTTTATGGCGAAGTTCATGCTTGTCCCTTACATCCTTGCGGACAAATCGTTTGGAACAATCAGTCACGGCACATCGGTAGATTGTCCGAGGCAGGTGGATGTCCTTGTGGCGTGTGAGATGGTCAGACCGAGAGAAGCGCTTTCCGCAACCGGGAGCGTCACATTTATGGACGGTTGCCATTCTGGACCAGATAAAGAGCTATTATCTGTAATTGGTGAAAACATTTATCTATGGTCTATACTCCACTTTTTCCCCAAAATGGGGCCAGGGCACAAATCCATAAGTAAACCGTTGGAGGTAAATCGAATTCTACGGAAAAGAAGAGCGAGGTAATTTATTGGGAATGTTTAGACGTTGAGAAGGCAGGACGTCATGCTGATTGGTGGCTTTCGTTGACTTGATTGTTGAAGAAAAAGCCTGTTTGTCCAGGGATTTGTGAGTTTGACAGGTGAGAAGAATTGAATGTCCGAAAACCGAAGTGGGAGCGACAATTCTGGCTATTGGGGTTTGATCTTGAAATACTCATTTATGTTATTGTAACTGGATCTTCGATATTTCATGGCTGTTTTTTTTATTCTTAATATTTTCTTATAGCCATGTGTGGTAGTCATTTCCATTCGTGTCTTCACGCCTCACAGCAGGATCTCTCCGCAAATCCTGATGTGTCAGTACTTTGCCATTCATGTTGTCTGATTTGCATATGCCGGAGAGCTTAAGGTTAACAAATGTAGCCTCCGAACTAAATCAAGATTGGCTCAGTGTTTCCCCGCAAAATCAAAATGCCCCCACAAAAAACGGGCCCCGCCCCCACCGACTTAGACGGAAGTTGGGACAAATGGGCAGATTTGATTGAGTTAACTTTGACAATTAATGATATGTGGAATTGTAGCATATGAATCTCTTATAAAACTTTAGGTATGAGGTCAAATTTGGAAGTGCGTTGGTTTTCCTCTTTTATTACATGGTATGCTGAGCGCTTGAATGTTTTCTGCTTTACTGAATGATAAGATTCGCATACTAGACAGAAAATTGCAAATGTACTTGAAACTCAGGAGAATACTGATACAGACAACAAGTTTTTCAAGTTTGAGCATTGTTGTGTTTCATTATCATATATTTTCTCTCAAACTTCTACCAAGTAGCCTTTCAATGCCTTTTACTTGCTCTCATTTGAACATCTAGATCGATGAGTCGCACTTTTAAGATGTCATTCCTGCTTTGGATCATTCTGTTTCAATCATTTCTTCCTCATACTCAAAGAATACTACTTTTTTTCGGACCAAAATTAAGCCGTATTATCTTCAACGCTTGAAAAGTTCTAAATTCTTCTAATAAGAACTGAATTACTTTTCAAAAACTAGTACAGTTGAGATTCACCTAACGGATTAAGATCCCACGTAACCGATAGTCGATCTCACGCGTTATCATTGTAATTTCCTTATCTGCTCCCCACGCATTTGATCTGAATGTTTTGCACGTTCAATTCAACAATTTCATAACTTATAGCTGTAAAAATCCAATTTTGTTGTATTCATCAATTGATCCTCTGTGCAATCAATTTTTATCCTAATTTCATCAGCTGGATATCTTGACATGAAATGTCAACATTACACTGAACAAATCCCATAGATAACAATTCTCACCAACAACTAAATAGAAAAGTTTATTAAAACTCAAGGGTCTGAACTTAGATTAACCATAAATTCATGTTGTCCACACAGCATGCCAAACTATCAAAGTCCCCATTTTTATCCTTACTGAAGCCACCACTTAATGGCTGCGAAATGTTCACACAATTTCTGAATCAAACCACACTTTCAAAACGATAAGGTTCACAAAATTCCCAGATCATCAAATTATCCACAATTTCCACACACCCACATTTCCTTTTTTCTCTCCCTGAACTTCCAACATTGTTACCCTACTGTGGATTCCGAGCCGCATTACTAAGCACTACTAAGACTCCACACATCATGGCTCGCGACTCGTATAAATTCAAACTTTCATCCAAATGATCAAGCCTCTTTTCAGGTCCATTTTTAAACCACAGAGACTTGCTCAATTTCCTAAACGTTATCTTCACAATATGTCAATTCCTGCCACTCAGAAAGCAGCCTACGCCAATGCCATTTCCGAAACGCCGGATGGCATCATCTACGGAGATGTGGAATCTCCTCAGATTACCGGTCCTGATGATGTAATCATCAAGAACAAGTATTCGGGTGTCAATTTCATCGAGTCATACTTCAGAAAGGGAATCTATCCGGCCAAATTTCCTTATATCTTCGGTAGAGAAGCTGCTGGTGTTGTTGCTGCTGTAGGTGACAATGTGTCGAACTACAAAGTGGGAGATAAGGTTGCTTATTTGTCTCCTGGAACGTTCGCTCAATACACCAAAATCTCTCAAGGCGCCGTTCAGGCCACGAAGTTGCCAGAATCTACTTCGGACGAGCAATTGAAGCTCTGGGGTGCTTCCTTGGTTCAAGGTTTGACTGCTATTACATTTGCTCATGAGGCCTACGAGGTCAAGAAGGGTGACTACATCTTGGTGTGGGCCGCTGCAGGTGGTGTCGGCCAGATCTTGACCCAGTACATCTCCAGTTTGGGTGCTCATGTGATTGCCACAGCATCAACTGATGAAAAGTTGGCTATTGCAAAGCTGTTGGGTGCTGAGTACTTAATCAAGCTGAGTGACGACGTGGTTGCTAAGGTCAAGGAGATCACAGGTGGAAAGGGTGTGGCTGCATCCTTTGATGGTCTTGGAAAGGACACTTTCCAGGCATCATTGGACTCGTTGGCCAGAAAGGGTACGTTGGTGACGTACGGAAATGCCACTGGTGTGGTACCCCCACTTTCCGTCAACATCTTGAGTCCTAAGAACATTAAGGTTATCAGACCCCAGGTATTTGGATACACCACTGAGAAAGAGGAATGGAACCATTACACTGGTGTTTTGCAGAAGGCTTTGGTTGACGAGGTTATCAAGATTGAACTCACCACTTATCCATTGTCTGAGTACAAGGAGGCCACGACCGCTTTGGAGGGCAGAAAGACCACAGGTAAGTTGGTGTTGGAGATTCCCCAATAGACGATGATGTAGATGTCGACATTAATTAGGAAAATAGTCCAACAGATAATGGAGAGAGCCTAGGAAGATTTGAATGAGGACGTAGAAAGTTGAGAATGATTAGAGTTCGATATTAACAATTAGGTACTGAAATTAGGAAAGAGGCAGACAAATTTCAAGAATCGTAGAAATCCGGCTTCATGAGATCGGACATAAAGTTCTCTACACATTTATACCGCTACGTTGTTTAATAGTCCAGTTCACAACACCTACAATTTCAATCCAGAATCCACACATTCTTCTCATTCTTATCATAGTCTAGGTCTAGAATGCTCGTATTTAATCAAATCCTCAGGGGTCACCACTCCATACACCAAGTTTCCATCGCCATTGGTGATGATTGCGAAGTAGTTGCCAGTATTGAAGAACTGCGCCAAACCCTCCAAAGGAGTCAACGGTGTCAAAACTTCGAATCTCTTGCCGTTAGAAGTCTTGGGTTTCAAGATTTTCAGGTTCAATGGCGTGGTGTTTTTGCTGGTGGATTCCTGCTCATACTTAGCCCGAGCCTTCTGGTTGAACCAGTGCATGTAGTTTTTCGTGATGGGCTTCAAGAAGCTCTTACTGGCTTTCAGAGGATCCACCTTGAACTCCTCAACGTTCAATACTCCCAACAATCTTTTGTTGGTCTCGTGAATCACTGGTAAGTAAGTGAACTCATTTTCAAACGAGACTTCGATGGCTCTTTGCAACGCAGTCGACGGATTAATGGAAATAGCGGGCCTGATATCCAAGTCCTCAACCGTGGCACCACGGTAGTCGATTATGTGGAAAAGTTTTGGGTTCATTGCCTAGTTGGAAATTTATTGGATCTGATGATTATGCTCATATAGGTGCAGGTACCAGACTACATTGTCATATGAATAAGGCTGGCACCAGCCAATGCTATTAGTAATTAGTGTCTGAAGTCACATATATCGCTTGTGTGTGACTTGTCAAGTAGCTTCTGAGTTAGAGAAATTAGTTGCTTTCCCAGTTTGGATTTCAGTATTAAGCAATTCTTCATCAACTCATTTAACATTCAATAATTAAGAAAATTATGTCATCTCATGCTGCCTCCGCTGTACGGTAAGACAGGCTGTTCCGGGAGTCTCTTTCATTGACATCTCCTTCCTCTTTCACCACTCGCCTCCATACATCCTCGTCGTTGCCTACATCAAGAACTCCAATTCTCATGGTAGCCAAGAGATTGACTGCAGCAGTCAGATGGCCGTAGACTCCTCCGTAAAACGCCCGGGTAGCATCTTTTCCATGTGATGCCTTGAGCAATGCTAATCCTCCTGGATGCTGGTCCATGAAAGGCGTGATGTCGTGAATAATGTTTTGGATAACAATGTAGATTCTATTCTGGTTGGAAGCAGATTCACAGAGTCGACGGAACTCCCGCGTATTAATCAGAGGCAATTTTGAAATAGGGGTACCCCAGTTCAATTGAGACCGCATGCGGTTCAACACAAGTTGCTGTTGCTGAATCTGGAGCTGTACAACCAAGTTGGTAGGTGTTTTCCCCACCGAATCGATTAAGCCCAACTTCTCCAAGGTCCAGATAAACCACTTGGTGGGATCGAGCGCCCAAATCAGTAGGCAACCACGGTAGTCATGAGGAAACTCGTGATGGTAATTCTGATGGGCCTGGCCATAGGTAAGAAGGGTCACTAATGGGTTGTTACAGTTGACCAGGGAGTTCTTGTCGTTGAAAGGTTGTGAAGGGAACCCTGCGTGGATGTTTCTCGAGTGACAGATCGACTCTGTGGAGAGAATCAGCTGCTGGCAGCAGAACATGCGGAGAATACCAGGATATATCAATCCATGAATCCATGTGTCCTCGCATAAGGTCGTTGTAACAATAATGGGAATGACGATGGTGGTCAAAATGAAAAATGGCCATGTCAAGTGTTCCAGCCACACAATCCAGGACACCGTCTGGGCCTCACGGTCCTTCTTGTCTTCCATTTCGAAGGCCACGTCCTCCGAATGGGTATCCTCGGTCTCTAACTCGTTTTGTCCACTCAAGTTTTCACCCGACGAATCATTTGTATCTGCCAAACTGTTATTCAGAGGTGCTGATTCCTTCAGTTTGCCAATGCCACCTTTCTTTTTCCCCGCAGGAAACTCGTTCTCTACGAATTCACGATAGAATGCAATAGTTTTGGGCCGTTTCAACATCCAGCCCCAATGAGCCCACAAAAATCCTCTTTTAATGGAGTATGGATCACGTTCGGGATCATCTGTGAACTGGTGATGGCAGCGATGTAACGCAGCCCATATTCTGGCAGAGCCAACCCCCACTCCAGCACCAAATACGACGAAAAAGACCTGTAGAGCACCATATTTGGGCCGGAAAGCCAGATGAGCATAACATTTATGGTAGCCTGCCGTGAAGGCCAACATGGTAATGTTGTAATAAATGGCCAGAAACCAGAAAGTGCTGGAATTCTGCGGAATAAACGGCTCATGTTGATGAATTAAGTAGCAGATTGCTGCGAGAGGGAGAACGATGGCCGAAACCACAGACCAGTAGTTGATGCGCAGGAGCAAGTCCCGTTTTCGTTTCTTCATGTCGTGAATGCGAGCATTCCGGGCATCCTGGGTCGCCTGGGGCCTGATTATGCGCCTTCGGACCTTGATTTCTTTGGACATGGTGGTTAAAAGATGAGACCTGCACTTGCGATGGTGATATGTAATAATGTCCATGGGGTCAGGTGGAAGAAAGTTAGTGGGTGACTTTAAATATATGGAGAATACATATGATTTGAGAGTTTGAAGGATTTTTTAAAGAGTATTTTGATTTGTGTATATGCTGGTATCGACATATGGAGGAGTTATACGAGTGGATGGCCAGTCCAAAAGATGAGGCAGATGAATGAGGGTTGTAATTGAAAAATTGGTGAATTCAATTGGATAATATAGTTAAACTTTGGGTGAGAGGTGACGTAGTATCCAACTTCCAGATCATGAAAAGGTGTTTTAATTTCGTCAAATTTATTGTTAGCAATGGTTTTGATGTAGATTGGCACAATCTCAAAAGGACAATATGGTTTTGTTAGAGATTAATCCACTTCACATATCAGATTCCATTAACCATAACAATCGGCTCAAAATTCTACTTTAGCTGTTTTCTTTTTCTTTTTGTGTTCTCTTTCTTCCAATATCAACTTTCCAGATGCTAAAAACTTATACTTATTCCATCATCTTAGTAACCGTTTTTCCTGTATGAACTTATGTTTCACCCATATTATGCATCTAACTTCCCTATCCGAACACCATAGGGCTTTTAAAGATACCAGCATTATTCCTTCCTCGTTTTTCATTCATGAATTGGATTCCATTTATTTCTATAATAATCTCTTTCTTTCCATTTTCCACTTCTCTTTACTCTACTTCTACCTATTCTGGTGTACGGGTGTCCTCAATCTCGCGACTTCAACAACTTTCATCCATCCATCAACAACCCAGCCATGCCTCCTCAGCAATATATACCCCAGCCTGGAGCCCCCGTGGCTGAGGCTCCAACCAAAATACACACCTCGGCCAACCCTGGCGCAGCCGTGTCGTTCACTCCAACCGATGTCAACATCCCCACCAAACTATACAATAAAATCCCAAACTTGGACTTGTACAAGAAACTCCAGGAATCAGAAAAGCAGTTGGACCTCCTCATTGCCCAGAAGGGTTTGGACTTCCAGTCGGTGCAAGCCGCATCCATGCAGCCCCATAATGTCAAGAGAGAAACGGGAATATTGCGTGTGTTCATCTACAACACTTGTGAAAACATGCCATGGCAGAGACAGCAGACTGGTGGTATTTCCGATGCCGCCAATGCCGATGCCAAGTGGACGTTACGTGTGGAAGGACGCTTTATTGCGTCTGATAAGACGGGAAAAGAAGTTGAGGCCCAAAAGTTCAGTTCATTTCTCTCGGGAATCTCTGTGGAAATTATTCCCAATGGAGACTACCCCAACTTGCAAGGCAGTCAGTCCAACATCATTGAGTGGAGAGATGAATCTGTAAACGCAGGCAACCCTAACTCAAATTTTTCCAACGGCTCTTCGCAGTGGCTGTTTGACGGCATAGATATCAAGAGGGCTGGTGTGTACCCTATCAAGACGAAGATCGCCATATTGGTTAAGGACTACTCGTCTAGACTCATGCTCTCGACTCCTATGGCTCAGTTCACCGGAAAACGCGAAGCATCCCAACAGGAATTAGTGTACCTGATCTGGCAATATGTTTTGTTCAAGAATTTGTTTAAGAAAGCTGATACTTTTGCTACTGTCCCTGCTGTTTCCGCTTCCAACATCTCTTCCCAATCCATGGACGGCCAGGGAGAAGATGAAAACGATCTTTCTGTTGTGCAATGTGACGATATCTTGAAAGCGTTGTTGAAGGTTGACCACTTCAAGTTTAAGGACTTGTACAAGCATACTCAGCCTCATTTGCGCCCACGCAACCCTGTGGTTCTTGAATACGAAGTGGACACAACGAAATCGACCACCTTGGGTGACGTGGTGCTTGATATCCCCGTAGAATTGCCGGTATCCATCACTAAGATCCAGAAGGAGATTCTCGAAGAGAATAAGAGTGCTTTCGAGAGTATGTCCGAGTCAGACGAGCACATTCAATTCTTGAATCAGAGAATATCGCTTGGTATCGCCACGTTGCAGAATATTAATGCTAGAGAATTGTTCTACAGGGAATTGAGCGAGGATCCAGTCAAGTTCTTGAAGCTGTGGTTAGAAAGCCAGGCAGAGACGTTAAAGGCTTTGAAGAGCGAGGAGGGCTACAACGAGGAGATGGTCAGAAGATCAGAATACTTTAAGGAGCATGAGGAGGAATTGAGACAAAAGATTGATCTCATGCTTGGGGCCCAGAAGTTGTAAGTGAACCTATTGGTATTGACTGGTTTATTTAGATTGTATATTACAGTAGTCATATGAGACTATGCCCAAATAAATGCAAATTACTATTCGACGTATTCCTCAGCATCTCCCTCCTCAAATTCGTTATAGTCGTCATCATCGTCGACATCAACGTGACCATATTCTTCCTGATCTTCTTCATCCTCGTTCCATTCGGGTTCTTTTGCTGCCGAGTAGTTGACTTTCTTTTTTCTGGATGTTCTAATCTCTCCAACTCCGGTCACTTCCAACTTTTCGAACTCCTCAAGTAATGGTTGAATGAGCGAGAGATAATGGTACATGTGGAGGAGTGGCTTGTATGCGAGACTTCCCAGTGACATGATAGGCTTGTCTCCGTCAAGCAAGCCCAAACGAGAACCAACGTGATTGAGAAAAAAGTGCAATTCCCCAGCATTGGAGGCAACAACATGCCAATTCAGGGAATGTTTGGAAGCCGTGGTAGGAACCTCGTTTCCAGTGTCATCAAATTCGGGTCCTAGCACAGGAAGCCAATCTGTGAGCATCTGGTGAACATCTTCAACATACAACTTAAAACTTGATGGAATGGACGAACGAACTCTGGCAGCATCTTTGGCTAAGCTCTTCATCTTCTCGATTGAGCTAATCGCTCCCGAAGTTGCGTCGGCCATTCTCACCAAGTAGAAACGTCCTATGTGAAAACCACAATCTCCAACCAAAAACTCATTGAATCTCAATGCCATTGGATGTGCTAGCGGGTCTGAGGTAGGATCGATATAACGAGAAATAGTATCAGGGTCTGGTGTGCCCTTCGGGGTCAGCTGGCTCTTGTTCTTTTTGGAGATCTTTAATTCAAGTTCTTTCTTCAACTCAGTTGTCTGATTGAAACCTTTGAGCACTGCTCTAGAGCCATACATCGTGTCTCTTTCCCCAGGAATATCCTGGCCATTGATGATTTTAGTCAAATATGTCTTGAGTTGATTGGATGCAGAAAGTGACCATGTTGCCAAACACCTCAACATGATAAGCCTATCTATTGGCTTCTCGATGCCCAGAAGACCAAACTCTTCAAACTCGGGCTCTAGAAATGGATTCATCTTCTCTGCTGGCGCCTGATACTCAATATTGTCGGCTGAAGATACTTCCGGCTTGGTTGTGTCGACTCTATCCTTGACTGGATCACACGGAAGGCTGGTCACAACACGGATATGAGAGTCATCTCTCCATTCCTCCGGTAAACCAAGTCCAATGTACTGGCCACGTAACTCTTGAATGGCTGTTCTCTGCATACTCAAGAGAATGGGCTTTTTTCTGTTGAGAACAAGAGCCAATAACCTTCGGAACAATACATCCATGGCTGGAGCCACCCGTGCGGGAATTTCAGGGTTGTCATTGACCAAGCCAAGGCCAATTTCGAGATCTTCAGGTCCCATCACACCAACATCAACTATATGGTCAAACTTGGACAAAAAACCGATAAGGAAAATGATGTCATCCAGGTATGGACATGATTTTATTGGGAATCCAAGTGCAAGTTCCTCACTGGAGGTAGCTTTGTTGGCTGTTGCCGAGATGAGATTGTCGTCATAAAGATCATAGTGAATCGGTATTAATGGGCCCGGATACGTTCTTGTGACCCTGTTCTTCTCACGAACAATAGTCGTTCGGCTCGCTTTTGGCTTGAAACTGAGCGTCAATTTCTTGATCTTGTTGTCCTTTTCCTTCGTAGATGTCTCCTTCTTGGGTTCCTTTGCGGGTTTCTTTGCAGGAGTCTTCTTGGTTCTTGTAGGTCTAGCTCTCTTTTTTGGAGGTTCTGCCGTATTCTCTTCCTCTGTCACTTGAGAGCTTATTTCTATGGCTTCGGGCTTTGGTTCTGTCTCCTTTCCATTTGAATCACCTTCAGCATTTGGTTCGACTTTGGGTTTGTCTTCTTGTTGGTTCTCCTCTTGCAAAACTTCAGCTGAAACCAGATCAATATCCATTTCATCATCGTTAGTCTCGGAAACAGAAACCTGAGCCTCATTCTTCTCTTTCATGTCCTTCTTTCCTTTCTTCTCCTCTTTTTCTGTCGTCTCCTTTTTATCTATAGTTTCTTTTTTCACGTCGCTCCCATTCTTCACGTCGTTATCTGATGTTAGAAGCAGCAACGACGTCGAGGCATCTGACTTGGAGAAATTGAGAAGGGCCTGTTTCCGTTTCTTGAGTGCTGGAGACTCTGTAAGTTTACCTTTACCTTTCCGATGGTGTAATGGATCACCACCACGTGAGCCAGGTCCCTCGATGGGTCTCTCATCAAAACGAAATTTCGATATGGTAGCCTTTTCAAGATTGTCCGATGCAGACTCGCCTGGAGCAGGTGAAGGCATGCCATTTAAGTGCTTTCGTGGTCTTCCGAGTCTCTTGACCTTTTCGTTCGGATTATATTCCACGTGCACGATAGAACCAGGGGTCAGACTCTCTCCAACCTCCGAATCTCCACTGTACTCTGTGTTGGAACGATGTGTTTGGTTCTCCACCTCTAGAGCATGGAGATCGATCATTTTCAAGGCTTCCATGGTGTTTTTACCGTTCTGTGTCTCAGACAGCTGGGAGGCTTGACCATCAATGAATTGCTGGAACTCAAACACGTTATCTATATCAGCATCGCCGTGTGCTGGCGATATCTGGTGGTGGTGTGGCTGGTCAGACGTGTCACTGACGTCTGGGGCGAGCTGTGCATTCTCCTTCAAGGATGGGTCCAACAGGGATACTATGAGCAAGTCCGATTCGTCGACCAGCATAGAGTCCATGGCTGGGAGGGTGTGTTTACTGAGGGAAAGTGAGTTCTTGGATGAAAATCCAAAGTGGTCACGTTGCTGGGCCTGTACAGAGGACAGGTGAAGGATTTGAGTTATGAAGGTTTTTTGGAGGAGATGGGTTAATTGGAATATTGGGGATGATTAGGAGAAATAGAGAGTTTGCACTTTGAGATGTGTGAAATTCATTTTGTTGATATGAGCTTTTAACATACATTTCAGGTGGAGGATGGGAGATGGTTGTAATGTAGGTAAACAAGGTGAAGTAATTGCGATTGCCATGGTAGTAACAATTTTGAAGGTAAAAGGAGATAAATTAAAGATAATAGGATTTAACATTTAAGAGGAAGAATATTCAAGTAGAATTGAGCTCAAACGGATATTAATAACAATCGAATGGAGGTAGAATCAACTTATGAGAATCTACACAGGACATAATGGAGGTTTGGGAAGAGCTATTTGCTCATGGATATAGATACATCAGGAAGTCTAAGTAATGTCAAAGTTGCGAAATGCTTAAATCAGCGAAATCATGAAACCCTCAAAATTCCTTATATCACCCAATTGTATAAATGTCTTAGAATGCTAACATTTTGTTCAAACTCGCAATTTATTCACACTCGCAATATGTCCCTACATTTGTAAGATCATGTGTTAGAGCTCACAGCCTCCGTGTCCGATTTTAACCAATTACACAGGTATGCACAAAAGAGACGGACTTTTCCAGAAACGACAAAATTGTAGACACTAAAATAATGTCAGAAGGCAAAAATAGAGAATAGAGTAAATAACCCACAAGGTCCATCACTCTGAAATCCAGAGCATTCGGTCATATGGGCATCAACCCTCAAATGATGTGTCACATCTTGATGTAATCTCCAGGCGTCCGCAATTTGTAAACAAGTCCGGACAATGAAGAGGGGCCGGAACTTATCACAAGGTTGTCCCGTCTTTTTAAATTTCTGTTTTTTATCCTGTGATGGTACCCTAGAGGGTAGGAAATGTCACCTGCAGACTGTGCACACGTCATCGCATTTTGACGGGGAATAGATTCTTCTAAGATAGATCTATTTGTTCAGCACATTCACCAACTACTTAACAAAATATGTATAGGTTTTTTTCGATAGGAATTGCCATTCTTATACTTAGAATCTTTATAATTACAAAAAGTGTCCACTGCGGAGAGCACCCCATTGCTATTGTCATAGGGCTTTTGGACCGAAGGTAGGTGTTCCCAACCGCACGGCATCGGCACGTAAAATATCAGAAATTTCTTTGCTTTTCGGCCCCATCTATCTTCCGCTGTAAGGTTTTGTAGGATTGTATGCACAGCAATCGGCGTCTAATGCATGTTACTTCCGCATTTGTTACTAATACAAAAGCTACATAAATACTGCCGTGCTACCTCTCCTTGCTATTTTAAAACTGTCTTTTTTCAGAGCAATATTTTATATTTTCACATACTTGATAAAAGTTGTTCGTCATGACTACAGACACTCATAGTTTGGATCTTGATTCTGGCCTGTCATCTACAAGACAGTCCAACACCTTCAATCAGAAATCTGAGCAAGATTCTACACACGGCTCTCATGATGAGAACGAACCAAAAGTTTTTGCCGGCCAAGATTTAGAATATCAGGGGGCATTGGGCGATGAGGCTTCCGAATATCAGTCCATGGCAGACGACACCGTCTCTCGTACCATGAGTAGAAGACTTCTCGGCGCAGAAGAACTTTACAAGGAAGCAAGTCATCTGTCGCTGCCACTACCTACTATGGGAGGTGGAAAGCCATATCCTCCAATGCTTCCGGACAGAGACCCATACGCCGTCAGCTTTGACGGGCCAGATGACCTCTCTTTTCCTCATAACTGGAGCTTGACCAAGAAGATCATCACATGTTTTGCTGTGGGCCTTTCTGCCTTCACTGTGTCCGTAGGATCTGCCATTTTTGCAGAAGGTTCTGAGGAGATCATGGCCACCTATCATGTGGGATCAGTTGTGGCTACTTTGGGTACTTCATTGTACGTTTTTGGATTTGCATCGGGTCCTGTCATCTGGGGTCCACTTTCTGAATTGTACGGTCGTAAATTCGTGCTTGTTCCTTCCATCTTTGGTTTCATCTGCTTCACCATGGCTGTGGGTGCCGCTCAGGACATTCAAACCATCATGATCTGTCGTTTTTTCGCAGGTTTCGTTGGTGCCGCTCCCCTTGTGGTGGCTCCTGCTTCCATGGCCGATATCTTCAATGCTGTGTCCAGAGGTAAGGCTATGACAAACTTTGCGATGGTGTTATTCGGTGGTCCAATGTTGGCTCCTATTCTTGGAGGTTTCATTGTCAAGAACCCCGGATTGGGATGGAGATACTGCTCTTACTTCAGTGGAATCATCGGTGTTCTTTCCTTGATTGGAATCGTATTCTTTATGGATGAAACTCACCATGGTTTGATTTTGGTCAGAAAGGCTGAACTCTTGAGAAGAAGAACAAACAACTGGGGCATCCATGCTCCTCACGAAACTGTCAGTTTGTCGTTGAAAGAGATTTGTGAGAAGAACATCACCAGGCCTTTGGTCATGTTGTTTACCGAGCCTATCTTGTTCTTGATCACCCTTTACAATGCCTTCATCTACGGTTTGTTATACTTGTTTTTGACTGCTGTTCCAATGATCTTCATTGGTGAATATGGTTTCACGCAAGGTGTTGGCCAATTGCCTTATATTTCTATGCTTATTGGTGTTTTCCTCGGTGGCTTTTTGTCCCTTTTCTTGGACAAGAAATACGCCAGAACCATCAAAGAAAACGGCGGAAAGATTATCCCAGAAGCCAGATTACCTCCGATGATGATTGGTGGTGTAATCTTTGCAATTGGTTTGTTCTGGTTGGGTTGGTCAGGAAGTTACCCTAACAAGGTTCACTGGATTGTCCCAACTATTGGTGCCGCGCCAGTCGGAATGGGACTTATTCTTATCTTCCTTCCATGTTTGAACTACATCATTGACTGCTATTTGTTGTTTGCTGCTTCTGCCTTGGCTGGTAATGCATTCTTGAGATCTGCATTCGGTGCAGCTTTCCCCCTTTTCGCTCGTCAAATGTTCACAAACATGAAGATCAAATGGGCAGCCACGTTGTTGGGCTGTGTTTCTGTTTTATTGGTTCCAGTTCCATTCTTGTTCTACAAATATGGTAAGACTATCAGAAGAAAGTCCAAGTACGCCTTCGACTTGAGCTAAGTGCAAAGGAAACACAGTTATTGTGATCACTAATGTATATAGAACACAGTTGCACATGGGTAATGGTTTAGCTCGAAATTAATTAATCATAAACGAACTTTCAGATATTTGGGTGTCTTTACATCGTAGTGTCATTAGAAAACAATGCTGTTTAAGGAAGTGGCATGCAAAAGTTGTTGATGAATTTAAGATTTATATGTACAAAGGATCCTCGTCTCTTCAATTCAAGTATCATGGATAGTAAAACACAAATTCTCTTGTCACTTTGCGACTATCGAGGCTATCAACAGATATGCGACAATTGATGCGTCTCCAAGCAAATTTATCTTGAAGATCAAGCCTGAGTTTAGTGACAATATTCTTTAGTGTTTCTGAAATAGAATTCTATCTTTTTAAGGAATTAATATCAGCGGGTGATTGATCTCAACGGTTGGGTCATATATCGGAGTTGATCAATTTCCATAAAGTTAAATTAAGCGCGTTCACTTTATGAGTACATCTTTCCTCATTCTAGACGACGAGATGTCAGTATCATGGAAGACAGCGGCATTTCTTTTTTAAAAGTAATTCATACAACTGAACGTTGAGTCCTATTGAAACCTTCGACTAGGATATGGAATGTCAAGATTAGACTGGAAGGTTTCTACCAAAACCGGTTCAACTATAATTGAAGCCAGGTGCAATACATATTTCCTAAAGTAGCAGTTACATCACAGCTATTCCAAAAATCGTGTATCCAAGTCCAAATTACCACTGGCAAAACTAATCTCAAATAAATTTCTGAGAGTACTTATCCATAGTAAACTTCAGATTCAAATTCGATATTTTGGTTGTTTTACTGCGAAATTGACGTACTCACTGAAAGCTAGAAATCAACTCCCAAATCGCTGCTACGATATGCATCTCACTAAAGCCCAAAAGAATACATCACTTAATCCAAAATCCAAACCAAAAACTTCTAATTATCCCCGAATTTGTCCAACACTCCTAAACATCCACAACAACCCCAATAAACGTCGTCCTTAATATATCACCTACTGCACACACCACCTACTTACTAGGCATCTCAACTCAAGACGCGAATACTATACTACGCGACAGCTATGGATTACGGAAACTATGGCAATTACGGCGAGGGCGGGTTCAACCAAGATGCCCAATACTCGGAATATAACAATTCTCAAAGACAGCAGACGCGTTCCACGTTGAGTCCTGTCACGATCAAACAAATTCACGACTCTAAGCAGCCAGTGCCTGATGGAGAATTCGAGGTCAATAACGTGTCTTTAAACATGGTATCGTTTGTTGGAGTAATCAGAAAGGTAGAAAACTTCACGAGTGGTGTGACTGTAACTATTGAAGATGGTACGGGGTCGGTGGACGTGAAGATATGGGTGAAAGAGAACTTATCCACCCCCGCCGAAGAAAGCGAAAAATACCTGGCATTGGAGAGCAAATACGTGTATGTGACCGGTGCATTGAAGGAAATGCAGCTGAAGAAGGCCATTCAGCACGCCACCATTCGTGAGGTTGCAGACTACAACGAAGTGTTGTACCATATGCTCTATGCAATCGAGAATCATTTGGAGGCTCAAGGTTTGTTGAAGGGTGGTCCCAAGCAGGAAAATGGGCTTTTCGTCAGCGAAAATGGCGGCGGGCTGTCGGCCAAACTTGATGTCACGGACCAGATCATGAATGTCATCAGCTCCAATACTGCCTCCATGCCTGAAGGTGTTCCTGTGGGGTGGATCAGTGATCAGTTAGGAATTCTGGTGGATGTTGTCAAGGAGAAATGTAACCAGTTGTCGGAGTTGGGTAGGGTATACCAGGGTTATGATGAGGGTTCGTACTGTAGTGTTTAATGGAGACTATGAGTAACTTTGACCATGGATTGGATCATGTATTAGTATGGTGTATTGGTTTCACATATAAGTATGGTTTATTGGTATTAAATTGTTATGGCCGTCTCAAAGTTCATATTATTGTGAAAAATCAGTCGGCTTCTATGTCTCTTCTCCAAAATAAACGTTCCATAGATCAGAGTCCGCAATCGACTCGCTGTTACCTGAGAATTGTCGCCCATTGTCAACAGCCTGGCCTAATGTCAATGCAAACGATTCTGCAGTTCGGATATCAGTCTCCACCATCTGGTCCACATCTTCTTTGGCTTGAATATGGTTTTCCTTAGCATTGGCACGGAGATATTCTAATCGCTTTTTGGTTCCTATTGCGACGATGTTTTCTTCGACGCTATTCTCAATAGCGAACATCCACACAGTTGTCACATTCTTTTGGCCAATACGATGTATTCTTGAGATCGCCTGAAGTTCTGTAGGCGTGTTGACCAATGGCTCGCACAAGAAGATATGGGTTGCATTGATTAACGTGAGTCCACTGGCTTGTGCTTGAGCGTTCAACAAAAAGCACGTCTTGATAGAAGTTGTATTCTTGAAATCCTCAACGGGATCAACCCGCCGACTCTTATATGCGGCAACATGTGAGCCTTTGGCAGAAACATACGAGATTTTTGCTTTATCAAATGCAAAAGCAAGAATAACTAAGAGATCCTGCCACTGACTGAAGATGACTATCTGGACGTTCGGATCCATGCTCCTCAAATGGAGCACCTGCTTCACAATCATATCAACCTTGGAACCATAAGAATTGGATAATTTGATTCGCTGTATCTGTTTGAGAACCTCAGGATCCATCTGCTTGTAAATTTGATGTATAGAGCTGCTATGATGAGCTTCAAGTTGGGAGTCTTCCTTATTTCCATTCTCCACGGCGTGTGCCTTCAAGTCCGATTTGTAATGAGTAAAATAGTACACCGTGTCTCTGTCAGTGTATGTTTTACACATTGGACACCAAGAGTGTCCAGTACTCAACCATTCATCAAGACATGATTTGCAGAACTTGTGGCCACATGATGTCAAGGAGCCCACCTTGATTCCCGTTTGGCAAATGATACAAATAACCTCTTCTTGAGAATCGGGAATGTCGATATTCTCTTTCTTGATATTTTTGCTCTCGTCCGATGGTATAAGCGTGGCCAAATACCTGTACCTCGACAATCCTCTTGTTAGCTTGTTTCGAGCGCCAGCCAAATAATTGAAGAGTGTCTGAAACTCACCATCGATACGCTTAGCTGACAAATCTTCCTGGAGAAACGAAAATTTCTTCGTTTCAACACTATCAGAAATCTGCTGGAGTTGCTTAAAATATTCAACTCTTGCATTGAAGACGGCGTTGAAACTGGAGTTCAACTCTTTCTGTAGCATGGATTGACAGTTTTTCTCGTTTTCATACACTGTTCTTAACAATCGAACTATCTCCTCATATACTTCCTCTTGAACGTTGCTTCTGTAGTTGTCCCTCATCTCAGCTTCAAGAAGACGAGCATCTTGCAAAAGTTCTTCAAAGGAAATGTTCAGATCTGGTTTGGATTTGACTCTCTTAGCCTGCAATGCTTTCAAAAATTTCCTGTCATTTGCTCTTTGGAACTCTAACTTGTAGTCGTGATCCTGCTGTTTCGTGATCTCTGTGATTTTCGTCTTCGTCTCTAACGTTGCGTTGGATCGATCTGTAAGTAGTTGTGTTATTACAAGCATGAGGCACGACGCTTGATCTTGGTCCTGAATGGACTGCTCGTACTCCTCGCCATCTGGGGATTTTTCAGAACTTAACAATGGGTTGCTTAAGACAGTCAATAATTGCTGCACAAACTCGTTTATGACCTTTGCCTGCTCATTGAGCTGAGTGAAGAGTTTGTTGAATTGGTTTATCAATTGTTTAGTCTTCATATCTCCAACAAATTGACTCACGTCCGAAATGTCAATTAGAGGAATGGCTGTGCATAGCTTCTTGGAAGACTTGGGGATTGTTACATCTCCGTTATTAACCCACGTATCCTGTTTAATGATACTACGAGATGTAAGTCTTTTAGAAGTAACAAGATCAACATCTTTAATGGAATGCTTCAAGATATCTTTACGGCATTCTTCAGCCAAAGAATAATAATTCTGCTCAAGAAACTTGTTCTTTTCCATTTCTCGCTGTTCGTTAGAGAGTCCCTCTTCTGGCTTGAAAAGGGCCAAGTAATCAACTTGCTCGCTCTTTCCAAGTTCAATATCCGAGTATAATGATATTTCGTCGGTGTCGAGAAGGCCATTCTGATGTACTTTGACATCGATCTCCAGAAGCGAGTCAAATGGAATCCTCAAATTCAGAATCTTTTGTTGATATTCCTCGTCGTAGAGTTGGAAATGTGCAGAAGCCAAAAGAAAATAACATTTATGTTGTGTCATCTTCCACGAACGAAGCCGCATCTTGTTAGACTGTACTAACTCCTTATACTTCTGGAAACTCGAGATTGCTTCTTGTACCTGTCCCTCATTTTTCTGAGGAACATCTTTTTCATTCTCCTTTTTAATGACTGGAATATGTTCAGCTTCGTCTTCATTTCCGCTGGATTCTGCTTCTTGCTCATCTTGCTCATCGTCAGATAATCCTTCCATGTCCTTCTTTCCAAGGGCGCCTTGCTCAATCAAGATCTGTCTCAACTTTTGGTACTGCTGAGAATCACGATGCGATTTGGCTATTACTTTCTCAATGAATTTTTGAGTTTCGGAGAGGACCACATTTATAATGTCAATAACTTTTTGAGGATAAAGCACATATTCCAATAACAGAGAGATTTCCAAAAGTCTATTAATTATTCCTCTTTTGGACTCGCCTATGTCTTCAAGGACAGAATCTATCATATCATCGAGAACATCCTCCAATGTTTTTAACTCGGGTATCCCGTGCAATAAAAATTTGTTCTTATTCTTACCTCGGAGTGTGTGGGCCTTCGCCAACTGTCCCACTTGCAAGTTTCCGCATAATTGTCTTAACTTGACAAGCCACGATCTTAAATGCACACACGCAGAAGTAGTGAGCTCAATTTCCGATCTTTTGGGAACCTTGTCAGTGTAGATACCAATGGAAGCAAGAGTGGACTCAAACATCTGATCGTACTTATCCTGTTCAACCTTGGTGAAAGGCATAGTAAGAAGCACGCGCTGCTGAGGTGGAAGCTTGATATCATCATGAACCATTGCCTTTGTATGACGTAAAGAAATACTCAGCCAGATCTTAATAAAATCGGCGTTACTATTCTCCGGGGCCGTCAATTGCTTCCAACAGTATTTCGAGATATCATAATTGAATGGCGCAAACTTCAAGAATTGGAGAACCGCAGGCAGTCGGGCTGGAGTACCGGAAACACCCCACGAGTGAAATCTTGGAATAAGTGCTGCTGTTTTGAATGCTCTCGAAGCTCCAGATGACACCATTTGAACTTCATCTAAAACAACTCTCCACCATTGACACAGCATGAGCGGGGACTCGTAGAAATGAGTATGTGGTATGGTTCTAGGGTCCTCCCTCCTGACTCTACCTGCTAACTCCTCCAATACGGCCCTTTCGTACTTTTTCTGGTTGAAAGTAGCCTCCGGAGTCCGAACGGGATTGAGTTCTGCCTTGTACTCATTTACAAGGGCAGCCATACTTTCTTCTGGAAGTTCGCCATTTACCTCCTTGTTCGTCCCTTCGTTAATCTTGTTAGTCTTCCCATCGGGATTCTCATCCTTTTTATCCACATCACCATTTCTCTTGCGTCCCCCTCGGGTAGGTATATGTCGAGAGGAATAGTTAGCATAGTCCATTTCTCTCGACATGGTGGCATAGTTCATAAGCACTATGTCAAATCGTTGAAGGTACTCACCAATGTACCGTGGAACATTAGAGAGCTCGGGATACTTCCCTAAACCCTTATATATTGTGACAGATAAGCTGGGACACAATTGAGCAATTTCTCTGTACCACTGGTGAAGAATCGAGTCTGGTGCAGCAATAAGGGTGGTCTTTCCCTTTCTCACAAGACGAAAGTCACCTTCCTCTTTGAATTGAAGTGTAATCTCCTCCCCCACTTCGCTGGTCGGACGAGGGTTCAAAAGCACCAAATCCATGATCTCCACGGTTTTTCCCAACCCCATCTCCTCGGATAAGAGCCCACAGCCAGGGATCTTGTGCTGATTATTTGTTCTGTAGTATTCCAAAAGAAACGCCACTATCTGCTCCAGCAGCATGATGTTTCCCGTATAGTGGTTGACCCAACATATCTGGCCCTTAAATAACACACGATTCCAGCCGTAGCATATCCTGTCCAAAATATGAGAGATACTCCTATCTAGCTCGTTGACGTCTGCCTGCGGATACAGTTGAAGTAAATGTCCCACCTGGTCGCTGATAAGTGGAGAGTGTCGACAACTTCTCAGCACCTCATCGTACACCACTCCTTCCTTAGAAAGAAGCCAACCCACACTTTTCCTCTGAAAGGGGAGAAGCTCCGTAAACAATTGTGGATGGTAGAACGTGCTGGACGCTGGAGGCATGCGAGCAGTGTTATCTGTGATTGCTCTATAAAAAAGGTGGGTATCTGGAGCAAATCCTTTGAAGGAGTTGACAAACTCGTTAATCTCTGTAGGTAGCAGCTCCATGTGTGTCGAGAGCACTTGAAGCAAAGCAGTTGAAACATCAGACGAGAAATATCGGTAGAACAGTTGTTTCAAGGTAATATTGTAGTTCAATCCAAAAGTCACCATATTAGTCCTTGTATTAAGCACAAGATCAAGCTGGAAATGTGTAACAGTGAAATGTTGCTTGCATTTCTTGATTTTATTAGTGATGAATCGGAGTTCATCAAACACATTGCCTCTGATCTTATCATCTAAGATATTGATGGAAATAAGCGTGCACTTCTTGATGCTTCCTCGTGCTTTGTTCAGGATAGTGAGTAGTGGTGTCTCTGTTCCCGCCTTTACTTCAAAATGCTCCGTAGAAAATTTATAGCTGCCACGGACTTTCGACTCTAGTCCCGATTGTGAGTACTGAAGGATGACTTGGGGGTCTAATGCGACAGGGCTCTTCATGTGGCACACCAAATTTCTCAGAATCACTGAGACTTCATTAGTTGGACTCAAAGGACGACTTGATTCCTGCTTTTTGCGCTTTTTCATGACGAAATCAGCGTCAGCATACGCGAGGATGGAATCAAGGTCAAATTCCACCAATTCCGAGGCGACTTTCGTTTCTGGAATGCGGATATTGGCATCCATGGCAAATTTATGTAGCTGATAATTGGTCAATAGCAAGGATTTTTTTTGAAGCACCTTAAGCTTGTGCTCTAGTGGCAAGAAACAATTGGTTATGGTAGTTTCAAAGATTATGTAGGTGTATCATACTGCATACAGGTTGCAACCATTACTAAGAAAGGAGCAATTGTGATAATCATACAAACATGAAGACATTAGTTAGTTAAGTATACATGGGCACTAAAACCCAAAATCTGAAATAAAATGAGAGCCTGTCAGAAGTCTCGTCACCATTGCTCTATAATTCCCCAAGGATATTGGTGAGAATTCCAAATCTGTTTCTCGTCGTCATCGTTACCCTTTAGATTGAAATTGTTCAACTAGCCACTGCTAACTTCTTTCTCCTCTCTAGTATCGACGCACCACCCAAATTAAGTTCGAATGCATTGGCCATGTTTATGTCACGAGGGATTGCCAGCAGTGGCTCCACTTCCATCTCTTCGTCCTCTTCAACCACATCGGGAATCCGAGTCTTATTGAGTGCAGCCTCTTCACCAATTCTGTGCACAGCAGCAGAGATATCGAATGCCTCACGCAAAGCCAGGGCAGCGGGTGAGTACATTCCATTGTTGTAATTTGGAGGCACAGGCTGAGCTGCCCTAGGTGCTTTCATTGGTTTCTCGAATGTTGGAGCAGCTTGGCGGATCCATGGATCTTCAAAAAATTCTTCGATTGTATAACGTCTCTTGGGGTCCACTGTGAGGAGGCGAGACACGCAATACTTTGCATCGATGCTAATTTCGTCCCACCATGGCGCTAAGAAAGAATACTCACCTCTAGCAACCTTCTCAGTGAGGGTTTCTATTCTCTCATCATAAAATGGTGGGAATCCACATAATAAGGTGTATAGCACACATCCAATAGCCCACATATCTACCTCCTTTGAGTACCGCTCGTCACGAACGATCTCCGGCGCCGTGTAGCCCACAGTTCCACATGGAGTCTTGGTGTTGTGTTCCCAAATTTGCTTCGACAATCCAAAATCTGCCAACTTGACAAGACCGATGGTTCCACCACCCACACCTGGCAAAAACTCGCCCTCATCCTTCTTTGTTTTAGGATCATCGGATCTACGGAGCTTTGCGATCGGATTAAGCGATGGCTTATATTCGATCGGGCAAAACAACAAGTTCTCGGGTTTGATATCACGATGAACAATGCCAACCTCCTCGTGCAAGTAACGAACAGCATCTGCAACCTGGTAGATCACATGGCGAGCCAAATTTTCACTAAGATACGTGTAGTTGACGATGGCTCCGAAGATTTCTCCACCAGGAACAAGTTCCTGAACAATGTAATAGTAAGGCTCGCTCTCGATGAACTCGATGAACTTGACAACATGTGGATGGTTGAGCTGGCGCATGATGATAACCTCTTTGAACACTGCCTGCTTCTGGGCGTTATCCATCTGATATTTACGGAGAATCTTGATTGCAACCAAATTGCCAGATTCCAAATGTCTGGCTTTATAAACAACAGAAAACGCACCCTCGCCCATCTTCTCCAAAACTTGATACTTTTCCAAGTTCGGGTACTTGACCTCGGCATTTCTATTCTGTTTCTCCTCCTCGACTAGTTTATTAGCCACCTCATCGTACTTCTTTCTGGCTTCAGTCTTCTTAGGTACCTCCTCAAAGTCTCTGGAGCTACCGGAAGTCAAGTCAGAGTTTTCCAAGTCGGAAGCTAACACAGAAGCGCCATTAGTGGAATCTGAATAGGCTAAAAGATCTGCTTCCGAGGTTGTTAGCGATAATCCTTGTACGGCTCTTGTCTTCAAGTCGTTGGCTTGACGACCATGCCTGATGAATGCTTTGAGGTTGTCGAACATAAAGAGTTACTTCCTGAAGAACTTTAGGAAGAATAAAGTGTTTCAAGTGGGTGAATTATGGTAGAATTGTCTCACAGCAACTTAAGGTATATTGGGCTGAAGGCGTGGAGACGACATTCGGCCACGACATTGTGGGTTGAACTCACCACATCACGTGATGAAGATTAGCTAACCACTTTGGGCTTTGTTACTTACCCCGTAATCACGTTTTAGTAGAGCAGCAATACTTCAGGGACACCCCTCAAGGATGAGCAGTGAGTTCCTTTTTTTGAAGTCCTATGCGTATTGTTTCCCTTGTCCATTCTTGGGGGAGGCATCAATTGGTTTGCCCGAGGGGTATCTCTAATGTCGGGTGTATGGGTTTGTGTCTCAGAGCAATCTCAATTGGCGGAGTTCCGGGCAATTTAGACTGGCATTAAATAAGCAAGTCTAGATCATAGCATCGGGAAGTCATCTGCATCTTAGAAGGAAAATGTAACAAACGATTCTGAAGACTTAAGGGGGCGAAATTTCCAAATGCCAACTGTTAGCAAGTGTTTACATGAACAATTTGCAACCAATGAGGATCGGTTCAAACAATCACAATTATTTTCTTCAAAATTTACAGTTATCTGGAGAAAGTCCATCGCAGTGAAGATGTGGGGGTTGTGTAATTTTCGAAGCTCAGATCAACATTGTGACACACAGAACATTGGAAGACTGTTGAAGGTTTGGATGGTTGATCCGATAAAGCTTTGGCAGGTTGAGATCTGCCAGATCTGCCGCTATCTTGTTGTTCATGCAGGCAGTCGATGGCACAAACGAGTGGCAAATGAGACAACTTTTAGGTGCACAATAATGCGGGAGGGGCCATGCTGAAAACAGTAATTATGCGTCTTTGAAGTATAGTCAGGCTTCCATCGCCCCATGTTAAAAAGTCAAGCATACATGCATGCACGGCACATCCAATACTATTCACAGAGCGTCTGAAACATCTGAGAATTTCGTTATTTTTTCACAGACCAACCGAGCAAATCCAATTTTATAAGCAACATCGAAAATCTCAGCCCACTCGGCTAGTGGCTGCTGCTTTATTATTGCGCTTCTTCCTATGCCGACTGACATTTTCCTATACGCGAACTGTATCCAATCTGTAGTCAATCTGGTAACTTATGGCCAATATCATGAGCGTTAATGCACGTCTCCCCTTGGTTTAGATGCCCCTGCTTTCATGCGCAAGATTCCCAGAATTGGAGCTCTACATGCTTAAATAATATTCATCTGGTTGGCTTTCCCCTCGACTGGTTTGATCTCCGTCTTCTCTGACCTTGTTTCAAATCATTGTCTTTTTTTGTTGCAAGTTTCTCAACCTTTCCCCTAAAAAAAGCATATTTGCAACAACGTGGCCCAATGCTGCCACCCGTACCTCCGGATTTGGGTTTGTTTGCTCAACATTCCAATGGTGTACAGGTGTATGTGTCGATTCGATTAACCATAAGCACATGAACGTCAACCATTAGGAATTAAAAGGTCTATTGAAACACGTCAGTGCATTACCTTTTCCACCTCAAATCGCATATTTAGAATACCCTTATTGATCTACCATGTCTGTTCCTGCAATCGTTTTCACTGATTGGGACGGCACTGTCACCCTTCAAGACTCCAATGACTACTTGACTGAGAACCTCGGGTTTGGACGTCCACGTCGTTTGGAAATCAATGATGAGATTCTTAACGGCCAAAAATCCTTCAAGGATGGCTTTTCCGAAATGTTGGCGTCCATTCCCACTCCGTTCCCTGAGTGTATTGAATACTTGTTGGAACATGTGCAACTCGACCCAGGCTTCAAGGAATTCTACCACTGGTGTGAAGCCAGAGGTATTCCTGTGGTTGTTGTGAGTAGTGGAATGACTCCAATTATTCTGGCACTTCTCACTAGGTTGGTGGGCACCGAAGCTGTCGCTAACATTGAGATTATCTCCAACGGTGTAGAGGTAGATGAAGCCACTGGAAAGTGGCATATTGTGTACAAGGACCCAGACACTGGCTTCGGTCATGACAAGAGTCGCTCCATCAGGGAATATTTGACCAAAAACGGATACACAAAGGAGAACATTCCTCCTCTTTTCTACTGTGGAGATGGTGTCAGTGATCTCTCTGCAGCCAAAGAGACCAATTTGCTTTTCGCCAAACACGGTAAAGATTTGATCACTTATTGCCGTCGTGAGAACATTCCATACACGGAATTCAACAACTTCGATGATATTTTCCGCAAAATCCAGAGCATCATAGACGGAGGAAAGGATTACAAGGAGTACATTGAGAATTAGGTTAACCACTGCTTGGTCGATATTCTCATGTCCTCTGGGATGGCTTGAGGACACCAAGAGTGGTTAGTATTTCCTTAGAATTTAGATTTTGTGTTGACAGAGTGGTTCAATAGAGACTGACTTGTCAGGCCATTAATTTCAACTTAAAGAGGGCTTTCAAGATTTTGATCTTTGCATGTAGGTTGAATAATGAGACCTTTTCTTCTATGAATGTTCGAGGTGACGGAATTCTGGTCGATCGAGGTTAAATTTAGGAAAGAGTAAGTAAACTCAACAATGAAGTAGAGTTTTGTCCTGCAGGGTCCTGCAGTGTACCGTATTAATAAAATCTTGTGTATCCAGTCCTGAAAAATCATGTCGACCCAGTCGGCTTGATAGCCTATAATACTACTTTCAGCAACTTCGGTTGGCGAGAGGTGATCCAATACTCAGAATATCGCATCCAATTTATCGTGAGTGGAGACAGGCGCGGATTCAGCTAGCTTTTCGAGTAATCCAGTCTGATGTTAACTACAGGATTGCGTGCTTTAGTCTCCCTCTTGAGGCGTGCGTGTCGGTTTGAGCCCGACCTTCGGTGCGGATCTCTGATCGACAAGGTAAGCATCTTTTCCAATCCCTTATTTTGTCTGGGCCCGCTTGGCTGCAGCATTGTAGATCACTTAAATTAACATGACGAGGTTATGCATCATCAAGTCTACTACTGGAAGGCCCTTGAATGGCGTGATAAGTAACCCGGGGCAGCGCAAAAAGAAAAAACGGGCGGAATCATCTATGAAGGATTGTTAGGGGTTCGCCCCTTCCTTATACCCAGCTCGTAAAGTTATACTGTACGTGCAGAAGTCAATTGACAAACAATAAGATATCGGGAGATTTGTCCGCATGTACAATTATCCCAATAAAACCCGTCACACATATGTGGTGCATATAATATGCACCACGTAATTTTGTGGGTTAATTAGCAGTACTATCGCTATCATGGCTATTGCCTTCATGCGGCCTAGCCGCTGGATATGAGAATAGAACCAAATTAGTTCGATTCCCGAACAAAATGACTGGGCTTCCTTGGGATTTGCACCACACTTTCCCGTAAGATTTATTTTTGCCGCTGGAAATCGTCCCCACCACCTGTATGGTCGATGATTCACTTACCGGAACGGTCTTTTCGGAATACCCTTTTCAGCAGGCCATGGATGAGACGCATATGCCTCAGCAAACTGTCCAGTCTGTAGAACGCCCGCAAGCATTTCAGCTCGTTGCAAACGTAGACATGACGAAGGAACTCTTTGAGTAACTTATCAGGAACCTTGACTGGGTGTTTCTTAGCACTGTCATTATTGTATGTCTTTAAGTGGTGGTTGCAGATGTGTCTTCTTAGTAGCCAGCGGAATCGGAAACCAATCGCTGAGAAGGAACATGAGTGGTCAGGACAGAAGTTCTCGTGTTTCACCTTTTCCATGTCCAAATGTTCAAGATACTTCTCCAACACATCGAACTTGACCTCGCAGTGGGTACAAATCATGCTCTCCTGAGGCTCTTGAATAGCCTCGTTATTCTTTATGTAAAGACCCCACCGTTCTTGTGCTGACATACAAGCCATTGGGATAGTATCGTAGGGATGGTCTCCTTCACCACGGGTATCGATCGAGCAATCTCTATTAATAGGCTCCATACGGAAGTCCATGTTACTCTTCCAAGAGTTCGTAGGGCCCCCGTGGCCCTGGACAGGTGACTTGTCCAGGTTTTCAGAAACACTACGGCGTTGGTTGATAGTGTAATTTCCAGGTAAGATGGATGGATTTGGCGTCGCAACTGCTTGACCAAGCAAAGATGAGTCTCCGAACTGAGCAACATCATACAGACCAAAGCTGGTCTGATTATTGTAGTCCTTGTCTGGATAGGCCATTCTTGCACTTCCCACGTCAGGTAAGCTGTGGCGGTGCATCAAGCCCACCTCGGAAGGGAACATCTGTCGACCCCATGCGCCAGCACCAATACTATCAATAGAAGCAGAGTCAACAAACGACGCAGCAACTGCGTGTGTACCAAAGTAACCCGAAGAGATCGCCTCGTTGGTATTGTAAGCAAGCTGTGACGTATACGCACCAACGCCAGCGTCGGGCTTCACAAATGCGTCAGCAGCTTGGTCAGTTGGCACCACATTTTCTCCTAACGAGGCAGCGGCTAAGTTGGAGAAGCTATTGAAATAACTGAGGGCTGCTACAGATTCATTGTACTCGTTCTTAACAGGGTAAGTTTCAAGGGCGACGTTCTCCCATTGGTTGGTAAGAGCAGGGGTATCTTCAGAAGACCTGAGGTCGGTTCCGTAATTTCGAGAGCCAAAAGTCCTTGTAGTGGTTGCGGCCACTGAATAACCAGCAGGTATTGCAATATCGGAAGTCATTTCTTGAGGTCTGTTCCATAAACTGTAATCGTTGATGTAGGAGGTTGAGGGGATGGAGTCATCAAGAGCTACCACCAGATGGTCAGTACTCTTCATTTTTGAAGAAAGCAAATTTGATAGGTATTAAAGGGCAACTGCTTGTGAATTTGAGGATATTCTAATTAGAGCATGGCCATCCCCAAAGTATTTATGGGAGTACGAAGAACAGGATGGTACATATCAGGCAAGTTTTGCCTTGGTCGCGCATCTGCAGTCCGCATAATCTGATGCATGCATCTCTATAAACGGCCATAATCACGCACAACCCCCAATCCGGGCAAGCTTTCATTCGCCTGGGTTATGTGCTCGGTTGGCTGCATGGTTAATGTCAGTTACCTCCATTCGTGAGCCAGGTGAGGAACTGCTGCGCTGCCATTGTGTTAGGTTCCTAGACCATCTTGCCGGGTACTCCGAGACACCACCACCACTACTACCACCACTGCAAGCGAACCAGGAATGCTTCATCAGTCGGATGGCTGAATATGGCATGGCCGCCGGAATATTCATGAATTTGCTCTCGTCATGGCACAACCCTCATGCGCTGCGCAACTCTGCGGGTAAGATGATCGACAGGTGGCCGAATCCTTATTCATGCTGATTTTTGGAGTCGTTAACGTCAGTTTGGACCCTTTGAGACAAGGGGGGTGGTTCAGGCGGGTTTCAGCATGGCTTTCTTTTTTGTCTGTTTCTTTATGAGAATGACTGAACTCCTATCTGGAGGTCTGGGTGTATTTGGGTAGGTCCGGAACCCCACGTTGGGTTTTGTCCACCCACTGCGCTAGTGGCCCTATTACATTCCCAACATTCCGGGACCATAAAAACCCACCCGCTAGGAAAATACATCGACTTGAGATTGTCCCGAAGGATTGCATGATGTGTTTAAGCTTTTCCACATTGTTTCACTTACGCTCTATTTTTTCACATAACGACCTTCCATGTTTGCAGGATACTGCCCAGTCTCGAAATCGAGACCTCCTAGACAATAGCCCGCGGATCGAGAAAAGCAACCTTCATTTTCCTGACGCTGGGCAAATTTTTGTTCGGCTCTCAAACGACCACTCCGTGCTCTTCTCCAATCACCAGGTTCCCACTAGCCTGGTGCCTAACTCCACATTCCATCACATTGCAGTGCATTAGACCACCATTAAACCAAGATGAACCCTACTTTTCCTCTTAACCAGCCAGTTTACACACAATCTTCTTCAGCCCAACGTTGTCCAACTATTTACTTTTTTGCACCCGAAATATGAGACTGTAAGATTGGTCTTCCAGTCAGACCTGGTCCAACATGAGCCTCACTCTAGAGGATCGGTGTGCAGCACCTAGCAATACTCGTAAGTGCCGATCTTTCCGCAACTTTCTTTGTCTGATTTCAGGTCCTCCCGCCCTCAAATGTGTGTGATGGCACCAAGGTCGATGGTGGAACCTTCCCTACAGCGATTCACGACCTCGCAAGCCTCGTTGAGCCTTGAAACGAGCAGAATACAGTAGTTTTAACGATCGCACATTTAAGTTGGATCTGCCTGCGATATTATTGGACCAACCTACAGATCATGCCTTCGCAAACCTCACAAGTTTCAATATTTTCAGCAAAGGACGTGACTGTCTGCCAGACAGAGTTTGCCATAAGCCTCAACTCGTGAGGCGTAGTTCGGACCTCTTGGATGTTGCAGCCATCGCCAAAGTTCTTCACATGAGCTTTCAGCCTTACCGTTGCATCCGAAGAAACTCCTATCAAGACTGCCTATTTTCAGCATTTTCTGTCTGAATTGGTAATTATGGAAACTGAGAAGTTGAATAAGCGCAGTGCAGGTGACAATAGACATTCTGCTGGAGAGCTTTAAAAAATAAGCCTGATGATACCGTTTAGTCTTGCATATGACTTCAGGGTTATATTTTGAGACTCGTATTATGAACATATTCAACTTTAGACAGGAGCTGCTTGGCGGTTTGAGGAGAGTTTTTCCAAAAGGCATCCTCTTGTCCAGCGCACTTCCAGTGTCAGTGAATCTGAGTAAATGAATAAGCGAGGAACTTTCGGAAGTATTTGCGCTTTGCGCGTGCGGCCCTTGATAATCAAGTATCTTGCTCCTCTAGTACGACTACCGAGCATGAATCAATGATTTTCCCAATGGATTATTTTATTCGGTAGAATGGATACCGGAATTTCGCCATTTATGGATTTTCTGGAGCGGCAATTTATGGACGGGAAAGCCGGAAATGTCGATATCACAACAGCAGATTCCCCGCTCTTGTTCGTTATCATCTTTACTGTTGGTTTTTTCCTGATTTCGTAGATCTTGCTTGACTTGCTTCGATATTGCTCTCATCCTGTTCCAAAAATTCTAGTCTTTTTTACCCCTTGTGCAAAATGATCCCCAACCTCATAATCTAGAATTTCTTGCATGCAGTTCCGGAAATTAGTGACAGGTTTCTTTACAACTTCAATTTCTTCTTCTTTCTCTACTATCATGAGCTCTTTGCATTCTTTTTCCGGTTACCCTCGTCAATCATTATGGGGTTCCACCTGGAACATCGCTAGAAAGTATGCTTCCTTCATTGGACCCGGTATCATGGTTTCGGTTGCTTACATGGACCCTGGTAACTATGCCACTGGTGTCTCCGCTGGTGCCTCCAATCGATTTTCCTTATTGTTCATCACTTTCATGTCAAGTGTCATGGCTGTTTTCTTACAGTCTTTGTGTATTAAGCTTGGTACTGTTACTGGTTATGACTTGGCAAGGTGCAGTCGGGAACATCTTCCTAAGAAGTTGAATTATGTGTTGTGGTTCCTAGCAGAATGTGCCATTATCGCTACCGACATAGCCGAAGTCATTGGTTCGGCCATTGCATTAAATATTTTGTTGCATATTCCCTTGCCAGCCGGTGTGGTCATCACAATTGTGGATGTTCTTGTGGTGTTGGCAGCCTACAAAGCCGATTCTCCGCTGGCACATTTCGTGCGGTACTTCGAGTACGCAGTAGGTGTGCTTGTGTTTGGTATTGTTGTTTGCTTTATTGTAGTTTTGGCTTACTTGCCTAAAGGCTCGGCTCCTTTCGGTCAGGTCATGCGAGGTTTCGTTCCCAGTAAAGAGATGTTCGAAGACCGAGGCTTGACCATCGCCACATCCGTGATTGGAGCCACGGTGATGATCCACTCTCTTTTCTTGGGGTCGGGTTTGGTCCAGCCTCGCTTGCGTGAGTTCGATGTGAAGCATGGCTATGCTATGGTCCCATCCGCTCCTTCTGAACCCTCTACTACCGAAGTCCGTTCGGAAACTGTAACTGAGAAGGATGGAACTGAGGTGCTGGATTACTTTTACAACATCTACACCCCTTCATACCATGCCATCAAGTACTGCTTGCGGTACTCCATTATTGAATTGGTGGTTACTCTCATGACGTTTGCACTTTTTGTCAACTCTGCGATTTTGATCTTAGCTGGTGCCACACTCTACGGAACCCCAGATGCTGTTGATGCCGACCTTTACAGTATCCATGACTTGCTCCTGAAGACTTTGGCTCCAGTAGTTGGAACACTCTTTATGGTCGCCTTGTTGTTCAGTGGTCAGAGCGCTGGTATTGTATGCACTATAGCTGGGCAGATTGTCAGTGAAGGTCACTTGAAATGGACGGTCAAGCCATGGATTAGGAGACTTTGCACAAGAAGTATTTCCATCCTCCCATGTTTGGTGATCTCGCTCTGTATCGGCAAAAGTGCATTGAACTCCGCGTTGAACATCTCGCAGGTTGTCATTTCCATTCTTCTCCCTCCCCTCACAGCCCCACTCATCTATTTCACCTGTAGCAAAAAAATTATGCGAGTGGAAAAGCCTGCGGAAGAATGTGACCAACAAGGCGAAGGATCTGCAAACGAGCCTCAATACTGGCAAATGGAGAATTCCTGGTTGACTACGATCATTGTTGTTGCAATTTGGCTCTTCATTTCTGTGTTGAACGTCTATGCCATCGTGCAAATGGGCATGGACGGAGTTTCAGGATAAGAGAACTCACGACACTAAGTAATGCGCGCAGCGAGAATTCCTCCGCATTCTCAGAAATCATAGATACTCAGCAATACGATGTGGAAACTATTGAATAAAATCTTGTGAATCTTTTTCTCCACCTTTCTTTTGTTTCTTGTCTCTGTTGTCTGATTAGCCAGTACATCGCTTTCCGTCGCCTAAAAGAGGCAAATCAGTTGTTCATGTCGATCCCCTCGAGATTGATGCAACTCGGCTTTCCACCCGTACCTCCCAGTCCGTCCACCCTCCTTCTTGGAGAGTGTCTTCAATACACATGTCCACCAATCACTTACACCCAGGTATCTCCACATTTACGCTACTCAATTGATTGCCAAAAGCATTCTAGTGCCCAACTGTTGTTATCTGCAAGCACTGATCGTCCTCTTTTTGCAGCATCACCCCGAGTCAGTATCACCCCTCACAGTGTCTACCTGCTGGTTGAAACCATTGTCACCTGCCGAGAACGAAGACGCAATCATTGTCTAATCGGTGCCTTTCATGCCTTCTTCCAGCAGCATTCTCAAAAAGCTCCACTTGACTAGACTGAACCATTCCCCCAGTGCACCCCCTCAAACCCAATCTCACGAGATCACAGTCAACCACTTGGACAACATTGACTCCATGGATTACTACTCTGTTCCTCAGGAACAGGCCCAGCAACAGCAGCAACAGCAGCAACAGCAACAACAGCAACAGCAACAACAAGAGCAACAGCAATCTGGTCAATTAGAACAGGTACAGCCTGTGCAGAATCAGCCAGCCCAATTGGCAACAGGCCAGGCTCAATCGCAGAAAGCACAAGATGAGGACGCAATCAGTCGCTCGCTCTTGCCGCAAAGATCAACTGTGTCGAAGGGAAAGTACTCACTCTCGGATTTCCATATCATGAGAACTTTGGGTACGGGATCTTTCGGCCGTGTCCACTTGGTCAGATCGGTACATAACGGACGTTATTACGCCATCAAAGTGTTGAAGAAAGCCCAGGTGGTCAAGATGAAACAGGTCGAGCACACTAATGACGAGCGTAGAATGTTGAAGTTGGTGGAGCACCCATTCTTGATTCGCATGTGGGGTACGTTCAAGGACTCGAAGAACTTGTTCATGGTGATGGATTACATTGAAGGTGGAGAGTTGTTCTCGCTTTTGAGAAAGTCCCAGAGATTCCCCAACCCAGTGGCCAAGTTCTACGCCGCCGAGGTTGTGTTGGCGTTGGAGTATTTGCATTCCCACGACATCATCTACCGTGACTTGAAGCCGGAGAACATTTTGTTGGACCGAAACGGTCACATCAAGATCACAGATTTTGGTTTTGCCAAAGAGGTGTCCACCGTTACATGGACTTTGTGTGGTACTCCCGACTACATTGCTCCTGAGGTTATCACTACAAAACCTTACAACAAGTCGGTGGATTGGTGGTCGTTGGGAGTTTTAATCTATGAAATGTTAGCAGGCTACACTCCTTTCTATGACACCACACCCATGAAGACTTACGAGAAGATCTTGTCGGGCAAGATTCACTTCCCGAACTTTATGCACCCAGATGTTATTGACTTGTTATCTCGCTTGATCACCGCTGACTTATCATCTAGATTGGGTAACTTGTTGAATGGTCCTGCGGACATTAGAAATCATCCTTGGTTTGCCGAGGTTGTATGGGAGAAGTTGTTGGCCAAGGATATCGAGACTCCGTATGAACCTCCTATCACTGCTGGTGTAGGAGATTCGTCTTTGTTTGACCATTATCCTGAGGAACAGTTGGATTACGGATCGATTGGCGAGGATCCATATGACAAATATTTCACCGAATTCTGATTGCGCTGTCACGATGAGAATCTTTTGTCGATTTTGGTGTCAATGGCGGGATATATCCTGGCTACACATGCACACAAAGATTTCTCTTTATTTCTTTATTATTTGTTATCGTCTATGTTACAAATATTAAACTATAGTACAAATTTCTCCAAGTCCTTCTAGGTTTTAGCTTTTCTTTTTGTCTTGTCCCAACTTATGCTCTGAAAACCTTCTTACACTCGAGGCACACGTAAAACAAAATCATCGAGGTGTCCTTTCTCTTCTGTTGCGACTGGAAAAACACACACTCCTGGTTGCCACAGTGTGGGCACGTCTTATTGGATCTTGGCAACGTTGGATCGTTGCCGATATCCTGGACAACACCAGCTGTTTCACCAATATTGGTAATAAGTTCGTGACGGTAAACCTTGGGGTTTTCCGACAACTCCGTGTAGTCACAGTTTCTGCATGAGTAAAGGAGTCTTGCGTTGTCCTTATCCTCTCTTGGATACAACATGTTGTTGCATTCTGCGCAGAAACGGAAAGATGCCATTCTTGTGGAGTTTGGAGAATATTTGGTGGTGAATTTAGCCATGAAGTGTTGGTTTGCGCACGACCAGCACTAATGAAGACAACTGGGTGGGGAAAAGTGAACAAACAAGTATCAGGCATCACTCAAGGCATGGAAATTTAGAGATATTTGAAATGTTGTTATAAGTTTCTGATCTTACCAAAGAATCACGGGGGTCACTCTATAGATATTACTCGTCACGTGACACGGTGTTTTGAAGGTAGTGTTCTCGAGTTTAGGAGTATCAGCAATAATATGGACTAATGGAGACAAAATTAGGTAAGGTCATTTCTTCAAATTTGAGTATGTTGCCGGCCTACATGACTTTCAAACTGCAAAAATATTCAGCACTTGTTGCAACCCAGGATTGTGCACCCGTACCTCTCTATCCTAAGTTAATACCACCAAAAAAAATTTTCGACCTACAACGACCTTCAGTCTCAAAACATGTTGCGCCAATCCATCAGACCTGCCGCTAGAATACTCGCCAGACAGAACTTCCGTTGCGCCGTGCGTTTCAATGCCACTGTCGCTGAAAAGGCTCCAGTCGACCCCAAAATCTCCCAGATTGTCGACCAAATCTCCACCTTGACCTTGTTGGAGACCTCTGCATTGGTGACCGAGTTGAAGGAGAGATTGAACATTTCCGACATTGCTCTTCCTGCCGCTGGCGCTGCTCCTGTTGCTGCTGCTCCTGTTGAGGAGGAAGTGAAGGAGGTTGTGGAAGAGAAGACCATTTTCTCTATCAAGTTGGACTCGTTCGATGCCAAGTCCAAGCCTAAGATTATCAAGGAAGTGAAGAGCTTGTTGGGATTGTCTTTGGTTGAGTCCAAGAAGTTTGTTGAGGCTGCACCTAAGGTGTTGAAGGAGAATGTTGCCAAAGAAGATGCTGACAAGATCAAGGCTACCTTGGAGGGATTGGGCGCCAAGGTGTCTTTGGAGTAGAGGTGTCCATTCATATTCCTGTACACATACGATCTCTTTGTGATAAATGTAGATTTGGAGCAGAGAAGTGTTGAAATTTTTGAAGATTTGATGAGAGTATTGAGTGGTATATTGGCCCATTTGAGAACATGTTAATGGTTTCGAGAAAATAGGGTGAAGATCAAATGTGTTGAGTCGCGGATTTTATAAACAAGTTAAGAGGAATGAAGTTAGAATGTATGGCTTCTGAATCATTGGTTTGTGATTTTTGAAGTCCTTCTCTATGGTAGTATAATCTGTTGTGGAATAGGTGTTTACAGTAGGAAGTGAGAACGTGTGGGGGATCGTGGTAACGAAGATACATCAATTTTGTGAGGAGATCGAAGAAGATTGAAGATTGCTGAGAAATTCGACTCGTATCCATTCATTATCTACTCTTTTTCAATTCTGTCCCTCAGTTTCACCTTGTCGATTTATCTATTGGTTGCGAATCTGGATTGAATTGACCTCCATAGGTCACCATGCAAAATACAAAATACCAACGACCACAAAAAAAGGGCTCACAGCAATTCTTAGCAGCGATTAGCACCAATGAATTATGAGTGGTTGTTTCCAGCAATGATCACCTGAACCACTCAAGAATTTCAACACTTTCACTTCTACAGATCGTCATAGTGTTTTACCAACTTACACATCTACACCCGTACCTCGATAGTAATCTCCCTTCACCACTACACCATGTTTCGACTGAAGTGGGATTACGATCCGAAAGCCTCGTTCAGCCGCAAAGACAGTATTAAGCCATGGCTTGTGAACCAACTCAAACCGTGGCTGATTTGCGTGGCCATCGAACGTTCGGACAATATCAAAATAGTCTTCAGGTGTAAATCGGGATCACTACTGTGTCCATTCCGGGTCAGAGCCAACTACTCCATTCGCTCCAAGCTATGGACGCTTCTGGTGGTTTCCGATTTGCATAATCATAAGATTCCCAATGGGGAAATCGTGGCAGTTCAGCCTTCTCCACCAAAGAGACAGAAAGTGCAAGATCCAGACAAATCAACACTAAATGGACTAGCACAACACACTAATGTATTTGTGGGCATTCCAAAACCGCTACAGCAGGCTCTGGCGAGGGATGTGGATGAAATCGTTTCGAATATGTGTTCGGATGTAGCACTGCTCATGACAAGAAATATCTGGCACAATCCTAAGCTACTGAGCGAGCAGAAGGAGGCGGCAGTGTCTCGAGTAGTTGCTGAATTAGTCGATGAGTACTTAGAAGAGTCACGTCCTGTGACTGCTTCTTTAATGCCGCTTTCGCCGCTTTTGAATGAGCCAGACTTTTCTGATACTCAACTTCCGGCGCTTTCGGCGCCTTCACGAGCTACCGGTCCACTTCCACCGTTCAATTCGCTTCAGACACAGTTGTACCCGCTGCCGGAAGTGCTGGATTTGGCTAAAACTATGAACCCAGTCCAATTAATGAAAACACACGATCTTAGTGAGTTCAAGGTAGATAATATCGGAGCTCCAACGTCACTGATGCTGCTGTTTCTTGCGCCGAATGCACCTCTGCCAGGTGATCGCGATGTTTTAATGGGAAACTTACACTTGGGGTATTGGTCTACCGTTGGGTTGAATGAATGATGGAAAGTCGTGAATTACACGGGTAGGGTGACTGTTGGGGGAGATTGGCATACGGATAGAATATTCAAGGAGAATTAGAAATGGGAATTAGATTACATGGTAACGTAAAACTGTCTTATTAGTAAAGGAATGAATGATGAAAATGAAGCTACTCGGTGTGGGTCTCGAATACAAAGTACTAGACCCATTCGAACAAGACAGAACGAAAACGGACAAGAGGAGCTGATTTCACTTTCTTATTACATTCTACGAATGTACGTAAGATTGATCTTTTCTTACTCCTTCTTTTTTCCTCTTTTCTATAAACGGCTTTCTTCACCTCTAAACTTACCTGCACTATAATACTCAATCCTAAATCTACAATCTTCTCCAAACCACAATGCCTCTAGACTGTTTGACTGGCTCCGTGCTTGTGGTGCCCTCCATCTCCATTGCCAACATCCCCCAATTGGCATCAGATCTCCTAATCCACACTCTCAACTTTTCCAAAGTCGACTCTCTTTCAGACAAGTATCTTTACCCATTTGCCTCTCCAGTTGACTACACAGACAAACCCAGCGATGGAATCTCGCTTGGGCTAGAGGTATATTACAGCAAAGAAAACAACTTGACCATCCTCCACCAAAGGTCTCCATTGATGCCCGGTTTTGCCGCTGCCCATGTGGAGGAAGTTCTTGTGCCATTCATAAAAGAAGGCAAATTCAACCACGTCGTGTTCCTCAGTCTGTCGGACGCAGGCTTGGTGGAGCACATTGCACCCGGAGGAATCAGTATATACACCAACGAAGATATTCTTAGCGATGGACTTACTAAGCTCCACATTTCCGAATCTGACATTCAACCCTTGGCCAAGTCTCCAGGAAGTGGCTCCAAATACGAAGAGGCGTTGGTAAAATCACTTGCGGCCTCAACTAACCTCAGTATATTTGTTTCTTACGTATACGAGGGTGACAATTTCTACGATGCTCAATTGCTTGCTTCCAAAGTCGCTGGAGTTCTCAATGTGTTCCCAAAAGCATGGAAGACACCAGTTAGTTGGTTTGGAGTTTACGGCGACAAGCCTGCTCCACTGGCTATCGAAGAGGGCATGTACGGTTAAATCCAGTGTCTATTTTACATATTATTGGCGCACGTCATACTTATACATAACCTTTCGTCATGTTATGTTCCTTGCCGTATAAATATCTTCAAATGTCTTTTTCACAAATCCTCGCCTTTCTCCTTGGGAAGCAATTCGCTCAAGGCTAGCGTGTCGAGACTTGGGGACCCTGTACCGAGAAGATTAGGAGTGATGGCACCAGACTTCGTCCACAAGTTGGTGTTGGAGTTTGTGTGCGAAAGAAAGCCTCCTTTGGGGCCTAGATATCCCAAGTTCTTCATAAATTTGTCGAGACGAACATCATTTTTTGCGAAATCCGTGTCTAGCATAAATAAATCCAATTCTTCCTTAGGTGTCCGATGATTGTAAGATGGGTAGGCTGGTCTTGAATCGAACGACGGAAATGCTGGGAATCTCTGGTTCCCATTAAAATACAGTAGAAGATCCTGCTCCTCTTCTTTTGTTGCCATGCCAATGTTTTGAGCGTCCATATCCTTAGCTCCCATTTCGGCGGCTTCAATAGATTTAGGAATGTCATATGTCTTGTCTTTCTCGAAATCTCCTCCATTTTGCAACCGATACATATTCCACGTAATCTGGCACGGAGGTAACATTCTAGACCCTGTCTCCAAAATCTCAATTAGTCTGGAACTGTGGAGTGCTGCTTCCTGTGCCTCCATCGTGATCATGTTGGGGAAATTAAGTGCCATGAGGACAAAGTAATCCATAAAAGGGTAATGAAGAAGCACCAAGGAGTCATCGCTAGAGAATATACTACTTAGTCTCAAGCATGCCTCTGTGTATAGCCTGTTACGGATATCCACCAACTTTTGTCTTTCAGGATCCATATTCGTGTGAATTGCCAGAAGCTTCACGCACACAACAAACCATGTCAAGCTGTGACAAAGGTGTAGATACATCACCATAGGCGATGATTGCGGCAGTAAGCGGCAGTGGTCCGGTAGTTGTGCCATCCAGTCGTCCAACTGACGTTGGAAATCGTGAATCAGGCGACTTTGGCTGCTATCGCCCGGGACAACGTCGGCCAGACTCCCAGTACTGATGGTGCATGTCAAAGCGGAGCTCAAGATTGCTACCACTCGTAAAAGCTGGTTGAATGTCAGCAAGCATCTTCCTGAATCGCTCAGGAATGTATCTGGTTTGTGGAAACTCTTCCAAGCTTCCCACTCCTCCCAACCATCCTCGGAAATTGAAGCCACTGCCCAATCGGATTCTCTCACTAACGGTGACCGGCCCATTCTTGCACCTAAAAGAGTATTTACCACATAAACTGAAGCCCATGTGCGTTCACGATTGATAGAGTCCAACGAGGCCCACTCTGGATGTTTTTTATCCTCTTCTTTGCCAGTGGATGCTGGCCTCATGAGCCTCACATCCATAGCCATCCGTGTAGCACTCAGGACAAGCACCCACGAATTGTCCCAGTCACCAGCCTGGTAAAAGTAGAGACCTAGAAGAATCATGGCCTGGATTGTTTCGATGGTTGTTGCTGGGGCATTTTCTAACGCAAGAACCGCATTTCTAACATATCGAGAAGCATCTTCACTTGGAGTGTTTGCACTAGAGCTGGTAGAAATGCTTTCCAATGCCAAAATTGCCCAGAGTAGAGCCAAAACATTACAATATTGGATATCTGGAGACACGCTGGGACGCTGTTGAAGGCGGTAGACCTGGCGAATTATGAGAATACGATCAAGCATAGGGAGCCACAGATGGAAAATTTGAAAATAGTTGTCAACCAACTTTCGGAGGTTAGACGGGAACCGGAAAATATCGAGTGGCACTTTTCTTTCGAGATTGGTATTGGCAGCCATAACGGACGAGGAGACGTTAAAAATTGATCCAACTCGGAACGGATTTCTCCGCTGAGTATGTGCATTGTACTTGGAGATTGTGGAGCTGGAAAACCCGGAAATTCTCTGCGGAAGGCCATGGTAATTGAGAACCACGAGTTTATCTCGAGAGTCAGAGGGATCTAGATCATCCGAGATGAATTGGAAAATATCGTCACGGAAAAATAATGACAGGTCTGTTAGATTGACTAATGCAAAGTCTGCAAGTGGAGACGGTGAGTATCGCTGATCCAATTGCATGGAGTCACCCATAAACGGGGTGGGGACAATTTCCTCATGCTTGACTGTAGTTTTTGCAAGCAGCAGTGTATCTCGTCCCGGATTTGACATGGTTTCTGTCGAGAAAGTCAGAGCTTGCGTGTTGGCAGTCCTATTGCTTGAAACCGATACACTTGGGGTCATGTCAGTCGCAGCACGGGCATTTTCAAGAGAGAGGTTAGCCGAGGTTTTGCGCTGGCGAATTTCTGCGTCATTCTCTAGGATAAACCGGGTCATGGCTCCGTTAATTGCTGAAGCTTCCCAATTCTGTTGGATTTGGTCCATTTGGTTGAGCAAATTGCCAGAATTCGGCAGCTCAAGAATCTCCAACACATTGTTTTCGACACTGTTTCCGTCAAAATATTGTTTCTTTGCTATTAGCGAAAATAGAGCCTGAAGCATCACCACTTTCTTTTCAAGATCGTGAATGTATCCCGTTGGAAGGCCTCTCTTCCTGGCCGCTTGAGTATAGGTACATTTGGCATTGTTGGAGACACAGTAGGTACAGCTTGGCGACAAGCCGTCACATTTGGCTCGTTTGAGCCGACAAAGATCGCAAGCCCTAGTGACTCTTCGTTTCTTTGAGTCATTGGGCATAATGAATGGAGAAGATACCAGAACACAGAAGTAAAATTGGCGAGATCACCGAATCTAGTGGCTACTAAGCATAGATTGTGCCAAGATCAGACACCAAGAACGGCAGATTGCACTCTAGTTAAGTTGCGGACAAGATATCGAGGCAAACGCTAAGTAGGTAATAGTTTAGAAGCGCGGAAAAACCCTTTTCCGCACTTTTGTGGGGGAATCCAGTCCAAAGTCAGCAATGGCATGGAAACGAAGAATATTCGGATTAAGGGGATTTCAGTTTGAAAGAACTCAAAATATTTGGTTAATCGGAAATTGGTGTTGTTGGTGAGTTTTATGAGCACTTCATGTAAAAAAGCACACTGGAATTAGTTCCGGTAAATGTATGATAATCATTCTTAGTTAAAATGGATACTTGCTACGATTTGGGTACTTCAATGATTCATGATCATTCAAGCAATTACATGTAATTAATACGTAATCAATTCCACGTTTACTGGATCAAATCTTAATTTGGTAATCGTGTATCTCTTTTTCAACATTTTTCTACTACTCTCCTAGAATAACTAGTTTTATTATCCATTAGATCTGGTACATTGTGATTCCATTATTTTTTTTATTCCATGGGTAATCCAATCATTTTTGTGCTAAATATCAATTGGCTTCAAGTTGTCGGAGATCGTAAAGGCAGCACCGGTCTTCTCTTTGATCTCTTCCACAGACGATGCTGGATCGTACTCAATAAGGACCAACTTCTCGTCAACAATATCGAACACAGCCAAATCCGTGATAATACGGCTGACACAACGCTTACCAGTAAGTGGGAAAACGCACTCCTCCAAAATCTTGGGCCTGCCCTTCTTGTCGACATGCTCCATCACAACAACCACTCTGGTTTCCTGAGGGTTGGACACCAAGTCCATAGCTCCACCCATACCCTTGACTCTACCTGGGAGACCCCAGTTGGCCAAGTCACCAGCAGCAGATACCTGTAAACCACCAAGAACGGCCAAGTTGATCTTTCCTCCACGAATCATAGCGAACGACTCTTCAGATCCAAAGAGGGAAGCTCCTGGGGCCAAAGTAACGGTTTCCTTTCCGGCATTAATGAGGTCAGCATCTTCCTCACCCTTCTTAGGGTATGGACCCAAGCCCAAAATTCCGTTCTCGGATTGCAACGTCACATTGATACCTTCAGGCAAGAAGTTGGGTGCAAGAGTAGGCATTCCAATACCAAGGTTGGCAAAGGAGCCATCCTCGAACTCCTGGGCTGCTCTCTTGACAATTTTCTGTCTCTTGACCTCGGCCTCATTAGTTGGCTCTTTCTCCAAGTTCTCCACAGCTGCCTCGTTGTCCTCGGAGAATTTGAAGATTTCGATCTCCTTAGGAGTAGCAGACTGAATGACACGGTGAACGTAGATAGCTGGCAAGTGAACGTCTTCTGGGGCAATCTCTCCTGGCTCCACAATATGTTCAGCCTCCACAATAGTCAACTTAGCGTTTCTTCCAAATGCACTGTTAAAGTTACGTGCTGCACCTCTGAACCAACAGTTACCCAATGTATCAGCCTTGTATGCTTTCACCAAGGCCACATCTCCGAAAATGGCGTTCTCAAGCAAGTACTTTCTTCCGTTGAACTCACGCACTTCCCTAGGCTCGGATGCTTTCAAAACCTTAGTTCCGGTTTCGTCGTATCTGACAGGAAGCTTACCTTCTTCCAACCAGGTACCCACACCAGCAGGAGAGTAGAATGCTGGAATTCCAGCAGCTCCAGCACGAACACGTTCAGCCAAGTTACCCTGAGGCGTAAGTTCCAAGTCGATTTGACCAGTCAAGTACAACTTCTCAAAGGTCCTGTTACCTCCAATGTATGACGATATCATCTTAGTGATCTGACCAGTGACAAGAAGCTGTGAAAGACCACGGCCATCAAGTCCGGCATTGTTAGACACGGCAGTGACGTTTTGAACGGATGGCATATCTTTCAAGGCATTGATCAAGGTGTCAGGAACACCACTCAAGCCAAAACCACCAGATAACAAGGTAATGTCGGAAGAAACTCCAGCAAGTGCTTCATCGGTGGTTTTCACCACTTTAGACTGATGAGTCGAGCTCCAACGGATGCAAATGCGAGTCAGCGACCTGAGTGAGAATCTTAGCATTTTGATAATGGTATGCTAAGGTCAATTGATGCACAATTGGTGAATAAATTGGATGGTGATGGTGACCATTAATATCATAGACACGGAAAAGCGCATTTCCGTGGGGTTGATGCATTTCCGCAGGTTTGCGAATAAGTACAATTCCCAGGATTTTGGGTGTCTGCCAAGGTGACACGGTAACGTTTGGCACCTTCCCCATATGGACAAGGCTTCCGTTATGTCTAGACGTGGTTGATCCGATCGCTTCGGCCCCACATTTTCCGAACCGATCACACAGGACTCGGATACCTGAAGTTGGTGATGGTAAGCGCGTTTAGTATGTAGTTATGTAATGATTTAGTTATGTAAGTTAATTGCTTCAAAGACTGTTCTGGCTTATTTATTTCTATTACTTGCTTATTCTCTGTTTCTTCTTCAAAATTGGTAGCTTTTTCATTACTTATCTTCATTACTTAATCGCATCTTTCGCAGCCAGACTAATCCAAAGCAGCAATAGGCAATCCATCGTCGTTAATCACATATTCTCCTTTTCCATACTTCTTCAAGTCTGCCTTCAGCTTCTGCACCAAAAGATCCTTGGCTTGCTTGTCGGTGACGATCTTAAAGTCCCAATTCAAGTACCAGTCGTCAGGATTCATGTTGTGCTTCTTGGCCTTCTCTTCACCCAACTTATCCAAGCTGAACAAGAGTGGAGTCTTGACTCCGAAAACAGCATCCGAGTACTCGTAAGGGTCTCCCTTGTGGTACAAGGCTGTGGTCAACTTATCGTAACCAGGCTTCTCAATGATGAAGTGAATATGTGCGGGACGGTATGGATGTCTGTTGATCACCTTCAAAAACTTACCAACAGGTCCGTCGTGTGGAATTGGGTAAGGAACTGGACGGGTAGCCTTGATGACAAAAGAACCGTCGGCCCTGGTTGTATAGATTCCTCTCATGTCTGCACCTTCTCTGTCAGCGTACTGAGTATCGTAGAATCCGTTTTCATCACATTCCCACAAGTCGATCTTGGCTCCCTCAATTGGGTTTCCATCTGGGTCGGTCAATTTTCCCTCGATCAACAAGGGTTCACCTTTACCTTCCGAGCAAATGGACGTGTCATGCTCGTGCTCCACTGCATCGTGAGTGTGGAAGGGTCCCAACAAAGTACCCACGGTGGCATTTTCTGGCTTTGGGTGCGAAAGTCCATCAACCAACACCGACAAGCCAAGCACATCAGACAACAAGACAAACTCCTGTCTAATGTCTGAACACATCTTTCCGACCTGAGTCAAGAACTCAATTCCTGCTTCCCACTCATCTGTGGTCAATCTTGTCTCTCGGGCAAAATCATGGAGGTGCTGTACTAGTCTCTCCAACACGAACTTCAACCGGCGATTGTCGTGCTGGGAGTTGATGGCAACGGTGTTTTCAGTGATTGTTTCCGTGCTCATGTCGGAGAGCACCAACTTACCATCGACGAATTTGACAGGCATGATTGAATAGTAGTTTGATGGATTTTGATAGATTTAGCAATGTTTAATGAATATATACGTGCGGAGGGAAAACGATTATCCGAAGGCATCGGATTTGTGCACAGGTTCTGTGGGGTACTATGGTAGTGGGGCAGATATCGTAAGATGGTTATAGAGCATAGTCAAGATGGCCTGTTTGACGGAAATAAGCGGCAATGTGATTAGTGGCGATTACTACGAAATTAGTGATGCAAGATTGGTGAAAATTCGTGAGCATTTGACAAATTGGAGTATGGTTGAGAATTCTAAAAGAAATACAGTATGGGGGAACCGAGCAAGAGCAAAAAAAAAAAAAGAATGTTTAAGGAATGACCGGAATAATTGGTTCGTTTTATTGTCATTGAAATCAGAATGAGAATTATTGTTTGAAAGTTTGCGGTTGGAAGGTTGGAAATTTTATTAGTAGATTCGAGAACCCTCTCAGTTGGAGATTTTCAGGCGAGATTATAGTAGCAGATTCTCAGTTGCGCATTAATGAGTCATGCCAATAGATAACGTGAAAATTTCAACCATACGAAACTCATACATTTGGTAACAGTAAGATCTTATTTAAAAGCATATCACGGGTTTCCTGTCCCAATTTGATTTCATTTCTCACTTTCTCCCTCTTTCTACTGTTATTAATCTCGATGTATATATTCTACAACAGTCCTAGTAGTTCAAGGCATACTCAATGGCTGCAGTGTAGCCATAGACTCCCAAACCGGCAATCACAGCAATCGCCTTGTCCAGGAGGTACAGGTGGTGTCTAAATGGCTCTCTCTGGTGAACGTTGGTGATGTGCACTTCAATGAAAGGAATGCCCGTAGCCAATAAAGCATCACGGATTCCCACCGAGGTATGGGTGTAGGCACCAGCATTGATGATCACGAACCCGACACCTTGATGTTTTGCCTCATGGATACGATCAATGATGAAACCTTCCGTGTTGTTTTGGTAGGTGAACAACTCAGCTCCCTCATGCTTGGACACCTGGGCATGGGCTTCAGCCTCAAGATCTTTTAGGGTAGTCGTACCGTACTTCTCTGGCTCTCTAGTACCGAGCAAATTCAAGTTTGGACCGTTGATAAGTAACACTTTCTTAACCATTTTGCAAATATTCGACTTGGTAAATGCTTGTGTTCAAAGATTGTAGGTGAAGTTCTCTTGTAAAATGTGGAGAAATGAGCCAGCGTTTTCCTTTTTTCCCTCACGTGCTATGCAGATGCGGTATGAGGTCTTCTGATAGAATTGAACAGACAGAGATTGGATTACAATAATCGGAATTCTGAAACGAATAAAAAACTTGCCATTACTAAAAATCCGCTTAAATCGAACTATTTATGTTGTTCGGGTAATTTTATTTCCGGGGCCCCAAAGGTGGGGGGAGGCTGTATGCCAGGTTGACAGGCAGACAAACATGGAAAACGTCATTAGACTGTGGTTGGGTCCGGATAGCCATTCTCCTATGCTTGGATTTGAAATGTTGGCCGGGACTGGAAGGTTCGGTTGTTTTCTGGACTTCTATGATTATGCAACCAAATCAAGTATGTGCACAATGTTATGGAGAATTGAACCTACGGATAAATATTCTGATCACAACTCTTTTTTTATTTTAAATTTTTTTCTAATTCTTTTGTTTTAATTTGCCGAATATCGACAATTCTACAATGCGCTTCGATGAAATGGTCAATTAGTGATGATATCATGCTAGAATCTAGTGGTTCGTCTCCACAATTCATTATCGGTTCTGCAGGTAATCTCGGAAAAACAATCTAGCGGAGCATTTCCGACTCCATTTATAAGCACCCTGGCCTTCCATTATCAAGTAGCCAACAATATTGAACTCCCCAAATATGTCAGAACAACCTGCTAGATTCGGCCTTGAGAACCAGGTCAAAAGAAACCCTCATGGTGACTTCAATAAGGTCGAGCTGGAGAGACCTTCCTTTGAGCACGACAAAGTGTGGAAATACACCCAGATTCCTGATGTCAAGTGGAAAGTCGGGTCTGGTGCCAACTCGGATGAGTGGAAGAATCATAAGAAGATCACAATTGACCCATATGGAGAAGGAAGATCCCCTGTTGACAACTACAAGACATTGATCTCGGCCATTGTACCTAGACCAATTGGATTTGTTTCGAGTATTAGCAAGGACGGCAAGCGTAACTTGGCGCCATTTTCTTACTTTACTATGGTCAACCATGACCCTCCAATTTTCACATTAGGATTTTCTGGAGGAAAGGGCCAGCCAAAGGATACTTGCAGAAATATCTTGGAAACTGAGGAATTGACCATCAATATCATTAGCGAGTGGTTTGTAGAGGCTGCCAATTTCTGCTCTACCAACGCACCTCACGGAGTTGACGAGTGGAAGTTGAGTGGATTGACGCCGTTGGAGTCTGAGAAGGTCAAACCTCAGCATGTTGCCGAGAGTGCTTTCAGTGTGGAAGCCAAGTTGGTGCACTCGCACGAATGGAAGTCCAAGAGCGATCCATCGAGGGCAACAGGAGTGTTGTGCATTGTTGAGGGTGTCAATTTCCATGTCAGAGAGGACGTGATCAACGAAGCCCACAACAACTTGGATATCAGTAAGTTAAAGCCGGTTTCGCGGTTGGGTGGTATTACCTACGCACGTACGGTTGATGGCTACGAGAAGTTGCGTCCTGATTTCGATAAGGAAGTGGTCGCTAAGGAGGAGGTGAGTGCGTTGTTGGAATAGAATATGTATGAATGAGAGAACGAGAAGATTATGGTAGATCGTTAACGAAGTATGAGTTGATGAATTGAGTGCTAGACTCTCGCGAGGGACATTCCATGAGTGTAACTTGCGTTCAATGACACTCCTCCATTCGGTTGCATACTAGGACTTAGGTTTGTAATATCTAAGCTTGGATCTGATTATATGACCATTTTGGTTAGGTGACGTCAAATACCACCTCAATTTGAATCTAATAATTCTTACTCTTTAGTTTTTCCGAATATGGAAAAATCCGACAATTTATACTTTCACAAAAAGATAAAGTAGGGGATTTTTAGCTTTTTATCATGTTCTTGCGTCGATCTCTATTGTATGGTGTGCATTGTTGATGTAGTAATATATAGTACTAACCTGCACAACACAGCTTTAACCTGAAAGGGACAGAAACTTTTCAAAATCTTTCAGATAGAAGACTTAGTAATAAACACGACGGATTAACTAGAAAATCAGTAAGACATGGTAGTATTCAGTGCTTAACACCAATAACCAAAGCTTTTCACCTATCCACCATTTACCAATACTCCAGGATTTTCAATTTTCGGTACTCGGTATATGTACCCCAGAAAATGCAACCCCACCAACGCGCAATGTTACTACTAAGAGGAATTCTCCAATTCCACTTTAAAATCCTATTCAACAATAATTTGAAAATCTCAGTAATCGAAATTTGAAAGAAACTACATTTCCTCTCCTTATTTTCATTTCCTTTTTATTGTTTAGTGTCATTCATTCCAGTTGCCCATCCTTTCCCGATTTTCCTCCCCATATCCCCCATTGTCACTTCTCAATCTTTTCCTTCCTCAAACCTACCACCTTTCGACTCTTAAATATTTTCTTTTCAAGTTTATCCTGCCTTTTCTCCATTTTCTTCCCCAGTTCCAAAACAAACCGCGGGATCGCTCACCTTTCTACCTCTTACCTAGAATGTGTCCCAAAGTAGTAATGATCTCGAATTTTCTTCTTTGACACTTTAGTTGAGTCCATCCACCTTCACCACAACCCATTCTCCTAAAACAACTAACTCCTGACCAAAACGTCCCTACGACAACTCTCTCCCACTCCATCCATACTCTCCGAACTGATTTTCCCGGTTCCTAGGCTTCACAAGCCCGAAACCCCGTGCAGGCGCTCCCCTCTTGTTGACTTGTTGGACCGAGGTACGCTGGGAGTATTTATCTACACTATTCGCAGTAGGCCATCCCCACTAACGAAATTCACTTTAAAGCTAACGGTTTTATTCCATAAATTCCCGCAAGTTTTGGTCTTTGATTCGCCTGTTTCTTTGAACCACATCTCAATTGCCTCCACCAATTTGCTCAAAACTCTATCTGGCATTCGATATCTTGTGGATTATATTCGTTTTCCTACACTCGTCATCAAATTTCAACCTCTGATCCTCCATGCCTCAAGCTCTCTTCAACGAGCCCTCTAAGTCCGTGGTGGACTTCATCAACTCGCACTTACCTGTGGCCAATCAAACATGTGACACTGCTGAGGCGGTGCCTGGCACCAAAGAGCCTGGATACTCGGCAATCTACCGTAACTCCTACTCTCCAGATAAGTTGATTCACACATTCCACCCGGCAGTCGCCACCTACAAGGACGTGATCAACATTGCTTGCGACGCATACAAGGACAAGAACTTTATCGGAGTGCGCTCCAAAAACTCTGACGGCACCTTTGGTCCTTACGAGTTCGGTACCTTTGGACAGGCCAGATCCGATGCTGATAACTTGGGACTGGGACTTTTCTTCATCTTGAGGAACAATCCATTTAAGACAGATCTGCCAGCGCATCGCAAGATCGACACTCATCACGACTTTATCGACGACATGTCGTTCATTGTCACATTGTTCTCGTTCAACACCGCTCAATGGATCATCTCCGACTTGGCTTGTCTGTTGTACAACATCACCAACACGTCCTTGTACGATACTTTGGGCTCTGACACCTCCGAGTACATCTTGGCCTTGACCGAGTCACCAGTGGTGATCTGTACCAAAGACAAGCTTCAACGTTTGATCGACCTCAAGAAGGCTCATCCAGAACTGTTGTCTAACTTGATCTCATTGGTGCTGATGGATCCATTGGGACCCGAGGACGTTGCAACCGTCGACGCTGCCAGAGCTGTCAAAATGACCCTCTACGACTTTGACCAGGTGATCAAGTTGGGTTCATTGACCAAGACTCCTCAGGTGGACCCTAACCCAGATTCTGTTTACACCATTTCATTCACGTCGGGAACCACTGCTAACCCCAAAGGTGTGGTGTTGACCCATAGAAATATCGTGGCATCCGTGACATTCTGCTTGTCTACCATGCTGGCTGTGGTTCCTGATGGAATTACCTACTGCTTCTTGCCTTTGGCTCACATTTTCCAGCGTATGGCTGTTGCTCTCGGCTTAATGTCTGGATCTGCCATGGGAATGCCTCAGTCTCCGTCCCCATTGACTCTTCTTGACGACGTGCAACAATTGAAGCCCCATGTCATTGCGTTAGTTCCTCGTGTTCTTAATAAGTTTGAGGCTGCCATAAAAGCACAGACAATTAACAACGACGAGAAGCCTCTTTTGAAGAAACTTTTCACCAATGCCTTTAATAAGAAGATGGAACTTCAGTCTGTCGCGGACGGTGCTGAGGGACGTCACATCTTCCACGACCGTTTGATTGCACTTCTCCGTAAGAAGTTGGGCTTTTCGAACTTGCGAAGCTTCGGAACAGGTTCTGCTCCTGTTTCTCCTGATACTGTCAAGTTTTTAAAGGCTGCTTTGAACATCGGTCTCAACCAGGGTTATGGATCCACAGAGTCTTTCGCAGGTATCTGTACAACTCTTATTTACGAGGCGGAGCCTGGCTCGTGTGGTCCAATTTGTGTCACCACTGAAATGAGATTGAAGGACTTGCCTGAAATGAACTACACTTGTAATGATGACGTGGGACCTCGTGGTGAGTTGCTTTTGCGTGGACCCCAGATGTTCAGAGAGTACTACCAGAACGAGGAGGAGACTTCTAAGGCCGTGGATGCTGACGGATGGTTTCATACTGGAGATGTTGCCCGTATCGATCCTAAGAATGGCCGTATTTACATCATCGACCGTGTAAAGAACTTCTTCAAGTTGGCTCAAGGTGAATACATTACCCCAGAGAAGGTCGAGAATGCATATCTCTCCGCCTTCCCACTCTTGGCCCAAATTTATGTACACGGCAACTCTCTCAAGACTCACTTGGTTGGTATTGTGGGTGTAGAGCCTGAGGCTATCAAGCCATGGTTGCTGAGCAACACACTGGCTACTCAGGCTCAATTGGCTAGTCCTGAGGCTATTGTTGAATTGATCAATAAGCCGGATGTTAAGGTAAAGTTTTTGAAGCAAATGAACGCCACTGTGGGCTCCACTTTGCACGGACTCGAACGTTTGCACAACATTGAGCTTGGTATTGAGCCTTTGAAGGTCGATGATGGTGTCCTTACACCCACCATGAAGATCAAACGTCCAAATGCTGCTAAGTTTTTCTCTGAGACTTTTGATAAGTTGTACGATGAAGGCTCGTTGATCAAGGTCATCGATGACTCCAAGTTGTAAATTGCTCAATTTTGAGTTGTAAGTTGTCTTCTATAGAGAAAACTTCTATTTATTACTATTAGATGATAATGTTTGTATTAAATGAATGTTCTTTGGAGCTTGCGCACTTAAATATATTTGTATGGGTTCATGATGCCGTTGGGGTCGTAGTGGTTCTTGAGATCCTTGATCATGGCGATCTCAACATCACTCTTAGAATAGCTGATGTAATTTCTCTTTTGGAAACCCAAGCCGTGCTCGGCGGAAATGGATCCCTTCTTCTCCTGGATCCATTCGTAGACAAATGGTTCCAAAATGCTTTCGATGTCCTTGTTGTACTCACGCACACAGACATTCAAGTGCAAGTTTCCGTCTCCAATGTGACCATAGCCAATTGCCTCAACCACTGGCTTGGAATCGGAATCGAAGTCCACCACACCTGCGGCATTCAATCTTTCACTTGCATCCTCAACCAACTTGTACAAGTCATCTAATGGAATGGACACATCGTACTTATAGACACCACCTGCAGCAGTGGAAGCCTCTGGAATGCCCTCTCTCCAAGTCCACAAATTACGCAATTGGGTCTCGTCCTGAGCGATGATACCGTCATCCACCAAGCCTTCTTCCATTGCATTACCCAAAAACGTTTCGATCTTTTCCATGTCATGATCTCTGTTAGAACCACTGGTCTCAATCAACACATAGAAGGGGTATTGGCCACTCTCGATTGGGTGGTCGGTCTTCAAATGACGAGCCGTCAAAATCTGGGACTTTCCATCCATGAACTCAAAAGCAGAAAGAATTTCAGACAACTCCTTGCGAGCACCGACGAAAACCTTCTGCACAGCCTCGTAAGAAGAAACGGCCAAGAAGGCAACGTTGGTAGCAGTAGGTCTAGAAGGACACAAGATAGAAACTCCAGTGATGATACCCAAAGTACCCTCAGAGCCAATAAACAACTGCTTCAAATCAAAACCAGTGTTGTCCTTTCTCAATGCGTTCATGGAATTGTAAATTGTTCCATCTGGAAGCACGACCTCCAAGCCCAAGACAGATCCGTGCAATGAACCGTATCTCAACAATCTCAAGCCTCCAGCATTAGTAGCACAAACACCACCAACATGACACGAACCCTTGGCACCCAAATCAAGTGGGAAAATGTAGCCATTTTCAGCCAAGTAGTTGTCGGCGTTCTCCAAAATAACACCGGCATCACACTTGAAAATACCACTGGTGGTATCCAAGGATCTGATGTTGTTCAAGTTGGCCACGGAGATGATGATCTCGTCGAAGACGGGGTTCGAACCACCAACCAAACCGGTGTTACCACCCTGTGGAACCACGGCAAGCAAGTTATCGTTACAGTACTTCAAGATTTGAGAGACCTGCTCAGTAGTTTTGGGCTTCAAAACGAGCTGGGATTGGCCCTTGTACTTGCGCATCCAGTCCTCATTGTAGAAGTCGAGGTCCAGCTTATCGGTGATGAGGTAGTTGTCATCCTTCAAGACGGAACGGAAGTATTCGATATCGCTTTCCTCCAATTTCTTGTACTTGGAGTCTCTCTGGACCTTCAGACTGTAGGTATCAGCAGTGAAAGGCACGGTGTGGGCAGCTGAATAGAAGCGAGCAAAAGAATAGGAATTTTGTCTCGAAACAGGGCGGAGTGCCGCTCTGGAAGCCAAAACAACTCCTCTCAACATGATATGAAGAAAGTATGGGGAACTTTTTTTTTTTCGCTAATTAGGAATAATCGCATATATTGCCCAAATCTCACGTGACCCAATCAGAGTCATCTAGTTTGATCTGTTGGTATTTGCTTTCCTAAGGCTATCAAAGGCAGCGTTGGAGATATGCCTGAATCTCGAGGAACCAATGGGAGATCCTCCATACCATCTTGTCACGATAACTAGTTTGTTAATGACGTTTTGCTGCACCATATGTTCGAGGAGTTTGGCACCTGCACCTTTCTCACCATTATCTTTGAATCCTTGGACGATATTAGTGTATTGTAGGGTTATTGGTGCTGTAGACTGACTTTGCGTACTAGATGAATGTTTGTTTTCGGTTTTTGTTTGGTTCTTGTTGTCGTTTCTAACATTTTTTTCTTGTTCTCTGGCGCTTTTGGTGTACCTGACATGTTTTCGATCTCTGCTCACTCTACCATCATTCTCTGAGAAATCTTGGCTAGGATTTCCAATTCTCCATGCTAAAATGTGAGGATGACTGGCGTTTTTGGCTATGTTTTTGTGTTGTGCAAGAAATTGGCTTATAATGTCTGGAATATCGTTGACGTCTAAAAGATCCGTGTGGCGGGCCTGGAAGCGAGACTTGCGGTCGGTGATGATTTCCGATTCGTTCCAAGTGGTGATTCGGATTGATCTAATGAAGGTACGTACGTGGTGAGAGAGACGTAGTAGGGACATAGTTGAAAGAATGGAAAGAAAGTGGTTGCAAAATGAGAAGAGTGTATGAAGGAGAAACTGTGAAGAGCATTGAGACAGAGAATAAGTTTGGGATATCGAGAATAAAATTATTAAAAAAAAAAGGAGAAAAAGGAGTTCCAGTATTGGATTTGCTACGTAAACATCATATTCATTGTATCCACCAAACTTATTGCAACCTTCATACTCATCAGATTAATCATAATTATAGTAATCAATATATTCACTACATTGTCTACACTGGCGCTCACTCCACACACGAAACCTCCAAAATTCACGGATAAACAAGCTTCGCGACCTAACATTTAAAATTCTCAGTTGAATTTTGCTTACTTTCCAACTACTTTACTCAATTTCTCTCTCTTATCTTTTCCCATTTTTACTTCCCAAACCTCCCCATCCACCCAATTTCTTGTGCTGTACACGACCACCTCACTCAAGTAAGAAAAAAAAACTACTCTCCAACCCAACCATGATCTACTTGAAGTCCCTCCTTAACGTGATTGATAACTCGGGCGCCCAGGTGGCCGAGTGCATCAAGGTTCTTCGCCATGGTCCGCGCAACTTCGCTAGAGTCGGCGACGAAATCACCGTCGTCATCAAGCAGGCCAGACCGTTGAACTCCGAAATCACAGGCCAGAGTGCCAACAACAGAGTCAAGAGAAGAGATATTTGCCGTGCCATTGTGGTGAGAACGAAAGCTCCTTTCAGACGGCCTGACGGCTCTACCATCCGTTTCGACGATAATGCATGTGTGTTGATCAACAAGAACGGTGATCCATTGGGCACCAGAGTGTCATCAGTGGTGGCCAAGGAGTTGAAGGACTTGCAGTATAACAAGATTGTGTCGTTGGCACCCAAGGTATTTTAGGTATATAGGTCATCTTTCATGTACATATTGAGGAAGCAGTGTAGAATGGGCTTGGAGTCTAGAGAGTAGGTTAGTGGTCTCATGTATGGCGTTTTCGATAGCTTCAAGGTTGACTATGATTAAGTCACGAGACGGGGGAGGCGTCAAATAATGACGTGGTTGGAGATGAAAAGGTTGAAGTCGAATTGGCTGATAAATTTCAGAAATTTCAGGCTCAACTTGAGTACACTCAGGTTGAAATTCGTACTCATTATGAGATGACTCAAGAGACATTGAATAAATGAGAGTCCAGAAAGTAATGCAAATTGAAAACTAAATAATTATACTAGTAAAACCTCCAAAAATGTCACTATCTTGAATTTTCTAAAGAAAAACAATTAGATTGTTATTCACTTCATCTCTCAGTTTCACGTCCACAGAATGACTCAAACCCTACTGGACTACATATAACGACCACGTAACTCATAGTCAAATTTTTTTTCGTCTACAAAACAACACCAACAATGGCTGAAGTCGAAAAAGCTGTGGAGAAACTCTCCGTTGCAGACAATGCTAAGGCAGCTGCTCCTAAGAAGGAAAAGAAAAAGCCCCAGAACAACTTGCTTTTGGACCCTCAACCTGAGTTCATCGACTACAGAATCAAGATGTTTGATGAATTGAAGGCCAAGTACGACGCAGAGATCGCCGCCAAGGAGAGAGCCTCTATCAAAATCACCTTGAAGGATGGCACCGTCAAGGAGGGTGTGGCCTACGAAACCAGTCCTCAGGTCATCGCTACCGGTATTGGTAAGTCTTTCGCTGAAAGACAGGTGATTGCCAAGGTCGACGGCGCCTTGTGGGATTTGGAGAGACCATTGGAGGGTGATGTGACTTTGGAATTCTTGGATTTCGAACACCCAGAAGGTAAAGCTGTGTTTTGGCACTCGTCTGCCCATGTTTTGGGTGAAGCCTGTGAATGTCACTATGGATGTCACTTGTCTTACGGTCCACCTACTGAGGATGGTTTCTTCTACGATATGTCCATCAAGAACGGTGAGGGTGTCGTTTCCCAGGATGATTTTGGCAACTTGGAGAAGGTCTCTACCAAGGTGATCAAGGAAAAGCAAAAGTTCGTCAGATTGGAAATGACCAAGGAAGAGTTGTTGAAGATGTTCGAGTACAACAAGTACAAGGTCCAGTTCATTAGCGACAAAGTTCCTGATGGAACCTCCACCACCGTGTACAGATGTGGCCCATTGATCGACTTGTGCTTGGGTCCTCACATCTTGCACACTGGTAAGATTAAGGCTTTCAAGGTGTTGAAGAACTCTTCTTCTTACTTCTTGGGTGATGCTGCCAACGATTCTTTGCAGAGAGTATATGGTATCTCTTTCCCAGACAAGAAGTTGATGGATGAGCATTTGAAATTCTTGAAGGAAGCCAGCGAGAGAGACCATAGAAAGATTGGTAAAGAGCAGGAATTGTTTTACTTCAACGAGATGTCACCTGGTTCCGCATTCTGGTTGCCTCACGGTACCAGAATCTACAACACCTTGGTGGACATGTTGAGAAGTGAATACAGACAGAGAGGTTACGAGGAGGTTATCACCCCTAACATGTACAACACCAAGTTGTGGGAGCAATCTGGTCACTGGGGTAACTACAAGGAGAACATGTTTGCATTTGAGGTCGAGAAGGAAACTTTCGGCTTGAAGCCAATGAACTGTCCTGGTCACTGTATTCTCTTCAAGAGCCGTGAGAGATCCTACAGAGAGTTGCCATGGCGTGTTGCCGACTTTGGTGTTGTTCACAGAAATGAGTTTTCCGGTGCTTTGTCTGGTTTGACCAGAGTCCGTCGTTTCCAGCAAGACGATGCCCACATCTTCTGTCAGCAGGACCAGATCGAGCAGGAGATTGCTGGTGTGTTTGATTTCTTGCAGAAGATCTACGGTATCTTCGGTTTCGAGTTTAAGATGGAGTTGTCCACCAGACCAGACAAGTACGTCGGAGAGATTGAGACTTGGAACAACGCCGAGAAGAACTTGGAGAACGCTTTGAACAAGTTCATGGGTGAGGGTAAGTGGGAGTTGAACCCAGGAGATGGTGCTTTCTACGGACCAAAGATCGATATCAAGATCAGCGATGCCTTGAGAAGATGGTTCCAGTGTGCCACAATCCAGTTGGATTTCCAGATGCCTTCCCGTTTCGAGTTGGAGTACAAGGCTGACACCAATGAGAAGGAGAACACTATGGCCAGACCAGTGATGATCCACAGAGCCATCTTGGGTTCCGTGGAGAGAATGACTGCCATTTTGACCGAGCACTACAAGGGTAGATGGCCATTCTGGTTGTCTCCAAGACAGATTTTGGTTGTCCCAGTCGGTGTTAAGTACTTCGAGTACGCCGAGCAATTGAAGGAACAGTTGGTTAAGAAGCACCATTTCTACGCCGATGTGGACCTTTCTGGTAACACTTTGCAGAAGAAGGTGAGAACCGGACAATTGTTGAAGTACAACTTCATTTTCATTGTGGGAGAACAGGAACAGGCTGAGAACAGTGTGAATGTGAGAAATAGAGACATTCAGGAGGAGCAAGGTAAGAACGCCACTGTTAACTTCGACTTGGTTGTTGACCAGTTGCACAAGTTGGCTGAGGAGAAGAGACAAGACAACAAGTTGATTTAGTGGATATTGTAATAAACAGATAAGAGAGGATATTAATGCGATGGAGTCTTTGGACCCAAGTTTAAACCTGGAATTTACCTTAAAAGGATCGAATGCTTGAAGTAGCTAGAGCTAATTAGCAATTGTGAATCTCCCAAAAAAAAAATTGTTCAGTAAAAAGAAACTTGTAATTTCCCTTCCCTTCATCCTTCCCTTAGTCTAGAATTTTGGAATCCAGCAACCGCACTGTATGGAGTCACTCCACATTTCACCTATACTACTCTTCCTTATTATAACCATGTCTGAGGAAAACCAAGATAATTCCAATTCGAATGAAAAAGTGAATTTCTTCGGCAAACAAGTCACACGTGCCCAACTCCAGCCGTTCGTCAAGTTCTATGAAGCCGACCACAACTTGACTACTGAGGACCGGAAAGTCATGGCTACCGAACTCAATTGGATCTCCAATTCATCGCAGATATGGGGAATGTTGGATGCATCATTGGCATTTTTTGCACCTACGTTTTACCGCCGCTTCATGAATTCGAAAACGTCGAAAGTGGCGGAGAATGTTAGAAACATGCCAGTCCGCAGATTCATCCATCGGCCATTTCTCTCCACCATGATCGGAACGGCCACATTCTTCGTTTCGGTGATCTACCACAATAAAAATCTGCTTGATTATACAGTGTCGTTGCTTGATAAGGAGATTGCTAGTAATGAGTTCAACCAGGACCAGAGAGAAGCTAAGAAGAGACAACTTGGAGTGTGGAAGACAATGGTGCCCACGCAAATGACATTTTACTATCTATACTACTGGAAAACGAGTAATGATCCGTCGCTGGTGTTGAAGGATCCACGTACCATGACGAAAAATCCACATGAGGTTCATTACATTCCTCCACCTCAGCAGAATCACGGACAACACCACGAGAATGAGGCTCCGCAATGGGCCAAGATTCGGGCTGCCAATGGGTTTCTGAGTGGTAAAGATGAAAAGAAAGATGAGTCGGAAGATGAAGGGCTCTTGGATGGAATGTTGGAAGACCCCAAAGAAGAGGTGGATTCTGAGCCTAAAAGAAGCGCATGGGATCGGGTGAGACGGGGAAATGGAACGTAAAGCAATTGGGTGGTGTTTGGACCAGATCTTCTAATGTAAGGTCCTTTACAAGCTCAATTAGGGAGATATTGAAAGATACGATGGTGATGGTCCTTCAGTATTTTGATTAAATAGTTTATTGGAGAATGGTAGCAGAGTGTAGTGAATGCTATGGTAAGAAATGCCCAGACTAAAAAGCCATTGTGTTAGAGATCCAGTCTGTATCATTCAGTAGTCCACACGATTACATCAGCAATTACCGCCATAATCTTTCCTGCTTCAAATTCTTCAAATACACTCATTGATATCCACTTGAACAGGTTAATCTCAAGAATAGGTCTTTTTCTTTTCCAATTTTGTATTATTTTCAAAAACATTGGATTTCCTGTCGACAATCACTTCTTGTAAGCCTGTCCTTTCAACACCACCTTTGTCTCTCAATACTTTACCTTCTTCATCCTGTTCCAACCTAGTTAGTGTTTATTGTCTTCGCCATTTCCTATCGTTTACATATTTAATGAGATCAAAGGGAATTTCAACGAAGTATCCAATTTAATTCACCTTTAATTTCTAATTTCCTTTTCCTATATTAATATGCCCTCTACTTCACTTTTTATGTGAATTTTTCCCTTCCAGATATGAGAGGTAGAGATCATTGAAGAAACATGAAGTACAAAAAATTCTCAGTAATCAAAAGGAGTCAAATCAACTTAGAGAAATCGAAATCGGGATTTCGATCTATCACCTTTATCTCCCCTGATGCAACAATTCCCTTACCCCAGATCAGACAATTTCGGTCATTTATATGTAGTCCTATGCATCACTCCCATTGTAATTCATTATTCTCCCTTCAGTGAATATAAGTTCACGAAAATAAGAAGAATGCTTCAGTATCAGATCTAGATGTCTATGGAAATATCAAAATTATAATCATCTAAAACTAATAGTAGCATCACAATCACCAAAAGCCCATGTGAAATTCGGACACGTGACCACATTGGTATCTTCTCTTAATCTCCACATCTCCATCTTTCACCATTAATGTCTCCAATTCTTAGGAAATTCTCTTCACTATCGTGTCAAATCTTATTTATTCGACAAGCGTCGCTGCGCTCCATCAAACCCAAGTGGTTTCACAGCACTGATGTACCCATTTCCAAGCCAGAGTGGTTCGATTATGCTCCGGACAAAGAACCAGAGAAGTTTGTGCCGTTTTCTGACTACGACGGCGCCAGGTTGGAGGATGCGTTTAAACGCAACAAGGGAAAGGTAGACGTTAAAGAAGATCGCTTATTTCTGGTTGACTTGGATTCAATGCAATTGGCTCCAGTGTACTGGAAAGGTCCTATCTATGAAGTGAGAAGAGGCACTTGGTTCACATCGGATGGGATGCCTTTGTCTGAAGAAATTACTCAGAAGGTGGAAGCAGGCTACCAGAAAGTCAATCCTGGTGCATTGGAACCTCAGGAGCTGAATTTTGCTGCCGAATTTGCAAAGTCTCCAAAGGATACCGTGAGGAGGTTTGAGAAGCAAGTCAAGGAAAAGACTCGGAATGATGCAATTGATATCGACCTGGAATTGGATGTGATTGATCTTGGAAATGGCAATGCCGTGGTATATTTTGACGATAGCCATGGAGCAATGTTTCCCAGTGACTTTGGAATGTTCCAGTTGAACGTCATCCGGTCTCTTCAGCCTCAACTGGGCTCTCTTTTGTCTGTGGTGCCTATTCAACGTGGTTATACCAAAGGAATGGACTCTTCCATTATCGATGACGTCAAATCCGTCCAGGTTCCTTCATTATCGGAGATTTTCCTGAATGAGGTTCTCCGAGTTTTTGCCAAGGATAATTCGAAGTCCAGCCCTGAGCTCGATAATGATTCCCCGGAGGAATTACTCCAGAATGTGTTGGAGGCTGATTATGAGCAAGGTGTAGAAGCAAGAACTTCGAAAAGAGAAGTCGACCACTTGGTGCTTTGTATCCATGGCATTGGTCAGATCTTGGGCTACAAGTACGAGTCAGTGAACTTCACCCACAGCGTCAATGTGTTGCGTAACACCATGCGAGAGGTGTATAAGAATGAGAAAAAATACCACAAGTTGGCATATGGTGAAAATGCTGACGAGAAGGATGAAGATTACATGAACAATAACCGGATCCAAGTTTTGCCAATTTCCTGGAGACAGGAGGTTTCATTCCATCCCAGAAAGCCATTCAGCGTGATGGACTCCGATGTGGAGCGTCGTCTTCCCAGTTTGAGCGAGATCAACGTTGATGGACTCACATCACTTCGAGAAGTGGTGGGTGATGTACTTTTGGATATTCTCCTCTACTACGAGCCCAGATACATGAAGCAGATTATGAAGGCTGTGGTCACTGAAATAAACAGTGTTTACAAGCTCTACATGGAGAAAAATCCCCAGTTTAACGGAAAGATCCATGTGTTGGGACATTCATTAGGATCTGCTATCGCTTTTGATTTGCTTGCTTATCAACAAGAGATCAAAGACGATTCAAACGAATACCAGCTAGCTTTTGATGTGGAGAATCTCTTCTGTGTGGGGTCTCCAGTTGGAGTGTTCAAGTTGCTTCAACAGAAAAACATTGCTTCCAGAGCAGATGTTGGAGTAGACTTTGACTCGACAGATTTAACTGCTCATGTCTCTTCACCAAAGTGCAAGAACTTGTATAATGTTTTCCATCCCTGTGATCCCGTTGGTTACAGAATGGAGCCATTAGTTAATCCCAAGTTTGCCAACTTTCGAGCAGAAGGTGTTCCATTTGCTATGGAGGGATTCAACACACAAGTGCAATCGCTCACTTCCATTGGTGACGAGTTGACTGACAGGATCTCCCAGGCATCCAGCTGGTTCAAGAGTGATGCAACTAAAGCAGTGAGTAAAGCTGCACCTGGCAAGGAAGATGCCTTACGAGACGTTATTTATTCGTTGACTAGTGCTAGAGGAAATAAAGGCTCAGGTGGCAAGTCCAAGTCGCAGAATTTCGGTAATGAGGACTTGAAGCAGCTTTACAATTTAAATAGCACGGGACGTATCGACTATAGTCTTCCAATGGGCGTGTTCAGCATAGCACTTGTGTCAGCCCTCAGTGCCCATGTTTCCTATTTTGAAGACGAGGAAACGGCAGGCTTTGTGATGAAGGAGATCCTCACAGGCTCACAGGAACCACCAATGGAGAAGAAGGTGCAACTATATAAATAATGGAATAATATATTAGTCGGAAACTATTGCGTAAGTGTTGAGCAACAGAGTCGTAAGCGTCGAGCAACAGTGTCTACTCCATCAATAAGTCATCTATGCTCTGCTCTGCATCGTGCTTGATCAACTCCAACATTCCCTCGGGCAAGATTGGAGTCCCCTCCTTGTCCAAAACGTATCTGAATGGCATCTCTGTGGACTCATACTTGGAGTATCTGATTTCTGGATAGTCAATGAACTTGATATCCTCAAACTTGGTTTGGTCCTTTACGATGATCTGGGTAGTTCTAATGGCTGTGTCGGTGGTCATCTGTAAAGCACCCAATCTTCTACCAGCAAAACCGTATTTCTCTCTCAAAATTCCGGTTCTGTCAACTCTAGGGTGAGAACCCAAGATTCCTCCGAAAATGAAGTAATCAAAGTTATCCAGATCGGCAGGTTCCAAGTCCTTATCAGCGCCAGGATCAAGCAAACACACTCTGTTGACGTCCAAACCCCCATCGAGGTTAATACACTCGTCAGTAGTCCACTGAAGCCCCAATTCCAAAAGTCTCTTTGGAATGTCTTTCTCGGTGGTGGTTTTGGGCAACGACGACAAGATCAAGTTTTCTTTACCAACATCACGGATGATCTGGGAATACTCCAAGATCACCCACTCTGAGAAGCCCTCCTCCATGTGCTCAATGACGTACTTCATATCTAAAGAGTAGAGTTGGAGATGAATTGGAGATGAGTTAGATGAGATGTATGTAGGACGGTCTGAAAACATCAAAGAGTCTTCAAAAGAAGACTAAAGATGGCTTGGTGAGCTGGATGTTAACCAATAGTGAATAGATTGGGTGATATTTGCTGGTTATAGGATTTCATTTTCCTGTCAAAAAGATTTTGGGTTGTTTGCGAAGTACATTGGATCATACTTTGGGACTGGTATGGTTGTATGAGAAAACGAAAACATCAGATACCCTTTACGTCCTGACATCCGAAATGAAAGTTGGAGTAATTTATACAACACCCGTGAATTTAGTTTTGAATGAGAAAATATAAAGCGATTCACTGGGGCCATTTTGTACATGTAAGTGTACTTTTGTTGCTTTTAGGTAGTTAAGTAGTGTCGGTCAGATTGACAATGATTAGTAGTGCTTGTGATATCAGTTGGGCATGAACTTTATTTCGTCTTCAACTAATGTATATTCATCAGGATCAAGAAGGAAATCTGGAATTAACATCTGATAGGAATAGCCACGTAGATGAGACACTTACAACCTACAGCCTCTTTACATCCACACTCAGCATGTAGTCTATGAGTGTACTTCCACATGAGCAAATACCTATAAATAATATACATCCACTTGACCAAACATAATATACTTAAGTTCTCCAACGCATTACTAATGGTCACAGACGCAGAGGTTCTCAAATAATCGACGGGTTCTCACAATTTCGCAGCCGTTCTCTTTGTCTAAGTACTCAGTAAATACATTTTTCTTTCAACAATTATATTAACTCTAAATAAATACACATTTACTTCTTGCAACAAGATCCAGCAACACCGGAAGTCTCGGAAAATGCTAATCTAGAAGTCTTATCCACAGTCAATGAACAGGTGTCAGTGCCCTTAGCACCAGCCTTCACCTCAGTGGTGGTTCTGGCGTAAGATGGCTTCACGTCAAGAACAGGACTCTCGGTGAAGAAATGTCTAGGACGCAACATAAGGTCGAAGATCTCAGTAGGCATCAATGGGAAGTCCTCTGGTGATGGGAAGTGGGTGATACCGAAGGTGTGGAACATGACGATGTCGGTGTTCTCGATGTTGTCAGAACCGTCTCCAATCCACTCTCTCATACCTCTTGCTCCATCTCCAGACCACTGAGCAACGTGGTCTCCAGATGGGTAAAGTCTACCGTAACCGAAGTTCTCATCCTTGTATGGAATGACCTCAGTGGTGTAAGCAGCCCATGGAGCTCTCTTTCTCACCAAAGAACCCTCCTTAGCCATAAGTGGAGGAGTGAAGGTAGAAACCAACTTGTAAGATGGTGGCTTACCAGAGTATGGGTTCTTCTTGGATGGGTTGAACATGTCCCACGATCTGGTAGTAGTGGCATGAGTCAACGAGTCACCCACAGTCTTGAAAGTGGTCTTTTTGGCCAAGAACGAGTTACCGTACATGTTCTGAGAAGAGCCAGTCTCACCAGGACCTGGCATTCCATCAGAGGTGGCAGCAGAGTTGTTGTCACCGTCGATTCTTGGATGCATTCTCAACGAGAACATGTGCTGGTGGTTGTGGGCATTCACCTGTGGGTAAACCTGGGTTCCCCATGGTCCAATATCCTCATCCTCAGCACAGATGTAGGTGTTCAAAATACCAGTCAATCTGACCTCCAACTTGATGGTACCATCTTGTCTGAAGGTCCAGTACAAGCAGTACTCGTAGTTGGCGGCCGTGAAGATCTGCGAAACGATCAACTTGGTACCTCTGGTAACAACGGTGGTCTGGAAGTCATCTCTGAAGTCCGAGTGCTTGAACAACAATCCGTCGTCCTCCTCGTGGATGCACACGGCATTCTTGACAGTGATGGCCTCACCAGACTTGTTAGGGAAATGAGCATCCATGTAGTGAATAACACCCTTACAGTCACAGCCAAGTGCAAGTGGGTTGGTACAGTTACCGGCACCATACTCTCCAATGTCCAAAGCGTGCTTTCTCTGGTGAGGGAAGTCTGGACTTCCGTAAGGCACAATCATCTCTGAAAGAGAGATTCTGTGGAAAAGAGGACGAACGTTTCCCTTGTCGTTGAAAGTAATGTCCGATAAAACGATACCTTCTCTGTAGTTGAAACCAATGTGGAATTTGAAGTTAGACCACTCCATAATATGGCCATCCATCTTGAAAGAAACACCTTCTGGCTGGGTGACGTTGTATGGCTTAGCATCTTGTCTGAATCCGCTAGGATTCTCCTTAGTTCCGTACTTCTCGGCAATATGCTTAGGGTGGAACGAAGAGTGCTTGTGCTTGGACACCTTTCTTCTTCTGTTTGGGATGTCGATAAACACAACCTTAGCTTCATTCATGTCGACAATAGGACAGAAGTCCAATGGGTGGGAGTAATGCGAGTCGTCTTCGTCAGATCTCCAGTACATAAGTGCCTGCTGGAGTCTTCTGGAAGCACCCCATCTCTCGTCGTAACCAATGGTCCAGGCATCACAGTAGACATTCTTCATCTCGGAGGCTGGAATTCCAGAGATCTCACATTGCTTAATAACGTTAGGGTCATTTCTAACAATGTCCTCAGTGGTCTGAAGGTCATCTGGGGTCAAGATTGGCTGAACGCCCTCAGTCTGCTGAGATTGGATGACAATCAACGAACCGAGATCAACCACACCCTCGTGGACTCCATTGACACCACTCTCAATGATCACGTAGTAGGCCAATCTTGGAGGCACTGGGCCATTCTTCTCCTTCCACTCGTAGTAGGCTCTCTTGATTGGTTCTCTCAAGGTGACGGTGTTGAAGGTGATGGTCTTACCAGCATAATGCTTCTTGATAACAGCCGCAACGGTTGAGATCTCACCAGGAGAGAGAGGGTCCAATGGGTGGGCAGGAGGTGGTGGAGGAGCTGTGGAGGCGGTGGCCTGGCTAGCGATCTGTTGCAATCTTTCCATTTTTGTTTGGTGAGGAGAAGAGAATGGTGAGGGAAACCCTGGGTTTTATAATTTTCAACATGGAGATTGGTATGCCTGCGGATCGTGTTTCCCAGATAGGTGATCAAACCCGGTATCGATTGGGTGCGGTACTGCCTTCCCAATTTGGAAGGCATCTGCGCAACTGGAATATTAGCTTATTCCGCTAATGAGGTGGCCCAAATGGGACGCTGGATACGCTCTGCTTATGGGCAGATTCAAGCATGGGGATTGGTGGTACTAGGGCTCTCGGGCGTGATGATTTTGATAGATGTTTTGGAATCCTATCCAGTATCTGAAAGACTCCGAGACCTTATCTTGTCTGCAGGAAGTAACTAACTAGTGTGTCGATATCTATCAGGCCATGACATGATTCGTGATTTGATAGCTAATGGGTGAAAATGGAAAAAAGATGAGGAGTAACAGAAAGTAGGGAAAAATTAGAGGAACTACGGAAAGAAATTGGGAAGATTTCATATGAGATGTAAACATTGATTTCAAAGGCTGGCTTTGACTCTATAAATTTACCTGATGCTCATCGAGGAAGTCCAATAGAGTAGAAAAAACCCTGGAAGCGGAAACCGATCTAGACACTCAAGCACTCATCAAAAGTTTAAACTGTACATTGAGTCGAGACCCCAAGCAGTTATGGTCATTCAAGTGATTCGGTTGGACTTGACTGAACTCGACGAGATTGTTGCATCTGATTGACCTGACGGACATGATATATTTGAGAAAATGCAAATGGGCTCACTAAAATAGAGTTCACAGAAGTGCTTGGATAGAAAGACAGATAGATCTAAATATCCAGAGTGAACAAAACCAAACTGCCCATCACTCCAGGAACAAAAACCATGCATCCAAATAACATCACCTGCAACAGGTCAATATACATATCCTTGTATGAACCAATCAGCTTCCGCAACAAATTAAAAGTCTCTTCCTTGGTCATATTGACATCAATGATAGCATAGGTGCTGTCCACCAAGTAGTTTGCAAAGCTACTGGTGAAGTAATTCGCATTCTCGATGACAATATCGTGTGCAACGGCACCTGGCCGTGTTCCTCTCTCCAAATAAAGCGCATATGCCTTGTAGGTGTAAGTTACCATCACGTCGTTTGTCAGGGAGAGGAAAAAGGTGGCAGCTATAACCAAAATGGCTCCATAGACAATTGAGAATTGACACACAGAAAATTTCACCCTGGAGAACCCAACAGGAATGTTAGCAAAGTTGTAGTAAAGACCACGGCACATCTTGACGACAAAAAACAAGGCGAATGTCACCAAGACGTGGTCTGAGGTTAGTCTGAATGTGTCGCCATCAACAATGATGTATGCAAAGGTGTTCATGGCCATGGTGGGTAAAAGCAACACTGTAAGCGCAAACAACGCCGTCACCAACCCTACCTGATGGACTTTTCTCATGCGTGTCCGTGGTTTGGCCACTTCAGGCTGTTCTATTTCAAGATCAAAAGTCACCAGCCTCACCGGGCTCTGCTCCATATCTTTTTCCTTCGACTGTTGGATCAAAATGTCCCCAATGGACTCCATGCAAATGTAGGACGTGGTAAGGATGCGGTAGTAAGCAATTAGCAAGCCCACGAGCACCACTGAACACACCACGGCGTTGTACCATGCGTAATGGTTCAACGATTCCTGACTCATCGTCAGAAAGGATTCACCGTTTGCCCAGTCCTCTACGCGACGTGTGAGGGCACTGAGTGGCATGAGAACTTTGTAAGGAGATACCACAGTGTTTATTAGGAAAACCATCATCAACATGACGAGGATGCCGTGGAGGACCAAAACATGGGATTTCGCAGCCTCCAGATGTTTCCACAGAGCCATGTTTCGGCTCCGGTAGAAGAAGACCAACAAGCAGGAGCATGTGATGAGCAGCAACCATACCAGGCTGAGCAGATTGGTGTGGTCGTCTGTAGGTGGGGAGTGCCAGAATGACATGGCACAGAAGGACAAGTTCTGAAGAAATGTGACTGTAAAACTGATACAAAAGATATATTCAAAGACGGGATATAACGGCAAGGAAACAATTTGATTGCCTTCACGAAATCTTTTTATTATTTAAATTTGTATGATCTTCAAAAGAGTTCAATTAGTGAAGTAGTTATAATGCAAGAAGGCCTTCTCTTATACGATGCATCGTATTGGTGTTTTAAGTTGCCCTGCATGAGCTCAAGCCGATTCGTCCGGCGCACCTCATCATGCTTCCGGATTAGGGACATTAATGACAAATAGCTTGGTGGGCTTGCTGTGGAGTGTGGAAGTTCACAAGGACAAGTGTAATGTAATTCGGATGGTTATTGGTAGAATGTGGTAGGATACATTTATATATGTATTTTTTTTCTGACAGTCTTGCAACCATTGGTGACATTTTTGGCCACAGTGGACATGCGAGCCGGCCCGTCATACAATAATCTCGCAACGGGCATTATTATTCACATTAGAGGCCGGCAAGCGAACATTGGATCCGGTTATTCTGGAATCATGAAGGAGAAAGTATAAATGTACGAATGTACGAAAGCAATGTTGGAAACGAAATAATTGGAAAATGTAACTATTTTCATTAAATATATTAATCATTAATTGAGTGATTGCCCTCAAATTGCCTTGAAACTTTTCCTGGGTGCAATGTTCTACTCACGTTACTAATACATTCATAATGCTGAATGTAGTTCATCTATGTGAACCCTGATTCGGATATTGTTCGGATATATTACATAATTCGCATATGGTTTTAAATCGATCCATATCACGTCTTCAATAATTCTTGTCTCCTTCAATCTATTCTAAAATTCGTATCTAACATTCGCTTCTAAATTTCGCTTAGGTACTCAGTCCTTCCATTGCAATGTGCTTTCCTCCCCTACAACCTTTTTTATATGTACCATTTATTCAATATAGAAAAAGACATGGACTTTACAAATGAGCAAGGAAGAACAAAAAATACCACAACATGCAAGCACTCTTACAACTTGTCGTAGTACTCCTCGTAACCTGGAACCTCTGGCTTCTGACCAGTACGCTCTCTCTTCTCCTTGACAATAGTACCTGGCTTAGAGGCTGGGTCAGTTGGGTCTCCACCCATGGTAGCCCAATGGTCGAAGATCAACTGTGGGAAAGCCTGACCACCGGTAGCCTGTCTCAAATCACCGGAGAAACCGAAAGACTCGTTAACTGGCAAGTAAGCCTTGATGGTGAACAATGGAGTACCTGGTCTCTGCTCCTCGGAGATAACTTGACCTCTCTTCTTGTTCAACACGGAGTAAATACCACCAATGGCGTTCTCTGGACACTGGATCTCAACCAAGAACACTGGCTCCTGGATAGCTGGCTCAGCCAACAACATGGAAGCGTAAGTAACTCTTCTCATGGTTGGGATGATCTGTCCACCACCTCTGTGGATAGCATCAGCGTGCAAAGTAACATCCAAGATGTTGACTCTGACGGATCTGACTGGCTCACCGAAGATTGGACCCTCCTTAGAAGCCCACTGGAAGGCAGCGACAACAGAATCCTTGATTTCGTTCAAGTACTGGACGGCCTTAGTCTGGTCAACAACCAAGTTAGGACCGTTACCATCTGGACCGAAACACCAGATCTTTCTGGCGTCAGTGACATCCCAACCGTGCTTGTCAGCCAAGATTCTGGCTCTAGCCTTGAAGTCATCTCTTGGGTTAATGACACCGGACTCAATGTCCTGGGAAACCTCCTCGTCAATTGGCTGAGCCTTGACGTAGATTCTGTTATGCTTGTTTGGAGACTTGGACAAAGCAACCATGGAGGACTCGGCAGTGACGGTCTCTCTGTAAGAAACAACTGGAGGAGAGATCTTCAATGGGATACCGGCGTGGTCGTTCTGCAAATCGTTCAAACAAATCTCCAAGTGCAACTCACCGGTAGCGGCAACAATGTGCTCACCGGACTCGTTAATGGTGGTCAAAACACATGGGTCAGACTTGGACAATCTCTTCAAACCCTCAACCAACTTTGGCAAGTCGTTAGCGTTCTTGACCTCGACGGCAACCTGCACGACAGGGGAGACAGAGAACTTCATGACCTTCAAGTTGTGAGCGGTCTCGGAGGTGGTAAGGGTACCAGACTTCAACAAGAACTGGTCAATACCAACCAAACCGACAATGTTACCAGCTGGACAGTCGTCAATCTGCTCGACGGCTCTTCCCATCATCAACACGGTTCTCTGGATAGACTTCAAGAACAAGTCCTCCTTCTTACCGACCTGGTAGTTTGGACCCTGGATTCTGATCTTCTGACCAGACTTGACGGTACCAGCGAAAACACGACCGAAAGCGTAGAATCTACCCTTGTCAGAAGTTGGGACCATCTTGGAGACGTACAACATCAAGTCAGCCTTAGGGTCACAGTTTCTGATGGCCTGACAGTGCTCATCGTCAGATGGACCCTCGTACAAGGTCTCAGCTCTGTAAGCCTGAGCAGTGACTGGGGATGGCAAGTGGAGAACAATCATCTCCAACATGGCGTCAGCAGCTGGCAAGAACTTTCTCATGACAACCTTCAACAAAGCCTTACCCTCCAACTCCTTCTCCTCAGCCTTCAAGTTGATCTCCAACTTCTCCAACAAGGTTGGGATCTCGTCCTTCTTGAAGTTCATGATGGCAGCGAACAATCTGAAGATTGGGTCCAAGACGAACATGTTGAAAGCTCTCTCCAAAGGCTTTCCGTCAGCATCGGTGTCCTTGTTAGTCCACTTCTTGGTCTTTGGGTTGAAGTAAGAGTCACCCCACAATCTCTCGGACATCTTAGATCTGTCAACACCGAACTTCTTAGAGTATCTGGTGGCGAACTGTCTAACAGTGAAAGCCCAACCGTGCAAACCGGAACCGAAAGCCACGGTACCCTTCTCTGGGAACACCTGGGAGTCACCGAGGGTAGACTCGGAGTAGGTAGAGATGATGACGTTAACGGACTCAACAGTTCTGGCAAAAGACTGGTACAAGTCCTCCTTGGTCACCTGCAACTCCAACAAAGCTCTGTCAACCTTGTTGATGATGACAACTGGCTTAATTCTCTCACCCAAGGCCTGTCTCAACACAGTCTCGGTCTGGACACACACACCCTCAACACAGTCGACGACAACCAAGGCACCGTCGGTAACACGCAAAGCAGCGGTAACTTCAGAAGAGAAGTCAACGTGACCTGGGGAATCGATCAAGTTAATCAAGAAAGAGTTACCGTCAGTCTTCTGCTTGATGTCCTTGACATCCTCGTCGTCCAAGCTGGCGTACAAGGAGATGGCGGTGGACTTAATGGTAATACCTCTCTCCTGCTCATCCTTTCTGGTGTCCATAAATCTGGCGTCACCAGCCTTGGCGGCAGAGATGATACCGGCTCTTTGGACCAAAGAGTCGGTCAAAGTGGATTTACCGTGATCGACGTGGGCAATGACGGAGATGTTACGCACATTGGTAACCTTGTCCATCAAGCCACGGATTTGGTCAATAGTGAAAGCAACTGAAACATGTTAGTAGGGAGTTTAAAGAAGGGATTGGGGAGTTGAGGGATGACTGGCAGCATTTGAAGGTTTTCGGCGGCTACGGTGGCAAATACCATTCAATTGAAAGTCCAGCTTACAAAAGGACAAGTAATTAAATAGCCAGAAAACGTCCAAAGGAAAAAAAGGTCATGCAACCAGCCCATGCTGGGGAATTTGGAATCTAGGAAGTGGACATGATCAAATTGTGAAAACAATTTTGGAGATAGCCGCCTGCAATTTTTTGTCACCCATTTCACTTGTTGAGTTGGAAAAACATACCCATTTTGAACTTGTGTCTTGTCTGACTAGAAAGAAGCAAAAAGTGGTGGGAACAGGCCTTTTTTCAATGCTTGGCACGGTGCATCAGGAAAAAAATTTTCTGGCAGTAAACGGCAGGAGATGCGCGTAAATGTCAGCATCAGGTTCTGGTTACCCGGCATAGGGAGTGATGCGGAGGAACAAGAGCAATTGGTAGAGGGAGGAAGATTGGTTTTGTTAAATTTTGTAATTGGGACTATGATTACGAATTAGAGGTTATTAAGGTGTGGTTTAGGGGAATTTTGGTGAAGTTGGCCACTGGCAGAGAGGGGCATGACCGCGAGGGTGAAGAATTCGAGGAGAAGGACAGGAAGACAGGAAGGACAGACAGGATGGACAGACAGGAATGAGCAATGGATAGATGTTGAGTGAAATTGCGATAATATGGAGAAAATTGGCAATTGAAATAGTGAATACGGTTGAATGGATTGTGAAGATATAGCTAATGATATATAAAAAAAAGTGGCCATGAAGGTATTTTGTGATTTAAAGATTGAGATCCACGAATCTTGAAAGAAAGTTGAGTGAGAATTGAGAAATGAGAATGGATCTGACACTAGAGAAACCATCCATCTGTAGTAATACTTAAAGTACATACAAAAAAAAAAGAACAGAGGATTTGTAGGAACTGCCATTAAAAGAGTAAAGTAACATAAATAAAACTGAATGGAATTTATGTTTTTGGTATTAGTCTATAATTCGTGTGTTCACTATACCACATTCTTATGTTGATGTGACCAAATGGTGTGAGGGCCATTACCTGTGGATTAAACACGAAGACGAATTGAAAATGTGTGTAATTTGACAACGAAACTCTCTACAATTTATGGCGATTTATTTCCAATTTTGATTGTATTTTTACCGCTGTCTAACTAATTTATCTTCTGTCTATCTACTTATATTATTCTTTCAACATTACCGAGCTCATTGACCATTTTGTATGCCTGCGTAAACCTTCGCTATCTTTCATTCCTCCCACCTAATTTAATCATCTTTGGTTCCTATTTCCTCCCACAAAATCATGAACATACTTCGTTTCCTTGAATTTCTTCCCCTATTATTCTTTCTATTTCCATCATCACATTTACATCCAATTTCCAAAATCTCTGTTCTTCATCTATCCATCTCTTTCTAAATATCATGTCTCTCCACTTTAACTCCACTCTATCAATCTGACTCCAACCAATTCCTCCAAAACACCTCTAAAACACTCCAAACTCTCTAGTAGTATTCCTTCCCTCCCCTATTCCCACAGTTAAATCTTCCCCTTGCATATCTCACCCCATTCCACGATTTTCTCCCCACCTTCTTGCTCTTCATCTAATTAACATGCAGAACAGAGTCAGACCTTCACCTAGACATTAAACTTCACCTATTAACAATTCCACCCAACGTCCAGCACCTTCCTCAAATGACAAATATCACTGTTCTCATCTCGGGATCGGGATCCAACCTCCAGGCGTTGCTCGAGGCTGAGAAATCTGGCAATTTGGCAGGTAAAATTACCCAGGTCATCTCGTCCAGTGAATCGGCCTATGGCTTGCAAAGAGCTGCCAACTTTGGCGTGGCCTCCAAGACTCACGTGTTGAAGAACTACTACAAGGGGATTCCCAAGGACCAAGTGAATGCTCGTAAGGAAAAAAGAGAGCTTTTCAACACCGATTTGGCTAACCTTCTCATACATGGAAATATCGAAGGTGTCGCCGATTCCTCCTACACCAAGCCAGACTTGATTGTGTGCGCTGGCTGGATGCTTATTTTGTCACCATCGGTGTTGATTCCTTTGGAGAAGGCTGGCATTTCCATCATCAATTTGCATCCAGCCTTGCCTGGAGCTTTTGATGGTACTCATGCCATTGATCGTGCATGGAAAGCTGGACAAGACGGAGAAATCACCAAGGGTGGTCTCATGATCCATAAGGTTATTGCTGAAGTCGATAGGGGTGAACCAGTTTTGGTTAAGGAGCTTGATTTGATCAAGGGTGAGACATTGGAGGAATATGAGGCCAGAGTTCATGCTGCTGAGCATATTGCTATTGTGGAGGGAACGAACATTGTGTTGAAGGAATTGTCTGCTTAGGGCATTGAATATACGATTGAGATGAGCTTTGAGTAGAGACTGGAGTGGATCAGCTGAATGAGATGGGACAGGTGAGACAATATAAAACTGGAAGTGAGTGGATAAAAGTCGAATACAGAGAGAGAGAACGAATCAGATTTTATAAATGAGTAGCATATGAGACTAGAACAGATTATATCATAAATGGATGTTCAATATGATCATGAATTGAGGACGACAAGGTGGTACTGAGTTATGAATAGTTGATCGTACGTCGTCTTAAGCACACAACAGCATTTCACAATTGAAGATAACAGTCTCTCAATACAGCCAGCCAATACAGTGCGTCAATACACACAACTCTACACCTCCTCAAATAATTGTTTATGAATATATACCTTGCGATACACTTACAAGTTCTTAATAACCTGCTCAGTGAAGTGCTGAGTAGTGGCAGTACCCTTCAAGTCACCGGTTCTGTTCTCAGGACCAGAAGCAATGGTGTTCAACACAGCAGCCTCAAGCTTGTCGGCCTCGGCGTTCAAAGACAAGTGTCTCAACATCATGACGGAAGACAACAACAAGGCAGTTGGGTTGGCAAGACCCTTACCAGCGATGTCTGGAGCAGAACCGTGGACGGCCTCAAAAATAGACACCTTGTTACCCATGTTACCGGAAGGAGTCAAACCCAAACCTCCAATCAAACCAGAGGACAAGTCAGACATGATGTCACCGTACAAGTTTGGCATGACCATAACCACATCGGAGTAGTCAGATGGGTCAGAAGCCAATCTCAAAGAGGTGTTGTCCAACAACTCGTAGGACAACTTAACGTCTGGGTACTCCTTACCGATCTCCTTGGCGGTCTCGACGAACAAACCATCGGACAACTTCATGATGGAGGCCTTGTGGACAACAACAACGTGAGGCTTGTTGATGCTCTTGGCGTACTCGAAGGCGTATCTGATGACCTTCTCAGAAGCAGGCTTGGTGATCAACTTGATAGACTGGACCACACCTGGCACAATAGTGTGCTCAATACCAGAGTACTCACCCTCGGTGTTCTCTCTGATCAACACGGTGTCAACATTGTCGTAAGGGGTCTTGTAACCGACAATGGACTTACATGGTCTGACGTTGGCGAACAAGTTGAAGGTTCTTCTCAAGGTCAAGTTCATGGAGGTGTGACCCTTACCGACTGGAGTAGCCAAAGGACCCTTCAAGGCCACCAAGTTTCTGTTGACGGAGTCAACGGCATCCTGTGGCAAGGTGGTCTTACCGTTGATCAAAAGTGGAGTGACATCCACAGGCTCCCACTCAATTGGGAACTTGGCGGCAGCATAGATATCCTTGACAGCCTGGGAGATTTCGACTCCGATACCATCACCCTCAATCAAGGTGACGGTGTAGTTGCCGTTGGCGTTTTTCAGTCCGGAGAACTGGCCTGGGACGTAGGTTCTGGTGAACTTGGGGAATGCTCTGGCCTTAGCTAATTGTCTAAACATGATGCGGAAGAAGAGGATGGAGTAGGTGGATGATAATTTGATGGACTTTTCTCGATTCGCATAGGGACCGAAAAGCCTGCGTCCAATCAGGATGCGACATGGTTTCGGAGCCGAGAGGGCCAGGTTTTTCCGACGACCCTGGCTATTGGTGACTACTTGGATGGTTTACATGTATGAATTGGGTGAAAAGGTGGTATTCTTGCTTGTCGGAGGATTTTATCACAATTCCGGAGAGTTCAGAGACACTATCAGCGCAATTAGAGATAGTCTTTTGGCAATATCGGTGGCTCCCCTCATACTCCGAGGCCGCGAAAATTTGATGGAATTGAGGTATGGGTGTATCGGATAGAATAGGGAAAACAACGGAAGAAATGGAGGGGGGGGTGAATTAGAGTGATAATATTGGGAAATTGGATATTGGAGAGATGGGGAAAAGATGGGGTATTTATATTAAGAGGAATGAATGAGAGGCTAGTTGATTTGATATTATTGGTAGTGGATGCTTGGGGTGGGGCTAGTCACGTGGTGTCCGATGCCTAATAGTATATGTAGATGGAAATAATTAGATAAGTATAGTTGTGGAGTTACGAAGTGATTTGGTTTATACAATTGTCATGTAAAATAAGAGGAAAAACATGGCGGGAATTAGGGATCTTGGAATGGACGAATGGCGTTGATATCAAGGGTGAGTTACATAATTCATGAATTATAAGGATAGGAAGTGAGAATGACAACTCTTTTCGCAGAGAGTGTATTATGACAATTATGGTAATACTCCAACGTTCAATTAAGATATACTTAATTGATCTTCACTGCTGTTGGTAGTTGGTTTGTTCCTCTGCACATTCACCGGTATTTACTCTTTTTTTTAAAAGAAATTTTTAATTTCCATTAGTGTTTGTAGTGTTCTGTTCCAAGTCAATTCCGCGATAGCTAGTACTCTCAAAAATACATTCTTCATATTCTATTCTCTCTATTCACTTCGGCTGTACTGTTCCATCGGTATGCTCGGTTGAGTTAATCTCGCTTTCCCATTCTAGTCCATTGACCAACTCCAGCAATTCCCTTGTCAATTCCACTCTCTCTCGACCTTCTGGATCACCTTGACTTAACTTAACTTAACTTGACTTCACCTTACTCTTTGAGTGCTTCTTCACCACTCTCATCTTCTCCTACTCTACATCATGCAATACTATTCTTCTTCCGCTCTAACCTATTAAAGCGCCACTAGAGACGGCTCCGTGCAATTCATAAGTCAATCACAGCTCTGATACAGTCACCATGATGCATGTCTTCAAAAGCAGTGTTGATGGCCTCCAATGGATGTCTGTGAGTGATGAACTCTTCCACCTTCAACTTACCGTCCATGTAGTCGTCAACAATGCCTGGCAACTGGGTTCTGCCCTTGACACCTCCAAAAGCTGCACCCTTCCAAACTCTTCCTGTAACCAACTGGAATGGTCTGGTGGAAATCTCCTTACCGGCAGCAGCAACACCAATGATGATGGAAGTACCCCATCCCTTGTGGCAGGCCTCCAAAGCGTTTCTCATCACGTTGACGTTACCAGTACAGTCAAAGGTGTAGTCGCAGCCTCCGTCGGTCATCTCGATTAACTTCTGCACAATGGTGGTTCCCTCAGGCAACTCCAAGGAGTTAACAAAGTCGGTGGCTCCAAACTTCTCCGCCCATTCCTTCTTCTTGTTGTTGATGTCCACCACAATAATCTTGCCTGCCTTTCTCTCCTTGGCACCCTGGACAACAGACAATCCAACACAGCCAGCACCGAAAACGGCCACATTGTCGCCCTCCTGGACGTTGGCAGTGATGGTAGCTGCTCCATAACCGGTGGTGATACCACATCCCAACAAACAAATCTTGTCGAAGCCAGCCTTAGGGTCAACAGCCACCACAGAAACATCAGCAACAACAGTGTACTGAGAAAAGGTGGAGCATCCCATGAAGTGTAAAAGCTCTTTACCCTTGCATTTGAATCTGGAGGTTCCATCTGGCATCACACCCTTACCCTGGGTCTCTCTGACAGATCCACACAAGTTGGTCTTGCCAGACTTACAGAACTTACATTCCTTACACTCAGCAGTGTACAAGGCAATGACGTGGTCACCAACCTTGACAGAGGTGACACCTTCACCGATAGACTCGACAATACCAGCACCCTCGTGGCCCAAAATGGCAGGGAATGCACCCTCTGGATCAACTCCACTCAAGGTGTAAGCGTCAGTGTGACAGACACCGGTGTTCAACACCTTGATTCTGACCTCGTGGGCTCTTGGAGGGTCGACGGTGATTTCCTCAATGGTCAAGGGCTTTCCGGCTTCCCAGGCAACAGCAGCCTTACAAGTAATGGTCTGAAGTTAGTATAAATGACGGAGAGGTGGAATTTTCCCAAGGAGATGAGTCTGAATGGAGATGAGGGTTGTTCAAGGGCGCATCATTAACAGTGACTTTGTGTTTTTAGGACTCTGATGGAAAAACGATGATATCGCCCTCATTCGCCAACTTTCATCTGCTGTTTCAACTGGAGTTCATTTTGCTATTTCTACTTGTTCATTCTCAAAACCACCAGGGTATTCCCTGCAATTGACTCGTGATGAATATCATCAACCTGTACATACCTTACCAACGGTAGATTCAGACATTATAGAAATGGTATTTATTGATGGTCAGTGATGGTCGAGATGGAAATTGTAGGAATTAGCTATCTTATATAGATGAACAATCCGACATCTCATACCCAATGAGGCAACGATTTCCGTGGGGTCGTGCGCTGCGTGATATCTTCGGAAAGAGGAATTGGGGCTATTCCGCTTCCTTGGGAAAACATGAGGCAGAAAGTTTTTTTTGACTTCATTTCGTGGAAGTTAACGATATGGCACAAAATTAGAGCTTGTTATACCTATTTTATTTGGTCGTCTTTTATTGGTCGAAATCGGGATATTTTTGCCTATTGGGGAGTCACTGCACTTGGCTGCGAAAGCTTGATAGTGGACGATGGAAAGAGATAGTAGGCTTCACTCACTACATTGGAGACAAAATTGCTGGTAATAATGTGGGTATTTGGAAGATCCTTGATGGAAATTGACATTTGGTATATGTGCTGGTTTTAGGATTTATATCGTAGTAATGATTCTGTGCTCCTACCTAATGATGTACTGGGACATATCGTGTCAATGAACATAGAATAAGATTGGATGAAGTATACACAAAGCAAATATTCATACTCTTAAGGACATATCCAAGTAATCATGCACTACGATCTATAGTATCAATTATGTTCAATCAATCATAGAGCTATAATTCTCTACTAATAAGGGTTTCTCGGTCATCTGTTCCGATGTAAGCTCTTCAATATTGAAACTCAACTTTATCCATTCTATTCACCTATAAAACAGCTCCAAATCCAAAAGTGATCTTAATGGACCGAACATAGTAGTCCTCGAAGTTGCCTCTCACTCTATCCTCCTGTCCAATAGGAATTCCCTTCCATTTGACTACCATCATAGTCTCGCCAGCACCCTGCTTCAATTGAATGTCAAGCTCCGCATAATGGCCGGCTTTCCAGTCTTCTAGTCTCCACAACTGCGTGATGTGCTCATTAGGCACCAATTTGACAAACTTTCCACTGATGGAGCCCCCAAAAAGCTTGAATTCAGATCCTTCCTTTGGAGGGAACGACTCCATCTGAGGTGCCGATCTCGACCACGCGGCGATTCTCTGGCTATCCAACAACGTCACATACAATTGCTCCGCAGTTGTGTTGAAGGTGGGTTCCAAGTGCAATGTGGAGGTGTTGTAGCGAGGGACAGAAGAAGAGTTTGACTCTGACTTAGCCTCCGTTTTGGTCGAAGCTGAAGCAGAGGTGGAAACTGAAGCAGCTGAAGGAGCACGAGACTCAGACTTGGTGGACTTAGCGCTACTGCTGGCTTCCTGGTTGGCCTTGGTATACACAGAATTGACCTTGTCACTCTCTAGTTGAATATCTGCGCTATTAATGGCAATCAAGTCGCGGCCAAAAGACAGCAAGATATCTCTCAATTTTGGAACAAGCTCCTTTCTAGTCAAGAGCCGACCTTTTTCCGTCTCCGAGTCCTCGTTGTATATACTGACATCAAATTGGATCTCGTCGGCCTCGGTATCGTAGGCCAACTCAGGAACAGTGATGCTGCCCTTGAAGTCCTTGCCAGCGGTTCCTTCGATTGCCATGACTAGTCTCAAGTCGAAAAGCGAAATGACTTTTCCTTTTCTCTGGCAAACCTCCACATCACCTTCTACTGAAGACACAGAGGCCACCTTGACTGAAGAGTCTGCGTTGGAGGCAGAAATTCCAACCAACTTTTCGTTGAAGTAAGCCTTCGACCAGTCGATACAATTTTTATCGACCCAGTGCCAATTGTTGGGATTGTTGACGACCATGGTGTAATGAAATGATGTAGTGAAGAATCGACCAAAGCAGGTCGCACTTAACTATGTAGTAGCATTCTAGAAAAATCCACACTGTATGGAAGATGGCAATAGTCTGGGGAATTAAACAGAGGAATACGAAATGAAGAAAGAGTGTAAAAATATGAGCTATTATGTACTGGGAATTTCGATTTGCGACTATAATTTGAAATATGTGAATTACTATTGAGTATTGATTGAGGATCGAGATATATGGGAAATGTTCGAAAATTATTAAACTTTATTCGGAAAGATTGAAATACATGAAATTCATTTATATTCATGCAATTTCAAGATCTTATTTAATTCTCTCACATTCTAAAGAGTCTGTTTGGTTAGCTTCATTTAGTAATCTTATTGCTCCAAAATCATCGTGATACTCCTTCACTTACTCTTCCTACATCTCTTCCTCATCATATCCTTCAGTCTACTAATCCTAAGCATCAACTTCCATGGCGTCCAGACGGCCAAACTCAACCACCGTCTCCTCAACATCAACAATGTCGCGTATGCTCTGTCTGAGAACTGCCGTGGTACCACGAGCAAACTTGTAGGACCTGGCCTTAGCTCCTCTCACATTAGGCGTCAAGTAGTTACGGTACAACTGAGCATCCTTGCCAACCTCCATCACACATACGTCCACGTTAGAACCAGAACCCAAATCGTTCCAAATACCGGCCTCAATGGCATCCGCACACAACTTGACTGCCTCGTCTCTGGTCATGTCTGGCTTCCAGTAAGTCTCCAACTCGGCCATGGCAGCCAATGAACCAGAGCCCAAGGACAAGTATTCGCCAACATCGGTGGATCCGTGTGCCTGCACTGACATCAACTTGGCTCCTGTGGGGTCTGTGCCTGCCACGATCAAGTATGCTCCCAAGTGTCCCTGGTACTTGAACAAGTGCTGCTTCAACAACGTCAAAGCGGTAATCACCCGTGGTTGTCTATTCTGCCACATTGCATGTAGCTCAAGATTGGACGCAATCAACTGCGTGACCATTTCGGTGTCGGCGGCAGTACCTGCTCCAGCACACCATATTCTAGGGGCCAATCTGTGCAACTTTTCACAGTTTTTGTCGGCCACAATGGGACCTGCAGTGGCACGAGTGTCTGCGGCGATCACCACACCGCCTTTGAACTTGCATCCGACAATAGTTGTACCTGTAGATGTAGCCTTAGGCGTAGCATAGCCTTTGGCGGTCAAGAATTGGTTTCTCTGGTAATTGTCAAAGGAAAGCCCAGCCATTATGAGAAGAGAGAAAGTGTTAGAATTGCGATTGTGATTTATGCAATATGTGAAAAATCCTCGCTCTTTCTCCGGGTTATGGTTGGGATAATAGAAGGTATAATCTTGGAGTAGATTTTGCCGTTGGTGTTGAAGTGGTGAGGTGTGTGGGGTACGGGTGTTCTCTCTGGAAGGTTTTTATGGGAAGGGGAATGTAAAAACTTGTTAATACTGTATATGGATTGAATGGTATAGGAGTAGTAATCATTGGTTGTCTAGTTTCTATTAAATCATATCTTTTTTAGAGATTTTTATCGACATCCTGTCATCAAATCCAATCTTGTGTTGATATCACATGGCTTGGATCACGTGATAAGAGTGCCAAAACACCCACTGAGTCTGATTTCAACTCAAATTCTTCATCATTTCCAAGGCCATATGGACCGTTTTAGCTTTGTGGCCCCTGCACGAGCCAAGGTCTTGGTCGTTCCGGTTGCTGGTTTGTCTGGTGAAAAATTCGACCGCTACTTCCAGCAGATCAAATCTGCCAATGACATCAGACTTCTAGACGTGACTCCGATACCCGAGTGTCGCTATTTTAATCCACAGGCGTTCCCTCAGGGCCGTGTTTTCTATGATTTCGCCACTTCTTTCCACGATGAGGAATCTGTTTTCCTTCACGACTTCGAGCCTTTTCGCAAAACCATGATTGTACTTGGAGTTGGAGAATACGATAAATCCAAAGAAGATGCCAGTCTATCTGATCTTCGAAGCAGGCTACCCACAGCCATTGTCCACAATTGCATTTTTTTCAACTCGTCGGTGGAAGTTGCCGACGTGGCCACTCCAAACGTCTATTACTTGACGTCTCCTTCGCATCTTAGCATCACTGCCATGGAAACCACCATTTGCAGCGTCACCAGAAGCTACTTAAAGGCTCTAGACGAGTGTGCGGCGTCATATGAAAGTATGTCGCTTCGCTCACCCGTTTCACTTGTCGACAGCAACGTGCTCACTCGAACCATTAATTTGGCCCAGAAGAGAATCAGTTCCGGCTCCTCTTTTAAAGTATCCTTTTCCAATGGCCAGGATGTGTCCAAATCGACAGATGTCAAGCTCAAAGCTCTGCAGAAGCAAACCGGCCGTCACTCCAAACTTATGGGCAACTTCTTTTTATTGGCTGGAAAATGTAATGATGCTCTACAGTACTTCACAGACGCTGCCATTAATGCCAAAAAATGTGACGACTACTTATGGCTAGCCTCAGCTCTTGAAGGTTTGGCTACTTCTGCTTTCATTTTAGCGTATCTAGACTTGCCATTTCATGTGCAAAATCCCATGCTAGCATCTATCCTTCTGGTTCCAAAGAACAGAGTTGTGACCCTTGGACCATCCACTAGTCGTGTATCAACAGAGTCTTTGGGTACCAAGTCCAGTGTCAGTGTTGTCTCCCCTCGAAACTCTACCAGCAGCTCCCTCGGTTTCGGGTTCTCTGCGGCAACTTTGACGGGAACAATGACTGACTTCTCTGCCATGCCACTTCCCGAATTCTTGAGAGTGCTTTGTCTCAAAGCTTCTCAGTATTATCAATTGAGTGCAACAGAAATTGAAGATTGCGTCCCGGATCTAGTTTATGTGGCAGCCATCATACGACATGTAAAGCTTATGGTGACAATCTACCTAGGAGCATCGACACCATTGCGATCTATCTTGGAGTCGGTAATCAAATCTATTCCTATTATCCTGAAAGGCTCCAAGGAAGGCTCCTTGGTTCTGAAATCCGACATCATTCAGGAAGTCGATAAGGTTTTTTCGTTGCAGTTGGTGGAACTTGACTTCAACGAGCAATGTCATGTTTACTGTTCGTTGGCATCGATCTACTCGGACTTAAAACTTTACAGGAAGCAGGCTTTCATTTTACGTATCCTCCTTGTTGCTCTACTTCCCAAGGTTGCACGTATGGCAAAACGTGACACTGTTGCTGATCTCAATTCGCTCGCCTCAATTACCAGCATTTTTCTGCTTCTATTTCAAGTATACCATATTGATTCGGAACCTGAGAGAAAAGAATCCATGGCAAAAGATCATATTTCCGATTGGAGCACTTTGCAGATTCTGATTATTAAAATCTGCTTGAGAATTGCCGAATCTTTGCAAGACTACAAAACTCTTGCAAAATTATGTGTGTTGACTTCGACAAGGTACTCACATTGCTTGCTGCCAGAGGATCAGATTAAGTTGAAGGAAAAACTCAATTGGTTGAACCTTTTGCTTGCCAACAACGAAAGCGATGATTCACTTCCGCACTCCGATCCTTTCATGGTAAGGAACATTAAGTTTGTTGTCACCCCCTCGGCTTCGGATTTGGTACCTTTTGCAGATGTTGAACAATCTAACGGCTCAGCTAATGGCGCTGTCCTTTTCAATCCCTTCAACAAATCCAAAACAGGCACAAACAAAGAGCGACTTATTTGTGTCAATGAGGTGCATCAGTTGAAGGTGACGTTACAGAACCCGTTCCCGTATGATGTGGATTTGGATGAGATTGCAGTTGCAAGTGATGAAATTGTCAAAGTGGAAACCATCAGATCCCTTATAAAAAAAGTTTCCTCAACTCCAATTTCCCAAAGAAGCGAGCTTAATGGCAACAATGGAATTGGCTCGATACATCGCAGGAATGTAGTCCAAAATGGTGCATTGTCACCTGTTCAGCATGGTACTGTGGTATTGGAGCGTAACAGCGTATCGCAAGTGATCGTCTCGTTCAAAGCTTTGAATCCTGGAAAATTGACAATAAAGGGATTGACTCTAAAAGCAGGAAATTCAAGAAATCAGTTATTCCTTATTCTGGAGTTGGAAAAGGCTTGTGAATTGCAGAAGATTAAAACTTATGGCATCCTGGCGCCTATCCATGATGAGGCAACTTTAGACAAGCTCATCCACAACTTGTCTCAGGCATCGATCACTGAAAGAGTTATAACCAAAGAGCTATCTTTAGGGGTTATAGCCCGACAGCCATCTTTGTCTGTTATCAAAAATCTGATTACCAATGGATGGGTCATGCTTTTGGAAGGTGAAAAGCAACATTTTTCACTTGAGTTGAAGAACACATCGGCAGACCCTGTTAATTATCTTTCATTTTCTTTTTGGGACTCCACCAGCGACTCAATCAACAACAAACTCTCCCAACCAGGAGCATACGCGGCCGAAGACGTCTATGAGCTTGAATGGCAATTAATCAAGAATAGACCATTTCAAGTTTTGAACAAGCAAGAATTAGCCACACGTCACAAAGTTATAAAGCCCAATGGAGACTTTAGAATTGATTATGAAATCAACGGAAAACGGGGAATGACAGACCTGAAACTCATTCTAGAGTACAGCAATAAGAAGGCCGATACCCCGGGTGAAAACTACATGAAGACGGTTAGTGTTCCACTTAGTGTCTCGATCCAGCCATCCTTAGATATTGTGGGATGTGATGTAATTCCGTTCTTCTCTTCCTCATTGCACGGCTATGTTGCTGGATCTCACGAAGGTGGAATTATTCAAAGAAATATGGATTCTTTGCTCGACTTCATCGCCACTACCAAAACTTCAACAGAGGAAGATATTTCCTCATATGCATTGTTGGTCCTTGACGTCAAGAATTCATGGAAGCACAAATTGTGCGCTAATATCAGTAATAGCTTTGCCACCAGAGAGAAGTATGTCGTCAACGAGGTCTTAGACACCTCAGAGACATGTCGTTTTCTTTTGCCGGTTAAGAGAATCGGACATGACGTCGTTGACACATCGAAACCGATCCCGTCGCTTCGCAACAAGCAATTTATCAAGAATTACAACATTTCTAAGGAGGACGAGATTCAAGAGAGAAAAGATTTCTGGATCAAGTCTATTCTTCTCGAAGGATTAAGTGGCAAATGGAATACTGTTGACCTTCAAACTGAACGCAGTGGAGTGCTTGACACTCGTTGTATTCGGTTGAACAGAGACATGACCAATGTTTTAGTGTACGACAGCATTCTGATTCAGCATTCCATCTTTCTCGACGATGGACTGAATAAGGAAATTCAAGAAGAAAATAATGAGTATCGTTTGGAGAGAGAGCAGTTCTATGTTCTTAAAACGAAAATCATCAATCATACTCATGACAGTCTTACAGGAACTCTTAGGCACGTTCCTTTTCCAGTGAATGCAGCAACGAAACAAGAATTATCGATAGAGCTGAAGATCTTGTACAACGGAGAGTTGCAAAAGCATATAGGTAAGAAGAGCATTCCTCGAGGGCAAAGTTTGGAGTTGAGTCTCGGGTTCTTGATCTTAGATAAAGGGAGATATGAGTGGGGTTGTGTGTTTGACGTTGCTAAGGAGAGAGGCAAGAGAGTCATTGGCCGTGAACCGGTCTACATTAATGCATCATAAACATGTCTGCGTGTTTTATTTTACTATATACATATTCCAGCGTAACTTCTTACTTTTTATCCAACTTAAATGGCAAAGGCTGTGCACCTTCGGCCTCTAGCTGGTCGATATACTTTTGTCTTCTGATATCGTTGAAACGTTTTTCTTGAAAGTACTTGTACCAGGAGGCCACACAGTCGTTTTCGAATTGTGCTCTTAACTTACCACAGTTGGATTCCACGTTGGTCTTTTCTTTAGGATCGAGCGAGTTGTCGATCTTGTTGGCGGCTAGGCACTCGAAGAACTTGTCACGCGCATCCCAGCAGATCTTTCTTTTGGTTTTGTTAGGTGGATCAACGATTTTTTCGTCTTTGGAGAAGAAACCCATGTTGGTTACTGACTGTAATGGTGTTAGTGGAGTAATGAAAGCCTGGGGTACGGGTGTGCTTCCACATTCAACGTCGACGGTGGGGATAGAATGTAGACAAAAGAAGGTTGTAGGTGGGATGATGTAGATTTAGTCGAGATATTGGGCGATTTGTTCAAATATTTTGAAAAGAAAGTGTTTCTGATTTTTGGCTGGCTATTTGCTAGAATTCCATCGTGATGAATTCGCACGATTCATTTGGAAAGTCAACTTTGTGGATAAAGTCAGTTGAAAAATAGAAAAAACTATGGCAATTAGAAGCATGAATTTTTCAATGCTAAAGCTGAAAGCGTGAGAAAAAATGTTTTTTGAAAGTAAAGTTGAGAGAATTAGAAGCAATCACCGAATTAGAAAGAACCTATATATCTAAGAATCGCCTATCTGTCCAACCTCCACTTCACAATAATCCTGGCAACTTCGCACTACTTATCCCCAACAACAATCCCAATCTGAATTTACCCAAATTAGAATATTTCTTCAACCCCAAAAGTCATATCTCCATCAGAATCTCCACTTTTTACGTACGTGTCTCCATTCTCTTTTTCCAATGCTCTGCACATAGCATTATTAGACCTCAAAATGCCGCTTATGACATATCCACCACAGCCTGCATTGAACAGGAAAGCCATGTTGCAAATTTTAAACCCTTTCAACTGGAAGTTAACTATATCATGTCTTCCGAAGAAGTAGACACATTCGATATTCAGGAGGAGGTGGTCAGCACCCACCACCCTATCTTCAAGCTTAGATACAGACAGGGTTCGCAGGCTTCGATCGAGTCTGCCTCTAGTGTAGGGTCAGAAAGACTCCCGGTCATCAAGGTTTTGGGAACCGGAGGAACCATTGCTGCTAAGGGTTCCACTGCATTCCAGACCGCAGGATACCATGTGGATTTGACCATCGAAGACTTGGTATCATCTATTCCCGACTTGTCCCATACTTGTGAGTTGGAGTTCGAGCAGGTATTCAACCTCGACTCTAAGGAAATCACCACCAAAGAGCTTTTAGCATTGAGAAATAAGGTCCAAGAGGACTTACACCATTTTGATGGTATCGTCATTACCCACGGTACTGATACTTGTGAGGAAACCGCATTCTTTTTGGACTCTACGGTAGACACCTTGGGTAAGCCAGTGGTGATTTGTGGAAGCATGAGACCTTCCACGTCGGTGTCTGCTGACGGACCTTCCAACTTGTACCAGGCGTGCGTAGTTGCTTCTGATAAACAGAGCCGTGGAAGAGGTATTTTGGTGACGTTGAATGACAAAATTGGCTCTGGCTACTACATCTCCAAGACCGATGCCAACTCGTTGGATACTTTCAAGTCTTTGGGTCACGGATACTTGGGTAACTTCGTCAATGGTGAGGTGCACTACTACTTTCCAGCTCAAAGACCCACGGGTCTCAAATACTTTCAACTTCCTTCCAACTTTGGTGGTCCATTTCCAAAGGTTATGGTGTTTTATGCTCACCAGGGCTTCGACCATGAAATCATCAGATTGGCTGTTGAGACCATGGATATCAAGGGTGTGGTCATGGCCACAATGGGTGCTGGGTCTTTGAGAGATGAAACCAATAAGATGTTGGGTGAACTCTCGGCCAAGTTTAATGTTCCAGTCGTGTACTCGAAGCGTTCTGTGGATGGTATGGTACCAAAGGGATCGATGCCAAAAACCAACAACGCTTACTTGATTGCTGGTGGCTACCTCAACCCACAGAAGGCTCGTCTTCTTTTGCAATTGTGTCTTTATGAGCGCTTGGACGTGAAAAAGATCCGCAAGGTGTTTTCTGCTTCTTATGGAGGTTAAATATCAGGAATATATTCCATCTCATATTCAAAGAATTATTATTACATTTAAACAAGCTATAAACCAAATGGACGTTAATCCGTTCATGCATATGCCTTCTCCACATCAGACTTGTAGGCATCCAAAATCTTCTTTCTCTGCAACTTTTGGGCAGAGGTAACAAAACCGTTCTGAGGCGTCCATTCGTCGTCAATCAAAACGACATTCTGGAGCAACTCGATACCCTGCAAACCCTGCGACTTACCAGTAGCCAACAATGACTTGAGAGCAGCAGCGACAACCTTCTTCTCGTGGTACAACACACCTAACTCTTTGTCCTTCAACTCATTCGCAGTATACACTTTCTCGTCAACGAGGAAATGCTTGAAATGCTGCTCATTAGGCAAAATCATGGCGATTGGCTTCACCTTGCTCTGGTCAGCGTAAACACAAAGGTTCAACACAAGTGGGTTCGATCTGTAGGTAGACTCCAATTTCTCCAAAGCAATGTATTCACCATTGGCAGTCTTGACCAAGTTCTTTCTACGGTCAATGATCCTCAACTGACCGTTAGAAGTCCACTCACCGATGTCTCCAGTCTTGAACCATCCATCCTCGGTGAATGCATCTTTGGTTTCCTGAGGGTTCTTGTAGTACTCGGCAGTGATAGGAGCACCCTTCAATAAAATCTCACCCTGGTTATTCTTGGCCTCGTAGCCAGCCTCTGGAACGTCAATTAACTTACAGGTTATGGTACCCACCAAAGTTCCAGCCACTCCAAACTCGAAGTTGTGCATCTCCAAAATGGTGGTATTGGCGCAAGTCTCTGTCAAACCGTAACCAATCAACATAGGGGCAATTAAGGTGGAAATGAACACTTGAGTGTCTTTTGACACAGGAGAACCTCCATTCAAGATGACACGCAATTGGCCACCGGTTGCAGCCTTGACTTTCTTGAACACTACATCGAAGATAGACGAGCCAGGAATGTGGTAGTGGTTCATTGTGCTCTTGGCCTTGAACGATGCCCAGAAGATCTTCTGAACAACAGGAGGCAATTGCTTCACCTTAGCCATGATACCCTTTCTCACAGACTCCCACACAGCAGCCACACCCACCATAATGGTAGGTTGAAATTCTGCCAAGTCAGACTTGCAGTTTCTGCACGAGGCATCAGTCAAGGTCTTGACATTAGCATAACCAAGACAACTGCCCCACCAGAAGCCAAGCAACTCGAATACCATTTCGAAAATATGGGCCAATGGCAAAAATGCGATGACACGGTCGGTATTCTTCACCAAGTCCCTAGCAGCATTGGTCGAAGGACCAGCAATACCAGCCAAAACGTTGGCCTGCGTCAAAACAACACCCTTAGGGTCACCAGTGGAACCCGAGGTGTACATGATACAGGCAATGTCCAGAGGCTTTGCCACGGACTCAGAGGGCTCGTCCACCAACTTCTCGCCAAATGCAAGAATGTCGTTGTAGGAGAAGAATTTGATGTCTGGTCTGACCTCCAAGATCTTCTTCTTGGCATCCTCAGCGTTTTTGTAGTAGGAGCCATTGACACGCTTGTCTTCTGGGTTGACGTCTTCACTGTGGATGATGTACTTGATGTGATCAGCCTTTTGCAACGGACGCACCAAGTTGCCCAAAAGCGCATTGTCGGTGAAAATGGCGTTTGATTCAGTCGAAACAAGCGAATGCACCAAGCCCAGCTCACCCAAGGTGTCGTAAGCGGTCACCACGGTGATGTTGTTGTACTGGGCAGCCAAAAACACCTTCAACCACTTATGAGACGTAGAAGCGAAAATGTGAAGTCTGCTGGAACCTGGGTTCAAGCCCATCTTAGCCAAACCATGGGAAAGCAGCTTAATAGCATTATGAACTTCAGAGTATGTCTGGTACTGGTAGGGAGAATACTCATAAAAGGTCCATTCTTTGTCCACGAGCTGCTCCTTGCCATCAATGACTTTGGTGACTTTCTTGACGTCAGTGTGGATGTCCAACAATTCTCTCCACCCCATACATCTACGGTCGAGGTTTCTCTGAACACACTCATCGATATACTCTGGTAAAGTGTTTGCCTTCGAGTCCAATGGCCTTTCCAACGCAGCAGCCTTCTGAGCTGCTCTTCTTCTGGGGGCGGTTTCGCCCGGCTTGGCTTCGCCAACTGCAACGGTTAATTGAGCCATGATGGTGGTGCGTGTATAAAATCCAAGGAGAGCAAAAAAAAAAATGGGTGGAGATGGGTATTTATATGTGTGCGGGGAGTCTCCATGCCCGACACATAACTTCAAAGCAGATGACGATTTATGGATGCCGAGACATTGGCACTGAGGAGAGGAAGGATCAATTTGGCCAATTGGGGCCAAATGGTCGGATGTGAGACAATTGGGTCAATATTTAGTTTTTGTTGGTTACTGAAGGGTGGGTTTTGATGGCCAGACCCAACCAGAAGAATCCTGTGTGAGAGGCCAAAGCAAGTGATGATAATGACAGGTGGAGGGAGGCATAGAAATAGTAGACAGAAAAGGAAGTTTATTCAAATATTGGAGTAATGGGGAAACTCAAAGATTTATATAAATGTATTTTCGAGAGATTTGTACTTTTTTGGAAGTGTATCATCTGCTATAGATTTTTGAAGTAATTTATAGGAGATGTGGCTTGTTCATTAGATTATTTTATCTCAGATTCTTACATTTTTTTCCCGTTCGGTTTCTCTCAGGTTCTCACCTTTTCTCGTTATCCTCCACGCAGGTTTGTTGGGCAGCACATGATCTCTTCCTGAGTCACTCGATACTCTAAAATCTTTGGTTATTGTGTGTCCGATTTGCCTCCGCTTTGCCACGTTACGCCGTGCCTTCGTGCGTTGGGTTTGTCGCTTAGTGGACCAGCAATATTTACCTTTTTGGGAAGTTGGTTTGCACCCATGTTGCTCAAGGATGCCCTGCACCGTCTCGGAGATTACCTGGATAGGCTTATCGTGGGAGACGAAAGTTATTGACCGTGGATGTTTAAGTGACATGTAGAAAGTGAAGTCGCATGGGATTTGTGGATGTAAGGAAGGGATGGAATGGTTCACGATCGCATTCGGCGACCCAACTTGCATGAGGTGTTTGTTCGACGCATGCGGATTATCGCCGAATCTAGCACGTTAGACGCATTGTTGAAGATCACCACACTCATCAGACTGGTGTCCGTCAAGTAGGTTGTAGAGTCTAGAAATACAGAAGTATAGACTTTCCGATAACAGAATTGGTGAAACTGATTTACACCAAATGGACCAAAGTTGAATCGGATGAATGGAGTGAAGCATTGGATTTTGGCATACTACATGGAGGTTCAGACATGTCTATGTTCATGCATCTTAACCCCCACATATAAATCACGTTGACAGTTGATAACGCAGGGTTTATTGATGGCATAAACGAATAAACCTATGTTGGGACTTCGATAACTTGGTTACAAATACTAAAGCTTTACACTGGGCCGTTTAACTTCGATTTCGAGATTTTATCATTCTACTTTTTCCACCTCAATATACTGATAAATATAATTAATACGTACTTCCAATTAGATTAACCCGTTAAACCAATCTCTCCTCAAATCTCAACTCGTTGTTCACTGGCATACCAACCAACAATCTCAACAAGTTCTCAATAGCCAATCTCTGCTTGTTCAATCCATTGATTGGGTTAAATCCTGGCTTGGCCAATGGTGCCTTCAACCAGTAACTCAATAACGACAAAACAGAGTAGAAGTTCTCGTAGTTCTCCTCGCCAGCCTTCTTGTAAGACACTCTCTGCAAGAACTCAGTCATCACGACCAAATCAATGATTAAAGGCGTGGCCAACAACGAGTCCTCGCACACATTGTGAATGGAGATCTTGTTGTGTCCTCCCAACATCAATTCAGAGTAGTACTCATCCATGGCCACCTTGGAGTCACCAACAGCTGGTAAGTACTTGATGACAATACAGTGGTCAACATGGTCACCACTCTTCTTGTTATACAAGATTTCGTTAGACTCAACCATGTCATCCACCACGGACTGCTTGGAGATCTCCTTAGAACGGAACTGTTTAGGAGAAGACAAGTTGTAACCGTCGTTGTTACCCAAGTGGTTGTACGATGCAATGGAAAGTGGCTTGATACCAGCGTCGACAAGAAACTGTGCCAAAACAGACTTCAACTTGGTCTGGCCACTCTTGAAGTCATCTCCACCAATGAAAGACTTATGAGTCTCAGCCAACTCAATAGCACCAGGAACAAAGGTGTTCTGAGGAGATCCGTTGATGTATGGAATCTGATCCAAGATACATGCCACGGCAAACACGGTCGATGGAGAGACCTCGTCGTGGTTCTCCTTGATAGCCTTGATCAAGTTCTCGGCAGAGTCGTTGACACCTGGAATAAGGTCTGAGTAACGCTCGGTATTAGCGGTCCACAAAACAATCACCTTGTCCAAGCCGTTCTCCTCCTTGAATTTCTTGATGTCGCTTCTAATTCTCTCAACATCAGCCCACTTGGTCTTGGTGGTTACTTCACCTTTGCTGTCGACGTTGAACACATTGTCAGCTCTCTCCTTCTGGTTCATGGCAATGAAGTCTGGGTAGTAAACAGATGGCAAAGGTACGATATCCTTCATGCGGTCCACCAACTGTCTCTGCAAATCGAAGTCCAATACCTTGGATCTTCTCATTGCCTTGTCCAAAGGCAACTTTGAGATGTCCCAACCTCCAATCACCAAGTCGTTAGGGTTGACGAGTGGAACAATGGACGAGAATGGAGCATACACATCGTTGCCCTGGCTGTCAACACCGAGCTTGACGGTGGACGACTGCGTGACAGATCCGTAATAGTTTGGCTCAACTTTACCTTCCTTGTTCTCAAAGGAAATGTTGTGCTTATTGGCCAAAGTGGCAGCAACCATGGTGGTACCATTGTTACCTCCCAAACCCACCAACATCAAACCGGTCTTTGGCACAGCCAAGTCAGTCTTGAAGTCGTAGTCGATAGCGGTTGGAGTCACTGAGAAGTCACCGTTGTCCTTTTTCTCGACAATGGCAGACTCATATGTGAATTTAGAGTGAAGAGACCCGTCCTTGGTCTGGGCCTTGGTGTTGAAAGTGACAGTCATGGTATTGAAAATTACTGGTGAGAGAGTAAGAGAAGGGAGGGGAAATTGAGAGGTATTTATACCCAAAATTTGGGGACGTTCATTGACATTTTCGTTGTGGGCAATAGGAGGGATTGGCTACTGAATGCAGCATTCCGGCAGATAATACGGCGGGCCCGGCGAAAATTCGGCGAAATCATCGCATTGTGCAGTATTCTCCACTTGTGCCTATAGGAACCTTCCGTTTTGGGACAGCGGCATGTGTTCATTGGTTGATTTATAGTCCCATGTGTACGGAGTGGATACAGGTTTAGGTCACCGTGACGGATGTGGATGTATATCGTTGAGTATGTTGGGAATTCGGAGGTAATCAAGAGACCTTTTGGAGGCTCAAGAAGGTAAGGATTCAAAACTGAAGTGTTGATAAGAAATTTATACTGCAAAGAGTGTTGACAGAAGTAACTTAAAATGAAAGAAGCAATCATCTATCATGATGTAGATAATAGGGGCAAGTGTGCAAACCTCTCACGTGGAAATGGTTGGGTCTGTTCCGAGCCGAAATGAAGGACAGGGGCGAAACTTTGATTCCTTAAAAGTAGCTTTAGCAAAGTATTGGCTAGTATTGTATAGTGTTGTATAGTGGAGAGTAGTGGAGGGAAGTGGAGGGTAGTGGGGATTGGTGGAGATTAATTAGTTGTATGTTAACAAGCGGTGAAAATGTAATACAATCGAATATGGGCGTACATGGACTTGAAATTTAGAAACGTTATTGAGATCACGGAAGCATCCGATTGGTGGCGAAGCTCGATATTGACGTGTTTACGGAAATGTAGGACTTCTATGTTGGGTCTTCGCGATTGGATCACTGTTACAAACCATTGAGATTCCATGTGATGAAGAGATGCAAAGTCATACTGTGAACCGCAATGATTCTCTCTGGAGTCTAAAATCATATCAATTACTATGGTATTGCCTGTATGTCCTAGACGAAGGTGTCACTTTCGTCAAGTGACCAATGGCTAATATTAATGTCACTCTTGCATTGAAATCAGCGTTGACATCTCACTGTTATAGAAGCAAGATCTTTCTGAATATTAGACGGTTGTTATATTGTCAATTAGTAGATGAGGCGCTAACAAAGTTCCAGTTACTTGGCTGAAGTGGCTGTGGACTGAATCGATATAGTCGAGTGCGCAGACCAGAAGTCTATCACTAATGAAGGCAGTCGTCCGACCGCATTCTATATCCCGTCAGGTCTAAATAAACATGCAAGTGTGCTAATGAGAGAGGGTGATTTTCTTATGGGGGACGGAGTGGTAGCCATGAGAGAAAAAGTTGGATACTATAGGAAACCAAAATGTGACATTCACCGAAACCACTAGAGTTTAAATACACCGGAAATACGCTGCCTTCTATGTCTGCACGTGGAATTCGTCTTTCAAGAGTAGTTTCCTCCAGTCTTCGTGTAATTTGGTTCCATTATACCAAGCTTTCTGGTTGGCACAGTCGCTATTAACTTGCTGGCTCGTAAAACAACAAACCGTGATGTCGGCCAATGACAAGAGATGCTGAAACCACTGTGCATTGTACCCCAAAATCCCAAGAAACCCAAACACCACTCAATTTCGGCACTTCGCCTAAACACTGAAAACCTAAGTTCTGACCTAATTGCCTACATACACAATAGCCATCCTATCTGAGAATCATCTTGCGTCTGGCCATCATCCAGTTCAAGAACTTACGAGAAATTAACTTTGGAAGAGTTTAACTTCGAAAGAGAAAAATTCAAAACAAGTTCAACATCAGAAATGCCGAGGCACTTTTCTCAGCCTTACCATTAATCTTCCACTACTCATTTCTGAACTCCATTATTTCTTGTCCATGTACCTTCACATTGAACATTAGGCAATAGCATTTGGTAATTAGAAGCACAGGGTAACTCAACTAAATGGTTTGAAGTACAATTACAGCTCCATGTAACATCCTAGAAAACCTACAACATACATTGTCAATTACCTCATCAAGCATATCCGTGACCCAGAAAAGACCATTTAACAAATTCGGCATTTTCAGTCTCAATTGGTACCATTTTTACGAAACTGGATTTTACGAGACTGGTCGTATGACATTCAATTCACTGAATCCCCACTAAGCAACTGCGCATATATGCCCTTCCTCGAATTCTACCAGCTGCGATTCAAATCTCGAGATCGCGCCATTTATTCGAACTTTCTGTCAACTCGGATATTGCACTATTGCAGATTTACTAAAATTGCTCAATTTGAGTAATATGATCAAGAAAACTTTGAGGATTTCTCATTCTCCAATCTTCAACCTTGGTCACTCATGAAATCCTCGGATGCAACAATTTCATTGCTCGCCTTCAAAGCCGAAACTGTCCGGTGCATCAAGATAGGCGAACTTGTACATCTTGCATTATTTCCGTAACTATTGACATGTTTGTAGGCATCTTTTGCCGTTCATTGATGCCTTTCGTTCTAAAATAGTAGGCAACTTAACCCAATTTAAATTAGCAGCCAGCCATCTTCCTGTATATAAACCCAAGACAAATCTGAGACTTACCTATTTTCAATGATTGTTCAATAAGGTTTCAGCAATCTTGCTTTTCGTACTTGAACGATGAAATCTCGATCAATTCCGAATTCAGAACGCAAATATCTACACGGGCATGCGCTTGGCCTACTTTCTTGCAATACCATTGAATCTTCCCAATACCTCTCATTGACCTTACATATGGGTGTGACGAGAATTTCAGGGGTTAAGTCACAAAATCAAAACTGGTACACGAGATCTGAACGGGCAAGTAGCAGGGACACAGGGGGGAAGGAGTGGAAGGGATGATGTCGTAGAGTTGGCAGGTTCCGCATTATGGTGCGAAATACGCACCGAAAAACGCGAACACCGGCCTAAGTATTGCAACCTCCTTTTGACATAATTGCTTGGAATTGGCTAATTGTTCACGAAAACCGTGGCGAATTAGTTACATAATTTACTTGCGGCGCATTTTTTTGATAAGTTTCCCTCTATTACCTCAATGGCTTTAAAGGTAGGCTGAACCATTGATTTTCGTCCGGTCTTCCTCATGGGTTGTCCGCGGAATCATGCACATTACTATTGGGGCTGCACCTCCTGCTGCAAGGGTGCTGCAATAGTTGTGCTGCACTTATACTAGAGCTGGATGACTATCTCCTTTGGGTGCAAAATTTCCGCTTCCAAGGGTTTAGCCCAACGCGCTTCGATTGTTCGACGTGAGTTGCATTATTGTCGTTTATGCAATGCGGCTGCGAAAATCCATCCCTTCACCTTTAGATTATATATATTTGTTGAGGGTCTGCTCATGGTTTTGTTTGTCTATCAACATATTAACCACAGTCACTCCTTCATCAAATTCACATTTTAATATATGTTGTTAACTCATACTCTCCTTTTCTCGCTAGCCGCATTGCTAAGCACTGCCGTGGCGTTCACTGCATCTGCTAACCTGAATGTTGCAGTATATTGGGGCCAGAACTCATATGGCAACCAACAGCGTTTGAGCTACTACTGTGCATTGGACTCAGTGGACGTTGTCATCTTGTCTTTTGTCACGTCATTCCCTTCTTTGTCTTTGAACTTTGCGAATATGTGCGGTGATACTTTCTCCGATGGTTTGCTTCACTGCTCCACTATCGGAGAAGATATCAAGACCTGCCAGCAAGCAGGCAAGTTGGTTTTGCTTTCGCTTGGTGGTGTATCTGGAAACTACGGATTCACCAGCGACACCCAGGCTGAAGACTTTGCATCGGTGTTGTGGAACAAATTCGGTGGTGGTTCCGACGATGAGAGGCCTTTCGATGATGCTATCGTGGATGGTTTTGACTTCGATTTGGAGAATAACAATTCTGTCGGAACTGTTGCTTTGGGTAAGAAGTTGAGACAGATTTTTGCAACCGATTCTTCCAAGACCTATTACTTGTCTGCTGCTCCTCAATGCCCATACCCCGACGCCTCCACCGGAGAATTATTGGCTGGTGTGGACGTTGACTTTGCCTTCATTCAGTTTTACAACAACTACTGTAACCTTGGACCTTCTTTCAATTGGGACACCTGGAAGGATTTTGCTCAGAATACCTCTCCAAACAGTGATATTAAGTTGTATGTGGGATTGCCAGGTGCTTCTAGCTCTGCTGGTAGTGGATTTGTTGACTTGAGTACTGTGAAGCAGTACGTGACGTCTTCTGTCTTGAATGATCCTAACTTCGGAGGTTTCATGTTGTGGGATGCTTCTTCTGGTGTCAGTAACACAAACTCTGCGGGAGTTTCGTTTATTGACCAGCTTGAGGGTTACCTTGAAGATGTTGTTGTTTCTTCTACGACTACTACCACTACTACTACTACAGCAAGCACCTCAAGTACTACAACTAGTTCGAGTACTACCTCCACGACTAGTTCCACCACCAGCTCCACATCTAGCACTATCTCTAGCTCTTCAACTTCTAGTTCGACTTCTAGTTCAACCACCACGTCGACTACAAGTTCAAGTTCCAGTTCCAGTTCTTCAGTTCCTAGTTCATCAAGTTCTAGCTCAGCTCCTGCTTCTTCAAGTTTGGCCATTTCCAAGTCTGTTGCAGCTGATGTCAGTGAGTCATCTTCTTCAACCACAACTTCAACTTCAAGCTCCGCTATTGTCACGTCGTCAACGACCTCGTCTTCCCCTGAGGCAGTCACTTCTACAACCTCAAGCTCTACTTCATCTAGTGCCCTTGTTCTGGCTCCATCTTCTTCAGACTTGTTGTCTTCGACATCCAGTCCCTATGTCTGGACTCCATCTACATCTAATATCTTGCCTTCAAGCTCGACTGCAGGTGTCGATTCTAATGTTGCTCAAACGTCAGACTCCACTCCATCTTATGCACCAACCACATTCGTCACGAGCTATGTGACTGGTACCCAAAGCACCATTACGATGCGTGGAGTTTCAACTATCTATCTGACAGTTTACAACATCGTGTCTACTAGTTACGTTACGGTGAGAATTGCAGGACTGCCTACCGTTGTTCCAAGATTGGTTCCCAGAATGGCTGATAACTAATACCTTAGACTAATACCCCAGAATAAATGAATTTGTACGAACAACGTTGAAGAACGATCAATGGCTCTATCAATTAGTCATCATTAGCTCTCCCGCTTCTATTTATCTATCATTAATGCGTATTTCCTCTGCACATTCAACCCAGTAAGTAGCTTAGCTGCTGTTTTATTCATATAGGCAGCTTTAAAGCTGCCTTTGCTCCATCGTTCTATCTGATACTTTTCTTCAGATGTCTCCAGCTCTGTGTTCTCAACATTTCCTATTGCTATATCATCAAGGTTCATAGCCAGTAGCTTAATGTGGACTATGGGCACCTTACTTGTGTCCATTTGAACTTGCGCTTGCTTTGTAAGTGGATACGGAGAGACTAAAAAGAAGAATACTCGCATAGTGTCCAATTTGGTTTTGACATGATACTCGTAGATTCCTGCTAGCTCTCTGATTGTAGAAGCCTTAATTCTACTAGCATAATTCTTGCACTGAACTAGAGCTATAATGTCGTCTTCCAAATTTAGAAGGGGCTGGCTGCTTCCACCAGGTTTAGATTTCAGTAAAAGCAGTCTAGACGTCAACTTAGCTGTCTCATCAACATCATACTCACTCAAGTTCCAATTACCTATGAGGTCCACGCCATGATCGCCAGCCCCACCTACCCGAACCATCTTTCGGCAATTCATGATGCTTTCCAACTTTTCCTTGGTGAAGAACTCATACAATGTGCCTCTGAAGATTGCAGAATCCACTGGCAATTGGTTCACTCTACAGTATTCTAGGTATTCAGAACATGTCCTGACCTCTCGAAGAGACAGGAAGAGGCGATAGTTAAATCTGCGAAATAGAGGCTCATGTCGCAACATCCGATATATTTGTCTATATTATGTATTCTTGGTGTAGTTTCTCCACGCCAGGTTGTGCACGACTTGCTACTGTACATATCCCATTATCTAACACAAGTAATAACCACGCTATATTGATATGAGATTACACTTGCTATTCACAACAGTGGTTTCGGCTGTTTCGGCCAGTAAGATAGTGTTCTTTGCCCAAAATTTGGAAACCCAGAACAATGTCCAATTGGGAAGTCTAGAATACGACCAACAATCGTCCACGTCGGCATTTTCGCCTGAAAACCACCCAACCGAGGCTGGTTCTTACTGCATTGGCACCAAAGATCTTCCAGGAAAGGAATGCTTCGCGTATTTGGAGACTACAGGCGATATCACTGGTCAATTTGTGGTTTACGTTGATAACAAGAATGAGTTGACCGAAGTTTCGTTTCTTAGGGGAGCCAATGTGCTCAACTCGAGAGTCGAGAGAATCAAGACCAATGTTGTACCTAACTTGAACCCTTCACAAGGCCAGCCAATAAAGGAGCCAGTTGTGCAGAAGGTTTCCAGAAAAGTGGTGGTGCAGAATGAAGATGGAGAAGATGTAGAGATTGTGGAGGAGGTGGAAGAGGTTGTACCTGTTGACGATAGATCGTGGATTCAGAAAAATTGGATGTATGTTGTTCTTCCGTTGGTGCTTGTGTTGTTGGTAGCACCAGAAGAGAAACCAGAGGGGAATTAGGGCCCGCAGAAGTATAATTAATGCACGAAGGATATGGAGAAATTAAAGTGTAGATAGATTAGAATGTTTGAAAGAAAGGTAAAAAAAAAGTCTCCTTTCTGGCTCTTGATCCGGTTGTAAATGCATTGAGAGCGGAGGGCATGGGACTTATGAGTCCTTTGGCGAATGAAATGCTGAGTCAATTTAGTGAAACACGAAATCACAACTGAGGCAATCGAATAGGAGTTGAATGGTAATAATTAGAAATAAAGAATGAGGTTCTGGCAATTTTGAAATCTTCTCATTATTTTTGAAAGCATGTCATTCGTATAGAGCATGTCTAGTTTGAAGTACCCCAGCCTAGACTGACGGTAGTAAGACTCACCAACAGATTTTAGGGACAATTGATGAAATTCAAGTGCAATACATTAATAAATCAAGCTTTCCTCGTTCACTCTGTATGTTAACCAGTTTCCTGAGTATACTTTGAACAGGCAGCGATGCTCCACGAACTTCCGTATGATTAACGCACATTGAAAAAAAGCAAATATCAGTATATCCATTTTTCAATCTAATAATTTAACTCCTTCACGAATAAAGTTGATATGATCAACCATTTAAACAACAACACTGGTATCTCGTTACAACATTTCTTCAAACAACTCACCTTTCATCACCCACTTCCATCTGTACCAAGCTCCCAAAGACGCAGGAATCACTTTAAAAGTACCCGTACCAGCACCAATCGAGAAACCTTTCCCCATTTCACTCCTCCGCCATCCTTCGAACCCCATAACTTTTGCAACCAATCCATCTTCCTATCCTGCACAAAGTAACATCCACCTCTCCACATTCACTCCATTTAATTCCACCGGAGGAGCTTTTGAAAAAGCTGAAACTTATCCTATAAACTCTCAACCCTTTCAATGACTCTCGTTATTCTCCAAAACTTATTTAACTTCCAATTCAACCCCAAACATAGCCTTAGTGTAGTTGATGTGTTATCTGCAGGCAGCCTATCAGAGCCCAATCATTCCAATTTAGTAAAGAGCCTCCAAACCAATAGAGAAATTTTCATATACCGCACTCTGTATACACTTATTTATATTCTTATTCCTGGACTTTCTGGACTTTCTGGACCTTTTACACATTCTAACGATCCAGCCACCAATGTTGTCCAAATCGTTGAGAGTTTCCAAAAGACTCTTGAGCTCATCTGCTCAAAGACTCGCCGAGGTGCTGGTCACGGTCGATGGTAAAACCGTCATGATCGAGGCCGGCTCCTCCATTATCCAAGCCGCCGATAAGGCTGGCGTGGTCATTCCTAGATACTGTTACCATGAGAAATTGGCCATTGCCGGTAACTGCCGTATGTGTCTTGTTGACGTTGAGAGAATGCCAAAGTTGATTGCCTCATGTGCCATGCCAGTTCAGAACGGAATGGTCGTCCACACCGACAGCGAGAGAATCACCAGAGCCCGTGAGGGTGTCACGGAGATGTTGTTGGAGAACCATCCATTGGATTGTCCTGTTTGTGACCAGGGTGGAGAGTGTGACTTGCAAGAGCAGTCGCAGAGATATGGGTCTGACAGAGGTAGATTTCTGGAGGTGATGGGTAAGAGAGCTGTAGAAAACAAGGCCATTGGTCCATTGGTCAAGACCTCCATGAACAGATGTATCCACTGTACGAGATGTGTGCGTTTCATGAACGATGTGGCTGGTGCCCCAGAGTTGGGTACTGCTGGTAGAGGTAACGACATGCAGATTGGTACTTACATCGAGCGTAACATCAATTCCGAAATGTCCGGTAACATCATCGACTTGTGTCCTGTGGGAGCATTGACGTCCAAGCCTTATGCTTTCAGAGCCAGACCTTGGGAGTTGAAGAGAACCGAGACCATCGACGTAATGGACGCCATTGGTTCCAATGTTAGAGTGGACGCAAGAGGAATTGAGGTGATGCGTGTGATGCCTAGATTGAACGATGAGGTTAACGAAGAGTGGATCTCTGATAAGTCCAGATTTGCCTGTGACGGTTTGAAGACCCAGAGATTGACCACACCATTGATTAAGAACGGCGACCACTTCGAAACTGCCTCTTGGGATGAGGCTTTGTCCACCATTGCCTCTGCATACAACTCTATCAAGCCTTCTGGTAACGAGTTGAAGGCCATTTCCGGTGCATTGGTGGATGCCGAGTCCATGGTCGCCTTGAAGGACTTGGTCAACAGATTGGGTTCCGAAAACACCGTCACAGACGTTGAACAGGCCACCTCTGCCCATGGTGTGGACATCAGATCCAACTATATCTTCAACTCCAGCATCGAGGGTGTGGAAGACGCCGACCAGATCTTGCTTGTTGGTACTAACCCAAGACACGAGGCTGCTGTTTTGAACTCTAGAATCAGAAAGGTTTGGTTGAGACTGGCCTTGGAAATCGCCCATGTTGGACAGGAATTCGATTCTACCTTCAACGTGGAGAAGTTGGGTACCACCGCAGCCGACTTGAAGACCGCCTTGAAGGGTGAGTACGGTAAGAAGTTGGCTAACGCTAAGAACCCATTGATCATTGTTGGATCTGGTGTAGCACACTCCGAGGATGCCGAGGCTATCTTCAGCACTGTGGCTGAGTTTGCTTCTAAGAACAAGAACTTCAACACTGAGGGCTGGAATGGTGTCAACTTGTTGCACCGCGAGGCTGCCCGTGTGGCTGCCTTGGACCTCGGTTTCCAGAACTTATCTGGTGAATCTCCAAAGGCCAAGTTTGTCTACTTGCTTGGTGCCGATGAGATCTCTGGTGCAGACGTTCCTAAGGACGCCTTCGTAGTCTACCAGGGTCACCACGGTGACGTGGGTGCATCTTTTGCCGACGTCATCTTGCCAGGTGCCGCATACACTGAGAAGTCTGCCACTTACGTCAACACTGAGGGTAGATCCCAAACCACTAGAGCTGCTACCAACGCTCCAGGTGCCGCCCGTGAAGACTGGAAGATTATTAGAGCATTGTCTGAATACTTGGGCGCAACTTTGCCTTACGACGACTTGTATGCTGTCAGAGAGAGATTGGGGGAGATTGCTCCACACTTTGTCAGACACGACGTGATCGAGCCAGTTTCCGAGGAGATTGTCACTGTTGGTCTTAAGGACATTTTGAACAGACACCAGAGCACCAAGATCAGCGGCATTCCATTGAAGAACCCAATCGACAACTTCTACTTCACCGACGTGATTTCGAGATCTTCGCCCACTATGGCTAAGTGTGTGTCGTCATTTGGTGCCAAGGTGGACAAGATCACCGATCCAAAGCCAGACGTGAACTTTTAAAGAAGTTGTTGTACCATATATTGCATGGGTGCCCCGGCACCTACTGACTACAATGGAGGAATCCATTGGTTGTTGATTCGCTATACAATCTGTTCCTAGCATTAACATAGTTACGAAAGAGACAGTGTAGTTCACACATTAATTTGATTTACAAACTGAGACAGAGAAATTTCTACTTCAATTCCATTACGTTTCTTTATTTATCTCATCAGCTATTCATTTCTTTCATATCCTCTCTTTATCACACTCTTCATATCTGACAGGAATCATCTCATGCGCTCGAAATCCGTTCTTCCTGTAGACACACCTTCGGAATTCTCCACGTAGATAAGGCTCGAGAAGAGAAAAAAATACTTCGTTCTACAGATCACCTACCACTTCATTTCTTCCTTCTTGACTTGTTTTATCATATTTCTTAGGTCCAATATTCTTTGCTTTTTGAGTCTCAACTCCATTTCTTTAGCTGAATCGCCAAATCATGACCAGAAGTGGAACTCCTGAAAGCCAGTTTGCAACCAAGTGGAAAGTGGCCAAGGCATGTGCCAGATGCCGAAGGCTCAAGACGAAATGTATATTTGAGGATCCTACTTACGACTCGTGTCATCGCTGCTACGGTCTCGGCATCAAATGCTCTGTGGAAGAGGATCCTACAGCTGAGACCTATAAACGTCGAAGTCAGCAAAAAAAGCCCGCCCAAGTGGTTGCCAAAATCGAGAAATTAATTCAGAGTGTTGATTCAGATTTTCTGACTCTTTCAGATTTATGTCAGGAGACAGATGATGTGAGCTCGTCAAAATTGGCCGTGCTTGGTGCTCGACTACAGGAATTGGGATCGAAGTTGGCCCAGAGCAGTGATAAGGAACCCGTTACCATCAAAACGCCACTGTTAGAATTTTCTGAAAGCACAAAGTACCCCCACATTCCTATGGACGCCAATTTGGCTCAGGAACTCATCTTCACCCATAAAGTCATTCTGTACGAAGAAGCAAAGCTTCGATATGACTATTTTCAGAAACAGATGTTGATCTACTACCCGATTATTTCGCTACCCAAGAGCCTCGAGGACTTCGATGTACTTTTGCTGAAGAACGCTTTGCTATTAATCACTTGCATCTATGTTACCACTGTCAATGACCATGGCCTTTGTCGATCTGGTGGGGCTGCTGCAAACCGCAAGTTGAACGACATTTTGGGCTACTACGTAAACAAAGTACTTGCAAACAAGGTCTTTGTTGTAGCAAAAGACTTCTCCTACCATATGGTGTTGTCTTGCCTTATATTGTCTCTTTGGTGTGTTCCACCAGACAAAGTTGGCCAGTTCAAAAGTCAGATCGACTTGATCACTTCCTTCAGTTTATCGTTGTGTATTGACGTGGGCAATGTTACCATGTATGAGAATTCGGCTGTTGCTATGGATGATTCTGTGGAAAGAAATAATTTGCGTACTTTTTTGGGTATTTATTGCTGTTGTGGCTCATTGGGGTTCTCTCTACCTCGATTTAAGCTCGTAGCGTGGTCAAAGAGACACGAGCTCTCCATTAGAAAACTTTTGGACAAGTCGGGAAGAAAAATCCCCTCCCGGAACGACAGGTTTATTTGTTACTATGCTAGAATCATTCGAGTGGGCCAGGAACTCCTCGATTACTTCGCGGTGAATGGTGTGAGTATGCACTTTTTGAGTTCGGAGGAGAAGAGCAGCGGGTTGGGTGGTTTGCCCATCTCCAGACTCGAGGAATCAGGTACATTACCTCTCGAAAACATCACTATTGTTCTTAAGAACTATGAGTCCACACTTCGGTCCATTCTAAACGAGAGCGGTTTTATCAACGAAGAGAGCTTGACTCCCAAAGAGGAGGCTCCGAAAGAAAAATATGCTTTGTTGCTCACATACTACCAGCTAATGATGATGACCCATGATAATCTTGTTAGTTGGTGTATTTGTCGACTAACAGCGGACAAAAACAAGGTTCCAACCAGTAAGGATTCAGAAGACGCGCTGCTAATTGCTCAACACATCATAAAGTTTGGTGAGATTTGTGAAAAAATCCTTCAGTGCTTCATCGATATCAACGCAGAGCCAACAGTCAATTATCCCACGTTTTTCTTCTATCGAGCCTTGCACGCTCTCATTTCGCTTCTCAGACTCCTGGTTCTTGCCAAATCGGAGATTCTGTCGTCCCGACTCTTGAATTTAAGCCTGGTTCGCTTCAATTTGCTGTCTTTCTTCGAAAAGATCACTGCTATTTTTGATAATGGAAAGACGCTCTTTGACCTGACAATCTGTGAGAGAATGTCATTAATTTTGCAGAGAATCAGTAAATGGGTGCATGTTGTTGCCAACTATGACAGGCTTGTAGATCTGAGTGATGCAGTCAACATTGATTTCATTAAGCTCACCAATATGAGCAAAGGACAAGAAATTGAAAAGCTTCGGGACCCTTTGCAGAAGGGAAACAATAAGAGGCAGAAACTTGAAGAGTCCGTTAAACCAACTCTGGTTCTACCCCCACACCTACTCCACCGTTACCCAACGGAAGAACAGATGTTACTGAATATTTCCCTGACGTTCTGAGATATGCAGCAGACCCGACCGAACTGTCTCGGTACACGCAGAATTATTCAATTCAGGAAATATTCAAGGAGATGGACCAGGACATTCTTCGGTACTTGAATCCTTTTGACTCAGTCGATGCAGATGGCCCTTCGTCGAATTTTTTCAACGAATACCTCTCCAAAGATTTTTAGGTATTAATACAAATATCAGAATTTGAAGTCGGAACCATCGAATGCAGGTTGCTTATTCTTCGTTTGGTTGGGTTCCTTAAATGTCCCTTCATTGGTAGATTCGTTTTGCTCACCAATTTCGTATCCCAGACGGCTCTCAACAAACCCATCATTGGTGGGCTCTAAACTTCTTTCTTTCAAAACCCTATACAAGGATTCTTTCGTGACAGTATCCTTAGTATCCGAAGGCTTTGTGTCCAGATTTGTAAAGTGTGTCTTGATTCGACTGTACTCGGAAATATCCACCTTTTCAGGTTCATCCTCGCCATCCTCGTATGCTGCCTTCTCGGTTACCTCGATCGCACCGTTCTCTTCCTCTTCCTCGTCCTCCTCTTCGTCATCCTCTTCCAGTTCCGTCTCTTCTCCCTCTTCCATTTTTCCCCAGACCAGATCAACCATATTTATGCTCTCCCAGTCCTGCTCTCTTGCAAGCTTGTAACCCAGATTGGAGTATTCGATGTCTACTCCTGGGATTACACAATTGGCATAAGCTGGAGGCTTCCCTAACTCGTTCATGAGTATAACCCATGGAGGCGGTGATTTGTCGTTCTCCGGCAATCCCACTGCAGCCCTCAAAGCTCGGGAAATCTTGCCTGGACGCATATGTTCAATTTGGTGTCTGTTAGCGTCGATTTTTTCCCTTCCCTCGTAGTAAACCTCACCAAATGCCAACATTTTTGGCTTTGTTTGGTGCTTAAAGAATGCATCGTGAAGTTTTTGGTAATCAATGTCCAACTTTCCCATCTTAGGTTGGACTCTGTCTCTCTGCAGCTTCTTCAACGAATCTTCATCGTGATTTCTCATTTCGGAAATGCCAGTATCCTCAATGAATTTGGGTAGTCTGAAGGGAGGACGTTCAACACCTCTTTTCGAGGAAAGATAGTCTTTCTTCTGCTGCCAATGAGACGGCACATCAACAGCATTGGGTAAAGTTTTGAGTTTGACTACCATGAACGGATCCGGAGCATCCACGTCAAACCACTCCACGGCCAGGGGTCTATTGGTGCTTGCTTTAAGTTCTGCTATAGGTATTCTGTTAATTTTGCGGAGCTGACGTTTTGAAACCGGCCTGTTTGCATCGTCATCTGAATCCAGATCACTGTTCTCATCGGAACTGGCGTCTGAGTCCAGATTATCATCTCTGGGATGTGAAGATATTGCTTGGCTTTCTTTATACTCAAGGCTCTGGGGCTCGAATCTCTCAAACACTGTGGCGAACTCCTCCATTAAGGCATTGGAAACATCATCCCCAGTCGACGCTTGTATAACAGGAGACTCTGGCTTTGTCTTGTTGTATTTGGACTTTTTTTTCGGATTTTCAGCAGTCTTCGTCAACACCTCCTCAGACTGTGTTGCTGGAGCAACAGTCTCAGGCGTTGCATCTTCTTTTGTAGTAGATAGGCCATTGGTGGTGGTGGAATTGGATTCTGCGGGAGTATCTGAAGTCCCCGTAGGCTGTGAAGGTTTGTCAGAGGAGTTTGCAGCTTCAACTTTACGTAGTTTGGCTCTCTCTCTTCGGATTTGATTCTTTGACCGTTTTTGGGCCATGGCTGAGTAGATCGTGTAGTTGTAGATGAGATGCGCACAAAGTAAAGAGATGTGATACTTGAGATATGAGAACAAGGCCATGTCTGGGGAAAAAGGCCAACTACAAAAATTTCATTAGCGATACTTATAATTATGTGGTATTGGGCACCGTACTGGCCATAGCGACGAAGAAATACATATAATGACAAAAATGGTGTAGATGGATGAAGTATGATGGTGGATAGAGGAACCCACCTGAACATGAAGGAAGAAAACAAGACTTGGCCGTTGTCAGAATCAGGGTTACTAGTAACAACATCAGAAAGATTACACAAGCAACTATCTGAAAAATCAACAACAAATATTAGCATCAAATTATCGAGCATTCAGTGAATTAACATGAGTCAACCATTAGCATGAGCAGGTGCTAATAAGTAATCAAGGACTTCACCTCCCTCAAGTCTCCAGCATCATTTTTCGATCAGCTTGTCAAGCTCTTATGCAACTCTTCCACCATTTTTGTCAATTTGGTCAACCTTCTGTTCACTTCTTCGTCGTCCTTTTCGACTTGCTCAAAGAGGGACTTGACCTTCGTCTCGATATTCGTAGCAATATCAAGCGCTGATGGCTTCTTCTCCTCCACCAAAAACTCGTCCTTTGCGTCCATAAACTCACCATCGGCTAGTGCTGGAGTGGTAAGACCGTTCACCTTCGTTGTCTCCTCAGACATGGTCAAGTAATTAGAAGTGCACAGATGTGGACTGTAGTTGTGGCTAAGTTGTATCTATTGAAGATCGTGACTGGTCAAACTGTCAATGCAATATATCCCAAGTTTTAGAACTATACTTGCTCAAGTATGCTAAAGTATAGTGTTTCTGGAGCTCTAGAGAACAGTGTAGATAATTCTCACTATAGATTGGAGTGCACCATGTATCAGCAGAGGATCAATTTACACCCACCAACGAACCAAAAAACCTATTTAATTATATGGGCCTAATCGATAATTTATCAAAAGTAACCTTCTTCACAATCTACTGAATTTCTCTGATTTTCCATCATCCAATACTATGTACTGACAAGGTCCTCTCGAACATTCCTACATACATTCCTATGATCTATCTGTCACTTACTCCACAATGAAACCATTCAATATATTTGTAGCATCATTGCTAGCCTCTCGATTAGGAGCAGCTCAAATTGTGAATGTCCCGCTCAACTTTCGGATTCAAGACACCGAAATTCCGCAGGAATTGGCAGCGAACCTCGTCTCGTCACCCAAATCGTCCCAATCGTCTCAATTGACTTCCAAGACTCGGTTTGAACGTCTTTTCATCCACCGCAACAATGACTCAGAGGAATATTTATGTGCTATACCTCCTGCCAACTCCACTTTCCAAGACATGCCCGAAGAATCTCAGCTGGACCTCGAGAAAGACTCAATTATACTTGCTCGAGCCATAGATATTGTTCATGGCAGCTTTTCACCTGATCAATGCGTTTGGTCATATGATTTGCGTGGCTTCTACTGGACCTACGGCTACTGCCACGGTGACAAGATTGTCCAGTACCACGAGATGGCTCCTATGAAGGATAGACCCCACAAACATGTACCTGGGTCACCGAATATGGTATATGTTCTCGGTCGATTCTCCAAAGCTTCCGCTAAAGAGGTGTCATTCAAGAACCAGGTTTCTGCCATAGAAATGCAGAAGTACATCCGAGACTCGGGCCGTTCTTTCCGTCTCGTGGACGAGAAATTGAGTCCTTTTAGCCATCTGTCTCAAAAAGTGGTGTTGCAAATGGCCTCCGACGGCTCTCTATGTGATATGACTTTGCATCCTAGATCCACAGAGGTTGTATATAAATGTGATGTCAACGGTGGAAAACACCCTCAGATATTGGATGTGGAGGAAATCAAAACTTGTCACTATAGACTCTTTGTTCATGTTCCTGGATTGTGTCAGTACGAACCGTTTCTACCCAATAAGGACACAGAGGACTTGGTGGATGTTACTTGCCAACGTGTGAGCTCACAGGCTGCTTACTCTGTGGACGGTATGCTGACGTTTGAAGATTACTCACACCACCATCAACTTAGGAAAGATTCGCCTTTCCCTGTTCCAGCCGACACAAGGATTAACGTTGCTATGCACGATATGGTTGCATTGAGCAGAGGTTTTTATCTTGCAAAGTATACTGGCGAATATGGCACGTCCAGCGAGTATTATAACCACCGGAATGTTATCTTGTTCAATGGTTTCCACACATCGTTGGACGATCTCAATTTGCAATTGGGTCGTACGGTGTTTAATAGCATCGGCAAGAATCTTCTTGCTCCACTTTTCAAAGCTAATGAGCAGGTGATGTTGTCGTGGACCCACTCATTCATCATGTGGTTTGAGGTATACAATTTCAAGGGTGAACTCTTAGGTATATCTCGCTTGCTGCACGATGGTTCTAATGAGGTCAATGTGCTAGGGGCACAAATGTTTGACCCAGTGACCCTTTTAGATGTGGATGGCGACGACTCGATGCCCAGATCCTTCAATCGACCTGCCTTTGAGGCTCCGTATAACATGTGGAACTTCGAGATGTTTTTGGCCAAGGGCCGGAGTCCTGCCTTCAACAAGAAGGGTCGAAGTACAAGCAAGAAGTCCCAAAGTTGGAAGAAGAAGTTGGAAGAAGATATGGTGGAACTGACGCAAATGGTGTTGGTATACAATGATGGAGTTATGGCTGACGGTAGTCCTAACATAGAAATCTACTTGGAGGATACAGGCGAGAAGTTAACAGGCCAATACAATGAGAAAGATGTGTATGAGTTCACATACGAGCCTAATCCAGGGCAAACTGAAACTTTCACTGCCCTCGTGATTCCTGAGGTTGAGTACTTTGGGTACCCAATTACATTCCGTGAGCCTAAGAGTTTGGCAGAGCTCAAGAAGCTGGAGGAGTTGACTGTGACGGTGACCCAAACTGCGGGGACAGCTGAGGCCACCGACCAAGGAGCAGAACTTCAAGACGAAAGGGACGATGTCAACGATGGTGATGATGCCAACAATAAAGAGCTAGATCGAGAGATCACTCCCGAACACCTTTTTGATGAACTTATCCAGAGATTATATGACAATATCGACGGTGACGTGAACCACGAGCACTTGGACGAGTTCATAGATGCTAGTCGCGAGCAAGACCTCGAATTGGAAGATTTACATGACGAATTATAAAAATTTTAATTCGGAACCCTTTGAGAACTGTCTAATCTTTTGAGAGTCTTTTCTGATTGAGGAATATGTCCTCTTAACACTATAGAGGCTAATTTCGCAGCCACTGAGTATGTGCGGGTAAAACTCAGCATGGGCGACTCAGAAAAAATAATGCGAGAGAAAATTGCCTAACAACTTGACCTAGAGATTGAATCAATTTAGCCGTTCTAGATTTCTCCAAGGCTCTATCACCGAAGGCAGAATCTATTAATCCCTAAGATGATTGCGTTGGGCCGCATTCCGCTTGCGCCCTTGGTTTCCAGAGTCACCCAGGTGACTCAGATGAGAAACATCTCATTTCTAAAGAAATTGCTTTCCTTGGATACAGCAGAGAGCCAGGATGCTGAGCGTCAGCTCTATACGTGGGACGAGTCTCCATATGAGGATATTCGGACGAGGGCTGCCTACATTCGTACCAAGGCAAAATGTCCCGTGACAAATAAGCTGGTGAACTTTGTCTGCCCCAAATCTGGAATTCCTACACATCACGATGAAGAGGCATGGAAGAATGACACCGAGTATCATGAGAAGAAGAAGTATGAGTTGTTGCGTAAAGTGAATCTTTACGAGCACGACTTGAGATCGGGCCGGAAATTCGATGAGTTCATCTTCCCGGGACCTTCAGAGCATGATTTCAGCACCAGTATGAGTTCGTGGGACTCGTTCTTTTACACCCGAGATTTCAATCCGATGAACACCGAGTTCAACTTGGCTGCTGCCACCAAGGTCTTGACGTATCCTATCACTATCTCGTCGTTATTGCATAAGTACAACCCATACGGGTTGGAACCCAAGGGTCCACTCACCATCGATGGTTTGCGGTCCTTGTCTGCGTTGAAATATACCTTGTACTCGCAGAACAGCAAGAAGGATGTGATTTTCAAGGACAGAGCTATGAGAATCTTCATTGTGGGTGCCAAGATTGAAGCCATGCTTCCAGGATACGTGTGGAAACAGCTCGGCTACTTGTTTCCTGATACCAAGTTTGAGATCCACTTCATTGGTCCTCACTCGCACTTTGACATTGACACCAAGTCATTTACTCCTACTGACAGACCCCACGGACGTCCACTTGTAACTAGATACGACGAGCAAATCACTCTTCATCACCACACAAAGTACTTTTACGAGGTGTATGACATGGGCGATTTGTTCCCATTTGACCCATATTTGGATGTGTTCTTCCTCTTCCATCCTGGATTCAAGACTGCGGATGAGATCCACTGGCAGAAGTCCTTGAAGGGCTTATTGGAGTCCAAGTGTGCAGTTTTTGTTACGGGATACCACGAAAAGGATGCCGCCAGAGAATTGGAGTGGTTGAAAACTAATGAATTGAACGATGAAATGGATATTCTCATGAACCAGACGAAGAACATTTTTGGGTCGACGAAGTTGGACTTGGTAGACTCTAACCCTACGGAGACTTTCCAGGCCAACAACGAAATCTTTGCTTTCAGAGGAAAGAGATATCATGCCATCAGAAAGTGATCTGTGTATAGCAAATCTTGTACATAACAACATGCTTTGGAATAGATTTTTGTATTGAGACCAAAATAGTATGATCATTCGTGACAGGATATGAAAGTTTAATCCAATATTCTTATCCTAGTATCTTTTTTCTTATCTCTTCCATCCTAATTGCCATTATACTCTATCTCCTTCTCGGAGGTACTGGTGTCGACCTACATCAAGTCCCACCACGTAAGTATTATACTCCACATTCCACCATGGATCGTATCTTCAAACTAAACCTATGGGTCAAGCAAGTTAATCGACCTGCTGGAGTAGAAGAGATTGTTCAATATAGTCTTAACTTGACTTTGGAGCACAACATAGGTCACATCAAAGAACTGATCTGGATAATGAGTGAAAGTTACAACCTTAAGCCAGTGTTCCTAAAGATAACATACAAGGACGCTAGCTTGAACGATCTGGATACGTTGGCTAGTATTATGGGGATTTCAGAGCCTCCCTCCAACACTGAGCAGGACTGGGGACTCATAATTGACTACACATTGTTCGATTCGCCATTTATTCCCAATAGAACCCCAGTGCTTACAGCGTTCGAAGTAGTGGTGGACGGACCAGTAAGAGGTGAATTGATTTCCTTTTCGTCACAGTATACACTTGACACGTTGCTTAGCACAATTGAGCAGAACTTCAAAAGCAAGTATGATGTGCAAGGTAATTTTGTCATGGTGAGCGAATCATCTGAGTACGATAATGACAGACTTCGCAAAGGATTCGAGATTATAACGCTTGTAGATTTGACCGCCGGACATGGGCGGATCCTCGAGGAAGGTCGCTTGTGCAAGGCGCTATTTTTGGACGTCACACCGTTGCATCCTGTCAGGTTGTCTTTAGTGCCCACGGCAACTATACAATTGAAGCCTAAACAGGGAGGAGAAGCTACTATGTATTTGACCAACGCACATGAGTCGATTCATTCTATGAAAGAGTACCTTGCGGGAGAAGAGCATGATCCTCTCACTATCATGCTCTGGAATGGACATCGAGTCATATCAGCCGAACTGTCCACTTGCGATTCTCGGCGGCTTGTGGATGCACTTGGCTATGAATTCTTTAGTGGAGAGTCTCCGGCTTTGGAGTATGTGTGTGGAAGACCGAAGCCTGTTCATCAAGACATGTCTGCTTGGGAACCCGAGCTTGAAAACAGCCTGGAGTATTACACTCTTGAACTCAATGGATCGACCATCAAGTTCTCGACTTCCGACATGATTGTAAACGAGAACGATGGCTATGTGCTTGTGAATCCTGTTGCGTATTCCCGAATGGCCAACAAGTTTCATGTTGTGGCAGGAGACTTTGCCAATCAGAGACATTTAAGGACGAGTGGTCCAGTTCCAACGGGTATAAACGCTGGTCATAGTTCTCCAAACGCTGGTCCAATTACTTCGGGTCCAATTACTACCGGTCCAATGACTGCCGACCCAATTACAGCTGCTGATGGCACTCCATCTGGAGTTGTTAGTAGTGGACCAACTTCGGTTCCTGGACACATAACACCTACTCCAACATCAACTGCAACACCTACTGGAACAACTAGTGACACGGATCTGACTGCACCAACAACACCAGAACAAGAACTTTTACAGACTACGAATCATCCACTGGGTACTACAGTTGTTGCTCAAAATGTTCAGGAACCAATTGCGCAAGAAAATCTCCATGCTCCCCTTGAACAACCTCCCATTGCTCAAGAAGACGCAGATCAACCCAACCCAGATCGTTCAGTTTTCGAGGTGATCAGTCGACTTCTAATGGCCAATAGGCAACGATTCGCGCGGTTTGGAGTTGAGATGGTTATTGGAGTGTTCATCATAGGGTACGATTTCTTATTCATGTTTTTCAAGATGGAGATCCTCGTGTTTCTCCTTGTTATTTCATTGTTCGTGTTGTTTTTTCACCGTGGTCGAGAAGCTAGCGAGTGGCTTGACCGGAATTTGTTGGCCAACGCACCACCAAACCAATTAGACTTCGTATTGGTGCGAGACATCTCACGTTTGATGCTCTACTGCAACCGACTCGACGATCGCATATGGTCTGGACTTCTCCAGTTCACAATTAAGGTTTTGCAAGTGTTCATTCCTCGACGCTACCAGTGGCTCGCCCAAGAGTCCCGTGGAGACCGCAGCATATGGAACAACATGGTGGAATTTGCCAAGGAGTCAATTGGTACCGGAGTATTGTTTTTTGCAACGTTACTGCCATTCATACAAGAAGGCGTGGAGGAGTACTTACTACGGATGAGCAACTCTGAGGCCAAGACCATCATCAAGGCTATTGAGACAATTCTTAACGAGCCAAGATGGGCGCAGCACAATCAACTCTTCAAGCGAACAGTGCAGTCACAATTTGGCGCCAACGTGGACGAGTTCTTGGCCCAAGAAAAAGTTGAAGAGTATGAAGAAATTTTGCAACTATTAAAACTATGGACCATAGTAAATCGATTGCAAAAGGTATTTTTAGCCGAGGTTGAAAGGCTCGAGCGGGGATCTACTGATACGATTTTTGAAGGCGTCGAGGATATTGACAGTACAAGTGCTCGAAATGAAGGAGCGGATTCGGACGACCAAAACACTCCTGAAAGCAAAGAGGCTTTCTTTGACGAAATTGTTCGTGCAGAGGGTGCGAGTGGCATGGAAGTGAGCGAGATCGACACGGTGATAACGCAGCGATAAACACGCACGCATTAATTAGGCAGGGCGACAGTGTACAACAAAAAGGAAAGACGACGGAAAAAAGAAAGTCGAAATCAACCTCCTGCTGCGGGGCAGTTTGAAAACGGTTGCTCTAATAGGAGCAAATTGAAGTCCATGATGAAGCAAGTCGGGTAGAATGGTCTCCGTCATTTGTTTACGGGGACGCAACTGACAAAAAATAACGGATGACGGGAGATCAACTTAATAGTATGGCCAGTAGTGAAGGTAAGCTACACATAACTACCGGATATAGTCAGGGCATACTAATGCAAGCTCGCTATAGGTGCAAGCAAGCGTTATTAGCCACAACAAGGCGTCAGACCAAGGCAACTCAATTGGCAGGCACTCAGACGAGCCCCCACCAAGTTCTAGGCCAGTGGGTTCTGTGTGTAGTACCGTACGCCAAAATGACTATGATGAACCCCTAATTGGGGAAATGAGAAGCAAGTGAATGTTGAAAAAAAAAGCAATTTTAAATCAATATCCCTTGACCTGTGAGAGAGCAATTGCAAAAGAAAAATGGGAAGGAGAGGAAGAATATTACGAAAAAGAAATATTTGGTCACAGATTGCTCCACCTTTCAGGCGCAACATTGTTGGGGGTCCATTGAGAGTCTATAACATGTCAATGCATGAGCGCGAGCCATTTTCGCACTTTTGGTGGAATCTGGATTACGCAATTACTATTCCGGCCGACGAAAACCGTGAACAAGCCGTCAATGTCACCTGTTGCTTGCAGGACATAACCGAGTGAGTCAAAACAAACAACGCACAAAATACAAAATTTTCGAGGGCATACCGTGATGTGTGCAGGTGTAAGCGCGACTAGCCATAATACTGGCCAGAAGAAAAAATTCCTCTATTGTCCCAGTTTGGGTATAAAAAGGCAAGCAAATCCCCAGCTATCTTTTTTTTCTTCATCTTAGATCCAAACCAACTACTCGTCTTTCGCTATGCAATTCTCCACCGTCGCCCTTTTCGCTGCTGCTGCTGTCGCCTCCGTCGTCACTGAGACCGACGTTGCCTCCACTTTGGTTACCATCACCTCTTGTGGCCCAGAGGTGACTAACTGCCCAGCTCACCTTTCCTCTGTTGCTGCTTCTTCTTCTGCTGCTGCTAACACCACCGTTGCTAACGTCTCCACTTGGGAGGGTGCTGCTAACAAGCAGTTCGCTGCTGGTGCCGTTGCTTTGGCTGCTGGTGCTTTGTTGGCTTTGTAAGTGTTCCAGTAATGGAATTTTTATCCTAGATCAATATACCACACTGCCATCATCTGAGATGTAAGCAAATAATAATACATGAAATTCAATATTATTGAGTAGAAAATCAACTTCACATAATTCTGGGAAATGAATTTTGACCATTGCCTATTTCGTCATTGAAATGACATTATTTTCTCGTTCTACATTGTTGCTGTAGCATTACGAAAACAAACAAACAAATAGGAATTCCGCGTATCACTACGGTATGCCGCCTACATGTGGCGGAATCGCACTGAAATCAAAATACGCACGGTAAATCTCAATAATTTCCTCTCATTGAACTTTCCTTTCTGGTGTGCGTATTTCCTAATTTGAGTCCCAATGTAGACATTTGTGACTTAAAGCCTATATCTTTAAAGTAATGCGGGTAATTGTAACTCTGGCGGTTGGTAATGCCTAAATGCCTTAAGTTGGCCAAAAGAATTTCCTGCAGTAACGCCTACTCTGAGGCATACGATAAAATAGCAATAATAGAAGAATCATACTGATGTCAAGAGTTAGGTAATATAGTGAATCTTGTTTACTCTTGTCTTCTGTTTTCTATTTCCTACCCAATTCAGACTGTTTTTTATGACTGCCTGATTTTCTCTATTTTTTTATGTACGTTGTTGTGATTTGAAATTTTTAAGTCAAATGGTTAGTCCTCACTGAATTTGTAAACTATCTACTCTCACCCAAGTTACTCAAATACCCCAAATTTAAAGTAGTCACCAAAAATCGAATAATGAAGAAAATTGAAAAAAAAATAGCTCACATATAAACTCCGACCCAAAACTCCTTCTCATCTCATTTTTTCTTTAAAAATTACATTTTTTTGCCCAATTCTGTAGGAATATCCTTAATCTACCTATCCTGTACTACTAACTATCTCAAGTATGCGTCTCGACGAAGAGTCCAAGGCATTTCACTATGCCGTGTACGCAGTAGTGGGCCAAATCCCTTATGGAAAAGTAACTTCGTACGGTCATATCGCCTATCTCATAGGAAGACCCAAGAACGCCCGCCAGGTGGGCTCTTCTCTCAAACACTCTGAGTATATAGTTAGTCAGCTTAATCTGGAGGATGCTGGAATCTCCGATTTGCCCTGGTGGCGGGTCATTCTGAGCGCAGGTACAATCTCCAAACGAGATTCTGGCGAATATGAACAGGCCAGGCGCTTACAGGATGAAAAGGTCGTGGTGGACGGGATGAAGGTGGATTTAGATGACTTCGGTTGGTTTCCGGACCTGGTGGATATTTAAAAGACTTCTTACTTCTATTGGTTACAACTAAATACATGAAATGCTATAATACACATCCTTAAGGAACGCTCTTCTTCCTCCCTCGGCGCAGCTTTCCTCCTCGTCCTCTCTGAGCATTTTGTCCTATCTCTCTGCTATGTCCGTTCAGCTCGCTCACGTTGCCATTTGACGCTATATTCTGTCTGTTCTGTCTGTTCTGGCTGAAACCTTCTAACTCCATCTGAACTCTCTTAGACTCCTGCTCCCACCATTTTGCAAACTCTTGCTCCTGCTGAACGTCTTGCATTGTTCGCAGGAATGTCTCTTGTAACTTCTGCTCTTCCACCCGCGTAGACTCCTGGAGCATGATGGCACTCAACGTGGGTGTAGTATCATTCTTTTTGGCTCCAAGCACGGGTAGGTTGGCAACATTGCTAGAATTACCAGTTTCTGGCGTGGAAGCAGGCTTCCATGGATTCTTTAGTGCCTGCGAGTTACTTGAGCTTTCGCCAAACACTGGATCCGGCTCCTGTTGTGCAAGTTTCTTTCTCTGCTTCTGCGAAAGTCTCATGGACGGAGCAAACTTGATTTTGGTTTGTCTTGGGTTCTCATTCTCCCGAAGTTGAAGAGGTTGAACTGCAGTCACTGACGAAGTCGAAGAATTTCTCGAAACCCAAGCGAACGAACTTGCACTGCTTCCAGGGGCACTTCCATTAGCACTGAATGTACCCATACTCGAAGAATTTGGTTCCATCGGCGTGGAAACTACATCTGCAGTTCCAAAAGTTGGTTGGTTCGGACTGCTGCTTCTTTCCTTAGACAATGGAAGTCGATCACTCAGAGACAAGTCTATCCTTGGAGTCAGTTTGGACTTGCGCCTTCGGGTTACCAACTCAAACTCCTCTTCGTCAGCGATGGCAGACTCACTAACCCTTCTCTCCTGAATTTGGGCACTGGCCAGTTCTCTAAACTCGGCCAATGGATCAATACTGGTTCGCCTAGACATTCTTCTGGCAGACAGCTTCCTTCTGCTCTCTTCATTAATAGAGTCGTTCTTGAGCTCTGGATGTGATTCTAGAAATTCTTTGGTATCTTTCATATACCAAATATTGAACTGGTCTGGACTCTTGATGAAGAAGTTAACACTCCCTTCTCTCGATTCCAAAGCATTAGTGCCGTAGTGGGGTTTAACCTCTCCTTTATCTCCAACAACAAAATCTTCAAACTTGCAATGATGCAAGAAGCAAATTTGCAGTTCAAGCTTTTGCACTAGCTCAATGTCCAAGTCGCATAGGTTCCTGTCAAATACAACAATTTCAAGATTATTATAGATGTACCAACAACAGCTCATGAACAACTTTTGAGCATGAAGCCAATCTGAATGAGCAAGCAAAACGAGTACGTTTTCTGTACTGATGAAATCCTTGATTGCTAACTCGCACAAATGTTTCAACTGGACAAGTAATAATTCATCCGAAATTTCTATCATGTCCAAGAGAAAGTTGACAAAATCATCAGAATCATTAGTTTCTGAGATAATACCTGTTGCTGAATCAAATACATGCAAATCATTGCACCCATGCAAATGATTGAGAATGACCTGAAATTGCATGGTATCAACATTCTCCAATGTAATATACTTCATGTGACTTCCGTCTTGACTAGAATCAGCATCCCCCGTTTCCCATCTGCAAGAGAGAATAGTCTCGAAGAATGCAGATCTGGCTACCAAAATAGAGGAGTGGCAAAGCTCTACTCCATCTCGTAAAGTAATTAGTACATCACCATCAGTTTTATCATCTGCCATTTGCTGAAGTTGATTAACGAAAGCTTCTCTCTTTCCGTAGAACCCATCCATTCGAAACAAGTCCATGAGCTTGGTATAATCAGACTTCACTTTTCGAATTTCCTCGGGGCATTTTAGACCACTGGGGTAATTCTCCCAAAAACTTAGAACATCATTTGTATACATGAAATGTAGAAGCACAACAACTGCTCTAAGCGATACATCTGTGGAGAATGTGAGTGTTTTCGAGTCCTTGTCATAGAAACCTTGAATATCCTCATGAATGAAATATTCGCCTTCATTCTGAGGATTGAAGATCTCCATGCAAAATGAAGATCTGTACTCAAGCAACTTTGTATGGAATCCAATTGACACATCTGGTCTTCTCGTGAATTTGATCAAACCGTCATAGAATTTGTTGCTAGAAGCAGCACAGTCGTTCAAAAATGCTAGGACTTGCATTTCAGAGTTTAGGAAGTTAATCATTGAAGCACTCCTTTCGGTCGGCTGATATACTGACTTGGCCAAAGGTTCTGAATTTTTTGAGTAGTTGAATTTCTGATCTTGATTCAACCTGAGAAAATCGATATTTCGACCCAAGTCGTCTTTTGAGATTGTCAAACTCGATAAATCTTGGCCAAGACGGTCCATGAGAAAAGGGTGCTCGTCATCATTCGAACTCGAAGGGCTGGATGGGTAAATGTAGTCGGTGACATAGGAATTCACATCATGATCGACATCCAAAAGCTGATCTTGTTTTCTGTACAGATCTTGTTCGGACAAGACACTCAAATACTCTAGATCGACGAAAAAGTCATTCTTCTGCAATTTCAAAGGTAACAGGTCAATATCATCTTTGACAACTGCGAAAGAGGTGAATGATTCGTCACATGCAACTCGACATACTCGATTGACATGCTCAACTTTTTTGAACTTCTTTTTCGTGGAGGAGAAAGCTGGCATGGACATGGTGCTCACAGAGCTGCTTCTTTTTTGTGTTTGAGTAGTATTGACAAAAACAGAGCCGTTTTTCGTACAGATGATTACCGAGCCATCATAAGAGTTATCAACATCCACTGCCCGCATGTCGGAGTCATATGCCCGCCATATATAAGTATATCTGACATTCCTTAAGCTTTTGACATCGGAAAGCGAAAACGCCATAACATCACCGCCCTCAAGTAAAATGTGAATGTTTTCAGCAGCCCTCAAGACTATTTTCTTGATTATGGGCGCACTCGTGAGTCTGGAAGGCTTGAAGCAGTCAAACTTCACATCATGGAACCCACGGACTGGTAGTTTTGGAAGCTTCACCCTTTGACCAAGAAAATATACGTAGATATCATTCGAGACAGTCACCACGCAAGTGCATGTTTCACATGTGGAAACAAACTTTATTTCATCCCTCAAAGTTACTTCCTTCGGCTGAGGAACTATGGAGCCCTTGTATGTTACACCATTAACTCGGTGGTTATCACTATTCTTGACTGGTGTGGTATCCGAAGTAACAAAGCCCATTTGGCCGATATCTAACCCCCAGAAGAAGATGGAGTTTCGGGAGTAAGCCACCGAATGGATTTTTGACACCTCCACTCCTAAGAGCCGTTGAGATTTTCTCCGCAAGTCGCCTGAATTAACCAATCTGGGAGAGTTCTCATACACCTCAGAGGTATTTTTGAACGACAGTTGCGCAATAGTGGTGAAACCAAGCTGGTTGTAGGAGTTCAAACCCCACGCATACACTTCATTAGTAGAGGTGAGTGCTATATTGTGGTTATTGGAAGTTCCAACATCAAGAACGGCTCCGATAGAATCGAAGAAGTCTACCGCTTTGTGGCGGTACAAATTGGCCACATTGCCATGACCCAAGCGACCTCTAGAGCCCATTCCACAAGTAAAGAGACGGCCATTTAAGGTAATCACCACCGAGTGATATTTGGAGAGTTTGACCATGCGGAAACGAGGTTTCGTCAACATTTCACGAATTTGAGTATCCACTTGGTACACCAGATTGAAATCACGTAGACTAACACGGCATGGAGCCGATCTGTCAGTTGAATCACCTAATCCAAGTTGATTATTGGTATTGGATCCGAATGCGTAGATATGCAGCCCACCTCGAGATTCCAGCCACCAGTCGTGTTCAATATATGGCGGGAGGTATGCGTCCACGGAATCTGTAGGACTGGAGCTCTTGAAGCGCCGCTCAAGATGGAATTCGTTGCTTTCATTAATATACAGTGGAATCCACACAGTGTCCTTGATATCATTGTTCAAAAGCGCCAAGGGGGGCAACCGACATCGGTCTTTTCGCTTGAGCAACTCAGCCAAGGCGTTGGCAGTGGAGTTGGGGGCCAGATCAAGGTTCTCAAGCAAAATCAGCAAACATGCCATTCGCTTATGATGAAAGATATAATGGAGTACATTCCAGCCGTTCTCGTAGTCTGTAGCTAGTAAAATGTGTCGAGAATCGGGGGAACGGAGTAATTTCCGAAAGCTGGCGACGTCGTTGGCCAAAATGGCAATGTGGAGAACAGATCTCCCGAAGATGTCCTTGGTTAGCAAGGTACTTTTGGGTAGTTTCGCTAGGTTGAGAACATGGTCGTCTTTCTGATTCTTTTTCATAATGTGTTCGACATTTGGTGATATGATTGCCTAAGAGAATATCTGGTAAACAGGTGGTTATAGATTAATAGTATTGAAGGCGTGGGCCAGTATGCACTAATTGGTGAGTTGAAGTCAGTAATCATGTAGATTTTTGTTCGTGAATTAGTTAATACGCAGTTATGTTGAAACTTGATGCTTGTGTGTTTGTCAATACAAAATGCCCTCCTATTGTTGATGTTCTTTTCTATTATCAGATTCTTATTGTATAATGTTCTGTTGATACACTTGTCGTAATCAGATTCTATGCTTCGATGATTACTATAGACTGCACCATCAACCCAGCCAAAAAAGGTGATATATTATTAGGAATATGCCTTAGAACTTTTTGCTTATCTTCTACTCTCTTAACCTTCAGCTTATATAAACATGCCTAATTCTGAACAATCATCCTATATATTAGTTATACAATTATGCCTCCATCTTGATCTCGCTCTTCAAGTCAAACATGTCGCTCGTATCCATTTCTTCTGCATCTTCATCTTCTTCCGGCAAGATGTATGCGCTCGACAAGATCTTCTTCTTGACAGCTGCAATCTTGCCCGTGGGTGGAAGACGTGGACGGATATTCCTCTGTTTTTGTGGAAGCTCTTCGTCTTCCATCAAATACAATTGCGACGGTGGAGGCAACTCAGTGCTCTCGCCCTTTCTCTTTTGCTGTTTGGCATAGTGAACCTCCGTCTTCTGCACCAACTCCCAATAGAAGGGCTGCAATAAACCAATCTGTGAGCCCACGTCAGAAACAGTCAATTGCTTCTGCTTCCAGTCACGCAAGTCCTCATAGCGTGTAGCCTTGTTGGCTGATCCAGCGTTGGTTAGCGAGCTCTGGAGTCGAGAATGCAACAAGTAAACAGGAATAGAGCTGGATAACATCTTGAATTCTTTGTCGAGGCCTAACTCCTTGAAGCCGAAGAAATCGTCTCCAAGCTCGCTTGTAAAGTCTCCGGTCGCAAACTGTTCACTGTTATCTTCGAAACTTTTCTCATTGAAGCTCTCCAATGAGGGCCGAAGCAAGTCCTTGAGAAACCCTGAAAGCTTCATACGCAAATCCTTAAGCTTACCTTCATGCTTCTTAGCCTTCTCCTCCACAAACGTAAACAAATCATCTGGCTTCTCCACTCCATTCTCGAGAAGAGAAAGTAGAAGAACATCCCGGTCACCCAATTTGTTGCTGGTGGTGGATTCACAATGGAGTTTCATGCTCTTTGCCAAGTTCAGCATGTACTTTTCTGCAAGCTGTGCAAGAGTATTAATGGCAAAGGGTTCTGTGGTTTCAAAACCCGTATGCATAGCGATCTTAGCAATACCTTTCCTGAGCGCAGCAAATTGAACCTGTTCGTTGTAGATATCATGGTTAGACAATTTGGAAACGGGATCGATGTCGACTTCTTTGATGTACTCAATTTCGGGTTGGCGCATTTGAGTCCGGTGCACGAATTGCTGCGTTTGCATTTGTCTGATCAATGAAATCTTGAAACAGATCTTTCGAATCTCTTGGATTTCGGTGATGTTGTTTGTGTATAGTTTGTTAAGTCCAGCATCAGTGGGCAAAATGAGCTCTGATGATTTATCATTGGGGTCACCATCTGAGTTCTGTAAAATGACATCAACCATATCATTCTCAAACTTTTGTTGTGCTTCATCATCCAACCCTGAGAACTGGAGTCCTGGAACACCACCTGCAACATCATACTCAAGCAAGTACGGCTCATCATTGTCGAGCAATTTGTTGCCTTTAGAGACAACTTCTTTGAAGCTCAAAAACTGATTGAAGTTGCTCATTTTAGAAGGATCTCTAATGATTGCTTCTGCATCCATTTTGAGCTTATTATCTTCATCAAATAACGCAGCTCTGGTTGCGCAGTAGTTAGCTCTGGATTTGGCAGTGAGATTCTTCCACGTTTGCATTTCTGGATCTTTCTCTTCATCTTCTTCCACTCCACGCATTTCATCTTCACCCTCTCCTTCATCTTCCTCCTCTTCTTCACCGTTTTCTTCTCCACCATTTAATTCGGCAGACTTATCGTCAGTCGGTAGTGGAGTACCTTCTTCAGTAACGATTGGTGTATCCGCTGTAGAAGTAGCCTCAGACAGTTGTAGACTAATCACACCTTCGGTTTCCTCAGCCTTAATGATGTCCTCTCTTTTTCTCATTCTTCCCTTCTTGGATGACTTACCACCTTTAATCGCGGGCGTAGATGCCTTTGTGTCGGCGTCTAACTCTTCTTCTTTCTCGATCTCCGAACGGTTCTTAATGACAATGTTAGGAATGGAGGGTGCGAGCTTCTGAGTTCTCTTTTGCATGGCAATTGCATGTGCCCTCATGAAATGCTTCGGATCGGCGTTGTATGTCAAACAATTATTCCAAATGAGCATCAAGTCGTCCACAAATTCCTGTTTAGAGTTATAGGATAATCCCTTCAACTTCTTCATGACAGTATTCAAATCCATGGGCTCCTTGATAATTAGACCATAGTTTGGAGCTTCACGTTTCGATACCTTATTCAAAAAAGGCGTGGAATGCTCGGTATATCCACGTAGATCCAAGAGAACTTTCTCACACGCTTCATACAACTCTTCCTGTCCAACACGTTCGTCATTAGCCCATTTTCCTCGGTTTTTGCGAACGTCCATGAACAAGTTTCTCAATTCGAAGTCGTTCAAGGCAATGTCTTCTCTTCTCTCTTGAATGGCACTAAGTAAATGCTTCAATGAGTGGGATGCAACACCCAAGTGAATAGGTATGCTGCCGGTTGCAGAGTCCTCCAGAGTCTTCAGGGACTCAAGTTGCATATCCGACTTTTCGAGCTTTCTTCTTTTGATCAAGGTTTCACGGTCGTACTCGAAGTTATGGTAGACTTTGTTAAAAGACTTTATCATGGCTTCCTGCTCCTCCAACAGCGCGGAAGATGATGAAAGGTCTTCAGAAGATTGTGATTTCTCTAGCTCTTGCTCAGAATCATCAGCTGATGCTTTCGAAAACACTGCCTTGGGAATGGTTAAGACGACTTGACCGTCTTCATTGTATTCGAGGGCGGTTTTGGACCCTTCAACGTCTCCATTGGCAGTGGGCATATCATCCAGCTCATCGTCGTCATCATCGTAATCATCTTCTTCGTCTCTGACAGTTTTTTGAGCTGGCGCAGCCGACGTGTCTTGATTGTTAGCAGCAGTATTTGGAATTTGGTCGAGCGACTCTATTAGCTCGCTTTCATCCGACAACTCCTCGATCACCGGCATCGGAAGTCCTTCTTGCAACTTCTTCTTGTCATAGTAATAGTCAATCGCTTTTTCCCAGAGAAGATAGCGCAAATGGAGCGCTAATTGATTGATACATTCGTTGCCTTCCTCAATGTTTTCGTCGGTGTCGCCTTTCGCCGTAGCATCGGAATCCTCATTTTTGGATACCATCAAGTAGCAGTTTCCGTCAAGAAAATTGCTCCAGAGCTTGACATTATCTCGTTGCAATACCTCGGTCAAGATTTGTAGCTGAAAATCCGTCAAAGATTTGTCGAAAGCATTCTTCTCATGAAGCGTTTTAGCAAGCTGAAGAAGCCGAGTCGGATCGCTCTGCAGAAAAGTAGCTAGACTCTCCATATTGGTATATTTTCCAATGGATTATGGTGGTTTTGTCGCTAGGTCTTCTGGAACGTGGACTGATAGTTGAAAAACAGAAAATTTTAAGAGTAGGCCGGTTAAAACAGAAATTTAACAGAATGAGCGTAACGAGGGTCCGGCAGAATACCTGAAAGCAAGGAAAATAAGGCCAATAGTACGAATTCTCGGATTGATCCAGCGGGTTTGAGGTGAAGTTTGGAAATGTTCTGTTGACTGAGTTGTGACTGTCTGCAGGACTGAATAGTACAAGTATGGAGATGGATTATATGAGGACTTAATAGTTTCAGAATTGAGGTTGATAGGTGAAGATCGAAGTGATGCGTTGTCAGAGAAGGTTGAAGATGGTAGAAATTTTGTAGACGAAAGTCAATTTATGGTGAGGAAGCAACAAGGTAGAATGGTTGTGCGACAAGATTCCAACTAATGCAAAGTGTACATTAATCTATGTATCGCTCGAGGCACTCGCGTTAGACCGCATACTTCTTAGTCCACTCTCTAGCAGTGGCCTCGTACTTTGGTCTGTCCAGCTTGTAGACGTGAGCAATCTCAGGCACCAAAGGATCATCCGGGTTAGCGTCAGTCAACAAGGAGCAGATGGACAACAAAACCTTGGAGATAGTAAGTGCTGGAGACCACTGGTCCTTCAAGATATCTAGACAGATAGAACCGGTGCCATTGATATTAGGGTGGTAGATCTTGGTAGTGAAGTTGATCTTTGGAGGCTTGAATGGATAATCAGTTGGGAAGTGAATGGAGAGGAAGAACACACCTCCGGCGTATGGCGAGTCTGGAGGGCCCATGATGGAGGCCTGCCAGTGGTACAAGTCATCGCCGACTGGGCCAGCGGAACATGACGATGGAGGATCTCTGTATAGTTAGTAAGCATATTCAAGATAGGGAAAGGGAGCGCGAAACCATGGATGGACAGGCGAGCGGAAGCTGAAACACTTGAATCGTCGGACATCCAAAACAAATTCAATCAAAGTGTGAAGCAGAAGAACGAGACAACAGGGCCAGAATAAATGCACCGATCTTCATCCATAAGGTCCGAATCGATCTATAAAAACCTTCGAAAAATGCACAAAATGATATCCGCTATCGGTCCAAACGCTCAAATACACAAGCTCCACATCACAAACACCTCATTCCACTCCATAACATCAGCGGAAGTTATCTGGTTACCAGAAATAGCCCGCGGGCAACAGTGGCGACTCTCAGAAGATTAGTTGGGCGAGTCAACGCACCAACCAGAAAAAAAAACGTACCTTCCCAAGTCAAGCAATTCCTTATTAATACGTTTCAACGACATGATGAGATTTGTGGTTTATGAGTCTTTTGTAGAAAAAAGATAGGTTGGGGAGAGAAAAAATCCATTGCGGTGAGGTGGTTCGGCGGTGACACTGAGGGTGTCCTGCACACAGCAGAGGTGATTCCAGTGGCTTCCATTCGCACATGACCAATTTCTGGAGGAGACCGGGTGAGGCGTGGGTGGTAGGAAACTTGAGTAGTAAAAGTTCAGATGATTAAAGGAGATGAAGATAGTTAGTGTAGGGTCGTCTCGAGTAGCCTTTTTTGGTTTCTAAACTAGGAATGATAAGTATGGAAACTTATGGCGACATCGGGGACATATATGCAGGACTAAAATCCCATTTATCGGTAGACAAGAATAGATGATGGAGAGATTATTGGAGGAAATGAACCTGGCCAATTGAACAGGTACTAGCAAAATGTGAAACAGTTCAATGTATTCAAATATTGCTTTTTCCTCTTGTCATTCAAGCACTTAAAAGCAGGAGGATCTTGAACTACTATGTAGAGACTTTAAGGCTCACACTACCACTAGGAACGAGCGACTTTCTAATATTCGGTTGGATCGATGTTTTACAATATCCATCCTCTGTTCTACCATCTCTACCACTCCATCGTCTACTGCATTGTTTGAACTCTGTTTCCACTTCCGCGATTGCTTGTGATATCTCCCCACACAACATGATCTACCACTATCTCTTTATCTCTATTTCGGTACTGCACTCTAATAGGCTACCATCTATGGCTCCACATTGTCTATCCATAAAAGTAATAGTAGAAACGTTGCCATACCCAACATCGTATCCCACTATACCACAGAATGCTGATGATTTCCAACTATAACTCATCCTCTGCCTCTAATAACCATCCCCACATTTCACAGCCAATGACCTCAATTCCGCATGCAATCATCTAATTGAAACCCATAAATACCGAAAGAAAATCTATTCCAAATCAGAAGAAAGAAAAAAAATGCTTATTTATGTCAACCATAACCAATCAACTTTACAATTCATATGCGGCCATTCCCACCAATCTCGAGTCTCCAACATCTCCATTGGGATCTGTGCACTGCAGACAGCCTCATCACCTATAACGGTATTTCGTGCTATTACTCTCTGATTCTACGGTACTGGCCACATCCATGTCGCCCACCGCAGACATGTCAAATCAGGAAGGACACGGCCGGAATCTGCAACCACAAGCTCAAGGGCCCCCGCTTAAGAGAGAAGAGTCATCCCACTTCAATGTTTTAAAACCGACCTTTCTGACTATAGAGCCTCCAGGTTTGGAGAGAAAACGCCATCTGCCCAAGTCACGGAATGGTTGTATCACTTGCAGGATTCGGAGGAAGAAATGCAACGAAGTACGGCCCATTTGCGCTGATTGTATGCGGTTTGGCAAGGATTGTGTGTGGGTCGAAAGACATATGACCCCAGATGAAATCAAGGCGCTTCGAGAACGTGTGGAGGAGCAAGAGATCCAAACTAAGATGCGAAAACGTAGAAAAATTGATTTATCGAAGGTACCGAAAGATGATGCCAAATCGAAGACGGATCACAAGAGTGAACTGAATGGAAAGGAATCGAAAGGAGAGAAGCGTGAGAAGACCGCAACGAAGAGTTCGGGCGGTTGGAGAAAACCAGAAATCTTTAATACTACCGGAGTACCGATTGGATCTGCAGTTTCAGGAATTGGAAACCGACTATTTCCTGTAATTAGAGAGAGCACCCACGACAGTTTCTCCTCTGAGCCTCTGTCGGAAGTTGTGACTCCACCATTTGGTTCTATTGGCAAGGTTGAGCCAACAATTGCCCACCACAACTCAGAAAAGCATTCCGGTGAAGAGAGTATCGGTCCTTCCACAGACTATATTGCAGCCCTCAAACAGGCGTATGTGAGTACGGCTTCACTACCTAAGATGCCAGACTCCAAGCTTGATATGGACTTGATACCTCATAACGGTGTACAGGTGGAACTCTATGGATGCACAAACACCAACTACAACAAGGCACCCAAATACTCACCGACTCTTAACCGTTCAGAGACACTAGCCCCATTCACCGTGCCTATTTCGCTTCCAGCCCTTCGCGATCAACCTGATCTGCCAGCGGTTTTCGGTCAGGATGCCCTTTCTCCACCTCTGAACATACTTTCTCCCCCTCCCTTGGACGTAGAGTATTACAAGGAAAACGAGGATTTGAATCCGGGATCGCCTGCTGCACTCTTGAATTTTTTCAAGGAGCTTTCACTGTTTAATGCTGGTGCTCTGCCGTCCAAAATTGCACTCATCGAAGAGAGCCACGAACACATCGAAAACGTCAAGCAAGAACAGGATGTTGTTGGGACAACAACTCATTTACCCAACTTAAGACTATCGCCCAACTTCAACATTCTGGAGTTCATGGAATTTGTTCTGAACCATGGATCCCCTGAACAGCTCAGTCACTTGGCTTCGAGCTTCAATAATGCATTTGGCTCATCTCCACAGCCATCACTATCTGTTTTACCGGGCTTGGATAATTCCGGCAATTATTTGTACAACTATTACGTTGATACACTCTCCCGCAAGGTGTCTATTGCACCACACAGTCAAGATGAGTCAAACTCGTACCAGAAAGTGTTTTTGCCCCTTGCACAGAAGGACAAGGGAGTTTTATATGGTATTTTAGCTTGGGCTGGTTTCCATCTCGGTGGCTCTTGGCTAGCTGAAGGATCTAAGTATGCCGAGATGGCGGTAAACCATTTGAGGCAGGATGTTGATTTCAACAACACTTCAACTCTAAAACATGATAGAAGGACTATATTGAATAAGCTTGCAGCCCTTTTGATTCTTTGTGGTGCAGAGATCTGTCGTGGCGATGTCAAGTACTGGACAATTTACTTGAATTGGTGTTGGAAGCTACTTCGTGACAATGGTGGTATCCTCAACTTTGATACAAACAAAGAGGAGCACTGGCTCATTTCCAACTTTGCTTATCACGATCTCTTGGCCAGTTCCACCTCGCAAAGAGGCACTTACTTCCCCGTCAAGACCTATGACCGCATTTTCACCGACCCTGACGGTGTTTCAAAGGGTAATCTTAACCCGTTGCTCGGAGTGTGTAAGAACTTGTTCAAAGTCATCGGTGATATCAGTTCACTAGCATATGAGAGCAAAAAATCACTTGACCACTACTACAATCGAGCATCTCCGGTGGAAAACAGTGGATCTCCATCAACACACACATTCCAATCTCCAGAGAATCAGGCCGCTTACTACCTGACAGATTTTGAAGACATTAATTCGGATTTGAGTGAACACGGAAGGACAGGTCGACTTCTTCTCTCGATTATTGAAAGAGCAAGGAATTTGGAGCATTCCATTGACACAGCCAAGCCAGATTCAGACGACCTTATGGATTTGTCCGATTCCGAGTTGGAGTTGCAACTTACTACGTTTGAGGCATTTCAATTGAGCTGCAAGCTTTACTTGCGCCAGTCAATCATGAAGTGCAACCCATCGTCGTTGGAATCTCAAGTATTTGTCAACGACTTGGTGAAATGTATCGATATTCTCATCGATTCTCCAATGCAAGCCACACTTGTGTTTCCTATTTTTATTGCGGGTATCCATATGGTTACTGAAGACGATAGAGTGGTTATGAAACAGAGGATGCAGAAGATGATGGACATGTATGGACCATGGAATGTCGTAAGGGTCAAATATCTCTTGGAGTTAGTGTGGGAGAGAAATCCCGAGGGTGATCGGGTAGTTGACTGGAACTCCATTCTCGTTGAACTAGGATGGGACCTCAACTTTGCATAAATGACTACACGAATGACCACAATTTTCCTCTTTACTTCCCTATATTTTGCCTTACTTTACCTTACTCCCTTTTTTTCCGTCATTTTTCTCCTTCTATTTGATCTCTCACGGGTTTGTGGTAGCGAATAATGCACTATAAAAATGGCTGCGAAAACATCTATGTGGTGACTTCTTTCCACCACTTTTCCTTTCATCGCTTGCTCATAATGTCAAACGCAACGTTTGTTACCACTGCAGCCCCACTTGCCGATTCTGTTACACCCGTTGCACCCAGCGAAGTTACCCCAATTTCAAACGTGAGACATAAAACGTGGGCTCACCTTTTGGAGTACCCCACCGTCTTGGAGGTCCACAAATCCATGGAGAGCTCGCGATGGGTCAGACCCTGGAAGGTTCCCCTCATGGACTCCTTTGAGACCGTGAGCAACATCCAGCCTTTCAAATTTGCATACGAAACCGGAGATCGTTGGACTGAAAGCGGATTGGAGGTTTTAGATGGTTATTTTCCTTCGCTCAAGACCGTTGAATGCCAGGACATATCTAATCTGGTAACACAGCCAGCTAGAAGCTTGCATTTTATTGCTGTCAAGGGCGTGGTTGAGCCAACGGCAAAGTCTATCAATGATACTCGGATCTTTGTCCATCATGCTGTGTTGGACAGCAGGGCCACGCAGATGGCCAAGAAAGTTGCCAACCCTGTTGCTGGCACCTTGAATCTGATTTTGGACTCAACTTGTCGAGTGGTACTTCCAAGCGTTGACTTGGAGGCAGGCGGAGATTTAAGCGAGTTGAGGAAGACAAAAGTCAAGATCGGCAATCTTGTGACCTTGAAGAGAAAGCCCACAGAGACAGCTCACAGTGCCTCTACGGTGGCTCCAGTAGGTTCTGCGGCCAATTAGAGGGCTCTTACTGTCAAGTTACGCTACTATGTGTTTCACTTTTCCGTAGGTTAACATGCTATACAGGTGATGGTTCTAGAGAATGTAATTTACATTGCAACGATGCGATACCTCGTCTAGTCCTTAGACTTCTTCTTCTTCTTCTTCGAGGACTCGTCATCCTCGGCCTTTCTCTTCTTCTCCTTCTTCTCTTTCTTCTCCTTCTTCTCCTTCTTTTCCTTCTTCTCCTTCTTTTCCTTCTTTTCTTTCTTTTCCTTCTTCTCCTTCTTTGGCTCCTCAACATCGTCCTCATCAGCCTTGTCAACGTCCATGCTCTCAGCCAAATCACCAGCCAAAGCCAAAGCCTCCTTGATGGCATCAGAGTTCTTCATTGGAGCAGCACCAGTGTCGTAGAAGTTCAATCTGTCTTCGACCTGCTTCTTCAAGATCTGACCGAAGGCAGTGGATGGCTCGTCAGAGTAGTTGTCGATTCTGGAGGCAATCGAACACTTGTTAGCCAAGTATCTGGAGATTCTTCCCTTGTTCTTAGAAGAGGCCTTTCCAATGAACGACGAGTGGTAGATCAAACCGTACTTAGGAGTGTTACCCTTGGTCTTCAAGGCTCTGAACAAAGCCTTCTCAGCACCTAAGATTTGGACGGTAGAGGCAGCCTGCTTGGACAAGTTAGTCAAAGAACCAGCGTGAGAAATCAATCTGGCACCAACAACCTCACCAATCAAAGTGGACAAGTTAGGGGCCACAGTGTGCATCTTCTCGGTTAAGTACTGGTACAACTTCAGTCTGTACTCGGAGATGGACACCACTCTCTCGGCGAAGGTGGACACATTGAGCATATCTAGCTCAGAGATGTCCTGACCCATGGAGATCTTAGCGTTGTCAATGACTCTTTGGGCAACACCAGAGTCATCGTTGAGCAAAGCAGCGACATCGTGCAAGGACTCGTCAGTCAACGAAGCCTTGTCACCAATGAACAAAGCCAACTTGGCGTAGGTGTAGTTGTCAGGAACAATCTTGGCCAACTCAGGGAAGTGCCAGCCGTACCACTCCTTGACACGCATGGAGAAGGTGTTGATATCCTTGTCCAACTGGTCCAACAAAGCAATGGCCTGGATGATGTGGTTATCGTTCTTCTGCACAGAGAACTTCACCTTGGCTCTCGAGAAAGCATGGCCCAAACCCAACTGGGCTCTTTCAATGTCACCATCCTGCAACTCCTTCAAGAGCTTGTGGCCGTGAACACGAATACCTCTCAAAAAGTCCTGAACGATCTCGTTCAGCAAACAGTCGATGTAAGGGAAGGCTTCCTTGATGGAAGGACCCAAGTTCTTGTCCGACACACCCAAGGAGATTCTCTCCTTCTTGGATGGCTTAGGGAGGTTCAACTCCAACACGGACTTCAAGTAGTCACTAACCAAACCCTCGGAGATGTCGTTGGCGTTTTCCAAAGCTTGAGCAGCACCCTTGAATGGGGCAAAAGACACAAGTTCCACCATTTGTGAGAACTTGGCCAAGTCTGTAGAAGCTTCCTGGACTTCCTTCATTCTGGCGGCAATGTCGTCCTGCTGGACGTCCACCTTGAAGATGGCGTAACCTGTGGCTTCCTCGAAGAGAAGATAATCGATGCCAGCCATGATGATGTTGAAGATGGAGAAATTGGCTGGGAAAAATTCTTTGAGGGCATCGGGTGTGCAGAGGATGTTTGGGATGGACACGACTGAAGAGATGGAGAAATGTAAGGGAGGAATAATGCTAAGTCAGATAGGGAATACAAGGAGGAAAAAGGGATAAAAATCTAATGGCATTTAGGATTTGGTTTTGTGATTTTGGAGTTTTACGGCTATGACTTTGAGTATGTGGTCATTGAGGTTGATGAGATGGGTTGGTGTCAGGTTTAAGCAATTTGAATAAAGATTGAAATTTGAAAGATATTGAAATTTTATCATTAGCAGGATTCATTAATTTTGTTTTATTTTCTTTTCTCTTCTAATTTTCTTTCTTATCTCTATGTATCCTCCTACTCGATTAACTTTGTGATAGGAACTGAATGGCTGGACTGCACTCATTAAGTTCACATGGACGACAGGCATGGCCGTACATGAAATTTCCTCTGAAATTTGAAAAAACTTCTTAGCTCTCGTTCAATTACTGTCATCTCGTAGTATTGTCATAAAAATGTTGATATCAATTGACTAACCCAATACAATCATTTCAAACAACATGGCCATCGCTTGCATCCTAAAAACAACATTATCCTCCATTCATTATCTTCGACGGTTAAGATCTCTCCTCCGTGACCTCTCTCCTTGTCCACCTTCCTATTAGTCATTACTTGTTCTTCCTAATTTTCTTCATTATTAACATAAGTTTATACATCCTCCACATGTTCAGTGAGGGCCTTGTTATCCAAAGTCTTATTCTTGATATCTGGAACCTCATCACCAAACACCTGGCCAACCTCCTCCAAGGTGAATCCGGAAGTCTCTGGGAAAGTGAAATAGACAATCACCAACTCAACAGCATTGACACAACAGTACACAATGTAGTACTTCCAGCCAATGGCATCCATAGCAATGGTGTTGACGTAACCGTTGAAGATCAACACCGAGTAGGTGACGAAAATCATCAAGTTGATACCCTTGGCTCTGTGAGAGTATGGCAAGACCTCGGTAAGGTACAAGAATGGCAAACCATTCAATCCAATGTCGTAGAACAAATAATACAAGAAGATGAATGCAAGAACGCCATTAGCCAACGACTTGTTGTTGAAGTGAGCTTGTTCGTTCAATGCAGAAAGAATGGTCCAAATGACGTAACATACCAACATTCCTCCACATCCTGTCAAGAACATGACTCTTCTCTTAAACTTAGTGACGAGATTAGTTAAAGTCAAACAAATGACAAAGTTGTAAATCATCAAGCAGCCGTTGATCTCCAATTGTCTCTTGGTAGACGTAATACCGATGGACCTCAACACTTGGACAAAGTAGTAAGACACAAGACCATTACCAGAAAGCTGTGCCATAATGGCCACGAAAACAACCAAAAACAATCTCTTTCTAAATCTTGGGACTCTGATAAAGTCCAAGTATGATGACTGAGCAGCTTCGCTCTCTGCAGCGATAGCACTTTCGATTTCACTAAGTTCGAACTGCACTAATGCATCATCTTCAGGAAGAGTGGAGCCTCCAGCATGGAACTTTCTTAAAACGGCTTCTGCTTCGAGAACCTTGCCCTTTTTGACCAAATATCTTGGAGACTCAGGAATCAAAAAAATGAACACAACCTGAACAAGTGGCAAGACTCCCTGAAGAAACGAAGGAATCTTCCATGCGTAGTTACTGTTAATGTTTCTGGTTCCGTAAGTCACCCAGGAAGCAATGATAGCACCCAAGTACCAGCAAACATTGTAGGCAAAAGTAGAGGCTTCTCTATGCAATGGATAAGCAGACTCAGAGATCAACACTGGAGCAGCCACAGAAGAAAGAACAGCACCGAAACCCAAAACAACTCTAGATGCCAAAAAGAAACCATACGAGTTACTGCATCCCTGCAAAATAGCACCAATAACAGCGACTGTAGATCCAATAAACACCAAAGTTCTTCTACCATAGTGATCGCAAATGTATGGGGCAATGGTCACACCAATAATGCATCCAAAGTTGACACCATTAGCCAAATGACCCAATCTGTCACCAGTGGGAGTTCCCATCTCCGATTGCCAGTGCAGAAGCGACTGAAGACCATTCATAACCGAACCATCATAACCAGAAGTAGTCGAACTCAAGGTCAATAAGAAGATGACAAAAGTCATTTTGCGCAAGTGAGGAACTTTATACCATGGTCTCTTATCATGGATAAAGTCTTCCACACTAAGTTCATGATGACCGACAGGGGAGAACTCTTCGTTTGAGTTTTTTGCAAGTGAGTCCTTAGGCTCAAGTGATGACATTTTTTATTGATGGTCATATCTTGTCATGGGGATCTACTCTATATAAATCGAAGGCTCTCCGTATATGAATATGCACCTGCAACTGAAATAGTGGGGTTGTGGGGCGGAATCGTACCGTCACCATCCGACTCTGGGATGCTATACTGTATTGGGACACGGATCCATGGGACTGACATGCAACTACCTCTGCACACCTATGGAGATGTGGGTTAAATAGAGTTTGAACTTAAAATTTACCTCACTCACAATTCTATTCCTTTTATTTTTTTCAGTTCACGCTGCAGTGTATCTCAGATAGTTTCCTGGGCTTACATCGAGGGTTATCAAGTGAATAAAGAGAAAGTGTTCAGCTGTCAAGATGAACCCCCACCTGTTGATACACTTATAGCGCAGTGTTCATGACGCATGCGTTTGACTTCATGTGCCCCACTGTGGGGCAGGATCGGCATACTCATAATAATGCCCGTGATTCTGCAAATTTTGTCAGAGAAACGAGATATGTGCAGTTTACTATGCTTGAAGTAGTCAGAATGTCCTGGATTCACACTTTCAGACCGTTTTTTTTCAGGACGCTGGCGACGTGGGCGATCCTTTTGCCAAGACCTGGATAATTCGCCCCTCCATGAGAAAATCCGACTGACGAACTAACGGAAAAACTTTTGAAGGGACCTTGAAGGAACCTGTTTAACTCCGAACTTGGGAATGTCCGCAGCCAAAAACCTCAAACAAAGCATCAATCTAAATGCTGAAAATATTGTCACTGGTGCCTATTGTCTCCTGATAGCTTCCGGCACGAAGAAAAAAAAAATAAAATAAAAAAAATACCTTTAACGTGCTTCATAAAATGCCTCAGGGAATCAATGCCGGATGAAGGGTGGTACAGGAAAATTTACAAAATTTGTCATGACATTATCATGAAAATCAGATGTTTGGTAAGTTATTTTCTATTCGGGATGACACAGACAAAGGATCCGATTATTGAAATGAGCTGTTGCACACTTTGTCATCGTTCCTGAGTCTTCAGTACTTTCTCTGTCTTTCGTCAAAGATAGAGGGTAGCCGGAAGGTTGTTCCGTTATGTCCTCTATCTACGCACAACGTGCAAGAAATGACAATCCAGGATAGCGGATCCATTACCGTGTTCGGCCGTCTCCTTGCATGCAATCTACGGAAAATTGAACAGAAATGTTAAGTTGGTGCTAGAAGCCGTAAGTGGAGTAGGTAGATTACAGTGACCCAAAGACGGAAAAACATCATAGAATGTTCGTGGCTGAATAACGAGATTGGGTTGTTTCCCAGAGCTCAACATTTCGTTCGGAGTGGGTTTTCAGGTCTATGAAAGTTACTCTGAAGTGGGAGGAGCTTGATAGTAAAAATCGTGGCTGTGAGTTTGGACGATGGAAAGAAGTGGATCAACATGTGCATGAATTGCGGTGAAATTCACATAATACGGCGAAACGGAGGTATGTAATTAGACGAAGAAAAAGTGTCAGCGATATCAACGAGCGGTAGTATATGGTACCATTGATAGAGTAGAGAAGAGGTTTGGTTAAAGTAGGATATAGGAACGAGATATATTTCCATGAAAGAATGGCTGAAGGCTCCGTTAGGTCAGCAAAATCGTTGAGATTCTAAAAATTACAATCAAGCGAGTCAGGCTAGACGGAGGACGGAACCAAGTGAAATTAAATCAACGATTATCCGAAAGGTAAATCCTCTTTTGGAAATCAATGTAATCTCTTCAATAGGTGAAGTAAATCGTGAGCATGGGTAACTAAATACTTGCGACACTCATACATCAGCTGTCCAAACATCAGGATCAAATCATAGCAACACTGTTTCTGATTACAGACGATAGTAATATTCAAAATCAAACCTTGAGTCTGATAGTAATCCTTCAAAATCCAACAAGATCGGCTCAACGGAACATTGAAATTGAGAACAATGGATTATCTGCTGCGTAGCATCTGATAAGAGGCAGCAAGTCTCAAAATAAGGAGCAATTTTCTATGTGATTTGGGAAGTTTGATTTTCTCCCATTGTTCTATCCACTTGTACTGCTGTTATCAAATTAAGCGGGGTTTTAGTGGGGTTTCAGAGGAGACTTTTTTATAGCTGAGATGACTAACTGCAAACGCAAAATTAGTAATTTTGCTTACCGACATTAATGCTAAGCAGAAAGTTCAATTGAAGGTGATTTATCAGCTAACGTGGTCAGTTTTTCTCGGTTCATGTGGAAAGCATGAGAGTGTTGTAATCAACTGATGGTAGATGATTAACTGGCGCATACTGTCAAAATGCCATTCTAAAAAGTTCTTGAAAGATATCAGCACCCATATGAAACTTTTTTTTTTTTTTATAGAATGGCCACTAATTAGAGAGAGGAGGCTTTAGAGATTGTCGGATGGTGTGGAATAAATTTCTTTTGTCAGCGCCCTGAACTGTTGGTAATGTAGGAGCAGGTTGGTGATTAATTTCAATAGGTAAAGTTGTTTTGATAAATGCAGTTACGGCTTCTCTCGGTGGACATTTTATATTAAAGGCAAAGCCGAAACCAAATTATCACCGGAGTTAATCCATTGATTGGCCAATACCATGACCCGAATCAACGCCACTTTGCGTTATTGATATCACTGCAAAATGGCTACTTCAGGGGACAATGGTCATTTCAACAAAGAGAATTCAAGTCACTTTAAGCACCAAGAGGGAGCAAAGTGAAAATTCCCGTACATCGTTGGTAACGAGACCCAATGTACTACTGTTATCGACAGCACCATATATGTCACAGAGATTCAATTTTAACCTGGGTGGGTTTATCTGAGGCAGCAAAAGAGCCACTAGCCGTTATATTGGACCCTTAAAAATTTGAATCATCAAGATCAAATTTTCTTTCTGGCTCGAACCTTAGTGATTTGAATGGTGCCTTCAACATCCATAAATGCTACTCGGAAGTCAATGTATCATTCTGACAGATGGTATTAAAGTCACTTCACGCATCAACAGTAATCAATGTTCACCGCATGCCAGCTCTTATCAAAATAATAATTGGTGATTTGATAGCGCATCAGGTTTCATCCATCGACTTGAAACACTGCAAAGGTTGCTGTTTTCCTCTTACCAGTTTCACACATCTTTATTTTAACGGTTATGTTGCTTCTGAATAGCTGTTTACCCTCTTGAACTTCCGCTCGTGTGGGCATACACTAAAGTTAAACAAACCTCAGAAGTAAGATATCCGAAGAAGCCAGATACCTCGACACACCCCTGTAATCAACAAACGCTTATTATTCTGACTGCAATGTGAGATGTGCATTCAGAGACAACTGGATGATCTGGTCAAGTTGGCGAATAATTAAGACTTTTAATCCAATCATGGATTTTATTTATTGTAAGCTGCACGGATCTTGCAAGTTGAGAACAACTCATAAATGGCAGTTCATAAACAAATGTCATGGCTCTAAAATTCTTCAGATAAAATTGTTGGGGGAGGAATTTTGAAGGACCACCCTACACGTTTTGTTGGCTTTGCTTGTATTGCAAATAAACTAAAAAGTTCACTACTACATTTGATTACCACCCACCCATCAAATAAGAACACAACCGGTGAAGATCAAGATTATCCGGCTCTCGATGAAGAGCACAGAGAGGAAGCGCATTTTCTTCCTGAGCACTCACCAATTAATACTGTGCTGCAAACAGTAAATTATTTGGATACCATGATATCAATTAGTTTTGTTTCCATTTTGCTTTTCCGTCTTGAATTGAATGTACATGCGCTTCGACAGACACCATGACCATACGATATTCAACGAAGATATGTCAGGGCATTCCAAGACATATTACAGTTTAGCGACATCTGTGTAAATAATCTAACTCTTGATAAGGGTAAGTAGGCTCAAGGCTTGGTTATTTTGTCACAATATTTTCACCACTGGTGGTATCGACACTAAGTTGGCAGGCTATAACGAACAAAGCGTAATAATAGAATAATTTGCCAGAGAGCCGCAATTCAAAGGATCCTCAATTAACCTCAAACCAGAATTCAAAGTCAACCATTCAAAAGGTATACTTTATAGCTCACAGTTGTTGCAATATTGACCATCTCAGAAGTGACTTCATAATAATTTCCAATTTTGCTGTCCTTATACTTGTTTTTAATTCATTAATAGTCGGATTGCCGTATCGTATTACTATGGGGTACACCGACAATTGCACATCGGCGCCTATCCATATCTAGCCTTCGGAGCTACTCACTATTCACCGAGCATTAGTGGAACATCAATCGCCACATGTACGCCAGTCACATCCTTTCAACTTACTGATAATTACCTTAAAGATTGACAGCCAGTAGATACGATGTTCTGTTTTCAAATTTTTTTTCAATGCAATATTATCCACTTCTTTTCTCAGTTATTGTTTGATAACCACACATTCTTGATTCATATCCCAATCTCGCTACATTAAAGATGTTAGCTTGAAGGATTAAAAACATAGACTTATTAAAGCGAGAATAAAAATTCAACACACATCGACCAAAACAATCTCTATGATCTCCAAGGACGACAGGATATCCAAGAATATTTTGAGACTTTTGAGCACCCCGATACTTCGGCCTTCGAAGTTCTCCGAAGCGGGAGAGATAAACCACCCTGCTTTTATGAGGCAAAATTGCCGAATTTAGAAATGGGGTAGATCATCTAAATCCAACGGTTCGGTTGGGCAAGGATCGGGTAAGAAATCAGATAGCCACCAGTGAGGTATCCACTGATCATGTTATTGATGCCAGGCGAGTGCCATTGCACCCAAATCTAAGCCGTGTAGTGACAAGCTTCTTCAACAATAAAAAACGTTTTTGAAATTGCATTTCCTGGTCTTCATTCCAAGAGCAGAATATGTTCAACATCAAAACTCAAAAAAATGTCACTACACACTGATATACAAAAATTAATCTAGAACCATGATATGTATTCTATTGTTCCCGAAAGAAAATCCCAAAAAAGTAAGACAAAAAGGTTCAAAGAAGTAACAAATTTCACTTGTCCCCTTGATACAAGGTGATGGCATTCGATAGGAATAGAGAATTATGGTATGAAAATCTTTAACATCACTTAGTATTGTAATACGTGGCAACTGTTCATTGGGACCTTGACCAGTCTAAGACAAAAAATGTCTATATTTCGGGGGTGAGGGAAGCATTGGGCATGGATGTACAACTGTTAAGGGCAATCCTTCCTTTTAATGGACTGTTTTACACAGCTGGCCGGATGGAAGTTCAGGAATCCTGTCCATATGTTAGAAAATTGTCCCCATTCTGCTTCAACTTTACTCCACTTTTGTTCCGTGTTCAAATTTTAGAGGTGCTGTCCGAATCACCATACCCCTAGTGTTGCACTGGGTTAATATCGCTGGGCCCTTTTACGTACCTACATTGATCGGAACCTTTGACAGGATGACATTAGGCACACTAAGATTATCGAAACATGATCTCAGCACCCTCAAAAAAAAAGAATAGCGAGTTTGAAATTCGCAATGTACATCGGGACTACTCATTGTGTATGTCGAAAAGTGGGGTGCATTGACTGGCAGGTCCAACATCAAAAAAGTTTGTATGCCGCAACAGGGCTACAAACACGCTTCCTTCGAAATAATCAAGATCCCTACCATCTAAAAACCATTCAGAAAAATGCTATAATGTATTTGCCTGATGGTTCGCGATGTGGGGTCAAGATCTCAGGTATTTTGTTGGTAGAGTTATATCTTGGCTGTCGCAAAATATAAATAGCCTTGATATTGCTACCTATTTCATCACGATCAAATCAAAGATAATCCTATTAGATGACTGACAGTTCCAGATCAGAGTCTCCTGTCGAGAAAGTGAAAGTATTTGAAGTGCAGGCTGTTGAAGGCCATGAGTTGTCCGTTCATGACTACATTGCAGAGACCAGGCCCTGGTACAAGGTGCATCATTTGAGAAGGTTGTCGTGGGTCATCTTCTTGATCACCATCACTTCCACCAACAACGGTTACGATGGTTCGATGTTGAACGGTTTGCAGTCTTTATCCCATTGGCAGTCTGCCATGGACCACCCAGCCGGCCAAAAACTTGGTGCCTTGAGCAATGGTGCTTTGTTTGGTGGTATTGCTGCTCTTCCTTTTGCTCCATTCTTGGCTGATCGCTTCGGAAGAAGATTCGTACTTGTTTTTGGACAATCACTTAGTATAATTGGTGCTATTTTGCAAGGTGTTTCCAATAGTTACGGTTTTTTCTTGGGCTCGAGAATTCTTCTTGGTTTTGGTTCTGGCGTGGCCACAATAGGCTCTCCTACTTTGATTTCCGAGTTGGCTTTCCCCACTCACAGGGAAGTATCCACATTTGTGTACAGCATCTGTTGGTATTTGGGTGCTGTCTTAGCTGCTTGGGTGACTTATGGAACAAGAACCATTGACGGAAATGCTTCGTGGAAAATTCCATCCTACTTGCAAGGTGCATTCCCACTTATTCAGATCTTTTTTTGCTGGATGATCCCCGAATCTCCGAGATTCTACGTCGCGAGAGGAAAATTTGAGAAAGCAAGACAAGTTTTGTGTAACCATCATATTGGTAACTCACAGGACCCAAGAGATATTGCATTGGTCGAGTTTGAGTTGAAAGAAATTGAGAGCGCGTTAGAGCAGGAAAAGCTTCAAGCCAATACTTCGTACCTTGACTTCGTTAACAAGAAGAATTTCAGGAAAAGAGGATTTTTAGTTGTGATGGTTGGTGCAATGATGCAACTATCCGGTAATGGTTTGGTCTCCTACTACTTGGTAAAAGTTTTAATTTCTATTGGTATCACTCAGGAGAAGAAGCAATTGCAAATTAACGGATGCTTAATGATCTACAATTTTGTCATCTGTCTCACATGTGCGTCCCTTGTTCGCTACTTGAAAAGGAGAACCATGTTCATTACTTGTATATCGGGTATGATGTTTTCGTATGTGATTTGGACAATTTTATCTGCTATCAACCAGCAAAGAGACTTTAAGGATAAGTCTTTAGCTAATGGAGTCCTCACAATGATCTTCTTCTACTACTTGTTCTACGACGTCGGCTTAAACGGCTTGCCTTACTTGTACCTCACAGAGATCTTGCCTTACTCCCACAGAGCAAAGGGTATCAACCTCATGCAATTCGTCATGTTTGCTGCTTTGATCTACAACGGTTATGTCAATCCAATTGCTATGGATGCCATCGAATGGAAGTATTATATTGTCTACTGTTGCATTCTTGCGGTTGAGCTTCTCATTGTTGTTTTCACATTTCCAGAGACATCTGGTTACACTTTGGAAGAAGTGGCACAAGTTTTCGGTGACCAAGCACCCGAACTCACCAACAGACATCTTGATACTGTTGCAGCACACAAGCATTCCTTGGAGCATGTTGAAGAAGTTTGAAATCTGTTATTAGATTTGCTACTGAAATATTTTCCACTAACAGTGGAATGATGAGAATCTCTAGTTGTGATTGTAATGTCAACTTGAATATCAGCCGAAGTCAGTCCGTAGGCAACGAGCACAATGCAATTATTTCTGGGTGCATTGACAAGATCACCAGTACATAAATTAGTAAATTGTCTCAATCGATAACTTAAATTTGCAGTAACTAATAGAGGTAACTGGACAGAGATTGAATGGTGGGTGGCCAGTTGAGTGTCCTCACTATTATAGAAATCTGATCCTATTCAATACTCCTCTAAAGAAGAAATTACGAAAAAAAAAAAACAAAAACAAAAAAAAGAAAAGTAATATAAGATTGAGTTGAAAAAGATTTTCTCATGGGTAGTTGTAAAAAGATAGTAGTCGTGAAATAAAAGAAGAACCTTGAAGACATCACCCTCAATATTAACTAACTTACCTGCTTGTAATAGTGAAGAACAGTCACAGAAGAAATCTTACACAGAACAACCCAATTGTAGCTATCTAACCCAACGCGTTAGTGGCTCATATTCATGAATGGTTAACTCGGAGCCAGGGACTAGTGTTATTCAAGATCCTTATCAGAAGGATGCTTATTGGACCCAAGAATGCATGAAACATCATTAGACTTCTTTTCTCTCTTTCGAACCTGATGAAAAAGTTCAATGTCTGTAGTATCTACAACTGAAAATACGAGGTCTTGATATTAATGACAGAAGATGACTTAGGCACCTCTCTTACATCACATCGTCCACGACTACTCTTCCAATGCACTAATCACAAATTCTTGACTGTGTGCACCACACAGTGTATCATCAATTTCTCAACCCTATTCTACTAACAACCATGTTCCATCTCAGGTCTGCCACCAGATTGGGAATTGGCTCTCGTTTTACCCTTGGAATATGTCATCCTCCAACATTTGCTCCTAAGCATACCTTCTCCAAAAGAGGTGTCAAAACTCCCACCATCGACTGGAAGCCTATCAAGTCTTCTGTGACCAATTTATCTAAAGCAGAGAACCAGTCTAAGTCGCCGGTATTCCGGAAATTTATTTTGGGTCTCATGATTGCAATGCCTGTCATTAGTTTCTTCTTAGGTTGCTGGCAGGTGAAGAGACTTCGGTGGAAGGTGGAATTGATTTCCAGATCGGAACATTTGCTTGCTGAGCCTCCACTTGAAGGCTTACCTGCCAATCTCGATCCTAGCGTGATTCTGGAATTTGAATTCCGTAGGTTTAAAGTCAAGGGTCATTTTGACTACGACAAGGAGTTGTTTCTTGGTCCCAGATTGAGAAATGGAGAATTGGGATACCTACTCATCACACCCTTTGTCAGATCAGACGGAGGGGATCCCATTTTGATTGAAAGAGGCTGGATCCAGAAGGAGAAAGTTATTCCAACCCGCAGAGCACGCGGCTACTTGGCCCATTTGGCTATGCCACAGGGAGAAATCGAGATCGAGGCCATGTTTCGCATGATGCCAAAAAAATCCACGTTACAGTACGACCATGAACCGGGTAGTCGACTTTTCCATATTCCTGACGTAGAAGCCATGGCAAAGGAAACCGACTCATTGCCAATTTATGCTCAAATGATGTACTCACTCAAGGATCAACCAGATTGGAAATCTCCTGAAGAGGTAGCAGAAACGAAAACGGGTCTGAAATGGCTAGGACTATTCTCAAACAAAAAAGATCATTCAACAGAACACATTCCTGTCTCGGAAACAGATTCGACCATGGAATGGCAAGAGTTTGAGTTCTTCAACCAGGGTGTTCCCATTGCAGCTGTTCCTAAGGTTTCCTTCACCAACAACCACATGCAATACTTGTTTACGTGGTTCGGAGTGTCAATTGCTAGTACGGCTCTTTTGTTCTACACGTTCTACAAAAAGAAGGATTTGCTGAGTGCCGAAAAAGTCATAGAGGCCAAACGAAGGGAAATGAAGAAGCTCTTGTGATGAAGCTGATGCACTGTTGCGTGTAAATAGGAAGAAAGGGCATCTGTAAATAAAGAAAAAAAAAACTATCTGGACATCGTAATATTAGATCGTATTAAGCGGGCCTACTTGGCCAAAACGCTGACTATACCAAAGTATACCACCATAAGCATAATGTCGCTCAAAAGAATGCTGAAACCGCTCCAGTACACCAATGCATTGTCTACGTAAGGCTGAATCTGGCGTGCTTGCGGATAGAGACCTGAAGCTAACGAAATCACCTTCAGAATGGCATGATTGCGGGAAAACGCTCTGAGAAGACCGTTCTTGGACATCACCATGAAATAACTTGAGATCACCGCAATTTCAACCGACAAAAAGTAGGTGAAAAACTGACGCACTGGCCCATCCACCTGCTGAGACCGGATGTAACTGTACGACGATGCCTGGAACGCTTCATATTGTCTATAATGGTAAAAGAAGTTGAACGTATGCAACAAGAAACGAACAAGGAGGAACCGTGCCTTCCATGCACTTTGCTGGTATGATTGGTACTGCGCCATCTGCTGCTGATACGTTGTCTCTTCTTTCGTCTCCTTGGTACCAAAACCAGAGGCACCTTGACCATCTTCGTCCGAAACGGCCTTCATCAAATCGGCAAAAAACTTGGCGCTGGCATCCTGTGGATTCTGTGGATCGTCAGCATTAACGCCGGCCGATGCAAAAATCTTCTGGAACATGGCATCCATGTCCTGTTCCTCTGGAGCTTCATTCTGATGTAAAAGCTTCGAAATGTCTGGCACCTCGGGGTCTCCATGGAGCGGAGTGACGGGCTTGGACTCCACAGGATCAATAGAAGCAATTGGAGTTGGCTGGAAGGTATTACCACTTGCCTTGGCCGTAGCATCCACGGAATCAGACGCTGGAACAGTTTTATCCAACACTGACACTGCTTTGGCAGATTTCACCGATGAACCATTCGACAAAATCTCATTAAGACGGTTGGAGGCATTGCCCTGGGCCATTTTGGCCTGTCTGCGCTCACGCAAAATTTGTCTTTTCTCTTCTGCTGATAAAGACATGGTTGGGAAAGAAGGTTGGAGGACAACTGGGGTTTGTATGTGTGATGGTCACGTGTGCCATCAACAATTCACTACCTATATGGAACCCGAAATAGTTTAAATTAATATCTCGTGGAAGATATTGGCTTTTAAAAGCAGGGATTTCTCAAAATATAGTTTCAATTCATTTTAACTGATTGAATCTAACTTGTTGTTTGTATAATTTTTGCATCCATGGACTCTCTAAATTACCAGGAACAGCTTCGTCGACAGAAGATCTTGAATCTGATGGAGAATAAGGATTACTTACTTGTGATGGCTAGCCAGCAGCAGAAATCGGTGCAGCAGGTGAAATATGAGTTGATGTTGAAACTCATGGAAACCTAAATGATCAAATTGGCGAGTATCTGTGGTTTTGGGAGGTTTAAAGGTTGGATATAATGGTGTATATCCATAACTAGAGACCCTCAGCATTGTTCTAGAAATTTCAATGCAGATAATGTTAGCAAATACGGGAGGTTGTCCTCCGAGTTCCAAATTTTGATATTTTACTTGTTGGCTGATCTGGGTGACGCTAATGAGTGAAAGAAGGTAACGAAAGGAATCCTCAAGTTTAGTATGTTTTACAAACCGAGAATATTGGTCACTGGTGTCACATATTCAAGATTAATCATAAATGTTAAGTCTTTATATACTTCGACTCTACATCGATTACACTATCTATAGTTATGATTAATGCATGTTTTTAAAAGAAAGAGCGCATGCCCCTTGATAATTGAGCAAGTGAAGTCCGCCTGCTCAGCGGAATGGCGGTCTCCCTGCAAGCCTACTGGCCCTTTCTACTTGTCTTCTTGCCGAGCTGGTCGTCGGACCCCGTGCTCTTGTCTTTGTGTCTAAGTTTCTCCGAACATTAGAACTGCTGGTTTTGTCGAAGAGTCCTCGCATGTATCTTGGCGGTTGATCGAGATTAGGACCTGTAGAGTTCAGGGAGCCGGGTCTTACAGCGGTTGCTGGCTTCTGGATGCGACTTGCCAATTTCGAGCTCGTGGGAATATCGACAAATGAATCTGTGGTAGAGTACGTATCGTCATGTGCAACAACAACTTTCTTCTGGCGGCTTAGAGGAGCGCCACGAGTTGAATTCCCAAACGAAGGTCCAGAGGGCACCCCTATACGTCGTATAGCCTGGTTCTGTCCACTCAATGCCGGTCTAGATGCTATGGTTCTTTGAGAGGTTGACTGAGATGCTAATTGTTGTTTTAGCCTTTCATTCTCTGCTCTGGCGGCATGTACACGCTTCTGTAGCAGAAGCACACGCTCCTTTTGACCATTATCTTGGTTGTACTCATAGGTGTCCCGAGTAGGACATCCTGGAAAGTTGTTGCAAAACATTGTGATCAACAATCCATAAAGAAACGCTGCAAACGGCTCGTTGAACCCAGAATTGACAGCACTGTGTATTTTTGCAAGCTCGCACATGTTACTTTCGAGCTCACCGAGTGATTCCTGCAACGCCCGGAGGCCTTCCTGGATATGGTCAGATTCAAGTGGTAGAACTTCCGATGGATAGTGTATTTTGGGGGATTGTGGGAGTATTTTATAGACTCCCGAAGACCTGAGCAGCCTACGGCGGGCCGCTTCGCGTGACTTCAGACTTGGAGTCGTTGGTTTTGAGGACATGAGGGTGAAAAACGATGTAGATTGTATTTGGTGATAGTTGTGTTTATGTGGAAGTAGGTGACTATGCAGGATGTTGATTTTGACCGCGTTGAATATGAAGCCCGGCGAGTATTGATGTAAATTGATGGGTATGTATGATTTTTAACGAGTGTTGTGATTATATGAGGTCAGAATGAATGTTTGGAAAACTTTTGTTTTTGAATCCATTTTATTTATTCTCCGTCTGTAAAGATAGATAATATAAGTTGGCTCTGGCTTGTAGGAAGGACAACTAAACGTTCAAGATGAACTAATGGCCGTGCCCAGATATACAACAAATGTCTATGGGAGGTTTTGAAAAGACTCGTGCAAGTTCTGCAAATGGGAAAATTAAACTTACCCTCGTTTTATCTTCTGAAAATCCTGATTCCTACGGCTATCTCTGTTAGAACCATTTTGTAGGTGAAATGAAATCATCTACACTGATAGTTTGCAAATTATATCTATAATTAGCAACGTAAAGGTGCTCTTGATACACAATTTTTGAACTTTTTGCATCGATTTTTTTATCTGAAACTTGTCCTCTAGCATTGAGAACATTTAGCGCATTCATACCTCATCATCATCATCACTAACTTCTTTCTATACAGCTAAACCTAGCTTAATTTTACCAATATTACAAACTTTTATTCTACTTGTCGTCCAGACCAACGATCTGTTCCCAAGTCTTACCCTCCTTTTTCAACAACACTGCTAATTCGTCTCTAACCTTGGCTGGCAAGCCTGGGCCCTTATAAGCATAAGCGGTATAAATCTCAACAAAAGTAGCACCAGCCTTACCGAACTCTAACGCATCTTGTCCAGAAGAAATACCTCCACATCCCACCAATACTAAGTTGGAGTCCTTGGTGTACTTCCTCAACGTTCTTAATGCCTGCAATGACAATGGCTTCAAAGGCTTTCCTGACAAACCACCCGTCTGCGACACCAAAGAAGCATCAGTTGTCAAAAGACCCTTGGGTCTCTGGATGGTGGTGTTGGAGATGATGATTCCGTCCACCTTAGCAGTCTTGGCCGAGTTGGCGATGGACTCGATCTCTGGCTCGGTCAAGTCTGGTGCAACCTTGACAAGCACTGGAGGAAGTTTTCCGAGCTGATTGTTACCGCATCTGTCACGTTCTCCGACCACAGTGGTCAACAAGTTGGTGAGTTTCTCTTCACTCTGAAGATCACGCAAGCCTGGAGTGTTTGGAGACGAAACGTTGATCACTAACACATCAGCATATGGTCCAAGGCGTCTGACACCCTTTACGTAGTCTTCCACTTCATCACCGGTTTTGTTTTTGCCCAAGTTGATGGCCAAAAGCTTACCATCTCTGAAAGAGTTTGAAAGTTGGCCATCCTTCTTGGTAGCAGCCGTGACATACGACCAGAATCTGCTCTTCAAGGTGGCTAATACACTCATGTGACCATCGGAGTTGAATCCGTAACGGTTGATAACTGCATCGTCTCTAGGCAATCTGAAGAATCTAGGTTTGGGGTTTCCAGGTTGAGGTTCTGGGGTAATGGAGCCAATTTCCACATAGGAGAAACCCGTATCAAACAAAGCATCGATGGCTTCACCATTCTTGTCAAGACCAGCAGCCAAACCAATGGGCGACTTCAATTTCTTGCCAAACACAGACACTCCAAGAAGTGGTTCGAGCTCCAGCTCCAACTTCTTGTCTTCACCGCGCAATTTAGGCGCAACTCCATACTTCATGAGTTCAATGCCGAGTTTGTGGGCCGTTTCGGCGTCTAGAGTGGCTCTGAGTACGGGGCAAAGCACGTATTCGTGGAAGCCGGCTCTAGCATCGAATGCATAGTATGTGAATGCTGAAGCACCAACAAGTCCTGCCACCAAAACAGCGTTTCTGGGGAGAATAGAGGCCTGAAGAATGGGGAACGAGGCATTCTTGACATGGCGGGCTGAGGTGGCGCCAAAACGGAAGAAACGGCTCATTTTGGTGAATTGAAAGGTGGAGTTGTGGAGATTTTTATTGGAGGGTCGCATGCACTCTGGTGATGGTATGCGGATACAGAAATGGGTCACCAAAATGAATATTTTTTACGAGATTAAAGATCGTTATGTCAATTGAAGAATGTGATTGCTTGATTATTATGAAAGGTGAGTTTCTTTTTTGTCTTTCATGTTTTATTGGTTTTTGTCTATTCTGGTGTTTAGTATAGACCTTCTTGAATTAATTGGATTGGAAAGTTGCATGGAGTGCGGGAGGGTAAAAGAAAATAATCGTCATGGAGATGCTTCGGCGTAGAGGATTATATAGAGATCATGAGATTAAGAAAAATCTTAGAATGTAAAGAAGAAAAAAAAAAATTGCATGAAGCTTATCTTGGAAACAATAATTTGTAAGAGAAAGATGGAAAGTATTGGCATTATACAAGGGTCAATCAAGTTTCCAGCATTATAGCTATAGATATTGATTCTTGAGTTTCGAGATTCGATCAGCTTCAAAATATTGGAAATTCTCCTTGCTCATACTAATGGTGGGAATTTCATCTTCTTTGGTATTCTTTTCCTTTCCCATGGATTTTTTCTAACAATTTCATATTATCCAACATGTCAGTCCACTCTTTCGCAGCCTCTGACCCATCTTGTATAGTAGGAAGGAAACTTGGTCATGTTGACCCTATTGGAATTGATCCAAACGAACAAATTTTACTTCTTATTGAAATTTGCTTCTCGATATCTCAGTTCACCCTTCATTTTCCATTTCCATACTACCATTTTGATTATTATCACTAACACTGTGATGCTCACTGTACTTCATATTCCTTATGTTACCAATGCTAATAGGTGCAGCCTACAACTATACTATCTGATTCACATTTTCACTTGAGCTTCCAATCTACAAATTATCAAGCTCTTCTCCCAAATTGACTTCTCCGATTGTTTTCTTACTTTCCTCCTTTTTTTCTCTACATTACACCTATTTCGTTCTTTATCTACTTAGTCTCATCTCCAACACCTGCACTACTCATCTCATCGCAAAAAATTAAAGACCACTAACTCTTCACTATGGCGAAAGATCACTCCAAATTCGAACGAGATGCGGGCAAATTCCCCAAGAAGGTATCTCGTGCCAAGTCGAGACGTATCAATAATGGTATGAAGAAGGTCGACGCAGAGTACAAGGAGTTTCTCAAAACCTCTGCCGAAACTGAAATGTTGCTTCAAGAAGAAGCTGGTTTCTTGGAGGCAGACGGCCCTATGGAAAAAACGTGGAAGTTCAGACAAGAAGACATTGTCGATGCTGTAGATGTTTCCACTGCAAACAAGAAGATCGACTTGAAACTCAACGAGTTGGGCCCCTATAACATAGACTTCTCGAGAAACGGCCGAAAACTCTTGATCGGAGGTAAGAAGGGCCATGTGGCATCAATGGACTGGCGTCTCGGCACGCTTGATTGCGAGCTCTTCCTCAATGAAACGGTACACGCCGTGAAGTACTTCCACAACGATCAGTACTTTGCTGTTGCCCAAAAGAAGTATGCATTCATCTACGACAAAACCGGTCTCGAGCTCCACCGTTTGAAACAGCACCGTGAAATCACTAAATTGGACTTCTTGCCATATCATTTTCTCCTTGTGACCGCCGGTACCTCAGGAATCTTGAAGTATCATGATGTATCCACAGGTGTAATTAAGAGTGAACTACGCACCAAATTGGGCCCCACTCAAGCCATGAAACAGAACCCCTGGAACGCAGTTATGCACTTAGGACACGGAAATGGTGCTGTGACATTATGGGCTCCCACCATGCCGGAGCCTTTGGTGAAGATCCAAGCCACTGGAGGTCCTGTCAGAGATTTGGCTATCGATAGAGAAGGAAAGTACATGGCTGTCAGCGGTGCTGACCGCAGTATAAGAATCTGGGACTTGCGAAAGCTCGAGCAGATGGACAGTTATGGAATGAAAACTCCAGCCTCGTCTTTGGATTTCTCTGATTCTGGTCTCTTATCTGCTGGATGGGGTCCAAATGTCACCGTTTGGAAAGATGTCATGAAAACACACCAGAAAGAGCCATACATGCAGCATCTTTTCCCGGGAGCTAAGGTGGAAAAGACTCGATTCGTTCCCTTTGAGGATGTGTTGGGAGTTGGCCATCAGAAGGGAATTTCCTCGCTCATTATTCCAGGTGCTGGTGAGGCTAACTTCGATGCCATGGAGTTGAACCCATATGAATCCTCGAAACAGAGACAGGAGGGTGAAGTGAGACTGTTGTTGAACAAGTTGGCTCCAGACACCATTTCTTTGGACCCATCTTTCATTGGAACTGTTGATAAGAACGCCAGAAACGTCAGATTGAACAAAGAGGATCTCCAGGCTATCCAGGCGCAAGAGGCCAACGATAAGGAGGCAGCAGAGTTTGCCATCAGACCGGACCTCAAGCCGGAGCAATCGAAGTTGAAGAAGTACTTGGAGAAGAACAAGAACAACGTCATGGACGCACGTAAAATGAGAGCAGAGAGAAACTTGAAGATGGAAGAGGAGAGAAGAGAGAAATTGAGACTCAAGGAGATGGGTGTGCCTGATGAAAGGGACAAGTTGGGTCCAGCTTTGGGTAGGTTTGTGTAATGGTCATAGCATAATGAACAAGCTTCATAGATGTTTGATAAGAGTGAACATGGGCGAGCGAAGTAGTAGAGACAGAGTTATGAATACCTGGGGAAAGAGTATGGAATTATTAACAAGACTAACCAATAATAAACATAAACTCAATGATAGAAGATGGTTGCCTAAGTTCGCGTGATTACTTATCATCTTATTAACCACAGAGCTTAGGGGATATCTAAATATTAGTTCCTACAGTTCTTACCTAAACAGTTCCATTGGTATATACCTTCCAAGACATTAATCCATGACTAACTTAACTGACTATTATACGGCTACAGTCATTTCCATCCATGACCAAAATAGTTGAGACCACGAGTCTCCATGCATATCGAGCCCCTGCTCGTATCCAGTCTTTTAACAAGACAGAAACCCACCTCAAATTGAACCAAATGGCTAATGAGAAGTTCTGGCAGAAATCGAGTAGTTGGAGTAATCCACCGTAATGAGGTCGTTGAAGATAGATCCGCTGCCGTTAAGTGAGCGATTCATCTGTTCGTATGCATCAAGTGCTGCCTTGACGTAGTCCTCGACCTTTTGAAACTTGCCATGTGAAATCTCGTTATGCTTCTCCAATTTCTTAACCAAGTCCAACTCCTCCAAGGTTTTGGCAAATTCAATCAGACTTTCTACATTGTGCATGGCATTTGCGTCTTCAGTGGGCTCTGCTGCGTCGTCACCATTATGATGAGCCAACACTATGAACCACAGGTTGGCAATCTGCTCATATGCTGTGGCTCGAGTGTACTGGAACTCGTTATTGGTGAAATTTGGAAGGTTATGCATCAAACATGTGATCACATCAAGTGTCTGACACGCATGCAGAAGGTTCAGCTCCATTGGCGGGAGCAAGTTGAGTATAAAATCCGAAAGGGTATGCAAAAACTCTGTGAGGTAGGGTTTGATTCGAATATATGAATAATCACTCTCAGTGTCACATTTATATGGCAAATGTGCAATGATATCATCTGCCTTCAGTTTCATCAAGTCCACAGCCTCTTTTAATGTGGGTCTAGGGGCAATCTTGGAGATGGTTTGGGCGACTTCAGGATGGGTATTGACCACAGCCTGGAGCAACTCCTGGAGTGACTTGTGGTCCAAAACTTCAATCATTCGTGATACCGGCAAGCTCAGTCCAGCGATTTTTGGGGTACGCAAACGCTTAGCTCTTTGGAAATACTTGCGGGCTGCTGGATTTGACAGTGATTGCTTTGGGGCGTCGTCGTCTATAATGCGTCTTTTTCTCAAGTTTTTGGGAGAAAAACGGGAGTTTCCTGATGACAGTGGCATCTCTTCAGAATGGAACGGGGTTTTCCTTGAAAATCCGGCTGACATAGACATGTTCAGTCTTTCTTTTTTTTTCTTTCTAGTAGTAAGATATTTGAGGTTGAGGTTTAATGGGGTGTGTATATATGCAGGTCGCAATAATGTTACCCGGTTGGTTAGAAATAGTATAAAGAAAGAGGCAAACGGATTATTTTTTGTAAGGGAGAAGATATATATATGAGTATGATTTGAAAGTAGTTGTGGATCTTTTTTTTTTTTTTTTTTTTTTTTTAATTCTTGTCTGAAGCTGGTTTTCCTAAGTTCCATCATCTCATTTTGGTTCGCATACCAAAAGTTCAAGGTATGACTTTGATGAATTCTGGATTCTTCTATGACAACCTCTATCAAAACTGATAAGCTTTTCATTAAAAGATTATCTTTGATGTTTTTCTGAGTTTCTTCATTATGCACCCCATGATATGAATGCCCCATCATCTCTATTCTCTATAGTTCTCTAATTCTTCTTTCTTGTTCCCCTATATACACTAATAGTAATCGTTGCTTTCGAATTCAGAATCAGAAAGACTCAGGTACTCGCCCTCGCTCTCACTGGCCATGTCGTAGTCAGCCTCATTGAATCCCATGTACCGTTTACGCTTCATTTCCACCTCGTCGTCCGACTCCTTGTCTTCTTCGTCGGTGATGTTTCCATCATGACGTTCGTCGCACGAAGAGTCACTTCCGGCGCCATTTTCCTCTTTCTCCTCCAACTCAATCTTTAACTCATGGATAATGTCAAAGCACTCAGCCAAAAGCGCATTTAATGTGCCCTGGCCCTCAGGTACCTGATTGTTGACAATGAATTTTCCGTCGTGCCTTAGGTTATCCAACGAGGCCAACTTAAATTGAAACGGATACAACTCGCGGAGGTTGTTCAAACCATCAATACGTTTGATCTCCAATAAACACCGTCTCACAGTCGACAATTGATTGTGGATGGGCTGGAGCGACTCAGACACCGGTTCCGAGCTCTCCAAAAGCTTGTAGATCAAGGAGTAGCACCGTCTCAAAAGATACAAAACAAGCAATTGTGCCCTCTTTATCATGCGGAGCGCCTGGCCCTGACAGTTGGCGGAGATCTGCTTGTTAAGCTCGAGTCTTTTGTCGTCGATACGTTTCAACAGCTTCTGGAAATTGTACAAGTCTGTTTCCCTCATGGTCCACCGTCTCGTGATGAGCAAGTTCTCTAATTTCTGTTTCAATGAAGCCAATTCCAGGTAGAGTGATTTGAACCCCTCAAATATTGTACTGGCCTCGGAATTCTCCTCGGCGAGCGAAAGTTGCTCAAGTTTCCCGCTAATTCCCGTGGTGTCACGCTGGATATTCAAATCATTGAGTAAATTGTTACAGTCATCGAGTAATCCATTGAGTCCCATCTGCGCAGAAACCAACTGAGCCTCGGTGGCAGAGTCAGACTTGAACTTTCCATTTTCGTCTCTTTGTTGCTCAATTTTCTTCAATTTACCCGCAAGTTGCTTAGCAATAGCTGCCATCTTCGCCTTGGCCGTAGCCAGCTCCGATGCTTCCCTTGTTAACAAGTTAAGGAGCTGTTTTCTCAACAGAATGAGCTCAGCATAAATGGGCTCCAAATCGTCAGGAATCTCATCGAAAGTTTTCTGCAACTCATCATAGACCTTTTGACACTTATTCAACTTGTTTCTCAACAACAAACTTTCCTCCTTTTTGTGGTTAACGGCATCCTCGTCGCCATTGTCTTCATCTTCATCCACTTCCTCGGATTTCTCAATAATCTCCTTAATTTCACTCAATCTGTCGTGAATAGGCTTCAAATCGTCCACGCTATACACCTGGCACTCCTTCAAGTGGGTCAACAACTTAAATACCGTGGAAAGCGACGAATAAGTGGCGGGCGCAAACTTGATAAGTCCACAGGTGACAAATGAGAGCGAAAGCAACTGCCAAACGTCATCAATGAGCAAGTCTGTCGGTGTCGGCAAGTTCAAAGACATGCCTTTTAATTCCTCATCTTTCCGAACTATAGATAACTCGTGAATTTCCTTCAAAAATTCATCATAGATGGCGTACACTTGCTTGGAACTGATATATTTGTTTCTGTTGTTTTTGAGCTCGGACAACCGGGAATACAATTCCGTTAACACTTCATAGGTAGGCTTTTCGTATGTAGGAATGGTTTTGGTCATCGCTGATGTTGCACCCTCCAGTAATTTGCTTGATGGAGTAGTTATCTATGACTTGTTCCGGGTCCTCACGGGATGGGGTTCAACACCCGTACACCAACCGGGGATATTGTGGGAAGGAAGGGTGATGTACTTAAGTTTCCGGGGATAAGTATATAGGAGGAGATGATAGGAGATTCTCGAGGATTGGTTATATTCATTACCTAGTTACCATTTCTGGTGATGATATGAATATGTATAGGGGATGTTTCGATATTTATATTTCTGCACGTGACTATGCACGTGACTATGGAACATCAGGTGAGCGAAGGACCCCGAGGTTTTTGATTCTAAGGTTCCCTGGCCACTCCGGGGTGTCTCTATTCACATTCTACGAAAGTTACACATGGTGAGATGTCCGGAAATTCCCTAATTTCATTATAACACATAAAACTCCAAGTGGTCGAAAAAGCGCGCTGGACGCGGTTTCACGTAGCCTAAGGGTTGGCCACCCCTAGTATCTTACGCGAGTAGTCTGTCTCATCAGCTAATGAGCCTTCTGAGAGTCTTCTACGACCCATCATTACTGGATTGAGTCTTGGATCCGTCAACCCGCCATTCTGAGTCATTTTACTTAAGCGCTTGTCAGCGAAATCATCGGTAGGATGCGCGAATGGATTGGACATGGGCATGTCGAAAACAGAGTTGAGTCTGTTCTTTCTGGACTTACTAGAGCCTCCGCCTGCGTTGAGGTTGCCTGAGCCCTTCTCGTAGAATTCTTCCTCATCATCGTCGTCGTTATCGCTGCGGCGACGAATGAAGAAGAAAATTCCTACACCAATTAATGCTAGCGCAGCCAAGCCTCCAACGACTCCACCTACGATAGGTGCGACGTTTGTGGATTTTTTGGAGGACAGATGGTTGTTTGCTTCAGATGAACTTGTGGGAGATGCCTGTGTGGTGACGGTTTTGTAAATGACAGAACCGTTTTCGCCAGATGTGGTGGTAAATACCGAGGTGGAAGCGGCATTAGTTGTCATGGGGGTAGTCGTGATAGAGCCCGACGAGGAGGAAGCTGGCACCGAACTAGACACAGATGTGGAAGTAGGCAAGCTTGAGGAAGAGCTGGATGTTGAGCTGCTTGTTGCAGAGGCAGCAGGTGAGGCAGACGCCTGAGCTGTGGACGAGTCAGCAGACGAAGCTCCGACTGAGTTTCCACCGGCAGAAGAAGCTCCCACTGCACCCAGCTCGCCAGCAGCTTCGCCGTTGCCAGTAAACACGGTGTAGGCGTTGGCACCACCACACATGACGAAACCATAACCATTACACTTCACGTTACAGTTAGAGGAGGAGGTCAGAGCGGTGGGGAGCGACAGAAGACAGAAACAATAGCCTCCATTTTTGACTGCCACATAGGGGTAGTCACTGCCACATAATTCGGCGCATAGACTGGATGACTGGTTTTCTTTGTAGCCTCTTGCCACGGATGTGTCCACCGAAGAGTAACAACCGAGGCCGGAGTCGGCGGCTGCTGAGAGGACGACGAGCAGAATCACTGCTAGGAATTGATACATGTTTCTGAACGACAGTGGAATGGATATTCGGATGTGGATGGATATTTGGACGTGGAACTGGTGGGTACTTGGACGTGGGTATCGTGGAATGAAATGTAGACACGAACGTGGGTACCTCTAAGTCGGAAATGGCCAGATATCAGGATATCTCGACAAGGAAATACAGCCAGTCGATAAGATCAAGGAAAGTAGAATATAGATATCTGGAGGATATCTTGAAGCGAAGGGATGGAGGTATAAAAAAAAGACAAAATCTGAAGTGAAGGTAAAGGAAGCGATAGTATGAGAAAAAGTTCAACCAGAAAAAAAAACTCGCGATGTATGGAGGAACGCAAGGAAGGGGTGGGTTACAGGACAGTTATGGAGACGAGGAAAAAAAGAAATTTTCAGGAAGATAGTGAGTATGGAAAGAGAAAATCATATGAATATAAAGACATAGCTACATTTAATTAATGCGTGCTTTTATGGTCTTTGCTACTTTACATTATGGTCTATTTTAACCTTGTTCTTCTTCATCGTGGGAGGTGGTTGATAGGTGCGCGAGATGCGAAGTTTCGCGAATGCACCGCACTGCAGGCATGGGGGCCTGGCCCTGATGGGGAATAGGCTGTGCCTCGACCAGGGCACCAAGTGAGGCGAAACATTGAGAAACAATGATTGGTTGGAAGAGTATGAAATATTGACATTTTTGGAGAGGCTTTGGTGGAGGTGCATGTTCGGGTGCATGGATGTGGAATTTGGTTTAATTGAATGGATTTATATGGGGATTTATATGGGGATCTATAGGTGAAATTTGGTGGTTCATCACGTGGTTATTACGATGACAGATTGACATGTGGGAGTAGGTGCGAAATGACAGGTTGTTGACAGGATGAAGTTCGCCGATGAATAATTTGTAATGATTTGATTATGTGGAGAATTTGATATGACATTGGGTAGATATCTTGAAATGATATGAAATCGCTCTATTGATTATGCGGTCCACGATGGTTATGTGGCTAATAGAGATCTGATCCATTCCGATCTCAAACCTGCGCGCTACTTGACAGTTTGATCTGAGTATTTGCGATCAGAGTATTAATATGGAATTTCAGAGTGATTGTGTGGAACTGGTATGGAAAATGAACTTGGTTTGAAATAGTTACAATGGATAATAAAGCTAAGATCATTATAATATGATTGGTACACTGCTCTGATTTTTCCATTATGGTTGTATGACTTTATATAGTTACCCTTATATAACTTCTGTCAGCAAATAGAATATTCAGCTACAACCTTTAAATGTTTGAGGTTCCGTTGCAGTATTAAATATAATACTATGTCGTTGGAGTACTTTACAATAAAGCAAGACAAAACATTGTCAACGTATACAATCAACTTCATTGCCTGAGTTCACGGTAAAGTATCTCCACTATTAGCTATCTCCACTATTCGGCTTCACGATATATATTTGTAGAAGACTTAGTACACTTACTTAAGTATCTGAATAATGAGCCTTGAAAGTCGAATATTTCACTATACCCAAACCACTTCTTCCTATAGATGCCCATGAATATCTATTGTGAACCATGCCGACAACGACGACTATAGTGGTTTACATTCTCTCCAGGAAATTCCTAACTCACTTTCAACAACACTCAGTCTTCTCTAATGGTCCTCCGCGACTAATCAGCTGGCTACTTTATTAGCTTGTGGAAAGTATTCAATACCTAAGACCTCTCACTAATAGTCTCCCTTCTGCTCGATACTTCTGATCCGAGAAGTCAACTTATAATTTACGATTCAATTGATTATTACTGAAAATTCGCTTGACAACATTCCTTTTTCGTTACATTTTGAACAATGTTGATGTACCTATCAACTTATGCTCTTGACATAAGTGTACTAACACCATTAAAAAACATGACCCCATCAAATTTGTTGAATCAGAAAATCCCTAATAATTTCATTACTCTTTTTGCACTCACTTATCTTGATTTGCAAGTGCTGACCTCAATTATGAAAGTTCATTCACTTCAAAGAAGTCACTTCCGTTTTTACTCTGAAGCCCAGATAATGGTTACTTCTAAGAAAGTATGACCAAGCGTTCTACATTAGGAAAAATGATTCCTCAAATAACTATCATCTCCGCAATGAGCAATATTTATTATAGTTATATTATATTGTCGGAAATTTTGACTTTATTTGTCAGTCCTAGGTGAGATCACCACAACTTCGAATAAAGATAACTTCCGGAGTCCTTACCCAATTCTAAATTGAAAATCTCGCAGTGGATATACACTGTGGGTATACACTTGACAATTTCCAAATAACCCAACTTGACAATCTGGTTATCTCCAGTTGTCCTTCAAAACATGTGTCTTTGCTTATGTCACACCACTTTATAACTTCAATAAAATACCTACTTTTGGTCCAGTCCCGGCTCTAGTAAACGATTTGGCCCCTCGTTCTCTTTCTATTACTATCAAAACTCTTGCATCTCCTCACCTACATCAAACTAACATTTCATCTATTCTTCTCATGTCAATCGTCTATATACTATATACACCAGTACAATCGCCAATGGTACCTGCCAAAGTCTTGTGTCCTTCTTCACGTTTTGAGTTACCGGAACTGGCAATGTTTTCTCCTCTCTCCATGCAATTTTTCGTGCCACCGCCAGTTTAGGTATTACCATGCACATGTTGATGTCGAGTAATTGAGTGCATGTAGAGTAGATGATTTATCACTGAGCAAATGAGAACAAGATGATAGGCAGACATTCGAGAATAGTAAAAATAGTTAATTATGTGGGAAGAAAAGAACCAGATACAGTCGTCACAAGTCAGTAAATTTCGATTTTCATAATGTTATGACCTTTGCAATTGAAAATTTGGGGCATTTCAAATAATTTTACCACCACTATACAACTCAAGATCACCTTGACAATCAACTATTCTCTCAACTCCAACCTTCTCTCAGTTTAGCCTACATTCTTTCAATACATGTATCATTAAAGATGCCAAATATGTTACACAGGTGCTCCCACCATTCTCTTTTAGTTTTGCACAGACAAGTCTCCCAATTTCTTTTCAAGCCCACTCTCCTCGTCAGAGTCGTCGTCTAGAGCCAAAACATCGAACGAAGACTTCTGTGGCTTGGCCACATCCTTGTCGTCCTTCTTCACAGGTGCCTTCTTAGCTCTTGGCTCCAACTTCTGGCCTCTCTTCCAGTCAAACTCAGGCTCCTCCTTCTTCTTGAAGTTTCCACGAGCCGAACTCCACTCGGAGTCGGTTTTTCTTTCTCTAGGAGGCAATGGGTTGGTCTGTCTTGCACTTCCCCAGTCCAAGTCTGGCTCATCTCTTCTTGGCTTTCTCTCTCTTGGTGGCAATGGGTTGCCGGCTCTAGCGCTACCCCAATCCAAGTCTGGCTCGTCTCTTCTTGGTTTTCTTTCTCTTGGAGGTAATGGGTTACCTTGTCTAGCACTTCCCCAATCCAAGTCTGGCTCATCTCTTCTCTGTCTTCTCTCTCTAGCTGGCAAAGGTCCACCAGATCTGGCTGCGCCCCAGTCCAAGTCTGGCTCCTCTCTTCTACCCTGGCCCAAAGGTCCAGTTCTGCCCGATCTCCAGTCCATGTCGAAAACATCAGCCTTCTGAGGAGCAGCGACATTCACGTAGATCTTTCTGCCGTTGAACTCTGACATGGACAAGAGCAAAGCCTCCTCCAAAGCTGCCTTCTCGGTGAAGGTGACAAAGGCAAATCCCTTAAGTCTGCCGGTCATGTTGTCCATTGGCAACTTGATGTCCTCAACGATATCTCTAGCCTGCAATCTATCCTCGAAGAAACGGCCCAAAGCCTCCTCCGACACCTCGTATGGCAAGTTGGCAACTCTAGCCTTGAATGGAGGAACATCAGGCACAGGGAACTCAGTTCTCTCTCTCTTCTGGAAATCTCCGAACTGTTCCTCGTCTCTGGAGAACTTGGAAACTGGTGCAGCGGTGGATCCGCCCTGAACAGCGACTCCGATGGACGACATGTCGACCTCCTCGTCAGCCCACGAGCCTCCAAGGGAGTCGTCGGCCAAAAAGGCGCCCAAATCCATTTTCTTGACGTTTTTCTTTGGTGCTACATATGTTAGTATACGATGGGAAAATTGCTGTCCACACACTGGCAGCCGAACCTTAGTACCACTCCTGAAATGGGTTTGTGTTGCCAGAGGCTATTTCGGTGATACATACGCATGGTGTAGCAGTTGTTTTTCTGGTGTAGAAGTATGTGTGAAAATTTTTTTTTTATTTGTAGATTATCTTCGCACTTGGTAGTAGCAGGAGGATATGTAGATGGAGAAACTAGGATAGCTTGAGTGTATTACGGGACTGTGAGTGGCACTAAAGTGTTAGAACTAAAGTGTTAGAATTAGAAATTAATGGTCATTTGGAGTATTGTGGTTTTTCGAAATTTAATTATGGCAATTTTCACTGTTTTTACTCGAAATTTTATGTGGAACACAATGAGGAAATGCTCATCGATTGATCTACACCATTTATGAATACAAAAATTAATTAGGGCGTTTGGAGCCATCCAAAATGATTCGTCAAACAGCCCATAGAATACGTAAATCAAACTCAAACTAGAAATTATCACAAATTATAAGCCCATTCTTCACATCTAAGAGCCATCGAGGTGGGCCACTATTCGAGAGTATCCGATACCCTCATGGAAAATGAAATTATTCTTTACAGTTAACGGCCATACTGAAACTTCAATAAAGCGTTGTACAATTATTAAACCCAGGAAATTTCACCAGTGAGACTTCTGTGTCAGTTATACTTGTCTTGCAACAATGTCTCTTCTGGCTGCATCAGAGACATCCACCTCGCTCATCTGCGACGCATTGTGGTAGATGCTTGGTGAGTGAGAATTCGATGAAGAGTCAATATCACTCTGCGTTACTTGTGGGGAAGGCACAATGTTTTCCCTCGAATGCATGTTGGAGGCCACTTGGTAGCCAGCTCGTGTTGATTCTGTGTCGCCAGCAGTTGATGCCACTTGCGCCGTTTGCTGGGTTTCGCCTGATGACTCTCCTGGAGATTCGGCCAGGGTAGACTCGTTGGCCTGTGGGGTTTCCGAATCTTCGTTGGTGTATTCCGTCTGATAGATTTGTATCACAGCCCAGTTGAACACGTCATCTTTCAGAATTCCCATTAACCTCCAGAATACTCTCTTCCAGAACGACTTAAACTTTTCATCGGCGACCTCACGGCCACGAGTTTCCAAATTGAGTTCAGGGTGCTCATCAAGAATCACTCTGACACGCTCCCCAAGTGGGATAAGCTCCACAAGAAGTGCCTGGAGGTTTGGATCGTTTCTGAGTGCATCATAGTTGATCGAGTCCTCGTCGTTTTGGCGATAAGTGTTGGTTCGCGTAACAGAGTTGGCGCTGCCGTCCGCAGGTGTATCGTTCGTGTTTCCATCTGTGTTCGTAGCGTTAGTAGTAGATACGGGAGCGTCGGAAGCATGTCTGGTTGTGTTTTCACCTTCAGGGTTGCCATTACCAGTACTATTTCCATCCGCGTTGGAATCCGGATTTGGCTCTCCGTCCGCGTTGGTGGCTGAATTTTCATTAGTAGTAGGAACATCTCTATCTCCCTCCTCATTATCACTACCCTCTCTGACACCAGATCCATCCGCGCTAGATTCCTCCTTGTAGTAGTCACGCTTACAGATAGGGCAACATGCTCTTCTACGAGTCAACCATGGGTCCACACACTCAGCATGGAAAACGTGGCCACAAACGAGACCTCTGACAATATCATCATCTTCAAAAGATTCCAAACAGATGGCACACGAGCCAGAGTCGAAATGGAGTTCACCCTTGCCGCCCAGCAGCACAGCCAGCGACATAGCATCCTCTGTCGCATCAGAAAGTGTTCTTGCTCGTAAATCGTGCATCTCGTGCATTTCAACCACAGCAAACTCATTAGAATCCTCTTGAATGGTATTCGATGACAGCTTGACAGGAACCAAAACGGCAGGAACTGACTCATCGTGGTCCACGACGTCAACTTGGATCAGCAGAGCGTCTACGCTGGCCGAGTCTCCCTCATGTAACCATTCAGCATACAGTTTCTTCGGGAAGAGTTTTTCGACCTCTTCGGCGGTAAGTTTCTTCATTTTGGCATAGCGCCCTCTTCTTCTACGTCTTCTGCGTCTAGCCTGGCTCGACAAGATGCGGCGTTCTAAGAACTCGTCTCGCAAGAAGTGGTGGGTTCGTAGGTAGTCCAAGTGCTCCTGAAGTTCACGGTTAGATGGTGAATAAGTAATGACAGCATTATCTCTGAAAGTCGCTGAGAACATCATGCCTCTATTTGATACCGGATAAACGTGGAGACCATAGCGGGAACGCACAAAGTATCTAATAGTAAAGAAGATGAATAGGAAAGCGATGCCCACTCCAACTGACATGGCCAAGAAGAACAACACGGTGGAAGGGGTATTACCCACGAAGGACGAGCCATTATTGTTGTTGTTGCTGGAGTAGAAAGGCAGTGACGTAGACGTCTGCCATCCCGACAGCCGACTTGAGGAGAACTGGGGTGTGGGACTTGCGGTAGAGGACATTTTTCAACAGGGATACCTCGGAGACAGCGGTTAAGTATCTCTAGCAACTTCAGAGATGAATTTTGGTGGCAAGGTGTCAGTTCAGCACTTGCTCAACCAGATAGGAGATGTGGAAAGTGTCGATGAAGACATGAAAGATCGGAGCGCAAGTCCGAGCAGCAAAACCGAAAGGTAACAAAGGTTGGGTGGCAGCACGATGCTGAAACACTTTATTTATGAAGAACAGATAAATAAACACTGGGCTCGAATATGTTCAACCCTCTGGCAGATGGAATTTTTGTCTTTTTCTCTGATCAGTCTGGGGAAATTATGGCCCGAAGTGCAGGGGCTCGTAAGTGCGAGCAAGTGGGGCGAAAGACAGGTACAGGGCCAGAGACCAGGTGAGGAATGGCCGGAATAAATGAGAATGTGGCTGAGGAAAAAAAAATGGCGAGTAATGCGCCAAGTGTGAGAATAGAGCGCCAAGTAGTATGAATCTCGCAGAAACTAGCGATCGTGGAAGCGATTCGCCGGGGCCCTTTTAGTAAGAAAGTTGGAGGCCTTAGTAAGAAATTCGCAGGGCCTTTAGCAAAGAGAGAGGAGCCAGAAATGCCGCGCACAGTCCAAGGAGGAGGCTCAGCAAGGTGGGCAGAAAGTGATTAAGCACAGGCCAGGAGCCCCAAGTGACAAAAAAAAAAAAGGCCACGACAAAAAGTGTACAACTTAAGCCGGTGGTAGAAAGGGCGAAGCTTCACAGGGCAGTGCTGAGCAGGGCAAAGCAGGTCAGTGCAGAGTATTGCAAGTATGTGACAAAAGCAAAAGGGCCAAGATGACACAGACGTAGCACGACTACTAGAGAAAAAAATAGCGTTCGATACTTTTGTTGTAGGATGTGTAAATTTCTTGAGGAAATTGCTTGTTTAAGTAGTTTTTGGGCCAGAGGATGGGGCGAGCATTCGGCATAGAGGGCCCAAATACGAGTCATGCGAGGAATATGACAAAGTGAAAGTGTCAATGTAAGTGACAATGTGAAAGTGAAAGGGTAAAAAAGGTAAAAGTAAAATCAGCAACGTGATGAGTTTTTTTTTTTGGTTGTTTATTTATGAGAGTAGGAGAGAAAAGAGATGAGATGAGATGACCTTGTGAGGAGGGCTAATTGTGGAGGTGACTGGTGGTGGATATAGCGATTAGTGTAAAGGTGAGGCTGATCTATGTACGTTGATCTGGAGAGAATTGCACTTTCGCAACCTTACAATGATGGCCACTGTTCGTTGTGATTTATGAATGATAATATCTTTATGAATAATGCCGATTTGGCTATTGTGGGTTTCGACTAGATTTTTAAATTGCTTTTTCCGTTTTAATCCGAACAATGCTGGACTTGGCGATGTTTAATGTGCCGTAGGAGTGACTAATGGAAACATTACTCTAGTTAGCAGGTTGGGGCCAAGAATGTCCAGAAGTTAAAGGAGTAGATTGAAAACTTGACTTGGAGACTATTGATATTCATGTTGATGTTGATGTTGGAGTTGAATTTTTGAGTTATGCTGAACTATCTGGTTGACAGACACTTTGATGGGACGGTTGAGTGATCAAACATGGAAATAGGTTTAGGAGAAAAAACACCGGGAATGTGTTGTACTTTGCATACCCACAAAGAGTCTAGCCATTTGATGACCATGTAGATGTGAAGTATAATGATCATTGTCAAGCGCAAATGCTCAGCTTGATTCTGAAACGAGTGAATGTCAAGTTAGACCAGTTTGATGAGGTGGCCAAGTTGGGTATTATTATGGGAGAGAAAGTTTTCTTTGGATTAATCTGAGCTGGCGATTATCTTTATTAAATTATGAATTGGACTGATGATCTCATTCAAAGTTATCACAGTTTCATCAATAATGTATCAAGTATGGTGTCTGAATACTAGTTGAATATGGTAGGGATGATATTCTGAGGGGAGTCCGATGTTCAGAATAGAAATGATGATATCCAGTATAGAAAGTATGATATCCTGCTATGCTTGACATGCTTGACATGCTTAACATGTTTCAAATACATCCCCACCTCACCCTACAAATCATCAAACAATCTACTCTACAATCATTATCAAATCTTGTGTATTGCGCTAGACGCCTCACCCAAGCAAACTTACGACTTTGGGGCCTCCTTGTGGGAAATAGCAGCCTCCTCACCCATGGCAGAAATGATGGAAATGATCAAGTCCTTTCCGTCATCGAAGTCAGACTGGATCTTCTCTCCCAACTCTCCATCTGGGACCTTGACATCGTCCTTGGTGTCACCGTCAGCGGTCATCAAAGACAAGAAACCGTCATCAATGTCCAACAACTGGTACTCAGCTCTGGTGACGTTTGGCACCTCCATGTTGTGGGTAGATGGAGACAAGTCCTCCAACTTCTTACCAGTGAAGATGTCAGTGGCAACCAAGTGGACCTTGGCGTGACCGTGCTTACCGGTCTTAGAGGTGGACATGTCAATAATCTTACATGGTCTACCCTTGATGACAACGTGACCGTTCTTTCTCAAAGCAGAACATTGCATTGGGAAGGTCAAAGCGGCACCGGCATCAGCGGTCTCAAAGGTGTGCTGTGAATGTTAGTTGCTGTTTATTCGTTCCTTCTTTCGAGGAGCAATCTGGTTTCAATGTCGAATTGGTGAACCTGGCGTTTAAAGTTGCTGAAATGTGTCCATTATCACCAATTTCCCCGCCTATCCTCTTCATGAAATAGTGGAATATCAAATTTTTGCCGTCAGTTGGTCCATTCGGCATAATCAATTTAGTACATACGTCTTCGTCAGCCATTTTACTTGTATAGGTTAGATGAAAAAGAAGAAGAGGAAGAAAAAAATTCCAGTCCTTTTTGGTTCGCAGAGTCGTTGGAAGCCGAAAAAAATGTGCGACTTGCGATGGGTCCGAATGAAAGGACTTGAATTTTCGTCTGGAAAATGAACCTTAATGCTTACAATAATTAGTTTGCTGCTCTATAGGCAACAGTGACAATTCAGATAGTCTTTTAAAAAATTCATTAAGTCCATTCTCCATCGATTGACGTCCATAAACAGTCACAGGCTCGGGGTTACCCGCCCCACAATTCGTCCACGCGAGGTCGTGCACATCGTGAGTTTTCTTGTATATAGTAACAAAACCCTCTGGATCACTGGCGAGCATTCTGGTTGTCTGCAGTCGCCGAACCCGGACCTTCGCCTTTGTTCCAATTATACTCAAGGTAGTAGTCAGCCAGGTCACAACAGAATAATATCAATTGGCGTGACAGTTTATGGGTAGGTTGGTGGTATTGCATGTAGTGAGAATCTCTCTATTCTTTTCTTCGTATTCTCGACTTTTCCGTTCTTGGTTCTCTCTCCTTTCTACCTTTACTTCACTCCTGGCATCAGTATATTGTTATAGTACATACAGTTAGAAAACGCTAGTTCCCTCGAAGATGCATAGTAGCAGGCGGTTCTCCTGCTCATCTTTCAATGCTATTAAATCTGTAGTTCACACCTTCAACTTTTCGGCGTGGTCACCTTCAAGGGTTCGTTTGGTCTCAATGCCCGAGATCTCTGAGTCCTCAGGCACCTGGCTGCTAAGGCGAGACTCAAATCTCGCCTGCTTTTCTTGCTTAAGACTCTCAACCATACCCTTCCATTTCTCTAGCAACTCCTCGCATTTCTCATGCAACCGAAAGCTGTCTGGATATTCCAAATCCTCGTCTTTCAAGATGCATTTGAGCACCTTATGTATCTTTGTTTCTCGTAAAAGATCGACAGAAACGGGAAAGTCGGCAAGACGATGCAAGATGATACGTGCCACCAGCAATTCGTCCACCGTTGGTGGTGGGAACTGCTTGGGGTCCCGGGGAGTGGCAGGCTGATTGCGCTGGATTAAAGATCGTTGTAGTTTGATGCGACAGAGCCAAAGCTGATGCTGGCGGTCCTTTTCCGTGAGTGGTTTTGGCGACGATGACCGAGCATCTGCCTTTTGACTGTCGCCATTTTTGGCCTTGCCATTGCCAGTACCTGGCGATATTCTTTTGCGAGTTCCGTTCGTGGTTCGGGAATTCCGCGTGCGCTTGCGCACCCCACTATCTGAATCATCTTGATCTTCACCGTTTTCGAGCTCGTCTTCTTCTTCTATTTCTTCTTCATCCAGTGTAGAGTGTGCAATTGCGTCCTTGCGTCGGCCTCTTTTGGCAATGTCCGTCTGCATCGCGTTGTCTATTCCACCGTCGTGAATGGAAGAGGGGGACCCGTGGGATTCGTTGGACTCGTGGGATTCATTCGAAACATTTGACTCGTTAGACTCATGGATTTGTTCTTCATCATTGTCGTCAATTGGGTTGGCAGCTGATGGCGCGTCTTCGTCATTATCGACTTCGTCCTGCGGATCTTCAACCTCGTCTTCTTCTTCATCTTCATCATCATCTTCATCGTTCTGCTGGGCAAAGCCCTTATTTTGGCGGGCCAATTCCTCCATAAAGTCGTCAAAGTCGAGATTAGTGGCTGCCAAAAGGGCCTCAGCCACGTTGGTGGTGCGGCCGGATTTCTTCTTGGGTTTGGCCTTCAACTTATCCTTTGGAAATTTGCTCAATTTGGCCTGCAATTTGTCCGGTGACAAAACCTCCAACAGCTTCTCGTTCATCCAGTTGAAGTCGCCGTCGGGGATAAATATCACACACAAGTTTGTGGTTTTCTTCTTGGCTGCCATAATGGCAGAGGGAATCATGTCAGGGGGCATGACAAACAGCGGCCAGGCGGGAAAGCCGGTCATTTTTGCCAAGACCATAGACTTGGCATCAAACGCCGGTTTCTTCTCCTTCTTTGGCGGCATGGAATGGAAGTGATGTGTAGGTGGCTCGGATACCAGCGAGTCTAATAAGAATTGGCGGGCGGTTGATGAGTTGGCACGCTAAAACGACACGAATTGAGCCACACCGCACGGGGGGAAGAGGGCCTCCAAGTGGCGGGAGTGGGCGTGATTGATGGAGAAGCACCGAACGGCGGGTTCAACCAATAAAAAAACAACACCTGGGTGGATTGGAGGAGGCGGCAGTTTGTGGACGCGTGCAGCCAGAGAAATAGTCCGAGGTTGGCACAGGTGCAGCGGAGAGCGTCAGGCGTGCTGGGGCGTGTTCTTGGTGCAGAGGGCGGCGACGCCTTGGAGGAAGATTGGAGCTTTTGGGAAAAGAGTGGTTTAAATGGGTTAGTTTACGATGTGGAGCCGCGATCACTAGAAAGGACATGTGCGACGCACGACCATGGAATATGTTGGAGGAGGTTGTGAATTGTAAGAAGGCATAAAAATTGCGCTAAATTTAGGATAAATTTGAGATAAATTTTGTAATGAATTTCAAGATACAGATAATATGGAGGCAATCCATTGGATAGTATAATTTCGGCAATTTTAAAGTAAGTTAAGAAGGGGTTTCATAAATAGTTTTTGGCTGGCAGGAGGTTGCGCAATTCGCAGCAACATAGAGTATGAGCCCAGAAATTTTGAAGAATGGAATGTGAATATAGGAAGGTGTTTTATTGAGTATGATCGGGGATTGTTTAAGTCTATGTGAATGTGATGGAAGTGTTTGTGACTGTACTTGCATCTTATTGTGTTTTGTGGATCTACAAATTTGTAGAAGATACCAATGGCAGAGATTAAATATGCACAGATAGTCTAGGAGTGGAAATTACTCTGGCATTGGAATTCCAATAGATATAGTTCAGTTGATTGTAGAGATTGTGTTAAGTGATTTATTGAAAAACTTTCTTTTCTTCCTTTTGTGTGGATATCTGTGGACATCCTGGAGTTATTGCCAGTATACTCTAAACACAAGTGGTAACTATAGTTAGTCGCAGCTAATTATTATCAAGGTGTAAACATCCTATTAAGGTATTTCAGCCGTTCATTGATATTCTACTCAATCGAATCCTTGAAAGTAATTCTAAACACATTGATATCCTTGCAAACCATTCATATATAAGTGACTTTCTCAGAAATCTCCTTTCTATACTTTTTCTGTTAATGTCCTTCCCACTTTCTAATCCAATTAATCTGACGGCCGATCTTCATGCAGGATACAATTCATCCAATGCATACCTTCCAAACATATAAATAGCCACATTCCCCCCGAATAATGAAATTAGAACAATGATCTTTTTCTTTCCCATTTTCCCTTTCTCCTCTTTACCTTGGCGCTTATATCTGCTTATACCTCCCTTAACTTACCTTTCATTAGTCCCCTCCTTCACTCACCCCGGCACACAGGCCGTTCCATGATTGTAGCGATTTTTTCTGACGTCTCACCCTCGACATTTTGCACCCACCTTCTTCTATCTAATACAACAATATACTGTGGACCTGCCACCCCCTGAATCCCGTGCCAAGGTCCCCATGTTTCTGTCCCAGGCCGACTTGAAGCGGCCCCACGCCGCCCACATGCCCACACCGGCCCAGATGGCTGCTGTGTTCAAGAAACCTCGAATACTGGGTGAATCTGCCAATTCTCCAGCTGCTACACCCGCCAGCCTTCCACACATCCTGCAACCGCTGCTGCTGTTGACTCAGTGCGTTCCTGCCAATATCTACCCCGTGGTGTCGGAACCTTTTGCTGTGTCGGACTTCTTTGTTGATGTGGAAACAAACCACTCGCAGAAGTATTCCGATCAGATGAAACTGGTGTTGGCCAAGTTCCCGCCGCCCATAGCCCCGGCTAAAAGTTCAAATTTGCCCTATAATGGTGTGGGTATCATGGTCCCTTTTGTGTACCCACCCATCCCCGTGCTTCGACCTGAAGCATACTTGGCAGATCCTCCCATCACCAAGAAACGAGGCAGAAAATCCGCATCGCAGCTCTTGGCCATCGCTAACGCCAACCTGTCTTCGCATTTGGGGGTCGAAAATGTAGACTTTCATCCAGTCATGGCACCGCTCCCGTTTCCACCGCCAAACTACATGTCGTACCCATTGATCTCGGATCAGTCCACACTTACACCCAATGAGGTGTTTTCAAGCTGGATCGCTGCTCTGGAACATTTACCACGAAGTGATATGGTTGTCGCTAGTGCAGCAGGCTCGATTTTTGATCTTCGAGCTCAAGCTGAAGCCGATGGTTTAACTGTTGCCAAGTTAGACCGTATCGTGCAGCTCAGTCGCCATGAGTCCGATCCAGAGGCTGAAGATGACCGCAGCGACTCTGAGGAGCTGATTCTGGACTCAGGCTACGAGGAGTATGCCGAATATGCCGACCAAGTGGACATTTCCACTGCTTATGACCCACATGCACAGAATAAGCACATTGGCAAGGTGGTAGTGGATCTGCCCATTAAAACCGACTTTGTTCAAGTGTCTCCTTTGGTTTCCAGCCAGGGCAGGACCTTGGCTAAGCGCCCGGCTGCGTCGTTCGAGTACTCGGACAGAGATATCGAAGAGCAGACCGAGTTTGCCATGCCTGAGACTGTTGTCACCAATGGAGCTCGTGACATCACAAATGCTGTGGGAGCACAGAAGGAGAGACGTAGACAGGAACTTCTGCAGTCTGTCAGAGAGATTGAAGATTTTGCATCAGCCAACAGAGACGAAATATATGCATCCAAGAAGTTGGCATTGCTTGCGAGATTGCGCACGCTTCAGCAGTCCAAGATTTCATTCGATGATTCAAAAACGCTGACAGATGACCGAGAACTTGACTACTACCTCACAGAGTTGCAGGCTCGTAGGGATATGGATCTTCTCCGGTTGAAAATGTATCACACATACGAAAAACTCAAATGCGCATATGCCTTCTACCACACATCCAACAAGGCATACAAGAACATGAACTTTCTGATGATCAACAAACTTCAAAAGCTCCGAAACTTCTTCGAGTATCAGAGACAGGTTTTCCACGATGCAACCAACCTGAAAAACGAGAGTGACGTGTTCAATATACGGAGCAAGGAGAGCGCCAAAACGTACAATGGATTCACCGAGAACGACTATCTGGGTGCAATCAAGGAGATCTTCCGTGAATCGGTGGTGAACGAAGACAAGGGACTCCCACTAGACTCGCACCCCAACTTTGATAGTGCCCAGTATTCTAAGGTGTTCACTGACAGAGAGCATCAAGCTAATGTTCATGATATGATGCCATTAGTCACGGAAGAAGAGTTCAAGTTAATTGTAGGAGATGCACCGCAGAAAGCTGGACCCACCAAAGATGCCAATGGCAAGACTAAGAGTGCACGGCACCCAATTTTCCAAAGTCTGCTTTACGATCCAGTGACTTCTGGGTCTGACACAAATGGGTCAGATGGAGGAGCGCCGACATTCAAGCGGAGACCGGGCCGGAGGGCAGCACCCAAGCCAGTATTTGGGGATTCTACTGCCAAACAGAATACTGAGGCTGCACTTGTTGCAAAGATCATGAAGCAGTTTATTGGTCCGGCTGCAGCCTCTGCAGATGAATTGAGCAACGACCTTGAACTCATTGGAATCGAAACAAGATGGCCTGTCAAGTAGAAGGACCAAGAGAAGAAAAGAACGAAGTGAGAACAAAGAGAAGAGGAGGGGGTATATAAATCATTCGGAAGCTAGGAGCTAGTGGACTTAGTGGAGCATATTATCAAGCATACAAAAATAGTGATGTAATATAGAGTCATGTACTAGTATATGGCACAACGTAACAAGCGGCACTCTAAAGAGTCAATTGTACATAAGAAAGAGATAAGACAGTGGGGAACAGAAGTGAAGGGCGAAGCTGGAGGACTAATAGTCCTCAAACTGAGAGTAGAGGCCAATCACCACGTTGGCCACACCAATAATGAGCGGGAAGTTGCCCAAGCCCGAGACGAAACGGTGGTAGATGCCCAACTGAATAAAGAGGTGGTTCTTCAAGGCGTGCACAATGCCCTTGTAGGTGTCAATGGTAGTCAAGGCTCCGTTCTTGAAGATGAAGTAGAAAATCACCACCTTGGTCAAGGCGAACACAAAAGGATCGTACTTGTAGAGACGGATCACGAACGAGGTATCTTCCTCATCATCATCCTCGTCTTCAATCACTACCACTCTTCTGGAGAAGTTGACGTAGTAGGAAAAAAGCAATGGAATGAAAACGGCGTAAAGAGACCAGTTGAGGATTATGGACACGACGGTGAAGTTGGCCAACGCAGTGAAGTCCGGAATTGGGAAAGAAATATCGTTCAACTGAGGAATATTGTCTCTAAACACCTGGTGAATCAGCTTGTTATGCTTGACAGCCACCAATGGCACGTAGAAGTACAAAAAGTAGCCAGCCTCCACGGCCAATTCCAAGTAGTTGAGCGACACAGTTCTAGACAACTTCTCTCTCAAGTCGTCGTTGGCTTCCAAAGTAGTAATACCGACCAGGTCGAAGAATTCTAACACAGACTCATAGGTCTTCTCAAACAAACCAATGGCAGGGTCCACAATCAACTCCTTCAAGTCAATGGGAGGAGGAGCGTTGTAGTCCTTGTCTTCGTCATCGTCGGCGTCAGCTTCCTCATCTTCGGCGTCCTCAGTTTCCTCTTCCTCGACATCCTCAGCATCTTCAGCATCCTCATCGTCGGTGGCATCGACCTCCACCAACGTGGCTACCTCCACCTCGTCGGCAGAAGCCTCGATCAACTCTTTGGCTCTCTCAGGGAATTCCTCAATGAAGGATTCGATTTTTTCAAGCAACAGCTGCTTGGTGTCCTTGGACCGAACAGTGATGCCAACAGTTTTGGCTACTTTGGCCAAGTCGGCCTTTTTGAACGATTTGAACTCAGACATGTGGGTAAAGAATGTAGTAGGAGTTTTCGATGTTGTTGTTGTGGAGGAGATGTATGCCGGAGACCGGTGTGTTTACATAGTTCCGCATTAGGTTGCTGTCACCGTTGGGTGGGGTGTGATTGGAGGTTGTGGCCGATGTTGGGTAGAGTAGTGGACAGATGGGTATCAGTGGAGGGGCTAACGGAAGGTGAGTAGGTGTAGATATGTGTATTGGTAGTGATAAGAGTTGTGGGTGTAAGGAAGGATTGTATGGGTGGAATGTATGGTGGCTGCGAATACAGAGGAGGGAGGACAGATCGGAGAATTGTGTAATGGAGGGTAGGTGGAGATGGAATTGAAGAATTGAAAAGACCGTAAAGTGTAAGGAATGAAATAAATGAGAAAAAATTTGAAATTTTGAAAAGTAGAAAAAGGACTAAAGTTCAGATGGTCGAGAGTCTGACCTTAGTAGAATGTTCTTGCTTGTAGGACTGAATACGCAAGAGTGCACCTGTGTGGATGATGACCCTCTACATGAACAGAGCAATCTTAGACACTCCTACGACGTATAGAATGATGACATTATTCATGCTGGAATGAAAGTTGAAGAGATAGAAGAATTTGTATGGTACATATGTAAATGACTTCAAGGATTGGAATTGCAATTAATACCAGTCCTCAACATGAGACTCTGCGCTCATAAGGCAAACGGCAGAGTTCATAATACAAATGTTTAGTATTTTGAAGAAAGACATTGAAGAGTTGTCAGAGATGGGATTCTCTATGAATTTTTAATTTCAACTTGTCCTCTGACCATTCTCTCAAGTCACTAGGATTTGTTTCCAGTGTAATTTCAAAGTAGTTTCATCTATACTGATGTTGTCAATTCACTTTATTAGACCGCCAATATACTTGTCTGTCGAAATCAAATTCGTGTTTTCTACAAAATTTCTCAAATTCCCTGCCTTTCTGATCTATGATTAAGTACATACCTTTATTGATTATCTCCTACGTTTTGTGATATCGTGAGTTGTCTCTAATGTCCCCACAATGTATCTGAGTCTCGCAGCCATACCTAATCAGATCTTTTCCATTCCAATCTCTATTCTATTTTCCATTACAATTTCTCATTTGTTCCAACTTATAAAATCCTACTAATTTGAACATTAAATTCATTCAACTAATTCAATTACCGAGTTGACTCCGTCAGTGACCGTTTTGGATCTTGTCAAGATCTCTAGAATGCGCAACACTTAACAGCCTTTTCCAGAACCCTGACAAAGACGTCCACTTCCCCTCTTCTTTCGAAAATTTCCTCCATTAGAATATTCCATTTCATTCTCCTCATTGTTCCTTATCTATACACTATAGTTCCCCATTCTCTATTTTTGCCTTTTTGTTTCCATTCTCTACTAAACCGTTGGCACGTGCAGTCCATCACGTTCTATTTACTTTTCTCTCAAATCGGCAACAAAACATCTGCTAACATCATCATCATCACTTCAGTCTTGAATTGCTCTGGTGGCGTACTAGATGCTATAGGATTCTTCTACGCGTTTTCATTCTCCCATTCATATCAATCATGCCTAGGCAGTCTATTAGCCTACGGCATTTTACAAGGCACCTTTCAAGGTCCCTACTACGACTTCAGCTGCCCCGGATAAACCAGGTGGGCATCCAATATCTTTCCAATGACCTACAGAAGAAGGTTTTTCCCAACACGTCACCCTCAGACTACTTGCAATCACAGCACCCGCTCCTTCTCTCGTTGGTGGAAAGTCACTTGAAAAATGCCGGTTTACTTAATAAGAAGACCCAGATCAACGACCCCATCGTGATTCCAAATCTTCCAGAATTGGTGGGAAAGAACACTCTAGATGAACACTTTACAAGGATCGGCTACCGCTACTCGCAGCCGTATCTTTCTATGGCAGAAGACTTTCTACTGCAATCTAGAGACTCTCTACCTAAACCTGACAATTGGCTCTTTGCTAGCGGCTGGACTCGCTATGCCCCAGGCTGTGACCCAGAGAAGGTGGATTTTCCGCTTGAAGATGAATTGGTTTTTGACGTAGAGGTGATGTACAAGCGGTCGAACTATGCGGTCATGTGCACAGCCATGTCCTCCAAGGCATGGTATGGCTGGGTGTCGCCGCTACTAACAGAATATGCAAACGATCCTTCCTACTCAGATTGGAACCATTTTATTCCTATGAACACTCATGCATCGCCAAAACTTTTGGTGGGCTTCAATGTCAGCTACGATAGAGCAAGAATCTTGGAAGAGTACTCGGTCAAACAGTCCAAAGCCTTTTTTCTTGATGCCATGTCATTTCACATTGCCCTCAGTGGATTTTGCTCGCAACAGAGACCCACATGGAACAAGTTTAGAAAACACAAGCAAGCCGTGGAGAATGCAGAGCTGGAGTCTGAGTCCATAGACTTTGATCTGGACCCAGAAGACCCCTTGTCAGGTCTCTCTGCATCTGATGTGGCTCAGGAACTCATGGATGATCCGTGGCTAAACAAGGGCTCGCTGAATTCTCTTGCAAATGTGGCAGAGTTCCATTGCGGAATAAAGATGAAGAAGGACCTTAGAGACACCTTTTCCTCCACCAATATTTCCGATGTCACAGAAAACTTCCAGGAATTGATGAACTACTGTGCGGATGATGTTATTGCGACCTACAAAGTGTCTCAGAAACTCTTTCCTGAGTTCCGCAAGAAGATTCCCCATCCCGTCTCTTTTGCTGCTCTTCGACTGTTGGGTACCTTGTTTTTACCCACATCCACGTCCTGGGACTCCTATGTTAATAGCGCAGAGTCTGTCTACCAAGAAAATAGACAGCTGGTGGACAAAATACTTCAGGAGCGAGTTAATGAATTAGTGCGATACATCCATGAAAATGACGACCTGCTCAAGCCAGATACGGAGCTGGACCCGTGGCTCAAGCAACTCAATTGGAATATCAAGCCGGAGCGTCTTAGAAAAGATGGAACTCGTTATGCTCGTCAAGCCTATCTCACAGGATACCCAGAATGGTACAGAGACTTGTTCAAAACAACCACGGAAAAAGACGGCGAGAAGCTACGTGAGATGAATATTACGGTGAGAACAAGAATCACGCCTCTCCTCCTACGCCTCAAGTGGGAAGGATATCCATTGATCTGGACAGAATCTGCCGGGTGGTGCTTTAAAGTACCATACGAGGGCGAGGTCGTGGACATAATGCTAAAGAAAAATTATACAAAGGCCGAACTCAGTGAGGAAGATTTTGAGATGATGATGCCTGAGCTTCGCGATAATGGTATTCCTCATGAACTTTTTAAGGTGCCACATCCAGAGGGAAACAAGAAGAGGTGCACGCTCATTATGTCAAAGAGTTACATTAAATATTTTGACAACGGAGTTTTAACTTCAGAATATGATTATGCCAAGGAAATTCTCAATTTGAATGCTACTGCTTCCTACTGGATGGGAAACAGGGCCCGTATCATGGATCAGTTCGTTGTGTACTGTGATCCTAAAGGTGAGAAGAACAAGTTTTTCGATACTAAAAAGGATTGCAAGTCACACAAGGAAATGGGAATTATCATCCCGAAGCTCTGTGTGATGGGAACTGTCACAAGACGTGCAACTGAGAATACTTGGCTTACTGCTTCCAATAGTAAGGCTAATCGAATTGGTTCTGAGCTCAAAGCGATGATAACGGCACCCAAGGGCTATGCTTTCGTCGGTGCCGACGTTGACTCTGAAGAATTATGGATAGCATCTCTAATTGGGGATTCAATGTTCCAGATCCATGGTGGAACAGCACTTGGGTGGATGACACTTGAAGGGGATAAGCATGAGAAGACCGACCTCCATTCCAAGACCGCAGAAATCATGGGTATCCTGAGGAATGATGCCAAGGTTTTTAATTACGGCCGTATTTATGGTGCTGGAGTGAAGTTCGCCACTAGATTGTTGAAACAGTGTAACGCTTCCTTGAGCGATGCTGAAGCTGAAGAGAAAGCACAAAAGCTTTATGAACTGACCAAAGGTCAGGTCAGCCACTCAAAGTTGTTTCTGAGACGCATTTACCATGGAGGAACTGAGTCGGTGATGTTTAATGCACTTGAATCCATCGCTTATCAAGAGAATCCAAAGACACCTACACTTGGAGCATCCATTACTGATGCACTCACACAGAGAAATCTTAATAAGAACAACTACCTCACGTCACGAATTAACTGGACCATTCAGAGCAGTGGTGTTGACTATCTCCACCTATTGATCGTTTCCATGGAGTACTTGATTGAAAAGTTCAAATTGGACGCAAGATTGATGATCACTGTCCATGATGAGTTGCGTTACTTTGTAAGGGACGATCAAAAATTGCTCTGTGCTTTGTTACTCCAAATCAGTAACTTATGGACCAGAGCCATGTTCTGCGAGCAACTTGGAATTAGAGAACTACCGCAATCTTGTGCTTTCTTCTCTGAGGTGGATATTGATTTTGTACTCCGGAAAGAGGTTGGTATGGAATGTATCACACCTTCGCACCCTACGCCAATATCTCCAGGAGAATCCTATGATATCAACAGCCTTTTGGAAGCTATAGACCCTTCCATTCTTGAGACGAATAGAAGCAATTTACAATATCTCAAGAATCACAAATTTGTTGCTCGCGAACCAGTGATTAAGAGCTTGAATGCTGGGACTAGCAGTGGATTTACTATCGCGAAATTAGCGTTGGAGAATTCGACTAGCAAGGATGAATGGAAGGCAAATGTTTCCAAGATTTACAAGGTGCAGAGGGGCGATGAGGGTTTGGAGATGATTCAAAAGTCATCTAGGGCCAAAGTTCTGAACAAGTCCCTGACCAAGCAACCAAAGCCACTCAAATCAACAAAGACTTCTCCATCAAAGGAATCAACTAAATCCCTGGTCAAGGTCTCCAAATCTGCAAAGAATACCACGAAAGTTCTGACAGAAGCTTCAGCATCAACTTATAAGAAGCCACCAGAAAAGACCTCCAAGTTGACGAGAATGATATCTGAAGAATATGACTTGTATAAGGAGGACGGGGATGAAATGCTACGCCGAGAGGTCGAAAAGAGTATTGGCCCAAAACTACAAGGTGGCCAGCATTCTAAGAAACCCTCCCTGGCTAATGTCGGCTTGCTGAACAGCAATGCTCCCAAGGGCCAATCGGTGATTGTAGGAGCTCGCGGGCCGAAAATGACGAAATTTTCCAATCTTTTCGGCTATACACCTTCCAAGTCCAAATTGTCTGTCAATCCGTCACCTGCTGGTACAGCCAAGTATAATTTTCACTCAAAGGCCGCTTCAACCCCCAATCTTGAATCCACTTCACAAGAGGGAAAAATCAAACAGGGATCAAGTAAAGTCTCTTCAAAAGAATTCAATCATGGATTTCCTCTCATCCAGAATTTCGGTTTTGCAAACGCACAACTCGCTTCACACCGCAAGGTGAAGCGAACTGGCTCTCTAAGACAAAAATTTCAGACTAAGCATATACATACTTTCATTGGAGCCGATGACAACTTCGAACGACGATCGCAAGTCGATGTCACTCTGGACACACTTGGTGCACATCGCCGTCGTCGACGACGAGAAGACTAAGTGAAGTTGTATGTACAGCTGATTTAAATCTTACCTGAGCCGCTTCCATACCTGGATCGAGAGAGCATTACCTGACTAACCGCTCGTGAAGCAAATTCTTGCAAACCACAATTGATTGCATGGCATTGAGCATACCGTTCTGCCTTCAAATCATTGACATCATGCTGTCCCAGGACAACAAGAGCAAATCCCGACCTTCTGACAATGCCCCTTCAGAGCATTCTACACCACAGAGCAGGCGAGTCTAGATGCCATAGCCATGATTCCGGGCGATCTTATAGACGACCTCGGTGATATTTATTGTATATTAGCTGTATTTAGATGAATGTTACGATTATCATGAGAGTGTGCAGAGTAGCTACAAGTAGACATTGACAAAATCGCCTGGAACTTCACCAAAAATTACCTGCTACTACACAAACGCTAGCATATCCATCAAGAATGACACAACTCGACCATGTTGTTACGCTAAATATTCCTTTTGAGACTGCCCGACAAGCATCCATTGCATGTAAAAGCATTTCTGTGGATCCAGTCTTGAAGAAAGATGAGATTTCTGTTGATTACGAAGCTGTGGAGAATATCATGAAGTGCACATTTGCTGGAGTTTCGGACAGAGTGATCAGAGTTGCTATTAGCAATGCTATAGATAATATCAAGACCATTGTGGAATGCATGGATGAGTTTGATGGACAAGAGGCTAAGCAGTTTGAATAGAATGTTTTTGAAGAGATACAATGATTTGTCGTTGTGGAGTTGACGCAATCAGCACACTTTCTGCAGATGAAAAATGTTTTTCCCCAATTTTTTCAGATAATTACGGTTTCTATGAATTGTCAGGGTTTATTCGTATTTAGGAATAGGCATCCCAGATCTGATCCATCAAGAGTTCACGATTACAACTATAATAGAACAATGAATATACGAGTTTAATTACGGTCACAACTATAGTTATGAAACTTCGATAGAAATTGTTTATTGGGACATCACCAAATACTTTCACCACCTACTCAACCATCTTGGCCCATCGTCCTGTACTAAATATTATCCATTTCAATGCTCCTAAAACCGTGTGGCCTAGTGCCCATCACAGGCAGGAGATATCTCTTTAAAAAGGCTAAAAACACTCTGAAGGTAGCAGGGTCAAACCTCCCTACTGCACCCTTCAGAGAAGAAGTCGATTCCAAACATCACGAATATTCCATTCGACCTGATACCTTTGCATTCAAGGTTTCTGCTGACCTAACCAGTGTAGTTGGTAAGGAACACTCGTCACGGTCACAAAGTGAGCATCCGCTCCAGAAAAACAGAACCAGCGAGTTCAGCTCCTTCAATGTACTTGAGTATATTTATAAGAATGCCACCAACTATCCATTCCACGACAAGACTCCACAGGATGTGTTTGATCGATTCCCCATGACTAACTCCTCTCGAATGGGGAGGTTGAACCACCGTCCGCGGAAAGTCAAGATGTTATCGTCTGACTTTATCGAAGACTCCCTCTACAATCCCAACTATGGGTATTTCTCCAAAGAGGTGGAGATTTTCCACAATGATAAACCCTTCGACTACAACAACATCGAGGACGTCGATGGGTTTATGGACGCATGGCAGAAAGCCTATGCAAAGTATGATGAGGTCAATCCTCCCCAGCCAGTATCCAATTCTTTCAATGAGGACTTAATGTCTAATTCGAAGTCTGAATCAAAGTCTGAATCTCTGCTGGTGTTTGCTAAGCACGCGAAGACTATCCAACGCCAGGACTTGGTGGCTGCCGGAGGAGCTCCAAAGACGAAGAAATCCATCCAGTTGTGGCATACGCCCACGGAGCTCTTCTCTCCATACTACGGAGAGGCTCTAGCTCGCTATATTGTGGTTAATTATAAGCTCAACGGATGCTACCCATACGAGGACTTGATAATCTACGAAATGGGAGGCGGAAATGGAACGTTAATGTGCAATATCTTGAACTATATCAGAACTAATGAGCCAGATATTTATGCAAGGACCCAGTACAAAATCATTGAGATCTCGTCGCAGTTAGCTCTCAAGCAGTTTTCGCTGGCCATGAAGCAGAAGTTGGTGGCGCAGAACTTAGATACCGAGAAGCTTGAAATCATCAACAAGTCCATATTCAAATGGGATAAGACTGTCGAGCAGCCGTGCTTCTTTATTGCCCTCGAGGTTTTCGATAACTTTGCTCATGATTTGGTTAGATATGATGCAACCACTGGGGAGCCTTACGAAGGATATGTGGTTGTAGACGAAGAGGGTGATTTCTACGAGTTCTTCACTCCCGAGTTGAGCTATTACACAAACGCTTTCTTGAATTTGAGGGAAAATGGTAACTATCCTATCTTGCCTCAAGTCGACTCCATGTCTGGAAGACTCAAGAAGCTTGCAACTTTAGTGCCTTTCCTCACCGATAAGGATGCTATTCATCCTTTGTTGCATTCACGGACTAAGTTAACATTAAAAAACCGTGTTGCTCCGTTCAAAGACAACTTGACACCTGGTGAATTTATTCCTACTAGACTTTTACAATTTTTCCAGATCTTAAAGCACAGATTCCCAAACCACTCTTTGATCAGTTCCGACTTCTCCAGTCTACCAAACTCCATCAAGGGCTACTATAATGCCCCTGTGGTGCAGACAGTGATTCAGGATAAAATGGTGGATGTATCGACGTATATGTGTCACCAGGGCTACTTTGATATCATGTTTCCTACTGACTTCAACCTTGCAAGCGACATGTATAAAAAGGTGACAGGAAAACTTGCAAAAGTGGAACTGCATCAAGAATTTTTGGAGCAGTGGTCAGATGTTGACCTGACAACGACTAAGAAGGGAGAGAACCCGATGTTGGACTTTTATAAAAATGTGAGTTTCATGGTCACTTAGAGGTGTTCACTACATTACTTGTGCATAGTAAGATGATATACATATATCATTAATGAAAAACAGATGCGTTAAAACGCATTAGAAGAACTAAACATATCACACTAAACCATTACCAAAACATGCCCAAGACAATATTACTAGACTTACGCAATCCGCCGATTGCAGATTGCATTGCCAACATACTGAGGGACTTTAACTCTTTGAATGCCAAACTCAGTAGTCAATAACTGAGTTGACAATTGTGTTATCAGTGAGTATTTGGATACTTTCAACTGCAACCTTGGATATATGACAGCCACACTCACTGACAGTGTCCATCAATTTTTCTGCCATTTCAGATGTTGCAAATGTTCCCACAGAACTTTCCGCAGCCACTAACTGCTGGTAAGTACCGTTAGTACTTGTTTGAACAGGTTGTAAGTTTCTGACAAGATCACTTAGGCCCTTCCCTAGTGAGGTAACTGCACCACTGGCCACAGTAACTCCAACACCAATGCCAACAGAGAAGCTGCAAATGAGCCACATATTTCTTCGAATAATAGCGAGACCTTCATTATCTTCAGGCACCAGGCTTGAAGAACTTGAACTAAAGTATCGCTTGAATGCGCCCACAAGTGCTCTCAAATGGCTCAAGTTGGACGATAACCGCAAAGGATCAATATTGGTGTAACTCAGAGACATCAGCATTTCGGATCGAATTTGTTTTTCGATCAACTTGTAGTCGGGCTTTCTTGTTGGAGTCAAGCTGTCATACATGGAACTCGATTCTGTGGTAGACTGGGGGCATTCAGGCTTTTTGTTTCTGGTGTACTTCTTAGAACGAGTCTGAAATTCCTGAGCGTGTCTACCTTTGGTTCCGTCGCTTAACTCCTCATCAATGTACGTCTTCATTTTGCACAACAATTTAGTACTCCTAAGAGATGGAGTTTTCCAAATCTGATGCGGACGGGTGTTATTGATCATGTCGAACAAATTGATGAAGTAGTTTGTCGTCATAATATTGATGACAGTGAGTTTTGGAAGCGAATTTTCGCAGCCACCTTGGAGCAAAGCGTCCATAAATTCAATGAACAACAATGAACCATCATTGACGAGGAAAAGCAAGTTTGAGTTGCGCAACACCGAAATATCGAACTTCAGAGGTGATTGCGCAATGACCAAGTGATGCACTTGAACCTTCAGGGGCATATCCATGTTGTTCTTGATGTAATCGATCATGGCCTGGGTTTCGACTTTAAGTGCATCATTGCAGGTGCTGAGAATGGTCAATTGCACGGGTTTCCCACTATCAGACAAGGACATTTTCGGCATGATGAACAGGCTGTGCAGATTTTTAGGAGCCGAAACGTGCCTCTTCGTGTTTCCACTGTTACTTGTGAGCGTCTTATCGTCACCGTGCAAGTAAGCCGATTTCAGACTACCCACATAAGTATACTCGTCACCGTCGTCCTCCTCATCGGTCTCAAATACCATAACCTTGGAAGTTGCATTCTTGAGCGAGGGCACCACCACCATGGAGTCCGAAGGGTTGTCTTCCTCGGAGGTGATGGATAAAATAGATGCACTAGCAGGTCTAGGAGACGCAGAGGATGCAAGCATCTGAAGGGCCAAATCCTTGCCCTCGGGGACCATATTTATAGGCAGCCACAGTGGGAACGATGCTAGTGGCTCCATGGCCACAGGGAAGTCCAATGGTGGCGGTGTGTAACGCTCATTGCGCAGGGGAGAGCCAGGAAGATTAGGGAGATTGAGGTCAAGGTCAGGGTTGGTGAGCGCGTTGTAGATGGACAGATGCGAGCTGAGAAGCTTGCGGAACGATGCGGAAGGAATGTCGTGGCCGTTTCCAGCGGAGGTGGCAGGATCCTCACCATGAGGGCTATTCATTGTGGATGAGTGGAGTGAGCGGCTAGTCAAGGTAGATCAGAGAGCGTGGAAGCACAGGTACAAGCCACAGACTGGCAGGAAAAGCAGGGAGTAGCTTATGTTGCAATTCGACAGGTTTGCTTGTTGGAATAATAAGGTCACTTGTGGCACACTGAGAGTATGCTTGAAGGCAACGAGGAGGGTTGAAGATGAATAGAACGCGCCAGGGTCGGTGGAATAGGCGAGAAAGCGGTAGAAATAAATGTGGCGAACGATGAAAAGTAGACCAGAGTTCGAGTGGAATTCGAAGCGGATCGAAAAAAAATATCAACGGTGGTGCAGAGTCCGAATAGGTGTGGATTATCTGTAGTAGGTTGTCAGGAGCATCAGTATGCGCGAATGACGATAAGATCATGTGTAGATTAGCAGGTGACCAGGAGGGGAGCGACATTTGACAATTGCCAGAAGTGGAGATGGAAGTAATGGAGGAAATAGCTTGAATTGAAGTTGGTGAATTTTATGATCTTCAATGAGTGAATGTAAGATTTGTTGTATTTTGTTCTTATCTGAAATTTTTCTTTGATCTTTCTTTGATTTTCTACTTTGGTTTTGCTATCTGATTTTTTGTCTGTCTGAGGGTCTGCGACTTTTAGATTGTCAAATGTAGGTTGCTAATTGAAGTCCGAAGTTGTAGAAGGAGAGAACCGGTTATGTGAGGGAGATTTTATTGCAGAGTAAGATATTATGGGATTTGTGTTGGTATATGATACTAACAGTACGGACTTGGAAAGTATCCATAGCATGATTCAAGGGAGAGTATCCATAGTAGGACAAACAAAGTAGGATGCAAGGTAGTATAGAGCATATGATAGGGTATATGGTAATTGTATGCCATAAGGGGTAAGTGGAGTAGAAATTAGGCATAAGTCTACTAGAAAATGGGATTCTGGGATGCACAAGTGATTATCTCGGCGCGATCTCGCTCTGAAGTTCTGCTGAAGAGTGTTATTGAACTCTAGATTGGTACCACAGTAAAGGTTCAGATTGGACAAAATGAAAGTATATGGATAGATCAGATATGAGGAGAAGAGATAGAGAAAATAGAGGAAGATGAAGAATGAATGTTCAAACTATCCTCTTATCCAGTTCTCTTTTTTTATTATGATCATTTCCTAGCTCTATACCATTTGCACTATCATATCTCGTAATTATTCCGGTTTCTATTTTGTGCGATATCTCGCCTCGAGGCGCGATAATATATCTCCAATTCATCTTCGATGTATCGTCGCGATTCAAACATAACACTGCCAAAAATCCAATTTTACTCCACTTCTCCCCAAAATCTTACATTCATATCTTGCCCGACCAATGTTCCCAATGACTTTTCCCCAGTTTCTCCACCCTCCATTTTGCCCATTTTCTATTGTAAATCGGCCATGCACAGCCTCATGGAAAAAGAAACAGCACACAGGTCAACAAACAAAAAGTATTCATTAAACCAAAGATATACTTACAAATTCAGATCGATTTGGATCTATTCCAAATTGAATTTTTATAAATTGAGAATCATCTAGCTAGTTAGGAACAACCATTATTTTCGAATTTTCAAACATTCTAAGAATTCTTCACTAATCCTTTTAACCTAGTATTCTCCAGTTTCTCTACCTTCATAGAGGTAAAGGTGCTCGCGTTCATAGAAACATAAAACTTCAAACTTCAAACATCTACCTTCTCTATCATGGTCGACGACAAGTATATCGGGCTCGCGCTCGCCATGTCGTCCTCGTTGGCAATAGGAACTTCGTTCATCATCACGAAAAAAGGGTTGATGGATGCCTCCAGAGCTGGCGCTGATAATGCCACGGGACATCAATACTTGCAGAACCCAATCTGGTGGGCAGGCATAGCCACCATGGCCATTGGAGAGGTAGCCAACTTTGCAGCATACACTTTTGCTCCTGCAATCTTGGTGACTCCGTTGGGCGCTCTTTCCGTGATTATCGGAGCAGTTTTGGCCGCCATCTTCTTGAAAGAAGAATTGGGTGTTTTGGGTAAGATGGGATGTGCCATTTGCTTGATGGGCTCGGTCATCATTGTGCTTCATGCTCCTCCTGACAAGGAGATCCAGACCGTGGATGAGATCTTGAACTATGCCACTCAACCAGGCTTCTTATTCTATGCTTTCATGGTCACTGCCTATTCTCTTTTTATGATCTACAAGATTGTGCCCAAGTACGGTCACACCAACCCAATGATCTACATTTCCATCTGCTCGACCGTGGGCTCCATCTCGGTGATGTCCATCAAGGCCTTTGGCATTGCTTTGAAGTTGACCTTGGCTGGAAACAACCAATTCACCCACGTATCGACATACGTGTTCATCATTGTGGTGGCAGTATGCATCATTACCCAGATGAATTACTTCAACAAGGCCTTGGACCAGTTCGATACTTCCATCGTCAACCCGCTCTACTATGTGACATTCACCACCTTCACATTGGTTGCGTCGTTCATTCTTTTCAAGGGCTTTAACACTGCGCTGGCTGTCAACGTGATCTCCTTGTTGATTGGATTTCTCATCATTTTCTCTGGTGTGTACTTGCTTAACATCTCACGTAAGGAAAATGAGGGTCGTGAGAGAGAGCTCTTTGGAGTCCATAATGGCAAGGACATGGCTCCAATGGACAATGGAGTGGGAGGCTTCTCCTCGATGAGAAGATCCATGCAGCTTTCGCGTGGTCAGTACGATGACGAGGAGACGGTTGGTTTGCGTCGGTTCGATTCTTTTGAGTTGTCTGATGAAGAAGCAGATTCCCGTCAAAGACATTAGACATTGAGGAAGAAACGATAGAGGGTGATACTGTTTATTTTTGATAAAAATTGGAAGATTCTTATGGATTAAATGATTTCAATACAATAGTCTGGGTATGTTTAACACTAGTAGCTCATTATTACGGATGGTTCAGATAGACAGCCTTTCAATAGGCCCAAATGAGACCGTGGACAATAGAGAAACCAGTTTCGAATTTATATTACACGGGGTTAATTCGATAGTATCTAATGCTTCGATATGAAATTAATTCTTCTGTAAGCTAATTACTCTTCAAAGGTAGATAATCATGAGGCTCACTGCTAATCACCTTTCTCTTTGCACTGTCGCACTGAATTTCAGTGCACTTTCATTGAAGATAACCAAGTTGCACATTTCAAACCAAGATTTTCTCCAATGAAGATAGCTGCAATACAATCACATAATATATATAGCCCCAATACTGCTCTCCACAACACATTGTCTGGTTCCAACACGTGACAGCTTTCAGCACTTCCCTCTCTTATCAGTTGTGCATCCAGTTCACCTAATCAATTCATAGTCACTAGGCTACATCTTCTCCTATGGGCGCCAATCTTTCCCTACTAGCGCCTCATGCCCATACCGTGGCATTACGTTCATATGTGGATGTCCTACCAGGCTACAAATTTCTTGATGTCATCAATGACTCTCGTTTTCTCAAGACAATCAGAGTATATGACACCAACTCTGGATGTCTTCTTGTGGTGAAGTTGTTCATTAAGCCACCGCAAGTGGGAATCACTCTCAACAAAGTTGCAGAGGCACTTTCTCAAGAATCTAGGCTTCTCGCTCAATATCCAAACGTTCTCCCTTGGAAGCGTATCATTGAAACAGATCTGGCTGGATACTTGGTCCGACAGTTGGGAAGAACAAACATTTACGATCGAATTTCGCTAAGACCGTTTTTGGCACCTATAGAAAAACTGTGGATTGTGTTTCAATTGCTCAAGACTGTTGAATTGCTCCATACTCACCTTCATACCGTTCATGGAGATATCAAGACAGAAAACATCTTGGTGACCAGCGCCAATTGGGTGGTTCTTACAGACTTTTCACAGCACACCAAGCCAGTGTTGTTACCGGACGACAATCCTAGTGAATTTGTCTTCTATTTCGATAGTTCCGATAGGAGATCCTGTTACGTTGCCCCAGAGAGGTTCTATCTGAAGAAGTCGCCTTCCAAAGAGTCGACGGCTCTCACTGACTCAATGGACTTATTCTCACTTGGCTGTGTCATTGCTGAGCTATACATGGATGGAGAACCTACGTTCACACTTTCAGATTTGTATCGGTATAAGAGAAACGACTTCCAACCCAATCTAGGAGCGATTTCCGACCTCAACATGCGTCAGATGGTGAAGGATCTTTTAAGTATCGATCCCAATGAAAGGCCGCTGGCTTCACAATTGCTAGAAAAGTATAGAGGATCTTGCTTCCCTGACTATTTCTACGACTACTTGTATGATTTCATGTACGAGATGAACAGTACGGAGAACTTCACGGTGCCCGACGATAATGTGGACAACTGCTCACCTAGCGACTTGCGCATAGACCGGATTTATGAAACCTTCAGCAAAGCCAGCAGATCATTTGGATACACTTTTGAAAAGCATAAACAAAGTGAATTTGGTCCAAAGTTTCCAGCTTTACGTCTCGGCTTGAAAGGCATCCCTGAAAATTATGTTATTCAATCTTCTTCTGAATTAAGAGGAACATACCCCGAAGACAATGGTGCACTAATTGTTCTTGATCTCATTTGCACACTTTTAGCTTCAACAAAGAGACCCGAGTCAAGAGTCAAGGCAATTGAACTTATTCTAGCATATTCCGAACGAATAAGTGATTCAGAAAAGTTGGATAGGCTGCTTCCTTATCTCTGCAGCTTGATCGACGATTTTCTTGATGAATCATCTGCCCAAGTCGAGGAACCATCCATTCACAACACCAATTTTGCAACCGATTCCAAATATTCAACCAGAGTGGCATCCACCTCGTTGCTAGCAATAACTTCACTATTGGCGACATGTTCTAGTATCAATGCAATTAATGCTTTGACATTTCCTGAATATTTGAACCCCAGATTCAAGAACATCGCTTTCCTCAATTGTCCTAATTATGATGAAGCTACATACATTAAGTCTACATTAGCAACGTGCCTCCCTTACCTTGCAAGAATATCAGAAAAGTTTGCAGCATTCGCCAGAGCGTATGATGACGACACTGGTAAGCAAATCAACGGGGATAACGGCGAATTGGGATCTTACGAGATTCCCAGATCGAGGACAGAAATTGACTTTAAAGACATAGCAGAAGCTCTCCTCATTGATAGGAGTGTCAATTTGAGAATATGCCTCGTCAATCATATACTTCCACTTTGTCAATACTTTGGAGTGGATAGAACCAATGACATTATCTTGCCACACTTGATAACTTACTTGAATGATTCTAATTACCAACTTCGACTTGCCTTCCTATCGTCTATCATTGATATTGGGTATTTTATTGGTGCACTCGCATTTGAACAATACCTATTACCGTTATTGTTTCAAACATTGGGGGACCATGAACAATTCGTTGTTCTAAAGGTGCTTGAGATATTCCACTTTTTTGTTAAGGAGAGGCTCATAAACCCAGCTCAAGAATTCAATGTGCTCTCAGTCTATAAGGAACTATTGGCCAATTCCATCACATTGCTTTTGCAACCAAATGAGTGGATCAGACAGTCTGTACTTTATCTCATATTGGCTATCAGTGAAAATCTTCTGTACGCCGAAAGATTTTGCTTTCTTTACCCTTTGATCAAATCATACTTGTCATATGATATTTCGACATTGGATTGGGACACGATGTATCCCTGCTTGTCCAAGCCTTTATCCAAACAAGTTTATGATACCTCAATAACTTGGCTCAATAATGCTACGAACAGGTCAATGTTTTGGAAGCAAACTAAGTTTTCTGCCGTACTGTCTAACGGAAAACGAAAACTCATATCGTTCACTAAGGATATGGGAAAGTCAGTTTATGTTTCTCAAGCTAATTCTTCCAGTACCAGCGACTCCAAACACCTGGATATACCATTATCACCGGAAGACAGACAATGGATTTTGAAGTTGAAAGCAGTTGGATTGGAAGATAAGGATCTTTGGAAGGTTTTTGCATTAAAAGATCACTTTTTGAATTTGAAAAGAGCTAGTGCTTACGCAAGCTCGAATGATCAGAGTGAATTTGAACTTGCAAGCAAGGTGAACGTGCCTCCTAAGAATATCTTTTTTGAAGTTTGCTACAAATCTGAGCCTATTGCGAACAGTTCGAAAGTTATCGAAAGCAGTTATCAACCCTCAGAAACCTTGTCATATTCTGTCTATTCAGCGAAGGAATCCAATTCTCTAGTCTTGCCTCACCAAGGTAAAGCGCGAGCTTCCCTCCAGACAGTGGAAACAAACGTTCTTGGAGAGATGGAATTCAACCACGAGAGTCTGAACTCTCGTAACAAACATCACCACATCCACCTGACCAACAAGAAGGCAAATATGACACATAAAGTTTTCAGTGTCAATAATCAGAAATTAATTTCCGCGACCATGAAGCACAACTTTAACGGTTCTAATCCTTACATTTTGAAGTATTTGCAGAAGATAGACTTTGAACCAACTATAAACGACGTTTCCGAATTTGGCAATGTCATTAAGAACTATCGTGAGTCAATGCCTCCAGGCGCAAGAGAATTGAAGATCCAAGGAAACCTAGTTGCACAGATCAACGCTAACAGTAACGCCAATATTACGGAGGCATTTACGAAGGTTGCAGTATGCCCTACATCAGAATTCTTTGTCACTGGATCTGAGTATGGAAATTTGAAGTTGTGGGATACCGCCAAATTGGATAAGAACATCACCGGAAAGAATGCTAGCGCTGTCGTGAATTTGAATCTGTGCATCACTGACATCGTTTTCATGCCACATCGTTTTGTTTTTGCAGTGTCCAGCATGGATGGCAACATTCGGATCTTCAGGGTCCATGTCACCAGAGGCAAAAACAAGAAGATTTCCAAGTATTCCAAGATTGCCCTCATCAGGTCTTGCAAAGTTGAAGATGGATACCCAAGAAGCCTAAGCTTTGTGACAACCAACTCAAAGACATTGTGCCTCACAATCACATCCACTTGCAAGATTGCTGCTTTTGATGTGATAACGATGAACAAGGAGTTCAGTTTGCAGAATCCACTCTATTTAGGAGTTCCAACTACGTTTATTGTTTCCAAAAGCGTGAGCTGGCTTTTGCTCGGTACTTCAGACGGAATCTTATGTCTTTGGGATCTCAGATTTCACATTTTGGTTAAAGCGTGGAGAGTGATAGTCGATCAAGTCTCGAAGGCCAAGTCAGCTATAAGAAAGTTGATTGTGGTATCTTCACCATCAAAGGCGGACCAGAAGGGAACATCCAACACGCATTTTGCAATGATTGGAGGAAGCAACGAATCAGACATCACAGTTTGGGAAATCCCCAGCTTTGAATGCAGACAGGTTTTCATCGCTAATGAAAGCACCCCAAGATTGAAACCCTACGCTTTACAGGAAGTGGAATTGAATAAAGAAATGAGCGTGGAAGACATTTTAGCTGATCTTACTGTTGATCAAGACCAAGATACTAGCAGAAGCAACACTGCGCTTGCTTATAGCGCTGGTGCTGGAGGTACTAATCGCGAGAATGGCTATTACATAACAGCTACTCAGGACAGTCGTGTGATTTTGTGGGATCTTGATAATATCAGCAAGTCAGTGCTGCTTTTCACGAATGGTGAAGTGAATTTTACGAAGAACCAGATTTCTCTGCGATTTAGTGTGTCATACGAAAAAGCAGTTGTGGGAACGAAACAAAAAAGCAACGAAAATATCCAGGGTGCGGTTCACGACACCATTACCGATTTGGCAATCGTGAGCCGTCCATACAATATGGTAGTGGCCGTGGAGAGAAATGGGTCAATTTTTGTGTTCAAGTGATGATCAAAAGCCGTTATTCCTGCATACCCCACACTAGACATTTTTTCGATTGTTCAGTCACTTATTAGACTTCAATCACGTTTTTTTCTTCAAGATGCCATTCGACGATAAACTTGGAATGCAGATTGCATTCGAACAAGCCAAGAAAAGTATGTGATTTAATGTTTCCTAATATAAATCGAAACTGGCAACTAACGCTCTCAGGTTATGAAGAAGGTGGTATTCCAATTGGTGGGGCCCTTATCCATGAAGATGGAACTGTTTTAGGTCGCGGCCACAATATGAGAATCCAGAAGAACTCTGCTACCTTACACGGAGAGATCTCTACTTTGGAGAACGCGGGCCGTTTGCCTGGTTCAGTGTACAAGAAGTGCACCATGTACACCACTTTGTCTCCATGCAACATGTGTTCTGGAGCTTGCATTATGTATGGAGTCAAAAGAGTTGTGTTGGGCGAAAACAAGAACTTTGTGGGTGCTGAAAAGTTGTTGGAATCGCTCGGAATCGAAGTAGTTAACATGGAAGACAAACAATGTGAGGAGTTGATGTCTCGTTTCATCAAAGAAAGACCCGAGGAATGGAATGAAGACATTGGAGAGGAATAAGTTAGGTGAAGTTCGCACATAGTGAATTTCAAAATGATCACACATACAAACAACCTAATAGCATGGAGTAAAATGGCGGGAGGAATGTAGTTGGCAAAAAGACACTTTGTATCTCATCATATAAGAGTATCATACTCAGATTTGTCATTAACCAATGAATAAAAGGCAATCAAGGGATGCTAGAGAAATCAAAGGACATGGGTCAGCGAAGTAGTTAATTAATACACCTTCATTTTCTTGAGAAACCGCAGGATCTTTAATCTTCAACACTAGATGGTCCATGTCAAAATTTAAGACAAAATATGTCTGAAGAAACTTCCAAACACTCATTCCATGCGAAAAACACAACATTGAAGCACTTCCAAGATGACTTTAATTTCAACCATTCACATTTACTTAATTTTTCTTAACCTTGGTTTCTTGATCTGAAACTCAAATACCTTATATATGGGTGTACGGGTTCAAGTTTGACATGTAAAGTAACTTCAACCAACCATAAGCACCAAGCCATGGACAACATCTCAGAAAGTGTCTTCACAGAGGTCCCGACAACGGAAGAGGTTGTCGACAACCCTTCATTGTTGACTGTGATCTTCGAGTTGACCCCCAAAAGTTGGTATGCTATCCGTGACCAGATCACTATCCAAGAAATCACACAGGCACTTTTGGTGCTTCTCAATGCCCATTTGGCGCTCAACAACAGCAACCAGGTGGCGTTCATCGCATCGCTGCCGTCTGGATCGAAATTTTTGCATCCGAATTTGGAGAATCTGTTCGATGATCACGAGACAAGACCAGAATCTCATTTGGTCAATAAGGAAATGTACAGACAGTTTCGAATAGTGGACGAAACGGTACTCCGAGAACTCAATGCTGAGCTTATTCGTATTACTCAGAATCCTGAGAAGCAAAATTTGTCCACGTTAGGTGGAGCCCTTCTGATGGCTCTAACCTACACGAACAGAATGCTCCATGTGGACCAGTCCATCTCTACCACCACTGCATCAGCGATAAATTCTACAACAAATAAGGCACAGAACTCATCGTCTGCAAATGGTCAGACCACCACGATTCTGACGACGTCCATGGACTCGAGGGTGCTTATCATCACAGCCAACGATACTTACGATAACAACTACATTGCCATTATGAACTCGATTTTCGCAGCACAGAAGATGAAATTGTCAATCGATGTGGCCAAACTCGGCGTACAAGACTCTCCATACCTTCAGCAGGCAGCAGATGCCACCAATGGAGTGTATCTTCATATTCGAGAACCACAGGGCCTTATCCAGACACTTTCGACTGCATTTTTCATTGAGCCTTCCATTCGGTCACTAGTGATCTTACCAGCCAACTCCAATGTTAACTACAAGGCCAGCTGCTTTATCACAGGAAAAGCCGTGGACATTGGTTACGTGTGTTCTGTGTGTCTATGTATCATGAGTTTGATTCCCGAGCTGGGCGAATGTCCCACGTGCAAGTCGAAATTTGACGAGGATTTCTTGAAGAAGCTTCGGAGAGGGCCAGTGATTGCACGAAAGAAACGGAAAGTGGACGAGAATGGAGAGAAAGAAAAAACCGCAGAAGCATGAGCCATGAGTAATTGAGATATAGAACTATGAAGAGGAAGGGAGTTATTTCCCTACTATAGCAAGGGAGGTGCCTTGCTGGCATAGAATAGATATGACTAGCTTATATATATCATAATTTCCATCAATAACTTCAAATTCCAACACCTGCTTAAATCGTGGACATACATAATACTCACCTACATGCAGTTGGATATAACCAAATCTCAACTCCATGTGTAAAAGAAGTGTTGCAAGGTTTAATGGCAGCGACAAGCGGCCAAAAAAGGAAACTCTGACATACACACAAGGTCCATTGGATGAGAAATTTGGACAACATGCCGCTTTCCCCTTGGATGCGGCAGTACAAGGAACGTGCAAGCAAGATTCGTCTGTATTCGACTATTTGGCGAGTGTTCGAAAAGAGGCCGAGGCAGATGCTGCAGTACATTTTGTTTCAAGAGATCCAGAAGAGCTGACTCAGCCAGAAGCTTCAAAATCGACAAAGCTTTCGCCAGAATACGTTAAAATGGTCATGACTCGTTTAGAAGAAGCCAAGCTTGCCAATAAGAATGAGATCCAAGTCGGAGAGATCGAGTTGGACTGCAGTGAGATTGAAGGAGATATCGAAGACGATGCAGATCTTGATGTCCATGATTTGAATGTGAATGTCGATGTGGAGGTCGAGGAGCCGGACGACCTGGAGCCACAGATGGAGGTACCTCAGTCTGCAGCAGCATGGAGGAGCCTAGTATTTTCACAGAGCCCCCCACCTACTAGCTTCTTCAACACTAGATTAGAGCACACCACCATCATCAAACTCATTGTCTATTACACGAAATGGCTTCTGGTATCGATGCCAGCCACATTGATGGAGTGGATCTTCGTCACATTTGTGAGGCTCGACAATGGACTCGACCACACGGAGATGTCACTAGTGAGAGATTTGGGCCGCAAGGCCAGAAAGCTCCGAACCAAGTTTCTAGAAGGGAAGAGTGAGGGTCTCAGCATACCAGCCGTAGCAGAGGAGACTGTTGATATGATTTTGGCGGTGGTGGGTGTATACTATGGGCAAAGAGACTTGTTGATTGATGCAGAGTAAGGTAAGGGAATAGGACGGCTGCTATGGCGATAAATCACAGATAATTGGATATCATCATGAACTGGTGCTTAGTAGCAAAGATGATTACATAGCCTGGCAGCAAAGCAAATGATAAGACAGACGATTAGACAGCCATAGGACTGATATTTATTAAAAGAATGAAACCAATTAAAGAATGACTTAATCTATTTCCGTCACTTCATGTTTGCCATGTTCCGGCATTCACTAAATCTTTCCTACTGCAACCATCCTGCACTGGTACATGTCTATCACCAACTCATCATGTCTCTGAGATTATTGACAGATGACCAGAGAAGAAGAATAGTATGTAACCGGGCCATATTCACCTGTGTATGTTACTAACCAACCAGGAGGAGAACAGAAAGAAAGCACTCGAAAGGCTCAAACTAAGGCGTGGAGGAGCAAATGAGTCAGCATCTTCATCCAAGCCAGTCAGTGGAAACGCCACTAGAAATTCAGGGTCGAATGACAGTCTAGCGTCCACTAGAAACATGCCATTACGTGCACCAGATCATGGGCTGATGCTTCCCCAAGCTGAGCGGGTCATTCCATCGCTACCACGAGTGGAACTTACCCAAGAACAGAAAGACAGAATAGCCAGAAACAGAGAGGAGGCCATTAAGCGCAGCCAACGGAATCGCCGCGATGCATCAGTAAATGACACGTCTGTTGCCCCAGTTACTGAAAGAGATCGCAAAAGATTCAAAATGGAGCAGAGACCTTCCATCCAGAAGAAAGACTACATTGAGTACGATTTCTCAACGATGAAAGATAGCAGAGGTGGCTTTTTGGATGAGAAAGACAACTTTGGCCTCCGTGGCGAGGAAGAGGAACCGCAGTCGCTCCAGGAGTGGAAGGAAAGGCAGAAACAGGAGCATCTTGTCAAGGATTTGGCTCCTCCTCTAGACTTGGAGAACGCACCCAAATGTTTCGAATGTAATTCGTTGGAAATTGACCCAAACATGTTCACCAATTTCAAGGTACGTGTATGTCGGAGATGTATCAAGGAGAAACAGGATAAATACTCGTTGTTAACCAAGACCGAATGTCGTGAAGACTATCTACTTACGGAACCCGAGCTTCGAGACACATCAATTCTCAATAGAATCGAGAAGCCCAATCCCCATGGATTTCTGCGAATGCAATTGTTTCTACGGTTCCAGGTAGAGGAATTCGCTTGGAAGAAGTGGGGGTCACCAGAGGGACTTGATGCTGAGTGGGAACGTCGTGAACGGACGAGGCTTGAAAGACGTGACAAGCGATACCAGGATAAGTTGAAGGAAATGAGAAAGAAGACACGTGCCGAGGAATATACACGGAAACTCCGAGACGGAAAGTCGTTGGGAGAACGACATGTACATGAATGGTCTGCACCGTTGTCTATCGGAGAGAAGTTGGTGAAGAGGCGATGTGTGGATTGTGGGCTCGAGACAGAGGAGGTTATTATATAGAGAAGAATGTAATCAGAATTGGAACGATAACGGTATTTGCTTTGGAAAAGTCAGAAGGTGAGCAGCATTGATTGGATAGATAAGTTGAAGAACATTAGCTGGTAATAGAAATTAATAACATGAACTGCAAGAGGAAATTCGCAAGAAGAGGTTGCGAGTAGAATTCAGTAAAAGAAAATAACAGGCAATCAAAATCTGAATGGAATCAAAGAACTACTAATTGATTACATTCAAACATGGGCATTAGTTCTCAGAAGATTCATCAAAAGCGGTAGATCTGAAGTTGCGAAAAAAAGGTTACGGATAGCTTGAGAAGTTGATCTTCTATACAAATTACAGATCGCATTGGAAATCCCACTTCAAATCCCTTGAATAAAATACTTAATCAAACTCTCAATTTATACAAATACCCTTTTCCATAGTATCCTTTGTCCACATCCTATTCCATAAAAAACTTTCTTTTTCATTCTACTGTTTTCACTTCCAATGTCAATTTAATTATTGATCCGCATTAGGTAAATTGGGTGCGAAACTTCCACAGAAACTTCCAGACGTCCCTATGTTTCAACTACACCAACCGTCCATCTATTTCAAACCCACATAATTGAGAATTCATCTTCATCTCTCATCTGTCAATTTGTACCACTTCAACTCCATACAAAATTTGAATTTTCTCTTCTCTGTATCATTTCCCGTCAACCCCAGGTCGTGCCCCAACCACCACCCATGGAAGCTCATGGAATTTTTCGCCAACGCGCACCTCGTCCAATTTTGCAACTATATAATACCCTAAGTCCTCCACCTTTTCTTCTTCGTTACAGAAAGAATAATCGACAATGTCCGACACTAAAGTTGAAACACACGAGTTCACAGCTGAGATCACTCAGTTGATGTCGTTGATCATCAACACTGTTTACTCCAACAAGGAAATCTTCTTGAGAGAGTTGATCTCCAACGCTTCTGATGCTTTGGACAAGATCAGATACGAGTCGTTGGCCAACCCATCGTTGTTGGACTCCGAACCTGAGTTGTTCATTAGACTTACTCCAAAGCCAGAACAGAAGGTCTTGGAGATCAGAGACAGTGGTATTGGTATGACCAAGTCTGACTTGATCAACAACTTGGGTACCATTGCTAAGTCCGGTACCAAGGCCTTTATGGAGGCTTTGTCTGCTGGTGCCGATGTTTCCATGATTGGTCAGTTCGGTGTGGGTTTCTACTCTCTTTTCTTGGTTGCTGACCATGTCCAGGTGATTTCTAAGCACAACGACGACGAGCAGTACATCTGGGAGTCTAACGCTGGTGGTAAGTTCACTGTCACCTTGGACGACAAGAACGAGAGAATTGGCCGTGGTTCCATCATCAGATTGTTCTTGAAGGAGGACCAATTGGAGTACTTGGAGGAGAAGAGAATCAAGGAGGTTGTCAAGAGACATTCTGAGTTTGTCGCTTACCCAATCCAATTGGTTGTCACCAAGGAGGTCGAGAAGGAAGTTCCAGCTGAGGAAGAGTCTAAGGAAGAGACCGAGGACGACAAGAAGCCAAAGTTGGAGGAGGTTGACGATGAGGAGACCGACAAGAAGGAGACCAAGAAGGTCACCGAGGAGGTCACCGAGCTTGAGGAGTTGAACAAGACCAAGCCATTGTGGACCAGAAACCCATCCGATGTCACCCAGGAGGAGTACAACGCTTTCTACAAGTCTATTTCCAACGACTGGGAGGACCCATTGGCTGTCAAGCACTTCTCCGTTGAGGGTCAATTGGAGTTCAGAGCAATTTTGTTCGTTCCAAAGAGAGCTCCATTTGACGCTTTCGAGTCCAAGAAGAAGAAGAACAACATTAAGTTGTACGTTCGTCGTGTTTTCATCACTGATGATGCCGAGGAGTTGATCCCAGAGTGGTTGTCTTTCATCAAGGGTGTGGTTGACTCTGAGGACTTGCCATTGAACTTGTCCAGAGAGTTGTTGCAGCAAAACAAGATCTTGAAGGTCATCAAGAAGAACATCGTCAAGAAGTTGATTGAGACCTTTAACGAGATTGCCGAGGACTCTGAGCAATTCGAGAAGTTCTACTCTGCTTTCTCTAAGAACATCAAGTTGGGTATCCACGAGGACCAGCAGAACAGACAGGCTTTGGCTAAGTTGTTGAGATACTACTCCACCAAGTCTTCTGAGGAGTACACTTCCTTGTCTGACTACGTCACCCGTATGCCAGAGCACCAGAAGAACATCTACTACATCACTGGTGAATCTATCAAGGCCGTCGAGAAGTCCCCATTCTTGGACGCTTTGAAGGCTAAGAACTTCGAAGTTTTGTTCTTGGTTGACCCAATTGACGAGTACGCTATGACTCAGTTGAAGGAGTTCGAGGACAAGAAGTTGGTTGACATCACCAAGGACTTCGAGTTGGAGGAGACTGAGGAGGAGAAGGCTCAGAGAGAGAAGGAGATTGAAGAGTTTGAGCCATTGACTAAGGCTTTGAAGGAGATCTTGGGTGACCAGGTCGAGAAGGTTGTTGTTTCCCACAAGTTGGTTGACGCTCCAGCTGCCATCAGAACCGGTCAGTTCGGTTGGTCTGCTAACATGGAGAGAATCATGAAGGCCCAAGCCTTGAGAGACACCACCATGTCCTCTTACATGTCCTCCAAGAAGACTTTCGAGATCTCTCCAAAGTCCCCTATCATCAAGGAGTTGAAGAAGAAGGTCGAGGCTGACGGTGCCGAGGACAAGACTGTTAAGGACTTGACTACCTTGTTGTACGAGACCGCCTTGCTTACCTCTGGTTTCTCTTTGGAAGAGCCATCTTCTTTCGCTGGTAGAATTAACAGATTGATCTCCTTGGGTTTGAACATCGAGGATGACGAGCCTGAAGCCGTGGAGGAGGCCACCACTACTGCTTCCACTGAGGAGCCAGCTGTTGAGTCCGCCATGGAGGAGGTTGATTAAATGAAGTCATGTATTTTAGTTTCTGATATATAAGTTTCAGGACAAATTTTAATTTATCTTTGGTTTACATATATTCGTAAGTAAGTAGTACCTTAAGCCCCATCGACGTCCATTGCAATTCTGACAAGCTCTTCAATGTAGTTGAGAACATCTTGTGCTTGCTCTCTGACCAACAAATCGTTATCTTGCTCCACCGCATACCTCAACAGTGTTAACACTTTATCTCTATACAGCTTGGGGAAAGGAACCTTATCTGTCTTCGAAGTGCCGGCTATCAAATCGTAGATGAGCACCACCGCCGAGCGTCTCATTATGGCACTATCTTTACCGGTTTCAAGGTCTAGGATTCCCAATGCACAATCCAAGGCCAACTCCAAGCTGCCGTAGACACCCAAAGGATTCACACTGCAACAAACTCCAAGAATGGACATTGCAGACATCCTCAAGCGGTCATCGATTCTGTCAGCATCATTTGCGGGACGCCTGATAAGTTTGAGAGCAGCATTGAAAACCATCTTGGCATTTTGTCCCGTGAATGCCTCATCCTGTTGTTGAACATATCTCAAAAGAACTTCTCCAATCCTCAAACGTTCGTCCAAATTCTCAGTTTTCTCCTCTTTAGTCTCAAACTTGTCCTTATCATCACTATTATCAGTATTTGTGTAGATCAGCAATAAAATGGGAAGAACATCTCCAGCGTTCCACTCAAGCAAGCTGCCTAAACCTTTGATGACGTTTAAATAAATAAACGGTTCCGGGTCTTTCAATTGCATCAAGTGCAAATTCACAACAAAGTCAACTGTGAGAACGGAGCTCTGTTGCTCAACCAATTGCCTTAAAAGATACAACCCGTGGGCTCTAATGGGAACGAGGGGGTCATTGAGGTTGGTGATTGCCCTTGTCAAGATTCTTCTCTGCGCCTCTGTCTCATCAGTAGTAGGAGCATCGCCATTGAGGAGGAGACTGATTCTCTCTCCAAGTGCCTTGGCTGTTGACAAGTCCAGGTAGCGAGACTTCAACAGACGGAGAATAACTTTCAATTTGTCTCTGCACCTTTCATCAATTTCTGCGGGATTAGATTCCAGGATGATAGCAGAGAGAAGCTCCAAAACTGTGGAAACGACGTCACTATTGACAGAATCCTCTTGCTCATCATCAGAATCTTCATCATCAGAATCTGCGCCTTCGTCAACGTCCATTTTGGAGGCTCCAGATTCGTTCTTCACTCTATATTGTAAGATTGTCGAGACAAGGTCCAATATATCAAAAGGAGACTGCGCCAACCTGTCTTTAAACTCATTTCCGATACTTTCGAGGAGTCTAAGATCGATCAATTTAACAAATGGATTCTCATCTCCCAAACTGGTATCAACAGATTGGTCTTTGAGCCATCTAGAAAGAATTCTCACAAACAATTTCAGAATCACTTCATGGTCGACCTGCTTGAGCAATTCCACAAACAGTTTGCAATTTGAGTCAAGTAGCTTAATGAACGAGAGCACTTTCTTCTCTGCATCAACAGCATCCATGCCTTCATTATCGGGACAAATTTCCACAAGCTGATTTGGCCCTAGACGAAACTTCCAATGCTCTCCTCCATCTGACACCAAGTTCTTCGCCATGGAATCCAACGCATCGACAGCAAAGTTCTCCGAGTCTCCCACTAAAGTCAAAAATCCCACAATAATGTTCTGAGTAATATCACTGGATTTGCCGTGGGGTCTCAAAAATGCATAGTAAGACCAAAGTGGAACAGCAATAGGCATGAAAAGGGCAACCAAAAGATCACTTGTAAGTCCTCTTTGTGTCAATGAGATGAGCACATTGATATTATTGTTCAATGCAATCTCTCCGACCAACACCAACTTAGTGGAGTCGGATGGCGGATTGAGATTTTCCCAAATGCGCTTGAGAAAGAAATCCTGAACCACACGGGGATTCTTCAACCATAATTTCTCCATAAAATGGCATATGGTTGTGGATATGGTGGGTCTGTTGATGTTGACGAGAATATTGTAGCACTGGTTGCCAATCGAGGTGAAATACTCAATAGTGGTGAGAGATTTGGGCTTCAGGAGAAGTATACTGGCAACATGATCAAGTTTCTCCACCTTGATCTCCTCCTGGTCTCTTAGTCCAAGTACAAATTCCACTACAGTCAACACACCGTCACCTTTCGGTGCACTAGATGGCAAGAGCTGTAGCTTGTCCATGACAAATTGCTTGAAATAGGAAGGAGAAGGTGTGTTGATGAGTAAGGTGTAGTCCTGATATAATTCGTAAGTAGCAGCAAACGAGGTGATCTGCTCATAATCCCGAGACACTGACGCTTTGACGGATTTCTCAAAGTATGGCACAGTGATGAGTGTGATTGCAACCGTCAAGAAGTCAGAGTATCCAGAGCCTTTGAGTAAAAGCTCCCTCACATCAGAATCGATGTTGAAAATCAGGTATAGCTTGCGGTAAACCAATTGTAGCATTTCAGAATGACGAGAAAAGCGATTTGTGGCCGTATTGGAAACCTGTGAAGGTGCAATGGGCGTGATTTTTATTGGCTTAAACACCTTTTTTCCGAAATCACTGAGTCTTCTTTTCTCAAATGGTATTCCAATGCTGAATGCTCCTATGGCCGGGTATATTCCCAACATGATGATGACGTTGACTAATTTGGCAAACGTCTTGATATCATGAAGAGAGATGCTAATAAGATCTTTCGTCTTCGATGCCTCCTTGGCTACTATGGCATACTTCTGGATATCTAGAAGATAGTCTAGAAGTTGATCGACAACCTTATAACGGGCCAGTTCCAGGTCGTCAGGGAAGTTGTCAGTAAAAAGTGCCACATATACAGACTCCACTGTCGTCTCAGGGAGCTCTTTGTCCAAGATCTTCTCGAGTTTGGCGAAAAGCACGTCCAATGGCGACTCACCTACAAAGTCCGGCTTATTAAGACCTTTGCGTTCGGGATAGACGTCATCTCGCTCTCTCTTGACAGTTGTTTTTTTTGCGCTGAGCAAAGGGATTCTTCTTTTCAGGTTTTGGACCCTCGATTTCCTCTATTTTCATGGCAAAATTAAGAATCTTGCTGAAACGATCTTAAGAGGTGGAATCTTGATTAGTAGTGGAGAGTACTAAGTATGGGGATGCACGGGTGCGATGAGAAGTAGATGAGCATATCTTTCTACTTTTGAGATCTCCATTTTCAGCTAGAACCATGAGTGTCACGTCGTTGAACCAAGAAGAGATGGATGCCATCCTCTACGATGCCAGAGAGGGCGACCTCGAGTTCTTAAAACTGGCGTTTCCCTCCATCATCCCTGGTCTGCTTCTTCCCACCGTGAAGGACAGCATCACCTTGAGTACTCCAATCCACATGGCAGCAGGAAATGGCCATTTGGAGGTGATGGAATTTTTTTTGTCGCTTGTGAGTGCTGAAAAAGCTGCTGAGATGGTCAAGGCCAAGAATGACAGCGGAAACACTGCGTTACATTGGGCTGCTTTCAATGGACATTTGCCAGTGGTGAAGGCATTGGTAGAGAAGTACGGAGCCGATGTGTTTGACAAGAACTCTTCAGGCCATGACGCCATTTTTGAGGCTGAGAATGGCGGTCAGGAGGAAGTGGAGAACTGGTTTTTGCTGAAGTTTGCTATTGAAGACGACATCAAGGTGGACGACTCTGGAGAAGACACCAAGATCACATACACTCCAGGATCCGAGTCCCAAAGATTGGATGACGAAGCCTCCGAGGCTGCCAAGAAGTTGGCTACCGAGAAGAAGGATGTGACCGATGTGGAGTCCCAGACTGCCAAGTTGGAGCTATAAATTGCATAGATGAGCTGGAGCTCTTGTACAGTATAATTAATCTGGAGAAAAAATGAGAGATTGTAAGGAAGAAAGGTTTTGAGCATGTAAATGATGTAGTGATGGTAGGAAAAGAAGCTTGTTTGAATTTTTCAGCTTTTTTCGAGTTTTCGGTTTTACATTGCTCTTTTTCATCAATCATTTATGGTGGTGCTTCTGTATGGTACTTAAAAAATCATATAAAGGACGGTGAGAAAGTGACAGAATGTCAAAAAGGGACAAACTTAGCACCACCAAATACATATTAAAAGAAAATTGAAAATTATACTCGAGTCAATAGTATATAAAATATTGAAATCGTTATATTTCATTTTTAAGCTTTTGATCTCAATTTCTATAAACTTCAGAAGTCAGCTACTCCACCAGACAGGTCGTGTGCGGTCCAAGGTGGACTGAAAGAAAAATTTCGCCAGAGAAATTTACACCATTTATAAGCCTTAGCCATGAGTGATTTGGGATTCGATCCAAGCTTGAAAAAGAAAAAGAAGTCGAAGAAGGCCGATGAAAGCACTGCCACCAGTGCCGCCTCCACCCCAGCTGCCGACATGGACGACATGTTCGCTGGGTTGAAAAAGAAGAAGAAGTCCAAGAAGACCACCGAAGAGCTGGCTGATTCCGGTGCTTCTCCTGCTGTGGACGACTTGTCTGCCTCTTTGGATGATTTGGGATTGAAGAAGAAGAAGAAGAAGTCCACTAAGGTGGCCGCCACCGACTTTGAACAGCAATTGGAAGAAGCCGGTTTGGATGATGTGGCTCCAGCTGCTCAGCAGGTCGACGAGTCCGTACAGACGAACTTGGGCTTGCCATATGAGTTCCTCTTGTCTCGTTTTTTCACCATCTTGAAGCAGAACAACCCCGAATTGGCCGGTGACAGATCAGGTCCTAAATTCAAGATTCCTCCTCCAGTGTGTCAGAGAGAAGGTTCTAAGAAGACGTTGTTTGCCAACGTTCAAGACATCGCCACTGTGTTGCAAAGAAACCCTGAGCACTTGATCCAGTTTTTGTTCGCAGAGTTGGGTACTTCGGGATCCATCGACGGAGAAAAGAGATTGGTGTTGAAGGGTAAGTTCCAGCCTAAGCAAATGGAGTCTGTGTTGAGAAGATACATCATAGAGTACGTGACATGCAAAACATGCAAGTCCATGAACACGGAGTTGAAGAGAGAGTCTGCCAACAGATTACATTTCTTGAGTTGTAAAGCATGTGGGTCCACCAGATCGGTGTCGAGCATCAAGACCGGTTTCCAGGCCCAAGTCGGAAGAAGAAAGAGAGTTTGAGCGGGTTTCCGTTCCACCATTGCTACACTTGCACAATTGTGTGGCTGCATTTTATTGGCTTACACGGCTGTCCTGTGTCATCTGTATAGTACTAATCATCTCGTTACAAAGAGTTTGGATATATGTAGAGTTGCCTTTTGCAATTTTGACCATCTCATAATGTCATACCATCATTCACTTCTTTCGATTCGTCCAGTGCTTTAGCACTTCAACTTCTCTCGCTCCTAAGTTCATATGCTCTCCACGAGCTTCTTGAGTGGAACACACCATGTGCTGACCCCACTGTGGATCATCATATAATTGAGGATTTCTCCTTTAAGTGTAGCCGATTCTTGCCCGCTTGCAAGTCCGTGTACAATTTTACTTACAAACCCCTTGTGGTTTTCACTCAAAGTGGGGTAGACATCGAGTATTCTGTTTGTGAAGAAGGTCTCATCATTTGCGGAAAGATCAGCGCCCTTGAGGATGCTCTGCAATTTCTCGGGAGTCTGGTTGATATCGCCAAACGACTCAGCAGCTGATTCGGTACCCGTTGTGTTTAACAGACGTTCCAGATTGCTTCCCAGAATTGAAGATGCAGCCAGTGCAGTACGTCCCATTGGGGGAGCTCCTGGGGGTACCGTAGGTGGCCCGTTGGGAGGAGCTGTTGCTCCAGACACACGTCGAGGCGTTGGAGGTTCAGTACCAGAGACTAGCCCGGAGAGTCTCGGAGTGCGCCTTTTCGATCTGGCGGTGCTAATGCTGGAGGAGCTGGAGTCACGTGAGAGGGTAGGAGGAGGACAGTCGTTCCAACCTTCCATCAAGTCGCCACGTTGGTATCTTGTCATTCTGTTATTGAGTTTGAGATCTGGTGGTTCTAGTCAAAATACTCGCAGGACAATGACAAAGGTTCACTTAATTAGGGCTGTGTACAGGAATCACAATAATTTGAAACACCCAAACATGAAGAAAACACTGGCCAGATGACTTTTGCCAGGCAAAAAAAAAAATAATAATGGAAAAAAGATCCTCAAATCCGATTATATCCGCTGTAACAAGCCGAGTGCAGTCTCCAAGACTTCATCAATCGTAGGTCTCTGTGTAGAGTCGAGCACCAAGCACAGTCTGATAACATCCATAAGTTCTGGTGAAAAGCCCTTAGTATCAGAGGGAATTTCATACTTTGCCTGAGAAATGGCCAAATTTAAGTTGGCACCCTGGTCGATCTCCAATTTCTCAAACGGCGAGAACCCAAAGCAGCAGCAATAAAGAAGACACCCAAGAGACCAGATATCAGTCAGCTCAGTAATATCAGCATTGGTGGCTACATCCAAGAGTTCTGGCGCCCGATACGGAAGTGTACAATGCTCCTGGGCAAAGTCCGTCAAAGTAAGTGCCTGCTGGCGTGTTCTGACCTGAACACGTGCTTTGGAGCACGATCCCAAGTCGACAAGCACTGGAAGTCCCTCAGCTGAGAGCATCACGTTAGCTGGCTTGATGTCTCTATGTGCATACGGACAGAGCTCCAGAAGCTCGGTCTCATAGGCGTTAGAGATACTTGCATCCTCATCAGGCGGAAGCATGGGGTCATTTTCGTCGTTCTCTTCTTCTTCACCTATCGACTTATACTTGTGCATGGCTTGGAGACCCTTCAGCACACCTATGAAGATCTTGAGCACCTCTTCTTCATCCATGGTGATATTATTGAGAACATTGTAGTTGATTATGTCTTGCAAAGACTTCTCAAAGTATGGCAAGAGCACATAAAACGTTCTGGATCCGTCACTCTCAGTAACCACTGCCTCGTCTATAGTATGGATAATGTAAGGTGTTTTCACCTCAGCAAATCGGTGATAGCTCTTGATTTCGCGCATGGCATTGGTGAACGATGCATCATTGCTGCCGTACGGACACCGCATCTTCTTCATGGCGTAAAGAACATTGGAGTTGCTACTTTGGGACACCAAGTATACGTATGAGAAGCCACCTTCTCCGAGAAGACGTATGATTTTGTAGCGGGTGTTGTTGACAGTTATTGATGGGTGCAGAAGGTCAGGAAAACATGGGAGACACTTTGTCACGGCGCTTAGTAGGAAATCCATGGTAATAGATTGAGGATTGGGAAGTCAGAGCAAGGTGATTATAGGTAATGCCACCGCACTACCTGCAGGATTTTAAGATAAAGGAAAATGTGTGATAAATTCAGATAAAGAGATAAATATTAGGAAAGGAGAGTGAAACTGGAGTATCTAATAGTGTTCAGAGGATTTGATACCAAACAAATTGAAAATTCAGCCGGGATGCCGTTTTGTATGAGAGGTCCAAATCTCTGACCTAAGCTGGTGTACGGATGTTTATACTTACTGTAAGAGTGTCAAAATTCAGAGAACCAAATCTCCACATGATTCATGAGTGCTAAAGGACTTGGAATTATTGAACGTGGTGGCAGCCCACAGGCCGAACAGTCCAAGAAGTCGCCATTACGACGCGAAGTGAGCGACTCGGACTCGGATGAGGTGGATCCGTTGCAAAAGTTGGGAGATATCGAGCTACTTCCCGATCTATTTGCATTGCTCCAGAGTCTAGAAAAGGGCGATGTGCAGCCCAAGGACTTCAACAATAATGCTGGAACCATGAGGCTTAAGGTGAATAATGTCCGGCAGTATTTGCAGGAGGTGGATGGGATATGTGAGACGGTCAATGAGCGAGAGAAGAAGATCAAGACAATTGAAGAAAGTAATGAGAAGAAGGTGGAGTTTTTGAGTCAGTTTCGTGAGCGGGTGCTTACGGACTTGGGGAAGCTGGGATAAATTTCAGGTGGATTTACGAAAGCTATCAGTTTAAGAACAGAATCGATGTCAATAATAGAATGATAAGGTTATATGACTGATTGGTCACGTTTGGTTGCAAGGGGCCCGGATTTTGATCATTGGCTAGGTCTGAATTATGAAGGCTATGGCCGAGTATCATTGGGCCGGGTCCAGATGTGAAGTGTGGGTTTCCATGTAGTTAAACGTCTACATTGAGATCTCATAAACGAAAGAATGAATCATAGAGTATCAGTGCTCACGGGTTTTTGTCTCTAACCCTAGACCCCAAGAAAGACATAATTTCGGAATTTGATTCAGTTTTGAGGATCTCAATAACCTTTAGATATATTCAGGTCTCAGGTTCAGTCTTTGTCTTGAACGCGATACAGTAATACGACAAATTTCAGTAACCAAGTAAGTCAAATTCTTCTTTAAATTTGCACTTTCTTCTCAAGAATTCACATTACCATCCTGCTTTCACTACCTCTCCTTTTTTCCCCCTTCCCGATTCATCCATTTTCTCGCCTCTATCAATTTTTTCTTTGCCTAGCCCTCTCGCTGATCCAACTTGCACACACACCTTGTTGATACATCAATTTTCCAACTACTATGCCTTCGTTGGAAATCCCCACCTTTGAGCAGCTCAAACTGAAGCTTAAGGCCACCCCGGCCCTCTCTGTGGGTATCATCATCTTCTCCACTCTTTTCTACATGGTTTACCCTCCTGAATCAAAGGCACTTCTTCTTTCACCATGGTCACCTTATGATTTGAACTTGAACGCCATCTCCTTCTACATTTTCCCTCATGTCAATATCATTCACTTGACTATCAATCTTTTCTGTTTGTTCCCGTTGCTCTCCAGGTACGAAAAGACCCACGGAACCGTTTACACCGGCGTGACGTTGAACATTGTTGCTGTGGTGACTGCTCTCCAATATGCATTGGTGGGAATGTTGTTATACCCTAACCAGCATGTGGGTGGATTGCTGGGAGAGTGTTTCACGTTCTTGACCTACTACTGTTACAAAGAACACGTGTCGATGCCTGTGATCTACACGTTCAAGTACAACGGTAGAGAAGTGCTGATTCCTACACTTTACTTCCCCTTTGTCAACTTGCTTGTGGTGACGATTTTGGTGCCTTCTTCGGCTCTCTTTGGTCACTTAGCCGGCATCAGCACCGGCTACTTGTTGGCTACAGACAGAATTAACTTCATGTTTCCCCCACTGAAGGTTCTCATGTTCATCGAGAAGCACTTGGCTAAGGGAATCGCCAAGTTGCAGCTCTTGGTGGATTATATAAGAGAGGAAGATGCTGTCAACGAGAGAGGCGTGACTTACAGACCAATTTTCTCCAGTGATTTGGAATTGAATGCATCCACACAACCTTCTGCCACCCAGCCTTATGAGTCTATTAACAGAAGATTGGGAACTTGAGTAGTTTCAAGTGTCGACATGTGAGGATGGAACGAGATTGTCCTTTTGTCATTTTCCTTCTCAAATCTCTCAATAGTAACTTCACATGGTGTATATTTAGTATAATAAGAGGTGGTGCGAGATAGTATACTTGATAAATCCGTTCACGCCGACATTTCAGATATACAAAATAATGATCCTTTCAAACTGAACTTTCGTTGATGTCAAAAATATTCTTTATTTTTATTATCTCTGTCTACCAATCGCCTTTGTTACCTATGTCTATAAAGCATTGACAATACACCCGTACATTCGCGCCGTGGCCCCACACTATACCAGAACCCCAGAGTAATACTAATAAAGACATAGGTTAAGCACCAATCACACGAAATACATCCTGGGGTCCTGCCAAATACTCGGATATGGACGACACCACTTTGCGGGCGGCCGATACAAAAAAGAGCCGCCCTTTCGACAAGCGAAAAAAACGGAAACCGAAGAAGAAGAAACAACCATCAAATGATCACCAACTCACAAACGATGATCCGCTACCGACGCTGCAGGCCTCGCTAGATGCTAGAATGGACGCTGAATCTGTCGCCAAACATTCTCTGGTTCCTATGAGTCCGCGCAAACAGACGCTCATGCGCCACAGAAAGTCGGATGCAACCATCGGGGAACCGCTTTTTGTTAGTGAAGTTAAGGAGCTCAAGAAGAACCGCAAGCCATTGCCTGCGCCTGTTGACGAGGTAGAATACCGCAAATTTTCTTTGGATTTATCGAACCAAACTGTCGAAGATAAGGTCTCTTTATACAAGTGTCCAGCAGCGCGTATTGTGGTATTTCACGAGCAACTTGAGGATTCGGCAACCAACGCATCATCGGGGACACTTTTGGGCCACGGAGAATTCGAAATCTTCCAACTCCATAATGGTGACGTGACTTACTTAGCATGCGGCAGGCTGTTCGTGTATCCACTCTTGCCCAAACTCAAGATGCTTCGCATCGACAAAAACCAGTTCATTCTTCCACTTGTGAACCCGCAAAGGTACTGGAAGATTCATATTGATTCCGAGGATGCACTTGTGATTAGCGAATTGGAGGCTGTTCTCAAGAAACTCGTCAATTATACCAATCTATCGCTCAATGGTGTCAATGGAACAGAAGGAGGTGGTGGCATAAAGGGATCAGAAAGAATTGCACAAACGAACGAAAGAACGAATGCAACAGAACAAGTGAATGGAGGAAATGAAGATAACATTCAAGAGGGATTGAATTATCAAGAAGGAGCAAATGGAAAAGGAGGAACAAATGGTGCAGCCCATGAAGTATCCAGAAATCATGCTGTTTACACTCTTGCACAACCGGATGCGGAGAAAGATTCAACTCCTTCCGGCCACTTCACCCCATTTTTCAGCCATGTCCCCGAACTGCCTCCTTCTGCACCGGTTTCTCCCAGTAATCTCAACTTGTTTGTGCAAGATAACTTCCAACTACTGCCAGTGAAGCAGCCCGTTTTTTCGGTAATGCCGAAGAAAATGAATCAGTCTATCAACTCTTCATTGGCTAACTTTAACTTGGGTGGGCAGTCACGCAAGAGTAGGATAAATGGAACTCTGAAGCATGGTCTAGATGATCTGCAAAATGTGATACTTGCCAACCCATATCAAAAAGCCAGTAATGGCATCTCTGATCGCCACTCTGACCTGTCATCGATGGATTCACTCCTTGATGAGTACGAAGAGAATATTTCTACAACAAAATCCATCAACTTCAACATCTCACGGCCCCCATCCCGGGCAGTATCTGTCACCTCCAGTGCTCATCCACCCCCCGTACAATACCAGCGAGGAAAAATGGCACTTTTTCCAGACAGAATCATTAACCTGGGGTCTCATTATGGAACCGTGGAAGAAGAGGAAGAAGAGGATGACTTCCCAACAACTTCACTTTCTCAATACAACAGAACACGACAAAATACGCGGAGTGTGCGGTCTAGACGGTCTTCACGAAGCGAGCTTTACACTTCGGTGAGTAATTGGATGGAACCTGGCTCTAGAACTGCTCTTGCACACTCCAAATCCACATACTCATTGGCCAGCAAGCACAGCACCTCGCGTCAGCCCAACTTGAATGAAATTTACCGTTCGATTACCCTGAATAACTTGTCGCTAATAGCTTCAGGTAAAGACAAAGAGCACGCACAGAAGGCACACACTACAGCAAGCAAGGCCCCAATAACCAAAGGGCCCAGCAGTCCTTATTATTCGAAATTACTTGTTTCTGAGCAAGTCAATCGCAAAAAAGCAGAAGTGGAGCATCGCGAGCTCAAAAACAAGCAAGATGGCCTCAGCTCCAATGAGGTTTATCAGCTACTTAGTAGTAGAGAGCAACGATCCGAAAAACGAAGTGGGATTGGCCGTTTTTTCGGATGGTGAGCACGTATTTATGACAATGTACAATAGACAAGCACACAAGAAAGTGTTGACTGTTATAGTAGTAGATGGAGAGCAGTTACGATACAGTAACAAGTAACGGTACTAAGCGTACAATACTTTATATACAGAAGTCATTCGTCGTTAGATTACAACTGAGGAGCACCTGGCACTGGGTTACCGTTAGCGTCCACCAAACCCTGTTGCATCAACATCAACTGTTCATTACCAGCAGATTCAAACTGCAATCCCACACCCAACTTGGAAGCGTTCTTGGATTGGTCAATCTCACCCGAGAACAAGATGGACACGGTTGGCAACACTCTCTTCTCCATGAAAACACCAACCTTTCCGTTGGAGTCCAACTGACCACGGAAAACAGACTGGCGGTACTCGTACTTAGCACCGATGGTAGTCTGGCCCTCAACAACAGGCTCGTATCCAATAGGAGTGCCCATCATAGAGTCAACAATTGGCTTAGCAGAAGCAGCCAATTGGGTCTCCAAACCAGCCTCAACCTTGTCGGTGACCTTTCTCCAGAAAGTACCCACCAAAGCACCCTGCGCCTGCAAAGTGGCAGTGGCGATCCAGTTGCCAGCGTTGTAACGAGCAAAGTAGTTGACGGCACTGTCAGGAGGAAGAGAAACAGCTTGTCTGGAATACATAGACTCCAAACCCACAGCAAAGTTACTAGACAAGGACTGCAACAACGAGGCCACGGCCACACCGGTGAAGGCACCGTCCAAGTAGGAAGGGTTCAAAGTCTTGAAGTTGACGGAGAAGTCGTTGGCCTGGTAATCCTGCTCCAACTGACACATGACAGGCTGGCCATGAGCAATCTGCAAAGTAACCTTCAGGATATTGTGCTGGTCCCAACCGTAGTTAATCTTACCGCTGAAAGACAACTCGTTGTCGACGTTACCTTGAACGAAAAAGTCCTCCTTGGCATACAAGGCACTGAAGGCGTATGGAGGCAAGGCGTTGGAGCCAACGGACAAGGTGTGAGAGGTCTGGAATGCAGGGTTCAAGGAGAACGCCTTGTTCAAGTCGGCACGCAAACCAGTGAAGAAGTATTGGTTCAAGAACACGTCTCTGTTGACCTCCTTGGAGATGTTTTCGAGGGTACCTGGGTTAGTCAAACCCAAAGACTTTCTGTGCTCGGAGATGTTAATGTAGACATCATTCAAGTAGGAGAACACCGGGTTGGATGACCACAAGCCATTTTGCTTGGGCATCTGAGGCGACAAGTTGGGGAGGGTAGGCACGGCGATCTTGGTGAGATCAGTCAATGGTGCTTCCGACATGATTTGGTTAGAAAGAAGTGAAGAAAGGTTTGAATGTCGAGCGAGAAAAATTTGTGTGTGCGGGAGATTACGCTGAGGTGTATGAGGGAGAGTGAGGTGCGGGTAAATGTGAGACTGGAGAGTCGGAAAGGAAGGATGGGAAAAACGGTGGGAAAAGGAGATTGGCGAAATGATTTTGGTGATTAAGGTTGGTTATTGGTCATAGGTATTTGGTAATGGCGGTGGTTTGGGATTTTGAGTGTTTTAGCGTAGGTGGTATGGTTGAAGTTGCGCATAGGTGACTGAGAATATGGAAATGTGGAGAGGACGAGCAAGCTGGAAAATTATGGAGATTGAGAAATAAATTGAAAGAATGAAGGAGAGAAAAATTTTGAATGGTGGCCAATATCTGGTGAGGTGACAATTATGAAAAGGAGAGAAGTGATTGAATCTTGACATGTGGAAGAGTTGGCAAAAGTGTACCCATCAAAAATTTAGTATGCTTAACATTGAAAGAAAAGATCACAGACATCATGATTATCAGATAGATAGAATCAGATAAAAGTGATGGAAGAAATGAAATTTGTACCAATATCGACCACATAAGCCCGAATTTGTAATGTAAAGTATATTCAACCGTATCACATCTAGTGGCATTAATCAAAGCCACATGATTCAGCCAATTCACGTCATCTAGATGTTGTATCGACAGTGTCACTTTCCCTTTCCCCCTCTCTCCATTAACATGCTAATCCTCCCCCCATTTTTTCTTAGTCTCCGGTTCATCATGTTCTTGCACTTACGATCTTGACTTCGATTCCTTTTCTAAAATCTTTCGCAGCCAATCAACGGACTAATAGTGCCAGTTAAACATCCACCAAATTCCAACACCTCTCTCTCTCTCTCTCTCTCTCTCTCTCTCTCTCACTCTCTCTTTTATCCCATCCCCCACTAATCAAAAAGAAGAGAATACACCATCCTTAAACCTTTTCCATAGATTCCAGTTTTTTTCCCTCTCCCATTAAACTTTTGTCGATAATTTTTGACATCCTCCCATCACCAGCCTCTAATCACTGGCAGGTTGCTCTATGCGCATACCGATCCACCCTCCGAAAACACAAATTCACCTAATATTTCCAACCCCTTCAATATCACCCATCGATATATAAATCCCATATCATGCCCATAAATCCCAACCCTTATTCCCACCCCATCATCTCCTGCTTATTTTCCCTCGACATCACCGGACTCCCATTCCCCGTCTGTCAGGTGATGCTCATTAATATAGTCCGGAGTATAAAGATCTCCTACTTACTTCCCACTACATACTCCATTTGTAACACTTTCATCAGTAAAACATGCCTGTGCCTGTGGTAAACGGTACAGCCACATTGTTGTTGGTGGCACCGGACAAGCCACTCATGAACCAGACAATCAACTTCTATTCCAACATGGTCGGAATGTCCATCAAGTCCGAGACGTCGACGGCCGCCATTTTGGCTGGTCACAACGCAACCACCATCCGAATTGAGATCTCGGAATCCGCCGATTCCGTTGATTCCATTGCCGAGTTGAAATCTCGCTGGGCTGAAACCTTTCAAACCTGTGACTGGCGCTCTCGTCTGCTGCACTTGACGTTATCAGTGTCTAACTTGAATGACTTGGTCACTCGGTTCCAGGGCTTCGACTTCCCAGTCCAGCTCTTCCCCAATGACTTATATCCCACTGAGGCCTACACCGTGGACCCCTTGGGCCACTTGATTGGCTTCACCAGCGCTGCCAATGCCTTGACCTTGAACCCTCCCGTGCAGAAGATGAACGTGGAGGAGCAGGAGGCCACCTTGATGTCCACATCGGTGTCGGAGTACTCCAAGAATATCGACACCGGTGCAGCTTCCAACAGAAACATTGCAGTGATGACTTCCGGAGGTGATGCTCCAGGAATGAATGCCAATGTCCGCGCAGTGGTAAGAGCTGCCATCTACAGAGGCTGCAAGGCTTTTGCTGTGATGGAGGGCTACGAGGGTTTAGTGCGTGGTGGCCCCAAGTACATTCGTGAAATGAGCTGGCAGGACGTCCGTGGATTCTTGTCGGATGGAGGAACCAACATCGGAACTGCCAGATGCATGGCTTTCAAGGAGAGAGCTGGTAGATTGAAGGGATGTAAGCACTTGATCGATGCGGGTATCGATGCGTTGATCGTTTGTGGTGGAGATGGCTCTTTGACTGGTGCAGACTTGTTCAGGGCAGAGTGGCCCAGCTTAATGGAGGAGTTGAAAGAAACAGGAGAGATTACTGCTGAGCAATACGAGAAACACAAACACTTGAACATCTGTGGTACTGTGGGTTCCATCGATAACGACATGGCTACCACCGATGCCACCATTGGAGCCTACTCGTCTTTGGACAGAATCTGTAGAGCCGTGGACTACATCGACGCTACTGCCAACTCTCATTCCAGAGCGTTTGTGGTTGAGGTCATGGGAAGACACTGTGGTTGGTTGGCATTGATGGCTGGTATTGCTTGCAGTGCGGACTACATCTTGATTCCCGAGAAGCCTTCGTCTTCCAAAGACTGGCAAGACCAGATGTGTGACATCGTGTCCAAGCACAGAGCCAAGGGTAAGAGAAAGACCATTGTCATTGTTGCCGAGGGTGCCATCACTAGTGATCTAAAATCAATTTCTGCCAAGGAGGTCAAGGATGTCTTGGTAGACAAGTTGGGCTTGGACACCAGAGTCACTACTTTGGGTCATGTCCAGAGAGGTGGTACTGCCGTAGCGTACGACAGAGTGCTTGCCACTTTGCAGGGTGTTGAGGCTGTCAAGGCTGTTTTGGAGTCTACCCCAGACACTCCATCTCCATTGATTGGTATTGAGGAGAATAAGATCGTGAGATTGTCTTTGGTGGATGCTGTGCGTATCACAAAGTCGGTTGCTGCTGCCATCGAAAGCAAGGACTTCGCCAAGGCCATGTCCATGCGTGACTCGGAGTTTGTCGAGCACTTGAGCAACTTCATGGCCATCAACTCTGCCAACCACGAAGACCCAACCCTTCCTGTGGAGAAGAGAAAGAAGATCGCCATCATCAATGTCGGAGCTCCAGCTGGAGGTATGAACAGTGCCGTCTACGCCATGGCTACCTACTGTATGTCGCGTGGTCACATGCCTTACGCTATTCACAACGGTTTCTCTGGTTTGGCTAGACACGAGTCTGTGCGTACGATGGACTGGTTAGCCATTGAAGGATGGACTTCGCTCGGAGGTTCCGAAATTGGTACCAATAGAGCAACTCCCGAAGACACTGATCTTGGAATGATTGCATACTACTTCGAGAAGTATCAGTTTGACGGTTTGATCTTGGTTGGTGGTTTCGAAGCTTTCACATCCTTAGACCAATTGGAGAAGGCCAGAGCCATGTACCCAAGTTTCAGAATCCCAATGGTGTTGATTCCTGCTACCATCTCCAACAACGTCCCTGGTACTGAATATTCCTTGGGTTCCGACACATGTTTGAACTCGTTAATGGAATACTGTGACATTGTTAAGCAGTCCGCATCTGCTTCAAGAGATCGTGCATTCGTTGTTGAAGTGCAGGGTGGAAATTCCGGATACATTGCAACTTTCGCCGCATTAGCCTGTGGTGCACAAGCTTCTTACGTACCTGAAGAGGGTATCGACTTGTCGCAATTGGAGCTTGATATTAAGTCCTTGAGAGAGGCATTCGCTTCGGAGCGTGGTTTGTCTAAGTCTGGTAAATTAGTGTTGAAGAGCACCAATGCTTCTAAGGTCTTGACTACTGAGGTTTTAGCTGACATCATCAAGCTGGAGGCTTACGGTGAGTTTGACACCAAGACCGCTATCCCAGGTCATGTCCAGCAAGGTGGATTGCCATCGCCAATCGATAGAACTAGAGGTACCAGATTTGCAGTGCAGGCCGTTCAGTTCATCGAAGACTCCTGTGACATCATTCTGAAGCATAGAGACGACATTGACTTTGCCGTGGACGACAAGAAGCTTTCTGCTACGGCGTCAGTGTTGGGTGTCAAGTCTTCGCACTTGAAATTCACGTCTATCAGACAATTGTGGGATTTCGAGACCGAGATCCCAAAGAGAATGCCTAAGAAGATTTCTTGGGCCAAGACCAGAGACATTTGCGACCAGTTGGTGGGAAGAAGCAGAATCCATTGATATACTTATTACGACAACGATATAGAAGGTTTTGTAGGGACGCACATTTGTGCATTAATAGAGTGGTGAAGATGTAATGACGAAAGGAAAAGTTGATAGCTGCCTGCACAATCTCCAAACAACTCGCTTCTCAACTATGACTACCGAACTTCTAGAGACCCTGAAAAGTAAGTTACGAACTTCAAAAGCTAATTAAATACCTCATAGTAGTTACTAATTACAGATCTTGTGTCAGAGTTGCAATGCTGCACGTCAACAGAGTTGAGTGTGCTCAAAACTCAGGTGATCAACCTAGAACGAGATATTCAAAGTCATAAAAGCCATGCTACATCTTACGATAAGAGGCGAATAAATGCAACATTGCATCAACTCTGGTCCGCAGTTGATGCTGCTGATCGCCGATTAAATCTGCTGTACTTCCAATTTCAAGGAGATCCGATTCCTCCAAGGGAAAGTGTTGCGGCAAAACTCACCAAGGAAACCATCGTAAATGTGGCCAAACCGGATATTTCACTCCATGAGAAAATTGAGGACCAGACATTGGAACTTGAACTTCGTCAATCTGGGGTTTTGCGCCAGTTTCAAAGGAGTGTGGCGCTGGTGACGGCGCCATCTGTACATATTGAAGATGCGCTGGAATGTGTAATCTATGTACGGAGTGAAGGGCCAATTTTTGTTCAAAACATGTCTAATTGCATTCTAATAGCAGTTAGCCATCAACTTCGACTTCATAATATCCAATCATGTTCTGTGTTTGCTGACGTTCGCAGTGGTAGAGTGATAATTGAAGACAGTGATAGAATCGAGTTTGGAGGGTTTAAGGAAGCAACAATGACGCTTGAAGAGTGCCAGTTCGCTGTGGATGACTTCAATTGGCCTACTAAAGCTACAGCAAGCCCCCACTATTCGACGGTGGGGCCAGATTTTTGTTGGAATGTGCCAAACACGGCAGAGTGGGGACAGACGGTATGGGAGCAAGTCCGTGGCAAGAAGTGGCATCGTGATGGGGATGGGGATACATATGCTTAAATGGTGGTGATGAAAGCGTTACAATTGGAGAAGGTTTCGGTTATTGCCGGGAAGTAGTTGATGATGCTTGGTGGAGATCGTGACCAGGGCAAGTACTGGTGAGGGAGGTGGGACAGGTCATGAGGAACTTGGAATAAGAAAGTGAAGAACAAGAGAAGAAAATTAGAAAGATACAGAAAAAACGAAGAAGATGTCGAAGGAAAAGACTAGTTTCGATATTGTCTGTTTCAAATCTTGATGCTTACTGCGAGACCTAGAGTGATCTCATTGATCGAATTCAAATGGAATACGACAATTGCTCGATACGAAAAGCTTAAAATAATCCAAAGGTATCGATACAAGGCCCACTAACTTTAATGCTCTCGTTGCTTCCCCGCCGTTGCCGCATTTGGCACCAATGACTGAAGTCTAAGCTTCGTGACAGCCAATGACTCTTGGACCAAGCTTGGATACACTTCTCAAAACACCATCCATTCTGTGCCAAGTACGAATTAGCTCCAATTGCCATTCAAGGATCAACGTGTGAATTAATCTACTGACTCATTGACATATACTCCTCATCTATCCATGGCAACCACTCCTCATTCTACCACGGCACTATAAAGGCATACTAAAAACAGTCATGAGTCACAAAGGTGTGTTGCGGTGCCACTCCTGGAACGGCCCACTGTTTTTATTATTTTCTTGTTGGCTCGGTTAATTTCTATTGTCACGTTCGGTGGATCCGCCAATTGCCGTACACCCCCGCTGATAGCCGTCAATACCCGCGCTCACCCGTTGCACACTTTCTGTCTACACAATAATTAAGCCACAGATGCTACAAAATTTTGCAACTATAAAGATATGTGAATATCCATTATGTTTTTGTTGAATCAATCAATTCAATTCTACATTAATCATGGCTCCTGTCATTACAAGACCCCCCTCGGATGAGAACCTTTCTACTTCATACAATGAGACCATCCCATTGGGTGAGTATCTCTTTCTTCGAATTGCTCAGGCAAACCCTAAGATGAAGTCTATTTTCGGTATTCCTGGTGATTTCAACTTGGCATTGTTGGAGCATTTGTACTCAGATTCTGTTGCAACCGGAAAAAACCTCGAGTTTGTTGGTATTTGCAATGAGCTTAATGCCGCATACGCTGCTGACGGCTACTCTAAAGCCATCGATGGCTTGAGCGTGTTAATTACAACTTACGGAGTCGGTGAGCTCTCGGCTCTTAACGGGATTGCCGGAGCCTTCGCTGAATTCGCTCCTGTCTTACATATTGTTGGTACAACTGCTTTGAGACAGAGTTCCCAGGCCCAGAGAGTCAGCTCTCCTTCAGAAATCGTTAACATCCACCATTTGGTGCAGAACAAAAACGCTTTGGCTCCACCTAACCACGATGTCTACAAGCGTGTGGTGGAGGACTTCTCCGTTGCTCAAGAAACTTTGGACTCTGATAATTCTGTGGAGAACCTTGCAAGAATTGACAGAGTTATCTCCACCATTTTGCGTGAGAGAAGACCAGGATACTTGTTCGTTCCAAGCGACATGCCCAACACTTTGGTGCCAAGATCGCACTTGCAAGTGCCATTTGCATTCAGCGAACTCAACGATGAACAGCTCTTGAATAACCTCTCCCTGAGAATCTTGTCTAAGTTGTATACTGCTGAGAAGCCTTCCGTGCTCTCCGACACCTTGACTACTCGTTTTGGCGTCCAGGATGCATTGAATGATTTCGTCGAAAAATTGCCAGTCAACTTCGTGAAGTTGTTCTCTACTGCTATGGCCAGAAACGTCGATGAGACTTTGCCTAACTTTGTTGGTGTCTATCAGGGCTTCTTGAGTGCTGATGATGCTATTGTCAACAGCATGGAGAAGGATACCGACTTCTTGTTGACGCTCGGTGCATTGAACAACGAGATCAATTCTGGAAGATACACAGTGGACACAAGCAACATCAAGGATAGAGTGGACGTGCATCCTGACTATGTTCTTATCGATGGCGAATATGTTAATTTGAAGAACTCGGAAGGTTATAGGGCCTTTTCAATCGGAGACTTGCTCAGCAAATTGTCCAGTGATTTTAACGCCAATAAGTTCCTGTTCAACGACGGAAAGATCAATAACATCAACTACAAATACGCTCCTCAGCAATTCTCCTTAAAAGATACTGTTGACGAGAGAGTAATCACACAGAACAAGTTGACAGACTTCTTCAACAACTACTTGCAGGAAGACGACATCTTGATTGTGGAAACTTGCAGCTTCTTGTTTGCAGTGTCAGATCTTAGCTTCCCCAAGGGAGTTCAATTCTTCTCGCAGAACTTCTACGGATCTATTGGCTATGCTTTGCCAGCTACTTTGGGATTGTCTCGTGCAGTTAGAGATTTGGGAAGCAACAGAAGAGTGATTTTGGTGCAAGGAGATGGATCTGCGCAGATGACAATTCAGGAGTTGTCGTCCTTTTTGAGATACGATGTGCAGCCACCCAAGATCTTCCTTTTGAACAACGAGGGATACACGGTGGAGAGAATTATCATGGGTCCCACGCGGTCGTATAATGATATCCAGGATACTTGGAGATGGACTGATTTCTTCAAGATTTTTGGAGACGCAAAGGGAGCCCAGCATGTTAGCACGATAGTTGACACGCCTGCGCAATTGCAAGAAGTGATGGAGCGTGGAGAGAGCGGAAAGATTGAGATGAATGAGTTGCGGTTGCCCAAGTTCGATGTTCCAGTTCGGTTTAAGAGATTGTTGGGGCAATAGTGTGACAAAAAGGAAAGGGGTGTAAAAAGGTGAAAAGAGAAATTTGTAAAGTAATAAAGAGAACAAAGAGAGTTAAAGAGATGGAGAGTAATGTAATAGAGAGAGGTAATAAGTAGAAGAATGATCAAGAGACAAGCAAGGAAGAATTAATTAACAAAAATATTAGGAGATGAGGAGATAAGTAGATAAGGAGATAAGGAGATGAGGAAAGAAAACTTATTGAGAAGCACATGTACAGAAGTTTAATCTAAGATGGTTGAGAGAACAACAGACCAGATTGAAGGAACTCAAACATAATCCCGATGGATCCGTGGCATTTTCGGGTTAAAGGAAATGAGAGAAGATTTGAATCAAATAAATTCAAAAAAAAAAAAAAAAAAAAAAAAAGAAAATAAAAGATTTGAAGCAATTTAATTGCTGAACCCTAGATGTTGAATATTAGTCTCTTGACACTTGGTGATCGACAGAATCGTGGCTCATATACAATACAAGTTTGGATAGCGAAACCACAGCAATCTCCAGTCCAGGAAGAAAAGATACATTATAAATATCCGAAAAAAAATGAAAAATCCACCAAATGAAAATCACACAGAACAATCACTCGAAATAATCATCTTAAGTTTTTATTGAACGAATTACCCCAATTACTTACAACTTCTATATCCCCGGCTTATCCATCTCCACGACTTTTCACTCGGCCTTCGGAACTTCCGAGAATGAGGGGTTCTTGTGCCTACCGAGACACCGATACTGACTTTCCAGAAGATTCAACCACCATATACACCATAAATCGCTTATCGCCTCGGGTTAGATATTTGGGCGCCGATTATGTAGATATTGTTGCCAACGAATCATTTTCGATCTTGGCGATGAGGTATGTTGGTGGTTTCGGCATGTTTCCCCACATTTCGCGGCATTGTTGCCGAGAGGTGGAGAAATGCCTCTATATATATAAAGGCTAATGGGCTTCCTTATGGATTCAACAATTGGAATCTATACTTAATCACTAGGTAAATTCTTTTTATATTATTATTATTGATTGTTGCTGTTGACATCGATTTGGGGTCTTTATTGTTAAACTCTGGTCTTCCAATTATTTCATTAATTTGGTTGCAAATCATTTGAAAGGTCTACTCAACTTTAAGTAGTCCTGATCTATTCCTGAGCAATTTTTTTTTGTTTTTGTTAGCTTTTCAGCTATATCTTCTACACTGCGTCCAACGCCCTAGCCGCTATGCCGAGCCCCTTTGCCCCCACCGACTCGAAGTACGTGTTTAACAACTACGCTGAGTGCGGTATACCCTTCGACAAGCTCGCCGAGAAGCACTTAGCTCTTCCCGACAGTGATGATTCCATCGCTATCCCTGGCCTGGCCGAGCCAGGCTACTCGGCGACTTTCCGCTGCAAGGCATCGAAGTCGCTCAAAACGGCCTTGTCTAGCGATCTCGAAACCTACTACCACTTGTGGAAGAACGCTGTGACCTTTTATGGTGACAAGCCAGCGTTCTCCTCGAGACCCTACGACTATAAGACACAAAAATCCGAGCCCCGCTACGTGACTAAGTCTTTTACCGAAGTGGATACCTTGAAGCGCAACCTTGGCTCCGGAATCATGTTTCTTCTTCGCAACAACCCATTCAAGAACCCTGACATCGAGTCTCACCGCAAAATTGATGCCCACACCACCGACTACGCCTCCTACGACAAGGATAACCACTCCTTTATCGTCACTTTGTACCTGGCCAACCGTGAGGAGTGGGTTTTGGCAGATTTAGCGTGTGTTTCCTACGCCATCACCAACACCGTCTTATATGACACTTTGGGTGACTCGGCATCCGAGTACATTTTGGAGCTCACTGAGTCGCCTATTGTGATCAGCTCCTATGAACATGTAGAGACGATCATCTCCTTGAAGGAGAAGTTTCCAGACAGATTGGCTGCGCTCATCTCGCTCGTTTCCATGGATCCTTTGGATTGCCAGTCCGCATCCATTGGCGAGGCCTTGGTCAGGAGAGCTCGTGCTGCCCGAATTGAGCTCTACGACTATAACCAGGTCTTTGGAATCGGAGAACTCTTCCCTCATGCAGACTTGCCTCCTTCACCAAAGACTACTTACACCATTAGTTTCACTTCTGGTACAACAGGCAACGCCCCCAAGGGTGTGGTTTTGACCCAAGAAAACGCTGCTTCGGGTGTCACTTTCCTTGCGTGCCGTGTTCCACGTATCAAGAACGACACGGCGTTGTCGTTTTTGCCATTAGCTCACATCTTTGAAAGACAGGCCCTCGCTTACAACTTGGTGTTGGGAGGCTTGGCTGGTTTCCCCCAGCATGGAGGCTCAGCCTTGACATTGATCGAGGACTTGAAGTTGTTCAAGCCTAAGCACATGACCAACGTTCCTCGTGTGTACACAAAGATGGAAACTGCCATCAAGAATGCCACCGTCAACCTGGACCTGGCTCTCAAGAAATCACTTTTCGAGAAATGCATTGGTATCAAGTACAACAGACAAGGAGCTGCTGACGAGCAAAAGGGAGAGCTCTGGGTATACGACCAGGTTTTGATGCCCAAGTTGCGTGCTGCTTTGGGATTCGACAACATGGTCTACTGTATCACGGGCCTGGCACCAATTTCTCCGCTGACTGTGAAGTTCATGAAAGCTGCCCTTGGTATTGGCTTTTCTCAAGGTTATGGATTGACAGAGCTGTTTGCTGGATTCTCGTTCAGTTCGCCTTATGAGAAGGTTCCAGGCTCTTGTGGTGCTCCCGGACTCTGCACTGAGATTCGTGTCAGAGAGTTACCGGCCATGGGTTATGCCTTGGATGATCCTCGCGGACCTAGTGGAGAACTCGAGATTCGTGGTGGCCAGATTTTCAGCCACTACTATAAGAATCTAGAGGAGACTGCAAAGTGCTTGAAAGATGGATGGTTTTCCACGGGAGATGTGGCTAGAATTGACAAGAACGGAAGAATCTTCATCATTGATCGTGTGAAGAACTTCTTCAAGTTATCGCAGGGCGAGTATGTCACGCCAGAGAAGGTTGAGAACGCCTACCTCAGTGGAAACACCCTTCTTACTCAGTGCTTCGTGCACGGCAACTCGTTGAACCACTTCTTGGTTGCAGTTGTGGGAGTTGACCCCGAGAAGATCGTGCACTTCTTGTCACGTAAGTGTGGAGTTAATAAGTCGGAGCTTCTGAGCGAAAGTGCGATCTTAGAGCATGTAAACAAGCATGAGAACAGAACCAAATTGCTTCGGGAGTTGAACAAGAATGTTAAGGGTCTTCAGGGATTCGAGACCGTCCAGAACTTGTACATTGAGTTTGAGCCATTACGGTTGGAGAGAGAAGTGATCACTCCTACGGTGAAGATCAGACGTCCTATTGCGGCCAAATATTTTGCCAGTCAGATCGACAGCATGTACGGAGAGCAACCATTGGCTACGAAGCAGAAGCTTTAGATAGATGAATGAGAGAAGAATATGAGACAATATTGTAGGGAGTTGTATATGTTCCCAGTATGGACTTCGAGTCTCTTAACTTATGTGTTTTACTGAAGCCACTACGTAAGTCAGGTTGTCGAGTTCAATCCGTCTTTTCTCGAGTGGATTATAAGATGTCTACATTAGCTTGGTGTGGAAATTTTCATCCGAGGTGATAGATCCATGACATCCACCACAGTGCCAATCTTGATTGGTTGTCAATTGAGTAAGAAGGAACTATTGATTAACAATAATTTCTCAAATGGCCATATACTCATAATATCGAAGGATCTTCGGAAAAAATCATCCAAGTCTCTGCTGGTCTCTCTTCTAGTGATACTATTCCACTGGAAAATGTGTATCTAGTAATCTACTATGCATATACAAGAGACCATGAAACTAACTATTCGTCTTGATTGAATCCCTGCAAAATATTGATGAGAAAAATACTCTTTCTTTTGTAATTTCAACTTTATATAAAAATTATCTATTATTCACCCTAATCCTTAAAATACCTCCATTAATACCATCCCACTACTCCATCATGGAACCGTCGTGCGAAGTCCGCGACATTCACCTCTTCACTATCGAAAACTCAAACATTTCACCAACAACCAAATGGTACGTATCCCCGCGGAAACTCGCTTCATCAGCCCCAATACTAACATCCAGGCGTCCACTATTGCTACCACGTCGACCCAGTCAAGAGACCAGAACGGGCTCTCGCTAATTGCATCGCATTCTCACATCACCGGTTTGGGCTTAGATGACAACTTGGTGCCAAAGGAATCTGCTCAGGGCATGGTTGGCCAACTTAAGGCTAGAAGAGCCGCAGGCCTCATCTTGAAGTTAGTCCAGGCTGGCCAAATTGCTGGAAGAGCTGTTTTGATTGCAGGACCTCCATCAACAGGAAAGACAGCCATTGCCATGGGTTTGTCTCAGAGCTTGGGCCAGGACGTGCCGTTCACGGCTATTGCCGGATCTGAGATCTTCTCGTTGGACTTGTCCAAGACCGAGTCGTTGACCCAGGCATTCAGAAAGTCCATCGGTATCAAAATCAAGGAGGAGACTGAGATCATCGAAGGTGAGGTGGTGGAGATTCAGATCGACCGTTCCATCACCGGTGGCCACAAGCAGGGTAAGCTTACTATCAAGACCACCGATATGGAGACTATCTATGAGTTGGGAAACAAGATGATTGACGGTTTGACCAAGGAGAAGGTTTTGGCTGGAGATGTCATCTCCATTGACAAAGCCTCCGGTAAAATCACTAAGTTGGGTAAGTCTTTCACCAGAGCTAGAGACTACGATGCCATGGGTCCAGAAACAAAGTTTGTTCAGTGTCCTGAGGGCGAGTTGCAGAAGAGAAAGGAGGTTGTCCACACGGTGTCTTTGCACGAGATCGATGTGATCAATTCCAGACAACAAGGCTTCCTCGCGTTATTCTCAGGTGACACCGGTGAGATCAGATCCGAGGTTCGTGACCAGATCAACACCAAGGTTGCCGAATGGAAAGAAGAAGGTAAGGCCGAGATTGTTCCTGGAGTGTTGTTCATTGACGAGGTGCACATGTTGGACATTGAGTGTTTCTCGTTCATAAATCGTGCTTTGGAGGACGACTTTGCCCCCATTGTGGTGATGGCCACCAATCGTGGTGTTTCACAAACCAGAGGAACTAGCTACAAGTCTCCACATGGAGTTCCCTTGGATTTGTTGGACAGATCTATTATTATCCACACGTCCAACTACACAGCGGACGAGATGCGTACCATCTTGTCGATTCGTGCCAACGAGGAAGAGGTGGAGTTGACTTCCGATGCATTGGAGTTGTTGACCAAGATTGGCCAGGAGACCAGCTTGAGATATGCGTCCAACTTGATTTCCGTGTCCCAGCAGATTGCCCTGAAGAGAATGAGTCAGAGCGTCGACTTGGTGGATCTCAAGAGAGCATACACGTTGTTCTTGGACTCGGAGCGGTCTGTGAAATTTGTCAGTGAGTTTTCTCATAAGTTCATTGACGATGAGGGCCGTGTCAACTTGGGATCCAATGGCAAGGTCGAGGACGACAAAATGCAGACGGACTAGTGGATTAGAGCCCCTAGAGCCCATGAGAAAAAGGTGGCGGAAAAGATTCCCTACGGGACAATGTACAATAAATTCTAACTATGCATTGAGTTGTAGCTAAGTACCCTTGGTGTTCAAGATCAAGGCAATAATCAAGCCATACAAGCCCAAAACTTCGGCGAAAATCAATATCAACACAATTCCCACAAACAAACGAGGTTGGTGCATGAATTGTCTGACACCCTCGTCGCCCACGACTCCAATGGCGTAACCAGAAGCCATACAAGCCAAACCAACTGAAAGGCCGCAAGCAAAGTGCATAGTGCCTTTGAACAACGAATACTCTTCGGATGGATTCATGCCTCCGGCAATCAACACCGACACAACCAATCCGTACACAGAGAGAATACCCGACAACACCACGGGAATTAAAGATTTCATGATAAGCTCAGGCTTGAAAGTACCAATACCCGAGATACCAATTCCGGACTTTGCCGAGCCGAAAGCTGCACCCACGCATGAAAAGATCATGGATGCGGCACAGCCGGCGAAACCCAAGAACGGAGCAAAGAGTGGGGTGAGTTCGGAGCTGGTGGAACTCATTTTGGTTTAGGTAGTTGGAGTTGAGATTATTTTATTACAAGTCGGAGACATGCGGGACGTGCGAACCTCAAAACAGATAGGACTAGATAAATAAAATGTAGAGAAGGCAGTGAATACAAATGTAGAGAGATATTCAAGTTTTTTCTTTTTGCCCACTATTTTCACCCTTGTATCTGTTTATGTTGGTTGTTTATACTTTCTTCGAAGGTTCTTGGATAAGGAATACAAGTGTACTGCAGGTAGTATACATCTTTACAACTACATACAAATACATCAATATAGTTCGCTACAACATTTTATTCAAGCAGTTCATAAACATTCATTGTCACAACAATTACTTTTAAAAGAATTACAATACAAATTGATTCATTGCAACTACTTCGTTCCAAACCAAAAAAAAATAATAGCAATATGAGCGCTCAGCACTACGACAAGATCGTACTCTCCAAACAAGACCTAGCGCATCTTTACCGTCAATTTCTCGTGGCTTCACAAGCCAAAATTCAGCATCATCTTCCCGTATCTGATCGTCATGATCCTCTACGTGTGGAAGTTGAGAACATTGTCAACGACAACCTTGCTGCGGCGTTCGAAATGGCCAAACTGGCGTTTATCGTGGATGGCCGTGATTTGGCCGAGGAAAACGTGCTGATTCGTGACATTCTTGCGCTTCAGCCATTAGAGGAAGTAGTTCCTTTTGATACAGAATTGAACCAGAAGCTTAGAGCGGTTATCCAGCTGGTAGAAAAGGAGACCACTGAGGTCACAAGACTCCGACGTGAACTCCCGCAGCAGGCCCGCGACGCTTACGAGTCGCTAGTAGCATCCACAGATCAGGAAGTGACCTCTATCATAAAGGAGTTGGCTGACGTTGAGCCCGAAATAGTAGACATCCCAACCATGGAAGAGACGATTCCAAATGCCGATGGTATTGTGCAAGATCTCGAAGAAAGCATCAAGTCCCTTGCAGGGCTCAAGAGTGCACTTCCGCGTCAGCAGGCCCAGTTGGACTCATTGGATCAAACAATAACCTTTTTGGAGGAGAGTTATAGAAGGCAACAAGCTGAGAGAAGTTGATTACGGATATAAGAATGGATAGGCAGGGAAATGTTCTAGAATAGGGAAATTTAAGTATTGAATGGAACATAGGTTTGAAATTTATTATAAATGTAACAAATGATTAAACGGAAGAATTTTTTGTCAATATACAACGAGTCTGCCGTATTCATTCATGTGGTGGCCGCTACTATGATTTGTATCGGAAATCTATAAAATGAATATTGAAACACTCCAATGTCGTAGATCGAAGTCCTTCAGTCAAGAGAGTCGCCTATTTATTGCATTGACTGGTATGATGGATAAGGATAGTGGGACCTCTTATGGCTCTGGCATTCCAGTGCAGTGCCATCAATTATACACTTTCAGGTCCCATTGCTTCATAATTCTAGAGTTGAGATCCAGCTGTTTAACTTTATCTGGTTGTTCTCTGCCGAAAGTTCTTTGTGCCACTTATTGATCATTTGTGGGCAACGTTAACAAACCATAGACATATTAATCACTATGTAGTATCAAGTGATGTATCATTCAAGCTTGTTAAATCGAATCAACAATTTGAATCAGGCGACTTTGCAATTAGGAATAAATGAAATCTAATCTAATAATTCATTCCAGTACGCGAGGACTCAATGCAATTCGTTATTCTAGTATGAATCTCTCATCTAAAACTATCAAAGCCAAATTTATTTACAAATCTTCTCTATATTTTCCCTATTCAAGGACAACGGAACCTGACTTTTCTTCCCTTCCTCCAGCTTAAAGACACGATGATTCACTGGCCTAGAGCTGCTAACCATAGTTGAGAAACTTATCATAACATAAGTTGGGCATGTCTTTATAATTCTCAATAAATCTCATTTACTTCTTAGACTATATTCAAGGATTATGGTGTATCTTCTAAACTATCCAATTATCCAATTCAATTTCTTCCATCCCTCCATCTCTTTTTTCTCTGCTTTCTTCTCCATGTTTCAACCGTCTATGGCTGCGGATGGTGCGCTTTATTGTGGATTTGGCCCAATGCGGAAACACCATTGAATCACTTCTCCAAACATAAACTTGTACGTATCTCCAAGTCCCTACTTCTTGCTTCGATGGCTTCCGTTAGAAACATTGCCTCTCGCTACTTGGAGGCCTTGGAGGACTCGGCGCAGCCACGGCAGCCCTTATCCACGCTAAAATTCAACTCCAAGTCCAACCTCAATGTCAAAAAGCTTGATTCTCCAGACTTAGAGGACTTGGCTCGCCAGATGAACATCGAGACGCCAGCCCGTAACGTGCTTCTCCGGAACTCATTCGAGACTCCATCTGCCACCGTCTCATCTTTCAAGACCACCCCAAAGAGCAGATCAGGGTCTAAGACATCCAAAGACGTTTCTAGTTTAAGCCAGCCCGCTACTTTCAAGCCAGGATCCAAAACTTCAAAAGGTTACGAGTACTTATGTCGGATCCAGGCCATCAAGAATTGGCTCGAGATAGTTCTTCGGGAGAAAATCGCCCAGGATCCAGTCACTCTCATCTCATACATCCAGAATGGAATCTACTTGGCCAAATTGGCCAATGTGTTCTTACCCGTGAGAAAGAACGTATATACCAACGATCGCAAGCTTGAATTCAGACACACGGAGAACATTAATCGCTTCTTCAAGTTGCTCCAGCACTTGAACATCCCTGATTTGTTCAGATTCGAGCTCACGGACCTTTATGATGCCAAGGACGTGCCTAAGGTGTGGTTCTGTCTCCATGCTATGAGTTACATCATCCACCAGATGGATGTGAGCTACCCAGCTATTGAAAATTTGGTGGGAAAACTCGAATTCTCCGAATCCGACATCAAAACAGCAAACAGGGCCTTGGTGGGTCACTCGTTGCCAAACTTCTCTAGTGCTGATAACGGGTCGAGTACAGATGGCCACAATTCATACATCAACAGGACTTTGACCATGCAAACGCCTTCCAAGTTACCCATGCGTCCGAAGATACCACCTTCTACCATGGATGATCCTAATCCGTTCAGAGAGAAGTCACCTACGATTCTGCTACTGCTGAACTACGAATTGAACAGTGTCAGAAAGCCCGACTTGTCTGCAGCCATCCACAAGACGCCTGAATCGAGCCCCACTAAATCAGCCGGCGTGACGCTTTCTCCAGTGCAACTCTTATCCCTGGATCGTCTATCTCCACTGGAAGTTTCATCTCCTGTCCACATGTCTCCAGTCGGACAAGTTTCCTCTCTATATGGAAGGTCTCCCGTCAATTATGGCAGCTCCCCGGTCTTGTATAAGCCTGCGTCCGTTACGTATACCCACACAACCGAATTGGACAGTCATGTGGTCAATGTCATCAAGTTACAGGCATTGTCTAAAGGTGCAATCTTCAGATACAAGATGTTCGTGGATAAGATTATTTTGAGATCCTACGACTCGGAACTTACAGAACTTTTTTCCGTCATTAGAGGAAACCTTACGAGAGGAAGAACTGTGCACCGTCATCGTGATGATTTGCGTTATTACGAACAAGATATTAAAACATTGCAGTCAATCGCCAGAAGCAAGCTTCTGAGGAGATTCTTGGGGTATGGCTTCACGGCTGATTCTGAGAATTCTGTTCGAGACGTCCAGAACATTATTCGTGGGTCAATGGCCAGACAGAGAGTAAGAAATGTTAAGAGTGTATTGAAAAACAACGAGTCCAAGTTGCTTCTGCTTCAATGCATTATTAGGGGAAAGGGTATTCATCGAAGGGTTTCCACCATCACCTCAAACAGATCTCAGGTTGAGAGGTCTCTCATTGAGCTTCAATCCATGGGTCGTCGCATATTGTATAACAGAAGGTCGAATTCATCAATTGTTTCACGATTGGAGGAACAAGATATGGTCCCACTTCAATCTTTAATTAGAGGAGCAAAAGCTAGAAACCAAGTGAGATTCTACTTGAGAGGACTTGGTAGAGAGCGCAATTCTATGAAAGAACTTCAAAGTATAGGAAGAGGAGCCATTTTAAGAACTCGGCTCTGTAATAATGTCTTGATTACATTGCTTGGAGAAGACATTAAAATGAATGAGCTTTTCGCCAAAGTCAGAGGAAACTCTGTAAGAAGACAGGTTGAATACAAGAAGGCTGTCTTGGATTACGTTGCCGAGTCAGAAATCATTCCTCTTCAGACGATTTTCAGAGGTATTTTGCTCAGATTCCGCCAAGATGTTGATATGGAGGATATCTACGAAGATGTTAACTCTATTATCACATTACAAGCAAAGATAAGAGCTAACAAGATCGTCATGGAGAGAAAGCAGTTAGACGCTCACTATACCACTAATCTCGATAAGGTTATCAAGGCACAGTCGATTCTCAGAAGTAAGTACACCCAAAACGCATACAAGGCATTGATCAACATGAAGAATCCGCCTGTTGGGGTTGTAAGGAAGTTCGCCTACTTGCTTTCCAATAGTGGTCAGGATTACCTGGAAGAGATGGAGTTGAGCAAGCTCAAAGATCTCATCCTTGAAAAGTCCAAAAACAACGAGGAGTTGGAGCTGCTGATTGAGAATTTGGATATCAAGTTGAGTTTATTGGACAAAAACAAGATTTCAATCGAAGACTTTATGAAGCAGAACAACAAGTTCAAAGCATACAAACCAATTCAACCTAAGACCATGAACGTGAAGAATTTGGATAAATTGAATGTGTCCTCCAGAAAGAGAATTGAGTTGTATCAATCAATGTTTTACTTCTTGCAAACGAAGCCCACTTATTGGTTGAGACTTTACAAGGAACATCCAAGTTGCGATCGTGATGAGTACATCAAGAATCTTCAATATCAAATTCTTCTGGTGTATCCAATTCTGAAAGGCTCTGTGAACTCTCATTCTAGAGAAGAGTTCTTCTTCTTGAAATTCATCTGTGCCTTGATGGAGAACGATATGAAAAGAAGCAAAAACATTGCAGATATCACCAAGGTTAAATCAGCCTTGTGGATTGACTATATCGTCGACTTTAACAACCACGTCTACCAGAGAATGCACCTCAAGCAGATTTTCGGAAAGATAGTGTCGAGAATTATCGATGAAGATGAGCTTACATTTGAATCTGATCCTTCTATAATCTACAATCATATCCGGGAGAAAGAAAACAGGATTCATGGTACTTCGTCCAAGAAAATGATTGTCACTCCGCAGGAAGCAATTCAGGACGAAGAAGTTTCGGCGTCGTTTGTTAGAAACTTGATTGCATTGAGAGAAGCAGCTACTGATTCACTCGAAATCATCCAGTCTTCAGTCTCCGAAATTCCAATTCATGTCAGGATTCTTGCCCACCAGGCTTACCAGCTTTCGTTGGTAAATTTCCCTGACCATTCTGAACAGCAGCATCTTGCGGTAGCTGGTGTCATCATTATCAAGCATTACTTTAACAACATCTTGCAATTCCCAGAGAACTTCGGATACTCTACAAAAGATCCATATGCTATAGCGGTGGGATCTCCTAGTACGCTGTCTGAGAACCTAAAGCATCTCAGCAGAGTGTTGTTGCAGATATTCTCCATGAAGCCTTTCTCAGACAACTTCATGAAGCCTTTGAACGATTACGTGACATCGTGTGCGGAAACTACCAGAGACATCATCAAGGAGGTTATAAAAGTGAAGCTGTTGGAGATTGAGTACGAAATGAACGACTATGATGATATTGTCGCTCATTCGAAGCCACAATTGACAATGAAGGTCAGTGATATGATTGCAGTCGAGAAAATGATCACAAGGAACATCGATGTTGTGGCACCAAGTTTGGATGACCAATTGTACACTATTGCAAGTGAGTTGAACGAAGTAGTTAATTCTGCTGATGACTTCGTTACTCTCACTGAAATGGGTTCTCTCACGTTGACTCTATCTCCAAAAACCCAGGAGGATACAGTCGCAGATTCCAAGGTCAGAACGCTTTTGACGCAGGCAAAAAGGTGCTTGCTCTATATCATCAGAGTTCAAGATGGTGACGACCTTTTGGAGCTTTTCATACATGGAATCAAGCCTATCCACGAAGACAAGTTTAGAAAGATCATCGAAATCGAAAATGATGGGTCCAGTGGTAACGAGATCAATCCTTACAGGAAATCTTTCTTGGGAGATTTGACAAAGATGAGCTACATCGACTTGAAGAAACTAGCACTCAAGGTGATTCTTCAATTGGAGTCGCTCGAGATTGTTTCACGTAAAAATTCTTTTCAGGAGCTTCTCAATCTGATTGTTGTCGATATCAAGACCAAAGACTCGCAAAGAGTTTCCAGAAAGTCACAATTGAAAATCGCAGATCAGACTGTCAACAAGTTGCTCGAAAAGGAGAAGTTTTTGACTCGCCAGCTCAAAGACTATGAGCTGCATATCGAAAAGGTTCTTGGAGAGTTGCAACTCAAACCAAAGGAGAAAAAGATTTTCAATATAATCCCTGTTTTCAGCAAACAATACTTCTACCATCGTCAGCTCAGAAAGAACAACCGCTTGCCTAAGTTTGGTTCCTACAAGTATTCTGCCAAGAGGCTTATGGACCAGGACATTATTCTAGACTTTGGTGGAGATCTCTCAGGGAAGAGTGCATCAAGTTCTAAGCTTGATTTCATGTTCAGTTGTCACAAACTGGGAACGTTCGTCATTGAAGCAGCAACCGGCTCGGTGACAATCCCTGGAGCATGTGGTTCCATTACGTTGGACCAATTGTTGGACCAGCAATACGAGAAAAAGAAGAAATGGGAAATGTTCAACGGAATGGTGACATTTGACACTGAGAACCTCTCTGCGTTGATCTTCCGAAAGTTCTACGACATTAAGAAAGACTGAAAATGAACCTGAGAAGCTAGTCTCGAACTTATGGATGATCCAGGGGGCAAGGGTTTGTTAATGGTTAGGAAATAGTGAATTATGTATAATAGGAACACATTATCATTCTAATAATTTGATCGTGGTCGCAGGATAAGTCCCTACAAGATTTCTCCTCTTACACTCCTCCAAATGAACGAACCCTTCCAATTACTTCATTAAACATTTCCCTCTATATATCCTCTTGCTTCCTTGGATATTCTAAATCTCTCGGTCAAAAGCTTAACTCACCTTCGCTACTCTAGCTCGAAAAGAATAACAAGGCCTATGCATCAGGTCCGGTTTTGAGCAGTAGTGTATTTCATTATGCCACCATTAATCGTTTACACTTAATTGTATTCCATTTGAATACCACTAGGTATTTAGATAAGTTTGCTTGCTTTAGCGACTTTCTACAAGAAAGACTTTGGTAATCTTCTATTGTATACATCTCACACTTGAACCTCACTTCTTTAAAAGTTCATCTATCTTCTTCTCTAACAGTTCAATTTTATTGTTCTTCTCAAGACCACTTTCGGTCAAGATAGTGACTTGCTTCTCTAAGCTCTCCACGAGTTTTGCAAGCTTGTCAACTGTTGCTCTCAAAGTAGGTTGCCCTGCTGAACTTGGGCCAGACTCGGCCCTTGGAGCCTCCTTAGCCTCAGTATTCTTTTCTGTCACTGGCTCTTTCTTTTCAGCAGTTGGCTCCTTCTTCTCCACGACTGGTTCCTTCTTCTCCACGACTGGCTCCTTCTTCTCCACAACTGGCTCCTTCTTCTCCACAACTGGCTCCTTCTTCTCGGCAACTGGCTCCTTCTTTTCAGCAGCTGGTTCCTTCACTGGCTCCTTCTTTTCAACAACTGGCTGCTTCACTGGCTCCTCTACAGGCTTCTTCACCTCTTCCCAGTCATCATCCTTGCTCTCCTCAATTCTCTTCGAATCTTCGTCATCGGACTCGTCTACCACTTTGTTGAGAAGACTGTCGACCTCCTTGGATGACTTCAACACTTCGTCAACTTCCTTGTCCTTTGGCGGTGTGACCTCCTTAGGTGCTGGAGTAGTCTGTTTTTGGACTGGAGTTGATGGAACAGGAGCCTTTGGTGTTGGAGTAGCAGCCTTGGTCTCCTTCTCCTTCTTCTTCTCAGAGATGCTCACTGCCGGAGTGGACTCTTTGATTTGACCTGCGCTTCCATCATAAATAGCCTCCATGCTTACCAACAATGGACCATTGGTGCTCTCCCCAGCAAACCAGGCAGCAGCAGAAAGCGCCGGCTTGTCAGAAGGCGCATCAGGATAGATATCCTCTTGAAACAACTCGGACTTTCTGGGGACAATGAACGAGACAGGCTCAATCGAATGGTCGTTGATGGTCTTGAAGGACTTCAAAATCTCGTTCTCGTGAAGATTCACCTTGATCTTTGGAGCACAAGCAAAACCTCTCTGTGGGTCTGTGGAAGCATATTGTGACAATTCGTAGAGCTCGTCGCTGTCGTACTCATAGTAGCGAACATTTCCGTCACCTTTACCAGCCAAGTACAAGATGGAGGTAGACTCATCAAAGAATGGGATCAACACACCAGATGACGAGTCAATGACCAAAAAACCGTCGATTGGACCCTTCTCGATGTCATTGACGTCCCAGATACCAACCTGTCTGTCGGACAATCTAGAAAAACCAGTGGTCAAAATACGGTCAGTGTTACCCAACCACACCACTCTCGAAGGCTTAGCACCAGTATGGCCTGGACCCTCCGAAATGACTTTCCCAGATCTAATGTCCCAAATTCTCAACTTCTTGTCTCTGGAAGTTGTGGCCAAAAGCGAACCGTTGTAGTTGAAAGCAAACGACGTCACCAAATCCTTGTGCTGCAAGGTGATCTCATCCTTTCCGGTCTCGACATTCCAAATTTTGACTGTGTAGTCCAAGGAACACGATGCCAACACGTATTCAGCACAGGGGTGGAACTCCACATGGCCGACCTTTCTGGTGTGGCCAGAAAGAACCTTCGTAGGCTCAAGCTCCTTGACCTTGTCGTCTTCATCTACGTAGTTGTGGAACGAATAGTCTTCAGGAATATCCCACAACAAGATTTTGCCATCCTCAGAGCAACTCACCACCTGCTGCTCGTTGAATGGATTGTATGCGGTGTCCAAAACTGGACCCTTGTGGCCTCTGAACAAAGGCACGGTATCTGGAGCCTTTCCGACCTCATTAAGAGGAATTACAGCGAATGCTCCACCTCCAGATGCATCCCAATTGACAAAAAGATACTTTCCATTGGTGTTGATGATGTTGGAGTCCCAAGCATTCTTGGTGATCTTCAAGTTTTCGTAGCACAATTCCTTTTTGGCGGCCTGGCCAAACACGTGTCTGTACTTCGACGCTCTGACAAATTTTCCGCTGAGTGTTAGTGGGGTCAATTTTAGTGGGTTTTCATGGATAATGGGACGCCGTACCTCATAATGTGGTTGTTAAAAGTGGGTGGACGTAGGTGTGTATGTGAACAAGGTGCGGGAGGTTGTACCGAGTCATGAACACTATGGACCTTGAAGAGTTTGAGGTTGAAGTACTGATGAGGGGGGGGGGATAAATTTATGAAATTTGAATTTATTTATTTGAATTTTTGGATCTTTGGTTTTTTAATTTGTTTATTTTTGTAGGTCATTGAGGTTTGCGTTTATAGATTGTCGTAGTGTAAGCTTGTGTTTTCGCTTCTAATTAGTCTATGTTACTATATCCGTAGCGAGTCAGAAGTTTGGGTAGAAGTATCTGAACCTGAACTTGAAATATGTCTCAGGTTTGGTCTTTCCTTTTGACATTGATAACCATCTTTTGAGCACTTTACTAGTTCCATTGAGCTATCGGAAAGAGACTTCCAGATCAACTCTACTCCACCTTTACATGTAATCTCAACCAATAACCCAAACCTTAACATATAACTTAACCTCTATGTATCCTCCTGTTTCTTCCCTAAAACCCTATTCTATCATATCCTGACTCTCTTCTCCACTCATTAACATGTCAAGGAATCCTCCTTGTAAGTTCTCGACTCCCTCTTTACACTTCTCATTGATCAACTGCTGACAACGTACAATTTCCCACAAACTCGTGTTTTGCAATGTTTCTTGAAGCATCTTATTGCTAGTATCTCGCCATTTCTTCTCCTTATCTCCTTCACTTCTCTTCCATGCGTCCCAGGCTCCAAATACTCCATCTGCTGAAGACTTCCCCACCAATGTCGCCAATAGCTTCTGGAGCTCGCTTTCTCCAGGATATTCTCCAGGCTTGGGCCATTGGCTCACAGGTAAGTATACTGCTACCATCTCCAAAAACGTAACTGGCTCCTTCATCTCACTCTTCGCTAGTTTACTGGTGTACCAAGCGTACGCCTTTAGACTTGCCTTGATACGAACATCTCGTTCTTTTCTGCGTCTTTTGTTCCGCTCCTTCACATCATCTTTCAGATTATAGGCACGAGACGCCTTTTGTTTGGCTATTTTCTGCTTTTCTTGTCTGACCTCGTCCGATCCTCTCTCACCTCGTCTCACCACGTTCTTTCGTAGCGCATCCACTTCCTCAGCTGGATGGAGAGAATCAGCCCGTTTTGAATCAAGGTGTCTTCCATATGTACTTTTGGAGGCAAATTTTTTCCTGCAAAATGGACATTCCACTGATTTGCATGGAGTTGTGTCCATCATTGATTAAGTTTACTACAAGTGCAGGCGAATTTCGCAGCCTTTACATCTACAGTTCGAGGGCCCACTGACGTGAGAATAACTCAGTGCATGTTTTGTATGCACACAATCCCTCATGCAGTTCTAATTAGGCATCTCTATCAGTTTTGCAACTGTACGAGGGCCTTATGGACTGCGGTGGGTCTACTGGGTGAACTTAACCTCGCCCAAATGATCGCACCTCTTCCTGTTGAATTAGACCATGCCCGTAAGGTTGATCGCCTAGTACGTATCATTAAACATGAATACGTCCGTCGTCACCTCAAGAGCCAAGAAGGGGACAGTTTACGGCCCCTTCGGCCACGGGACGTTCTTTATCGACATCCAATTTTTCTGTAGTGCCCTGAGTTAAAGCTGACTTGTCGGTTGTTGCATCTGGACATGTTATTTTCTGGAAGTGGCAACTTGCGTAGCCGAATGGTGAGAGCTTTGGTGATGATAGCAGCATTTCAGCAACCTTAGTTTATCTACTCTCAACGGGACTATGACCATGCTTCTCAGCCTGGTCCCTGATATAGTACCCAATACACAAATGTTTAAAAAAAAAAATACAGTACTTTTGGTGTCAAGTCATAATAGCTGAAAGATAATTCATACTTAAATATCGAGGTTGGCAACAATATCATGCAACTCAGATACATAGGTGGTGTTGATGAGGTGCTCGTTTCCGGACACAACTTTGAGGATTAGCTCGTTCAACTCGGCAGATCCAAGAATATCAACATGCTCTGCAGTTCTTGCACCTCCTCTGATATCAAATCTGTCTGGCTCATGCTTGATCTCCACCACCTTCACGTTGATGTTAGCTGGATTGTATCTAGTGCCTTCCTTCTGCCATTCATGGCACATGGAGTGTGTCATCAACGAAAGCGTTCCATCTCCATCACCGAAAAAGACTGGGTTTGGGCTGTCAGTATCGATCACAAATGGCAATCCCGAGTTAGTGTCGTCTTCTTTGTAAGTGTAAGCTCTCTCAGTTGGGTTTCCCACACCGTAGAAACAGAAGATTTTCATGTCCGGAGCATTAGGGAGCTCAATCTCCAATGGGTTCGACCACTTGGAGTGATCCTGGTCGTTGGCTTTGAGCTCCTTCTTGGTCTTGGCAATACCAAAGGAATATTGCTCCTTAATTCTGTTGGAAAACCAATCTGGCGATCCCTTCAAAAGGAAACCAATGCTTTCTTCCATAGTGAAATCCTTCTTCTCTTCAGTGATACCCGTTATGGATGAAGCGTCGCTCTTACTAGCATGGTATCTGATGAATGGTCCAAAAGATTCGTTCTTATATCCGCTGATTTCAACATCAGAAACGTCCGTTTGGAGTTCATTGGTTGGGTCGTCTGGAGATTTGGCCAAATCTCCCCAGATTACATTCCCTCCCTTTGGAATCATGGATGGCACACCTCCAAACGTCCGCAACATGTCCACTCTCTCCTTCTTAGAAAAGAATTTCTCCAATCCGTAAACGGCTAACTGGTTTAACTGCACGGTGTCCTTCATTTCTCCAGAAATCAAGGCTGGAATGGCCTTAGGCGCACCCAAGACAGATCCACTGATATTGATGAACCCTGCTAAGTACTTGTTACACCAGTCTTTTCCTCCATTACCATAGAACTCACCCTCAGCCTCAACCCACTTCATGAAGTAGATCACCACTTGAGATCCCATGGAGTGGCCAACCAAGTAAGTCTTCTCGCCATTGAGTCTGTAAGTTGTTTCTATTTGCATCTTCAACTTGGAAAAGTAGCCATCACGTTTTTCCAAGTCAAGGTACGCCAATCTCCAGTCGTAGGCAGCACTGATCATGTTGTTTGGGCCGTAACCAATAACTGCCAAATTCTGGAGAATCTTATTCCAGATCCAGTAGCCCGCCATGAAGAAATCTGCAGCATCGAAACCCAGCGACGCCCTGAGTTTGATACCTGGAGGGTCCAAGCCCGTGATAGGGTCAAGCTTGATGTGCTTGAGCCAACATGCTTTGTCCAAGACCATGGTACGCAACATATAAAAGGAGCCCCATAATCTCTTACGGAAATGGGCAGATGAGGGACAGTCACCATCTTCACTGAGTCCCCACGACTCGATTCCGGTGGAAATGACACCAGGCACCATCACCACATTGTACTTATCAGTCATATTATATTTCTTGGTCATTCTCCGACCCACCGAGAAGGATTCTGCAGAGCCATGAAGCTCATTCTTTGCGCCACTATTAGAGTCATCAAGCATTTGCTGCAAACTAAGGGGCAATGCACCCTTCCAATCGTCTAGGAAGACATTGAAAGAGTCAAAGTTGATCAACTTATCCAATTCGCCTTTGATGTCGTCAGACAGCATGGCAGTGATCACCACAGTGGCCAAAAGTCCAATGATAGTACCCAAAATAAATGTGACTCTTCTTGACTGGTACAATTTTTTCTTAAGATCCAGCTTCACTTTGGCATTCTTATGGCGAGAGTGACGAGAATGGTTTCTAGTCAATTGCGGCCTCTCGTGGCTTGAGACTGGCAGAAGTTCTTCAACGGGGACATCTTCGACAGGAGTTTCTTTGACTTTCTCTGGTTGGTTTTTCCGACTTTTCCGGCTGTGCACAGCAGAATCAGACATTCTTACTAGCAGCTAAGTGGTAATGGTCAGTTCGCGATAATATGTAGAGGGAGCAATAGGAAGGAAGGTGTATTTGCCGTTATGGGTATGAGTCCATTGAATGGCATTAGTTTAGAGGAAAAGAAGAGGTGTCGAAGAGTTTGTCGGACGGCAATTTAGATAACGTGGGGTATTTCTGGTAGTGGTGTCCATAAGTTTTATAGAGATATAACAATTATAGCAATAATGTGGAGATAACAAGGCAGATCCTGTCTTTAGGAAGACATGGAGAACAATGTACGATTCCCAATAATTGACAGATTTAGTTTGTTTTCTTGTTCTCCTTTTCCTTCTTTCTTTCTTATTTTTTGTTTTTCCTTCATCTTTCTCTCTTTTCTTGCCTCCTGCCTTTCTACCCTCTTACGCAACCCTCCTACTCTCAATACAACTCTAATATATTAATCTACCAGTACAGACCCTTAGAAAAACCCCAACAATCTCAAAGTGCATCCATGGTGAAATCATACTCGATGCCCGGGGTGACACTCGCAATGAATTTGAGAAAAATCACAAGATACTGGTCCACACGGATTCCATCGTCTTCAGACTCCAAATCCAACTTGTCCAAATCCGCTGCCAAATCCGTGTCCGTCGTAGCTTTCGCTTTGGCGTGCTTCATGAACACTTTCATCACCGACAGGTGCTTACATGGATGAATCGACACTGAGGTAGTATTGTACGACATTGGTAAGTTCTCGATGGTGGCTGTCTTATCCTTATAATCGCCAGAGATGTCCTCATACATTTGGTGAGGCAAAAGTGGGATTCCATTAGCGCTGAACCCTACCAAATACATCTTGGGAACACGATACGACGTGGAGTACGAGATGTAGAGGTCGTACTTGCGGAGATTCAGCTCATTGGACTCAATATGTGTAAACTCATCAAGATCATCTTCGGCCACCGCATCCTCCACATTATCATCCATCAAATCATCCAAGTCTTGCTGCTGTTGTTGCTGCTTCATGGCATTGATGCTGGTGGTATTGATGCGTGGAACCCATTCGCTGTCACTGTCAGGGTCTTGGTCATCTTCGGTGGCGTCCTGGGACTCAGGTAAGTATGATGCCACGCGCTGGTACAGAGGTACGTGTTTGGTGATGAGAAATTGCTTGTCAGCGGGTAAGAACTTCTTCTGAAGGTTTGGAGGGCACGTTCCCCATTTCCATGTGGGAAACTTATACACCAAGTAGTCACCAGCCTTGACGAATTCCTCCGGGGTAATTTCGCCAGTTTTGCGGAAGTTGGACTCATTATTGATTGGAGTCAAATATTCTCTCAACGACGAGAGCTTGCTTCTGATACTCATGATGGAGTAGAAAGAAGGCGATAAGAGGGATTCTTATCGATTGAGTACCGCGTGCAGGAGGATAGGTCAGGCAAGGTTGGAGTGAGATGAGAGACAATGAGAGGATAGAGCTCATTTGGAGCAAACGGTTTAATAAAGTTGGTATGGTTCTTATCATTTGATGAAGGTGACTAAAACATAATTTTAGGTTTAATTTAAAGGGGACTTCTTTTGAATGAATGAGTAAACTAAGGTATACCTGGCATTATTTGTAGAGTGCACTGTAGTGTCTAAATGCCACAATTTAGTGCGAATGTTCATTAGACTTTTGCTACAATGTTCTAACTTAGAAACTTAATGTCTAAATTCAGTCTTTATTGCCCAAATCCAGTTAGCCTATACAAATGATCCATAAAGTGAAAGTATATCACTACTGTAAATTAGTCAGCCCATTCACTTTTGTTGCTTCACATTGTATTCGTGAAAGTACTAAAGTGGAAAGACAACTATTCACTCATTCGAGTCTCATACATATCCCTAAAAACCCATCAAATCCCCCAATCACCTACTACCCAAACATTAAACACCCGCCTCGCGTGGAAGACCCACCTAACGCCACGCGACCCTCATCTCCAATATAACTAAACGGGAAAAAGCAAAAATGTTGTTTGTTTGGGGTTCCACCGCGAATTTGGAAATATTTTGTGAAATTTCTCAGAAAAGACAAAAAGGCAACACAACTTGTGGATCTTAAAAATCGAATATGTATTTTTACACAGAAAAAAAGCGCCAGGTGTATTTTTGACACACCTAAATTGGCCATGATTCTTCAAAACGGAATTCAATGCTAATTTGGGTCAATCTAGAGAGTTTTCTGTGTTTTAAGACATGTAGACTGGACTTGGGAGTGCACGGTAAAGGGTAGAAAATAAATGGCCGAAAGGTTAAAGGCTCAAGGACAACAAGACAGAATGGAGGCAGATCATAGGTTTTGGAGCATATGGCAATTGAACTTGAAATTTGATTATGGGTTCACATTCGAAAGCAATGAAGAGTTAAACAATAACCGGAATAACGATTGCAAACTTTTGACGACTGCTATGTAGAAGAAACGATCCTCAATGCGCAGCGAACAAAGCCTTAGGCCCGAATTAGTAAAACCTAAATAGGCTCCCGACGTACCGTACCGAATTCGCAGCATAAACAAGAGAGAAACAAAGAAAAAAGCAAATAAGAACGATTAAGGTTAGAGAGATCGTGGAGAATGGAACATAGGTTTATAGTAGTCACCATTAATTAAACATCGTTGGTAATTCATAGCATGGACACCAGTTGACTATGAAGTAAAAGCCTCTGATGGCAAAAAAAAAAATAACAATAGAAATCAAAGATTCATATAGTTTACGGGCTCTGGCATACTTTCACTCCCAAAGAGGCAGCGTCACCCTTAACCAATGGAAGCCGACCTTCAGCCTGGTGCAGAATCCATCGTGCATTAGTCGGAAACGAATCGAAAGTGCAGGAAGCTCAAGACTAGGTGATAGTCGAGAATTTCACAAATGAACAACCGTGAAATATCAACCATCCACCATTCTGATTGCTTTCATTCTGATTGGCTCCTACTTTTTTTCCCTCTGTTTGATTCATCTCTTCCGTGTCGTCTCATTAGTTTCATCTCAAGTATTCTTGCTCAACTCCGATATTCAAACATTACTCACTCTGCCTCCGAAATCTCGCTCCAAATCCTGCCTCTCACTTCCCTGTACAGACCAAAATAAACAGACACGCTGGTGCTCATACGTTAGCACTAAAGTCCATGCACGCCATTTCTTCTTTGGTGAACCTCCATCTGTTTTGATTTGGCATTGTTTGGGAACTGTTTACCAGTCACGTCGCGAGTCATATACTGAGTGTTCTGCTCACACGGCCTCTTTCACCACATCCAAGTCTGAGAATAAAGAAAGGGAATCTGAAGTGATCTCTCCTACCTCAGCCATTAATCATCAGAGAGTGTCGTTCCGTCTCAGTCGGCTTTCCAGATACACTTTCGTTAAGGTTTAATTCACAAAATTTGTCCTGTTCCACGTACCAGTTGCCATCTTCCACCAAACTTAATTCAAATCACCACCGTGACAAATGCCAGTGTCTTCCACTCCGTCCAAGAGAGTGGCTTTGGCGCCCATTAACGTCAACGTCAACGTCAGCTCGCCGCTCCACAGACGGAAATTCCCTGGAAATTTCCCTTTGACGCCGTCACTGACTCCTAAGTTCACGTTGACAAGGTCCAGTAGCGTGGTAGTCCCTTCCACCACATCGCTTGCCCTGGCGCCTCGCTCGGCGGAAAGTTTCTCCGACTACAAAATCACAAACAGCCGCAATGTCAAGGCCGACTTGGCCGCCACCAAGTTGAAACTTCGCTTGCAACTCGCGTTCTACAAGTTGAAGCTGAAACGCGACAACCTGGTGGCTGCTTGTCCTAACATCCGCGTGGCAAAGGCCAAAGCGCCACGTCCACGGACATTCCACGGTTCTGCCAACGTGAATTTACAGAAACCTCGCCTGGGTCTGCGTCCGCTGTTGACGTCGGTGGCTCAAAAGCTTTCTCCAGCTTCTAATGCCGGTTTCGGTGCTTCTACTGGTAGCTCGACCGCTTCCGCCAGCGGGAACTTGCGCCTTTACCACATAAAACAACTGTCATCGTTTCACAACGTGTATCCGAACAGACTTCCTCTCGCATCTGGTGCCCAGAGGCTTCCCCCAGTGCACAAGATCTTGAAGACACCCATTCGTACCACCACACGTACCTTGATGTACAACATGACTAACTCCAATAGCGATGAGACTATAGACGAGACTGGGGATGAGACGCAGCAGGAAATCCGGCGCAAGGATATTCTTGGGTCGTCGCCTTTGAGAGGTAACAGCTTCGGTACACCCAACAGCTTCTCTGTGGCCAAGTCGTTGTTACAGCTTGGGCTGGGTTACTACTAGGAGTTTGCATTACGATTAATATGTGTCATGAAGAAAGATGCTGTAAAAATATATAGACGAATAATTTGCATGAATAATTGGAGATTGAAGTGGGAGTAGATTGGAGTAGATTGAAGAGTGAGAATAGGAATCAAATGACAAGGTGTTAAAAAACCACAAGTTCGCATGCAGAGCCAAAGAGTATGATCTTTCCATTGCAATTGAACTTCCTTCATCCATTGTCCTCCAATTTCATCGTTATTTACCCCATTTATCATTTTCCCTTTCCCCCCACTAACATTTAGACTATCCTACATACAGGTCAGACACCTTGAGTAGGTGGCCACCTATGACGTTTCCACTGAGAAATGATTACTAATCCACACTATTAACCACGAATATTCCAGCCAATATCATGGCATTTTCATTGTGTATTTCCACATGATCCTTGATGGTAAGACAAAAACTGTGTCTTTCCACATGTAACAATGCCCCTGTGGACAATTGTGGCTTCGTGTGGATCGGAAGTGCGATGTTCCGGCCGCAGTACCCCCACATTACTATATAAGCAACTAAGTGCCCCACCACATTTTCTACATATTGTACTTACTCAATTGCTACTCAATTGCTGTAATATTCACATACTCTAGTCTACAAATCTTCTGTTAACATGTCTCTTTCTGGAAAAGTGTTCACATTGTCCAACGGCAACACCATTCCTGCTGTTGCTTATGGTACTGGTACCAAGTGGTTCAAGTTGGGCCGCGATGAGATCGATACCAACTTGGTAGACACATTGAAGTTGGCATTGGCCAAGGGTTTTGTTCATATTGATGGAGCCGAAATCTACAACACCGATGCAGAAATCGGTGAAGCCATTTCTGGAAAGGACAGAGACTCGTTGTTCATCACTGATAAGTACTTTGCTGGAGACTCCAGCTACAAGGCCAGATCTTCCTTGGGTACGCCTTACGACTCGTTGAAGTTTCACTTGGCCAACAAGTTGAAGACCGACTACGTGGACTTGTACTTGCTTCACGCTCCATTTATCAAGAAGGAGACCCACGGCTTCGATTTGAAGGAGGCCTGGCAGTCCCTTGAGAAGGCCGTGGATGACGGACTCACCAAGAATATTGGTGTTTCCAACTTTTCCGTGGATGACTTGAAGGAGGTGTTGGAGGTGGCAAAGATTAAGCCCGTTGTCAACCAAATCGAGTTCAACGCTTACTTGCAGAACCAGACACCGGGAGTGGTTGAGTTTTCGCAGCAAAACGGCATCTTAGTGGAAGCCTACAGTCCATTGGGTCCAATCGTCAAGGGTGAGCCAGGCGAATTCACTGAATATTTAGACACTTTGGGTTCCAAATACAGCAAGTCTGCTTCTCAAGTTTTGTTGAGATGGGTTATCCAGAAGAACGTGTTGCCTGTAACCACTTCTGCTAAGGAGGAGAGAATTGCTCAGTTTGTGGATCTTTTCAACTTTGAGTTGGCTGACGAGGAGGTGAAGAAGATTACTGACTTGGGAGCAAAACACCCCGTGTTGAGACAATACTGGACGACTGAGTATGCCAAGTACGATTAAGTGATAGAGGAATTGAGAATTGTGTCAAAATGGAATGCGTAGGATTATTTTGATTCATCCAATGTGAATTTGACAAATTGAGTGAGTTGTATAGAAGAAGGGAGCTAAATTTTCTAACTCATAGTTAACGTCTATTAGTAGATTCTTTCGCTTTTGCTCTTGCACCAAGTGAAGATTGACCCCCATTTATATCTCAAATAACAAAGGTTTTTTCAACCATACAAAACATCAAGCTGACCATCACTGGGTTAATTTCTCGACCAAATCACAAACCTTTTTGATATGCATATTAAACCCATCATACTTTGTCGAATTATCCCCAAACACCACTAGGCCCTCGATCTGATCGATCTTCGTCGCTGCAGCGAACTTCTTGCTGGTGATCATACGGAAAAGCACATCTTCTATGTCAACGGAGGTTTCTCCTCCCAACAACAAGTCCTGGATTCTAGACAACCGAATGGACTTATAGTATTTCGGCAACTTTTCTAAGTTAGTCTCTACGAAGTTCTCCAATAACTGCTGCAGATGTCTCGAGTAGATGGAGCGAAACTCAACTGAATCGATCAAATGGTCGATTAACTCCTTATAGACATCGATAGGTATGATTCCGCCCCTCAGGCTATAACGAACGTAGTTACTGATGGCTGCAGGGAAATCTCGGGAAAAGACGTTCTCGTCACTCAAGTACTTGTGGATGTTCTTCTTTCTAAAATCTGACCCGCAGAGAAGGTAAAACACAAGCACTTTGAGCTGAATGTCATGCACCAATACCAGGGAGTCATCCTCTACACCTAACAAATTGATTTTCTTGCTGACCAAGTCCGTGAGCTTCAATTCACGTACATCGGGAGATAGTAGGAACTGGTAGTCTGTGAGGAGGTCCATGTACTTGGTTCTAAGTAACGACAGGTAGTCCGATCGCTTCAGCCCAATGGAACTTAACTGCTTGAACTGATCATCAATTTGCTTATGGGCTATTGGTCCTGAGTGATACATGAGTGCTTCAATGGCAAAGATTTTGACTATTGTCGCCGTTTCAGGATTAGATGGAGTCAATGATAGAAGCTGGTTAGCCAAATCGGGAGTAAAAGGTAGAGACCGGATATACCGGTGCAATTTTTCAAGAAGAGTCGATTGGTCGACATTCTGATCGATGATCTGGTGGAGCTCCATGAAGAAGGTTAGGTGTAAGAGTGATAGGATGTTTGAGTGTTTGAGGATGTATGGATGTGAGTATGGAACTTAATCTGGAGCATAGAGTATAGAGTTGAGTATAGAGTCAATAAAGAGATCAGAATGTGGCCACAAACATAAAAAACCTCATTGAAAAGATAAAAGTAAATTTGGATGTTTAATAATACCAAAGAAAAATTGGAATGGGCTATTAGTTGTGTATTTTACATCTACCATCAAGATGAATATTTGGCTCCTCCATACTATTCATCGTATAAGCGAAGTATATCACCAGAGGTGAAAAGTGGAAGAAACGTCATAACAATCCTAGCTATATAATAATACGGAAAAATTGAAAAGAATTTCAAAGCTAAAAGTAACCAAACCATCAAAAAAAAAAACAGGGTTTTTCAATCCCTCCAACCTTTTTAAACGAACCGTACCATGATATCAACGTTCAATCTCGGTATCGACGGAATTTCATCGGAAATCACAACTACATTGCCAACGGAATTGCAACCAAGTCTATAACCTAAAAATATCCGAGGGAAAGGTCCAGATTCCGAACCCTGCTTCAGCTTTTACCTTCCTGTGATCTTTGGCTCTGCCTTCTTGTCCAACTCGTATAGTCGCGTCGTTTAACTTTCATATATATATATAGTACCGAAATTCTCACTCACTTTTCAACCAACTATCATGTGGATCAAATTCGTCACTGTTGCCGTGGTGATCTTCGCCATTCTCGAAGCGTCGTTCCAGACGTGGCTTCCTGCCAACTTTGTGTTCGATAAGGTCGTTTTGCAGAATCTCGTCAAAGAGACTTTGGCAGAGCTTCCTGATGGAAGTGCTATGGACATCATGACCACCTTAGCTCCAAAGATCTCCAAAGCATATCCAGGTCTCATCAACGACCTCAACCAAGAAGATTGGGTCTACAACAACGCCGGAGGAGCTATGGGAACCATGTTTATTTTGCATGCTTCCATCTCGGAGTACTTGATCTTCTTTGGATCTGCGGTGGGCACTGAGGGCCACACGGGAGTGCACTATGCTGACGACTATTTCACGATTTTGTACGGAAAGCAGTTGGCTGCCCTTCCAAATGCCACCACACCTGAAGTGTATCTTCCAGGAGACCAACATCACTTGCAGCGTGGATGGGTGAAGCAGTATTCCATGCCTAGCGGGTCTTTTGCTCTTGAATTAGCCCAGGGATGGATTCCTGCCATGTTACCATTTGGATTTGTTTCGTTTGCCTCCCTGACATTGGACTACTACTCTTTTGGAAGAACCAGTTACTTTACTGGATTGGACATGGTGAGAAACTTGGTGCGTGGAAAGTTGTAGATATTTATAGATGACAGATAGAATATAAGAGACTCGTGGGTGCACAAGAGTTTTGTAGACATTCAGTTAAAGTCATTTAGTTGAAAACGGGTAAGAAGATGTAGCAGTGGGGAACCCCTTGGGAATTCAGAAAGAATAAACTGAGGTAACTGAAAAGGCGTGGAAAAATACACGGAAAAGAAAGTACACGCGAAGGATAGGAGATTAAGGAAAGGGGTCGAGAAAAGGACGTGAATGAGTTGATGTAGGAAATTACAGTATTGTAAAGAGGGAAAACTAACAGAAAGAGTATGGAAACCTTCAACATTTACTGATAAAGCGAAGATGACGAAGATCACGACGACGTAGAAAAAAAAGGGACAAAACCCTGGAGAATAAATAGGATAAGATTTTCAACAAAAGAGCGTTGCAAATTTAAAGAGTCTACACTTGAAGACCTCAAGTTATTAAAAGGTGATCTCAGTTTGTATAATCCCACTCAGGATGTTGATACCGTCGACTCTCCAACAATACGATCCAAAAAAACCAAAACAATACAAAGGGCTCATGCTAACCCCACAAATCGAGAATGTCGGCCTGTCTGTCACTTCTCCTACTGCAAATATTCTAAACTTATTGTTCTCCATATCTAACCATTTTTCACTCCCCTTTTTAAAGGTGGTTACCCTTTTGGGCTCACTATGGTAAACACGCCCTACGATGTCAGTACAAGTGCATGGAGTATCGGGGAGAGAAAACCGAAGAAATCGTAGAGAAATTCCAACATCAAGAAATCCCCAAACCAATAACCCCCAAAAACTTAGTCATTCGAAGATCTTTCTCTCCTCCCCGGATCGACTCGCCCTTTATAGTTAATTAATCTCAATAATCCCAGGTTTCATTGGCTGTTGGCTCACAACGATGACGGGATCGGCACCACGCTTTCGGGGTCTTGCCTGCATGCGCGAGATAAGATAAACCTCTCCAGGCTAAAGATAATCTTTGACATTTCCTCGTTTTCTGGTGGATGGCCGCTTTTTGACGTTACTAAACGAAGTATTTTCTTTTTTTCTTTATATTGGCCAGTATTCTTTTCCTGTTTCAAGTGTTTAGAACCTCCCATCTTCCTCCCCATATCCACTAACTATGTCTAAACACGTGGATGAACATTCGTCCCTCTTGCCAGTGACCTCGTCGGTATCCAGACACTCAGAGTCCGAATTCGACGACTCGGAAATCATTGCTTATGTCCAGCATAGACGAGCATCCATCATTTCCGTGGGAACAAATAATATCCCTACGCACTTTGCTTTGAGCAAGAAGATCTCCAGGACAAGCTTGGATCCTAACGACCTCAATGCTGTCAGATCCAACGTCTCCAACATCAACGATGTGTTATCGGTGCATTCTAATTCCATGTTGGGTGAGCCAGACACAAATTTGAAGACCGAGACCCGTGTTTTGTTGAAGTACTCAATTCCATTGATCATCACCTTCTTGTTGCAATACTCTCTTACTGTCGCTTCTGTGTTCTCCGTGGGTCGTTTGGGATCCACAGAACTTGCTGCGGTTTCCTTGTCATCCATGACTGCCAACATCAGTGGATACGCCATCATCCAGGGTGTTTCCACATGCTTGGATACATTGTGTGCCCAGGCTTATGGCCGTAAAGATTTCAATACTGTGGGGTTGCACTTTGTTCGATGCACCTATTTGCTTTTGCTCTTATACATCCCAATGTTTGTGTTATGGGTTTTGCTCTCCAAGCCCATCTTGACTGCGTTGGTTGGTTCTGATCAAGCCGATTTGGCCAGTTTGGCTGCCGAATACTTGCAGGTGCTTGCTCTTGGAGTGCCTGGATTCATTGTTTTCGAGAACTTAAAGCATTTCTTACAGTCCCAGGGTATTTTCCATGCATCCACATATGTGCTTCTTGTGTGTGCTCCACTCAATGCCCTTTTGAACTATGTACTTGTGTGGAACGAGCACATTGGTATGGGTTTCATTGGTGCCCCATTGTCAGTGGTGATCACCAACTGGGTCATGTGCGTTGCCTTGTTGGGCTACACCGTCTATGTGGCGGGGTACCAGTGTTTGCCTATACAGCCATTGTATGACAAGGTGTACTTCACCAATTGGACAAGAATGATCAACTTGTCGATTCCTGGTGTGTTGATGGTGGAGGCCGAATGGCTTGCGTTTGAGATCATCACTTTCACGGCTTCTACATTCGGTACCGAAGTGTTGGCTGCCCAGTCTATTGTGTCAACCACTTGTGTTTTGTTATATCAAATTCCATTTGCCTTTTCCATCGCTGCTTCCACAAGAATCGCATGGTATATTGGTGCTGCCTCTAAGAAGGCTGCATTAATGGCTACCAAGGCTTCTATGTTGACGGCAATTGTCTTTGGAGCTCTTAATGCTACCATTCTTTTTATCTTCAGAAACTTCTTTGCTTCATTGTACACTGACGACGAGGTCGTTTTGAAGATCGCAGACAAGGTGTTGATTGTGGGAGCAGTATACCAGATCAACGACTTCTTGTCGTGTATGACGGGAGGCATTTTGAGAGGTCAGGGCAGACAGAAGATTGGCGGAATTCTCAACTTGGTTTCCTACTACTTGATCGCGTTGCCATTCGCGTTCTTGTTTGCGTTCTACTTTAAGTTGGAGCTCTTGGGATTGTGGCTCGGTATGATTATTGCACTCTTCTTCGTTTCTGCCCTGCAGTCGTACTTTGTCATTACTAGTGACTGGGACTCCATCATCAAAGAGTGTATTAGCGAAGGAATTGTGGAGGACGGCAATCTCAACATCGATGCACATTCTACAGTGCCTGCGATGCTGTCGAGCCACCTTGTGTGAATTACGAGATTTCAAAGAGAAGAAAAGGATTTTATAGAAGAAAGAATGACACTGTTTGATCTGAAAATGTATTAGACAATGGGTGTTTCAACTGTAGAGAATGTTTTTTATTTTGTCACAAATGAAAATTTCCATGCGTATGTATCTGGTCGCCTCTAAGTGATCTGCGCTTCAAACCCATGCAATCGGAAAGGGGAAAAAGGAACCAGAAAATAAAAAAAAAAAAAAAAAACGGAAGGAAAAAATAATGTTGAAAAAATGGTCTAAAACATACAAAAGGTCATCGAATGCAAAGAAAAAAAAAAAAAGAAGGAAGCTTAATGTGCAATAGACACCCATGTAACATAACTAAATCTGCGCCTCTAAAACCGACCCCTCTACAACTTGCCTATGAAATAGACCGAACGCTAATCACAACCTGTTAGAATTAACACAATAGAAGATTCCCGCAGATCCCTTAGACATGTAATAGAACAAAGGACTGCCCTGAGAATCGGCAACTCCGGAAAGTCCAAAAGTTGATATTTGGGGATGACAATGTCCAAATTGAGCATAGAGAACATTTCCTGTGGTTGTTCGGTGCGTGGTATGTTACGGTGGTTGTTCGGTGCATGATTGTGGTGGATCATGTGGAATCCCTGGAAGAATCAATTTAAAAGAAAATTACTTGGAATCGTCACGTGGAAAATTATGTAGAATACCTAGAACTTTTTATCAGGGATAAACATGGAATTGGTGGGACGCCATGGATTGGTGGATTTGTGGATTGAATACCGCACGTCGTTAATCGCAAGCTACAATCGAATTCTTGCAACTCTCCACCTTGTTCGTAAATAAGATGACGTTAGTAGGTATAGAATTGGGAGCAGACCAAGGAGCTGGTTTATTTTTGTTCTGGCCAAAAGGGCCATGCATCTCGAGGAAAGATGGTCGGTAGACCCGACGACCCCGGATGATTGTTCGGTGCAACCCTAAAGAGAACGTATTGATTCCGGATTGAGAGGCCCTAAGGAGATAAGAATTTGCGAGAATAGGTAGGAAGAGAGTGACCAAACAAACAGACACAATAGAATCAGTATGGCAACTTTGGGGAACAATTAGGCGGAAACTTTGAGGGGAAGAGGCGAATCAAGCTTGTAAACGCCTGGAGGACTTGGATATGCCACTCTTTCAAAAGAGCCACTCTTCAAGAATGGTTATGAAGTTGAAAAGCGAGTGTGAGAAAAATTAAGGTAGTGAATTAAGGTTTAGTGGAGCAAGAAGAAATGAAAAAAAAAAAAAAAAAAAAAAAAAATAGACAAAATGCTGGCTCTGGAAAACATGAAAAATAAACTTCCGTAAAATGAATGAGATTCCGTTCTATATCATGAAAATTCCCCATGGGATTCAACCGTCATTATCATTATTTCTTGCTAGCAACATGGTCGCCTATTGACAAGTCACAATTCGCAACCAAGGTAGCAGATTCCCACCGCCCTTTAGAAACGGGGTAACAAAGCATGTGGCAGGCAGCACAACATAGGAACCTTCTTGGGAACATTTCTCGGGGCACTTGCAATACTCATACAATGCCATAATACATACTTCTACAGTATCTATAACAATACCCTATACATCCTGATACAATATCGTAAAAAACAAGATGCTCTTAGAATACCCCTCGCAATTCACCTCGCAAAACAATTCGCAATACAGTTTGCAAGCTTTCTACAATAAGCCATACGCTCATTCCACTCCAACCTTAGATCCCTCGAATTGGTCAAATTCTCAAGATATCTCCACCCTGCCTAAGCCCGAATGGTAGAGATTAGCGTGGAAAAAAGATGCGCGCAGGTGCTTTTGTCTGCTCCACTACAGCCACGGTGCAGTTGTGCGCAAAGAAAAAAGGACCCCTCTGGCCCACCTTGGCCACTCCAGTCGCACCCTGCCACTATTCAGGGCACTTTCCAGGCACTATCTACGCACTATCCAGGCACTATCCACGCAGTATCCAGGGGACATCCAAGACGCCAAGTATCCTAATTCGCACACCCTATCACAATCCCATGCCATCACATTCCCACATTCCCATAATCGTCGACCCCTCTATCTGGTTACACCATCTAGATATTATCATCGTTTCCATGCACTGCTGCACACCACAATTAGCAACATGATCGCCAGGTTTTATCGAAATTAAAAGAAAAGAAAATATAGTCTAAGTGATGTTTGGACCTGTAGCGCATATTACAGAGGACCTCCATGTCCTGAGGTCCTGTATTTTCAATTAGCAGTGATACATGGAGAATCCAGGAGGCAGCCTCAGATTGACCGCAGCGAGAAAACAAAAAAAAATCGAACTTGTGAAGAAGGAAAAACTGGAAACAAAAAAAAATAAGCCCTCACTTGCCATGACAACCTGTTAACTGGTTCCCATCTGGCCAACAAAGGGAAAGATAAATAGAAAACATACAAACACAAAACAAAATTCCGTCAAATTACGCCCACATCCCATCCGTCGCCCACATAAGAGTAGAGAACACACCGGAAAACTTAGTAATACAACCACCAAGTCTAATCCCATCATGAATGGGGTTCACATTATTGTTTTCTCATGGTGACAAAAATGCACAATGTGCCTGCGCGCGCATACATTACCCTCCGCCTCAGGTAGTCCAGACGATTGGGTCACGAGCGCCGGATGACAGGTGAAAATAATTGTCCAGACGAGATGACGACCAATGCCGATGGAGAATGAAACAGCAAGGATGAAGCTAAACTCCGTAACTTTTCGTAAGATTTTCCAGCTAACATCTAGGCAAGCACTCCAGACCATTGTGACCCCTTCTCGGGATGGGGAGGGAACTCGCCCAATGGCGCTCACAAGCATATCGCAAATGTACAATAGTGCCTGAATATTGATGTGCGAACAGGAGGTAGCCTCGGCTAACGAGTGGGATTGACGCTGCGCCGCACCCATGCAGAGACGCCAGGGTGATATCGACTAATTCTGGCATAATGTTACTAGCGTCCCCTTTTTCTGATAATGGTGCATGCGTTAGGCGTCAGAAGGACGGCTTGGATGCCTGACTGTGCATGCACCATGCGTTGTTTGTCTCTCATGCTGGTCCTAGAGGATGGGATATTTTTTATTTCCTCGCTTTAGCCTCTTTTGCACTGATGGTGCGTTCCATATCACCTTGCTGCGTTTATAAACTCTGCTGCTGCCAGTATAGATAATTTCCGACAGAGTTTCTTGCCCTCGACGAATTTTTTTTTCACCACCTTCACTTCTCTCATCATGCGTGACATTCATGGAACCTTCTCCAACGACCATGTCTCCATTCACCAGTATAAGTATCCATATCACTTGTACCGATCGGAAGTGAGAACCCATGAAACTTGCATCCACGAATACGCTACCGAGATTCTCGCTACAATGACGGCCGCTCTGGAAGCCGCCGCTCCAAACGTCAAGCTATACAACAACCAGCCCTACGTGAGCCCGGTGGTTCGCTTCAAATTGGTGGACTTCTTGCTCAAGATGCTGGTACGCTTGAAAATCTTACCCTTTGTGTTCTACAGGGCAGTGCGCATTTTTGATCGCTACTGCCTGAAGCGCATTGTGCTCTTAGACCAGGCACAGCTTATCATCACCACATGCTTGTGGATTGCTGCTAAAATCAACGGCGGTAATAACCATTTTGCTAACATGTCGTCGGACCGCAAAAACAACACTGTTAACACCATCTCTGACTTGGGTTACGGTGGAGGTGCAAGATTTAGAGGCCCCACCGAGAGGTACAGGTTGCCCAAATTGAATGAGTTGATTAAACTTTGTGGTTCCCGTTGCAACTATGATGCCGAGATGTTCAAACAAATGGAAATGCATATCATGACGGCATTGGACTGGCGTCTTAACGACCCATCCATCGAAGAGTACATGGTGTACTCGCATGAGTATAAGGTCACTGAAGATGAGCCATTGGAGGCCAAGCTCGGCGAGTTCTTCAAAATGAAAGAGTTTGTTTCTTACGCAAGCTGTTACGCCTACGAGCTCGTGGGTTACTCGCCATTACAGGTGTCCAAAGTTGTTGTCGACTTGATCAATGAGACCTTCTCGTTGCGCGAGCTGGACCTTCGCTTCCAAACCCTCAATCAATCCATCCTTGTCGACGAGGCGGTGGTGGACTTCAAAGCCTACCGCGACATCCAAAAGCATTTGGTGCAAGCAATTGTCAAGGCTCCACCTTACCTCTTGCAAATGTTTGCTTCCAGAGGCCCACAACTGCTTCACCTGCTCTTGGCATCTAACTACAGACCTGCTAATGTCTCATCCTACACTGCATCGATGGTGCTGGAGCCCTCTTCGGCCTCCAGCTCGGTGTTCTCGGAGTACCATGCTACTTCCAACTACAGCTACGCATCTCCAGCACCATCCATCCACAACACTGAATACACAGGCGAATTTGCACCAAAGTCAGTCTTGGACCCAAAATTTCCAGAAGGGTTCGCCCCCATCACTCGGCGCCCACCCCGAATGGCCCCGACCCCAGACTTCGACGCCCTACACTCCAACAGCCACCACTACCCTCCCATGTGTCCGCCCGCATGCTCCACTTACCTTCGGAACAACGACAGCCAAGTGAGCCTCCGATCCGCATCGTCAAAAGACCAGGAGATCTTCGACTACGATCCGGCCCGGTACGGCATCTCGACGCCAATGAGCGTCGATGAAGAGTTCAAGCATGTTCCTGAGGGCAAGGCAAAACGACGGGCGTTCTAGACGGGCCCCAATTGTCTCATCATGCCTCCCTTGACATAAATTAACGGGAATTGAGAGGAAGGACATCATTTTTCATCTTAATCATTTCTAATTCGTCACCATCGTTCACCAGAATTCATTTCTATGGCCAAAGTGCCTCACGAGGTTTGGTCTACTCCACTCGCTCAGCCAGGCCACCTCTCTGCATAGCTACCTAAATAAAATATCATTCATGCGGCACGTGCTACTATTGTATATGGAACTTAACCTGTATTGTTACCACTAGTGTATTGTCAGTGAATTCACCTCTCATCATGTGCGCTTTTGATGGAGATTCGCACTTTGTCTCTAGTAACTAAAGACAGCCTCCATTCAAATGTAGGAGAGCCGGAGATGGGCTGGCCGCATGGTAGTTCTACATCGCATGGCACCACGCATGCTGCGAAATGTGCATTGTGCCTCCCTCGGTCTCGAGCCTCAATGCATCTGGCTCGCATTTCGTCTTTGTCCAAGTTTTGAGTTGGTCCGTTTGACGCGTTTGCCGTATTACTGCAGGCATTCTGGAGCCAGTTGTTTCAATTCCGCATCCGGATATTCCCCTTTTTTTCACTGTATTCACCATCTAAGAATGTGCTCGTGCATTAGATGTTGCAACACTAACTTGGTGCCGCATCTCCAACAGGAAGATTTGCATCACTAACGGGTCGCATTGAGGTACTTGACCTTTGCACTAGCGTGCTTACCGGTACCGGCTTTTTTTTCTTTTTTTTGCACGATTGCAAATCCGTTGGTATCTGGCCACATTTCGAAGTGGAAAATCATTGTGATCGACGGGCTCAGTTGTTACCGCTCAGACATGTGATTGACGTACAATTGACGGAGTTCTGGCACCACTTTCCAAACCTTATTCTTCAGAACGGCTTCGGCAACAAATTACCTTCGTTTGATTTCTGAGATTTTGCTATCATTCTGCACTAGAATGACGACAACATTCTTGCTTTTCAATATAGTGACTTTCCTAAATAGGAAGTGGTTGCAGTGAACTATGCACTGCGCTTAACACAACAACCTCAACGGTTATTATCTAGAGGATATTTTTTTATTACAAAGTTTACGTAATTTTTTTAAATAAAAAATTTTAATTCTCAAAGCCACATACGGCACTTTGTACTGAAATCGTGCCTAGGGAATGTAGATAAGATATAGCAGATCTGGGGTATAAACACGAGTATTGATGCTCATGGAGACCTTGCAGGGAATGGAAACTGGCCAATTGTGTAGGACGAGAGACAATTTTCCAGGTGCGAGGAATTTTGAGGAATTTTGAGTCATAGCCAGTCTCGACACTGATATCGGCCAAACGAAATCTAGATCTTTCTTACGAAGTTAAATTGGCTTAAGTCATTGAATGATCCCCCAGCATAAAAAATATCCAATTAGACGAGTGGGCCAACCTAATTCCTCGGAATGAGAGGTCCGGGTGTTTGCTGAACTCCAGACATGAAAAGAATCAACTGAAAGGTACCGGTTTATACCACAATTTTGGATGTACGGGTTTTATTTCCATTCTTGAAGATGTACTGATGTTATATGAGAGGTCTGGATGTTTGACATTGCCTCGCTAACAATCTTCTCCTTGGCCCTGCATAAAACCGCGACTCTTCCAAGTTTTTTGAAAGGCTTAAACCCTGTAGTCTTCAAAACTCCTTGTTTTCTTTCACCTGAGTCCGTCGTTTAACTCCAAGGTCACTAAAAAAAAAAGCAGACTTTTCTTCAAATTTGCTTCTCGCCACCGTCTTGCTATCCCCCACCATGCTCGCATTTTCATATCTTTTATCATTATTATTGCTAAAAATAGTGTGGGCAGCGCCTAACATGGAAGAATTGGAAGGTACGTGGACCTCGAAGTCCAACACTGTGTTCACTGGCCCTGGATTTTATGATCCTGTCGATGAGCTCTTGATCGAGCCCGCGTTGCCTGGAATTTCCTACTCGTTCACCAGCGACGGCTACTACGAGGAGGCCTTGTATAGAATCACATCAAACCCACAGAACCACTCGTGCGCCGTGGCCAGTATCACGTACCAGCACGGTAAGTATGAGATTTTGAACAACGGAAGCGTGGTGCTTACACCTATCGCCGTGGACGGCAGACAGTTATTGAGTCAGCCATGTGGAGATTTCCCAAATGAGGCTAGATACGTTAGATATGTCCAGCCGACCTGGTTCAAGACTTACGAGGTGATGATCAGCCCTTATTACGGTAGATACATGTTGCAGATCTACCAGTTTGATGGATCTCCTATGCAGCCTTTGTACTTGGCCTACAAGCCACCTATGATGTTGCCTACCTATGCTTTGAACCCAACGGATAAGGCATCTGAGACGAGCTCTTCGCTCAGAAAGAGAGTCAAACGTTCTTTGGAGAACCAGTACAGAACCAATGCAGTGCGCCAGTTTTCAAATGAGCATTTCGATAGATTGTGGTGGTGTGCTGCTGGTGCGTTGGGAGTTGGCTCGGCGTTGTTTATGTTGCGTTAGGCACCACCACGATCATGCGGTTGTCCACGCCTAATTGCATACTGTTGAAGCAACAGTCTTGGTTTATTGAATACAATGTTGGTTTGAGAGATGTAGCGATAGAAGAATCGAAGTGTGAGAGTGAGAGGTTTCGAGAAGTTTCAACAAGTTGCTTAGATAATGTTGGACTACTTGTAAACGTCTCAACTGAACCAGTCTATCACTGGAGATTTTCAGTGGAGACTTCACAACACAAACAAAAAGTCTAGGTGTGTAAGTCTTTCAAAATGTTTAACATTCCTCGGTGAATAGTGTTTTGAAAGGTCTCTCTAGTCAACAGTGGGTCTAGCTAACGGATAGTCTCTCTAATCCTTAGTCAATAGTAGCAATTCTACTTTGTCAAGTAAATGGTAAGGTCAGATCTGACCAGTCAATTACCTGGTCTTTGGTCAATATTCACCGGTTAACAAGCCCCATTACCATATTGACGGACTTTCTTGAGAATCCTGACTTCACACAACATGAGATGCTAATTTTTTTCATTTTACCCCCTGTAGTCTTCATGGCCAATCTACTCGAAGTCCATAAAAGAACCAATAATACCATCCTTAGATAAATCGTCTCATCCGTCTCTTCCCTAGAAGTTTCTACATTAAAAATCCCATGATCTAAACATCCAATCTTTCCCAATCTTCTAAATCTCAATCATCGATACCAATCTTAACCAGCACTCACAACCATCAGTAATTGACACCACTCTCCACTTTCACCACCACCGTACATCCAAATCCACCTAAATTAAACAATGAATTCTACATCTTTGTAAATATTTTCTACCTCTTGTTATCTCCATAATTATAATAGTTATGTCTCTCCTCATCTAGCATGACCAGGTGTGGCAAAGTAGTGGCCTGCACTTCGCCCCTCCACCTCCACTAATCTACAACCCTCCACTCTATCAACCCTTCTTACATCATTATGGCTTGGTTTGGAGAACCAGACCCTAGTGTCGAACTTGATGCCAAAATCGAGGAGGCAACCTCGGAATCCATCCCCAATGGCGAGTTGGACATCGCCGTCGGCTTGGAAATCACCGATATGATAAGAAGCAAGAAGGTGCCACCTAAAACTGCCATGAGATGCTTGAAGAAACGTTTGACAAAAGTTTATAACAACCCTAACTTACTTTCTTCTACGTTGAAGCTTATCGACTTGTGTGTGAAGAACTGTGGCCGTCATTTCGTGGCGGAGATCAACAGCAAGGAGTTTGTCGATTACTTGGTGGATTTTATCCTCAAGGTAAACTACGACATCAAAAACTACCAGGTGTACTCCAATGAATCAAAGTTCGGTGTAGGAAACCAGATCCTCAAACTAATCAAGGAGTGGACTCTCTATTTCAAGAACCTGGACTCCTCCTACTTGGAGAGACAATACACTATGTTGCAGAGGCAAGGCTACGAGTTTCCGGCAGTGGACCCGCTGATCGAACAAAGAGCCTCCAATTTCATCGACTCCGAGGCACCTCCCGACTGGACCGATGGCAATGAGTGTGCTATATGTTACACTCCGTTTTCGGTCATGAATAGAAAGCACCACTGCCGGGCTTGCGGAAATGTCTTCTGTCAGACACATTCGAGTAAGAACATCCCGCTCATTTCCTTGGGTATTACTCAGCCCGTGAGAGTTTGTGATGATTGTTACCAGATCCACAAGAGAAGAAACTCAAATTCTCGACTGAGTGGATCGGAAAGACGCACCGACCGTTCAACACAACAGTCAGAGCCTGTTGACGATGAAGATGAGCAGATCAAAAAGGCTATTGAGTTGAGTTTACAGGACTCTCAGATCGCTTCCAATTATGGACAATCGTATTCCGCACCTTCTTACCCTCCGCCTACTTCTGCTACAGTACCTGCTCCAGGGGCGGCGCAAGATGATGAGGAAATGGACGATGATCTCAGAGCTGCAATTGAGGCTAGTTTGAAAGAGTCCCAGTCTGGCCGGTATCTGGAGACTCAGTCACTGGTTCAAGCTCCACCTCAGCAACAAGCTCAGGCACCACCTCAAAATCAACCTGAGCCAGAGCTGGACTTTTACCTGAATATCATGCTGTTTGATATGAATGCATATTCGGATGCACAGCCTAGTTTCCCAAATCAGACTGGATACCAGAACCAGAATCAACCAGGATACCAGGATCAGAACCAGACTGGATACCAGAACACAAACCAACTGGGGTACCAGAACCTGAATAAGCCCACTGGCTACCAGAATACTGGGGCACTGGGACCCTTGTCGAGCTCAGAGCAAATGACCCCAGCGCAGCATATCGAACAGCATAAGGCTCGTGTGGAGGATTTAACTCCCCAAGAGGAAGAGGATATCAATCTCTACGTTCAGTTAATGCATGGAATCAAGACTGACCGTTCGAAGCAGGCCAACATACTCTATGACAAAGATTTGGCAGATTTGCATAGTAAGGTGATGCGGTTGAAGCCTAAGTTGAATAGATCTCTCCGCACTGCCATCGAGAAGTACGAGTTATTCTTGGATATGAATAACAAGATCAGCACTATTACCCGCCTCTACGATCAATTCTTGGAGACAAAACTCAACCAGGCATACAGCAAACATTACGTTTCATCCCCATACAACCTGTACGGGCAAGCCACGGGCAATCCAAACGCATCAATTGAGAGTCAGTACACTGGGCCAAATGTCGCTTATGGTGCTCCTGATGGACAATATGGCAAGTTGCCGGTTACTTCACAGGCTACAGGTCCACAGCCCACGAAACCTCAGTTAAACGGACAACAAACAGGTCCACGTGCAAACCAGCAAATACCTTCTCAAACCACTGGACAGCAGACTGAACCTCAATACATGTACGGAGGCTATCAGCAACAAGCGGGCCAGTATCAGCAGACACTGCAGGAGGAGAACGGAAGTCCATTGAAGAGTCAACATACGCAGCAGAGTGCTCAGAGACAGCTGACAGGGCGCCAATCTGGAATACCATACCCAGCAGAGGAGCCCACGCCATATCTGTCGTATCTTTCTTCTGTTCAGAGAGATTTTGCTCATACTAATGCACCATCTGAGCCAGACTTCGAAGCAGACCCATCCGAGCCAGACTTCGGGGCTGCACCCTCAGAGGATTTGGAAGAACAGCCTTCAAAGCAGCAGTACTCCCAAGCTGGTGACTACAGACAGAGTGGTGCAGGGTACCCATCGGGTCAGTTCAGTTACCCTTCTTACCCATCCTTTGAATCGAGTTCTGATACGAAATTACAGGAGCCGCAAAATTCAGCATCTAGTTACCCACAGGAGGAGCCCCAAGACGTCAGCGACAACGAGAGTGTTGCCAGTAGATATCCTCCTGTTGCTGGGTTCTCTGACGACGAAGTTGACGACAGCGAGGTACCTAAAACCCATGCGTCTACGCGCTATCCCGAATTGGATGAATTGGACATGCCACAATTGAAGAAGCTCGAGACTTCCGAATCAAAGAAGTACAAGTCAGAGCCTGAACCTTTGATTGAGTTGTAATGCCGTTCCTCTACTTTAGTCCATGCAGATCTCGCGAGGATGAGGCTTTGGAAGTCAGTGATAGAAGTCTAACAGAAATTGAATTGATAGCAAAACTTGGATTTTGACAATCAAAAGTTTACAGCAATCGGAAATTAACAGTAACAAGACCTCAATGTTATCTATCTTACTAGCAGCAACCTTCCCATGGCCCCTTTGGTTGCTAAGCAAAAACCGTTGGGCGGACTGACACAATATGCAGTACAACATCATTAGAAATTTTCCCAAATCTGACTCTTAATTTTTTTCTTTGTTCAACTTTCTACCAAAAGAAAAACCTTTCCATTCACGAGAGCTGCCGCTTGACGTCTCATAGTACTCGACTCACATTTTTAGTGAGTTCATTGGAAGGTTAGCACCTCATTGCCCCAGAAAGCGTCCGAGTCAGAAACCTTTTAGGTCTTCGACACTACAGTTCAAGTCAATACTTAAAAGATATGGCCCCATACCTCGAAGTTTTGCAGGATGAAAATGCAAATGATTTCTTAAGCTACGAGAAGCCCAAAGTGGCTGACTCGTTTGATTTTGAGAGAAAAAATCTGGCTGTGGCCACGGACTTGGTCCGTGCTGCCTTAGTCACCGAGGTCAATAACATCGATCATGATGTTTGTGATGCAGGCGACGAAGACTCGTTTTTCGTTGCTGATTTGGGTGAAGTTTACCGGTCCTATCAATTGTGGATGGAGAAGCTTCCACAAGTTCATCCTCACTATGCTGTGAAATGCAACACCGATGTGGAGGTTGTGAAATTGTTGGGAAGTCTCGGAGTGAACTTCGATTGTGCCTCAAAAACAGAAATTGACACTGTTTTGGGATTAGGGTTCGACTCGCTGAGAATCGTCTATGCCAATCCATGCAAGACCAATTCGTTCATTCGTCATGCTCGAAATGTCAACGTCAACTTGACCACGGTCGACAACGGGCAGGAGCTCCACAAGTTGAAGAAGTTCCACCCAGAGTGCGGTATTTTGATCCGTATTGCCACCGATGATAGCACTGCTCAGTGCCAGTTGTCGACCAAATTTGGATGCTCGCTCAACTGCGCTGTTGATGAATTGTTGCCGTTGTGCAAGCTGTTGCAGCTCAACGTTGTTGGTGTAGCTTTCCACGTTGGATCTGGAGCCAAAGACTTTGATTCTATTTACCGTGCAGTGAAGGAGGCGAGATATGTGTTTGACAGAGCCGAGCAGTTGGGTATGCGTATGACTGTCTTGGATATTGGTGGAGGGTTCGAAAGAGAGTCGTTTGACAAGTCGTCGGAAATGGTCAACTTGTCGCTCAACAAGTTCTTCCCTTCAACTTACACTGAGCAAAATGGAATTCGCTTTATTGCTGAGCCTGGCAGATTCATGGTGGCCAACTCGTTTACCTTGGCTACCCATATCATTGCTCGCCGTGACTTGAACGTAGAGGGAATGGAGGCGATGATTTACATCAACGATGGAGTTTACGGTAACTTGAACTGTATCCTCTTTGACCACCAGCATCCTACAGCCAAGGTCTTGAAGCACGACGGAGAAGTTTACTTTGAGGATAATACTAGAACGGAGACTACGGATGCAAAAAGAAAAGAGTTTTCTTTCTCCATCTGGGGACCTACTTGTGACGGGTTGGACTGCGTTTCGACCAAGATGATTTTGGATGCAAATGTTCAGGTGGGCGATTGGTTGTACTTCAGCAACTTGGGCGCCTACACTTCTGCAGCCACTACGTCGTTCAATGGGTTCAGCTCACGCGCTAATGTTAAGTACGTGATGCTGGCAACTTTGCCATGAATAGAGAATTATTTGAAATAGGCTAGCCTTGATTGAGTGGAGAAGTAGGACGTATGCAGGATGATAAGGTTTTAGACACCGTAGGATATGTCGTGAATTGTATAACAGAAAAGACTGTTACGGAGACTCAGAAACAAAGAAAAACCTTAAAAAAAAGAAAGAAAATAAGACAATAAGACAATAGTATGAAATAGGATATTAGTTCAATTGACTCGCTCAGCCTACATATTTTCCTAGTGGTCATCTTGGAAAATGTCCTTGCCGAAGACCTAGACCCCATACAGTCGGGCCGAAACACACAGGAATGCAAAAGAACGAAAACGTCGATCTGTAAGTACAAAACGAAGCATTAGAAGAAACCCACATGTTCGAAATTATGCTTGAAACAAAGACCACGACTATTCCAACTTGTAAAACTTCCCAGACGCACAAAGTCTAGACCTCATACCCAAGTTCCGAAGATAGACCTCGCAAAGGCCGGGCGCAATATGGAGGACGGCACGTCACTGAAAGAAAACCCAGCCTCCTGGCCTATTCTCCATAGGCACAAAAGACAAAGCAGCGTACGCAAGTTCAACAATAAAGAGCATCAATACTAGCATTTGACAGTTTTACGCATACTTTGCCATTAACCATTTCTTTCGCCCAGCATGAGCAACTCTCGTAAGGCAGAGGAGAACAGAAACCAGATCAAGAATGCTCTACAGGCAATCAACAAGAAACCCGGCCAGGTTGTCCAAACCAAGGATTTGACAGTTTATATCACAGAAGATGGACAAAAGCTCAGTACAGTGGATAGAGCTGTGCCCTCGGTAGCGGCACCCGCAACATTTAAACCAGACGACTCGCAAGTGTTCTTGCCCAACGGCTTGCCCAACACGGAGTTTTTGAAAGACCATTTCTTCCATGAGGGTCGCTTACAACAGCACCAGGCCGTGAAGATTATCCGTGATGCCACCGATCTTCTCAGCACCGAGCCCAACCTTCTCACGGTGCCAGCTCCCGTGACGGTGTGTGGAGATATTCATGGTCAATACTACGATTTGATGAAGCTTTTCGAGGTGGGTGGAGACCCCAAAACAACTCAGTATCTCTTTTTGGGAGACTATGTTGACAGAGGACTGTTTTCTATTGAATGCTTGATTTATTTGTACAGTCTAAAGCTCAATTATCCGACTACGTTCTGGATGTTGCGAGGAAACCACGAGTGCAAGCACTTGACAGATTACTTCACATTCAAAGGCGAGTGTCTCCACAAGTATTCCGAGAGGTTGTATGAGGAGTGCTTGCAACTGTTCAATGCATTGCCGTTGGCAGCCATCATGAACAAGCAGTTTTTCTGTGTTCATGGCGGACTTTCGCCAGAATTACGGACGCTTGACGATTTAGCGCGTCTTGACCGTTTCAGAGAGCCTCCGACGAAAGGATTGATGTGTGACTTGCTTTGGGCAGACCCCATCGAAGACTATGACGACAACAACATGGACCAGGCTTTTGTCCGCAATGCAGTACGTGGTTGCTCATATGCTTTCACCTACAAGGCATCATGCCAATTCTTGGAGCGCACAGGCTTGCTTTCCATCATTCGAGCCCATGAGGCCCAGGATGCCGGGTACCGAATGTATAAGCGTACGAAAACCATGGGCTTTCCGTCGTTGCTCACCATGTTCTCCGCTCCCAATTACTTGGACAACTACAACAATAAGGCAGCGGTGCTCAAGTACGAGAACAATGTCATGAACATCCGTCAGTTCAACTCGTCGCCACACCCTTACTGGTTGCCTCACTTTATGGATGTTTTCACTTGGTCGTTGCCGTTCGTGGGCGAAAAGGTCACTGACATGTTAGTATCCATTTTGAATATTTGTACTGAAGAGGAGCTCGAGGAAGAGACACCAATTGCCCAGGGCTTCGACTCGCCACAAGCATCGCCCATTGTCACCACACCTCCAATGGCGTTCCCCAATACCGCAGAAGTGGCCAGCCCTGGGACAACGCTTGAGGATAAGCGTCTTGCTTTGAGAAACAAAGTGTTGGCCATTGGTCGAGTTGCACGCATGTATCAGGTGTTGCGAGAGGAGGCAGAAAACGTTGACCGGTTAAAGAGCATGAACGAGGGCATTTTGCCTAAGGGCTCGTTGAGTAATGGAAGTGAAGGACTTCGTGCTACGATATCGACATTCGAAGACGCCCGTAAGGCTGATCTAGCAAATGAGGCCATGCCTCCTTCAGAGGATGAGCAGAAGAAGTTAGAGGAAAAGAGGCAGGAGAAATTCAAGAAGGACATTGCCTCTCCAGGGAGCAACCCGGTCTTTCTGCGTCTTATCAGAAAACTTTCTGGCTGACCATGAGTTATAAGACAGCAAATACGAGAGGCTGAGACGGTATAGGACTATACGAAAAAGAAGACACGAAATACGGATTTAGTAAGTTTAATGCAATTTCGGAAAGAAAAACAACAATAACAGCGATAAGTTTGAAATGCGAGGTATGTAAGCTTATAATCATTCTCATTTTCTATTTCTTTCAGTACTCACAAAGGCATCACAAAGGGATTAATTTTGAGTCATAACCTATAATTGATGGTTACGAGCACCGCGCCATGTCAAAAAAGTCCTAATAAACTTATGAGCATCCATTTCCGTCTTCAAACTCCTAAAACCCTCCATTAACACATAGTTCGACATGCCAAGACAACCCAAGATCGTTGAAGAACCTCCGAACGTGGAAAATACCATCCCACTCGCTGCATACAGAGCACAGTATCCAGAAAGATTCTCACTTCTAGACGATGACAAATTTGTTCTTCACGGCGGAGGTACTCACTATATAGTGGATGTGGCGCCCGTGTCGCCTCCTCTGGTTGTTGAAATAGACTCTAGGATCCAAAACTTGTCGGGGAGTTCGGTTTCCGTTTATGTTCTCAACCAGTGTCTCGTGATATGGATGAACAACCACAATATAGGCATCGACATCCCATATACACTGATAGCGCTCCATGCGCTCAAGGAAGTCGACACTCATCCAGTTCTCTACTTACAATTGGTCTCATGTGAACTTTTTAAGTATTATTCTCCGCAAGCTGACGAGTATACCCAGACTGTGGAGCTAGTAATCTATGATGGAGGTAACGGCGAGGATCTTGGGCTCTTCAGCGAGAATTCCAACATCCAGCAGCTCTACAATGCATTGTCAACGTGTTCAGCCCTCCATTTTGACTCTGAGTCTGACTCGGAAGGAGAAGATGAGACTTTTGGAAGCGGATGGATTACAGCTGAAAACCTCAAGCATCAACCTCAGTTGGAAATTCCAGCTGGATGGGTCAATAGCGGTGATGCAGACGATCTCGAGGATTTGCAACACGCAGACGAAGAGGAAGTAGAGCAAGAAGATGAAGTAGAGGAGGCAGGCATGAATGTGATGGTGGTCAGTGGACAAATTGCTGGTGTAGCACGGAGAAGAAACTCCGGATCCAAGAGTCTGAAGATGAGGCGAGTGCAGTGAGGCTAAATGAGGCTGAATGAGGCCAATTACATAGCCTTATTGGCTGAAACGGACAGGGAGAACGACGACTTAACTGCTTAAAAAAAAACTCTTTCAGAAGAAGTCTTTACCATGTTTTTTTTTTGTTCTAAGGTTTTCCTCATCTTCCAGTTTTCTCACGGTTATGGACCACCATCGCCGTGCGCATTAGCCACCAAGGTTCCAGATTAGAGATATCGCTACATGATAAGAGAAACGCCAGCGAAAAGAAGAAATTTCACCCGTACTTGGCTGTTCACTGTTCCTTATCCTTATCCTTATATTACCCCACCTCATCGTCCTCACAGGCACCTCCCATCTTTTTTGGTCTTCGATGTGCGTCCGGCACAGTGTACAACCCCAATCTCAATTGGACTACTTTGACACTGTTTCTTTCTCACAATGAAAACCCCAGAAGAGAAGATCCAGTTTAAAAACCACTTCTTCAAGTTGGGCCAGGGTCGCATAATCCCGGTATCTGACGACAAGTATTGGCTGGTTTTCTGGAATGTGCCACGTGAGCTGACTGACATCTTCGATTTGCTTACACCATATGATATCCAAACAGTCCGGGACCAGAATCTTCCCAACGTCCTTCTGTTTGTGTATGTTTTGGCTCTGAAAACGCTGCATTTTGCTACAAACTTCTCCTCCAGGAAACATTTGGAGCTTCTCAACTGCCTCAGGCTCCTTTCCAAAGTCATCCCATTCATATATGAACTTCCTAATTACTCATCGGAAATCGAACCGGCCCTATTTTGGTCTCGCAAATTCACTCCTTTGAATTTTTTGCTGGCCTCTCCAGGAATCACTCTCGACTCTTCAGCAACGGTGGTTATTTCCGATGAAGAGCCAGTATTGGCTGCCAGTCTAGCCACTGCTCTTGTGGAGCTTCTACTCAAACCAGGATTCACCGTAGATGAACAGGATGGAAAACTGGCCAATGGGATGTTGTCAAATGGTACGGCTAGCTCCAAGCTCATTTTGTGGGAGCCAGGCATCGGAGGCTCTGGAAAGTATCGCCCTCCGAATTCTATCCACGATAGTAATAGAGTCGAGGTTTTACGTACCTTGTTGGTGCTAATTTCGTCATCCTTCTATGAGAAACCGTCTACTGTCATCTCGCAGGGCTCCAGATTCCTCACTTTCATGGTCGCCTGCTTGCCGAGATCCAATCTAGTATCCATGGTGTGCAGCTTGTTCAACATCACATGTCGATCTGCTCGCAAAACTGATGAATGTGGCTTGGTCTTTGACAATACGGCACTCTCCGAACTGCGCTACTTGTGCGTGAGTTACTCCGTCCAGCTTTTGACAGCCATGCTAGTACATCCCATTCCATCTCTGGAAACCACGCAGTTGTTACTCGATAACCAACTCACAACATCGAAAAAACCTCTTAATGTGGTGCGCCTCTTCTTTGGGAATCTCTCTAGGGACAGCGAGTTGTTGTTCATGGTGTCTCATTTGCTCAACATTCTCAAATTTCCATTTCAATCCCAAGAGGATAGAACCAAAAGTCAGCCGTCACCATGGGCATTGGAGGCTACCATTATATTGTGGGAGCTCTTACAGTGCAACAAAAATTTCAGGAACACCATCGCTCATAGACTCGTTGTTTCTCTCGCACCATACCTTTTGTATCATGTCTTTGCATTCCACAACAATCCACAGTACTCCAACATTGTGAAAATTTCTGCATACTTTTTGTTTTACATTTCTACCGAAGAGCTATGGGTAGAGACCCTCGTTTTGCCGATGAGCAATTCCGTTATCGATGCATTTCCTTCAGACTTTCAATCTCTGCATGTTACCTCCACTCGAGACTTTCTAATTGTCCATATCTGTGACATTTTGAGGGGTGTGTCTCCTACGGGACATATTAAGTTGCCAGCACATTTGCTGTCGTTTTTGATGCCGACTTTGGTGGAAATATTGTACAATATTACTCCTGTCATCAACAAAAACATAGAAGGCACTAGCATTGCTTCCAAGAGAATGGCCAATATCAATGCTTACGGTGGGCTCTCGTATCTGGCATGCAGTGCACTCACTCAGCTATTAGTCAAGTTCTCTACGAAGACGTTTTTACTAGAAGAGCCTCGTAATGCAGAGATGTTGGCTTTGATTTTGCGTGCATTGTGTACAACAGCTATCAAGCAGCCGACAGCATCCAGAATGCTTTTATTCACGTTCATGAAAAATGAAAAGATATACGATGGCATTTGGAGTGTCATTTACGGATTGGGAAACGAGTATTTCTACAGCGAGAACATGAAGTTGATGAATGTTCAGGAGGATGAAGAAGAAAGTAACGACCCGGAAACGGCATTAACGTCCCCGGTATATGGCAGTTTCACAAGTCGGCCAGTTACTTCTCCTGACCAACATTCGATAAATTCTGTCACCACGAACGAAGACTATTTTCCAGGATTCAAGGACTCGTTGAACAACTCGTTGACCAATTCTTTGATTAGTATCTTACCAGAGGAAACAGAAGAAACGGATGAAGACGACGAAAGTGCTTTGCGAGATGCCTTGAGACCTCCACTACCCACTGGTATGTCTCTGAAAGCTAAGGAGAAGCTTCCACAGGATTCGTCGCTCAGTCAAACTTGGGGAGGAAATGACGCCTTGAGGATTATAATAACTATCATTATACCTCATATTAAGTTAGAATTAGAGGACTTATTGTCCAAGGAGGACGATAGTTTTGACAACTTTTATGTTGTGACACAAATTGAACGCTCCAACTTGAAAGCGGTCATTGAACAAAATAGGGTACAAATTAATTATGATTTCTTGCCTGATACGCCAGTGGATACCCTCCCGTTCAATTGGAGCTCCTTATCATTAGGATGGTATGTGTCGACGTTCTATTTCGACATCTATAATAGCACTGAAACGGTTAGAAAATTTGTGAAGACCAGCAAGACACTCATGAATAATATTTCATCTTCCATTGCAGTCTTAAGCAAATTCGCATCGAACTGGTCAGGACTTGGAACTCCTGCTCCAAATTCACATCAGGATCAAATAACCATTGACTACGTCGAGAGGGGTTCGTGTTGGCTCAACTTATGGGAATCTTCCAATGTTCGCTTGTTTAAAATCAAAGCAAACGACAACGACAAGTTTTTTAATGCATTTGGGCTCAAATTCGGCAACGCCACTCCGAACATTGGTGGCGCTAACGATATCACTCACTCTTTGGCACGAAGATTCAGTGACTTCCGCAGCCGGTCCATCGTTTCATCAACCACTTCGATTCCGCAGACCATAGACGAACTGCCCGATGGGCCACGTCTATCTAAGAGGAACTCTGTGAGTTCTTTACATTCGCTAAATACTCTCAACCGGAGCAGATCAAATACTCCGAGAAACTCCTTTAGCACATAGCAAACCATGCATTCACCCATACTGGAAGAAATACTTATACTGACAAAAAACTAACAAAAGTTGAACAAATTGACCATTTAATAAAGTATTATTTCATTTTCATCAGTATATGTATGTCTTATCTGTACCAAAATACTCCATACCATCTATGCATTCCTAATATACATTTATCTTCTACGTCCCCTCTTCTGGACAAGCTCAAAGCCATCGTCATCAATGACTGGTCCGGCAGGCTCCTCATCAACGTCCATACTGTCATTTTGAACCAAGGCAGGCGCTTTGTCCTCGTCATCCTCGTCATCGTCTTCATCAGAGACATCTGGGTTGTTTGGGTCTGCACCGACCACTACCTTGTTGGACTGGCCCAGCTGCAACTTCTGTTGGTATTTCTGGTACAACTCATCAACGCGAGCGTAATCCTTGGCTGCGCAGTCTCTGTACAACTTCAAAACAAGGTCACCGATCAAAAGTGCAGAATCGTTATCAACCTGAGTATCGAACTCGTCGGCCATGGCATACAACAAGGTGTCTTCAATCAAAATGATGTCAACAGCCTTTTCGTCAAACAACTCGATGACGACTCCCGAGATCCAGTCTCTCTTATCGGCAGAGTTGGGACCTCCCCAGGAATTTTCAACTGCAGTGGTCAACTCTTCCCATTTGTGAATGGCCATGCAGACTCCAAGCTCGAATTTCGCTTGCTGTCTTGGATCGCCAAACCTCAACAGCGTCTGGTCGCCTTCAACCTCCACAAAGTCCGTTGGATCAATTGCAGACATTTTTATAGTGAGTTTGATTCTTAGTTGGTGATGAGCATCGCAGAAAAGATTTGGCCCAATCGTACACCCGTACACCTCTAGTTTACAACACAATCAGAATTAGAACATGGATGCGATTTCGCGATCTTTTCTCAATACATTGAACACTTCGTCCTCAGAAATATTGAGTGAAACGAGTCTATACCTCTCACTTCGAATATTCTGCTGTACAAGAATGCCGTGCTCAACTAGTTCGTTGACCAATTGCGACATGGCAAACATTCGAATGTTTATCTGCTTCGGAGAATCCCCAACCACTCCGGTACTGTAGAGCAAGTCCATCATACTTGCAGAAGCCGAGATATCTTGCAAGGTGACTGAACTTTCCTTTGTAGTTAAAAGGGCAAGCGAATTTTTCATTTCGTCAATGATATCGCCCAAACTGTTTTCAGCGAGCCCCGATCTCCGGATTCGAAGAAGAACTGCCACCAAGATCAATTTAGATGCAAAAGATAGTGACGAGAGAAGCTGTGCAAGCGGGGAGTTGACGGTTTCGTTGATGGCTCGAGAAATATGGGAAATCAAAATCGAAAACGTTTGCTCTTCTTCAGGAACGCCGTCCACGTTGGCAGACTCGAGGAATTCCAGTTCGGCAATCTCAACTGCTCGACGACAAATAGCTAGTGCTCTCCGGGCATCTCCACTGACACTGGCGACTTTTCTCGAGGCGAAACCTACGGCATCGGCTCCTAAAGTCACTTTCCGTCGGTTTTGTTCGGTTAAATACGTCAATCGATTTTCGATGATCAATCCAAGTTCCTTGAACGTATATCCACTGAACTGGATCCGATGTAATCCTAAACGAGACGAGATTTTATTGGAAAGCATCCTCTCAGGTAAGTCCATAGTGTTAGCCACGGCAATAATGATGAGTTTGGAATGACGGTAAGTGGGCCAGTTGAAGAAATTATACATGACACTCTGGTTCTTGGTGACGATCTGGTCTAATTCATCCAAGAGTACCACCAACGGCTGTCTGCTATTGATGAGCTCGCGTGACTTATCGTCGTCGATATCTTGGGAGAAATAATCCTCCAAGAGCAACGCAGCATTGGAAGGCGTCACTTTGGTACCGTGGATGTACTCCCAAAGCTTCTCGTAGGCGGAATTCGGTGTAAGAAGCTTTAGGCAATTCATCTCGAAATACTGAAAGCTGTTCAACCCACCGCTATCAGATATTTCTTTCAACTGTCTAACAACATCTCGAATAGTGGCTGTTTTCCCTACTCCCGGTGTTCCACTCACGTAGATACAGCATCCATTTTCTTCACCAATGGCCAGTGCCAACTGATCAAATACCTGGTCGGCCTGCTCTTCTCGACAGGGCAAAGAGGATATTCTGGCGGACGCATGTAATTTCTCCTTGAGCTCTCTGAATGCATCCGAAGATGTTCCCATATGTTGTTTTCCTGGTTTGGAAGGCGATAACGACGGAAGACTGGCAGCGGAGGCTCCGGATTTGACCTTGAAGTTCTTGTTGAGCATACTACGTAGGTTTTTGACCTTGGCATTGTCTCTTTTCGGTTTTTTCGGAGAGGGTGATGACGAGGCGGCCTGACGTTTCTTCCTTGGCTCCTTTGGCTCTTTTTTGGTCAGAGCTCGCTTAGCCTTATCTGTTTTTTCGTCCAGAACCTCTTTGTCATCTACTTCCTCATCTTCTTCCTCATCGTCTGAATCATCATCTTCCTCTTCTTTGACAACATCATCCGAATCATCATCATATTCTTCATCTGAAGACTCCAAGTACCGCTTCCGCAGTGGACTTTCAGACACCTGGAGCCGTTGACGGAGAGATTGCGTAGAAGATTTGGCCTTATTGGGCGAGATAATGATCAGGGTTTTCTCCGCAATGAAAGCCACAGCCTGGTGAAAGTTCTTCAAAAGGAGCGTGTGCCAGTCTTTATAATCAAAAACATCAGAGAATCGCTCAGTGAACCGATCACAGCCTCTTCGACAAACGAAGGTTGATGAAGAAATATCCAGAACAGTTTCGTGGAACTGCTGCGCTGACACAACCTGAACTTTCTCAACAAAGTCTGCCAAGCTGATAAATGACAATTCTGGGACCACATACACCTCGTTGTCCATCCCATCTTCGGGAAGATCGTCCAGAGACACATCTGAACTTTTCACGAACGGAAGCACCTGGACATCGAGGAAATTCTTAATTCCAAGCTGGATGTCGGCAACAATTGCAACATATGAGTTGCTGGAGCCTCTCTGACCCTTGAAAGTGCCGCTTAACAACACACAATCACCCACTTGTAATGATGTACTGTCTGATTGACGTTCGAGCTTCACACTCAGAGCCTGCGATGTCTGTGCCGTTCTTCGGCTTCTTCTAGACGGAGTTGAGACCTCTGAATCTGCAGCATCATCTAGAACAATCTTCCAGTCGACCAAGTTTTTCTGTCTTTTGGCCATGATAACTCAAAGATAGATGGTGATGATGGAGTGTACAGGAAGATGGTGAAGTTGTGCATTAGAGAGATCAGTATCTGTAGTAAAATTAAAATGAAGTCGACAAGTGTAGTTTACTCAAGCATTTCTATTGTTTGCTGTTCTTTTTGATTATTCTTTTTGCTTGTACTCTTTAAGTGCCGTTCAGTATTGTCGAATAATCAAACTAGTATGGTCACTACTGTATTACAACAGGATACTGTAATACACGAGGAAACCCAGTGAAACCCAGTGAAACAGCGTAAACGTCATTGTAACAGTCGATTACTACTAATATTAGTTCCGTTGGCCCCCGTCCAGATGATGCAATGGCTGATATCAGCCTCACTTATATATGAGAATAGGCTCGCCCACATTGACGATCTCCTCTAGGTTCAACTTCAAGTCAAACGCTTTTGACAAGATGATCTTGAAGATTTTCTGCACATTGATGGAGTGACTCGTCGAACAGAATACTACCGGCAGCTTCATGGCCTTGCCAAACTTCTTGGCCTGCTGGGTTATCTCCAATTGGTCCTGAGGCAGCATGTCGATGAATTCGTCGTACTTGGTGCCCACCAAAAACGGAATGGCTGTCTTATTGAAGCCTCGGACCTGCCGGTACCACTCCTTAATGGAATTGAGCGTGGACTTTCTCGTCAAGTCAAACATAAACAAGATGGCCACCGCGTCATTGGACACGAGCGGGAGCATGTTGATAAACTCCTTCTGGCCGCCCAAATCCCAGATCAGAAATGTGATGTTGGTACTTCGTATCTGGATTTTCTTATCCATGAAGTTGACCCCTAGAGTTTGAATATAGTCTTCGTCAAATGATCCTTCGACGTATTTGACCATCAACGACGTTTTCCCGATCTGGGAGTCGCCTATGAGGCCGATTTTGAGAGCGACCCTGCGAGGTTAGTAATTTGAAGAGGTCATTGGCAACGGGAGAGACGTACTGGTTATTTTGCTGGGGTTGATCCATAGCCGGTTTGTATTGAATCAAAGATGTTTATTTTGGTGTAAGTCACGTGTGGACCAGAGAAATAGCCGGGGTACAGGGGGGATTATGGTAGGCATGAAGGTATGTGAGACAATAAAAATTGGAATGGTGAATAAATTTGGATTGCTTTTGGAATGCAATTGAAGAGATACGGATCGAATTTTTGATTGAGATCTTGGTCAGGTTATAGAGTGATAAGATGATGTATTGAGATAGTGAGCGCAGCGACCATAGTAACTATAGTAACCATAGTGACCACAGTGACCATAACTATGATCGCAAGCTCAATATAGGCAGTTGAGAGAGTACAGAGTTGAATGTTTGGTAAATTCAAATCGTAACCAATGCTTCTTTAGTCGATAGTGGACTGTTTATGAGTGCATAAATTACCCGGTTTAAGGTGAAATCAGTTGATTGTAGTCAAGAATGTTCCTTCATAAAGAAAGTTATTTACATAATTTCATCTATGTTTGGTCTTTTTGAAATTCAACTATTCAGTATTTACTTTTTTTTTATGTATTTTAGTTCTCTTTTGGTTAGAATGAACTTGGAAATAGTGCATCGTTGACTGTATTCGTAGTAATCAACTCCCATTCTTATTCCTAAAACATTGGTTTATTTTACTCTGTCCTAAATGATACTAGGTTCATACTTCACAGCTTACGGTTCACAATCACATGTATATTATCATTTTTTAGTTTGGTCCTTGGCCAGTTTACTATTAAACTTTCACTATGCTATTCTCCCTGTATTCTCATTATACCCTCGATGTACCGAATCTGCTCACTAACCTCCACAACCATTCCATTTAGCTTCTCCAATTCATCCTAGTAGTAGGTTTTATTTTCTTATGAATTGCAAATTCATAGAAACAGATTTTTCCATATCAAATTCTAAGACTCCCCATTTTACTCAATATTCACATTCTCATTTCATCTCTACTCATCAACTCCATTCCACCCATCGGCCCAATAAAAATGGTACAAAAGTTGGAAAATAAATATATACATCACTTCTGAATCTTCGAATCCAATAATTCCACCATCAAAGTCTTCATATCACACTAATTAATCCCAGATTCATTACCTATGCCATCATCATCTAGGGCTTCAGCCCTTACCACGTGACCATCCCGTCGTGCGACCCCGACCGGCTACTATGCCAAACCACCTTCTCTCGCACTCGCAAAAAAAATGAAAAAAAACCTCCAGATTACTTTTCCTAGCACTACATCATGGCTGTTGGTAAGAACAAGAGATTGTCCAAGGGTAAGAAAGGATTGAAGAAGAAGGCCGTCGACCCTTTCACCAGAAAGGAATGGTTCGACATCAAGGCTCCATCCACCTTCGAGAACAGAAACGTTGGTAAGACCTTGATTAACAAGTCTACTGGTTTGAAGAACGCCGCCGATGGCTTGAAGGGCCGTGTCGTCGAGGTCTGCTTGGCCGACTTGCAGGGCTCCGAGGACCACTCTTACAGAAAGATCAAGTTGAGAGTCGACGAGGTCCAAGGTAAGAACTTGTTGACCAACTTCCACGGTTTGGACTTCACCTCCGACAAGTTGAGATCTTTGGTTAGAAAGTGGCAATCTTTGGTTGAGGCCAACGTTACCGTCAAGACCGCTGACGACTACGTGTTGAGAGTGTTTGCTATTGCTTTCACCAAGAGACAGGCTAACCAGGTCAAGAAGACCACCTACGCTCAGTCCTCCAAGTTGAGAGAGGTGAGAAAGAAGATGATTGAGATCATGCAGAGAGAGGTTTCCAACGTTACCTTGGCTCAGTTGGTTTCTAAGTTGATCCCAGAGGTGATTGGCCGTGAGATTGAGAAGTCCACCCAGTCTATCTTGCCATTGCAGAACATCCACATCAGAAAGGTGAAGTTGTTGAAGCAGCCAAAGTTCGACTTGGGCTCTTTGTTGGCTTTGCACGGTGAGGGTTCCACCGAGGAGAAGGGTAAGAAGGTTTCTTCCGGTTTCAAGGACGTTGTCTTGGAATCCGTCTAAGCTCTCTGAGCTCCAGCTCGTCTGTTACTAAATATTAATAAGACACAATCATCGATAGAATCAAGTAGAGGGAGTGGTCAACAAGTTTCGCAAGAGTAGATAATGACTAATGCTTTATAGGGATTAGGGGTGCCAGAAAGACATAGAAATCCATGACTAGTCAACCTACTGGCCCTGGTTATACTACACTTGGACACTGGAATTGTCATAGTAATTCATGTTGTTTGAAGCTGCTTGAATATTCCTCTATATACTTATGGCATCTCCTAGTGGAAATTTATGTTGCCAATTAATCAGAATTACTTTAACTGCACAAAATATTGACTGATTGTGTCAGGCCTATATGGTGATGGGATGTTGAAAATATTTCTAGTTAATCGGATTCCAATTCCATTATAGCATTCTTCTGTCTAGTCTTTCTTTTCATTTCATTTTCTCATCTCGCCATTTTCTGCTTCGAATTGGGTTTTTCCTGTTGGTCGCCAGTTTCTATTTATTCAGACATTTGCGAAATTACATAGAATAGTCAGACAACCTACTTGGTCAGTCGTGAAAGTAATCAACAGAAATTTTGAAGAGACGTAAAAGAATAAATATTATAAAGCCACATAAGATCACAAAAACACACAAATGACAAATTTGTAGAGGCACCACCTTATAAAACCTGGTGAATGCAGAACTTCACAATTGTCTGTTATGACGTTACTGACAATGTCGAGCCTCCCCACCATGACTAATAAAAATCAACAAATTTAGAAAAAAAAAGCGTGAAAATACTATTAGAGAAAAAAATCAGTAGATTGTATCCATGACTTAATGAATATTGCAAAGACGACCCGGAACAATCAGAATATTCCATCAACAATGAGAGCCCCCAAGGTGATTTCGTTGCCACATTTATCTCCATATGCAATCTCATCGGCTCACGGAGATAAACCTAAGACCGTTTTGGCGTTGGGGACATTCCCCCCATCTACTACATCTTTCTCCAATGGTTTCAATTAAAACAGAAATTACCATCAACGCACCTCCACAAGCAGTCAGAAGCACCTTCTTGGACTTTGAGTCGCATGCCAAATGGAATCCATTCTTTGTTCGTGTGAAGGACGTTGGAGAGGTCAATCCAGGCACTGGTTTGGAAATCGACATGAAACTCAAGGGAGAGACCACTGTACGTACCATGAAGCCCGTTGTGTTGGTGAATTCCGAGGACGAATTGAAATGGAAAGGAAACTTAGGGTTTGATTCTGTTTTCGTAGGAGCACACTACTTCAAGTTCGAAAGTATCGATGATGGAGCTGCCACCAGATTGGTGCAGGGCGAGGACTTTGGAGGGTTTTTGGTGCCTGTGTTAAACTTGGTGGGACTTTTCGAGAAGACCAAGGCCAGTTTTGAGGATCTCAATGAGGCTTTGAAGAAGGAGGCCGAGAGTAGGGCATGAATATGATTAGTTAATCAATTTTTGAGTGAGCAGTTTGTAGATTTTTGGTGGGTGAAACAAGGGATTTACGATGAATTGAGAGATGTATAAGAAATCAAGAACCAAAGAAGGAATCGCATTGTAAGCAATTGAATTTCTACAAGGAATTGTATTGTAATGAGCTTGTAATGAGTTGGAGAAAGACAAGGACTTCAGGATGCCATCACTCGAACCTTCCGAGGTACGAAGCTGACAGAGTGACGGGAAATTCAAAGATGTAGAAGTACATCAGTACCAAGTTGAAAGGATGATAATTTTTGATCTGGTGTATAGAGTTATATTTTGGCCTGACATACGTACGGCTCGAACTGTCAATAGTGTCAAAACCATGCACGACAAAACACAGGACTCCAGATGCACACTTATCAAACTTTTTATAGGCTAAAGCTGAAAATGCCGGGAATGGGAATTGACTAAACCAACAAAGACTGGTTATTTTGAAGTGAAAATGCAGCGACTGACAACTGTGAGAATTACAAGAAACAAGACCAATCTCTTCTTGAAAATTTACTAACGGACCAATCACCATCGCAAAAATTCATGGGATAGCAACGGTACTTTCAAGTCCTTTATGTTCTAAGTAATAAATTCAAATTGTTCAAACAATAAAAATTGTTTGTTTAAGATGGATCTCTCAATCGGCATGGATCTTCCAATCGGCATGGATCTTCCCAATGACGTATATATTTTGAACGTCATGGGTCGCTTGATTCTCAAATCAAATCAAGTTGCCAAGACAAGCCATCATCCAAAAACTCAAAATAAAAGAATCGTAACTTCTACACTAAAGAAAAAAATTGATATCCTGTCAATTGCTCCGTTTCTCTCCCACCAGCAACTTTTATACCCATGCAGCCGTCCTGCACCGTCTGTCTACATCCATGTGACACCTTCAGATCCCAAACCATACACCGTCCCCAGCCGCCAAAACATACTCACCAATATCCACTTCAATAACTATGCCAATCACTAACCTTCTCGATTTGAATCCACAACTCCGCCAGAACCTCTCACAACTCCAAGAATACGTCATGGACAATTTACACGGCATGCATCGAAACTAACACTGATGCAAGAGAAGGTGAGACACCCGGTGTCAAAAGCCGGCATCGATACCCACATTTCGGAACGATCCCCGCCATACGTACGCAAGCAATCCAATCATTATTATTTGTAAAAAAAAATACATCAAAAACAATAAGAAAATACAACCACACACCCCTAATTATACATTTGCTCCGCAACATCGCATATGAAACTCCTATACATAACACCGCAACTCGAAAAAAAAGAATGTATCATCTGCAGGAACAACCAAACCTCCCCCAAGTCTCATCCAGGTAAAATCTTCAAAACAATTCTTATCAAAGTATCCTTCTTTCTCTGATCTGGTCCCATATTTTTTTTTGTTTTCAGTGCAATCGATTTTTATCCAATTGGCATGACTGAGGTACGTTCCATCTATTCAATTGGCGTGGTCCTTGTGGTCAGCAACCACTAGACTATCGTTATTTCCCTTCGTATAGCAATCCTAACATGTTTTAGCAAAAACATCCAGCGGATCCGCTGTCGCATGGCCCTGGTGCCACTAAGAGCGAAGTAGAGCAGGCCAACAAAGAGAAAAGATCGAAGCAGACCGAGATTTCGGCCCCCGTGGATGGTTCCAACAACGAAGGCTTCAAGGCGCAGCCTCCAAGTGAGAAACCCAAGCGTAATTCAAGCGCCAGGCCCACCTTTGCCTGGAAAAACATTGGCGCATGGGATATCCCAGAAACTCATGATAAGGCGGAGGAATTGAAGCGGTTGAAGGCTACCGAGGCATACGTGGTGGACCATTTGTATGGAGACTGGTTCTGGAACACGGTGTTGCCAATTGGCGTGTGTTTCTTTGCCTATTTCTTCGCCAGAATCGGCTTCTCCTTCTTGTGGTTGCCAGTGGTGCTCTTGAGTGCCAGCTCGGTCTACCGAGCCGAGTTCCGCAGATTCAACAGAGACGTCAGAGACGACATGTCGCGTATCAACGCAGCCAACCGCTTGGAGGAGGACGTCGAGACCATGGAGTGGTTGAACTCCTTCTTGGCCAAGTTCTGGGTCATTTACATGCCTGCATTGTCGGAAATGGTCATGTTCCAAGCCAATGAGGTGTTGAAGGACTCTGCTCCTGGCTTCGGTATTGAGAAATTGTCGTTGGACGAATTTACTTTGGGTTCCAAGGCTCCAAGAGTGGACTCCATTAAGTCGTACACCAGAAAAGGTAACGACCACATTGAGATGGACTGGGCTTTCTCGTTCACTCCTAATGACACTGATGACATGACTAAGAACGAAATCAAGAAGAAGATCAACCCTAAGGTGGCCTTGGGTGTTACCGTTGGTAAGGCATTCATCTCAAAATCGTTACCTATTTTGGTGGAGGACATGTCATTCACCGGAAGAATGAACATCAAGTTGAAGTTGAACGACACTTTCCCCCACGTTAAGATGGTGTCTATCCAGTTCCTTGAGGCCCCTGTCATTGACTACTCCTTGAAGCCTGTGGGTGGTGACACGTTTGGTCTCGATATCATGACTTTCATCCCGGGATTGTCCTCGTTTGTTAATGGACTTATCCACTCCAACTTGCGTCCTATGTTGTACGCTCCTAACTCTCTAGATATCGACGTGGAGGAAATTATGTCGCAGCAGTCCAATGACTCTATCGGTGTATTGGCTGTGACCATCAAGAGAGTTACCAACTTGAAATGTGCCACGGAGGTCAAGGACAACCAGTTCAATCCGTATGTACAAATTGGATTGGCCAACAACTCAGATGTTAAGGAGAGAACAAAGGTCAAGAAGAACACCACAGACCCTGTATTCTTGGAGACCAAGTACATTCTTGTGAATAACTTGGAGACCAACCAATTGTTATTCAATGTGTTCCATATGATTCCTGACAAGATGGACGACTTAGCACTTGGTATCACTCAAATTCAAATGGTTGATTTATTGCAGAAAGAGGTTCAAAATGATATGACCAAGAATATCCTCGAGTCTGGTAAGGTTGTCGGAAAAATCGAATACGACCTTAAGTGGTACCCAGCTTTGAAGAACCAGGTGTTGGAAGACGGCACCAAGGAAGAAAATATCGATTCAGAAGTTGGAATTATGAAGTTGTCCGTTTATGGCGCACAAGACTTGGATATCTCTGAATCTGCTATCGGTATCTTGAATCCTTACGCTGAAGTGTATGTCAACAACAAGTTGATCAAAACTTCTAGAAAATTGAGACGTACCAATGAGCCAGACTTTGGTGTAAGCTTTGAGTCACTTGTCACTCAGCAATCTCAAACTCAAATCCAGGTGCTTGTCAAGGACTCAGCCGAAGATGCCATTGTTGGCAGATTGGACGCTAACTTGCAAGATATTATCTTCGAGTCTTCCAGAGGTCAACAATGGATCAGTGCTCCCCCAGTGAGACCAAACGGTACTCCTGCCAAGTTCAGAATTGGTGCTAAGTGGAAGGCTCTTGGAATGGACGATGAGGAGATTGAAATCCGGGCCAATGCTCCAATTGGTGGTTTGAGATTGCATGTCCGTGCCGCCTCCGGCTTGATCAACCTTGAAAGTGTGGGTGATGTTGATCCATACGTCAGAGTTGTGCAGAATGGCAGAATGAAGGCCAAGACAGCTATTATCGCCAACACCTCCAACCCCATCTACAACGACGTTTTCTACTTGCCAGTCACAAATGAGCACCAGCATGTGTTGTTGGACATTCTTGATGCTGAGGCTGAAGGAAAGGATAGACCATTGGGATCTTGTGCTATCACAGTCAAGGACTTCTTGAAGAAGAACCGCGAAGGTTACTATCTTGGCTATGATGGATCCGAGGAAATTATCGAGCAACCTGTGTTGTACAATGGCAAGAGTTACGGTAACATGACTTACTCAGTCTCGTTTATTCCGAACATTCCAGTGTACACACACATTCAACTGGACAACCTCGAAGAGTACTTGGAGATTAAGAAGAAAGAGGAGCTCGAGGAAAAAGAAAGGGCCGAGAAGGAAGAAAAATTGTACAAGGAAAACCCATCACAATACGAATGGGTCGAAATGCAAGACGATATCATTGGGGAGCCTCCAAAGGTGGAAATGCCTTTGGAAACTGCTATCAAGTACAGAGCCGGAGACATTGCGGTTCATATTTTGAAGGGTCAGTTCAACAAGCCAGATTACTTCGTTCACATTTTATTCGATGAAAACGCCTATCCATCTGGTGTTTCCAGTAAGTGTGAAACTCGTTTCTTGACTACCCCTATGTTGGCTGAAGCTTTTATGAGAGATTTGCCAAACTCTAAGACTGTCTTTAGAATTGCCCGTAAGGCTGATGTTCAGGACCAAAAGGAGGTGGTTGTTGAGAAGATTTTCGACACAATTGAACTCTTAAAGAAGTCTTTTGGCAAACCATACACCGTTTCCCTTGACAGAAAGAACACCTTGACTTTCCGCATGGAGTTCTTCCCCTCTGCAGTCAAGTTGGCTCCCTTGGACACTGTTTTGGATGTTGGACATGTCAAATTGGATATCTTGAGTGCTGAGAACTTGCCATCTGTCGACAGCAACGGTAAGTCAGACCCATTGGTGGTTGTCAAGTTGAATGGTGTTGAAATATACAAGACCGATAAAAAGAGAAGAACCTTGGATCCAATTTGGAACGAGGCAATTGACTTCCCAATGTTGTCTAGATCTCGTGATGTGCTTCTCTTGGAAGTATACGATTGGGATTTGACTCACGATGATGAATTGTTGGGTAGAGCTAATGTTGATATCTCTAATATTGCACCAAATCAGTCATCTCAGTTCCAGGTGGATTTGGATACTCAAGGTATACTTAAATTGAGAGCTACGTTCCAGCCCGAGTTTATTAGACCAGTCTTATCCAAGTCTAATGCCTTACCAATTGACATGCATGACATTGCGGGTGCTCCATTGAAGGTTGTCGGAGGTGTGGCTGGAGCTACGGGAAGCGTGGTTAACACTGGTGTTGGTGCTGCTGCTGATGGTTTGACTAAGAGCGCCAATCTCTTCAAGAAAGGATTTAAGTCCAAGAGAAAGCCTAACGGATCTAGCGAGGAGGGTAGTCACAATGGCAGCAATGGCAGCAAAAATGGCAATGGAGCTTCTCATGAGGACGAGGCCGGTGATACTACTATGACCTCTGATCTCAGATCCAACTACTCTCACCAGACTGGTACTACTTCAAACAGCTACCCAAGCAGAAAGGGTAAGGTGAAATCTTCATCTAGCAAAGAAGATGACAAAGGTCAAGGAGCACCATCTCCAGAGGAACAGATTGAGAACAACAGGCCACCATCGATTAAGAATGCTATTCCTAACTTGGACCCAGATTTGCTTCCACCACCACAGCGTCCAGAGGGTCGCGGACACAGAAGAGGAGTTAGCGAGACGTCGGATATTAGTACCATCAACTCCGGCATGTTTGGCCCCGATGGTATCCCAGGTAGAGTTAATATTGTGTCTGCTACCGGATTTAAGGGACCTATTGAGATCAAGACCACATTGAGCACATCATCAAAGTCCAAGGACATTCACAAGACTAGACTTGTCAAAGCTCATGGCGGCAAGTACGAGTGGAATGAGACATTTGTATTCAAGGCTCCATCGGAGGGAGTGTTACTGTTCTTGGTAAGAGAGCACCACACATTCGGACGGAACCAGACGATTGGAAGTGCTGAGGTTTCGTTGGCAGACTACGTTAACTCTGATGGAGTGATTCCACTTCATATTGGAGGCGGAGAGTTGAATGTTAGCTTGAGATATGTCTCTACGCAGTTGTAGGGGCCACCAGATTGATTGTACTATGTAATAAAATGAAGTTTTAAAAAGTGTAGGATTATCAATACGGGATATGGGGGTGGAAAATATGTCTAAATATAGATAACTTATCGTTCAAAACTTAATTCACAGCCTAGTAGAAGAGTGGAGTAAGTCATTGGTTGCAAATCAGATATACAGTGACATATATGACAATGCTACTGTACGTAAGTCACCAACAATTAGTTAAATTACAGTTACTTCATCATAATAATGTTACACGACTAAATAAATATACTATTACAAATGTTTAAACCACCAGAATCACTAACTATCCGAAATACCACGATATATAACTCAAAACATTCTCCTCACGTAATCCATAAAATTTGAATCTTGACTTAAGTCTATCGATTCTATAGGACCTATATAGAATACATACACGTGATGTCCGTGACTGCTTTCATCTCGAACCGGCAACCAAAACCAACAAGAAACCCATACATCCCACCACATTATCTGCACACCATCTCAAAAAAAATTTTGGTGAGAATTTTTGCCTACAGTGAAAAAAACTCCAGACTCTTGTTTTATTTCCATAACCAGAGAATCAGACAAAATGAGCCAGATTGTATGTTACATCTCCATCATAATATCACCATGAGCACCGTCCTTGCATCCTCCTCATGAACGTTTTGTATTTTAGCAAATTCGTTTCTGTTGTCCTATCGCCAGTTATCCATCTACTCCATCATCGACTCATACAAAACTTCCACCATGTTGAATAAAAATTGGAAGAAACTTCTTCCTCGTCCCTTAATATACCAAGACTTTATCCATGTTCAGTTTAAACTACTGGAGCAACGTCGGTACATGGCAAACATCTCCAAAACTTCATACTAACATTTCTAGCAACCAAAGTGGTACCCAAGTGCAGACTCTGCCGTCGCTAAGAAGGCCAGAAAGACCGCTAACCCACACAAGTTGCGTGCCTCTATCGTTCCAGGTACCGTCTTGATCTTGTTGGCTGGTCGTTTCAGAGGTAAGAGAGTTGTCTTCTTGAAGCAGTTGGAGGACAACACCTTGTTGGTCACCGGTCCTTTCAAGGTCAACGGTGTTCCATTGAGAAGAGTCAACTCCCGTTACGTCATTGCCACCTCCACCAAGGTGTCTGTTTCTGGTGTTGATGTTGCCAAGTACAACGTTGAGTACTTTGCCAGAGAGAAGGCTCCAAAGTCCAAGAAGTCCGAGGCTGACTTCTTCAACGAGGAGCAGCCAAAGAAGGAGATCAAGGCTGAGAGAGTTGCCGACCAGAAGTCTGTCGACGCTGCCTTGTTGTCTGAGATCAAGAAGACCCCATTGTTGAAGCAATACTTGTCTGCCTCTTTCTCCTTGAAGAGCGGTGACAAGCCACACTTGTTGAAGTTCTAATCGGGCGCTAATTCTGCTCGGTGGTACATCGTTTCTATGTATATTTAATACACCCGGAAAAAGAAGTATAGTGTAGAGTGAGAGGTGAGATTCAACTTGGACATGCTAATTGTAAAATCTATAACTCTGTTCTTGATGATATTTTAAACTCTCAGTCAGTTGTATAACAATCTCGATATCAAGTTCTGTAGTGCTCTTGGTATTCAGTTTTGCAATACCAAGTTCTATGCCATAATATCCATTATAACCTCTAGATGTAGGACAACATAGAGATTGCCATATGTATCACATACGGATTCAATAAGTATCAAATGCAGATCCCAGAAATTATCGTCTCATACCAAAAAGACTTCTATATATTTGGAGGATCGTATCATGCGCTCCCTAATCATGAATTCTGCCTTTTATAGTGTCTAAAGTGAATGACAACTCCCTTCATCGCATTTTCATGATATGGACATGCAATAAACAATTTTTGTCCAAATGTTCTGAGTAATCTTAGCTTGCTTTTGCAAAATTCAGAATCGAAGCCAATTGCAGTTATTAAAATTTTCGTATTCACATACTTTGGAGTTAAAAATCGAGAATTTCCAATATACTTTACAAAATCATTCATGATTAACTATCTTCCTCACGAAATTTTGAAATTCATGCCATTTACCTCAAATTTCTAACGATTTAGCAATCCCGTTATTCACTTCATCCGATTCATTCAACTTCATCAAGTCTTTCCTATTCTTTCCATTCGATATCTTCACTTGATTACACTGTCTCTTTTAACAAGCCATTTCCAAGCCTACTCGAATCACCCTCAAATCTCGACCATCTCAAAGTTCTCATATAAAATATATCCATTCTAATGACAACCTATCCTACTTTCATATTGCATTGTGGTACCATTCCACACCCTGTCTATCCACGCTCTAGAAATCTCATTACCTTATCGTATCAAGCAGCACACCATTACCTAAGCATATACACCACCCCCAAAAACCTCCAAATGGTCGAAAACATCCAAAATTACAACATCGAAAATCATCTTAAACAATTCAAATTTTTCAAAATCAATACAATTTTGCCCCATCCGTTAATATCAATTAGAACCTACCCATCTGTAGATGAGGTCCTGCAGACATCTCAATATTTAACCTCATCTCACCAGGTTTTTCTTTTCACAAACCAAAATGGCTTCTCTTATCCCTATCAGCACATACAACTTGGCCCTTGTGCCATTTAACCCGGTTCCTGCCGTGGAAGACGATTTCCCAATCACCGTCAGAATCACCATGGCCGCCGTGGACCCAGAGGCAACTGATGACAAGGAAGAGCCTTCCACCGTGAGAATCTTGAAGAGAGCTAGACCATTCATTGACGACGAGGACTTGGATGAGTTGGAGGCCGAGGAAGGTGATGATGAGGAGGATGAATTGGACAGCGAAGAGGAGGAGGAGGTCGAGGAGCCTAAGAAGTCCAAGAAGTCTAAGAAGGTTGAGGAAGACGACGAAGATGAGGAGGATGAGGAAGATGACGAGGACGACAGCGACATTGAGGACGACGAGGAGATCGAGGAATTTGTTCTCTGTACTCTCTCTCCAAAGGTGCAATTCCAGCAGTCTCTTGACTTCACCATTTCTCCAAACGAAGAGGTTCACTTCGTGGTCACTGGTTCTTACCCAGTTCACTTGACCGGTAACTACGTCGAACACCCAGCTGACGACGAAGACGACTTCGACTCTGATGAGGATGAGTACTACGAGGATGATGAGGACGAGTACAACTTGACTCCAGATGAGGATGAGCTCATTGACATCGAGGATTTGGAGGATGCTTCTGACATCGAGAGCAAGATCACCGAGTTGGTCGAGGAGGAGATCAAGCGTAAGAGAAGTGCCGAGGACTCCAGCGACAACAAGAAGAACAAGAAGGCCAAGGACAACAAGAAGGAAGAGAAGAAGGAGGAGAAGAAGGTGAAGTTCACCAAGGAATTGGAACAGGGCCCTACTCCATCCAAGAAGGACAAGAAGGAGAAGAAGAAGGAGGAGAAGAAGGAAAAGAAGGAAGAGAAGACCGAGAAGAAGGAGGAGAAGTCTGACAAGAAGGACAAGAAGTTCCCAACCAACACTTTGTTGGGTGGTGTGGTCACCGAGGACAGAAAGGTTGGATCGGGTGCTGGAGCCAAGTCTGGTAACAAGGTCGGTATCAGATACATCGGTAAGTTGAAGAACGGTAAGGTCTTTGACAAGAACACCTCCGGTAAGCCATTTGTGTTCAACTTGGGCAAGGGTGAGTGCATCAAGGGATTTGACTTGGGTGTTGCCGGTATGGCTGTTGGAGGAGAGAGAAGAGTTGTTATTCCAGCCAAGATGGGTTACGGCTCGCAGGCTTTGCCAGGTATTCCAGCTAACTCTGAGTTGACTTTTGACATTAAGTTGGTCTCTCTTAAATAAGTATATAAATGGATGAGAGTATAGAAATGGTGAAGTGTAGGAAGGGTAAGGGAAATGGAGAGGATATATTTATATCTGCGGCCTGAATAAAAGGGATTTTTTTTTCGGATATTAGGGCCATTTTGTTCTATCTATCCTCTTTATAGAAAGAATTGGAAAGTGGATAAGTTCTCTGGAGGAGAAACCTTTAAATTCGTTTGTAACGAAGGAACTAATGTGGAAACAGAAAGAAACACAAAAGACGAGAAACTAGAGGAATAAAAAAGTAAAGAAAAAAAAAGGAAGAACTGAAAGCTAGAAACATAGAGAAACAGGGGAAACAGATGAGTTGAAAAGCAGACAAGCTAAAGAATGGAGAGTGAAATGTGACCAAACAACAAAGAAAAGAGAAGAAAACAAAATAAATAGAAATACGAAACAATTAGAAAAGACAAAAAAAACATGAAGATATTAAATTCTTGTGGAAATTGAAAAAGTCAATAACTAGTTTCTATATCTCGTAAGACTATGGGCTCACGGGAAGTACCGGTCCCCCTCGGGACTTTCCATATGGATCCCGGAATCATTCTGGAGAGCGGAATGGCTCAAACAAGAAACAGCTTTTACAAATTGTAACATGAATGATGGCCTGAGAAACACAAGAAGATCCCAAATTAACCGGAAAGTAATAATGACGGGAAAGTAAGTCCAAAGAATGAATCAAGATTGTGCTGACCGAAAATTGTGGAGAAGACGTGGAAAAGATTAAGATGCATTCGACACGAGACAGATAAGATAGGCCATAACTACAAGAAGAAACTCATTGATCATCCATTGATCATTCATCGATCTTTCATTGATCAATAATCGATCACTCAATGATCACCAAGATTGAATGTATCCTAATTAATAATAGATCTGTGACTACTAACAATTATTAATTATTGGATGGATATAGCCGAAACATCAGAACCGAATAGGTCATCTCCAAAATGCTTGGTACAGTTACGATGATAAGAAAATTTGCTCCCCAAGATACCAAGCCCACTAAGACCCAGGTCTCCCAAACACCGAAATCACCGTATGTTGTACATGATGCATTTGACTTCGGTGCAGCTCAGTCCAATAGGACCAGCTTATAGATGCAACACAAAACCAATTAAGAACAAAAGCACGCATTCTCTACGTGTTCCCTACGCATTCATAACTCTAGCAGCATCTGTCGGTGTTCTCCGGTAGGTTGTCTACAGACTTTTAGGCGACTTGTGTTTCGGCATACAAGCTATGCGGCTTACAGACTAGCGCAGGCCAATTACAGGCCACCGATCACCGATAGGCGTAGATTAGAATCAAAGCTTGTGACTGGAGATCAGATCAATGTGTCTGTAGACCACCTTGAATTATCAGTGAGATTGTGAAAAAGCAAACTCACAAGATATCTAAAATCACGATTTCTTCATCATTCAAACTTTTCCATGTCCAGTTTCTATTCTCTTACTATTCTACATCCAACAAACCCTAATCATTGACCGCACCGGATAAAGTCATGATGCAACCCATAGATGACTTTGTGAGCTTTATCTTTGTTATCACGACGATAAACATTTCCGAGGCGGGGGAAAGGGCCCACCCGTAACATGGAACCCTGCCTACATGGGACAAGGATACCTTCACAGTGGGTGGAATCCGACTCCAGGCCTGCACTCTAGAGGGCCGGCAATCTCCATGCCAAGAAACGGAATTGGGCGAGGTGATTAGGCGTTTTCCTTCCTTTATCTTCTTGACAGGTTGAATGGACAATCCCAGAGTAGTTAGTCAATTGAAATTTGGATTTCCCCAGGAAAGTTTGCCCCCAACAGTTACTCGCTGGACCATTAAGATCAGGCACGGCTGATCGACACCAAAAGCCCCACTGCACACCCCTCAAAATATTAAAATAACAGGAAAAAAAAGCCGTTTCCTGCCCCTTCGGAACTTTCCATGCGCTGCACATACTTTATGATAAGCATGCTCATGCTCGATTTGCTCACTTCCTCTATAAGCACGTCCTGCAGGAGGTCCTATGCTAGATACGTTTGCACCCAATATATATAGTCAGTGCTCCCCACTCATGGAACTCCAGAAAGTTTCGGTTCGGCTCTTTTCTTTGTGCTTTTTCTCGTCATTGTCTATTCTTCTTCACAAATGATTGCCGCCTCGGACCTCTCTGCTTTTGCCAGACGTACCGTCAAGAAATGGACCACCAAGGAAGGTTTGCTTGGTGACTATGACTATGGCTACCTTTTCTCCCTGACATTCCATTCACCAAGAAGGCTCCTAAGACTCAACCATTCTTTGGTTTAAACTCGGACATGCCCGTATTCTTGGGATTCGTGCTTGGTTTCCAACACGCCTTAGCCATGTTGGCTGGTGTCGTTACTCCCCCAATGATCATTGCTGGTTCTGCTGTTTTGGGTGACAGAATCCAAGAATATTTGGTTTCGTCCTCCTTGATTGTCTCGGGTATCTTGTCATGCATTCAGATCACCCGTTTCCACATCTACAAAACCCCATACTACATTGGTACCGGTTTGCTTTGTGTGGTGGGTACCTCATTTGCTACCATCACCATCGTCACCAACTCCTTGCCTATTATGTACAGCAACGGAATGTGTCCTATGGTTGACGGTGTGAAGCAGGCTTGTCCTGATGGTTACGGCCGTATTCTCGCTACCGGAACGGTTTGTGCCCTTATTGAAATCTTGTTGTCCTTCTGCCCAACCCGTGCATTGCAAAAGGTGTTCCCACCATTGGTCACAGGTCCAGTGGTGTTGTTGATCGGTACTCACTTGGTTGAGACCGGATTCCAGAACTGGATCGGTGGCTCTGACTGTGTGGGTAAGCTCTGTGGTAAAAAGCAGTTGCCATACGGATCTGCTGAGTTTGTTGGTTTGGGTTTCTTAGTGTACGCTACCATCATTCTCTCTGAAAAGTTTGGATCGCCTATCATGAAATCTTGTGCCGTCATTGTCGGTTTGTTGGTGGGTTGCATTGTTGCTGCTGCTTGTGGATACTTCTCTTCCACCGGTATCTCTGCTGCTCCTGCTGCCACCTTCCCATGGGTGCACACGTTCAAGTTGCAGATCTACGGACCAGCAGTATTACCATTCTTGGCTGTCTACATTGTGTTAATGATGGAGGCCATTGGTGACATCACTGCCACCTCTGATGTGTCCAGATTGGAGGTTGAGGGTGAGCTTTACGAGTCCAGAGTCCAAGGTGGTGTTCTTGCTGACGGTATCAACGGTGTCTTGTCCGGTTTGATGACCGTCACTCCAATGTCTACCTTCGCCCAGAATAACGGTGTCATTTCCGTCACCAAGTGTGCCAACAGAACCGTGGGTTACTGGTGTGCATTCTTCTTGATCATTATGGGAGTGTTTGCCAAGTTCGCTGCTGCCATTGTCTCGATTCCAAAGGCTGTATTGGGAGGTATGACCACTTTCTTGTTCACTTCTGTGGCTGTTTCTGGTATCAAGATTATCTCCACTACGCCTTTCACCAGAAGAGACAGATTTGTCTTGACCTCGGTGCTTGTTCTTGGTCTTGGTTCTACTTTGGTTCCAACCTGGTTCAGTGGAGTTTTCACTTACTCTGGTGGAAACAGATCATTGCAGGGATTCTTTGATGCTATTGTTTTGGTCATGGAGTCTGGTTTCGCCATTGCTGGCTTGGTTGGTGTCATTTTGAACTTGCTTTTACCACAGGTTGACGATGAAATTGAGGAGATCAACGAGCAGGTGTTGGAGGTTGTTGGCTCTGCTGACGAGCACGCATTGCAGGTCTATGCATCAAAGGAGGCCGAGCTCAAGAGAGACGCTGCTTCTTCGTCCACCAATTGAGATATTTGTTTAATTTCTTCAGTTATTTCTTCAGTTCTGGTGGTGTAATTAGCTTAGCCGTGAGTATTAATCATATTATAATCATGAACGAGATGTATGGGTAGTAAATTGTTTCTATATTATTTTTCTAGTAGATGCATTAGTAGATTCACTAATAAAGTTTGATGGTATTCCAACTATCAAACTCTAATAGTGTATTGGTAATATATGTACTGGTGACGTTATGTATAGGTGATGTTATGTACTGGTGATGTTTGTGATGTACTCTAAGGTACGAATATCTTCGAAACTAAACAATTCTAGCAACACTTTTTTTTCCCCAAAGATATTGTCAAAAAAAAAGAAAAATCGATTTTCCCGTTGCTTTTAGTCTTTTTCTTCTTTTCATCGTTAAGAGACTCTGGTCTCGGCTTTCTCCGAGGCAACCGTAGCTGCTCACTTCACAATAAGATAAGTCAATAATGCCCCCATCGTTCCTCCAAATGTAACCAAAAGTCCCAGGAAGATGCCAAAATCTAATCTGTCCATAATAAAACTGTTTGTTTGTGGATCCCGGAGCGACCAGAACGTCCTTTTTGCCCAAGTTTGGAATGTACTCCATGATTTGATTGAAGAAAAACCAAAGCAAAATGCTGGAACACTCGAACTCTGTTCGGAAACCAATAAGGAATTTAACTGGGGCGCCTCAGAAATCTCCAATGTCTCGTCTACCGAGGAAACAACCGGCTCCACCCTGGATTTCTCTAATTCTTTAGAGAGATTTCGAATGTCTAGGGAAAATTCATCCAACTTCAGCTGAACCTCATGCTGGAAGGCATCCACAAGTCGACGCCTCTTCCATGGCTCCACTAAGAATGTGGCCACGGCAAAAAGCATGACGTTCACTCCCATAAGCATCCATGTACCCCAAGTCAGACCTTGACGAATCTTATCCGACCAAATCTGCTCTTCGTGGTACCGCGTGAGAATCAGCTGAGTAAGCTTCACTTGCACAGTATCGACAGCCACCTCTGTCTCTTCTAGTTTGATCTCGGCGTCTCTCTCGTCCTGCTGGTTCTGGTGGTCATTTCGATACAACTCCGTGAACCTCTCTAAATCCGTTGGAGTCCAGTTATGTTTTCTCGTAAGCAACTCGTTGATTTCCTTTTGCAGATCTGACCGTCTCTGAATTGCCTCCGTGTATTCTGCCTTGGCGATTTTGAGGTTTGACTTGGCCTGTCTCAATTCGTTCTCAAGCCCATCTACAGTCATTTTGAGAGTCTCTATCCTCGTGTATCCCGTTAAGTCGTTAAGTGCCTGTGTTGCCGATGTAAGAGTGGCACGTAAATCTGACAATTTGTTGCGGAGCTTCTTGACAACATCTCCACCTTCAGCTTCTGTCTCACTCACAGAGTGAGTAGTAACTCCAGAAAGAGACGACCCTAGAGCGCCTGCGCGAAGCCTTTCGGCTGTTGTACTCTGGGCATGCTTGTAGTTGCGTTCTATTTTCAGCCAGCGGGCCGTGTGTTTTTGAGCCAGGTCGATTTCCCGTTTTTGTTTCTCGAGTTGGTGAGCCATGCCCATGTTGGAAGTCTCGATGATTTGGCGTAGTTTAGAGTCGTCAAAACTGGCATAGTTTCGACATGCTAGAAAGAAAATGGTAGACTTGGCGGAAAGGGCCGCCATTGGCCATAGAGACGCCAGTGGGAGCGTGCGTCCGACGGATCTAGGTAACATTATGGAGTTGTAGATGCCGAAATCGCACTATGTAGGTATGGGGCAGAAGAGATTGGGATGGAGAAAACCGGAATGCATTAAAAGAGTCAATATTTATGAGTACAGTTGAATTTCTAGGCAAGTTGTCTCTTTTATTAACCCTTTCTATAGTAAATTAAAGAGAAATGAGAGTAACATGGAGATTTGGTGATTGATGTAAAGTTGACAGTGACGTTGAGAATTGCGAGTGACATAGAGTTTTGAAAGTATGGACTAATCAGGAAGAGTCAGCGATCATTGGAGCAGATGGAAAAATAAAGTTCGAGAAAGAAAGATTTTCTCTCGAATACTGCTCTGGAATTTCAGGTCGTAGGACATCAATTCCCCAAATGTACAATTTTAAGACTGAGTAATTCTTCATCTATCGAGCGGGCGCTAATCTAGACAGTTAACGTAGCAAAAGAACAGGAACCAAAAGTCTAAATTGATCTGTGATTATTATTTTCAGAGCGATTTACCCTTTCAAGTGATTTCCTCTTGAATGTTACTAGTATACATATGAGGCTATGGCACTACCTTCACGTCTTCTTTGTTTTCCTTCATTTTCTTCTTCGTACCTCTGTTCTCTTATTATTACCATCTCTTTTCTTCTTCTCATGCTCTACTGCTGCTCTCCTACCCTTTCCCTCTTCCTACTAATACCCATTGTCAAAGAAATAAGTCATTCATTAAAAGTTCTTGTCCACCAACTCACGAGTCATTCTCCAGTTGTCCTCCTCAACGTAATCCAAAACAATGATTCCACTACCGCGAGAAAAACTGTCTTGCAAGTTGTTGGCAGCCATAGCCTTGGCAACCTGCTGGGGCCAACAGGCCGTGTCGAAGAAATTGGATCCAGACGTAAAGTTCACAAACAACTTGTTGTCCGTGGACGTGGAGTTGTAATCAGAAGCCTTTCTGGCCAAATTCTTCACGTATTCCACCTTCTTGGGGATATCGTCAGCAGATTGGATCTCGCAGAAGTCCTGGACGCAGAAACGGCCCCGATCATCCTCGGTGGTGTTATACTTCCACGATGCAGCATCAAATCCATAGTTTCCGCCTCTGTCATCACGCACACCAAATCTTCTGAAAAGAATCACTTTTCCTCTGGCACTACCGATGTTTGGCAACTCTGATCCCAAGTACCACTTGTTCTCGTTTGGTCCAATGTACTTGTCCCAAATCAACTTACCAAACTCATCCTGGTCGTTGTTCCACTCACCAGTTCCTTCCTGCTTGAGCGACACAATCACCGTCTCAGAGTTGTTGTCACGCACAAAGTCGTAAACCTCATCCAAAGCATCGGAAAGCTTCAATGGGAAGGGAATCTTTACTGGGAACTTGCCATGCACCACAGTCAACTCATTGGCCTCATCTCCCGACTTCAATGGATGCTTGCCGACACGGACATCCAAGAAACGAACTCCATGTCTCAATTGGTCAGTGACAGATTCGCCCTGGCATTGCACTGATGGTAAAGCAGTGTGATAGGCAAACGAATTGTGGGTGCCTGGAATGGAGAGGGAAGAGAGTCTGGTGTCGTTGTTGAGCTCTCCGAGCCACGATTGGTAGTTAGGCATTTTTTGTTTTGTGTAGTGGTGTTGATTGTAAACTGGATATTACCGGTGACAATGTGGGGTGGAGAAAACAGCAACCTCGCCGGTATTTATAGTGGAGACGGCCATGCATGGAACATTGGAGTATCTGCACGCCGAAAAACGGTATCAAATACGAGGGTGTGTTACGAGTGTTGAGGAGGGGCTGGTGAAGATTCAACGGCTTGAAACGGGGGTAATTGTTATTTTACATTAATGGAACTTGCCAATAGTATAAATCAAGACTATATTGGGTGGTGATTTTATACATGTCCAAGAGGTGAAATTCACTGGCAGACGTCATGTTACTGCAGGACACATTTGCAGGACCACTACCTCATCAGGGCAACATTCTAAGTAACATTCCAGAATGCAAGATGAAGCCACCATATATTAGATGAGGAAGAAATAGGAATATGTATTAGTTCATAAAGATGATATTTTCACGCCATACACTCACCATATTCTCAAATTCAAGACTACAGTGTTTTTTTTTAATAGTAGAAGGCATCCCATATATCCCGGTAATCCAATTTGCCCTTTGTCTCGGGAACTCTTGCCCAGATTGCAACAAAGTAAAAGACCGAGATGCCGAAGAAAACAAAGAAAATGGAATTGCCAACGATATCTTTTAAAAGTGGGAACAGGTAAGCAATGATAATATTGGCAATCCAGTTCCACATGGTGCCGAATGATTGGGCGATTCCAATGGTTTCGTGACTGGCAAATTCGCTCACCATCAAGAATGGAATCAGGGCTAATCCAATGGAAAATCCAACAATAAACCCGAAACATGCAATCGCCGCCATGTAATCACGATTGTGAAGCAAACCCAAGGAAATAAAAACCGAACAAGTACCCATCATGGTCACTGACGCAAGCAACAAAGGTTTGCGGCCCCATCTATCAATGAAGGGCGAAATAGTGAGTGCCAGAATGACATTACACAATGCCAACAGACATGTGAGGTACAAGACATTAGTTTCCAGAGGTACAATGTTGGAAAGAACTGACACTCCATAGAAAGTGATGGCATTCATTCCACACAACTGCTGGGCCGTCATGATTACTATAATGGCGATCCACTCCTTTCTGTAGCGTGGACTGACAAGATACTCGACGATTGACAAAGTGCTTGGGTCAATTGAGCCTCTACGAGACATGGAGGTAGATAGTGGATGGAAATCGTCTTGCGGCCCGGATTCAAGCAAACTGGATCTTTCCGAGAGAAGTTTGTCCGCCGGAATGGTGCTAGTATTATTGGAGAGTCTTCTCCAATGGTTGATTTCGTATCTCATAGCCAGAATGTCGGAACGTAAAGTGTGTAAGATCTCAGTGGCACTAGAGACGTCACCACGATGCAAAATGAGCCATTTGGGCGATTCCACAGTAGTGAAGAGAAGGAGAAACTGGAACAACGCCACGAATGCTCCGAAAAGAAACAAGTATCTCCACTGCTGGTCGTTGGACCACGGGAATGCAATAAGCTGCGCAGCCAAAATGCCCATGGCCACTCCAAACTGGAGCAAAGAACCCATGAGTCCTCTGTGGTTAAAAGGTGTGATTTCGCTCACGAGAATAGGAGCTACCACCATGGATGCTCCAGCGCCGATTCCTCCAAAGAGCCTTCCCATGTACATGGCCGGAAGTGAGTTGGCTCCGGTTAAAAGCAACGAGCCTAATAGGTAACAGAGAGCACATATTTTCTGAAGTTTCTTGCGTCCAAACATGGCCGAGACGGTATGAGAGCCGGCAAACAGCGACGAGAGCAAACCACCAACGGTAAATAGCGTATTTAGAAGCGCAATGTTGCTCAGTTTCATGGGGATACACTGTGCTCGTCCATAGGTATTCCACAACGTATCTTCATAGGATGGGAGGGGGCCAGGGATGTGCTTCTTGCAGGAGAAAATATCTTGGGGAGCATTTAATACTGCAAGATGAAAGCCAAATTGCAAGGTACTGAGGCAAGTGATGGCTGTGGCCCACGCCAATCTGGGAGTCACACGATGACTGGTGTAGAGTTGATCGTCCATGGATGGTTGCGAAAGCAAGACTTTGCTAGTGGGAGATGAATGCACAAAGGATGCAGAGGAATGAAAGCTGGGAAAAACTTGAAGTATGGGACAATGCCAGCAATTAACCACTATAAATTAGCAGATGTGAAAAATCCAGATCAGACCGGTATGCCGTGATTTGAAGATGATTAGCTCTTATCAGTGGAATCAACAGGTGCAGGAGACAGATACCGCGGCCACTTGGTTCAAGATGACGAGTAGTAAGAGACTGTGGGAGATGGAGAAGGAAAAGTAAAAGGAGGAGGACCGGAATGGATGAAGATGAGGGCTTTTAAGGTGCTATCGGCCACCCGACATGGTGAAAACGTCATGAGAGCATGAAAGGTGATAGGGTTGCTAGATTTCGGGCTTATGCGAGGTGGAACACGTCCGGCATGTCGAGACAGCAATCAGTGGGACAAGGCGATTGGAAGGAGGGATCAAACTTGAAAATATTAGAGGTAAGAATTGAGAGACGAGAGAGATGGAAGAGACAAAACGGAGATTAGAAGGAGACTTTGAGTTTGATAAGAAGATGTGAGGATAAGAAGAGAGAAAAAAATAGGAAAGGGAGATGTGAGGGAACGAGAAAATGATACCAGTAAGTATGGCGAGACGCAAGTGAAGACAGGAAAACTAGCGAGCGGAAAACCAATGATTTCGGAAAAGAATAATAGCATTTTCGAAAGTGGAAATGAAGAGAAAAAAGATCATGCAGAAACTGAACGAAGTATGCCATGACATATTGTGACAAGAATATCATGGCATGAAGGTAAATGGCTAATACAGAAAAGGAACAAGGTAGAGCAAGGTAGAGAAGAGGAAAGGCGAGAAGTAATGCGAGACAAGAGAAGAAATACGGGTCTGGTAGAAAGAGATGGCCCACGAGAAAATTGCAACGGAGCAGGGAAAGGATCAAAATCAGTAACAAAAACAGTAACTAGAAAACTAACCAAATAGTAACCAGAATAAGCATTACAATAGTAACCAGAACTATAACCAAAATTACAAGCAATTACAAACTTTAAGAAGTGTGAGCAGATCAAATTGAAAATGTCCTATAAGTCGCTATGCGTAAAGTGTGATCAACCGTTGTCAAGAGAAGTAAGGCCAGTGACGTTGACAGCCGAAAAAGAAACATCGGACCCACACACGGGGATACGACTAACACTTGGAAAATAGTTAAAGTTGTCTGACATTAAGCGACGTTTCTGACGTTTCTGGAACCTTTCCTAAAAGTCTCTGTTTCTATAACCCGTGCAGTTATGACATTCCGAAATACACGCATGTTCACCCACACCGGAGTTTTTTCAGGCACAGGCATTATACAATGAGATGAGTTCACATAGGAGAGGAAGGAATTAGCAATCACAGTGACTCAGCAACATGACTCATGACCGATGATGAGCCCATGGCCGATCGGAGGTTGCCATTTGTGGGGAAAAACGACAAATACGACGGAAGGTGATGAGCAATGGTAAAGATGGTCATGGAATCAAACGTATAGGCGAATGGATGAAACAATGGAATGGAGCAGGTTTACAAAAGTGGGAGGATTTACAATAGTGTGAGAAGAGGACAACGAAGGAAGAGATCTATGGGAAGAGAAATTTGAAAGACATGAGAAATGAGGAATGCGAAAGAGACGTGAAAAGCAGAAACGGAAAACAAATGAAAGTGGGAAAAAATCAAACTGTAAAATGAAGAAAAATCGACATATGAAGGAAATTCTAGATCAATATGATGATGAAAGTTAAAATGTGTGATAATGTGGAAGAAAATAATTCCATCGACCAAGAATGCACATGGGAATTCTGGGCCCCAATACTCCAAGACTTAATCATCCCCAAGACTTTAATCCCCAAGACTTTAATCCCCAAGACTTTTATCCCCCAATTCTTCAAACCCCAAGAAGTTATTGCTCAAGATTTCGAGACTTGAATCTTCCAAGTACCAAGACTAACAAATAAAAGCCAAAAATAAAAACTAAAACCAAAACATAAACAACACCTAAGACCACACAAAAAATCAGCCAAAAAAAAAAAAAGAACCGCAAATAAGACTCAAACTAAAAAAAAAAAAAAATCAAACCAAAAAACAAACATCAAACCAAATAAACGAAAATACCCTTAATGATTGTCGTTGAGTCTTGCAGGTCCGCACCACATCCGGCCGAGATAGCTCCAATCTTGGTAGGAGACATCTTCTGCCACTTTCTTTCTCCTTATCTATTATTAATCCATTGCCGAATTCGGCCGTTCACAGCATCGATTAAGGATCGCTCTGTGTCAATACAATCCTATCGTGGAGCCCCTATTTCGAATTTCACAGTTTACTTTTCTTCACATTTCTTCATGTTTAAGTTTGCAAATTTTCAACATTACCCTTTTTTCTTTGCTTATTCCAATTTTCTCGACATTCCCCATTTTCTTCGCATTCTTTTTCTTTTAGGCTCCCATTCCCAGGCATTTCTTAGCATTTTTTTCGCATTTGTCCTGGATCCTCCGGCTCATCCGCATAGGCTTCCGCTCCGAATTACATCATTGGCGCGGGCCATTAGGCCCTAACGGGCCGCCAATGCCACCAGTGCAGGCCAGCCGTGTGTGGAACAATTTCTTGAAGGCGCTATCCACCTTGTCCATTCACCAACCATCGCATTTCTCTCAGTGTTCTCCACCAATTAAATCATAAAATCACATCGTACTACTCCCCAGGTTAAGTGCCCCCCTTTAATTGCCCCATCCTTCAATTCACCCATCACCAACTACCCACCCCAGCCTTGTCGTCTGTAGCTAACCCCAATGTCTCGTTCCTAGGTCGTATGGAGCTGTGTCCAGGAGTCCGGCAGTAAGACCCGCAGGCCTTGGCCACACCGCAGGCCCCAAATAGGTGGTGAGGCTAAATAACCGGGTGGTGCCGCAGACACCTGCGGTTGCGACTTTTTGGTTTGCTTTATTTGTTGCTGAGAATTGCTTCGTGGGTGTCGATTTTTTAATATATTTTGCTTTTTTTTGGTGTTTGCCGTCCCCATACCGCTCCCAAACCTCTGGTCATTGCCTCCGCATTAGTTGCTGTGGGCCTGTGTTGACATCGTTCCAGATCCTTGCTCGCAATCTGTGGCTGTGCATCAGATCTGGTTGCTTCTTAATCAAATCGTATAGATTAGCGAATTTTTGCCTTGATATCACCGGAGACTCATCTTCCTGATTTGATTATTATTCCAAATTTCCACATCTCTTTGAATTTCCACACCTTCCTGAATTTTCAAAACACTTCCCGAATTTCCCTGATCTGCCATATTTTCCCAGTTTCCTGAATTTCCTCAACGCTTTTCACTTTCAACCTCATCTCATCATGTTCTCGCTCTTCTCCCGCAAGAAGAAGCCTGAAAGGCCCCTGAATGCTTCCAAATCATCATCCCTCAAGAATAAGGACGTTGCCACCCGCAAAAGACCCTCCAGACAATTGGCTCCCGCTACCAAATCTTCCGGGAATACCGCTTCGGCTCCGGTGCCTGTTTCCACAGCTCCAAAGCCCAACTACGCAAACTTCATCAACCAGTTTGAGGACCTGACCTCTTTATCGCTGTCTGTTAGCTTATCGGGGCCCATGGCTAGCGCTTTGGACTCTGGATCCTTACAAACGAGCTCCGAAGCCAACCTGCGGTCTAATCTGGGCTCCAACCTCGTCGTACTGGGCCCCAGACCGCCACGTCTCAACACCAACCAACCTGTTATCTCCGCTCCATCGTCGCCGGTGAGCAGACGGTCCACAGATCGTCATGTACCATCTTATGTTCGTCATTCTCGAGTGCTCTCAGGCGCCAGTGCTAACTTGGGAGCCTTGGACTCGATGTTTCTGAGGGCAGGCACTTTGCGCCAGCGGCTGAAAACCATCCAGACCGATTTGCCTCCTGAGTTGCTGCCGGTCATCAACTTGCTAAATGCACAACGTGTTCGTCAGTATGCGGAAGGGCCACTTTTAGTGTTGGCTCCCAACAACTTCGACTGGATCCCATGCGATGCTGTGCTCACGGGTACAGAATTGTGTATCTGGCTCGAGGGAAGCTCCAATGCCCGCTACTTGAACGTACAAGACTGCTCCATCGTGCCTCTGAGGGCTTCTGTACCTGGCGACGACATGCTCTACGATTTGGTGGTACTCCAGGACTTCGACACAAAGATCACCACTTTCCGGTTCCCAAACTCGACCGCCATGACCTCATGGCTCAGTGGCTTGCAGTTGGCCAAGTTTGAGAACACCTCGCTCAACGAGGCCTTCACTGCTGTTATGCTCTCGCTAAAGGGCCCAGAGTTGCTGGATATCTACACGTTGTTAGCCCACAAGAAGCGTTTCCCTCGTTTTGAATGGTGCAACTTGCGCTTGCCACAGGTGCTGAACAAGTGGGTCCGTGTGTACATGGCCATCATCCCTGGCGATGGCAAGAAGAAGGGCCGTGTTGAGGTGTACACCCTGGACAAGATCAACAAGAAATCTTTAGTGTTGTATGTGAACGACGCTGACGCTGTCTACAACGTGTATCCGGAAGATTACAACATGATTAACTTTAACCTGATCATGAAGTTGGAAGGTGAGGTGTTTGTTTCTAAGCTGTTCCAGCATCTCTTCTCTTACGAGTCATTCCAACCTCCAGGAACACCTACTATGGCCCTGAAGATGTTTTCTCGTTCCACCAGTCAGACGTCGATGAGTTCGCTCAATCCTCCTCCAGCCATTGGTTTAGGCAGTTCACCAGCCAACGGCTCTGGTGCCAGATCCAGAAGTACGTCTGTCAACTCAACATCGTCATTTTTTGTCAATGCTCCTCTGCCAGATCCAGAAGGAAATGTCCAGTCGATGCCAGGCTCTCCTACAAGATCAGGAACTCACTTCTTCAAGAAGCAGACTGCCAACAATTTTGTTTCCACCAATTACTTGTATGTGATGCCTTTGACCCATCCTGGAGTCTCAGCCCTTGAGATTATGATCAGAAACTTTGTGCACATTATAGACGCATTCAAGCTATACGGCCGGCCCGAGCACCTCAACAGCGACAAGCTTCTGCCTGTGTCAATGCTCTTTGGGTTGCCATCTTTACCTCACTGCTTCTACTTATCAGACGAGGATGCATACGAAGTCGTGGCTGCCAATTTCGACACCGCTCGTCTTCAAAACTGGACCGAACTTCAGTGGAGAAACTGCTTGAAGGAGTATTTGCTGTGCAAACAGAGAGACGGCGATTACAAAGGAGAGGGCAACATCGTGGAGCTCTTCGATTCAGTGGAGGCAGAGGGTGCGGATTCCTTGGATGGCATGGGCTCGCCCAAGATCACACTTCCTCAGTATGGATCTCGGGTAACGTCGCCTATGCCGCCAGCAGTACCTTCCAAGCTTCGACAGTCCGCCAGTGAACAGAATGGTTTTGACCCTTTTTCTGACAGCGACACCAATATTGCCCTTCGAGACCAGGTGTATTTGGGACGGCCCATTGAGTTTGAGAGTAGTTCGTACTCGCCACGGCCGAGCCGTGGGAACATACCCAACCATGAGTTGACAAACGACGAGGTGATCCGGTCGTTGGAGCCAATTGTTGATTTGCCTACGCCTTTGGATGATAATGTGGCCAAGCATTACTTCGCCATTAATGATGATAAGGCAGTTCGTGTTGGTCCATAAGGAAAAGAATTAATTAAAAAAGTGATAGAGAAGATTGTAGAATTAAGTATGGGAGAGCTTGAGGTTTTGTTGGATAAAAAACAGTAGTGTGGACAGTGAAGAGTACCATGGACAATAGTATGATTAGTATCTTGGAGATTGATAAGAATATTTATGAGCATTGAATGAACTTAAATGAATTTGATAACGAATGCTAAATGAACACTATAATGAACTTTAAATAAATACTAAATGAACAGACAAGTTCAAATCTCACATCAGAAACTTCAATTCAATACCACGCTGACAATAAACTCTTATACAAGCAATGGTATCACTAAAGCATAGCAATCGAGTCACACCAACAACATTCTGACGCATTCAGGACAATATTCTCGTAGTATCATGGTACTAGTTATTCAATCAGTCCATATGCGAGTGCAAAACCCCACTATGGTGGGCCAATTCGATTTACGAAAAAATATTCATATGTCATCAGACATGAAATGAACCTGGATATTCTCTAATAATTCCATCCATCCATCAAACAGCTCATAAACTCATGAGCTTCATAAACTCCATACATAAACATTATTTCTATAAACTTTATAACCTTTAGAAACTCTAAAACTGTTACAATTCCCTTAATTCCATAATACAATTCACTTCCATACAATTCTAAAAAACCATGAGCCTCAAATCTAAATTCCCTCCAACTATATTCACTACACTCCTTCACAGAAGTTAACTCCTACATCATTCATCCATTCACATCCCATCTCCGATCATGGCCGACATGACTAAACCTTCTACACACCTCTGCATATGGAAGGTTACCCAATTGCCCGATCTGTGGCCGACATTACGATCCGATATATTCTAATACAGTCACGTCCACGTCTGGAGATGGAATAACCACGTCTGGAGGAAGGCGTGTGAGCACGCGATGCGCGTGGTTTTGTGCATACCTTTTCTTGGGCGCGTGGTAAACATTCATCCGGCATATAACGACCAGCCACCCAGAGCAATTCCACCATGAAAAATACAAAACTTTGAGTAAAATGGGAACCAACCGGCCAAATTTCCTCAGAAAAAAACCCAAAGTCATGTAATTCAGCTATTCAAATCTAATAATCTAATTTTTTCCCCATTTAAGGCCCTTCTTTATCGATTTTCCCTTGCTTATTGAAAGTGCTCAGCACCCATCTCATCCGGCATAAAAGCGTCGCCACACACGTGATCCATCCTCCATCATACCCGTCGCTACTCCAGCAACACGTAACCTCCTTCGAAATCAAAACAAAAGATCCTTCCGACTTCGGTCTTACGCGATATATAAAGACCCGCGTTCCCCCTCTCGCATTTTACTTCATTCTTTACAACATTATGTCTGTGCAACAAACCCCAACCAACGGCTTAACCGGAAAAATCTCTTCGCTTGATATGTCCAACGTAAAAGGCTCTTCATTGACTGACAAATTGGCTGCTGAAGCCGCCATTAAGGATGCCGGTACTTCTGTCGATTCGCTTGCTGGAAAGCCTGTTGGTATCGTTCGTCCTGCCCACATTAAGGAAGGTGGAGCAGAGGAAGCTGCTAAGGTTGAGAAGGAGATTCAGGCTGCTACCATTGAGCATGCTGAGTTCTTGGCCAGCCACAAGGTTCACCGTCATCAGTTGAAGGCTCAAGAGAAGGACGAACCACTCTTGGTGGAGAACAAGAGAAGATTTGTCTTGTTCCCTATTAAGTACAACGAGATTTGGCAGATGTACAAGAAGGCTGAGGCTTCTTTCTGGACCGCCGAGGAGATTGACTTGTCCAAGGACTTGCACGACTGGAACCACCGTATGAACGAGAATGAGAGGTTCTTCTTGTCGCGTGTTTTGGCTTTCTTCGCTGCCTCTGACGGTATTGTCAACGAAAACTTGGTGGAGAACTTCTCTGCTGAGGTCCAGATCCCTGAAGCTAAGTGTTTCTACGGTTTTCAGATCATGATGGAGAACATTCACTCCGAGACCTACTCGTTGTTGATCGACACCTACATCAAGGACCCTCAGGAGGCCGACTTTTTGTTCAATGCCATCGACAACATCCCATGCATCAAGAAGAAGGCCGACTGGGCTTTGAGATGGATCTCTGACGACGAGGCTTTGTTCGGTGAGAGATTGGTGGCCTTTGCTGCCGTGGAGGGTATTTTCTTCTCCGGCTCGTTCGCATCTATCTTCTGGTTGAAGAAGAGAGGCTTGATGCCTGGTCTTACCTTCTCCAATGAGTTGATTTGCCGTGACGAGGGCTTGCACACCGACTTTGCATGCTTGTTGTTCTCGCACTTGAAGAACAGACCTTCGCAAGCCATTGTGGAAAGAATCATTACCGAGGCTGTTATCATCGAGAAGGAATACTTCACCGACGCTTTGCCAGCATCTTTGTTGGGTATGAACTCCAAGTTGATGTGCCAATACGTCGAGTTTGTCGCCGACAGATTGCTTGTGGCCTTGGGCAACAAGAAGGTGTACAATGTGACGAACCCATTCGACTTCATGGAGAACATCTCGTTGGCTGGTAAGACCAACTTCTTCGAGAAGAGAGTGTCGGACTACCAGAAGGCTGGAGTGATGGCCAAGTCCGGCGACGCTAAGAGCAGCAACACCTTCTCGTTCGACGAGGACTTTTAGGCACAAAAGTTTTTTTTAGATGCATCACTGCTTGTTTTTGGTTTGTTTAGTCATGTTTTTGGTATCTTGCTGGGTCCCCTGGCCATCTGGTATGGGCTCTGGCCTTTCATTTCCTTAATGTTGTATAGAAATTTACGTTTATATGAAGAAGAGAAGGGATTAAAGTAAGCAAAAATCGAAGCATCGAATGAATCCTCATCAAGGTTGCAGGGAGTAGGAAAAGTACTGGTGATGTTATCCGAAACCCGTGCACCAGACAATATTCTCATCACCATCATCTTCACTATCTTTATTATTAATGGCTAAAGGAAAAAATAAAACGTCCGAAGAGAGGACTTCAAAGTCTAGAACCTCTAACGGACACAAATCCAAACAGCATCATGCTAGAAAAGGAAGACAGGAGACGGGAGCTCAAGCTCAGAATTCTGAAGCAATTTTTCCAGTCAAATTAGCCATGTGGGATTTTGACCACTGTGACCCCAAAAGATGTTCAGGTAAAAAACTTGAGCGTCTTGGCTACATCAAAAATCTACGTGTGGGCCAAAAATTTCAAGGTGTGGTCGTTTCCCCTAACGGAAAGGGTGTAGTTTGTCCAAACGATCGAGAAATCGTAGAAAGTGCTGGAGCAGCCGTTGTGGAGTGTTCATGGGCTCGTTTGGACGAGGTTCCGTTCAACAAGATCGGAGGCAGAAATGAGCGTCTTTTGCCTTACTTGGTGGCCGCTAACACTGTGAATTATGGCCGGCCATGGAAACTCAATTGTGTTGAGGCATTAGCGGCATGTTTTGCCATTGTGGGCCATGAAGATTGGGCCGCGGCGCTTCTAGAAAACTTCTCATGGGGTCTAACGTTTTTAGAAATCAACAAGGAGTTGTTGGAGGTGTACAGGCAGTGCACAGACTCGGAATCTGTTGAAAAGGCTCAAAATGAGTGGATGGCCAAACTCGAGGAAGAGGTGAGACAAAGAAAACAACAGAGTGCCAGTGGGGATATGTGGATGATGGGAAATGTGAACAGGGGAGGAGCTGCTGATCTGGACGATGAGGAAGAGGAGCAAGAGGAAGAAGAAGATGAGGAAGTGGAAATGGACAATTTAGGAAACATAATACTGAAGAAAGTGACGAAAAAGGAGCAAGATGAAGAAGAGGAAGACGATAGTGAAGAGGAAGCCGATAGTGAAGGGGAAGAAGGTGATGAGAATAAAGAAGATCAAGAAAATGATAATGGAGAGTATGAAGAAGAGTATGAGGAAGAGGAAGAGGTCAAGTACGACAAGTTGGGAAACATCATAGAGGTCACCAATAAGGTGGCAGGAATCAGCATATAGTTTTGAGAGCTACGATATGTAGTCATGATAATGAACATGTTACAGAACTATAAAAAAAATTCAATTTGTAGTGCACCATAGACATGTGGCTCATACTATGAGAATCTCGAACAAGAACCAATATCAAAATTTCTGAACATTCATAAAATTTAAAATATATCCCCATTTGTCAATAGTTCGGGTTTCCTACATTATCCGAAGCTGTCCGCTAAATGAATAAAATTTCCCCCTTTCTACATTTCATTTCGTCCTATCCAATCCAGTACCTCCAGTCTATTGAGCTCGCAATCCCACCTTATCAGTGTGCACACATAACTTCGACACTCTTTACTAATCATGAGCTACTCGGACATTAAAGGCATAAAAATCGCCATTGATCGAGGAGGTACGTTCTGTGACATTATTGCCAAAATCCCCGGCCAGCCGGATTTTGTGTTTAAGTTACTATCCGTGGATCCTCTCAACTATCCAGATGCTCCTACTGAAGGTATCAGAAGAGTATTGGAACATGCCCATGGTGTGGAAATTGCCAAAGGTGAAAAATTGAAAATCGATTCAATTGACCTGATCCGTATGGGAACTACAGTAGCCACCAATGCGTTGCTAGAGAGAAAGGGCGCTGCTGTGGCTTTGGTCACCACCAAAGGTTTCAAAGATGTGCTCCGCATTGGAAACCAGACCAGACCGGCCATTTTCGACCTCACAGCTCACAAGTTGGGCCATTTGTACCTGGAAGTGTTGGAAATTGACGAGAGAGTGACCATGGAGCTGTTTACGGAAGGCGGAGGTGATAAGTTGAAAGAGAAGTTGAAGAAGAGACTTGACGTGGGAGAAATCGATGACCCCGAGTTGGATGTTGGAGTCACTGGGGATATTGTGCGTGTTTTGAAGAAGCCAAACTATGAGGAAGTGGAGAAACAGCTCACAGAGTTGTACAACGCAGGATCAATCAAGACGTTGGCATTGTGCTTACTCCATTCTTATGCCTATCCTAGCCACGAGCAGAAGATCGCAGAAATTGCAAAGAAAATCGGCTTTGCTGTATCTGTTTCTCACGAGTTACAACCAATGATCGGTATGGTTAACCGCTGTTCTTCCACCGTAGCTGATGCATACTTATCCCCCGTGATCAATAACTACATCCAGGGTTTTGGAGAGGGCTTTGAAGGTGGCCTCGAGTCCTTTGGAAACAAGCTCTTGTTCATGCAAAGTAACGGAGGTTTGTGTCCGTGGTACAAATTCACGGGACTTCGGGCCATTTTATCTGGTCCAGCTGGAGGAATGGTTGGATACGGTGAAACATGCTATGATGAGACCACCAAAACCTCTGCAATTGGTTTTGACGCTGGAGGAACATCCACCGATGTTTCCAGATACGCCGGAACTTTGGAGCACATCTACGAGACCGTGGTCAGCCAGGTAAGTTTACAGACCCCACAGTTGGATATTTCCACCGTGGCTGCTGGAGGTGGCTCGATGCTTTTTTGGAAGAATGGAATGTTCATGGTGGGTCCCGAGTCCGCTGGTTCAGATCCTGGCCCTGCGTGCTACAGAAAGGGAGGGCCATTAACAGTGACTGATGCCAACTTATTTTTGGGGAAGTTGATTCCAGGTTACTTTCCTAAGATCTTTGGACCCAACCAGGACGAGCCGCTCGATTACGAGGTTACGAGGACTAAATTTTTGGAGCTCACAGAGCAGATCAATGCTGAGGGTGCTAGTTACTCTCCTGAAGAGGTTGCGTCCGGATTCTTAAAGGTTGCCGTGGAGGCCATGGCTCGTCCTATTCGTAACTTAACAGAGGCCAAAGGTTACAATGTTTCTGAGCACAACTTGGCATGTTTCGGAGGTTCCGGTGGCCAGTTCTCGGTCGCACTTGCTAAGAATTTGGGCATTAACCAAGTTGCAATCCACAAGTATTCGTCATTGCTTTCAGCATACGGAATCTATTTAGCTGATATTGTCATCGAGAAGCAGGCTCCGATATCGTTGGCTTACAATAGTGAAAGCGTGGCAGCTATCGACAAGAAAGTGGAAGAACTTGTTGCTGCAGCTTACAAGGATTACGAGGATCAGGGGCATCAGGGCTTTGATACGAAGATTGAAGTCTTCTTAAACATGCGTTACGTTGGATCTGACACTCACCTTCTCATTGCCAAGGGCGACAAGAATGATGCAGACAAGAAATTCATCGAGAGACACAGAAACGAGTTTGGTTTCACTTTGGATAGGAAAGTCCTCTTGGATGACATTGAAGTGTTGTTGATAGTGCAATCGAAGGATAAGCATAAGAACAACCCATATGAGGAGTTCAGAAACCTCACCAATCCAACAGCTGCATCAAAACCCCAGTCATCCGAGAGAGTTTACTTCGACGAAATTGGATGGCAGACGACCAATGTATATGAGTTAGAAAACCTCCCTAAAGGTACCATCGTCGAGGCTCCAGCTGTGATTCTCGATAGCACGCAAACAATTCTTGTTGATCCTGGATCGAAGGCTGCTATCCTCTCTGAACATATTCTTATTGTAATTCAACAGGAGGAAAGGGCCAAATTGTCCGAGAAGACAGTGGATCCCATACAGCTCTCAGTTTTTGGCCATAGATTCATGTCTATTGCGGAGCAGATGGGCCGCACTTTACAACAGACAGCTATTTCTACTAATATCAAAGAGAGGTTGGACTTTTCGTGTGCGCTTTTTGACAGCAATGGAGACTTAGTAGCCAATGCACCTCATGTTCCCATTCACTTGGGCGCAATGTCCTTTGCCGTGAAAGCACAGAAAGAATTGTGGGATGGAAAGCTTGAGCAAGGTGACGTCCTTGTAACTAACCACCCATGTGCGGGAGGTTCCCATCTTCCAGACATTACCGTCATTACGCCAGTCATCGATGATGATGGAAAGGTGCTTTTCTGGACAGCTTCGAGAGGCCACCATGCGGATATTGGCTCTATCTCTGCTGGCTCCATGCCTCCAAATTCGAAGACTATTTACGATGAAGGTGCAGCCATCATTACTCACAAGTTGTGTTCCAAGGGTAAGTTTGATGAAGAAGGAATTACTCGACTTTTGTTGGACGAGCCTGCCAAACACCCTGGAGGTTCTGGAACCAGAGCATTGAGCGACAATATCTCAGACTTGAAAGCGCAAGTCTCCGCCAACTTCAAGGGTATAACTTTGTTGAAAGGATTGGTGCAAGAGTACACGTATCCCGTGATTGACTTGTACATGACTGGAATCCAAGATACTGCTGAGTTGGCGGTGAGAAATTTGTTGAAAACAGCTTACGAAAGGTTCAATGGCCACAATTTGCAGGCTATCGACTACTTGGATGACGGAACCGAAATTGCTGTTCAAATCGCAATTGATCCAGAAACTGGAGATTCGGTTTTCGATTTCACAAAGTCTGGAGACGAGATGTACGGCAATCTAAATGCTCCAAAGGCTATTTTGTACTCGGCAGTCCTCTATGTGTTGAGGTCATTGATCAGTGAAGAAATCCCATTGAATAATGGATGTCTCAAACCAATCAAGTTCATCACCAGGCCAAATTCCGTTGTGGATCCGTCGTATGAAGCAGCTGTCGTTGGAGGAAATGTGGAGACCACCCAGAGAATTGTGGATGTAATGTTGAAGGCGTTTGAGGCGGCAGCAGCATCTCAGGGCACTTGTAACAACTTCACTTTTGGTATCAATGACAAGGAAAATGCTGTCTCCTTTGGATATTATGAAACCATCTGCGGAGGATCTGGTGCTGGACCAACTTGGGACGGACAGAGTGCCGTTCAGTGCCACACCACAAATACCAGAATCACCGATACCGAGCTATTTGAAAAGAGATATCCAGTGATAGTTCGCGAGTATTCTATTAGAGCCGGTTCTGGAGGAGAAGGCGACCACCGTGGAGGAGACGGAGTGATTCGAGACATCGAATTCTCCTACGATGGACTTGAAGTATCGTGCCTCATGGAGCGTCGTTCCTTGGCTCCTTTTGGATTGGCAGGGGGATCTAGTGGAGCTAGGGGTCGTAATGTGTGGATCAAGAAACCCAAGAAGGGCGAAGAAGCTCGATCTACATATCTTGGAGGAAAGACTACTGTCAAGGTCAAGAAAGGAGACCGAGTGATTATAATGACTCCTGGCGGAGGAGGATACGGAGGAAAATCCAAGGCTACTGCTACTGATCAACGTACTGTGGACTATGGAGTGAAGAGCACATTACCTAGTCGGGTGACTGGATCGGTGGGTATGAGGAGTTTTGTCCAGGAAACCAACTAGAAAGTCTTAAATATACATTTGAAATCAACAACATTGAGTCATCTCTTCGATTACAATTGACCCCGTGTCTCTAATATTTTCTCGAGTTTCATGAATTTAACCTCATCATCATGTCACTACCTCACTTATCACCTATCGTTTGGTGCAGGACCAAGACTTAGCTACTACCAGTGTCTAGTCAGCAAAACTATGGCTAGCACCAAACAGAAGCATCTACCGTTGCTCTACAATCCGCTTCTCAACAGTATCTTTAACAACCCAATCCATGAAAAATCTGCTCTTCGGTTCACCATCCAGGAGATCGGTCAAGCACACAATGACTTTGCAATTTTGGTTCCTCCAGCCCAGATCCTCCATGAATTTCAGGATGATTCCTCTCAGAAGCTCGTGGATGTTTGCTATTCCAATGATGATTTTGTGAGATCACATATTATTAAGATTAAGGTGGCATTTTCCGCCACTTCTGCGCCAGGGTCCAAGGTGCAGCTGATCATCTACAACACCATGAATGGCAAGCAGGTACTCATCAAAAACCGGATGGTTTACACGGGAAAAGGCTTCAAGAAGAGCATGAAGCTTTCAATCGTAGATGTGGGCCATTTTGTCTCGTTCTGTGACTATTTCCCAAAGGGAAGTCGCTTTCTAGTACTTTACATTCAAGATACTTTATATGGACACAAGATGACGGGACCAAATCCGCCAATGGTGAAGGAGCTGCCCAAACCGAGAACACAGCCCATCATTGGACAAGATGTCACTTTTGAGCGGATTCTACGAACTTTTCCTGTGCTCTCACAGGCGATGTCCGAGCATTTCTACGTTCTCTTCCACCATAACAATCGGCAGTTCCAGCGTCTTCGAACACGAAGCAGAATGCCACTAGAAACTATTTCGGGTGACTTCCAGACTGTCATCAGCGAGACAAATGGCATTATCACCAAATGCGTGTTTGCCAATACTACTGAAGGTGACAAAGCTTATAACATCATCAATGCCATTCTCAAGGAGTATCCACGACTAGATATGGATAAATTGATTCACGAGTATGTGGAACTTAACATCTACGATACTGTGTGGCTGCAGCTTGTTTTCCAATATCAAAATTATAGACCCGATGATGGCATTGGCGGAGAGGATCTACCAGTCTTACTCTTGACGCAAAGTTTGTACAAAGACCTTTCATGCTTGTCTTTGAACCAGCTCGACATACCTACAGAAGAGCCGTGGATTATGAATACCTTGTACAAACGAGTTTCAGAGGCTATAGAGACTTTCTCGAAGTTGGGAGATCCCAGCACGTCCAACTGGAGCCTGAAGGTCAAGATCATCACCGACACCATGAAGATTCTCACCGAAGGGGCAAAAGCTGAAGGGACAAAAGCTAGAAATATTGTTATAGACGCAGATACGCTTATAGGGCTCTCAATCATGGTGGTCGTGCACTCAAAAGTACCATATTTGGAAGCACATCTTCATTATATTCGCCATTTCGAAGTGAAAAAGCATTTTCTGAATAGTTCCGAGGCTGATGATGTTGCTGACAGTGGACTTCTCAATTATATTCTCAGCAACTTTGAGGCAGTGATCTATCATCTTTCCAATGGAGAGCTGAACTTGCATCTAGAGGAGATGTCTCAGCTTTCCACTCTCAACTATCAGTTTTGGTCGGCCATACAGAAGAAAAACATTTCTCAGGTAAGTCAGTTATTAGACCAGGTTGCTGAGGAGTACGGGCATCAACCATTGCCCAAGAACCACTACTTGAGAAGCAGAAACATCCACGGAGAAAGCTGCTTTACATTTGCTATTCGTTCTAAAAATAGCAAGATATTCAGAATGCTCATTACCAGAACCGTGGATTGGATTCTGTTTGAAGATTTGATCTTCGATATGAATACTTCCACTGACCAGAACTTGCTAATGTTGGCTCTTCAGGAGGAAGCCCACGACATGTGCATGTGTATCATTGACACAATAGGCGAAACAGCCACAGTAGAGGAACAATATCTCTATTACAACTCCAAGGATATCAATGGCAGGACCGTTGGCCACTACTTGTCACACGACACGGCCGTCTTAGATGCGATTGGCAATTCGATTGACTGGAAAGCAAAAGATAGTAACTCATATACACCATTGCTAAGCTTGTGCCGATGCTACGATCATCCTGATTACTATACGTTGATACGGAAGGCTTTTGAGTGTGTGGCGAATACTCAGGATGGCTATATTACTTATGATGACCACATCGACAAATCTGGCAATACGTTGCTTCATGTCATAGCCAAAGACATCAAAGCCTCTGGGTTACTCAACGAGTCTAAGTCATTGATCAATGTCAACAAGTTCAACAATAAATACCTTCTGCCTATTGGGGTTTTTATTCGCTATAGTCGGTTGGAGAACTTACGGTGTCTATTCGAGGACAAACGGCTTATTTTTGATTTGGAGGATCCTCAGAACTTCTATAATGTCCTAGACTACTACAGCTTCTCTGCGAGCAGAGCACAGAATGGCAATCCGGGAGCCATAGGGGAGATTCGCCAGGCTGTGGTGTCGAAGTTTTTCCGCCATTATTTTCCAAATAAGCTTTCCATAGAGTTTGGTGCCATGAACGCACGCTATGATGGAAACATGAAAGACTGGATTGTCAATCTAGCCTACAAAGATTCTGGAGATTCCGGTTTCTCGTCCATGGTCAAAATCGCCAACAAATCAGTAGAGAAAGATGCTGTGGCTACAAGGTATGTTCCATTAAATCAGCTCCGGCAGTTTACCAAGATTATTAAAATTGCATCACCATTGAGTTTCACCATGATTCCAGAAGCGTTTTGGGTCAATTTTCCCAGTGGAGGCTCTACCATCCCGTTTTGTTCGAAGTTCAGAACAAACAGAGCATTGGAGCATTTGAACATGTTGTTTCAGTCAATGAACTTCCAATCTAAAACGTCCCAGACTTTGTTTCTCCGAAGCTTGACTATGTGCTGCCGAAATGAACCCATTCTGGTTTTGGATTTCATGAATGACTATGCTCATAAGCAAGAGATCGAGAAGACCGACATAGGTGAAGTTAAGTTGTCTCCGCAGAAAATCGATGAGATCGATTATTTTTTAGGATACAGCAAAGACGATCTTTTGAAGTACATGCGTCAGATCTCCAAGCTCAACAAACTCTCTGCTGTAGGAGGTATAAAGCAATGCGATTATCGGGCTGTGTTTGACCAATTGTTGACGACCTTACCTGGAGTGAAGTGGGACGAGTTGGAACCAAAGAAAGAGGCCAGAACCATTGATGCACTGTATCATACTTTTCAGTCGTTTGTGCTATGGATTGAGATTTGTGTTGCCGAACTTCTTAAGAACTGCGGGATTGTAGTTGACAAACTCAATCGATGGAGGCAAAAGTATACAAAAATCAAGGAGATCAATGCCGAGCTCCACCGGTTCGAAGAGCAAATCGTCGTTCACCGCACTGAAGATGGGGAGGAGAGACCCGGCACGATTTCAAGACGAAGCACCATGTCTCTCGATGCAATTCCGATTGAAGATGAAGAGAGCAAGTCCACATTTTTTGGATTGATCGACAACAAAAAAAGTCGTTACCGCAAGTTACTTTTCTCTAAGGCTGAAGAAGTGAAGAAGGTGATGGACCTCAATGTGGAGATTAAAATGGAGCATGAGGCGATTGCTGCAGAGATCTCCCATTTCCTAGCATTTAGGTCTGGGTTCATGGCATTTGCCATCAAGCAATTTACTAAGAGTACGTTGGTGCTGTTGCGTCACCGTCAATACGAGATGACCAAGACGTTGTATGAGACCCGAAGCTCCGAGAAGGTGACTTCAATTAACAGATTCGATGGGGCACCCATAAACACAGTTGAGGAACCCAAGAATTCTCATGGATGATAGGAATTTCATTGCGTTCAATTAAATGAACTACTTCTGTTCAGATTTTTAATTGTTTGAAATATTTGGTCAGTTGGGGAAATGATGTTTAAAATATTTGAATTGATGGTTCTAGTTAATTTTGATGTTGGGTGCGAAATGGCCCATTGAGATATCCCAGAAAATTTCCTAGATAGACGATTCACACCGAATTGCCCAACCCAGGAACAGCTCCATACTATTTCTACATTAACAATTGCCTATTTGGTCCTTCCGACGCTGACTATATTCCATCCGCATGTCTCATCAATAGTTTCTCCATGTCCCATCTATTACTTCCCCAGAACCTTCCAGAACACCCGTGCCTCCCGCCCCATGCCAGGCGTGGCCACTACTTAGAACACCAATTTGGCCAACGATTCACTTTTACAACCAAAAATGAGTGACAACCGCAAGAAATTGGCCTTAGCCATCATCGACTTCTTGAAAACAAGTATCGCTGACAAAGTGATCTCCGAGGAGAATGTCGAGTCCATCGATGTCGCCGTGGAATGTATCGCCGACGCTTTTGAAGTTGACAAGGACCAGTCCGGAGGTGCCTCTGCAGCTTTTGGCGGCAAGTCTTTGCTCGAAATTGCCGATGCTGCTGTTTCGACTGAGTCTACTAGCGAGACCAAGCAGGAAATTAGCGCCCAAGACAAGGCCAAGGCCGAGTCATTGAAGGCTGAAGGTAACAAGGCCATTGGCGCCAGAGACTTTGACACCGCTGTGGCCAAGTATACCGAGGCCATTGCTTTGGACCCATATAACGTTGTATACTACTCAAACAGAGCTGCTGCTTACACTTCTGCAAACCAGCTCGAGAAGGCCGTTGAGGATGCGGAGAAGGCCATCGAATTGGATCCAACTTTCACCAAGGCCTACTCGAGATTGGGCTTGGCCCAGTACAACTTGGGCAACAGCGTTGCAGCCATGAAGGCATACGAGAAGGGTATGAACGCCGAGGGTGCTTCTCCAACCGATGCCATGAAGTCTGGCTACGAGACTGCTAAGAAGAGAGCCGAGGCAGAGTTGGGAAGCTCTGTGGACTCTGAGGCCGCAAACACCCGTGACGTTGGCGAGAGTGCCAGCACTGGTAACACGGGCGCAGGAGCTGGTGGCTTGCCTGACTTCTCGTCGATGTTTGGTGGAGGAGGCATGCCATCATTGGCAGATATGATGAACAACCCACAGGTGATGCAGGCAGCTCAAAACTTGATGTCGAACCCAGGCGCCTTGCAAGGTTTGATGAACAACCCAGACATTGCACGTATGGCGCAAAACATGGGCGGTGAAGGTGGTTTGGAAGGGTTGATGAACAACCCAATGCTCCGCAACATGGCACAACAGTTTATGGGTGGTGCCGGAGCAGGAGCAGGAGCCAGTGGCAACAGTGGATCTGACAGCCAGCAGTAATTATTTTTAATGCACGTTAAGATAGATGATAAGTACTAGGATCCAAGCTTTGGATCAACTGGGATAACTTCAAGGTAAATATGAAATCATAATCAGATCAAACGTCACATGTTTATATCCGAACGTCACTAAAATAAGATAAAACTACTCGATATTTCCAGATTCATCGTATATTGCCGAATCTTAAACAAACCATAGGTGACCTTACATTCACCTCCATACTTGCTGGCTTATGTTTTGCTCATTGAGGGCCATTTCGCACCAATACAGGGCAATAACTGCCAATACAAAAACACAAGAAACCAGATAAAAACAATAAAAGGCTTCAAAATATAAACACCAAAAACCTCCAAATACCATCGCCTTACCCTCTAATTTAATACATTTGCTCAGCAATTCATCCTTCCCAAATTCATCACCAACATCACCATTCGCGTCCTACACACTCCCAATGTTGACATGTACATATATCTCCAATACTACACCATCATATAAAAAAACCGACAAATTCCATGCCTTCGGACACAGTCCGCCAGTCATCAATAAATGTGGCTGTTCGAGTACGGCCATTTACTTCCACCGAGCGAAACAAGCTCATCCGACCGCAATCCACAACGGTTTTTGCCGAAGGACTGTTACTGGCGTCTGAAGACCAGAACTCCTCCAAAACGACGACTCCGAACGGCATACGCAAGATCGTCAATGTAGTCGACGATCGCATGCTTATTTTTGACCCGCCGGACACAAATCCGCTCAACGCCATGCACAAAAGTGCATTTCCAAATGGCAACTCACGAATCAGAGATTACAAGTTTGTGTTTGACCGATTGTTTGATGAGGACGCGTCTCAGAACGATGTCTATGAGAACACCACAAGACCCCTCCTTGATAGTATTTTGGACGGCTTTAATAGCACAGTCTTTGCCTATGGAGCAACTGGATGTGGTAAAACTCATACAATTCTGGGCACTCTCGATGATCCTGGAGTGATTTTCCTCACTATGAAGGAGCTATACCAGCGGATAGAGCTGCTAAAAGATACCCGGATAATCGACGTATCCATTCTGTTCCTTGAAATCTACAATGAGACCATTAGAGATCTTCTCAGCCCTGAAACTCCACATAAGAAGCTCATACTTCGAGAAGACGCCAAAAATAGAATCACCGTGGCGAATCTACTGTCCCAGAAACCTCTGTGTGTTGAGGAGGTCATGGAGTTGATCATGGTGGGCAACCAAAACCGTACATCCTCGCCTACAGAAGCCAACGCGGCATCTTCACGATCCCACGCCGTTCTACAGATCAATGTGGTTCTGCGGGACCGTACCGCTAGCCTTAATGAGGAACACAACTTTGCTACGCTCTCAATCATTGATTTAGCAGGCAGTGAACGAGCGGCTGCCACTAAAAACCGAGGAGCCAGGCTAAATGAAGGCGCCAACATCAACAAGTCGCTTCTAGCACTTGGAAATTGCATCAACGCACTTTGCGATCCCCGGAGAAAGAATCATGTCCCGTACCGAAATCTGAAGTTGACCCGACTCTTGAAGTTTTCATTGGGGGGAAACTGTAAGACGGTAATGATTGTTTGCGTCTCTCCTCTGTCGCTGCATTACGACGAGACACTCAACACTCTAAAGTATGCTGATCGTGCAAAGGAAATCAAGACAAAACTCATACGTAATCGCACGAATATGGATAGGCATGTGGGGTCCTACTTGAAGATGATCACTGAACAGAAACAGGAGATTGAAGAGTTAAGGAGCCGAGAATCCAAAGTGGTCGAGGCAGCGATCGAAAGGCAAGTGGCCACTTCACTCAAGTGCATTGATGCGATTACGAATAGCATTCAGTCGTTACATGCGGCTATTGGCAAGCAGAGTCATGAAAAATGGAGGAAGTACTTTCTGCTAGCGAAGAGAAGGCTTTTACTTATACAACATAATCATCTTAATGTCTTCATGCTGCAATTCAACGCAACCGCCAACCAGAACCAATTTCAGTCTGAGTTAATGCAACTGTTACTCATACAAGCTGATTACCTCCGTAACAAAATCAGCGAGCAGATTGTTAATTTGGAACGCCTTTACGATACACCCAGCGAAATTGATCAACTATTTGGCCGTTCGATGGAGTTTACACTCCGAAAGCTCCAGGAAATGGAAGGATGGTCTACAGAGCACACACACATATACCAGAATTTGGTAGAAGGCATCAAAGACAACTTGCAGAAAGACGTCTTAGTCAATTCTTCCATTCTTTTCGACTACCTCATTGGAGAGTTAGATGAGTTCAACTACCTTCCTCAAGGTTTGAGCAAATTAATGATTGTTTTTACTAAGGCGTCAGGAAGGCGTGATTGGTCTGGTGTAGCTGAAGAGGCTAAAGCTGCGATCGAGGAAGTACATCAAATTCTCGAGGACATGAACAATTCCAATTACGATGCAGCAGTGGAAGAGAGAACTGCCCTGTTCATGCAATCGAAGATTGATCAGGACCAGAGGACTGGTAGGGTACCCAACCTATCCGAATTCATACCGAATCTTTCAGCAAAGCCAGGAGACAAGCGTACATCCACGTCTCCATTGCGCTCCACAAGGTCGTTTAAAAAGTTCTTGAGAAGAAATGAGAATGCAAGCGCAGCGACTATGTCGCCCGGGGATTGTGACACCAGCATAGACGACTCCACAATTCTCCCAAAAAGTGACATGGATGATGATTCCCCACTCAGTAACCGAGTGATCGACAAGTCATTACTTGACTCGTTGGACATCAATCTGTCAATTGACTCTCCGCCAATGACGCAAAAATTGAAGAATTTGGACATGAATCCTAAATTACGACTGCTCACCGATACGAAGCTTTCACCATCTCTGAATCTGCTTCTTAAGTTCCCCTTGCTCAACAAGCTGGCAAGTACCAAGGTCGTGCACAATGGCATGAACCAGACATCATTCGGGCTCTCAGATGATAAGCTTGACATAGAATGAGAGAGGAATCTACATTATTGTGCTAGAAAGCAAACTTTTCGTGCATTCATAATTTTTCACTACTCGTCAGCAATTGCTTAGTAAACATTGCTACCACTGGTACCGCCGTAAGAGTCCCCGCCTCTTCCAGAAGAGCCAAAGTTGTCATCACCTCTTCTGCCAGAGGAGCCGAAGTTGTCATCATCTCTTCTGCCAGAGGAACCAAAGTTGTCATCATCTCTTCTGCCAGAAGAGCCGAAGTTGTCAGTACCAGAGGAGCCATAAGCGTCACCTCTACCTGAGGAACCATACGAGTCAGTGTTAGAAGAGCCGAAGTTGTCTCTACCAGAAGAACCGTACGAGTCGGTGTTGGAACCGAAGGTGTCAGTGTTGGAAGAGCCGAAGGTATCTCTACCCGAGGAACCGTAAGTGTCTCCGCCTCTACCGGAAGAGCCGTACGAGTCAGTGTTGGAGGAACCATAGGTGTCTCTACCAGAGGATCCATACGAGTCAGTGTTGGAAGAGCCGAAAGTGTCGGTGTTAGAAGAACCATAGTTGTCTCTACCCGAGGATCCATAGTTGTCATTGTCTCTTCCGGAGCGGGAGTTGTCGTCATCCTTACCGAAAGCACTCTTGATCTTGTCACCTACCTTTCCCAAGGTGGACTTGTTGTTGTCATCATAAGAGTCGTTTCTGTTGTAAGAGTCGTCGTTGTAAGACATTGTTGAGGTCAATTGAATGGAGTATAGAAGAAATGCATTTATTACGGGAGATTGACGGTATTTATACTTTGGAAAACTCCTCCCACGTTGCGAATAATGAAACTTGTGTGGCTGCAAGCAAGCCGCTGCGTAGAAGCAACTGAGTGAAATTGAGATGCTGTACCTGCATGACCTTTGGGACTGTGAGAGACAAACCTGCGTATTAAAAAGAGTAGCGTCATGACGCAGTTGTCACACCTGCGTAATAAGCGTGGCGAAGGCCTGTGGGGTCCAGTCGGGGAATATGGACGCGCGGACAAACGTGATAGGAGCTCAATACCGTACCATTCACTTCAGAAGCAATTAACAACAGCAATCAATTGCTGGATGCCTGCCCAGTTTCCGAGTCGGGCATTACATGATGACACAGTCCTTCTCCTGAGCAGCGCTGTTGGTCAGCAATTGAGACGCCTTAGATGGAGACTTTTGTTTCTTTTTCGCAGCCTTTGAAAGTTGGGCTGCTAACTCACGATCTGAGAGCCTAGCTAATGCTTTTTCCTCTCCATTCTCAGCAGCTTTTCTGTACCACAGTTGAGCTTCGGTTGTGTTTTTAATGCAGCCAATGCCTTTGTCATAAAAGTTGGCCACTGCGAATTGAGCCTTGGCCAATCCGCACATGGCAGCTCTCTTCGCCCACTCAAAAGCCTCCTGGTCGTCCTTGGGTAAATTAGGTTCCGAGCCGACAAGATACCATGCGCACATAGCGAGCATGGATTCTGGGTGACCACCCAAAGCGGCTTTGGTGTAGTAGTGAATAGACAAATTGGCTTCCTGTGGCACTATTTCCCCAACCTCGTAGCAACGGCCCAAGATGGCAGCAGACTCGACGTGGCCTAAGGCGGCTGCCTGCGCATAGAGCTCCAAGGCATATTTTTCATCTTTCAATAAAATATCCAAAAAGCCCTCTTGGTAGATACGGCCCAATTCGTATGGGGCAGCAGCTGTCAACTCAGTAGCGACATTCAGAGCCCGCTCCAACCACTTAATACCCATCTTCTTGGTGGACACATTGTCAGGCAACCCCATGCGTGTGTAGAATGAGTACATTCCGAGTTTGTACATAGCAGCTGGATGGTTCTTTGACGCTGCCAGTTTAAGGAATTCTACTCCTTTACGAGCATCACGGCCAGTTCCCAAACCCTCTTCGTAACAATGGGCAGTTCTAAATGCACACTCGGTGTGGCCATGTTTAGCAGCCAGAAGAAAGAGCGAGAAGGCCTCTTTGTTGTCAACTTTGCCAAATGCTCCAGACGAGTAAGCATCACCAAGTAAATATTGTGCATCGACATAGCCCTTATCGGAAAGTCTCTTTAAGTAATAGTGTGCCTCTTTGAGAAGTGAACGTTTCAATTGTGGGTCAGAGAGATTGGACTCCAGACTGATTGAGTTGGACAGTTTGGTTTTGCGGTGGGTTTTATCCACCTCAAGAAACGAGCCAGACTTAATTGGTGTTGGTTTTGGTGTTGTAGTACCCGAATCACTAGGAGTGCTCGACTCAAGCATTAACGCAGTTTGCAACATGTACTGAGCATACTGGAACAAAACGGCCGGATCTGTGGAACGTTTAGCATTCTTGCGGTACATCTCAATGGTCTTCATGCGTGGCATTAAGTGGGTCAGATTGTTGCCCAAGTACTGGTGGATCACGCTCTGATTGAAGTCTATGAGCGAGGCATTGTCTCTGTCGTGGAAAAACGACAGTGTGGATGACACCGAACGTGTATGATTGTACTTGTGGCCGCCTTGGCCCAATCCCGCTGGCAAGTTGCTTTCAGACTGTGAATATAAAATGGAAGGCATAGATTGTGGATTTGCGTGGTTCAAATTCAAGTTGGTGACCGACGACAGTGCCGAGAGTGGGATAGATGGAGGTGATGCAATATCACCCACCTCGTAGTTGGGCAGGCCGTTGTTGCTCATGTATGGAGGCTGGCTGGGCGGCGATCTGCCGTGGAAGCGAGGACTTGAGATCTCGGTAGCAGCCAATCGGTTAGAGATCTGAGTAGACTGGTCAAGTGGATCTCTGGATTGGGCAGTTGGGGGTTGTGACACAAAGACAGACTCAGGCCCAGAGCTGTCAGAAGGTGACTCCACGTCGTACAATGGATAAGGTGTCGTTGACGCTTTCTGGCGGTATGGATGGGACATTGGATCAGGGTATGAAATAGCGACAGGTGGTGGAAGGGGACACGCAGGAGACACGCAGTGGATGGACAAGAAACGGCCGGGTCGAGACTAGAAAGCGAAGATTAGACCACGGAAATAGGCAAACAGAGATTTGTGGAGTGAAAGGAGGTGCCTGTGGATGGGAATTGGAGCCAACGAAATCAATTTAAGACAGGACAACGGAAACTGAATACGAGAGGAATATTCAAGCGGGCAGTCGATGAAAATCAGCAAACGTCAGCAAACAGACACACAGAAGTCAACAGAAACGGCAAAGTACAAAGGATACGGTCTCTGGACAATAAAAAATTGGTGGAAAAGAGCACGGAGCCACGACTAGAAGAAAGCGAATTTTTTAGTAGGATGGCTCAGACTTCACCAATGCAGGCCAAGTGAGCGGTTGAGGTACGACCAAGTCCAGCCCCGGAAAAAGAGATACGAAGTTGGAATTAATTACTGGATGGTGAAAAATATGAGAGAAGATGTAGGTGAAAAAGAGATTAGGACGATTTGAAGATAAGAAAAATAGAGCAAATTCCTAGGAAAGAATTGAAAGTTCCATTCAGATGTGAGATGAAGTGAGATTATACACAATGATGATTTGCGTAGTTGACGTCGCGAATTTTGGTGCCAAATAGTTCCAGGAAACTGAGGCAGGCCCAGGCATAAAGGAGTAGAAAGTGGGTAAATTAATGGTAGGAAGTTTAGGTGAAATTATGTTTTTCGAGAAAATCATTAGAAATTATTGGAAATTAGAGAAGCTTCCCATTGAAAAACTTGATCATAAATGGATGGTCTGGCCATGGCCGAGGCGTATTTGAGATAGTTGGTGTCATTTTGGCGCATTTGCTTCGGTCCAGTCTAATGTCGTTTACCTAATTTAGGCGAAGTGCTGGCTCGCCACGCTCACAACGCCGGTGTTTAGTTTCGCTGTTACAATGTGGGTAACATTTCAATGTGAACAGATCACTGTTTTGGTACCTTTGGCAGTTTATGGTGTCTTAAAATTTATGTTGTTTATTAAACTCTCAACATCCTACATCCTCCACCTAACTTTGATTTGTTCTCAATTACTTTCATTTCAATGTCGTTTATTCCATTTCCGGCGGTTAGCCAAGGCATGCGTTGCCCAAATACGAAAGTCTCTTAATTTTCGATACTCAATTCAATCGCTCTCTGGCCATTCTGTTTGGTTTCTTCGCTCAATCACTCTCTCACGATTCGTTCTCATCAAGTCCCGTCGTTAGCCTCTCAAAAATACATGTACACTGCAAGAACAGCAGCAACCAACATCCCCACCAACGTTAGCAGAAGCCCTCCGTCAATGGGTTGTTCCTGATGCACCAAAAGCCGGGCCCGGTCCTCTGCATCTAGTGCCTCCATCTCTAGTGGAGCCACGCTCTCGCTCTCCTTTTCCTTCTGCATCAACTCCTTCTGCTGCTTTTCGGCTTCTGCCGCTGCGATGTCCTTGGCGTTCTGAATCTTGAGTTCGGGAAAAACCGCTCCAAATCGAGTGTTTTCCGTCAGATTCCACTTCTTCGACTCCTCCGCCAACTTGCGCTTTACCATGTCGCTTGACGTGATCGAACCCGTTGTCTGCTCATCGCCTGTCATAAAACTTAAGAGTCCCGTTAATATCGTCAGCACACTCCAGGCGGGATTCCAAGTATCTGGATGGTAATCGCTCATGCTTAAGCAGAGACGGGTGTTACAGGCAAATCTGCCATTGGGTGTGATGATCGAAATCGAAGGGGGCTTGAATGGGTACTCCGAGGGGAACCGAAGCATACCGTGGTATTGACCATCTTCGTAGGGTGTTTTTGGAGGGCCTGTGATGACGTAGTGCCACTCCAAGATGTTTTCGTCGGTGGGCTTGGCCACGATGTATGGGGGTGGGTTAGCGGATACCGTCTTGTACTCCTGGTTCAACCTCCTTTGTGCTTGTCTAGAAACCATTGTGAATATGGGGTGTTGAGTGTTGGGTAGGACTGAAGTAGGGGCGATTATCTCAGGAGGCACGGGTGTGGATAAGAATGGAGTAAGTTATTGGATTGGATTAGATTTGATAACGCAAGTTGGAAAAGTGAAATTATAGAAGGAAGGGAGAAAGCTGGTTGGTTTAATGTGATTATCTGAGGGGGATCTCAAATTATTTATTTTTTTTGCTGTTGCGCTGGGAGGGCCGTTGTTTTTATAGTCCTACGCATACTGGAAATTCAACGTGATAAGTTTGGAGTATGCGCATAAAGTTAGACAGGAGTGTGATTTCTCAAATGTCATAAAGGGGAGAAAAACTTGAAACTGGAGGTAATAATAGAATAGGATCATAAAATTTGATTTCGATTTTTGATTCAGAATTGGTCTTGTAACTTCGAATTCTGAAGTTCGATACATGAAATTGGACTCACATGGCAAGGATATTCTAGCATATATGAAGCAGAGAATTAGGAGATAATACTTATATTAGTCTAGTGTCACTTGCTTACAGCACAGATATCAATGTTGTCAATATGAGCTCAATAGTGGTAGAGTACCTGCAATTGTTCCATACTTATTCCAGTTCAATTGGTTATTATCACTTCACTAGTTGACTCCAAAGTTTGTCATACCAAACATCAACACTATATACTACCTCGTAAACAGCTATATTGACAACACAATTTGTTACGTTTATATACATTGGAGCCGGCGTAACAAAGTCCCTGCTCATAACTTCAATTCAAATTTCACACCACCTGAGCTACTCCCAAAATCACACTGCACTCCACACAATACAGATCGCCTTTCTTCTCATACTGTTCCAAATGGTCTGTGATTGCCAGACAGCAATGCGAAAGCACAAACTCCTCCTCCTGCCAAAGCTTCACCTTGAACTCGCGTGCACTAGACACGTTCCTACATCCGTCCATGAAACAGTCGTTCATCTCATCAATGCTCAAGCCATGACGGCTCACTCCACGTGCAGCCAACGCAGCAGACACTGGAAGTTCATTATCTTCGTTGTAGAAGTCGTAGATAAAGATCCAGCCTCCAGGCTTGACAAGTGTCTTCAACTTCTGTGCAACCTGCTTGTACTCGTGAAGATGGTGGAAAGCCAACGAACAGAGAAGAACGTCAGCTGACTTCTCTAGCTCGGAGGCATCGAACTGTTTATCCATAATATCTCCACATACAGACTGAATGGTCAAGTCAGGGTATGTAGACTTCAACTTCTCTCCACGGCCATTGAATTTGGAAAGCATGGCCTCACTGATGTCTACACCTATGAACTTACCTTGAGGAATATATGGAGCGATCTTCTCCAATACAAGACCTGTTCCGCATGCAAAATCCACGATGCAAGTGTCCTTATGAATTAATTTACGTATTAATGCTTCAGGATCAGGGAACTGTGATGTCAATTTCAAAATTTGGTCGTTGGTAAGTGGTTGTTCGGTCTCCTCTGGCAGTTTCCGAGGTGCCTCCACATCGAAGTCGAGAAGAGACAGAGTGAAAAGGTCAGTGAGAGTTTGAACAGACTCCTTCGAGTCGTACAGCTCGCCAATGATGGCAAATTGGTTGATGTTGGTTTGGATGGAGTTTTCGTGGGACATTTTGTGGGGAAGAAAGTAGTTGGTGCACGTCCACATGAGGAACTGGTAAATAGAGGCAAACGAGCAAATAAATTTCTTGGTTGTCTAATTGGCGGACGTGATGATGAAAGTTAATGTAATAGGAATTGTAATTTCAAGAGCCTCAACATTCTTATGTGTGGATAAATTGCTGGAGTACTACAATGTTGGGTGATGTTATAGTGGAGACTTGTACCGTTAAATAAGAGTTCGAATTTGATGGATCGTAAGTGAGAATGACATTATACCAGGAGCAGAAAGTCCATGGTTCATAGGTTTTAAGAGTGACCTAATCTTTTTGAATTATTTAATGTAGTTGTGAATTTGTGTCGTGAGTGTTTAGAGTTGAACTGGATCATGAATCGAGATTTCGTATTCTCAAAAGTGACTCATTGGATTGCTTCAATAATACTGTGTTATTGCTAGACTTCTGGGTCAATAGTGTAACCTGAAGAAGACGACTTATTGAACGTTTTGGTTGTCAAAACTGGCAGATCTTACAGAGGTGTACATCGAAAAATGAACACTTAACTAAAGAGAACAGAAGAAACTTGCATGAGCACTTTCAGCTATTTCAACAAACCTGAATACTTAAAAACATAAAACCTGCAAAACACTACTAAAAACGGAAGCTTTAAATGGGCACAGAAATCACATAAACGAAAAGAATTACTAAATTTCCGTCCTATCTTAGAAAACCCACAACTCTAATACTAAATCTCACTCAGTTCAGGTGAAGTGTTGCCAAAATCTAACTTAACATCTTATTTGTATATCTTCATTGATGAAACCAGCAGATAAACTCTCTGTGGTTATCCTCCCAAATAGAATCTGATCTGTAGTTACAAGTTGACTCAAGGATGCCTTATCTCAATGATATTCTAACTTGTCAATTATCTAGACTCTGAGGACCACAAAGGATTGTGACATCAGCACTAGAATTTGCAAAAGAATTATTTGCATTAGATTTAACGGACTGATAATTCATGGAATATCCACAATCTAGACATCTAACACCATCCCTAATTCAGTAATCCGCCATTCATCCAAGTACAGTTTTAAGATCCACAGGCATGCTTCAGCAAGTCAAGAATCGAGCCATCTTTTTCCGTTGGAGAGTCCGATTCGGCTTCTGACTCGGAACACAATTTCAAAATCCATCCAAATTCCATACCAGATTTGGTAATCGAACACGTCAAGGTGACTCTCCAGGCACTTGCTCTGTATGGACTCCATGACTCAAAACGGCACCCCAAAGCTCATATGCATCCACAAAGCTCATGTGCGGCCATCGTTCGAATCATTATTGCTATAAGGGATGCAAATGTTATTATGATAGGGGATACATAGGAATAGATTTGAGAATCGCTGATCTACTCTTCATTCAAGGCTCTATGATTTCCAGTTTACAAGTTGCTGTCATTGTTGAAATCCTAATTCTCTTCACGGTATCTTACGCATTCAATAGGACATTAATCCCGAATGAAAGTAGAAATCATTTGACATTATCTTAACAAAAAAAGAAAAGAAGTCAGTCTCACTATCTATAGATAAGGCAGCATTTCGGGTTTTTGTCACCGGATTAGGAAGGACCGCTGCAAATATGCCGGAATAAATGCCGCCTCCCACATCCCCATACACTCCCGCATATGGATTTTGCACCCATTCTTGGTCACCGACCCCTGGAGGTATAAATACCAAATGATCCGCGTCAATGCTGTCCATACCCCCACATTTCAAAAGCAATAAGCACATTATGGCCACTGCGGAATTGTTGGCCGATATTGAGGCGGGAAACCTCCGTAAGAGCGTGTCGGAATCACAATACAACGAGGTATTGGCTAAAACCTATAGCAACTTGAGGGAAAAGTACGGAGATGAACAGAACTACAAGTTTGATCCTGAAAAGCACTTAAGCTACTACTCTGCCGATCCTTTAGATCAACACAAGTATCACGAGACTCGCAGATTGACCATGGCCGAGTTGGGACTCACAAACAAAAACCAGATCTCACCTATCGGAGTATCTGACCCGTTTCCTCTCTTCACTGATGAAGCAACTGACATCATGAAGATGGAGTGCTTACGCAAGGACATCTTCCTCAAGTACGCTAGAGAGTCATTCAACTCCACCAGTGGAATGGACTGTATTGTTCGTGGCTATGCCAAAACTAAAGGAACCATCAACACTCAGTTTGTTCATGATGCTTGGACCCATCCCAAAACTATCGAGTTGATCTCTACTATGGCTGGTGTCGAGTTGGAGGTAATAATGGACTACGAAATTGCCCAGGTGAACATCGGCGTGACGCCAAAGGAGGTGGCTGAAAACCAGAAAAATGCTGTTGAAGCCGCTGACGATATGCCTGCTATCATTGGCTGGCACTACGACTCCTATCCGTTCGTGTGTGTTCTCATGCTTTCTGATACTTCGGCGATGATTGGAGGCGAGACTTACCTTCGCATGGGTGACTCGAAACTTGCCTGTGTTCTGGGCCCTCAAAAGGGCTCTGCTGCAGTGTTGCAAGGTCGCTTGATTGAACATTTGGCTAACAAACCTGTAGGTGCAACCGAAAGAATCACTATGGTGACTTCCTATCGAGCCAAAAACTCAATTATCCACGAAGGTTCCGTATTGGGAACTGTGAAGCCTGAAATTAACTTTGGTACCAGACCTGACGATTTCTATCCTGACTGGGTCAAGTATAGATCTCAGGTGATCAAGGACAGGTTGGATGCGTTGGTGAAACAATGTGAAACAAACGACAAGTTTGAAAGAAAGATAACCATGGATACTTTGAGAGACATCGAGGCTTACTTACACCACACAACCAAGGAGATGGATATCACCCCTGAAGAATGGGATGTGATTGCTAAGAAAGGATGAAAGAATGAATGCTACGTTCAAATTGACCAACGACAACGATATAGATTATCGTATAGAGTACATCAAGATATTAATGACATTGTTGTTTTGATTATGACCAAGTGCAAAATGTATTCATGTCTATTAACGACGGATGGCAAGAAAATGCCAGCAAAGGACATCTAAATTGTAACAAAGAAGTTTTTGGAGATTACAAGAAATAAAGAAGGCAGCACAAGTTCCAAACACAGCCCAGCTTTTTGAGCATAGTTGCTATGAGAGGGGTGGGCGGCAAAAATTAGTGGCAGCACAATTTAGACCAGAAGCCCTTCTCCTCATCGTCAGCAACGTGCTGTTGTTGCTCATACTGGTTGACTCTTTGTGGAGTGGCATAGTTAGACTGAGAGTTTCTCATGATGCCATGATTGCCAATTACTTCGTTGTTGTTGACGTTGGCACTCAAGTTGGAGTTTGGTTGAAGCTCCTGTTTGATAGGTGGTAATGGCCTGTTGATCAAGTGTTGTAACTTCTGCTGATGGGACTGTGCCGCGGACAACTGTTGTTGTTGCTGTGCCGAAGGATTAATGCTATTGTTCAAGTTGTTGTTACCTGCGGAGTTCGGAATGTTGCCCCCTTGCTGAGAGTGGTGAGGTCTATTTCTGCGCTGCTCGCGGTGGCGTCTCTCTCTCTCATTTGGTGGGTTTGGATGTCCGTATCCATGCAAGTTGGGCTTCTTGTTAATGGTGGAGTCCCAACCTTTTCCACCGTTGAGATGCATCCAGTCAAAATCTCCATCAGCGCTAGTTCCTTGATCGTCCAACACAGACAATAGCAACATTCTGTACTCCTCGTAAGCTGGTTCAGCCTCGAATGGCAAGGATCTCACAGAGTCCAAGTACTCGGCGAATTGCTTTGGCAAGCCCTCACACAAGACATTAGAGGAAGTAGTTCTCTTCTTGTCCCCAATCTTTTCATATTTCTGCTTGTTTGTAGGTGCCTTCAAACCCTGCCATGGTAATTGACCTCTGAGGAAGTAGAAGAAGACGTGGCCCAAGGCCTCCAAGTCATCTCTTCTCAGCTGTTCTCTACCCAAGTGGGTGTTGATGGACATGTAACGTGCAGTTCCACTCAAGGACTTCTTCTCACGGTAAGGAATATGTTGCTTGGTTCTTGGGTCCCTGTACTGTTTGGCCATTCCGAAGTCAATCAAATGGACCTTGTTCTCATCAGGATAGCCCTGACGACCAATTAAAAAGTTATCAGGCTTGATATCTCTGTAGATCAAGTCGTGGCGGTGTACGTCCTCAATGAGGTTCAACATCTGAATGGCCACCTGAACGACGGTCTTGACGGAGAAACGGCGTCCACACCAATCAAACAAATCCTCCAAGGAGGGACCCAACAAATCAATCACCAAAATGGAGTGCAATCCCTCTTGGCCGAAGTAATAGGCATTAGGGATACCGTCGCATCCTTGCAAATGCTTGTAGGTTCTGTACTCGTCTCTTAACTGAGGAGCCTCGGTCTTTCTTGGCTCAAATTTAATGGCAACGGCAACACCGTTGATAATGTTGCTACCCTCGAAAAGAACACCAAACGATCCTTCGCCGATTTTCTTTCCGATCTTGTAATGCAATCCAACAACCGAGTTGTTAGACGATGTGTTAGCTGAACTCATATTGTTAGGGTTCTGGGAGGCAGTGGCAGCAGCAATGACAGCAGCACTGGACATTAGATGTTGAAGTCGTCGGTAGGGGCAAAGACCAATCGACGTGCAATGTAAAACTTAACGGATCAGCTTTGTCGTTGAATCGGGCACTTGGTACGATCGTGGTCGTATATAGAGATCACGAAAAATAGCCGAGGGGAAAACCGGAGGAAACAGGCGGGTAAAGCACTTTGAAGACGCCGAAGACAACACTATACCACGTCGAAATGGTGGAGAAGAGCAAGTGTGGAGCCAGAAGAATCAAGCACTGGAAATAAGTCGGCGAACTACGGGAACCGCCGATAAACGAGCAAAAATCAAGCGGAAAAACACGCGGAAAAGCGGGGAAAAATTTGCTAGCCACGAGTGTTTCGAAAGTGGAACAGTCTGGATGTACAGACTGGCGGAGCGTCGAGTGTTGCAGGGGGATCCAGTTGGAAAGGAGATAGTTTTTTTTGTTTTTTCCACAAAATTGGTGGACGCCTATGGTGGTGTACGGGTGTAGTTGTGGGTGAGCCACCCAACGCCGTTCACAACTCCGGGGAAAATTAGATTTGGAATGGGGTTTGGGCATGAAAAGGGCTCGGAATTTCAGGATGTATAGATTGTTCATGGTTTGGGGGATTGTTTTGCTGGATATTTGGGTGTAGGCGACTTTTCGCCATGTATTGCCCGAAATATCTCTGGAGTGGTGTGAATTTCTTTTTGGTGGAAGGTTGCGATTGACTACTGATATGTAATTCCGGTAGGAGAGATTAATGTTGGAGAGAGAAAACTTGTAATGAGCCTTAATTATAGCGGGAGATGTCTATATTAGCAAATATAATTGTAGAAGATGAAGTTGCGTTTCAGTGGGGTCAAATTGGGCCAGATCATCCAGAGATCGATTTGCGTGCACGGTAAAGATGGTTGCGCAGCCGGTGGGGGGATGAAATGTCTAGTAGATGGAAATTGAAACAGATGGCTGTGAAAAGGAAAGCGATGGATTGGTGAAATTGAAATAAATTTTATATGTTTTCTATAGTGAATTGTCCTGTCCGAGTGTGGCTGATTAGAGAAACTCACCATGGGCCCAGGCCGTAGACATAGTAGTAGTCCAGACACCTTACATGCTTCCTTTAACCAAGTATAATGTGTCTCCAGAAGCAAGAGCAGCACCAACTTTTTTGCCCGTTTCCAAGACCACTGGAACTTCGTCCTTGACCACAAACAAATTCAATCTTTCGCTGGCCTGCTGTGTGGCGTTGTTCTTGTTAACTATACCCATGACGTCCAGTACCAGATCCAATGCTCGTCCAACAGACCACGCCTTCAGCACCCACACACCTTTCCGGTCGCGTTGCACGTTGATCTTGTCTAGTTCATCTTCGTTTTGGTTGATGTAGAGCACCCACAAATATACTCTGTCGGCCACATTCACGTTGGCTGCACCTTTTGCTGTCTTCTTGATGTTGGCGATCTCCACCACCTTACTGGGCGTCACCAGCTTGCTCTTACCGAAAATGCCACTCTTACTCCCACTGGCCCGTTTCAACCTTTGGAGATGGAGAAACTTGGTGAGTTTCATGACTGGGTTGGACTTCGGGGAGGTATTCAGTTGCTTCAGTGCTATTGTCGTAGCCTTAGGCGGCTGGAGCAGCTCGTTCAACTGCTTTTGTCTTTGTGCATGGTCAGGGAACAACGAAGCCGCCGTGGGGCCCGAGTATACCTTTGGAACATGATTCTTTTCGGCCCGACCTACACAATCGTGAGTTTCGAGGCCTCTGTGTTTGGAACAGTATGTGTGGTTGCAGAACTCGCAGTGGAAAGGCAAAAAGTCCAACTCGCTGCACTTGAAACAGTGCTTGCCAAGGTTCAAGATACCCTGGTCCTCGGACGGCGTTTTGACTTTGTTCATGAAGAGATTGTTGGCCTTGACAGAGACCGACATTTGCGCAGGATGTGAGAAATGGTCACCAGTGAGAGTTGGTGATAGATGGGTAGAGTCTTGATAGAATGTAAGGGAAGAAAACTGTAATTAGAAAAGTACTAATTGAAGAAGTCTATTTATGGGGAATACCTTCTCTATTTATATTGTTGGTGGCGGTGGCCAACCTCCAGAAGCTTCTACCTGCATGGGTTTGGGTGCAAAATGTTAGTCAGCAAGGCTGGTGATATTGACATGATATTAACACGGTAAATTGGGTATTTATTGATTTGTGGCAATATGGAGAAAGTGTGAATATTCAGGTATCAGAGAGTATGGTAATTGTTGAGGTAATAATTGAGAAATATAGGAGGATCATGGATGAGGAGGAATCAGTAAGGTCATAGTCGTTGAAGTGGTGATTAATAAGACCAATTCAAAAGATGAGGAAAGATTTCAACCTATCAAATCAGCTTTACTTAATTATATGATTATTAAGAGAATATTTTTCTGTCACTTTGTAATGAACTCAAATTCGTTGTTGACTTTCACATCGAATGTGATTATTCGTAACTTTAATGGGATTGTTGGTTCGATAAGCAAATAGAGTATTTGCAATTAAATTTCATAGCGTCCCTAGTAAGAAATTCTGCACTAAATTTATTCTCTCCCTGCTCAATCTCCGGTAATTTTTGCTATCTATGTCTCTTCATCACTTTATTCTTCCTATACAAGCATCTCACCAAAGCAAAGTCTATCTCTGAACCTGCAACATTAAATAGTAATCTTTCCATTAATATGTTCGAACACTCAGTTTACTCCAACGAAAATTTTAACCTTTCTAAATAATTTCCTTTTTTAAATCTATATCTGTCCCTATTCTCTCTAGTTATCACAATATCTAAATACCTACATACTCATACCTCTTCTCCATTCTACTTCACGCAGGCATCGCAATTTTCATCCCACCATCACCATGTACGACTTGAACGTCACATGGCCTGCGCTGTCGTATGGCACAGTGCCGTCCCAGAATGAACTCACCAACCTATACAACACCATCGCCATGCTTTACTCCATGGGCTACCGCTACGTGGCTCTAAACTTCTCCATTTCAGAGAATGTCAAACTTCCACTCAGCACTCCAGATAAACTCAATCCAATCCCCTTAGCAGAGCTCCGAAAGCGGTTTGCCAATTACGAGGGACTCCACTTGTTCTCAAGAATCACTTTAGTCATTGCAGACCCAGCAAAATGTCAGAATATCCTGAAACTCAACAACTTGGCCTGTTTCGATATCATATCAGTTCAGCCAACCACAGAGAAAGCGTTGCAGCTCACCACCACAAACCTTGACATTGATATCGTCAGCTTGCCCATGGCTACACGTCTCTCTTTTTTTTTGAAGCACAAAACCGTGGGCCAGGCTCTCACCAGAGGCATCAAATTTGAGATCTGCTACTCGGGGCTAATAGCAGGCCCTGCTGGATACGAGAGCTCATCTGCGCTCGGAACTACGGGCCATATCAGCAGAAAAACCTTCTTGGGCAATTGCCTTCAGCTCATTCGTGCATCCAGATGTCAGGGAATTGTATTCTCCAGTGGTGCTACTGAACCTCTCCATGTGAGAAACCATACTGACATCTTAGCTGTTATGAGAGAAATGGGCTTGAAAACGTCCAACAGCAAAGAAGGTTTCATCAAGAACCCAGAATGTGTGCTTGTGAGCGGAAGACTCCGTATCAAGTCTAACAAGCAAACGGTGATGATTGGGAACAATGTAGGTGGAGGAAATAGAGCATCGACAGTGATCCAGGGAGAAACCGCTAAAAAGAATGTGGTAGACAGCTACAAGAGGAAAAGTGACGACGCAGACGCTTCTTCCAAGAGGAGGAAGCAATGATGTATTATAGACATAGCTTCTAGAAACCAAAACTCTGGGGTATAGTGCCTTCAGTAGAATTTTTTAGTAGAATATGGACGATCGCACCAGTTTAGGGGCACCAGGCTTCTCCACCGGTCTGTCGTCTCTTTGTTTCGTCTTCTCTTCTGTTCTCCTCGGCCGATCCAGAGGAATTCTGGGTGCTCTAGGTAGCCTCTTAGAGCTAAGGAATATGGACGTCTGTTTTCGTTTGCGAGAATCTGGATTTGGAGAGACTTCCTTGGGACTTGAAGACCCGCTCAGCGGCGATCTGGCTCCATTAGGAGGCGAAACTACTCCGTTTGGAGACGAAACCACTCCACCTCGAATTCTTGCTGAGTTATACACAAATCCTGGTCGTGATGTCCCCGTAGCATTCTGTGGACTTGGTCCTAATGGCTTCTGTGAGTATATACCAGTAGGCCCGTTTTCAGCTACCTGAAAGCTCGGCACACGAGGCACCTGTGCTCTTTTCTGAGCATTATCGTTCTTCTTAGCACTGAAGGCAGCAAATGGATCACTACGGCTTGAACTTTTGAACATTAGGTGGCGATGCTGCACATCTTTCATGGCTTTTCCCAATATAGACTTGGATCCATACTTGGAATACAGTGGCGTGGCCAGCGACATCGCCGGCATGCGTCTTCGTACTACAGGCTCTCTCATAATACCTTGAATAGGCACGATGGAATTTCGAGACTTTTCTTTCTGTAGTTTCTGGGTCATTTTGCGTAGTCTCTGAGCACTAGAAGCTCGGAGTTCCTCTCGTTCGTCCGCATACTTTTCATAGAGCGATTTGTTGGGCATGGCGTCGTCTTCTGGACTGACCAAGTTGAACTTTGCTTTGGATGGACGATCAGGGAAGTCTCGCTCTATTAGCCCCGACCAGAGCTCGTCTGATTCTGGCATTATCGCCGGACTATTCTCCTCGACCGCTATAAGCTGTTTAGCATTTAGTCGTTTGAGCACAGGCTTCACTCGATGGTAAGGTATATCTCCTACGTCAGTGATGCGTGCTGACAGCTGGATACATTTCCATAGGGCAATCTCGTAGAGGGACTGCACCATGATTGATGGAGGAGTAGCTGGAGAGATTAGAAATGGCGATAAACTAGTGACTTTTAGACCGATGATTTGTGGAGATAAATGTCTGTGTAGTGATGCGATGGTCCAGTGTGCCTGATTGCGATAAGGCAAAGAGTTAATATATGGGTTAAAAAGGATAAATATCGGGATCTTAACAGGAAAAATTATAAACAGAGTGCCTATTTAGAGATTATACGGGATAAAGTTAGAAATAACAGCTTTTGGGCGATATTGAAAAATGTCATTGCTCTTAAAGATCATAAAACTTTTACTTCCAACAAAGTCCGATATAGTGTAATGGCTATCACGGTTCGCTCTCACCGAGCAGATCGGGGTTCGATTCCCCGTATCGGAGTTTTCTTTTTGCTTCATTTTTATATATCTATCTATTCACTATTTCCGTAATCTCTTTTCCAAGGCATTTTGTTGACTGTATTACAGAGTCAAACGAACATCCATCTCCATTTGCATTCAACTTGTACTACGTCTAATTGAAAATTCTCTAAATTATGAAAACTCCCCGCGAAACCCCACCCCTCTAATATTTCAGCCTTACCGAACAAATTAGCTTCTTCAGCCCCTTCAAAACACTCATTCATGCTAAAATACTACATCTACATCCACATCCATTTTGTGCAAACTAACTCAGCCTCAGGATTTATCGGGTGCCAAGGGGAGGGGCTAGACAAGAAAAAGCAACCTGCGACGAGCTTTCCATGCCGAAATTTCTTGAGTAGCAGTTGACAAACCAAATGGAAGAAAAGAAAAATGAAATTGGTCTAGAGTGAAATGACATAGTAAGAGAATAAAAAAATGAACGATATTCACAAAATGCAGAAAAGCTGCATCTATGAAACATTCCATTCACTCCGATCGCCTGTCAAGATGTCTTTTGGTCAGTGCATAGTGTACACGGTAATTCCGTAGCCCCAGCTTTTTTTTTTTTTTCCGTTCTGACCTTGCAAATCCTAGCCACTCACGACAAAGAATTCAACCGAACATTTCCCGATTAGTCTTGATGGGGTCTCTTTCTACAGAAATGACCCTTACACCGGTGTTATCGGCATTGTGATGGACATGGCGATGAGGAGGAGGATGAAGCATTTGTTGATGGACTGAAGAATTTAATGGCTTGCATTAATATTTTACTAGCTAGAAGGTCGATAATTGAACTCTAGTGGCCACATTTCCATTGTGACATGTTTTTCAGGCTTTTTTTCCGGCAAAAATAGCCCATTCTACGCGATATCTATTCCATCTATGTAGTAGTAATGTATGGCCGTGCCAGAAAGCTTGGACCTTACATAAAAGGGCGCCATGATCTCTAGATTGAAAATATTAACCGTTGAAATTCATACATTCTATCAATTTGAATATATTTCTCTATTTGTTTATCTTTGCATATTTAACTTGGCTGTTTAACTTGGAACTAATCACTTGGACTACAACATATCACTATGGCTGATTCATACTTCTACAAGAAACCATCGACCTCCGCAGCAGGTATTTTTTCCATATGTTTTGGATTGGTCACCATCGCCACCTTGGTCCAGATCTTCTTAGTGACAAGAAAAGGTAAGGAAAAGAGAGTTTGGGTCCTCTTACCATTTGTTTTGGGTGGAATCTTGGAAACTTTGGGATACATCGCCAGAATATGCTCTATTAGAAGTCCGACAGTGTTGGGACCATGGATTGCCCAGAACCTGTTGATCTTAGTCGCTCCAGCGTTTTTCACCATGACTTATCATTTGACTATCAACAGAGTGTTTTCCATCTTGGATGCCAGAAAGCACTCTGTTCTTCCCTTGAACTGGCTAGCCAAGGTGTTTGTAATTGCTGACTTATTATGTTTCTTCTTACAGGGTGCTGGTTCCGGAATGCTTTCGAGAGACACTAAATCTCAACAGGATGCGGGAAGAAAAGTTGTTCTTGCTGGCTCTGTCTTGCAATTGATAGTGTTTGTCGTTTTCATTGTGGTGATTGCCATTTTCCAGATTAAGCTCAAAAAGAACAAGACCACTCAAGCTGTGGATTACAGATATCAGCCTACCAAATGGAGAAATTGGAAATCCATTCTCGTTGTTCTTCACGTGAGCTCTGTCTTTATGATACTTCGTTGTTTGCTTCGTAGTTACGAGTATGCCCAAGGTGAGAACGGCCACATCTCTCGCTACGAAGGTTACATGTACGTTTTTGATGCAACATTGATGTTCTTGTCTATGTTGGCATTCACATGGCAAAACCTTGCTGACTACTTCTACTTCATGAGATACGAGGCCCGTAAGACTCAGGATGTTGTTCTTGAGCCTGTTGAAAACTACAGTGACCAGAAGCTGACTTAGGGAAATTTATACCTTGTGCGAGTGCTGAGTGGTCATACTAACCAGCTTGTATTTCTCCCACAATTCCAGTTGTATTTCTCCCGCAAGTCAATATCTATAATGATATAAACGATTATGCCATTTTCTAAATCCAATTTCCCCGTTTTCGCTCACTGTTCTTCGATGTACTGTCTAACCTCCTTCAACACATCCGACTTCATCTTGTAGCCGTGCTCGTTCGCATTTGGAAACTCTCCACTCTTGACTTCTTCTCTATATTTCGTGACTGCCTTGGTGGCATCACCGAAAAAGTCCATATACTTCTTGACAAACTTGGCGGGTCTCTTATCATTCATTCCCAATAAATCTGCCATCACCAACACTTGGCCCGAAACTTGGGGTCCCGCACCTATTCCAATGGTTGGAATGTTGATTCTATTTGTTGTCAATTCTGCCAATTTGTTAGGAATGCACTCCAAAACTATCGAGAAAACACCTGCTGCCTCAAGTGCCTTACAGTCTTTCAACAACTGTTTAGCAGTCTCCACATCATTTCCCTGTAGTTTATAGCCGCCGAAAGCATTATGTTTCTGTGGAGTCAACCCAACATGACCCATCACAGGAATGCCAGCCAGCACGATTTTCTCGATGGTGGGAGCCACTGACTCTCCTCCTTCGATCTTTACCGCCTGGACTCTTCCTTCTTTCACGAGTCTTATGGCCGTTTCCAACGCCTGTGAAGGCGACTGCTCAAATGTTCCGAAAGGAACATCTGCAACAATTAAGGATGTCTGGTTACCTCTAACCACGGCTCGAGCATGGTACAACATCTCCTGTAGATCAATTTCGTTTGTGTCTTCGTAGCCCAATGCAACCATGGCGAGCGAATCACCAACAAGAGTGATGTCAAAGTTTCCGTTCTCGGCGATTTTTCCCAGTATGCTATCCCAAGCTGTGATCACTGAAATTGGACATTTGGATTCGTATAGATTCGAGATGTCTGCGAGAGTCTTACGAGGAGCGCTGACGTAAGCGGAAAAACGGGAACTTGATTGGCTGAAGAGCCTTCTGGCCACGCTAGCGGTGGAGTGGCGAAACATGAAGGGGATACTTGGGGGTTGAAAACGGAGAAAAACAGTGAAAGCTGGGGTAGAAATTTTGCACCCGTACCGCGGTGCATACGACAGTTTGGAATGTACGGGTGTAGCTTTTACATGTGAGTACCATCATGAGATCAGAGACATGATTGGGACTGAAACAAACACTGGAAAAAAAACTCGATAAGGAAAATAACAAAATTTTTGATTATGAAATGGTATCATTTGAAAGCACAGGTCGTCCCATTAATATATTTCAATATTTTTAGTACTAGAATTGCCAATGAGGGCCAAGTAGTAAAAAGAAGTAAAGCTTAATGATGGGTGGAGATTGAGGGCCGGACATCAATTGAAAGAGGCTTAAATGGCCACCAAATTGCCTAAATTCAGTTCAGTAATTAATTTGTCTAAATTCAACCAATATTTATGAATTGCGGCCCTGGTTTCTAATAAATCCCATTCGTAAACCAATCCAATTTCGGACTTCCAATTAGTCATCGCACTAATTGTCCTCCCACTATCTTGCGCACCATCATGAGATTCTGTCGACCATTCACTACGTTTTCCAGAGCAAAGATGCCATCAATTGACAAATCATTTATCATGAACCACACGTGCCTTCGTATCAAAGATCCGAAGGTGTCGGTTCCATTCTATGAGAAGAACTTCGGAATGAAACTTCTCAACCACTTCGACTTGGGTTCTTTCACCTTATACATGATGGGATACCCTACCACGGAGAAGAAGAATTGGGCGGCAAGAGAGGGAGTTTTGGAGTTGTGTCATAACCATGGAGCTGAGAGCGATGATAACTACACCGTCAATAACGGCAATGGCGAGAAATTCAGAGGTTTTGGCCATATCTGTGTCTCTGTCGACAACATCGAGGCTGCCGAGAAGAAGTTGCTTGCAGATGGCGTCAAGTTCCAGAAAAAGTTGCTGGATGGCAGACAGAGCAACATTGCCTTTTGCTTGGACCCCAATGGCTATTGGATTGAGCTTATTGAGCACGGAGTAGGAAAGGAGGTTTCCACCACCAGCACTGACACCTATAAGCTTAACCACACCATGATCCGAGTCAAGGACCCTAAGAAGTCGTTGGACTTCTACACCAACGTGTTGGGAATGAAAGTGTTCTCTCGCCGTGATTTCGAAAGTGCCAAGTTCACATTATACTTCTTGGGCTACGACCATGAGGATTCCGTGGCAGACGGAAACTTGTCTCGTGACGACCAGGCTGCCAAGCAGGCAATCATTGAGCTTACACATAACTGGGGAACCGAGAACGATGACTCGTTTGAAGGTTACCACAATGGCAACTCAACTGAGAATGGAGCCATTCAGGGTTACGGCCACACGTGTGTTTCATGTCAAGACCCAGCCAAGTTCTGTAAAGAGATTGAGGAGGAACTTGGCGATAAGGCTGATTGGTCTGTCAAGTGGAACCAGGGCAACTTGAAGAACTTAGCCTTCATCAGAGACCCCGATGGATATTCTGTGGAGATTATTCCTCATGATATTTTCCACGACTGGGTGGATGGCAAGCCTCCACAATAGGAATCGTGTGCCAGACTCTAATGTGAGTGCGTAGAGTGTGTTGGAGCAGATTGGAGGAATCAAAATTGGAGACTTGAGAATTAGTGATAGAGAATGTAGAAGACGGGAGATCCTTTGTAGAGTGGGAATATCGAATTGAGAAAGGTAATCTGACTGGTTTCGTGTTAAATGCTTACCATAGCGAATGTTCTGGATCTGCCCTAGAGTTTCTTTTATCTGAGGTTCAAGAGGTGTATCTAGAGGTCCTAGAAGTCTGCTGGAGCAAGTAACGGAGGAACTGTGTTTGCAGAATGTATGGAGGAGGGAAAATAAATTTAGAATCAGATTCGATACTCGTTGTACTGGCAAAGTATAGTAGAATTATAGATAGGGTAATGTGGGTTGAACTGTATGTGGTGATATTCGTTATCCAAGTATGTTGTCATAGTTACCTTATCTGGTTTTAATCCACTTCCTCTCAGTCAATTCCAAGTGTTAGAATACATAGTCTAACAGTCTATTCAATACAAAGTTTAATATGTAAATTATCTATCTATTAATTGAATTAACCACTCCACTCCCATCAACAAAAAGATGACCAACTTGAAAGCAAGAAAATCCTCAACTTGATCTTAGTAATCGCGATCTGTCATTCTCACGTCAAGTGTGGCCATTCGCAACCTTTTCTCATTATGAATTTCTACATTTCCGAGGCAAAGTCACAAGAAAAACATAAATACTATAAAATTCAAGCCAATCCCATACCCTTTCGAAAACCCCTCGAAAAAATTACGATTACTCTTATTCTAGAACTTTCAGCTTATCATAGGATTCAGCCACATCAACACCCTTGCCTCCACAGTCGTGCCTGTCCATTTGTCAGCTAATCCCCACTATAAATTCCTTCTATTCGTCAATGTTGTCCGCCATTAGAAGATTTTTCACTGCACCCCCCAGAATGGTCTCCGCTGAAACTAAACAAAAGGTCGAGAGTTTGATCAAGGATAAGCCAATTTTTATTGCTTCCAAGTCCTACTGCCCATACTGTGTCAAGACCAAGAACACTGTTGGTGCCATCACCAAGGAAGCTTACATCCTTGAGTTGGATGAGATTCCCGATGGCCAGGAGATTCAGGATGCTTTGTTGGAGATCACCGGCCAGAGAACTGTGCCAAATGTGTTTATTGCTGGAGAGCACATTGGAGGCAACTCTGATGTCCAGGCTTTGAGCTCTGCTGACAAATTGGAGCCAAAGATCCGTGCTGCTTTGTAATTTAATGTATGAATTGATAGAAGAAGATGTAGACGCAGAGAATTGCAGAAGTAGAGTGACGAGAGTGACGGTGTCGATGCTTGAGAGAGAAGGAGAGCGAGACAGAGAACAGAGAGAGAACAGAAAGAGAAGAGAAGAGAAAGAGAGAACGATGAAAGGCTTTCTCCACAATGACTCAACTAAACCTCTTGACTATGGCAATGTAAGCAACTTTGATAGCCTGGCTTGTCATGGACTTGTAAGCGACTTCTCAATCAGTTTGATTCGTGAGATTCGGAAATACGTTCCATATTTTATATGTATAGAAGAATACTAATATGTAAGGAACAGAAGATTCTCACCGGACATCAAAATGTCTTAAAATAGAAAAACAGCTATCAATTTGACGAAAATCAGGGTCAATTGTTTCAAAAAAAAAAAATATAACTTATAGAAGTTCCTCAGTGTCTTCAGATTGTTCGGATAATTATTGCGCATTTGTTAATGGAATTTCAACAAACCATGTCAAGATTGCTTGACATGTCTTTCAAAGTACCTATTGAAAATATTATACAAGTCGACTCAATTGCCACAATTAAATTCAATGTACATCTCTATCTCTCAATTTCTCGTGTTTTTTCCTGACATTCCTTCTATATTGCTCTCCATTTCTTTGCTTCTATGTTTCTCTCCTAAATGCCCCTCTTATCCTACCTTCCATCCACTAATTCTCTTTTCTCAATTAAATAACCACACCTTAACGTGAGCCATGGCCATTCAAATATGCATTGATCCAATTCCCTTCCTCATTACCAAATTCTTCTTTTTTTTTTATATTTCCATCTCCATATCTTCACCCCACCATCTCCTCATCTCGGAAGTTTTTGTCCGGGGATATGTTAGTGTGCATGGTCCGGGGTCGATTTCCGTATACAACTACATTCTTCCAGGATTCACATCTTTTCCACCATTTACTTTCAGTTCTTTTGAGATTTCTTCTCTCTGTCTCCTTTCATTGTTCCGATTGACTCGAGCACGGACTTCTATCCCAGCTCGATCTCGTGTTCTCCCGCATTGATCATGTCGCTCGTACTCAAGAGACCGTTCTCTAATGCCGTGACTTTCACGTCGTTAAACAAACCACTATCACAGTCGCCTGCTGTGGGACATATGCAGCCGAGTAAAACATGCAAATTGAAGGTGCCACTTCTAAAGAGTCCCTCTCATTTGGGTCATTACACCTCGAGAGTCAATCGAATGTATAACGAGGATCGCTACAGCGCATGCGTACTTGATTTGCCAGGGAAAACCGTGTTTAACTTCAACATCTTTGATGGTCATGGTGGTGAGCAATGTCTGTCGTTTCTCCTGAGTAAATTAGGGCAGGTAGTTGAGGATTCTACCCAACTAACTGAGGATCCAGAGAAGCGTGATGCACTAGTTAAGAACTATGGACGGGACATTGGTGGCTATTGGCGAAGATGGTACAAGCATCGGGAGGCAAATTTTAAGAAAATGCAGCTGGCAACGCCCCAGATCACTTCGCTCACGAACCTTCCTGACCTAAAAGATGACTTGATGCTTAGGTTGCCCATGGCGTTTCTTGAGGCCGATTACCAGTTTTTCCACGAAGAAGATAATCAGCTGGGCTCTACGTGTACGTCGCTCTACTTGGAGACCGTCTACGCAGAGCTGCCGGGCGAATTCAAACCCGTATACGAAGACTACTTCTTCAATAGGAAGACCATTTCCAAGTTGACAGTAGCACATGTTGGCGATACCAAGGCAATTTTGGTAGACAAAACAGGAGAGGCACATCCATTGACCATTTCACATCATCCTTCGAACCCCATGGAAGCGTCTCGGTTGAGAAAGTATCTGGCGCAATACTTTATGGCTGACTCTTTTGGCGAGGAGAGATTCATTTCTTTGGCTAATACGCGAGCATTTGGAGACCTTAATTTCAAGGAGATGGGTGTAACGGCCGAGCCTGATGTTTCTCAATATATTATCGGAGACAAAGCCACCATTGGCAAAATGCTCACTCCAGAAGAGATTCGGACGTCAACCATTGCAGGAATGGGTGGAGATGAGTCTTTCTTGCTTCTCTGCACTGATGGTGTGACCAACGAGCTTACGGATCAGGAAATAGCTGATATTGTCATGGTCAACTTTAATAACCATGGCCATCTCAAGGCTTCACCTCAATTTTGTGCACAACAGGTAATCAAGTTCGTGGAATATATTGGTGGAGACGATAATGCGACATGTTTAGTTGTCCGCCTCAATGGATGGGGAAAATGGCCGATAATGGATCGTACGGGAGATTTGAGACTGGAAAGATTAAATGACTATTCTCCTCGTGATAGGAGAGATTAAGGATATTAGTCCAGCAATTGATTGGGAACATTATTTAGAAGTTGCATATTAGGCATGTTGGAACAATTAGCATCTCACATGACAAAAGCTTTGATGCTAGAGTGAATAAATATTTACATGAGGTTAAGTTTGAGGTACTAATCATGAATTGAGACAGCTTTCGTAATAGGGAATGATAGACTATGATTGTCTACCCATTCAAATCGAGGAGAGATTGTATTTTAAAGGTGATGGGGATAAAAACTGGGAGGTGACAAACAAATATACCAGGATGACATTCCTTCGATCAGAAATACTCTCTAGCACCATTCGCAGTATCAAATGACGAGTATTGGCCAGCGTGGCTGATCTGTAAAGAATTTGAAATCAAAAATAACTGGTCGATTGATGATATAGAGGAAGTCGTGGATATCCAGTATCAAGAGAGCTCCTACAGAAAATATTGAAAATCATAAGTCTGACGAAATTAACTTGAGTTCAAATTCCTCATTGGAGGCTGTCTCGAAGTTGTAGCTGCTCCCTGTTATCTATGGGATTCTCATTAAACTCTCTTCGAAGATCCAAGAAATTCGATAATATCGGATCAGCTGCAAGACCATGGACGATAAAATCAATGCTTAACTCACTTTTTTGTGGGGTGAAAGTGATCTGAGGTTCTTTTCGAAACGCTACTTCATGTAGTTGAACAACAGTGCACTAAAAAGACTTCCACATGATAGTACTGTCCACGTAATCGAAATAGTCAATTTTCACAACTCAGGCGATAATATCTCATCCAGTCATCACTCAATCATTTTGACACCCGGGATTCTACCCAGAACACTCCAAAAATCATCATCTACATGCTCTTCTCAAACCCTTTATTATGTACATGCCTAGTTCTTCGAATATTTATAAGTAAATCTCTTTCTCGTTGGAGCAAACTCTCCCAATTTACTTCCCACCATCTCATCTGTTACTTCAAGCTCCACGTATTCCTTTCCATTATGGACCTGGAACTTCAATCCCACAAACTGAGGAAGAATCGTGCAACTACGAGCGTTGGTTCTGATTGGTGTGCCAGTTTTCATGGCATCAGCGAGAGGCAAAGGCACCACATGAGGACCTTTCCATGCTGATCTTCCTTTGAGCAATCTGAAGGCGGCTCTCATTGTGTGAATACTGAGTTTTCAAGATCCATTAAATTTCGAAAGATTTGGTGAGAAAAAGTATATCATGTGATTTAGCACGTGATGTACAAACAAAATCTAAGTACTCCATCACCTTTTTGTTTCTTTGGATGTCTTATACAGAACCAGTCAAATATCTCATCTCTAAATTGTGTCATGTTTGCTCAAAGATTTGACCCTGATGCGGTAACTACTTCTCCCAATAAACTGTTGAGTCAGTTTCTAAGCCGAAAACGGAAATTGAGCACAGTGTCGGATTCAGATAAGGAAGTCAAGAGCTCATCGCATAGTGAAGAGGAAAGTTCCAGTGATAGTTCCAGTGACTCCGAAAGTTCCAGTGAAAGCAGCAGCGAAAGCAGCAGTGATAGTGACTCTGATAGCGAGTCGGAAAGCGAAAATGAGGAAGAAAAAAGAAAGAATCTGCCAGAAACTGACCAGAAGTTGGAACAAAGTGATGCTATGGAGATCGACGGAGATAGGGCATCAGATGAAGCAAAAGAGATCAAACAAACATTGGAAATCATACAACCTGTGATTTCCGAGCCTGAATTTCTAGAAAATGTCGAAAATGATCCTGCTTACGTCTCGAAACATGCATCTATCTTCAAGAAGTTTCAGCAAGCAGAAACATCCGAACAGCAGGATGATGAAGAAGAAGAAAATGAAGACGTCGACATGCAAGACTTGGCGCCAATCCCACAGCCAGAACTTCCCAGAGATACCAGATTACGTGGCCACCAGGCTCATCTGAAGAATTTGGACTGGTTGTCTGAGCCCACATACATTGCGCCAGAGACTACAGAGCCTTTCCTGACGTTTGGGCTCTCCGAGAAAGTCTTGAAAAACCTCTCGCTTCTAGGCTTCGAAGAAGCGTTTTCTGTCCAGGTAGGAACGCTTCGTGTGATGTTGGAGGATATCCGCAAGAACAAACTTGCTAGCGACTTCAGAGGTGACCTTTTGGTAAATGCGTCTACTGGTTCTGGTAAGACTTTGGCATACCTGGTTCCAATCGTGGAAGCTTTGCATACGCGAGTGGTTCCTCGCCTTAGAGCTATCATTTTGGTTCCTACTAGACCATTAATCAATCAAGTCAGCCAGACACTTCGTGATTTATCGAAGGGGACAGTATTGACTGTGGTAAGCTTGACCAGTGACTTATCTATCAAGGAAGAGGGTAGGAAGGTCCAGAAAACCGTGCCTGATATCATCGTGTCCACTCCTGGACGTTTGGTGGACCATCTCCTAAACGGATCAATATCAATGCAATACCTTCGGTTCTTAGTAGTGGACGAGGCAGACAGATTGCTTAATCAGTCCTTCCAGAATTGGTGTGAAGTTGTTGTCTCCAACTTGGAAAAGTGGAACGACTCTATGGCCAATATGGGCCAGAAATGGGGCTTACAAGTCCAGAAAATGATCTTCTCGGCCACATTAACCACAGATGCTGGAAAATTGTCTCTTCTAAAATTCAAAAAGCCAAGATTGCTCATTGTGAACTCCACAGAACAACTCGTCAACGAAATTTTCACGCTCCCAGCCACGTTGTCGGAACACAAGATAAGTTTCAGTTCAAGCAAGTCTGCCATCAAGCCTTTGCTACTTGCCAAATTCATGGTTCATGCTGGTAAGTTGTCTTCTGTCCTTGTGTTCGCTAAATCCAACGATGCTACTCTCAGATTGTCCAAAATTTTGCAGGCACTTTTTGATAAGTTTGCTCCACACAACAAGATCAATGTGGCCTATATGAACTCAACGAACAATAAGAGTTCAGTCAGAAAGAGCATTTTGGAGGATTTCTCCAATAACACCATTCAAGTATTGGTTGCAACTGATTTGATTGCTCGTGGTTTGGATATTCTTTCTATCACCGACGTCATCAACTACGATTTACCTAATTCGAGCCGTGAATACGTCCATCGTGTTGGACGTACTGCCAGAGCTAATAATAAAGGTGATGCTTATACACTTTGTTTCGGTAAAGGAGAAGAGAAGTGGTTCAAGACTATTATGAGAGACGTTGGTAGAAATAATCCGATTGAGGAGACTAATGAAGAGAAGTTGGGATTGTTTGTCGACAAGCAGGACAAACAAGATTATGAAAATGTCATGGGACAATTTTAATAATAGTGCATAATACATAGATTCAATAAAGTTAGTCTTGAGCGATAAGATGAAGGAGTGTAGTGAGGGGTTCAGTCACATAGTTTATCTACCACACTTCAGATTTCTGCGAAGGAATGCAGTTGACATTTCATTTGCGATTCAAGTAAGATGGTTACAACATGCAAAAAACATTTTTTGCTTGAAATACAGAAAAGTCACATTTTTTTCTGATATAATTTAGCTAGTCTTGGTAAACAGCAAGAAGTTGCCTGGTTAGCTCAATCGGTAGAGCATTTGACTCTTAAACATCATAAGGTCAATCAAAAGGTTGCGGGTTCGAGCCCCGCATCGGGCTTTCTTTTTGTCTTTCCCTTCCATTTTTCTCGTTCAACAATCATAGAACTCCATCCATAACTGCCTCCGACCTAATTAGATAAACCTTGTTATGCTATTATGCTATTATGCTATTAAACTGAGTTGCTTGAAGTTCTCAAATCACCTGTTACTCTCTATATGCTCCAATATCCACATCAAAGGTTGGTCCGAATACTGCCAAAATACCTAGTGGTGCTCCATTCTGCCAGAGACACACCACTCTCGTTTTACTTTCCGGTCCGTACAATTCCTCAGTAACCTCTCGAATTTGCTCCAAATCCAGATATCTCGGAAGAAAGAGACCGTAATTGTCTGTGAATTTCATCATGCTAGAACAAAGACTGCGTAATTCCAAGGGTTTCATAGCGTACAAATCAAAGGCACCCCTGGTCTTGTACTTCGGCCCACCCCATGGAGGAGAGCAGAAGATGAAGTCAAACTTTTCATTGGGGATAAATTCAGGAACCCAATCTGTAGACTGTGACATGACGTTCCAATCTCCTTGATAGAACCATGTATTGTCTTCTACACCGTAAATGCCACAATTGTGCTTGGTGCATTTGATATTATTGGCGTTGATGTCTACACCTCCAACTGACTTGAAGTACCTTGCAAATTGGATGGTGTTGCCTCCACCGCCACAGCAAACATCGAGGACATTCTCGCAATCAGGCAATAGTTTCCGGACAATTCGGGCCGTGGATTTGGCAGTGGATTCGGGTGTTACGCTATACCATAACTCTGAGGTGAGAAACACTCCATCATCGAACTTGGAGAAGATGTTATATCGCTTGTTCCAATATTTCTTGCAATTTTTCGGAAGAGTGGCATACGTATGCATGAGAAGTTCATCTTCTGGGTCAATATTCTCTGAGTCGGACATGGTAGATTGAGTCAGACGTAGAGTCGTAAAGTCCACTGGTCAAATGATGAGATGAGGTGTGTGTATAAGTAGAGATGGGTATTGTGAATAGTATGGAATCATGAAGATGATAATTTTTCTTTTCTCGAAAAAATAACAGATAATTATTGGGTTTGCAATGGGTAAATCTAGCTTAAGACAATTTGTTAACTTCTCCAACTTGCTCAATGTCTTGTGATTACTGGGATAGGTGACCCCGGAGATCTCAGTTGAACGAATGCGTTGGCAACATCCAACAACACAGATTTTTTTCAAACAGTTTTCATCTTCATCAATCCCATGTTAAATCATGCAACTTTTGATGCAATATATATTTCTAATTTCTCCTCTTATACTTTAGCTCGAAATCTCTTCCATTTTTGCACCCACCAGTAATATGCCAGGAATGACTGCTCGCAGTAATTAATTGAGTGGACTATCCAGAAAAGTCAAACCCCGTAAAAATTCCACAATATTTGGAAATAATTCACCAATCTCGAATACTTTCTTGTTTCAATTATCAAATTTCCATATCCATCCAAACATCCCGTATCGTCCGGACTATTCCCAGATTCTCCCAGTCTTCTCCACAGAATTCTTCCATCCTGCAGGCACTCGAGTGTGTCCCGGAGCTCCAACTTTTTACCGAATTTAAAACTTATACTCTCCACCAACATGAAGCAGACTCTCCGCTTGTTGAACTACGTCCCCCGCATCAAGTTTGTGGGTGGTCCACACACTCATGGTATGTTTAGAACCACAGAGCCTCCGCTTTCTGTACCCGAGAACCCCATCAACTATTGCTCCAATCATTTCTCGATGATTCATGACCATTAGACTCCAATTGCTCAACTACTTGTGGAACCCTTTACACCCTTACTAACATTCAGCTGCTGTTTCCAGCACACCCCAGCCACACCCAATGGCTCCGGAAGGAAAGTTGCCTTCTATTGTCCAGAGCAAGGCTGCTGCCCAGTATAAGCCTATCGAGCTCAAGGAGGGCGAGGTTCTTTTCAGATACGAGTTACCCAAGAGATTCAGATACTCTCCACCAAGTGCCTTGGAAGCCGAGCAAATTGACAGTGGAGGTGCCACTTTTATTTACTAATAGATAAGCATTGAGGGAAGTAATGTAGAGGGAGGAGAACGAGAGTGTGTTTCGTAAACCCTGTGAATCTAAAGAATTGTAAAATTCTAGGGAGGAGTAGAACATGGTGAATGTCGGATGTTTTGAAATATTTGAGTTCAAGAAAGAGCATTGAAGCATGACTCGAATGAACGATGGTAGCTTACTCTACTGTTCAAGAGGAGTTATTAGTGACTTGATGCAATAGATTTTTGACAATTCACTGGAGATATAGATATTTCTTCTAAAAACTTTGGCGAATAAGAATTGTCTGCTAATTGTCTCTTTGGAGCATGTTTGTCTAGATTATTCTTATAGATGTTCTCATGGTTTGAAAACCTTTATCACAGTACTTGATTAGAATACAATGAAAGTTGAATTTACTAAAATGAAATTGAAAACAAAGCTAAGCAACTGGGGTTTGCTATCTTAGGTATCATTACTTGATGCCACATAATTCAGGGTGGTAGCCAAGAGAAGAAAATTTTCTAATTCTTCACTTGTGATTCGCCTCATATTATCAGAACAGAGCACCACATAGTCGGGACAGGCTTATAGTTGTTTTCATGTATAATGTTGTTGTTCCGTCTAGGTGAGTGAATTGGTTACCAATGGAGTGCTGTAACCTCCATTAATGGATCAGTTTCCAAGAGTCTGACAAAACAATTTTCAGAAAGGAATCTTCTGAAAGATGGGAAGCGAAAGGTTATATTGTCACTTCTGAATGTTTCTCCTATTTATTTCCGATGTAAACACCTACCTCAATATCGAATTTACTACACATTCTCTGCACATTTGTCAACTACAGCATAAAATGAGAATGTACTCACCCCTCCGAAAAATGCTTTCCCTGGAAAACCCTATTTATTACAATCCTCAGCAAATTACAAATACCCAACCCAATCTCCATTTATTTCTAACTAACATTGTCAGAAGTAGAAATTTCTCAGTACCTCGACGGTCTAGTCTGTACTAAACACACTCAAATCTCAATGTAAAAAACACAACTTGATGTTGCCCATAAGCATGTGTCATAATAAACCTAAACCGAATTTTCCAAGCAGTTGACCCATTCCATCTCTCAAAGTCTCCAACTTCTCCAATTCCCATAAATTCTTCCAGATTATCATTCACTGTCTTTCTCCACCATCTTCGGAGGTACTGATGTCTTCCTTGCACGTGAGCGCACTGTCCACCTTCAACGCCACTAAACCAACTACCACCTACTAAACCCACCATGAATCACGATCCATTTCAGTGGGGAAGACCCCGCGATGAGATTTATGGCCACTACGATCACAAAATCGCCCAAGCTTCTACTTCGGAGTTTCCCTCCATGCACACTCAGCAGCCAATTATCACAGGAACTTCGGTGTTGGGACTTAAGTTTGACACGGGAGTGGTGATTGCCGCCGACCACATGGGATCTTACGGCTCGTTGCTCCGTTTCAACAATCTCGAACGTTTGATTTGCGTTGGATCAGAGACAATTGTGGGTGTTTCTGGAGACATTTCTGACTTCCAGCACATTGAACGTCTCTTACACGAATTGGAGACGGAAGAGGAGGTTTATGACACCGACGGTGGCCACAACTTGCGTGCTCCGAACATCCACGAGTATTTATCTCGTGTTTTGTATAACCGCAGACTGAAAATGGACCCATTGTGGAATGCCATTTTGGTTGCCGGGTTTAACGACGACAGAACACCATTCATCCGTTATGTTGATCTCTTGGGAGTCACATACGGAGCGCTGGCGCTCGCCACCGGGTTTGGCGCTCACTTGGCCATTCCATTGTTGCGCAAGTTGGTACCATATGACCTGGACTATGTGAAAGTGAAGGAAGCGGATGCTCGCGAGGCAGTGGTGAACGCAATGAGGGTTTTGTACTATAGAGATGCACGTGCCTCTGACAAGTACACGTTGGCGGTATTGTCATTTAAAGATGGTAAGGTTGATGTGCATTTTGACCAAGAGTTGAAGGTGACTAACCAGAGCTGGAAGTTTGCAGAGAAGGTGATTGGATATGGTAGCAAGCAGCAGTAGGTATGGAAACGAAAGAATTAGAGATTGACAGGATTGTAGTAAGAATTCTCAGATTGAAGGAATATCTGGACTGTAGCAAGAATGTCACGACTGCGGAAAGAGTACCAAGATTTTGGAAAGAATACTTGGATCATAAAGACGACAAAATTGAAGTGAAGTGGTGACGCACCGTCTCATCTAGATTCAAATTGACAGAATGTAACATGGCAACTACATGACGTAAGAGAAAAATAAAACAAATAGAAAAATTATGAAAAACATGCACCTTCAGCAGAATTTTGTAGATCACAAACTAGATTTCAAAGGTTTACCCAGTATATGCGAACGTTAACCAAAAGTTACTTCTCCCAAATCATTGGGCGGAGCAAATTCTACCTGAGATTTAATCAATTCATCCAAAGACAAACAAGACTATATTTAATCGTTCATTTTTATTATAAAAGGCAATGAAACTCGGCAACAATCTCTAAAGTCCATACTCTCCGCAGAACAGATCACCAGTCGTGCATGAATGCTTAGAATATACAATGATTGGCAAGGAGTGGCTTACACAATAAGGAAATATTCCACGAGATTTGCATTTGAAGTACCGAAGGATTCAGAAGAGTCATTTGTGGAACAACTTGATGGGACAAGAAGCTGTACAGCGTCAGTGTGGGTTTTTGAACCTCTCACAAGATCTTTTGGGCTCGTATCAACCGTAAATCCAACCAATCCTCCCTAAAGAGCTACCTGCTTTTAATTCCTTCTAACCCCCTAATGTAGAGGAGACATGCTGAACAACGCCCCAACCAATTGAAAAAAGAAGAAGAGGTGCAGAAGTCCTATATATAATCATCACGTGCGGATCTCCCAAATGTGTGGAAGCTGTCACACCTCCAATACTTAGGGCGCGTGGTCGTTGCCAATATGCATCTGGCCGGATTTCGGGAGTTCCATGCGTAAGCCTAGCATGGAACCTACTGCACCCAAAGTAACTATAAAACCCTCAGGTTGTCCTCTTTCTCACCCCTCCGTATTTTTCGATCTTGTCCCTACCCCGTTACACCGCTAGTCTGCACCAGGTGTCCTTTTCCCCTCGCGGTAGTCCCTTCCCCGGCTCCATTACCATTTACCCGTCCTGTACAATCCATATCAGGCGTCCTGCTTGACACTTCCACAAGTTTTTCTGGCGATCTTCACCACCAAACTCTCTTTTTTAGTTTCTATATCTGCCAATATCTGGTATCGCGAAGGTCCATGAGCCTCAATATATGAGCTTCGAACTTACATTCTTGGGTGCCTCGGGCGGGCCCATCGAGCTGGGCACCTGTGGCCTCATGTTAAAGCCTGCCAATGTCTCCTATCAAGAAATTATTGATGACGACCACTCGAACCCTCTCTTGATGATAGACGGAGGCTCTGGCGCCTATGCATTAGCGGAGATAATCCGAGATGCTTCATCGGTGCTGTCCAGACTCTTGCTGTTGTATCCTGACTCACTAGAGGTGAGGGACTACTTTGAGTTGGACATGACCCATCCTTTTCGATCAGTGGAGGATATACCACTTGTTGCTCTGAAGAAAATCTTCGGCAGACTCAAGTCCATGCTCTTGACGCATCCGCATTTAGACCATATTCTGGCTTTAGTTATCAATCTGGCCGGCTTTCCTGTTTGCAACATGCCTCGAAAGTTGACCGTGTACGGCTCAGACTTCACCGTTGGTGCTCTTCGAAAGCATGTTTTCAACGGAATCATTTGGCCCGACTTGACTGCTGCCAACTTATTTGATTTCCAAAGCATTCCCTTCAAACTGGAGTTACTGCTCAATAACGACTACTATACTGTCACCATGATGGAGCTTAGCCATGGGCACCTACATCTTGGAGCTCCAGGGTCCATGTATCCTTCTCTGGCGTTTCTAGTGCGAGACAACACAACCGACGCTAAGATCTTGGTGTTTGGTGATTTCGAGGCTGACTTGGTGCTGGGAACCAACATAAATCGCCAGTTGTGGAAGCACGTAGCTCCATTTATAGTTGATGGGAGCTTGAAAGCGGTGGTACTAGAGTGCTCCTCACTGACGGTTGCCTCAGGTACGGAATTGTATGGTCATTTGATGCCTCCACATCTAATAAGCGAAATGAAGACGTTGGCTTCGCTTTGCCTGCTGCAAACTACGAAAAAGCCTTTGGATGGACTACAGGTTATAGTCACCCATGTCAAGGAGTCAGATTTTGGTGATCCTCGGCGGAAGATATTACATGAACTACGCGAACTAAACGAGAAGTCTGGTTTGGGGCTCCGAGTTTCAATAGCAGTGAGTGGTGTGCTGGTGGTTGTATAAGCAACAAAATCAATGAACGTATTCACAAGATACCAACGAGGGAACGTATGCTACGTAGAGAAAGAGTCACAGTGAATGTTACCATTGATAAATTGGGAACTCATACCTAATGTATCTATTTTATGTGCTAACCAATCGATCAGCAATGTGCCACACCTGTCACAACCTCTAGTCACAACGTTTGGAGAATACTTAAACCTAATTGACAGAATATCCCTCTGACACCAATGTCAGATGCAAATCAAATGGCAATGACGTCTCATCTGCATCGTTCGACACGACATCCACAACTTGGACATGGCCAAATGCGGTGTCTGCCTCGGTAACGCCTTCGTGGCGAACGATTTCGAAGCCAATTTCCATTGGGAACAACGAGTCTTCATCAAACGAAGGAATAGTGAACTCAAACGAGCCCAGTGGATCAGAAAATGGAATCTGTGCTATGTTGAACAACACACCCTCCTCGTTAACTTCGTACAGCACAAATCCAGAGGCATCTTCCCTCAACTCAACTTCGTCCAGGGCAATAGGAATCAAGATCTGAACATCATCAAACAGCTCCTGTGTTGGATGGGCCTCAAGGTATTGTGGGGTCAACTCGTACTCCAACGTCACTTCAGCAACACCGTCATTAACACTGACCCATGCAGTGATCAAAAGTGGCACCAAGGTGGTGTCTTCGTTAGCAGCTACTGCTCTCCATCTCAACACACCCAAGCTTTGGTCGTTACTGGGGAAAGACTTGGACTTGTCTTTTAAGCCAATGATAGACTCCTTGGTGAACAACGTGCGGTCCACGTTGGGGTGGGTCTTGTACTGTGCAGAAGACTTGTGGTCGACTTGTAACAAGATCTTGGAGTGGGCCAAGTCGGAGTCGTTGATTCTCAACTGCAAGTCACCCTTGACCTCGGATGCCACAAGAGATCCCTCACGGCTCAATTGTGCGCTGACTTTCTCATTCAACGTAACTAAAATACCGCTGTTTTGTGGCTTACTGGAGCCTTGAGGTGCTGGAGATGCAGAAGCAGAAACTGGAGCAGCAACCGAAGCTGGGGCGGCCGCGGTGGCTGGAGCAGCAGAGACCGGTGTAGAAACGGAAGGTGGTGCTCTGGACTCATGTGTGGCACTAGGGGCAGACAATGGAGCTGCATTGGCAAACACTGGAGGCTTCGAAGTGAGCAAAGGTTGGTGCTGTTCAGGCTGGGCAACACGCGCAGGCTTCTTGCCCAATTGCAAGCCTCTGCCACCCATAGGGCGTGGAGTAGCATATTCTGGCGCAGGTGATTGTTCTTGCTCAATACGAGAAGATTCGTAAGTGGCAACAGGTGCTGGAGCAGCCGAGTAGCCAAAGTTGTCCTGAGAAGGAATTCCGGAGCCTCCAGAGCCGAAACCCACTGCCTGTTGCTCCAAGTTGCGGCGAGCCAACTCTTTGCGCTGGATCTCCTTGGCTCGGCGACGTCTCTCCTCAGAAGCCTCCAATTCTTTGTTTCTTTCGATGATCTCCTGGATCTTCTCTTCGTGCGAGTCCATTTCCAAAAATGTCTGCACTTGCAGCATTGTGAGCTGCTCCTTGTAACCGAGGTTAACAATCTCGTCGAAAGCACTCAAGATCTCAAATGCATTGTCGAAAACCTCTTTTTCATCCACGCTTCTCACCATGTTGGACACCACACTGACAAACAAGTGCAACGTGTCAATGTCCTGGAGGATGTTGGATTGCTTGTTGGTCAAAAGAACCACGTAAAACTCTTCCAATGGCTGGTACACGTATCTGACGGCGTCGTCTTCGACGGTTGTGTTTTGAGATCCAGAGTTGGAAAGTAGACTTGGAAAGTTGGCCAAAAGGGCAGTGATGCGGTCTTTGGACAAGTCCTTGAACTGTCTAGACAAGAGGGCCTTACCGCCGTGGGTGCAAATGGAAGCTGCGAGAACGGCCATATTGGTGGGGTTTCTTTTTTTTTGGTTGAGTTATTAGGCGGTGGTTTTGAATGGATTTGGTGGTTTGGTATTTTGGACACGCAGTTGTCGTGCATAGCACAAATTCGTAAGGAAGGGTCATAAATGGTAGGAGAAAAAAACTGGTAATTGATAGAAAAGTTTTGATCTGCGTTAAGGCTTGGTTTCTTCTGAATAGTTCCGTAGTAATTTTGTTGTTGGGGTTTATGTATTCGAAGTGGTGAAGTTGGGACGTGTCCAAGAGTGGTGGAAGTTTTCAAGTGCAGGACATTCTGCCTGAGTGTCTTGCAAAATAGAGAGTATGATAAGACAAACGTTGGCAATGGAATTGAATGACGACTTCATACTAATGAGAAATTGCTCATGATATAAAGTAGTTGAAAAAATGAATATCAAGGACACTTGATCGGCTCGGCATGTCGGACAAAAGTCAATAAATGGCTAAAGCTATCATTACAAGCTGAAGATGATGCCCTTCCGTCCATCATTCAAATCCACGAAGATCAACCCATAATTTGCTCATTATAGCCATCTCCAATTTCAATTCATCTTTATCGTAACTGCACAGCCGTTTACTTAATTCCGAACTTCCACGCTGGCCTTTCTTTGAACAATCTCTCGCTCACTAAACACCTTCTTGAGTTCTCTCTCAATCTCTTCAATCAACTCATCATATCCACACTTTCTGGACCGTACACGTGCCTCCCGAAGAAGTCTTTCTGCCTTATCGTACTGTGAAAGATGCAAATAGACTACTCCCAATCCATAAGTGGCTAAAGCAGCCGGCTTTTCAATCTCGGCAACCACAGGAGTTCCCTGAACTTCCTTAGCTCCTGCAATCACTGCCTCATACATGGTGACGGCCACCTCGATCAACTTATCCTTGGAGGCAACAATTTGCTCGTACTCTCTCTTCTCGCTAGGAGAAACCACCAGAGCAATTTGGTTGCGAATATCTTCAGCCTCTGTTCCACTCACAGAAATGGGCTGCAACGGATCATGAATAGCCTTCAATTTGTCATAGTCTACACCAGCAGCCACAGCAAAGGATTTGCGAAGTTTCTGTTCTTCGGCCTCAAACAGATCGGCCTGACAGTAAAGCACCGATGCGGTATTGCACATTGAGAGTAGTCTTTTGTCAACAGGCACGTCGGCAAGCATCATTTGCACATCCTTGGAAAATCCAATCCTTGCTGCGGTGGTGATATCTCCCATGGACAAACACAACACTGTCAACATGTCGAGACCGTTGAAGTATTCATCGACAAAGGGTTCCCAAGCTTCTGGGTTTGCCTGTAACACAGCGGTTTCTGTTGCCTCTACATCGTTCCCGAGAGGCTTTCCAGATCCAGAACCAACAGTAGTCACGGTTGTTCCAGTAGTTGCAGAGGCAGCAGCAGCAGCGGCATTAGGGTCCTTTTTAGGATCTAAGTAGAGTAGTCCTCCATTCAAAATTGAAGATTCAGGGCCAAAGATAAGCGATGCAGAGTTCTCAGGAAGTCCCAACTTCCGTCTTACTTCGTCTTCCGCAATGAGCAAGTGGGTAATTAAAATTGCCTTACAAAGCGACGTGGTCAGTCTGTTAAGCTGGGTAAGTTTAAGGGCAATACGCAAGTCTTTCTGAATCAAGTGAGCCCTGTGATCAATTCCTTTGATTCGACGACCCAAAGGAGAGTTAGGATCAGCCTTGAGAACACTCAAATACAAGGTGGCAATCTCGTTGTAGATGAAAGCAGCCTCATCGACCATATCAAGTCTCTCATACATTTCGGCGATCTTCAACTGCACGCCCGTATACTCGTCACACAATGGATCCATTTCGAGATCATCGCACTCTTGCAATGCATCCAAGTAGTGTTTGAGAGCTAATTGGTAGTCTTTCTCTCCACGGTCACTTTCAGCCCACAAACCCTTTCGAAGAATCTTGGCAACAGACAGCGGAAATGTGTGCTTGGGCCACCACATATAGTAGGCGAATGAGGTCATGGCCACTAGACCCAAATTAAAGTATAGAAACCTCTTAAAACGGGAGGGCCGAGTTTGGAGGTTCTGGAAGTGCAGATATTGATACGACACTTTACGCACAAATGGACTTCTAAGCGGCCGCAGCCGGAAGGCATTCCGAATTTGTGTCCGAAACATTGGTGTGGAGAAGGTTAAGATAGGTTGGTTGCTGGTGTACAGATGTTGAGATGGTGTAGGAAATCCATGAGGGTTCGATTGTCAAAAGGTCCGGGTGCATCTGGAATGTACGGGTGCCAGATTCCCCCAAATATCTGAACGAGGGTGTACGGGTGTTCTCTGCAGACCTCCCAACCAGCCAGTTTCGAGCACAATTGCACACTGAGACACAAAACAATCCCCCTTGATAACCGTGCGCATGCAGCTGGAATATCAAGGGTGCTTCCCCGTCACCAAGCATGCAAAGTAGGCGCCAAAGACACTCATAATTTCATTTGGAGTTTCTCGGAGTGCTCCGAGCTGCGGCGTGCACATCCTGTGAATTACCAAGATTTTAACACAAGGTTTGGGGGTCCGATCTTCGAGAGATCTGCTATTTTATAAGCGAGCCTGAGTTATGAGGGTGACTCGCAACCATGTGTCAAGGAACAGAGCACGGGCACCAACAATTCGAGCACCTTATCAATCCAGACGCCACCGAATGTGTCACCAAAGCAAAGTCACAGCGAAGAAACGTACAATCCCATGCATAGGCAACTGAAGCATTTGAGGAGTCTGAACAATCCGGTCCTTAATATGCAACCTTCCAAAGTCACAGGCCACTTGCCATATATTGCGCTTTGTAATCCTGCAGAAGACCCTGGAGCACCGTACTGCAATGGGAATCTAGTCCAGGTACCTAAGAGCATGGAGAGGAATGCATGATGAAACTCCTGCAGGGTGTATGGTCGCGCCATCAAACACACAAAAAAACAGTTCAACTCACTAGCCTTTCTCCACAAGTCTTCCATTCCACATTCCAGATTTCCGTGGAATATATACATAAAACCTGCTAACTCGCTGATTCTATTCCAGTGAGCTAGCCGAAAACTAATCTTACATAGCAACGTCACGGGTGCCAACACCATTCACAGCCCGCAGCGTCTATAACTAGCTTAGGACATTTAGACAATAGACTGACGCCGCAGTCGAAACCATTGACAAAAAGGCCAATTCCAAATTAAGAATGTCAAACATTCTCGGAGTGTTCAACCCACCAGCAGGTCGGGACCTTACTGATGAAGAGTGCTTACCATGCACTGGAGTGCAACTGTTAGTGTGCTTTGGAGGTGGCGGCTATTTTCTTTCGAAGTTGCCATTCAAAGACAAAAATGGGCTTGTGGATTTAAAGAAGCACCCGGTATGGTTCCAGCGAGGCATCCGCGGACTAGGCGTTGCCCTTATCGGATTAGGCATGTTTCGTCTCGGGGAGATAGCCCAGATCTTGTACAAAAGAAGATGAAGGGCGCTAAAAAAGTGCCCAGTGCTCAGCAGCCATTGATAGATTATCATCGTGGATCTATCGCGATAAGACGCGGCTGGACGGAACACTGGGCTGCGATATGGGATTGCATTGCGTGGGTAGAAAAAGAAGCCGTTGAATGCGGTGATGATGAACGCGATAGGTGTTGAGCGCGACAAGACTGAGAGTAGGAGCATTTACTTTCGATATTTGGGTATCAAATGAATGTTTGAACTGAAAGGGATGAATTAGAAGTTTGGAAAAGTCTTAATACGGAATTTTTGAACAGTTTGATGATAGACGGCCCCGCTATGCCTAAACCACCAAAAACAAAATATGAGGGTGTAAGCTTCCATGCAAGAGAACATCAAATTGGTCTGGCAAAATAAACATGGTTCCTGACGCATCGGACGGGACGATTGGCAGCTCCTCCGCTGCATGCCAGCCATGCATGTATGTTTTTCTGGCAACCCGAGAAATAGTAGCCATGGCCCCATCCCCCTGTACATTGGGAGAAAGTCAAAATGATACCATCAGTAGAAAGAGAATGCCATGGGGGTATGTCGCTCGGCCCGGCACTTAGCGTATTAACAAGGATCAACTTTGGTGCGGCCCGGCACTTCGCAAACGATAATAATAGGTGACACAAAGAGACTTAGCAATGGCGCAGAGTTTACAAAGGGCATGAATAGGCGAGAGTATGAGTTCACAACACTTCTTACTTCGCAAAGACGGTTGTGTCCACTAAATAAATTTACTCGAAAAGAATGGTTGTGTTCTTGATGGAAGCATTTCCAGGATTTTGAGCCAACCTGAATCGGTGCCAGGGAGCCCAGGTCGTTTTGGGGGAGCCCTGATGTAAATCGAAAGTTAGTCGATACCAGATATCTAGATGCGCAATTGGCGGAGTAGAACAATAGACGCAGGATGGAAGCAAGTTGAAAAAATAGAGGGACCATTAGAATACGGTAGTCAGGAATTCCGACACGGGTCGTTGACCAGAGGAAGTGGAGCAAGCATAAGCCCCATCATAACATCCTTACCTCTCAGCAATGACAGCAATCGCACATATGCATGGCTAAAAAACAGGACTGGCTCCAATACCCACCTGAAATCATAATTCGCAGTGGGTTGATGTCACAGAAAATTCAATCAAATTTCCTTAAAGTATCACACTAAGCTCTTCCTAGCATCACGCGAGTATGTCATTAATAGTAGACCAAGATCACCAAGTCCACGTGTTGAATACCAAGGTCAGTTTTATCTTTGAAATAGGCGAGGTACATAAATTACATCATGCCGGATGCGCGCGTGACGCATGCTGTAGGCGCCATGCCGGCTGCGTATGACACATGGCCCAAAATAGTAGCGCTCACCAATGGGTTGCTTCCACTTCATTTGATTGTTTCGGCAAGATCATAGCTTGCCAGGGTTTTTTGCTGTCTGCAGGATCCCCTCCACAGAATATCCCAATGCCACTTGTGCTGTTTTCTTCAAGCAAATAAAGCTCGTGCACTTCGCTGCTATCTGAAGTCTCCTCAGTGAACTTTTTTTTTTCGTTTTCATCGGAACAATTTCTTGCTATCCCTTATTGAAGCTTTGCAGTTAATTCATTTCTGCAACTTGTGCACCACCTTCAACGCTCACGCAAAAGCTTCCCTCACGGCGACTTACAGAACAATATCCCCGCCGTGCCCTAATTATTGGAGCTTCTTTTCTTTGCAGTTGAATATCCCTTTTATTTGCATCGTTCCTGACGCCTCCAGCGACTCCAGCTTCAAGGCCAACTAGTTCTCCTTTTCTCGTGACTTTGTTTCAGATCCCCTCCAGGTGTTGACAAATTGCCCCCAAGCTTGATAGCCGCTGTCTTGACGATAAAAGTCGCAAAAACACCGCTCCTAGCCGCCGCCAACACTATCAGTAACGGAACGGAAATCTCCCAATCTATTCGTTCCATGGAACACCACTACGCGATGGACCCTCTTGACCACAAAAACCAAGTGCCCCTCAACCAGATGCGTCGAGTATACTACGGCGACGACCACGAGCTTTTGCGCCAGCAGAATGCCATCGACTTGAAGTATCCATTCCCACAAGCACACTTATATCCTACGTCGTCCAGTGTAAGAGGTGCCCCCATGACGTCGGCGGGTTACTTGCCCCAGGCGCCTGGTGGACCTCCAGGCGTAGGCCAAGAAGTTCACATGGATGATCCACGTTATGTACCACAAGACTTGATGTCTCTGATGCGTGACATGGAAGACAAGCGTATGCGTGGGTACTATGGCTACCCGCTAGCCACACAGAACAACATGCCGCCAGTGGGCAGCAACCCAAACTTGAACGCTAATCTCAACATGAATGGTGCCAACCTCAATAATGGCGGAATCAGTACCGCCAACAACATTTCCAATACTGCTACAAATGGCCTCATGCCTCCCGGACCACCTTTACATAATCAAAAGAAGGATGACCATGGCCTCGTGCTGCCTATCCCACCACTTCATGTGCAACAGCAGATTGCTAATAATGAAGATAACGTTCGTAAAGCCGAAACAGAAAATGTCATACTGTCGAAATGTTCTCGATGCAAGAAGGACTTTGTCCAGAGGCTTATCATGCCCAAAGACTCAAATGGTGAAGCAGGCGCAGAGCCCAAGGTCTACAAGTTGTGTCATCACTGCCGTGACTTGCAAAGACAACGTTCTCGCAGATGGCAAAAGAAGACTAAGGATAAGCAAGGTGCATGTCGTCGTTGTGGAACGGAGATCCCTCCAGAGGAGCAAAAGTATGTGTTGTGTCCACAATGTCGAGAGAACCTCAGAATCAGAAAAGCGAATCGAGCGGCCCAGGGAAAATGTGTACACTGTCTGGGACCTATTAATGCGCTGATAATCAAGGATGAAGGTGAAGACGGAGCACGCCGTCTGTCTACGTCGGGTTCCTACAAGGTTTGCCAGAGGTGTCGAGAAAATGATAAGATCCGACGCACCAATTTGGAGCGAATGGGCAATTGTAACCGGTGTGCTAAGGCGTTGTCACCATCGGAGCAAGGTAAACACAAGGTGTGTTTGAGCTGTCGTCAGAAGAAGAAGAAGCTGGGATCTGGTTCTTACAGTGGACCTAGTGGGGCTCCGAGCGGTATTCAACAACCAGCGATGGTTGGTGACGTTGGACAAAATGTGCTCGTGCAGCCCATGAACTTTATTCCTGCCGACCAGGCCGCCATGATGATGGGCCAGAGCCAGGTCTCCGGAATGGGTAACCCAGTTCCAGTGCCTCAACAGGAATACCCAGTTGCCTATGGTAACTACCAGCCCATGCTCCAGGCCCCACAATTTTCTCAGATTCAACCTCAGGACGGTACAAACCAGCTGCCACAGATGCATGGATTTCAAGCACCTCGGTCATACCTGCGGGATCGCATGTAAGGTGTTGAGGGTTTCTGGTTTGGCAAATCTAAATAATAGAACAATATGATACATGGAAAAATCGAACGATGGATTGGTTTCAACAATGTGCCGCTGAGGCGTACCGTAGCAAAAGAAACACTTCAAATGAAGATAAGATTTACCATAGTAGAGTTCGACTACGTAACTTGTTTGCATGTCCATAAAATAGAAAGAAGATTTACTAAGCTGCAAATCAATGGGTCACCTAAGCAATTCTAGAAGGAACAAACTTCTAACATGGTGCTGTGTCCATGCCGAAAATTATGCCGATAAGTTAGATACAAAAATAACACCAATAATAATCAAAGGTGCTTACAACAATAAGTTACTAAATGAGAGGAATCTAACCACAAAAACAAAACCGCAAAAACGTCAATTGCACAAAACGAACTTTAATATTCCATGGGTTCGGCTTATGTATCTTCCTCGGTTCCCACTGAGCTCAAGTCTCTATACTTCACCAATTCACATGACAAGGTATTTCAAATTGAAATACGACTTGATTATCCCCTGCGCCCCTCCTCGGTTATTGTCACCATAGATCATCGGACTGATAGGTATCAGCCGCAGGCACTAGTCGATTCGTAACCAGACACGCAGGAGGGCAGCTAACCGGATTTGTCGAGCGAAGAAGATGTACTGATACACACCTTGCATTGAGGAGAAGTGGGATTTATTTCAGTACAAACGGAATTTTGGGGGTGAATTAAAGGAAGGGGAAAGTGGGGGTGCCATGGGGAGGAAGAAGAGGAGTAGAGTCCACTATCACGTGCTGGGATGACAATTGGGAAATTGTCATGCCCAATGACGACACGGACGATGCACTGTACATCTTTATGTTACATTGGGGGCCGCGTGCATTGTAACATGCTGCACGCCAAGACTATGGTGTACCTGCAGCCCCAAACTCTCCATGCTTGGTCGGGGCCTAGGCCCGCAACCATGTTTGCGCTCTCCACTCCATTTAAAAAGGTTGAATTTGCGATCTATGGTGTTTGGGTTTTTTGAATGTCAATTTTTGTTTTGGTGTATGGGTTCAAGTTTTCTGCCTTTGTGTTCTTGTAATCGCTCACTATGGTCGTGCGATACCCAACCTGCTTCTTATCCATTGTGTTGTATCTGCACAGTAGCACCTCGATCGCGTGCGTATACTTTCATATAGTATACCATGATTAGCGAAGGCAGCGTATCTGTCAAAAAAATAAGTATGGGGAATCCTCCCTCGACAAAAAAATTGCAGTTCTTTTTCTCTGTTGTTCTGTGAACTGCAAATAATATCAATTATTTTTTTTTTGCCAGTTCTCCCCCTAATCTTCCCCAAACCCCACTTATTTTCATCGCGGGTGACCCTACACACACACACCCGTACATCTTCAGTACCACTCATTGAAACCAATTCCTCGACTTCAAACCTGGAGCATTTCAACCTGGACTTCTCCCCCGCTCGTTCGTTCATTCCTACGTCCCGAAATCTGGCTCTGCTGCATTCAGGCCAGACATCTATACCTCTAATCCATTTCCGTATTTGCAGCACCCCGATCTTGTGATCTTGTTCCTTCCGTTCCAGTCGTGACTATGATGCATCAACTCAACGGGTCCAATCTGCTGCTCCTGTCGTCCAAGGAGAAGGAGCTTCCGCCTATTCCTTCTCGTGCATCCAGCACGGTTACCAGTGACACTACTCCCACTTTAGGTGACTCGTTGCTTCTGCCCAAGTCGCTTAACCGCAAGAATATCAAGAAACTCTCGTTTACCCCTACGCTTAATTTGCCCGATGATGACGAGACTCTGGGCAAGTATGAGCGGTTTCATAATAGTCAGCGGCAACAGAACCGCAATAAATTGCGGCCTGCGCCGCTTTTGAACCTTGGAAACGCCACCAATTCACAAGCTACAGTGATTGATTCACTCAAGTCATTGGATCTCGAAGATTCCAGCCTTTCTGGGACCGCAACATCCAACCGCAGGCGTCAAACAGTGATCAGCTCAATATCTCCCACCAAGTCAGTGTATACGCCACTGCCGGGCGAGAACAAGACGAGGTCGGCGCTTTCATCGCCGTTGCCTGTAACTCCAACAGCTTCGACGTCTTCCACGCTCAATTTGAAGGATGCAGACTTGGTCCATCTTAAAGATCTTGGTGCAGGCAACCTGGGCGTAGTACTGAAGGTTCTTCATGTGCCATCTCAGAAAACCATGGCTCGAAAGGTAATTCATGTGGATTCCAAGGTGGCTGTTCAAACACAAATCATTCGAGAACTTAGAATTATGCATGAGTGCCAGCTGCCGTATATCATCGAATTTTACGGAGCTTTTGCCCGTAGCAACAACACTATAGTTCTATGCATGGAATACGGCAATTGTGGTTCTCTCGATAAGATTGTACAGCTCTGCAATCCTCGACAGCTCCCGCTCCTGGTCATACGCAAACTTCTGTATCTGATGCTTTCTGGACTCACCTACCTCTATACTACACATAAGATCATTCACCGTGACATCAAGCCTCTGAATGTGTTGATGAACCACCGTGGAGAATTCAAGCTATGTGACTTTGGTGTACTGCGTGAGCTAACTAATTCCTTGGCCATGGCTGACACTTTCGTGGGAACATCCACTTACATGTCTCCAGAAAGAATCCAGGGCCTCACATATGGCGTAAAATCCGATGTATGGTCCATGGGGCTAATGCTTCTTGAGTTGGCCCTGGGATACTCGGTGTGGAGTGACACCCACGAGGATGATCCGAACTTCAATGACGAAGACAGAGAGAAAACCAAGTCGGCTGGCCCGGAAGGTATCTTAGATCTCTTGCAGCGAATCGTCAATGAGGACTCGCCAACCCTCACTGGTAGAATTAACAGGTATACCAAAAAACCATACAACGCTGAGCTCTGTGAATTCATCGACGCCTGTCTTGTGAAGTCGGATAGTGCTCGAAAATCTCCGCAAGAGCTTTTAGCTTTTGATCTTCTCAAGAATGTTGGACTGGGAAGCTACGATAAGGAAGTGAAGACTTGGGCCAAAATGATTCGAAAATTACACAAAGAACGAAATGAGGCCGACTCCAACTCCGCGGAGTAGTCTCGGTGGATTCAACTTATTATAAATGCACATTCCTTTAATGTGCACCTAACTTGACAGGACCCCCTCCTTGCATCTGTTCCTGGTCCGTTCCAGATTCTTTCATCCAAATTCACCTACCACTTCTGGACAACCCCCTGCCACGTCTGAAATATCCTGAAATCTTTGGAAACTTTTGAATTATCCTGAAATGTCGCGCCCCATGAGTCCATCGTCCTTCCGGAGACTTGATTTTAGTTTCAGAACTCCACTTCGTGTGTTCCTTTTATGGTCCTTATCGCATAATGCATCAGTTGTTGCAACAACGATAATAGTCGCTACCAGAAAACAGTTGTATGGAACAATCATCTACTTTACAAATGATAGAAAGTTTACCCACGCATAAAATATTCATTATCCTGCCACGCATTTTAGCATGCTAAAAAATAAACGCATTGATCTTTACATGGCTTGCAGGCCGGTTCGTATAGAAAACACGTTGTAATGTACAACGATCTTGGAGCAACTTATTGATCACATTCGTAGAGTGGCATCTCTTCAGCGTATCATGATCACAATGATCATCCAGGCAAAGTCGAAAGTCTCGATCACAATGGAGCCATGAGATGTGGCCTCGACTTAGAGATGTGGTAGTAACCACCTCGGCCTCGCCCTTGAACCTGAGCTTCTTCTTCTTCGCCAGCGAAGTGCTCCATTCCGTGTACAGCTCATTGCTGTCTAGTTGCTCCGACAGAGTAGAGTGATTGGTCACTGTATCTTCTGAATCTAGTGATTGCATGTAGGTGATTGTAGGATGAGTGTCGTCGTCCTTGATGCTGTTTAAGTCTGCCAAAGCTTGCAAGAGCTCCTCCATGAGGAACTTATCCTTGTATGACAAATTGACTCTGTGAACCGTTCGATCTGGAGGTTCAGAGTAGATACGTCCTACATGGTCTCCAAAAAGAGCAATGGTATGTCTTGCCTTGGTCGACTCGAGGCCCGTAGCAAGACCCAGAGCCAAAGCAGCGGTGACGGGACCCTGCCCGGCTGCAAACACCAATACGTGGTGAAATTTGTTGGCGTATGTGGACAGAAGTCCTGGAATCTCGTTGAGTTTCTTCATGTCGGTGAAAGTGATCAGTAGATGGTCTAGACGTAGGTGGTGGATCACCAAAAGACAGTCGTTGGCCTCACGGGTAGAATCACCCAATATCACCAAGATACGACAGTCCGGAGTCTTCTCCAAGAGCGAGCAAAGTACATCTCGACAGTAAGAGTAGAAAGGCACTGCGATATCATAAAGAAAGCAGCAATCATGTAGACTGACGCCATTGGGAATGCGGATGAGGCTATGCTGAGGCAGTGGAACTTTAATGTAGTCCTGTAATCCGCCATCTAGAGTCTTTCCATACTTCCAGTTGGCTGTACATGGATGTCGAAGATGCGACTTGTAAGTTGAGATATCTTTGGCCATCACGGCAATGCAGTTTTCACAGGGATCCAGCACACCCTGGATCCAGCAGGTCAGGTACGGGAACACCATTAACTTGTCATTGCGACCGAATCCCAACCGTTTATCGCCAGTAGGAATCTTGCCTATGATTCTAGACCCAGGTACCAAGTTGGTATGGAAATCACGAGTGAAATTAAGGGCAACATGTTTGATACGGAGAACAAGCGACAGTGTACTACTGGCTAACTCGCCAGGTAGAATGACCAGCTCTTTGAGTTTCTTGTTAACCAATCGCCTTCTAATAGGAAGCAGGTTGACAGCACTGGTAGTCAGGTACAGTGTATGGGTATGGAGGTCATTGACGGGATTCTCCGATACCGTGAGCGTGAACATGGCAACGCAATGGGAGAAGGCCAGGGACGAACAGACGTTGGGAAGACAAGGAAAAGTTGGGATTGAACCCAATGGAAAAAAGTTGATTTCAGTCGATGCGATTGGGGCGTCGGGAATGTGATGTGATGGGTGGTGGCCAACGGAGAGCTCCCACGGGACAGATGGCAAGTATAGAAAGCCCTAGAGGAGTTCCACGAACGGTAACGTAGGAGAAAGAATGTTCGGCGCAGTGAAATATGTTGTGGATGTTTGCGAGACAGCGGATATTTATTGTACTTCTCGGTTAGTCTAGTAGGTGGCTGCAGTCCGGCATACACGGGGCGTACAAGCATGAGGTCAACGCGTATATCTATCGGCTATAACTTTTGGCAAAGGAGGAATTTAAGGGGGCCAAAAGGACAAATGGCGGCTCGAATAGCTCGCTCTTATGACTAGCAATATGCATACCCAGATACTTCCCGTCATAGAGTCCCATTAGTATGTAATTTATTGACTACATAGTGACGGGTGATCCATAAGTAGTTAGTACACATCCTGCGGTCTCATGTGGATCGGAAAGTATACACCTGCACGGATGCTGCATTAGCCTAATAAGGTTGGACGCCATGAACACTAATCCCTTAGCGACATTGTGAGGACTCGAGGAATTCTTGGTCAGACGGCCCTAGTCATTTATCTAATCAGTAGGTTGGCAGTTTGTTGAGGGTTCGCCGTTGAGTTTGATGTCGGAATGCGCAGGGTTATGACCTGTCGTTGCTGCACAGTGTTTACATCGAAATGGATCGCTACCCCCAGGATTGGAAGTCCCCCACCACGTGACCCGTCAGTCCATTGGTTGCCCGGTGTCTTGTGTCAAAATCTGGCACTGTTTCACGTTCTGAAACGAAATGGAATTTTGTGAAATGGTGCCTCCAACACATTCTCCTATCCCATACGAAACGTTTCGTGTCGTTTCGTGTCTCCCCTTCACATGACTTGTATGCGTGATGTTGGTACTCGTTTGCTTCGTACATATCCCGAACTGGATGTTTTCATTGGTCAGATTTATTGTAGATCCACAAGCATTTGATGAAGGAGTAACCTCGAAGTTACAGAGGAGAAAACGAGGGGTTATTTCTTGCATGGAGGGCCACAAAATATCCGTTTCATCCAAATAATCAATACCCTACCAGAACAATGGCTCGAGTGACGGAGATAATGCGGCTCGATTATTGTGAGGCGTTAGACATTATACTAAGACTATTACAAAACATTCCAAAAATACCATCATGTAGGCAGGAAATGGACAAATCTTCGATAAATTTCAGTCCTTATCGATAAATATTAACTTAGCTCACTATGTCCTAATTTCTCTGACCCTCGTTTCCAGTGGCCTGTCGCTGCCGTTTCCTTCACACCTCCGGTTATTTGTCCGATCCTACTTTCGTCCAATCAATCCAGGGAGTGTATATCAAATACCGTTTCTTGCCGTGAGATTATTTATTTCACATCCCGTGAAGAGTTCCACGCATCGGAGATCGTTTCATGCTGGCGAAGATGATCTACAGTGAGATCGATATCAATGTAGGTGGCGCATTTGTGGAGGGATTGGTGAAGTTGGTTGATGTGACCATTGCTGCATGTGCCTTGGAGGAGTACTTCCATGTACCTGGAAGGCTCCTTTCTTTAATTATTGCTACATTCTCGTTGCTCCTTTTTTTTTTTTTTTCTTTATCGGTCGATTCTAACAGAGTTGGCCTTCAATATTTTCTCGTAATGTGGCCCTGTCTTTCCTCTACTCCTATTACTTTTCTCGTATTAATTCCTCTTTCTTGGTGCTCTTGCTTGTTGAAATTTGACATCTCCATCTCCATCTCCATCTACTTCTTTTCATCTTCTCCACGGGATGCTTCTCCCTGACGCTATGCCTAAACTTTTCTAATGTACCACCTATGTTCTTCGCTATGCATTGATCGTCTTTGCATTCTTCATGGCATATATTTCTTGATATATTTCGTTTCATTTTGTAGCCTTGCCGACTCCCGCATGTCCCTGCAGCACATAACACTTATTGCACCCAACTGACACAAGGTCCTGCGGCTATTTCTTCGAAGCTTGACGGCTGCGCTCTTCCTCACTTAAAATCAGAAGGCGCATCGCCTCTTCTATCATCCGGTCTTCCAATGACATCAAATACTGCTGTTGCGACTCACGCGACCCGCTTCCTTCGTCAAGAATTAAATTCGAAGCATGAATAGCACTGGCAGTGGCTGCCTTACGTGCTAGCTTGCTCTTTGCACTGGCGAGCTTTTGTTCCCAGTCTGGCCTTATATAATCTGTAGTAATAACTCCTTCAGCGTCTGCCGCCACCGACGAGCGGCGACGAGGCTTGCGTGGTGTGAATGGTGTAGCCTTGGTGGGACTACTAGGACGTGAAGTTTCGTCTGATGAAATAACAGCGTGCTCTCCGCCAGTCTCTTCGCCTTCGGGGATCACGTCAATGGACTGTCTCTCCCTGTAATCCTTAGCAGACATGGATGCTCCCATGCCCACCAATAAATCGATGGGATGCTCGTAAGTCACTCCAAAATTGGACATGGCACAGTAAGGACAATTGGCGTACTCCGAGATAAGTGTGTGTGGAAGTTCATCCTTCTTCTCTTCGCTCGGATCATCGTGTGGAGGATGCGGATCGAGACGTTTGATTTGAACAAAACATTCAGTACAAATCGGTTGGCGACAGCAGCGACTATAGTTCAAATTCCGGGGAAAGTACAAGAAGCAGATAGGACACTCGCTGGCATCCCTGTACAACCGCAATAGCAAGTCTTTTGATGGTACGTCTGGATCACTTGCCTCTTTACATTGCAAGTATTCATTCTCATACTGACGCTGCACTTCCTTCATTTTGGCGGCAAGCTCCTGATGGCGCCTCTTCAGCTCTTGCCGTCGGAAATGGTTCAGCGATTTGTGGATCTTGTGGTCATCCGCATCGTCCTCCTCTTCCTCGTCATCGAACGCCGAGTCTAATGCATGGAGAGGCATCTGACGAACCAAGGTGGCGATCTCATCGTCGGTCCATGACTCGTCAAAGTCCTGGAGCGGCGTGTAGAAGGGCGCAAGTCGCCGAGAAAGCACAAGACCGCGTACAATCTCGGTGTTGTAATCGAGATTCAGCTTGTAAATTCCATAGGGAGCCAAGTATCCACCATCCACATTCTCATGGATTCGCACAATCAAGTCAAGACAGTGCTTCTCCCTCATTTTCATCTTGTCCTCTGACTTGGAATTTGCCTTGGCGGCGGCAAAGAGCCCATTACTCAAGTGACTGGTGGAGCCTCCTATTAGCGACAGAGTAGTATTTCTTCGGGTCAGGCGGCCCACCGTGGAGCCAGAGCCGATGGAATTCAATGACAGCAGCCTTGCACGCTGGTCTTTGGTCGGGACGTTTCCCATTTTGCCACGAAACTAGTTGATTTGGTTGTTCCGCCGAGGGTGGACGCAGGAGGCTTAGACAGAGTGAGCTCCGGATGAGACGGGGGGAGGAAACGTGGTTTGGGGACACAGAAACTGTGGTGGACGCGGCAGAGAGAGAATCCGCAAGATATATCAAAGTTTCGCAGTGAGAGGAAGGCGTTCAATATCCGTTCCGTGAAGACTTTTAAAAAGAGTTCAGATTCAGAAGCAGGAACAACCCCACGATTTGGGCCCTGGTGAGTGTGTGTGTTGTCACGTGCCAAGTCACGGGACGGTACTTAATGAGAAGTTTCCCAGGATTAAAAATGCAAATGTTTTAAACCTTGAATGTAATTTCGTCTTTTTCAAATGTGAAATATAGGAATTATTTTCGTAGAAACCATCTAAGTCTATTAATTTTCCCGTTTTCGGATGGTTATGGATGGTTTTCAAGGAATCAGCGACTGGAATGTCTCTCTTTATATGCCATCCACGTTGACAATTGCTGTTCCTAATTTAGCAGTTTGGGGCACGATCAATAGGAGACCATATCACGTAGGTAAGTTAATAAATCCGAGACAATTTTTCCGACCAACAAAAAATGGTTCGTTCCAGAGAGAAAATTAAAATTTAGGCGAATTCTTCTTTATTTCTTCTTTTTTTTTTGCCTGAACTATATAAACTTCTACATCTTCCGGATTAACTCGCTACATTATAACTCGCATGTTCCGTATATTCTCCGAGACACTGTCCGGAGTTAATGATGCCCAAATCTATAAACTGCGAGGGGCATGGTCATAAACATTTTTCAGTAGAGACTACTGTGATTAATTAATATGATAGAATTCCAAGAGAATTTTTGAATTATAAAGAATTCATTCTCTGTTCTCTCACGATCTGGTGATTGCCAACCCAAAACCTACACCTATCATGGCTAACACCACCATGATCCAAAACACTCCGAAGATGCAGCTCAAAACTTTTTGTGATCGCGTGTATCTGCGGAAATATCGCACCAGAACATCGTCGTGTTTTTCATTCAACGTCCGATCCAGTGAAAACTCGTAGTAACCGCCATAATCAAAGAATCCAAATGCTAACATGAAGTAGATTGGAACCGCAACAAGTCCCATCACCATCATGGTAAACCACTTCGACCACGGCATTGCATTCGCTTTGGATGGCGTTTGCCAGTATTGGCCACTTTTTTCATTGTGACCAGTCATTGACAAATGGTGGTGCTGTTTGGTGACGGTGTCTTGATTGACAGAAGAGGCTGGTGAAGGTACACGGGTTTGTTGCACCGAATTGGGCACCAGAACTGATGCATCTTCCTTAAGCAATATTGATCCAGGATGAGGAACACGATTATCGTCGTAGCGGCCAGAGTTTCTACCTTGAATGGAAGATATAGAGCTTCCATAAACTGAACTGCCCTTGGTGCCTCGGTACGCCGAGTCGGCCATGCAAGGACTCAGTTGCGGACTCTTCAAACCCCGAATGTTGGCAGCCGTTGGTGGAACACCAGGTGGTTTGCTTTGACTCTTCACATTCTCTGCAAATGGCATATCGATGCTTCTTGACAGAATGGATATGCTGCGTGCGGAATTGGACCCAGAACGGAGTCCACCATACGATTGCGACGGAGGTTGCGGGAAACCCAGCGATCTCCTTTCCTTTTCGTAAACGGACCACCTAGTATTGTTGGATTCTCTATCTTGGACAGTGTAGAGCATAACTGGGAGTTCTGACTGAGAGTCTATGCCCGCAGTAAGCCCGAGAACTTCAGAGGCCGATCCATGACGGTTTGCTGATTCTCTTGGAGAGGCTCTATTAGAGCCAAGAGTGACTGGTGACTCGCCAGTAGAACGAAGTCGCTCAGGACTTCCGAGCTTCTCAATGAGAAATGGACTGGCGTTTGGGCGACCAGGATCAAGTTTGGTGAGTAATTCTCCACTAGAAAGAGATAAACTGGTATGAGAAGAGTCTGGAAATGAATCGTCTGCTGCTTTTTCATGGCCCGTGGAGCCCTGCCCTGTGGCTATCGCTCCAGCATGCTCACGAGACGTTTGAGTTATGAAATCTCGAGAATTGCGAGAGCTCAGACCGAGAAAATCTAGAGAATGGCCAGATCTATGTCTGAGAAGATCACGAGAATGTCTGGAGCTCAGACTGAGAAAGTCCCGAGAGTCCCGAGTAGACATGGACCCTCGAGAAAATCGAGAGGCGTGTGAACCTCTGGATCGGTTCGAAGAGTTGCCAGACCCCCGAGCAGTAGATGATCCACGAGTTCCTCCACTTTGAGTGGTAGAACTGAGCGAATCTCGGTTAACCTTGGACCGCTCAGCACTGTCTAATAGAATCTCCGTACAATTGGTGGTGTCGAGTGGATATTCGGAAGAGTCCATGATATCTAGCGGTGTATCTACGCTTCCAAGCGGCGTCTCCTCAATATCCACCACATTTTCATCCTTTGTCAGACTCGAACGCAATGGTGTGACATTTGGTTCGGGATATGTAGGAGAGCTTGGAGTTCGAACGGAGAAGTTTTGATCGTTTGGAGTTTTCGGAAGAAGTACCGTGGCGACAACTCCGGATTCCTTCTTCTCAGAAACTTTAGATGCTGGTGAATCAGTAGAAGCCTTTGGGTCTGCTGGCGGCGATAGCCTTGTAGAAGCAATCAACTGTGAGAGTGCTTGCGAGGTAGTCGGTAGAGGAGGAGGAATGGGCTGCTGACGACTGGCACGGCGCTGGCCCAAGCCAATAGAACGTCCTCTGACTTCTTTTTCTTCAGCATTTGCCTGTGGTTTTAGAGGGTTGACTTTTTGGTTTTGCAGAAGTGGAGCTTCTGTGAATCTCGTAGCTTTCGTCGCCGCCTCATCGCCATCACCGTCCGAATCACTCAGAAAAGCCTCCTCAAATCGGAAAAAAAGCGTATCTTCATACTCTCGTATTATAGCATAGATGTTTTCCGCTGATCTTATTTCTTCCTCGGTGTATATGCTGTTCTGGGATGAGTCGGAGTCGGCGAACTCATTTACCCTGACAAGATGAACCACACCCTGGCCGTGGCCGGAATTGGAAGTAGCAAACGATGTCTTCAGGCTATTCGCCTGGTGGTTGTGTCCGAGAACAGCAGCTGTAGCTACATGGGCAGTGCCTGTTCGTAGAGAACGGTCTGGACTGGTTGATGATCCTCTGAAAAAGCCATGAATAGAGTTTCTCCAGGTGCTGGAGGTGAGATTGAAAGTCGTGTTATCTGCCACAGATGTGTCCTTCTCGTCATCTGCCAGCATGGTGGACACTTCAAAGCTTGTGATGATGGTCGATGTAGTCTTTAATGCAACTTGTAGTCAATTTTGAAGCTTGAGTTGTAGCTACTTATATCTGGAGCCTATCAGCGAAAGATTAGCCGGAAATAAAGAAATTGGACAACCAGGCAAGTCTAATGGTCAGGAAACACGGTGAACGCTGTGAAAGAATATTCTGACAGAATCAGTAACAAAAAGTATTGTAAGATGAAGAACCTCTAGGAAAAGAAGGTATTATGAAGCAAGCGAGCAACGATGTAAACGTTAGCGGAATGTAAGCTCAGGGATCCTCCAGGGAGTCTAGGCAGTCAGCACAAACGTCTAAGATGTGGCCATGATTTGGAAGTACTCCAGATGATCTATTTTCCCAGGGCGGATTCCAGTGTTGACAGCTGATCCGCATTAGGAAACATTACATGCATGTTGCATAGGAAGAAGCGAAGAGATATGCGGAGCAGATGGAAACGGAAATGTAAATAACAATCATACTGTGCTGGTGTACCTGAGACATTTCCCATTAGCGAATGTCCGTTATGGAAAGTCGAGTTAATTTGCTGTTTTCCCCTTAAATTAGTGTCTATCTGCTAGGGAAGTTGTAAATGGACAATTTGAGATTTTCTTCGCGTGCAGTCGTCGGAGCCAGGTCTGGCAACCAATCCTCCACATTGGGCCTGGTCGCGGATAATTCTAAAAACTCATCTTCCCAATCCGATAGATTGGATGCATTGTTTGATGATGAAATGTGCATTGAATACGGCAGAAAAAAGTCGATAAACATTACTTGTTTGAGAAAACTGATCTGGGTAATGTTCTCGACATCTTGCTTTTAAGGGGTGGCAAGAATCAGCATTTGTTGACAATTTAGACCTTTTCTTCTGTGCATGTAATTTCATTTCAGAACCACGCGTTCTAAACGCACTAGGCTGGTGATTTTCTCATGATGAGTGTACTGAGGAAATACAATTACTACTTTGGAATCGTAATAAAAGAAGAACATGAGTTGAGTTTCTTGTTAGGCAGATGGTATTGAGGATCATAAAATGACGATTTTCTACTTATAAATGTGGCCAAATTGTTATCCGACAGTCCATATCGAAAGTGACTTTGATAATAACTCTATGGCCTCAATCTTTTGAAGGGTCTTCTCCGTCAGCTCATGAAACTATCCAAAAACATTAATTAAAAGAACGATATCATATTTAGTACAAGAGAGGTTTTATCTAGTACATCCGAAGTCTCTCCCTCTTGAACAAGGAAGTCGCACATGGATCGGTGGAGGTGGACACACCAGCAACAGTGGTAGCAGTAGCAGTAGAACCAACAACAGCGGTGGTTGCTGTGGTAGTGGACGATGAGCCAGAACCTCCTCCTAATAAGCTTCCTAACAATCCAGTCACACCAGATAACAAACTGCCTCCCCCAAGAAGTCCGGTAACTAAGCCACCCAACCCAGAGCCACTGGAACTGGTGCTTGAGGATGAAGAGCCGGATGTGCTTGGGATGGTCAGGTTGCCCAGCGACACCGTAGACGAACACTTGCCGTCAAATGCATCAACGGCAGTGGCCGCGATTTCCTTGATAGTGTCGAAGCTCAAGAACTCTTTAACCAACTGGGATAACAATCCAGATGATTGGGTTGCACTGAGAAGAGCAGAAAGGTTGATCAATCCTTCTGAGTTGAGCTGCTTGACGACCTGAGCACCGAACGAAAGGTAAGCAGGATCAGTGAGAATGGTCTCCACCACCTGGGTGGCTAAACCAGAGGAAGCTAAACTCTCCAATAAGTTGACAATGATATCGTCCACATCTCTCTTCTCCCCAGCCTGCTCAAGGAGATCTGGTGGCATCAAGCCATCTCTGCGAAGCATCTCAATACCTTCCTCGAGGGTGTATGCTCTCTTTTCTGTACCGTCCTTCTTGAAGAGTCCAGTAAGAAGACTGAGTGCCAGCGACTTGATTGTGTTGAAGATGGACACATACAACTGACAGTTGAAAAGAAGGTCGTTAACAACAGACACAACCAAACCAGACTCCACAGATAGTTGCAACAAGCTCTGAAGAGAGATGAGTCCTGACTTGATGACATATTCGAGACCAGTGATGGTCAAATTCTTCAATGTTTCGTTAGAAACGAAAAATTTCAAAACAACAGGAGTCAATTCGGTGTTTTTGATAGCAGTCAACACATCAGTAACCACTTGGTATTCTCTCTCAGCCAATTCGGCTGCGAGATCAGCTCTCTTGACCTTTAAGGCTTGCAATTCTTCGTATGCCGCCAATGCACGCTCCAAGTCGTCTCGCTTCATAATCTGAGTAGAATCTTGGGCTTTTATAGGAGCAGGAGCAGACTGAACCACGGCAGAGGTGGCCAATACAGCCAACAAGGTGGAGTGAGATAACTTCATGGTTAAACGAATGGATGGGTATAGATGAGTGCAGAAGGGTGAAAGATTCCAAGAAAAGAAGGAAATTGGTGGCTCAGGGCCGTGACTTTATTTATATACGTTAAACAGTAATCTGAGCGCCCCATTTATTCGTCAATTGATACATTGGAATTGCTGAAATGAGTTAAAGCTAGGGTGCAAAAACTTCCCAATAGGGCAACTCACTGCAAGTGCCTGGCTATATGCAGAATGGTTCCATGCCGCACCTGCTTTGGGCATAAAATTTTGCCCTTTTTCGGCAGGCGCAAGAGATTATAACCTTTACATTTCCTGATTTGGCAAATGACCATTTCCTCAACTTCCCCATATCCAACTAGTAGGTATCTACCATTGGCTGTTTCGGTATGTCTTTTAATGTTGTTATCACTAGCAAAGTAACAGCCCCAGCGAATTCATCATACCTGTGTTATGGCCGCTTTGATTTCAGGAAATGCGGTCTACATATTACGATCTTCTCTAAGCCTCGGACCAACTTCTATACCCACTCTGGGTAAGTTATCTCCTCCATCCGGTGTCACTGTTTCAGAGCGTAGAAGTGCTATTATTCGATGGAATTGGCCAGTTCGGGTAATCCCCAAATAATAGTTAAGCCATGCATAATTAGACATAGAGACTACACTCAAACGTCAGAATGTCCTGGCATATTCTTTTCCATTGTTGTGGAACGGAAATTATCTGATCCGACCCGTTTCATGTGTTGGACATCATGATGATTACTTGAAGTACCTGTATCTCCATTCGCAAACTGTGAACTTGAAACCAGACCCTGCTAACCCGACAGGAGTTGAATCCTCATATTATTTCTACCGCTTGCCAAAGAAACTCATCAATGATGCCTGCTTTTTCTTTCCGTCCCCCTTCTTTTCAGTATTTGGCCTGGCAATTGGTGCACGTACGGGAGCTTTCTTTTCTTTAGGTTCTTTTGGCTCTTTTTCTTTAGATCGATACGTGGTGATGTATCCGTCCTCATCAACAGTAGTCACTGGAGGAGGAGTAGGTGACCGTGGTGTCTGTGATGCTGAGTTGACCATCTTGCGAAAAATAGAATCTTCGGGTACCTGAGCTGCCTGTGCAGCTTCTGAAGGTTGCGGAGCCTCTTCCTCAGTATTTTCTACCACAATTGGCTCCTCTTCAGCGTCGTCTTTCGTGTCGTCGCTGAAATCACTCAAATCGTCTAAGAAGAGGTTGCTGAGGTTCGTAGAAACAGTAGGGTTCGTGGGTTGTGGGACAGATTCGGAAACAGAATCCACATCCATGTCATCGTCAACCATACTGGAAATAACAACACGTTCTTTGGGCTGCGACTGCTCCACTTTCCGAGATTTATATTGGTAAGCTGGTTTTGAAGCAGGTTTGGAAGATTCTTCCAGTAATGATGCTTCCCTCTTGGCTGGAACTGATGACTTTGATTCGCCTTTTCTTGACACGTAATTGGAGATGAGACTTGGAGTTTTGGTCTTTTCCTTTCTGGACGTATACTCTAACTTTGGTTTGGGCTTTGGCTCTACGGGACCAGTCGTGCTGGCCATGGCCATGGTCTTTTGAGGCACCTTGTTCTCCTCCTTCAGTTGTGACTTTTTTTGCAGCGATTTTTTGTCAACCTGCTCGACATGAGCGAGATCTGTTCCCTTCGTAAGTCCCAAGGCGTAATACCGGTCCAAATCCCCCAAATCAACCGGGTGTCTCAGATCCTCCATGGCTATCTCACTAGTCAGAGGGTGATTCTTGACCAACGTCAAGCAATACACATGGACAGTGCGGATGTCATCAAATTGGTCCCTCTGTAAGGCAAAATCGTCCTCATTCTGAAACATCTGAACAATGGTGGTGCCCAGACGCGTTCCCGTGACGATGAACGACGCGGTCACCGTCGACTTATTCAGATTGTAGTAGTCGTAAAGCATCTGTTTGGACTTGGACACATGCATGTTCAAATCTCGAGCAGCGGTTCTATATGTGACAACATGGGTCTGCAACGTGGAGTTTAAGTACTTGACTTCATTTTCAGAGATATCCATCGTCATTAGAAAGAGAGTAGTTGAGTGTGTGTAGGACTATGAGAAGTAGAGGTTAGAGATGAAGGAAGAATGAGTGATGAGGGTGATCTATTAATTCGAATATGCAAATATTTAGAGAAGTAGGAATAAATTATATTGCTTCTGATCTAAGCTTGGGCATTGGGAATTTCTGTCTTTGTTTTTCCTTTTTGTATCTTAAGTGTTTTTCAATCGGTAGGTATTTTTAGGCGTTTCTCTTTAGTAGATTTTACGTGCGTCTGGGTAATCCAACTGCCCTTGAAAGGTCGTTTAAAATATTAGGAAAGTGCGTTACAACATTCTAGCAATGGTAAGTTATTTATTGAAAATGTAATAAAATGGTACTTGATCTGAATCATATTCTTCATGTGAAGAATTGAATCAGTATTAATGGAGTAACTTTAAAGCTCTCGTATAGCACTTTATGTATTCAGTTGATTTAGATGATATAGCACTACTTCCTAAACAGAGTGTCATAAAGGCACGTCGAATTAGACAATAAAGCTCAACTATGGTTGGTATTTAGTCAGTTCTATAGTGACACTTCTCAATAACCCTATCATGATAAATTTATCTCTGCAGAGCTTTCACCTTCATAATTTCCAGGCTATGAATTTTATAGTATTTCAGATTACCCAGTACATGAATGTTTCTGATTATTCAATTCATCAAGAATTCAAAGTACTCGATCCACAAAAAATCCAGAGTACTCGATCACTTAGTACAATCTTCTTCCATTTTTTGCTTTCTACATTCTACATTTTACATTCTACATTATCCATTCTTTAATATCCAGATAAATTCAATTTCGCTAAAAACAATTCTATAAAATCCTAAAGCTCGTCCTTGACATTAGCGACCTTGGCAAGGTACTCTTGTCTTTGCTTCTCTCTGGCTTCATCTGAGCCTCCCAATTCGTTGTTGATCATTTCCTCAGTAACACCTCCAGATATGAGAGTTTTCCAGGTTCTCATTCTTTCAAATCCGTTACGAGCAAACTGGTAATCAGCAAATGCTTGCTGGATTCTCTCTCTGGAAGTGGCCACGAATGGACCATGCTGAACAACCTTCTGGTTCAAGATTTCTCCACCAATCAACACAAACTCAAGGTCTTCCTTCTCGCTCTCTGGGTATTCTCCCACAATTGTGTCTCCATCTGGGTTGAAGAACACATTCTCAAACTTGTTCACCTTGGAGTCCTTCTGGAGGATCAAGTTTTTGCCCTGCAAAACGTACAAGAAGAAGTTGAAGCCCTTTGGCACTTCCTGGGAAAAGTGTGATCCTGGCTTCATGGTGTAGTGGTAGTATTGCACTGGAGTGTAAGCCAATTCCTTCAACAGCTCCACGCCGTAACTCTTACCAGAAATCACCTTAACCTTGACCTTACCGTCCTGGGTTTCAGCCACGGGAATTTCCCATGTCTTCAAGTCTCTGTATCTTGGCTCAACCTCTTTTAATTTCTCTGGCAAGTCCACCCACAATTGCAAACCAATGTTGGGGGAGCCATCTGGGTGGATCACTGGCATTTCCGAGTGCACAGTACCTCTTCCAGCAGTCATAAATTGCAAATCACCTTCTCTTAACACACCCTTGGAGCCTGTGAAGTCCTCATGGGCAAATGCTCCCTTGGTCAAGAGGGTAATGGTTTCCTGGCCCAAATGTGGGTGTTCTGGGAAGCCTCCCACACCATTGGAGGAGAAATGGTCGAAAAGCAAGAATGGAGTGAAGTTTCTCATCTTCATGTTACCAATGCTTCTTCTGACCGTGGCTCCAACACCTTCGGCCTGTTCGATACCAGGAATAATAGTCTTAATAGTTCTGAGAGTAGCCATTGCTGTGATAGTTTTAAAAAAAAGTGAAATCCAGAAGACAACGAGAACACTTCTCATGTATTTATACCCCGATGCTGACAAAAGAAGGGTCACTTGTGGGATGTTGATGAGATTAAATATTACTCTACGGAGTTTAGTAAATTTGACTAACTTGTATAAAGCTGTCTACGATGCATTCCGCAATCTCCACCTTAACTATTGGTGTACGTGTGTTTTCTCCTCATGTCACAGGGTGCGCCTGCCCATTAATGGCCATTTTGTTTGTCATCTCAGTTACTAAATTTTACTTTTTGGCTTGGTGTACGGATGTGCTCAAGTCATTCATTCATTTGCCTTGGATCTTGACAAGTTTTGAGTAAAAAAAAGACTGATTTGATTATAATTATTAGTCGAGGTTTCAATCTTCTAGATTTTTCTAGCACGCTTAATTGTGTGAGATTGCATATTTTCGGATCGTTAGAATTTGTTAATTTTTGGTCATTCTATGACACAGGAATGCGTATTACCAAAAATTTCGGAAATAGTCATTTACACTTAAAATTGCAATTGAGTAAGATTGGACTGATTTTCAAATTTTCAAATGAGTCGAATCGTTGCATAATTACAAACTTCATATTCATATTGGTAACGAAAAAAGTAGATTTCTAAATTTCTGAATTGAATTCTGGAACATTGACAATAACGGGGAGAACTTATGATGGGCTCAAAACGGACACTAAATAGCATAAGAATGTGGGTTATATGTGTGAACTCTTATTATTGAATAAAGCAAATGACACATATCGAGCGATCCAGACCTTAAAATTCTCTTTAAGACCTCCCAACTGCGCTTCAGACCTTTCAGATACTCAGCATGAGTAGAGTTTCTAACATCTTCATATCTCAATTCACACTACCATGCGTAGGAACATCAATGCATCAGTTAAGACGGCCCACACCCACTACTTCTGTCAGTGGAACTAATGAAAATTCAAGGCAACTACATTCAATTCTTCTCTCTTTATATTTGATAAGTAAAACTAGTTAATCCTCTGTTCAATCTTTGAGCTTCAGTGAAACCCATTACCTTCTCCGTGCAAAAGTGTAAACAGTAGGAAACACTATCTTAACAGGAGTAGTTATATCAACATCAAGAGCTTTTGCCAATTCATCAATAAACCTGTCAACAGTATCTTCTTTATCTCCATGCTCTTTTTTCCAGTTATGATAGCCACTCCAACTCGTCACATAGTCTCGATAAACGCCCAAGGTGACATTACGCTCAATGTAAAGGGTTGTAAAGTCCTTATCATTCTTTTCTGGGTCATAGTGATGTCTGATGATGTCGGTGAACAATTCTTCCGGAGGACTGACACCAGCCATGGCAGTTCTGAAGAATTCATGGCCCGGCTGCTCGTAGTATGGTCCAAAGAACCTCTCTGACTTGTCCCCATACTTCTCAATCGACGATCCATATGCGTAATCAGTGTAAATTTCATTGGCCTTAGAGTTGCCCACAAAGACTGGGTCCAAGTAAAACCAATAAGCTAAGGTTCCACCTTTTTTCAAAATCCTGGCACATTCCTTAAAAAAAACAGGATGGTCCATCCAGTGACAACATTCTGCACCCGTGATCATATCCACAGATTCAGGCTCGATGAATGCTGGCGACTTCTCAGCTGGAGCGACTTCAAAGCGAATTTTGCACCCATTAGTGCGAGGGTCCAGGTTACATTGCTTAACCATGGTTTCAGATATATCGGTGCCAATGACGCTATCAAAGAAATTTGTAAGCTTGAAAGCAACAAAGCCAGATCCCGATCCTACATCCAATGCAACTTTGGTGTCGTTGGGTTGAGCACGGTGATACTTGATCAAAGTCTCATAGAATTGGTCAGGGTACGATGGTCTGGCGGTGTTGTAGTGGGCAGCATCAAAGTCTTTTTCCGAATAGGTAGCCATTGTTAATGAAGAGTATTGTTTTTGGATATTAGAATTGTGTCCTTGGGGATTGGTTTATACATTTATATAGATGGGTTGGTTATCACTGGTGGCCGGTTCCGGGCCGGTACCGGCATGTAATACTCAACTAGTAGCGGGGTATCACTACCAATTTTGCAAACAATCAGTCATTTGTGAAGGTTAGGCAGGTACAAAGATCAGTCATCTACAATGACACATGTCAAAGTCAGTACAAATCCGTTTAATGCTATGTGGACGTAATTAGGTGCATCGGACTTAGAGCAAATTATTAAAACATAAGCTTCCAATTGTAGACAAAGTAATCGAGTGAAAGTAAGTGTCTGTGGAGCAAGGTCAATTAGATATCCTTCTTACCCTCAGCAATCTCCGAGGACTCCGAGCTTGACTGGCTCATGGCCTCCTTCTTCAACTTTCTGTTGGCCAAGAACTGGCGGTACTTCTCCAAAGTGATCTGTTTTTGCTTTTCCTTGTACTCGTTGACAAATTCGTACTGAGTCTTTGTGAGCTTATCCCAGAAGGTGAAGAATGGCTGGGAGTAGTTGGACTTGAAACCCCAATTCTGGTGGTGAATGTCGTGGTACAATGCGTTGTTGGGGAAGATCACCTGGAAAGGGTCCCATGGTAATCTATAACCACAATGGTCATCCACGGTCTTCATAGTCGCAAATGTATACAAGAACATTGCTTCACGTGGACTCAAAGCGGTGATGATGCCTGCAAGACCCGTTCCTACAGTATCAAGTAAGAAACCTTCAACGGGGTCATTGTAGAGCGCACCATACGAATATGGCACGTACAAACGGTGATGTCTGGAGTGGAAGCGTCTGTACAAGGCTTTGTTGACGTGCATCGTCCTGTGGAGCCAGTATTGCCATGTATCGATGATACAGAGAGCGATTCCGATTCTCATGGCTGACCATCCGTAACTGTAGGCAAACCACAACACTGAATCGGGCACAAAAGAAGGAAGGTAATGGTGCTTGAGATACCACATCTGGTAGAGCTCGTGGCCCGTGACAGGCATAGGATCTAGACGGTAGAAGCCGTAACCAACTACTGACTGAATCACGTGTTGCAAAACAACATCTTTCAAGACTTCTGACAACGACGCCTTGTTACGAGCCTGTTCTTCCTCGCTTGGGTGGATCCTATACTTCTCCGCTAGCTCATACACATCGATAATGTGGAAAAAGGTGGAGTAGACCCAGTAGGCGATGACGGGAGCCATGAGAGCCAAAATCCCATCAGGAACTCCGGAGATTAGGTTCTTTCTGGGCAACACAAGCACATCAGGCAGCCTGGCGAGCGAGATGACCGCAGAGAAGTTCTGGGGAGGTACAAACAACATAGGGACCGGGGAAAATGTTTGGAGGAGATATTCAATAGTGGGAAGGGTATTCGGATGAATAGGGAGAGACGTGTGGCTAATAAAGCGTGGCTGGAGGATATGAGTGGCTTGTTAGCGCCGTAGCGGATGGCTGGTAGCGGGTGGCTGGGGTGGATTCACGTAGATGAATGTAATATCAACTGTGACAAATCTGGGGAATAACACTGATGGCTTAACAAAAACGTACCGGAAGTTGCGATATATAAGACAGTCAGTGCGGAAAAAAGAAATTGGGTGCGAGATCCAAGTCTGGAGTTCAACTTGTCAAAAGCTGTAGAGGAAACGATTGAAAAAAAGGAAGGATTATATTCTTTTTTTTATTTCACTGATGGAAATTGAGAATAAAAGTTATTAGTGACTGGCGTTTTTGGTGAATTTCTGCCTCTTTTATACAGTGGAGTGATCATGTTTTATGGTCCGCTAGTGCATAGAATGTCGTGGTGCGATCACGTTACTGGCAATCGTTTGAGACGGGAAGAACCACACGTGATGTATCACGTAAGAGTAAAGACGACGGGGAAAGGAATGGGGAGATAAGAAGGAAAAAATTGTCGGATAAATATAGGGGCATGTAGATTTGGCAACGCTTTAGAAGCCTGTTTCACACCCGTACATCTTGACAATTAGTGATTGAATATACACCCGTACACCAGAATAGCATTTACAAGTCAATTGTCAATGTAAATATGGGATCCTTTTTGCTAGTTCTTGAAATATCCATAAATACAGCCCTTAATCTCTGCGTAAATTTCCAAAGAAACTCTAGATTAACTACAGAAAATTCCTGGATAGCGCGTTCTTCATCCTTAAACAAATTATTGGAATCTTGGGAGGTACGGGTCTACCAACCACTTGTAAATCACCTATCTCCAGCATCAACTTCCTAGTCATGTCTAGAACAAAAACGTCAGGCGACGAAATCTGGAAGAATAACGTGGAGAAAATCGTATGTATATGCAAGAAAATCTATTTTCATGGCATTCGCTAACCGCCAGAACACAGAACTATTCACTCTAGCCTACGGGTCAGTAGTGGCACAGCTCTGTAGAGATTTCAACAACAACTACGTGGAAGTCAACCAGCAGCTTGACAAAATGGGCTATAATATCGGTATGAGACTCATCGAGGAGTTTTTGGCCCGAACAGGCGCGCAGAGATGCGGCACATTTAAGGAAACAGCCGATATGATCACTAAAGTTGGATTCAAGATGTTTTTGAACATTGTTCCTGCCGTGGAGAACTTCTCATCGGATGGAAAGAGCTTTTCGATTGTCTTAACAGAGAATCCATTGGCGGAATTTGTAGAGCTTCCCGTGACCCTGGACCCAAAGATCCAGAAGGAGTTGTGGTATTCCCAGTTGTACTGTGGAGTGTTGCGTGGAGCGCTCCAAATGGTTCAGTTGGACACAGATGTGTACTTCGTTCGGGATGCGTTGCGAGGCGACGAGAAGACCGAGATAAGGGTCAAGTTGAATCGGATCTTGAAGGATGAGGTACCTGCTGGCGAGGACTAGATGGATAGAAAATGGGGAGGACTAACGAGTCGAATAGACAGACAATTAGGGACTAGAATGAAGCACAGGGAGTTGCCAAGGGCTTGCTTTAAGTTTCCAAGCCGCCAAATTTCTTTGAGACTCAGACAGTTTTGAGTCTTGACACAATGATGATCGAGATGGACTCAATGGTGAAAAAAATCTGTTGATATCCATAGCATATTACAACAGGATATTTAATGGTGCTTACAATCGTGAATATTCTTGTATAGGTACTCTAGTGGTGTTTTTGGAGGTATTCTAGTGGTGCTCTTGATGTTACATTTAGTGGTAGCTTTGTTGGTAAATTGTTGCTCCTAGTAGCACTCTTTATCGTTATTCTTCGGCTATAACACTGACGCGATTGTGCAAATATCGCCAATGGTAACGATACTCCTCAGTCATGCCACCTTAATCCCACGTCTCTGGACATTACCACTATCCATGGACAAAAATTTTAGATGTCGTATAGTCAACTACAGATCCTATACTTTTCTGAAATCATTCTTCTCCAATATCTAATCTGAGTACCCTTCTAATCTCAGTAACCCTTGATTGTAGTGCTTGAGAGAATACCTTCATAGTGTTTGCAACCACATACTCCTTACATCTCTCATCTGTTTACCATGCATTGCCAACTGGCAGTTTTCTACTCAAAATGGACCAAGAACTTCACCGCTAACAACACCCAAAAACTCCATCAATTTCCTTACTTTCATTGTGGTTTCTAGTGTCCCACCATAAATCTCCAAATCTAGCAACTTACTATCTAGCACCATGCACCACCTGCACTGAACTCCATACCAATAATTGCCCCACATCCAAAAGCTCCAACTACCATTCATGATTGCCGAGAAATTAAAAAAGCCTTTCGGTGAGCCTGAGGCTGAAGAGAATCAACCGATTCCTTCTGACAGAAGCAGCTATCTCGATATCATCCGTCGCATATTCTTTCTATTCACTTATGACTTGGTTATATGGTTCTTTGATGCCGTGATCCATACATTTTTCCGGGAATTGATGCCTCGAGGCACGTTCAACATCCCCAAAAAGGGTGCCGTAATCTTTGTCATTGCTCCCCACCACAATCAGTTTGTGGATCCGGTGGTGGTGATGACCACTGTCCGTAAAATGGCCGGACGTCGAGTTTCCCTCTTGACCGCAGCCAAATCGTACCGAAAATGGTTCATTGGCATTCCAGCACGTATGTGTGGAGCAATTCTGGTGGAGAGAGCACAGGACTTGGTTAAACCAGTCGAAGGAACCATTTCTGTGGAGAACTTCGGCGAAAACAACGATAACTTAGTGGTTTTGGGCAAAGAAACTCAATTCACCAGGGATTGCATGGAAAAAGGATTAGTTGGACTTCCTGAGTTTCTAGGTAATGCCCAGATTGCTGAAGTTGTCTCTAACACAACATTGATCTTGAAGAAGCCATTTAAGGTCAATTTTGAAAATCCAACTGAGAAAGATGAGAAGATCATCAAACGTCTCACAGAGGGCACAAAATTCGTTGCGGCTCCTCACGTGGATAACCACCAGGTGTTTCAAAACGTTTTTGATCACTTGAATGCTGGTAGAGTATTAGGCATCTTTCCCGAAGGAGGGCTGCATGATCGTCCAACTTTGCTACCATTAAAGCCTGGTGTGGCCATCATGGCCCTAGGAGCTGTTGCCCAATCCAGGGATCCAAACCAGGTAGTCAACATCATACCTGTCGGGCTCAACTACTTCCATCCGAACAAGTTCCGGTCCAGGGTGGTGGTGGAGTTTGGCAAGCCCATCAAGGTGACCAAGGAAGATGGTGCAAAATACGAGAAGGACTCCAGGGCGGTAGTCAATAAGTTGCTTGATTTGATAACCTTGCGCTTGAAGGAGGTCACGGTAACTTGCGATGATTACGACACGCTCATGGCCATTCAGGCAGCAAGAAGATTATACACTGCTGCCCATCGGGAAACTATTCCATTGCCATTGGTTGTGGAAATGAACCGACGTTTGATCAAGGGTTACCAAAAATACTCTGACCGGCCCGATGTGAAGGAATTAAAAGATGCAGTGGGAGAGTATAACAAGAAGCTTATGCAATTGGGGATTCATGACCATCAGGTAGAGTCCTTGACTCAGTCCAATAGGTTGTTTGTGACATACATGTTCTTTGACCGTTTTTTCAAAGTGATTCTTTTTCTTGGTTTGGCAATGCCTGGAGTAATTATGTTTGGTCCGATTTTCTTGGTTGCAAAGAAAATCTCCAGAAAGAAAGCTCAAGAGGCTCTTGCTGCGTCAACCGTGAAGATTAAAGCTAAGGATGTGATCGGCACTTGGAAGATCTTAGTGGCTCTTGGCTTGGCTCCAGCACTCTACATCTTTTGGGCCGTGGTAGCAACGATTTTGCTCACCAAGGCTGGATGGACCGGACGCTTGCCCAAGACAGTAGTTTTTATTCTCTGCTACTTATGGTCTGTTCTCACCACATATGCCTCATTGCGTGTGGGAGAAATTGGTGTCGACTACTACAAGTCGTTGAAACCACTTTTCTACTCGCTTGTTTCCCAGCACATTGATCTGTTGCAGCTTGAAAATCTTCAAAAAACCAGAAAAGAATTGGCAGAGCAGGTCGCAATCGTTTGTGAGCGTTTTGGACCTCTGATGTTTGATGATTTTAATGAATTCTATCGAGACTTCAACCAGCTCAATGATAACGACATCGATTTTGCTTCTGTTCTCTCTTACAATGATTCTACAGATCTTCGCAGAAATGCCTCACTCAACTCATTGTCAATTCACAATTTATCTGATGTCGCCATCTTCTCCAATCCTCAAGATGATCAAGAGAGCATCGAAAGCGACGACAAACATCCAAAACCCTCAGAGGGAAACGAACCTCAGAGCAGAGGAGAAGATTATGCGGAGTCCGAGCTTCCTCAAGAAAAAGTACGTCTCCGCAGAGTGGTAAAGCGAATGGAAGAAACGTAGGTTGGAAGTATTGAGGGGGAGGGTACTATCAGGTTTATCAAGACTGAGCATTTCTTCTCCAGGTTCATACTATCGTTGCTCATTGTGTGCAGTGGGAACACAATCAGAAATGTTTGTTTACCAAGAAATAATCTATTGGATTTTCACACCCGAGTGCTTTTATGTGTGCTGGCACTTTCTTCTTTGCTGTTTGCAAATGTGTTGGAGGTTTACGTGGTGAAGTTGGCCACCACAATTTGCAGAAAGTCTGAAGGGGCGAATGATAATTCAGAACAATAATTTGGAATAATGGTCCCGAACAATACTTCCGAACAATAAGTGGAACAATAATACGGAACAACAAAAAAAAAGGAACAATCGCAATAGGCATATGGTAGGGCAAGGCGATGTCGGAATGAGAGGGAGCACGAGTTAAGGAAATGAAGCGAAGTAAAATGGAATAGTTTGAGGTAATGTAGCTGAGGATAATGAACAGCTGAGGCAGTATTGACTGCTTGAAAGTTGTCACAGAACGCTAGTGGAAGTTTTTGGGAGCAAGGAGCATCACATATGTACTCCCTGTTTATGCACAGCAGTATGATCGTATTGTGTTGTAGTCTTAATCAATTTTTCACTGGAAATTGTCATCATGATCAAAATGAAAAGAAAGGCGAAACCATAAAAAAAGCAAAATGTACTTATGTACTTAAGCGAAGCCATACCAATTAAAATTGGATACCAATGCACCAGAATAAAGAGCGCAACCCCAGATGCATGAGAAAGTGATACTTGCGGAGAAATGCCGATCTAAAAAAATAAGAATCCAGACCACCAGGATATGATGAAGGCATTCCATAAAATGAGAAAATGCAGGCAAGTGTTGAATTATACAGCCTGGCCAGCCCACCACAAACGCCCATAACAATAGTAGGCGAGAACCTTAGGCGAAAAATATCACGAAAAATATCACCACAAAAAATATCACAAAAAATGTCACGAAAAATAAGAAAGAAAATAATTCGAAGGACGGGGGAGAAAAGATTCATACACAACACGAAAATGGAAAATAATCGCCTGGTTCTCGACATCACCCTGTATACACCGACATTAAAACGAACAGGTTCGTAAATAAAGCTTTGGTAGAGAAGATCTGCGTGGACAGACACTGTGAGGACGATCCACATCTCTGGAAGGTTGGCCGAGGAAAGCAGCCGTGAACTCCAAATGCTACTAATCGTGGACAAACTTGATACCGAAGTTGGTAAACTTGCGAAGTCAAGTCGCCATACCAGGTTGCAATACTATTGTCCAAATCACGAGCACCCACCCAATTCACGAACAGGTCTTTACCAAACAAAGTAATAGTTACTTACAATCCCTGAACTTTCTACCCCTATCCGTGATCCCACTTGACATGGCCACAGTCATTTTCGATACATTCAAAATGTCGATTTACTTTTCTTATCCAGAACTTCGCCATCATCTCCGCCACGAACTCGATTTCACCTATAATGCACTGGGCAGGCTGAGTCCCTACGCGCTCGACCAAAATAGAACTGGCTTTCCATGCATGCGTAATCACAATAGGTGCATGGGCAACTTCATGTATCTAAACCAATTGCGTATGCCGAGTAGCCATCTTAGGTAAAACGCATTGGAGCCCTGATCCATCATTTCCAAGTTTAAAAACCTTTTGAGCGCCAGTCAAGAGTTCGCCATCTTTGTAATAATTGTGGAGTACCATCAGGTCTGCTTTGAATGCTCAACGAGTCAGTTTCTGGTGTTTTTACTCTCATTATTGTGCTCTGACAAAGCTCGCCGTGACATTCACTTTTGAAACATCCGCACCACTCTAAGGCTCCATTATACGCCCTTTGAACATGAAGGTACTTACTATACTTGTTTTGGTGGCAGCTGCAACCGCTACACCTGTACCAGCCAACATCAAATTGAGAGCCTCTGCTCCTCTGCTTAGTAATCGGCCTGTGAACGAGCCTGGCCTGGTTTATGTTCACCTGAGATAGTTACAGTGAACATTTAAGGAATCAAGGAAGGACAAAACTTTGGGACGGGAAATGCATACAAAATAATGGACAGACTGCAATGAACGCATATGATTTCATTCAATCATCACAATAACAAAACTAATGTAAACAGACAGTTTTATGCTTGCAATGGTTTATCCGCCGCCCTCATTTCTACTGATGGGTATCATTCCACCAAGACAATTGTCTGAATTCTACAAAAAGGCAGATGTCAAGGACCGAAGTTTCTGATGCAATTAACAGCCCATTTAATTGCATCCTGATCCCCACATCCCTCATTTTGGCCGCCCAAATGTTAGTTACATGGTGTACGGGTTTCACCTTCAAATCTTTTCAAGAGACCAAAATTCTCTAAACTTTGCGACTGCCTGGTGTACGAATATTCGGCCAAGATCTCAAAGGGTCCGCCTTATGTAACTGCAGGAACACTTTTCTTTTTGTACGAACTCCCTCACCAGATGCACGTGACTACCACCCTCACCTTATCGACCGCATGACGCAACGCCACCATGAATCATCTATTCCCTACTATATAACTTTTTTTCCTCCATATCTTATTTGTCCTGGTGTCAAATACTATATTAAACAATCGTCCTCAATACTACAGTACCTTGCTTCCGACTTCAGTCTTTGTGTTTATACCCGACTTTGTCTTGACGCTTTAATCTTTGCTATACCTCCTTTATCGATACCCGCCGCCCTTTGCCACCATGAAAGTCACCTTCAGATTATCCACAGAAACTTCATACACAGTGACAGTCCCTGATAATTCGACGGTGGAAGATTTGCGTAACTCTGCCAAGGTTGGATGTCCGCCCTCAGCGAAGTTACCAGTGGACTTCAAGCTTATCTATAATGGTGAGAAGCTTGTGCCATACTACAACACACTAGAGTCATTCCGGATCACGCCAGACGTGGAAAACATAACAGTGATCCTCATGAGCGATGGCTCCGATACGCCTATTGCGTCGCCAAAGCTTGCTCCTCAGACTCTGGTGTCCGTGCCCAAGAAGAAGGTTAAGAAGAATAGATGTCTGTTCAAGAGCTGCACTTCTGCACCACTTCGCATGGTGGGTGATTGTGGCCACTGTCATGGCAAGTTCTGTGCCAAGCACCGTCTCTTGGAAGATCATTTGTGCACCGGGTTGCAATTCTGCAAGGAGAGTGCCCATGAGCGCAATGCAATGAAGCTCCAGAGCGAGAGCACTATAGCTTCTCGTGTTTAGCATGCCTAGATGGTGGGCTCCCGAGCTCCCGGCTCTCTTTCTTTTACCGGTCTCTGGAGACTCCGTATATAGACGCCCCATTAATATCTTTTTCGTTTGCAATCATCCATTGTATCTATATTCTAGATCTGATTTTAGTTCAGCAACAAGTTTTCCAAAATATCATCGTACTTGCCATTGGTAGCATTATTGGCCCGTGTTAAGATGTCCTCTGCCTCTTTGTAGATGGACTCCTGCTCTTTGCTTTCAAGATCGTGGGTATTAGCCAACGAGATCATCGCCTCAGCAACATTGGCCCATGTATCTGGATCTTGTTCATCCTGAGCGTCTTTCAAGTACTTCAAAGCACTATTGAAGAGCTCCTGACTGATTTTCTGTGCCTGTTCCTTAGTGAGTCCGTTGATCTCCTTCTGACCCTTGGAGTAGTATGTCAAAGTGGTGAAAACACTCGATGGAATCTCTGCTTCCATGAGATATGACTGACCTAGACGCTTGCACAACTCTCTTCTCAAATCAGCAGGAGGCTTGCTCTGCAAGTCCAAGTTCTTCAAAAATCTCACACTATGTTCTCTCCACCATTGATTGTACTTGTCCAGTTCTCTCACGGAGTGGAGTGGATGTGTAGGAGCCAAGTCCACTTGTTTATCTTCATCATCTTCGTCATCACTATCTTCACCCTCCATATGCACTTTGCCAAAGTTATCACTCATATCGAGGAAATCATCTAAGGCTTGCAAGAAGTCCAAGTTCTCCAAGTTGAAATGTTTATACTCTTGTCTCGTTTCGGCCATGGAAACAGCCTCCTCCCACTTGGAAAGACTGTGATCAAGTGATTTGGCCACTTCCGGGTGTTTTTTGCTAATTTTGCTGTCCAAGGTCAACTGACTGACTTCCACCAAGGGAATTCTATTCATCAAAATACGAGCCTCGCCAAAGAGCAACTCAATAGACTCCGGATATTGCTCACGGCCAGCTTGGATCCGTTCACTTGCAGCTGTAAAAAACTGGGCAACCTTATCCTCCTCTTCTGTATGGAAGAATGCTAATGATGAAAGTGCCTGAGCATAAATGGCATGGAACTGACCATTAAGATCGATGATCTCGTCGTCCGCATCTTTACCAGAAGTTTCACCACTGTTGTGTTTTTTTCTCAAAAGACGGTCACATTCATGGATAATTCCGTTCAACATCAATTCTTTTTTTTCCTCGCTCAGCAAAAAGGTTCTCCATAAGGCCACAAGTTGGCCTACTGCATCGTTTGCGTCAACTTCTTCGTCCATTTCCACGGTAAGTTCATTTTTGTCCTCGGAAACTTCTGAGGGTGCGGGTTCTTCTGATTCTGTTTTTTGTTTCTTGACTTTGGCGGCTTTTCCAAGGCCAAGGTGTCTTTTTGGAGCCATACTTGGATGCGATTTCTGTTTTGGAGAATATTTGATAATATTCAGATGGGTCGATAGGTTATAGATGAAATCACGTGTGTTCTCATCGAAAAATGCACGTGATATACCATCACGTGAGTATGAGCTTCTTCATGGACCTTTGTCAATCTTTTCTTTGAATCAATCATTCACATTTCCAGAGTTGATCTACCTTGAGTTATCCTCTTTGTGCTTAGCATCTTCACATTTGTCTTTCGCTTGCCAATCCTCCTATCGCCATTGGCTATGTTTAATCTCCTGCACATCAATTATCATCACATCACGTGCCCTTTCCTAATCACTATATTGCAAAATTTAAAACCAACGATAACTCCAGTTTAGAGCTTCAATAATGAATTTGTTGGCTTCTTTGTCTTGTAAGGACGAGGTTCACCTTGTTGTGGGAGGAAACTGCAACATTGCAGCACTCCGAGTCACTTCAATTTTAGCTTGCGGAGCTCATCCTGTGCTTATCCAAGATACAGCTGTTGAAAATTTCCCAGTCAGTCTTCAGGAAAGCATTGACACGGGAAAAGTCAAGTGGATCTCGCAGAATTTCACTTCGGAACATCTTACAACCCTCGGAAGATCTGAGGTGGACAATATCGTGGATAAGGTATTTGTCACCTTGCAGAGAAAAGAAGAGCATGTCAAACGTGAAATATCGAAAGAATGCAGGCGTCTCCGAATCCCTGTCAACGTATCAGACTCTCCTGACTTGTGTACATTTACCCTTCTTTCCACGTACTCAAGTGGAGACTTCCAGATGGGTGTTACCACCTCTGGAAAAGGATGTAAATTGGCATCTAGGATCAAGAGAGAATTGGTAAGCACATTGCCCAACAACATCGACGAGATCTGTAACAGAGTCGGAGAACTCAGGCATGAGATTCAGCAGCACGATATGGAAGTCGGTGCACACGACGACGATGCCGTCACCACGCTGAAGCTCAACTCTCTCGTAGAGGAATTCAGCATGACTCAGGAGCAGAAAGCCTCTCAAAGAGCACGGTTCTTGTCGCAGATTGTTGAGTACTACCCATTGAAGAAGTTGGCGGAAATTTCTGTGGACGACCTTGCAGCTGAGTACAAGGAGAAAAAGATAGAGGACATCAAGGAAACCAACGGAGACAACGTATTCAAGCCCTCCAAAAAGGGTTCTATCTCGTTAGTGGGTTCAGGCCCCGGTTCGGTGGCCATGTTAACACTTGGAGCCCTTCAGGAGATCCATTCGGCTGATTTGATTTTGGCAGACAAACTCGTTCCTCAGCAGGTGTTGGATCTAATTCCCACCAAGAGAACAAAGCTTTTCATTGCCAGAAAGTTCCCAGGAAACGCAGAGCGGGCTCAGCAGGAGCTTCTCGAGCTCGGATTGGCCAGTTTGGAGAAGGGAGAGAAGGTTGTACGTCTCAAGCAGGGCGACCCATACATTTTCGGACGTGGTGGAGAAGAGTTTTTATTTTTCTCCAAGCATGGCTTCACTCCCTCTGTCTTGCCAGGAATCACTTCGGCATTGGCAGCTCCTGTCTACTCGAACATTCCTGCTACTCACAGAGACGTTGCAGACCAGGTGCTCATCTGTACTGGAACTGGACGTCGTGGTGCACTTCCGAACCTTCCAGAGTTTGTTGCTTCGCGGACTACTGTATTTTTGATGGCACTTCATCGCATTGTGGAGTTGATACCTCATTTAATCGAGGAAAAAAATTGGGCTCATGACTTGCCAGTGGCGATTGTTGAAAGAGCTTCGTGTCCCGATCAGAGAGTGATACGAACCACTTTGGCTAAGGCTGCTGCGGCGGTTGAAGCATTGGGTTCCAGACCCCCAGGTCTCTTCATTGCAGGATACGCATGTAGGGTATTGACAGGAGAGATGGAGGGAGATTGGGTTGTTGAGGAGGGCCACCAGGGCGATGAGATAGGAGGCATTTTGCAAAAACTTGCAAATGGAGCATAAATTATTTATAATGGCATAAGCTGTGAAACCTCGCAGTATCTTCATGAAAGCATTGTAGATGAACATTGTAGATGAACGGATTACTCATGAGGTCCTTTTCTTGGTACAAGATGAAAGTCGGCCTTGACTAGTCGAAGTATGTCATTCAGGGAAGGAAAACACTATTGCGGTGAACAAGCTGTCGCTTGAAAGATTCTAGCTACTCAAAATTCCCTAGAAATATCCGGAGTGCTTCCACTTGCCGTTGATTTGATTGGAAGACTTGAGACACCCATTAATTATGACGATGTGGAAGACAGCTAAGGAAACAGGAGAAAGAGATTTACACTTAAAACCCAGCAAGACCTCAAATGCTTTATGTAATTCACCTGACTTGTCGTGATGGTCAAATTCGTTCGTATCGACGATTACTAGTCGGTCTAGTACATCTATTGCATTAAGAGGCTTATTTTAAACATTCTGGTAACATGTAAGGCTAGGTAGATCATCTGCGGACGAAAGATAATAAACGGCGGCAAATAATTATGGGATAAAAGGTTAATCTTTCACAGTAGAGTATCCTTGAATAGAAGTTTAATCCTCAGAATTAATTTACCATCTTAGAGTAAAATCCTTGTATAGTTTGGAGGCTTAACGTGGGAGTAAACCAGATGGAGAAATTTTTTCTTCGCCCGTGAACCTCACATATACGAGAAATTGAGCCATGGCAGTTACTGACCACAGGCCAATGATGAATGCTTTTCTAAAGTCCGACATATACAATGCACCAGCAGTGAAAAATCTCTGACCTGCCGTTCTGGACGTTACTTAGTTACCGTAGGTGATGCAAGATTATTCCGCTACATCGAGTCATGCAGAGTCCCGTGTGGGATACCACTTCGAACTTTAGGAGTGATGCAAGATTTTTCCGTTACATTCAGCAGCATACTGTGTGGGATGCCACTTTACTATTTCAGAGACATGTAAGATTATTTTGGTCTCATCAAGCAATGCAACGTGCCGTGTGTGGGACTCGTTTTACTTTTTGAGAATGATGCAAGATTATTTTCTTTACATCAAGCATTGCACTGTTTCTACAAACACGAACCAATTACGTGCAGACGAAGCGTAAAATATGCACAGTTAGTCTGAATTCAATGTATCACCAACTCCCAATTGCTTGTTGATACCAGGTGTAGAAACAGGGGACATGGAGAACAATGTGGATGCCCTCCCACACGGCTGACAAGTGGGCGCTTCGGCTCTTTTGAGATACGAAAAATTGCGTGTTTGCCCGCAAACTCAAAATGGCAAAATAATTCAGGTGTTCGAAAAATAATACCACAACGGCCATCGAGATGAATGTGACCCACAGGCATCCTACAGTTGCATACGGCAGATTTCTGATGTCAAAACTAAACTTTATTCATTCTGCATGCGCACACTAACACATCTGTAATGGCGCCTGCAATGGGCCTGCAACAGCATTTACTGAATCCTGCCCCTAGTAGGGCCTGCAATCGCACTGACAATCATGCTTCAACCGTCTCCATAATCAATTCTAGTGAGTCAATCACATCGCATAGACCATGTATTCCTGTTTAAACACTCGTTGGACATGCTTTGCGCTGCGTGCTATCGCTCGCACTGCTTTAAGCGGCCGTCAGCTATCGGGAAATACATCGGGCGTGTCGTCTCCATTAGCGTTCGTGTTCGATATTGATGGAGTCTTAGTTCGTGGCTCTAAGGCCATTCCACAAGCCCATGAGGCACTTACTTTGTTAGATCAAGCGAAGGTGCCTTTTATTCTTCTAACCAATGGTGGAGGAGTCAGCGAGAAGGCTCGTGTGGAATTTCTCTCAGAAAGACTCAATTTTAATTTGTCTCCGCTCCAAATCGTCCAGAGCCACACTCCAATGAGATATTGGGCACAGACAGGCAAATTTAAACGAGTGCTAGTTGTTGGAGGAAACAACGACAATGCTCGCCATGTGGCGCTCGACTACGGATTTCCTGATGTCGTGATGCCTATCGATATCGTCAGGAATGACCAGGCAATTTCGCCTCACAACCGATTCACGGAGCTGGAGTTGGAGTGTTACGCACGTGATGCCGACGTCTCCAAGCCAATAGATGCCATTTTGGTGTTTAATGATCCCAGAGATATGAATACGGACATGCAAGTTGTGAGTGACTTGTTGAACTCCGAGGGAGGATTGGTGGGCACCAAAAGAAAGGTTCCGGAGAAGGACTCTCACATCCCAGCCATTCCAATTGCCTTCAGCAACAACGACTTTCTTTGGGCCAATGATTATAACTTGCCCCGTTACGGCCAGGGAGCATTTCGTATGATCACTGAAACACTTTATCGAGAGGTCAATGGAAATGAAAAAGCTCTTCAGCTGACTATTTTTGGCAAACCATTCAAGGTGCAGCATGACTACGCCCATTGGGTTCTTATTGAGTGGAACAAGATACTACACGGGCATAAAGCACATGATTTCATGCCTAAGTTGCACGAAGAGGTGATGGACTCGCCATTTCAGAAGATATATATGGTAGGAGACAATCCTGAGTCGGACATAAGAGGCGCAAACATGAATGGCTGGGAATCCTTGTTATTGAGGACTGGAGTTTACAAGGATTCCGACTGGGATAAAACGGTGCACAGACCTTCAGCAGGGGTCCACGATAATGTGTTGGATGCTGTCAAGTCTGTGTTAATTAGAGCATGATAGAATAGTGGATTATTTTTTCTCAATAGACAAGATTTAAATTTTACTCAAACCTTGAATAGTGCTAGTAATCATTGGGTTGTGTCATGAGTAGTGTTTGAATCTTGAGAGTAGATGTATCTTAATCTTAAAGGGTGGCTGTATCTCGAATAATGACAGAGTTCTGGAGCGTTGGGGAGGTATTTTTCGTTATCAATTAATTGAGTAATTTTATGTTCATCAAAAAAAACTTTCAAATGTGCATCAAACGAGAAAACTTTTCAGACCAACTTCGTTAAAATGTTCTTATCATTCAAATAGAGATAAATGACTCCTGCTTAAGTATCTCTTATATTCTGATGCCGAAATTGTTAGGACAATCTTATGATATATTGGCTTCTTTCTTGATTGTATCCAACTTTTATAAGGAGCTGTTAGACTTTGGAGTAACTTTATTGGCCATCTCCACTAGGAAGTTGTTCTTGATGATAAAAAGGTCAAGCAACTTGGGCTCATCATCAGATTCACGAGATCATAGAATTATCCAATGGTAAGCGTATCAAGGAAAAAATAATCCTCGGTACTTCGCTAATGATGGCTTTTCTTCAAGCGCCCTATGATTATATTCTAGATGAAATTCTTACCTTGATTAGAGCGTGAATTCTGAAGAATTCGTCCGTCATCAGAATATTAAATACCTATCAAATTTCCGGCTATGGTTACCGTGGCCTTATCAATCATAGTCTCAACACATTGTCTCGCAAATTTCAAAAATACCTTTGTGCCTTTGTTCCGTGCCTCCGTATATCCAGGGATATCCCGCCACAAGGAGTTTTCAAAATCGATCCTCATTGGGCAACCAAATTGAAACACCAAATTTGTTGGTCCAAAATTGTTTAATATTCATGGGGCCAAATTTTACATGGGATGCATCAACAACTTTGTTGGTCAAATTTCGCAATTGGAAGCTGTCTAGTAACAATCTGCTAGAGGGTGCGTGCACGCTCTTTTCATTGTTTATTGTCTCTGTGCGTATTTCTATGCTTTCATGGCCCCATAAAATGGCTTAAATTCTGAAAGCGACAATCGTCGGATGAACAGATTGCCGAAGCCTATGAAGTGGCCGAAAAAGCCGAGATTGCCTAACCTCCTATGCAACCAGGTCAAAATCAACCGCATTATGATATGGAATTGACTTACTCGCCCTGTGAACACCCCAAATTAATATGATTTTGGAGAAATCACCTCACATTCTCTTTTCCTACAATAATATGTATCCATAGTTACTGCTTCATGTGCGTAGATCGGCTTCACTGCAGATGTGAGTAGCTTGTCACAGCCGATGCGGATTTGCGGAGACATGCGACGCTCCTGTGCTTTCTTCCCCGACAATAACCCAATGAAATGAAAAACTTTGAGGATGACACATGCCAGCACGGCTTTGTGCCTTTGTTTCGTAAACTGAGATTTTAGAAAAGTGTCTCGCCCAACTCGATCTGCCGATTTCATCTCGTCCTATTGTCCCAGGGCACAGCACTGTTTAGTGTGCCTGCAGCCGCCAATGCGTGCCCAGTTCTTTTCAGATTAACTGCCGATCGCGATTAACAACCCCTGACAATGGATTCTTATAATTGAATCGAACCACAACGATCTTGACAATCTACCATAGACTTCGGCTCAAATTTCAGAATTTTCCGAGCATATTGAATTTAGTATTGTAACTTTGCATGCTCACTCGGCTTCGCCCGATACATTTTTCACCAAAACGGCAATCCGACATATATCAGATTGTGTCGTATATGCCTTGTCTTCAAGTCACATGGGCGCACCTTTACATCTCATATGCCTCGGGAACTACTTCAAGCTGCGTTGCCCGCCAGTAATCGGATGGCCAGATCATCACAGATTTGTTTCGAAGAACCTTCGCACTTATTGCACATTCACAGTGCGTCAACCCACATCATTGGCTGTCAAGAGCAGCTTCATCACAATAATAGCCGCGTTTGTGGTTACGTCAAGGGAATGACTTTTGTTGCTTCAAACTTAGTGCATGCAATAAGTGTGTTCAACTACGTGGTGTCATGTATCGAAGTCCTGTTTATACAGTGATGCCAAGTGCATTGCAAATCAGTCATGTGTTTATTTTCGATCGGGCAGATTGGCGATTCTAGGTTTTGGCAAAGTTTGAGGTGGAAGGAACCAAAGGATGTCTCGAAGAAGATATTTCATGTGTTGAAGGATGGGAAAACGTTGGCAGCCTTGAACTCCATTATTCTCATGGGACCATATTTCTCTTCATCTGCGCCAAACGGAAGTGGCATGCACCATTGACACATTATGCAAGCACATGCCTGGCTCTGCAGCACTCATTTACGATATTCAAGTGAGTAAAATTTGACGAGAAATATCTCCGGTAAGGCAGATTTCAAAGGAAAATAAGTAACACTTGAGCTTAGACGTAGATCCCGCGTATTTCGTGAAATAAACTTAATAATTTATATTACATCGCGTCACAAGCAACTAGAAGAGCATGCATTTTATAACCATCGTTCAACTGAATTTCGAAACCCATTGGAAACCGACTCCCCAGTCTGTATGAGAATCTCCAGTCTGCATGATTGCCCTCAGTCAAAGTATGACGTCTTTCAAATATGGATATTAGCGTAGCTATGCTAAGAAATTGAACTATACTCTAATTTTATTTCCTATATCGGCCAAGTTGAGATCTGCCACCTACTAATGCAAGCAGTCAAGCGATCAAAATCTAAACCTTCGAATGGATCGGAGATGTGTAAGTCGTTTGAGGTCTCTACAATACGAGAAACACCCCATTTTCTAGGGATTAGCCGAGAATGAAGAGCGTATAATTCAGGACTCTAAGGATCCGAACCCACCCGCCTCGCTCGCTCGTAGGTGGGGTGGTCTGTGCCGGCCTAGCCGTCCGACTATCTACAATCTGCAAGTTCGATGCGTTCCTACAGACCTTGCATTACCATCGGCGCCTGCTTGCAAGCGCTACAGGGATTTCAAGCTGCATGGACTTTATGATGCATAATGAGGTACAGTAACTTTAAAGGCGTTCAGGGTTGCGCGTTCCTAAAATAGGCACCCTTTTTTAGCCTTCCATACAGCATTCTGGTGACGGGGTTGGCCAGCGTGCACAAGCAATCACCAAGTAGGTAACCCTTCCACTTCGAGCCAATCACATTGGCGGCGACTTATTTTGGCCCCACTATATCCCTTCAAGAATGACCACCACCGTGTGCTAAATGCTCTTAACAATCTACATTGCAGGTGAGATAATTTGTAACCCCGGAAGTTTCGCTTCCCCCCTCTCCATTTGGTTTTATCCAGATAATCCTCCAAATTGGGGGTTCCTCGCATGTTTGGCCGAAGTATTCTTCCATCTAAGAGGTCGGCAGATTTCTGGAAAGCCTATAAGGGGAGAATCCATGCATGAAGGGTATAATCACCCGGTTCCATCAATTGCGCTTCTCCAAAAGACGCAATTCTTGGGCAAGTTTGTGACAATGGTGCAACCAATAAAGCATTGAACATTCCACCATCAGTCACCTGAAATGAACAAGAAGTCTTATGGCGTGGCTGTATAGCGACTATTGTTCCTGAAAATTTTGTACTGGAAGTTCTAACTAAAAACAGGTGAGTGATGCAAGGCGGGATTGTGCATCCCTAAATAACCGTATCATCGCCTGACAGGCCGCTCTGGACCCCACAATAGCCTGTAGTGCATCAGTCTCCTCCTCACAATAAACAATCTAAGATTTGTACTGAATCTTAGATACGAAGCTTCATTTGACGAGAGCAAGGCACTCGAAAGTTATTGACGTGGCACTATTATCAACATTCTTACGAATAATGGCTTAGCAATGGTAAGGAACACGAGAAGTTTGTATTGTGGTTGGAACATTACGAGGTGGAAATAAAAGACTCCTCTAGAGTCGAGTTATTGCATGAAACATTCCATTTCTTTTTCGGTTGTAGATTGGAAAGTGGCTAATGCTTTTCGCTAACTTTGAATAAAGTTTAGAAATTGCTGGGTAGGTCTATCCTATGTGGCGAAGTGAGTGATTGTAGTCTCTACATATTTGCATTGCTCAAACTGAGGAGGCCTCCAATTGGCAACATGATGATATCTGCATTGGAAAGAAATCGCTACAACAACCAGCAGCTTAGAGACGATATTTTGAGAAAGCAGTTTCATCAAGATATGTAGGAGATTCTGTGATATCCAAATCTCAATCATTAACGACTCAACGTGGCAAATATCGCTTTAATTATTCAGAGACACTAATTAATCGTCTTAGAGAGCTCAAGAGAAGGAATACACTGAAACTTATAAGGATAATTGACCACTGTCTTACATAGCTTATCTCCCATAAATATATATTAATGCAAAGCGTCGGCCCTCCCGACGATTCCAGTAGAAATTAAATGCCATAAAGTATTGTCTCAGTTTCTGAGTGGAGGCAATGATTGGTAAGGACTGTTCAACACAGGGCGTGGTAAAGCCATCCGATGGCCCCATTGCGCCAATCCTGGCAAGGGCATGGATCCCATTTCTGGTTGTACATGGTACAGGTATTCAGTGCCCGGCACCGACGGAAGAGGAACCTGTGGAAGTGGGGGTTGAGCACCAGCCATAGAAGGATGATGCTGAGGAGCTCCAACCACTGGTGGTGCAGTATAAGGAATAGGAGGAATCTCCGTCACCTGTGCCTCACGCATACGCTTCTTGGACTCATCCAAAGCCTGTTTCTTGATGGATACACGGCGGCCATTCTTTCCTTTGCATACCTTATTGTTGAGCACTTCTTCGGCTGCCAACACAGCACCTTTACGCTTGACAAGCTTTGCATGGAAAAGTCCACACGCATTGCATAGTGTGCGCAAGCCATTGGGGCCCCTGCGCCATTCTGGGGTCTCAGTAGTTCCACAACGGTGACACTTGTTCATAGGTTTATTGATCACTTCCGGAACAGAGTATGGCTTCGCTTCCTGCGGCAGATGAACATAGTTTGCATTTGCAGGGGTGACAACTGGCAGGTAGTATGCTGGGTGATAGTATGAAGGTTGGTAGTAGCCAGGAGGTGGGGGCACATTGGCATGAGAGTAGTGATGATAGTGTTGTGGATTGGCAGGCTGGGGACCGGTCTGAAGATGGTATGGAACAGCAGCAGGTGGAGCAGCCACACGCTGGTCCAGTTGAGCAAGCGGCAGCTGTCTGGCAGCTGGTACTGGAGCTCTGAATATCAGCAGCAAAGGCAGAGCATCGAGACTTGACTTTGGCAGGTGCAGATTGTTTGTGAGTTCAGCGATGGAAGGTAATTTAACTTTTGATGCAGTGGACATAGTTGACTGCTGATCCAGAGAAGAAGGATTTGTGAAGATCAAGGAACCAAATGAAAAAAAAAAGACTTTCGACAACACTAAGAGATCCAAGGGGGAATTAGGACAAATATATAACATTTGGTTAGTAGCAGGCACTATGCACGTAGCCGACACCAGATGTTTCTGAACAATCCACAAAGCCAGGAACTTTTTTAGGGTTTGAAGTCCACGCGTCTGCATGGAACATATGCACAGCGTCAAGGCAGCGCCCTTCATGCTTGATGCATAGCATGCAGAAAATATTTTCCGGTGCGTCTCCAAACTGCTAATGTGAAATTGATTTACCCACAAATTCTGCTGCTGCCGCGCTAATCCCTCTTGCACACACATCCAGGTGCCTCCATGCCGCAACTGTGAATCCTCGCACTGACATGCGTGTGAATCTGAGACGCTTCTCAGGTTAACTCATTCCCCAAACCTCTTTGTCTTCAAGGCTCTCACATTTCTTTGGTCTTGAAGTGAATGAAATGGGGGAAGGGATCCCCAATTCCACTCTTGAACCTATATGTGATCTCTGTCACTAACTTATTACTTTCCTTGAATGCACAAGTTCTGATTTCTGCCTTATCGTTGTCTTTCTGTCTACTGGTCATTTACGAGTCCTGTAGACCAAAAGTGATTTTCCGTGGAGTATCCCTTGTTGCTACCTCTCGTTTGGTGTGTCCATCCCCACTATACATTTCTGTGTCTTGACACCAGCGATGCACCGAACGGGCCTGCTGCTGGGCTGATGCGCACATTCCCTGCATGAGTATGCCCATCGGATTCTATGCACCAATAATCTCTCTGTGTGCATCCCAACAGTGCGTGAGTGCACTAGTGCTCATCTGTAACCTTGCTCTCGTCTATGAAATCCGGTGTATGGCCCAAAATGAAGATTGCCGACTGGATTTTCGAGAATGGAATCTTTTCTACGATGTACTGAAGTGTTTCCATTAAGAATTCTTCTCCGAGAATTCCACCATACGGCAAATGAATAAAGAGAATAAGCTTTAATTAGAATGAAACCAACAATACCTTCCTACACGGCAAATTACTTCGTAGCCTGCTAATCCGACTAAGTTCGGCTTTTAGGACTTAGTTACTCTTTTGGTTTTTTAGCTTGCCGCTTTTTATGCTGTAGTCGCCCCCATATTTGTGCCCCATGCTGCCATATCTGGCATGAACCGTCGCCCCTAGTCTGTATCCTCGGGCTAACATGCAAATCTTCATACTTAGCTATGGTTCTCCAATATTTTGTCCTCATTACATGGTCAAAGGGGAGATTACGAAATAGGAAAATGAAAATAAGGAAGGTGACCCTGTGTTGTAAGCCCGGTTAACCTTATGCAACTCATGGTCTTGTCCTGAGATATAAGAGACTTTGCATTGATCTATCTGCACTGCCAAAGAGATGGTGTGACGCCAGCATAGCGGACCTATATCTCAGGAATCGTGTAGTTTGAGTGTAGGGCTACCCGGAAAAGATTTGGAGCAACGTATCAAATCGTGCAAAATATGTCAGTGAATGCACACATGTCTCAGATACTGAGTGTGAAGTTGCAGTCGACAAATCGCAAATGTGAAAGAATGGCTAGTGACAATAAATAGCAGGGGGTTTTGGGGGTCCACAAAAGACAGTTTGCCCCTGTTTTCCCATTTCGTACAAAATCTAGGTCAGCACAGTCGGAGGTGTTAAAAGATGCTTTTCAACCAAGAGAAACTTTAAGCGCTGTGTATGCACCTGACGGGCCCAGTTGCAGGGCGTTGCCGGCAGCGATTTCTCGCAAAATGCACAGAAGATTTTGGGCTTGGGCAACATTTTTATTGTGGTGGATCCATTGAAAATCCCTACACATAGGTGATAATTGTGCATGTGAGGTTCGTTCCATCCTAAAACGATGCTTAATATAACTAGGCGAGGCGATCCTGCAGCGCCCCTACTCTTCCCGCTTGTTTATCAACTCTTATGGAGATCCTCTTGACGATTGCCTCCTCTGTGGCTACAAACGGGCGACAATGTGAGAGTGCAATTCTATGTCTTTGCAATTTCGTCACTTTTGCCCGTGTTTACTCGGCTACGCATGGTAATCTGTTTGCTTCTCACTCAAAAGGACCCTGCTGTGCATGCATAATTCTCAATGTTTTCTGGAATCAGATCTATTGGGGGTGATAAATCCTGATAAACAACTAGTACCTGCAGTGAAATTGCCCGATCTTGTATCCATGTGAACACATCAGTTCATAATTCTGGTTGACAATTAGTCAACCCATGCACCATGTATGATCCACATCTATTCATGTGCAATCTCTCTGGGAATTTCTGGCCGAGGTTCTATTGGAAACATCTTCTCTAGATCACATCAGATAGTCAAAATTGAAGGGAAAAAATACCTGATTTGATTTGTAGAGAGAATAATTCCTGAAATCTGGAACATTGATAACATTCTAGAGGTATCATTGACTTGTTCAGAAAATCATCCATTCTCTCCATCTCAACTACTAGTCCTCCATTTTAGCCCCTAGCCTCTTCAACCTTTGTAAACAGTCTGACTGTCGCATATTGTCATGGGCCGTCTCAAGAAATCCATTGTGTGCTTCAAACCCGATAACTATACATCTCGATGGGTTCGATCCTTACATGCCGCACATCAGGTTAAACAAAAGTGCGAATTGGGTATTGTCGAGCGGACACTACTTTTAGCTTGTTAGTCTATGTGATGGCACTTAAATGGTTGCCATGGGGTGACACATGCTCGGCATGATGGCATGTTTCCAGAATTTCTCGTACTTTGCTATTGAGTGTAGTGGGATCAAGGGGTCACTATATCTTGCAATTGAGGTTATACTCTTAGAGTTTCATCGAGGGGAATAGATGATGCCGGGGTTCCGATCTTTTTATAGACAATGCGGTGTCCTTATGCAATCAAGAGTCTCGGGATTGACGCAGAGAATTGAGCCCCAATTAACCATCTGTTAAACTAGAGGCGGCATGTTGCTCCTAGTCATGTTCCTGTGTGATATCAGTCGGGGCTTCAAAACAATAGAAAAGAGATGCTCATTTATTTCCTTCATCTTGCCCAAAATAGGTTAGTAGTGGAACTAAGAACAAGGGACGAGGCATGGGTGAGTAAAAGCTAAGAGAATACCCACGGGGAGAATGACGGTAGACAAAGATCATAGAGGTAAGAATCGATCTTAATCAATTTGTCAGAGTTTACCGTCAACATGATGCGGGCCCGGCAATACTCTCGGAATTTTGGAAATAAAGATTTGGGTCGGATATCAGGCAATGGCGTCGAAATGCATCTATTTACTAAGCACAATCTTTAATCGAACTCATGCATCGTGGAAGCATATCCATTAAGATACTTCCTGCATGTCCTCCGGAACAGGGTGTCTGTGAAGAGAGGGTGCGGGAAGCGAGAGATGCATGAGACAAATGTACCTTTAAGAATGCGCATGGTGTGCATATATTCCCAGATTAGTCGTGCCAAAATCTTTAACGGAGAAGATCTGATTTAACGCCGCTCAGGTGTACTCCATAAAAATTACTTGCTTTTCTCATAAACGTCTCGTGACTAATCACGTGTGTCACGTGCACGTACACGTGATTTGATGCGCTCTTCGTCCAATAACAAACTACCTCTTTCCACTTACCGAACAACCTCCATCAATATGACCGAAGCTGCTCAGGCATACGAGTTTCCTGCTATTCGTACGTATCTTCAAACTTTCGGCTTAAGATTGCCTACTAACCTCAGCCTCTCAAAAGGAGTTGGACGACAATGACATTCCTTTTTTGAACAGAGACAAATGTGCTGCTCATTTGATCACATACTACAAGTGTCTCAATAAGGGCACGTCGTTCTGTTCTGCTTCCAAGGATCAATTTTATGAGTGCCAGTACATTGCGTTGAAGGAGAGACTCGGCAAGAAGTAACTTTTGCATAATATACGAAACTAGAGAAGTGATGTAGAGGGATTGCAAGTTTGCGAGAGAAGGATGAGCATGAAGGTTGAAGTATGTCGAAAGTTAGATTGGAGAGGTGGAAGTGAATGGTTGATGTTTGATAGACCAGAAGGGGAAAGGTGATTAGGATTGAAGACGATTTGATGTGACAAGTTCAGCGGAAGAAAAGAACCGTGAAAGGATGAGGATGGCAAGAGGATAGAGTAGAAATTTACTTTGTCATTTGATTGTTGTGTTTGAACTTACATGGCCTCTCTGAAATCACCAATGTAAGCACTTTCATCTGTGTCATGCGTCATGGTTAATGAAGTCAAAGAAGTTGTGATATCACAGAAACCATGCAGAAAATTCAATGGCCAATCTACTAAGCATTGGCCTCTTTTTTGTCTTGTTGTGACTGTGGTTTTAATGAATGCAATTGACCATCGGTGCATTTCGTGGGGAAAGAGCACTCCTGATGTAAATAGCCATCCATAAATGTACATTCAGATTGTCACAAGAGTGCATTTCTTCATTACTCCTAGGTTTTCCTTGTCTTCTATCCTTATAAATTCAGCAAAATGATTTCTTCTTCTTGTCCCTGTCGTTGTTTATTTTTTTCTCTCAACTTCTCCATACTTTGCTTTCCATCGCACCTAGTAACCACCAGTGCAACTTACACCTCCTAAACTATCAAAAAACAACTTATCCAATACTGGTTCTAACCATTCACTCACTCAGTTTTGTTCTTATTTGCCTCTAAATCACTCCTTCAATCGTCTCGTCCAATTGCTTTTCCCAATTACATTTTCAAATCACTCTACTTTTCCTCTCTTCGCATTCTTACCTATACATTCACTCTACCTTGCTGAAATTCTACTCCGAAAAAGCCCAAACTCCGAAAGAATGACCCTTCGATTTAATTTAACCTTCCAAATAATCCTCCAACCCTCATTTCCTTTCATTTCCACTATCCCAAATCTAAGACTAAGTATAGTACTGCAGGTAGTTTGGAGGTAAACACCGTACATCCCATTGGCTAACCTCACCTCAAACGTTAAGATTTCTCTTCTCCAGACAAACTAGACAAAATGGCTGTGACAGAGTTCCCCCCTCTTCGTATGTTGACATATTTTACACCACGGCTAACTTCTGCTGGTTCTCGAGATTTTCCACTGGTTCGGTGTCGCAATTTCAATCCACGATCATGATATTCCAATATCCGCCAACATCCATCATAGTGGACCAATGTCATCCAAGATCCATCAGGAGCCAGTGAAATCCGTCAGAATCCGCCAAGCTTCGTCAAAATCGATGGCATTTGGCCACATCATCAGTTTATTCTGTTCTAATAGCTTACTAACCGCCAGTTTCGGAAGATGATATGCAAAAGTACAAGGTTCCATTGAGATGGAGAGACAGATGCGCTGCTTACTTTGCTCTTTACCAGACGTGTCTCATTAGACAAAGCGCCAACTCCAAGGTGGACTGCCACCACGACAAGCATGTGTGGGAGGAGTGTGAGATATTGGATTTGAACAGAAGAAAACAGGAGTTGAAGGAGGTCAAGGACAAGTTGAGAGAAGAGGCGTAGGTGTATGCATAGCAATAGACAAGCTTAGGAGAAGATGTAGCAATAGAAGAGAAGAATTCATAAGAGTGTCTGGTGAGAGTTAAAAGAGACAGACATTGACAATACGAATTACTGACGAGATGTCGGAAAACGGGTTCTCGTCACTGTCAAAAAGTCAGCAACAGTCGAACCGGTGAACCTTCAATATACCTCCGCTGTCCACACTCTGTTATCAATGGATATGATACAAAGCTCTAGCATATTTTCGGAGAAAGTTATAATACTATCAATGAAAAGAGAAAATAATGGAGAAAAGTTCGCTTCTTATAGCGATGCCGGGTCACGTGATGGAAACAGGGCTAGGGTTTAGCCATTTATTGATTAAGGGAAGATTATAGTCATATTAATCGAATTATCAGTCTCCTGGCTCTATATTCTCAAAATATTACTTGTTAATGTACCATTTTTGCCATTCCGTGATATTGTGGCATGTATTGACCTCGGCAACTACTACTAGGTACATAATATCGATTGAAGTATGAAAGAAAATACAACCTAACATAATTCTCTAAGAAGGAAAAGATTTACTAGCATTTGGATTAGATGATAAGGGAAGGGAGGTGTGAATTGACTTATGTGTCACTTTTGGCATATTTTATTACTTACGAAAAGTTAATACTGATCAGAAAGTACGAACCACCCCTGGTTCTTCCGATTTGGTCCTTAGTATGAAAACTAGGTGAATTTAGGTGACCAAGACCTATTTCATAGTTTGGAAGGCATTTTTTTGATGCATTTCTAAGTGTGCTTTTTGAAATTTCGACTGGTAGAAGTTGGTATATTTTCGCATTATCTGTTAGAATCCTTGAAATCAATGGAAATCCCGACATTTCCAGGATTGCCATTCTTTGTTCATAAATTTCAGTCTTCTTTCGACTTGTTAACATGGAAAAGTTGAAATCAATACCAGACAAGGTGTTTTACATTCAGTACATGATAAAGCATCAGTCATTCTACTACCTGAAGTATAGATACGGCTGTCTATTCATTCACTACTTATATGGCTTACTGTAGTTAGGAGATTTATTTTGAATCGGAAAAGATCAAAATGAAATCCATTCAATGAATTGAAATTACTTAGACTCAATAACATGGACCCATAAAGAATACAGAGTTCAAGCCAAATCGGACTTCAAGACCCGAAACTATTCCCCAGATTTCCTCGAAGTCACTATTGTCAGCCCAAACCTACCAATCTTGTCCACTCAACCCCGCCTCCTTTGTCTCATTTTGCTTTACAATTCTCTTTTCAGTTCCATATAGTCATTGTTACATTCCACCTCCACACTCCCCTGACAAGTTCGTAACCTAAGCCATAAAGACCCAGCATTTTGATTACTCCACCTGCTTGCTCATGCAAACCACTGATGCACAAGCAAACGTGGTGTAAGTTGATGTCGGGCAGGCAAAAGTCAAAAGTGAAGCACAAGAAAAGAAAATAAAAGAAAACCGTAGATAGCATTCCAACTCCAAACGTTAAACTAAAACATATTTAGCCGATATGCGTTTGAGGATGGGAATACTAATACGAAGCGGAGTTCAATTAAGACAAGGTAAATTAAAATAGATGGGGATAGACAACGGGAAAAGCAAAAGATGGATCAAAAGAATCTGAAAATCTGAGAATGATCCAATTCATGATAAGTATTCGAACATAACGACATTACCTCTGCAAACCTCTGCAAACCTTTTTAGAGGAAGGAGGTGGCATGACCTGAAATTCTTAACAGTGAAAAGACATGAATTGTTAAAAAGCACATGATGGATATAAAACAGAGATATGTTCATAGGTAGATTTGATAATTGGGGGGAACACTTTCAAGGCAGTTGGAAGACAATTTTGGGAAGTCGATATAAAAAGATCAAGATCCATTTACGATAGATTCCAATAGATCAAAGTTAACACCACACAATGGCCTGAAATACCCAAAACTACCACTGAATTATCGTAGAGATCACTTTGTTTGAACTGCCGAAATGCAACTGCCCGAACAACGATGTATTCACATAGGTTAGACGGAAGTCTAAGCTAGTAGAAGATATACCGCTATGGTGTCAAAAATTCAATTCAGATTAAAATTTCAGAAATACAATGACTAGAAATTTGATCTCTATCAACGTAGTAATAAGTTCTAATAAGAGTTGTAGAAACCCCCCAATAAGATCAGTCACTCACAATCATAGAAAAAGAACAAAATCATATAAAATCTCAAATCAATTCAAATATCACCTCCATATTATCCAATTTAGATTTATTTTACTTTCTTTCCATTTACATCCTCCTCCTCCTACTTCTCCTTACTGACCCCCCAAACGTCTGTGCCTCGCACGACTATCAACACCCCGTACCTCACACCTATTTGAAACCGCCACACTACTTCTCTTAGCTAATTTCCATTATGAGCAAGGATAAACTTTCAATTGCCTCCACAGACCCTGTTTCACTTGAAGATCCCACGCCGGTGGTCAAAACTGAAGTATCAGATACCAAAGACGTTAAAGACGCTGAAGACACCACCAAGTCTGATACCCCCAAAGTTGCCGCCAAAGATGACAACAAGACGGAATTAAAGCCCAAAACCGTCGAAACCGAGTCTGTGGCCAAAGAGACAGCCAAAGTTGAAGAGGAAGATGCGCCACCACCGCCAGCACGCCCACTTTCGCCATCTGCTCAGATTAAGAAGGACTTGAAGGATGCATTTCCCCAGATTGAGGAAAAGTACATTGAGGCAGTGCTTATTGCATCCGAGGGCCGTGCAGACCCTGCCTTCACCGCATTGTTGTACTTGCTGGATCCCTCGTTCAAGCCAGAGCCAGTGCTGACCGCCAGAAGTGAGCCTGTGGCTAAGCAGCCTACATTGACTGATGACGAGCTCTTGGCTAGGCAATTGCAGAAGGAATTTGAGCGGGAAGACAGACGTAGAAGATCACGGTCCCACAGACAGAAGAACTTGCCACCAGCCCCAGAAAACGACTCGCCTGACGAGTTTGAACAGATCAAGGAATCATTCACCCAGGGGTTTGAGGAGGCCAAAACCACGCTCAACAGCTGGGTGTCGGGGCTCTCCAAGAAATTTGGACTGGATGAAGATGGGCCTAGACAACAGCATCAGCAGCGTCCGGGCCATAATCAGAGCCCAAAGTTGTTTGGAGCTTTAGGAGGATCGTCGTTCAACATCAACACCAAGAAGGGCAAGAACTTCGACGAGGACCCCGAGATCTTGGCACTGGATTTCCGCAAGAACGTCGACTTGGACGAAGATAAGGCTCCAGTGTTGCCAAAGAGAGAGCACCAAGCCAAGAAGGAGGATAAGTGGCAGCCACTCAATTCAGACGTGCCCGTCAACTCGGATGCATTCTTAGTGACTGATCTGGAGGACGAGGACAAGGACAAGAAATGAGAAGACCAACAGATGTTGACGAGAAGAGATGAGCAGCGAGAACAATTATAGGAAAGTCTACAGCTATTGCAGGCCAAATGTATTGAACCAGTGGATTCTGGATAATCTACCTACTTAAAATGATATTGCTTCTATTATACACAATCAGCCCCGAAACACGTTCAAGGCCGTGAAGGCATTTTCGTTAGAGTTCGTACAGTCGTTTAGCGACACGGCGCCCAAGCCTGGGTGGTATTTGGCCCAGTCTACCGAGGGAGCACGCACAATCTTATGTTGGCCTGGCAAGCGAGCCTGTTGGCAGATGAGGGCCATGTAGAACTCCACCAAGGCCTGCTTGGAGCCGCCCTGAGCCGCAGCACGGAGCTTCCGGAGCTCTGCAATCTGGGACTCAATGCGGTGCTTTGTTTCGTTGAGCAAATCACCAGTGGCGCACAACGCGGTGTAGTCGGCGTTCTCATCAAGCTGTTGGTGATGCTCAAGTGGAGGAGACAGAATGGCCAGAACGCTCGGAACAGCCACGGAAGTATCCAAAACCTTTTCGGCATGGTCAACATTAACCTCATGGATGTTGTTGTCGCGAGATTCACACTCCGATTCGTAGTCGTCATCTTTGGGAGTCAAAAGTGGTGAGTTCTCATAGTGACGGTTCTTCAGGAGCTCAAACGTCACCAGCTTTTGGCGCTTGTGTGGAGACAGCAGACATGATGGAGTTGAGGGAGAAGGCAGCCGTTCCTGGATTGGATAGTAAGACTTATCTAGCTTAGCCTTCTTATGGCGGTTGGTGATGTCCTCCAACTCGGTCTTGCGCTTGGGATACATGTCGGAGTAGCTAGCGGCCATTTTTGACTTGCTAATATGGACTTTTGATATGGACGCTTGATAGCTTGGACCTTTCAAGTCGTTTTAAACCTTATAACCTCGAAATATTTGAAACTTTCAACTTGTGGAGTCAGCGGCTACAATTAGGGGAAACAACGCCACCGGGATGTTGACACGACAGCGAGGTGCTAGATGCAATAAACTTTGCTTAAACAAACAGCAAACCCACAAGATAATCAAAGGATTTCACCAATAAGGAATAGGAGTCGGTGGCGGGACTCGGATATTGACGGCAACACTGGAGAATAAAGTGCGAGCCAGAGACACTTTAAATGGCGGGAACCGGACGGAGGCGGTAAAGACGCGGTGCACGGGTGTTGCTGGAGGAGTAGCAGGCTCGTCTAGGAAGGCAGAATTTGTCCAGGAAGGAGCTATGTCCAGTTGATAGGGAGAAGGTGAGTTGCTGACGAAAAAACCGTTGATGGCGACATTTGGGGGGAAGCAACAGTGCGGACAAGGATCGTGCGGCATGTCGCGTGGACGGGCGACACGGAGATGTACGGGTGTTGTTTTTGTTTCGGTGAGAGAAATGCATGGAAGCACATTACTTGCAGGACACATAGGAGGTACACAAACACACACACTTGGGGATGTACCGGTGTTTACAAAGAGGAAAATAGAAAGACCCATACACCATGTTTGGAAAACCCCTACACCTTAATTTCTGATAGGCCCTTACACCAACTCCCAGATTCGCAGTTCCATTCAAATGGTCCGCCATGTTCCTCAAAGTTCCATCCGTACATCCACCGCATGCATTTAAAAGTGGATGTCAATTTTCTTGCCGCGGCGTTCATCGGAAAATTTCGAAGGCGTCCATAAGATCGTCCTGAAAATCTCAAAAAGCCGGAAATCCATCCGAATCTCTCATTTACCCTTCTCACACCTCCTTGAAATTCCAAAACCCTGCCACTTGAATTGTGTAGGTTGCAATAACGTAACACCTCGAAGAATGGAACAATGTCCAATTTAGTACTGTCTGCATGGATGAGGCGTATCGCACCAATGAGAGCGCGCGAAGTGGGGTGATAAGCCTGCAGACGGCTCGCTATCAGGAATTCCGAGGGTAATTTCCGGCACAGGCATGCCGAAAACTCTCCCGGATATCCTCCAGGGGAGTCCAATAGGCTACCTATCCACTGGTAAATCACAGAAAAAAGAAAGAAAAGTAAACTGTCATCATCCCAACCTCAAACCACATCCCATCGCAACCACAAATAGCATCATATTTGCCTTGGTGTCAAAGAATTACTAGCCTTTCCCCAATTTCGCAACTTACGTCAAATTCCATCCATACTATACTCAAGAAGCATTTCCTCCATTCCAAAATCCCATCATGGACTCCCCAGAATCGTCAGCAAAGCTGCTCTGGCTGATGTACAAAAACGCCCGGAACCTTCTCCCGTACCGCACACGGATGGAGAATCTTACATGGCGAATGATGTTTGTGAACTCACGAAAGAACAAAATCAAAATGCCAGCCTCAGGACCCTTGGGCGACTTTTTGATTACGCCGCTCCTAGACCACTTGGGAATTAATCAGAAAGATTCCAAGCTGCCGCGGGAAGACCCTGGCGCTGACGACTTTGATTACGTAGCACACATTCGGAGAATGGGCCAGGAAGAGGTGACAAATGCAAGAAAGCGTCCAGCACCAGTGCTGCCGTTCTTGTTAGCCACAGAGCGCCAACCTATTCATCTGAACTTGCTGGCCGCGCTCAAGGAGCATGCGGTGCCTCTGAACATCTTTGCCAACGACCATGCCTTCTCATTTTCGCTAGATCCGTTGGCCTTTGAAGGTCCGAATGAGAACTTTGGCAATCCACAGAGGATGGAGATGGATTTGGCGTTCACGCCGTACGGCTACGAGCCACTGGAAACCTCTCAGCCTACTCCGGGGAATGGGCCTACTCATTCAACTCAAAATGGTCTCCATGGCCTGGCAGTCCAAAATGGCCACAATGGACAACCTTCCCAGAGCGGCCACATCGGCGCCACTAATGGCCACACGGGTTCTACCAATCACAGCAAAAGTCAGACAAGCACTCCAGGTAACACCAATACTTTTGGCTCCAGCTACTTCTCCACATCGGCCCCAAAACCTATCCAGGCTCCCCATGGTGGCATGGGCGCAACCATGAACCAAAACTCTCGTGGTTATCCACCACTGAAACGCCAGACACCGCTGCTGCTGTATGAGGCGCCATTTGTTTATCCAGCCACCCTCCACAACTCGCTTCATCGCCAAGACAACTCACTAATTAGCGTGGCTGACCATTTTGCTGGTCTGCGCTCTCATACGCCTTACGAATTGGACGACAGGTCGTCAGGGTCGGTTCCCGGGTCTGCATCGTCTGCTCAGACGTTTCACGATGCTTTGCAAGGCCGGGGCGTAAGAAACAGTACTAATAATGGATCCATGGGTGGAACTGGACCCAATATGGGTTTAAGCGTGAACGGCCACGCTGCCTCCATCAGTGGCTCACTTGGAGGATCGCTAAGTGCCATGCCACCGAGCTCCATCAGCGGGATGGGCGGTCTCGAGGGTCCTTCTTCCATTTCAGGCTCTGTAGAGACGATTTCTGGCATGATGGGCCGCCCCGGAGGACGGGACTTCCATCACTTCGATAACTTTGGACCCTCCAACCCACCATCACATCTGTTTTCAAATCTGTGGACGGATAGCTTTTTTGACGACAGTCCAGCGCCGCTTCTGGCCGCCACCTCTGCATCTACAGCTACCCCAACGATGGGCCGGTCTGCCACTCCAAAGAAAAAGGCGAAAAAAACCAAACCTACAAAGAAAAGAAAAGATCCGCTGCCTACTGCCGTGGCACCTCCTCCATCTGGCTTTAATGCTTCCAATGGAACAGGGACAGCAGCAGGTGGAGCAGGTGGAGCCGGCGGAGCTGGAACACCAGGAGCAAATGTCGAATGTACAAATTGCCACACGAAAACAACGCCGTTGTGGCGGAGAAATCCCCAGGGAGAGCCCCTTTGCAATGCCTGTGGGTTGTTTTTAAAATTGCATGGTACGGTTCGTCCGCTCAGTCTTAAGACCGACGTTATCAAGAAGAGACAGCGTGGCCAGAACCCACTGGGCAGCAAAAAAGGGTCTGTGCTGGCACAGTCAGGAACACCATCGCAGAGGCTGCCAACCACGGGATCTACGTGGGACGGGGACGATTTCAACCCTACTCCCGTGCACAAGAACAACAGAAAGGTGGATGTAAAAAAGAAAGAGAAAAAGGAGTTGAAGAAGGACAAGAAGGACGAGCCACTTAATATGAAGAAGGAGTTTCCCAGCGAGTCAGAGAGGCCAGGCGAAAACGGTAGCGATGCTAGAAACCACTGGACGGTTTCTCCTGGGTCGTTTGCCCAGCAAAGAGAAGAGTACTTGCACCCAATCCATGAGCTAGACAAGGAGCATGAATGGGAGACGATGCAGCAGCACGAAATAGCAATGGAAGAGCCGGAGACAGACGAGTCTAGGAACAAGTGGGACTGGCTCAGCATGACGTTATAGACAAGGGTGTATAAAATGTACTGACTAATGGAGAGAAGGTGTAGCTTTTGAAGTATTATGGGTGATAATTTCAACAAATCGTAAATGAAGGTTTTTGAAATGATATGATAATGAAGATGTGACAGACTTCTGCTATTCTGAATGCTTCTTACTCTTCAAATGAGATTCTGTTGTTCTGGCGATGATGAGTGGCGCTGTATTGAGTGATTCATGATGATCATACCAGTTGAATACAGACCATGACTGGCATAGGAAATTGTGGACGATCAAACACTGTTTGAAACACAGCCATTTATATCAGAAATCATTGTGAAGGAGGAATTTTGATATCGTTGCAGTGATTCCCGTTGAATGGTTTGCCAAACTCGTTATCAGTTCGTGCCTAGCAAAAATTCCATTACAATGTTTTACTAACCAAGTGGCCCTTCCGTATCCTAAGAAAAATTTCTTGATAAAGCAATCTAGAAAAAAGAAAGTATCCGTAATTAATAATCTTGGAATCCATCTTACTCCTGTTTCTTCTCGTCTTCTTATCGCAAAACGGAGTTAGACATGTGGCTTCCGAAACTAGTGGCTCAAAATCCAAAAGTCAAAAGACGAGACTTGCAGAATTTTCATTTGTAATTTGGTTGTTTTGCACTGGAAGGAATTATTGAAGAGAAGAATTGGAAGGGATGCATTAGCCGAAATGCATTGGAAGGGATGCATCGGAAGAATTCCCCTAAAAGGGAACGTATTGAAATTCGGTTCTCTTATCAGAGATATATCTTCAAACTCTATTTTTTTCCTCGTCCTCTTGCTTGTTTTCAAGTTGCCCTAATTTGTCGACTTTTCTATTGTGATTTAACCTTCATCTGCATTAGTAATCTTTCCTATTGAGTCTCGTTATGCCGTGTTAGCTAAGTTGGTAAGCTTCACCTTTTCTATGTAGACAAAACAGGTCTCTTTCAACCTTGTTCAGAAAAATACTTGTATACTTAGGTATTTAACTTGAAAACCTTTAAATGTTGAAGGTTTCTATAAGCAGACCCAAACGGAAATTTCTATTCTTCACTTTCTTCACTTTCTTCACTTTCTTCGCTTGATGAATTCCCACAGATCAGGAACTTCTACTTGGCATCACGATACTTTAACTATTAAGCTAATGGCTAGCTAATTTCAAAATTCTCTCTTATAGTGCCCTCCTAATGAAGGTTTTTTCCATATACATATCTCCTAATAAGGTGCTATAAACCCCAGCGGCCAGCCTTTCTGAAAAGGTCTCCAAATTTCAAAGTTATTCAAAAGCAAAATCAGGATGAAACTACGTTAATGGCTTTGTTTATCACTGCTAAATTGCCGGAGGACATCCCGCAATCCATTCTTAAATTCGATGTTACCAATGACGTAATGAAAGAATATTGTTGTGATCTTTCACCTTTTTTTTTTGAAGGTTCTATCATTTTCCAAATACATTTAAAATCAAGCATTTCTTTGTACCCTTCCCGAATGATAGTATTGTCATTCATAGTACATTCACTTATCTCACCCATTTAGTCGTTCATTGTGATTTGGTTGGGTATTCAACAGAATACAACTTCTTGTCTCCATAATTGATGAACAATCAAAACCAGCAAGAATTGCAGTTCATACCGTGTTGACATATACTGAACAGAAGGTGTTGGTCGTCAAAAGCATCTATGAGGTAGTCGTGAATCCCAAATGCATCTTGATGGAAATGTGGAAATTAGAGTATGTAAAGTAGAATATTTGATGATGATGGTTTGAGTACGGGTCGAAATGTCGAACCTTTTATACAAATTTGAAGACTAGATCAGCTCATCATTAAATCAATAATTCTAGTTTCTAATTAAAGAACCAATCAAGTTTGGAGAAACTCCAATAGATTCTATGGTGATTTCGATGGAGCCTGTGCGCTACTGGCCCCTAAGTATGAGAAGCAACAAATTCTGTCGAAAAAAAAGGTGTTTTTCGACTTCCAACTAAGATCTAAAGTCATCTAAATATAAAATCTTGAAAATATCGTCAGGTAATGACAGAAATTATCTGCCATCATTGGAGAATATTTCCATCATACAAAAGATTTATCTACACGTCCATGCCCCAAACACATGAACCACTAAAATATTCAGAAATCAAACCACCAAAACAAAATCTTACTATCAAGACTACAATAATCTATCCCATATCTGTCATTCTCATTCTATTGTATTCTTTCTCAATTAATATTTCTCTGAACTGTACACAGCTCAGACCAGTCTCCATAGTATAACTCCACCAATTAAGCCGTTTAACTACCTACCGTTCCTTAACCATCCGTTGATAGTCGACCTGATTTACGTATATAATGCCTTCAGTTGCCATTGAATTCTGTGCAAAATGTAAATGGCACAATAGAGCCATCTGGTACACACAAGAGGTTCTTCAGACGTTCAGTGATCCCGAGAAGAACTTGGTGACTGAGGTTAGTGTTCGACCACGTTATGACCAGCCTGGTCTTTTCCAGGTGTTGGTGAGCCGAAATGGCGATGAGAAGGTTATCTACAGACGAAAAATGAAGAAAACGGAAGAGAAACAAGACGAAGATTTCTATTATGATGGATTCCCAGACTCCAAGCTCTTAAAGCAGCTTATAAGGAACGAGTTGTTTCCAGAGCAAGGTTTGGGGCATGTGGATAAGCACAATGACGACAATTTGTTGACCGTGTGCAAACCTTGCCAGGACAATGAGTAGATAATGAAAGATCGGAAGATTATGTAAAATCAGAAATTTTGAGAGTGAGGATCAAGCGCATTGAAGAGTAAGATGTCAGGGATCTCCTCGAATCAAGAAATAGTAACAGATGAGATCAGGAACGAGGTTGTATGGTTGCATCGCTGCAGTTCAAATTACTATTCCAGTGCCCACTATCTTATTTCAAGTCATGTATATCTACTTTTCTCAATCACACAAGCATACAAGAAAGTGGCTATTATTGCCATGGCTGGCTTTTCTCCTTTGTCATTATTTCTTCATTTAGCCTTATTTTTCGTTTGGTTCTCCTTATGTACTCTTTCATTTTCCTCGCTCTTACTCTGGCGACGAAAAGCTTTCTGTATCAACCAAATCGTCCCACCCCTTTTCAGCAACAACATATGGAATAGACAGCCCCAATACTCCAAAATAAAGCAGGTTCCGTGGAAGGCCAAGTAAATTCTGGTATTGCTTGATCACATAGGTGGGAGAAACATTTTTCGACAGTGCGCTGCGCTCGTCGTCAGAAATTCCGGACGGATCATCTCCACGTCTGGAAGCACTTCGCTGGTTGATTTCCTTTGTGATTTGCTTCCACTTGTGGCGCTCACCCATGGAATATAACTGGTGGAGTAATTCAACATCCGAGTCAGAAAACTTTGCACCTGCTCCATGGTTGTGGTTTCCAGTAATCGGTGCCTGGCCCAGGTGGTTGAGCGTGACAGGAAGCGACTGACTTCGTAGGTCTTGAGTGATTATAGGGTTGACAAGGGAGCCCGAGTAGTATTGGGCGTTATTGGCCATACCGACCATTCCTGCGCTTTGTATTCCGGGATGGATGGACTGGTTGACGCCGTTGGAGAGATTGCCGTTCTGCAGTGCCACGCTGGCAGTTGAAGTGGGAGTTAAAGTCTGGTTGATGTTGATAGGAATGGACTGATTGGAAACATTGGAGGTCTCAACGTTTTGAACAGGCTGAACACTCTGTGGCTGGGCCTGTCCGATTCCTGGAAGCTCTAGAGCCGCTGGCGGAAGTTGATGGTTATGAATTTCGTACTGCTCCGTAGGCTGGGCATAATAATGAGGCAGAGGCTTGTCCATGTTCTTGAATGGAGCCATGTCTTTGTGGTATTGAAACTGCGCCACAGACTGGACGGTAGAGAAGTGTTGGATTTGCAAGGTCTGGCCTTGGGATGGCGGCTGATGGAAATTCAGAAGATTTTGATGGACGCCTTGATAGAAGGTCTGTGGATGCTTGAAATGGCCGATGTTGTGGCCAGTATGATGCAAGTGGCTAGTGGGAGCTTGTAGTTGGCTGGTGCGTGGATAGTTGGTAGTAGCAGAGACGCCAGTGCCAGGGTGAAGGTGTGCAAAGTCGGGGGTATCCAGGAACGTTCGGGGTGGTTGGCGGTCGCGATTTGTGGATTCAGACATGATGCATATAGTGGGTGATCCGCAGGGTTGGGAAAAAGTGGAGCTGCACTGGGGCGTATTTGAATTCTCCTAGCGAGTGGTGGTTTCCAAAAAAAAAGTGATGTCAACAAGTGAAAAGCCCAGCAAAATCCACACTTCATATGGTGTAGCATGCAAAATGCAAAACGGTCGCCTCCTTTTACGACCACGATGATCGACTTTTCTGTGTGCTCCATCTCCGTCAAAAAGGCCCCGGCCTCATTCATCAAGGATTGTGCAGGGAAGCTCTGCAGAATTGCAGGTTACGTCCAGGCTGCCTGTTTGTAGCTGCATGTTTCTGCATCGGCCTTTTCTACTACTGCGAGATAATCATCCTCGCGTTCCATTAGGATCTGGCATAAGTTGTTGGCGGGTTTTCGTCTTCCCGCTGCTAATTTCATGAAGTTGATTTATTCATTTTCGTCCCCCAACATGAACTTACGACCCTTTGCAATACCTTTTCCCATAAGCAACTTTTCAAAGTTACTACCCTCACCTGATTCCTCATTTGTAGTGGTGCATAGCTGGGTCATCAGTATTATGCGACTTTCACCTTTTGACCCTTCTGTAAGCGAGATGAGAGCCCTGGAGAGAAGCTATGGATGGCAGATTATCAAGCTCTCGGCACAGCTCTCAATGCATTGCAACCAAAAAAAAATGCGCTTCAACAAAGGCGCTTTGACTAAAGGAAGCATCAATGTTTGGAAGGGCTGCTCTTTTCAGTGCGTGCCTTGCGCCCCTTCGACCTCGCCTTGTCTCCTCAAGTACTGTCAAACAATGGCGTATATTCACAACACCGCAATGCATGACCTTTTGTAGAAGCTGCCTGAAGTGCAATCCAAGAAGTAGCCGATACTTTCGATGTTTTCGACCCTTCAGAGAGGACAAGCAGGTCAAACCACCTATGGTAGAATATTTTTCTTACATCATGTCGATCGCTGACCATCATGCATTGACTAATCTCCTGAGCTTCAAATCACGGAAAAATCTGATAGTAATTGGGTCAACATTGCCAAGTATCACAACAATAATGTACCCTGTGTTATAACAGCCTGATTAACTGTACCAGGAGCTCACCAGCATTGATTCATCACCAACGTATGTCAACTCCCAGCAGGAATCCCGGCGTTATTCCTACAATGAGATGCAAGTTGAGAGAAAATATTCTTCCACTATTTGCGACGATCATTTTAATTGAGGTTTTGTTCGGCACATATAGAACTTTGGGAGGGTGGCTGATTCTCCACCTGATGTGGGCTCTAAATATTCTTTTTGATTTTCTCATGAGTCTCGTTGCATACACAAATCCTTTTTTTGATTGATTTGACACCCTTAACTGTGTTCGCAATGACTTTTGAGTATATTCTTCCATGAAATAATAGTAACTATAACAATGCATCTCGTAAGCATTCCCTGCATAAACTCAATTGTGCGTATTATTGATTTTTTTTTTTGCAAATGCATGACACTATCCAATTTGTTCCATCTCCCTCGGAAACTAGCAGCCATGTAGATATTTCGGAAGACATGTGGAGTGGGCCGTTTTCCTCTGTTCTTGATTCATTTGCTACTCAGTATATCCTCAGTTGTGGAGATGAGGCTGTATTTTTTTATTTCTAACATAGTGGATTGAGATCAGGAGATACTGGAAGAGGTTCCATGTGTAATCGCTCAGACGGAAACATTTTGTAACCAAATAGAAGCGTTGGTTTCCAATTTACAACTTGACGATATGTCCATTACTTCACATGCATAATGTGTAAAACGCTCATGGAATCTAATCGGACATTGCATTGCTTGTGGAAGGTGCAGTGAGTCGAAACTTCATATACTAATCTCCACCTTCTTATTTTCTGTTGGCAATATTTTTCTGGATATTCTCTTTTTTCATTAGTTTCATAACCTTGCTTTCGGTGAAGGGCTCTCCCGTAACTACGAGACGCATGCACCTTCCTCACTAGATTTGAACTTACTAAAAAATCACCAAAATAATTATGACAAGTTTGGGGGGAACCAACGTAAACAAGATGGCTTCTCATACACTTTTGCACGTCTATGATTTTTTTTATTTTTTATTTTTTCAGATCATTTGCAACGTGAGCCACTATCGCAAGTCGTACTGCTCGCCATAGTTCCCACATGTACTCATCGCCAGTTCAAGTAATTTCAACATTCACATGACTTGGCTGTGGTTCAACTGCTTCAATGCATGCAAATCACATTGATACTGTTCAAACACATCCATTGTTGCACATTTCTTAATTTCCTCTTATCTACGTTAGAAGGGCGACTCCACTCTTGATATGACGCAAGTCTGGTTTAAGGCGTCACTATTCGACTGACATGGCCATTGTTGAGATATTCGCCTTTCTGATTCGGCACAAAGCAATGTTTAACTTCGTATATGAGGACTAACACGGCTAAAGTAGAATTGGAGCCATGTGAGTCTTCAATAGAGTAGGTAGCCTCGCATATCTCATACATGAGAGTCTGGAATTGTACGCCTCGATTGTTATAAGTATGCGCCTCACTAAGCAGCATTGCGCACATGGGTAAGACGAATCAGCAGCTCAACTTTGATTCTAGGGAGCTTAGTCGGACTCTTCGTAATCGGACGAATCAGCAGCTTCGCTTTCAGAAATATCATCCACCTGGTAATTCACGCTCTTTCTCTGGCGATTTGGTGTCGTCTCCTTGACAAAATACAAGTCGTCAAGCTCATCTTGGATCGATGGCATAGCTTTCTTCTTCTTTTTTTCCACCACCGGTTCCTCATCTAAGTCAACAATCTCAAGTTCCGGCAAACGTTTCGAATTTTGTATTACTTTAGGTTTGCTGGGTGCTTCCCCCGGTGCATCCGACTCCATCGCATCATCCAGATCGATGAACCTGGAGGTTCTTTCGATGACTTCTTCGTCCGAACTGTCACCAAACACCAGCTTTTTTGTCGATTTAGTAACTTTGGGTTTGGAAACCTTGTCAGTCTTCTTAAAGAATGAAAGTAAGTCGTCTTCCGGCTTTGGTGTAGACTCGGCCAGTTCCTTCTTCAATTGAAGGGTTTGCTGCTTCTTGGCCGCCTTAGGTTGACTCTTGGTTGTACCGTTTGCCTTCTTGGAAGGAGCAGGCGTAGAGGACTTGGATTTGGCCCTTTTCTTAGGTGCCCCATAATCATCATCTTCATCCTCCGTCTTGACCTTACGCTTTTTCCCTTTCGCCTTCGGCCCTGGCCCAGCAATGAGCCTCGAGCGTTCTTTCTCGTCATCATCCAAGAATTTCTGCCAGCTGACCATGAACGCATCGAGGTCTTCACTCCATAAATCTTTTGCACTCTTTCCAAGTAAAATGTTCAACTCCTCTTCTTTTTCTCCGCCTTGTCTCAACAACTTTTCATATCTTTCCCGAGTCAAAGACCAAAGTGACATGCCTAACAAATAATCATATTGAGTATACACGTTCTCTGGAACATGTTCGTATTCAGCAGCCCCTAGTTCGGTTACTCCTTGTGCATTCAATTGACTCACGTCGCCAATATTCTCTTCTTCTTCTTGCAAAATACTCTCGGCATCTTCAACGAAAAGAGACAGGGAGTCGTCTTGAACTCGTTGGCCCTGCTTGTTGAATCTGGCAAACTTGAACTTGATCAAATCTTTAACCAAGAGTGCACGTTTCTTATTGGCAACACTCAACTTTCCGTCAATGATCAATTTCAAAAACCGGGCCTGTTCACTCAATTTAACTAATTGGTTCTGCAAGTCATCGGTCAAAAAATCCTTACGCTTTTGATAGTATTCCAAACGGACAAAGTAGAAGTCTCTCAAAATATCGTTGGGATCTTCGTATCTCTTGATTCTGCCCAAAGGATCAAAAGCCACCATATTTGTCAAACTAACAGTGGAAGTCAATTTGAATCTTTCAAGTAATCCAATCTGCAATGACTTGGCCATTTCTGTCTCAGTCAACTTAATAATGAACCTGACGTTGGCACCATGGTGTTCTTCCATATCTTTGATCCATGGGTTCTTGTCGCTGTTAATTGCGTCCAATAAAAACTCCTTCATGTTATTCGTCCAAGTTTTAACGGGAATTTCGGTGATTTCCAACGTTTTGTCGTCGACTTCTTCAATGTGACCTAAGAGTTTGAATCTTCCATCGGCAATTTTCTCCACTTCACCTTCCCATCCCCTGTACCATGGAACCAAGTCTTCCAAATCTTCACCACTCATCAAGGCCTTGATGTTCCGAACAATATCGGTTGGATTGTACGATGGAATATTCGTAGACCATCCGGTTCCAATACCTTCACCTCCATTAACCAAGAGCATCGGAATGACGGGCAAATACCACTCGGGCTCAACAGTCTGCTCATCATCTTGAACATAAGTATAAAGGGGATCATCCAACGGGTTGAAAATCTTTCTGGTAATTTCGTTAAGCTCTGTGAAAATATATCTGGCCGCAGAGAAATCTTTTCCCCCAGCGGCTCTTGTTCCGAAACCTCCATTTGGTTTCAACAAGTTGATGTTATTGGAACCAATGAAGTTCTGTGCCAATCCGATGATCGTTTGCATCAACGACTGCTCGCCGTGGTGGTATCCGGTCTTTTCGCCAATGTAACCCGCCAACTGTGCAACCTTCATTTCACGGACCAAATTTCTTTTGAAACATCCGAAAAGAACTTTTCTCTGACCAGGCTTGAATCCATCCAAAACACAAGGGATTGACCGGATGTTATCTGCCATGGAGAATAAAATCAATTCCTGGTTAATAAAGTTAGAGATTGGAATCACCTTCATTTCGGAGTCGAGATGTGTTCCGGGTTGAAATCCTTGCAACCATTCTTTTCTATCGTCAGCTTTCTTTTTGGAGAAGGCTAAATCGATCAATCCTGGGTCATCCAGTTGCAAGGCATGAAACTCCTTCAAATGCTTTTCCAATTGCGAGAAATACTCTCTAGCTTCGGCTGCTGTAGAAGTACCCAAACCCTTATAGTATTTGTGAGACCAGCGACAATTTCTTCCTTCAGTATCTCTCCAGTGTTCAAACTCTGGCATAGAGTAGAACGAGATTTTGGTGTTCAGTCTTCCACGACTACCGATAGAGACCTTAACAATGGGAGTGATGAACTCAAGCAAGAATCCTGGAACATCAAGCAAGCCAGGAAAACTCGACTCGAAAAAGTTGATGAGCAAACCCTTGATATGCGAACCATCATGATCCTGATCGGTCATGATCATCACATGGCCATAACGCAACTCTTTGATATTCTCGGGTGTGTAGTGCTTTCTATGCTGCAAACCAATGATTTTCTTTAAAGCGGTGATTTCTGCATTCTTTGCAATTTGGTCAGCAGAGGCATCTCTGACATTAAGCAACTTACCACGGAGTGGGAAACAACCATAGTGGTCACGGCCAACAACAGCCAATCCAGCAACCGCAAGGGATAAGGCAGAGTCACCCTCCGTCAAAATCAACGTACATTTGAATCCCTCCTTTGTACCTGCCTTGTTGGCGTCGACCAACTTAACCTGGCCCTTGATCCTTGTTTTCCGTCTTCCGTCATCCTTGGACAAAGCCTTGTCTTCGTTGGCATCCACAATACTTCTAATTGTGTCGCTGATACTTGTTTTGAGCACTTTCTTTATGAACAGATCGGGAATCACAACTTTATCCTTCTGTTTGGACGCAAACTGTCCTGGACGCGTTGTAAGTTGCTCTTTGGTCTGCGATGTGAAGGCAGGGTTCTCAATAAGACAGTTGATGAACACAAACATATTGCTTCTGATCTGGTTTGCTTTGATCATGAGCTTTTTCTTTCCTTTTTCCTTCTTATTTAATTCTTCCAACAACTTATCGATGATTTGGTCACTGACATACTTGACATGAGTACCACCGGCAGTAGTTGCAATGGAGTTGACAAAACTCACCTGATTGAAGTTGCCGTCACTCACAGCAAACGCAACCTCCCATCTTTCATTTAGCTGCTCATGTACTATAGAAAGAAAGTTGCCAGCTTCGGGTTGGAGAGCAGGAGCCTTCTCCTGGATAGCCTTGACGTACATCTCCACGTAGGACTTGAAGTTTCGGATAGATAACTTTTTGTCGTTCAAGTAGATGGAGCAGTCCTTGACTGTTCCACACAAATCGTACACTCTTCTTCTTAACACTGACAATGTATCTTCATCCAAAGAATCCATATTGAACTTGGACAAGTCCGGCTTGAATGTGACCTTAGTGTACTCTCGCTTATTCTTGACTTTGGTTATCTTGGGTTTTCCCACCTTGGACATATTATCGGTCCATGTCTGGTGGTACAACTGACCAGTGTTCTGGTCCGCTGTCTCCACCGTGAACACCGTGGAAAAAATATTACAGAGTTTGGCACCGTATCCATTACGGCCACCAGTGACTTTCTTCTGGTCATCATCGTAGTTGGACGATGTAAGCAAGTTTCCAAAGATCATCTCAGGAATGTACATCTTCTCTTTGGTGTGAATCTCCACGGGAATGCCTCGGCCGTCGTTCATCACCAGAATAGTATTATTTTCGGCATCAATCAGCACTTTGATATTTTTCATGCTGGGATCTCTGATCTTGTTGTCAGCAGCATTGACCAAGATCTCATCAAAGATCTTATATAAACCAGGGACAATGGTGACCTCACTGAACTTCATCATTTCCGATTCGCTGTCAAAGCACCACATCTCCACCTTATTCTTTTCCACTGACCCAATGTACGTATCGGGACGTTTCAAGATATGCTCCAACTGGGACAACTTCTGGTATTGTTCACTTGCATTGGTGTTGGAATTTGGTGTTGGGGTGGATGTGTTTGTAGAGTCAGAAAGTGGCGTTTTTCTCAGCTTGGGCTCGTCAAAGTCCGAGTAATCATCATCGGAGTAGTCTGACATTAGGATGGTGGTTATGAATTTTGGAGGAAGGGTAGATGTTTTTCCAACGGTGTTTTGGTGACGCGAAACTGCGATCTGGTGCATGTAGGGAGCACGATGAGGGTGGGGAGATCTGTAAGTTATACATTGTAAGTGCTATAATTAAAGGAAAACGACAAAACAAAACGGACAAAGAGGTTAAATTGGTTAATTAAGTCAAGTGCTGTGAAAGAAGTATTTAAAATTGTGAATTGTTTCTGGTCACATACATTAATATTAACTATGATGGATCGATGGAGATCATGATGGAGATGAGATTTGCAAAATAAAACGTCAAAGTGTGGATCAGGAGAAATCATAGAACGCAGAAGTTCAGCAACGTTATCAACTGTTGGAGAAATGTAAAAAAAAGTTCACAATTGTCAGAATGTTTACGTATCAGATCACTTCCCAAATCAGTCGTCCCAGGAGAGAACACTTCCAGATAACCAAAAGTCATTCATCACTAGGCCCTTGACTTGGCTCTACTTGCGCTTCTTCAACTTTGCCTGGATCCGCTCGAACTCGGCGTCATCTGGTTCGCTTCGTTTCTTTCCTTTTTTCACGTACTTGCTTTCCAAACTTGAGATCAAATCATCCAATCTCCCGGCATTTCTCTTCTGGATCATTGCTTGCAAGTCGTTTTCGTTGCACGGCCGCTTCTTCTCCTTGATCGTCTTCGACAACTCTTCGGCTTCTTTGGCTTCTTTGGCCATTTGCTTTAACTTCTGCTTCACCTTTGTTTTCCTGGACTTTTTATACTTCATCCATGACTTCTGCATGGCGTCGTCACACTCAACGTCACCATTTTGGAGCGCCGTCTCAACGATGTCGAAAACACGCTGCTCTTGTTGCTCGTCAAACTCCAAATGTGGTATCACCTCGAAAAGCCGGAGAAAGTCGCCATCATAGTATTCGAAATTATGCAAAATATCTTCCCTCTCCTCGTCTGAGCCCTGGTACTTGGCCCTGTCTTCCTCAATCATCTCGATCGAGATCTTTTCTGTCACTGTGCCAAAGTATTCCTTCCAGTCAAACGACTCAAAGTCCTCATCTCCTGAAAATCCAAGCGATCCCGTGGTATCATAGCGGTTTCTTTTGGCGGGATCAGAAAGAATGCTGTATGCAAATTGGATCTGGGGGAAATATTGGTCATCATGTTCTGTGTTAAGCTGTCTAATCTTGTCCGGATGGTATTGTAGACAAAGCTTCTTGTACGAGCGCTTGATATCAAGCGGCGTAGCAGACTTCTTCACCTGTAGAACTTCGTAGGGATCAATGTCCATTTTTTGAATCTGGTCTAGGTTTGAAGTGGTGAAACCGAAAAACTGGTTGTAGGTATCTTACTAAGGTTTTGGTAGTGTATAGGAAAGGAGATGCCTATGGAGAGGTGGTCTGGGAGGTTTTGGTGGATCTCTAGTTTTTGTTTTATGCTTTGTTCTTCTTTTTTTTGATTTTTATAATAAATTATTTTCCATGCTTGTGTTTTTCTTGTTAGGTAATTTGTAGAGCAACTGCACTGAATTTATCTGTCCTTCCTGAGATCATGGTCTGAACTACTATGTACATGGATTGAAAACGTGAATGTAAGTGAAGTTAGCAGCTTATGAACAATTCACTCAAAATTAACACTTCTCCCATTTCGCTTCTTGAAAATTTAAGTATTTTTGATTTGAAGTACAATCGGTCAGACGAAGAACGGACTTGCCCCACTAGTGAGAACTCTCCAAGATCAGCGTGGTCTGAATTTCAGAAATATTGAAATATTCCTTGTTCATCAGATTATTCAAGAGTTACTCATGTTCATCATGGTTGAATGGTAAATTTAGCACTGCCAAACTTATGATAGATGGCAGGAAAAAAAAATAGTGACTACCGTGGCCCTCCTCAGTTTATAATAACTAACTGCCCTTCTGGGTTACAAATTTACTCTGGTTGTACTTTCACATCATTCTTTGAGAATTTATGTGACCTTCCGTCCATATTACACAGCATGCTTTTCTTGTCGTTTCACTTCAAGTACTTTTCAGTTTACTTTCGCAACAATGTGAATCTCATTTAAAAATGAATTTGGACGATAATGGGTTCCTCACGAGTGTCTTCTTTTGTTTTTATCAGACTACTATCTCTAAAGGTTCAATTAACTAGTAGTAACGGGAGATATGATCAAAAATGGCATGAGAGTGATAATATGTTAGTGAACACACCTCCATTTCCATACTTTTCTCTTGGTAGTTCAAAGGATAACTGTATAAGAAGAATTTTTATGTTCAAAAGCCACTTGCCATCAACCTTGTAATGAATAAAACCTTTCCATGGTTGCATTATCGAAGCTGCCATCAATGAATCTTAGCTTCGGGGGGAAAGAAGGTAAAATGACTTGATTGCTAATTGCTCGGATCTTGAGTTTCCTTAAGTTGGGAAGATCAAGATTTAAAGACTTACTTGTGAAATCCCAAAATTCCAATTCTCTCAATGAGAGTGGATACTGTGTCAATTGACACGAAAGTACCAAGTGTCTGATTCCTTCATGAAGTGTCAATCCATCAGGATCGTGGTATTCTGACTTAAGCATGAGCATCGTCACAGTGTGTGGAACTTGAACAGGGCCGTGGAAGTCTTCGAGCCGCAATTCCTCGAGGAGGGGAAGTTTCCAATCAAAGTTGCTGGACTTTCCTCCCTTCAAAGAGAGATTCTTGATTGTTTTGGGAAAAAGTAACTTGGAATAATTCACATCCTCTCCTAGCACTAAGTCCAATTCCTCTACCTGTGAGGGAAAGGTAAAATTTTCATTGTCTACTCTGCCACTCAATTTCCTTAGGTTTTGGAGCAGGTCCATTTCGTTCGATTCATACCCTTTGAAAGTTCCCGCGAGACTTTCCAAGGTCCATGGAAAACGAGCTCCAGACAAAGTGACTAGATCTTGATTTCTAAACTCTAGTTTTTTCAAGTTGGGAAAAATGACCCCATCCAAATCTTTAAATGGATTAAGGGAAATATCAAGAGATTGCAACAGCTCTGGAAATACAGCACCCTTGAATGACTCTATACCGCAATCTTCAAGTGAAAGGATGTCGAGAGATGGGGGAAACACGACACCAGTCAAGTTTTCTATGTAAAGTTGCTCTAATCTCAATTCTTTCAAACTTCTTGGCCAAGTGGTGTTTACTATTTCAGACAGACCAAAGTAACAGTCGCGAATACATAAAAACGTAAGCTTATCTGTAAACGTCTTGTGACGTATTTTGTAATAATCGGTAAGCGATAGGCTGGTGAGAGGTTCAGGGAAAGTTTTCGACATGTCCCGGACAAAAGATCCATGGTCATCAAATTCGGAGGGAAACAGTATATCGATATCAACATCGTCAACAGAAATGCTCCTGAGAGACTTTGGAATCAGCTTAAGCTTTGCTGTTGATTCACGACCCCAAAAACGCAAAACCTCTAATTTAGGTGGAAGAGGGTCATGTTCAGTGCTGAAAGTTGACAAGGCAATGTTTAGCGTGAGCTCAGTCATGTTATTTCTTAAAGTTTCAGGTAATAATTTATCGAGGTATGAATGATAACCTTTAAAAGTAATCTGGGGAATGTTTGCAATGAAATCAGAATAGAGTCTCGTTAGCATGTTTAGATACTTATTGAAGACTGCGGTCCCCAGATACGTTTCGAAATCCAAACGTTGAACCTGTGCATCAATTTCCCCACAAGCAAGCTGTTCTAACTCCTTGAAAGAAATTCGATAGGCATCAGCGTTCTCCATAGGATTCTCGTTCGAAATTGATATATGACTATAAAGTCTACTCGCTAGAAGCGATTTCCATCCAGATGAAGTCGGCAAGATGTCATAAAGATCCTTTAACGTATCATGAGGCAAATATTCGATTATTTTGTATTTCAATTCGTTTGGCAACTTACCAAAATTCATGGTATGGATGACCAAGACGTAATAAGCTGGGAAGCTGAAACGACTGCATGGACATATGCATCTGGTATATATGTGAAGGATATCTGAAGGATATCTGAAGGAACATCTCTGGAAAGAAATTAGAAGTCGTATTGCCCCGCAATCTGAAAAGCTTTTCCAGACCTGAAAGCCTAGCATAGGCTGAATAGTTCACAATGTAGAGACCACCAACCGAGCATAATCACAATTCATGAGGGCCAGGGAACTGACCTGTCGAAAGCTTTGCATTCAACTCTCAAAACTGATTAGAATTTATGAGCCAAGGCACCTTAGTGTCAAGGCAGGTTTCTTCAGACCTATTATAACCAACTACTAATTCGTACCTCAGTGTAATCTATTGTAATCTAATGGTAACTACATTCATAGTCAAAGTTTACTTATTGGGGCACTGAGTCCCCGAAGCTCCTACTTGGTCAATTCACCAACAGTGTCTGAAATGGCTGCGCTGACCTGGTCAACGTGGCCCTCATAAACAGAGTAGCCCATGTGTCCCACACGGAAGTATTTGCCCACCAAGGCCTTGTGGATTCCACCAGCAACTGTAAATCCCTTGGTTGCCAACTTACCCAACAAGTCAGCACCGTTGACACCCTCAGGGAAGTAAACGGCAGTAAGACCATGGGCGGCAACGTCATGTGACACTGGCAAGATCTTCAAGCCCAACTTCTCCATGTCCTTCTTGAATTTGGTAGACACCTCAGCATGCTTGGCAAATCTGGCATCCAAAGACTCGGACAAAATCTCATCTAACGACACCTTCAAGGCAGTGATCGTTTGAACGGCTGGAGTGGCAAAGTATGCACCGTTTCCAGACTCATAGGCTTTCATAATAGGCGTCCATCTTTTCAAAGAAGCAAAAAAGGTCAGGTCCTTCTCTCTGGTCAAGGCCTTCTCAACGGCTCTTGGCGAAGCAAAGAAAACAGACAAGCCAGCTGGCACACCAAGGGCCTTCTGGGAAGCGGTCAAGGCAAAGTCAATGCCCCACTTGTCAAACTCCAAGTTCTCCACACCAATAGAGCACACACCATCGACAATCACCAAAGTTTCTGGGGAAACCTTCTTCACAATGGCAGAAATCTTTTCAACATCCGACACCACCGACGTTGAGGTATCAACGTGAGTGATGGTGATGGCGGTGTACTTCTCTTTAGCCAATTTAGCCTCGATGTCGTCGAGTGGAACGACATCACCAACTGGAGCAGTGATCACATCCACATCAGCGTCATACACACGCAAACAGTCAGCAAAGGAGTCGGAAAAGAAACCAGTCAGTAATACAAGGACCTTGTCGCCCTTGTTGATCAAATTGGCAGCGGCCACGTCCCAACCCAAGGTTCCTGAGCCAGCAAGAACATATGGCTGTGCCTTTGGGTCGGTAGACTTAAACAACTTACGCAAATTTTGCAAAACAGACTGGAAGGTCTTGACAAACTCTGGCGAGGTGTGTGCCTGGGAAGGCGTTGCCATGGCGTACAAAACTGGATCGGAGAATTCAATTGGACCAGGAATCATGGTGAGCTTGTGCTCGGCTTGCTTATATGGGACGCTCATTGTAGAATAAGACGAGGTGAGCAGGGCAAGGGGTCTGAAAATGGTATTCGATTTTGGTATATAAGAAACTGCTTTTGTGAGCGTGGCTCTTAGCATATACAAGAAGAAGAGGTTGTAAGAATGAATTGGAAAATGGGTTCAAGTTCCACGGGCTTTACCCCGGGTGGGGAATCAAGTGCAGTGCTGATGTTATGTGCAGTCGGTCCGGATATATTAACTCGATTGGGAGTTGAGGAAGGATGTCAAAGAAGATGAAATGGACAAAATGACAATTTGAAGACCGTTGTGATTATATATGGCTATCGTGAGGTTGAAGATTTGAACATTTTGGGCTGTTTGTGACATATTTAGATCCGTCCAGTGAAATGGTTGCGAATGTTAAGTTCGGGTTCCTGCGAATATTGCGAGCAATGTTGAAGAGTCCGGACCAGTGGTTGGAATTACAGTTTGATGGACAAATTTTTCTGAATTGAATAATCATTTGGCTATTCTTGTTTGTGAGATATTTATATTCCTGGCTGTAAAAATTGGAATTATGTTTGGTTGAGATTAAAAAACAATCATCTGGTGAAGGCTCCGATCTACTGACAGAAAGGATAGAATCAGAGAAGCGGACATGACAGAAGTCTAGATGTGCACCAGGTAGGGCTCTCTTTAGTATATAATGGAATAAGAGAAAATATGGACTAAATATCTGGATTTGGATTAACAAATTCTGGTCATTATTTTATTTTGAGGTCAGCGCTTTCAGGGTCCCCAAGTTTATTAAGTTTGACAATATTTGTCATATATGATCACAATTATCAACTCACTTAAATTGACCGTTCACCATAAAATAAACTATTTCCCAAAATCAAGCTTTCACGGAAATAAAAACACAACCAAAATAAGAACCACATTTAATTCCAAAGTAACATCTATTCACCTGAATTCTCAAGTATATACCTTGGTGTTGAGCTACTTCAGTCTCCACCTACATCCTGCCCATGAGGATCAGACTCATATCCACGACCAGGACTTTCTGAACTAACAAATTACTTTCCACCGATCTTGCCATTACCATTCACACAATTGAGTGTTTTGTTTTCAAATCATCGAATATCGAACGCAATCAATCCCTCCATCGCACCAATTCGATCTGCCCCACCAGAAACTTCAATCATCACATGTCTAGAAAGTTCTCGCTTCGAGCCCACAAATCACCCATTGCATGTATAACCACCTTCGAGAACAATTTAGTTTCCGCTGACAGAGACGGCAACATTGTGGTGTGGGACATTTTCCGTAAGCGTCCTCTCGCTTTATGGAAAGCTCATCTTGGCCAGATCATCTCCATCCAGCTGACTCCATTGGGTCTTCTAACCCATGGGAGGGACTCTTCGATCCGAATCTGGAAACCTCCTTTCACCGGCTTGGACAACGATGTGTCTATATTGTCTGTTACTGGACCGGACGCTCAAAGTTTAGACACCTCTGAGTTACTGTCGCAGAATACACCTACTAACTTCGAACTTCCCGTTAATGCCCTCAATTTCTGCAACGTTGCGTACTGCAATGGTCTTCTAGCAACCCCAGCTACACGAGACTCCGAGAATTTCGATATATACCGTTTACTGGAGGACTTCTCATTACTGAGAATCGTGGAAAACTACTCATGCCCCAAAGACACCGAAATGATAGCTAGCCCGGATCAAAGAGCCGGATCGGGAATCATCATGCGTCTTCTATTTATCGACGATTCGCTTTTGTTCGCTGGCTATGAATCTGGAAGAATTGTTGGATATCGTCTCAAGAGTGAAGTGGTAAGCTCACTGAAGAAAAACGAGAGGTTGATTCTCAATAAGGGAACAAAATTGACGGTGGTTATGGACGTCAAAGCTCACACTCCGCATCCAGTTTTGTCGTTAGAGTATGAAAGCTCTTCCGGTAAACTCTATACGGGATCTGCTTCCAAGAAGTTGTCGGTGTATTCAATAAAGCATTTGGTTAGAGAAGAGGATCAGAGGGAAGAAAAATCAGAGGAAGGTATGGAAGTATTACAGATGGAAAGTCATAATCTACATCACTATGGAATACAAAGCTTGCAAGTGGGCGAGAATATTTTGGTGGCAGGGTTTTGGGATGGTTTTATACTGATCTTGGCCAAGAACTGCACTTTGATCACAGAATTCGAACGAAATGAAGAGTTTATTCAGCCTGAACAGGAAAATGAAGCGGGACGAACGTCTAAGAAGTCTCTATGTACCCACATTTGGCATCCACAGCCGGATAAGGAGGACAAACCATCGTCTCGAAAAGCTTTAATGAGAAAAAAGCGAAACGAATCAGACTCGCTTCTTCTTGTAGGCTATGGCGACGGGCTCATCAGTGCATATTCTGTATAATTTTTGATGACCAAAGGAACATATTGGAATCAACCTATTGGGATTCCAGGAAACCATCTATCTTGTAGTGAATCGAGTGAGTAGCTCGAGTGCTTAAAACAGAAGCCCGAAGTAGCACTGATCGTGATCAGAACTCGGCTCTACCCAGGCTCTTGCGTTCGCTATTGCCGCTATTGAAGTTGTTACTTCCACCATAGAACAGTCTCCGTTTGTTTTTCCCGGAGCCGGCACTGCTTGTCAGCGAGTTGGAGCTGGTTCTTAAACCTCTGGTAGAGTCTTGAGGGAAGATCTGCGAGTTGCGATTTTTATGAGAACTGCGGTTATTACCACTTTGGTTGCTGCCAGCAGATGAACTCTGTCTCTGAGTTGAGTTGCGTCCCGGGATATTATGCTGTTGGGACACAGGTTCATTAGTGGGGGCACGGGTAGGTCTGAGTTTAGGGAGAATATCAGCAACCGACTCCTCCAACATAGCAGATGGTTCTGGGGATATGCGCATAGATTGTCTCTTGTGTCTACGTCTTCTTGTGGAGGCGTTACGTTGAACGGACTTTGGAGCCTCATCAATCGGCTGTTCCAATTCTGCGAGAGATGTGTCAAGCGACGCAGCAGACTCGCCCATTATCTCGTCAAGGTCGACGGTAAACGGCTGGCGCTCCTCCATCTTATCTTGTAAGTCTGGGAAGGTGGTTCTGATGAGGTTGATGGTGTCGACGTTTTCCTTCAATACCGCACGAGACTCCTCGCCATGCAATTTTGCAGTTTTTGCCAACATGGCCAACAAGTCCAACACGGCCTTGTTACGGTTAACATACAAGTTATCCATGACTTTTCGTTTGTTAGTGAGACTGTCCACCAATGTATCTACGTCCTTGTCGTTGCTTGTGAGTTTCTCGGCGAGCTCAGCTAACTCCTTCTGTGAATTGGCCTTATAACCGTCAAACAGCAGTTGTAATTTATTCAACTCGCTCAGATAGTGACGTTTATACTCGTTCTGCGAAGCTATCATGGCGTCGTAGGCGATTTTCAACCGCTCATACTCAGCAGTAGAAGATGCAGACAGCTCTTGCAAATTGTCACACCTAATCTTCAAATTTTTCGTCGAGAGCTTCAAAGAATCGTTCAGCGAGCTCAAATCGTTATACTGCTCCTCCAAGTCCACAATACGACGTTCTTTTCTCTTCAAAAGCGCATTGATCATATCGTTTTCGTGCTTGCAGTTGGCCAATTGGTCGACCAAAGATTCATTCTTTGTGGTCAAGAGTGATGCCTTCTTTCTGTTTTCACTGTTGGACATGCGAAGATCCGCCAACTCTGTCTTCAAAGCGTCAATTTCCGAATGGAGTGAATCGATCACTCGTGATGTCGGCTTATGCTTGACGGGACTTTCGGCCATTATGTCAGGTAGTTCAGTACTTTCTGTGTGTGATTTCAACGAGTATTCGCTTCTAGTTTCCGCTTAACAGAGTGAATACAAGTTCTAGTGAAGACACACTGAAGATAGGCTTTTCTTGACAGATCAGTTTGTTTGTTTTTCGGAAAAAAATCCGTACACCGGCCGGTTCATAGTGTCGTCTAACATATGTGCAGTACCTTTAAGGTTGTTTCAATGTATCTGGGGTTAATTTGTCGGCTATTTCCTGCGGATGAACGCCACATAAACAAATGAAGAAAATGTTCTGAGATTGCCGGTTGGATTGTACCCTTCAAGACCCTGAAAATTTGACATAATTAGTGTTCACGGTGACTGAAAATTGAATGTAAAGAAGGTGGAGTATGAGAGAAGACTAGTATATAGAAATTTCATATCAATTTCATGAAAATGATGACTGTGTTGGGAAAATTCTACGGTCATGTGACGCTTATCCGGGATCCCAATCGAGCGAATACACTGATCAAAGAAGTTAGGGCGCTCATCTTTGACGGTGATCAGGTTGAGGAGGTGCCTTGCTGCAAATGTTCCAGGAATTAGAAGCTGAGATTGTGTTATGTTTGATAAGAGTAGACGACGACCATGCTGACAATTGAAAGCTAGATCAGTTGCAATTTTTGGGCCCTTTAGATTATGTATTACATGGACTTATTAGTAGCGCTCTTATTTGAATTGCTCTAGGTGGGTTTCTCTGATGAAGAAAATTGGCCCAGCTTTTTTCTTTTTCTTTTGGTATTACCTTTTGATTTATTTAACAATTCGAGCTGGCTTTGTTTCCTTCATAATTACCTAACGTTTTCCATGTTGCCCTTTCAAGTTTTATCTGAGACTTGCTTATAATTCCAATTACAAAACCTTTTGAAGATATAGCACCATTCCATTACCAATAATGTCATATTTAAAGGAACTTTTTGCTCCCAAATAAATTATTGCAGTTTCATTATTGTGAAAAGAAGGGTAGCAATTGCTCCATCTCATCACCACAATCCGAGTTTCTTGTCCTGTATATAATAATAAATTGATTGTTATGAAAAACATAGCATTTGAACACTGCAATAAAGAGGTCCCTTGGCCCAGTTGGTTAAGGCGTGGTGCTAATAACGCCAAGATCAGCAGTTCGATCCTGCTAGGGACCACTTCTTCAAGGGCGTGTGGCGTAGTTGGTAGCGCGTTCGCTTAGCATGCGAAAGGTCTCCGGTTCGACTCCGGACTCGTCCATTTTTTTAATTTTGCTCCATATTTTCATTATTCTTTATTTTATTACCTAATACTTACTCTCCATTCTCCGGTCACGTTCGACAGCGTTCACCTGAGCACCCAATTGGTTGACTTTTTTCTCTATTCTATTCCAAAACCTCACTTCGTTCTCGGCCATACCAACATACTTCTCTAAAACTACCAAATTCTTCACCACCATCATGTGGAAGTTATTTGCAAGAACTTTGAGCTGATTTTCTCTGACAGTTATCTGTTGGATATCCAATTTCTCTGCAATTTCGCTCGGAAGCTGCGGCATTTCAATGCTCTGAAGTTCCATCAAACTCTGATACGCCATTTTGATTTGGGGATATTTTATCAAGATAGTCTCCTGTTTTTCTTCCTTTGAGATAGAACCCTCTGTAATTCTCGATTGTCTTGTTTTAGGAAATTCCTTGCGAATCTGGTCAAGGATGCCCAATTCCGGGTTCTGTTGGTATAACTGGTTTAGTCTAGCCTGAAGCTGTGCAACCTGCTTGACCAATGAGAGCTCATTGGAGTCACCTACGTCTACCTTCAAGGTGTCAAGACGTTGTTCTAGACTGTCATACGTATGTGAGTCCATTGTGTGGTGGACAGTGGCTTTGGATAGTTTGGGTAGTATAAGTGTAGATAATCAATGTACAGGTGACGAGGATATGCTAGTATTCCATGCAGAGTGGTAGAATAAATCCAGAAAGTTGTCTTCAGGAATAGTTCAAACAGTATTCAAAAAGGAACATAACGCCTCGAATAGGATAAAGATAGCTCGCAATACAATAAATCTGATAAAATGGAAATAATATTAAGAAAAACGTTATGCTAGGTGACGATTAGAGAATGTTGATTAACACCAGACTTGTATTCTTGCAGTGGCTTACTCTTCCTCACTGCTGCTACCATCATCGTTCTTGCCTCCATATGACTTACTCCCACCATACAATTCTCGTAGACTCATGGGCTTTTTTCCTGGCCGTGAGGACCCCATGCTAGAAGTAGGACGCGAGGTGCTGTCATCATTCATGCGGATTACAATCGGTGGGCCCCGCCCATTATCCGAATCTTCATCACTTGAAGAGTCAACGTCCATTGGCTGCGAGTCCACCAATACCTCTTGAAGCTGATCTTCAAGGTCCTTGAACTCGTCATCCATGTCGTCTATCTCGACAGCTTTTGGCTTCGGCTTAGAATTTGTGGTTTTCGATGCTCTGGCGGGCCTCTTCTCTTTGAGATTCTTGGTTGCGGTGCGTGGCTTTGCTACCTTCAGAGTGTCTGTAATTGCCAATTCGGGAGCCTTCTGAGACTTGTGCTCTTCAAAAGGCGACGACTTATCGCTTCTAAATTTAGCATTTTCAGTCCTGGTATCTTTATTCATGCTCTGTGGCGCGTCATTGCCGAAAACGGGGAATGCATCCTCTGTGGAGCTGTCTAAGTCCTCGAAGTCTGATACACTAATGATATCTTTCTGCTCTGGAGTAGCTGTAGGTGGCCGTTTTAGAGCCATAGGATTCGCTTTGGCCACTTCTTTCTTCCTATGCGTCTCATTGGGCCTGGTAGTCTCCTTGGGCTTGGGCGAAGGCCGTGGGATCTCCAAGCCTAGGTTGTGATCATGTTTCTTAGGAATCTCCTTCCACTCCGAAATGGCGGTACGCCATTTGTCTGTGTTTCGAGACTTACTGACTCGGATCACACTTCCGAGTCTCCGAAGCTCCACGGCCGGCTCAGAAGGCGCAGGCTTGGGAACAAACAGAAGGAAATATGATTCCATGTTGGCTGAAGAATGGCCCAATCTCTGGCCCTGTGGAACCCCCTCAAAAATGATGGGCTGGGCACGAAGCCCCGACTTGGCAGTCTTCTCCACCAGTTGCGCCTCCAAAATGCATACCTGGTCATTCTGGTAAAGTCGGAGGGGAGCTTTTTGATCCATGGAGTCGGGTATGAAGCCATAGCGGATGGCCACCAGCGAGGCAGGCGCCTCAGGGCTTGCCAGTAATACCAGAAGGTCGATTTCGTATTCTCCGTCGGCAATTTGCATCGCTGTCGAATTACAGGGGACCGTTGTAACGTGGTGGGAAGTAAAAGTGGTTGATAGTGGAGACTTCTATGTAGTCGGATTAGTCGCACATAGTCGTTAGTAAGAGAGCGTGGGGAAATAGGCAAGATGGTCGGAATCTGAAGGGGAGCAGATATGGGCACAGAAATTAGCAATTACTTTTCAATTATACACTTGCTGATTTTTGAATTGGGGTCTTGTATGTCTTTTTTATGGCTGAAGTTGGTATAAATCGGGAAATTGGTGCAACAATATATACTAGAATAGGAAAGCGGTGGAGGTTCCGAAGTCAGAAATGTTAGAAAATAAGTAGATGCTCAAGACACGTGTGGACGACTTCGATATGATAAGTCCGGTGTTCATTGTAAGTGGCTTATAGTCTGACTTTGTAATTTTCATGGAGGTCTGACAGTCTCTTTTCTCTTACGCATGCTTTCTATGAGGAATGGAGTAAGAGGGCACTTGTTTCAAAAGATTATTTATCCTTTTCATAATTCTTTGGCACAATTTCAAATTTAACAAGAGATGGAGAGTTCACTATAGCCTTTGCAATAATTTTGAACCTTGAGTTACCGGGGAGAAGGGGTACTCTATTCTAGCAACTTGCAAAACTTGCAAAACTTCCATTTGAGTGTTTCCAATCTCTAGAGCCATTTGGTGTTGAAAGACTCAAATGTGATACCAACAGTTTTCTACTTCGGCATCCAATGTCATCTAACATTGAATGTTACTTAGAATAAGGTGGAGGAATCATTACCAAAAATCTACAAAACTTTAATAATATCCAATTCCTTTTACATCTTCATAGTTTCCTCAATTGTCAAGAATCACATCATTATATCATTTCCTCTTTTCATGATCTCTCGCTAATCAAATCCAAAGCAATTCCCTCAATTTCAACTTATCACGGTGTACGGATCTACCCACCTACAACTTCTTGATCTGATATATCTACCCACATATCTCATAACAAAAGAAGCTACAGCTGAGCTGTCAAGTGTAAGGAGTCGCTTGAGTTGTGATCTGTTGACGGGCCTTTTTCCACTCTGTTCTTATCTCTCTCCGTCTCAATTTTCACAGAACAATGTCAGAGGACCAAACCCAGGACCCGGTGTCCGTCCTCCATCCCAAAGTTCTCCTTCTATCGGCAGGATTGACGGGCGGTGCTTTCTTATCGTACAGACTATATTCAAGGTATGTTCGGCGCATACGGACATATCTTGATTTAACTCCCAGCATTCTTGATGGACAAAGGAAACTCTACGGAAGAGTCACCAGAGTTGGTGATGGAGACAATTTCCGTTTCTATCATACTCCTGGTGGTGCATTCATGGGATGGGGCTGGGCTCGTCAGATCCCAACCAGTCGTTCTGCTCTAAAGGATGAAACGTTGATGATTCGTCTCTGCGGAGTGGATGCTCCAGAATGTGCCCATTTTGGAAAGCCTGCCCAGCCGTTCTCGGCAGAGGCATTGCACTGGTTACAAAATTACGTCGACGGGCGTTCGGTGACCATAACGCCGTTTTCTATTGACCAGTATAAGCGTGTTGTTGCTCGGGCACAAGTATGGAAATGGACAGGAAAGAAGGACGTGAGTGCAGAAATGCTTCGAAACGGCCTCGGCATTGTGTATGAGTCCAAGTATGGTGCTGAATTTGGAGAAAATGAGTCGTGGTACCGGAAACTTGAGGCTACAGCAAAGAGGAGAAAGAAGGGACTTTGGTCTCTTGGAAAGAAGTTAGTGACTCCTGGCGAATTTAAAAAGAGCTGAGGATGATCGTAATATAGAAGAGATGAAGCGGACTGGCCCTGGATTACTTCCGAAAAGTAAGTTACAGGATCCGAGAACGAAGAGGAGATCGTTTATCGATCGCATAATCTGCATTGCAATATATATCAAGTACAGTTGAAACTTCTAAGCATTTCTCGATATCTCTCCAGGTTCCAATATAATCACACCAATCATCCAAGCAATTTGCTAACTTCTTCACTCAATGATTGTGCATGATCTTTGGTGTCAGCTTCTGCGTAAACTCTTACAGCATCCTCTGTTCCTGAAGCTCTGACAAACGATCTTCCTTGAGGATACTTTGCAACCAAGGCATCAATCTGGGACTGCAAACCACTTGGCTCCACCAAGGAACGCTCAGCATTTGTCGTTTTGAACACAGTCCTATCAGGAACAATAACCTTCACCAACTTGTTGGGCAAGTCAGTGTATTCCGCGTCCCACTTTGCGGGAGTCAATTTCAAGTAGTTCAAGACGATCAAAACGACCAACAAATCGGAAATGGCATCACCAACAGTTTGGTTAATCAACTTCGTGAATTCCTGCAAAACGATGATTGCCTCCTTGTCTTCGTCGTTTTCACCCTCGTAAGCGAAAATCTTCTTCTCGGCCTCGGGAGAAAATATCACAGTTCCATGTCCATTGGCTTCAAAGTAAACTCCAACATCGTACTTCTCTGCTTCATGGTGCAAGTGCTTCACTCCAGTTGGAGTACAGCGAACAGGTATCTTCAACACGTCCTCAACATATTTGGTAGAGGAACCATTGGCATAGGCCGTTTGCACAACAGCAATTTCAAGCTGGAGCTTTGAAGAATCGATCTTAGCAAGGGTTCTTTGCAAGAACAAGGCAATCAAAGTAGCGATCTTATCACCATCCAACAACTTGAAAACTCCATTGCTGTCCTGATAATAGTGAACCAATCTGTCGGCATCACCATCAAAGGAGCCATACAATTTCCCAGAAACTGCATCCACGCCTTTTGGAAGTCTCTGGTTAGTCTTAACATAATCAGCTCCACAGTCAAAATTGAGCTTATCCGGCTCTTCGTAGGCGTTATTCACAAGTGTGTAGGAAATTTCATTGTCAAGGTATTTTGACAAGAGAACTTTAGCCTTTGGAGCACCTACACCATTGGCAGAGTCGATGGTAATGTCAATCTTTTCTCCGCTGCCCAAATTGAAAATGTTCTTAAACGATCCAGCTAACTTTGAGTAGTACCCTTCCTCCAGTCGCTCACCAAACTTCGCATCATTGCTGGTACGTGTGATATAATGCAATTGGGGAGTAGTGAATAATCCGAAGTCTTCAACCTTCACATTGGGCACTGCATTGATCCCGTCAATAGTGGCTTTACTCAATCTTGGAGATGACTCTCTTGAATCTCTAGCAACTACCACAGACGCTGGAGTTGCAAGGTCGATGTTCAATTTAGTTACAAGTTCGTTAAACTTGCCCACCAATTCCTCATGACTAGCATTTGCCAAGGTGGTGGCATACAGTTCCCATGAACTTTCTAACATGCTTCCCAACGGATCGACGACTTTTACACCATTATCAGCGGGAGGATTATGCGAAGCAGTAATCATCACACCAACAGTCAGTCCATTCAAGTATTTGGACCGCAATGCCGCAAGTACTCCCACAGTGTAGTTGACATAATCCAAAATATCAGCCTTCATTCTGAAACCAGCTGTGCCGTAGGTGAAGGTAACATTTTCTGGCTTTGGATAGCTGGAGAGAGACAGTGGCTCAAATTTCATTTCAAGTGATTATTAATCTTTTTTCTTAGAGTAGAAGTAACGGCGGAGAAGAACCAAATCAAATCGTGTCCGCTAGGTGATATCCTGCACGCATACGTCTATAATTGGAACGTTCCATCGCTATGAACACCCACCCATGAAGAAACCCAGCAAATTTGCTCAATCGAGCTATCACAAGGAGGGAAGAGACACGAGTACGCCAGTCGAGTCGAAGAAAGTCAACCCTAATGCTCCGAAAAGTGAGTTCTTCACACAGTTAGTGGAAACTGGAAAACCAAATTGGAAACTTGCACCAGCAGCAGTGAAGTCCAGATATAACGGTATTTTCTTGGTGCTTTTCTCGATCCCATTTATTCTTCTTCCTGGATGGGAATTATATAGAAGATTGGGAGGAAAGTCCACGAAAAAAGTGCAACAAGGTGAGATTGTTGAAGGTAAGCAGGTGAGAAAGTTTGACGAGGTAGAGAAGTGGCAAGTTGAGAAGGAAAGTTTTATGTATAAAATTTTCGGACGGGACTTTTTCCTTGATGGATTTACCAGTAAAACCATGCGTCCCGAAGACTCGAAGGAGTCTCCTAAGAGTTGATAATTAAATTACCTCCACAGCTTCTTCATCTGCTTCAATGGTTGTGTAAGATGCAAGTCATCGAACCTAGATCCAATAGATGATTCAGGCCTTTCAGGCGAGGAAGAACGCAAACTGATACGATCCGGGGAAATCTCTCCAAGCAGACCAACCTCAAATGCTAGGTTCGGTGTCATAGTGCCAACTAGCGACATCTTTTCAGCCTTGAGTTTTAAAGATGAAGACCTCCTTGACCGATTGCCTTTAAAAACATCTTCGCCACAAACCGAGCCTTCACTTGACGATTTCCCAGCAGTGCTTTCTCTTCGAGGCAAGTGGAAAACTGGAGGACTTCTCAATCCAGTGCAATTTGATTCGGGTGAAGATACGTGTGTTGAAAAACGCTTTATCTTGGAATCTCTGAGTGTATCATTGACTGGGCTGTCCAACGGCTGCGATCTTCTATCCGGAGAAATGAACACAGGATTCAGTGGGCTGATGCTGGGAATTTTTGTATGTGTATACCCCTTCACATACATCTTCTTTATGACCGGAAATCCCAGACGTATATAGTTTGAGTTCATGACCGGAATTTTTGATTTCCGTTTTGGAGTTTCTCGTAGAAGTCTCCAAAAAGTAGGTTTCTCCAACTCAAGAGAATTGCGAGAAGTGGCGTGCACTAAAGTATCTGTATCATCATCCTCGTTAGCCACTTGGGTCTCTAAAATATTCATGAGCGCAGCCTGGATGCTATTCTTTGGTAGGATATCGGCGTCAATGCTCAAGTCCACGATTCGATCTGTTTTGACACTTACAGGGATTGTTGGAGATGGGTTGACATCGAGACCTAAATCAAGACCCAATCCAGTTGAAGAAAATGCACCCAGCTTTTCTTTTCTATGTTCTGACAGGGAAACTCGAGAATGGGCCATCCTAATGGGTTTGTAACCTGAGAAATCGTTTGTCAGAGGACTAGCTGTTTTGCTCGGATGAAAATCATTTGATAGGAGAACATTAAGCTCACCCCAGCGCGGTAGAAGAGTGTCATTGTACTTTCGGGTTAGCTCCTTGTCGTAAATGACATTTTCCATGAAAGCCTTGTGAATGAGAGTAATGGCGTTGGAACATGTCTTAAATGTAGAACCGAGTTCATCAGAAATGAGGAAGCTGCCCTCCAGGTGATCTTTCTTCACCTCAGCAATCATTGCCAAGCTCTTCTTCAGAATGTCCTCAACGAGGAATAGAAATAGACTGTGCCATCTAGCATCCACGGATTGCTTCTTAAGTGTTACGAACTCAGTAAGTAGTTGCTCCCACAGTTTTCGTAATTGGTCATAATCTCGATTTAGTTCGATAATGGCTCCCGGAAATACAGTGCCACACATGCTGTTGAAACCTTGTACACGTTGTTCTAGAAAATCCATGGCGACTTGGATCGGATCAAGGCGTCGTTCAATCATCTCAAATCGAGTGTTAGAATTCTGTTCAGATTCTGAAAACATTGGAAGTGCAACTGTACGCACAGCAAAAGTATTGCTTTGCGACATTTCTCCAAGCTTCATCTTCGCTGTGATTTGCTCTAGTGTAATATTCTTCGGTAGCTCATGAGGTAGGCCTGTGATTTTACTCAGCGTGAACATGTCATTGCATTCTCGAACTTCCTCGTTTAAACCATCTATTATCAGGCCCCGGATCTCTTTGTAATGGGCCACAATATCAATTTTCTTCTTAATTGTAAGGAGGGCCAGTTTGCAATCTAGTAGTATTTGGCTCACTCGCTTCAGCTTAGCCGTAATGACTCCATCGCCAAGAACCAGTGGCAAAAGTAGGACTTTAGAAAGAAAGTCATCAATGTTTTTAATGACATCAAGAACCTTTATCACCAGACCCCGGCCGGTGGTGTACCATTCAGTTCCATCTCGATTGATCTGTTGCAATGAGAGGTTCAATTCACTCAAGTACGACTCCACATCGTCCAATATTTTGTCAAGCTTGAAAGAGTCATGACGGTTAAGTGGTCGCTGCAGAGATAGAAAGTCATCGTCTAGTAGCAGCTCGAATTCAAAGTGGCGTATAGCCCAAGTTAGCTCTGCCGCCAACAGGCGTTCCATAGCGGTGACGAAATGATTGACGGAAGAAGAAGACAAATTTTCGTGGATATCGTGTTACAAAATAAGAGGACGTCAAGCTTGCAAAGATTAAATGGGTGGTGGACTAGAACTGGAGACGATGAGTAGGGTATATGTATTTATGTTATTTGGTATTGGAGTGCCTATGTGCACGACCTGGAGAAACTCTCATGGTAACAGGAGAGAAGTTTGATGCAAATAGTAAATAACTAGATCTAGTAAAAGTGACGATAGAAATAAATAGGTAAAGAAAAGAGATTTTGATTGAATATCAATTTCGTGGATCGTTTTCTTGAGAAGCGAGAAGGAAAGAAGGTGCTGTTCATAGTGAGCGTGTATCTTGTGGTCATCTTGTAACAAACAAAAAAAATCGAAGGCTACATAATTGAATCAAGAAATATCTCTCACTTCTTAGTAATTTTCCAGGGCTGAGGTTGTTATAACTATTGGAGAGTATATACGACAAGTATGTATTGAGATCCATAAGTGATTTTGCCAGAATGAAACACGAACTAGAGGGAACCAAATGATTTTTGAAACCAAGTGCTAGTGATAAAATGTGTTTAGTGAGTAAATTATGTAGATCTCGTTTGCGTCACAGCGTGTTTTACATGTGTAATCGGTATATTCTTTACGCTGTCAATCCTGCGTGGTTCGTAAATTTACGAGAAGCTGATCGAAGGGCTCTTTCTCGCTACTTAATGGCTTTCGGCTATTAGATGGCTGCAGAAACAACAATTAACTCAATTACTCAAACTGTGATTTTGTTAAAAGCTGAATGTTATTTAGAGGTTGCCTCAACAATCGATTGGTGAAATCTCTGTTAAACAAATCAACGCTCAGTACCACTCCAGCTTTATACATATTGAACATTGAAGGTTACCCCAATCATAATATTGCCACATACCATTCCCTTGACGCATACTTGCATGCACATAAGGTACATTAATACAGCTATAGTGTATATCTTACATTCTTGGGAGAGAGTAAACCGACTCGTTGATTTTCTGCGCGGGAAAACATGCTAGTAAAACATTGTTTTCTCTCGCCTTAATCGAAAGTTGGATATAGCTCAAATCCGGATTGGGCTCATCACAACAGTAAACAGAACAAATTTGGAGATTGGTTTTAGAATTTTCTTTGATATCATATAACCTAACCTAGGCTTACCCAATTTCCGAGAATAAAGCCTAAGCTCCCTCATAAAGCTGTTCAGATTCATAGGTCACAAGTATACTATTCAGTAAAAGGAGATATACTATAAGAAACGTGATAAAGGCAAAACAGATAAACCACTTAAAACAAAATCGCTTTTCAAAACTGAACAATTAAAGAGTTAAGTAGACCTTTTTGATACATAGGATACAACATGAGAACGCAAGGTGGTTATTGGCTGAAACAGTCTAAAAAATAACCAGAGACAAAATCCTCTTCCCCGCAGAAATTTCTTGAATTCATTGCTACATAACCACTCGCAGACTTCTAAATAGAAGGATTCCAACATTAGATGTATTCATTAATCACTTTTCGTTGCTATTTAAACATTGTTTACAACATCATAGCTGCGAGACCAGCAAGAGCAGCAATACCAGCGGAGTTCTTAACTGCACCACCTTCAGCAGAAGTAACAGCAGGAACAGCAGTGCTAGTGGTCAGGGTAACCAAAGTTGAAGTAGCCTCAGCGGAAGAAGAAGCCTCAGTAGTAGAAGAAGCCTCAGCAGAAGAGCTAGAGCTGAATTCAACCAACTTGATCTTAACTTCAACACAGGAGTCGTTGACCTTGTCCTCACCGAAGACAATTAATTTGGTGTTCTTAGAGTAGTTGTATGGGTCATTGAGGTTGTTGCAAGCCCAGAAAGTCTCGTTGGAAACCAACGTGTTGTCCTTGTCAAAAGTAAGTTGAGCTGGTTCAGAGAGGATACCAAAACTAAGGTAGTTCTCAAAGTAATTAACAGAAAAGATGGCTCCATTACCAACATCCTCACCCAAAGTTCCATCTCTCCAGGTGAGTTCAGTACCAGGACCAGCTACAGCAAAATAACTGAAACCAGCACCTTCGTGGAAGCCAGTCAATGGGCTGGAAATACTTCCGTCAGCAGACTGGGCAGCCAACGAGTAGGTTTCAGCGGAGGCAACAGCAGCCATACCAGACAAAGCGAGGGTGGAGAACTTCATTTTCTTTTTTTCTTTATTTCAAAGCGATTGGGATTATTAATACAACAACATAAGCTGGGAAATCGTCTCCATATTTATAGTGTCGTTTTTTGATGGAAGTGGGGAGTGACCCAGATTATTACATTTCTTCCCAAAATGGCCAATCATTAGCCAAATGGCACCAACAGACCTAAATATAGTGTATTTTTCATGCAATACCATGAGCACTGACAAGACTTACATCATAATTGGCTGACATACGGGGAAGAGTGCCACCTCCACAGTCGGAGATGACGCTTTGAGCTTCCAATTATTACCATTTCGTATGCCGTTCGGAACTATGGAAGGGCCACCAAACGTGTGTCGTAAATAGGGGAAAGTTCGGGGGTCAACCCGGATAACCACACCGGTTGGCGTTTGCTTCCAACTCGTGAGTGGACACTTTGGTATCTGGGAAAATAAAACTTGACAACAATAAAGGGAAGGCGACAAAAAACGCCTCGTGATCAAGCCACGTTTAGATGACCATTCAATTTTTGACGTAATGGGAATCAGAGGATCTCAGAGTATTTCAACGCATACGCAGGTCCACACTGGAATACCGGATGTTATTGCACATTAGATCCTAAATAGGCAAGATTGTCACAAGTACGCGGGATATCATGATTTTTCATCTCAGTATGCAATGACGACTCGGAACCCCTGGAAAGCCTCCAGAGCCTTACGTGTAAAAATAGACATCGGCTGGGAATATTTACTTTGAGTGTTTACGACAGGACCAATAAATTTACTTGAAGCAGGAGAGCTTATTGTTGAACTTTGACGTCAGCTCCTGTCACAACGCATGACTAGGTTACAACGGGAATTTCATCTCCTAAAGCCCAAACATCGCAATCTTTGGTGTAGCAGTCAATTTTTAGAAGTGCTAACTTACCCCACATAATATGCTCCACTGCCTCCTGAAGGGTATCTTCTGCAATAGCGGTATCCTTTTTGAATTGCTTTTCTGCTTGAGCAAATTCACTGAAAATCTTCCATGAATCTGTGTCAAGGATTCTGGCAGCATGGTCGAAGTAGTGCCAAAGAGGATAGGTATATGTTTCCATGAGATACACTTGATCGCTGTATTTGTCATGATGTTTCTCAAACATATTCTGGGCTTTATTCCATTGATTTTGAAGCCCGCCTAGTGCCCTGGTCACCTCGTTAATGTCCTTCAAATCGGCTTGAATTTCATCCACAATACTGTAGAGCTCGTGCTTGGCGTTTTCCATCAAAACCACGTTTTCTTTTATTCGTCGACACTTTCTTATGAAAGAGGTATTTTTGAGATACCCAATCTTGTTTAAGCTTTGTTCTCTCGCCTGTTGGTGTAATTTTCGAATCGATAAACACATTTTGATCAGCACAAACCTAAATATACTTATCGCTTCCAAAAGGGAGTAAATACTTATCCTCGTGGTAATTATAGCTGTGCTTAATGAAACTGCGTTTCTTTTAAAACTTTCACATCCCTGGGCAAATGTGAGAACTGCCTGATCAACTTGATGTTGGTCAGATATGAACCCAATACAGCAAGCAGCTCTATAACCGAATCGACGTCTTCTTAAAGCTGAGGTTGTTTTGTGCTGCCTTAGAACTTGTTCCAATACTTCGATGTCGGGGTAGTATAGCACTGGAAGGCCCAGTTGGATGAAAGGAACGTTCGTGGCCACATCACTTTTTTGACTAAAAATCAGCAAAATTTGCCGAATTCTCTCATCTATTCTTCCCCCTGTCTTTTGAATAGACTCAACTCATCCTTAGTGGAGTATTCAGTAGTCTGACCTAGCTGGGTTAGACTACCAGAGCTGGAAATAGGCGAATAAGACTCGTAGAACACGCCGGGTGAAGGTTCTAGATATTCGGCAGCAGCTGGTAATTCTCGAAAGAGCCTATCGAGGTAATCTGCCTCGGTTACTGAAAAATTTGCTGGTAATGTTTTCAGATCCATAGTAAGCTCTGTGGCTATTCTCACTTCTTCGCACAAAAGAGAAGTTTGGAATACATAGATACAACTTGAAGAAGAGAAAGCTTTTTCGGTCTAAATAATGGTAGCTAATTTTTTTAAAGTATGTAGAATCTTTTTCACGAGATCAATTTATTAGTCTCTTGGGGTTTCAAGATCATCCTCAGAGATTTGTATATCTCCTCCTCGTTGAGCCTCATTCAAAACCTCTGTGATTGTTTCAAGCAAAGTTTTCAATGTTTCCACGACATATTTGTAGTCGCAAAATGGAGTGATTTTACATAGCTCATTCTGTTGGGTTTGAAAATCATTGTAAGCAGTGATTAATGTTGCATCAGTTCCACCCATCCAAAGGATGCGTTGGAGTCTACTGGTTGTGCTCAAAAATTCTGCCATGATATCATTCATTCGAGCAAGAGACTCAGCTTCGTTTATTGCCTCACGGTATGAAAGGTGAAGCTGATTCACCCTGGCTGAGTTCGAAAAATAAGTTCTTTTATATCCTTCTTCAAGATCGTTTAAAGAGACAAGAATTCGGGCAAGAAGACCTGGTAGGAAATTGCAAATGTCTTTTAAGTATTGCAACGACTGTAAAACTCCACATGCAAAATTCAAGTGTTTCTCCAAATTCAATTTGAAGCACAGAAGTGGGTGAATAAATCCATTTCTTTTCAAGTGGAGGAGGTTCTTTGCACATATTTCAATATAACTCTTATCAATTCTGGTTTGAGAGGGGTACGACGCTTTCCAGACTTCGAGTAAGCTTTCACCATTCAGCTCTTCTCTTTCTGCCTGTCGCTTTTCCTTCAGAAGAAGATGCTGTCCTAAGTACAGACCTCCGAAAACAGAATTATATAGTTTTAAAGCTGGACATTCAGGCTTGAGGAAATTTTGCCTTTGAAACATCAAATCAAAATCAAAATCAGCAATAGTGAAGCATGGCTCTGTATTAGGATGATGTGCTCCGCAAACTTCCGTTATAACTTTCAATAGCTGATGATTCATATTAATTTCGCAGGCACTATTCATCTTGAAACTAAAAAACAGAAGGGATATCAGTTGCAGAACAATTTGCAGATTCTGCCGTTAGCAAGCAGGCTATTTTTTTTTTGTAGCTGGAGAATGTGGTTTGAAAGCTTTTGTGGTTTCGCGCAGCCAGAAATGGTTATCTGGTATTAATGTGAGTAGTAACCAAACAGCCCCAGCGAGGATCGTAAAGGAATCCAAGGTTCCAGATATGAACATCCATGACTACTGGTGGTCAATGCTGGTTTAAACGCTTCCTGTTTCACGATGCTGAAACAAATGGACCAAAAAAAAAACAGACTTCAGAGAGGTTTTGGGTGCAAAATCAAGCTCTATCTTCATTATATTGTATGCAAGTTCTGATCAACATCAAATCCTGCTAAGTAGAAAAACCAATTTCAATTTGGAACAGCGCAAGTTCCGAAAGGTGTATTTGCACTTGGTGCCTCGTCATGTATTCGATAATCTAGTGTCAGATTCTTGAAATGCATACGGTCCTGCATATTTATAAATATCCCCAGATTTGGTCTGCCTTTCCTTCACATACAGTAAATCAGTCAATGTTGGATCAATCCATACTACAAAACATAAACCAGATCAAATACAATCTCTTTAAGTATGCCAGATTTGCAGATAACAAATCTTCTATAAAATGAAATGGTCCCCGTGGCCATAGACAGAATTATAATTATCTGATTTTGGTGCTAACTATGTATTTCGACTTTCGCAACCACCAATCTAACGCCCAGAATGACGACAACGATTCTTTTACCGATTGGTATAAGGATTCTAGCAAGATCATTAAGGTGTCGTATCCTCTCTACCGATATTTCGTACTTAAGGGCGAAGTATGCTTTGGAGCTATGGGAGAAAACCAGAGAAAGAAGCATAAGACGATGCTTCGCAACCACTACAACTTGTTGCCTAGCTCAAAGGAGAACAACAGTAGCGAAACTGCTTCCCGGTCATCTGAGGAGTTGATGGAGGAAAATAAATGGGTTCAACAAGAGTTGAGTGACCGTGCACAATTTTTGGAGAAATTAGCAATGCAAATCAAGTACAAAGATTACTTGATGATGGCAGTTGAGAGAGATGTCCGTAAGATCACTCCTACGGAATACGCTCTAGCCGAGCTTGTGGCAACTGAGAGATTGGACTCGGTGCATCTTGAAGAGATTCTTACCTATTGGGTTAAAGTCCACAACTTCCTTAGAAAGTTTTGGCCACTGAAGTTATTTCACGAGAAATCTTTTCATTTTGTGTCGGACATTACTGCTTTGGAAATGTTCTTTCCTCGTTTGTTTCCCGGGAGCCAGTACGCAACCAATGATATTGAAGAAGCGGAAGAGGTTTTCTCGTTCATCTTGAAAAGTGGATACTTCAAACTTCGTGAAACACTCCCCGAGCAGAAGATATTAAAGGCTCTGAAAACTTCCCAGCACGTTTCGAGTTCTCTCTGAGGCTTACAAGTCATGCAATCTTGTGGACTAAAAATGGAAAGGTTTAGAGATTCAGGAGTGAAAGGTTAGAAGTGGCCACTAATAAAGGGAGGGCAAAGGGTATCAAGATGTGACATAAGAAACAAATAGGGCCAGGGCAGAACAAATACTTGAAAAGACACAAGATCAATGATGTGGGAAAGCATTTGATAAAGATAATACTAACAATAGAAAACATCCGTTTAAAATAAGTTGATAAACACTAAAAAAAGTCAATGTAGGTGATAATATATAAATGTCATCATTCAGCCAATGCTTCTTCTACACCAAATCCTTAAGTTTGAAGTTTTATTGACTTTGAGCGCCATCTCCAGCATTGAGCATAAAAAGATAAATTTTGATGGTGGGAGAGATTAATGAAAAGAGCGTACAACTCCAGCTAGAGAAAGTTTAAATCTTCCCTTTTAAGTTTTCTTAATGTTTCTCATTTCAGGTCTAATCAACTCTAAATATTCAAGATCCTCTTCAGGAATCCAGACTGCACATTATGCTTTGGGCATGCACACCTCATCAACTCTTGATGCGATGACTTGAGACTTGACAAACTTCAGATTTAAACACCATCAAAACTATGGCTAAAGCGCCTAAAAAGAAATTCTCTTCCGCTCCCTCCGGTTCGGGGGCTACAGTCTCCGCCGACAAGCACATGAACTCAGTTTTCAAGTTTAACACCAACCTTGGTCAGCATATCTTGAAAAATCCACTTGTGGCTCAAGGTATCGTGGATAAAGCGCAGATCAAGCCCAGCGATATTGTATTAGAAGTTGGTCCTGGTACTGGTAACTTGACTGTGCGGATTTTGGAGCAGGCTCGTAAGGTTGTTGCCGTTGAAATGGATCCGAGAATGGCAGCAGAGTTGACCAAAAGAGTTCACGGCACTCCTCAGCAAAAGAAATTGGAAATCCTCTTGGGTGACTTCATGAAGACTGATCTTCCTTATTTCGATGTGTGTATCTCCAATACCCCATACCAAATCTCGTCTCCTTTGGTGTTTAAACTTCTCAATCAGCCAAAACCTCCAAGAGTCTCCATTCTTATGTTCCAAAGAGAATTTGCTTTGCGTCTTTTGGCTCGTCCTGGTGACGCCTTATATTGTCGTTTGTCTGCAAACGTGCAAATGTGGGCCAACGTTACGCATATCATGAAGGTGGGTAAGAACAACTTCCGTCCTCCTCCGCAAGTTGAGTCTTCTGTTGTAAGAATTGAGGTCAAACAACCTCGTCCCAACGTGGACTTCAATGAGTGGGATGGTTTACTCCGAATCTGTTTTGTGAGAAAGAATAAGACCATCGCAGCTGGTTTCAAGTCGAACAATGTTATTGAGATTCTAGAGAAGAACTACAAGGCTCTTTTGGCTACTCAAGATGCAGACTCCATGAATGTGGATTCAAAGACTGACTTGACCAGTGTTGTGAAGCAAAAAATCGAACAAGTGTTGACTGAGACTGGCTTTTCCGACCAGAGATCGTCCAAGATGGACCAGACTGACTTTTTGAAGCTTTTGTTTGCATTCCACCAAGTTGGAATCCACTTTGCATGATGATAGCATTCTATCATCTTTTACATTCATGTTCATTAATTCAATTTCTTGTGAATTGATTGTAGGTACGAATTGAAATATCTATTAGATTATGTTTATCTTCTTTTGGTTGCCTTTGTAGTGTCTTTCTCGATCACTTCTCCGACACCTCCCAAATCCTCTAGTTGATCCTCGGCAATTCTGACCTGGTCTCTTCTTTCCCAGAATCTATCTTCACACAAGTCAAAAGCTGCCTTCTTCAAGTACTTTCCTCTAGCGTCTCTGTTGCTGGATATAGACCACTCCAAGAATTGAGCACCAGTACGAATGTAGAACGCACGCAATGATTCGAAAGGTTTAGGATGTGGGAGCCATGGTCTCGGGTCAGGAATCTCTTCCTCTTCCTCTTCTTCTTCATCTTCCTCCACTTCCTCTTCTTCCACATCATCCTCTTCGTTGTTCTCATTAGAAATTTCTTCTTCCTCTTCCTCGTCGTCGTCTTCGTCATCCTCGTCGTCTTCTTCATCATCCGAATCAACGTATTCCTTTTCGAGTTCCGTCAAATCCTCCCACAACACCTTGACTCCGTCGACCTTGTTCAAGTCTATAGCATACATAGAGTCCAAGTTAAATTCTTGGTCGCCACGTTCAAAGACTCCGCCGAAAATATATAACGTGTCATCAACGACACAGGTTGTAGCGTTGAATCTAGGATGTGGTAGTTGGTTAACTATAGGGAAATCCACCTTCTTGTTCTCTTCTTCTTCTCTTTCTTCGAGTTGTCTCAATTTCTCGAACTGTGATAATTCTTCATCTTCTTCATCATCTTCGTCATTCAATTTTGCTTTAGCCAAAATGCTGTTCAAGATATCTTCCAAATCTTCGTCTCTGGTCTTCTCCTTTGCCTGTTCCAGCTTCTTCTGTTTTCTAGGCTTTAATGTTAAGTTGTACCATCTATTAGTTTCCGTTTGGTAGGATTGTAAGGAGTTGTAGAACTGGGACTCGATTTTCTCGTCGCTCTCATCATAATCGTAAACTCCACCAAACATTATACCTCTATTCTTGTGGAAAACCATTGAGCATCCCACCCTTGGAGAAGGTGTGAATCCTTGCTTTCTTCTTCTTTCGAATCTAATACCCTTAGGGTCTGGTTTCATCTTCACCAACCAGGCATCTGTCAATACCTTACCCTTTTGGACACCCTTCTTAGCTTTAGACTTACAATAACCACCATAAATAACAGCACCTTCAGGGTGAGGTACAAACGAATGGCCCGATCTAGCGTCTGGAATGCTGTGCGCAGGGGGAAACTCACATTGGGTCCATTTGTAAGTTGTGATATCAAAAAGCCACATGTCACTCAAGTAGGTTGTCAGAGTGCCCAAATCACGGAAACCTCCATGCAACACAATGTAATTCTTCCAGACACACATACGGTGGCCCGACCTAGGCAGAGGACCCTTTTTCTGGTCAATTTTGTCCCATTCTTTACTCTCTGCGTCTAAGACCCAGGTGTCACCATAGTGGTAGAACGTCGACTGCTTTGGAGAAGAAAACTCTCCTCCGAACATCACCACGATACCAGATGGATGTGCGCACATTGCGTGGGAAGAACGAGGCAAAGGAGAGTTCTTGGAAGTGATTTTTCTCCATATATTGTTCTCAATCGAGTATGTGTATAATTCATTATAGAACTTGGACATGGAAGACTGGGTAGCTTCACCTCCAAAGAGGATCAATTCTCGCTTTCCTTGAAGGGGGCTTGCAACAATAGTTGGGTTGAGCCTCCTGGATGGCCTATCGCATATTTCCACCTTCACAGCCATAAGCTCCTCCTGCTCTTTGGCATATTGTTCTAAGATGGCATCGATGTCTTGATCTTCCTCCTCTTCACCGGTTTTCTTAGCTATTTTCTTCTGTTTCAGCTCTGCTTTCTGGGTGTTTTTCTTCTGCTTTTCGGCAGCACGTGCCTTTTTAGCCTCTTTGGACTTCTTATCTTTTTTGGCCATTAGACTGAGTAGTTGATAGAGAAAATTTTGTGTTATCCTGTACTAAACTTTGGAACCTTGCACCCAGGTTAATAAAACAAAGGTAGGTTTCTTCATTTGGCTGATTTCTAATTAGTGTTGAAATTCACTTTATACAATTTGATTTTATCAATTTCTACTTGCTCTCCAATGATAAATTTCCTAATCGAGTGGTGTTTGAATCGTGTTCAAGATACTGGTCATTGCTTTGTTTTTGGGCAAGCTCACCGGCCTTCTGACTTTTCGATTTGGGAATTAATGAGTTATCAGCTTGGTTTGAAAGGTAAAACGAAAGCTTCTCATCACAAACTTCTAGAATGTCCTTTTGTTCAACTTCCTGAAGAGACGCAAGTCTCAACAAGTATTCTAAAAGCGATAAATTCTTGGTTTTCTTGGGTCCTTCTGTCTCCTTTGCATCCTCATAGTCACTGGAATCACTCTCATCTTCGCTATCATCAGGCTCTGAATATTCGCCAAGTGCAATATAATCGAAGCCCGACGCAGTTTCTATCTTCAAAGTAAGTACAGGCGAATTAGAGCCTTCCAATCTTAGAAGATGACCACTAGCGCTAAAAAACTGTTTCTGGATTTTCTCCACCATGACGGTTTTCACTTCTGGCTTCTCGTCATCTTCGTGGTACCTTCCGTCATCGAAATCTTCCTCAATGACAAGATTAAACTCAAACTTCTTACCTTGCAATCTTACAAGTTTGCACAGAGCACGAGCAAATTCTTCCTTCCATGACACCGTCAGCATTTTCTGACTAGTCCTGTCAGCTGTGGAGCTTGAAGTGGATGACTTGTCATCGTCCTCGACATATCGAAGTCTGCTAGGATTATAGAACACAGTATAAAGCTTAAGATCAAATACAGGGCCAACGGTCACGCTTTTGAGACTATTCGACTTCGCGAACTTCGAGTTTGCCTCATGGATGTGACAAGTAGACTGAAGCAATCTACTGGGTGAAACTTTGGGACTGATAGAGCTGGGAAAGCTAACCCCACACGTAATAAGCGACAAGTTGATTAGTGGGATAGCATCATTTATGGACAGAATCAATGACTCAATTGCCTTTTCCGCGAGTTTGACGGTCTCAATCCGGTTTGAATGCGTGAATTGCTCAAGAAGCGAGACCACCTTCAAGTCGAACTGATCGATTTCAATCTTCAACTCATCCACCATCTGCAACGTAGGCTCCAATGCAGAGTTTCCACGTGCAGACTCTAGTCTAATGAGATCAATGGATGTGGAGATGATATTTATCTTCGTTCTTAGTTTGGAGTTGGCCCCCTCAATGCGAGCCTTTTCTGTTGCTGGGATGCGGTCGAGCAACTTTGCAACTGTTTTGATGGCAAATCCCGAAGCAATCGAGATCCCCGATCTTATGGCAAAGGACATTGCCTGGTTACTTGCCTTTGCAAGAATATCATCCATGGTGGAGTAGTGGTAACTTAACCTGAAAGCTCAGTACGGCACAATAGAAGATCTGATGGTATAAATGGGAACCACATCACTAAGAATGAAACAAAGATCAACTCGAAATTCTCAAAAGGCTTCAGATTCCGAAAGTTAATGTCATCTCCATTTCCCTAATTTGTTTTCCAGTATTAGATGAATAGTTCTGGAATTCCTTAATGGTGCATCTCTCCTAGATCACCATCTCAATTTCTACACACTAATAACACTGCGCGCTTCACGTAAACAATCATACACAAGTTCACGTCTATCACCATTCCCCCAAAAAGTACATTATGGCGGTCAGAAAACCGCTTAAGGCGTTCACTACGCCGTTTGGCTCTGGTGCTGGTATGTCAAAGGAAAATCGTCCGCCTCCAGTCAAAGATTCTGAAGCCCGTTTGGCCAGACCATTTAAAGTGCCATTTGCCAATCTGACTAATACCGCTGGCAATGGCCACAGCGTATTGAGAGTTCCCGAACGAAAAGCTCGACAGGCTATACATAGTTATGCTGAAGGTGAAAATGGAGTCATTGTAATCGACGACGATTTAGACCCGTCAGTAAATGCCAATAATCAACTTGTGGCAAGAAAGAGAAAAGGAGCATTACTACTGCGTTCAATGTTAAAGGGAGACATCGTAACAAAGAATGAGCAGAGGTTCAAGCGGCATTTTGCTGTGCCTTTTGCTAAAAATAACGAGAAGAAAGACCTCATAGACTTATCCAGTTCACCGCCTCCACTTGGAACGCGTCGAAAAGTGGTGGTGCCGCCTCGAGCACTCCATGATCCCACCAGTGAGTTTGCCATAGTGTTGTACGATCCTACGGTTGATGTGATTCCGAAAATTGAGGACGAAATCAAAGAAGAGTCGATATCTCCGCCACCTGAATCGGAAGGTGAACCTCCTAAAAAGAAGAGACGGCCAGAGAAGTCACTTGCGGAAATCTTGGGCATTTGTAAAACTCCAGACTCGGCAACAAAGTACCCTGATGTTCCGGTTGTCATTGACCCAAGACTTGCAAAGATTCTTCGACCTCATCAAGTCGCAGGTGTGAAGTTTCTCTACCGATGCACCGCAGGATTGTTGGATCCTCGAGCAAAAGGTTGTATTATGGCCGATGAAATGGGGTTGGGGAAAACTCTTCAATGTTTAGCATTAATGTGGACCTTGCTTCGACAAAGCCCTCGTGGAAAAAAGACAATCGAAAAGTGCATTATTGTTTGTCCATCGTCGCTTGTTCGCAACTGGGCAAATGAAATTATCAAGTGGCTAGGAGAAGGTGTATTGACCCCATTAGCAGTTGATGGAAAGAGTACGAAGGCTGCAGATTTGGGCCAAGCACTTCAACAATGGTCCGTGGCATCGGGAAGAAATGTTGTTAGACCGGTTCTCATCATCTCTTATGAGACCTTGAGAAGAAATGTCGATAAGCTAGCGGGAACAGAGGTAGGACTTATGTTGGCTGACGAGGGCCATCGACTCAAGAATGGGGACTCCTTAACATTTACGGCACTTAATTCACTTCGGTGTGACAGAAGAGTCATCTTGAGTGGAACACCTATACAGAATGATTTGTCTGAGTATTTTTCTTTGTTGAACTTCGCCAACCCTGGTTATCTCGGTACTAGAAACCAATTCAAAAAGAACTTTGAGAATATCATTTTGAGAGGAAGAGATGCCGACGCAACCGATGATGAAGTTAAGAAAGGTGAAGAGAAATTGGCTGAGTTGTCTCAGCTTGTATCAAAATTCATTATCAGACGAACCAACGACATCTTGTCTAAGTACTTACCAGTGAAGTATGAATATGTCGTGTACGTTGGATTATCTCCCTTCCAACGAGCATTGTATGAACACTTTATCACATCAGAATCCAACAGTGCTCTTCTCAGATCTCAGCCTTTGAAAGCTATTGACATGTTGAAAAAGCTTTGTACGCATCCAGATTTATTGGAATTACCTGGTGATATTCGGGGCTGCAGAGAACTAATACCAGAAGAATATGAGAGCCTGGAAGGCGGCGGACGTGGTAAAGAGATCCAAACATGGTTCAGTGCCAAGTTTTCTGTTCTCGAACGATTTTTGCATCAGATTCGAATTGAAACAAACGACAAAATTGTCATTATCTCAAACTACACAAGGACTTTGGATTTGATAGAGAAGATGTGCCGTTACAAAAGGTATGGGTCGCTTCGACTTGATGGAACTATGACGATTAATAAGAGACAAAAAATTGTTGACAAGTTCAATGATCCTGAAGGACCGGAGTTCATTTTTCTCTTGTCATCCAAAGCAGGTGGATGTGGAATCAACTTAATTGGTGCAAACAGATTGGTGTTGATGGACCCTGATTGGAATCCAGCCGCAGACCAACAGGCATTGGCAAGAGTTTGGAGGGATGGGCAAAAGAAAGATTGCTACATTTACAGATTTATCTGTACTGGTACAATTGAGGAGAAAATCTTTCAACGTCAGTCTATGAAACTTTCTCTTTCGTCGTGTGTTGTTGATGAAAAAGAGGATGTTGAGAGAATTTTCAGTGGCGACATGTTGAAGATGCTTTTCCAATACCGTTCAGATACGCAGTGCGATACTCATGACACTTACAATTGCAAAAGGTGCTCAAAGGAAAAGGGGCAAATTGCCAAGGCTCCCGCAATGCTTTATGGAGATGCAACTACTTGGAATCATTTGAACAACAATGCATTGAAAGATAATGAAGACTCATTATTGAGAACCGAATCCAATTTTGATGATATTTCGTTTGCGTTCCAGTACATCTCACATTTACTGTAATCATGAAATATTGCTGATGTTTAAGCTTCCATTGGTGCTATGTATTTATAGAGAGACAAAAGAAAGCAATGAACTCTGTGTCCGCAAGACAAGTCTTCGTTAGATATCTTTAGGTTTCTTGGGAGGATTCAATTTTTTTGTCACTTCTTTAATTAAGCGAGACTTATTGCTTATCTTTTCGACAAAACTGTTAGACCTGTAAATTTGGTTCGGTTGCGCTGAGTTAATCTGTGGCTTATGGACCATCGTTCCGTAAATATCAGTGCTATCAAGTTTGCTTTTGACAGCGTCATAAAACTGCTTCTTCCTTTGTAATCTTTTGAATTTCCGTTCTCCCAATTTCAGCTCCAAGTTATCAGTATGGAGATAGACACTGTCAATAAGGTGACAACTTTTATAGTCACGCTCTTCGGTCAGGGTATGGAGTATCGGACTACGCGGACTATGCTTTGAAGGGAACATCTGATATGTCGGATGATCGGTCTTCAAAGTTTCAAAGATTCTGTCGTAGACATTGTGGCTGGAATTGATGAATGGTTGACAAGTAGTAACTTCGTCCAACCAAAACTCTTCTGCTGGGGCCCAAGAGCTTGTCTCTTCACCGTGGTAGCTTTCAAAGCGTTCAATCTTATCAGCTTCAAAAGTTTCATGCTGACGCAGATTATGGTTAGTGAATACTTTCTCAAAGAATGACTTGATGCTTTTCCTCTTTTTACCTGGGATAGTATTGTTATTGTTCGATGTTTCTGGGAATTCTATAAGCTTATCATTTAGAGTTGAGCAGTCTTCAAATTCTGGGGAAGGTTCAAAATACATTTTGAAAGAACGCACTTTGGGGCTTTTCTTGGGTTTCGAGAAGTCACAGAGAGTTGTTTTCACAAATGATCTAAGAGTCATTATAGGTGAGATTTGGGCGGAATTTATGTTACCTCTGTGGAAATTTGAAGTCTGCCAGACCACAAAGTCTTAAAATGTGAGGCTTTTTTTTTTTTAAACATTTGTATATTGAGGCTGCTTCAGTTAAGGGTGGCTAATCGTATCTACCTCAATCAGATAACTGAGCAAGAAGAAGTTGTTATTGGGGGTTGCAGAAGGATGGACACTTAACTCACTATAATTTCTTAACAATCTGAATTATAAGGAACCAGTTTGTTACCAGATTACCAACCAAGTACTTGGTCAACGATGTGCTACTGTGAATGACAGGTTTCAGTAAGGATGTGCACAAATTCTACTTTGCAATAGCAGAGTTCAAAAATAGGCTGTGGCAGAGCTGAAATCAAATAGTCAGAACACCAATTTGATACAATTAAGAAACTTAGAGCTTTCACTTGTAATCCAACCATCTGACGTTTTTGTCAGTTCCCTTTTTTGTATATGCTTTTTGAAGAGATTCTACTTTCAAATGTCTTGACAATTCAGTACGCACAATATTGCATTTATCATACTCAAAGTTCCCTTGTTTCATCTAAATATTAATTGCGATATTATGAGCCTTTCATTATCCTTGAATTTTACTTTTTTTTCAACACTCTCCCTGAAATATCATCTGGAGAGAAGTATTGCATTGAGATTCCCTCTGGTCCGCTGATATCATGCGCAAAAGTCCCGATTCTGTCAGTGTAGTCATTTCACCAAGAATTCAACTACCCCCCCCCCCCCCCCCCGGACATAATATCGAAGCACCCCACTCCTCCCCTTTTTGATCATGCACCCCCAAATTCATTATGAATTGTGGATTCTATAACCAGATTCGACCAACAAATTCGGCACCCCACAATACTGCACCGAGGTGACAGGAAGATAGCGAATAGTGGGGAACCAATAAGCAAGCATTGATATAGTGGAGAATTCTACGAGAAAGCCGAGATCAAATAACAAATCAGATTCTCACACATTCATATCGGAACCCGCTCATTAACATGGACTTCCCTTCTAATCCAATCGTTATCGTAGGAGGCGGATTGGCTGGCCTCTCTGCTGCTCACCAGGCTTACCTTCGTGGAGCCAACATCGTGTTACTTGACAAACAAGGCTTTCTCAGCGGAAATAGTGGAAAGGCGACCTCGGGAATCAATGGTGCTCTCACTAGAACTCAAGTTGCATCGTCAATTCCCGATTCGGTGGAGCAATTTTACCAGGACACCTTGGCTACTGCCAAAGACAGAGCAAATCCAGCTCTCATCAAGGTATTGACGTACCATAGCGCCGACGCGGTCCATTGGCTCCAGGAAGTATTCGACTTGGATCTTTCGGTTGTGTCTCGTCTTGGTGGACATTCTCAGCCTCGTACGCATCGTGGAAAGGATGCTAAATTTCCAGGTATGGCCATCACTTACAGGCTTCTCGAAACTTTAGAGAACTTGGCGAATACTGAGCCAGAGAGAGTAAAGATCCTTAAAAACACCCAGGTCATTGATTTGATTCTAGATGATGACAACAAGACCGTGGTGAAGGGAGTCAAGTTCAAGGATTTAAAATCTAAAACGAAGGACACTGTAATGGGTCCTGTGATTATGGCCACTGGAGGCTACGCAGCTGACTTCACGAAGAATTCCCTTTTGAGAAAGTACAGACCCGATATCATTGATCTTCCTTCAACAAATGGTAATCACGCAACTGGAGATGGCCAGAAGATCATTATGAAGAATTCAGGTATTGGAATCGACATGGATAAAGTGCAAGTGCATCCAACCGGACTCATTGACTATGAGGATAAGGATGTGATTTCAGGTAAATCACAGCCACGTTTTCTCTTCTTGGGTGCGGAGGCACTTAGAGGCGAAGGAGGTATCATTCTCAACAATAAGGGTGAAAGGTTCTGTGACGAATTGGGCACTCGTGACTACGTGAGTGGAGAAATGCAAAAGCAGATTGAACTTGGCAACGGACCTTTGCGGTTGGTGTTGAATACGGAAAGTGACAAGAAGTTGGAATTTCACATAAAGCACTATAAGCAAAGAAAATTGATGCGGACTATTTCCGGAGAAGAGTTGGCCTCAGAAATTGGCTTTCCAATCTCTAAATTGCAAGAAACATTGAAGGAATACAATAAGGCAGCCAGTGGAGAGATCAAGGATCCATTTGGGAAGAAATACTTCCCGACTACTCCATATGCTATGGAACCCAATAACCAGTATCATGTCTCATTTATCACCAGAGTGCTTCACTTCACTATGGGCGGAGTAAAGATCAATGACAAAGGACAAGTGCTTGTCTCTGACGGTGATTCGGAAAAGGCATTTACTGGTTTGTATGCTGCTGGTGAGGTTGCTGGCGGTGTCCATGGACACAACAGATTGGGAGGCTCATCTTTGCTAGCATGTGTGGTCTACGGAAGATTGGCAGCGGACCAGGCCACGAGTTTCTTGATGAAGAGGTTGGTGTCAAACTCTGCAGTGAACAGATTGCTGCAAATTAGTCTCCACATTGACCCTGTTTCGAAGAGAATCACTGTTGATTTCGACGATGGTCCAGGAGCTGCAACTCCTCAACATCAACGGTCTGACAAGCCACAGCCTGCTAGTTCCACTAAGGGAAGATCAGACAAGCGGGAATATTCTCAATTCAGGATCCCATCTAAGGAGTTTACTCCAGAAGAAGTAGCTAAGCACAATAAAGAGGATGATTGCTGGGTGATTGTGAAGAATGTTGTGTTGGACTTGACTTCATTTTTGAACGACCATCCTGGAGGGAAAGAATCCATTGTGAAGTTCGCCGGACAGGATGCTACAGAGAGTTTTGATATGCTTCATGAAGACGATGTGATCGCAAGATACGCTCCGTCATGTGTTTTGGGCCGTGTGAAAGGCAAGACGCCCATGCTTGAGATCAAAGAGTAGGTGGAATGAATTCAACTCATTATGCTGAATGAACAATTCCATTCTGGTCTGGTATCCAGTCAGGTCCAATTATGAGCGACTGTCAGATAACCTGTTTAAGTCGCACATCACCCACAACCGGGACAAGTCAATAGCAAATACAATAAAACATATATCTTGATATACAATTTCTACAACGCTGCGGTCTAAACTTATCTTTTTTGCATCATTTGCTTTCAAAACAATTCAGTAGTAATATAAAAAAGAAAGTTTTATTTTGGCGAGGCAAAGATCAACGGGCGCAAGAATACGAAGTAGTCCCAGACATGTTTGCTTAGAAACACTTGTGGTGGACGATAGATGGTCCAGACTCGTCGTACTCCTGCTTGGAGATCCACATCTGCTGGAAGGTGGACAAGGAAGCCAAGATGGAACCACCGATCCAGACAGAGTACTTTCTCTCAGGAGGAGCAATGATCTTGACCTTCATAGAAGATGGGGCCAAGGCAGTGATCTCCTTCTGCATACGCTCAGCAATACCTGGGAACAAGGTAGTACCACCAGACATAACAATGTTACCGTACAACTCCTTACGGACATCGACGTCACACTTCATGATGGAGTTGTAAGTGGTCTGGTCAATACCAGCGGCTTCCAAACCCAAGTCAGAAGGACGGAACAAAGCCTCAGCGGTTCTGAATCTCTCGTTACCGATGGTGATGACTTGACCATCTGGCAACTCGTAAGACTTCTCAATAGCAGAAGACTGAGCGGAGGTCTGCATCTCCTGCTCGAAGTCCAAGGCAACGTAACACAACTTCTCCTTAATGTCACGGACGATTTCTCTCTCGGCAGTGGTGGTGAAAGCGTAACCACGCTCAGACAAGATCTTCATTAAGTAGTCAGTCAAGTCTCTACCAGCCAAGTCCAATCTCAAGATACCGTGTGGCAAAGAGAAACCAGCGTAAATTGGGACAACGTGAGTAACACCGTCACCAGAGTCCAAAACAATACCAGTAGTTCTACCAGAAGAGTACAAGGACAAGACAGCCTGAATGTTGACGTAGAATGCTGGGACGTTGAACGTCTCGAACATGATCTGGGTCATCTTCTCTCTGTTAGATTTAGGGTTCATTGGAGCCTCGGTCAACAAGACTGGGTGTTCTTCTGGGGCAACTCTCAACTCGTTGTAGAAAGTGTGGTGCCAGATCTTCTCCATGTCATCCCAGTTGTTGACGATACCGTGCTCAATTGGGTATCTCAAAGTCAAAATACCTCTCTTGGATTGAGCCTCATCTCCAACGTAGGAGTCCTTCTGGCCCATGCCGACCATGATACCCTGGTGTCTTGGTCTACCAACGATAGATGGGAAAACAGCACGTGGAGCGTCATCACCGGCGAAACCGGCTTTACACATACCGGAACCGTTGTCGATAACCAAAGCAGCAACTTCTTCTAGAAATGAGTTAGTAATCGATCCAAGTAAATTTTCTCATCAGTTCTAATTGGCCTCATTGCCGCCGTCGAGGGGTAAAATCAGAGGTAGCGGATTGTCCATTCACTTATTAGGCATTTACTTTGGTTGTGAATTTCACTCCGGCACCTCCGAATGGGGAAGCCGCACCCACTGGTAGCAAGTAATGATTTCGACGAAAAGGGGGCTGGTCGCAGGAACAAAACATCCATACACCAACAACTGGACGTTCTCAGCCAACAGGCAGATCTGAACAGTCGGAGAACGAACTTATGCCATAAACTACCAGAAGAATTGGCGAGATGTGTAGCTTATGGCCAGCTCAGGGCGCAGATGTCATGTTGGTTTCCCTTTTTCGACGAATCAGGAGGCAATTCGCCCAAACCCAGCTTGTAACCTCTTTAGGGCCGACAACCAATTGGCAAACACCTCAAGAAAGCCGACAGGTGTCAATGGCGAACGTTGAGGGCACATATAGGGCCTAAACATTGACCTAATGTGAAATCATCGATTGATTGGGGCTGGGCGTGGAGCTAAAGGGTGCGAGACTAAATCAACTCAAGTAGATAAGCTAGAACACCGAATGGCTAAAATGAACAAAAAGATGGGTAAAATGAGAGGGCCGCGGCATTCGAAACACCACATTTGCACTTATTAATCGATACATACCACCGTCCATTATGAAATATAGTTAATTGTACCAAAGAATTAGGTGGTAAAGAAAAACCAGGAGCAGTGGAAAAAAAGTACGGTGTCATTTTGGCTCCAAGCGGGAAGGCGCGAACTCCCTGCATATACATCGGCACTGGCGCGTGAACGCAAAAAAATGTGCCGTCTAGTTAGTTTCAGTGGTACGGATTTCTTGGGTAATTGCATGGTGTTGGATTTTACCACATTGATTTCTTCTTTTTTTGTTCGTTTGTTTGGATCTGTTTTCTTTGAGAGCCTACTATCTGTTGTCTGCGACTTTTTAGGGTCAGTTTGAGGCGGTGTGACGGCGAAAGAAATGTCCTTAATCTCCGACTCTAGACGTCATCTACTTTTGATCTCGTGGCTGAGCGTCTAGAACCTAGATACAGTAATCGCGGTGACCTTATGGGAGAGAGATTACTGATAACCTCTCCCGAAAGATCATTTGGTTTCCCTAAACATGCCCTGGTAGTTGTTCGGAGGTTCGGTGTATGATGGTCAGGTTTTTGTCTGTATGGGTGGGCATCAATTGCTGCAGTAGTTTGGTTCTCGGAGAAGACTGGGGCTGAACTATTGTAGTATTTTAAAGTATCAAGCTTCTGACTATTTCGTAGAAAGATTCTATAATCTTAAATAGGTTGGTACAAGTAACAAGGTTCAATTCCCACATTATCCATGACTAATGCTTTTTTTTTTTCTTTCTTGGATTTTTTAAATATTTTGACTAAGTTTGACAAGACCTCCCAATTATTGGATCAGCACCGAAGTTAAGTGGTGTACTGAACTTAACCAATAGTGAAATAGCCAGGAAATCACGGTTTGTTGATTTTTCTGACCTGATTAATTTGGCAATATCAATTTTTTCCCCACTTAAGAGGCAAGTGTCTTATCTTGTCAGATCACTGATCTTTAAGATGATAGTCAACATTAGACTCGGCAGCCGCGAAATTATGCTGCTGGTTGTTTACCATCACTTCCATATCTGGTTAAAATCCACCAGGCCAGGAAAAACCAGTCAAAGGATTAAATTGTTTTACTCGGCTGTCAAGCGTCGAAGAAGCAAAGAAAATTGTAGAGTCTTGTTCATAGAGGCAAATTCTCCGATCCGATGATAAATTAGCAAAGCAACTTCTAGATATGCTGAATGCCAGAACTTATGCATCAACCAGTTTTGGAAACGTTGCCTCTTCTGTTTTTTTCTAAAATCAAAAAAAATATGAAAGGGGCTTGAGCTTACTCTAACTGTGCAATGGGAAATTCCTCTTCCATCGAGATGTCTTTCCGATAGCCGTCACCAACTAACTGAAAATTTGGTGGGATAGGGGAAATCGAGAAAGTATCAAGATACCCTCCCTATTAGTGGATGAATTACAAACAAGCTTTCAGGATAATGTAGTGGAACCCACCAAGATGGTGCATAACTGAGAATTTAATTACGCAGCGAACGGATTCAAAATGGATTAGATTGTAGCTATGTACTAAGAGATTTTCAATCTCGTTCCCGACCATGTGAATTTTCAATTCAACCCTTTGGTTCATGTGCCTGAATAAATTAACTAAAAGTTATCAAAGTATAACTGTCTTACGAAGTTTAACAGCATTTATTAAGTATCATTGGTTGGTGTGCCTCCAAAGATCCTCTATAATAGTCAAAAATGAGGCCAAATGGCTAAGTCACTAAAAGAGCCGGAATAAATGATCAATTACCAATACTTAATTGAGATATTCAGGAAATTCCAATATCTGCTAATGTACCTCTACAGCACAATGACGATTTGATTTCTTGAACTAGAAAGATTTTTCTTCCCTGGACCTGTAGACACGTCAAACCAAAAACGGCAATCGTCTATCCTAGCAAACAAACAAAATCAGACATCTTGAAAATTCAAATTGAGAACAGCAATACGGACCAGCAAAAATTGGACATTATATCATCTAGCAAATTCTTAGTGTCCCTTAATTGCCCTGATTTTCCGGATCCAGCCATAAAAACCGTGCCGATACTCCGGCCACTAGTCACGAGTCTACTGCGTACAGTTCATATAGCCAGATACAAACGCATTGACGGGGGCCGTTTTTCATTCCTAGAAAGCGAAGAACATTTACCACCCAAATTCATAAACAGAACAAAATACTGCTATAATGTCCACTTCTGTTCCATACGACCCATACATCCCCAACCAGACGACGGGTGAACAGTCCAACTCCAGGACTGCCGCCATCCAAGCAGTATGTACCTTGAATCATGTTTGTGATAGCCACTACGAAAACATACTAACATTATTTAGCAAATCGATGACACCGTTGGTATTATGAGAGACAACATAAACAAGGTCGCAGAGAGGGGTGAGCGTTTGGACTCCATTGAAAACAAGACAGACAACCTTGCCATCAGTGCCCAAGGCTTCCGCCGTGGCGCTAACCGGGTAAGAAAAGACATGTGGTGGAAAGACATGAAGATGCGTTTGTGTATTATCTTGGGAGTCATTATTGTGTTGATTGTGATCATCGTGCCTATCGCCGTGCACTTTTCCTAGTTTCGCTGGCGAGTCGGTGAAAATACATAGTGTGTTCAGAGGTGTAGGACGTGAATATTCCCAGGGGTTCTTGAGATGATTTGGTTGAAGAGGAGCTCTATGATTTATGGATTTGAAACCAATCGATTCAAATCACAGACGCTTGGATCGGAGTATGGAAACTCATTATAGTTTTTTGTTATCAGTATGCTTAGTTACACCATTTAACTATAAATCGAAATGAAATAAGAATTTGTAGAGTGGATTGCCAACATTAATCTTTCATCAAAGTATGGCGACTGACTATGGAAAGATCTCACTGAGACACTATGGGCTCCTGGAGAAATGTCCCTATGTGATTTGAGTGCCATCAGTTGAATGCTTAAGTCAAGCGAATATCATTTGAAAGATGCACCTTCAATTTCAAGCTAGGAGAAGTGAAATAGTTCTTAAGATCGAATATTATGATGTTAAGTTATCTTGGAAATGAGGAGCCTCAATAATCAACTAAAGTTCATCCTACAAATATAGCTCCTCTCCACTCTACATCGTGTTCCGCAATTCCATTTATTATCGCTTAGTGCTCCTCCAATGTCTGCTCGTACTGGTCAACCTCCAACAATTCCTCGTTAGCAAAAACCTCGTCGGCTGACTGGGCCAACTTGATCTGAGCAATCCATCCAGAGCCCATTGGGTCATCATTGATCAATTGAGGCTTGCTCTCCAAGATGTCATTGATAGCAATAACTTCACCAGCAACAGGGCTGTAGATTTCACTGGCACTCTTAACAGACTCCACGGAGCCAATCAGCTCGCCTGCCTCGTAAGTCACACCAACTTCTGGCAATTCCACGAAAGTGGTGTCTCCCAAAGCCTCGGATGCGTAAGTAGTAATACCGACAAATGCAGTGTCGTCCTTAAATACTGCCAACCACTCGTGTTCTTGAGTGAACTTGACAAACTTTGGACCTTCCTCGAGGTACTTGTAAGCGAAGGAGTCAGTGTTCAATTTGAAGTTCACAGAGTTGAATCTGACTGCACATCTGAAAGCGGGACCACGGAGGGTCTGTCTAGCCAAGGTTCTGAACATGGTTGGAGTCAAGATTGTTAAAGGTGTTGGTGGGATTAGGACTTGTTTTATAGGATGAGGAGAAACAGAGTCAGGTGCGCACTGACTCTGATGGAGAGGATTTTTACAGACCGATAGGCTTGTCAGAACAAAAGAACTTGGGAGCTTTAAAGATCCAAATTAGATAGCCTACAGCCTCTTTGAGGTATATTTTTATTCTTTTGGGTGTGGTGCCGCTAATGCCTGAGTAACTATTCACCGAGAAGTTTTGGTTGCAAATGTAATGTAGCAAACATTAACTGAAATTGAGACCGCCAGGATAAGAGGAAAACTTAAGCCTTATTGATAGACCTTCTCATATGCTTGACCCAAATTCACATCATCGTAAGAGAAACACGAACTCAACGTCTCTTGAGAAGTCAGAGCCGTTTGACTCCTCTTGTACCGTAGTAGTGCACATAATCGACTTTGCAATATCGCATGGTTTTAGACTTGAAACTATCACTAAATTCATGGAAGCATTCAAAGCAGTAAAGTATTATTAGAAAGTGTCCTTACTCGAAATATTACTTAGGATGCAGATATTATCGATACTGTTCCATTTTCAGTTGATCATGTGACGCGTTATATTTGTGTTCACGTGTTCTATCACGTGTTTTCAAATCATCATAACTGCTCTCATTTGAACCATGTTCTAAATTCTACAAGTTCGAAATTGTAGACCGGAAAGACAATGGTTCATCATTGATCCGTTTTCTCCGAGAAGCTTCAGGAACCTCCTTTGGAAGTTGTCCCACTTTAAGAAAAAGAAATTATATATCACGTGATTATTCTACCCCAATTCGAGAAGCTTCTGGTTCTGTCTAGAATCCTCTAGCAATCTTTAATGTGGAGTAGTTAGAACCCTGTGGAATTCTTCATCCCAGCCCCCTATACCTATATAAATGCTATGTAGTCCAGGTATCCCATTCTTTTTTTCCACAAACAATTGATATACTTAAATCAAATTTAATATGTCGAAAGCTATTGGAATTGACTTGGGAACCACATACTCTTGTGTAGCCCACTTTACTAATGACAGAGTTGAAATTATCGCTAATGATCAGGGTAACAGAACTACTCCCTCTTATGTGGCATTCACAGACACTGAGAGATTGATTGGAGATGCAGCCAAGAACCAGGCAGCCATGAATCCTGTCAACACTGTGTTTGATGCTAAGAGACTCATTGGTAGAAAGTTTAGCGACCCTGAAGTTCAAGAAGATCTCAAGCACTTTCCTTTCAAGGTTATTGATAAGGGAGGCAAGCCAATGATCCAGGTGGAGTTTAAGGGTGAAACTAAGGTTTTTTCTCCCGAGGAAATTTCTTCCATGATCTTAGGTAAGATGAAGGAGACTGCTGAAAGTTACTTGGGTGGAGAAGTTAAGGACGCAGTTGTCACTGTTCCAGCTTACTTCAACGATTCACAGAGACAAGCAACCAAGGATGCCGGTTTGATTGCTGGTTTGAACGTTTTGAGAATCATTAACGAGCCAACTGCAGCCGCAATTGCATATGGTTTGGACAAGAAGAACCAGAGTGTTGGAGAAAAGCACGTTTTGATTTTCGACTTGGGTGGTGGTACCTTTGACGTTTCTTTGTTGGCCATCGATGAAGGAGTTTTCGAGGTGAAGGCCACCGCCGGAGACACTCACTTGGGTGGTGAAGACTTTGACCACAGATTGGTTAACCACTTTGTCCAAGAGTTCAAGAGAAAGAACAAGAAGGATCTTTCGACTAACCAGAGAGCCTTGAGAAGATTGAGAACCTCATGCGAGAGAGCAAAGAGAACTTTGTCATCCTCTGCCCAGACGTCAATTGAGATCGACTCTTTGTACGAGGGAATCGACTTTTACACCTCTATTACCAGAGCCAGATTCGAGGAATTGTGTGCTGATTTGTTCAGATCTACGCTTGAACCTGTCGAGAAGGTGTTGAAAGATGCCAAGTTGGACAAATCTCAGGTTGACGAGATTGTTCTTGTTGGTGGTTCCACTAGAATCCCAAAGATTCAGAAGTTGGTGTCTGACTTCTTTAACGGAAAGGAGCCATGTAAGTCCATCAATCCTGATGAGGCTGTTGCTTACGGTGCTGCTGTCCAGGCTGCTATCTTGACTGGTGACACGTCATCCAAGACTCAAGACTTGTTGTTGTTGGATGTTGCACCATTGTCATTGGGTATTGAGACTGCTGGTGGTGTTATGACTAAATTGATTCCAAGAAATGCCACCATTCCTACGAAGAAGTCAGAAACCTTCTCTACGTATGCAGATAACCAGCCTGGTGTTTTGATTCAAGTCTTTGAAGGTGAGAGAGCCAGAACCAAGGACAACAACTTGTTGGGTAAGTTCGAATTGTCTGGTATTCCACCAGCTCCAAGAGGTGTTCCACAGGTTGAGGTCACCTTCGACATTGATGCCAACGGTATCTTGAATGTTTCTGCTTTGGAGAAGGGTACTGGTAAGACTCAAAAGATTACCATCACCAACGACAAGGGTAGATTGTCCAAGGAGGATATCGAAAGAATGGTCTCTGAGGCCGAAAAATTCAAGGAGGAGGACGAGAAGGAAGCCGGCAGAATCCAATCTAAGAACACTTTGGAGTCTTACGCTTATTCTTTGAAGAACACGATCAATGATGGTGAAATGAAGGACAAGATCGATGCTGAAGACAAAGAGAAGTTGAGCAAGGCTGTTGAAGAAACCATTGCTTGGTTGGACGACTCTCATGCTGCCTCTAAGGAAGAATACGACGAAAGACACAAGGAATTGGAGTCTGTTGCTAACCCTATCATCTCTAAGGCATACCAGGGTGCTGGTGGCGCTCCAGGTGGTGCTGCAGGTGCTGGTGGCTTCCCAGGTGCTGGTGGTTTCCCAGGCGGAAATGCTGGATCTGGCGGTGACTCCTCCGGCCCAACTGTTGAAGAGGTCGACTAAGTTCAAGGTGAATGTACTTTCTATATGGATTAAATAAATTTGGATTACTGTTAAAAAAAAAGGCGTTTGTAGTATTGAAAATCGTAGCAGTGATAAATTCTAACATTCGTCACTTTCTTGTTTCCAATAGTAAACTGGTGACTACCGAAAACAACCAGAATGCAATCAAGATGAATCCGACCCTACGGTCAAACATCCAGCCATTTCTAGGGAGATATGCAAAGATGAATAGCTGTGAAAAGAGTAAGGTTGAAAGATTAAGTTTCAACGTTGGAGAAAAATTCACTGGTATGGCAGATTCACCTTTTTCAGACATAACGATCAAAGAACTAAGTCCCAATGAACAGAGCGAGAGCAAAGGACCTCCAAAGCAGGCACTAAATGCCATAACTGGCATTCCCATTCTTGCAATCGTAAGGTTCGATACCAAGTCTCCAATGGAATTTCCTAAAGCAAATACTGTAGAACCAAGTATGTCATCGCTCAATTCTAACACAACTGCAACAGCTTTGATAACCGCGATAATCTCAGTAGCAAAGAAGGATATCCAAATTAAAGAGAGAACAAATCCCAAGAAGGATCCGAAGTAATTCCACATTCTAAACCTAATCAAATGACTCTTGAATCTTGGTGCCTTGTTAGGAATGAGCAAGCTCATAATGCATGACGTTGTCATGAAAGCAATCGAAAGAAACCAACTCTGTCCTAGGGTGTTAAAGAAGGTCACCACCAAGAGTAAAGTCCCCAATACCAATTGAATACGGAAAAGCCACACGTCTGCCTCGAAGTCAAAATCTTTGAAATCCTCCTCTGTGTCTGTCTGAGTAGTTAATTGGAATGTGAATGCATTGGTGGCTGTTGCAGAATGTTCTCCGTGTACAAGGGCAGACTCCCTGTTAGGAGTCGTTAATTTGAGTATTATATTAGCTGGCAAACAGATAATATTGGTCAAACGAGAGAGCCAGGATTCATCTTCGTCAAACAAGGGAATGAATTGCCTAATAAGACGGCCGAAAGTAAACTGAGGTTTAAACAACTGATTTGTGTCTCCCTGGACTTGTTCTGTCAGCTCGTGATTGAAAGATGAACCCTCGGCTTGAGATTCATCGTGAGGTCCGGTCACCGTGGTATCCAGTGCAGCAAGAGGACGCTCATCTAGTAATTGTAACCGGGGCAGATCTTTTATTTGGTGAATCGAATGTTTGCTCAATTCTCGAAGCAAAACTCGCATTCCGTATGATCCAGTTCCCACTGGCACTCGTTCTTCAGATCTTTCTAGTGGATGCACTTTCAAATACTCAACATATTCATGGCTAGCGTCTAAGTCTTCCCTCTCCATAGTGCTAAGGACATCAATGGAAGGTAGAGAAGAATGCTGATCAAAGTAAGACTGGTCCATTGTATCGTCTACCAAAACCAGCGCTTCATCATCATAGTGGCTCCTAATAACCGTATCATTTATATGCTTGCGAGAATTCTTTCGAACCCACGAATGGCTGTAAACGGCCACAATGACATAAATCACGTAAAGCAAGGTGAGAATAGTTGAGTTAACAACGTCGAATTGGCCAGCCACTAAAGAGAACCAAATTAGCACCGAAACTGTAGTGTAGAATGACACGTCTCGTATGAAATGGTATTTCGGAACTTTGAAAGGACTTACTATGCAAATGGATCCAACAACAACAGTTAAGATGAATAGAGCAGCACCAACCAACTCTGATACTGCAAGCCCTGTCGAGCCAATACTGAGAGCCTTATAGGTACCCAACACATCAGGCGATCCATTTCCGATTGCCAACAATGTCAATCCAGCAAGATTATCCGAGAGATCCAAGAACTTGGAAATTGAGTACAAGTTTGGACAGAGGAAGTCAGAAGCTGTGAGACCTAACGAAACAAAACTAAACACCAAGCTGGAAATGATAATAGTTGTGGAAAACGATGTTGACCTATTACAGTAATGTAACTCCAAATAGTTAACTAAACCGATATGGTGGTCTTCCGTATCACAGTGCAGCCTTATGAATTGGCATTGGTCTATCTTGGGAATTTTGTGGACATCCTCGCAGACTAAAGAGGAATTCCCGCTCTTTGATGCAATTTCTTGCAGCAAAGCTTCGGCATGTGATAGTAGAAGAGCTGAACATAAGAGTATATGCTGCAATCTCATGGTACTTAGTGAATGAAGTGGGTTCCAAATGGTTATTTATGTGCAGTGTTTTGGCAACGAACGAAGAGTAATGGTCAAAAGGGAATACATCAAGTCTATGAAATTTGAGTTTTCGTGCGTCTCTTTCAGTTTTAAATGACGGTTCAAATTAATTAAGGGATCTGGTAGCATAAATACATCCATGTGGAGAGTACTTTGGTTATAGAGATGGAGAGTCCAGATGTCAAACAACACGGAAACATGAACTACACTAAAGTCAACTTAAAGCTTATAAAATGTATAGCTAATCCTTGCAGCATTCCCCATACGGGCGCACGAAGGCAGTCCCTTAGGAATAACAAGTATTCACCGATGGAACGCTGCACCCAAGATTAACCGATTATTCTCCAGTCCACTGCAAGAGGCCGAAGCCAATACAACAATACCCCGATGGTCATGGGTCAGAACGCCACAAGGGTTCAACCTCAACGGGATGCTGTAGCGTTGTGAGTGGCTGTGAAATTTGCGTTAAAGAGAAATGATGTTTGGAATTTCGCGCTGAATATATAGTCATCTAGTGAGAGTCGGGTAACCTTTCGCTAGTATGGGCTTAATCAATGAAACTATTCATGGATACATAGAGATTACTCCAAAATGTTGATTTGCTTTTATAGTTTTATTTCATTAACTTTTCTCTCCTTTTTATACCTCACTTTCTGGCTCGATGTTCTCCGTGTCAGTGGGTGCAAAAACTTGTGTAATCTTGTTTCTTGGTCTTCTCTTTCTTCTTCTTTTTCTCTTTACTTTTTCACCATGGAAGAATTTTTGCTCTGTTGAAATATTCCAGAACGAGTTTGAAACTTCTTCCAATGGCTTTCTCTGTAGGAATGGTGACGTAATATCAATCTCCATTGATGTGGATAAAGGCATTGGGGTGGGTGGGGGTGCGGAAACATCAATGGTCGCTCGACTATCATCCTTGATAAAAGCTTCGTCACCAGATGTCGGATAGGTATTCGAAAGCTTGTGCTTCTTCGAGTCGCGTATCTTGCTTTTTAAGGTATCGATTTCTCCAAGTTTAGTGTTCACTACATCGTACAATTTCCAAACTTCTTCAATCTCCACCTTGCAAAGTGTAGGCTCTTTCACTCGGAACGAAAGTTGGGGTTTCTCCAATTCTGTTAGTTCCCTTTCCAATTCTTGATTGGTGTTACTCAATGTTGATAACATCTCAAACAAGAGTCTGAATAATTCACCCAAGTAATCTACGCCAGATCTTTTCCCGACCAATTTCTCGCAGTCCGCAAACACAGTTTGGTAATGCTGGAGAGTGAAGCACAAGTTCGCCAACTCCGCTTCCAATTTGGCTGACGTGCTCTTCTCGTGCTCTAAAATCTCGACTAGTTGTTGGTTCTGCATTCTATGTACAAATATTTCGTGATAGAGTGAATTGGTAGAAGTATCTGACGACGCTAGTATCGCGGGTTACATCTCTCACAAAGCCAGTATGTCAAGGCTTCTAGAAAAAGTACCATTTTTTCTTCTTTCTCTCGCCTTCCATTTCACTCATGAGCTCCTTGGCATACTGTCTATGTGTATCGAGCTCTCTCAACATTTCCTCTTCTCTCTGTTGCTGCATTCTTTGTGCCTCCAAGACGTGTCTTTCTGAAGGTCTATTCAAAGCGAATTCACCTTCCTTAGTTTTACGAATGCCCTCAGGTATGTAATCGGCATCACGCACGTTTTTGAGCACAATGTTAGCGCTCTTAGGATGATACAAATCATCAAACTCTTGGTCAGAGAGTCCAACTAATTTTTCTTTAATCAGAAGTCTGTAACGATAGAACTCTGACATAACATTTTCACTTCCATCATTCCAGCGATAGAAAAATGTGAAGTAGAAAATAATGGAGCCGGTTAAGAAACTTCCAAACCAACGAGTTCCAGTATTGAGACGCTGATTTGTGTCAACTTTTCTTAGAACCATGTACTGACCAGGGTATATCGAAGATTGTGGCCTTGGCATATAGTTGAGTCTTTTCATGGTCTCGTTGACCTTTTTGTATTGTGTTGGACTCTTTGGAATTGATGAGAAACCTTCTGGTGCTTGACCGGGAACCTTGAATTCTGAAGGATATCCCTCAGGGGGTCTCACATCGGTGGCATCGTAGGGATTATATGGAGCCTTCGGTGGAACCCAACCTTTGGGGTTCGGTCTTCTATTGAAGTCGTTGGACATGCCTTTCAGAGATGGGATTCAAATCACATTGATAATTTGAGCAAGTATACAGGCTAGACAGTGTTGGTGATTTCCAAAACTGCTAAGTTGACAGCCATGCATGATTGAAGCAATGGCCCTAGTGATTTAACGAGAGCATATGATAGCTCTCTCTTTGTATCCTTCAAAATATTTTGAGGACCAACCGGAAACCCCTAACATTAACGATCATGGTGCTTCCGGTAAGCCATTGACCCCAATAGAAAAACAAAAAACGAGCAAAAAGTATAAGACATTACCACTGGATTAATGATCTTTCAGCAGTTTTATATTTGAAATTGGTTTACGAAAAACCTCTATCGTTTACTTCTTCCTGTCCACTTACGCCATCCTCTCTTCCCCACCTATCGCAACTTACTATCATGCACACTTTAAAAACATAACCGACCACGAGACACCCATAAAATACCAAATGGAAGCACTTGAGACTGTTCTCAAATTCTTCTCTCTCGAGACCCTTGATACCAGACTCAATCCTCCGCAAGATGAGGGGAGAAAGAAGCAGATTATCAATCGTGCCAACCCAACGTCTCGATGGTCAACCTTGGAGTTCAAGTTCTATCTCGTGGTGTTCGCTGTGATGGTACCGTTGATGTATAAGACAGCAATGGATGCTTCCAATGAGACAAACCCAAACTATCCTCGTTTTGAGCATCTTCTTTCACAAGGGTGGATGTTCGGGAGAAAGGTTGACAACTCTGACCAACAATATAGCTTCTTTAGAAACAACTATTGGCTCTTGTGGGGACTTCTTGGTTGCCATGTCGGACTAAGAAAAGTTGTTTCAAGTATCACGCCACATAAGCGGACCACTTTTGACTTTGTGTTCGGTCTAATTTATCTCTTTGCTTTACATGGAACCAATGTGGTTAAGATTGCGTTCCACGTCTTCATTATGTATGCATTGGCAACCAGAATCCACAACTCGAGGGCGTCAAGGATCTGTTTATGGGTTTACGGTGTTCTGTCGCTTTTCATGAATGAGAGAATCCGCAATTTAACGTTTAGTATAGCCATGATTGACCAAGGGTTTCATGGAGTCATTTCCCGTTGGGATGTTTTCTACAATTTCACGTTGCTTCGGATGCTCTCCTTTGGATTGGACTATTTGGAACGCAAAGATAATCCCAAGTCACAAGTCCTGGTGATGCCAGATGACCTTGACGATCGTGCTAGACTAACAGCTCCCATTCCAATTGAAGAGTATTCGTTCTTCAACTATTTTTCATATTTGGGCTATGCGCCATTGTTTATTGGCGGGCCCATTATTACTTTCAACGACTATATTTATCAGTCCAACTATTTCCAGGCCAACTCCACAAAGAATGTGAAGCGAACTCTCATTTATGGTGCTAGACTTCTTTTCTGCATTTTGGTGATGGAGTTCCTTCTCCATTTCATGTATGTGGTTGCAGTATCCAAGACAAAGGCTTGGGATGGTGATACTCCATTTCAACTCTCGATGTTGGGCTTGTTCAACCTCAACATTATTTGGCTAAAGCTCTTGATCCCATGGCGACTCTTCAGATTCTGGAGTTTGCTGGATGGAGTTGACCCTCCAGAAAATATGATCCGCTGTATGGACAATAATTATCTGGCTTTGGCGTTTTGGAGGGGCTGGCATCGTTCTTACAATAGATGGGTGGTGCGCTATATATATGTTCCATTAGGTGGCGGTGGTGGCCCAAATGGAGGTGGAGGATATGCAACAAGAATCGCCAATTCTCTTTTAGTCTTCAGTTTTGTCGCTGTATGGCATGATATTGAGTTGAAACTTTTGATGTGGGGTTGGCTCGTCGTCTTGTTTCTCCTTCCCGAGATCTTTGCTACTATGTATTTCCGCAGGTATGCTGGCCAGCCATGGTTCCGCCATTTGTGTGGAATAGGCGCTGTTTGCAATATCTGGATGATGATGTTGGCTAACTTGTTCGGTTTCTGTTTAGGTAAGGATGGCACTATGGCTCTATTGAACGAGATGTTTAGAACGGCTCAAGGTTTCAAGTTTTTTATTCTCGCTTCGGCAACACTCTATGTTGGAGTACAAGTCATGTTTGAACTCCGTGAGGCTGAGAAACGAAGGGGAGTTGATGTGAAGTGTTAGAGTAATCTGAAACATAACTAGTGTTTTGGTATTTCGATGTATTACCGATTAGCATCACCATTCATAATAGAAGGTAGAGATGATACAATTGATATCTTAGTTTGGCATGTTAGGCATTGTGAGCTCTTATCTGCACATCTGGATCTTCAAATCATGTATTCATCCCCATGAGTCCTCCAACACCTGTTCTTGCTGGGACAGAAGTCCGCCGCATTTATTCAGAACAACTAAATAATCCAGAGAAATTCGAATGTTCTCTTAAGTCTCTCTCACAAAATGAGTGCACCTTTGTTGTCTCTCCTGATAGTTCTGTCATCCAACAAACGATATGCATACCATTTAAACGGCTTTTCCAAAGATGTTTAGTTCCCTATGTGAGGACTGTCGATGGGAAGAAGCATACTGGAAGGAAGTGGATAAACATTGAAGTCACAGACCTGGCTACTAATGATCAGAGGGCAAAATATGGTTCTGAGGTGGAAAGATTTTTGACTGCAGAACAAGAACTAACTAGATGGATGCAGAATCAAGTGGAGGAGAGATGACCAATATAGGTGACATAGCTTTATTATGATACTTTTTAAGTAATGAATTATGATCATCAAAATATTCTAAATCGTACATTATGCGAGTAAACAAGTATTCAGGGTAAGGAAGGTGCCATGATTCAAGTATTTGAAAGACGGAATCATAGCACCTATAATGACAATTTCGCACTTCTCAAAGACGATTCCCATTAGAGATTCCTTTCAAGTGCTAGATTAATATGTGGACCCTTCTGGGGGCTGTGTCAACTTCTTGTTCGATGCGGACGCCATGGACTTACGCAATTCTAAGAGAACTGTCTCCATCGTGTATGAGCGCTTCCAGTTTTTCAAAGTGTCGAACTCGTTAACCAAAACGTTGCCGCTGGCATCTACACAAGGAAGATTGATCTTGGATACAAAAGTGACTTGGGGTGGTAGATCTGGGTACTTAGGGCCACAAACGATATTCAAGGAGTAAATTCTGTTCTCGTGAGACGAGTGTGGGGGGCCCAAAATGGTACCATTCCAGTTCGTCATAGTGATGTCGTCTTGGTTTGTCAATCCATATGAAATCGATTGAGCACCCAACCCTTTTTCACCTTTTTCCAACTCCTCAAGCAACTTAAAGTTTCTAGGTCTGTAGCGGTGTTAGCACTTTAAAATATTTGATTCGAGCTATGAAGAGGAAGCTTACGTACATTTTTGACATTATGTGAAATGAAGAATGGGTCGTCTGATCCTTAGTGTGGAGGTCAGGTCTTCTTGGAGCCCAGGATGTACGGGTGTTGTGTTACACAACATCAATGCATATACTGAGTAATAAATATGTGTACCCTACTCCTTTGAAAATGACAGGTCAATATTTATGAATTGTAGTTCCTCTTGCTTATTCCCTTTCTTGAATCGGTTTGAATATTGATTATTGCTTTGTTCACCAAAATCATGACCAACTAAGTATATATGTGCTAAGGCAACGTTCAAGTCGAACTAGCAAAAATGAAGCCAAAATTCTACTCATGGATACCTATTGCTATTGCCGACCGCATGCAACTCTTCAAATGTTCATTTCATTGTGGCTAGTGTATGTCGTGAATACCACGTGTAGTTGTACTTGCCATTTTCTCGCAACGCTATGACAATTTATCGATAATCAGCTTGGTTTTTTTTTTGTTCTATCTCTTATATAATGTAAACATTCAAACGATTTTCAATAATAGGGAGTGTTCAGTCAACATTCATTCACGAACTCTTCAAACGGAACATGCTAAACAAAACGGAGTGCATGTTGTGTGTCAATGATATGAAGAATATCTCCAATAACTACGCCAACATATGACAGAACGGAGCCTGCTGCCATTTCTCGAGCAGCCCAGTCGGATAGACGGAGATAATAGGGCTTCTAAGGAAAAGCTAGCTCGAATTGAGTACGAGCTATCAACATTAAAGACTGAAAAACGATTACTTCAACAAAGTAAAGACGCCGCTATAGGAAGATACGAAGAACTCTTAGCAAAGAAGAATGACGAACTACTGCACCTCCAGAACAATTTTGACTACTTGTTTAATCAAAGAAAGGATCTTCAGTCTAAATTGCTCAATCAGAAAGAAGTAGCTAGCGCAAGCTCTAGCACTTTGAACTCAGAACTCAAAAGTCTAGCAACTGAAAACAAAGCGTTGAGAGGAAAATTGGAGAAATATGAAAGACAATTCAATAGCATTTCAGGGAAATGTGACCATCTCAGAGCAGATTTAAATCGAGAACTTCAGTCCAATGACCAGTTTAGAGACCGAATTAAGGAAATGAAGGATGAGAATCATCGTTTAACTAAACTCAACGACGATATTTTGGAAAGAATGAAAGCTCTTTCCGGGCAACTAGAGAGTAATAACTCTTTCAATAACTATGAGGATTTGCAGTTACGGCTTGTATCACTCCAGAAAACCAATAATCAACTTCAATTCCGAGTGGACTCCCTCTTACAACAGAAAACGAGTATCGAGCTTTTGAAACAGAAAAATGCATCTCTTGAGTCTAAGATCTCGAAATTAGAACGAGCAGAGGAAAAAGCTGAACTTTTGCAGTTGGAAAATTTAGAACTTCGGACTAAGTTTGACGAGTATTTTGGTGTTATTTCAACTAGTGTTCAGTCCAATAACTCGGAAAGTACTGATGATTCTGTGCTCAAATTTGTTGAGACTTTCAAGGAACTTCAGAACAAAAATCTTGTCTTATTTGAAAAGCTAAGCGAAGTTGAATCAAATGTGAGCAGATTAGAAGATACCAATCTAAGATTGCAGGACGAAATCAACCAGGAATTGAAACCAAAACTTGAGAATCTGCAGAATATGGTTATACAACAAGAAAATGAAATCAAGGAGCTTAAGAAACAAAAAGTACTCAACTCAAAGGAGATAGAGTTCTTACGTAACTCATTGAAGAGCTTGGATAGTGTCACTGCGCATATTCAGGCAACCAAAATCTCAGCAGGAACAGATGGGTCTTCTAAGGAGACTGAAGCTCGAAGACAGGCAACTAACCAATATCTTTCCAATTTGGAGAAGTTGGTGGACGATTATAAGAAAGAAGTTGAGACCTTACGGAGAAATTCAACATTACCACAGTCAGTTATCACTCCAGCAAAGCGACCCAGATTGATTGATGAGGATGACACCAAGACTAGGGCTGCAATTGCCTTGCGTAATGAGAACCTTGAACTACTTGCTGAGATTAGAAATCTCAAAGACAAATTGAATCTTGTGACCAAAAAGCTCAAACTCGCAGAGAAATCTACAGACTCTACTAATCATATTTTAGAACTTCGCTCTAATCCGTTCTCAAAAGACCAAGCTATCAAACAGGAAACCTTAAATCGTCTTCAAGATGAGAACCGTTCATTAATCGCAAAATACGTGGAGAGTCGTAATGTGGAATCTGTTCCGAGAGCTGTTTTTGCAAGACAAGAGAATGACAAGGATGTCTTACAAGCTAAGATCGACCATCTTACAAAACGGATAGATCGACTCAGTTCAGTTTATGCTGAAAAGAGTAAAGAGATTATCGCTGTCATATCCAGATATTTCGGTTACAAGATTGAATTCATCCTGAGTCCTTTGAACCCTAATGAGATGTGTTCAAAGATAAAATTAGTTTCTAAGTACACCACACGAAAAGACTTGGGGGTTTCACCGCCATATCTCACGTTAGATGTCCATAACAAATCTTTGAAAGCAAATGGAACCTACGAATTCAAAGCAATGTGTGAAGAATTGGTGAATCAATGGGTTAACGAGAAGAACCAGATTCCGTGCTTCTTGAGCGCTCTCAATCTCAAAATCTATAATGAGTATTTTGTCAAATCGTCGAATTAGTACACACTGACCTAAATAGTGCTTTCAAGCAACTTTTGAGACACCAATTCAATTATTTGAGAAGGCGATTTGTCTAAATTCCGATGGTCCTCGACAACTGAATGCCACACATCTCCCCTATCAATTTCATCGTACCTGTTTATCAACATATTCAATACCTGCTCCTTTTCCGCCTCTATTCCATTCTTGCATGCAAAGCAGTAAGACCAACTCCACGCATCTCCGTTCCTCGAGTCTGCGCTGGTTGCTCTGTCAAACCAGGTTTTGGCTTTCATGAACTTGCCTTCCATCCAAAAAAATACTCCGATACCTAACAAAATCTGAGTATTGTTATTAGTCAGCCGTAAAGCATCTAGAAATGCATTCTTTCGGTGTGAAGGTTTCTGAATCGTAGACAAATTCTGCAACCAGATGTTCGGTGAGGTCGGAAATTGTTTCAAGCATTTGGAAATCAATTGTCTTGCAGAAATCATATCTCTTTGATCGATCTCGAGGGAGATCTTTTTCTTCCATAGAATATCGCTATCTGGAATCTTAAGAATAGCCGTATCCAACAATGATCTCACTCTAGCAACGGCACCAAGACCAATGTCTATGTCTGCTAGTGCACACCAAATTTCAACGGAAGACGGGCACTTGCGAGAACCAACCAAGAGAGCTTCACGAGCTGCTTTTGCATCATTGGAATCCACTAACAATTGAGATCGTTGAAGATATAATTCCACATATTCTGGAAATATGTCGATAGCCGTAGCAGATAACCTGAAGAGTTCTTCTGAAGACACAAAATCCATACTTCGGGATAGACAAAATCTAATAAGGTGTATGAACTCATACCATAACTTTGGAGAAAGCTCCTCGTTGTCTGTGAGAGCTTCTTTTAATATTTGGTAGGCGTTTTTATAGTTCGAGCTTTTTACTTCGAGTTTGACTCGCGCTAACCAGATTTTCTCGCTTCGAGGTAGTTCGCGACTTCCATCTTTCAAAATCCTCCTTGCATTCTTGACATCATTGGAAACGATCCATTTATCCTTCGCGAACATCAAAGGAAATAGTTCCACTTCTGGGTTCAACTTCACAGCCTGCTCATAAAACTTGTAAAGCAGATCTTCTTCCTTCTTTATCAGTCTCAAAGAATTTAATAACCTCACCCAAGATCCGATATCGTGAGGATTTTCTTTGATAATTTGTTGGTAAATGTACAGCGAAGTTCGACCAGACCGTTCTTCCGCGTACAGAATCAAAGTCGCAAGTTTATCAACGTCGGGAACAAAAAGGCACGCACACTCCACTAAAGCTTGACATGTTCTATCGAAATCTTCTGCTTCCGCTTCCGAACTCTCATTGAGCCATGATTCAATGTCGCAGGTTGCATCGTTTTTTTGAAGCTCGGAAATTCCTTTCTTCAACATCAGCACAAGTTTCAGTACCGGAACATTTGGATTTTCTCTCTCTTCAACTTTCAATGCAGTAATCCAGACCTTGTGCTCTTTGGGAAGATGTCTTCGTACTTTGTTCAAGGATGCTTTTGCCTCAACGTAAGTTGACAAATTTATCAAATTGAGCCATAAATCCCAGTCATGCCGACAAATATCGGTAGCCCTTTTAAGCAACATAACTTTTTCTGTGGCACCTTCCTCTAGATCAACAAGAGCTTTCCAGAGGGTTGAGTTTCCTGGTAAATATTCGAGTGCCCTCATTAAAATCTTTTTCTTCGAGACAGTATCAGCTGGGCTCTCAAGGTCCACCCCTAGGAGCCACAATTTTTCAGAGCCTGAATTAAGTCTTAGCGCCTCGCTCAATAAAGCTTTACACTTTTTTATACCCTCGTCTGATCTACGGTGAATTCTAATACTTTCTTCCCATATAGCAGCATTATGAGGGAGCTTTGTACACCCTTCTTGAATTAACGATTTTGCACTATCAAAATTTTTAGCCTGCTCCTCTAATCGTGCTGAGGCAATCCAAGAGTCTGCTTTATAGGGTTCTGTACGTCGTAGTGAGGCAAAAATCAGTCTGCTCTTTTCCACATTGGCAACTTTTCCAAAAGATTCTTCCCATTGCTCAATGTCAGCAATTTTAACACTTGAACTATTCTCGGATGCGAGTTCTTGCGAGGTTTGCAGCAATCCTTGTTTCAATCCTTGTCCAGCAGAAGCAATTAGCATATCAGGAGCAGCGTAAGTTCTTTGTACTTGCTGATTTAAGATTCTCTGCCGTTTGTTTCTTCTTGTTATGTCGCCAACATCGGGTAAGTTGGCCCATTCATCCATACTTACACTCGCCAATTCTCTTTTGTAAAGAGAAAATTCCTTCTTGATTATTCCATTCCCCGCCTCTATTTCGACCACTCCGCTCTCAACCTCTTTGATTTGATGTGGTTTTCGTTGTAATCTCAGATCTATTTCTTCGTATATGCGATCTGCTTCTTCATCTTCATTTGTTCTGTTAAAAACTTTCGAGAGAATTCCCTCATCAGAATCACCAACTTCGTTGGAGTTGTCCTCATTACCATAAACTGATTCAAATCTCACCCGTGCAGTATCTGCACTTGTTGTAAATCCAGTAGCACCACGTCCAATACCAGCAACATAGCCAGGAGGTGGTTCTTGATCAAGGAATGCTTTCCTGTCCATGACTTACAGTGTTCTGTTGTAAGACACAGAAAATTGTACTACGAACACCTGTACCTCTCAAATGTGCCCGAGGGATCCCAAGCGCAAAAAGGGATCAAAAACTACTTTCATGAAACTCAAGTTTCAATCTGCAGATGTAGTTAGAGATTTTCAAAAGTCCTTCAGTGTCCGAATTTTAGTGGTTCGTTTTAGAAAGTTTGCAACAATCACAATAGCCCACGTGATATTTACTGCATATAATCTCTTATTTTCAAACCATCTCATCTCTGGTTCTTCTTCCAACATTTTATACTCCACTGAATTATGGGTAAAAGATCTGCAGAAGACGACGGCAGCGTTGAGGCCAGGGGCATTGCAAAGACAGAAGTTGGGGCCGTACCTTCAAGTCTCGGTGGTGAGGACGTTTCTAATGACGACGAAATGGGGGAATTTGAAGATCCATATGGAGATGACTTCGAAAGTGAGGGAGAAATCATTGAATTGGATTCTGACAATGAGGAGGACAGCGAAATGAATGTTGAATCTATGGATACGAAGATTGAGGAAATTGAGAAAAAGGAAGAAGAAGAGCCACAATCCACTTTGTACTTGCCACATAGATCCAAACCATTAGGCCCGGATGAAGTTCTTGAAGCCGATCCAACCGTTTATGAAATGTTACACAATGTTAACTTGCCTTGGCCGTGTTTAACCCTCGATATCTTGCCAGACAACTTGGGCAATGAGAGAAGAACATATCCAGCATCATTGTACTTAACGACAGCCACCCAGGCTTCTAAAGCTAAGGACAATCAGTTAATCACGATGAAATTACTGTCCTTGGCAAAAACACTCGTCAAGGATGATGGTGATGAAGATTCTGACGATGATGACGAAGAAGATGTTGACCCTGTTATGGTGTCCGAGACCATGCCACTTAAATCAACCACCAATAGAATTCGTGTTTCTCCGCATGCGCAATCAACTGGTGAATACTTGACTGCACTTCTGGAAGAAAATGGTGAAGTGCTCATTTATGATCAATCTGCACAATTCACTTCATTTGACACCCCGGGTTTTGTTATGCCTAAGACGGCAAAGAAACCCATTCATACCATTCGTACACATGGCAACGTCGAGGGTTACGGTTTAGATTGGTCTCCTTTAATTAATACTGGTGCTTTATTGACTGGTGACTGCCTGGGCAGAATCCACTTGACATCGCGCACAACCTCAAGTTGGGTGACTGACAAAACACCATTCTTTGCATCTCAGTCTTCGATCGAGGATATTCAGTGGTCCACAAGTGAGAACACTGTTTTTGCAACCGCTGGATGCGATGGATATGTTAGAATCTGGGACACAAGGTCCAAGAAGCACAAACCGGTCATTTCTGTTGCAGCATCGAAGACTGATGTTAACGTAATTTCATGGAGTGACAAGATTAATCATTTATTGGCCTCAGGTCATGACGATGGTAGTTGGGGAGTGTGGGACTTGCGTAGTTTCAATGGAAAGGATCAGCCGACCCCAGTTGCGAACTACGACTTTCACAAGTCTGCGGTTACTTCGATTGCATTCAACCCGTTGGACGAATCTATTATTGCAGTTTCGTCTGAAGACAACACTGTCACCTTGTGGGACTTGGCCGTGGAAGCAGATGATGATGAAATTTCTCAGCAGAGAAAGGAAGCACACGAGTTGCAAGACATACCTCCTCAGTTGTTATTTGTCCACTGGCAGAGAGATGTGAAGGACGTGAAATGGCATAGACAGATTCCTGGGTGCTTGGTATCCACCGGTGGAGATGGTTTGAACATTTGGAAAACGATTTCTGTGTAAAGGAAGAAGTTCAAAGATGTGTATTATGTCAAATGGGCACAATTCTTTCTTATATATACTCGAATATCAATAGTCAATAACTTGATTTTCGATTACCATGTTGCAATATTTGTAAAGGCAAGGCCAACTACTATTCCCATTTCACACTCGTTTATTAAATCATACAATTCGCACAAAATCCCAATCCTAGTGGACATAATTATATCAAAATTCGTTCTTTAAGGGGTTCACGAACTCCTGAAACATTGGGATTGACGTGATATCCATAAATTCTGCATGATTGGGGTGAGCAGGATTGCTTGCTGCTACTCCGTTAAAATGCGAGCTGTTTTCCAATGGAGACAGTATGTGATCCATTGAAATGCCCATCTGATTATTTAGAGCCGATATTGACGAGTTTGAAGTTTCCTCTGTGACTTTCCTTAGTTGAGGTTCCCCATTGATGTTTTTAAATTGAGCACCTTGCTCCAAAGCTGGAGAAAAAAAGCTTTGAGATTGATGGGGAGAACTTTCAGAAGATGATGCAGACTTTAAAGGCAACAATGGATGTTCTTTGTTCATCAAATTGCTGTTCTGGTTGTGGTGCAATTGTGAGTGAGATCTCGATAAAGAAGTCTTTCGCCTCGTTTGCAGCGGTTGTCTCGAAGGCAAGGAAGATTGAGGAGTGACATTCCCATGGCCAATACGAGAAGTATCATCGTAATCACTCAAAATAGAGAGCAGCTGCGCATCATTAAATAGGCTTGATGACTCGTAATAAGGGTGGTTGAAGTCGTCTGTGGAATTGTTCTCTGACAAGTGGAACGGAGGAAATGCTCCTGAACTTGCCAGTTTTGGTAAATTATGGTGTGTAGTAGCCGATGCTTCAAACAAGTTTTGCTTGCTTGTGTTTGACGATGTTGATGCAATCGATAAGACGCTCTCTGGTCTTCTTGGACGAGATGATTGTTGACTAATGCCAACATTGCCAAACGATGTAGACGCAGAAGCCTTCAAAGGTCGAGGATGTTGAGTATGACCAGCGGTAGTCATACCCGGGAGAGATGTGGTTGACTGGTGACTAATTCCAATACTAGAATGCACGAGCGAAGGGTTCCCGTGAAAGTTACTTGAACTACTACTTGAGTTCATTCTGGTGGCAACAAACAGTCTGTCATCATCTTTCGAACGGTGACCTTTCGAGTCCTGTGGTGGTCTTGTGCCGTTATTGCCGAGTGGATTATCGGAATTCGGCAATGGCAGTAATGGTAAAGACTTGCTATCGTCAAATGAACAGTTTCCGACTAGGGGAAAAAGAGGAAACATATTTTCAACGATATCCAAGTCAGAGTCAGATGGAGGATTTGGAAATTGATTGAGCGCTTGAAGTTGCTGTGGATGTAAGGGCTTGCTATCAAACAAACCGTCGATAGATCTGTAATTGCCTCTCGCATTCATGCTTCCCGCGCTGTATTGATCACTTTCAGATTGATCTTGCAGTTGATTTGAGAAATAGCCCAAAAGTCCTTGCTCTGTGTCAAAAGGCATCACCACATCTTCGACTAGGTAATTCGCACCTATGGCAGAACCTGGTGGTTCCAAGTGCTTCTCCTCTCCGAATACATCCTTTTCGAAGCCAACATTTGAAATGCTTTCGGCAATTTTCTTCTCCTTCTTAATAGCCGCAGAAGATTTCTTTTCTTTGACAGGGCAGGTGCAGTGGGAGTTCTTATGACAAAAACAAGATGCTAAGTGCTGCCCTGGAGATTTTCCCATCTTTCCGCAACTACATGAAGAGTGCGTGTTTTTCAATTTTCTCTGTTCTCGACAATGAGGACATTGAGAAGCGGGTCTGCCTTTGGGCTTGATCATGGTCAAAGGTTTATCAGTATGAGTACATGAACTAACACGATGGCCACGGATGCACCGTTCACATGCGTATTTGACACCATTCAAAAGAACCATTTGAAAATTTGGCTTGAGATCTGAGTTTGCAAATGGTAACAGACAAACTTAGGAGGACCAGAGGTTCACCTTCGAATTCGGCTCGTTCTTTGTATTGAATCGCTGGTTGATCTCGAACAGCACAAAATGAGTTCTATGAAATAGAAACCAATCCAATGCAGCACCTAAATCCCAAGGTGAATGTTCTCTTCGGTAATTCAAAGCAAGTTTAAAGCTGAGTAACGTGAGATAGCGCTAAGGGGTGCTCACTACTTGTGGTCTCTCAGAAGGACCACTCGTGTAGCTGTGAGTACAAAAGTATCTCTTAAACAAAGGAAAGCCACACAAATAACTGAAAAAGCCCTGTGAGAAAAGTTATTTTGATGATTCTCTTGTTAACAATAATTAAAGTATCTTGAATAGTAATGTGGAAGGGCTAGAAAATTCTGGTGTCGTGTGATGCTCAAATGCGTCAACGGAATATATTAGTGAGAATTAAGAATACGAACTAGTTCAGTTTTATGAATACAAGTTCCTTGCGCGCTAAAGGACGTATGGCACACTCTGCTTCAAATTTCATCTCCTTATTGCTGAGTAACTACTCTCAGCTTGTGAGGCATGCTTTGATGTTCTAATTTGCGGGGCCCTGGTTAATTTTGTTCGGTTTTCCTGGGGACCTTGTATGTTCCAAACTCCAGCCTTCCACATCTTTATGCACACTGTTTCTAAGAATTGAAAGTAATCTTCGTAGTTATACGAAGATCACTTGCACTAAAACAAAATTCTACTGCCGTCATCCTGAAAATATTGCAAATTTTTAACATTGTAAAACTTGGGCATTAAGTAGTGTATCCCTGAATATTGCAAACTAAAGCATGCTGCATGTGATGATTTAGCTGGATCTCATCAAACTTGGGAAGGAATGTCAGAATTCTGAAGATGCAGACCTATCGTATCTTCTGAATAATTATTCTATATCATAATGTCAAACACTCGTGTATTGGTCACTTTGATGAAAATCGAATCCCTTTCAGGCTACCTAAAATGGTCTACAGAATTAGATTGCCCTCTATTGGACATTATCAAATGCAATAAAAGTTGGCGAAGGCTGAACCTGAAAATTGCATGGTCTCAATTCATCTATTAAAATAATTAAAAATTAGTTCTCTACCCCGGTCAAAGGTCGAATTTTATTTCTTACCATATTGGCTATTGCCATTGGTTACTTCAGTCCTTATCTTCATGCAGTAAAGCTCAACCCCCACATTTATATCTCCACTCCAAGTTGACGCACCTTCCGTTGTGAGTAATAATTTCCGAGGTAATCGTCGTTAGTAATATCTTCAAATCTTACTATATAGTTCAAGTATCGTATCCACGCTCGCTTTTCACTTCAGAGTGTGAGCTTTTTTTTCCTTTTTCAGCACAAGCTATCACTTCCCTATATTTTTATCATGTTATCCTTTGAAGAAGTTGCGAAGCACAACTCCAAGACTGATTGCTGGGTCATCATTCATGGAAAAGCATACGACGTAACGGACTTTCTCAACGAGCACCCTGGTGGAGCCGGGATCATATTAAAGTACGCAGGGAAAGATGCAACGAAGGCCTTTGATCCCATACATCCTGGTGACACCTTGACAAAGTACTTGCCAGAGAAGTACCATCTCGGTGCTGTTGAAAAGAAGGCTGCCGTCAAAAAGAATCCATCTTCTAAGCCTAAAGTTGAGGACGCTGCTGATTGCAACAAGTCAGGAACTGAACATGCTGACGTGGTAGACGAGTACGATGTGGAATATGACGAGCAAGAGGATAAAGCTCCGTTACCACTCGCGAAAGCAACTCAAGAGGAAGGAATGAATTTGGATGATGAAGAGGATGATGACCCACCTTCTCAACATGAGATCCAGCGAAGAAAGCTTCTCGAATTGAAACCGGAGATCGGCCAGATTTACAATTTGCACGATTTTGAGTATGTGGCCAAAAATACCATGGAAAAGACCGCTTGGGCATATTACTCTTCTGGTGCCGACGATGAGATTGCTTTGAGAAACAACCACTTATCTTACCAAAAGATTTATTTCAAACCGAAGGTTTTGGTCGATGTGTCTCTGATTGACTTGAGTACCACTATGTTGGGTACCAAAACCTCAGTTCCGTTCTACATCACTGCCACTGCATTGGGAAAACTTGGTCACGAAGATGGTGAGAAGGTCTTGACAAGAGCAGCTGCAAAGCAAGACGTAATTCAAATGATTCCTACTTTGGCTTCATGCTCTTTTGATGAAATCATGGATGCGGCTGGGCCGGGGCAGACTCAATGGTTCCAGTTATATGTTAATTCAGATAGGAAAATTACCCAGGAAATCGTTGAACATGCTGAAAAGAGAGGAATTAAAGGTTTGTTCATCACAGTTGACGCACCGCAGTTGGGTAGACGTGAGAAGGACATGAGACTGAAGAATATTGAAGATTTGAGTCATGTCCAAGGAGAAGGAGATGATGCTGATAGAAGTCAAGGTGCTGCAAGAGCCATTTCCTCCTTTATCGATACTTCTTTGAACTGGAAGGACCTCGAATGGTTCCGTTCGATTACCAAGATGCCAATTATCCTCAAGGGTGTCCAGTGTGTGGAAGACGCCTTAAAGGCTATCGAGTATGGTGTTGATGGTATAGTTTTATCTAACCATGGTGGTCGACAACTTGATTCGGTGAAAGCTCCAATTGAGAACTTGGCGGAGCTCGCACCATTGTTGAAGAACATGAATTTGAGTGACAAGATTGATATCTTCATAGACGGAGGAGTCAGGAGAGGAAGTGACGTGATAAAGGCAATTTCTTTAGGTGCCAAAGGTGTGGGAATTGGGCGCCCCTTTCTCTACGCTATGTCTACTTATGGTGTTGATGGAGTCTACAAAGCTATTCAAATACTTAAGGATGAGATGGTCATGAATATGAGATTGCTTGGGGCACCCTCGATCGATGTTTTGGACGACTCATTTGTTGACTTGAGCGCACTTAATCGGAGCATTCCAGATGACAGATTGTTCTCCTCTGTCTATGAACAGCTCGAGCTTCCAGAGTTCAAGTCCAAATTGTGATTGTGCTATATACAGAATAGTGCCCAATGTACACTCGATTCAAACATAATGTTCGAAACGCTTCTGAAACTATTTCAACGCAGCCAGTGTCTAAGAGGGTTTCCACATGGTTTCTCTTTACCAGTTTATCAGGGTTGCCAGTTATGTCTTGTAGAACTAATTCAATTTGCTCGTAACATTAGTTTTGGTCATTCTTAGAATTCACATTTGGCGTGTGTATAGTATTGACCTAGACGAGTAATTCACGTGACTAGAGTCGCGGTGTCCAAATTCTGGCGAGAAAAGCACTTCCAACGCAACAACTCGTACACGGTTTTCTTTTCTACCGATCTCGTGTATTGTTTAAGTTTCATCTCAGAAAGAACTTGTTGGAAGACAGAATACGTGCCTGAATTCATTTAGCAATTCTTAGGGCTTCTATTCTCTAGCTTTCTACTACATTTCCACTCCTACACTTTAACGGATCGAAGTAAAGTGTAGTCTGAGAAGGGGATTTTTGAGACATTTGGAAATTATTACTTGATCCAAACCGGGCCAAATATACATATCCTTGTATAAATTGCCGCCCTTCTAGAAGTCTGATTTACTTGATATTCCCGCTATGGCCTCCTTATATGATTCTGGAACGTATGTATTTTCGTGGATCGAGATCATTTCTTTCCCTTCTCTATTTAGTTAACTAACCAATAGCCGATGCTGGTATCCTGATGAAAAGCTTGGATGGGTTGGTGTAATTGTGAAATCCAACACTGAGAAGAATGGTAAACACGTCTTGGAGTTGGTCACAGAATCGGACGATTCTAATGTTTTCACTGTTGAAACAGATCACTTGAGTGAGGATAATAATGATTTACCGGCTTTGCGTAACCCTCCAATCTTAGAGGCCGCTGAGGATTTGACGTCATTATCTTATCTAAACGAGCCTGCTGTTTTGCATGCCATTAAGGTTCGGTACTCTCAGTTGAACATCTACACGTATTCGGGAATTGTTTTAATTGCCACTAACCCATTTCAGAAGGTTGACCAACTCTACTCTCAAGATATTGTTCAAGCTTACGCTGGTAAGAGAAGAGGTGAGTTAGATCCTCATCTCTTTGCTATTGCCGAAGATGCTTACCGATGCATGAAAGAAGATGGTAAAAACCAGACCATAGTTGTCAGTGGTGAATCAGGTGCTGGTAAGACTGTTTCTGCGAAGTATATCATGAGATATTTTGCTTCTGTTGAAGAAGAATCCGAGTTACAAAACAAGATCGGGACGGAGCACAAATCTGACATGTCAGATGTGGAAAGACAAATTTTGGCCACCAACCCTATTACAGAAGCATTTGGTAACGCAAAGACCACAAGGAATGACAACTCGTCAAGATTTGGAAAATACTTGGAGATTTTGTTTGATGAAAATACTTTGATCATCGGTGCCCGAGTAAGAACTTACTTATTGGAAAGATCCAGATTAGTATTTCAGCCAACAAATGAAAGAAACTATCACATCTTCTATCAGATGTTGGCGGGTATGACTGATGATGAAAAGTCGGCACTTGGTTTGACTACTGCTGAAGATTTCAAGTACACTAACCAAGGAGGTGCTGTGACTATTCCTGGTGTAAATGACGGGAAGGATTTCCTTCTAACAAACGAGTCCTTATCTTTAATTGGCATTGGAGATGAGAAACAGGCCGAAATTTATAAGATATTGGCGGCTCTATTGCACCTTGGTAATATTGAAATTTCGGCGACCAGAAATGATGCGCATTTGTCTTCGGATGAACCCAACTTGGTTAAAGCCTGCCAGCTATTGGGAATAGACGCTCCTGATTTTGCTAAATGGTGTGTCAAGAAACAAATTACAACTAGATCTGAGAAGATTATTAGTAATTTAAACCACAAGCAAGCTCTTGTGGCAAGAGATTCCTTTGCCAAGTATATTTACTCAGCACTTTTCGATTGGCTTGTTGACTATATCAATGTTGATTTATGTCCACCAGAAGTTGCTCAGAAAGTGAATTCTTTTATTGGAGTTTTGGATATCTATGGATTCGAACACTTCGAGAAGAATTCATTTGAGCAATTTTGTATCAACTACGCTAATGAGAAATTGCAACAGGAATTCAACCAGCATGTCTTCAAATTGGAGCAAGAAGAATATGTCAGAGAAGAGATCGAATGGTCCTTTATTGATTTTGCTGATAATCAACCATGTATTAATTTGATTGAGAACAGACTTGGAATATTATCTCTTTTGGACGAAGAGTCTAGATTACCTGCTGGAAATGACCAGTCGTGGATTGAAAAGATGTACCAAACTCTCGACAAGGAGCCTACAAATAAGGTTTTCAAGAAACCAAGATTTGGTCAGACGAAGTTCATTGTTAGTCATTATGCACTTGACGTGATCTATGACATTGATGGTTTTATCGAAAAGAACAGGGACACAGTTGGAGAAGGACACTTAGAAGTTTTAAAGAATAGTGAGAATGAATTGTTACAAAGTGTTTTGGCAGTCATTGATAAGAACTCTACTTCTATGGAAGCATCTAATTCCACTGCCTCTGGGAAGAAGTCCATTGCATCTAAAAAACCTACATTGGGTTCCATGTTCAAAAATTCTTTGATAGAACTCATGAAGACCATCGACACGACCAATGTCCATTACATTAGATGTATCAAGCCTAATGAGGAAAAGAAAGCTTGGGAGTTTGACTCTTTGATGGTCTTATCGCAGTTGAGAGCATGTGGTGTTTTAGAAACTATCAGAATCTCTTGTGCTGGCTTTCCTTCTCGTTGGACATACGTTGAATTTGCAGACAGATACCACATTCTAGTTCCTTCTGAAGATTGGATCAAGGTCATGAGCGGTGATACTACACAAGAATCTGTTTCTGGTCTATGTAACCAAATCTTGGATGAGAATATTCAAGACAAAAAGAAATATCAAATGGGAAACACCAAGATTTTCTTCAAGGCGGGTATGTTAGCTCAGTTCGAGAAATTGAGAGCTGATAAGTTGCATAAGTCGGCAGTGATGATTCAGAAGAATTTGAGAAAGATGTATTTCCGCAAACAGTACTTATCGATCCGCGAATCGCATATCAACTTGCAATCCCTCCTACGTGGATCCATAAGAAGAAGTGCAGTTCGAAAGGAGAGGGAGATCAAAGCTGCCACTAAGGTACAAACGGCAGTTAGAGGCTTTCTTGCAAGAAGACAATACAAACACACACAATCTTCCATTCTTACCTTACAAAGAGCGATCAGAGGATTTCAAGCCAGAAAAACTTTCCAAGAGTTGCGTCTTGAAAGATCGGCTACAGTTTTGCAAAAATCTTATAGAGCATTGGTTGCAAGGCGTCACTTCGCTTCTCAAAAGCGGTCCGCAATTGTAATTCAATCATTAATCAGAAGAAAGTTTGCACAAAGGGAATTGCAGCAATTGAGAGTTGATGCTAAATCCGTGAATCACCTAAAGGAAGTTTCTTACAAATTGGAAAATAAGGTGATAGAATTGACCCATTCTCTTACCAGCAAGATCCAGGATAATAAGAAGCTTGTCATTGAGATCACCAACCTCAAGGATTTGTTGGCACAATCTAGCACTGCGACAGAAACGTTGAAGACTAGAGAAGCTGAATTCAACAAGAAGTTAGATTCATCGAGCACTGAACACCATAAGGAGATCGAAAATTTGAATAAGGAGTTGGAGTCAATTAAGAACGAATATCAATCCGCTGAGTCAAAGATTGAGGAGTTGACTAAAGAGCAAGCTGATTTGAGACAACAGGTTCAGAAGAATATTGAAGAGCTCAATCAGGCGAAGGATGCTCTCGTTAAACGTGATACTATTGAAATCGATTTGAAATCTCATATTGAACAACTCAAGTCTGAGCTAGCTGCACTTCAATCTGAACACTTGGCGAAGAATGCAAAGGCACGGAATGTTAGCACCAAACGTCATAGTAGTGCCGCTGGTTGGACTAACCCATCCAATTTAGATCAACTGCAGAGGCCCGTTTCTGTTATAGCCGTCTCGAATGACGAATTCACTGACGTTGATGACATAAATGATGAATTGTTCAGATTATTGCGGGATGCCAGACAATTGCACAGGGAAATTGTTGACGGTTTATTGAAAGGCTTGAAAATCCCCCCAGCTGGCGTTGCTGCCGATTTGACGAGAAAAGAGGTCTTGTTCCCAGCTAGGATTATCATCATTATTCTATCAGATATGTGGAGACTTGGATTGACAAAAGAGAGCGAGGAGTTTTTGGGTGAAGTCTTGGCTGCTATTCAGCAGATTGTATCAACATTGAAGGACGACGACGTCATTCCTAACGGAGCTTTCTGGTTGTCCAATACTCATGAGTTGTATTCATTTGTATCATATGCTCAGCAGACAATTATTGCCAATGACACATTATCTCATGACATGAGTGAAGAAGAATTCGAAGAGTACCTAAAGTTGGTTGCAGTTGTTAAAGAAGATTTTGAATCACTTTCTTACAACATTTATAACATGTGGATGAAGAAAATGGAAAAGGATTTGGAAAAGAAAGCTGTTTCTGCTGTTGTTATTTCCCAGTCACTTCCTGGTTTCATGGCTCCAGAAAGTTCTCCATTTTTGGCAAAGGTGTTCTCACCAGGTGTCCAATACAAAATGGATGAAATTTTGTCTTTCTTTAATTCCGTCTATTGGTCGATGAAATCTTATTTCATTGAGGCTGAGGTTATCAATAGTGTCATTGTTGAGTTGTTAAGATTTGTCGATGCATTGTGTTTCAATGACTTAATTATGCGGCGTAACTTCTTATCTTGGAAGCGTGGTTTGCAATTGAACTATAATGTTACGCGACTTGAGGAATGGTGTAAAGGGCATGATATTCAAGAAGGTTCTGCGTATTTGAGTCATTTGCTTCAGGCCGCGAAGTTGTTACAGTTGCGTAAGAACACGCCTGAAGATATCGACATCATCTATGAGATTTGCTTTGCCTTAAAGCCAATTCAAATTCAGAAGTTAATATCCCAATATTTTGTTGCTGAATACGAGACACCAATCGCACCAGATGTGTTACAGGCTGTTGCTGACAAAGTAAAGAGTACAGACGGTTCGAACGATGATTTGTTTGAGGTTGTCGCTACTGACGGTCATTTCAACGATCCATTCAGAAATGTTAATTTGAGGCCATTCTCGAGGGTTGAGGCATATGTTCCGGCTTGGTTGAGCTTACCGGTTATAAGAAGAATTGTGGAATTGGTCGCTAAAAACGCATCAGTTCAAGAGGCCAGAATTTCCGAAAAGAGTTTCTCAAATGGCGAGATTACTCAAGATGTTCAGAAGGACCCTCGATCAGAAATGGCCTAGATACGCGCCTTTGTATTTATTGAATGTTAATAGTTATCTTTATTTGCACTTAATTAATACTTTTTCAATTTTTCAGCTTCCTTGGTTGTGCGTGTTTTCATTTGCAAAGCATGTAAACCCTTATTCTCAAATGGCGAGATTACTCAAGATGTTCAGAAGGACCCTCGATCAGAAATGGCCTAGATACGCGCCTTTGTATTTATTGAATGTTAATAGTTATCTTTATTTGCACTTAATTAATACTTTTTCAATTTTTCAGCTTCCTTGGTTGTGCGTGTTTTCATTTGCAAAGCATGTAAACCCTTATTCTCAAATTCATCGTTCAAAAGCTGGTACACCACTCTGTGCCTAGAGGGCATGTTCTTACCTTCAAAATTGTCGCTGACAACTTCAATTCTGAAGTGTGACTCGCGGATATTAGAAGCAGTTTGCATTGGCTTATGATGACTGTGCTTGTGAGAGTCATTGGCAATCTTCAAGTATGTTGGGTTCAAGGCGGATGTTATTTTGGCTATGATCAGCTCCTCAATAGGACCAATACTTTCCGAAGATCGAAGAATCACAGGAGATGACATATTTCTAAGCGGAAGAATCGTACTCAATTTACCAAAGTTTCTGAGCATATGAATTTAGAAGAGTTTGGAAGTTCGAAACTTCGATCCCGAGTAGGTTGCGACACATACAGGTTCATGATTTTATTGCAACATTTTCCAACTGTACAACTGACTCGAAAGCCTTTGGATTGTAGATCTGAATGGTTGTGAAATTTGACAAATTATTAATATCATCGAGTTATAAACTTAGGATATTTGACGGTACCGAATGAATCTCACTTATGCTTCGGAAAGATTGAGTGGGACGTTAGTCATGAACGTATAGGCTAAGAAAACAAAGGGAAAACTGGCATAGTTATTGAAGAGACTATGAAGAATAATCAACAGTAAAGGTAATATCGGTGAAGATGTGCTACAATACGTAACAGCAAATGGGAGCTGGGATTTCAGCGGTGAAAAATCGTTAATTTGTCCTTTCTTTGGGTAGACGATACTACAGATTCATTCTGAGTTGATTTCCGGGCCACAAGATTAGTTCGATCAGAGAACATCACGATAAATGCACCAGTTTTCCATACAGATGTAAATCCCTAGTATTTAGTCCGCTCGGGAAGCTGTTTGAGATAATGAATACACAAGAACCCCAACCTCTCTCTTAGGCCCTCAAGAGAAACGCACGCTTATCTCACACGAACTCTTTGCTGTTTTTGACTTCTCTGCTCTAACTTTGCTTGACGCTTGCTCTTTCCTCCCGTACCGCTGTCGCTGGTGGTGTCACTTGGACTATGTGGTTGAACATTTGATTTGCCTCCCATGAAAGACTTTGCAACTGAGGTAATCTTGTAGGCCAAAAAGCCTGGGACAATTAAAATGAGATACCACACTTTGTTCGAACCAAATAAAACCATTAATACATCGCAGATCCAAGTGATATAGATGCAATCAAACATATACTCAAATAACCCTGGACCTTTGATATTATCTCCACTTTTTAAGAGCTTAATCAGGCCAGTGACTGTATCCTTAGCATAGAGTGGTCTTCCACTTCTTTCCAACACCATTTCACACCCTAAAGCTGGAAGTGAAAGCAAAAAATACTTCCATTTACTTGCAGGTCTGTGGAGAACGAATAGGACCAAGATAACGACAAGATTGATTGTCAAAGAGATCAAGTGCAACTCTTTAAGTGTTTGGCTATTGGCCACTGCAGTTTTCTTGCTGCTTTGAGACGCCATTCGTGTGATAAGGCTTTCTTGAGACAAAGAAAATTCGGATGTGCGAACTTCCAGGTGCATTAAAGGACATTTCTCACTACAAACGTCAAATACAGTAGATTTTAACTTTTGGGCAATATCTTATATATCTTCCGCATTCTATTGATTTTTCTTGGTTCCGCTTGAGATCGGAACCCTGATTGGGCCAATGTATTTCATAATTGAGTTCTTGAAAGAAGTATAAAGTCCAACAATAGACAGTGGGATTGCAGGGTGGGAAAGAAATGTAAGTATCCGCATGTCAAACTGCTGCACAACTGTTCTAGTGTACTGACTGTCGTTGAATCTCAATTTGACGAAAACGATGGAAGCAGCCAAAGTCAACGCTTTCACAACAAAATGCAAGGGATTTCTGAAAATCAGAATCAAAAGTCCAGGAATAGTCCAAAAGAAATTGGAAATGATCATCAATTCTGCAGCAGAGGCGAAAAAAAGGGCCTGTTGGTTGTAGTTCGTCGTTATCGAAGTAATCCTCGAATTAATGGCCGCCTGAGAATCAATCGAAATCGGAAGGGCATCCAAAAGGTGACTTTGAAAGTAGGTTACTGAATGAAAAAAAGAAAAGATGACATATGAGTAAAGTGATCCGCTCAATGTTCCAATGATAAAGGATGACACGAACAACACTATGGCAAAAAGAAGATATTGAACATTCTCATCTTTCAAAATTTGATTGATGCTCGACTTCTTCACTTTGAAATGTACCTGCCTGACAACAATTCCATATGATACAAGTTCGAAGAAGAGTGTATATCTGTAGAACGAAATTGATTTTGCTTGACTGATGAAACCAAAAATAACGGAGAGGAAGAAACACAAAACACTCAAAACATGGCCCAAGTACCAATAAAACTGGAGCGTCTTTGTTAACGGAAAAACAACCAGTGAAAAGGTCTTAGCTTTAACTTGCTTGGTAGGTGGCATTAGTGGCGAAATAATCAAATGAGTTGAACATCTTCATCAATCTCCAATGTGCAGTTCGGTTCTGGGGAACACTTGCCACATTCAATATCTTCAACTTTTGCATAAATCGCTGTTGCAAATTCTTGTCTGGTGACTCGGGTTCTATCTCAATAGGTTTACGAAGATTAGCAATGTTGAATGTTTCATCATTTCACCTCAGCCAAGTAACTTGGTACTGTATATGCATTGAGTTGATTTGCTACGTGGATTATAATTGTAATCCTCCTTGAATCTTTCGTTATTAGTCTATTCCTCATTTGTTGAATAATGGATTTTTGTTTTTTCTTGATTGGCTGTACGTATTCTCATACTTATTAAATTGTTGGGTACTGTCTTACTAATCGCATAGTTAAAGAGATTGCAAGACCAATGGAACCAGGTGGAAACGTCCCTTGTTACTGCGGAAGATGTCATAATCAGTCGGCGTTTGGTGTTAAAACAAGTAATTGGGTTACATTGTTTTTTATCCCTGTTATTCCATATTATTTTGGAAAGAAAATCAAATGTAACATTTGTGGCGCTTCAGGAGATTTGGACTCTGAGGGCCAACGAAGACTAGAATCAGGACAGGCAATTGCTATAGGAGGGTAAAACACGAACCAGAATTTTTTAGACTCTGATGACCAATAAAGATCTCAAAGTTCTTCAAGTTATGAAGTTTGATTGTTGAAGAAGAGTTTGTTGAATCTAAATATGAATCATACATAACTACTTAAACGAATGCTTGAGCTCAATCCCTAGTCTAAGGACTTTGAGGTGGTTGCATGAAGTGTGATTTGATCAGACTCGCCTGATTAGTCACTCTGTGTGATAGAGTAAATTGAATATGCGTTCAGATCCATGATACTGTCAGACAAAAAAAAACATGAACTCAACTATTCAATAAGACGACTTCAATTCTTCAATTAAAAATCAAGAGCGAGCCTCTGAAGTGTAGTATGCCTGAGAAAAGGGAATTCTTTGAAAGCATTTTTACTTCCATTAGTGACCTCAGAAGTTGATCAACCTCATGGTGGAATAGCCAACACTCACAATTATTATGTATGCAATCACGGAGCTTGGCACTCCACGAGTAATGAAGGTATTTACCGTCAAGTATGGCTTGCCAAACTCATCCGTCATACAGATGGCTGTAACATTTGGGAAACCTGAAGTAGGTAGCCCCATGGCAGCAGAACAAAGCAAAGCACTGATCATGATAAGCAAACGTGGGTGAGGGTCGTCCATGCTACTTCCAATCTCTGCAACTAGGGGAACCACAATTAACGCAGCAACAGTATGACTTACAAACGTGGCCATAATCAAAATCAAAAGTCCAAACGTGAGAGATACTCCAAACAACGAAAAATCTTCTACCTCTCGTTGAATTGTAACAGCGATAGTTGAAAGTAGTCCCGATGATGCAACTGCTTTTCCTAGGGCCGTTCCACCCATAGCAAGCACAACAATATTCCAGGGGTAATTGTTGAAGTCTTCAGTAGACAACAAACCAGGCCCGAAGAAGAGAATGAGGGGAAGCAATGCAATTATGCCCATTTCACCAAATATTCCCTCTAATCTTGATGCAAAGCACCATAATAAAATTGTGCCAATTGAAACAGCAACAATATACCATTGGACCCTAGTGAATTTGTCATTTAGGGTTCTGATGGGAACAAGTTGAGTGTTTCTTGCATTGCAATTGAAAGTTATCAATAAAAAAACCCAAATAAGCAACAAACTGAGGATACAAACGGGAAGTGCGATAACAAACCATTGACCCCAAGATGGTGCAGGATCCATAGCACCAATTGCAATCATGTTCTGAGGCGATGCTATCGGTGAAGCCATACCTCCCACATTTGAAGCTAATGCAATTCCTAATATCAACGCATTAATGAAACGCGAATCCTTGGGAAGGGTTCGAAGTAATGGCTGAATCAATGAAAAGCATAAAACTGGCGCAGCTACGTTCGAAACCCACATCGAGGCAAACAATGCAATACTCATGATGGTCAATAAAACAACTGAGGGATTCGTACCTGCTTTCGATAATATCCAAGTAGACAACATCTTCGCAATGTTGTACTTGGTGAGTGATGCTGCAAGCGTGAAACCACCGAGTAAAAGTAAAATCACAGAATTCCACATGGTCGACAATATGTACTTCGATGAATCAACGGTACTCATTAATGAACCATCTGGGTTCTTAAGCACTCCAAAGTTGACAATTAAGAGTGGAATCACCAACGATGTTACAAATAAAGGAATTGTTTCCGTAGCCCATAAGAGGGATGCACACACAAGCAAAGCAAAGCAATTCTTTTGAGCTGTATCGCCAAAAGGAGAAAAGTTCATAAGTACAATAGTAACAGCAACAATGAGCGTGAATTTGAGCAATGTCGGACTTTGAAATGAAACCGTCAATGTTGAAGCAGATGATTCTCTCTCATCGTCCGACTTCTTTCCCTTCAAATGTTGAGCCGCCTGTGACTTCCGTTCTAACCCAATCATATCTCTCCAAACCGTATTACGCTCCCAAACGACATGTTCTCGTAAATGAATGGAAAGTTCGGATTTGGCAGCTTCCAAATCGTTTCCGTGATTGCAGATCACAGCATATACCTTTACTAGCGCCTCAAGTTTATCGTTAACGGTTTTCAATGTTGAAGGTTCGAAAATATAAGATCTTTCAGATAACTTTGACAAATATTCTTCTTTCAAATTAGAATTCAAAGACTTATCAAACTTTTTCAATGCCTTCTTGAAACCCGTCTGATTCAACTCGATGAAACTTTTGAGTTCGGATAATGTAGTATATAACCCGATAACTCGTTTTCTCAATAGAACTCTCGATTCTGACAATAGGAGAAGTTGTGGTGGAAGCATTGATGATGAATTTAAGTTTGATTCCCAGGCCGTCATACTCTTGGGCGTCCTTAAATATTCGTCAATAGACTTCGATTTTCTCAACCGTGAACCTTTAGGGCTCCCTCCTCTGTAATCACTAATATTGTCATTAGCCTCATCTTCCAATTCAGCCTCATCTTGAGTAATCTCAGTCTCTGGGTCTGTTGTTAAGGGGGCGTTGTCAACTGAAACATCAGAGTCTCTCTTTCCTCGAAAGTCACCAGTTGTATTAGCGCTTGCATTCAGTTTAAATTTGCGCAAGTCAAATCCTTGAAATGAATCACGATGCTCGCTGTTTGACATCAGGTCCAAATCATTCTCAAAGTCGTCAATGTCCTTAATAAGTTCGTCGATATTGTTATAGATATACCGTTCCTGTCCACGATAGAATTCATCTATCTTTTTAAGCTCGGAATCTAATGCTGCTATGAAAACAGTGGAGGGGTCACTTCCTTGAGCGACTTCGTTGGAAATCAAGTGGGCAGACTCCAAATCATCCTTCTGGCGTCTCAACGATTCCCTCTGCAATGAATAGATAAGCTTCTTTAAGGTGGTATATGAAATATATTTTGACGACCACTCAGGGACAGCATTAAACTGCAAAGAATGAGAAAATTTCATTATCTGATATCAAGTAAATAGGGGGTCTCTCTCTGACTTCTGGTGTTCTCACAAAAAGTTGTCGGAATATTTGGAACTTCGCACTGCTTTTCCCCATTCGTAATTTGTTAAGGGTACGTTTGCACAACAGACCGCCGAAGTCTGACTTTGAATTGATTTATTATCAATCATGTTTTACTTCACACGTGTAACAGAAAGAAAGAACTTCTTTCATGATTCGTAGTTAGTGGGTTTGGCCCTCACACTAGGTATATTTGGTGTTCACAAACAGATAGGCCAACGTCTATTCTCAAAGGGTTTTTAGAGCTTTCGACGTTCCACGGTCGTGTATTATGAATGTTAATTAGCCTTGCTGTCTACACTTCATTATCTGTATGTTGACTTTTTTTGGTCTTGTTTTTGAACTATTGGATTGCTACTTGCATAAGCTTATGAACAGAAACAACAAACAACAAGCATATTTAACTCGAGTCAGCGTAGCTTCGAATGTACTCCTACGGAGGCTACATGTGAACATTTGATGAACAATGTTGTTTTATTCAAATGATGGAAGTTGTGGAAACGGTATAAATTTACTCCTGTATGAACTCCATGATATGTTTCCACTTTCTAAATTACATCATGGAGCATGTTTGCGACATTCCGTCTACTCATTCTTAGAAAACCTTTGACCACCACCAAGAATCCGACCTTAGAGATTGGAAATCTTTATGGCCGGTCAACATTCTTAACATTAACAACCATTCTCACAGCGTTAACTGCTGGTATCCTATATTTTGTTCTCGTACCTTCGGTACCTACATCTAAACCGAAGATGTTTTCCAAGAGGCCCGATAAGTATACAGCCGGCCTCATAAACATGAGGAATGATTGTTTTGCAAATTCATCACTTCAGGCATATTCTTCTTTGCCGGGTTTGACAGAGTATTTGAACAAGTTTGTCGAAACTTACAAATTAATGATAACAGCCTCAGAGGGTTTAGAAGTCGAGCTTGACCAAATAATCTCCGGGGAGTCTTTGTCTGTGGGTGCTCATACCAAGTGCAACAAAGAAGCCAATGATTCGAAGAAGTCGGTTAAAGAGGGCCTCAAGATCACTCTTCATATTGCCTTGGCGAAGATTCTCAAGAATCTACAAGAGACTCAATTGACAACTAGAACAATATCTGTTTGGACTTTTCTCCATGAACTAGAGAGAATTTATAATGCAAAAATATCAAGGTCTCAACATGACGCTCACGAACTTACGCAGTTGATCAACGAGACTTTAGAAACTGAAAACGTTAACTGTTTCAAGGTATTGAAAGCATTAAAAGCTCACTTTCAAGCGATTGGTGAAATCCCTGAATGCTTGAAATATCTAGAGTTCCCTGAATTTCCTTTTAATGGGTTAATTCTTTCTCAAATGAAGTGTTTAGAGTGTTCGTCTGTTTCTAAGCCGGACATATCTCCATTTTTGATGTTAACACTTCATCTTCCACAAGAACCATCTACAAGTATCGAGGAATTATTAGATAAGAATGAATCTGAAACTATTACAGGTTATCAGTGTTTGAAATGTCGGATAACAAAAATTGTGGGAAATGAAGAATATTTCGCGAAGCAAGGCCGTTCAAATGAACATGAATTCCAAGAGAATATTGTCAAGTTGTCGGAATTGAGTAAAAATGAAAACTTATTCATCAATGAAGATTTGCCTACTGAACTTGAAAACTTTGTGAAGAACTATGAACGAGATGGAATTAGAATACGTGATGTAACCTCGACAGTATTTCGGAAGACTCAAATCTTGAAACCGCCAAAAGTATTTGGTATTCACTTGTCGCGGTCAGCATTCAATGGTGTGTCAATATCGAGGAATCCATGTCGAGTGGCATTCAATGACAAGCTAACGTTGTCAATTGATGAGGAGTATTTACCGGATCTCCACAAATTCGGACAAGATGGGGTTGATGAGGGACAAGGGTTGAGGTTTAATTCAAAGGTTCTTACTACAGATGCTGAAGATATGGAAGACGAGAATGTTCAAAGAGAAGATGTCGATGTGACGGGTGAAGAGACTGAGATTGAATCTGATGATAGGGATATTGCTGATTGGTCGGTTTCAGAGGGTGATCTGGTGGATACCGAGACTGCAAGTGTCTCTTCACTCAATACATTCCTGTCTCCGCCTGAAAACTCATCAAAGGCTGAAACTTTGCAGAATACTACGATTTCCAAAGATCAATCTATGAATCTTTTGAATCATTTCCGGCAGTTCACGTTCAGTGAAAACAACAACTACAAATATAGGCTTAGGGCTGCCATTAGACATCAGGGTTCACATACCCAAGGACACTACGAGTGCTACAAAAGAAAGCCTCTTTTTGTCAAGGACAATGATGGAAACATAATCAAGATTTGTCCCGAAATTGATACAAACAACTTGAAAGAGGTTGAGGACCTTAACCAAGCAATTAAAACCCCGGATAGGAAAAGGGCTCTGTCAGCATCTTCGGGTAACCTGCAAGATAGTGGTGATCTGCTGGAACGTGGAAATTTCCGCCGAAAGTTCTCTTCCATTATGGGGCGTAGACCATCTATCATCCAAGCAGACCCAATGGAAGCCAATGTTCAAGAAATCATCACTTCTGGATTGACTACCCCCGCAGAGGTTCTAGTAAACGATTATTTCCGTATTCCAACTGCAGATGAAGTGCTGACTCATCTTAACAAAAAGGTGGACCAGTCAACTAAAGTGAAGTTGAAGAAAATTCCTTCCATATTGAAGCATCCGTACTGGAGAATTGGTGATTCCCAAATTACAGAGGTTTCCCGCTCAGCGGTTATGTTAGAGACGACAAGCGTTTACATGTTATACTACGAGAGAAGCGATAGAAAACAAAGTTGATGATAGTTTTTACTTTGAGCATTCAATTATATTTTCAGTTATGCGAGTAGGTCTGCATTTGGATTTAAAAAAAGTAAATCTCACTTTGCCTGATCTGCCACCAAACCAGAAATCTTTGAGAGAGGATCATCTAAATAAATGTTTCCAAGTCCTAACTCTGTGCAAAGAGCCTCAACAAGTTCAAAATCCCTTGCGATCCCTTCTCGAGTTCGTGGTGAGCGTCAGAAAGTCGCGCTTGCTCCGGGCCATTCACCGTTAGATTGGGCAGCTCTAAACGCCAATACCCCAAGGCATGTCCTACGTGGACTTAAGCCTGACTCACCTCCTGCGCCTTTCGTAAGAATCACAAAGGAGGAACTCAAAAAGCACAGCTCCAAAACTGATTGCTGGACATGTATTAATGGACGAGTGTTTAACTTGACTCGCTATATTCATTTCCACCCAGGTGGGGTAGAAGAGATCATGAAATGTGCTGGAAAGGATGGAACAACATTGTTCAATAAATATCATAGTTGGGTTAACCCTGATAGACTTTTGGAGAACTGTATTGTCGGAGTTTTGATTTGAAGTGGTTATTTATTGTCTGAAGCAGACACAATTTTATTTAAATGCCAATCATGACTTTCCATAGGGATGTGATCGACAATCTGTTCTTGGAGACTCAAGCCTAAAAGGTAAGGAGTTCTTCCAAATTTTGAATTGAATGCTTGGAGAAATTCATCATAGTAACCAGCACCATGGCCCAAACGTTGGCCGGTTAGCGAGAATGCAACTCCTGGTACGATAAGCAAATCTAGCTGTCCAGATTCCATCGCATCTTCACCTTCTTGTGGCTCACGAAGATTGTATTTCCCAGAGGGCTTTAATGATAAAACACTCTCCATAGTTGGAAGTGATAAGAATCTAAGATGCCGCAATCTCCTGCCTTCCATCTTTGTGTCAACACATTTGGGAAGGAATACTTTCTTGTTAAGGTCAAAGCAAAGCTTTATTATGTCTTGAGTATGAATTTCCATTGTTGGCATATTCATGTATAGTCCAATTGAGTTAGCTTGTTGAAATTCCGGAGATTCTCGTAAACTCCGAAAAACTAAACTCGATTGGCGAGAAACGGACTCGGGTGTCAAATTGGCAAGCCTTGTCAGGACATGCTTACGAAGCGCCTTTTTGGTGATATTGGACATCTTCAGAGTAATTGGTTCTATTTTTTTTTTTAGTATAGAATTCCGTATACACCACCTGCCCTCACTAAACTAGACTCTAAGCCAGTTGTGTCGACTCTCACTGCAGTAGATAGTTCTCAACCTAGTCCTCAACATACGACTTCAACAAGAAGACAGTTTGTGCTCGTTTCTCCTGATATTCCAGTTCAGAGTATTAATTATTATAACAGTTGGGCTCCCAAGCTTTCTTGATTCGTGAATTTCATTTCCCTTCAACTCAACAAAGATTGCAGCAAGATTCATTGTCAATTATCAATGCCTAGTAACCATGTGGGTCTTGCTCGATAACCAAAGGCACAACGCTAAATATTAATTCCACGGCTGTTGCTAATCTTACCTCAAAGTATTTATGAGGCAAATAGGACCTTATCAATCGCCTTGAGTATGAAAACCAGCTCGATATGAGATGATGATTAGTGAGTAATAACAATAATAGTGGGGAATGAGGGTATCGAATCAGCCAAGTTAGTAAGTGCTGTCCTTAGTTATCAATGTAAATCGACTTTACAATAGTTTTTCGATAATAAGAGTTGAAAGTATATCAGACACCAGAGAATTTAACAACATCTTGGGTATAATAAATATACTTCCAAATTTTCTCAGCATGTTCGCCAATGTCAATGAATACAATTTTGCAGTTTGCACTAGTCTTCCGGAAAAAGTTGCGAATCTCAATTTTCATTTCATTTTCATTAACTAATTTGTTATGCAAGTTCACCGTAGAAAACTTATTATACTACTGTGTCAATCCTAATTTACACCAGCTGTTGATTGTTGAGCCCCTTACCTTGAGATTTAAAATGCCTGAAATACTATCTTGGCCAGGTCAACTACACCTTTCATTTCGACTAAATGTAATCGTGGGTTCGAGGCAATACATTGATGGAGTAGATTTTCGAAATCGCGACTTAACTAAAGTGCAAGAGCCAAGCTTCATCAGTTCAAAAATTTGACATCTTAACTTAGATTCTAATAGGATGCTTGAGATATTAAGCAACTTTCACAACCTTTTCATCAAATCTCACCGACTTTCGTCTCTCACCGTTGAAATCTATTGGACATTCCAAATCCAATTCTTCACTACCAATTTCTTTTGAAGCATTTTTGAGAAAGGTTCTGATCTCCTTTTGGTCATTCAAAGATTTTGTCGCGCTCGACTTCCGTCTTTGCTGAGCATTCAAGTCGTCTTTACACTTCCCACATTTACATAAGAAGCCCCAATTCACTCTAAGCTCCCTTAATCGTTGCTGCACCGTGTGAGATGGGTTAACGTATGATGTAGTGAGCTCTTCTCCTGATTTCAAATCTCTTTTTGCAAAGACTTTCAAACCTTCATATCGCTTCGAAGAAGTAACAACATTCGTGTTGGGCAGACAGTTGTGGTTCAAGTGAGACTGTAACAAATAGACACTGGAGTCAAGATTATTGATATTGTAAGTCCCCAACATGAACATAAACTCTTCATACAGAATACTTCCTTCTGATTTGGCTCTTGGAAATACCTCACAAAAAAGCTCGTAGCCCTTTCTCCAGAGTTGTTCTTGTTGCTCCTCAACAAATAAGGCACCACCTTGCATTGCATCGAATGCACCCGCAGCCGAGTTAAGCGCTTTGTATCTGACGCTTTGTGACACTCTCGCCATTGCACTGAACTGAAGATGTAATACTCCAGACTTGTCTAGCAAGCAGTTTGCATAGATAATCACTATAGCATACAATCCACTCCATTGTTCCTTGATGCAATATTCAGTCAATTGGGCAAAAGCAGTGGGATCGATGGCCCTAGTTAGAGACAGACTACCATGTAATGGGTGCTTTAATGACGAATGGAGCAACTGATTCTGTCTCTTGCAATCCAGTGAGCACCAGGTCTCCTGGCAAAAGTTGCAGTCCAAGCCCCTCAATACCGAAATGCCAGATTTTGTGCGAGATGAATCGTTCGCCAACTTTCCGCAGTAAGTACAAGCCTTGCCAGACCCAATAAGTTCAGTATGTGCAAGAGGAGGAATCAAAAAAAGAGGAAGCTCTTCCCACAACAATTCTCCTGCTTTAATGTTCACCTTGGCATACAATCCCTTTCCTCGTTTCTGAGTCATAACAAGATTAACCTTACTTGGCAAAATGACACTTGGTGTTTCAAGTGAGGTGATTTCTTTGGCATAAGTATACTGTTCCACATCTGAAACGGGAAGTAAGCCATAACTTTTAAGTAGGGTCTTCACTCGCTTCTCGGACACACTCCAATTGGAATGTTTCTTCTTTAATACCATGTGAAGCTTTGAAATTCCAAGAGATTCAGTCGATGGATCCTCTTTCCAGATTGCAATAATGCCATCTACAATTTGCCTTTCATGAGGAACAATCGACTCATTAGGGACTGGAACTTTGTCATTGATTGATACCACCTCTACGGCTTTATCGATTTCAGAAGTGTCGGAAGTCATCATTGAAGAGAACTGAAAACAAAATTTGATCTCAAGTGTCTACATTATCACGTGACATTACTACTTCTTAAAAAATGGCCCATTTACTAGCCTGAGTTTCATTGGCCTTCTTCGTCTCTCTGCCTGTGTTTTTAAGCGTAGCAAAACTATCAACCAACACTTTTCCTTTCTCAGATTCAATTACACTGTGTAGCTTGATTTCCTTTGTACTTTTATCACTCTTATCAACTTTTGTCTTCACAATAAAGAATTGGTTTGCAAACAGGGGTCGTTTGTAATTAATGCTCAAAGACTCGACCTTGAAGTCATCTTTCAAAGACGAAGTCGTGGCATTCGATAGAGAAGCATTTCGCTTGAAGGTTTCATTCAATAAGGTGGCAAGGATACCTCCATGGATGATGAAGGGATATCCACACAATTTATATCCCATATGCACAATCGTAACAGTTTCATCTGTTTCAATATTGTGAAAGATTAGTGGCTTGACAAGAATGCCTCCTGGTTTTGCCAATGTATGGTTAGCTAAACTAGGGATTTTGTATTCTTCTTGATTTGTGACTTTTACGTTCCTGTCTTGTCCGTCGAAAACATTTCTATCCAAATTCTCCCAAGAGCTCAATCTGACCCAATTTTTGGATGCTGGTGAGTGCATCATGCTTTGATACAATGGAAGACTTCTTAATTTGAAATCGAGCTGAATTGGTAGGAGTTCTCCTTCTGTATCAGTAGAGGTGTAATCAGAGTATATCTCGAAAAGAGATTCGGTATACGCCAAGTAACTGCCAGCCGCAAAGAATGTTAACGCTGCCTTCCAACTGAAAAACGTTCTCGAATATGCTCTCTTGGCCACGATAGGTGCATTGTATGAGAGGCGGGTGGCATAAGCACGATGAAACGGGCCCAGAGCCACGGTACGAGTGTGAATGAAAAGCATGCTCCACAATTCTCCACAATTAAATTCAAGATTTGATTTACGCCTTTTGAACTACACACGACCTGACATACCACTTTATGCTTGCTTTTAATTAGAATTCGCATGAATCCAATCGAACATCAGCAATGGAGAGTTTGTAGACCAAAGCTTCCACTGACTCTTAATTCATCCATGTGTAATTTGTACATAAATGGACTTACTCCCTAAATCCTCTAAGCATACTCTATCTCACAAATTACAATAACAGCGGTCGCATCAGAAAAAGTAGTTCATTGAATACCGACGATGGTGAGCAGCTTAATATTTTGGCAGAAGAATTGAATTCATTCAATCAAATTGAATCTTGCATTTTACGATGAATGCTAACAGACATTATATGCTGAAGAATGGTAGTCAGTTCTTCAGATCAAATAGGAAATACATGCTACCATCAGAATAGCAAATCAAAAATATTGAAGAGGGCAAAATTTGAAGCGTCCACCAAATTAAGTTTAGTTTCTTTGCTCCAAGACGATTCAAAATCAGAACAAGACTTGGAAGTATATGATAATTATAATTAAACTTGTGAGTACGTATGAAATTTTTACTTTTATACTTGTGAGTATGTATGAAATTTTTACTTTTTGGGATACTAATACTGATTCCACATTATATGCTATAATTATGTGATATAATAGGTTTTTATTAATAGCCTTACTCATTTAAAAACTGAGCTCAATTAATAGCTATTCTTACATTAAGTTTGACTTTATGAATAGGTTTCAGAAAATTCAATCCGCTTTTAACTGCTGCGGAGAAACAGAATACATTATACCAACTCATTCAATATATACCTCTCATTATGACCCCCACACCCAATATATTCTAATTCTGGAGGTCTAGGGATTTATTCGAGATTACTAGTCATAAAATCAAGAAAGTCTCTGAAGCTCCTTGAGGTACGTAATCATAATGGGCAATGAATGTAATTGTTTATTAACTTATGAGAATATGTAAGGGTTTAATATTTTCAAGGTTCCAAGTAATGTCATTATTACTGTAGGATCATAATTGTAATAGAGCGTAGAGAATGAGTAATTTGATTTCTTGTTTTTATATTGTGCCATTCTTTTTCTGTTTTCTTAATATCGCATACTTGGCTGGAACGGTACTAAAGTTGCCGTATCGCAGATGTGCTGAGACAATTTAAAACGAGCGAAATTGAATTCTGGTGATCAAAGCTCTCAAGATTTAGATAGGAAGTTTCTCTTTTGAGTCTTGTAAATTCATTCGCTTATTTTCATTTTTTTATCACTATTACCATGGAAGTACAGAAATTATTAGTTGCATTGGTATATTTTAAGGTTGTCATTAATGTACTAGATTGAAATAATGATTAGTGGGTGGGGTCTAGTATTGAGAATTTTGATAGTGGATAATTAACTTTAATTGATTGTTTCAGAAAGGACTTGATTGTTTCCTTATCCGTATGCTATTGTTTGCTGGTTGTTTAATAGCAAAATTTCAGATGCGAGAGAATAAACAGTAAGAACTACTAGCAAGAAGTTTTACGTGATGATTTTATGAGTGTCTATCGAGTGTGGGAACTTGGTTGGTTGCCACCAAGAAATCATGTCTCACTTCTACAGAAACTAATTTGTTTGCCATTGGCGACATGAATTGAATTGGAAGAATTTTTTATTTATCTTGTCAATATGGCTTAGAATATTTTCAATGAGCTGTAAGATCTTTTGCAACAGTTTTATATTAATGTTTGTCATCTGAGGCTATCACGCTATGATTTTTGTGAGCTAGCACTTTAGTAGTAATCTATTATTACTCATATGAAACATCTAACTGTTGATTCATACTATTGTTGGGAATTTTAGTTCACTGGAGATTTTTTAATATTAGAAAGCCTAATTTACCGTTTTTGCTTTTTGCTTCTTTTTGAAGTTGGGCAAACCTTTATTCGAGAAGAATTTTCAAAGTGTGTATTAAACGCCCTGTGTATAATCTTATCAAAGAAGTTGATGCGTACACGACTTATTGAAATGCAAGGTGTGATCATGTGGGTGGGAGAGAAGACAGGTTTGAAATAAGATAAACAATCATGAAAGTAAGTTCCGCAATTACAGCTGATTATCTCCTCATACTAACTGGACAGTTCATTGATGAAGTGGATATCGAGTTGGTGAATCAAGAATTGAATTTTCATTCCCCAGATAACAACCTTGTGATCAAGGGTGGATGTGACCTTTTCACAACCAAGCCAATAGGAACGGACAAGAAACTTTTCCGAACTATTGACAAGCACTTGGATCAAATAATGGAAGATAATCAATTATCACAATCGATTGAGAGGGATCGTCAACATTCCATTAATTCGTTGTTAGGAAGCAGCGCTTCTCCTCTCCAATCTCATTTTGTGAGACGTGGAAGTTTTGTCAATGATAAGGACCGAAGGCCAAGCAATTCGCTGTTGACATTCAATAAGAACGAAGTGGTTTCCTTTCCCAACTCGATTGGCACTTCCAATCTTTCACTGTCGTTGCTTGATGACCAGTACGAAGAAGTCTCGACTGAGGAATCACCTTTTGGCCCATTGAAGAATTCTTCAACTAGAAGAAAGTTTGCATACTTGATTGCTGTTCTTAATACAACTTATCCTGACCATGATTTCAGCAATTTACAACCAACAACAGAGAATTTTCACAAAGTTGAATCTCCAGAAGTGTTGATCAATCGATTTAATAACATCATGGTTTCTCTTGGTAAGAGAGAAGATTTGCTAAGTTGGATTTGGGACATTGTCAATGTTTATATGGATATGATTCCGCCTAGGTCGCAGAACCTCGCTTCATCGAACTCAAGGAAGAATAGTGTGATCAACAGCCCAATTGCAACGTCACCTAAGACTGAGCAGCATCCCAGTTCAGTGGATCATTGCTGCAAGATTTATGAATTCCAACCTTCCGATCAATCAATTTTGGAAGATTTAAACCATCCTTATCAAACTATGTGGTCGTATTATTGGTTCATTTACAACAAGAAGAAGAAAAGAGTCTGTTTTCTTTATCTTACTGCGATCAATAGAGTTCACTTTTCACAGGTTAGGAACAACGGGGAGCGCATAAGTGGAAATGAAAAGGCAGATGAAAATAGAGAGAAAAATTTCGACGAACCTTACAGCGACTATTACATGGATGATGACATGGACAATGACAGAAGTGATGCTGATATTATTGGGGACATGGAAATGTAGGTTCAATTCGGATTCCGCAGGTCCGGTGCTAAAGAAGAGATCTAATGTACGATTCCGTGGTGATGACTTAAGACACAGAAGTGACTTCTTCATTTTTAATGTAGATACTGTAGTTCTGAAGTTCTGAAGTTTGCTGAAGTTTATTAGCAGTAGTTCCTTTGGGATTCCCCGAGGGTCGGCGATCACAATCAATTTAACCCCGGATTTCGCGCTTAGGATCGGACAATAAAGAGGGGCAACAATTCTACTCTTTTTAGTCTTACCAAATATGCGTTTCATCAATTTATTAATTGGTTTTTCAGTGACTTCAGACGCTCTCAGTCTTGTAAATATTGTTGAAGACAGCTCAAATGTTCCGAACAAGGAGCAGGCAGCGAGTATTGCCCGAACCTTGGTGAATAGGGAGTCTTTGATGAATGTCAATACCCTAAAGACGGACAACACAGAATCTATTCCCGTATCTGCAATGGAGTATTATGCCGATTGTGATTCAGACGGAGATCCTTATTGGTTGATTGTTGATATAGGCTCGACATACCAGAATATTGTGAAAGGTTCCAAATACTCTTTCACTATCAGAGTGGGAGACCATCCCTTGAATGATTATGTGAACCCGAACTATCCTGGTGGTATTGTAAATTCTCCGGCGGGATCTCCTCGCATAAATTTGAAGGGCCAGATGAAGGAAGTTGATCTCTATGAACCCTCTGAATTGTTGAGAATTGAAAAGTGTTTTTTAGACAAGCATCCAGATGCTAAGTGGTGGCTTCCTTCAAACATTGTAACTCCCCATAAAACTCATTGGGCTAAGATTCTGGTAAGTGAGGTTTACATGGTTGGCGGATTCGGTGACAGGGCATACATTGGTGTGATTGACTCAGAGACTTATCATTCTTCGCTGCTTCTTGATGACTAAGATGTCCGTGCACATTTGCTATTCGTTTGATCCACACTAAACGCGTATACTTATTTTCTGCCTTCCTCTGGTGTTGCCTTCAGATTAGTAGGCGCTGTCTGAGAAGCTACTAAGTTCTGAAGTTGACGTAAAACTTCAAGCAGGGCATTCGCATGCTGCTGCAGAGGTGGTAATGTTCCGTCTTGAATCAGCGAGATCCGTTCGACCTGTTGTGGTTGAAGAAAAGAACTGGGATGATGTGCATTCCAGTGTGGAAAGTAAGGTTGTGGTGGCAGTTGCTGTTGCTGGTATGATCCTTGCTGTTGCTGGTATGATCCTTGCTGTTGCTGGTATGATCCTTGCTGTTGCTGGTATGATCCTTGCTGTTGCTGGTATGATCCTTGCTGTTGCTGGTATGATCCGGTAGCCCAAGAGTTACCGGCAAATGGATGGAAATTTGTGGCCATTTCGAAGCTCTGCTGAGCTGGAGCTATGAAATTGTTATGTTGACCATAATAGGAACTCTGCATATTTGGATAAGGGACACCTTGTATTGACTGAGAGTATTGGGAGCCATTTGAGTAAGATAAGCCTTGGTTGCTCAATATAGTATTCGGTCGCTGATACACTTGCGTCCCATCAACCACTTGTTTCTGATGCATCCGTTCTTGACTCTGGTGGGCAAAACCATACGATATGAACGATTGTTCAGGCTTTCCTTGTTGCCTCCTTTTCGTGTGCACTTCAGTTGTATTTCCCTCTGGTTTTTTTTGTTTTCTTTTCCTCCTCTTCTCTTGTTTTGCTGCCATCTCTTGTTCATCATCTGAAAACTCCTGCTCTTCTTCTGGAAGCTCTTCATCGTGGCAGTTACTTGCATCAGTACCTTTTAACTTCTTTATCACATCAGTGTATATGAATTGAGACTCTGAAACGACGTAGTATACCTTTTCTCCTTTCTTATTTTTCACCTTGTCAAAATCATCGTCGTTGTTGAATTTGACTCGATAATTAGGTGCTTGCAATCTACCAAAAGTTTCATACAATAGACCTAAAACTTGTTTATCTTCGAAGCAGAGCACAGAATTTTCTTTGAGAACTCTGAATTCACCAGAAATGTTTGCCCTAATAATGACGTTTCTCTCCACCACTGCAGAAATTTCTCCAACATGCTCCAAGACCGAGTGAGCTGGAATCTTGTAATCCGGTGGCAAAGTTGGAGCAGTTTCGTCTAGAACTTCATTCTTTGACAATATGGGTCCTATTTGGGCCTCATCTTCGTCATCAATATCTTCCAAACGATCATTGTTCTTTTGTTTTCCACTTTGAATTTCTTCATCCGAGCTTGAAATATCACCTTCAGAATCGGAATCGGATTCAGAATTGGAATCGGATTCAGAACTGGAATCGGATTCAGAACTGGAGATGTCTGGAGAATCTTCGGACAAACTAATCTCATCATCGGAGAGGACATGCGCATGAGATGGACCTCCACTGAAACTCGGTAAATCATTTGTCATACTAGGAAGTTTTTTTGAATTCTCGCCAACTAGTACATCACCAGGAGCATTTGAAATTTCAATCAATCCATCATCGGGGTTGACTTCTTCATTGATGGATGTTTGCAGTAGAACATTCGTAGCGTCCAGATTATTCGAAAGGACCAAAGTATCAGTGTTCGAATCTTTCGTCGGCACCGAGTTATCAGGCATTTTGCAAAATGAATTTGGAGCTGCTCAAATTTAAAAGTTGCACCTATCTACTTCTGTCTGAGATGAGCATTGTCAAAGTTTAAGTGTGCATACTACATGATTGATTTGGCGCAGTGAACTAGGATTGTTTGAGGCCTTCTGGAACTATTCGAAATTGGACTGCCTCATGGGAGTTCACATTTATAGGGGTGATTACCTTTGCGAAATTGACCCTCTCCCAACCCTCCTCATCATGCGTTGAACACATTCCTTCTTGCTGTTCTTCCGGGTTATGACTCTCAACGCTGAGAGGAAACTGCGATTTAGCCAATCTAGGTTCATAAGTCTTCCATAGAAGAATCTTATGTGAAACGAGCTTTGCCCACGTGTAACCCAATGCCAGAGTTTTTTCTGGGGGTTGATTTGCGTGAACATTGTAAACGCTCGAGGTTTCTTTGCTGAGTTTCCTTCGCTTAGAATATTGGCTCAAAATACCATGTGTTTTTTCTAGCAGATTAAACAATGGGGCCATTGCTGTTTTGTGTTGCCATCCTGAAAATGATCCAACTTGTTGGTTGAAGTCCAAAGGGTCACAGATCCCACCTGGTTCGCATTGGTCTTGGACCAGATCACTCACTTGGTTAGCAATCAAAATTGCAACATTGAAAGTGGTTGCCATGTGGTAAAGATGCCGATACAAATCAAGCAAGTAAAGTCTCTTCATGCTTCGATTGCGAAATGAAGAATTGCCTCTCAAAAATTTGTTAGTGACCCTTTCAAAATCGGATCTCAAGTAAGTATACGTGGGAAACTGGTTTAGTTCCATCTCTTGCTGCTTTAGATAGGTTCTCAAATATGCCAGATTGTTTATGAAAGATTCTTGGAGACGAAAATGATGACCAATGCTGTCTATAATAACAAGCGTATAATTTTCTTTGTTGTCTTGAGCAGTCCTGAGCTTCGATGGTAATTGAGTAAAAAATATATGATCCTGGCTCTCTTCATCCTGACAATAGATAGTTGTAATATTATTGAGAGAACCTTCTGGTAGCAGACCATTGGAAGCCACCATTTGCGACAACCTTCTCGTTTCCAATGCAGATTCTGTAGATATATATATGCATTTTCCTGGCATACCCTGACAGTTCGTTTGAAGTTGGGCCTGAAGAGCAATTTGGAGTAGGAATTGTGATTTTCCACTCCCACTTGATCCGAACACCTCTGTAAGCGAACCCAATGATATCCCCCCAGAAAGGAGTTTGTCTAGGGTTTGCAATCCCGAAGGAATACTTGGATTTTTGACAAGTGGAGAAATGGTTTCGTTTCTGTGACTGATGAACCGGTAGCGCATTTCATTTAAGATTGACCTTATCTTGTTTGGAGAAAGGTTGATCTTCTGGCTCAATTTATTAACCGCTTCATCTTCGGGTAATCGGCATAAGCTCAAAATCTCGAACGCAGTTATTCCATTCGTCTCAAGGACATCCTCTATTTCGAGGAACACATTTGGAAAGGATTGCCCTATAAATTGCTTCCTATGGTCCATACAACTTTGAGTTTCAACTCAAAAACGCGCGCCTTGACAAAAGAATTCATTCTCTACAGGTTTAGGTAACTATAAATCTCAAAACTTAGTGAGCACCAGAAATGAAAAACCACTTGTCAACGGATTTGTCAATTGGAGCAGCAGGCTCAGGAGAAGCGGCCGGAATATCAGCAGTTTCGGAGAACGAAGCAGAGGTAGACAAAGTAGTGTTGGTCAAATCAATTTCACCCGGTTGAGAAACACCATTGATCAACTTGTCCCAAGCTTCAGCACACTCTGCAACAACTTCGTCAGCGTACTTCTTGTTCTTGCATTCACCAGAGAAAGCGAATTGGTTTTCGGGCTTGCCATCTGGAATTTTGTAGATTCTGAACCACTCATTTGTAGCTCTCAACAAGCCTGGCAAGTGGGTCTCGACATCCTCGATATCGTTCAACTTAGGAGCCAAAGGATCGTTGACGTCAATAACAATAACTTTCCAGTCGGTCTCACCTTCATCCAATAAAGCCATAACTCCCAAAACCTTGACTTGCTTCACTTCACCAACAGTGGCAACCTGCTCTCCGATTTCACAAACATCCAACGGATCATTGTCTCCCTTAGCTTTGGTCTCGGGGTGGACCTGGTTAGGGTCCTCCCAGGTTTGCGGGAAGGCACCATAGTTGTGAATGTAACCATGGTGAGGGAAACAGTTTCTGACAAATCTCAACTTACCCTTCTTCGTGTCCTGGATGATCGGGTTCAACTTCTGCTCCTTGGAGATCTCCAACTTGGCGTTTGTCCATCTAGGGACCTCAACAATCATGTTGAGAACAGTTTTCTCCTTGTTGGCATACAATGGAATGTCATGGAAAGGAGACACCGGCTTGCCATCCTTTTCGATGTAAACTTTGTAGTCCAAAGTGTTTGCAGCACCAATTTGGCGAGTAGTGTAAGACATCTTGGGTTTGTTGAAAATATCGTTGAGGAACTTCTAGGAATTCGTTGAGAAATTTATTAGGAGATCCTGTATGTAGAATAATCACGTTAAATCACCCACTCCTAATATGCCGGCAATCTTTCTCCACAAATAAGAGTTTAGGTTCCGCTGATTGTCTTTCAAGACATTCATTTCAGCTTTTTTGAAAAGAAGCAAACCTCTGGTTAACTCACGATGAGTGGCTTTCCAATTTCGATCACGTTGATGTTGTTCAGTTTTGGAAGACTTTCTTTTTAAGAAATTTATCATGAGTCTCCACTCCCGATCACGTAGCGCCAACCAGCCACAAGAATAATCCAATAAGAAAGGGCCAGCCAATATCAAACTACTCGTTTCAGGTAACAGATTTGCGTAGTGCCAAAAAATCTCAAGGCCATAAATGTCCGCATCGACAAACGCCAAGATCGGCGTTTGTGGGTCAGCTCGATAAAGGGCGTTAAGGAATAATTGGCTGTTTCGATCAGGGAATCCTTTTCCAGTTAGAGCCAACACATTACGATGTAAAACCTTGAGGTTTGAACAGAATTGATGAAAGACTGCATCTTTTTCAAATAGAATGATAATATCAGGTTTCGGGTTTAAGGAAATCTCGGCATATTCTGGAAGCATTGGGATAAGCATTGGAACTTCACTAATTACCACGTTGTTGTTCTTACTCTCCAGCACTATCTCCAAATTATGGCCACCCCAAATGAGACCCTTAGCGGATGGGCTCACGTGAAAATCATAGCATAGCAGTAGATTCAATGACAGTGATACAATTGTAAGAAATTTGGTTATGCATGCTTGTCGAGTGAAAAGCTGAACATCACTGTAGAAAATGTCCCTCACAGTAGTTGAAGACTTGCTCTGAAATTGACAATACAACAATCTCAACAAGCATATGAATCTTGAAAACCTTTTGGAATGTATCTCCGATTCGGTGATTTCCTCTATCGAAATTGTGGTTTTGATAAATTCTCCGCAAAGGGTTCTTTTTGTATTCTTAGCTTCTATTTGAATAGTAATTAAGTGGTTCCAGTGAGCAGACATCATAGCCCACAAGTTGTGTAAGGAGTTCGAAAAGTCATTTTCTAATTGCTGAATCTCAAACTTTACAAATCTCTTTTGATCGTTCAAAGTTTTAAATTGCAATGTATGCTTCATATTTTGTGGGGTATGTATTTTGATTATTGCGTTGAATTGCCGCCCATCTTAGTGCTTGGTTTTTGCGGTTCATCTTATCCTGGAATCAGCTTTCAATATAATGCCATTTTCAAAAGAGGCAAAGCGTTTGCCGAATAACTTCGGTAGTTACCAATACTGATATAACCAATTCATGACATTTTCTTTTTTCAACCCTGACTTTTGTAGAATTGTGGCAGAAGTGAGGGGGACTATAAAATGAAAAACAGAACAGAAAATGAAAGCATAGGTACGAATTATTTTTAAATTCTTTTAAAAACATGACAAATGCTACTGGCAAAATAGCCGGAGAAGTTGACTTATGAAATTTCAATGCTGAATCTGGACCAGAGAGGAGGAGCTCGTCGAACTTAGGCAAAACAGAAAGGATACGATGAGATGAGAAACACATAAAACTACCTTGAAAGACGAAATTCGGGTCTTTGAGTTAGCATCTTATTGACTCCTGTTGCACTGCAAGGGTGGGATTTGAGTCAGAAACGTTTGTTGAACTAACGTTCATCTTGAAGTCAGCGACATAAGACTGATATTAAATAAGGATTTGGAAATAGAGCTTTGAAAGGTACTTACTGGTAATATATGAAGTGACTGATGTGTTGGCAGTAAAAAATCAATAAAAGAAATGTTGGTTGGGCGCCGATAGGCAATGATTCACCAGAAAAGCGCCTAGGAAGAACCGAGAGTAGTATCATTAGTCGTAAAGATGTACGGCACACTGACATGTAACGGCCCGTTTACCGAAGTAGTACTCAAGGGCAATTCCGAAAGAGGAGTATAGTGAGAAGATGTAGGGTTACATTCTAAATTTCAATCCTTTCTCCAAGTCATTTTCCTCCTACCATGTATCTAATTTGTCCTTTCTCCAAGTTATTTTCCTTCTACGATGAATCTCAATGCCAGTTCTGCAATTGCAGTGTTCAAAATTTGCCTCATTAGCGATAGTAACAACTAACTCTGCCTGCAACTTTTGATTCAGTTTGCTCATATTCCATACGGAAGAGTCGATTCCTTCGCAATTCTTCCACCAAGTAAAATACCAAATGGAACATGTTAGTATACAGGACAGAATTAACCCAGCCCGCAAGTTGAGAAAATTTCCTAAGAAGCATAGAGGCCATCAAGTAGGAAACCGAGTTTTATTATTTGATTGCTGAGTGATACGAGTCTGTGTTATAAGGAAGGCTTGGCTCCAGGCTGTTATGTAAGTGCAACAACACATTCAGGTGATCAGGGGTCACACTAATCCCACTAATCCCACTAATCCCACTAATCCCACTAATCCTTCGCCTTGATGAACTGCTCATTGAAGGCTGGCGTATATATGTAAAAGAGCTATCCTGAAACTTTGCTGGGCGTTTCTTGGTGACTTGGCCAACTGCAAGTTCATCTAGTGGGAAGGAGCGATTGATTTTTTGGGAATTGATTTACATTAAGTACCTAGAATATCAGTTTAAGGGACTTTTTAGTAGTTTAAAATAAATCAGGCAGGAATAGTAAAAACAGCGAAGGCAAACTGTTTGCAAATCCCAAAGGTATTGATCCAACCTCTTGCGTAGTTTATAGCTTTCTATGTTCATTTCATGAAGTCAAGTGACTTCCACATTATCCGACATATACTTTCTTGGAATATCCACGCCACCTTTTTCGATTCTGAACGACAATTTCAGCTTCTTAAATGCCAGTTCATCCCGAAATTATCTCAAAGGAATTAAAGAGAGATCTTTACTATGGTAATGATTGGGGTGGAGGAGCTCGTTGGGCATTTTTCGCCATTTTCATCGTGTTGATAATTATTGTTATCATCGGAACATTGAGAATCAACAGAGCCAGAAGCAGACAAGGCATTCAACCCTTATATGGAACCAGATGGATGACACCACCTTCTTATTTGCAATCACAAGACCAGTATAATCAACCTACCAGGAGAGACCCTGATATGCCAAACGCTTATGTTCCAACGTACTCCGAAAGAGCAAATGACAATGATATGGGATATTATGACAACAGTGGAACCTTCCACCCCAATCCAAATGCTAAAGGGCCATTGATGCCTGAGCCTGCTCACCAGAGATCATCATCGAATACAGACGGAATCCCTCTCACCGATTACAATCAAACAGGGAGTTCGGTTCCAGGTACTGTTTCTGATGAATATGATGACATGTTTAGACGGCCACTGGGACCACCACCAAGGAGCACAACTACCGAAACAATTTACGAAAGACCTACAAATCCCCCTCCAACTCAGCATCAAACTTGAGACTAAACTGGGCCCTGTTGAACCGATCTTCAGTACTAGGACAGTGTTGAAAATCAAATCACTGCATACTAAAGAGCAAGCAATTATATATTCCGTAAATGAAGGAACTATTGTATGGTCGTTTTGAGGACAGCCGTTTGAGCAAGGATAACATTGGGCATGGAAGTCTGATGTCAATGGCAAGGGCTCAAATAGTGCATGCTCAAAATCCAATTTGTGCATATGAGGGGCTATGCTCATTCGGCGTAAAACCAGAAATTTGTCCGAGATTTCATTTCACATCAAGTAAAGTTCAATTGAAACAGCATCCACAAACCCAGTAGTCAAGAAGTTTAATTGCGAAGTTGATAAGAAACATGACTGAGTGCAGAGAGCTTAACTTCCTCAACATACTGGTTGTTTCTATTTCACGCACAAGCACGGCATGTGTACCAGTAATGACCGTCAGATAGTTATATGCAGAAACAATCGATGCATTCCGGGCATGTGACTGCAAGGGAACGTTTTGTTTTGATGATTGCTCCGTCCCTCAGCGAAGAGAAAAACATAAATTCCCTCATTGATCCATAACTTAATTTTCGGAAGTACGTTACACGATGTCCTCCTCCTCTTCGACAGATAATACATCAGCGTCTGCATCGCAATTGTTGTCGACTCTTATCCCAGCGGCGGTCATTGCAGCTGTTTACTTCCTGATTTTCCTTATTTTCAGAAAAAGAGAATCCAGAGTTTATGAGCCACGTAGTACAGTGCAATATGTCCCAGATGATTTAAGACCTAGAGAGAGTAAACCGGGAGCGTTTGCATGGATTACAGGCTTGATGAAGATGCCTCAGCTGTACATTCTTCAACAGACTGGCCCAGATGGTTATTTTTTTCTCCGCTTCTTGTTCGAGTTTGCTTTCATCTGTCTTCTCGGATGCTTTCTTATCTGGCCAATCCTTTTCCCGATTAATATCACCAATTCGAATGGCCTCAAGCAATTGGACATGTTAACTATCGGAAATGTCAAGCACAAGTGGAGGTTACTAGCACATGTGTTCGTTTCCTGGCTCTTTTTTGGATTTGCAATTTTTGTGATATATCGTGAAATGGTCTATTACACAACTTTCAGACATGCATTGCAAACAACTCCATTGTATGACTCCCTTCTTTCCTCAAGAACGTTGCTTTTAACAGAGCTTCCTGAAAAAGCTTTAGCAGAAGATGAATTGAGAGCTTATTTTCCCACAGCTACTAATGTTTGGTATGCTCGTGATTACAAGAAATTAGAAAAGCTCGTCAAGGAAAGAACAAAATTGGCAGGTAAGTATGAGAATGCTTTATCCGGTGCATTGACAAAGGCGGTTAAAGTGCGGAATAAGTGCGTGAAGAAGAATAAGCCATGTCCTGAACCTTCGGATGATTTGAACAAATATTTAAAGGATGGCAAGAAGAGGCCGACTCACAGATTGAAGTTTCTCATTGGCAAGAAAGTTGACACTTTAGATTATGGAGTTGAAAGGTTGGGCGAGCTCAACCGTGAAATAAAGAAGAAACAATTGGAACACAACGCAAATACACAATGGCCCGCTGTGTTCATGGAATTTCCAACGCAATTGGAGTTGCAGAAAGCTTACCAAGCTATCCCCTACAGTTCTGATTTAAACAAGTGTAAGAGATTTACAGGATTGGCGCCTGATGACATTGTTTGGGAGAATCTCTCGTTAACTCCGATGAAAAGAAGAATAAAGAGGCTCATAGCATCTACCATCTTGACTTTGATGATTATCTTCTGGGCCATCCCTGTTGCAGTAGTTGGTGCTATTTCAAACATCAACTTCATCACAGAAAAGCTTACTTTCCTAAAATTCATTAATAAGATGCCTTCCGTGTTGATGGGTATTATTACTGGTCTCTTACCAGTTGTTGCTTTAATTGTATTGATGTCTTTGGTTCCTCCATTCATCAAGAAAATGGGTAAGATTAGTGGTGCATTGACGGTCCAAGAAGTTGACAGATACTGCCAGAATTGGTTCTACGCTTTTCAAGCTGTGAATTCATTTATTGTTGTTACTGTCGCCTCGGCTTCTGTGAGTTCGATTCAAACAATTATAAACAAACCCGACTCAGTTCTCACTTTGCTTGCAACCAAAATTCCCAAGGCTTCCAATTTCTACATTTCGTACCTTTGCTTGCTCGGCTTGGCATCAGCCTCGAAGGCTGTTGCTAATGTTGTTGGGTTGATTTTGGCTCAATTCTTGGGGAAGATTTTGGACAAAACTCCAAGAGCTAAGTGGAATCGTTACATCACTTTACTGCAGCCTGACTTTGCCACACTTTATCCCGGGTATCAGTTTGTGGCTTTAATAGCTTTTGCTTACGCAATAGTTGCCCCCTTGATTTTGGGCTTCGCTTCCATTTCTCTTTTCTTGATTCTTGCTGCCTTTTTGTACAATATGGTGCATGTTATGCAGCCAAACAAGCATGATGCACGTGGAAGAAACTATCCTCTCACATTATTCCAGTTCTTCGTTGCGTTATACTTAGCTGAAGTGACGTTGTTGGCTTTGTTTGTTTTTGGAAAGAATTGGGCATGTGTAGGTCTCGAAGCTTTTTGGATCTTTGTGACAGTGGCTAGTCACGTATACATGAAGTGGAAATTCATCCCATTGTTTGAGACTGTTCCAATTTCTGCTCTCAAGTATGGCGCAGGTGATCGCACTTTCCAGTATCCAATGTATGATCAAGGATCTAAGGAAATCAGACTAGAGGGCCAGAATTATTGGGAAGGTGGCAACCAACTCGGATTGGTTGAATCGCCAGTTGATCAGGTGTTGAGGGATACCAAGGCAGAGGACTCGGATACGAACACTCGTACTGGATCCAATGAAAAGTATGCTGACTCAAAATTAGATATGGCACATCCTGAGCCCGAGAAAGGAAAGACGACGCCTGCTAGTGCAATTAGTAGGTTTTTCAAACCGAAGTTGAATACCTTTGATATGGTTCGAGAGTCCATGCCAGCAGTGTATTTCAACTACATTGAGTATAATCCTGATTTTGTTAGAACTGCTTACGATGATCCAGCAGTTACTGACGATGAGCCACATATTTGGATTCCGAAGGATGACTTAGGATTGTCTGAAATCGAGAAGAATAAGGCGATTGAGAATGGAATTGACTGCTCGGATGCTGATGCTGGGTTTGACGAAAAGGGTAGCCCAGTGTATCATGGACCTCCACCTTCTTACGAGGATGCCCTCAGAGTTTGAGACCTTTTCATTTCCACATGTGCAACATTGCACAGGTCCATAATATGAAATGTGATTTTGTATTAGTTTCTATAATTCTTAATGTTATTTTAATTATCGAATTTATTCGCATGGAGGCAATTATAGCACCTATGTTCAACTTATTCAAATCCATAATGCTACTTTTAATACTATTTTTTGGGGTTTGACTGAATAAAACTTTCTTTGGTCACGTTCTCATCGTCGGAAGTAGCCAATTCTTGTGTTCCATCTTCGCACCCAAATGTTCCCGTCCAACCATTCGCAAGTAGGTAGTTTTTGAACCTGATATCTTCTACCATCAAATCTTCGTCCTTCAACTGTGGAATAAAAAGGATTGCAATGAGAACCCCAAGTAACCCGCAAATTGCAGCAATGATAAAAGTCCACTGCTTACCGAGGTGCACTTGGATAGGCGTAAAAGCCTTCGTACCGACCACTGCTCCCACTTTTCCAATGGCTGCAGATATACCGTAGCATGTTCCTCTTATTGGAGTTGCAAACGATTCGGAAGACACCAATCCCATCATGTCACCAGGGCCCAAGTTACCAGCCGACATCATCAAACCATAGAATATGATGAACAAGGCTGTGATATTCTTAATTTTATCAAAAGAACAACCAATAATCAATCCAAAAACGATGTAACCCGAAAAGCCAAGAGCCAATGTATTTCTCCTACCTATGCGATCGCAAAGGTATGCCCCAACTAAAACTCCAGGAATTGCTATTACACCAAGCAACAAATTCCATTCCGCGATTTTCTCCAAATTCTTCTTATCTGGTCCTTTGAGCACCGAGGATATAATAGTGCCTGCGAAAACACTATTCGGGAAAACAACAAAATCGTACAAAAACCAACACCCGCAAGTTCCTAATAATCTTTTCCAATAGAATTTGATTGCTAAAAGATATGGAACGTTGTTTCTTATTGCGGATTTTTTGAACAATTCAGAGGTGGCCATTCTATACCTAAAATAGAAGACAGAAAGCGGCCAAAACGCTCCAATAGCGAATAATGCTCTCCACAAGCCATTCGATGTACCAGTAATCTGATAGATGATCAAGAAGATAATTAAAGCAAATGGTCCACCAAATGATAATGGCAAATTTGTGACAAGACAGAAAACACCTCCCCTTCTACGAACAGTCTCATTTGCAGCCTCATTGGCAGAGACTGAACATGAGGGATATTCGGCACCAATTCCGAAACCTGTGACTCCTCTGAAAATGATGAGCATCCAAAACATTCCATTGACCGATTTTCCATGAGCGGCTGCACACAAAATGGTACCAAACACTAAGAAACAGGTTGCAATGACAATAGACTGCTTTCTATTAAGCCTATCAGACAAAACTCCAATTATTACTTGGCCAAATATAGTACCGACTAATGATGCATTCGAGAGATTGGTTTTCATGTTAGTGTTATAATCCGCAGGGTATATCTTAGCGAAAACAGTATTCAACATCGTCATGACGTTATTCTGATAACCATCAGAGATCAATGCAAAGCCGGCACAAACAATAGTTAGGACATCAGATATTCTTCTTCTCGCAATTCGCTGTCTTCTTTCTTCTTGATCGTAGTCAAATGTTTGTTGGTGGACAACATCAGCGTCACCCGGATTTTTGACAACATCAACTTCACCCAGATTTCTGATTGCGTCCATCTTTAAGTGTCAATATTCAATCAGAATTTAGAGATTGTATGATAGAACTAAAAAGAACACTGAAACAACACCGAAACAGCAGGGAAGTTTCATTATATACCTTGTGTTATTAAGTGAGGAGAAAATGACCAGGATAGGAATCATTGCTGGAACACGGAAACCATGGTTTCGTGCCCCTCCTGGAGCCGCATCAGAACTAGAGGAATCCCACGTGTTTCTTGTTGATATAAAGAGAAAGCGTTTGCAACCTCGTGTACTAACCTTGGGAGATAATAAAGCATGGCTTATGAATGGCTGCAGAAAATCGTGCGTCTTCTGGCTTGTTTTTAGCCTACATGTCAACCCAGAAAATAAATGATCTTTGACATATTTTATATACAGAGTCGGGATTAATTGAACTTTTCCAAGTGTTGACGTTATTCGCCAAGAGTTACTCTGCCTAACAGATAGCGATGGAATGATTAAGTAATGGGGAATTCCCTCACATATTTTTCTCGGGAAATGGTGGACATCACTATTCGATTCGATCTAAAGCCATCTTTATTGCAGTTCGTACCACGTTTTCGAATTCAATTTTCTCCTGCAAGAATGAATTTATATCCAGTAGCAACTTGCATCGGTGTTCCCTGAATTAACTGCTTATTATTTTTCCTGTCAATATTTTGGATCCTATGGACATGGAGGTTGTCATGTACCGGTTACCACTCAAATAGTTAAGTTACATCTATCTTCCGGAAAATTGGCAATGTTTACCAATTTGAAAGCACTTTGTGAACTTTTCAACCACCCATACTAACATCATCCTGTTTGCTTCTGCTCAAAAGGTTCCTGATTTGATTTCATACAACCCATGGTCTACTTATACACAGATAATGCAATATCCTACAAATGGAACAATGCCGAGTGTTCATACAGGACAATTAACAACCACGCAATGAATGCGAGCATCAAATAGTGGAGCGACTATGGTCGGTCCGATTAAACGCAATAATTCGTCAGTTCTCCAGAATCAATAAAGTTGTTCAAGAGCATTCGTCTCACTCATAGTATAAAAGTACTTACACTGAAACTTCCATGGATATCTCGCTAGTCCCACACTCGAATTGGCCATGTCTATTTGGTCGACTTTTCATACTTTAGAGAAGGAGCAAGACTTATTAATTGGAATACGTTTTTTTTTTTTAAATCATGGGGAACTCAAAGTATCAATGCTTGAGATTATTGTCATCGTTCCTGTTGCGAAATAGATAAAATATGGGTCATGATTCGCGCATATGAACCTCAGAAGCGGGGGGCATACAGAAGAAAAGTAATAATTTACAGAAGAAAACTAATAATTCCTAGCCACGTAACAAGATAACATTATACGTATTCTTTCCAAGTCTTGTTTCCACGTATTCGTTAAGATGCTCGTATACTATCGTCATCGGTACTTTGGAGTTATGGCTCGACTTACGATAATAGTTTTTTCAAGCCTTTCCTTCCCCACCAAGAGTCACGTGCCCGGAAGTAAGGATTAACTGGCATTGGTCGAAACTGACTCATAGCTGATCTTAAAATTTTCAGTGTACTTAAGGTAACCCCATATCACTCCTGTGAAAAAAGAATTTGCTAGCCAATATGCCTATGCTCAAAGATCCTTCAGTGAAGTACGAAGCGTTTGCACCTGTCAACCTTCCAAACCGCCAGTGGCCATCAAAGACTTTGAAGAAGTCCCCAAGATGGTTATCCACAGACTTGAGAGATGGAAATCAGTCGCTTCCCGACCCTATGTCTTACGATGAAAAAAAAGCATACTTCCATAAGCTTGTCGAAATCGGCTATAAGGAGATTGAAGTGTCATTTCCTTCCGCTTCTCAAGTGGATTATGATTTCACTAGGTATGCTGTTGAGAACGCCCCAGACGATGTAAGAATCCAGGTATTATCTCCTTGCAGAGAGGAACTCATCAAAAGAACAGTAGAATCGTTAGTCGGGGCTAAGAAAGCTACTGTTCATATCTATTTGGCTACATCAGACTGTTTCAGAAATGTTGTGTTCGGTTTGACTAAAGAGCAAAGCAAAGCTCTCGCAGTAAAATGCACAGCACTTGTCAGATCTCTCACCAAAGATGACGAATCTCGCCGTGAAACAGATTGGTCATTTGAATTCTCCCCAGAGACATTTTCCGATACTGATTTGGATTATGCTGTCGAGGTTTGCGAGGCAGTTAAGGCTGCTTGGGAGCCCTCGGTTGAGAATCCTATCATCTTCAATTTACCAGCAACTGTTGAAATGGCAACTCCTAATGTTTATGCCGATCAAATTGAGTACTTTGCAACACACATTTCGGAAAGAGAGAAGATTTGCATCTCTCTTCACCCTCATAATGACAGAGGGTGTGCTGTTGCCGCTGCGGAATTGGGACAGCTTGCTGGTGCAGACAGAATAGAGGGATGCCTTTTCGGAAACGGTGAAAGAACCGGAAATGTTGATTTGGTTACTTTGGGGCTCAATCTCTATTCTCAAGGAGTTTCTCCTAACATTGACTTCTCAAACTTAAACGAAATCATTGACATTGTTGAACGATGCAACAAAATCCCAGTTCCTGCTAGAGCTCCTTATGGTGGATCTCTCGTCGTTTGCGCTTTCTCTGGCTCACATCAGGATGCTATCAAAAAGGGGTTCAGCCTGTATGAGGAACAGTTACGCTCATCCAACAACAAGAATGTCAAGTGGAAATTACCATACTTACCAATCGATCCTGCAGATATTGGAAGAACTTACGAGGCAATCATCAGAATTAATTCTCAGTCCGGCAAGGGCGGTTCAGCTTGGGTTATCTTAAGGAACCTTGAATTGGATCTTCCCAAGGGCTTGCAAGTCGCATTCTCGAAATTGGTACAAAAGGAGGCTGAAGTCAAGGGTCAGGAATTGACAAATGATGAGCTTTGTGTGTTGTTTAAGACCAGCTACTTCATCGACTATGAGGAAGGAGACTCTTGCGACCACTACTACAAGTTGAATGACTACTCAATCACGAACTCGAAGGGTGGTGTTAGAAGTATCATTGCTGACGTTGAGGTCAATGGTGAAAAAAAGAAATTGACCGGCCAAGGAAATGGTCCTATTTCAGCATTTACAAATGCAATCCTGACTGACCTTGGGGTCTCACTCGTCGTGAAACACTACCATGAACATACTCTTGGTACTGACTCCAAGTCAAGAGCCGTCACGTATATTGAGGCCGAACTTGAGAACGGTATTACTAAGTGGGGTGTGGGTATTCATGAGGATGTTTCGCAAGCCTCTTTCTTGTCGTTGACTTCGATCTTGAATGCAATCCAAAGGGATGGCAATTAGTCAATCAGTATTTTTCACTATAAGGTTGTAGAGTAATTAACATCCTGCATATACATGTGTGTTTCCAAAGATGTTTGGACCTATTTCTTCACTTCACAAATCAAACGAACTAGAATGACTTCGCAATCAGTTAATGTTGCTGAAACTTACAAACAAATCACAGAGGCCGAGAAGCAGGCCCTGGCACTTGAGAGAATGCTCGATGACTTAGATACCAAGATGGATTCTATCTTGGATGAAATCAAACAAAATGATAAAGAGCGAAGAGAACAACTTGACAGAAACTCATTCTCTCAGGATGCTCAACCAAGTTCGGACAAGAATGCCCTATAAATACCTTGGAGTATAAATATTTATTCTTCAATTCATGATGCGGTTGGTGAGTTCTAACTTGGTGATGAACTCAGGTTCTAATGTTGAAATGAAGGGATTGGCAGGATGCTTTGGATTGATGAACTTTTGGTTGCCTTCATCGCTCCAATCTTCCTGAAGTTCCTTTATATTCACCTTTGCTAGTATGCCCCATCGAGCCACCACTTCGATGAATCGGAACTCGGAGGTGGCATGAAGTTGTCGCTAATATCATCAACAAAGCGGTCCACGTTGTTTGCAGTTATGAGTACATTGATATCTCCAACAACTCGTCTGTAGTTGTCATAAATATCAGATGATATGGCTTTCTTTGCCACCTCATTAACCATTATTACTGATGCGTTAAAAATAGCATACACGGGGCGGTGGTCAGAAAATAGAACTTTATCTGCGCTATTGTAGAGTTCTTGTCTCAATATCTTCCCTTTAGACATGCTAAGCACTCGATCAGTCCATGCAGGGATTCTTTGTTTTTCGGATGTGTCATAGACGTTGCTGTTGTTGTCAAATTTGTAGGTTGGTGCAAAGGTGATTTCCATTTCACCATAGAAAGGAAACGTTTCCCCATCCGCCATTTGCTTGTTTAGCTGGTCATATTCAAACAACTTTTGATAATTTTTTCTTTCAATTAATGCTTTCACCTGTTCAATTTGCAAGGCTATTCGGTAATTGAAATCCCCCATCCAAATAACGGCATCATGGTCCCTAATTTTCTTGTGCTTGGAAAACCTGATCCCTTTTGCAATTGCCTTGTAGTTTTGATGTCTTTCATCCACATTGTTTAGCCCAGCTGCCAAATGTGAACAAACAAAACATATCAGAGTGTTTGAATAATTAAAACTTATCGCGATTCCTCCCTTGTTTGCGCTCATTCCTCCGAGCCCTGTTTTCTTTACTGAGCCCTCGAGGTTAGTAATGTTTCCAATTTGTGTCTCTTTAATAAAAAGCATAATTGCCAAACCACCCATCTGCCAACTCCAGAGAGGTAAGTACCTGTCTTTGCCTATTCCATGTTTATCTAGCAATGATTTGATTTGCTGCTCCCATTTCACTAGATTATCGGATTTAACGTTTATCATCTTTCCCGGAGTTAGTTCCACAATTTCTTCAAACCCCACACATACTAAATCATAATCCTGATTCACTTTATCTTCGGAAGAAAATAACCACTCTTTCAATGTCGGATCTGAACTCACTGTACCATTAACGTTGAAAGTCGATGCAAATATGCGAATATCCTTTCGATAGGAATACTCACTGGCTCTTTTCTTTAGCTCTCGTCCCACATACTGGTGAAATGGATTGTAAAGTCTAACTCCATCTTGGTCTTGAAGTCTTCCCAACAATTTGAGCATTGCAATTTCACTCGGTTTAACTTCACCGACAACATTGAGATATTTTCGAGTCATTTGTTGTTTGAGAGAATTCTTCGAATTTGAACTGCTGGAAGATTGGATCTTTGATGTATTTGACAGAAAGTTCACAGCCAACTTTTTCAACATATCATCATTCTCGGCCCAAAGTTGGGAGTGTCGCACATGAAGGTCGTGAGTCCTTTCGATTCCCATGTCTCTAAGCGCCAAATCAATCACCTCTTGGCTAATGATCTTGGAAATAAAGTTTGCCTTTGTCAAACAGTCAAAGGAGTTCACACGGAATACGCCAAGCTGTCGACCTATGTAAGATAGTCTCTTAAGATCGAAAAACATAGCACCAAAATCCAACATGGCGTTTGTAAGGGGCAGAACGACATCCAGTGGGTTGGATCCATTGTAGCCAATTCTCTTCATGTAAGCCGTGGATATTGGAAGGTCGGTAATTGTTAGGCGATAATTGTTAAGAGGAATGCTTGCAGGGGCATCCCTTGCATATGCATCTTGGCCCTGCTCCAACTCTTCAGCTTGATCCAAACCTGCTTCTCGCGATCGAATTAACGATTGCAAGTGCTCCTTAAAGTTCTGATTAAGTTGTCCTTTGTATGAATGCTCGTCTTGCAGCAAACAATTCACTATGTGGATATCCCCAAAATGCTGTCCCAATGTATCAAAGTGAAGATTGAACGCATGCTGTGACGCTTCGAACGATCTAGTGAAAACTATCTTTTTGCTCTTCTTCGAGTAGATAATATTCTTCTTTGAAAATCTGTTCTGAAGTTCCCAAAAACTCGGAATGTTTCCACGAACAATAATGTAAGAGAAGCAGAACAGCTCCGTATAAATGATAACTTCACTCTCCAAATAGTTTGAAACATTACCTCTATCGTCACATCCCCATTCTCCGAATAAAGGTCCGTTTTTGCAGCAAGACTGCTTCGATACCAATGTCAAGAGGGCATCCAGATCGTCGGTCAACGTGACATTAACAGACTTTGTGTATCCACGAGTAATCACGGTCAAAAATCCGGCTCTGTCAAATTGCTCTCTTTCATAAATAGATAACCTTTCTCGAAGGTCAAGAAAGTCCGAGACCATATAAGCATTCCAACAAAATCGCTCGGAATATGAGCGGTCAGTTGCTACATTTGATCTGTTTGCAGCAAACCCCCGCTCTTGTAGGGTGGTTGTGACATCAAATTCTTTGGAAAAGTAAAAATTTCCCAGTGATAGTAGCTTCTTGACAGATCCAGCAGGATATCCGATTGACGAAAGTTCCAATTCTTCATTAGTTAGTGCTAAATCCTCCTCATTTCTATTCATCCATGAGTCAAATTGATCATTATTAAGGCAATAAAAGTCAACATCATTGATCATGTGAACGGTTTCGCCTAGTCTAGGAGAGGCCACTTTCGTGGAGCGGGTAATGAAACCAAGGTGAATGTTGCCCTTCACATTCAAGAATCCAATAAACCCAATTAACAGTTTGTTATTTCTCACTTTATTGGGTGTAATATCTGTGAATCCAGTTATACTAATGAGTTCTGTCCTTATAAATTCCACAATTACCTTATTATTGTTAAGTTGACCGTTCCTCAGTTCTTTCGAAGAATGATAATGATGAGCGTCATGTCTGTGCACATGTTCATGATGCTTGTAAGTTGGATTAGGATGACGAATAATCAATGAGTACGAAGTATCCACAACAATAAATGTTCGTGGCTTCTCTTTAAGAAATATTTTCATTGTTTGTATTTAAAAGATTGATCTGTATTCAAAGGCTGTGTGCGCATAATTGTGAGCAAAGCAACATGAAGGCCAATCCGTGGACACCTACGTCATTTAGAAACTAAGCCAGATCAATTACAGATATTATCTATTGTGTAGTTTTGATGACTGTGAAAGGAATGTATTTGCACCCAGAAAAGATCAAAATTTATCAAATAACTAGTAGGCTTTTCTAGTCTTTGTTCTCTTTTGAGTGACTTGGTGATGAGAAGGCACCCATGCTGGATCAAAACCAGAGGTGGTGGCGGACTTAGTTGTCGAAGCTTTGGTGATTGGAGCAGTTCCCTTGAGGTATGTTTGAAAGAAGGCAGGGAAGAAGATATATCCGATTGCACCAGCCAAAACCACGAAGATCAACTCTAAGAACAACAATTGCGGATTAAAGAAGGAAATTGGAACTTCCTTAACAACAGCCAATTGTGCCCTGGCCTGAATGGCCTTCAATTCGTCTTTAAAGGTCACGTAAACTTGTGGGGCCAAAAAGTAATTTCCTGGGACGAAGTCCAACGTGATCATCTGACCGACGTTTACACTCTTACCAGGTTCAATAACAACTGGACCAACAGAATTGGCAGTCAAGTTCACCTTGAATTCGCCGGTTATTGGGTCACGAAAGGATCCTCCAAGACCCACAACTGTAATATCGGTATCCTCCTGGTTAGTAATAGTATGCCGAACGTTGATTTGTTCTCCTTGCCACATCTGGATGACCTCATTCTTGTCGGCATCAGGATACTCTAAAATCAAATAGTCCACTTCAAAATTGGCTAGTTCATTGTCAGGCTTAGCACTTCCAAAGTAAGCGGCTTTCTGTTGGCCTAGTGTGTCTTCATCAGCTCCATCACATAAAACCTTGGTAACGGTTGCGAGCAAACTCAAAGCGAAAATTGAGAACTTCATTTTTACAATTCTGGTGGTTGATGTGGAGAAACTTCATTAGCTATACGTGTCTCAAATACCACAATCATGTCACGTGAGCACGACAGGTGAAAACTGTCCAACCCCAACACTTCGAAAAACATTCACTTTCAACTTACTTGATGAAAATAAGCTAAAGAAAAAAAAATTTCCTCTTGCCCTTAGAAGTGGTTAAGCCTTCAAAAAATCCTGCTCGGACAACAGTCACATCCATCTTATACATGTAGCAGCATCTCGCAGGACCCTAAAACCAAGATGATAATATGAAAAAAGTTTGACCTTCTTTGTAAATCAAAGAATATCATTTATAGATATTTCCACTTCTGTTTATTTCAGGCGGTTTGTATATCGAAGTCAGTGTATTTCCAATGATCTTTCAAAATCGTGGTGTAAGGATGTATTGTTTTCTATGAAACATCTGATTATCCTGAGCAGCCCATTTGATGCATTGGAAATCACTTCACAATCCTTAGAGATGTTTCGACTGCTGCAAGCTCGAAGGTGGAACCTTCGAAATTTGAAAAGGAACCTTCATATGCAAAACGTCAGTGGATCTGCTCAAAGACTTTCACTTCGGCGACCATTGGTCTCTCCAGAGCTGAGGCTTTTCATGAAGTTGGTCAAAAGTCCCAGTCATCTTATGTTTATTGCCTCTAATGTTGCACTCTTTGTGCACCTCCTGTTCTATAGTACTGTTGTTAGAAAGCAGAAGATGGAGGAGTTTATTTCACAAATTAATGAGTTGGAGAATTTCGAGGAGTTGATAAAAGATTTGGACAAGCAAAACGAGGAAATACAGAAACAAATTAGTGTTTACAAGCACCTACAGCGGAAGAGTAAGGACTACACTGACTCAAGGGATAGCAATAGGGACCAACGTCCTACCAAAAGATCTCAATCACCAATAGTCTTGAATGAAAGTCTTCATCTTCATTCAACTCATGCAAACAAATTTCTTGATCAAAGAAAACTTTTTGCAACAACATTTACAGAAAAGACATCTATCGCCAAGCTTTTTGAATCCTCGTCACTGGAAACTAGTCTGGAAACTAGTCACTCAACGAGTTCTTCGGCTTCTCCCACATTCTCGGACCCCATTCTGAATTTACTCATTGCATTATCTCACCAGTTCGTGAAAGCATTCTTGGTGGAAATCAATTTGAGAAATTCCTTGGACGACAAAGAGGTGGGAATTCATATACCGGGAGATTCATTTCTTCTACATGAAGATCTCTTTGCATATATGAATCATGATGCGGACAAAGAAGAGCTTTTAACAAAACTTTTCACATTAAGAGACGTGGAAAGAACTCTGCCAGAAACATTTTTGAGTCGTCTTGACGACAAGGTAACGGAAAAATTATTCATTGATTTCTGGTTATCAGATAATTTCAAGAATAAGGGGTCTAGACGATATGACATATTTCACCATATTTCCGGTCAATGGCTAAATTATGAGCATTCAGATACCTTCACTTCGATTCGGACACTTTCTTCTCCAGTGTTCGCTAGCAACACAGTCAGCAGTGATGAATATATCCGCAGGTTTGACAGTATCTTTTCAGCATATGAACTATCGAAGGCGCCTCTTCGAGAATTTGCCCTTCTACTTCTGTTGGCTAGAGCACTCTCAACTGGTGGAGAATGCATTCCCTCATATTCTATCTTTGGGTTTTTACTTGACAAACTTGGTAAGTATGGCTTAAACAACTATCAATCCATGGTATACGACGTCTTACCAGATGTTCGGTACTACCAAACTTCGTTCGCTGATTCCTTAAGTGAGAATGAATTTGCCTCCAGAAGATATTTTCATTTTGCACACCTCATTGGTAACAATTCGGATATTTTGGCTAGTTTGATGGAATATCAGGTCTCGAGAAAAGATGTCCAAGCTTTCAAGCTGTTGGTCCGACTACTTGAGCCTATAAAAGTGTCTAATAGTCGTTCTTATCTTCTGCTTCCCAGTTTCATACGATCGCACGCTTCAACTTCAGCAACTATTTTTGGCGACAACCAAGAGGTACTGATTGATCTAGATACCATCAGTCGAGTAATCAGGGGCTGCGTTGAATTGAAGCAGTATACTACCCTTGACTTGATGCTCAGCAAGCTCTTCTTGAATCTGATCCAAACAAGCGACGGTGTACGTGTCATGTTGAGCGGGATCAAAGACGAGAAAGCACTAATTTTCGAGAGTGTGCCCACTTTAGCCCCTTCTTTACTCCTTACAGAGAGCATTTTACTGTCATTGGCGCGAGCTTATACTGAAAACAGGGAGAGAACCAGATCGAAGTGGTTAGTACCACACATTGATGTTTTCTTAACGACACACAAGAGCGAGAAACTTGCCCAGTATTTACCATTGTTACAAGAGATTACGATGGATCACCAGCCCATGAAAAACATGCAAGCGAGGACAGGATCAATCTCGCTTAATCTGCCAGAGGATTACGGCGTGAAGCCCCAACTGACAGTTTCTTTGATGGCATGATTGATTTGCTGGAGAATTTTTTTAGGTATTGGTACGATTAGAATTACCAGAATTGTACATAGAATATACAGGACGAAAGTATGTGATGAGCACTTCAGAAATACTCGTTCTGACGGATAACGATCCACATTAATAAGAAGAAATGAAGTTCTTAACTACTAACTTTGTTAAGTGTCCCATCAAAGCTTGCGATCTGTCTGTTGATTCTTTCCCTCTACAGTTCTCCGAGTGCCAACTTGTTCAAGAAGAACAAGAATTCAACCCGGAATTTATAGTGCATATGTTGGAGAGATTGGACTGGCCCGCCATTGTTCAAGTTGCTAAGAACTTGGGTAATGAGTCTCTTCCACAGGTAAAGCCTGAGAATTTGGACCCAATTATGGAAGATGACCAGGCTATATTGAAAGACTTGCACACTTTACTCGTGGAGACTCAAATAGTGGAAGGCAAGATGATATGCCGTAACTGCGAACACGTTTACTACGTCAAGAACTCGATTCCAAACTTCTTGTTACCTCCACATCTCTGCTAGGGAACTAGTTTGTTCTTTGCCCTACTTCGGGCCGTTCTTCGTTGTCCCATGGATTGTAGCGGCATATATTACACCCTCACCATAATTAAGACATTCGCTGGGACGCCGAATGGAGCAACTGGTGCTGAGCCGACATCTATCAACTACATAGAAATATGATAAAAAGTAAGAATGCAAGCAAATCGAATGTACCTGGTTCTAGGTGCCAGAATTTCGAGTACTCGCAGTTCATCTGAGTCTTGTACATTCTAATCACTTACAAACTTTGGTCCTCAAACATCTGTACCTCCTATATCGCTCGGTGAAACCCTTGGATAATAATAAATTAACGATTATCGAGATTTCCTCAACTCCTGCGGCAATAATACATCGCCTTAAAGACTCATAATGTCGGGAGCTGGTAACAGAGAACAGGTGTTCCCAACTCGTATGACATTGAGTGTCATGAAGGGTAAATTGAAGGGTGCTCAACAAGGACACTCGTTATTGAAGAGAAAATCGGAAGCTTTGACCAAGAGATTCAGAGATATCACCCAGAGAATCGACGATGCCAAAAGAAAGATGGGTCGTGTCATGCAAACAGCTGCCTTTTCTTTAGCGGAGGTTCAGTACGCTACCGGAGACAATATTGCCTATCAGGTTCAAGAGAGTGTCCAAAAGGCAAGATTTCAAGTTAAGGCCAAACAGGAGAATGTATCTGGTGTTTATTTGCCTACTTTCGAGAGCTTCATCAATGAGGATATCAATGACTTCAAGATGACCGGTTTGGGAAGAGGAGGACAACAGGTGCAGAAAGCTAAGTTGGTTTATACTAAGGCTGTGGAAACGTTGGTTGAGTTGGCATCTTTGCAAACTGCATTCATCATTTTGGATGAAGTTATCAAGGTTACTAATAGAAGAGTCAATGCTATTGAACATGTGATTATTCCAAGGACCGAGAACACTATTAGCTATATCAATTCTGAGTTGGACGAATTGGACAGAGAGGAATTTTACAGATTGAAGAAGGTTCAGGAGAAGAAACAAATAGCGGTTGCAGCTGAAGAGGAAGAAGAGCTTGCTAAGAGAGCTGCTAATTCAGGCGAGTCTATCTATGAAGATGAAGATGAAGAAGAAGACGAAGAAGCAGCAGCGCAAGATGCCGAACTCGAGGAGTCTGATGCAACACCTATTCCTCAAGAATCTTCTGCTCCTGCAACTGCAACCACGCTGGGAAAGAAGAAGAAGAAGAATAAGAAGAAGAAGAGCACAAAAGTTCAACCTAGCGAGAGTGAAATCATCGAAAATGTCGACAAATTGGCCAACCAAGGTGAAGTTTTGCAGAATGATGAAGAGGATGTTATCTTCTGAGCAATCTTATTCAACAATTTCCATCTTTTCCAAACGTTTTACGTAAACTAGAATACTTTCTTGACTTCCTTATTGACTATTGCAAACATCGTTTCGACTTCCGTATGGAATATAACAAAGCATGTATGTGTGATTGTAAAGATTGTCTCTTTCAATGCCTCCTCTCTAACCCGCAATTTTGATTCAGACTATGTGTGAAGGTTATGCCATTAATTGTCTACTTTGACTTTGATAACGATTTCTGCTTGCATGTAGATGTTTCCCTCGTGCAGATGAAATTTCTTATGAATTAATGAATTGGTTCATTTTTGTCTGTCTTATCTCGCTATCAAGTTTTTCTTGTTAGTCACTGTTTCTTCGCAAAGATATGGGGCTGCAAGGACCTTTCTTCGAGGGTACATGGTCGGTTGGTACATTTCAGGGTATCAGTTTCAAAACACAGTGAATAGCATCTCGGGCTGGTGACGTCTTGAGGTTGTGCTAGATAATGCCATTCTCTTCGAAACTCTATCTACTCAACACATTGTCACGCGACAAATCACTGTTAAAAACCTAAATTGTCTGGGTAATTCTGTTAAAAGAGAATGATGGAGTCGTCTATTTTAAGATTAAGAGCATGAAATGCTTCGTGCTCATTCTTTTGGTGTTATTTTCAACAACAATGGTAGAGTAGGTTTCCGAACATGGGGTTTAATATTCTTTTCTAGAATCATTTATTAAGTTCCATACGACGAAGTTAGTTGTGAAAGTAAAGCAAATGCACAATAGGACTATTAATGGGAGGCTGTTCTTTCATATAAAGGCATATAGTAGTATGCCCTAAATCTTGGATTACTTATATGAGTGTAAACCAATTAGATCAGTATCTGAAGTACCAGTGTTAATTTTTTTTTTTTATTAGAAACATTTGTATGTTAGGTACTACACCAAGAAACGCTTTTTCTTTTAGAAAAGCTGTGTATTGGTTACTATTTCGGAGATCATACTGAATAGCATGGTCATAGTCCCGTTGAAAGCAGATGAACTAAGGTTGCAAAAGTGCTGCTAATATCACCAAAACTCGGCTACGCAAGTTGCCAGTCCAGAAGATAAGATGTCAAAATGCAACGACCAACAAGTCAGCTTTAACTCAGGTCACTACAGAAAAATTTGATGCCGAAGGGGCAGAAAACTGTCCCCTTCTTGGCTCTAGAGGGCGTATTCATGTTTAATAGCACGCAATAGTCGATCAACGCATGTTCTAATTCGAAGAGGAGATGAGCGATCATTTGTGTGAGGTCAAGTTCGCCTTAGAGACCCACAGCAGTCAGCAAGGCTTTCTTACGGTTGCAAAACTGATAATATTCCTTAGTAGAGCTGCAGGGGCATCCAAAACATGCATTGGGCTCTTCATCCATTAGTAGGCTCTGACATCCAAGGGACGATGGAGCCGATTGTGAAGGGATATAATGCCTCCAAAGGGTGACCAGTTTGTCATTTCAAGTGGCAAATGGCTTTTTTTTTTTTTGAAACATTATATTAGGTACTATATCAGGGACGGCTGCATTTTTGGGAAAGATACTTTTTGATTTCATCAATATAATCGTAAAACAGAAATTAACAAATATCAAATTGGGCGTGTGGTCTAGTGGTATGATTCTCGCTTTGGGCGACGGTTCAGTACACTGAACTGAAATACAAACATGCGAGAGGCCCTGGGTTCAATTCCCAGCTCGCCCCTTTGTTTTTTTTTATTTGGATCTTTATTCTCACTTAATCTGGTTGGCTATCTTCATTTCGTCATTTCAAACAAAATTACTTCAGCTTTAACTTGCGGACTTCATGTGGTCATCCGATATGCCCGAATTCATTCGCTTGTCTGATCATCGTGATACTCTACAGCCCCACATCATTTTTTGTGGTGCGCGGTTAAACGAATCTCCACTCGAGACCTTCAAAATGTTATTTTCATACACCATTTGCGCTCAAAAATTGATTTTTTTTGGAATTATAAAAGGAATTTGGTACTATAACCTATAAGTACCCAATCCGGGCTTTAAGCATAGTGTTTTCTTCTTTGTCATGAATTTGTAGAGCTTAATTCGCAACTCCCGGCCTTTTTCGGCTTTCTCTTTGTGTCACATTTGTCTGGCAAATAAGAGCGCACCGATTCTCACATTACTAACTTTTCCCCATACATACTTATATACTGAACCAACTCCCGCGCAAGTTTTTTTCTATCCTCCAATCTTCTTGAACAATATCACAATGTTGAGAAGCCTCAGAAATTTCTCCACTTCCCGTGTGGCCAGGCAAGTCATTGGATCTGCGAAAGGTGAAACCGTCAACTCCACAAAGTACTTGGGTCAAAAATATCATGTAATTGACCACGAATACGACTGTGTGGTTGTCGGTGCTGGTGGAGCTGGACTTAGAGCCGCTTTCGGTTTGGCAGAGGCTGGTTTCAAGACTGCCTGTGTTACCAAGTTGTTTCCAACCAGATCCCACACTGTTGCCGCTCAGGGTGGTATTAACGCTGCTCTTGGAAATATGCACAAGGACGACTGGCACTGGCACATGTACGACACTGTCAAGGGTTCCGATTGGTTGGGTGACCAGGATGCTATTCATTATATGACTAAGGAGGCTCCAGATTCGATTTACGAATTGGAGAACTACGGTGTCCCATTCAGTAGAAACGAAGAAGGTAGAATATACCAGAGAGCTTTCGGTGGTCAGTCTAAGGAGTATGGTAAGGGTGGTCAGGCTTACAGAACGTGTGCTGTGGCTGACAGAACCGGTCATGCGTTGTTGCACTCCTTGTACGGTCAGTCTTTGAGACACGACACCCACTTTTTCATCGAGTTCTTCGCTATGGACTTGTTGATGGAAAACGGAGAGTGTGTGGGTATCATCGCTTACAACCAGGAAGATGGTACTTTGCACAGATTCAGAGCTCACAAGACTGTGCTTGCCACTGGTGGTTATGGTAGAGCCTACTTCTCTTGTACTTCCGCTCACACCTGTACTGGTGATGGTTACGCTATGGCTTCTAGAGCAGGTTTGCCATTGGAGGACTTGGAGTTCGTCCAGTTCCATCCATCTGGTATTTACGGTTCTGGATGTTTGATTACTGAGGGTGCCAGAGGTGAGGGTGGTTACTTGTTGAACTCGGAAGGTGAACGTTTCATGGAGCGTTATGCTCCTCATGCCAAGGACTTGGCCTCCAGAGATGTTGTCTCCAGAGCCATTACCATGGAAATCAACGAGGGAAGAGGTGTTGGTCCAGAGAAGGATCACATGTACTTGCAGTTGTCTCACATTCCGGCTGACGTTTTGAAGGCTAGATTGCCAGGTATTTCGGAAACCGCTCACATTTTTGCCGGTGTTGATGTCACCAAGGAGCCAATTCCAATTTTGCCAACTGTGCACTACAATATGGGTGGTATTCCAACCAAGTACACTGGTGAGGTTTTGAAGAAGAACGAGAAGGGCGAGGACGAGATTGTTCCAGGTTTGTTGGCCTGTGGTGAGGTTGCTTGTGCTTCCGTTCACGGTGCTAACAGATTGGGTGCCAACTCTTTGTTGGACTTGGTTGTTTTTGGTAGAGCTGTTTCCCACACTATCAGAGACTCTTTGACCCCAGGTACTCCACTTAAGCCAGTGTCTAAGGACCTTGGCTTGGAATCTATTGCTAACTTTGACAAATTGAGAAATGCCAACGGTAGCAAGCCAACTGCTGATATCAGATTGGCTATGCAGAAGACCATGCAGAAGGGATGTGCTGTCTTCAGAATTCAGGAGACTTTGGACGAGTGTGTCAGAGACATCACTAAGGTTGACGAGTCCTTCAAGGATGTAAAAACCACTGACCGTTCTATGATTTGGAACTCTGACTTGGTCGAGACTTTGGAGTTGCAAAATTTGTTGACTTGTGCCACTCAAACTGCTGCTTCTGCTGCTGCCAGACCTGAGTCTAGAGGTGCTCACGCTAGAGATGACTTCCCAGACAGAAATGATGCCGAATGGATGAAGCATACTTTGTCGTACCAGAAGGAATTCGGTGCTCCGGTTACTTTGGATTACAGAAACGTCATTTCTCACACTTTGGATGAGAATGACTGTAAGCCAGTTCCTCCAGCAAAGCGTGTGTATTAATTGCATTAGCATAGACTAGAATTTCGGACTTGAAGTTCGCGAAGATAATTTATTGTGGAACACGAAGTCTTGAGATTGAATAGTAAACAAGGTTAAAATGAGTTCATTAAAGAGTAACCAAGATTGTAAGCATCGAGTATACTATTTAGTTAATGCTATCAGAGGAAGTCCAATAAATCATTAGGATTTGTCGCCTTCTTCGGCTCTCGAGTTCCCGTTGAATTTGGTGTCAATACTAGATTAGCATTAAATCCTGGAGGGTAGTTAACTTTTGCAGTGAGCTGCCCCGATGCAATGGGGCTATTCTGAGGCTGAAGAGTCTGACCAAAGCTGTGGGTAGTTTGAGACTGGGGATGCGCTCTGGCTGAGCTCCAATCAATTGAGCTTCCATTCCCGTTCCTGCTTGGATTTGTATCTTGATATTCATCAAACTCCTCGTCCTTGTCATCAGCGCGATTCAGCGGATGTAAATTTGACACCAAGGTGCTGTTCATCGCGTTACTTCGAGCAGTGGTAGCCCCAAATGACAAGGGAGCTTTCTGGGGCTTCAAAGTCAATGGTTTCACCTTCGACCTAACTCCAACATCCTTTTGCGGTGGTTGAGGCTTCTGTTGAATATCCTTTGAGGGGGCCATTGGCTTGAACAGAGGTGTTTTCGCAATTTCATTTTTACCTCCGTGACGCAACAGTGGAGTGTTAATGATAGAATCAAAACTTGTAGCAGGGGCATGAGAACCTTCACTCAATGTTGCAAATTTTCTCTCTGTGAGACTCTTCTGGATAGTCGCAATATAGTTCATGAACTCCTGAAACTCTTGTTTGCTGCACTCATTACATCCGAAAGAAAGTCTGAAGCATTGAACGAGAATCCTGTCAACAAGAATTTCCAATTCCAAAGAAATGTGTTCACTTTGTGTCAACTGGACGAAGAATTGGAGGACATGGATAATGATCCGCTTATCGCGACTCTTGAGATTTTCAAGTACAGGGAGCAATTGTTCATTCACAATAACTCTGTCTATAGCCTTTTTCTCAATCAAAATCTGGAAAGTGCACAAAGTCTGCAACTTGGTAGATAAAACAGTTGTTGTTTTGAATACTTGACAAAGCAATGGGAAAAGGGTATTCTTCATATATGGAAAATCAATCAAGCCTGCCACAAGTTCAAGATTCTTCAAGTACAAATCTTGCAATTGAATCTGATTTGCTTGCAGATCAATATCTGAAGGTGAGAAAGTGAGACACAGATTGGCTAGCTCCTGTACAATTTCAATAACTTGCTTCGGCTGAAGCTTTTTCAAGAGCATTTCCGTGTTATTGACAATTGCAAGACGGATGTTCACAGATACTTTCGATAACTTCGTGAAAGTACTCGTCTCAGACTTTTTCGACTTGTGGGTATTGAGCAATGGTTCGTAAATGCGATCTTGGAACGACAAACTTGACAAATCCTGTCCAATTCTCAATACCACCATTAGGGAAGCACTTAAAAATTTGTCAGTGTCTGTTGTAAGCCTCGTGTTCGACAACAAATTGATTTCACTTGTGATAACCTCAACTAGTAGTGGAAGTAATTTTGAATTCTTGAAATTGGTGGGGAGCTTTGAGAGCAAATCGTCCTTCTGGTTAAGCAACCCTTCCAAGAAAACCAACTTTTCGTCAATGGTCTTTGTAGAAAATTCATCAATGAACCACATCATTTTGATCAAACTACCATTGAAGTATTCGGAGTCGATGAATTGATCGATAGAGATTCTGTCGTTTGGGTACCTTGCGAGTAACTGTGTCATTATTAGCCATAGACTCTGCGGGACCCCTTTGAGTAGATAACGAAGCTCAGATGGATGGTGATTGTAAAATTTCTGCTGAAACTTTCGAAATTCATCCTTAAAGTCTGATGGACTGTTGTTGTCAAAACAATCAATTAAGTACTCACCTTTATTGTACAAGAAAAATATTAGGACTCCTAGAGACCATATATCATTTGGATTACCCAACTTGAGTCCAGCAGAGTCAACAATCAATTCCGGAGCTGTAAAGTTGACATTGAGATTGGCAAATGGCACCACGGAAGAGTTGTTCATAATGTAGAAATTCTCTCTCTCCAGTGAACTTATGTCATTCAAGTTCTGTAAAAATTTGAAGCCAGCCAATTTCCAGTCGCCTTGCGCATTGACAAAAACGGATTGGGGTTGTAAATTCAAGTGTACAATTGAACAATAATTATGCAAAAATTGCAAACCTTTGCTAATTTCAAGCAAGCCCTTCTGAATGCTTAATTCATCTTCTTTATTCAAATCTAAAGTATTCAAGGTTGCCACCACAGGTTCACTGACGAATAAAAATTTCAGTTTCGTCTCTTCCAAAACTTCAATGATTGTCAAGATCTGAGGATGCTTCAACTTTGTCAATTGTGAAACTTCATACTTCACTAGCTCATAACACTCGCTTATGATTAACTTTGGATTTTTGGTATTGGGAGACTGGGAGCATATTCTATTTACCAGGGTTTCGAATTTCGTTTTATCAAAAATGAACACTGAGACCACTTTCCCAGTCAGCTTATGCTTTGCCGGATAGACACTCCAGCTATCAGTCTGAAAAGACAGGTTGTCAGAAACATTGTAAATGCCTCTAATTCCTGTCTTAAAGACGGACTTGAACATATCTGATGTGCTTCGGTTCTGTTGACGTGGTGAATCCTATGACAGAACCTTAAAGACCTGCAGGTTGTCGTTTGTGGATATCTGTAATGCCAAATAAAGAGAAGGCTCTCTTTCTCAAAGGAAGTAAATCTATAAGTTTCACTGTCAGAAACTTGCAATGGAGCCTCTTATAAACTATTCGGCGGATTTTTTTTTTGCGTGGATAGGAATAACTACAATAGTACAGAAATTTGCTGACACCAGTAGTGATTTGCAAGTTTCTAAAATTAATGAGAATAGGATAGAATATCCAGAAATCGTTTTACTCGATAAAAAAATAAACATATGTTGAAATATACTTAGACCTCGAACTTAGGAAAATAACAGATAATTTTGGGGCCGCTAAGTTTCTTTGTAACTCAATTTCAAAGCAATGTCGTCGTGTGGAAGCTTAAGGATATTCTTGATCCGAACTTTCTAGTGGAAACGCCCAACAAAATAAATAATGTAGTTGATTTATTTCTGAGCCATATATGGAGAAGTTTCTATGAATTCTAACTTCCACCAGAATCCAATTATCTGCAATTGTATCTAATATTATTCGATTTACCCATTATTCCTATCACGTGACCAGTCATCCTACCAACATTGAAGTCAATTAACACTTCCTAAAAAGCAGAAATATGGAACTTCTTGAGGAAACATTCACCAATTCTGCAGAGAGATTGGACAAGCCATCCCAGTATCTTATTCGTAAGGCAATTAGGAGGGCAAACTTCGATAACATCACAAAATCGTTGCATCTGAAGACAGTCTATGTTGGAAATCTAACACATTTCACAACTGAGGAACAAATCCATGAATTATTCTCCAAGTGTGGCACCATCGATAGAATTATCATGGGTCTAGACAGAAATAAATTAACCCCATGTGGGTTCTGTTTTGTGATTTACAAAAAGGAGGAAGGTTCTTTAAATGCCATGAAGTTTCTAAAGGGCACGTACTTGGACGGACAGAGCATAGAAATCGACTTGGACCCGGGTTTCAGAGAAGGAAGACAATTTGGAAGAGGAGTTTATGGTGGTCAGGCCAGTCAGGAGCAGATGGAAGCTAATGGGTACGGCCGAAGAGAGCGAGGAGGATTCAGAGGTGGCTTTCGTGGAGGCAGAGGCAGAGGCAGAGGCAGAGGACCTAGAGGCGGATTCAGGGGTCGTGGTGGGTTCCGGGGAGGATTCAGGGATACTTTCACACCTGGAGATAGGCAACAATAATGGTCAATCGTTTTGGTGATTACACAATAATTATGGAAGTGTTTATTTACTAAGCAACAGAAGTTTTCACAGATTTTGTAGCTAATCAAGAGAAAGTCCCAAAGCCTCACGCTGGGACTTCGATTCAGGGTCGAAGAAAGGAATCTCAGCCAAAGCAGTGACACGAGTTCCGTGTCTGTAGTCGTCCACGAAGTCGTAATCGTTAATAGCGTTGTGCTGAGAGACACGGTTATCCCAGATAGCAGAAGTACCCAAACCTTCCTTGGTTGGCTGCCAAGTCCAACGAACTTGAATATCCAAGTTCTTCTCAAAGACATCGAACAAGTAGTCGAGAATGAGCTTCGATTCACCCTCCTGCAAACCCACAATACGAACTGTCATCGCACGGTTGACAAACAACGACTTCCATCCAGTAGCAGGATGAGTCCTCACAATTGGGTGCTCTCTCTCCACGTAAACTGGTCCCTTGAGAGGATTCTCTCTGTCCAAGTAAGCGTGAGCAGAACGGTAAATGGCAGTCTTTCCGTCCAAGAACTTCTGGAGAGCAGGTGACAACTTGTCGTAGGCGGCATATCCAGATGACCAGGCAGTGTCACCTCCAACAGGAGGAATTGCGTCCAAGTGCAAGTGAGTAAGACCTGCCGGTTGCTTTTCATGGACCAAGTCAGTGTGCCACAGCGAGGTGATTCCCCTGTTCTTGAAGGAGTCATCAACACCAAAGTGGCTGTTTAAGAATCTACGCCAGATCACAGAGATACCAGATCCCTTAGCGAACTCCTCAGCTTCTCTTTCAGGCAATGGAACGAATGAAGCTTGAGGGTGTCTCTCAATTTGTCCCCAGTACTCGCCCAAAGATAATTGTTCTTGAGGAGAGAGATCCTGATCTCTAAAGAAAACGACGACTCTTTCGGCAACCAAGAGAGCCAATTCGTCCTTCTGTTGCTCGGTCAAGTCCTTCAATTGTAATCCAACAATCTCAGTACCAATGTGCTTGGTCAAGTCACGGACTTCCTTCGCAGCACCCAAGAGAGCTTTCTTCTCCTTGTCGGCCTTCAAGGCTCTTTCCTCGTAAGGAAACTCCTTGTTTCTGATAGCATACGCCTCATCCAAGAAACGTGGAATCTCATTTGCAGGGGGGAATGCTGGGTAACCCTGCGAAATATCAATACCAGCCTTCTCCAATCTATCGCGAGTTGTCTTTGGAATCTTGTCAATCCACTCCTTCTGAGGGCCATCAATGACCTTGGAGTTAGCCCGCTTACCAAAAGATAATGGCTTCAAGGTTGTCAATTTACGAATAACATTATCGATGTTTTCCTCAATTGGTGCTGATGCTGGAGCTGGAGCTGGGGCCATTTTAGGTTTTCTTTTGTAATTTTTATCTTCTCTGAAGAGATTGATTGAAGGGAAACTGTCATGAATTTACGCTACCTTTTATAGTATTGGAGGCTTACTAATCCCGGTTCGTAACTTGATAGGGATCAGAGTTGTGGACCATCAAATTGTGGAGATTGAACTGCATGGTTCAATGTGGCTCTCGATATAACCTTCAGGAGAACCACGTTTGATCCCCGAATCATACATAAATAAAAATTGTGGGCATGATGATAACAAGTGTGGCAGGAAATAGGTAAGTGGTTCGATTTACTCCCGCGTTGTTTAATTGTGTATTTTAAAGACAATGGCACGAAGAACTAATTGAACGATAAGAAGCAGAAACTCTGTAGTATAATAAATTTTGAAAGTTGTGGCCCATAACGACAGGAATCAAGCAACACACTTATTGTAATCGTCGACTTTGAATCCAATGATATCGCAGTAATTGTTAACATAACAGTCACTTGTGATACTTGTCTTATTGTCACAGCTTGGGACATATGGGTTAAGTCTGTACAACAAATTGGTGTACAATTGGTTAAAATCAATATCGGTTTCATTTTTAATTTTTTGAACGACAAACTTATCCCAGAAGGTTGCGTTCAAAGGAGAAGTGGCTGGCCACTCTCCGTCCGGGTCGTATGTGTCCCTGGGACTGTATTCATACTTCCATTGAGGTTCTGCAGAACCCCCAACCCAAGTCTCATTGAGTGGAGAAAAGTAATTAAACGCATTGATCACATTGAAGGACTCATCTTGGACTTGGTAGTATCTCCATGAGGGATTGGCTGGACCCAATGGAGTGATGGCTTGAGAAATCCAAGCCATGTTGATTGGATCCTTATCATTGTTGTATAACACTTTGAATTGATCTTTATGAGTGTGACCGTAAAAGATATTTGCAATGGTGTATGGCGAAAACCTCTCAACAATTTTGGCAAAGATGTTCGATTGGATTGGTAAAGTGTCATAGTCTCCAGGTGAGATGTGAGCCAAGATCCAAACACGTTGACCAATTTTTTCACTCTCGACCAATTCATTAATCAAGAATTCCCACTGACCAAATAAGTCTGCCTCAACTTCCATATTTATGTAGTTGTATAAGTTTTTTTGGTAGTAACAGTTGGAGTTCAAGGAAATAACTTTGAGCCCTCTCTTGGTAGTGGTTGCAAATGCGGCATAGTGGTTGGTGATTTCGTCTGGGTCGGATTCAGGGAGCCAGCCGTTCGAAGTCCAAAGCTCGGCCATTAATTCCTCATTCCAATGGTAAATAGACTCGTTCAAAGTCTTGTTGTACAAAGAATGTGGGGCTAATTGACCGTAGGGGAAGGTGTCATGATTTCCCAAAGTTGGATAAAGAGGAATCTGGTTAAAATACTGCTTCATCATCTTGAACGTACGAACCTCTGCGTCTCTGGTGACATTGGCGTCACAATGTATCATATCATGATCGACTATGTCACCAGTAAAAATGGCAAATTCGTAGTTGTTCAGCTCACTTGTGCTTCCAATGTACTTGAAGGTATGGTTTAACATGACCTCAGGAACATCACAGTTGTAGTTTCCCCAAGTGGAAGCTGGTGTCCATGCCCAGTTCCATCCCCGATATAATGGGAAATCGTAGTATTCCCCAGGAATGTACGTCTCGTTTTCAAAATGAGCATCGGGATAGAAGTTCAACTCAATTTTGCCAGCCCCCGTATCATTGTAGACGTTCGTAAAGTTATATGTGGATTTTGTCAAATCCCGATTGTAAGATTCTGGAAGGCAACAAGGACTGCTACTACAATTGGCTTCTGAACCCACTTGATAACGAAGCTCGTTGTGTACATCCGACAAGTGCAACACATTAAAAAGCTCAAGAGACGAGTTATATTCTGGTTCAGAATAATACCTTTCATCCTTTGCTGGCCACATAGAGTCCAAATCAATAATGGTCGAAATGTCGGGGGTCTTGGGCAACTTGCAATACTTACCCTTGTAGTAACAATAGTAGTTGAGAGAGAGATCAGAGGTTATGTTGATATTCTTGATCATCTGAACGAAGTCATTGTCAAAGAAGTTGAGGGAGGTAGCACCGTTGAAGGCTCCACCGTTACCTGAGTCCACCGTCACCTTGTGGCCTGTATCGTAGGTGTTGGTAGTTATAAAGAAATCAACGAAATCACAGCTAGAGTCTTTGTTCTTGTTCAAGGAAAGACAGTACTGATATAACATCAAGGAAACCAAATAATGCTTATCTTCATCCTCCTTTATCAAATTCTGGGAGTATTTGATCTTATTATGGCATTTTTCACAAGAAGTTCCATTGAAATTTTGTAAAGCAAGTAAATGCTTAGAAATGAAATCTTGCTCATCAATGGTCAATGAGTTCAAAACGTCATCAATGACTGAACCATACTGAACGCCACGGGCACTAATTTGGGTTCTAATGGAGTCAATGTTGTCGACTATCTGCGCAACAGCACCAATTGACCAAATGGCTGCAAAAAAGAGTTTCCCTAATAACATTTCATAAGGTATGATAAAAGGAAAAGTTCTCGAGAAAAGAAATTACAATAATTATCAGAGACAATTTGGTACTCCGGAGATTCATTTTTATATATGAGGTTCGAGGCACAAAGATCTTTATTACTGATCTACTCCTACACGTGGAGCAATCAGGAACCATGCGACACATGCACTCCCGCTAAAGGGGAATTGGAACGTGGAGAATCGGGATGATTAGGCAGAAGACTGCGTTCTGATCAGAACATCATTGAAGAGGGGTATCCAACGATATTTTACCACAATTGTTTATACATTCAAGCTTCGAAAGAGGTAGCAATTTGTACGATAATTGGACTGATGGCAATTCTGACAGATCTGGTGTGCAATTTTGACAGCTTTTTGAACTAATTAGCATGTTCGCACCTTGGCGACTTAATTTCTTTTCCGATAGCCGGTGATCTTCTTAATGAAATTAAAATCTATTACTTTTATTAAAGTGTGTTTAATAATCCTTCATCATTCGCAGGACGGGCATTACAAGGAGTTGTTTGATGATTCCTTTCCGTCCGAAACTTCAACCCGCTGAACATCAATTGGTTCAGGATCAGTCTTAGAATTGTACAACACAATTCCGTTTTCTCTAGCATAGCTTCTTTCCTGTCTCTTGTAGAACCACAAAACGACAAGAGTCCAGACGCACAATGCAAATGCACAGGATGCGGTCCATGAAAAACCCTTCAAGAAACGTGGTGCCTCAACAGTCTTCCATACAATGACAGACATCCATGCAGTCGAGGCCTGAGCCAACATGTTCATGAACACCAAAATGACAGCTCTCTTCTGGGCATCTCTACGACAAATATCGTTTTGCCAAGAATACAACACTGGTGCCATGGCCCAACCGAAGTATTGTAAACACCAAGCAAACCATTTAAGTCTCTCGGGAACGTACCAGACAGCCAAAATGACATTACATGCGATGTTGAAAACTTGAGAGAGCCAGATAGCCAGCCATCTCAGGTGGAACAAGTCAGCATACATACATGTGACGAACAACCACAACAAACCAAGTCCTGGAGTCAAAGCACTATAATCTTGAAGCTTCCCAGCACCGTATCTGTTAAGAGATTTAAGCCACAAGATGTAGGAACCAGAAGATGCGTTACTGTTGTTCCAACAGAGCAAGTTCCAGAAAGACAAAACGTAAATTTCCCAGGAGAAAATGATCTGCTTCCAAGTTGCCCAAGAAAAAAGAGATTTTAATACATCGACCTGTGTTCTACCAGCAGTATTATTCTGTCTCAATTTTTTACGCAACAATCTGATCTCATCATCAGTCAACCAAATGGAGTAACAATCGGTTGGAGTTCCTGGAAGCATATAGAAACCAATGATTCCAACTACAACTGAGATAATGCCATCGATAATAAAAATCCATCTCCATGCAGCCATTCCTCCAACACCTTCAAATCTTCTGACAACGGCACCAGAAAGCAAACCCGAGGTCAAAGTTCCAAGGTACTGCCCGAAGTAATAGAACATGGATCTTCTGGCAATCATTGCTGGGTTGAAAATAAATGAACCGAACAAATATTGATATGCCAAATACGAAGGTGCTTCAAAAGCTCCGATGAAAAAACGGATGACCTTCAATTGATGAAGACTGTGGACTCTAGAAGCACCAATTGTCAAGAGAGACCAACAAAGATCCAAAATCGGCAAAACGTAATTCAATGGCAATCCGTACAAAACGTACATAAAAGGGATCTGGAAGACAATGTTACCAACACTGAAAAGAACCTGCGTGTTCACCAAGTCATTGCCTTTCATTCCAATATCAGTTTTGAGGCCTGCAACATAGGCATTATTCAAATTAGTCTGGTCCAAATATTTAACCCAATAAGCCATAAAGGCGTAGAAAGTCAATAAGATGTCGATCTTCCACATCAACTTGCGCTCTGCTGGAGTATCATTCTCGTCAAACCATTTGTACCACTTGTGAGTCTTGCGGTTATGGGAGTTGAGTCTGTATTCGTACTCATCGAAAAACTTGTACCAAGGACGGTGTGCCTCATCGCGGTATTCCAAAAGTGGCTGATTCTCCTCTTCGTCTTCCTTTTTGGCACCCTCTTGAAGATCTTCTGGCGCATCCCTGGCCGCAATTTCCTCTTCAGAGAGATCTTCATCCACAATTCTCCTGACAGGGATGAAACCCCATTTAAGTCTACTGAGAGGCTCTTTTATCCACAGCATACTATTGAAATTTTTCACAGCTTCAAGAAAAAAGTTTTGCTTGGGATCTTATAACATTTCTACTGTGGTTGCAAATTCTGCAGATGAGAAGCCGCATGAGGCTATAAGTCACCGAATCTCACGTGAGAGCTTTAATTACTAGCGAAAACGGTATCTAAGATTCATGATCTGCTAAGATAACGTCTTCCAAAGGTCTGACATTCTTGAACAAGTGACAAAGATAAACTACATTGATATATGTAGGTGCCAAGCAAATGATTTGGCTTGACAGGTCAAGTCTTATAGAGCGGGTAAAATGGAATTGTGAGTTTTCTTGATTCCTGCCCGGCATATCTTGGCCCACACTAATTTATGAAAGCGGAAATTTTCCGTACCAAACGTCCGGGACATTAGCCGATTATCCGCAGTAACCGAAGTAACCGCCCTACAACGAAATGTACAACACACGACCGACAAACTTCATTAGCCGTGAGTTAATCACGTGACTCAATCCTTGGGAAGATGCACGGATGTTTACCTGGAACTCTTATCACTAAGCAATAGAAACCCCACGACCATCCGTCAGCACAAACATGTCCCAATCATCTAGAAAGAAGCTCCTTTTGATGGGCAGATCTGGCTCAGGCAAGTCTTCTATGCGCTCGATAATTTTTTCCAATTACTCGGCCTTTGATACCCGTCGTCTTGGTGCTACTATCGACGTCGAACATTCACACTTACGGTTCTTGGGCAACATGACGTTGAATTTGTGGGATTGTGGAGGTCAAGACGTATTTATGGAGAACTACTTTACCACTCAAAAGGACCATATATTCAAGATGGTCCAGGTTCTTATACATGTGTTTGATGTTGAATCCAAGTCCATCAATAAAGACATTGAGATTTTCGTCAAGGCGCTTACCAATTTGCAGAAGTTCAGTCCCGATGCAAAAATATTTGTTTTACTACATAAAATGGATCTTGTGCAAATCGACAAGAGAGAGGAGCTTTTTGTGATCATGATGGAGAAGTTGCAGAAGATCTCCAATCCATTTCAATTTAAGCTTGTTGGGTTCCCCACTTCCATCTGGGACGAGTCCTTATACAAAGCTTGGTCGCTGATTGTTTGCTCTCTCATCCCTAATATGAACTTGTTCAACAGCAACTTGTTGAAGTTTAACCAGGTTCTCGATGCTGAGGAGATTATTTTATTTGAGAAGACTACTTTCTTGGTGATATCGTCCACAGCTTCAATCCAGTATCAGATGCAGCATCAGAATGGCAATCAAGCTAATGGTCTGACAGAGGTCTTGGATCCAAAGCGATTTGAGAAGATTTCCAATATCATTAAAACATACAAACAATCGATTTCAAAGCTTAGAACAAACTTCCACAACCTCGTGATTCGTGGCTCCAACGGCTCGCACTTCTACATTGACATACTCACCGATAATCTTTTTATTATGATTGTTCTTAAGGAAAAGGAGACCCAACAGAATTTCATTAGCAGCCATGAAGATTTAGTCATCTTAGAGAACATTAAAGCTGCTAGAAGATGGTTCGAAAAGATTGAAACAGGAAAATAAGTCAAGAAATTCAGAAACTCCAGAGATGTAATACAGGAGGAAAACAATAGATGGTTGAAAGAAACAGCCCTGATGAGCGTAAGAAAAATATACATTTCTAGATCCTCGCTCGTTGGCGGCAGGACTTTCAGAAATCTACACAATACAATAGATGCCTAACTTAGAAGTGGTAAAGTGAATGTGTGAATACGGTGTCGTACAACATGGTTCGTTTAGGGTAGTCGGTAGGGATTAGATGCAGTATGTAGTAATATAATAAAACTGCTGCGCGGCCATCTACTGGAGATCAGGATTCTTCACGTTCTTCTTTCTATACTCCCTCTTTGAAATTCGAAGAACCCTGGATATTTGTGGCTCGAGGTCTATTCAAGCTGTGAAATTTTATTGGTGATACTTTATCTGACTTGAAGATCACCCCGTCACACCCAATTCGAAGCAGTTCTTACCGTCGTACCCTATACGACAACTTCACACCAGCATCCAACTCAGCCATCTAAACAATGGGTAAATTACTTCAACTTCTTGCACATCCCACTGAGCTTCGTGCGGCCATCCAGTTCTTCGGCTTCAAGAAATCATTGTACCCTTTTGACCTTTCCAAATCGCCAGAGTCTTTGAGAAAATGTTACGAGTACTTAAACATTACTTCGCGTTCTTTTGCTTCGGTCATCAAGGAATTACACCCTGAATTGAGAGATGCCGTGATGATCTTCTACTTGGTTTTGAGAGCGTTGGATACCGTAGAAGATGACATGACTATCGATCCAAAAATCAAAGTTCCATTATTGAGAGGGTTCCACGAAAAATTGAACTCGAAAGATTGGACTTTCGATGGAAATTCTCCTACTGAAAAGGACAGAATTGTTCTAGTTGAATTCAATAATGTCTTGACTGAATATCACAAGTTGAAACCACTGTACCAGGACATTGTCAAGAGAATAACCCTTGAAATGGGAAATGGAATGGCCGATTACATCTTGGACGATAACTTTAACAGAGATGGCGTTGCCACTGTGAAGGACTACGATTTGTACTGTCACTACGTTGCTGGCCTTGTTGGCGAAGGATTGAGTGACCTTATGGTTTTGGCTAACTTTGCAGACACCGAGGTTCAAGCAGACAACTACAGATTATCTGAATCTATGGGGTTATTCTTGCAAAAGACTAACATTATTAGAGATTACTATGAGGACTTGGAGGATGGCAGATCCTTCTATCCTCGTGAAATTTGGTCCAAGTACACTGACCTGTTATCAAACTTCCACAACAAACCAGAAGACAGAGGCAAAGGCGTGGAGTGTATCAACGATCTTGTTTTGAATGCTTTGGGACATGTTACTGATGTGTTGACGTATTTATCTTTGATCAGAGAGGCCACGAGTTTCAACTTCTGCGCTATTCCTCAAGTTATGGCCATTGCAACTTTGGCGGAGATTTACAACAACGAGAAGGTGTTGGACAGGAACGTCAAAATCAGAAAGGGTACTACATGCAACTTGATTCTTAATTCCAGAACGTTACCTGATGTTGTAAAAATCTTCCGCAAATATGTCAGAGTGATAAACCAAAAGTCCGATGTCAGAGACCCTAACTATTTGAAGATTGGAATCAAGTTGGGTGAGATTGAGCAATTCTGTGAGGTCATGTATCCATCCAAGGATGCTATTCCAGCTGGTGTGGTGAAGCAGGCACAGGAGATCAATGTGAACATTGCAAAGAGAGGTAACTTCGATGTTGATGGTGCCAATTTCGTCAAGTGGGAGGAACTGCAATGTAATGCAGTCATTGTACTTGCCGTTAGTGCGCTCGCAACCTTAGTTGTTTTCATTATCAACAGAAACTTTTAATCGAACACCTGCCATTTGCATCTGAGCCATGCTAAAGTGCTGTATTTACTGTGAGTATATGTATCTTGGATAGAGTCCACGTTTTGTGTTGGAGTTTGTAGAATGAAATTATTAGCAATCATCCGATTTGAAGTCTGCATTGGAGTTCGAATAAGTCATGTAGTATCGTAACTTCATTAATTTTACATTCTGTTCAGCCCCAATTGATTTCCACTTTCTTACTGATCCAAATCAACCGATCCGGACCGTCAGGATTAGCTCCGCCTTCTTGCATACAGTACTACCCCATATACTTGTAATATTAAGAAATATGTGAATCTTGGAGGCACAGTCAAAGTATTGAAAGCCAATTCTTCATCTTTTCTTGAGCTGCAATTGGGTAACATACTATAAATTTGCTTAAAAATGTCTGAAGTGGAATTTCCTGTCAAGACTATCAGATGGTCTCAGTACGAGCAGCTGACACCGATTTTGCTTCAAGAGGAGAATGGGCCGTGTCCATTGCTTGCGTTGGTCAATACCTTGTTACTCAGATCTGACATTGAAGCTCGAACTTGGGACTTAGAGGATTCAGCACGAGATTTCAATGTTGTGATCGACGACTCTTCTGCCCCAGTTGATAATGCTCCAATAGAGGGAAGTAGTAGTGGAGGAGCTTTCAAGAAAAAGAGACAAGACACATCCAAGTCACGTTCGCTCTTGAAGAAAAACGTGGGTGATCGTGTGCTGTTGGCGGATATTTTAGGCTGTTTGGGTGATTTGCTACTTGACTTGACCAATGTGGATTCGGAGGTAATCAATACATTATTGGAGAACCTTCCTCTCTTACATACGGGATTAGACGTGAATCCCAATTTGTATACTGGAAGATTTCCTAGTGATTTCGCGTCTCAGATCTTCTCCGTCTTCGAATTGAATTTTGTCCATGCATGGCGCTGGGAACCTTGTATAGAGTCGCCTGCTGACCGAGTATTCCGGGAATTGCAGACCTTTGATGGCATACACGATTATTTGCTTGGAAGTGCGTCTGAGGGTGATGCTGAAGCCAAGCACGATGTGCGGTCCTGGCTTGAGGACAATAGTACCCAATTGACGGCTTATGGACTTCAGAAATTAGACAGCGAGGTAAAAGAAGATCTGGTGGCTGTTTTCTTCCGTAATAACCACTTTTCCACCTTGTATAAGGCCAACGATCATGGGTTCTATTTGCTTATCACAGACACTGTGTTTTTAAAGTCCAACAAGTACGTCTGGCAGTCTCTCAACTCTGCATCTGGAGGGGACGATATCTTTTTTACGGGGGAGTTTCTTCCAATTCTCGACAACAGCGACTTTCATGTTGAAGCAGACGAGGAAGATGATATGAAATTATTACAACGGCTACAGGAGAAAGAAGACTCAGAGTATGCTAAAAGGTTACAGAGAAACTACGATACTAAAAAGACGCCCAAGAAGCAAGGTAAAACAGGTTCAGAGGCAGCAGTTGGACCTGTCTCGCAAGGCGTTTCTCAAGACACCATCGAGTCGAACGAAAAGACTAAAGGGAAGAAAAGCAAGAGAAGGCCCAACTGTGTAATTTGCTAAGTTCTTTCATTCAGAATCACCACCTCTATTCTCTACTACAAATCAGTGATTCAAACTAAAGTGAGTTATTTGTACTTTCTCTGTCAATTTTTAACTTTATTACATCTAACTACTCTCAGCCTCGGTGGCTCTATCAAACTCTGCTGCAATGTCTTCCTCCCCGTTGTCATTGCCAGCGAATTCGGCATCTTCCTCGTCGTCCTCCTCGTCTTCTCCTTCATACTCCATTGGATCATACTCAGAGCGAATATTGTCCATCCTTTTCAACTCATTAGTGTTTGGTTCACGTACCTTGAAATTGAGGACATCTGTGGTGCTTTCGTTCAAGAACCTGTTGATTTCTGTATTTGTAGATGCTCTGTGCTTTTTCAACTCCACACGTCCCGAAATAGGATAGTAGTATGCAGCTTTACGTTTCTTAGAGCCCGGCTCTTCGGAAACAAATTTCAATGCAAGCTCCTCGAGAGGTTTACTGAACCTCTGGTATTGCATGTCGAAGTTCTTGAAGTGCTTGAATTTGAAAACTTCCAAGTCTTGATCCTCATCATCTAATAAGTTAACCGGTTGCTCTTTTTCCGTAGAGGTCAACTTTTCGGCTAAGTCTTCCACGCCCTTCTTGTCTTTCATGTGGTAGAAACTCACCCACTCACCATCCTCAGAAGTAATTGGCTTGTAGATAGCCGTCAATAACGATTTCCTCTGGAATTCCTCGTCATAAGACGATCCCTCCTTTCGCTTCAAAGTTTGCAATTCTCTGTTCAATGATGCAGATCCAGTAAACTTGACAGACAAAAACTTGGTGTCCATCATTGAAGTGTCTGGCAAAAGTGGCCAGGCAGCAACCGCACGCAATTGCTTCTTACGTGGGTGTCTCAATTTTGTTATCTCGTTCAACGAATCTTGTGCACGGTCAAAACTCTGTTCCACAGCCTGCAACTGAGCTTCTGGATCAATTTGCTCTTGCTCCTCCTTTCTGGCAGCGGAGGCAGCTCTGTCTTCACTTCGACTTGTGGCCAGTCGTTCAGCAATGTACTCAGTTCTTCTCAAGAAGGAAACACCTGGCTCAGACTTGTTGATATTGCCGATACCTGCGTCTCTCATAAGAACTTTGTCTTTTGGATGTAAAGGCACAGCGTTGTTAGCAAAGATGGCCTTTTCGTTGGAACCGTCCAAGAAGCCACGGCTCTGAAGTGGGTTGATAGGCATTCCATATTCTTCGTCCACCTGGCCAATGAACAGGAGAAAGTTTTCCTTTCTGAAAAGCGAACTCATAAGATTCTCATTTTCTTCGTGTGGTGTAGTTTGCTCACTCACATTGTACTTGAGAAATTTGGGGTGCAAAGGTGGCGGAGGCAAGTTATTGATGTAACGAACCTTGGCAATATAGTCCTGCCTCACAGGCTTTTGTGGCTTTGACATGGTTCCAGCGTCTATTGGTGCCATCAAAATGTTGATTTTCAGTTGACCGGTCGTGCGAAACACATAAATTAGGAACACTATTGTTATTTGGGACACAGTTACGAAGCCTAATATATTCTGTTTTGTAATGATCTAATGTTCATTGATCTAAAAATAATAATAGTGTTGGTATTGGTATCTCGCAGAGATTTCTAAAACAGAGCGTTTAAAACTTCTTGATGATCTCGTAGAATGTCTTACCCTGAGTTTCGGCAATCTCTAACTCCAAAGGAGTCACCTCCCTCTTTCCATCGCCTCCAGCAAATGTTCCCGCTCCCCAAGGAGATCCACCATGGACTTGACTGTTATCAGCTTGACCTGGATGAGCATAACCCAATGGAACGTAGACAATTCCGTGGTGAGCCAACGTAGACAATGTGCTAATGACAGTGGTCTCTTGACCTCCACCCAAAGTACCGGTACTAACGAACACACCGGCAGGCTTTCCTCTCAAAGCACCCTGAGCCCACAAAGCACCGGTTTGGTCCCAGAAGTTCTTGAATTGAGTGGGGAAGTTTCCATATCTAGTAGGAATTCCAAACAAGAAAGAATCATACTCCTTCAAAGTATCAACAGAGGCCACAGGAACTTCTGGCCTCTCAATTCCTCCCAATTTCTTCACCAAGGACTCTGGCAAAGTCTCCTCCACCTTGAAAATATCAGCTACTCCTCCAGCACCAATGATACCTTTTTGCTGAGCCAATGCCAACTTGTGGATGTGGTGGTAAAGAGAATAAGTAATGATTGCAGTTTTTGGAGCCATTGTGTTAGAGTGGAAATTGAAAATATCTAGTAGTGTGGAGTAAGCGAGAATGGAATAGCAATTTATACCTACTAAGGGCCCTGCATGTTCTAGATAGGAGATAATGCCATGACAGACACATAAGGAAAAAGATGTGGCATCTTGGGGTTTGTCGGGTCACATTTTTACGGATGCCTGGAACCAGCGTATGTGATATGTCACAAACTTTATAATATTTAGTAATGAGAATGAGAATGTCTTTAGTAACGGCATATTCTACTATGGAGGAACAATTGGGTTGGGAGTGATGGCACTGGGGCGGGAGTATTGAATAAGACTAATCAAGAAAAATAAATTGCTTAGTAAATACTTGTTCGTTAATGAGGGAAGAATTTAGGAAATCCAGTTAAAAAGATCACTCAAACGTATATTTTCTCTCGTTCAATTTTCTATTATTTTACAGCCAAGAACAGAACCAGGACGGAACTGAGTTTTTAACAACTCTACTCGTCTTCATATAAAGTAGGGTCCTGATGTCCCCAAGTAATCACTTCATGAGAATCTGGCTTGTCCAAAGCGTGCAAAATGTTAATGTCTAAATCGACTTTACCCAGATGAACATCGTCATCCAAGACGTTATCAGAAGCCACGGGGGTAGGCAATACATCGAAGTTCTGCTTGATTCTGTCCTTGTGGACAGTTTTAGCCAATACGATAAAGCCTTGAAGATAAGACCATTTAAGCAAGATTTCTGCCTTTGGAATCTTGTACTTATATTCCAACTCCAATAATTCGGGATCATTGAGCTTGGCCCCTTGAGTTAATGGGGAGTAGGCTTCAACCAAAACTCCCTTCGACACCAAATATTCTCTCAACTTCAATTGTGGCAACCATGGGTGCAACTCCAATTGGTCGACAGCTGGGTGCACAATAAGACCATCCCAGTTAAAAATCTCCTCAAGATGTTTAATTCCGAAATTGGACACGCCAATAGTATGGATCTGCAAGAGATCATTACCTGGGTCACACACCAACTCTTGCAATGCTTTCCAAGACCCTAAACGCTTCTCCTTTGAGGTCTTTGGAGAGTGCAATAAGACCATATCCACATACTCAATATGCTTTTTGACTCTGGAGGCGATTTCACCAACTTCCTTTCTGGTCAATTCATAACCATGCAGTTCATTAGTAATCTTGGTGGTGAACCAAATGTCACGTCTGGACACATCTGGGTGGTCCTTCAAGAACGCAGCAATTGCAGAGGCCGCCTCCTCTTCGTTGCGGTAGTACACCGCAGAGTCAATGTGGCGATAACCCTGAACTAAAGCTTCGTACACTAGGTCATAGGTCTGATTGGGAGGAACTGCGTAGATTCCGAAAGCTGCCACAGGAATGTGAAGTCCGTTATTAAGTTTGTATTTTGATGCGGAGGTTAATTGAATAGAAGTAGTGAGATTGGACATTTTTAATAATATAAAGACTGGCTTATTGATGGACGCCCGTGGATATTTATACTTTTAATTACTAGCCTGCATAATGGCATAGCACGTAATGTGCCCGATTGCTTTGCTATGACATAGGGAACTCCTGGATGTACACTTGCTGTTTTTGGACAAAACAAAGTCTGCAATTCATTGCAAGTTAATCAATGGTTTGGAAATCCTGATAGAAAAGTGAATATAACAAGACTTTATTCATTAATGATATGAGAGCAATTGTCGGGGAAATGTAAATTCGCATCGTGGAGATTATCATCGCTAACCAGATTAGGCAGGATTATTAGTACAAAGTTCTGGTTACATTATTGTGCCTGAACCCAAATTTGAAAAAAAAAAACACAAGGTAAATGGCCCATTGATAACCACTTCACGCTGTGTTACTCGCACTTCAGTCTAGCAATATAACTAGGTTGTCAACCCTAAAGATAAGACACAGATGTGGCGTCTCCGATGTGTACCAAGTTGCCATTTAGCTTATAGTGCTGTTATAGAGGAAAATATAGCTCATTGAAACAGGTCATCTATATTCTCTGGAAACCCTCAATGGGCGTGCAATTGAAGATTGTGACCTTCCAATCTCAATCTAGTAGAATTTATGAGGAGTAACAAAGTGATATACACCACTAAACTTTTCGGACGACAAAGACAAAACATTATTTAAAATAAGTGATAATAACAAAAATAAAGGTGGCTCAGCTCATAAAATCCAATAGAGATCTCTCATACTCTTTTTTCGACACTGACAGACACCCATAAACGTTGCTTTATTGAGGTCAGATACCCCAACTAAAAACACCTGTACACCTCAGAACCAACCTTATCAAATACACTCCTCGGGGCCTTCCCGCCTGTATTGCTTATCCTTCATGTCCACACGAAACAAGACATTATTGAAGGTCATCATCTTAGGCGACTCGGGTGTCGGTAAGACATCTCTTATGCAGCAATTTGTTAATAACAAGTTCTCGCACCAGTACAAGGCCACTATCGGAGCCGACTTTTTGACTAAGGACTTGGTCATCGACAACAAGACAGTATCGTTGCAAATTTGGGACACCGCAGGTCAAGAACGATTCCAGAGCTTAGGAGTTGCGTTCTACAGAGGTGCAGATTGTTGTGTATTGTGTTACGACGTTACTAATGAGAAGTCGTTGAACAACTTGGCACTGTGGAAAGACGAGTTTTTAATCCAACTGAATGTGCTGAACCCACAGAACTTCCCATTCATTATAATAGGGAATAAGATTGATGTGGATGAAAGCAAGAAGATCCCGTCCTTGTCGAAGAAGTTGCTCAACATTACCAACAACCAATTGGGTGGCCTGCACTATCCTGTTTTCGAGACTAGTGCTAAGGACTCAATCAATGTGGAAACCGCCTTTGAAGTGATCGCCAAGATGGCGTTGCAACAGGAAGAGTTGAACGAGGGTGCCAGAAATGACATCAATGACGATTACAATGATGCAATCAACATCCACTTGGATAATGACGCCGGGGGATGTGCATGTTAGATAATTTAGAATCGGGTCTCGTTCAATTGTTTTGTCGATCGATATTTTAGTAAGTATTTAATAGCATCGAGGTTTCTAAGAGGTACTTGGTTAAATAGTAGGACACGAATTATGGTCAGTGTGTCATATAAATTGGCAGATAGCAGATAAAGCAATGTACTTCGAGAAACTAAAACCCAAGAACCACATGACATATTAGGGAGAGTTGCGACTACATTGTATGAAATAAGTGTGTTATCAGTTACAGTAATACATTGTACGAATATAAAGTGTGAATTGTCGTCGATATTCACGTTGGATAGTTCCACGAAGTGACAATTCCTCACTTGAGACAAGAGCAAACAATCTTAATAAGGGTGTCAACAAGCAGGTTGCCAGTGTTGATGTTCTGGTTGTTGTTACCATACTGCTGGTTGCTGCCATGTTGTTGTTGGTACTGTGGTTGCATGTTGTTGCCATAAGATGGCTGCTCCCAGTGAGATGGGATCTGATTACCAGAAGAATTCGTAAAGTCAATCACCAAAACACCAGAATTCTTGTTGTCGATATAGTGCTTCAAGCCGGACTCATCACACAATTGGTCAACAGCTGGTTTCAACTTGGCAATTCCGTTCTGCGAGTGCAACCCTTTACCCACAATCACCTTCAAGTGAGATTGGTTGGTACGCAAACATTCAGAGATACGTCTCTTCAAAATCCATTCAGCTTCTTTGACATACAAACCATGCAAGTCAATTTCATCCTCAGCAGAGTCTGCATTGTTCTCTCTGAACACATATTCTGCGGCCTGCTTGTTGTAGTTTTCTGCTTCGTTCAAAACTCTCTTCAGCTCGTCGCTAAGCTCCTTGGCTCTCTGTTTGTCACCTCTTTGGTACGCTTGTTGAGACTGACTGGAGAGTTGACTTCTCTTGCTGTACAACTTCTCAGCCTGGGCACGCAAGTCCTTGTATGTGTTGTCGGTTGCATGGTTGTAGTCTCTTTCACCGTCGAAAAGGGCGACACCCCTATCTTGAACAGTAGCCATCTTCCGTTTCCGATGTGATTTCTTGAAGAACTTGTGATGGGTGTATCCTGTATATAACGTAATGTTGACCTGTCATGTGGGTTTGGTAATTGCAAGGCTAATACGTGTCCGATGAAGATATGGAGGATTGGGACAGAATTATAGACACTTCCGAAGCAGAATAAGAAGAAGATTAGTCAATATTCAAAGACGTAACAAATATATGAGGACTGATGACAAAGGCTGTTACGCTCAGATGTGAAGCACCTTGCGATTACTAGCAACACCGTAAAACTGATCAAGCACAGCCAGTTGCAAAAAAGTGATTATTCAATCCGCATGAGCCAATTTCAAAGATTGGATTGTGCTGTACTTTGTAAGGATGTTATGTTTTCATTTCATATGTAGTGTACTTTCTCGGTAGGAGTCGAATATAATTGGAAACTTAACTACCTCCGAGAATGTTCAGTGACGCAACATACTGTATGAGGAAGAGTTTACCCATTGTGTTTCAGGCCTATGCTTTTGATCATTGGATCTACTCTGCATTTTAGAAAACTAGGAAAGACCAACATGAGCCCATAAAACAAGGACATTGTTACTTTCTCGAACAACTCAAGTTCTCTGTAAGTTCATGATCGGCATTTCTTTGATTTTTTGCCTTAACGATTGAGACCCTCGATTTGAGAACACAGGCTGTCCCAACATCGAATGTAAGGCTTGAAACCCTTAATGACCTTTGAAAACTATGATAGTAACTTGTTCGCCACGCTAGCATCTTATCCAGTCGATATTCATCTTCTGTCTGATTTGCCTTGATTGTGTTATATTACTGTATTGATTAGTCTGGTACTTGTCGGAGCACTCGTCGCTCAGACGGAGAACTATCGATTGAATTGAGCCTATTTGGAGTCCGACCTAACGATCTAACGAAGAAAAATAGAAAAGCATCATGTATGAAAAAACTACTTCTACAACAGGAATTATCGTCGACAGCTTTCATAAAAGATTATATTTAAACTATCCTATAGGTGTAAAGTTACATGAAGAAAACTCAGGAGCTTACTTCTTGGCAGCCTTCTGAGCAGCCTTGGTAACCTTACCGGCCTTGTCAGACTTCTCGACAGCCTTGATGACACCGACAGCAACAGTCTGTCTCATGTCTCTGACAGCGAATCTACCCAATGGTGGGTAGTCAGTGAAAGCCTCAACACACATTGGCTTGGTTGGGACCATCTTGACGATAGCAGCGTCACCGGACTTGACGAACTTTGGAGAGTCCTCCAACTTCTTACCGGATCTTCTGTCAATCTTCTCAATCAAGGTGTCGAACTTACAAGCAATGTGGGCAGTGTGACAGTCCAAAACTGGAGAGTAACCAGAGGAGATCTGACCTGGGTGGTTCAAGACAATAACCTGGGCAGTGAAGGACTCAGCACCCTTTGGTGGGTCGTTCTTGGAGTCACCACAGACGTTACCTCTTCTGATTTCCTTAACAGAGACGTTCTTGACGTTGAAACCAACGTTGTCACCTGGGACACCCTCAGCCAACTGCTCGTGGTGCATCTCCACGGACTTGACTTCAGTGGTAACACCAGCTGGAGCGAAGGTAACGACCATACCGGCCTTGATGACACCGGTCTCGACTCTACCGACTGGCACCGTACCGATACCACCGATCTTGTAGACATCCTGCAATGGCAATCTCAATGGCTTGTCAGTTGGTCTCGATGGTGGCTCAATAGCGTCAATGGCCTCCAACAAGGTCTTACCGGTGACCTTACCAGACTTGGTCTCCTTCTCCCAACCCTTGTACCATGGGCAGTTAGAAGATGGCTCAATCATGTTGTCACCGTTCCAACCAGAGATTGGGACGAAAGGAACGTTCTTAGGGTTGTAACCAACCTTCTTGACGAAGTTAGAGGTTTCCTTGACAATCTCCTCGAATCTGGACTGGTCCCACTTGACGGAGTCCATCTTGTTGATAGCAACAATCAATTGTCTAACACCCAAGGTGAAAGCCAACAAAGCGTGCTCTCTGGTCTGACCATCCTTAGAGATACCAGCCTCGAACTCACCAACACCACCAGCGATAATCAAAATAGCACAGTCAGCCTGGGAAGTACCAGTGATCATGTTCTTGATGAAATCTCTGTGACCTGGGGCGTCAATGACGGTAACGTGGTACTTTGGAGTCTCGAACTTCCACAAAGCGATATCAATGGTGATACCTCTCTCTCTCTCAGCCTTCAACTTGTCCAAAACCCAAGCGTACTTGAAAGAACCCTTACCCAATTCAGCGGCTTCCTTCTCGAACTTCTCGATAGTTCTCTTGTCAATACCACCACACTTGTAGATCAAGTGACCGGTGGTGGTAGACTTACCGGAATCGACGTGACCGACGACGACGACGTTAACGTGAGCTTTCTCCTTACCCATTTTTACTAATTTAATTAACTGGTAAAGAAGAAAAAATCTTTTTCTGGTGGTGCGGACGCTGCACTTATATACGGCAGGAAAATTTTTCTCTAGCTTGCGGTAAAAGAAATTTTTTCAATTCCTATTCGGCATATAAGACCATTTTTTCATACGACATGCTTGGTTAGGGATTTGTCCCACGACATTGATTCAGGAAAATGGAGACGTTTGAAGCGGATTATGGGTTCATTGTTTCTAGTGGCTGTATCATCAGTGATGCTTGTTATTTACCTTTCTAAAAATTTTCGAAATTTCCATAGTTCCATCAAATTAATAGTGAATTGAAAAAAGAGTAGCTTCCCCCCTTTGCGACATTTTCGTTTCTCGCTGTCATGTTACTGCATACGACTACAACACTTTGGAAACTGATAGAAGATCAAGTGTAGTTGGGCGTTTGAGTGAAGAGATGGTGGCAAAAAATATTTCTTGGGAGTGCGATCGGACCCTTGAGGATCCAGTCATTCATCATGGCTCATATTGGCCAATAAGACACTCTTGAAAATATAAATCCTTCTAAGGAGATATGTGTCACGTGTGTGAGTATAGGGCTCAGCCCTAGGAACATGTTGGAGCTCAACTCATCAGGCTATCAGTACCACATAATCTTATTGAGAAAATTTCTATTGTAATTTAATTGTCATCATAAATTTGATTTTTTTGGTTTATCTGGCGAAGTTTTTTCATGCTATGTTAAAAAGTTACTGGTGGTGCCTGGAGATTTAGCCTTTGCCTGTATGTTTCAAACCTTTAGTGGTTATTATTGTATATTAAAAACAGTTGCAAAAAAGGGTAAGATACTAAAGTAGTTATTATAAAACTCTGACAGAATCTATTCGTAACTAATTGCTTTATCATCTTCAAAAATTCATTCATACTCTATCTGATTCTTGCCAAAATTTTGAAACTACCTATCTTGCCTCTATGCAATTCGAAACCTTTTGCTACATTGCTAACCATGTATTATCCAATCTCATCAAGAAATTTGTTCAGTTGTTAGAATACTAAAATTCTCACACCAACTGCTTCCCTTCCAAGACTTCTTGTAATTTTGCGTATGTCTCCCACATCTGTTGAAACTACTGAGATCCGTCCTTGTCCTAGATATTAATGTATGTATGGTAATGCTACTTCGCCCTACGAGACCTCTTCGATCTGTCCAACGTTCCTTCGAGCTTCCTCATCAACTCTTGTTTGCTATTGATGGAATCCTGGTTGGCATAGCCAACTTGAGTGAGGTTATCATCATTGTCGAATGATTCCTCATGCCAGCCTTTTGTTGTAGAAGAATCCTCTGGGGTTTCCTCTCGGGCTCTTTTTAACTTTTCTGTAAGAGATTCACCCCCACCAGCCAAACGTCCATACTTTGGTTTATCTTTGGATTTGCGAGGCGATGGGAGTTGCACTGATTCTTCCTCATTTGCCTCCTCTATGTTCCCTTGCGTTGAGAAATTGTTACTCATTTTCCGAACGAAATCCAAAAGTGTAGTGGGCCGTGCCATGGCTTGAGGAGCGAAAATGCACCATGATAGGTCTAGGATATCTGGCATCTGTAAGTGGGATTTTCCTGTCAGCCGCTCGATCATTTCCCAGAGGTATGCTATCGAAACAATGGGTATATTCCATTTCTTGGCGGCATTTATCTTGTTCTTTGAAGATAATGTTGCAACAGATCGAGATGCTTCGCCATTAGAATAGACGGGGCAGTTCAAAATATCCTTATGTTTGTATTCGAAGAGTTCTGGACTGTTCTTCAAAAATGCCTTCCTAAAGAGATTCACATTGATAATTAGCAAGTCTCGATTGGAGTTGAGTACCTCACAGAATTCGAGATTGAGATATCCAACTAACTTCTCGATATGTAGGAGCTCAACCCCAGTAAATCCAGATACACAGACTTTATATCGAGTAGCCAGAGGCACTAGGCCCTGAAGTGGTTTGGACCAATTATCGTGGCGAGCCTCATTATAGTAAATACTTCGTTCGATAAACCAATCAGTGACAACTTGAATATCTTTACTGTGTACTCTTCTCTTCGTGCCACTTGAAAGTGCCGAAAGCATAAGATTTGCTTGTGGACCATTTTTCACTAATAGTAATATATGTGTAATGGTGTCGTCATCGCCCGAGTCTGCGATTTCACCATGATGGGATTCCACGACTTTCTTAAGCACTTTTTGTTGCGGAATCAGGTAACCCACAGGGAGAAACTTGAATCCCAGGAATAGCAGACTATCCAGAGTACCTGTGTCATATTCACTTTCAGCAGTTTCACGAGAACCTTTATTATTGATAGTGCCATTTGTTTGCGAGCCTTTCTCTTCTTCAGACCCTGGATCGTCCCAGGTACTGTCTCGTATTATTTGGGCAGTATGAGATCTAGTATTCTCCATGATGGAAGACCAGATTTCCAGATTCTTTTTCAATTGCCCACGTTCTCTTCTCTCTAGCTCCTTGGTAGTCTTTTTATCTTCTTTATGTAACGAGTATAGTTTCTTCCATACAAACGATCCATTATTGTATAAATTTCCGACCTCACAGTTCACAACATAATCGTCAAGATCGAGAGCTGCTCCTCGAAGGCAAGAGTCAAAAACCCAGAGAGGATGCACAGCAGGAATTTTCCATTCGTTTGCCATAGTATAACGACGTCCTGCGGTGTCTGTACCTACGAGCACATCACAAGTTGGGGTTAAAGTAGTGCTCACTTTGGCACCCAACATTGACATCACGCGGATGATTTCGTCGGCTTTGAATGCATTTTTTGGTTCCAATTGAAACTTTCCTGAGGGAGGATTACGGAACTTCTCGCCAAATAATTTGACCAGCTCTTGAGAAGAAGGTTTCTCCACGCGTGCTACACATACCGTGAAGTTCAAGAATATAGGTAGACGAAAAGTGTCCAAGTCGAGACCATAGTCGTGGCCGGCCACCCATCGGGAATGAATTTCTGTGACTGCTTCCTCGGTAAGAAATACCATATCGTGACGATAACGGATGGAGTACCGATACTTTTCAGTATTTCTTTTCCCCACCACCAAGTATTGGACAGAGCTCATTAGATCGGTGTAATGCGTACCCCCTAGCGCCACGATTTTATTGCCGATCTCATGGCGGCGGCCGGACTCCATGCCCGTGCAGCAGAAGGTTAGTCCATGGAACGGTTTATTCATAGACTTGCAAGATGGTGAAGCATAGACGTGCAGGATGTCGATTTGGTGATGGTGTAGGACGTGACAAGACTAATCGCTAATGTCGCTTGTGGCATTTGAAGAACAACGGTTAATAGTGAATTATTTGAATGAGGAATGTTCCGACCAATATTTTAGGGTTGCCAAAGATTCAGAAGCGAAGAACCAGTAATGTAGTCACCTTGTTGAAAACCTACTATCAGATGAGAAATATCTGAAAGGAAGTCGATAGAAAACAAGAAAATTCATTATTACTGGAAAGAGATCGATCAAATCTGGGTGGTTCTTTGAAATACATGGGGACTTTGCTAAGAGAGCAAACAAATGATGTCGAGCTTGTTGGAGCAGGTTATCTTCAAAAGTAACTTTCATTACAAGCCGACGAATAACGACATGAAAAAGTTCTCTCTGAATTATGTATCGTAGTGAAATAATGAAGAACACTTCAGGTGTCTTTTTAACATTGCTGGCCACCCATACGTTGTGCCTATGCTTGTTTACATAAGCATCGTTTTCTTGTCTACACTAGCAAAAGCTAAGTTGTTGTACGATCTGATTCTTTCCAGTATTAGCAGCAAAAGGCTAATTATTTGGCTAGGCTTAAGTCCTTTGGAATTCTGTTTCATTTGCAACGTCCGGAGGTGATAGAATACAAGCGATGAAAGCGGTCCAACTTCATTATAAAGCTTCCCTCATCTTCCAATACTCCAATGCTGGGCACCACATCCATCATTTATAGATTTTCTATAGTTGAACGTCGCTACTAATTTGGGTTTATAGAAGGTCATAGGTCGACGTTTTTCCAATGCATCGGAGCTCTAGGAAATTCTTACCAAGGAATCAATCCGAGAACCAAGAGATTTTGAAAAGTTACCTATCCTTTGTGACACCGAATTCTCCAGAACAAATTTGATAAGTTTCAGATCTACCAACAAGGCAATCTCGTGCACCAAATTATTGGAAATCCTTCCACAAGACGTCATCTTACTGATTCAGGCTTACATCACATAAGCAAGCAACACATAAATGTAAACATGCGCACGAGCTTAAACTTTCTCAGCATGAGTCATGTCTCCCAAACTTAAACTAGATTTGCTTAGTTGAGGTCTTCTTTGGCCAATTTTGCATGAGTCCATGACATGCCCAGAAGAGGAATTGGCCGCTCCAAATCGAGACAATCAAGCGCACAGCATTAAGACTTGAGGAGACTACAAAATGTGTCCATTGAGCCCAAAACAGTAATGGCGAGCATGAGGTCACCCAATGTTTACCAAAAGTTTAATTTGATATTGCTTGTAGGTTATCGGCCAGCTGGAGAAGCGAGATTTCAGAGAGAAAGCAATTCGGAGCAGTGGTCGGCATAAGATAACAGAGGATTCCGCCCTGAGAAGAAATGTACATCTCAAAGCCTCGCGCTAAATGAGATGCAGAGAAGGTAGCAATTGAGTGGGCGTGCAGCCAGCCGGTATACGAATCAAGGAATTCATATGGACTTGCCCTGGCGCGTTTTTGTGTCATGTCAGTGTGCAATATTGAAACCACCTACTGGGCTCATGCACAGAATATGGTAGCGAGGCGCACGACTTGTGTCATCACAACAGGGCCGTAGGAGAAAAGGGGGATGAAAAATAAATAGTCAAAACGTATGATTGGCGTTTGAAAGGCAGATAACAAAAAAATTAGTAAAGGAATAATAAACGATGTGCAAATGAAATTCAAATATAGAAGGCAACCAAAGGAATTAATCAAATAGTTGTAATCTATGGAAGAGAAAAGAAAATCTTTGCTTATGGTGGGTAGACCCATTTGGATCTTAAGAATCACTCTATGCAAATCACTAGCTCGAGAATGGCAAAATGAGACGATACTTCCACATGGAAAAAGTCTCGAACCGTACCGTTCTCTGTAGCATTTATGAATCAATCACAGAATTTTCTTCATCTCGAACAAGCCAACTAATTCTGTATTAGCAATGTAAACTAACTGGATAGAGCGTATTTTTTGTGAAAAGAGGGTGCTGGTTCATTCTATGCGTACCCCAGTAAGTTGCGGGGACAAATGAGGGTACCAAAATGCAGATAGGACCAGACAATATACCAAAAAAAAACACTTGGAAAATGCTAGAAAATTAATGAGAGTTCCGTGGTGCCACTCACCATACCGACAATACCCACCACCCTCCCGTGCGTATCATCCATCCGTGCCACTCAACCACCACCCACCCGTCCCACCCCTCCGTCTCCCGTAACGACATCGTGAAGTCAAACGGACGGAGGCAGTCAAACCTATCTTGAACAAAAAACTTGCTTGGCCCGTCAAAAACTGACAGTGCAAGTACCCTGTTTTGGGAGTTGGACGGCCCAGTTGGGTAGGTAGCGGTGGAACGTGCTCCAAATAGCAACCTCCGCTTCAAGCCGCCATGCAGGCCGCTGTGGTTCCGACCAATAGTTTGGGCTGATTATCGTGAGGTACGGGTGCATAAGGAGAAGGCTCCCAACTCCTCTCTATTTTGGTAGTGTGTTTATTACACTAACTGGATTGAAGGTAAACAAACACAGACTTGGCATTGGAAAGGTTGAAGAGGAGAAAGGCACTGGCAGAACGTGGTAAACATCTGTTGAATATCTTGCTTGACTTAAGAGTACAGCAAAATTTTTTGTCGAGGGCATTGGATCTCAAATCAGGCAAAAATTACCATGGGGCATTAATCACCGCCGATCACAACAGAAGATTCCAAAAATATCGAGAAAGATTATCACAGCCCAAATGTCGCACCTGCATTGCTATTTTAGGACTGTTCTATATGCCGGTCTGCTACAACCTGATGATCATACAAGGGCGAAGCTCATCATCAGTGGATAACGAGAAGAAGTGTCAAAGTTGCCGTCAATGTTTTTCTTTTTTTTCTTGAAGCTCTTAACGTGATAGAGTAGGCTCTAACGGCTGCTCGGCCAACTTATCTGTTTTTGCGAAGATCTCCGCTTTACCAGTAATAGCCAACATACAGCCCGACAGGGACTGTTGCGAGCGCGTACACTTGCAAAAGTTAAAAGAGGTTGCAGGAAAAGCACGACGAGGTATATGACGCATTCATAGAGGAAAAAGAAACTGGCATGACTATATAAGAGTGGGTCCACTCCCGCTAAGGTCAAATTTTTATCTACAACTAATAGTCACTCGCTACAATGCAATTCTCTACTTTCGCTACCTTGTCTGCTTTGACCGCTACCGCTTTGGCTGGTTACTCCAACGTCACCACCGTCACCACTGACGTTACCGTGACTGGTTACACCACCTACTGTCCAGCCTCCACCGAGGTTACCGTGACTGTCTGTAACGACGTCTGCAAGCCAACCGTCATCACCGTTTCCGAGGAGACCACCTTGACCATCTCCGAGAAGTGTGTTGTCCCAACCACCTACACCACTGCTTACCACACCGTCACCGAGACCGAGTCTTGTGAGGAGTGCCACAAGACCACTGCCAAGTCTACCGTTGCTGGTCAGTCTACTGCTGCTTCTACTGCTGCTTCCGTCTCTTCTTTCGAGGCCGGTGCTGCTAGAAACGTCTTCGGTGCCGCTGCTGGTGTCGCTGCCGTTGCTGCTGCTTTGTTCTAAGCCTACTGATGAATAATCTTTCTGTTTTGAAATAAAGGATGTGGGTTTAATCAAATGTTTTAATAATGTGTAAGAAGTTGTAGAAATTGTAGAAATTGTAATATGCTATAAGGCTTAAAAAGAATTCGAATTCTTACAGGTTTGCCGGCTCCTGTAAAGTGAGTTTCTTTGATCGAGGTTAAATTGAGAACTCGTAGAGATGATCCACACCACCAGAAAAATACCCGATATGACTAAAACAGCGGGGGGGCCGGTCCGACCTTGTGAAGCTACATTGTTTTCGCATTCTCTCTTATTGGAGCGTTGTGTTTGTTCCTAACCCTTTCTTGGGTGTATGCAGGTTCTTGCGTTACGACATTACTTGTACGGCATGGCTAGACAGGCAAGGGCGTGAAGGCAGTCAAATGTACTTGAAGGCACTCCTATGCAAGGGGGGTTTGTAAGGTCGGGTGATTACTGGGATAAAAATTTTCATGTGGGGGTGATTTTTTTTGCTCGATTACGGGTTGTTGGGACTTGATGAATGAGCGTTCGTTTCGCATCAATTCGTAGATCCAGCAAGGGCACTTAAAAATGCTCCAAAGTAAAAGTTCCATTGGTGCTTCTTATAGATTCGAAATAATACACTTCGGGGAATTCCCAACCTTGCAGTACCAGCCTCAATTTTAGGCTTGGCCAGGGGTCCTAAGGTAATTTTTCTGGCTTCGTTTTTGATTTCAATAGTCAACCGATGTGCTTTCAAGATACGCTTTCAAGATCGATGCGAATTGTTCGTGGTACTGATGTCAATGTCGCTCGCCAAACCTTCAAAGCACTCAACCACTCGACTTGCTAAAAGAAACATTTCGTCGTAGCTACTTTCTATTTATGTTTTACTTGTGTCTTGTGTGTTATGTTGTGTGTTGTGTGTCTTGACCAAGAAGATTTCTTCGCTTCGACATTTTTTCCTAACCATTGAAACAAATTAAATTGTTTCGCATTGTCTCACACTCGGCCCAGTTCCTCAACTACTCCTAAACTCTTGAAAAACACTGGCGTTTTTCCAACCAAGGAGTGATGAATACTTCTAATCAGATAGTCGCCCTTATCAGAGAGTTATTCTAGTCAGGGATCATGCCGGGTGTAGGCATGTTGGCCGACTATCTATGTAAAAAAATTCAAGACTTCAAACAAGCAACTATCGGGGTAGCTGCATCAGATGTTATGAACTGCTTTCTAAGAACCTTGCAGAAATGATTATGGCAATGGCATATAATTTTGTTGGTTACCCTTCCACATCCTGATAGCGTGACCACCATTCCCACGAAGATCTTCTTTACCTCATATCATGTCAAAGAAAATGCTGCATGCGCAACCAGTCGCACTGGAAATTTAGCCAAATTGGCAATCCTACATCGGCTTTCCTATCTTGTTTTGTCCTTTTCCAAATCCGTTCTTCATTAATCTTTAGACTTTAGGCCCAGCCACCGCCAGACCACTTCCTCTATACTATGCTACACACAGTTCGTAAGGGTACACTTCCATGTATTCAATTCGTCTCTTCAAGTTCATTCTTTTTTAGGGGATTATGCCAGTTATGGAAAAGTGGCCATATGCTATTACGGCCCCTGAATGTACCGATAATAATAATTCGTAAACCTTTTTTTGTCATTCCTGTGCCGTTAATAGGTACCAAAGTTTCAGTTGCACAATTTTAAGGTGAATGCGAACGCAATCTGAGGAAGGAACGAAGAGACTTCATAACCTTAATTGCTCTCTTTTTCATCTTGTTATCGTAACTAGCCTACGATTTATATTACTCCATGAAAATGAAGTGGCTTCTTTGAAGAGCCCTCACGTGGTTTCACCAGTAATCCCACCCCTTCAATATTCGGAATAAGTGAAAAGTATCTCCTGAAGCCAATTCTTCGGCATAGTTAAAATTAATTGGGTCTACAGAATACTGTGTTTTATAGACATTCTTCTTTTGGCCCTCGGATGTTCTTCAACCACCCAAATGCATAACCAAAACCATTGAGGCTATATGGATGAATCATAAAAAGCCCCAGAATATACACATCAAGCTTCTTCTTCCATACTGCGCATACCTTTCGAAAATTATTACAAATCACTGAATGCTTAACTACTAAAAAGAGTATCATACAGGTCACGTGCGTGGTCACGTGTGATTTCCATTCTGGTCTCAGCTCCATTAGCCTCTATCATTTAACCTTTCAGCACTTAAGAAGGTAAGAATGTCTTCCGACCAGGATACGCATCTACCTATGTCGAGTAGGTTTTCACGAACTCGGTCTCCGGAGAAAATTTCCCTCGATACGAATCTTTCGCAATGGTCCACCACAGGAGGAAGTTTGGACAAAATAAGATACATCCAATCGGATAGCATTTCCGCTGAAGGTTTGTATGAGCCATACCAGTGGCCCCAGTCAAGACCCAAGTCGGAGTCCTCCATGAAATATTTTACAGCAGCCAATAGGATACACCTCGATACCTCCGGTGGAAGTGGAGATGTACGTGAAATTCCAGTCTATGAGTATGGCAAGGATTTCACTGCTGATCCCATCCTGTTTGTCGAGACTGTGAAAGAAGCAGGAAAGAAGTATGGAGCAGTAAAAGTGAAGATGCCTATGGATTTCGTCACAAGATTGCTGGTAGATCAACTGCTAGATCCCGAAGCTTTGATTTTTCGGACAACCCGAATCCTCAATAATCCTACTGAAAACGAGTTGTTTGCAAGGCTTAAATTTTTCAGTGAGCTTCTAAAGTTTCATGCATCTATGGAAGATATCTCAAACAAGCCTCTGGATTTAATTTCCGACTCTCTGATAGAAATTCACCTGGCTGATACGAATTCCGTACCTACCCCGCAAGCCAATCTGGAACTACAGCAACAAATCAAGGTGGAGAGCAATTCTGTAGTTGCAAATGAGGCGAATTTGCCTGCTGATGGGGCATCACATGCGTTCAAATCTCCAGAAACTATTGTGAAGTTGGAAGACACCAAAATCATGAAACCAGAATCATCTCACGCACAGCAAGACATTTCACAGGACGCACAAGCGAGACAGAATGTTCCTTTATTTGTGTCCCAGCTTCCAACTTTGGGAAAACGCCCCTTGGACTTGTATGAGTTCTTTCGTCTTGTCATAGCAAGAGGCGGATTTGATGAGGTATCCACGAAGGGTCTTTGGACGGAGATTGGACACGAATTAGGTTACAACAAAAATGACCGTCAAAAATTAAACCAATTTCTCGAGGAGTCTTACAACAGCATCTTGAGTTCGTTTGAAAAGAACCTTGGAGACCGGAAATATGCCATCGGAGCATTAGCGCATAAAAGCAATGACAGCGAGTCTCGAAAGCGACTTAGACTCAATAGTGGAGCTCCGCTTATATTGGGTTCGGCAAAGGATTTCCATCGATCTGTGAAAAGTAAGGCATCCAAAGGATTTCTCCTAAATGAGCCACATTTGATGAGTATCAAGTCACCTCTCGTGCTTGGGCTCAAGAGCATGTCTGCAGCACTGGATCGCCGTTCATCTTCCAAAAGCAAAGAAGAGATCTATTCACCCATTACATCTGCTGCTCAGGTGAACCACTTTGTAAAGTGGCTTGCTTGTGGTCTGTCAAACATCCAGGATGCTTCTAGATATGATTATCCTCCGAATCGCACCTCATATCTTTCATTGAAACAGTACATGTTGAAAGATAATAAATTCCAACAATACCTAATCAGCACATATCCCCAAGTGTTTGGAAACAACGATTTGCCGAGTCATGGTAGCCTCGTTAGTGGTGGAAAGGCAGAGAAAGTCGCCATTGAGGAGTTCGAGCGTTTATATTGGGGATTAATGGAGAATAAAGGTGAAACCAACTTACTTGATTTAATGAAACTTGAATCTGGTATTTGCGTCCCGAGTTCGATGGTAAGGTCGGGGTTCCCTGAACTAGGTGATGACTTTAATGAGAGCAAGGAAACGAAGAGTGTGAACAATTGTCAACCTTTTTCTCCTTCTGTCCAAAATGATGCTACTTCCTCTAGCATTCAATCAGGTTCATTATCTGCCTCTGCAGGTTCTCTTCTCGATCCCCCCTCGGTTGCAACTGCTGGAACAACAAAAGTAACCAGTTCCGCTCTGTCGCCTTCAGAAACACAAAATATCACAGCAAATCAAAATATCTCAGGTCAAAATGATCCTGGTGTTTCTACTACTGCAAATGGAAACTCAAAATCGGAGTCTACCACAGGACCGAAGCCAGTCAGGTACACCGATCGCACTCTCGATCCATTGAACCCATTCAACATACACAACATACCGGTACTTCCCAATTCTCTACTCGGGGCGTATAGTGCACTGGATATTAATAATCGAGACTTAGTCAACTCGAAACTCCATGTGGGTATGACATTCAGCACCCAGAACTGGAGTTGTGAAGATCACTTCACTCAAAATTGCAACTATCATTCTTTTGGGGCAGGAAAAAGGTGGTATTTTATTCCTGAGCTGGAATTCGAGAAATTCCAGACATTGATTCAAGAAGTAACTAATCAGCAATCTGTCTACAATTCCCGCGTGAACATGAACTACAGAAAGGAAGATTGGCACTTCAAATCGCTTGAAAGGGTGATAAATAATAAGATGAGTGGAGAGGCTGAGTATAAATGTTTAAACGACTCAATGGAGAATTTGCTCAATCCTTTTCCTGATATTCGTGCAAACCATAAGAGCGACTTATTCCAAAAGCTCATTGATAAGAAAAAGAAACAGAACAATATGTCATTCAATCAAGAATTTTTGATAACTCCTAAATTATTGCGCGAGAAGGGAATTAACTTCACCACCACAGTACAGCAACAGGGTGAGTTCATTTTCAAGTATCCCAAATCATACTCGTCCACATTTTCATTCGGTGTGAACCTTAGTGAGGAGATCAATTTTGCATCCGAGCTCTGGCTCGATTATGCTGAGGAAGGCGAGCAGTGGCTCTCCCAGCAGGGAATACTTCCGAATATTCTGATATTCAGAATGTTGATTAATTTTGCACAGCTTCACGAGTCAAGTGACTCAAAATGTGGTCATTTCGATGCTGGAATCTTCTCTAAGGTTCTGGCCCTATATTCAAAATTCTTGGATCGGGAACTAGCGTTACGTGCCAAAATCAGAGAGACTCTCAAAATTAAAGAAACCACAATCGAAGAAAGAAATATAACTGACATCGACAGTATTTCTGACGACACGTTACAGAACGCCTTTCCTTCCAAGATTGTTATCTCAGAAGCATATACCCACCATCAATTAGTGATGACATTGCCAGGTTTTTTGGATTATGCTGCTCAGATGTCTGGTGAAGAAGATCTGGAATTTAATGTGATAACCAATAAGTATTACACTATTGAACTCCAAATGTTTTATTCTGATGAGAAACTTAAAAGTTTCCAACGACTTCTTAGCTCATACTCTGTTGACTTTGAGGCATGGCTCGAAAACTACGAGACTATCTTAAAGTCGGGAGAAGATATTTCGATGAAGATGTATAAGAATTTATTGAGTGAAGGATGGAAGATCTACTCTGCGGTTGCAAGCTCCAACTACAATTTCATGAGATTTTCTCTGGACACTAAGTCTCAAAATACGGAACTTGCAGCAAAAGTAAAGAGTTTCAAGGATGAAGTTGAAAACCTTCAAAGTTTCGTCGATGAATCAATGGAACTTATTGAGGACTGTCAAACCATTTTATCCTTGAAACATCAGCAGCGTATAAGGAATCCAGGCGGTGAGAGCACTCCACAGGTGAATAATGAGCAGCAGACTGGAAGCTTGGACCTCCTTTTGGATTTGGTCAATAAAATCCCAAAACTTAATTTCTATGCGCCTGAGTTCGATCAGATCTTCGAGTTTAAGAGCGAAATTGAAAATTTTGACCGTGCATGCCGTGCACTCATTCAGAAACCCAATTCCTCCATTTCTGAGCTAAATGATATGATCAGTTTGGGAATGTCGTTTGGAGTTCAAATCCCATCTTTGGATTTTATGACCCGTCTTAGAGATAGGCAGCAATGGCTCTCAACGTATGAAACAATTGTTTCTGGGGGAGATCCCTTCAGTGGAAAGAAAGATATTTTCTTTTTGAAGCATTTGGTGGACTTTAGAGACGAAGGTTTGCGCGTTTTGGCAAGTAAGGACATTGAGAAGATCAGAGATATCGATGCGTATGTGCAAAAGGGAAATTCATATGATTTCATAGTGACATCTTATCTTTTGGAGAACAGTGTCCTCAACAAAGTCGAATTGAAGAAACTTGATACCGTCATTGATGATATGGTTGAGAGGTCTAAAAAGACCGGAAGTGATCGTCTCTTTGTTACTTTTGAATCATATTCCAGACTAGTTGACTTGAAAGCCCAATCTGGGCACATCCGGTTTCTCGCTGAATACCACACCAGGACCCATAATTTGTTCGATATAAAACAGACTCTATCTGAACTAGAAGCCTGTGGTTTCAAATATGATGGTTCGCTCATTCAGAATGATTTGGCTCGTACACATCAGTGGCTTGATAATGTGAACACTCTTTTCAAGCAGACAAAGATTGTGTCCAACACAAGGTCAAAAACTAAATTACCAGTGCTGGCCACTAGGCATGCTTCGGAACCGGATATGATACTCAGTTCCCATCATATTTATAACAATTGTGCTACTGCATTTGCAGGGGAAGATGTGGACGAGTTCACTCGGAGTTCGAGTTGGGTGTTCATGAACAACTTAGATTACCATTATGATGAGAAGCACCCCGCAAGATATTGTATGTGCCGAGAGTTTGAAGCCGGGGTAATGATTGAATGTGACCGCTGTCATGAATGGTATCATGTTAACTGTGTCAACGCTAAGAGCAACATTGATGACGAGAATGAGAAGTACTCTTGCCCAGTGTGTATGCTGTTGGAGAGTTATAAATTCACTGGTACTGTTCAAGAAATTCCAGGAAAAATTTCTCGGGATTCAATCACTAAACTCATTGCAAAAGGTGAGCTGTTAAGAATTGTACCACGGCCTGAGGTTCAGTCATTAAGGGAGATTGCAGACCTCTCGCAAAGAGCGTATGAATATTTCGACAAGCAGATGACATTAGATGTGAATGTTCGCTACGGTCCGGTTTACACGATGTTCATAGCCAGAAAGTACTACGGATCGCCGATTTGTAACTATGAGCAGATCACCAAGCTTTTTGATATTTTGAAGGAGGTTGATTTTCCCAGTTTGTTCAAGGAAGCGCTTTCAAGAGCGGAGAAGGAGGACACTGTGGAAATACAGAATGGTGGTGATTTGGGATCTCAGAAAGATTCAACAGTTGCAGATTCGAATGAGGTGGTTGCATCTTCTGTGGCCTCAACGAGTAGTAACCTGGAGAAGCAAGATGAGCTGACGATATCTACTGCAGTGGATAAGGACATCACTGCTCCCATTCATCCTCAGGTTGTGCCCATTCTTGTGTCTCAAAAGTTACCATTGAATCATCTGGAAGCTTCAACTACTGTGCCATCGGTGAATCCTCCGAGAGTGATTTCAGCAAGTACCTCCACTAACACCGACAATGCTGTGCTGGAAACAAACGAAAAGTCTCTGAAATCAACTACCTCTACGGGAACAATCAATGGCGACAACAAAAGAAACGAAGCTAGTCAAGTACTTTTGGAGCCCGGGACGGTATGTCCACCAGAAATTCCTCCTAAAGTAGCTTTGCCTGCTAAGGTCCCAATAGTTCTATCACTGATCAATAATCCCGGGCACAAAGTTCCATTACTCAGTGCTCCAGAACTCCATGCTCCAAAACTTGATGCTCCAAAACTTGATGCTCCAAAACTTGATGCTCCAAAACTTGGTGGTTCAGAACTTGATGATTCAAAACTTGATGATTCAAAAGCTGAAGTACCAAAGCTTATTATCCTTGATAAGCCAAGCCGAACGATTGAAGAGGCGAACAAGAGCATTTCTTATTCAGAGGAAACTGGTCCTAAGACAGAAACACCGACTTCTACTGAGAGCGCAAGTTTATGAACTGTTCATCACGACCAAAAGTAACATGTTAGACCTACGAATATTGCATGGAAATAGGGATAGCAGCGTATCTCACAGAGTGATTATTCCAAGTTCTAATATAAGCATGATTATCAAATTCTTATTGCAAATGTTGGAAGCACGTCTTGAGCAGAGTGCACATACCAACTTCAAGTAAACATTACTGTCACCTCTATTTACAATTAGCGGATGTCGTCACCTGTAGACCAATACTTGAGAATATGCTGGCAGAAGGCATATGGAGACTCCAAAAGTCGAGAGTCTATTTATGTCACCGAGGTCTTCGCTCTAATACGAGAGCTTGAGGATTTCGTTGGAAGTCGAGGACTCTTCACCAAAGCTGAGATCCATATTCTTCAGAAAATGGCAGATAAGCGTCCGCTGCTTCGAATGAAAAAAGAAGAGACCGAGAAGTTCCTTCTCCAACTTGTGGGGTTTGACTCAATTGAAGACTTGTTGAGAACAAGGGCAAGAACTGGTGTTGGTGCACTTCGAAGGTTGGTGATGAATTATCCGAGAGAGGGAGCTTATAGACCAAGTCGGCCAAGCACGGCGATTCCAGCACGAGAAATGAGGGATTCGCAGTCTACAATTGATCCATTAAGAGATCCATTAAGAGATCCATTAAGAGATCCATTAAGAGATTCATTAAGAGATCCATTAAGAGATCCATTAAGAGATCCATTAAGAGATTCATTAAGAGATTCATTAAGAGATCCATTAAGAGATCCATTAAGAGATCCATTGAAAGAGAACGATCGATGGACAAATGTAAGTGATACTTTCAAAGGGAAAGATACACATGGAGATAAAGACACAATTAGAGGGAGGGATTGGTCTAGACCATCTATGTCAGCAGAATATTCCACTACTGTTCCTGGGAACCGGGGCTCGATTTCAGGGGTACTCGACGATGACCATTCGTGGTTCGGAAATTGGTGGAGATCCGGCTTCAAAAGGAACAGGGCTAACCAAAGCCGCGACGATAAACCACATGAGAAGGACATCCATAATGGTACCTTCATCAAAAAAGAGGATCATATTAGACCAAAGGAGGAAAAGGATGAACTAATGCATCTCCCTGGAGCTTACGATTCCAAACAGCAAGAAAGAATACGAGAGTTAGAGTTACTTTGCAATAAGTACGAGAGGGAACAAGCGTTACATAAAACGAGGGAGCTAGCATTACGTAGGACCAACGAGGATATAGAGAAGTTGGCCCAGAAGCTCAAGGAGACAATTTATGAACAAGATAAAGTCATTCAGGACTTGAGAAACCAAGTGGACTTTGGGGAAGACCCTAATTTCTTATGGAGACTTCCCTTCGTCAAACAATATCTTCGATTCCAAGCATCTGAAAAGCGAACAACGGGGGTTTTGATTGTGGAATGTCTCAGTTTGATGCTCACATTCATCTTATTAGTAAACTTTCTCAAGCTTATCTACTACACGCTGCTTACACAACTTACGAAGGAAAATAGCTTCTACTCGGATGACGAAACCATGAGCTTCTCATGGATACAACAGATTCCTTGGATCGAGTACAAGGTCTACCAAATCCAAGACTGGATAGATGGTGGATAATTCACGAAATAACGATATCATTAATACATAAGAAGAAAACAACGAGTCGGTTTATTACTACAAACTTCCCCGTCTATAACAAATTACACCCATTCATCATCAAACTTAGTTCATCTGCTTGACCAAGTTGTTGATGAACTGCTCTCTGTTACCGGTGTCACCACCCTGGATGAAGTGGAAGAACTTTCTGGTTCTGAAACCACCGTTAGGGTTAGACAACTTGAATGGCCACAAGAAGTTGTTGACCTGCTTGAAGTTAGGACCAACAGTGTAGATCTCGTGGATCAAGTCCTCAATGGAGATGATACCGTACTTGCCCAAAGCAGCCTCGATGATAGCGTTGTCAGACAAAGCAATTCTCTGAGAGTTAACCTTACCGAAACCTCTCTTGTAGATCAACTTTCTGATGGTAGCCAAGTTAGGGTAACCGTAGGTGATGTATGGCTCAGCCAACTTGAGCAACTCAGAGGTAGCCTTGGTGACCTTGACGAAGACACCGGCGTTGATCTGGGTCAATCTCAACAATTGCAAAACCTTTCTTGGCTTAGGAGCGATCTTGTTGATACCCTTGATTCTGACAACGAAGACAAGCTTTGGCTCAGCCTCAACGTAGTAAGAGTTGTTAGCCTTAGCCTCTCTCTTGGCGTCAATGACAGCACGCTCAGCATCTCTGTACTCCTTGTTGTAAGCAGCAGTTCTGTCAGCGATGGTCTGTCTCTTCTCCTTGTTGGCCTGGTAATGTTAGTACAAATTTAGGTAATTTGGGGCCATTTGTCAGTCCCGAAAGATGGTTAACAAAACGACAGCATCGCAAGGCTAGTCAATTTTAAAATAGAGTATCATCTTCAATGGCCCCTCGTTGGTAATCTCAACTTAGTTCGAAATACATACAGCTTTTCTGACGGCCTTGTCAGCAGCACGCTGCTTGACAATCTTGGCGTCGGTCTTAGCCTGCTTGATCTGGGACTCTGGTTGCAAAGTACTGGGATGTTAGTATGAAGAACATGAGCAATTTGATAATTTAATCATGAAATGTGCTTTCTGGTCATTGTCTTCACTTTAGGATGATACAAGCTAACAGTTATGCAAGGTCACAAGGGGACCTGGTCCAATGTCGGATACCGGGGAAAGAAGCTGCCAGAGACAACTCAACCATGGAATCTTTAAAGGGGCGTTATTATGCTTTCTCAAAAACCAATAAAGGATTACAAGAATAGCATGTTCATAACTGAAACGTCGAGCAGGACTAGAAAAAGCTTCAGCTCGTCTAGTTAACCGGGTCGACGCCTCGATACTGTGTGAACCACAGCAACATCATACCTTAAGTTGAACATATGCCAACAGAAAGCAGTGACGATTTTGTTTTGGGCACATACGTAGCCATTTTTAGTGATGAGAAGATGAAAAAATTGAGGTGGGGACAGTGGCTTTATATGCTGTAGAGAAAGATTTTCCGGGAGTGTGTGGAGGGTAAATTTTTGCGCGATGAGGAAAATGGAGACTTTGACATTCAAATTCGCACGTGATTCATCGATCTTTGAGGGCTTGTGCCCTAACGATGATTAGTGTTGAGAGTACATTAGAGCCATCGATTAGCGCAAAACTACATACGGCATTCCGAAATGATTGACACAACCAAGATCGGGCGAAATTTTCTGATTCCGACCTTAGCAGCCAGTAGATCACTATCTGTAAATTGCAACTTTATTCCGAACTTTCTCTAATTTAAGACGTTCATTGATCAGGTCATATGAGCAAATGTGAGCTTGTAGTCGCATAGTTTAAGTCGAGCCACTTTCTTGAGCAATTTAAAAAGTATAAATGTATTTCTTTTCCCACCACGCTCTGGTGGATGTGTGTAAGGCAGGAAACTAATTAATAATAAGGCGTGTGCGGAAAGATTTGATCACACCAATTTAACAATGTAATACATGAGTGTACGATTGGCCATGTCAATTATGGAAAAAATAGCCTCCAGAGGAATTTCTTTTCATGATCCACACCGTTAATTGCGATATCAGCTTCGGTTAGCATGCTGTGTATCTGTTAAATACTTGATGTTCCCAATGGATTTTTTGAATGCCGTTTGCCTGCGCGTATCTTATCCCAAAACGGTAGACGTTGCTTATCTAGTCAAAGTTACCCGCTAAAGAGGTCCGAGGTGAAACATGAGAACGCTTAGTTTTGGGAGGGTATGATGGTTTTTGGAGGTAAATGAGTCTCCAGTATTAGCTGATTTTACAAAAGTTATTCGGTCTATTCTAAAGTGTACACCTATCAAATGGGCCATCTTGGCAGCGAAGTATTTTTTTGACAGCGCCAAGCGTGGCGGGGAGAGACACCGAACCGAAGTGCCTGCACTCGCACTACTGATAACATCCAGACAGTGGGAAAGCATCGCTTTGATAAGGCAGAGAATGTAACCCCAGCAAGAGTCTGCAGGAGGGAGTCCTAGAAATTCAATTTATAAAAGGTCTGGACGTTCGCTGCAACAGCTGATTCTCTAGTCTTTGACATCAGTGATAACTTTGGCTGCAAAGTATTCATATCATGGCAAAAGGTTTACATCCAGTTCTCTCTGGAGAGCAGATTTTGGAGGCTGTCACCTCTGACAAGAGATTCTACAACAACACCCAGAATGTTGAAATGCCGCTCATCTCAGCGCTGTTTTCTAACGACGATAATGAGCTTTTGGCCCAGATTGGTTATAAGCCAGAATTGAAGAGACGTTTTTCCACCATCCAAGTGTTTGGAGTAGCTTTCTCTATTATGGGTTTACTTCCATCGATTGCCTCCATCTTGGCCACGGCCCTTTTGGCTGGTCCTGCCGGTGCCATTTGGGGATGGCTCATTCTGTCCATTCTTATCTTGACCATCGGTCTTGCTATGAGTGAGAACGCCTCGTTCTTGCCAACCTCCGGTGGTTTGTACTACTGGACAAATTACTACGCCCCTGCAAAGTATAAGACTGTCATTTCCTACGTCATTGGTAACACAAACTCTATCGCTTTGGTGGGTGCGCTCTGTTCGGTCGATTATGGTTTCGCAACTGAGATCCTCTCCATTGTTGTTATCAGTAAGGATGGAGATTATGAGATCACTGCTGCTAAGACTTATGGAATCTTCGTTGCTTGCGTGGTTGCGCACATCGTCATCACTTGTTTGTCTTCCAAACACTGTGCATGGTTGCAAACCACCTCCATCATAGTCAATGTGGCTATTATCGTTCTTTTCGTTATTTCCATGCCTATTGTGGCTTCTCGTGGTGAGTTCAAATCAGCCAGCTGGGTTTTCGGCCACTTTGACAACTATACCAATTTCCCTATTGGGTGGACCCAACTTTCTCAAGCTTGGTTGCCTGCTATCTGGACCATTGGAGCTTTCGACTCCTGTGTTCACATGTCTGAGGAATGTAACCATGCTACTCGTACTATTCCCATCGGTATTATCGGATCCATCTCTGCCTGTGGAATCTTGGGTTTCATTATCATGGTGGTTACCTGCTTCTGTATTCAGACTGACGATATTGAAGGTCACATTTTAGGTTCCAAGTTCGGCCAGCCAATGGCTCAGATTATCTACGATGCCTTTGAAACCAAGACTGGCCAGGGAAAGCCTGCAGCCATGGCTTTCATGGCTCTTATTGCTTTTGCGCAGTTCTTAATGGGTGCTTCCATTCTTACGGCTATCTCCAGACAGATTTTTGCTTTTGCCAGAGATAACGGATTGCCAATGTCTTGGTGGATAAAGAAGGTCAACAAGAAGTTGTCTGTGCCTATCCATGCTGTTATTACCGGTGGTGTTGCTGCTATCGTCATCGGACTCTTGTGTCTCATTGGTACAACCGCAGCCAATGCCTTGTTCACCTTGTACATTGCTGGCAATTACACAGCCTGGGGAACTCCTACACTCTTGCGTTTAATCTACATGAAGGAGAAATTCACTCCTGGTCCGTTCTTCTTGGGCGAATTCTGGAGTCGAGTCAATGGATGGGTCTCCACAGCCTTCATTGTCTACACCATCATTATGGTGATGTTCCCTACCAACTTGAACCCGGACAAGGAGTCCATGAACTACACATGTGTCATCACACCAGGTGTGTGGATTTTGTCTCTTACGTACTACTTGGTGTACGCTAAGAAAATCTACCATGGTCCAGCAAAGACTGTGGATGTTCCAGATGAGGAGACTAGCGACGATAACGTGGAGAGAATCGACGAGGCCGTTTCTGACAAGGTGTAAAATATTGGTGAATAATATAATAATATCAGTGATCTAGTGTTATTCTGTAAGGTCCCTTGCAGCCCGTTCCATTTTGTGTAAGACCGACATTCTAAAAGTCACCTTCTACCTCAAAAATCAATTCTAACAAACTTCAATTTAATACTTAAAATTTATGGAATTTCAAATCGTGCACCAACAGACAACAATGTCGTTATGCTTATTTTTTTCCAAAGGTGAAGTCACCCAGGATCCATCTGTTGACCATGTCCAACGAATTTTCTGGCTGATCATATGGAACCATGTGACCAGCTCCGTAAACACGAGCAAAAGTAAACTGGCCATAGTTCTTGACTTCACCTGCCAACTTACCTGCCTTGTTGTGCCATGGGCGCAATGGCTGAACCTCAAAGAACTCGTGCTTCGAGTACTCCAAAGCGTTGGCCCATGCGTAGTTTCCAAGCCAGTTACAGATAAAGTCCTTGTCACCCTCGTACAACAATACTGGAATGTTCTTGTCTAACAACTCAGCCACATACTGTTGGAATGGCTTCATTTCATCACCTGAGAGAATGAAGTTTCTGAACACAGTGTCATCACAAGAGGTGAAGATGTCGATGTTGGATGCACCAACAGCGGCTTTAACGTAATCGAGATTCAAGTAGTCATCCAAGTAGTCCATCTCCTTGTAGCAATTTCCACCTTCATCGGCGCAGTCCTTTCTGATATCATATGGATTCAAACCAGTCTCTCCGTATGGACCATAAAGCTTGGTCTCACAGTAGTAAGTAGCAGGCACGCAAGTGAATGCAGTTTGAGCAGCATAGCAGAGTTTGGTGAGTGCGGCACACTTAGGGTAGTCTCTGTCCATTTGGTCACATTGGTCTTGATTCAAGACTGGCTTGTATCCACCTTCTCCACATGCCATGGGACGATAGTACTTGTATTGGATCAATGGGTCCGTGATACCATTTCCGATCAATACAGAAGTCAAATCGAAAGAGCGGTCAGCATTGTTGATGATCTCAGAGGCAAAAGCAGGAATGTAATGGCCAGCATATGACTCACCAGCAATGTGGAATTTGTTGAGAGAGAATTGAGGGAACTTCTGGAAGAAAAGTTCCAAGAAAATGTACACATCCTTAGCAGCGGCTGCAGTTGAGGAAATTTGATCTTTCTCTGTGTACGAGTAGCCCACTCCCACAGGCTGGTCCAAGAAAATGACAGAAGCATTGGAGTTCCATGAGTATGGGTTGAAAACTGGTTGTAAAGTGGCATTAATGGCTGAAGGGCCCAATTCAAAGAACAATCCAGTAGCAGAGGAGCAACCAGGGCCACCATTCAACCACAAGATCACTGGGTCTTTGGCAGGGTCGTTTCTGGACTCAAAAAACCAGTAGAAGAAGTGCTTTCCCAAATCCTCCACATCCAAGTATCCAGTGTACTGCTTGACAGTGTCCAAACCCAAAATTTCCGGGTTGTTTTCCTTAACTCTCAATGCGTGCTGAGAAAACCTCTGAGAGGTGACCTTCTCGAAATCCTCAGATGATTTTGTGGAGAACAGTTTGAAGTCGTTGTTCATGTTCAGGTCAGAAACTTGGCGGGTTGCCTGGTACTTTTCATACATGTGCATGGCACTCATGATTCCAACCTCATCGATGATATCATTCCAGGCGGAAATAATCTCTGGATTGCCTGTCTTTTTGATATCCTCCAAAAAGTGGCTGGCATCGATGGAAGGCAAAACCGAAGCAATGTCTACTTTATCTTGCACGTTTCCAAAGAAGTAGTCCAGCACAGACTGGAGCGAGAAAACATTGAGCGCATTGGCCTGGGCAAAAACGACTGCCAACGCATACAACTGTGTTGGCTTCATTTTGCGATAGCTAGGAAGATGCGGAAGTGAGCGCAATTTATAGTGACTGATAAGAGGGCCGCACCAGTGGAGGGCCATATGCAAGGAATATGGGGGTTGATGGAGAAAGTGATGGAGAAAGTGATGGCTTAAGTTGTAGAGGTTGGATTGGGGATGATGGAACGAGGTTGGAGGTTTATATACTTGTCATTGTTAATTTTCGGAATTGAATGAAATACGATTGAGTTACTGGAAACACTTGAGATTTGAGGTGACATCTGGATGGGCGATAGAGTAGATAAGTAGATTCTCAATTGAAGGTTAAAAAGCAAAATAGAATAGTATGAGGCCATAAATGAAGATATGATGAACTTCTATGTTCTTTGAACTTCCGAATAAAATTGTATGGATCGAACTAGCTGTTGTAATCTTGGAATGTGGATTGTCTGTTTTGACGATGGTGCGATCAATTTGAATGACAGTGTTGGTTATCTCCGCTGTATTATGAAGTAAATTGAATATCACAATTCTATAGGAAACCATGAATTGGTTGTGAGATGTGGAATCAATGTAAAATGCAACATCTGATTTCCCTTTCATTTGGACTTCCCCAATTCTTGCAAGCATCGAAACATCACAATCGATAACATGAATTACAGAGAAAATTTCGAAACAAAGACGTGAAGAAAGAAGTTTAGTCTCATACCACAGCATACTTAACTACTCATCTCGAACCGCTTCCATTTCTTCTCCCATCTACATTGGATCTTTCATATCAATACCGAGGGACTCACGTGACTTCTTCGTGTGCTCACCACCACCTCAAAAAACAACTTCTCCAAAATCTCCAAAATCTACTTTATCCAGAAACCCCCATCTCCGACCTAAATCTCCCATAAAATTACCCCAAATGGCTCCCTCGCTTGTTCCTATTCAAGGAGTGGCGCGTTTTGGTATCGCGGAAGACTCCATCTACGCTAATGGGAATGGATACTTGACTTCAGCAGTCAATCTGGAACTACACGGTGCAGGGCACATGGGTGTTGGTCCTTTGGACAGAATCATCATGTCGTTGAATTCGGGTATCGAGTCTGAAATCGAGTACGCACTCAGCACGCTTTCGTACTACTCGTGCAATGAACCCAAACTTCTCAATTTCTCGGTTTATCCGTTGATGGGAAACGAGCTAATCAAGTACTTTGTTAAGCCTTACCACTTGATAGCCGAGGGCAAGAGTCAGGATGTTACTCTGAGCATGATGCTGTTGAGTGTTGAGTCGCTTTTGTCTCTCCGAAATGCCGTGCAAGACCTTCCAAATCAGCAGTGGCTTTGTCAGATCAAGAGCTTTCGGAAATACGCCGTAGAGGCGCTTAAATTTTTGACTGGGTGGTTTTACTCTACTCTGAGCCCCAAGCTGTTCAACTTTTCGCAGTTCAACGAGTTGTTCCGCGAGTCTTTGAACCATTTGTTGGACATTTTGGATCCACTCACGTGTTTCTACATTGATAATGCCAAAAACGACCCGTTGTTCCATCAGCTCCTCATTTTGTTGTCGAATACCTCCGACAAGTACGTTCTTATTGTCACGCTCAAGTGCTTGTACCACTTGATGTTTTTGGGCGGCGCCAACGCCCTTTCTCCTAAACAAATTGAGGACGTTACGCCTGAAGCTAACAACTGTATCGATGCTGTTCAGCCCGAGCATCTTCTGATAATTCTTCGCAACTTATTCATCAATGATGATGAAATCACCTTCCATGTGTTGCTGTTTGTGAAACAGTACTTGTTTTCGGAAGCTTTGCATCCTCAATATGCCTCTTCGGTAGCATCTTCGCAGCTTCACAGAATGCGGAAACTTATCAACGCGTCCTCTTCTAAAGGAAACTTGCATATTTTGATGAAGCAGCTCCCTGAGCTGATTGTGGCCCGCTTGCCATTGGTGGATCCCTCCAAGGTGCAGCAAACGATCCCGGTTCGTCTTGCGAGACGTTCTGCCTACAGTGGGGTGCCATCCACAACGGCCAAGTTGCCCGAGAAGCTTTACAAAATCATCATTGCCTTCCCTGAGCCGTTAAGAGCAACAACTTGGCTCCGGTGTTGTTATGAGCCGTACACAGCTGTCGGCAAACCTGGTGAGGATGCGAAAGACCTGACCGCAGGTGAGGTGACACAGATTTCTCTTTGGAAAGCATATGAAAACCAGTTTGAGGCTATTTGGAAAGACCGCTTGAACCCTGCGTGGCCCAATTTGTTGCCTGCTGTCGACTTCATCAAGAACGTCAGCTCTGCCTTCCCTAACTCCGAGGCGATGGTGGTTAATATGCCATCTTCAGACCCATTACAGCCTGCTCGCAAAAAGTTTATTATCAAGGGAATTCAGCCTCGTCAGTTCCCTGTTAGCATTGAGCTTGGTAACTTTGAGGCATTGAGGCGTATTCCTGCAAGCTTGGAAGAGCTGGCAACCTCTCAGTCGGTGGGGGAGGTCGACGAAGTTGCTTTCGATAATGCCTTGACTACGTACAACTCATCCATTTTAATTGCATCCGAAGGCTTGACCGGTCCCGACGATGTTAATGCGCCATGGTATTCACCAATCAACCTTTTGGCCAGAGACATTTTGGGAAAGATTGTGGATGATTTGCTTGAGCCTGACATGGATGGAGCTTTCAAGAATATCTTCCGCCAATACAACAAGGACTGGTTGCCTGATCTTGTCTACGCTAATCCGGGGTTGGTGGAGCAGTCCTATATTGAGGGCCAATGGTTACTGTACCTATTATAGATGTATATTAAGAAAATGTAAATCACGAGTTAATGTTGAAGTATAGGTTGCAAAAAACGAGCCCTATTAGTCGCATTGATCTTTGTGCCTTGCACGCACTCTTGCTATATAAAGCGCCGATGCCTCACGTTTTTTTTTTTCTTCACATTCATAGACAAAGATTTGCTTTCAAAGCTTACCAAATGACCACCGTGCCATCGCCTCTTTTGGCAAATGCTTTGGGGAAAGTCTCCGGCCGTCACAGCGGAAACGCAGCGATTCTTGAGGTCGTTTCGCCCTCTGTTCTGTTTCTACTCGGAGCCCAGCCATTTCGTTTTGTCTGCTTAGTTAGTATCCTCTTTTCTACTTGATCAGTATCCTCATTAGTGGAGCTATAATTCCCGTGCATCAATCCCTTTTGGATCTCGTGAGCTTCGGCTCTATGATGACATTTGGTTGTTTCGCGAGTTTGGAATGCTGGCCAATGTGGAATTGAGGTTTCCAGCTAGGTATAAAGGACGACATGGGATGCTGGGTGGACTGGAATAAGTAATAGAGGCGCTTACTTCATATCTCCACGGAGGTCTGAAGATTCGTCATTCGGCAATGGGATTTTGTATCCTAAACCATAGATATAGCAAGTGGCCATGTATCATGGCCAACCCAATGGAGCTCACTCTTGTTTATGAATGTCCTCTCTTTTTTTCAAAAGTCTGATATCTTTCCACGGAATGAGATATTTGTGTAGTCGCATACACCAGACTTCCTTAATAGCCTCTTGGCCATTTAGAGGTTGTTGTCTGTGGCCCGTCAGAATAATATGATGAAACAACAAAGCAAACATAGAGTCAAGCTCTGAGATGGCTTCACAGTCTGGAAAAATGGCTGGTTGCTAATCGTGGACGAGAGTTGCATAAATTTCTGAATATCCTGACGCACAGATAACAGCATTTAAATGATCAGTGTTTATTAATTTATGTCGTAGATGAATTGAAGGTATAGTACAGATGGGCACCACTTGGGGAGGGAGATTTTATTATGGTTTGACAGTCCTCAAATGGTCCCCACTAATCATTTCCCACGTCGTTCGTAATTAGTCAATGTGCCAATGGCTGGTCATTGCTGAGCTTGGTTCACCAGACAACTCTGCCATGTATAGAAGCAACGTTGTACCCATGTTGATCCAATTCCAGAATTGCCATGGATGCACCACGACAATCGAATCCTTTGGCGCACCATTCCACCAGCCCCAAAGCACCAACTCATTGCCGAGTTCCCCGCTGTACAGCAACATCAAGTGGGTGTAGACCGCAATGACGATACATGGAGAGTAGGCGTAAATCAACTTGAGGGTGGTAGAAGGCGGTGTACGCTTCGTTCTGCGGAGACGAGCGGATGCACGCTTATTGTCAGATGTTGGTTTCTCGTACTCCATGTGCAATGTCGAAACTGACGACGACGAGACCTGTCTCGAGCGGAGCTGGGGAGTACGTGGTGGCAGATATGGGAGCGCATGATACAAATTTGGTATGATTTTCGTTGCAGCGAAAAAAACTCCGGATCTGTAGGCCAAGTTGACCAATAACAGCATTGTCAACTTCTGACATGCCGAGATGAAGAAGTCCCAAATAGTTTTGAATGAGTGGGGCAAGTTCGAGGCTAAGTACGGTAGAACTGTCAGCAATGTCTCGTTAACAGGAAATGGAAGCCTGAGCACCTCGTTCTTCAAGTTAGTTGTTGTCTGAGTGAACAAATGAGCAATGGTTTGCGTAGCATCCTCTGAAAGCAAGGGAAATGTCTCGTAGATGCAGCGGACAATGTATGCAAACAATAAGGAGGACTCAATCATGGATCCCTTGCCAGACACGATTCCATACAAACCTAGGCCAATGACAACCGTGAGAAAAGAGCCGATCAACGAGGCGTTTCCCAACTCAATGGAAAACGGATTGATGTAGATCCGGTACAAGAAGTAGAGAGCTCCCGAGAAAGTGCAGCCGCTTCCTATAAGTGAAACGAACAACCAACTGTCAGACTTGTAAGTTTGGAGCCAATCTAGCGTTTGTGAGGCAGCTTGGATCAATAGTAAAGAACAGAAGCCCTCGGCAATGGTGAACACTGAGGTCAGGTGTACTAGTAAGAAGCGCCACACGGAGATGACAGCTGGCATCCCCATATCTTTCTGAGAGCAGTAGGAGAGGAAAAACATCAAGATGCTGGGAATGAACAAGTGTTGTGAGTAGTATATGAGAGATACCACACGGAGCACAGGATACTTTCTAGCGAGGAGTTTGAGCGTGGTCAAGCAGAAGTACATCGTTAGGAGGGCAAACGAGTATGTCAAGCCACACTGAACACCGCCAACATCAAAAGCTAGCGGGATGGTAAGCACCACGAGGGCGAGATAATACACCAGTAGGATTGATTTGATGATATTTTTAATTTTCTTCATGGAGGAAGAGTGGTATGATGAATAAGTTAGAAATGAAGCAAAATGGACAAATCGGGAACGATGGACAAGTCAGGAAAGTAAGTAATAGGTAGATAGAGAAAAATTTAAGGAGGAACTACACAGAGGGCGAGGTGGAATGGTGTGCAGGAAAAACGGGGACTGGAGACAATGTATAGATATGGAGGGAAACGAGATTGGAAGGTTGAAAGAACTTACTATTTACAAATCCTTTTGTTAAGACTTGGATCGGGTATGAGAATTGAAAACTAGATCAATTTGGCCAGTAATGGGTAGAATTAATGAAATTTCTTCAACTTTCCCTACTCGCTTGGTAGTTGTAGATTGAAGTGCCTGAATGGTTGCGAACTGTTACTTACGGCTGAATCGGGCCAAGAAAGTCAATGACGTATGAAGCATAATGTATCGTGATACATCTGTTTGCTGTCTTGGTCTGGGGTCGTGCGACTGCATCCATTTGCCTCTATACCTGCCATATTAGTGGTTGCTTGCTCTCAAACACTTTGATAATTAGGTTAGGTTTGTGGTTATAAATCGAAGGGAAATGGTGAATTTTTGAGCTATTTTAATGTGTTCTGGTAGATTCTGATCTTTTCTAGTCTTTTCCTACATATTCATGAATTCTGGAGGGTTTTTTCGACGTTTCTTGGGATCCAACGATTTTTTTACTTCTTTCGTTACTCTTAAGTACTCAAGTGTTCTTGTTTTATCTGTTCAATTTGGAGAATACTGCGAACTTGCAAAACGTACTTTTTGTCTTTAAAAATCGATTTTTGCACAAGAAAGTCACAAAATTACAAAAACCTATTCTTGTAGTTCTTACGAGTCCTCTTATATCATTCCTTTCCTCAAAAATATCTGAATTTTCAATTCTGCCCTGATATCCGTTTCTTGATGGGGGCAGAAACATACATGCAGGACAACCACCACTTCATCGCTCATCTCATCTCATGATGATCTTCACTACCATGCCTCCACACAAAAGATCCAAAAACGGATCTACTTCCTATTCGGCAACTAAAAAACACCGGCCAAATCTGGGAAGACAGCAATTGCGAACCGTTAAACGAACCGCTCGCAGAGACATCCCGCATGAAGAACCCGAAGTACAAGAACCATCTGAGGAAGAAGAAGAATTGGAGCAGCTGGAGGAGCCTAAAAGCTCAAAACATTTCGAGGATGGAAAGGCATACGATGCACTTTTAACTCTTTTGAACGCCGACCACAAGCAGATCATGACCACCAGCAAGTCCTCAGGGTCCAAAGTGACTGAAGACGAAGACATTGCTGGACTCAACGTGGATGAAGCTGAAGAGAACGACGAGGAGAGCGCAGACGAGAGCGAAGTAGAAGAAGAAGTGGAGGAAAACGAGAACATCCTCAATAAAGATCCCTTCGAACTGCATTTCAACCTTATCAGTGAAGACTTTGTCGAGTCGAAAGCCAAGGCTATTGGTGAAAAACAGAAATGGCCCACCTCTGGCAAAGAGAGAATCGAAAAGCTGGCATATTTCTGCACTTCTCAAACTGCTCCTGGCCCAAAGTTCGAAGGTGGTGTGGTTTCTACCTCTAACCAGTTCGAAGACTACACTTCCATCAAGAAAAGAGTATACGAAACGTACTTGAATAACTATGGGTCGAAATTGTCACCTTTAGACCAAAGCTTGCTACAAAATCTTCTCTCGTATAAGGATATCAACTACCCTACGAGAACTTACAAGAATACTTCGTACAGAAAACTCTACATCACGCATGTTCTCAATCACATCTTTAAGACTAGAGACAGGGTGTTGAAAAACAATGACAAACTTCACAACTACCAAAGTGACCTCAAGAGTGGAAAGTTAAAGCCAGGAAGCCAGGAACCAGAGCTCAGAGACCAGGGCTTCACCAGACCTAAGGTGTTGATTTTGCTTCCAACAAGGAATGCAGCATATGAGGTGGTTGAGCAGATGATCAAGTTGTCAGGATCCGACCAACAGGAGAACAGAAAGAAGTTCAAGGCACAATTCTACGAGGAGGGACAGCCCCCAGAGACCAAGCCGGATGATTTCAGGCACATTTTTAAGGGTAATTCCAATGATTTCTTCAGCATTGGTCTCAAGTTCACGAGAAAGTCAATTAAGTTGTACTCTTCCTTCTATAGCTCGGATGTATTGATTGCTTCGCCTATTGGATTGTCGATGATTCTTGAAGACCCCAAGCAATCAAAAAGACAATACGATTTCTTGTCGTCCATTGAAGTCATGGTAATCGATAATGCCAATCAGATTGAAATGCAGAACTGGGACCACGTTGGAACCGTGCTCAAATATGTCAACAAGATCCCTAAAGACTTCCATGGAGCAGATTTCTCGAGAATCAGAATGTGGGCAATCAACGACCATGCTCGTCTTCTCAGACAAACTTTGGTGTTCAGCGAGTTCCTAACTCCCAGTGTCAACAGCATCGTGTCCAAGTCTCAGAACATTGCAGGCAAGGTGCGTTACAGACCAGAGATATCTTCCCATACATGTATCATGAACTCCATTGGTTTGAAAATCAAGCAGATCTTCCAAAGATTCGAGTCACCAGACCCTCAATCAACATATGAGGCAAGATTCAAATTCTTTGTCAACTCTGTGTTGCCATCGATCACGAAGCAGACATCTTACGAAGATGGACTTCTTATCTTCATTCCATCATACTTTGACTATGTTCGTGTTAAGACATACATGAAGAACAACACGAAGTTTGATTTCGGTACTATTGATGAGTACTCTTCTCAGTCCAAAGTGTCCAGAGCTCGTCAGGGCTTCCTGACTGGAAAGATCAAGATGTTGTTGTATACCGAGAGAATCCATCATTTCCGCAGATTCGAGCTTTCCGGAGTGAAAAACGTCTTGATTTACGAACCTCCTTCCAATCCGTTGTTCTACAAGGAGCTTCTTCGTTTTGTCGGCAAGTCGGTGTTCAAGTCCGAGGCAGACATCGATTTATCATTTGTGAAGACAATCTACTCGAAGTGGGATGCAGTTACTCTTGAAAGAATCGTAGGAAATGAGAGAGCTCCTGTTCTTTGCAATTCTGTCAACGAGATGTACGAATTCAGATGAGGTGACAAATACCACATAAAAGCACCTGTTTATAGATATAATCAACGCATAGCATTAACATCCATGGTAGTCACTTCCGCAACAATATATTGAGCTGCAAAGAGAAATGACCAAGCAATCGCATTCTACAAATTCGAAGGAAACCATGCAATCTTCCAAATACATTATCTCGAAAACCTTATTCAATATACCATTCCATTACTATTATACAATATCAACCTCTAAGAACGTTGAAGGCCATGATGAAGCAGCCTATAGCCACATAAGGACTTAATCTCTCGCCGATTCTGGCAAATTTCCAGAATACTCCTAATGCTCCCGTTTTATTTTTGTCTAGCAATGCTGGCCATGTAGCGTGGACATATGTGCATGTGCAAATGGACAAGAGGATGACTAGAAGCAACGATTGGAAGTTGAATAACGCGGACTGAGGTTAGTAAAGGTTTGATATTGAGCTGAATCCAATAAACGTACCATGACTAGTTAGTTTCTGTTTTCCATGTTCTCACACTCTTATGAATAGTCAGTATGTTAAGTGCACGTACCAGCATACAGGTTACTTACCGGATCCACCTAGTACCATCTGATTTCACTGAATTTGACCATGTCTGAAGGCAAGGATATCGATTCCTCGTCATTTGCCAGTATTTTGGCGGGTGTTCAGAAAATGCGGGACTCGTACGAGCCTGTGGTACCCGGAAAGCGTCCGATTGAACGTGATTTGGAACCTAAGACGCCATCAGAGTCCACTAGCAACGATTCCAAATATAATTCTCAAGCTCGGAGCATTCCTACGACGGTAAGATCATCTAGTACATCTATTTCTGGAAATAGGAGTACACTAACTTCTCATAGTGCAAGTGTAGTGTCCAATGAGATAAGCAGACCCCCGGAACAGACTTCAAATAGCAGATCTCATGATAGAAGCGGGCATCACAGAAGACAGGGAGTCCAGACGTATACATCAGTACAGGTGGCGAACTCTCAGAAGGGTAATCCTCTTTTGGAGAGCCCCCTGATGAAACAGACACCATGGACTTACAACGGCCAGATTCTCTCAGACTACTACATCAACGCAACATTGCAGGTGCTTTTCCTCTCACTCAAGTACCATAAGCTTCGACCAGAGTATGTGTGGAGAAGAATTGAAAAGCTCAAAGGAGGTTCAGTCACAGGTGGTGACAGCCTGGTGAGCGACCAAGCACTTCGAGTGCTTTTGGTGGTGGTGGACATTGATTCGCCGCAAGAGGCCATTCGGCACCTTCTGGGAATTTGCATGAAGCAGGATTTGTCGATGGTGGTGGCATGGTCATTTGAAGAAGCAGGCAACTACCTTGCGTATTTCAAACAGAACGAGTTGGCCACATCCAAGATCGCTTCGTCAATTCAAGGTGTTAAGAAGGGTGATTACAATCTGAACATTGTCTCCACTCTTACATCAGTTCGAGCTGTTAATAAGACAGATGTGGCGCATCTTCTAGCCAATTGCAAGTCATTCAAGAACGTGGTGCTCCAGGCTGCTCTGGGTGATGGTCTTGGAGATATTCCAGGGTTGGGAGACCGCAAGATCCAAAACCTCAAAGCGGTGTTTTCAGAACCTTTCGTATTCAACAAGGATTACCAGGATACATAGGATATATATAGATAGAAATGGGTAAGGTTTAACACAAGATTACAATAAGTGCATAGTTACCACAAGTGCTCTTCTATAATGTACTATACACTGATTACTGCTGGGCAGCCTCGGCCTCCATCATCTTCTTTCTCAACACCATATTGATATTGTTAATAGACTCGTTCTTCAGCACTAGAATATCCCTCAACTTCTTCGAATCCTCGCCCAACTTGGTAAGTTTCTTTTGGTACACTTGCTTAGCATCTTTGGCATTTTTCTCCACAAAGTATCCGGTTCCAATATCCACCAAATATTTATCCTTCTCAGAAACCTTTCCAGGTAAGTACAATGAACTGGTCATAGGAACTAGAAGGTTATTGCTGGTGGCCAGTTCCATATTATCGATGGTTTTCATGCAATCTTGAAGCTTCGATTGTGCGGTTTGAAGTGCCTGGAGAGACTGGGTGAAATGCTGGATTTCCAACTCAGTTGATTTGCGGAGCTCCGCAAGCTGCTGAGGCTGGAGATGTGAGATTTCGACTCGGCGCTGGCTCATGGTTGGGAAGTAGTCTGGATGATTTTCCAATCTTGATCACAGAATTTACATGTACACTACCGAGTTTATCTGGAGAAGATACAACGTACATTAATATACATTGACAGGCGTTTCGTAGCGAATAATTGGAAGGTCAGAAACTAGCGAAAGCTGAATTAGGGTGATCTCTTGAAGGGTTTTCATTAAAGGTTGATTCCGGCTTCGTGGTAGCAAAATGGGAAACGATGGAGGAACCATCGCCAAAGGTCAGGACTTGAGGGCCGTGTACTCCTCAGAACTGGCGGATCCGGTTGTTCTATACGATAACGAAAAGGAAGCTTTCAACACTTGTGCATTATCGTCCCTTGCACTCTTCCATGATGGCGTGGCACAGAAGGTTGTGTCAGACTATAAAGGGAAGCTCTACTTGAAAGAGAAGATGCTTGAGCATTTACTTGCGAAGAAAATGGGACAGAATAGCAAACTTACACATGTGACGGGACTTGGGGACTTGATCGACTTGAACATCAAATGGAGTGATGATGCATGTGTAGTTTGTCCTGTTACTGGAGCACTAACATCTAGCCATTTGAGTTTGGCCTATCTCCGACCATGCGGATGCGTGTTTGGATACAAGGTACTCACAGAGGTCCGCAAGCACTTGAAGATCGGAGATGGAGTCGAAGAGTCTGTTGTCAGCCTGTGTCCAGTGTGTGGAAAGGAGTTCACATTCAATTATGACGTGGTGAGGTTGAACCCACTGAAGGACGAGGAAGACTTCAACGAGAGGAACTACAAGTACCTTCAACGGAAGGGCATGAGCCACTCGAAGAAGATCAAGAAGAAGAAGAAGAATACCAAGAAGACTACTAAGAATCTAAAAGATGTATTGACTACGGATGGTGAAAAGGCCACACAGGCAAAAGTGATCAAGAAGAAGACATGAAACTATAGATAAGCAACAAATCAACAGCAAAACTCTTCGTAAGCTTCTTGCTGCCAAATAGAGTTCTACATTGGAGATATTCAATCCATTCTTAATTTTCTATGTACACGGCCCTGATTATTCACCTTCCAAGAACCCAACCAGCAGATTATTTCAGCAGATTACTTGCTTTCCTCAGAAGCAACACCCTGAGCAGCACGGGCTTGCTCATACTCTTCTCTGTGGAACTTCAACTTGTTCTTGTTCATTTTGGCGAAATCGGAGTTAGCATAGATGTTGAAAAAGATACTTCCAGTACCCACAACGGCAATACCAACGAGTCCCAAAACAGTGGCTCTGTGGACGACGTCGGTGACACGGACGCTAAGGGGAAGTTTAGACATTTCGGTTATAATGGTTCCGAAAGAATAGTCATGCTATGTGAGATGTTGGATAAAATTTGCGCACGTGACCACTCAGTGGGGCTGCACTCTTAGTAATTAACATGATCTGAAAGTTTTGGGTTGAAAGGAATTCCTTGAAGGAATCAGTAGATATGATTTGATTTTAAGATTATATTATGGTAATAAAATTATTCATTTCAAGTTAATGTCGTTCCGTATCGATTCATTTCATAATGATAGTGAACAGGAGGTGTATGCAGTACAATATAATAGAATCATATAGCCAATTTGTGTTGATACAATTTAAGAAATGCTTGGATATTTGGACAAAAGCAGGTCTGGATTGAATCTTATTCAATAAATCTATATATTTTGGTTGTGAAAGCTTCTGCTATGTTACATTTTTGCACTAGTATGTACTTATGGGCAAGTGAGGAATGGAGGAAGAATCAATCGAGTAATAATAAAATTGAGGTCAATAATTATAAAGCTGCTAAGGCATTGCGTTCATTCGAATCACAATCTTCACGAAGTAATGGGATTTTTACTATATCCAATTTGACCCATCATCTTCCCGAACTTCACGATATCAATTCCAAGAATGACACAGGCAAAAAGCTGGTTATGCGGTCGTATGCTCTTGCCCCTGTTCCGTAATATACAACCAGAGGATTACGAGAACGGCTGAATATCAAATCGAAAAGTAAATGGTGCAAATCACGAAGACCTTTTGTCTTGAGTGAACTGCCAATAGGACTTGACCTGGCCTGCGCTTTCTGGAAATCATTACCGTAAACACTTCTCATCTCCTCACTCCAGCTTCTAACTTCTGCCTCCACAATATTGGAAACACGAGTAGCTCTGCTGGCTGGGAGGACTCTCGTATTCGAGAGATTCAAATTACCCAATCGGATCTGGGTGACAGAAATTCCTTGAGGAGACAACTCCTTCGCGAGAATAGCAAAAAGACTCTTGAGACTATTCTGTAATATGGTTTCGGGTGCATGATAAGGCATCTGGAGAGAGCTCACGATGGTTGGCACGATGCCAATCACCTTGCTATGCTGATCTCGGACAATATCCAAGAGACCCGAGCCAATGATACGGAAGTATACACCCAATTTGTCTTGCAACTTGGCCCAAGATGACATTGGAATATTCTCTATTGGTCCAAGTGGGAAATACAAGTTTGGCGTGAACACCACCGCGGAGAGCTTTAGGACATGCGGTTCAGCACCTTGAAAAGGAACCACCTTAACATTCAACAAATGGCTGAATTTTCTGAATGCAACGTCGTAATTATCGCTCTCATTTAAGTTCAAATAGTTGATGTCATCGGTGATGCCGTTCGATTGGATGTACTTGAAGTCTTTATCATCCAAAATAGTCAAGTATACGATAAAGCCTCTTTTCTCGAAGTCTATAGCCAACAATCGAGTCAACGGCTCAGTGGGAGACCCCACAACCAACACAACATCGCGTCTGGCGCCATTGGCCAACTTGGGCACTCGCCGCTTGTTCTGCTTGTTTCTATATGGAGCAAGCAATCGCTTCTGGTAGTAGTAGTAACCTGCCACCCCAAGCCCCACAGTTAATACAGAGAGAATCTCATACTTGTGATCGTTGTACTTCTGCTTTAATGAAGTGTGATTGGCCAATATGTTGGGCCCTGGTGGCTGCTGGGTAGAAGTCGAAAGGTATTGGAACAATCGTGAATTCTTGATGGAGGTTGGATCTGGCAATTGATCCAGTGACGAAACCAAAAAGTCTGAGACCCTCAGATATGCGGAACGTAACGTTTCAACGGTAGCTTGGACAGGTTCGGCGACCATGTTTGGATCCAAAAAAAATGAATGGCAAAGATGCCTTGAAGGAAAAAAGATTGCCGGTCCCAGGAATCGAACCTGGGTTTGTTCGGCCACAACGAACTGTACTAACCACTATACTAGGCCGGCTTCTTGATGTGAATAAAAGACATGTGGTGAATTTAGAGTAGAAAACAAATTTCCAAAAACCAAAAAAGCGGCCTATTTACCATTGTGCTGTATCAGCCCGTCATCCAATTTCAACGTAGTTCCCTGGAAGCACTAGCATCGCTGGTTCGTAGTCCACTTTTCCTGATGCGTTTCGCACTTGATATGGTGGGTGTCTAGTCGAATGGTGAGAGCTTTGACGAGGATGGCAGCGTTCCAACACCGCTATTTTAGCAACTACACAAACAGGTCTATGACTACATAAGTAGTCCATGATATACAACCTAGCAAACGTTATTTAAAAAAAAAAAACGTTGGCCTATTGGAGCCAAAGAACGGGAGACTTGCTCAATGTATGCTCTGTATGCAGCGTCTCCCCCCAGCGGATACAGATCTATACAGGCATATCAGTTTTGTAACTGTACGAAAGCCTTGTGGACGGCGGTGGGCCACCTGGGCGAGCTTTCACTTGCCCAAATGATCGCCCCACTTCCTATGGGCTTGGAACAGGCCCGTAAAGTCGATCGCTTGGTACGTATTATTAAACATGAGTTCGTCCGGCGACGACTTAGGCGGGAGAATGGGGTGCATTTGCAGCCACTCCGGCCAGGGGACGTTCTTTATCGATATCCTATCTTATCATAGTAATTTGAGTTAAAACTGGTCTATCAGCAGTCGCCTCTGGACATGTCATTTCCTGGAGACGGCTGCTTGCCTAGCCAAATGGTGAGAGCTTTGGTGACGATAGCAGCATTTTAGCACCCTTAGTTTATCTACTCTCAACTGGACTATGACCATGCTTCTCTGTATGGTCCCTGATATAGAACCCAATACATAATTGTTTTTGAAAAAAGAAAGTCCTCGCCGAATGTCCTGAGCTTTGGTCACGTTGACAACACTCTGACAATCTCATATAGAATAAACTCATAGGTCAGACTATGCTTTGCAACATAGTCACAAACATAGAATCCAATATACGATGCAAAGAATATGTGTACGCCTAATTGAAGATACCCTTTAGGGATTTATGTAATCTGGTAGAACGGAGGCGTACACTAGATATAGGCGGACTATATCCGAAATCTCAGAAGGAACGTAAAAGGTGGCAGCTGACGAATATCGATTTCCTCAGACACCACATCAATCTGATACCTTAAGGCCAGATCAATTAATGGAGCTTCATTCTCTCTCATACAAAGAAAGTGAGATCTTCTGGAAATGTCCCTACCTCCAGATATGGTAGCTGGGGGTACTCATGCGATGTGCTCCATGTGTTCAACATCGGTTTCTTCGTGCCCCCAGTCTCTTGAATTCACAGATCAGAACCCTTAATAAAAGTGTGGTTAAATGCAGAACTTCTCAATTAACGAAAATCTCCTTTAGGAATTAACCAATGCACCAATCATAGCTAGGAATATTATAAACATGTTCTTTTAACGTTATTAACCCAGCAAAAGTGTAAATTCAGGTGCAAAATGCATTGAATAATCTAATAATTATTTTGATTTGATGAAAAAACCTCCATGAGGACTTCAGTATTCATCATAGACTCCTGCACACTCCTACAAATTCCACCGTGCAATATTGGATGGATGAAAATTTATGGTGTAGAAGATGAAATACTATTAATCAATGTCCCAGAAATGTGAAATGGGAGAGCTGATTCTTGTTATGACCGACAGAATCACTGAAATAATTGTTGCATATCAAACACACTATATGAAGAGATGTGGTTGATTTTAAGAGTGATTCATATAGGAAGTAGTAGATATGAATTTGAGTGATGGAGTGTTGAAACAAGAGGAATTTGTCTTACAAATCATGTAAGGAAGAATTTTCTAGGAAGTTACTACAAATTATAAGTCTGCTGCTCAAACAATCAATTATTGTATTGGTAATAATGAAATCCGTAAGGTTATCAATTGAAGTATGAAGTATGTTTCACAAATGCTATACTTTTCACAGGATAAACAAATAAAAATAATTACCTGATGTATACTCAGACTCTCTAGAGCCAGTTCATAGAAACAATTTACTTTCATGACAATTCATTAAATCCTATGGAATGTTTTATTCCTCAAATGTCATGACGGTTCATGGTATTTTGTCAATTGAAAGATATCCCAAGCTTTACCTTCTCCATCTTCACAATGACCCCCTAAATGCAATGGATGAGACCAATTGAATCATGCCAATCACCTCTGTCGCAATTAAGCACATCTCAGTATGTCTTCTTTACATTATATGATTCTTTCCCGTGGGTTGGAGTTCACAATTCTCAATGTTCTACATCAGTCCATTCTCTCCACTTATCAATCTCCACCTGTCTAGCCATCCAAATCAAAACTTCTTAAGGAAATCGTAAAACAAAATAGTCAATGCTAAACCACAGTCTAAGAATACATCTACAACTTACTCGAAAATGATAAACAGTTCTCTCTCCTTAGATAATCGGCTCAGAATCTCTGTCGAAATAAATAATTCAGCCAATAATTTCACAATCGTTGTAGGCTAATCCATCCACTCAGAGCGTTGCAAACGAAGCCCCCATTTCTGGTATGACAGGTGTGGGGCTGTTCACTGCTTATCTCATTGGGTTGGGGTGGTTTCCTAATTGGGAATTCATTTGATAAGCAATAGGGGAAGCTTATCTCGAGTCCGTAACCAATGAGCACTAATAGGAAGGTAATGGACAACACCGGCATTAAGCTTTAGAAATCGATATTCATGTTCTACCTCTACTTCCCCTCTCACAAACTCCGGAGGTGGTGGTTTCTTGCTCATTCCATCAACTTTCTACAACTCAATTCTCGTTCCGTATTGTGTGGGTGTATTAATGTATATATATAACAATTACTCGGTCTCTCTGGCAAACTCCTTGAACATGTCGGCATCTGGGATGGCACCGCAGATGGTCTCAACCATGATACCAGTGACCAAGTATGGGTCAATGTTGGAGGCAGGTCTTCTGTCCTCAAAGTAGCCGTAGCCCTCCTTGGCAACAGATCTTGGGATTCTCACAGAGGCACCTCTGTTGGCAACACCGGAGGAGAAAGCATCCATGGAGGCAGTCTCGTGACGACCAGTCAATCTCATGTCGTTATCGGAACCATAAAGAGCCAAGTGCTCCTTGTGTCTCTTGGCCAACTTGCCCAAGGCATCCTCGATGTACTTCATACCACCCTCGACTCTCATGTTCTTGGTGGAGACATTCGTGTGGCAACCAGCACCGTTCCAGTCTCCAGCCAATGGCTTAGGGTGGAAGGAGATCTTAACACCGAACTCCTCAGCGACTCTCAGCAAAAGGTAACGAGCCATCCACAACTCATCACCCATGGCAATGCCCTCGCAAGGTCCAACCTGGAACTCCCATTGAGATGGCATAACCTCGGCGTTGATACCGGAAATGTTGATACCAGAGTGCAAGCATGCTCTGTAGTGGGCCTCAATAACATCTCTGGCGTAGACCTTACCAGTACCAACACCACAGTAGTATGGACCCTGAGGAGCTGGGAAACCTCCCTTTGGCCAAGCGTAAACCTGGTCGTATTGGTCAAACAAGGTGTACTCTTGCTCCAAACCGAACCAGACCTCCTCATCGGAGTGAGCGCTCATCAACTTGGCACACTCGTGTCTGTGGTTGAATTTGTTTGGGGTACCGTCGTTGTTCCAACATTCAGTCAAAACAATAATGTTGTCGCCCTTTCTGAATGGGTCTGGGTAGAAAGCAACTGGACGGAGGTACACGTCCGAGTCGTGGCCTGGAGCCTGTCCAGTAGAAGAACCGTCAAAGTTCCACTCTGGCAAGTCCTCCACAGAAGATGGCTTCTTATCCAAAGTCTTACACTTGGATCTGGTCTGACCTTCAGAGTCTATCCAGACATATTCGGCGAGGATCTTACCTCTTTGGTCCAAATCAAGGTACTTGGCCAAAATGGCGGTTTGTTCTGTGATGGAAACCATTATGTATAGAAGTGAAGTTTAGGGAGAAAGTGATAAACAAGAAAAAGTTTAGCTAGTTACGGCGGGAAGGGCTAGGTTATATATGTTGGGAGGGTTCTGGCAGACGAAATTTGATTTGTGTCTGATAAAGGAAAAAGCAACCCGGGGTGCAGTATCCGGATAAGAGGGAGAGGCAACCAGGAATTTTTTTTTAAATAAAAAGAAAAAAGAAAAGAAGCTTGCCTGCACAATATACCAGTTTCTTAGTGCTTCTCATAAGTTGGGTGTTCCATTGAAGAAACCCCTCCCCTATCCGGATGGCGAATTCGAAACTCACCCTCGTTCGCACATGCTCTGCCTCTCGTCCTGCAGACACTCCCAACCCTCAGCCTTCCACCTATTGGCTGTGATAGCAAACACCCGCTCAACCGGGACCGCCCGCACCCCTCCTAATCGAGAGCAGTTAATTGTCATTTGGCTATTTTGGGATGGTTCTCGCTCCCCAGATCCCACTATCACAGGTGCCAGACACCGTCGCTCGCACACATCTCTCCGTGGTCTGTATAGCTTTCTCTTGGTCGGATTCTGACTCATAAATGCCTAACAGGACCTTGTTGCCTCAAATTTTCCGGCCACTTTTCTCTTTCATGGTATTCCGCCTTTGTTGGCCCTTAACCTGTTGCCCCTTTCGTTATCCTGACATGTCATATGTCCTGCAGAAAACCACCAATGCCTCGCTGGAATTGGCTGACTATTTCTTATCCTCCAATCACAGCATTGGTAGTTCCGATATGCGTAAGTGCATAGTTTAACTGGTTGTGTTGTCGTTGGGGGAGGTTTATTCCGGATTGTAGCGCTTATGTGGTTGTCGGTTTGCTTTTTCCGGTTTGACGTTTTTGGTGGGATTTTGATTCAAGTTCAATTTTCCCGACGATGTTCCGCCAACAGCAAATTCCCTCTTTATACAAAGGTTTCGTCTCTCTTTTCTTTACTCTTCTCTTCTCTTTTCCCTGCTATTATGAACTGCACCTTACCGAGATTTTCTGTTGTTCAGGTCGTAATTCTTTCTGGAAGTTCTTCCTTTTTTCTTTTTGATATTCTGCCTGGACGAACGGAACAATCTCGGTAATACTACCACTCGCTTCGCTCTTTCGCTAAACCCGTACATCCCCTATCATACCACCAGTAAATCTTCCCCACACAATTCTCTTCACCAAAATGGACTCTCCAGTATATGGGTCTGTGCCTGCTACAACTAATCATGCATCGTCCCATCATTTATCTCCACTGGCAGCTTCTATGCTAGCCATAGGAGGCACCATAGGAACAGGACTCTTCTTTTCTGTGGCCTCCATCATTCTGTTTGGCCCATTTATAGCATTGGTGCTGATGTTTTATATTGCATTTCTAGTGGTGATCATCTTACAGATCACCGCAGTATTGGCGGTGTTTCTACCTGAAAACGGCCTGATCTGTAAGTTTCAATTCCTCTTCTTGGGGCCGCTGGTCGGCTTAGCAAACAATCTCATTTATTGGATCAGTTGGTGTCTCACCTATGCGTTGGAGCTTTCCATCATCGTTTCCATCTGCCGTTTTTGGAACACAGAATGGGTAGATAATCACCAGACACTTCTAATATTGCTCATATGGTCGTCATTGACCGCGTGCAACTTGTTGCCTGTGGATGCTTATGGCAAAATCGAATTCTGGATCGCTCTCATTAAGGTGGCTGCAATAGTGGTTTGGATTCTCATAGTGGTTGTGTCATTGGTTGCGGATGGAAATGTGTTTGGGGTATGGACAAACGATTTGCCATGGTCGTTCTTTGGGGCCCACGTATCAACGGCCAATTATTTTGTCAACTTTGTTAGCTGCCTCATTCTCTCGTCTTTCATCTTCCAATCCGTGGAGTCGGTGGCTATCACCACGGGAGATGTCACACAGCCGCACGAGACCATTCCCAAGGTTACCAGGTTGGTTTTTATTCGAATCGTGGTGTTCTATTTGGCTGCGGTGTTGTTACTCACATTGTTGGTTCCATTTGACGATAAAAACCTCCGAGATCCTTCGTCACAGAACTTGCTCTCGTCACCTTTTCTTCTTGCTTTGCTCAATTGTGGCTTCCATGATAACGGACTTCTCTTGCTGACCTTCAACTTTATCATTTTGTCGGCCATTGTGTCTGCTGCAAACTCCAATATTTACTTCGGGTCTCGATGCGTGGAGGCCATTGCAGAGTCTGAGGCTGGTACCTCGTGGGTCCGTTATCTTGCAGCGACTAACGCTGACAATGTTCCTGTGAACGCAGTGTTGGTGACCTCTGCATTTGGGCTCGTTGCATTACTTTTGAAGTTCCAATCCATTAGTGTCCTCTTCAATTTTCTCCTCACATGCTGTGCCCTGGCAGGAATGCTCATGTGGTGTCTTCTTTGTCTCTCGTATATTAGGTTTTCGCAAGCTATGAAAACACAGAAGGTGGATGTTTCTCGCTTGAAATTCAACACTTCATGGAACCTCGACTTTTGGGCATGGTTTGCCCTGGTGAACTTGGGAGTGATTTTACTATGCAATGGACTTACAAACTATTGGGATTTTTCGTGGCTGAAATTCTTGGGGTCCTACATGACGCCAGTATTATTCATACTGCTCTGGGGCTACTTTCAGTATACTGGATGGGGAAGCTTCGTACCACTTGACCGCATTGAGCTCTGGAGGGGTAACCTCAAAGATTGAATTCTATAAGATTTAAGTTTTGAAGAAAATTTTGATCGATATCATATGGCGGATTTGACCTACTGACTCATATGGATATACTCCTCAAGTTGACTTGATTCTACTCATGGTTTGAATCTCGAAGTTGACTCAATTACTCGACCAGCAGCCGTACAAAATTTCCTAGACTCATTGATTCCATCCAACTGGAAAACCTCCAAATATAAAGATGTTACGTATAAGCCACACCAATTTCATAAGATCGGACATAATCTCTCGGATCAGTAATATTTATTAATTGGGAAGTCCAAACCTGAGACTGTCCTGCAGGAAACTCAATTAAACCCCCATCCAAAGTTTATCCTTGGAATCGTTGTCGAATAAAGATTTAATTTGGAATTATTTTTTTTTAAAATGACGGATAAACCAATACAAAATAATTCTTCATTTGTTCAGTGGCATCATGTGGACGTGAAGCTCCTATGTCCCCCCACCTTTCCACCCTCTAGCATTAGCTGCAGTACAGATCCCATCACCAGACAAAATGTCATATGATAATTGGCATACGTTTAAAAAAAAACCCCTGACAACTTTCAAATTCAATTCCGTTTCGAAATCACTTTAAATTATCCGCCAAACCAACCCCCCAAAAAAACTCCTCGAAAACCTCCATCCATCCTCATTTTCTCTCCCGGCCATTTTCCCCCAATTGCAAGCACTTACTGCACACAGTGCGAAAGTCAACCAAAAATCATCATCCACCAAGCTACTCCACCGAAAGTCCCCCCGTGACCACTGCCCCTTACCTCAGCCTGGGCCCCCCAATTGCCGCCAATGAGTTTCCTCAAACGCGACAAGTCCAAACTTAACATTCTCCTGGGCTCGTCACAGAGTTCTGCCGGCCAGCACTCAGACAATGCCAACAACCACAACCTTTCAAAAGTTCACCTGAACTCCAGTTTTCTGCTGCAGAATCATCCGGAAATACATGTTCCACCACGGGCTGCAACTTCTGTGCACAGTGTGCCAGCATCACCAGCGGCCGTTCAGCGGGTGCCGTCGCAGGTTCTGGTGGAACCTCGAGTAGATCCTCCAGTAAGATTGGCCATTGATGACCCGGAGCCGCTGCCAACAAACACCAGATTTGGGTCAGGAATACCCCACAGAAACATGCACCGTGCTCAATCGGCATCAGCGTCGCTTCTGCCTTCGTCGTCAATGCTGGACCCCAACGAGACTTTAACACCGGAAATTCAAGGATCATCGAGCCATGTTACGGCGCAACCACGCCCATTGACCTCCCGTTCTCTTACAGAGGACTTTCTGCCGCGGCTGCTGATGGTACTGCTCTCTCCCGCAGCACATGGCCTCCACACCTCGACATCTCCACCAGATGATGGAGTTCTCAAGGAAGACTACAAGGGCTTCCACCGCAACAAGGCAGGAATCTTTGGCAACGTGCCACCACTTTCGCAGCCCATTAAGCCGCGCTTTCGTAAGAAGGGCCACGGACTTTTGGGGAAATTGATCCATCTGAACAGGAAAGACCTGGACGGATCCGTCGAACTGACAGATGCCTCAGACGTACAGCTGGTGGCATCATCACACCCAACCCACACCTTGAGTGTGGCAATGTCGCCGCAGGTCAACCGCCGCAGTACCTCGTCCCAAGCATCTAAACACAAGTTCAGACTTCCCTCTATATCTCTGCACCACCATCACCATGGCCAATCCACGAGTACATTGGGCATAGACTCGCGCAATCCGTCCATTCTGGAGGAAGGCAATTACGTTCTGGACAAGGGCTCAGATAAGCTGTCTAATCCTCTGTCGAAACAACCTTCGTTTTCAGGACCAGCAGGCAGTCCTTCCAAGGTTTTTGATCTTGACTTGAATTTTGAAGAGATGGGCCTGATTCTCAAGAAACCTCCTAGAGCTTCCACTAGGCCCAGTTTGCAACTGGTATCTTCGCGTACCAGTGCCAACGACGTGTCCTCTACGCCTGAGGCTCCACCTCCCACGGAAGATCACCACAAACACTCAGCATGGAGAGCTCCAGATTCTTGGGATGTCACCGGTGAGGATCCCTCGGCTATAGCTGCTGCAGAGGCAGCAGCAGCTGCCGCAGTTTCTGCCTCCGACTCAGAAACAGACAAGGAAGAGGAAAATGAGAAAACGCATAATCTTGGCTACGCTCTGCTGGTCAACTCTTCTCGTAGTTCCGTTGATGTGGTGGACGGTACAACGACACCAGCAGCTGGAAACGATAAGAAACAGAAGAAAAAGACTGACAAAGTCGAAAGCGAACCACTTCCGTTCAGAAAGAATGGCCTTCCGATCTTGTTTGGAACTATTTCCACCCGAAACTCTCTTGTTTCCGACTCTAAGTTGGCCAAGGGCCCCAACCACATTATTCGTGTGTTCAAGGAAGACAACACGTTTACCACTATTCTTTGTCCTTTGGAAACTACCACAGCCGAATTGTTGACGATAGTCCAGAGAAAATTCTTCTTTGAATCAATTTCCAATTACCAGATCTCCCTATATGTGGGAAGCAATATCAAGGTTTTGGAGCCCTTTGAAAAGCCCTTGAAAATCCAGATGGGTTTGTTAACCTTGAGTGGTTACACCGAGAAAGATAATTTGCGAATCATTGGAAGAGAAGACATGTCCTCAGTTTGTAAGTTTGTCGTTGAGAACATGTTTTTGAGAAATTTAACGCATGAAGAGGAGTCACTTCTTTCCAAGGATTACGTGGACGTGAACATATCCAGTCTGGATCTCAAGACCATTCCTATCATCTTCCATCAGCATACCTACGAAATTGAGAAGTTGAATGTGGCTGACAATCCATCCATCTACATTCCTTTGGACTTCATCCAATCGTGCACGAATTTGTCAAGCATTAACTTTGCTCGCAATGGCTGCTCCAAGTTTCCAGTCAATTTCTTGCATGCAACGAGTTTGACTTATCTCAATATGGAAGCAAACTTCTTGGATGAGCTTCCTTCGAAATTCAGTCATCTTAAGATGTTAAAGACTTTGAAGTTGAACTCTAACCAGCTCTACTTTTTGCCTAAAACGTTTGGAAGGCTATCTAATTTAACAGATTTGAATTTATCTTCAAATTATTTCCAGGTGTATCCTGAATGCATCAACGAGTTGACAAATTTGCAGGATTTGAATTTGTCGTACAACGACTTAAGCGAAATTCCAGAATCCATCAGCAAGCTCACTAAATTGACAAAGTTGAACTTAAGTACAAACAAGTTGAGCAAGAACTTGCCTACGTGTTTCAAGTCATTGACAAACTTGAAAAGATTGGACATCCGTTATAACGGAATCACAAATGTCGACGTTCTTGGGTCGTTGCCTAATTTGGAGGTTGTTTATGCATCGAAGAACAATATCTCTGGTTTCAGTGACAAAATGGAAAGCCTCCGTCTCTTGCATTTCGACAGAAATCCCATCACAAACTTGGAGTTCGAGATTTTACTTCCGATGTTGACGGTTCTTGATCTCTCTAAAGCAAAGATTACTGCTCTTCCCGCTGAGTTTATCACTAAAATTCCTCACATTGAAAAGTTGGTTCTTGACAAGAACCACTTAGTGACTTTACCATCTGAGTTGTGCAACTTGCCAAAATTGACACATTTGTCATTGTATGGTAATAACATTCAGCATCTTCCAGAAGACATTGGTCGGATTACGTCCTTACAGTATTTGGATTTACATTCTAATAATCTCGAATCCTTGCCAGCAGACATTTGGAATTTGAAGAACCTTTCCACTTTGAACGTTTCCTCCAACATTCTCGCGTCTTTCCCCAAACCTCTGTTTGCGGTCGCGAAGAAGATCACTTCCTATGCTAATTTGAAAAACCCGATGGTCGACTCTTTAGAGAAAGCCAACGAGGTGTCTGCATCGGCTATTAAGAACAGCCCTGTTTCTTTAGCAGACAGTTTATTGTCATTGACCCTTTCTGACAATAGATTTAGTGATGAATCTTTCGAGGCCATTGCCTTCTTCCTGAATTTGAAGGTTTTGAACATGGCCTACAACGATATTATCGAAATTCCGGATGGAGCTCTTGGTAGACTCACAAAATTGTCTGAGTTATACCTTTCAGGTAACAATTTGACGAAATTACCTGCGGAGGATTTTGAGAATATCACTGACCTTCGTTTGTTGTACTTGAACAATAATAAGTTAACCACCTTGCCTTCTGAGTTGAGTAAACTCAAGAACTTGGTGCACTTGGATGTTGGATCTAACCAATTGAGATATAACATTTCCAATTGGCCATATGACTGGAACTGGCACTGGAACAAGAAGCTAAAATATTTGAACTTTTCAGGTAACAAGAGATTCGAGATTAAACAAAGTTATTTGAAAAATCCTGAAACTGGTGACGATTTCGACAGTTTACTCGTCTTGAAGGACCTTCGAGTTCTTGGTTTGATCGATGTGACATTAACAACGCCTGCAGTGCCTGACCTGAGCATTGACATGCGTGTCCGTACGACTTCATCTGAATTGAGTAACGTTGGATACGGTGTCTCTGACACTATGGGTATTAGGGATTATGTGTCATTCAGAGATATGTTTATTCAAAAGTTTAGAGGAAACGACAATGAAGTGTTGGTGTGCTCTTTTGATGGTCACATTATCCACCATCAGACGCATGGACATCTTATTTCGTTCTTGAGTAAGCACTTGTTCTATACAAATTTCATCAACGAACTTGACAAAGTGAAATCCGATGACGAAGTGGAGGACGCTATGAGAAGAGCATTTTTGTCTTTAAACAAGGACATTAATTCGGTACTTGCTGCTAAGAAGAGTGGAAATATGCAAAACACAAACATCTCTCCAGAACTTGCAGAATTATCAACCATTGATGACGCGCTTTCCGGTTCGTCTATGTCTGTCATTTATGTGAGAGGGGACACTGTTTACTGTGGTAATGTGGGTGACATTGAAATTGTGTGTGCAAAGAATAATGGCGAGTACAACTTATTATCTACCAAACATGATCCAACGAGCCGTCCAGAATTCGAGAGAATTAGAGCTTCAGGTGGTTATGTTTCCGGAAATGGAGCTTTGGATGGAAACTTACCCATTTCTCGTGGTGTTGGTTTCTTTGGTTATTTACCACACACTCACAGTGGGCCCAGTATGAGCTCCATGCATCTCTCTGGAAGCGAAGATATGATTGTTATGGGCTCGAAGATTCTCTGGGACTATGTTTCTTATGATTTGGCTGTAGACATATTGAGGCAAGAGAAGGATGACCCAATGCTTGCGGCTCAGAAGTTGAGAGACTATGCTATTTGTTATGGCGCAACGGATAAGATATCCGTGACGGTTTTAAGTGTTGGCGATCAGAACTTGAAGAAAAAAAAGAAGTTGAGCTCGTTATACAGCAATTTGGGACGCGAGACAGACCTTTTCTCCAACAAGAAGAGAAACCGTCTGGCTCCTTCGGGAGACACCGCCTTAAGAAGACTTGACAATGAAATTGAGCCTCCTGTTGGCGACTTGGCCTTGGTGTTCACTGATATCAAGAACTCCACTTTGTTGTGGGACACGTATCCTGTTGCTATGAGATCAGCTATCAAACTACACAACACTATTATGCGTCGTCAATTGCGTATTGTTGGAGGTTACGAGGTCAAGACAGAAGGAGACTCGTTCATGGTATCGTTTCCTACTCCGACATCTGCCCTTTTGTGGTGTTTGACCATCCAAAACCAACTCTTGAACGAAGATTGGCCCTCGGAGATCCTTGAAACCAATGAATGCTGCGAGGTGACAGATTCGTCGGGCAATATCATTTACAGAGGTTTGTCTGTGCGTATGGGTATTCACTGGGGTTCTCCTGTGTGCGAGCTTGACATGGTGACCCGCAGAATGGATTACTTTGGCCCGATGGTGAATCGTGCCTCTCGTATTGAGTCCAGTGCCGATGGAGGACAGATTGCTGTGAGTTCAGATTTCTTGCATGAGGTCGAACTGTTATACCAGATGCATGACCAGATCAAGTCTGGGTCATTGACTTTGGAAGCTGCCTATGAAGGTAACACGCGGGTGGGAGAAATCATTGAAAAGGAAATAAGCTCACTTGAAAGTATCGGAATTTCTTACTTCGAACTTGGCCAGCGAAAGTTGAAGGGATTGGAAACTCCGGAAATGATCACCTTGGCTTTCCCCAAGAGCTTGGACATCAGATACGAAATTTTCCAGAAGCAGTTACAAGATCTGCAGACTTCAGGACGCATTGTTGGAGCGCTCCCAGTGGAGGCCGTTTATCAATTGAGAACCATCTCACTTAGGTTGGAAAATGTTTGCTCCATGTTAAACTGTGGAATATCCAACGACGAACAATTCCTGAGAAGTTCCTCGGACACCATTCTGAAGAGCGTTGGCTCCAATTTCGTGGAACAGGACTTTGTGGGTCTCTTCAATCACATTGTCACTAGAGTGGAGAACTGTATTGCGCTCATCGAGCTTCGTCAATCGCTTCTGATGTTGCAGGGCAACAATGGAAGACTTAGGAACACGAAAACTCTTTGGAGTCTTATTGACGAGGTGAACCAGTTGTTGGGACTGATAGCAACGACTGGGAAGCAATAATCTACCATAAAATCACTTCTGAACTGATTCCGAGTTTTTGCTCTTTCAGCCGCATCTCGGATAAGAACAGAATTAACAAAATATCAAAGAAACGACAACAGCAAATTGGTTAGAACAACCATAAAAAGGAAACCCACAACAGCCCACATAATTCAACAGCCCAACACCATTGCAATTGAGAATTTAAAAATAAGTCTACGAACTAACAAAAAGTGATTAACCAGTTCCAGCGTTCCCATTCGTGGTAACATTTAACCGATCTCCGCGCACGTGACTCAAAGTTACGACAGATGCATGGAATCAATTGAAACACCGAAATTGAAATCACCTACAAATCCCCCACCAAACAACGAGAAACCCTACCACTGTCACCATTCAATGCATACATCACTGGGGGTCTCATTTGACTTGCCGCTGCCGCTGGCACAGTCGTTCTCGCTGGTTGCATCGATCGCTTCATCCTCTCAAAGAGGTAAACCCATCAATTCGATCACTTTGCCTTGGATTCGCGAGGCAAAGTTCGGCCATACTCTTGGAATCCGCTCCAATGTGCTTTCTAGCTTAAACAATGGATCTACGAGGCCTGGACCCGCTGATTTGATCCATTGGGGTCGTCATTATGGCGAAAGGTCCTCCACATTTACTCATAACGAATTTGCGCCGCCAACAACAGTCAGCCATTCCAAAGAGGAGGACGGTTATGTCGGCTACTTTCACTTTTGCAACGGAATCGACTACACTAACGGACCTGCGATGGTGGAGGAATACCTCTTGAAAGCTATAGGACTAGAATCCAGACCAGACGGATATTTCTGGAGCTCCAACACAAACGTGGCCTCATATGGAGTATACAACAATAAGCAGATGGTGGTAACTCTCTGTGCATACAACATTTTCGGCCGTCAGGAGCTTCGGGCACGGCTAATTATCCTGGTTGCAAAATCTAGAAAATTGCCTGTCACGGTTGATTGTCTGTACAACGTCACTTCCCAGCTTCTGAAGAAACTGCATAACTACAACCGTTACACCGTGACAGAACTTCCTGATTCTTTTTGGCTGGAGCTAGCTGTGTCAAGTATCGTTCGACTTTTCTACTCTGGTGATGATCCTTCACATCAGCTATGTGGAACCGTCAGTCTTCCTGTCCAATTGCAATCCAAAGAGGTCATAACGAATGCAGTTGACAGAATCATTGATTTACTCCCCAAGGGCCACTTGACGGGCCACAGAGCCTCCATGGGTGCGCCCACAGCCAGCGGAGATGGATCTAAGGTGTTTCGATACAAAAACCGTCTTGTAGATGCGCTCAAACGTCTAGTTTTGCTTGATTTGAGCGGCAAAATTGGCGACCATGCCATATCTCGCATAGAGACCGCATTCGGAAAGGAGTTTGACTACGTGATCTGCCAGCTCTACCGTGCTCAACACAACAAAAACAACGACCAGCAATTTCTCTCTCTTGTACATACCCATTTGGGCCAAGACAGTACTCTGACCCAGGCTGCATTATTGATGGTTGAGCAGGTACGCTTTCTTGTTGCGAAGGGTCACTATTCTGTAGCGCTGACTATTGCAGCTAGAGCGGTGGGAATTTTACCTCTTGATTTCGATGCATGGTACCACTTAGCTCTCTGCTACATCATGGAACGAAAATTTGATCAGGCACTCCAGACCATCAACTGCCTTCCCGTAGTATTTACTAAACTGAGATTGGCTGAAGATTCCGTGGACGATGTTTACGACACCTATGCCATGTGCTTCATGGAACGAATGGTGTACGGCCAAGGCATCAGCATGGATTCGTTTGAGAAATTTTTCCCTCCTCCGAAGTCGGAGTTCCTGATGTGTGATGAAGGCTCGATCCAAAATTTATGGTACCTGGAGTTTGTCCGGAGACCACATTTACGTCATCCAATTTCGGGCCCGTTCTTCCAGTCTCCGCTTTCGTCTGCCACTCCAATTGAGATCTCGGCTGTTGATGCACATATAATGAAGGTGAGTAGCCCGTCGTCCAAGCGCCATATTCTATCGTCTCAATCTCGTGGAAATCCATGGACTTCCGTTTTGGATTTCGACCGAACTTCAACTTGGGGCAGGGCCTACGATTTGATCACAACAATTGTGGCTATAATAGGCTGGGACAGTACGGTCCAAGCCAAGGCTAATGTGTTTCGCAAAGGTGACGACGAAGACGGCAAGAATTACGTTGTAGATCATTTGACATGCTCCCGAGAGGAGTGCCAGCCGTGGCTCGACCTGCTCTTCTTGGTTGTTTACGAAGACATCAGGGCCATGATGGTGGTTTCCAGCGAAGATAATAATAGAAGCGCACTTTCGTGGAACATGATTGGTCTTGTGGGGTGGAGTTGTAAGTACAACCTCAAGGATAGCATTTCTTCCATTGTCACTAGCGTGGCAGGAGTTGCTGCTGACGGGGGCTTCGACTACTTTGGAACTGTCAAGTTGTTGGAAATTTACAACGAGTTCGTGTTGAGCGACGTGGAATCCTCATCCATTGACCGTCTTACTTGTGTTTATGATGGCAGAAGCTACTCCAACAAGCTCATTGTGCAGAGCATTTCTCCCACAGTTCTTGAGGAGTTCGAAAAGCAACTAGTGGACGGATATCTTACTCTCGAGTTGGTATTGTTGTACTTGATGAAGCTTGTCTCGTGGAACTTACGATGGTACCAATATATTCCTAGCCACTTGGCGACCAACACTCTCGTCAAACTCTGCATCAAATACGACTTAGTCTACATTCGACTGATTCTTCGTGTCGTTTACGAGACCTACAAACAGCAACCATCAAAAAAGACGTCTCAAGGATTCTCTGTTCTGCAACTCTTTGCAACCAAAACAACTAAAAACGCGCCTGCTGCCGACTTTGCCGAAGCAGACACAGTTGTTGAGTACATGGAGCGGCTTCTAAGCTGGATTGAGTCGATTCAATCTTGACCAATTATTCTGTCTTCTTCTGGGTGATTGGCTTCTTGCCCAACACTTTCTTTCTCTGTTTGATCATGTACGTGTACAAGGTGTACAAACCTGGAGGGTAAGTGAAGATAATGGCAACAAGTAGCCACTTGTACCATGAGCCCACGACCTTCTCTGCCTCACCAAGACTGAGGTAGATCATGGCAACTTCGGAAGAAACTCCAGTTGGATACAACACATAGAAGAAGGAGTATCTCATCCACGTAAGCCAGTATGGAACTGCGTTGGCGTCTCTCAAGTTGGCAGCATAGTACGAGTATCTGACGACCTCGGTGATAGACCACGACAATGTCAACGTGATGTACACCCAATGGTAGTTTGCTGGGGAGTTTGGAAGCACTTGCATGATTCCGAGCACAATCAACAAACGAGACAAGACCTGAGACACAGTGGTAAAAATAGGCGACTTGACCACACCGGTGACAGAGTTATAAATCTCGACCACAGCACAACATTGAACGAGGGTAAGAATCAATTGGGTCTTGTCGAAGAGCAAAGGTTGCCCAAGAAGCGAGCCCAAAAAGATGGTATTGAAGAGCACAACCGACCACAAGGAGGCCGAGATGGAATTATATGCGATGAGCCAGCGCTTAGGGTGGAGTGGTTTAGCGTTTGGTTCTGACATGAAGAAATGTTGGTTATTTCTGGGTGTGCATACCAGTTGAAGGATGCGAGGTAGTTCGTGGGGACTTGGGAGAAAGAGAGAGAATGAAGAGAAACTAGGGGACAATGACGAGATTAAATGGAAATGAAAAAAAAAGCGAATTGAAGAAGAGGCTTTGAAAGAAGGAAGAGTGGAATTTTGATTAGAGGAAGTGGTTTGAACGACACTAATAGAAAGGATAGATACATAAATTGAGTTGAAGACGACCAAAGTTACATGTTCATTTGAAGCAGTCAAACCTTGGAGATTCTCGAGAAAACCTCACAGAATTGAAACACAACCATTCATTCCTTCTTTCTAATCAAGTAACGGCTCCTCTGCTTCCACATGTATCCATATAATTTGACAAACCCTGGCACATACATCAACATGCCCAAGGCAAGAAACCAGTAATAAAACCCAGAAACAGACCCTAATGTCTTGTAAACCACCACCGGCTCACTCAACAAACCCATTGGATAAAGTACGATGAAGGCCAGGTAGCGAAGCCAGAGCAATCCGTATGGAACCTTCCCAACCTGTTTTGCGGCAAAGAAGCTGTACCTAATGATCTCCGTCACTGACCATGCTACCGTCAACACCGCATAAGCCACCGACACATTTCCAGGAGATTGGGGCACCCAATAGGAGATTCCCAAGGTAATGACAAGTCTGGCGAAAAATTGGAGAAGCAACGACAGGAGCGGCGATGGCACCATCCCGGTAAGCCCATGGGCCACTTCACAAACGGCATTAACGATCTGAGTCACCGTCATCAACTTGTGGGGAAATTGGTGGAAGTTTCCCACTTGGTAGAATCCTCCAGGCATCAAGTCCACTATACATTGGGTGATAATGGCCAACCAGGCCACAGCCGCAACGAAATTGTAGACGAAGAGGTAGTAGTTCATCAAAGGGAGGTATGGATAGAGTAACACGATGAACAGAGGTTTTGTGGAGGTTACTCTGAGATCAGATGAGATTGATAAGATTGAGTATTGGGAACTCGGTGAGTTTCAAAGATGGCTGAGATTGAAGAGATGGATGAGTTCAGGTCAATTGTCGATTGTATATAACTACAGGCTTCGAGCATGTGAAATTCGTGTCGTCATGATTATAAATATGAATGAGTGGTTGAAGTGGATTTATTGACAGGCCACTGTTTACAACCGAGCCTCCAGAATCTTTTATAGAATTGATTTTTGAATGTGCTCCCTGTTTACTTTTCGTCGGCTGCAGCCTTGTACTTGGCCAAAATGGTCTCCAAACCATCTTCATCACAAGCAATCAAGTTCTGGTCCCAGTCCACCACCAACGGAGCTCTGAAAAGCTCAGTGGGGTCAATTTCTGGCTCGGACTCGTTTACCAACTGCGAGAAGGCCTCTTGGATGGCCACATACTCGTTCTCCGAAAAGATTTTGAAGCCACGGTCAGTCTTCACTCCAAGGCTTTTGAAGGTGGTGAAATGTTCCGCCAGGGAAGATGTCTTCTTGTCACTTAACAATGGGAAGCATGTCTGAATCACAGCTTTCGCAGCCTCACCGTGTACAGCGTGCGAGTAAATGTCCTTGAATTGGTCGTAGGTTGGCATCTTCTTGGCGTTCAAATCGATCTGAAATTGGTTTTTGTTCTCGTTGTAACGAAAGTACGCCTTCTCCAATGTAGCATATACTTTGGCAGAAGCAGGCTGCTTAGCGTAGTGAAAGATGGAGATGGTGGCAGGTGAGTTCTGCAAAGAGCGGAAAAGCGACATTGTGTGAATGGAAGAGATGAAAAAATTGGGTAAGGAAACAAGAATTTCGAGGGGAGTCTCCGTCTATTTATATTGGTTGCTTATCTGGACTTATAACCCCGGACTAGACTCAATTCGGCATACCGGATGACTCAAATGTCGCGCACTCCTCGTGGAGTGGCTTCTTCCGATGGACCGAGGGCCGTGACGGAGTTGCTCGGAGAAGGCATAAATGGGGGAAGAAGAGGTCACAAAAATTGTGCCAAAATAGATTGGTATCATGGATTGAAGGTTTGAATGAGGGTTCGAAAGAGCCCGGATGAACGATATTGCACTTCAGAGGTGTTTTCCCCGGGGTTCGGAGCTGAATCTCGGACAGCCCGGTACGACAATGTCGCACGGACCTACATGTCCGCGAAGGCATGAGGTGACAAGACAGAATGAGATGATTCTTGGGAATTTATGGTCAGACGAAAATCAAGGAGAGGGTGATGGGTGAATGGGAAACTATGAAATAAGGAGACTTGAGGAATTATCCAATTGAGTCAAGGAAATGTGAATGAAAAGTATGGAAGTCAGGAGTTTGATTCTGTATTTTGCTTCGGGATGATTCTGTTGCTACCATCATCTTCCTACATACATCTATGTCACCGGGGATGCCAGGTTTGGCATGGCTTCACCGAAATCTGGGGTATCCCTTGGGCCGAGGCAAAAGATGAGAAAAACTCCATCAAAAAATTGAACGTAGAAAATTTTAGAATGTTAAAGTGCAAATTGACAGAAAAGTATCATTGAGATTTTGAATTGAAATGGAGTAGGACTGAGGAAATCAAATGGAGCCAACGAAATGAGACCGAGGATCAAGAGAACGGTGGACATGTAAAAAAAAAAAAAATAAAACCGACGAGAAGTATTCGATTTTGTAGAATTTAGTGCCTTTTGGAATTACTGCAAAGAAAGGAACTTGAAGAATTTGTTGTGTTTGCGCAGATCTCTAGTTGCTCTTGAATAGCCATTACTAACAAACCTTAAACTAGCCTTCGTGACTTTAAGAAGCCTAAGGGTCGCGATTTGTAACCTCAAGACAAGTAGCCGTAACTAAAAAGGTGAGGGCCATGACAGATTGGTATAAACCAAATCAAATCACACTAGAAAGCATTGACCAAACGTATTCAAAGTACAATCTATACAGTCACGTCAATTGTGGCTTGCTTGTCATGTAACAGTCAGGATTTCCCTCTATCCCATAGTTAACACCGTGCTTAGTTTCAACTTTTCCATCCACTTATATCTATCTAATTATAAAAGTTTAACCTTTTCACCAATGAAAAAAAAGAAATAGGTTTTCAATTTCTTTATAATTTCTCACCTAATGGATTTTGACTACCTTAACTCAAAGATTCATACTTTCTTGATCTCAGAGTCATTTACACCAACCACATCTCTGCAGTAGGTAATTTGACATCACCACATTATTAAGCCCATATACATTTTCAAATACTAGAATTTACCTTGACTTTCAAAAGAATCACAAAAGAAAGAAAATTGAAACTCCCATCCACTTCAAATACCTTTTTCCCCAAAAATTCTAGTATTCGCCAACTCTCACCTCTCACTCATCTTCCTATCTTACTACTCGCATCTCACCTTCAATGATCCCCTGGCTTCTACTATGGATCATCACCGTCGTGCTAGCCAATCACAACGATGCTTCACAACAATCTCCCATCCACACATCTGCATTCACACCCATCCATCTCGCCAACCTCAGACTTCGAAGTGAGAACCTCTTTCGACATGGCTGGAGATCGTACATGGACTATGGCTTTCCTGCTGACGAGGTCAGGCCCCTAACATGTGAACCATATGACCCAGACTACACAGATCCTAACAATCTACGAAACGATGCCATGGGCAACGTCTCGCTGACGTTAATCGATAACCTAGATACGCTTATCGTCATGAGACAGTGGCTGCTTCTAGAAGGTGCCCTAACGTACTTGAAACAGAACAAGGACTCGCTATTTGTCAAGGACACTGTCGTTCAAGTGTTTGAGGCGTCCATACGGTGGCTTGGAGGCTTGTTGCTGACGCATTTGGCTTTAACAGACGTTGATTGGACTCTGGACTCTGAAGCGCAGCGAATCGTCGATCTGTACGACGGCTTCCTCTTAGTGATGGCCTACGACTTGGGAATCCGCCTTATCCCCGCCTACAAGACCGCCACACAGCTCCCGTTTCCTCGAATCAACTTGAAGTATGGTCTAGATGCCGTGCCAGACAATTTGAACGTGGAAACATGCACTTCTGGAGCAACGACACCACTCGTCGAGTTCTCGTTGCTTCTGAGACTTACAGGAGACCCACAATTTGAATCATACACCAGCCAAACTTTCTGGAAGCTCTGGATGTCGAGACTGCAGTTGGGGTTTATGCCAATGTCCATTGATCCTGTTAAGAACAAATGGCTCGACGAGATCACGGGCATCGGTGCCCTGGTAGACTCCTTCTACGAATATGCGCTCAAGGGAGCAATAATTTTTAATGATAATCGTCTCTGGGATGTGTTTGTGCGGTCGTATCAGTCTCTCTTATCACACCTGGCTCAAGGCTACGGTATCGATGGCTACACGTATTTTGCTAACGTGAACATTGTTTCTGGAGCTGTAGCTTCCACCTGGATAGACCTGCTTGGAGCGTTCTGGGCAGGAGTCCAAGTTCTTGCCGGAAGATTAAGTGATGCAGTTTCCAGCCATTTGGTCTACTTAAAGATATGGGACCACTATGACTCCATTCCAGAGCGTTGGGTCACAAAGAGCATGGTACAGACGTTTGCCTCACATCAAGAAAAATTGGACAATTCGGTGTCCTTGGAATGGTATCCATTGCGGCCAGAATTTATCGAGTCCACCTACTACTTGTATCGAGCCACCAGAGACCCAATGTACCTCCAAATTGGTGTCCGGATTCTCCATCTTTTTGAAACACGCTACAAAGCACCATGTGGATTTGCTGGCGTTCAGGACATTCGAACAGGGAAACGTCAGAACAGAATGGAGACATTTGTTCTTGGTGAGCTGATTAAGTACCTTTATCTCCTATTTGACGAGGCAAACGAGAGTTTTGTCCACAGCACACAAATGAGGGCAAAGAATTGGGTTTTCTCTACTGAGGCTCATCCACTCTGGTATTCGTCCAAACTTGGAAAGCGAAGTGCAGCAGATTTCGAGCAACATCTTCTGGACCTTAGCCATCAGGAACCGGTCTTCCAGGGGCCAAGACTATTCGACTCCTTGTGGCATAAACTTCGCAGATCACAAAAAGCCATGAACGATACTTTCCAGCAGCCTAAAGAGCCATTTCCACCGAATTTACCCTATGGCCCAGACCTTGTGCCTACGCATATTGAACTTGACAAGTGTGAGGTTTCTCCCCGGCAGTTTCCACTGTCCAAACCAAAATTTCTCAGTTCAGGGTATCTCCATTGGAACAAGGTGTTTTTGCCAGAGGCGATGTTCTCGTCAACGTTAGTGAGACCACAGCACTTGAACAAATACGATCTTCAGAGTCCAGAAAGCTACATCGAGATATCGGAATCGTTTATCAGCACCTACGGATTGGCTGCGAAAAATTTCAAATGTCCACGGAGGCCCACGACGTTTGAGCAAGAGTATATATTCGGAAAGCTTTCCAGACCAGAGGAGATCGAGATGTTCCGGGTGGAGAGAAGAAGCGATTCCCTTCCATTCTCCCGTCACGACCTTGTGATGCCGCAACTCGAAGGACGAGTAAGGTTAGAAACACTAAAGCCGGGAACAATTGATTCGAACAATTTGAAGATTTCACGAGATTATATTCGTCGGAAATATCCTGAAAAATATATCAGTCCCTCTGCGGAGGTGTTGCGGCTTAACAAAGTCAACGGCATTCAAATCGGAAAGAACAGAACAGTTTGGACTGACCGGGGGTTTTTAGAGCAGAATCCAGATACGTTTCTGGTGTCGAGCAACAACCAGGTTTATTTACAGGGAGTTTTTGTGGAGAATTTGAGAGCATATACGTTTCCAACTGACACAATATAATTGAAGTATGATTGAGGAGGAATTTGAAGGTATGGAACGACATAGTTGAAAACAAAATGACAGTTGACAGGAGTTAGCAAGATTAAAGAACAACACAAGAATTGGAGATCTCTACCAGATTCCTTGAAAAGCTTGTCAGAATCGTCTAGGGAAAACAATTTTTGATTGGGAAAATGGAGCTAAAACAGATCAAATCATCAGCTGAAGTCATCGTCATGTCGATAAATTTTGACAATTGAATGTCACTAAAGATGTATGTAACGTTTCGGTGCATCACACCACACATACCCCGAAACCGCATACTTATCTCACAGTCAAAACATATGTATTTAAACAGAACCAACAGGAATGAGTCATGGTGGCGGGCCGATCAGATCGTCGTCTAATTGCACAATTTGATATTTGATCAGAGACTCCACACTCACCACAATTGAAGCTAAAATAGCCATAAAAGGAAGGGTTTGATCACGATCTTCTAGATGTCAACAATCATAACAATAATCAATATTCATTAAAAAAGACCATAATTATTTATCTCTATTCTGTTTTCTTCATAAAATCAATCGTATTCTCTCAATTCCATCATTTCTCACAGGGCCAATCTCAATTTTTCACACCAAATTTCCAAATGGTGTGAAACCTTCCAAAATTCTACCCCAAAAAATCGTCGAAATTCCCCCAAAATTTCCAAATCAATTCAATTCTCCTCTTTTCACCAATTCATCTTACAAATTCCCATCAATTGTCCCGATTTCCCCCTCCTTCCAAACTTCTGACTCACTTGACTCCGTTGCAACCCGTTCGGATATTCGCGGCTGATGACTCTTTGTCCTGCCGGAACCGGCCACGAACGGTATTTAACGCCAGTTTCTCGCAACGAAATACCAAAAACTTCCACGGATAAGTACGTACCATTTTCGCTCGCCTCGTCTTGCTTTTCCTCACTTCCATCACTTTTATCCCCCAAAATCACCTACGCTTGGCCCTACAACCGTTTTTCCTAGGTTTTTCCGGTAGTCCTTGCACTTTTTTGTTCCCATCTTTTAATTTTTCATCATAGACTATAGACATGAGGCTCCTCTCCAGATTGGCATCCAACATCACGAAAACTAACTTCAGACAGTTAGCAACCATGACACAGGCACCTTTGGACGCATCCAAGTTGAAGATCACCCAAACAACTACTCCTAAGGACAAACTCCCTAATGACCAGTTGGTTTTTGGAAAAACCTTCACGGACCATATGTTGGAGATTGAATGGACAGCCGCCGACGGTTGGGCTGCTCCAACCATCTCTCCTTACCATAACTTCTCGTTTGACCCATCCACTATTGTGTTCCACTACGGATTCGAGGCATTCGAGGGATTGAAGGCTTACAGAGACACCAAGAACAACATCAGAATCTTCAGACCAAACAAGAACATGGAGAGAATGAACCTGTCTGCCGAGAGAATTGCCTTGCCAACTTTCGATGGTGAGGAATTCATTAAGTTGATTAACGAGTTCTTGAAGCTCGAACAGTCGTTTGTTCCTCAAGGTGAGGGTTACTCTTTGTACTTGAGACCTACCATCATCGGTACCACCGCTACCTTGGGTGTTTCTACCCCAGACAGAGCTCTTTTGTACTTAATTGCTTCTCCTGTTGGTCCTTACTATTCTACCGGTTTCAAGGCTGTCTCTTTGGAGGCTACTGATTACGCCGTGAGAGCATGGCCAGGAGGTGTTGGTAACAAGAAGTTGGGAGCCAACTACGCTCCATGCGTTAAGCCTCAATTGGAGGCTGCTCAGAGAGGTTTCCAGCAGAACCTTTGGTTGTTCGGTGAGGAGGGATACATCACTGAAGTTGGTACCATGAACGTTTTCTTCGTTTTCAAGGACGCCTCTGGCAAGAAGGAATTGGTGACCGCTCCTTTGGATGGAACCATTTTGGAGGGTGTTACCAGAGACTCTGTCTTGGCATTGGCCAGAGCCAAGTTGCCAAGTGACGAGTGGACCGTCTCCGAGAGAAAGTTCACTATTCACGAGGTCAAGGAGAGAGCTGCCAAGGGCGAGTTGGTTGAGGCTTTTGGTTCTGGAACCGCTGCTCTCGTCTCTCCAATCAAGAACATTGGCTGGAGAGGTGAAGATATCTCCGTTCCTTTGGCTGCTGGCGAGGCTGGTGAGTTGACCATCCAGGTTGCTGACTGGATCAAGAAGATCCAGTACGGTGAAGAGGAGTTTGAGAACTGGTCCAGAGTGGCTGTTTAATTAAGCCGTTATTAGAGGCTGCCAATACAATGAGTTTGAGAAGCGTGTAGAGGTTAACTCCTGAAATGGATAACAAATTTATCTAATCTTCTAGAGGTGTAATGCTAAATCATGCTAAATGCTAATGGATACGCTCGATATCCGGCAACTTTTGGATCTCGCCCATGATGTAGTCTCGTTCATCGACAATGTTGGTACCCGTACCACTCACGTCGAAGCTGTTAAAGAATTGCACAAAGTTTTCCTTGTTTTTAATCAAGATATCCAACACTTTCTGAGACTTCTTGGGCTTCGCCACGAAAAACTTGAAGAGATGGAACGCCTCCATTTGGACGTTCTTCAGCTTATCACTAAGCAAAAGCATCACCAACTTAAGACTCGTTGTATCATCAAAATAATACATGAGAAACAAGTGATTCAGCTTTTGCATTGCCAATTCAGACAACAAACGCACGCTCTGACGTTTAGTCACGTAATTGTCGGCTTTGATAAGCTGATTGATGCTAGTAGTGATCTGCTCACAGTGCTTGCCTGAAAATTCGGAAACAAGCTTCTTGTGCTGGGACAAAAGCTGTTGCAATGTGACAAACACATCGGTGGCAATCTCAAAGATATGGATCTGGGCATACTTGAAGAAATTCCAGAAAAGTGGATGGTATAAGATGAATCTATTGATCACCTCGAATTTGGCACAATCTCGTAAAATTTGGCCGCAAACAAGCGCCGTTTCTTGATGTTCAGGACTCTTCATTAGGAGTACCAAAATCTCGGGCTTCTGATGCACCAAGTAGTCCACGGTGGGCAGATCATTGCCGATTTTGCGCCGTAAAAGCGTCAGAAACAAGAGCACCACATCCTTGCGCAGATCAAAGTCAAGCTTGCGCAAGTTATGAAGAAGATGGTACAAGCAATCCAGAGCATAGAGCTCCTGCGACAACAGCGAGATCTGGTCAGGTTGAGGATCATTTTCATCGTCTCCATAAAGTACGATTTTCACCTGTTTCAAGTATCGCAGACATTCATCCTGATACTTTCTGGAGTCGTTGGGTAGATCGAGCTTGTACAACAGCTCGTTGAGGACACGGACCAAGTCAGGTGGAGTTTTAGGGTTTCTTTTGAAGAGGAAAGCCATCTGGGGTTCAATGGTGCAGAGTAGCACAGAATCATGGAGAAGTGTTTGGGAAGTACACGACTTAATGAAGGAGAGATAGGTTGACATTATGGATGTTAATTATCATAAAGATTGAATTGATGAGGAATTTGGAGACTTGGAGGAGGTCTAGAAACAAGGAAATTTGGAATTTAGAAGATTAGGGAAATTGAAGATTGTACAGTCTTGATTTGTGGTGGACTTAGGTTAGTAAAAACAGCGAGGGTATGGAATTGGGCAAAAATAATCGGATATTTGGTGGTGGAAACTTTCACAGGAGGAAATGGATCTTAAAGAAACAGAGTGGTATTGAAAGATAATATTCATCCATTAAAGATTCTTTGCTGAGGTAAGAGGAAACAAACAATAGAGTATAGTGATCTATACGGTGGGGTCAAAAACAGATGACAGAACAGTGGAGAAAACAGAAAAGTTGGGGGATCAAAAAAGGTGAGAGATGAAGAAGGAAACACGATTCGTTTTGATTTATAGCTGGCTCTATTTCAATTGAAAATAAGATGAAGTCATGAAAAGAAAAAAGAAGTTATCTGATTTAGTAGGATTGGACATCGACTGAAACGAAGTTAGACAAAAGTCAATAGATTCAAAGTACTAAACATAGACATGAAATTAGATGTATAAAAATCGCCATTGACATCAAACTGCTAGTGGATTATCTCTGGATCATCTTTCGATAGTCTGGTTGGGTGTGGTAACATGGGACAAGTAGATGTCTCCATTCTACTCCGATAAAAAAGATATTAAGTTGGACGCGTTAGCACAAATATCAGTCATTAGTAAATTTCATCCGATTTCCACTTTTAGAATTTGAAGATTGGTCTCGTTTGATCGGTCTCAAGTGGAGTAGCTGTCATACACTTATCACTCAAGTTAGAGAACAACTGAAATCTTTCGATCATCTGAAGTTTTCAAAAATTCATTATTTTAAGACTCTAAAATTGAGCTTTGATTCGTAAAAGAAATTGAAGGAGGTTGAATTGTCAAATCCGACTCCAATCAATTTGGGTGCAAAATCCAAATCTACCACTTACACCAATACCCAATTCCTATAACCCAAACGAAAAGCTAGAATTCAAGATTTCAAAGCATTACATCATACTAATAGTTTTAGCATCTCCCATCTTTTTTTTTTCCTCTCATTGGATCCGATGCCCCAAATTTAGCTCACGATACATCATCAACAATGATATCTAACAGACACCATAGACTTCTCAATCAAAATCATACATTCTCTTCACAAATTCGACCATGGGATTATCTCATTACCTCAAATACCCACCAAAATATCCTCTGACCTAAGTCTTTTTCAATTTCCTCTATCTTCCTACCCACCTCCATCACCATACCCCAGGCCACCTTCATATAGCGCGAATCATCTTCAACTTAACTTCAACCACACCTAACTTAGCCAGACGAAGACACCAATGTCGCATCTTTACATCTGGCAGAGTGTCCCGGTAAACAAAAGCAGTCGACCTATTCTCATAGAAAACGAATACAGTATCTACGTCAAGGATGGAGTTGGAATCTACCAGGGCAAGCTGAAGATCGCCAACCATCAAAACGGCAGAGTGTATCTCACAAACAAGAGGGTCATTTATATCGACACTATAGATAGAAACCGTGCAATTGCTGTGAGCTTGAAGGATGTGGCGCGAGCAGAATATGTGGAACGGTTCCTTCGGTCATCACCGAAGGTGAAGGTTTACTTGAAAGTTGAAGATGAATCGACCTCTGTGGCCGGCTCCAGCGCGGCAAGTCCTCAGAATCTGCTGGCATCTCTCCCGATAGACAAGACTGTTGATTGGATCTGTGTGATTTGCTCTTTCAACAACCATATTTCGACAAAAACCAACCTCGACGTCAACTTCCCAAAATGTACATCTTGTGGTATTCCACCATCCAGAAACCACATCGAACAGGTCATAAAGAATGCATACACACAGCAGGAACCTGCGGCAGAGACACAGACGTCCCAAAGCAACGACCAGTGTCCAAAATGTACATTCATCAACCATCCATCAATGAAGTACTGTGAAATCTGCGGAACGGAGCTTCCGACAATCCCACTGGCACTTTCTAGGAAAATTCAGGACATGGAAAATCTCTCTACCCCCAATTTAAGGGCAAACAACCCCTTGGGGCTAATTCTTGAAGATAAAGAGGAATACACCAACGGAAGGCCGTACATTAAAATCAGTTTCCGAAAAGGCGGAGAACTCGGATTCTACGAGCACATTGTTCAGGAAATTGATAAGATAAAATGGGAATTATTAGAAAGTCGTGGCGGCATTGGAGGCGAAGCCACCCGGATCCAGAAAAAGGAGCAAGTAGTGCCAAAAGTGAAGACAGGTGGAATCCACAGCTTAGAGCGTATTGGCCAGCTCCAAAGAAAGCAGAATGAGATCATTCTCACGCAATCCCTCGAGGATCTCGAGCAATTGATGTTTAAGGCCCAGGATTTAATCAAGCTATCCTCCAGTTTTGGTTCACTCGTCAAGCGCAGAAAGAATACTCCCTCGGCCACCATCCCACCGTTGGTGATCAGCAGAAACTCCAGTTTGTTTCATCAGGAGCTTGCTCGTCATATCAGCGAGTATTTGCTCAACTCTGAGCTCACGAAAATAACCTCCATGATCAGCATTCCTGATCTTTTTGCCTCATACAACCGGTTCAGAATTCTCAACCAAGGATTTGGAACCGAGCTCATCTCCACACAAGAGCTCAATAAAAGTCTCGAGTTACTCGACAAGCTCGAACTTCCTATTAAGATGACAACGTTCCAATCTGGCTTACAGGTTGTCACGCAGCGGTCACACGAGCTGCAAGACCTTCATGTGAAGATTATGGAGCATTTAATAGAAGAGGAAAACAACTTCAAATACCAAAAATATCTTTGCCAGTTTCTTGCTGACAGCGATGACTACACCAGAGACAAGTACAAGGTATTCCACGGCAACACCATTGCCGAAATAGCCGAACACTTTGGCTGGTCCCACAGCGTATGCATCGAAGAGATGACTCGGTGTATGGAGGAGCAGTTGGTTGTTTTCGATAAGCACATTCTGGGCACCTTCTTCTTTGTCAACCAATTCGACGCCAAGTTAGCAGCCAAACTACGTGATGAAGAAGAGATCCGGTCGTCCGCCGAGAAGGACGCATTGGAACAGCAGAAGAGTATTTCCACATCGTTGAAAACACGATTTGATGCCGAACAAAACCTTATTGCTGTGCAGAGCCATCAATTCGGGGCGTTGCAGCCATCAGTGGATATGATTGACTCAACTGTACAAACCCCGCCCAGTGATACTTTGGGCCAGCTTGCAGGATTAAAGTTTACTTAGAATAGCCGCTGGAGTTGTAGCCCGGGTGCCACGAAAGAGATCGCCATGTTTCTACTGGTTAGTTACCTGTCCTGGACCACTGCATGGACCACTTATCATGATTTGATTAAAATCGCGCGTAGATTGCGTTGCGGAATTTAGCTGGCTCAACGGCGATAGAGTGCGAATGGCTCGGCGACATCACGACATTGCGATCGACAAGCGACATGGATGCATTTTTCTAGAAGTCATCAGAACTATGGGTAAATTTTGACTATTTTTGTGATCTGGGTAGTTCTTCCTCGAGGAGTTTTTTAATCCAGTTGTTCTGGGCATTTATTATTCTAGCCTCCAGTCTTCTGTCAGATTTCTTCGCATTAAACTAGAGGGGAGCATTAACATGTCAAGCTGCTCACGTGCCGCATCACTTTCAAGTGTCAAAATGGCTTCCCTGCACGCCCTAAACATTTTTGGCTCTTCTATGGCGTATTTCATTGCGCTAATTTGTTCCACCCGAGAGATACCAATGTGAATCGCCGATATCTTGGTCATCGTATGATATCCACCATTATCGATATTTTTCTTTTCCCAAAAAAGCAAACCGTTCGCCTAGCAAAATCTTTTTCCGGCCCGTCAAGAACAAACGGCTCTGAACCATTTCTAACAACAAGGCACTGTCTCTAATCAAGTCCCCGACGGGCCGATTCCGCCGCACTGCCTGCGTTCAGTGCCTTTTTTTCTGCTTTCATGCACGTGAGTAACCTTTGTTCCATCCAAACGGAACCATCCTACACATGCGCTTATCTCATCTACCTTATCTGGTCTTCTATATAAGATCAGACTAAGTCCATGAAATTCAATTTTTTCATCAGCCATTGCAATTGCATCTTCATTTGAGTTCAATTCACTTATAACTTGTCTCGAATGTCGTCTTCTGCTGCTTACATTGCACTTCCCCAGGGTGCCGGCTACGCTGTCGTGGTTGGCTTGGGTGCTGTATTTGCTGGAGGTATGGTTCTTACCACCTTCTGTTTGAAACGTTACAATAAGGAAATCATGACTGCTGAAGAGTTTGCTACAGCCGGTAGAAGTGTTAAGACCTTCTTGCTTTCGTCTGCTGTTGTCTCTTCCTGGACATGGGCTGCTACTCTCTTGACCTCCACTGTTCAAGTGTACAACAACGGTGTTTCTGGTGCTTTATACTACGCTGCTGGTGCCACAGTTCAGATTATTTTGTTTGCTTGTTTGGCTATCAAGGGTAAGGAGCGGGCTCCTTCTGCACACACTTATTTGGAAATTGTGAAAACACGATACGGGCCAGTTACTCACGGAATCTACTGTTTCTGGGGGTTTGCTACAAATGTCTTGGTTACCGCAATGTTGTTAACTGGTGGTTCTGCTGTTGTGCATGATTTGACGGGAATGAACGTTGTGGCTGCATGTTTGTTGTTGCCTCTCGGTGTGGTGGTTTACACCTTGTTTGGAGGTATCAAGGCAACTTTTTTAACCGATTATGCTCACACTGTGGTCATTGTGATTATCATGTTAGTGTTTGCTTTCAATGCCTTCGCCACCTCTGACAAGTTGGGTTCTCCAGCTAAGGTTTGGGAAATTGTCACCGCTTTGGCTGAAACTCAGCCCAGAGAAGGTAACGCTGGTGGCTCATATTTGACCATCAAATCCCGTTCTGGAGGTATTTTCTTTGTCATCAACATTGTCGGTAACTTCGGAACTGTTTTCTTGGATAACGGATATTTCAACAAGGCCTTCGCTTCGGACCCTGTTGCTACCATGCCCGGCTACGTTCTTGGTGGTTTGGCCTGGTTTGCCATCCCAATGTTCATGGCCACCACTATGGGTTTGACTGCTTTGTCTTTGCAGAACACTCCTGCTTGGCCAACTTACCCAGAAAAAATGACTTCTGCCGAGGTCAGTGCTGGTTTGGTCTTGCCTAACGCAGCCGTAGCTCTTTTGGGCAAGTCTGGTGCTGTGATGAGTCTTTTGTTGGTTTTCATGGCTGTCACCTCTGCAATGTCTGCAGAGTTGATTGCTGTATCCACCATCTACACTTACGATATTTACAGATCCTACATCAACCCCAAGGCTTCTGGTAAGACTTTGATCTTTATGTCTCACGCATCGGTCATTGCTTTCGCCTATATTATGGCCGGCTTTGCTATTGGTTTGTACTACGCAGGTATCTCCATGGGTTACTTATATGAGTTGATGGGAGTCATTATTGGTGGTGCTGTGTTGCCTTCTGCATTGACTTTACTTTCCAAGAATCAAAACTGGCACGCTGCAACTTTCACTCCTCCAATCGCAACTGCCTTATCTATCATGTCGTGGTTGGTTTGCACCAAGAAGATGTACGGTACTGTCACAGTTGACACAACTTTCATGGATGATCCTATGTTGACTGGTAACGTTGTTGCTCTTTTGTCTCCCTTGATCATTGTTCCCGTATTAACCCTTGTTTTCAAGCCTCAAAAGTTCAACTGGGACATCTTAAAGACCATTGCTCGAGTTGATGAAGAGGAGGAGTTATTGGCTGCCGAGACTCCTGTCGAAGAAGACCCAGAGAAGCTTTTACCTGTCAAATCTCAAATGACTACTGCTGCTCACGAAATCGCCGTCGAAAATTTCGATAAGTATGCCGAGGAAAGTGCCAGATTGAAGAGATCGTTCAAGATTGCCTTAACGATTTGTTGTGTTTTGGCAGTCTGCTTGATTTTGTTGTGGCCAATCCCAATGTATGGCAGTGGTTATATTTTCAGCAAATCATTCTTTACTGGTTGGGTTTCTGTGTTCTTCATTTGGTCGTTCTTCACTGCATTTGTTGTTATCATTGGGCCTGTTTGGGAAGGTCGTCAAGGTCTCTTCACTACTTTCAGAGGTATCTACTGGGATTTGACCGGTCAAACCTGGAAGTTGAGAGCATGGCAGAATGCCCACCCAGAACAGTTGCACGCTGTGCAGAGTCAGGTTTCCGCTCAGTTAACCAAGATGATTTCTTTGGACGGTAAAGTTGCGGGAGGAGGAGTAGTGACACCTCATAACATCGACACTGAGTTGGACGAGAAGAAGTGATTTATTATGAATATGGAGATATATTAATTGAGAAATAATTGTGAGCTGAAGTAAGAGAAGAGGAATGGTGTTTAAAGTCAAACAAATAAGCTGATGAAGTTAATTAATTAGGACAAATATTCAAAATGAGTTGAGATGGCAATGTCTAATTCTTAGAGATACCGACAAATCTTAATCAGATCTGAAGGGTCTCAATCAAAAGAGGAAACTTCTAAAAGAAAAATAGAAGTTTCCATAATCAAATGGATATACGGCAGTGAGTTCTTTGAGAGAATGCTGGAATGAAAAATACCCCATTAGGAGCTAATTCCGAGTTAAACAATTAAAACAAAAAATAAATAAAACAGATTTTCAAGTTTAAACTCTAATCATCTCCTGTAACAGAAATAGAACAGTCTAAATTGATTTTTCTCCGAATCAAAACTTGAAACGTATTGTGCACAGTGTTCCCAATAACAATACCTACTATTCCAATGCCAAAGTGACCATTATGTGTACAAGACCAAACCATTTCTCAATGATGCCAAGCCTATGTTCCATCCAATCAACAATCTCCATCTATGATTTTTCATTTGCCCCACACTGAAATGAACTTGCTCCACTTTAAAACCCATCGATCCTAAATCACGTGATATAACTGATAAGACCCTTATCGGCATAGAAGCCCTCGTTCCGTACTGACAGAATGCGGCCCACCGACCGGCGCTATCCGAATAACACAGGGGTGCAAAATAAGTGCGTGCACATACCACATCGCACCCTTCTTTATCCGGATCCTATCGCTGCCCAATCACCACCCAATCACCAGCCAATCAATAGTGGCATTAACCTTCGTCACTATGACTGCATAATTTCCGTTGGTTCCACCACTGACTTGCACTCCATGGTATTGATGTTGAAACCGGCCGCCCGTTCCCTGTACATGGGGGGGATGTCCAACTTTGATGGTTAATTTTCACCACTTTTCACCCACTACAGCCCCACACTTCGGTATTACCCGAGTTCTTATCTCGATCAACGATTTTGCGAGCAAAATGATAAAGAATTCAACTTTGACAAAAGTTTGTCATTTCTTTATGACATTTTGTGCCCTTGAAAAATGAGTGTCTAACCAATACACCTCTAGTAATCGTAAGAAATGGGCCATGAAAATGCCGCTAAACTTGAAGGTAGACCTGCGGTATAGATGCGGCGGCCGGCCCGTCGTGGCTTGCTGTTTGGGGTTCCATGGGCATCTCCGATCAAATGCGATAGACTGCACATGGTACCGGGCATCCAACTACCCATATAATGTCCGAATTTCCCACCATAAGCGAATTTTCAATCACACCATTAGTGATCCATAAACTTTTGATCTCCTCTCACCTCTGTGATCAATTGTGTATCTTTGGTTGATTTTATTTGGTATTTTTCGTGATATTTTCACCGCTCAATAGCGTATTTCATTTCCCCCACTTCTTGCTATCATAATGTCGTATTTGGGCTGGACCATCGACGACTGGAAACGATTCCACTTCCTGTCGACCCCTGACGACTCCCTTGCTTTATTGCAAAAGCTTGTTGCCGACCAAAAGCTGGACGATCCAGCATGGATCTCTCTTGTTTCTGAAGACGATTTGATCCACCAATGGAGATTTCTCCAATCCAATGCTAACAAAACTAAACTTCCTCTTTACGGTGTTCCTGTGGCCATCAAGGACAACATCGATGTGAAGTTGATGCCAACGACTGCGGCTTGTCCATCCTTTAGCTACAATCCCACTGAAGATGCCACCACCGTTCGCATGTTGAGAAGTGCTGGTGCCATCATCATTGGAAAAACTAATTTGGATCAGTTTGCTACTGGTTTGGTTGGAACCAGATCTCCTTACGGCATCACACCTAACACTTTCAACTCCAAGTACGTGTCTGGTGGCTCCTCCGCTGGCTCGGCCTCAGTTGTGGCACGTGGAATAGTTCCAATTTCTTTGGGTACCGACACTGCCGGTTCTGGTCGTGTTCCTGCTGCTTTAAACAACTTGGTTGGCCTTAAACCAACCAAGGGTGTCTTTTCTTCTAGCGGTGTCGTCCCAGCCTGCAAGTCATTGGACTGTGTTTCCGTGTTTGCCTTGAACTTGCACGATGCACAATTGGCTTTCAATGTGCTTGTGGAGTTTGACGGAGCAAAAGACGAATACTCGCGTAAATTCCCCGAGAACGCACTCTTGAATTTCGGCTCCAAGCCACGGGTGGCTGTGCCTAGCAAACTTGAATGGTGTGGCGAGGAGGAAAACCCTAAGTTGTTTGACAAAGCTATTGAAATTGTCAAGCAGACTGGCTGCGAAACTTCCGACTTTGACATTCAGCCATTGCTTGACTTAGCAAAGTGTTTGTATGAGGGTGCTTGGGTCGCTGAGAGATACTGGGCCACTAAGGACTTCTTGGCTACTAATCCACCAACTGAAGATTTGGATCCAACCGTGATGCAGATCGTCAAGGGTGGAGAGAAGCACTCAGCTGCTACTGCTTTTGAGTTTGAGTACAAGCGTCAGCAGATCATGCAGAAGGTTCAGCCTTTGTTGGACGAGATCGATGTGCTCGTCCTTCCGACTGCACCATTGACTCCAACCATTGAACAGGTCAAGAATGATCCAATCGGTGTCAACTCAAGCCAGGGTACCTATACCAACTTTGTTAACTTGGCAGATATGAGCGCATTGGCTGTTCCTGCTGGATTCCGTGCTGACGGGTTGCCTTTTGGTATTACCTTCCTTTCTCACAAATTCAATGACTACGCTTTGTTGGAGTTTGCGTCAAGATACTTGAGAGAATTGACCGAACAAAAGCCTCGTTTCTACGGTTGCCTCAAGGATACGGAGGCTTCGTCTCTTGGTGACGAATTGCTTCCGTACACCGAATTGCCCAAACCAATTTTGAAAAACACCGTCAAGGTGGCTGTTGTCGGAGCCCATTTGAAAGGTTACCAATTGCACTGGCAGTTGGAGAAGGTGCACGCAACTTTGGTTGAGGAAACCACCACTTCTGCCAACTACAAGTTGTATGCTTTGCCAAAGACCGGTTCAGTGGCCAAGCCAGGTTTGAGAAGAGTTACTGAGTTCGGTTCCAAGATCGCATTGGAGGTCTATGCTATTCCTTTGGAGTTGTTCGGTCAATTTGTTAACTACGTTCCAGAGCCTTTGGGCATTGGATCGGTAGAATTGGCTTCTGGCGAGTGGATCAAGTCGTTCATTTGCGAGGAGGCTGGCTACCTTGCCCAAGGTACCAAGGACATCACTGAGTTTGGTGGATGGAAGAACTACCACGAACATTTGGACAGAGAGGCTAAGAAGTATAAGAAGCCATTCAAGTCTGTTCTTGTTGCTAACCGTGGTGAGATCGCTGTACGTATCATGAAGACCTTGAAGAAGATGGATATCAAGTCCATTGCCATCTATTCGAACCCAGATAAGTACGCTCGTCATGCTCTCATCGCTGACGAGTCCATTCCATTGGACGGAGTTTCTGCTGCAGAGACTTATATCAACATCGACAAGGTGATCGCAGCAGCTAAGAAGTCTGGTGCTGAGGCCATCATTCCTGGTTATGGATTTTTGTCGGAGAATGCTGATTTCGCCGACAGATGTTCCAAAGAAGGAATTGTGTTTGTCGGACCATCCGGCGATGCCATCAGAAAGCTTGGTTTGAAACACTCGGCAAGAGAAATCGCCGAAAAGGCTGGCGTTCCCTTGGTTCCTGGTTCTGGCTTGGTTGCTGATGCTAAGGAAGCCAAAGAAATTGCTGCCAAGCTCGAATACCCAGTCATGGTGAAGTCGACCGCTGGAGGTGGAGGTATTGGATTGCAGAAGGTTGACTCAGAGGACGAGATCGAACGTGTGTTCCAAACCGTCCAGCACCAAGGTAAGTCTTATTTCGGTGATGCTGGTGTCTTCTTGGAAAGATTTGTCGAAAATGCCCGTCACGTCGAGATCCAAATGTTTGGTGATGGTTACGGTAAGGCCATTGCCTTGGGAGAGAGAGACTGTTCTTTGCAGAGAAGAAACCAGAAAATTATCGAGGAAACTCCTGCTCCAAACTTGCCTGAAGCCACTCGTCAAAAGATGAGAAAAGCTGCCGAATCCTTGGGTTCATTGATGAACTATAAGTGTGCTGGTACTGTGGAGTTCATCTACGACGAGAGACGTGACGAGTTCTACTTCTTGGAAGTCAATGCCAGATTGCAGGTGGAGCACCCCATTACTGAGATGGTGACTGGGTTGGATTTGGTCGAATGGATGTTGTTGATTGCTGCTGACACTCCTCCAGACTTCTCCCAAAAGATCACCGTTACAGGTGCTTCCATGGAAGCAAGATTGTACGCCGAGAACCCAGTCAAGGGTTTCATGCCTTCTCCTGGTCAGTTGACTGAAGTGAAGTTCCCATCCTTTGCTCGTATTGACGGTTGGGTCGAGAAGGGAACTGTTGTCAGTGCCGAGTACGATCCAACCTTGGCCAAGATTATTGTTCATGGAAAAGACAGAAATGATGCCTTGAAGAAATTGCGTCAGGCCTTGAACGAGACCGCAGTTTCTGGGTGTATCACCAACATCGACTACTTGAGGTCTATTGCAGACTCCAAGATGTTTGAGACTGCTAAGGTTGCCACCAAAGTGTTAGACTCTTACGAGTACAACCCAACTGCTTTCGAGGTGCTTGCTCCAGGTGCTTATACTACTGTCCAGGACTTCCCAGGGAGAAAGGGTTACTGGCACATTGGTGTTCCTCCTTCTGGATGTATGGACGAGTATGCGTTCCGTTTGGCCAACAGAGCCGTTGGAAACGATGCTGGCGCTCCAGGATTGGAGATCACCTTAACTGGGCCAAAGCTTTTGTTCCATCACGATGTCATTGTGGCTGTCACTGGTGGTGAAGTGGAGGTAGATGTCAACGGCACCACTGTGTCCCAGTGGACTCCTATTCACATCAAGAAGGGCGACAAGTTGTCTATTGGTAAATTGACTTCTGGTTGCAGAGCATACTTGGCTATCAGAGGTGGAATTGAAGTTGTCGAATACTTGGGCTCTCGTTCTACCTTTGCTCTTGGTAACTTGGGTGGATACAACGGTCGTGTGTTGAAGTTGGGTGATGTTTTGTTCTTGGGCCAACCAGAGTTGCCAAGTTGCACCTTGCCAGTTCCAAATGCCGAACCAAGTGAGGTTCCAAATTCTTTGGTTCCTTCTTACAACTTCAATGCTACGAATGCCTGGCAGGTGGGTGTCACCTGCGGACCTCATGGCTCCCCAGATTTCTTTACTTCTGAGGCTGTGGAAGAGTTCTTCGCTTCGAAGTGGAAGGTCCACTACAACTCCAACCGTTTCGGTGTGAGATTGATTGGTCCTAAGCCAAAGTGGGCCAGAAAAGACGGTGGTGATGCTGGTTTGCATCCATCCAATGCCCACGATTACGTCTACTCTCTTGGTGCCATCAATTTCACTGGTGACGAGCCTGTGATTTTGACTTGCGATGGCCCATCTCTTGGTGGTTTCGTTTGTGAGGCTGTTGTAGCTGAGGCTGAAATGTGGAAGATCGGTCAAGTGAAACCTGGAGACTTGATCCAGTTCATCCCACTCAGCTATGAGGTTGCTAAGGGCTTGAAGCTCGAGCAAGACAAGGTGATCTCCGAGCTCAAGGGTGATGCTCCATCTTTCGAAGGTAGAGTTTTGCCCAAGTTCGAGGACCCAGTTTTGGCTGTCATCCCACTGACAGAATCCACTCCAAAGACGGTTTATCGTCAAGCTGGTGACAGATACATTCTAGTGGAGTACGGTGAGAACATCATGGACTTGAACGTATGCTACCGTTTGCACAAGTTGATCGAAATGGTTGGTGACTTGAAGGTTGAAGGTGTGGTAGAAATGTCTCGTGGTGTCCGTTCTGTGTTGATCGAGTTTGATGAGAAGGTGACCCAATCGGCATTGTTAGAGACCATGCTTGCACTCGAGAAAGAAATTGCATTCGTCAACAAATGGAAGGTTCCTTCTCGTATTCTCAAGTTGCCAATGGCTTTCGAGGACAAGAAGACTTTGGATGCTGTTACCAGATATCAGGAGACCATTAGAAGTGATGCTCCTTGGTTGCCTAACAACGTCGACTTTATTGCAAACATCAATGGTATTGACCGTTCTGACGTGAAGAACATGTTGTACTCTGCCCGTTTCATGGTGTTGGGTCTTGGTGATGTCTTTTTAGGCGCTCCTTGTGCTGTTCCTCTTGACCCAAGACACCGTTTCTTAGGTACCAAGTACAACCCTTCGAGAACATTCACCCCTAACGGAACTGTGGGTATTGGTGGTTCGTACATGTGTATTTACACCATGGAGTCTCCAGGTGGATACCAGTTGGTTGGACGTACTGTTCCTATTTGGGACAAGTTGACGTTGGGTAAACACTCTCCAGGAACCAAGCCATGGTTGTTGAACCCATTCGACCAGGTGGAATTCTACCCTGTTTCCGAGGCTGAGGTGGATAAGATGACCGAGAGAATGGAGGCAGGTCATTTTGATGTTGATATTGTTGAGTCTGTTTTCGACCACGAGCAGTACTTGAGATGGATCCAGGCCAATTCGGCATCCATTGAGGAATTCCAGGAGAACCAGGGAGGTGAGAAGTTGGAGGAGTTTAATCGCTTGATCCAAATCTCTAATGCCGAGTTGGAGGCTGGCAAGTCTGGCCCAACTTTGAGTGAGGATGACAAGTTTTCTGAAGATGCCGAGATGGTTTACTCTGAGTACTCGGGACGTTTCTGGAAGCCCTTAGTCGAGGTTGGTGACGTTGTTAAGGAGAACCAGGGTTTGATTGTGGTCGAGGCCATGAAAACTGAGATGGTTGTGATTTCTCCAAAAGCCGGTAAGGTCGTCAAGATCTTGCACAAGAATGGAGACTTGGTGGATGCCGGAGATTTGGTTGTTGTGATAGAATAATTTATAGGTTTGTGTTCTTTCTTGTGAGAGGGAGAGAACACGGTGAAATACAAGTAACGAGAAAAGAGACCAACCGGAGTAAAGGTAAAAAGACGTTCCAACTCAGCTTAAACTACATCACTTTCGCAGCCAAGTCACGTCTCATACAAGGTCGTGCTTAACACAACATATCACAAGTTTTGAAGAATGCTCTCCGCTACCTACAACCACTTAATCAATGTCACAACCTGTCAATCTCGCGGTGGCCTCGCTCCAACCAGAACAATGGACTGCTTCGTCCAATGAAGCCATGTCAATATATATCACAGACACGAAAGGGTCTGCGCAAACTTTTAAGCCCGTGTTTACCTATCCCATCTTTGGTGATGCCGAAAGCATATTCGGTTACAAAGACTTGGTGATATTTCTTTGTTTCGACTCTGTGACATTCTTGCCCTTCTTGAACGTCAAATGGTCAGCAAAGCTAGATGATGTTGAAATCGATCCCAAAGAGAAAATGTTAGAATTCTTGCCAGAGTCCACCGTTTTCAAGGACGAATTGAAATGGAGAGAAGCTATCGAAGAGGAGCAGAAGGACTATGAGATCCCGGGAACCCGTTTTGGTGAAGAGTTCACCAAGGACGGCGAAAAGTATGCAATTTACCGTCTCGACTTGTCTTCAAGTTCCGGAGCTGAATTGCACAAGAGATTGCAGATCCTTGTTCTCCTATTCATTGAGGCAGGCTCCTACATCGACTTCAAGGATCCATTGTGGGACATTTATGTCTTGTACAAGACCACAGACCCTAAGTTGCCTGAGGTTGTAGGCTTTGCAACAGCATACAACTACTGGAAATACCCCGGACTGGAAAAGTTTGATACGGGTGTGGTTGAGACGCGTCAAAAGATCTCACAATTCATTATTTTGCCTATTTTCCAAGGCAAATCACTTGGAGGCGAATTTTATTCGCGTCTCGTGGACGAGTGGTTGCAAGATGACAAGATCGTTGAGATTGTGGTTGAGGAGCCTAACGAGAGCTTCGATGATTTGAGAGATCGTGCTGATTTGACTAGGCTCAACAGGAAATCCAATCTAGGAAACCTTGACATTGCTACTGTTACTAGCGATAAGTGGTTTGAGAACTTCAAAAAGACTGAGAAATTGGAGAAGCGTCAGCTTCAACGATTGCTTGAGATGATCTTTTTCAAGCAATTGAAGGACGGCTCAAGCGTGGATTCCAAAAAATCCATTCGGTTGTTTGTCAAGCGTAGATTATATGAGAAGAACAAGGAAGCTCTTTCGGGCTTGGATGCTCCAACCCGGTTGGACAAGCTTCAGACGGCATATGAAGCACTTGAATCAGACTACTATCGTATTTTGGAGCCCACAAATTTCAAATTCAAGCGCGCCGCCGAATCCAAGACCAACGGAAAGGCAAAGAAAGCCAAGATCAATTGAGGCACATGAACTAGAGATTGCGAGCCACAAGAGATAGAAGTGATGGAATGTCGTCATGTCGTACATTGGCATGGGTAATGCAATAGAAGCATTGATGCTGGCGATCTCTCAAATACAGTCTGACTGACTGCTTCAAGCTAACTAAAGTACCAAGAGCAAAAAATGGGTTGGGGGCCGGATTTCTCCACTCCCAACCGATTCTACCGAGACTTCTGGATTAGTGTACCTATATCTCAATCAATAGTAAAGGCCACTGGAAGCGTCAGGGTTATCATCCAGCAGCGGGACCAAGGGTTAACATGCAACCGAAACCGATGAGCATGACGTCCGTTCATGTGTGGTTTAAAAAAAGAAGCCTGAATCGTCAATGAGCTTAGCTTTCCAGCCGTCTGGGAGCAACATTACGTCATTTACATGACGACGAGAACATGGTTCCTGTATAATAAGTGAGTTCTGTCGTATAATAGCAACCTCAGGACGGCTAGCTTTTCCGACGGGATGAAAAATAGACAAACAGTATAAAAATCGACAACAATGTGGTGCCCATAGCTTTAAATACATTCGGATGGTCAGTGGGGCTGCCGAGTGCTGACCATATACCTTACAGCAATCTCATCCCAAACGGGAAAAAAGTGGCGTCACCACGACTTTCTGACCAAGTAGCAAGTCGACAGAAGGACGCGGGCTCCTGTGCAATGGCTCCTGTCCACTAATTTATCCCACTTTCACCCCCGCTTGTATAAAAGGAGAGCAATTCCAAGTGCAATTTGGTTTTTTTCTTTTCCCCATCAAAACCTCATTTCAAAAATGCACAGAACATACTCTTTGAGATCACAAAAGGCACCAACTGCCGCTCAATTGCAGTCGCCTCCACCTCCTCCATCTTCTACCAAGTCAAGATTCTTCGGTAAGGGCGGAATTTCTTCGTCTTTTAAGAAGAACATTGCTGGTGCCACTGGCCCACAATTGCTGAGAAAATTGTCTCAATACATCAAGATGGAGAAGAATGTGATGAGAGCCATTGAATTGACCGCTAGAGAGCGTAGAGAAGTTGCCAAGCAGTTGTCTGTTTGGGGTGAGGAGAACGACGAGGATGTCTCAGACGTGACCGACAAGTTGGGTGTTCTCATCTATGAGATTGGTGAGTTAGAGGACCAGTACACCGACAAGTACGACCAATACAGAATTACCTTGAAGTCCATCAGAAACATCGAGTCTTCTGTTCAGCCATCCAGAGACAGAAAGCAGAAGATTACCGACGAGATTGCACACTTGAAGTACAAGGACCCACAATCTCCAAAGATTCCTGTTTTGGAGCAGGAATTGGTGAGAGCCGAAGCCGAATCGTTGGTTGCTGAGGCCCAGTTATCTAACATCACAAGAGAGAAGTTAAAGGCTGCTTTCAACTACCAATTCGATGCTACCAGAGAGTTGGCCGAGAAGTACGCTCTCATTGCTGGTTACGGTAAGGCTTTGTTGGAGTTGTTGGATGACTCCGCTGTCACTCCTGGTGAGACTAGACCAGCCTACGATGGATACGAGGCCTCCAAGCAAATTATCATTGACGCTGAGAACGCCTTGGCTGCTTGGACTCTCGACTCTGCTGCCGTCAAGCCAACTTTGTCCTTCCACCAGGAGGCCGAGGGTGAGCCTGAAGAGGGTGAGTTGTATGAGGCTGAAGAGGAGTTCGCTAAGCACGACGACACCAACGGTGTTGCCGCCTAAATGTGTTGAATCCGATGTGTCAAGAATGCTGCACCTGTCCGTTGCAACTTCTTTTCAATTCATCCGGCCGTTGCATATAATATCTGACAGTGATCACCCAGTATGGCGAAAACGACTGATTGCAACCTTCTTTGTATGATTCTTCGGTTCTATTCCACTTTGTATTATGTATCAATTGATAGCCAACTGAGTTAAACATGAGACATACGTAAGTATATGTCACTACCCTTCAGTGACCATGCTAAATCTGAACTCTCGATTCGCAATTGATCCAATGTAGCGAGTTGTAATAATGATGCGAAAGCAGATGCGGCAAACCTCTTTGTCACTGACCGCTCGCTGATGGTTGCCTTGCTTGGAACGAGCTGCTCAAAACTAATCTGATCCACCTCTTCTTGCCCCAACTTCGTCTTTACAAAACTGTTAAATTTGCTGAGCATTTGAGCATATGGAGACGCCTCATTATTTCCGTGCTGTAACTCGTCAAGCGATGTATCCAAAGAGAGGTTTAGTATCACGTCAAAATCAATGTCCTGAAAGAATTGTTCGTCTTCAGGAACGTCGTTTTGATTAAGAAAGATATCTAAATTATCGAAGCTTGTGTTTGGTGCCCTGATGTTTCGTCCTTCTTCGATCTCCACCAAATCGTGAAAAAACCTATGTAATGTTGCCTGTGATGCTCGTGGGTGACGTTCGGCCAGAGGTAACCGGTCCCGAGGAATTGAAGAAGTAATAACTGGGCCAAACACTGCCTTATAGCATGAATTGACAAAGTGAGGACTTGTACGACTGAGAAGTTCTATCAAATTTGGGAATGACACTTGATGCTTAACCGATTTTGATCTTTTCACGCCTTGAAGAGAATACAACTGATCATCTTTGACGAAGCGAAACTTCCTCTTGTTACCTTTCTGGCATGGAACATCAGCAGCCGCTGTCAAATTTGCAGTAGTAGAAAAGTGTGGGTCGTTGGAACCCGAGTTGTGAGTTTTAGTGAGTTCTTCCGTCGGAGCTTCAATGGCATGGAGGTCTTGGTCGAAATCTGCATACGTCAAAACGTCTCCAGGTTCCAAATCACTTTTATCAGTATTATTTCGGACAATGATGTCTCCGTTTTGATCAAAATCAAAGTCAACGTCGTATCCTTCGTCGGGCGCCATATGAATGCTTGCATACGACTTGTCCATGAACCTTTCAAACAGTAGATCGCGAGCTTCTGCTTCTTCCGCTAGTGGGATGTTCCCTGGGTCTATATTATTAAGAAGAGTATCCTGTTTCATGATTTGGAGAGCCAATTCCATGGCCACCGAGGGCTCCAATTCGAAATCGGGAACAAAATCCTCTGCTATATTGAATTTGGCGTCATCGCTCAAGTACTGCCTGTGGGAAGGTTTTTTTGCAGCCAAAGTGCTGGTTGGAGATATCTCTTCCAATTGAGGCTGGGCGTAAGGAATAGAAATGCGGGTGTAAACGGACAAGAGGTCGTTAAACATACACGTCACTTTCTGCTTATATATCAACGACATCCCGTACAAGAGACTTGAAGAGATGCGGAGAGGAAGAGTGCTTGTGGGCGAAGAAATTATAAGTTGGCAGGTTTCTGGTATAGAAATTGAATTTACAGACTTGAGAAGCGAGCGACGATGGGCCAGCAGCGAGCCAAGGGTTGCCATTGCCCATGCTTGGGCGATTCCGTCTTCGCTTTTAGAAAGAAAAAGTGCCATAAATGTTGGTAAGGAGAGAAAATATGCGCGTAACTGGGCATTTTATAGTGTGGCGTAAAGGGCGGGTAAAACTTTCACAGATATTATCTAGAAGATCAGAAACACGTTTTTATTACCAATAGCTTTCTTTTAAACCACCATTTACCTTCAAATTTTCCACTTTAGTCCTCGTCAATTAGTAGCTGTCAAATTTCTTATCTAGGTCCCCTAATTAGGGGAGCTTACACCCATACACCACACTTATCTAATTGAATGCCGAGTGCGGCTGTATTGCCACAGCCTCCTATTAATATATAATTTGGGTAAAAAACTGCAAAAAAAAAGGGTGTAAAATCAGGAGCCCCACAACATTGCGTAACCTACGAGTATAAATAGGACGAATATTTTGCTTAGAATGGTCAGTAACTCTCGGCTGAATTAGCGCCGACATGTCACACTAAGTTTGTAGCGTCATCAATGCAGTACAGCAACAGCGACCCCCATAGTCACTCCCTTAGTATATAATTGAGACTTTCTTCCTCAACCTTCCTTGTCTCAACCCAATTGCCCTTCTTTTCAAAATGGTTGCTTTCGGACGTCTTGCCATCATCTCATTGGCTGCTTCAGCCAACGCATTGTCTCTCTTCTCCGTCTTCCAGAACGTAGCTGACAAAGCAATGGAGTCGGTTAATGATAAGATTGGCCTGTCAGGCCAGATTATCCACACGTTCCCCGGCCAGGACGAGAGACCAGTGCCAGGAAACTCGCCTATCATCCAGTGTGACGCCAAGACTCCACAAATCTTGGACTTGCAGAGGGTTGTGATTGACCCTAATCCTCCAGCCAAGGGTCAGAACTTGACATTTGTTGCCACTGGTTTTTTGTCTGAAGACATCACTGACGGTGCATACGTGGACGTGGATGTCAGATATGGCTACATCCGTTTGATACACCAGACTTTCGACTTGTGCGAGGAGGTTACCAACGTTGACTTGGAGTGTCCAATCAAGGAAGGCCAGCAGATTATCTCCAAGCTGGTGGAGATCCCTAACGAAGTGCCACCAGGAAAATACATTGTAAACGCTAGAGCTTACACCAAGGAGGATGTGCTCATCACTTGTTTGAGTGCCACCGTGGAGTTCCTGCCATAGTTTGCTTATAAGTCATTCTGAACTTCAATCGTTCATTGTCTAGAAGATTGCATTACTGCTTCAAATTTTACTATTTTCAATAATGTATTAACTATTTTTTATTGATGCATTTCGATAATGAACTAAATTGTATTATTAGTATTCCCATAGTAAACTAAGCAGAAATCACAAGGTTGGCAGTCAAGGTATCAAAACGCTCCTTGAACAACTTGGTTTGAACCAGTAGAAGCTCATTGAAGACAGCCTGACCCTCAGGTGATTTCTTCAACTCGTTGACCTTCTGCTGACTAAGTCTCCAAGCCACGGTAGCACTCACAGTGGTGTATGTGATGGATCTGTACTGGCTGAGCTCCAACAAATCGCCGAAAGCAGTATTTGGCAATATTGATGAGTGAAGCTCTCTGTCGTCAGATTCAAATTTGCAAATGGACCTGACAAGGCCAGATTCGATCAAGAAAAACGACGGTGAATTTGCTCCAGTATCATAGAATGTGATATCCCCAGGAATCTTTTCCTTGATGAAATACGGAGCCAAGGTGGCCCAGAACGTCTCGTCCTTGTCTGACAACCCACTGAATGTGATCATGATAAGAGGCAAAGGCTGTTTCTTGAAGGATGAATCCACTTGCGAGTAAAACTTGTTTTGCATAAATTGTTCGTCTTTGACAGTCCTCTTCGCTGCTTGATACACCTGATTGGTTCTTGGGGTGGCATAGGCTCCGTCAAGTGCCTGCGTGATCAGCAATTTGCCTCCAGAAGATGGCGACGATGTTCTCGGTGAGGATGCTGAGCCTCTTTGGATCTGCTTAGGTTCAGTCGTCTTCAAGGTACGGTAGGTCTTTAAGAACGAATTCTCACACCATTCGAGGGCATAGTTCAAAGTGTTGAACAACTGGATTTCCAACTCACATGACGTGTCAAACAAGCCAGCATCACGAAGAGCAGTAACGATTTCGTCATCTTCATCCACTGACGAAATAATGAGTTGAGTGCCAAACTCGTTGGTCAAATTCAAAATTCTTCTGAAACCTTCGGCCGCAGAGAAGTCAATAGAAGACACTCCCTTCATGTCGATGATCAAGTATTTGATTGGGTTCTTGTGGAATCTGCCACGTTCGAATCTTTCACGGATGGTGGCCTCAACACCTCCAATGGAGCCAAAGAACACTGTGCCTTGCAACTTGATCACACAGATCTGGTTTCCAACGTCCTTCAAGAAGTCCTGCTGCTTTGGATGTCTTAACACTGTTGACCGGGCCACTACTCCGGTGTAGATTCCATTGACCACCGGTCTTCTGGCTGCCTCCACGACAAATGAGAGACATGCAAGCAAGATACCGACAAGAACACCATACACAAAGTCCCATGCACCCATGACAACCACGATAATGATGATTGTAGAGTACTCGATGAGCTTTAATTTGCCCCACGTATCCCAAACGGCTTCCTTGAGCAACTCGTAACCTAAAAGGTAAATGAGCGAGCCAACCACGCAAACAGGAATGTATCCAATGACAACGGGGCCAGTGATCATGACACCAGCCGTGGCAATGGCCAACATCACACCGGCCAATCTATCATCTGCTCCAGCACGAATGAAAAGCACAGAGTTGGTGTAGACCAAGTAGTTTTGGATTGAGCCAACAAACCCGGAAATCATATTGGAGTAACCGTGAGCGACCAATTCTCTATCGACGTCACATTGATCCATTCCGACCGTGACAGCAAGTGCCGGAACGTTGATGGGCACATGCAAAATACCGAAAAACGTCAAGGCCATCATGGATGGGAACTGTTTGGCAATGGAAAGCCAATCCACTAAATTGAAGCGGAAAAGCTTGTAGTGGGAATACCATGGTTCCTTATCCTCCACTGCAGGGAACACCCAACCGTAGTCTCTGGCTTTCTGCAAGTCCCAGCCGGTAACTGCAGCCACAATGATATGGAAAGCCACGAATACACCAATAAAGAAAATTGGCACTAACAACGAGTTGTGGATGCGTTGGTGGAGCAAAATCAAAATCACTGTGAGAAGAAGCGGAACTGTCCACTGCAAAAGAGTGATGTAGTTGCCAAAAAGGAATTCTAGAGTTGGGATATTGTAGCGGAGTCCACCTTCAAGTCTGGATGAGACTTCCACACCAGTGACCACTAAAAAGTATCCAACACCCCCGATACAGCCAACCAAAATGTGTCTGGGAAAGAAACCCACAAGTGATCCCAATTTGAGCTTTCCAAGCAAAAGGAAAATGATACCCGTGACCACAGAAGAAATGGCATAGGTTACGATGACTGTGGCCAAGATGGCCTCCTTCGATTGACCATTCATTTCAGCATTGATGGACAACGCCATGGAATGGAAAAATGGAGTCACTTCGATCATTTCCGAGCCGATTCCCGACTTGAACGCTGATCCACCTAACGAGTAAACCAATTGCGAAATCACAGTCGAAATATAAAACATCGACAACCCTGAGGGTGCCATGCCCGAGAAAATGGCCTCTCCAAGAGGAAACATGATCATTCCGTACGATAAACCATCAAGAACGTTCAATAACGTTCCTAAGAACACTGCAGGCAAGTATGAAGCAGCTCTCACTGCAAAATTTGGCCTTGACGAATTTCCCTCGGCTGCTAGTCTCTTCTGCTCGATGGCAGGTAAATTGAGACTAGCCTCGTTGACCAAGTCCAGACCTACAAGGCCTGATTCCAAGTCGGAGCCAAAATACGCCCGAGAACCTTCCTCTCCAGCATAAAACTTCTTGTTTCTGTCCACCAACGGAGTGGTGCTATCAGAATCGGCGTCGGGGCTACCGCCATACCCGATATTCATCGAGGAGCCATAAGCGTGTCCCTCAATGGGCATTGGCGGATAACTCAGCACGTACTCGTCGGGGGAGTCATGATCAGAGGGACTTTGGCTGGCATCAATACCAACACTGGCTAAATCGGCCGTTTCCTGGTGGAGTTGCACACCCGATACAACTATAGGTGAGTTGTACGATACTGAAGCCCTGTGAGACATCAGAATGTACGACCGACCGCCAAATTCAAAGGCGTCAGTGGGAGTATCAGGCTTCATTGCTCACGATAAGAGTTGAGCGATGATAGGGTGGGACAGTGGTAGGAAAAACGAGAGAAATTGCTGGTGGAATAGAGTTCAAGGAGACACTCACGAACACTGAGTTAGCAAGTGGAATTATTTCAAGACCTTTGGTGGTCGCCTGAGGAAATTGCTTTTCTTTTAAGTTTTTTTTTCCAGCCTGGTGAACTTTATGTGGTTGGAGCTTCGGACTGCACATAATCACACTGACTTCAATGAAATAAGGTATTGAACCACGGGAACCTAAGCAATAGAGGTTGAAAAATTGGACATGTGAGATTCTGTGGTATTTGAAGTACTGGTTAGTGCTTTTTTATATTTAAAATCGAGAGATTTTGGTGCTTTTAGTTGGGGCAAAACATCCCCATATAAGTGTACTGCAGGCAACGAGGCACCTTATCACTCGCCGTAGGTTGCCCTTGAGAGATAGGAAGATCTTCAGCTAATTGGACAGTTTATTTCGCCTGAAATGTCGATAAATTGATCTGATATAAAAGATGTGAGTGTGGGAGGTGAGTGTGGGAGGAAGAAATTGTGGCTGCACAGGACAATAAGCGAAGGACATGAAGCATGAAGAGGAAGGAAAGAAAGAAAGGAAAGAAATAACAGGAAAGTCAATATGGAGGAGGGGGATGAAAATCTGGAAAAGACGCTGGAAGAATGAAGGAGAACAGGATGGTGGGCAAAGAGTGAAAATGGTGTGATGATAAAATTGGAAATACAATTGGGAATAGATTGTTAATTTCTGGTTATGAAATTTCTCGATTGGAAACGATGGTAATTGTTTTTGATTTCAATGAGGATAGGTTTGGTCATTTGAAATCGGAATCTTGTAAAAATATTCAAAGTCAAAGGACGAGGGAACGTGTGAGAGAGTTGTGAGAAAATTTGCAAAATGAAACATTAAAATAAATAAACGGTAATGAGTTTACGAACTTTCAGAATTTTCATATGAGCATCGTTTTTATTATGGAGTTTGCTCAGGATAATCCTTGAGAACTTCATGTAAATTTTTCTCGTTTAGACAAAAAACCTGAACGTTCCTAGCTAAATCAAAATCAGGAATCAGAAATATCAGCATCTCCCCAGAATTAGCCTTGCAAGTTAAATTCCTCGCCTATTACTCATGACATTATTCCTAGTATCTTTCAATTTTGTTATCACTTCCTTTCAACTTCTTCCAATTTTCTTTTCCAGTTGTCATTGCCTGATATTTCCCACCAAGCCTCTATCTCATACTTCGCCTCAATTTTCGCTTGTCGATCTTCTCGTAACATTCCATCAAAATCCACTACCGAGTGTTTTATCTCTTCAAATGATCCCTTTTCTTTCCCTCCAATCCCCCGAATTGACCTTCAAATCCTTTATTCTTCTTTTCTTCCACAGTTTTTTTCTCCCTACATTCCCTCTCCTCGTGGCCCCATGCATCGCAACTATTGTTCCACAAACCACTGGCAACCTTCCAGAGCATCGAGGGAAATAGTAAGCAAAAACTAGCCTCGCCAAATTCAAAACACTCGCCTTACTCACATTCCTTTCGTTTCTTCATTCTCCTATTTTATAATCTTCCACCATACCTCTCTCTAGTCACTTTATCGTTATCTAAGGTTGACTATACGGAATTGTATGCACACCCGCATGACTAACCATACACTAAACTTATTTAACAATCGAAAAACCACTATCCTTCAGTTTTCCAACCCCAACTTGCCCCTTCATACCACCATTTAACTGCCACATTTGTTTCCAAAGTCCTGCTGCTCGCCTAGCCATGTCGCTGTCGCCCGAATTAGCTCCTCTTTTGGCTGATCGTACCGCCTCGTATAGCAGCTCCGACTCCGTGGAGTGCCAGTCGAAGTTTACGCTTGAATCCCGCGTGGTCCGGCTGTTTCTCCGTAGAAGGTTCTGGTGGTTTTGCTTGGTGGGAGTGGCTGCCATCATCACGCTCCAACTCTCATTTTTGCCCCGAACTTCTCTAAACCGTGACTTCCGAAGATGGCACGATCTCCATTTGACCAGAACTGATGTCAGACGGCTATACTTGGTTGAACTGCGTATCAACAGACCAGATAGTGATGGCTGTACCATCGAGCAACACGTGGATACCTATTTGCGCCAATTGACTGCCATCAATGCAAAATATGCCTCGGGCCTAGCAGCTTCTGAAACTCCAGACTTGACAACTTACACGGAGCAGCAGATGCGCCAACTTGGCTACAGAACGAACAAGTACAACTACCCACTTGTTCAAGGACTTCGTCTGCCTCGTCGTCTGAGTTTGCACTTGTTAGACTCAAAATCTGGAAGACTGCTTTATAAGACACCTTTGGAGGAGCTCGAAACGTCGACGCCGTCATATTTTACGTTCGGAAAGAACGGAACAGTCAGAAGTGCTTTCATATATGCGAACGATGGCCTTCCTGAAGACTACTCTCTTTTGATGGAAAACAACATTTCTCCTCAGAACAAAATTGTCATCTTTTCCCATACTCTAGCAAGCGAATTCTCTCTTACCGATAAGATTCTTTATGCAGAGAGCTTAGGATGTCTGGCTGTGATTGTTAGGGGAGATGGTGCAAAAGAACATGCAATTTCCAGGGATTTCAAGCCCACTACGCCTCCCGAAGAAAGATTCAGGCTCCCAGTCAGTTTCAGTCTGGCTCAACCTATTCTCGAGGCAATGGGCGAGCCTAGGACACCGTTCGCAGAGTGGAAGCACCTGCCGGTGTGCTTTGACAATTCTTTAGAGCTTGAACTCACCACTGAATTTGACCCTTGGCCTCTCAATGCTACCAATATTGTAGCATCGCTCGAGGGCGTCCTCAATGACGGCGAGATTATTATTGGTACTTCTCGTGACGCTTTCACGTCCCTCAACCCGCTGAGTGGACACGCTGTTATGTTTGAGACCATGAGGAGATTCCAGAACTTGAGAAAACTTGGCTGGAGACCCTTGAGAACTATTAGATTTGTATCGTGGGATTCTGCAAGAAGTGGAGATTTGGGTGCACTTGCTAGTGTAAACGATCCGCGAATGTTTCAGACCAATCTTCCAATTCTTGCCTACGTCAACTTGGACGATGATCTTGTAACTGGAAGTCACTTCGATGTGGCAGCTAATCCATTGTTCAATCACTTGATCAAGGAAATCTCTCGCTTGGTGCCTTTTGCAAAGAACTCTACGTACTTCAAACGTCTCCTTAAGGATGACGAAGACGAAATGTCTGCAATTGGTAAGTTTTACGATCAGAAAGTCTCGGATGATAACAATAATGACGACAGCGACAACAATGAAGATGACGACGGAGATGATGAAGACGAAGGTGTCACGTCGCTATACCACTATTGGCACCTCCAGGATAATGCTACGATTAACAACAAGCTCGGCAATGTCATGGCAGGGAAGGATACTTCCATATTTGAGATTGTCAAGTCCTACCCGATTTTGAACTTGAAATTTGGACAGAGCCCTAGTCACAACGACTCGGTTTTTGTTCCGGAATCAAACTACTACAGTTACAAATGGTTAACTAACGACATTGATAAGTCACTTGAACTTCATGGTCTGCTTGTTAGATTTTTGGGCTTATTTGTTCTTTCTCTTGAAGAACATGAGGTCGTCGATACAAAAGCGCAGCCTTACTTCAAGCAAGTGAAGAATTTCTTCGAAGAGTTCGAAATAGACAAGCACAAGATTATTAGGGAATGGAATGACTCCGTTGTGGACGAGTCGTTATTCTCCAAGTCGTTATTTTCAAAGTCTGCCATTTACACAGATATTATGGCAAAAATCAAGGACCCAGACTATAAGGTAACAATGGGAGCTATGTTCAATCAAACCGACATTATTTTGGACCAATTGGTGGAGCAGGCATGTGTATTTGACTTGTACAACAAAGGAGTAGAGGACTTGTTGACCACGGACTATCCATGGTACAAGATGCTCAAGAAGGTCCACATCTACGCCAAATTCAAGGTTGCGAACTACAAGATACTTCGTCTTGAGAAAGAGCTCAATCTTGTCGGCCAAGACGAAGACTCGAAGGTTTACCATCACTTCATGTATGAAGTTTCGAAGGGATTCATTTCAAGTGGTGAGAAGATTAAGCGGGGCGCATTTCTGTCGCTATATGAAGCAGCAGATGTACAAGATGAAAGGGAAATGGCCAGATTGGTTGTAGAGCGTTACGAGTCGCTCAAGGCGGTGCTCAGGAAAATGACATAGGATACGGATAGATTTAACGAGTTAAAATGATTTTGCATATGTAGCGGACACTTCGTAGTATGCTTTAGATTTCATGGCATCTCATGATTATAAGTTGCAACCACACATTAGTAGATAACGAACAAGATCGTAGTTAAGAAATAACCAAAATCACTAAATCAAACAGACCTAGTTAAAAAAAAGTAAAAAAAGAAATACAAAAAAAAAAAGATCTAGTGTTCATACAAAGAAATAGAACAATAACCAACCTCTCCTCAGACGTGCGAAGCTCACCAGATCAACTACGAGGTCATTTTGAACTCGTCTAGCACATCTTCCCCACAAAATGGTCGACGTTGCGCTGTACTTCTCGATCCAGATTTTCTTCATCATTCTTAGAGAAACTCTCGAGACTGCCATCATCATCTCGGTGCTTCTTTCCTTCATCAACAAGCGTGAGCCTACCACGGAAACACCAGAGAATGCTCATGTTCGACAAATCAACAAGGGCCTCCGTCTCCAGGTGTGGTTGGGTGCCATTGGAGGCCTTGCCATTTGTCTAGTAATTGGACTTATTTTCATTTTCTGCTTCTACTTTGTCGAGAAAGATCTCTGGTCCTACACCGAGAGATTATGGGAAGGCATCTTTTCGCTTTTGCTGAGTGTCATTATCACCTTCATGGGTGTCGGACTTCTTAGAATAAACAAGGTCATGAAGATTAAGTGGTGGATTAAGTTGGGTGATGCATACACAGATAGCTCCAAGCTTGATACCATTGGAGCTGAAGAAGCATCCAGTGGAGCTGAAGACCAACAAACTCCACAGACGTCACTCTTGCCTAGCAAGAATAAACCACATAAGGAGAAGTGGTCCCAGAGGTACTTTTTGGCCATTTTGCCCTTCATCACCACGTTGCGTGAAGGTCTTGAGGCCGTGGTTTTCGTAGGAGGAATTGGAATGTCTCAACCACTCACATCGCTCCCGCTTGCGGTACTTTCGGGTCTCTTGCTTGGTTCTGCCATCGGAATTTCGCTCTACAAAGGTGGAAACAAGATGTCCTTACAATACTTTTTGATCTGCTCCACGTGCTTTTTGTATGTAGTGAGTGCTGGGCTCATGAGTCGTGGTGTGTGGTTCTTGGAACTCGAAAGATACGTTCGTCTCTGTGGTGGTCTTGATGTCAGTGAAACAGGAAGTGGCCCGGGCTCTTACGACATCAGCACTGCAGTGTGGCATGTCAACTGCTGTAATGGATTAAGAGACGGATGGTGGATGGTGGCTAATGCTATAGTCGGATGGACGAACACTGCAACATACGGAAGTGTCGGCTCATACTTGGCATACTGGCTTCTAGTTTCTTTGTGGCTTCGTTTACGTTTGTATGAGGAGAGAAACGGCTACTTCCCATTGATTCCCATTAAGTGGCAGCTCAAGAGAATCAGGAAAAAAGTCAGACTTTACGAGGCCCGCCATCAGCAGGAGTTGCTGGCCGAGCAGGAGAGAAGAGCCGAGGCCGAGTTGATGGAGTAAAGTATGAATTGCATAAACCTTTCACTTGAGGCACCATTTGAATCCAAAAGTTGGTTACCAGGTCCTCAGTGAGAAAGTACGGAAAGAATTGTGAACAGCATGAGAAATCAAGAATAATAACCAAATCATAGAGGGAGAGAAGAAAATTAAACTAAAACAGAGAGCGATTCAACTTTGTCAGTGAGGAAATCTCAGAATTCTATCAATGCACTATATTGTACAGAGATCTTGCACCCAGATGATGGAACCCTCTGACACACCAAGGCTCAATAAAATATTAAATATGGGATTTTCTTATAATTATTTCACTGTTCATGATCATATCTTGTTGGTACGTAAATTGAATTTGAATGTGTAAAAGTTCCGCATAGAAATCATCACCACCCACCGAAGACCCACCATGGTATCTTCAACTCACCACATCAAAATAAAGAAAGCAAAGGCACCGAAAAGTGTGCCTACCAAATTCTTATTTCCACTTGATTTATCAGTGGTTGCTGAGGCTTTAGTAGCGGTTTTAGATCCACTTCCTGATGTGCTTCCTGAAGTAATACGAGTACCTTGAGTGGTAGCTCTAAATGTTGTTCCGCTCTTGACAGTAACAGTTCCTCCTCCACCTGCTGCACCTTGCTTGTTACTGACAGTTACTGCACTTTTAACAGGGATAACAGCGGTACCACCTATTGTGTGTGTTCCAGCATTGAATTTCAAAGTCTGAGGAGTACATTTGGCCTGGAAGCATGTTGAGATAGTTATTGTGGTCTCTTGGGGACAAGTGAGGACGTAATCAGTGAAAGTATGTACGCATACTGGACAGCCCTCTATAATAATCACATCAGGAGGGCAGGTGGTACAGATGGTAGGAGGACAAGTGGTACAAATTTTCTCAGGATCACATCCATCACCCGTGCAACACTTTCCATCTGGGCCAGTCTTTGTACATTCTTGGCAAGAGTCGCCAGTGCAACATTTGCCGTCTGCTCCAGTCTTTGTGCAACATTTTCCGTCTGGACCTGTTACCGTACATATGTCAGGACAATCAGCGGTGTTAGTACAACATGAACCGTCAGATTTGAACTTAGTGCAACATTTGCCGTCTGCTCCAGTCTTTGTGCAACATTTTCCATCTGGACCTGTCACACTGCAGATGGAACATTCTGCCGGGTCTGTGCAACATGAACCGTCAGATTTGAACTTAGTGCAACATGAACCGTCTGGAGCTGTCACACTGCAGCATTCTGCCGGGTCTGTGCAACATGAACCGTCAGATTTGAACTTAGTGCAACATGAACCGTCTGGAGCTGTCACACTGCAGCATTCTGCCGGGTCTGTGCAACATGAACCGTCAGATTTGAACTTAGTGCAACATGAACCGTCTGGAGCTGTCACACTGCAGCATTCTGCCGGGTCTGTGCAACATGAACCGTCAGATTTGAACTTAGTGCAACATGAACCGTCTGGAGCTGTCACACTGCAGCATTCTGCCGGGTCTGTGCAACATGAACCGTCAGATTTGAACTTAGTGCAACATGAACCGTCTGGAGCTGTCACACTGCAGCATTCTGCCGGGTCTGTGCAACATGAACCGTCAGATTTGAACTTAGTGCAACATGAACCGTCTGGAGCTGTCACACTGCAGCATTCTGCCGGGTCTGTGCAACATGAACCGTCAGATTTGAACTTAGTGCAACATGAACCGTCTGGAGCTGTCACACTACAGATGGAACAATCTGCCGGGTCTGTGCAACATGTTCCATCAGCTTTGGTCATTGTAGTGCATTCGTTTGTGCAAACAGATTCATCGGGGCAAGAGTTGCAAATAACGTCACATTTACCGGGACACTTAGTTGTGCAAGCTTCGTCCTCACATTCTGTAGAGCATGATGAAGTTTCTTCACTCACTAAAGCCAAATTCACTCGAGTACACAGGAAGAATACCTCATCTAAATCCATCCTCTTAAAAATTGCAGTTTCTTCAGCAGGATCAGTAGGCTCTCCACCAACAGGATCCACCAACAGGATCAGTGGGCTCTCCACCAACAGGATCAGTGGGCTCTCCACCAACAGGATCAGTGGGCTCTCCACCAACAGGATCAGTGGGCTCTCCACCAACAGGATCAGTGGGCTCTCCACCAACAGGATCAGTGGGCTCTCCACCAACAGGATCAGTGGGCTCTCCACCAGGATCAGTGGGCTCTCCACCAGGATCAGTGGGGTCTCCACCAGTATCAGTGGGGTCTCCACCAGTATCAGTGGGGTCTCCACCAGGATCAGTGCTACCACCGTCAGTTCCATCGGCGGATCCAACGAACAAGAAGGACCCGCCATCACTTGGACAAACAAAAAAGGCCAACAGAGCGTCATTAGGGAAGAAAACAATCTTGCTTTCCGAACCCGAAGTGGAAATCACGAGACCCTCGCCTCCAGTAGTAATCATATTGTCGCTTTGAACAGACCAAGCGGCCCCACTGTCAACAATGTTACTGGCATCAAGATCAAATTCAGTACCTGCACTTGATTTATCGTCTACCACGATATAGTTTCCTCCGGATTGAGCCAAATACTTAGAATCGTCCACTTGGACAAGCATGGCAGTAGCCGCTGTAGCAAGAGGAAGAAGTTGGCGCCAAAACATGATGAGAATATTTTGATGAGGTCAAAGAAGTCCATATTGTAACGATATTTATACTTCATGAGGAATATGGCCGTGTGGCCTCTCAGAGTCTACCATCTGGCGCAGTTGTAGCGGTATGGCAATGACTGGCCGGCGAGGGGACTAGCCTTGGCTTCGTTTGGCCGTAAATATTTAGCCGTGTCGAGAGTTGGGTTTGTGCCAATTATGCCAAACGCTGAAAATGCTACGATTTCATAGAATATTTAGGTATGGCGAATTAGATTGTTTTATACATACTTGTGGAAGGAAGAAAAAGAGTATTCATGAGTTTTCGCAGCCATTTCACTCAAGAATTGGAACTCCGCGCAAAGCAAGGCATGATGTGCAGATCAAATCCCATCTGAACAATTCTTCCATGCAGAAAAGATATTCCCGGAATGTTGTAGGCAAGATGGGGAAAGTAAGTTGGGGAAAGAAAGATGGGGAAGGCAGGATTGGGAATGCAAGATGGGGAAGGTCATAGAAGGTATGGGGAAGGCTATTTGTGGAAGTATCAGGTAGCCCATACTATGGAAGACTGGGAAGCCTAATTATACAATGCATAGTGGACTATGATGCATGACAACCGAATGAATAGAGTTGAGCCAATAGACTCAACTAGACTATTTTCTTTGTTCAGTGAGTTGATGGATATTATTAGAACGAGATTTGCAAGATAGTAATATTCTTTCTTTGAGACAATGTTCCAGTCTTCGAATGTATTTTAGTGTCAATGTCATGAGTCTAATCTCATCAATTTGCTGTGAGTATCAATTTGGTATCAGTATTAAGTTGAAGTTGCCAAAAACATACCAACACCTGCCCGAAAAGCCTGCAACTCTTATTGGGTACATATTCCGGAAGTAAGGAGCCTCTTGGAGGTTGCAACGTGATGCGGGAAATCAAGTTGTCTTTATATCATTGGGAAATCATCAATATGTTATCATCATTATATATCAACCTGTTCTTTTTCATATAATCATTTCTGAACTCAATGCTATGGGCATTGAAAACAGATCCAGTACAAAAATTCCGTTACCAATTATTCTAGATTCACTCCTAGTTTCTACCAATCGCCAATTGTATGACCTTCACCCTTCTTTTGCCCTAACGCACCAGCCAAATGTGCTCTTCTAGTCGAGACGCATGACCAGGAATGCCTTGCTCCTGATGGATTTGCACGTTGTAACCACCAAGCAGGTGATTCTTTCCGGTAAACCCATTGGTGGACTTGATCGGCTGCCACATCGGGCGAGCTCTAAAAGAGGAGAAAGTGGGCAGAAGATTTCGGGCGTAAAGGGAGAATATCTTGGCAATAGGCGGGCCCTACTGTCGGTCCTTAAAGAACTTCCGAACCGTGGCTATTTTTGGCCGCTTGAATTTGTTGTTGCTTGGTACTTGGAAGCTATCAAAAGACAACAAAAGTGTATATAGACGTCATGAAGAATGATGACAATTTTAAATTTCACTAATCGTCTTGTATTTCTAATGATTACTTTACACCTAGTTCAAAATGTCAATATAAGCGATGGACAATGAGTTTTTTTCAATCAGCTGGCCCCAGTTGGCTTGATGCCTCAGTTAGTTTGCTTAGCCTTATTCGATAATTTTCTTATTAATCTCAAGTAGTTACGTTATTCATATGTCATTCTTAAAATACAAACGAAACCTAATCATGAAAGCATATATGAACATCACCAGGACATTCACAACAAAACAAGGCCTATGCTTGCTAGAAATTTCCTCAATGAAAAAGCGAGCGATTGGTGTCAATCATCACCATATAACTGCTGCAAAGCCTATCACTCCAAGAAGAGACCCAACCAAGTTCTTCTTGCTGCCACCAGAATAATCTGTAGAGACACCTGGTGCAGCTGTTGTCTTGGAAGTGCTCTTAGTAGTGACCTTAGTGCTCTGAGTAAACACTTTGGTGGTGGCCTGATCTTTAGTGACCCGAGTGCTTACTCCAGCAATCGTTGACTTTGTCACGGTGATATCAGTATGGCCAGGCACAACGGCTGTTCCGGTAATAGTGTGAGTTCCTGGGTTCAATGTGACGGTGTGAGGAGAGCACTGGTCCACCTTAGGACAGGTGGAGATTGTGATTGTAGTGACTGTAGGACACACAATCACCCAGTCAGTCACGGTGTGAACACAGGTTGGACAACCGGGGATGACAGTGACAGTACCACATGTGGTGCACTTGGGTCCACAAGTGGTGCATTCGGTTTCACAAGTGGTGCATTTGGTTTCACAATGATCGCCACTACAACACTTTCCACCAGGCTCAGTATCAGTGCATGGTGGTTCCAGAACGCACGAAGTCGTGCAACTAGATTCGCAGCCATCACCAGAACATTCCTCGCAGATAACATCACACTTCCCTGGACATTTGGTCGTACAGTGACTTGGGGGACAGGCCAATGCAAGACAAACGGCATCACACTCGGTGGTGCAATTATCACAGCTTCCATCAGTAGCGGTACATGGACATGAAGTTGTACACGATGACAGACATCCTGGAGTAGTACAGATTTCACAGATAACATCACATTCTCCAGGACATTCAGTTGTACATTCGCCTGGAGGACACACAGCACCTGACGTACATGATGGAATGGCACATTGAGTTGTACATGTGTCACAGATTCCATCTGTTTCAGTACAGCAGCTGCCATCTGTTGCGGTGCAAGGACATGAAGTTGTACATGATGACAGACATCCTTCGGTAGTGCAAACGTCGCATATCACATCACATTCACCAGGGCATTTAGTCACACAGGCACCTCCGGGACACCCTTCCCCTGAACAAGCAGGGAAGAAACATTCAGTGGTACAGGTGTCACAGCTTCCATCTGTTTCAGTACAGCAGCTGCCATCTGTTGCGGTGCAAGGACATGAAGTTGTACATGATGACAGACATCCTTCGGTAGTGCAAACGTCGCATATCACATCACATTCACCAGGGCATTTAGTCACACAGGCACCTCCGGGACACCCTTCCCCTGAACAAGCAGGGAAGAAACATTCAGTGGTACAGGTGTCACAGCTTCCATCTGTTTCAGTACAGCAGCTGCCATCTGTTGCGGTGCAAGGACATGAAGTTGTACACGATGACAGACATCCTGGAGTAGTACAGATTTCACAGATAACATCACATTCTCCAGGACATTCAGTTGTACATTCGCCTGGAGGACACACAGCACCTGACGTACATGATGGAATGGCACATTGAGTTGTACATGTGTCACAGATTCCATCAGATTCAGTGCAGCAGCTGCCATCTGTTGCGGTGCAAGGACATGAAGTTGTACATGATGACAGACATCCTTCGGTAGTGCAAACGTCGCATATCACATCACATTCACCAGGGCATTTAGTCACACAGGCACCTCCGGGACACCCTTCCCCTGAACAAGCAGGGAAGAAACATTCAGTGGTACAAGTATCACAGCTTCCATCAGTCGCGGTACATGGACATGAAGTTGTGCAAGAAGACTCACATCCTGGAGTAGTACAGATTTCACAGATAACATCACATTCTCCAGGACATTGAGTTGTACATTCGCCTGGAGGACACACAGCACCTGACGTACATGATGGAATGGCACATTGAGTTGTACATGTGTCACAGATTCCATCAGATTCAGTGCAGCAGCTGCCATCTGTTGCGGAACATGAACATGAGGTGGTACAAACTGACAGACATCCTTCAGTAGTGCAAGCATTGCAAATAGTGTCACATTGTCCTGGGCATTTGGTTGTACAATAACCTGGCTCGCAAGCAGTACCACTTGGATTAGGACAGGGGGGAACGTGGCATTCTGTCTCACATAAATCAGAGGGACATTCGACATGACAATCATCTGTAGGACAACTCTGTTCATCACATGAGTGCTTGGTGCAAACGGACGAGCATGTCTCACCTGGACATCTGCTAGTACAAACCTCCTTGGGACATGGAGTTGTGACACAGTAGATGTCGTGGCATTCAACGTCACATGAGGTTGGGCAGTCGCTCTCGCTGCATGGAGTTTCCACAAGGTACAATTGCACAGGGAAACAAGAAGGATCTATGAGACGCTTACGCAATCTTTTGACTGGAGTTACGGTTGCCAGAGACACGATGCTTTCAGTGATTGTAGAAGGTGCAATCACAATCGACGATTCTTGTGGGATTGAAGACTCCTGTGGGGTCGAAGACTCCGTTGAAGATTCCCCAGGGCTTGAAGATTCTACCACTTCGGAAGATTCTGCGACTTTTGAAGATCCTACCTCATCGGATTCTGTTGGAGTCGAAGTTTCGTCCTCTGAACTGCCGTCAGTTGGCTTGATAATACTAGTCTCCTCTGCCAGGGAATCATCAGAACCCGAAGTTCCCGTATCACTGGTCTCTGTATCACTGGTCTCAGTCTCACTGGATTCTGTCTCACTGGACTCACTGGGCAAACTGGACTCACTGGATCCACTGGATCCACTGTCATCAAAAGAAAACGCCTTCAAAGTATTGCCACCACAAATATAGAATTCGTAATTGCCAGCATCGATATAGAGTCCCTCGTCAACAGTTTCAAAAGTAACTAAGAGCTTCTCTGAACCAGAAGTTCCAACCACGTCTTCGTTGAGGGTCCAAACCACTCCTCCGTCCAAGACATGGGGTTCTTCGCCGGAAAAATTATCATAGTAATCTTCGGCAGTGTCAGCTGTTCCATAATAGTCACCTTTCTTTGAGAGAAACCTGTTCCCATCGGTACCAACCCGAATATACTTAGCTGTCACCACCGACAAAAGCGAAAGAGTAGGTAATAAACGCATGATGATAATGATTCCATCTAGAAATGGCCCCAAAACAGTTTCCTTAAATAGTGTTTTATTCTAGAAAACCCTCGTATCCGTTCCGCATGGCTTAAGATGTGCCCTTCTCACTCCCACTTAGTCTATTGGCATATCATCTCCTCCGTTACCGTCTCCTCCAACTTCCATCCAATGAACTACTAATTAAAGATGCTTGGCACGGCTCACTTAAAATAGACTCACGTCAATAACGCATTGATCTGTAGACCAAGCGACCTTTCGTGCAGATGGTGACCTACCATTAGTGATGTCTTTATTCTTAGCACCCTGCGCAGAGGTCTATTTTAGATTCGCACCCGCAAAAGCCTCGATATTGACCCAGAAGGTGCAGCTACTCCTCGTTTGCTGTGAAGAGGGTAAAATATAGCATGATGGGCAATTAAGCGGGGCCGATCCAAATTTGCGCTTTGCCGTGGGGTCTGGTATCCGGTGGTACCTAAATGGGTGTGGTTATGTGAACTGGTGAAACCCGGGGTAGAAGCGCGAATGACTGGAATAGCTGGGCTTCGTTCTTGGGATCTATTTTTACATATGAAATTTATATTCGTTCACGGCAAGAGCATATGGTAAGCTTCAATGATTCTGAAATTCTTTGAGAGTGAAGGATAAGATTTTCTTGTTAAAAGTTCATGAATTTGGATTTGATTTCGAGGTTGACTTTCCGAGGGTATTTGGTGAGAAATCTTTACGAAAGAACACTCTTTGGAAACCTGGCGAGAATGTAGACTAGGACATTGAGAAAATCAAACTCTACATGAATACGATTAGAAGAAGTAAGGCTATTCTAATTCGTCGGTTCATGTTACTACTTGAACCACGAGATTAAATATAGAACCATCCGACACATTCTGAAATAGTTCGTTCCAGACACTCATGGGTAATCTTTTTGGGCAATATGACTTACACTAATATGTTGACCCTATTTTTAGTGTCATTTCGGAACTTTAATCAGGCCATTAGAGCAAGTAAGTGAATGGTTCGGGGAATGAAGATGACGTAGACTGTTCAGGTAAGAATTTCGGCCAAAGAATTCACCTGAACAATAATGAGAATATGTGAAGACATCACAAGAATTAAATAATCTACTGATTGCTATGAGGAAATACGAATAGGATTTTACTTAGGTTCTACCACATCAAGAGTATTAACCCAATGGCTCCAATCAAAGTACTGACCAAGTTACGTGCACCTTCTCCACTGAAGTTAGTTGTTGCTCCTGTTGATGAAGAAGCAACTCCGGTACTACGGGAAGAGGCATCTGTTCCAGCAGCTGCCTTAGTCACCACAATATTCGAGTGAATTGGGACTGCAGCAGTTCCTGTGATGGTATAGGTACCAGGACTAAAGGTTAAAGTTTTTGGAGAGCATTTGCTGACTTCAGAACAAGTCGAGATGGTCATGGTGGTCACTTCAGTACATGTAAACGAGTAGTCAGTAAGAATGTAGATACAAGTTGGGCAGCCAGAGAAGTGGACAGTATCACAGGTAGTACATCCTCCATCTTGAGGACATGTGGCGCCCGTGCAAGTCTTTCCTCCACATTCACTTCCAGTACAAGTGCTATTGGTGTAGCACCAAGATCCGGTACAACTGCTGACACATTCTGATCCAGTGCACGTGGGAGTAGATTCACATTCTGATCCAGTACATGTAGACTCGCAATCTGGTCCAGTGCATGTGGACTCACACTCTGATCCACTGCAAGTAGATTCACATTCGGCTCCACTACATGACGGAGTTGGACATGATGTGTAGCATGTTCTCTCAGGACAGGGAGTATATCCTTCGGTACATGATGCCATCACACAGAAAATCTCGCATGTATCAATTGGACAGTCAAGTCTACAACTGTCAGGACATTCAGATGGCTTTGCACAGTCAGTCTTGGTGCACACAGTAGGACATTCGTCACCTTGACAGATGGTTGTACAAACCTCCAGAGGACAAGGAGAAGCAATACATACTTGCTTGGTGCAAGTTGAAGTGCAAGTGGCCAGACACTCAGCGCCAGAGCACTGGGACTTGTCGTTGACAAGCATCAAAGATACCTCAAGACATTGACCGTAGTCCACCCGTTTTCTCAATCTTGCAGGAGGAGTAGTGGATGACTCCCTTGGAGATTCAGTTGGCGATTCAACTTGCGAATCAGTGGTTTCCGTTGTTTCAGAAGGCTCATTGGAATCAGTAGTTTTACCTGATTCATTGGTGTCAGTAGTTTCGCCTGTTTCAATAGTTTCTGTTGTGTCCTTGGGTTCAGTTTCTTGAGTTGAAACTTCATCATCATCCGAAGTTGCAGAGGTTTCTGTACTATCCGTTTCCGATGTCTCATCTGTAATCTCTATTTCAGTGGTTTCATCATTAGTACTGGACGAAGGTTCTGTTGTCTCAGTTTCTGTCTCACTGGAACTCTCAGGAGCGCTATTATCATCTCTGGCAAACAACTCCCATTCATCACCCTGATTATCTTCTCCTTGACAAAGGAAGAGAGTATACGACCAAAAAGGGGTGATTGTATCGCCCTCAAACCCCAAGTGGCCTCTAAAACTTAAGTATTCGGTATAATTACTCAGAAATTTAATTTTTCCACTCTTTTCTCTGGTCAAGAGACTTGTGCCAGCAAAAAGAGTCCCTTCATTCAAGGTAAAGTCTCCATAGGCTTCCGTTATGGTATCCACAAACTTTGGTTCCTCACCATCCAAGATTAAGTATTGTGTTCCTAAATCACTAGAAACCTTGATATATCTGGCAGCAGCGATGGCCACCATGTTCAAAAGCGAAAGACGCATTGTTTTGTTAGTTAATTAGCTGGTAGTTAATTAGTGAAACATTAAGAGAATTCGGATGGTATTTATAGTTGAGTTTGGTTGCTTCGATCCATCGGTGCATCTCATCATGTTCCTGACTATTGGCTAGTGGTCTAGTTTAGCAGAAACAGGTGGTACCTACACCCAAAAGAGATAATCTTGGCTGGTTGCCCGTTTTTTGAGAAAAGCTTGCCTACGACGCAAGAATAAAGTTAGAGATGACGATTATGGACTTTTTTGGAGACAAACTCGACAAGCTGCTACTAATCAGTGCTTCCATGTACGATTTGATCCATGGTATGCACTCAAAGCTTCATTCGCATACTCTATAGTTGTGATAGAGGCTTAGTTCGGTTGGTGTCTCAAAAGGGGAAAAAAACCTGCCAGGAAGGCTAGCGAACCTTCGAGTGTGCTAATGTTATTTATAGAATATGCATACGTTCAGTATTTAGAAGGTGGATAGTTGTGTATGGCCATGACTTTGTTCAAGTGGAGAAATAAGAACATCGTTGACGACCAGTGAGGGAAGCTTGAAAGGTTTCGACATTGGACTATAAAAAAAAAAGAAGAAGAATCGGGGAAGATTTAGAGAAGACTAAAAAAAAATAAGAGACTAGTTTGAAAATCGTAAATAGTACAGACCTGAACCATTGTTGGGCAAGCGGTCATGGATGCCGAGTATCCGGTCGTATTTGATGGTAATGAGACAGAGTGGGGCACGCAAATCGTAAGTTTTGAATGAAGGTACGGGCGTACGTGACCAGCTTGGGCATAAAACCAAGACTTTTGGAGGCTTCTCGTTTGGAATGATGAGGTGACTTTCTGGAAATTTGGTTGAACGTATTGGCCATGAAAAGAATGCCGCATTTCGAAGTTAGGTGTGTGTCTATTTATATCATATTGTTAGAATAAAGTAGAGCTGCGAAGTGAAGGATGAAAAAATCATTGTTTCAAATGAATGACTGAACTTGGATTGTTTAAATTTTCTAATTTGGTATTCTAGTAAGTTGCTGTTGGTATATTTATCATGTTTTTGTAGATTTATTGAGTGCATTTGGGATGATAGTTAATTTCAAGATTAGAGGTGTGAGACCAGGAGGAGATTCCAGAAGAGGCAGAAACAACCATCAGGCCATATTCACAGATTTTATCCAGACAAAATATGCAGAATTTAGTATGAACAGAAGGTCTAGAGTGGAAATCTTCAGAGACAAAACATGAAGAATGGTGGGGAATTGTCAATACAAAGAAAAGTCCAAATCTAGAAAGTAATGCTACAATTTTAAGTACTCTATAAAATCCATAATAGTAAATGGGAAGTTCTATAGTCGATTATCGATACTCTGAAATCTTCCAATTTCATCGGTCGAAAGTCTCATCCATGTGAGTTTTGTCCCTGGCTTTAATCCCCATGTTTTCAGAATTGTACAAACTTCGCACCCAACCATGAAAAAGAGTATTCACTTCATGAAAAATCACAAACAAAAAATCCTTCACCGATTAATTCATTTCCAAATCCGCCACTTCTATTTCTCTAGCTACTCCTTCAGTACCTTCAGCCACCTTTCCATACGATTCCGCGTTGTAGCCGTCACCAGATCTGAATTCATTTGATTTCACATTTCGTCTATCGTCCGTAGTCTGCAGCACTTCTCACTGCACTGACCCAACGGCTCATCCTACCTTTTGTTCAATGGTCATAGTCACTCTTTTTTTTTGCGGTCACTAATCCTCCAATGTGTCTGAAATCCAAATTTCAATACATTTTGACATTTTACATTCTAACTTTCAAGACATTTCTCCTGTTTTTTTTCTCTCATTCACATCCTTCATTGCCTCTCTCTCTCTTTCCCTCTCATCTCACTTCATAACCCTACTGTCCCTGAAAAAAACACCGGGAATCGGGCATTTGGTGCCTCCTGCGACGTCAATCGCGCGATGCCTTGGCGAGATTAACCTACTAATCCAAAATCTTGCGGATATTTGGATGTCAATGCCAAATAAATTGGCGATGAACTCTCCAAAATCTTAGCAGATTTTACATTGTAAGTATTTCAAATTGGTTCCGGCTACGAGTATTGTTCTCGTATGCGCGTGCGGCGGTGATTTAGTGCAACTGAGCAAATCGGGAAACTTACCTACATGTACTGCAGATAAACTTAACATATCCAAGATGAATGGGTCTCTCCAATTAATACATTCATGGTATATAAATATCCGCATTATCCCACTTTTAACTTTCACTTCTTTTATACTACCTCTTCTTTCTTCCTTTAATCCTAAACTTCTCTCAAAAGCTATTTATTTCCCCATTTACTTTCCCATTCTCATCCTCCTGTGTCTCATCATCAAAATAGAAACGCGCCTCTTCTATACATTCTCAACATTCTATACATTCTCCACTGAAGATCACTTCTCTCCTACTCAAGTACCTGTTCATTCATCGCGACGCACGGCGTACCGCTGCTCCACTTTCTTATTTGGCCCTGTTTTTCTCGCCTTATTCATTAATATCTCATCCGATCTGCTTTCTTTTTGCAGCGGCTCCGCCCTTATTGATACCGCAACCCTCTGTCAAACAAGGCAACGTCCTTTCAAGTCGACACTTTGTCATCAAGTCTCCGCAACTTCAGATCAACACCACCCTCGAGTTTTGTCGCCATGGACTCGTCCGAACCTTCACAGCCGGACACCTTAGAGTCCACCAATAAGCTTCTTCACGATTTGGAGCGGAAGATCTCGTTTGCGCTGACTACCTCGCTGAATCAAACAGCAAACAGCCATGGCTCCGTGGTCCACGACACGCAAATGGCTGGCTTAGCCCGCTACAATATCCAGCTGAGTGTTCTTCTGTACATCCGTGACAATGGTCCGGATTTCGATGCCGATCAGGTCTATGTCGACCGTCAACAGAAGTTCATGACCAAATTCGCCCGCGAGTACTCGCCTGGCAACGTCAGCCCGCTGAGACCCCAAATACGTGTGAGCGAGGATGCAATTGTCGATTCGCTCGACGAAGGACCTCTGTCCTCCATAAATACGCTGCCGAAGCCAAATCTCACCTATCCAGACCAACCACTAAAGAAAACAATTCTGCCGACATCTAAGATGGAGAGTCTACGGGAGCCTGTGACCAAAAAGGGGAATGTAGCGCTAGATGTGCCAGCGGCAGCCTCAACTACTGACGCAGAGTCTCTTCGGGCCAGCATAGAACTCGGATCTGACACATACGATGGTTCAGACGCATACGACGGCTCAGATGCGTATGACGATTACTACGACGGCGAATTCGACAGCGGCGAGGATGACTACGGTGATGACGATTTCGAAAATGAGTTCAACGATCTCAGTGACTCTTACGGCATTGAAGACAACGGCCTTACCGACGAACAGCTTCTACCTCCTCTGCCTCCACGACTGCCTCCACGGGAAATGGATCCGGACAAGTTATACGGTTTATATGACTTTTCTGGACCTGATCCTCTGCATTGCACGCTTGCTCGCGATGAGCCGGTGTTCCTCATCAACGATCTGGACAACTATTGGTGGCTAATCCGGAAAATGTCGAGAACTGAGCGTATGAGTCTATGGAATGCCCGCGGCTCCGAAGATAATTTTGAATCTGATGAAGAAGATGGAAAGATAGGCTTTGTTCCTGCTGAATGCTTGGAAACTTACGGCGAGCGATTGGCTCGGCTCAACTGTCACAAGAACGAAGAGCTTGAAAAATCATCTCGCGAGACTCTTTCCTTGGATCACTACGGAATTGGCAATGGCAGTGCAACCTTCCTGAGTACCTCTCAAGTTAATATGCACCATAATGTTTCCTCGAACGACCTCTCGGACAAATCCCCATACCATACTCCCGGACCTTCTGGAGATGTTGTCTCCTCCAATGAAAAGTTTGTGGACTCTTCGAGTGATTTCAAACAAGCTGAAATAAAGCCTCTGACCGATGATCTACCGCTTGGCAGGAAAGGATCCATTTTGAAAAAATCTAGAAGCTACAAACAAAGCAATAAGCTGGTGACATTTGAGAACTTGGGCGACATAAACTTGGACGATGACGACTCCGACGACGATATTGATTTCTCCGAGCACTATTTCCACGTAGGACACGATGACATTAAGCAGAATCGTATCCACTACGAAGACGCAGAGAAACACAGCGAAGTTTTAAGTGACGTATATCCTGCCGATGTGCTGCTCCAAATCAACAAAAGTCCACGCAAACTGGCCAGTCCTGTCGAAAGTAGCTTCGGCGAAGGCATTGGTCAAAGTGTCATGAACACTTCGTTGTTTGCTCCTCCTCATGCTATATCTACCTTAGACAATGACTCAATTGGCACTTACTCCCCAGACACTCCCCCAACGGATAAGTTCAAGTCGCCAAGAGACGAATTCAACTCTGGAAACATCCGCAGGTCTCAAATTCTCGACAGACTCTCTCGTGTTACGTCCGACATCCAAGAACAACTTGGAAGCAGCGATGACGGCGATCACCTCGACTTTGGAGGTGCACTCAGAGCAGATTTGAGTGATAACGACAACACCTCGGTGTTTGCCGACTACACAGGAGACAGCACTGCCAATCAGGTAGAGGACTATTACGACAATGAGACGGGGCTGGAATGCGACGATGGGCAAAAGAGTAATGACTGCGATACTCCACTTACAAGCACGAACTCACTCAGTAACTTCTCCAGTTCACCTAATCCGCTGATTCAAGAAAAGCGTAAGTCCAAGCCAGTTCACGACATGTTTATGCCCATTTTGGGCAAGTTGGACGAGCTAACGGAGAAGTTGGCCGAGCTTGAGCATCATCTACTTTGACATTGCATAATAATCCGCATGGGAAGCATCGCGGCCTTCATAGAAAAAAATTCACCAAATCTAACTAAATCATATAGACGGATAGTCCCAGGGACATTCGAGTTGAAAAAAAAAATAAGACAACCCTCGAGGATATATATCGAGTAAGCATCAACTCATCGCACCTTCCTTCCAACCTAATTTTTCTGGTTTTTTTTACCCTTTTCTAGCTGATTTCCCTTCATCAAACATCACCTTTTATTATGTGGTCTGCTGATCCCGCTGCTTTGGAGCAGCTCCGCAAAATCTTCAAGGCCACGTTGCTGCTGGATAACAAGGTGCGATTTGCTGCCAACCAGGCCCTTGCTGAGCTGAAGAAGCAACCACAGTTCGAGAACTACTTATGCGATCTTTTGATCAAAGACACAGAGTCAACGTCGGATGTCAGGGCCGCTGCAGGAATCAATTTGAAGAACAGCGTGTTGAAGACCACCCTGACTGATCGTAGCTACCTTTTGGCCACGATTTTCGCTGGTTTGATGGTGCAAGACACCATGGTGAGAAACATCACCGGAAATGTCATCACCTCACTCTTTGCTGCTCAGGGTATCGAGGGGTGGCCACAGGCGTTGCCTCAGTTACTCTCGACCATTGAGTCTGGAGATATAAACCCACAATCGAGAGAGGCTGCTGTGTCTGCGTTGGCCAAGATCTGCGAGGACCACAGTGCGTTGCTCGACAGAGAGTATAACGGCGAAAGACCACTCGACCACATCACTAGCAAGCTCATCGAGTTGACCAGACTGCCAAATTCCACTCCCAAGATCCGTTCACAGTCCATCTTTTGTTTAAACCAGCTCCTCCCATTAAAGTCGCAGCTGGTTCTTGTATTCTTAGACCATTACTTACAGACGCTTTTTGACTTGGCACAGGACGAAAACCCTGAAGTTCGTAAGAACGTGTGCTCGGCCTTCTCTCTCATCATGGAAACTCGCCCAGATAAGCTTCTTCCACATATGGAGGGTGTGCTTAACTACTGTGTTCACCTGATGGAAGATCCAAGCGAGGAGGTGGCCATGGAGGCATGCGAGTTTCTTTTGCTGCTTGCAGAGCTGCCAACCAAGGCACACAAGCCTATTTTCAGACAGCAGCTCCGCGTGGTCTTGCCTGTGCTTTTGTCTAAGATGGTCTTCCTGGAAGAGGAGATCTTTTTGTTCCAGATCGCCGACGAGAAGGACGATGCCTTTGTAGCCGATAAGGCTGAAGACATCAAGCCTAACATGGCCAAATCTAAACAGGGCCATTCGATTGGAAAGAAAAACAACCAAGAATCTGACTCAGATGACGAAGATTCGGACGACTCCGATGACGAGATGGAGCAGTGGAACTTGAGAAGATGTGCAGCCTCTACGCTCGACGTTCTCTCTTTGGATTTCCCTCAGGATGTGCTTGATATCGCATTGCCTATTTTGCAGCAGAACATTGTCTCAAGCGAATGGCCCGTACGTGAAAGCGCTATTTTGGCATTTGGTGCCATTTCCAAGAGTTGTATCGAGCTTGCGAGCGACAAGTTGCCCGTATTGGTTCCCTTTTTGGTGGAGAGAATGAAGGATAACGAGTCGAAGGTTAGAGAAATCTCGTGCTGGGCAGTTTCCCGTTATTCGCCATGGGTGACCAAGGAAGCTAAACAAGGAGGCAGTTACGCCAACTATTTCCAGCCAACTTTTGAGCTGTTGGTGCAATTAGCCTTGGATCCTAAGAAGATTGTCCAGCAATCTGCCTGCTCGGCACTTTCCACATACATTGAAAACACCGACGTGGAATTGCTCCAGCCATACGTGGGCGCATTATTAGAGCATTTTGCTAAATGCTTTGCTGCCTACCAGAGGAAAAACATGATCATGTTGTATGACTGTGTTTCAACCTTTGTGGACAAAATCGGCACTGAAGTATTCAACCAAACCCCAGAGTACGCCAACACATTGATGCCTCCTCTTTTGCATAATTGGCAGCTGATGGATGACGATGATACCAACTTGTGGCCACTTTTAGAGTGTATGTCCGTGGTGGCCATTGCAATGGGAGAATCTTTTGCTCCATATGCTGTACCCGTATACGAGAGAGCCGTTAAGATTTTGACCAATGTGGTTCAGCTTAACGAAGAAATGCTCAACAACCCGGAAATCGATGCTCCAGAGAAGGACTTTATCATCACGTCTTTGGATCTTATCGATGGTTTGGTCCAGGGATTCAAGGGCCATTTCGTGGATTTGGCTGCCCAGCACGGTGCAGACTTGATGAAGATCTTGATGCAATGTTTTGAAGATTATGTGGATGATGTCAGACAGCTGGCTTACGCACTTCTTGGAGACTTGGCCATTTTTGCATACGAAGCAACCGTAGCTCCCTACTTGAGCTCGATCGTGGTTTGCATTGGCCACGAAATCAGCAACTGTAACTACCTCACCTACGCCCTGACCAACAACGCTATCTGGTCTTGTGGAGAGATTGCTCTAAAGGCATCATCTGAATTTGACCAGTTCATTCCCAACTTGGTTAATGTTCTCATTCCTTTAGTGAACTCTCCAGACACCCAGAATACTGTATTGGAGAACGCAGCCATTTGCTTGGGAAGATTTGGGGTTAAAAACGGAGCCGGTGTAGTTGCACCTAGATTGAGTGAGTTCATCTACTCGTGGTGTGCCCATATCATGTACTTGAACGAGGACGAAGAGAAGGAGTCTGCATTTATTGGCATGATCAATGTAATCCATGCCAATCCCGACCAGGGCTTTGGTGGCTTATCGACCCATGAGGGCCGCAAGAACTTGGCGGTTTTTGTCAGCTGCATTGGCAACTACTTCGAGCCATCTTCCAAGCTTCGTGAGTTATTCTTCCTGTTGCTTTCAAGTTACAAGCTGCTTTTGGGAGATTCATGGGAGACCCAGGTATTGGGATTGGTGGATGGAGAGTCGAGAGGGTTCCTTCTGACCACCTACGGAATTTAGTGTCGTAGACAACTACATGGAAGAGATAGCATTGTTATACTTTAGCATTAGTAGTGATTTGACTATGAGCCATTCTAGTCAATCTTATACTCCAGCATTCATTATTTCCGTATCGTATTTGTATCCTATTTGTTGCCCAACCCACTTTTCCTCTTCTCAAATGTTTCCTTTCTTTTCACGTTATCTACCTTAATCATCATATAACACCTCATTAACTAAACCCAAGGGCAAGTCCCACACTCCACTGGGTGCCTTCCAAACATAATCCTCGGGATTTTCAGGAATCACGGCATGCTCGTCTGTTATGACCCGTAAATCATCTAGAGCAAGTGTCTTTACCTCGGTGTTCCAACATGCAATGAATATGTATGCATACAACATTGCCAGAAGCAGGTATGCTGGAATAGCCTGTGCCCAATATTTGCTGGGGTAATAGTACACACCGCAGTATTCTAATATGGAATTAGGAACCAATGCCCATATCATCACTAGCGTAAGCACTAGCCATGAGAGAATGTATGTGAAAAAGCCCCGATACTCTCTGTAGGGAGTAACATTGGTTGACGAGACCGTAACATCGGACTCTCTAGCCAATTTGTCTTCCTGAGTCCTTCGAAGGGGCGTATTGGCCCGTGATCGGAGATTTGATGATTGCATGCTGTGAAAGGTAGATGATTTTAATTGTTGTATAGGTGATACTATGTTAAGTCTTGGTGTACGGGTGTAAGCTTTTGGTATATTTGAGATGACGGGAGTAAAGAAAAGATGAAGCAGATACACAGAAAGGAGAAAGAAAAATGGATAAGGAAGATCCACCTTAAGACTTTCGTAATCAGCTTTTGCTCTCACATCGCTTCATTTGAAAGTGAATTGCAATGGCTCATCTAGCCAACGCTCGGAACACTCTGGAGTGCACATAATGATGACATAAGTGAGAGCCACATTACCTTAGAAATGAAGGGGATGAATGTAAAAAGGAAGAAGATGCAAATTTTTACGTACAAAATTGATACAAGCATCATTATTCAAAAGCCAAAAAATTCTTCCAGTCTCTTTCATCCCAACGACCATCATTATTCCTTGCATTGCGGTTAATTAATGGGAGATTCTGTATATAATCATTAGTATCTGGCCAACCACAAGGTAGTCTGCAGCAAAGGTGGGCATGTAACGGTTGAGGCGGGTAACGGGTTACTGATCTTAAATCGCGGCTAGCGCTGAGTCATTGCCGTTTTGGGCGAATTTTGCAGTGATTTTTTCTTCCCAATATATAATTTCACTGTTCCACATCTTAAAAAAAATTTACCTCTAGTGAATTTTTTCTTCTCCAGCATTTCCCGCTTTTTGTCATTCTAAACTCTGGCAATGTTGCTTAATAGTGTGCTGTTGTTCTCACGGAGATTGGCAGCCTCTGCCAGACTCTCCAGCTTCAGAACATTCACAGTGTCGTCGCTTGCTAGAAATGCTGAGCCTTTCTACCGTGGCGGAGAATTGGTCAGCAAGCTTAAAACTGGTGACCACGGCAAGCTTGTTGACGTGTCCAAGGTCTTGGTTATCGGTTCCGGAGGTTTGTCTATTGGTCAGGCCGGTGAGTTCGACTACTCAGGATCCCAAGCCATCAAGGCCTTGAAGGAGGCCAACAAGAAGTCTATCTTAATTAATCCTAACATTGCAACCAACCAGACGTCGCATGCGTTGGCTGACGAAATCTACTACTTGCCTGTCACTCCTGAATACATCACCTACATTATCGAAAGAGAGAAACCAGATGGAATCTTGTTGACTTTTGGTGGTCAAACTGCACTCAATGTCGGTGTCAAATTGGAGAAAATGGGTGTTTTCGAGAGATACGGCGTCAAGGTTTTGGGTACGCCTATTAAGACTTTGGAGACTTCTGAGGACCGTGACCTTTTCGCCCAGGCCTTGAAGGAAATCAACATCCCAATCGCTGAGTCTATTGCTGTGGAAACCGTTGATGACGCTTTGGCTGCTGCTGAAAACATCGGTTACCCTATCATTGTTCGTTCTGCCTACTCTTTGGGTGGTTTGGGTTCCGGTTTTGCTGCCAACAAGGAAGAACTCAGAGACTTGTCGTCTCGTTCGTTGTCGTTGGCTCCTCAGATCCTCGTGGAGAAGTCCTTGAAGGGTTGGAAGGAAGTCGAATACGAGGTTGTTCGTGACCGTGTTGGAAACTGTATTACCGTCTGTAACATGGAAAACTTTGACCCATTGGGTATTCACACTGGTGACTCTATTGTGGTGGCTCCTTCTCAGACCTTGTCCGATGAGGAGTACCACATGTTGAGATCTGCTGCCATCAAGATTATCCGTCACTTGGGTGTTGTTGGTGAATGTAATGTCCAGTATTGTTTGCAACCAGATGGCTTGGATTACCGTGTCATTGAGGTTAACGCTCGTTTGTCTCGTTCGTCCGCATTGGCTTCCAAGGCTACTGGTTACCCATTGGCTTACACTGCTGCCAAGATTGCCTTGGGTCACACCTTGCCGGAATTGCCTAACCCTGTTACCAAGACCACCTCCGCCAACTTCGAGCCATCTTTGGACTACATGGTCACCAAGATCCCAAGATGGGATTTGTCTAAGTTCCAGCACGTCAAGAGAGACATTGGATCTGCCATGAAGTCTGTGGGTGAAGTTATGGCCATTGGTCGTACTTTCGAGGAATCTTTCCAGAAGGCTATTAGACAGGTTGACCCATCGTACATTGGATTCCAAGGTGACCACTTCGAAGACTTGGATGATGTTTTGGCTAACCCAACCGACAGAAGATGGTTGGCTGTGGGTCAGGCTTTGCTCCACGAGAACTACTCTGTCGACAGAGTCCACGAGTTGACCAAGATCGACAAGTGGTTTTTGTACAAGTTGATGAACATCGTCTACATGTACCGTGAGTTGGAGGCTGCTGGTCTGTTAGCCAACATCAATCACGACTTGATGGGCAGAGCTAAGAAGCTTGGATTCTCTGATAAGCAAATTGGTCTTTGCGTGGGAGCCAAGGAATTGGAGGTTCGTGCTGTTAGAAAGGGTTTCGGTATTGTTCCATTTGTCAAGAAGATCGACACCTTGGCTGCTGAGTTTCCTGCGAACACTAACTACTTGTACACCACCTACAACGCCACTTCTTCTGATCTCGAATTCAACGAGCACGGTACTATGGTCTTGGGCTCTGGTGTTTACAGAATCGGATCTTCTGTCGAGTTCGACTGGTGTGCTGTGGCTACTGCTAGAGCCTTGCGTAAGTCTGGACACAAGACTATCATGATCAACTACAACCCAGAAACCGTGTCCACTGATTTCGATGAGGTTGACAGATTGTACTTCGAGGAGCTTTCCTTGGAGCGTGTTTTGGATATTTACGAGTTGGAGACTGCCCAGGGTGTGGTCGTCAGTGTGGGAGGTCAGTTGCCTCAGAACATTGCTCTTACTTTGCAGAATGAAGGTTGTAATGTTTTGGGAACCAACCCAGAGGATATCGACAAGGCCGAGGACAGACACAAGTTCTCGCAGATCTTGGACTCTATTGGTGTTGATCAGCCTCAGTGGAAGGAGTTGACTTCCATCGCCGAGGCCGAGTCTTTTGCTGACCAGGTTGGCTACCCAGTTTTGGTTAGACCTTCTTACGTCTTGTCTGGTGCTGCCATGTCCGTCATCAACAACAAGGGTGAGTTGGACTCCAAGTTGTCGAATGCTGCTAAGGTTTCTCAGGACCACCCAGTGGTGATCTCTAAGTTTATCCAGGGTGCTCAGGAAATTGACATTGATGGTGTTGCTCACCAAGGTAAAGTTTTGGTTCATGCTGTTTCCGAGCATGTTGAGAACGCTGGTGTCCACTCCGGTGACGCTACTTTGGTGTTGCCTCCTCAGAACTTGTCTCCTATCATTTTGCAAAGACTCAAGGTCATTGCTGACAAGGTTGCTTCTGCCTGGAAAATCACTGGTCCTTTCAACATGCAAGTTATCTTGAACGACCAGAACGGTACCTTGAACGACAACGATGCCGAATTGAAGGTCATCGAGTGTAATATCCGTGCTTCTCGTTCGTTCCCATTCGTTTCCAAGGTTTTGGGTACTAACTTCATTGAGGTTGCAGCCAAGGCTCTTCTTAACGAGAACGTACCTGCTCCTGTCGACTTGATGTCCCAGAAGTACGACCGTGTTGCCACTAAGGTCCCACAATTCTCTTTTACTCGTTTGGCTGGCGCCGACCCATTCTTGGGTGTTGAGATGTCTTCTACCGGAGAGATTGCCTGTTTCGGAAAGAACTTGGTGGAGGCCTACTGGACGTCTATCCAATCCACCATGAACTTCAACGTTCCACACCCAGGAACCGGCATTTTGTTTGGAGGTGACTTGACCAACGACAAATTGGGCAATGTTGCTAAGACAGTGTCTGGACTTGGCTACAAGTACTACACTGCTTCCCAGGAGGTTGCCGACTACTTGTCGAAATACGTCTCTGAGTCTGTTGAGGTGATCGACTTCCCAAAGACTAACAAGAGAGCTTTGAGAGAGATTTTCCAAGATAAGGACATCAAGGCTGTGTTCAACTTGGCATTCGCTAGAGCCGAAAGCTTGTTGGATGAAGACTACGTGATGAGAAGAAACGCCATTGACTTTGGTATTCCATTGTTCAACGAGCCAAACACGACGTTGTTGTTTGCTCAGTGTTTGAAGGAAAAGATCGGCGACAAGTCCAAGTTCGAGGTTGTGCCAACCACGGTGGTTGTGCCTGAGGAGGTTAAGAGATGGAGTGAATTCTTGGGTGGAAAGCCCGTGTGATTTAAAACGTTCATGAGTATACACGAATATGTTAGAAATATGTAGGGCTTATGGCGATGTAGAGTGGTAGTACGTGAATTAGAGAGGCTTAAAATACGTCTACCTTGTTAATATATATAAACTGGGAAATTCAAGAAATGCAAGTGGGAAACGAAATGGGAACAAAGAATTCTGCAAAGTTTCTGGAATGCTTGAATACATTCATATCTAAGATTGTAATAGTTCTGAAGCTCGGAGTACGATGAATGGTACTCAATACATTTCTCTTCAACCTCTTTCGGCGTTCGATTGCACTGAATTACCTTATTGGGTTTGTAAAACATAGGCTCTGAAGTGAATTTCCATTAGCGCAACAAGAATTACTGAGGATGAGCTTAATGGCAGCTCAGGTGGTCAAGTAGGTGATGGAATGTCAAATGGTTCAAGAACATCGATTTTCTAGTTTTTGCTATCAAATGAAACTGAGAAGAAAGCGTTCACAAGTTGCCAATTTCCCGAGTCACCAAATGAGTAGGTTAGGTGTTGTCTGACACTAATCAAGTTAATTGAAGAGCATAAAATTGGACTTTTTTTTGACGATGCCAAGCTGACAGAAGCTCATAACTACCATCTTGTCATTATTGGATTGATCTTCCGTTATATTATTAATAGAATCAAAAACTACCTACGTCAAGTCATCCTCATCCTTGTCCACGACCGAGTTCTTGATCTTAAGCAACAACTGCGTCTTGAGTTTATCCAACTTGGAGAACTGGTCGTATTCATATACCCTGTCGGAGAAGGCCTGGACATCACCGGAGTCAATGGAGTCCAAGATATCTTGTACCAACTTGCACTCTCTGGTAGATGGCCAAGAAGGCTCATCCTCGCCATAAAGATTGATACGTTTCAGAGCTTCCACAACATCGTCCATACATAAAGTGCACAAGAGACTCTTCAAGAAGTAGTCCTTCAAGTTCCACTTGGTCAAGTTGTTGCCTAAAGAGTTCTTGATGATTGAGTCATACATACCGCGAGCCTTCTCGTACTGGCCCGCGGCCGCATTCAAGTCAGCACACTTTAAGTATGCCTTGTTCAGCAACGCTTCAGCGTGGTCAGTAGAAAAGTAGTCACCCGCCTTTTCATAACTTTCTGTGGCATTCTTTGTATCACCCACTTGCTCGTATAACTCAGCCAAGTCCATTTGGAAGTTGGCAGCTCTTCTAAACTGACCGTTGTTGGTCAAGAAAATGTGGATGGCTTTCGACAAGGCATCGATTGCATCTGTGGGAGAGACCGACTTGAAGCACTTATAGGCCTCAATAAGGTGGTTGGCCACATCGTTCTGGTTGTTGAGTTGCTTTTGCAAGTCTGCTGCCTTGACGAATTGAGATCCTGCCAGACTAAAGTCCTTGTTCAATCTGTAGATATTTCCTGCTTGAACATAGAGATCAGAGGCTTCCTCGAGACGGTACGAAGACGATCCACCTAGAAAACTGGAGAAGAATCCTGTTTGAGGCTTGGCGAGTTTTTCGGCTTCTGCCACGAGAGAACGGGGGTCCAGCATTGGAATAAGTAGTTGTAGTAGGTTGCCTTTAGATTTGGTTGTGTGCCGGAGAAGATAAGGTAGAGGAGGTGAGGAAGAAAGTAGTGAGGAAGAAATAAGAATGAATGGAGAAAGAAGTATAAAAATATTAGTAACACATATGAGATATTTCAGTTCACGTTTTCGATAAGGGTTGTAGTAATTGTCGGTTCAAAGCATTTTGAGTTAAATTGGTTTGGTATAGTAAAGCTGTGTGGATACTATCGTGAATATTGTGGTCAAGATTTTGAATCAGTCCAGAATTTTTTCACTTTATCATGTATAGAATTTGATGAAGATACCCATAAGAAGAGAAAGGTTATATGATACGTTTTGGTTTATAAGATTGCTATGACTATTAGCAAGTTGGTCAATACCCGCAACACCCACAACAAGATAAACCTATTTTGTCTGACACCTCTAGACACAAATATCTATCCGAGTAAATAACCAATAGACTTATTTCCATATTTACGTAAAAAATAAGTTCAAAACATTCGATTAGTGGCAATTTATTGTGAAACTGACAGAAAGTATGAGGAGGTATGGATGTTTTCTTGCAGGTGTATGGATGTTTTGTTATTATGTTTGTGGCAGTCACTTTGTAACATAACACTGATAGAAGATTGTGCAACATTAACTAACTCTATAGAAAAGAAGAATACAATTATACCTAAATACCGCCATTAAAGCAATACAGAATTTACCTCGCGCTTCCAGTAACAAACTTTTTCCCACATACATCCACGTCCCCATTGAATCCTGCACACCTTTGTTTACCATATCACCTACTACTACTTTGGAGGATGACCGAAAGTGTCCCAATGGTAGAATTTGAACGAATACGCTATGAACGTCTTAACCAGGTGATGAAAAAAGCCGTCGAACAGACCATCAAAAAGCTGCTTATGTCCGAACAGCTAGAAAAGTGTTTTCCAACCATATCCAACATGGAAGGCGGGCCAGAAGCGTTGGAAACCGCCAGGAAACAGATCCAAAAATATTTCCACAGTACATGCTTCAAGCAATTTGAACATATTTTCAATAACAGGGATATTGAGCGCAAATTGGACGAGCTAGACGAGATAATCCAAGCTGCACAGCATCGACGTGATCTGGGAACAGAAACACCTCTACAGGTTGACAAATTGAGCGCAGCCCAGCTTATAGGCGCAAGTATAGGCCTGTCAAAGGAAGACGCTGTTAGAAAACTTCAGTTGATATACGACCAATTGGTATTGGACAACCAGCAGCTCTATCAAGACCTCAAGAACCTAGCGGAGGAAGGAGAGGAGGTGAAAATGAGCATTCTTCAGCAGGTGCATAGCTTATCGAGTGGCATTGACGAGTTGAAACGACAGGACTTTGATGCCAACTTGGAAGCACTTTCTAAGGAAGTGTTTGATAGTAACTAAATAGGAACGGACTTGTGGGGTAGAGAATCTCTATAAATTGACATAAAACTGAATCTACAACTTATACTGCCTGCCTCTCTTTCTATATACATATTTACTGGTTCAAAAGGGCATGGTTCTTTCTGGCCAATTGGTTGTACTCGGTGACCTTCTTCTGCAACTCCACGAACTGTTGCTCCTTTCTCTTCTGCTTCTCAGACAACTTCACCAACTGCTTGTTGCCCCACACCTTGTAATCCTGGAAATACTGTTTGTCCATGTTGAATTCCTTGGTCACCACATCATCAGTCAAGCCCAACTTGGCAATGGTGTAAAAATACTTCTCTGGATCGTCAGACTTTAAATACTTCAAGATACTCTGTCTCTGCTGCACCAATTCTCTGACGTTCTGGATGTGATCTTTGTCTTTTGGGGCCTTCTTGACATGGTCAAAACCAAAGTGAATCTTGGTGGTCAAAATGGCAGCCTGCACCTCTGGAGAGCCGGTGTCACCCTCGAATCTCTGGAACTCCTTTCTGGCAAACTCGATGGCTAACTTCTTGCGGTCTGGAACTCCCGAGTTTCTCATGTTCAAAATCGTCAACAATGCTCTCTTCTTCTTCTCTTCCAAGTTTACAATCTGCTCTGTAATCACCTCTCCTCCTATGCTCGATTCTAACGCAGCCTTCTGTGCTCCGTATAAGAGCTTCTCAAATTCGTCTCTCTTATAGCCATATGCTAAGTTGGAAGGTTCTTGAACCTCCTGGTTCATTCTGGCTATGAACTTGTTATTTTGTGCTCCCAACACTGGATCCACCTTAAATTCTTCACGCTTGAGTGAGTGCTTCTTCAAGTTATTGACATCTCTAATGATTTGTCTCTTCAATCTGTTTTCTCTTCTTCTCAACGCTCTGACCTTCGATTTGGATGCATTCTCCGGGACAAACTGCTTGGCAGCCAAGTATGGCTGGATGGTTGCTGGAGCAGCTTCTAGTCTGGCAGACTGGGTGCCGAACCAACGGGCGGTGAATCTGAACATTAGGTTGGTGTTACCTAGTTAGACTTCATGAACAAATTTTTATAGAGGTGGTGTGCCCCGCACGACCTTAAGTTAAGTAAGTGGGACTAGGTTAAATTGGCAATAAGTGGGAAAAAATTGAATAGGTAAAGTGATTGGAATCTCTTTATTTATTTTTATTTATAAATTCAAGACCATTAATGTATGATGGTTGTGGTGGGTGTTCTATAGTATAAGTATTCTCATGGAGGTAAGTCTCAGGCTAATTAGTTGAAGCCTAGTAGGTAGAGAGAAATATGACCTAAAAAATGACCAAATTTTTCAAAGACAATTTTAATGAGAATTCAAAAGTAAAATAAAATAAAATAAAAGAACAGCTTTGTATGGTAATTGTTTGAGACAGTGCTTTATCATTATTATCTCAGTATACATTCGGCCTCGCATTCTCATCAACTATTTGGTATTCTGCGGGACACTCTCATGGAATCTAAGTACGTAGTGGAGAAAGGTCTACGAAGCGTCAAGCCGTATTACTTTGAGTATAAGACACCATTCAAACCTCGATGGGCTAACATGACAGCCAAACAGGTCCTCTGTAAGGAATTGGGCCAGGTAGACTCGGTGGTGGACCAAAGTATAGACAGGGGCCATATTTACATAACGAAGAATAATGGAAAGACTGGAGGGCCCGTAGCGATCAAATTTGACATGGCAAGAACACATAAGCTTCAGCCTCACGATATCATCTACAACATACAACATATGCATGAGCCTAGTGTGATTTGGGAAACTAATCTCGGCAATGGAGATTTAGATGAGGAAGCTGGATGTCTTCGATTACGAGTAACAGGACGGTTTCATGCAGAGGTTCAGAATGCCAGAATGCTAAAAAGTGGCCTCTGTATTCTTTTTGAAAACGAGGACGTAGTGGTTGTCAGCAAACCTGGAGGTGTAGCCACGCATCCAAGCGGAATCTACCGACTCAACACGTTAACGGAAATCGTGAGACAAGAGTTGGGTCAAGAAGTATGGCCATGCCACAGGCTCGATAAGGCCACTCTGGGTGTGTTGGTGATGGCCAAAACTAAAGGTGTATGTACGAAGATCATGGAAACTATCAAAGACAAGGAAGAATCGATAGAAAAGCATTATGTTGCACGTGTGAAAGGCAAATTCCACGAAGAGTACCGTTACTGTTGTCCGGTGTTTACGGTCAACTCTGCCAGCAAAGGATATATTAATGTTCCCAACGCTAAACAGGTGAGTACTGGTTCTACGACGATATTTCAGAAAATCAAGTATCTCGCAGCAACAGACGAGTCCATTGTGAAATGCCAGCCTATTTCAGGTAAAATGCATCAGATTCGTGTGCATCTTCGGAATCTTGGGTTCCCGATCTCCAATGATCCACTCTATAATCCGAAAACTGAGGTGAACAGGAGAAAGAATGAGATTGAGATGATGATTTATAACAAGATATTCACCCGATGGCCCTCGTTACGTTATGGAAACATTGAACAGGTTCCGCTGACAATTGACGTCTCTTCGTTTATTCTGGAAGAAATACGTCTGGACATAGACGGGTTGGCAGATTTGAGAAAAGAGTTTGAAAGACAACAGGAGACACAAACTCTAACGACAGGTACATCGTCATTGTGTAATGAATGTGGGAGGCAGATATTCAATAATGATCCAGAAACGGGAATATTTCTCCACTCGCTAAGGTTGAAGAGTCTTGGGGACATGAACCTTGACTTTGCAACCGAATATCCTAAATGGTGCGAATAACCATACGAAAATACATTACAACATACGTATAGATCAGAACATGGTAAGGAAGTGCAGAGTGTATTTCAACGATAGAGACGATCTCAAAACTATAATTTCACAAGATTTTACGAGTTTGAACAAGAATTAGCTCGTACACTCATTCCTATTCCCCAATCTTCGGACATCTACTCATCTTCATTTCTCACCCCCAATTTTCTAAAGTGTTCACTGATTTTTCTACTCCAATCTAATCACCTTGTTTCATATTTCTTGTATTTCCTCCACATTAGTCCTTTGATCTAAAGTTTCCTTCATTCACTACATTATCCCACCAACATCAGCATCGATGGACTCTTACACAGGAATCCATCTATCACTCCAACATCTACATTTAGATCCATCTATTCGTCTCCAATGCCCCAAGAACTTAGGAAACTTCTACGGAATATCCTGGTGAGACCACCGAAGAAGTACACAGCAGCGTTGGTTGCCGATATTTTCCCGCATGTCAAGTCTAAAGAATCATTAGATGATCTTCTCTACTCTGGATATTTCCATGTCATCTGGAATTTCTTCCATGCGGATGTGACCAATAACCATTTGCAGTTGATCCTCTTAATTGCTTATTATGAGTTGGACTTCTGCAACCAGAGTTCATGTTTGAAAACCTTGGCTTCAGACAAATCGAAGCTTCATGATCTAGTGGTGAGAGTTTTACAGGCAACAATGGACCCATCTGCTAATAACGTAACACTCAAGGGCTCTGCATTTCTCTTTTTGAGTGCCTTAGTTCGCTATGATGTGTCTTTTCTTCGAGAAAACAAACTTTATGCCAAATGGAATAACAATGTTCTAGACCAGTATCTCAGAACGTTTTCCTCGTTGGAAACGGTCCAATACCCTAGTTATGCAAAATGTTTCATCTACCTTTGCATCTGCTGGGCTGTATCTGACGAAGAAATGAAGTCAAAGATCAGAAATTTGCATGTTGCGCTGTTTTTCACCAGCGGTGGCATGGGCGAAGCATTGTCAAAAAGACTAGGCGACTTGCTCTCACTTGTTTGCTATGAAGAGTCGGACTTCGTATCAAACCAGGTTATTTTTCAGGATTTCGGTCCCAGCTTTGACTTCCTAACTCTAGCCTTCTCCAAACTAGATGTTTCTCATACTCAGTTGAATGAAGCATTAGAGGATGTCGGATCTGAACAACTCACAAAGATTGCACGAGTGTTGAACATTGGAATCGATTTACCTACTAAGTTTCTCGTTGAGGCAATTACCACCAAGGTTCTTGGGCCCAGAATTACAAGATCCACGACCTTCCAGATTTCCAGGTACACCGAATTTGATCTATTTGATCTCTTCGATACAACAAATCCTGAATTAGCCATTAATCCACTTATACCTTACACTTTGGAACTGATAGAGGACAACATTACAGAATATGAACAGCTGATTCTAGCATGGAAGGTGTCGAAGCAGATCCACAACCATTTAATGTCAACACTTGGACGATTAGCCATCTCAGACGGAACCAAGGCAGAAGGAATCAGAGGTAAAAGCAAATATTTCCATATTGTGGAGACAGCGGAATTTACAGGAACTTTTGGCAACATAACGATCAATGCACCTGTTGCCTCTTTGAGTGATGCAGTGATTCTATTGGATGTTCACCGGCCAAATGATCGTGACGAAAGACTGCGGATCAAGAAGTTCGGCATTCAGGCTGCTCGGGTAGCCAAAGTATTGTCATGTCTGGGGAAGCTGGTCAAAGTCCGTGTTGAACATTTGGGTGAAGCTACATACAATGCCTTCATCTCGCTCCCCGAAAATGTTTCCACTCATAACTTACGTCAACTCAACGATGCGATTAAATGCTCTAAGAAGTCACCTATATTTGAAAACCAAGGGAATCCAGACGAATCTGCCATCGAAGTGTTCCATTTGAAAATGGATGTACTAGAAAACATAGAAGGCGTGAAATTCGAAGACAAAGACCACAGCCACAAACATTTTCAATACAACGGAGTCAAATTCAATTCCAATTTTGCTATGGGAATGTTCACTTTGGGTGAATCCCATGCTTTATTGGAGATGCTAACTTCCAGAGTGCTGGTAGTCAAAGCAGATACTAATTCTGGCCGTTCTAGTTTGACCAACTGCTTTCTTCACACATTGCAGCGCAACTGGCCAAATGAAAGATGTTTGGTGATTTTACCTTCTCGGCTGGCGACTACCCAGTTCACGCTTTTTCCGGGTTTGGAGTCAGTAGTCAAAGTCGGTCTACTTCAGAATGTTACTGATGTCATTCGCAGGAGAAGCGAACTTTTAAAGAAGGTGTCAGAAATTAGTAAGATTCTCAAGTTAGATGAGTATGCTTTCGACACAAATGCGGTAAATGCGCTTATGCTTTTCACGGCACATATTGTTCCCAAGTGGGAGGATTATTTGAGTCTGCTAAATAAGTCCAAGCGAGCTATCGAGCGTTATCCTTTCGAAAGGTTCAATTTCGACGAAGAAGAAGACTATGAGATTATGCTTACTGCAGTTCTGGAACATTATGCTGCCATTAAGAAGACTTTTGCAGACCTACAGAAGTTACTTCCACTTGACAAGGTGGATCAGGACGATGTACAGGCAATCCAGCAATTTCTTGTCAAAACGTCAAAGTATATCATTTCCAGTATTGAGGACTTAAAGGCTCTGGAAAGCTTCGACAACATCATTAGTTTCTCATCGTCACCAGAGGTACTTATACCACTCGTCCAAGGAAGCAAGAGAGCGATATTCTTCACTCCAGAATATTATGTTGGACTCATCAAGTCTGCTGAATCGGTATCAAACAGCTCTGTAGAACTTTCTACTATTGGAGTTCGAAAGGAAATTGCTGCATTGACTGGAAGCAAGTCTAGTGTTAAATCAGAATACAATCCCGGCTTCAAGCACACTGTGCAACACATCACTGTTCCGGAAGTAAAGAGCCAGGTTAATATCGATGAAGCCAAATACGCAGTTTATCTTTTCCAGTATTTTCGGCTTCTAGGTTACCCACACCATCAACTTCTGGTGATTGTTCAGTCTCCATACATGAATATTCTCATAGAGGAAATCCTCGAAGAACACAAGATATACAAAACTGACGTTGCTTGTGACGATGCTAAAGGATTCAAGTTTGGCTGGCCCTTAATTCAGAGCTGTCAAAATCCATTCTCATGTGACTACGCCATTGTTCTGTGTCACCTGGGCCTCAGCATGAGAGAATACTTCGACGTTGCAAAAAGTGCCAGGCTCGGCCTTTACTTTATAGGCTCCAGCTTGACGGCTCCATACAAAATAAGACTGGGAGATTTAGAGGTCTACACGGGTGCACACTTTTCGTCGGGAAAAGACTCTCGAGCTAAAACTGAAGCCTATGAGATGGACGGAGCTGAACATATGGGAGAGTATGTGGAGCAGATGACAAAGACTCGGATGGGTTGCTAAAAGATTTTTAGAAGTGTGTTAGAAAAGTTATAAAAGACTAATATCACGAAGGCAAAAAAAAAACCAGCACACCCAATTGCTAACCAGAAATGTAAGCGCATAAGAAGTTGAAGTGGGTCATAACATGCTAGCTAAACCTTATACCTAATAAAGTATTTTTGTCTCCAATTAAGTGCGCAATTTGGGGCGCAATACTTTCCCACACTCCTCACGTGCACCCCCAGACTTCGGAATTGTCCGGCTTTCCTTACTTCACTGTTCCGTCTCCACGTGTAAATTTCCCCACGTCTATGTTGCCCCAGTCACCCTTGAATTAAATGGAACAAGTATGACTGAACCCACCAATCTACACCCGTACACCAGACAATATGAGCAAGTTTAACTTCTCTTCCAATATTGGAACTAATAAAAAACGAATAAAATTGATTAAAATGATAGTCAAAATGGTCAGTTAATTGTATCATTATCTCCTCGCAATTTTCCTAGGAAACCTCCAAATGGTTATCCCAATCCTCAGTCTTGACCTGGAACTCGGGATACCTAAACGGCATTTATCGATTGCCTTATCTTGCTTATGTCAGCGACTTGCGCGATAATCTTATCCGCACGACATTGCGACATTGCTGATATGGGACGACTAAGCAACCATGTCCAGATAAGCAGAGACATTATTTCTATTAGAAGATTTGCAAATCAATTCCCATTCAAATATGCTTCGGAATCAAAAGGAATGAAAACAACAGGGCAAAATTTCTCTCCATAAATAATAAACTAGAAAAATCAACAACAAAACACCCGTACATCCTCACCAAAACCACAAAATGTCGCGAGGGTCCGCGCTTATCTGATTGTAAAGACAAAAAAAAATTGAATGAAAAATTTTTCTTTATCGAAGCATCTTCCACATACCTTGTATTTGGGAAGTTTTGATAGTTGAGTGTTGTGGCAACGTGTGCTTATCCGCCCTCATTGCAAGATCTTCGTGAAAAAACGGCATTCTCCGTGTTTTTTTCCCACAATCCCATCCCTGTCTGCCCCTTTCGTTACGGCGGCAAGTACATCCCTAAGACTCGCCAAAATCGAGCTTTTTCTGTGATTTGAATATCTTCGCCTCTTGTGCGTGTGTTCTTGTGTCCGTTTCATCCGTTTGATCTCGTTATCATGAGTGAAATCCAACGTTTACCCTCCGTGGTGAATCCAAACCCAGTTCATCCAAATGCAAAGACTACTACCCAGATCAATAATGGAACAACAACAACAAAGACCAATATCCTGCTGCCTGTTTGTCGGAATTGTAAGACGCAAACCACGCCGCTCTGGCGCCGTGATGAAACTGGCCAGGTGTTGTGTAATGCATGTGGTTTGTTTTTAAAGTTGCACGGAAGACCTCGTCCCATCAGCTTAAAAACAGACACCATCAAACTGAGAAACAGAATCAAACAGCCAAACTTTTCCAAGCTGCTGGGGCCAAACACCCCGGAACTCAAGCTGAAGGATCTGAAAGTCCTGCTTCTGGGAAAGAAACTGCCCAAGTCTGCTAAGAAGAAGCCTGCCTCTTCTTCTCCTTCTGTGGAACTGGTAAGCAGCTACTCAGGTGTAATGAACGGCGACCTGGCCTCCATGGTCCACTCGCCACTTCAGCACCCTACACGTGCTCCCATCAATGGCGGAGCCTATCCCCAGCATATTGGCCACTTTGTAGGTGGCTTACCCCATCAGGTACAGCTGTTGCACTATCCATCATCAACACCCACGCAGTTTGCGCCTGGTTTGCAGAGAATCACGTCGCCTTTATTGCTTTCAACGTCTTCTTCGGTGCTGAATGCTAGATCTGCCATTCCTTCTGTTCCAGCCGCCACCATAACCTCGCCCAAGGGCCAGTTGTCAGCCGTACAGGCTGCTGGTGCATTGGAGAACATGTCCAACGAGTTGGGTCCATCTGCCACATTTAAAGGGGCTGCTCCTGCTTCGCTTAATGGAGTGTCACTCATGGGTAACTCTGGTAAGGCTCGTACCGAGACGCCCGTGCTCAGCACTCCTTCATCAGCATTGAAATCTGGCGTTTCTCATCCTCCAAAATTGCCAGCTTTGGGCTCGAACCCAGACTCCGGCGAACAAACCAAGATCATGGCTTCTCCGTCTTTCGGACCTCAGTTCCATTTCACAGATGCTCCTGTCAAGCAGGAGACTCCAGAACATCTGAAACCTTCGTTACCTCCACTCCAACACTCGCTGGCCTCGGGTAGCCAGTTGCCTCACTTTCAAACGAATTTTGGTCATGTTGCTCAGCCAAACACCGAGCTGAAACTTCCGCAACCTTTCGAACAGGTAGGAAAGACTCACTCTACACATCAGTCTTCCAGTGCCGGTTCCTCAAGCATTGATCAAAGTGGAGCTAACTCCAATGTGACGAATTCGGCTCCTCAGACTGGAGCTTCCACTCCTTCGCAGAATTCTAACCCTGAACGTGGATCTCTGAACGACAATAGCGGCAACGATAGAAACCCGGACAAGAATGGTAATTCCGGAGAAAAGAACGGTAACTATGAGGTGACGTTATTGAAGACAAGAATCTCCGAGTTGGAATTGGTGAACGATTTGTACAGAACTAGAATTATGGAATTGGAAGCATTGGAGCAAGCTGCACGTTTACGTGAGGGCTCTATGAGAAGACGTCTTGATGAGATGTTGGCTTTACAGGGACAAGATTCTATGATGTTCAACAACTCGTTGAAGGTGTTGAAGAGAGAAGGAGACGGCCAGGAGGGCCCTAGCAAGAGATCCAAGGGAATTTAAACCCGCGATTTCATTGTTGAGATAGACCAAGGTTTTTTTTTATGAAGTAATGGGAATCGGTGGAGAGTAAATATGGGCAACTGGTAATGGCCGGGATGTCTGGTGTACCACGTTTTATATGTATAATATATTTATTACGTTAGAGATAAACACTAATGGGCTTTATTGAAAAGCAGCTTAGGTACGAACATCTGGCTCCTCCTTGTTCAATAGTTGCTTGAACTTCAACAAGTGCAACACAAACTTGACATCGTCAGCCAAAAACTTGTCCACGGACAAACCGTAGGTAGATGGGTCGCTCGAATGCTTCTCCAAGTACAATCTAACAGTAGCTCCAGAAGATCCAGTACCAGACAATCTGACAATGAATCTCAAGCCCGACTCGAACTTGATGAACAAACCCTGGTTCGGTGAAACAGAGCCGTCCAAGTCAGTGTAAGAAAAGTTGGCAGCCTCGGTGACAACGTAACCTGGGGCCAATTCGGTGCCAGCACTGCTCTTCTCAACAATAGAGGCAAGCAAGTCAATCAACTCACCGGCTCCCTCACTAGAAACCTCCTCGTAATCGTATCTGGTGAAAAAGGTTCTGCCGTACTTTTGCCAGAACTTCTCCTGAACGCTCTTGATGGAAGTCTTTTCGTCAGGGAACTGCAAGTTGAAGTCAGCTAAAACGTTCAACCAGGCACAAATGGCCCACAAACCGTCCTTCTCTCTGATGTGGTTGGATCCTGTGCCGAAACTCTCCTCACCACAGATAGACAACTTCTTAGCATCGAAAAGCGAGCAGAAGAACTTCCATCCGGTTGGGACCTCGTAAACATTGAGCTTCTTGTCCTTGGCAACCAAGTCCAAAGCGCCAGAAGTTGGCATGGAACGGGCCAATCCATAAACACCCTGTTTCTTAAAGTATGGAATGGAATCTGCGTATTCGGCAATGATGGCCACGGAATCACCAGGAGAAACGAATGCTCCAGCTCCGTAGATCATGTTTCTGTCTCCATCTCCATCGGAAGCAGCACCAAATGCAATGTTGTTGGCGTCCACCTTGTCCACCAAAGTTTTAGCGTAAGTCAAGTTAGGGTCTGGGTGCAAGCCTCCAAAGTCCGGCTTGGGAACGTAGTTCTGGATGGAAGACTCAGGTAAACCCAATTCCTCTACAAAGATCTTGTAACCATATGGACCAGTGATACCGTTCAAGGCATCAAAAAGCACCAGGAAGTCCTGGGCCTTGGCCTTCTCGATGAAAGACTTAATGAGGGGGAAATCAAAGATCTCCTTCATGAGATCAACGTAGTCAGCGGTAGTATCAATGATCTCCACCTCAATTGGGCCCGCAGTCACGGTTCCAATCTTGGAAAGGTCCACTTTACCCACATCTGCCTTCTTGTACTCAGTGAGGGTCTTGGAGATGTCGTAAATCTTGTTGGTGACCGATTCAGGGGCAGGGCCACCGTTTGCCAAGTTGTACTTAATACCCAAGTCATTTTTAGGTCCACCTGGGTTGTGGGAGGCCGTCAAAATGATACCACCGGTGGCTTTTCTAATTCTAATGACATGAGAAGTTGCTGGGGTGGAGAGCAAACCATTTTGACCAATGATCAACTTCTTGACGCCATTCGCAGCGGCAATTTCCACAATCAACTGGATCACATGGTCATTGTAGTAACGACCATCGCCTCCTACCACCAACGTAGCGTCCTGGCTACCTTCTGGAATTGCTTCCAAAATGGCCTGGATGAAGTTTTCTGTGTAATTTGGTTGCTGGAAAACAGTCACCTTCTTCCGGAGCCCAGAGGTTCCCGGTTTCTGGTCCTGAAAGGCCGTAGTAGCGACAGTTTGAGACATTGAGAGAAAAAAAAAGTAGTTGGTTTGAGAATTGATAGTGGTGGGGTTTTTTCTTAAAATATATGGGGGATTCGTGGAGATTTCTATACTGCACACAGACATCGAGCGCAGGGTGGTTTAATTTTTGAGGGGTTGTGGAGAACCTTGTAAGAAAATGGGAAAAAAAATGGTTATTTATGGAATGAGGGTGACTGGAGAGATAAAATTGGATTTATATTTTTTGGTATTGCAGTTTTTATTTCTTTGTTGCTGTTGTGGTGTTTCGTATAGGGATTTTGGCCATCTCTGCCGTCAAATTCGGTGAGTGGGAAGACACTTTAGCTTGTCTGCAGTACATCATGCAAATTTGCGACCACACCTAGTTTTGGTCGAGGAGGGGCTGGATAGTTCGGGTGGGTGGGGGCCGGGGGTTATTTGTGAGATTTTATTATGGAGAAAATTGAATTTACGTCACGTGATGTGAAGGCTCGGGTGGGGGGCTTGTGGTCAAGTTGGGGGATCAGGATTAAATTTTGGGGGTGGGGGAGCTGGGCTTCCAGAAGCTGATAGCTGATTTCATATGTAGGAGAGAATATTCGGCCATGTATGGTTATATATGATGTTGGCTAGGGCTAATATGAATTAGCATAAATTCAGGTTATTGCAAGGAAGTACACTTATTGGATATGAAACGGGAGATATAATTGAGGGCCATGAATCTGGAATTATTTCTTTTTTTTCTTAATTCGAGGTAACTTTGTACTAAGTAGCTGAAATCAGATCTTCAGTTGTCATGCATTTATTTTTCCGAGAAATTTCCGTATGGTTCAAGGCCGCATAGAAAGAGCGGAGTATTGAACTATTTAAGTCTATAGAGTATTAAGAAGACAAATTGTATCAAATGGTGATTGGTATTGGTATGGCTAAGGATAAAGTTGATTCATAGATTCTTAGGGGAATGCTCAGAGTATCACAGGCTAATTGACCTAAGTGAATTGTATCGGGAACAACAGCGACATTCCGAAGAGACGATCTGTATGTCGTTGATTAACCCAGACAAGAAGGATTGTAAGATTTCCCTAGTCAGATTTTATACTTTTTTTCTAGATTTCAGAACCCTTCAAACTACACATCAGTTCCGCACTTCTAACATAATACATTTTCATCTATTACCCATGATTCCTTACTTCTTGATGACCTGGTTGATGGCGTCAGCCAAGTAGTCGACGTTGTTCTCGTTGACACCAGAAATAGAGAAACGACCGTCCTCAGTGGCGTACACGGAGTACTTCTCTCTCAACTCAATCACCTGCTCGGCACTCAAACCGGTGTAGATGAACATACCTCTCTGCTTCAACAAGTGATCCCAGTTGTAGTTGGTCTTGTCCAACTTCTGGTACAACTTGTCTCTGACAACATTCAAACGACCAACAACGGCGTCCAAGTCAGCCAACCACTCGTTCAACAAGTTCTGGTCGGAGAAAATAGTCTCCACAATTCTGGAACCGTGAATTGGAGGACTGGAGTACATTGGTCTGATGAGCTTCTTCAATTGCGACTCAACAGCAGCAGTGGTGTCAGCAGACTCAGTAATAATGGAAATAGATCCGGTTCTCTCACCGTACAAGCCCATGTTCTTAGCAAAAGACTGACACAAGGCATAGGTTGGAATCTTACCCTGCACAACCAACTCGTTGATTCTTCTGATCAATCCAATGTCCTTGTATGGAGAACCAGAAGCGAAACCTTGGTAGGCCATATCAATCAATGGGAAGAGCTTCTTCTGCTCAATGATCTCCAAAACCTCCTCCCACTGCTCAGGAGTCAAGTCCATACCAGTTGGATTGTGGCAGCATGCGTGCAACAAGATGATGGACTGGTCTTCAGCAGCAGAAATGGACTTCTTCAAGTTCTCAAAGTCCAATCCGTTGTTAGCCTTGTCGTAGTAGGCGTAGTAGTCAGCCTTCAAGCCTGCATCGGTGAACACAGCAACGTGGTTAGCCCAGGTTGGCTTGGGCACGATGATCTTGTCAGAAGAGTAGAATCTCTTCAAGAAATCAGCAATCACACGCAAAGATCCGGTACCAGAGATGGTCTGAGCAGTGACAATTCTGTTCTCTCCAATCAATTTAGCACCGTTGGAATCCTTGCCAGAGTTGTTGAACACAAATTCTTTGACAGCATTCTGGAATGGCTTGGATCCAGTGATTCCAGTGTATTCCTTGTTAGTCTCGGACTCCAAGAGCACCGTCTCGGCCTTCTTCACCGATGGGAACACAATCGGCTTACCAGAGTTGTCTCTGTAGGCACCCACACCCAAGTTGATCTTCTTGGAGTTAGTGTCCTTCTGGTATGCTTCGGAGATACCCAAAATCTTGTCTGGAGGAGCCAATGGGATCTGGTTCCACTTGGCCAATCTGGATGCCACGGAGAAAGGTCTTACTGAGCGTCTAAGCATTGTGTGGTGGAAAGGAATAGAATAGATTCTACTTTTAGCTTTTAAAAAAAAAATATCGTGAATTTCTCCTCTATTTATACGGATGCGAAAAGCCGATCGGAGGAAAATTTTCAGGTGGAGTAATGACTCAATTTGGTGACTATGACTCCAATTATGTGCAGCCGGATAAGATGGCCAGCCCAACAGGAAAAACATTGCCTGCGGGGACTGCGTGGCGCCAATGGTTGGCTTGACACATTGGAGGCTGTGTTTTATAGAATTAATTGGTCATCTGAGATGGTTATTGTAATTTGATTGAATCCATCCACATTTTTATCAACTATGGTGCCATTATGGCCGAGGGCTAGTAAGGTGGGCAATTCGGGTGAGCGGATGCACGTGAAGCGCACTGACAGTCCGAGTTTTTCCGCATCGGGGTAACGTGCAACGACTTAGCGTCTTGACCCATGATGGGAAACGCCACGCAGGATGTACGGGTGTAAAGTTTTGGACAATTTGCAACCGTGTGATAATTTGCGACGTGTCAGAGGTTCTGATCTTTTGTTCTGGAGTATCTGATGCCATTTATGGCGTTTTCATGTTTCAATTGATGTGTAGTCCATACAGTAGGTGGCGTGAGAATAGGGGCTCGGTATGTCAGCAAAAGTGGGGTTTCGGATTAATTGTGGTTCGGCTTTAGGCACATTTGTGTAGATGTTTCAAGCTTGTGTTTTTCCGGTTTATGTCAAGGTATGGATGTCTTGTGGTTATTACTTTAATTCTAGCAAGCATTCTATGTCAGTCTTGTTGTTTTGAAGGCAGAGGATTGCAATTGGTGGATAGTGTGGGTCATGACGTTGTAAGGGTTATGGTCGTGGCCCTTATGAACAGGTATTAATCGAATCTGATAGGTTTCACTCTTTTTCTTCTAGGTTTCTGCAAGACATCTGCTCTCTGATCCCGTCCCACATTTTGACATTTGTGCATTGATTGTGTTCCTGATTTGTTTGCACCTGCTGTCTTTGTTCCTGTTCTCTGTGTTCTTCTTCTCTTCGTTCTTGTTCTAGTTATTCCTTCTCTCTCTGTTCATTCTCATTCCTCTCTCTCTGATTTCTCGCTATGATTTCGTTTTTGCTTCTCTCACTCTTTTCAGCCTGGGCTGCTGCCTGAGTCTTTTGTCTTCATTGCTAGTGACTCGCACGCTGTAAGCGGCTGAAGAATAGACCGAGCCAATATCCTCTATTTGCCGAGTATAAAGAGGTGAGCCTAAACACAGCATTCCAATGTAGAAACGTTCCCTTCATAGTTTTGAGATTCCAAACGATATGTCTGAAATTCTCAATATCCCTACTGGACTCATTTTACAAATTGTACTCTTCCTCAATCTCGTAAGCACCGCTGTCATGATAACAAATCAAAAAAATAAGGACTTTCATAATTCAATGGTCGTATTTGTTTTCTAAGAGCCATTAATTTTTGAAATTCCTGAAGCAATATGTAGTCTTTGGGGAAGACTGACATAGTGGATAGAGGCACAAACAGGTCACAGTAGTCCATGATGCCAGGGATAACAGAACGTTCCACTAGTGCCCAAATGTTTTGAAATCGTTTACGGTCTAAATTGTTCAATTTGTTATTCTTTCTCATTTGTCACTTGTGGAGAAAAATCAGATGGGATGCCAGCAAGCACGGACAATCAAGCCTACAAGCGCATTGCAAACCACGTATATGTTTCTCCTGAAAAATCCCTTTCCGAGTACAGTTGCAATTCTAAAATAAAATTTATCTTCGTTGCTCGCTCTGTTTCAATGTCGTCTACTAGTTTAAAGTTTGTTGATGAGATGACAGTTATCGCACACGACGAACACAAGCTTCGGCACAATTTGCCTTCTTTGAAGCATATTTCAATAAGCATATTTCAATTTTGAAGCATTCGCTATAATTTTGAATTCAATCTTATTCTAGGCTCCCCTTTGTGGGTCCGAACACTTGGCGACCAGTCTTCAAAGTTCGAATAGCAATCGCCAAATACAGATTTATCATAGTTATCGAAATTCAAAATTTCGAATCTGCAACCAAAAGGAATGAAATCAGTCTCCTTTTGTCAATCAGTTGGGTAGGAAGAGCTACTTCCTCACATGCTCCTAGAGTTTGGCACCTGACGGATTCACCTAACTTTAGTGCTCCCGTCAACCGGAGAAACAGGATGCATAGCTCTTATAAATGCAAAACTCTTAAAATGTATTCTGCGAGAAGTGGAGAAGGCAAAACATAGGAAACTACAAGATTTCGAAGACTTGAAAACAGCTATAGTTCATTATTCTAAAAGTTTATAAAGTTTATAAAGGACGTTCAGTTCGTAAAATGCGAATTGTTTAAACCTGTTCGTCGGTGGCCTTGTCAGCACCAGCGTAACCGGCAGAGTGAGCCATGTGCTCAAGATTTGGTGGAACCCAGTTGGCAGACTTGAGTGGAAGAACACCGGAAGCGTACATCTCATCAACCTCCTCCAAAGAAAGACCCTTGGTTTCGTAGACGAAGAAGTAGACGTAGAAGAAAGAGAAAGCCAAACAACCAGTGAAAACGAAACCGTAGTAGAAGTGGATGGCACTGGTGATGAATGGAGTGAAGAAGGAAATCAAGAAACCCCACAACCAGTTAGCAGCGGTAGCAATAGACATGGCCTTGGATCTAATTCTCAATGGGTAGGACTCGGAAATGATACAGTAAACACCACCAGCCCAGGTAGAAGCAAAGAAGAAAATGTAAAGACAGGTGATGAAGATCATAGCGTTACCAGAAGCCTTGTAAGTGTTGGAGGTCTCGTTGGAGTAACCTTGCTTGTACAAGTGCTGAGTACCAATCAAAGAGTAGATGATGAAACAAACGAACATAGCAGCGGAACCGGTCAAAAGACACAATCTTCTACCCAATCTCTCAATGACATAGATACCAACAAAGGTGGAAGCAAAGTTGACAATACCCAAAATGATAGAAGTCTGGAAAGAATCCTTCAAACCGACAGCCTGGAAAATGGTAGTACCGTAGTAGAAGAAGTAGTTGTCACCGGTCAACTGTTGCAAGGACTGAAGCATAATACCCATGATAACTCTTCTGAAGATCTTTGGCTTACCAGTGATCAACTCCTTCCAAGATGCCTGACCAGCCAAAGCTTCTCTCTCAATACCAGCCTGAATAAGCTGAACCTCAGTGTAGACGAATGGGTCCTCCTCAGGGATCTTGTTGGATCTGGCAATGGATCTCTTGGCCTCATCAATTCTGTGCTTCTCAACCAAGTATCTTGGAGACTCTGGCATGTTCAACATACCGACAACCAACAAGATAGCCCAAGCGAAACACAAACCCAAAGGAATTCTCCACTGTCTAGAGTCAGTGTAGGTCTTAGTACCGTAAGTAGTACAGTAACCCAAGAAGATACCCAAGGTGATACACAACTGGAAGCAGCACACTAAAGTACCTCTAATTTGCTTTGGAGAAACCTCAGAGATGAAAAGTGGGGAAACGACAGAAACGGTACCAACAGCCAAACCAGCAATAAGACGACCAATGAAGAACTGGTACCACTTGGTGGAAGAAGAGATCTGAATAATAATACCAACAACGTAGACAGCCATGGAGAACATAAGACCAATTCTTCTACCCCAGACATCAGCGACCTTACAGAGGAAAATACCACCGACAGCGCAACCAACGTTGAAAATAGAAATCATCAAACCAACTCTAACGTCGGACAAGTAAGGAGTACCATCAGCGTGGTGTTGACCGAATCTGTCTTTAAAGTCAGACATGTTCACGAAACCGGAAATGGTACCAGTGTCGAAACCGAAGACGAAACCACCGAAGGCAACCATAAAACAGAAGATAGAAATGACAATGTAGTCCTTGAAACCCTTTTGTGGGGCATCAACTTGAAGAACTGGAGAGTCTTCTTTTTCCTTTTCAAGGATGGAACCATTGACTGGTGTAGCGGCACCAGAAGAATGCGAATCTTGTGACATGATTAAATGTTTTTGTTTGTAGTGAAGAATGGAAAAAAAAAGTTTTAGCTTGGGGTTGGTCTCATATTTATAGGCGATTGAAATTATGGTCGGTGACACTGACCCGGAAAAACTTGCACTGTCATGCAGGTTTCGTGACGCATCATGCGACCAAGAGCGCTGCAGCGTTGCCCCATTTGGACCTCCAGGTTTCTCCGTAGCGCCCCGGAAAAACTTTTTTGTCTCCCCACCACTGCCCAGTTTTTCCGAAAGGCTGTCGCTCATCCCCCGATGTTAACCGCAAACATTTTTTTATGGATCCTTTCCTGACACTTCTTTTTCTTTTTTTGAAGTGTCAAGTTTACACATGTGAATTTGGTGTCCTAGCATTTTTAAATTCTATGTTCTCAACAATTTACATCTACTTACTCCAGTTCGAACAGACCATATTGTTGGAATATGATGATGCAGTCTGGCATATAACATAACAAATTTTTGGAGATAATCCGGCAAGACAGAACTGACTCGGCCATTGTTTGTAAAGCCCTGGATTACACACAGTATGTGCCACCTTCCGATTTCTCCTTTGCAGATTTCGGAAGAATTAGTACAACCAGCATGTACTAATCGTTGGGTGCATCCACTATAGCTACAAAATATTTTGATAATTTACTGGTGGCATAGAATTCCAGAGAGCTTCCAAATTCCTTCTCTATTCTCACCGACTACAAATGCAATAATAAACCTTCAAACTTCTTTGAATCGTATTACGGAAGGAAAATCTGCCGATCGGCGTGAGAATTCTCCGACTACTTTAAGTTTTCCTGTACGCATGTGCGGCATTAATGATCTGTCCACTTAAAGCACGGTCTGCATGCTATGAACCAGTAACACACCGACTCAGAACCTTCATCGGAGAATTTATCCTGCATACGTGGCGTGATACACCGAAACTCCCCCCACCTTAGCCCAGGACTCTTCAACGCATAAGGTTTGGCAACCACCAGATGTCGCATATTTACACGACCAAGTCTGTGAAAAATTGATTCGGGACAATTCGGACCCATTACATAGAGCTTTCGAAGCCTTTTGTTGATGGAATATTCCAAATTATAAATGCTCTACTACAAAAAATACCAAGTGGATGCGCCGGATAAATTTCGCACGGGTCCAGATTGCTTTTTTAGATTGTAATTGTATTCGCTCTTGAAAATTAGTCTATGTCGATCAGGTCATCTGGCGCTTATTTGACATCATGTAGCGTTTTCCTTACACCCGTTTCCCCATAAATGCATGACACGATTATTTGTTAAATTCCCGAGACATCCACGTAAAAATTATTTCGAGTGCCTCCCCCATGGAGCTCTTTCTTCTTCTGTGGAGGCATGCGTTTCATTGCATGGTGCCCCTTCCAATCATAGAGCCAGTACGCCACTTTTTTCGCTTCATAATATTTCACCTCCTTGAATCCTAAACTCTCCATCACTTCCAGTAATAAAGATGCGTTGAAGTACCGGGAATTAGTAATGCAAGGAAGAGGAAGAACCAAGAAGAGCGAAGAGGTTCCGCTATGAGAATCTTTAGGTTCTTTGAGGAAACCGGTGATTCTCTTCAACATTTCTCCTCTCTCCTTTGGAGTCGGAACAAAATTCAACACCAACGAGCACGATATCATCTCATATCGTTCACTGTCATTGGTCGGAAGAGGTCTCTCCATGAAATTCTGCTCCAAGATTTGTGGGCTCTGCGAGTTCAAGTCGATCCGGTCGATATGGCCAAACATTCCGCTGGTCAGAATAGCATTTTCTGCACTGAGGCATCCGATTTCCAAGGCATTTTGACTTGTTCTATCCAACTCTTTATACCATTCCACTAATTTCTTCAGCGAGTCACCTCCTCGTTTCTGGTTTTGACCAACAGTCGACGCCATCTGGTATACATGTAGTCCACCTCTCTGTTCGATTTCAGCATCGATTCTGGCAAGCATCTTGGTCATTGGCTCCATCAGGACCGAATCGTCGACCTTGAATTGCTCCATGGTCTTTGAAACTCGAAACTTGTCGTATTCTTCCTGATAGACCTTGCTCAACTTGGATTTATAGTTTTTCTCTGTCACTGCAGGGTTCTGTTTGGCTATTCTTGATAGAATACTCGATTTGTTCTTCTGTAGAATGTGAAATCGCCGAATAAGAGATCTTGCTTGTTGTGGCTTAAGCGACTTGGGCGCCTTCTTGTTGACGGTGATACTTCGGGATCCTCGTAGCATGTTGGCTAGGAATGTAGTACGCAATGAGATGGATCCATGCCTAAAGAGATGGAGATGGTGGAGGAATTGGGTGCAGGTAGAGATGGACATTTAGCACCGATGGTAAGTGGTGAATTTGAATGATTTTATCATAAATGTAGAAAGCTAATTAAGTTGAATGGTTAATTTGATAGTAGACAAATTGAACAAAAGAGCTAATTAAAAAAAAAAAAAGATCAAAATAGTGTTGATACTTGGATCTTCTCCATCAAGAAATATGTGTAGGCTGAATGGAGCATGAGAATAGCCTTCAATTATTTTCCGGAAATATTCTTACAAAACTTCTATGCTCGTTCTTAAGAAAATCATATCACTCTAAATATTTCATTTTACACAGTATATCTGAACAATGGGTTCTCCTTGTCTGTTAAGTCAGCGAACTCGTGGTTCTCGATGGCCTCAAAAACAAGCTTCTGTTCGTCTGACTCTGCATCTCTTTTTTTGTTCTCTTTAACATACAAGATCCAAATCGCAATCATGGCAAGCGTGGCCACAATACCACAGGCAACCATAGCAGCCTTGGCACCAGCATAATTAGGTGCTTGTTTGGCAACAAAGGTTTGAGGCCCGATCAAGTTACCCACACAATAACCAATAAGGAAAATGGCATTGACAGTGACCTTCTTGGTGTGACCAGCAATGTTGGATGCCACAGAAGACAAGATACAAATGAACAACACTGGGGAGTATCCATACATGGTGTAGCCAGCCATCTGCAACTTATGGTTGCTGCTGAATGCTAAAAAGCAGAGGTTCATCACACTGAGGCAACTTACCAAGGTAGCCCAGAACATTCTTACTGGGTAGAACCGGTAACAATAGGCAAAGCTGATACAGCCAACCACCTCACAAGCACCAGTGACCATCGACATCAAAAGAGTCTTCAGCACAGTATAGCCCAAGGATTCATTCAACAAGATTGTTCCAAAATTGGTGATACCACCATTAGGAATGTCTGTGGCCAATGCGACCAAAAAGAAGAGCCAGGTTTTCATATCGGTCAAAGCTTCGATAAACTGCTTCTTCTTGAAGTGCTTGTTTCCGAAACCCTGTTGATTTCCTCTGATTCTCTCCACAACCAACTTCTTTTCGTGTTCAGTCAAGAACCAAGCTTCAGTGGGGTTGTTAGGAAGGTGGAAGAAAATGGCAAAACCAAGAACGATGGTGATACAGCCAGTAATAATGAAAATAAGTTTCCATGCATCCATTGAGTAGCTGTCTTGGTGCTTGTAGAGATTGTAGGCAATAGCACCAGGACCCAATATTTGACCAACTCCATTGAAAGAAAACCAAATGGCAGTTCTAAGGAAAACTTCTTCCTTCTTGTACCACTGGGCGGTAACAATCACGAAAGCAGGAGTCACGGCACTTTCAAAAGCACCCAAAATCGTTCTCAAAGCAATAAAGCCTTCATACCCAGGTACAGAGTGTAAGCAAAGAATCACACCCCAAATGATAATGTAAATAGCCACGGTATTCACCACTGGAAATCTCTGAAGAGAGATGGCAGCAGGAAATTCGAAGGCTAAGTATCCAAGGTAGAAAGCTGAGCCGGTCCATGAGTACATATCTCCCACCATGTGCAAATCCTTTCTCAACCCCAAGATGGCTGCGTATGAGTTGGACAACTTATCCATGAATTGGGTAGCATACAAGATACAGATCAAAGGAAGAACATAGAGATCGATCTTTCTCAACAACTTTCTGTCAGTCTCTTCGTCGAGAGTCACTTTTTCTCCTTCAAGTGCAAACTTCATGGCCTCGTCAACATCGCCGGTAATCTCGACCACTTTTCCAGTATGTGGAGACAAAACGGTGGTGATCACATGGTCTCTGTTGAGTGACTCGATGTCAGCATTGGTGATGGAGACCACCAGGTTCAACTTTTTCTCGATGTCCAGCATCTTGTTAATTTACACATACTAGACGTGTGGCATTCTGCCATTCTTATACGATTTGTCCATGTATTCCACTATCTAAATCATTAGATGTAGGAATTGCTCTTATCGGGAAGTTATCGTGGAACAAAAACCGCGCCTGCACCCAAACATGTCAAATCAAATGACAGCAATCTCTGTCAAGAATTAATGAACGCCAATTTTTCAAAGGATGAAGCAAATTAGGAATCTCTTGGTATTAGGCACATTTTTTTCGTGCTGAAAATTTGTCATTTTTTGGTTTCAATAGACAATTTGCTTCCAAATCACCAAGGGAACTTGTTTTCCGCAAATTATGTGCCCTGGGTTATCCACGGGTTATCCATGGTTGGTTTCCGTTAGACTTCGGACTGCCGTTTCCAGTAGTACCTTCTTATAGGTTGAGCAAGAAGAAAATGGACACTCTCAGTTCAATCAATGAAACAATAGAGTGCTCCTGAGTATGCTACTGAAGTTGGAAGCATCAGAAAAGGATAGTTCATGACTACTTACTGTGAAATCAAGGCTATTGCAAATCATGAGTTTAATTCTAACGGATTTCGGATGAGTAGCGGCTTTTTGAGCCGCACAAGATTAGACGAATTGTGGGATCACGGTTCAGATCAGCCACATGTGGAGAACTTCCGCATTCATTGTAGAGATAATGATTGCGTCAGATACATGAGCCAATGATATGATAACATGGCTTGTGAGCACGGGGATCCGTTCTGTCTAGTACATTGTTCTGATAACCCTTCGGAATTGTCGAATTGACTCTGAAATGCCAACAGGTGGGAAGTCACTTCCATTTCCGCTAGTGATTGGAAATCTATCCACCCTGACCACTTCGGGCATTGACAATACGAAAACTGATAACAAAATTGATTGTAGGTGCAGTGATTCTCCTTCGGTTATCGCTAGATATCTCGCAGGGCGTGTATCCTTTGCCGAGACTACCCGATAATTAGCATTTTCTTACTGAAAATTCACCGAAGTCAGGTTTACTCGACATCTCTTCGGTTATTGCAGGACTTGGTTCTTGACCCACCTGAGAATCATGAAACCACTCCTTCAAAAAGTGATGTATACCTTCAGGAGGGTGAAGCGCTCATGAGCCACATTTGGTTCCAAGGATTCAACATATGAAGTTTGTCGCATGATGATCTGTGTCAATTTGTGTCAGGAGGTCGGCACATTGGCTAACTTTAACTATTGGGTGCAAAATTCAGTTGAATAATCAGTAAGCATCAAACATCATCAGCTTCTTAACATGTCTCCCATAATTTATGCGTTCAACTATTCTGAGGCTCACATAAGCCACTGTCTACCTTTTTTTCTTTTGTTTCTGGTATTTTTCATTACTGTCGACGCACCACAATTCTCGATCATTTTCCATAGGAATTTAAGAATTTTAGCTCAAATGAAATTTTCAAGGCACTTCACAGAGAATAAAATCCATCAATCTTAAATTCCATAAAATTTACTCAAAGTGATAGTCTGATTTAGCAATTCCATCAAATTTGCCTTGGTACCATTCCTCCATCTACGTAAACTCCACATTATCGCATCGCATTTTTTTCTTTAACGTATAGCTCATCTCATCCATTATGGGCGCAAAACAATCGAAAAAGGTCCAGAAACCCCAAAAAGGTGGAAAGGTATCCAAATATGGATCGAAGGTCCGCAAAACGCCGACTTTAAAACAGAAAAATGCCCGTGTCAACAAGATTATCAAGGCGGACCAGTTGCAATGGAAGCCTGTGGACATTCCTGATAATCTCGGTGATTATTCAGGATTCTTCGGTCTCGAGGAGCTTGAGGGTGTGGATGTGGTTATGCTGAATGGCAAGGCCGAGTTCATCATGAAAGATTCTGATCTGGAGGGAGAGTATGAAGATGTTGAAGAAAGCGATGAGGCTGAAAATGAAGAGGAATTCGCCGGATTCGATGATGAGAAAGAGGTCAAAAAGAATGAGAATCAATCCAAAAAGAATAATAAGAAGGATTCCAAGAAGGAAACCAAAAACGATTCAAAGAAAGCCAAAAATGAGTCGCAGGAGACCACTAGCACCGAAAAGTCAAAAAAATCCAACAAGAAAGAGTCAAAGGCAGAGCAAAATGCAAAGGACGATGATGAGAACCTCGATGAACTTATGGAAAATGCGTTTGCAGCATTGGATATGCCTCTTCCGGACGATAACGACATCAACTTGCCAGAATGGAAGGGTCTCGAGCTTAGTGCTTACACCTTGAATGGACTCCAGGAGTTGGAGTTCAAGAAACCCACACCTATCCAAACAGAGACCATTCCCTTGGCTGTCTCTGGAAAGGATGTGATTGGTAAGGCCACCACTGGTTCTGGTAAAACATTGGCATATGGTATTCCCATTTTGGAGAGGTACATTTCCAAGTTGGCTGAAATCAAGGAATCCAGAGCCAACAAGACTGTTCCTGCTCCTTCTGGAGTCATCTTTGCTCCTACTAGAGAATTGGCCCATCAGGTGGTGGATCACTTGAACAGAATCGCTAAGTATTCCCCACTCTCACAGCACGGCATAGTGTCCGTCACCGGAGGTCTCTCCATCCAAAGACAAGAGAGATTGTTGCTGTATGGTCCAGGAATTGTTGTGGCCACTCCTGGCCGTTTCTTAGAGCTTATTGAGAAGGATTCTGATTTGGCCAAGAGGATGGCATCTACGGATATTCTTGTTCTAGATGAAGCAGATAGATTGTTACAGGATGGCCACTTCGAAGAGTTTGAGAAGATCTTGGAGGTGATGGAAAAATCTAGAGACAAGTCTAACGGCTGGAGATGGCAAACACTCGTCTTTTCAGCCACGTTTTCCCGAGACTTGTTTGGCAAGTTGGACAAGAAGGGCAAGCCTACCCAGCAGAAGCAGACTGGACTCATTGGCAATGATGAAATTCTCCAGCTCTTGTCGAAGAAACTTCGATTCAAGGACCCCAAGCCTGCGCTCGTTGATGCCAACCCCAAAGAAATTGTTTCTGGTCAAATTGCCGAGGCTTTAGTCGAGTGTGGGCCCACTGAAAGAGACTTGTACCTCTACTACTTTGTGCTTATGTACCCTGGATCCACATTGGTATTTGCCAATTCCGTGGAGTCCGTGAGAAGACTTGTGCCATTATTGGCCAATTTGGGCATTCCGGCCTTTTCCATCCACTCTTCTATGATACAGAAGCAACGTTTGCGTGCATTGGAGAAGTTCAAGGAGGCTAGTGTCAACAATAAGTCGGCCGTTCTCATTGCATCAGATGTGGCAGCCAGAGGTCTCGATATTCCAAGCATCGATCATGTGGCACACTATCATTTGCCTCGTTCCGCAGACATTTACATCCACAGATCAGGAAGAACTGCTCGTGCTGGAAAGGAAGGTGTCTCGGTGATGTTCTGTTCTCCACAGGAAGCTTCTGGTCCATTGAGGAAGCTCAGAAAGCTCATGTCAGCTAGTGCCGAGAACACTAGACTCAACGTGAAATCCGATGTCAAGCTACTTCCTATCGATCACGATATTGTATCCCAATTGCGAGAAAGAGTTGTGTTGGCATCGAAGTTGGGAGACTCTTCCATTTCTAACACCGCCACTAGAAAGGAAAGCTCGTGGCTCAAGGAGGCTGCGGAGGACTTGGGTATCGAGAACCTTTCTGACCTTGAGGACTTCGAGGACGATGTGATCAAGAAGCAGAGAAAGAGAAAGGAAAAGAAGCTGCTTACAAAAGAGGAGCAGAAGGTTCTTCGATATGAATTGAAGCAGCTCCTTTCTACACCGCTCAGAAAAAACCACAGAAGATCATACATTACTAGTGGACTTGAAAATTTGGCTCACCAAATCGTCACTGGTGTTACATCAAAAACTGTTTTGGGAAGAAAGGAGGTAAAGGCATTGGACGAGTTGCGGGGCAAGAAGGCTAACAAGCCTGGGAAGGTCACTAAACCAGTAAAGGCTAACAAACTACCAAAGAAAGGAGGAAAGAAGCAATAATGGCCCAAGTGTGTATATCTTAAGTGGGACAGAGAAAAAATTCACATAATACATAGTCAAATCAAATCAAAAACAACCATTAAAGAGATAAGCACCGCGGTGCATGCATTCTAAAGAAAAGCAGGACTAAAATACAGGGGAGATCATCATCCTTAGATGAAGGAATCGTCATCATCATCATAATACTCGTCGTCATCAGACTCATCCGCCAACTGTTCGAAGTTCACCTTATATCTCAAAAGTGCACCGATACCACCAAATCCTTGCACGAACTGTGCACCCTCCGAGGATCTGTCGGTGACGAACTCAAGTGTAGCACCAAAGCTTTTGTAGTTCTCTGCCAACCACTCCAAGAACATCTCCTCCTTGATGATCTCCATCTCGGCACCAGTGGCCTTGTCCAACATGTAGGACTTGTCTGGCAACTCCGGGTTGGCGTTGACCACCACCTCGTTGTCTTCGCTGTCCTTCAAAGTGTAACGGACAGTGTTCAAATTCTCGTAAACAATGACAATCTCACAGGCACCAAGGTCCAAAGCCTTCAAGGTGTCCTCGATACCGTAACAGTATTTGCCGGAGTCCTGAGAAATCTCGTCGAAGTATTGGTTCAACAACTTCTTCTCCTGGACGAATTTAACATTGGCCAAGGTCTCTGCCGAAAGCTCAATGGCTTGGTTGAAACCGTTCTCTCCACCATAAGAAACATCCACAATCTTCAACACCTTAGCCTGCAAACGAGGGTCAAACAAATCAGACTTGGACAATTCGTTCTTGAAGTCGGCAGAACCGGCCAAAATCAATCCCTTGACACTGACCTTGTCCTGCTCAATGAAGTTCTGCACTGCCGTTTCAGCAACTTTTCTCACATAGTTGTGTCTCTTTTCCTCTCTCAAACGGGAGAAACGAAGGGCAGACTGACCACCTCTTCCGTGCTTCTTGGGTAAATCCACCGTGAACTTGTGCAAAACCTCTCTGTTGTTACCAGAAACGGCACCGAAAAGGGCTCCGTTACCGTCCATGATGATAAAACCAAATCTGTCGTCGTCTTGCAACAACTCCGAAAGTGCCTCCACATGGAACTTGTTGTCACACAAGTAAAGCGATGTGTTGATTGGCTTGAATGGCTCAAAATCGATGTTCAATTTCTTCTCCTTACCTTCGTCAGTGATGACATCACCACAGTAGATCACCAATCCATTCTTTGGAACGTGTGTGTACAATTTCAACTTCTGTTGGGTCGAAGTGATGGCGGACAACACAGACAATCTGTTGACACGCGACTTAATGTTGGAGGCTGTACCATATTCTTCAGTCAACATCTTCTGGGTCAAGGAAATCTGGCCCTTTGGTGGGATGATCAACGAGATCATAGAGGTACCGTTACCTCTGGCCAACTCGAGGGACTTAATCAACTTCTTGATCTTCCAGATCTCGATGCTCTTTTCTGCTGCTCCGTCCGACATTATTCTGGGTAAAAATGAGTTACTAGGCTAATTTTTGCTGAGCAAGACTATGTAAAAATTTTAAACCGTACTGCAGATAGTGTGTATCCGATCGGGGCTCCTTTGTATATTGCGTCGAGTGGGGGAAGAGTGATTTCTAAAAGGTGATAAATTGAGAGAGCTATTCGAATTGTCGACGTGGGTGTGACTTTTCTTGGGATATTTTTGGTCGTTTGACTAATTTTCAGTTGACGGTAGAAAGTTAAAGTCGATGTCCTGTATGTAGTTCATCTCCATCTCCGATATACCATTAACAGGTCAAAATCTTGTCATAATGAAAAGATTGAAATACAGAAGAAAATATGAGGCGAATCACCTCAAAGCCCCTCAGCGCTTTTATAATTCAGCATAACAACTTACCATTTCAATATTGAAATCAACATTCTCTTCTAAGATGAATGGGAGGTACGGGTCTTTTCCATCAATTCGCCAAAACTCAAACATCAAGTTTCCAACTTCCAAAACCCATCCACCATGGAAGAGCCCGTCGACGTCTCCTATTATCTTGGCGGCGCATCGGCCGACTCGCTCAAAACTCTCGACATTGTTATCGGATCGGGTGATATTGTCTCCATCGATGAACTCCCAGAGGATCCCCAGGAACTTATTTCGTTTCTCCAGGCAGAAAATTGTGGTGTCAAATACTGGGTGCTGGTGGCACAGGCGTACTCGCAGGCTGGCAAGCTGTCGGATGCGGCCAGTATCGTGAAACTGGGGTTGGACTCCTCCAATTTCGACGATTCCGACAAGAACACCCTCCACTCTGTGTTGGGATGGATCTATTTGAAACTGGTGGCTGCTGGTATCGACAAGGAGCTCAACTTGGCCAACGCAACGGCTGAGTTTAACCATGTGCCTGACTCTGACTCGGTCAACAGTCTCCTTGCCCGTGGAGTGTTGGCATTGTATAAGGACCAAACAGAACAGGCACTTCAGACATTTGACAAGTTGTTGAAGCGGGATTCGTCAAACTGTCTAGCCATTTTGGCTAAGGCACAGATCACGTTGAGCAAGACCCAGAACTACTCCCATGCTTTGAAATTGTATCAGCAGGTGTTGGTGTTAAACCCCACCATCAAGCCAGACCCTAGAATTGGTATTGGTATTTGTTTCTGGTTTTTGAAGGACCGCTCTATGGCCATCAATGCATGGGAACGTGTTTTGGAGCTCGACCCAGAAAACTTCAAGGCTCGTTTGTTGTTGAACTTGGCATCTTTTGACAGTGTGTTCACCAACTCGCTCTCTGATGATCTTTTCGTAGAGAACTTCAAAAAGTCCTTGGTGGACTTGACCAAACTTCAGACTGAGAACCCAGACGACTCGGTGGTATTGTTGGCACTTGTTCCTTACTACTACTCAAAAGGGAACTACGAATTGGTGGAGAAAATTGTCACCAAAGTCGTCCTGGCCGTCACTGGTACTTTGGCAGTGGTCAAATCGAACAAGATTTCGCCCTTTGCATCTAAGGTGCTCGCACAGGGCTCCTATTGGCTCGGAAGAGTAGCCTACGCCAAAGAAGACTTCACTCAGTCGCAGAAATACTTCCACGAAGCTATCCGGTTGAACGAAAACAGTACACTTGCCAAACTTGGGTTGGGCCAGTCGCAATTGGGCAGGGGTTCTGTGGAGGAAGCTACCATTACGTTCGAGTCTATATTGAAGTCCAGCCCTAAATGCTTAGAGGTCAACTACATCTTGGGAATGCTCTATTCTCAGCAGTCGTCGAAGACCAAAAAGGAACAGGCTATTCACATGTTGGAAAGATATATTCGTTTATCTAGTAATCGTGGATTGGCTGTCGCAAACAGAAAGGAGGCTGAAGCTCTTCTAAATAAGGAACCTGTTGCTCTTAATGCCTTCTTGACCTTAAGTAAACTCTATGAGTCCAAGGATCTCTCGCAATCGTTGGTTTACTTACATAAGGCTATTGAGTCTAGAACTCAGATTGGTCAAGACGTTCCTTTGGAGGTCTACAACAACATTGGTGTGTTTAATTTCAATAAGAGCAACGAGGCATTAGCCCTGGAGAACTTTGAGACCGCACTCAAGAAATTGGATGAAGTCTCAAGCACAGAGTTGGCTAACGACTTAAAGGTCACCATCACTTATAATTTGGCAAGATCAACCGAGAACTCTGACCAGCCAAAGGCTATCGAGACTTATGAGTCATTATTAAAAGACTGTCCACACTATTTCTCTGCCAAGCTCAGACTCTTGTTTTTGGATGCCGTATCCACTAACGCAACTCCTAAGGAGGATATCGAAAAGGAAATCAAGGAACTTTTGTCACAAAACGCATCGGACTTAGAGATCCGTTCTTTCTACGGTTGGTTCATCAAGACATTTGGTAAGAAAATCGGCTTGAAACCAGATGCAGACACTACACACCAGAAGGAAACGTTGGTGGAGTACGACTCTCATGACTGCTATGCTTTGATTTCCTTGGCAAACATTTACTGTGTGATGGCCAAGGAATTGAAGGGATCGAAGGAGGAAGAAAAGCGTATGAAATACTTTGTCAGAGCTATTGAGTTGTTCACCAAGGTATTGTCCATTGACTCTAGCAACGTTTTCGCAGCTCAAGGTTTGGCCATCGTTTACATTGAAAACAAGGATTACACCAAAGGTTTGGATGTGTTGAGAAAGATCAGAGATTCGTTGAACGACATTTCTGTCTACTTGAACTTGGGCCATGTCTTGGTGGAGTTGAAGCAGTTTTCTAAAGCTATTGAAAATTATGAGATCGCTCTTGTTAGATTTACTGATGGTAACGACGCAAAAATCATCTCGTTCTTGGGTCGTGCTTGGTACTTAAGAGGGCTTGCTGAGAAGAACTTGTCTTATCTCAAAAAGGCCCTCGAATACTCTGAGGAGGCTTTGAGCAAGTCTATTGGAAACAGAAGTTCGCTCATTTTCAACGTGGCATTCATTCAATTCCAGATTGCTGACTTCATTACTAAATTACCTGTGGAACACAGAGTCGTCGATGACATCAACGAGGCCATCATCAACTTGAATGAAGCCATCAAGCAATTGAACCTTTTAGCGTCGGATGACGAGAAGCATCCGCCATATCCAAAGTCGGAGTTGAAGTCCAGAGCCAACTTGGGTACGAGCACTTTGCTCAACAGATTGACATCTTGCTTGCAAGAAACAAAGGAAAACATATCTGAGTTGAACAATAAGCTTGAAGAGGCCAAGAAAGTGAGAGAAGAAGAGGAAGCTAGAAAGTTGCAGGAGCGTGAAGCCATCTTAGCCGAAAAGAAGGCAAAGGAAGAGGCTTTGGCCAAGGAGAGAGCTGCATTGCAGGAGCAAGCCCAACAATGGGCCGAAGAGGCAAGAGCTAATCTTGTTGTCGAAGAGTCAGATGACGATAAGGCGTTTGAAGCAGAGAATAATGACAAAGAGAAGAAGAAAGGCAAGAAGCAAGCTGGCAAGAAGAAGGGTTCAAAGAAGAAAAAGAAGGACTTCATTAATGACAGTGGTGATGACGAAGAGCCAGCACCAGAGTCGGATGAAGAGCCTGAAGCACCTAAGTTGGGTTCCGACAGCGAGGAAGAACCTAAGGAGAAGAAAGTCAACCGCAGAAAGAGGAAAGCCATTGCCGACGATGACGACGAAGACGATCAACCAGCTGAGGCAGTCCCAGCTAAAGAAAACGGCTCTAAGAAAAAGAAGTTTAAGTCGGAGGAGATTGTCCAGGAGTCAGATGATGATGATGACGACCTCTTTTAGAACTACAGTGTTCCACCTTGTAATATACGATTATTAGTATCCCTATAGACTGATGCTTGTGTGTCCCGTATCTCTACACACTGTTGCTCCATTCACGCATCTGTTTCTTGCTCTCATAAGTGACCTTGTATAGATTTTTCTCGAACTCATCTAAGGAATACAAAAAATTCGAGTTCACGTGTTTGCTGGTGTTGCTGGCATAGTTATCGATCTCCAAAGCCCTCTCCTTTAACATCGTCATCAACATCTCTGCCAACTCCACGTCAGCGAACATGGAGGCCCACTTTTCGCTGAGCTTATAGAAGTTACTGACAATACTATGTAAATCCACCGAGAGGGGGTCTGCCTTGATAGCGTTTATCACCTTGGGCGACGTGAAGTCGGGTTCTAGAAACAGAACGAACCGCTTGCCGGTATTTCCTATCTCCACACGGGCCAACGTCTCTGCTAGCCACATGGGAATATCCACTTTGGCACCTTCTTCAATAGGCTTTCCGGGATTTCCCTCAAGAAAACCCAATCCTGGCACCGTGAGGTTAAATTTGCAAGGAACACGTTCGCCTGCCGCTAGCACTTCGTCAATATCGTAATATCCCATGATTGGGTTGTGTATGGGAGAAGATGATTTGAGATTGAATATGGTTAGATGAAGGTTATGTGTGGAGATCGCGTCGCAGAACACTTAGATGATGGGAATTTCAATTCTGCGATAAAATGTCCTGAATTTATAGGGTGTACTCTGTTGAGGATATTTGGTTTCTGGTTGCTTAGAATTGGTGGAAATCGTGTAAAGTTTGAGGAAGTTTGTTGAAAGTATATTTTTCTATACCTTAATGATATTAGGCGTTGCAAGTGATCTAATTCACCTCTGGATGCGAGAGAAGGTTGTAATATATCAATGTTATCCAATTCATTAGTGAACTTTTTCCATTTATGGTGAAAAAAAGTAACTTGATTAGAAAGATTTTATCTTGATTATGTTGGCTAACCATGGGTTATTGGAATGGGCCGTTGTATGCCATTCGGGAATATATAAGGACTCAAAATCAAACTAAAGTTTCACGGCAAATGTCCAAATATTAACAGCTTAGTCCCAGATATTAACAGTTTAGTCTCTTATTGTGCTGTTATGTTTTCATGTTTTTTTGTTGTTGTTGTTTTTGATTCGTGAACGAAATCACTCTGATATTCGAGAACTACTTAGTTGAAGAGCACTTCGACAAGTAAAGTCATTGTGGTTTCAGAACTTTCCTGTCCTCATTATTATGTAATTAATCTTGATTGGAGCTTCTGAATGGATGATGCTACTTTCATACAATCCTTGTGCTTGCCGAATGCCTGTCAACAGAGATGCTATTTGAATGAACTCGTACAAGGCTTTCCAATTCTATTTTTTTTTCACTATCTCGAAAATGAGGCTTCTTGTTTAAGTGGTAATTCCCTGGACATTTCACAGCTTTCGACTCCTTTTGATCTGACGATTTAATGAGAAATCAAATGCTCAATCTCCATTAATTGAGCCACCAAATACAAAACCTTGGTGCAACCCACACCTATTGACTTGCGATTCCTTCCAAATAAGAATTTTAACTGTAAACAAAACAAAAATTATTCTCTATCGAATAAGCATATTAACATCCTTTTCTGATTCCGAATCACCATATCAGCCGCATCAACCTACTACCCATCTCATCAGATCTCACCTGCACATCTTCTTCCCATCTACAACCATGCCTGCTAAAACATTCGACGATGTCGATGACATGGACTTCGAGGGCCAGGACCCTAACGGTCTCATCAACTACAACGACGCCATCTCCTATTGGCTGTCAGTGCCAGCCTCTGTCAACGGAGTTCTCGGAGGTTTTGGAGAACAGACTCCAGTTCCAAAGGCGGACATCATTGGGTCTGGAACCTTCTTGAGAAAGCTCAAAACTCGTATGGAGTGTCCTCCAGATATGGAGAAGCTCACCATAGACATGGGAGCCGGTATTGGCCGCATTACCCGAGACTTGTTATGGAAAGTCAGTGACAAATGTGATTTGCTTGAGCCAGTGCAGCCATTTGTGGCTCAGATGGAGAATGAGCTTGTAGATGTGGCCCAGAAGGGTAAGTTGGGCGATATTTACCCGATTGGAATGCAAGAGTGGCTGTGTGACCCCAGCAAACTCGGCAAGTATTGGCTCGTTTGGTGTCAGTGGTGTGTTGGCCAACTTCCAGATGACGAGTTGGTCAAGTTGTGGGTTCGTTGTAAGGAAGCTTTGATGCCCAACGGAACCTTGGTAGTGAAGGAGAACATTGCACCTGTGGAAGATGTGTTTGATTCTACGGACCTGAGTGTTACTAGAACCGATGCCAAGTTCCGTGAATTGTTTCAGTTGGCTGGCTATAAGTTGATTGCCAGCGAGGTCCAGAAGGGAATGCCCAAGGAGTTGTACCCCGTGCGGATGTACTGTCTCAAGGCATTGTAAATAGAGAGTTTGGTAGATTTGGCCATAGTTCGACTTGATGACGCATTTACTGGTAGTTGAGATCATTGTTCTTGTAAGAATCAAATGCTTAAGACGACGAAAGAGACTATAGTGTAGAACTGAAAAGTGGTGAAGGTATAGATAGCCTACAGAGTTGTATTGAAAACCGAGTCTTTATTGCAAGTTGGTCAAATATACTTTGTCCATAGAAAAGAGTGAGTAGAGTATTAATCTACGTATTTTTTTTTTTTGTACTACTTAAATAAAATTAAGACTATAATTGATACCTAACCAATTCCATTCAAAACTAGACTTTTTTCAGCGTAAAATCCATTCACCTTATTTTACACCTTCTGTCTCATGTAACTCATCTCGCATACACTACATAGATTCGCGATGAGAAGAATATTCATCTAAGCGTTACTAATGTCAACACCAACCAGGCTCGCTGCCACCATTGCAGCTACCGCTGTGGTTACTGCTGCTGCTGTTGAAGTCTATCATCGCTTTTCCCAAGTGGAAACGCTGGCCCCAAAGGCGAAAAAGGTTACCGAGACCAACTCTGACTACTCGGAAGAGCTCATTCGTGAACAACTTACAAGAAACTACGCTTTCCTCACTGAGGAAGGAATGGAGAAGGTTAGGGGCCAGCATGTTGTTGTTGTAGGTGCTGGAGGTGTGGGTTCGTGGGTCATTACCATGTTGGTGAGATCTGGAGTCGGAAAGATCAGAATCATCGACTTTGACCAAGTGTCTCTTTCGTCGCTCAACAGACACGCCGTGGCCAACTTGATGGATGTGGGAACTTCCAAGGTGGAATGTTTGCGCAACCACTTACTCCAAATTGCTCCGTGGGTGGAAATCGACGTCAAGAATAAGTTGTGGAATCTCGACTGTGGAGACGAGTTAATTTTCGGCGACGACTTTAACCCCACGCTTGTTGTTGACTGTATTGATAACATCGACACCAAGGTGGATCTTTTGGCGTTCTGCCACCAGCGCAAAGTGAAGGTGATTCTGTCTGGAGGAGCCGCATGCAAGTCAGACCCAACCAGAATCAACATTGCTGATCTTTCCAAGACCGAGGAAGATCCATTAGCACGTTCGGTGAGAATCCGCTTGACTAAGAAGGGAATTATCGACAACATTCCTGTGGTTTTCAGTGCAGAGAAGCCAGACCCAAGAAAGGCTAAGCTTTTACCTCTAGATCAGGAGGAAATCGACAAGGGAGATGTGGAGCAGTTGGCTGCACTCAAGAGTTTCCGTGTACGGATCTTGCCAGTGTTGGGAACAATGCCAGGTATGTTTGGACTTGCATTGGCTACTCACATCATCACCACCGTTGCTGGATACCCAACTGAATATGTCGAGGGAAAGAACAGAATCAAGGTTTACGATGGAATCTTACAGAGCTTGGCTGGACAAGAAGCACGCATTGGACATCTTGAACAGAGGACGCCTGTCAGCTTGAAGGATGTTCCATACATTGTCGAGGAGGTGTTTAGAGGCAAGTCTGTGGTTTCCAACTACTCGACCAGATTGACCCTCTCAAGATGGGATCCTCACCAGGAGCTCAGTTTCCAGAACATTGTTCTCATGACAAAGGATGAGCAGAAGAAGCATGAGGAGAGAGTGTTGAATGGTGGAGAGGACTTGAAGGATGTTTACAGTGAGGAGGTGTTGAAGAGGGTTGCCATGAGATTTGCCCAGGAGAAGTATTACTCGACGTTTAGATAGTGTAAATAGAATAGAGAGACACCACATCAAAGCAGTGGACTAGCCGAGGAATTAGTAGGAAAACTTGAAAACTCAAGAGGTATTGGTAATGGATTCACAGAAGGTCATTTCGATGGAAATTTCCAATCAAGTGTGAAATTTGGGCCCTCTTTATTAAATTCGACTTTTATGAATTTCTTTGGGGGTTTTATTTTTTTCTTTTGATGTACTCTGATTCTTCTATAACTCCCAGTTCATATTTTCCTTTACAAATTACAGGACTAAATACATAATTGATTAATATTGAAAAACGGACCGGAAAAAACGAAAATCACATAAAAAACGAAAAGAGTCGCTGTGATTAATGACAAGAGCCCAATAAATAACCCTTGACATTTAGCTATCCTAATTTGCCTCATTGAATTCATCTTCTATGAGATTTCCCTTTGTGGCCCGAAAAGACATAATGACGACACTTCTTTTGACATGAAATGTAAATCTCAAATGAATTGTCTTATAATACATCTTCCAAATAGAAATCGCTTATCTAATACACTCTGTCTCGTTCCCATATGATTTTATTTCCATCTATTTCACTTTCAGACTCCATCATACAAAATCATATGAGAATTCCACTCTATAGTAACTTCACCACCCCATTATCCACCAAATTCCCAACCTACAAGTAAAAACAAAAAATCCATAGACTATATTGCTCTCTCTCATCAATTTCCTCATTATTATCCTGCTGAAATCGCCCATTTCCATCAATTCCGATTTAGTCTACCCTTTAGTGCCTCCAGCGACCGTTCCGGTACGAAAGTTTGCCATTTCATAACTCCAGATTTCTTTCCATTCTCATCTTCAAAACTAAATATGTTCAGACTTGCTATGCGTCCGGCCAACATGGTCAGACCCGTGTCGCTTCTAAAACCTCGCAGCATCAATGTTGCCCGTTCCGTTCGCTTCCAGTCAACCTCCACTAAACAAACACCTAAGGGCCTCAAGGCATTGATGAAAGAGTACGGATACTCAGCTCTAGGGGTGTACTTGTTGTTGAGTGCTCTTGACTTGCCTTTGTGCTATGCGTTGGTTCACACTGCTGGCCGTGAAAAGATAGAGTACTACGAGAATAAGGTGAAGCAGTACTTTGGATACGGAAAATCCGACGAAGAGTTGAAGAGAATCCAGGAAATTAACAAGATAGAGGACGCAGCGGAGCCCCAGGAGACTACGACTGGACTCTTCTCATGGTTCTCCTGGACAGAATTTGCCATTGCCTACGGAATCCATAAGTCGGTTTTTATTTTTGTCAGAGTGCCCTTGACTGCGGCCTTGACCCCAACCATCGTCAAGACTTTGCGAGGCTGGGGTTTCAAAATTGGAAGTGACAAGTTGGCCACCACGGCCGCCATTGCCAAGGACAACATTGCTTCTGCGTCCAGTGCCAAGTTCGGCACTAGACCAACCAGAAAGAACAAGTGGTTCTGGTTCTTCTAACTTCTCCAAGATGTACATAATGCTTTTTTTTTGTAAATAAATAACTAGAGCATAGCTCTAGATGCCGAGAAACGTTTTACTCCGCTCGTATACGTAGAATGAACAGGCCACCATTGGGACCACCTTGATGTAGCCGATGGTCAATCCAACAAAAAAGCCTTTGAGGCCACTTTCGGCAAAGATCAACTTCGCCGTGGTCTTAAATGACAAGAATTTACCCGAGTCCACAGCTCCTCCGACTTGCATGCGTCGGCGAATCACCTCGAATGGATATGCTGCTGTCTGGGAACACATGCCTGCGAGTCCTCCAGCAACTAGTTGTGCTGACGCTCTCAAAGGAGGTCGCGTATCTCTTGAGCTCACATTGGTATCACTGTTCTTTTTCTGCACAACCACTTTGGTATCTCCTCGATACGAAGGCGGCTGGGCGACCAAGTATGGGCTCAACAACTTGCTGCGGAATAAGTCATGGATGGTGTCATGCGTGTAGAAAGACACACCCGCATAAGGAATCATGCCGAGAATAGTAGGACCGAAGCCTCTGTAGAAATTTGAGAGCGGTAGGAGCCACAGGGGTACTCTATGTCTCATGTAAGTGAGCCACTTGGGGTCGGAATCACGGTGTGGAGGAAGTTCCAAGTACACTTGGCGAATGATCAGCCAGAGACGACCCTTGTGGTGAGTGACAAAATATTCATGCTCATGGTGAGGTGGGTGGTGGGTTAATGTCTTGGTTTCGAACGCCAAACGCACCCTCACCAAGTCTAGTGGGTAAGTGAAGAAGACACTGGCCAAGCCAGAGAGCGAGCCGGCAATAAAGCGGCGAGGAGCGGTTTCGTATGAATCGTTAGGAATAACGATGCTGCGGATCTGTTCGTAGGCTACAAACTTTATGGCAGCGTAGGGGAAAATTCTCAAGAGTGTCACCGAGTGGCCCTGGAAAAGGCCCATGAGGCCATCGTTGACGACGATCTTCTTTCCCGCCTTGAAAAGGCCAAAAAAGGACCCTCGGTAGCGGAGAAATTCGGGGTTAGACGTCTGGAACAAGATCTTTATTCTGTCCAACGGTGCTATGAGTGTTTTGGCGGCGCTTCCTGAGATACCGCCCGCAATGCCTGATCTAATGACATATTCTGCCGAGCGCTTGTCGATCACCTTAATGGCGCTCGATACCTGCAAATCGGAGGGGTCCTCGAGAGAGTACTGCGCCTCCGGCGAACTTGGAGCCGGCTTCAGAGGCATGCAAAAGGTTTTTGAAGTAAAAGAAAGTGGATGAGAGTAAGAAAACCAGGTTACTGGGTGCGGGTGCCATGTGCAGAATAGTATGGGGTCGGTGGGTAAGCGTTTTGGAGGGGCGAGTATGATGCGGGTGATGCATGGTAAGAAAAACGTGAGAGAACAAAAGGCTGAAAAGTGGAGGGAAAAAGGCTGCCAATGTAGATGGATGCGCAGAGGGACAAGTGCATTTATAAATGGGACAGAGGGGTGGGGAAGCATTGATGCAAAAACTATAAAAAGGGAGGATTCTGCTGGGAGTATGTCGCAGGATACCTAGAACAAATAGCCCCACTACCATTGGCAGTGCGCGAATGAAGTGGGGCTGCGAGGATCCATGAAGGAGGAAATGGGACTGGAAGGGAAGTAAGCAAAAATGGATAAATAGAAAGTAAGCCAAGGAATATACTGGAGGGTTTAGCCGAAAGTTCAATAAGTAAATACCAGCAAAATGATCAGATAAGAGGAAGAATGGGAATTCGAGGTACTGCGAATGGACACAGAATAGAGAAGGTAAAGATCAACATAATATAAAAAAATAGTAGTTACAAAGAGACAGAGAAAGAAGATCAAACTTAAGAATGCTAAGAGGAAAAGAGCAATAAGAAAAAGATTGGAAAGAGATAAAGTAAAAAGAGTTTTGAATAATAGACATAGAATTAATTTGATTCTGAACCTAATACACCTACCCAGACTCATTCCTCTGACGGAATCCAGATGTCTTCTCTCGAGGATAGTTCGACGGAGACCGGCCCCGAACAAGCAAAGGAGCACTACAACATGATGCAACAGGTACAAGAAGCTTCCTGTCCTTATCATTCACCACAGCTGAAAGCTCCACGTGCAACGTGAAGAACTTATGCACATTATTTGATTTCTGTTTCACTCTAATGGACGCAGAAAATTGGATTCGTTCAAACCGTGCCACTCGTGAAATCATGTCGTTAGGATACCCACTGAGAATCGACTGGTCCTTCTCCGGATCCATATCGTTGTCTCTATAGTACGCTGATCGATCAAAGCTGAAAATCCGACCCAACGTGCGGATCTTCTTGGTGTTACGTTTATTGCTGGATGCTGTCACCGTCTCATGGTCAGGCAAGATTCCTGGCACAGCAGGATACACCGGAGGCGTATACTGAGGACCCTTGTCTCTTTTCGGGGTATGCTGAACCAAGCCAATTTGAACCTCTGGGTCTGAGCATCTAGCCAGTACACTGAGAACAAAATAAGACACATCTAGACGGTTCTTCGGATCGTTCTTATCCATCACCTGGAACCTGTTCTCCACGAACTTATCTAAAGTCCAGTTCTGGAATGTGAACGCCAGCACCATGGTGAAGTAATTTCGCTTATATCCAATCCAGTTGCCAGCTTCTCCAAGCTCAAACCCACGATCAAGTCGACACTCCATCTGAGGCAAAAGTTGCTCGTTTGTTGCCATGCAATACACGGGGCGATGGAAGTTGGTAACTCCGAATGGCGGCCCCACACGGTACAAATCTTTGGAGCGAGGAGCCACTTTTCTTGACAGTTCATCATGCTTGTATTCTGGAGGTGCTGAGCCAGTCTCTCCGAAATTGTTTATATCTCGAGGAAGGTTACTACTCAACTGTGATAGACTCGGCGCTATAGGCACGAGGTTTGCCATTAGCGACTCGTCAGCAAGTGGCTGGATGTAATTGGTTGCTACTGCTGATACTACGGGTGCCTCGATATGCGAAGTCAAATTCGCAGCCAAATGTGCACCAATATTTGATGACATGGGAGGAGCCGAGGAGACTCTACCAGCCAGTGAGGTCAGAGTCAGAGTGGACATCGGAGGCATTTCACCTCCCGGTCTTGGATGCACCAGGTGGGGGGTAGATAGGTACTGGCGATATCCTGCCGTATTGGGTTGCGCATGGAGGTTGTCCATGACATGATTTGATGAATTGTTTTCTCCATTCAGATGCAAATGGCGAGGTTCCAGATCCATTTGGGATCGATTCAACTGATTGAGATGACCTTGATTAAGATGACTTTCATTGAGGTGATTCAGGTTGAGATGGTTCTGATTGAGATGGTTCTGATTGATATGGTTCAGACTAAGTTGGTTTTGATCAATATTGTTCGTTTCCATCGCACCAAGATTCGGATTAAGATTCAGATGGTGCTGAGGCCTCATCACCAGACCTAAACCCAGATTAAGGTGAAGGTTCTGAGAGATTCCATGAGATTCCTTGGGTACATTCTGAAGATCAAAGTTCTCATTTTGTCCAAGTTCCTCAGAATATCTTGTCTCTGAGATTACTCCGCTGGCTTGTGAGTCCATTGGGTAACCCGTGTGAAAGTTGGAAATATATTGGGGCTCGTCAAACTGCTCATGTCGAAGCAGGTAATCGGAAGACATTGTTAGCAATTTGCAACCTTATGTAAAATGTTCTAGAATGTGTTTCAATGGTTGATGGTTCAACCTGAGAATGTCACAAGTCTCGGACTCGTGATTGTATTGGAAATAGATGATTTGCGTGAATGTCCAAGTGTCAGACCCCAGATTTCGTATATATGTGGGGCAAGATTCGCTAGATCAAACTAATGCAGTTTTGTGTGATATTCTGATGCATCAGGTTCATTTTTGTGTGTGTTTTTTTAATGATGGTTGCTCTACATGCAGGATGAGAGAAGTTCCAATAAAAAATAATGACTCCGGCGTGATTCGAACACGCGCATCTTACGATAACAGAACTTGAGTCTGCCGCCTTAGACCGCTCGGCCACAGAGCCATTTGATACTGATGAAAGAATCTTAAATATGAATATTGTGAATGTGAAATAGAAGAGGTGTTTTTCTGGAGTTTTTGTAGATTGGATAGCACCTAAACTTCAGAACTTGGGTTGTTTCGGTTTGATGTAGATTTCATTGTCTTTTGTGCATCAAAGTTTATTGATTTAATCCTTGGAATTAATCGGACCGGATAAAAATTCCCATTTCAGGAAACAGAAAATTGAGGGGATGATGCCGCATCCAATTAACACGGCATTTTAGAGCCGACCAAATCGGTATATCATACGCAGATAGGAGTAGAATTTTGTTGCATATGGTGGTGTCAATCCGGTCGAATTCGGCGTAGAATGTCCAGAAACGCTTAACACAGGCCAAATTTGTGACAATTATCACTCCTTTTCATTGTCCATATTCTCGAATACAGAATTAGCTGTCAAGAAGGGTCTGTTATCCAATTTTAGCAAAATGCACAATGATATGTTAGCGATTGGCCGATCGTTATGGTCGGATAAACACTCAATACAAACTTTTAAGACAGAAAATAATTACTCTCGCTCTTTTAGATGAAGAATGCTTCTTCTTCGGAAGTATTTACTTAATATGCTTTTTTCTTTGTAAATGATTCTTCTTTGGTAGAGAATAAAGTCTATTCATTGATATCATAGAATTATAAATAAGATAACGTAATCAGAGGAAGCAGCGAAACAAAAATAGAAAGACACAGCACCACATGGTCCCCCTATTCATTCCCCATCAGAATCGAGAACCATCGTCAACGTCACATTGACGCACCAGCCTCTTTGTGGCAACCATTGACAAGCCCTCTGAGTTTCCCCACACACGCCCATTCTGGCAAAGAACGCCTGTACCAGCCCAAACATGTCCAGTAATGCAATAAGAATCCAGATCCTTATGAATTGAATACTCCCACCGGCTCCGAACTACTGCCATCCGTAAAGTTTCGTTCCACATACGACTACCTCTCAGAAACATTAGCGAAATCTGCGTATTCGTCAGCAATAGCATCGTTACAATTAGATCTCGCATTGGAAAACCCAAAGCGGAAACTTTCCCCTTCATCAGGTCTGGCCCGCAGACCTCTGTTATATCGTTCGATGGCCACATCCTCCAGTAGTCGCTCCAATCGGTGAGTGAGGCGATCTAGGAGATTGGCCTGAAGAACTAGCACGCGTACTGGGGTATTGGGGCGTCTTGTATCGGCCGTCAACTTCTCCCTGACCTTGACGGCACCAACTAATAGATCCGAGTATTCGTCTCGGTTTAGCGTCATAAAGTACAAATTACAAATAATCCATTAAGGGTCAATTACTAAGACTTGAGTGGTTTATATATGGTGCGGCTGGCGATGGCTAGCCATGCATGAACCATTTGGGGCCCAGGGCGCAGGACCAGGGCTAGAATGCAGATACCACATAATATCAAAGTGCCATGAAAAGCGATAGTTTCTATATTTTTTTCTTCCTGAATTTCCGGCTCATCAGAATGCAGCTTGTACTGCCCCCTTTATTTTCCGGATTTCTGTGTTCCACCAATCAATGCTTTGAGGGCCTTTCTGCTTATTTTACTTGCCGGATAGTTTATCCGGATCCATGACTTCTCTCACTTCTCCGTTACGAGCACCGGGCTTCTGGAATGTCCTAGTGGACCAAAGAATCTATGTTAAAGTTTGGGTCACGAAAACGTTTATCAACTTGGTTTAGTAGTTCCGGATGTATTATACGGAACCATGTTCTGCCGGCAACTGAAAATAGGTAATTTCCGAATTCAGAATGGAAGATATAGGGAGACGAATCTCAACACCAAAATGGAAGTGGTCCCGGTAATTACTTTTGGCTGTTGAATTCCTCAATGGGTCCTCCTGTTTAAGTTCATATCGAAAAACATTAGGTGGTCCTTTATTTTTTTTTTTTGGTAGATACCGAGCTTTGCTTACTTTGTTACCTTTCCAAGTATGTACTATCGGACTTCTGTTTGAAAACCCTCAATCTTTACTCATGATTATGAATTCCCAACACACAATCACTAATGTGAGGCTTCCTCTTATCATTGATTCAATCTTTTTTTTTAATATTCACAGTTTATTTTACTCTCACTTGTGTATTATTTCCTACTTCCTGACCCTCTAGTGTTCCCTCCGTATCGCCTTTTCTTTTTTCTCTTCCTTTTTCCTTAGGTTACTCTCTTCTTCGTATCTCGCACTTTCGCAGCCAAATCACAAACTCATGACTTCCTCCTCCAACACCACCGACTTCCAGTCGGCTCAACATTCTCCTGTTTCCATGAGATCCAAGGTCTCCTCCTCTTGGTGCACAGAAAACGGCGCTCCCTTCGACTCCACCGCCATAAATGCCATCTTTGTCCATCTCGGCAATCTTTTTGGCTTCCAGATGGACAACGTAACCAATATGTTCGAATACTTCATGTCTCTCTTAGACTCCAGAGCGAGCCGAATGTCTTGCGCTATGGCGCTATTGTCTGTACATGCAGACTATATTGGTGGAGATTCCGCTAACTACAAGCACTGGTACTTTGCGGCGTATTATGACCTCGATAAGGACTACACCGAAGATTCTGACACCAACAAGAAATGGAGCCAAATAGCCAAGTACTTAAAAGGAGAGTCTCCTACTCATGTTTCACACGAAGATGACAGAAGGTCTTTATGGGCGATGGATTATAAGTGGAGACTCAAAATGAGCCAGTTATCAGACTCGGACCATATTTACCAAGTGGCATTGTACTTGCTTATCTGGGGAGAGGCAAATAATGTCCGTTTCATGCCTGAGTGTCTCTATGCTTTATCTTCAAGTGTGCTTTGGATTATTACTTATGTGATACACCTAAGGTACCTTTGCCTGAGTACGCTTTCCTTGAAAACACTATCACTCCACTATACAACTTTATCCGGGACCAGCAGCTTGTCAAAATAGGTGGAAACTTTGTGAGGAAACCTAATCGTGACCACAGCGATATCATTGGTTACGATGATGTCAATCTGTTCTTCTGGCACCCAAAAAACTTGCAGAAACTAGCCCTTGATGATGGTACGCTTCTCCATAGTTATGCAAAAAGCGAACGCTACGGGAAATTGAATTTTGTTAATTGGGAGAAAAGCTTCAAAAAAACCTACCTTGAAAAACGTTCGTGGGTCCATTTGTTTGTAAACTTCAACCGAATTTGGATCATTCATTTGTCTGTGTTCTGGTACTTCATTTCTTTGAATTGTCCATCCCTCTACACCAAGAACTACGAAACAGCACTTGAAACCCCTCCTGCTCCTCAGGTCCAATTGGCGGTTATTAGTTTTGGTGGCGTGATTGCTTGTCTCATGGGTTTATTTGGGCTATTGGGAGAGTGGTATTTTCTTCCTCGTTCAGCTATGAATGGGGAGCGACTTGGACAGAGGATAACTATTCTATGCGTGTTGCTAGTAGTCAATTTCGCTCCCACAGCTTACATTTTCATTTTCAAAGGATGGGATGTCTACTCTAGAATTGGAATCATTGTCGGAATCAGTGTGTTGATCTTTTCTATTATGACTACTGTCTATCTAAGCATTGTACCCTCACGTCACCTCTTTAGCCTTTTGTTAGGAAGCAGACAGGCAGACCACATGAAAAGTCAACTTTTTACTTCGAATTTTGCTACAGCCACTAGCAAGAGCAACCTTTTCTCTTGCCTTCTTTGGATCTGTGTTTTTCTCGCCAAATTGTCCGAATCGTACTTCTTTTTGGCTCTCTCCATGAAAGATCCATTACGAATCCTCATTACCATGGACCTCAATCGATGTGCTGGAGATGTGTGGTTAAAGAAGTTGGTATGTCAGAACTTTGCTCTTTTCGCTGCATTTCTTCTTGTTTCCACCAACTTCATTCTTTTTTTTCTTGACGCATACTTATGGTACATCATCTGCAACTGTGTGTTCTCAGCTGTCTTATCCTACTCACAAGGCACTTCTATCTTCAAGCCATGGAAGAGCAAGTTTGGGAAACTTCCAGAAAGAATTCTTACCAAAATATATTACCATGGTGTCAATGATGGAGATAGCGGTTTTGCAATTTCAAAAATATGGAATTGTATCATTATCTCGCTTTATAAAGAACACCTACTTTCCATAGAACAAGCAAAGAAGTTAGTATATCAGCAGGAGGATGACTACTCCTCGTTGCATGGTCCATGCAATAAGGCTCCGATATTTTTCAATTACCAAGAAGATTACGCATCAGCTAAGTTATCAGACTTCTTTGCTACTAATGAGGAAGCTTCTAGAAGGATATCATTCTTTGCGAGGTCATTATCTAGTCAACTCCCTCCCCCGACACCTATCGAGTCCATACCATCATTTACAGTGCTCGCACCTCATTATTCTGAAAATATTATCTTAGGTTTGAAAGAATTATTGAAAGAGAACAAATCATCCAAAATTTCCCTCATTGAATACCTAAAGAAACTCCATCCTTTGGACTGGAAGCTTTTCGTGAAAGATTCCAAGCTTTCAAACCATATTACCTCTGCAAGCATACCTGAAACTGCCAACTCTGGAAATGTCATACTCGGAGGCGAAACAAAGGCCCAAGATAGAGCAGATTTTGGCCAAAGTCAACTCGACGACATTCCTTTTGACTTCATTGGTTTCAAATTTTCGCAGCCAGAGTTCTCAATGAGAACAAGACTATGGGCATCGTTGAGGTATCAAACCTTGTTCCGTACCATATCTGGGTTTTACAATTACGAACGTGCACTCAAGATTTTATATTTTCTGGAAGTCTACAATAACGAAAGTGAATATCTAGCGGACGAAGGTGACATGGAGCAAGAACTCAACCAATTTGCAAAAAGAAAGTTTAGATTACTTGTATCCATGCAGAAGTACCAGGATTTTGGAATTGAAGAACAGGAGGCAGTGAGCGTACTATTTGAAAACTTCCCTGATTTGCAAGTCTCTTATCTCGAGAAAGAAGTTAGCGATGGAGCAACAACCTTCTATTCTGTTCTTCTTCTGGGCTCAGGCAAAGAGAGAGTGACAAGGTTCAGAATTAAGCTTTCTGGAAACCCTATTTTGGGAGATGGGAAAGCAGATAACCAGAATAACGCCATCATTTTCCATAGAGGAGAGTATCTTCAAACCATCGATGCTAATCAAGATAATTACATTGAGGAATGTCTCAAAATCCGATCTGTCCTCTCGGAGTTCAATGAAATTGACCTAGACCCAACTTTTGAGTACGTTCCTGGAATGTCCAATGTCACTAAGAAGCCTCGCGTTGCCATGTTGGGAGCCAGAGAGTATATTTTTTCCGAAAGCATTGGTGTTTTGGGAGACGTTACAGCAGGTAAGGAGCAAACCTTTGGGACTTTGTTTGCCAGAACTTTATCAGTCATAAATGCAAAGCTACACTATGGACATCCCGATTTCATCAACGGAATATTCATGTGCACTAGAGGTGGCATATCGAAAGCTCAGAAAGGTCTTCATCTTAACGAGGATATTTATGCTGGAATGAATGCTGTTTGTCGAGGAGGAATAATCAAGCATTGTGACTACTATCAGTGTGGAAAGGGAAGAGACTTAGGATTTGATACTATCTTGAATTTCACCACCAAAATCGGTGCTGGCATGGGGGAGCAAATGTTGTCAAGAGAAGTATTCAATATGGGCACTAGCTTGAGAGTTGATAGATTTCTTTCGTTCTACTATGCCCATGCTGGATTTCATGTCAACAATGTGTTCATCATGTATTCAGTCAATATGTTCATGATCGTTCTTACATGTCTTGGTGCCTTGAAATACGAGACAATCATGTGCTCAAGAGAAAACCATGCAGCCATAATCGACCCTCTTGTTCCATTTGGTTGCTACAACTTGATGCCCGTTCTTGATTGGGTCAATCGATTTGTACTCTCCATGTTCATTTGTCTCTCCATTTCATTTCTTCCATTAGTCGTTCAAGAATTTACTGAAAAGGGATTGAGAAAAACCACCAAAAGAATAGGATTACATTTCCTTTCATTGGCTCCACTCTTTGAAGTGGTGGTGTGCAAAGTTTACGCAAAGGCTTTCATTGATAATATCCATTTCGGAGGAGCACAGTATGTTCCCACTGGACGAGGGATAGCCACCACTAGAAATGCGTTCAGTGTAATTTTCAGCAAGTATGCTCATGTTTCGATCTATCCTGGATCTATTGGGCTCTTGGTTGTTGTATTTGCAACCATGTCAATGTGGCAGCCGGCGTTACTCTGGTTCTACCTTACATTCTTGTCATTGAATTTTGCTCCGTTCATTTTCAATCCACATCAATTTTGCTTCTCAAAATTTGTTTTAGATTATGGTGTTACATTGCATTGGTTATTTGGAGGAAACACACGCAAGTCTGGAGGAGGATGGGCTGCATTCAAAAGATCCAGACGGTCCAAATTTACCGGGTCAAAGAAAAACAAACGAATTATTGAGAGAAGAGAAACAACGATTGGGACGACTTCTTTCAAAAATCTACATCTAGATCTCGGAACACCGTTTTTAGAGGCGTTTATCTACTTGATGCCGTATCTCTTTATAAACTCGCAGACTGGGGTGCTGGAACCCGTTCCTGTCAACCCCCTCTTGAGGATCTTCATTCTATCGTTCCTTCCCATCACATTGAGTGTTTCTTTCAACGTATTCATCCTTGTTTTCAACCTCATCTTCGGAAGACTACTCCTCATGATCAGCAAGAAGCTGCCTGGTTACATCGCAACAACATCCCACATTTTGTCAGTTTTCCTCATGTTAATCACCATTGAGGTCAACTTCTTTCTTCACAAGTGGAATGTAGTGCGTACCATCTGCTCGAGCATTGTAATTCAGAGTCCACTCGTTTTTACTGAAAGTGGTGTATGTTCTTGTGCTAACAAAAGAATACGATGGAGACGAGGCCAACAGCGCCTGGTGGAGTGGCCAATGGTCATATAAAGAGTTTGGCTGGTGCTTGCTCACCCAACCTTTCCGAGAGTTTATCGTCAAAACAGTTGAACTGTGTATGTTTGGCTACGACTTCGTTCTCATCCATTTCTTACTCAATGCCATGGCTCCCCTCACTTTGCTACCGTTTGTGGACCGTGTACACACATCCATGCTCTTCTGGATGAAACCGAAAATGTTCAAGGACCCGATCTCAACGACTCGAGAGAAACGCATGAGAAAGTATGGCCTCGTCAAGTATCTCGTCCTTTACATGGCCATTAGTGGAGTCTTGATGGCAGTGGTACTCACTCCGATATTCTCCGAGAGGATCTCGACCTTTCTAGAAATCTACATTCCCGACACATTTAGTGAGCTATTCCAACCCAACTTTCAAAACAACAACGATACTGGGTCTCCGTCATTGTTGCTGTCATATATGGAAATGCCATTGCGCACTGTCCCATAAATAATTGCCCAATGGGTGCAATCTTCATGCGTGGTGCACAGGTGTATGAGGTGTCTGTTGACTGTTTACTCCACTCTACAGATAAATAGTCAACTAGTACTGGCAAGCATGAGCAGGGACCGAATAGCAACGGTGCGAGGCTCCAAATTGGCCATGTTGCAACAGTGGAATGAGGATGATGATGAAGAGGGTGATGATAGGGACTTTCTACTGCACTTGGAGCTCGGCAAGGACGAATTGTTGCTGGACGACTTCCAGACACTTAAACTTTCTGGTGGACAGACCCTATTCACCCCTCCAGTCGCTGAAGGCATCCCTCGACCATCGTTATCGCCCGGGATGTTCATGAAATACGTGGAAAAAGACGACGATGAGATCACATTCAGTGATGACGGGGTGCCAGATCAGCTAAATATAGATAACTTGAAGAAGAACCAGATCAGACAAACGGCAGGCTCCGATCACCGCTTTCTGCCTGCCACAACAACGTCTCCATTGAGAAGAAGATCATTAAGTGACTACAGCGAGAATACCGAGACGGATATCACCGAAATGAATGACGACGACTTTGAAGAGATCGATAACATTTTTGGAAAGGAGGAAAGTGGAATCTACAGCAGTGGTGGTGGAATTGATACACAGAAACCAGACACCAGCAGGGCGAGCGACCGATTGGCGAAGAAAAAGCGCCAGCTTCAGAAAGAGGCGGATTTGGAGGATCGTGAGCTTTTCCAGAAGTATCGTAAACATCACGGCGAGGAGGTCAACACCTTGAAGTTAAAGGATTTACACAAGTACCAGCTGGAGTCTAACTTAGAGAAAGATGCATTGGAGAACGAGAGAACCGTCAACTACGAGTATACTCGGGATGATTTCGAGTCCTTTGAAGATGGCTTCGATGCTGATTTGCCGGCCCAAATCGAGCCCGAAAGACTTCGACATTTCCACTCGTCGGGAAACAAAGGTGGCAGAATCCAACACAAGACATCGATGCCTGTTTTCCCCAATTCTCTCCGTTCATCTAAGCTGACGAAGTTCAAGTCTACGATGGACCTTGCCAGTGCGTTCGAGAAGAAGGAACATCCAGTCTTCAACAACAGTAACAAACTCATTCGCAAATTGGACCGAATGCCATCATTCCACAGTCGCAAGGAGCTTAATGCTGCGATGGAGTATCAAGACGATGAAGAATTGAATAACGACATGGAAAGGAAGAAGAAGGAGCTCCTTGAAAAGTACATGGAGATCACCGAAAAGCAGAAGCAGCTTAAGACAAGCCCGAAAAGGTCAAGTGGATTGCTCAAGAGCGCTGGCGCGAAAAGACACGGCGTGGGGTTGGTTCGCTACCTCAATGATAAGTCCGCTGTCCCTGTCGGAAGCACCAATGGAAACATGAAGTTCAACGCGAGAACAAAAAGGTGGGAAGGAAATGAACATGAACTTTTGAGGTTTGATGAAGAAGCTCAAGAGCACCCAAGCTCGAGGAAACAACCGTCTTTGATCACCTTGAAGGAATTCGACAGACGAGTGGAGACTATCAAAGGGAACATGAAATACGACGCCGAAAACTTGCGGTGGGTGAATCTTGATGAGTCAGATGAAGTCGAGAATCACATTTTTGACGAGCTTCCGGACCTCGAACCCAATGACATTCCTCGTTACCGGATGCCAATTAAAGGAAAGTTAAATGATCGTGGAGTGAGCACTTTCACACAAAGAACCATCCTGAGTGTTTCCAGCGACCGCAGCTCAGCGCTCAGCGCCAGCGCTGGCGATGAGTTCCAACTTGGACCCAAGCTAATGGCCAAGTTTCACAAGGAAGAACTGAAAATCTACAAGAAGACACACCACTGGTTTGGACCCAACGAGTCATATAAGGTCGATCGTGCCAGAACCTTCAACAGCGAGTATTTCTGGGAAATACGCAAGATGGTTATGGATGACGATAACACTAATTAGTGTTGACCGCAGATACCCCCTACATTGCATTAACAAATAAGCGTCAATTTATTGTAACACTACGCATAGAAACTGATCGGTAATCAGACAAACAAGAAGCCGAATCCAACTGTAGTCAAGGACACAACGAACATCCAGGCAGCAGAGGCAGTCGAGCTCATGCCAACAGCACCACTGCTCTTGGTGGAGCTGGTGGAGCTAGCAGACAGGCCCGAGGAAGAACCAGAAGAGCCGGAGGAGCCGGAGGAGCCAGAGGAACCAGAAGCGTTGGAGCCAGAGGCGGAGGTAGCAGCATTGATAGAACCACTCACGGTACCCAAACCAGAAACACCAGCAGAGGAAAGCACGGCAGTGCACGAAGATGCGGTGGTGGCCTTCTGGGTAGTAGCAGAACCGTCAAAGCTACAAGCACTCTTGCTCTCACCGTTGGCGGAGTAGTACAAGTCAAGAACGAAGTTCAACTTCTGCTTGGAATCACATGGCGAGTAGGAACCGTAGCTTCCAGTAGTAGCGTTACCGTTGATACCAGAACAGTCCACTTGACTGCAGACATAGTCGAAAAGAGACTCGTAGTCTTCCTCATCCACAGAGTCGGCAACAACACAGGTCAAAGAGTCAGCCATACAGTTACAGATGGACTGATCTGGAGTTGGAGGCAATGCGGTGTTGGCAGACCAGTTGGCACCCACGGCTGGGCAAGTGGTGACAGAGGCAGAAGTGGACTGAGAGTTAATGGTAGCGTAAGATGGGCTGATGGAGGCAAGCTGGCTCAGCAAGTACTTGAAGTCGGCCATAGTGGAGACAGAGCCGCTGGAGTCAATGCTAACCAAACCGTAGTTGTTGGCCTCCTGGTAGTACATGTAGACAATACCTCCAGACCAGACGCCGGTCATGTCGCTAGAGTAAAGAGCCTGGACCTCGGTGAACTTTCTTGGTTGAACCTCGTTACATCCGTACTCAGAGAAGAAAACTGGAATACCCAAGTTCTCGTACTGCGAGGTGATGTTCAGGTAACCAGAGGTCTTGAAGGTGGAAGTACCACACCATTCATACATGTTAATACCGAAGAAATCAGCTCTCTCATCCTCATCACCGCAAGCAAAGTAGTCAGCCAAGTCAACTCTGATCTCGATGTCGTCGTTACTGGAGTATCCCACAGGAATGGCTCTGTAGCCCTTTTCCTTAATGTAGGCCTTGGTGTCTCTGACAGCAGCCTTGACGTAAGCGGAAGCATCGGTGTTGGAGGCTTCGTTGGTGACCTCGTTACCAGCAAAGAAACCCACCACGTTGGTGTAGTTGTGGAACTTGTCCACCACGTCGGTGTATCTGGCCAACAAGTCCAAGTTCCATTGAGGGTTGGATCTGTCGATGGAGAGATCTGGCTCGGACAAGTCGGCAATCACATAGATGCCAGCCTCCTGCAATAATTCCATACATCCCGAGTGATCCAAAGATGCGTTCAAAGCGTAAACACGAAGGATGTTGGTGTTCAACTGTTGCAAGTAAGGAATGTCTCTCTTACAGGTCTCAACGTTAGCCAAGGGGTCCACGAACTGCTCGGTGTCGGTAGCGTTCTGGGTGTCAGCCTGGTAGGCGACACCTCTCATCAAGAACTGGGAGCCATTGTTGGAGTAGAAGAATTTGTTACCGACGATTTCAATGGCAGGCAAATCAGCAGCGACAGCACACGCAACGGTGGCTGCAGAGACAAGAGATTTGAGCAACATGGGGGGCCAGCGAATGGAAGGGAAGAAGCTCGGTTTAAAACAAAGAAAAGGAAAAAAAAAAGAGCTCTAAAAACCTGTGGATCGAAAAAGGCGGTGTAAAAGTCACGCCGTAGGACTTGGGTGTAAAAATATCGCTCCGGCCCAATGTAGCACAACCAAAACACCTCGCACCATGCACAATTCAAGATACCATCCGAGACGATGCAGAGGCGGGAGTATACGAGCTACAGAAGGGAGGAAAGCAGGAGTGGAGAGCAAAAGAGAAGGCGATGACGAAGGTAAGTGATTGATCAAGAGAGAGGTGGTGAATAGCGAAAAGATAAAGGTTTTTTCATGGGAAAATTCTAATTGTTCCGGAATTCTAATATCCTGTCAAGATCCGGAAATGCTGCGGCCGGGTTGGACATATTGGCACGACCTGCCAATCGGGGGAAATTTTGACACAGGAACGTACTTGGGGACACCGTGGAGGGAGCCTCAAATACAGGACGGCAGAGACGGCAGAGTTAAAGACGGCAAATGTAGATGACAGGAGTGAGAAGTGTGGAATTAATTGGATATCGGGGAAGTACATAGATGGAGGCAGGTGGATGTAACGAAGATGGATACTCTGAGAGTTGACGTTGATAGGTTCGCAGCCTGTTATGACCGTTGCCTGACAGAGGTTTACGTCTGGCGAGACACGGGTCCGTAACAGTGCAGGAAGATCAAGAAAAAATTGAAAAGTTAAAAAAAAGGGGCCAGAGGAGGTAGAGATGGAAAAAAGAGAGGAATTGGAGAGAAAATGGAGGTGGAGAGAAAATGGAGAACATATGAAGGAGTAGAAGAGAGGTTGAGTGCAGAAAAAGTGATGGAGAAAATAAGAAAAATAGATTAAAGGTGAAAGAACGGAAGCTTTAGTAGGTGGCCGCGAAAATCAAGAGACCAGTGAGGAAATCGGGAAATGAGGTCTGTATTTGAACAAAAGGGCTGTGTCTGGGCGGGGGGAAAGAAAATAGATGGGGGTAGTATAGGAGAAAGGAGGTTGATGTTGATTGAATAAAGGGAAAAAATAGACATGTCAAGATTATACGGAGGAGTAGTTAATTCCATTGCTAATCTCAGATATTGGGGGATTCTTAGTTATAGACATACAGGATGTGGAAAAAGGTGCAGATATTGATGAATTTGAAACTAATAGATTGGGATGTATTGGGAAGTACGGAAAATTTGTAAAAAGAATAGGAATCGATGAAAAGGAAGTTTTAAGGAGTAGACATGAAAAGGATGAGGTGTAGAGTCTCATTCATGATGATAATGAACATAAATATCTAGTTTGGGGGATGAAAATAGACGTGGCTAAAGTAATGGGTTGTCATATGTGGTTAGTACAACTGAACTCCCCATGACACCAACGAATGACTGTCATTGACGATATGCAGCATAGATGGGTCTGCCATTTTGGGAAAGCCCGTAAATCCAACTCCAAACACTAAATTTTATGGAAAATCATCAGCGGCATTGTCTATTTATGGAATACGTCACAATGCATGTAGTGTTATACTTCAATGTTTTGGTTGTGTGAAATTTGTGCCAGCAACGACGTTTAAACAACGAAGCCAACGGAACATATCGCATTGTTTGGTTTAGAATACATTGAATGTCCAATGGAACGGACATTATGTGAACACAAAAGCGTCACAATGAAGTGAAAACTGAGTATTATAGTGCTTGAATATGATAGAAGTTAAGCACTGGCTGATGCGATGTAAATCTACAACCTGAGAATGTTTTCTCTGAAATTAAGGTAGAAGTTAATCATTTAACGCTTCTGTACTTTCCTTGGTTATTTTCTTGAATGTATTTAAAAGATAATTGCTTCTTAATAGTACTTCTGTGTACTGTTGTACTACAGAGGGTGATGAAAAATGTGCTTGAAATTGTAAACAGAATGTGCTATAGAATGTATTACAGAATGTTCAAATAGTCTTGTCCTTCAGTAATTTACCGCTTATCATGCATGATCATCCCAGGCCATCTTATGCACGTTACTTTGCTACCGTTTAAACATTGCTAACCTTAAGTATTGAGGTACCATGCCTCGTCTACCAGACGATTGCAACTTCAACTACAGTCGCCACCATCATGTTCAAAATTGGAGATTGTATGCGATTATACAAATAAATCGTCATACCAATATAGAATGTTATCATTCTGCAGAAACTGTGACTTTCTTAATTTTCTTCATATCACCAGTTGGGACCAAATTTTCATCCAATTTCTCACTAACTGAAAATCGCCCAAACTCCTAACCCTCTCAATATCCTCGGAGAATCACCCTTGGACTTCATCATCCGTTCAATCCTCCATTTTTGCCCCTCTCAAACCCAAATCAACCCATAAAATATATAAGCTCATCACCACCGAAAGAACTTCAACTTCTACAGTACTCTCCTGTCTAGATATTCCCGTCTAAGTGCATCCAAACCCCAGGCCTGATTTCGCGGCAAAATTTTATATTTGTCGAGTCTACAACACTAACCAAATCCATCAATCATCCCTCTGATGAAAAAAATATAAATAACCGCCAAAATCTCTTTATACATACAATTTCAATCATCTTAAGCTCCGCTTCCAACCGCCCCGAAATCACCCACCAAAATATCCATTCATCAGCAACAAAATCCGACTAAACATTCCATCATGGTAGTCTCCCCACTCCCACCAAATTTTCAGGTGGGGCATTTGCTCGCACCAAAGCCCTCCGAGCATACTTCGCCACCATGACCTAAGTAAAAATCATCGGATTTCACCGAAACCTTCCCCACCCAACCAGCCAATGATCAAGTCCCTCTGAACCTCTCATTTTTTTTCTTTTTCCGTCCCATTCACCGTTTTTTCAATCCCCTCCTCCAACGCCCTGGAGTCCGTCCTGCAGGAAACCCCAATGTGGGGTGGCCACTGTCGACAACTCCAAAAACCATCTTTTAGTCCCATTTCTTCTTCTTATCAGACACTAGTCAAGCCAACACCGGAATTCATTACAATATGGCCGAAAAAGAATCCGACGCCGCCTTGGAAATCTATATCCGTTTCAACGATGATATGGAAAAGGACTACTGCTTCCAGATCTCCACCTCCACCACTTTCAGAGACTTGTTGAAGGTTTTCGACACTTTGCCAATCTCCTTGAGACCCAATGTGTTCTACGAGCCCCGTCCCACGGGCTTCGTTGTGTCCACTCTGCCCGGTTACCTTACCGAAGACGGTGCATTGCTCTTCTCTTACGAGACAGACAAGAAGAAATACCAAAAGAAGGTTGGATTGGACGAGAAAATCGCCAAACATTGTTGGCCAGGCCAGTTGGTCATGCCAGTTTGGGAATTCAACCTGTTTGGATACTACTCTTTCCTCACGTTTTTATTGACCTGGCTCTATACTGATTTGCCTGACTTTATCTCCCCTACTCCAGGTATTTGCTTGACTAACCAGATGTCATACCTTGCCTCGGTGCTTGCCCGTAAATTTGGATATGATCACATTGCCAACTTGGTGCTCGACGATGTCAGAGACCCTGTCAACATCGGTGCTCAGTGTGTGTTTTTCTTCTTCCATTTGATTAAGGTTCTTGCCTTGTACTTTGTTATTTGGTCAGGAATGCTCAACCCAACCAAGGTGTTCCGTGTTCCATTTACCCTGAAGCCAAAGCAGGTAACCAAGGAGATGTTGATTGAGTTGGGCTGGACCGGTTCCAAGAGAGCCAACGCTGACGAATACAAGGACTTCTACAGAACTTACAAGATCAAGCAACATGGAGGTATGGTGCCTGCCCATCAGGCTGGCTTGTTCACCAAGTTGAAGAACTTGGGAGTGTTTTTGGGCGATGGAGAGGGCTTTAACACTCCTCTTGACTCAACTAACAAGTTGGACGATGCAGGCGACAAGTTTGTGTTGAGCTACGGGCTTTTTGTCAAGCTTGGCGAGTACTTTGAGGACTACATCAAGGGTAAGCTGGTTGAGGAGGTGAACGAGGCTATTAAGGAGTTCCGTAGGTACGGACTTTTGCACAGCAGCGAAGAGATCCAAGATTTGGTTGCTAAGAGAAAAGCCAACGGTGACCTGAAGCTTGAGTAATTGGAAGAGTCTATGAAAGAGAAATTTGAAGAGATAGGTCAAGAGTAGGGAATTGAGGGAGTAAGAATGACGAAATAACGAGAGAAGAATGTCAAGAGAAGAGTGATAAGATTAGGGAAAGAATTACGAGAGAATGACGAAAACGACTAGAATGAGAGGGTGGACGACAGGTGTACCCCAAATATCTGGATTTTCAGATCCATGGGGTTTCCCCATCCATTACCACCCTATTCAAATCAAATCAATGACCAATTTACGTCTAAGAAAGATTCCATTTCACCAACCAATGTTCTCCGTTCGATGAGTAATAGTGCGCGTTTGACTCTGATCCATGCCGGTACCGGCGCGCAGCACGTGCCGTTGGCACATAGGTGCCTGTGTCACGTGGAAACAACCCACGGTGGGCGACCACAGTATAGCTAATTGAATAATCAAAATTACAGAAACACCTTATGTAGAAACACCCGGATTCAATTGATAAGTAAGAAAATCATACAATTGAATTGTAACGTTTCTTTTTTTTTTCTCCTCGAAAAAAGAAAATCAAAAACCTCATCCTCTCAACCAGCATTCACCCCAAATTTTTCAACTATACGACACCTGCATAGCAAATCCGACATCAAGGTTTTCCACCATTATAAAAAGACCACAATCCGCCCCATCCACCACCCAAATTTTTTTCCCATTATCAAAAGAAAAATGGTTCAAGCTTCCGTTTTAGGTTTCCCACGTATCGGTGCCCAGAGAGAGTTGAAGAAGGTCACCGAGGCCTACTGGTCCAAGAAGGTGACTGTCGACGATTTGTTGGCTAAAGGTAAGGAATTGAGAGCCCACAACTGGAAGTTGCAGAAGGATGCTGGTGTGGATGTCATTGCTTCCAACGATTTCTCCTACTACGACCAGGTGTTGGACTTGTCGCTTTTGTTCAACGTCATCCCAGACAGATACACCAAGTTCGACTTGGCCCCAATTGACGTTTTGTTCGCCATGGGTAGAGGTTTGCAGAGAAAGGCTACCGAGACTGAGGCCGCCGTCGATGTCACTGCCTTGGAGATGGTCAAGTGGTTTGACTCCAACTACCATTACGTCAGACCAACCTTCTCTCACTCCACTGAGTTCAAGTTGAACTCCGAGGCTGGTTTAAAGCCTGTCAACGAGTACTTGGAGGCCAAGGAATTGGGTGTTGAGACCAGACCTGTCATTGTGGGTCCAATCTCTTACTTGTACTTGGGTAAGGCCGACAAGGACTCCTTGGACTTGGACCCAATCTCTTTGTTGGACAAGTTCTTGCCAGTTTACAAGTCTTTGCTTGCTGAGTTGTACAAGGCTGGTGCCAAGACCGTGCAAATTGATGAGCCAATCTTGGTTTTGGACTTGCCTGAGTCTGTCCAGAAATTGTACAAGTCTACCTTCGACGCTTTGGTCGGCGAAGGTTTGCCAGAGGTTGTCTTGACCACTTACTTCGGTGATGTCAGACCAAACAAGGCTGCTATCACTGACTTGTCCGTCTCTGGTTTCCACTTTGACTTTGTCAGAGCTCCAGAGCAGTTTGATGAGGTTGTTGCTCTCTTGAACGACAAGCAGACTTTGTCTGTCGGTGTTGTTGACGGTAGAAACATCTGGAAGACCGACTACGCTAAGGCTTCTGCTCTCGTCAACAAGGCTATTGAGAAGTTGGGTAAGGACAGAGTTGTTGTTGCCACCTCTTCCTCTTTGTTGCACACTCCAGTTGACTTGAAGTCCGAGTCTAAGTTGGACCCAGTGATTGCTGACTGGTTCCAGTTCGCCACCCAGAAGTTGGACGCCGTCGTTGCCATTGCCAAGGACGTCTCTGGTGAGGATGTTGCTGACTTGTACGCCGCTAACGCCAAGTCTATCAAGGCTAGAAAGGAGTCTTCCATCACCACCAACCCTAAGGTCCAGGAGAGATTGGCTACCATCAACGAGTCGCTCTCTACCAGAAAGGCCCCATTCGCAGACAGATTGGCTGCCCAGAAGGAGAAGTACAACTTGCCATTGTTCCCAACCACCACCATTGGTTCTTTCCCACAGACCAAGGACATCAGAGTCAACAGAAACAAGTTCACCAAGGGTACCATCACCAAGGAGGAGTACGAGGAGTTCATCAACAAGGAGATTGAGACCGTCATCAGATTCCAGGAGGAGATCGGTTTGGACGTCTTGGTCCACGGTGAGCCTGAGAGAAACGACATGGTCCAGTACTTCGGTGAGCAGTTGGAGGGTTACGTCTTCACCACCAACGGTTGGGTCCAGTCCTACGGTTCTAGATACGTCAGACCACCTATCATTGTTGGTGACGTTTCCAGACCAAAGGCTATGTCCGTCAAGGAGTCTGTTTACGCTCAGTCTTTGACCAAGTTGCCTGTTAAGGGTATGTTGACTGGTCCAGTTACCTGTCTCAGATGGTCTTTCCCAAGAGATGACGTCTCCCAGAAGGTCCAGTCCTTGCAATTGGGTTTGGCTTTGAGAGATGAGGTCCAGGACTTGGAGGCTGCTGGTATTACTGTCATCCAGGTTGATGAGCCAGCTATCAGAGAGGGTTTGCCATTGAGAGCTGGTCAGGAGAGATCCGACTACTTGAACTGGGCTGCTCAGTCTTTCAGAGTTGCCACCTCTGGTGTCGAGAACTCTACCCAGATCCACTCCCACTTCTGTTACTCTGACTTGGACCCTAACCACATCAAGGCCTTGGACGCCGATGTTGTTTCCATCGAGTTCTCCAAGAAGGACGATGCTAACTACATCAGAGAGTTCTCTGACTACCCTAACCACATCGGTTTGGGATTGTTCGATATCCACTCCCCAAGAATCCCATCTAAGGAGGAGTTTGTTTCCAGAATCGAGGAGATCTTGAAGGTCTACCCTGCTGACAAGTTCTGGGTCAACCCTGACTGTGGTTTGAAGACCAGAGGCTGGGAGGAGACCAAGGCTTCTTTGACCAACATGGTTGACGCTGCCAAGGAGTTCAGAGCCAAGTACTAAGAGTGTGCGCTTAGTTCAGCCCCATTTTAAGAATGCGGGATATGCGTTGCATTTATTCAATTCTTGTCTACTTGCTGTATCCTGATCACATTTATTCAACATTAATGTGATTATCAACGTGATGAAGATTATGACTGTCTTTTGACAACTTTTTATTATTTTTTTGGGGTTTTAAATCTTAATTGGGATTTCAACATCGGTATATATATAAAAAATATCCTATTTTATACGAGGTTGTAAGAGACTGTTAGGTTTGAGTTGTAAATGAGTCAGCCACTGATATTTTTTCGCAGCCAATATTCCTCAATTCTAATGGGTAACAAGACTAGTTTGATAATGACGATGGTTAAGTTTAGCTATATTCATTCACTTTTAAAAATATTCCTTTCAACTTTTCTTAAGGTCACATAGTATTATAAGCCGTTACACACTATCAGCTCACCGTATTCTGTTCTCACAAAACCGCTACCTAAGGAGACCGCTATGACAAATTTCCATTTCTCTTCATGACACACGAAGCAAGATTACAGGAATCTAAAACGAATCCAAAATATGTCCACTTCTAGCAAAGTTTCATGACTCGAAACTTCACTCATTAACTCAGAGCACCATGAAAGGCATTCTTTCAGAGTTCTAAATTGTCATGACAAACTAATTGGAATTCTGAAAGGGACAGATTCGGCTACCTCCATTCTTGGAGGTCATTCACCAATAACAACGATACCGTGGTCATGTCGATAGCCATTAGTAATTCACAATAGACTGTTAAGGTTCTTCAAGGGGTTGGTTGACCGCTCCCCTTCATACATTCGAGACGTTGAGGCGTTTTCTTTGAGCCTGGGATGGTGAATTCGAGGGAATTGCAAATTAGAAAAAGAAGTAGAACTAATAACTTTATGTGATATGTTCGACTGTTGACTTGGTTTAAGAAAACCTGAATACAAATGGAGATGGATTAAGTTCAAACTGTTGCTGACTTCAAATTTAAATATAACAGTTACAGCCAATACGTTTACACTTCCTACATAGCTAGTATCTCCTTTGTAAGATTTCCTTTGGAAAATTTCCTTTTAGTATCCTTTGCCAAAGGGTCATGTGGCTTCTCTCTACAACATATCCTCGTTGATATTAATTTCGTGGTACAACAACAATATAGGTTCGATTGGAAAATGGAGCCTCATGTTTCGGAAGCCAACCATACGAGTCTAATTGTATTGATAGGTCATGATTTTCAAATACAGAATTTTTCTAGTTTCGCTTCAAAGAATCTTTGGTATTTCTCACTTTGTAACTCTCACAATATAACTCTCCCCAAAATCTACTAATGACTAACATCTGCCCTCGCAGATCCTACTAATAACATCATCTACACTAACCTCAAGTATATAATAACCAGTGCCCGAAAAAAATTGTCATAAAACCCTTTCATGTCTTTATTTCAACCTTCTCTACTATTGTGGCCCTCCCAATATACCTTTCCTACAATATCCTAGTCCCACCTGCACACATTCTATTGCCTTCTACCTACTTCTTCTACTTCTCTACTTTCAATCATGTCAGAGAACGACCAATTGATCGAATCGTTCGTCGCTGTGACGAATGCCTCGCGCTACTTGGCCGAACAGTATCTTCGCCGAAATGACAACGACCTCACCACAGCCATCGAGGACTACTATTCCTCCAATGGTGCCAGTGTGAGTCCAGAGCCTCAAGATGCTTCCAGAAGCCACCGAGCTGGAGTTAGAACGCTTAGAGACCTTGGAAATGAGAGCGATGACCCTGATGACAAGACAAATGCCAATTTCTTCACAGGTGGAGAGAAATCGGCATTGCAAGTTGAAAATCCAAATAAGGACAAAAAGAACGACAACGATCCGCTGCAGCCCTCGTTGATTGAGAGGATTTTCCAGAGAGCAAGAGACCAGATGCAAGAGCCTGATGACAGACCTTCGGCCCAGGATGAGGAAGAGACTCCTCGCCATTTTTCGGGAACAGGAATCAAGTTGGGCGACAGTGCTACGCCTCTGGAGCTGCAACCACAGCTGCCAGCACATGCACCACGGGTACCCAGTAAGGTGAGCAGGGAAATCACGTTTTGGCGCCAGGGATTTACGGTGGGTGACGGACCTTTGCAGAGATACGACGATCCGGAGAACCAACAGGTCCTACAGGAATTGAAGAATGGGCGTGTGCCTGTTTCCGTTTTGGGGGTTGAGTTTGGCCAGGACGTTGATGTTTCGGTGATCAAGAAGACCGAAGAGGACTACACCCCACCCAAACGCAAGTTGGGTGGCTTCCTGGGCCACGGTCAGAGATTGGGATCTCCTGTGCCAGGAGAGGCCAGCCCAACACCAACAACAGAGTCCCCCGCCCCAGAGAAGGCCAAGCCTTCTGATGTGGGTACTGGCGACTCGCCAGTGCAGATCAGATTTGCCAATGGAAAGAGAGTGGCCCATAAATTCAACTCGACCGATTCCATCTCGGTGGTGTACCTGTTTGTCCGTCACCACGAGCTCAATGACGCACCACTGAGGGCGTTTATTCTCAGCCATGCATTCCCTGTGAAGCCTATCGAGGAGCTGGATGGTGTGACCGTCGCCGAAGCCCAGTTGAAGAACGCTACCATCATCCAAAGGTGGAAGTAGGATAGAGGAATGAAGTTTCGGGGAGGGGAGAGACTGAATGAAGATGAAAGATTAAAGTAAATTTCTTGGAAGGAAATTCTTGTTGGAGATCGTAAACTGAATGAATAGCGAAGATGAGAGAATGTATGACTTCATGTAAATTTTGAATGAATGCATTCGAAAACAATACTGCGAGACAAAGTAATTTTTAGGTTTTTCTACTCAATTTGTATTTAACTAATATAAAAATTTTCTCTGAAGTATTATCAAGATTTGGACTTCTCCATCCTGGAATCTTCTTTCTGTAATCTTATCTTTATATAGGCAAGACTGCGAAATTGAAAAATCATCTCCACAACCACCTTCACCTCCATCTCCATTCATGCTAAGACTCAGGATAGCGGCGACCAAATGCCGACTACCGCATTTCTCACTCCCATTTTCTCATACTCGAAGTCTACACTTTCTGAGTCCTTTTTTCACACCCAATCTGGGCCAAAGTTCACTATACCATCATGAAGTACATCATCTCAATGAACCTGAAAAGGCCGTCAACGACTATATACGATGTCAAGCCCCCTTTCTAGATCCTAATTTGCATTACCCAGCGGTGGAAATCACCGACAAGTCCGTGATGGAGACAGTGCTTGAGCATACATTTGTTCCTTTCAAGACTTGGAAAGACATCTCAGAAAACCAAGACTTGTCCCCTATCGCTGGCAGCTTCATCGAGTTTGAGAAGGACTCCAAATTGGTACTCGGTGTCGTGGTTTCCGAATGCCAGTCCAAATTCAACGAGTTCCACAACAAGCTCATAGTGTTAACTATGGACAACGAGCTTGTGAGAGTATATCCGCAAGATATCCACTTCACAGCCTATCAGGTCTTGGAAAAAGACTGGATTGACAACCTAGAGATCCTTCCGAATCGTTTCGATGAAGAATACCCTGCCAGAACCCGTTTGGTCACCATACTCCACCAATTCGTGGCTACTGCCAATTCCATGAGGAAAGACTCCCAGGAATACCTCCGAATAGCATATTCTCGAATGGTTCACGATAGTCAAATGAGACCCATTTCACTTCCGTCGCTCATGGAGATCCACCAGGCTAAGTCACTCGAAAGTTATTTCCATCAGGCTGCGAAACTCATCTCCATCCACTGGGAGATGTGCAAGGATCCAAGCCGTTGGCTTGTTGCCTCGTGTATTCCAACATCTCGGTCAACCAACATTGTTGCACATCGATGCTCCAACGAGCTCCCTCCGCTTCCGTTGTATATGGCGACGTCATTGGATATTTTCTCGAATGTGGACCAGTTCCTCCAATACGATGAGCTGAAGCTCCTAAACCTCAATCTGTACATAGAGGAGCTTTACCAGAGCCAGAAATCGTTTGACTCACTCTCTGATGATATCAATATTTGGTCGGGAAAACAGTACGGACCAGCTTTCAGAACCATGGTGTATGCTACGTTCTATCCACACAACAGAATCACCAATATGCTCTTGAAGATTGATATTTTTGGGAATAGAGTGAGTCAATCGACCATTCATGAAGTTCTTCGCAAAATAGGACTATATGACAATCCCGAAAATCCTCTCACAGATATCCTTTTGTCGACAGGTCTACTTGGCAAACCAGCTCGTGCAGCATTGTCTGTGACTAGCAAAAGTGCAATTGAGCCTTCCAGTTCCATATCAAGCTCTTTGGTGGATGCACAAGTGGGAAATTTGAAGGATCATTATCCACATTTACGTCATAAAAGAGAGCATTACCGGAATATGGCAGTGTATGCTCTTCCGGGGCAAAATGGACATTCGAAATTTGCATTTTCTTTGGACAAAATCAATGAAAGAAAGTACTTCATCAATATCCATGTTCCTGACGTGGCTGCTCAGCTCAGTCCGTCTTCACGGACTTTCGAGACATGGTCCCAGAACAGTGGATTGCTCAATACTATAAAAGAATTACTCGACGGAGATCAAATCGAGATTTTTCACGAGAAAGCCATCGACGCGCTTCTGTTTTCGAAATTTGCAAAGAATTCGCTGTCCGGCTTCTTCAGTGTAGGTGACCTATCAAATCTTGAAGATGATATCACTTCACCTTGTATGACATTGACGTTCGAATACAACGTATACAAGAGCAACCCACTACAGAAAATTGGTGACCTGGTCTTCATTTCCTTTGACGAGCTCCATAGAAACCAGATCAAATTACTTGACGAGGAGACGTTGGATAAAACCTTAACTGGGAGGTTACATCCTCGAATTATGGACTCATTCAGACTATTCACCAGAACGTCAGAGCCAGACGACTCGATTGTTTTAGATGAGTCAGATCATTTCAATATTAATTTCATCTACAACACCATGACTCGCCATTTCTTGCAAAGAAATAGGAAATGTGCATCTACACTTGAACCAAAGAAACTCCACAAGAAAATTCTGAAGAGCACGACCTTTGATAAGGAAACGTGTTCTGTCGTTTCCAAAATTCTGCTCCAGTCAAAGGAAGATGTCTTCAAAACCCAGAAACGGAATTTCTTTATCGACGAGCTCCGCATCTTCGCTGGAGCTATGGCCGCTGAATATTGCCAATTACGAGACATTCCAGTGTATCGAACAAAGCAATCACTTCTCGATACCACCGTTCCTCAAAATATTGAGGAAGATGAGGTTCTTATCACACACGAGAACATGTTTCTTCCCAATTTCCACGGCAATTCATACTTTCAAACCATCCTTGGTCGAGACTCATTAGGATACGTTTCCACCTCAGCATACTTCATCGGAAATAATTATCTAGCGCGGTCTCGACTCCATGTTGGCAAAGATAGTCATAACCTTCCGCTAGGTCTAAGCTCGGGCCATGTGGACGTCAATGCATTGGACTCAGTGGCTGGCTACATTAATCAACTTCAAATCCTCGCATACCACCAGGCATCGGAACTGAAGCGCGGCTTTCGTGAGTACTCCAAGCAATATGGAGGATTAAAGAAATATGGATATCCGCTTCACGGGCCTTTGAGCTCGGAAGTTCTCAAACGGTACAGACAGAGACTTGAAGACTCCGATTTGGCTGCAAAATACGTTACAGCTAGACAAAGAGCCTTCTGGACACTTGTGCATGTGAAACAGCAGGAAGAGCTCAATGTCAAATTGGAGTACAATTGTATCGTCACCCGTATGGGTCCTAGCATAGGTACCCAGGCTACTTTGGCATGGGCATTCTGTGAAGAACTCACCATGGAGATTCGACTTTATGTGCGCACTGATGCAGACATCTCAATTGGATCGCGAGTCATGGCTGATAATATTTTATACGTTGATCCAGATAGTGGAATATGTGTGATGGAGCACAGGGAGCCATTCTAGAGGCTCTATAGCCTCACTAGCATTAATCATCATTCTGTAAATAAAATACATATTTATCCATGTACTGGTACTGCAGACAAGAGCCCACATCTTGAATTTTTCTCTGACTCAGAACTTATTCATTGTCGACTCATATTACCCCCTATGTTTGTATGTAATTAGAACCATGTAATCGCCATCATCTCTTCACCTACTAACTTTACAGACCGATATTCAACCTTCTGTGGAAGGTTTGGCCTCCTATGTGGAGAAAGACCGTCTGTTGGACGACAAACCCAACTTGTACCCAATCTTTAAGTACATGGCTACTGAGGACTTGACAGTTCATCTGGCCTACTTGAAGCTTGCCGACTTGAACAATTCTGACCGCTCGGTATCGTTTATGTTTGAATCCTCTGTTAACGGAGACTCTGTGGACCGTTATTCATTCATTGGTATTAGTCCCCGGAAAATCATCAAAACAGGCGATGACGCCAGCGTTTACCCCGATGGCTTCTGCAACGTGGACCCAATCACTATTTTGGAAAAAGAGTTGTCACAATATAAGCAGGCACAGCTTCCAGGTTTGCCCATGTTGAGTGGAGGAGCCGTTGGATACATTTCTTACGACTGTATCAAGTACTTCGAGCCTAAGACCCGCCGCCCGTTGAAGGACACCTTGAAGGTACCAGAGGCAGTGTTGATGCTCTGTGACCTAATAGTGGCATACGACCACGTCTACCAGAGATTTCAGATCATCAACAACGTTAAGGTGGACGACAACACCAACTTGGAGGAAGCATATGAAGCAGCAGCGGAAGAGATCGCCAAGGTGGAGGCCAAGTTGAAGGAGCACAAGACTTGGGAGCAATTGAACCCCATCCAGCCACCTATCAAGCCTAACCAGACATTCACCTCTAATATTGGCCAAGAAGGTTACGAGCTGCATGTCACCAAGTTGAAGGAGCACATCAAGCTTGGAGATGTGATTCAAGCTGTGCCCTCGCAGAGAGTGGCCAGACCTACGTCTTTGCATCCATTCAACATCTACCGTCACTTGAGAACCGTCAACCCTTCGCCCTACTTGTTCTACATTGACTTGCTTGATTTCCAGATCATTGGAGCCTCGCCAGAGCTTTTGGTCAAATGTGACAGTAAGAGCAAAATCGTGACGCATCCAATTGCTGGAACTATTCAGAGAGGAAAGACTAACGAGGAAGACGAGCAGAATGCGCAGATCTTGAGATCGAGCTTGAAGGACCGTGCAGAGCACATCATGTTGGTGGATTTGGCCCGTAACGATGTCAACAGAGTTTGTACTCCCGAAAGTAACCGTGTGGAGAGATTGTTGACCATTCAGAGATTCTCGCATGTGATGCATCTCGTTTCTGAGGTGACCGGAACTTTAAGAAGCGACAAGACCAGATTTGATGCCTTCAGATCCATTTTTCCCGCTGGAACTGTGAGTGGAGCTCCTAAGGTCAAGGCAATGGAGATCATTGGCGACTTGGAGAAGGAGAAGAGAGGTGTTTACGCTGGAGCTGTTGGCCACTGGGGCTACGACGGTAAGACGATGGACACATGCATTGCGTTAAGAACAATGTTGTTCAAGGATGGTGTTGCATACTTGCAAGCTGGAGGAGGAATTGTTTTCGACAGTGATGAGTACGACGAGTACATGGAGACGATGAACAAGATGAGAGCCAACAACAATACAATTGTTGAGGCAGAGAAAATCTGGATCCAGAAGGTTGGAAGCGAGTAGTCATAGAGTTTAGATAACGGAATTAAAGTTACTACGACTATTCTATTGTGTTGGAAATTGGCTCATTGTTAATCTCACTTTCACCAGCCACTCTTTCGGACACGACCATGCGGCAAATGTAAGATTGAACGGGGGGCACGCACATGATTTTAGCCCCTGATTAATTATAAGAATTCTGGCAAATGATGAAATATCTGAAGTTGATATTTTCCGTATTCATTCTGCAAAATCCACAGTAATCATGCGAATCAGGGTCCATGTGACCAATTCGGCAATTCTGGTTCGTTTACTACATGCAGTACCACAATATGAGTCAGTTAAAACGGGAAGAAAAAAGGAAATATTGCTGATATTTTTCTATAATTAATTTTGATTATGTATTCAGATATTAATTATCCACTCTGAATAACCAATTTCGTAACTAAACCCCTTTAATTCATCAAATACAATATCCGTTAATCACGTGACAGGTGTCGTCGAGATGATCATCACCACACGACTTCCAACCACCAACCCAAAGGCTACTACTGCCCAACATTGGCTCAATCCTCGGAGAACCCGGTAAGTCATCCAACTATGTCTACAGGCAGTCCCGAAGCAGCAGACTCGGCGTCTCCACCCTCGAAATCATTTTCTAGAACCCCCACGTCATGGGACGCCCAGGACGACATTCTCTTGATGCATTTGAAAGACAACCAGAAGCTCGGATGGAAGGAGATTGCGCTGCATTTCCAAAACAGAACGCCCAACGCCTGTCAGTTTCGCTGGCGGCGGTTGAAGAGCGGTAACTTGAAGAATCCCCCAAAAGTGCTCAGGCACTTGGAGGGTTGGCTGCTGCGGCCATGGCTGCCACCACGAGTCCCAGCCCCAGCGGCTCAAGTCCACCAGCTAATGTGCCCAAGAAAGCTGGAGTCCGTCGTAAATCTGAGTCTCAGCCACCCAATTTGGGTCTGGTTTACTCGCCTCTCGCAAATACAACCTTTACAGGGTACGAGACCGTGTCGAGTGCCTTGACTGGATTAAATGCGCTTTCAAACAGCTCGGGAGGTACTCCAAACTCGTCTCAGGGCCCTCAGGGACCCATCAATACGACGTCACACCCACAAACATTTGATAATCTGCCAAAACTGGACCTTCCTTTGGATCCCCAGACCCATAGCGCAGCTGCGGCAGGTACTCTGGGCGGGTACTTCACCGACATATCTGTGGACCCTACACTGAATTTGCCTCATAATAAGCCGCATCCAGTGGACTCTCACCAGCTGGGGATTACTCCTCGCAATTCCGTTGACCAACAACAAACACCTCTCCACAACAACTCGATCATCCAAATTGTACGTGGCGACGACCGGGCGTCGGTGCTGCTGCAGCTGCGGCACTCGGTGCTGAGTCTCCCCCTGAAATCGATGAATATCCCACATCACCAGCTGAACAACAGCTCTTTGGCTCATTTGCCTATTCTTTTTGGAGGAAACAGTATTCTGGGCCCTTCAGGAGGAACTTCTATTCTGGGTCCCTCAGGACTCCCACAGCTCGCATCCACATTGTCAGGTATCCGTAATGGATCAATTGTAGGTCCCCCACAGGCGTATTTGCGCCGTCTGTCGATGGTGGTTGCGCATGATAGGAGAGGCTCCGACAAGGAGCGGCCCGAACGCAAAGAAATTGACAAGATCAAGAAGGAGAAAGACAAGGATGCTGCGGGCCGGAAACCTGCGGCAGCACAGCCTGTCTTCAACATTCCCTGGTCAATGGAAGAGGACGAATTGTTGATCAATCGACGCCGAAAAGAATTATCGTTCGCAGAACTCTCTATTTTACTTCCGCAACGAACAGAAGGCGAAATCTGGTCTCGAATTGATGCATTAGAGCGTCTCCGGAACGGCCACCGGGCTCTGCGTGATTCTCGCCGCCGTAGGCTCCTGCTGGTGGGGCTTGATGATGTGGATGATTTCTACTCAGAGGTGGATTCTGTGATCGGTGCCATTGACAGCGAAGACGATGATGACGACGAGGACGTGCTTTTGGACGTTGAAGACAGCATTCCGGGACATATGCGGCGAGGCAAGAAAAGGCGAGCCAGTTCTGCTGTGAATCCCTTGACAGTGCGAGAAGGAATACGGCGGAAGCTTCATTAAGCGGAGCTATTAAGTTTACGAAGAATCGGGGCTTGGAGGGCTCAGGTAGAGCACAGGTAAATTATTTTCTTCCAAAATCACTCGAGTGGTTAATTATCCACAGACTGGTTGTCAAAGAATATCTTCAATTCTGGTACTTTATACATGGCTAATATAACTTCAAGTCGTGAGTGATCTGGTCAATGACCGACTTTGGAGCAGGCCCCAAACCTAGCACAGTGGCACTCCCAGCAGCAATCTGTGTTCGTCCAGCATCATGAACCACATAGGCATTGACACCCAACGACATTGCCTGAGCAAACAAAAGATCCATCCCATCTTGGTCTGGTACCTGCAATGTGATCTTAGCCTGACCGTTGCCATGCTCCCATCGTGAAACCATCTCCGGGTTGTATGCTGGTGAATTTGGGTCGGTGATCTTCTTGTATAAAGCAAGCGTAGCATGCGAGCATTGGGCCGCAGCTTTTCCCTTTCCCATCTTCAAGTCTTGGCGAACCACTAGCGTCATACGGACCTCGCCGGGGATCCCGTTGAGTGACCTCGAATCGATGTCCACATCATCATCGGATTCGGAATCTGAGAAGGATTCTGTTGAGATGTCTGAGTCAGAAGGATGCGATGGAGACGATGTTGGACGAGCAGGCTGTTTTGGGCGAATTTCGGAAACTCCATTGACGAGTCGATTGAAGAGGTAACCCGAGACGAAGGCCACGGCTGCGACTCCGAAGAGCTGGGTGGTTTGGCAATTGGTCATGATGGAAGACGTTTGAGAAGGGCTATTTGGCGAGGTGAAGAGTCTTTGATCACGTGACAATGTAGGAAATGCACATAAAGTATAATTAGAGGGTAGGAAAGTAGTAAAGTAAGATAAGAGGAAAAAGATAAAAAAAAAAGATAAAAAAAATAAATTATGAACAGCATACAAAGTCAAATGGAAAACTCAACGTTTGCTCAAACGTGACGTTTAATTATGGACCTCGACGTTTAGTGAAAGTTAAATGAACACTTTTCACATGGTGAGAACAAACACATGCATTGCAAGCATAAAAGTTGGAAAAATTAACGTAACTCAAAATTAGAATTTCACTTCCACCACAATAGAATCTTCAACGATTCCAAAACACAAAATTCCTTCAATCTGCCACTGTGTTTATTAGTACTGCACACAGGCCATCAACATATGCTCCCACCCATTGAAACTACCATTTACATCCCCTACCCATACAATGACGCTTCTTCCTGTGCGGCTCTCAACGCTTTTGAGGCTTTCACTCGTATACTACGTGGTTTACTTGACGTTCTTTGTATGCCGGGCTGACTACTCTGAATCCAATGATCTTGTTCAATATACATGCGGCCATCTTAACAGATCAGTTTACCCCGTGTGGACGAGCCAGGTGCAGCCGCATTTCAACAAGCTTGACAAGAATTACGGTATTTCGAAGACCTTTAAGCCTGTGGTGGTGGAATTTCGCAACAAGATTGCAGCATTTGACGAGAAGTACCAACTCTCGTATAAGACTGATAAGGCATGGGCCGCCGTGCGGATCTGGGCCAACGATAAGTTTGGCGATGTCTATTTGGAAGCTCAACTGTTTGTAGCGTATCAAATTGCTAAAGTCAAACTGCACTGGGCTGGAAGTATGGCGCCTATCACCCAGTACTACTTGGATCAATACGAGAAGACTTGGGGTAAGTCAGTTAACAGTTTTGCCACTAAGGTTAGACTCAACACGAGTGTGTACTGGAGAGCATCTAAGAGACACTCTTCTCGGTTGCTTTCACTCCACGTAGTTCCTATTTATCTGCAAATCACTGGAAGTCTCTCGAGAAACAAGCATTTGACTTGGTTATTTGACAAGGCTCGACCTGAAAAGGCAGTTGCTGAAGTGAAGAAGGTGTATTCAATCTTGGTTGAAAAATCTGCAGAGTACTCGTCCAAGTTGCAACAGAAGGTTGATTTTATCCAAGACGAGTTCTCAAACCTTAACAAAGACAACAAACTTAAGAAGAAATGGAAGCGTGACACCAATAAAATCGTTGAGGTAATGAATGGCATTTTGGAGGATGTGAGATCTTCTCGTAAACGCTCAACTGACGATGAAACCCCAATTGATATCGACAATGAAACCGGAACTGAAGTGGAAGAGTCTGTTCCTGAAGCTTTAGATGAACTCATTGAACCCGAGGCACAAGGAAGCGATCCTGAATTTACTGCCTCTGCAGATGTAGAGTTTACCGAATCTATGGAGATACAGTCTACGGAGAAAGAATCTACGGAGACCGAATCTACGGAGACCGAATCTACTCAGTCCGAATCTGCCGAGACTGTGTCCACAGAGACTGAATTAACTGAGACTGAAACGGAGACCACCGAAGCACAGAGTGTTCACTCTACAGTGCTTACTTATACGTCTACAAAAACCCTGACAGTCACAGTTGTCAAGAGCGGCCCTCCCCCAAGCAAGAAATCAGCTGAGTCAGGTGGGCCTGATCAGGCTGCGTCTGGTGCCGAGGTTGCATCTGTGGAACATACAGAGGAGAATGTGGCCAAGTATGGAGGAGACTCATCGGAAGCCCAGATTGACTTTGAATTGAAATACTGGAAATCAAAGGTAGACAAGACTTTAGACTTGGCTTACAACAGTCTTGAGTCAGATATGAAAGACTTCTTGAATGCCACCATTGCAGAATTAAAGGATAAGATCTCTTCTAACTTCACTGCCTTGCAGCTGGGTAACTTTGCGAGATACAAGGTTATGAATGAGTTGATTGCGGCAATTGACAAGGACTCCGAATACATTAGAGAATCTGGTACGATCATCGAGGAACCTGAAGTTGACAGACAAATCATGCGTGACAGAATTAAGGAGGCTTACAATGAAGTCGAGGAATCCATGAAACATGTTGAGGTCAACCTTAACGAGGCACATTTGCAAATAATGGAGACGTACTTTGCCGTTGTGCAAGACACAGTGGACGTTTTGGAATCTTTCGCAGACACCACTATTCTGGATTTTTCCAATCGCTTAACTGGATTGTTGGAGATTTTGGAAACTAATTCAGACTTTGAGGATGAGTTGAGCTGGTCTGCTTGGAAGCAGTTCCACAAGGTTAAGGATCTGATTTTCAATATTAGAGACTCCATTTATAACGATGCCGAAGCATACAAACTCAATCCAAGGGGCCGTACCAAGCCTAATGGATTGAAATTATGGGATCAATACTTGGACAATATTAACTTCCATATTAAGTTTTTGTTAACTGATAATGACGAGTACTTGAAGTTAGTGAGAGCCAAGGCTAATATTGCTTACCAACAGAGAGAGGGATTAACTGCGGAGTTGAATGCTAAGGCTAAGGCAAAAGAATTAGCCGAAGTAGAGGCGTTGGCTAAAGCTAAGGCAGTGGCTGAGGCAGAGGAAAAGGCAAGAACTGATGCCATTGCCAAAGAAGAATACTTGAAAGCAGCGGACGCCAAAGTTAATGCAGCAAACGAAGCATACCAATTACAGAAGGAAGAGGAGGCTAGAGAGTCCGGCCAGGTTGTATCTGAAGTTGAGGGCTCTACCGAGGTTGAGGAAGCCATTGTGGAGTCTGCTGAGGAAGCCACCGAGGAAGCTACTGAGGAAGCCACCGAGGAAGCCACCGAGGAAGCCACCGAGGAAGCCACCGAGGAAGCCACCGAGGAAGCCACCGAGGAAGCTACTGAGGAAGCCATTGATAAGCCAACTAGAGAAACTGAAGAGGCAGAAGAAACGGTGCAGACTGTTAGCGAGGAAGGTGCGGCTGAGGAATCCTCATCTCAGCCATCTGAAATTCCGGATTTTGCTGAAAAAGCCGAGTTTCCTGATGAAAACCCGTCTGCCGTTTTGGATTCTATCGAGCTACCCATTCTTGGAGAAATCATCGAGGAAACTGTTGTGGCTGAAACCTTAAGCGATTTCTCCACAGCAAGCAACGCGGAGGATGCTGCGTTATCTCCGGAGGCGATGAGCACTGTTCCCACCGAACCATTAGCATTCGACGACGACAACATCATCGAAGAATTGGAAGCATTTGAAGATGCTCCCGAGGCTTTGGAAGCCACCGACTAATCGCAGCGACCGGAAGATTTGGTGGAGGTGGCGCACGTTTATAGAGTGGCCGATTAATAATAACTCATGTATTGGTATATAGAGAATTGAATAAATCTACTCAAATATTGGATTGGACCTTCTCCTTGATATTCTCAGCCTGAGCAATCACCTGCTCCTTGACATTGCCAGCCTGCGACACAACCTGGTCCTTAATGGTAGCAGCCTGAGATGCAGCCTGATCCTTGAGGGTAGCAGCTTGAGACACAACTTGGTCCTTGAGGGTTGAAGCCTGAGATGCAACTTGTTCAGCAACAGTCTCAGCCTGAGCAGCAACGTTCTTCTTCAATTCACCAGCCTTAGGCACCACAGTCTTGTGAAAGTGAGCCTTGGCCCACACATAGAAACTGTGGAAGTAAACAGCAGCGTGGTACTCAGCAAGCTCAATAAGTGCAGCGAATTGCAAGGTCCATGGGTGGACCAATTCGTAGTACTTGGCCTTGGCAAGTTGCAACTTGGACTCAACCTTGTACTCCTTGAACAAATGGTGGGAGTGAACGTGAGAGTCCAAGAAGGCGTGAGCCTTAGCACGATAAGGAGCCACATAATGGTCAACAGTGTCGAGTTTCTGACACAATTGATCATGCTGGTGAGAAAATGGATGAGTCAAAACCTGGACAGCATGATCCAACGACGATTCGTGCGTCTTTGGACATCTGTAGGTGTAGAGGTACACTGTATAGAAGAGCACAAAGCTCACGAAGAAACACTTAAACTTGGCAAAGGCACCCATATTTTGTAATTGGAACAAAAATTGTTAGGATATTGATTGCTAGAAGTATCAGTAGCAATTGTCCAAGAATGGCAAGTTAAGTACAGATGACGCACGTGAATGGATGGGCGAGCACACGTGACCTCACATAGTGTAAGAAAACCATCAACTACTTGTTTGGAATTTGGCCCAATATGGAAATGTCTTATTCATGTTGGGTTTTGGGCAAATGTTGGAAGGTGCGAGAACACTTTGAAGATGATATGAAATTGGTCACAAGACTTGGGAAGTCGTTTGTTTATCATATTCCTTATTTTTTAATGATTTTGACTCCACACCTAGTAACCATCTGGGAAAAAGGTTACCCGGTCCAAACGATGCGCATATATAACCTGCGCATCGCCAGAAATTCTAACTTCTTCAATTTTGTTACCACGAATTCTAAAATGAAACACCTAGCCACAAAGCCGCGGTCTCGTGCCATCAGATAACTTCCCACCGTTCTGGTGATGGAGTTGTGTGACTGGTGGAGTGGCGCCCCCCCTTGATGTAACTGTCGTTGTCATGGAGTTTTTCCTTGGTTGCGTATATCTGTAGTTGGATCGTACTTTTCTTTCCACGGTTGTTAATTTTGGATTCCAGATCAATTCCCGGTTTATCGTGTTTTTTCTCCGCAATAGAATCGGCACTTCATGCCCGGGGAACATTTAGTAGAGAGTAATTGTTTGCAGAATGAAATCAGAGCGATTAGCAGAATTCGGACAGAAAGTCTGTCAGATCAATCTTTGAGTTTTTTGAACATTTGTTTTGCTTTTCTTTTAATTGTTATCCTTATCTACCCAGTATTCGTTCATCGGCCAATAAGATGTTACATTTTTCTTCCTTCCTAATCACCGTTATTGAAATTATTATCTAGATAGCTCGTGGCTTCTTTGGCAATTCTAGGTTAAGCTAATATTCGGCTTCTCGGCAATAGAAGCTATATACACTCCATTAAGTAGCGTCAAACGCGATCAAGACCTGACGTAACGACTTTCAATTTTCCTTCTTCCATCGTTAAAAATGGCTTTTTCCAAGCTGCTCAAAGAGTTTTTCTATTCGCTAAGTGCTACCGACAAGTACTCAGACTTTGACTCCCGCAAATCTTTCAATCGTGTTAACAAACCCACTGCCCAGACAAGTTTGCTCTATTCCCACCAAAACAACAGCTCAAGCGTGTCTCTCACATCGCCCAGCACCGACTCGTCTGAAGGAGTTCACGAAACACGTCTTGCATGGCGTCACATCAAGAAGTGGCTCCATAAACACTCCCAAGATCTCAATTCCACCTTGCTGTCTCCGTGTACAGAGTCCGATTTGAGTGAATTCCAGAAAGATTTAAACATTCGCTTGCCAAAATGCGTGCAAGAGTTCTTTACCATGACAGATGGCCAGTCTACGTTCAACGAGAACGGATCTGGGGGCTTGATATATGGCTTGCGTTTGATGTCCATCAATGAGATTGCCGTCATGACAGAAAGCTGGAGAAAAGTCCACAAGGCCATTTTGGAGCAACAGAATGTTCCAGTCCTGGAGCCTCAGCTGCCAGTTGTTGAAGAAACCTCCGATTTAGGCGAGCCCTCCAAGTTAAAACAACCCAAGGTGAAGAACGAAAGAGCAAACCCATTTCCACGCCAGTACTGTGTTCCTCCAGGGTCGATTTTGCCTATCTATGCTCATTCAATGTGGATTCCGATCATCACAGACGGCGTAGGAAACTGCATAGCCGTCGACTTATCACTTTCGGTGAACGAAGCAAGTATCGCCTCTTTGTCTGGCACTCCACGGACTAGCGAAGCTGAGGTTGATGCTGAACATTCCAGTGAAACAGCCAATATTTCTGTGGATGTGATTCCAGGAGAGTCTATAACCGACAAAAAAATTTTGAAACAAGAGAAAACAGATCAAACTTGGGGCCAGGTGATTATATTTGGGAGAGACTTCGACACTAAGTTCAAGATCGCAGATAACTTCGGAGATTTCCTTCTAATTTTTGCCAACGATCTCGAAAAGGGTAACTGGGAGTTAACGAGTTCGAGTGACAATGAGGACTTGATGTGCGGCTCGGACACAGAGTTGATCTACGTTGACCACGAAACAAAGAGAGAAATGCCATACTTGGATGTATTAAAACGTCGTGTCACTGATCAGTGGCTAAATTCACTCAGTGAAGAACAAAAGGCATTAAGGGACAATAAGAAGCTTATAGACCTCTTGTACAAAGGAATGTCGATTCAAGTTCCAGAGCTCTCTGAAACGACAACGGATAATTTGATTAACGAGAACTTGTGCAAGATTGATGTCATCAACACACCCATAAAATCTGGCGATGGAGTAGGTGCTGCTGGCGGTCCTAGTCACTCTAACGACTTTGGAGGCGACCTGGACGACGACATGACTTAATGGTCGCCAGATTTGCTTCTTACCAGATAATGCGCTGATATCCGGGCTCTGTGAGCCAGGTGAACTCATAGCTGAAGAACACAATGAAAACAACGGCATTGATGAACAGGTACCAAAGGAATTCATAGAGATGGTTGCGAGTGACAGTGTCGCTCTTTGGCCGAATGAAAATGCGGAATAACACCAAAGGAACAATGTAGTATCTGGGCTCGAACAACGGAGAAGGAATCAAAGTGATGGCTATTGCTCCCACGAAAGCGATGATTCCTGTGGATTTCATGCTCAATACAGATTTGTGACTGTCTTTGAGAATGAACACCACTAGCCAGCAACAGAAATGGTACGCTGGAACCAACAAAACTTCCGCGTGCTTTCTGCTGAGAATCTTCCGATAAATATAGAAGGTGTAGTGTCTGTTATCAGCAAGAAGGAACGGATGCACTACCGTGTAGTTCTTGATGATATAGTAGATCAAGGCATATGAAACAGCGGTGATCACGGAATTGAAGCCGTACCTATAGGTGAAGGCAAATTGTGAATAGATTTTGATGGTTTTGTAGGAGAACCAGAGAGGGAACGTGAAGAAGGCCATAAAAGCAGCACAATAAAACACCTGTGCTAAGTGAAACGAGACTTGGTGGTTCTCTTTATCACCGAAGGTAATTCCTCCGTTGTACTTGACAAACACCACGAAAAGCACACCATTGACCGCATAAGGAACCAAGAGTAGCCAGTCTTTAAAGGCTTGGGTAACAAACAGCTTGATATCGGCAAAAAAAGACAGAGTTTTTTGTCTTCTAAAGTCTATGAGAATTACACTCGCAAAGGCTACCCAAACTATGTTGGTTTGCCGGAACCACAAGCTCGTAAATCCGATCAAATTGCTGAGAATAGCTCCTTTGCCGTTCGGATATTTGACTACCACCAACACCGCAGCAACCACTAGCACAGTGGACCACACATCCGTGTAGTATAGGAAAAGGTAAGTGTAGAATAACGGCAACGATACCACATTGACGCGCCAATAATTGTTGGTATGAACCAAGGAGAGCACAATTGGGAATACTACAGACCCTCCTAGCAAATTAAGTGAGCGGAGAGCCGTTGGCCCACAAGGATCACTGAAACCAAGCACCTTCAATACATGGTAGTAAGCGGTACCGAGAAGGTATAGGCCGGGGGGAGTGGTGATCTTATTATCCCATTCGGTGAATCGATGGGCACAGTAAACAGCATTCTGGCGAAGATGGAAAATTTCGTCTATAAATGGGAGAGGAACATGTAAACGTACGTTTTGAGCTATCGTGGCTGTCATCATCAGAAAGATGGGAAGCACCAAGCTTTGAAGGTCGACCATGGCAAATAGATGGAAAAGAAGATATTTCCACGTGGAATTGGCAAGTTAAAAATTTCAAGTTTCCACTATCGAACAGTTTCAGGGGCCGATACAGGGCCAGGAAGACGGTATTATGGATCTACATTATCTCAAATTTATCATGTGCGCCGTTTGTGTGTTGTACACCTCTACATTTTAACTGTACTACCATCATTTTTCATAAGTATCTACCTTTTTTTGCTGCGTTTAATCTGTGTTTTCTTATCTGTTAGATTTTTTTTGTTCTCTCTTTATGCATTTTCCTTCGGATCCTCGTTTGGTGCCAACAAGATCACCGTCACCAAGCGTCCGAGGTTCACCAACTCAACCTATTCAAAACCAAACCATTCAAGATGTTGTAGGCGTTCCAGCGTCACTTCACAGATCTCGGTCGTTGCCCGGTCAAAGGCTTTCCCACTCACTGCAATTTAGACATCAGGATTTAAATCAGAATTCCCCTCGAGTAGACAATAGAATCCAAGCCATAGACGAGACCACAGACTTACATTGTGAAACTTGTCTTCAACCGCCATTGGCCCAGGCTTTGGGCATAGAAAATCAAAGATTGTTGTCGTATGCCTCAGCCCCAAGACCACGGTCGGAAAACAACGTAATTTTATCAGTCACTAGCAACCTCCATGATCTTGTGTTAGACAATGACCACTCTTTGGGAACTCGAGGGAGGAGAAGAGAGCGTCAGGACCAACAGCCTCCACTGTGGTCACTGCGTTACTCAAACACCACCCTGCTGCCTCCTCCCCATCAGCACCACTCTAGAAGTTCTCGTACACCCACCAATGTACGTGAATGTACACCTCCACCAGCCAGAGCAGAGAGAGTAAGAAAAATCGAAGAGATTGAATACTTGATCGCTTATGGCCTCTCCAGTAACTTTTATAATAACGTCGTGTCATGGAGCCGTACTTCAGACCGCATGGTTGTTGCGGCAGATAACGAGGTCTACTGGTGGAACGGCCGTGGCCATGTGGAACGCATTGACTACGACCCCGAATCCCAATCTCCAATAGCCTGTGTAGCATGTTCGGATATCCAATACACGGCTATTTCAGCCATGGACGGGACACTTTATGTCCTAGACGAGTCCAATGGTCGAGTCTATTCGCATCGGTTTCCATGTGCTCTCAAGTGCATTCAGTGGATGCACCTAGGAAATATGTTCATTGGCGGAGACAGCAAGGGTACAATTTATTTTGGTGGGATGAGGGATTGCAGCATTTACGTCGTGTCGGAACTTTCTGTTTCTAACCAACAAATTTGCGGTACGTATCTGTATTAGGTCTTCAAGTTTGTACTAACTGACAGGAATATCAGTCAACAACGAGAACAGAGAAATGGCTGTGGGTTGTAATGACAATCGTGCAACTATTTGGGACATTTCTCTGCTCCAGACGCCACTTCGAAAATTTACGTTTTACCACTATTCTGCCGTCAAGGGTATTCAGTACTGCCCATGGTCTCCTTCTCTATTAGCTACTGGTGGGGGATGCCATGATCGTCGAATCCGATTTTGGCACACGTCCACCGGATCATTGATCTCGAAATTTGATACCATGGGACAAATCACATCTATTTTGTGGAGTCAATCCCGAAAAGAGTTGGCCATTACGTATGGGTTTCTGAACCTACAGCCTCCAGTTCTAATAAGCGTGCACAGGTATCCAGATATGTGTATGGTGGGTGAGGCATTGCCCAAAACTGTTTTCCGAGGTCTTGGAACGGCCATTTCAACCAATCAGACGAAGATCGCCGTTTCTGCAGATGATGGTACCGTCCGAGTGTTTGATATATGGGATTTACGTTCTCATACATTGAGCAACTCTCCACTGAGCCAAAGCATTGGAGCGTTTGGTAGTCCATTGATTGAGGCGCTAGAGGGTATAGATGTGAGGTATCCTTTCATTAGGTGATAATATTAGCTAGATACTTGGAAAAGAAATGATTTAGATATTCATGTTAGTTGGAGTGGCAGATGGTTAGTGTAATATTGGTATAGGTGGTTGGGGAATGAGTATCTCCCTTGGATACGAAAAATAATACATCACAAAAATTAATTAATAAAGACAGAGATATAATGTAAGCTTATTCAGAAAAATCCTCATTTTAAAAAACAAAACTCCAAAAAGTCACTCCAAACATTTATAGTAAGCTACTTCCATCCTCCACCTCCTGCACCCACAAGATAAGCAATTTTAACATGTTGAATTTTCGAATAAACACTACACCATGGAACAGCCAGTCCCCCAAACAAACCCCGAAAGCACTAATGCTACAATTCTATTGATGGGGTTGCGCAGAGGCGGTAAGTCGTCTATTTGCAAGGTCGTGTTCCACAACATGCAGCCTCTAGATACCTTGTATTTGGAAAGTACCTCCAAACCAACTAGCGAGCAGTTTCTGTCGCTCATTGACTTATCTGTCATGGAGTTGCCCGGCCAGCTCAATTACTTCGAGCCCACTTACGATAGTGAGCGTTTGTTTTCAAGCGTGGGTGCCTTGGTGTATGTGATTGATTCCCAGGATGAGTATCTCAACGCCTTGACTAATTTGTCCATGATTATCGAGTTTGCCTATAGCGTCAACCCCAAGATTCACATTGAGGTGCTTATTCATAAAATTGACGGGTTGTCAGAGGACTACCGAATTGATGCTCAACGTGACATCATGCAAAGAACTGGAGATGAACTCTTAGACCTAGGGTTGGAAGGCGTTCAAGTATCGTTCTACTTGACGTCGATTTTCGACCACTCTATCTATGAGGCATTTTCTCGGATTGTTCAGAAGCTCATTCCAGAATTGCCCTCACTTGAGAACATGCTCGATAACCTTGTAGCACATTCTTCTATCGACAAGGTGTTTCTCTTTGACGTGAATTCCAAGATCTACGTGGCCACGGACTCGTCGCCAGTTGATATTCAAACGTACGAGGTGTGTGCGGAATTCATTGACATCACAATTGACTTGGACGATTTGTATGTGGATCACGAGAAGGATGAGGGAGTGAAAAAGGACGAAATTAAGTCCATCTCCTACCTCTCCAATGGGTCCATTTTGTACCTCAAGCAGATGATCAGAGGATTGGCATTGGTTGCACTCATCCGTAATGACGAGGAAGGTGCCGAGGATAAGGCTGAGAACATGGATGAGCTCCTTACTATTATTGATTTCAATGTCGGTTTGTTTAAGAAAGCTCTCATGAAGATGTGGGAGAGCTCCAAATTTGAGCCACGGGCTATTGAAGGCAGAACATGAGTTCTTTCTTATAATGACTTGTGATAATTAGAGACCAAAACATGGGATAATTTGAGAAGCTTGGGAAGCTTGGGAAGCTTGCAAAATTAGAGAAGCTAGAGAAACTTGAGATATCTCGAGCAACTTCAGAACGCTTTGATTTCACTAGAACTGAAGTCACTGTGAGGAGAGGTTGAAAAGGACAAAATTAATTGACGAGCAATTGAAATTTAACCAATTGCACAATTGGACGCATTTCAGGTTAAGTTCAATGCGGTGATTGAAAGCCGTGGCTAGTACCTTGTGGGCATTGAGGGTGGCTGGTTACTGATGAAGAATAATAGAAAAGAAACGAGTCCTAACCGCAACCATCGTCTAACCCCACATTCAGTTTGTCGTCTAAGATGAGCACGGGCCTGTTGAGAGCCCGGGCGTGAAATTTTTGACCTCGCCTTTGTTCCCACGATTAAGGTTTCGTGACATGTCAGAATTAATTTCCAGCTAACAAAGTTCCATGGACTAGTGAGCCTTTAGGTTTGAAATTGTCGGTCACTGAAATTATTTGTTCTGGATTGAGGCTACAAACCCGATTCACTTTTTATTTCTAACCGATGAAGCTCCACCTTTCAATTCAACTCCGCCTACATTGAATAATTTGCTTATCCTTAACATTTATATTCTATTATACATGTCCGCAGACCAAATCTATCACAATCACTTATTAGTGGTCGTTGGAACCTTAGTTGTTTACCAGCACTCGTAGCCACCATCCACAACCAAGTTGTGACCTGTGGTGTATGAAGAGGCTGACTCAGAGGCCAAGTAAAGAATGGAACCCACAAATTCCTTAGGGTCAGCCATTCTCTTCATTGGAATCTTGCTCTCCCATGCATCCTTCATCTCACTGTGTCCAGCAATGACGTTTCTGGTCAATGGAGTAAGGATGTAACCTGGAGACAAGGTGTTCACTCTAATGTTGTACTTGGCCCATTCACAGGCCAAAGATCTAACGAGGTGAATCACACCAGCCTTGGACATGTTGTACATGCACTGAGGCTGTGGGTCGTTGACGATGGTTCCTGACATGGATCCGATCAAAATGATGGAGCCTCTCAAGTTGTTCTGGATCAATGGTCTGGCAAATGCCTGCGACACGTAGAATGCTCCCAATCCGTTCACCTTCATGATCCCCTCTGCGTTCTGTGCGGGGTATTGCTCGGCAGGGAAGTTCTCACAGTAACCAGCGGTGTTAATCAACAAGTCTGCGATCTTTCCGTGATGCTCATTAATGGCAGCGAAGACGGTGTCGACGGACTCAGCATCGCCAATGTTGCTAGACCAGGCAGACACCTGGCCAATAGGAGACTCATGGGCACCCTTTAAGGTCTCCACGGCCCATGCAGCCACCTCCTTAGCAGCAGCCTTCGTTCTCTCCAAGTTGATATCCACCAATGCGACATCAGCACCCTGGGCCAAAAGGGCTCTGGAAATCACCGCACTCATACCTCCGGATCCTCCGGTGATGATAGCCAATCTGCCATCCAATCTGAAGCTTGGGACGACGTTCTCGTAGGAGTAAGTAGACATAGTAGTATTAGTTAGGAAGTTTTTCGTGGGGGAGATTACACCTGGAACCGGGCCACTTTATATACCTCCACCAACGGTTACTGCAGACGAAAAAGGAACGGATAAGAAAAAGCAACCACCATCGTATTGTTTGCAGGAAAGATGTTATGATGATGAAATTATGTAGGTCATGACGTCTTGTATGTAGAGTGACGACAGCGAGCCTAGAGAGATTGCCATGATGATGTAGGAGGTGCGACGTGGGAAATTGAATGTAAAAAATCGCTATTAAACGAAAGGTCACCGCTGTAAGAAAAAAAATGATTTGCTTGTTGGTTGGCGTCCCCATCGTGACCAAGGCGGCCCCGCCTTACCTCTGGGCGGGTTTAGAGCGTTACCACCAGAGTGCTACTAACACTACGCAGAGAATCTCGGAATCAGGCAGAGAGCATGGATAAGGTATGGGGTCCCGGTGAATGTGATATACACGGGGCAGACTCGTGGGCAGTGATGGAACGACAATGGGAAGGGGTGGCCCGGATCGGAAAATGGATATGATTGAAAATATTAAATTTTGAAAGGAATTTCTTAGGTTTTCAGGTTTCTTGCTGGTTACCTACAATGGCCTTCTTGGAATTCTCGTATTGAATTATTTTCACCGATGACGCTCTCCGCACAATGTGGAGACCGCTATTTTTGGCCCCACAGTGACCGGATAATGTGCTGGTTTGGGCATGACCGCCGATGACTATTCGGTCAGGTACCGATTGCTGTGTTCCAATTGGGAATTGTCATGGATTTTGTAATTCGGGTGACAAATTCTAGTCATTAGTCATTTCTTTGGTGATTTCTCAATTCTCACCCACATGCCTCCACTCCGTGGATCTTCGCCTGGACATCGCCCTATATTCACTACTAACTCGGGGCTAGTAATCCCGGGCTATGTGAAAGTTCGGAGCTCTCGGCGATGCTCCGACCTGACACCTAACACTATGGGGGGATGTCTCCTATTGGTTCCGGTGTAAGGATGGACGTTGTGTTATGTGCCTTGAGTGATTAGAAATACTTAGATAAGATGGCTGCGAACAACTCCGTCAACTCCGAACGCCGAGGCAAACGGTTATTTGGTCTGTACTTTTAAATTAAGAGTCTATGAATTTCTGACAATGTTTCTGAATAAATGAGAAATGATATGTTCTTTGTGGTCTGGGCCACTATAGACCTGATATTCTTGACTGACCGGGGGCCGGGCGCAACCAAGGCCGGGGACTGTGACGCCGGGGTCTTCTCAGGAAGTTATTACTGATTGTGGGTTCTCACCCTCATGGCAACTCTCACCCTCACAGCAAACCTCACCCTCACAATAAGTCTCAAATGGTGTGTCACCCGCACCGCAACTTTCTGATCAAATCTCACCCTCTCGTATTATCTCCCATCGTCTTGCCCTCTAGGCACTCTCCTTATCTCTTCTCTCCAGCTCGCTGACATTTCTCTCGTCCAACTTGCTATCTCTTCTCTCCAATTCGCTGTCTCTGTCTCCCAGTTCAAGGGTGCCATTTTCGCCCACTCTTCTCATGTATTCCTTCTCGTTGATCTTTTTGAGTCTCTCCAAATTTCTCTGGTCTCTCTCAGCCTGCTTCTTGTCAAATCTCCGGTTTGCCCAATTCCTCAACCTCTCTCCATATGCCAAACAGAACAATGGGAATGGAAGTCCTAATGCAAGACCAATGAATGCACACATTGTGTTGCCCCATCCGTAATGAAGTTTCTCATACATTGCGGGAGCAAAAAGTGGGAACGAAAATCCAAAAGACGACCGGAAAACGGCCGCCGCAGCCACTGACGATGCAGCAAACCGGTTGTTCATATCAATCAAGTAGTTCTGAATGGTCTGGAACACGGCCACCAAAGAAAATGCAAAGATTGCCAGCCCGATGCATGGCATGATCCAATGGAGATGTTTCTGCGCAGACCATCCGTACCATATAAGCCCCACAGGAATGCCAATTCCACAGAAACACAAGCAAGGCAATCTATACTCTGGTTTGGCTACACCGCCATTCTTAGCTTTGAGACGGTTGTATATGTTCTCGATCATAACGGACCAAAACACAGTACCAATAAGGAAGCCTAATCCCAAAGGAATGTACATGAGACCTGCGATATTAGTGCTGAATCCATAAGTGCCCTTAAAGACTGAGGGAAATGTCACAATGAACAAATACATGAACCCATAGGTGAATGCCATGAAGGATCCCAATCCAAATACCATTGGGTGGCCAATAATAAGCGAGATAGGTCTCAGCACAGTAACCAACATCTTCTCCATGGCAGTCTCACCATCTGCAATTTCGTAGATAGTATGCAAGTGAGAGTTTCCGGTCTCTTTCCTGAGTCTGTTGGCCTTCAATTTCAATAATCTAGGCGAATATGTTTCCTTGAAGAACACGGTTCCCACTGCAGCCACAATGAAGTTGAAAATGGCCAAAATATAGAAGCACCAGTGCCAATCGAGCCCAGTGACAATAAAACTGGAAATGATAGGTGCAAGAACTGGACCTAATGTGGGACCCAAGGAGTAGGCAGCCATTGCATACTGACGCTCGTTATCGTTCCACAAGTCTGCCAAAGTTCCAGCACCGACATTAAGAGATGCACATCCACCCAAGCCACCCAAAAACCTAAATACACAGAGCTGTGCTGGCGTTTTGGCGAATCCACAAACAAGGTTGAAAACGGCAACAATCCAAATGGAGAGGTTGAGCACGGATTTTCTACCCACACGGTCGGATTCCGAGATGGGAGCAATTATCAAGGGACCAATAGCCCACGCCAACACCATGATGGAAACACAAAGCGACAGAATAACTTGCTTGGTGATTCCGAGCGACTCAGAAATTTCAGTCATAGCTGGTGACAATATTGACGAAGACATAGGTGAAATAAGCGTATAAAGTGACACCAAAAACGTCTGGAACATTCGTTGGCCATTAGGCCAGTTTCTGGGGTTATTGGGGTCATCGGGCCCATCCCACGTCACCAACTCCGGGTCTATGGTTGTATACTCTCCTCCGTAATCCTTAGCGGGAACTGAAGTATCTGGTAACTTCTCATAGAAATTGGAAGGGTCGTCATCTTTCTCTAGAGCTAGTTCGTGGTCTTCTGACCGATAGGCGTCTCTAGACCGAGCAACTTTTTGAGCCAAAGAGTCCAAGATGGTGGTTCGCGTGGCTGTACGGCGCAACTGGATGTCGTTGTTGCCCATGTCACCGTAAATCTCCCTAACGGAGTAGCTTCCGGATGCTCTGGTTGATACTCGAGACATGGGAGCTGTCTGAAAAGACGAGGCCCCACTTAGCGTACGGCGAAGGTCACCTAGCGTTGTCGCAAGCCGTGACGATGATCCACTAGAACGGAGACTCTGTGGAGTCAGCTGTACGTCGTCATTAGTTGGAGCATGAAATGCCAAAGGTTCTGCCTGGCCAGGTAAGGACTCGTTGGAGTCGTTAGACGACAACGAGTTGCGAGAGTCGTATGTGTCTAGTGACAACGGAAGTTTGTGTTGGGACATTTTTGAGTACGGGATGAAAATGTGATATGTTCTGTCAAAAAAACGGTTAAAGAGTCATTAAGGTGGAGAAACATGTATACAGGCTACGATGCTTTGGCATCTACGACAAGGTGATAGAGAGGGTGGGAGAAATAGAAAGGAGAAATGTTTCGGTCTTTAGAACATTTGCTTTAGGGTTCTTAATACTGGCTAGAATGTATTTCGACCAATTTGATGTGGGGTTGCAGTTTAAAGGAGGATTTTCGTTTATCCGGGATGTTGACTGACTAAAGCCGTGTGGCTCGTGATCTTTATCCCCAAGAAGATAAAGACAAGTAGCTAAAAGTTCAGGCCGCAATAGTAGACAAGGTGGATGTTTATAGAACGAGTTGTAGAAGGAGAACACAACAATTGGGATTTTTTTCATGTGGGGGCTGTTTTGGCGTTCGGAGAAGATCGGTGTTTTCCGAGCACTTATCCATTGACACAACAAGCAGGATGCGATTGGATTGACAGGCTCAAGTGAGAAGGAGGTAATTCAGGTAGACGATTAATAGGTGAAATGTAATAGAACTTGGTGTTGATGTTTGGTTGATGTTGATGTTGACGTGGATATTGGACTTGGAGCCTCAGTGTTTGGTTACTGTTAAATTGTAACTAATTTTTGAGTGAGGATCGACAGATCGACAATCTCGAATTAATGTAGGGGGATGGAATGGAAATATTCTTATGTGTATAGGATACTGTTGTCAAAAGGGTATCGAGGCAATACGTCTTCAAGGATGATTACTATATGTTTTGTGGTATCAGAAGATCGGGTTCTATGAGCATACGTTTTAGAGTTGTGAGACGTTTAAAGATTATGTGACAGTAACTGGCTTGCGGCAGCAATTGGTTATGTGACAACAAATGACCATGTGGCAGCAAATGTTTATGGTTTGTTTTTATCGTTTGCTGGTAGAATTAGGCTTTAAATTGTTGTGTTAGTTGTAACTTACCAACCAGAAATATACACAATAAAAGCGTACACATTGAGCAATACAAGTATTTCGGGATAATGGAGATGAAAAGAAACAAAGGATAAAAGCTACTTTCAAAACGAAATGGCATTTCAATCTTGCTGATTCTCCTAAATTTGAGTACAATATTTTTTTCTAGCCAAAGCTGGAATCTCTCATTTTATGCGAATGTTCAGACTCAATCATTATTTACTCTCAATACCACTCCACCCATGATCAAATACTTAACGTTCAGTAAAACCCTCGAGCTTACTGCTAAACCATAAAATCGATTACACCGTACTCCATTCATCTCTCACTATCTATTCATATACTCGTTTCTCATCGTTAATTCATTTCCAATCTGTATGCCTCTCGACCTCAATTCATCGTTGACAGCCTTCTATGCGACCGACATTATCCATCATCGTCAACTACCGTTAATGAAAAGTTTTACCCCTCGAAAATTCCATCCAACCTTCAGAACCTCAAAGTTTCCTCCCTTCAATTTATAAAATCTGAATTTCCAAATATCTCCCATTACCTTCCCTCCTACTCGTTGCCTGATTCCTCATCACGTGCATCACATTGGCCCACTTTACCTTCCCTCGAACCAACCTTCTTTACAGCTGCATAACTTCTATGCTGCATAACTTCTACGCTTCTTATCGACTTCTTATCTTATCGCTTCTTGTAGAACTCCCAGACCATGGGTTTTGCCATCGCCATTTTGCTCGTTTAGCAACGCGACACTCTCGTTCCCTATACGAAGGTCTAATCTTTTCTTTTTCGCCGGATATATATGGCACATCGGCCTTTTTTGCTCACTATCTTTATTCAACTATAGACCATGGTCAGGTATGTCTGATAATTCTAGAAGGGACAAAGAAGAAAATGAATAGTGGAAACATGAAAGTCTTCTCAATCATTTACTCTTCTTCAAATCCTTCTATTCATGCCAACTTCCTTATTCTCTTCATATCATACTAACATATCAGTGCAGTGTATCACGACTACTCGAGCTTCTCGAATGTCACCACTTTTGCCGATGCTTACCATAACTTTGGTAAGATCTCAGGCTTGAACCCCTTGGAGAAGCTTTGGGGTGCCTACTACTATTACATGAACAACGACGTGTTTGCTACCGGATTGTTCTTCTTCTTGATGCACGAGATCATGTACTTTGGCAGATGTTTGCCTTGGGCCATTATCGAGAGAATCCCTTACTTCAACAAGTACAAGATCCAGGACACCAAGCTCCCGGACAACAAGGAACAGTGGGAGTGTCTTAAGTCGGTGTTGATCTCCCACTTCATGGTGGAAGCTTTCCCAATTTGGTTCTTCCACCCTATTGCCGTGAAAATCGGTATGACCTTCGATATTCCATTCCCCTCGTGGACTAAAATCGCATTGCACTTGTCCATTTTCTTCGTTTTGGAGGATGCATGGCACTACTGGTTCCACAGAGGCTTGCATTACGGTGTGTTCTACAAGTACATCCACAAGCAGCACCACCGTTACGCAGCACCTTTCGGATTAGCCGCTGAATATGCTCACCCAATCGAGGTTGCTCTTTTGGGTATGGGAACCGTGGGTATTCCTGTTGCGTGGTGCTACCTCACCAAAGACTTGCATTTGTTCACTATCTCGCTCTGGATCTGCTTGAGATTGTTCCAGGCCGTGGATGCCCACTCTGGCTATGAGTTCCCTTGGTCTTTACACCACTTTGTGCCATTCTGGGCCGGTGCCGACCATCATGATGAGCACCACCATCACTTCATTGGCTCGTACGCTTCCAGTTTCAGATGGTGGGACTTTGTTTTGGACACCGAGGCTGGACCAAAGGGTAAGAAGCTGAGACAGGCCAGAATGAAGGCCCAGGCTGAGAAGAAGGTGCAGTAAATGGATAGACGTGCCTTGTTGTGGTCTCAAATGCTGGATAATATAGATTTCAGTTGGTGACTAGTTCCGTGGTAATTGCTACAAAATTGTACAGTACATGATGGTGCTGATCAGTTTGAATTCTCAATGGTGACCAATTGAACTGTATTAGTTGGTATTCTGGTCCACATACTCTTGGTTACCCATGGGTTACAAACACTCGTTTTGAATTTGCAAGATTGGTAACCCCAATCGTTGCCTACGCTTGATTCTCGCTCTGTATATTCAATATCATATTTAATTTTTCCCTGCCCACTCCAAGTACTCTTTACGCTTTTGACGAATATCCAAAAACTCCACTCTGGTGTCGAACTCCTCAAACTCACTCACTCCCAATGCGTTGATGGAATCCATGGCCGCACTCATTTCTATTGGACGTAAGTACCTGTTTGCGTGCTTGACCACCTGTGAGTGGGCAATCCCAAGCCGTGGAGTGTTGATGATGGATGCTAGAACTCCGAAGTTGAGAACTACGAGTCCAATGACGAGTTCTAGAATAATATCCGTTGGAATATCTGTCGACGATAGGAACTGGTGGTGTTCATATGACGAGTATCCTGCGTGCAATATGAGTAGCCCGCCGACAACGTACGAGATACTCATGGTAAGTTGTCACAGGTATTGGTGTCGACTATGGATATGAATGGTGTGGCTACACCCGTACATCTCGATCTCATGTGGGAAGTATTGGTTTCTAATCCACAAGGGATATCCATTACCAACAATGATAAATGATTAGAGATCAAGGCAAATGAAAAAAAAAAATATGGATTATTTGTAGCATACTTTTTTTTATCTTTTATTTTCTGCTTTATTTTCGATTTTGTTTTTCTAGACTTTTGATTTTTCAGGTTTCATGCTCTCTGGTGATATGTTGCGCAAGTCGTAAACATCCTGCTCATATTATTTCAAAAACCTACTTCAGATACCACTATCTGTTATCTTCAAACCATGATAAGAAACTCAGCATAATCTCGAAATTGACACCCGACGTAAACGTGGGCGCGATAAGAAACGATCTAGAACAACCTAATCTACAACCTACAGTCACACCGCAACTTGAAATAATCGTGTATAGCAAAGGGGAAGAAACGAACTGAAGTCATAAAAAAATTTATCACGTAACCTCTAATATTGTATCCGGTCATAAGTGGTCGCCTACAACTTGGCAAGCAACCTCATAGAGTCGATCAGGAACGAAGCCTTGAATCTCCATCTAACACAATTGTAGAACGAAGAGTAGGACCACGTCAAATTGTCGGCTCCTTGCATGTACCCATGGTACTTGTTAAACTGCTCCAGCATCTGGCCATTGAGAGAATCGACATGCGACTGAATCACATCCATAAATGAGTCGGAGTAGTTGAACATAGAAATGAGCACCTGCTTATATCTATGGGATCCGAATGGAATCACATACTCGCCAGGACCAAGCTCCTCATCAGTCAAGTCGTCAATGAAAGCACCAAAGAAATCCTTGTTGAATGGTGTAATGACAATGTCCTGCTCGCGGGTCACCTTCTTGAAGATCCACTTGAACACCACCTCGGCAGCAGATGCAGTCGAAATGAACCATGGGTTACCCTCAGAGGTTCCGTAGCCATCGTATACGTCCTCGGGGTATCTACCCAAACCCACACCAATGTTTTGACGCAATCTAATCTTGTCGTGGTTGATAGGGTATCTGTACTTCATATCAGCCACCATGGCACTGATAGTGTTGAGAATACGGGAGTCGTCAACATCGAAAGGAATGTCGTCAGTGTTACCGTACTCCAAATTGTGAGCATGGAGAGCAGCCAACAAAGTAGCAGCATCCAAGCCACCTCTCTTTCTATCTCTTACCAACGCTGGGGTCTCCACTACGTAAGGCAACGTGGGACGAGTGAACCCCGTGGCTGGATCGTTAATGTAAGCCTTCAAGTCTTCGTATTGCTTTTGCAATTGTTGCAAAAAGTCTGGACTTTCACCCAATCTTGAAGCAAGCTTATGGCCATCGCCAAGTGCTCGCAACTGCGTCAATGCGTTAAAAAAGTGGGAAGCGTTGATTTCCTCCCATAAGTCGAAAGCATCAGAGTTCCAGTTGTACATCACATACTCCAAGTCAGGTTTGACAATCTCATGATACACAAACGAGGCATTGCCCAAGAATGTATTGGAAATGGAGAGACCGTGCTTATTCAAGAAGTTCAAATAGTTGGTGATGGTCAGCACACGCAAACCTGGACCATCACTCTGCGGGCGGCCCCAATTGTCGTCGAAGGTTGTGCCATCAGGCATAAACTTGGGTTCACCCAAACCCGAGCGAGTCTTGTCGTTAAATTTGCCTGACTTGTTTGGAAGTCTCTGGAGGTGGTAGTTGACTTCGATGTAGCGTTCGACAACATTTCTCAAGAAGGTGTCAGAGAAATCCTCGGCCATGTTGTCATCTAAGTGGTAAATGAGGGACCGTATGGTCAAGGCAGAGTCCCTGATCCAATTGTAAAAGTAATTTGGACTCTTCTTCAGTGGAGACGCAATGACAACACCATACGCCACCTCCTTGGGATCAAGGGAGTTGGAGGCGCCTCCAATGTTTTCTAAAATGTATGCAAAACTGCGGTTGGCCTGGATATCTACCCACAGCTCAAACTGAGGGTTGTTCATGTAGCCATCTTTCTCTTCAGACACAGACAACCATGACAGAGAGAGCATGGGGATTTGCACAAAGTCTGAGTTCCATCTGAACGGAAGGGTTAAGCAGTTAGCAGAGGCCACGAGAGCCACAAACACCGGCGATAATTGCATGGTTGCGCAGGTGGAAGATCAAAGTTATGAATTTCAGTTGAGAAAGCGAAATCCGGGGTAAAGTCACAGAGTAATAGTGAGCAAAATTTGAGATCTTGGAAGAATCTGGATAAAAAAGCGAATATTTGGAAACTTCCCGCAAAAAGATTCTCACTAGTTAAAAAGCGTCGTTGGCAACACATGCTGGTCTGGGCCCAGCCACGCTTATATAGTCATTGAAATGTTCTGTCTTTAAGGTGACATTTGGTGCTCTCCTGTATGTACGCACAGATCAATGCATAAACATGACTCCAGGAAAAACTTTTCCTTCTTGTTGCGAATGTGCATGCGACCGTGACCAGAAAAAAAATTTTTGATCCGAAATCTCACCGTGGCAAGCTGACAAAAACAAAAACTACCGGATGTCTTGCACGCTTGCATGTGCCGATGCTTATCGGGGGCATGTGCTTGCTATCTCATCCACAGTCTAGAACTCACACTAGCAATGTTGCTAGATCAGCCAAGGGATCAAACTAATCGAGGACGTTGAACGGTGATGGTGTGCACACCAGTAAAAATCTGGGGTACGAAAGGTACTTTCTCCCCACTTTCGCTAAGCCGTTGCCAGGTGATGCCGTGTTTAACGGATGATCCGAACAATTATTATGCCGAGAATGTGTAGGAAAATGTTCTGTGGACGTCGACTTGAGTGCGGAGCCATGTGTCGGCGACATGCGAATCACGGTGGAGTAGTGTGTTTAGACTTTTGTGTATCCATAGAGATCATCCATTTTGGATGTTTTTGTTGTGGTTTGTTGTGGTTTGTAGCGGGTTTGTAGCAGGTTTGTTGTGTGAGTGTTTATTAGACGTGAAGTGTTTTTTTTCTTTAGTTCCGATCTGTTGACTATTTTTTTTGCTGTGTGTTTCACTTTGTGCCGCTGATTCCCAGCCACTGTTTTCCTGTCTCAAGTCCATGACGCTTACCTACAATACCCCGCGCAATCTTGTACTCCAGATCATGTATGTCAGTTATGATTGCGTCTCCAACTGTGACGTCTCGAACGTGGTCACATTGGCAAACGAAAAGTTGCTTCGTGTATAGGCCGCATCGCTTCGATCCATTAACTCATCCATCTCTTCCACGGTCAAGGGCTCCTCAACTGAATGCGGCTGGAGCACAATGTCATTATACTGGCCCGTGGTTTTCCGGCCATTGGTGGATCCCTGTAGATTGAATTTTTCACTGAGTTCCAAGATCGTCGACATTTTAGTCTTCGACGAGATCTCAATATTCTTCTCTGCCAACTTCCGCGCAACTCCGCCCAAATGGAAGTCACCATCTTGAATCACCATTCTCTCCAAAAGTCGCTTGCTAAAACTTCGTAAAATCAAAAGCTCCTCCACTGTCTGCCGAACAACAAACCGGAATACCTTAACTGGTCTGGTTTGGCCGATTCTATGCGCACGGTCAATGGCCTGGATATCCATCTGCGGGTTCCAGTCATTATCAAATAGAATCACTGTGTCCGCCTTAACCAAATTGATGCCCAATCCTCCGGACCTTGTAGACAAGAGGAATACTTGCAGCGAATCTGGTCCGTCACGACTAAACTCTTCGATTTCTTCCTCCCTGACTTCGTGCTTAGTGCGTCCGTCGAATTGGTTGCACAAAAAACCTTCATTATCGAGCACAATTCTGATATAATCAAGTGCAGTGGTGAACTGCGAGAAAACGAGCACCTTGTGACCCTCTGCAACGAGTCTTCTAAGAAGCTGTAAAAGCATTTGAAATTTACCTGACGTTTCCATTAATTCCTTGGCGATAGCTGCATCATTGTTGCCCTCATATGGATTGAAGTAGCTTAAATGGGTGTTGCAGACCTTCCTCATTTGCATGATTTTGTTCTTGAGCGGCATCACTTTGACAAGAGCAACGAATTTGTTGAACAAGCCTTTAATGATTTTGTAGACCTCATCTTTCTCGCTCAAGTGCTCGTGGTCGCCATCGTCAGAGAGAATTTCAATAACCTCATTGTTGGAATGTTCGTTGACGGAGTAGAATGTCTCATTATCTGATGACTCTTCAATTCTGGAGGGCTCGTGCCTATTGGCACCATCTGGTTTGGACTCAACCCTTATCATATCCTTTCGTCCATCTTCGCTTTCTGGTGTCATAACTCCCATTAAAGATCCAGTAATTCCAGCTACTGCTCCTTTATGGTTTACTGCATGGTCAAAAGTGGTCTCCACTTCTCTTCGACCAGTAGCTGGAGGGCTCTCTGGTTCCACTGATTTAGCTTCCTCTTCGTATTGAGCAAGTAACTGATCAAGCCCTGCTTCTGCCCAATCCTCCTGAGCTTTTCCCGCAACTTTCGATTCATTGACATCACTGTCTTCATCATCTTGACTTTCTTCTGTGTAGCTGTCATCAGTGCTGACTGGACCATTGATTCCATAATGATTGTCGTCATCGTCATTCAAATCAACATTGGCAAGGATATCTGAATTATCGCCACTTAACATTCGCTCGATATCCTCTTTGTCGTATCGACTTCGACGAAATCGTTTCGGACCCATGTGGACCTCATTGCCAGACACTTGCAATATAATCTTATCAATTTCATTTAAATCTTCTTTCGTTTTGAAAAGTTTTGGGTAGTTGATCAATGCATACTCTTTAATATAAGAAGTAAGCACCATATCAGGGAGGTAGTCGTCCATGATAGCCTTGTAGAAGACGCTTTGCATGGGAGTTAAAGAAGAGAACAAAATGTATTCCTTCTTGGGAGGTAGCCCCTTCATAACATCCTTTTTGATTCTCCGAAGCAAAAATGGTTTCAACACCGAGTGCAAGTTCTTAACAAACAGTTCCTGGATTTTTGCTTGAATGAGTCTTTTTTCCTCGTGTGAAGTGTCGCCAACAGAATCTTCCAAATTATCAAAATCAAACCACAGTTCGAAAAGCTCCAAATCGTGAAATATGTCAGGCAAGATAAAGTTGAGCAACGACCAGAGCTCCTTCAAGTTGTTCTGAAGGGGAGTACCAGTGAGAAGCAATCGGTTGCCCACATCCAACTTCTTCAATAGTCTGATCAATGTACAGTTAAAATTCTTTAATCTATGGCCCTCATCCACCGTTAGGTAAGTCCACTTGGGTCTTTGAAACTTCCTGATATCTTTGATCACCAAGTCATAAGAGGTTACAACCACTTGTGCCTTCAAAGTTTTTCCGAAGCTAAAACGTTTTCTATAATCCTTGCTTCCAGTATACTGCAATACTTTGATTTTTGGAGCGAACCTAGCGAATTCTCTACACCAATTAGGCACAGTCGAAAGAGGAGCAACCACCAAGAAGGGACCTTTCACGCCATTTTCAAGAAGATATGCTATGAGTGCGATGCACTGGAGTGTTTTTCCAAGACCCATTTCGTCTGCAAGGATACCGTTTAGCCCGTTTTCATACAAGGCAATGAGCCACTCTAGTCCATCCAATTGATAGTCTTTCATGGTACAACCACTAACCAAAATAGGCTGATTCTGTTTATGGCTAGTTTGAGCCGCTTCGATGGCATGCTTGGTGCTTGCTGTTTCCTTGGACATGGTACTCCTTGGCTTCTTTTTCTTTTCTTTTTTCCTGGACGATTTTCCTTTAGAAGGCTTGGACATTTCCGGGGATCTGGAATGTTTCGGTGATCTAGACAATCTCAGCTTTTTGGATTCCGGCAATTCAGGTGTCATCTTGGCTCTCTTACTAGACTTATGGTGCTCCAGAATTCGTCTTTTAGCTGATGTATTGCGAGTTGTGGTGGTGCTAGTCGTTGATTCGTCTGAGGAATCGCCCAGGTTCAGGTCAATTTCGATGACATCCTTCAGTGTAACTTTGGCTGAGTCTTGGGTTGCTGCTCTTTTCTTCTGATTCAACCTAGTTAACCTTTCCAACCTCTCTGTTCTCTGGCTTTTGGCACTTTTGCTAGGTTTTCGCGTTGGGGTTGTAGTGGGACTGTTGGATTCTTTTTTTGATGCTTCATCCTCACTTTCAGATTCTATGACTTCGATATTGGAGATGTTGGCCTCGTCATCGGCTGAATGTATTCCTTCTTCATCTTCTTCATCTTCTTCATCTTCTTCATCTTCTTTATCTTCTTCTTCTTCTTCTTCTTCTTCTTCTTCTTCTTCTTCTTTTTCTTCTTCTTCCAGAGATTTGTCATTGCTTTTCTCTGCGTCGCCATCAGAATCATCATCCACGACAAACTCCTCCAGAACAGTACCATCTGTCAGTTCAGCCTCGGTTTCACTTAGTACAATGCCACTTTCTTCGGCCTCGCTGTCAGAGAGGTCAGATTCGGATTCAGACAATCGTTCAGACAGCAACTCGGACTCGGAATTCGACTCGGACCCACTGTTCAGTGAGCTGAAGTCTAAATTAGGCTCAGTAGGCTCAGGGACAACTTCTCCTTTATCGATTCTCTCTTGCATTCGCTTCTTCTGGATGGACTTCTCCAACATGTTATCTAGAATGATCTGCGAGTAGACTTGGGACTTTTGCACTAACTGATTCAATCTCGCTAGCTTAACCTCCACCGAAAGCATATTGAAGTCCTTCTGTTCCTCAGTTTCGGGCTCCTTTTCAAGGTACGCATCAAGCGTGGCAGCGAGGTCTTCTTCCTCATTGAGACGTGTTTCTGACGCGCTCTCGACGGGCGAGGGATCTCTGGACATGGATAAGTGGGGAAATTATGGGATTGTAAGCAATTCGATATGCAATTTTCACGATCTGGTGATGTTTGCCAGTTTTAGACGTATATGATGCAGAAGTTGGTGTGTTAGACAATGCCTGTATGGTACCACTAAGACGTGAGAGTAGATGAGGAGGAAGAACAGAATTGGAAACGAAGTGGAAATTACATGAAAACATATGGATAATAATGAATATCCGAAAGAAATGAGTTGGGAAAGTCATATGAATGAATGAATAATAAGAAAAAAATAACGAAGCAAAGATGACATGGATGAGAAGAAGGTTACTTTGTCACTTTATCGTCAATGAACTGGCTTGCTCCCTCTATCCCTTAGACTTGACGTGAACTATGTTCAGATGTCATTAATAACATCTCATGTTTCAGTATTAGTATATATCCATCCAAAACATGGAAGCATCCATCGTAGAACTTTCTCGGACCTGAACGCATCTCCGCCTATTTATTGTGCTCATTGCACTGATACGATGAAACCGATAGATAGCTCGGAGGTAAGCGGAATTGAGTCGCTCGGATATTAGGACTGGCCTGATTTATTCTAGAAGCTGAAAATGCCAACATTCATAAATGGTCTGCTTTGCTTTACAATCCACAGTCATTCTATCGTTCCAAATGTTTACGACCATATACCAAATCATAACGCTTTCAAAATCTGTTAACTATGAACAGTTTATCAGCATTCCAAAGTTTGATAAAAAAAAATCTCCTACCCAATTAACGTTTCTCAATTATTCAATTATTTTCCCCTATTTCGAGCATCCTCATATTTTACTCTCATTTTCTCCTCCTATCGTTGCTTCCTGTATCATCCTTCTTTCTCAATAATTATGAAATATCCTCGTATCGCAATTTTGTTCCTTCTCATTTCACCACCATTCGAGATTTCAATTTTACAATCCATCCAATCCACGTGATTTGCTTGGATCCCGTGCCAAACCCAAAACGTCCCGGCATTGTCGTTGGCTTAGACAGTCAATACTCACCTTAGTGACATCACTAACGCACCCTGCGTCCGTCACCGGTGATCTGCAAGACCAAGAGTAAAAAATAGAAATTTAGGACTTACCATGTCAACCAAAATTCTCATTTCCAAACTTCATCCACAGTCAATCCTCTAATTCCATTCCTCCAATTGCAGGACGTCTGACTCATTTCACTTTGCACAATGCACAGGTGGACAGGTCAAACTTACCTTCATATTGTCTACCAAACTTAATATCGGCATATGCCATAGCCAACATAATTATCAATTTTCCGCAGGTGCGTCGGTGTATTTTTGTTCGGTTTGGGTGATTCAGCGCAGTCACGTGAACAACAATGTTCGTTGACGAACCAAATAATATTTGTCTCTAGGGGGGCGAAATGACGTCGAGGGGGTGAAAAAAGAAAATGTGAAAAAAAATTTTTGATAATTTAACCTTCTCCTCCCTTTCACATGAATAAAATCTCCTTAGATTCCTTATTTTTTACCACTATTCTATCTACCCAAAATTCTTCCATTCTCAAATACCTCACAGGTTTCTCCGGTCCAAGATAGATTTATCCTCCTGCATCGCACCATGCAACCACAACGACGTAATCCTCATCTCAACCCACCATACAATTTCGAACCCAACCACGGACTATATGCACCGATGGTGAACCTGCACTGGTAGGGAGTAGCCGGCAAGCATTTTTTAGCCGCCTATAACTATAAATTGCATCGCTCTTTCTCTCTTTAATGGTTCCACCCAATTGCTCGAGTGTCCAGTTTCGCACGTTGCTCACTACGCTTAATATCTCCCAATACCGCTCACTACTGTCTTCCATTGCTGCCATGGGAAGAGAAAACATTGTTCACTATCAGTTGGAACACGATCATGAGACTGACTTGACTCAGACGCTTCTGAGATCGCCTCCAGAGAAGATTTCTCCTCGTAAACCTGCTGCTGGTCATGATAACTTCCCGTTCTCTTTGTCGAAGGAGCTGACTATCCAGGATTACTTGGCCAACAACCGTTATTTTGTGGATTCCATCCACCACAACCATCTGAACCAGGTTTTTGAGTTGAACGGCAAGGGTCAGTCGCCACACACTTTGTGGATTGGATGTTCTGACTCTAGAGCTGGAGAATCGTGTCTTGCTACGTTGCCAGGTGAGGTTTTCACTCACAGAAACATCGCCAATGTTATTACTGCCAGCGATATTTCGTCTCAGGGAGTCATTCAGTTCGCTGTGGATGTCTTGAAGGTACGCAAGATCATTGTTTGTGGTCACACCGATTGTGGAGGAGTTTGGGCTTCATTGTCCAATAAGAGAATTGGTGGAGTTCTTGATTTGTGGCTCAACCCCATCAGACACATTCGTGCTGCCAACAAGGACGTTTTGGCCGAATTCAGAGACGATCCACGTGGAACTGCCACCAAGTTGGCTGAACTCAATGTAGTTTCGTCTGTTCTTGCTTTGAAAAGACACCCCAGTGCCCTGATGGCTTTGAAGAAGGGCGAAATCGAAGTTTACGGCATGATGTACGAAGTTGGCACCGGATTACTCCGTGAAGTGGAAATTCCAACTGATGAGTTTGAGGACATGTTCCACATTCACGATGGCCACGATGAGGAGTACAACCCACACTAAACCATGTCACCATATTCATGACCGCGGTATCTTCCTAGCTTTGCTAGTCGCATTTTCACTTCTGACATATTTATTACGCTTATAGACAATCTAGAACAGTTTAGGTATTTTAATTTCCATGTATGAATTCATGATAGAATGAGCAATACAACGAATGTTATCTTGGTTCTTATCTGCCAGGTCAATGACTTCGACTGTAATCTACAGGCTATAATGATCGACAATATTCTATTACACCATCATCTCTAATACCTTAAATTATTTTTACTATAAACCTCTAGCCCTATGTAGACTCCCAGTTCAACTGAAATCTTCCTTCCGGAACCTGGTACTCCTCAATGGCCTTCACAACCTCCTCAGGTGTAGTGGCCACCTTGATGATGTCTCCGTTCTTCTGCGAAACAAATTCCAGCTTGATAGCATCCGTCACCCATGCCAAAAAGCTGTCGTAGAATCCGTTCAAGTTGTAGACCACAATCGGCTTGTTGTGGATGTTCAATTGATGCCAAGTAACCATCTCCATCAACTCTTCCATGGTTCCGTATCCACCAGGCAATGCTACGATGGCGTCGGCTTCCTGGCCCATCAACCGCTTACGAGTGTGCATGTCCTTGACCAAAGTGGTCTTTCCGTATTCTTTGGAGTCAGGAATAGGCGTGGAGCCGTCGTGGTTGTCGATACCTTGCTTCAATTTCTCGTTGAATTGTGCGTCGGTGGTTCTCTCTCTGGAAATCAATGCCTCGGGGATAATACCGTGAACGTAGCCGCCGTTGGTGGCACAGCCACGGGCCACTGCTCCCATCAATCCGGTGGATCCTCCACCATAAACAAGGCCCCAGTTCTTCTTGGCCAACAATTCACCCAACTTGGAGGCGTTACTGGCGAAGGAAGGGTCGCTTCCGAAGGAAGAGCCGCAAAAGACACAAACGGTTTTCTCGGGCTTAGTAGTGGTCATTGTGATTATATAGTTTGAAAATGTGAAGGAAGGAGTCACTGAGGTGTCAATTATCGGCGAATTTAATGGTACTTATAGTGCGCACGCCGAAGGTGGGGCCGCCGGCGGCGCCGCGGCAGTTTCCAAGAGATTAACCGATAAGAATGAAATGGAAAATTGAAGAAATCAACAAGGAATATCCAGTAAAATCGTAATATCTGGAAATATGCCGCGGCATGGTAGGATTTCGGGAGTTTGGATGGCTGGTGTGTTGGGTATTGGTTGCTATGGGATCCTCATAATGGCTTCCCCAGTGTCATGAGTTTTGATGATAAGATGAAGGACTGGATGTCAGTCATTTCGCATTGAATTTCATTGGGCAATAAGAAAGATATGGATAATTAATTTGTATTTTTTTCTTGTCAGAACTGAAATTTGAATTGATTGTTGAAGACTTTGTATGCTTTTGGTGCCATAATGCTAGGATTTTATATTCTTTCTCTCCATTTCATGATATTCTTTTCTATTCGCTCATAGATTTTCTCTGTCGGTGTTCTCGGCTGCGAAAATCTCCTCGTAGTCATCACTATTGCGCCCCACGTATCTGCTCTCAGTTACTTTCACCATGCCAATCTTCTCTTTCGTACGGAATTGCGCCATCTTCAACATCTCATACAATGTAGAAAGAATCGGGGTGGCCACTCCATTGCGTGCGGCGATTCGGAGCGGATTGCCCAAAATCACTTCCAGCTCCATCAATTGTGACTTGTTCAAGTCTACCAACATGGACGACTTGAAAAATGACCCATCTGCAACATGGAGAAATTTGTCTCTAGCTGCTGGATCAATTGTAACACCCTCGCTGGCGGCAATGGCATATACCTCGTCCATGGCAGGTCTGAAAAGGCCGTTGTTTGCGTCGTTGATCTGGCACCGATTGATATCTAAACCTGTGATGGCAGTCACCGGGTTGAACACCGAGTTGTTGACCAATTTTTCCCATCGAGACCGACCTGCACTTTCTTCAATCACGACGGTGTTGATGTCTTTGTTAGCGTTTTGATAAAGTTCAGCGAATTGGCGAGTCTTTTCCTGAGCCAATTGCGTGTCCATGTTGGGGTTGTCAAAAGGTGCGAGGAAGATGATGTCCTTGTGGGAGTTCTTGACCACACAATTGACGTTGGCAGAGCCAATGAGGGACACGCCGGAAAGAATCACACAGTGCGGGAACTGCTTGATCATGGGCTTTTCGATGTCGATTCCGTTCTGGATCAACACTATGGTGGTGAGCCCATCAGTGACTGCTGGCTGGATGATCTCCTCGCAAGTCATGCGACCATCGGGGATGTTCTTAGTGGTGAGTACGACGTAATCGTATGGACCGTTTGCAGCAGCGTCAGCGACGGAGCGGACGATATTGTGTGGTTTCCATGCTGTAAAGTCACCATAGGTGACTGAGTTGATGGTGTAGCCAGAGCTTGACACAACGTCGTAGTCGGAGCGAACCACCAAGGTGACGTCGCACTTGTTATTAAGGGAGAGTGAGAGAGCGGCCATGGCTCCGACGCCTCCGGAGCCTACAATTAGAACCTTTGGCATTGAAGATGAAATGTGGAGAAGATACAGGAGTGAAAGCTGAGAAATGGAGGACTGAGAAATGGTGAGAAAAAAGAAGTGCGAGGAAAAATGAGAGTTGAGTCAGAGCGAGAAAAATTAAAAGTTAAGTGTGAGTTGACTATTCAAATTAAACTTATAAAAATGTCAAAGTAAAGGCGAGAGAGACATACATGGAGGATAGAAGCAGAAGAGAGGAAAGTAAATATTTTTAATTGAGGCATCCCAGAAAAATAAACAAACAAATATTGTGACTAACAATGGAGGCTCGTCTAGTGGCTCTCTATCTGGGGCAATCACCCTGCACTGGAACATTCGCGTATGCAAAAGGCCCCAAGCAAAGATACGACAAAAGGAACGGTCAATCGACTTTTTGCCTGGGAGACTAAATGAGAAAAGTTAAAAAAAAAATCACTGGAAAATAATGATGTTAAGGAAATGAGTCCAAAAAGATAATTTGACATCATTTACTTATTACGGTTACTCATTGAAGATATTGTTCGTGTGATTTTTTGAGACAAAATCCACAGGGCCTGCAGTTTGGGACTTGAGGCCGAAAATGGAACCATAATAGCATCTAGGAAGAAGAACGTGAAGAGGACAATTAGACCAAAATTTCATGGGAAACGACGATTTCAATTTACACTTACAAAATTGAGAGTTGTTGGAAGGTTCTTTGTTCACATTCTTTTTTTCCTCTAATCCAGTTTCTCTTCCTACTGCTTATCCTTCAACCTATCATCCTTCGCTTAGATCTTCATTCCTACCAAAGCGAGCCTGCGACACGCGAACTCTTTACCTGTTGCGCCCGTGTTTAGCCTGTATGCCATATGCCTTAGGAAGAGGGTCTATTCTGCAGAAACCCATCTAATATGAGATCTACTTTCCCCTTTTAAAATTCCTTCTCTACTTCTTTTCTTTCTCTTTTTCCTTCTTCTCGCGTTTTCATTCCTCTAATTGTCATCTATGAAACGGGAACTTTACGGCCAGCTTGATGCTCTCCAGTCTCGACTTTGCGACTTGGATGAACTTACTCTGGACTCTGACTCCATCATTTCGGGAACCACGGCAGCAACTTCTGTTCAACTGTCGCCACGAAAAGAAAGTGCAAGAAAGTCCGTTCCTCCACCTCTGGTGAGCTCCCAATCTGTCCCGCTCCAGTGTGGAACAGTTCTACTACACAATGTGCTTGACTGCTTGAACGATATGGCCCTTCAGGAATCGGCACAAATTGAGCAGTGTTTGGCCGAGGTGGCAACGGCTTTGGAGCTGTGTGTGGCCATGAACACATACACGATAGAAAAGACTGGGATGTTTCCTCATAAACGATGAAATTGACCACTGAAACTACTCACTGGATCTATTCAGATCTCCAGTATCAAGGTGTGACACTGTTACGGTCCTTATGTAACAGATAAGTACTTCCTACTACTTTCACCACACAAGTCCTACATATATTATCCACACATAAGCATTCATGGTACCGAATCGTGCTTAAGATATTACGATATTCTCCCTTCCATGAATACACCATGTTGGTGGAATGCTTACAGAGTATGGTTTCTGCTGGTTTCAGATTTCGCACTCCACACCTTTCAAATATCACCAGCTAATTACTGTGCAAACACACAATGCAAATAATTACATATTAATAATAATGATAACAATATGGCAATCGGGAGTATTCAGATACTAATGATCACAAGTAATTAATTAATCATCCTAATTACACCGCTCTCCTCCCATGAACTCATCTTAAAACATCTGGTCATATCATCTCTAACCCACTATCTCCATCATCTGCAGGCTCCATATTCTGACGGTTTCTACCCTTATCTACTACCTATCTAATGACAGTCACAGCGAAAAACATCAGAACGCAGCAAATAAAGATCAAGTCACATTTGGATCAGCTCAGCGGGCTCCTCGAAGAGCGCTCGCGTATCATTTCCGACTTGAAACTCTCGCCTTCAAAATCTGATAACTTGGACTTGATCAACTTGCTAGCCAAGATCCAGACCGAGTTGAAGTACCAGCGGCAAGATATTTCCTCTGGTTTTGCTGCCGATTATGCCTCAGACTTCTCGTCCATCGTGGACTCCTATACGCAGCTCTTGGACTCGTTGAAAGAGGACCCTTACGTGGATACCCAGGAATATGTTTTCACAGAAAAAGTGGCTACGGAAGAGCCTGACACCTCTGCTCGCAAGTCCGTACGCTTTAAGGATTATGACGGAGACGATACTGAGGACACCGAGCATTTGCGAAGCCAACTTATGGGGACTTCCACTAACTTTAGACCATATAGAGATGAACCAGATGAAGACGCCGACCGAAACACGCTTCTGTCGGTAGATACCACCAACCAGGAGCTTTTCGCACAACATCAACAACAGCTCTTGGAACAAGACCAAAATCTTGATCAGCTCCATGATCTGGTTCGTGTACAACATTCCATGGGCAGGTCCATCAACGAAGAGCTTGACGAGCATCTTATTATTCTTAATGATTTGGAGAGAGGAGTAGACAACTCAAGCACACGTCTTGGACGGGCTTCAAATAATATCCGACAATTCCAGAGGAAGGTGAGGGAAAACGGCAGTCTTGCTACCATTATTGTGTTGACTGTCATTCTTATAGTATTGTTGGTTGTGCTTAATTAAAATGTGCTGCTACATGGTATCCACGGTACTTTCGCTAAGTGGAATTGATGATACTTACGATACTTGGTGCTTCACAACCAGGTATACTAGATGAAATAATTGATGAAGTCATGTTGTATATTCCGTAGATATTTTACTCCTCTATTATTCATGATGTCCTAGAAGTTGAAGTCGTCATTCACCTCCTCATGTTCACTGAAAAACCATATAAATACTATGATGTCCCCGTACACAATCAATCCGCCAATAATACTCATCACCATCGACCCCATTTCGATTAAGTTAGTATGGTACATGGTGATGGGCAATGAGATGCCGCTGACAATCAAAAGTCCGGTGATGAACTTTGCAATCTCCTCTAATGATGTGGGTGTATTTCCGTGGTCGTTGCTGAATGTTAAGAAGTCGTCCCTGTTGCTCTCCACTGACGACAGAATGATGTTGGGCAATGGGGCCACCACGAAGATGACAATGACCCAGAGAGGGAGCCAGTTATTGTAGAGAGCGCATGAGAGCAAGATCAATAGGAATCCGAACGCAAGAAACGCCGATAGAAAGATGATTTTGTTCAACGGATTCATGGCTGATAATGATAGGTAATAGTTGGTTATGGATGAGAGTGATATACAGGCCGATAGGTGGAGGATGATAGGATTATGGTGGAAGATTGAGATAATGGGACCTAGGGGCAAATACTGTAAATATAGCTGTCTTTAATATTATTTCTGATCGCAGTTTTATACTTTTTGTTGTTGTTGTTGTTCGTGTTTTTTTTTTTAAGTTACCTGTCGTCATTTACATATACTTTAAATTCTACTGTCAATAACGTTCCCTCACTCTCTACTTTCTACACTCTACTCTACATAGACGTCTCAAATAAAAACATTCCATATCCTAAATCCAACTCCTAGGGCTCTGCCCAGGCCAACAATTCCTCACTTCGAGTTCCAAAACCATCCGTTCTTGCTGTCGTCTGACAGCACCTCCTCGTTGACAACAGTCCATTCACGTGCTCCGAAAGGCTTTGTCTTCGTCACATACTTAGTGGTCGAAGTTCCGTCACTGAAAACCTCAGTCTTCGTCTCACGCAAAACAACTTCCTTGGTGTCAAAGTTAGAATCCATAGAGCTCAGGACTGACGACGAAACCACACCCGGAGTGTCCAGCGAATCCAACTTGTCAAACAGCTTCTCCTTCGAGATCATAGCCTCACGGATACGTCTCCGTGACACCTCTCTTTGCTTGCGCACATTCTCGTACATGGTGTTCTTCCAGTTCAAGAACTGGTCATACTGTTTGAAAAACACACCCTTGGCTCCTAAGTCGAACACGCCGTCGTCCTTGGGTGGGTACTCCTGCACGGCATCGTCAAAGTCCTCCTTGGTCAAGATCTGGCCCGCCAAGTGGCTCTTCTTGTAGTCCAATAATCTGGCAGGAACCTCGCTGTTGGGGAACAAGCATCTCCAGTATCCTTCGGAGTCCCACACAGAGGTGCCGTCTTTTCTGAGACAGTCGTTGTACTCTCTGGTAGATGGACCCCTGTAAGAGTAGATTCCGTAAGGGGTACGGCCACCCGAAGTTCCAAACACATTGAAAAGATCAAAAGGTACCCTGAAAGGTAAGTTGAATGGTCTCTCAGCTTCCAAGTCCCTATCACGAGTCTGGTAGGGTCTATTGACATAGTTATCAATTGAGTCATCATCAGGGCTGCCGGAGCTTCTCCAGGGCCTGAGATCCGTGGAATTGGCATAATCGTAGGTTGTTCCTACAACCTTCTTGGTGATATCAGCAAGTGACGAGGTGGCCAGGTTGACTTTATCAAAGAAGCGATTAATTTCGTCATCATATGGCGAGACCGATTCCGGTGACTCAGTCACAGTTGAGTTGCTATTGTTGTTGCGATCCCACTTTCTACACATTTGGAAATGGGTGTGATGGTGAGGAGAATGGGGTCCCTATATATATATGGTGGTGCGCACCACTGGCCTGTCCGCCACTATGGCAAAAGTCATGCAGTCAGGCCACTGACTAGAAAGAAGGTTAAATTTTGGGATTTGTATAGTTAGGTATTGGTAATTGAAATGTCATGGATGCATAGGATTAAGGAATGGTGACATTGAAGGTTTAGTTGTTGGAATGGTAGAGATGAGATGGTAGTGGGGACGATGAGCATTGGGGCCTAGTTGAAAGTATGAAAAGCTCAAAGAGTTTAATATTTTTGGAGAGTTTTGGGGAGTTTTCTGGAATAATGATTTATAATTACAAGACTTCATACTCTTTCTACTCATTTTAATAATTTCTAACCCATTTATCTTTCTTTTTCTATCCATTTCTTGACCATTTAATGCTGGAGCAGTTATCCATTGTGCAGGGTGAGACTGGATCAGTAGGGAGAAATAGGCGAATGTGCAGAGAATGGAAATCGCAGAAGAGTAGAACTTGCCAGAATACTGAAAGTAATAACAAAAACTCAAAACGCTTCCAATTTTAGTTTCTATTATATCTTCACATCAGTTTTATCATTTACTTCAATCTTACAATCTACACATTGTAATAACTGTGTCCATAGTCTATCCAGTCTATCCAGTGTATCCAGTATCCAGTATCCATCCACTGAGCATCCAATACTGAGTCTATGTATCCATGTATCCATCCTGATCTATAATCTAGTAGACCCCCAATATATACAAAAGTTGTTGTTCTTTATCCCGAACGGTACTGAGCGTAATCTGTTCTTTTACCCCCGAAAAGATGCTGACGCAAAAACTGACCACTATATCTCCTGGTCTTCTGGCCATTGTAGACAGTTTCATGTCTGATGGCTGGACTCATGTGTGGCAGATATTGCCCGTTGACGGAGTTACCAGCCATGCTGGCAGACTCTTGCATTTGAATGGCAGTGGCAACCGGGTCCGAAGGGATCAGCGGAAGAAATTCGGCGTCTGACAGCAAGTCAAACAGCTTGTGCAAGTAAAACTGCTGCATTTGTCTACTATGAGTGGCAGCCTGAGTCTGCAGGGCAGAAGGCTGCATGCGGGTCTGACGGACGTAAGCCAGAGACATTATACGTTAGTGAACGAAGGTGGAGGGTCTGGAAACGGGAGAAAGGTGGTGAAAGAACGTTAGATCTGGAATATGGAGAAGAGTGAAAATTTTGCGGCAATTTGAGGGTGTGCATGAAAATCGGGTTGCAGAGAGTGCAGGATGTCGTCGGCGAATATGAGTGAGTTGTTTCGGGGTGACGTACTTAATTTATTTCTCAATTTCAAGTGAATTTGCTATTTAAATTATTTAATGTTATTGTTAGTTCATATCTCACTGTTAATTTAATGGCTCACTTGAACTTTTTTCGTCGTTTTCGCAGCCCCATTGAAGTTGTCATACTCGGAGGTACGGGTGTGCTCCACATAAACCTTCTCTGTTAAATGGCTCTGCAAGATCAATCAAACCATGCATCCGACACTACGGCTGTTGTCGAAACTTGCACTCAAGGGCAAACTCAAGAAGCCGTTATTGCTGACCAAGGCAAAATCCGTACATCCCGTCACTCCGGCAAGAACCCGTTTTGCGCCGTCTCCCACCGGTTTTCTCCATTTGGGCTCACTCCGAACAGCACTTTATAACTATCTATTAGCAAAGAGCACCAATGGCCAGTTCCTATTGAGATTAGAGGATACAGACCAAACAAGATTGGTTCCTGGTGCGGAAGAAGACATTTATAAGTCGCTTGAATGGTGTGGATTACATCCAGATGAGTCTCCAGTGGTTGGAGGACCATACCAGCCTTATCGTCAATCTGACAGAATGGACATCTATAAGAATTACGCAGACAAATTGATTGAGGCGGGACACGCTTATAAGTGTTACTGTTCCAAGGATAGACTTCTTAGTCTACGGGAATCAGCCATGCAATTGAAGCCTCCCACTACGGTCACCTATGATAGAAAGTGCTTACACGAAACACCACAAGTAGTAGAAGAGTATACGGTCAGATTCCGCTCACCCGATGTCTATGAGCTGTTTCTGGACTTACTTCATGGAAATTTGAATTTGCAGCCGCAGTACAACCAAACTGATCGCAGATACGATGACTTTGTCATTCTCAAGCTGGATGGCTTGCCAACTTACCATTTTGCAAATGTAGTCGATGACCACTTGATGAAAATTACTCATGTTGTGAGAGGAGAGGAATGGCTCACGTCAACCCCCAAGCATGTGGCCTTGTATAGAGCGTTTGGTTGGGAACCTCCTCAGTTCATTCATATTCCTCTTTTGACTTCTTTGGAAGACAAGAAGCTTTCAAAGCGTCAAGGTGATATTGGCGTTCTGAGTATGCAGAAACTCGGAATTCTTCCTGAAGCTTTAACTAATTTCTGTGCGTTGTTTGGTTGGTCTCCTCCTCGGCCCCAAAAGTTCAAGACCTCCAGCGAAATTTTGACGTTGAGTCAATTGGTGGAGAAGTTTTCGTTGGATCATTTGACGAAAGGTAATGCCAAAGTGAACGACAATAAATTGTACTTCTTCAACAAGCACCATTTGACTGCCAGAATTGCTGATCCCGATACTTTAGCAGTATTGATTGATGAATACTACCCACATTTTGTTGAGATCGCTGGTGATCTGTATTCCAAAGAATTTTTGACGAAAGCTGTTTCTGCGGTAGGTCCAAGTCTCACCACCATCTACGATTTTGAGAATATCCATTCTTATTTATTCAAAGATGTCAATTACCTTGACTATGAAAAGCCTCTGGATAGCATTTTCTCTGATGTATTGGTAGCATTGCAGAACGCTGCTACCGAGCAAGATCTATTCCCTGTTGATCGCGTATTGGCTGAGGTCCCTAAAACGTCGAAGAAGGAAGTATTTCAAGCCACAAGATATGCATTGTCGGGAGGTGTGCCTGGTTTAACCATACCCGTCTTGATTGATCTAATTGGTGCGGACAAATATTTCGAAAGACTTAGTGCTGCTATTGCATTCTTACAAAAATAGAACTCAAAACTCTTGTATATATATATTAACCTTTGACAAAAGTGCTTCTTTGTAAATCCAAGAAATCAGGATGTCTTGAATCAGGGCCATTTTCTTTGAGAAGAGGACCAGTGAAAATGCAATGAATTGCCATTCCAGGATGGTAATAAAGCCCAGTCAACAACTTGGGAGTGACCAAGAAATACTGTGACAGACCCTCACTGCAAGCTGTATGCACAAGATATTTGTGGGCCATCTTTTCATTTTTAGGGTCCATTCCCTGGTTGATTTCATCCACAATTCTGATCGGCGCATTGGTCAATCCTTGTAGAGACATGATGAAGAAGATGGTCGATACCGCTCTTTCGCCACCAGATTGCGATTGGTGGTCCAAAACTTTAAGCTCTGAGTTCTCTCTGAATTTCACCAAAATCTCAAGTTTCCAGTCTTTGTACCGTTCCAGCTTCACCATTTCAACTTGTCCATCACTTGCAACAGTGATGAAATTCTTCTGGAATGAACTTGAGATCTTATTGACCATATCTTCAAGCTCTCTTTCCCATGGTACAGAGATATTCTCCATTCGTTCCTTTAGGTCTTCCTTTTTTCTCTTGAAATCTGGCAATTGTCTTTCTGCTATCTCAAGTTCAGACCGTTTAGACTTGAGAAGCTCTAAAGAGCCTCCGTCCACATTTGAGAGAACAGAAATATCGTCTTCTAGCTGCTCAATCTTGTTCAAAACATACAGCTCTGAAAGTCTATTCTGAGCGAGATAATCTTCTGCCAATTTTCTTACAACTTCTCGTTCTTCCTCCGTTAAATTCTGCTGTCGAATCTCCCTGGCTGTATCACCCTTCTTATACTCATCATATTTGCTCTTCGCTTCTTTGTACTTCTCTTGTAGATCAACTTTTTTCTGATCAAGTTCCAGCATGAGAGACTGGAATGCTAATGATTTATTCTCCAGTTGCTGGCGTAAGAGTTCCTTTTGCTTCTGTTGAAGTGTAGTGGCCACAAGTTCCTCAGTATAGTTAGCAATCTGGCTCTGCAATTCAGAAAACTCAAAATACTTATCAAGCAAGGCCACTTCTGTCTTCTCAATTTTATCCTTGTTATCTTGGTTAGCACTGACCGATAACTGCTGTATTCTGGACTCGGTATGTCTGATGGTATCCTCCAATTTTGTCTTTGCCTCTTTCTTTTTCCTCAATGCCCTTGACTCGATATCCAACTTCTTCAATTCTTCGTCAATACCAATTAAACTATCTTGTTGTTGTTTCTTCTTTTCCTCAAGATTAGTCTTTGATTGTTTCAACTCATCCATACGAGCTTTCAAATCGAAAAGTCTCTTCTGAATATCCTTCTTGACGTCTTCTGTCAATCCTTCAGAGCCCATAAGTTGCGCTTCTCCGATATGTTCGGTCTGATAAAAAATTTGCCTCGAGCCATATCTCGAGCGGCCGACCATAAACAAATTGTTCTCGACGACGAACTTAAGGAAGGGTGTCTTTCCGTCGCTTCTCGGTTCAAGAAGCTTATTGATGGTATTTTGATCAACGGGTTTCAGGGCAACTGGAATGCAATGCAAGAAGGAACGGTGTTTCAATCCACGGATAACAGTGTCTGGACCAGTGATGAAATCGGATAAGTATCCATCGAAGCCGAGCTGTTTCAATTTCTCAACTGGCATTGGTTGTTGTAGAGGAGCATTAGGGACAACTCTCATGGGAATGTTCATATTTTTTGGTATTGCTGCCGAGACCTTTTGATACTGATCCTCATTGTCAAAAAACAATGCAAAGAGAGAATTGTTATCAACAACTTTCTCGAAGTATTTTGCGTATTTCTGATGGGTTACATGACATGAAACAATAGGAGCTTCATGGTATCGAACCCCAAGGTTCTTCTTTTCCTTCCTTAGTAGAATATGGGCATTGTATGCGTTCTCCATGAGTTCTCTCCTGTAACGCGTACCTTGCCTACTCAAAATCTCGAGTCTGTCATTGTTTTCGAGTTTCTTGCGCTCATCTCGGAATCGAGTTTCGCTCACATCGAGATCTCTTCTCAAGGCATTCATCTCAAACTTCGTGGCATCATACTCCTCCTCAATTCGGACCTTTTCATCATGTTTCACCTGGCGCTCCCCAGATAAACGTGAAACCTCATCTTCATCAACTTCCTCCATTCTGGAAAGTCTTCGCTCCATGTCCTCTTTCTCGGAGACAGTCTTCTCAAGTTCTGCCTTTTGATTTTTAGATCTGGAGTGCAATGATGTGATCTGATTCTTCAACTCCTCACTTTTTTGCTGAGTTTCTGCGGCATCTCTGCTTGCTTTCTCACATTTGGTATTCAACAGACGAACCGTAGAGCTCAAAATCGTGATTTCCTGATCCAACAGCTTTATTTCTTCCTTACATGCCTTGTAATGATTCTCCAAAGGTATGGCGTTCGCAGAAAAGTCCTGAAGTGCTTTTTTGGCGGAATCTCGAACAGCTTTTAAGCTTTTCATTTGCTCCTTGATATCTTGGAGTTTAGCGTATGGCAAGAGCTTTCTATGGTATCCAATCTCTTTCGTTTTGTCTTCATATTCCTGGTACTTGCGAGCTTCGTTTTCGAACTTGGTGATGTCCGCTTCAAGGCCAGAAATCGTCTCCTCAAGTGTCCCGATTTTCTTTGAAAGGTCCACCCAGTTGCTATCGAGCTCAATAAGTAGCTGATGTTTCTCTAGTAATGTATTGTCACCAATGGTCCTCTCCGTCTCTAGTAGCAATCTTTCAGGAGATAAGGATGCGAATTCGGCCACACGCTCCTGAGGCAAGAAGTGGCAAAGGTTATCGAGTTGAATATTGAAGCTCTTCACTAGCAGACGTACTTGGTTGACGTCAGAGCTTGTGCCATCCACTTTCCACACTGATTTGGTCTGTTTGATGAAGAATGTTCTCTCAATGACCAAGTTTGGCTTCCCAGGGTCATTCTTCAAAGTAATCTGGATAGTGCTCTCCTTCTCACCAGATTTGATCATGGAATCCATGGTTTTCCTTTTGATCAAGTCCACCTTTCCTCCCAAGCCCAAACATACCGCAGCAACAAACGTAGACTTTCCTGTTCCATTGGGGCCAATGATCATGTTGAGTGTTGGAGATAGTTTGAACTCTCCGTAGGAATACGTGGTGAAGTTCCAGATTCGTAGAGAAACGATATTTCCCGGTCTGAAAACTTCATCTTTCAGTGATGAAGTATCTGATCCCGCCACTTTACGGCGCTTATTGCCGTTGGATTCCATGAATGTAGAATAAGAAATTGAGTTGTAGTTGATCAGAGTGTGCATAGATCGAGTAGAAGTGAAGATAAGAAGGAAGAAAATTCAAATATTGGGGAGAATTGAAAAGTATGAAAGAAAAGTGACCTTGAAAAGAAAGCCACCACTGGAATAAGATACGTATCGTTTATTTGCTACAATTTTCTCGTTGATTCTAATCTTCAGCCGGTTTATGGAAACCATCTCACAACGCGACCTTATGGAAACTGCTTCCTTTATGAATTGGACCATTATCCAAAAAAAAAAAGGAAAAGGCAATTATAAAGTAAATTTTAAGCAATACACATTCGCCTTCAATTTCTATTTCTTTTCCCTCCTTGCTTGATCTTTCTCATCACATTCCCTGTCTAAGCACATCTGCCACCAAGTCACGTGCATTTGTTTACTTCGTCTCGAGCCTCCAGATCAATCTCAACACGTCAATACTCCCTAAGCAAAATGGTATGTAGCATGCTTTCTATCCGGAACGTGCGTCTAACAGTTTATTGAATTACTGTAGATATCAGCATTGGTCTTCCAAACTCGACTTTCAGTTTTTTTCTCAGAATATTCCCTCAAAGTACTAACATCAGTCCAACACTAAAACTTACAAGGATGCATTCGCCTTATTCGACAAGAAGGGAACTGGAAAGATCCCTATCGAGCACTTAGGTGATTTGTTGAGAGCCGTGGGTCAGAACCCTACTTTGGCAGAGATTTCCGAGTTGCAGGACTCTGTCAAGCTGAGCGAATTCGATTTCGACACCTATCAGAATATCATCAACAGACCGGATGGTTTCAAGCCTTTGGGACTTCCTGAGGATTACATCAAGGGATTCCAGGTGTTTGATAAGGAGCAGACTGGCTATATTGGAGTCGGTGAGTTGAGGTACATCTTGACCTCGATTGGAGAGAAGTTGAGCGATTCTGAGGTGGACGAGTTGTTGAAGGGTGTCAACGTGACTCCTGATGGAAATGTTGATTATGTTGAGTTTGTGAAATCTATTTTGGACCAGTAAATTATTTTATGTACGGTGAATTGGTATTAGTGTAGTTATCATAGTTGAATAGATCGATTCGGAGATATGCCACCGGAAATGAAGGATGACCTTTTCAAACAGAAATTGAGGAAATAGCTCTGTACGATCCATGGGTGTAAATATTTCGTCAAATTGGCAACAGAATTACGCTGCTTTCCATCGATAATCTGTGACTTTATGCTCCCCTCTGTATTCTACAACCTGGAGGAGTGCCTAACTTTTCCTGGTACAGACTGTTGGTTGAACTTTCCAATCGTAGCACCCTAACATATTCTTTCATTCCATATTCCCTGAATCAACCAAGTTGATTTACCGTTGATTGAATAAAGCTCGCTTTCCTGTAAAATTGTATTTATAACAACCACACGGTTTTGATAGCGTCTCACCTTTTGTTGAGGCGATTACTGCGAAAATCTTCATAGGTACAGTCTATTACTGTTAACTAGACAAATCTATCGGACCAATAAAGCAGAATATCTCCCCTAACGACTGCCATTTATTCCCAAATCCTGCTACGTCCCTGAATTGATCCATTGCACACACTATGGACACAACAGAAGAGCCTGACCTTCTACGGAACGAACGTTTCCATCTAAAACCATATGACAGACTCATGGCCGTGGCCACACTCAGTGGTGTTATAGGAGTGGGCCTGGGTCTTTACGAAGGGATCAAAACGTCATCTCTTCGGTATTTGACGGAAAATGCCCACAGACTCCCAACTACCGTTGGTGGGTGGTACTTCTACCATAAGAAGAAAAACTACGTGATGGTGATCTCTGGATGCAAGCAGGCGGTGAAATACGGAATCAAATATTCAATTGGAGTATCCAGCTTCTTCCTTTTGGAAGCAGGTCTTGATTATGTGAGGCACACCACAGATTTCTTGAACACTACTTTGGCAGGAACGTTAATGGCATTTGCACATGGAACCTCTAAGCAGATGAGTCGGGTCCAGCGCTTCAACCACGTTAAAAAGGGAGCTTTCTTAGCTCTTATGCTTGGTATTGGCCAGGACTTCTTGATCTCTGCCAGGGGTGGAGATGTCTGGTACGTTAACAAGTTCAAGGCATTTGAAAGAGATCGGGCTACAATTTAATACATGTACATAGAGATTAAAACCTTCAGGAGAGATTCTTCTTACGATTGAATTTGAGGCAGACTTTCTGTTTCTTATAATTATTCTATGTACTCTATTCGTCATCTTCATCCTCATCCTCATCAAGATCCATAGGATACTTCAACAATACAGCAGATCCAGTCAACTGGTCCAATTGTTCACCAGATTCGTGTAGTGTCGAGAAAATAAACACTTCTCCACCTTGTTCCTTTGTCTGGTTACTTAATGCAATGTAGTGCTTTCTCACCGCAATGTCATCACTTCTGAAGAGAGAATCCGTGAGCAACAAGTACTTGACTGCTCCTAATTCCACGGCCTTGGCGACCTCTTTTGGTCCGTACCAGGCTCTGTCATCGTCTTCATTCAATACTTTCTGGAACTCTTCAAATACTGCTGCCTCTCTGGCAAACTTTGTATCGTTCAAGCTCCGCTGGACAGTAGGATCCTTCAAGACTTCCTCCAAACCTTGGAGATAGCCTGTAGATGAGTGCACCACCAAGAACTTGGACTTGTTTTTGATCACTGACTTGTTATCTTCCTTAACAGCATCATCCAATATGGTCTTGAGCAATGAGCCGGCAGTAAATCCTGGAGAAGCAAGAATCACCACCTTCAACTTCTCCAAGTCAAAGTTACGAGTCACGGTCGCCAGGACCATTGAGAGAAACTTGTCCATCGACTTGTCGTGTGCACTGCCACCTCCGTCTCCCCTGCTCTTTCTAGGAATAGATTTTTCAATTTTATTTCTGAGAACAGTCATGGTGTCTGTCACCAAACACAAGTGGGCCACACCCTCCTCCAACACAACAGCACCTACTTCTGCTTTCTTCTCGATCGAAGATGCCTCGATCACAATGCCATAACTAATGTCGTCCCACTCAGGCTTGTTGATGGTGATTTTCTTATTGAGTTGTACCTCGGCAGTATGGTAGCTCTGGTTGGGAACATACTCGTTCTGTTCGGTGGTTTTGCCTCTGATACGCATGGTTTCATCACTGGGAGCATAGTCGACACTTTCAACTGCCAACTTCAATCTGACATGTACTCGTTCAGCCTTTCCTCCTTCGGTTTTCTTGACATTTCTCAATGTGGAGAGATCAACCACATCTCCCTTCTGGATGAGGTTGTATAGCTGCCACAAGTCTTCCTTATCCTGAGGAATAAGCGAAAGGGAGCCACTCTTATCCTTTTCGAGGGCGATTGTTTTGTCCAAAAGCTTCATGAAAGGAGCAACTTGATGTAGTATGACTTGTAGTGCAGGAAGAGAAGGTTCAGTATCGATTGACGATGGGATCGAAGCTTGTAAAGTGAGAAGATAATTTAATAGATGAAAACTATGAAAGAAATGAAATTTCTTAAGTTTCGACTTACCAATGGTGAAATTCTCTTCTTTTCAATTTTTATTTGAAGCTTTTATTTTTCACTCCGATGCTTGTATGACTCAGTTCATGTATTCTCAGAGAAGTAAATGACATCTCCCTAAAAGAAGGAAAACGTGATATCTGAAAATTTGAATTCAGCGTCCAAGTAAATACTAGAATCAAGTTTAGAAACCAATAATATCCAAGTTACAACCTCTACATTCTGTTCAATATCCCATGCATCTATTACTACAGTCCTCCTACTTCACATCAGCCTTCACCAAGGTGGAGTTCTTACACAACTCACCCTTCTCGTTCACCAATTTTGCTGGCTCCTTACCCTCAACAGTGTAAGTAACCTCGAAGTTCTCGTTGGTGCTGAAACCTGGCTGCACAGCCTCCCACACCTTCTTCTTAGGGTTCAACTGCTTCTCTGGAACGTCATTGTAGCCCTCAAAGAAGATCTTGTCTCCAGGCTTGGAGCCTGCTGGTGGGTTGACAAACTCAACAGTGTCATCACTAGAAGCACACAACACCATGGCGCACGACTTGACACCTCTCATGGAAACAGGCTTCAAGTTGGCCACCACAACCACGTATCTCTCTTGCATATCCTCCAAAGGAATGTACTTAACTAATCCCGAACAAACGGTTCTTGGACCCTCAGCATCTCCCATGTCAATGGTGGACATGTACAACGAGTCTGCGTCTGGGTGCTTGACAGCCTTCTGGATGAATCCCACTCTGAAGTCGATCATACCTGGGTTTGGTGGAACAGCAGCAGCCTGGTTCTTAGCCTGTTGCTCAGCCTTAGCCTTAGCCTTAGCAGCCTTCTTGGCCTTAGCAGCCTCAGCTCTAGCCTTCTTCTCCTCCTCCGAGACCTCTGCCCCCTTCTGCTGCTTCTTCTCACCAGCTGGAGCTTCACCAGCTGGCTTAGCAGCGGCCTTCTCAGCAGGCTTTTGAGCAGGAGCGGCGGCGGCAGCAGCAGCAGGCTTCTTCTTCTCCTTGATCTCTCTAGGCACCTCGGTGTCAAATTTGACGGCCAAACGCTCCTGTTCAGGAACTTCAACTAGGGTGTTCTGCACCAAGTCAGCCCATCTAATGATGTGTCTGAACTTGGCATACTCCTCAGGGGACTTCCACTGGCTGGCCACAGGCAAAACCTTGGAGAAAACATCCAAGTCAACCTTGGCTGGGACATTGCCCACAATGAAGGTTTTGCTTCTCAAGTTGGAGTTCAATGTCTCCAAAGTGTCTTGCTCGTTAAGTCTGGAGGACAAAGTCTGGAACTGCGAAGCCAAGGCCTTCGCCTCAGCAGATAATTCTGGGAATAACGAGTCAACTGCCTTGGAGACGTCTTTGAGGGGAAGCTTGTTGAATTTGGCAAGGAAAGAGGCCATTCTGGTTATGGTGAATGAAGGTGCTATGGGGATGGAAAATTTTGGGAAGGGAACCCGCTAGTTGTGCACGTGACCGTTCCACATACTAAAAATCTCTGAAAATGATTAAGGTTTTTATGAAATATTAGAGGAGGGAAAAAAATGTTTCAGTTTTACTATTATGAATAAATTATTCTTGTCCAATTTTAACTGTGTTTATGTTTGTGTTCGTAGGTCTTTCGCAACTTTCCTTATCTCGCACCTTCTACTGGGTAGAAGAGATCATTTTCCCACCGGACTTTATCCATTGTGTCCATCATAAGGAGAGTTTCTTTCCATGGAATAAGATCAACCTGCGATTTTTCTTCTGAAATTGCTTTTGCGGCAGCGTTGGCCTCATGAATAAACCCAATGTAGTCATTGTCTTCACTGTATTCAATAGGCGAAGAGCCATCCTTGAAAACGATCTTGAAATTCCTTGGCCTAGCAGGATTGTCACTCTTCATCTCTAGATATCCCTTAGTTCCCTCCAAGCGCAAGAATGGACTTGGCCCATCAACGTAATTGGAACTGGTAAGTAAAGCTTGCTTTCCATTCTTGTATCTGAGCAAGATCGTTGACAAGTGATCTACACCGTCAACAGGGTCTAAAGAAAGGAAAGATTTCACTTCAAAGTTACTCTCATCACCATAATCTTCGTCCAACAAAATACGTCCGTAAGTCAATGGATAGATCCCGATGTCTAACGTTGCACCAGCAGCAAGTGAGATGTCTCTAGCACGGGAACTCGATGGAAGATTATAGATGTCTGCATTCATAGAGAAATCCGCTCTCAATTGATGTACCTCTCCCAAGACCTTGTCTTTGAATATGAGTTCTTTTGCTTTAGCAATGGCAGGAAAGAACCTTGTCCATACAGCCTCCATGACGAGTAAGTTCTTCTTTTCTGCAACTGCAAACACTTCTCTTGCTTCCTTCCCTGTTACTGTGAACGGTTTTTCGCAGACAACATGCTTGCCATGCTCCAATGCTTGAATCACTTGGTTCTTATGGAAAGTGTGGGGTGTACCAACGTAAACCACATCTACTTCGGGGTTCAGGAAAAAATCCTCATAATTCTGAGCCTTAACAGCATATCCCTGGTTATTTTCAACCGTGATTTTGTGTTTCGTAATGAATTGGGTGCCTTTCTCCACCAGTGAAGAACCAATACTTGCAACAAGATGGGTATTCTCACCCTGAGAGATGCTCACTAACAAGTCATGAACAAACAGGCCGGAAATGTTTCCAGCACCGAGGATTCCCCATCTGATGGTCATTGTTTTCGAATTTCCCTTCATTTTTCAAATTCGGCGCCGAATTCAAGATAATGTAGTTAAGCAAACGAATTTAACTAGTGCGACACTCCTAAAAAATATAGATATGAGAGACTCACTAGCAAATGTAATCGAGGGGAAGAGAACCTTAAAATTCCAATCTAGGTTGCATGTCTTGAGCCAATGTCCCCTGTTGCATCGGTAAACAATAGGACCTCGAGCCCATTTTGAGTCTAGGTTGCATTGGATTCTCGAGTCTATGTTACATTTTTAGAGTGGAGTGCACCACTTAATGTAACGTCGCATTTTGAAACGTGGAGACAGATAGGTGATCTTATCACGATAAATAGAGCTAAAAAACTCGCTTAGTTCGAGCTTATCACCTCAAGTTCTCGAGACTAAAACACAATGACGCTTCCTCATTATCATCATGACCAGATTGCCGACCAGGGATTCACAGTGATTCGCAACTTTCTCACAGAAGGTGAGGTGAAGACCTACAGAGATGCTGCTCAGAATGTGGTTGATTATGCCAGAGAGGGAAAGTGGCCTCATGTCAGAACAAGGGGGAAGCAATTTCCACCATGGCCTAAGAACTTCAGTCCTGACATCTGGGGTGTTAGTGGACTCTTGCATCCTGGGTTGGGTACCAAGTCGTTGGCTTTTCAAGAATTGTACTCGTCTCAGAAGTTGTTGGATGTGGCTGGAGATATCTTGCAGACTCCAAACGAGGGCTTATCTATGGAGCTTTTCAACATGTTAATTAATCCTCTTACGGATTTCGACTTGGACTGGCACCGTGACTACATCCGTCCCGAAGCCACGCCTAGTGAAGAGGCTGAACAGCTTCTCCAAGATCCATATGCTGGAACTCAATTCAACTTGGCCCTAACAGACGATAAATGTTTGATTGTGGTTCCTGGGTCTCACAAGCGAGTGCGTACTGAAGAAGAGCGGGAAAAGACCACCAACGAGTCCCGTAAAGAACATATTCCTGGTGAATTGTATGTGGAGTTGAAACCAGGTGATATAGTTTTCTACAACAGCAACATTTTACATCGTGCCACGTACTCCGCAAAAAATCTCCGTTTGACCCTTCACGGTTCTTATGGTCATGTGGATCATGGCAAGGCTAGGGCTAAGGGCGTACTTCAACATGGAGTTGCCGAATGGTTACCTGAATTTGAGCCTGTGAATGGTAACATGGAGATGTTGAAGAGCAAATTGGTTGCTTTGGCCAAACAGTTTGAAGGTGTGCAGTTGGGATATTCTTTATCGGGTTGAGAATATCTATTGCGAATGAGTGTGGATTAGTTCGTAAATTAGTTATCTGTTCTTTTAGTAATTGTATGGCATCACTAGTGTGTATTTTTCGCACCCAAATTTAACCAGGAACAGAATCAATTTCCATAAGAAAACTTGGTGCGCTAAGATTCAAACGACAATGATCGGTTTTACTTAGAAATCTTGAACAAAATTCGAAGCTCAATCTACGGCATTGCATGGTAATCATATCACTTTCCTTTGCATCTCTACAACTTGAGTCCTCTGAATCACACCCGTACACCACTACCACTAGTACTCCACATATCATTGAGTGTACGATTAGAAACATATGCTGAGTGGATGTATAAACAATGAATGCTGAAACCACCTTGGCGAAGCCAGTATGTTGATACTTGTAGTTTTTGAAGAATTCCGACCATTTTTACACTCCTGATTGGTGCGTTCTCCCGCAAAATTCTGGACTGTCACAGACTTTAACCTTCGAGACATGTTGCCGAACTCCGACAATACACCAGTACAAAGCAACTGATTACTAACATTTTAGAAAAGAAAAAAGATTTCAAGGGCATGCAATCACTGTCACAAGGCTCACATTACATGTGATACCTCCCGGCCCTGCCAACGATGTGTTCAAAGAGGACTTCTGGATACCTGCGAAGATGCTCCACGAAAGAGAAAGAAATACTTGGCTGACGTGCCAACGTCGCTCATTAGCCATCAAGGATCGGATGAATCTGCTCCCATGTCAAAAATTCCATCACAAAACCCTGCATTAATGCATAATCCGATTTATCAAGCCACCATGTTGAATCACAGTGCGCTGCTTCCGTCGTACCCAGTGCACAAGCCTTCCAATCTTGCAAGGACATCCACTGTGGCCGGGGTGAAACAGGAAGGCGAATCTACCAGTTTGTTCTCCAATCAAAACTTTGACGTTGGTGATTCGTACTACCAGAATACCAATGGTAATAATAACCAAGGCATCGCCAACAGAGACGAAAAGGGACGCAAACGGACCAACTTCTTGAGTTCTGCTGCTGACTTAGAGTACTCCACGCTATCCAGTATTTTGCAGGATAACTTCATGGCGCTACCCAATAACCTGGCAACGTCTACCGAAGGCACACCCAATTCAGTGAATTTATCTCCAGCAATGTCTCCTCATAACCTTGGCGGTCTCCACAAGGTGACTTCGCCTTCATGGCTATCGAATTCGTTCAGTGCGGGCCAACAAGAGCCACAACAGCACCATGTTGAGGCCAGAGCCGAGTTTAATGGTCACCACGACGTCTTGAAGTATGACAACCGCATCAATCAGTACTTTTTGGGCAGCACATCACCGTCGGTTCCTCGAACATGTTTTCCGGAGGTGATCCAGGCCATTGAAAGCGCAAAGCAAGCTGATCCTGCTGCATTCTTTGCTCAGAACAAAGTGCTGACGCTTTCCTTCACTTTAGGTATATCACCCGAGGAACAGGCCGGAATCGCCGGTGATGACCACCTTCAATTCAAAGAGCCTGAAGAGATTTATGCCAAAATCACTCATCCGTTCTCGTATACACCTGGCTTTCACAAATTAATTGCATACTTGCGCAATCGGTTTCCGAAAGACATGTTGGTCAAAATGGCTAAATCTATGGCTGTGTACAGACCTTCATTTATTGCATGTACCAACTCTTTGCGGGAGGCTGACCTTATTTTCATGGAGCAGTGTTTCCAGCGGACGCTTCTCACCTATGACAAATTTCTCAAGGTTAGTGGAACACCTACTATTGTCTGGAGAAGAACAGGAGAGATTGCATATGTTGGCACTGAGTTTACGGTTCTTACAGGATGGACACAGGAACAGTTGATGGGCGCAAAGCCAATGTTTATAGTTGAGGTTTTGGACGACAAGTCCGTGGTTGAGTATTTTGAACTCTTCTCCAAAATCGCTTTCGGAGACTTTCTAGGTGCTACCATGACTGAGTGCACTCTACTCACGCCCAAGAAAGACGTCAAGATCCGAGCCGGATGCATGTGGACCCTCAAGCGAGATGTTTTTGGCATTCCGATGATGATCATCGGCAACTTCTTGCCGATACTCTAATGATTATGATGATAATAGACGAATTTTTCATTTCAACTAAAACCTTCTCCAGACATTATACCCCACGATTTGTTTTGATGGGTCACGTGTTCACCTTTTTACTGAGAAGGGTCGAAGACAGTACAAATACCGAGCTATTACCCATTAATCTTTCATCACAACTCTTTAGTATTTCAATTCCTCGTAAGTATGGCTAAAGGTGCACTCACAGCCAGGCTTATTACGACAGTTGCCGTCATTTGTATTGGCTCACTCCAATTCGGCTACCATATGTCCGAACTCAACTCACCAGAGGCCATTTTATCGTGTAGAGTGTCTGTTCCCGGATCTGTTCCTTTTAAACAGTCATTTTTTGGTTCCAGAGGTTTCCAGAAGTGTATTGAGCTCACCAGCGAACAAGTAGGTTTGGTGACATCCATCTTTAGTATTGGAGGACTTGTGGGATCGTTTTATGTTGGAACCGTGGCTGATTCCATTGGCCGGAAGAAGACTGCGTTGCTCCACAATGTGGTTTTCTTTGTTGGATCGTTCTTGAATGGAATCAGCAACTCATTCTACGCATTGCTTTTCGGCCGTTTCATTGCAGGAATTGGTGCTGGGTCTGCATTGGTGGTAACATCTTTGGTGATCAACGAAATTGCTCCCCAGCTGCAAAAGGGCTTTTTGGGTTCCATGAACCAAGTATCGGTTAACATTGGAATCTTATTCACCCAGGTGCTTGCATTGGCATGGAATAACGATAATGACTGGCGTCTTCTCTTGTTTATGGGCGCAGCCATTGCAATGGTCAATTTCATGCTTATTTTACTTTACGTGGACGAGTCGCCAATGTGGCTCTATTACAATGGAATGAGCTCACAAGCTTTTACTGTTCTTCACAAATTGAGGGGCGGCGAGTACGCCACTGCTCGCAACGAAGTGAATAGTTGGAAACACGGTGACAGTCTTGAAGAGGGCTCTTTGCTTCTGGAAGAGGAAATTTCCGATCCTAACCCTTCAGTAAAGTCAACCGCCATTACTCTCCGTGAGTATTTGGTGTCACTGGAATATTACAACTCAAAATTGGTGGCTACTGGTATATTGGTGCTCCAGCAATTCTGTGGAATCAACTCTATTATTTTCTATGGAGTGTCAGTATTGGTCTCCATATTCCCGAGCCAAGCCGTCTTTATTAACTGTTTGATTTCTGTGGTTAATGCTGTTGTGACGTTTGCCTCTGCTCCATTGGTAGACAAGTTGGGTAGGAAGCCGCTTCTTTTGACGTCGGTGACATTCATGGGTATTTCTTCTGCAGTGTTAGGATTTGGAATCATTTACCAGAATTCATTGTTCTCAATTGTTGGCACATTCACCTACATCACGTTCTTCGCCATTGGATTGGGACCAATTCCATTCTTGCTTGTTGGTGAAGTGACACAGCCCAAAGCTAAGGCGCTGGCGCAGAGTTGGGGTGTCACGATGAATTGGGTTGCCACGTTTATTGTCGGTTTCAGTTTCCCTATTTTGAAGAACTCGTGGATTGGTGGCGGTGTGTACTACATTTTCACTGCCATGTGTGCTTTCTCGTACTTCTTCATTAAGCATTACATTCCTGAGACAAAGGGTAAGGACACATATGAGGAAGTGTGGCGATAATTCTACAATGGTGCATCCGAGAACTATTTCAGCTGCTATATGGGTGGACAATTGAGAAGATGATAAAGGAAATGGAATGAGCTCGACTAATGTTTGTCGATTTATTCTCCAGAGGATGAGATTACAGTGAGCATAGCTATTAGTGAGCATTGGAATAAAATGATAAAACAAGATTCTCTCATTGGGTGGAAAGCAAATGACAAGATGATACATAAAATCAAATCGTCTCTCCTTTTAACATTCGCCAATTAACACCATCTCTTAAAAAATACACCGAGCCCGTCGTCTCTTTTGCAACCAATTAGGAATCTATGGTCACGTGCATATACCTAGGGCACAGCCCTCGAGTCCTTTTACCTCCCGCGGCCACCCCCTCCGGCACATTATCCGTCCCGATTGGGAAGAGCCTGGGGACTGGTGCGAGAAAAAAATTTCAAGCTTCCTTTTCACTTTTGCTTCTACATCTGTAAGTCTAATCACACGAAATGCCAACCAGATTAACCAAGACCAGAAAACACAGAGGAAACGTTTCCGGTATGTACATCCACAGCTATTCCATCTGAATTCATTCCATCTTTTGATTTGACGGAGTAACCACTTTCATCGTTGAGACCAATGCTAGAGAGAATTTGGGAGAATAATAATCTTCTTTGGGGAGATCATATGGGAAGAAAACCACATGAAGATACAAACAGCAAGTCTTTCTATTGGCCTTTTGTTTGTTTCTTTACGTCCTCTCTCCCTCTCTTCAGTTCATTTTTCCTCCCATTCTTTTCACTTTCCAGCTTCTCAATATCCCAGTCTTCATACTAACTATTTTAGCCGGTAAGGGTAGAGTCGGTAAGCACAGAAAGAACCCTGGTGGACGTGGTAAGGCTGGTGGTCAGCACCACCACAGAACCAACATGGACAAGTACCATCCAGGTTACTTCGGAAAGGTTGGTATGAGATACTTCCACAAGCAGAGAAACCACTTCTGGAAGCCACAAATCAACTTGGAGAAGTTGTGGTCTTTGGTTGACGAGGAGAAGAGAGACGAGTACTTGAAGTCTTCTTCTTCCTCTGCTGCCCCAGTCATCGACACCTTGGCTCACGGCTACGGTAAGGTTTTGGGTAAGGGACAGTTGCCAGATGTTCCAGTCATTGTCAAGGCCAGATTTGTTTCCAAGTTGGCTGAGGAGAAGATCAGAGCTGTTGGTGGTGTTGTTGAATTGATTGCTTAAGCGATTAGCCCTGTTTTAATAGTCAAAAATAAATCACCGAAAGACGCATGGACTGAGATGTAGGGGATATAGAATGTGGGAAGAAACTTACGGAGGAGAGAAACAATGACTGAAGTCAAGAATGAGAGTAGTGGTTTCCCGATGAGTCATTAAAAATGTATAATAATGACAACTAAATGAAACAAAACATTTCAAAACCATACCAAAGGTCATTTCATAACCCAAATAGTTTTTGCCTCAATGTCATATTTGCTCTCCTTTTTACTCTGTTTTCACTTCTCTCTCTATCTTCCATGCCCTAATACATGCACAACCCCATCACTCTCTATACACTCTATTTACCTGGAGGTCCAACCCATAAGAAACTTCTGTCTCCATAAAGTTTATGGCCATTAGGGTTCTTCTGGGAAGACTTTGCACATATTCATTCTCGCGCGGCTACATCATGAATGGGTCAGTCTGGAAGCCTCAGGCCGCTGTGCCTTCCAAAATCAAGAGCCTCTTGTCAACTGAAGATCCAATCAACAACATGCTTGCATTTACCCAAATTGTTCGTCTTTTGAAGACCCAACCACGTACGGGATGGGTCGACCGTGGCATTCCAGTGGAGAAGACGGAAAGTATTGCCGATCACATGTACAGAATGTCCATAATTGCCATGGCTATTCCTGCGGAATCGGTCAGCATTGACAAGTGTGTCAAGATCGCCTTAGTACACGATATTGCCGAGTCGTTGGTGGGTGACATTACTCCATTTGGTGGAGTTACAAAGGAGGAGAAGCATCGCCGAGAGTTGGAGACCATTGAGTACTTGGTTGAGTTGATCCAGCCTTATAATGAGCGTTTTGCCAATGAGATGAAGGAATTGTGGCTTGACTACGAGGAGATCCGGTGCTTGGAGGCCAGATACGTCAAGGATATTGATAAGCTTGAGATGATCCAGCAGGCGTGGGACTACGAGCAGGAATACGGATTGAAATATGACTTGAGCGAGTTCTACCTGTCGAGAGCCAGCATCAAAACCAAGGAGATCGGCGACTTGTGTGACGAGTTAATTAGACAGCGTGATGCCTTCATTGGCAAATTGAAGCTGAGCCAGTGATTGTGGTGATTTCATAGAGTTAGTATAGTTGAATATTCTTCAACGATCACCAAAGAAGTCAAAACTATATGATATATTAAGATAAATTTTAGATATATTGTCATTCATTTTGCACAAAGGTTCAATTTCTTTCATATTTTTCTTTTTTTTTTTTTTCTTGATTTTTTCAATGTTCATTTCTGTGTTGTAGTCTATTACATATACTACATCTACTGTCAATGGCGAATGCACACAATCTCATCTACTTAGTACTTCCACCATGACCCAAGAAATACAAGAAACCCAGGAGAAGCCAGTGTTTGGCTCTTCCGGAAGAAAGATTATCTACGATAAGGATGGCAAACCGTATGTATTATCAAACTGTCAAGGGCCTTCTCACATACCCATCTTACTAATACACTAGATGTCGAGCATGTAATACACTTTTGGATTTCCAGATGGTGACAGGAAAAGGAACCAAGATCCCGGGAACTAAGAAGCCGGAAAATTCAATAGAGGCAGCTTCTAGTGACTCAAATGTGACAAAAAAGCCCACAGAGGCCGTATCCAAGCTTGGAGGGTATGCCAAAGATTATCCACCAGACGTGGAGAAGCTTGGCCGGTCTTCATGGACGTTGTTGCACTCCATTGCCGCTAAGTATCCAGAGGAGCCTTCTAACAAACAGCAAAGCGACTTGAAGCAGTTTCTCAAGTTATTTGGAAACTTCTATCCATGCTGGTATTGTGGTGAAGACTTCGACAAGTATATGACCAAGAACGAGCCAGCCACAGCCAGCCAGGATGAGTTTGGCAAGTGGCTCTGTGAGGCACACAACGATGTTAACGTCAAGTTGGGCAAGCCCCGTTTTAACTGTAACTTATGGAAGCAGAGATGGAGAGATGGATGGGATGAGTAGATTGTAAATAGAGTCGCATGTAAATAGCTAAAAGGTACCAAGGTATATTGAATGTCAGCAAGAAAAGTGTAATACATAAGTTGTACATGAAATAGAAGTGTCAAAGCCTAGTATTCTCCTTAGTAGATGGTCTTTATCCACAGCTTCAACTCCTCTCCAACTCTATCAGTGGAAGTGGGAATAAACCGGTCAGCGACCATCTGCTTCTTCAACAATACAATTGACGGGATCTTTCCCACAGCATAAGTATGCTGAAGCTCTCTTCCCCCAACTGAGTCACAAGCAATGTTGGCCAATTCCACTGGCTTGGATGAGTCCAATGGATACTGTTTGGAATTGCTGAGAATGTCAAAGAGCGATTGAGTGACCTTGTTGCACTCAGGGTCTCCTGGAAAAGTAAAATTCAACAATAAGGGGTCCTTGGTCAAGACAAGAGTGCCCAATTCCGTGGGTGACTCGATGTATGTGGGGAAAAGTCTGTTCCTTGTGGAGATCTGACTGGGAGGAGGCGGATAGATGAGCTTTTTGTTGTATTTAGTGAACCATCCAAAGAATGTCCGGCTGAAGAGCACGGCAGTAGGCTTTATCAACAGACGAGAGGCTGGTGTGTGGATTAACGAGAACATGGTGTAGTATGTATAATTAGTTGAGAGTTTTGGGTGCAAAGTATGATTGCGGTCACGAGAAAGAGTGGTGGCGGTGGAGTGAAGGGACCGCAAGAAACATGGAGAAAACGTGGTAATGGTTTTACATGTTTTTGGAAATGTTGATAGAAAGAAATTGAAGTATTTTGGGGGAGATGGTGATTTATTGTTGACAAATGTATGTTTTTGATATGGTGGTTTGGGTGCAAAATAGAAAAGTATTGCGAATGTGGAATGTGGCAATTGGACGAGGAAGAAAAAAGTAAGAGAAAAAAGAAAGATGAAGAGAATAAAAAATAAAGGGTAAAAATGTGTTCTTGACATGGACTTATATTTGAAGAGTTAAGAAATCTTGAATAATGAATGCCTGTGAACATGGTTCTAGTCTTGAGCAGATTAGTTGTACTGAGCAAATTGACTACAATGATTGAACAAGTTGAGATAGCATACGAATACATGGTATGAATGCCACCTATAGAACAAAAAAAATTAATAGTAAGTACCAATGGAAAGTAATAGTCTCCCATGGGCTTAATGACTAAAATGGGGATAAAGCATAGTGTAGAATACAAACCCTAGGAACTGATATCCCATCAACAACTCCCTCATTCCGTTTAAATTATAAATAAATTATAAATTCTACCCCATCACCCGCAATGCGGTCTCCACCGCAGCAAATGTTCCAGCACTACATGGAATGGCTCTCAAAAGACACGGCACAATACCCTTCCAGAATCCTCTAAACCCGTTGGCTGCCCAGATAGCCTTCGTGGCAGTGGAGATCTTGCCATGAAATCTTGACTCGGAACCAAACTTGTCGCTCTGAATATTACTCTTGATCACATCTAATGGGTAGCTACTGAGCCACAAGGCATTTCCTGCCAATGCTCCACTCACCAAAAGTTCTGGAGTGGTGATCTCGTTTCGGTGGGCGTACCCTCTTGACGTCTTGATCTTATCGATCAAATATTCGTACGTCAAGAACCACACACCGTACGCCTGGATCTCTCTCAACAATGTGATAGTGGTTCCTCGGTAAAGTCCACCCAAACCTCTAGTTTGGTAGATGTGCTTGACGGTTTCTGCCAACGACGTCGACTTCGTGTTGGACTGTGATAAAATTCTCAATTGCTCCACTGGTGCCGTAACTGGTGTATTTACCACTCCAGCCATGGCTCCGGCAATGTATGTTTGGGGCCACAACAGCAACTGGGCCTCTCCACTTCTCTTCAAGAGTTGTCTTTTAGTCTCGTGAAATCCATAGAACTGGAGAGACACACAGGCACCCACACCAAACAACGGAGCCAAAGTTCCTTTGTAGAAGGCAAGAATTCCCTCTTTTTGAAGAACTTGCTTGATGATTTCAGCTGATGAGGTTGCAGTCTTTGAGGTCTGGAGCCGGATTTTTACCAAATCGGCTGGTTGGCCGATAAGCACCTGCGTGGCGCCACCAATGAAACCAGCAGCGATGTCTTTAACTTTTCTAGTGAGTGAATCGTCTACAGACATAAGAATAGATAAGCTGGTGGAAATTTCATGGCTAAATGGTTCATCATGGGCCTGGTGTATTATACAAGCGCACGTGACAAGGTTGGAACTTTTTCCACCATATTTAGGTCTTATCGCACGATAAGAACTCTATGGATACTATGGATTTTTACCAACTTTTTGATTTTAATTTTTAAATTGGTTCAAAATTATAGAAAATGATTATCGAATATTCTATTGGGGAGTCTCAAAGATTTTTATTTCTTCCTCTTTCTCTTTTGATATGATTGTTGATGCTCCACATAATGCCCGCAACCACATTATCGATGATCTTTCTGTCTTTTAATTTTATAATTGAGTTATTCTAGTTTCTCCTATCATTCTTACCATTTTACACATTTCTAAACGTCCTAGATATTTAATCTTCTATTTCGTATCTTCGTTTTCCCAAAAGTAATTATCCATACTTTTCTGTACCCATTCCTTATGCGGCTATAGCCGTAAATGCACTTGCAATTGGTGGCTGGATATCCACCTTTACTTTTCGTTGAGCAACCCGCCGATGGACATCAGGTGCTTCTTTTGTTCCGGCTTGCCGAAGTTCGTAAAATCCACGGGAATCGGGGCATTGTCACCCCCGCGCTTTATTGGTGCTACCGTAACCTCTGCAACCTTAGCAGCTGGTGGAGAAGTCCTAATAGACGGCAATTTGATTGGCAGCGTCTGAGATAGTATACCACCCATTGGTGGCGAACGCCCGTAGGTACTCATAGCTGCCATTGGCGGCGTAATCTGCTGCTGGGGTGGCTGGATGGCTACAGGAGGCATCACTGGTTGCATTCCTGGCATTCCATGCTGCAAACCAGCTTGTAATCTCGGCTGCGTTCCTGCTTGCATCTGTTGCATTCCAGGTTGCATTGTTCCAGTCATGCCCATACCTGGATATGAAGGTGGCAAGTTGTAGAACACTGGCGCACTAGGAGGAAGCTGGAACATTGGCGATGGGTATGTTGGAATAGGAGGAGGAGGACCAGGCAAAGGACCCGGGCCATTAGGAATCCGTCCGTGTCCCGAATATGGCGGATAGTACGAACTGGCTTGCAGGCGAGGTGGAACAGAAGCACCACGAGAAGGATTCATCTCTGGCAGAGTTCCAGTAGACTGACCTGACCACGGCGAAACCAGTCGTCCACTTTGCAGTCCTGGAGTGGAGAAGTTAGGTGATAACTGCAAACGTTCGATGGCCCCCGGAGATGGACCACCTTTGGGGTCTGACTTTTCATCCAGTTTTACAATATTTCGCTTCCGGCGCTTAATGGTGTTGCGCTTCATTTTGATCGGCCGATGACTACCATGAAGTCGGTAGTACAAGCCACAGGCGTTACAGATGGTGTTTCCAGCGTCGTCACGACGCCAGAGTGGAGTGATTGTGCTAGCACAATTGAAACATGCAATGGCCAACGAGTCGTCAACGTTTCCTCCAGAATTTCCTGTGGAGTTGCCGACGGCAGTTGTGGTGGACTCTTCGTCGCTCTTTGATGCAGCAGTGGTTTTGCTTTCTGAGTTGTCGCATTTATCGGTATCTTTCTTGATCTCTTCACCTTTAAGGACAACTCTGTTGTTAAACGCTGGACAGCCCTTACAGGCTGCCGAGCCACCTGTACCATTACAGCTGCCATCACCTTTGCAACTGCCTTCCTCCTCCTTGTTGTAAGACACGGTGTTCGGAGGTCTTTTCAAGTTGACTGGTCGATGATGGTTGTTGGAGCGTAGGTAGAGCCCACATGCATTGCAGATGAGAGTTCCATCCGGAGCTCTACGCCAAAGCGGCGTCTTTGTAGTACCACAGTTGGAACACTGTTGGCCCGTCTTGTCGTCATTGAATGACGTGGTACGTTTGTGCAACGGCAGCTTTTCCTCGGCTTTAATGGCCGCTGGCGGAGACTCGGACTTGCGTGATGGAGGAGTGAGAGAAGCTTGATTGGTAGTTGGATGGGAGAGTACTCCCTCGGTCGGTAGTACAGAGTTAGACATGGCTAATTGATTGATTGGAGGAAGTAGTGAAATGGTGGTGGGATTCTGCACCAATAGCGACTGATCGGGGATACCGGCAATGTCGGTGAGATGGCCAAGAGACGTGCACTGAGGCGTCAATGGAGGTGAAATGCGCAAAAAAAAGGGCAGAGGGGGGCGAAACTAACGGCGGACTTTTTATAAAAAATTAGCACCCAGACCTGTGGCGGAAGCTTTGTGTCGTTATATAAATGGACTGTGGGAGGTATGGAGGTAATGACAAACACTCAGGAAATTGTGCCAAACAGAACCTTTGTTGCGCTTAGGTACAGGAGATGCGAACTTATCAGATTTGCATCGCCTACACTGACAGGGAGGCGACCAATGGAAGGCCGCGCATTTGTCATTACAAATACACGGCAAACAATAGTCTGAGGCACGGTGTCCCTAGACCAGCGGCGAACTTGTCATGACAATAGGCGCTTATCTTGGCGAATATTGTTCGGCTCCATTGGCGAGATTTGTGCATATTTTTGCCATGTTGTACTAGGGCCCGGAGACGATGTTGAGCCTCTGACTTCAGCCAATCCATTCTTAGTCAAACAACGCAAAGCGACAGCTTTTGACAGGTGACAGGTAAGGAATGTACAGGACTCGCATATCGTTCCGAGTCATTCGGGTGCTCGGGTGCGACTGAACTAGTATGGTGTGAAGTTGTTAGGCATTTCTTATAGGTCAAGGCGTTGTCCCCAGGAAAAACGGAAAAAGATCGACAACGATGCATGGCTGGCTGTATCTTGATTATGCACCATTCAAGTGGGATGAAAATCCTCGCTCTTCGGTTTCCAAGATTTTTGTACTTCATTTGGTGCGATTTCACTCGGAAGTGTCCACGGGCCACTAACGCGCGATCTTCAAAGATGTGCCATTGAGGACTGGATCCTTGATCATCCAGATAAAAACAAACATCTTCGATGGGTTTGATGGTGGTAGATTTAGTGTTTCTTTGATTTTTGAAGTTCCTTTCTATCTTTCTAGAATTGGTTGTTGCAACAATGGCACCGCGAGGTCTACTTCACTGGCGTAAATTGGATTAATGATCCATTTGGGAATCTCCAAACACTGAGATCGGAATAGTGAAGTAAATGCCGGAGATGGAACGGCTTGGCCATGGCCAAGAATAGCTGGATGGTTGTACGTGTCGTTCCAACCTGGTCGGAAATGTATCGGAATGCGGGCCGAGAATCGGATTATAAAATTGTGACAAAAGGGGAAGACGGTGCGAGTCGGAATTTACTAAAATGGACAAATACGTGGAGACATTTGGGACGCTGTTCATTATGATTTGTATCGGAGACAATGAGTAGGGTCAGACCTGGGGATATTCTTGACCGGTGAAGCCAATGCCGCATTTTGAGGTATTCGTTTGGATTTCGTTAACAATATAGAGCGAAAATTTAGACTACGTGATAGAGGGAAAAAATGGATTTGAAGGTCCATAGCGGAAATTGGGGGGGGGGGGGGGGGGGGGGACTACGGAATAGAGAGAAAAAATTGATTAGGTGAATGTCTAAACCGAAGAAGGTGTGAATTCCGATACAGTATTCTCAGAAATAATTCGCTCCACCAGTTTCCAGTGTTTGCATTGATGTGTTCAAATTTCTCAAACGAAAACAACGTTTTCACCTCTATCATTTCAAACTTCGCGTCTGAAAAATCGAAACTCGCAAAGCATCCTTGCTGAATTCCTACACGGCATGTTATAAAAATCCCTTTCATTTTTGCCCGACTTCGTAGTTGGTGAAATCACATTTCGTAAACAACCCAATCTATATCACTCAGGCATTACTTAAGTATGGGAAGATCTATCAGATGGATTGTTTAAACTGGTTTCTTAATATGAAGTCATGGACGTTACAATTGTTGAGATCGGAAGAGAATTTCCGAATTCTTAAAGCGTAACCGTTGATTCTGGGCATCCACTGCTGCACTAGGTGGAATTCTTGTTGCTGCCGCAGCCAATATCCTCCAGATTTTGTGTGCCGTACCGACAAATCTAGCCATGTTGGTATTTTAGCAATGGGAACAATAATCGTTACCGTATTTGAGACAATTGCAGCAGGGGCAGGAGCAACTGGTACTATTTGGGTGAATACAAGCGTGGTACATTGATAGATCTTCATGGGATTGTCACAAATAATACCGTCGGATCATTAAGTAACCCAATTTCCTTGACTCTTTCTTGGTACGTAGACGATGTCCGACCAGTCTACTTGGAACACATCACTCCCTGAAAATATCCAAAAGAGCTTTACAATATGGCATTAGAGATATGTAGGCCATGTATTTGAACTTTGATAAGCTTCATTAGCGCCAGTTCCTGAATGTCAGATCTTCTCAACAGGAATTTATTAGGAGAGTGATTTCGGCATTCATTTGGTGGTTCATTTAATGGCATCTAGTGTGGGCCTTCATACAGCTGGTACTTGCAAGTGAGCCCTGGTGCTCTCTTCAGGAACTTCGAGATTCTCCAAGAAAAAGCGCAATCAATTCGCTGTTGAATGGGTTAGCTCCAATAAGGAAAATGTTAACAGAGATCTATTTGAAGTCGCACAAGTAAGAGGTCTAAAATGTGATCTGGCTGGTGATGTTTCAGGGTTTTTTGCCAGTGCAGATCTTGGAAATACTGCGAAGCAGCGACAAAAAATGATCATGTTGGACAATCGGAAGGCCATGATCAGCTTCGATTGGAGAACGTAGTTCATGGAAAATGATATTTCAATACATATGAAAGTAATAATTACTGCAACGATAACAAAGATGAAGCACTCCCACGACTGATGGATGCCAGTAGACTTTCGTATACATGTACATTAATATAGATAAATTGAACCGAAATGAGAACCCCATCGGATTCGAAATGGAAACTCACCTTTGTCTGATCTTGATCAAAACAATTTTTGCTACAACAAATACAATAGATAAGATACAGATAACCAGAACAAATACATGGCCGCGTTTTAGGTTGAGACACTTCGTATTCATTGGTTCTTCACACACAATAGGACGCCATGCATCGTAAATAGTTTGACATGCTGCAAGAATTATAGAGGCGATAGCCCCTTCAAAGTTGAGCAAATTGTCGGTTCCTTATCGCTTCGCGACCCTCAGAGTGTGTATGAATTTTTGATATTGGACATGGGATTTTTTCGTAACGAATATCAAACTTTGAGTAGATTTTGTAGGTGGATTACCTCTAGAGCTTGATAGTTGGATAGATGAGGTAGCAAACCTTAGACTATCTTGGCATTGATGGGTGAAATTGAAAGTCCAAACGTGAAATTAGAATTTTGCGCCTGTGAATCTAGGGAGTTGGTTGTGCGAATTCCAGATTGTCTATTTACCAACTTGGGATTGTAGTGTGCGAAATCTACCTTTTAACAGAATGCGAATTGTGGGGTGCGCTGTGCGATTTCGGCATTCAATAGAGCGAATTTCGACATCTCAGTATTCAAATTTTGAAATAGTAGAGGCGAAAATGTTGCTTTCGTTTTCGTACACATCAGTGCAAGTATTGGAAACTAGTGGTGTGAATATCTCTGAGAAATATTGGAACTGGAATCCGTATTTCCGTTTTTTGTTGCGAAATCTGGCGGCGTCATTCTTAAGTAGGTGTTGATTGGAGGTCTCAAGTTGAAAGAAAGTTAAATTGAAGGAATTAAGTTAAGAGATTGAGGGAAAAACAGCGCTTCAAGATGCCAAGAAAGAAATTTTAATGGTGAAGTATTGTAGGTACTCGCACTGTCCCAATAAATGGACTTGTAATGCAAGTAAGGTGGTCATAGAACTGTGAAAAAGAGAGAACAACAACAGAATATTGAACTTCTCAGAAGATTGATCAAGTAAATGAATTGAAATAAAAGATTCGAGAAGAGAAAGAGCAAAGGGATTATGCTTGGGAGAAGTTGAATCAAGCAGTTTGAGCCACTTGCAAGATGAATCATCTTACAAATACTTCTGTTAGTGTTGGACGATTTCACAAATTTCCCAATCGTCAACAATGTCAAAGTCAAGAATGTCAGGAAGGGGAATGTGAATGCCAGAGAGCTATGTTTTAACTGTCCCCAATATCTCAGCGTGCTGTGAATATCTGGTTCCCTAGCTCCATCATTTTTTTTGTCAATTTTTCACAGCTTTGGACCTCTCAGAGAAGTTCTATATTTTGACAGGGCAATATTTCTTTACCATGGCCACTTCGCCTGAAATTTCATGGGGTGAAAAGCTGTAGGCTTACATGGATGGACCAGAAGAGACCGCGAAATGTGAACTGTTGCATGCATAAATTCTGCCTTAGTCACATCTACCTAATTGTACATAAACCCAGTCCATGAAATGCATTCAATTTGTCAAAGGAATCCGGTCGCCTCTTATGATCTTTATCTTTATATTAAGAAAATCTTCAAAATACCAACCCTAGATTTTCCGGTTGAAAGATTTCAACTACATGGGCGAGATGCGAAAACAGCTTTGTACCAGGTGGATTTGCTAGACTAAACCAACTAAAACAGCTAAAGAGACTAAAAAGATTAAAACGACTAAAAGAGAAACAATGAAATAAAAAGACTTAAATAGGGTAAAATGATCCAAATCTTTCAAGTTTCAAAAATAAAAGTATGGCAGAGAAAATACCAACAAGCAAAACAATTATTAATAAAACACTACTCTGCTCGTTCGAATACTCACAAGACAAAGCCATTCTTCATTATCCCATTAACACCATTTACAAAGAGCACATTCTCATGACGATAATTCAATCTTCACTTCTTAAGAATGTTTCAAATCTTTATTATACCTTTTAGTTCTTTACAATTCTCTACAATTCCCCTAACTTCAAAATCTCGTCGTCTCTGCATTGTCTGGTGCGACCTTGAGGTAGAACAATTGGTAGACAAAAACAATCAAAAAAACTCAAATATATAATTTCTAATGAATGGATAAGAAGTGAAGGTCCCAGAAGTAAAGAGTTAATAACATTACCCCCATGGCCCCAATAAAAATTATCTGTCTTTCTGACAGTATGTGCACTCCGCCTCACCGCGTTTGTTTACTCCCCCTACCAACACACGCCTGCACCGCGAAAATAAACAACTACTACTATCCATCTGGATATCCATTCTAAAGCTTCAGCGTGCCACCTGCCGAGCTCTGCTATTCTGACTCCGGTGCTGCGTCCATGAACCGTTTCCCCGGGGCCTCTGAGCCGCCCGTGTCGCCCCACGACAGGAATGGACGAAAACCTCCAGCCAATGCTGCATTGCCGCCCAAACAACGGTCAGAAATCGATTATTTTGCCAATGGCCACTTTTCCCGGTCGTTCAACTCGTTGATATTAGACGACGTGGATGATACCAAGCTGGACAAAGACAAATTGGACAAACATGACAAATATGACAAGAATGACAAGAATGACAAGGTAGACAAGAATGATAAAGGAGACAAACATGACAAACATGACAAACACGACAAACATGAAAAACATGACAAGCATCAAAATATCAACAGAATCTCTAAACCAAAGCACCAGAGCATCAATAAGAGTCCTCCGTTCAATGTCAAACATGACATGACTCTGGACACTATTGTTGACGCAATTGATGACTCAGTCGAAGTGGACTTTGACATCTCCGAATACTTGGGAACCGATGGACTTGGCATTATCACCGACAGTGACAGAGACTTCGAGAATATCGATGACAGTTATGGAGATGACGGAGATGATGCTCACTCCAACACCAACTCCAACGACGAAACTAATGCCACGCGTTTCAGCCACCTGACAATTACCCCATTCTGCCCAGGCACTGGCAAAAAACCTGAGTTGAAGCGTTCGTCAAAGTTCTTCAACCTTTCAATTGACTCCAACTTCGACCCGGATGCTAGTCCGCTCAATCTGAAGATGACCTCACCTTTGGTGGAGAACTCCACTCCTTACAACAAGTTCAAGCGTCCGCACAAGCTTGTAAGTCAGTCGCCATCGCCCAGCTCCAATTCTCGCTTCAAACCGGCTTCCGGCGCTAACACGCCGTTGCGATTTGACCCCAAGAAAATGTTCAAGAACGTTAGTGCCTATCGCGTGAAGTCGCCAATGAAATTGGCCACTCTGTCGTCGGCTTCCTCGCCAGCATCACACTTTAAGAAGTTCTTCAAAAGTCCGAACCCAAAATTTAAGGAGTCCTCCTCTCCGTTGAGTGGTTATAACTTCGATCCGTACAACTCGGCTGATTGTGACGATTCTCCGCTGCGGCACAAAAAGCTGTCAGTGTCTTCCAGCTCGAACTTCTCCATCTACAAGGAAGATGAGAATGATGCCACCAACACCAAAAAACCCAGAGCTAGCTCTACGTTTGTACCCAAGAGGCCTTCCAAGCACGACGAAAACAAAGAGAATATCTTACAGGGTGGGTCCAAGATAAACTCGATCCCAAAGAGCTCCTACAAATTTGTAAGACCTCTTCAGACCGCATTCGAGTCTTCCGGTTTGCAGAAGAAAAGTTCCATTAGTCTAGCTTCCAATAAGCCACCTCCAGAGACGCCGATGAAGAGAAATCCTTTGCTATTTCTCAACAAGGACAAGAATAAACCTGTGGAATTCGAAGAATCATTTTTGAGTACTGACAACTCTATCGAGGTGGGGAGGAATGCAAGCTACACACATTCTAACGAGTCGAATTCATCGTTTTTCAAGATCCCTTCTTCATCGAAAATTCAGAATCCAATTGAATTGGACTTGGATTCTCACTCAGATATTGATTTTGATGAAATGATACCAGAAACTCCAACTAAACTGTCGAGCAGAGGAAAGCAATTGAATCTTCTTTTACACAAGGAACCACAACCACATCTTCCACAGGTCTCGAAAGAGATCAATGAAAACGAACCGTGTACTCCTATTCTGAATATGCCTCCAACTTCGATTGCATCATCTCAGGTTACAATTATTCTTCCAAGTGCCGCAAGAGAAAATTCGAACAACGATCAGACTCTAACTCTCAGTCGTCATCGCGAAGACAATGATCCGTCGTATTCCAAATTCTCTGTACCAGAAAAGGAAAGGATAGATGAGCACTTGGCAGAGAAATTTGGAGCTCAGAATATCCAGTATATTGGATGTGGTCAATTCTCAGTGGCATATGAATGTGCATTCGAAAATGAGAAGTTTGCCATTAAAAGAACGAGAAAGCCAATCATAGGCAATGTGGAGAAGAAATCGATCCTTCGTGAAATCGAGGCTTTGCGAGTCTTGACTTCGATTGGCGATGATGAAGAAGTGGAGGAAGGCAAAGAGAATCTCGTATTTTTCGTCGAAGCCTGGAGCTTCAACAATCATTACTACATTATGACAGAATATTGTGAAGGCGGAACCTTATATGCTTTCTTAGAAGAGCATAAGAACTATAAAATCGATGAATTTAGAGTTTGGAAGATTCTTATTGAGATTCTTTGTGGCCTCAAATTCATTCACCTGAAAAACTACTTGCATCTTGATTTGAAGCCCGCAAACATTTTCATTACATTTGAAGGATGTTTGAAGATTGGTGATTTTGGATTGTCCACAAAGCTTCCAATTCTTGAAAAAGATTTCGACATTGAAGGAGATAGAAATTATATTGCTCCCGAATTGATCAACGACAAAATTTATACCCCATTTGCAGATATCTTCAGTGTTGGGTTGATTATCTTGGAGATTGCAACCAATATCGTTTTACCTGGCAATGGTACGCCATGGAGAAAATTGAGAAGTGGAGACTTGAGTGACGCTGGTAAGTTGTCAAGCGACAACATCAGTGATTTCTTGAATCACAACAATTTCTCGTCTCTCACATCTTACAACTCGTCATTGAGCTCAATTAACATGCAGCCGCTCAGTCTGCATCACTTGAGTTCTGTGGGACTTCATAACTCCTCATCCAACCCACTTCAGCCTCCAGCATATTCAAAGCCAGGAAGCTTTTCCGTCACTGGTCAAGGCAATTCGCGGTTCATCAACAACATCAGAGAACTTATACCAAGAGGCGCACCAGACTTTTTGGTTGCCAATTCGCACAACCTCGATAAATTGGTGACCCGAATGATGAAGCCCAATCCGTTTGAGCGACCAACTGCTAGCCAGATATTGGAGATGCATGAATGTATCGAGATCGAAAATAGACGCAGGGCGGGGGCCACCATTTTCGAGGGAGAGTTTGGCCCCAATGACGACGAATAAATAGCATTACCCACAGGGTGGGACATTAGAGCATAATAACATAAGCATAGATAACGAAACTGTACCATTAAATACAAGAGCACTTCTATTTTCTTTCACTGACTGTCAGTGAAAGCCACGAGGCAAAAAAATACGTAGCTGTACCCAATCCGAATGACAGCATCTTACACGATGTACTGAAAGTTGTTTATTGTGATTACACATCACTAAAACAAACTCTTGCGAGAGAGCTGATGCTAATATAAATGATTTTGAATATCTCTGAGAAATAAACTGAACCCAGGTCGTTTACTGGATTTGAGAGTAACCAGTGAATGGGTTGGCGTTCTTGGACTTCAAGTACTCGTCGGTCTTCTCTTGCCATTCTCTCTCCAAAGTTTCTGGTGGAGCAGGAGCGAACGAACGGATAACAGCGAACAATCCAACACCGGCAACCAAACCAGCCACGGTACCCCAGAAGATCTTGGACTTGTCACCAGGAGCGTACAATGGCTTTCTTGGGCCCCACTCACCGAAAGAAATGTAGTAAGCAGCCTTCTTCTCGGCGGCGGTCAACTCCTGCCATGGCAACTCCATTCTAGCCTTCAATTCGTCTATCAAGGCGGTCTGATCTTCCTTTGGCAACTTCTCCCATCTGGTCTCCAATTTGTTGACGTATGCGTTGGACAATGGCTTTGGGGCAGCCTTGGCCACGGTAGAGTTGAAACGGACAGCTCTGGCGAATGATTGGCGAAGCATTGTAAAAAAAAGTGGTGGGTGGTTCAGCTGTGAGTTGTAGGCTTTTCCTAAGATCTTCCCTTATATTTTTTTTTCTCCAGTGCGTTTGTATGGGGCCACTTCCAGAGGGTTAAAAAAAATGCCGCGCTCTCATTGGAGGGTCCATTTTTGGGCTCAGCCACGACCTCTAATTGCGCAACAACCTATATATGACTCCATTGGTTCTCAGTTGGTGCCAAATTGGCCCATAGCATTGATTGGACCATTTTTGCAGCCATTGTAGATTATGAGACCCGTTCTCAATTATCTTGTCGAACGCGTAATTTCAAACATCCGACGAATTTCTGAAGGCGTAGCATACATATGAGCATCGCGGTCATTAGCCTTGACGATACCATCAAACCTCTGGAAAATGCTAACAAACTCGGCCCCCAAATCAGCCCATAATCTCTTAACCAAATCAATTTCTTCCATACTGTTAGTCACAATGAAATGCTTCTCCAATTTGTGGTTAAGTTCCACAATCTTGGGCTGTATTTCTTTGGACGTATGCGTAGTGGCTAACGAGTGGACAAGAATCTTATCGTCTTTCTTGCGTTTGGAACTTTCCGCCCCAGAATAGCCTTTGACAAAATCGAACATCTTGCCCACATAGCGATGGAACAAGTACTCGAAATACTCGTTCTCAACCTTCTTAAATACGTCTGTCATTTCCTTCTGCACTGGTGCTGTGGTGGCAGAGTTCAACTCTTTCAACTCCTGACAAATGGCAAAAACATTCTGCAAAATAGCAACGTTCCGATGAGCACGCTCCTTCTCATCGTGTGAATTGGATTTGAGTAACGGATCGTCTCTGCTGAAAAGATCCACGGCTGCTTTGGTGAGACTCGAGTAGGAATCCTTGATCAACTGGTCAACATCAGACTGTGCACCTTCTTGATCTCTACGAATAGATTCCAGAAGCGAAGTTTCCGTGGTCAAAAGGATTTGGTTTAAGTTGCGGACAACAGGCAAGACACCTGACTTCGGCCTAATATCAGATTTGTTCAACAAATCCACCTGACTGGCAATAAACTTGTTCCAAATTCCTTTGTACCTGTCAACAACCTTGAACATGAAACTGAAAGTCATGAAATCTTGGTTTCTTCTGGTTGCATCGTCGATTAATCTGTACAACTCTTGCAAGAGCTGAGGAGTGATCAACTCTGAAGGAGTGAGCTCTTTGATGAACCTGTTGACGTAGTTACCGAAAATCGCTGTCATACTCTTTAAGAGGTCATTGGAATTGGATTTGTAATTAATAACATCCAAATTCGGGTCCTTCAACTCTTGCATACGCTCGTAAAATGGATATGCCTTCACAAAGTCTGAATACTCTATGATCGAAGTCGAATGGAAGAAACTACCAGAGAAATATTGGACAACGGTGATAAGCTCGTTTGTCTCGTGAACCATTCTAAGGATAATCTTCGGATCAGAAATCTCATCGCTGTTTCTTGCAACAATTGGTCCACTAATGGACAATCTTTGCACACGGCGTTCTTCAGATGAAGATGCAAATTTGTTGATGAGTCTTGTGGAGCCAAATCTTGATTTGCTCTTACGGAGCAGATCGAAATTCTGTGACAAACGTGAGGACTTCCCGTTCTCGGCAGAGCCAGCAATGGCACCGAGTCGAGATTTGAGCAAGCTTTCAAGGAATTGGGAAAGATAACTGTTGAGGTTATCACTGAGAACTCTCAAGTCTCTTTCAGATACCCACTTCACAAAATTAGAGAGACCACTGTAAGCCAAGAAGTTGCTCATGTGGGCGAGCAAGTTTCTTGGATACAAAGTGTCGACCTCTTTGTCAAGCTCCTGGCAAGTGATTCTAAATTCCTCCAGCATGAACTCGACGAAATGTCTTATGAAAGCCGACGACGTAGCTGCATAAGTGTCTTGGAACTGTCTCAAAGCCTTCATGTTACTCAAGTCTTCATCGGTAGTGCTACCAATGGTCCCCAAGGCATCGAAGAGGATGACCAAGTCTTGTTCAAGGGATTCCACGGTCTCCACATCAAGGAATGAGTTATAATGAGCAATATTGTCCAAAGCTTTTGGGCTTACCCTAACTTTGTTCAAGATTTCACTCAAGTCATTGAACAAAATCTTCCTGTTGACCGCGCGGACTTGCAAGCCCTTAGAGTTACTCTCAATGTCGTCAATCTTGGGTCCAATCAAATTCAAAGAGACTTCCATTTTCTTGAACACTTCCACCAAGTTATCGACTTCATTGGAAGCAACTGCAACTTCGTTTGCGAGAGTATCCTTTCCGAAATCGAGGAATCTGAGCTCATGGATGTTTCTGCGTTTGATTTCATTTAACTCTCTTGAAAGTTTCTTGACGAACGCGTCACTGGAGTCTGTCGTGCTCCATTCTATTTCATCAAACATCTCCTCCACCTCGGCATCCTTTTCGAACTTGGGCATGGTTCGAATCTCTGGCTCAGTAGCGGGGGTCTCAGCACGAGCATTCAACTGAAGAGAATTTCTGTTCAGTCTATCGTCATAAGATAAATTACTTCTTGAATCTTCGAACGCATCTGGCTTCAGAGACGCCTGTGACAATCTAGTGCTGGGACCGAATTGAGTGTCCATGAAGTTTTCAATGTCTCGGATTGAATTATCGATGGCATTATTGGGGTCAATCTGGGTAGATTCCTCAATAATTTCCGACGAAACATCGTAATGCGAAGTCTCCGGAAGTATGCTCTTTGATTGAGGAACAATATTTTGATGGCTCTCAGAAACATCGTAATGCGAAGTCTCCGGAAGTAAACTTGTTGATTGAGGAACAATATTTTGATGGCTTTCGTCTTCGGAGAGAATGCCTTCCTCAATGCCAAAGTCTGCTTCGTGGCTAATGGTGGGAGGTGCAGCAACAGGGGCAACGGCAACAGGAACAGGAACAGAATCAGAATCAGAAACAGTATCAGATACGGGATTAGCAACGGGAGCAGCGATAGGAACCTCAACGTGGAAGTTGAGAGACTCATTTGTCTGATTTGCATCCATTCGAGCAACTAAGTCGTTGTCGAAAGAGCCAGGCACCACTGGTTCAGGCTCCTCCTCTCTGACTTCAGGCTTGTATTTACGCAAGGGCAGCGTTCTACCAGTCGCTTGAGCATACTCAGATATAGTCGGCATCAGCTTCTGTGCCTGTTCCGAGACGTCTGGGCTGAAGACAAAGCTCTGTTGTGAATCATTCTGGGAGTCGTAATAGTTTTCCAGCGACGCTAAAGAAATCTGCGAATATGGGTGTGGTTTGTGAGATGCTGGGGCCGCTGCAAGGGGCTCCTTTTGAGTGTTCAGAGGAGGACCCGGACGGTCCACATCCATGACCATCATGGGTTTCAGTGGAAGCTTCCCGTTGGCTGTGAAATCCATGTTTCCGTAGTACAGGGCCAATTCTGGAGGAGGAGCCGGAGGCCCCGAAGGCTTCTTTGGAGGCGCCTCACGCTTAGCGTTCGAAGCCAATGGTGCGTTGGGGGCAATTTCCTTTAATGGAGGAAGCATCAATTCCTCTGGATTGAAGCCATTGATTTGAGGATACTTTCCAGTGAATTTGGCAAAGATTACTGCCAAATGGTGAATGAACTTGAGGAAGCGGTCCGTGCCCTCTCCAGATTTCCAATAATAGTCCTTGTTCAACAGCATGATTACCGCATCAGCACCTACACGAGTGATTGCCAGTAGCTCATCCAAGTCCCAGGTTCGTCCAATCTGGAACACATGTTTTGTGTCGTTGTATTTGCCTTTTTGCAAAAAGACTCTTCCCGAGTGCTTGGTGCACACGGTCAAGATTCTGTTCTTGACCGAGCCAATCTGGCTCGGTGGAATGTCAGTGGGTGGAGGTTGCTGAGGGTATTGAGAATACTCTCGAATTCCCAAGTGGGTATTGTATTTGATTTCCGCCACGGTTTGGCCGTCCCTAATGGTGGTCTTGGAATAGCAATCACGGATGATTTGGTCCACCACAATCCTTCGAGGATCTACCGGCTGGGTTCCTGGATTCTGCTTGCGAGGTTGTTGGCCAGGCATTGGCTGTGGAGGCTGCGCCATGGGCCTCTGTTGAGGGTTGGGCGGTTTCTGTTGCTGCAGCCTACCTGGCATATGCAACGGGTTCTGGAAACGTTTCGCACTCATGAAGCAGTGAAGAGAGTGGACAAGTTAGAGTTGTTGATGGTTGGAGGAGTGTACAGGACGTGGAGTTGTTGATGGTGGAGATCAAGAAGGAAAGTGTAGGAAAGAAGGAATCGGTATAGAGTACAAATGTTGGATACTAATTAAAGTTTGACTGAAAAGCAAAGAAAAAAATAATTTAACTTCATAATATTACTACTTCATGTTTGACTACCTGATCTCTTTTCTTGATGTTTATAGACTAGGACTTCATCCAGAAGCCTTGAATATCCAACAGTGTAGAAGGCAGACATGCTTTGTGTCTTCAATGTTGACTCTGACTCTTGTCTTTGTCATAATTTCAGCTTTTTTCCTGACTTCTCAGGCTTTTCCACTTATTGCCCCAAGTTCTCTGAAATCTCACCTTCTCTTATTTCTCCAGCTTCTCAACATAATAGTTCCACAACTCCGACAAACTCTCCGAACGATCATCCATGCTATGAAGACGTCTTCTCAACGCCTCATTATAACAAATCTCCTGTGCCACAGGGAAAAACGTGGCGGGCCATTCCTTATTGAACAGCTGGCATTCCTCCACGATCTCCTTCAACTCTAACTGCTGCACCTTATTCTGGAATTCAAACTGCTTGAATACGTCATCTCCAATGAGTCCATCCTGGTACAATTTGTTGAACACAGGCTCGTTCTCCTTCAACTTCAACGATCTACGGATGGCTTCCACGGCTCTTCTCAACAACGCAGCCTTCACCACTTTTTCTGGAGGACGACCCTCCTTGGGTTGTTCCTTATCATAATATCTGTCTTTGACAGCAGCATACAACTCCAACGAGTAATTGCGCCCAAAGAACGGCTCGACATCGATCAACTTGTTGAGTCTATGACGTCTGTAGTAGATGGAAAACACCACGAACGCAGTACTCACCACAGCAACATAGATGAGTGGTGTGTAGATTGAGATTCTGACGAACTGTTGCTCAGCTTCTGCCTCGGCCATTGTTGTGGTGTTGTAGAATGTTTTTAGATGTTGAAGTTTTGTAGGTTGGCAAAAACTCCACGTATGAGATGCACGGGTGTATGCAAGACGGTGGACGTGGCTGCGAAAGATGGAGCTACCATGTTGAAAGAATGGAAGATTCTATAATTCAAAAATTTAAATGTTCATATTGAATTTTCAACAAATTTATTAATGACTATGAAGCTGTGAAAGTGAATGCTCTATGATAGATAATCATAGTAAGTTGGGGTTTCTAGTGTTGAGGAAAGCTTAATTATGATTGCAATTGGTTAGCAATCACCCAATAATATGTCTGAGAAGCAATAAGAAAATGTAATAGAAAAATAAGAAACATAACATCATTCCAACCAGTTACTGGCCAATCATTTAGATGACCTTCCACACTCAATTCAATTACAAATACAATTCAAAATCATAGATCAAATCAAACAATGCGAGTTGTTATACAAAATACAAACTAAAAGAAGGAGCCAGGCATCTTGCCGGTTTCTTCTGCATCTCCAGAGGAGCGGGTAGGATCAACAGAAAAATCACCGGTAACACCAGTGTCGGCAAAGCCACCTTGGCTTCTAGGCTCGCCACTGCCTAGTCCAGTCTGGTAATTTTGTTTGCCGGAACTACCGAGGCCAGACGAATGAGCATCCGTGGCAGAAGGTTGGGTGGCAGAAGTAGACTTGGAAGCCGAGCCAAGACCACCAGTGGCAGTAGAGCCACTTGTCACGCCAGATTCAAGACCAGATCCACGAGTAGTTTGGTCTTGATGAAGGAAAGAAGATCCATCACCTGAAGTTCCAGTAACTCCGGGATTGCTTGATGTTCCATAAGTTTTAGATGTTCCACCTGGAGCACCAACATTCAGGCTGAGACTTGGAGATTCTCCATATGCTGGCACATCTCTGTGTTCAGCAGCACTCGATCCGCTAACGCCAGAGCTTCCAGGATTAACAATTCCTCCTTGAGCATGAGTACTCTCATGCTTTGGCAATCCTGTCAACTGAGTTAAGAATTTTCCGTTTTCATCAGTGACAGCACCTGTGTTGGCATCGACCTTCAACTCTTTGGCTGACATCAACACATCGGAGCGACCCTCCAACTGAGCCACGGCAGCATTAGCCAATTGCTTAGCCTGTTCAGTGTCACTCACCCCCAGCACAGAGACTGAAGTGTAATCTTGGTGACTTGAAGAATGGGTAGTTCCCGATCCACCAAGTCCGGAGCCAGATTGACCAGAGGGGTCAGAAGGCTGAGAGGATGCAGACACACCTCTCTGATTGTGGTGATCCAAGGCAGAGGCACCAGTAGCACCAGCAAGTCCACCTGCCGCAGCACCAGTAGTTGCGTTGGTATTCAATCCACCGGAAGTGCCAGAAGAACCTAAACCACTAGCATGTTGTGATTGGGTGGATTCACCCGGAATGTTGGCAAGTTCTCCCTCTTCAGCAGCATATTCAAGTTCACGCTTGGCTTCCTCGTGTTGCTTGTGGTACTTTCTTGGGTCCACTTCCTTTACTGGCTCGTTGAAAGATGCATCAACATGTTCGGGATGTCCAGTTTGTCCAGAAACCCCTTTTTGATCAGAATAGCCAGTTTGGCCATAATGTTCAGATTTTTCAGAATGGTGGCCTGCCTTAGACAATCCTAAAGCAGCAGCAGCAGTTCCGAGAATACCAGCTCCGTAACCTGCCTTATTGGAGCCAGGAGTGTGTTCTCCTGCTGTTCCGGATGGACCAGATCCAGCGGAGAATTCACTGCCAGATGGACCGGAGCCGGTGGAGTAATTAGTAGTTTGTCCACTTGCACCAGTTGCCCCGGTGGAATAGCCAGTCAGTCCACTACCTGTTCCCGAGTGCTGACCTGGAATGTTGGCCAACTGGCCTTCATCTGCAGCTTGCTCAAGCTCCTGCTTGGCCTTCTCGTGTTCAGAGTGGTACTTGCGTGGGTCAACATCCTTTACTGGCTCGTTAAACCCAGCATCAATTTTTTCTGGGTATTCAGAATGGCTATCACGGCCGGAATGTTTGGACAAACCGGCAGCAGCAGCAGCCCCTCCAAGAGCACCAGCAGCAGCACCAGTGGCAGTAGAACCATGAGGATGGCCATGGTCGTGACCGGTAGTACCATGGCTGGAAGATTTGTTTGAGCTAGTGAAGGCACTGCTTGGGGTGTCTAACTGATCCTCGGGAACATGGAATACCTCATTGGTTTTAGCATTGATAACAATCTTGCCTTGAGTAATGTCTTCACCCTGCGACACCAAGTCTTTGGTAGTTTTCTGTGCCAATTTGGCAGCCTCGTCACGGTCAGAAATACCAATCACTTCCACAATCGGTCTTGGAGTGTCCTTGTAGGAACTTCCCGACGATTTGGAAGATGGAGAGGTTGGAACGTTAGATCTGCTGCTTCCTTCGTACTTGGAGCCTTTCGATGCACTAGCTGCACCAGCACCTAAACCAGCTCCAAGGGCAGCACCTTCGGCTGCTTTGTTATGTCCATGAGGTCCAGAAGTGCTTCTAGAATCATGAGCACCGCGTTCTGCGCCAGTGTCGTAGGCACCTTGCTTGACACCGGAGTCGTAAGCACCTTGCTTTACACCAGTATCGTAAGCACCTTGCTTAACACCAGCACTGTAAGCGGAATCAACAGTTCCACGTTCCTGAGTGCTGGCATGAGCAGATGAGTGCTTGTCGTTGTGGCCATGAGTAAGTCCAGAACCTACAGCAGCACCAGCAGCAGCACCAGCAGCAGCACCAGTGGCACCGGATCCGTGGTGATGGTCATGGTCATGCTTGTCAGAGTAAGAAGTGTCATTGACATTCGAACCTGAACCCTTGTGGCCTCCAGTAATGCCAGCCATAGCACCCAAGCTTCCTGGAGAAGCATTGGTTGCTTTGGATGAACCCAATCTAGATTCATCAGTCTCAACAGATCTGTCCACACCAGAAGCTCCAGAAGCTCCAGTGGTTCCGACATTAGATGATTTGTTAGAGTATTGAGAGCTAGTTGATGTGTCGGTCTTGGAAAGCGGACCACTCGATTTCTTGTCTGAAGAGTGACTTCCAATAGCAGCACCAGCAGCACCAGCAACACCAGCAGCCCCAACACCCTTACCTACTCCAGTTTGATTATTGGGGCGTGCGATGCCTCGCCGAGTCATCATTACTAGCTTGAACTTCGTTAGTATTGCTCAATCCAGCATTATGGGTCAATTTCTTGATGCTAGGATCGACATCTTCGGCGATCTCGATCAAAGAACGACCATCCGTGTGTCCGTGCTTTTTGTTGTGTGCCTCCACTTCAGCCTCCAACTTATGGAAGTTGGCATCTGAGGTGGTTGAGCCCTTGTTGGTAGAGACGTCACCCTCAAGGGTATGCGACTTGAGACCAGGAACTTCCTGAACACCCAGGGAAGTTGATTTGGTTGGATCAGAAGTACCTGGGAGACCACTAGTAGTGGAGTGGCTTCCGCCAACACCAGTACCTGCGACGCCAGCACCAGTTGTAGTACCTGCACCGGTAGTAGAGGTGTGCCTGTGGCTATTGTCGGATTCCACCAAGGAATCGGTCTTCTGTTGATTTGGCAGGCTGGAAAGACCAACTGCGGCAGCAGCGGAACCCAAAACTCCACCAATAATACCACCCTTAGCGGCGTTCAGACCAGTTGAGGAATGAGGCTCGGTAGTACCAGTAGTAGCATCAGTTGTAGTACCATGAGTTCCAGTACCAGTAGTACCAGTAGTACCAATAGCACCAGTAGCACCAGTAGTACCAGTAGCACCAGTAGTACCATGAGTGCCGGTAATACCATGAGTACCGGTGGTACCGGTGGTACCAGTTGTTCCAGTAGCAACATCGGTATCAGAGGTGGAAGTGGTGTCTCCGCCTCCAATGAGTCTGCTCAAGAATCCACCCTTCTTGGAAGTGCTAGTTGAACTAGTTGAGGAAGAGTCAGTGTCAGTGCGGTTTCTACCAGTAGTTCCAGCAGCAGTAGCACCAGTACCAACGCCAGCTCCAGCTCCAGCTCCGAGAGCAGCATCTGGAACACCAGTGGTCTTACCGGACGTTGGAACCTCCTTCGCAAGTGGAGCATCGACACCCTCAGTTGCTCTTGCAACTGCTGGGTCCTTCAAATCAGAATGTTGAGCAACAGGTCCGCCTGCAGCAGTAGTACCGGAATGATGGTTATGGTTTGAACCGACAGTGTCATTTTCTGCATCAGGCTTGTAGTACTGGTTGTAACCCTCGTAACCAAAGGCACCAGCAGCTGCAGCACCGGCAGAGGCAATGGCAATCTTAGCAGAGTCCAAGTAACCATGTTGCTCGCGAGCTGGGTCATTAGTGTTATGAGAACCAGTAGTACCAGTGTGGTGAGTGCCAGTAGTACCAGTAGTCAAGGTTGGGTCATGATGTCCAGTGTTGGTTGATCTGGAAGTACCTGATGGAAGGTCGCTTCCAGTAGTGCTGGAGTAACCAGTGCCATGTGAACCAGTAAGTCCGGTGCCTGAAGTGGAATGCTTACCGGTTTCTGGGTCAAGGGTTCTTGCCTCAGACCTGTCATGGTCGTGGTGATGGTGGTCATGGTCGTGGTGGTGTTTACCAGCAAGTGCTCCAGCACCCAAGCCAGCAGCACCCAATCCGGCAGCCTCTCTAGAGTGAGAGTGCCTGTTGTCGGTGGAATCGTAATCAGAGGTTCTTCCAGTAGCTGGTTGTGATGAGGAAATGGTGTCCGAGTCTCTAGTCAAACTGTTAGTACCACCTGGAACACCCACACCGTCGGTCAGAACATCCGATCTGTTCACGTTTCTGGCTGTCAGTGATGTACCAGAGGTTCCAGATGGACCAGTAGAAACACCGGTTGAACCCGAAGTTCTGGTAGAATCGAAAGCACCTGTGTTAGTTGGGTCGGAAGTGTGGTGCTTAGATCTAGAGGATTCAGCAGCACCGAGACCAGCACCTGCAGCAGCACCACCAAGAGCGGCTGGAATAGCACCGGAGTGTCCTGACTCGTGGTGCTTGGATCTTGAAGTAGAGTCAGTGGTACCACCAACACCTCCTACAGCACCGCCAGTGGCAGAGGCTGGAGTAGTGGCAGCAACACCGAAATCAGATTCATTGGCACCTCTGGTACGAGAGGTAGAGTGGCTGGTAGGGTCTGTGGACGAGGAGTAAGTTGCGTTGGGGTTGGAAGCGGAGATTGGGTGGTCTCCACTGACACCTGCACTTCTTCCGGTGTTGTAGTCAGTTGGGTCTCTGTCTGAGTGGTTGGACTTGCCAAAACCAAGTGCTGCTGCAGCACCAGCACCAACGGCAGCGGCAGCACCAGCAGCACCGGCAAGCAATCCAGGGCTCAGGTCATGAGAATCTGACTTAACGTGGTTGGAACCAGTACCGATTCCAGATCCATAACCAGATCCAACTCCAGATCCGACATTGGAATCTTGAGCACCCTGTTTCAAACCAGCAGAGTAAGCATCGGACTTAATGCTACGTTCGGTGTGGTCACCACCAACTCCAGAGCCAGTAATACCAGAGCCAGCGTGATGAGATCCAGTAGTATTAGAACCAGTGATGCCAGAACCGGAAGTATGAGATCCAGTGTGGTGAGAATCAGTGTGATGAGATCCAGTGTGGTGAGATCCAGTGATACCAGAGCCAGTTGCACCAGTTGAACCGGTCGCACCTTCAAATCCCGTGGGAGCAGTATCAGTTGGACCAGAGCCGAAGCCAGCATCCCGTGCACCCTTTCTGACACCAGCAGCATAGAAGTCGTCTTTAACTTGACGGGCACTTGGGTGGATAGTGTGGTCATGACCGTGACCAGAGTGGCTAGTGTTATCGGTGGTTGTACCAGTGTAGCCAGCAGTGTGGCCAGTGTGGCCAGTGTGACCAGTACCAGTGTTACCAGTGTAGCCAGAACCAGTATGACTGGTTGAGCCTTCAGGAATCACAGCATTAGCAGATGTTGCAGTACCGGGAGCAGACCCGGACTTCACACCTGGCTGGTTGTACAACGAAGCAACAGATGCATCCTCACTGGTGTTCTTGGTAGGGTCCCTGGTAGAGTCCCTACTGTCATGTTCATTAGCTCTGTGAGCAGCATAAGCACCAGCGCCACCAAGTCCCAAGGCAGCAGCAGCAGTTCCAAGAATTCCCTGGGATCTAGATGGCAGCGAAGCAGCAGGATCCAAAGTCTTTTCATTAGTGGTATCTGAAGCACCAAAGCCAGCGGTACCTGGAATGTGAGATCCTCCAGTGTGGCCAGTAGTTCCGGTAGTGCCAGTGCTACCAGTCGCAGGGACAGAACGAGAAGTTCCAGAACCCACACCAGAGCCAGAACCGGAACCATACTGATCAATTTCTCTCTGAGTGGTGGCAGTGTTCTGATCTAAACGCTTAATCTCACGGTCATAATCAAAATCCTTGCTGGAAGGTGGATGACCAGCATGAACTCCACTTGGCTGCGAACTGCCTGCAAGGGACGAGCCTGCGACTGCACCAGCAGCAGCACCCGCAGCACCAGCGCCGGCACCAGAATGTCCATGGCCAGAGTGGCCGGTAGTACCAGATTCAACACCAGTATGTTCAGAACCAGTGTGTTTAGAACCAGAGTGTCCAGGCTTCAACTTATCAATGACAGCACTCACACCACCCTTGTTGTAAGCAGACTTGTTTTGGTCGTGAGTCTCTCTAGCATCGGTACCTGAGTGCGAAGTTCCAGAGTGTGCAGCACCAGAACCCAAGCCAGATCCACTTGAGGTGGATACCTCATGTTTGCCCTGGTCCTTGCCCTGCAAGTATGCCTCCTTTTGCACATCCTTCTCGAGCTGTCTCTGATTCTCTTTCTCCTGCTGCTTGTCAGCCTCGTAGTAAGCGCTAGGCTTGGTCTTCAAGTGTTTGTCCTGGTTGACTTGGGCGTGAGTAGCCTCAGCATGTGCCCCACTGTCTCCACGACCAACACCTCCTGCCAATGCACCTACAGCAGCACCAGCAGCACCAGCACCGGCGACCGTCTTGCCAGTTCTATGGTCATCCTCGGATCTACCACTCTTGGTTCCGTATTGACCACCCTGGGTGTCCTGAGGATCAAAGAATTTACCTTGACCCTGCACAGCTTCAGCATCGTTGTCATAGTGAGGATGTTGATTTGTAACCAAACCAGACTCGCCCGCTCCGACAAGTTCAGTAGGTTGCTTGGCGTTGGAAAAGTCTCCGCCATGGTTTTGCTCCAATGGCTGACGGTTCACTCTTGGTGGCAGTGTCACCACCTTTCCCTTGGAAGACCCGTAGTTACCTGAATCACTACGGTTGTGCGAGTAGGCGGCTCCAGCTGCACTTTCGGCAGCACCTGCTCCACTACCAGTGGTCCCGGTAGTTCCAGTGGGTCCAGTTCTAGAGGATCCAGTTCCAGTGGCAGGCTGGTTGGCAATTCCTCTATTAGTGGTTGTGTCTGGATGAACCTTAGATTGGTTGTGGGCGTAAGCTGCGCCGGCTCCCGCAGTTGCACCTCCAGCAGCCAATCCTGTAGAATGAGTACCTGACTCTCTTCCTCCAGTTCTTCCAAGTTCTTCTTCGTCACTGCTGCTCACACTGGACGAACTAGTGTCCTTGGAGTGTTGGCCACGCTCCAAAATGGCCTTTCTCCGTCCAGCACGGTACAGCGCTCTCAAGATCTTCTCATGCTTTCTACTTCCCAGCAAGAAAGAGCTCTTAATTTTATCCATAATACCTTGCTTTTCTTCACTCATGGTGATTTTTCTTGGTGAAAATTTATTAGAATTATTTCTCCTCTAGGTTCTCCGGGCAGCAATATATACCTGGTTAGCTCCCCACATAGCAATCACCTACAACCTCCATCACTCCCCTCTGCACACAAGTATTCGCAACGTTGGTTGCAATCCCTCGTGCAGGCGAGACATGGGGTTGCTGTCATTTTTTTTTCCCGCTTCGGATTTCATCCCTGAATGTTTGGTCCACATTGGCGCCACACAAGGTCGTCACAATGCCTTGAAAAGATCATTGTCTCACTTTGCCGATGCTCATCTGCTCATTCATTCACTGTCTTAAGCAATCAAACGTATATCCATCATGCACAATGGTCCCCATTCTTTCGCAATGCATGCAGAGAACTTTTCTTCAGGCAACCTTACAGCCACACAACGTCACAGACTAACATTACGCAACCTTACAAAACATTGCGGCTCATGGAGAATTTTGGCCCCTCGTCTGTAATGGTTGTCAGCAAACCGTTAGGTTTTGTCCGAGATTCTGATCCATGTGTTAGCTCGTAAAGAAACTACTGGAGGGGATTGCCCCTCCCATTTGGTCATACCAAATAACCTTGTCTCAGTTACAATAGGCCCAGCTGCATGTTTATGTGGTCCCCTGGCCAATTGAGTAGCCTGATTTCCTCCGTCTCGATCTCCAAACATGTGCACTTACACTTGATCCTTTCTCGTCACTTGTATTCCGGTTGCCGGGATCCCTTATTGTACACTAGTCGAGTCACCAACCAGTCCAAACTCTCTCGAAGCCCATGATTTTCCAATACCGAAACCGGCAATAGTTTCAGATCGGTGGCCTCGAGCTGACTAACCACCTCTATGAATACCCCCGTTTTCAATGCAACCAAATCTACCGCATGTGGCAAGTCCTGCTTGTTGGCCAACATGAGAATGGGCACATTGACCGATTCGTAGCCATCCATGGCCCATGACGAGTCGTGGGAGATCTCCATGAGCGTATCGTAGCATTCCTGGAATCTTTCGGTGTCTGTAGAGTCGATGATGAAGATGATGCCGTGACACGACCGATAGTACCGCAGCCACATGCTTCGGAGCGACTTCTGGCCTCCCAAGTCCCAAAACTTCAAGTTGACGTTGCGGAACTGTGCTGAACTCGATACCGACAGCGTGTCACTCGGCTTATATCGGATGGTGGTTGTGTTCTGGCCCACGGTGGGAAGAATACGTTTACCTTTCAAGATTTTCACCGTATCTTCCTCGCCGTCTTCCGCAGCCTCCATGGTGGCTCCTGTAAGCGATACCTTCCGTTGTTTCTCTTTCAGTGTTTCTGTTGGCAGAGGATAGAGAAGCTTAATGTGCTCCAAGAACGTCGTTTTTCCAGCATTATCGAGCCCGAGAATAAGGACATTATACTGTTCTCTGCGGCTGTACTGAGTGTAGAGTGACAGCACGAGGTGGAACATTGTTGGCTGAACCTGAGGTAGATCGTGGTTGAAAGTAGGTCGTGTGTGCACGACGGAGCTCCAGATAGGCATGAGATTCAGAGATATGGTGAGAATTGGGTAGGTTTGACAGATCAACGGAATGAAAGAGAATAAGAATGTGCATGGGGTAGAGAAGATGGAAAGCAATGGATCTTGTTGAGTTCTAGTACATGGTTTGGAGAATTGTGATTTTTGGGATGTTTTTTTTTGTCGTTTTACCTTGGGTTGAATTGATGCGAAAGATTCTGAGATTAATATTTGCGACTGGAGACGAGCAAAATTATAAAATGTTATGAATTTTGAAAACTGAAAAAGCCTCAAAGTTGAATACAAATACAAAGCTTTCCTTCCTTTCAGTTTTCACTATTTCCTATGACTTCTCTCATAGATTTCTCTTTTACACTTCGATTTACATCCAAAGATTGTTATTACGTTAGATGAGAGATCACCAAATAGATGGAAATCCACATGCTACAAATACCGAAAAATGAGAAACTTCAAGAGACATATCTCTCTGTGATAGTATCATCAAAGAAGATTCGCATATACTACAAGACTACATTTTATCATTGTACTTTATTCTAATATGGACGATGCCAACCCTAACACCAGGAAACCCGTGCACCACAAAACTTTTCCATATATAAGGCGCGGTATGGGCATCATTTTTTCATCAACAAAAATGTATGTTTCGTCGACGAACCAAAGGATGATCAACTGATAGGGACAACTGATTCTAGAAAGTGAAGATAGTTGTCAAAGATAGTAGAAAATTTAGCTGAAGGTTCTATTAAAAATTCAAAATACTAACTTTTAGATATTGTATTGCTCATATTCATGATATGGAGGTAATCAGTAGTTCTTATGCTTCCGCTGGATTTATATTGGTACCTCGTTTCACTACAGATAATTCTTAGTTGTATCGATTTTTAGACGGTCTCTTGATACTTCAACTCCGTTCATCTTTATTCAGTTCACTTATTTTTTTTTGGCACATCCCATAAACTTCACTATTCTACACTTCTCAATCTCATACTTCACTATATCCCTTGGTTTTTCTAACAATCATATTCACCATTCTCTACATGCTCGTGACCAGCTTCTCTACGTCGCCAATTTGTCACTATACCACTAAACTCCACCTCTCCATCTGTTTCCCAATCTGTTCTCATATCTGTACCCTTGGTGCTTCCTGCACTCCAGCACTTCAACGTCACTGCCCATTCCAATTTGAACCAACTACTTCGTTTCCCACCACCTAATGTCGTTCAAATTCCCATCTTTCACCCTCCTGTCACTCCAGGAGTCCTTGCCCAAAGTGGACTTGGAGTCCATCCAGAAGTCGTTCCAGACCCTGGGCAAGGCAGTGTCCCAGTACTCGGAACACTTAAAGGAGTCCCTTCAGCCATTGACTGCTAAGACACAGACGTTGATTCTGAGTCAATTGCAGCAGGTCCAGCAGTTGGCTTCGGCTAACAGCCACATCGAGGTGTCGGAATTGCCTGAGGAGTACTTGACCTTGGAGGCCAATTGTGACTTGTTGTTGAACTTATTCACTGAGTTGATCCACACCACTAACGACACCTACGGTACCATCAGCTACGATTATCCACCAGGAAACTCTGCAATTAACAAAATCAAGGATGCCAATATGGGACTGATGCTCGCCAACAAGTTTAACCAGTTGAAGAACGTGTCGACTCCACAGGAGATGGAGAAGGTGCTTTTGGGAGGTTCTGAGGAGAAGAAGAGTGAAGACGATACTGTGTCCGCGGAAGTGATCACTGCTGAGCTTCCCAAGACGTTGTTTGGTCATTTCGCTGCAGTCGCATCGAGATCCGCCGATGACTTCGCTAAGTCCAGCGACCCCTTGTCCTTTGCGTTGTTGCAGATCTCAAGCGCATACACAGAGATTGCCACGGCTCGTTTGGACCAGGATAAGAAGATCATGACCAGCTTGAACCATGAGTTGGTAGCAATTTTGAACGAGAAGTTCATTAAGGTCAATGAGTTGCGTAAACGGGTGTATTTGGCACGGTCTGATTTCGATGTGGCCAGATCGAAGAGCAGTGAAGACGAGGAGGAGGAAAACGAGGAATTGATTGCAAAAGAGGACGAGTTGGTGAGCGCCACGGAGATTGCTGTAGAGGAGATGAGAAAGCTCTTGAAACCCTCTCAAAACGTGGATCTCTTGAAGGTGCTAGTGACCGCACAGAAGGAGTACTTCGAGGCTGGAGCCAAGAAGTTGGCTGGGTTGTTGACTACTTTGGACAAGATTGAGTTTAAAGATGACGACGAGTAGATTTTTAGTGAATAATAATAGTATGAAAATGAGATAGAGAGCAGAGGGAGAAGAAGAACAAGGACGAGAAGAAGGACAACGAGGGCGATGGATGAGAACGACAAAACAGCATGCGTAGAAGATCAAAGGAATAAAGAATGAATTTAATATCATTTGAAGCTGATCTCGAAGAGAAAATAAACTAGATTAAAAATACCTACAAAACATTTCCCATCAATTAATTCCTGTTCACATCCATATAGTGGTCGATGCGCATCTCGCTTCTCGCAGATCTAAATCCTATCTCATATCTCACCATTACCAATTTTCCCCACACCATCCAACCCTATTGGCCATGGACAAAAGAAACGTCCTCAACAAGGCTCACCTTGTGGAGCCAATCATTCGCCACACCATCCAGGACTCTCTCTTCTACAAACAACACCTTTACCTTACCAACGAACTGACCATTGTTCCTGTGGTGGTCAACCTTGTCCACTACATCGGAGGCACCAACTCCAGCGGACGGCCCAGCCCTTTTCTTTGCTGTCTACTTCGAATGTTGGAGCTCGAACCTGACCAAGACATCATTTCGTTGTACCTTCGACAGAATGGTTACAATGAGTTCAAATACTTGACTGCACTTACACTTCTCTACTGTCGAATGGTTGCTGCACCAAAGGCAGTGTTCACGTTGTTTGACGAGTACATTGTCGACTACAGACGGCTTCGGTTTCGCTTGAAGCTGCCACAGTTTGTCAATGACTTGCCTGTGCATTACATCGTGATCCATATGGACGAATGGATAGACTCCATGGTGGAGAATGAGAGGGTGGTGGATTTAGCTTTGCCGTACCTTCCGCCTCGACAGATGTTGGTACAGAAGGGAGAGGTAGATCCTCGTCAATATGCTGTCAGCGAGGATGAGGCTTCACTGTCAGATTACGAGAGTGACAGTGACTAAGGAAGGTGAAAATAGAAAGAGAGAGAAAGTGACAGGAAGAACGAGAGAAAGGAAGACAAGGAGGAAGAAAGAAATAGAAAAATCAAGAAAAGTGACAAAGGAGAGAAGTGGTCCAATTAAAGTCGGAAGAGATTTCACATGAAGAGTGCCAATTTATTGACATGTTCTCTTCCTAATTGTTCATGTCTGGGTGTTTTTCTGCCTTCGCAACCCTGAGCCAGGGCCCAAGTGCTGATCATTAAGCGAAACCACACCGAAAACTATAACAGCCTCCACAGAAAATACTCCAAAATCCCTACATTAACATTTCCACATTTCTTCATTTCAAATCTCCAACTTCCGCCCAAGTCCTCCGTTTCCTTACATACTACACTCCCCACATTCCCAAAAGGCCCCAATCACTCATACAGGACGGCCGTTATACATAGCAAGGACAAGAACAAACACCTTTTTGTCGACATATCGAAGCTTTTCCCAAAATGGCCATCACCGAGCTTAACGCGCCCGGCAACGCCTCCTTGGCCACTGTGCACGAGGCTTCCAGAACGAAAATCATCTTCGTCACCTTGCTTTTCCTCCTCTCTCTTGCCAGTTTCATCTGCCAGACTGAATTCACTAGTCAGGCCTATACCTTGGGTTTCAAAGAGCCCATCATATTGTTGACAGTTACTCACGGCTCGTGGTGGCTTTTGTGGCCGTTGCAGGCGCTTCTTGTGTCAGTTTACAGGACTATTGAGAGATTTAGAAAAGGCGACACCAGATACGAGAGATTGAACTCCAATGCGTTTCTTTTGGAGCCCGAGGTGGGGCGTGATCTGAGCCGTTTACCGCCAGAGCAGAACCAGACCCTTGAACAGCGTACACAGCCGTTGAATGTATTCAAGTATTTCAAAAAATGCATTGTCAAGCAGTTCCACAACGTCTACCATACGCTGATCTTGGTTTATGAGGCCAATGTCAACGGTGACAGACTGACACGCCACTTGAACACATTGGTTGACCAAAATCCTCACATTTCGTCTTCCAGCTCCATTACAGCTTGTGTTAGGTCGTTTGTTTCGACTCCATCCTTCCAGTACCTTGCTGTAAAAACTGCGCTCATCTCCATAGTGTTGAACATCGCTGGTGTCACCTGGTACGGTGCCATGTCCATGACATACGCATCAGATGTCACTGCCATTTACAACTGCTCGGCCTTCACCGCCTATGCCTTCGCCATTCCTATCCTTAACGAGACTTTCTCGTGGCTTAAGGCTTCATCCGTGCTTATCGCCGTTTCCGGTGTGTTCGTAGTAGCGTACTCCGGCGCAGACAACCAGACGTCAGGAGAGCAGCAGTACCCTTACCGTTTCTGGGGTAATCTACTCATCTCAGTTGGTGCAGTGATGTATGGATACTACGAGGTATTGTACAAGAGGTATACATGTGTGCCAGCACACTTGGCTAAGGTTATTACTCCTCGTCGTCAGCTGACGTTCTCGAACTTTGTGATGTGCTTGTTGGGTGTTTTCACACTTACCTTCCTTCTCACAGGCGTGATTATTGCACAAGTGTTCCATATTCATCTGTTCAACCTCTTCGACTACGGCGAGAACACGAAAATCATCTGGCTTTATATTTTTGGATCTATCGTGTCCAACTTGTTATTCAGTGCGCTGTTCTTGTCTTTGATGGCCTTGACATCTCCAGTGTTGTCATCAGTAAGTTCTTTAGTGACTATCTTCCTTATTGGAGTGGTAGAGTGGATCTTATTTGGCAATGCGCTCAGCGTGACCCAGCTTACTGGAGATGCCCTTGTCATTGTTGGATTTGTCATTTTGACAGTGGCTTCGTGGCAAGAAATCAGTGAGGGTAACGAGGACGATGAGATGGAAACAGCCAGTTTCTACTCGTTCGCTGGAAGTGAAAACACAATCAACAACTAGTTACACTAACAGCTGGGTAAGCCCAGTTGAATGATGGCCTTTGCATCATCAATATTGGTGCATTCGTTCGCATCTGCCAACCCCAGGCCCAGGTGGCCAGAACCACACTGGAGAAATTGGGACACAATCCCTGACTCCCGCTTGCGTCGCTTAGTAGGCGTCCCGATTATATCATGCATTTCACCAAAAACACTTTCCAATACATTATAAGCATCCATTTCGATAATGTCCGAGTCGGGAATGATGCCCGCGTGACTGATGCAGAGCTTTAGCTCGCTTTCGTTATTGTCATGAAGTTTGTAGATGACCAAGTTGCCGTCTATGGTGGTAGCCACCACGTACACTGGCCTGAACTTGGACAAGGCCGTTGCCTTTGGAAGCTTGGATGTTGAATCCGGGCAACTGTACACCTTGGTGTTAACGGTGGGTCCTATTTTCAAGTAATCGTAGAAGTTGACAATCTCAAAAGAATAAATGTCAATCACACCAACCTTAGACATGGTATCCGTATACAATAAGTAGCGACCTTGACCGAAAACATGTAGAGTGTTGATCGGGAACTGAGACAAGTGAAGCGTCCTTTGCGGCTCTTCCTTGTCATACGGATCTGTGCATTGGTAGACTAGCAAATCACCAAATTGAGTTCCACAGCAAACGATGTTGGGCCCGTTTTCAGCGAACACAATACTCAGAATCCAGTCACCGCAGAGCAGAGGCAGCAAAATTTCCTCGTCATGCGAAGCTACGAATACCGGCAACAACCTCATACACTCAATGTATGAATTAGAGTGAGCGGTATCTCTGCGACGCATTCTACGGCCATCCGGCGAAGCACTTGTCAACCTGATCATGGAGTTTATGTTGGGTCTCAGCATTCCAAACGAATATACTCGATTGAAGTTTGTTGCTGGGGAGAGAGCAAAGTCCAAGTCATACAATTTTAATTCGTTATCCTGGCCGCCCGCAGCCACGAGAATTCGCATGCTCTCCTTGAGAGGCTTGACTTGAACGCTTGAAATGGGTCCGTCAATCAAGTAAGTCTTGACGCTGTCGTCTGCATCGTCATTGATAAGGTCTCTAATGACCAACTTGCCCTCGTTAGAGCACGTGTACATGTACTGGTTCCGGAAGCTGCCCACTGCGACGACCGGGTCCCTCGTGGACATGGTGGAGTTCTTCCACTCCTTGACGAGTTTGTAGGCAATAGAAGATTGAACAGACTTTTGCTTCTCATAAAGTTGAACCAATCCAGCACTTCTGGTCACCACAAAGAACCATTTGTTCAAGATGGCGAAACTGAAGATTCTCTGCACGTAGTTTCCACGGCTACACGCGCAAAATTCGTTTTTGAGCTTGACCACTGGGTGGTTCCCCTTGGATTTGATCCGAAGCACTGTCTGGTTAGCATAGTGATACAGGTCCACCAGAGAAACTTACATACCTTGAAGGCTGCCTTGGGCCTGCAGCGACAAGAGAAAGTGCATGGTTCATTCAGGACGGAACCGTGGCCAGATGGTGTGATAAGTTGAAGAATAGGAAGTAGGTGGTGGTTGAGTTCCCCCCACATTGCGCAAATCTGGGGTGGACGGGCCTAGGTGGGGTATAGGAAAGTATTGGAGGAAAGTTGCGGATTCTCCTTTTGAAATTTAAAGGATTTGATATATGGATTCGAGCTGTATATATAGTTAGACGGGTAGTTCTATTCACGGTTTTTTTCATCTTTTTTTGGGGAAGGGGGCAAATTGGTGGATTTACTTGGTTGTTGGAGTTGAGTGAGCGTGGTGATTCTGACATTGAGGCTCACTTCAGTCATGCGACCGGAAATTTTGACAGTTTATAATGTGCACTATGGGACATTTGAAGAGCTAACCATGGGAAATTGAACTTAATTTGAGATTTGCAATGTTAAACTTGAATTTGACGGAAATAATTGTAATTAAGTGATCAAACCTTTGATATTGTATTAAAAGATAGGTGGAGGTTGCACCGTTTTATGTTGGAAGTGGTGGTTGCAATGGTACTAACCTTTTTATCCTTAATAGCCTATTCAAACTCCTTTCCAATCTTTTCTACCTCTTGAACTCTTCATAGATATACTCTTTTCACTCTTAATTGATTCTATATGCTGGTTCACTGTTCTCTCGCCCCGCCTCGAAGAGGCTTCACAATGCGAAGATTTATGCCTAGACGAGGTGAGGTAGGTGACTTGGGCGACCCAAATCTCTCCCTGGAATCTCGCTTTGGCGTTTGAATTGGCGAACTACTTTCCACCATAAGTTCCGCTGCAACATCTGCATCGCCAAAAAAATCTTCGATGGTCGAATTCGCCGCCTCATGCTCCTCTGAGTATGATGCCTCGTGTGATTTCTGGCCATCAAGTCTATCCTTGAGCATGCGGAGTTTATTCTCGAATTGCATACTTTCCCTCTTGACCTGAGCTTGCTGTTCACCTAAAAGGACCCGTAGCTTATCGATCTTGATCTCTCGTGCCTCAATTATCTTCTCACTAATAAGTAAGTGCTTGCGGAGGTTGTCGTTGATGAGCTCCACATCACCGAGCTTGTCACTAAGTTTGAGAAGTGCACTCTCAAGCTTGTAGAGTTTCAGGTCTTCATCGTGCTGAACTTTGACCTGCGCCATCTTAAATTCTAAAAGTTCCTGCTCCAACGCAAGTATCTTTTCGTCTTTGCGTTTGAGTTCGTCCTGGTGAACCATCAGACGATCAGAAGGTAATGGAATTCGACTTGTCCCACGAGGACTTAAGAGATTGATATTATGTGGTGTTGGAGATGCAACTTTGACTGCCTTCAATTCTTGCTCCAACTCACGATTCACTTTTTCCAAGTATACTACCCGAGCCTTAAGCTGGTCTACACTAAGCTCCCTGTTGACGTGTACGGTATTTGTGATGTTCTTTGCACGAGTACCAAATCGCAACGTAGAGATTGTTTCGGAGACGCAACTTGTGGCTGGGGAGCAATTCACAATCAAGCTAGTTCTGGAGTTTCCTCCCAACGACTCTTGAAGAATCCTAGTCAACTTAGAGTCTCGGTAGGGAATGTGGGTGGATTTATCTGTGAGCGAGTTGATGACGAGCCCAAGCACAGAAAGGGAGAGATTAATCTTCTTGGCTTCCTCCAAGTTGTTTCCTGAAGCACCTGTCTTGTCGACTTTTTCGGATCCTGCCAAGTCAACTAGAAATAGCTTACTTTTTGTTATGGCACCAGACGCAATCTCCTCCTGAGTAAGCATGACCTGGAAAATAGCGTGGGAGCGGGATGACTCCATGTTCATATTGGTGGGTGATTTCGTCCGGTGCTTACTGCCCTGCTTCAACACTTGTGTCATTTCTGATGCTGATGACACGAAAGCATGTGATATGCCTCGAACATACACGCCGTTAGTCTTATCCTCGTGAATGGTGTACTCAGACTCTTTCAGCGTTGGATTAAGTAGGTCTTTGATGTGTTCCTGATAAATCTCCATCAAGGAGACACTCACGGTGTATTCCACATCGGGCAGACCATGTTCTATGTGAGAAAAAATGCTGCTGCATACCCGTGGAATGATTCCAGGGTCGCTAGCCGTGCCAAACATGGTATGGGACTTACCTGCACTTGTTTGACCGTAGGCCAATATGGTCCCGTTGAAGCCACGGAAGAGATCCTGGAGTGTGCTTTTTGCCACCAAATCATACATATCCTGCTGCGTGGTATCCATCCCGCAAACATGGTCGAACGAGAACACCTGCTGGGCGTCCCGGTTAGTGACACAAATCGTGTGCTCGTCTAGAACTTGAGTGGCATCTTCGTGTCCCCTGGACCGCTCATATCCGCTCAATGGCCTGAGTCGACAAATAACCTGAACATGGGTATCCTCGAGGCTCTTTGGCGGTAAAGGATTCTTGAACTGAGAAGGAGACTTGGGGGTTTTAGGCGTGGGAGATGCCGAGAATGGTCTGGACATCTAGAAATTGCAAGCTCTACCAGAAAGTAAACAGCAGGTAAATAATGCTGAACTGGACGGCGAGCAGACAAAAATGGGGAAAATAGGGGGAAAATGGAGCGTTTCCAAGTGAGGATACTCGTTAACAATAGATATTGAAGGTATAAAGTATTGATCTGGGTGTGCATACAGAACCAAGTCAGATCAAAGTGCGCCGTGTGTCAGAAATAATGAACATAGAGAAAGATATACTTGAAACTTGATATGGAAGTGGCAATGGGGGTAAAAAGAAGAAAGTGGAAAGTGGGTAAAAAAATAATTGAAAGAATACACCAGTGAATGAAAAAAAATATAAAAAAATAAGCCCGATGCGGGGCTCGAACCCGCAACCTTTTGATTGACCTTATAATGATTAAGAGTCAAATGCTCTACCGATTGAGCTAACCAGGCTTTCTTGTTCAAACAAGTTCTGACAGAATATCATGTCAAAAACTTGTTTACTTCTCTTGGCAAAAATCTGAATTTTCGTGCATTTCAATAAGAAAGCAAATAAAATGCCAGAATTACGCAAGAATATCCACAATTGTAATGAAAAAAACCTCATCGAACTTATAACAATACCAACCAAACTCTTATTACCCAACCACATGCCTTAATTAGAAAGCTATAAATATGGTCAAGAACCCACTAGAAACGCCCAAAAAAGGACGCCTAGGACCATTCATCTAAATAAGTACAAATCTTGTCTACTGTATCACATTTTCTACTCCGAATCCCGGTTCAGGCGATGACTCAGGCCAAACATCACAATCCTGCAGATATTCATCTGATACCCCTGCATACGCCAATGAGCCGTCAGAGTCAGTCGGAGTCATCTATCACGATCCACACAACTACCGACCCCAGATTTGTCCACTCCTCCTCCATATTTTGCAAAATACTCCCCCAAACTCACTTTTTCAGATACACAACTAAACACCACCAAAATGCCTCATCAACCTTTAAACTCCATTGTTGGACCTTCCCACTTGGTCACCTGACTTCCCCTACTAATAAGTAAAGCCAATAGGAAAATTGGGCCATGTCACGTGCGCCGGTGACTAGGAAAAAGACTACATCATTGCAAAAATTACTCACTGTTCTCTTATTAAACCAGTTTTAGATCCGACTTTTTTCCCCTCTAATCTTTATCTTTTTACCATACAATGTCGAATCCTCAAGATATTGCCTCCACATTCCAGAAGGCTTTGAACATCGAAGGTGGCTCTCCACACGCAGTGTCCACCTCGCCTACTCAATCTTACTTGAGCCAGTATGCTGCCTTGAGTAGCAAACCAACCAAGACCTTGAAGCCATTCTCCACTGGAGACATCAAGATTTTGTTGTTGGAGAACGTCAACATCACCGCCATCAACATCTTTAAGAACCAGGGTTACCAGGTTGAGTTCTACAAGTCTTCTTTGCCAGAGGAAGAATTGATCGAGAAGATCAAGGACGTCCATGCCATTGGTATCAGATCCAAGACTAAGTTGACGGAGAAAGTGTTGAGCCATGCCAAGAACTTGGTTGTCATTGGATGTTTCTGTATTGGTACCAACCAGGTGGACTTGGAATTTGCTGCCAAGTCTGGTATTGCCGTGTTCAACTCGCCATTCTCCAACTCCAGATCGGTTGCTGAGTTGGTCATTGCAGAGATCATCACCTTGGCTAGACAGATCGGTGACAGATCTATTGAGTTGCACACCGGAACCTGGAACAAGGTGTCTGCCAAATGTTGGGAAATTAGAGGTAAGACCTTGGGTATTGTGGGATACGGCCACATTGGTTCTCAGTTGTCTGTTTTGGCAGAAGCTATGGGAATGAAGGTTATCTACTATGATGTCACCATGATCATGTCCTTGGGTAACTCCAAGCAAGTGGACACTTTGGACGAGTTGTTGAGTAAGGCCGATTTCGTGACCTTGCACGTTCCAGAGACTCCCGACACCAAGAACTTGTTGAGCACTCCTCAATTCGCTGCCATGAAGGACGGTGCCTACGTCATCAACGCCTCCAGAGGTACTGTGATTGACATTCCTGCCTTGATCCAGGCTATGAAGGCTGGCAAGATCGCCGGTGCTGCTTTGGATGTCTACCCACACGAGCCAGCCAAGAACGGAGAGGGCTTGTTCTCCAACGACTTGAACGACTTTGCAACTGAGTTGTGCTCGTTGAGAAACGTTATTTTGACTCCTCACATTGGAGGTTCCACCGAGGAAGCCCAATCTGCCATTGGTGTGGAGGTTGCTTCTGCCTTGACCAAGTACATCAACGAGGGTAACTCGCAGGGTGCTGTCAACATGCCAGAGGTTGCTTTGAGAGACTTGGACTTGGACCAAGAGAACACCGTCAGAGTGTTGTACATCCACCAGAACGTTCCAGGTGTGTTGAAGACCGTCAACAACATTTTGTCCAACCACAATATCGAGAAACAGTTCACGGATTCCAGAAACGATGTGGCTTACTTGATGGCCGACATTTCGGATGTGGACAACTCCGACATCAAGTCGTTGTACGAACAGCTAGAACAGACTCCTTACAAGATTGCCACCCGTTTGTTGTACTAAATGGTATATAATTTCAATTCATAATAGATCATAGAAGGCTGTAGGGTGGTATTTCAGGGCAATGTTCAAGTTACTGAGTAGAGATGAAGAGAATTTGCAAACAACATGTATTCTCAATTGTATAAATTCACACTTCTCGACAGTTGTTAATTAATACATAATCAAGTACATAAATCAAGCTTCCTCCTTGTACAGCGTCTCTACTTTCTCTTCCCATTGTGGATTGGTCACGGCCATACGCTGATGATTGTACAATGGAGGCATTGGAGCCAATTTCTCTCTGAAAACAAATTTTCTGAAGTTGTGAATGAATTCCTTCAATCTGTACGAAGCATGTTTTCTCAAAGAGACGCCAAAAACGTCATCCAACTCTTCAAGAGTCAAACCCTTTGTTTCTGGCAAGAAAAACAACACCAAGAAGAATCCAACAATGTTCCAAGCAGCGTACCAGCCAAAAGCACCCTGAACTGTGAAGGCATTTCTCAACCTCGGCCAAGTAAAGGCCAAAATAAAGTTGAAGAACCAACAAGTAGATGTTGCGAATCCCATTCCGATATCACGAATGTATAATGGGAAAGCTTCAGCAGAATATGTGAAAGGAACAGGACCTTCACCAGAAGAATAGACACAAGCGAAAAGATAAATACCAACAGTGACACATCCAAGTCGGCCAGATGGATTGGTATCTCCATCAATGAAGAAACCAAAACCGGCAACGAGAAGAAATATGGCCATCAATGGGAACGTTGTGAGCAACAAATTTCGTCTGCCATAGGTGTCAATCGTATAGAGGGCTGGAATGGCAAACAAGAAGTTGATCATACCAAAACCCCACGAAGCCACCATAGCTTTAATCTCAGAAAGTCCAGACTCGATGTAGATCGAAGACGAATAATAGGCAATGACGTTGATACCACAGAATTGTTGCATGAACATGACAATCCATGCACCCAATGCACCGTTTCTGTTTCTTCTAATTGTGAACATCTCCCACACTCTCTTGTAGTAAGGAGTTCCAACGTAAGAGTTCTCTTCGCTCAACAACACGTACTGGTAGAAACAGTCTCTGGCAGCCTCGATCTCAGCAAATCTAAGAATTTTCAACGCCGCATAGGCTTCCCCATGTCGATTCTTACCCATTAACCAACGTGGAGATTCGGGAACAAATGGAACCTGAATCAACACGAAGAAAGCAGGAAGACCAGCAGATCCGAGCATCAATCTCCAGTTCAAGCCACCAGCAATACCGTGGTCTCCAACGTGATAGAATGCCAAAGATGCAACGTAACCAAACATGATACCCACTGCTGTGAAGAATTGCCAAAGCATCACCAACGAGCCTCTAATGGTATGAGGAGTCGTTTCTGCTGCGTAGGCTGGAACTGTGGCAGACTTGATACCGACTCCAAGACCCATAGCAAAACGAGCAATGAACAAATGGTACCATTTCAAATTAACAAAACCCTGCCAAAGACAAGTAACACCAGAGATGAGACAGGTCCAGAAAATGACCCACTTACGGCCCAACTTCTTGTTCCAGAAATGCGATGTCCAGCACGCAATTGCACAGCAGAGGTATGGAGCACCATTGACCAAACCTTCCATCAAGTCGTAGTTCTTCATTTCAGTAATTCCGAACACTTTGGGGTAGAAAAGCGTGGCTCCGTTAATAACCGACTGGTCCATACCCTGGACAGCAGCAGCCATAGAACCCAACGCGATCACCTCCACCAACTTACGAGGAATATGCCATTTCTTAGTGGCCTCCAAGTTTAAAGCTTCCTTCTCTTCCGGAGATAAGAACTCCATTGAATTGAAGGCATATGGGTTTCTGGCCAACGCAGCAGCACGGCCAAACAATTCCGGGTCCAAGTCGTGCTTCAAGGCGTAGTTTCTGCCCATTTGCATGGCTTGCTTTTCAGTGTACTGGGATAAGATGTTTCCTCTCTCACCTTCTCTTCCCTCGGAGGACACGGAGGAGTCTGTGCCCTTTCTGGACGAAGACGAAGACGAAGCTTCTAATATTGCACTTTCTTTCATGACGTAGATGGCCCTAGAGAATTACAGCAGCACCAGGGCAATTTATAGCTACACCACGAACATCATTGACACCACCAAGTTACCAAAACAGATTGGCAGCCATGTTGTGCCCCACCAGTCAAGAAAAAACTCCCAAACAATATTTTCTTAGTGTCTTGGCTGGGCCTAATTTTGTTATGAGCCCGATAGGTGGTAACTTGATAGTGGTTCTTCCAAGAATGTATACCAGACAGACAGCAGTGGTGTCAATGTCAACCAAGACTTGCTAAGCGATGATATCCTTGGAGCTGAAGAGGGACAGATGGCTGCTGGAGATGGCTCAAAATGTCCGAAGAAGGTTTTGCAACCATTCCATGCATACTAATCTCCTATACCGTCTAGGTTGCAAAGATAAAAACAGCAAGCAACACAAATGTCATGTCATACAGGTCATCTTCACGGGTGACTTTGACATGTTATCTGCACCGGAAATTGTGCCGAAGTTGCCTAACTTGAAGTATTCCTGGCTTGGCTTGGTGTTGGATGCACTCTGTGGGGAGAAGTTATCGATAGTTCGCTAGATACGTTGCTGGACAGCTCGAGGGGAAAACGGCGTAAATAGGAGGGGATAATAAAGTCTAGAGGGCATGAGGGGATAGTATAGATGGAGGTGGTATTGAAGTGGAGTACGGAGAAATTAAAGGAGGAATGGACGGATGAATTGCGGAACAATATTTGGTGGACCAATGTGTGAATAGTATGAGCGTGTAATATTAGACTATGAGCGTGGGGGGAGGTGGTGGAGGGAGTCCGTAGTATGAGCGTGGGTCCGGAGTTGTTACTGGAAGTAGAGACTTTTTGTTGAATTTAGTACTGATCATTTGAGGAATACTTACTAATGTAGACTAAATGTACTTAGAGCATCCAGATATCAGGTTGAATATACTGAGTTTTATAGATAATGGAATTGTAATTATTTAATATGTTGTGATTCTGAGTCAATCTGTTGCAAGTCTTGGAGTGTATATGTTGAAATCTACAAGAACTATACTATGTAAGTAGTAGTCAATAATGGAATGGTTAAGAGATAAAGGAATAAATGCAAGAATAGAGCCCTTTGGCCCGTAGAAGCTGGAGAGAAATCAAGACCAAGAACCTCAATTCCACAGTCTCAAGGTATCCTAGATTCAAGAAATCCTGACTTGCCCACTTTGGAAATGCCAAATCTATCTTGTGGAGAATAGCTCGGCACGATTCAAGCCACCGAAAGTCATTCCATACAGACACGGCATCGTGATTTCCCCAGGTTCTTTTTTTTTTTTTTCTTTTTTTCCTTTTTTCTTATTTGAAGCGTAATTATAGGGTGGGCCTATTGTTAATAGAAGTTATGTGGAGAGAAGTTCGCAAAATTTCCGAGATTCTATCCGGGGTCAATATGATGGAAAATGATTAATGTCTTGGAAATTACATTTTCGATTGAAAGGAAAAAATTCAGACTTGATAAACTGAGAATGTGGAGTGACCAATAGAAATCTAAGTTGATAAATTAGGTAAAATTCTAAGGGTCAGACCGGTTTTACGAAGTCTTACCTTTTTTCCAGGACATTACCCTATTTTGTGAATTATTGATCACAAGTGAGAGTATCAAGAGGATAAGATTTAGTGTCTCAGAATACATCAGTCTGTTTAAAATTCTGGAGTAGAACTCCAGTCTTCCACTGTAGAGTGTGGTATCTTGATTATGGATTCTACAATCATTCAATTGACAGTCTCCACTAGAACCTTCTCTGCTGTTGTTTGATTAGATAGGATGTTCTCTGTGGTTGAAAAAACACAAGGAGGCGTGTGAGTCTACCAATACCTACCATCACAATAGATAATAGTGGATGTGACCATATTACCGTTTTCCACAAAAAGGGACAAATATTGGACTAAAACTCAATGCTGACCACCTACAATATCTTCACTTTCACAAGCTTGGAACTTTGAAAATGGCTATTCTCTTCGGCTTTTCATTTGAAGTTTTTCACTTCTGGGTGTATCTTCTAGACTGCCTCAATTCTTCCCTTCTGACATATATCATTACCCGTAGTTTCTCACATCGCTACCCAAAGCAAGGCTTCAACCTTCGTTTACTCAAGCGTTTGATCAAAACTCGTTTCTAACTCAGATGGTACTCTCACACGAACACGAGACCATGAACGGTCACGTTAAGGAAATATCTACTATTTGTAGTTTCCTGCTTTGATTTAAGTGTTCAAAGATCCATGTCTGCTTCTAGAGAAGCTAATTTTATACAAATCATTTCAATATTCAATGGAAAACCAAAATCCTCACTAACTATCTTCAATATTCTCACCTTCATTTATAGCCTCAATTGTGTAGTCTCACTAACTCCAGTACTACCTCCAATAGTAACTCCATACCCACCTCCAGTACTCAACCAATTCAAAATCATCCCAATATAAAAATCACAATTGCAACCCAAAATTCTCAAATTCACCCAAATTCAATCTTCTCCAATTTCATTTGATCCTTTTCCACATTTTTTTTCTCTATATTATTTTCTCCAACTCTCTTCCAATACCTTCTCCCCAATCTTATCCTGCACACACCCGTCGTGTGTGGAGCCAAGTGGCGATCGTCCATACTACCATAACTTCTTCCACCATCAAACATCATGGCTTTGGTGTCTGCTGCCCCCTATATTGCCTTGCTCTCTGAGCAAGACCTGACATTGAAATCATATGCGTTATCGTCGTTGAACGACTCTGTGGACCAGCTCTGGGCTGAGATCGCCAACAACTTGAACGAGTTGGAGGAGGTATATGAAGACCCCCAGTTTGAAAAGCGCAATTTGGCTGCTTTGGTCATTTCCAAGGTCTACTACAACTTGGGTGACTTTGAGGCCCTGGTAAAGTACGGCCTCAGAGCGGAGAAGGAGTTTGATCTCGAGGAGAAAAGCCAGTACATTGAAACCATTGTATCCCAATGCATCAACATCTACAGCTCCGAGGCACGTATACGGTACTTGGGCGAGTCCTCGGAGCCAATCAACCCGCAGCTTGTGGCCGTGTTCGAGAAGATGGTGCAAAAGTGTGTTGCTGCCAACGAAATCAAGCTTGCTCTTGGAATTGCCTTGGACAGCTTCCGCTTGGACATTGTCAAGCAGATTATTGCTGACGAAGTCGCTAAAGACGAAGAATCGGGCTCTGCTTTGATCAATTACGTGTTGGTTTGCAGCAATTCCGTAATCTCCAACGCAACCTTCAGATCCGACGTGTTGAACACCTTGATTGATGCTTTGTTGTCTTTGAAGGACAACCAGGACTACTTCACTGTCTTCAAGATCATTGTGCAGTTGAACGATGCCAAGTTGGCGGTGGAGGTGTTTAAGCAGCTCATAACTAGAGGTGAACACTTGATTGCCTACCAAGGTGCATTTGATTTGGTCAGCTCGGCTTCCCAGGAACTCATCAAGAGTGTTTCCAAGGTGTTATCCGACGACGAATCCTTTAACTCCACAGAGGCTATCCCCGCTCGCTTGCTACATATTTTATCTGGTGTGCCTACTTGCGACTTGGACATCACCTTCTTATACAAGAACAAGAACATCGATATCACCATCTTGAACAAGACAAAGAACTTGTTGGAGGGAAGAAACTCCATTTTCCACTCGGCCGTCACCTTTGCAAATGCGTTCATGCATTTAGGAACCACTGACGATACTTTCTTCAGAAAGAACTTGGAATGGTTGGGTAAGGCCTCCAACTGGTCCAAATTCTCTGCGACTGCTGCTTTGGGTGTAATCCACAAGGGTAACTTGTCCCAGGGCCGCAACATCTTGAAACCATACTTGCCTGAATCCAATGGATCCGCCTACACCAAGGGTGGTTCCTTGTTTGCTCTTGGATTGATTTTCGCTGGCCACGGTGGTGAAACAATCGACTACTTGAAGCTGTTCGTTGATGAGCACGGCAATTCAGCCGGAAGTGCTGACTCCGACGTCATGTTGCACGGTGCCTGTCTCGGAAGTAGTGTCGCTGGCATGGCCTCCAACAACGAGAGCCTCTACGAGGCCTTGAAGGTCGTTTTATACTCGGACTCGGCTATCTCGGGAGAGGCTGCTGGATTGGCTATGGGTCTTGTAACTTTGGGATCTGGTAATGCCGAGGTTACCCATGACATGTTTACTTACGCCAAGGAGACTCTGCACGAACGTATCATTCGTGGTTTGGCCATGGGTATTGCCTTGGTCAACTATGGTCAGGAAGACAAGGCTTTGCCAATTATTGAAGAGCTTTTTGCCCAGGAACACGTTCTCTTGAGATATGGTGGTGCTTTCACTATTGCCTTAGCCTACGCTGGTACTGGAAACAACAACGCTATTAAGAAGTTGTTACACCATGCTGTCTCAGACCCATCCGATGATGTCAGAAGAGCCTCTGTGATTGGTTTGGGATTCTTGTTAATCCGTGACTATACTGCTGCTCCTCAAATCGTCGAGCTCTTGTCGCAATCCCACAACCCTCATGTTCGTTATGGTACTGCCATGGCATTGGGTATTGCTTGCGCAGGCAGAGCTTTGCCTGCTGCTCTTGAGGTGATTGAACCATTGACCAAGGATTCCGTGGACTTTGTTAGACAAGGTGCATTGCAGGCTTCTGCTATGATCATGATCCAGCAAAATGAGACCGCTTACCCTAAAGTTAAGGACTTCACCAAGTTATATGCGGAAACTATCAAGAACAAGCACGAGGATGCATTGGCTAAGTTTGGTGCCACGTTGGCCCAAGGTATCATCGATGCCGGTGGACGCAATGTGACAATCAGCTTAGAGAACACAAACACTAACACTTTGAATGTGAAGGCCATTGTTGGACTTGCAGTGTTTGTTCAGTCGTGGTTCTGGTACCCATTTGCACACTTCTTGTCGCTTTCGTTTGCGCCTACAGCCATTATTGGTGTCAAGGAAGATTTGAAGGTGCCAAACTTCGAATTGAATGTTCATGCCAAACCGGAATATTTCCAGTATCCACCAAAAGTTGAAGAAGCCAAGGAAAAGCAACCAGATAAGATCACCAAGGCAGTTTTATCCACGACAGCAAGAGCAAAGGCCAGAGCCAAGAAAAACCAGGCCGACAAGGGCGATGCCATGGATGTGGACTCTGAGGTGAAGAAGGAAGAGAAGTCTGAGGTCAAGAAGGAAGAGAAGTCTGAGAAGAAGGAAGATAAGTCTGAAAAGAAAGAGGAAAATGCCGACAAGAAGGAAGACAAGAGTGAAAACGATGAGAAGGCCAAGAGTGAAGAGGGTGAGGACGAGAAGATTTCATACGAGCCAGCCACAATTCGTTACGTGAAGTCCCCATACAAGATCAACAACTTGTCTAGAGTGTTGCCAGCCGAGTCCAACTTCGTTTCTTTCATCAAGGACGAACGCTTTACGCCTATTCGCAAATTTAAAGGTTCCGGAGGCATCATTGTTCTCCAGGACACCAAGCAGGGCGAGCCTGTTGAAATCATCAAGACTGTGAGACAGTTGAACATCACTGAGGCACCGGTTCCACAACCATTCACGTTGAGCGGCGAGGATTTGGATGAAGATATCGAGTAGACTAGAATAATAAAAGTTAATGAATAGCGCGACTGGCAACCGTCAAGTTTAAACCAGTAAAAGTAACCAAGCCAAAAATCCATGCCATACACTCAAGCAATTCCAATTCACTTTTCAAGCAGTCACCTAGCCGAAAGTGATTGTTCAAAAACAAAACAAAAAAAAAAATACTCACATCCCGAATGGCAAAAGTTCGTGCTATTATTTGTGAAATTCCGTTACTATTTAGACTTCGCGCACTCCACTTATCCATCTCTTTATGAATAGCTCACGGATGTCTTCGGAAAACTTACTAGGACGAAGCTCAGTAAGAGCCAGACTTGACTCTGACGGAATCTTCACTGGAAATCAACAGTTACACGATCCGCCACAATCTACGTTTCTAGGATGTATCCCAATCCCCACAACAGAGGTTCAAACTCACATTCCATTTAAGAACATCCTTTGGTGTCAAAATGTCGAGACTGACGACGCTTCATTCGACATAAGTTACGTGGTGGAGCACCAGAATTCTGTTTCGGTGCACCATGCCACGGTGGAGTTGCAATTGCTGGCCAATCAGACTAAACAAGACTTGACAAACCAAGTATTAAGGATGGCGTATGGCGAAAGTAAGGTGCGACCATCGGTATTGGTGGTGTTAAACAACCATGGAGGACAGGGCCATGCGCTCAGTCTCTACAAAAAGGAGGTTCTACCAGTGTTGTCGGCGGCACACGTGGATATCACGTTCATGGAGACCAAGTACTCGAAACACGCGGTGGAGATTGGTCGCGAGGTGGATATTAACAAGTTCGACGTGGTGGCATGCTGTTCAGGAGACGGTATTCCTCATGAGGTCATAAATGGCATGTATGAACGTCTGGACCGAGTTCAGGCATTTGAGAAGTTGGCAATAGCGCAGATTCCATGTGGTTCAGGAAATGCGTTTTCACTCAGCAGTCACGGCAGCAACAAGCCAGGAGTCGCTGCATTCCACATGTTGAAGCTGACGCGGGCACAGTTGGATCTCATGGCGGTAACGCAGGGAGTAGGAGTTGACGAGAGAACAAAACTTTCGTTCTTGTCTCAAGCTTATGGAGTCATTGCAGACTCCGACATTGGAACGGAACACTTACGGTGGATGGGAGCCATCCGATTTGAGCTTGGAATTATGCACAAGGTGTTCACCAAGGCCAAATATCCGTGTGATTTGTTTGTTTCGTATGCCACCAAAGAGCAAGACGAGATCCAGCAGCATGTGGACAAACATCTTCAGAATAGCACTCCATACCGCAAGCTCTCGGAGGAGAGTTTCCAACTCAAGTTCCCGGGTCTCGACCAACCGCCTCCGTCATCGTGGGAACAGGTGCCCACGTCCACTACAGACTACTTGAACATTTTTTACGTGGGGAACATGCCATACATGCTGAGCGACGCCCAGTTCTTCCCGGCCGCGTTGCCAGACGACGGGCTCATGGACTTGGTGATAACCAAGACCTCTATACCGTTACTTACCACTGCGAAGATCCTCACGTCGGTGGATAATGGTGCACATGTCCAGTCTCCTCATACTCACCATGCTAAGATCTCAGCCTACCGACTCGTACCTCGGATCAACGACTCGCAACGCCATTATATATCTGTTGATGGGGAGAGTTTTCCATTTGAGCCGATTCAGGTAGAGATTTTCCCACGGATGCTTACGGTGTTACTTCAAGAGGGAACGTTTGTGAAGACTACATTTACCGAAAGATAGACATAAGAGAGCAAAGTGAAGAGAGAGCTGAAGAAGTGAGGACTCTCAAAAAGCAGAGCTGGAAATGACTGGCAGGGAACAACCAAGTCATTCCCATTTATTCCACCATTACAAAACAATGCATACACTCGCTGGAACTTATCTTCCAGATATGCCATCAATTTCATTATCTGGACCCAATGACTAATTAACACACTGCGATTACATGCAAGCCGCCCCAACTAATTGGCGATGCAGAACGCATTAATTCTCCACGATCTCACCGTGGTGTAATCTACTAAGCGGGCCCAATTTCCCCTCCTTGCCAACCCAAGAATCCTTTTAAATTTTCTTTAACCTTCAACTTCCCCAGAACTAACTATATGCTGAAATTTTCACCCCTCACAAAACTTGTCTCTCCTCTCTGTAATTCTGGTGACTAACGTCACAGTTTTACCTAGTGCGCATTTCCAGCCGTTTCCGGCCCCTCACTCTCGTCCATCACCGTGGGGCAAACCTGAGCTGTTTCTCAAACGGCGGATAGAAATTAAAAAACAATCGTACAATGGACGTCATCCAGGCCCCTTGTTCCTCCACACAATACCTCACATCACCTGGACCGCTGCCCAGCCCAGTGACCTAATCCAAAATTCTTGTCTACTCCGCTGGTCTATACACTCCACTGCCTCTATCTTGAATTGTCCATCATCAAACTAGTAACTACTCCTCGTTGACAACTCTGCCAGGAACAACATGCGCTCGTTCTCGCTAGAAAGGTTCAAGAACAAGGTAGCGCGTCGCTCATCTGAGCCGTCCATCCTCCAGACTTCAAAGTCCACGGGGTCCGATCGTCGAAACTCCATCGCCAACCCCACCATTGTGATCTCCGACCCCGATACGGCGTCCCGCGCCGCCAACTCGCGCCTACGTACTTCATCGCTCTCGTTAGTGACTCCAAGCAATCGTTCGCGTCTGAGAAGCGTGTCGAAGAAGCAGGCCAAAGAGCTCATTCGCCAGGAAACGTCGCTGGTGATTCTGAAGAAACTTGCCAACGTTTTGAGCGACTTGGGGCTCCAGCTGCCCATACCGTTAAAGTCTTCTAGTGGCTCAGGGCAACTGAAGCTGATCAAGTTATATGTTGCCAACTCCAACGACTGTATCTACTTGGCTCCGGCCAGTTCTGCCAGTTTTACCTACGAAGACGTGGAGAACGGCGGCAACGATATCCCCGAGGATTTACTACGGGGCGATTCTAATACAAGCACTCAAGGTGGCAGCTCTGGAATGTTGTGGATAGACTCGGAGGACCCGACCGATACCAACTCCTTTGACTCCGGAAGAATGTCCGACACCGATATCGAAGACCGCACGCCGGGACCTCCCGATGACAGCACCAGGCGGCTTCGAGCCAAGATGGAATCATTCCATCTGCCGAACTACTTGTGCACGCAAATCGACTCAGACTCTCCCATTCCTCATCTCTTCGCAGTCATCGTGGACTTGAAGAAAGAGTGTCAGGTGAAGACCGTCAACATCCTGTTTCTGTCCGGTGTTAGCACGCTATGGCCCATATTGGAGCCACACAACCGCTACAATCAAAAGGAGCGTTTCAAAATTGGCTCACTCGAATGGGTGGTGTCCATGCACGATGCTGACTACTATATCAGCACCACTAATTCAAACGACACGAGACACAGAGACTTGACGCCCGAGCACTTAGCCAGACGTACAAGGAAGTACAAGTTGGCTTCTGTGCGCAATTTGGCAGAAGGAACTGATGCCACCAATCATGACGGAAACCCAGTGTTCGTCAGCCAGCATCTTCTTAACTCTGATTTGGAAGTCAATACTCACTCAAGTGCACCCGAAAGTTTCCCCGCTGGAATCTATGTGTTTTTGTTGCCAATCCTACTTCCACCTCACATCCCTGCTTCTATTAACTCCGTCAACGGTTGTTTGAACCACAGGCTATCTGTTCTGGTGAACAAAATCAGCGAGAAGTTAAACAGAAAAGTTGTGGTCAACGCGTTATTCAATTTGCACATGGCTAGAACACCTCCTTCCTTGGCGAATTCCATTGCAGATAAGCCCATCTATGTCAACAGGGTTTGGAATGATGCGCTTCATTATGTGATCACATTCCCTCGGAAGTACATTTCTTTGGGTTCCGAGCACACTATTAATGTCAAGCTTGTTCCGTTAGTGAAAGATGTCATCATCAAGAGAATCAAGTTTAATGTTTTGGAACGTATAACCTATGTTTCTCGTGATCTTTCCAGAGAGTATGACTATGACGGCGAGGATCCCTTTTTGGCAAGGTCTCTGAACAATAAAAACAGAGAAAGAGTGGTTGCAATCTGCGAATTGAAGACAAAACATAAGGCTTCCTCCACTGCAACTCCAGAGCCATACAAAGAAGAAGTTATCAAGTGTCCAGAAAACAATATCTTGTATTCCTGCTATGAAACTAACAACAACGCAGATAAGACGGTGATGGTCGCTTCGCCCTTGGATATCAATATTGCCTTACCTTTCCTCACCACCCGATCTGATAAAGGTATTAACTTGCCCAGTCAGGAGGAACCCGGAGATCTTGACTTGAGAAGAACTTTTACCAATTCTTCAAGACGCAGCTCCACAAATACCACGAATAACGTCAGAAAGAATTCTGCTCAGGGTCCGATGTGTCCTTCTTCACCAGTCATAGGCGCTCTTGAAACACATATTAGCCATATGAACGAAGAACAACTTTTGAACGGTGAACTTAGCGAAGATGTGTTGGAACTCGATTCTTCATTGATGGCTCCTGATGAGCATTCAGGTATTGAGAACTTAAGCCAGGGATACACCACCACGGCCAGGGCGCTTGCACCAGACTCTAACTTCCGTCACATCCAGATTTCGCACCGACTTCAGGTTTGTTTTCGTATCTCGAAGCCAGACCCTGCTGATAACTTCAGAATGCACCACTATGAGGTTGTGGTGGATACTCCACTTATTTTGTTGAGTGCTAAATGCAATGATGAATCCATCCAATTGCCACACTACGACGAGATTGATGTCCAGACGCCACCACCACAGTCTAGACGGGAAATAAGTTTCAGAATGCCTACCTACAATAATAGTGGAGTTTCTATTAAACCTTTAGGTGAATTTGGAGACGATCAGCTCCCCTCCTTCGAAGAAGCTATCTCCGCTTCCGCATCTCCAATCATGAGATCGATCTCCTTGGTCGAAGATCAAATCAGCAGAATGAATTCATTAACACCATCGGATCCTACACCAGCTTACGAACGCAATCCAAATGTTGCGGATGAGGTCATACCTCCATTGAGTATTGACGACTTGGTGATCGACCCTAAGAAAGTCACTAACCCGAGACGCCAGTCCGCCATCAAATCCTCTTTGCTGAATTCATTTGCACCAAACGTGAATCCTTTACAAAGAGATAACGCTACGATCAGCACAGCTTCTTCCTCAAAAAGTACGACATCCTCCGGAATTTCTACGGGAACCGCAGGAACCGGAGACAAATCGTACTCGGATGCCTCACCTTCTATTCCTAGCCTGGCTTCCATAGTCAGCGATTTGGACTCTACCTCCAATGCAACTTCGGCGATGAGCACTCTGGATAGTAGCTCCGAAGCACCTGAACTTCACACTCCTACGGTCGGACAATCACTAGCTGACTGCATGGCTGAAGAGCAGGAACAGGAATCTGATACGGAGCAGGCTCCTAGCAGATTGGTAGATGATTCAGAGAGTATTATCACTCAGGAATCGCAGTTTGTTCAAAAGCTTCCTTTACTTCAAAATATCAGCCAGGACAATGTCCAGAATGAAACATGCTATGCTAACACGACCAATGAAAACTTGACCAAGTTACTGACAGACACCCTCAATGATGAGGTTCAGTCTCCAAGCACGTTTCATGCATACTGATTTATAATTCTATTAATAATATTCATATTTTGCTAGTTATCATCTCGTGGTTGGCCCACACCCGTGCACCAGGCATTATCGTATCATACCAACTGGATAGTAATCGAAGCATTCATCACTCAATTTCATTTCCCTGTGTGGTGATTATGTCTCTTATCCCGAAAAATGGCAAGGTTGCCGTTGTGGGTGCTGGTATATCTGGTCTCACATATAGTTATTTCCTTCTGAAACTCCGGCCGGACGTTTCCATCTCCATTTTGGAATCATTGGCACGTCCTGGCGGATGGATCAGTACAGAAAAGCTCAATGATGCTGGAAAAGAAATAATACTAGAAAAGGGTCCTCGAACTCTTCGTGGAGTCAGTGATGGGACGTTGCTAATCGTAGATATACTTCGACACCTACAGTTAGAGAACCAGGTGGAGGTGATGAAGTCAACCTCAATTGCCAACCGTAAATGGCTCTTGGATCTGTCAAATAACCTCGTTCAAGTTCCTAACTCGGTATCTCTGCTTTTAAAGTTCTTGGGTTCGGATGTTACTGATGGTTTGGTTCGAGGTGTGTTGAGAGAGCCATTTCGGAGTAAACTGACTGATGCCCAAGATGAGTCGATCCAGTCGTTTTTTCAGCGTCGATTTGGGTCTCCCGAAATCGCCGATAACATTTTAAGTGCTGTGATGCATGGGATTTACAGTGGAAATGTGGCCAAATTGAGTGTTCAGACCACATTGCCTAGTTTGGTGGAGATGGAGAAGAAAGATGGCTCAATTGTCAAGAGCATGTTACGAAGGATGAGGTCTCAAAAGAATAAGGTACTGCCCACTATAAATGAGACACTTGCTCAGTATGAGCTGTTGATTTCGCCAGATTCCAATCTCGGACAGCTTTCTCAATCTCTCAAGAAGTTTCCTATCTTAAGATTACAAGATGGACTCCAGGTGTTACCAAACGCTTTGGCCGAACTGCTTCTGCGCCAGAACAACATCACAATCAATTATGAGTCTGAAGTAGATTCTCTTGACTTGAAATCTGGTGCTCTCCTGGTTAATGGGAAGAAAGACAACTACGATCATGTTCGTTTTACACTGGGAGCAGCCAGATTACTGGAAGTGGTAGGCAGAGATCCTGAGCTTCAACAAGTACTTAATCTGTTTGAGTATTCATCGATTTTCATGGCCAATGTTTACTCTAAGAAAGGAGGACTCATTCCTGCCAAAGGAAACGGGTTCGGATTTCTTGTTCCGAGTCGCAACTCGAATCCTGAGTCGCTCTTGGGCGTTATTTTCGACTCGGATACCGAGCTGGATGCCGAAAAGTTCTTTGGAGGGTCCCAGGTTGCGAAAGTTTCCTACGATAAGGTGACGTTGATGATGGGAGGACATTACTTCAACGAACGGGGGATTCCTTCCACCAGCATTAATCTTAGAGCGGCCAGAAATGTATTGTCAAGCATTTTGGGAGTCAAATTGGATAATTACAACATTATTTTGAGAGATGAAGCCACGGAAAACTCTAAGGAGGTGAAATTAGAAGATAATGATCTTCTCATCTCGTACAATCTCCATAAGAATTGTATCCCACAGTACAATGTCGGATTTCTCGATAAAGTGAAAAGCATGGTGCGGATTGTGGACGAAAAGTCTAAACGTAAGGTTAGCATTGGCGGTACCAGTTTGGGGAAATTAGGAGTTCCCGACTGTGTGATGAATAGTTTGGAAGATGCATTGGCACAAGGTAGGTAGACTCTGGGACGAAGGTCGATGTTGGTAAGGTCGATGTTTATTGGCTATGGTACATAATATACAAAATAGACGGATGCAATGGTTAATGAGTCTGGAGAGATGATAACACGCAGACGGACAGTTGATGGCTACTCCTCAGCCAAAAGCTTTTCAGCCAGTTCGATACATTTGGACTTAGACTTAGAAAAGTCGATATGCAACGGCTTGCCAAAAAAAGGGTGATCCAGTAGTGATTTCAATGTCCGGGCTGCCGCCTCCTTGCTCTCCATAATCACATGAGCCTGTCCTCTCAACTTCATGTTGATGTCTAGCACATCGCCATATGTTGAGAAGAGTAGGTATAAGTTGTTCTTGAGGAGCGACCGACTGATCTTATCGTTGAGATTGTGAACGTAAAGGGTCTGCTGGACCTCCAGACGAGGTTTTTTGGACGGCGTATCTGCGTCGTTTGCTCGTCTTTTAGGAGGATTTACCATTAGTTAAAGATGGTGTAGTGAGAGATACAGGACGTACTAGTATCACCATGTTGATGTACAAATACTCACATTATGAACATTATTTTTTGGTTTGTGTAAGACATACTTCAAAATACACAAAATTAAACGATGAAAGACAATATACTTACAATTACGTTGTCATATCTTTTTTACTTATGCTATCTATATCTTTGTACATGTTACAGTTTACTCTGAGAAGTAGCACCCATGCAAGCCATCACGTATACAACAGCCTTGCTAATCTCAGTAGCCAATCTATTTACTAGACTGGATGAGCATCTGTAGTCTTTCTTCAAACTCGTGCTCGTCCAACTTCTCCATCATCTCTTCCAATTTGGGTCCAGCCATAAAACCCGGAAGATCATGAATGGAATATCCACACCGATGGTCTGTAACTCTATTCTGCGGATAATTATAGGTTCTAATTTTATCCGACCGATCAGTGGTGGTTACCTGGTCTGTTCTGAGCTTCTTCTGCTCGGCAATTTCCTGTTCTCTTTCCAACTGAGCCAATCTGGCCCTTAAAATCAGAAATGCCTTGGCCTTATTCTTTGGCTGGGACCGCTCATCTTGCTGAACAACCATAATTCCCGTAGGAATGTGCACTAACCGCACTGCCGAGTCCGTAGTGTTCACATGCTGTCCACCTTTTCCTCCTGATCTCATGGTATCGATTCTCACTTCGCCTGGAGCAAACAGCCTCTCATCTTCACGCAATGATTGCTCTGTACCATCAGACATCTTGGGCAAAACCACCACGGCGGCTGTGGATGTGTGGATACGGCCCTTTGCCTCGGTAGCTGGGATTCTCTGCACTCGATGGACTCCACTTTCATGTCTCAAACTATTGTAGGCTCCGGGAGCGTCGATACTCACAATCGCCTCATTGAGAAATCCGTTTCCACTGCTGCTCTCACTAAGAATCGTATAAGGCCACCGCATGAAGTTGGCGTAGTTGATATACATGTTGAGCAAGTCCTGGGTGAAAAGACCAGCCTCCGAGCCCCCCACGCCAGGTCTGAGCTCCAAAATGGCTGGTTTGTCGTTGTGCAAGATGGGAGGCAAGAGTCTTTTCTGGAGAACTTGGCTGGTTTTCACCAACGAGGGTACAGCTTCTTGTAGTTCTATTTGAGCCTCATCAACCAACTCCTGATCACTTTCTTCATTGATGATGTCTACCAAACTAGCCAAGTTATCTATTTCACTCTGGTACTTGTGATAATTGTCCAAGATCACCGAAAGGTTCGAGAAACGGATGCTGGTATCCAGATCGAAGGTGCCCAGCGACATCTTTTTTTCAACTTCGGCGAACTCTGTAGTCATGGCTTTAGCTCTCGCTAGAAGTAGCGGATGCATGGGCTGACAAAACTGCTCCAACCGGACGATCTCCCGGGTGGAGTTCCATCGGATCTGTCTGGCCACTCCCCGTATACTGAACATGAAGAGAAGATGAAGTATTCTGTACACTAGTATACATTCCACTAACCACTTCACTAACCTCCAACTATACCATTGGAACCGCAATAATGTCGTCGGAATCTAGACCCATACAATTGTCTGACTTTGTTGTGGCCATTCAAGATCTTTCTGATGAGAACCTATTGTCGTTGCAAAGACAGCTTACAACCTCCACGCAGAAGTTGAAAGAGACAAATAGCCTACTTGAAGTGGAAATCACACACACAAAAGATGAAGACGAACTGAAGCTTTATAAGGAGACTATCGATGAGAATCATGTGGTTTTGATGAGCCAGCAAAGACGCCTTGACGCTCTCGAGGAAGAGTTGATGTCTCGAGGTTTAGCACAGAAGGACGAGAAAGGTGTCTATCTTTGAAGCTTAAGATCAAAATAGATGACGATATATGATTATAATGACTAGAATTTGAGAGATAAGAAGAGTGGTTGAGTGTTAGTACGAATTAAGTTGGAGAGGAGTTTGACTACAAGGTTTGAAGTACACTTCAAAGGCTCAGACTTCGAGGAAATGTAAACTCATGAAGTAAGTCAGATCAAGTTGCTGGCCCTCAAATATACTGTGAAGGTGAATATATCTGATCCGAAAATCTTATCCGATGCCAAATCAGCCATATCTGATCCATACTGACCATGGTCAATTGCCTCTAGTGATTAGTTCGACTAGTATATCCTAAAATATCTCAAGTGACACTGGTCCTTTACTCTAGCTATTTACAATTACTCCTTCTTCACCGTGGTGGCCTCGGTTCCAAACAACTTCTTGAGGAATGGCTTCTCGTCCATCCGGATCGGATCCTCTGGTCTCTTGCACACCAACATCCATGTTGACCCCAAGTGAACACGCTTCTCGAATGTGATATCCAAGCCTGCCTCATCCACCAACTCGCCAATATCCAAATTCCACCGACATGCCCATTTCTTCATTCTCTTCTCTGCCCGGAAATCCAAGTGGTTGTTGACAAAGTCCCATGTGGACCGTCCATGCTCCAACAATACAATTCTTCCTCCTGGCCTTAACAATTTTTGCATATTTTTCAATGCAGCTACAGGGTCCTCATGGGCGCACAAACCGAATGCCTCAATGATGGTGTCGTACTTGAATGATTCAGATGCCAAATCCACCAAATTCTCAGCTTTACCCACGGCATATGCCACATTCTTGAACTTAGGATACTTGGCACGGAACTTCTTCTGTGTCTCTTCCACCATCTTTTCCGACGAGTCCATAAACGTGACGGACTCCACCTGGTCGAGGTTAAGGTAGGGAATGTTCCTACCTGTTCCACATGCAACCTCCAAAACGTCTCCCTCAGCCTGCTCCATCAACCAGCCACGACGAATTCCCATGAACACACCCCGCTCTTCCCAATTGACAGCACTGTCATATTCTGCTGCTTTTTCGTCGTAAAACTGCGTGGTATCTTGAGCAGGCATAATGTTGGGGTTGGTGGAATTGGTCACCGCGATGTCCTTGGCCTCAGAATTGACACCAGGCTTAGCGGGCACAGCGTCGTCATCAGCTGCAGCAACCTTCACTGGACGCCGTGCTTGGCGGTTGTACCATTCCTCGAGATCCTGAGGAGTAGGCTCAAAGAGCAAATCGTACTCAAAAATGTTCTTTCTTCTAAACTCCTTACGCATCATCTGGTAGAGACGAAACTTCTTTTCTTCACGAGGCTTGAGCTTGTCGCCGCTGAAAGCTTTGAATTTCAAATACTCATACTCGCTGAGACTAGCTGGGTCAGCCTTGTACTTTGCATTAATCACCTTCATTTGCTTATCTTCATAGTAACGGTCTCTCATGTAGTAGTAAAATGCTACAAGCATCACTGCAAACATTCCAACGTAGTACTTGGTCATTCTTTTCTTGAATTCGAGCGTTTGGACATAGGCAGCCCATTGCTTATATTTTGGCAACTTTTCGAGATCTCGTTTGTGTTGAGCCTTCTTGTAGTCGATTGGAAATGGCGTTTTCAGGTAGTAGCGACTTCCCACAGTGAATGTCTGTCTGAAAAGCATCAGCCGAGCAGGCAAGACCCGTATGGATCTGGCCATAACTGAAGATACGGGCAATCTCAACATGGAGTAGTGAGATTTTTTCGATTTCGCATCCAAATGTTCTAGGAAGAGTCGTCTACTTAGAGAATGAAGTGATATATAAAATTTTTGATTTCCATAAGTATGTGATCAAAATCATGATTTTGATTATGAATTGCTGAATGTACAGCTTCTTGCTATCTCAGGTTCGTGATAAACATATACATGAAACACCTATATGGACATATTAAGTTGATTATCATAAAATATATAACGATAACGAAAGACCAAAAACAGGAGAAAAAGAAAAGAAAAGACCAGAAGAGAGAAACAAGTACAGGAAACAAACTAATGTAAAGCAATAAATACAATTCCGATTCTTCCACTCCTAATATTGATACATACGGACTTCGAAAGTAAGTAGTGCGCTGCACAAAACCACCTCCACAACTTGTCGAGATCGAAGGCAAACTAATCAATCAAACTCCTCTCCATGTCCGAACTCACAGAAACCTTGGAGTCAGCCAGCGTGGCCGCCTCGCAAAAGAACTACGATGAGGCAGAGAAGAAATACTATGAAGCCATCAACGCCACATTTGATGGTGAAGACCAGGTTAAAAGATCGAAGTTCTTGCAGGACCAAGAGACGGCTATTCTTGAATTGGGCAAAGTATATCAGGAACTCGCCGCTGCAGACAAGTTACATGACTTGGTGAGCAACTCTAGAAACGTGTTGGGTGGTTTCGCCAAGTCGAAAACCGCCAAAATCATCAAGACCTTGGTGGAGGATTTCGACACCGTCTCCAACGCAATTGATCTACAGATTCAGACCATTAAGGAGTCGATTGAGTGGGCAGTTGACAATAAACTCTCATTTTTGAGACAGCAATTGCAGTTGAAATTGTCGGCCAAATTGTATGAGAAGGGCTCGTACCAAGAAGGTATTAAAATCATCACTAATTTGTTGAGGGAATACAAGAAGTTGGACGATAAGTCCTCGTTGGTGGAGGTACAGTTAGTGGAGTCGCAGATTTACCATGCTTTGCGTAATATTCCCAAGTCGAGGGCTGCATTGACCAGCGCCAGAACATCCGCCAATTCCATCTACTGTCCTACACTTTTGCAAGCTGACCTTGATTGCCAGAGTGGTATCTTGAACGCGGAGGATAAGGACTACAAGACCGCTTTTTCGTACTTTTACGAGTCGTTTGAGGGTTACAACTCCCAGAGCGATCCTCGCGCCATCACATTGTTGAAGTACATGTTGCTTACCAAAATCATGTTGAACTTGATTGACGATGTCAACATCATCTTGAACAACAAGAACGCAGTAAAGTACCAGTCAAGGGATATTGATGCCATGAAGGCCATTGCATCTGCGTACTCCAATAGATCGTTGAAAGATTTTGAGTCTGCGCTTGTCACATACTCCACCGAGTTGAGATCCGACCCTATCATCAAGAACCACTTCAACGCATTGTATGACAACTTGTTAGAGCAGAATTTGTTGAAGATCATCGAGTCTTACAGTGTGGTGGAGTTATCGCACATTTCCAAGACGATAGGCTTGAACATCCAGCAAGTGGAGGGAAAGTTGTCGCAAATGATTCTAGATAAGGTGTTCTACGGAGTCTTGGACCAGGGTAACGGATGGTTGATCATCTACGACCAGCCTAGAACCGATACCTCATATGAGGCTTCTTTGGACTTGATCAAGAACTTGTCTAGTGTGGTTGACTTGTTGTACGAGAAGGCATCATCTTTGAATTAGAAGTAGTGATACAGCTATAATACAGGAAATCAACTCATGCAAAGATTCCTTTTATGCCCCGTTCGCTGGCAACGTACGCCACATCTCCAGCCAACGTGACGAATTCCCCGAGTCTGCCACATGAAATGAAGCAGTTCATCAAGTCATATTTTTTGTCATTAGCCACAGCATTAACAAGGTCAAATGCCTCATGAATGTACTTCCAATCGTGATGTCTGGATTGTTGTAGAACTTGCAAAAGCTCAATGATGAAGTAAGGCACGTAAATGTTTCTGTACTCTTTGTAGATTTCAACTCGCTCATTGTCCGAGCAAGAGGAAATTGGTCCCGAGAACCAGTCGAAAATGAGAGAGTGGAGCTTACCGATGGTTTTCTCAATCGACTTGGCCACGTCCTTGGAGCTCCAGAACTCTTTGGATTCGGCATTAGCATCTTCGGTAAAGGTCTTCCATTCTTGTAGAATGCGCAATGTCTCCACTAACAGATCGTATTGCATGAGCTCCTCCTTATCATCTTCACTGATCAGAGTAGGCGGCGAGCTTTCTGACATGGATTTGGTGTGAAGGTCAAGGTCGTAATCCTTGAGCAATGTTCTGAATGCTTTGTTTTTGGAGAATGCTAAAATGGACTTCAAGCGTCCAGTCAACAAGAAACGACGGATAACTGTCCGAGAGGCATTGATGGCGTCTTCGTACATTTTGTTTTCGAATAACCATTCCACAGACTGGTACAATGTGATATCCGTCTGGTCCACAACCTTGTCTTCGACCTTAATTTCTCCCTGAGGATCGTATGCTGGCTCAGTCTCGGCCATCACTCTCTCCACAGTACGTTTCAACACATTGTTGATTTTGTTCTCGTACTCATAGCCCACATCCTCGTTGCTGGATGCATTTGGTGTATCCAGTGGAGAAGTAACACCGAGCCTTTTAAAGAGTTCGAGTTGTCTGGCACGACTGTTGGGGTCGGTGATGGTGGACAAGAAGATGGAGTAGCACTCACGTACATCCTTCTCATCGGGAATGAATGCCAAATAAACAGGCACAAGGTCCTGATCACCCTGCTCTGATAACATGGAAATGTAACTTGTCAAAAACTTGGTGACGGTTTTGTTTCCTTCTTGGAAGTTGAGAATGACAGACACAACAGCCAAATGGACCAATACTCGGAGAACATATGCATCTTCCATCAACTCCGCCTTGTTGGACTTGTAAGTGTTGTGTAGAAACATGTTGAGCTGGTTGATCATTACACTACCTAAAATCACTCGAAGAGGGCTGGCACTTTCAGCCTTGGTAGTTGGTGCTTTCAGCAACGAGTTGAGAATCTCTTCAATGGATGAGTGTGGAGGAGTGGGGAAGTTTACCAGTGATAACTCCTCGTCATCGGAAATGGTACTCTTCAAGAAATCCCGGATGTGCAGCGTATAGAGCTGATTCAAGTATAGAAGGAGACATTGCTCCCAGTTTGCACCGGAGTCCTCGATTCCTTCGGATTGGTCACTGCCACAAAGGAAACTGTAGATGAGCTTTTCGTGGGTTGTAAGTCCTGTGGCCAGCGCTAATTTGCTCACGGTCTGGTACCACATGTACTTATGACGAATTCCTCCTGGCTGATCTGATGAGATATCTTCATCCATGGCGTCCACTAAATCTCCGTCTAAAATAGGATCCACGTAGTCCTGTCTAGAACCCACCAATATGAGTGCCATGGTGAAATTTCCTGTTTCGCTGGCGTAGTCAATGGCTCTTTGAATGTCACCCTTGAGTACCAATTTGTAGATCACAGCAAAATTCTGATCGTCCATATGCTTGTCAAGCGGCGAGATCTGCTTCTGCGAACGGAGAGGAGCATCTGCGTCCATGTTATCCACGTAGTCAACCATCTGTGCCAGCGGAGCCAACGAGGATAAATTCTTGCTTTCTATGGCCACTTTGGTGTTGGTCCATTTAGCTGGCTGAGATGCAACGTCACTGTTAACATCCTTAGCATTATACTGGAGCCAGTCTATTATGAGGAGAAGTTCCTTGACCTTGTTGTTGCGGCTCAAGTATGCGTCTTTCTTGACGTCCAAAGATGCATACTCTGGAGCGTCCAATGTGTCTTGATCAGAGAATCTGAAGGAGTAGAGTACCTCCACGAGGTGCCACAACTTTGCTTCCAAGTCCCACGACTCAAATTCACGCTGGTCCGCCTCGGAGGCGCCATTGTCGGCGATTTTCTGGCCAATAGCCAAAGCTCGAGAAGCTGCTATAGACGTGAAGTTTCGGATGACATCAAATGGGTCTGCACGGCCGCCAGAGAGTTGGAAATTCTCCAAGATTTTGGCAAATTGTGTCTCGGCCGAAGTGAGTAACACTCCATTGGATATTGATGAGTCCATGGCTGGAGAAGTTCAGTTGTGATGTGATTTTGAGCTAGTGAGATAGAACACTCTGGTCGTGCGATGCACAGAAGAGTTGGAACATTTCAAACATGAATTGGATGAAATGATACAAAACAAGATTTTTTTCTTTTTTCTTCCTGACTCATGCTTTTTTACTCTTTATGATTTCTGTATGTGTTTCGAATCACTAAACCTCTATTCTCCATTTTTTTTCTGCTTCTTTGATTCACTTTCCGAGTCTCACTAAATTCTCACTGTAGTGTCACTCGGTGATCACATTCAAGTTCCTATACTACTAATTGGTTCTTGCTTAACGCAGTAAATTCTTCTCAGATATCTTAACTCGATACTATCCCCTCTTTTCCTCTATGGTCTACTCCTTAATACTTTCCCCATTTCTCTTCATCATCAACCATACTACCCAGGTTCTCAGAGGTACTGGTGCAGGACCCATATCGCCTCCACCGTATCAGCCTGCACCAACCCCTGATAACTAACCACATAATCCACATCTTCAACCATACAAAATCATCCCCACTCGGACCAATTGTACATAGTATTTCTAAACTTGCAAACATGTCCGAATCGGAGCTCCGTGAAGAGCATTCTGTGTTTGGAGAGGAGGACAACAATCCGTTCCCCCACACATCGGGCATTGCTAGTTTAATGCTGAGCAGACGGCCGGAAAACGAGGAAAACGGCGCAAATGGCGAGACTACCGGTGATATGGCACTGAGGAATTCTACTGGAACTAACTCCGAGGTGCTGGGACCATCGAACGGCTCTGATTCCTCACTTAATGCCTCACCGAATGGAGACTCGCATCCAAGAGCTCTGGACGAAGTGGACGAGTCGCTATTGCTCTATAGGGGAGATCGAGAGCCCTATAACACCGTTTATCTCAATTACGAGAACCGTGTCTCGAAATTGCTTAGTCCAGAGACAAATGCATCCATTCATATCAGTGAGGCAGGGAAGTCCAATGAAGGAATGACCAACTCGCTGAAGAAGTACATTGTTTACACCATCAAACTTATCAACGGTGATAACGCTAAGGAGGAGCTCCAGACACGAAGGCGCTATTCAGACTTTGAGAGTCTTCGTGATGTCCTTACCAAGGTATTTCCCCTTTTGATCATTCCACCTATTCCTCCCAAGAATTATTTCACACTCAATGTTCTCAATGGACTTGTGGGCTCCAATACTTCAAGCTCGGTTTCTACTAATGGAAACGGCTCATCGGCGCCGGAAAGCTCAAACGGCCTGTCTGGTGCAACATATTCTTACATCAACTCCAACCACTTGAACAAGAATAGGTTGATCGAGCACCGCAAGAGACTTCTCTCAAATTTTCTTAATAACTGCTTGCACATTCCTCAGATTCGAAATTTGGAATTTTTTGCTAAGTTTCTCGACCCATCTGCCAATTGGTCCGACGAGATCATGCTCATCAACAGCCAGCTTCCTAAATCGGTATACCAGCTGAATCCCGAGAATGGGCTCCGTACAGATCCGCTCTATACGGATTTCCCACTTCCTGTTTCGGCCAATCCCCTAGGTATTCCGTTTTTCAAGAATGCTAAGAAAATAACGAAGACCACAAACAAGTTGCTAGGCACAGGTGCCAGCACAGAGCCAACAACTACAGAAGAAGATGCTACAAATGAAAATGGTAACGGTAACGGTGAGGTTCAGAATCAGGTGGTGCGGACTTCTCACCTCGATTATATCAATAAAAAGATCATGGACAACTTCATTGGTCTATCCAGTGACTACGTGGAGCTAGGTACCATTCTAAATACGTTTTCATTGTTGTGGGCAGACTGGCAGAAGGTTAAAATCGGCAAGAACATTGACCCAGAGATTGTGAAGCCAGATGTTATTTTTGACAAGATAGGTGTGGCATATGATCGGTCATACATAACGATCAATGCATTGATTGGTGAACTCGAAACAAAGTTCTCTGAACCTTTGGGTGAGGCTGTCCAATATTCTGCCATTTTGCAGTCTGTCAAGAAGTTTCAAGAAAGAAAACTCAAACAGAAGGACTTGTTAGACACAGAAGTGAATGAGAAGAAGAAAGAACTAGCCGAGTTGAGAAAAGCTGAACTTGAAGCAACAAAGATGGAGAACGCATTGAATAACGGAGTTTTGAGAGCAGGCGAGGGAGAAAACGCTTCGAACACGTCGAAGACTCCAGCCAAAAAGAGACTTTTTCCTAACATGAGCTCTTTTAAGAAGATCACCAAGTACGTATCGGATATCATGGACCAGAACCCTGAAATTACAAGGAAACACAGAGTTACCCAGTTGCAGACCAAAATCAGTACTCTAGAACAGTGTCAGAACATTATGCTAGAGGACATTTCCTACATTACCGATGAGCTTGATAAGAACTTTAAATCATTCCACCAGCAGGAATTCAAGTCTATTTATCAAATTCTATTGAGTTACAATGGAATCATGATTTCATGGGCAAAGAAAAATATCGAGATCTGGGAAGAAATTAAGGAAGAAATCGAAACATTCGGCTCATAAGAATTCCTTTAAGTAGCGGATTGCCGCTGGAGCCAACTTCGTAAGGCCTTTGTATTTGGCCATGTCGTCTGGGAACTTCTCAAGAGCACCAAGCAATCTTTGGCCAACCTCTTCAGGTTGCGACTTGAAGTCGCTGAATGGGTGCAAGTACGTTCTAATAGTGAAAACAATGGCACCAGTCTTTGGCAAACGCGTAAGCATCTGTCTTTCACTTCTATAGTGAACCTGTTTGTCGAAGTCAAGATCTTCATACGGAATAGCCCTGCGGACTTCCTCTTCAGACAAGTGGTATCCCTTGTTGTCATCGTCAACATAAAACTTGTTGTGTGCTTGAATGGAAAAGTTTGCACGGCCCACGAACTGGCAGGGCTGAAGTCTCTGAAAGTATCTGTTCATAGAAGTTCTGAGAATACTCTGGTAACCAGGGATAGGTTCGTGAATGCTGGTCAAAGGCTTGTTAAACTTGTCCCGAGGGTCGAAGCCAGCTGCAAAAGCAAACACACCTGCCTTGAAGTAGTACTCATTGCCAAATTCGGGGTCGTCGAGCGTCTCATCTGGCATCATAATAATACAGTCCTCTTCCACAGTTCTCGTCAAGAGATGTAATAACTTTCTGGTATCAATGTCCCCAGCAGTAGCAGGAATGTCTTCCTTAGTAATGTTGTTGTGGACGCTGGTTCCATCGCCATTTAACTTAAAGTACATTGGATACTTGTCACACATGTACTGAATAATGACATCGTACAATTCTCTCACGGCAGGGTCGCCGATCTCCGAAGTGAAGACCGTGCTAGCCTCCGTATCCTTGTCCGAGTCGTAAGCAGGATGTGAGTTGGTGATCAACTTGGTTTTCTCTTCAATACGGTCAAGATAAGTATCTTCTATCAAGAGCCAATCATCAGGCTTGAAACTGCGAATGCCCATAGTCAACTTGTACTCTTTATCCTTGAATGGATAAGACTTTGCAGGTTCCTTATGGTCCCATTTGAAATCTGGCAGCACAGCATTGGTCTTGATTTCCTTGGGAAATTCCGACTCGCTCTTGGTTTCTGTAGGTCTAGATAAGCTCTTCTTTGGCCGAAGAAAGTAGAAAGCAGATAAGAAGAAGAAAGGAAGGAACAACGTCCAATTAATATGCACTTGCTCCCAGTTCAACAGCATGTAAAAGGAATAAAAATATTGGAGGAGTAAAAAAAGTATGTGGTTTCTGGGAGTAAAGAGTATATAGTGTAGGTGATTCATAGGGCGGAATTTCGCACCCGATCTGGCCATGTTTCCGCAGCCACCAATGGAAGTATCACCGTTCAATGGAAGAAATTGATAGCGGAAACTGGATAAAGCAGGTCATTCCTAACATAAAATTGTTTATGTTCTTCAATTTCTCTCAAATTATTTGAAGTCAGTAATTTTTACAAAGTTATTTACTGGTGACCACGGTGATAGGTTTCCGGGCATTGCGCCTATTTCCCAATTCGACCACTAATTTATCGGAAAAAGTCCGACTGTGCACAACTACCACAATATGGGGCAAGCCAACTTGTTTCAAATGGAATTGTGTAGAAGATTATCGAAATTTACGAAGCCGCTCATTTTTGACTCTGAATATTGAGAATCTGGGGTGTTTGCCTATAGGGTTTTAAATACCCTAGACAATAGATTGGTGCCTTGTATGCAGAACACATCGAAGAAAAGTTCATAGGAACAAATTAAGTTAGTGGTATTCAGACACTTGAAATAAGATGTCGACTTCAATATTGCTTGTTTCGAAGTTTTTTAGTAACGAACAGAAGCTTCAGTTTGCTGAAAATCTTGCACTGGAGCTTGAAAGCCTGGAAAATGCTGCTATTCTCAGCGACCTCATCGCGGAGCTCGATGCAACTACCATTGACAAGATTTACCCACAACTTCTTAAATTTGCCAGTCAAGCCTCTTTCAGTGACGATGCTGCAAAGAGAGACCAGGCAATTCTGTTTATTTCGCAGTCTCTGCGACTCTGTAACGATATTCTCACTGTTTTGCACAATGAATTGAATCAGGGCATCACCAGCCATTTCAGTTTTGTGACGGGATACTCTGACTATGTCATTGACGTTCAGAGTAGCAATGATAATGAGGCTTCGAAGGAAACCATCTTGAATTTGTTTGAGTTTTTGTCCTTATTGTACACTAAAGTGGAGATTCCTCAGAGTGATATGGCCAGCTCCACCGATCGCCTTCTCTGTCTCTTTTTGGGCCATAAGGACGACGAGATCTCCGGCTCGTGTTCGAAACTCATGCGATGGAGAATCAGGGCCGTGATCAATGCTTGTAAATCTGACGAGACCAGGGCTAAATACTTGTGGGATATAATATTTCAGTTGATCAACACTGGCAACTCCAAGAGACAACAATTCAATGCATACATCATGTGGCTCAGAAGTTTGAATACGGATACTGAAGGATTTAAGATCGACAATTACTTCCAGGAAAACGTCATCAACCAGGACTTCTACTGGGAGGTTTTGCAAAAAGGTTTGGTGAGCAACTCGCATGAAATCAGAAAGTTCTGTTTGTCTATTCTTCAGCTCTCATTAAAATCGATCTCCAGGTCATTTGTGGTGTCTATTTTATCTTGGGATGTCTCCAAAGAAAAGAATCTTTTCACCGAATGGAGCAGATATACCACTCTTTTTGAGATTTTGGGAATTGACACCTCATTGCACCAGACGCAAGCTGCGGTCAACGACATTCTCGCCTTAATCTCCACCGATTCTCTCATCCATCCCTCGTGGGGCTTTTGTCTTCTTTCCACAGGTTTTCAGGCCTCCATGGACTCAGTGCGGAAGTATTCCTTGCAGATTCTTCTCTCCATTGAAACTAAGAACTTGCAGTTGATTCGTCATGCCCTTCCATTTCTTGAAAACACATTCTTGCCATATATGATGCTCTCGCGTCACTTTGCCGTGAGACAAGTGAGCTTACAGTCCAATGAACTTCAATGTACTTACGGCAACAAATTCAGCACCTTCTTATGTAATATCATGTCCAGTTTACTCACTGATGAAGATGCTCAGGAGGTTGCCCTCTCCATTCTTAGAGTCTTGGACAGTTTCAGAGAGAGTTTCGATGCTGTGAAAATCTATACTACTTTGGGATTACTCAGAGGCTTACATGGTAAAAGGATATTACAGTTTGGAATCCATGACAAGTTGATTTTGAGGTTGTTTGATAACTTTTCGGAAGGTGAGCTCTATAAAACGACGGTCCAGACATTGAACATCAAGCTTTTATTACATTTCAAGCTTGAATCACTTGACCAATTCGTCGAGATCTTGTCTCAATTCAACAGCTTCAATGGATACTCCATTTTTGTCAATCACATTGAGGAAGTTGCAAAGTACCTTCTGATTTCCGGGTATTCAAAGAAAGACTTGATCGATTACTGCCTAAAAACCAAATCCCACGACGCAACGAGGATATTTGTATGGGCGGTCACATCTTCTGTATACGGATTGGATGATCTGGTGACTGAACTTTTACTGACAATGTCAGATGGTTTCTTGGTATCTCTCTTGCGAAGCGGATTGAATGTTGGAGCGTTTTCATCAACACTTTTGGAACGTATAGATAACATTATCAAACTGGCCGCTAATAATGGCCTTGACATGCAACTGTACGCCGTGCTTAGTCAATGCAAACTTACTCAGATCCAACTTTCGCTGATCGACATTTCGACTCTTTATAAGTCAATTGTGAATGATATCCAATCGGACGATTACGGAGTTCTCTCTGGATCATTTTCCAAATTCAGTTTCTTTAACAACTACGTCATTGCTTTTGGCTTCAATGATCTTAAATTGGATGTTGAAGAGCTCGCCAAATTGAAGAAGCTCATTTTCAACAATTCCTCTAACTGCTCTAAAACCGTCACTGACTTTTACAAGTTGAAGGATTCAGTGATTGGTGAATATCATCGTCTTCTTGCTGCATACGTGAAAGCCACAAAAATTTCAGAGAATGACTTCTCTCAGATCTCAGAACTTTTGAGCTTTGGTTCAACCCATTTCTGGACATTGCATTCCATTGGTGAGATCTTGAAAGAGGTGTTTGATCGCAGACTTCTCTCTGACAATTCACTAGACAAGACCATTATGGGCTTGTCTGAATCCATCGTCGAGTTAAACTCTGAGAGATTTAAGTTGTCCGATAAAGAGTTGCATGCTCTCTTAATTGAAGACATGCTTCATCCATTTGTTTTGGAGTCAACCATCAGAATCGAATCTACCAACTCTGCAGTTGCCTCATTCTGTCGGACGATGTTGGCTAATTCGCAAGGTAGACGAGGGATTTTGACTCGTTTGATGAAGGCTCTTTCAAACTTCCAAGTCTCCAACTCCAGCCACTTTGAACAATTGCCATTCATTCCAGATTTCTTGATCCGTGCCTGTACTCACCGCCAGCTCCAGCATAGTGCATTCAGACTTGAAATTGTGGTTGGAATGCTCTACGATGAGGAGTTGAGCCCCAATTCTTCCAGCATTTATCAAAATGTTTACGGCGTGGACGAGGTCGCAGGGAAGATATGGACATATGCTATTTTGAATTCCATCAAGACTTCAGCCTGTGCTCAAGCTATTATAGATGAAATCTTCGCTGAGGATGACGAATTTGGTTTGTTTAATATTGTCAAGACCACCGACGGAGTTGAAGAGTACACCAGAACTCAACTCATGAAAACTATCCTTTCTGTCGCTGATAAAGTGGATGTCGAATACTCCATTGACAAGTATCTCACTCACTACATTTACCTTGTGGAGAACGATCCCAGTCCACTAGTCAGAGTGTACACGGAATGGTGCATTGCTAATCTCTTGTTAAAGAAACATCTGTTATCAGAAGAATTCTTCCATAGGCTCATTCCGTCCCTCGAAACACACGAAATGAAGCCAACATTGGTGACTGTTTACGAGAGAATCTTGTACCTCATGATTCAGTCCATGGAGAAAGAAGACGAGATCAAGTACTTGACCAAACTCATCACGATCATTATTCCAGCTGCATCCACCAATAAGGCTATTACTAGACACTTTTCAATGTCGTTGGCTACTTCTGTCTACCAGGAGATTCGCAACAAGGGCTTAGTTCTTGAGCCAAGTGTCAACTCTATCGTGGACAATATGTATAAAAGTGCATTGGCCTCCGATGCATTTGGCCAACACAGAAGTGGAGATGCTCTTCTCTGGGACATTGTGGAAGACTTGGATCTCGTCAATATTTCTGGTGGTCTCCTTCTCCGTTTGTTTGATAGAGAAGTGGAGTTCCTCACTCAAGGAGAAATCGCCAAATATTTGAACCAAGATCAGGCGGCATTGCTCACGCATCCAGTGGGGAAGAACAAACATGAGCTTTGGGTCAGCGAGCTCAAATCAGACAGAAATACCGTGGCTGCGCTCCAGGAATCAAGTGACATTTCTCAGTCTCCTCTCCAGACCAAGAGTGGGGCCTGGAGCACAGTCATGGATGTGGATGAAGGAGGCCCTGAGGTTGTCCGGAGTGATTTGATTGTGGTGGCATCCTTGGTGGACAAACCACCCAATTTGGGAGGAATTTGCCGTTTATGTGACGTTTTGGGTGCTGGAACGTTGACCTTGCACGATTTGAAGGTGAAGAATCATCAGCAATTCAAAAGCGTGGCTGTCACCGCAGACTATTGGATGCCTATGATCGAGGTCAAGCCCGAGTCAATTGTTGAATACCTCCGGGAACAAAAGGCTGGTGGATATACACTCATTGGATTAGAACAGACAGACAAATCAGTTGTTTTGGACAACAAGCTCCAATTCCCCAAAAAATCGTTGATCTTACTTGGAAGAGAGAAAGAGGGTATTCCTGGTGAGCTTCTTGCTGAGTTGGATTTCTGCGTGGAGATCAACCAAGTGGGAGTTATCAGATCTATGAACATCCAGACGGCCACGGCTGTCATTGTCCATGCTTATTCGACACAGCACTGTTGAAGTAATTCATTAATATACATATCTAAAAAATTGCGCCCTCCTCATCCTGCTCTACCAAGGTATCTAGAGCTTTGACCACAGCACCACAGTATTTCTTACACATGGCAACCACCTTAGGCAAAATGCGAGCGTTAAAGCCTTTGAAGTTGGTACTGTTGGAGTTCGTAGCCAAGCTCATATTGAAAATAGGCGTGATTACCTTGTTATCGTACCAGGCCACGAGCAATCCGTTCTCAAGTACCTGTTCTTCCTCACTGGATGGCTCCATGAGTAAATTGTCTCCTACTACACCTATGGTGACAAAAATTGGAGGCTGGAAGTGGTCCATTTTGAACACCTTAGACAACAACAAGGCCTGGTCCCAGTCGTCGGAAAATGTAGGCTGTTCTTCGATCTCTGCATCATCGACATCAGAGATAAGAAGAGGCAATTTAGTAGACTTGAGAGCCAAGTAGGCTGTCAACGTCAACAATGTGGATGGATGGCTCTGATGGCTCACCACAATGCAGTCGATGAACAACTTATAGGCGTATTTGGTTGTGAGATGCAAGTGGGAAGTTGGGAAGTTCTTTATAAAAAGATCCGTCATGGAAAACTTCAAGTCGGACACGTAGTTGGAGTCATCACGAAACCCAGAGACGTCAATGTCACATTCAATCAAGTTAGGCTCCTTAGCAATCATAACCACCTTGGATTTGACGCTGACAATACATTCACTTCCATCGGCCATTCGTATTCTGGCTGAACCATTTGAAGATGGAAGAAATGCCGTGGTGGCCTCTACAGGCCTGAACTGGAACTCCTTACGGCCATCCGGACGAATAGGAGGCGACTGGACGAGCGAGTCGTATAGATAGGACCTCTCAGCAGGGGATAAAATCATGACTGGAGAAGATGGAGTGGTTAAAAAGGTCCTGCAGAGTTTGCGATGGATGTGAAGAGTATAAGAAAATGGAGATGAAAAAAAAGGTGTTAGCGGAAGAAATGATATGAATGTATGGAATTAGGGAGAAGAATAGTTTGAGAGAAGATCGATTTTAGTGTAATTAATTATATTTTCGATGGTCCATGGTAGATTTGGTGTACTGAATTGATCTGGTATACTGAATGTATGAAATTTGTAAGTTGATGGGAAGATAAAGTTGACAACCACATTAAACAGTAAAAGTCAAAAACTGAAAAAAGAAAAAAAAACATTGTTACTTTTTATTTCTATAACACAATTGAATTTTCACAAATTCCAATTCTTCCCACAATTTGCCTAATAGATCCAACCTCCAGTCCTACACCATCACCATTTCTAACTGCGCACGACCCCAAACATCGAACTCAACCACCTCCTCTTTCACATCCCTCCAATGGCCGAACGCAAGGACCCCACGTGGTTCCAGACCTCGTCACTGCGAGTCATTCCAAACCACCTTGTTTCCAAGAAAAAACCAGGCTTCCAAATCTCTGCTGTAGCCAACAGCAAGAAGGATTCCAAATCGACGTCTGGATCGTCTGGGTCGTCATCTGGCGGGTTCAACGCCACAGACTTCAACGTCATCACATTTGGAAATAGACCACATAGAGCCAGCTCGGCCAGCTACGCAGACACACTGTTGTTCCTTCAGGACGCAGACAACACTACCGTCAACTACGACAATGACGATATTCCGTTGTACAATAACAGCGATGACGTGCCTCCATCACGCTCTATGTACGACTTAAACGATGAGGTCTTCATGTCATTGAACAAGCCATCTCAGCACACAGAGTCCTTCATCAATAAGGATCCAAAGACTTTTAACAATTTGTTCGCCAAGGCCGACGATAAGTCCAATACTGCAGCCGACACCGATTCCAAGATCTTGAAAAACCCTTTACTGAACAGCGAGCTGGCCATCTTGGTGTTTGGGTACCCAGAACTGATGGCAAACCAGGTGATTGCAAGATTTGCTGAATTTGGTTCGATTTTGGAGGATTTCGAGGCGGCCAGATCATCTAAAAACTCCTCAGAAGGGCTCCTAGGCATGATTCAGGCCACGGGAGCGTTTCCTTCGGCAGCCCAGGACACTGTAGTGGAGCATGGGCCCCCTCCTCCTATTTTCAGTGGTAAATCTTGGGTGAAGTTGACCTACGATAATCCTTCGTCCGCAATCGACGCCTTGCAAGAGTCAGGAAGCGTATTCAACGGGTGTTTGATCGGTGTGGTGCCATACACAAGAGATGCAGTTGAAAAGCTACAGAGAAGAAAATTGACTTCAGTAGAGGACATTGGAGGCGGCCTTCCATCGTTGGTCCACTCCGAATCCAGTAAGGTCGACAATGGCGTCATTGGCGACTCCAACGACATGCAAGCATCCTACATTAAACGTCTTGACATCAAGGACGGGTCGGAGCTCTTCTTGAAAGCCAATTCTATCAATGGAGATCCCTCTAAGGGCTCAGCAAAGAAATCCGATGAGAAATTAGGAGTTTGGGGCACCATCTCCAACTACTTTTTTGGGTTTCACGATTTGTAACCGATGTATATTAATCCACATATTTCTGCATTTTACCGTACTGCTTTTGATGTCACTAGCGTCATTGCCATCTCCTTTTATTTGGTGAAGGGCTCCTATTCGGGGATCCTGGCCGGCTAGAGTAATTTCTTGATGGAGATAACTGCGTTCTCTGACTGAAACTGGTATTGTAAGCGTACCGTGAAGGAGTTTTTGAAGGCGAAACTGGCCTAGAAGTGGGACGTGTGAACGTATCACGAGTAAAAGTATCATTGGTACGCTGAAACGACTCGTTGCCTGTTCTAGGAAGATACGGCGTTGACAGTGTGATCCACCCCAGATGCTGAGAGTCAGTATCATCAATATAACTGGGCCGCTCGCGCAGCTCAGCGATGGAACCGTATCTGGATCGGCCAGTAGAAAGAACATCCAAGTACCTCAGAGACTCACGCATTGGTGTAGTTGCTCTTGATGCAATCTTGTCTCCTCGGACACTCTTGATCTGTCTGCCATTGATATCGTGCGTGACAAATGCATTATCGTTCTGCAAATGGCCAACCTCGTCATCATGAACGGTCATTCTTGCCGAGGCTGAGGGTCCATATGTAGCGTCAACAATTGCATTCTTCTTCAACACCGATGTTTTTGGTATTACATACTTGCGGTTGTACTCGTTGAACGTCTCCTGGTAGATGATCTGCTTGTCCGAGATTAACAGAAGAAACTTAGAGGTGAGCCAGAAAGACAAGCAATTGTGCAATGCAACGACGGCGAGGGTCTTCCAAAGCGCCACTTCGGTTGACAAGAGCCATGTAGTGAAAAGTAAAAGCGGCGAAAATGTCGCAAATAAGTAAAGTTGGAAAGGAGACGGATCCCATACCTTGAGGACCCATACTTCCTTATTGACGGGGGCAACCTCGTAGGTCGTGTCCAATTCCGAGTCTGATTCCGTCTCGTAGAAAGAGCGTTCGCCAAAGTATGCCAAAAAGCGGCCTACAAGACCTTTCTCAGGGCTAAACGAGACATTTTGCTTGACAACATTTGAGCCTTTGGGCTTCGCGTACGATGTGGATGTATTGAGCAACGTGTAGCTCCGGTACGGGAACCAAAGCACATTAGTAGCATTAATGGCCGACGCCAAAAAGATCGTAACAAGCATGGACGTTAAAATCCAAGCCAAATAATGTGTCGGCTTCTGTTCATGAGGCACAGAGTACTCCACTCCATCATTGCCATATATGGCCCTGGACACCACATTTCTGTAGGTGTGACCATCTGTTCGGAAAACTGAATTGTCTCTGCGTGCATTAGCAACGATGTTGTGATTGCGGAGCTTGCACAATATGGTGAAGATCCAGTCTAAACCTGTTCCTATTGCCAAAGTCTGGGGAATATAGTCGTCCCAGTCAATGGAGAGGCGAGCTTCATTGATGGAGAGGAAAACATCGAACGGGTAGTTGCGGATCTTGTCAATAAGAGGCTGTTTTCTTATTAGTCTTCGGCGGCCCATTTTGATAAACGATGGAATTTAGGTCTTGAAGATGGGATGTGTTTGTTTGTTTGTTTTGATGCGTGCACACACCACACCATCAAGTACCAATTGATCATTTGTGTAGATTTGAACAAGAAACGAAGTCATATTGGAAATATAACTAAATGGACGCAATACGAAGTAGTAGTGACGAGAAAAGTGATGCTCTTCGCCAGAATTTGCGCCGTGTCATTGGCGGAATGGAAACGCTCAGACCTTATCAAGAGTCTAACTACTTTGATCAACTAAAGGAAAGTGTGCGGGAGATCCAGGCCACGCATTATAGTCCCAAGAAGGTGGTGAAGGGGCTTGGAGAGATACCTCCATTGGCAAATATTAAGGAGAAAGAGAGCGGTGAAACAACCAGCTTAAAGAAAGAGTATGAAGGATCCAACCAACGAAAGAGTGGCTATGGAAAGCTGTCAATTCTTCATGGAAGTCGACATAACGAGCCGCCAAAGAAGGCAAACGTTCCTGAATTTGCAATAGTACCAGAGTTTAAGAAGAATCCAGAGTTTGGAACAAAAGTGCCCAATAAGATATCCAAGGCACAGCTGGCTAAACCTACTCAGGTACCTGAGAGAAAACCTAAGGCAGATGATGCTACATCTCGTGGAATCCTCCTAGCTCACAAAATTGACGCTCAGAGCGACCGCATAGCACAGCTAGAAGCAGAAGTACAGAGGATAAAGAACATCAACCATAAGCTAGAAGAGGCCAATCGGACTGCCCACCAAAATCTAGAACTACAACGGGAAGAAATGCAAGAACAGCTTGCCAGAGCCCATTTGGCCAATCTTGAGCAGATGTTGAAGGCAACTGGCGGGTATGATAGAAACGAAAATTATGGTGATGATGATATTGACGTTGACGTTGACGAAGATGATAAATTCAAGGAATGTACTCGCCATGGACTCACTAGCCACAACACGCCACTCACTAGCCACCAAGGCAACAAAAACACCAGCCTCGGGCCAAGCATCATCAGTGGTGATCGTCATCAAAACAATGACAGTCGCCACCGAATCAGCCTTGGTCTAAATGAAAACATTCACGTCACGTCCCCACATCACTCACCTCCACCATCATCACGTGCTGACGTCTACAAATTGCTATACCAACAAACCGCACGCAAACTTCGGGCGAGCATTCAAATCTCCGAGTTTCAAGCACGGACCATCCAAAAATTATCCAGCATACATGTCTCTACTGAATCCACCACCCAACTCATCAATGGCACAGTGGACTCCACCACTGCATTCCTCGGAACAACATTCGGCAGTGATGACTCCACCTCGGCACTCATTCTTGGCTCACACGACGTCTACGATGATATCTACCCAAAGAGGCGCACACCTCTGGCGACTCTAAGAGCAGTGATTTGGGCTGTGAGGTTCACCATCCGGATACTGCGCCAAGGGCACCTGCAAGGAGGCCTCCCAGTTATCTAACAGTAAAAACTATTTTTGAATCTTTGAGAGGTATTGGCGTTTTCATGTTGACAGCAAGGCGGCCTACTCCTACAAAGTCCCCCAATCTAATGTTGAACGACTTTCCATCATGCATTTTTCGTCGCGATCTAGGCCTCAGGCAATGGTCGCAAGTTGCAGGGCTCACTGCAAGTGACATCTCTAAACCAGAATGTGATGACGTAAGTTTGCCATACTGGCTAGCTGGTCTATATTTAGCTGTCAATGGATCTATTGACTACTTTTGCCGCTGACGATGATAGCAAAGCTTATGCTCACTTGGGGCTGGTGTTCGCATGGCAAAATTTCTGGTCTGGGCTGACCATTTATGCTTGAGAATATAATGGAAACCCGGGCTATACACACACCTTCTGACGTCTGATGCCTGATGGTTATATATAGCATTTTCTGGGGTAGTGGCCCTGGCACTATGACAATCATCCCCATTTGGGTTTACTATTGTTGATGTGCAAGCATGGAATATTTATCGGTGCGTTTCGCTCTGCCTCTTTCTACTTGGTCTCGTTTCACATCTTTCGATAGTTTGGCCCAGTTGCTTACTTGATCTTTTGCATTTCATTGAAACAATTTTCCATTTCGGAGACTAAGTCATTACTTTCTCCTTTTGGCTTTTTGATCTCAGGATTATTTTGCCCCATAACTCACCTTGGTCCACTTTGGAACTCACATACGTGATTACAAATGATGAACTCAGAAATTCCGACCATACTTGCGAATGGTCTTCCACTCTGCTCACAGGGTCCGGAAGCAGACCGCCGTTTGTCTCTCGATACTAGCATTCCAAAGTTACCTTCCATCCGCCTACCAGTGAAAAGTCCTCAGGTACTTTCTCCCACATCCAAATATCATTTCAAGGATCTACCGGAGTATGTGACTGCTGTAAATGCCTCCGATAGTGCGACTGTCGCATCGTGGGTTGATTCAAACGACGTCTTAATTGTGGATATCCGTCCATTCAACTTCTATTCCAATTCAAGGCTTAGAAACGCATACAATGTTTGCGTTCCCACAACACTCCTCAAAAGAGCCAGTTACGACTTGCAACAGGTATTCAACAGTACAAGCTTGCCCGCACAGTTGAAAGAGAAGGTCATAGCACATTCAACTCCCATGAAAGTACTCATATACGATGACTCTAGCTGTGAAGATCATGTCATGTTCTCAATGTACCAAATGGTACAGAAATTCCTGAAGTACGACTGTTTCGATGTCGCATACTTGAGTGGTGGACTTCTGCTGGTTGATTCACTGTTGGTGGATGCCTCAACCGCTCTGCCACTACGATCCCCAGTATCTCCGGTCACCCCAAACTCCGCAAAAGCTTCCAACGCTGAGTTTGCCAGCAGCAACCACGGAATGACCTCTAGTGACACATCAAAGGATACCTTGCCTCTTTTGTCAGGCTTTACATTGCCTTCAGCAACAGCATCGAATCAAAAATTCATCATGTCCATGAAAAAGGACCTACCAAAACTTGATACCAATGTGAAGTACAACTACAACTTCCACCTCCCAGAAAAATTCGCCGAAAAGAAGGATAAATTGCCTAAGTGGCTCTCGTTTTTCGCCGAGAACTGTGATGAAGAAGACTACAGCAAGAAAATTGTGGAGAAATTGAGCGAGAAGTTTAATAAGATCGAACAAACCGAACAAGTCCGGTTAAACATGGCAATCTCCAATTTTGATGAGAATAACAAGCGGTCACCGCATTACCATTCATGCTCTCCAAAGAGCGAAAGTGTCACTCCGCTGGCGATGTGTCCTTGCTGTGATCCAATCGACTACAATATACCTAAAGGCATAGAAAATGGTTACAAGAACAGGTACAAAAACATCTGGCCTTATGAGCATTCGAGAGTGCGGTTGATTTCCTCTCCATCGTGTGCCCCGAAGAAGTCCAGCGATGATTACTTCAATGCTAATTACATTGACTTTGACAAGTTGTCACTGACCAAGTACATTGCTACCCAGGATCCTTTGGAGGCCACATATGAAGACTTCTGGAACACCGTTTGGTATAACGGTGTTAAAGGTATTGTTTGCCTCACCATCCCACTGTTATTGGCTCCACAGACGTATTATGAAGGTAATCAATTCTACTCCAAGAGCAATCTAAATATTGAAATTGGCGACCCGCAGCAGTTCAATGGATACTCCATGCGTGAGATCACCATGAAGAAGAAGGAAACCACTCGCAAGGTATTCCATTTTGCATACAGTGAATGGCCCGACTTTGGCACTCCCGACAACCTCAGCTCCATTTTTGAAATGTTGAATAAAAAAAATGAAAAGGTCGAGACCTTGAGCGGACAGCGACCACCAACAAGCAAGGTGCCCAAGCCCTGGGAACTACTCGTGCACTGTTCTGCTGGATGTGGTCGTACTGGATGCTTTATCACCATAGACATGGCGTTGGATTGCTTCCTGGCCGAAGACCGTCTCAACCGTTACGATCCATGGGGCTATGACGATTTAGTGTATAAGAGTGTGCAATTCCAGCGGCAGCAAAGAGTTTCCATGGTTCAAAACCTCGACCAGTTTGTGTTTTGTTACGAAGCTATCATGAACTACGTTGTGGAGCACCTCTTGTAGATGGGTGGAACTTTGGCGCCCTACATATGATGTCATTGCTCAATAGTTTTCAAACCTCTTACGTACAACGAAATGAATGACATAATTCCCGGAATCCCATTAGTTGCTAAAAGTTACAGTCCTAGTGTCCATAATTCTGTAACCTGTTAGCAATTTCTTTGACTTATCCGTAATTCGTAATTTCTTCACATTCAATGCATCCACATCATCTACTCTATGCCTTCTTCACCACCTGCACCCAGCTTGTCACCAAATTGAGTAGTAGTATGAAACTCACATTGAAACATGGAAAATGATATAAACAAATTGATGTATCTCATGCTGGTAGTTGGTAAGAAGAAAAGGCATTCGTCTCTGAGCTACGAGAGCTTGGTTTTCCATGATCAATCAGATAATTTAACCATGATGACCTCAACCTTGCCTATTCAAGAAGACACCTACCTTTGTGAGACTACTCTAGCACAGCAGGAGGCAGAACAAGATACTAGAGACGTTTACGAGCAATTAATAGAACAACTGCATGGTTCTGTTACCGATGCACCGCTCAACGTGGACCGGCACCTCTCATATATCGAGAAATACCTCAATAAACCACTCCCCGGACCATTCTATGTGCTAGACTCCAACCATTCATGGATGATTTACTGGCTTTTGAATGCTCACAGTGTTCTTAGTGGAGAGGATGTGTCGGCTGAGATGCGGACCCGGGCATCGGCGTCGCTTCGGCCACTTATAATAGATAATGGTAAGGGAGGAATTGCTGGAGGACCCAATGGCCAAATCGGCCATGTGGCACTGACATATGCGGCCGTTTTGGCATTAGCACTCATTGAGGACTACGACACTTTGTCAGAAATCAGAGAAAACTTATATGGATGGCTACTCTCGTTGAAACATCACGATGGATCGTTCGCAATGCACTTGGGAGGAGAACGAGACACTCGATCTACGTATTGCGTTCTACTTGTAGCATCACTCTTGGATATTACTACCCCACAATTGGTGGAAAATTCACAGCGCTGGATCCTTTCGTGCCAGACATTTGAAGGAGGATTTGCTGGAGTTCCAAATGCCGAAGCTCATGGAGGTTATACATTCTGTGCCTTAGCCTCTCTCTTTCTATTGGGCGATATTGGAACTTTAGATGTGGATCTTTTAGCCAGTTGGCTTGCTGCTCGCCAGCTTCAGGTGGAAGGAGGATTCTCTGGACGAACTAATAAGTTGGTGGATGCATGCTACTCATTTTGGGTGGGTGCTTCTCTCTGTCTAGTGGAGTGTCTTTGTGATCAAATTGACTTGTTCAATCGGGATTCGCTCCGGTCGTACATACTTAACTGCTGCCAGGAAGAGTCTGGAGGCTTGAGAGACAAGATTGGCAAGAGTCCTGACTTTTATCATACTAATTATACCTTGTGTGGGCTTAGTCTTGCAGAGCACAAAACCACGAGCGACAAGGTGGATGCTTACAGTTTTCAGACGCTTGACCGTACTGAAGGATGTGCCTATACTGTAGGTATCAATCCAGTTTTCGGGTTACCTGTAGGTACTGCTGAAAAGTGTAAGAGTCATTTCAGAGGCCAGTCAGAGTAGATTACACTTTAGTAATGATAATGAACAGACATTCGGTTAAATTTGAATGGACAAAGGATCAGAATATGTCCAAATTATATTTTATTAAAAGAATAGCTTAAAAGACCAAAAAAAATGCGATTTCTGTGGATCGAACACAGGACCTCCAGATCTTCAGTCTGACGCTCTCCCAACTGAGCTAAAACCGCAGAAGAACCCATGCCGGGACTCGAACCCGGAATCTTTTGATTAGAAGTCAAATGCGCTAACCATTACGCCACACAGGCGGTTCTTTTGATGATAAATTCGTGTGATTTTACTAGACTTATTAATGGTTCCGAATTTGGAATTTTTCCAGTTTTATGTTTTCCTTCTCTCTATTCATATCCTTAATATAACGATTTCTAATATCTGCTCCTCAAATTGGATTTTAATGATGTTGCCTACGATCAACAGCTGACACTATTTCTGAATTGACAAGCCATAGCCGCAACTTCAAAATCCCTTTTGAAACCCTTAATTTCTTTAATCCAATTATCTTCTGACTGTTTGCTTTCCCTAGCCTATCTTTTAAATTTCACTATAATATCCCAATGATCTTTTCTTCTTTGCTAATCTTGATTAGCCTTCCTGCACAAGCCTTAATACACACTCATGTACAAATTATCTACCTTTCCTACTACTACCATGAACTGGCAAAGCTCGATATTTGGCTTCCGATTAGGCAGCCAGGACAATTCTGAGTCCAACTCTTCGACGAATCTACCGGGCCATTTTCCCTCCGACCAGGAGGCTCAGAACCAGGGATCCTCAGCGAGAGTGACCTTTAACACCATATCTGGAACAGTCAACTATATTGTCATCAAACCGATCACAGTGATACTCACGATCGCATTGGGCATATTTGGAAGGTTTCTTTCGCTTTTATATTTCCGTGATCTGCTCCATGTGCGCTCCACGTCTGTCAATAATGCCTTGATCAATGATCCTATACGGCGAGTGGAGCAGTTTGTGCTGGATCTCGAAGAGAATCTTCTGCCTCAACAGCAGTTTTCAACTCACCATTCTGACCACAGTGTGGCGCTTCCTCCGTTCTTCCAAGGCAGTTACACTCAGGCATTGTACATGGCCACTAGTCGAGGTAAGTTTTTGTTTATCTACTTGACCAATCCACAAAACGATGGTGCTCTGTCCATTTTTCAGCGGATCGTCACCAACCAAAAGTTCATTTCGATGTTCACCTCAGACAATGACCAGAATATCATCTGGGGAGCTGATGTTACTAACCCAGAAGCGTATCAGTTGGCAAATAGCTTGAACATCACCAAATTCCCAGTTCTTGGGCTCTTGTGCTTGGCTAGAACAACCACTATGACCCCTGAGGGCCCCAAGAAGACAGCACCACGGATCTCCTTGATTCTGAAAATACAAGGTGGGCTTCCAGATGGGCAAGATGCAGATGCATTGATCTATAGCAAGTTTATCAAGCGTATGATGAAATACGAGCCAGAACTCGCCTTGATCCGCTCAGAGCTCCGTGAGAAATACATCTCGGACATGATGCGCCGTAAGCAGGATATGGACTACAACCAGTCACTCTTGCGTGACCAGCAGAAGAAGTTGGAGAGAGAAAGAAAGGCTCTTGGTGACAAGTACTTGAGTTGGAGGCAACCACAATTCTATGATCTCATGAATAGCAATGACCGTGTGGATAAGGCCAAAATCGCTATCCGAATGGCAGATGGCTCACGTGAAACTGTGCTTTTCCCCAAAGACGGGCCTATTGAAGATGTTTTCGTGTTTGTTGAACTCAAAAACAGAGGCATGCTAAATGACAGACTACAGTCTAATGTGAGCGTACAAGAGGCCCACGAGTTGTTTGACGACTTCCACATGTCTTTCGACTTCAATCTTGTATCTTCGGTACCTCCTCGGCCCTGTTTGAACGACTTATCTCCTCAGACTACCATCGAGCAAGTGGACTACATATACCCCAGCGGACTACTCATGGTGGATGCTAAGTAATCAAAAGAAACCCCCGGTGGTGTTAGTACGATGCGTTTATTAGTATGATACATGGTGATTAAGGCTTGGAAACCTTCGACTTCTTTGACTTTTTCTTCTCCTTCTTCTTCAACCCCACGAAACCATTCTTGAGGATTTGTGCGTATTCGTTCCAGAACTTGTCAAGGTTGGCGGGCTCCACCACTGTGGAGATTTTGCTCTTCTTATCACCCCTCGTGAATCTGATCAATACCGGGTATGTCTGTGTGTTGGAGACGAAAGTGTTTGGATGATTAACCACATTAGAGGACAAGTCGTTGATGTTGTCTGACGTTGCAGGCTCTAACGTCAGCGACAATCTTTTTTGAGTGAAGTAGACGGAAGACTTGCCTTCGTTGGCTGACAACTCGTCATTGACCTTTGATAGGAAGTCTGAGTTGTTGAGTCTGCCCATGGTTAGCGGAGTAGTAGAGGTCGAGGATTTTTCTAAAGAGTGTCGGCCGGCATAGAGGCAACGGAGAACGATTGGGTTGTGGCAGAAGGAAAATAGTAGTGTTAGTGGGGTTAAGAGGCGAAGCGAGGAAGAATTTTACCAATCAACTTGAACTTGGAGTAATTCAGGTAGTTTGATGTATTTTGGTGGATTCCCGACCTTTTTGTAGCCTCGATATGAGTGGAGCCGTCAACCTCAGTTAAGTCTCAACCTCAAATGATTCAGGATACATAGTCAAAGTTCTCAATGTTAATACTAGCGCTAATTTCTGTATTTGTTGATGTTTCTGTGATAACATTTTTTTATCCTGAAATCTTTTGTACTTGTATCTAATTCTCTATTTGAATTTTTTTCTCTTCTATCCTTGACTCCTCACGGCTTTTCATGTTGTATCTCCGTTTCGCAACTTTGACACCAAATTTCCGATCCAGGTCAATTTCCAACTCAACCACAAATTTCAGAAATTCTCCGTAAGTTGACCACGAAAGTAAAAACAAAAAAACGAAAAACAACCGAGAATCAACAACAAACAAAAAATAGAAAAGAAATCCAACCTCAAACCAGCAAAATCACCTATACCCTATTCGATAGTTGTGTTGCTTCCTCGTGGCTTACCATACAGTCCGGCCATGATAAGATAACGTCAACACGAAGTGAAATACACCAACCACACCAGTTTTTCCCAGTACTGATCCTTCCATGATCGAACCAGACCACGTCACGGGACGTATGGTGGCGCTTTTTGCGTCGGTGTTTGTGTCATTAGTGGCTGGAACACCTTACTTATACGGAGTTTATGCTCCCCAACTTGTTCAGCGAGTAGGTTTGTCTACTTCAGATGCTGCTACCATTTCTCTTGCGGTTAACATCGGAGCTGGGCTCGGTGGCTTGCCCGCAGGTTTATTCATTGACAAATTCGGTCCTCAGAGAGCAATTTGGTTAGGTTCAGCTTGTATCTTCTCTGGTTATTTCAGTCTCAATAGAATCTACTCGTTTCAAATAGGAAGCTTGCTTTTGGTGTGTGTTGCCATGGCTTTTGTTGGATTTGGATCGGTGACAAGCTTTTTTGCTGGGTTGAAAGCTGCCCAGGCAAATTTTCCTCACCACAGAGGTACAGCTGGTGCACTTCCAGTAGGTGCTTACGGATTGGCTGCTACACTTTTTTCGTTAATTGCTGCTAAATTTTTCAACGGTGAGAGCGGCAAGCTTTTGGCGTTTTTAGCATATTTCTGCGGCTCTGTGGCCTTTTTGGGGTCGTGGTTCATTCACATTTACGATCCTGTCCCCATCAACCTGGAAGAAGCCATCCTACTTTCGGATCTGGAAGATTCCGGCCATGCTCCCCGCATGAAGCGGTCCTTTTCCTTAAGAGGCTCCTTCTCTTTCTGGGGAATTGGTTCTCGCTCCCTGTCAATGTCGCTGTTGACAAAAGATCAAACTCCATTCATTGCAACTCCAAGTGACCAGCGAATGAAGAACCTGACTTCGATGTCCTCCATGAATCTGCAATTTGCTGCCTCCCAAGATGGTGGATCCAGACTGGCAGAATCTTCTCCCGTGTTAACGAGCCCTTCTACTTCGACACTCCAAGAAGTATCCGATCCCAAACCAGAAAGTGCGTGGAACACAATCAAGTCACTTGTCTCCAACAGAACATACTTGGCTCATTACTGCATTGTCAGTCTCTGCAGTGGAATGGGCCAGATGTACATCTACACAGTGGGATTTATTGTCACCGCACAGTTTAACTACCACAACACTGCTGACGGTTCTCCAGCGTCCCTCCAGGCCGTGCAAGTGTCTACAATTTCTATTGCTCAGTTTTGCGGAAGAGTCATTGCTGGTGTTCTGTCTGATTATCTTTATAAAAGGCTTAATGCCCAGAGACAGTGGGTGGTGTTAGGCACTATTTTCTTGATATGCACAGGACAGTTACTACTTATCCTGACTAATAGCATCCATACCATCACCATCATCTCACTACTTCTGGGTTGTGGTTACGGTCTTTTGAATGGCACCTACCCTGCAATCATTGCCGACAGTTTTGGTGTTAAGTCCTTCACGACAGCTTGGGGTCTCATTTGTTCCGGTCCATTGGTGATCTTGTTCACATTAGACAAATACTTTGGAATAATCTACGACAGCCAGTCCAACGAGTCTGGCCAATGTTTCAATGGCAATGATTGTTACAAGGGCGCCTTCCAGCTTGGGGTGTTGTTAAGCGCATTCACGCTTGTGGGCACACTGGCTTTGATGTATACGAAAAGAAGGTCTACGAAGCCTCAATTATAGTGCAAGTTATCATATATACAAGTTCCAAAAGTTTAGGAATACAAGGCACCCGTTTAATCCACAACGTAGATGCTTTCCAAATCGATATTTTCCACTGCGTTCTGTTGGTTGCTAACCTTGGCCAACATTTGCAGAAAGTAGCCACTACTAATTTCTGCATTCTTGATCTCTTTCTCTAGCTTTTCCTTCTCGCCGCTTCTCTTGTCAATGCTAGTTTGGAAGTTGTTCATCACCTGTCTTGCAGGGAAGTTCAAAACCAGTCTGCACTCTTTAGAGATACGGTCTGCATTCACATGGGCATAATCCAATTCGATAACCTGCTTTTTCAACCTTCTAGCCTGCTTTCTAGGGTAGGCATTTGGAATATCATTGATGAGGTAGAAGATAGCAAATCCTCCAACACCAAGAAGAATTGGGACAACGGTGTGTTTGATCACAGAAGGCTTGAGAACACTAGAGAATGTATAAGCCTTGCGAATCAACGCACCAGTGGTGATCAACTTCGTGGATGAATAAAGTGTGTGCAAAGTGAGTTGAGTAGGCAACAGTCTCTTGAGAGAAGCGACTGAAGTTGGGACAGAAGAGAGAACCAGGACCGGAGAAAAGTACTGGACCAGCTCCCTCGAGGAAGAAATAAATTCCTGAGGAACACCCAACCACATCAAAACAGAATCAATAGATGGATCAAAGAAGTCGGTAACTTCGATCAGATCGTTCAATTGTTTTTTAATTGTATCACGACGTCTTGTGAACATCAAGTCAGACTTGAACTTTTTGTCCGCTAGGAATTCATCTCCCAATGTCAGCTGTCCAAAGGTAATGATCTCTTGCACTGTGTTACCCGTAACAACACGGGCATTCTCTTCACTCTTTTGAACGGAAGACATAATGGTTTCAATCATTCGTCTCTGAGTTTCCTTGGCATACTCATATGCGTATTGGAATCCCAGGTAAGGAACAATTTGAGAGGATCCGAAATTCTCAACCGTACTCAAAATCTCCCTTCTCGTAGCATCATAGACTTGGGAGCATGTTTTCTCCATCAATTTGTTGATATTATCATTAACACGAAGAGAGTTTTGAACCATCAGATCATACTTTGGAGTGATGGTGTCTTTCAAGGTTTTATTTTTACTTTCTGCTTCCTTGAGATAAATCTTCTCATTGATCTCAGACAACGTTTTCAAGTCTCCCAACAAGTTCAAAAGATAATTCTTTGCAGGAAGGAGCTTGGAAATGGATCTTTTATCAAGAATGAACTTCCGGAGCGAAGCTTCCAAGTTATCAAAATTGGGGTCCGCATAATGAGGCTCGTTATCACCTGGGCCATCATCATCACCTGGACCGTCTCCACCGTCGGGAAATTCGGATAATGCATCCGACGAGCTCACAAAGTGCACAAAGTCCTTTGCATCCTTGTAGGTGTCTGGAGACAAGCTCTTAACCTGATCCAAGATCTTGTTCATGCACTTATTCTTGTCACGAATATTGTCAAACTTGTTGACAACAATGAAGACATAACGCTTTTCAGCTGCCGCAGCAGCAATGAACTCTTTGGCAGACAAAGTAAAATGGTTCTCTGAGTTGACAACAAATACTACCAAGTCAATCTCCTCTTGTCTTGAAAACACTTGAGTAGTCTGGTAAGAGTCCATGTTCAAGCCCGGAGCATCGATCAACTTGATGTCAATGACACCATTGCCCAACAAGCTCTCATCAGCCGTTCTGTATTCCAACACGTACACTTTCAAGAGACTGTACTTGTCACATTCGTAGACTAAATCCTCAAGCTCTTTAAGGGAGTGGGTTTCGTAAGTGGACTTGTCTCTTTGGTCATAGTCACTGCCGATAGTCACCGCATGCACTTCCTCAATGCCATTGTTTTCTCCCTTAGCATCGATAACTTCACAGAACACCGATGTACATGGTTGCTGGTCTTCAGGTAGCAACTTTCTTTTAAGTAACGCATTACAGAAAGTGGACTTTCCTGCGTTCAAATCTCCAGTGACAAAAACTTTGGAGGAAGTATCGTCCACACGATCCTTCAAATTCAAAAGGTACTTGACTTGCTGAGTCAACTTCTGTTCAAAAAGTCCTGATACAGACTTCTTATCCAAGGAGGAGATGACCTTGCTGTCATGACCCATCTTCAAATTGAGTTTCAAAACCTTAAAGTCAGCGGTGGTTACGCCAAAGTCGTCGTCATCATCACGGTCATCACCGTCTGGGCCCAAATATCCCATCTTGGCTTTGGCCACCGTTTTGGAGGCAAGGTCGGTGTTTCTGCGCACCAAAGCCAAGTGAGCTCTGGGAGAGTTCAACAAAACGTTTTCCGATTCAGTACTTTCAGTAGGAAAAAACACCGGTCTCTGTTTGTTCTCATCAGACAATTCGTATAGCAACTCAATGGTCTGGTTGATGGAGCGATCTAACGCTACACGGTTTTCGTTATAGTGGAGTTGCTTCATGGAAGCCTTGAAGGCAGGCGTGCTGACACTGGCCTGTCTCTGTTTTTTGAAGTTAGAGGCTCTGGATCCTGACGATCCTTCGAAAAGCGTAGACGATTCATCGTAGAAGCTTCCTTCCTCGGGCATGTACATCATGACTGCCGGATCACCATCACCAATGACAGTAGCTGCATCATCATCTTCGTGGTTGTCCGAGGACTTTATGCCGCCCACAGGGAGTTTTAGACGTTGGGGCATGATAGTTGGTTTTGAGTATTGTAGAAGGCGAGGTTTATAATGGCGAGAGGTGCACGGATGTCTGGGGTAGAGACGGCGGAAATGAAGAAGGTAGGGTGGAGGATAAGGTGAATTAAAGGGAGATATAGAAGAACCGAAAACCTTTTGTTGGTGTTAGTTTATTTAGGTGGCTTTTTCTTTATTTTTTTTCTTTCTCCGTTCTGGTGGAAAACATTTGAGTGGTGCTCATTGTTATTACGTTGAGGTAGATTGCTATAGGTGGCCAGTATGGTTGGAAATTCACAAATTGGAATTGTTGAAAGGGTTCTGAGTGCTTATAGCTCTTAGGCATTTATTATGAGTGGTAGTAGAGTATCCCCACCGATTTTAACCCTTATTCATGTGCTGGAAATTGTTAGTGTTAATCACTTAATTTCATCACTAACTGGTTCAGTGGTATGAATACATATTAGATCGATTGAGAGATCGAATTCCTATTTAAAGTATTATAAAATATAATTTGTGAGGACTTGCACCACAGAAATGATCATTCCCAACCATAAAACCATCCATGATGTGTGGAAGGTAGAAGTACTGGTGATGTGAGATTTGCACCCAAATGATTCAAAAAGTATCTTGACTACATACGTGAAGATCTATACGTGAGGAATCATTAATGGGGTCTAATAATCTCAATATCTATTTTCAATTCCAATAAACAATATATACTTTCAATCGTTACTTCCATTTTATCCTTTATCTAATTAGTTATCCTATTCGCTATGGAGATCCACTTTAAATAGAGCATGTATTGATTACAACACAAACTCACATCCAGAAATGAACCCCACAAGTTCTTATTTTATCCAACAATTTAATCAAAACAATATTCAGAAATTCATTTAATTTACCAATTTTCCTTCCCCCAGATCACAATACACCTAACCTGCTTATCAGTGATCTCCTGCAGGACACCGGATATGCCCGATACTGAAAGTTTCACCATCGATACTCAACTTAGTCATCCAAGAATCCCCCTAAATGCCTCTTAAAACATTCACAACTTCCCAATTTGGCACTGTGGTCGCCCAGCCGCTAACTCCGGAATCGTTTCATCCATACGGTGGAGTCATCAGTGCCGATCACCAGATCAAGACCGTAGCCTCTTCTGGAGCAAACTATGGAACAGCTGTGAAGATCCATAAAGTGGCTCCAATCGTGAACAATTATGCCAGCTGTCCCAGTAGGAAACCTGCAACAGCGAACTGGAACATTTTCAGATGCTCGGCTCCAAAACATTTGATTGCACCAACTTCTGTCAGCTCGAAGTCCTATACGTCCAAAGTGCTCGAGAGACATCCATTTTCCACACAAACATTTATTCCCATGGGCCAGAACTTGGAGAAAGTGTCATTTTTGGTGATTGTGGCATCTACAGACGAGTCAACGTCCCAGAAATTGCCAGACCCATCGCTGGTCAAGGCATTTATCTGCAAAGGTAACCAATCCGTCACCTACGGAGCAGGAACATGGCATGCACCCATGGTGGTCATCGATGAGACCATCCCATATATAGATTTTGCAGTTTTCATCCATGAAAATGGCGTTGCAGACGAAGATTGTCAGGAGTGTTACTTTGAGCCTGGATACACTGTTTCGTATCCTGATCCAGTCACCTCGAAATTATAGAAGATAGAGGGTAGAAGAACTCTTCACAATACCATGTTGCAATTTCATATTGGAATTTCATGTTGGAAGATCATGCTAAAATCATCGGAATACCACATCATTATATCATCTCCTAGAAATACTCAAGGTATTCCTCCACTAGTTTATCCACATAGTCCTTCTTCTCCTTATCATCTAATGCCCGAACCTTCTCCTTATCAACTCGCAATTTTTGCAACATACGTTCGAGGTCAAAATCCGGGTCATCCGCGTCTTCAACCTCCAAAAGTCCCTTGGCCATCTCAGGCATCTTTTCTTTCTTATGGGAAGTATACTCTTCCGGCTGAACTGTCTTCTCCATGTTGGACCAGTCGTGTGTTTCGAAAATCTCCATTAGACGATCTTTTCCAACCTTCTCCCTGTACTCGTTCATTCCACTTTCTTGTAGATTGACAAACTCAAATCCATTGGCAATTACTTGATCTTCGATTTCCTCTACTATCAGAGATTCTACCTCGCCACCTGCTGCCCCAGCAACCACAAAAAACGCTTCTTCACCTATTAGTTCTTTAATTTTCCCGATAAATTCAAGCTGCTTCTCGAATTTTTCCATGTCCAACTCCTCCATAGTAAATGTATATACCAACCCATCTAAAGCTTCACGTAACTCTACAAATTCGTCACTGGAGAACTCACTGGTCCATTCTTCCAAACAAATAACAGTATCCTTTTCCACGTCACTGCGATCATCTGGAAACTCTTCAATTAAAATGTTGAGATTGACGTTGAAGTACTTGGTAGTCAAATCAAATGTGTATATTAGTCCACTATGCGAGTCGATCTGAATGGTATGGGTATCGTAGTCACCAGAAATATGCTGCGCTAGACGGATTTTTCCCGATTTGGGAGCACCTACAACCAATACATTGTTTGGTGCCATGGTGGTGGTTTCCAGTAGTGGTGGTTTAAACTGGTATAGTTGTTATGGTCACGTGAAGAATACTCTAAGTGACAAGTCTACGAAAATGGGATACACCTTCTTAAATTATCTTTTCGAAAAACACTACTTTATTACTTTCGTTCCTAATTTTCTTATAATCTCTAGAACTCTTCGTATTCTCCTTTTGATCTCCTACAGTGTAAATGTTTATGATGGATATATCCTGCACACCATATATCCATACAAACTTCAACAACCAACTGCTTCTTCTCCACCATGGCTCCCATACGTGTAGAGGCCAACGGCACGAACGGCAATGGAGAAGCAAATGGCAAGGAAAACGACATTGTTGATACTGTCCAACTTGAGAATCTTTTTATTCGCGATGCCGACGTTTTTCAAACGTCCTTGAACTCGGAAGATTACCTCGATAGTTTGGCGCCAATTATTACAGATGCGCTAAAGGCAAATGCATTGGCCGACTTCATCTCGAAGCTCAATGGTATAGTGAAGGGTAAGGATACGGAATTGAATGAGTTATCCTTGAATTCCGCCCATGACATTAACACATGTATTGATACCATTGATGAGGTTTCCCGGCAATCGGAAGATCTCAACAGAAGCTTGGTTCAGGTGAACGACGTACTCAATAAGTCGGTGTATGAGCTTATTTCCAAGAAAAAAGCGCTCATCAAATGCAAGGATACAGAAAGACGCATCAACGATACCATAGTGGTCTTGAATCTCTGTAACCAGGTTCTTGAGATCGCCAACAAGATCCACGATTGGATAAACCAAAACAAGTATTTCAGTGCACTCAAGCTCATTGATGAACTCACATCGATTCATTTGGCCAAGGTTAAGGACTTCAGTTTTTCCGTCAAAATCCACGATTCCATTCCACATTTGACGAGTATGATCCAGAGAGAATCATTTGACAATTTATGCAAGACTTTATCTACACAGATCGAACGTAAAATTGAAATCATTGGTGACACGATCTTCCAGAATCTCGTCCAGTTGCAGGATAACTGGGAGAAGCTCCGAAGCGATCCTGCCAATCCAGCCTTATTGCCTCATCGACTTAATTCGCCCATTGAACAATCCATGAGAGACCCTTCGTTCTATCTTGATCTCTTTGAGTCTAAAACTCTTGCCATTCAACTCGGGCCTATCTACGACTGTATTTTGGTGTACCAGTCCTTAGGGGAAATGTCAGTTCTCACTGGTGCATACCATAAGGAGTGGATGAAGAAATATCAAAGAATTATCTATCCAATCACATTGTCGTCAAGCACCAACGAGAAACTGACATTGTACCATGAGCCTATCGTGTCATTCCCTGATCTTATCAGCTTGGAGGTGTACTTACAGAAGATTGCCGCATTCTTTGTTGTAGACAAGCAATTGAATACGAGAACGAAGTTTGAACTCCGAACCAATGCTACATCAGATGACTTGTGGGAATCTTTTGCAATTAAACTCAAGCCTGTCCTTTTGCACTTTTTGGAAAGATCAAAGTGGGGCCTTGATGATTTGGGTGCCTTGGCAGACTTCAAGGACTTGATTGGCAACTTCCTACAGGTTATGGAGAATAGCCAGTACAAGATTACTGACCTTTACGAGATCTTGATGTTGATCTTCAAAGACCACTTCTGTCCAATTTTGATCCAGCACTTCAGACTTGAGTTCTTGGAGTCTATCCAGTCTGATCATTATATGCCTCTAGTTGTTACCGCCAAAAACGATTATGACAGCGTTATGAAGATCTGCTGGTACAAGAAGGATGCCAGCTTTGCTCCCAAAAACATCCGCTCATTGCCTATTTCCTTCCCGTTCAGTGAAGATTACGTCCATTACTGTTTGGGAGTGAGAACACTTTTGCAAGATATTATAGATTTCACCAGTCGACACTACAACTATGATATGACTGAGCTTAATCGTATTATCGTCAACGATATCTTTGAAAGGGTTCTCGGTGATGAGCCTGGTGTGGGTATTTGTAATGATATCAAGGAATTCATCAGCAAAAATTCCAACAACAAAGAAATCATCGCCCAAAGCTACACGAATTTGGAATACTATCTCTTCAGTTTGTATGAGATGGGTAAGTTAATTGACCGCAGGTTGCGTGCTTATAACGGAATCGGTATCATCAACATTGACACGAACTCTACATTCAAGTTAAAAGCTATTGAATTGTTCACCAATGTGAGGAAGTTTTCTGAGGACGCCATTTTCAAGATGGTGGACGAGAAAGTCAACTCATTATTGGATATGTTGGAATACGATAACTGGTTGCCTGAAGCAAGAAATAACGATCCTAATTTCTTCATTCTTGACTTCTCGCTTTTCTTGGAGAATTTGTTCAACTCAATCTTCTCGAACTTACCATCTTCATTCCGCACCTTGGGCTTATTCAGAAGTTTTGACTTCATTTCCGAGTATCTTTTGAATCTCCTATATGATGCTCCACGGCTCAACCGAATTGCCGTGGAGAACTTTGATTTGGATGTGAGACATCTTGAATCATCCATGGCCAAATTGGCCAGTGATAGTGGTGATGAGCAAAGTGGATCTGTTGCATTACAGTCTACGTTTGCTGAGCTCAGACAGAGCATTGATTTATTGTTGTTGAATAACTATGATGAATTCATGAAGAACTCAACTTTCAGAATGAGAAGATTCGACAGATTGAAGTATGAGGACGCAATGAAACTCATAATGAAGATGCAAGTGGAAGAAGACCCATTGAATGCGGACAATGCGTCTATTTACGAGGTAGATGGCCCCAACAACTCAATGGGAGGACTCGACCGTGGAGGATCCATTCTTAGTGGATCAGCTGCTAAGTTTGCGAAGTGGAGTAAGTTTGGAAAGGAGACTTAGGTGGATTTTTTCCAGAACATAAGCTTGGACGTCCACGATTTAGATGTTTTCTGGATATCTTCACGAGCCTCACTCAAAGCCTGCTGCATTTCAGCCTCGAGCTGCTTTGATCTTTCGATGAGCAGCAGCTCTACCTGCTCGTACTCCAAGGAGTACCATAACGTGTTTAGAGCCATGAATGTGGTGGATGCTAGAAGAAAGGTGTGGAAGAGTGGATATCTGAAGTCACGCAATGTGGGCTTTCTTGGTTCAGGCAGTTGACCATCGAAGTTCTCGGAAAACTTTATAGAGTAGCATCGAGCAGGCACTCTTGGGGGTAGACGGGAGAGAGATTTAAGCATGGGTATCAAAAGAGAATAATACTTTGAGCATGAATTATATGATGGGTGTACGGATGTTTTGATCAAGTTTGGGCTCCATGTTGATTCATCCAGGAAGACCATCGTAATTCAGATGTGGAAAAAATGTGAAGAAAAATAAAGTCATAAATTGGCTACTGTTCTATTTTGCATATGAAAACTAACGATATTGGAAGTTTACTGGTTACTAAAGCCTAACAGTATCAAGATTATAAAGAAACGAAACCAGAAGGAACCAATAAAGAAGACAAGCGAGCAACCCAAACAAGCACCGCAAAACCGAGAAACCCACGATGGTCACAAAATTATCAATGGTAATAATCCCAATATCTCCTACTCCACATCTGACTATTCAAACCAACAGTCATGATTTAAAATTATTCATCCGTGATAACATCCTGCACAATACTCTCGCTTTAATGTGGCAACTCCTCCAACAATTCCAATAGCTTGACCACCATGTTCAGAAACAACTACGATAACGACTCCGTCACATACTCGCCGACCGGACGACTTTTCCAGGTGGAATATGCCCTTGAAGCTATCAAGCAGGGATCTGCCGCCGTCGGAATTGCCTCGTCCACGCATGTAGTGTTGGTGGCATTGAAGAGAAACGCCGAGGAACTCGGAAGTTACCAGAAGAAAATCATCAAAGTTGATGACCATATGGGAATAGCATTGGCTGGATTGGCGCCAGATGCGCGTGTTTTGTCGAACTACTTAAGAAAACTTGCTATGAACTCCAGACTTGTCTTCAACAGACCAATACTGACCAGCAAGGCGGCCTTGTCGATTGCCGACAAGGCACAGGAAAACACACAGCTGTATGGCTCTAGACCTTACGGTGTGGGATTGTTAGTGGCCGGATGGGACGAAACTGGTGCTCATTTGTACGAGTTCCAACCCTCTGGATCGGTGTTGGAGTATTTTGGTACAGCCATTGGTGCAAGATCACAGGCCGCCAGAACATACTTAGAGCGCAACTTGGATGACATCCGCAAGTGCACTCTGACAGAGGACCTCATCGTTCATGGTTTAAATGCATTGAGAGACACATTGTCTCAAGACATGGAATTGACTGTTAAGAACACCTCCATCAGTATCGTGGGCAAGGACCAGGATTTCATAGTTTATGACGATGAGGATGTGCAGCCTTGGTTGAGCAAGCTCGACTCCACTACTAATGCTAGAAACAACAACGACGACGATGAAGAAGAGGAAAAGCCCGAGGAGGAAACTACACAGGCAGAAGGTGCCAATCAGCAAGCCGACGAGGCGCCTGCCGAAGGTGAACCTGACAGAATGGACACCGATTAGTCTAGAATACATCTTTGAGCTACGAACTCCGCGTTACTATGTACATGTAGTCATACACCATTATTATGCGTCTGTCGACTGTTTCTGCTTAATTGCAACCTTCTGAATAGCACTCATGCAAGTAGCCTGGAGGCGGTTTACTTCTTCTGTCATTTGAGCCACATTGTGCAAAATGCCCTTTTCTCTCACATCTTCAACCTTAGACTTCAATTGGTTGATGAGTTTGTTAATTTCGTTCTTCTCACTTTCTTCCATCAATTCTCCAAATTGTAGAACTGCATTCTCTGCATCTGAACATAGAATATCCACTCTGGTGGCGTTCTCCACGTGTTTCTTATACTCAGCATCCTTCTCCTTGTTGGAGGCGCTCTTCTCCAAGATCTCCTTGATCTCTTGCTCTGAAATGCCTGTCTGGCCGGAGACTTGGACAGAAACGGTGTTTGGCTTACCATAATGAGGAGAATCTTTTGGGTATGGTGTCTTATCTGTTGCAGAGACATTGATGATACCATCTGCGTCAATGTCAAAAGAAACGGCAATCTGTGGTGTGCCCTTTGCTCCGTAAGGAATGTTAGCCAACTTGAAGTTGGCAATTAACTTGTTATCTTTGACCATAGGTCTTTCTCCTTGGTAAACACGAACCTCCACACCAGTCTGGCCATCTACTGCAGTCGAGAACACCTGCTCCTTTTTGACTGGAACAGGTGTATTTCTGGGAAGAAGTGGACTGAAAATACCTCCGTATGTTTCGATACCCAACGTCAAAGGAGTCACGTCAAGAAGAACAACATCCTTGATCTGGCCAGATAGAACGGCTCCTTGGATAGCAGCACCGAGCGCAACAGCCTCGTCTGGGTTCACGCTAGTATTCGGCTTTTTCTTGAATAAATCTTCCACAGTCTTCCTAATCTTGGGCATTCTTGTCATTCCGCCCACCAATATCACCTCGTCGATATCTTTGATGGACAATTCAGCATCACGGATGCATCTCTTGACAGGATCAATGGTCTTGTTGATCAAATGAAGCGTCATATTGTCTAGTTCATCTTCTGTGAGAACCATCTTAATATGCTTATCGTCCACAATGAACGGGATGTTGATTTCCGTCTCCTTGACATGAGAAAGCTCGATCTTACACTTTTCGGCAGCTTCTCTGATTCGCTGAACTGCTAATCTGTTGTCCGAGAGGTCGATGCCTGTCTTTCTCTTGAAGTCTTCAATGATATGTCTCAAGAGCAAAATGTCGAAATCCTCGCCTCCAAGATGGGTGTTTCCGTTGGTTGCACGTACCTCAAACACGCAGTCTTCGATTTCAAGAATGGAGATGTCGAATGTTCCGCCTCCGAAATCAAATACTGCCACCACTCCGTCGCTCTGCTTTTTATCGATACCGTAAGCCAATGCAGCAGCTGTAGGCTCGTTTATGACTCTCAAAACGTTCAAGCCTGCGAATTTTCCCGCATTCTTGGTGGCTTGACGCTGGGAATCATTGAAATAGGCGGGCACTGTCACCACTGCATGCTCGATCTTACTAGGTAGATGCGAGTCGGCGATCTGCTTCATTTTCTCGAGTATGTAGCCTCCGATTTGAGCGGGCGAGTACTTATGGCCATCAACAGTCTGCACCCATGCGTCTCCGTTATCGTTCTCCACAATCGAATAAGGCACGTTGAGAATATCTCTTTGAACTTCTTCATCAGAGAATCTCCGGCCCATGAGTCTTTTCGTGGCGAAAAAAGTATTTTTGGAATTCACTAACGCCTGACGTTTGGCAGCAAGACCCACTAACGTCTTGGAGTCCTTTGCAAATGCAACCACGGAAGGCGTGGTACGTCCACCTTCTTCATTCTCAAGAATTCGGGCCTCTTGACCTTCAACCACTGCCACTGCAGAGTTTGTGGTTCCCAAGTCGATTCCAATGACATTGTGGCGGAAGCGACGGGCCGTGACAGCTCTTAGTAAGTTTCTATGTAGCTTGAAGCTTCGAGAAGTTCTTAGCATAGCGAAGAGTATAATTTTTTGAGATTCTAGATATGATCGCAACCTAAGACTAATAGTTGGTAGTGTACATTGGAAAAGTTGGTTCAGAGCATTCGAAGGAGAGTCAAGATCTGTTATTAATAATTAATTCATTAGTTTGTAATTGTCATGGTATGTAATATAAGCTGTGATTGGCCAATTCTTGGAATTGAAAGTGTGGAGGTTTATTGTGTTTTCCTTTTTTCCAGCTATCAAGTCTGGCAGAACACACTGTACACTTCAACTTAGATCTCATTTCTCCACATTTCGATTAATTCGGACTGGTCATCATTTCCAAGTATGGGCACAAGTAAACCTTCTGAATCGACTTTTAGTCGGATTTGCTTGCTCCAATTATACTTCTTTCTGACTATCCGCCTGCAAGAGCCTGTACTCTCCATTATCAATTCTCATTTCGGTCAAGTAGAACATGCCCATGAAATTGAAGCCCTGCGACGTTAGAAATCCCTGTAATGCTTTGGGGGAGATGTGGTGTAAAAGCTCGATGTCCGATGCATCAAATGTCAGAAGCTTTCCATTATGTGTGTAAGCAAGAAATGTAGGATGTTCGGTGTCCGTACAAATGTCTACAATGACTCCGTATTTATCGCCTCTATCGTCAAATGCAATTAGTCCTTGCTCCTCGAACCTGCTAAATTGATGTGTTTCATGTCCCAGTGTCAGCTTGTCCATGATGTATCTTGTCCATTGAAAGTTCAATGGTTGGCGACGGCGAGCCATTCCTACGAAAAAGACCAAGTCATTTTCGACGAGTCCATTGAGATCCACAGTATTGTCGCTCAAAAGCGTTTCCATAAACTTTAGTGAGTTCAACCAGTAATCTTTGTCAACATTGATTTCGGCCACCTCTGAATACATGATGTTATCCATGTACTCGTCGAGATTGTTGAATGGAGTCTTGAAGGTAGTACACAACGCCAAAGCCTTGCCATAATCCAATCCCATTGTCAAGATTCTCTCCTCGGCTGGGTTGGCCAGTGGTCCGTTTTCAGCAACGAAACCTGTAGTGTTTGTCCTAATTCGAAGTCTGTACTTTCCAAACATGATCAAATGCTGTGAAAGTTTGGGTGTGAACGTGTGGATTTCCGAGCCAATCTGAAAACTATGCTTTTCAAATACCTCCTCCTGCAAGATTTTTGAGATGATGGCCACACGCAAGATTGTAGGTTCGGCGTTCTGACCATGGTACTCTCGGAGAACATTCAATCCGGTTGATTGGTCTGTGGAATTTCGATGTGGACGACGCTCAATAAGCCCCGACAATCTGTTCGCTAATGAGCCCACAAATCTTAGGAAATGGTGTTCATTGGCAAACATCAACTTCCCATTTGGAATGGGAATCATGGAGCGAGCACGTTGCTTCAATTTCTTAATCTGTGCGATTCTGACCTTTGAAAGCTCGGGAAAGCCAAAGTCGAACCGGCTCATTTCAAACAAAAACTTTTCAAAGTCGGTCCCATGCTCTGGCTGCGAGTTCTGAAGAAACTTCACCGCCATGTTGACGTTCTGAAGTTGCAAAAGTTGCCTGGTCCAACACATATGCGAGATGTTGTAGGAACCTGTGGTGTTTTCGGTGGCCCGATGGAATTCTTTCCGGTACTTGTCGGCCAAGTAGACGATCGGAACAAAGAGAGACTCGTCGATGGCAAGTTCTGAGAAGACAAAGTTAAGTAGATTGTCTATCTTAGTAGAAGTTTCTGGCTTTACATCATCTCCAAGTCCTTCCAAAGACTTCTGGATACGAATGAGGATAGCTTCAAGTTCCTTGATGGAAGAATATAGCTTGTCAATGCTTGTTTCTGTCTGTAGATCTTCGTATGGAAACTCATAGGCTTCCAAGGTGCTGGCAAAGCTGGCTTTCCAAAGTATCAGGTACAGATGTTTGTTATCGAGCACACGTCGAAGTCTATTGCATGTTTGTAGTAGATGTACATAATCTTCTATGGAGAGATGTATAAGTACCAAGTCAAGGATATCTGTGGGCAATTCCCACAAGTTCATGAGAACAGTAGTAGTTGGAGTTGGATTGTGGAGATGATCATACAGGAGAAGGTGATTTGGTTGCAAAACGTACGGGAACGTGATGGTAGTTCGATGACAGGGAAGAGATGATGTTGATGATTAGAGAAGGACATAAGAAATGTATTTCAAAGTTTTGATGGCGTTTAGTGGTAGAAACGCCTTAGCACTTCACAATGATGAGATCCAATGGTTACTGAGATCACGTAGTTGAGCAAATCTGGTTACATATTAGATAAAACAAAAAAGTGATCTGCAACGATTAAATAGGCAGTTAAAAAGTGGAGTTGAAGGAAACTAACTATGTAAGTAACATTGGCTTTACAATATAATAGATCGGTCGATAGAATATCATAAAGATCAAATTACTGAGTGTAGCATCCACTCAGTCAGACATTCATGATTTACATATGGATGTTAACATTCAAAAATTCGAAATTGAACATCAGGAGAATTTTCATCAAATTCCATCTCTAATATCTGTCATTTTCATATTCTTTTCCATCTTATCTTCACCATCCATCTCATCTTTACTACTCATACAGTACGCATCTAAGTGAAAAGTCATCTCCATCATGGGAAAAAGAAAAGCAGAGTCTGGCGGAAACAGAAACAAAAAGTACAAGGTCAGTGGTTTTATTGATCCAAACACTTCAGGAGTTTATGCCACTTGCAATAGAGGCAGAGAACAGGGATGCCGTAAAGAGTTGATGAACCTCTTTTCCGAGAAAATCGACCAGTGGTATCCAGGATGGGAAGACAAGGTAGAGGATGACGAAGAGGAGCAGAAGAAAGATGAAGAGAAGAAAGAAGAATTGTCTGTGGAAGAGAAAATCAAACAGGAATTGGCCGAGTTGAACGAGTCCAAAAAAGATAAAAAGTCTACCAAGTCTATTCTCCAGCCTATGGATCTAGGGTGTGAGTGCCTAGTTTTCATCAAAACAAAGAAACCGGTAGATCCAGCTGAACTCGTACATAGATTGTGTGAGGAGTCAGCCGCCAGTAAGTCCAAGAACACGCGGTATACACAGAAGTTGACTCCAATCTCATATTCAGTGTCTGCGTCGATGGAAGAGTTGGTGAAACTCGCTGAAAAGGTGTTAAAGCCACATTTCCATGCCGATAACCAGAAACCAGTAACTTTTGCCATTCAAGTCACTAGAAGAAACTTCAACACTCTTGAAAAGGACGATATTATCAAGACTATTGCCAATTGTGTGGGCAGAGACCATGGCCACAAGGTGGACTTGAAGAAGTACGACAAGTTGATCATGGTTGAATGCTACAAGAATAATATCGGCATGAGTGTAGTAGATGACTATCTTCGTTACGAGAAGTTCAACTTGCAACAGATTTTCGAGAAAGACATGGGTGGGGCCAGCATGTCCCGAGTGGCAGCGTCTTCCGAGGCAAAGTAAGATAGAATCCATACATAGCTACAAAATACAATGGTTACCAATGCATTCGTTATTAAACGTTAATTGCCGGAATACACTAACCGTTCCACTACCTTGACTGCATCCTTCCAGGCCAACCAATCAGCCTCGCTATTGGGTACTAAACCCATCTTATTTAACTTCCACACGCCAATTCCCGTGTTGGCCAAATGACATAGAATGAAAACAACCTTAGGCAAAAGCAATTCGTTGGCAATTCGGTCGTTTGTTAAGTCTTGGAATGCAGCACCTGTCTCAGTGAAAATGGCCCTTATAGGATTCCATAAGAGCATCAAAGTCATCATTATAGGGATCATCTGTAAAGAGTTTCCTGTCATATAACTCATGATCAAGTTCATGGGGATGCTTTTGGCGGGGCTGGTGGCTATTTCCCAAGCTTTCTTGACCTTGAGTTGATCCATTTCGGTTTCCGAAGGCTTCTTGACCGGTTCGGCTTTTTTGGATTTCGTAGACCCTGTGCTTGGCCCACCTCCAAACCCTGGAGGCAGAACGATATCACCAGAGGCCGGTGCCAACACCTTTGGGTGGACTAATTCGTTAAAGGACATAAAGAAGGTGAGTTGGTGGAGATTTGTGCACTACTGATTAGATATGAGGAGTTGGAGGAAATGGAACTGGTATGGTGGAAAGGGAAGAGGAATGATAGAGAATGTGGCAATTTTGCAGATATGGTGGTGTGGTTATTGAAAGAAAATGGGATTATTATTAATATTAATTTGTAAAGATAATGGGATTTCTACTTGGTTATGTTAGTTTGGAGTTTCGCAGTATTATCCTGATTGACCATACATAATTAGGAAGTTAATGAATGTTGCTAAAAATTCTTCACCTGGTTCAATTAAAATCGGAACATCAGAAAATGTCTAGAAATCAATCTCGATTAATACCAGTATCAGAATAAGTGTCAAATTCAGAAAATACAACGTTGGAAAGTGTCTAATATCTCCTTTCGAATCAGTTGAGAATATGATTACAAAATCTACATATCACCAGGTATTGAACAATTGCATTAGAAAACTATTGAAATAGAACTGCACTAGAAAAAATAACAATTATTCGTATTTGAATCCTGAATTATCCGAGAATACATCCGAAAGGAACGATCCCTCTTTCATACGTCCTGTTTAAGCTTGCGTTGTCCTTTGGTGGAGCAGTAGTCTTGTTTTGGGGAGTTTGAGCGGCCATGTTAAGTGATGCGCCGTTAAACTAGGAGAAATAGTAGGTTTTATACTGCTTACCACAACTTCTTTTTTTATTTCGTGATTGATCTACTTGCCTAATTAGGATGCCACAATACCTTTGTTAAGGAGGTTGCTGAATCATGGTCTGTTGATTCTCTAATTGGTAATGGCTGAAACATGTCTGTAGAATAACCAGAACCAGCAGAAAATAAGCATGGTGGTTAACATTATAGCAAGGAAGTTTTGATCCATGGGCACCTTTCATATTTGATAAAAAATTAAAAATGAGGGTAACTGGTGTACATAAACTGGATGCTACAAGTTATTCAGTGAACACAAGTAAACCAATTTTCGGTGAAAAGAAATTCATTGGCACCAAAACCAAATTGAAACGAATAAGTTGCTGATGATGTAATGACCAAATAAACGTCAGAGTGATTCTGAATGAACAGTCATACGAGCTAATGTCTCTTACAACGTTTCAATAATGCCCTGTAGGGCTAAATTCTTTACCTGTAAATTTATATCCTCTCAAATCTTGAAATCTCATGTTCTGGTAAGCGTTTCAATCTCCTTAGATTTCCTACCAATATTCGCAACCATAGTTACTTTACTCCTTCATCAACCAACTATATTGAGTAACCTTTCTCTCCTAAATCAGTTAAACCATTTAGACTACCTAGTTGATTTTCACAAAAACTTTCATAAATCACCACCTGACCAATTCCAAAGTTTACCTTCTCTTTTTTCACCACTTCTCATCATCACAATATCCCCAAGCCTCTATCCTATTTGAATCTACACGTGACCTCCACTCCACCTTAAAGTGTATCCACCCTTCTTCCCAACCATCCAATGAATTCCACACTAGATTTTAAGAAAAACCCGCTAAACAAAATCATCGGACTCTCAGTGGTGCTCTCCGTGGGCTTTTTGTTGGTGGTACTCGCCGGTGTCTACGGCAATTGGTTTCCGATCGTGGACGGAATCATCTTTGCTGTTGCGTACTTGCCGGTGATTATCACCCGGACAGCGTTCAATCTGAGCGACTACGACTTCAATTTCGATCCTCATACAACGTCGCAGACGCTGGTCATCAAAGAGTTTGGAATGTTCTTGTCTGCGGCGTTATTGGTGACGGGATTCTACTTGCCTATTTTATTGCATCACTCACTCATTCTTACTAAGACTGCGGTTGTGTTGACCATAATCGGGGGAGTGTTGATTTATGGAACGGTTTATACGTTTAGCCAGGTGTTTGATACGCCTGACGAGGAAGCTGACGATTTGGGAGGCGGAGTGATCTAGTGGGAAAGGAGAGGGGCGATGTGAACAGGTCAGAAAGGAGATTTAACGGAAGGAGAGGAGATGCAAAGTAATTGTCAGACAGAGAGAAGTGAGGATTAAGGTTTGCAATTGGAGAATGACGATACTATGGAAAAGTCACGGGAGAAGCGAATAAGGCGAACAAATAGTCATGAAATGGTGTTGAGTTTGCAATTTTAAATGGTTACTGTATTGCCAAATTGTCCTTATATTCAATTGCCCAATGATGTTCGCCCCCAAATTTCTTATTCTTAAGACTCTTTCAATTCTCCGCTCCGATATAGCCAGCCTTGGTGTCATGACAGCATAAGTACTAAATAACATCATACACATATATATATAAACTAAAAGTCAAAAAAAAGTCCTATTAAAATCTTGAAATCTCACAAAAACGAACTACGTTCCTTATTCATAACAATCTGTTAGCAAGATTTTTATATTCCTCCACTCTTCCTCCAGTATTCATGTCTGGTATCCCACCTTATCGTGGTGTACGGGTGTACAACAACACCAGTATCTCAACCTCAACTTCTTCACCTTCAAACATCATTAAAAAAAACATCAATGACGGTAGCAGTAGACCCAGTCTCCGTGGCCGAGCGCCAAATCGTCGCTGAACACCAACTTCGCGAGAAAGTCATCAACGAGGAGTTCAAAATCTGGAAGAAAACCGTCCCGCTCCTCTATGACACCATCCATACCCATGTCTTAGAGTCGCCGCTGTTGTCGGTGCAGTTCTTGCCCAACTACACGGTTTCCGAAAACAAAAACAAAATCTCGGTCCAGGCTTTGTTTGGATCAAACACCTCTGGAAGAGAGCAAGACCATGTGAAGTTGGTTCTGTTGGATTTACCTAGTACGCTAGCTCCAGACTTTAGTACTTTTGCCGTGGGTGACAGCATACCGATCCCTATGAATGGAGATGGTTTGGACTCGTTCAAGGTATTGCAATCGTGGAAACATCCGGGTGAGGTCAACAAAATCAAAGTCTCTCCCAACGGAGAGAAATGGATTACTTTCGATAATCAGGGCCTTGTCCACTTGTATAACCGCAAGGACGAGTCTCCCGTGGACTTTTCCTACCACACTAGTGAGGGGTATGCGTTGGAATGGGTTTCTGATATGGAGTTTTTGTCTGGAGCCAACGATTCTCGGATTGCGCTTTGGGATATCAAAGATGCCTCTAAGCCCCTCAAGGAATTCAATTCTCACACAGCAGTGATCAATGATATCAGCTTCAGCCCAGCCGCGAAGGTGCTCTTCGGTTCTGTGGCTGACGACTTCAACACATATATCCACGATCTTCGTTCACCAGAAGAGTCTCCCGCAATCAAAATCTCCACAAACCACATCCAGAACGCCATATCTTTCCATCCGCTATTATCATCGCTTTTTGCCACAGGCGGAAAAGATAACGTGGTGAATTTGTACGACGCCAGAAACACTAAGGAACCATTCAGAAAGCTCTTCGGTCACAACGATTCGGTGGTGGGCTTAACGTGGGACACTTGCTACGATCCCAACTTCTTGTACTCGTGGGGATTGGACAAGCGGGTCATTAACTGGGACTTGAGTAAGTTGTCCGAGGAAGTCACCTACCCATCTTCCGAAGCCTCTGAATCCAAAAGAAGAACCAGAGTTACTGAAGATCCATGTTTGGCGTTCATTCACGGTGGCCACACTAGCAGAATCAACGAGTTGAGTGTTCATCCCAAGATCCCAAATCTTTTCGCAACTGTTGGCGATGACAACTTGCTAGAGGTTTACAAGTCAAAGACACTTTTGGAGGAGGAAGAGGATGAAGAAGAGGAAGAGAAGGAGGAGGCGGAGGAAGAAGAAAAGGACGATGCTGAGGATAAGCCTGAGGCTAAAAATGAGGATGTTGATATGAAGGAGTAGATCTGTTTGTTGTATATTAAAAGTTGGAACTAATATGAAATGGATGTTGTAGTGTAGATGACAGACCTTGAAGAATAATCTAAGAATTTGATACTATATTTGAGAGTATACTACGATGAGAATAATCTAAGAATTTGATACTATATTTGAGGGTATAGTACAATGAGTAAATATGCAAATGGTGCCAAATCACAAATCGAATGTCCATTTTGACTTTTGCCTCAACTTTTTGCCAAACTTGTAGAACAAAAAGGGGACAGGCAACAAAATTAACGCTCCACAGCCCAAGACAGTTCCTGCCCATCTAATCCCCATTCTATCGAACATTTGCCTAGCAAAAAGTGGAAAGGCAGCACCGAAAGCAGAACGCAAGAATGCATTCCCGGCTAATGCAGAAGCAGCAAAAAGTAGATAGCAATCAACAATGTAATTAAGACATGGTAAAAAAATGAGGGTCAAACCCATGCCAATTGGAACAAGCCCAAGCGTAGGAACTATCCAATGGATCTTATCTGGAAAATCCCCTGTCCAACTCAACCAAAACATGCCAATAGGAAATAAGACACTTCCTACCATCATGGGTGGAAGTCTTTCCTCAGGAATGCCCTTACCGTCATTCTTTTCCATAGTGGTGACGTATCGCCTGTTCATGAAGACGCTGATGACACCTCCGGTCAAACATCCAATTAGCATGGCAAGATATGGAAGCAGATCGACTGCTTGAGCAAAATGGTATCTCGTGAAGATCATGGGTACTGCCGTTAAGAACAAGTAAAGTAAGCCATAGATAAAGGAGTTGTAGAGAGTGACCAAAAACAAAATGGGTTCGGTGACCAACATTAGAAGAGGACGAGTGATGTTTCTCTCACAAATCTCCTTGATGGAAAGACTTACGGTCTCATGAGGGGCATGGATACCCCAATTGCCAGTTCTTCTTCTCAATATCTCAGCTCTTCTAGCCAAAATAATTCCGTGATGAGTCTCCTCAAATGTGAGCCAAATAGCGATCAAAGAGACAGCCGCGGCTATTCCACATAAGTAAGAGGTCCAACGCCATCCCAAGTGAGGATTTTTCACGGTAAATGCACCCAAAATTGGGCCCAACATTGGCCCACCAAATATGACCATTGCAAAGTACGTTGTGGCCTTCCCTCGGGCTTTAGCACTGAACACATCAGCCACCGCAGCAGGAGCAACTACCAAGGGCGCAGCACCAACGAAACCGGCGAAAAAGCGACAGATCATAACAGTTTGAATATCTTGGGCTGAACCCACAGCAAAACAGAAACACATGTAGCCGAAGACGGACATCATCAAGATCGGCTTTCTACCATATAACTCCGATAATGGACCCCACACCACGGGGCCCGAGGCAAATCCAAAAATAAATAGCGAAACCCCTAGAACAGCAACTGTCCAGCCTACATGATAGAGCTCCATAAGTGGATAGGCAGATTCGGCAAAAAATGCTGAACCTACCACCACAGCAAAAGTGGCTACAACTGATGACAAACATGCGGAAATCTTCTTGTGCAACGGCCAATTGAGTGGATACTCTTCATCTTCAGGCTCATCCCATGCGACAGCATATGGATCTCGATCTGGAAGCATCGGTGGATACGGCTTCCCTCCTCCCATTGTCGGGAGTGGATCAGTGCATTTCAGAGCTTCTTCGTACAAGTCTTCTACACCTGAAAGTCTTCTACTCAATGTTCTGTCTATGTGAGACTGCGAGGTGTGAATGGAGCCAGTGTCTGAGTCGTTCCCAGAGTAACTGTTCGGTAGGTTTCCATTGAAAACTGTTGGAATCTCTTCTTGTAGAGAGTCTTTGTCACTTTTGGTGGAGTTATCAGGTGAGCTAGAGAGTTGCATCACGTCAAGCAAAGTTGCGACAAGAAATGGGAATACAAACAAAAGCTGGCAATCTGGGCTTTAAAATCCCGACAAAATGCTCGATGATGACTAATCGATAATTACATTGGGGAGGGGAGACGGTATATATAAGTAGGTTGTGAAGCACCGGCGGAATTTTTGTCACTTGGTTTGTAGGCAGGGCTAGTGGGTAGAAATTAACCCCACAAATGTCCAAGGTTTAAATGAGATCTGGGGAAAAGTTGGAGAAGATATACATATGATAAGGAGAATATGTTGGAATGTTTGTTTAATAATCTTGAACTTTTTTTAATTTGTATTCTTGATCAGGCTAATTGATAAGTTTCTGTATTGGTCTGAATCTCGGAAAGTTTGTTAAGTTTTCCTTGCCATTTAAGTAGGTATTCTCAATTTCGCCTTTTTTTATTTTTCCTTCCGTTATCTACTTCGCCGAGGCATAAACACACCAAGCCGAAGATGATCCGAAGGTGGGGAATCGGTAAGAGAAAATTGGAAGACGAGGTTTGAAAATGTAAATACTTGTAAAATATGATGGGATTTAGCGGACATTTGTTCGTTTGTGATACACGGCTGAAATATTGCGCATAACCTAAAGACAATAGAGTGATAAGATAAGGTAGACCATACGATTGCAGATAAGTTGTTTGGTGTAAATGTGGGGACCAAGAAAATGTATTTGGTGTTGAGTCTGGTTGGAATTGAGGAGATGGCGATGAACAGCGGAGGCTGTTTTACATTGAAGATTTTACATTGAAGATTCGGAGACAAATGGTTTATTCATTTCAGAATGCACCGTAAAATGCTTGCCTGTAAAAGCAGAACTAACTAATAAATCTTCTTTTTCTTTTTGTCAAATAATGATGTTTCCATTTCCTCCTCCATCTAGAAACAATCATCATTGCCATACCATGACGGAGTCTCGAGTGTATACATCTCAATATGAGTATGTCTTGACTTTCAGCTAGCGGAGGAAACAAAGTTTGAGATAAATAATTTAAGATCATTGAGTTCAACAACCCAATTTGACCTTCTATGAGCAGATAGCGTGGCTAAGAGGAAGCCTTGGAATGTCACGATAAGATGCAAGTACTATCTTTCAAATAAACAGAAGAATATTAGCTTCATCAAAAGATAATTTGAAAATCAATGAATTAGACTGCTGTCTCTACAACTTGAAATCGGCCGAGAAATTGATGTGAATCTTCAATACCACACTCATCCAACCCATATCCAATAACAGCTACCCCTAATGCTTCCGAAGCAACTACAAACAAATATAATTAAGTCAACAATTAATTATGAATTCCGACATTTGTAATCATCACCCCAATCCTCTTGTTTTTTCTCATTCAGCGTAACATCTCTTCTAACTATAATGTCTGCGAAAACCTACCAGAAATTCTATACCAACACAATGTACACCTAAACTCGAAAATTGAATTCCAAAAACCAAAACCTCTTAAAAATCTTTCAAATCACCCCTTTTCATCACAAAATCACCCCCCAACTTATCCCAAATCATCTCCTCCTATCTTCTCTCCCCCACACATCTCGTTCTTCATATAATTACATATCAAGTACACGTCCACACCATGGCTGATTCAATCAAAGAAGAGACACCCACGTCTGCATTAGGGTCCGATGCCGAATTCGATGCCGAGCTCGTCCGCAAAAGGAAGTCCAAGTCACCTGGGATCTTCCACGAATCAAAACGGGCAAAAGAATCCGAAGACATAGACCTTAGTGAAGATATCGCCAAACAGTTCAAAAAGTTCAAGGCCGCTCCCAAATACAACTTCTACTCAGAGGAGGTGTATTGTGTTTGTCGTAAACCCGACCATGGAGGTGAGCTCATGGTTGGATGTGACGGATGCGAGGAGTGGTTCCATTTCAAGTGTATGAAGCTCAACGTTAAGAACCAGAAGCTCATCGACAGCTTTTTCTGTAAGTTCTGTCAGTGGCAGGGCTTTGGAACCACTAAGTGGCATCGCAAGTGTCGTCTTACTTCTTGTCATAATCCTATCCTCAAAAACGAAAAGTCCAAGTACTGTTCGGAGGAATGTGGCTTACAGTACTTTAAGAGCCGTTTGACGGGCTCGGATGTATTAACTCAGAGCGATATCAAGGTGGTACTCACCAAATGTAGTGGGCACAATGATTTGACCAGAATGGGCCAGGAATTCCCCGAACTCCCTGAAGTTCGTCTGCTTGACATGGACAAGTTGCCTGGTGATATTCGCCAGGACCTCACCGATAGCGATACCAAGAAGCAAAGCATCAACGATCTTTTGGAGTTGGCAGAGCGGAGAAGCGAGTTTTTGGTGCAAATCAAAGAGAAGGTGAGACTCATCAATGAGAAACTTCAACTCAAGTTGGAACCTTCCGGAGACTCCGACGAAGTTAAAAAGAGCAAGAAGAAGAAGACAAAACTGAGAAAAGTGGATTTGTGCTGTTTTGACCGCAAACTTTCAGAGGACTCTATGATAGCAGAGTATGATCGAGTTTTGGGTCTGGAAAGTGTCTATGAAGCCTTCAAGGACGAAATCGATGAAGTCGTCGAGCACTATGATGGCGACGGGTCCGCGGACTACACGGGAAGCATGTGCTTGAGCGACAGAAGGAAGTGTTTGAGACACAACGGCTGGCTCAGTCTTTTGACCGACCAGGTGTGGAAACGGAAGTCAGAACTCGAGTTGCTGCTCGAACGCTTGGACCAGCATAAGGCAGATACCCTACGGGATTACAGTATACAGAAATACGAGGAATGTGTGGTTTGAAAAAAAAAAACTCGTGCTTTGGTGTTGTCTCTGCTATATCACTTCTTCATTCCCTGGATGGTGGCCACAATTGTTCTGCGGTGCATGTACTTTCTGAACTCGCACAAGTACACACCCTGCCACGTTCCAACAGCAAGTCGTCCGTTCAGAATTGGGATGGAGAGACTCACACCAACGGTGGAACTCTTAACATGGCCAGGCATGTCATCTGGACCCTCATCTGCGTGGATGTAGAAGTCTCCCTCTGGGACCATTCTATCGAGCGAAGCAGTCATATCCACGCGGACATCTGGATCACAGTTTTCGTTAAGAGTCAACCCTGCTGATGTATGCTGAAGAAACAAGTGTAAGAGTCCAACCTTGTAATCTTTGATCTGCGGAACGTTACGCAACACCTCGTCAGTGATGAGATACGAACCCTTGGAGCGTGCAGGGAGAGTGAATTTGACTTGATCCCAGGACATTGTGGAAATAAAGATGGAAATGAAGAATGAACACCAGGTTTTATAGAGGGCGATGTGAAGACAATGTTGAGCAACGATGCAGTGTGCAGTGGGTGCGAAACATGGATATGAATCTCGCAACTCCGAATTCCGTGTTTATGAACAGGATGGAGAAAACGGTCAGATAAGAGCGAAAGTGAACGAAAGAGAATTATTGAGAGATTCGCAATGAAATTGTGCAATTAGTTATACTCTCACTATGATTTGGAAGTCATTTTGTCTCGCATATCTAACCTTAATGTGAAACATTATTCTGTTCACTTAGTATCAGTATCTGCATAAATACATTTATTTTGCAATTAATGAATACTTCAATGTCACTCAAGGGCTACTTTGATCATCATATCAACCAAATACTCGAGATCTTCCTGAATAATCACATAGGGAGGCATAATGTATATCAACTTTCCAAATGGCCTGATCCATACTCCCAAATCAACAAATTTCTTCTGGATCTCGGCAATATCAACTGCTGAAACCATCTCTATCACTCCAACAGCCCCAAGAACACGCACATCTTTGATTTTCTTATTTCTCTTCATCTTTAGTGGAAGAAGCTTTTTTGTTAAGATTTCTTCAATCCCTGCAACTTGCTGTTTCCAATTTCCCGTCTTCAAAATCTCCAAGTTCCTCGTACTCACTGCACAGGCAAGTGGATTTGCCATAAACGTTGGCCCATGCATGAAACATCCAGTAGGGCCGTCGCTAATCACCTCTGCAACATTCCTGGTGGAGATTGTTGCTGCCATAGTCATGTAACCACCCGTCATGGCTTTGCCCACACACATGATATCGGGGCAGATTTGAGCGTGCTCGCAGGCAAAAAGCTTGCCTGTCCTTCCGAACCCAGTAGCTATCTCGTCTGCAATGAGCAAAACGTTATGTTTGTTGCAAAGTTCCCTCACAAATTTCAAAAATTGGGGGTGGTACATTCTCATCCCTCCCGCTCCTTGGAGAATGGGCTCGAGGATAACAGCTGCGATTTCTTCGTGGCGCTTTTCGATCTTCTCTTCAAAGTCATTAATGTCTTTGTTGTCCCATTCCTCGCCGAATCCAACTTGCGGAGCATTAGCGAAAATATTATCAGGACCGTAGCCACTGTAGATGCTATGCATTGATGTATTAGGATCACTAACAAACATGGCTCCAAAGGTGTCTCCGTGGTATCCATTAGCAATGGACATGAATTTTTTCTTACGGACTTGCCCTTTCGAGATCCAGTACTGGATTGCCTGCTTGAGAGCCACTTCCACCGCTACCGATCCGCTGTCACACAAGAAAACACATTCGAGTTTGGGATGTGTCATTTCCACTAAGTGCTTGCAGAGTTGAATGGCTGGTTCGTGAGTAATGCCACCAAACATTACATGTGACACCTTCTTGATTTGGTCCTTCATGGCATCATTTAAGGCTTTGTTGTTGTAACCATGGATTACACACCACCACGAAGACATACCATCAATTAGACTTTTGCCATTGTCAAGATAAAGTCGAACACCCTCAGCTGATTCAACTTGGTAGCATGGAATCGGCTTTGTCATAGACGTATATGGATGCCATATATGATTTTTGTCGAATTCCTCTCTTTCAGAATGATTCATTGGATTTATTAATCTCTGTTTTTTTTTTTTTTTTTTGCCAAATTGTCAAAAATTGGAAAATTGGCGGCCATTTTCTACCTAATGATTTTGGATGGCTCATAATCATTGACTAGTGAGGTGACTCGTAATCGTAATCAACGTTAACACTTCGGGATGACTCTTGAGTCATATCGAGCAACAAAAAAAATACAAGATGATGTAAAACTTCTATTACAGCATTATTCAAAATGAAACTAGTTTTTGTTACGGGGACAGATACAGACGTCGGAAAGACTCATGTTGCTGCAGCACTCACTCGTGCTTGGGATGCCAACTACTGGAAACCAATACAAACTGGTACAACGTCTGATCCTGGAGACACAACGACTGTTCAGACTTTAACACGGCTTCCGAATGCCCGCTTCTGTAGACCACAAGTTGAACTTGAGTACCCGTTGTCTCCGTGGCGAGCATCTTTAAAAGAAGGATTAGTTCCCGTGAAGGTTTCGGACATTGAAATTCCAGACGAATTTAATATCAGTCCACGGCCGTTGGTGATTGAAGGAGCCGGTGGCCTTATGGTTCCCATAAATGAGAAGGAGATCATGACTGATCTTATTATTAAGTTCAAAAGCCCCGTGATTTTGGTGGCAAGAAGTGGTTTGGGAACGTTAAACCACACCTTGTTGAGTATTGAACATCTACGTTATAAAGGAGTCAGAGACATCTACGTGGTCTTCAATGGACCATTGAATAAGGATAATCAAGAAGCAGTGGAGGCATTTGCACCAGATGTAAAGATTTTAGCATGTATTCCACCATGTGAAAATGGAATCGAGGGTCTGGTGGAGTACATTCCAAGTATTGAATTCTTAAGGGTCTAAGAAGGTGGATTACAGGTATCACCATTGTGGGTATCTATTAACAATAAAGGTTATACTATTCGTTTCAGATCTTTCTTCAGAACGGGAACGATGAATTCAGCGGACAACTTTCTGTCCAATGTTACTTCCATCATATCTCTCGAACTTGAGGAGTTAAATGAGTGTTTAGAAAACCAAAACGTATAGAAAATTGGGTAGGTATAGAGAGTATTTTTTCTACAAACTTGAAGACTGGTCATTGTTTCAGGTAATCTCAAGAACTAGACAATAAAGCCCAGCAAGTCCTAAAATCCCTGTGACCCTTCGAAAGAATGGTTGGCTATTAGCATACCATCGAAAGTTGAGAGGGCAGAAATTGGAATGAACTACCCATTTCAGAAGTTTCTATTCAGAACAAACTTAAGTTACGTCTATTTGAACACCGATTTAATTGGAGATTGGTATTGTCAATACTTGTGTTGTCTTTAAATAGCTTTAATTCCAATTTTCTCCGCCATGATTTCTAGTCACCTTGGCTCTACTATGAATTGTTCAATATAGAAATTTATTCAGTTAAGCATACATGGACTGAGAAGGATTGTTTCAAGATGCTATAAGTTTGGCATCGAATAGAAAATCGAAAACAAAAGCTTTGCAGCAAAGTTGAAGTGGGGGCTCTTTATTTTCACTCCTCATTTTGATATCTCTTTTCAATCTCTTCTATGTAAATTCCGAAAATGTCCATAGAAACCAAACGTAAAAAGGTATCCAAATGCTGCCGTGCCAATAAACACCTTTACCAAGTATGGGTCGATCAAAACCATCGTTAATGCCTGACTAATGGCTGCAGCAATGGCAAATGTGAGGAGGAACAATGCAATCACCACACCCTTCATTTGTGGGGGAGATCTGATGTAAGCCAATTCATAAGCAGTTGTATTTGCAAAGCATTCTCCAGCTCCAGTCAAGAAGTATAACACTACCTCCCACCAACCGTTTACTCTAGAAGGTAATTCACAAGTACTGGCCAAATTTCCGCATGGTGATGTCTTGTAAATGTAGTGTTGAAGTATGGCAGCTATGACTTGAGAGGTGGCACTCAAAAAGAATCCAAAAGTGATTCTCCACACTGGATGGAAAGGAATCTGATGCTTACGCAAAAACGGATAAACAAGACTATCCAAAATTGGAATCAATACAATGATGGTCAAAGCATTGAAGTTACCATATAAGTCATTTGGGATGCCCTTAGTGATCATAGCTCCAGCCTGAGCATTCTGGGAGTTACCAATACCTCCATCTGTTAAATTGAACATTGGAAAGTACATGAATATTTTGCAAGATTCGATGGTTTTCTGGATGTCGATTACCCATTGATCGTTCCAAGTGATATTTGTTTGTTTCAGTTGAATTAATGACTCTTCTCGAGTAGCTATGTTTGAAGGTTTGGCATACTCCCACAATGTCCCTTCTCTATACCTGCGGAACCAGTTACTACTGAAAGTGACACGTAAAACTCTCCAGGTAATTGTGAGAGCTGAGTTATCAGGAATTTCCTTCACGAGTCTTGAATTCAGATAAAACAAAGCAAAGGGTACAATCAAGTACATGATGGTGGGAACCAAAAAAGCCAACCAAAAACCCACTCGCCTCTCACAATACGAAGTAGCGACTAGAAAAAATGCTCCAACGTTGATTATCCAGTAGTAAATTAAAGAAACTCGTTCTAAGGTCTTCTGACGGTCCACAATCACCTTCTCCCCGGAAGGTAAAAACTTGACATAGTCGTGCTTGTGCTTATACTGGTCCATAAGTAAAGGCAAAAGATTTGGTCTGATGAAACCAGTACTGAGGGCCAAAGTAATGATTCCGACAATTGTGGGACCTAAAGCCTTACCACTTGCTATAACAGATGGAATAGCAGCAATAAGGAAAAAAATATGGGCAAAAAAGCCAGCAATGGCACCATAAGATACAGCTTTAAACTTGCCAAACTTGGTGTCAGCAAGATATCCACCATACAAAGGCATTACGTACACCAAGAAAGTCAATAACAATGTTAGAGCTGAGGAGGTGGAGATGCCGAGTCCCAAAGCACCAGCATTCTCAGAGCTCGTCTTAGACACCGGAGCACCAGTAGTACTTCCAGGTGGCAAAGGTCTCTGAATGAAATTGGCCAAGATGCCAGAGATTCCGTAGTAGGAGCCTCTTTCAGCCAATTCTACAAGGCAGATTAAGTAAGCACTGGTGGGATGCTTTCCAAGAACACGACGAAGATTGGTGGCTTCATGATAGGTCGGAATAGATGGCAGATCCAAACTATTTCCATCAAACTCTTGTTGGTAACAGACAGTAGATTCATCTGCATTAACTTGCTTGTTTAATGAAGTAGGCAGGTTAACTTCGTTTGTGGTAATCTTTAGAGGGTCAGCAGCAGGGCCCTTTTCCAGATTCATTGCTAAATGTTAGATAATTTGAAGGAAAAATAAAAGAAGTGAAAATTTCAGTCCTATTTATACCTCTAGAATGAGATGCTTGTAATTGTTGGGCCATTAGAAAGCCGCACGAAGTGTCAAGTTTGACTAGAACTGGCAATAGGACTTCGTTCGAGAAAGTTACGTTGGTACTTTTTAGAATTTTGCATCACTATGCACCTCAATTCAAGTTCATTCAAGGTGTTATAATTTCTAATTCGGAAAGCTACAGCAAATAGGAAAGGCATGAATAGAGTTCATCAATATGACATGAGTCGTGAGTCGTGAGTCGTGAGTCGCGAGTCATGAATCATGAGTCTTCCATGACTCACAAGTCTCACGAGTCATGGGTCGGAACTCATATCACATGAGCCCACGTAGGTCTAATCATCCTTCTTGCTATAATTTGCTAAATGAGCAATTTTTGTTTCTAATTCAAAGCCCAAATAAACTTCCAATCACTATAAAGCAGTTACAGAACTAGCATGCGAAAGTGAGGAAGTTCCAAATATTATACACATCAATAATCTACTACACATTTCTATACTTAAAATTTAATGAAAATAAGGACAGAGACAATCCAATCACTTTTTGAAATACACGAAACAGCCTTCGTCAGCGTTCCAACCTCCCACATATTCCAGCTCAAACTGACGTGCAAGACTAGATGCTCCAACAATCATCTTGGTAAGGCCCTCCACAACGTACACGGCATTGTGCCAAGGAGTAGGAATGTGAAGATATCTATCTTCGACATCCTGGTCATGGTTCTGTGGTGCACAGATCTTAGGATCTAACAAACGAATACCGAACTTGGGACCACAGTTGGGATGGGCATGGATGGAGAGACGTAAATGGAAAGGAAACATCAACTCTACCAAATTAGAATAGGCATCATTCCTGCGAATCATTTCAAATGCCACGTTTGAGACTAATTTTTTGTACTTCTTTCCAGAAAGCTGGTTGCTCAGTTGGTACTGGCTCAAATCATCAGACATAAACTTGTTGAAGCCTCTGTACAAGTACAATCTTGGGTGTTGAGGAGTGTTAATTTGCAGTCTCAACATGAGAGCATCCTCATCACAACCTAGCATCATGATTTTTCTGTTCACCTCAGTCTCCTTGTCCAATTGGGTGTTGAGGAAATGATCTACTGTGACGTCTGCCAACAAAGGTTCAACCAAATGCTTCGAGTCGGAAGCGAAACAGTCGTTCAAGCCACGGAAAATGATCGAATGGAAATCATCGGGTTTCAACTTGTAGTACAACTCCTTGAGTCCCTCAGTATAAGCATCCACTACATTGTCATCGACATTAATACAGTCACTAAAAACATGACCGTCACTGACAATGTAAAACTTCATTCCTGGTTGGTAGATGCGACTCACCAGCTGAACAAATTTGATAATACTCTCAATAGCCAATTCTTCTCCTTTGTCTGGAGTGGTACCAGCCACCTTGCTGATGTTGGATGATTTGCAAGGGAAGGCAGGAAGGACAGCCTCAATGGTCAACCTTCTTGAAGTGAAGAACTCAATGTTCTGGATAAACTCAGGTCTCCCTTCAGACCACTTGTCAATTCTAGCGCAATGCTTGATGGTGGACTCAAAGATCTGAGCAATTTTCTCCGCAATGTTGTCTGATTTAAGAGTTAATGTACTCAATGAGTCAGAAAGATCTGCCTCCGTAAATCCAATAGCTCCATTTTGGAGAATGGTAGCCATAAACCATAAATCAAAAGTAGTTGGGTCAATTTTGGAGGTAACGAATCCACAGAACAAAGCATCAGAAGTCTCACTTTCGAACACCAAGTGATGAGGCGTAGCCTTCACCACCAAATTCTCGGTTTGGATGGATTTTGGAAACTCTGAGGCATCTTTTATATCACCCCAGAGCACCTCTTTGTCAAGACAAGCTCCCTTCTGTTTTCTCAAAGTTAAGAACTTCTCATCGTTACGACTATATATGTACTGGATACGCTCATAAATGGTTTTGGCAGTGAGAGTCATGATCGGATGTTGACAATGAAAGAATCTGTAATAGCCATGAAGAATTATTTTACTTATATTCTACTGTGTTGGTGGTTATGCTGCTGGAGTTTCTATGTTGCAAATTCTGTGGAGGAGTCTTCCAATGGCTGCGAAAAAGTGGATTAACTACTGAGAATAGGCAATTTCTCTGCAACTTCGATACCTACACCTTCCAAATATCCCAAAGTTACCGTCTATTTTACGTTATATTTTACATAACAAAGCTAGCCTTGCCGTTTCTTGCAGCAAGCGACGGCGTGAGCTTCATCTGCTGTGTATGGATGTTGTTCAGAGAGTGTTGTCTAGAAACACCGGCCGAGACTACAGGGGTGCTAAATGCCGTGACTTGCTCAGGGGAGTAGCATCTTTCGCCCAAAAGTCTCTGCTGTAGTGGCTCCAAGGAAAGTCTTGAAGAAGAAGAAGATGGAGAGTCGATTCTTTCCAGAAGAGTCATATTGGTGGACGACCGTTGGTTTTTGTGAAGTTGCCATACGGCATCTCGAAGTTTTTGAAATGAAGCCAGAGATGGTACAGGGGAAATTGTCGGTCCAGATAGGAAAGGATGTTCAAGAGCATCTGCTGCAGTCAATCTCTTGGAAGGGTCGACCTGAAAGCACCGGGCCATAAAGTCTTTCGCCTCGTCCAGAATTTCCTGCCAGTACTCCTCTGGTTCGAACAAGTAATCTGCAGCGGCAATGAGCTGTTTGGTCTCTTCATCAGAGTCGCAATCAAACGGCATATATCCACTGAGAATAAAGTATGTGAGTACACCAACTGCCCACATGTCCACAGGGAAACTGTGGCCCGAACGGGCGATAACTTCTGGTGCTAAGTAGCTAAGTGTTCCGCTACAGTCAGAGGCAGTGGCTCCATGTGCAAGGATTTTGGCGTGGCCGAAGTCTGCCAAAAGCATCAGTGAGTCTCGCGTCCGACTAGCAAAGAGAATGTTTTCTGCTTTGATGTCACGGTGCACCACATTGTTGCCATGGAGATGAACTAATGCAGACAAGAGCGTGGAGAGGACACTACGGGTTTCGGCTACGGAAAGTTTCCCTTCCGGAGCACCGGTGATTCTTTCGAATAGTTCTCCCCCATTTGCGAGGTCTGTCACCAAGTAAAAGTACTCTGACGTTTCAAAGTAGTCGATCATCAGGAGAATGTTTGGATGTCCATTCAGGACAGCTTTAAGTACCTGAAACTCAGATTGTAACATCGACTCCATGCCATAAACGAGTTTCTTGCTGTAACGTTTCGCAGCATAATGTGTTCCACTTACACTGTTCTTGCATTCGTACACATGTGAGTATGATCCGGTACCCAAGACCTTCTTGGAGAGAATATAAGGGCAGGGTATATCATACTGGTCTGATGAGGATTTGGTGATATGTGTTGCTTGAAATGTGGGCCAGACTTGAACTTTTGGAATGGTCATTATGAAGTGGATACAAGGGAGGGACGAAACAAAAATGAAGCGAACAATAGAAAATGCAAATTTAAATAAATCAGAAAGGATGGTTTTTATGAGCAGAAAAAATAAATGGCATGGAAAGCACAGCACTTTTATGGGGAATTGGGGTATGCTCCGGTGTATAGGCCGGAAAAATCAGCAGAGGGATTTTCCGGCGTACGTCGTCCCCCCACGGGCAGGAAGCATGGAGTGTAACGCTGTCGTGTGTCGAATGTGCCAGCTGGGCACCCTTTTTTAACAATAAGATAAGGGATCCTCACAGAAGTGTGAAGGCTTACACATGAGAAGATACAAAACTTTGACTGTAATTTACCAACTAGAAAGTCAAGAAGACCAGTATGATGTTTGCTCTAATTCCTGCAGAAAGGTTATTTGCTACGTCAGTTTATCCGGTCGAGGGCATGAACCTGGTGATCAAATATCTTTATGTGTAGGATTCGCGGAAGAATCGTGTGTCGTTGTGATATGATGCAGGACGTCGGAGAAATCTCCAATATACGCATGACATGAGCCTGGGGCCCTCCACAGGAGCTCTTGGGGTGGTGGGGTGATATTGCGGGGCTATTCAGTTAGTAGAATCCACTTGTGACAAAAGAAAAATAGGAGCAATCTTGAAGTAAGACATGTAGAGGGGGTTAAAAATTCCTTTTTTTTATCCAGCAGAATTACAAGATGTGGCAATATAAAGTTTATCTGGATAGGCAACATACAAATTATCCATGTAGAGAGATCGGGTTGTCGGATTTAATATTATCAGACTGCGAAAGTCTCTCGGAGTCTGTCATCTCTAGAATGCATCATATGATCAATACCTGGAAGTTTCAGACCGTGTAACGAATGTCTAACAGCGTATACCTTGACTCTGCCAATATTGATCAGTAATACTCATGAGAATGCAGCGGCCGGCGAAATTATAAAGATTATAGCTCACGATTCGCAGAGAATCGCCTTTATGACGATATTTGGAGAGACACTGCTCCATGCCAACGTAATATCAATCACATATTCAAATCAATGTGCCTCGGGTACAGTGACTACCCTCTTCGCCAATTCAGCACATGCCACGAGTACTTAAGAACTCAAGGAATCGACACAGACGAAGTTTTATGTGTTTGCATAGGCATGGAGGACGTTGGCAACGCCCTCGACCATCCTGTCTTCGACTTACGGAATCAGTGAGCACCACCTGAGTGGCTCCATTGTCTTCAAAACTTCCAAAGTACCAGCTCGAGTATAAGGAAGATCTTCCCGAATGCCACGAGATGGGTCAGACTCTCTAAATCACTTCGCCGTATACGCCGTATACAAGATCGAGACGATCTGGCTCAGGCGAGGAGGATGTACGGAACCTTTTGAAAGTATCCTCACGGTCAATGGTTTATGTAAGAAAAGAAGCCGGTGTGGCTGTAAACGAAGGCCTATGCTCCGAAGATAAGTCCAGAACCATTTAGTGAAGAATTGTCAAGGTTAACTTGGACGATGACCAGATGTGAAACCTTGTTGTCATCAAATGATGATTGGAAAACCTCAAGATTGTAAGAGTCAACAAAGATGGTTGTTTCCATTTCACCCAACAACACTTGATCACCAACTACCATCTGGTAGTGCTTGTCGCGTTTCATTCTTTTTTAAGAAGTGGGACAATCCATTATATTCTCGAAGGTTTCAACAATAGTTGTGTTGGCATTGCAACTTTTTACAGTTTGTCAAGTAAAACTTGTTCTCGGCCCGCGAACATTTGACATTATTAACACTGACTAGTCGGAGCTGCCATCATCGACGTCACCACCAAGACGTTTTATAGCAACAATCTCAAGACGCTTGCACTCCATCAAGCAATTGAAATATGATTGTTTTTCCTCTTCAGTCAAAGCCTTGCTAAGAACACTTGAAATGGTCGCTGCTTGGACAACACCCAACACTCCGTTGATAGCGAAGCGGATATGGTCTAACATTAATGCTCAAAAATTGTTGACGTTTCGTAGGGAAGAGTACTTTATATACCTCCAGAGAAAGAAAATGCCGCAGTTCAAGGATGAACTTTTTAATGCATGCATTGTTGATCAATTTCACATTGAGTCTCTTAGATCATCACAGCATTCAAATAAGAAGCTGACAGAAAACTTTTCGGTGAGTTCGTAATTAAATTACCAATTGTATACCAAGCGCAAATAAAGAGAATTCTCCAAATTATAGAAAAGAATGGTTAATCTCCTTGCATAGTGTGTCATCGTTGTGCATGGATAATGTTGATCTTCTCTGTATCGTTAGAACTGACAGATTTATCGCTTTCTATGCAGCGGAATTCTTGGTACAGCCCTGGTATCTAATCCGAGCTGGGTTTGGATGCATATCTTATCAAATTTCATCCGCTATGGCTCTTGTTGATTCCGGCTTTCAGCCTGGAGTCACTCTGATGCCGCTTCATGCACGGCCTGTAGAATTCAAAAATATACAAATGCCCCCATTCAACTTATAACATTATGTAGGATGTTCTTTGTACGAAGCGAGACTATTCTGACCTGGAAATTGAATCATAAGAGCACCGTGAAGAAGAGCAAATGGATGAAGGATCAATCTAGAGAGAAGATTCACTAAAGTATGCTTACCATTTTTGTTAATTGAGAGACCAAGGTAATGTGCGGCCAGATTAGGTAATACTGATTAACTCGAAGTTCAATCCATGGCATTGTAGTAACTTTAGAAGCTGGTCATGTAGGATGGAAAAGGGTGATTATGAACAATTTTCAACAAGGACAATAAGATAACTTGATCCCGAACATCAAGGCAATAAAGCTTCGAGTTGGGGACACAATTCCTCTGACTAGAACGCAGCACTTAAAAAAGTTTGAAGCGGGAAGATACCCGTTTAGTTTACTATTCCTGTGCGTTGTTTTACGTGACGTCACTTGGTGGCATTTCTCTGATGGCACCCTAGTATTATATTTAAAATTAAGCAACACCCACAGTAAAGGAAGTTAACTATTGTGATTGATTTGTCTGTAGATAAACGGTGGAAAAATGGAGAGTAATTACTTGCTCTGGACAATTCAGAGCCGTTGATTGAAATGTCTCTCCATTGTTAAGCTAAGAAACCTTGAGTTTTGAATGGCAATCCCATAATAAGTAATCATAAAACATCGAGATGAATTTCTATAACCATATACTCTGCTTTGTGGTATTTCTGTCAATTTCGGAAGGTTAGATACCAAGAACAGTTCGTATTGTCAATCAGGCTAATATCTCCTACAAACCATTTCCCAATTCCGTAAGAATGATAAACAAATCACAAAAGAATGGTAACTCATTGCAAGAGATTGGATAGCTCTTCAGGTAGATAATTTCAAAGCATTCCTAAGCATCCATCATGCTACTATCAGCTGAACGGAAAGATTTAATTGGAATAACAAAAAACTTCCTTCTCATCTTCTGCTCGGAACAAACAAGATTTTCTTTCACCAAGTGGCTATTAAAATTGTGCTTGATCTCATGACGACTGCAAGAAAAAGGAACTGAACTCATAGTAATTATCTTGAGATTCTTTGACTATAAAGTTGGGAACTCTTGCTATTCGTCTAATATAGCTAATCTGATTCTTGGGAAACATTTTCGGGTTCTATATCAATGAATGTTCATCTTAGTAAATTTTGCATGGCTACAAAAACAAAACAGACAGGCCATCACGGTGAATTGCTAAGAATTGAAACACAAGTAAGTGGGTACTGCTGGTATGATTTCAACTGCATTGACTTTTCCAAAGAAATAACGCAGCTAAACTCACGATGTTTTTTGGGGATACAGAATTAGACTTTCCTAAAGGCAACTTGTCTAAATTCCGAAGTTGGAAATTCACCAATTCCAATAATCAAAATAATTTAGGTGGATGCACTTGACGCTGATCTGCTATGAGAAGTCACTCAATCACGAGAACCTTAACTCACATGAAGACCCTGTTCAAGAAACTCACACTTCCCACTTTAGGAAGCCCCTGATGCCGAAGATTTATGATTTACTTGTATGACTCTCGCTATTTGGTTGAGACTTGGTACTCCATGCTTTTTCAGGGTTGCTGTCCTGTTGTCTTATAATAAGCCCTTTGCATAATGTCAGCCCATAAACCAACAGACAGTATACGAGAATGACTAAGATCGGGAGACTGAAACATACCGCAAAGTAGTAACCACAACGCAACTCGGGTAAGTTGATTAATATCAAGCAAGAAATGTAATCGTGGTGAATACACTTAGTACAATGAATATGGGGGAGTGGGGAGCCATTACCGCACGAAATTTTGTCACTGTTCCGAGTAAAACCCAAGTGAATCCATAGAAAAAAATGTGATTACCTTCAATTGGATATTTCAAAAGAAAAAAGAACTGAAGAGATTTGCAGATATTTAGCTTGGTGACTGTCGCTTGTTAACAGTTCTTCAACTCTTTAAAATTTAGTTTTAATCATGGGATGGTAATGGGTGCAAATTCCAAGGGGAAGAGACGAAATTTCATCAACTTCTCAAGTACTTCACTTTGTTCTGATCTTCTCCTCTTCATCAAATCTAATACATTCTGCATTTCTTTCCATTACTTGCATCTACATCTCTGTCTCCAACTATTTGATGAACATCTGCATCTTTCTCATGAGGTTGAGATTTACATCTGACTATTGATTCAACCCACCGATTTCGCACCTTTTAGCACAAGGTAAAAGACAGAACCAATTTGAGGAAAGAAAAACTCAATTTTCATAATCCATCTCCGTTGAACAGAATCATCAGAAACTAATGAACATACTCGTATTTTGCTCACGTGAATCCAAGGCTATATGCACGTGATCTCCATCGCATCGCAGTGGGTTTTTTCCCCAGTACAGTACAAATAAATCTTTCAAGTACCGACTATGGATGGAACAACCCTTAGTTTGTCCAATTTGAAGGACAAGATCACTTCCAAACTTTCGGGTTCGCACAAGGATACTTCCAAGGCTTTCAAAAAATCCAGTAAAAATGATAATGGTCTGAAAAAAGATGCTAAAAAGGCGTCCACCGCTTCTCACACCAAGGAGAATTCCAAGAAGGGTTCCAAGGATTTCAAGAAGGACACCAAGAAGGATACCAAGAAGGGTAAATACTCCAAAGAGTCTTCTGTAAGCAAGAAGGGAGAATCTTCGATTGAGGATGATTTGAAGCGTGAAGCTTTGGCTCTTGGAGCTACTGAGGAAGATTTGGAGTTGTTGAATGGTTTAGACGATGACGAGAGCGAGACTGAATTTGGTGATTCTAGCAACGACAAGACATTGGCCTCTGATATTTCGAAATTTATGACAGGGCTTGGATTTCTGGGTGAGGTCGAGGTTGTAAGTGAAGAGGAAGAACAGGAGGAAGAAGAGGAGGAGGAGGAAGAGGAGATAGAGCAGGATGAAGAACATCAAGAAGAGGACGAGGAGCATGAAGATGAAGAAGATGACGAAAACAATGGAACTACTGAAGCAGTCCAGGTCCAAATTGCCTCGCTCAAATCAAAACCTGTCGTTGTCGATAAATTCGCAGACATCAAGTCCGTCAACAGTACGAAACTCAAAATCGAAAACAGAATCGATTGGTATAACATAGAGACTACACCTATCGAGAACCCAGAGAAGTTGGATAGATTTGCCTTGGAAAGAATCACTGAAAGAGCCAAGGCCATTGTCGACCAGGAAAACAAAACCTACTTGGAAGAGTTTGCTTCCGACAACTCTCAAAGAAAGTTCTTGTCGCAGATTCTTGCTGACGGTACCTTGAACGATAAAATCTCCGCGTTGACCTTGTTGGTCCAGGAGGCCCCATTGCATAACATGAAAGCTTTTGAGACACTCTTGTATTACTGTGAGAAGAAGTCTAGAACGGCGGCTTTGCAGGCCATCGATGCCATGAAGGATTTGCTTTTGAACGGCTTATTGCCTGACAGAAAGCTTGTGTCTTTGTTCAAGCAGCCTCTTTCCAAGGACGCCAGCGACGAAAAGGTGGCTTTGGCCTACTATGAGGACTATCTCAAGAAGTCCTACTTTAAGTTCATCCAGATTCTTGAACACTTGTCCCATGATCCAATCTTGCACGTCAGAATGAACGTCGTGTCGCACATTTTTGACTTGTTGAAAGCCAAGCCCGAGCAGGAAGCTAACTTGCTTAGATTGGGTGTTAACAAGCTCGGAGATGTGGAGAACAAGGTTGCTGCGAAAACTTCTTACCAAATTCTCCAGTTGGAACAAGCACACCCTGCCATGAAGAAAATTATTACAGATGCCGTCACGGACATGGTGCTTCAGAAGTCTAATGATTATCACGCACAGTACTTCACTATTCTCACACTTAACCAGACAATCTTGACGAGAACAGAACATGACTTGGCTAACGCGTTGGTCAAGACATACTTCTCTTTGTTCGAGAAAATCTTGTATGAATCTGACCCTGCCCGCAAAGAGGGTAAGGAGGACAAGGTGTTGGGAACCCATGAACAGGGAAGAAAGAACAACAGAAAAGCATTCAAGAAGGGTAAGAAGGGAGGAAGATCCGTCAAGGTTGCCGAGAAATCTGAGGAGGAAGTAATTGAAGAGAAATCTGCTAAGATGTTCTCTGCTTTGCTTACAGGTTTGAACCGTGCGTTCCCATTTGCAGACTTGCCCTCTGACATTTACATGAAGCACTTGGACACCTTGTACAAGATCACCCATTCCACAAACTTCAATACCTCTGTTCAGGCATTGGTGTTGGTTCAGCATATCGTCTCTCAGCAGGATTTAGATGCTGATAGATTCTACAGAACTCTTTACGAATCCTTATTGGACCCCAGATTGGTTTCTTCTTCCAAACAAGGTATCTACTTGAATCTTCTTTTTAAGTCGTTGAAGAACGATATCCAAAACGTTCCAAGAGTGTTGGCTTTTGTCCACAGAATCTTGCAGATTTGTGCTCACTGGATTAATATTGGAGCTATCGCTGGTATGTTCTACTTGCTTATGGAATTGAGCAAAACCTTCCCCCAGATTCTCGAGTTGATGGAGCCAAAGGAGGCCAGACCAGACTTTAGTACTGCTGACGGTGCTGAAGCCAATGCTGACCCTGCTAAAAAGGAATACGATTCCAGAAAGAGAAATCCCGAATATGCCAACGCAGAAAACTCTTGTTTGTGGGAAATTTCGCAATTTCTTAACCACTACCATCCTACAGTTGCCATTTACGCTCAGTCTCTACTTGACGGAGAAGTTCAGCCAAAACCCGACTTGGGATTGTTCTCCTTGGCTCACTTCTTGGACAGATTTGTCTACAAAAACGTCAAGCAAAAGTCCACCACCAAGGGTTCCTCTATCATGCAGCCTCTAGGCGGAGCTCATACTGGAAGTCTTCTAGTAAGAGCTACGAACACTTCGTCGAAACAAGTACCAGTAAACACTGTCGATTGGTTGTCCAAGAAGGCCAGCGACATCAGACCAGATGAACAGTTCTTCTACCAGTACTTTGCAGGTAACACCAGAAAAATTAGATCACAGAAGGCTGATGAAGGTGAAGAAGATTCCGACGCAGAGCCTTTGGACGACGAGGATGTATGGGATGCATTGGTGAAACTGAAACCAGATGTGGAAGGTCTTTCAGATGAGGATGGTTTCTCGGATATGGATGAAGCCGATTTCAGCGATTTCAGTGAAGACGATGACGTAATTGCAGGTGCAGAGAACAACGGAGATGTCCCTGATTTTGATGACGAAGAACTCGAAGATGGCCAGATGTTCGATATGAACGAGTCGGACGAATTCGGCAGCGATGAGGAGCCCCAGATGCTTGAAGAATCGGACGTGGAGGATGCATCGTCCGATTCTGATGCCGGAAAGAAACGTTCACGTAAGGATGACGACAAAAAGTCCAAAAAGCAAAAGTTGCTGAGCCTTCCAGTTTTTGCGTCGGCTGAAGACTACTCTGAGTACTTAAATTCCGACGACGAATGATAGGTCTTAACTCATACATTAATGCAAAGAAACACCCTATTTATTGAGCGGAGTACATATTCCTCCTCTACAATCCTGCATGATATGCGAAATGGATAAAATTTTCTGACTAGGATAACCTAGATTTACGCATAAGTGCTAAAACTTGTAGAAATGAGCCATATCGGCTGTCATTCGGGCCGGGCCTCGGTAAACATACACAAATTCGCGCCCTAAGAGGCTGAGAGGAAAGATTGCTGTCTTTGGAACCCTCAGACCACATCTTCTAGAAACTTGTAGAAACCGGTAAATGCGAACGAAAAGTTATAAGGGCGGCCAATCAGAGATCAGAATGTCTTACTCTGTGTTCTAAAAGGATGTATGGCTGAATGAAAAAATTACTAATTTGCGATCGTCACTTGTAACGGCGATTAACGTTGGGAAAAACCCGTTTGGAAGGAATATTTTGCGCTCGCCGATCAGAAGCATGCATCGAACAGTTTTTTTCCTGCATTGCGATGTCAAACAGGGTAAAAAACTTCGATGAATTGCTTTTTTTCAAGCGGTTGCCCCATCCTCCTCGTAAAAATTGCACCTTATTTTCAAACTTTCCAGAAGCCAAGAATAAAAGAAAAAATCAACCCGGGTCTGCATTATATAAAAACTCTCTCCTTTCCCCGGTTTCCCCTTAATTTAATCTGGTCACAATTAGCCACCATGCACAGAATACAAGATGGCCTCACAGCAGTTAATACTCCATATGATATCCTCCTTATGGGCCAAACAAGTGTGGACAAGACCTCTCTCATTTATAAATTCTTGGGTCTGACATGGGCACAGCCGTCGCCATCTCCATCAGGCGAGCTTCACTATACTCAAATCAGCACATCTAATTACTCCAGCAGTGCCTCCAGTCAAGCCTCTAAAGGGTCAGCATGTCATGAGTTGTCTATCTTAGACATCTCCTCGTTGTCTGAGGAGTATTACTCATCACGTAAGGTCGAGCAGATTAAAAATGCACGTACCATCATTTTTGCATACTCCGTCACTGACAGAGAATCGTTTGAGGCCCTTCAATATGATATCGAAGCAGTGATGATGATGAGAAACAATACGCTTCCTCCATTCGTGGTCGTCGGAATGAAGCTGGATATATACGGCTATCAGCTACTGTATCAAGAAGGTGAAGAATTGGCTCATAAGTATGGGGCCGCTGCATTTTACGAAGTTTCAACTCATGAAGGCACAAATGTCGAGAGCGCATTTGCTCCTCTTATTGAGGAAGTCTTGAGAAGAAAGACCGATGAGAGAAGTTCAGAGGTTTTAAGCTTGTTGGATGTGTTGTCTGAAGAAGTCAACGATGCCAGCATATCTTTACACAAAGAGGAGTCCAGTCGAGAAATCGTTCTGTCTTCCACGTCAATCGGCTCTTCTCATTCACAAAAGAAACCACAAAGGACCATTCGCAAGCAACCTACAAGGCATGTCCAATCAGAAAAAACTGGTTGTTGCATTATTATGTAGAACATTTTGTCGATTTTTTGACATATCCTGGCATTAATACACCCTGCATTTTATTTTGCTCGTGTTGTAGCATCATTTTTCATGAGTGAGTAGTCTTTGGGCAAATGATTATGGAGCACTTAGCTATCAGACTGGTGCGTCGTGTGCAATATGCGAGAACCCACGGAATTGCTCTTGCATCTCCGAAGTTAATACCGTATCAACTGGTGTCAATCTTGGAGTCTCTGAAGTAAATTCTTGGTCAAAGTTGGAGTAATCGTGCTCACTTGTTACCTCTGGCAAGTAAGGTGGTTCGATGCGCATGTTCAAAACATCGTCAAAGTTGACGTCGCTGAAGTACAGGTGCTCCATGATCTCCAATGCGTCTCTTTCACCACTACCAAGTCTCTCGGCGGGATCTTTGGTCAACAAGGCTTGCAAAACGAGCACTGTTTGCCGTGGCATGTTGATTGGATACCTCACGTCATCGTGTTCAATAGCATTGAATATATCATCCTCATCGTCACCCTGAAATGGACTCCGACATAATAACATCTGGAACATCAAGACACCAAATGCCCACCAATCCACAGATCTATCGTATGGCTTGCCTGCAATGATCTCTGGAGCCATGAACTCCGGTGTACCACAGAACGTAAGTGTGGTATTTTTGTGCCACATGTTTTCCTTACACAACCCGTAGTCTGCGATCTTGATGTGGCCCTTGGTGGTCAACAAGATGTTGTCCAATTTCAAGTCACGGTAAATGATTCCATTATCATGGAAATACTTCAAAGCCAACAAAACCTCACAGGCATAAAATTTGGCTCTGGCTGCGTTGAATTTCGACTTTTGGATATGCCACATCAAATCTCCACCCGAGACAAACTCCATCACGAAGTATATTCTGTTCTCCGTTTGGAAGCAGCAATGTAAGTTCAACAAGAACGGATGCATTTCTTTATTGGCCGTTAAGAATACCCTTTTCTCGGACTTCACACTTTCAGCCTCATCATTAGTGACAATGAAATCCTTCTTCAACACTTTAATGGCACAAAGCTTCAGAGTGTGTCTGGATTCAGCCAACATAACCTTACCAAAGTTACCTTTACCCAAAACAGCAAGGAATTGGAAATCGTCCAAACCCACCTTCCGCTTACGACGTCTCAGTCTATGTGACCGGGGGTGGTCATTAGTCAGTTCACTAACAGAACTCAGTGCAGTGTGATTCTTCGCGAGTGTTGACGATGTAGCCTGGTCGTTGTCAACAACCATATTGTTATAGTCCATACCACCGAAGGTACCGTCTCTTTGTTCTTCGATAGCTGGCACATCGAATGGATTCACCGACTCCGATGGTGTGGAACTCTGTCTTGGTTCATGTGTTGCCATTGTTTTTGGAGCACTATAGTAATGGTTCAGTGTATAGGGCTGTACCTCTGGGTATCTGTCTTGTGAAGGCTCCTCTGGAGGAGGAGGTGGCCGCCTAGAGCCCATCTTCCTAGTATAAGGAGACTCCACTGATGGCTGGAACTGATTGGACTTCTGTGTAGGCAACGTAGCGGTATAGTCACGATCATCTTCATCTTCGATTTCAGCTGGCTGTTTAGAGCGCTGTGAGTAATTCGTTTGGTCCATTGAGGTATTGTGCGTCTGTTGTGGAACGTAGGCCAGAGGTGTGTGAGGCAATGGTTTCTGAGGCAGCAATTCAGACAGTTGTCTTGTGCTCTGAATTGCATTGTTCACCCTGCCATTTGGCAGTTTTGGTAATTTGTTCGTTGGTTTCGTTGATTTGATGGTGGTCAAAATCTTATTGGCCATCTCCATCGACATACCACAGAAGTCAGGAACCAAATGAGTACACTGCGTGTGACACATGACACCACATTCTGAACACTTGCGGACATTCTTTCTGCCCCATGGCAAAATATGACCACAGTGGCAACACCATTTGGTTCCTCTATTCAGCACAGGGTCGAACCTATGAGGAATACGGTGGTTCAATTTGGCCTCATCATCGAACGTAGTTCCAGACTTCAGAATACACTTGGTGACAACTTTTTGGTAGCATTTCTTGTGACATAAGAACCGACAGTCTTGACATTGGTAACCAGAATAACGCAAGAACTCTCCACAAAGCGCACAGCACATAATGTTGTAGAACAGCTTTTGTACAAATTGATGGCCATGCTGCTCGAACACCTCTTCTTTCTTCTGACGAATCGCACCGTGACGACCCAATGCTCCCATGAAGTTGGACTTACCCACTGTCTGGGACTTCTCAAAGCTTAGATTAAGTAGGATCTGGCCCACAGGCTCGAGATTCACCCAAGCAGAAATCTGTACTGCCTTCGCATCAGTTGAGGAGGATCTGTTCTCATTATTGTCGATGGTAAGTATGCCATCCAGGCCACTTCCAGAGTCTCTAGATCCGTGCGATTGGCCGTGCTGGATGTTTGGTCTTCCATGTGTTGGTTGACCCGGTAAACTCAGTGCTGGGATCCAGCCGTCGTCGCCCAATTCGGTGGCGACCTTCTTTTTTCTAATTTCCTCGGCTATATCCGAAAGAAGCACCCATGCTAAAGCAACGGGAATGCGTTGGTTTCCAGACTTATCGTACACTGTGATCTCCATCTCGTGGGCCTTATCGACTTCGATTACGAACTCCTCGTTGAATTTACCCACGCGTGAACCGTTAGTTTTGGCCATTTCCACATCATCCACTTTGACAGAAACAATCGACTCGGGTTTTTTATTGAACATGGGCAGCGCGATATGGTCAATGTCTCGGATACAAGTGATGGTGATTGTAAGGCGACCAGTTAAAGGTTTCCTAGCAAACTTAGGGGTATTCATGACCTCCATATCCCGATTGATTTCCTCCACATTCACGTGCATACCCTGATACTTCTTCAAGGACTTGTTGAGCAACTGAATACGTTGGTCCGATTCGAATTTCCCACCCTCTGCAGCGCTAGACGACGATTTATCGCCGTCCATCAAATACAAGTGAGAGATCTTCTCGTTGGCCGCACGGTACTGGTTTTCCACCTGCAATTTGAATTGTAGCTGCTGGAGCATGTACTGGATCTTATGACCGAGTGATGGACAATCGTACTTGATGAGATCAAATCGGGAATAGAGTGGTTTCGCCATGGAGGTGACCCGAGGTCTTGTAGACGACGAGGCATCAGACTGTGTGGCTGGATTTTCAGCCTGAATCAGGAGTTTCTTTAATGTATCCTTGAGATAGTCGATGTTGGTCTGGGTCTCGCGGATCTGATTATTACACCGCTGGATCACTTCCTGGTTGGAAGAGCTCCGCTTGACCGCCTGGAAGCCCTGAATAAGCTTGAACTCCCGATCGATTTTGGTACGGATATCATCGAGCACCTTATCATTGGGCTGGGACATGGCTGGTGTGATTTGAATTTGCCGGCCTGTTCTTGGGGAGTAACAGGTATGTGGTAGGTAGGTTTGTGTTGACAAGTTGCCCGAAAGAATCAGAGAGCCGTGTGGCACGTGACGTGATCTGAAGGAAGAAAAAATGGACGAAGTTGTAAAGAGATGAATAGATCGGAGGAAGATGTTGATTTTTTGAAGGAGGATTTAAATTGATTGATTTTGTTTTTAGTGTGATTATCTTGATTTGTTTTTGGATATTTTATGATGTTTCTGGTTGGGTTTTCGAGGTGTTTTCGGTGCCTGGCTATGCTCACTAAATATAGGTTGGACAGGGGCTCAAAACCAAATATAGAACTTATAGAAACGAAGGAAAACGCCCGATTGTGGAGACTTTGAGAGGGGGCGATGGTGAGAATCTAAAGAAGTAGTGAGTGTGGAAATGATGATTCGGTGGTATTGAGGGTTTTTGAGTTTGTTTCTTTTATTTTTTTTTGTGGTTCTTATTTAGGTTTGGTTGCGATCTCTGTAGTGTGAGTGAGAACTGACACAGTTTTATCCGATTAAGGTTATTGAAATAAGCAATGGTGCTCTGATAATTTCTATTGTTTTTCAAAATTTTTCAACATTTTCAATTTCTCTTCTTTCTCTGATTTCGTTCAGAATTTTTTTTTCTAGGTATAGATAGGTACTGGGACTTGGAGGACTGCCTTTGTTGTCAAAGGAAGCTGATAGTGTACTCATGGTTACGTGTTGAATATTCAAATTGGAACAATCGAGATAGTAGATATGTAATCTTCCTATTAATAATACAAAGCTTCTATTACTTGTTGTTGCACCGACAGTTACAATCAGGAACAGGACACACATAATGCTTACTGAACCACTCCTCTGCATGATGCGCATGATAGCCGTGATTGCAACTCAAACAGAAACTGAATTTGTTGTTGAAATTGTGGTGGAGCTGATCAAGTATTCCATCTTCCACCTTGGGTTCTGCAGCATTCGGAATGGCTGTGCCCAATGTAAGAAGACAAATGGCACACCGAGGAAGTGGAGAACGACAGTGTGGACAAACACCAAAGTCTTGCATAGGTCCCTTGAGATTGAGTCTGTGGTTAAATTGCTGAATCATCATCAGTGCATTTCCCTTCATGTTCTTCGCTCCTGGCGTGGACATGTTCTTGTTGCATCTCAAGCACTGGAGATACACCTGGCGAGGTGCAGCCTTGAGTGTGGTGATGTTGTTGGAAGTTTTCGACAGTTTGGTTCGGGCAACATCAAACTGAGCTCGAATCTTGAAAAGTGCCCACAGATTGAGAAGGTCTCGGTAGCAGTCGATCCAGTGATCTACTCGCTCATCCTTGAAATACCTTGGAACGGCAAACTGCGCCATCAACGCTGCAGTCTGGACATCAGAAGTCCTGTCTACGTAGCTCTGAAGAAGGTCGATTCCACGAGGCGTGAGCCCCGTCAAAATCAAGCCCTCGAGTTCTCCACGGGTCACGACTGTTTCAGTTAATCTTTTCAAATAGACATTCAAGTCCTTATCTGAGAGAAACCTAACAGCAATACCAATTCGTTCTCGCAAAGGTAATGCGTTCTCATCAAGGACGTCCCACCAGTTTCTGTCGGCAATGAACGCAAAAATCGCTCTTAAATATGGATTCTCGAGTTCCAGCGAAAGTTTGCGGCACTGGTCATTCCAAGGCAGATTCACACTGGCATCTTTGTAGGCCAAATAGCCTGCCACTGCTGTAGACATCAATTGGAGTCTTTCTTTCTTGGACAGAGCCAAGATCTCCACTGCTCGAGAAACATTTCCATGGAAAACCGCCCATCCAGCTGCTTTTTCAACCTCTCCATTTCTCACAAGATCGTTGAGTTTTTCGTCGAACTCATTTTCAGTAAGATACCATCCACTCACTATAAGACAGAGTTTCCTCTGGAGTTTGAAGTCACTCAGACTGAAAATACTGATTCCTGACGATTTCTTGCCCTTACTAGACACAATGGCTCTAACTGCATTGACGAATGTCAGCTCAGTCACTTGCTGTTTCAATGTGGCTCTGCTTTGGCCCTGAAGTTCCTCCATTCCCCTCCACATTGACAACACTCCCGTGTATCCCAAATCCACGCCCTCAATGACCATGGTTCCCTTATCGAGCGACTTCTTGGCTAGTGCTAGCCACTTCCATGTACTTCGAAGTGCCAAAGACGCCCCAATACTTTCGACCTGGACCAAAACGTCGACGTTCTTTTCGGGATTCACCCCATAGCCCAACAATGCTCTCTGGCGGATCTTACAGGCGATGTCGTTGCCCATAACGTCAGTGAGATCCAAGATTCGGCGTAGAGGAATAAAAACATCCTCATCTTCATAGTTTTTGTATGGTTTTTCTCGTTTGGGTTGAGTCAGCGGTGCAGAAAGTGGCTCCGTGCTTTCCTCATCGCCGATAGTCGACACGATCTCCTCAGAAAACTCCGGATGTATATCGTACTTACTCTGGTTGGATGTGGTCTGCGACTGATGTACCACCAAAGGTTTAGGGTCAGCGATAGTGATATCGTCCATAAAGTTGGTATGCGTGCCCTCAGGACCTGCCATGGTAAACTCGTTGTATGAGTTGAAATCTAGAGACTCGATGCTTTCCACCACAGGCATACGGAACACCAGACCCTTCTCTCTCATGCAAACAAAATTGGTGGATGTGTCGGATGAAGTATCTGGAGAGTAATCGAACGATATCACTCGGGGTAAATCTGTTTTTGAATCAAGAACGAGCGCCACAAATGGCGAGTCGCTTCTTGGATCGTACAACTCTGCGGCCTGTTGTTTCAAGCTCGCAACTGTGTCGGTTGCGGAAGTGGCTGTGAAGGTAGGCAAAGAATCCAGAGCAGGCACGCAGCCGGTATTCCAACGACGAATAAGGTTTCCGTTGAATACAGCCGCAAATTCACCACGTCTGATCGTTGAGTACCGGAAGCATGCGGTATGGCGGCGCAGCAGGTCCGAAACCAACTTGGAAAAGTAGAGTGCTGGAGCTTCCGAGGTCACTGAACCTTTGCCAGTGCCTGTAAGCTTCCGCCTGTCCCATATAGACACAGAGCCGTCCTCGCTAAGCGATGAAAACATATACGGCTGGAAATGGTCAAGTGTAAGGTTCATTGTGCATTTCGTAGCCACTTGGTAGATGGGAGCCGTTGATGTCTCTCGAAGATCAAATTCTCGCAACAATTTGTAGCCTCCAGCCATAAGGAGCATACCTGATGGATCACTTCGATTGAAAATTGTTGAAAGCGTAGCCTCATTGGCCAAGTATCCATAGCTGGACTTCAATGTCTGGGAATCTTCCACTCCTGTTCTATCCGTAAATACTCTTGCATGCTTGGTAATATCCCAAATCTGTAGAGAACTATCTTGTCTACTTTTGTCGAACGTAGCAGCCACAAGGGACCCGTCGTTGAACGTCACCGAGTTACACGGTCTGCTCTGCTTCAGTTTGAGCCGTAGAGTTGGCGAGTTTGTCTTGGTGACGTCGAATATATGCACCAACCCGTCCATAGTACCCACTCCAGTCCATCCCACATGCTTTTGCAGGTAAGACATACACTGGATGTATTCAATTCCCGTATGAGAGTGTACTTTCACGATATCATTCAGCTCAATTCCGGGGTCTTCATGGTGGGTTTGGTAGATGGTAATCTCGTCTCCTAGGGGATTGACGGCTAGAAAGCGCTGTTCAAATCCAATATCCCAGTTGAGAGCCCGAACAATTGTGCCACTCATTTGTAATGGTAAGAATACTTAATGGAGATGGAATAGGTGTGATATTGTTGGTTCGGTTGTGGGTGCAGGATAGTAGAGTATTATACTAGGAAATCAACATAGTAAACTACGAAATGAGCCTTTCTATGTATATGCATTAACAGTGCGCTCATGAGCTCTTGCGGCCGCTGAACTTGTAGATAGTAGACCTGCGCACGCTTGTGGCGTCTTCCTCTTGTTTCACAACGTGTGTCACAACCTGGACCAAGTTTCTGAAGCCGGTTCTGGAACCCTTGATCTTAAGAACGTGTAACGACGACGTGGTGACAAGGTCAATGATCTCGATTTTGAAATGCAATTTACGTCCTCTTGCAAACCGTGTGGGGACAACTCCGCTGATCAAAGCGAACTCCTCGTCAATCTCAACATTTGTCACTGACCCTTCGATTTCTTTCAACTTCAATTGGTTCTTGATGATGCGCATAAGATCTGTGGAACGCAAGCTTGTGTCGATTATTTGAACGTCACGGTTCTGAGCTCTCATGTCCGCCGGAGTCCTCTCCTCATTCTTGTTGCTCTTGCTGAACGAGCTGAAGAGCTTCTTGAACCAGTTCGTCGTCTGCGGCTTGTCTTGCTCCTTTGTTTTCTTGGAGCTGTGGTACGTCGAAAGGCCAGAGAGCCTTTTGCGACCCTTTTCCAATCCGCCCCATACAGAAGTACTTGGTGCTTTGGGTGCTTCACGCTTTGGTTTCAAGCTGATTCTCCGGAAAAGACCAGGCTTTTCAGCCTCAACGTGATGCTCAACGATAGTATTATCTGGTAATCCGGTGTAAATATGCACAGATCCTCTCTTGGCAGGAGGTGATTGTGGAGCATCCTGCTCAGTAACTTGCTTTCCAGAAAGGTTGACCGAACTGAATATCTGGGTCGATGCATTTGATCTCCGCAAGCTGCTCTTGACGGTCTCACGTCTATGTGGAACTAACAGATCATTCTTGGTTACTTCCAAGCTCGTGTCAACATCAATCTCCTCTTCACTTGAAGAAATCTTATCCTGATACTTGTAGCTCTTCACATTCGAAAAACGTGAATCCTCAATTAGAGATGAAGTGTCCAAAATATGCACATTAGAAGCTTCAGCATTGAAAGAGTTTCCATCGAAAAGCATTTTAGAATCTCTGCTCGTCAGACCTTCTTGATTTTTCTTCTTGCTGCTGTACAAGGTTTCGTATGACTTGTACATCGACTTGATTGACTCGTTATTAGCAGCAACCAAAGTCTCTTTTGATTCATACGACATCTTAGAACTTGCCTTGCGCAGCTCACCAATGGCCTCAGCGTGCATCTGGATTAAAGACCCTCCTACATTAGAAGATCTGCTGATTGTAGGGTCCTGGTCGATGAAATCCTGAGTCATGTTGATCAAGTCATCTGACAAGTTGTAGTCGTCTGCCATGGTGGAACTGGACGACAGGTTTTCGCTTATGTTCTCTCGCCCTCTCAATAGTGAGGTGGTCCTCTTACTATTAGTTCTTGTACTGGATCTTCTCGATGGGCCATTTTCCACCAACGAGGACGAGGTGCTCTGAACCTTGGAGTCGCTTTCATGAACAGAAATTCCCAAACCAGGAAGCTCCGTAGTGGTACTTTTCTTGATGACTCCATTACCTGGAATTGTTGCAAGCAGTTTTCTTGTGTTTTTCTTGACAACAGTGCCAGAGCTCAAAGTATTCAGATTCATTGTGAAATTTGCAGAATCAAACTTCGAATTAATCAATCCATTGAATGAAATTCGGGAGAATCGAGGGTTGGGTATCAATCCCGGTTTTGTTTGAACACTCATTCGAGTCATATTACCCTCATTTCCGTCATCTTCTTGGAAGCTATCTTCATTGATAGTGGCGAACTCTTTAGAAATGTTTGCGTTATCTTCATCAATCACATTGAGCATTGAGCGGTATCCCACAGACAGGTTCGTGACTTCTTTCTTCAATGGATTAGTACTGAAATTCATGCTATCTCTATCATTGAACGAATTAACAGATCTTGTATCATCAAATCTGAACGTAGAAACAGAATTAAGTTCTTTGTCGTGCAAGTCATCATCTCCACTCAAGATTCCAGCCAAATTCTTGGAAGTGGATGTCTTTACCACTGAGCTTGAACGAGACAAATCAGACAGTTGCAGAGGGGATTTCTTGACATCGATACCGAGCTTTTGTAATACCTTGCTATTTTTATCGTTCCATGCATTGGAGGTTTGAGAACGAGCGGAAAGTGACTTGGCTCTCAACAAGGAGTTTGTGCCAAATCTTGGATCCAAAGATGAAACTTTAGTGGATGGTAAGGAAACATTTCTATTCTGATTGTCAAGAATCTTCAGCAAGGCTTCTCTCAGTTTCTCTTGAAGTATTCTTGATTGTCTTTTTTGCTCGGCCAATTGCTCGGCCCTTAAGGCATCCTTTTCTCTGATTTGGCGCTCTCTTGCATCATTTTTGCGTTGAACTTCGTCGGCTAATTTCTTTTCAATTCTCTCTGCGGAGCTCATTTTCCTGAACTTATCATTTGGGAAATCTTGAACAGTAGGCATCGCAAGAGAAGCTTTACTCAAACGATTGTTTAGAATTTTCAACTTATTCAACGTTTCGTGACTGAGAGACTGACGGTTCGAAGAGACGGTCATATTGAAAATGGATTTCGTATCCGCGTCAGAACCGAAGACTTCTTGACAGATTTTCTCAAAGTTTACAACTGTTTGTTCCTTCGTAATGTTCTCCTTGTCATCACTTGCCGCAAGTTCACTCAACATGTTGGCAGGAGTCAACTTTCTCAGAATAGGTTTGGTATCCACTTTGGATTTCGTACCAGTAGCCAGCCCACTTCTTTGTTTGCTTTTGATGGAAGTCATGGAACCTGTCTTTGATATCACTGTATTGCTTAGCAATGTTTTTCTCTTGTGAGCATTGGATGCGTTAAATGATGTGTTTGTAATATTTGTGAGAGCCTTCTTCTTGCTCGATGAAGATGATGCCACCGATGGCGAGCGAGAGATTTTCTTGACAGTAGTATACTGTTCTCCTGTTGGAGAAGTCACGGTTGTCTTGACAATGGACGTGGACCTGGGAAGAGTTTGCTTTGATTCCGATGCGGTTAGGTCGGTATCATCATCGACATAGTTGGAGGCTCCAGACGAGGTGGAGTGTTCGTTCCTATACTTCATAAGTAAGTAGTAGAACATTTTTTCAGGAGAACGCTCTGGTGAAAGCAAACATTTGATGACCTGATCCTCGGGGCAATTATGGAACAAGATACACAAATTGCGAACAATCTCAGGGTCAAGTTTATCGATGGACTGGATAGGCTTGATGTTGGAATGCAAAATGAGATCGCTGCGTGTACTCAAAGACTGGTTGGCGGGATCTGGGTATTTGGTCATGAGCGGGTGTCTTAAGATGTCCTCGATTGGTATTCTGTCGTTAGGATTGACCTGCAACATTCTGGAAATGAGATCCTTGGCCTCCCATGACAAGTCGCTGGGCATTATAAACTTACCATTCTGCACTTTCAAGAGCAACTTACGAATATTTTCGTCATCGAAGGGCAAGTGGCCCGTCAAGAGAGCGAAAAGAATGATTCCACAAGACCAAATGTCAGAGGGAGCACCGTGGTAGTTTCTGCCGGCCACAATTTCCGGCGAGGCATAATGCGGTGAGCCACAGGAGGTCTCCAAAAGTCTTCTGTCGACCTCCAATGCAGCCATGCCGAAGTCGGCGATTTTGATATTCTTGTTGAAATCCAACAACAAGTTCTCTGGCTTCAAATCACGATGGCAGATATTAAACTGGTGCAAGTAGCCAATGCCGTGGATTATCTGCTTGAAGTAGTTGATGGCCTCGAACTCCAGAAGCTTGCCGCGTTTGATCAAGTAGTCAAACAACTCACCTCCTTCAATATACTCAAGGATGAGGTACAAGTCATTTTTGTTCTCCCAGACATCGTACAAGCCCATAATGTTAGGATGAGAAATGAGTTTCATGATGATAATCTCACGCTCAATGCCGTAGGGGAGCTTTGTTGTGTCATTCGTTTTGTACTTTGGGTTTTCTAGTTTTTTGAAGTTCAGCTTGGGCACGATCTTGACTGCGGCCAACTTGCCCGTATGGACATTTTTAGCCAAACGCACACGGCCCGTAGAGCCTCTGCCCAAGGTGCGGCCCAACTTCCATGGCCCGATCTTGTTCTGGGCCTTTCTGCGTTTGGACGAAGTGGTGGTATTTGTGGAGATCTGGGACAAGCGCTTGGTGGCGTTTGTCACGGACTGGACAACCTTATCGACGTTTGACAGCAGCGTCGTCGCGAGCGGCATTGTCTGGACGACAGAGGTCATGGTTTTTGGATGATAAAAGAGTGACTAAAAGTGAAAAGAGGTCAGAGCCCAAGTAGAGGCAGAGACAGTAGAATGGATGCTAGACGCAGACACGCAAAGATAGCAGGACGTCTATTAGGAAAACCAGAGAGACCTGAAGGGAAACCAGAAAGATCTTGGGGGGAGGGAAAACTATGGAATGCAACGACTGAATCACGTAGACGTGGTGGTGTAAAAGTTAGTAGTGAGGTCGTCCAGTTACCACAGGAGCGCAGACGGTGGTAAACAAACAGACACGGTTAGTGCAGGACGGGAGAATGGAAAGAGGAAGAGGAAAGCGAACAGAAAAAGAACGAGGAAGATAAAGAGAAACAGAGAAGGTAATAGAATGAATGAATGAATGAATGGATGAATTTAGTACTTTGATCATGAAGTGATGGATTGAATACGAATATGAAAAAAATGATTAGAGTGTGATGGAGAGCGAGAGGGGAGGGAATTTTTAGAGGTGGTTAGTAATGGACTGAGTCGCGAATCATCAGACTAGTGCAGGCGAAGGGCGAGGGAAGAAGTTGAGGAACGGAGTGAAATTGAGGAAGACACAGAAAGTGAGGCCGGGGAACTATGGAGTGAAATTTAAGAAATTGCGAGGAATCATGGGTTGAAGAAGAGAGTGTAGAGACTGTAGAGACTGGAGGGTAAGGTGTAGAATTTGGGGGATTTTGAGCAAGTGTAGAAAGTTGGAATGTAGAGAGGGAAAATCGAGAGTGAAATAGAAATGATATTTAAAATGGAAACGGTATTCAAATTGGAAAAGTGAGCGTGGGAATGGAAACTGAAATAGGAATTAAAAGCGCCGGATTAAATGTGTAGAGAGTTCTGTGACTAGGTAGATTGAAATGGGCAAGCTGAGAGAGATTAGAATTAATGAGCTATGAAAATCGAAATAATTGACATCATTGGAGAAAATAAATATTTGAGAAATGAAGGATTGAACAAATTGTGAACTTGTTCACTTATTTGATTAGTAAATATATTTCATCTTCTTTAACTATTACATACATTGGGGGATTGGGTGAGAGGTTGTCAATCAAGATAGGCAATGGAGGCAGGATTCACAAAATTGGGGCAGGATACTCAAAATTGAGGCAGGATTCACAAAATTGACACAGGATTCTCACGATTGGGGCAGGAATTTGGACGGAACTTAGCTGCTTTCGCAGATCATTCTCACGCGTCACCCAGTGAGAAAAAAATAAAACAAAAGTGAAGAAACGAAAAAAAATAATAAAAAAAAGGCTGCGAATAATCTTATTCATAATTTGCCTTATGTACAAACATATCCAATTAGTCAATCTCTCCATTTATTCCTGTTATCGATATTTTCTTATTTGATTATCTACCTCACGTTCTCGTTTTAACTCACCCTACTTTTTTCCTTTGTTTACAGTAAAATCCGTCACTGCTCTTTTCATCGGTTAATCTTCACAGATCAATCTGTCTGAAAATATTCCCACACATTGATAATTCGGCAAACTTCGCCTTCTCCCGTTTAAACCTCTAATTTTTCTACTCTTTCTCTTTATATTATTTTTTTCTCCCTTTTTGCCTCTTTCTATCTATTTCATTTTCTCTTAATTATCCCTTTATCATCTCTTTATTGTTTTTTTGTCTCTCCTTGGTTCTCTCCATTGTCTGCTCAGCCTAGCATCATTCGCATCTCCAGACCAAAAAAAAACATGCCCAACCCAAACGGTCATCCGAAATTAAAATCCAAAAATCTTATTCCCGACTACTTTTCTCCAACTTCCAACGCCCTTAGTTCCTCAATTCCTACTCCCCATCACTCCCCTTTATCGTCTCCTATTATCACTGGGCCGAAACCTCCGTTCCTGCATCCCCCTCCAACTCAACCTTTATCCTCCACTTCCATTTCAACTCCACCCATCATTGGTAATCCCATGCTCAAGTTCAAAAATAAGTTCAAGTTCGGTTCCTCGGAGAAGGACGCTGCGACGTCCTCCTCGCCCCGTAACTCCTCGGAATCTCGTGCCAGCTTGCCGAATTCCACGGCATCACCTGTTCCTGAATTAGCCAAGCTCAGTCTTCACGACTCCTCCGCCACCCTGCCCGCCACCTCGTCACCTGCCGCATCCAAGGAGGCCATCGACGTGGCTTCGCCCGCCGAGCCGCCGCTGCCCACCATCTTGGCCGCCAATCCGGGCGTGCTCATTGTGAAAATGTACCGGTCGCAGAACGTCACCCTTCCGATCAGCATCAACAACGATAAACAGATCTTGCAGGCGTTGGCGCTCAACACTAACGACGCAAACGTATCCACGCTATTGTCCAAAAGACTTGCCGATTTGGTCCAGGCCGAGCTGGGTGCGTCTGATCGTAAGTCCTCAGACTCTTCTCCAGACCTTTTGCCTGGACATGTGGCGTCCACCGTGATTCCCTCCAACATTGACATTCCCAACAGCAACGGCGAGCGCGTGATCAAGCCGTTGCTCTTCATGACCGTAGAATTCGACAACAATATGATCATGGTGGAGTCTCGTAAAGGAACCGCAGACCTGTGCCAGTGGGACCGAGTCATGACGTTTGACGTTACGAAAATGCTGGCCCATTCGCAAACAAGCTCAAACTTCTTGAATATCAACATGTATCTTCGCTTGCCGAACCGCTTGGTGCCTGCTGCCGAGAGACAGAACAACCTGAATATGTTCACCATGAACAACTCCAACACTTTTGGTGACTTGCAAGTCGGTCAAATCAAGTTGCCATTGAACTTAAAATGCCACTCCAAGCCCATCCGTTTGATTGATCATGAGTTTCTCAAGTTCAAGACAAGTTTCGATGCCCTGGAAGCAATCGGTGAAATCTCGTTGAGTATTGACTTTAAACCGCAATTGAAGACACATCTCTCCATTGAGGACTTTGACTTGCTCAAGGTCATCGGAAAGGGCTCCTTTGGTAAGGTCATGCAGGTGATGAAGAAAGATACCAAGCAGATATATGCATTAAAGACGTTGCGGAAGCACCATATCATTTCAAGAATGGAAGTCACCCATACCATGGCGGAACGTACAGTTCTTGCTCGCATAAACAACCCGTTTGTGGTGCCACTCAAGTTTTCCTTCCAGTCGCCAGAGAAGTTGTATTTGGTGCTCTCGTTTATCAACGGAGGTGAATTGTTTTACCATTTACAGAAGTCTGGTAAGTTCTCAATGGATAGATCACGTTTCTACATCGCTGAATTGCTCTCGGCATTGGAAAGCTTGCATGAACTCAATGTTATCTACAGAGATTTAAAGCCGGAGAATATCTTGATCGACTACCAGGGTCACATTGCCTTGTGTGATTTCGGCTTGTGTAAGCTCAACATGAGCAATGACGACAAGACAAACACTTTCTGTGGTACCCCGGAGTACTTGGCTCCTGAGTTATTGTTGAACCAGGGATACACTAGAAGTGTAGATTGGTGGACCTTGGGAACACTCTTGTACGAGATGTTAACTGGACTTCCTCCATTCTACGATGATGATGTTCCAACAATGTACAAGAAGATCTTGCAGAACCCATTGAAGTTCCCACCTTTCTTGGAGGGAACTGATGCTCAGGATTTGTTGGTGAAGTTGTTGCAGAAGGATCCTTCTAAGAGATTAGATGATGCTCAGCAAATTAAGAGCCATGCATTCTTCAAGAACATTGACTGGAAGAAATTGCTCGATAAGGGCTATCAGCCACCATTCAAACCAACGGTCAGCGGCTTCTTAGACACTTCCAACTTCGACCAGGACTTCACTAATGAGCGTCCTCAGGACTCGGTCGTTGATGACTTTTTGAGCGAGTCAGTCCAGAAGCAATTCGGAGGATGGACTTACAATGGAGAGACGGTACTTTAAACATTCTGCTATTATCTACCTATTTGCCGCGTTGTAGTATGTGGTTTTGCTGGATCCTGGGAACGCACCGCCACCTGTGCTTTCGTTGTTCTTGTTGCCTTTGCTTAATGGGGCACCTTGGCGTCCAAATGCCTCCCGAGGCCTGGGACCGTTTCCACTAGCAACTCGTTGTGGATCATTCTGCAAGTATTCGACATATCCTGGTCTGGTGTACTGCCCAGTGGTCTCGTAAGCAATGTTGATTTGTTGCGGAGCGACTTGATAGAGGTCATTTGGAGGTATGGTGTAAACACCTTGACCCTGGCCCTGACCCTGACCTCCTTGACTATAATTTACATTGTAATTGGTATCTTGATGATTGACATAGGGAGGATTGGCTCCAGTGTTCTCATGGCCAGGGTTATCACTCTTTTCCTGTGGATACTCGCTGGATCCCGAATATTGCGGGGTATCTTCCAGATTATGGGCCTGTTGCAGCTGATCGTATGAGGGAGGGGCGTCCGGGGCCTGCTCGGATTTTGATTCTTCTTTCTTGCTTTTGAATAATCCCATGATGAAAAATAAAGGGGATTGGTTTGCAAAGCAACTAACAATATATTGCATGGTAAATTCAGGCATATGAGTGCGAATGAAAACTCAGGGACACTAATAGCTGAAGGCTCCCAATAGATGAGTCTTTGCTCATTTGTGGAAAAGTCTGTATTTCAAAATAAATTTCTCGTTTATGAACAATTCTGTTGGCTGACTGTGACAGGTGTCATTCAATTTTCTGTTCTCTGTTAATCTTCTTGTCCCATTCTTTTCGATAATGACAGCGAAACTATTCGAAATTTGAAGAAATAATAACGTATGGGATTGTATCAACGTTTTGTCGACCCTCAGTTAACCTCTTCAAGTACTCTAACCTCTATCATTTGATTTGTCGACTTCACAGTTTGAACTCACACCAACATCTACTCTCTCGGATTACTGGTGTACAGGTGTTAAGTGTTAAAATTTTTCCACATACAAACCTCACAGAACTAACTGACTTAACTCTCAAATGTTCTCCCCACAGAAATTCGGTACGTTTGCCGGCTTGGGTAAGACGTTCGTTCGTGGAAAGAAAAAGTCGGTGGTGAACCCATCCACACAAAAAGTGGTGAACCAGTTGTCGGCCATCTCCGCGTCCAGAAAGCAGCCAAAGTTACTCAAGTTGAGTGCCGAGGACTTGATCAAGCACAAGACTATCACCAATGCTTGGAATTTGTTCCAGAGAAAGAAGGACGATAAGAGAATGCAGCAGCTCGAGCAGCAGTACAACAGCATACGTAGTGCCATGGATGAGTTGAAAGAGTTGAGTCCGGAGTTGTATGCCGCAGCCAACGTCAAGGAACGTAAAAGATTTCCTTTGGAGTTGCGGGTGCCCACTGAATACCCAGCCAACAGTCCCTGGGTGTATAACTACAAGAAGGACTGATTGCATATACTTGTACATAATAAACAGCTGGAATGGAAATGAGTAGATGGAAATGAAGACATGTATTAGACAGACAGAGTAGGTGGACGGAGTAAAACAGAAATAACTGAATAAGTTGAAGTATGAACATATAAACTACTGTGCTATTAAAGTACCAATGAAGGTCGAACTTTTATAAGCATCCTGGATCAAAAGAACCAAAATCTATGGTTGATCTACCAATATCAAGCTACACGTTGCCAATAATTTATTCCTTCCCTATTTCTCTTCGAATCGACTCTTTCTTTTTCTAGCAGGCGTTCCGCCATTGCTCTCCGTGCCAGCGGTCGTCGGACCACTCACAGGATCCACCGAGTCCTCGTAGTCATCTAGATCTGGGGCGCCAGTGTTCACACCTTCACGTTTCATCAAAGTCTTCACAAATGTGGAAGACGACAAACTGAAGATATGGTCATCATCTGTATATATCATTTTGCGCTTGTTGGAGCCTCCTGAGGACGATTTGGCAAAGTTGTCAAAACCCTTCACAATGTTACCATATGTGCTTTCGTTGAAGTAATCGTTTTCCTTGTCATAGATGGCCTCTTCCAAGGCCAGAAGCTGAGCATCGAGCTCCTGTTTTTTTAGGATCAGCTTGGTAAGTTCATTTTTGAGCTGTGTGTACTGATCTATGGTAGGCTCTTTCTTACTCATGTTGTTGATGATATTGAGAGTGCAGAGAGTAAAGGTGTAGTAGAAACTACAGGTTAGTAAGAGGAAGGTTGAAGCAATTAAGCAAAATGCTAATTTTCTTTGTGTTAGGTAATAAGTGATATACCCAATTCAAAATACTTGATGGCATTTTATAGCTTTTATTGAAATGTCAAAATTTTAAAGAATAGATTAGAAATGGAAATGACAGACAGATGAGTGAGGGTATCAGTAGTTGGACATAATGACATAAAGGAATGAAAGTGCAATTTCATCATCGAACATGCCACACTAATTTCAATATAGGTCAAATTACACACATATCAGGTTAATCAGGTTAATCAAGTTAATCATGCAATGAATGGTCAAATGATCGTTCCAGATTTAACCACATCTGATATTTAGCCAGTGTGGTGCATAACCTCGATGTCATATCAGGCAACATATTCATTGACGTGATTTCCATGCAAAAAGTGTGTTTCTGTCAAAAGATAGGTAGGGGCCAAGAATTACAGAGATATTAATGTCAATGTGATTTTTTTGCATTGACAACTTAATATATCAAAAGCAAGATGAACATTTTATAGCCTTTGGGCATTGGCCAATCACCAGAGAATCTTAAACCCGGAGAAAGAACGTAACCATGAATTCTCTAATCTAACCACCATGTATCAACCACCATAAACAATTTCAATCAATTCAATTTCATCAAATTCAAAATAATCACAATTCAACGACCACTCTAATTTCCATCTACAAAATATTCCACACCTTCAGTATCATCATACTCACTTTCTCTAATAGCATAGACGCACACCTAAAACCCTTTCACCCCACGTCAAAAGACCACTTAACCGCATAAATCCATCTGATCCGGATAAGCGAATAAAGTCAAGCAGGAATCACCAGAACAGTCAATTGACCTACACAAACAATATACAAAACGCTAAATCCTCACCAATCACATCTTGTATAACAATTGAAACCATTGACCTCAACCACATGTTAACCACCAAAACTCTTAACCTCTCAACCTCTTAACTTATCAACTTCTTAAATTCTTAACCGTACTAACTATAAACTGCTTGTTCCCCCTACCCGAGGTTCTCCCGGTCACATGGCCCACTCCATTGAGCCGTCCCGGCGTCGTCCGTCCTGCTACGCGCATGCAAACTCCGAGCCCGAGCCTCTCCACAGTCCATCCACCAGTGAATCCCGGCGAATGCCGCTTCCTCGACCTCCACCATCGTCACCATCGTCCTCGGGTACCAATACCATCCAATTGACGCCTCTCACATAGACAATTGACACCTCTCATCACGTGGAATCCCAAACAACCGTCGCCTTCTTTACCTCTCCACGCCAATCCTGTAGTTGAGTCATTCCACCCTACGTAAGCTCACCTGACACCAAATGTATGCAAGTCGGGCTTGTGTGGTCCACACCTCAATATATAAAGACACTCAAGTTCGCACCGAAAAAAAATATAATTCCCCATCAATTAATAATAAATCATGGCTGTGTCTAAAGTTTTTGCTCGTTACGTCTACGACTCCAGAGGAAACCCTACCGTTGAGGTGGATCTTACCACCGACAAGGGTTTGTTCAGATCCATTGTTCCATCTGGTGCTTCCACTGGTATCCACGAGGCTTTGGAATTGAGAGATGGTGACAAGTCCAAATGGTTGGGTAAGGGTGTCTTGAAGGCTGTTGCCAACGTCAACGAAATCATTGCTCCAGCTTTCGTCAAGGCTAACTTGGACGTCACCAACCAGGATGCTGTCGATGAGTTTTTGAACTCCTTGGACGGTACCCCAAACAAGTCTAAGTTGGGTGCTAACGCCATCTTGGGTGTCTCTTTGGCTGCTGCCAAGGCTGCTGCCGCCGAGAAGGGTGTCCCATTGTACGAGCACCTTGCTGCCATCTCTGGTGCCAAGTCTGACAAGTTCGTCTTGCCAGTTCCATTCCAGAACGTCTTGAACGGTGGTTCCCACGCTGGTGGTGCTCTTGCCTTCCAGGAGTTCATGATTGTGCCAACTGGTGCTCCAACCTTCGCCGAGGCCTTGAGAATCGGTTCTGAGGTCTACCACAACTTGAAGTCTTTGACCAAGAAGAGATACGGTCAGTCTGCTGGTAACGTCGGTGACGAGGGTGGTGTTGCCCCAGACATTGGCTCTCCAAAGGAGGCCTTGGACTTGATTGTCGAGGCCATTGCCCAGGCTGGTTACACTGGTAAGGTCGGTATTGCCTTGGACGTTGCTTCCTCCGAGTTCTACAAGGATGGTAAGTACGACTTGGACTTCAAGAACCCAGAGTCTGACGAGTCCAAGTGGTTGTCCGGTGAGCAATTGGCTTCTTTGTACGAGGAGTTGATCGACGCCTACCCAATTGTCTCCATTGAGGACCCATTCGCTGAGGACGACTGGGATGCTTGGGTTCACTTCTACTCCAAGGTTTCTTCCAAGATCCAGATCGTTGGTGATGACTTGACTGTCACCAACCCATTGAGAATCAAGACCGCCATCGAGAAGAAGGCTGCTAACGCTTTGTTGTTGAAGGTCAACCAGATTGGTTCTTTGTCCGAGTCTATCAAGGCTGCCAACGACTCTTACGCTGCTGGTTGGGGTGTCATGGTTTCCCACAGATCCGGTGAGACCGAGGACACCTTCATTGCTGACTTGTCTGTTGGTTTGAGATCTGGCCAGATCAAGACTGGTGCTCCTGCCAGATCCGAGAGATTGGCCAAGCTCAACCAGATCTTGAGAATCGAGGAGGAGTTGGGTGACAAGGCTATCTACGCCGGTAAGGACTTCCACTCTGCTCACACTTTGTAAGTGTACGACTAGTATAATGAGAGTTACAGTTAAGTATTAGTATAATGTAGAATGATAAACCTTCGAAATGTTTCCAATTCAATTGTCTTTCCATGCTAATTAGGCCTGCACTTTGCCAATTGGAGATCTGCTGTTCCTGCGAGAACAAGCAACTTAGAGTTGTTGCTTGATTGTCTGAAATTATTACTAGCTTCTAGGTTTAAATGATGAAAAGTAAATGAATATCAGCAACTTTGAACCATTCCTTTAACTTCTGAAACCAATCAATTTTTTATCGCAATGTCAAAATAGTGTCTCTAAGGATTGACCTTCGAACGGTAGCGTCACATTAGTTATTCATTACTATCTACTCTTTATTAATAGCGTCTAAGGCTTCAACGAGTCGTTGTACAACAATTACAACCTCTCCAAAGGTATTGTATAAGGGAACCGGCGCGAGGCGGATCACATCCGGGCGTCTCTCGTCACAAATGATAGCATGATCGTGGAGGTACTCGTTGACGTTCTCCATGACATTGCTAGCCCTCTCTTCATGATGTGGCTGGAATAAGATGGAAAGCTGGCTGCCTCTCTCGTCCAGGTTAGCAGGAGTCAATATCTTGAAGCCAAAAGCATTGGAATCCGCATTGGCCTTCAAGTAGTATTTAGACTCCTTCAACAACCTCTCCATGAAATTGGTCAATTCCACGCTTTTCCGGCGAAGTGCCTCGACTCCCCCCACCTCTTTGTAAATTTCAAGCGACGCCTTCAAGGCCACGCAATCTAATACACTGGGGTTAGACTGACGGTACGACAACGCAGATTGGATGGGGTCAAAGATCTCTAGCATTTTAAAACGATCAGCACTGTTATTTCCCCACCATCCTGCGAGCCTGGGCGGAAAGTCATTCTTGGAGTTGTTTTGCGTGTGTTTTTCATGGACAAATATCCCTCCGATGGCCCCGGGACCAGAGTTCAAGTACTTGTATGAGCACCATGCCGCAAAGTCCACACCCCAGTCGTGAAGACGCAAAGGAACATTTCCAACCGCATGAGCCAAGTCCCAACCCACGGTAATCCCGTGTTGATGGGCACTTTTGGTGATTCTCTCCATGTCAAAGCACTGTCCAGTATAGTACTGGATTCCAGGCAAGCAGACCAATGCAAGCTCGTCCTTATGTGCCTCGATCTCACGCAAAATGTCCTGAGTGTTCAAGTATGTGGAACCCTCGGAAACTGAAAGTTGGATCAAGTGAGATTCGTCGTAACCATGCAACTTCACCATATTGAGAAACGCATAGTAGTCGGATGGAAAAGCCTGTTTCTCAAACAAAATTTTGGTGCGACCATTTTGCGGCTTGTAGAACGACGTCAACAACGCATTTAGGTTGGCAGTGAGCGATCCCATGGCGGCCACCTCCGACTCAAGAGCTCCTACAATGGGTGCCAAAAGTGGCACGATTGGCAAATCGATGTCTACCCACGACGTTTTGCCCGCGGCTTCCCCGGGATGGTTAAAATGGGACTCAACACCACGAGCGCCCCATGCGTCCAATTCGTCCTCCAATGCCTTTCTAGTAGCTTTGGGCATCAAACCCAACGAATTTCCACAGAAGTAGATTGATGGGTCCAGCGGCGAGAAGTTGCGGTTGGAGATACCCAACGACTCGAATGAGGGAATTACAAACTTGTCTTTGTACGATGGAAACTGTAAATCGAGTTTCTTTGCTTCGTCGGCCATGGTAGCTGGGGTAGTAGTTGATCTAGTTGGTTTTGATAGATGCCTGCATGAGCCTGGTGCAACAGCTGATTGAAGCCATGGACGACTCTGCCCACTAAAAAGAGATAAAACATCAAGACGGAAACATGTGAATCATGGTGTGGAATTAATACCAGTTGTTGGTTATTTTGGATTTTCGTTTTCTTTCGTACCGTGTTCTCCAACTCCTATTCTCCATGGGTGTCTCCCACCCGTACACCAATCTTTACTTATAGATGTAGGCCACTATCTAACTCCCACCTCCACCATATACTGTCTCACATGATCCATTCGGTTCTCATATGTACGTAAAGTTCCCCTTCTGATCTTCAGCATCCTACTAACTCCAGTTAATCACGATGGTGTGCCGCGCTTGATGAAATTCTACACACCAGTGGACATACCTACTCAACGTGCACTTCTCCAACAAGTATACCAGCTAATATCGGTAAGAACTGCTCAAGAGTGCTCATTTATCACGCCTCCAAAGCTCTTGGAGGATATTGAAGAGATCAAGGTCATCTACAGACACTACGCGACTCTATATTTTGTATTCATTGTCGACGACCAGGAGCTGGAACTTGGCATTCTCGACTTGATCCAGGTATTTGTGGAATGCTTAGACAAATGTTTTACCAATGTGTGTGAGTTGGACTTGGTCTTTGGATGGCAAGTGCTCCAGACTGTGTTAGAGGAGATTGTCCAGGGAGGAATGGTGATCGATACCAATATTCTGAGGATCGTTGCTGCAGTGGACGATGCCAATAGTCAGAAGACGGCGGGGTCATCTGGAGGAAATAGCTGGCTTCTGGGACTTGACAATGGGTTCCGATGGAGGAGATGAGTGATTTCGGATAATAGATATGAGCCGTTGACGAACTGGGCATTCGTATATTATGGTGATTACTGTGCCAGTGCTTGAACAGGGTAATCTGGTAATATTTATGGTCATGAGATGGTCAAAGCGCGTTTACATACGGTATTTGAAATGTGATCTCCATTATTGTTGTTCACAGTTTTAAGGTTCTCAGGTTCTCTGACTCTTATGAGTTCGTTCGGCCCATCTAGATGGACTGTAACACAGCTCTTCCACTTATAGTCAGACTATCACGAAGAAATTTGATTTCAATTTTTGGCCAGTTCAGTCGTGAACACGTATGTGAACACCCAAATGTTATTGTCATGGATGAAATCAGAGTTGACTATTCGAGTCGTCTATTGACTCTTCGCCACTGATTCTGGCATTGCCATCTGATTGCCGTACATAGATCCAATCGTGGAAACCCCTTGATCTCCTTTTGCTTCGCTTCAATCTAATCATCTAATCATGCTGTAATCAAAATTTTCCCTTGAGTCATTTCTACTCCGTCTCTTATTGTCTTCCTATTACCTATAACTATGTACATAATCCTCACCACCACCACTTCTTCTTTTTCGATTGAGCCATCAACTTCTCTGTTTCTAGGAGCTCAGCATCCGCAATAGCAACCTCGGCTCTCTTCTTTGTCTCATCCTCATGTTGGAAAAACTGGGAGGCATCCACCAACTTCGGATCCACTCCACGGGTATCTCTCTCAAACGGAGAGGCAATTTTGCCGGTTTTCCAAATGGGATCGTTGGAGTTGGCCGTTTCACGGGCAATCTTCATCAATTCCTCTTGTTCTTTCTGTCTGAGCGCTTTGTTCTTCTCATAATTGGCCCGAACCTCTGGCGAAAATCGAGCAATCAACTCTTCTTCAGTTGGAACGGTGTAAGTGTACAAAAGCACACCAGTACCGACAATACCGATACCCCAGCTCCAAACACGGACCCATCTATAGAAGTTGGACATTGTGTTGTAAGCAAAAATCTATCCAATGTAATTAGTTAGTTTGTTTGATCACGTGATTTCTTATCATGTGAAACATGTCACATGGTATAGTCACATGATCCATTAAAAATCACCTAAGGGAGATCACATGCCGGCGATGCATCACATGATTTCAAACTAGTATCAGAATGCATTTGAATTAGATGATAAAAATTCATTTATTATATCCCCAAAAAAAATAAAGAAGACTTCAATTGTCTCTTCATCCAATCCCACTAAATCTCCACCAGATTCAAAAGTCAATTCACGTCTGACATCACCCAAACCTTATTCATGGTACGAGGCACAGCCCATCGTCGCACACATCTACAAAAAAAAAATCAACATAAATACAGGCCCTCGCCCCCTATACGAGCTATACGAGCTTACTTCCTCTTATCACTTAACCAATTCAACGCCACAACCACTTCTTCTCTTTCAGAATTGCATCTGTTCCTTGAAATATTCAAATTCAACTTAGTCTCCCTCGATCAATTCAACATCTGATCATTCATGTCGGACGACAAAAAGAACACAGGCTTCAAGAGGAAGTTCCATCTGAAGTCTAGGAAAGGCTGCTCTACTTGCAAGAAAAGAAGGGTCAAATGTGATGAAGCAAAGCCGCTGTGCAACAATTGTGTGCGTATGAAACTTGTTTGTGGATATCTAGACGATGCTGGTGACCACGGCCCAAGTTCCAAACGACAGAAGGCTCATGTCAAATCAGAGGATGATCTGCTTGTTTCGTCACCAGACATGCAACAGGCAACGCCGGGAAAGACTCCATCGCCTCATGGGAAGCAAGATAGTGCTACTCCCTCGTTGATTGCATCGGCATTGAGTTCGGGACTCTTGAATGCTGGCAACTTAAACAACATCAACTTGAGCCATTTAGTCAACAACTTGAGCAACATAGGCGACTTGAGCGGGCTCGGAAACTTGGCAAACTTAAGTAGCTTGGCTGTATTGGCTCAACTTCCCATCGATTTGTCGGCGTTAGGACCTCAAATGGCAGGAATGAGTCTAAGTCTACCCGGATTTGGTGGTCTGTCGGGTCTGGATGGTCACCCTTCGGCAGTAGAGCCACCAGAAAACGTACTTGGAAATCACATATCTGTCAACACCTCCCAGCCGAATTTGGGACTCCAAAACGTACGTGCAGATGACCTCCATGAAGATGTGTCCGATGATCCACCAGTAGTCCTTCCAGAGCCATACCAGGAGCCTCCTAGCATTTCGCCCAATGTGTCCAATATGCCCAATCCATTGGCACTGGGCGGTTTGGGTAACTCCGGTACATCTCCATTCTTTAACCAAGGCTCCAGTGGCCTTAACATGCTTGATTTACGTCTTATGTACCACTACACCACACAGGTGGCCAGCACTATCACGGGAGCTGGTATTTCCGACACAGATATATGGAACCATGATGTTCCAATGCTTGCGTTCGAGTATCCATTCTTGATGCATGCAATCTTGGCATTTAGTGCAACCCATTTGTCGAGAACAGAGAAGGGCCTCGACCAGTGTGTCACCTGCCATCGTGGAGATGCACTTCGACTTTTACGAGAGGCTATTTTGGATATCAACAGCGATAATACCGACGCATTGGTGGCCAGTGCCTTGATTTTGATTATGGACTCTTTGGCCAATGCATCTGTTCCGTCGCTGACGTCGCCCAAGTCACTTCCTGCTTCTGCGTGGATTTTCCACGTCAAAGGTGCTGCCACAATCTTGACAGCTGTGTGGCCATTGACGGAAGCTTCGCGATTCTACAAGTTCATCAGTGTGGATTTGGGAGATTTGGGCGATATCATCAATGAAAAAAGCCAACTTTCGTCAATGGAACCCCATTCATATGCCAACTTGGAGTGTCATGACTCTGATATCGCGGACTTATACCCTGTGCCCATCAATTCTCCTTACTTGATCACGTTAGCATATCTTAACAAACTTCACAAGGAACGCTACAAGGCTGACTTTATTTTGCGTATCTTCGCCTTCCCAGCGTTGCTTGACAAGGACTTCTTGACGCTTTTAATGTCTGGAGACATCAAGGCCATGCGGATCATGCGGTCTTATTATAAGCTTTTACGTTCGTTTACTACTGAAATGAAGGATAAGGTCTGGTTTTTGGAAGGAGTCTCTCAGGTTCTTCCGGTAGACGTCGAGGAATATGCTGGTGGAGCTGGAGGAATGCACATGATGCTTGACTTTTTAGGAGGTGGCCCAGCCATAGTGGAAGATCACGAAGTGGATAAAGATCTCTCCATGATTGACCCTGGCGGCCAAATCGCCAACAAATTAATCGACACCAATAATCTTCCAAGCGACATCACCAGCAATTTGGATATCATGCAAGGCGACAACGGAATCATGGGCATCAAATAATCTATTAGGCTGCTAGGAAACAAGCCTATCCAATATGTAAGGCGATTCCATCTGGCCCTTTTGTGGGGCTACTTTACGGGGATACTCTAAGTCATTTAGGAGATCGTTACCCCAAACTTAAAATAACAATTAGGATATCTGGCAAGAACAAGGTAATATGGAAAAAGGCAGTTATATAAATCACGTGCGGGCCTACCGTAATGGGACAATAAATTCTCCACCTGGACATTGAGAAAAACAACAGCGCCGAGACAAACCCAGCCCATTTCAACCAAGTTTAGATAAGTACAACGCGTCAGTCACAATTCATCAACTCTATCAACCTTCCCATGACTCTTTTCTCGACATTATTATCGTCTTCGTTCCCCTCTGGCTTATCTGCCCCTAATTATCGGGTAATCAGGGTCGCGAATGGAGTGCATACAGTTGGAGACCAGAAACACCAAAGTTTTTTCTCTACAAACAATCTGTGAAGTCAAGTCTACACATTCATTGAACCACTTGCTCGTGCTGTTTTACTGACCAAAGTATATCCACGACTTTTTCTGCTTCTGAGAATCTACCCCTGTTGCTGAAATTAGCTGCCAACCCCCTCACGTGACCCCACTACCCCCTTCAAGCGTGAACCTCACCCCAGTGATACTCCCTAGGTCAAAAACGTCCTAGCTCCCCTTGTGAATTCGACAGTTCCCCCTGAAAATGCAAACTATAAAGTGTGTCGTCGTTGGTGATGGTGCCGTGGGTAAGACCTGCTTATTGATCTCATACACAACATCTAAGTTCCCTGCGGACTACGTTCCCACTGTTTTCGACAACTATGCCGTCACAGTGATGATCGGCGACGAGCCTTTTACCTTGGGTCTTTTCGACACTGCCGGACAGGAGGATTACGATAGATTGAGACCGTTGTCGTACCCGTCCACTGACGTGTTCTTAGTGTGCTTTAGCGTCATTGCACCTGCATCATTCGAGAACGTTAAGGAGAAGTGGTTTCCTGAAGTGCATCACCACTGTCCTGGTGTGCCTTGCCTTATAGTAGGAACGCAGATTGATTTGAGAAACGATGAGGTGATTTTGCAAAGATTACACAGACAGAAGTTGTCGCCAATCACAACTGATCAGGGTGAGAAGTTGGCCAAGGAGTTGCGTGCCGTCAAGTATGTGGAATGTTCGGCATTAACACAGAGAGGTTTGAAAACCGTGTTTGACGAGGCCATTGTGGCGGCCTTGGAGCCTCCTGTCATTAAGAAGTCGAAGAAGTGCACCATCTTGTAGATTTGTTGATTTTCCTTTATGCCTTTTTGACGCTTCATATCCAACGTTGCCTGCGCATGGGCACTCTTTTTTATAACTCGGTTACGTCGCTGGTTTAAATACACATGTATCAGTATAACATGGTAGGCTTCAAGATTTTACAGAGAATGATGTTTACAAAAGAACCAATCGTTTGGTATCAGGGCCCATCAATCCATGTCGGTTGTACCATTTTCTGCGGTCCTGTATTTAATCGGAAAAAATCGAGAAACTTGGGGCGTCGCACATACATACAAGAACTAACATAGTGAGCCATCAAGCGCCAAAAGGACTGCCAAAATTACCTCAATGGACAGTTTTTTTTTTTCTTTTCGATTTTCTTCTTTTCTGCGTCATCTTTTCCTTCCCCTCCAACACGAAATTGATTTCGCCACTGTCCCCCTCGGATAGTTTTAGCGCCATGCAGCTGAGACAAAAAAAAATTACTCTAATGTATGGAATCCCGTCCAATACACTAACAATAGGATTTGCAACGTCAACGCACTTTGCAAGCATATTGTGCATCAAGATCAACTAAGTGTGGAAACTTTATTTATACTTATAAATCCTTGTCTCAGTGGTTGCAAATAAAAGAAAAAGTAAGAGGGCAAAATAATAAGTAGAACAACTTACCAAAATTTATTATCATACTCTTCCACAGTGCTCCCCACCAAACTAACCCTGCACGCCTCAACCATGCAGCTTCATCGATTGCTACCAACGTTTACGAACGTGCACAGGTAGAATAATCCGGAACTTAGACATTTGATATACCGTTTTGCCCTTATCAGTATCCTCCGTTTATTTTTGTGATAATCCTCCACTGTCTGTTGCAGCCCATTGACCATGTCTGCAAGATCTAGTTCTTGCGCTAGTAGTCTGTCGCTGGAGTTGCATACTTACAGTAACAACCTGGGATCCACCAACAGTGGCCGGCTCGACTCATGGGGTCACGAGTACTTTCGGGGCTCCTTCTCGGATTCACCAGGAGTCGTTCTGACCAGTAAGTCTGGCTCTACCAACACCCAGAGCTCTGTTAACAATATACTGGCTACTCCCAGAAAGCTGAAGGTCACCAAGGAAGATTTGTTGGCATACCAGCTGTACGGAAACGACCTCAACTTTGTCATGGACCAGAACGAATACCTCAAAACTCTGGCACTGCCGTTGCACAGCCAATATGCTGATTACGAACTGATCCCAACCAATATAGTGGACGGCTACACGATTCAGGCTCAGCTCACTACGCAGAAGTTGGGCCTGCTCCTACATTATGCAAAGAACGATTCCCTGGGAGACCCAGTGATTTTGCGACTCTCTCCAAACTTCGTGGATTCCGTTCGTGTGGCTCGGTTCATGAATGAATGGTATTTGACCTCAGGTCTCAACCCTCCCACCCGTCACAGACTATGGTCTAACCCTCGCTTGTCCAACCCATTTATTCTGTCATCTTCATCTAACATTAATGATCCAGTGCATAGAGCCTCGCTCTCTCGCCCTATTACACTTCCAAAAGATATGCCTGGTGTTCTTTATCCATTGTCAGTTGTTGATATCGCAGTGGAGATTGATGGCTACCAACAAAGGCGAATGGGTCTCGTGTATCCAGATAAAGGATATAGAACCATCCGAGATTACCACGTGGCCAAAGCGAGAGCCCATGCTGCTATTGGGGACTGGCACTCAGGAGGCAGCATTCGTTCCACCATCAGTGAGGTCAGTGGAGAGAAACCGAGTCTGAGCAGATACTTGATCAAGAACAATTTGGGAAGTGGAAATTTCGACGACTTGTCTAATCGAGTTAGTCAGCTTCCGAAGTCGAACAAAGCCATGGTAGACATCTTGCTAGATGTCATTGAGGTCCTCAAAACGATCGCAACCGTTCATGAACTAGGTATCGTGCATAATGGACTTACCAGTCACCACATACTTCGATCTATGACATGGTCTGGTGAATCTCTGTCTTCTGAAAGAGTTACTATTACCGGATGGGACTTTGCGTTTTCCATTGTTGGCGAAGACTCCTCTGAAGCATACAGAAAGAAGTACATGTCCGAGATTCCAGACTTGCTTCCATATATGTCGCCTGAGAATACCGGTGAGACCGCCAACTTGGTCGACTATCGTACAGATATTTACGCCATGGGAATTGTCCTTTACGAGTTGGTGGTTGGATGTCTTCCCTTCCAGTCAGGGAGCCCGACCCGTCTAAGAAGAATGCACCTCAACGAGAAACCTATCGCACCCATCATTCTTGGTCAGGGTTGGTTGCCTCAGTCCCTCAACGATATCATCATGAAGTGTCTCGAGAAGGATCCAGTTAACAGATACATGGAGGTCCACTCGCTAATCAAAGACTTATTGGTCGTCACTGACGATCTCTTAGCTTTGGACGACAACGAAATGCAGAAAGCATCCAGAAAGTCAATAAGCGCCGATTTAGGATATAGTCGAGAGAAGTGTGGCCAGTTCCCTTACTTTTCTTCGTTCTTGGCCAAATTGGCACATGATCAATTCACTCAGGACGTTCTTGAGAGCTTCAACGATCATAAAGAAGGAATGCGGTACATACTCATACAAGGTGAGAGTGGTGTCGGAAAAACAACCCTTATCGATGAGATTCAGATTGCAGCTGTTTCAAAGTACAATTTTGTCATACCTTGGAATTACAATTGCTCAGATATGAATGTTACCAAGTACTCGTCTGCCATACATGGCCTCCAGACTGTTTGTAACCAGATTTTATCATCGTCCAAAGAAAATATAGCTGAATGGAGGCATATATTCACATCTGAGGTCGACGTGGACATGAGTATTCTATTTCTGTCTATTCCAGAGTTGAAAGTATTGTTGGGTCCCCGGTACAAGAGTATTCGTTCGGAAAAGTCTAGGGCAGTCTACCCAACCAAGGACCTAACACCGAATGGCCTCCCTGTTGAGTCGATTAGTGACCTCTTGATGTTAGACTCTGATGATTCACATTCTGACCTACTGGTCTCTCCAAAGGATTTGCTAGTACAATCTGGTTTTGAAGAACAGAATATTGAATTGCGTTTCACCTACATGATCAGAAAGGTTTTTAGCCTTGTTGCATCAAGAGGATTGACTGTTATACTTGATGGAATCCAATGGTGTCCTAAAAGCGAATTTTTGCTTATAAAAGAAATTGCTGACTATTGTTTCAATAATGCTGAATCCCCTAGTATTTGTTTGGTTGGTGCTTTTGGAACATCTAAGGAAGAATCCGCTTTTGGTTCGGAATATTCAAGTTTAGAACCTATCAAAGAACTACTATACTCTGAAAAGGTGGTGGTCAAGGAATTTTCAATGGATCCATTGGACAAGTCTCAATTCGAGAGCTTTGCAATGCTGATATCTTTTCCCAAGTCTTCCGATGCCGCTCTGAATGACCGCCTATTGAATACTATTTATGAGCGAAGCTCAGGTAACAGATTCAATATGAAGACAATTATGTGTACTTTACATATCATGAACCAAAGTGAGCAGATTACATTTGATGAAATGGGAGATTTCTTGGACAAAAATTTCGTCACTAATTGTCAGAGTGATATTGTTCTGAAGTACTACGATGTTGTTCTCAAAGACAAGGAAATTGATCTTCTCAAGTTCGCATCCATTATAGGATCCAATGGTGTTTTCAAGCTTTCTGATTTGATGATTGTTACTGGACAGTCATTAAATGAAGTATACGAAACCTTGCAATTCTGTATTGAATCCAGATTTATTGTGCCATCGGGAGTTTACTACAAAGTACCATTTCACTTGCTCACCCAAGACGATTTTCCATTTGATATACCTGATTCCATGGTTTGGGAAATGGCCACCAAAGCCAAGTACAGATTTGAACACGATGCATATCAGATAAAATTGTTGAAGGACATGAAGGAGAAAGGTGAATGGGAAGAATACCACAGACTTTGCGGCTTGAGATATCAGAAGAAGGCATCTCAAGATGTAAACGTGAACATTTCGAACTACTTGAGTTTGTGCACACATCTCGTTGAGTCTGTGAACGTTGCAAGAGAGAATGATTATGAGAGATACTACGAGACTCTCGTCACAGGTGGCCGGTTCGCGTTGGCAACCTCGAATCTAGTAACTGCTGTTCAATTTTTCGAGGCGTCTGCAAAGTTCATTTCTCCAGATGATAAGAGAAGGAAGATAAAGAATTTGCTTACAATCTGCCAGACGAATTATTTACTAAAAAACTACAATGAGTGTATTAAAGTGATACAGCAGGCTGAAGATGATTATGGAAAGGAAAGCAAGGTTTTTTTATTTCTCAAGATCCGTTGTCTTTTTCACCTGAAACAATTTAAACTGGGAGTTCGGCGAGCAATCACTGCTTTGCAAAGTTTGGACGTTGAAATCTCAAGTGATCCGGACAAGTGCGAGGCAATTGCTAAAAAGTTTATAAGCTCGGTGCCATTATCTGTTCCAGAAATTCGAGCAATGAAGGGCTTGAAGAGAGCCACTGATAACAAGTTCTTACTAATCGCTACGCTAATTCTGGACATTTTGGGGCCAACATATATTCTTGGACTTTCTCTGCTCAGATTGGCATTGATGGCTCAACTTGTTCAATTAATGAATCAGTACGGCAAATGTGCTAATTGTGCACTTCCGTTGATTCACTTCGCCAATTACTACATTCAGCCGCATGCTAACATGAGCACGGTGAAGGCTTCTGAGCTTTGTGATATTGCGCTTGATATGATCAATGGTGAAGAAGGCTCCAGCACTATATTGTCTGAACAGATCAATGAGTGCTACATTATATTCATGGCATCGTTCCGGACGAATACTAATGAGTTGCTGCGGTATTCTGACTATTACGATTTTTCAAGTTCTGTAATTGTTAAAGCCCATGATAACTCGCTCGCTCTTCTAGTGATTGGCTCAGGCTTCATTCTTAACTTGATGAGTGGCAACACGGCATCGTTTGTTGGAAAGCTGTCACTTTCTAAAATCGTTCAGTTTGATAGTGACGAAGAGTTTGAAGTGTTTGGCTCAGCAATAAACTTGTGGAGAGATGAATTGAGTTTTGAAGCATACTCGAAGGAGTTTGCCAAGTATAGGGCAATGAAACGACCAGATCTTGAATTCCCATATTTGGCTAATGCTATTTTATGGTGTGTTTCAGAAGGAAGATACAGAGAAGGTGCAGAAATATTCATCGATAGAGCCTATTATGTTCTGAGAAAGCTTCCCATGTCCATTCTTCACTTAGAGGTGTATTTTTATGCATGCATCTGTTTATGCTTCAATGATGCAACATCCACTAGAAATGCTGGACTTGATCTTGCCAAGAGAATCATAAAGGTATTCGAAAGCTGGGCCAATGCCTGTCCAGGTAATTTTGCACCCAAACGCTTCATTTTGGATGCATGCATCCGAAGTAATACAAAAGATGAGTCAACATTGTTTGTTTTGGATTGCTTCGAAGAGGCAATAGAAAGGTCTTCCAAAGAAGGAAGGTGGATGGATGTGGCGAATCACCTATGTGCCAGTTGGCTCATTGGTACTGGTGAAAGCAAGCGAAGAGCGGGTTTCTTTGCTCAGAATGCGCTTTCCATGTATCAAATGATGAAGGATGATAAACAAGTGGAGCGAATCAAAAAAGAATTCGCTTCAGTATTTAGCAGCCATAACTGGGCTGGTGTCGAGATTATTCCAGAGAGGAACAACACGATGTTTGGAGATAGTACGCAGCTCAACCGAAGACTTGAGGGTATCTTCAATGGTGACAAAAGTGAGGCCAGCAAGAGAGTTCAAGGCGCTTTCCGATTGGAAAGCGATCCTCAGGTTGCAGACTTCCAGACTCCCGATATCGGAGATCTCGGAAATCTGGCTTCACAGTCGGAGTTGTCTCAAGCTATTAAGCTCTGTCTTACTATTTCTGAGTCTTCCAACATAGATTCAATTGTTTCCAGCTTGCTTGAGAGTATATTGCAGTTCTCAGGTGTTGACTACGCTGCAATTGTGATGAACTCTACTGGAGGAGAGCCAACAATTAGAGCAATTGGAACGCTTAATAATTTATACAAGCTCGATGACGACCCATTGAGTTTGAGAACAGATTTGGTTCCATACCTGTTGGTGATTCATTGCTTACTTACTGGAGAAGTGATCAACATGGAAGCCAACAAGTCATTCTTCGACGAGAGATTTGGTGCTGATCACTACTACACACATAACCCATGTTCCTCAGCATTGGCAATTCCAATCAAGACATCGACGGTGTTGGGAATGGTCTACTTAGAAAGACAAAACCCTGCTAACGAAATCAGGAATGGAAAGCACTACTTTGACTCCAAAATGGTGGATTTGCTCGACTTGCTCTGTTCCCAATCTGCCGTTGCATTTAGCAAGTCCATGCTTTATAGTCAGATGGAGATGGCAAAGAAGACTGCTGAGGATGCGACTGCCGAAAAGGCTAGTTTCTTGGCCAATATGTCACATGAGATCAGGACGCCATTCAATTCGTTGTTTGCTTGCTCGGTATTCTTATTAGACACTGAGTTGAATACTACTCAACGTGAGTATGTGGAGACCATTAAGAACTCTGCTTTGGTAACTTTGAGTATCATTGATGGTATTTTGGCATTCAGCAAAATCGAGCATGGCTCGTTCAGTTTAGAGAGCTCCCCATTCAACATTAATAATACCGTCGAAAGTGCTATCCAAGTGGCCAGTGAACAGGCAGAAGTGAATGACCTTGAATTGGTGTACTTCAATAACTGTCCAGATATTGAGTCGGTGATTGGAGACTCCACTAGAATGAGACAAATCATCATAAATTTGGTGGGCAATGCAGTGAAGTTTACCATGACGGGACACATTATTGTCACGCTCAGAGCTTCTGTTATCCATGGAAACAGATGTGACGTCCAAATCACTGTTGAAGATACCGGAATTGGAATTCCATCCGAGTCCCGCTCTAAAGTTTTCGGGGCTTTCTCACAGGTAGATGGTTCTTCAAGACGAGTTTATGGAGGTTCTGGACTCGGACTTGCAATCTCCAAAAAATTGGCAGACTTAATGAATGGGGTTATTTCTTTTGAAAGTGTCGAAGGGAAAGGTTCCATCTTCTGCTTTTCGGTTCCTTTGGAAGTTGAGTATGTCAAGACAAAACCTAAGTATGCTTCTCAAGATACTGCTATAGTGATCCTGTCCAAGTTGCGCAAGCAGTCACTTCAGTCGTTTTTGGAATACTATGGATCTAAGGTGACAACTTTCGACACCTTTGATGAGCTCATTTCTAGTAAGGGTAAGTTTGATATTATATTCATTGGAAGCAACAACGTGGGACCGGAGCGGATCAAAAGGTCGGCACTTCCCTGCCCAGACTGCAAAATATACTTGATTGCAAAGTTTGGAATGGTGTTCTCGGAGTTGTCATTACAAACGATGAAAGTCGATGCATTGATATTCACTCCAATTAATAGAAGTAAGGTTGAAGACATTCTCAGGCATCCAAGATTGGAAACTTCAACCGAAAAGATTGCCCCAGCTAAGAGTCTACTCAGTGAAACATATCCACTACGCATTTTGATCGTGGAGGACAATGTCATTAACTTGAGAGTGGCCCTGCAGCATCTCAAGAAATTGGGATACGTCGCCGACCACGCAAAGGACGGAGTGGAGGCAGTTGAAAGATGTGAAGTCAGATTATTGAACGGAGACAAGTACGATGTGGTGTTCATGGACATCCAAATGCCACGCAAGGATGGCATTTCTGCTACTATAGAAATACGAGAGCGGTTTTACGCTCAACAACGGCCAGATCTACTCCCGCGCATAATAGCACTAACTGCTAACGTTGCCGGTGACGAGAGAGCGAGATGTATTGAGTGTGGAATGGTTGATTTTGTCACCAAGCCTATTCTTCCAGAGGAACTACGTCGCGTGCTTATACTGGTTGGCGAAGACATTCGCAATAACGAAATTAATGGAGGAACCTTTTGAATAATACAAATATAGACATCTTTTCAGCACGCCTAGGCAGCGGTCTCCTTGGCCTTGTAGAGCTTGATTCTCTCTGCTTTCCAAGCCTCCAACTTCTCGGTGTACTCGGCCTTCTCCTCACTGGATGGAGCATAGGCAGACTTTTGCACGTCAGTCAATGACCTCCACTGAGAAGCCAACTCCTTGGAAATCTCGCTGAAGTCACGGCCATCGTTGACCCACTTCTCCTTGACAAAAGCTGCGTACTGGTTGGTAGGAGGAGAGGGCTTTGGCTTCCAGATCTTGAGGTTCTCCTGATTGACGGCATCAGCTTTCTTCTGGAATTCCTCCTTCTCGGACTCGGTCAAGTAAGACCACTCCTTGCCCACAGTAGCAATAGTGGCACCGTGGCCAACCTTTTCTTTAATGAAGATATTGAGGCCAGTAACTTTTCTGTAAGGTTTGAAAGCTTTGGCCAAAGTCTTCTTCTCAGCCTCCTCGGCCTTTCTCTTGGACTGAAGCTGCTTGTGCTTATCGGTAACCTTCTTGTGCTGAGACCTCAACTTAGCCAAAACAGCCTTCTCTTCCTTTAAAGACTGTCTCAACTGCTTGAGTTTGGCTTTGTCGGCGTCAATGGTCTTGGCCATTAACACCGTTGTTGAAACGAGTGTTCTGGTTTGAAAAGCTAATCTGGGTGCCAATTGGCGGAACATTGATAGCATGATGGTGTAGTTGGTTTATTGTTTATTGTAAAGTAAACGCGAAAGGGTGACCAGCAGGAATACATATTTAGGAACATGCAATATTGGTGGGATTTTCTTTTGAGTTTAACATTAATTTTCAATTCATACAATCTATGTTTTTAATTTTTATTTGTTAATTGGTTATTTGCATTATGATTCTCATATGGATAATATATGAGTATCGTGTGATTGTTATATGATAAGACGAATAGGAAGTGTGGTTTAGGTCTATATTCAACTGAGAGGAGAAAGTCGTTCAACGTAGAAACTTCAAAATCTAAATTAGACTCAATTAATTCTGAGGAACACCTCTACTCGAAAATCAACTCATTTGATAATTTTCACGTTTTATGTATTTTTGACAGATGCTTTTCTAATACCATTGTGCGAGTTGATTCTCATTTTCCTGGGAAATTACAATCTTCTGCTGGTCTGATAGTTGACCTGGTTACATGCCGAATTGAATCATTACCAATCAGGCAATATTAACAGCCAAAATGAGAGCACCTAAAAGGTCACAAATTGCCACGAGAGGCAATAATAGCCTACAGTAAAAAGGATCTAAAATTCAAATGATAGATGATCAATTAAGGAAACTCATCTTTGTTTCATTTCATGACAATTCATAACATTCATCATGATATCAATAGCTACAATGGCAACATCTAAATCACTGTATCGAGAAACTCAACTAACTTTTTCGTTCCATAGCAGTCATCTCCGAGCTCTTCAACACTCTTTCCCTCTCTAACGTATTCTAAGGGCCTCTCAAAAGACATCATCTCATCGTGAACTCCATATCTCTGGATAAATGCTTGTGCACATTCACTTTTAAACTCAAGTTCATCATTGGAGTATTCCTTGTGATCTCTCGAGTAGTTTTCTGGCAGCCAATCGATGCCCATTGCATACTTGGCAAACCAAATCGCGTCATCCCTCAACGTCTCATCTTCTCCAGCTAGAAGGAAGAGCCTGCGTCTTGGATCACTGAAAGTTGGGAGACATTTCCAATCTTCAGTAGTGGCCGGCACTTTTGTTGCAGGTGACCAGATAAGGCTAAAGCGATCCTCCTTACCTAGAATAAACGATCTCTTGGAAGTATCTGTCATTGCCAGATATGCAACAAGATCTCCGTCTGCATTGGCAACATATGATGAGTTGCGAGCTAGCAGGTCAGGGTCAGGAAAAATCAGAAGCCAAGGCGATACCAATGCCAATATCAAAGGATAATCTTTCTCGCTAGCGCTTCTCAGTCTCAAGAATTGAGGAAAGCCAGCAGCCAAGTTCCCTCCAGCAGAGTCTCCCAAAAGACCAATTCTGGAGCAGCTTTTCTTCACAGTATAATATAAGTCGTACAATTCCTCCATCTGGGTGGGGAATGTATGTCCGTGACTTGCCAATGAGTAGTCCAAAATTAAGATAGAGATACGGCTCCGATTAGAAAGAAGGCAGTAGACTGCCAACACTGTTTCAATATGAATAGAATTTATCTGGAGGAAATAACCTCCACCATGACAATATATAAGGACCAAGTCGTCTGGCTCGCGATTTGGTTGCTCGACGAGCCAGTAGCCCTTCTCCAGGAAGCGCTTTCCATAGTTAGGTAAGTGCTTGACAAGATCAAGTTGAGCCTCGGCCACTTCCCTCAATACAGTGCCCACAGTTTTATTATTAAACACAGCACAATCTCTTATATTGAGTGACAAAACAGCTCGAGCTGCCACGGTCAACAACGAACCACGGAGGTTTTTCCCGTAGCGTCTGAATCGACGGACCCGTCCTAAAGCATAGTATTGCAACGTCACATTGAGTAGCTGCCAGGGAAGCAAGAAGAGAACTTTAAAAGTTTGCGAGGAAAACATTCAACCAATTATTAGTGTCTGGAAGACTGATATTCAGAACGGTTAGTGATATCACTGTAATGGAATGTCGACTTGAAAGTACAAGAATGCACTAGGATTACGGGATCAGCAGAGAAAAACTCGACTTCTGAAGTTTTACAAGTAGTCCAATGAGCCGAGTTTGCTTTCTATATAAGAATTTGTACGCGGGGTTAACATGTTGTGCACTTTCTGGTTTTAGACTGAAGTGCAGTATAATCTACTGTGAAATCTACAGGTAGAGATTGAAACATATGAGCATCTCTGATGTAAAATCAGCAAATAAAAGGGCAAAGAGGATACCAATAGTATAGAGCAAAAAACAACCACTTTAATTGATATAAGAAATACAAGATTCTATTCTCTGTCTGCCAAAAGTTTATAAATGAATTGTGAACTTGACTGGTGAGGATATTGGTGGGGTAATGGAGATACCAGATATGTGAGATTGACGAGGAGAGAAATAAATGGGAACTTCCGATTCTTGCACGGAATCTAAGTTTTGCAGGTTTATAAAATTAGATTAGTAGAACCCACTAAATTAGTTTAGAAAAGAATTATGTATTTCATCGCTTTCTAAGAACTAATGTCCAATATATGTACACGGGGTCATGTACGAAGTCTTTTGGAAACCACATCAACCTATCTCATGGGTGATATGGATAAATGCAGCAAAAAGTTCATTGGGGACTTTACCAGTTCCAGTTCTTATGTGAATGTAAACTCAAACCACTTATACCCCAATCAAGGATTGGTCAGAGTTACAGGTAGACTACTACAACGGAAAAGATAAGTGAATTCCGCCGCATCCAGATAAGGACTCGACAACACTGTCCCACCACATCCTGACCTTAAAGGAGTATTGAACGAAAATACTCAAAATTCAAACTTTTGAATTTTCTTTGTTTTGGAGTATATTTTGATAACTCGTGTTAGGAGTTTGGGTTTTGCTGCAAATGTTGTTGTCTGTCAGTCGGTGGTAGCTATCCTGAGAAGTTTTTGAGAAGTACAGAACAATATGAAGTTGAACAGACCATTTATTTTGATTGAATGAAAGTAAGAGAAGGAAGGAAAAGATACTACTTAGTTATATTTAACAGGATCCAGGAAATGTCTCAAAAGATGTGCATAATCGGTTATAACATACATGATTGAATATTTAACCTACACAATGTAGTTCGGCTTCTCGATTGTACCAAGAACACAGCGTATGCAGTAGAATCAAAGAAAGCTAATAGAATGTTCATAGAAAACTCATAAAGAATGAACATATGAAATGGTCAATGGTACCCCGGAATTCAGAATAGTTGCCGCATGTTCCACTTGTCAGAACCTTAACACAATGTCTCTATCACCAGAATCCAGAATGTAATAAATTTCCAACCCCCCAAAACCAAAAAAAACTGTAAAAAACTGAGTTTCTTCCTATATTATGTAATCGTTATAGCCTTACTTATGACTTTCTTTCAACCTCTATTATCGCGCTAATATTTCCCCAGCATGCGCATTCCTAGAACGGAAATCGCGCCCACGAAGCCGCTAAGATCCTCCCATATATAACGGGCATACTCACCTACGTTTATTGTTCTCCACAAATTTCACATCAACCAAAATTTTCAATGGCTCCTGTGTTGAAAAATCCAAACCTCTTCCAGCCTAAACCGTTCATCAACGGTGACTGGTACGAGTCCAAATCCACAAAGACTTTCAAGGTGTATGACCCAGCAACTGAAGAAGTCATCATTGAATTGCCTGACCAAACTCCAGAGGAAATTGATGAAGCCATCCAGATTACAAAGGATGCGTTCGATTCTTACAGAAAGACCAATCCCGTTGACCGTTCGCGCTGGTTGCGTAACTTGTACAATCTCATGCTTGAGAACCTTGATGATTTGGCTGCCATTATCACTTGGGAAAATGGAAAATGCTTGACCGATGCAATCGGCGAGGTCAAATACGCTGCTTCATACTTTGAATGGTTTTCTGAGGAGGCCAAGCGTAACTACGGTCACACCATCCAGCCTGCCAACTACAACAACAAAATCATCACCTACAAGCAGCCAGTGGGCCCTGTGGGTCTCTTGTGTCCTTTCAACTTCCCATCTGCCATGGGTGCCAGAAAGGCTGCTCCTGCCTTTGCTGTGGGATGTACATGTATCTTGAAACCAGATGGTCAGACCCCATTGTCATCTTTGGCAATGGCCAACTTGGCATCTCAGGCTGGATTCCCTAAGGGTGTGTTCAACGTGGTTTTGGTTTCTGTGGAGTCCACGCCTGCTTGTGGCTTGAAGTTCTGTGAGTCTCCATTGATCAAGAAAATCTCCTTCACTGGCTCTACCCCAGTGGGTAAGTTGTTGATGAAGCAATCGTCATCTACTCTTAAAAAGTTGTCGATGGAATTGGGTGGAAATGCTCCTGTGATCGTTTTCGATGACGCAAGACTTGATCTAGCCGTTGATCAAGCCATTGCCTCCAAATTCCGTTCTTTGGGCCAGACCTGTGTGTGTGCCAACAGACTCTATGTCCAAGAAGGCATTTACGACAAATTCGTGGAGAAATTCGCTGACAAAGTTCGCCACTTCAAGATTGGCAATGGATTTGAAGAAGGTGTCACTCACGGTTGCTTGATTAACACCAGAGCCATGGACAAGGTTGAGGAGCACGTCAAGGATGCACTTTCTAAGGGTGCCAAAGTTGTTGTCAAGGGAGGTACACTCCCTGAGTTGGGTAAGCACTTCTATGCTCCATACGTGTTGAGCGATATTACTCATGAAATGAAGGTGATCCACGAGGAGACTTTTGGACCATTAGCTGCCATTGTCAAGTTCAAGACTAAGGACGAGGTAATCAAAGACTGTAATGATTCTCCTTATGGTTTAGCTGCTTACGTATTTTCCGAAAACTTGAACACTGTCTATACTGTGTCAGAATCATTGGAAACCGGTATGGTGAGTGTGAATACGGGACTTTTCACCGATGCTGCCTTGCCATTTGGAGGTATCAAAGAGTCTGGTTTCGGCCGTGAGGGTTCTTTGTACGGATTAGACGACTACACTGTGGTAAAGTCTATTGCCTTGGGAAATGTCTACGACTAGATCTATGGGGTCATTATAGAGCGAGTATATATTTAATTTTATTAGCAAACATGATTTCTTATTAATCAGGGTTTTGCAACAATTTTGTGTGCACCCGTACCTCCATATACTTAAGCCCATCCTTCACTTCTCTCTACACATACTTAATTGGTATCAATCACTTATGTCGCCGAACGGTCTCTCTGATGGCTTAGATAGCTACTACCTAATAGACTCAGGCGGTATGTATCCTGTTCTTCAAGTTTCATCTCTGCATTCACTAACTTGCAGCTCAATATAGTGTCCCAAATCCATCTCCACTAGATAACTTGCTCAAGCTATATGGATTGGAGCCGATTGCACAGTCTCTTGCCCGGACGAAGAGTGATGGTTCCAAAGGCGTCAAGCTCAGAAAGTCATACAAAAATCATATCCTGGATTTGCCAGGAAAGCACCAGATCCCAGGGGAGAAACCCGTTAATGGCGCCCTTCTAGATCCAGAACTTGCTCAGCAACCAGACGTAATAAAGCAAATCGGAAGCGATCTTCTAAACCACGCTCTTAAGTTTGACAAGTCACCAATCAACGGCATCCCTGGGTTCAATTCGGCAGATTTGGCCATTAATGATCAACATACTTTGATGAGAGGCGACGACATGAGCGAGACTGACGAGTACAAGAAAAAACGGAAAAAGAAGCAGCAAACGAGTGGTGGTGATGTCAAGAGACAACACTTCTGAACTGGGATTTACTTAGGTAATATACATTTTGTTATAATACAAGTGCTCAAGATTTTCTAGTCAACGACTGGCGAGCATTAGTCGCTCGAGAAGACAACTTATTCTTGATCAACAGCGTCGAATGCAGAAGCAATGCGTTGATGATCATCTTTTTGAAGATTTTGGCTATGTCCAACATCGATGTCACCTGCCGCTCGATGGTCCATTCGGGTAAGCTGATTTTGAAATTTGTGACGTTGAGCCATCTCATGAAGCCCTTCTTCATCCTCAATGAAATCATGAGTTGGAAAGAATGGCAGGTCATGGACACAATCGTCAAGTATTGTTTAGACCGCTGAAGCATCTCGGTCACATTATCATCAAAATCTGTGGTGGTGTCTGACCCAGAATTGAGAGACAAGTTCTTGGTTGATGCCTTTTTACCGAGGTGACGACCAGACGATGATTGGCTTCGGTTTCGGAAATGAACCTCTCGACTATGTGAGCTGTTATCCCCTTTGCTTCTTCCTTGTCTCGGCACATCTAATTCAGAATTCTCCAATCCCTCCTTGTTCGAATCCTTGTCAGAATCACTTCGATCTTCATGTTCACTTTCGTCCACATTTCCATCAATTTCATCTCGCTCTCTGACAGCTTCCTCAACCTCCTTCATCGCAGACACATCCACCAACAGTCCATTATCTTCATCAGTATGGAAGATGAACTTCATCAATGACCGTCCAGTTTCCTCATCAATTTTCACATCGAGTGGCTCTGAACTGATTTCAAAGCTCTCCATGATCCGAATCCCACCAACAGGTCTATTCATAGACCACTGTACAGCAATCGAATCCTCATCTTTTGGAGAAATTGTCTCAAGGAATTTGTCGTAGTAGGCATTTTTAAGTTTGTTGATACCCTCGATATTCTTAATCTCGATTCGGTTATCGTTTGAACCATCCTCTTTGATGATTCGCTTGCACACTCCTCTGTCAATCTTCAAATCGAGGATAGGTTCTCTTTTATCAGTGAGCATGTGGAGCACAATACAATCTGCAGCAATTCGCCATTCTTCCATGGCTTGAGCCGAAGAATCTGTAAACACATCTCCACTGAATAATGTTTGCAATATTAATACAATTTCAGTGCTGATGTTCTGCTCCTCGGAATGCAAAAGTAAATATTCATTGAGAGTCTCGTTGTCCATATTGGAAGTTTGACGGAAGTTGTAGTTGTTCAAAACCTTTCTGGTACCCTCCAAGTACCTGCGGAGTCCAAGTAAATGACCATGCATTGCCGAAAAGTCCTGGAAATTGATAGAGAACTTCAACTTGGAGAGTTTGTCTCTCAAATGAACGCTCATTGGCTCCGAATAAAGCAATAAGCTCAACAGTGTTACATAAAGTGTAAAATATTGCTTTGACGTGCAGTGAATCGTTAGATCAGGACAATCAACCCTAAATCTGTTCACATTGTCATCACCATTTTCCTCGTCGTCCACTCGGGATGAAGTGTCAGGGTTTCCCTCAATCTGATCAATTTTAGACCCCAGAGCCTTTACTTGATCATAGGTGATCATGAGTGACATTCTCTCTATGAGAATGTCCTTCGCTGGTGCAAGAGTATTATCTTTACACACCTCAATGCCCAAGAATGGTGGCCAGTTGCTCGTGGTTCCGTAGGGATGTTTTTCGAGCAAAGCGTCTCGAGATTGCAAGCCCTGTTTGTCCAAAACCATCACGCATGCATCGTGCAAGAGGAAACCATACCTATCTTCGAGCTCCTTTGGACTTACCGACAAGTTGTTCTCCTTATTGATAATCGAGAGAATCTTTGCTTCCAAAATAGGAGCAGTAATGAGGACAACAGAATTCTTCTCCATTTCAGATCCTAACTGGATCTGCGGAGATACAATTTCGACTTTGAAGTCTTCTTTGAACATCTCGGATTCATTAACAGACCGAATGATCTCATCGAAATTGTCAAGACGCTCTTGCGAAGATTGAAACTTATTAAGTTGGCCCTTAAGCTGCTCAAGGGAACGGTGTGTTCCTGAGACCGATGAACTCAATGACAGTAAATCATCTTCTCTCGTATCATTGTTCTTAACGAGCTTCTCAAGCATGGACATGAATTCATACGAAAGGTATTTTTTCAAGTTGCCGTTGAGTTGAACAAAATGAATGTACTTCATGAACAAGTTCCGAACCTTCTCATTCCATTTTAAGAACATTGAAATAAGAACAAACCTGTTCTGGAAATGCTCTCGGTATGTGCTCACAGTCGCTATACTATCTTTTCGACCCAAACGTTTTCGTTGAGACTCACTGATCTTAATGTTCTTGTTCAATGTATCAATTCTTTGAGATATGACTGAGCTCTCAGTCTTATTGGTCTCAGATCTGTGGAGTCCATCCTCTAAATCAGCTAGACGCTTACGGAAAATCCCTATTTGAGTGGAGAAGATATCAGTTTGATTCAACGTGCAATCGTGTGTCTTCTCATGACCCCAATCAACATCTTCACTGTTGCTGGAAGTATCTCGAATATATGAAAATTTCTCCGAGTACATCAAAGGAAGCACCTCAACCTTCGTCTTCACTCCTTTAGAAGTAGGAGCAAAAGCATCATCAAAATCATGACTATCAAACCACTGGTAATCGTTGTCAAAAATGGTGAACTTGCACTTTTCATCGAATCCAGAATCATTCAGATTATACAAGTTCTTCTTGAACTTGGTGAGAATGGTACGCAAGTCAATTTTGGTCAAGGAAACCTCTCCGCGGTTGAAATTCATCTTGAGAATCTTTTTTTGCCGACTTAAGTCCTCATGTTCGTCAATTCGTGGTTCCTTTCTTTGGTGTAAATCGACCAAGAAACTATCAATCTTGGCTCTGAGTCCGACAGATTCCGAAAATTCTTCACTATCGTCAAGTTCCTGGCCTGTTTGTATATGACTCAAGAATAGATTCTTAAGATTGAACAAATACTTGATAGTATACAAGTGCTCTGAAAATTTAGTAGTTTCCTTTGCTTCCAGGAATATCTTTCCCTTTCTGACAGGAAGCATCATATTCCCATGAAACAAAGTCCACCAAGCAAAAAATTGGTTGAAAGCTCCTCGAGATAAATGGATGGTATTATAACTGGACTCCGAGTTGGCAACAAGTGAAATAGCCATGTGGAGACGGTCACTTCTAAAACCCTTGTAACTATCATGCCCCTCCTTGGTGTATTCCGGATTGCACAACTCAATTTCCCAGTGAGGTTTACCTTTCTCTGTAACTTCGTCATCCAGAACTAATCTTTGCAATAGGAATCCAACGACGAAATTCACACCACCACTTAATTCAACAACACCCTTCTCCATGACGCTAGTATCCATATTTATCATGTCTGCCGGTGAAACTTGGGGCCCATCTAAATAATAGGCATGGCAAGATGTGATCATTTTGTCATTCGCTGAGAAAAGCGTAGGCTTGGAGCTCTCACGGCACCAACATACAAGTGGCCCATTCATGTAATTAGGAATATACCACGACACTTTCCGTGACAGGATGTTAAAAAAATTCAATGAATTCTCATCCTCATTAGTATTCCACTGAACGTGGTCCTCAAACGCAAGGACGAAACCGGATGAAGTGTTGAATAAATCATAAGGGTCTCTTCCGCCTTTGATGGCAACTTCGATGCTTGAGTGTTTTCCTGTTTTCATCTTGCACTTTCCATGGAGAACAAGACGCATTTTGTCCCAAAATCCAAGTTTTCTAGATGGGTCAACAGGTGGTTTTGAGAATTGGTCCCAATTCAACATAATTTGCTGGATAGCAAATTGGTAACTTTGGCCCCATACAAACCTTGCGGCTGCTTTTGAATCAAAGAGAATATCTAGATTGGTGTAGAGCTTCACTGTGGACATAGACTTTTCAATGACAAGTTTGTCATAAGTGTTCTTAGACCCAGTGTTATCGGAGACATTCGATAGCGGAACCTCAAGTCTTCGAAGGTGTTCCTTGTCTTGCACCAAAGCTTCACTAATGATCAAATGACCCTTCATTACTAATGCTTTGCCTTTGCCCTTATGATCATTTGATTTTGGCAAGTATAAAAGCGGAAGAGGGTAGTCTCTCATGTGCATTCTCATCTCATCAAGAGTCAAGTTAACATGTGTTGGAATGATCATATTATATCGAGTATCCTTAGGAACTTTTTGCCCATAATCATAGATGAAGTCCGGAAGTTTCTCCAAGCTAAAATGAGGAGATGATAAGTCCAAGTCAAAACCGGTCATGACTGTTCGCAATAAAGGAGCATGTTTGTAGTAAGCCGAAACTCTTTGGTTTTCACCTTCTGGAATCTTGAGCTCAGCACCAAAAAGAAACTCCTTATTGTTAATAATCTCTTCTGCTAGCTTTGATTTGTAAACTTTGACTTTACGAATCCACAGCGTTTCGATGGTCTTTTGAGCAATGGTAAGCTTTTCCTGATAATCGTCGTCTTCAAAGTTGACATTGCTACACCTTTCTTCAAATAAGTCCATGATTTCCAACCGCTTTCGTTGTTCAACGAGACCCAATTGATAAATCATATTCAAATCGGCTTCGAATGGGTCATCTTCGACGGTGTACATCAACTTCGCAGCTCTCACTCTCATGTGCGGTATTTTCAAAGGAGGAGATTCCTTTGGAAATACGATATCATTCTTCTTCTCTGACTTCAACAACATGACGAGATGCTTGGCAACTTTGATGAAGACACCAAGATTGTCAAAGAGCTTATAGACAACAAATCTGTGAGGTTGAATGATTCTCAAGGAAGGAGTGTAGAAGACTATCTTGTGAGATTCACTAGGATCATTGATCTTAACATTCAACGAGTCCAAGCAAATCATTCTGTTCCAGTACCCATTTATAATAGGAGAGTCAGCCAATAACCTAGCAAAGCCGTTTGTGACATTGATAACTCCTTGGGAAATCTCAGTAGCAAATGAATAAAGTTGTAAACGAATCTTGAAATCGTTTGATAGAGCTGCAACGTAATTAAATCGTTGAACGCTGAAATCAAAAAGCAAATACTGCTGCATCGATGCTTCTTTGCGTTCGTCCTCTTGCAGACGTAGGGTTGCAGTGCTTCGTTTGATTTTCTCCTTCAAAATCTGCAATGGCTCAATGATTGTCACTTTTAATAGGTAAATCAGTCCTATCATGGCGAATATTCTATGCCTATCAATCAAGCCCAGTATCTCATCGATATCAAAGTCAAGGATGACTTTGGGTTTGTTGTCAACTATAGCAGCCGAGAGTGAGCTGTAAATGGATGGGAAATTCAAAACTGGTGATGACTTATTTCCGTTCTCAATGAGGCACAATGAAACATCTCTGGCCGATGTAAGAACTTTCCAGAATGTTTGCTTACTTTTCTCTCCGCTTAAGGTATCCAGAGAAGCATTTGACGGTGTTGATGAGGTTTCATTAGCATTTGCGCTCAGTAAATTCCACTTGAACTCATCAATCGAGAAATTCAAAGCATTTTTCGTATCATTTACTCTCCTATCCTTAGACTCTGAGAGTTTGGATATAAGGTCTGGAGGAAGGAGTGGAGAGGCAGATCCAAGTTTGACATTCATGTTCGAAGCGTGAAGCTCCAACTCAACGAACCAATCAGGTAATGCTGAAAATACAGAATCCATGGTTATGTCCTCCATATTTTGCTTACGATTTCTGGAACGCAAAGGATTGAAGTCACGCTCTCTGACAATTTCAGCGTCATAATGAATATTGATTAAGCCGTTCTTCATCTGGTGGTTGACTACCTTCGTGCATATCTTGATGAGGGAATTGATACCGTTGAGAACATCTGGTTTGGCTAAACTGATGAAACCACCGGAGACTCCCAATGCAACTTTAAACTTGAGATTTTTCATGACTTCAATCTTCAGCCTCATATGAGAGAGACCGAAGAACTCCTCTTGGTAGTGGCGGTTCCCATTGGCGGTCTCGTATCGTTCACTGAAGGTCATGCATGGGTGCAAAAAGTGAATCTTGCCAACATAATCATCCAATTCTGTACTCAAAGCGTGGAATGAAAACGTAGCAAAAGAAAGCATGAGAATTTGGGTGGTCTTGTCAATTCGGTTGCGGAGTACAGCTCTAGGCTGTTCGACTGTGAATTTGAAATCGATTTTGGGATAGAACTCGTTGAGAAGAGCAACAGATCTATCGATAATTTGAGCAAAACGAGTGACTTTACCCTCTGGTTGGCGAGTATCCGGAGTTCCTGGAATAGAATCTGCAATCCTCGTATCATCGTCAGTCTCAGAACCCGACAATTCTGGGTCCAGATGAGTTGTAAATGCCTCAGGTTGAGACTGTTTAATTTTGCGAAGTTTCATGATTTTCTTAACCACGACGTAGTTGTATGCCAAAAGGGCAAATTGGTCAACATCCACATCGAGCATAGGGCTACTACCCGTCAGAAATAACTCCATGACGCAGTTTTTGAAGCCGTTTCCCCTAGCCAAATTATCCGTAACATTGGACTTGAACGTAAATGTGCAATTGGGGAAATTAAAGAACTCGTCCACGTCAGTAACTGTCAGTTCAGATTCGTGATGGAAGTGTCTTGTGACAAAGCTTAACTTCAACAACAGAGCAGAGCTTGTGAGCTCAAAAGGATGATCATTCGAGTTGTCAAAGAGAACATCGAAACCCGCGGCGTTGCCTTCTACTCTGGCCAAGTTGCAAGAAACGGAATTGACAGAAAGTCTCAAGGACGAATCTGGTTTGTCTTTCTCGAGAAATTCTGTCAAACTGCATTCGTCAGAAGCAGAAAAGAGGGGAATTCCATCAACTTCTGAATTTGCAACAGTGATAGAAAACTCCAGGAAGCTCGTGAAGAATTCGTTGTGGAAATTGGTGAGCGACTCGAGTTGACCTTCAATGTCGGAGATTGAATGGTGATGCTGTTTCTTACGAGGACTCAGAGCTAAAAGCAGCTTTATGAGTCCAAAAACATCCACCTTCAGACTGTCCAAATGAATTTGACAGGATATGTCACCAAGCTGGCCAGTTTTAGTCTGGATAGATAGGCTGGTCAGCACTGAGAACTGGCCTAATGAAAATGGAAGTCGTGTGGTCAGCACCGAGGCCACACCTTCCAATTGTTTGATTGCCAATAGACACGAATAGTAATAAGCAGATTTTTCGTGAGTGGTGTTGCGCTTCTCCACCTGGACCCTGAATGAGTCTATGTCCAAAGTTGCTTTCTGATGATTCAACGTGAGTGTCCGCACGTCCAAGTCGATTGTCGGAAACATCTTGGCCACCCAGCGGAAAAGTAGCTTCCCAGCCCAGTTTTTGGGATATATAGACAAAGAGGACGGAGACTCGCTAGTCGAAGAATGTCTTTGTTTCTTGGAATGATGGTTATGTAGAACCACATCTAGGTTCGTGATGATGCATTTTTTCGAATTTCCCCATAATCGAAGGCGGACGGACCTGGCAGTGATGCGGAACCTTCTGGTGGACCACTCGATGGAGTTGAACAGGAAGCCGTTGTTGATGGTGATGTATCCAAGGTGAACTCCGAAGAGGCCATACACCACCCACCAGAAAAGCTTCCATGCCACTATAAGTAGCAATATTAGGTGAGAAATGTGCATATGTCTGGGAAGAGAAACAACAGTGTTTCGTTTCTTGTTGGGCTTGACGATGGTCTGGATATCTTTTACGGACCGACTGGCTGGTATACAGGTGTTTTCGATATGCCTACTTTGGCCGCAACCTTGCTTATATGGAGTAGACTGGAGACAACATGAGGTCATGGAGAGACAATTTGGAATGAATAGGGTTGCGGCAGGGTCAAGATAAGGATACTCTGATATATATTGTTGAGTTGAAATGAACTTTTCTATTTATTCTTGCTTTGTTTTGGTAGGTGTTTATTAAGGCAAATCTCGATATCTGTCAATGGGTTGCGGTTGCTGGCTAATGTACAGAGTGATATTGTGGGGTATATTAACAATTGAATAATGAAGGAAAACGAGAGGAATTATAAAGATTAAAGTGTGATATGGGCAAAAGAATTCATAAAAGCGAAGGTTGAAGCAGAAATAAAGATGACTAGTAGATAAAAATTCAGAAGACATTATTTGGTGAGTATTTAGTATCGTCTATGGGTGAATGGGTCGCGTGGTTAATATGCGGTTCGGTTAAATTGGTTTAGGGCAGAAATTCGGAACAGACGGTAAAGATTTTCGACGGACAAGAGAGTCTTGTATGAATGCATGATTTCGATATCATTAAAATATAATAGAGTTATTCAGCTTTGTGAATTTTACTTTTAGCGAATCTTCTTGGTTGTGTTCGGTGGTACAGTAGAGCCCGGAAAAATTTGAGAGCTTGGAAAGTCAGGATTTGGGAAAGGTCTTGTCAGACAACTGTTGAACACTTGCGCGAGGTTCACCAAAGATAGTGTCCTTTGCAGTTTTGGGACCATTCAATGTCATCTAGAGAGTGATTGAGTATCTCTCGTTGTATAGTTCTTAGTTGGGCCATTCTGATCTTATGAAGTAGGTAGGTAACGATATGAGTATTAGATTTGATAACCATGGTGATTATGTTTTCTATTCTTTTCTATTTTTTTTTTATTTTTATAATTTCTGGGTACTTTCTGCCTATGTCAACCAACTGTGCTCTACTATCTATGAAGAAATTGAGGTCATATCTTATCCGAAGTTGGTAAAGTAAACTAATGGTATTTTCGATTTTCAGAATACGTACTTAGTTTCTTATTTATTTTTTGGCTTTCACATATACGTTAGTTGAACCATTGAAATGCTTTCATCTATGCATCTTCCAGTTATCCCACCCTTATCTTGTCTTACATCTACAATCACTCCGCCGTTCTGCCAAAGTCCATAGTCTGTGAACAATTTGTCAATACGTTATCAATACTTTGTCAAACCTCTGTCCCTTTGTCATATCCTTGCACAGATTCAGTCACTCGCCATTTCCTTCTACAGTTACTCTCACTGGCAACTCCCATTGTTACCTCCATCTTCACTTTCCCAATGTCTCTCTAACGTTTTAGAATCTGTAACTTCGAAGTCTCTTAGACTGCACTTTTCGCACCCATTGAAATCAAAAGAAATCACCACTAAGACTCTATCTACGCCATTAAATCTTGGCCAAAATCACCTTTACCCAGCTACTGTCCAATACTCTTAGACATATGTTGTCCACGACCCAATAAATCCGAATTTGCCCTGCAATTTACTTCATAAAACTCACTACTAATTCTTTCCTTCCATGAACCACGTGACATATCTGATCTCATAGGGCTTATGCCCTCGCCATTCTCGCACTCAAATCCTGCACCCACCGTGGTTTCCCTCCAATGCCTCTGCGAAAAATTTTATACATTTCACCTTTCTACTCCATCGACAAGAAGTATCAAAAGTATGTTCAACAACAAAATCGCATAGATTGTCGGCTTAGATCGTCCATTTATCATCTGCTACAGCTATATTTCCAAGTGGAATTTGGGAAGACTCTCCCATTATCCATTTTTGTTATCAATTAATACGTTTTTCTTTACCTTCGTCCATTATCCATACATCTATTCCGACATCCATTCTAATGGCCAACCCAATACTAACCGTCAGTGGCTCCTAAGATCGTCAAGAAGTACGCTAAGAAGTTCAAGAGACACCACTCTGACAGATACGACAGAGTGGCTGAGAACTGGAGAAAGCAGAAGGGTATTGACTCTTGTGTCAGAAGAAGATTCAGAGGTACCATCCCACAGCCAAACATTGGTTACGGTTCCAACAAGAAGACCAAGCACATGAACCCATCTGGCTTGAGAGTTCACGTTGTCAGAAACGTCAAGGACTTGGACGTTTTGTTGTTGCACTCCAAGACCTACGCTGCTGAGATTGCTCACAGCGTTTCTTCCAAGAACAGAGTCGAGATTGTTACCAAGGCTAAGTCTCTTGGTGTCAAGGTGACCAACCCTAAGGGAAGAGTTTCCTTGGAGGCTTAAAGAACTAATTGGGTCATGACAAATACATAATCATCTGTACTGAATGTAGACATGTAACTGTAGTGCGAGTTGAATGAAGAATTGTCTTTAGCTAGGCTATTCAGCTGGTGTTGCGCGGCATGTTGTAATGGTTGAACTGACCTCGTATTGGTTGAGATATCGTCACATTATTCTTACATGTATGTTCTCCACCTGATGAGAATCGTTCGTAGCATGAATATCGATGATTCGATCAACTTCCTTAGTTTGTCATTGATACATCCAATTCCATTGGGTATTTTCGTGTATTTCCGTGTTATTACTACATGATATCCGCAACGTCTCTTTAACGACGGGACTTAGATCCGGATATCAGCACCGTGCTCACATCTAGATGGTGGTGCTTCTTGAGCTTGTAGCCCAACTCACAGTATCCAGAAGAATCGATTTTAAGATCGTCTGTGTCATGCAATGGCTCCTGGTAGAGGAAACTGGCGTGGCCCTCTAGTGCTGGTGTCTGCGACGGCGTTGGAATAGAAGAATCAAGATTAACTTCTGGAGGAATAGCTTCTTGTTGCACCTGCAACTCCGGTTCTTCACCCAAGTTGCATTGTTCTCCATGAATGTCATCTTCCTCCACAATAGGCAACTGCGAGGAAGATGTGTTCGCTACTTCATCCTCCGCCACACGAGGCAATGCAGCACGATCTGGAGAGGCTCCAACATCAAGCATCGACCGAACTTTGGGCACAGACGATCCCGATGAGTTCAGATTCATAGATACCTCACTGTTGGTCCGCTGCAGGCGGAAAGGCTTATCTTCGTGTGCAAGACGCAAAGGAGTATGCGTAAGCAGCGAGTTTGACTTGATGGATACATTATCGCTGTCGATGGTAGGTGTTGCTGGTGCAGCTCCAACACCCGCCATATCTAGCATGCTCCGCACGGGAGTATGAATATCTGGTGCCTCAGGCTCTTCTGGTGGATACGAAGTAATAGTGTTCTTGCGGGAAGCTGCGCGAGAACTTTGATGTGACGGGGCTCCAGAATGGCTTGAGTGGTGAGAAAACATGAAAGGATCAACGTGTTGGTCCAGGTGTTCATAAACACACATCTCTAAAGTGGTGAACCAGGGGTCCTTGAACAAGTCTTCCAAAGTATAACGAAGGGTGAGTGATGGGTCACAGAGTTTCCAGGCCACTCTTGCAGCACCAGGGGAGTGGAATTGCGCAGCCCACTTGAACTCAGATCCTGGTCCCTTGGTGTAGTCTTCATTATTCTTGAAGATGGGGAAGTTAGAGATGTACCTATCACGATTAAACTTGTAGTCTCTAAAGTGGTGGTCATTGGGAGACAGTTGTTGGAATGGCACTCCAGAGTACACTAAACAGAACAAGAGCATTCCCAAGCCCCAATGGTCCATTTTGAATGGGTCGTAGGCCCAATTTTTGAGGTCGCTCAGTGTCACTTCCTTGAGCTTCATGACTTCAGGAGGAGAGTATGGCGGAGAGCCCACATAGGCAGTGGAGACCTTAATTTCACTGTTGAAGTTTCCCGGCTCTTCGTGACCGTAGTCACTCACACCAAAGTCACAGAGCTTGGCCACACCGTTGTTGTCTATCAAGATATTCTCCGGCTTCAAGTCACGATGCACAATGTCTGAATCGTGCAAAAACTTGAGACCATAGGCAATCTGCTTGAAAATGCAATACCTTTCTGACAACAGGGTACGCTTCCAGCCGGGTTTGACGATCATGTTGAAGAGATCACCACCTCCACAGTAGTCCATGATCATACCCCAACCTCTCGTCATGGCACCTTGAGATTGGATTCGCAAGAGTGCAATTGTATTAACCACATGACGCAGCTCAGAAACCTTTCGAGAGAGAATATATTCCTTGGCTGCACGTTTGTAAAACTCGTCATCAGATTCCTTCAGAAACAACGAGAACTTCTTCAACGCGTAGAGCTTCTTTTTATTTGTGTTTAGGTAGACGATGCGCACATCACCGGAGCCTCCATCGCCCACTTTCTTGTCGTTGTTCTCGAATTCAAAGTCGTCCAAAAGATTGATATGGTCTTCCTTCAACTCATCGGGCAAGTAGTCATTGGGATCAGCAACGGGATTGGCCACAATGCGGCCGCCCGAGTCCGGCCCTCCTTTCAAGTAGAACAGTGCCAGGTGGGTGGCCTGGTTCAGCAACAGCTTGTTGATTCCATATGGATTGTACTTGATTTTCTCATGATGACCTAAACCCGTGGGTTTGGTGGTCGGCAGCGGCCCACGCTTGGGTCCGAAATGGTTGAGAGTCTCTGCTCTTCTCACAGGCATACGACCCGCTGGAACAGGCGCCAGCATGCCAGCATTGGTGTCATTTCTCTTGAGCAGCAATACCAGTGACAGTTTCGACATTGACGTGGACATGGACTCTGCGTCCAGCTGGTCGGTAGATTCCTGTTTGTCATGGTGGTGGTCTCTATGAAAGATTTTGGGCAAGTGGCTGTGGGAAGCTGACCTAGACCTGGACTCCCTGGACTTGGATTCAGAGTCCCCGTCCTTCTTGAAGATGTTTCTAAAGTGATGTTTCTTCTCCATGGTTAAGTGCGGTAGCAATGGACGGCAGCGTTGGAAAACGTTGGGCAGTGGCGTCAGGCACTAATGGGAAAGGTACCAGGTTGGTAAACAAAGCAGGAGAAACAATTGTGAAGTGAAGGTAATTGTATTAAGTTGCGGAGATAGCCTTGAACGATAGGAGAGTACAGGAGAGCTCACATTCCCTGCAGAGGGGGGTAAAGACAGGTTAATTTGGGTTTTTCTTTTGGCGGGTAAGGTGCGTGGGGGGAACCAAGATGTAGTGGTGATTGTAGTAGTGGGCACCAGAGGATGGTGGGGCCGAGAAAATTTCGGTGGGTTCCGCTGGCGGGGACGTGGAATTTGGATGTAAATTAAATGAGTAGAAGATGGGCCTAAAAAGAAAACTCACCATATTGGTCGCGGAAAAATGTGCTGGAAGAGGGAAAATATTCGAGGATAAATTAGGGAACAATTGCAGAGAGTAATGGGGAGGAAATGAGGAAAGTGGAAGGGAAAAAAAAATGAAACGAAATGAAAAACATTAGACAGAACGGAATTGATGGTTCATGATAATAAACTACAAAATTTAATGCTATTCATGATTGCCAGTTTCATAAACACTAATCATTTAAAGCCAAGTGTTTTTTTTTTTGTTTTTCGCCCATGCACCGAAGACGAGGCATAGAAGCCAGCGCACGCTGCATGGGCAAATTGAACGGCTACAACGTGGAGGCCGAATGATCACATTCAGATGGGCAAGACAAGGGAAGATACGGCGATGTCTATGAGATCGATCGTAACTGCGATGTTATTGTATCTTTTTTATGGTGATGTGGTTAATTTTGGCCTTCATAGTTATGGTCATTAGATTGGTGACTGGACTTGTATAGGGTGTGCGAGTGGAAAGATTTGGTAAAGTATTGCTGGTTACTCGACCTCACTGTATGTCTTACCCTGGGTTGTCAGGGCATTGTACTTTACAATTTCTTTTCATTGTTTATTGTCACTCTATTGTGTTAGGTCATTTTCGGGAGGTTCCCAGTTTCTATGGTTTCCAATTTCCATACAACTTTTTTTGGTTGTATTTGGCATGTCCATGACTTCAGTTACATATCTGTGCATATATCTTTCCTCTATGCTGACCATTGCTATGGTCACTCTCACACACATTGCCATGACAACTTCGTAAAATTGTGTTTGAGCCATGATCTAAACAAGGAGAATAGTTTGCTTCCAACTACACTTTGGCTACTAGTCACATGTATTTCGGTAATTGATTCTGGCTCAGCCAATTACTGTTTATGATTTAACATCACCTATCACTTTTTCAAACCTCTCTCTTCTCCTCCTCTGCTCTCTACAATAGTCACGACAGCATTAATATATTACAAAAAGCACCCGTGGGTATCGAAAACAATAACAAATCTCTCAAACACTCTCCTCGTCAGAAGCCTTCTGGTTTCTCTTGATACGGAAGAAACGGATTCCTCCACTACCAGTCTCCTTCTCCAGAACATTGGCTCTAGTGTAAGAAGACTCGTCACCCAATGCTCCCTCACCAACTGGCTCCTGAGTTTCGGCTGGAGGATAGTACTCATTCTCCTCAGCATGTGCACTTCTGACTCTGTCAATGTGCTTCTTGTACGAGTTGTGGATGTTGGCAGCGCACGTGTTGAAGAACACAATCAAAATACCAGCAAAAGCAGCCCAAAGCAAAGCAGTGGACTTGACGCCAATATGAGCATACAAGTTAGCATCCTGGAAGGCGTTTCTGGCCAAAACAGACACGGCGGTCTGAAGAGCAGCAGCGCCGGCAATGAAAAACAACGCAAACACAACCAAAAAGATCACAACCTTATCAATGATGACAAAACAGAAGCCCAAGAGGTCAACAATCAAGGCAAACCCGGTGAAGGCCAAACCCAACAAGATAAATGCAAAGGCAAATCTGGATAAGTAGTAGTAAGTGTCTCTGTTGCTAATGAAATCTTTAGGAACACCAGCACTGGTTCCAAAGTTGTCCACTGGCGAAATTGGGAAGGCTGGGCCAACCTGGCAAGAACCAAAGTTGCTAGAGTCACACACACCCCAGAAAGTCCATGAAGACTGTGTTGGAGCTCCGCTGATACCGGAGGTGTCAGCCTTCAACCAGTAGAACCGGTTAAATGGGAAGTGATTGGTGGACCCGGACAAAACCAAGAAGATCAATACCAAGGTGGTACCGGACAAAAAGAACAAGTTCAATGCAGTGTTTATCACTCTCATTTTTGAAAGAATTGGGGGGTGGGAATTTAGCTAAAAGGTATGGGGCGTAGCTAGGAGTAGGAATGTTTTTGTTGATGGGAAATCAAGCAGCTATACTGAACTCTGGCGCTGGTAGATGCAAACAGCAAAAGCGTATAACACTTGGAAGTAAAGCTGAGTTATTAAAAGGAAACGAAGGTACCAGGAAGAAAGAAAAAAAACTCGGCGATTGTTGTATGTTTTAACTCACCTAAATATGGAATGACTTGCAATGCCTGGTCCTGCAGAATATATGCCCCAGGCCTCAGTGTGGGATTTCCTTGCAATTGTTGCTTGCTGTGGGTTTCTAGATGTGGTGGGTGGAGCAGGGACGGTTTTGGGGGTTTATATGTGCGGGAATTGATGTTCTTATAGTAATTTGATGGCTTATTTGCAGCTTTTCATGGAAATCTTTGACCCTATGGTGTTTTGCCGACACCACTCCAACGTAGTTACTTTGCTGTTGTGTGGCTATGTGCAGTATTATTGTTTTGTATTTTGCCGTTTGAAGCCGATAATTGTCTGGAGACGTCACAGCACAGGCCTAATGCGGCAACCATGTCATGGGGTACGGATGCTGATCGACAGACAATTGGTCAGGGTTGCGCATTTGCACACCTGGGGGTACGGGTTTGTTGCTTCCAAATTCCCTAGCCAGCCACATTGAAGTTACCGTTTTCATGAGAAAAAAAAATAAAATTTACATGGTTGCAAATTCTAATTTTGACATCCGAGGCTGTAGACACGGTTGCGATTTGCTTTTCTTTGTGGACTTTCTTTTTTTTTTTTTTAATATCTGTGTATTTGTTCCTGATCCAATGCAAATTCCCATGGCTCCAACACAGTGGCCGACGTGGAAATAAATATAAGCAAATCAAAGTGTGAGCTTGACGTTCGCATGCCGTCTACCCTTCTCTCATGCTTCTGTGCTTCCCTCGTGCTTCTCTCAAGCAACCCTCATGCTTCCCTACTTCTATCGTTGGTCTCTCATGCTTCTCTCATCCATCCTTCTCCTCTACTCTTCATCGTCGTTTCCCCATTTCAGGCACCACCCATACCATGTTCTCTCCAAACATTTCTTTGGTCTCTCACTTTCTGTGGGCTTAGTGCTCTCCGTAGTGCTCAGCAGGGGAATACTTCCAGACAGCGAGCTGGATGTGGACTTTCGAGTTGTAGTGCTGGGACGTGGTTTCAACGGGTGCGGGAGCTTGGGCTCGTCAGGCTCTGTGTCGTCGTGACTGGTATACCGCCAATTGAAACAGTCCCGACAAGGTGGCTGCTCAACACATTTAGCAGTCTCGTTATATGCCAAGATGATGTCATCAATCACGGTATGGATACGGTGGTTGAGCAAGTTCACATGCCATCCCATATCAGTAACCACATCATAAACGCAAATCTGCCCCGTGTGGCATGTAGTCTCCATAGCATAACCAGCCATATTGCACGAAGATGATGCTCCATTGCATACTCCCATAAAAATAGGATCTGCAGTGTTTCCAATGTGCCAAATATGCTCCAAATGCTTAGGAATTCCTGGTGCTTGTGGAAGATGTAGTCTCTTGGTTGCCAACATTTCACCGGGAGCCTCAAATCCAACGGCAGGTAAACCATATGTACGACCTAAGAGGGAAGCCAATGCTCCACCCAAGGAATGTCCAGTCACCCAGATGTCTGTCTTGTCTGGAGGGTATAACTCCGTGACATTCCGATACAAGTCAAGGGTAGCCTGGTAGTATCTGTCCTGGCGGAGAAGCTCGCTTTCCAAGCAGTCTTGGTTGCAAGTGTAAGTTTTCTCGTAACAGTCACATACTGTGGTCCACATGTAGCCCACGCGGGCACAGCAGCACGAAAAGAGCAAATTGTCATTTATCTTATCGTTGTTTGCTGTCTCGTCAGAACCTCCACCTGGGAGGCCTGCTCCTGATGTACCTTTAATGCCGATGATAACTGTTTTGGAGTCATTACTGACGAAAATGTGGCCACGGAGTCCCTCTTCATCCCATCCAAAGTTGACGTCGTGGTGGTCATCATCAGGATTCCATGGGTCACCAACATCGATCCAGTCCAGATGCTTCTTATCATCGTCATTCTGGGGCAACCTCACATATGCATTGGAAGACACCAATGCAAGAGAAATTAGCGTATCTTTATCATGGACATCCGGAACACGGATATCAGCCTCCGGATCCCATTCGAGCCCAATTTTGTTCAATTTGGCGCTATTGCCCTTTACTTTCATTGCATACTCAAGATACGAGTCAAGGAACCCCGGCGTGTGTCTCTCGGTTAGTCTGGTAACCTTGGCCCGTTGTGAGCGTTCCTTGACAGGGAGCCCAATGGTCCATGGGTTCTTGCCCTTTTTGGCACGAGGCCAGTCGTTCTGGGCCACCACCTCCTCCAAATCGAACCCGTTAGAGTTTTGTTGTATCGCTTGGGATTCACCACTGGCGCTTTCAGTGGCTAGTTGTTCCAACTGCTTCTCGTGCTTTCGCAAGAATTCAGAAGTGATATCCAAGCGGCGATGAATGCGGTGGTTCTTGCCTGCGCCGTGATGGAACACGTGCTTCAAGTGAAACATCTGTGTTTGTGGCACCTGATAAAATTCCTGGACTTGTTGCTGTGGTTCTGGGGCAGATAAGTCATTGTGGCTCCCAAAGTCGAAGTCAGCGGATGGCAACTTTGCGTACCAGTATAAAACAGCCAAAGTGGCGTATAAGACGAACACCATTAAAAGTTTGATAGGTGAATGCCATGGCTTTTCCTTATTTTTCCTGTGGAGTGACTTTTCCAGCATTTTTGCAAAGAAAATGGTGGATGATTAGGTGAGATCTATATCTTTTTTTTTGGGGGAGTGACGGTCTTATCGGAGTGCACATAGACTGGTGGATCAGGTTGATGATAGGTATTAAGGCTGATGGAATGGAAGGTATAGACTTCAGTACGGAATATTAACTAGGAAATTGTGATTTTCTGAGGATTTGGATCAATCATACTGACGAAAAATATGGTGTTTTGGTGTAATTGACACATCTCGTTGATCTCTGCATACCTACTGTGCTCATTGCACCTTCTCCATATTACATTCAGCTACCTCAACTTTATCTAGTAACATTTATTTTGTCTAGTGAAATCTAGTTCTATCTCTCTAGTTCTATCTCTTCAAATCTTCTAATGATTCTTCACATGTAAGTCGCATCCCATTCGTCGCCAAAATCCTCATCCAACACCTTCCGCAGAGATATCAACCGGACATCTTTCACCACCAAAGGCACCTGGCCCGTTTTCCTCTTCTCGTCCTCGTAACTATATAACAAGATCTTGTTGAGTCGTGCCAACACCCCTGCAAGAACATTTGGTGACAATCGACAGCCATTGGCATAAAACTCGTTTGTCAATAGCCCTGTCAACACATCTCCACTTCCGTTGAACAGACATCCGATCTTCTGGATAGGCACCCGAAAGATACGGCTGTTTTCGGGCTCGCTGTGGCAGTAACCCACACTGTACATACTATTATCAATTTCTACCGACAGAATGACCACATTCTCCACCCTGTAGAGCAGGTAAAATGTGTCCAAGGCCATCTTCACCAGATTCCATGAGTCAATCTTGACATTAGTCAAAAGCTCAATCTCAAATTGATTGGGAGTGGTGAGATCCACTAGTCCCAACTTGAGAAAGTCCCGATGAACAGGAACCACTGCCTCGGGCACATAGAGCTTGCCGTTGTCTCCAAGCACAGGATCCACCACCAAGATTGGTCTGGTGGAGCCAACTAGAGCAGGAGCTATTTCGTTGTAGATGGTCTGCATCACATCTGCATTGGGACAGTAGCCCACAATGAAGATTTTGTAGCTGGAGAAGTCCACCACATCACGTAACCCTTGAAACAACTGGGAAATCTGATGTGGAGTAGCCTTCGTACCAGTGAGCTTCCCATATCCTGGATGATTGGAGAAGTCGGTGGTGTGGATGGTATCAACATCCCACCCATAGTATTGGAGAGGAAACGTACAGGCTCTGTTGCCTACGTAGCCATGGGCTACGTGAGACAGGATAGAGAGAAGGGCTTTTGGTTCATCCATGAGTGGTAATTGATGTTCCTGTAGATTGAGGTTGTGCCAGAAAGATTAGGTAGACAGTAGATATGATGTTAATGGTCAAAGATTCAAGCATATCGGTATAGGTTAGGATGAATGGATTGAATTCACATATTTTGGTGATTCAATCAGTTGGGATAATTAAATGGTTTGGTTTTTTAATGGAGATCTATATGTCGTTGGTGATCGTTGTGGCAGTTAATCAGTCACCGATGGAATAGTGCGAATTGACATTTAGCTAAATTTTAATGTTAGTTCTAGTACGTTGTAGTAATCGTCACTTATTGTCTATGGTTAAAAAAAACTATATACATCAGATCTTCTAGACATCAGATCGCCTTGATTTCTTTCCGTCACTGATCATATTTTCTATCTACCACTTTTCCAATCTGTAGATGTAACTAGAATCTTGCCATGTATTGTCTATCACATGAACATTCAATGGATACATCCAATAGCAATCACGCAAATCGAACAAACTTAGAAAATCAGAAAAATAACACATCAACCTCAACCTCTATCATATTCATCAATTTATCCTTTCTAGGAATTGCAATTATCATCTCTACTTTCCAACCTATTTCAGCTGGTGTACGGGTGCCTGTCAGAGAATCAAATTGAAACGTCAGCCTAAACCATTTCTCCTCCACCACATGTCAAGCAAGAATTCCGCGGAAATCAACGTCGGTTTCCCCATATACGGACTCCGCTTTATCAACAGCAAGACGCTTTTGGCAGTAGGTGGCGGTGGCGAAGGTAACAATGGTATTCCAAACAAAATCACTGCCATTAAGTGCCACTTCAATGCTACCGACAAAGATCGCCGATTGCAGAAATTCAGAGAGATCACCTTGCCTTCGAACGAAGACTCGCCCATGTGTGCGGCCGTGGCTCACGTCTCCGGTGATGACCATGTGCGCTACTCCATTTTCGTTGGGTGTAACCAGTCTACTCAGTTGGTCAAGTCCATGAGCATCAACAATAACTTGAGAAAGTACCTCTTTACCGACGAGGAGCACTTGCGTTTTCTGGATGCCGTCCAATACGATAACAATGTGCTGCCGGAATCAATTGGCGAATACCCAAAGATCATCCACTTGACCCCGGAGAATAGTGTTGGTGCACTTATGACGTCTAAGGTTCCCTCGGAGATTTTCATTTTCAATCCAGAATCTTTGGCCTTGATTTTACACTTCAAACCTGTTGTTTCGGGTGAGGTGAAGGACTTCCACTTGAATTCCCATGACGAGGGTAAAACCTTGGTTTACGTGACGGCGTCAGTCATTGAAGCCATTAACTCTTCCACTGGTGCTTTAGTGTCAACGTCCACGAAAGCTCCCAAGGCAACCATTTCGAAATTGGCAAAGTACTTTCTTTCCAAGGTTAGGTTTGTTGCTGAATCCAAGGTGGTTGTCACAGCAGCGTTAAGATCAGGAAAAGGTGCGGCCATCTTCGAGTACGACCTCGTAAAACAGAAAATTTCCAATGAGCGAGTTATATCGCTGTCCATGAAAGGTGTGGTGGCCATTGATATCTCTTCTACTACTGGAGTGATCGCTTGTGCTGGTAACGACTTCTCCGTGACATTGATTCGCACCTCCGACTTGAAGGTGATCAAGAGATTCCCCAACTTACATAAGTTTGCCATCACCAGCTTGAGTTTCGCTCCCAATGGAAAACGTTTGGCCACTGGAAGTGCTTCCAACACGCTTAACGTGGTGAACATTCCCGCCAAGATTGGCGGAAGTTCGTTTATCGGCTCTCTCTTCCAATACTTGTTCTTAATAGTATTGGTGGCAGCATTGGCTATCTTTGTTCAGAATGCGAGGGAGTCTGGCGACCTAAATCAATATATCGCCTTGTCCAAGAAGTACGGTGGGGAGGCTTTCACGCATGCCCAATATTACGGCCAACATTACGGAAAGATTGGACTAGCACTTTCGAAGAAGTATGGCGAGGAATACTTTCACAAGGCCCAGCACTACGGAAAAATCGGCTATGAAATTCTTAAGGACAAATCCGTGGAGGGTTGGGAGGTGTTGATGGACAAACTCAACAAGGAAGAGCCTACTCAAAGCTGGGTTGATGAGGTTGAAATTCACACTGAAATTGCTTCCACATTTGACGATATCGTCAGCGAGGTCACTGGAGATGTGTCTCATCTTACTGCTGGCCGCGAGAATGAAGATCTCGACACTGCCTCTATTATTAATGCTGCTGTTAGCAGGGCTGTCGTGGTCTCCTCTTACGGCTCTTTATCTGAAACTGAAGCTGCTAATGTCGAGGAAACATATGTTCCTATCACAGAATCTTCTATTCAAGACCTTCCTCTGGGAATTGCCCCCGAAATTGAGGAGACTCCTCTGGAAAATGTTAATAATGTTGTGGAATCTATTGCTGAGAAGATTGCTTCTGCTGCTGCACCTGTGGCCGAATCTCTTAACGAGATTTTGAAACCTTCTTCAGAGCCTCGGGAATTTTCTGTGCATTCTAGTGAATCTCAGGTTGAGACCTTTGAATCTGCTGAGACCGTTGAATCTACTGCAACTTCAAAGGTTGAAGACATTATTTCACCAAAAGAACCAGCATCCGAAACCCCTGATTCTGTCGAAAAGAGTGAAGCTGGTACTGTTAACGAGGCTACTGCTGAGGAAGAGGCTGTCGATGAAATGGTCGATGAGGTAGCTTCTGCTGATCCAATCAAGTCGACTACTCTGGACGAGGAGCTCACTACTGAACCTAAGGAAGCTGAGGCTGAGCATGTTGCTCCTGAAACTTTTGAAGATTTCAAATCGGTACAGTCTGAATATCCAGAAGCCGCCGAGGAAGGACAATCAGTTGAACCAGTCGCTGAACACCAAGCTGACGAGGTTGCTGACCTTCCTGGTGCTGAACATAGAAAAGAGACTGTTGATACGGAGGAGCAGCACGGGGTTAACAGCGCAGAACCAATCAGAGTGGTGGAGGAAATCGAAAAAGTGATTACTAAACCACTTAACGACTCTGGTATCGGCAAGCTGGCCACTAAACCAGAAGATATTGTCGAACTGCAAGTGGTAGACCCAGAGACTGAAGCTAGAAATGAGCCAAAAGTTGACCCTATTAGCATTTCCGATGCTCAGCCTGTTGAGCCTTTGAACGACCTGGTGATCGAGCCAGCTGTCGATCATGAGGTTATTGACACGAAGGATGTGGTCGAACCAGCTTCCGAACCACTTGCTGAGCCTATTGCTGAGCCTATTGCTGAATCTGATGCCAAAGCAGCTCCAGTTGCCGAGCCCGTTCCAATTCCCGAGCCCGTTGCTCCAGAAGTTGTTGAGCCAGTTGCTAAGCCAGTCACTGAATCAAACCATAATTTGCAACCATCCGCAGCTTCTGTCACGTACAACGCACCTGTTGATGAGAAACCCAAGGCAAGAGCCAAAACAATAATTGGAATGCCAGAATCCAATTTCAAGCCAAGCGACATTCTCAATGCTCGGCCAGTGCGGCACGCTGAGGATGCCGTTGTTCAACAGGTTGCTGAACCAGTTGCTGAACCAGTTGCTGAACCAGTTGCTGAACCAGTCATTGAACCAGTTGCTGAACCAGTTGCTGAACCAGTTGCTGAACCAGTCATTGAACCAGTTGCTAAGCCAGTCACTGAATCAAACCATAATTCGCAACCATCCGCAGCTTCTGTCACGTACAACGCACCTGTTGATGAGAAACCCAAGGCAAGAGCCAAAACAATAATTGGAATGCCAGAATCCAATTTCAAGCCAAGCGACATTCTTAATGCTCAGCCAGTGCGGCATGCTGAGGATGCGGTTATTCAACAAGTTGTGGAACCAAAAGTTGTGCCAGCCGAACAAGAAATTGATGAGATTGTTGAAGAGCCACAGCAAGCTCTGTTTACTCTGGGCCCCGCATCCCATGATGAATTATAATCGGTAGCACCCTACCATGCATATAAAAAGTACATGCTTTAGTTACATAGACCAAGCGAGCATCTGCTAGTTATGAGATTAGACAACCAAATCTAATTTCTAGGACATTTGTATTGAAAATTTATGATCTCCTTCCAACCTGAAAGTAAATTCTTCTCCTCTTCTAATGTTTTTTTTCTGTCTTTAAAATGTCCAATTTCCCCGCCTCAATTACTCATCAAGTCTTCCTACTACTCTACGCAGATTAGATCGCGTTACACGTTAAATCTATTCTTATTAGCACCACATGTCTCGTCCACCCGGTTTTGAAGCCTCGGACTGGAAAGACACCAAATTGCCTAAGTTGGCACAACTTGACTCCCTCCAGAGATGTCTAATCTGCAAAGACTTCCTTAGGGCCCCTGTCAGCACGTCTTGCAATCACACCTTCTGTTCTCAGTGTATCCGCGAGCATCTTCTAAAGGAAAATCTGTGTCCACTATGTAAGTCGGAGCAGTTTGAAAGCAACTTGAAACGTGATATCTTGCTCGAAGAGATCGTGGTGTGTTTCCAGTCTTTGCGAGATGAGCTTTTCAATATGGTCAGCAACCATAACGAAAGAGCGCCAGAAACGCTAGTAACGAGCAGAAATGGAGGAGAATCAAGTAGAAACGTTATTTCCACGACATCAAGTCCAGATCCAGAAGTCATCGAAGTCACAGACGAGTCGGATTTGGACAGAGCCACTGTTTCTAAGTCTTCTACCCCACATCCACCTTCTGGCACGGCAGAATGTCCCATCTGTGGCGACACATCTATGTCGGCGGAATATCTTCAACTGAAACATATTGATGAGTGTCTCAGCGGCAAAAAGAAGAAGCTGAGTGGTGTCAAACGGAAGAGAAATGAAATCTCGCTGTTTTTTCAACCCAAGAAGAAGCCCAAAGATATTGACCACCAACAGTTCTACTTCGGACAAGCTGACAAGCACCACCATGAGACCAAACGAATGCCTCGAATCGATTTTGGCTCGCTATCGACGCCAAAGTTAAAGGAGAAGTTGGCTGCGTTGAAAGTATCAGTACTGGGACTGAGACCACAACTTGAGTTGCGCTACAATCAATACATGCTCTATTTTAACTCGAATTTGGACACTAATCGGCCTGTTTCGGAGTTGGAGTTGCGCCAGAAGCTCAACCAGTGGGAGAAATCGCACCTGGCCTTTAAACCCCAGGCCCTCAATTCCATCTTTGGGGATTCCTTGGCTCACAAGAATATTAGTGACAAAGACTTTCCGATTAAGGTATGGGAGGAGAGGTATCGAGAGGAATTTCGGGATCTAGTGCGGGCTGCTAGGAGATCTAGGAAAGTGATGAAGGTGAGCAAGGAAGATTCTATGGATTCAAAATCCGTGAATTTGAAGTCTGTGGATTTAACGTCTATGGATTTGAATTCTACGATACCCATGAAACCTAACTCGACGGACTCCACAATCATAGATTTCTCGTTTACTTCTAATTCTAACTCAAATTTGGCCTCCGAGTCGACTGCTGATACCTCAGAATATCTCCCTGGTTCTAAATCCTCAATATCTACGTCAGACTCCAAGCTGAGAAGCACAATCGGGGATTCACATTCAATACGAAATTCAGACCCAGTCTTTGAAGAATCACATTCTGCCTCTGGTGAAATACATTCTGCCTCTGGTGAAATACATTCTGCCTCTGGTGAAATACATTCTGCCTCTGGAGAATCCTTTGGAACCACTGGATCATCACATTCATCTGCAGGTCAATGCCAACACCAACCCGGCTATCCGGGCTCAAGTCAGAGCAACTGCCCCACCACTAATGACCATATCGCCGGACATGCCGGATTGACTCCAATCCACCCCTCTTCCCCTCACGGTGATGCTGGCGATCTGGAGATCGGAAATATGTCCAAAGGATCTTCAGATTCGTTTGACTTCTCTACCCTGATGCTTTTCGTTCCTCTGAAGCACTAGCTAAGGTCACTTGACACGTCTGGCTCAATTGTTCCGCGCGATATTTCCCCAAGAATGCGACATTAATATCGCTTACCTTACCTGGGACAGGAAATCCTTTCCTTGTTAGAATCTGCTTTTATGCAGGATGAGTCAGGCACTGTGGATGACAATCACTCAATCTCCGATGACATGGCCAGTCCAACTTCTACTTAAGATCGCTGCTTACCACTTCTTAACTCCATAATGGTGGACGAATCGCTATATTTGACCACCCAAGAAGCGGCGCTAGCGGTGGTTGCTACGGCCATGAAGAAGGCCAGATTGCTGATCGATACCCTAGCTGTCAACTCCATTGTTGGTGGTATCTTATTTTCATCCGGAGGAATGTTACATGTCATGGTGGAATCTAAGAGTCCTGAGCTAATGTCAACGAATCCTGGTCTAGTTCAGCTCATGCAGGGCTTTCTATATCCCATAGGATTATTCTATGTGGTGATTTTGGGAGCTGATCTCTTCAACTCCAATATTCTCTTCTTCTCAGTTGGCTTGGCCCGTGGTGCGGTCTCCATTGTTGATCTTATTATTTCTTGGATTGTCAGCTGGTGGCTCAATTTGGTTGGAAACATTTTCGTTTGCTACATCATATGTCATTACTCAGGAATCACTTCTCAGCCTCTTATGGTATCTGGTTCGATCTCAATCTTAGAATCGAAAGCATCGGCAACATTTGTGGAAACTTTGATCAGAGCTATGGCTGGAAACTTCTTTGTGTGCCTTGCCATTTACTTGCAATTAATGGCAAAGCCATTGCATGTAAAGTTTTTGATGATGTTGCTTCCCATTTTCACATTCGTCAGTATGGGTTTCACCCACTCAGTGGCCGACATGTTCATGATCATTGTGGGATTGATTAATGGTGCAAACGTCAGTGTCGCAACTACAGCATGGAAACTTTTTCTTCCGGGGGCAATAGGAAACATCATAGGAGGTTCAGCGTTTGGTCTAGTCATACCATGGTACTTGCACTTGTATGTTGTGGAGAGAGACCAGAGACATTTACACTTGCCACGCTACGAATTGCGTGATGAACAGCCTGAATTGAACCAAGATTCCAGAGTTGTTCGTGTTCGGGTTGATGACAAGGAAGAGGATGAACAGGAGCCGCTATTGACAGAAGAAAAGACTGATGAATACGAGAGCTCTAATTCAAGTGGTCAAAGTCCGGATGACTTGTTGGTGAGAGCCTTGAGCAGAGTCAGCACCAGAAGCCGTAGGCGGAAGCCCTTGGAGATGTCTCCTGCAAATGTTTTCCCTGTTTATGGTATGGGTCCAGCATCTGAGAGAGAGCGGTCTATTGCATCTGGACCTAACGAGAATTTAGACGATGATGGATCGTCTACACTTGACAGATTGGAAACACGGCCCCTGGCGGAACCTCTTGGGGAGCGGTTAAGACGAAGTCTTACCCGATCGAGGACCAAAAGAGATTTGGAGTCGAATCCCAGGCAACCTTCCCCGCTGAGTTCAAGGCGGTCAATTTCGAGCATCACCATTCCAAAACAACTACGGCGCTTCTCATTTGGTAAAGCCAACCGGGCTACTTCGCAACGTGAGCTAGCAGAGATGAATTCAAGATATGCTAAGGCGGGGATCACTACTAAAGCTGCCAACGCAGCAAGTGAAGCTGCAGGAGTATCCGATTACTACGGATCGGCTATTGATTCACTGGCCCAATCATTTATCGACCCCAATAATGAGAGCATAGTGCCATCTACTAATGTGTCCTCGATTAACGTGAAAGCATACAAACCGGATGAACCGTCCACACCATCAGCATAATTATAGAATAAAGGATAACACGAGAGCATGTAGGAATAATTCATGTTGGATACTAAACGATGATCTCAGCCAAAAAAATAAGAATAAACCAAAAAATTGGACATGACAGGAATCGAACCAGTGACCTTCTGCTTGCAAGGCAGACGCGCTACCAACTACGCCACACGCCCATTTTGTGAAAGAAACTTTTGCTTTAAGCTATCACAGGTTAAAAAAGCTGAAAATCAGATTTTTTTAGAATTCTATTGCACTATGACCTTTATTCTCTTAAAATTTATCGTCTTGTGTTATCAGCTCTTTTCTCGTCTACATTCCTTAAATTATTAAATGTTAATGTGTAGCCTGCACATAGTGTGATGGGCATCACAAGTGATTTTTCCATCTCCATGATTAACAAATAGCACCCATGGATAAATCTGCCGCTGCCGCATATATCGACGACTCGGCGTCTTGGGACACTTTTGGTCTCGATGCAAGACTCTTGCAAGCAGTCGACCATTTGGGTTTCAAAACTCCAACCTTGATTCAATCTAGTGCAATTCCACTAGCCTTAGAAGAGAGAAGAGATGTGATTGCAAAGTCCAGCACAGGCTCAGGAAAAACTGCAGCATACTGTATTCCTATTTTGCAAAACATATTGGCAGAGGATTCAGGGGAAAAATGCGTGAAGAGCATCATTTTAGTCCCCACTAGGGAACTTTCCAACCAGGTTTCCCAATTTATCGAGAAGTTGTTGGTCTATTGCAACAATAAAGTGACCACGGTAAACCTTTCATCGAATGCATCAGACCTGGTGATAAACTCGTTGTTGATGAGTAAACCTGACATTTTGGTGTCGACGCCAGCCAAATTAATTCAGGTTTTACTGGAGAACCTCAGCAAGAACTTGATCGATCTCTCCAAGGTGAAGAACTTGGTCATTGATGAAGTAGACTTGGTATTGTCTTATGGATACATGGATGACTTACAGGAGCTCGAGAAGTACTTGCCTGTGAAGACAAACTTACAGACGTTCTTGATGTCTGCCACCATCAACGACGACTTGAATGAGTTGAAGAGCAGATTCTGTTCCAGACCTGCTGTGTTAAAATTGAACGAGGACATGTTGGCCAAGTCCAAGCTTGTCCAGTACTATGCACGGACCACCGAGTTCGACAAGTTCTTGCTAGCGTATGTAATTTTCAAGTTGAACTTGATCAAGGGAAAGACGTTGGTATTTGTCAACACCATTGACCGTGGATACAGATTAAAGTTGTTCTTGGAACAATTTGGTATCCGATGCTGCATCTTGAACTCTGAGTTGCCCGTCAACTCCAGATTGCATATCGTGGACGAGTATAACAAGAATGTGTACAACCTCTTGATTGCCACTGACGAGACCAACGACTTTACCTTCGAGAAAGATGAAGATGACAACGACGCAAATACTGAAAACGCCGAACCGGTGTTGAAGAAGGAGGAGGACTCTGAAGAAGGCAGCGAAAAGAAGCTGTCCAAGAAGCTGAAGAAGAAGCAAAAGCTCAAGACGGACAACGAATACGGAGTCTCTAGAGGTGTGGACTTCAAGAACGTGGCTTGTGTGCTCAATTTTGACTTACCCACTACATCCAGAGCTTACGTACACCGGGTGGGAAGAACAGCCAGAGCAGGCAAAGCCGGCATGGCATTATCATTCGTAATTCCTGAAAAGGAAATCGGAAAGCACAGAGTTGCCGGGTTGCCAACAGCCAAGAAGGACGAAAAAGTGTTAAAGAGAATTGAGAAGCTGCAGGGTAAAAATGGGTTCGAGTTTAAGCCATACCAGTTTGACATGAAGCAGGTAGAAGGATTCAGATATAGAGCTGAGGATGCTTTCAGAGCAGTGACTTCTGTCGCCATCAGAGAGGCCAGAGTCCAGGAATTGAAGAATGAATTGCTCAATAGTGACAAGTTGAAGAGATTTTTCGAAGAAAATCCTCAAGATTTGGCCTCGTTGAGACATGACAAGGAGTTGCACCCATCTCGAGTTCAATCGCAATTGAAGAGAGTGCCGGAATACTTGTTGCCAGCCAGCGCTCGCAGCAGTGGACAGAAGGATCTCGGGTTTGTCCCTTTCAAGAAGAAGGTGCAGAAGAAAAGAAGAAAGGGACGGAAGGCCGACCCATTGAAGAGAATGAAGTAGCATATACATGGGACTATATTCAGTGTCGATTTATGAAATTGGCGATTGATGAAGGATGCAGTAGACTATTATGTAGAGCCATTAGGTTAGCCTGCTGAGAATCACGTTCCAGATGAAATTGGCCACGCAGTTGCAAATGACCATTCGTTCTGGAGGAACCAAGGTGAACATAGCTGTGCTGATGAACGGCCAGTAGCAATAGCTATAACGCAAGGACCGTATGAACGCTGCCTGTATTGCTGGAGTCAGTTGGCTATCGCCATCCCACATGTTCGATAATATGGTGAATGTGAGCTGAAAAAGTGGAGCCCCAATAGTTTGGTCGATGATAATTCGGAAAATCGGGCTGGGTACCTGGACGACTAGCACGTCAAGCCAGAGGGCTGTGAAGAGGCCGTTGATGGCACCCCAGACGATGAACTTGAGCAAACGCGAGTCAGAGAACTTATATTTCATAAGCTGATTGAGTGACTGTGCTAATGCAGCGGTGGCGGCGCCCATACACGCGGGACCCAATTGTCGGTATATGGTGGTCAAGTAGTCATAGTTGAAGTAGACTGTAAGGGTGACAAACGTCTCAAATACCACGTACAAGTAGGCGCTAGCGGGTCTATGAAGCTTTGCCTGAGGATCTATATCATAGAACGGTTTATTGCGTAGGTCGGCAAGTTCGACGCTGCCTGGCATGAGTAAAGACAAGGATTAAACATCGACTGCCAATGTGTTATTGTTACTCGATCACGGTGTACGGGTGTATCGAAGGTGGTGGGATATGGACACATGATAAGAATCGGGCAAGGTGGATGTGAAGTGGATTTCTTTAGAGGTAATCTGTTGGCAGAGTTGATGGATTTGATTGAATTTATTAATGCGCAAGCAAATTTTGGCTCTTGGGTTCATTCCACATATACTAATTATGGACTTAAAGCTTCCGCCGTGTTTCCAAACGCATAATTTATGCAGGAGAGGGAGGTTTGATAGAAAATATGTCATTCAGCTTGTATTCAGAGAGGACTGGATTCGGGGAATTGACAAAAAAAAATATCTCATAGCTGCTAGGGTTGACGTTGTGTGCTTAATTTTTAATTGTGAGTGTGAAATCGTAGTTAATGAAGTGATCGAGGAAGTGATGCACGAATTGAGAAGTTGATGGTAGAGTAAGAACTCTAGCGGAAAACAATTGTTGATAAAAAAAAATTAAGGAGAATTATCTTTTGACATTACTCAAAAATCAAGTTTTTCCTATAGACACGGCATATCAAACAAAAGAAGACACTGGAGGGAATCAGACCCTGCTTCTCGGAGTTTTCCAAAACGTTCCGTCCTTCACAGTCGCGCTAAACTGGAACAAACCCACTTCAATTGAAAGTGAGCGATTAAATGGTGACCTATCATTTGAACAGATATATCCAGCATAATTTCCCAGGCTTGTAATATCTGAATACGAACTATTAGACCGATCAGGCAATAGGCGAACGCACGTGATTTTAAGTCAATCTGTGAGATTATGAATGTCACTTCGGATGTACCACTCGGGTTCGGAACGAGCGGAATTTTTATTTAGCTTGGAGCCACGGCTGGCATGATGACTAATTTCGTATCCTATCAAACCCAAAAGTGGAGACACTGATTTGCTGAATCATTGACCTTGACTATTCAATTCTGTTTTCAATTCATAATCTCCCAAATATTCATTAAACAGCTCTTAATCGTTTTGTAATTGACGGCACGATTCGAAACAATTAGGTAACACCTAGCTTCTCCTCTTTCATACTATGTAAATATCAATTAGACATGGCGCTAAAGTTAGACCAGTATATATGCCGTGATACTTTTCTGCTTTCTCGCATTCTGTTTTCCTGCTTTCTTGCTTTCATCGTTTAATCCTCTCATACTTTGCTTTGTCCTGTAATCTCAACGTCTTCCTCAACACAACACACCTTCAACCTCTCACTTCTAACCGCAACACAAAAGACATCTGCAGTCAAGAATGTGTTCCCCAATTTGTCTTTCATTTCTTAGGAGAGGCAAATTTTACCATTGCTTCTTTTCACCGTTCTTAGCCTTGATGTAGGAGCACTTATCTCTGCGTAATATGATAGACACTACCCCAACCGGTCATCTGGAGAACGCTTTTCCTATAAAAGCTGCTTGTCTCCTCATATATTCTTGAGGCTATATTGCATTGTTAGCATATTGTACCATCAAACCATTGCGTCTCCAGCATATCCAACTGATTCTCCCTGTTGCCTGTTTGTCCAAACACATTATTTTTGCTCGTCACCGCTTGCTGATCCCCCACGGCACTTCTTTTCACATTTCCGATGTCTATTTCTCCGAGCAAAGAGTCCGACATCAGCGATTCACTAGACTTCGAGGTCCAGTTCGATGGTTCCGATGATGATATCGAGGATGCTCTCCGTCTCTCAGATCTTCATAAGTGGCTTGTCGTGATAGTTGTATCTTTGACCTCCGTCTGCATCACTTGTGTATCATCGGTATGGTCCTTGGCCTCCGAAAACATCATGGAACATTTCAGTATCAGTCATGAGGTGTCAACATTGGGAATCTCCTTCTACATCTGGGGTCTAGGTACTGGAGGAATGTTTCTATCTCCTATCTCAGAATTCCACGGGCGGAAGGTGGTGTACAATGTGGGTTTGTTCTTGGTATTTGCTCTTCAATTTGTGCCAGCATTCAGCAACAATGTCGGCTCCATCTTGTTTTCTCGGTTTGCATCAGGTTTTTTTGGTGCTGCGTTCATGGCAGTAGCCAGTGGAACCTTCAGTGATCTTTTCCGCAAGGTCGACAGATTCCCCAACACAAAGAGAGACCAAACGAAAGAGCTTAACAAGGCTTTGGTCATGTACTCTGCGTCACCATTCTTGGGTCCTGGTTTGGGTCCGTTGATCTCAGGTTTCATTAATCAACACACCTCATTCAGATGGACCTTCTACGTCATGATTATTTGGACCGGTGCCCTGTTCTTATTGGTTTGGATTACTGTTCCTGAGACTTTTGAGCCAGTTCTTCTCAAAAAGAAGGCTGAGCGTATTAGAAAGGCCACTGGCGACGACCGTTGGTATGCACCCATTGAGAAAGAGGGAACAAGTTTATATATAACTGTGTTGACATCCTCCAGACGTCCCTTTGCGCTCATCTTCAAAGATTACATGACAATGGCACTATGTTTTTACACTGGATTCACGTTGGCTATCGTGTATATGTTTTTCGTGTCGTTTCCTTATATCTATAGGACTGTTTTCCACTTCAGTGTTCAGGATCAAGGAATTGCGTTCATTGGATTGATATTGGGATTGGCCATCACTGCTTTGGTTAGTCCCGCAATTGTGCAAGTTTACTATGAGAGATTGGTGGCCAAGAACGGAGGAGTCCCCAAGTGTGAATTCAGATTCCTTCCATTAATGGTTGGAGTATTCATTGTACCAATCGGCTTGTTCATCATTGGTTGGACATCGTACTCCAAATTGCATTGGATCGGTCCCATAATCGGTTCTTTTATATACGGCATGGGTACCATCCTCGTCTTTAACGGTATCTTTGCATACACAGTGGAGGCATACAGAAGGTATATTGCATCGGCCATGGCTGCTAACTCATTCATCAGATCGCTCATGTCTGGTGTTTTTCCCTTGTTTGGATTGCAGATGTACGAAAAGTTGAGTATCCAGTGGGCCACCACCTTGTTGGCACTTTTTGCATGTGTGCTTATTCCTATTCCATTCGTGTTCTACAGGTATGGGGAACATCTCCGGGAGAAGAGTGTCTACACTTGGTCAGAGTAGTCAGATTATAGAATATATAGAAATTCTGCCACTATCGTTTTATTGGAAGCATTCATTTGAAAATTAAATAACATTTACGGTTGATGTCCATTAATGGTGGTAATCATTCGCACTGTACAGAAATTCCATCATTTTCCACGATTTATTACGTCTGCGAATCTTTTCGATATTACCTTGCAACAAAATGGTCGTTCATAATCCTAACAACTGGTATGTGTCATAGATCGTCTAGCTATCAAAATCTGTTCCATGACTAACATTCAGGCACTGGGTGGATAAGAACTGTCTTCCCTGGACAAAAGAGTACTTCAACGAGAATTTGGTCAATACCTCATTTGAAAATGATGAATTGTCTGTCCTGATCGTTAGTGTCGACGCCTCAGGTGACTGTGATGTCACTCAAAGAAAGGGAAGGGTTTTGTGTATATACGACATGAAGCTTCTGTTCTCGTTGGGAGGTACCAAAAAGGCCGATGACTCTAGTATACTGGCTACTGTTGTTCTCGAAGAGTTCGTTCACGATCAAGACGAGGACGAGTACGTCTTTGAAGTCACTTCGGACCATGCTAGTGAAGTGAAGAAGCTTGTCATCCCTTCGCTTCGTACTCAACTCATGAAGTTTCAGAATGACTTGATCAGTGCTCACGAGAAGGACATTCAACATTCCTCTGGTCATTAAATCGCATTACTATATCTATATACACCAACATGTAGGCTAGTATTGATCCCTTAGTACCCGTCAAACCCTTCAGGCACTCCCTGAGCATGTCTGGCACCTTCTCTTCTGTTGAGATATATTTCCACAGGTCCGTAAGTGTTCTGGTCCTTGGGAATACTGTACCAAGGTATGACACCCAGCTCGACTGCTTTGATGACCAGGTAAACTTCCTTGCTGCCATATGGAAGACCTGTGGCCGGGTCGAAGTATCTGACTTCTTTTCCGGAGATAAGACAGATCTTCTTGTTTCCGTTGGGGAGGTAAAGTCCCGTGGGTGCCTCTGTCTTGATTTGGATTTCTGAGGTGGCGACGTTGCTCTCAATTTCTTCTTCCTCCTCAAAGATTTCCTTGTCACCGAATCTAGGCAACTTCCTTAGAGAATCAAACATCGCACTGTCTTCGGTGATTTTTGTCACAGGGTTGAAAAGCTCGTCTTCCTTTTCTTCCTTGGGAGCAGCGTATGGATTGTCCAGGCGAAGAGAGCTTTTCAAAATTGTTCGGAGATCCTGAAATCTTCGTGAAGCACCAAGATTGGCATCATCTCCGAAAAGAGCAGTTTTGATACGCATGTCTGTTAGTCCCCATCTGTCTTCCTCTTCGAAATTCAAAAGAAAAACGAGGTTTCTCGCAACATGCTGAACAGGGCCCTCAAAAACAGTTCCGTCTGCCTGCGGTCTATAGATTGGTGTAGCAGAGCGTGATAGTTTCTCGGCCTCTACCTCCTCCTCAGTAGCGATATCCTGCTTTACTTCTTCTTGTTCTTCTTCTTGTTCGACACCTGCAAATGTCACTTTCTTTTCGACCTTCTCGGGGGATCCCTCATTTGTCTGTGCTTCGCCCTCTTCCTTTATATCTTCAGTTGGTTCCTGTTTGATTGGCGCGTCATCGCCGTCAACCATTTCAGTATCTCTAGATGCAGCTTCTCCAGTCTCGGTCTCCGACTTATCATGGCTAGCATAGGCACTCTTAGCTTCGAATGTATCCAATTCCAGATGGGGCTCAGGTGTGTCCTCGTAATCGTCCACAATCTCGAGCTTCTCTATTTCTCCGCTACCTACCAGATTAGCATTCGTTGGCATGACCTGCCCTTGTAGTTCTAGCTGTTCTGTTTTTAAAACCTCTCCTTTCTCCTCATGTGTACTATCATCGAGGCTCACTTTTGGTTCCTCCTCTTTCGAGCTTTGTTCGACAGTTTCGGTCAACACATCATCAGCATTCTGTTCTAGTCCTTCATTCTTACTTTCCGTGTCCGCAACAACTTCATCGGTGAGATCCTTGAGATCCTTTAGATCCAGGTCAGTCTCTTCGACATGCTCCGACAAGCTTCCCTCAGGACTTCCCCCAGAAAGCTTTGATCCAAGATTAAGAGCAGCCTTTTGCTCTTCAGTCATGTTCTCGTACTCTTTCAACCTTTCTTCTTTTGCTTTCTTGCGAGCGAGTCTTTCTTCTTCGAGGATTCGCTTTCTCTCTGCACGTTCCTCTTCCAACTTCTTCCTTTTTGCAGCTCTTGCCTCCTCCAACCTTCTCTTCTCCTCCGCCCTTTCCGCCTCAATTCTTCTCTTTTCGGCCATTTCTCTTTGGTAGTATGGAAGTTCGGTGTCGATATCTCCGGGACGCTTCATATCCAAATCTTCTAGTTGGTTCTTTCTTCTCCTTCCACGCTTCTTTCTCTCGAACATGTCTTGTACGTGTCTTGCATCCTCGATTTCATCTAGAGGAGTAACAAAACTTTCTGCAGAAAACAATCTCACAACATTGCGAAGCTTGGGTCTTCTCTGTTGGAATAATAGCTTCTGGCGCTCTTTCTTGACAATTTCTTGCTGCAAGAACATATTTAATGATATAATGTTTTGCCTTTCAGTTTCCTTGGCCTCTGCGAGTCTTTCTTCTTGAGTCAACTCGCGTTCTTTCACTCTGATCACGGGTGTGAGGGCAGCCCTTCGAGTTTCATCTTCTTTAAGTCTCTCCAATAACTCTTGCTTATTCTGAAGGGCAGATTTTCTTGACGAAGATCTGCGCTCGCTTAGTAGTAGCAATTCTGAGTGTTTCACCTGAGGTTTTGGAGCTGAAGGTTTAGTCACCACTTTAGGTTTCTTGATCGCTGGAATTATGGTCTTCAGTCTATGCTTGCGCTTTTTGGCTCTTTCCTGGTTTTGGAGTTCACGTTCTCCTTCACTGTCGTCATCTTCTGACACGGATAGATCGGAATCAGAGAGCATCTCGTCAGAATTGACAGCCACCTCAGTATCAGAGCCATTTGTTTCTGATGCATGGCGATTCTCGTCATCTGGGAGCTCTGAAAGTTCATCCTGAGAGTTTCCGTCATTCTCCTCTTCCTGTTCGTCGCCACTATCGATTGGTTCTTCAAATTCCTCGTCATTCTCGTCTTCCTGAAACAAAAGTTGGACGTTCTCATCGTCTTCGGTGTATATCATCGATTGAACGCCCTGAGATTGCTCTTCCAATTCAATAAGCAGCTTCAACCGAGAACCCGCATTGGCTCTTCGGGCTCTTGTCGCCACCAAACTGTCGCTGTCCATGAGAAGAGTAATGAGAAGGTGTTTGACTTGACTTGACTAGGTGAGTTGTGTATGTAGGTGCACTAGGTGCTTGAGATTCTCAGAGGGACTAAGAACATGTACCAATCAATGTGCTTTGATAACCTCTTGATCTTTATCTTTTTCTCATCCACTTATTAATCTTCTTTGCAAATTTGTTGTTATAGAATCTTTATTGGGAATTACGTCTTACCTAATTTCTACTCAATCATCATTCATACCCAACTTTGACTTCAGTTTCGCAACTTTTACAAATATTACTCATTCCCTTGCAAAAGATAAAAACTACTTCTGTTCATCAAAATTCCGGAAAAGCGTCTTTATACATGGAATTCTTGCTAAAGGCTTATATTGATTTTCTTATTATACTATAAGAGTTACAGCTTCACAACTATAACTTTTCGCCTACCCTATCGTATATCCATAGTAAGTCCCATACCCTGCACAAAAATCCAACCACTTTACATTCTAACCTGTTAACCCATTATGTTTACATCAAAAAACCTTCTCCGGGTACTGGCTAGGCGTTTTCTCTCCAGTACGCCAATCAAACGCCATGGTCCAAAGCTTACTGCGGCATCTGCGGACGAAATGTCCCATTTCAATGCTTTGGCTTCATCGTGGTGGGATGTTAACGGTCCCCAACGGATACTTCACAAAATGAATTTGCTCCGCATGGACTACATCAACGAAATGGTTCGCTCGCACTTGAAGTTGAACAAGGATGTGCAATCGCCTGATGACGAGATCTATATTCCGCCTTTTAATGTGGATTTGCTTCCAACACCCATCAAGTCCAGAATCTTGCAAGAACAAGATGAAAAGAGAGACGAGATCCTCATGGATCGAAAGCTCAAGGCATTGGATGTGGGTTGTGGTGGAGGTATCTTAGCTGAATCATTGGCTCGTCTTCGATACGTCGAAAGTGTCAAAGGTATCGACTTGTCTACAGATGTCTTGGAGGCTGCCAAGGTGCACTTGAAAGAAGACCCAGAATTGGAATCGAAACTCACATACAGCTTACAGGCGGTGGAGGATTTGCCGATCAATGAAAAGTACGACATCATCACCGTGTTCGAGATGCTTGAGCATGTGCAATACCCATCTAAAGTGTTATCGGAGGTGTTTGATAGAGTTGAAGATGGAGGTTGGGTGTTCTTGTCGACTATCAACAGAGACTTTGTGAGCTGGTTCACTACTATCTTTATGGGCGAACATGTATTGAAAATTGTTCCTGTGGGCACCCATACCCTTGAAAAGTACATCAACGAAAAGGAAATCCGTCAATGGGTTGAACAAAGTAAGTACAAGGAAACATTTGAGGTAACCGACTCACGTGGATGCATCTACCTTCCCGCTTATGGATGGAAGTTTACTGAGTGTGCCGAGGTCGGCAACTATTTTATGGCCATACAGAAAATCAAGTAATAACATGTATATAGAATTACAAATCCCACCGATGACTCAGTGAGCTGCACCAATCCGTAAACACCCCCGTCACGGACATCCTCCCCCAAATATTGCGTGATATCCTACTGACAACACTTGGCAACTACCCAAATCATTAAAACTCGCTTACTGAGATGCACACTGCACACCTGGTCCCTGCTGGCCCTCCTCGTCGTCCGAATCGTAGGCATCACGTCTAGCGTTCTGGCTGTGCTTGTATGGGTCGATGTTAGTCAAATCACACTCGTCAACTGCAGCGTTCTTTGGAATCTTGACGGCAGTTCTGGCTGGCAAGATGGACTCCAATTGCTGCAACTTCTCCTCGGAAGTAAAGTTGGCCTCAGGGAACTTGACAGAGAATTTGATGAACAAGTTACCCTTGTCGCTGTTTCTGTAGATAGGCATACCCTGCTTCTCGATTACCTTGACTGCACCTGGGGCAATCACTTCACCAGGAACGATTGTAAACTTAATGTAATCACCGGAAACGTGCTTGAAAGCAACCTCACCACCAGCCAAAGCAGTCAACAAGTCAATTTCACATTCGTAAGACAAGTCGTTACCCTTTCTGGTGAACTTCTCATGTGGCTTTTCATCCACGACGAACACAACATCTCCTGGGGTCACATTTGGCTCCTGGTCACCCTCTCCGCTAAAGACAATTCTCTGACCATCCTTCATACCTGGGTCAATGTGAACCTCCAAGATCTTACGCTCGGACTGGGTTTTCTTACCCTTACAGTCGACACATCTGTCCTTTGGATCGCACATGTCTCCAGTACCCTGACAGGCATCACAAACTGTCTGGAATCTCTGGATCATAGGGCCCATTTGTCTGGTGACGAATTTCATACCAGCACCATGACAAGAGCTACACTGCTTGACCTTACCCTCTTTACCACCACGGCCCTCGCACAGCTTACACAAGATGGTCTTGTTCAAGGCCAACTTGGCCGTTCTACCCTTGTACAACTCCTCCAACGTGCACAGGATGGAGTGCTTGATATCCTTGCCTCTGGCTGGGCCTCTCGAAGCACCGCCTCCCATACCGCCAAAGCCTCCTCCGAAGAACTGCGAGAAGATGTCGTCAGCGCCCATACCACCCATTCCTGGTCCACCACCGTTCAAGCCCTCTTCTCCGTAGTTGTCGTAGATCTCTCTCTTCTGATCGTCAGAGAGAACTTCGTACGCGTGCGACAACTCCTTGAATTTCTCAGCGGCTTCAGGAGAAGGGTTCTTGTCTGGATGGTACTTCAAGGCAGCTTTTCTGTAAGCCTTCTTCAACTCGTTGTCCGAGGCGGATGGCGACACTCCAAAGAGATCGTAGAACTTAGTATCCTTCACCATGGTCTATCTATAAGTCTCGATTAATAAATATTTGGAATTAGTAAGTGCAACGGCAAGAAACTATTAGATGAGATTTTTTCTTTTCTGATTTCCAAAGTAGAACATTCTATCGCTTCCGCGGCCACGTGACTTTGCACGACCATTGGCCACGGTGGATATCTCGTGTTGAAGTGCCGATAAGACAGAGATTGGCAATCAGCAATGGGATATGAGATTGGGCTTTATTGCAGAATAGTTTTTAATAATTTTTTTTTGTCAATCGTTACGGTTTTTTAGTCGTTTGATGTCGGATGAGACATCTGTGATACTTGGTGCGAGACAACGGTCGGTACAGGAGCGATCTAAAAAGTAATCACAGAAAACGGACATAGACGAGTAAAGTAGATAGTGGAAGAGTAATGGGCGGAGAGCAAATTGATTTTAGATGTTCTGTGAGTGCAAATGAGAGGGCATCTCACCATATTGTGGATATGTAGTATCGGAATGTCATTGGATTGATGTTGGAATGATGTTCGAATGATATTGGAATCATCAGTACAGACAGGACGTGGATATGGGACGGAAATAAGATCGTCATAAACATGGGTCCTGTCCAAGAAACGAAATGAAGAAAGAAAGGTGTAAGAGATCTGGACGATCCAAAACCTGTATTGGTATCTAAATCCCCTAACCCTTGTGCTCGACAATGGTACTGACCAATTTGCCGTTCTTGATTGAGTGCAGCATCTGCTCAGGAACTGGCAATTCAACATAGTCCTCGTCCTTGAGAACATTAATATTGAGCGCAGTCGTGTTGGAGCTCACAATTTGAGAGTCAGCATCAATGGCCTCTTGCGACAAGTAGATACTTCCTTCGTCCGACTTGTCAACAGTGATGAGGGGAACTACACCAGTCACTTGAATTCCAAACTTATGCGATTTGATCACATCGATACCGGAAATCAACGATTCCACCACAACAGCAGTCTTGCTGGTCTCGGAAACGGACACCGCGTTACCCTTACCAGTGATCTGCACTGTGATACCGTTCGTGTTGCCAATGAACACCGACTGCAGCATCTCAAGGTTCACAACAATAGGCTCGGGAGCATCCACCAGCGTGAAATTTTCAATCATCCACTTATTGCCATCCACCAACTCCTTTCTGGCTGGCTTTCTCTTAGGAATGTTACTTCCCAGTGACAATGTCTGTGGCTTCTTGGGAGGTGTAGGCTTACCTGGAACCTGGGCGTGAGCTCTCAACTCTGGGTTCTTGTGGGTCATCTGCGACTTCTCCACCTTTTTGAGTCCAGAAGTGATGTTCTCACCCTGGTTTAAGTCTGCAAAAACAGCGCCCATACCGCCAGCCTTCTGTGCTGGCTCTTCAAAAAACGAGGCAGGGGGGGCTGGTGGTGGAGGTGGTGGAGGGGCCGAGGCGCCGGCGCCAGCGCCCGCAGCAGGAGCAGGAGGTGCCGAGGTGCTCTTTTGGGCAGCAATTGACTCGGCCAATGGCTTACCGTTGGAGTTCCACGATGGGCCTGTGGCATGGTACTCCTTGACGTACGCACGCAATTGGTCAAAAATGGCCAAAAACTGCTTGACCCACTCCACTTGCTTGGGGTCCTTGTCCTTAAACTCCTTCATAACTCTGTTAGACCAGAACTGGGCGCTGTCCTTGAATTCTGGCACATACGAAACCGGAGTGTCGGTGACAATCCAGCCAAGCACAGGCGCACCCTCGCTGATGGTGTTCAAATGGTTGAAGAAGTTAGAGCGGCGATTGGCATCTTTGAGGGCAGAGATCTTCTCAATCTTGGCATTGATAGGCGCCAACAATTCCATAAACTGAGGATCTGACACTGCTGGTTTCTTGGTGGACGACACGAGGTCCAAGAATTTTGCCTGCTCCTCAAATGCGGCCTTCAAAGTGGCAGCAGCCTCTCCCACAACAGGATCGACCTCCTTCGATGACAAAACGAAGAGATCAATGGTGTCCTTGATGAACAAATCAAATTCCTTAACAAATTTGGCCTTTTCGGCAAGAGTTGGCGGAGCAGGGGCTGCAGAAACCGCAGGAGCAGCAGATTTGGCAGCAGGAGGGCCAGCAGGAGTAGCGCCGCTTGGAGCAACCGACTTGGAAGTGGCACCTGAAGGTTTAGGGCCGGAAGACTGGTTTGTTTCCTCCTGGAAGATTGTTATGTCCTCCAAACGGGAGGTGGCAGCCTCCAAACGCTTGAGAATGGTGACAATGTTGTACCCTTGGACGTTCAATTGGTTCTCTTCCGAATTTGCAGAGTTAGGCATGGTGATATATGGTATAATGAAGAGTGTTAGAGGTGGAGGTGAGGTTATGTGTGAAGGGTACAGGTTTATAATTGGGAGTTCGAGACGACATAGAGATAATGTATGGTGGACTGAATGAGAACAAGAATGAATAATAAATAGAAATTGACTGACTTATTAATTAAAAAGTAATTCCAGCATCGAAGGGTAATTTTTCTGGAAAAAATTCAGACATTTGACTCCCGTTCCGTCCGGCCAATTCCTACTGAAGATACTTCTACCATATATACAGGAGCAATCACCATTTATCCAACTATCAAAATTATCCATCAATCTTCACCACTCATAAGTCGCCACATGCCCGAGCCGGAGAACCAGGAGCTTCCTCCACAAAAGCTCCACTATCTTCGTGAGCACGCGCCGCTTCTCGAAGACGAGCCATTCTACGCCAACTACGCCCCAAATGTCCCAATAGCCATTGATCTTGGGTCTGCCAACGTCAGGGTGGGACTCACCAATGCCACTACGCCACACAACGTGTTCCCCACACTTGTAGCAAAGCACAGAGACCGTCGAACAAACGTTAACTTGACACTTGTCGGAAACGACATTTTCAGAGAAGCTCCATATTTCTCCACTTTACGGTCCAATGCCAAATCTCCCTATGATGGACCGCTCATCACCAATTGGGAGTATATTGAGAATATTCTCGATTATCTGTTTGAGCACTTAAGTGTAACTTCACAGAATGGAAGACTCAACAATCCAATTGTCATGACGGAACCTTTGGCATGCCCTCAGAGCCAGAGGAAAGGCATGTATGAGCTCATATTCGAGACTTATCAGGCCCCCAAAATGGCCACAGGTATCGACTCGTTGTTCTCGTACTACTACAACTCGCCAAAAAGAGATGGTTTGGTGGTGAGTGCTGGAAATGAGCTGACTCATATTATTCCACTCTTACTGGGCCAGGGAATTCTCCTGAACAGCAAGCGGATCGACTGGGGAGGCAGCCAGCTGGCTCAGTTCATGCAAAAGATGCTAGCACTCAAGTATCCCTACTTTCCCTCGCGACTCTCGAAGGACCAGACCACTCATATTCTCCAAGACCATGCGTATGTTCTGAAGGACTACGCAACAGAGTTGGCCGAATACTTGAGCATGGACAAACTTGAGAAAAATGACGTTGTCATACAGGCGCCAGTGGAAATTGCGCCAGAAAAGGCCAAGAAGTCTGACGAGGAATTGGCTCGCCAGGCTGCGAGAAGAAAAGAGCAGGGTAAGAGACTTCAGGAGCAAGCGCAGAAAAAACGCTTGGAGAAACTCATACAAAAGGAACAGGAACTTGAATACTACCTGCAACTTCAAGAGACGTTGTCGGGACTTAGCAAGGCTGAGGCCGAGAGAAGAGCACAAGCTGAGGAATTTGAAAGTGTATCCGATTTGCACAAGTATGTTGACAACCTCGAGAAATCGCTCAAAAAGGCTCGTTCTCAGGATATCGAGGCTCCTGATGAAGAAGTGGATCCTGCAACTGCATGGCCCCTTGTGGACATTCCAGACTCGGAGTTGAGTGAGGAGGACGTCAAGGAGAAACGTAGACAGAAGCTTCTCAAGGCAAACTACGATGCCCGCATGCGAGCAAAGGAAGAGAAGGAGAAGGAGGAACAGGAGAAATTGAAGTACCAACAGGAACAGGAGGAATGGCGTAAACGTGACTTGGACGACTGGTGCACATCCAAGAGACTTGAATTGGCACAACACATTGCCCAATTTAAGAAGCGGGCCAAACTCATGGAAGCTATGAAGGACAGAAAGTCTATGGCTGCCCAAAAACGTATGAAGAGTATAGCTGACTTGGCGAACGACCTGACCAGTTCGACCACTGCGGCTTCGAGAAAGCGCAGAAGAAACGCTAATGTGACAATTGATAATGATCCCAACGATACTTTTGGAGCAAATGATGACGACTGGAATGCCTACAGAGATATTAGTAGTGCATCCTTGGAGGAGGAACAGGACGAGACCAATGCAGAAATCTTGCTGATTGAAGAGGAATTACTCAAGTATGATCCAGATTTCCACCACGAAGACACATTCGCTGCATCAGAGTCGTTTGACTGGAAGAATCTGGTGTTGCACAAGTTCATTCATGGACCGAGACAGAGCTTGACGCTAGCAATGCAAGCCGAGGGCCACGATCCTGACGAATTGCTTAACCATCCAGAAATTATTCGCCGTAACCACCAGCTTCACATCAACATCGAGAGAATCAGAGTTCCTGAAGTTTACTTCGAGCCACATATCGCCGGCCTTGATCAGGCAGGTATTCCAGAGATCATCCAAAACCTCTTATTCCGTAACTTCGACGGCAACTTCAATGTTGGTGGCCAGCTGAGAGCTATGATCGAGAATGTGTTTGTTACTGGAGGCTCGTCACTTCTCCCCAACTTTACTGATAGATTGTCATCGGAATTGACTAGTTTATTGCCTTACGGATCGCCTCTTAACGTCTACAGAGCACAGGACCCTATACTTGATCCCTGGAAAGGCATGCAGAAGTGGGCAAACTCGCAAGATTCATCCAACTCGTACGTGAGTAAGGAGGAATACGAGGAAATGGGTCCCGAGTATATTAAGGAGCATGGACTAGGCAACGCCACTCTCCGAGGCTTGTAATTTAGGTACTTGCACGTTATGTCCATTATCAATGCTATCTATGTTACACTACTTTTTTGCGTTCGGGTTGATACCCTTTCTCTTCTTGCTTCTAATGACAGACTTCTCGATGAGCTCCTTATCTTCAGTCTCGTCGAACTCAGCGAAGTCGTCATGAATAATACCTTCCTCCTCAGCCTCGGCCCTGGCCAACGACTCCTTCTCCTTAGCACCAGCCTTGGTGATGTCGTGAGGCGATGGTGCAATCTTCTTGAACTTGGCGACGTAGAAACCGTCCACATTATACGTGTGTGGATAGTAACGTCTGGTCAACAGGAGCTTGTCACTGAAGTGCTTTCCTCTATAGGAAGTGAAACCTTCTTTTCCGATTTGCAAGCCGGTTTCAACAAGTTTGACGTTAGGTCTCTTTCTCAATGCATAATCCACGACAGCCTCGTTCTCGTCCACAGCGATGGAACACGTAGAGTAGACAATGACACCTCCAGTGGCAGAGTTGGCATCCACAGAGTCAATGGCACTTAAAAGCAACTGCTTTTGCAAATGTGGAATTTGAATGAAATCCTTTTCAGTACGGCTGACCTTGACTGACTCATCCTTTGCAATGACACCAGTACCGGAACATGGAGCATCCAACAAGACTCTGTCGAAACCTCCAATAACCTTAGGGAATTCACGAGCGTCGTAGTGACACACAATGGTGTTCTTACATCCCAAACGCTGGATGTTGGCAATCAACGACTTAGTTCTGGCTTTGTTAGCATCGTTAGCGAAAACACACCCAGTGTTCTTCATCAATGCAGAGATGTAAGTAGTCTTACCTCCGGGAGCCGCAGCCATGTCCAAAACACGCTCGTTCTCCTTAGGATCTAATGCCATGACTGGCAAGAAAGACGAAGCTGCCTGCAAGATGTACTGACCAGCCAAGTATTCTGGAGTGGCACCAATAGGAACCTGCGAGTCGAAAATTTGCAAACCAACCTTGGTCCAAGCACCAATTGGCTGCAAGTTGACACCTCTATTGACCAAAGTCTGGGCCAAGTCTCTTCTTCTGGTCTTCAATGTGTTGGTTCTGATGGTAATTGGACGAGCCACTTCGTTTGCCTCGAAGAACTCCATAGCCTCCGATGGAGAAAACAAGTTGAACAACTTCTCAGCCAAGAACTCAGAGTAGCCGAAATATTCGCAAATGTCACTTAACAACCGAGTGGTGTAATCAGCTCTGGACTTACCTTCCTCAGAAAGTTCCTTGAAGTTCTCCAAAACCTTGACAATTTCAATCATTCTGGTTCTCACAGCGGTAATGTCCACTGGCTGACCAGCCAATGCCTCCTCTTCCTCCTCAGTAGGCAACACCTTGGCTCTAGGCTGTGGAGCTTGGACCAACTCCAATTCTGCCTCTTCAGCCTCCAACTCCTCATCCTCATCCAACGCCTTGGAGTATGCCTCCATGTTGGCAGCGTTCAAGTTCTCCAAGTCATCCTCATCATCTTCATCGTCAGAGAACATAGGACGTTCTCTTCCTTCCTCATCAGAGTCTACAAGCTCATCATCTCCAACATCGAATTCGTCATCAGGAATGTCATCGTTGTCATCCTCTGCATCGTCATCATCAAAAAGAGATCTTTTGGCACTGGCCAATTCTTCAAGATCAACCTCAGGGAGGCCCTCAGGGTGCTCCTCGATGTCCTCAGGCTGACGCTTTTCATTACGCTTGGACTTCTTAGATTTGGCAGATCCAGCATCTTCATCCCTCTTTCTCTTGTCTTTTTTAGCAGGCTTTCTTGTAGCCTTGGCGTCCTTGTTTCCCAAGAATTCATCCAATGTAGGAGGAACGCCCTGCTTATTTTTAGCCCTTCTTCCCATAGTGAATAGTGATGAGTTAGTAAAAAAAAGTGCGATGAGATGAGAAAATTCGCACTATAGAGGCTCACGATGCCAGTTGACATAGTACTCAGAACTAATTAACCAAGATATTTTTTTTTGTGCCCCTGCTAGAATTGCCTATATTTTATATATCCACCAGCATATATATCATCTAGAATATATCCACAATGGACTCTTCAAAGAGCAGAACGACTATCCGGGCCAACCAGCACGCCTTCATTACGCTTCCTTCTGAAGGTGTCAAGATTGCATACTTAAGAGATGACGGGGCAATTTCACTTGGAAAGTTTGGAACTTTCAAGGTTTCCACGATTTTGGGCCATCCATATGGAACCACTTTTGAAATCACCGACGACCAGGTGGCTGTACCCATCAAGTCTATGACACATACCGAAGAGAACATCTTGGAGAACGAAATGGATGACGAACTCACCAAAGACCAGCTCACCAAGTACTTCGAGGTGAGTGCCGAAAGCAACCAGGACATTATCAACATTGGATCCAAGATTCAGAAGCTTGACAACAAACAGATCGATGATTTGAAGAAGCTGGGTGCTTCGTCAGACATTGGCCAGAAGATCATTGAACAGATCATCGCTGGCCATGGAGGATTCGATAAAAAAACCCTCTTCTCTCAGCAGAAATACTTGCGTCGGAAACAGCAGAAGTTCTTGCGTAGATTCCAGGTAGATTATGTGGGTCTGTCGCAGCTCTTGCAATACTACATCGAGAAGGACTTGCAGAAGGTGCTTGATATGAGTGAGGAGACGCTTGGCTTGTTACTTAACCACGCCAATATCCGCCCTGGAGGAAACTACTTGGTGGTTGACGACACTGCCGGTGTGGTTGTGTATGCCATGTTGGAGAGAATGCAAGGTCAAGGCTCGATCATGTTGGTTCACGAGAATGAACACGCCAACTTGGCCGCATTGAGGCACCTGGACTACTCGGAGGAGTATCAACAGAAGATGATCAAGACAGTCAGCTGGCTCCAGTTTATTGAGCCTGAAAACGAGAAAATCGCCTGGCAGGAGCTTTCACAAGAGGAGATTGATGCCATGAAACCCAACAAGCAGCTCCAATATCATAGAAGACTGAAACGTGCTGCCGAGATCAATGATGCCATTGAGTCAATAGAGAGAGGCAATTTTGATGCGTTGGTGGCCGTTTCCACCCTCAGCATACCGTCGTTCCTCGAGTATGTGATTCCAAGAGTGGGAGGCTCCAGACCATTAGTGTTCTACAGTCAGTTCAAGGAGATGCTCTTAGAGACCCAGCACGAACTTGCAAAGGATAAGAGGGTGTTAGCACCTTCCATTTTTGAGACCAGAGCCCGTATTTATCAAACCATCAAGGGCAGATTGCACCCACTCATGACCTCTAGAGGCTATGGAGGATACGTTCTTAGTGGCACTAGAGTGTTCCCAGCAGGTGGCCATATCCAGGCAGTTGGAAAGGGATCGAGAAAGAAACCAAGGCAGGAAGTAGAGGTTAAGACAGAGGACAAGACAGAGACCACAGCAGAGACAGAGACTACGACAGAGGCCACGCCAGAAAGTGGTAGTGTCGAGACTGTCAAGTCAGACCCTGGTGATGAAATCAATCCTCCACCAGTGAAAGACGAGCAAAGTGTTGACGTTGAAATGGCCTAGTATTTTTAGCACCTATATATCATGGCCCCAGCATATTTAATTCCATTCAATATCTCTTGTGCAAAGTTTGTGGAGAAGTGCCAAATCTGAGTCTTTTCTCCATCCCAACACACACCGTAGCTTTCCAGCCAGATCATAGTATTTCCCAACGTCCCAATTACTCGGAAGCAACTTTGCTGTAGCATCAACCTGCTCTTCATATCCCAATTCAAACAAAAAACCCCTACAATTCAGCGGAAGTACTATATTCCTCACGAGTGCACTGTAGAACTCTGTATCTCCCACTAGTGCTAGCTGGGGCTCGAAGAGCCGAACAGAATCCTCGGGCCCATCCAAGACCACCGGTTTCAAGTAGTCCTCTAGAGGAATGTACGGAGGATTTGCTGTGACAAAGTCTACTTCTCCCAACTTGTTTGTCAATCCCTCATCGAATACATCACCATAATGAACATTGACATCAACATCGGAGTGCTGGCAGTTTCTTGTAGCCAAAGAAATCGCTTTTTGCGAGATATCAAACGCATTTACATTCCAATTGGGTAGTTCTTTTTTCATGAAGATGGGAATGCATCCCGTTCCAGTACATGCATCGATCATAGCCAATGGGTGAAGAGGTCTCAAAATATCCACTAATCTCTGGACCCATTCTTCGGTTTCCCACCGTGGAATCAACACTCCAGGCTCACAGCGTATCTCAAGACTTCCAAAGGGCTGGCTGCCTAAAATGTACTGGAGAGGTACCTTTTTGGCACGTTTATAGATAGCTTCTTTCCATTGGTGTCTTGGTAGCTCGTTCTTGATCCATCGTAGCTCGTTCTTCGCAGATTGCAAGTTTTGATTGGCTTTAAGCAATGGAGGTAGTAGTGGAGAATATTCTCGAGCTAGTCGGGCTAGCTTGGGCGAGATCCGTGGCATTTTCAGGATACGATGAGTTCGATGAGATCGAATATACCAGACATCATGAACAATGCCGGAAACAATACAAAATGTAAATTACAACTTATCATAGACTGGAAACATCTGAGAATTCTCCAATTTCTAAATCTCTACAACTTCTCTCCGCAATGTCTATTCTATTTACAAGTTACAAACCCTTTCTCACATAGTACATGTACGCTCTCTCGTGAACGTGTTCGGGGAAGGGCGTGATCACCTCCGAATGACCAGGTCTAGCCACAGGGTCGTTCAAGTACACAGCATGGCACGTCTCGAAGGAAATCTCAATATGATGAGGCAACACTGCAAATGCTCCAATGAAAGGTCTGGGGGTCCATGGTGTGAAGTATGGCTTGGATGGGTCCTGACGACCGAACAAGCCATTTTGCCATGGAAGATTCACCTTGGCACTTGACTCATCTTCCACCACAGCGTCTTTCGACAATGGAATGTGTGTCAGCAAGGACTTTCCGAAAGAGGTGGAGTATGGCACCAATTTCGAGTCCTCAGGCAACTTCTGCTGCTCAGCGTTGGTACGAAGCTGCTCCAACTGCAGAGAAACAATCTCAGACAAAACTTTCTTCACCTGAGCGGCAGTCTTGGCTGCTTCCTTCGATGCAAAGTCGGTGCTTTTGGTGGAAATGTACTTCTTACAATTTTCCTGAGAGTACGCACCCAACAACTCACTATCCGCCTGCTTCAAGATCTTGTATGCTTCGAGGCACTTGGCGTCGTCACCTTTATGAAGAGCTACCTTGGCAAAAGCTGTTGGCTTGAGCTCCTCCACATCTTTACCCTTAGCTACAGCCAAGATTTTGGACAAGATAGATTCTCTGGTTGTAGCCCTTTGTTGTGCAAGCATGACCTTCTCCACATCGCTGTTGAACTTCTTGACTGCTTCAAGCTTGTCGACCTTGTTGCTGGAGTCCAAGGTGTTCAAAGACTCTGGCTTGTTCTGCTTCATGTCCCATACATCCTTGGGGTTTTGTCTGACAAAGGAAACATACTTGTTCCACACGCCAATTTGTCTGTTGTCAACCTTGACGGCCTGCTCGACACTGGGCTTCACACGGCCCATGGCAAGCATCACCTTGTCTGGGTTGACGGAAAACACATCTCCACTCTTCAATGGGAAGGAGGGATGCTTGATGGTAACGCCGTTGACCTTGACATGACCGTTTTTAATGAACTCACGTGCTTGTCTGATAGAGGAGGCAAACATGGCTCTGAACAAGGCAAACTCCAATCTTTTCTCCAAAGTAGCATACGTCTGCAACACCATGGGGGTGGGGGCCACATCCACACCCTTCAACGAGGCGTCCAACTGGGCCACAGACTCCAAGTCGGGACTAAAAAGAGTTTTCCATCTGGACTCTGTCAAGTGTTCACCATGGTAGGCTCTTGTTTCCTGCTTGGCAGTCCATTTCTGCTGAAATAGAGACTTACCCTGGTATCTGACCTGGTTTTTTTTGTACAAGTTGAACAAGTTGTACTTGTTCATGGATGCACGCACCCGGCCCCTGGCCGTCGAGTAGAGATTGGCTGCTTTTCTGGGCATGGCGTGGTTGGGAACGTTAGAGGTTGTAGGTTGGAAAAACTCTAGAAAAAAGGTCGTGCAGAGGCCAGGTTTATGGTATTGAAAATCCATGGTTGATTTACGGTATGATGGCGGGAATTGAGAAGAAACAAGGGATGGAAGAGGGTTATAGTGGAGAAGAAATTAACTATCATTTCCATTTTATTTTCAAATCATGAATTTTTGGAGGAAAGTGCATTTGGGTTGTTAAGTTAGTCTCATGATCAAATAGTGTGCGAAGAGTGTGAGCCATTTAGGATACATGCCATGGACATGAATTCTTGGAAAGATAGAAGATATGGAAGACTTTACGGATAGTAAATGAAAGTTTCAGAAATCAATTTGGAATTGAAAGAATTTGAAGATCATTTTGAATTCCATTAAATACAAATACTCTACAAAAGGATGGGTCAATGGGAAATTTGACTGGTAATTGGACTTCACATACAATCATGATTAAAGAGAAAAAGAATTGATGAACAAGATGATTAACAAATTAAAAGCAACAGACAGATTAAAAGTCAAAAAATAAAACAAAGACAAACCAAGTGGTTGCAAACCAACCTTCTCATGTATCTCCACATAGACATATCGACTGGTTTACCTGTATGAACACCACCCATCTCAATACAACTCCATCATGACTAGACAGTGGAGCCTAGACCAGGAAATCAGGCTCTTCAGCCTAGTATGTGACTATAAGCCTGCTGGAGAGAAAAAGACTGAAAATATGGCACAGATTGTGGTTCATATTAACAAAGACACTGACGAACCTTTCACGGCAGACCAGATATGGGACAAGTTGGCCCAACATTATGACTTGAAGAAGGTTGATGAGATCGAGAACGAAGAAGACGGAGAAGAAGATTCACGCTCAGATCCCGAGAAGGAGCAACTACCGGACATAAAAAGTGAAGTCACAGAAGATGAGAAACAGGCATCGAATACAGTTTTGGATGCTGAGGACAACGACATCGCCATTGACTCGTCAGAATTGAGTGATGTCGAAGGTGAGGAGGCCGAACTAGCGAAACTTGAAGACGAGCAGCTATTGGCCGTGGGGGATAAAAGAAGCCGACGCAAATCCACACCAAAGGATGACAAGGAAAAGGTTGAGAAGACTGATAAGAGTGAAAAGGAAAGGAGCGACAAAGAGAAGGAAAAGAGCGAAAAGCCTGAAAAGGAAGAGGCGGGTCTGAGAAAGAGAACAAGGCATGTGGCCAAACTTGACACAGCTGAGAGTGCTCCAAAAAGACGTCTGCTGAGAGCCAGTACTCCACCAGCCACGAAGAGGCGCACACGCTCTGAGTTGGTGCCAGAGGAAGAGAGCACTCCAGGGGAAGAAAACGAGAATATGGAAGAGGAGGAACCTGAGCCAGAACCAGAACCCAAAACGAGAAGAAGTACACGACAGGCTGTGAGAAGAAGTGTTCGAAAGAGATGAGGAATGAAAAGAGGGATCATGAATCTGAAAGAAAAAATAAGAAGGACCTGAATATGAAGTACTTAGAGTGGTAATTTGAGAAACCAAGAGGGAATGTTGTCAGAGTAAATGGACTTTTCACTTGACCTCGAAACTTATGGACTGAAATTTGATAATGCAGCTTGGGAAATATAGACTGATTGCCGAGAAGGTTGTTGAAAGGAATTTGACTTCTAGAGATACATAGTGTATTAGTCTGGCACCGTCAATAGGAAATAGGTAATAGCACGGTAAGGACGGGTTGCTTGAAATGAATGAATCAAAAAAGATCAACGAATGACAATCTGAATCTTCATACGTAAACTACGACATTCGGGTACTGATGAAATCGATCATCAATGAATGATAGTTGATTTATAGGAATTGTAAGTTGTTTTCTCGACCACAGCGTGGTTTCAATTATCAACTGAGAGTAACCCAGAAAAGAGAAAGAAACATCCTTTCAATTTTGATCTAAACCAATATTCGATTAGTCTCAAACTTCGCCTTTTTTCGGCAATCTCCCTATTGGAACATTCCTTTTACATCATCCAGCGTGGAGCCATTTTTAATCAAATCTGTAAGGCAAGAGAAATCGAGGTGGGGAAGGGTTACGATAATTCTACTAATCGCCAGACAAGATCAATGGACTAAAAAGATGACCTAGAATGGCTAAGAATGGTTAAGAGGGGCCATGCTTACCCAAGATTGCCTGAAAACTCCTAGGTGCCAAGAGTGTCCGAAATGTCCTCCAACTAGTACCAGTAAGTGAAGGCGACCTTACAAAAGTGAAAATTTGACAAGAAAGAGAAGCCGAAAGGACCGAGTGGGGTTCGTCACCATTCCTACAAATGATTTTGGCAAATAACATTCTTTTAACAGACGACATGTTAAGTCAAGATTATTAGAAGGTGAAAGCGAATCGCATCTAACGGCCAGTCATACCATGTTTTGGTACTTCGGGTAGCTTAAGGTGTCAGCTTGGATTCCTTTCGGATCTACATTTCTATTCTTAACTGCTTTAATCTATTGTGTTCTAATTGTACCTACCAGACCAGCACAGCAGCTGCAACCTCCACTATGGTCGTCGTCCGAGTCAAACTCATCGGAGTCCATGTCATCGAGTTGCTGGTCCAAGAGCTTGACGTCAATCTTGGGCTTTTCAGCTGGGGCCTTCTCAGTTTGGCTAGGAGTGGTTGGTTGGGAGTTGTCCATGGTGATTTCACAAAAAATCTGCAGGAAAACAAATAAGCCTGGTGGAGAGAATGTGACAGACAAAGACGACTAGTGACTGAATATAATTTACTAGAATTGATTACTTGAAGAGATCACATGGACAAATCTTGGTGTCCTCATGATATTTCTTCCCTTTTGGCACTAGTTGTTACAAACAAGTAGATCCTATACCAAATTAAAAGAATCATACATTAATTATTAGAATAAAGTCTCTGAAGTGAAAAGCCATCAGGCAATGCAAATTATACAGGGTTACGACATGAAGGCCCAGAATTTCTCCCACAAGTTCTTTGGAGGAGTGTCATCCCAAACCATTTCGTCGACATCTCTGACACCAGTGTCGATATCACACTCATCCAATGGGAGCAAAAGAGTGCTCAACCTCCAAGAGTTCCTACCGTTGAAGTAAATATGAGCGATCAACCAGGTGACGGCAAACAAAATGACCGAAACATAGTAGACAAAGAAGTCAGACACATTGAAGGCAAAGAACACACTGTAACCTTGGACGAAAACAAGAATGAAACAGAGGATGAAACCATAGTATGCAATAAATGGCAGTCCCCAAGCCTGGAATGGCAAAGAGTCTCTAGAGATGTTTCTGGACTTCAAGATTCTCATGAATCTGATGTGAGAGTAAGAAATATTAACCCAGGCGATCAAACCTGCAACAGCAGTGATATTCAACAACCAGTTGAAAACGGTGTTACCGTTGTTAGACAACACAAGGTAACCCAAGGCGCCGAAGATAGCAGTACTGAACACAGCGACATATGGAATACCATGCTTGGTGGTCCTGGTGAAAACCTTTGGTGCAGCACCAGCTTGGCCCAAACCGTACAAAATTCTGGAACCGGAGTAGACGTTAGAGTTGGCAGCAGAGATGATGGCCATCAAAATAACAGCGTTAAAAATGTCCGGCAAGATCTTGGTGCCGGAATTCTTCATTGCAACAATGAAAGGAGAAGAAGCGGCGAACGAGTTCTGGTCATTCAACTTTTCGTCGTTGTATGGAATCAACAAACCCATAAAGAAGATACATCCCACGTAGAAAATCATAATACGCCAGATAACCTTTCTGATGGCAGCAGGAACCGTCTTTCTTGGATTGGCGGTCTCACCACATGAGATACCAACCAACTCAACACCCTGGAAAGTGAACAAAGCGGAGATCAAAGAAGACAACCAGGCCAAGAATCTGTCAGTGTTCAAGTTGCTGACGAGGTCAGCACCAGCACCCCAAGCACCTGGGTGTCTCCAGTATCTGAAACCCACTGGGCCAGTCTTACCAGCACCACAGACCATACAGAGGGCGTAGATCAACCAACCAACCACGGCTATGACCTTGATGGATGCAATCCAGAACTCAACCTCTCCGTAAACCTTGACTGGGAACATGTTGCTACAGGTAATAATAACGAAGAAAATGGAGATCCAGGCAGCCAAAGGAACAGCATGAGTCCAGTACTGAATTACCTGACCAACGACGGAGATTTCCAATGCAAAAGTAATACACCAAGAGAACCAGTAGTTCCATCCATTGGCCACACCCAAAGCTGGAGAGCAAAAACGAGCAGAAAATTGGGTGAACGAGCCAGACACTGGAATGTAAGTGGCCATCTCTCCCAAACTCTGGGTCACGGACCACGCCAAGGTGGCGATGAACAAGTATGCAAAGAGAGCCAACACTGGGCCGGCACTGATAACATTCTTGGTGGAAATGAAAAGACCAGTACCAATGGTACCTCCAAGAGCAATCATGGAGATATGTCTGGCCTTCAAGTTTCTCTTGACCTCACCTTCCACCTTGAGATCATCAAATGATTCCAAGTCACGAATATATTCTGTGTCCTTTGAGGACGATTCCTTGTTAGCGTAATTCATGATACGGAATTATGGACTGCGAGGAGGGGGATTGATACCACTTTTTATAGAGGTCCTTATCTGGAGTGTAGCCAAGACCGTCAGGCCGAGTCAAAAAAAAGACAAAAAAAAAAAAGACAATTATGATGCCCCAAAACGCCAAAAAGAAACGCCGAACCTGCCTCTAGAGTGCCGTTTTGCAGCCTGTCAAAATGCCTTTGCCGTATGCCATTTTGAGATTTTGTCCATTAAAGGCAAACCTACCTTTTTACAGTCGCTACCAATTGCACTTAGTGGCAATATTCGGAGAACCCCTGGGTAGATTCCGTCTTCCACTCTGATAAGGTAATCACCACGAGGGTCTATCTGAGTTATGCGGAGTCGTGGAACTATGTCATCGTTGTTGAGTTCTTTGGCGGGTGATCGATCCTTCGCTGGCAGGAATTTTTTTGCTTTCTTTTTTTTTTTTTTTCTTCCTTTCGGCCCTGAGCACTCATAGGATGTTCGTAGTATCTATCAAAGAGCCTTAATCTCGTTCTCAAGGCATTTTCTTGATCTTTTGCCTTTTTCCCCAAGAAAGATCTTGCACTTTGAACCTAAATCACTAATGGTGGGCCAAAAGCCGCATTTGCTTAACAATAGATTCACTTCAGGATCGTTATCGGTTAGTGCTGTAAAATTTTTTTGCCAATCCCCAAGAAGGTTAATCGCATCATGAGCACTGGGCGCAGCAACCCTCTCCATGATCCTGCCCAATCACTAGCCCCCATTCCACCAGAAATTGCCTTGGCCCGCACTAGCCATTTCTTTTTCTGGACCATTCTTTTTTTTGTCACGCAATGCTGCTAGGGTGCTTAGCCTATCTGAGAGATACCCCATACACCCGGTCTTTAATCTCCACATTTCGGCTCGCTCCGTACAGCTTTTGCAGAATTCATCCTTCGGTGCGCCCTTCCCCCGCCCTCTACAATACTACACACTGGGAACAGTAAAACAATTGGGGTAATCTAAATATCCATAAACTAGTTGTAAAGAACAAACTTGGCACGGCCCGAGCTCACTGCAGCAGTACATCCGTCAGTACCATCACCATTGTAGGTACCGTCAGCGTAAACACAGTTACCGTTCACAACACCGCTTCCGTCGGCAACAATCTTAACATTGAAGTTGGCAGCGTCCAAGTTGTTTGGGTTTGGAATCAAAGAAAGGTAAGCAATACCACCGGTGTATCCAGCACCAAAGTTCAATGGTGCCCAGTTACCAAGTCCGGATCCGGCACTTCCCCAAGCACATCCCTCGGTCCAGTCAATACCAGCATTGTTGACGTAGTACTGGGCAGAGGTCTTCAATCCCTTCCAATTGTAGTAGTTGTCCTGGTCAACGGTGGTGAGAACAACTGAGCCACCTGCAGTAGCAACAGTTGGAATAACCATGTTCTCAGTACCTGGGTAGTCGGTTCTGCAGATAGCAACATCCTGGCTCAACTCACTAACGACAATGGCCTTGTCAACACCCCACTCACACAAGTAATTGGAGTTGGTGTTGGATCTGTACAACTTGCCGTTCTTACAGTACAAACCACCAACAGACACACCGTTGGATGGCTGGTCAGATGGCCACTGGGTCTTGGACATACCAGACTGACAAGCGTAGGAACAGTAAGCACCGTTCGTGCAGCTGCCACCAGTGGAGGTGTCGGAATGGTAAATACCAGACCAACCACCAAAGCCCAAGTGGTCAAGAGCAACAACACCCTGGCCAGATGGGAACTCATCACAAGACAAAACACCATCCTGGAACTCTTCAGTTGGGTCCTGGTAGTCACCCAAAGATCCGGAGTAACCACCAGAACTAGAGGTGTTGGAGGAGGAAGATGAAGCTGAGGACTGGGATGAGGAGGAAGCCTGAGGAGAGGAGGATGAAGCCGAGGAGGCGGAAGCGATCTGAGAGGTGGAAGCAGACTGGGTAGGAAGGCTAACTGCTGCGGAGGTGGAAAGCTCAATAGTGGCAGAAAGACCGACAGCTTCAGAGCTAGCAGTGGAAGAGGAGGTAGCGGTGTTGAGCAAAGTGGAACCTTGACCATTAACAGTAACAGTCACATAGGCATACTCGTACACAACCTCTCTCTTGTGCTTGTGGTGGAGGTGCACTCTGGAAGCGGTGCAGTCGTCGTCATCTCTCTTGACAGCTGGAGCAGCTGCCGCGAGGCCGGACATCACCAAAACGGCGGCGGCAAGAGTTGATTGGGACAATCTCATTACTTAGGCGAGTTAGTACAAAATTTGACAAAGTGATTCTCACATCCACTAGTATAACAAGGCTGGTGCTTGCTAACCCATTCACGACTGGTGCGCGACGTAAATAAAAACACGCACAATATTGTTTCACTGCACCTAATCTAGGAATGTACTGCACACATGACGCCTAGTGCTGGCTGCAAGGAGGCGTTCTCCTTTGGCACGTAATGATGTTAGACGGTAAATCAGGAGTGATTGGCCGTATACAAGTGCTACCCAGCAGCCATCTCCTTAGTGCCTGAATGTGCCTAGTAATTCCTAGCAGTGCCTAGAGTGCCTAGTTAACGGTGCCTTCAATTGTACCTTTTTGAGTCTCCTTGTGCGACATTTGTAATTATTCAATTCGGTTAACAGGCGCCGGCACACAGTCAGCCAGCCATGATGAAACAAAACAGATGAAACTGAGGCAAAGATGGGAACTGGAAGAACATCGTAGGACAAGCATTTTTGACAAGGAAACCGAGGCAATGGAATTATAACAAAAATAATGGCATAAGGCAAGGATAGAGTGGCAAAAGTAGGGAATCATTTGATGATTGAATATTCATTGGTTTCGTGATAGCCCGCGGGTAGTGGCTGGCAGTGGAATGTGGATTGGAGAAGGGAAATTTTCGATTGAAACGTACCTTTAAGGATTCAACAAAGGAGTGTAATTGCACGAAGGCAGGGAAATCTAGCAAAGATTGAAAATGAATGACAGGTTAAACCGTAAAGTAGTGAACTGGTAGTTGGAAAGGAAAGAAAAAATTGGCCAAGGATGGGTATTTAATGTTTACCTGAAGGGACGGTTGGATGCAGAATGCACATTACACAACGACACACATGAAGAGAATAGGAAGTGACCTTTGACGCATGTCGCATGTTTTCTCCGACTATATACAGCATACACCGCCAAATGCGTCGGACTTGAAACCATCACGACGATCAACAGCGGACCTGGCAGGGGCCAGGGGGTGAGGATTCTTCACGTTTGCAACATCGATGAAGCGACAAGAAAAGAGGAAACTCGCAATCATGTGCTTTTCGAGAATTTCATCATATTAGCCTCCAAGTCTCGCGAGCCTCGCAGCCAATCGTGGATAGAGGTTGCTTCTGCAGGCCCGATTAGCGTAATTACATGCCCAAAAGGGGCTGGAACAAGCTCAATGGATTTCAGATGAATCACGATCTGTCGTCAATTCCGCATTGAGCCAGAAAATACTACCAACATATGCCAAACCACTTTCTGACATCTGCAAGTAATAAATCCGCAAACGTTTAATTGCAACCGAAATTTGATGGAACTTCAATCTAGCTTTCGTCGGTGCACCGTAGCAAGTCTATTTTTGTTGCTTCAATATATTCGTCTTGTTCACATCAACCAGCCGCCGCCTTCTTTCACAAGCTGTAAACGCGACTTGTGCATACTGCTTAGAGAAAATGAGGCTGAACTGCACTGGATTGGGCCATCAAGAAAACTGGTAATCCCAGAGTAAAGCCAAGGCAAGAAGAACAGAATCAACCTTTGTTTGCTTTTCAACTTCGAGAGGCGCAAAATTTGTTGATTTTTGTGGTTGATTTCTCTTTTCTTTATTGTTTAGTCTCCCTTCTCTTGTTATCAATCATCCATTTGTAAATTCTCAGTGGTTGCCCCATTATTATCAGCCATTAATTCGTCCATTATTCTCTCATTATCCCCCATTATTTTGAATATTGCCTCCTTTCTCCCGCTTCATATGTTCTAGGGCCCGGCTCGCAATTCCAAGCAGATGCTCCGGAAATCCAGCAAGTCTTGCAACTTCCAACGCATACGATCGCTTGCTGATCCCAGGTTCCAAGGTATGATCAAAGAGGAACTTAACCTTCCCATTGTCTCCAGGATGTTCCAAGATTTTTGTCCGGTAAAAACGTAGGCTTTTCAGGGAGATATCGTCGCTCTCCAAAAGCGTCTTGATCTCCTTGCCAAAATGCGTTGCAAATAGTGTTCGACACTTGTTCTTCTGAAGTAATGTCACCAACGTCGCATAAGCAATAGCCAATCCTTCGTCGCCACTTGTACCTCGACCTACCTCATCCACGATAGCCAACGATCTGCCAGTGGCATTCTTCAAAATGTTGCTGGTTTCAACCATCTCCACCATGAATGTGCTAAGATCACTGAAGATGTCATCTGATGCCCCAATCCGAGTGAAGATGCGGTCAACAATGCCCAAACTTGCGCTTGAAGCAGGCACATACGACCCAATTTGAGCCAAGATCACTATCAATGCATTCTGACGCAAGTACGTGCTCTTTCCTCCCATGTTGGGGCCCGAGATCACCCAAACGTGCCCGTCGGTGCCCAATTTGGTATCATTCCCACTAAACATCTGCCCATTGGCCTTGAGGCTAGACTCCACTACTACATGTCGACCCTTGGAGACATTGAGCGTGGGGCTCTTGACAAATCTCGGACATACCATGTCGTTCTCTTCGGCGAAAACAGCAAATGATGCTGTGATATCAATGAGATCACCACTGCGGCCACAGTTTCTGATCTGGGAAACTCGAGCAAGTACCGTATCTTTGAGAACGCTAATGATTTCTTTTTCTTCTGTTTCAATGGCCTGGACGATTCCCACTTTTTCATCTTGCAAGGTTTCCCACTGCCGAGGCTTGTAGATCAAACTGGTTTTCTTCTTCTCTCGAATATCTCCACCCAATGCCTCACATATGGCGTCAGAGTATTTCAGTCGACACGAGATGTGGATTACATTGAGATACTTGGCGTACTGATCTTTAGCAGATACATTGGCCCTGGAATCCACTTTCACCACTACTTCCTGAATGGCTTGTAGCATCTCATGTTCCAGGATTAGCACTTCTTCTAGTGATGCATGGAGCAGTAACAATCGACTGTTGTGGTCTTTCCGAACAGAGAAAACCATCTGGTTGTTATTAAGTGTTTCTCGATTTACGTACATTTCCACCGAGGTTTCTTCAGTAGTAGACTCAAGGTCAGAATCGTAGTTCTCTGGGGCTCTCTTTATCACGGGTTCTGAGGGAAGTGTCTCAAGGATTTCGAGAGCCAAATTCTGAGGGACATCAAATTGCTGGAGAAACTGTTGAACTAAGTCTTGTTCTTTCTTCTTGAAATGATCCGTGTGTCCGACTAGCAAGTCCAGCAATTGAGCAAGCCGAGTGATTCCCTCACCAATAGCTTGTAAGTGGGCCACCTGAGAGCCGGTGTTGAGTGCTAGTCTTTGCAACGAACGAGTGAAGTCTCCCACATTTGCCAAATGGTGTCTAATCTCATATCTCAACAACGAATGGTTCTTGAAGAGTGATACAAATCCCTGTCTTCTGAGTAGTTCCTTTGTGTCCAAGATGGGGGACTTGACCCATTGCGCGAGGCGCCGAGTTCCTGAAGGTGTCACCGTTCTCTTTATGGTATTCAACAATGATCCAACCACCGAAACTGTATCAAAAGTCGATCGTCCCGTTAACTCCAACGCATCTCGTGTTCTAGAGTCCATATGAAGATACTTATCAGTGATATACCGTGTTGGCGGCTCCAACAGTAGTGTTCTGTCTGGTAAGTTGAAATTGACATACGATAGCACCATATTCATGGCAGCCTCTTCACGTACAGACAACAGCTCGAGGAGTTTTCGAGTGGCCACGATATCAGTCAGAAACTCCAATTTAAAGTCTCGATACGTTGTCTTATGATAGCGGATGAAATATTTGTTTAACTCGGCCATCTGCACAATCCACAGATCCGGAGTAGAGTCTGGATGGAATTCTTTGGACATGATGACTTCACTAGGGCTAATACGCTTCAAGTCGGCTGCCAACTCACCCATGGTGGTCAGTTGGACATAAAAGTCCCCCACAGAAATGTCCACCCACAGCAAACCTACTGGAAGATCTGGGTCACTCACCTGTGAGTTGGAAGGGATATAAATTCCCACCAAATAGTTATTCTGGGAGTAGTTTAAAAACGATTCGTCAATAAGTGTTCCTGGAGTGACCACGCGTGACACTTTTCGGTGCATTAGTGTGTCTGACTGGGATGGATACTGGTCGATGATGGCCACATTGTAATGGAGATCATGGACTAAGATTTTGACAAATTTGGCAAGTTGTGATACAGGGAACCCTGCCATTGGTACAGTATGGTTGCTGGTCTTCCGTAGTGCCACTTTGATGCCTAATTTTGGTGCAATTGTAGATGCCTGCTCAAAGTAGAGCTCGTAGAATGATCCCACCTGAACCAAGCACACACTATTCTTGTTGGCATCAATGAGCTTTCTCATAGACGCTAGTAATGGAGTCAAAGCATTTGATTTTGTCAATCCCCCTCTATCCCATGCTGGACGTAGTGGAGCATCCTGTGGAGGTTCGGATGAAGAATAATCTTGCACTGAAATTTCACTGGTTAAGTCTTCGCCACCATTGACCTGAAATGTCTCCGAGGAAATTTTAGCTGACGAATTCAGCGACTCTGCCCTATTGAAACGTTTCAGGCTTGGAGAACTGTAAAAACGTCGAAGGTTCGATATCTGGGGTCCGATAAGTAACCTGTTTCTGTATGTGGCCAGGTATCTGCAAACACTGAAATTTCTCGATATTATAAACATTTTCAGAATATGAGAATCCAGCAAATAACCGAATGATGTTCAATATATCGTAGATTTGTAGGAATATCACCACATGTTCTGAAGACAACTCTACTATGCGAGACGCGATGCTCGCTAAATATCCTACGCAGTAGTAATGCTATCTATAATACAATTATGCTACCAGATATCCTATCTAGTTCAAATAGCCCTTGCACCCAGGTGCTCCACAGAGACACCGGATTCTCTCGGCATCGTTTGTTTCTCTTTCGAATTTGTAGTCATACGTGAGTTCTTCGTTTGCATCGATGTCACGCAAGGCATAAATGACGATTCTCTTTTTTCCATCCACCTTGATGATCTTCGCTGTACAACTTGGGTTACAGCAATGATTGATGAATCTAGCAATTCCTCCCTTTTTGGTGGCGTCAATAACGGTGTTTTCATCAATACGGAAAAGGTACGACGATCCAATACCCGTCCGCAAGTAACTCTTCTCACGGTGCTCGGCAACCTGTTGACGAATACTTTCACCAACATACTCAATAATCATCTCCTTGGCAGCAATAGGCTCCAACGCATATAAGCCCCAGTTATGAATTGCTGATCTGGCAAAGGATACTGGCTTCTTACGCTTTGTTAATGCGTTCAAGTTTAAGATATCTGACTCAGAACTTAAAATCTGCTTCTGGGCACTAATATCTGCAGCAAATCTTCTGTTGTTTGCTCTATTCACACGAGAGCTCTGCAAGTTATTAGCAGTGGCTCCTGGTGTACCGCTATTGCCATTATGGTCTTCTGAATCGTGATGAACTGTTTTGAGTGGCTTATGAATCTTCCTGCGATGCGGCAAGTACTCAACTTTATCAGCGTCAGCAATTTTTCTATGGCCCTCACTTTTGAACGATCCAGTGTGACATTCCAAATGATCACTGAGCAAATCAACTGTTTCTTGTTCGAAATTGATGTTCTTGGAGCCGAGTTGTCTCTGCTTCCATGCCCAGTATTCAAGATGTTTGATAGAGGATGGTTGGGTATCCTTGAGAAGCTTTCTAGCCAACTCCATATCTTCATCGTCTCGGATAATCTCCTGCAATCTTTGCAAATCAAAAATACTTCCTGCTTCCGGAATGATCTCCTCATATACAAGTTCTGGTTCTTCGCCGAGAGTTGAATCGTACTTTGTTTCCACAGGAAATTTGGTTTCTGGCGAAGTAGTTTCTGTCTTTTCAGTTTCTGCTGAGACATCTTCCATTTCCTCATCCGATGTTTCGTACAAAAAGGTTTCGGAAAGCTTCGACTTCTTCTGTTTTTTGTGTGGAGATTCCAGTTCTGGTGACGAGACCAGCTCTCTCTTCACAGGGGCAGGCGTAGCCGATCTGCTTGTCTCCTCTTCGTCAGACTCATCAGACTCATGGTCGTCATAGTTAAGTGCATGCTGCATTGGGAAAAGGTTCTTCTTCTTCTTGTTCTCGCTTGACAGTGCGCCAAGTTTCTTCGTGAAACTCGGAAGCATCAAGACATGCTTATTCTCCTTGTTCTCCTTCTTCTTTTCCACTAAGAATGAATATGCGCCAGATTTGTTTGCGTTGGCATCCCTCAATTGTTCTTGTTTCTGTAGACGTTCCTTCATTTCAATCTCGCGCTTTCTGTCACTTTCTTGCTTCTTCTCCATCACTTCTTTCATGAGCTCAGGATAATTCTCGGGACGAAGAGCGTCGAGGACAGTAGGTGCGATAATTCTCTCACGAATATCCTTGCTCAAGTAAATCTGGAACTCTTTTATCAACATGTTTGCCGCCTCATCAACAATATCGTGGCCCTTTGAGTCGCTCTTTGACATCTTGACATTCTCATCTCCCACGAATTTCTCAGGGATGCAAAGCTCCATGTACAATCGGTACTCAAAGAATCTAACACCATCCTCATTGTTAAAACACCGCTCACATTCCTTCAAAGTATTAAATACAACATAGTATCCTGTCTTATCCACGAGCACTCTGGTCCAGTCGTATTTCATCAACACTTTCTTGATTTCCTGTGACGAGATCTTCTTGGTGGGAACGTACTTATCGTTGATGTAAATGAAGGGCCTGTCTTTGACGTAACGAACAAGATCTTGAGGGAGAAAGACACCCTTAATGACTTGGTTTTTGTGTTTTACAGACAATTTTGTAGTGTTGAGCCTCTTTGCTAGGCTGAGTTTAGCCTCTTCTTCCTTGGAGATTTCAGGCTTTGGTGGGTGGTCAGGTTTCTCTGTAGTCTTCTTTTGAGCCTTAATCATCTTCTCTTGCTTTTCCCTCATGATTCTAGCTGCACGCAACTTGCCCTGGGCCACCTCAATCTTAGAATTTAAAAGTTTGCTATCTGCATCGTTCAAGGCGATCTTCAATTCCACACCATCGACCTTGGGGCTCTCAATTTTGATGGTTTTGAGTAACATTTTAGCGATTCTCAGCGCCTTCTCAGGAGAGCCAGGAAACGAGAACGTAGCTATGCCCAATGGAACAGCATTGACAGGATCATTGATGAACTTCATATCTTTCACTGTATCGCCAAAAGATTCGAAAAATTTCACTAAGTACATCTCATTGACAGTGGTGGGGAGATCCCAGATAACTAACTCTGACTGTGGAGGAGCACCCAAAGAGTTCTTATCGTAAACGAACCGAGGCTGGGGTAAATGTTTGAAAGGCATCTTCTTGGAGAGCTTATTGGGTTTTGCGAAGTAAGTCTGGAGACTAAGTTTCAAACGAGGATCTGAAGGAGACTCTAGACCCAGCTCTGTCTGGAATCTGAGCTTACGGTGTTTCTTCTTCTTCTCTGCTTTCGGAAGGGTCTTATCAAGTTCTGGATCATAGGTAACTCTGTAGTTTTTCAGAACGTCGATCCTCGAAATATGCGGGCGAGAGTCCAAGTAGCTGAGGTGGTGCATCTGAATCGGATATTTTTCGTCGAGTGGATTTGCTCCAGTGGCAGGATCTGTACCCAGAGTTCGGAGTTTCTGGCCATAGGCATCTTTATCAGCGCCGGGCGAGTGCAACGGTGTCGTCTCGGTCGTTTCGGAGTCCTTTGAAGTAAAATTACCATTAGAACCCCGCAGCGACTGGCTGGGCGACAGTTGATGCAGCAGATGGGGACTATCAATCACTCCAGAGCGTCGAGCGTGTTCGCTATATTGATGCGGGCCATTCGGCGAGTTTACGGCGCCTTTCTCAAAATGTCGACGGCGTTGACCGGCGGGTCCACCTGGGTACATTCCCGCATGCACGGGTCTTTTCCGTGTGTTGTAGCGGTTGTATGACATGGAAGTATTTGGTGGAGCCAGGCGGAGATCTGTAAGTGAGTACTGGTCCAAGATGCTAAAATAGCAGGAAGAAAACGTCCGAAACGCCAGGTATTAGTGGGATGTGGAGGACGGTAAGATGCGGGCCCGGCTAAATTACCGTGGGATTAGTGGACAAAGACGTTGATAGTAGAAAAGTTGATCAAGCACATTCGCGTTAGTAGTAGGGTGTGCAGGGTGGAGTAGATGGATCTAGGAGAAAATAAATGGGTTAGGGAAAAATGGTGACGGGAAGATTTCAGCAAGAATTTAGTAAGTTTTTAATGGGGAGGAGATTCTTATAAGGGGATTTGTGGAATTGTTTGTGAATGTTTTCTTGGTAGAGGTGTCGATTAAATGGATCGTTGGTTGATTGGGCGGACTATAGTGGTATGCTTGTGTGCCAGTGCGACTTGATAACTATTTCTGATCAACTGTGGCCATAGTCAAATATGGAAACCTGATAAATAATGGAACACGGGACTTATACTGAAGAATAAAACTGCATTGAAGAGATGTTGAGGGTTGGGACTTTGCTTAGGACTGGATGTATTCTTTCTAGGCTAGTGATTTGACTTCAATATCTGGCTGATTTTCCACTAGTTTGCTTAGTATTACAATGAGGGCTTCAACTAAAAGAGAAAAAAAAAGCCGTGCAAGTAGTGATCGTATGCTGTGAATTGGCATGCGCCATGAATTTGAGTTTGAATGTTCTAAGTTTGAGTTGCACCATGGTGTGATATTTGGCCATGGCATTGGAAAGCTTGGAAATGTTTCAATTCTTCCAAAAAATAGGCAGGAAACAAAGAGTAGAAAAACGCCAAGAGTAACTAAGACCCTTCACCTCACCGCTAGATTTCCTTTGCGAATATTAACTTTTTAATCTTTGACAGTTAGAGCCAAAATCCATTCCCTTACTATGATCATCCATATCAATGGTCATCTCATACACCTCGAGTCTCATTCAAACATTTCCAAGTTCCATCTCTCAAGTTTCATCTCATCAAATATCATCAAACTCCAACTTCTATACTACATCTCCTCTTATCAATATCCATTATGCTATGTGCTACTTCGTTCTAATGTGCTTCAATGGCCCCGCAGAGTGATAGAAGTTGGCCGAGTAATCCTTCTTACGGAAGTGTCTCTTCTTAGGCTCCTTCACGTAGTAAGACCAACCCTGGCCCTCGGCGAATCGAATGGCAGCCTCCTTGTTGTCAAACTTCATGATGGTTCCTTGCATGTAGTCTCCACTCGACTGGTATCCCATCAAGTCGTTCTCCCAACGATTGGCACGGGCCAAAACATCCCAGTCCAACTTCCAGTGGCTTGCGTTGTGAGTTCCCAGCTGGGTGGCAGGCTTGGCTTCCTGGTAGATTCTCACCACTCTCGACGTAACCAAATCCTTTGGAGCTCCCGAGACAATCTCGTTCTGCTTGATTTGTGATGGATCGAAGGTCACAGCCTTCTGGGCCAATACGGCGCTACTACCGAGCAGACGTGTAGATGCCCTGAAAATGGTTCTGCTCAACATGGCGTATGGAGGTTAGTAGTTTACTATAACTTTTTCCTGGTTGGTCAATAGAGCGAGAATATGGTGTACGGGTGTGATGATTGAAGTAGCAAATGTGGTTGGGTGAAAATAGCCAGTGACATTGCTGTTGGAAAATTTTTTGGATGTAATCGATTAGAGAAATTATTTTTTATTTTGAGTATATATTTGGATTTTACTTTTCGAGAAATCTTGCTCATTTTTACTAAGGCACTCTGATCCCTATATTATCATACTGTATATAACACAAACAATATTACGAAGAGCTTCGAATAGAGATTGGTTGGGACTTCAATAATTAAGGCCAACTTGAACTTCGTCTTACGGGGCCTTATTCCCAATTCTGATATTTCTTTCTATTCTCTTTTTTTCTTTTTAACTTCCAGTCATCGAACAAACAAACTAGAAATCACATATTGGTTATCCATGAGCCATTCCACCATCGCCATTGGTCATCGTGTAATAGCTGTTTTAATTTAAAGTTCGAATAAAGTTCAATTCCCAGCATCGCTATCGCTACTAAAATTAACCTCAAAATCCCATTCTTTCCTGCTTTTCATCAAACTGTCCGTCTCTCTTCTCTGCCTGCATACTTACCGATCTATAACCTTGTCCTACAATCAGATTCAATATACATCATGAGCAAACACCAGTTGGTCCAGTCGCTCAAGGATACTCTCCCGACATACTCTGGTGACTTCCCTCCCCAATTGCTCTCGTATGTTGATTCACTCTACCTGCTAAGCCATCAGCAGCTTCCAGTTCTACCGAATAGAGGTGAAGTTGCCAGATACCATTTATGTGCATATTTAGGTGTCGAGAGATGCCAGGAGCGTCTTAAATTGCCTATACCACTGGCTCAGAAGATTCCTCTCCAGCCCAAAATTGCAGAAAAGCTTCTACAAGATCTACGGCTGTTGGTGGTCAAATCTCCAGCTTCAAGTCCTCGAAAGAGAGTCCAGACGCCGACCTCGTCACCTTCCAAAAGACAGAATGCTCCCATTGTTGGTTCTCCACTCAAAAGGCTGCGTGTGGCCGAAGATCTTGCTTCAGATACTCTGCCTGCTGGTAACGGAAAGCTGACGGTCAAGGCAGAGAATGAAGAATCGCCATTTCTCTCCAAATCCGGAGTGGAATCTCCGTTTGTGACAAAATTGACCAACTCCATGGATGCACCCAAAACGCCTACCAGATCACCAAAGAAGAGCAAGCTTTCTGCTGCGTCAACGCCCAATAGTCCAAGGTACATTCGACAGTTGAGCATAGCTGACTTTATCTCGTTTGCCAACAACTTCTACATCCCAGCAACCGTCACACCTCATATATTGGAGTTCTTCATGTCGCAAAGATATAAGTTCGCCAAAAAGAATGAGTGGTTCTTGGCATGTGGCCTCATCTATGCAGCCTACATTCGTATTAATGATCGCATCATGGTTTCTGCTGTGAAGAAGACGGAACTCCAGGACCAGCTTTTCCAGTACCAGAAAGGAGGTCTCGGTAAACAGAACATGGTAATGTGGCTCAACATTATTGAGGAGTCCGTAAAGACTGAGGCATGGATCATGGATTTGGAGTTGAAGTACGTGCATAATAACTGGACCCCAGAGGATACAACAAGAGAGAAGGAGATCGAAGCTAAGTTGGGACGAGGATACGAATTGTTGCTGGATTTTGGATCCATGATCAGTCCATCGCATATGTTCAACAAAGCGTCTCAAAAGAAGTATTACGATGTGTGGACGAAAAGATTGCTCGAAGAGCTTGACAATGCACAAGACAAATGAAGATGGCAACAACGAACTTGTGCTCACACTATGAACTATGATGAGAGGGATCAGCATGAGCAGATAAAGTGAAGGTGACACACAGAGCTCAGCTCACACAGCTTATTTCACACCTGAGGTTCTCTATGAGAAATGGTCCATTTTAATATGACAACTTCCACAAGTCGCATGATTAGAGAAGAAGTGCCAGATTTTGAAGCTTACTTCATTGCCATTGACAATGGTGATGATCAAGTCCTTCAGGATAAATGACGGGCAATGCCTGGCTGGACTTTCTCCATTTGTGACAGCGTAATGAACTTCCTGGCTTCGTTGTAGGGTATTGAAGTTGACGGCAAAACCCAGGTGAGAAGGGCTAAAGATATTCTTGAACTCCGTTCTACTTTTGTGTCATCAATGCTTATATTATATATGTACAGGTAGTTTTCTCTCCTTCCAACAATCAACATCTAGCACTCTAAGAACTTCTTCAACTTTTTCAACTGAGAACCTTTATCGGAAACGTCGACAAAGGAGTCAAGATGACGGAGCGAGTTGCAGCTGAACCCTCCATTTCCATGGTTTCTGCCTGCCTGCTTTCTCTTGTATCCAGTTCCAGTCTTGATAAATCTTTTAGCGGCCGCCTTGTGAGTCTTCATTTTATTTCTGGTTTGAATGAGTGTGTTGAGAACTGGCCTCCTGCCAAACACGAGTCTGCTGGCGGATTGGAATAGAGAGTTCATGGTTGGTGGAGATTCTCAATATGTTGGTTAGATCGAAAATTTCTGGATGTAATGTGTAGTGCACGACTGTTTGGAGGATAGCATAGGGCATCAATGTTTAGAAAAGAAAAGAATGAAAAAAAAAAAAAAGGAACTTGTACAATTTCACTCAATCGTCTTAACATTTATTCATGTTCTAAGTATGTTCAGCAAAGTAGCGTGGCTCATCAAATACGTGGTAATGGTGCCCTCTCACACCATCTCCACGAAGTAATTGTGGCATTCTAAGTGCAGGGTCCACCTCACTCTCGTCAATGTAATTGTTTCCATATAAGAAGGACTCACTGTAGCTACGCTGTTCGTCAGTAAGGAATTTGAACTTTGCAATCTGGAGCTCAGTGTCTGTAATGGTGGAACGAGAAATTCTGGCATAGGCAACCTTCTTGAGGTCTCTGAACAAAATGTACTCACACCATCTATCCCAGTCGGTGCTGTCAATATCGTACATGCGTGTCTTTTCGCTCACGTACGTGTTGTAGTTGCCCTTCAATGGCTCAGTAACCAAGTAGCTTAGGAGAACCAACGGACGAGTCGAGTTAGCCATGATTTCGGCAACTCCCAAACTCTGCAACCTACGATCCTCAACATCCTCCTCCTGTCCGGAGTGGAACACCACAACATCGATGAGCTCTCCATAAATGTCTAAAGTGGCATGAATAGCTGGTGCCAATTCTCCAACAGGAGAAGGAAGCAAGTGATGGTGGGACTCGACAATTGGAAACTTGGACAACAATGCTGCTCCCCAAGTGTGCTTGTTTGGCCCTGGACCATAGTCCACGTACATGCCTAAGTCATCGGCGATTTTTTGGGTGAAGTCTCTGTTTCCACCAATGAGACGCTCGGTATCAGTCTCAAGTAACCCGATGATATCCACCTCGGCATCCTTTATGAGATCTCTCATTCTAGTTTCACTGGACCACATATCGTTATCCAATCCAAAATGAACACACCAAATTCCTGTAGTGAACGATTTGGACGATTCGTTGTAAGGTTTGAAAGGAACAGCAGGATATCTGTGTAACAAGGTTGCCACAGATAAGGCAGAGAGAACAGTGATAATCTTCAAGGTTGAGCTAAAAAGTCTGGAGCCTCTCACTTCCACTCTGGTTATGTTCAAAGCATTTTTGCGCAAAGTATAGTTCACTACTGCAAGAGTAACAAGGGCCACGGAGGAAGCAACAATGAGATCAGTTCTCTCTCTCAACAAAGGTCCTCCTGGCACAAAAGCGTAAGCAACGATCCACACACTAGCCAATGAGATGACGATGCTCACAAAGAAGGCAATGGTAAAAAGTGCTGCAATGTTGTAACCTGCAACTGCTTGACCAACCAAAGGAGCTAATGAAGAAAGGTAGAATGTGTATCCCAAGGAGCCGCCAAAGCCAACCCAACCCTTGTACGCATAAAGAACATACGCAGAGGCAGCCGAAAATAACGAATAGATGGGACTTGCAAACAAATTAGGGTGGATCTGGATCGAGGCCAAAATGCCGAGAGCAAAAGCAGCAAAATGGAACAATCCTCCGGTCAATGGCGTTGGTCCTCGAATTGGGTATCCCTCCCAGGTCCAGTAGATCATGGTGGAAGAGTCACTTAAGTAGGCCTGGAGACAGAATAAGTACCCACCCAACCCAAAGGCTGCGAGCAAGAGGGATCCACCCTTTTTCTCGACAACAGGTGTTGGAGCAGCAGGCTTCCGGGTCAAAAGTGCAGCAGCAAGGCCAACAAAGATGGCCACTTCGTTATATCCTCCATTAGCCTTGTGCATGATGGGCCACGCAGGGTTATTTGAGTGGCACATGAACTTGAATACCGAAGTCGTCAACAATCCAACAAGTAAGGAAATCCAAACAGAGGTGTACTTTCTGGGTTGATGATACAAAGAAGACAACTCTGCTCCGGTAGCGATCACTCCGAAACCAAGTCCAGCGGTAATAACCAAAAGTCTCTGTTCTGGCTCCTCTACCTTATAGGCGCCAATACCAAACAACACGGTCAATGCCCTGGCTACAAATGGGTACAGCAGGAAGAGATAGCTGAAAGGTGGAATTGCAAGCAAGATCGGAGCAAGGAACATAACGAAAATCACTGCTTCGTAACCGGAAATACCCATGTGCCAAAGTGGAAAGTACCAAACGCAAACTAAAAGGGAAGTGAGCACCGTCCAAAACATAAAAGCATTGGTCGTATTGATGAGGAATTCATAAATGGTGAAATCATCTTCAAGAGTCTTTACAACCTTCTTTGGTTCAATGTGTTTCTCAGATTTCACAGCCACAACAGACAGCGAAACAGAGCCGAATTCGAGCTTGTTGCCGTACAATCTGAATTGCACAGGAGCAAAGTCAATAATCGACCAAGTGTCGAAAGCAACATCGAGAATGATGAGCAGCCATTCGAAATATGCGTAGATGGAGTACGCACCAGGTCTCACATGTACCTTGTGCTGAATAAACCAATAAACCAATGGCACAAGCGTCAGGAAAAAGGTGATGGCAGTAAGCAGTCTTCCACGACGCACAGTAGTGCCCTTAGGCGACAAAACAGATACGGTCACCGTCCAAGGAATAGTAAGTATAATATAAGCGATCATGAAGATATCATGCCAATCATGGTCATCGGTGGAGGTGATATAGACCCAACCACCACAAGTGAAAGTTCTCAAAAGGCCCAGAAAGAGCAGAATATATGGCAAGATCAGCTTCTTTCTGTAGAGAACAATGAAGTTAAGGAAAATTAGCATGAACCGAGGTCCAGCAGTACAAGCAATGAAAACCTGGAAAACCGATCTTTCAGGGTACCTATCTCCGATAGCAGCTGAAACACTAGGAAACCACTCATCTGGGTAGCCATAGGACGAGTTCTGGACGATTTTGGTGTAATGCAACCAGCATCCGACCACAAGAGCTGACAAAAAGGCCAAATAGGCAAAGAAAGCGTGGGCATATGCAACGTACTTGGCGCTGAACGCCACCACTGGTGCTTCTTGAATTGTCAGTGGAGTCACCAGCGTGTTTTTGACTGATTTTTCCTTCACCAGAGCCATTTTTTATGACAATTGACCTGAAGTCTATTTGGTTAGGTGGTAAACTGGTGGTAGTTGGTGTATGGGTGTTGGACTCAAGTATCAGGTGTAGAGATCACGTATCGGGCATAGAGATCAGGTTTCAGATAGAATAGATATTGTAAAAGGGGTGTGAAATTTTATTAGTTTTGAGAATGAAGAAAATGAAAGGATGCTGTGTGTTTGAATACGAGGAGGCTGCGATTTTGTGTAGAAAGACTTGAAATTATTGTATGAGTTGGTTTAATTTGGGTGCGTTCATTAATACTCTCAAGATTCGTGGCGTTAACATTTGAAGATTTAACCATTGGAATCACGCAAGACACTCACTTGCAGATAAATGAAATAAACTACTTGAATGATGTTCATGATATCAATAAAACCAATGAGCTAAGAAATTGAAAAAAAAAAAAGAATAACCGTATTTGCTAGGATTAGCTTGTGTTTTAGTGATAAAGACATTGACAATTGCTCATCAGCGACCTTCCAAAAGCTGGATTCAACACTACAGAAACCATAACAAAATAATTCACACATACAAATGATTCTTAAAATTTCCAATATTCTAGTCGGTCCAATCTCTCATCTTCGTGTTCTGTTCATGTCTATTATACTACCAAGCTAAGTCGTGTGCGTGCCAATACTATGCACCAGTAAAAATTCACCTTTTCGTAAACCTTGAAACCAGTCTTCACCAATATCAATATGGGTATGTCTTCACTCACAAGCTACGCCAATGAAGTCTTAGAAAAATCAAACATAACTAACACTCCAGCATCGTACGAAAACCACAAAAGACCCGAGTTGGTGTCCTTTGACGATATCAACTACGAGAACTTTGACGAGGTTGAAAAGGCCAGAACTTCCATGATGAGAGAGCAGTGGATCAGGAACCAGGAATTGAGAATCACTCACGACGCCTTGAGAAAGTGCAAGCAATACCATGGGCCAGACGCCCAGAAGAACTGTAGACCTTTGATCTTGAAGTACATGAAGATGATCGAGAGTTACCCATTGCAAGGCTACTTGGGCTACCAGAAGAACGATCCCTCTTTATAAAGTGTACATTAGAATCATTTCGGTGTGGCCGATTGCATAGCTGTTTAGCATTATACGTATTCATGGAGAGAATGTAGATGAGAGGTGAAAGGATCGTGTCATGACTGTTGGAAGAGTAACATTCAAAAGGGAGAAGTCTCTTAAGTAGAAGATCGAGTGCATGTTTAAAGTGTTATTGGGGCGAATTTAGAGGATTCTTGGTCGCATACGTCGAGTTTTGGATTTTTGGTGTTTTATTGAATTTGCAAGTTAAATAGTAATCCTGGAAATGATTGCGAAATAAGAAGAGATAGGCGAGAAGACACTAGAAATAGAGAGCAGAAGAACAGATCAGGAAGATCCAGAAGAATTAAATTGTTTAGATTGAAGTGGTGACAAGTGAACTTAAATAAATATAAGACATTTAAAAACACATATAAGCAATTAACATTTCCCTCTAACTAATTTATCTTCTGGGTATGCACATTCTCATTTGTCTATTTCCAGTACGAATAGATACATTAACTCATTCAATAAGCATAAACAATGGAAAGAACAATAAAATAAAACGTAAAAAACAGGCAAATCAAAAGCATAACCCATTTAATGATCCTTTCAACCATCTTTCAATATCTAGTTTTATTGTTTCTCTGTTTTCCTACTTTGGTGCCTCTATTACCGGGGGTCGGCCTCCACACGTGATCTTCATACCCACCATAACAATTTATCACTATGAACTCCCAAAATTTCCCATAAAAACCTATTGAAATCAACAATTACAACAAAGTCGTCACTCTAACCAGGAATTACCACCATATGTCTTCAACAATATTCATAAACATCAAACTCCTCCAACCTTTCAACTATACAAGGTCACGTGAGAGACTCCAACAGCCAATCAAACCGCGCCCTCACCTCGGGTTCCGAACGACCTCACCTACCAAAAAAAAACCAATCTTCAACCTTACAACTAACTGTCCACTTCCAACATGTTTCGTTTAGGTGCTACTCAGGCCGCCCGTGCCGGCGTCAGGTATGTACAAACCATCCGCAATTGAAAATACCCTTGCAATTGTCCCCTCTCCACGTTGTCATTACCCATTTATCGTTGACTTTTTCACCCCAACCAGATTCGTTGACCAATCTCCTCAACCTTTAATTGAACGTTTAAACCATGCAAATCCCTCCCAAATCACGAGATGTACATCGAATTGCAAGTTTGCTTCCACTATCAACTCCAAAACACTGTACTAACCGCCAGAAACTACGCCACTTTGAGAGAAATCGAGATGCGTCTCAAGTCCATTAAGAACATCGAGAAGATCACCAACACCATGAAGATTGTGGCCTCTACCAGATTGAACAAGGCTCAGAGAGCCATGGAGGCCTCCAGAGTGTTCAACAAGTCCGACGCCGAGTTCTACAAGAATGCTGAGCCAGAAGAAACCGCCGGTGACAAGACCTTGTTGATCGTTGTCTCTTCCGACAAGGGTTTGTGTGGATCTATCCACACTCAGGTGTCCAAGGCTGCCAGAAGAAGAATTGAGGAGTTGTCCGGCAACGTTGACGTTGTTGCTGTCGGTGACAAGGTTAGAGCTCAGTTGACTAGAACTCACGCTGACAAGGTCAAGTTGGCTTTCTCTGGTGTTGGTAAGGCCGAGCCAACTTTCTTCGAGGCTTCCTTGATTGCTGACGAGATCTCTACTTTGGGTAAGTACGAGAACACCGAAGTTTTGTACAACAAGTTTGTTTCCGGTGTCTCCTTCGAGCCATCTAACTTCTCTGTCTTCGCCGCCGATGCCATCGAGAAGGCTCCAGGTTTGAGCAAGTATGAGTTGGAGTCCGAGGACACCGCCGAGACCTTGTCTGAGTTCTCCTTGGCTAACTCTATCTTGACTGCCCAGGCCGAGGGTTACGCCTCTGAAGTTTCTGCCAGAAGAAACGCCATGGACAATGCTTCCAAGAACGCTGGTGACATGATCAACTCCTACTCGATCTTGTACAACAGAACCAGACAGGCTGTCATTACCAACGAGTTGGTTGATATCATTACTGGTGCTTCTTCTTTGGATTAAGCGTGGTCTCTCATATAACGACTAGAACGTCAACAAAATTCATCAAATATACGCGGATGCATGTACGAGTGTAGAATTGTCTATAAATATTGTATAACTTTCGAACATTAGTCGGATTTCACCATGCCGTAGATGCTTCGGATGAACACTGCCGACGTCACCACAGAAATGGCTCCACAAGCAACTCCTAACGCAACTGAAAAAAGTGCCATGTAGCTGAAATAAATCAACACACTGACAAAGTCTGTCATGTGCAAATAGCTCACAAAATAGTAGATGGTGTACGCGTAAACGTACCACGCAATGCTGAATCCAACCCGGAAGCATAACCATTGCCAGTTGGGGTTGTTGTACACTGCCAACGAGAGGTATGTAACTACTATTGCCGATTCAGCAACAACAACCAGAAGTAACATAACAGTCAGGAGCAAGAACCCATACATGTAGTAAAAGGTTGTCTTTTCTAACCAGATCGAGTTGAAAATAAACAAGAGATCCACGTAGGCGATACCAAAAGGAATTAAACCAAAAGCCAACGTACTTATGATTGGGTTCATGACAAATGAACGGCGCGATGCAATTTTGCCAACTGACTTACTTTCTGGGACATAGGAAGTGACCATGAACGACTTAAGAGGGAATTCAAACTTGTTTCCAAGAAGACCACCGAGAATTCCTAGTGGAAGTTCAATAATGCCAAACAACAAAATGAGAACCACAATGGTTCCGAAGGGCAAGGCATTCGACGATTCTTTGGCCCATACGAACAAGTTTAGGGTCAAAACTACCGACAACAAGGTAAAAGGCAATGTTCCTGCGAAGAGAGATGAGAGAATAAACGTACGACGAGTGTCATACTTTGTTCTTGGAGGCTCATTGCTCATGATCTTGAACAAGATGACACCTAGATAGGCAGAAACGAATCCTGATGCCAACAATAAGACGATCGAGCAGCTGAAAAAAGCGCCTTGGTGCAGATTAAAGAAGGCACTTGACGAAGAACCAGAACCAAAGTTGAGTTTGGAATTGAGCACTAGAATAACAACGACACCAACCAGCGCCACAAGACATTGAATTCCGCTGGACACCAATGTACATAAGAGCAATGTCCGTGGGGGCTTGTTCATAACTACGTTCACCAAATTCTTCCACAGGCCCGAGTTGCCGTTAGTGCCGTCAATTTCAGACCTGGTCAAAGGAATTGAAGTTCCAGATTGAAGGTCAGTCTTCAAAAGTCTGAACATGGTGATCGCAACGACTAAAGACACGAGGCAAAAGAGGACCAACGAATTCACAAGAGAGAGCCAGTGGATATGATTACTGGTAATGGAGCTATCGTTGTCATAGTACAAGTCCCATCTGTTCTGATAAGAAACCGAATTATCCTCTCGCCAATAGACAGAATATGTGTACGGAATGAGGGTATGCTGCTCTATGAGCTTCTTATTCTTATCACGAGGCAATTCAATGGGGAAGTTCTTATAGTTTTTGGATGTACCAGGACACACTTCATTGATAACGCTCTTTGGATAAACTTCGAAGCCAACAATCGACGACATTCCATCCTTTTCAGTGTGGTATCTGATGACGAGAGTCACATGGTTGTACAAGTAAGACTTGTCTCCCTTGACAAAACCCAAGGGAAAACCTGCAGCATAGTATCTGGATACATGGTTTGCACCGGTGAATGTTGTGGCACCAGGCAAGCCATCTAGGTTCCAATGAACAACATATCCATTTCTAATGAGGTAGTCTGCTCTTGCAGCACCGTTCTGGGTGGTTCTCATCTGACAGAGATGCAGACAGGGTTTGTCGACTTTGAATTCAAGCTCATAAAGGGATTCCCAGAAACGGTCACCTCGGAGAATCTCACCCAACAGCATGCTTTTGGCCTTCTTGGATCTGTCATAACACACAAATGGGAGATCGTTGTATCTGAACGGTAGTTGTGTATGATCACTCTCAATCTTGTTTAGCAATAGCTCCACCTTTTCACCTTTTCTGTAACGTTTCGGGGAGAAAAAATCAAACGCCGACACCATAACAGTTAGGTATAGGAACCAAACATGGAGCAACATGGTAAGGAATGACTGAGACAAGTGGAGTCGTTTGATTCACGAAGAAAAAGGATGCCGTACTGTTGACAAGCATATGCGCAGGATCAATAAAATAATCCACGCCAAATTAGACGTGCTCTTTGAGCATTTCCATGGCTTCCCGAATGAGATAATTGCCTTTAGGATCAAGGTTGAGTGCAATGGTGAATTCACGAATTGCCAGAAATTTGTCGTTTTTAATATTGTAGAGTTGTCCCAAAAGGAAATGGACCGATGCTTCGTTGGGTGCAAGTTCCTTTACCAGCTCAAACTCTTTAAGTGCCTGAGGAAACTGCTGCATGGAGAACAAGAGTTGAGCTTTTTTGAAAATTGGCAATGCACTCAATGGCTGCAATTTATTTGCTAGCTCATATTGGCGAAGTGCTAGAGTCTTTTTGCCCAACTTCTCAAGCACCATACCCACGCAACATATCAAGATAATGTTGATAGGGTTGATGGATACAGCCTTGCGGAAATGATAATCTGCCTTTTGGAAATCGCCCAAGTTGATGTAAACCATGCCAATACCGTAATATGCATTATAATGACGTGGATCAAGCATAAGACTAACGCGGAAACAATCAAGTGCTCGCTCGTAGTTATCGGTTCCAAAATACTCGTGGCCCTTCAAAGTGTGAGCGTAGGTGAATTTTGAATCAATTGCGATTGATTTGTTAAAGCATCTGATGGCTTCGTCTGGCTCTCTAGTTAACGAAAAGAGATTTCCCATCACACACCACGTAATGGCCAGATTTGCGTCAATATCATGGAGTTCATTGGCCAAAAAAGTTAGCTCAACGTTCTTGTGCAAGTGCCACAAGAGTGTGGAGTAGTACTCCATATCCTCGAGACGTGTTCTGTCTAGCTGTCTTAGTCTTACGAAGAACTTCTTCGATTGCTTGTAATTCACAATCTCATAATGTAGCCTGCCAAGCTTGGAGAGTACCCAAGGGGTGTCCTTCTCTGGATCTGGAAGTGACTCTAACATTCGAATTGCTTTGTAGCAATCGTACTTGCACATGCTCTTGTACAGCTTAGCAAAGATCGTATAAAGCCGACGCAAATAGAGCTCTGCCGCTTCCACATCCTTTGTCACAACAAGACGCTCATTAACAGTTGATATAAACGTGGCCAGACTGCCTCTTTTTAAACTGGTACGTGCCTCTTGCATATCCGATCGCTTTTTCATATAAGATAATGGTCTAGAAGTAGACACAGACGACTTGGCATCGCCAAACTTAGTTGGCTTCAGAAATTCATCGTGAGCTCTACGAAGAGGTGCATCTGGAACTGCTGGAGCTGCAATTCGTGGCGTGAATACTTCTGGGGCTCCTGCCTGACGAGGAGTAGTAGAGAACGGATTTGGTACCCCAACATCGCCACCATACTCTGCAACATTCCCAAAGCTCACAGACGGTGCTGAGCGAGCACCAGATAGAGCCTCGAGTCCACCTGATAAGCTGACAGCGGCAGACGGTCCAGGTTTCTTCTGGTTGTATAGTTTGCTGACACTAACATCCACGCCCAATTTGGCCAACTCCTGGAATGCTTCAAAGTCAAAAACGTTAAATTTGAGTGCTTCCTGGAAGTTCAACGCGCTGGCTGCCACATCGCCCTCGGCCTTGTACATCTGGCCCAACAAATGATACACAGCAGAGGAATCAGGATAGATCAGTCTGTTAGTCTCATAAGAGTGCTTCTGAAAAGCCGTTGAAAACATTTCTGAAGGAGATGACTCTATATCCTGCTCTCGAAAACTTGTTTCTGCAGCGTTCTCTCTTGACTCGTTGTACAAATGCGTCATACTCACTAGACGATAAATACCTTCTGTATACTTCTGTAACTGGTAACACAGACGAGCAAAAATGTAGCCACAGCCAAGATGGGCACCATATGTAGCAAGCACATCGCTTGTTCGGTTATAAGCCGCTTTATACTGGCCCTGGCGGTAAAGAGTGGACGCATGAAGATATATAGCATCTGGATCGTCTGGAGTGAGTGAAAGGAGTCGCTCACAAGCAAACTCAGCATTGCGGAAGTTGTATGTGTCAAGTGAATGGATGACTATGGAACGCAAGTGTTGTGCTATGAAGGGAGTCTCTGGATCCATGGTAAAAGTTATACTTGTGGAGTACGTAGGTATAAGCGGTCAAATGTTCAGTTCTGGTCGTTTTCGATTGGAAAAAAGGGCAATAGAACACAAACTCCCGTTTTGAATACAGATACAGCCTTAAAATGCAGTTTAAACTCCAAGTTTCCAACGTTTTGTAGAGGCTGTTGATTCTGTTTGTAGGTAGAATGAAACAATAGTGATGTTTGCGTGCATGTAAGCCGATTTGCACCCAAACAAACTACTTGGGTGAGAACGTACATGCTGAGAATGAATGAATAAAACGTACTATTACACTATTAAGGACTCCATCCCAACCATTAATTCTGCGGAGTTATCATTAAGCAACCTCTCATTGTCGACAATCATTGCCAACTTCCTTCAAATTTTTCTCTATCTCACTTCTTCTGCTTGATCACGAAAGAACCTTCGTTGGTATAAGCCATCATTTTCTCCTTCTTCTTAGATCCACTGACCAAACGACCATTGCTGTGGGTAAAAAACTGCTTAGGAGAGCTACTGCCAATAGATTTCTGCGATGGGGTGCCCTCTTCAATCTTTGGAGGACGCACTGACTCATCCATCGGTTCGCCCTCTTCAAAGTAATCCTTCTTCAGGACAATATAAGGCGTGCTGCTATTGGAAGTGTTTGAGACACCATTGTTACCCAGCTTCGGCGAAAGCAATCCAGAGGCTAAAAGATAAGGTGAGGCAAAACCACCAGAATTATTAGACACTTGTGGCGTACTTGGTGTGCGATAGTTCTTGGTCAGCGTGTCAACCGTTAGTTTGGGATTACTAGAAGAAGAGGTGAGCCCATTGGCACCTCCATTCGTACCTGCAGTGGTAGAGGAAATCGTTGTTTCATCAATAGACCCAACGATAGGTGAAGCCTCTTCCGAGGTGGCACTGTTGTTGTAGTATGTCAGTCTCATGGTTTCGTCATCCAAGTACTCACCATCTCTGAGAAAGCCTCTCGCACGTAACTCTTCATCCTTGATTTTTGTCTCCTCTCTGGCCTTAGCAAGTAACTCCTGTGCTTTGGCCAAAGTGACAGTTGGCGTATTGCAACTACTCACCACAGGAACAGAGTCGTCGATGTCAATGGTTGCTGTCATCAATGCCTTCAACCATCCACGCATCTCCTCCTGTGTCTCAACAGCGAAGTAGTGAGTTTTCGGCTGTGTGAATGTCAAACCCTTCTTGAACCCCGGGGCAGGTGGCACAAGCTTAAAGCAATAACGACCAAATCCTGTCAGGGCAGCATAAAGGGCTATGTACTTGTCATTGGAGGCACTTTGATCACCTTCAGTACTAATAGGAATAACCTTGTGAGCAGTGATGTCGATCAAACCCTTCTCACGCTTGTCGCGCAAAGATGTGAAATATGATAATCTGGTGCCATGAAGAGTGAAATAACGTGATCTCCATCCAAGGGTACTTCCAGACTTCTTGGACATCCATCCACTGTAATTAGATGATTTGATGGCATCATCGGGGTTAATATCCCGAATTCCCTCCTGGAAAGCAGATGTCTTCAGCTTCTTCAGAACCGTCAAGTTACGGAAGTTCTGAGTCGAAACAGATCGCAAAGATTTCAAACGACTCTGTGGGTTTTCCTCCTTCTTTCCTTCCTTGTCCTTTTCAACAGGCTTGCCCGACTTCACTTTCCTTGGGGAAAGTCCAACGTCATCAATATCAACACTTTCCTCCACAAAATCATCTCCCAAATATTTTGACAGATGTTTGACTGGTGAAGAAACATGTCTCGGGGTACTTGTATCTTCTTTGTAGAGATTTTGACTTTGAAGTTTCTCCTTAGTTCCCAAAGGCTCATCATTGTTTCCAGACAAGAAAGAGAATACAGAAGAATGCCTTCTGTGGCTATTGGAAATGCCGGATGATCCACGACGATGGTGAATCATAACTGAACCATCATAAACAGAAGACGCGGGACGCAGGTAAGTGTTACCGTTGGCTGAGCTCAATGCTGCGGAAGAAGCATTCGTTCTCGTCTTGTACAATCCGTGCAGACCGTTGTTTTGAGGGGTCATTGGACTACCTCCAAAACGGTAGTTCCTATTCATAGGACTCTGAGATGGAGGCTCTGGGGCTCTTCTAGGAGACATGAAAGAGCCAGGGAACTCTGCAGGTGATTTCTCCGTTGAATACTGACCGGTTTCTGCTGCTTGTGTGCTTGAACTCAGAGGGAGGAATGATGTAGAAGCATTACGTCCAAGGGAGTCCTTGGATCCCAATTGAACTGATGGAAGAAGCAGGCTATTATCAGATGATTTATTTCTATCTTCATCCAGATTGTTGAATGGAGGCGAGGCTCTCAGAGTATGCTTTGGACCCAGAGTTGTAGTCAGCAGACCATTCAGAGGTGGAGGATTCAGAGTCTTGGCTCTGCTGCTGATCTGTTTCAACTTCTCGATTTCCTTGTAAACCTCAAAACGAGTTCCAAATGAGTCGATTTCCAACTCTTTCAAGTGGGCCAAATCGAGCTCGAACAAGATCTCTCCAGTGATCTTATGGCGAGCGAATTTCCCAGCCACATCCATATCAAACCCTAGAACAATGGCAAAGTACAGAGACACTTGCTTGGGGGTCCATTCTCTGGCTTTTAACGGGTTGAGATCCTGAGTTAACGAAACAGAAGACGAAGTGCGCAGGTGGCCCTTTTGTGGGTCCAAAGTGGCTTGTTTCTGTTGTTGGGGCAGATCTGCTGTGAACTGTTTCGCAGGAGCATCCTTCAGCATACGAAGTTCCTGAAGTGCGCGATCGATCTCGCTCATGGTGTGGTGGACATCGCTGGTAGGTTTCTGTGAGGAGGTGGAGTCTTCAGAAGGTTGTACAGATTTCTGTTCTTCAAGAGGAGCCACAGGCAAGGCTGCGTCATTCCCCTTGGCACCACCCGGAAGTCTTCTAGAACGCAGACGTAATAGAGGAGGATCCAGCTTCGTTTCCAAGGCTAGCTGGGTGAAAGACTTGGGGAACAAGCCTACTTTGTTAGAGACCACATTTCGGCCCATGTACCAGCCGTCATTGTATTCTGAGTCGTCGGCAAGTACCTCGATTCGGTCACCGACCTTAAGGTTGAGTTCGTCGCCCAATCTGGCGTTGAACTGCTTGATACACACGTAGATGGCACCCGACATTGCTTGTGTGGAGATGACAGAAAGTGTTGCAGATGTGAAGAGTGGCGATGATGTCAACGACAGGACCACTCAGACGAGGCAGTTTTCAAACGATTTCGAGAGCGTCTGCTGCCTTGTAGCGAGAAAGGCTAGGGCAAGGAGACACGAAAAACAACCAGTGGAGAGGTGGTTTCACTGGAAAATGTGAAAATGGCAGAAAGCGTGAAGTGTGACCAAAAATCGATATGTTTGACACGAAAGAGCCACTAGAAACACTAGACACAAGAAGATTAAGGAAAGGAGCGACTAGTGGTGAAGATAAAGGTGGGTATTAGGTTGTAAACAGACCAAATAAAAAATGGGAACAAAATGGCTGGTGAGCGCCTGCATACAAGAACTGGAATTGTAATGGATTAGACTGATTAATTTGCGAGAAAAGGTTAAGAGTTTATGTGGATAATCTTAACGAATAGCAATAGTGTTTGAAATTGGAATAGCAGGAAAAATTAGAAAGATACCCTCCCAGATGACGAAGATTTTGGCTTGATGTCCGAGAGTGGGAATTATTCCAGGCCACCGCATAACATCGCGAATTGTCAATCACGTGAAAAGAGCACGAAGAGGCGGGATGTGGAGAAAGAATGGGAAAGTTCATTGAAGGTGGGTTTAATTCTTTTAGTATCGAAGTCATGGATATGTTGATGTATATTGATGGTGACCCTAACATCAAAATTTCGTTGTGGCTGGTGCTGGCTGGTGAGGCGCAGATCTCCTGATAGAGTAAAGGCAGGACGAAACAGACCAGAATGGACGTGGATACTGCGATGATGTGGAGATGAATCTGGATAAAGGTATTGCAGAACTATAATACGAGTTGGTTTATATTATAGATTTAATATAAATGGATCTTATTACGTTCAAGAATATGGACATGGAAAGCAGAGATGAGCAGATTAATGGGGGAGGATGAAAATTAACGAAAAAGAAACGAACTCACTAAAACTGTAGATTAGATATATACATTGTGAAATCTGTATGAGACGATGAAATTTCACAGTGAACAGCCAGACTGGACAGAAACGGTGCGAAATGAAACAAGGCAAGTCGTCAACTACGATGGAAACTACATTTGCTCCATCAATTGAAATTCGACTTCTGAAAATCTTTCAAGTGGTGAACTTTCTCGTTGATACCCAGTATCAATTGTATCTGTCTACAAGGCAGGAGATACAACCTCAATTTTTAAAACATATAACTAAGGTCAACTAGCAAACGAAGACTAAACTAGAATTTTAATAATAACTATTGATTACACTCTTAAACTCCCAAACACAAGTTTCTCATTTTCCGATATTAATTTGTAAACTGTTCTTCGTTCTTAAAATTTGCCAATAGATAATCAGTGGATTTGCCTTCTATCTACTTCCACCTGCACACACTCCGGGTCACTTACTACTCACTAACTGACTAATCGCCAACTACCTTCTACTCTCCAAAATGTCCACGCCCGCTAAACGTAGACTTATGAGAGATTTCAAGCGAATGCAGCTGGATGCTCCCAGCGGCGTCTCTGCATCGCCAGTACCTGACAACGTCATGTCGTGGAACGCCGTCATTATAGGTCCCGCAGATACGCCTTTCGAAGACGGCACCTTCAGGTTGGTATTGCAGTTTGATGAGCAGTATCCAAACAAGCCGCCCACGGTCAAGTTTATCAGCGAAATGTTTCACCCGAACGTTTACGCCAGCGGTGAGTTGTGCCTAGATATCTTGCAAAACAGATGGTCTCCAACCTATGATGTTTCGAGCATTTTGACATCGATCCAGTCGTTGTTGAACGATCCCAACATTTCATCGCCGGCGAACGTCGAGGCTGCTAACTTGTATAAGGATCACCGTTCACAATATGTGAAGAGGGTGCGTGAGACGGTAGAGCATAGCTGGAATGAAGATGATGAAGAGGACGATGAGGACGATGATTAGGAAAGTCGAGTGACTTTAGGCCCGTGTATTTAGATAATGGTAACAACAATGGGACACTGGAATTGATTATTGTAGGCTCAAGAAAGCAGCAGCTTTTCAATACCTGATTACATGTCAATTACTCATAGATTAGAAACATACTATTAAATGTAAGAGCCATACTATCAGGCATATTCTATTACATAACACAAGATATGCACCATAAGGAACATACCATAATGTACATACCCTAAGAAAAAATCTATCCATTCAGACAAGTTACACCATAATTACACACATTAAGTCCTTCATTATATATACAAGATATGACCCACCTACTTCAACCAGAGATAATACCACCTACGAGACTGCTTGGCTTGTGCTTCGATAGCTGCTGCTTCTGCTTCTGCTTGAGCTTTGGCAGCTTCTGCTGCCGCATGTTCCCTTCTTTGCATCTCATGAACATCCTCCACGACAATCTCCTTGGGCTTACCTGCCTCGCCAGTATTCTTGTCTCTAGCAATAGCCACAATCATCACAAAAAGCGTCAAATAGATGAAAGTCTTGGTCACGGCATCCATTCTGGAGGTATCGAACTCATCCTTTCTAACCGGAGTCTCAGCCAAAATCACACGTTCAAGCTTGTGAATGACATCTGTAGGTTGTGGAGACGTCTTAGCGATCGTCAGTGGTATAACAAATGGCAAATCAAACGGAGCCTCCAAGGTATTCCAGTTGGTGAACTTCTCACGTGGACCCCAGTTTCCATAGGCAATGTAGTATCCTAGCTTCTTGTCTTGGTCAGTCAATTTGTTCCAGTTCTTGTCGTATTTGTCCTGGAGTTCCTTGAGAACCTGGCCCTGGTGGAGCAAGTTGAGATGTCCAAAGAGACTTGGGTCCTCATATATGGGAGCTGTGTCGATTGGTTGCACGGCATCGTCGTTTCCGGACGAAAAAAGTGATCCAACATCTTTTAATGACTGAAGTGCTAACTTCGCAGCCTCCGCCTTAGCTTCTTCTGGCGAGAGCTTGCGGCCATCTTTCACTGCACCGGCTTGTAATCTACTGGCAGACAGTGCTAGGTTTCTGACGGAATTCCTCGGGATATGGCGAAGCATGGCTATGAATGAGAGAAAATTGTTGCTGAGATTGACTATGAAGGTGACAATGAGTGCGAGAAATCTTCGCGCACACTCAGAGTTTAGTAGTTTGAAAGATTAGAAGTTATAAACTCACAATACTGGAAAGACAAAGTGATAATTTCCATTTTAAAAGTATAGTCGTACAACCGAAGATATTAAGTAGCAGTTGTAAATTCATGATTTTCAAAGTTACAGGTGTAAGCGAAGACTACTGGGAATCTGCGGGCTCATTATGATGTCAAGGTGCAAAATCTCAGCACAAGCTACTTAATACTTGTGCCTCATCTTCATTGCTACTTGATCTGTTTGTGATATCACCTTCACCCCTAATTGTCCTTACATTATCCTATTCATAAATTTTCCAATGGCTATCATCGGAGCACATACAGCCTTCACCGTCATACAGATGGCATCAATCAAGAGAGAAAGCTCATAAAGCATCCACATAAAAATCACAAGTTCAATGAGAATCACCATAGTCTGCAAGCTGGGATACATCTCGCTGATCACATCTATGGGAGCAAATACAATCTTCAACAACCGGATTCTCTTGATGAGCAGGTTGATGTTCAGAATGATAATCAGTGGTGTTCCAAGGTGGAGCGTTGATAACCTTGTTCCAGTCGAGAATCCCGGTCTCTGTCTAACAAGAAGCGAGTCTCTCAGGCGGACCAGTCTCAACAGCCGTGCCTGTCTAGACACCAGGCGCCTCAGCGTCATCAGTGTACCCAGACGAGTCAGATAAGGAGCCAGCGCCATCAGATGTGCCATCAGTCGGCTCAGTCGCATCAGGGGAGCAATCAGAACATTATCGTTGTCTGCCATCAATGTAGTGGTCACTGGCCTGAATTCTCCGGTTTCAGGATCGTAGATTAACTCCTCGTCAACGTCACTACCGTCGTAGATGATGGTGTGCTCAATTGGGTAACCATGTTCGTCAAAAAGAGGCCTATGCTCTGCATCATGGTCGAATGGTGCCACTACCAATTCCCTATCCGACACGCGTTGGCCGGCAAAGAATGCCGATGCTGGTTGGTTCCAGTTGCTGAACACCTCTTTGGCTGGTGTGAGGCTAATCTTGGGAGGTTTTGGAAAGTTGAAAGCAAAACCCAGACTAGGAATCTTCTTCTTGTGTTTGCTCAGTGTTTTGGCCCTGCTCAGTTTGCTGCCGGTCTTCTTGGGCACTAGCTTTTCCTTTGTTTCCTCCCTCAATTTGTCCCGATATTTCTTGTCTTTAACCACCTCTTTGACTTCCTCCTTCAATCTATGCTTAAGTTTCGGCTTCTCCCTCTCTCTCACCACAACAGCATCTTTTGGAATTACCATATCTTTTGGCTCCAGGTCGACAATTTCCACAATTTTATCTTTTGAAGCAACCTCCTCGATTCCAGGGCTCTCTGGCTGATCATACACTAGATACGAAAGGAGGTAGTTCCAGAAAGGATTGAAGTTGCTGTTAGGTCCCGTGTGCCGTTTCTTCGCCAAAACCATCTGCTTCAGATCTATGCCGTCTTCCTTGATTAACAACTTCTCTTTCTTCTCTTGTTCCTTCTTCTCCGCGTCATGTATTGACACAACTTCAGCCGCGAGGATTGCTTGCTTCCGAGCAATCTCCTCCTCCTCAAGCTTTCTCGCGTAGTTGTCGAAATAGTTTTCCTCGAGCTGTCTCTTGGCCAGATTCCACTTCTTCTTGATGTTTTTTCGGAGTTTCTTGCTGTGCGGATTCTCGGGGTCGTATTCATAGTCTGAGTCGTAATCATCAACAAAAACGTCTCCGACCACCCTTTCCTCCACCAACTCTGGAACCTTTTGCACCTCCGTTTCATCTGCTATTATCTCAGCATCCTCAACTGGAGACCTTTTCATGGACTTGAGGAAGCCACCGCTCTTTCTTTTCAACTTCGCCCTCTCCCGTCTGGCCTTGGCCTTTTCCTTCTCAAGACGCCTGAGCTCAGCAGCCTCTTCCTTCATCAACCGCTTCTCCTCTGCTGCCTCCTCTTGAAGTAGACGTTTGTGTTCGGCAGCTTCTTCCTTCTCAATCTGTCTTTGCTCAGCAGCTGCGGCCTTCGCCATACGCTCCTCTTCCAGCTCGATATTCCGTTGTGCCCGTAATCTTTCTTTCTCCATTTCACGCAAGTCGCGAGCCCTTTGTCTCTCTTTCTCAAGCTGTTGTTGCGCATAGTAGTCGTACGAATCGTAGTTGTCTTTGCCTAACTTCGTTTGAACATTCTTGACCGCACGCATGAAGGTTTTCTTCTGCTCCTGGTCCCGAACCTTCTCAGGATCCTCGAATACGATGTCTATGGGGTTGTAATTCTCGTCATCCTGGTGATCTGCCACGAATACGTCCTTGAATGTTTTATGCTTGTAATTGCGGGGCTTGATGAACTCAGCCTCATCGTATCGTTTTTTCTGGTCGATATAGTAACCTTTGTACTCGACATGCTGCTGCTTTGGCCTTTGCTTCTGCTCATGAAACAAGAGCTCTTCTGTATTGGCAGACGACGCCTGGTCTTCAAAGAGATCGTCATCCGGCAATGGATCTTGGTTACGCGTGCGATAGTACTTGTCGTAGCTAACCGGCTGAGTAACGGGCGTCTGCTTCTGAACAGGATGGACCGGTACCGGCTGTCTTTCTGGCTTGTGCAAGTAAGTCAATTGCGCAGGTGTGATATCTTCCGGCAAGTCGTCCGGGTCAGCAATAATCTCGATCTCCGATTCACTGGAAGGAAGGTCAAAGCGTATGGATTTGGTTCGTACGGTGTCAGCCACCGAATACTGGTTGGTTTCTGGACTTAATATGCTCTTTGGTGTTCCATGTAGACGTTGGTCGATGTACTCCGAGGTGTAGTAGCCATTTCGGGAGACGTTCATGGTGCCAGATGCTTAGCGTAGACCAATTACAGGAGTAGTAGATGAGTATATCGAAAAGAAAAGGCGATGCTATTGCTTGATCTGGTCAATGATGATCTGGGTGGCTGGCTGCTGGCTGTCCTGCAAGTAGAAGCACGGCTGTAGATATATATTTGGGGTTGAGGAAGAATTATGGGAGGAAGTAACAGAATTTCGAATTTGGGGTTTTTGATTATGAATATGAATATATTCTGAGGCTGATTTTGTTTGCTCTTTTTTTCTTTATTTTTTTATTTTGTTTTGTTTTATTTTCGTTTTGTTTGTATTATCTTTCGGTTGTGTGTCAATTGTCGCATGTGGTTTTTGGAAGTTCGAGAGCAATATAAATTAATGTAATGGGATATGGGAAATAATATGGTAAATGTCATGGAATTATTATGGAAATGTTATGTCAAACATTAATATGAATATAAGATTGAAGTGGATATGAAACTATGTAGACTTGATCAGCTAGATAATGTAAATGTCAATTGAGACGGTGAGAATTGGTTGAGTATATCCATATATGGGAATTACCAGGAATAAAAGACAATGGAAGAAATCAAGACCACTCAGATTCTTATATTTAACTAACCACATACATCAATTTAGTAGGAATATTCTATTTTGCTTCTATCTGTTCAATTTTTCAACTTTTATTTCTAAAGTCTCAGTTCTCATTGGTGGATCTCTTCAGTATATACTTACTCATGTCAATAATCCTCTACATACTTTCAAATCTTAACTTCTTTTTCCTCAGCTTTCAAAAACTTGTGTTTTCTCTCATTTTGTACTTAACTTTTCCTCATTTACCCATCCATTTTTTGGCATTTTCCTATCATTTTCACTCTGACCTTCTTTCTTCCACTTACCCCAGCAATATCTCAACTGCAGGAACTGATGAATCATACATCACCATCTTTCTCCATGCTAGCCAGGAGCCAGAAATCCCCCCTACTAGCCAGGTGCTATTCAAAACATATCTCGCCAATCACATCCCACTCGTATATCGACGATGATTTCTTATCTTTGGTCAATAAGCGCAAAATGGCCAAACACCTTAACGACTTGGGTCCATTCCCCTCTTACTCAAGCATCTTGACTCCCCAGCACTTCTACCAGAACGAAGTGTTGATGAACTATTCACGCAAGAAACCTCATCCAGTTTCTCTTCGACAATTAGCCGGTTTCGGCAAGACTTTAACCAAACAGAAGATTCTTTCGTCTGCCAATTTTGTCAGGTTGGAATTGCCAATTAGATTGGCGATGAGAATCAGAGACTTGCAGACATTACCGTTTGGAGTGGTTAATAACTTCCATTTGGCTCAGATCTATGAGAGTTACTACCATCTGTTCAATGCTTTCCGGAAGATTCCCCATATTTCCACTGTGGCCGAAAATGACGAGTTCTGTAAGACCATCAGTGCCTTGTTGGACCAGCATGTGTTCAATTTGTCTCATTTAATGATGGGTGCACTTGAGCTGTCTATCTTGAAGACACTCCCTCAAGATGAATTAGACAATTTCATGAGCTCCATGCTCAGGTCTCGTATCAGTAGAAGAGTCATCGTGGAGGAACATTTATCTCTTACGGAAATCTACAAGAAGCATCCGTACCAGAGCAAGCCACCAGATTACATTGGAGAAATCTTTAATGACTGTAACGCAAAGGATCATTTTGAGATTGTGGCAGACTTGATCAAAGATTCCATGGTAGAGTACTTCCCCAAAAGAGAAGACATGCCAGATTTGGTGATTGACGGAGACACCACAACACACTTCCCCTTCATGGTGCCTCACTTGCATTACTTGTTCGGAGAAATTCTACGGAACTCGTTTGAGGCCACCATGAAGACCCATGGTGGATCCTCTGGAAAACTTCCTCCAATTAAGATCACCATCATCGATTCCAAGAAACTGGTGCTTTTCCGAATTTCGGACCAGGGTGGAGGTATTCCACACAATAAGTTGGAGTCGATCTGGAACTTTGGAAAGAACCCCGAGCTCGCTAGACAGTCATTGGCTAACTTCCATCGTATTCCTGGCTTGCAAATGTACTCCAACCTCCAGGTGACGCCAGCAGGCTCTTCAATTGTGGATACCCACGATGCATTGGGACAAACCTCACTTGGTGATATCAATCATGCGTCTACAACGACAAAGAAGTCTACATTGGACCAGTTAATCACCAGACCATACAAGTATAAGTTGGGCCTTGGATTGCCAATGTGCAAGGTGTATGCTGACTACTGGAATGGAGACCTTACGATGAATTCTCTTGAGGGATATGGAAGCGATACGTGCTTGACATTGAGCAAACTTGGTTTCTACTCACATGTAACGCAACTCGACAGAGCCTAGACGTTTGAGTGAAGTGAACAGGGATCAAACAATAGGAACGATAGCGAGAGTGCTAGGTTGCTCAGTATTGATTCAATACAGCTAAAGTTCATTCACTTAGAGAACTCCACGGAACAGGCTGGATGGATTTTATTATTATCAAACTCACTTGGATCAAGTCAAAGTTCACTTGAGAAATTCGATAAGTATCCCATGGACAACTTGTACTTGTCTCTACCCAATTAGAATTTTGCATCACTCTACTCTTATGGTTTCGATATCGACTCCACATAGTCTATTCTTCAATTTCTGAGTGTTCAGTCCTTTACGTTTATAATGCCCTATCTCAACCACCTCCACACATTATGTATTTTCAATCTCAATGTACAATCTTGTGTGAGAGTCAAAAACTACCACACTTTCAAAACAAACAAACACTAAACTTCAACTCAATTTATCATCACCCAATCAACTATAATTCACAAGTATCCAACCATAAGCCCTGAAGACCGTGCTCCTCTAAATGTAAACCTAGACTTGGTCGCAGTCCATAATAAACTACTACATACACGCTATCTACATCTACTACACCATTGCAACTACATCCCATTAAACCTGCAGACCTATGTCTCAAGGAAACGTGCCAATCTCACTGCTACTCGATGGTGGCCAACGACTGCCGCCCTCGCAGATCCAGAACCGTCCAGACCCTGCCTATTCCCAAGGCCAACCTCCAAATGGACCTCAATCTGGACCTCCATCCACAGGTCACCCCAGACCAATGCACAACCTCATATCTCAATACCAAGCGTTCGTGGGCACTCCAATTGGCCAGCCACCAGCGAATCTGCGCATGGCAACCAACAACGTGATTGTTATCGAAGATGAAAAGGATCAGATGGATTCCAGAGCAGCAAGAGTCCACGGTGCTTCGACCGCCGCCACCGGTGCCCATGGTGCTTCTAATCCACCAGTTGAGATGCTGGAATATGTCAAGAACTTCCAGGCACAATTTCAGTACGAGTCTGCGCCTCACTCACAGATTCCACTACCGTATACTGTCGTGGCTGAGAAACCTTCACCCAAACCTATAAAACCGGCGGTTTCCACGACGCCAACGGTGTTGCCAAGCCGAACATCCATTAACTCGCTTATCAATTCCGATGAGTCGCCAATGCCGGCTTCGGCGCCGGGCCCACTGCCTGCTGCTGCCGTGCAACCAGAAAAGAAGAAAAGAGCAAATCAAAAAGCTGACGGACCCAATAAAAAGCCAAAGTTGGAAGCTGCAAAGAAAGGCCTCAAGGCAGATGTGAAGGCCGAGACGAAAAAGGGTGGAAAGGGTAAGAAAAAGACGCCTGAAGTGGCATTGCCAGCTACTGAAAAGCCAACTATTCATCCTACAATGACTACAGATAAGGTCAAGGCAGCACAAGCAGTGGTGAAGCTCGCATCTCCAGCGTTCATCGAAGCGAAAAAGGAGACCACCGACACAGTAGACAATGCAAGCAATGATGCTACTGTTTCCAGTAAGGATAAGGAGAAAGAGACCAAGGAAAAAGAGAAGCCAACAGAGAGGCCGGTGATTGCGCTTGAGATTCCATTGCTAGATCCCAAGAACCCACAACCAGGCCAAGCGGAAGCCGTCATCAACGTGTTAAAGCTTGCTGAGGACAAGTATGGCTGGAATGTAATCCATCCCAATGCCAAATCGGCAATCGACTTAATGGATGAGATTCTAGATGATGAAGAAGATGGCGAAGAAGATGAGGATGATGACTTGCAGGTGGTAGAGGACAAGCTGAACCCACAGCCGAAGAAGAAGGAAGAACTCACAGAGGAGCAGCTAGTGAAAAAGCACCAGACTCGAATGAATAGAAAGGTTGGCAAATACGATTACGAGGATCCGTTCATTGATGATGCCGAACTTCAATGGGAGGAGGAAATCACAACCACAAAAGAGGGTTTCTTTGTCTACTGGGGTCCCTTGGTGGATGACAAGTCTACTTCGGCCACCACCAAGAAATCTTCCGGCAAGGGAAAGAAGTAGGCGTATTAAATATGTAATCATTCCTTTAGTGTGTAATATCCTATCAACATCGAATCATTTGTGCAACTAGAAATCATAAGAGATGATCAGTGTATGAAGACCTCCAAATCAATCAACATTCCCTTGTAATCATTCCTTAAGTCTGTCAATGGTGATCTTAATAATTCCTGTAGCATTGAGGAGAGCCGCTTGGGACGAATCTCCGTTCCACTTTTTGTCCACGGCCCCGGCCTTGTCCAGCACAACGTCTGTCAACTTTCTAACTTGCTCTTGCAGAACAAGCAGGTCACGCTTGAGCAAGATCAAGAGGTTCAACGAAGCCTGCAATGTAGGAACAGTCCCCAGGTTCAATGTTGGTCCAGACTCGTCATCGACAAAGGTCAGGTCGACATATTCGTAGATCACATCGAAGAGCTCTTTCAGCCGCTCAGGAGTTAATGTGATATACTTGGTCTTCTTTACTGTATCTCTGGCAGGCAATGGAGGAGGAGCAGGCGTATCCTTCGATAACGAGAGATTATTCAAGGAATCTACTAAAGCATCCTCCTGAATCTTGTCCTTGGTAACCAACTCCTTGAAAACACCTACGAGCGCAGCCTTAACATTCTCGTACGGACATTCCTTTAAGCAGTTCATAAGAAAGTCGTAAGTGACTGCTTCAGGTGACAACGATAAGTATTTTGTCAACAAGGTCAAGGTAATATAACGGAAGAACAGATCCGAGGAGCTCGAGATTATCGTGAACAAAATAGCCTGGTAGTAGGAGCGTAGAATGACGCTGGGGATCTTGGCAAGCTCGACCTCCACGGTTCTCTTGTCAGCAGACAGAATGGCGATCCATGAGCACAAAACAGACAAATCGTGGAGACCTCTGTTGCAGAATGTGGAGTGAACAAGACCTGGTATAACCAAGCGAAGACCAATAGCAATGGCCTGCGGAATAGAAATGTCGATCTTGTCGAACTGATTCTGGGACGCAACAGAGTAGACGTAGAGATTCAAAGAACCTCCGAGCGAGTCGGTCACCTCGTTTGCCAGCGTGTCCACCAAGGAGTGAGCAAAAGTCTTCTGGTAGTCCACCACTAATTTTTCAAACAATTCGCCAGTGATATCATCATCCAGCTTTCCAGACTCCATGGTGAAATCCAAGAGCTTATCGGTTGAGTCTAGAAAGCCTGCGAATGCACTCTCCAAGTTCAAGTCGAAAGACAAAGCCAATTCATACAAGCGGTCAAGCACGGGAATTCCCAACACAAAGTCATTGGCCAGTTTGGACTCGGCGGGCAGATTCTGTAGTAGCACATTGAAGTAGGCCACGGAGAAGCCGAGGATCAGGTAACGCAACACCAAATTGATTGCCTCGGTGAGGAAACCGGTCAACAATTTGCGCTGCAAGTAGTCCTCGTCTTCGTTGATTTTGGCCAACTCTTCAGGAGTCACATCGATCTTCTCAGGTAATGGTGGTCGCGTGTAGTTACGAGCAAAAGTGTACAACCTCTTCCAGATGAACGCTGCCTCGGTGAGACTCTTCAGTGGATTGAGGTAGATGGAGTTAATAAAGCTGGTCACGGTCATCCCTAAGAAACGCAGAGGGAACATCGTGTGGATTCTGCGCAAACAGCTGTCGATCAACTCGAAAATACAGTAGACTTTGATGTCGTAGTACTTATGTGCTACCTCGGGGTTGTTGGACACGTGGTCCGTGACCTTGATGGAGTTGAGCAACTCCGTACATTTAAGAAATAACTCCTTGGGGTTTCCATCATGTGCTAACAACTCGAAAAGCTTCAAAACCTTGTAGGCACAAGGAACCAGTCTAATGGGTCCACTCATATCATAATCTGAATCAAGGAATGGAATAAAGAGAGACGGCAAGTCCCAGCCGATTTCATAAACAAGGTCCAGGTCTTCAGAAAGAATAGCCAACACATGTGAGAGCAATTCCTCTCTCTCTTCAATGGTATAGCGAGAAGGGTCGCTCAAGTAGATATCCAATACTGTAGAGTATGATAAGAAGTCACCGGAGTCTTTAGCATCCTGGGCGGCGAGCTGGAGGGAGCCAAGCACTTTTTCGAACTTAGCATCTTCCAAAGTTGCGTCGCTGGTATCCAGCGCATTGTCGTAGTCTGATTGTGACATGGTGGTAGGTGGTCAATTTGGCTGGTTAGGGTTTTGCGCAGGATATGGGGCCAATGAGTGGTAGTGGGAATGTGAAAGGGTTAGAGAGATGAGGATGAAGATGGAGATTGTGAGGGGAAGAAAAAGACGGGTGATAGAGAAATTCTAGGCAATAAGGGGTCATTGAAATATGTATTGTTTTAGTTTGAAAATGTAGAGGTGGTGAGATGGTAGTATAAAGTTGCCAGGTTGTCCTGGATGATGGATAGAGGAGATTGACTCATCGTATTCGGAGATAACAGATTCTCTTGGATATCATTCAACATACTTGAGAATATTGAATGTAATTTGATTTCAACTGGTAGAATTGATTTTTTATTGTTTATGAATCAAACTGTAGTGCTCGTTTGGAATGGCTGAGCCGAGTCTGCTGGTGAGAACGTGTGAATGATTGTTGGCACATACATTTGGGTTCAAAGATGTCTTTAGTGGATTTATACATTGAGTCAAACAATTGCCTGATACCTGAAGTCTTATATGTGAAATGTCAAGGTTTAAATTCAAGTCAGAAACTATTATTGGGAATCTTGTAGTTGAATACTTTGTCTCAGTATAGGACGGTACGAGCTTCCAAAAACTACCAACATGTTTTAGAATCCAACCAGAACCTACCAAGTACTCAAGACTCAAGACTCAAACAACTTTGAGATTTGTTAGACTCGTATCTATTCAATTTACCCATACTTCATCCACATACATTCCAGTTCACATATAATCCAGTCCACATGACTCTATGTGTAATCTACTTGGCACCTTTAACCTCACGAAATCACCAACCTCTAACTCCATCAAACACCAGCCCCCAAGACCCACCAATCAAGAGACTCAATCCCTTATAATCTCAAAATTGAAATTAATCCTCTCTACTACTCCGACAACGTCCCTTCAACAGAAATCTATACATGCTACCATTTTCACCACACTCACTACCTACATACTGCAACATGAGTCTTTTACAATCAGACCCTGACTCGCTGTCCACAGATTCGCTTGGCCTAGACGAGCCGGTCAAGGCCAAGGTACCGTTATCTACATCGGTGGTATTGCAGAAATCCAAGGTAGTCGTACCGCCAGTTGCTGACGGAAAGATGTCTGTTCGGTTTCAACCTATAGGGTCTACTTCATCCATCAACCCAGCCTCGTTCAAGGTGTCAAAGACACAGACGGTGGCGTCGATCCAGAAATTTCTTATGCGACGACTCCGACTTGGCCTGGTGCACGTGTATGTGCTGAGTTCGTTTCAACCTACGCCAGACGAGACACTAGGAGATTTGTATGGCCTCTTTAAGACCAACGGCGAGCTAATACTTAGCTACTGCGAGAATATAGCTTTTGGATAGGATAAAAGTGTATGAAACATTGTTTGGCAGTGTGTGTTGGTAGAAGTTCGTAGTAGGGAGAGCCTAGAAGACAAGAAGTTAAAAAACTAAACAGTATATTATAATACAAACAGAATCAACGCGAGAATGGGTATCCGCTCGCCAACAAAAGAAATCGTATGGCTTCCAAAACTTCGTTCCAATCAATAGAAGAGGAACTCAGCAGTACCAGAAGTAACAGTAAGAGTACATCCGTCAGATCCGCTGCCAGAGTACGAGCCGTCAATGTAAGAACAAGAGCCCACAGTAGAGGCACCGTCCACACCCTGGATCTTGATGTTGTAGTTTGGAGCATCACTGTTGTTTGGGTTAGGAATCAAAGACAAGTAGGTGAGAGATCCAACCTTACCGGCACCAAGAACAACAGGAGCCCAGTTACCAACACCAGAGCCAGCAGTACCCCAGATACATCCATCCTCGACGGAGACACCGGCGTTGTTGACGTAGTACTGAGCAGAAGTCTTACCTCCGTTCCAGTTGAAGTAGTTGTCGGAGTCGACAACAGTACATGGAGCAGAAGAACCGGCTCCCAACAAGGTTGGCACGTTCATGTTCTCGGAACCTGGGTAGTCAGTTCTACAGATGGCAACATCCTTGTCAAGCTTAGACACGAAGTTGGCGCTCTGGACACCCCACTCACACAAGTACTTGGAGTTTTGGTTGGATCTGTACAACTTTCCGCTCTTACAGTACAAACCACCGACAGAAATACCGGAAGATGGCTGCTCGGAAGGCCACTGGGTCTTGGACATACCAGCCTGACAAGCGTAGGAGCAGTAGAAGCCGTCCTTACATGTGGACGAGGTATCACCGTTCTGGTTCATGATGGAAGTAAAGCCTCCGTTCAAGCCGGAAATCCAGTCCACAGAAACGACACCCTGGCCAACAGGCAAGGAGTCACAGTCATGAACACCGTCCTGGAACTCGACACTAGGATCAGCAAATGCGGCGAGATCACCCAAGGCTGAGGAACCAGACGAGGAGGACTGGGACTGAGGCTGCGAAGACGATGGAGAACCGGAGCCGGAACCAGAAGGAGAGCCGGAGGTAGAATCCTTCTTCTCCAAAGTGGAAGAAGCCTCGACTTGGTTGCCGTTTTGGTCAACGGTAATAGTGACGGCTCTCTTGTGCTCGTGGTGGTGGTGAATCCGGGAAGGAGCGGCGGCAACAAGGGCCAAAAGAGTGGATAAAGCAATAGAAGCTCTCATGATTTTAGTTTAAGGAAAGACTAAAGTTGGGTAGGTTGGTAGTAACTTGAAAAGAAAGACAAGGGGAAAAAAATTCAACAGTTAGTGACTGCAGCGAAGAGTGAGGCTAATGTATTGACGTTTTTTTTTGACTGTTTCTTGACTTTTTCTCGACAGGTTTTTTCATTGGTGTTAGCTGTGCAGAGTCTAGACTCGGCATCTCCAGAAGCCCTTTTAGGCGGTAATGTCGCAAATCCTTTGCCGCCATGCACTCTTTGCATGAGGAATGTTCGCAATAACTAATTACTATACGACAATAGGAAAAATAGGAGATGATTCTTTAGGGGCTTGGTTCACTTTTTTTTATGCTTTTTTTTCTACAGATTTGCAGTTTTTGCTTTCTTTTTATTTGTTTCTCAAACTTTTTCCTTTGTGTATTCATACACTTTAAACTTCATCATTCAATCATCTACTTACCCCCTTGATATATGATAGGAGCCCTTTGTCGTTGTCAGCGGCTAACCTTTCGGACACCCGATACACACTAAGAAAGGTGAATCCCTGTATCGCCAAGGGTGCGCAGGTACTCACGTGACATGCCTCCTAACCTTTGCTCCTACTGAGTTTGGGAGGCAGGTAAATACTGGACTGAGGAGAAAATTTCTGAATGGGGAATAGATAGTTCTCCAAGTGGAGTAGCAATCGGTACCTTGAATCAAATGATTGGGAAGTGGGAAAGGCTTATTTTTCGGTTAATTGGTTTGGCTACCTTTCTGATTTTGTCTGGATTTGGTTCATGGTATCAGTTCCGTTTCATGTGCTTTTCCGATGCTGTGGCCAATGCTGCAGCCTAAACTTTATCCCGTTTCTTTTCTCGCTTCGAGGCTCCATTTTGCCCCCCCATTTCCTCCTTCAGCCATATCATTGGCCATATCTTGCACTACATTCAAATGTCCGTTGTATGCCGTAAAAGTGAAAACTCTTCCTCTCTATCCTGTACAATATGCATGTCGAACCCAAAGATCCACATTAGGAAGACATATGACTTGCATTTTCCTCTGACACTTTCCTGATTCAGAGGGTTTGCCGATATACCGGACACAGAGCAAAATTTTTTCAAGACCGTTGCAACATAGTGACCAAACTCGAATGCAGACCATTGGATCTTCGGGACAATGTGCAATTACGGCAGGAGAAACCATCATTCGTTGTCTGGCCCCCCTGCGGTCGGCCCCTCCACTAATACCTTGGCATTTGTAAATTCTTCTTACTTCCATCTCACCTAAACCAAAAGTTTGAAATATCTGTAATTATATACTACTATCAGATGGTACCCTCATCTTCGATCCCCAAGTTAAACCATGGATGCTCCAACGCTTCCAAGGCTGTGATCCGATCGTTCGGATTAATCACAAATAACTTTCGTAGAAGATCAATGAAGAACCACCAGAACGTAAAGTTGCCAAAGTTAATCAAGTGCAGGTTATTCTGAAAGTTTTCACTCAATGAATAGTCAAAGTTGATTTTAAGCCCAATACGTTCACTAATGAACAAGTCAATCCTCGAAAGTTGCTCGACACTGCGAACAAACTTCTCCGGCGTTGACTGTGTAGGGAATATCAACGACAACGAATTGTCCTCAGTCGATTCATCATCTATGATGACGTCGCCATCGTCCTCTTCATCGAAATCTTCGTCGTCACTATTATCGTAAGGCCGACGATATTCGTTGGTGAAATACTTTAACCCGCACTCGTTCTCCTTCTGCTTCGAGAACCGAACCATATCCTTATCAATTTTTTGTCCAACAATCTTCTCAATCATCGCCAAGTGCTCTAAGTTATCATGGGTACGGAAGACCGGCTCCCCTATCACCAATTCTACTAGAATACACCCAACTGACCACATGTCGCAGGGGAACGACCAACCCACACCCAAAACAATTTCAGGCGCCCTGTAATGCCGTGTCGAGACAATAGACGAGTGGTACTCGTCGTCAAAAATAGCCGAGCCAAAATCGATGATCTGAATCAACGGATTATCTAATACCTTCAGGTACTTAGGTAACTTTTCGGGTCTGCGCTTGTCGGTGCCCACATTCAAATTCAGATAACTTGAAATTATCGTGCTGCTTCGTATCTGTTTGCGTTGAAAGCTATCCTCGTGTAATAAGATGTTTTCAGGCTTGAGATCGGTGTGAATCAAGTTCAAGTCATGCAAATACGTCACAGACCGAATCAATTGCTTGGAGATAGCTTGAATGTGAGAGCCAGGGTACGGAATGAACTTATTGTTCTCCATGAAGTCATACAAAGAGATCTTCAACAAGTCAGTCACAATACAAATATGGCCCCTGAAATCAAAGCATTCTCGCAAATGGATGCAGTGGTTTCGATTTTCATTGTCAAACTTCTTTAGCGTTGTGAGAACTCGTAGCTCGATTTTAGCCGCGTCCCTGTACTTGGGAATGTTTCTGATGATCTTGATAGCCACCGTCTCGCGGTTGATCTTATCATAACATGCTACAACCTTGCCAAAGGTTCCTTGACCGAGGAGCTTTTGAATAACAAACCTATTGGCAAAGATATCATTGATCTTGATGATGTAATGACCATCTTCATCATCACAAGGAGGCAAGTTTAGCTTATGAGGAATAACATGCGTCTTGATGTTGCCCACCTTCGACTGCTGGTGAATGTAGTTGTTTGGGATCTTTTGGTAAAAGCACTTGGCCTGAGGCAACTGCGGAAGTGAATTGGTCCGCTGTTTTTTAGCACCCGTATTGTCGTGGTGAGGGATCTCAAACAGATGAGGTTCAACCAGGTTATTGTTGACATTGAACATGTTGTATGCTTCCCACACGTCACGATCCAAGAGAATCACCAGGTCGGAGTTGTTGCGGTGCTGTCTGCCACGCATGGGGGGCTTGATTTTGCGTTCTTCAAGGAAGACCACATCATCATTTTCGTCAAAAACATCATCATTCTCTCCATACAAGTCCTCGTCGGCTTCTAACAAGTCATCACCATCAGCGTCTCCAACAACATATAAATTCTTTGCTCCGTCCTGACCCACAGTGGAGTCGGAACTGATCAAGCTCATGTTGAGGTTCAAATTCGGTGATTCGTTGAACGTGGAACTGGACAGCGACGAGATATTATCGAAGGCCTTTGTCAGTTGAGCCGTGGAGGCGTTAGAGACGCCGTCAGATGCAGCAGCTTTGCGGGACAGGTCGAAGGTTTCGCTGAAACCTCTTGGCCTCTTTCTGTTTTGAATCAATGACATCTGAGAATACCCCTGATGTAGTGGCAATGGCTAACACAAACAGGTGATTAAAAGATGTCGAACGACGAATTTATGGCCGGTTCAATGGCGATTTCAATTGCAGATTGCCAATAGAAACCACGAGGTCGGAAAATCCGATAATGTAGGGAATTCAGCAGGAGAAAGTGCTGAAAAAGTCAACTTTGCAAGTATGAGAAGCAGCAATTGGCTTGTGCTAGAGGTAGGCGCAAGCACACTGGAGATTAGCAGCGGAAACAGCGGTGTCTAGGGGTCAACTTGACGAAAGTGTCAGCTTGGAAAATACAGACTATGCTAGGGGAAATTTGGGGAAGAATCCGCCAATAACAGTATTTCCGGAGGGGATACTGGTTATACTTTGTATAAGGCAGTTAAGGGGCAGTCTAGGACGATGGAAATGTTGTTGGAGTAGTTAATTAACGATACCCTGGCACTATCAGGGGTGTGGTCGTGCGCGGGAGAAGAGTGGGTCGGGGGTTACAAAAGGATGAATTAAAGGGCCGAAAAGAAGCTGGAAATCGTAAAGGTCGAATTGAATTGGGTTGAATTTTTAATCGGATAGTTCACTTGTGGTTATTTTTTGTTTTGGGAAACGTTTCATAATGGAGTCGGAAATTATAGATAGGCGGAGATAGATAGTGAGAAATTGAGAAGCGAGAGTAAATTAACAGTGAGAAAACTGGGGAAATTGAGACAAATTGGGGACCAAATGGTCAGGGAAAATAAAGTGCAAGTGATTGCCGAAGTAAAATCTCAGATAGTTACTTCATGGGATGCCTACCACAAACGTAAAGATATTTCGTTTGTTCCCGAAGTTTCCATCGTAATCGTCCAGCAAGGATGGAGTGACCATGCACGTGCCAGGGCGGAGAATGTCGTGTCAAACACAACAGGAGACGGGAAATGTGCAAGGTGAGGTGAGCATGCAATGTCTAATGCGATGAACAGGACATAGAAGCAATGGAAGACAGAGTAGAGAAGAAAAGAAGAGAAAGAGAAAGAGAAAAAAAAAATTAAAGCACGAAAACAAAAATGAATAGAAAAGACAAGAAGATGAAAAGGCAAGATTGAAATCACAACATGCCAAATCCAAAATGACAAGATTGGGAATAAGAAAAAATCTGCGGCATAGTGAGGTGATGAATGTTACGTGAAGCTACCGAACGCAGTCATACATCTGTCACCACCCAAAACATTAGCCAGCGAAATTCAATCCACCACCTAAACTTGTGTATGAAAAAAAGTTGCTTCAAAATCCGAATTTTAAATTCCAACTTCAAATCCCAATTTCAAATCTAACCTTCTTCTGGTAAAAGCCTTTGATTTTCCAATTAGTCATCTCCATACCATTGTGTAAACAACCCATCGGATTTCCTTGTAGTCGTACGGTCGGCTTGTTCGAAATTCCAAAAGTCACAACCCTTGAATCACCTAACTATTCCAATCCGTTTCTTTTCGTCCCGGATTTCCGCGGCCCTCCCATGCTTGGTCCGCCCGCCGACATATAACACCATTCCCCTGCAGTCAACCTCAGATACTCATTATTAATGGCGGATTGAACTCCATTTAAGCAATCTTGCATGAATTGCTATTGGTCCCGCATCATTTCCCCCAAGTGGTCCGCGCCATAAATACAATTCACCACCTTTTTTTTCTTCTTCCTGATCAAACAGACATATTCAACTGTTTGCAGATTTTGCTATCCTGCCATTTCCACATTCACAAACACCACATTTCCACACCTCCAGGAGAAAATTCTCACTCTCCATACTGTCCATTTCTCACAAGACATAATATTCCAATCCGAACTTCCACCTTTCGATGACTCTGGTGCTACGCCATGCCCCCTCCATCTAGCAGACTAAACCTCAAGAATCTAGATAACTCCGATGTGGCAGAAGCTTCTGATGGCGTCAAACCGAGATCCACAGGGTCGTCGGATACGGAAATGAAGAACTCATCGATCCCCATTCAAAGAAACACCCAAGACGACAAGGAGTCCAGCAACGACGCATCCAACGAGACATCTGACTCTGACAAGAGTCTTGTGGCGCAGTTCCGCCACAGCGCCACTCATAAGTCCTACGGCGGGCGCAAACATGATGTTGATGAACACGAGCATGATGATGCTCACGAGAACCATTCCGACGACGAGCAGGCGGCTGATTTCGTGGAGGAACCCAGCGAGGATGCCACAGAGTCTGTTGCGCTGCTGGAAAAGCGCTTCTACTGCTCTACATGTAATCAGGGCTTCACCAGAAAGCACAATATGGTCAGTCATGAACTTATCCATCTGAGTCTGAAGCCACACGTCTGCTCGCAGTGCCGCTCACTGTTTCGGCGCATCCACGACTTGAAGCGCCACGAGAAGCTCCACACTGGTGAAAAACCTTTCCATTGTGGCAAATGTAACCGCCGGTTCGCCAGAACTGATGCCTTGACTCGCCATTTGAACTCCGCCAATGCATGCACCGGCAAGCCCAAGGAGGAGGAAGAAGAGATGTCTGTTATCAAGCCACTGGCAGAAACCACACGGCTTTCGCTGTCCAACTCAGTGCTTACGACCGATGTATCAGCCAAGACATCATCTACAGATGCCACGGAGGCAGATGCCATAGAGGCCACACTAGAGGCTCCACTGGGTCGTCTGAGTTCGGACACTGCCGCGAAAGAACCTGGAGCTAAGGGGCGCACTGTCATGCCAATCGGAAGCAGCAGTAGTGACTCTCTGGGAGGTATCTCTGACACAATCAATAAAGCCAATTACGATGTACATCGGTGGAGAGCTTACCAGCATCAACAGAATAACCTCAAGAATAACAGCAGCTACCCTTACAACCTGACGACGGCAACCACCGTATCAACTGATAGCGGGCTGGTTGGCAAACAGGAACATAGTCGTCAAATGGCTCGTTTTAACCACACCATGGAAAGGGAGGTGCATGGCCGCCCCAACTATGAAGAGGGTCAGCACTACCATCACCATTACCATCATCACCACCACAACACAGAAGCGGTGGTACAGAGCCTGTCGGGAAATGGCTCTTGGTCGATCCCCAGTGATCGCGAAGTACACCATGACGGTCAGTTCCGTAAGCATGACGAATTCTATCCCCGAGACATCCGTGGCAGTCGCAGAGAGTCTGATGATCAGCATGCCAACCAATCAAAGATCGACCATCTAAGACCAAACCGGAACGGACCCATGAGGGGTGCGTTGCCGCATTATCCTTCCTATGATCAGAGTTATCCATCGGACAAGTCTCAACAGAACAGAATGTACTCACCCTATCCGGAGGGAAACATGCAGCATGTCTCTCAGCCTCTGTACGAAACGAGTCCCATGCCCAACTGGTCCATGCAAGAGCGCACCCCCAACGTTCGTCCGCCTCTTGACCCAGGTTTTGTCTCGATGCAAAGGTATGCCGACCTCGTCAACTACACCAATGACCTTCAGGCGTCATTGACCAAGATGGATGACCGGATCAAGTTTTTGGAGAACGCAGAACATAAGAGAGAAAGTGATGATCAGCTTCAAGAGTTGGCTACACGGAGAAAGAGGAAAGCCAGTGATTCATGAAATGTATTATATGGGAAGGAACATAGAATTGCACGAAAACAAAGGCGTTGGGAAAGTAAAAAATAATGAAAAAAAGAAAAAGAAAAATATAAGAAAGAAGGAAATGAAATTCTGTTCTTGTAGAATGTTATTTTTAGTATTATCCAACCTGTGGAGTAACTTACAAACTTAGATATGGGACCAATTCACTTAGTACAAGTAATTATCGTCAATACGCAGGGTATTGATGAACGTTTGCCATCATGTAACCACGTGACCATTAGACACTTCACTCGTAACCTGGGGTATCTGCCGTACACACATCAACCTGCAGTACTATAGTGACTACCCTTATCAACCTGTAGGTAATTATCCCCTCAAGAACACTTACTGTAACTTCATTTGCTTCTGCAACTGGAATCTCACATTTTGAATACGTTATCTGTTCTGCTGATCGCAAGAATACCCTGCTCCCGCTTTCCCCTTTTTTTTCCCGTGTTTCTAGCTATTTTTACCCGGGTGGCCCTCCCTACTATTGATCTCGCCTCCCTATGAGTAATTCCGTGGCTCCAGACGAAGATTGGTCGATTATCTCGTCGTCTTCTGACTTTGAGGATGAAACCGTGTCAGAGGTTTCTGTTCGAGAAGAATCGGGTAATTCAACCCCTTCTGACAATGCCAGTGTTACCAACGACATAGATGAGTCCACCTGTACAATCCAGAATGGTGTGAATCACGATGATAGTGGTCAGAATGACGATAAGACTAGCAATGAGAATTCTACTTTGGGCCACTTTGATACCGAGTCAACTTCGACCTTCATTGTTCAGCCATGTGCCATTATCAATGTTCCAGAACCGTTGACAGACAAAGACCAAGAACATGATCGAGTTGCAGAACAAAGCGTTGAAACTGATGGACAAAACACTCAAGCTCACAAACAGAATGCAGAAGTTAAGGATGTCGTCGCTTTGGGTGCAAAGGAAAAGTCCAAATGCGCCAGCGATTGTGGCGTTGTCAGAGCCGCCACCATGGTCTTTGCCACGTTCTATTGCGTAGACCAGTATATTCGATTTTTGTCTCGGAAGCTCTTTGGTCCCATCTGGGCTAAACCTTTGCGTTCGCTCAAAAGAGACGTTGCTGCTGCTGGAACACTTAATATTCCCTTGTATAAGCATGCAATTTACCTGGTGCTTTCCACATTGGAGAGAAACCAGGATTTCTTGCTCTACTACATGGCAGCGTCTGCCGGACTCGTCGTGACATTCAACAAAGTTGCACCTGCTCCAGTAGTTGATTCGTCCTCGTATTCCTCGAGGTTGCAACTGTTGTGGATGCAGACGATGTACGAACCCGAAGAAACTGGTTTTGGACGCTTCTTCCATGCGGCCAAGCCCAAGCAGTTGAAGGCGGCTCGATATATGAGTGGCGCCACCACTCTGGCATCCAGATTGGTCGAAGACTCCTACAAATTCTTGCTAGTGAAGTCCGATTGGGTGGAGTCAAGATTGGCGCTGCTTCTGTCTACAAGGTTCTGGGTAAAGTCCTCAGAAAACGTTGCCAAAATCAGTACCTGGATGTCTGACACCAGACTGAGATTCGTATTTGTTGGGGAAAGACTAGCAGCTAAAGTCTTGTCACAGACAGGGCCAGTTGAACAGACTCTCCTTGATGGGTGGAACAATGTTTCAACGTGGCTGGTTTCCACTATGGACGCAACTCAAAGAGCATTTGACAAGTATATTGTTCCTTCTACAGAAGTTGCGTCTGCTCACGCGGCGCATTGGCTTGGAGAAGCCAAACAAGTTTCTGCCGCCTGGGTCAAGAATTCTTGGTTGCACACGAAGCAAGTCAGTCTGGATCTTGAAATTCAGCTTCGGCCATTCACACAATATGTTGTACAACAATCGCACAGCATCTTTGAGAAGGCAAGAGTGGAGTCACAAGTTGCAGCCATCAACGCCAACCGATTCCTTGCAGAGTGGAGAAATGTCTCGACAGTATACGGACAAAAGGCATGGTATAGAGCGCAGAACGTCATCAAGGACTGGCACCTGGCGGATATCTAAAGACAAGGTCCATGACAACTTTACTGGCATTACCAAAGTTCTGTTGGTTAAGTCAATTGTCAAGTCGCATTTACTGACTACATGGTTTGTCGCACCAAATGCCTTGATATTGGCCACCGTCCACATGGCCCACTCAGCTCCTCGCTAGATACGCCACGCAGGCCCACCCATTCTCTCACGATTGCTATTCCCTCTCTAGGTTCATGATACCCTTTATATTTTTTTACGGTCTCCTGCCGTGGTCAGTGATATGTTTTTTCTCTCTGATTCAGTAGCGTGTGTAGACCCAGTCGTGTGCGCGCCAGGTCGTCCAGTAGATGCAGATTTCATCTGAACACCGTGATTCTCCATTAATAACCTCCATCATGGGTATGTGACAACACTAACATCCAATGCAATCCCCATTACTAACATTCAGGTATCCCTAAGTTCTTTCGGTTTATCTCCGAGAGATGGCCGCTCATCTCCCAGTTGATCGAGGGAAATGACATTCCCGAATTCGATAACTTGTATCTTGATATGAACTCGATTTTGCACACTTGTACTCACTCCAATGACAACACCATGTCGAGAATGACGGATGACCAAATGTACGCCGCCATCTTCAACTACATTGACCACTTGTTCGACATCATCAAGCCCAAAGAGGTGTTTTACATGGCCATTGATGGTGTGGCCCCAAGAGCTAAAATGAACCAACAGAGAGCCAGAAGATTCAGAACAGCTTACGAAGCTGAGGAAAACATGAAGAAAGCTATCAAACAGGGATTGGATATCCCCAAGGAGGACCCCTTCGACTCCAACGCCATTACTCCAGGAACAGAGTTTATGGCCAAATTGACCAGCAACTTGAAGTATTTTATCCACAAGAAAATGACAGAAGACTCTCGGTGGTCGAATGTGCGAGTGATTTTGTCTGGCCATGAAGTGCCAGGTGAGGGTGAGCACAAGATCATGCAATTTATCAGAACCATGAAGTCTCAGCCCGAGTACAACCCAAACTTAAGACACTGTATCTACGGATTGGATGCTGACTTGATCATGTTGGGATTGGTGACACATGACCCCCATTTTTCTTTGCTTAGAGAGGAAGTGACTTTCGGGCCAGGCTCGCAGAATAAGAGTGGAGACGTTCACGATCAGAAATTCTTTTTGTTGCACTTATCTTTATTGCGAGAGTACATGGCCTTGGAGTTCCAGGATTTGGAGTCGGAGGTGTCTTTTGAATACGATTTCGAGCGTATATTGGATGATTTCATCTTGATTATGTATGTGATTGGTAACGATTTCCTTCCCAACTTGCCCGATTTGCATATCAACAAGGGTGCTTTCCCGCTTTTAATTGGTGCATTCAAACAGAGTATTAAACACTTGGATGGCTACTTGAACGAGGGAGGCAAAATTAACTTTAAGCGCTTGGGCGTGTGGCTAGACTACTTGTCTGAGTTTGAGTTGGAGAACTTTGAGAAGCAGAACGTTGACGTGGACTGGTTCAACAAGCGTTTAGAAGACATTTCCATAATTGGAGAAAAGAAGAGAGAACGTACCGGTAAATTGCTAATGTTGAAGGACGAGAAAAAGGTCGTCGGTTTACTTAAACCCTGGTTATTGGAGAATGGCTGTCGTCCAATTGCTGAGTTGACTGAGTTGGCTAACAGCAATTCATTACCTACTCTTCCATTGCCCACCGACCTCGTGACCACCCACTTGGAGTTTATTAAGAAGTTTGCTTTGGAAGCTGGTATTCTTATTGTTCACTCCAGATCTCAGAACACCTACGAGGCCACCATTGATGTGGACGGCATTTCTCCCTATGAAAGCGAGGAAGAGTACCAAGAGAGAGTTTCAGACTTGAGAAAGACCATTAAAAAGTACCAGTCGTCTAATTTGTTCGCAACAGAAGATTTGATGAAGGACGCTAAGGACTTATACGATGCCAAGTTCATCAACTCCAAAGACAAGTACTACAAAGATAAGTTGCACTTTTCTATTCACGACAAAGAAGAAATGACCGAATTTACCAGACACTACTTAGAAGGTTTACAATGGGTATTGTACTATTATTACAAAGGTTGTCCATCTTGGAACTGGTATTTCAGATACCACTACGCTCCAAGAATTTCTGACATTTCTATTGGAATTCAAGACATGTTGGAGAAGAAAGAAACTGAAGTTCAGTTTGAACAAGCCAAGCCTTTCAAACCCTTTGAGCAGTTGATGGCTGTTTTACCTGCCAGATCTAAGAAGTTGATGCCTGATGTCTACAGATCCTTAATGACGGAGGAACACTCTCCAATCATCGACTTTTACCCTCATGAGGTTGATATTGATCTTAATGGTAAGACGGCTTCTTGGGAAGCTGTTGTTTTGTTGAGCTTCGTGGATGAGAATAGATTGTTGGCTGCTTTGAAGCCTATTGAGGCTAAGTTAACTCCTGAGGAGACTAAGAGAAACAGTTACGGTACTGACATCATTTTCATTTTCAATCCTCAAAATGACTCTGTCTACCCTACTCCATTACCAGGATTCTTCCATGATCTTGAGCACGACAAGTGTTATGAAGAGGCTTTGACTTTGCCACCTTTGGATCCAAATTTCAAATTTGAGTTGCCTGAAGGTGCCAAGTTAGGTAAGGAATTGCTTGCCGGTTTCCCCTCGTTGTACACGATACCATTTGAGAACCGCTTAGCCTTGCTGGAAGTTAAAGTCTTCAACTTCCCATCTCGGTCTGAATCGATGATGTTGAAGCTTGGAAATGTATGGGAAGATATTACTATCAATCAGTTTGCTCAAAAATTCTTGGGTAAGGTGGTTTATGGTAGATGGCCATTCTTGATTGAGTCCAGAGTCACAGAGGTCTGGGACTCTGAATTTAAATATGAGTATTTGAAATCAGGAACTTCAAGAAGAGTCGTCTCTACTCCATTGTCACAGGAAGAGATGAGGGAATTTCACACCAACTGCAGAAACTTGTCTTCGAAATTCGAAAAGACGAAGGGTGTTATCACTGGTCCAATCAATGCAGTGGTATTTGTTCAGCAAGTCACTGGCTTGGTGAGAACTCTGAAGGGTGCTTATGTCAAGTCGTTCCGTGAGGATGCTGAACCCTTCCCTCTCCAGATGATCGTTGAGTCTGTTGTCAACCAAGACGAGAGATACGCAGTCAGACCACCATTACCTATTGACGAAGAGTACCCTGTTGGGTTGCCAGTAGTGTTCATGGGTGCTTTTGCTTATGGTGCACCAGCAACCGTGGCAGGTTTCACTGGAACCGACAAGCTTAACGTCCGCATCGACAAGATTCAATCGACATTGGAGCCTAATATTGGTAAGAAGCGGTTGGAGATCGAAAACAAGGAAATAAGGTATTTGTCTTCATATGAGGCTGCCAAACAATTGAAGATAAACGGTCTCTTCTTGTCTAAGATCACTGGATCTTACATGATTAGAGACAAGTCAGGTGGAAGACTGAATGTTGGTTTGGACATCAAATTTGATGCTCGTCGTTTGAAGGTTTTGGGTTACACAAGAAAGAGCTCCAGATTCTGGGAGTATTCTCCATTGGCCATACAGTTGATTAAGGATTATAGAGCTAAGTTCCCTAATCTTTTCAATAACTTGCTGAACTTGAAGGACCGCAGAGATATGCCTGGTATCGATGAAGTCAGTTCTGCTCCCGAAATCAAGGAAGTCATGCTGTGGTTGAAGAAGGCCAAGGCTGACATGTTCAAGGTTTCCTTGGAATCTGATTCGTTGACCAGATTCAGTATTGCTGCCATTGAGGATTTCATGGATGACTTCATTAGCAGACCACTTCAATTGGACAAGAAGGATGTTAAGGGAGTTCCAAGAGAGGCTGTGATCAACCCCAGCACTTCTTACCAGTTATTGAACAGTCAGAGATTCGATCTTGGAGACCGTGTTATTTACGTTCAAGACTCTGGTAAGGTACCAAAGTTAAGCAAAGGTACTGTTGTTGCCATTACCACTATTGGAACCAAGACTTCGTTGTCGGTTGTGTTTGACATTCCACTTGTTGGAGGAAACAACATGAACGGCAAGTTGAGATCCAATAGAGGATCTATTCTTGACTCTTCGCTCGTGTTGAACCTTACAAACAGACAGTTGGTGTACCATTCAAAGGCCTCAAAGGGCAAGAAGCCATTGACGGATGCTGAGAGAACAGCAAGAGCAAAGAAGATTGAGCAGAAGAAGCCAACCGAGCAGAAGAAGCCAACCGAGCAGAAGGAGTCAGTCGAGAAGAACAAGGAAACCGAGCAAAATGGGGCCGAAAAGAAGACCGAGCTTTCTGTCAAGGAACACAATGCAAAGAGCACTAATGAGTTGCTAGCACTTTTGAAGAAGAACAGTGGAGAGGCGCCAAAGGATGGGGAGATGCCAAAGGGCGCAGATACACCAACAGAAGCAGGTAATGGAGACGACCAGAAGGAAGGCTATAATGCATCAGCTATCAAGCAGATTTATGGTCAAATTTACTCCAACGTGATGAACCAGGGTGCTGTTCCCAACGGAATGATATTCCCACCTGTCAGCTACGGTGCACCACCTATGCCACAGTCACAGATTCCAGTTGTGCCAGGAGTTCCCTTGCCTCCTCAATTCTTCCAGTCACCTCCTCAGAACGCGCCTGTTCCACCAGCCAAGAACGGGCAAGTGACTCGTGGAAGAGGAAATTTCAGAGGCACTTCACGTGGAGGAAGAGGTGGAGCCATTAGAGGTCGTGGACGTGGACGTGGCGGAAAAGGCGAGGTTAAGGCTGCCAAGGAGTAGGTATAAAAGAATGAATGGTTTGAATATCAAATTAGTGTAGTTTATGTACATTCATTTAGCTATTTACAAGGTATTAATCATGGTTCTTAGGTTTGTCAGTCTTGACTTCAAAAGTCGCTTCTCCAGGTAGATTGACAAGTCCCAAAGAGTCCCAATCGGAGTTGTCCATCAACTGGTTGTCCATTCTACACTTCAAGTAGCTTTTGGCGAGAATACGACAATTAGGAGCATTTTTATTCTCAGTGTATTTCATGCATTTTAAGTAGTCCATCATTTGTTGCTTGCATTCTCCATCATGATCCAAGGGAAAGGATCCACGCTCAGGAGGCGTTGGGGTCCACGATCTGAAGTTTCCACCTGATGTTAGAACGTTTCAATTTCGGTGAATCTGGATTTCGGGGGGAGTTTTACATACCTGGTGCACCAGTAGCCATTAGTGAATAGGTTGTGTGAAGATGGTGAGATTCGATTGTATTTGGTTGTTGGTCACATGCTCAATCACGTGATGGTAAAATTAAGGCATAACAATTCGAGCTCGAAACAATCTAATTCTTTCCCTCAAAAATCTAGTTCAACAGCTCATAAAATGATTCAGGAGTAAAAAATTAAACCTGCCTTCAGTCGAACTGTGAATGGCCCCTCCTTCCATCTATCTCCGCAAAAGGATCTTCACCGGCATTTGTGAATTGACCCCAGTTTGGCTATTCAGATGACACAACTAAAGTCCGAAGAAAAGGAACGCAGAATTATGCCCCGTTCCGAAATGTAAACAGCTTTAAAAGCGAACCTTGAACCAATCCCAAAATGGAAGTCATACACTGAAAAACGACGCAATCCGGAACAGGAAAAATTCAAAAATTGGTGACAAATACATCATTGCAAAATAAAATTCCGTAATCAAAATATAACACAATCACAGTCTCGCAGGAATAACAACGAAATGCCAACGGGTCTAATCGCCAGCCACTGCCACCTTCACAAGGAACCTCGGCCGACAGTATAAGTGCATGGTCAGTAATGTCGCGGCATGTCGCGAAGGATAATCCCGGAACAATCCCCTCCCTCGGGCGACCGGATGTACTCTGTCTTGTGACTTCCATTAGCCAGCGGAACACAAGTGCTTTTGTGGACAACGGGTTAAAGGCGAGCCACCGGTTGACAAGTTCCTCAATTTCGAATTGACTACAAAAGCCCATAAATGAAAATAAAAAGAAATAAAATTTTTGATGGGAATCTCTACCAAAACCTTCTCATGTCATCTGCCCCGCCATGTCCCACCCATTTTGCACCCGAATTTTCCTTTCACTCAAGGTCGACCCGCTAACAAGTGCTCCATTGGGCAATTTGCGGAGAAATCGCCTGTGCGAACCGGTCAATGCACCTGAGTATCCGCGACATTGTGCACAAAGGTTTTTCTTTTTCGAACTACCTAGAGACGAGTTTTGCTTATATCCTCTGGAAATACCCACCCCCACTGTCAAAGTCATCTAGTCGCAGCCGGCATTCTTTTTCACTGAATTCTTTATTGTTGTTCCCGTGCACAGGCCTTGTCAAATCGTACATGCCCTGTCCATCTTTATAGACCGATACATCTGCCGCACATCCGTTGACTCACTTGACTCAATTTTCACATCCTACATTTCCTCCCACGGTTTCTCCATCGACCACTTTTCTCCACCATGTCCACCGAACTAAAAGCCAGCGAGATCTTCAACCAGTTTGCATCGTTTGATCCGCAAACAAACAAGAAGTTTCTTTCGCTTCCAGAATTCGTGACGATTTTGTCACCTTTTCCAAATGACTTGCCTAAACAGTCGTACTCGTTGCTTTATTTGATCGCCGACAAGGACCGCAAGGGTTATGTGGATGAAAAAGACTTTGTTCAGTTCATCCATACTTTGACTGAGGATGACGGTGAATTCCGTTTGTTGTTCAACATGATCTCCAATGGCCAGAAGAAGTTGACCTACAAAGAATGTATCGACATGCTTAACCGCTTGAACAAGGCCATCGACCCCAACTATCAGCAGAAAAAGTTGAAGTTCAACTGGGCCTACATGGAGATGTTCTTTTCTCCGGACGGAGAGATCGACTTCAACGATTTCATTGGTTTGATCAACAACTTGCCTGTGACCAAGTTGATTGGAGGTTTCGAGACAATCTCTGGCAGAAGCAAGGTCATCAATACCGAGGAATTGAACCACTTGTTGAACTCCAACTTGAGCCATAAGTTGTCCTCAAAGTTGAAGAAGAACTTGACTTCTTTGCCTGAGTACTTTGGTAAGGACACCTTCACCTTGTCCAATGTCTTGATGGTTTACCAGTGCTTGAACAAGTTGGACTTGATCAATGAGGTCATTGCCAACACTCCTCCAACCACCGGCGAGAAAGACGATATTTTGATCAACAAGACCGATTTGTACAATCACTTGAATGACCATCTTTTGAAATCGGCCAATTTCAAGCCTATCACCAGAAAGGAGTTGGATATGTTGTTCTTCTTGATCGATAGAAATGAGGAGACCATTCCAAGAAGAGAATTGATCTCTTTCTTGAACCCCAACTATCTCAACAACGAGCCTGCTTTATACTCCATCTTTGATCACCCTGCTGCTCAACCAGTCAGAGAGGATAACTTCTCGTTGTGGCCAATTTTCGACTCCATGTATTCGTTCTTCTTGGGTTCCATCGCCGGATGTATTGGTGCTACTGCCGTGTATCCAATTGATTTGGTCAAGACCAGAATGCAAGCCCAGAAACACAAGGCACTCTACGACAACTCGTTTGACTGTTTCAAGAAAATCATTAAAAACGAGGGTTTCAAAGGTTTGTATTCCGGTTTGGGTGCCCAATTGGTGGGTGTCGCTCCCGAGAAGGCTATCAAATTGACTGTCAACGACTTGATTCGTGGAATCGGAACCGATGAAAACGGAAACATCACCATGGGCTGGGAGATTCTTGCCGGTTCTTCGGCTGGTGCCTGTCAGGTCATTTTCACCAATCCTTTGGAGATTGTTAAAATTAGATTGCAAATGCAAGGTGGCTCCTCCAAACTGGTTTTGGCCCCAGGTGAAATTCCTCACAAAAGATTGTCTGCTGGCCAAATCATCAAGCAATTGGGTATCAAAGGTTTGTATAAGGGTGCTTCTGCCTGTTTGTTGAGAGATGTTCCATTCTCGGCCATCTATTTCCCAACTTACGCCAACCTCAAGTACCATTTGTTCAACTACGATCCTTCTGATCCAAACAAGAAGCACTCACTTAGTACTTGGCAATTGTTGGTGTCTGGTGCCATGGCTGGTGCTCCATCTGCTTTCTTCACTACCCAGCCGATGTCATCAAGACCAGATTGCAGGTTGAGGCCAAGAAGGGAGAGATTAAATACAGAGGCATTATTCATGCATTTGGCACCATTTTGAAGGAGGAAGGTTTCACTGCATTCTTCAAGGGTTCTCTTGCCAGAGTGTTCAGATCATCCCCACAATTCGGTTTCACTTTGGCATCGTACGAGCTTTTGCAAAGTATGTTCCCATTACATCCACCTAACACCAGGGAGTCCAACTACAAGAATGTCAGTGGATATCCAGGAGTCTACAACTTGACAAACGACCAAGTGTACAGCAACAACTCCAGACTCATGTACCTTAACAAGGATCAGTTATTCAAGAAGCACGGTTTGACCACTCCACAAAAAGACTTGTCCAATGCCTTGATCACGTTGCCTGCTGACTATGTGTACAAGTCCATGGACACCGTCAAATTGTTGTTGGATATCGACTACAAGTTCGGAAACTTCGACTACAATGCCTACAGCACCTTCGTCAAGCGCTAATCTTGACTATATTTTTGTATTATTTGACGCCAATATAATTTTTGATGAGAATACACAACGAAATCTGCTATGTGAGCTCGTAGATACCTTCTGCCTGAATGAAGTACCTGTTATTGAAGATGAGGAGTCGACTGCGGCTCCACCCACTTCTATCCTTTCTAGCATTTGTGAAGCACGGTAGTGCCACGTTTTTCTTTCTCTGTGTTTGCAAATCTATCCATGTGAACTGTTCTTCATGTACTTCAATTAGCAATTGATCACCCATCTTTAGTACTATGGGATCTGCGTTGTTGAAGTTCGATACTTGCAATTTCATGCACTCAGATTCGCTTATCGTGAATTGTTCTTTGACCTTTGAACGTGGTTGCAGTAGATCCAACACGTAGAAGTAAATCGAGTTAGTGGTGACGACTGTGAGTCTCATGTATCTCAGATGAGCCAAATGCGGCATTTCATGTGAAGAATGATGGGATGAAGAGGCTCCATCCCGTTTTGAATTTCTGTAACTGGGATATACGCCAACTTCGTCTAGGAAAACTCGATGCACATGATTTTCAACCCGCAAGGAATGACTATACCGATTACCTTTCCTGAAGATATTGACCTTTTTTGCTCCAGCCATCGCCAAAACTCCATTTAAATAGCACATATGATCCACAGTAGTCTGATTGTTGGTGACACGGTTCCAAGGGCGGACCGATCCCGATGGCTCCTTTAGTAATAGCTTCCCACCTTTTGCAACAATTAAGCCTTCTTCACAAAGACATGCATTGAATGGAGAACGATCGTGGCCTCCTGAAGTTCGAGAGACTGAATGAAGAGCCGTTTGGTTTTCCAGAACCATCGCTGCCCCGATTTCCTCACTGTCCTTGTAGACGATGCTGGTCAAGCCGTGAACATAGCTTACAAACTCAATGGCATCCATTCTAGAGACATGACCGACGGCACGATGTGTGGCTAAAGAGCCATCAAGATAATCTTGAAAGTTATCTTTAACAAGCTGGTTGTCCTCAATCCGTAAGAGCCATATCCCATCCTCCAGCAACCAAGCTTTCTTGTCAAGTATTGTGGAGATATGCGTGCACTGCTGGAGCCCAAGAAGAAGTGGCCAGCCACTGGGTATACAATAAAGGCCCAACTTAACATTGACTAGCAAATCTGAATAGTCTGATGGGAAGTACTTCAGCAATTCAGCACCTTGGCTGACTCCGATATTTTGTGGTCTATTCGATCGTTGTCGTCTCTTATTAGCTCGAACAGAGTTATTGGTATAACCAGAATTGTATCGTTGGTCTCCATTCGTTACACGGAAATATTTCTTTTTCACGGGGTCGAAGATAAACCCAGGGAGTTCTGGAGCCATAGGTTGTGATGATTGCCTGCACTAAGAAAGATGAGACGTAGAAAGTGATGAGGTAACTGACGTGAATAAGTTTAACTGAAATAAGTTAAGAAAAATTATGTGGATCAGCAAATCCATTAAAATATCAGAGAGAAGATATAACTGGGGTAAGTCGAATGGGTTTAAAGACAAAAACCAAGTTTAGGTGGTTATTCATTGTATTAGTGTGAGGACTAGAAATAATTTCCACTGAATTTGTTTGCAACAATACAATAATCCATAATTTTTCTCTCATCTTCGTGATCTTCTTGTCTGACTGACTAAATTCTACTCACAACTCAATCAAAATCATATTCCGTGTAAGACTCAGCAGCAGCTTTGGACGTGAACTTCTCCACATGTAACTCGCTTCGTTTCTTCACAAGTCGATCCTCAAAACCATTCGACCGATCAATTCCATCCCAAAAGTACCCTGCCTTAATTTTGAATCGATTGGTAGGATTTAATCCCTTCGTGTAAACAGGTCTGCCCGTCTCTGTAGTAGTGGGGACTTTCGTTCGGCTTCCACCAACAAAAGCAGACATGGGGTCTTCAAACCGGGGAATACTGTTCATGTGGTCCACATACTCGTCATTATCCTTTGAGTAGTCAAATCGCTTGGCTTTGTCTACCTTTTGATCATGTTCTTTCTGCCTAAGCTTATCAAGTTCTCCAGAGCCAATTTTCTCCTTAATGGCCCGGTCTTGCTCTTCTTTAAGCTCCTTTTCCTCTTTTAACTCTTTAGCACGCATCTGAAGGTCAATTTTCCGACCTGTCAGGTCTCTATATATCGTTTCTGGTTGCTCTATCTCGACAGATGCTGGTTTCTTTTCAACGACCTTTCCGTCATCAATACGGCGAAATCCTTTATTTACCTTTGGAGCCAGCATGCTAGCCACACTTGTAGGAGCATATTCATCTTCGACGGCTAGAAAAGGGTCCTCAGAAACCTCTTCCTGGTCATTTGTATTTGTGGTTAGACTGGATGGATTTAGTCCACCAATGATGACTTGGGTGTTATCTTGCTTGGATTTCTTTGAGCTTTTTGAACCCTTCAGCTTCTTTTTCAGTTTCTTCTCATCTCCCTTGGAGAGGTATTTGGCTAGATAGTCTGCTCGAGACATTGCTATAGTTCATTATCTATGTAAAATGGTACATATCGTATTGGGATGGGACCTCTCTGCAGGACACCATCATCACTTTAAAAGTCGTATAGTTGACGAGTGTCAACTAACAAATGTTGTCACGACTTTCCTCGATATTGTTTCTCGTCTCGACACTCCTAGCTAATTACCTTGTCTTGAAATTTCTTCTCTTATCTTGTGAGATGCGTAACTTCCCCGTGGATTTCCGCGAGTGATTCACAGAGTTCCATGAAGATGGCATACTGGTTTCTCACAACTTGCACCACATCACCAATGTTTCCACACGCCTCGTTGCATGATTGCTCCAAACGAGTAATCGCTTCATTTCCCTCGGTGATGACGCCCTCGTAGATGGCCAACAACTCTCTGTACTTCTTGATTCTTTTTATGAAGAACTCATTCAAGTGGTAACTAGAAGAGAGTCTTGTGCCCGGAGTAGAAAGCTGGATAATCAATTGCATGACGTTTGCGATGTCTTCTGTAAGCTCGTTGTTGACGGTTTTAAGAGAGTTGAGCTGGTCGGTGTCGAACTTCAACGCCAGTTTGATCGACAGAATTTTGGTATGCAAGTAGTTCACATCATTGGGGATGGACTTTATGAGGGTGTCGTGCTTGACAAGATCTTCGTTAAGGGTGGTTGCAATGAGATGCTGGGTACTGATATACTTGTCGAAATCTTGCAATTCCTTCTTGACATCTGGCGGGAGATCACCAACACGAGTCATGGCTGTAAGCTGTGGTTGTTGCTGCTGTTGGACTTGCTGCTGTTGCTGTTGCTGTTGTTGCTGGCCGCCGAAGAGTCCACCAGAGCTAGATCCGCCAAACAAGCCACCTGTACTATTATTAGTGTTCTGTGTGGTCAGCAGGCCAAAAAGACCTCCAGCTTTGGTGGCATTGTTGTTTCCAAAGAGACCTCCAGGTTTAGCAGCATTGTTGTTGCCAAAAAGACCACCCAGACCAGCAGTAGATGGAGCTGTGGCATTCAGGCCAAATAGACCACTCGTAGGTGCTGCATTGTTGGTGTTGGTGGACCCGAGTAAACCACCCTGTTGTGTGTTTTGTTGTTGAGTTGAACTACCACCCCCAAACAAACCACCAGAAGGGGCAGCAGAGGCGGTATTGGAAGATCCAAAGAGCCCTCCGGAAGTGGTGTTAGATGCGCCAAAGAGGCCCCCAGCGGTTGCAGGCTTTGCTCCAAACGGCGTGGAAGGTGTTGAAGTAGATGTCTGCGCACCACCAAAACCCGTAGAAGCAGCAGGCTTTTGACCAAACAAACCTCCTGAAGATGTATTTCCAAAGGTAGAATTTGATTGATTGGGAACAGCCAACGACGAGGAGGCCGGGGCGGCTGTAGTGGATCCAAATAGGCCAGTTGTAGGTTTCTTTGCCTGGTTGCCGAACAACCCACCAGAATTGGCGTTTGAAGCGCCAAACCCAGACGATGCAGCAGGAGCAGTCGAACCAAACTGGAACAGCGACGATGTAGGGTTGGATGCGGCGCCAAACATTAAGCTGTTGATGTGATGTTTAGAAGTTGAAAGTAAAAATTTGAGTTTCCTGCAGGTATTGGATGGAGTTGAAGAAAGTGGTGATAGTAGAGTGATCAAGCTAGGATAATTGAAAAATAAAACAATGTGAACATCTTGAGTTGGATATGCCAATTAACTTGTCATGAAGTTTTACATATGGATTTGTTCCGGAGTATCAAGGTCAGGAGTAGGAGAAATGTATAGTTCTGAAATGAGATCAAGGAAATGTAAACTTAGATATTCGACTTGGAAGGCGTGCATTTGTGAATATCTTTCAATCAATCGAAGTTTTTTTATTCTCGAACTTTACGGGCTCATTCAGTTAGAGAATTTTTGAAAGGTTTTCCAACTGTTCATAGTTTTGGCAACTAAAATTTAGTGTGCATCCATCCAATTAGGTATTGGTCCAGATACACAACCATGATCATTTTCAATTGAAATTATTGATACTGTCATTTCCTTTCACTTAGAATGAGCTTGCTTGTTTGATGTTAACCATACTCTTCTCAAAATTTGACCCTGATTGTACTTCCTTCTCTGGACTGTATGTCTTTATCCATATCCAAGTAAACTTTCTCATATTCTGTACTTCTCACTAATGGGGCATATATGAACACCCTTGAATACAGCCAACGAATCAGTAGACACAATACAATCGCTTGGTCCTGTCGCGTTGTCGATTTCGTCTTCATTAGTCCTCATGCCATTTCACTTATGTCATACCCATAGGTCATGGCCTTGACCACAACCTGAGGTTCCTAAAATAGCCTGATGTACCTAGATTCTTCAACCCCTGTCAGTAACAAGGCTTTGACAAAATTGCACACGAACATTGCAGTCTTGTGCACGTCGAGATGTCTCCTGATCTAGATCACTTCAAAAACTTGAGCCCCTCCTCCTCACGCAGGATTTCAAAAAGGAGTTACAACTGCACAATGATACCAATCACTTATGAAATTGGATTCCGCGGGTGTTGGCAATATTTTTCTGCCCTCACGTTTCATTTTGCAGATCCCGATATCTTCTGCCGATATTTTGTCGTTTTCATCTACAGCATCACACACATACTTGCATAGGAGACATTTGTATGGTGTACGGATGTTTCTTGATGTGCGGATATTCAACATTGCCAGCGACATTTAGTGATCCAGTTGATGATTTTCATGCAGGACGGAGTAATATATTGTTTTTGCAGCCGTACAAAATTGAGATTTTTGCAGCCAACGCGCGTCCCCATCCGTCCTCGATGCGTCTGCACGCGTATCGTCTATCTGCAGAACAATCAACAAATTCTAAATCATCATCAGAAACTCATGATTCTCCAGAGATTATGAATTCCGTCCACCAAATACGCAATGCAGTGGCCAACATCCAGGATGAGCTACAGCGAATATTGGCAAGCTCGGAGGTCCTGCCTTTGGAGCACAATCATGTGGCAGAAGAATTCAAGACGAAACTAATAGGAGAGTTTAACACAAAACTTCGTGGGTTCAAGTCCAAGATCCGCGTATTGAATGAAGAAAATGCCCAGTTAAAAGAGCAAGTACGCGATTTAGAACGTCAATTGGACCGCAAATCCGACGTTTCTAGGTTGACAAAGAGTGTGGGGAGCCTACCTAGGGGGCCAGACATGGCACCTCCAAAGCGGCTACGAAAGAGTACTGAAAACGAGAAATATAACGGCGGACTTGCAACAAAAAGCCCTGAATTGCCCCATAATTATGACGAGGAAAGGGTTGAGATCATTTCGAGTCCAATTAAGCCGCTGGACGGCCAAAATTTAGGAAAACATGAAATCACAACATTGGGTAGCAGAGACATCACCAGTTCGCAATTCAACCGGATGCCCACACAGTACTCAGACACTAGTGATTCAGCGCGGGAGAACCTTCACGTGGATCTTGGCGCGACCAAATTTGTGCAATTGCAGCATCCAGACGATAATGTTGAAGACAATGTCGACGGTGAGTACGAGATAGGAGAAGAGAAAGCAAAGAACAGACCAGAAGATCAACAACTACCCAAAGAGAGGGCCAAGCATGATGAGCACATCAAGAAACGAAAGAGACGTTCTAACGACTCATTGGGATCTTCGCCAATCAAGGCCATTTTCATTGAGGAAGACGACCGAGTAGTAGCAGATTCACAAGATGAGTACGAACCATTAGGCGGAAGACCAGCTGGATATCCACAGCACTACACTGCACTTCAACGCATTGACTTTCTCCGGAATTACTATCGCATGAAACTTAGCGACCTGCGGTACAGTGTTGATCTCACTACTAATCCGATAACCGAAAAGCCGTGGGTGTTTGCCGATTTCAAACCAAACGGCAATTGGACCAGGCCAAAACATTTACACAGCCATGTTGGAGTAATGACAAAGGCACAAGAGCGTGCGTATACGCGATTTTTCCAAGAGGCTGGTCATGGTGTGAAAGGAGGGGGGCCACAGTGGGAGCAAGAAGGAAGCGGGAGAGAAGGACCAATTGGAGGCGTAATCGAAAGAGGTGGAAGGGAAAAATATGAAAAAGAAAGTAGAGAGGGAGATAGAATTGGAAGAAATACGAAAGGAGACCAGAAACATGCAACTCTAGCAGATGAGTTCCATGATTCCTCAGACAATTGGAGCGAAAAAGAAAACTCACAGGGCAGCGACCAATGGATCAAGTCCCAAATAATGGACAAATACCTGTCTCCACCAGGGTATATGGTTGCGCTGTTCCCATCCACACAGCAGCAGCAACAAAATAAGCAAATGGTGGCTAACAAGAGTCGTCATCGATTACAGCGCCGAGTAGACAGTGCTTTGTCGCAGGGCGAGTTCGTTTTCTACGAGGAGGTGTTAAACACTTATGTTGCGGAGGGCCGGTACACGAAAGGAAGCTAAAATGATGAGTGTTGAGCACTGCAGGCCCATGTCGTAAACGACATTCAACCAACCGGCAATGATAGGGGAAGAAGTAGAGAATGCTACTATAGGCGCAATGTCAACAACTCACCAGACATTGTTGAACGATATTGATCGGCGATTTGTTGCGGTACCAGGGGTATTTGAAAATTTCGACCTGAAATTTTCAATCTTGAAAATCCAATCTGGAAACTCCAACCTAGTCTACTCATCATCTTTCCTCAAGTAGCAACTACCCACAAGTAACTTTTTGCTTGTGTCATCCTCGTGTCACTAACTCCTACTGACGCACTCGTTCTTGGGCTCCGACATCGTTCACATGTCGCACTCAGCAAACGAGCAAACGTATTGCTTCACTCAGGAATTGGTGCGCTCCTACGTTTTAAGTCGCACGTCGTGCTTCGGCCAGGAGCACTTTGATCCAAAGGAAATCCCATGGTTAACCCCAATGAACAGCACTCGCAATTGTCCGAGGAATTCCTAGATCCACAACGCCGATGATGTTCTGACCACTCCAATTAGCTCTCCTGTCACCGTTTAGGCACCTTCTGCCAGATACACCTCAATTTTTTGGCCCCCTACTGAGCCCTGTCCACGCCTAGACCCTCACGCTTGTCGCAGACCAAATGTCGGTGCATTTCCCACTCGCCTGTTACCTCTTGTCCCTTCGCCTATCTACAGGCTGATTTACGTGCTGCTGCTTGTATGTAGCGCTATGCCTATTCCTGTCTTTTGTTGGCCTCCAGTGCATGGTAGCCACTGACTGGCGTCTGTCTTAATACCCACTGTTGCCAGGTTATTTCTGATTCACGGCCGTTCTCTAGTTTGATTTCTCTAAATTCGACTAGCGATATCTCGGCTTTCTTCTACTTCTCCTCGGATCTGTTCCAGATTTCTTCTCTTCTAGTTCCGTTGCCTGCTCTTCCTGCTGCCAACGCTCTCCATCTCCTCCGTCTAATTTTCCTGCCAGTGCTTAGTGGTCCTTCCACCATTCACCCACCTCGCTCTTTTGTTAAAGGCCCTCCGTCTTTTCTCCAACCATTGATGATCATTGCCGCTGGCCAAATCTAGACTGACAAATGACTCTGGCTAAGTTTGCCTCGGCTTCATCTGGACCTCTGTCCCATTCCCACAACTTGTCTATCAACTCAGTGTCTTCGATCGTCGAGCCTACCACCCCGCCAGCATCGACAGCTTCTTCCAAGCTATGGGATTCGAACAAGTTGAACGCGAATTTGGCCTTGCCGACCTTCAACTTGGACACACATGATCTGCCAGATCATCGTGGCCATGTGCGCCAGTATCTGGTAGACTCGCTCTCTTTGGACAAGGAAAGCCACCCGGCCCAATTTGTTGTGCTGCCTGTCAAGATCGACAAAGACTACTTGGCTCTGATCAACAAGGTGCCGTTGTCCCGGTTGACTGATGAAATTTTCCGCTTGGCCAAAGATCAGCATGGATGTCGCTTTCTTCAGAAAAGAATCGACGAAAACATCGTCCTGAACCCCCAAATGCGTATGGCCAACTTCGATATTATCTTTGGCCAGGTTCATCCAATGTTTTACGAGTTGATTATCGATCCATTTGGCAACTACTTGATCCAGAAACTACTTGACTACTGTGATGAAGACAATTTGAACTTGATTCTTGAAACCTTGCAGTTCAATTTGTTTCTGATCTCCATAAACCAGCATGGCACGCGTGCTTTGCAGAAGATCATCGATCGGATGAATAATGCATACCAGTTGCTGTTGTTAGTGAAGGGGTTGAAGCCCTATATCATCGAATTAATCAAAGACTTGAACGGGAACCACGTGATCCAGAAGATCTTGAACAAATACTCTCCTGAAAACTGTCAATTTATCTATGATTCTATCATCTCAGACTTGTTGGTAGTTGCCACTCACAAACACGGTTGCTGTGTGCTCCAGAAGTGCTTGAACCACGTAAACGCACCTCAATTGACTGCATTTTCCAATGAGATCTTGACTTACGACAACTTCACCCGTTTAGTAAATGACCAATTTGGCAATTACGTCTTGCAATATCTCGTGTCAATTGACTCTATGGACGTGAATTATCGCCTTTACAACAACTTTGTCAAGTTTGGTATCGACGATTTGTGTAACTTGAAGTTTTCATCCAATGTCATCGAGAAGTTGATGAAGAACTGCTACAACAACGAGCAGAAGCTGATTGAATTCTCTAACTTGAAGTTTACTATCATCATGCTGATCTTGAAAGCTGATGTTAGCAAGCTTATTAATGACCCATATGGAAATTATGTGATTCAAACGTTGATTGACATCATGATAAACCCTAATGTTGTGTATTTTGTCGAGCTGCCAACAAACGAGCGGGTTCTCTTGCCAAGCTTGCAGATGCTTCTTTTGGATAACTTTCCATTGGCTACTGAGTCGTTGCAGGTGCAGATAATCAAGATCTGGTTTCAAAACTGCAAGATCGTTTCCTCATTTGGCAAGCGAATCCAACTGAAGATCAACATTATTTTGAATGGAGTGACCAAGGCCTCGCACCGCAAGCCCTTGAACAATCATCAAACTAACATGCCATACCACGTTATGGGCACAAACCAAAGTATGAATGCTAGTGGGGAGTTTGTCAAGATAGACCCTACAATGCCAGTCATGAATGGTTACCAAACCCGCAGCTTGAGTTTGGATAACTCTATCCCGTTAACTCGCCACCACAATAAGGGTGCATTCAGAGGGGCAAGTCAAACTCCAGTCCAACAACAATACAACTATTATGATGGTTATGCATTGAATCGTAATATGTTGAATGTGCATAATGCAAAGGCAGCCCCTAGAAACACTCCACGCCATTACGATCCCTCCAGATCATTGAGTTTTTCTACCGAAGCCGGGCTAGCCAATTTGCATATTTCCAACCCACCGCATCCGAAGACCACTGTACCATATGCTAAAGTCAACCAGACAATGACCAACTTTAGTTCTAATGAATTTATGACCGGTGTTGGAGAACTTTCTCAGGATTTCCCTGTTCATGTGGGCGGAGATGGTTTCAGACAAATTCCTGATCGGTATGCCAGAAACAATGAGAATATGAGACATGATCATTTTGGCTACATGTCTCCCAGCACTACTCATTCAAAGTTTCCAGTCCACCAAAGATACCTGTCTGACACAACCCCCTTTAATGTTCAGGGAAACATAAGGTTATTCCAAGGTTAAACACCCTTTATTCACCATGTGTTTTTATTAAGTTATCGAGCCGATGAGCTCGCTGTGATTTTATGACCTGCTTGCATTTTGCAGTTTGCATTTGTTGATTTATTTACTCGTGAGAGTTTAAACCCGATCCTAAACTACGAAAAAGAAAAAAAAAAATTGAAAACAAAAAAATGATTGATCATACGAGGAATAGAGCCAGACCGACACAAGAAATGAAGGTTACACACGAGAAATGAAATCTCAAGCCGAGAGCATGACACCAAAGCTGCACTACATGAGAATGCTCCATCGCTTATACACCAACGTCCTTTTATAGTATATAAATATGCTTTTAAACACCTAATTCTGTCTTCTCTTGACACGATCCCATGCAGAGCCAGCCTTTCTCTTTCTGGAGGTTCCCTCTTTAAGGTTTCTCTTGTTGTTGAACATGGACCAATCTTCACCAGCAAAGTTATTCGTACGCTCAGCCATTTTCTGCTTGAATGTCTTCTTGGTGGCAGTCGAAGGCAATCTTGTGAAGTTACTCTCTTCGTATTTCTGAATCTCCTTCTCTCTTTTCGTATCCTTGGCTGTCTTGACACCTCCTCTACCGTGATCCAAGATGGTTGCACCAATAGAGCTCTCGGCTTGTGGAAGATCTGAAGACTCGGCCAAGTATTCTTCCATACTTTGTAACTTTCTTGTGTGATTCTTTGGTGCTGCCTTGTCGCTGAACGTCCGTGGTGGAGCAGCTGCAGAAATTTTAGGTGGTCTATACTTCTCGTCCGCCTCTGATTCCTTCTTCTTGTATGGTTTTTTCGTCATCTTAGCCAATGCAGACGAGTCAGGCTTGTATGAGAGGGCGTCCTCATCTTCCTCAGAGTCAGACTCCGAATCGGAGTCGGATTCGGATTCAGCTGGTTCGGCAGTTCCATTCTCAACCTGCTCATTAATCTTGGCCTCAAGCTTTGCGTTGTCCTCTTCCATACGGTGGAAAGATCTGACCATCTTCTCCAACTGATAACTGAGTTTCTTCTCCAACGGCTTGACTCCTTTCTCCAAACACGCTCTTTGCTCGACGGTGCTCTGCACTGCCTTTAGCTTCAACAGCTCTAGCTTCTCTGAGTCGGTACCCTCTTGCATTCTCTCCAAATGGGCTAAGAGAACAAGCACCAAGTTGTTCACATACGAGAGGAGTGCATTTTCCTTTAAAGATAGCAACGACATTCCTTCCAAGTCCTCGGAAGATTTGGCTAAGAGATCTTTAACCATAGTTGGAAGAAGCTCTTCGCTTTCTGTGATGAATTTCTGTTGTGCGCTCAGGACAGACGCTTCTGTCTGGCCGAGTGATAGGATGATTCCATTGAGGAGTTCATCCACAGACATTTTAATATATTTGAAGGTTGAGTAGTAGATGGAAATTTGTGTAGGAAGGCATCGCACAAGTTAGATGGGGGCCAAAATACTATCAAAATTCGAGAAGAAGGGTGGTGAGTAAATATGTCAACAATAACAAATTTTGAATAAAAAAAACCATCAAGAAACTCAAATTTCTCCAGATATCTCATAAATAATCTATTTAAAAAATTATAATAACAATTTACCTAGATATATCCTTTTCCAGTTACTTGTGGTGTACGGATGTTTAGCATCCCCACGAGATGACTTTAATCTCACCAAATAATTTTTTTCCCGTACCTCATCTTCTCATTTAACATGCCTCAGAACGAATATATCGAGCAGCACATCAAGCAGCACGGAAGAAGACTCGACTACGAGGAGAGAAAGCGTAAGAGAGAGGCCAGAGAGGGCCACAGAGTCGCTAAGGATGCCCAGAACTTGAAGGGTTGGAGAGGTAAGCAGTTTGCTAAGAAACGTTACTCTGAGAAGGTGGCTATGAAGAAGAAGATCAAGGCCCACCAGGAGCTGAAGGTCAAGGGACCATCGACTCCAAAGGCAGATGAGGGAGAGGCTCTTCCTACGTATTTGTTGGACCGTCAGACCAACAACACCGCCAAGGCTATCTCGTCTTCTATTAAGCAGAAGAGAATGGAGAAGGCAGACAAGTTCTCGGTGCCTTTGCCCAAGGTCAGAGGTATTTCCGAGGAGGAGATGTTTAAGGTGATCAAGACAGGTAAGTCCAAGTCCAAGTCTTGGAAGAGAATGATCACCAAGCACACATTTGTTGGTGAGGGATTTACACGTAGACCAGTCAAGATGGAGAGAATCATCAGACCTTCTGCGTTGAGACAAAAGAAGGCCAACGTTACCCACCCGGAGTTGGGTGTCACGGTGTTCTTGCCGATTCTTGGAGTTAAGAAGAACCCTCAATCGCCAATGTACACACAGTTGGGTGTTTTAACCAAAGGTACTATCATCGAGGTCAATGTGTCGGAATTGGGATTGGTTACTGCCGGTGGTAAGGTTGTTTGGGGTAAGTACGCTCAGATCACCAACGAGCCTGACAGAGATGGCTGTGTGAACGCAGTCTTGTTGGTGTAAACAATGTTCAATTCTGGTGGAGGTTTCTGGTTTCCACTGTTCTCTTTGCATCTGTACTTTAATAGCATATCTGGGTAATACAAGTTACGATTATCTCCTTGACGTATATCTAGCGATAGTATTCTCCGCCACATTGGTGCCGTTACTCATTAATTCAATTAAAAGCATTGTCGAAGAGGTCCTGACAATGCAAGTTTTTCTTACCCACAGATCTCAATCCACAGTTGATGATCAACTTGGCGTTCTCTCGAATCACCTGCCATTGGCTCTTCAAAAGATTCGTTCCAACCAAAAAGCACAACCCACTAATATTCTGCTTATTAGTGATTTTGGGTAAAAGTTCGCAATATTTAGCAATCACAGTGTAAAGTGGAATCTGCGTGCTCCGAGCTGTGATAATGTGAAGGAGATAGTCTTCAATCAATCCTTCTTTTTGTAACAACTGGGTAAATTCCTGACGAATCCTGAAAAGGTATGTATACGAGTCTTCCTGCGCTAGCACCCGGATCTTTTCGTAATCTCTTATATCTTTCAACAGCATCGTGGCCTCGAGATCTTTGAACGTCTCAGATTCAGTCCCATTTGACGTGAAGGTGTAGCACCATAGCACTAAAGTTGCAATGCTGACCGCGTACATGGCATCATAGTAATCGTGATCAACTCTCCACCCGTACGTCAATGGTCCATTGATAGGATTACCATCTTCACCCAATGGTGCCAACATTAAACTCCACAAAAGCCAGTAGCAATGGATTACACTCTTGTAATTAACCAAATCATTGACGGTGCTGATCTTAGAACCTCGAGACCACACAGATGTTAACTTCCTTTGGACAATGCTCATGTCTTTGGCAGTAGCATCGACACTCTGGTTTCCTGGTGAGCCGCCAAAAATTGCAATGTCGTAATGATTCACGTCCGACATTCCCACAATTTGTGCCAAATGATACATTGGAAACTTGCATTGTCCCCTTTGGATGCCAAAGAAAGGATCGCGGGTCAATTGAACTTCTTGAGAATGCATCTCGGCTTCCCAAGTGTCAAAAACCTTCGTCAATATGTCTTTCCACACCTGATTTTTCTGCTTGTCTGATCTTTCATTTGAGATGAGCAGAGTGAAGTTGTTTTGTAGCTCCGCCTGTTGCATTTGTTGCATGATCGAGACCAACCCTCCAAATAAGATGCTCTTAGTGAACATTGGTAACTTTTGGTTGGCGTTGTTTACTCTTTGAGATCTCATCATCTTCTTCAACGCACTCAAGAAGTTCATGCCTGGACGAATCCGATTTTGCTCTTTCAACTTGCGCATACCATGACCGCTTCCTTTCTGTAATTTCTTCTGTTTTTTCACAATCTTCTTGAAAGAACATCCCATGTCCTCAGCATTCCATAATGCTTCTTCGTCGCAAGGCAAGTTGAGAAGTTGAAGTTGGAAAAATGGGATTTGTGGGTTATGTCTAAACTTGATGTAATCGATTACATCCAAGTAAAAGGTCATAAAGGTAACCCTCTTCATAGACTCTGAGTCCACCCATTTGTGGAATAGAATTTGATCCTTATTACTGGTCTCCTCGATATCGCTTCCTCCTACGTCAGACTGCTCCTCCTCTCCTCCACTGTTACCAGTATCACTAGCTGAATTAACAGCTTTATCAGCAACAGTGGGATTACCTCCGAGGAAAGGTGATCTTCGCAACAATTGAACGGTAGTTCCATGATGGATATGTGCCCTTTCGTGCATTGCTCTCAGAAGATAATTTTTCTCACACCATTCTAGAAGGTTCAAACTTTGTAGGATCCACACTTTGACAGGCGACTTGAAATCTTTATGTTGAAATATCGTGAAGCGAAGAGGAACAGCCACCAACATACAGAATTTATACTCGGGACACATTTTGTGGTTTTCTGCATCTTCAATAGAATCAGCACAGTACATGCATCCAATTAAAAGCATGGAAAGTAATAGTAGCGGTTCGCAAGTTGAAGTATCAAAGGAAGGTTTGTGGAGTATTGAAAATCGCGTATGGAATGCTTCCCAGTAGCCGTAAATATAGAACGAAAGCATATCTTCCAACCGTACTTTCTGATTTTCAATATCGAAGATCTCATTCAACTGTTCTCTGGTGATTTGAGGAAGCGCTTGAAGAAGACTCTCTAGAATTTGAGAGTCCAAAAAGAATTGCTTGTTGGTTGGCCTATTTGCTCTTGTGTGTGCTTCCAACCTTTTCTTAATTGGCTCCAACTCAGACGACTGAAGAGTGAGATCCAATCCTTTGGGAGTGACGGAATCGTTAGTATTTGACGGAGAACTCGACGAAGCTGTAGACAGGTACATGTTTATACCCGTCCCGATGGGCTTGTCCCTTAAAATATGAAGGTTGGGATCCATTTGTGATCTGAAGAACACCTCGTCCAAGGGATTATCATTATTCAGGAAAAAATTGAGGTCCTGAAGTCCCACATTGAGCTCCGGAGGATTGTTGTAGAAAGGAGTTAGCAACCCTACTTCTGGCTCATAGAAGGATTTCTCATTGTCGAAAGTCTGTCCTGGTGCAGTGAATTGGTGATGGTTAAGGTTAGCAGCACGAGCATCCGAATCCAAAGTGAGAGAAGAGGCATGAGATGGTACTCCCGTTCTCGGTGCGCTTTTGGGCATATCCGGAGACTCCATGAAGAGCCACAGAAGTATGTCGTTCTGAGACTGTGGGAACCCGTAGTTTCGATTCATTTCGTTTGAATTTATAGCATACTTTGCATTCATCATTTGGGGTTCTTGCTTGAAACCAGGCGGAGAACTCATGTACACTTTGGAAGTATGTGGCATATTAGGAGAGACGGCGATGTTTCCCATTGGCTGCATGATTGGCGCAATACCGTGGTGACCTCCGTTGTTTCCATGATCACCTACATTATGATTGTTGGGCAAGTTTTGAGGAAGTCCTGAGGTGCTAACTTGGCCATCAGAATAGGCTTTAGATTGCGGAGTTCCATTCTGCATTCCCGAGTAAATGTACTGGCCAGGATAGTTGGATGTCATCGCTGGTATTAGAGGCTGGTATGGCGGAGAATAGTGGGAACCTTGGGTCTGGTTGGCCAGCATTGGAGACTGGATGGGAGCACGAAGCGGGGTCACATTTGATCCAACATTTGATCCCACGAGTGAGCCGACATGTGATCCCACATGTGATCCAGGGTGCGATGGTATAGAATTTGAATGGGTTATGTGGCCGGGCACTTGATTCCCAATCAGATGAGACATCTGGGTGGCAGATTGAATAGCTTGGTGATTCGAAATCACCGATACCTGAGGCACAGCAGGAATTGAAGCTTGATGCTGTTGAACACCTTGAACTGAAGGCTGACTACTTTCTTGTGGTGCCACTAACCTGGGAGAGCCTCTAAGCATATCACCAGAAATATTGGGAGCAAGCAATGCGCCCGAAGGACTATGGGTGGTGTGTCCAGAATTGACACTTCCTAGAGGCATCAGCGGCAGCACAGCACCCTTGACATCTGCGCCGACCAGCGACGAGTCGGTTGAAGGCAGTGGCTTCTCGTCGTCATCTTCTGGCCTGATGCTGTCTTGAAGCATCAAGTGACGCTTTAGGTGTCGCTCTCGCAAGTCCTTACGCACGAACGTCTTGCCACACTTGCGTCGCTCGCCATTGTGGTTCTTAATGATATGGTCACAAACATATACCTCCTTGGGCTGGTGGTTCAAGTAGTGACGTGCTAGATGGTCGGATCTGGTGAATACCTTGGAGCACTCCGAGCAAGGGAAGGTGCCAATATTTCTGCGTTTGCGGCGTTTGGAGGGCTCATCGTCGGTGTGTGAGACCTCAACCTTGGTCATCACAGCGTTTTGCGTGTGGTTTTGCCAGTGTTTGGTAGGTGCTTTGCTTTTGACAAACTAATGTGGAGAAGCTTATATGTCCTCCTGAGATGGCGCTATAGTGGTGATGTTGAGAGCCGAACAGAGTCGTAGACAAGAAGATGCTACAAAATGTTCACAGTCGGATGCAATTCTCGGAAATGTTGCAAGCCTTTCGAGTTTCCTTGTTCAGCAGTCTGATGATGATAATGATGATGTTTATGGGTTGAGAATGGATGACTGCGTATACGACCTCACAAGATGAACACCACAAGTGCGCAGTGCGTTGTTTCAGAGACTTGTGGTTTAATGGATGTAAGTTGCCATGGGAAGGAGAGAAAATGAATGAAGGTAGTTTTTATTTTTTCATTTCTTTTAAGATTACGTTTATGACTTGATAAAGAATTTCACATTTGGTGGATGTTGCACAGGTTACTTCTTTCGGTGATTGATGTGGTGGTTGGTATACCTTGTGTTCTTCTATTGTAATATGTTTGAAACGATGGACTGAATGAATGGAAGTAGATTGTCATGTTAATAGTATATATAGGTTTTCGTTTTTCTACAGTCACCCTTGAAAGCTGGTGCGTCTTCTACATGTCTTTCTGAGAAATTTGTTGGAGTTCATCACATTCTGTCTCTCAAACCCAGAACGGGTGGAGAATTACTTTAGTCGTACCAATACAATGTGTCTCAAAAGGAAGCAAGCCAATGATACAAGTAGCAAGAAAGTACCAGAATTCACTATATCACTTTTATGACGTTCCTGAATGAACTATTAACCTATATCACAGAGCATCACTCCACTATTTGTCCAACTTCGGAATAACCAGATCATTTCAGATCCTACAGTCGTCTTTATATCACCTGATTGATGTGAATTCATCATGTAAAGGTTATTTAACTTCCATGACCATTCAATACTTTTGTTTGGCCAAATCTTCCTATGTACGGGCCTATTGGTTGCTTCTCCGGGGCCTAAGCTACTCCACCATAAGTGGCTCGGCAAATCGGAGCGACTTCTTCAATTTTGTAATTGGCTTTTCTTCATCACACAACATGAGCTTCTCCACCGTGTCGCGGAGCAGCGAAAATTCATCCATTTTATCCAAGTCGTTGACAACTATTGTCGACTTCTTCCTTTGCCGAGCGCTCAACACGTCACGATAGGTCCAATAAAATTGGTGGATATTCATCTTCACCGCAAACTCACCATAAAAGTTGAGTGTTCTTTCCGTCGCGAGCGGATTCGAATAAAGGTGGCTCAGTACTCCGTCGTACTCGTCTATGAACACATCCACGTGAAACTGAAAAAGATTGGGAGGATCAAGCTTCCAAATATTCTTGAAACAGTCAAAATAGACAGGCTTATCGACCGTAGCACCACTTTCTTGGAGAGATGCGCTGCTGGTTCCTTCAAAGACCATATCCTCAAAGTATTCTAGGGCGATCTCTTCGTACTTGTCCATGAAGTCAAATGCTAGCGATTCCAATGCGTCTGCCAATTCTCCCGACGTCTGGCTTCGGTTGAATTCAGAACACAAGCCTTTGGTCGTGGAAGATTTGAATTCCTGGAGGAACACATTGGTGGCATAGTTTAGAGCCTCTTTGACTCGTACATCATCCATCAATTGATTGACATGGCCAAATTTCTTCTGCATGCACACAAGCATCACCTCTTGGAACTTTTCAACTAGCTTCTCCCTATTTGTCTGAGTTGTCTTGACCAAAATTGACGGCAGTTTCAGCATTTGACGTAGCTTCTCGCTTGTGAACTCCACACTTTCCATTTCAGGCTCGGTGTTGCCATGATTGGCCGCTTTCATGATATCATAGATCCAGTACCTCCACTGGTGCATTCTCTCCAGCGTCCTGCTCTGATTGACCGCAAACTTGACTCCCAGGGCCACCGACTCTCTGGACTGTTTCAATGAGAAGTCTGTGCATTCCGTAAAAGGGAATCTCTGGCCAAGTGGCTTTCTGGGTCTCGGAGGAAGCCGAGCAGGCTTTTGCGACTCGACCACGTAGGCATTAAAGCTCGGATACTTGTCTCTGGGGCTATCTGGGGCATTCTGATTGGTATTGTGCCGAATGTTCTGCTGGATATAGCTTAGAATAGTTTTTGTCTGGGACATTGTGAGAGACAGGAGATTATCTTGCGGGTAGATTTTTAGTTCATACCTAGATATACCAGTAGGTCATCAAATTTGAAGATGCAAGTCAGTTTGAGTGGAGTAGATGTGATGGAGGATCGAAAATTCGGATCGAGAGTCAAATTCAGATGGTCCTGTGTCCTGCAGGAAAAGCCGTTAACTGCCAGGTCCACTGAAGGGCGGAGAAAAAGAAACGGGGGATGAGAAGGTGAGATAGGCAACAAACAGAATTGCACAAGGTGATATGGCGATAATAGCTGCCGCGAGAAAAGTCTGTTAGAAATATGATGGCGTTGCCGGAATATTTTGTTGACGCCTGAAATGCGGGGCATTCTCCTAATGGGCCAGGTGAGCCATAGTGCGTGATCATGGCCGGTATAGGTACTTCTCCATATTTCCATCGGTTCTATTATTCCTTATTTCCATGTCTCCATCTTGTCATTTGTTCCATCTTATCATCGTTCTGCCATGATGATTTTTGGATCATATAATCTTCAAAGTGTCTTTATTAAATTGAACGATATCTTCTGACTGTTCTTTTTCCATTTCAAATTCACTCTATCTGGCAGTACCTGATTTTTGTCTTGACTATGATATTCGCTATTCTATCACTTCAATTTCTTTCCAATTGTTTCTCTTTTTGCCTCTGTACCATTCTTTACTGTCCTCATCGTTTTCTCCTCCCTCTACACTCTGCATTCTTTCTGTTCAGTTCCTTCTCTCGTCTTCACGTGGTCTGACAGGAAATATAGTTCGAAAAGGCATTGGCGTTTCTGCCCTCTGTCCAACAACAGGGAGTGGAAAACTCCGAGCCATCGTTATCATCGGATCCAGTGATTCCACATGCGTAGGTGTCAAGTGATGAGGGTAACTTGGGGTCGCCCATGCCTGATTCATTAGCGAATCTGTCAATGGAGTCACCGCAGGATTCCATGGTCGGCGGTACGGATTGAAAACATCGGTCAGTCGATCGGCTAGGTGTGTGACCGCATCCTCAGCACTGGGTGCAAACGTAAATGTGCAAATATCTCGAATGTTATCGGAGTTACCTGGCTGCACCGATTCCATCTCTTTCCGACAGAGTGGACACGATACATTGCCGTTGAGCCACTCAATAATACATGGTTTTCCAAATATATGGTGGCACTTAGGCATGCGGACAGCTACATGGTCCATGTTGGCGTCTGTTACTGGCAGTTTCTTACTATTGCCAGGTATCATCTGGTCTTCAGTAACTGTTTCTCCATTATAGAGGTTGACTTGCGGAAATCTAATGGGAACCAGACCTGTAGCTTCCACGGGCATAAAAATTGACGGATCCCGAAACTTAAGCGTCGAGCTGGCAGGCTCCAAGTCCACGCCGTAATCGATTAGATCATTGATCTGGTCATTGAGTTCTTTACACAGCAAGTCGTCTAAAATATCACTGCCCACCTTCAACTTCTTGTTCTGTATTGCTTGGTATGGCTCGAAACAGATGGGGCAAGCCTCGTCGGGAACGTCGCCAGCACTGACTTCCTGAAGTGATGCTATAGCGTCCTTCGATGCCACTTTCTGCTTTGGCCGCAACCCGGAGCCCATGAATGTGCGTTCCAAGATATTGGAGAGCCAAAGTGACATACCAGAATTTGGCACAGCGTCGTCCGTTGCAAGTGTGTTGTCTATGGTGTCGTTGTTCATGACTTCATGAGTTGTTAATGTGAATTCAGGCCTGCACTGAAAGTTGATAGAGTGACGTGAGAACTTGGTGATACCGGATGAACGAGTACAATGGCAGAGATTGGATTGGGTGAAGGGATATGATGGAGAATGGAATTTATAGATAGAATACGAAAAAATTATCCAGGAGATTTTTATACATTCATTATCCCGGTGGGTGAGCTATATGTTCCATAGTGTTGTCGGGATCTAGAACACAAATTCAGATCTGAACTTTGTTATCTTTTATCTAATTTAAGTTCCAAATAACTCATGGAATGATTACTGGACCAAGGAGAGCCAGAAAATCAAATTATCTGAGAACATGTCGAAATATTCGAGGAGCATTGACTTTCCATGAGCGTTTCTAATTCTATTGATTAGAAGTGCCACATTCACTTGATATATCTTGTACCAAGAATTAAATTTTTCTTTCAGAGCGTAGACCAAGAGCTTCTGGTGTCTCTAAAGTCACCAAAGTCTTTAATATCTTTTAAGTCTCTGACCTTTTTGAAAACCTTGAACTTTTCTCCGTTCACCCTTGGTTACTCATCTTACTTAACTTAAACTCACAAGTACTGCTGACGGATTCCTGCAACCATCTGCTGTCTATCTGGCGGTAACGCATTAATCTGATCTGGTGTCAACGATAAAACTTGCACAATCAACTCCGCCTGGTCAGGTGCAACATTGGACAACTTCATCTGAGTTGATAACGAGAGATGAGGCCACTTACTCTGCAGAGGCGGAGCTTGAGCTGGAGGGCTTTGTTGAAATCCTCTTCCTCTACCATACTGATCTCCATATCCCTGGCCATATTGTTGCTGTTGCTGCCCGTATTGTTGCTGATGTTGTCCATACTGTTGTTGTTGCTGTTGCTGCTGCTGCTGCTGCTGTGGCTGCTGGTAGCCCTGATTATAGTTCTGGAAGTTCTGGCCCTGAATGCTCTGATAACTCTGACCCTGCTGGAAGTTTTGACCTTGCTGTCCAAATCCTTGGTTATACTGCTGCTGTAGAGGCTGCTGCGTACCCATCTGTGGTTGTGGGGTACCTGTGTCTGCCTTCATGGCCTCCAGAATGACTTCTTCATTGACAAAGCCCATGAGCAAAAGAGCCTGTGCAGTGGCAGTGGCTAATCCTGGCGAGATTTGAAACACTTCGGCGGCTCGTGATGCATTCGATGTACTCAACATCAATTTGACATTGGCTATAAGTTGAATGAGTTCTGGTGGAGGAATAGCAGCCAAATTTTCGTTGATCTTGTCTGGCTTGGCAAACGGGAGCTCACCAACACGGGGCAACACGCTACCAGCTTGCATGTACTCGTCAGGGATGGTTGGTTGTCCATTGGGTGCCGAGGTTGGCTGAGGACTGTTGTATGTTCCATTGGCAGAGGTTGGTGGCTGTGGCGTCTGTCCGCCTGGTCCCTGTTGCAACTGTGGATAATTCCGTATCACTTCAGGTGGGAACTGGACGCCTGGAGGAAGTCGGGCCGCATTGAAGGGTATTACCGACTTGGAGTCGCTATTTCCAGTTCTAAAGCCTTCTTTGGAGAGCTCAATGCGGAACTTTTTGGTGATCCGAGTGCCTGGCTGGGTAATGTTAATCTGGCTTAGAAGTTCCATGGCCCTCTGGGCCTGTTGGGGCGATTCGTACTCTACAAAAGCGAAACCTTTGTTCTTTCCAACATGGTCAAAGCCCAATCGGATGTCAAGAACGTTTCCTGTTGCGCACACCACGGCTTTGAGATTACTTTCGTCCCATTCGAATGGAATCAGGCCGATGAATAGAATGGATGACGGCGGGTTGCTGGTGGTGCCTTCTCTTTTAATCATGGTGTGGTCGATGAATGTAGTGAGGAGGAAGTTAGTATGTGTGGGCGTGCGAAGCCAGAGATGGGTATGGAAAACTGATGGAATGGATGTGGTGATTTGAGGGATCATTATAGAGATTTGGAATTTAGAAGTTTTAGGTGCTTTCTGATAAGGACTTTCATGGATGGATAAGTCTTTTCTTGTTGTTGTTGTTTTCGATTTTTGTTATTTAAGCATTACTAAGGGTTGACTTTTGCAACAATGTTGCGAAAGCGTTAGGATTGAGAAGAATAAATTTATAGATGGCAAAAAGCCGATAAATTACACGTAAGTTCTATTTCATTTTATTCTCATATTTCCACAAGATGACATTGCAGTGGCTTGTAAGTATTCATGGGATAAACTAATAGCGATCAAAGGAGGCTATTGAAATTGAAACATGCGAGAGTGTTCCATCCATAATACTGTCATGAGGGGGTCAATGTATTATGCTTACTGCTGATAGCTCCTACAATCAATTATCTTTCTATGGTACTCATAGGCTCTAAGATATGCTTCCATATTATGTCATTTCAATTGCAAATTATTATGAAGCAACATCTTCAAAGTATCATCATCAGATACTTTACTAACTTATAGACATCCATACTTAATCTAACGTTCGCATCCATAATTATTGTTGTAGTAGAATACATACATACATAGAATTTCTAAAAGATCAATATTCTCATACTTTTATCCTATTATACTTTATACTATACTCAAGAATCTTGTTTCAACTTCTCCATTCGATAGATACATGCCAACAACATATCTCTACTATCCCAATCCTTTATTAATCTATTATACCATAAGAACCCTTACTGATCTCATACTTAATATCGTTGACGACCTTCTGCTTCCCACTATCAAGTTCTGCAATCTCCTCCTCGGTCAACGCATCAATCAGCCGCAACAATTGTACATGGTCAAATGTCACCACATCCAAGTCAGGCTGACGACGGTTGAGACACAACTGAACAAGGTCTTTGGTGGTCACATTGACCATCAAACTGGTCTCTACGAGTGCATGAGACAACTGTGGACACTGGTCTAGCAACTTCTTCATGAGTAGTGGGTTCTCCAAGCTCATGGTACGAGCCTCTTTCAACATGTTACCAGCGGTTTGCAGATCAAGCTGCGAGAGTATACTCGAAATGGCTTGCTGAGCATTCTGGTTCTGGTACAATTGCACTCCCAATGGCAATGGAGGCAATTTATTGTGGGCGGAAAAGTCAGGCATGGCATCAAAAGCATCACTGTCGCTGGCAAATGTGCACCGGAGGTATCTATTGCCCACATTCATGTTGTTGAGGTTACGGACAGCGGAGAGTGCTGTTTCTCGGTCCGAGTACCGAACAAATGCTGATCCCTTGGACCTTCCGGTGGTAGGGTCAAACATGAGTTTTAAGTCTGTCACTGGTCCCACTGATTTTGCGATATCTGCCACCTGCTCCTCGGTGTAATCGAACGGAATACTTCCGAGGTAGATAGTCAGCTCGGAGTTTTCCATCGTGACCGTGTTACTATGTGACTTTATTAGAAGCTTTATGGAGTTATCAGGCTCTCTAACTGTTGAGTGAGATTTGTACCATGAACTTGATAATTTCTACATGCAGTACAATGTAATGACATGAATGATTATAAATTCAAGGAAAAGCCCATTAATATTTAACATTTCTAAGCATCTAAAGACTTCTTTATTTTGATTTACACTCCTAAAACACCAAAATCCGAAGCCTTCGCCACTTAATCTTGACCTACATCTCACCTACACCTCACATATACTTCACCTAAATCTACTTAGCGCGAAAGAAAAAATCATCTACAAACACCATGGATGTCAAGGAAATCAAGTCCACCGTCTCCAATTTAGAGAAAAGCTCGGACGAGGCCACCATCTTGAAGCTTTTGAACATTCTTAACGATGGAGTTCAACCGTCTGAAAAACTCTTGAGAGAAACAAAGGTAGGAGTGGCAGTCAACAAATACCGGTCGAGCTCCAATTCGGAAATCAGCAATTTGGTGAAGAAGATGATCAAGAAATGGAAGGAGATTGTTCAAAGCGAGAAATCTGCCAAAAAGACAAAGGAGGCTGCGCCTCCAAGACCTGCTCCAGGGTCAACCACCAGCAAATTCCATGGAGGTCCTAGAAACCCTAAGACTGATGGTGTCAACACAACCCTTTACGACAACGCCACCAGAAATGCCTCCATCAGTGCATTATACACTGCTTTGGCCATCGAGCGTGATGATGACAGTAAGGCCATCTTGCGTGTGGCTACAGACATCGAGAGCGAAGTGTATAAGGCCGAATATTCTGCCGTCACTGATAGCTACAGAAACAAGTTGAGAACGTTCACCATGAACTTGAGAAATAAGAAGAACCCAGATTTGCGTGCACGGTTATTGGACGGCCAGATCTCTCCCTCCGCATTTATCAAGATGAGCCCCAACGATATGGCTCCGGATGCATTGAAGAAGGAGATTGAGAAGTTGAACAAGCAAAATCTTTTCGATGCACAGGGTGCCACAGAAAAGAGAGCAGTGACTGACCGATTCACTTGCGGCAAATGTAAGCACAAGAAGGTCAGTTACTACCAAATGCAAACTAGGTCTGCGGATGAACCGTTGACCACGTTTTGTACTTGTGAAAACTGTGGTAACAGATGGAAGTTTTCCTAGATGGGGTTGTAAATAGAGGTTAGATGTTTCTTTTCGAAGAGTCTATGTGTATTAATATCCAATGCGTTTTCAAACTTGTACCGTGCGCCCACAACCATCCAATACAACACGCTCCTTCCAATCTATGCTCTTTCCGAAAGCACACTCCTAACAAATTAGTACGACACGTTCTTGGTCAAGTAGGAGAGCAAGTCAACCTTGGTGACAATCTGGACAGGCTTCAACTCGGCATCAGTGATGATAGCGTTGGAATGTGTCTCGAAGAACTTGTTCAACAAGTGCAATGGAGTGTCTAAGGTGATGGCTTCGTAAGACTTCTTGGTGAAACCGGACTCCTTAGTGATAGAGAAAGACTTCTCAAAGTCGGCCAACTTTCTGAAATCCAAGAAGATACTTCTAATTGAGTTGGTCATCTGCACCTTGTTCGTGGACAACGACTTCAAGATTTTAGACAAGGTGATCAAACCGATCAACTTGCCAGACAGACTCAATACTGGCAATTGGTCGAAGCCGTTGCTTTGCAACAATTCAAAGGTCTTTCCAACGGTATCAGCCAAGGTCACAGTAACCACAGGAGGCTTACCTTCCACCAAGTCCTTAACAGTCTTTTTGTTAAAGAAATCGTCGGTCTTGGCAGCAACGGAGTTGTTGCTCTCGATCTCGAAACCGTTGGTGGTCATCCACTCGTCATCGGCAAACTTCGACAAGTATGATCTGATGGAGTCTGGGAAGACAACAACCACAGTATCGTCTTCAGTCAAATCCTTGGCAATCTCAGCAACAGCCTGCAAAGCGGAACCGGAAGAACCACCAACAAGAATACCTTCTTCTCTGATGATTCTTCTGGCCAACTTGAACGACTCGGAGTCGTCAGTCTTGATCCACTTATCAACAAACTTTCTGTTCAAAACTTCAGGAATGAAATCGTATCCGATACCCTCAACGAGGTAGCCCTCAGTAGAATCGTTCAAAGATTCTGGCTGAGCCAAAATAGAACCCTTAGGATCAGCACCAATCACTTGCACATCTGGGTTCTTCTCCTTCAAGTACTTGGAGATACCACTGATGGTACCTCCAGTACCAGCACCAGCTACAAGGTGAGTCACCTTACCTTTTGTCTGCTCCCAGATCTCGAAACCAGTACCGTAGTAGTGAGCACCTGGGTTTGCTTCGTTGGAGTATTGGTCCAAGATGACAGAGTTTGGAATCTCTTTCTCCAACTTCTTGGCAACACCAATATGAGACTCAGGGGAGTCCCAGGCAGCCTCAGTTGGGGTTCTAATGATCTCAGCACCCAAGGCCTTCAACACAGACACCTTCTCGTTTGACATCTTCTCTGGCAAAGTAATGATGGTTCTGTAGCCCTTCACAGCACCGACCAAGGCCAAACCAATACCAGTGTTACCAGAGGTGGGCTCAATAAGGGTGTAACCAGGCTTGATTCTGCCGGTCTTTTCTGCCTCCAAAACCATGTTTTTGGCAATTCTATCTTTAATAGAACCACCCAGGTTGAAAAGCTCAACCTTGGCGTAAACCTGGGCCTTGATGCCCAAGGACTGAGGAATTTTGTTCAACTTGATCAATGGAGTGTTTCCGATCAAGTCCAACGCATCTTGAGAAATAGGAGGAACCGACATGAGAAGAGATGATGTTGTGAAAAGGATTAGAGATGCACAATATGAACGGCATTGGGCTCAGTGCCATTTGTCCTACATGTAAGTATCACACCTGATGCCATTACCTAAAACAGCCGCAGAGAAAAAAACGCCACACTTTGGCTCAATGGTTACTATGCCAGCCAAGGTCAGGTGTTGCTCCTGTCAGATGATTCTAGATGCTGATAATCTTGCACTTGATCACGTCTGGATCTTCACCAGGAACTCCCTTTGTGAAATCAAATACCTGGAATAAACCTTTGCGGTCCACTGCGAAAACTTTACCTCCATCACTGGAATACTTAACACTTGTGGCCTCGCTGAACCGGAGTGCATCTGCCGACTCGCCAAGTAGCACTACTCTATTTCTGGTCTGGGGTTGACTCACCAACTTTAATTGCAAGTTGGGCGAAGACACCAAAAGAAGACGGCCCAGTTTGTCCACGAAAACGATACCATCACCTCGTGGAGAAACCTCAGTCTTGTAGATATTCAGTCCGATCTCAGGAACTTTCATGATCACCTCGGTATCTGAAATATTACAGTAATCATCGTCATCATCATCGTGGCCCGTGGTGGCACTAACATGCAGCTCCATGTCGTAAAAGAATTCGTCAGATGGCACTCGTGGAAGTACCTTGCGCGAGTCAATAGTTGGTCCATTGAGTTTCAACACTATAGCTGGTCTGTTCTTGAGTGATGATGAAGTGACCACCACGGTATTGGAGAATGGGAGGCCAAACTTCAAATCTGTGATACCCTCGTTGTCAAGCATCTGGTCGTCTGGATTCATCTGCGACTCCTCAATATCCTCTGTTTCGGGGCTTCCGTCATCTCGTTTCTTTCGACTGGTTCTATTGACCCGCATGTCTGACCAGATGAGCCGTGGCTTCTTGTAGTCTTGGGTGGCATCTCCACGTAGTCTGATAATGAAATAGCGCATCTCATACACAGTGCAACAGAGCAAGTGAGTGGACGAGGCGTTAAAACTCATGATCTTCAATGGATCTCTGAATGGCACCGTAATAGTGATGGGTGTAACTTCAACAACCTTGCCGAGCCCGTCGGTATCAATTTTGTGAACGATTATGAACGGTTGTTGTTTACCAGTGATTCTCTCGCGAGCCGTAATTCCACATGCGATGAGATTGTTGTTGGGAGAAATGGAGATGCACCTGATTGGGAAGTTGGTCAAGTAAGTATACACTGGGGCACCGATAGGACCCACGGCAGAATCGACATTCAATACACGAATCAACCCAGTAGTTCCAGAAATTACCAAATATTTCTCTGAGAGACAGCAGTAGAGCTGCACCCATGACTTGAGACGAGGAATTATATCTTCTACGTCTTTCAGTCTGTCATTACCAGTGAATTCGTTGCGAATCACAATGCCATCATCCACAGGAAGCTTCATTTCATTGGCCAGTACCCCATACTCACCGGTCAGCTTTCCAAACGCAACAAGAACCGGCTTGCCATTGGAATACTCATACAACTCCCACTTACGCTCGGAAACGAGAACAAATGTTGTCTTCTCGCTATTGGAGCCCCGATCATAGTGCGTCGAGATAGCAGAACACACGAACTTGGGGCTCTTCTTGACCAAGCCTCGTGAAAACAGCAATTTGTTCTGCTGGGTCTGAAATGCTGACACTTTCCGGTAGAAGGGAAAGCATCGACTGAAATTGTACTCTTCCTTTTCGCTCAAACCCATGAGCACCAGTAACAGGCGATGATCGTTGGGCCAAAGCAGTTCTTCATGCCCACTATGGTGGGTCATCAGCGTGCGCTGGCGTTCAATTGGCGGAATGAACCGGTCTTGTGGGGAAATAGACACCAACAGCGGTTCTGATGGCCTGACAAGCCTTCCTTCGACTGGCAGCAGCGAAATGTCCATCCTCTCAGACTTGTCTGGTTTGTCTACCCGTTCTACTGCCTCGATGGCGTCGTCTTTGGCGTATTTGCAGAATAATTCCATTAAGTCCATTGAATCGTTGAACGATTGTAGTTTCAGCTCGGAGTTGACACGAACACTCCGTTTCAGTGACAGTCTTCGACGTGGCCGTACACTAACCTCTGCCGAAAGCTGCTGAATCAACTTGTAAAGGTCCCGTAGTGGCGTGACTGGTTTTAGAATGACGGATTTCTGGGAACAGGTGGGACAAGTACCATCACCTACAGAATACTGGGCCTCCGAAACCAAACAGCCACACGACAACACAGAAGCATCTGGAACTACCGTGTATGCTGGAACAGCACCAGGGAGTCGGAGGAGATTCTCCAAACTGGCAATTTTGAGTGAGTCCATGAGGGGGAAGTGAGAATTAGATGAAATATTGATAGTGCGACCAGATAGTGCGACTGGAGTATAATGTGGAGATCCCCCAATACCAATAACTGGTGGCATATCGACAGAATGGAGACGATTCTATCAAAATAAAAAAATACTTATTTATGTGACTAAGTTACTGGAAATGTATTTATTAAAGATTGCCCTCGATAATGTTTCGATCGGCTAAACGAGTTGTGAAGTGCATCCTGGGTATGGTCGTCATACAGTGCATTTGGTCTTATCTTCAAACTCCACTCGATTTTCATACTCCAATCCATGTTCCACGGGATCATTATTGATTTAATGATTGAATTATTTGAAACAAACATATCTGAAGCATTTTTATTTCTTGTCGAGACTCGTTTTATTCTTAACTTTCAATATTCAGTCTCAATTCACGTCCAGTCTCAATTCACGTCTTGTCTCAATTCAAGCCCCAACCCACAGATCTTTAATGACTCTCCCCTTAGCAAAAGTAATAAAAACCTTTCTAGTCATCTTTAAGTTCGCTCATGTGGAGGCTACTACTTCCAGATGGTGCTGGAGTGCCCAGCCGGGCCAGGCTTACTAGCGAATAGTCCATTTCAGCCTCTTCCTTCGCCAAAGGGGCCCTTACCTCTACAGGCAGCTCCACGGCACGCGCAGCATCCTTTGCGACAATTGTGAAGTGTGGAATTTCATCAACTTCATCCTCTGTGTCTGACGTGCCGAAATCACGTTGGGCATCGTCCACACCATAATCAAAAAACGAATACAACGCCAGAAGCATCGTCGAGAGCTTGGCGCTTGTCTTGCTAAGCAACGTGGGCTTGACAGGCGCATGGAGCGCTGACAAGTCATGAAACTCGGGCTTCAAGATCAAGGCCAGCCTAGAACAGAGATCCAAGTCCCTTAAACGGCAAAGTTCTTGGGGTACACTGTATGTCACATTGGTTCCAGGAGCATAGAAAGCGATCCGCGAAGGCTCGGGAAATCCTGGCTTGGTGAACATGTCCAACAGCCCGGCTTCTGTGGACGTGAGGTCAATTTCTTGTTCGGCTTCCACCCATCTTTTGACATCCATCAAGGTACTGTCGGCAGAAAACTTGCCCTTCATGGTGGAACCATTCAAGAGTCGCACCGAAAGCACAAACGTTTCTGGGGAAGGAGCTTCTTTTGATTGCGGAACAGGTTTGGAAGCTTGTGAGAGCTGCGGGTCCAGTGATTGGGGGAATGTGACATTTAAAGAGCTAGAAGCGGCTTCGGTATCACGGTCATCCACGGCGGTATGCGTGAGATGCAAAGCACGGACAATTTTATCTTCTGAGCGGTTGGGCGCAAACGCACTCTTGTGATTCTCGACCGAGTTCGGACGTTTAGAGATAACGATTCGATGAGATGGGTCTGCGGTGCCAGCCGCGTATTCATCGATGAGGTGCACAAAGTCGGAGTAATCCAGGTCTTCTGTCACTACGCCCTGTGTTTTGCCGCCTACCAACACCGTGAATGCTGGCGCCGTGGCATCTGCGTAAATATGCTGGAAATGGCGGAATCCTTCCAGATTGTGGGCTATTTTCAAGCATACAAAGCCAGCGGCTAGGCGGGTCACGGTGGGAACGTCTGGAGACCCCTGCGGCGTCAAAAAAGTCTCAACAAGTTTATCTTCGGCGGTTGTGGTGTAGACAAAAAGTGGCTTCTCTGCTGATAAGCTGTGGGCAACTGCGGAGGAGATATCCAGATCAAAGAGCTGGGTGATAACGTCGCTCATGGTTAAGGGGAATAAATCTATCTTGTAATCAACCAAATTATTAATAGGAGGAAGGAGAATGGTTGAAGAAAGTTTAGTAAGAAGTTTAACAAAGAAAAGGAAGAATAACACAAGTAAGATAGTGCATAGTAGGGGAATAGTATGACTCTCGGAACGAGTGGGTAAGATACAGATAATACTTTGCTTATCACGTGACATAGAGGGGGGTAAGAATGAAGCTTCGTAATTGAATTGGTTTCCAAGGAGGAGATGGGAGGGGCAAATATCAAAAAGTCGGGGGACTACAGGAAGTTGGGCTGGAAAAGAAAATTTTGGAGAAGAAGAATGTGAAAGTTTTATAAAAGAAAGGCTGACTTGATTGAAGATATAGTGTTGTGTGCGGGGACCTGTCAAATGCGAGAAACTACATAGATATAGATGAAGAATTTAAGGTTGGTCAGTGAACTTGGAGTGGGTGGAAAAATGACATATTTGGCGATTCATCCAATGAGACACTATACAGTAAGCGTGTGTTATGAATGTGGGAAATGTGGGGTGGTAAGGAAAATTTAGAATGAAACTAGGCGAATCAGAGAGTGAAGATGAGGGATGGAAACAGTGATGAAGAAAGAAAAGTTGATGGTGCTGAGATTCGATGGCGGACACAATTTGAAGTTTTATTGACTATTGTGACGAATCCCAATGAGCCAACTTTTTAGTCCCTGAATTCATCCCCACATTTATACACGAGCAATCCGCTACTTAGTCCTGTATTCCAGTACATCTCACCTGGCTAGACATTGTAGGGCAGTGTCGACCTGAAGTAGACAGAGAGTGCTACAAACAATAAACTCGATTGTGTTTTGTAGAAAAGTCTAAGAATATGTAAAGGTTCAATCTAATTTTTTATTGTGCCATACATGGTTTGGAATTTTGTTGCTTTTTTACTACCTAGACGGAATCAGCGTTCACACTAGTTAGTATTTATGAGTGTCCATTTGTTTCTACCAATATCTATCAAAATCAACCAATATTTATCAGTTTAAATATCTGCCAGAATCTACAAAATTCTACCAGGATATCCCAATTCTATTTGAAATTTACAGTATCCACACAATATGTAAAGTTCCTCAAGGTATTTTTTGTTTCAGAAGAAATTAAGTCTCATCTAAGCCGAGTAAACCATACAAGTTAATATACGTCAGACTAGCTCTCGAGTGGAGATTCTATTCAATGTCAATAGCTTCACATTAGCACCATAAGGAGAATACCTTCATCAAGGCACTCTCAAACACTTCTTCATCAATATAAATTATCCACTTATTCTCTATGTCTCTCTCATCTCACTACACAGGTTCTTTGTTTACACTAACCAACCACTATCAACATCTTTTCATCTTGTACATCAACATCCACCTCTAAATCGTCATGGACGTCTCCAACGTTAATGTGCTAGTCAGAGTCAGGCCCCTGCTCCCCAGAGAGGAGCCCTACTCGTTGGTTCAAATGCCACCCTCAGAACATGGAGTTACCTACTTGGAACTGAAACCTTTTCCGTCGCCTTCATCGCCAACGTCTAGTGGGTCCACTCAGAAAAAATACATTTTCGACGAGTCAATATGGTCTTTTGATGCTGCTGATCCCCACTATACTAACAATTTGGCATTCTACAGAAAATCTGGCCCACTACTTGTGGATCACTACTTCCAAGGTTACAACGTGTGTTTGCTAGCCTACGGTCAGACGGGATCAGGCAAGACTTACACCATGATGGGCACTGAAAACGAACCCGGAATTATCCCGCTCATGGTGCGTGACATCATGCGCCACAAGGAGCATTTAGTGAGTCAAAAGATCAACTGTGATCTCAGTTTCTCATACGTGGAAATCTACAATGAGAAGGTCAAGGACTTGCTTGATAATTCACGTCAATGCCGTGTCAGGGAGCATCCACTCACAGGTCCTTATGTGGAGAATCTGACGGTGGTGACTTTGAGCACATACGAGGAATTCTGTGAGGTTCTTACAAAAGGAAACTCCAACAGAATGACAGCTTCGACCAAGATGAACGAGGCAAGTTCTCGATCACACGCAGTGATCACATTCACATTGAAACAGACTCGCTTTTCGGATGATGAGGTCTCGGACCTCGATGTGGGCGAGCCAATAGAGGAAATGATTTCCAGCATCAAGTTGGTGGACTTGGCTGGATCGGAACGCTTGGCAAAGACCCAGGTATATGGTCAAGCTGACCGTATGAAGGAGGGCAGTCAAATCAACAAGTCATTGACTGTATTGGGACGGTGCATCAACATATTGGCCCTGGGTGCAAAACTGGTAGTTCCATACCGTGACTCGACCTTGACATACTTGCTTCGAGAGAATTTGGCCGGTAACTCCAAAACGGCGATGGTGTTCTGTATTTCACCCTGTGACTACGATGAAACCCATCAAACACTTAACTACGCCAACCAGGTCAAAAAAATCAAGACTGCTGCCAGGGCCAACTCATCCACAATGCTCAGTGCGCCCATTGACTGGGAGAAGCTCAAGGATATGGACAAGTCAGTCATTGACACACTTCGAGAGCAAGTGGACGCGCTTACAAGCGAACTTGACTCCCTCAAGTCCACGTCTTCTACGAGTGTCAGTGCTTTGATGAAGTACTTGGAGAGAGAGAGCTCCAAACAGCAATTTGAAATCAAATACTTGAAAAACATCATTCTGAGCCAGAACACCCAGATGAAGGAGCTCCAATCTCAGAACACCTTCTTGCATAAAGAGCTTTCGCTGAGTGTTCGTCAAAGTGTTCTAGGCGAGAGATTGAACATGATGAATGCTGTAATGGAGCTTAAAATGACTTGCCACGAACATAAACTCGACATTGAAAGGAGGTTACTAGATTTCGATCCTGCACGAGTATTCTAAACTCTTTTTCGATACGATTAAACTTTATTGGACCTGAAAACTATGATATTTAATGCATTTTTACTTTAGTTCAAGATTACTACACCCGTACACCAACCGTTAAAGTCTTGACCCAATTCCCCTCTGACTTCATCGAATCTTCACCATGACAGAATTTCTCAATTATAAGGTTGTTCTAGACTTGAAGGACGGATCTCTGGCACAGGGAGTCATCACTCATGTTGATGGATCGTCGATTATTCTTGGAAATCGTCAATACAGCAATTCGCTGGTGAAAGACTTGAAGGTGGTGCAATTACCTTCAGATCAGAAACAGAACAAGAAAAAGCAGGAAATCCAATTGGATGATGTATCTGGCTCCAAAGCGGGAAGTAGAAGTGGTACTCCCAAAATTAACAAACAGGCTGTCCAGTCGGGATGGACTGGAGGCAGTGAAATCGAAGACATCAAAACTTCCGACGACTTTGACTTTGCTGCCAACTTGGCCATGTTCGACAAAAAGTCTGTGTTTGCAGATTTCCAGAGAAATGATACGGTGAGCTCCCAGGACAGGCTTGTCGGTCACAACAAGGCACCCGTCAAACAGAAACCACTGGAGAAGAAAGATAAGTACGAGAACGACGAGATGGTTATCCCCAAAAACAAGCAGGACAACTGGAACAACATCGGACCTGTGTCAAACAGACTAGCTCTGCCAGTGACATCGGGCGGTTCGGGCAGCCATTCGGCGTTGGGTAAGGCTTCAAGAGAGATCCAACTGTACAAGTTTATCTTCGAGAGCACTGGTAGTGCTGTTCCAATGGCCACACCCGTGCAGCTCTTTGAAATCGAGAGAGAAGTACAGTTGTCTTGTGGAATTGACCCCAAAGTGGGTGTGGAAGTGTGTGCGTCGAATTTGTTCCGGTTGGTGGTGGATAATTTGCTTGGAGGATCTGTGCGTCTCAGCAACAGGAAAAACCACAACTTACCTCCATTGGTGTTGCTTTTAATAGGAAGTCAACGCAGTAGTAGCCGCGCATTTGCCCTTGGAAGACACTTAACGAACCATGGTGTTCGAGTTTTGGCGTATGTTGGCAACGAAATGGAGTCTGAGTTGCTTACACAGTGCCAATTATTCGAGCAGTGTGGGGGTAAGGTGGTGAGTTCTGCGTTCGAAGACCTTTTGGATATCTTGCAGAATCAGCTTGAGACACCCGTAGAGGTCATAATTGATTCTTTGCAGGGATTTGATGGCCTGTTGGCTGATATGTGCGAATCCACAAGTGACATGGCTTCTCTTAAACAGCTCATTAACTGGGTCAACGAGCCCAAACAGAAGTCCAAGGTTCTTTCCTTTGATATTCCTTCAGGTATCGACGGTGGCTCTGGAACTGTTCAGGACGCACAACTCCAAGTTCACCCCAAGTACGTTGTGTCTTTGGGGCTTCCAATCACTGGATTGGTTCACGCATACAACAACGGCACTATCCATGGAGACGACGTGCAACATTTTGTGGTGGACTGTGGCATTCCCAACACTCTCTACCAGCTGCGGCCACACTTGCGCAAGTTCGACAAGTTTTGGTTCTGTGCTGAGCAGTACCTTAGGCTTAAGCTGGTGAGCGTGGCCGAGTAAAAAGAATAGAACATGTAGAATACTAAAGTAATAAAACAACGAAAAGGAAATACATTTGAAATTCAGTAGAAATAAAAGCAATCTCTTTTTTTTTTCTTGTTCCCATTTATTTTTCTTACATTCTCTCTATACATTTCTTCCTCTTCACTAGTCTACTACTCTTCAACTAATGTACTGCACACTCTCCAAGGCCATTTTTTTCCTATTGTTGACGAATATAGATCACATCCATCACCATGAGCACAGGCTGGGGAACCTCGTCTGGCTTTGGTGGGCAGCTGGCAATTTCAGGTACTGCTCAACAGCCTGCCACAGCCGGTTTTGGCGCATCCTCCAATAATGCATTCGGCCAGAAACCTCTGCTTTCAGCAAACACTACTCAGAATACATCTGGAGGATTATTTGGAAATTCGGCCTCGGGAGGCGGCATGTTTGGCCAAAACCCACAGAACCTGGCCCTGGGTGGACTATTTGGCAGCTCAAATGCCAATTTGACTTCCAATTCCACCACAAATCAACCTTCAAATGGTGGCTTGTTTGGAAACTCCAACATAACCGCCAATTCGGCCAATACAGGTTTGTTTGGAAGTTCATCAAATAAACCAGCAACAGGCCTTACCGGAGGCTTGTTTGGAAATTCCTCTACGGGTGGAAATAATGCTACAGGTAACTCAACAACAGGTACATTTGGCACGGGTAACAGCAACCCTGCGGCTCCTTCTGGCGGCTTGTTCGGTAACAGCACAAATACAACCGGCGGAGGCTTGTTCACCAATTCTGGTGCCGCCAACACTACTTCAAACGCTTCTGGAGGCTTGTTTGGAGCCAAACCAGCAACTGGAGGCTTATTTGGCAGTACGTCTGCTCCTCCTGCTACTGGAGGCTTATTTGGCGGGAGCTCTACAAATACCGCTCCACAGGCAAATTCTGGAGGTTTATTCTCGAAACCGCCCTCCTCAACGGGTGGATTATTTGGCAATTCCTCTACTCTCAATAAGCCAGCAGGTGGATTATTTGGAGCTTCCTCCAGCAATTCTGGAGGACTTTTCGGAAATTCTTCCAGCAGCACCCAGCAAACGAATGGCCTTTTCGGCCAAGCAAACACTGGACTTGGTGGCGGAATTGCTGCCACTACTACCAACAACTCTAATCCATATTTATCGAGTCTGATTCTTTCCACTATCAACAGAACCGACGCAGCGATGCCACTGTCAATTACTGGTACGCTTTTCGGCCGAACCGCACCTTCCAGCTCAAAGGACTCAGAGGCTCCAAAGTCGAAGGAAAAATCGTCTTTACTCAGTAAATTGGCTCAGACATTCAACATTTTCAGAACAAAAGTCGACTCTGAATCAACGGACTCGAGTTTTTCTAGACTCAAGGGCATTTTCACCCAACTGAATTTCGTCAAGAATGACCAAGTTATAAATAAAGCAAAGTACAGCGTCACAAAGCCTCGCAATACCTCAAGTGCATTTGTTCTTCTGCTGGAGAACCGCGGAGCAGATGTTAAAAGATTGGTCATCAAATCTAAGCCCCTCAAATTCCACTTGATCAATGCGGACAAAGTGTTCAATGCTAAGAGGAAGAGAGTATTGGCGCTGGCTCTTCAAACCACGTCTCAGTTTAATAATCTTACAGATGACGATGAAAGTGAAAGCGAACAAGCTCTTCTCGCAGAAAGAAAGGAGAGACAAGTTGCTGAAGAGGTACCTATCAAAGTTGCTCCTACCGAAACTAAGATTAGTGAAGAGACCGAGCATGAAGAAAACATTGAAGGTTACTGGTGCTCTCCTTCAATCAAAGAGCTTAGGAAACTTAGGAGTGTGGATCTTGCCAATGTTGACAATTTCATTGTGGGCAAATATAATGTGGGTCAGATCGCTTACAATTATCCTGTTGACTTGTCTGCCTTATTTTCTCGTTGTGACGAAGAAGGACTCTCAGTAGCAGAGGAGTTGTTTGGCAAGATCATCAAAATGAGAGAATGTGTTGTTCAAGTTTACGACATCGACGAGGGTTCAAACTTTTCAAAGCCTCCTATTGGTTTTGAGCTAAATGTACCCGCCACTATTACAATCAAAACACCTCCAAAGAAAAAGATTTCCAAACAAGATCACATTAAACGGTTGCAGAATATGACCGGAATGGAGTTCGTCACATTTGATCCTTTAACGGACAACTGGACTTTCAAGGTGAAACACTTTAGTGTTTGGGGTCTAATAGATGACAGCGAGGACGAAGAAGAAGACGCTGAAATGAAGAGATTGCGTGAATTGAAAAAGAAACAAGACTTGCAAGAAAGCGAGGCTTCCGTCATTTACTCCAAAATTTATGAGAATGAAGAGTACACCCAACTGCTAAAACGTCAGAAGATCGGGAGATCCTTGAAAGGTGTTCCAGGAGGCTGGGATTATGATGCAACAATTCAATCTGGAGGAGCTTTGGTTCAGAAGCAAAAGTTGGTACAGGATGAAATCAACAGGCTGTTGAACATCTACAAGGAAGATAAATCTGTTGACGCCCTTGCAGCTAATGCAAGCGATATCACCTTGGAATCTGACCCTGAAGATGTGAGATCTCCTGCAAGTGTAGGTGTGGAGAGCCCAATCTATTCTGATGAGGTTGAGAATTACGACTACCTCAAACAAATTGTTAGTGTCTTGCCACCTAATACTGACTTGAACGATCTTATTGACGAGAAGGCATATGAGCCAGATGTGGAAGACGAAGCTATTTTTGATAATTTCAATCGCCAATCAACCCTTGCAACTTCCAAGGATTGGCTCCTTCAATTGGAGCTAGCTAATGATATCGACTCTGCATTGACTCCTTACTTGGCTATCCCCCGTAATCAGAAACTGTCCTTGAAAGCTGTCAATGACATATTATTTTCGGACTTTGACAGGAGTTCGGTTGATTCCGATCAAATTTCAACTCCTATCAAGGAAGTTCCACTGGGAGCAAAGTTGATTGCAGCACCACCAAGCTTCGAGCCCACAACAGTTTCAAGACTAATCCAGAGCTTACTTCTCAAGGCAGATGTCCAAGTGAGATCAAACAAGTTTCCTCGTCTTCAGCTTAACCAATCCTTAAGCTTCAGAGATATCATATCTTTTATTGGAGAAACCGATTCAGATTCCGAAGCATTGGCACTTGCATCAATCTTGTTTGACAAGATTGATATCTCAACAATCGAGAAGTATTCTAAGGTTGTAACTTCACACGCAGGTAATTCTAGTTTGATTCAACGCCTTGAACTACTCGAGCAAAGAAAGCAGCTAGAGCAATGGTTGAAGAAAAACAATCTTGATGATATGGAGTCTGATGGGGATTCATTGGCTTTGATTGAAAACTTCATTATCCATGGCGAAATAAAGCCAGCCATTCAGCTAGCACTCTCATCTAAGAACACTCATTTGGCAGTACTTTTAAACCTTATTGACTCCAATGACGCCACTGTTAAAACTCTTGCTAAGAGCCAGTTAGATGATTGGCGAATCAATAACGCAATGGAATTTGTTCCATCTCAATTGGTGAGCATCTACCAAATCTTGGCTGGTCAATTTGATATTGCTAACGGGTCCTTTATCACCATTGTTGGTTTGCACATTTTCTACGGTAACCCTGCAGAGTCTCTTGAAAGTGTTTTCAAGAGTATCGATGGGGAAGGCAACGATAATTTTGCAGATATTTTGAAGATCTATACAACTTTGAAGCTCGAAGGATTGTCTGCATCTATCGGTTGCATTAAGAACTCTCATTTGAGTGAAAAGGTCAAATGGGAACTTCTTAGTGTTTTGAATGCATCTTACGGCCAGAACATTCTGCTTACTATTGGAGATGACGTCAAGGAATCTTTTGGATCCTTGCTTGCCACTAATGGTTTGTGGAAGGAGGCCATATTTGTATTCTCTACGCTTTCTGATGATGACAAGGTCAGGATGCTAATTAGGAAAACAGTCATCGCCAATATCGAGCATATCAAAGGGCAGACAAATGACGAAGAGGAGTATGTTGTCAAAGTGCTTGGGGTTCCAAGAAGTTTGGTATATGAAGCTGTTGCAATCGAGAGGGCCAACCAGAAGGATTACTGGAAACAGGGTGTGGCTTTGGTGGAGGCAGAACTATGGAGTGACGCACATGAGTGTGTCTGCAAGCATCTCGGACCTGCTGCTGTGATTGACAACGACTATGAACTGAAGAAAGAGTTGAGAACGGTAATTGCCAGCTTTCCGCAACATGGATCGATCATTCCCAAATGGAAGCAAGGCGCTGGGCTTTACTCGGGCTACTTCGACGTTTTAGACTCTTTCTCCCAGCAAGCTTGCATCAACTCAGAAGACTTATCTACCCTTCTTAACAACTTGGCACTAATGAGCGATTACGATTCATTCGATGTCAAAGTTGCTATCAAATTGATGTCTAAAAAAATTGCTGACATTGCACTTGAAACGAAAGAGAAGCTTCCGGATCTCCGAAAGAAAATTTCAGCTTTGCAATTGGGTGACAATGAAAGACGCTATCTCGACAGTCGACTTGTCGCAGTGGGTCTCTAGAGTGGTTGGGAAATGCGGCTTAACCCAGATGATCACACATCCGTACACCGCCAATCTTGATGAGAATAGAGATTACTAAGATTATTACAAGCATTATCTTTGTACGCTTTCTTTGGTATACTTACATTATTTACATACGAGCTATACAATTTGCATATATTTAGCTAAGAAATAAGTACATTATCTATATATGGCACCGTCAGTGACGTCACTCAAGGCTCCAGAGCCAGAACACTGTCCTGGACCAGAATCAGAAACTGCTGGTCAAGGTGATGCCTGTCAAGGATGTCCCAACCAGTCGATTTGCGAGTCTCTACCTAAGGGCCCCGACCCTGATATGGCTCTCATCACTAAAAGGCTAGAGAATATTCAACATAAGATCTTGGTTTTGTCAGGTAAAGGAGGAGTGGGTAAATCTACATTCACATCGATGCTTGCATGGGCGTTAGCAGCCGACGAGGAATTGGAGATTGGCGCTATGGATCTTGATATTTGTGGACCCTCTTTGCCCCGGATGTTAGGCGCTGAAGGTGAGAGTATTCACCAGTCCAACTCGGGATGGTCTCCTGTGTATGTTGCTGATAATCTTGGGTTGATGTCGATTTCATTCATGTTACCCGATCCAGATGCCGCCATCATCTGGCGTGGAGCAAAAAAGAATGGCTTGATTAAACAGTTTTTGAAGGATGTCAACTGGGGTGAGCATTTAGACTATCTTATAGTAGATACACCTCCCGGGACATCGGACGAGCACTTGTCAGTGACAACATACATGAAAGATGCAGGGATTGATGGCGCCCTCATTGTGACGACACCACAAGAAGTGGCGTTGTTAGATGTCAGAAAAGAGATCGATTTCTGCCGCAAAGCAAATATCAAGGTACTCGGACTCGTGGAGAACATGTCTGGATTCGTGTGCCCAAACTGTAAAGGAGAGTCCAAAATCTTCAAGCCTACCACAGGTGGTGGAGAGCAGCTATGCAAGGATATGAATATTCCATTTTTGGGATCTGTGCCTCTAGATCCTAGAATCGGCAAATCCTGTGACAATGGCGAGTGTTTTTTCGATGAGTATGCGGACTCTCCAGCATCGACTGCTATTTTGGACGTTGTGGATGCATTGAAGGACCTGGTTGAGGTTCTGTTGTCGAAGTTGAGCATTGCATAAGTACACTATAATAAATCATAAGAGTTGTCTAGTGAGTAGTTGTCCCACTTAGTAATATATGATTGTAACCGTGGACAATAAATATATAATTAAATACTCGAGACGGCGTTTCGAAGATATTATTCAAATAGCATAAATAGAGAACATTACTCCATTGCCGATAAGCCTGCACCGATCTCAGTTAACTTACCCTTAACTACTATTCTATGGCTAGCATTATCAGTCAGGTACCGGGATTCAAAGAGTCACGACTCCGGTCACTCTATTCGGACTTCAGTCACTTGAAAGAGGTTAATCCGGAGGGTTATGATGCCAACATTTCTGCTTGGTGTGACGTGCTCGATCTCTGTCTCAAGGATCATTACTTCCAGTCTACAATCACCTTACCAGGAACCGAATTGGCTTCGAAATTGGCAGATCCTACCTATGGCCATCCAAAGGGATTGGCATCGGTTCTAGACGCAGAGATTCAGAATGGAAAATATGTACCATGGTCCATCTACAAGTTCTCATCTCCGGAACCGGCCTGGAACCTTAAGGACTACTTTTCGCCCATGAGATGGGTGGAACAGAAATTAAGAACGTACCGAATCGGGAAATTCTCCCTGCTGGACGGCAAAGGTGGTGTGTGCAATGACTACTTCATTAATTGGCACATATTGGCATCGACGGGAGATAGACTCGGAGAGAAAATCACCGCTGAGGTGCAGAGCAAAGGAACGTACTCGGCGAAATTGCTAGATAGCGATCTTTTTATGGAGTTGGTCAAAAAGTTGGACCCGAACTTGTCTGATTTGGATATCCAGGTACTTCTTATCTATTTGAGTAGAGATTGCGGGAAGTTGACGGTAGTTAGTGACTACGAGAATGCTCGTAGAGCATTTGTGAAGGTGGACAATTCTCCAATTACCGAGGAAGATTTTGGAATCATCAAGATCAAAGCAAACATCAGAAGCATCCAGGCCAGAACAGATATCTTGGCCGAGAGACTCGACAAAGAAATCCCAGAGAAGATCCGGACGTTACTCCAACGAGGAAAGAATGACGAGCGCTTGAGAAATGTGTTGGTGCAGAAGACATATGTAACCAAATTCTTGAACAAATCTTTGGGCATCTTATCCCAGTTGAACATGATTTTGGATAAGATCAACGATGCGCAGACAAACGTATCGGTCTATGACTCTTTGCGGACGGCCAAGGGAGTGCTTGCGTTTTTCAACAACCAAATCTCCTTTGCCGATCTCGATAAGATTCAGCTGGAGTTGGATGAGGAAATTGCGATTTCGAATGAGCTTACAGATGCTTTGGTGGTGACTCCTGATATGGATGAGAGGGCCATCGACGATGAGATGGAGGAATTAGAGAGAGAGTATATTGAGAGGAATGGGGCTAAGGACACCGCTAAGAACAAGATCAGTGAGGGGGCTAAGCATCAAACAAAAGATGAGGTGAAGGAGAATGTCAAGAATGAAGTTAATGACAACATCGAGGCTGTTAAGGAGAATAATAATGGATCTGAGGTGGAGGTGAAGAAAGAAATCAAGAAAGATCCTGAGGCGGTGAACCTCGAGTCTGAAGATCCAAATGTGGTCATGGTAGATGTTCCACGGAAAATAAATCAATCTTTGGCGCCAGAGGATGCAGAAAGCAAGGCACTAATTGACAAGTTACTGGAGTTGAAGTTGACAAACCTAGAACCATCGGAAGAGAAGGAATCCAAGAATACCGAAAGGTTGTTGGCTACAGATTAGGTTTAGGATTCTAGCATTATTATACGAAATTATGTATTACTTTGTAAATAAACAGGACTCCATCCGAACAGAGACAATTAACAATCGGAAGGACAATTTTTTAACCCAAAATTTGCAATATTTGCTGTGTCAAGTTAAACAACTCAATCTTTGGATCATCGAAGTCATTCAGCTCATTGTTATTAGTCACGGCACCTCCTTGCTGCTGGGATTCACTCAAGCTCTTTATACCAGATAAAATAGACTCGTTCTCTTTGATCAACGATTGGATCTCGCTGTTGTTAGACTCCAACAATTGCAAGATGGTCCACAATGCAATATGCTCAAAGGTGGCGCTTCCACTACGTAAGAATCTGATCAAGAAGCCATAAATACCTTCGTTCGGTTGCGTCCAATTGTCAAGAATATAATCCTCATGCTCGTTAGAGACACGTGAACACAAATTAGCCAAGGCAGCAGCAGAGTTACCACAAACCTCACCATTATCGCTGAAAGTCAATGGAATCAACACATCAATGATATGGCTTTCGTACAATTTTGGTTTCAAGTCATCGGCCAAGGCCAAGATGGCGAAGCAAGCGGAGATTTCCAGCTGCACAGACAATGGTACCTTCAATACCAACTCCTTGCATTTTTCGACGGCTCCTGCGTTCAATAATGCTAGCCTGTTACGTTCACTTGATGCGGCGAGATTTCTCAACGTGGAAATGGCATGGCATTGAATTTCCTCCAGCTCATTGTAGTCCAACAAAGTCACCAATGGTTTCAAGAAGCCGGCCTCAATTATTAATGCTTCATTCAACGGATGGATAGAGATGTTCCTGATACAGGCCACGGCAGCTAAAACAAGAGGCTGGTGGTTGCAAGTCAAGAGTTGGACCAAGTGGGGTAGACCGCCAGCTCTGACGATATCAACCTGGTAGCCGGAGTCGGAAGCCAAGTTTCTCAAGGCAAGTGTGGCCTGGCACTGGACTCTGGGCGATGGTGAGTCCATCAAGCCGACCAATTGGCTGACCAACTTAGGTTCTGTTGCAGCTAACTTCTTTCTGTTCTGTTCGTCCACGGCGATATTTGACAAAGCGGTGGTACAGTAGTACTGAACGTCGGCATCTTCGCTGGACAATAACGACACCAAAACGGGCACGGCACCGGCATTGACCAACTCCTGTCTGTTTTCGAACGAATGAGTCATGTTTAACAAGGCACCTGTTGCATTTCTCTGCACACGGATATCCTTGGACTTTGCCAATTTTGTCAAAGGAATCAATGCACCACTCTTTGCGATTTTCGTCTTGTTCTCGTCCTGGGTAGCCAAGTTGGTGATACAGCCGACGGCGTTGCATTGCACCTCGATATTCGGAGACATCATCTGGCGAATGAGGGGCTCAATTCCGCCCATCTCGGCAATCAACACTTTGTTCTCATTGTTGACGGCCAAATTGCCTAATGCTCCACATGCTGCTCTTTGCACCTCGGTGTCATTAGACTGTAAAAGAATCAAAATAGGCTCCAAGACGTCGCGGTTAACCTCACGAACGTCCTTTTCAGTAATTTCTGCAAAAGCCAATGCCGCACTACGTTGCAAGTCGATGTTTTCTGAATAAACGAGCGTCAGCAATGACCTCAATGGACCGTTGCTAAAAAAGTCAACGTCTGAGCGATTCTCCAAGTATTGCAAGAGCGCCGAGATGGCCTCGCGCTCATTCTCCGCCAAGAGAAGCGGCGGATACTTCCCGTCGCTGCTGGATGACGATAAGCAGCTACAGCAGGCTCCCATGGTGGAGGAGTCGAAGATGAGATAGGTGACCGGGGAGTTACGGCAACCAGCGGGGGTGGTAGTGGGATGGTAAGAGCGGGCAGTTCCGGGATTGGAAATGTATACTCGAAAGTGAATGTGGAGTTCAGTGATTGCGCAGGGATGAATAACCTGAGCCAAGTAGAGTCAATCGATGTAGGGAGTTACACGGTTGAAGATAAGTGAGTGACGTTTTTTGTGCTGGTCGTGTGGAGAACAAAAATGCGGACGCGATCTTGCTGGTCGAGAATGGCCTAGTTGGAAGACAAATTAATATGGCAGTGAACTAGATATGAATAGTAGATGAATAGTTGAATTTTGTGATTCTATCATTTAATAAAACTTCCTTGCTCAATATTGAGGAATAATTTTCTGACCTCTTTTACTTTTTTTTCTTTTTCTTTCCCTATTTTTTGGATGATATTTTTCTATCATCTGAACACTTTTTTTCGATCGGCCATCTCAAGTCTTTTTCTCCATGCCAAACCTCATCATCCTCACAAAAGTTATCCGGGCCACCCAAATTCCGTTAAGGACCTCCATACAATGATTTCTGGAATGGTTCCTTCGGTATCCAAAACGTTCGCGGAGTTACTTCCTAATACGGAACATCGGAACTTGCGGTTGCTCATCGAATTAGTGCTCGTGGCGTAGACAATTCCAGAAAGTGCGATTAATTGTCAGCCTCGGCTCAATCGGGTGTAACTCCGCGAACATTACATGAACGCCGCACCTCTGGCCATCAGATTGGCTTCGTTAACTGTGGCCCCTTTCACCATAAATACCAGTCCTACTTCCCTTTCTTTTCACCTCATTACAATTTTTTATTTCACTCTACTACAATGTCTCAAACAGTCTTGATCTCCGGCGCTACTGGTTTCATTGCCGCCCACACCGTCCAACAATTGTTGCAGAAGAACTATAAAGTGGTTGGATCAGTGAGATCCACCGAGAAAGGTGAAAAGCTCAAGAAATCCTTGAACGATCCAAACTTCTCCTATGAGGTTGTCAGTGACATTGTTGCTGACGGTGCCTTCGATGACTTTGTCAAGAACCATCCAGAGGCTACCGTTTTCCTCCACACTGCCTCTCCATTTCACTTTAATATCACTGATATTGCTAAGGACTTGTTGGAGCCTGCAGTCAATGGTACCAAGAGTGCCTTGTCTGCCATCAAGAAGTACGGTCCTCAGATCAAGAGAGTGGTGGTGACCTCGTCGTACGCTGCCATTGGTGACTTTGCTAGTCCTCAATCTTCTAAGAACGTCGACACTGAGGATACCTGGAGTCCATTGACCTGGGAAACCAGTTTGGCCAACCCATTGGTCGGATACTGTGGCTCCAAGACTCTTGCCGAGCAGGCTGCATGGAAATTTGTCGAAGAGGAGAAGCCTAACTTTATCTTGTCCACTGTTAACCCAGTATACGTCTTCGGCCCCCAGCCATTTGATGAGCAGGCCGGTGCTGAAAGCTTGAACACTTCTTCTGAGATTATCAACTCTGTTCTCAAGGCCACCTCCGAGGACAAGATCCCAAGTCATGTTGGAGATGCTGTTGATGTTCGTGACGTTGCTGCTGCACACATTGTCGCTTTCGAGAAGGATGATGCTAAGGAGCAGAGACTCTTGCTTACATCGGAGCCATTCACTCAACAAGACATTTTGGACATTTTGCACAAGGACTTCCCTGAGGAGACCAAGGACCTTCCAGTTGGTACTCCAGGTAGTGGCAAGGAGAAGTTCGAGACCAAGAACACTCTTGACAACTCCAAGACCAGAAAGATTTTGGGTTTCACTTTGAAGACTTTGGAGGAGACTGTTCACGACAGTGTTGAGCAGCTCTTGAAGGTTAGAAAGTAAGATCATGAAATGTTTATAGATGAGAATACGAAGGGTTAGATGATTCAAACCTAATTATTATGGTTGTAGATTTAATTTTAGGAGGAATTGAGTTAACTGAATGAATTGGTGGTTAACTGGGAGCGTTGAGAGGATGTGGACTTGTTGAATTGCGCAATTCTCCATTCGCATTATGTGTGTGGTAATAGTGGTACAAGCATGAACATCATCGTCAAAACAATAAGAAATTCAAAATGGAAGACATGTGTCACAATTCACACATTGGATAAGAATCTAGAATTTCCTACCGATCCAGACTACCTCCGAAGTTTGTATTGCCTGCACCGGTAAAAATGGAGATACACTTTCCAATTTACTGAACAATAAGGTCTAGATACAGAGCAATTTCCGTTGTACCCCTAAAAGTAAATGGTAATAATTGTCAATCCTTTGTCCTGGGTTACATCCAATTTGTTCCACTGTCCACCACTACCCGGTATAATCGGTACATTGATGTGTGTGACGTGAGGTGGATGGACATGGAATCCTTGCTCATGGTTGTTATTTCTTACGTAAGAATAATCCGTAAACACAATACTTCATACATAAAAATTGTCAAAAGTCGTCCTGAATCTCCTGTCAATCACCCTGGCACTATATGGTTCTTATCATTCGTTGGACATGAATCATATCATCTAAACTGGAAGAACAATTGATAGGAGCAACAAGATGAACCCATGAGATAATCACTTTTTATAAATCTTATACCGTTAGAGAATACCTTGAACGATGTTGATCAGAACTACTTCGCTAGTTTCTTGTAGGTATTCATTGTAGGCCAATATAAGTTTCAAAGCATACTAATCTCCTAGAGTTGAAGATATGCTTGTTTTGTCTCATGCTGCCAACTTAGATTATTGTAAGTTTTGCAGCCAATCGTTATTCTTGTCAATTGCCATCGAATCCACCCTTTCAAGCACCTATAAATGCCCAAATCAGATTTTAATCGGCTGCCAATCAGAGGTATTCATTAAATTTCGCCTTGTGTCTCAACACTACATCATGATATCTCGCAAGACTATAATTCTTCGTATTCAGAAGAGCTTCCGCTGAATCGACTCCTTCAGCCGTTTCACTTCCTTTGCATTATGTTTATTTTGTTCTGCTCTGATTTTTTCGCTTTTTTAAATCCACCTCCCTCTTTCCAATAGATGCCGACTACTGCCGAAGTGCTAAACGATCAACATTTTCTGTGAAAAGTATTCTTAACCCCGCCAATAAAATTCTGTTACCACCATTTCATCGTAATCAAACAAAATTCCAAGAATATCATCGATCTCTCAATTCTTCATGTTTTTCTCTCCGCCTTTTACTTCTCCATAATAGATTCTTTTCTGTAACTTTTTACTGTCGGTACTTCGGTCATTCCGCACTGCCTTAGTACCCCAAGCCACCTTAACCTCCAATAGCAATTTTATCCCTCTCAAGCTACTTAGACCCACCAAAATTTCACAAAACACAATCTCTCGCAGTTTTTGACCAATTTCTTCTTCACCAGTTTTCTCGATACTTCCTTCTCCTCCAATTTCCGCCTGCCCCACACACCCCAACCATCTACACCCGTACCTCACGGCTCCTTGCCTTAGTAAAGCCATATTCCGACATTCGACCACCACTAAATATGGGAATTAATAATCCAATACCACGAAGCTTAAAGAGCGAGTCAAAGTATGTACTTACTAGAGATCGAAGGAGCGTTTCCACGTAATCCAACTGGCTCCAAGCGCCAGCTCATAATGCTTTTCGTCTATCATTCTCCATACTAATTTATTCAGGAAAGCAGCAAAGATCCTTGCTAGTTTCATCAAACCAAATCAGATAGCAGGTGCAAACGACGTGATCCCACCTCATGTGTTGCAGAATGCCAAAGGTTTGGCAGTTATCACTGTTTTGAAGGCTGGTTTTCTCTTCTCCGGAAGAGCAGGCTCCGGTGTCATTGTAGCTAGATTGCCAGATGGATCGTGGTCGCCACCATCGGCCATCGTTACTGCTGGTGCTGGTGTCGGTGGACAGATCGGAGCGGAGCTCACGGATTTCGTTTTCATATTGAATTCCAAATCCGCTGTCGAGAGTTTCGCCCAAATGGGTTCGGTTACTTTGGGTACAAATGTCTCGATTGCCGCCGGTCCCTTAGGTAGAAATGCTGAAGCTGCAGGTACAGCATCCTTGAAGTCGGTCTCTGCGGTTTTCTCCTACTCGAAAACCAAGGGTTTGTTTGCTGGAGTGTCATTGGAAGGTTCGGCCATTGTGGAGAGAAGAGAGGCCAACAGAAAGTTCTATGGCAACAACTGTAAGGCCAGAAACATCTTAGCTGGACAAGTTGAGGCTCCACCTGCTTGTGAACCGCTCATGAGAGTCTTGGAGAGCCGTGTGTTCAACAGTTCTATTCCAGATGATGATTTCTATAATTCCGATTACTACGATGACATTCCTGACGATTTCTCCGACTCCAACTCGGAGTTCTCTAACAGAAGAACCGGAACCAGAGTTCGCAACCAAGGCAGCAGACGTTACTCGGACGAGTATGGTTACTCCGACGACGATTACCTGGACGATGACTATGGATCCAACCGAAGAAACTCCAGACGCCAAAGCTCGCAGTCTCATGGCAACGGCAAATCAAATAAGTCCGCCTGGGAGGATAATATATACGACGGGGGAGCGAGCCGCAGGCGTGATAACAACGACATGGAGAACTTGGGGCTGCGCCTTAACAATACTCGTCTTGGAGGTTCTTCGAATGCTCCTCCAAAGCCTAGTGCATCTTCAAAACCCGACTTTGGTGGCGCCCCAAAGACAAACGCTAACCAGGCCATTGCCTTGTACACCTTCAAGGGAGAACAGCCTGGAGATTTGCCATTCAAGAAGGGAGACGTGATTGACATTTTGAAAAAGTCTGGCACTACTGACGACTGGTGGACCGGTCGTAACAACGGCCAAAGTGGTATCTTCCCTGCAAACTATGTTGAGTTAATATAGTAAGTGTGTCGATTATAGAGGCTAATGTGTAAGTGGATGCTGTCACATCAAAAGAAATCATGATCAATGTATAACCTTATTTTAATTCCTATATCCTATACCTTCAAAACCTGTTCGACGAAATGGCGTACAACAACCCTGCCTTCGCTAAATGTTGGGTCATTGTGTCTATGGATGATAGCGGCATGGGTTGCCTTGGTATCTCGGATGATCACAGGAAATTTATTCCATTTCAAAGTGTTCAAGTTGGCCACAATGATGTATTGCAGGTCAGTCAAATTCAATTTGAAGTCAGTGGTCACCTTCTGTCCCTTAAGGTTCACTAGAGGCTTATCTTCCAACAAAGGAGTCTCGGAATCGTCTCCCAAATTCTCTAAAGTTAAACCTTTAGAAGGCTTGCTCACGCTGTAGTGATAGTCAAAGTAACTTTTACTGTTCACAGCACTAAAAATAGACTCAATGAAGATGTCAGTCTGATCTCTGATTCTTTCAGATACACCGCCCATGAAAGACTCGGCATCACTATCGCTGTAATCGTCCCCGTTCGTCTGCTTTTCCTCGTCCTCGACCTGCTGATCTTCGCTCGACATTGCCACCTCATCATGGACTATCTCATACAAGGCAAGTAAGCTATCAGCTCCATCACGGTAAAAGTCCTTAAGACGTCTGTTCATCTTGACTCTCTGCCAAATAGCATTGGCCAAAAGAAACAATGAATAAATGGGTGTGATCAAGATAAACTGACCCAAAACACCCAACCAGGTGAGTGTCTTGTAGAAGAATCTTTGTAAAGTAAGACCTGGAGTTTCAATAGGCTCCACCTTGCGGAAAGTAATGGGCTGAGAGAAATCAATGATGGTGGGGGAGTAACCGTCAATGTATTTCATGTCGTAAGCACTAAGCGACTCGTTGACCATGGAATTGAAGGGATCCACATCGCAAATCGACGTGGAATACCAACTGGTACGTCTATCGTTTATGGCATTGGCATATAACGATCTATTCTGGAAAATCTCCAATGCCTTATAGAATTTGGATGCTGGATCTGACATCCACTGCAATAACGGCACATAATCGTCATGACCAGACAATTTATCCCGGAGAAAGAATTGCTTACCTGTTTCGGCAATGGTATGTGGCCCGATCATGTTATACAAGCGAGCCAGAAGCGACAGGCCTGGGTTGACGATACCCACATGTGGAGTACAGAAAGTAGCAAAGTTGACAGGCTCAATGGTCTCAAAGAAATGTTGGTGGTACAAGATACCAAGAGCATATCGAGATACCAAGCCACCCATGGAGTAGCCAACCAAAGAGAATTTGGTGACGGTGCCTTCTTCTCCATTAAGAGCATCCTTCTTGGCCACGATCTCATCGGCAATTCGCTTTCCATTGATGTCGACACCATCATAGGTCAAATAACCCGAGTGGGAGCCAGTTCTATAGACGACAATCTCGTCGTTGGGATTAGAGGTGGACATTTTCTCGATCTGGTGGGCCAAGTAGCCCATATGAGATGGATTGCCCCAAACTCCATGGACTAACACAATAAGATGATAGTTCACCATAGTTTTGAATAAAAGGTAAAGAAATAGAGAGCGAAAGGTTTCAACAATAAGTTAATAAGAGGGGACAGGTAGAGTGGGGGAGCAACAGACCGGGTTTAGAAATTATAGAATGAGACAGGATTTGAAGATGCAGTGGAGCATTGTTAGATATTGAACGTGATGCGATTAAATGAATGTGATTTCGCAACCACGCGAATATGGTCCGAGGAAGGGTATTTTGGGTCGGACATTTTATTGGACCCGTTTTGGTGGGTTAATGGATGGTCCGTTAAATTATTTTTTGTTTTTTTTCTGTATTTTACAATTAAGGTCTAGATACCACAGTCATACTGTTGGAAACCTTTCACTACCTTAATCTCCTTGCCATCGGATATTTCTTTTTGTTGATGGCTCATGTCATACAATCGCATACTTTTTGCTCAACATAAATTTCATCAGGCTTAAGACCTGTGGCATGGCCCCTTTAATATCCCCTGGTAGCCACCCTCGGTTGTCTCCCGATAAGAAGTACTTGTATTTAGAATACTTCTATTGTCTTTTTTCCTCTTCGTACATACGTCTACTCCTCACTCTCTTGTGATCCAGTGGCCTGCTACTATCCTTCCTTCCATCCATTCGTTCCGTCTAATCTCCCCTCTATTCTCTATTTACAATTATTCAAAGCATTTGCTGATTAACAATGCAGCTGCCGTTCCAACATTAAGCGAATCAACCAAACCCTCCGAATCAGCATTGCCCTTGTTGAGTCCAACCAAGTAGTCAGACTTAAACTTAAGATTGGTCCTCACACCTGCTCCCTCGCTACCAAAAATCATAAGCATTGGAGCCTGACTCATGAGTCCCGGCAAGTCCGCATAGTCAATGTACTTCTGCTCAAGATGCTCCCGGTGCTTTTCCTTGGTGGCATTAAGATCATCTTCGCCCAACTTGGAACTCGTAGACACAACATTCCAGCCATTCTTCTTCACATTATCTACAAGTGACATTGGACCATCCAGCTTATAAATGGGCAAGACGTCAAGTGCTCCTGCCGCAGCCTTGGCAGCCACTGGTCCTAATCGGGCTGAATCTGACTCCGGCACAACCATGAAATCTGCACCAAGGTAGTATGCTGATCTGATGATGTTTCCGAGATTCTGAGGATCGGTAACACCGTCAAGGAAAATTCCAAACGGATACTTGCCGTGATTGTGTCCAGCTGTCCTCGTGACCGTGTGCGTTTCTTCATAAGTTTCGTTGGTTCTCTCGTCAACTAACGTTACCGTATATTCTCCCGTGTCTTTATCAAACTGCTCACCAAGTGACTCCACTAGCGGCAATTGAAGTGGACGGGTCTCCAATACCACACCGTTGTGGACACCATTTGAGCTTAGCATGTTCATTTCACCTTTAGTGTCTTTCTCAACCACTTTCACTCCATACTTCTTTGCGAGCTGAAGGATTTTGGCAGTATGTTCCTTCGGATTGTGAATGTAAAGTCTGTTGAATGCGCTTCTTTTACTGGCTGTAAGAGCCGAAATCACAGGATGAGTACCATATAAGTACTCACTGAGTGGGTTCAATGCCATCTTGGGGCTGTTGCGGGGTTTGTCGTAGTCATCACCCAACTCATGTCTCTTACGAGCTTCACGTAGCCGTTTCTGTCTAGCTACCTTGTCGTCAAGTTTTTTCCTTTCCTCTGGAGTAATGTTTGCATACTTTCTAATGAAAAACTCATGTTTGGAGATGTTGAGTTTGTCCCAGACTTTTTCGCCAGGCTTGGTTTCCACGTTGAATCTTTTGCCGTATTTACTTCCAGGCTTGACATTTTTAACCGTTTTGGCAGCGTTGGCTGCTGTCGTATGAAAAGATCTAAGCATGATGAGTTTGCGATGAGACTGTGGAGTGTCTAATAGTGAGTCGTGAGAATAGTAGATTTAATGGTCTAAACGAAAATGGAAATCAGGAAAAAATGGAATCGGTAGACAAATGACCGTAATGAGGTTAAAAGATAAACTAATTTGGGGAAAGTCTCAAATAGCTTACACTCTGTTTCTTCAATATTCTTCTATATACATTTAGAATAGAACACCCTTGGTGCTGGGGACATCGTCAGTTCCAGTGAACGAAATGGCCTCTTTAATAGCCACAGCCATTGCCTTGAACGCACTCTCTGCTCTGTGGTGGTCGTTGAACCCTCTTAAACAGTCTACATGAAGAGTGATGGCAGCACCTTGAGCGAAACTCTCAATAACGTGAGGAATCATCTCACACGATAAATCTCCAATCTTTTCACGTTTCAACCCCAACTCAACCACAGCATATGGTCTGTTGGACAAATCCACCACTGCTCGACTCAAGGCCTCGTCAAGAGGTGCAAAACCACTACCAAACCGTTTGACACCTTTAACTTGGCCCAATGCCTTGTGAAATGCAAGACCCAAGGAAATTCCCACATCCTCAGCCGTGTGGTGGTCGTCGATGTGCAAGTCACCCACACACTCTACAATAAGCGACCATCCAGAGTGCTTGGCCAACGCATGTAACATGTGGTCCAAGAATCCAATACCAGTCTGGACATTGATCACTTGAGACAGAGTGCTCTGTGTGGCATGTTCGTCGAGGTTGCCGTTCTTGAGAATTGACTTTTCCAACGCCACAGCTCCGCCGTCCAAGGAGATGGCGATCTGGATTTTCGTCTCGTTGGTGTCTCTGCTGATGGTAGCTGATCTCATGGTGGTGATCTTATCGATTTCGCAGTCGACAAATGAGATAAAGGCTGATGGTCAGTGCAGGAGATAATGAGTCAGTGGAATGTATGAGACGAAGGAGATTGAAGAAGAGGAAAAAGATGGAAAGGGTAGGCGGGGGAAAAGTCTGGGAATAAGTTTTGAGAGTATTTGCTTGCTTTTATCTTTTAAGTTATGTTATTTTATTGTAGTTTTTTCGTGAACCATGGAGATTTTATCGGGATCTGTTTCTGACATTCCCATAATGTGGAGACACATTCTCAAAAAGCATGTGGTGTAAATATTCTTAAACAATACGAACTTCTCAATTTCTCCAGATTTTTTTATTAGCTAGAACTCACGAGTAGATAAATAAACAAGCGATTCCTGATATATACTTTGAACCGTATAAGCTAGATGTGTCACTGTGAAAATAGGATTCAGTCAGAAACGTGAAATGAACGCTAATTAATCAAACAAGCGAAAACTGGCTTTTAAGTAGTAATTGAAGACAATTTAATTCAGGTGGGAATGGTCAATCAGACAGTTAATCATCGTATAGAGTTCCAGATGGATCCGATGGGTCATTTGACCTAGTTGTAAGTAGACATATCAGCGTTAAAGGTCTTCTGTATGTCATAATGAATGCCAGAACAACATTTATACTTGTCCATTCGTCACCATCCTTCCGATCACAGCTACAACTTCCATACTGTCACAATGTTGATCGAACTGCACCCAGTCTTCAACGAAAGTGCCATCGGATACTGATACTATATGATCAATGTCTTGTTCTTCCAAACAATTTAACAATAGATTATAATCCATCGTTTCATTCGACACGGCCGGCATGATTATTACTTCACCCTTCTCGTCATGCCAAATGTTAAGGATACTTAGGCTGATACCTATGCATTGCACTAACAGTTTTACGTTTAACACTGCGTGCTCAATGTTATAAGTTATGTTTCGCCCCTGGGTTAAGTGAGGTTTTTCTTAGGGAGGTATACCTTCATCGTTTCTCGATTTTCAACTGAAAGCCACGGTCATTTGAGGAATCTTACCACCTTCATCTTTCCATTCCCTCTTTGTCAGCGTTATCTCATGGCATACTCCGTTATTGGTGTTCGCCTTCAAAATTGACAAATCATCCAAGTCTGCGATGATTTACTCCTAGGAAATTAAGCCTGTCAATAAGCAACCAATTCAGTCACCAATTCCGTCACCAATATGCCTATCTGCGAGATTGTCACTTGTTTGAAGACTAGTCACTCCGATACGAAACGAAGATGTCCAGTCATTGACCCCCTGGAACCAAGTTTCTGTTCTAATTCTATAAGCGAAAACTTTACAATTAACAACTCAATTCCTCCACCTTCCTCCCCCGTGTCTCTTCCTTGTCTCAACTTCATTTTTTACTCTCAAATACCCCAATTCGTTTAACTTGTACTACATCCAACTTCCCCATAATGCAACACACCGCCCCATGCGACTATTTGGGTAGTTTATTCAAGGAAAACACGTCGAAGGAAGCAATACTAACCAAAAAATTCATAATCATAATACCTAAAATTTCCGTATATCCTTTGCCTTGCTCCATTTCAACATCGATACTTGTTCGCATATTATAGACCTTCACGCATTTTTTCACAGCCACTTCCATCTTTATCAACACCCCCACCAAAAATACCCCTAGCAGGAAGAAAGAACCCAAAACAGAAAAACAAAAATAATTGATTCAAAAATAAAATCCACAACTTTCATGTCGGAATCCATATTCTCTAATTTCCTACAACTGCCGAATCCCCACATTCGAGTTCAAGCCACCGTGATCTATGGTTCACTGGCTGTCTGCAGGAGGTGGATCCTTTTCCATATCCAAACCACGAATCGATCTGGAAATCACCCTTTCTACCTTGGTTCACCAATAAGGCTGTGCCACAGGATCTTCACTACTGCCTTATAACCTGCAAGGACCTACCACAATTTTCGTTTTTGTGCACACTTTCCCATTGACTCTAAAAACATTCCACTATCTAAGAAAAAAGTCCACTGGGACATGAAATAGATGCTGCTGCCACACTCCGCTTACTCTCGAACTGAGATCATCGGCCAGGGCAAATTCGGTGTGGTGTACAAGGGTTTAAATCGGCATACCAAGAAGGTGGTGGCCATTAAGGTATTGGAACTAGATACTAAGTACGATGAAGTTGTCGATGTTCAACAAGAGATCCAGTTTTTGTCCGATCTCAAGCAAGCACCCAACGTCACCCATTATTACGGCCTGTTCTTAGTTGGAACAAAGCTCTGGATCATCATGGACTACTGCGCTGGAGGATCAATCCGGACGTTGCTCAAGGCTGGAGTATTCGAAGAGAGATATATCGCAATCGTGGTAAGAGAGGTACTTCTAGCGCTTCTGGCTGTCCACAAGCTCGGTGTGATCCACAGGGACATCAAAGCTGCCAATATCTTGATCACCAATGAGGGAAACGTTCAACTCTGTGATTTTGGAGTGGCTGCACAACTAACGTCCAGTTCGCTAAAAAGAACTACCATTGCCGGTACACCCTTCTGGATGGCGCCTGAAGTTATTCGTGAGGGAGCTCAGTACAATGTCAAAGCAGACATTTGGTCACTTGGTATCACAATCTACGAAATTGCTACAGGGAACCCACCTTATGGTGATAAAGGTGCTACTTGGGCCATGACAATGATTGAAAAGCTGACTCCGCCCCGACTCGAGGGCCGTGAGTATCCTCAAGCGCTCAAAGAGTGCATTGCATTGTGTTTGGACGAAAATCCAGTTGAGCGACCTTCTGCAGATGAATTGCTGCGGTGCAAGTTGGTCAGAAACTACAAAAGTACTCCTACCAGCATTTTGAAGGAGGTGATTTCGCGTTACTTGCTTTGGAGAGACCACAATCTGTCTCAAGACTCTGTTTACGTGAACACAGAGGACGAAGCGGCTCCAGGTACAAATCAACTTCAAGTGAAGTGGGATTTTGACTCGTTGAGCTCGAGAGAATATATCATTGAGAACGATATCCATATCGACATGGATAAGGAGGAGTTCTCCTATGAGGATGAGGAATATGGATTAAACACGCAACCCACATACCAGTACAATTCTGGCATTAATGACACCATCACTGCTTCCAAGCATCTTACACAAACAAATTCTGGAAGCAGAGACAGAACAGGAAGTCAGATTCGAAACGGTACAACCGCTCCACAGGAGAACTCGGTTCTGAAGACTTTGACGTCACTTTTTGAAGAAGAAGATACACAGGAAGATTATTCAAGTTCTGGATATGACATTCCTCGCATTCCTACGTTGACCAACTTGAAGGGCGAAATGCATGCAACCAGCTCTCCCACCATTGAAATCCCAGACATGGAGAACCTTTCCAAGATGGGAAGCTTTCTGGCATCAACTCAAAATTTGAGCCAATCTGGAACCAGTGCATGGAGCAGCTCCAATGACACATTTCCAAAGCTTGCCAAACCACCAGCTTTAACGCATTCGCAGTCTTCACTGGCTGCACTAGAATCTAGACACAATTCGCCCACTTCTGGAAACCGTCAGCGGAAGAAAACTATCTCCAACACATACGCACCGATGTCTCATTCTCACGGTCTGCTTATGGATACCAGCCCTCATACTCCGTCGTACTTGACGGAGAACCCACCAAGGCAAACACCCTCACCGCTGACCCAGCATGCAGCGATGTTACACGAGGGCAGTGTCACCAGCAGTCCTTCTAAATCGATGCGTGCGCTTCATTCAACGAATAACCCTATGCTCCAGCCGATTAATTTCAAGCTAGGAAACGAGGGAACTATTAAGCCCACTTCCTCAATTGTGAATTCGACGCTGTCCAATTCAATCACAGGTCAGTTGAATGCACCAGCACCCATTATGAGTTCGCACTTGGCCACTCTGCCAAACACGAATCATGGTACGAATGGTACTACGAATGGTGGTCCGAGTGGTAGCACGCTTACAGCCACGTCACACATAGCACCATCTGCTCTTCCAGGATCTTCAGATGGATCGAAGAAAGAGAAGCCTTCGTTGAGGATCCAAATGCCAGTTCCGTCCAATTCGTTCAACATTCTATCTGCTTTGACAAATGAAGAAGAGAACAAAAATAACGAAAACGTCAACCAATTTGGTATCAATCCTGCTATGGTCAATAAAATGGCGTCAATGACTCCAGTGGCTGAGAAAGACACTCAGCTAGGTGACACCGACAAGGAAATGCGGGACCCTGCACTATTGCAACGCCAAATCCAGCAAAAGAAAGTAGCCAGCCTTATGGGTCCCAAAACAGCTCCAGTCAATGGACCCGCCGTGTCTTCTAGCATGGGATACTTCCCACGGAATCCATCGGTGAGTAATTTGCCTGTCAAGGCTGCAAAATTCCCAACCATTCCAGCATTCAATAGTGAGCTCTTTTCCGACACCACACCACGGGCAAAAATAACACAGGAGCTTGAGACGGTAATGAGACTTTTCATTCAGGGCTTGGAAGTGGTAGACAATGGCTTGTAATGAAGAATTTCAGAAATTTTAGTGGAATTTGGATGAAACTCATCTTCTATTGTTGGACACTAAATGGTCGGGACGTAGTGCACATAACAAATATAAATCACATAGCATCTACAACTACAACTACAACTACAAAACTACTCATCATCATGCCGCCACGTATGAGGCGTCGTATCACGACGGCCAAGCGAGAAGAGATCGAGAAAGAACAGAAACTCCTAGATAGCACCATTGTGCGTCCGTTCGAAACGCTCGAAGGACTCCCAATATCATATAATCCACCTAATGGACAGTACGAAGACATGTTGAAGAATCCGCTCACCATTAAGGATTCTGCTGTTTTGTATGAGTCACTCATCAGATCTCGGAATACTTATGTTCAGCATGCACCTATGTTCAAATTATATTGGGTGAAACAAACGGCATATGCTAAAAAGCTAGCTGACATGGAGAAAGACAAAGAGACCACCCGCGAGCGGGAAACACGCCGTCGTTTTGCAAAAGCCACCGCCAACTCTCTAGAATCCAAGACCCGAACACCGGTGTTGAGCACAGACGTGAACGCTCGAGACGTCATGTCGAAGTTATGTGAATCTTCCCTAAGTATTGGTCCACATGAGATGGAGATCCGGATCTTTATTGCGAAGGATGCGAGATCGGAGAAATCCCGGGCATTTGCAGAAATTTCAAAGGTTTCAGAATACCAGGCGCCATCTCCTGTAATGAACCCTATGGCTCCTTTGGGTCCAGGAATGGCACCTAATCCAGGAATGACACCCATGGCACCACCAGGGTCTAATGCGCCTCCTGGATCTATGGCACCTGTGACTACCCCTGGAGCTCCTAGTGCCCCACAGCCACATAGCTCTCTGAGTACCACTTCTACTGTACCCAGCCCAGCAACAGGATCTACAACAGAGCCTACATCCGGCCCTACATCTGGGGCTGCAACACAGTCTCTTACAGCGCCAGTTCCTACATCGACAGCACCAGCACAAGTACCAAAGCCAGTGGATCAATCTCCAGTGCCAGCATTATCATCTACAATTCCATCCAAACCTGAACCGCTTCTGGCTTCAAGTAAACTGCCTTCGACTGACAAATCTGGACCAGAGACCCTGGATAAGCAGTTAGAGAAACCAAAAGCATCTGCTTCAAACACCAATAATGATCAGGGCAAGGTTCCACCTGCAGCTCCTGCTCACTCACCAGTTCCAGCTGCTTCCAATGGTCACGCAACAATGGTATCTCCTGCCCCTGGTTCTGTTCCTTCAGCTTCACCTGGTGCACCAGGCGTATCCACTCTGGGTCCAGTTCCTGCTCTGGGTCCAGTTCCTCCTCCAGGTTCAGTTCCTGCTCCAGGTTCAGTTCCTGCTCCAGGTTCAGTTCCTGCTCCAGGTCCCCCGCCTCCGTCCACCAATTTGCAATCCATTGATAATCTAATCATGATTTCCAACTTAAATGCCATAGCCAAAATTGATCTTTCCCTAAACGATCTTATGAAAGTGGTTGCTCTGGGAAGCGCATCTGAGGCTCAGATTACTCTTTTTAAGAAGTATATTGAGAGGGCCAAACAGATGGGCCCACAGCCTCATCATGCCGATTTATACTATAGCAGAAATCTTCCACTTCCGCCAAACTTTCCTCGGCCCAGAACTTACGTCGAGAGAAGGCCTCCAAAGCCAAAGATTCCAAACCCTTTGAAGCTTACAGCTTTCCAGGAGAAATACTTGCATAATGCAACATTGGTATTTGAGTTCCTCGAAAATCCAAACGTTCGGTATGTTATTCCTAGGGACTCCATTTGCGAAGTTATGGAAGCCGAAAATCCTCCGCAGGATGAGGAGGACGATGTTGAATTTAAAGATATACTTTTGAGCCATGTGTGGATTCACAACATCGATGAGTACGAGGAATATGAAAGAAAGTTGGCAGAATACAATGCAGAGGTCAGGAAAAAGGAGGAGGAAGAGGCAAGAAAAAATAAAGAAAAGGAGGATGCAGAAAAGAATGGTTCCGCTCTGGCTGTTCCTGCTGCCGCAGAAGAACGAAACCTCCGAACAAAGAAGAGGCCTCCTCCACCCAAAAAGAAAAAAGTGGTTGAAATGCCTGAAGAACCACAAATTAGGTACACAACGTTTTCTTTTACGCTTCGAAACATCCCATTGAGATTCGTGCCCATTGTCATGAACAGTATGAAGCCTCTTCCTCAAGTTCAGCAACGAATGGCGCATATTCTCAAGAACGGAACTCGAGTGACCAGTTTCTACTTATGGTATCAAGTGGATGCACATCTTGATGAAGGAATTGCCGAGAACCTTAGAAATGCGACCCTCCAGGAGGAAAAGAGAATGCAAGGTATCATGGCTCAAGGATCAGGGATCGAAATCAAGAAGAGAAAACCAAGAGAGTTCAAGAATCCAAAGACTAAGCGCTCAAAGGATGTCACTCCTAGCTACGCACCTGCGTCAATGATGCAGCCAGTTAAGCAGGAACTTACTAATTAGGGGTCTCTATGTAAAATAGACAATATGTACAAGGTATTGTAAGGTTAGTTTCTAGACTTGGAGACCAAGCCCAACAAGTTCTCCAAAGCAGACGAGTCCTTGAGGTTTCTCTCGGACATATTGCCAAAGTTGGGGTTCGATGCAACGTAGTTGGAGCTTCCAAGAGTAGTGTTAGAGCTCTGCATCCACGATCCCACCTTGACACCATCCACGTGCATTCTGACGCCTCCGCTTGGGGTCAATTCAGCCTCGTTCACCTTGAATGGCATGACAAATTGTCTGGAGTGCTTTCCTGGCGCATTCTTGGCGTAGTTGGCTTGCAATAATGTGGTTCTCTCGTTGACAGCAGCAACAAAACCACCAATTCCTGCCTCTCTCTCTCTGACAAGTCTTCCTGGAGCAATAACGCCGTGCTTCACACCGTTTGGAGAGTTAGAGAGACGTCCTTTCTGAAGGTACGAGAGGCCCGCTGTACCTTGTATGTTGGATCTTGGACCATGTGGAGAAGCCACTCCGTGTTTTCTAGTCATGTCGTTCAAGGACAATTCACGCTTGACTAATTCTGGAGAAGATGCAATAAAGTCCTTCAAGAGCTGATCAAGCTTAGATGGAACCTTCAACATGATTGACTCGGGGCTCTTCTCCACCAAGTACTTTCTGAAGGCAGAGTACAACTTTGGGTTCTTCTGAAGAAGGGCTTTAACTTCGGCAGTCGATGCATTTTGTCCAAGTCTAAGCTTGTTCAATACACTGTCGGCGGCCAATTCGTTAGACCCACTGAAGGACTTGGACGAATCCCATGCAAATAATGGATTGGCACTATTGTATGATTTCTTCAAAACCACACCCAGCTCCTGGAACTTCAATCTGGTATAATGAGAACCACCATACTTCTCGACATCAGGCATATTCTTGAAGTTGTCAATGTCGTTGTAGACGATGTGTGATTGGCCCACCTGCTTTGGCAACGCCGTTTTGATACCATAGTTGGATCTGGCAGCACTAGCCGTTGGAGTGTAAACGATTTGGTGAGTGGGGGCCGAGTTGTTGGGACCCCTCAACTGCTTACTCAAAGGAGTAGCCACTTGGGCCAATTTAGAGTTTTTGAAAAGTCTGTAAAACTCCAGATTGCTCATGGTGTTGGCTTGGTTGATAATTGGAACTTTTTTTTTTCTTCTCAACCTGAGTATGGTGCACGGATGTGCGCTTCCTCCAGCACGAGTGGAAAGATTAACCACAGAAATATATGATCAATTTAGATAAATCATGATAATTTCATCTTTAAAAATAAAAGTCGAACCCTCAAACCTTAAGATTAAAATGCATATGAAAATGTCACTCCAAACTTTTTCACCTCGGGTGTAGCCGTAGTCTCGTTAAGCCCAACGCTCACTCCAGTACTCACCAAATAGTCCTTGTACCGACCAACCCAAAGCAACTTCACCATGCGATCGCTAAGGCTCGTTGATCCTTTGATGACAGAAGAAAAGTTGCTCTCGTTGACAAGTGTCTCGAACTCCTTCATCGCCGTATGTGTTTGAGCATCATCCAACGGTTGAGATGGGTGCATGTGGTTGAACTCATCCACATTTTGGATAGGATTGAGCATCCGTTTGCGAGGAACACTGGGCAGTGTGTATGCGAGCTCGTTATTTATGGTGTGTGTTGAGAGTAGCGCTGGATCCGCAGCAGGAGGTGGTGCCAACGTGTCATAGTGGATGCTGGAGTTGTGGGGCATGATTGGGTCTCTGTAAATATTTGTATCCGAGGCCTGGCGATTGCGCAGAGATCCGTGGCCATGAATGATGTTATCCAGAGTTTCATTTTCCATGTTTTCATGCTCCATTCCATGTCTCGTCAACATGCGGCCAACAATTCCATGTCTGTGCTTGTCTTTATGGCTATGCTTGTCGTGATGGAAAAGATGTGAAGGCTTGGAGAAGTTGAACAATTCAAAGCCAATAGAAAGGTTGCTTGCATAAGAAAACCAATTGAAGTCGTACTTAGAACACACCGTGGACGATACTGACGTTTTCACGTTGTATGTAGAAGAAATGTGTCCCAATATAGGGTTACAAGAAAGTGTCATTGTGAGTGGTTTTCCAGTTGATGTCGACCGTGTGGAGTAGCGAAATGCAGCAGAGAGCCCTGGACTCATAGACATGGCCGCATACCAAAACTCTGCTCCAACAGACACCACGGAGTTATCAAATTTGGGAATGAGTGGAGTAGATGCTTTAGCTGGATTTCCAAAATTGTAGAGACACCGAAATCCAAACAATGCCTCTGTAGTGGAGTAAATAAACTCTCGAGAGTACCGAGGCACATTCTCCTGGAGATATACGATCATAGTGCCGTTCTTATGGAGTTGAGGATTATTGATGCATTTGATGAGCAATTGCGTCAGATCCGTAAGTTTGCGGATGATCATAGCCTCAAGTGACGATCCTGGGAAGTAAAGGCGTCCATATAAGAGCGATGGTCTTGTTGCCGAGTCCTTGGAGTTGGTTTTGGAAGGGGAGGCTAGCATGTGGGGCTCGATGACACGAAAGCCTGCGATTGCGTCCTGGAGTGAGATATCCTTGGTTCCGGTGGTATTCTTCAAAGGTGCCGATGAGTATAAATACGCTAGCGAGCCGTGGATGGAATTGTGGTTCAGGAGAGTCATGGACGAAGCCAGATGTTCAGTGGCTTGCGATGTTACATCGAGCTTTCCACCAGAGGGGATGGGAAAGTCGAGAAGGGCGCGTGAAGTGGCAGTAACGTTAGCATAAATATTGTCCTCATTCCAAGAAGTCGCTTTGCAGAAGCATTTCTGGAGGTATTCCATGTGGGTGTACATTGGTGTAGTTGTAGATAGGCTGCGAGGTGTGTATGAGATGGGAGTTGGCGAGGTTTGGTGTTTATCATGGATCTTAGTATATATTCCATTGTTTTTATAGTACTTGAATATTGTAGGTATTTGGATATCTCAGATGTTCTGGAAAGAAATACATAAGACTTCGTTTCTTCATTTGTGTATTTGTTGGTACTTATCTGTTCTGATTTGGTGAGAGAGTCTCAATGTTGCAAAATGTGTAGTTTGATGAAGAATGAACTGAGACCCACTCAATTCTGATCAATCTAGAATATTTGCTACTAAGAACACAAAAGTGTATATATTGTATTGAAATTATCATGTGCCTTCTAAACCGAATATATTGCTGTTCTGTAGTGATTGTTACTGGGATAATTATCGCCACTGATTATTTCGAGATGAAAACATTGTGGAATGTCTAACCTTAAAGTGAGGTGAAAATAGTCTCTCAACCGTTTGTTATTTCACGTCCCAATGAACATGACCAATGGCCGTATGTACAACCCTGACTTCCGTGACGTCTTAAATGAGAGACATGTCTCTTTTCATACATGTTAAGGCTGCCAATATCATCTCTCATCATGCATTCTGGGATAATCCATCCAATTTCATATAACAACCACACGTCATAATCTGTTCTTATTATTTGAAATGTATCCATTTGGCAATCGTTCGCTCTGTCAAATTCTTCATAATTCCCTGCCTCGTAATTAATAAACTTCACATACTTCGTGATTCATTGATATCTTTGTCATCCAAAATTCCCTTGTCGTACAATTGTACCATTATTGTGCCTGATTCCAAGTGTTCTTCATTTCATTTCAACAATTCAACGTCCTTGTTCTAGAGACTTCCCAAATCATTAAGATTAGCTATGAGATCGTCAATACCCGGAAATTCCGGACGGAATAAACTCGCCTTCTCCGCAATCGTCTTGATCTCTCCCGCTCCACCCATGTCTGTTTCATCTGTCAAATAGAAAATGAGAAATTCAATTACCTTGAACGAAAGATGTTGCTGCGCCGTTCCATTCCCACGGCCATTCTTAGGGTCTAAATGTCTGACGACGCTCTGACACCCTCGACACTGCTCGAAAACACGCATGTTCTTCACGTTCTGGAGAAGAATGTGCACTAGTAGAGATATGAAGGATACACACACTTCAATGGAGTATATGGGGTGTTCAGGGTCTAGAAACGACACTATAAGCAGCATGGAGCGTCTGTGGCCAAAATTCTTGCGGGATTCTGGATGTACAAGTAAAATTCCCAGGAGAAGTCGATTGGCAAGAATCACCATCTCAAGCAGCGCAACACTGCCTTGGTTGTCAAAAACACTATAAACCGAGATGAACGCTGCCGCTAAGTTATACTGAAAACTGTCTTGAGCAGCTAGAAACCCTGCGAGCTTTGCATCGGGAGCAGCACCTTGATGGTATTTCCGAATACTCGGTAGAAGGTCATGCAAAAGTCTATCTAGTGATGATAAGCCCAACGCTATTTGGTTGAGGTCATCGGAAGACAAAGTGTCCACGATGGCTTCCAATTCCTTTTCAAGCATAATTACTGTATTCTCTATTATGATTCAGCCTATGGCATCTAAACTGTAAACTGTTTATTGTGTTGCTTGATTAGGCGTACACCCGTGCCTCTTGCGCCGTATGAAGACAACCTAGAAGAAAACTAAATATATTAATACTGGAAAACTGGCTGATATACATTGTGGCTAATACTTTGTAACTAGTCTGACTTTTACCTGTTTCATTTGTCTGATACCAACTTCAGTCTCAACACTAGGATTCCCTCACGTGCTGGCTCACATCACTTCTCCTATAGCTGGCTATAGCTAGATATTAAAGATTTGAACTTCTAGATTCCTCGATCACACCTGCTTCACACTTATCTATGTCTTCATCATCATCGTCATCTGTGGCCTGGGGCTGTACTGCAGCGGTAGTTCTGTCGGCCATCCAGTCGTTAGGAATCACCCTCCAACGCAAGTCACACGTCATTCCATACAACCACGAGTTGGCAAATGATACCGTCATCACTTTACGTCGAGACAGTGCTGTCACCCTCGATATGGAGTCTTCTCGCCATCCACACCACTATAAGCGCAGTCTCTGGTTGACTGGGTTTCTTCTATTCATTGTGGCCAATGTTTTCGGGTCACTTGTCCAGTTGACCACCCTTCCTCTCATCATTTTATCTCCTTTGCAGAGCATTGGACTCATTTTTAATTCTATCATGAGCTGCATGCTTCTTCCCGGGGAGCTGTTCACGAAAAAGCTCTTTTCCGGTACTATAATCATCGCGGTGGGTGCATTCATCATTGCTTACAATGGTGCTGGCGGAGTAGAGCCTCCCACCGATATTGGCACCGACGAGAGGTTCCGTTTAATGATGCAAAAATTTACACGACCTGGTTTTTTGACGTGGTGGATCTTCACATTTATCTATGTTGGAGTTTTGGTGAAAATCAATATGGTTCTCGCAAACAAAATCAATCACCAGAATAAAGTGCTGTTACGTAAGGTCAGACGGAACTCCCAGGAGAGAGTGTCAAAGTACTACTTCACACGTGGAATTCTCTATGGAATAATCAGTGGAACATTGACGGCCCACACATTTCTCTTTGCTAAATCCATAGTGGATGTGTTGGTGGAAACGGTGATGCAGAGAGGAACTCCGAAAAGCCTGGCGACCTATGTCACCACGACGTTACTTCTCTTAGCAACGTTAGCCATCGTCGGCATGCAGTTGGTTGCATTCAATTTGGGACTTGCCAACATCCTGACGTCCATCCTCTATCCGTTGTGTTTCTTGGTGTACAACTTAGTAAACATGATCAACGACCTACTGTTCAACCAGTTGCTCAGCAAGCACCTCATCACCATCAAAGAATTGGCATGTGTTATATTGGGTCTCTTGGGTGTATTGATTGGAGTGGTGACCATCAGCTGGGACAGTGCTTTTGGGTTAGAGCCTCAGGAGGCCGATGACACGCAAGGGTTAATGAAAGCCAAGTTTCCCTACGAAAATGGACGTGGACGTGTCATGTCTTATGAAGAGGCAGAGTTGGTCAACCATGTTTTGGGTTACGGAAGCAATTAAACATAGACAAATTAAGAATTAAATATTTTGCGAAGCAACTCACTTGGAGCCACCAATGACAGGAATGAGAATGTCCTGGGGCACCACGTATGTGTTTTGTCTGTTGGCAACTCCGGCGTAGGCGAGGTACCAGCCACAGCACGACGAAATCACACAGCAGACACCTCCACATCTCAACAACACAGGGTGCTGGGTAGTGGTAAAGTAGTAGCCGGCCAAAACAAAGAAGGCGATATCCAAACTGGTGAAGAGCGTCACGAACACCAAGGTGGACTTCAATGTGCACAAGAGCATGAGGAAACAGAAAATACCCCAGCCAGTCAAGAAGAACCCCACTGCATTGCAATACATTTCAACATCATCACCATATGACTGAGGAATACCAAATGCATCCACGAAAAGTGTACCGTAGGAGATCCAGAAACCCATTCCGAAACTGACAAACACGGTTCCAGCAAAACAGTTGCCTATCACAAGTTCCCAGATTCCAGCAGCAGCCTCAACAAGGCCACCGTACCAGAAGCAAAGACCAACCACCACATTTAAAGTTTTAATTCCTTGAGCACCAGCAAGATAAAGACCCAACACGAAGGTGGTTAAAGCGAATGATGCAAGCCCCAAAGCTCCGGCATTAGCAAACTGGTATTTAGGGTAAGGAGAGAATCTTTCCGTGGTGAAAGTTCCTCCAAATGCTTGCATGAGCTCATGGCGAAGATATTTTTTTCCTCCCAAAATGACATACTCTCCACCGTCGCCAGTAATTTGCACCTGGTGATGGATGCTATCCTGAGAGGCGGCGTTGTATTTGTCTGATTCGATGGAAGAAGCCATTTTATGGTTTGCAGAGAAAGAATGTCAGTTGGGCACTCTTGGTGGTATTTATATGCGTACACACGTTTGTGGGGTAGATGCTTGCAAGTCCGAAATGACACCATGATGCTAAGGCCGTCAGCCTCAGCGATGAGGATACGAGAAAATTAGAGGGGGGGTTCTTTGATAGGGTTAAAAGAGGCCATTTCAGATGACACGAGGATTCCGGGTTGGAATTTAATGTTGATAGAAATTTAAAACTGTAATTGTATGAAATGGGCCGGAGACAGTAGTTTGGAACTATCTGGTTTCGGAGTTTGGCTGCGAACATAGGGAAAACTGGGAGAACTGCAGCCAAACCCCAGCGGTGTTTAGCAGGCAGGCCTGGTGTGGGGAAAGTGGCAGAGCATTGCGACTCGGCGAAAAGGTGCAGCATGGACTGATGAAGGACAGTATGGGTGGAGGAGAGTGGAGGAGAGTAAAAATGGGGATCTTGGAAGGAGTATTTTAAATGGAGATATCGATGGACATACGGAAGACAGGCAGGTAGTAGTAGGATATCGATTTTGACAGGTCGGACTTTGGTGAGGAGTATTGAGAGTGAGAAAAAGTTTGGTGGAGGAATGCGACTCGGAGACGGTAAGAGAAAATCTGGTGAATGGGAATGAAGGAGGATATTGGAATAGATGTGGAATATGAAAGAGATAATGAATTTGAAGTTGAAATGTAAGTTGAAATTGGTAAATACGAAAAAAAAAAAAAAGGGAATAGTTTTCTGGTCTACTTGATTATTCTTGATTAAAGTTGTAGTTTTGGAGCGGGAGAAGTTATTCTGTATTAACCTAAAATCTAACTGACGTTTGAATTCGATAGATAATGAAATAAATAAAAATGATGAACTTTTAACCTTTTGTCTCTGTCTCTTCTTTTCCATTTCTATATTTGCTTGTCGAGTAATTACCTATTCTGTTCTTCATTTCTTAATTCTTCAATTCTTCCGTTCATCTTACTCTATTATTCAATTCTTTGGAATGTGACTTTCTCCCACTCCATTTTCTGAGTTGAAACCACCAGTTTCAATCATCCTTTTAAATCTGGAATGATTCAGTAAATCAATAGTCATGGCTACTTAACGTCCACTTTAGTTTCTAACACCGCATGTTCGCACTATAACTGAAGGTTCTATTAAGCTTATTTTCAAACAGGTTCACGGAATAGTCATGGGATAATCACCAATCCAACCAAGGATTCTTATAAAAGAAAAAACGCTGTTTCAGTAGCTGCCGTATTGTCCTTTTCATTGTGTTCGCATTGGATTGCTTACGGTGTTAATGTCATGGTGTTTAGCGCAGGTGTTTAGCTCAGATATGGCTCACATATATAACTCCGACTGAAACCTCTCTCGTAGACTCCAACCCTCCAGCCATGGTACATTATCTCCAAAACACCAGAATCGATCATCATCAAGTTCCATCTTCGCAACTTTCCGTAAGGTCAACGGAAGCAATCAAGATGCAACGTTGATGCCATTTCTGATAATTACATTGACTACTTCATGGATGTTTTTGCTGGTTATATTAGTTGAATGATGGAGTTAGAGAAAGAAGAAAATCGGTATGCATTTATTGTTGTTTTCTCTAGTTTACTTAACTAGAGTTTTGGGCTTTCTCTGGAATGTATGTTGTTGAGTCCTGTTTAATTGTTGATAGTTTTCCGAATACTATTTACATTCTCAAAGACAAGTTCTAATATTCTTTTGAGAGAAGCTGCAAGGTATTAATGGAGGAATGTTTGAGGTTTTGACTGTTTGTTACCGGGACAATTTGATTGCAGCAATGCAAATCAGTAACTTGAAAGGTGGCAGTTTGAATGCTGAAAAACTGTTACTTTGTATGAGAGTTATAAATAGTTGCTAAGAACCTAATAGAAGCCTTAGCTGCTGAAAGTCCCATATGTATGTGGATTCTTTGCGTTTATATTTGAGCTTGTCTTTCATTCTTGATCTCGAAGTTGACTGAATATGGCCAACTTTCCACTTTTATTTTTCCTTTTGAAAATACTTTAATTCTATTGGAGATATAAATAGTCAGAAATGTTTCTTGGTTTTTCAATTCGTCATTTATTTGGTCACATTTGATTTACGAGGAATCATGGGACTAACGATTTATCATTGTAGTTGAAAAGGTTCTATCAATGAAATAAAAAAATACTTGGCTATTAATGTTTGTAGTCACATATTTTGACAATTTAGCAGCAAGATTGATTTTCTTAATACATGGCCTGGCCTTTTTGCAAAGAAAGTCGCCAGTGATATTGAAGAAATGGCTGCACTCAGAGTGTAAATGTCTGGGACGGAACATCTGGGATAACCATCAGGAATGAATCTGTAGACACATCAGTGTCTAAGCATCAGCAAGAAAGAGTAACTAGATTAATTTAGATAATTGTCAAGTTTGATATGCTGGCACCAGAATCATTTGCTTTTTACTCACCTTATTTATGATAAGAGAATACCCATCCAAGTTGCGTGCAAATATCCTCTAAAATTCACATAAAAGAACCCTCTTTATTTCCTGATTCCCTTGCTAAACCCTTAATACACTTTTTCGCTTCTTCATTTTTACTATTTAGTCTTAGTCACTCACTACCCACACTCATTGCTTACTCACTGGTCACCTCACAATACTTCTCATCTCACAACCTCATCGGCCTGCATTTCAAGACAACATGTCTGATAGAACCAAAAGTGGAATTGGCCCTTCCAAGCTCCCAGAAACGATTGTTTCTCCCTATAGATCCATAACTCAGCTTATCTCTCTTGGCTCTAAACTCCAGAACAAACACACCTGTGCAGATGCTCTTCGAGAAGTCCAGGTTCTTCAACTGCGAGGAAAACTTCCACACGGAGTCGAATGTACAGCGTTGTTTGCGTCCTTGGCTCTAGCCGACATTCCGGGCGCTAACACTTTTGTTCTTCGAAACGCATATGCGCTGGCTTTAGTGCGATTTGTCAATGGAATGCTAGATCCGTTCCAGCAGGGCCAATATGCCAGTGCGCTAGTCAACATCGCCAAAATCGTGGGGCTTCCTCTAAGTTTTGTGGAGATTCGCCATGCTGCCACCCACGAGGAGTTGCCTACGCTTGAAGCGTTGCGTGCTCTGGCGTTGAAGGCTACTAAGTGGTTGCAAGACAACTTCTGGTCGGAGTTGAATGAAGATGTCAGTGGTGAAAGCTCGCAGGGAAGAAATAGCGGTGTGGTTGAAAGTAAGGCTGCTTATGGAGCCTCGGACGGTGACATTGTCAGATGGTTGAAAATCTTCAAGCGTGGCCGCAAGAGACTGCTAGACTCTGAGAGGTTGGTGAGGCCACTAATCTGTGATTATGACCAGCAAATTTACTGGAGTGCCATCGACAGCTTAGCTAGCGAGTGCAAGAATAATCAGACGAAGGTGGCGGAAATCTTGGTGCAACATTTTCTTGTTAAGAGGATAGAGGCAAAGACGAAAACAGCCATAAAGGTGTACCTGCCGTTGGTGGAGTATTTGGGAGTTGAGTTTCGTTGGAACGTGCTGCTTACACTCATCCACCAGAGCTCACTGCTCATTCCTGGGCATTTCGATGGCTGTTCTTTGGTTCAGAGTGAGCAATGGCTACAGCATTTGATCCCGGTAGTTTTACAGGGTCCATTCCAGTTCGGAATGGTCAAATGCAAGGACGATGCCATTATAGCTCTACGCACAAATTTGACTCTCCTTGAGGTGGAAAGTCTGATCCGCATCGCTGTAGAGGATTTTCTTTCTGGATCAAATAAGAAGAAGTTCATGTTGCCTCCTCTGTTGGAGGAGATTCTCTCGGAGCAGGTAAGCACGGAAACAAGCACAGAAACAAGTACAGAAACAAGCATCGAGCCGGAAGAAAAGGTTGAGAACGATTACAAGAGACACAAAGCTGCTTGTGTTTTTGGCAGCCATGATAATTGGACCATTAAGCCGTTTGGTGTGGCATGATCACCGAGAATTCTACTATTTCATGAACTAATGGCTGGTCCATAGTGAATTGGACGTCGCAATAAGGTAATATTAATGAAGAATGATAGAACAGGTTATCATTCAGGTGATCTGTATATCTTCTTTTTATCCTTTAATTGCCATGTTCTTCCTCTTTCATTCTCCTTTCTCATCTCCAATCCACCTATCTTATCTCACTCACATGACCAATGTGAGATACGATTACAAGACACGATACCAAAACTTCCAGAAGCTACAAAAATCTTCATTATTGCCACCACTAACAATTTCTGAAATCCTGGTTGCCCTGTAATTCATCCCATTCTTCCGCCCTAACCCCTTCTAACTCTACATCGCCTTGCTATCTTTCCTATCCCAACTCTTTACTACCTGCACTCCTTATCTAATCTGAGCCATAACTCCACAATCCAACTTACTACGCCATCTACTAGCAAAACCATCAATTTGCACCCCACAAAGGTCCTCCACGCCCGCAATGAGCCCGCAGTGGATCCCCCAAAACATCCAGAAGCGCTTGCTTCTCTACATTCTCCAGCAGTTACAGCTTTTCTCCGCCATCGACCTACCTAACTTGGAGGAAGTTTCGCTCAATAACATCTTACTCAAGGACATCTCCATCGACCCTGAGAAGGTCGGAAAGCTTCCTGGCTGTAATCTACGTTTGGGAAAGCTCCGCAATGTTGAGCTCAATGGCGGAGTCAGCGGAGTGAACTTTGCCATCTCAGGCGTTGAATTGGTTATAGCACCTAGTGTGGATAACTTGGACGACGATCTGATGCAATTTCTGTTAGCACAAAGTACTGCCAACTTGGCTAGCACTGTTATGTTCGAGCAGGACGGTGAGAGCGCCGTAGATGACGATAATGATTCCGATACAAGCATAGAGTCCACAGCGTTGCCAAAAACAACGCGTTCTGGCTCCACATCTTCAACAACATCCAGAAGAAGCTCAACCATAGGCGGAATGATGTCGCGGGCGGCAGAAATTGCCTTGCTGAGACTTGTGGTGACGGTTTCAGACATAAACATCAAATTTGTTTCTGATCCTACCGATATCTTGATCCACATCGACACCGTGCTGTTCAACGCCAACAACGGCCTACGTTTTGTGGAAATATTGGGAGTGAAGATTTCTACCCTCAAGCCTCGCGTTAACAAAGGACATTGCGCTGAATCTGACGTTCTGGACCATGTACTGAGCACCAATACTTCCGAGTCTGAGGACGATTCGGATTCGGATTATGTGGATGAGTCGTTGATGGAGAGCATGGTCTTAAGTCCAGAGGAGGCTAGCTCAATCTACATGAGTGCTACATCCCAGTCTTTCAACAAGGGAGATCTAGCATCTGCCCAAAGTGATGAGGCCGTGATGGCATACATCGACCACATATCGTTGAGCTTTGAAGGACTCTCTCCCGTTTCCGACATGAAGGTTGACATTGGCACTATCAATGTCGCTGCTGTACCTCTCGTGCCTACCGCTTCCCTTGCTTGCAACTGCATCTCCAAGATGTTGAAGTTGAAGATCCATCAGCTCCGCAAACAGAACGCGGCACTCAGACGTCACAGCAAGTCTTCGACTAAATTCCCTGAATATGACCAAGATGATGACCATTTTGAAGACGACTCTAATGAAGATACTGATCCTTTAATTGTTGCTTTCAGTAAGTTGCATGTTGAGGCCATAGTTGTGAGTCTCACTTCTGCTTTAACATCCAGCGGAGCTTTTGCTTCGACTTCTGACGATGTTAGCATTGATTTGCGCAACTTGAATGTCAAACAGAAAAGCGCTAATTTGATATATGGAGGTATTGAGAAGTTCTCTATCAAGAAGTACACTCAAGGTGCAGAGTCGTCTGTATTTGAATTTGAAAACACAAAGGTTCTGACAGCCACTTCTGACTCTTCGTCATCATCGGGAGCTCCTTCTACGTCGGCTTCGGCCTCCCTGTCCAAAGCTGATGTTCGTTTTGAATTCTTCAGAAAAACTGAAGAAAAACAAGCTACTTCTGAAATCACTGCCTTGCTTTCTAAGCCAGCAATGCTCTCTTTGGACAGTGTTTCACTCCAGTACTTGATCCACTTTGCATCGTCTCTCACCACAGTTTACGAGAGCTTGAACGGTATGTTGGACAACCTCAAGTCTGTAAAAGATCTAAATACTATGGTCAATCTGTCACCGGCATCGCCTAATCCAGGATTTGAAGAGACAAATCAGTTTTTATTGCAAACATCGTCTTTCAATATCAATGTTCAATTGTCCCCGTCAACTCAACTTAAGGCTGTTGTCTACCCGATTTCCTTTAACAAGATTCAGGAGCAAATGTCCTTGCAGCGAATTATAATCCTGTCCATCATAGATCAGGTTGAGGAGCAAATCTTTACCGTACCAAATATTATCATGAAACTCAAACCTCAAGAGTTCAGGCATTTTTTATATCGCTCCTCCACTTCCACTCCTCGTGAGTTGACATTGCAATGTTCTAATACGCTATCATGCGGAACGATAAAGGGCTCAATGGAATTCAGCACTCTAATTAATATCAAACAAGCATTTATGGAATTTTCTCAGGAGTTTCTGAATTATTCTAACTTAGTGAATGCTTTGGACACGGCGTTGTCGAAACCTCTGGAAAAGATCTCTTCCTTTGGATCAGCAGGTTCATACGCCAGTTCAATTTATTCTAACCAGACGAGGTTTCGCAGAATGAAAGGCTCACAAACCCCGTCCGTTACGTTTGGAGAACTGTTACGTCCTTCTGTGGCATCTTTCAGATTGTTTATCAAGCAAATCAACTTCTCGGTGAAGAACCTCTTTGAGCACTTCGGAGATATGGACTTCGAAATCGACCATTTTGAGTTGAGCCAGCAAGCTGGGAACACTCATGGTTTTGTGAAGTCAGTTGGGGCATTGAGAAGATTGAAGGCCGGTGGTTTGACTCAGCCTTTCTTGACTGGCTTTACTAATTCCCCCTCTACCACCCCTATGGCTTTCTTCGTTCTTGTGTCCAACGAGAAGAACTCTTCGATGGATTTCGTTCTTCGTAGATTTTGTGTCGAATATTATGCCAATTGGATAGAACTTTTGAAGAGAGATGTCACTGAGGGGCATAACGCCGAGGAAATAGTTCAGGTTACAACTCCAGCCAATCCTCCAACCTCCACAAAGCGCTCAGATATACATGTTTCATTCAATGACTTTGTCGTCGGCATGAACCCCTATAGACTTAACAGTAAGTTAAGTTTAGCAGTTTCCAGGGGTAACATGGACTTTACCTCAGGGAAGGAGCAGTTTTATATTAAGAGTTCCTTTCGTGAACTCTCTCTCTTTTTGATCGACGATAAGAATAATATCAAGAATGCTACGGAGAATTATTCACAATCTACTCCTCAATCCATTTTGACCTCAATGGGACATGTGATGATCGGGCACATTAACTCTTCGCATCTTGGAGTTACTGTCAACACTGATGTGGGTGAGATCAAAAGACGGAATCAACGTTTAGGTATTCGAGGTGATCTCTCTCTAGTTGATGTCAAGATTAACTCCGACGAACACCAAATTGAGCTCTGTGCTGATTCCGCACATACATTGGGTCAGACTGTTAATGACTTGAAAGCGCCAGCAGTGTTCATGAGTGAGGACAAATTCAGAGTTAAAGTGGAAGAGGGTTTAAAGCTTCCTAACGAAATTCTTGAAGAGATCCAAGCTTTACGGAAAGGTGGTTCTAAGAATTTTGCCTCTAATCATCAAACTTCTTCTGCGAAACTAACAAAGCCTGCTAAAAAAGATTCAGAAGATTTTTTCATTGTTGATGACTACTATAACGATATTCCAGGGCCAGACGTCAATATTGAACTGGGAGTGAGCAAGTTGAGTTTGGACTCATCTTCCAACAGCAATATCGACTCATCTTCAATTTTGGTTGTTGAGGATCACTTTTCGGAGAAATCTTCAAAAAGTGATATCAACATATATCCATTCAGTTTCAACATTAATCTCTCGAAGACAAAAATATACTTGTATGATGGGTTTGACTGGAAGCAGACACGCAAGACATTGAGAAAAGCAGTGAAAAAATTGGAAGGTAAAGCTAAACAAGCTTCAGAAAGAAAGAAAAACAAGCAACTGACCAAAGAAGAAGACTCTTTACCAAAAAATTCTTCGGAATTGTTGAAGGGTAGTCCCCCAATATCTGAGCATGTTGAGCCACAGTTTTCTACGAGTGTGGTTGAAGATGATGATGATGATGATGCAGAACCATTTGAGGCAATTTCTGAGAATTTGTTTCAATCAATCAATTTATCCTTACCTGAAGGGACATCTCCAAGTGAATTAGTTGCCCATATAAACTCGCAAGTGCAATTTGACCAGATTAATAACCAACAAGATGGAGAAATCAAGGTAAATGTCGAGAAGCATTACAAAGAATTAAGACTAAATCGTTCCAATATTCATAAAGTGTTGGTGGACTTGAAGAACATCGAAATCAACTTGACTAACTTTACAAGCAATGATCCTCGAGTGGATAGGGTAACTGAGAAACAAGAGTTTGAAAAAGTTAACAATATCGATGTGAGATTGGACTCAATCACTGTTTTTGATAACGTGCCCACGTCTACTTGGAACAAGATTTTGACTTATATGAGCATCCTTGGAGAACGAGAAATTGGAACCAGCATGCTCAAGTTTAGCTTGATGAATGTCAGGCCAGATCCAACTTTGGCATATACGGAGGCTCTTATAAACGTCTCAATTCTTCCAGTCAGACTTTATATCGACCAGGATACCTTAGAATTTATCACTCGATTCTTTGAGTTTCGGGATACCAGATTTCAGCTCCCCGCGGACGAAATGGTCTATATTCAGAAGCTTGTGGTTGCTCCGTTGAAATTGAAGTTTGATTACAAACCTAAAAAGATCGACTATTCTGGTTTGAGGTCTGGAAATCACGCTGAATTCGTTAATTTCTTCATCCTAGATGGTTCGGATATTGCCTTGAGAGAAGCTATTGTCTATGGGGTTCCGGGATTCCCCAAATTGGGGCAGGCCCTAGGAAATGTGTATGCACCCTACATTCAGAAGTATCAGCTTGCTGGACTCTTAGCAGGTTTATCACCTGTGCGTTCCATTGTTAATATCGGGGGAGGTGTCAAAGACTTGGTGACAGTACCATTGAAGGAATACAAGAAGGACGGACGTCTTATGAGAAGTCTTCAAAAAGGAACGAAGTCTTTCGCTAAGACCACAACCTATGAGTTATTGAAGCTTGGTGTGAAATTGGCTTCGGGCACCCAAGTCATGCTCGAGAATCTGGAAGAGTACTTTGGTGGAGAAGGATTGACTGCAAGGAAACCTCGCAAAGAAATGAAGACGAATGTACGAGAATTTAAACACAGAAGTGGGGCAAAGAAGAACGGTATCTTGGAATCGTCACTCTTGCTCAAGAATTCCGTACAGATTGATCGTGATCCATATACAAGCCAGAAATTGTATTCGGCATTGGACGAGGTAAACGAGGAAGATCTGGAGTTCGACGAGTTGCAGCCATCTATTCTTGTTTTCGATGAATCGAGCAAGTCAGGTACGCCTGATGTCCATCGATCTAAGGACGAAGAGGAGGATCAGGACGAGGAAGATGGTGAATATACTGAGAAGATGGTCAGTCTATACTCCAACCAACCAGCCAACGTCAAGGAGGGATTGAAATCTGCCTACAAATCTCTCGAGAAAAACATAAAGACAACCAAGAAAAAGCTTATCGGATTGAGAAACGATCTTCAAGATGCCGAGAATTTTCAAGAGCTGCTCGCAACAATTGCTAAATCTTCGCCTGTTATAGTAATCCGTCCAATGATTGGCACTACCGAGGCAGTTATGAAGACCCTCATGGGGTTAGGGAACGGCATCGATTCCCGGTATATGACGGAAAACCAAGATAAGTATCGCAGCGATAGGAGCTCACATGGGGAGGACTAGTTATCTCGGCATGGCTCGTTACCCATGACTTTGGCACAGATAAGAATCATCGGGGTTGTGCAGATAGTTAGAGGTGAAAAGCCGTGAGCATTTTCCCGATGTTCTGGGCGGGGTTCCTGAATAAAGCCTTTCGGTGAGCATCTTAGAGGTCCGTGACTCTTTGATCCGTTACTCCTTCCATTTTTGTAAATTTTGCTATGTGGACTAAAGAGGAATGACTTACCCCAGATGGCTCTAAGTGGGGTATATGGCATTTTGTTCCCATTTATCTTCAGATTGAGGACGTATCGAAACCATTACCTGCATACTATGGTATAGAAGCACTTTCGGAGACTTGGCAATGGTGCCGTACGGAATTTCCTTCCTTTACGTTTGAGCGAGCTGAGCATCTTTTGTTTGCTGGGGAAGAGAAAACTTCAACACCAATGAATCAAAGAGAATGATAATTTATGATAAAGGTGGATTTCATTAGCATTAGGAGCTGGAAATAGTCTGAATTGAAGACGTTCTGCCTGAGCGCATGAAAAGTGACAGTATCTCATCGGAAAAACATTGACAGGCGCGGTGCATGAAGAAGCATCACTGTTGCATTCTGCCTTTTTGTTTCTTTTTCGTATGATTTTTCTATAGGCGTCACCCCATATAATATCTTGTCACCTGCGCCAACTGTGAAAAGAATTTTTTTTTTTTTTCTTCCCTTCTCTTAGTACAGTTGAGCTTTCTTTAAAATGGCCGCAAACGATATTGAAGCTTTGGTGCCAGAGCCTTCGCTTAAGAACGAACAATTCGATGCCATCGAGAAGGAAACCGACACTAAGGAGGCGGAGATTGAGCTGTCGCTGGACTCTGACAAAAACAGTAATGGCAATTCTGAGTTGAGCAAGTGGCAAAGAATCAAAATCAGATTCCCATGGGCTCGTTTGGCTCTTCACGTTTTCGTGGGGATGTTTTTCACTGCTTGGTGGATTTCTATCTTGGTCCAGAAGAAGCACAGACCAAAGTGGTTGATTCCAACCGTTTTTTACGGTATGCTCATGGTGAGATTGATCTCATGGCACTCGAGAATCTTGTACCACATGCTTCATGTGGTGCAAAAGGTGTGGTACTACGCCTGTGACATTGTCTACACCAAGTTGCTTCCCAACAGAAACCACAGATTGCTTGCTGGAGCAACCGTCACTCTCGCTGTTGTTTTGGTTGGAACTTTCGTCACCGAAGAGTCTGAGTACTCTTTGAGAAAGGATAGAGCCGTTTCCTTCTTTGGTTTGGTGTGCTCTGTTGCAGGGTTGTGGGCCACTTCAAAGAACAGAAGCAAGGTCAACTGGAACGCTGTCATTGGAGGTGTTTTGATGCAATTTATCATTTCGCTTTTCGTGTTGAGAACTAGCGCAGGTTATGATATCTTCAACTTTATCTCCACATTGGCCAGAGAATTATTGGGTTTCGCTAAGGATGGTGTGGCATTCTTGACCAGCAAGTCTGTTTCCCAGATTGGTATGTTCTTCTTCTCTGTTTTGCCTGCCGTGGCTTTCTTCGTTGCATTCGTCCATATCTTTTACTACTTTGGTATGATCCAATGGTTCATTGGTAAGTTCGCCAAATTCTTTTTCTGGTCGTTGAGAATCTCTGGTGCTGAAGCAATCACTGCTTCTGCTTCGCCATTTATTGGTATGGGTGAGTCTGCCATCTTGATTAAGGATTTATTGCCTCACTTGACTTTGGCAGAGTTGCATCAGGTCATGACCTCCGGTTTCTCTACCATTTCTGGTGCAGTCTTGGTTGGATACATTGGTTTGGGTTTGAGTGCTCAGGCTTTAGTGTCCTCGTGTGTCATGTCCATTCCAGCCTCCATTGCTGTCTCCAAGTTGAGATATCCAGAGACTGAGGTGCCTTTGTCGCAGGGTACTGTCAAATTTGCCGAGGACATTGACGAGAACCACAAAAGACCAAAAAACGTCTTGCAGGCCTTCTCCGAAGGTGCCAACTTGGGTCTTTTCACTGCTGCCACCATGTTGGTGCAATGCTTGTGTATCATTGCCCTTGTTGCCTTGATCAATGGTGTGTTGACTTGGTTCGGTAAATTCTGGAACATTGGACATTTGACCTTGGACTTGATCTTTGCTTACATCTTCTACCCACTCACCTTCTTGCTTGGTGTTCCAAGAAATGAGATCTTCACCATTTCTAAGTTGGTTGCTACCAAGTTCATCCAGAATGAGTACGTTGCCTACTCCATGTTGATCAACGAGTCTCCATACAAGGAGTTGTCCGACAGAGGTACTTTAATTGCCACTTATGCTCTTTGTGGATTTGCCAACCTTGGATCTTTGGGTATCACCTTGGGAGTGTTGAACACCTTGAGTAAGGGTAAGAGATCTGCTGATATCTCAAAGACCATTTTCTCTTCTTTATTCTGTGGATTTGTTGCCACCATGATGTCTGCTGCCATTTCGGGAATGGTCATCCACGATTTGTCTGGATTTGTCACCAGAAAGGCGCTGTAGATAGTATATGAATACATATAATGATTATGAAAGGGATATAGTTTATATGAGTTAAAAAATGTTTTGGGTTGGGTTTGAGGTGAAGTTCGTATTTGGAGAATGTATCCTTTTATTTCTTTGATTTGTTCCCATTTTGGTAATTTTGAATAGAAATCAGAGATGCCCTAAAATAACACGGCAGAGAAAAGGAAAAGCTGAGTCTTTTTTAAATCAAGGAGACTAATCACACACAGACCTATCTTCAAATGTATCAAAATTATGGTTCTCATGATGACTTGTTCCTTTTTCTGCTTTTAGTCTCTGTTGTATCCCAATGACATAATAAGGTAATAAGTCCATTCACCCAATGATTATCACGACGTATTCACTATACACTCAAATTGAACGAATAAGAGAATCATTCCTTTTATTTCTTCATTTCAATCAATCTCTTTCTAATTAATCTAGCTTTTTTTTCAATTATTCGACCATCAGTCAATAGTTCCACAATTTAATTGTCTGTAGTACCACTATCGCATCCTGCAGTATCCACCCGATAGTACTCCGTCATCCAAATCTCACACTATCTCCATATTCTCTATCGATATGCCAGGCAATTCCGTTCTCCAGGGATGTCTCAGCAACATCAAGCACCAATCTCACTTGATGAAGGAGAGTTTGGCCGAGGGCCACTTGCTCCAGGCGTTGAAACACTGTTCCAACTTCTTGAACGAATTGAGAACCAGTCAACTCACACCCAAAGAGTACTATGAATTGTACATTGCCGTCTACGATTCATTGGAGAGTTTGTCGGCATATTTACTTCAGTCTTACAAGCTGAAGCAGCTGAAAAGCAAGGACGTACCCTTTTTGACCGACTTGTATGAGTTGGTCCAATACTCCGGCAATATTGTGCCTAGATTGTACATGATGATTGTGATAGGAACAACATACATGTCAACCAAGAATGCAGAAACCAAAGAGATAATGAAGGATATGATCGAGATGTGCCGAGGTGTGCAGCATCCAATCCGTGGTTTGTTCTTGAGAAACTACTTATCGCAGAGATCCAAGGATTACTTTCCCTTGGCCACTCGCGAAGATTTCAACGAAACGGTGGATTTTTTGATTACAAATTTCATCGAGATGAACAAGCTTTGGGTGCGTTTGCAACACCAGGGCCACTCCAGTGAGCGAGAGTTGCGTACTCAGGAAAGAAAGGAGTTGAAGATCTTAGTGGGGTCCAACTTGGTGCGCCTCTCCCAGGTCATTGATGACTACGATGGTGGAGACGAGTACTCCAGCGAGCAATTCTACAAGGAAAATATATTTCCTACCATCACTGAACAAATCATACAGTGTCGGGACCATTTGGCCCAGAGCTATTTGATTGATGTGTTGGTGCAGATTTTCCCCGACAACTTCCATTTCTTGACTTTGGATAGCTTGCTCAACGATGTATTCCTTAAATTGCATCCCATGTTGAATAAGTCCGAGCTTGTGGAGACGCTTGTGAACCGTTTTGTTACGTACCACAAGTTTGAGGCAGATATGGTTGACATCGAAGAAAGAACACAGGATGTCGAAATTGAAGAAAGCGAAGAACAGGCCAAAGATAAGTTGGAGAAGTCGGAAAAGTCAGAAAAAGCAGAAAGGTCTCCTTCACCCGTGGTGCCTATCGACGATATATTCCAATCGTTTTGGAACTTCTACCTCAATTTGCAACAGGCCCAGCCCGAATTACCTGTCGAGGAGTACATCTCTATTTTGCAGTCGCTCATCAAGTTGTCGCTCACCTTCGACCCCAACAACTACTCGTACCTCAATAAAATTTACCTGTTTGCCAACGAGAAACTCGAGGAGGTTTCCAAGAGCAAATCCGCCAGCAGCGACGAAGTTGTCCTGAGCTTATGGTTGGACTTGCTTATCACACCCGTGAGACATTTTTCTTCGATCAAGGGCCTATTGAAATTGCCATTCTTTTACGAATTGTACTCGCAAGTTGGAAATGTTGCGTTCCAAAAGCAACTATCATTGGAGATCGTGAATAAACTCGTGGAAAGTTCTAATGCTGAATACGATGGAGAAAAGGAGACCTACGAGACAACTGAAGATATCGATGTTGTTTTTAAGTATATGCTCGTATTGATCAACGATTCTGATAGCCAGTTGAGTACCTCGAAAGATTTGGGGTTGACCAAATCGATCAAGATCGAAAACAACGAAAAATTTGTTACTGAAGACTTTTTGTCAGTACAAGAGAAGATCAGTAAGGTGATCCATTTGATTGAGCATCCAGACTTGTTCAAGAACTTGTCCAACTTATTCTACGTCAAGAAAAAGTACTTGAGCAAGTGTCCTGCTAATACTATCTACACATATCCTACATTAATTACCAAAATGACTGCGAAGTTGAGAATTGCTGGATACCAGGTTGTCAGGAAGAAATCTCGTGACGGAGACCAAACAGATTTGGTGATCACAAGCAATTTCAAAAACATTTCGGTAGTAATTGATGAGCTTTACCTGAATCACCAACGATTCTACTCGGAAATGATATTAAGGCTCTTCCTCAATTTGGCAACGACTGCCGACCAATTGAAGCAAGAAACAATTGCCTACGAATTGTTCAACCAATGTTTCGTTGTTTACGAAGAAAACTTGATTCTCAACTCGGCGCTGAACCAATTGGTAAATCCACACGATTCAATGGGTGGTGCAGTGTCGTATCAGTCGATCATCATGATCAGCAACCGTTTGGCTAATCTGCGGTACTTCAATAAGGAGAGTTATGAGAGTTTGATCACCAAGATCACCTTGTACGGATCGAAGCTCTTGAAAAAGCAGGATCAATGTCGTTCGGTGTACTACTGTGCACATTTGTGGTGGTGGTGTGATCTCTGGATCGGTGAACCTTCACCTACTGTGGAGGAGGAGTCCAAAATAGAGTCGTCAGAAGGTAACGTGGAGAAACCAGTCCTCTACCGCGATGCCAAGCGTGTTTTGGAATGTCTTCAGAAAGCCCTCCGTGTGGCAGACTCGTGCATGGATCCATATCTACTGTTAAAATTGTTTGTGGAGATTTTGAACAGATGCCTTATTTTCAGTGTGTACGGCAACGGGCTTGTGGATCTGAGATATATTAATGGGTTGATCGATCTTATACGTACCAATCTTGGCAATTTTAAGGACGACTCGACTAAGGATGAAGATGAACAAGAGGCTAAGCTTCTTGGACAGATTGAGCAGTTTTTCGAGCGGACTCTATTATACGTTGCGGAGCAGCAGGAATTGGAGGATCGGTTCCCTGATATCATCGTTTGAAGAAAAGAAAGAAAAGTTGAATTGCTTATACTAGAATCTGTTATGGTGTTCTATTGCGCACTCGCGCATTAGCCATGTAGATCTTTGAGAGTATTACAGTAGGTATCTATAGCTTGGGGAATATGAATCATTCTTGTTCAACATTACTTCTGTTCACCGTACGATTCCAAAATTTCCAACTGCAACTATTTTTCCCCTTTTTCTTCTCCTCTTCTTTTCCCTCTTTCTCTTCAGTTCTCCATTTGCCTCCTTTTCCTCCTTTTTGGCATAGCCTGGTGCCACACCGTTATGCGTCCTGTACCCATACACTTCAACCTGCCAGTCACACTTTTCTTGCAACCATGAGTAAACATTTAGCAAAAGACTCGTCCGTATGGAACAAAATCATGTACGGCAGATCACGAGTGCCATCGCCTGTCCTTGCCGTTTCTTCCGGTGAAAAGGGCTTGAAAAATGATGAAGTTTTCATCGAATTCGAAGATAAGGAAAGGAATTCTCCAACTGATAAATCGCCATCGAAGAGAAAACAATATGTTGACTTTGTATTGGCTTTTATTATTGGAGTCTATGTGTTCTGGAAATTCAGTGCCATTGACCACCGTGGGTGTCTGAATATGGCCACAATTGAGCTGGTGGCAGGATCAGCAAGTAGGTATGGAGGATTTGTCGATTCAGGTTCCTATTCGGACCAGTCCAAGGGTGCTAAAGAGGTGTTGAGTGTTGCTTATCCACTCAATCCTAAGAAACGCTACGGAGAACCTGTCCATTCGGAGGTTTTGGTAAACCATACTTTTGACTCATGGGGTCACCCTAACTTGGTGGCATTCAAGCCTCCAAAAACCCCTTTTACAAACGTGGTTTTGACGCTTAAAACTACGGTGAACGGCATTCAGTACGATCGGTTGGCTCATTTGTACGTAGGCGGTGCAGAGATCTGGAGAACTTCCACTATTGAGCCAGGATCCAGAGAGGTCTTCTCGGAGTTCAAAAAGGATGTCTCGTCGTACGCAAGCTTGTTCCAGAAAAAAACCGACATCTTGTTTCAGTTAGATAACATTGTGTCTGACTGGTTGACAGGAAAATTCCATATCGAGTTGACTGCTGATTTCTATGAGTCTAAGCATGTCAGCACTGATTCTGAAGAGGGCACTATTGCTGATCAATATCTGGTATTCGATGTGCGCAAGCCGGCAAGTAAGGTCTACCCGTTGGTTGATAAGAAGGATTCCCGGTCACCTCCAATCGAATACCTTCCAACAGACACCTTCGTCTTTAAGTTGCCAGAGGTTTCTAAGAACACCACGAGGTTGAAGTTGGCTGCGTTTGTCAGTGGAAACGGGAATGAAGAATTCTGGTACAGTAACGTGTTGGACCGGTTCACCGATCGTTTCCAGAAAGATGGAACCATACTTTTGGGCCATGGTCCAACGAGATTTTTGAACGTTTATGTGGATGGCCAGAAAATTGCCTCACAGGCTCCACAACCCTTCATTTTCACTGGAGGATACTCGCCTTCGTTATGGAACCCCGTAGTGGCTATCGACGCTTTCGATTTGCCTAGTGTTGACATCGATGTGACCGGCTTGTTGCCTTTACTTTGGGAAAGCGGGGAACATGAGTTAACGATCACTGTGGACAACGGGTTGGATGAGATTGAAGGTGGAAGTTCCGGAATTGGCCATGACTGGATAGCCTCTGCTAACTTACTCACGTACGAGAGCAATGACGTGGTGGGATCTTCCGGTAAAATTTTGCACATTGGCGAACGTTCAAAGGGAAACTCGATTGGTGTGGCCCCTCCATACACTGGTACCTTGCTGCAAGTTGTTAACGCAATCTTCCAAGAACAGTTGACCAGCGAGATTGTGCTTAAATTGCGTGATGGCACGACATTGAACACTACGGTTAGTACTTTTACTAAGGGTGAGATTTCTAATGTTCAGCAGTACTCTCACCTGGGAAATTCTGCCCGCATCGTTCATGTTGGACATTCCTCTAAGTCATTTTTGTTGACTGACAACTTGAATGAAGGAGATATCGTCCATCAAACCAACGTTTCTCTTAGTTATCCTTTGGTGATTTCTTTAAGTGAGACCCCAGCCGAGGATGGTGTTGATTTGGATTTCAAGATTGTCAACTCGAAGCTGATCACTTTAGACATTAACGATAACCGGATAATGGCCGAGACTATTGCTCAGAACGGCACTTCTCTTTTCCACATTAGACCTAATGGTAACCATGGTAATGGTGCATTGACCACCAAACTCAAGTTCCAAGTCACAGGCACCAGTGGAGACTTCAAGTTTAAGAGAAGAGTTGAGTCGGAAGATGGTGAGATTCTCAGCGATGAAGAAAAGTATGAGGAGATTGATGAAGACGATTGGAAGGAGATTTCCCAGGAAATCAAGCACATGTCTACGATCCATAAGGGCTGTGGCAGGCACTCTCATTAAGGAGAGTCACTTCGGGGGAAATTTTCGGGAAGACCCACCTCACTAAGCTGTAGCCCGGTAGTGTTAAAGAGAGAGTTTTACTTGGTAAACCTTTGTGGAAGGTTTAGGATTGGAATTTTAGTTTATAGTATGAATTATGCAAATGTTCAGCCGAATCCTGCCCACTCAATGGAGAAAGCTCGCATTGGAGTAGGGGACAAGCGTTCTGCTGGTGTAGGAGCTTCTTCCGTTGCAGTGGTGTCCTCTCCGATGAGGACCCAGGCCTTCTTGACGGCCGTAGCTAGTCTACCACTAGTAACAAGCTCCAACAAGTCGACGTTCTCGTCTTTCTGGAGCACTTTCACTATCAAATGCGAGTGGAACTGCAATGGATCGCCGGGATAGGCAACGAACACTCCGCCAAATCGTAGTCCTGGCATCATGTAGAAATCTCGACTGCGGAGATGGGAAAATGCACTATACTTTGCTAAGAATGCGTCGGGAAGTGTCTGGCGAGCGAGAAATTGCGATAAAGTCATAACACATGCATCGAAGGCGATATTGGCATCGCCATCAACAGCCGGGCCCATTACGGCAGCATCTTGCGTACCTTTTGGAGCACTGATGGTTAATTGTTTCTCGACATTTATCTGCAAGTGACTTAGAGGGACATCACTATTCTCATTCACATGTTTATCTCGTTGTTCATCTGTATGAGCATTTTCATGCCCAATTTGATGCTCTTGATTATCTCTTATCTCTTCATTTGCGTGCTTCTGTTCAATTCCCACCTGTCTAGCTTCATTTTCATCGTTGACAATTTCATGTTCACTTTCTTCATGTGCATGTTTAGCTCTACCTTCACCATTTTCATATTCATCACTTCTGCCGACGATATCATCTTCCTTTCTTGTTTTAACATTTTCGTTTTCAACTCTACAGTCAAATTCACCTCTGTACAACCCACCCTCTGCACTGGTATGCTCGGATCCGTCTCTGGGTGGGATATTTCCACTTTCAGATGATCCTCGACCCATTTCGGCATTGGCTCCCGTCGCATTCATCAAGTCACGTAAACCATCGCCACGCACCATGTCTTCGCCACCCTCTTTGTCGCCGTCACACTTACCCCGTGGTGCCTGGAGGACGTCTGGAGTCACGGCATACTTAAGGTCTCCAACATGGTCCCTGCACTTGCCTAAACACTCAGCCACGGTGTCGTTATACAACGCACCATCAACAAGATGCGCGTGGCCGTTTGCTACAAGCCAGGTGGCCTCGTAGACGCTGAGCTGCAACGGTAGACCCAAAAAAACATTCTGCTGCGGTGCTCGAGGCAACGTACCTACGAGGACTCCCGTGATGCCGAGCGAACGCAACGATCGGACATCTGAGAGGTCAAACACTAATGCGGACGCTGCTACGACGTGAATACGGATCATACGTACTTAAACAATGGCTAGTGTGAAGTTTGAGATTTATTATTAGATATGTAGGTTGTTTCGCGAGATGAGATAGACGACTGGATTTAAGCAGGATCATTGTGAGCAATGAGAAGCATGTGTACCTAACATGAGAAATATACATTTTGGTGGTCATAGATTAATTGGAATCGTTTCGGCGATGCAGATTTACTATCGAGCCAGTGTTGAACTTCATAAGTTCATAAAAATAAATATGGACGTGAACCCTCTGACACGTTCAACTAATTTCCATAGTAGCAGGGAACACCACGATGTCAATGAAAGTAATTAATTACGAAGACTTGAACAAGAAGGGAGGAGACTTTGGAGTATTTATCGGCGTTTCTTATCATCTGGATACCAAAAGTAGATGTTCTGTTCTTAATAGTGGGGTAAGAAATAATACTGGATGATACAACATGGTTTTCCTTATTTAATTTAATTGATACCAACATTGACTTCTTTGTAGCTACCAGTCCCATAGGAGTTCCAATAAATCCACTGGGTATTGATCTCCTCAAATTCTGACCCAGTCGTCACTGCACTTATTGTTTCAGATGTTCTGGCTAGCCTGGGGCCTAACACCTGACGCTCGGCTATCCATTGCTTGCCTGCGTTAGGTGGATTATTGCCCCTGGCCATCACCCTTGGACCTCACCGTTGAAAATAATGTTGTCGGCTTAAGTTTATGGCAACTGCAACGTTACCACTTCAAATCGCTTGCATTAGAATGTCAGTCGATAATCTCTGTCTAGTAATTCAATCACTTAGAGACTGGAAGTGTCATTTTCAAATGGAGTATTCACCTTCAGATCTTGAGTTCCCGGTTCTCTCCTCTGCAGTAGAGAGTTGTTACTAAATTTATCAATTCAAGGGTGAACAAATCCGGGGTACGGTTATTCACAGATATATCATATCAGCTTGCTCCTGAAAAGGCGCGAAAAACTAGTAACGCACTTTTTCAAGCGAATCTCGACATATCCCAACTGCACCATTCAAAGTTACTTTCAATGACTAAATTTGACAGATTCAAACTAATGTTCAGAGCCCAATGCATAATAACTTCTGGTGTACAGGTGCGTTCCCGAAAGGCAACCAAGTGCTCTTGCAGAACTGCCATACGGCTGGGACACCGCGGAGTAGCTCATTGCATTCTGGCGATGTGCATATACTGCATTCTGTATACCTTGCGGATGGTGAAATGGGAGAATTCGCTGCAGGTGAAGATGCACTATAGCGATGAGGGGAAGTGCCAGAACAAAAGTTAGGTGAAGTCGATTGTATGCATTGGTTTTGTTTATCTTGATGCTGTGCAAATCCCTTGGCAGCGTTACGGTAGATCTTACTCATATTTCTTTTGAATTTTTTGCGTTTAAACATTCAGCAACCAACGAAGTTTTCCTCCTCACACCACAACCTTCACCCTGTATAGGGGCCTGTCATATTGCCGATGTGCAAGTCTGATGATTGCACAATACTTTTTGAAATGCTCAAAACCGCAGTAGCTTAAACCAAATTTTCTCAACAAAACACAACATCACTTCTACAACTTAATTGTGACAGAATGTTCACATGCATGTTTGACACCTGCCGATGTGAAACGCGCGAACAATGGTAGTCATAGGCAACATAGAAAGTTCGCATGCATGGCAACCAGGTTCCGTGCAGCAACAAAGCTACTAGAAGTTGATCATCGTCAAGTTGCTCCAAAAGTACGCTATGGATGACTCCTTCACATTAAATATTCTAGATAGTCTACAACGCATGGACTCTTGGAAGGCATTATTGAATGATGACACCCTTCCAGGGTTGCATAACCAGGGTTAGGAGATTCAACTTACACGAAAATATTGGTGATTATTCTTGTATTATGACGATAACAGACGCTAAAGAACTAGACCACAATAATGGAAGCTGGTGCAAAAACGAATGTAGCGTACCAGAGAAAGAACGTTGCAAGATGCCGCAAAAAGAGGCGTTTGCATGGTTCTTGAACCCGACAATGAATACCCCTTCACTCCCCTTGGGGAGTTCTTAACAATCCATATTAATTAGTTAGTCAATCAACTGCGACACCTTCATGCGGTCACTGTTTTCCGAGTCCATGTTGGCAGCGGCCGAGTCCTCATCCTGTCCGATGCTCTTGAGCAAATTCTTGAATGGAGGAACACCCAGCTTTAACCCGGTGGAGCTGGAGCTGCTCACCAGTTGGCGGTTCAGGTTGATTGGAGTGATTGATGGGGAAAAGTTGCCGGATTGGTTGCGCTTGTGACCGAAGTCTCCCAGAGTATGGCCAGCCAATGATTTGGGGAAGTAGTCAGGAGCCACAGAGGGCCTCCGCAGGTTATGCAGCAGCAGCGCTGCCAGAGCGGGAACGGCAAACAGCCGCTGATTAAAATCGTAGTAGCCTACCAGTCCGTGGCGGCTAGACAGACAGGGCAGGTCGTAGTGATCCGAACTGTTGCCAGAGTTGAAGTTCAGCGATGCCGAAGTGTTCAGGTGCATGTATAAAGCAGGCAGTGTTGATGAAAGTGGGCCTGTCGCATGAGTCTGGCCTGCCAGATAAGGGTTGGCTGGAGTCATTGACGGAATCAGAAGAGCAGGACCCAGAGATGAACTGTGACGTCTGGTTTCACCTCTCCGCAACGTGTGAATGTTTGGAATGGAAGGGTGATCCAATGAAGCCAGTCGAGAAGGTATAGAAGCGAAATGGGGGTGGACCATGGGTACTGGAGCATTTTCCTCGTCGTTAAACATCGAAGTGTTGAACAGAATCTGTGGAAAATGGGGCACCCGAGGGTACGCCAGCACCTTGATGAAGCCGTTGGCATGAGACCCACGGCGGGAGCCCTCGGGGGACTTCTGCAATGGATTCAGAGGCAACACCGTAGTCTTTTGGGTGTTGGCTGATACGGTGCTTTGGTCCCCAGAGGCTGGCGCGCCTGGAACTGCAGCAGTAGCCGAAACTGTAGTAGATAATGGAGCCGAAACTGGAGGAGGGATCGATCCAGCAAGTGGAGCATTGTAGGTGGCCAGAACAGTTGCTGAAGCCGATGAGGCCGAAGCTCCTGAGGAGCCCGAGAAACTGGAGCGAGCAGACTGTGCTTGAGTCAGAAACAGCGAGTTACTCTCATGGAGAGGAGCCAGAGCAGCTTGAGATGCACGTCTTCTTCTGTTTGCTCCGCCATTCCACCAGTTTTTGATGGCATTATCAGAACGTCCCGTTAAGTGGCGGGCGATTTCTGCCCATTTCTTCCCGTGTTTTGCCACCAACTGCTCGATCAAAAGCCCCTCCTCAAACGTGATAGGGTTACGGTTAAGCAGCGGCTTCAAGTTCTGGTGGTAACGTTCTCGACATTGTTTGGGTGACCGACTACCCAACAGCGACAGAATACGCACCCAATTTGTTGGGCCGTAGAGGGAGATGATCTCCATCAACTTACGGTCTTCCTCTGGACTCCAGGGCCCGCGTCTAGCTGAGCCAGACGACGTAGAACCCATACGACCGACTTTATCTGGATGTGGATCACCTAGGTGGGATGAAAGCGGGCTGGTCATGTTAAGCAACGAGTTCATGGGCCACGTGGACAATCAAAATTGTGGATATGATTATGTTGATGTTTCGGAGTTACTTCAGGAGGGAAGATTGAGGGCGGTTGATTGTTGATGGTGAAGCTTGGAAGTAGCGTCGATGAATGAGTTTGAATGAACCAATAAAACTGCGATAAGTGAAGGGGGTGGGATGAAGGTTGTATATTTCCACAAGGGTGACTAAGGATTGGGGAAAGAAACAAAGATGAGGGCCAAAACGCTTTTCCAAGAAAAATTCGCCAGAAATCTGACACCAAAGGTGTTGGGAACACAGTGGTTATATAACCTTTCGCCAAAGAAGGATGCGCACCCAACGTCAACCAGAGAAAAAATTAAACGGTTCTCTCGGCACCTATGTGCCGGCTACGACACACCATTTTGGACCGATTACCTGTTTAAGCGGCAGGCGTTGCAGGTCCGTGCATTGGCCAACTCACTTCCATGCGCCTAAATCCAGGTAAGGCCGGGGGCTACAACATCCCATGGCGACATTTTCGGTGGTTTTTCGGGGTCATTTTATTCACGCTTGCTCTTCTCATCCTTGCTGGTACATTACGGGAGAAGTGAGAGCAAACCAAAGTTAGTTTGTCTAGCGTAGGTCGTGGGCATGTCGTGGCGGGATTTTTTAGTCTATTGTGGACGATTGTTCGCTGCGTGCACATGTGCAACATCGGGCTGGTGAGTGACATTGCCGTTCCGTGATCTCAGGCGTTTTTTGGCGCAGTTTTTCCGAGATACTGGAAGGTATAAAAAAATTTTCTGCGTGCTTATTAGCGTTACTTTTAATTTTGGTTTCCGTGGATCGTTATTTTATGCGTTTGCATTATTGCCGGATTTTCTATCCTTTCCATGGGCCCACCTAGTGCATGAGCGTTGCCAGGGATCTCTGACAGACGAGCCACTAACGGCTTGAACCGTTAGAGGAGCAATGTGCATTTCTTTTTTTTTTTGTAGTTTCCATTGATGCTTTTTTTTTTTTCTATTTTCGATCTCTTTCAAACATGTATGGGGGCAGTCCATTGAAGACTTTGGGGGGCAATAGAGGGGATGATAAAGTTGGAAATTTCTTTTGTTTCGCTTTACCGTTTCAGTTGGCCGCCTTTCGCAATTTGCTTGTCTGTCATTTGCGAGCAATGCTACAGTTTTATTGTTCCTGAACGCCGTTCCATTGCTTCTATGTACCTTTTCCGAATCCCGTCACAGTGCGTTTTATCTACTGCAAGCCCTACTTGCATTAGTGGACATGATCGGATCAATCCTGGACTGTGTAAACCTTTTATTCGTTTTTCCGCTTCATTATTAGTCACCCTGCTTAACGTCTAGACCTTTACCGATCCCTGACCACTATTTTCTGTGGCAAATCTCAGCCCATCAATTTTTATTGACCCAATTGGTCTGCTCAACGGTCGTACCTTCAACGGCTTTCTGCCATCTATGATCACTTCCTACTCAGTTGAACAGTCTTGAAGTCTTAACTTTCAATAATAAATAACTTTCAGCATTTTCTGATCGCTCCTTGGGCTCATTCATACTCCTCAAGGTCTTCTGGCTCGAAAATAACTCGAACCATTAGCGAACAACTGGGACACACTGCAATATCTTCGCCATCCTTCAAATCATCCATAGTGATGGCAAAACGATCTCCACAGGGACATGGATACTGGAAGAGTCCCGTAGTAGCATCGTACGTGAAATCCTCTATCTCTATCTCATCGTAGATGGTCTCCATTGTAGATGGATTGATGGAAATCGATCTCTTCCCGATGAGTTTAAATTTTCTGTGCGTGACGATGCCGGTCACGTGCTGCATCCCGGATTGGCTCAATCGTTTTTCCGGGTTAAGTGGGGGCTCATTGCATGAGACTGATGGTTCCGCCTAAACTTACAGTTTCCAGATATGCCTATTGTACTCAGGTGAGTGGCTATGTCCGACTAATCGGGTAGCAGATCCAAATCTTCTAATTGAGATTGCCTCACAATGCCTTCTACTTGAAATGAGTAAAGTTTAGACGATCTCAGTTAGGTCAATTTTGAAGTATAGAGCTCCCCCATATAAAGGCTTTTAATGATGTGTGTGAGTAGCTTGGCTTTTCACCGTTGTCCAGGGGACTGATCTCATGCAGAGAACAAATTAATGCATGGTTTTTGACATGACCAGGGAAACCGCACCCGCATCAAATGTGGAATATTTTTTTTTACATTTATTTTTTCAAGATTTCTTTTTGTGCTTAGTTCCCAATTGGGAACTAGGGTCGGCAAGCTTATCCCCAACACACGCACCAAGTTGCAGTTTAAGATCTAGGGTATCTGCCCTAAATGAACACGTGCAAGAAGTGCGGAAATATCACGTGCACGGGTTTCCGCGCATTACCAAAATCATCCCTCCCCAACCAACTAAAACTCAATGAATGTTTTTCGGTCACGTGATCTTAGAATTTCCTGTACCCATCACCCACAAATTTGTCTCCATAGTAAAGCTTCCTGCAGACACCATCCACTGCGAAAATTTTTACCCTCTCTCTGACATTTTTTGCTTTCTCTCTTTCTTTCTACTAGACAGTAACCAAAGAGTATGTACCAAAAAAACATATCCAGCACTTGACAAAGACAGAACATCTTCAATGGATCAGTCAGTGACTTGAATCCATCATTCATGTGGCATCAATCTTGTTCAAACAATCACATTGTCTTTCTTAAGTTGGATCTCCACCTTCCTTGGAGACTTCATCCATTTTCACCACTTCCATACTAACATTTTTCCAGTTCACCATGGGTATTTCTAGAGACTCTCGTCACAAGCGTGCTGCTACTGGTGCCAAAAGAGCCCAATTCAGAAAGAAGAGAAAGTTTGAGTTGGGTCGTCAGCCAGCCAACACCAAGATTGGTGCTAAGAGAATCCACACTGTTAGAACCAGAGGTGGTAACAAGAAGTTCAGAGCCTTGAGAATCGAGACCGGTAACTTCTCTTGGGCTTCCGAGGGTGTTGCTAGAAAGACCAGAGTTACTGGTGTGGTCTACCACCCATCCAACAACGAGTTGGTGAGAACCAACACCTTGACCAAGTCTGCTATTGTCCAGATCGACGCTGCTCCTTTCAGACAATGGTTCGAGACCCACTACGGTAAGGTCTTGGGTAAGAAGGTCGAGGGTGAGGAGACCAAGAGATCCAAGAAGGTTGAGAGAAAGTTGGCTGCTAGAGCCGGTGCCTCCAACATCGAGCACTCTGTCGAGCACCAGTTCGCTGCCGGTAGATTGTACGCCTGCATCTCTTCTAGACCAGGTCAATCTGGTAGATGTGACGGTTACATCTTGGAGGGTGAGGAATTGGCCTTCTACTTGAGAAGATTGACTGCCAAGAAGTAAGCAAACACACACAACATAATATAAAATATACGTGTATACTAAGATGATGTAGACTGAATTGACGATGAATGGAAGCTTGGATTTGCCCATGACTTGTGTGGCTTATGATATTCGGTTGTTGAAAAGGTCAGAATTAGAAGAAGCAATCCAAGTCATCTTGAGAGTAGGCATTTCGTAAAAAAGTTCGTTACTCCATAATCAAGGTGAACAGTCTCTAGATGCTCGTGAGGCTCATACTTCGCAACACAAAACTGATTGCCAGTTAAACATTCAAAGACAACGGTAGCAAAGAATTAAAAAAAGTGAAAGATAGACACTCTTAACAACTCAGAGGATAACCCGGTGATTAGAAACCAGTGACATAAGAGCCAGCACAAAGCTTCTAATTGTGCCTACTATTAACAGAGCCATTTCTGACTACGGATCTACAATTCCAATTACTCAAGACAATTAGTCAATTCTAAACTGTTAGTATAGGTTCAAAAGAACTCATCACATCAGCAAAAAAGGCAATATCGGTTGTCTGCATTAGGACCGAAGTCCTGTTCAGATCAGGTCTGTGTGTTTTATCATCCTAGTGATGGAAATGTTGAACATACGGTTTGGTGTAGTGAAGAAAAGTAATTTGGTTGAAGTTTTTTTTTTATGTTGTGGTGCGGGTAACCCTTCGCTACAGGTAAAGGTTCAAGGGAAGGTTGGGTAGTAACTAGAGAAGCTCAAACGATAAGACATTTGCTTGATTCTAGAAATTCTCTTAAATATCATTATAAATGATTCATTGGTAGTTTGGAAAGATAATCAAGTTTTTCAAATAGCGTGATATAGGTTGTTCATGGCATTTGATGGTTGAAGTCAACTTGTATGAATCTAGAGGCACCTTTGAGAATATCTCATATGGTTGGTACTTTTAGGACAACATGGCGTTAAATTTTTTCAAAGATTTCGTTAAGAGCCTCACTTCTTTGTTCTCGATCTCTTAGTTGGAAATGCCTTACTAAAACTGCTTTCTTGAAGATTCCTTGTTGGAGTTACCTTATTCTTATATTATACCTTAGTTGAAGCAATTGGAAAAGAATATGACTCAATCGGTTGTGCTCCCCTCTTGTTTTCCTATTCATTACTCAAGCTTTATATTACTCTTAACTTTTCCAATAATATCCACAAGTAATCTGTCTTCTATTCTCAATTTGGTGCTCAACTACCCAATTACAGACAAAAAACAAAGTGAAAAATACCCTGTAAGAAGAAAATTATATTAAAGTACCAATGATGTGAAACATTTTGAGCAGCTAATAGGTATCATTAAACGGTCTGGGGATCTGGAGGAAATGTAGTACATTCCTAAGTTGTTCCACAATTTCTGGTTTCGCAGCCAACATTCTGCGCATGAATACTGATAGTCTCATCGTTCATCAACGTCCACTGGCCAGCTCTTCTGAGGATCAAAAGGATACTCCTCCGGAAGTAGAGTATAGAGATTCCAAATCTACTCTCATGAATTCGTTCATTACTGACAGCTTCAGTGGATCATCTAAAAACAAATGTGAAGTCAAATGTGATGTCCCTCTTAGTTGCTAGATTGGAAATTTCAGAGTCTCCACTACTTTTTTCGACAACTATAAGGGATAGCTTCCAATCAACCAACTTTGAATAGAGAGAAATGAGTCATTTCAACAAGTTTCTCTTGGGTGTTTTGGGCGTGCATATAAATATGTCTTAAAGACCACCTAGATATCACCATTTATCTAAACCTTCGAAGTCGGTCCCTTGGCCCAGTTGGTTAAGGCGTGGTGCTAATAACGCCAAGATCAGCAGTTCGATCCTGCTAGGGACCAATCTTCTCAGGGCGTGTGGCGTAGTTGGTAGCGCGTTCGCTTAGCATGCGAAAGGTCTCCGGTTCGACTCCGGACTCGTCCATTCTTTTTTGTTAATTTTCTTTTATTGTCTTTATTCTTAATAATCGCAATAACCATCTTTTTTGATCGTTTCGAGTTGCTCTTATGCTCTACTACCTTACAAGTATTAATCGCGAAAATGTGTCATTAACTGCAAGAATTGAATTAAGTTAAAGCAAACCAAATCTTCTGCCATCTATTCTGAGGAAGTCTGGGAGTAATGCCTCTAGCCTCCTCTTCAACCAACTCCAACTTGGAGAAGTCAAACTCTTCAAGTGGAGTAAGCCATCTGGTCTGACCCTTGATGAAGTACCTGTATGCTCTGTGGCCAATATAGAGAGCTACGACAATTGGCAACGTAATGTAAGCAGCCAAAAAGTCAGCAATTTTGAAGTCAAAGAATACACCATAGCCGTTGGTGATGGTGATGATAGAAATGAAGCCAATCACAAAGTAGGCGCCGAATGGCTGGAATGGAGTTCTGTAGGTGACTCTGTCGTCGAGACTTTGCACAGTGATGGCCTTTCTCCATCTGGTGTAGGCGAAAGCAACAAAAATCCACGAAATAAAACCAGAAATGGTGGTAATGTTGGAGAACCATGCAAAGACTTGCGAAGAAGAGCTGGAGACGTTTAAGTAGGACAAACATGCCACAATAAAGGTAACAGCGACACAGTAATATGGAACACCGAACTTGTTGACAGTGGTGAAGATCCGTGGAGCCAATCCCTTCTTAGCGAGAGAGTACAATGTTCTGGTACTGGCGTAGAAGAACGAGTTACCTGCGGAAGCGGCGGAAGTTAACACCACGGCGTTGATAATGTGGTTCAAAACATGGATGCCTGCGTTCTGAATACCGAGAACGAATGGAGATGCAGAAGCATTTCCACTTCCGTTGACCAACTGCTTACTGTTTGAATCGGCAATAATACCAATGATCAAAGAGCCCAAGATATAAAAGAAAGCCAAACGGTAAATGAACTGGTTAGCACACTTCGGCAAAATACGACGAGCCTCACTGACTTCTCCCGAACAGGCCACAATTAACTCAGGACTCATGATGAACGAGTAACCAGCCTTGATGATGGCAGTCCAAACAGAAAGAAAACGACCGGTGGAGCCTCCTGTCAAATGTTCCTTAAATGCATTTCCATCTTTCCAGTATCTGAAGCCGAGTCTGTCATGGGTTGGACCACCACCAAAGAACAACACAACACCCAAGATAATCAAACCAGTGATGGCAATCAACTTAATTCCTGCAAAGTAAAACTCTGCCTCTCCGTAGAAACTCACAGGACACAAGTTCAAAATGAGCATAAGGGCTAAAAGAATGGAGATCAACACGGCAATGTGCACCTTGGTCGTCCAGTACTGGATGATGATGGCAGCAGCAACAATTTCGGCAGCGACCAAAATGGAAAATCCATACCAGTAATTGTAGCCAATAGCAAAACCAATGGATGGGTCAGTGTAGTCACTAACAAACTGTTGAGCACCAGCACCAGGCACTGGTAAGAAAGTGGCCATTTCAGCCAACATGTTCATGATGAACCAGACGACAGCAGACAAGATGATGTAGGACAACAAAAGCGGACCTGGACCACATGTCGACAAGGCCACACCGGAACCCACGAATAGACCGGTACCAATAGCACCACCCAAAGCAATAAGCTGGATGTGTCTGTTTTTCAAACCTTTTTTGAGCTCCTCCTCGCCAAAAGAGACGATGGAGTTATTCTCTGAGCGAATAGTTCCCTTTTCATCTACATGGATGATTTTGGAGTTTGAAATCTCCAATCCCAAGTAGGCAGAATTGCTTCTGTATATGCTTGGTCTGGAGGTGATGTTCTTGAGGTCGACCATTATAGACAACAGAAATTGGTCAAATAGCTTCTAAATTCCAAAGACGGTCAATAGAAATAATGTCCCTTGAATAGTAGTTGAACCCAAAAGAAGTTTATTGAAGAGGAATGGTTCAAAAAATGATTGAAAGAAGAATTCAAGACCAACATTAGTCAGTATATATACAGAACAAATTTACGACAAGAGAGATATTTTTTCACCAGAATGGTATGCAACGGTTCGCATTGATATCCGCAAGATAGCCTGCAGACACATTCGGGGAAGGCCCAGGTGCATATCCTAGCGACAAATCGCCCTGACTATCCAAAAGTTGCCTAGCTATTGTCAGTTCTATTGGTGTTACCCCACACCTAGTTTAATACAAGCCGAGCACGGGATCGGAGTTAATTGCTGTGACTGGAGCAATATTCATCTGGAGGCTGTTTGACATGTAGTGCCGAGAATTTTAGTGTATCCTGGTCGCAGCCAGAATCTAGAAAGATATCTAGTTACCAGTAGAAATCCCGCCAATCATAGATTCCAGCCATATCTTTGACGGTAGTATCAGAGCTTCTACGGCTATTAGCGGTTCGGGTTCCCCCATCGAGAGGAGCAAAATGGAAAAAATGGGGCCATTGACCATGGGTCACCTGCCGGAGGTAGTTTTCCGCGAGGTTGACAGAAATTCGCACGGCGTTTGGGAGTCTGCACAGATTATTCGCCAACATATTCCTTGGAAATTGGAGCTTTTGGAAACAAATGGCGGTGGGTCATCAACTGTGGAGGTTACAGAGGCACGGCAGGATTGATGCACAGGATTATATGGTGGGGTACTAAAGTGGCGAAGCGAAGTAGTGAACTTTACCTTCAAACCTGGGGAAACTGTGGAGGTATAGATCCGGCAGGGTTCTTTTTTTTTTTTTCTAGCGATGAGATTCCGCTACTTTTCCACGGAAGTTTATATCCGTGACACCGAGAGACGGGAATAAGAAATGTAGATTGTTGATTTTGGTTTCGAAATGTAAGCTTCACCGTTAATTGTGCAATAAGGATTCTAAAATCGATGACCGCCTTTGGATCGTTGATCGTTGGGTGCAGAATATTTTGCATTTGGCATTTTGCATTTGGCATTTGGCATTTGCACAGGTATGATTATGTAGGAGAAATGGCGTTTGGATATGAGACTTCAATGTATGGTTACAGTGACAGCCGAATCTAAAATTAAATTTGAGATGCGAGGTGACGGTGGATTCGTCACTTCACAGTGTCTGAGTTCACTTGTCTATCACGATATAGATTCTGGAATAGTAGAGAATGTCTTATGATTATTAATACAGTTCTTGGATTTTGAAATAGATCGCCGTCTTTGGTGTTATGCTGGTGGATCTCCTGGCCGGACACCCGAGGCTCGCATATAACTAATAAGTTAATAAGCAAAAACGGTCGGGAATAGCTAAGCCTCATGGCTTGTTTTTAATATATTGCTCAATGCACATTCATAGCTTCGGAGGTACTTAATGTCGAGTCGAAGTTAATTCATGCTATTAGATTGTTCTGAGATTGGCTTCATCACTTATAGGTTTCTGAGAAATCTGAGAAGACCAGGGACCCACGTAACAGATTCACTATGACATAGCTCATCATTGCCAGAATTATTCGCAACTGAGACGGAAAATTTAGTTGGAGGCATCCAAGACCGTCGAATTCTTGAGTGAAGATCACTCCCTGAAGATTGATTGTAGTAGCGGATTATGATTTCCGGATTCATGATGTCGATCACACGGAGCTTATTTTCCGTATTATTCAACTGAATTCTACTTGATCATCTATGCATTTCTTTGCTCCCCTCTATCTAAGAGCATGTAAGCGGGGTTCGGTAAAGGACCAACCTCCAGGACGAATGAACTTAGTAATGCCCTCTGGAATTGGTCAAGTAAAGGAGCAACCTAAACATAAGAATTCGTCGGCAGTATGGGGTTCCAAGACTTGGCATTACACGATGATTCAACTTATGCCTCTCAAAAAACACTTTCTCTATCCCAATGATATCGAATGATGTACTTCATCTAGATTTTCGCAACCAGTCAGGTTTTCGCACCTTTATACGTGGCCAACCATTACGGTTCGAGATACAAATATCTTCAAATATTTAATACTACCATCTTTACCTCTTTTTTATTGTTTCTTTGAAGCAAATTATCAGAGACCTTCTTTTTTTTTCAAATTCAATCAAATGGTGGCATCGGTTTGATGTCTACTCAGACTCCATCACCTCTTCACCTCCTGCAGATACATACCCTCATCGCTAACTATTGAAAATTCATTCCACATCCATTTCAACCTAAAGGCCAAAATGAGTAGTTTGTCCCAGCAGTTGAAGGCCATTAGCGAGAAAAATGCCTCGGTGGCCTTGGACAGAAAGACACGTTCCAAGATCCACTCGCGGTCTCTTATTTTCGACGCAAAAATTGCTGCTGCTCAAGACTATGACTACATCTACCAAATCGGATGTGAAGGGTTGGCAGAGCTATCTGAGATCGACTCCCGTTTCCAGAAGTTTTCTGAGACCCTTTTCTCCGAAAGGAGTCTTACATTTGACAGAAATGTTCAAACCAAGGAAATCATGGCCCATGTCAATCTTAATTTGGAAGCTTTCATCAATTTAATCGCTCCTTTCTATCACTTAAACCCTGCTCTCAAAGCCATGGAGTGGTTGGTCAGAAGATACCACGTGAACATTCACAACGGCGAATTGTTATTGTTGTCGGTATTGCCATACCATGCACAGCCAGTTTTCAGCCGTTTCATGAATGTGATTCCTAATACTTCTTGGCCTGCCATTTTCTCCAGCATTATTGGCTACAAGGAGATGTTGAAGCCTCCACCAGCGTCATCTATCTTGAAATGTTTCCACAATGATCCCGAGCTCTTCAAGTTGTACTCGCAGTACTTAGTGGACCAGTTGAAAAACAAGACCATCTACAAGGAGATGTTGGTGTTCTATTTGTCCAATACCGTCCAAGTTTTGGCATCGCATGCTCGTGACACTGAAATTCTCAACAGCAGATACATCCCAACGCTATTGGAGACCTTTGAAGAGCTCTTCGCCGAGCACTCTTTCAAGTACCTGGCTACTTTGAATGTCGATGTAAAGTTAACTGCTTATGCCATTGTGTCTGTGTTGTGCTCGATTGTTCCATTATCAGACGTATTGGTGTTCTCTTTCACTTCCTCCATCATCAATAGCACTTTGGCATTTCTGTCTGCTCTTCGTAGACAGACTCTCATTGTTTTGGGGCAATTATGGAACTACTACAACGAGAGTGGGGTTCCAGCCTCCAGAAACGTGTTTGCCGGCCTTCCCGTGAATACATTGTTGCAGGATGAATCTATCTTGCACGTGTTGCTTGATGAGAAATACAACTTGAACAAATTCTTGTTCTTCTACTTCGACAATGGTATCAACCAAGATGACGCAGACGTCATTCGTGTCTTGAAGTTAGTTGACGTTACCACATCAGACTTTTTGTTCGAACTTGCTGCCTCCAAGCTTCTTGCTTTTGTTGCCTCCCCTGAAGGAGCCTCTGTCAGACCTGAGGCAGTGGGGCTTTTCGAGAAGTTGGTCAAAACCAATAAACAAAAAGTCTTGGAAATCCTTGAGTCTCAGTCTAAGACACTTGCTGATTTGGAGGTGATTCTCATGCACACATTCTCTGGAAATGATGTCTCTGATGGTGCTTACGAAGCTGATTTGGAAGATATTGAGGTTCCAGCAGCCACTGCATCTTCCTCTGACGAGCTTTATGCTCAATGTAAGCCAAAGAATTCGGATTTCTTGAATGTCGCATCATCAGAAGAGTTCAACAGCATGTCTCTGGTTCTCTTAAACAGTATCCGTAAATTGGATGCTCAAGAGCAGATTGATTCTGTTTTCTCTTTCTTGAAAGTTGTGTTCTCCGAAAACATCGAGACCGCAGTGAGCTTTCTCTTGAGACTTGCATTGACCCCATTGGTTCCTACCCAAATGAAGTTGGTTGCTTTGACATGCATCAAGGCCAAGCTTAAGGAGGCCGTCATAGAGAATAGCCAAATCAACTACTACTTATTAGTTCCTATTTTGGTTCTCGGTTTGGCTGATACCAACAAGTCTATCAGAAGAGCTTTTGTCAATTTGCTTTCTGACGTGAAAAACCAAAGTGCTGCGCTCAACGAAGGAAACCCTAAGAAGGTCAAATGTGATTTGTTCATGGAGACACAAATCTACGGTGAGACCGAGCCCGCCAAACGTTCTATAGTGTCTCCACAGGCCGGTAATGCCATGTTGGATGTTTTGTTCGAGGAGGCTTCGACACTTGAGGATGTCATCGTGGACGCCTCGAGAATTCGAATCCTCGTATTCGAGACATTGTTCAAGAGCACCAAAAGCGGAAAGAAATTTGGATCCTTGCTTTTGAAGACCTTCATTCTCAACCAGTGGTCGCTTCCTTTCTGGCCTCTTCAGTTCAAATTCAGAGTGTGGAACATCATTGCTGCTGAGAATATTGCAACCAAGGGCAGTGACGATAGATTCTTCTTTGTGGATGACGTCAAGAAGTACTTTATCAAGAGACAACAGTGGATCGAAGAAGCTGCTACCTCGGGTATTGAGTTCGGGGAGTTTGTCGAACTGCCTCTTGTTAAGATGGTGGGTGGCCGTACCTCCAACGAAAAGAAGATTGCCAAGGAGATTGAATGGTTATTGACTGCTCTCAGCACCAGTGGAGGCATTCAAGTGGCTTCGAACGAGAGATTGATTGAACTCTTCCCCACTATTGCCTCCGACGAGGTGAAGTTGAGAATCTGTAGCGAGTTGATTGAGTTGGTTATCAGAGAAGACGACGTGACCTTGGAATTTGACCCAGTGGAGACTTTGCAATCATTTAACTTCTCCAAGCACTCCATGGTGGCCTTGTTGGACACTGTCAACATTGTTACCCAGGTTCCAGAACAAGGTGTCGCTAAAAGAAGAAGAAGATCGTCATCTTCCACTCAGAAGAACATGGCCAGAGACGATATAAGCTCTATGGCATCGACTCACTTGAGAAAACTTTCCATCATCTTGGATGTCTTGGAGAACCACTTGAGAAACAAGCCTTTGGAGCTTGCAGATCCAGAGTTGTTGCAGGCATTGTTCAAAATCTTGACTGACTTGGACTACTTAGGTAACGACGGTAAGATGCCCGTGTTGTATGCCCAGGAGACTTTGGCCTCGTGTATGTTGCTCAGCATTGTCCAGATGAAGTCTGCCACCTCCAAGAAGAAGTTGAAGTTCGACTCCAACTCTATCAGAGCAGACTTGATTGTCAACTCTATTAGACTTTCGCAGTCCCCTCAGGTCCAGAACAGATTATTGCTTGTAATTGCTGAGTTGGCGTCTTTGGCTCCAGAGATCATTTTGCATTCTGTCATGCCTATATTCACCTTCATGGGTGCTCACACCATCAGACAAGATGATGAATTCTCCAGCTCTGCATTGCAGCAGACGATCTCCAAGGTTATTCCTGCCATCACGTCGGCTTCTGCCTCTGCTAGCCACGAGATCGAATTTTTGTTGACCAGTTTCATCACTGCCTTCCAACATATCCCCAGACATCGTCGTGTGAAGCTTTTCGTGTCTTTGATCAGAACTTTGGGTTGCAACCAATCTTTGCACACTATCATGTTCTTGATCGGCCAGCAGTACGCTGCTAACGTAGCCAAGGGTAAGACAATTGAGTGCAACTCGTTATTAGACTTTGTGGCCGCCTTGTTGAAGATCTTCACTGCTGACGAGTGCTTGGAGAGTATTGCTAACTTCTACGATTTGTGGGATTTGATTCCAGATTCTGAAGTTGATAAGGACTCCGAGCTCTACACTCAGTTGTCTTCCAGATCCATTTATGGCACTGCTATTGTCAACTTGACCGGTAAGGAATTGGTACAGCGTAAGGCTGCCTTGTTGGAGTTCCTTAACAAGGTGCTTGGATCTGACGAGGAAGCCTCTGCTGCATCCAACTCTGTCTCTTTGAAGATGAAGGTTTCTTTGGTGTTGTTTGATGAACAAGTGGACGATGAAGACAAACAGAATGTTTTGCAGAGATTCAACAAAGTCACATCGTTTATCTTGGGCTCGTTGGACACCTTTTCCAACTCGGATTTCCAAAGTAAGGAAATTGTTTCTGCTTTGTATGACCTGCTCAAGGGTTTGTTGAATTTGTTGCCATTGAGCTACTACATTAACTCGATTGCCGAGTCCTTGAAGACTGCTGATGATGATGTTTCTATCAAGATTGCCCGTAACTTTGCAATTCTTGCTGGTTCTAAATTCGAGACTGAGGTCAATGCCAACAGTTTCGACGACAACATCGATTCCGTTGTTATGGACGAGTTGTTGCCTATCTTGGTTGAAGGTATTGACAAGTACGAAAGTATCGAGTTGGTTCAGGCTTACTTGGACACATTTGCGACTATTGTAAATAAGATGGGCTCTTCTTCTACTGAATTAAGCTCTTCTACCAACGCTAAATTCTTGGTGAACTCGTTGAAGGTTTTCACCTCTGAAAAGTGCTTATTGAACGGCCAGACCGAGATCTTGGTCTCTTCGCTCAATGCCATCACCAGCATCATCAATATTTTGGGAGTGAAGTCTATTGGCTTCCTCCCTAAGATTCTTCCACCAGCACTTACCATTTTGGAGACCACCTTTGAGAAGCTGACTGAGGACTCTGATGTTGAATCCGAAGATGAAGATGAGGAGGATGAGAGCAAGACTTTGATTCAGGGTTCCATCCTCATGTTGTTCGCATGCTTGATCAAGAAGATGCCAGTGTTCGTTCTCTCCAGCTTGAAGCAGATCCTCAAGTCCGTCTTGTTGTGTGATCGTATTGACAATGCTATCAGATCTAGCATTTTGAACTTGGCAGTAGAACATCTTGACAAAGCTCAGGTTTTGCAAGGTTTGTGCAATTTGGCCTTGACCGATGATGTTTATGCCCTTGACAGTGCAGCTGACTTGGGATTGTACTTGAACTCCGTCAAGTCCACCATTGACTCCATCGACAAGAAGGGTGCCACCTCGCAGTCTTCCTTGTTCATGAAGTGGTTGATTAAATCTTTCGGTTTCAGAACCGAGTATGGTGAAGAGAAGTTCAGTGATAACACTGTTCACAGCATCGAAAGCTCTTTCCATCAATGTGGTCTTGCTTACGTCATGAAATTGAACGACAAGAGTTTCCGTCCATTATTTGCCAGTCTTGTGAGATGGGCAGTCAGTGGTGAGGGATCTGTCGTTGAGGCATCTGAGGTTTCGAGATTGGAGGCCTTCTTCAAGTTTTTCAACAAATTGCAGGATAACTTGAAGAGTATCATCACTTCGTACTTCTCGTACTTGCTTGACCCTACGATTGCCATTTTGAAGAGATTTGAGTCTGGAGATTTGAAGGAGACTAACTTGAGAAGAATCGTCTTGCACGGCTTGGGATCATCCTTCAAGTATGACCAGGATGACTACTGGTCGCACCTGCTGAGATTTGAGACTATGGTGGCTCCCCTTTTGGGCCAATTGGGCAACATCGAGCCATCTATCGGTAAGCATCTCGTCAAGACCATCTCATTCTTTGTTTCTAATGTCTCTTCAGACGAGTACAACGACGCTTTGGTCAAAACTTTGGTGAGATACATTTCCAACGAGTATGAGAACACTCTGAACACCAAGATCTGGACAATTAGAGTGTTGAAGGCTGTATTCCAGAAGATGGGAGAGCAATGGTTGTCCTACTTGCCAACATTCATTCCATACATTGCGGAGTTGTTGGAGGATGACGACGAGGAGGTTGAGATGGAGGTAAGAAAGGATTTGGTGAGAGTGATCGAGAACATCCTAGGAGAACCACTCGACAGATATCTTAATTAGAGGTAATAAATGCATAACATTGATTTCAAAATGGTAAATCTGGGTCATAAGTCTATTGAACTTTCTGTTATAAGAAAATCAAGAAATATTGATTGGTGTTTTAATTTTGAAAGCGGAGAAATTTTGTCGTGCACCATATGAATTCAGCATAAGTTGCGAATTGTAAAGGAATAAAACCTTGAAGGAAAAATAGAAGGAATACTTCAAAGCCCTCAAGCTCGAGTATAGGAACAATTTTTGTAGAATCATTTCGTTGACTAAATTGGTTTTCTCTTTTAACTGTAAAGCTATCAAGAAAGATGTTACCGAGACTAACTTAGAAACGCATATCACTTAGGCTTTGAAAATCGAAGTATAACATCCAGCAGAAAGGTGAATGTACTTCCAAGAACTTTACATTTATTTCCCACTAAGAAATTTGCAAACATAGGGTTTAATAAGAAGTGGTGATCCCGTACCCATCAACCATTATTTGCCTGGTGACAAAGGCAGGAGTCAAATACGTGTTTGGGAATCTGAGGAAGCAATCTCATGATTTCAAAAGCAAAACCAACTTCCCTTAGGCTTTCTTCCGGTTTTAGTTTGATACCAACTGTAGGAGGTGCTCTTCTATTTTAGGATAACTATCTCCGAAATCAATTTGATGGTTGGGTTCATATTCATCGGAGGTCGATTACCCAATTAGGAAGTAGTTCACCGAAAGTAATGAGAGACTTATAAGATCACAGAAGCCACTTTTTACTAATCTCAAAATCAATTATGTTTAGAAAGTATTCTATTTACTCTTCAGACCACTTGGACTACCTTGCTATCTCTCTCATTGCGATGCAATTCAGTTTCGATTCCTGTGCGTATTTGTCCACCATAGCCTATTGGATCAAAGAAGTATGTATAAAATTAGTGGAATTCCAACCAAAACTAACACAAAGTGCGGTGATCTCAATGTCGTACACTACTTGTTTGTAGTCCAAGCAGTTTCGTCTGCCGTACAGATAATAACTTCGATTATCATAGGTGATGTTGCCAGATGGGTCGGTTCAATCAAATGGACCTTCGTGTTTCTCATTTTCCTATCCTTTGTTGGAAACTTTTTGTATTCTTGTGCCTCTGTCTTATCTGTTCATTCCATTCTAGGGGGGAGAATACTCTGCGGAGTGGCCTCAGCTTCGGGAGCGTTGATATACAGCTATATCACCGCAACAAATACAGACAGAGCCAAAGTTTTCAAGTATATATCAAGCTATCGCTCGGCAGCTGGATGCTTAATGGCCATTTCTCAGTTGATTGCTATTTTTGGAAGCTATGTGGACTTCCACATTGGCTACTTTAAAGTCAGCAGCAACAACGCCCCTACCTTCATCTGCAGTTTTGTCATGCTACTCTTGGTTGTTTGTCTTATGTTGGTATTAAAGAATCCGAGTGTACCTCCAAGAAGAGACTCAGTGAGCTTCAAAAGTGCATTCAGAGATTTTTGTTCCGCCGAAATACACCAGTTGTTAGGATGCATCGTAATGTTGTGGGGGATGTTCCTTGCCTCATTTTTAATGAGTGAAGTGGTATATTTCATGCCAGTTTTCCTTACGGAATCGCTAGGATGGGATACCAAGTTTCAAGGTGTGGCTTTCATGGTTGCTTCCATAATTGGAATTTGCGGCAACCTTTTATTTCCGTACATCACCAAGCAGAGGTCGGAGGGGGAGATCAACCAACTCCAAAAGCAAGTCAACAGACTGGAACTGGTGTGTGAGAGCATTGACGACGAGAAACAGCAGCAGCTTGAATTATTTAAGAAGAAGCTTATGTTCCAGAACCAGGTCTTGATTTCTCTCCTTTCTCTTGCGTTTGCCTTGTTTGGTCAGACATTCATGATCGGTGCTGAAAAGACATTTAGATCCCATTCACTTCCTCACATCAACACGGGCTGCTTCTTTGTGTCTGGACTCTCGCTTATAATGTTGGGTTACAACGGAATGGCCTCAACGTTTCCTGCTTTGTTTTCAGAATATATTAAGCCACAAGTGAAACTCCAGTTGATGCCAATTATTGGAGCCATTGCTGCTTTGGGAAAGCTTGTGGCACCCGTCGTGCTCTCCAACTTGTACCAAACGAAATTGGGCATGTCCATTGCAGTCGGTTTGGGGATGATTCTTACTGGCTTGACAGCACCAGCTGTTTTGTGGCTCTTATCCAGGAAATCGAGAGCCTAGGACTTGCACGTCTGTCCGATCAGTAAGTAGCTCTTATAAATCTCTCATAGCATCCAAGTCCAGAAGGAAGTGCTTGTTCACAGGCATTATACTGGTCAATGTAATGAGAACCTTTCGTCCCAACTGATACTCGAAATAATCGTAGGTCAAGTAGGCTTCTGACGATATGAAGCGAGAAATGACAGTGGTGGCGGTGAATGCACAAATGGTGGCTGTTCGAAGCGGGTAAGTAAAGTTCCAGTCCAAGTGCGCAAGCATCGATCCCTCAGCAATAGAGTCTGGATTATAGTAACTCCAAAGCTCCTTGATGATATTCCGGGCTTCCACAACTGCCCTCACATTGATCTTCAGCATCATAGAAGGTAAACTGCTGAGCATAATTACCTGGCTTTTCCAACATTTGAGCTCCAAGATCAAGAGCTCTTGTCTTTTAAAAGTGTGTTCATCCGTTGCGTACTGCTCTTCTAGTTTGGTCATTCTCAGCATTAGAGTCATCAAGGCCCTTCGCATTTCTGCATCAGACATGTGGGCTTCTGAAGGGTGGGATATCGTAGTAACTTGACAGTGGAGCTCAGCAAGTTGAACCCTCAACTGGAAAAAAGTATTGGCGTATTCAGGCACAATACTCAAATCCAATGTAGTTTTGATATCTTCCCTTTTAATCGGCGGAAGCACGCCATGGAAACTGGAAAGCATACAGGTAGCACACCAAATCTCCCAGAAAGCAATCACAAGCCCAAAATCATCGCTGTGTGCATCAAGAACAGCGATCTTATCCAAACCAATGGACACTGCAACATGTAGAGCATGATATGAAACGTACATCTGTGATTCTGTAGTAAGAAGCATAGTCATGAGGTTAGATATGAGTGACAATCCACGAAACCCATGTCTGGTAGGATTCCCCACTATTTTGGGTATATACTCTCTCGCTTGCAGAAAATAGATGTAAGCCTCGGAGGCCACGAAAGGAGCCCTTAGAGGATGTTCCAGATTATCGCCAGAGAGTAGCTGCTTGCTTCTCTGTTCAACAAAATCCCGCTTTGCTAGCGTTAATGCTCCTACAGTAAGCACAGTGCTTAGTAGAAACGATTCATCCTCAGAAACTTGTGTCGTCAGAGCTATCAGTTCGATCATGGCTCGTGAAATGGCCTGCGGAGTATGATCTTCATTTTCAAAGACAGCATCTATCAACGTCTGTCTTGAAGCAGCTTCTCCGTTACATGTTTCGTAGATTGGAACTTCAGAATTCTTAATAGACTTATCATATGATTCTACGTTAAGTGAGCCATCCAAATACTGAAAAAATTGATCAATATCGAAATCACAAGCAAGCTCACCAATTTCCCCTATTTCAGACCACGTTTGCGTTGACAATTGGTCGGGATTTTTTGGTAGTTCCAATACGTTATTATCGGGAAATCGCAGACTTGAACTCGTCAATATTCCAGAAAATTTTGACGAAGTATTTTCATTATGGTCAATTGAAGGTGGAAATCGTCGAGTGGCTCTTTTTCTATCATTTGAATGCTTAAATACAAAAGCACTTTGACCGTTCAACATTCGACGTTTGTCCACTCTTTTATCAGGAGGATAGTAGCATGACTGGAGGCCCAGTTCGTGGCACCGTGAACAAGAAGGTACCAATCCGTCACACTTCAACTTCTTCAGCTTGCATCGAGAGCATGCCCCCACCATTGCATTAGTGTCGCTAATGATATGAATGTTCTATTCACGCTATGGAAACTCAAAGAATAAGACAGAAACGCAGTCGACTACAAAGAAATCGAGTCTTGGAGAATTTCTGACCACAGGTTATTGCATTGAGCTAAGCCATGTGGTGAAGAAAGTGAAGACAATTGTGCTTCTCATATAGATAAGTTAACGTTTGTCTATGCACACTATTCGGTATTTATGTGTATGGATTTGGTACATTTTTTTTTATACTTGTACAAGATAATTTGTTCTTTTCTTTCCTAAAGTTTTATATATCATTATTCTGTATTCTTGTCAGATTCCACTAAAACTTCGCTACAATAACGCATTTCCACTAGTTCAAGTATTGTCACGTTCCAGTTAGTGGGATCGTGTGAATCAACAAATACTTCCAGTGATTAGGTCTTGCCATGCTGAGCTATTCTACACGCTTTCGTTTCACAGGCTAAAGGCATGACATGAAAGTTTAATCAAGGCAAAGGTATGTGATCGTCTATCTCATTACTTGATTCTCTATTTATTGAAAGTTGCAATATCTGTTCCAAATGCAATAGCTAACCACTGCAAGTAAGTCCAACAAATCAGAGAAATGTACTTAAAAACTAGCAACCCAAAATAAAATAGTTCGTCCAATCATAGGAATCTTTCAATATGTAAAGTAATTCCTATTTCCAACATTTTTCTTGATTTATATTTACTAGTCCTTCCCACTACTCCACACTTTAAAATTGACCTGGTGTACGGGTGTCCTCCCCAGAATTCTACGCACTTCCATGAAAATTTTACCCATAATATTTAACCATAATTGTGGAGACCCCTAAACTACATCCAAAATGGTATGTTACAATTTATTCCAAATGCACAATTCATGCACCTTACAATCATCAACTCATGTCAAATACTAACATTCAGTCTTTCTTAAAAAACATCAACAACTTGAAGCCATTGTTCGACAGAGTGTTGGTTCAGAGAATCAAGCCTGCCACTCAGACATCCAGCGGTATCTACATCCCAGAGAAGAACCAGGAGAAGTTGAATGAGGGTACTGTTGTCGCTGCAGGTCCAGGTGTCACCGACCCATCCTCCGGCAAGTTGATTCCAGTTTCTGTTCAGGCTGGAGACAAGGTTTTGTTGCCAAACTTCGGTGGTTCTCCAGTCAAGGTTGGTGAGGACGAGTACTTGTTGTTCAGCGACAGAGAGATCTTGGCTAAGATCGAGAACTAGGTATCCAGCCCCTTGTAAATATGAATGGAATACTTGGAGAAAATGGTGTAGATCGAGAACTCTGATTTAGTGGTGTTACTTGTATCTGTCGATAATGATCCTTTCACCAGCATTTTAACCTTTTCTTGAATTTTGAATCTTTATTATTGCTTTTCTCTCTTGATTCATTTTTTACAATTTATTTGTTCTTTCCCAAACATCATATTCATTACCAGATACAATTTACTTCCAATTTACTCTTCGTAGAATTGAGGAACGTTGGCCCCGTTAGCAGTGCTCGAGCATCTGCGCCAGCCATCTCCTCCTCCATCGTCATTATCGCCATCAGCAAACGGAATCCCCTGGATTTCGCTATTATCTCCCTTCATCGTAGAAACCTCTGATGGCGCCTCCAGAGACGCATAACTACGGGTAGATTGACAGTCGGAGCTGAATGAGTTGTCCAGAATGTAGCCCTCCGATCTTCTATCAAAGGAATCTTCGTAATTTTCCTGCTTATCCATCAGATACTTCAGATCCAAACTGATCTGCGAGGTTATGATGAAATCTTCCGGATTGGCACCGTAAATGGTTTGGGGCTTTCCTTCTTCTGTCCATTCCTCGTCCGAATGCTGCTTTTCATAACAAGCATCCTTGGTGCCTGGTCTATGGAAAATTCCTCCCAAGAGGAAATATTCCCGACTCTTCCACTCCTCAAACTTCCATGCATGTCTGATAGAGCCACTGCACAACAACACCAAAGCACAAGTGGAAAAGGCAAAGCCCATAAAGGTGCATCCGACAGTTGTGATTGTCCACCACGAACTGAAGGAGCGAGGTTTGTTATTTGCAAAGTCGTACGAAGAGGTAACAAATGACATCTTCCACAACGCGCAGTTGATCAACTCACCAGCTAAAACTATGATCGGAGAAAAATGGATGAGCAAACGATGAGTAAGCAATGACCCGTAGAAGAGCACCGAGCACACAGCTGCCAGCAACGGTAAATAATAGGAGAACAGAGACAACTGACCAGCCTTGTTTGTCTGGAACAACACTGTGGTCAAAAGAACTACGGCTAGTAGGATCTGGCCAATTCTAAGGAGAATGGAGCAGCCACAAAGACAATCCGAAGAGACCATGATGTAGTTTCGAGTAGATATCAGACAGAAATGCCAAGGGTGTTTAATGATATGACTAGACCCAGAAAATGTGAAACACAACCAAAATAAGTCAAACAAGCAAAACGTTCGATGCAGCCACGGACAAGAAAACCACTGAATATATCCACGAGATTAGAGCTGGCAGTGGAGCTCAAACCATATAATAATGGAAAGTTTTGTTGGAGAAGTTGACACGATGAGGGTGCAGTGAGGTTTTAAATTGGCACATCCTCCTGTTACCGCAGCAGGACAGTGCAGGTAACCATATCCATTTACGAGACGGTGTTTTAGTGAAGAGATGAGATTTTGCAAAATTTACTGGCTAAAAGGATGATACTTGCTATTGTCGATATTTATGTAAGAGGAGATGCAAGTGAAGAAATAGTCAAGCATTCGAGTATTCTCCCTCAGATCGCAAAGTAGGGTCTGTGCGATTAGCGGAGTAGTATTGCAAAACTGCACCTGAAATTAGCAAAAATAGTTCATATCGTTATCTACACGGCGTGAGGAGACTGGCCAAGGGGGCTAGAGCCCCTATATGGCATCATTTGTAGAAATATATAAACACATCTCCCCTATAAAAGAGCCCCTAAAACGCATATATAATGACTCAGAGCATTGCCCCATTAACGGTGGCAAATGTTATACAGGTGAAGCGCAGCATAGAAGCGATACCGCCGAACATTCCCCGAATAGTATTTACTCCGTGGACCTACACAATAAGCCAACACCGCTCCAAAGCCTCAATCAGACATCCAAAGAAGATGTTGTTCAGGAAGCATCCATCGACAAAATAGTTCGTTGGACACCGCCGTGCAGAAACGATTGATTGGGAAACTTGGTGGAATATACTTATTCGTAAATGTGTGCAAGTGTAATTAATTGGGGAGCCACCTACAAAACACTACAGTAATCAAATCGATCAATTCATCAAATACCCATTAACTCTGAGAATCTTGCGACCAATGTTTCAAATTAACATGTCTCATATTCTCATCTCAAACTCTCATTCTGTCGTGCCTCCTTTATTGTCATGTCTCATGTTTTCTCGTCTCGTGTCATCTCAAAGAATCTTTTATGTTTTCTCTTGTTATCATTTCTGCTTTCATCTTCTCAACCTTTTCATTATGACATTAGCTTTTCGTCTTAAACTCACTTTCTCATCTTACGCATTAACATCCGCAAGAGGATCATCAGTCTTGTGCTCACAATCCTCCTTTTTAACCGGTTGCTTGGGGAAAATTGCTCCAATGCGGAAATGGTTGCAACTAAAAACCTGTTTCTGCTTGCAAGCAGGAACAAATGAGTAAGTGATAACTAATACGAAGGAAATAAAGGCGAGCACAAGGCCTATACATCCCAAGACGAAAGAACCAACTCCAGTGCGACACTCTGTCATATCTGAGCCATAACCACTGGTACACTCGGTATCGCGGTAGAGCACACTAGCAAAGGGAACAGCAACAGAATATAATGCGAGTGTTGCAAGTTCCCAACAAAATATGGTGAAAGGAGGATACCATCTCGTGAAAGGGGTGATTGTCAATAGGTAGTAGACTAATGTGATACTCCCACTAATAACCGACCTGCGAACTTCGGAATAACCAGTGATACTGAGGTTCACTGAAGCCAAGATTATAAGAAGGAGTGACACGAGAACTTGCAATCCTCTCAAAGTTAGAGCTATTGGAGTGGAAAGCCTTGTTAATGAAGCCATTGAAATATAGCGACAGAATGAAAACACCTCGTTAACTTCATCTTAATATATGGCTAAGAGTTGTATTTGCCATGACATAGTCACCGACTAGATTAACTGGATGTGCAGTCTGTATGACCCCAGAATAGAAATAGGGGCATGAGGTACCTCATTTAATATTCGGTGTATAAGCAGTAGTTATTCTTGGAAGTGGTGTATCTCAGCCGTTCTAACTGCGGCTGGTGGGCTCAGAAAACGGATTCTCTGATGTAGATGGATACTCTGAAATAGAAGGATTCTCTGATGAAGATGGATTGCAAAGACAAAGTTTGCAATTCATTCCCGCAATTGTTGTCATTCTCATAATCGTACCCCACAACTTGTCTTTGGGATTCGATATGCGGGTTTATAGGAATAGGTGGTTGTATCTCAGTGTATTTCGCAGCAACCTTAGGCACTATTCCGCCCATCAGGAAGAAGCGAAGAGCCCCTATATGGCGTCATTTGTAGAACTATATAAATACACATCCCCTATAAAAGAGCCCCTATTACGCAACATTAATATCCGCAAAAGGATCATCTGACATCTTGTGCTCACAATCCTCCTTTTTAACCGGTTGCTTGGGGAAAATGGCACCAATGCCGAAATGGTTGCAACTAAAAACCTGATTCTGCTTGCAAGCAGGAACAAATGAGTAACTGATAACTAATACGAAGGAAATAAAGGCGAGCACAAGGCCTATACATCCCAAGACGAAAGAACCAACTCCAGTGCGACACTCTGTCATATCTGAGCCATAACCACTGGTACAGTCGGTATCGCGGTAGAGCACACTAGCAAAGGGAACAGCAACAGAATATAATGCAATTGTTGCAAGTTCCCAGCAAAATATGGTGAGAGGAAGATACCATCTCGTGAAAGGGGTGATTGTCAATAGGTAGTAGACAAATACGATACTCCCACTAATAACGGACTTGCGAATGTACATCTTGGTATAACCAGTGATACTGAGGTTCACTGAGGCCAAGATTATGAGGAGTAGTGACACGAGAATCTGCAATCCTCTCAAAGTAAGAGCTATTGTAGTGCAATGCTTTGTTAATGAAGCCATTGAAATATATTGACATAATGAAAACTCGTCGTTAACTTCATATTATATGGCAAAGAGGTTATAATTCCCATGACGTAGTCACCCACATCCAATTATTGGATGTGCAGTCTGTATGACCCCAGAATAAAGAACTTGAGCACAAGGTGCAGCAGATATTCTTGGAAGTGGTGTATCTTAGCCGTTCGAACTACGGCTGGTGGGGTCAGAAAACGGATTCTCTGGTGTAGTTGGATACTCTGAAGCGCGAGGATTCTCTGATAAAGATCCATCGGAAGACAAAGTTTGTAATTCGTTCCCGCAATTGGTGTCATTCTCATAATCATATCCCACACCTCCTCTTTGGGATTCGATATGGGGAATGGGTGGTTGTGTCTCAGTGCTTTTCGTAGCAACCTTTGGCACTATTCCACCCAACAGGAAGAAACGAAGTCCGAGCACACGTTCATTGTTGAAAGTTCCCACCAAGCTGAACATAACTAGTAAAAGTAGAGATAGAGTGGAGAAGACAAACCCAATAATCCCCACCACAAATGACGCCTTGCCTGTCTTGCACGCAATTGTTCTTCGATCATCACTTCGAAATTGGGTGCAATCATCATTAATGTAGCTTTTGGTATTAACAAATGTTATGATCCACCATACCGTGAGCATGATCTCGAAGAACATCACCACAATGGGAGGGAAAAACCTGACAAAGGGAGTGACAAGTGGAAAGTAGAAACATAACGAGATGGCACCTGTGATTATAGACACTAAAATGATTCGGTGCGAGTCGAAGGTGGTAACAATATTGACGCAGGCAACAATCAAGAGAACCAACGCTGTTAAAATTTGCAATGTTCTTAGGCCCAAGCAAATGGGGCGGACGTATTTGTAAGTAGTCATTAAAGATGATAATTTCCAGAAGCGGGAAAATTTGGACGGTATTTGAATGTTTAGTGGCTTTACTGGGGTCATGGCCCCGGATCCTTCATACTCTCTGCGATAGTCACTGGCCCAGAATTGAGATCTTTAGCTTTCTTGGTATTAGTAAAATCGGTCGGAGGTTAATAAGTCGGTTATGAAGAGTATATATTTAAATGAAAAAGTCTGCCAGAAACATGTCTTTTTCTTCTGATTCCTGATATTACTGTGTTGCTCTTGCTTAAATAGTTTCTTCATTCAACTTCAAAAGTATGGAGGACAATAAAAATCGGCAGGAGAAGAAATTCGCTTAGAAAGAAGTAAGAAATCAATGACTCTTGTTAGGTTGCTGAAATTTGTGTTCTGGCACTGGTTGTAAAAGCACTAAATTGGAGTTTGGATCACAGAACTCATCAAGCCCCTTGAAATTAGGCATACTCAGGGACCACTATAATAATACATTCAAACAATTATCACTACATAACTAAACACGGGGTTCAGTAGGGTAAGGGGTGGAGCTCACCCCAGGATCCCCAGTGTGAGGAACTTCAGGTTCACCTCCGTATCCACCACCCAAGCCCGGCTCAGTGGACTTTAGCTCTGCCTCATGGGCTCCGTTGTATGTTCCCAAGTCGGTTTCAGCGGTGGTCTTGAGCTCATCGCCAGATTCAACACTTCTCTCGCCGACACCAGCCTCAGGGTCAACTACCCCTGCACCAGCGGCTGGGGCCAAACCAGTGGTCTTGGGGAAGATTCCGCCAAGCAAAAAGTAGTTCGAAACTAGCCATGAATTGGACTTGGCGGCGGGTACAATGGAGTATACGATTAACAACACAAGGGAGATTATGGAGAGGACCCACCCCAAAACTGCAAATGCGAGTGCGCCCTTTCCAGCTTTGCAGCCAACGCTACTGTAACCGTAATACAGGAAGCCATAATAGTAGCCATATGAGCAGTCGAGATCACCAAAACGGCTTGCAGCTGTTGCCATAGCAATAAGCCACCAGATCCAGATGAAGATCTCAGCACCCAAGGCGATCGCTGGCGTGAAGAAGGCAAGGGTGGGAGCTAAAAGCAATGGGATATAATACAACATAGCAAAGAGCCCGCAGACAATGGACATGGCGGGATATGCCTTTGACCACCCCACTTTGGCGGTGGAAACACATCCCAAGATAAACACGAGCAACGCAAAGAGGAGCTGAACACCTCTGAGGCCAAGGGAGAGTGGCGAGGAAAATTTAGACACCGTGAAAGCCATAGTGACTACTTTATTGGTATTTGGAAACCGGAAATTGGAATTGATGAGATATCAAGGATGGGATATCAAGGATAGGTATCAATATATCAAGGATGCCAAAAAAGGAACGCCAAAAGGGATTGATAATCGGTGGAATGAGAAGCTTTTCAGTTAAGATGGGTGCGAAAAGCTGAACACTCAAGATGAGGAAAGAAAAACCAAACTAGACAATGAGGAAGAATCGCCAACCTTTTATAATTGCAATTTCTGGATTCCACAGCTGCACGCGAAAGGCTGAATGTGTAAAAATAAAACACCGTCATGAATAAAGGAAAACGCCAATAGCTACTAAGGGTTGGAAGCCCGCAAGAAAATAGACACGCCGCACAAGGGACCAATGACGGACATGAGGAGGGAGTGCAGATGCGGAGAAGCGGTGACTAGAGGTGCTGAATTGGTGGCTTGGGTTGGGGCCAATGCCCGGTGACTGGGTGAGTGACCATGGTTGAAGTGGAGAGTCGACTAGATATGGATTTTTCATGTTAGGATGTTGGAGATATTGGCACTGGTGGAGACGTTAATCACATGGTGTTTGTGTGACGGGAGGAGGGGCTGTTAGGTGGATGAATTCGCCTGAATAGACGGGCCGGTGATGAACTGCATCAAACTTTAAAAATCTGTGTTCGTGGCCCATGGGGTGCTCCCCCCAGACGTACAGTCCTAATGCCAAAAATGAAGATAAACGAGCGATAAGGAATTGGCCAACATGAAAGCAACATCGCCAACATGAGGCAACGTAGGACATCATGGGGCAACAATTGGGTAACTTTGTGTTAACATTCCCAACACGTGAACAATTGGCAACTATGTCAAGTAATTGGTCAACACTAGAACGATATGCAAGAAACAACAAATAGATGCGGAACGGCCAGAATCCTTGACCGAATACGCATCAGGGGTCACAATTGGCAGTCAATTGACTCTGGTATTGACGTACTTGGACAGGTGCTAACGAATGCTAAAAAATATGTTTGCACATCCGCAAATCGGCCAATTACTCATCTGCCTCACGTCGATCCTTCCATGAACAATGCTTCGGTGAGAATTCACTTAACGCTGTAATAATAATTAACTTCATCCACCAACATGTCGACTCATATTAACGTGAATATGATTCATGAATCATGAGTCAATTCACTTATGATACACGATGAAAATAGCTATCATAAATTCGTTGTGAACTCCACGCAGCATCTTTAATCACTTCGGATCTTTGGATGTTTTCGGCATGGTTTGTCAGCACAGGGTTCATGGTCATTCTGGTATGATTGCAGTTGAAATTCCACATTCGTCTCGCTTCTATCTTTCATTGTGCTCCCTGTCTAACTGTCAAGAAATGCCAACTTTGTGATTACTTCGCCCGTTCCAGTCCAATTGACACCTTCTCTTGCCATGCTAGTTTAACTTTCGATGACCTTCGGCCAAAAAAAAAAAAAAAAAAAAAAACATCAGGGCTGCACATGTTAATATCCAGACCAATCGAAAATCTCAAGGTTTCCTAACCTTAAGACAACAACCAATTTCTCAGATACGACACTTCCATCAATTACGGTGGCCATTGACAGAGTTCAATTTCGCAAACCAATGACGACGCCCAAGTGTCAGCCGGGCCAGACTCGTTACCGGCCAGTCTATCTAGCATGGCCCAGCCAATGAAAATTCCTAGCTTCCACTCTGAACTGTTATGTCCTGTACATCCACCAATACGAAGTACATGTCAGTGCTCTAAACAAGGGAGAGCTGGACGAGGAAGTCACGTAGGAAATTCCATTCAGCCCGCAGTAATGGTGAATTTGCTTAATTATTGTGGTGATGCTGTGACCACCACTAGTGTCATCATGAGAACATTTTTCCCGTTTCCTCAGCCTCAAGATCTGCACCGTCTCTCAACCACCCTGCATTAGATTAAGCCTCATCGTACCCAGCCTCACCATTGGTCAGCCTTACCATTTTCAGCCTCACCTATATTCTTACCATCCGACCTATCGGGGGTTTCATATGAAACACGCATTATAGTAATTTCAAGTCTTATCTGAAGACTAATATGGGAATGTAATCAGGTGTAGTGCTCGTTGTGCTGCTCCATTGCTGTGCTCATCATGATGTGAGTGGTGACCATGTTACCGACAATATGAAGTTCATGGCTGACATATGTGGTCCAACAATTTCACTTTATGTTAATCGAAGAGCATTTTTTTGTGAATTGAATGGACTAGAAGAGGTTATCAGCTGGACTTGTTATCCCTCAAATTGCTTGGTGATTGCCGCATTTCATGACCGTCATAGAGGAAGCAATGGCTGATACTAGATTCCTCTTTGCTCATCTCACTAGAAGAATATCAAAGAATTCTCAGAATACGACATGAATTATCTTTCGAGATGATTATTCTTTGTTCGATAAATGTTCCAATTTTTGGTACATGATCCTCGACAATTGAATTGGGGTGTTGCAACTAGTATAATTTAAACTCCTCAAGCTTCAAGCGATACCTCCTCAATAGTCATAATTCCAATCCCTTTTGGAAACAAAGCAATCCAGTTACTCAATACTGATACCCTCCAGATGATGGTTGGTAAATTCAATACCTAGCCAGTCGTTGCTTTCTAGTCACCACGATAGTACCCAAGTATCTGTGGTCTTTTGTTGAACGCTAAATTTTCAGTTTATTGATACCATTATCCGAATAATTGCCATTAAGAACTATTGGGTCGAAATATATAAAGAGGAAGAGTCTGTGCCAAGTTGAGTAATATAAGTGGGGAGGCAAGGAGCAAATTCAATGAACTCAGGGCGTGCCAACTGACGGAAGAGTCCAGAATTCATTCGTAATCTACTGAATTACATCATCCACTTAACCAAATTTTATAATTCATGCTTCTTGACACTTTATGTTAGTGGAGTTAAAGAATTAAGTTCGTGCATGAAATGTCGTGCATTGTGCATGTTCGTAGTGCCCCTCGAGAACTAGAGCTTGGGCATTTCTGTCATTAGGTCCGAGAGAAAGTGGGCTCTAAATACAGTGATATGTAAGTGAAAGGGGGATTAGTCATGACATAAATTTTCCCTTCGAGGCAGTCTCACGTACTTCAAATTTCGATTCTTGCAATTTCAAATCGGCCAGAGATAATTATCCATCCAAAAAAAAATAAAACAGAACGAAAGGGCAGGAAACGTATGATATTTCATGAAGTCCAATAAAGACGAGGCTTCCTAATTTTTTGTGTTCTACTTCATTCGCAATTTTTGGTAATTGTTTTCTGAATTTACTTCAGTCTGTTGTTCCTTTGTAATCATGCTATTTGACAATTTCAATTGTTTTCAGGAATTTCTTTATCAAAGTTTCTACCAGAAAATTTTGAGATCTACAGATGAAAGCTCAGCGCTTTTAATGAGTGAACATTTTTGCATGCTGCCTAGGAACTAGGTGTACCTATGGCTGCGAACGTGAGGAACGAATAAACTACAATCATTCAAGAAACAAATCGATAAAATTTGAGTTAAAATGTGATTTGAAACAAAAAATACACCGAATTCAAACGGCTTTCCAGTAGAAAATTCCATTCATAAGCTGTAACTTTCACGATCCTAGCCAGTGTGGTGAGCATTGTTTGGAGAGCTTGGATTGATGTTATTCATCTGTCCCATAGAGAGTCCAGTTGAATGAGGTGACTGAAAGTTATGAGTGTTCTCGTCTTGTGGTTGATTATAAGTTTGCGGTTCCGTCTGTTGCCGATACATCGAAGGTACGTCTTGTTGCAGCTGATAGTGCTGCACCTTCTGAGCTTGTGGAACTCTGTTCGTGCCATCATGTGTACCATACTCATGGGGATTGTAGGCAACATATCCTGCTTCTGCATCCTTCGAATCAGTCATTGCATTAGAGTACTTGGGATAAATTCCACCCATTGCAAACCAGTTACGTGACCCGACAACATTTGATTTGGCAGCAGGAGCAACCGAATAGATACTCACCAAGACTATCAGAACTATGGAGAGTAGGAATCCCACCACCCCAATTCCAATAATTCCTTTTCCTGTCTCACAAGCAATCTGCCAGTCGGGGTTGTAACCATTATAAATGTCACCATCGTCGTCAGTGTAAGTATAACCTCCAGAACAATCCTCAGACCCGTAGTAATATCCAGCCAAAGCGACAGCAGTTATCCAAAAAATGAACATCACAATATCGAAAACTAAAACCACTACTGGAGGTAAGACGTATGCTGCTGGTGTAATAAGTGGTATATAGAAGATCAATCCTAGGATACCACACACAAGACCCAAGGCAGTGTAAACAGTAATATCAACGATGCTAGCGTATGGTGCCACCTTGGATAAATTTAGTGCACCCATAATTAGTATTACAAGTGATACCACAATCTGAGCACCTCGGATTGATATTCCTATTCCAAGGGCAGCACTGGAACTAACGGTGGGCATTTTGTGAGATTTTTCTGGTTCTTGTTTAATGAATGATAATTAATCTGGGGTATGGGGTGCTCTTTATATATTTACCGACCAGAGGAACTTGGGTGTCAATACGCATGGTTTTTGATAAAGGTACATAGCCTATGCTCAATTGATAAAATCAATAATCGATGACTCATGGCCAGTATTCTTGGCGTCCTTTGTAATGGTTCGGATTAAGTAAATTTTTGTACTTGCAACTATAGAATTTTCGGTATAGGCTCTTACTTCGTAATCATGGCCATACTGTTAAGCCGCACATGAGATTACGTAACGTTCAATTGCCCGATAAAGATGATTACGAAAATTTATAGTTATTGAATGAGAATTCTTGTTGAAATTGACAGCAATCTGGAAGAACTGAGAAATTGAACTTTAATTAACCAGAATATTAGGCAATTCAAATCACGACAACTTTGTTTGAAAATTAATAAACGCGAAAATACTAGAGGAAGAGACAATTTGTCTTGTCGTCTATTACCCACCTTTTCTAAACGTGCATGATATAGCTGATACTCGGCTAAAAAATACACGACATTCTCGTAATGGACTGGAGGGATCACGAAGTGATGGCCTAGCTGATCTTAATATGATCATCATGCTCCACTCTTTGAAAAATAAAGCACCAACTAAAGTAACCAGCATTTAACTTAAAAGTAGTTTTGTCTGTGAGGTAAATTCCCGAACGCCTTGCAATCCTTTATTATTGCACAATTATAATATGGAATTGGAACATCATCCATTAAGCACAAGGTATGTCTAAACTTGGTCATGTATAGTGTTTTGATGTTCAGGTACATGCATCACTGTATGTAACCAGCTGGTATTACCTTGTACCTGCGCTGCCAAAGAGGAACATGCACTCCTACAACCTTTTAAGTAACACTCCATTATACAAAAGTTTTGATAATGTCAATTTAAGTTCTGAACCATTGTGGTCACATATGACATGTCAGCCAGCTGATTTTAGTTCGGATCATCTGGCTTTAACCTCCACTGTCGTATTGTCCCGTCTTGAGGATGCATTTGAGAATTTAATTGGGCGTTCTTGTTTATATTTGATAATTTTTTGTGCAGCACCTTTTACAATGTAAGTTACCCTGTGAGATCTAAGAAAAGTCTTTTTCTTACTTTATGGATAGATGAAAGATAGCTGATTTAGTTTTCATTATCTTTTAAGTCTTCAATTGCTCTTATAACACTAGCTAGATCTTATGTACTGTGATGAAATTTTGGTTCTAGCCCAGTATTGACATACTTGGGGAAGATCCCACCCAAATCAAACCAGTTACGTGACCCGACAGCATTTGCTGCAGCAGCAGGAATAACCGAATAGACAAACACTAACACTAACAGGACAACCGAGAGAAGAAGTCCAACCACAGAAACCCCGATAATTCCCTTTCCCGTCTCGCAGGCAATTTTAACCCCGTCAAATCTATAATAATCGTATTCACCATAGTAAGTATCGTAAAAACTATCATACCCGTTGCAATACAATGGCCCATAATAACTTGCGGCACACTCGGCAGCAACCATCCATAAAATGAACAAGAAACATTCGAATAACAAAGCAACTATTGGACTCAATATGGAAACTGCTGGTGTCATTATGAGTACAAAATATATTATTTCTAAAGCACCACTCGCAAGACATAAGGCTGCATAAGTAACTGTGTTCCGGTTGAAGGAATAGGGCAAGATCATACCAATAATAACTGAAGCCATGGCTACAACAGAGAACGATAGCAAAACCTGAGCGCTTCTTACTGCAATAGATATTTCTAATGCACGTTTGGGAGCAACAATAGTCATGAAGTTGATTTCTGGTTTCTTCTATTTATTTGCCTTATAATCCGTTTTCTTGGGTTTTGGGCTCTTTATAAATAGTAGCCTTGCAAGCCATACATTATGGAAGGTATATAAAGCCTGCTTAATCGATAAAATTAATGATGATGACTTCAGTCCTCTTTCTTGGCGAGCTGGGAAGGATTTGGATTAAAAATTCACACCTTGGCAGTATACTAACCAGTAGTAATAATAACTCAAGAAAGAACAAAATTTACTAGTATTGGAGGTCATATATGACGCTTAGGAAGTTTGGACTTCAACCTCAATACACGTGTAGGCTGGTTGTCGACTTTGGCAGAATCTCACTTTATTTGGGCGTCACATCGCTTCAATATCGGCTCCTACTTCCCTTGGATTTTGGAACTAATGGAAGAAGAGCCCAGTGCATGCTTTGTATGCAGAAACTTCCTTATGCGGCTCTAATAAGGCATATTTATAAGTTTTGCAACTGTACGAAAGCCTTGTGGACTGCGGTGGGTCTCCTGGGTAAACTTAAGCTTGTCTAAATGATCGCACCTCTTCCTGTTGATTTACAACTTGCCTGTAGGGCTGATTGTCTGGTACGTATCATTAAAAATGAGTACTTCCATCGTCACCTCTAAAGCCAAGAAAGGAACGGTCCACTGTCCCTTCAGCCACGGGACGTTCTTCATCGACATTCAACTTTTGTGTAGTGACCTGAGTTAAAGCTGACTTGTCAGTTGTTGCATCTGGACATGTTATTTTCTGGAAGTGGCAACTTGCGTAGCCGAATGGTGAGAGCTATGGTTATGACAGCAGCCTTTTAGCAACCTTATTTTATCTACTCTCAACGGGACTTTGACCAGGTTTCTTAATATGGTCCCTGATATAGCACCCAATATACAATTGTTTCAAAATAAAAAAAAAAAAAAAGGGTCGTCTCTTCTGGCCTGTGTCTTGTGTGCAACATAGTTATTGCCACAACATTAGATAATCATTGGAAACATAGGACTATTTTACAGGCAATTGAAGATATAAGTCACACGAGCAGTTGAAGCCAACTGCAAATATTTTTTCTTTGCAAAAGTTTGCGGCTGTATTTTTCTGGAATGGTTAGTGAAACTAATGTATTGAATTGTATTTGTTCTCCAAGGTAGCTTCCAATCAGGATTTGCCATGTTAAGACAGGCCATATTCAAAGACTATTACTACTAGTCTTGGTGTTTCTTTTTAGAACCTGATAATTAACATGAGCATCATATTTTTAATGTCACACTTGTCATGGCTATCAAATACCCTGAATCTTTGTCTCTCTTTCCAAAACAACGCGTGCTCTTGTCGAGATTTTCCTTTGCCTTTTGGTCCAAAAAAGTTTGAAAAGAGAAATCAATTAAGTCAATTTATCGAGAATGAATTAGCATTGACGCACTGAGATTTAGATGAACTGATTAGTCACCGAATGTGAACATATGCACGGCTTTATCCAGGTTAAGAGACTCTATGAGATGATTGAACAATTTTAAAAGAGAATCAAGCCGCTTCAATGGAATACAAAAAGCCACCAATGAAAGCTCCGTTGGAAAACAGTACCTCTAATTCCACTTATGTCATTACTTACTAAAATATTTTGAGTATGATGCACATGAATCGAGAAAGGAACTCCTCGATTGTAATCAGCCTCCAAATCTGCATATTGAAGCTTCGTAGTTCAAAGTTCATTCTCTGTTTGATGAGTAAACTAACTATTTTCTTTTTTTTCTTTCCAGACAGTTCGCTCAGGAAAAGTTTGAGAGTCTTGAAGTCTGTAAACTGGAAAGGAAGCCCTGAACTTTTATTGTTGCATGAAAACAAGGAGTGCCATTACGGAGATATCTCAACAGGACTTACTTGTTCGTCTACAACCTTTCTCTCAGGCAAGAACAGTTCGTAATGTAAATGCATTAAAATTCATCAAGGAGAGACTTCAGAGTATGATCTTACTTTCAAGGATACTCCATCTCGGCGCATTATTAATTCTGATCTTATGTCTACTTCTATAAGTTTGCAGAGCAGGTACTTTGAAGTTATGGGTGTCTCGCAGCTCCATAGCTGACAAATGCCTGTGACTTCCCTTCTTTGAGGCTGGGCGGGAGAAATGTTGATACGAGAAGCCTTTAATTTCTGATTTTTGATTGCACGACATCTATGTCTCCCAGTATTTCTGCTTCGTAAATATACAATTAGCTGCGATGCCGGCTATCAAGTTACCGAGTCATGCGCCGGGTATAAATAGCTGGGCGGTATCGGGCAATTAATAAAACGAAAGGAGCGAAAGATTCAAACCAATTGCACATTGCCTTAACTACTTGTAAACTAGAGGAAATGACGAGTCATGCGAACGCACCGATAACACCTGGACCATCAATACGTTAAATCAACCCTACGCTGGGTTCTCAAAAGAACAACACATTCTGCCATTCGGAAACTCTTAGGGTATTTGAAGCTCAAGCAGCTGTTCCAGATGATGTAAGATAATTCCTTCCTCAATTTTTCCGATAAGATTTCGTATAGAATAGCATTGGCCCCACAAGAATGGAAGAGAGCCTGTAGTACGGCAAAAAGAAGAATGCGGTTCGTAATTCAATAATTCATCATCCATGGGATAGTACAATACTACAAAAACTAAATTATAAAAAAGAAGGGATAGTACGGATTCTCAGCAAGTACGTTCAATTATGAACTTTTTGAATACTTTATTTTACTTATCGGTATGTGTGTATGTTAAGTCAGAATCCATAGATCCAGATCTTATCACTGATGTTTATTATAATTCGTACTTGAACGAATACTATACCACCACAATCCACCTTTCAGGATTTTCTCTGTTCTACGCTAATCCAACTGTTGCCTCAGAAAATAACAACTTTTATGGCGTGTCAAACTGGTCAGAATATAGTGAGTACTATATTAGTTTTGTTTCCAAGTATCAAACAGAGTTGAACTCCCTTTGGTCTGCTAACGGCTACACTTCGATAGATGTATTGTCGAACGCTTTATCCTACGTGTCTGAAAACCTGCCAACGGCTTCAGAATCGTCGTTTGATAATTTTATTAAAAGTGGCTCCACTTTATACATTTACATCACGTCAATACCCATTATGACAACCAGCAGCTCTGATATGCAACAATCGGATACGGCTGGGGCTTCATCACCAACCACATCACAATCTTCACCACCAACCACATCACAATCTTCACCACCAACCACATCACAGCCTTCACCACCAACCACATCACAGCCTTCACCACCAACCACATCACAAACTTCATCTCCAACCACATCACAGCCTTCATCATCAACCACATCACAACCTTCGTCGCCATCACCAACAACGGCCGCACCAAACCCCCTGACAGCTGATTCTACCGACAAGGTGAAGACCTTAGGAAACGGAGGAGCTAACTACCAATCACTGAAAGCTTTGTTTGTTTTATGTTCATTTTTGTTTTTGGCCAATCTCTTATAGGTCTATTTACTTAAAATATAACCAAATGGCACTCATTGCTCGAAAGTGCTAAATTCTTCATTTGAGTTTTGAAAGCGTTCATAAAGCAAATGAAAGTTCATAAAACTATCAATGAAGGATAGACATAAGTGTTTTCGCAATCATATTCGAATATCTAAGCAGCCTACTTTTTCTAATAAATATCAATTGTGACATTACTCGTTTGCTCGAGGAAACCATCTAATCAGGTAAGAACACTTCGAGCATAGGAATTGAGCGACTAAGCTGAAATTCAATCAGGTCGATTATAAAATACGCATATTAGAAGTTTCCCTAAGCGTGCCTGTCGTATCTGAAGTGGTGCTTCGAGGTTCACGTCAGATTGGGCCATATCATCATGTAAGCACATTGATGTCATAACCATTCTGGCCGTCCTAACACATTCTATCCAAAGAGTGAAATTGTCAACCACACTGTGAGGATAAGTCGATTTAAATAATTGAACCTCGAACATCTTGGGCTGTCGGTTCCAAACTGTTAGAGGAATCACCGTTCAGTTGGCTCGCTTTATCAATCACTAGAAAACGAGCTACGAGAGTATGAATGCCACTATGCATAATGTCATTTATAAAGAGGGGAATTTACCAAGTGGCACATTACATATGGCTTCGTAGTCGCTCAGGTAGCCCTACTCCTAAAGTTACAAAATATTGGTGGATACCAATCAAACAAAAAAAAAAAAAACAGAATGGATATGAATATTAGCTAAAAAAAAACAGATCTCATTCTAACGCGTTAATTAGATCATAGAGCTCAAAGCGACCCTCATTCCTTGTGAGACATATATTACCAAGCATTAGGGGATCCTTCGTCTCTGTTCATAAACTTTCGGGAACGGTAATGGTAGCCACTGGAGTCGTCTTGGAGTGGAGAGTCGTAAAGAATTATTTCCAGCTTCGAGGTGTCCTTGGGGAAGATTCCACCACAAACAAAGAATCTCGTTGACGTACATAAATGGTTCTTGTAAGCATAAACAATTGAATAACAGGCTACAAGCACAATCAGTCCCACCCAGAGAGCACAACCAAAGGCGCTGGTAACTATCAAACCCTTTCCAAGGAAGCAGTTCAATTCGATCCCATAATCCTTTATAATAGCATCTTGTCGTCTCACATTGTTGCTCCAATTGAGTATTAGCCAAGTGTCTTCGCATTCCAAATGTGCATAGTAAATGGCATTCAAAGCGAGTGCTGTAGACCACAAACCTAATGCAATAATGTCCATTGAGATTACAATGAGAGGACTTAAGAACCTCACAAATGGTGTCAAGAGAGCGATGGAGAAAATTATGCCAACCCCACCACTCGGAATAGCAAGAGCTGGGAAAAGGATGGTGTTTGTAGTCTCATATTTTCTGCCAGCTTCGGAAACAGCCTTAGAAATAACATGAATGGCAATACTTGCAACCACAATCTGAATTATTGAGCTTATCAACTGAATAAGCCTGCAAAGTATGGATATTTTCTTAGTACTCTCAGTCATTAGGTTTGTGGGACCAAAACTCGGGGAACGGGGTATTTATGAGTTTTACGTGGTGGGAAACAATACGAAGATTCTCCTCATCTCCACAATGATCGCCCATAATTGATCATGATATACCCCATTTTTCTTGGTTGAAATTTTCAATTTTAGTCTTTTAAGGCAACTGCGGCTTTTCTGTTCCAGTATATTAATCAATTGCAGAAATGACCATTTTCATAAAGGGATATGTCTAGCTCAGGAGGGTACTATGGTCGAAAGCCTTGAGTTGATTGAGAAGGGATAGTATTTACGAAAACTGGGGCTCAAAATTTCAATTTAATTGACAGGAGTGAAACATCTATTTGATTTCTGAGTTGGACCAAGTACAAGCACCCCAAGTCTAGGTTCCCACCAGATCACCATCAATTGTGGAAGAAAATAACAGATCCTACCTTCGGTATGTTCCTTCTGAAATCTCCGGCTAGAAGAATCCATTGTAAGCACGGTAGTTCAAACATTGATGTATAGCTGCTTGTTCACTTTGTAAGGCATAGAGTGGGGAATATCGTAAATTGATGTTAGACGCAGTCAAATAAAAAGAGATGTAAGACAAAAGTTCAACCATAGTCTTCCCTGTTAAGCACCTCTCCCAAGTTTTTTTTTTAAACTAGTCCTGTTGGGTTCCATTTCCTAGCTTATAATTGGGGAGCCCACTATAAATCTAAACACATAAAATGGGGGTTTCAATGGCTTTCAGGCGGGCAAATAATAGGCACGAGAACTAACTTGTACTTCTCGACAGGAAAGTGGCATTTTGAGTATCCAAAGGTTAATTAATGACTCGCATTCATAATGTGAAACTTCAAGTCTCCTATAAGAATTGTGCTCCTGTTTCGAATGATTAATGGCATTGAATGTATAGTGCTTAAAAAAGCACGCTGCGCATGATAATTCACTAAGGATGAGTTCATACCGTCAGGAAGATTTTGTTACTGATCTGCTTACTTTGATATTATTCAAACTTTAATGTGAGTTGAAGATAGAACCTCAAGTCGCTTTGTGTGAGAGCATATCTTTCAAGGTTTAGTGTTAATCAGACTGAACAGAGTTTCAAAAGCCAATAGTAGTTGCCCTCTACAAAACCAATAGCGATTAGAGTATCACTAAAAGTCAGCAATATCTAAGATTCGTGGGGATCTGTTCTACTACAAGTCAGTGGACATTAAGTGTAGACAATTGAGTTAACCAAATCACCAAACGGCTTGAATTGATGGACAATAAAAGGATACGGGTGTCACTGACAAGTTCAAGTGCTCCAAGAGTTCCGATATTTTGAAGATTTCTTACTAAAGAGAAAAGATGATCTTGAACGAAGAATTTCTCCTCGTGAGCATTTATAGATTAGGCTGCCAATGCCACTTTTGTGACGTCAATCCTCATTATCGAACAACTTCAGCTTGCAAGGTAGTCCTCTCCTTGTTTTCACTTCTCCTTCTTCAATCTTGGTTAACGAGGGAAGATCCAACAACCCTTTATTATTACACGGTCGTAATCTAGTCTAACTATTTATGGCACATAATGAATGGCTATTCATCTTTGATGAAATTGATCCTCGGTCCTAGCATTGAACGGCAGTAAAGTTTCAGCGAGGACTCATTTACCTCGCTTGTTCAGAATAAATGAAGGAAGCCTAGTAAATTGGCTGCATCTCGTATGTATGTTGTCCATCAACTTCATGATCATCTAACCCAGAAATATAGTGCTGGGGGAAGATCGCTCCCAAAGAGAACCATTTGCGTGACCCAGAGGCGCTTTTTTGGACAGCAGGAACTGCGGAAAAGATAATCACCAAAATTAACAGAGCAAAGGAGAGAAACATTCCAAGCCCACTCACCCCACTAATTCCTTTCCCGATCTTACAGGCCAGACTATAACTTTGTAGCTCAGGATGACTCTCCCCGAGAAAAAGCGGGAAGCAAACCAAGGGTCCATAAAAGTTACTAAGGAATCCAAGAGCAATTAACCAAAAAACGAGCAACATGCTTTCGAATATAATCACCATTATTGGATTGAATATGCTCACTGCTGGAGTCATTATGGGTACATAGTATAGTACTCCTAAAGCCCCACACGCAAGCCCAAGTACTGAATAAGCAACTGAGGATTCACCAAAATGAATGTGTTTGAGTTTGAAAATACTAATAGAAGCCAAAACCACAATTGAAAGTGAAATCAAAATCTGAGTGCTTCTTATCGCAACAGATATCCATGTTACAACTTTACAATGAGGACCAGTTCCCACTGCTTCAAGGCGTATTAACTCAGCAATATTGTACTTTGAGGAAATGCCACCTAATGCAAACCACTTGCGTGCACCAACAGCATTAACTTTCACAGCAGGAGCTATGGAATAGACAATTACCAACACTAACAGGTTGACAGAGAAAAGAAATCCAATCACACCCACCCAAATAATTCCCTTTCCAGTCGTACAGGCAGTTTTAACGTAGTAGTCTTCGGACTCATACCAATAAGAGTATCCCTTGTCGTAAACAACATAGTAAACAGTATTCAGAGCACATGTCAAGGGTCCATAAATGTATCCCGCACATCCAACAGTAAATAGCCAAAAAAAAAGCAACACGCATTCAAATATCAATACTGAAATTGGATTCAAAATACCCACTATGGGTGTGACTAATGGTACATAGTAGATTACCCCTAAGGAACCACACGCTACGCCAACAGATGGGTAAACAAATGTTGGACCGTATTGATCGAGGCTCTTTGCACTGAGAATGTTTACTGCAGCCAAAGCTAAGATCAATAATGATAGCAAAATCTGAACACTTCGAATGGCAATAAATAGACCTGTAATATTGTACGAACGGGTTCTTTCAGCCTTGGGAACAGTAGTGTTCTTCGCATATTTGGGGAAGATTCCACCCACACTTACCCATTTGGGTTCCCCAATAGCATTTACTTTGGCTGCGGGAACAACTAAATAGCAGCTCACCAACACCAACAGGAAAATGGAAAGAAAGCATGCAGTCAAACCGACCCCGATCATTCCTTTACCGATCTTGCAAGCAGATGTAATATTGTCAAAATGGTCCTTCTGAGAAAAAACGAAGAAAGTTTTCTCTAGATTTTTTTGAGCGGGGCAAACGAGATGCCCGTAGGTGTTTCCAATGCCTGCCACAGTAAACAACCATAAAACCAGCGACATACTTTCGAATACTAAAACAACTATCGGATTAAAGATAACCACTGCAGGTGTCAACATGGCTACATAGTATACCACTCCCCAGCATCCACATACTAGACTTATGGTAGAATAAGCCACAGGATTGCTAGTGTACTTGGTTTTATTAAGTTTAGAGATACTAACAGAAGCCAATATCACCATCAAAAGTGCAAACAAAATCTGTGCACCTCTGATTCCAATTGATATCGTTGTTGCAATCTTCGTAGCGACAACAGGCATAATGTCGAGGATTGATTGGTTTTTGTTCGATTACGTCGATCATTCTGAGGTTATAGTCCATTTATGAATAAATCAAGTCTTGGACACCTTACATTGACCAATGCAGTCTCTGAGGAGAAGGTACATATGCTGTTCAATCGACAAAACCAATAATGACTTTTACCTTTGCCGAGAATGGTAATGGTTAGGATATAAGTTGCAATTGCCTTGGCGACCACTGATCATTGGTAATAATAATAATAGATGTTACTGTAGAATTCAATGCCTCAATGTGCTATTTTAACTCCAAGACGGTCTCAGTCTCAGCCCATCTATTTGCCTATTTGAGGATCAATATTATTTTTAGGTTTTTTCACTTTCAACCACTATGTAGGGTTGGAAAATCGATGGAAATATCATATGTCGAAAAGTTCTTTGAGATAAGAATGAACGTCGTTTATGGTGTTGACAATGCCTGCTCTTAATCCATCATCACTGCATGGTGCATAGAAAATGATGTCCACAAGTTTCATAAGGTGCATAATGTTTGAAAGTTCATTTTTGAGATCCATATCAACTGTTGCAAGGCTGATAATTGTCTTGCTATTTGTACACAGTACATTCAGTGAAAGGTATGAGCATCGCTTGAAGTCGGTAAAATGGTTCGAAAGCCCTGTACTTACTACTGCGGCACGCAAGCAAGGAATGCCATTACGCAGGAATATTCTATTTTACTAGGATGTGCTTGACCATATGCATCCCTCTGTCATGCAAATAAAAGTTCGTATTTCAAGTACCCTCAAATCATTCGAGGAGGAGACTGACCATGTAACCCCACTTTCAAACTTACTCATTCTTGGCTTCGAATCCTAGTCTTCTCTTGTACCTATAAAATTTTGGTACTTGATGTTGTTGTTTTTTTCTAGTGAGTTTGAAAGAACCATAATTTGTTGGCCGTTTCCCTAGTGCGATTGGTGGGCCGGCAGAAGGTGATACGACAAACCTTCGATTTCTGATTACAAATTCGACTTTCATGTCTCTCACATTTTCTCATTTGTGTCGTAAGTCTCGCAAGTCTGAAATCCCTTAAAGAGATTGCTGCGCCGGTATCCAAGTAGTTGCCAAGTCATTTGCTGAGAGCATTAGCAGAGAAGCATTGTCTTCTACTTGTGCATATGGCTATTTTTATAAGAGACAATATGATGAGCCCCACGAAGTCGCTACCACTACTCGGAGGATCTCTATATTGAAAGGAGACCCTTTCTGAGTTTCTCAGCAGTATATAAATTATCATTCAAAGGCTAGGATAACTTTACGTTCAAGCAAATGTTCAGATGATGTAGAAAACTTTCTGTCCGTTTCTGTCCAGCAAGTTTTCGCATAGTATGGTTTAGGTCCTTGTATTCTGGAGAAGAGGCTGTAAAACGGCTAAACAGTGAGGAGTCTTAATAAAGTACAGATAAAATTACGCTCCATTGGTGGGTCAGTGTGAAATATGCAACGAAAATTCAATAATAAAAGAGAGTAATCGTGCTGATTCTAAATTTGTCTGCCTTCAAGAATGCTTCTCTTCATTGTTGCATTTTATTTGTCGGTATGTGGATATCTTAAGGCAGAATCCATAGATCCAGATCGTATCACCCAAATTTATTATAATTCAAACTATGGCAAATACATGAGCACTACATTCCAACTTTCAGGTTTTTCGCTGTTTTACGCTAATCCAATTGTCGCCTCAGATAATAACAATTTTCATAGTGTGTCAGACTGGTCAGGGTATGTTGAGTACTATATTGGTTTTGTTTCCAAATATGAGACAAAGTTGAACTCCATTTGGTCAGCCAACGGATATGTTTCAGCAGATGTATTGTCTATCGCTCGGTCATACATCTCTGAACATCTGCCATACTTCCCAGAAATGTCTTATGATGATTATAAACTTATTGCTTCCGCATCCCAAGTCTATGTTACGTTAGATTGGCTGCAGCTCACAAATTCGAAAGCTCCTTCCTCAGCCGCAACTCCCGGCTCAATCGTTGCCATAACAACTAGCAGCATCCACAGAAGTCGATCTACTTCCCCGGCAGCTCCATCACAACCTCCATATCCAACTCCGTCCCAATCCTCATTTCCAATCCCGTCCCAATATTCATATCCAACTCCGTCACAACCTTCATATCCAACTCCGTCCCAATCTTCATTTCCAACTCGGCTACAATCTTCATATCCAATCCCGTCACAATCTTCACATTTAACTCCGTCGCAATCTTCATTTTCAAGAACAAGACCAGCCTCATCAAGCTCTTTGATCTCAGCAATTCCTGCTAATGCTAAAACCTTTAGCAATGGAGAATTGGGTTACAAGTTGCTGCATACCTTATTTATTCTATCTTCATTTGTTTTCTTGTCCTATCTCTTTTAGGCCCATTTGCTTCACGAAATAATCAATTGATATTCTTCTCGAGTTTTGAGCTCCATTTTGAAGATATATTACAAACTCTTTATTTGGAGAAACAATTCCGCACTTTTGAACTCACAATTCATAACTTCTTTCCCAATTCGAGAATGTAATCAACAATATAAGATAAAAGGTCATAATCGGAATTATAGTGAATATCTGCACGTCCCACCGGAATTTAATACCAATTGTTTAAATCCTCTGATTGTTCAATAGATAGAACTTCAAAAACTAAACTGATTACCTCCAGCAATGCGACTTCACCATTATCCTGAGACTGCAAAGGTGCACTCTTCCTATGAAAAGAAGTAGTAGCCTTTTTATGTTCCAATTGGATTTCTCGTGGTTGTTGGATGTGACCTTCTGTTAGCTGCAATGTAATGAAATCACTTGATATCATATTTGTTATGCTTTCCCTCTCGTATCCCAGCAACAGAACCTAAAACTTCAGTAAGGAAATTTACAGCACTAGTACTTCAAGAGTTGAATCTAATTAACCTCGAAATTTCCAGTTTGTGGGTTCAAATTCTTGGAGGAGTGACATTAATGAAAAGGACATATAATGATACAATGATGGCCATGTTTGACGAATTCTTCTTTTCAAAAGGGGAATTCATATTTTGACTTATAGACCTGGTTTTTTATCTGCCTAAGCAACTCGAAATCAAGAAATTCGGAGATACATTAATCATAAGGTAGATAGATGGATATTATTATTGGCAATGAGCAGGTAAGTTTTGAATTGCTGAATACAATACCTCGTTCAAAGAAATGGAAATTTTTTCACTTCTGGACAGCCAGTATTACCAAGCGAAATCAGTTCTTTGGTTTGTATGCATACACTTACCACAATCACTACAATAGTTTTCACTTGAATCGTCTCGGAGCGGAGAGTCGAAAAACAAAATCTCCAGTTTAAAATCATCCTTTGGAAACATTCCTCCAACAATGAAGAATCTCGTCGATTTACACAAATGGTTCCTCCAAGCATAGGTGATAGAATTGGAGATTACAAGCACAATCAGGCCCAAGCAGAGACCACAACCAACTGCACTGGTACCTATCAAGGCCTTGCCTAGGTAACAGTTCAACGTTATTCCATTATCTGTGATAATTGTATTTTGTTGCCTCTCGTTTTTGCTCCAATTGAGTATTACCCAAGTGTCTGTGCATACTTCATGAACGTAATAGTTGGTATTCAAAGTGAGAGCTATGCACCACCAAGCTAACGTAAAAATTTCCATCAAAATCACAGTCACTGGACATAGAAACTTCACCAAAGGCGTGATGAGAAGGATGGAGAAAATGGTGCCAAAACAGCCACTCGGAATAGCAAGGGCAGGGTATAGGATGGTGTTATCAGTACCAAATTTTCTCCCAGCATCGGCGACAGCGTTACTGACCGCATGAATGGCAATACTTGCTATGCAAATATGAGTTATCGAGCTCAAAATTTGGACTAATCTATAAAAACAGGATATTTTTGTTCTAGTTTCCGTCATTGGGTTTGTAGGTCCAATATTTGAGGATCGGGGGAGGCACTCAAATATTTATTTACGGACGGGCCAAGTGAGCAATGAAATAAAGGAACTCTCTTCAGTTCGATTAACCCCATTTGCTTTTGTCTCGTCTTGTCTTTTTTTTTTTTAACTTGAATCAATTGCTGCTTCTTTTGTTTCATGACACCAATCAGATTCAATAATCATCAGAATGGTAACAATTATTCGGTATTCGACTATGGGAGGGTGACATGGTCGTCATTTCTGGTTTAATTGAACGGGAATATCGTTTACGAGAATCGGGGCTCAAATTTTAATTTTCTTAGAGATCAGATGATACACAGATGGGTAGCTTTAGATTGATTTCAAGATAGCGCAGCTGTACAGGTTATGCATCCAAAGTACATGTAACCACATATGGTCACAAATAATTGAGAGGAGAAAGGTGGATTCTTTTCGGTACGCAAGTTCATTCTGGACCTTGACTGCCAAGAAAATAATTCCAAATTGTGAGCACTATAGCTGCTCGAACTTTGATGCAAGGTTGCCTATTCCCCTTTTTTAAGTAGTATGCGGGGGGATGGCCGCAAATCGACTTTAGACGCAGAGGTGCAGTACACACCAACCATGGTTCAACAATAGCATCTTGAGAAAACACCTCCTCTGCGTTTTATGGGAGCCAAATCCCTTTTGCTTTCCCTCTTGAGCTTGAAAATCTCAACATTCGAACTAATTTCGGTTACATGGACCAAGAGCTTTTGGTGACTACATAATGAGCGAGCCCATGAGCAGAAGGAATTAATACTTGTTCGTTCTTCTGGACAAGAAAGTGGCATTTTGAAGAGCCAAAGCTGCGGTGAATTTGAGACTTACTCCCAAAATGGTGATCATATTGAATGTTTCAAATGACCCCGTCTTGAACGTGCAATCTCAAGTATCCTGAAGGAAGTGTCACACTGTGCAAGGACATTCAGATATATTGTATCGCCTGAGTTGATTTTCCTACTAAATCTGATTGCTCCAGTAGTGTCTTAAACTTTCAGCTCAACGTTAAAACTCGGTTCATTTAGGTATAGTTGGAATAATATGATACTCAATAGCATTTGTTGCAAATAGAACAGATGGTTGCAAAAGTCAATGGCAGGAACCTGTTCCCACACAAATTGCGTTCTGAATATGTATTATGTCTGTCATTCTTAAAGATTTCCCGGTATATTTCTCGTTACAGGTGAGCGGCCAAAAAGAGTACCCTGCTCCATGGCGACAGCCAACCAAATCAACGAGATGATGTTATATCAACAATCAAAGAGAAGACAACGGGCTTCATGAACAAACTTTCCGGTATTCGGCATCATTCGTGTTGAAGGGTATTAACTGTCTTGATCAAAGGCTTTTCCTTCATTAACATAGATCTCAGACCCTACGTCATTGTAGAATGTTGAAAGGATCGCTGAAGTCACAAAAGCTTAACCATCAAGGTGGTATAAGTGAGATGTCCTATAAGTCAGAAAGGTGAAATGAGCGTATTCATCGACTTTTCAAAAAATTTGAATCACAAGTATACCTTCTGAATTGAGATTGCCAGCTGAATCGCCTGGATTATTGCCCGATATAGCAACTAGGCTAAGTGATTATTAGCAGTTCCCGAATCACCATGCTTTTCGAAATGAGAAGAACCCACTAATTAATTAATTTTAGCCTACTCTGAACTTCCAATAAGCAATAGAATATTTGCATGAAATCATAAAATCCAGGGTAGTGATTGTACGACAAGAAAGTGATAAGAACACTGTAGTAGGTGACACTTACCCACAGTTACAAACAGCGTAAAGCTAAACTTACACAATGTTGAGTCTGGAAAATCAATTCCGTCTTCTAATCTCCAAATTCATCAAATTAAAAGAAAAAAAGCCCCAATAATAGCCAATGAATTATCCGTCCCTTTGGTCCAACATGTGGTCACGTGGTTAGGCAAGCAATGGGGGCCCAAGAAATATTTCCCACCCGACTCTCCTTGATCACACACCCGTACACCAGAATAATCATTCTAAACTACCCTTCACTTGCTGAGATAAGTGATCTCTTGGTAGTTTGAAGACATTGTGACAACATGACGGAAACTCGCTTTGCCCAGTTCAAATTGGTTCTCCTCGGCGAATCCGCTGTTGGAAAATCGTCCATTGTCCACAGATTTGTCAAAAACACTTTTGACGACATGAGAGAATCCACCATAGGCGCCGCCTTCTTGACCCAAACCATAACGTTGCCTGAAGTCAACACCACCGTTAAATTCGAGATCTGGGACACTGCAGGCCAAGAACGATACAAGAGTCTTGCGCCCATGTACTACCGAAATGCTAACGCTGCGTTATGTGTCTACGACATAACCAGTCAATCTTCCTTCCAGAAGGCGCAGGACTGGATCAAGGAATTGAAGAAACAAGCGCCCGAGGGCATTGTGGTTGCATTAGTCGGTAACAAAGCCGATCTCTCTGAGCAGAGAGAAGTGGACGAGGCCGAAGTGGAGCAGTATCTTGAGCTGTTAGCGCAGGAAGCAGAACAGGACGGCTCGAAGGCTGTGATCCATAAAGAGTGTTCGGCCAAATCAGGAGAGGGTGTGTTGGACATTTTCAATTCTATTGCACGTGCTTTGCCTGTGGAGCAGGCGGGAAATAGAAGAGGTGGACACGGAGCGAAGAAGGTGGAATTGGACAGAAAGCTGCAGCCACACCAGCAACAGAGTTGTTGTTGAGATAGCCTGTGCTTCTTTGAGTTTTTAATTGCTTACTGATCCTGGTATTTGGGTGATACCTGTGGGCTTAATTATTGCTGCCAGTTGCCTGTAATCTCTGATGCTGGTGATTATTCGGCCAGTGATTCTACTCACTCACCTAAAGCTCCCAGGCATTGTAACATGCATGGGCGAATGCTCGCCCCGACGTTTGAGTTTCTACTATTAATCTACATCATATTTGTCACGGAACGTATACTGACAATTAAAAAGCGGGGGTCGTAGCGTCTTGATTTATTTCCATTCTCCCTCTATCACTTCTTCTTAGCAAACAATGGCTCGCCAATGTTCTTTCCTCTCAACTTCACACCCAATGCTCTCTCCAACTTACCTAACAACTGCTGGTTAGGGACAGCACGACCTGCTTCGTAGTCGTTGATAACCTGTGGCTTCTCGTTCACCTTAGTGGCCAAATCCTTCTGCGTGAACTTCTTCTCCTGTCTGGCCTGCTGGATAGCTTTGCCAACAGAGACATCCACCTTCTTGACTGCGACGATGTCGTCGGTGTTGTCCAACTTAGTCAACCGCTGACCCTCAGGGTTGCTCTTGGTGTTGGTAGTTCCGTATTTCTTCTCGGTACCCAAAACAGCACCAGATCTTCTGGCGGCATTCAACTCACCAGCAGTACGAGCAACACGCTCTCTTGGACCGCCACCGCCTACACGGGCTTTCTGGCCAATAACAGTAACAGTATCCCAATCAGACATTTTGAGAAAGAAAAGTTGTAGATAATCGGAGTGGTGACTGATTTCTTTTCGGTGGCTATCAATCGCGGGTCACGTGATGTCTCCACGGAACGTTCTAGCATTGTGGCTCATGTGCAGGAAGTTTTCATCGTTGCTGTCATGAATAGTATGGTAGGAGTTTAATTTTGAAGTGATATTCAGTCATTTGATAACTATGTAGATGTTTATTACTTGGTGGAGGTTACTGTGTCCAAATTTGGAGAAATCTGGCCCTGTTTTGTGCCATATCATGCTATGAAGGTCTGGGGCCAGAATGTTGAACCCATGTTAACATTTGTTGGTGTGATAAGTATAATGGCTATTTATTGAAAACCATTTGTTGACTTCTGAGCTTCGTGGAATAAATTTGTTTTGGTGCTTTATGCGTGGAAGCAAGAACTCCATCGATCTTGATGTAGAGAAGTGCGCGGGCTTCGAATCGGATATCAGATGGTGGAGAACTAGAAACTGAAATGAAAACCTGAAGAAGGAGGTAGAAATCAGAAAGTAGTAAATATAGATATGTTGTATGGAGTCACAGAAGATTGGATTGTCTTCCTGTAGTGTGAAATATCTACTTTAGCTCCAAATTTTTCAATCCTACGTACTGACTGTATGGTCTGCTGGTCATGATGACCTAATGTATCCATTGATATCGGGAACTTGTTAAAGACTCGTTTCAGCAAGTTTGGAATTAGTGGACGGTTATCTTCGACGGATTCAGTTTCAGAAACATGGCCCAATCTTATCTCCATATGTGCTTCACCATGATGAACTATATATATATATGGCTATTTCGACCGTAACCGACTAATCCAGTTAATTGTGAGCTTTCCAGAAGTACAAACTCCATATACAAGTATCTGTACCAGCCATCTCTTCTATTCTCTTTAACCTCTTTCGCAGCCATAGAGACATTTACAAAATTGAAACTCCATGATATATCTAAACCCTCATTCCTAATCCGTATGAATTCTGAAATCTAATTTCCATTGCTCTACTCTTCTATTCTTCTAGCTAGCCAGATTCCCACCTCAAGATACCCGTCTCTTCCTTTTTCCATTATTCCTTGTATTCCCCGGTAACTGTCTGTCGCACGACTCTATATATAACATCCATCCATACATAAGCACTGTTTGCTACCCTAAAATGGCTTCTGTCTCCATCAACCCAAGATCGAGATCGATCAAAGCTCTCAGTGAGGACGTCTCCTCGCTTTCGGTTTCCTCTCTCATCCAGAGAGTGGCCGCTAAAAGCAAGTTGAACACTAACAGAGTCAGACTCACCTACCAAAAGGAGAACCGTCAGGTTCCTTTGGACAATACCAAATCCTTGTCGGATTATTTCAGTGCCCAGGAATTGCTGGGTGGCATTGAGTTGTTTGCGAAGGATTTGGGCCCTCAGATTGGTTACCAGACCGTGTTTATCTTGGAATACCTCGGTCCAATTTTAATCCAAGTACTCATCCACACTTACTTGGTCAAGTACAAGCAGGTGCCCCAGAACCAGACCCAGACGCTTGCCTACTACCTCGTGTTGCTCCATTTTCTCAAGAGAGAGTACGAGACCGTTTTCGTTCACCGTTTCTCGAATGCTACCATGCCCTTGTTCAACTTGTTCAAGAACTCCGGCCATTACTGGATCTTGTCAGGACTTTTGTTGTCTGTTTTCGTGTATGCTCCAGACGTGTCACAATTGGCTAATTCTGGACCAGTTTGGAAATTCTTATTCCATGTGAACTCGTTCTCTTCTGTCGTGAACTATGCATTAGTGGGTGGATGGTTGTATGCTGAAGTGTCCAACTATCTTTGCCACGTCAAGTTGGCTGGATTGAGAACAGCGGATTCCAAGGCATACGTAATCCCTAAGGGCTACGGTTTTGACTTGTTGGTCTGTCCCAACTACACTTTCGAGTCATTGGGCTGGTTGTTCTTCTCCATTTTAGTGGGCAATTGGTCTGCTTGGTTGTTCTTTGCTGTAGGTACCGGTCAGATGTATCTTTGGGCTGCTGCAAGAAAGAAGAAGTACTTACGTACATTCGGTGACGACTTCAAGAAGTTGAAGAGGGCTGTCTTTGTTCCTTTCTTGTTGTAAAGACCATCAGACTGTTCTACTTTGTAGTATGACAATTCAATTATGGGACATTGATCATATGCTCAATAAAACATCAATTCATAAATACTTATTCCTGCCTCAACTTTAAACAAACACTATTCACACAGTGTCTCTCGTCCGTAGGCGTGTTGTAACCTTCACCTTTGAAAATATGGCCCAAATGGCCGTTGCACTTGGAACATCTCATTTCTGTCCGTAACATTCCAAACGACCGATCCTCATGGATAACCAAAGCACCTGGAATGGCGTCGTAGAATGCTGGCCATCCGCAATTGGAATCAAATTTGGTCAGAGCCTTGTACAATGGTTGCTGGCATGCAACACACTCATATACTCCAGGTCCTGGAGGAGTCTTATTGTATTCTCCGGTATTGGGAGCCTCAGTACCCAGTTGTCTGAGAACCCGAAACTGTTCGGGAGACAAAATAGCCTGCCACTCTTGTTCAGACTTTGACATTGTTCTGATGAAAGTTCTGGTTGTAGCAACTGGAATTCTTAAAACAGTTCGGAACATATAGATATGCACTACTCTGGCTTACAAATGTAGATATAAAATAACAGTGGCAAAGGGGACAATAATGAGATGAAGTGAAAAAGAATGATCATTCTTAATTTAAATTTGATGTCAGAGCCTCTTTTTTATTTCTTTGTCCATTTTGATGCCATTGATCTATGAAGTAATTATACTGAAGACTAATCGATAATTTATGAAATGTAGATGCGAAACTAGTGATACATAGAGAAAATAGGGACATTCTCTCTTTTGGAGTTCTCTTTTGCGCGTTTTGCCCGCTCTTCTCGTCTGAGCTTTCAGCTGTTTAACGCATAAAGTAATTGTACTTACCCTTCTGCTCTCTGGACTTATCCTTTGTCTGGGTTTGGAGATCCCACTCAATCTCTACATCCACCTCACGTGGGTTCACCTTGTTAGGTCTGGAAGCAATGGTACCCTTGATGGTGTCTCCCTTCTTCAAGTCGAGCACCTGGTCCATGTAGAACACAGTCTGCTTCCAATGTGTGTAGTGGTTCATTGGACCAGTAGGTAAAGTCACCTTCTCGTCACCTGGGAAGTCACAGTCGAACCAAACAATGTATGCATGGCACAAGTCGTTGTCCAAGGCCTCCAACTCGAAGCTAGAGTGGAAAGACAACTCCTCCTTGGTCACAGTGTTGATGTCGAACTCGAAAAACTTATATGGAGCGGTCACCAATGAGTTGTTGTCCACGGTATCCACCAAAGGCTCCACCATGGCCACCTTGATGAAAGGAGAGTAGTCAAAGCCGTAAACATCCTCCCAGAAGTGAATCTTGTCATCCTTGTACTGGCCATCCTCGATACCAGCAATGGACATAGAGCACTTGTCTGGCAAGATCAAACCACCTTCAACCAAGTACTTGTCTCTGGCATACAACACAGTATCCAACATGGACTCGTACAACAAGAAGTATCCCATCCATTCAGATACAATGATGTCCACGGAGTCCACAGGCAACTTAATGTCCTCCAATTTACCTTGCAACAAGGTGATTTTGTCATCGAAGCCATTGAGACTCACAATCTCACGGGCCTTCTCAATGATGTTGGACATGTCCACCGAGTAAACGTGCTTAGCGCCAGCCTTGGCAGCAAACATGGACAAAATACCTGTTCCACATCCCACATCCAAAACAATCTTGTCCTTAAACAAATGCTTGTTCTTGTACATGGCCGATCTGTACGCCAACGTTCTGCTAGTGTCCTTGAGCATCTCCTCATGGATGCCGAAGTGGTCATATGAGGAGAAGTAGTGCTGCTCCGTGAAGGGCAAGCCGGCTTTATCAGTGGCAGACATGATTGGGAAAAAGAGGTAGAGTAGGTGATGAGATGAGATGTAGTGTGTAGAGTTGAAAGTTTTGAGACGCAGGCCGGAGGTTTGGATAGGAGAGATGAGGCTTTTTGAAAGGGTCTATGGGTGACACGAAGAGACGGCATTAGTCAATTTTATAAAATTTTTGGAAGATCCAATTGGTTTTAATTGGTTTTATCGGCTTGGCTGTTTTGCGTTTGCTTTGTATGATTTCGTGAAAAAGCAATAAATATGATCAGAGCAGCATGCGAATTGATAGTGGATAATGAGAAAAACATGAAAACAATGGGATTATAGCTTGTACATTGAAAGTTAGCTGTATCATTTTGTATCTTTCTGATTGTGGAAGATTTTATTTTGCTTCTAATATTCTACAGTTAATCAGCTACCTACATCGAAAGCCTCATCATATAAAACGCCAGATCTTTACCTACATAGTCTAATCCTCATCTAAATAATCCTCTCTACTTCACTCCACCACTCTATACACTTTTCATGTCATTATTCTTAGTTATTACTTATTACATACTTCGCCTTACTATTGTTGACGGATCTTGTCCCTGATCAAGTGACAAACTCCAGACGCAACAATACTGATTCCCAACATACCCACAAGAACCATATTGGAGTTCCTGTAGAGTCTCTTGGCATCAGAGGGCCACCCACTGTACAAAGCATATGTGGCGGTGACAGATCCCAAGTTTCCCAATCCAGAAACAATGGCTGCACTCACTGCAGTTCCAACATCTCCATAACGAGGTCCAAAGATCTCGGCTGACCACGACATACAGATAGGGACAGTAGGTCCAAGACCAAATCCAGCAATAAGCAACCCGCCGTATCTGTTCCATGACCCTTTAGCAAATGTCGTCACAAACATACCTACCATGATAATTACACAAGCTCCACTGAAAAATGCAGCACGGAAACGCTTGAACTTGTCAGCAAAGGGCGTAATGATCAAAATTCCAGCCAAATCAAACAACCAGATGGGTGCGTACAAGAGTGACACATTGATGGACGAAAGGCCAGGGTTGTTAGCAGCAATGATAGTGGAACCAAAGACAGCCAAACCAAATCCGGTACCCACAACTCCAAAGTACATTATAGTGATTGGCCAGAGTCTCAAGTCGGTGAGAATAGCCAACACATCCTTCATTGTCCATTTGAGAAGAACGTAACGGTGTTCGATGTCCTTTCTATGGATCTCCCTCTCCATTTCGTTGAGAGGGTGCGTTGGAGTGACATACCGTGTGTAGAAACGCAGAATAGCGTTATTATGTTCTTTGTTGGTCTTAAATGGCCTATCGGGAAGCCACCAAAGAAGCGAAATACCCACGGTGATGGTAATACACCCATAGACCAAGTACATCCACTGCCAGCCAGTGTACCCTCTAGTACCGTCCATTTTCTGGAACCCAGCACTGACTAAACCAGCAGCAGAGGCAGAAAGCTGTGCAGCAGTGAAGTAGTAACCAATACGTCTTGTCAGTCTTTCATTAGGGTACCACAACGACACATAGTAAGACATTCCTGGCCAAGTTCCGGCACCAACGACACCAGAGATGAAACGGCAGGCAATGAGTGCACCGGGGGATGACAATGCGTGGTAGCAGGTGTACACAACACCCACGGTGATGACAATTCTGGCCAACCAAGACTGAGGGCTAACTTTAGTCATAATCAAATTGGCAGGAACATCAAAGAGAATGTAGCCGACGTAATAAAGTGCAGATGCAGTAGAAAGCTGCTTGGCAGTCAAACCAAGCTGTTGTTTCAACGAATGGCCGGAGGCTCTATTCATAGTCAAGGTGACTCCATAGACGCTGGAGCCAAACGAGGTCAAGAAGTAGAGACACCAGAGCGCAGGAATGATTCTGCGGTCGAGCTTTCTGTAGATACGGTCAAGCTCTTTTTGTGAGGCACCAACGTCTTGGGAAGAGACGCTGTCTTCGTTGAGGTCAACCTTAGGATCAGATTTTCCGTCTGACCTAGAGTCCGACAAGTCTTGCGTGTCGGAGGCAAGAGACTTCTGAAATTCAGACATGTAGAGAAACTTATTAAATTGAGAAGCGGCGATAGGTCCTATTAAATAATAATTGCTTGGTCCCAAAAAAAGAGAAGAATGGTTAGAAATATTCGGTCTTTACCCAAATTTCGCTTCTTGTGTGCACTCTGAGTCGCCCTGAGTCAGACGAGTCATGATGACCGACGGCATACAGTGTTGACTCGGAGTCAATTTTAACAAGTATACCTTATCAAAACGACCTTCTGCCTATCACAAGTGAGATTGTGAGCCGCAGACAGACGGGCTTGCGTCAAAGTAGCACCCAATAGTTTGCATGTGGTCCGCCGTTGGGTGCAACTACTATTCTCAAATTTTTCTTGACAACCCTAGGTCCTCATATTGTGAATCATTGAAAGTAGATATTAGATTCTCGAGAGTAGTCGTACTTCATTAAACATTTCACTTTCATATTCTTCATTTTTAGCTCATTTTTAATTCTTGGTCTTTAATACGTCCTTCAGTCCATTTCTTGATCTTATCCAATGCTTAGCCAATTTGCCCTCATTCAAGACTCTGCTTCCACCACATTAAATGACTCAACTCATCCATGACTAAATGCATCCGTGACTCAGCGTTATCTATTTTCTTGCGAGAGCCTCGCATGTTATTTCGGCAAACTCCACGCTTTGGTCAATGCAGAAACTATGCGTAATTGCTCGCACATCTCCATTGTCCATGTCCCCCACTTCAAAATGTACCAACTCGTTCTCCAGATCATGGTAACGTGATAATATATAATCTCTTGTGTTGTCATGGACCCAATAATCCAGATGTGCAAAAAATGACCACACTTTGGTCCCGTACTGCTCCGGAAGTTGGTGGAAAAACCAGTCGTTGTAGTCATCGTCACGGTGGATGTACTTGAGTTCGTCTTTTGCCAAAGTAAGCGCCTGAAAGATTATGCGCTTTGACCGGTAAATCTTATGGGTGGCATCTAACGAGTTGCTCCACGATTCCATCAGCTTATCATCTGTGAGTTTTGGACGTGCAATCACAAAGTTACGGATGATATACTTCGCAAGTGCATCTGGAAGAATGAATTGAAGGATCATAACAAGGTAAACACATGTCTGTACTAGTGGAAGAATAGAAAAGAGTCGTCCAAAGAATTGGCCTGACAGCGACTTAGCTATGTCGACAATTGTGGGACAAATAAGGCCAATGAACTCGAATTGCACCAAATCCTTAACCTCCTGATCCTTAAGAAGCGCTCTCACCAATCTCTGTGTTATGTATCCTCCCACCGAGTGACAGAGAATAGAGATGTTGCTGTGGCCACTCAAAATTTGATCCTTCAAGATCTTCACTTTGTGGGTGACTTGGTAGTCGAGATCGTAGTAAGTTTGGTCTCCAGTGTTTCCAGCAGTAAGGAAATCGCCAGAAGTCTGGTATCCCGCATGAGAAATGGCCAAGATGGCGTACTTCGGATACTGTTCAGCAATTATATCCAAAAACGTAACGTAGTAGTCAATTAGGCCAGGATTTCCCGGAATAAAAACAAGAAGTGGTGCATCTTTGGATTCTGGGTATGAGGGTCGGTAGTACTCTGAAGTTAGAGGATATTTTGGGTTCGTAGTGATGGGCATTACTTCTAAGCTATAGTTGACGAGACATCTTTGGATCTCATGCCAGACCTCCAGACATGGCGCGCGAAAAATGACGGAAAAATGACGGAGAATTGCTAAAGCTTAGAAGCTAGTTCCTAGTCGTAAACGGTCGTGTCGAATTTGAAGTGGTGAGATCTGACCTTGACCATTTCGCTGTCATCAGTATGGAGATCTTTCTCGTAATAATGCAATGATCCCGACTTATGAAGCACAATCACCGTTTGTGTTCTCGTGCCGTAGTATTTGCCTATAGTAGGTGGCATTTTCAGAAGATCGTAATGTGATTCCAAGGGCGGGATAAAAATGGAGTTTCTCAATTCCTCTAGTTCTTCAGGGAATGTGCCTTTTTTCCTTATTTCAGAGTCGTATGTGTCGGTGGAGAGGATCTCAAAACAAGATTCGACAATCTCATCAAGCGAATAATGATGTTGTATAGATGATGCAACCATGGAAGATACCAATGAAGTACCAAGTTCAACTTTCTTCCATGGCACGTAATATAACGAGTTAGAGAGCCCAAATGTTTCCTGTGCTGCAATCTCTTTGTGTAAGTCATCACCATCTACTATGGTCGAATGAAGCCGACCAGAGTCTCCGCGATTGCTCATAATATTAAGGGGCTTTATTCTGCCTGTTTCAGGATCAACTTCGAGTTTTCCATACACCAAAGAGAACCCTCCGACGTTCTCCAAGGTCACAGGTTTTCCACCAACAGAATTTTGGGACAAACGGTCTTCGAGAGTGGAAACCCATTCAGAGTCCAGAAGTTTTGATGTTAAATACTCAAGTGGTAAAAGTCCTCTGGATATTTCACTCAAGTACTGGCTGCGCTCTCTAAAGTTGAGTAGAACGGCTACTTTCCCTTGTGGAGTGATTCCTATCCAAGAGCCATGTTCTGGCCTGCCTAGATCGAGAGGACTCACTACTTGGGTGCCATTTGCCAGGGTTCGAAGCCGAGCAAGTTCTGTCTTACGAGCAAAAAACTCGTCTCTATTGGACAAGAGAATGAACGGATAATCTGGATGTTCTGTTGTCGTGAACAAGATACACATGGTTGTACTCAAGAGTTTTGGAGTCACACACTCTTTTAAAGAGGCAAGCTTATCTGCATACACCGAGCGGACATGCCGTGATAGGAAGGCGAGCGGCGCCTTCATCCATGTGGGGTAATTACGACTGGTGGCCATTGAACTTAACCCGGCTAATTGTTGGGTGCAAATTTTGCCATTTGCCGATGATTGATGCAGAAATTTATTTGGGACAGGTAGCCATCAACAGCAAAGATTTTACAATGGTGGCACGTAAAACCGTTTAGTACGATCAGGTCATAGGTCATCGCAAAGTGGGTCACCAAATATCCTAACCCATCTTTTTTCAACTGACCACAGGAGATATTTTGAGGTTTCCCAGCAGGCCACGGATTGAATTCTGGAGTGAGTCACTATCGCTTATTGAGTCGACTTCGAAGAGTCTCACCAACTGTTCTTCTGTTTGAGTCAGTTTATCTGGTATTAAGTCGTCGCCTAATGTAGTGAACTTCTCGAAATAACTGGCCTCGAGTGTACCCTCCATTTCGTTTTTAGAACTGTTGTATGTGAATTCATCAGCATGTAATGGAACAATCGGATCACTATAAACATCCTGGACAATATGATTGTAACTGTGGCCATGGCCAAAAGTACCCTCGCTTCGGCAATCTTCAACATAGTTCAAATTTGACTCAAAATCGGAGTCAATAATATGTAGTGACAGATTAGCTGTCAGCCCTATAGCTGCTTCTTGAGACAAAATTGAGTCGTGAAAGAATTCTTTCTTGCACAAATCAATTGCTGTTGGACGCAAAGTTGGATCCCACAAAAAGCAAGATTTGATTGCGTCACCCAAATCGCCATTATGATTGGGCGATAAGATATCGCTTATGGAGCAACTCAAGGTGAACGGTAGCACGAAACCGAGGTCATTAGCCAAGTATACTCCCTCAGACCATTTTCCCCCAATATCGTCTTTCGTGGGATTCAATGGATGTCCGAGAACCTTAAGAATCTCCCAAAGCTGTTCAGATTCATTCTTGCCGCAAAACAATGGATATCGATTAGCCAATTCTACAGCCACACATCCAAACGCCCAAATATCAATTGGGAATGAGTAATTCTGCAGGCGCAATAGAATCTCGGGTGCCCGGTACCAACGTGTGGAGACGTAGGGGGTGAGATCCCGCATATTCGAGGAGTGACGAGCAAGTCCATAGTCACAAAGTTTCACCACGTAGAGATCCTTCTCCCTGTCAGGAGGAATCATCAGTCTTCCCCCATAATAATTGCTTGACAACGACACCAAGATATTTTCTGGCTTGACATCACGATGGAAGAAGCCATTGGCATGAATATGGCGGATAGCATTCAAAAGCTGGGCCAAAATGCTCTTAATGATCCATTTGGGGATTGGACGGTCCTGATTCTTCTGGATGAATTGATAGAGGTTCTGATCCATGGGCTCCATTACTATGTTAAGTCTACCGTTGTATTTGTCAATGAAGAGATTGAAAATCTGGAGCAAATTCTCGTGTGAGGGAACGGAGAGAATGAACTTGATCTCGTTGACGCGTAGATAGTCGGAAGGCTTATTGAACACGGATTTCATGACCTTGATAGCTACGAGCCCGTTGGCATACAAGTTCGAGCTATGTTTCCTTGCCACGGGCTCCAACATAGTGCCTTTCTTACGCAGATTATTCAAAAGATACATACACAAGCTCTTCTTGGACTTGGCCAATATGGCGAACCCAAAACTGCCGAACCCGAGGCCACTGATGGCACAGAATGATTTCTGAAGGGAATCGGAGTCCAATGCGGGCGAAATATCAGAGAGAAGCATTGGCTCAAGAAAGAATTGGTCCGAGAAAGAATTGGGGTATTAAGGATGGGAAATCCACAAATGCGGGCATTGGATGTTATATAATCCGGGGAACACTTTTTGCAGCCATTTGTCTACAGGTTTCCAAAGTATAGTGTATTCTGGAGACTTTCTATGATTTCTAAATTTCGAGGATAAATTGGACAACTTCTCTATTTACGATATCTATTTATGATTTCTATTCGTGATTTAACGTTCAAGAACTTTTCTTTTCCTCTTTGTTGTCAAATCTCTGCTCCATATATTCCTATGACCTATCTTATTGATGTTTGGGGACTGCGAAGAATCAAAGCTGGTGAATTATATAGAATATAGAGACAATTGAAATATTAAAGTCAAAAAGAACAATTTCAGGTGGAAGTCTTTACTGGGGAAATTTTTTCTAAGCTATGATACAAAGTATTCTAAGGAATGATATCTTCAATCATCTTCTCAGACAGCGTTAAAAGACTGTCTTGGTAGACTCAACCTAATGAGATTTGTTAATTCTTTGTGATAAACAGAATGTTAACCACCTGTTGCAAATGTAGTTTAAATAAAACACGGACGATGTACTTCGTTCCAAGAGAAAGAAAAAGGTTTACTGATCAGTGATGAAATTGTAGTTTCATTGAACATATAGGTTAATATGGGTTATCTCATCCATATGAACTGTCAAATTGATATGTTCATCATTATATATACAATTGTCTATTAACCAATATTTACATCACACATTTTCCCATCTCTTAAGTCATATTTTTCCATCAACTTCGACCTTACCTCCATCATTATCTTCCTCTTTTTCATTTGACATGCCACTCACCATCTCCAACTTCCAGTCTTCCATCTCCAGCCTCTCTTCATTCCCAATTTCCCCCTTTTCAGCCAGTACAAGCCTACTTCGCTCCCCCTCCTCGTCCTCGTCCCCCTCTTCACCTTCGCTAGTACCCAAATGAATCACCAACTGGGAATCATCAGCCTCGTCCTCTCCTTGGTCTATGTAGAAACTCGATGTCTCCGGTTTCACAAAAAGCAATGAAGGCTCCACCGTATAACTGTTAATCAACTTCTTTGTGTCGGTGTCTCGCGCAACAACCACCCCACTGGTGTCTTGAGGTGTAGCCATCAATTCCTGGATACGCTTTGTGATGATATGTGCTAACGAGCAGCTTTTGCCTCGTGGGCAAACACCTACCTCCTCAAAATCAGGACAGTTGTATAAATGTAGAAACGGACACATAGAACCTCGCAAGCACCACCCTCCTACAGCAAATGGCCGGCATGTCCATACACTGTATGTCTTATCTTGAGCATGGCGAGGTATTCGATGAATATATCGACATTGAGAATTCAGGCACTTTCCCTCCAAGTGGAAACGACAAATGGGCGTATTAAACTCTGTTCGCTCATGTGAATAGATACATTCATGGTCACATTTCCCAACCACAAACTGCCGACAGAGCATCACCCGGTTCATGTCGTGAACATACCGACAATGAATGCCTTTCTGGCATATTCCTGTTCTAGAGAAGTATCGGCATTGGGGCCCGCTTTTGGTCCGCACATTCCGTTTCAATACTCCATACCTATTTCGTGAGTATCTCCAATTATTCCACACCAAATACTCTGACTTCTCGCAATCGGGATCCAGTAAAGGCGCTAGAGTGATGCCGTTATCGGCCACCGCATAGACTACATCGTTGATGAGTACACGATCGCAATTGTCGTACTTGGTTTTGTTCTTTGAAAGTCTTTGTGCTTTCTGTTGAGCTTTGAGCCTGAGTAATTTCTGCTCTTTAAGTGCAGCTGTATCTTCCTGAGCCTTTCTCATGCGTTTCAACTTAGCCTTGTAAGCTTTGGGAGTCATGAGAACTTTCCTTTGGTCATCGAGAATGAACTCTGGCTGTGGAGTGTTATTAGAATACTCCTGCTTGAATTCAGAGTATCCACCTTCACTAATCTTGGTTAGTTGTGTTGGACTTTCATCTTGAATTTCATGTTCTGAATGTTTGACAACATTTAATCCCCCAATTGTTCCTTCCTTTGAGATCTCGGTAATTCCTTGTATTCTAGAGTCACTTGTAGCATCTGTTATACCACTCAGTATACTGCGGTCTTCCTTTGGCAAAGCATGGTCTGGTATGGTCTGCTCACCTAGCTCACTCGGGAGAATCACTCGTCCGCCAAACCCTAGTCGCACCTCGCTATTCTTGGCTAGTTTCCTTCGAAGAAGCTTCTCTCGGAGCTCATTCTTTAGCTTAACAATATCCTTCTGTTTATTGTCAAGATCCATCAGTAGGTATAAGTGAGTATCGCTTTGTGCAGACCTTGAAGATATGGGAGGTGTTATCTGGTACGATGAGGGGATTTAGGAAGGAAAGATTAAACGAACAGGTGATTACTTTCAGCTTTCAATTTGGAGTTGTGGATAGAACATGCAATTATTACGTCTTCTCAATACATTGAAGAACTTTGATGATCAGTAATTAAAATGATGAAGTTAGTCTATATGAAGGATGCTTTTATACCGATAACATTTACTGATAAACATAACTACATTTCATAATGTTGCAGGCCAAGTATTTAAGGATAGATAATAAAAAGTATACATAATGTTCTTTCTTCTTTACAAAACTCTTTAAGTCTCCCCCAAAGTAGCATAACCTCTTCCTTGAATATCTGCCTCAATGATTCATACTATTCATGATCGTATACATCCCGGAGATCATCATTCTAATTCTTCCACTATCAGTATCCAAATGAGCTAATTTTCTCTTCTGATCACCGATTTTTCGACCATCATTACCCAATCCAGAAAAATGAATCATCGTTGTCACGTGACTTGTGTATAAAAGAATCAGAAGTCATAGTATCAAGAACTATTCATCGCCATGGCCTACGAAAAGCTTCGCAGCTATGCGGTTAATGCTATAGGTGATATAATTCCTTTAGAGAAAGAAATGATTTCGGAAATGGTCACTTACACCCTTTCCTTGCCCGACTATGAGGTCGAAACTCATCTTCTAGACTTGCTAGGCCATAGTGAGGCTAGTTACAAGGTAGTCACCACGTTCCTTCGACTCAAAAAGGAAGAGGATGATGCTGCTGTGCAAAGACTTGCCAATGAAGAGAAGAAGAAAAAGGAAGAAACCGCTGCAAAGGCTGCGGCTACAAAACAAGCCTTAGCCAATGAAACAAAGGGAAAGCTGACAAAAGCATGGACATCAACGCCGACGGCTTCAGTGCAAAAGTCCAAAGCGAGACTACTGGGAAATAAGGCATCGACAACGATTTCTGAGCTTGCAGACTTGAAGCCTTCTAATAGAATCACGGGCCAACAGGCCAAAAAGACGAAAAAGAAGAATCTCGATAATCTCAAGGACATTGAGGCTGCGCTCAATGAGCTCGAGGTCGAAAACGCATTGGAACAGTCCAGTTTGGCCGATTCAAGTACCGTCAGGAGGGTTTGCAACTGTATGGCAACGAAACATCCTCTATTTGAGGTTGCTCCTAATTGTCTTAACTGTGGTAAGATCATATGTTCAAAAGAAGGGCTCCAGCCGTGTTCTTCCTGTGGAAACGAACTTTTGTCTGAAAAGGAGAGAATAGAAATCATTAAGATCTTGAGATCTGAAAAGGATCTTCTACAGACAAAGCTGTCACATGTTCAGGATAAGCAGGTGCAAGCGCAGCCATCCAAGCTCAAGCCTACGAAGATCAAATACGCGATGACTCCTGGAGGAAACCTTTGGAAGGATCAAGAGAAGGCATTGCAAAAAATGGAGGAAGAAGCGAGAAAATTGAGAGAAGAGAAAGAACGTCAGGCAGAAGAAGAGAAAGAGATCGAAGAGCAGATGCAAGAGTTTGAGCACTACGAAAGAACAAAGGATATCAATCCAGATCTCTTGAAAGCGCAGGAAAGACTTGAAACCTTGCTCAATTTCCAGGCCACCGGCGCTGAGCGTACGAGAATCATTGACAATGCGTCGGATTTTGAGATGCCCAGTGTTTCCAGTGGAAGCATGTGGCTTTCTCCGGTAGAACGTGCATTGCAATTGAAAAAACAGCAAAAACAGCTTCGAAAGATAGAGCTGCAAGAGAAGGCTAGAACGGGACGCCAGAAAAAGGTGGTAGAAATGGTCATTAAGGATGGAAAGGTCAAGATGGTGGAGAAATTGGTGGCATCGGACGATATTCCTGAAGAAGAGGCAGAGATTGAAGAGTTGAACGGTCTCATCAAGCAAGAGAAGTTGGATCTGGAGTTGGCGTTGGCCAAGAACACGTGGGATTACACGAAAGAACAGGATAAGTGGGAGAGACCAGTGTATATGGGAGATAGAGGTTCTAAAAGCAAACTACCCGAACTTCCGACGATTAGTCGAGTGCAGTTGGGGATTTCTGATCCTGATCAGCTCGTTGCATCGTTGCCTTCTTGATCTTGCCTGGATGCATAATGAAAGCATGGAAAAATTAAACTACAATTCATAGACTATAATACATGATGTATGTGTTCTGCCAGAATGCTCATCTATAAGATTCCTCCCGGGAATTTGGGGTTTGACATTCACACTCCTATCTTCTTCTCATGCGCTGTTTGAACCTCTTCGAACGTGGATCGTTGATCTTCAATCTCTGGAAATTATTGCTGATTGGCTTGGGTTTTCCGCTTCTCGGTCCTGCCACCTTCTTCAACACAGGTGCCTGCTCTTCTTCTTCTTCTTCCTCTTCTTCGTCTTTTTCCTCTACCTCTTTATCGTTCTTTGCTCCTTCCATATACAAGGCGTGCTTCTTGCGTTCTGTCTCGTCAAGCTTTTTCAACTCCTCATGAATATCTTTGCCTTCAAATGCATCCTCCGTGTCCAACGGCGCATTGGGCTTAATTTTCCATCTTCTGGTTGTTCTCTTTTGTGTGAGGACCTTTCGTTTCCGAGATTGAGGAATTAGCTCTGCCTCATCATCTGCAAGCTCCTCCTCCATGAGCTGTAGTTCCTTTTCGATCTCAATCTTCTGATCCTCAAAATCCTCAATATTAAAACTCTGGTTATCGTTAAATATCTCCGATACAGAACGCGTACTTCCAAACGAAATCATCCGTTGGGGTTTCAATGGTGAGGGAGAGACTTGGAACTCTATAGCTGGGGAAGATTTCGTGGGGGTGGTTATATCAACCGGCGAAGCACCCGCAGAGTCCCGGAACAGAAACTTGTTGTTTATTTTGCCCAAATAAAATGGCGTCTCCACTACATTCTCTGTTGTTTTCGTAGGGGTTCCCAAAATCTCCTTGTTGTTTGATTTTTGCGGTGACGATGCCTCTCGAAGTTTTGCCATAAGACTGGGTTTTCCATTTGATCCCCTTGGCGTCAATGATGTGAATTGAATTCTCAGTGCAGCTCTGGTGGGTGTTTTGAACTCCTGTTGAGAGTTTGGAGCCTTTGTAGGAGACGAGAAGTGATCAATGGAATATTTTTTCTGTTTGAGCGGCGACGAGTCCGGAGGACTCATTATCATGTCAAATATAGAGAGAACCTTTCCATTGGCCTGCGGAGTAGGCCCTAACTCCGCATTTGCAATGGTTTCGTCAATGCCTTCATCTTCATCTTCTGTTAGGTCAATAGACACATTAAGAAGCTGGTGTTTGGTGATTATGGGGGCATCGGCAACTTTCGAGTAATTTTTTTTCCCCTTTTCCTTGCCATCGTCCCTTTTGTCCAAGATTCCAACCGCTTGTCGTTTGATCTTCTCTTTTAGATGGTTATAAGTCTTGTAAGCCTTGCGAATGTCCTTGTTGGCTTTGACGTCAGCTTTGTCAGGAATTCTACCATTTTCTGCAAAGAACAGCTTTTCCCATTCCTTTATTAGTTTTTTGTGGTCTAGCAATTGCTCTTGGATGGACATGGGAAGAGTACGCGTAGGTATGAAGTTAACTGTACGCGAAGTTAACTATACGCGAAGTTAACTATACGCGAAAGTATGGTTGGGGAAGATCTGTGAGACGATGGAAAATTGGATGGCGGTTTTTTTAAGGAAAGCATCTAGCGATTTGTTAAACTCTAGTTCTACTGAGTTTCTTTTCACTTTTTTTATTGCTTGTCTTTTCCCTTGCTTGTCTTTTCGCTTTCTATTTTGAATTAAGTTAGGTAGTTCCATTTGGTTATTTAAAGCCAGAATTCGATGGATTCAATTGTCCATTATGTACCTATCACAGATATACTATGTAGATGAACTGAGATAGATGAAATTAACACCCTGATTCTTATATTCACATGAATGACTTCTTCTCTCTCCCTTACTATTTACAAATACTCTCTACCTGGTTCCGGATGCCATCAAAAGTCTGGTCTCCATCAAAGCTATTGACCATTGACAAAATGGCTCTCCGGAGTGCTGAAGATTCCCTCTCTGAATTGAAGGTGTTTCCGTTGGCCTCAAATGCCTTCACAAACGACCCGCCCACAGAGTTGCTGGCGCTCCAGTAGTTTAAAAGGAAAGATCTCATGCTGGACTTGTCCCCACGACAACTCAAGTACACTGCGAGCCTTGTCCATCTCTCGACAGCCACATCTGGTTCGACGCTTTTGGAAAAGCACATGTCTTCCCACTGATTCCAGAACTTGCCCCATTTGGACGCATTTCCGTAAGTGAATAGTATTAGTTCACTCAATGCGTAGGTAGGAACAGTGCCAAAATCAACTTTCTGAGTGAAATAGTCGACAAGCGAAAGAACGTCTCTGGCATTTTTAGATGCAATAGTGATCAATGGTGACGCTTCGCATACCTCGATTGGTTGACCACTGTGAATCACCGCATCCACGGTTCCTGGTGAAAGTTGACGAACATTTTGATGTTCGTGGTAGCACAATCTCCACAACAATGGGATCAACAAGGGGTTTCCCGATAGTGTGAACTTGTCGGTCGAGAACTCGTACAAAGCTGCTATGAACTTGGAAAGCTTGTCCAAGGCTACATCACTCAGAGGCTTATCGTGAGCTCTGGAGGGTGTATCAAGCAATAGCTTGGCATACTCAGCAACGTCGTTCAATTTTTGCAGCGACAAGTCGTCCGTTAGTGCATTCACAGATGCATACTTGGCCAAAAGGGCATCCTCGGCATCCTGAAAAGTAAATAGCTCAGGGTTGGCCAAATGTAACGACTTCCAGAATTGGAATCTCACTTCATGGTCCCGGAGCGAAGCATTCTGGAACGTATCTTCGAACATATTCTTCAACAACGTAATCTCATCGGTGTTAAGTTGTCCAGCCTTGCTATTAAGCTGATACAAATAAGCCTCCAAGTTGGATGAGTTGTTCGAATAGTGTCTTCTGAAATTTGTCATGGTGTGGAAACGCCTGATGCCGCTGAAAATGTTGTCTGACTCCTGAGAGGTGGTCTGGTTTGATGTATACTTGTGCAAATCCTCAGGGGCGCACCACAACGACTCCAAGTTCAAGTCTTCTCTTCTTGGGCCTGTGAGCATATGGACATCGATTCCCTCGTGGGAACACATGACCCAACTGTTGGCAGCACGGCCATAGTCATTGTCCGTGGCCAGTGGACCCTTTCTGGCGCGTCTGAGAAGTCTTCTTCTCATGGCTGGCGTTTTTGCATTAGAAACCATACCTTCAATCAAAGGTACAGTATTATATGTGTGTTTCAAGTGGAGCCTCAACTCATTGGCGGCCTTATAGATGTGCTTTTCAGATTTACCCGTGGAAATAATCACAAAGTCGATATTTTTGTTGGTTTCCTTGAACTCGTGCTCCTCTGGAAGCAGCGTCATGTCGAATAAAAGTAGATCGTCCATGCCATAGTCGTGGGCCAAAAGATTAATGAATTCCTCAACCTGTGGAGGAGCATGGGTGGGGATTTCAGGTAACTCGATTTTTTTCGTTTCCACCAAGTCAGACGTGATGTCATCCCGAAGATACCATGGGATTTCTTCCGTTGAAGTTTCAATCTCTGGCGATTCTGCCTTTACTTGAGCTGTGTCGGCATTTGTCGTGTGTTTCGAGATATTCGTGTTGAACCGGAAGTTGGAGAGTCTCGGAAGTGCACTTGGGGCTCGGGCAAATGGACTTTTAGTTAAGAGCCGAAGCATGGTGGAGAAATCAATGGACAAGTTCTGTTGGATACTGTTGGAGACTTTTGACACCAGTACATCCTGTGGAGAGTAGAAACTAGTACTGGTCAGGAAGACTATATACATTGTAGCTAATAAATATGGTTTAAGAGTTGGAATTAGTGTTTTATTTATAGGTATACATCTTTCTCTATTCGTTATGTTATTTTAACGTCTCATTTTTTGGGTCACTGCAGAGTTTAGTCATAAAAGAAGGTAACTACATTGAGTCTATAGTAGTGGGACATTGTGGTGCTCGTGCTGCAGAACCTAGTTAGAAAAAAATAATAAAAACACGGTAATCCATGAATGTTCAACATGACATCACTTAATTTACTTCATTTGTTCTCTTCTTGACTTTCTTCACTTTCTTCGCTTTATCATCTCTGTCTTCTCTCTATCTCATCTACCTGCACTCACTCATCGCTAATAAAAAAGTTACCAACTACTCATCTCTGACCAAAATGGCTAAACTTGTCCATAATGTTCAGAAAAAACAGCACAAGGAGCGTTCGCAGACACTGGACAGAGCCCGCTATGGTCTTCTAGAAAAGAAAAAAGACTACAAGTTGCGTGCAGCAGACTTCCACAAGAAAGAGGCGGCATTGAAAGCTTTGAAGCAGAAAGCTGCCCAGTACAACCCTGATGAATATTACCATGCCATGGTCAACAAGCGCACGGATGATGACGGGATCATTATTCATGAAAGACCCAACGAGAAACTCACCACCGCGCAAATTAAGTTGTTGAAATCACAGGACCTTAACTATGTTAGAACTATGAGACTCAATGAGAGCCATAAGATTTCCAAGCTCAAGAACGAGTTGGGTTTCAAGGCTCAGGGAAAGCACACTGTTTTTGTGGACTCCGAGGCCGAGAAGAACAGTTTCCAGCCAGAGAATTTCTTCGGCACTGATGTGGCCATGTTAGAAAGAAGAGAGAACAGATTGAGACTTGATCAGCTCGAAAGCAGCGACAAGCTCATTCGCGAAGATATCACTGATGCTGAGGAGCGTGAGAAGCTCGAGAAGGAGAAACTCAATAAGTACCGTCTTTTGAAGGAGAGAATGCAGAGAGAGAAGGAGTTGAAGGAGGTGGAGGATGCCATGTGTTTGACCAAGGAGCTCATGAAGGACGGTAACTGCAGAAAGTTGAAAGACGCAGAGGGAAACATCCACTACAGGTGGAAAGCTCAGAGAAAGAAGTAGATGGAGAATCTTACTTACTGGTTACATGACCGATTGGGTTTCAACCTTATAGTTCCATGACTGTTCACCTAGCATTAATATACATCCGCATACATCTATTAGTCGTCGCTATTCAAGCTTCGGTCCATGTAGTCAACGAAAACGGCGGTAATTCTGTCGATGTCGATGCTTCTCATTCGATTCAAGCTCACAAACGTTCGTCTGATCCTTTGAAGCTGTGCAATGCTGACGGAGTTGGCAGGCATATGCACGGTGAGCTTTTGGCCAGCATCCACCACCACGTCTCCTCCAACACTATTGAGTTGTTGGTGCTGGATGACCTTACTAATCACATCCTGAGTCTTCTTGTCTAACTCTTGCAAGTAATTATTTCCAGACGTAGGCTTGACCAACGTGGCTGCATTGGGTGGAGGAGCTCTTTTCAAGACGATGGCATCCCATATTTCCTCCACGGGCAATTTTTCCTGGTCGTAGTCCGACACCAATGTGAAAAGAGGTGAGTCCCAGCGAGAATCGGCATTGGGCTCTTCGAAGCGCATTTCAAGCTGACCAATCACCTCTTCATCCCACGGATTCTGGTGACTTTTGTTCCATTCAATGCATTTGGCTAACGGGTTCATCACCTGAACAACACAGTGTGGAGTCACCACGCCTTTGGCCTCACAGAATAGCTGGTATCTGAAACCTTTAATGTACGATAAAGTATCGAGAATGACGATTGTAGACCTAGAAAGATCTCGTTTAACAGCAGACATTTGTGTTCCGCGGGCATTTTTCTCCTTGTTGGAGTCCTTATACGTATCGTGGGAGATTCCCAACGTCTCATCCGAATGATAGATGATCTTGTAATTATGACCAGGTAAGTTCTGTGTTTGGGCTTGAGCTATTTTCTCTTCAAGAGCACTTTTCAATTTTTGGGCCCAAGTAGTCTTTCCTGAACACGGCAACCCGCAAAACGTGATCAAAGGCATGGTTATTTTATGTCGTTTTGTGTATTTTCCAACTAGTAGGTATTTGGAGGATTTTCTGCGACTCCACACTCTAATCATCACCAACTCATCTCTGAATAATTCGACACAAATTCACATATTCCAATGTCGTTTGTCCCACGCACAGTGTTTCCAGAGTTTCTTCTACCGCTTTCAAACTTCAAGGGTCACCATCAGAAGGCCCTTACGAAGTTTGGACATTTGGCACCTCAAGTAGACTTGGTACTTGAAGTCCGAGACTCTCGGGCTCCGATTTCCACCACCAACGTCCTTTTTGACCGGGTCTTAGCCCGTAAACAAAAACTCATTCTCTACAGCAAGAAGGATCTCTCCGTCTTGAAACCGGCATTGTTGAAAAAGTGGCATGGAGACGAGAAGTTCTTGTTTGTCGATGCCAGAAGTAAATCCGACGCCAAACGGATTTTGCAGGCCGTGGAGGACCACTATAAGACCATGACGCCTCCACCTCCACTAGGACTACGCACTATGATCATTGGAATGCCCAATGTGGGTAAGTCGACGCTAGTCAACACCTTGAGATCGGTAGGTTACACCTCCCAATTGCCAGAGGCTATCTCGACAAAAGTACGCAAGGTGGCCAAGACCGGAGGCCAGCCGGGCGTCACCAGAAACACCAGTGAGATCATCCGGCTAAGCCAAGATCCAGACATTTTGGTCTACGATACTCCTGGGGTGTTTCTACCTACAGTGAAAGACAGCGAGACCATGCTTTCATTGGGTCTAGTAGGATGTGTTCATACGTCGTTTATTGACCCGGTCATCCAGGCAGACTACTTATTATATGTTTTGAATCTCCAGGATCCCACTGGCGGCAAGTACCGTGAATACTTGGACCATCCCACCAATAACATTGAAGAGCTCATGCACGGCATTGCCAAAACTCGTAAAAAGCTCAGAAAGGATGGCACCTACGATGAGTTGGGCATGGCCACGTTCTGGGTCAACAATTGGAGACAGGGCAAAAACACCAAGTTCAAAGGATTGTTTGACAAGGATGCCATTTTGGAGACTAATGTGTCTGAAATCAAGGCCAAACTAAAACACGAGCAGGCAAGAGTCAAGGCGTCAACCGTTCACGGAAGAATTACCAACAGTTTAGGTGACGACGGTACTGGGCTCTCTAAGAACAGAAAGCGTACTGCCAAGGACAGAGAGTATGACTTGCGTAACCAGCTCTTCAAGTTGTAGGGTAAAATTGAAAAACTCATGTACATATCAAAAATCGAAATCTGGCACGGCATCGTACTCGCCTTCGTCTGCACCGTAGTTACCTTTTGATTGCAAAATAGTGGCGTCTTTTTTTGTTTTTTGTTTCTTCAAGTCGGCCTTCCGCACATATTCCAGTCCAAGCTGCTTATACAAGCGTTTGCCTGATGAAGTCGAAGCTTGTGCTATTTTCGATAGCCAATCGGGGTTAGAGCTCGAGTTAACGGTAGCGATATTCTCAAGATTGAAAAGATTGGTGAACGAGTCGTCTCCCTCGCGGATGTTATGTTGGATGAATTCTGGATCATTCACGAACTTATCATAATCGTCAACCAGAAGTGATTTGATGAGTAACTTCCGCAAGTACACCGCAAATTTATTGGCTGATGGTGACGAGCAGAGAAATTTATTGCTTCCACTTGCCTTGGAAGGTAACGAAAGCTTGGAAGAGTCACTTCCCTTGAGAACAACCTTGCAATTGTCAATAACAGATATGTCTTTAGTGTCATCTTCATCAGCTTCCCAATATGTTTTTGATTCGATAAAATCTTCCATTAATCTATCAATAGAAGCCGCATCTGGAACCTCCGTAGATTCATATTCAGCTTTCGCTGGGGGATTCCTGGTCAAGCTGGGAAATTTTCCAATCTTCTCGTCTTCTTTAAATGGGAATCGAATGAAAATATAGCAGAAGCAGAATGAATCGCCGTTCTTCACCTTGACGGGAAACATGGGCCCCACCTCAACCTCTTTAGCCTGCTTCCTGACGAATCTCGCCAATGGAGCCAAGTTCTTCTCATACAAGGATTGGGCAAACGCTGCATGGTTAAGTAGGTTCCTCAGCGACGAGGCTTTCTCTGGCACAACAAAGAAAGACTCATCAGTGAGATATGCATGAGGAATATCATCAACATCTACGAATCCCAAGATATCGAATTCCGACGAAAGCTCCAATTTGGCAGCTCCCATGAGATCTTCGTCCAACGCAATTAAGTCGAAGTTGGAGAACTTGAAACCAGGGGTGAACGTATGGCCATCGACGTCGACCTTGTCGAATTTTTTCTCATCGATCTCGTCGGACTCTAAATGTTTATCCCGCTCGCCTTGAAAGTTCCTCTTCCAAATGAAATGATTGGTTTTCCTTTCAACCCGCACAGCGTTATTCCCATCCACCAAATACTCGTGTCCATTCTGAGACAGGATCTCCGCTTTGGCAGCAGGATAGACCTCTACACGGAATGTCAGACACAGCATGTCCTGTTCAGCAATGTAGGAGGAGTCACGAAGAACTTTGGTGATGTCTGCACCAAGACGTAGCTCTCCCCTATAGATAGGCATAGGACGAGTCTTCCGGACAGGCGGACACAACTGGGCCACTCTTGACGCCTCCTCAGTGTTGAAAATATGATTTGATGCGAATTGGCTGGCGATATGGAACCATTTCTGCTCAGTATCGGAAACAGAGCCGAAGTTGTCACCGATCACCACCAAATTGACATTTAAGTCCTTGATCAAGCCCGAAACGGCACCTGCAAGCTCTGGCTTATACGATGAAAGAGGCGAGTCGCGTGCCGTGATGAGCACGATGTTCCTCGTGAATATCTTTTTCTTTGTCTTTTCGAAGAGACTCACCGAGAAGATAAGTGACTGGAACGCGTCACAAGCATCCAGGTCTTGGCCCTCCTCGTCGGACAAGGCATTCTTTATTGATTTCAATTGGTCATAAGATGGTGTCTCAAAATCCACCAACACATTGAGGCCTCTGAATTTGCCAGAATCTTCAAGAGCGTGGTTTGTCACCAGTGAGTTGAACACCACCACCGAAACGTAATCGGTCTTAAGGCCCTTTAAGAGTTTTCCTGCTAAGCAGTCAAACATGTAATTGTACGCATTTGGAGATAAATGAGAGCCTGCCTCCACCACAAATACAGTGAGTTCCTTGTCAGCCATGGTGGTTGCGCAGGTGAGATGTGGAGGTACGATGAAGGAAGAGGTATAGAGAGAGCATGGACATGAAATTGATGGGAATTAAAAAAAAAAAAAAGTTGAGCGGAATAGCAGAAGAAGTTAAACTTTTCATTTTCAGTGAATTTTTAATAATTTAGCCAGTTTCTTGGGTGAATTATATGTGTTTCACTTCCTATATAATTCTCAATATTATCCACGGTATTCTCATTATCAGTCACTAAGTTCATTCACCATATTAACCATCAATTCATTTATTATGCTAACAATTCGTCTCCTTAGATCAATTTCAGAATTGCATTTTGCTGAGTCTGCCTCTATCTATATTCAATTCTATGCCTTTACATTATTTCCTACCATCCGCTATTTCTATCCTTAATTAGTATTTTCCTACCGCTAGTACCACACACAACTGCGGACTTGTGCAATGCCACCGACAGATTTTGAGAGAAAGCATAAACTGATGTCAAAAATCGAAAGCACAAAATTCTTCAAAAATCTCGATATATTTACATCTCTTCATGAATCTCATAGTATGTGACCTATCTGAAACCAAAAGTTTCTTATCCCCACTATAAACTTTCGCTATATCACACTTTACCACATTGGCTAGGACAGTTCATGTAGGAAGGTGCGGGAACATATACATGGAATGTTTAGCCTACGATCATTCCCTTACACCCCCCATCCGGTGAGAAGATCTTGCGCGATACTTGACTTTGATTATTTCAAGTCGTTGCTATTACTGCTGCTAACAAATTCCATCACCACCACTGCCACCAATTATTGAACCAATACTGTCATTCACTACCAGTACCTACTCAACCATGAACCACTCCATCTCTCCATTCTTGCCTCAACTACAACGCTACCAAAAACCTGGAGCCAAGCAGGAGCCTCCGGCCTCAAACTATCAGCAGTCTCTGCACATGCTCCATCAGCCGATTCCGTCCATCGTGGTCAATCCTCACTTCTCGGACCCTCTGCAAGATCCAAGTGTCTTTTACCGGTCCCATGATTCGCTGCCCGCTCCAGAACCACTTAGAAAAGTGGCTTCTCAGGCTCCTCAGGCCCCTCAAGCTCATATACCTGTCCATCTGGCTACTGTGTATACACCTGTTGGACAGCAGCCGGCTGGCCAACGATCCGTCCACCCAAACCCCAATGCCTACCCATTAGAGTATGGCCATCTCCATACTCAGCCTCAGATGTACTATATGCCTCTGTCTCACATGTATCCACAATTCAGGCCACAAGTTATGTTTCCGGACAGTTACCTGCCCATGGGAGCCGTGAAGGTCCAGAATGACAGCGCTCATTATCCATTCCAGCAAACATATCCACATCGAACCCAGAGGGCCCCAACAGAACCGCAACCGCAAATGGTGTCGAATTATCAGGGAGACCTAAACGCTAATGCTGTAGAGTTGGTGGAATCGAAAACATATAAACCCACCCAAACGAAAAAGAATTCGCGGCCCAAAATCAACAAGATCGTGGGTGATCTGGACGATGTGCGTATTCACTCGGAGAGAAGGGCTCGATTCGAGGTGGGTGAGCCAAGTCTTGATGTGTTGTACGAGCATTGTAGGGAAGTTTTAGGAATCCCGGTCGCCAGAGAGGATATCTCAGTGACTTACGAATGCATGCTTTCTGACAACTTGGAAAAGAAGTTGTTTGAGATGTTCCTGGAGAATATTGTGGTGTTCATAGACGTGTTTTTGTCGATTGATATGTTCCAGAAGATCTTTATGGAACTTGCTCTCTATGATGAGTCCCGAATGATATTGAACTCCATGTTCTGTCTCAGCTCGCTCATTCTTCAGCGAACTCAGCCCGACTCCATAGATCCCTTGTGTCCTCTCAAATACTATGAACGCACCGTGACATCCATTCGTTTTCACTTGAGTCTGCCTGAGGTGGAGAACCCTGAAAGTGGAATCTTGGCCAGGTGCCTCCTCAGCACATGTCTCTTATGTATTTACGAGCTTTTCTTTGTTGCAGTGGATAGCACATACATCAAGGGTGCTGGAAGTATTCTCATGTCAATTTTGTCCAAAAAGAATAGATCCGAGAGCTTGCTTAAGTCCAACCCTTTTTACGAGACGTGTTTCTGGGCCATGTTCATCTGTGATATGATTTTATCCAAGAAGCTTCACATGCCTAATATGTACTCGATGGAGAAGGTATGGTCCGCGTTGGAACCAGAATACTTTAGCGATTTGAATTGTTATACTGCTTTCCTGGAGGAACCAAAGACCATTAAGGACTCGCTGAATAATTACTATTCGGTGCTGGTGTCTCGATCAACCACGATTTGGTGGCAACACAAGATCGTGCTGATTTACTGTTCAATTAACGACTTCATGCTTCTGACTGATGTCATTACTGAGGAAGCCTACAAGACCAACAAGAGGCTATATCAATGGCAGCAATTGAGGAAGTCGTTGGAGGAATACGACAACAAGATGCCGGTTTTTCTTAAGCCATTAATTCACATTCCCAGCTCGAAGGACCGTGTGTATCCTGTTCTTTATTTCAAAGATGAACACACGGCTGTAGCAGCATTGCATTTCAAGCTTGCAAAATTGGCACTCGTTGAGGCTTTGCATGCAAATATCAATCTTGAATTTGCAAGCTTGCTTGAACCCGAGTTTGCAAAATACCCTGCAAGTCTCAGAGAGAAAACATCAAGGGATATTCTTGGAATTTTACAGACCTATGATTCCAACAGAAGAATATGGCCAGTTAGTGTGCATTCGCTTCGTCAAGCATCAAAATGGATCAAAGAGGGCACTGAAGAGCATCGCGAGTTGAAAATTCTCGCTAGCAGGGTATTACAATTCTCTCACGTTGCGCTGCGTCTTCTGGTAGTACACGGAAACTGATTTATAAAATTTTCTTATTATGTCATTTAACGAATTGAAGAAGTGAAGACTAATTGATGTTCCTTACTGAACAACCTTGTCTTTCAATTGCAAGACCAAAGCAGTTCTGCTAGGAATGTAAATGAAAAGGGCGTTAGATCTGTTGTTCCAGTTCTCAGGAGAGGTTGGGAACACAATCTTCTCGCCCGATTCAGTGACATCTTTAATTCTGTCGAAGCCGCCAAACTCAGCAGCATCAGAGTTGAGGACAATCTGGTACTCTCCAGGAGTTTCCACTCCGACCTTGTAGTCCGCAAACGACTCTGTAGGATGGAAGTTAAAAATGAACAAGAGGCCGTTTCTCTCAAAGACAACAACCTTGTCGATCTCGTGCTTCAAAGATATGTAAGCTTGAGGAGCAAACAAAATTCCGTACTTGGTGTCCAAGTGAAGCATAGCAGAATCGAACTGGAATAAGAACTTGTAACGCAACAAGTCGTCGTGGATTAAGTTAAATTGACGTCTGGCGTAGTGGTAGGACTCTCCATTACCTTCTCTAGGGAAGTCCAACCATTCTGGATGACCAAACTCATTACCTTCGAAATTCAAGTAACCTTCACCACCCAAGGCAAACGTCAACAATCTAATCATCTTGTGCAAAGCAATACCTCTTGAGACAATGTCAGTCAACGGAGAAAGCACAGACATGTTAGTGTACATCTCCTTGTCCATGAGCCAGAAGGCAATGGTCTTGTCGCCCACTAAGGCCTGGTCATGAGACTCACAGTAACTGATACATTTCTCGCCGTGTCTTCTATTAGTCAAGGTGAAGATAATGTTACCCATATCCCACTCATCATCCAGTAAGTGCTTCAAAATCTTAATCCACATGTCTGGAATAGCCATGGATAATCTGTAGTCAAAACCAATACCACCCTCGCTAATAGGCAAACACAAAGTTGGCATTCCACTGACATCCTCAGCAATGGAGATGAACTTGAAGTTGTTCTCTCTGGCAGAAATCTCATTGAGCAACTCATGGGCTAACATGAGGTAAGTGATGGCCTCGTTGTCCACCAATTCCGGGTTAAAGTACTCATTGTAATCACCGCTGAAACCATAGCTCAATCCGTGGTGTCTGTACAACATGGAGGTGACACCGTCGAATCTAAAACCATCAAATTGGAATACGTCAATAAAGAACTTCAAGTTGGACAACAAGAAACGCAAGGTTTCATAGCTGGAGTAGTTAAACAAACGCGAATCCCACAAGTCATGGTTACCTCTGCCTCCTCCGTGAAATAAGTAATGATCAGTACCGTTGAACATGTTCAAACCGTCCTCGACGTTCTTGGAGGAATGAGAATGCACCACATCAAGCAACACACGGATGCCCAAACCATGAGCGGTGTCAATCAATTCCTTCAATTCCTCCGGAGTTCCGCATCTAGAAGAAATAGCAAAGAAATTGGTGACTTGGTAGCCGAAACTGGCATAGTAAGCATGCTCCATAACAGCCATCAATTGAATGGCATTGTAGCCCAATTTGTGAATGAGCGGCAATACATCACGAGTGAACTCCTTGTAGGAGCCGATTTTGGGCTCAGACGACGAGATTCCAACGTGAGCCTCATAAATCTTCAAGCCGTCATGGTCCTTAAACTTGGGACGGGCATTCTGGAACTTGTAATGATCCGCAGGATTCCAGAAACGGCCCTCATACAAGGTATTCTCGGTAGATGGCGTAGCACGAGTGACCCAAGGGTCGAGACGAAAGATTCTCTCGCCAGAAGGAAGCACCATAGAGATCTTGTACTTGGAGTCGTGAGGAATAGCATAGTCACCATCTTTGGCCGGAATGGTCAACGACCACACCCCGTAGTCGCCCTTGTTGAGTTTATGCGCCTCTGTATCCCAGTTGTTGAACTCTCCCACCAAGGAGACCAGCTCAACGTCGGGAATATACTCATAAATGGTGACGGACTTGGTTGCTGGGTCAGCATGAAGTCCATACTTCTCGTAGGCGTTGGCAAAGTCTGCCACGGAGCCCTCCGACTTACGCAATGTAGCTAACCAGTCCCTGAACTGCAATTGGCGGCTGATCATGGCATTGGAGTAAGGCTCCAACCATGGGTCCAAGTCCAATGCTCCCTTGATGAGAGCCTTATCATTTGAAGAAGACATGGGCGATAGTCGAGAATTGGCAGATACTTCAAAGGTCGAAACTAAGGAACGTTCCAGTTTAGTTTTATTGAATTGTTCTCGAGGAAAGAGAGCTTCGGCAATAGAAAAAAACAGGAGAGGGTTGCAAATTATGCCTGGTGGAAACTTATATAAGGGCCCCTCGTCAGAATGCATGGATCCCCGCTGGTTAGGGTGTATGCAGTATGAGGCAGGCCACTAATTGCGATGGAAAAGTTGGGGAAGGCGTGGGGGACACCAGGCACAAGGTGTTGAAGGGGAGGGAAAATGACAGAGACCGAAACAAAAGGCAGAAAGTAACAGAAAATGGGAAAACACTCAAAGAAAAAGGAGTAACCTCAATGTTAGAAATGACACGGATATGCTTGGGATATGCCTGCTATGTGTACTTTTAGTGTGTGTAAGTTGTAGCATTCAATTGGCTCACTTGGGTCGGACGAGTGGTGTGCGTTGTACGCAGACGAAAGGCGCGTAGAAGGTTCTGAGAGGATGAGAGGATGAGGGGCAGGGAATTTTTGTATCTGGAAAGATCAGCGTTTGAAGTTTTCTTTTTGTAGATAGAGGTGAGGTGGTTTGAATTTTGTGAAAATTCTAGTGTTTGCGGTGTTTTCAGGGTTTTGGCGGATTTTATCGGGCAGGTTTGGATGTGCTTGCTAGTTATTGCGGTTGGATTGCCCTGCACTATGCATTGAATGACTCTCGGAAAAACTGTGAGGCTCAACCCAAGATAACTCGCTATTTCAAAATAGCCAATTGAATAATGATGTAAACGTGCCGATAACATGCACAATAGTTAGTCATGTTGCAATTACGCTTAATGCGACCAATGGTTAGCGCCTCATCATATATGGTGTATTGAATTCATTACTTGTATCGCGTTTCACTTCTAGATTATGCTTGTTCATGCGGAATATACACTGAAGTCTACATTCCACGTCTTCACGACTCCATCGAGCCCAGTACTCACAAATGTGCCTTTGTCTCCGCTGTAGTCAATCCATTCAACTCCCGTCACTCCGGTCTGATGCGCCAATTGCTGCTTCAACACCTTGGCTGGTCTACCAACAGAATACACAAATAATCCACAGTCCAAGCCACCGCTAACAATGTACTTGGAGTCACTAGTCCAGGCAGCGTCATTGGCCTTGCTGCTGTGGAAAGCCCATCTGGTTGTCACCGCACTGGCATCCTTGGTGCTGTATAACGTGTACTTGCCTGTATTCTCGGCAACGGCAGCATACTGACCATCTGGCGAAACCTTGATCAACGTAGGTGGTCCTCTCAACGTTGGATATGACCGTGAATGCGAAATGCTTCCAGAAACATCGTATTCTTCCACACGGTTGCTAGTGGTGTTGTTGACAAGAATCTTACTAGTACCTGGAATCAGTGCAACGGCCGATGCTGGGAATTGTAACTCCAAAGACCCAATAGATGCCAAAGAACCATCGAAGACTTCGATCTTGTTTTCAAACAACACAATAATCTGGTCCTCGTCATTAACTGCTATCAGTTTTGGTTGACCGGTCAAATTTACCGTCTTCTCAAGCGTTTCTCCGTTCCACAATTTGAGTGTGTCATCCCAGCCAGCAGTAATGACATTTTCGCCATTAGACACTATGCTAGTAACGTAGTTGGAGTGCTTTTCATGAGCTTTGCCAAACAACAGAGTGACTGGGTCCAACCGGTTGCCCTCGATGTTCCACTGTTGAAGAGACCCGTCGGAGCCTCCCGTGATAAGAGTTTTCTGGTGCACACCAAGAGCTGTCAATGCACGTTGGTGCCCATACACAATCTTGTCAGGGGACGAACTGTCATACTTGAAGAAATTCAAGTTTCCGTTCAACGAAAGCGAAACCACATAATCCTTAGTAACAACCACACCTACCTGTTGTGTATCGACGGTGCTGGGTGAGAAAATCGTGTAAGTAAAGGTCAGATCGAGAGACTCGGCGTTCCACAACTTCAAAGTATTGTCTGCTGAACAGGTGACAAAACCGGTGCTGTCAGCGAGCCACGACACGCCAAAAATGCCTCCGTCATGGGCATTCTCTATCTTCTTGATCAATTCACCGGTTTTACCATCATACGCCACGATAACTCGATCAGATCCTACGCTGACAAGATACTTCCCGTCTGGAGAAAACTTGACAGCCCGAACGGAATTGGTATGATTCCCTCTTAAACTCTTATCGAACTTGAATGGAGGTCCAGTGTAGAACACCAAAGCCTTGTCGTCGCCCACCGTGGCCGCTCTGTATGGTCTCTGAGGCTTGATATCCACCGCATTAATGGTCTCGGAATGTCCCTGGATCTCTCCGATAGAATTGCCGGAATCCCACGTGAAGCAGTGACCAAACTGGTCTTTGCCCTGTCCTACAGCAATGACACGTGTGTTGTCCGCATCCCAAGCAATAGACTTGATAGGTCCACTCAAAATCTGGAACTCACTCTTGATGATTGGTTGTTCAAATGTGTTCTCTTTTCCGTATACTGAAGAGTCCCAAATCTTTACCAGTCCACTCTCATCTCCGGAAGCAATGTAGTTGCCGGAGGGGCTGAAGGTGGCGACGGTGGTTGTGACGGTGTGTTTGGTAAATTGTGTAGGTTCCAATTTGGCATGAGGATCCAAACTCCGGACAATGATAGACTTTCCCGACGCGTAAGCGATTCGGTTATTTGTGGCATCGTAAGAGATGGGTGTTGATGTTGCGCGTGTCGTGGACGGTTGGGGAGGGTTCAATTGTGTTTGGGAAATCATGATGAGTTGGTATTATTAAATGTGATTTAGGTGGTTCACTATGAGTGGTGAAGTCACGTGCGGAGGCGGTGTCCAAAGTAAAACCCAAAGGAGAAGAGAGCGTTTTAGAGGGTCAATGCTTGGTGGAGAAGGTGGAGGAGATACTTGGAGAGATTTAATTATTGGTTTTGCTTTTATCTGGCTTTTGTCTGGCTTTGGAATTGTTTTTTCTCTTATGCAAATTGAACGAAGTTTTCCTCGTCTGAGCTAATGAGAAAGTGATACGAAAAGAATGGGAAAAGCATAATAAGAAGAATTGGGAGAAGCAAAGTGAAAAGAAAAGAATTTACTATCTTAAACATCTTACTTTACTTTGTGTCGATATGTTTGGACTGATTGAAAGGATATATTTCCAATGTTGATGTTTCGCAGCCACTTCTACATTTCTTCCACCCCGCTATACATTTTGCCTCTTTTACACCTTCCCTCTATCTCTCTCTTTATCTCTAATAGTACATTATCTGAATCTTTGCGTGAAAATCCGGTCAACACCTGCTTCGTCATACTCTGCCTTCGTCACCCACATCTGGTGGAATGTTCCCAAAGAAGCGAGCACACTGCCTCCAATCCATGCCTGGTTCGTTCTCTCATTGGCATTTCCAATCGCATGGAGTCGGATCTTCAACCCTGGATTCAGGTTCAGCAACTCCGTGTGCAATCTCTCCGTCAACTGTGGAATTAGCGAAACTCCACCAGTGATGATAATGTTGTGTGCAATTGATGTTCGCAAGTCAATGTCCACTGAAGCAATTGCATGTGAGATCATCTGACTGAGGCCACGGACGGTGCTGGCATTTCCATTTTCAGGTGCTGGTGTAGGCGTGGACTGACCGGACTCTGCCTTTCTGGCACGCTTTAACGGTCTATAGTCGTCATAAGGACTGCTGATGGAGAGCTCTCCATTGTTCTTCGGATATTTTTCTGCAAGCTGGGAGTCCTTAAATGGGTAGGCAGCTGGATCGAACAAGGCGTCGGCCAATCGGAACCTGTCCATCGATACCTCAAGTGACTGACCTGATGGGAATTCAATCATACGCTTGGAATCATCCTGTCCGTAGAGCTCCTTCACCGATGCCATATGCTGCGCATTGGAGCTGTTCATCTTCTTTTCTGGAACCTCCAACAAGAGCTCTTTGAACTCTGTGTAGATCTTCTCCTCCTGAAACTGGTCGTATGACTTGGTGATGTTTTCTGGCAAGCTACGTTCCACGTATTCTGCCTTTTCAGGATACACGGTGGCAGTCTTGTCCTTGACCTTATACTTGGGTACCAAGGACAAATCCAGGTATTTTGACTTCAAGGTATCCTGGATCTGATCATTTAAGTAGTGTCCACCGTAGTTGGTCTTCATGGAGTTCTTGAGCAAGCAAATTCCATCCACAACAGGCACTACACTGACCTGATCATGGCCAATGTCTACTACCAAACAACTCAGTCTTCCCTGCTGAAACGAAACGCACGCTGGCGTACGGGCCAAGTACAAGGCTGGAAAGTTGAATTCCTCGTAAAAAGTCTCCACGAGTTGCTGCCTGTAATCCTTGGTTGTCCAAACTGGCTCGGTGATCAAAATTGGCTGTTCCTGGTAGTCAATCTTCAACACATCGTCAAAGTAATACTTGTACATGGCAAGAGCACCTTCCCAGTCGTTAATGATGCTTTCCTTCATGATGGGAATGACCTCCTGGTTCAGTCTGGGGAGCTCCATATCTCCACCAAAAAGCGTTTTCGTTGGAGTTTTCAGATAGTAAGAGTTCTGGATGACCTTGGGGAAGTCGTCGCCGGAGTACCCAATTCGGGTGGTGTAAGACCCACCGTCCAAGACAATAGCATTGATTTCGTCTCCACCGTAGACGGTGGCCGAGTTTGTAGCCGAAGACATGTAGTTGAAGATAGTATTTGACCTGCGCGTATTGTGCAGTGTGGACGTAGTTGAAATAGTAGGTGATTGTACAGTATAGAGATTTTTAGTATATGATGAAATAATTCGACTGTTATTTTTGAGTTTGTGTTCTTTAATCCAATTTTTTGAATATTTTCATGTTTCTGCAAATCGAATATATTGACTCTACAAGATCTTAGCCTCGGTGTCAATCAAGCTCACCAAGAATTCGGCCTCTAATCTCTTTCTACCTTCTCTCACCCAGTCGTCAGCCAACTTTCTTGTCCAGCCCTTCAAGTTGGCCACCTCCTCAACTGCAACGTCCAAATCGCCGCGGGTCAAGCTCTGCTCCACACGGCCAATCACAGACTCGATGTCCTTACCTTGTGGCTTGGCTCCCTTGACTGGCAACAACAACTTGGAGAAAATCGCAGATGCCAAGTGACCCAACAATCCGGCGTTAGGAGGCAATAAAGATGCGGATCTCAACTCGGGTGTGAGCTGTTCCCATGCGGTCAACAATTGTGGGATGGTCAATATGGACTGACTGCTTTCGCCGTTCAACAATGGCTTCAACTCTGCAAGTGCCAACGAAATCACCTCGTCATCTGCTTTAGATGATGACTTCTCCAACTCCTGAACGTATGGCTTGAACAGCTTGGCTTGTGTTTCCTCTTTGGTGTTGAACAACAAAGACTTGACATTGGACAACGAGCGCTGAATTAAGGTCTTGGAGCTCGATGCAGTGATCTGGTTCTCCAATGAGAGTGCAAACGCCTCAAGCTCCTCCAATCTGGAGTTGACGTTCTCCAAGTTCTGCAAACGGCCGTTTCTCTCCGTATCGATCTTGTCCTTCACCATCTTCTCAAATCTCTTGGTCTGCTCCACTCTGACCATGGAAGTAGCGTTAACTGCAGCTTGTGAAATAGCCTCCTTTGCAGCATCCACCTCCTTGCTCAATTTAGCCAGGTACTTCTTGTCCAATTCGGTTTTTTCGTAGTTGTATTGGTCCAACAAGTTCTGGGTTAACTCCAATTCCTTCTGGGTATAGGACGAGAGCAATTCTGTCTGAGATTTCTTCAACTTGGCTTGCAATTCCTCCTCGAACGACGAGTTCAACGAGCTCAATTTGGCACTCAAGTTGTTGATGTTCTCGTTAATGGACTTGATCAAGACATCTTTCTGAGGTCCAATGGACGAGGCATCGATCAAACTAATTAACTCGTTAAACGACAGAATGGTCGCCTTGACGGTGTCATCGGCAAAACTCTTGGGGCCCTCCTTCAACGTGATCTGGGGCAATTTCTCCGTGACATTGCTCACGGTCTCAATCTCGACAGGTCTTTGCAATTGCTCGGTAGGAGTGATGTATCCCGATGCCTTGGCCGATTCTCTCTGTGGATGCGAGCCTCCAAATTTCTTCTTAGTCTTCTCGATCAAGTGCTCACCTTGTTGCTCAAGCTTATAGGTGATTTCCTCGATCTTCTCCTTCGAGGGAAGTTGGACGTTTGAGGAGACTGAATCCCATTTTTTCTTCAAGTCATCCACTGAGCCATTCTCAATGATATCGATCAACTCCTCGTAGTAAGGCAATTGCTTGTCAATGACAAAATCCATCACAGTGTCACTCTTAGTGGCTGCGTACAACGTAGCTCCGTAAAGTGCGGAGGAAACAAGGAAGGTCTTGAACAAGAAACCCGTGAACGAGAACTTCTTCTTGTTCTTGGGGTTCGCATTGTTTTCCTGGACCTTGGCCTTTACATCCTTCGGTGGCTGCTGAGGAGTTTCTGGAACCTTGACAACGACTTTTGGAGCCAATGGTGTCTTTGAAGGTTGGGCCGGGGTGGGGGAAGGCTTGACTTGCATGAGTCTGGCGGTCAGTACAAGAGCACGGCTACTACCATACCTAGCCGACACCGCATGACGGCGCAACGAGCTTCCAATCATTGTTTAGGTGGTTGAATAGTGTTGAGAAATTTCTGACCAACCAGGTGCGGGAGTCCTGGTGCACGGGTGTTGTGGCTGAAGTGGTTGGTTGGATTTGGATAGTTGGAGGAATGTTGAAAGATTTGAAGTGGCGGCAAAATATTTGATTATTAATGATATGAGATTGAAATATAGATGGTTTTGGTATGGTTTAATTTGCTTCTAAGTGTTGGTGGGTATGAATTTGGGATAAGTGGTTGTAAATTTGGTCCAGTGCGTAGATTATGGAGATTGGAATAGGACAATAAAGAAGAAGGATACAAAAAAAATGAGAAGGAGAAGAATGAAAGGAACATTCAGGGAAAAATAGTAAATAACTCATTCTTATATTTTTCTGTAACTTTTTAAATGTTATGACTGTTGTATTGTGGAGACTGACATGTTTGGTTTAGTGGTCAGCTTGAAATCCATTCCATACTTCCAGATTTTCTTAAATCTTTGTATTTCAAAATTTTACTAATTATGGTTTTCATGTCAATGTTCCCATGTCAATATTCCCATGCTAACGCCTCTCTGTCCACTTTTTCTTTCTATCTAATCTCTTCCATAGTTTGTACTGCTTCACTTCCTTTAATGATTATAAACCAGATATTCAATTCTCTTTTCCTTTTTTTTGTTTTATTATGTCATCCTCATTTCCCAAAAACACAACCTTCAGTTTCCAAAGTTCTGCTTATTGAAGTAAAATTCATTTTCTCCATCCGTCATTTACTCATCATAACCTACTTCGAAATCTACACTCCTCTATACAACAATCTAACTACACCATGCTGGATAAATGGATCAAACATCTTCAATTGCAGGCCCATCCGGAAGGTGGATACTACAAAGAAACCGGACGCTCAGAGCAACTCATCAAGTCCGGAACAGGCTTGGACGTCCCACTCTACACCAACATCCTCTTTCTCTTGGAGGATAAGAATCCATCTCGATTCCATCAACTCCATTCCAATGAAGTATGGTACTTCCATGATGGAAAACCACTCACGGTTCATTGCATCTACCCAGATGGAACGTACAAGGCAGTCCGTTTAGGCAAGAACCCGGAAACGGACTTGTTACAATTTGAGGTGCCTAAGGGTGTGATTTTCGGCCTGTCGGTAGATGAAGATTGGGCTCTTGTCAGTTGCATGGTTTCACCGGGGTTTGATTTCCGTGAGTTTTATCTCTTCGAAGAGGAGGAGCTTCTTGAGAAGTTTCCACAGCATGCGGAGATTATTAAGAAGTTGACATAAATGAGGACTTATAGATATCAAGTGTTAATTTCATGTAATAAAGAAGCTTATGACTGTTTCAATTCTTTCAATTTCAACTTTCAACTTCCTTCTACCTATCCTTTCCATCGACTTTCGTTCATATTTCCCTACTTTTAACTACTTACTCACCTTCTTTAACTCGGTCATGGTTTCACTCTTAAGAACGGTCTGGTCCAATCCTGCCTCCTTGATCTTCTTCAAGGCAAAGCCAACGTGCTCTGCAAATCCCAATTGAGCAAAGGCAAAAGCCGCATAGGCCCAAACGTTGGCAGAATCCTCATTGATGAACGTGTTCAACTTCAAGTAATACAAGATTCTGATGGCAGTTGAGTAGTCACCAGCAGCCAAGGCAGTTTCGACCTCCTCGAATGCACTAGCAGTGTTGCTGTCACGGCCATTCACTACAACCTTGGTTGCGGCGGAATCAAACGAGGTGTCAAACTCACAGGGCAGTTTCTTGTTTGCGGTGATCTTCTTTCCAGCAGGCAAGGGGTCTGGTCTCGCCTTGACATTACCTGGAACACCTTGGTTAATCTGCGCCTTGAAGCTGTCTGGAACAATGGACATTTTTGGAGCTTGATAGATTGGTTACTTGTTTTGCCATAGATGACGTTGATAATTTGTGCACGTGATGTATGTCACGTGCATTTTTAAAATTTGTGTTGGAAAGAATGAACGTCTCCAAATAAAGGTATTATATATCCCATGTGAATTATTCTCATACTTACTTCTTAATGTTACTTCTAGTTTCACTAATTCCACGGTTTTGTGCCACTGTCAATGTGGAAAGGTTGTCTATGCATATTGTACAGGCTCACAATTATTTTCCATACATTATTCATTCAATACTATTTCCAATTGTGAGAAAGAGAGACAGAGAAGACAGAGAAGACAGGTCTGTCCATCTGCAGCTATTCTTGCTTCTAGCACTTCGTAAAATTACCTGAATCTTGTTATTGAAGTAGATCGCCAATAAGTCCTTTCAATTAGACCTTCTCATTGTCTCTTCTTGGAGCAACACTGGCCTTTCTTGGGTTTGGGGCTTCGAAGATCTCATCCAACTCCTCCAAAGAGCGTCCCTTGGTCTCCACAAAGTAGAAGTAAATCACCACAACCTCAGAAAGATCCCAGAAAACGTAAAACACGTAAAACCAGAATCCAATGTTCTTCATGGCCTCTGGTGCAGCGAATTGGTTGATAAACTGAGCAACACCAGAAGTCAAATTCAAGAGAATCATGTTTCTGGACCGCAAAACATTTGAAGAAACTTCTGATGGGTAGATGGGCTGCATTGGCGTGAATGCAAACGAGAAAGTAATACCAAAGAGGTAGATGAAGGCCAAGGCCGCGTTGGAGGCCAGCTTGGCAGCAGTAACATCGTATCTAGCAGTAGCAATAGCCAATCCGGACAAACACAAGGCTGCACCAAACGATGAGGCCATGAACATCTTTCTTCTGCCAACGATCTCGTGGACGTAGGCTCCGCACAACGAAGAAATCCACGAAGTGATAGAGTAGCATGCATTCATTAACACGTTAGTGGTCTGAGAAGTCATACCAACATTGGTCAACATGGTAGGCAAGTAATAGGAACAGACATTGTTACCGGAGAATTGTCCGTAGAATGCCATGATAACCACCAACATTGCACGATATCTGTCTGAACGCTTTCTCAACATTGGACGTGGGTCCAACACCTTCCAGGTGGACTCCAAAGAAACAGTAGCAAAGGTCTCTGCGATCTCAGCCACTTCAAACTCAACCAATGGGTCGTTGATGTTGCCGTTACAGTGGTATTTGGCGATCATCTTTCTGGCATCTTCAATTCTACCCTTTCCAACCAACCAACGTGGAGACTCGGGAATGAGCCAGCCAAAAATGCACACAATACCTGGACAAGCACACTGAAGCCACAAGGGAATTCTGAATGCCTTGTTGCTGCCACTGAAGCTTCTCTCACTACCATAGGCGGTGAATGCAGCGATGATGGAACCAACATACCAAAGACAGTTGTAGAAACCAGCCACTCTACTCCTGTGTCTGGTAGGAGCAATCTCAGTACAGTAATTGGCAGCAGCAGTGTTGGCCAACTGGGTGAAAAACGACAAGAAGAATCTTCCAGCAATAAGCGTGGGTACGTTCTTGGACACGGCAGTAACCACGGCAGAAATGACAATGCCATAAACACCCATGATAATAACAAACTTCCTTCCGTACAAATCCATCAATGGACAAAAAAAGGCACTGGCAATCTGTCCCACGTTATACATGGAAAACACCAACCCAGTGGATGTCGACGAGGTTGCATCAAGATTGTAAAACTTTAAGTAGTCCTTCTGGGTGTAAATGGACGACATCAACGAACCGTCAAAGCCACATGTCGTAGCAACAAAGTAGACGATGAAGCAAGAGAAGAGCATTGGCACCATTGGCTTGGACAAAAGCCGTGGAGGCTCGATGTCGGCAATGGGAATCAGAAGGTCCAATGCATCTTTGGATGAACCCTTGTCTGTCTCCAAGTGTTCGAGTTCGGTCTTGTCCTCGAAATTATCAAGCTGAGCTTTTGTGTCTAAGTGGTTAGCACTCATAATAGATGATTGTTTCGAGCCATGATAGACTTCTAACTCCATTATATATAGTCAAGGCTCAAGGCTGAACATTCGATTGAGCCGCAACATTCGTAACTTGTGGGGTCGGTTTAAAGCCCCGACATACGGACCGTGATTCCGTATCGGATCACTTTTGGTTGTTGAATGTTGTCAGCTGGTTGTCCGGTGTTCTTTTCATTTATCCGAAGGTGCTGGCACTTCTCTCCAGGGTGGTTTTGATAGATTGTCACTTTTCGGATTTTTTTCAGTGTCTATACCTCTCATAAAGCTATGACATTCTCGATATTCTTGCTTTGAACCGTTGTCTTTGATTTCGTCAACGCGGGGACCATGTATAACACGAAATATAAGTGTAAGGAACACTTTCCTATTTAGGGTGAGGCTTATGAGCCGAGTCTCCCCGGACCTACCTTTTGCAGACATTTGTCGTGCGGCGAGGTTGCAACGGAGGGGAAGGGAGGTAGAGGTGTGTTTCTTAACTGTAGGGAGGGTATGCCCTAAGGCGGGGATGATGCACACTATTTCACCGGAATTAAAGGTTTCTCTGTGTAGAGCACGGGATATTACATGCTAAATTCTTGGACACCAAGCTTACATTGTCCGACAAGTCTTCGGGATAAGGTTACAATGACTTCATCGAGCACTTGTTCATATTGTTTGTTTGCTTTTTTTTTTTTTTTTTACAAGAAGTTCTATTAACTTTGGCATTGCCGATACTTTTTCGTACTATATGCTACAGGCTGTTCAACTTGCAAACACATTGCAGTGGACTAATATTTTGTGCCCCCCAATCTTGTTACATGCAGCATTTGTGGGGGGGAATTTGTAGCGCTGGTCGTATTAATTTAGAGCTAGCGGTTGTGGTATGATAATTGTGTGTCAACGTTGCAAAGGGACAAAATTGTAGTTGAAAAATGCCCAACCTTTGACTGATTGCTTAAACTTGTTCCTGCTAAGTCATTGCTCCAGAGACTCCATCATTTCACGTTATTATGAAACCGCATGGTGAAGCCGCGCATTGGAGGTTGACACTTGACATATGCGACGTGCATGTAACTCAAAGGTGGTGGGGTCGGTGACCCGTGCACATACTCCGACGGACAATCGATCCCGTGTTGGGAATGCAGTGAGCCAATACAATGAACCCCGGATTCGGCTGCTGATGGTACAAAAAAACGGGAAAATTAGCGACCGTTTCAAATTTTCCATATTTTGAACGCCATCTTTCTGTTATTTTGAAGAATGGACGTTAAGCTGCTTACAAAAGTCCTTTCGGACCCCGAAACAATCGCTGTTAACCGTCTTCCTGCCAGAGCTTACTACTTGCCCCACCATTCACTCCCATTGAATGGACAATGGGACTTTTCCTTCCATGAATCACCTCTTACTGCTCCATTGCCCGAGGATTTCACTGCAGAGTGCAAAATCACTGTCCCAGGTCATTGGCAATTGCAAGGGCATGGTGCTCCATGGTACACCAATGTAGTGAATCCATTCAATGTCAATCCCCCACATCCTCCACGGTTGAATCCAACAGGATGCTACCGCACCACCTTTGATGTTCCAGAGAATTGGGAAGACCTGCTTGATTTGAGATTGCGTTTCGAAGGTGTGGACAATTGCTACCACGTGTTTGTGAACAACAAGTTTGTTGGCTACTCTGAGGGCTCGAGAAACAGTGCCGAGTTTGATGTGTCTGATTTCGTGAAAGCAGGGGAGAATTCTCTTTTTGTGAGAGTATACCAGTGGTCGAACACTACATACATCGAAGATCAAGACCAGTGGTGGCTCAGCGGAATCTTCCGTGATGTTTACTTGCTTGGGTTCTCAAGAGAAGGCGCCGTTGAAGACTTCTCCGTGGTGACGGACTTTGACGACTCTTTCAACGATGCTAAGCTTGCTATCAGCTTAAAGACCAACAACACTGGTGTTGATGCTAGGTTCATCTTGAAAGATGCAGATGATAAGATTGTCTTGGATAACTCTGAGTCGTTGGGTGAGTTGGAGTCCAAATTCTCATATGCAATCACCAAGCCTCACAAGTGGACTGCTGAGTCACCATATCTCTATAACTTGACCATTCAAACCGTAAAAGATGGTCATGTTCTCTTCGAAACTTCGCAGGACGTGGGTTTCCGTAAGGTTGCTATTGAAGGGAATCTTCTCAAGGTCAACGGTGTCCCTATTATTTTGAGAGGTGTCAACAGACATGAGCATCATCCCAAGTACGGACGTACAGTCCCTTTCGAGTTCTTGGAAAAAGATTTGAGGATCATGAAAGAGCATAATATCAATGCCATTCGTACTTCTCACTATCCAGACCACCCAGACTTCTACAAGCTTGCCAACAAGTATGGATTTTGGGTCCTTGATGAAGCTGACTTGGAATGTCACGAGTTCTTCGAAGCTGTTCGCCGTCCAATTGACGGATCGGATGATGTTGAATACGATAGTGAGAAGCTCGCATTGTTTCAGGAAGCAAAGAAGTTCACGTCGGATAACCCTCAATGGGAGCGTGCGTACGTTGATCGTGCCAACCAATTGGTCAAGCGTGACATCAACCAGCCTTGTGTGATCATCTGGTCGCTTGGTAACGAGGCCTTCTTTGGACTGAACCATGTTCTGATGACTAACGAGATAAGAAAACTCGATAGCACTAGACCAGTACATTACGAACCAGATTTGGATGCCGAAGCAACAGACTTCTTCTCCAGAATGTATCCATGCTTGGAGACTGTGGAATCATTTGCAGGCAAGGACAAGCCATTTATACTCTGTGAATATGCGCACGCTATGGGTAATGGCCCAGGTTTGTTGAGAGAGTACTGGGACTTGTTCTACAAGCACGATAACTTACAAGGTGGTTTTGTTTGGGAATGGGCTAACCATGGTCTTGAAGCTAAAGATGAAAATGGAACTACCTTCTACAAGTATGGTGGAGACTTCGGAGAGTATCCACATGACGGAGTGTTCATTATGGATGGACTTGTTGACTCCGAACACAATCCAACTCCAGGCTTACTTGAGTATAAAAAGGTTATTGAGCCAATCATTACCACTTTTGATCTCAAGAATAAATACATCCTGGTCCTCAATGCACACAACTTCATTGACTTGTCCTCATTTACTGCTCGCTACAACATCACGGAGTATGATACATCTATGAATAGCAGAGTTCTCCAGGAGGGAGACCTCGAGATTCCAGACACTGCTGCTGGCCAAACATCTAAGATTGAGTTCCCTGAATTCAATAACAAATGGGCTTCCGACTCCTCTGTGTTCTTGAATGTAGAGTTCTTGACTTCTGGAACTGAGGTATTGTCAAAAAATCACTTGATTGCTTGGTCTCAAGTGGAGCTTCAGGAAGCTGGTACTTCACTTGAGGTTAAGTCTGCGGCTGCAAAGTTGAAGGTCACCGAAACACATGGCACTATCATCGTCGAAGGACCAAACACTCAGTTTGTGTATGACTCCATTAGAGGACAAATTAACTCTTGGGAGGTCGACTCTGTTGAATACATCAAGCCAGGTCGAAAGTCTTCTAGTTTCAACCAGTTGACTTTCTGGAGACCTAGTATTAACAACGATGCTCCTGTCGATGAACCTTATTGGAGAAGATTTGGCTTCGAACATATGGACATGACCGTCCATGATGTGGTGGTGACCCAAGCGGATCTGGTTGTTAAATTGGCTGTCAAGTCAAGTGTTGGACCACCTATTTTGGGTTGGAGATTTGAAGTCAGTCAAGACTATACCATTTCTGAAGGACAAATCAACTTAAGGACTCACATGGTGCCCAAAGCTAAATTTGCAAAAATGATTCCAAAAACTCTCCCAAGACTTGGTTATGAATTTCTCCTCGGGGATGAGTTGGCAAACAATGTTTTGTGGTTCGGAAGGGGTCCAGGTGAGAGTTACTCAGACAAAAAGGAATCTCAGAGAATCGGAGTATACAACAAGCCTTACCAAGAACTCGATTATCTGTACGACTATCCTCAAGAGAACGGAAACCATACCGATACCAGATGGGTATCTTTGGATGCGCCCAAGAAGAGAGATCTTGTAGTGCATTTCTCCAACCAGTTGTTTGACTTCAAGGTATCGGATCAACACAATTTGCAAGAGGCTCGGCATCCTAACGAGGTTATTAAAGGAGACAAATTTGTTCGCTTGGATTACAAGCAACATGGAGTTGGTACTGGAGCTTGTGGACCTAGGGTTCTCGAACTGTTTGAGTTCAAAATGCCTGAGACCGTTGACTTCGATATTAACTTGGTAGTGAAATGATTTCTTTGCAATTTACGATTGATATTTTAATTAATAATTATACCAGTAGATTCTTACAAGCCCGGGATCGAAGTTTGGCCATCAGTAAATGAACTTGGACCAGTTCAATCTCCTCTAACTCCGGGCAATGAAGTGGAGAAATGGGGACCCAACGAAACCTCGGGAAGTCTGCATGCCACAAGTGGTAAGCCGTGATAATCAATGATCAGCGATAAGTACTAAAAAAAGAAGCAAGAGCTCAGTTTTTCCTCAATTCTTTCACGATTTCCAAATACAAATGCATATCATATCCTGATGCAATGAACGCTTTTTAGTTACTATCTTGACTTTAATTGTGGACTTTTGAAGGTCGTGGGCCAGTGAAGAAACCTGATTACAAAGAGACCATGCACTAGCTGACGCTTGCAAGAAATTCCTTGCATGATTTCTCCGGGGATTCGTGGACAGTTCCTCTGAAATACTCTACATGTATGACTTCCAAGAAAAAAGATAATTTGGTCTGTCCCTATATCTTCCCTCGCAACAGTAATACGTAGCCTACCTTCGCGATTCCCGAATGATTGTAGGTCCATTGCGTGGCAACAAACGAATTTGAGTATTCGAAAGAATCGTCATTCTTTTTCAATAGTACCCCTCCATTATAAAAGCAGCGATATAATCCGGGCACTGTTACTCGCTAGAATTACAATAGCTCCGGATGCACGTTCAAATTAGGAAATTCGCCCAAGTGGTGGGGTGTCAGGATCAATATGCTATCACTTGCAGGACCGAGAACTCCGATACACTTGGCGGTGTCAATGTGGTGTCAACGTCATTTTCGTCGAATACTTTCAACGATGCAGCAAAAACAACATGCAAAGTGTAAGTAAATATAAGATATTGTAAATACAGCAAAAGAGGTGGAAGAATTTCGTGGTTGCTCAGAATTTGGCCGAATTTGGTCTAATGGATGACATTAGCAAGTATGTTTTTCTCCTCTATTTCTCGGAGCCGGACCTCGCACACCTGTACCGCCGCAAATCACTTCCCCCACTCTCCAGGGATCATAACAGAACACCCAAGGACAATGTTCCTATGCGGTGGAAGCCTTGGATTAAGCAAGAGAAGTTTTGAGCATCTCTACAAGGAGGATACATAATCTGTATGTGCATGTCGCCCTTTTCTTTCAGGTTAGTTATATATTGTAAGCTTCTTCGCTAATCTAATGAGTATCCTTGGCTGACCTGTCAAACCGCCCGTCTTGACACTAGTGCGTTCTGCCAAGAAATAATAAATTCTTGGCAAGTATTTCGTCCTGTATGTGGGAGTATGGCCCTGCAGCACGCGGCAGAAATGGGACTTTTGCAACCTAAACCCCACTAGTCTAGTGGGGCAGAGGGGAAATCGTTAGAGTGGAACTGCAATCAACGTTCTTTTGTGTTATTCGATTTGTGGTGCAATCTCGTCGGGATTCCCCCTCGTTTCCCGGAGTTTTGTGCGGAGTAGCTGGTGGAGTCATGAAAATCTTTCAGAGTGCTTTCCTATATAAGTATATCTTATAGTCTTTCAAAATTTTCTTCTCTTCACAAATAACAATTCCAACATGAGTGACCTCCAAAAAAAGTACTCCAAGGATATCATCATGAGTTCCAGTGAACTGGACAACAGTCGTATTGCTCCAGTTCAGAAGCCAAAGAAGAAGTTCAGATGGAAAGTCGAGGACACTGACTCGCCGAAAGAGATTTATAATTTAACCCTTGCCTTCAGTGTTCTTATTTTTGGTATTTTTGGTGCGGGCAGAGGTCTTGATGAAGGTGGAATTTCTGGTGCTAAGGCCCAGAAATCATTTAAACACCAATTTGGTCTTGATGACAAGTCAAAATCTGAGCATCAGATTGCCGACTTAACTTCAAACATTACTTCCATGGTTCAGCTTGGCTCCGTGGCCGGTGCCATGATTGCTATGTACACCAACGACAAGTTGGGCAGACTTAACGCAATGAGAGAAAGTTGTATTGTTTGGATCGTGGGTGTTATCATTCAAATCACTTCCAATGAGGTTGGTCAGCTTTATGCTGGAAGACTTATCGAGGGTTTGGCTATTGGACAAGCTACCACTATTGGTCCTGCTTACATGTCAGAGGTTGCCCCAAGACAGATCAGAGGTTTGTGTGGTTGTATTTTTGCTGGTGCCGTGTACTTGGGTATTATGGTGTCATACTTTGCTCACTATGGAACTGCATTGCACGTCTCGTCAAGCTCCAGAGCCCAATGGGTGTTGCCAATGAGTGTGAAGTTGATGATGGCAGTGCTCGTTTTTGTTGCTTCTTTCTGGTGTGTCGAGTCTCCAAGATGGTTAATGATGGTTAACAAACAGGACAAAGCCGTGGACGCCCTTTCAAAACTCAGAAAGCTTCCAAAAGATCACGCATTTGTCGTTGGTGAGATTAGTGACATTAATGAAGGTATTATGCTCGAGAAGGAGGCTGTTTCTGGAAACTCATTTTTTTCCATTATCAAGGAGTTCTTCCTTGTCAAGGCTAACAGATACAGATTCTTCGTTGTCGCTGCCGGTGCTCAGGTCTTGGGTCAATGGTCTGGTGCTAACGCTGTCACCATCTACGCTCCAGAATTGTTTGCTGTTGTCGGTGTCACTGGTGTTGAGAAGTTGAAGATGACTGCTATTTTGGGTACAGTGAAGTTTATCTCTGCTTACATTTCTGCTTTCTTTATCATTGACTTCTTGGGAAGACGTACAGCTTTGTACATTGGTATCACTTTCCAACTTATTTGTGAGCTCTACTTTGCTATCTTTTTGAACCTCGTTCCCCAGGCTGCAGAGGACGCCAATTTGACTGGTAGTGACAAGTATGCTTCTAAGGGTGCTCTTGCTGCTCTTTTCTTGTCTGGTTGTGGGTGGACGATGGGTTTCAACTCTATTCAGTACCTTGTCGGTTCTGAAATCTTCCCATTGAAGATCCGTTCCTTCGCTCAGTCCATGGTGATGGTTTTGCACTACGCCAACCAATACGGTAACTCCAAAGCGCTTCCTAAGATGATGCTTGCGATCAAGCCATACGGTGCTTTTTACCTCTTCTCTGGTGTTTTGGCAGTCTCTCTCTTCTGGGCTTGGTTCTTCGTCCCTGAGGTTGCTGGACGTTCTTTGGAGAGTATGGAGGAGATCTTCAATTTGCCATGGTACTTGATTGGAAGAAAAGGTCCTGAGCTTTGCCCAGACCACTCCGAGCTTGCTCGTATTCACTTTGAGAAGGATGGACACATGGAGTACGAAGAAATGGCCAAGCCATCTCAGCAGTATGTGGAGAACATCGATGATGAGAAGAATATCGGAACACGTAACCAGACTCGCTGAGTGGTTAGTTAGCACATCAATAATGGTTTATAGCTGGTCTATGGTTTCAACAGTTTTATTGAATTCTGACTTGAAGAGGAGTAATTCTTGCCCAAAATGTAGTGCTAACACATGCAAATAACCCAGTTCAGACAAAACCATTGTATAGCAACCCAATGAAATTGCAAAGTCACCAGTTATTCATTGCTCGGCAAACCCCTCCCCTTACTGAAATTTTGCTTCTTATTGTCTATAAGAACAGGAACTATATTGGGAATGTCAACAATTGTGCTTTCATCAATTCTTTCAACTCCCAAATAATAATCCGTCTGAATACTCGAAGAATCAGAATATATTATACACTTCATAGATCAGTCTTTCTTTGCTGTTGAAAGTAACCAATCTCGGTGGGCCCTGACTTCATTACAAAGCTCCGACCGGTCAACTTCACTGTAGTGATCAATTTTAATCTTCCAGTCACACAAAAGCTGGTCCATGTAGTTCCAGAGGTCGAGCTCGATGTCACTTCCGACTCTATCCTTCAAATCCCAACCATAGAGCCTTAATCTCTCTCCATTATCTTGGATGATCTGATGTTCTTTGACCAAATCCCAAGGATCAAGTTTGGGATGGTTCGCATGAATAAAAAGTAATCCTGGCTCCTTAAGTTGGCTCACCGCAGCTTCAAAATCTGCACCCTTCAACGACTTCCGTAGTTTATGTCTCTCCACAGACCATTTGTAGTCTTGAACTGGGTCATGTTGGCCCATTCCATTTCCGTTGAAATTACCATCACGAATATTTCCCAATGCACCCAAGAATTTCATTATCTGGTAGAACGGTTTATGTGTTACCACAGCGGCTGCTAAAAATGTCTCCTTATCTCCTTCACCCGATCCACCCTGAGACAACAATGGGTAATAGTAATCGGGACCATACAGGTTGTAGTACAAGGCAAGAAGAAGAGATTTCATGTGAGTTTTCTTGTTTAAAACCAACTGGCCCGACTCCGTAGACGGGTCAGGAATTGCTCCTTCACGCTCATGGTATGGATAGTTCTCCCAGTCAAAGTTTTCTCCAGGCTGATCCTGATCAATCCGTTCACCGGGCTTCTCGTGAAACTTTGGAAGCACCTTCGTCCTACTGATTTCAATGCCCGCAATAGAGTAGTAGTCAGGAGACGTCGTACGGTGCCAATAATCTGGCCATACAATCAACCCTTTACTAAGATATGGTTCATTGGTAAAAATAGCTTCAGGGGAGTGCGCAGGGATGTTGTCACTGTCCAATAAAAGAACATTCTCGAAACTTGAAAGCATAATAGCTAAACATTTGAACTGGTAACCTCCAAACTTGAGTGAATCGGGACTCTCGTTCTCTTTGTAAAGAGCAGTAGGGATATGGACACAGCGAGCATTCAAGAGAGGGAAAATCGCGGAACAAAGCTCAAGTTCGAACTCTTCCAAGGATGGAATAAAGATCTCCACTGGGAGTTCACATCCGCGAGCTCTCAATTGTCTGAGTGAGAGAAGGACCATCCAGTTAAATTTTCCTCCTCCTACGTAAGCAATTCCGGTTCCCAGATACAACCCCTTCGGAGCATTTTCCGGAAGATTTTCAAGGGCATACTTGTGAGAAGCTGCCATCAGCTCCTTCTGAGTTTCGTCCAACTTCAAAGCATCGGAAAGATACTTCTCCGAGAACACTCGACCGTTGGAGCCAGTAGCAATCTCAACAAGTTCAGCCTTGGCGGGGCCATTTGGATAGTTGTCAAGCTTGCCACATGTTGGCTTGGCATTCTTGATTACCGTCATGATCTGCTCGTAGAAATCGTGACCCATTTTCAATGATTTTGATCTTTCTCCTTTGTACGTTCCATCGATAAATTTGAGCTTTGCTGTATCTAAATCTGCAATAAGGACGTTACTCTTTGCATCCTCGTAGGTTTCTACTACTTCAGAGTGAGGCTGGGCACACATCAGAGCTGGGAGCCAACCACACCTTTTATTACCAAGTGAAGAGGTGAATTTGGTACCATCTGACAGAAACACGTAGAGGTATCCTAGCAACAAGAACACCATTGTCGCAGATGCGGCAAGAAGGAACAAGAGACGAGAACGTCGACGAAGTGACCGCTGTAGCATTTCACGTAGCTACACAGTTTGATATCAAATTCGAGAAGTAAGCAAGTTTGGACACGTCCAAAACCTTAGTTCGCAATGTGTTTGAATGCACACCGCGTTAAGAACATAGATCGCTTCGTGTAATGTAGATAGCCCGTGTTGAACTTGCGAAAGCCTGCTTTTACATTTTTAGATGGGAATTCTGCATGTTTGAATTTGAGTTCATTTTACTCTGAATGTGTTGTAAGACGTATGGCGTTGACAGAGAGCTTTTTCGACAGGAGATCCTGAAGCTCTTCAAAGTACGAAGAGTTTAGTTACACCTGGTGCTTGAACAAAGTCCAAACTAACGCCAGGAAAGATATGTCTGTTTATCTTGTCAGTTTTTTGAGGTATTTTTTCTTTTCGTTCCTCTGGTATTGTGCTCCATATCCGCTTTGGTTCGGTTTCCTGCATTTTTTGTAACATGCCTACATTTGCTCATTCCTGCTATTGTTTCTATATGCCAGATCTAGTTGTATGTATATGCTGCATTGATGCAATTTCTCGAACAAAACGTCCAAACACACTCAGAAACCAGCTTTCATTCATGGTTCACTGAGTACTGCGCTAGCTAGTTGTTATGGTGAAATATCCAATTTCTGAAACTGAAGACATGAATTGTTCAATCAAATTCATTCTCTTGGAAGTTTTTCAAAGTAGCGGAAATCAGGACTGTAGGAACAATAAGATTCGGCAACTTCCGATGTGAAATCTTAAGAAAATATCAGAAAGTAATCGCAAATAATATGCTAACCTGCTGCGCTCTCAGGGGACAACGGGACAGACAGAGACTGTGACTTGGCTAACCATTAAGCCAACTACAATAAAATAGGAGAAAATGCTACATCGTCTGTGTTCTAAATATTTTGGCTTCATTTTAGTTTCCTACGACATTTTCATCGTGGCATTCGTAATCTTCGAACATTCAAGTATTAACTAGTTTCAAGGAACCGAGGTGGAAGAATTACTTTCCGTTCTGATAAATGTAAAATGGCGTAGTATCTTGAGAGCTCGTGTTGAAGCCTGGCTCGTGGAGCCATCAGTTCGGAAAAGAAATAGTTTTCCTTTGAGTTTGCACACATTCAGTCATAAATAGGGTCGTCCATACAAGAAGTTATCACAATGGGATATTGCTCAACTGAATAGGGTGAAAGTGAGCAAGCATGGCTATGTATTTCGCACTAAATGTAATGATAATCCATTGGGAACTAACTACGTTAAATGAAAACACATTCAATGAACATGGAATACTTAGAGGCGGAGAACACCGTCTCAGTTCTTTGGATTGAAGAAGTATGGAATTCACAAAAACAAATTCAAGGGAGCCATGAAATATACTGAAGATCCGTGGAAAACAACTTCCATGATCCAAATGTGTGCGGAGTGATTAGCGTGGACAGTTCAATCCTTGTTGCAGAATGTGTAATGTCACATTTCGGACTCGGATCTTACGCAATGATAAAGTCCTAGAATTAGTGGGATTCTTCTTTGGTTTCGCTAAGCTGCAGCACAAGACTGCGGGTTTACGTTTTACCTTGATGAGAATTTCCGCATATACCGATGCACTCCTGTTATCTCCGACAGAAGAAGTTAAGCGATTCATACTTAGATTCACTTCGGTCTTTCAGTCAAATTGTCGTGACTGAAATGCCCATATATCTGAGAACAATGCTCAAACCTTTTTTTGTAGTTCAATTGAACTCAACTTCTCCTCCTCTTTTGCAGCGCTTTCTCCCTTCCATTTTTGGGATCTACAATGCGTCAGCCAAATCGCCACAACTAACAAAGACTATTTGAAACCCTCCTTCCGTATATGCCTCAAGGCGATCGGCATAAAAAATTCAGAAGGGCTCATCGAATTTGGAAGTATAGCATATAACATAGATGCCTTCAACTCTCTGTGCCACAACAGGCACTAAAATCACGAGTCAGTACTTCACCACACAAAGGAAGGGATAAAATTGTAAATTTCTCACTCAACGATAATCAGAAAAGAAATAATTTAAAGAAAATAATCTCATTGAAAGATGTAGGTACTTTGTCCCAAAGTTCGCGAAATTTTTGACCTTCATAAATTATTTCTCAAAAAGACAATAAGGATGCGAACTACAAAGTATGATTAAAAATATAAAAATTCATTCAAAATTATTTCAAGGAAGAGCAATACATCAAGTCGTGGCGAAATTTCATGTGTATTCATGTTGACTATTTGATTCGACTACCAGAAGGTGAAATTACTGATTCTTCGTCAGAAGTACATTCCAGTCCGACATGTTGCGAATATCGGGCAATTCGCAACTTAAACGCCTCAAAATAGAAAAAACGGCAGAAAGCTTAAGCTGATTTAATCATAGAAAGATTCTTTGAACCTGCTATCGTATATTAATTTTTTTTTCTGATCATTGTGGGGCCATGATGAAAAGTGTTGTCGTACTACAAGTCCCATCATTCAGTGTTCGACGTATGCATAGAGCGATCGCTTCTCAAGAAAGTAATAACGTGGCTTAAAATCTTTAATTGATGACAAGGGCTTATTGCATCATCGCCCCGAGGGGCAAACATCCAGCCAGTCCTTATCAGTGTCAGATTTCTATAAATAATTAACTGCTCTCTAATATAATTACCGCCAAATGAATTATCCAGCAGACCTCTGGTAAACTTCTAGAATATGTTCTCCTCGAGACTTAGCTCTCTAGTCGTGGAAGCTGAAAGAATTGAGACTTGCCAAAGGACAGTACTCATGGCGTTGGTGCATGCAAACAATACGTCAAGTCTCAGATAATGGGCCCAATTAGTAAATAGAAGACGAATCAAAATACACCTCTTGTAAAAGAATGCAGGCACACGTACGTCTTGACCTCTACATGTAGCATCAGACTTTGTGGGTACTTCGCCCTACTGTCATGCCATTATTACGTGAAATTCGTTTGCATAAAAAAGCATTAAGAAAATAGCGGCTCAACCGAACTTTCCATCTTGGGCAGAATACCTATAAAAAAATAATTGAAGCATGCGTGTGATTTGCGAACAATCTTTGTGCTACTGCATGACTAAGATCCAATACGAAATTACGCATCCAATGTTTCTACATTTGGGTTGAAGCAAGATGAGCACACGGACAAAGAGCCAGTAGCCACTTACAATTCCTGTCAAGGAATATAAGTGAGAAATTGAAGCTAAATCGAATAGGCTATCCGCGATCACCCAAGCCAGGGCACAATACTAATTTCCCCACTCTCTCCACCATTCAGTTACTCGAGTTAGCAGCTTCATTTTCATGAGTTGATCAATGCCATCACTCATCGGCCACCAGTCTATGCTCTGTTGCCCGTCATACATTATTAACGTGATTATTTATGGCAAACTTATCTATCACGTCCTTTTCAAAACAGTCATACATTGTACGTGCATATTCTTAAAGTTCAGTTCCGTATCTTCACCTCAGGTCTGGAGAAGAATAAATCGGTAGAAATATTAAACGGGAGCATTGCCCCCCATCGAGAAACTGTCATGCGCTATCATGCAAGATGAAATTAATGCAGATGTGTATTTTTACTTATCACAATCAAGCTTGCTGGTAATTGTCAAAGGAGTTGCGCCCTATTCCTGATAGGCAAGATCACTTCATACAGCGCATCTGAACGACCAGCCACCAATTGATACAATTATTGATATGAAATATCACCAACGAACCCTTTTTTTCTATGCAACATGGCCAGAATTTCTATCATTAAACAAGCAAAGTATTGGTTGGGATACTTGAATAAGCGAAATCGTTCGAGGCCCCAAGATTTCCAACTGCCTGATGCATTGAGATTCTGAAAACCGTGGATCTTGAAATAGAACAATGGCGGAATATGTTTTATTATTTATGCTCTTCTCCCTCGTACACCCTGCCGATCACCAATGCAAGTTGCATTTTATTTGCTTCTGACTGCATGATGGTTCCAGAACTCCACTGAGTTATTGGGCAGTTCTTGAACCATAAGAGAGCAATATACTCGGAGAATGGGTGATAGCAATGAACTTTGTTTTCAATGAACAGATTTCTTCAGTAAAAGAGCCGTTCACTCACTATTGAACGATCCAGATAGATTACCACATGTACTCCTTAAGGGTCCGCAACAACCACTGAAGTTCAGCGTTGCTGATCGATGAAAAGGTTAAACCGATCGCGATCTGAAGTGTACTCAACAATGAAATTCCAGTTATTTCACAGAAGGCATTTTTCTCTAACGTACGGTTTTTTGTTTAGATCCTCGCAGATGGACTAACGCACATTTGCGAGTAGAGAGTCATACGACGTAACTCGGCAAAACTCTACTAATAATAAGGTGTCGGTACATGAAAATGCAGGTGAACAATCATTCCCAATACGATTATGCAGGGAGCTTGAGAAGTGACGCAGGCTCTCTGAATTTCAGTATGAACTCATGTCTCAAGAAAGAACTGCTCAAGATTCTTCAATGAAATTAAACAAGAAGAGCAACAAATATACTATAAATGATTTTACCTGGCTATAAATTATGAAACGCCTCAATTAGTTTCTGCCGAAGGCCCAAGAGACTAAACACCTTCTATCTTGTAATGCATCATATTTCATGCAAGGTTTGCTTCTCGCATGACTACTGTATCGGAGAAAAACACACCAGCATAGATTAACGCCCCTGCACACATATAGTTCTCTGATTGCCAAAATTGAATCTACAGGTATAATAATTTTATATAAGGGAGATGTATCATACATTTTGAAAACTCATCCGGAATGCGGCCACTTAAGTTAATTAATTTAGTGGCTCTAGCTGCCCGAGTATTGGCAGTTACAACAACCATCACAAGCACAAGCACAAATCCTGCTACTAGTATCTCTCAAGTTAGTGCAGACGTTTGGGTCGTGGAGACAAACGGAGCATTAGTATTGCCAACAATTCTGTATTTGAGTACGGGAAGCAACTTCATAAACTATGGTGACTTCATTTTAGGAGCCAATGCCGGCGCAACGGTCATCATGAATTCGTTAACGAATCAAGCGGAAGGTGACGTTGAAATCACTGGAGCTGCAGCCATGACATTTCAAAACTCTAATACTTTCAATAACTTTGGAACTTGGACCATGAGTTCTGCGGGCAACATGGTCACTACAATGTCAGGATCCACATACACTTTCACGAACACTGGTACGTTCACTATCTCTACACCAGGCACGATCACAGCGACTATTTCAAAAGCGTTCGTAAACTCGGGAGATTTCAAATTCAAGTCCACCAGTACGGGAACTTATACAATTTCAGGTAAAGTTACGAACCTGGGCACTTTGGTTGTGAATTCCGGAGGAACTAGTGACTCACTCACTATCTCTGCTGCCTTCACCAATACCGGCTACTTCGTGTATAATTATGGCCTGAACAGTGACAGAGCCGTTTCGTTAAATGCCAATTTAAATAATGAAGGTGGTATCATAAATATCTATGGTACCTCGAATACGGCTTTAGGACTGGCCACGGCGTCCTATCCTACTATCGATAATTATGGTGCTATTTGTCTTCGGCATACCACATATGCACAGAAATATTATATCACGGGAACTGGATGTTGGTTGCTTGCGCAGGGGGCAACAATGACATTAGCACAGAACACTGCAACCACTGCTTTCCCTAGTACTCAATCTATTGTATTCCAGGACTCCTCTGCATACATCATCGCGACGCAATTTGGAACATCAACAATCGTCCCACTCTACGGTATTACTAGTGGACACACATTTTTCCAATCAAGTTTCCCTATTACCGCTGTCAGCTATGATACAAGTGCTGGTAACTTGGCAATTACTGCGCAGACCTCGGTAGGCATTACCCGTTTCAACACTTACCTAGTGGGGTTTGGATACACGCCAAGTGGTTTTACATTCCTGGGAAACAGCGTCACGTACACAGGCACCAATCCAGGGAACAAGCCACCTAGTATTTGTAGATGTGTACCGGGCTCAGATTCATCATCATCCAGTGAATCATCGAGTTCCAGTTCTTCATCTTCTAGAGGATCATCTTCCAGCGAGAGTTCAAGTTCCAGCGAGAGTTCATTCTCCAGCGAGAGTTCAATCTCCAGCGAGAGTTCAAGTTCCAGCGAGAGTTCAAGTTCCAGCGAGAGTTCAAGTTCCAGCGAGAGTTCGAGTTCCAGTGAAACATCATCCAGTGAAACATCATCCAGCGAGAGTTCGAGTTCCAGCGAGAGTTCGAGTTCCAGTGAATCATCATCCAGTGAAACATCATCCAGCGAGAGTTCGAGTTCCAGCGAGAGTTCAAGTTCCAGTGAATCATCACCCAGTGAAACATCATCCAGCGAGAGTTCGAGTTCCAGCGAGAGTTCAAGTTCCAGCGAGAGTTCGAGTTCCAGTGAATCATCATCCAGTGAATCATCATCCAGTGAATCATCATCCAGTGAATCATCATCCAGTGAATCATCATCCAGCGAGAGTTCAATCTCCAGCGAGAGTTCAATCTCCAGCGAGAGTTCAATCTCCAGCGAGAGTTCAATCTCCAGCGAGAGTTCAATCTCCAGCGAGAGTTCAATCTCCAGCGAGAGTTCAATCTCCAGCGAGAGTTCAATCTCCAGCGAGAGTTCAATCTCAAGCGAGAGTTCAAGTTCCAGCGAGAGTTCGAGTTCCAGTGAAACATCATCCAGTGAATCTTCATCCAGCGAGAGTTCAATCTCCAGCGAGAGTTCAAGTTCCAGCGAGAGTTCGAGTTCCAGTGAATCATCATCCAGTGAATCATCATCCAGCGAGAGTTCAATCTCCAGCGAGAGTTCAAGTTCCAGCGAGAGTTCGAGTTCCAGTGAATCATCATCCAGTGAATCATCATCCAGCGAGAGTTCAATCTCCAGCGAGAGTTCAAGTTCCAGCGAGAGTTCAAATTCCGGCGAGAGTTCGAGTTCCAGTGAAACATCATCCAGTGAATCTTCATCCAGCGAGAGTTCAATCTCCAGCGAGAGTTCGAGTTCCAGCGAGAGTTCGAGTTCCAGTGAAACATCATCCAGTGAATCATCATCCAGTGAATTTTCATCCAGCGAGAGTTCAAGCTCCAGTGAATCATCATCCAGTGACTCATCTTTTAATGAGAGTTCAAGTTCGATTGAATCATTGGGTTCCTCTACGGAGACTGCGACTGAAGACGAGTCTTCTGAATTTGCGGAGAGTGGAACTTCATCAGCAGAGAGTCTTGCAAAATTCACCACCACCTGGACAGTGACTAATGCAGATGACTCAATTGAAACTCATTCTGGAGTGGTTATCGTCAGCACCAATGCAGCTGGCTCATGGTACACGACCACTACTGAATTTGCGGAGAGTGGAACTTCATCAGCAGAGAGTCTTGCGAAATTCACCACCACCTGGACAGTGACTAATGCAGGTGACTCAGTTGAAACTCATTCTGGAGTGGTTATCGTCAGCACCAATGCAGCTGGCTCATGGTACACGACCACTTCTGAATTTGCGGAGAGTGGAACTTCATCAGCAGAAAGTCTTGGGGAATACACCACCACCTGGACAGTGACTAATGCAGATGACTCAATTGAAACTCATTCTGGAGTGGTTATCGTCAGCACCAATGCAGCTGGCTCATGGTACACCACCACCTCTGAATTTGCGGAGAGTGGAACTTCATCAGCAGAAAGTCTTGGGGAATACACCACCACCTGGACAGTGACTAATGCAGATGACTCAATTGAAACTCATTCTGGAGTGGTTATCGTCAGCACCAATGCAGCTGGCTCATGGTACACGACCACCTCTGAATTTGCGGAGAGTGGAACTTCATCAGCAGAGAGTCTTGCAAAATTCACCACCACCTGGACAGTGACTAATGCAGATGACTCAATTGAAACTCATTCTGGAGTGGTTATCGTCAGCACCAATGCAGCTGGCTCATGGTACACGACCACTTCTGAATTTGCGGAGAGTGGAACTTCATCAGCAGAAAGTCTTGGGGAATACACCACCACCTGGACAGTGACTAATGCAGATGACTCAGTTGAAACTCATTCTGGAGTGGTTATCGTCAGCACCAATGCAGCTGGCTCATGGTACACGACCACCTCTGAATTTGCGGAGAGTGGAACTTCATCAGCAGAGAGTCTTGCAAAATTCACCACCACCTGGACAGTGACTAATGCAGATGACTCAGTTGAAACTCATTCTGGAGTGGTTATCGTCAGCACCAATGCAGCTGGCTCATGGTACACCACCACCTCTGAATTTGCGGAGAGTGGAACTTCATCAGCAGAGAGTCTTGCAAAATTCACCACCACCTGGACAGTGACTAATGCAGATGACTCAATTGAAACTCATTCTGGAGTGGTTATCGTCAGCACCAATGCAGCTGGCTCATGGTACACGACCACTTCTGAATTTGCGGAGAGTAGAAGTTCATCAGCAGAGAGTCTTGCGAAATTCACCACCACCTGGACAGTGACTAATGCAGATGACTCAGTTGAAACTCATTCTGGAGTGGTTATCGTCAGCACCAATGCAGCTGGCTCATGGTACACCACCACTTCTGAGTTCTCACGGAGTCTTGCAGCTGTAGAGTTTACGACTACCTGGACAGTGACTAATGCAGATGACTCAATTGAAACTCATTCTGGAGTGGTTATCGTCAGCACCAATGCAGCTGGCTCATGGTACACCACCACTTCTGAATTTGCGGAGAGTGGAACTTCATCAGCAGAAAGTCTTGGGGAATACACCACCACCTGGACAGTGACTAATGCAGATGACTCAATTGAAACTCATTCTGGAGTGGTTATCGTCAGCACCAATGCAGCTGGCTCATGGTACACCACCACTTCTGAGTTCTCACGGAGTCTTGCAGCTGTAGAGTTTACGACTACCTGGACAGTGACTAATGCAGATGACTCAGTTGAAACTCATTCTGGAGTGGTTATCGTCAGCACCAATGCAGCTGGCTCATGGTACACGACCACTTCTGAATTTGCGGAGAGTAGAAGTTCATCAGCAGAGAGTCTTGCGAAATTCACCACCACCTGGACAGTGACTAATGCAGGTGACTCAATTGAAACTCATTCTGGAGTGGTTATCGTCAGCACCAATGCAGCTGGCTCATGGTACACCACCACTTCTGAGTTCTCACGGAGTCTTGCAGCTGTAGAGTTTACGACTACCTGGACAGTGACTAATGCAGATGACTCAATTGAAACTCATTCTGGAGTGGTTATCGTCAGCACCAATGCAGCTGGCTCATGGTACACGACCACCTCTGAATTTGCGGAAAGTGGAAGTTCATCAGCAGAGAGTCTTGCGAAATTCACCACCACCTGGACAGTGACTAATGCAGATGACTCAATTGAAACTCATTCTGGAGTGGTTATCGTCAGCACCAATGCAGCTGGCTCATGGTACACGACCACCTCTGAATTTGCGGAGAGTGGAACTTCATCAGCAGAGAGTCTTGCAAAATTCACCACCACCTGGACAGTGACTAATGCAGATGACTCAATTGAAACTCATTCTGGAGTGGTTATCGTCAGCACCAATGCAGCTGGCTCATGGTACACCACCACCTCTGAATTTGCGGAGAGTGGAACTTCATCAGCAGAAAGTCTTGGGGAATACACCACCACCTGGACAGTGACTAATGCAGATGACTCAATTGAAACTCATTCTGGAGTGGTTATCGTCAGCACCAATGCAGCTGGCTCATGGTACACCACCACCTCTGAATTTGCGGAGAGTGGAACTTCATCAGCAGAAAGTCTTGGGGAATACACCACCACCTGGACAGTGACTAATGCAGATGACTCAGTTGAAACTCATTCTGGAGTGGTTATCGTCAGCACCAATGCAGCTGGCTCATGGTACACCACCACCTCTGAATTTGCGGAGAGTGGAACTTCATCAGCAGAGAGTCTTGCAAAATTCACCACCACCTGGACAGTGACTAATGCAGATGACTCAATTGAAACTCATTCTGGAGTGGTTATCGTCAGCACCAATGCAGCTGGCTCATGGTACACCACCACTTCTGAGTTCTCACGGAGTCTTGCAGCTGTAGAGTTTACGACTACCTGGACAGTGACTAATGCAGATGACTCAGTTGAAACTCATTCTGGAGTGGTTATCGTCAGCACCAATGCAGCTGGCTCATGGTACACCACCACCTCTGAATTTGCGGAGAGTGGAACTTCATCAGCAGAAAGTCTTGGGGAATACACCACCACCTGGACAGTGACTAATGCAGATGACTCAATTGAAACTCATTCTGGAGTGGTTATCGTCAGCACCAATGCAGCTGGCTCATGGTACACCACCACCTCTGAATTTGCGGAGAGTGGAACTTCATCAGCAGAAAGTCTTGGGGAATACACCACCACCTGGACAGTGACTAATGCAGATGACTCAATTGAAACTCATTCTGGAGTGGTTATCGTCAGCACCAATGCAGCTGGCTCATGGTACACGACCACCTCTGAATTTGCGGAGAGTGGAACTTCATCAGCAGAAAGTCTTGGGGAATACACCACCACCTGGACAGTAACTAATGCGGATGACTCAATTGAGACTAATTCTGGGGTTGTTGTCGTTACTACGAATTCTGCAGGATCTTTATTGAGAAGCACTTCAGTTTACCCGCGTACGATTGCGGCTGTTGCATTTACTACCACTTGGGTTATCACGAATTCGGATAACTCTGTCGAGACTCATTCTGGTGTTGTTGCAATTCGCACGGATTCTGGTGGCTCAGCATACACCACAACTTCGCAGTTTCCTGATCCTAGTGACATTGTTATTTGCCGAAGAGATGATGGAGATTGTAACTCATTGACTTCGTATATTACGAGCTGGACCAACACGGATGCGAGTGGATCTGTTGAAACGAAGTCTGGTGCTGTGATAGTTACGACAGACTCTGCCCGATCTTGGTACACGACCACCTCTGTTTTCTTAAGCGGTCATGAGGCTGGCACTGTCACAACTTCCTGGGCAACAACCAACTCTGATAATTCTGTTGAAACGCAGTCAGGTGTGGATATTGTGGGAACGAATTCTGCTGGCTCTTGGTACACCTCTACTTCCGTTTTCCCACGTAGTCTTGCAGCTAGTGAGTTCACAACGAGTTGGACAGTAACATACTCAGATGATTCTGTCGAAACCCATTCGGGTGTGGTAATTGTTACCACTGATTCTGCTGGTTCATTTTATAGGACAACCTCTGAGTATCCAGCCTTGACATCCTTCACAAAGGTATGGACATCCTTAAATCAGGATGGTACTCCATATACTGTAACTGGTGTCGTCATCGTTACTACCAATTCCGCTGGATCGTTCTACACGACAACTACTCAATTTGTTGGAGATGCGGCTACTGAATACACCACTACCTGGACCACTACAAATGCAAATGGATCTGTTCAGACTAAGTCAGGAGTTGTGATTGTTACCACGGATATAGCTGGGTCATTGTACACCACGACGTCCCAATATGTCGGAGATGCGGCTACTGAATACACCACTACCTGGACCACTACAAATGCAAATGGATCTGTTCAGACTAAGTCAGGAGTTGTGATTGTTACCACGGATATAGCTGGGTCATTGTACACCACGACGTCCCAATATGTCGGAGATGCGGCTACTGAATACACCACTACCTGGACCACTACAAATGCAAATGGATCTGTTCAGACTAAGTCAGGAGTTGTGATTGTTACCACGGATACAGCTGGGTCATTGTACACCACGACGTCCCAATATGTCGGAGATGCGGCTACTGAATACACCACTACCTGGACCACTACAAATGCAAATGGATCTGTTCAGACTAAGTCAGGAGTTGTGATTGTTACCACGGATACAGCTGGGTCATTGTACACCACGACGTCCCAGTTTGCCGGAATAGTTACCTACTATGTCACGACATGTGTGACAACTAAGTCAGATGGGTCTGTCGAAACTGACTCTGGAGTTGTTCTAGTGAGCACGGATAAAGAGGGATCTTTGCATACCTCAACGTCATTGTTTGATACTAGAGTGACCACTCAGGCAACTTCATGGACCACGACTCTCGTTGAAAGCGTCACTACTACTGTATTCGCTGAAATTATCGTTTCAACGGACGAATCAGGAGAATGGTTTACAACAACTTCATTCCCTGACAAGGGTAAATTGACAGAGTTCACAACTCATAATGATATTGGAGAGGTGGAAACTCGCAATTATGTAGTAAAACCTACGAATGATGCTCATGGCGATCTTGTCTTTGTTACGGTGGAGAGTGTGATAAACGCATCTCAGACTGTTGAACTTTACATGACGACCCGCGCTGATGGAGTCGTAGAGACTGTTGCTAGTGTGGAAACAATTCCCGATGTCACGGCTACTACGTCGCCCAAGACCAGTGCACCAATTAGCACAACTTCAATTGGTATTTCGAGTGTAAATTACTCGTTACTTGAAGGTGTTGGCTCCACGAGAACGTTTTCCTTCGGTGGAGTTGTTGGTCTTATTGTATTTGCATTAATTTAATAATACCCTTTGCTATTTTCAATATTTCTCATTCCACTAATTTTCTGTTCGGTGCTTTCACTTGCTTTCTGTCTAATATACATTTTTATGAAGGCTAATGTACATCTTCAAAGAGTAGAAAATTCGTTGAAGTTTTTCCTAGACCACGGCTCCTTTTCTTCGTGAGCGAGCCATATCCGATGAATTGTCTTCAACATGTTGATAACATAATGAATACATCATTATGTTTTGCCATTCACTATGGTAGCGCAGTGGCTCTTGATACAAAAATTGGTTCTGAAGCTAATAAGGGACACGGAGAGATAATTTGATGGGTTGAGGACACAGGAGATGTTTGAGTTAATTGATGGAAAGGAGCCACACGGTAATACTCAAAGAAACTAAGGCAAAAATGTAGGATCAAACGTGATTGATTTCTTTCAATTGAACTTCCTTGTATTGTGGTAGTCAAAAAAAAAGGACTTCTGTCCTGTCCAACGCTCTAAACCCTGCAAAGAATAAAAACAGTGAAACGATGTTTGCGATTCCCTATCAAGAGTTATCGAAGAAAAAGGTGTAACCTAATGCGCGGATCCTAGTTCTCATGTCAGTCATTCGAAATGTTTGGGAGCGTTGCTATTGATTCCATTACTTCTATGAGATTGAAATGCCACAAACAAGCAAGAAAGTACATATCACGACCAATTAGGAAAAGAGAAGTTTGCTAATAATAGGGATATTTCTCAGGCATTTTAACAACTGGCCAATATCCAAGGCTACCCATTGATCATATGCAAGTGAATTGCTACACGTAACCATATGATTCGTTTGCAATATTTTTACGTTGAAGAGCATTGCATAGAAAAACTTAACAATCTGTGACGGGTTCTTGGAATGATTGATAATGGTGTGCATAGTATTGTAACCCAACGGTGTTTGATACTGCAAGAAATGAAGCATGTGAGATCGAGGCTGGTCTTGGATGATATGCTGGACGAAGAAGGTGCGTAATAAAAATGCCGAAATAGTTTACTTCGCATAGGGAAGAGATTATCTCATGGTAAAATATATCTCTGTTGACTTGATCATGATTATTGGTTTGTTACACTTTTAAATCTTCATGGATGTATTAATTCTTGCTTTCCCAATCTTACATTTACTGTCTTGAAGTTAACACATGAAGATGTATATTGTAATGTGTATTGACCCAAAATTACAAAGGTGGCACCACGCGAGCACATGCATCCAGGTAATGTGCATAAGAGCCCCGGTTAGTAGCTACATCGTAACCCAATGGAGCTCCTCCTCCTATGGGCGGTGCAATTTCAATGATTCCTTGATTACAGCATCCCTAGTCCGAATTGCCGTCTCAAAATCTCTTGTTTGCAATTTCCAGGCAGTTATAGAATATATCAGCGTAGCGCACCAAGTTGGGAGAACAAATAGACTAGCTCACGACTATTCATAGAATACCTCAAAGCATAAACTTACAAATCTAATAGAACCATGCAAAATATTCTTCTATTCACTTCCCTGAAGAGAACAATATATAGAAGTAATGAGACTCGGTGAGAGGGATTTGCACTAATAATGCCGGTACACTGTACACCACGCTGATCGACTTGATTATACTCATAACATCAACACTTTCGATTGAAATCAAAGTGCTTGGAGCGAATAACAGTAATTTGGAGATGTTCAACTAAGCGTTTATGAACATAAGTTGTAGACTGCAGACCATGAGTTGAACTTTAAGAGTGAAAATATACTCTAATGATCAATGTTATCAAACCAATAACCTTGAAATCTTACATTAAAAATTGGAGGATCGGAATACTCTCGAGGCGATCATTGCTTGGTAAAATACACAAAGTGATCAGCAGTGCAGAACATATCTCCCTTTCAACAATGTTTTCGGGGGGTGGTGGTTCTCAAGAAAAATGTGCCCGTGGCTCCCAGGTCATTAAATAATAGCACTCAGAAGATTGTATTATTTCGGAATATATACTAACGCCGAATCTTTGAGGTGAGATGGTATCGGTGATTCGCTAATTGCAAAGCCAAGTTCTGCTAGTCCGACCAAATGCCGCTTGCCGAGCATGTATCTACATACAGGTCGCTAATGCATATGTCACTTACTCGGCTCGGTCTTAGAACATCAATAAGTCCGGGAAGTGAAAATCGAAAAAAGGGAAGGCTACGTAAATCTGAGGCAGAAGGTCTGATATCCGCTACCCATTATGCAAGTTCGACACTCAAAGCTTTTCTAATCATTGGAGTGATAACACATTTTTTCCGTAGGTTATCCCTTTTACTCGGGACTTACTTCTTCGTTCTCCACCACAATTTAAGTATCATATCGAAAGCTAAATAATCTGCTAAAGCTAAACAACTTTGAAAGGTCTGAGTGTAGCTATCAAATTGAGTAAATTAACATGACACTAAACGGCCAATTTCATGTCGTTCTGGGCTCTCCATTATATCTGCAGAATCAATCTTCCTGTAGAATAATTTGAAGTACCACAGTAGAGAGATCACTTCCTTCGAAGGTCACCAAATGTAATGTCTGCAGCATGCGGGCGAATCGATTTTTGATATTCCATTGTTCGTACACTGGATTATGACCTTGTTATGAATGTTATTCTCTTGAATTGTTCCGTTTATTGACAAATTGTTTATACTGTGCTGGATCTACTCATTATCAAGTAGTTGATGAGTTCCTCAGGTAATTATTAATACAAATGGGAGGATGATAGTGTGGATAATGTGAAACGTTAATGTCATGTATTCTAAACCACGGTGCCCAAAATTGGCAAACTAAATGTAGTTTATCGAAATTCATACCTCTGAACAATGACTCCTTACACGAATAAGTTTCCTTTAGTAAGTTGAGAATGTTCAAAGGCCAGCTACTTTAAGAAAGAAGTGAGATCGAGTAATCTTCAGTGCAGATCGCTCCATTGTAACGCATATTACCAAAAGATTTGCTAGCCAATGATCTCTTATTACTTGGCAAATTTCTATTTTAGACAATGGCTGACATGTATTTTCAATTGAAGCGAGGGGGAGAGGGAGGTGTAATTTACAGTGTTTCTAGAATCACTCGTTTTTTCGTTTTACGAGGTCAAACAAACAGTTTGGTTAATGCTCTCCAGATTGACAACATTAATTGTCAATAAAATGACTGATTAGATCACCGAATGTGCATGAGATTATTTTAAGGTTGGGAAGTGTACAACATTCATCTCAAAAAGTGCTTCAAAGCATGGGGGGTTAGCTCACTCATTGAGGTGTGACAATTCGATGCAGGCTTCCAAACATACAAAAAATGCAAAGAAGCGCCTTTTGTGCGTCTAAATACAGGGAAAGGTTGAAACATTTCTGTGGTTAATCTCAATCCAAAAGACTGCTTTATTCTAAAAATCTGCTCGTTCATTACTAATTTAATGTACAGATTTGCTGCACATACAATCGATGAGTTTGACCAATAATATCCACCATTCAACCATGTTTCATTCTATAAAGCAGTACTAAGGATTTGCCAAGGAGACGAATTCATATTCTTAAACTGAAACTCAACGTTACCGATTTGGAATCGTTAGACGTATTATTTCTATGGCAAATTCTTCATGTATACTTATTCTAAATCTATTCATTTAGATGTTTTCGATATCGCATGAATCTGATTCCAGAGCTGGCGTTTCAGTCGCAAAGGTCAACGCTTCAGGAATTCAAGAAGCATGCCGATTGAATTGGAAAAATGTATTTCTAAACATCAAATTAATAGAACCAGCGGACCAAATCTTGCTTCCTGCAAGTATGTTCTTTGCAGCATTTCAAAGGCTCGCAGATACGTCATACGTTACATAATAGAAACTTCATGCTTGCTTGCCGAATCTTTTATCTTATTTGTAGAATTTCACTCGATTGTATCAAAGATTCTCGTTCGACTTGCATTTGTCTTTTTACCCTATTAATAGTAGAAATTATATCCTCTGCAATAAATAACCAAACAAATCCAATTGAAAACAAAGCTGAGCAAATGAAGATGAAATTGTTTTCACTAATAGCAGCTTCGTTAGTATATTTCATAGCGAGTGCTTATGGTGCCACTACTACTTTCACTTCGAATACTGTTATCACAGGAAATGCAAATTTTGCTTCTGGAACGCCTGTCGTCATTGCAGATGATGTATTCGTCGCTTATGATAACAAAAATGGACCTATTACAAATAATTATCGTGACAATGTTCATATCCTCGGTGAACTCTTCATAGGAGACTCTGGTGTCCACACGGGAATGTCAGTGTACTTCAATAAAGACTTCAGGAATGATGGTAACCTTGTACTTGATGCGAGCAACGAAACATCGGCACCCAGTTTTTACTTCTTGGGTGATAACTTCTTGAATAATGGTAATATCTTTATGGTCAGAATTGGAAATACTGGTGGTGTGACTATGAACGTTTGGAATTCGGGCACTGTCGTCAATAATGGTATTATTAGTTACTATCATACTTTGAGTAGAAATGGTGGTACATCATACCTCGGACGCTCTGGGAACGATGTTACCAATGATGGTACGGTTTGTTTATACAAAATGAACATGTATCAGTCATCTGATGTGTCAGGAACGGGGTGCTACAGTGTTGGAGAAGATTCGCTTCTCTTATATGAGAACCCTAACAGGAACCCCTTGGCGAGTACTCAAACCGTCTATCTTGAGAAACCCAACTCCCAAATAAGAATTGGCCCTTATAACATGGCAAATACCCTCAAGGTTGCGGGATGGGGTGATGGGAATATTATCGGCTTCGAGAGTAGTGTCTCGTCATTTGCATACTCAGGCTCCATATTGACTGTTATCGCTGGAGGTCGGACTTACAAGTTCGACATTGGCCCTAACTACAATCCAGCTTTGATGTCAATTGGTGGTGGATTTTCATCAGGTGGATTTTACATTACTGGTCACATAAAATACGCCGGAGCGCCTACTGATACATCAAGGCCCGCCGTTTGTGATATCTGCCCTCTGATTCCAACATTCCCATCAATTTCTTCTCAATCCTCATCAGCATCATCATCTGTTTCACCATCTACAGCGCACACAGAGAGCTCATACCAATCTTCTTCTGAGTCTGCATTCTCTGAATCTTCCTCTGAAATTTCTTCTGATACAACCTCTGAGTCTTCTTCGCAAGCATCTGCTGAGTCCTCTTCTCAGGCTTCTGCTGAGTCCTCTTCGCAAGCATCTGCTGAGTCTTCTTCTCAGGCTTCTGCTGAGTCTTCTTCTCAGGCTTCTGCTGAGTCCTCCTCGCAAGCATCTGCTGAATCATCTTCTCAGGCTTCTGCTGAGTCCTCTTCGCAAGCATCTGCTGAGTCCTCTTCGCTGGCTTCTGCTGAGTCCTCCTCGCAAGCATTTGCCGAGTCTTCTTCGCAAGCATCTGCTGAGTCCTCCTCGCAAGCATCTGCTGAGTCCTCCTCGCAAGCATCTGCTGAGTCCTCTTCGCAAGCATTTGCTGAGTCTTCTTCTCAGGCATCTGCTGAATCGTCTTCTCAGGCATCTACTGAATCGTCTTCTCAGGCTTCTGCTGAGTCCTCTTCGCAAGCATTTGCTGAGTCTTCTTCTCAGGCTTCTGCTGAGTCCTCCTCGCAAGCATCTGCTGAGTCCTCTTCGCAAGCATTTGCCGAGTCTTCTTCGCAAGCATCTGCTGAGTCCTCCTCGCAAGCATCTGCTGAGTCCTCCTCGCAAGCATCTGCTGAGTCCTCTTCGCAAGCATTTGCTGAGTCTTCTTCTCAGGCATCTGCTGAATCGTCTTCTCAGGCATCTACTGAATCGTCTTCTCAGGCTTCTGCTGAGTCCTCTTCGCAAGCATTTGCTGAGTCTTCTTCTCAGGCTTCTGCTGAGTCTTCTTCGCAAGCATCTGCTGAGTCCTCTTCGCAAGCATTTGCTGAGTCTTCTTCTCAGGCATCTGCTGAGTCCTCTTCGCTGGCTTCTGCTGAGTCTTCTTCTCAGGCTTCTGCTGAGTCCTCCTCGCAAGCATCTGCTGAGTCCTTCTCGCAAGCATCTGCTGAGTCCTCCTCGCAAGCATCTGCTGAGTCTTCTTCTCAGGCTTCTGCTGAGTCCTCCTCGCAAGCATCTGCTGAGTCTTCTTCTCAGGCTTCTGCTGAGTCTTCTTCTCAGGCTTCTGCTGAGTCCTCCTCGCAAGCATCTGCTGAATCATCTTCTCAGGCTTCTGCTGAGTCCTCTTCGCAAGCATTTGCTGAATCATCTTCTCAGGCTTCTGCTGAGTCCTCTTCGCTGGCTTCTGCTGAGTCCTCCTCGCAAGCATCTGCTGAATCATCTTCGCAAGCATCTGCTGAGTCCTCCTCGCAAGCATCTGCTGAATCATCTTCTCAGGCTTCTGCTGAGTCCTCCTCGCAAGCATCTGCTGAGTCTTCTTCTCAGGCATCTGCTGAATCGTCTTCTCAGGCATCTACTGAATCGTCTTCTCAGGCTTCTGCTGAGTCCTCTTCGCTGGCTTCTGCTGAGTCTTCTTCTCAGGCTTCTGCTGAGTCCTCCTCGCAAGCATCTGCTGAGTCCTTCTCGCAAGCATCTGCTGAGTCCTCTTCGCAAGCATCTGCTGAGTCCTCTTCGCAAGCATTTGCTGAATCATCTTCTCAGGCTTCTGCTGAGTCCTCCTCGCAAGCATCTGCTGAATCGTCTTCGCAAGCATCTGCTGAGTCCTCCTCGCAAGCATCTGCTGAGTCCTCTTCGCAAGCATCTACTGAGTCCTCTACGCAAGCATTTGCCGAGTCTTCTTCTCAGGCATCTGCTGAATCGTCTTCTCAGGCATCTACTGAGTCCTCTGCGCTGGCTTCTGCTGAGTCTTCTTCTCAGGCTTCTGCTGAGTCTTCTTCTCAGGCTTCTGCTGAGTCCTCCTCGCAAGCATCTGCTGAGTCTTCTTCTCAGGCTTCTGCTGAGTCGTCTTCGCAAGCATCTGCTGAATCCTCGGCAGAATCTTCATCACAGTCTTCGTCGGAAACTTCATCACAGTCATCTGCTGCATCTTATTCTCAGGCGTTCTCTGAATCTTCGTCGCAATCCTCTCTTCAGCCATCAGCTGAGACCTCTTCTCAACCCTCCGTCGAGTCTTCTTCTCAGCCATCCGCAGAGTCGTCTAACCAAGAACCTACCAAGGCATCAGATATATCCAACTATGGATCATCCTCAGCATACCTTCCATTGACTACTTACACTACTACATGGACGACCACTAACAGCGATGGATCAGTTGAGACCGATTCCGGTATTGTGATTGTCAGTACTGATTCTGCAGGCTCGCTCTTCACAACCACTTCCGAGTTCCCTAACAACTATGGATCATCCTCAGCATACCTTCCATTGACTACTTACACTACTACGTGGACCACCACTAACAGCGATGGATCAGTTGAGACCGATTCCGGTATTGTGATTGTCAGTACTGATTCTGCAGGCTCACTCTTCACAACCACTTCCGAGTTCCCTAACAACTATGGATCATCCTCAGCATACCTTCCATTGACTACTTACACCACTACGTGGACCACCACTAACAGCGATGGATCAGTTGAGACCGATTCTGGTATTGTGATTGTCAGTACTGATTCTGCAGGCTCGCTCTTCACAACCACTTCCGAGTTCCCTAACTTGACTACCTACACTACTACGTGGACCACCACTAACAGCGATGGATCAGTTGAGACCGATTCTGGTATTGTGATTGTCAGTACTGATTCTGCAGGCTCACTCTTCACAACCACTTCCGAGTTCCCTAACAACTATGGATCATCCTCAGCATACCTTCCATTGACTACTTACACCACTACGTGGACCACCACTAACAGCGATGGATCAGTTGAGACCGATTCCGGTATTGTGATTGTCAGTACTGATTCTGCAGGCTCGCTCTTCACAACCACTTCCGAGTTCCCTAACTTGACTACCTACACTACTACATGGACCACTACTAACAGCGATGGATCAGTTGAGACCGATTCTGGTATTGTGATTGTCAGTACTGATTCTGCAGGCTCGCTCTTCACAACCACTTCCGAGTTCCCTAACAACTATGGATCATCCTCAGCATACCTTCCATTGACTACTTACACCACTACGTGGACCACCACTAACAGCGATGGATCCGTTGAAACCGATTCTGGTATTGTTATTGTGAGTACTGATTCTAAGGGTTCTTTCTTCACCACCACATCAGATGTCGGGGTAGTGAGTTCCTGCACCACTACATGGATTTCCACCAACAGTGATGGATTCGTTGAGACTGATTCTGGTATTGTCATTGTTAGTACTGATTCTAAGGGCTCTTTCTTCACCACCACATCAGAGTTTGGAGTAGTGAGTTCTTACACCACTACATGGACCTCCACCGACAGTGATGGATCCATTGAGACTGATTCTGGAGTCGTTATTGTCAGCACGGATGGGGAATCTTCGTTGTTCCTGTCGACTTCATTGTTTGTGTCTGGAGTTTCTGTTCTCACAACAACATGGACGACAACGCTTGTTGCAAGTGTTACGACAACTGTATGTGCAGAAATAATTGTCACGACTGATGCGTCTGGTGACTTGTTTACTTATACACTGTTTTCTGATAACGGTGTGTCTACAGTCTACTCAACTCTTAATGAAAGTGGAGAGTGGGAGACCTCCACTATTGTTGTTAAGCCTACCAACAATGCCGATGGCAACATTGTCTTAACTACTATTGAAAATGAAACAGACTCCACAGGGGCTGCGGTTTACATGACGACTCGCGGAGATGGAGTTGTTGAAACCATCACTAGTTTGGTGACAAGTATTGATGTTACGATGACTAACTTGCCAAATTCATCCAGCAGCACATCAGTGCCAGCTCCTGTGGGAGCTGCGAGCGCTCAAAACACTTTACTTGAAGGAACAGGCTCTTCAAATTCTTTAAGCTTCGGTGCAGTGATTGTTCTTATTGCATTTGCATTTGCATGATCATTTTTTTTGGATAATATTTTTTCTATCATTTTTTGGACGACTTCGTTTATCTAGGACTTCTCATTCTACTAATTTATTACTATCTGGACTTCAAAGAGCATTCTATCAAATACATTACACTGGATTCTGTGATTTGGATTGTACGTTTTTCCAAACATCATAGCTTTCGTTGCCCCATACTTTGGAGTACTTTCTAAAAAAGTGTCCCTAGTGTACTTGCCCGCATCTAGAGACTCGGAAACAGCATGGAGTGGAGGAGAAAATCTACTAATGGGTGAAGTGCGTTTTGAATGCACGTCATGAATTTCTGTCATCAAGAATTTTCGTCATCAATAAATTAATTTTAAGTTCGTGATTCGTAGCCATTTATTGTAGATATTCCTACAGAAGATTCGGTATTCTCAGGAAATACTGCGCATGAGTGGAAAATTGTGAAACGTAAATGGGAATGAACAGGATAAAAATTGATTCGAAATTAATCATAATGTGAAGAAATTAAAAAGACGAAAAGTTACCTTTTGATGATGGGGCTTATTAGCCGAATAAGAGAAGCACAATTGCCTGATCGAGTCGCAAGGCTGTATGAGTAATGAGCAATTTTTGGTGCACAATCAGAAAGGTACTACTTTAGGAAGCACATATAATCGATGACTGTTCAGAAGTTCGAAGTGGAAGTGAATTATCAAGGTAAGTAGTATCTCTCACAACCATTCAAATATATTTTAGAAAATTCGTTCGAAGTATGAATTCTGGCGAGGTTATTAAACGTGAGGGGCGAAGAATAAGCTATGAAAGAGCCAACTAAGTCTGAGATTTGAAAGAATTTGAAAAGAAGTTATTACTAGTCCATAAAACTCGATTATTGGTAACCGTCAGCAATAGTTAGTATCATGATTCACGGGTGTCCAATTGAAACATTCTAGAGTGATAGTACTGACTCAATGCATTTTATATTTTCTTCGCTTGAATGTTAGAATGAGTTATTCCCAGAACTCACCAATAATGAATTTTAGAGAACAATTGACATAAACCTTAATTAAATTTGTATTCTTGAGAAGGTGGAGTGACATGGTGGAATCAAATGATATACTATCCGTAGTGCGTTGTAATAGAATAAATCTAAATCCGGTGAAAATATTTCCCTTTTTTGATATCTAGTTACGGATTAAATGTAGTAAGAGAAGGCTTTGAAGATTCTCATGCGGAAGATCTCTAAATGATAGAGCGGACTTTGAAACTGAAATGTCAATAGAAACAAAGACAGTGATTTAATTAGGCTTCAGGTATGTAGATATTATTGCGGTTGGTCAGGATCATAGCATACCTGATATGAAGTGTCTGGGAAACGGCAGCACAAAGGTCAGATGTCGCATGTACTAATAACGGGATTTATTTACAGAAAGATAGAGCTTCAATCGCAAATTAAGTAGCAACTGAAGTGCCAGAACAATCCATGATGTTAAAGAAGGGAAAGAGAAAACACAAAGAAAGTGATGATTTAATGTTGAATGTCAGAATATCAGAAAAACCGCCGAAGTGGAGTTGATTTAGGAAGTCACTGTCATTAAAAGCTGATAGAAGAAACACGGAAGAATATGGTGATTAAATGACCAAAAATCCGGCCCCCTTAAAGCAAAGAACAATACAAGGATGGAAATTAGATTTACAAGGGAGATCAAACTTAAAAGAGCACGCTGCCCGCCTTGAGCCGAAATGCCAATCTCAAAAAGGAAACAGTTCAGAAATCTGGTTCTCAATATATGGGCGAACTGTAAGAAATGAAATTTGAAGTATTGAGACATCAAGAAATATTCAAATCACTTCAATATTGGCTCTTTTATATCTTTGATGATATTAACGTATCAGATAACTGTAAAGCATTACTTCAAATTACGGGAGTATTGACTTCCTACCTACTTGTGACTACGACTGTATGTGCTGAAGTTATCATTTGAGCGGGTAGGTCAGGATGTTTACGAGAATGTCATACAATGTAAAAGGTGAATTGAAACGGATCGAAATGAATTTGGAGGGGCGGAGAATCCCAACATTGTTGCGGGGCCCACAAATGACCAAAATGGGAACATCGATTTAACAAGTGTTGAAAAAGATGAAGACCTCACAGAGGCAGTCGCTAGTTTACCAATGAGCATCAATGTGAAGAATGTATTGCCACATTTGTCTAGTGAACTTGCAAGTGGTATCCCTGGATCTACTTGCTGTTTCCAGCGTACAGAATTTATTTGAAGGAATACACTCCTTAAATTGTTTTTAAATTGGTACAGCAATTGCTCTTCTTGCATTTGAATTGGTGTAGTTGCATCTTTTGTCAATATTTCTTATTCCATCTTTATATTGATTGTTCTAAATGTTACATTAATGAATTCATTCAATTATATATCAACAAAATTCTTAGTGGCAGTTGGACATATTCTTGAAAGCATCTCTATGGATAAGTACCATGATATTTGATTATTACAGAACTCTTGAATTCAGTTCCAGTGTGTGTTAAATAATCGCATGGCAAATGTTCTCATTAGTAGTTCACCATAAGCAGCTCTTGATGCAATGGATCTTCGCAGATTAAGAGATCAGCTTTAGCAATTGGGAAGAGGCGATCATAAATGAGGTTCAATAATAACTTGAAGAGGACTTCTGTAGATTGATGTTAAGTTATTAGTTTCCCTACTAGTATTTGATATTGATTGATTTACATGGTTCGTTTGCGAATAGTAGAATCAAAAACTTCGATTGAGCAAGTAGATTGTAGTTCATAACCAACACAAATTGCCTGATGTTTTTTAGTTTCTTCTTCTTCAAGTCCTTTTTGTGGTGTATTTCCCATACTTCGTAGTACTTAACCTTAAGGTGGTGTAACCGTTGGAGCAATTGAATACAGTATTAAAGAAGCGGCGAAACTGGCAGGGTAGCCTCTTCCCCTGAAGTGTCATAGAAGTGGTACCGCATAGTCATCTCCAAGGCAGTAATCAGCGTGTCGATAAGGATTATCGGTAGTTGTGGATGACCGACATGGAATGATTGCCTCACCAATAGCAGCACGAATAGGCAATAGCTAAAGAGGAATAGAAAGAGAATTGCAAGAACATAAAGAGTTACCAAATAGTATCAAGTTGCTTTAAGATTTATTCAAGGAGGTTGATAAGTAAGAGATACATAATAGTTGAAAATATGATGGAAGAGGGATAAGGTGGGAATCAGAAAGTTTAAAGATTACAGCTGATAGGTAAGCAGGAACTACTAAGAAGATTTCCAGAGGTTTGAGAGTATCAGGATCAACTCAGTTGAACATGGATAATTCTATATACACAAAGAATTCATAGAAGTATTGATACATATTTTACACAGGTTTTAAAGAATCTAGAGATAGGATTAAGTGTTGAAAGGGAGAAGGAACGATGTGAAGACTAATTTATTCCAACTGGCACAGAAGCTTACGAAAACTAAGGACCCAAAACTTGAAGTTGGCGGTTTATTTTAAAGGTTACTCAAAGGGTGAAATAAAAGAAAGTACATATTGTTCTAAAAATTCAAATTGTGTATTAAACATTTATACTCGTATTCTGAAATATTTTCAACGTCATTTGTTTCCTCATACAAATATTGCTTAGAAGAAATATCAAATAATTTAACTATTTTGCGTGTTTTTAAAAGCTTATCAATTTTTTCATTATCTTCTTTACCATTATAAAATCTGACTAATCGTAAAATGTTATATTCAACAAAATCAAATTTTTCAATAAATTCATCTTTAATTGTATATAATGTTTTACTATAAAGAACAATATAGAAAAAAATTAACATTATTTGTTTATAATCTAACAAAGTAAAGTCAACTTCAAGATCTTCAAATTCATAATTGTAACATATTCTAGGAGTATTAATAAAAAATATAAAAAATGTATCTTTTTTAACTAATTCACTTGCTCTTTCAAAATCAACAATAAGAAATCGTGATAAACATAAATCAACATGTTGTCCTTTAGAATAAAGATACATAGCTAAGTCAGTGTTATTCAAAATATCTTGTTCAGTATAATCGTAAGTAAAATCACTAACATAATCATTATCTAAAAATAAATTGAATATATATCTATCAAAATATATAATACCATAATCACTAACCCTAACAATATCAATATCTTCAACATTAAATATATCAATATCAAATTCTTCCATTAAAGGTTCATCAAATATCTCATCAACATCACAAGGAATTTTGGATTTAATATTGAAATCAATATTACATTTATTCATAAAAGCTAAATTTGAATTAGAATAATAAGTACCATATAATTGCTTATAGCTAATATCATCAACATAAAAAGGTTTATTACGATATTTACATAATAAATCAAAAAAGAATTTATTAAGATAAGCACCTTTATAGATACAATAATTCATACTTTTAGAATGATTTAATATATATTCATTAATATCGATATTTGAACTTAATTGTTCAAATAATTTAACATCTCCATACAAACACAGTTTGTGAATTTCAATAATAAACCTCATATTATGATAAATTCATAAACTCAAGAATGGTAATTTGGATCCCTTTCTGTCGTGAACATAATACCTCTGATGTGCCTAAGCCCCGCGAAGAGTTTTTTCCGTGCGCGTCATAAAGTGTTATTTTAACCTGGCGCGAAGAAGTCATCTGGGGAAGTAGAGGTTTTTCTTTTGGGGAGGCACTAGCTCAAGTTACAAAGGATTGACTTCGTCTTCAACTATGTAAGTCTATTTAGTAAATCTATCAAAAGAAACACTCTCTTTTTGCCGAGCGTGATGAGGTCGTTCATGCTGATAACCGAGTGGGGCAGACCTAGGCACGTTTGTTTCTAACTGAAACTCCTCAGTGGGTAATGGGAAATTTTACTATTATTTTGTACTCTCATTTCCGTTTTCGTTCTCGAAAATTCATCTGACGGTTGTAAAAATTAGGGCGGGATGCGCTTGGAACGCCTGTACTTCCC